ATTAAACGTTGATTCGCTTATATATAAGCGTATTATAGTACCTCGATTCTTTATAAGGTTATCTCCTAATCTTTCGAGATATCTAATTATCGAGGATTATTATCGTTAGTAGGAAGTCTTAGTTAATAGCCGAATAAAAGGTAATACGGAGATTTCTTAGTCGTTACGTAGATTTTAATTCGTATAGTAAATAAGGTTTAAGATAGATATTAGTCCTATAGAATAGTGGATTAGTTTATAAAGAGATGTATTAACGTTATCCCTAGAAATCCGTTAAAGTTCTCGACCTTTCCGTTCGTTCGCGGATAGTACGGTGTCGTTACGCGATATCTCGTCTTTAATAGCGAGATATAATAAGTCATTACCTCTCTCGTTAGATTTTATCTATTATCTAAAAGAATCTCGCGTAATACTCCGTAAATTATCGTAATATAATCGTAGAGAAATTTTACAATTATTTCGGCTTTAGTATCGAGTATAGCGAGAGCTACTAGCTATTCAGTAAGATATTCGATCGCCGTAATAATCTAATAATTATCTACGAGTATTTTTAGTAGGATATCGATTAGATTAATCGCCTATCTATCGAAGATTTATAGTGTTTCCTTATTAAGGGTTTATAGTTATTCTCTCTTTTACCCTAGACAGCTATATTAAGAAACCTAACACTATAGATAACTACGTATAAAGATACGTATATCTTCTTAAAGAGAGGATTACTATCCTCGTCTCTAGATAACACTAAGAATACTAGGGTATCCGAAATATCTATATTCAATATACATTCGTTCGAGAAAGTTCGTACGAAAAGGTATTAGAATGTAAGAACTTTAGACGTCGTTCTTAATACAATAGAGTACATTATCCTTAATAGTAAATAAGAACCGATCTTTGTATAGTTTCGAGCGAATACGTATAGATAGTTATTATCCTTCCTAAAGTAATTTAATTATTACTTTAGCCTATTTATTCTTTTTAAGGCCGCGTAACGCAGTAAATTAAGCCGTAAGGTTCCGCGGTCCTTATCCTATAAGATTAGAACGTCGACTAATAGTATCCGAAGTAACCATTAAAAAACCTTTTCGATAGTAAATCTTTAAGTTATATTTAGAGAAATCAGTAATCTAACGAGCGAGTCGTTTCGTAGAGTTTCGTATCGTTTAGAGATATTTTAAACTTTCGTAATCTATAAAGATTATAATTAGATAGTCGTTTTTAATATAAATACGCTATATATTTAAGACGTATTTAATCGCGAGTAGTTCTTTTTTATAAATAGAATAATTAATTTCTACGGACGTAAGCTTCTATCCTTTATAAGTAATAGAACAAAGTTATTTTAAGTCGTAATTCTCTTAAAGTAAGACTCTACTAATAATCTATTTACTAGTATCTATCTCAATAAAAAATAGTCGTATCGTATCTAACTATATTAAGACGAGGATATTCGTAAGAGCTTATTTTAAGGATTAAAAAGTATTCTCCGCCGTAGCATTCTATTTAATTTTCCGAAACTTATATTTTCTTTCTTTAATATCCGCTTCCTATAAAAGTAGAAATAATAGAACGTAAGTACGTATAAAACCCTATATATATCTACAATAGTATAAAGCTAGACTAAGGAATTATCGAAGTTTATATACGTTAGTTAGAACTAGCTATTAAAGAATAATATCGACCTTTATCGTAAGAGATCGAATCTATTCGTTTCTAATCGTATAGCTATAGAATTTAAGTTCTTTTATAAGAAATTAATACTTTAAGGGTTTAATATATAAGGAATATATTTTAAGTATCTCGAAAACATTCGTAAGATATCGTAAATACTCGGGGAGATTATTAAAGTAAATAAATATATCATTAAGATATATAATTACGAATTTTACAATATATTCCCGTAGAATACGGTTCATTAACGCCTAAAATATAGCTAGTGTATTATAGAGCCTAAATAGTATAGCGCAGTATTCGAACTTTCCTTCTCGCGTATTAAACGTAGTTTTCTTACGATTATTGGGATATACCTAAATCTAGTAGTATTCTTACGTAAAATTTAGTTTTAATATAAATTTAATATTCCCGATAAGATTAAGACATTCCTAAATTTAAGGTAAAGAATAACTATTTTTAACTATAATAGCGTTTAACGCTTAATAATTAATATATATCCTTTACTTATCTCCTAGTTTTTTAACGAATAAAATAAAGAATCTTTACGAGGACATAGATTTACGAATAATGCCCTATTATAGTATCTATATAATCTATTAACTCTACTCCGCGATATATATCGAGAAAAGAGGATACGCATTAATATTAATCGACGCGGAATTACCCGTAAAGATACGATAATCGTCCTAACGCGTAAAGGGAAGGATAGTAGAAAGTTCTTTCTTAAAGATTCCCTTAAATCGTTTTAAAAGGGTATATAACGATTTATTTTAGTTCGTAATCGCTAGCTAAACTAGCTCCCTAGGAGTAGTAGAAAGATCTTAACGAGGATACGATCCTTTAATATACCCTAGAAAGAGACTAGTTATCTTCTTTCCGAGAGCCCTAAGAGTTGTACGAAGACTTAATAGCTAGGTAGTATCCGTATCAGTATAAATTAAGTTAGATAGGTTTACGTCGATAGAAGAAAGTATATAGAGTATTCTAGATTTATTACGAACCTAAATTCTTATTTATTATTAATCGATTTTAGGATTAGCGATTTATAACCATTCGAAACTAAGAATTAGATTATAACCCAAAATTTTAAGTATACGGGCCATTAGATTTATAGAATACTAATAGATACGAAGTGTAAAGCGAGCTCTTCCTAGACTAGCGACATATATACCATTAATAACTTAAACCTAATATAGTAAAGGGTCGGTTACGATCTCTACCTATAGCTTACGAGCAATATTAATTAAAAGGTACTACTTCGTAGCCCCTAAGTTAACTAAAACTTATATAGATACGAAAGTTTAAGTTATACTCGTAATACCTCGTAACTAATAAGTAGCGGTATTCTATAGATACGTCTTAAGGGTATAGACTTATTCTACTTTACGTAATTAATTGAATTAGTTAGAATCCTTTTAATTCTATTGTTAAGTTATTAATCTAATTATCTATAGTACTCCTCTATTTACCTATAATTCCCCCTAGTCGTTATAAGGTCCCGCAATAGTACGCAACTTTCCGAAACTCTCTAGTTTCCCTTTATTTTTCTACTGTAGTTAAAACTTTCTAACCTCTTTACTCTACTAGAGTTATCGTACACTAAAATCTCCTCGGCCTCGATAGAGTGAACCCTTATAAGTGGTTAATACCGATTTCGTATAACTATGGAACTAATGGTCGATAGAGCTACATCTAAAGTAAGCAGTATTCCTTCGACACTAGTCCCGTTATTCTTTTATATCTTTACTAGATATCGCGATAGTATACGCTATAGTAAAATATACTAACTTTCGTATATTACCTCGACAAAATATTCTAGAGAGAGTAAGAATACGATCTATCCTACGTTATCCTACTCTCTTACGGATATATACTTTAGTAGTCTTAATCTATTATTATCGATTAGTATACTTAATGTATTTAAATAAGGCTAGGTCGTTCTATTTAGAGTATTCTACCATTCCTATTTAGATAGTATTATTAAGGCTAGTACAAAAATACTCCTTAATCTCTAATGCGGCCTTTTCCGGCTAAATATAAGCCGTAAGATAAATTAGGTCTTAAGTATATTCTATAGTAGGGCGGTTGCCTTAGATATATATATACCACTAGTTACGTAGTCGAGATTACTTATTGTTATCCTTAAAGATCTCGCGTAACTAAGTAAGATAGTCAATAATAGTAAGTATAGAACTATAAGTCAACGTATATATCTAATATATACGTCCTATAAGATAGGTAGACGCTATTTCTACCTTCTTACGTTCACTTATCTAGTATCCTCGTCGATCGTAGAAGTTAATTTAGTTCGTAACGTCCCGTATATAGTCGTCGAGTTAATTATTACTACGGTCGCTATTATACGCGCGTAATTCGCGTATCTTTAACCCTTACGAAATAAAAGTATTGCCTATAACGCTATAACGTTATTCGCTAATATACGTATATATTCGTAATATTTCGCTAAGTTATCCAATAGCAATACTATTGAACTAGGTAAAGAGCGAAATACTATATAATACACTAAAAGGATTAGTATCAACGAGTATAGGGTTCTTATCCTAGCTACTAGGGTCGCCACTACTACCATCATTAGTATAGCCGATCTCTAGAGAAGAAGGGAGGTCTATCCTACAATAGGAGAGTCTAGAAGAAAGAAGAGTTAAGGTGTATCCGTCCGTAACAACGGGGATCCAGTAAACCCCCCTTTATTTCGTCCTCTTCTTTCTTCCCTAATATCCTTATCAGCTGAAAAGTCTTCTTTTCCACGAGACTTTAGCTTCTCCGCGCCGTTACGTCTAATTACCGTACGTTTTAGGGGTTTTAGGGCCTTAAAGTCTACCTTATCGACTCTCCCTTCCCTTTTCGGAAACTAGATATACGTAATTATGGCACAATACGAGTAGTTTCGTTACTACTCTACTAATCTCTTTAGTAAAAATCCCTTACGTTAAGGTATTAGAATCGAGGTCGCTATCGTTATTAAAGTCGTCGTCGAGGGCCGTCGTCGACGTAGAGAACAACAAAGGATCGAAGCAGTTAGAATCGTTACGGACATATAAGACCCGCTAACTACCCTTACAAGAGAACACGGCCGCTCTTGTAAGTAGGTTCGTTGCTACCACCTATGGTTGTAGCGGCGGAAGAGATTGATTAGCTAACTAATCTAAGAGGGAAAGACTGGCCGCTATATGTAGTCACTCGTAACTGAGCGCAAGGAGGGGGAATACTAGGCTGGGCAAGTATCCCGACGCTAATATCACAGCTGGAATGTCGCGCTGCCGGACTCGGTCATTCAACGATGCCTCGACGCGTTCTATTGAACAATGAATCAACATAATAACAAAACACGAACTCGAAAGCAGCGCCAGCCACAATCCATTCGCGATCCCATTGATTACTGCTTGAGCATTGCGAATAGTGCCCTCGAAGCACTCTAAAATTCCATTCACCATCCGCGCAGATCCTTTCCAGCGAGAGGCCTGGTTTGGTCTTCAGTCGTCCCTTGGTCAGAACACCGGCAACAATACTACCTCAGTCATCTCTCATCTCCCTCAAGACTTAAAGCTGCGCCTTACCGGATATCTCCGACCTTCTCGACATAACATAGTCCGTTCTCTTCCTGGATGGCTGAGCCGATACGGTAGCCGATCGCCTCGTCGCTTCCACGAGGGCAAATCAAATCCGATCACCTCTGAACTAAGGTCTGACCCAACCTTCGTCCATGCCACCCTCACTTAGTTGTCAATGGCTTTCATGCGCCTGACATATTTGGTCCTCGATACAATTCTTCTAGTGCTGACTTGCCGGTAGGTCTCTCTAAAACTCTCAATACATCATGGCACCTCGACGATCTGCGGCCAGAGCTTCAAGCGCAACTCCAATACGCGCCGGCTCGCCGACAAAGCGCTCAACACGAGCAAGCAGTGTACTTTCTCCCGAAGATGCCACACCTCGACGAGGCGCTCGAGGTGTCTCTCAGCAGCCCAACCTAGCCGAAGGCAGTGTCAACAACCCTAGACTGCCTGAGGTGCAAATCCAGCAATCATACGCTTACGGATCCAGCAAGACGCCTATGCTGCCGACGCAGCTGGTCCCAAGAAGCAAGATGAATTTGAGGGAGATGGCGGAAACCATCGACTCAGGAGTCGAGCAAGCCCAGCAGCACCTTCAAAACCATGTCGACGAGGCCCGTGCAAATTTGCGAAAGGATCCTCGAGCCGAAAGAGCCCGTCGAAGAGCGTCTCGAGAAAATTCACGAGAGCCTTCTGCCGGAAGTGATGATGTCGAAAGAAACAAGACTCAAAGAGTAGCTGCTTGGGCAAGCTCGCTTGAGAGTAGTCAGCTCGACGAGATACCGGAAGAAAATGATGCTGCGCCGAGTACACCTGAAGATGCTTCTCACAAGGACACCGACCCGTCCAGCTTCCCCAGTGGCATGTTTGAGCATAGCTACAACTACGAACGAGGTCTGCGTAGGCCCAACATTACCGTGCGGAAACGAGAGGAACCAGTCTTCCGCAAGGCATGGACCACAGTTAAGCAATACGCCCAACTTTCTCGCGAGGCTTCGACAGAGCTTTTCTCTTCGGTTATTCAGTGGTCTCAGCGACTGTGGCAAGCAAGCGGCAGAGTGATCAGAGATGTTCCGGACTCATTCCTTGTCAAGATTGTCACAAGCCTCCTTTCTGCCGTATTGATTATGTCTGCAGCGGGTCTGTTCTTCTGCTACGCCTATAGCCACTTCATCTGCGACCCATATACTACTTCTCCAGTTGGCTTAACGATGCAGAAATATTGTGGAAGTTGTGTTCGAGCGCCAGACACTGCTTTAAATGTCACAAGTGGCAGCAATGCGGATTTGTCGAAACTTTCTGCCACACTCACCAACATCAACAACCAAATGCGAGCTATTGAATTGCGATTGAACGAGAAGCTTGACTCAACATATGCACATGTGGGCAAAGACCTTGAGACGTTGAGAAAGCAGCATTCAGAACTATCCAATCACATCGGCGGACTAGAGTTTGGTCACTCGACGTCTTCCGGAGATGTCGCATCACCGGTCATTGCAAAGATCAATTTTTTTGCCCCAAATAATGGCGCCTTGGTGGAACCACGATTAACGTCACCAACTCGGCAGAAACCACTGGCATTCGGCCGAAGAGTGCTCCTACGGATCATTGCGTCAACACATTATCAAACCAAACAACCAGAGACAGCACTATCACCATGGCAAGATGTGGGTGATTGCTGGTGCTCATCGTCGGTCCCTAGCGAGCAAGACACGATGAGATTGGGCGTGAGAGTTGCAGAGCCTATCTTTCCAACAGAGCTGGTAGTAGAGAACTATCCTACTGCCGGATCCCTTTTTCCCGGAGCGACACCCAAACATATCGAACTCTGGGCTGACTTCGAGCACCTCGACAGTCATGAATGGGAGAGCCTGAATATCAGACAGACGCAGGGAAATAGTGCCATCGGCCCAACTTGGGGGTTGATTGGGCAAATGGAGTATGATGCATCTGAGGAGGCCTCTCATGTTCAAGCATTCCGACTTGACGTCAATCAGCATCAAAGTCTATACGCTGCACAGTCATTTGTGGTGCGGGTGGTCTCAAACTATGGATCGGACTATACTTGCCTTTACCGAGTGCGGTTGCATGGAGTTCCGGTCAATGGCCAAGTGTAAGAAAAGTAGGTTGTGGGTGGCTTTTCGGCGTTCCAAGAAGACAGCATGTTGACAGAGTGATTTTTGACTGTCTAGCGATTCTCACCTGTCATTGTGCCGACTGAATGAAGGAGGCACGAAGACGGTTGTGGAGGGTCTTTGATACCCAGATTTTATGACCCACCAAAAGCACGTGACTAGCACCGTGCCATGAATTGTACCACGTTAAACTTGACCTCAGCTTTCTTCCTCCGATTCCTAGGTGACTATCATTGCACGGGTTCCTAACATTCCACGCCGAAACAAGCTATTGTGTCTTGTACGAAAGCCCAACGAAGACTTGTTTGAGCCCAAGTTGGACCTCGGCTCGTGAAACCGACTGAATGTTCGCCTCGCTTCAACCCAAGCGGCCACAGGCTGCCAGCTCGAGCGCCCAATACGGGCAGCAGCCTTCCACTCACGCAGGCTCATATCAGCAGACCAGAAGCTCTGCCGATGCAACTTCCATGACGGATGGCACAAAGATAGCTACCGAAGCCCAAGAGCTGTTTCTTGCTCCTGGATCTGCCTGTATGCCGGAACACAAATCTGCAAAGCAGTCAGAACGACCATCCTGATCGATATGGACACCGCACTAAGAGAGTCTGATACCACTCCCTCTCGGCTGATGTGCTGCGTCCATGAAAAGTATCTTTGATGAGATAAACTGGAAGCAGTAGGGACATAGGATCTGCCAGACCTCCTCATAGAGTCTTGCGCTAAGTTAGCAGTATAGAGACAGCTTACATTCACTACGCGATCTCACCCACAATCCCAAAGATTTATCGAGCAAAAAGACAAAAACTTTTTCCACCCTCCCAGGTGCGGACGTTTTATTAACGGTCCGTCTGGATTTATAGGATGGGAAGTTAAACTCTGCCTTCTTTCGAAGGTTGGTTTTTTTTCCCACGCCATTACGCGCTTCTCCCCTCTCGACTCGGACCCCTCCTGCGCAAATCCCGTCTTTCTTTCTTCCCTGCGTGCGCGCTCAGACCCCGAAGTCACCCTCCTCGACATCTCGCAACTGAGGCCTCCGACCGGAAAGTTACTGATCTGCTTTAAACGAGGATCGAACAAGTAACTTTTGTCGACTTAGCGGGTTTGGCGACAGTTTAATCGTCGCTAGTAAGCCCCTAACCGATGTTATTTTGTCCTGGTGCCAGCGAGGATTGTTGGAAGTGAAACTTGACAACAACCCGTCACCGACACGCCTTCTGAGCGGTTCCCAGTTTGCATCCGATGCCAGATGAAGGAATTGTTAGCCAAAAATGGGGGCCTTTAATATATCAAGGGTGAAAGTGGCAGCATTTAATTGCTGAGGCCGGCAGTATCTTGTCACCGCTTTCGAGGGTTGGTGTCTTTGGGTGGGCTTGTCTACGAGACAACTCTTTTCTGTCAATGCGTTCGTTGACTATGAAATCGATGGCATCTGAAAAAGCAGCGGATATGTTTGTTCGACCGGTTGAAGGGACAATGGGAACTCTGACATCTAACATCGCCTTTGGGTGTGGGATATCAAGGAACGGTGGCGGAAAGGGACACTCATGATGACCGAGTAAGTGCGACCTGGAAGGGATGGTTCCCGACCTCTTCTTGACCGAGGCACCAGAGTATGGAGGTTCCTTCCAGCTCGTGGTCGAAGATATCCACGTTTGCCCACGTCTGGATGGTCTTAGCGCTGGTACAAGGGACTAGGCGGAGGCGTCATGAGCACCATGAGGCAGAGGCACGACATCTGTCTCGAGCGGCAAAGCTTGGAGCATGCTGGAGAGCTTGTGATGCCCCAACGCTCACGGATGAGGATATCTAGAGTGAAGAATGCTGAATCACCAGGCTAGAATACAAGTCTCGACTTGGTTGACTGGATCGATCTCATCTAAGATCTCTGGTGTATACCGCTGGAGCGAACACTCTGATCTCACAGCGTCATCCGGAAGTATTTCGATCAGTGGTCACCGACTTTGACCCCAGCATCAATCATTGGAAGGCACTCAGAGAAATTTAGGCTCGATCAGTCAGTGTCAGTTCCGTTGTAGTGGTCGATTAGCAAACGAATATTTGTCAGAAAGGGGGGTTAAGCCCCGAAGCAGAACTACCAACGAGAACACGCATGATTTCTTCTATATCCGACCTAATATTACCATAGTACGCCCGTACATAGTTTTGCCCTTGGAGATTTAAGGCTACGTCGTGCCATAAGTCCCGACAGTGTCGAACACGTCGACTCCTTGCGAAGCGGCCTTGCTCTTGTGAGGAGAGCGGCCGCCTCGTTAAGATCCGGCTAAATTGAGAACGGACTCTACTCAAGTCGTGTGAGCCGAGCGCCTCTCGTGCACAAAATCAAGTGACAGAACTCCAGTGCCATGAAAGCTGTAGGAAGACATGCTCATAAAGCCCTCCGGCCGATGGGCAAGAGCTGTGAAGGTGGTTGCGGTCGCCAGGCACAAAATTTGCGCTCCGCACAGTCCCAGTCGCCTTCTGTGTTCAATGACTCCAACTGCTCACACTTTTCTCTCGACTGTGCACGCCAACCAACCTACCGTCACAGAACCTCATTAAGTGTTACGAGTAACAATCAAAGGACACTACTAAACCGCAGAATTCCCGATTCATCCTCTGCAACCACCAGACCCATCCTCAGGCTTGCTGATATCCTGCAGCACAGCCCACAAGACGAGCTGGAAAATAATCTGCCAGTAGAGGCTCAAGAGCAGGAAAGACATTACACGAGCAATTCGAGGCTCAGGGCTGGAGCTAGAGCCTTCAAGACTTTTGAGAAGCAATCAGCAGCAGGAAGTCAACGAGCGCTTCATTCTGCATCTGCTCAGTATCTGCCCTCACAAAATTCTGCCCACGATCTCAGGGCTTCTCCTCCCCGCTCGTCCACAAATCCAAACGACGGGAGAGACTCTTCCGCCTCTCATCCTCCCAGCAGTTCAATGACGTCCGAGTCTTCCTCCACGTCAACCCCTGCCCAACACAAACCTCTGGTCGTTGGCCGCACAAAACCTCAACCCGAGCCCTCCACCTCCACCTCATCTACCACAATGCACTCGTCCTCGGCAGAGAAGTCGATCCCCACCGAAGTCAAGCAAGGACTCAACCACGAGATTGCCGAGAATGTGAAATCCAACACCGTCGAAGCCGCACCGGCAGACCCTTCACCAGCTGCAGGCAAGAAGAAGGAAAAGGCCCCCAAACAACCAAAACAACCCAAAGCCGCACCACCATCTGCACCCTTAACGCCCGCCCTCATCGACCTCCGCGTCGGACACATCCTGCGCGCAATCGCCCATCCTAATGCAGACAGCCTGTACGTCTCGACGATCGCCATGGGTGACCCCGAGGGCACAGAACACACCCAGGTCGATGAGGAGACAGGCAAAGTCGTTCGGACCGTATGCTCGGGTCTGAATGGTCTTGTGCCTCTTGAGGAGATGCAGAACCGCAAGATCGTTGTCGTCGCGAACCTGAAACCAGTCAACATGCGCAGCATCAAGTCTGCAGCCATGGTTCTCGCCGCGTCGCCGCCTGCGGAGGAAGGTGCCGACCCGCACGCGGCAGATCGTGTCGTCGAGTTGGTTAACCCACCTGAGGGCGCCGAGGCCGGTGATCCAGTCTTCTTCGAGGGTTGGCCATACGGCGAGGGAAGAGGTCCGGAGAAGCAACTCAACCCGAAGAAGAAGCAGTGGGAGGCGATCCAGCCGGGATTCTTCACCAGCGAGGATCTTGTTGTAGGCTTTGACGCGGCAAAGACAGAAATTGGTGGTGCAGAGAAAGGTGATCTGATCGTTGCGGGTAAGGGGAAGTGTACGGTTACGAGCTTGAAGGGCGCTGTTGTGCGGTAATAAAGTGTCTAACACCCTTTGCAAGGAGCGACGGCCGAGGGTCCTACAGCACCGAAAGATCATCTCAAACCTGGCTGAGCATGGCGAGCGGCTTCCTGGACGGAGACAGACGACAGGGCGCCAGGCACGACGACACGACGGAGGCACGCGGTCACGTGTTAAAAGCGCTGAAACAAAGGCCCTGAAGGGGCCTGCGAGATGAACGCTCCAAATGACAGAGCGTGGGCGCAGATCGACAAGGAATGGACGAGCTTCGGAGAATCACCAGCGAGATACGCAAGTCTAATCACTGATGGCCATCGAGAAAGGATATGGAGGATCCGGAACGTCATGTCTTCGGAACGCCATGTCTCCGGTATGGTCATAGCCATGCCAATGCCCATGCGCCCATGCCCATACCCTCTCAAGAAGTCTAGACAAAGAAAAACAAAGACTACCTAGAAGTTAGAATACCGGCCAAGGCCCTTGTCAACCCTTCTGAGAGACGTCCTATGCAATTCTGACCCTACGAGTAGCTTGCCCATACTTCCTCTGCGTGTTTTTCTGACGCTGCAAATACCAGGTAAGGAAAGTGGAAGAGTCGCACTGCGACTGGGAATCGGGCACTGCTACTAGTTAGTATGTCTCTTTCACTCCCCATGCCCATCATGGGCCCTTGCTCTGCGCATGCGCTGCCCTGCCCTCTCTCAGCCGAACATGCTCCCCCTTCATTCAGCACACTCGCTCAGACAAGGGCGTGCTATGCTCTACAGCTACCTGGGAGATAGAGAAAACGCTATCCATGATCAAGCCGAGGCGAGGTCAATGTACATGTACATTTACATGCACATGCACCACTCGAGTTCATTCTGCCAAAGCGAGACATTCAACAGCAGCATGGTGGCAGCAAATCTATCTTGCCCTGATATGATATGACGCTTTCAAAATGTACAGCCCTATCCTTCATTCACTCGGCTATGGCCGCCCGCTCATGGCCCTGTTGAGTTTTGTGCATCGCCTCGTAGCCGCCCTCTTGTATTCAGCCACCCGTCTTGAATCTCTCTCCATACGCGGGCCACGTACCGTAAATTCTTTCATCCTTCGGGGATTATACTCCGTATATACATCAAAGACGCTACGCTCACTTCAAAAGCACAATCAACAGCAACAATATGACAATCAACACGATGATCGTGGTCATGCCCCAATTCTGCTTCGCACGCCGACTCACGACTTTCAACCGTCGTTTCGCCCCGTCAAGCCTACTCTGATGCCGATCGACGCCCCTGTCTACTTCGTCCAGAAGCGCAATCTGCCCCTCGAGCTCGTCGCCCACTTGCATGGCCAAATGGCGCTGTCGCCCAATACTCTCGCCCAGCTGGTCGAGCTGCTCATCCTGCTCGGCGATGATCTGCTGGTGGTACGCGTGGACCTGGACGTTGTTCATCGACTCGGTTGGGTCGGGCGTCTGGGCCCGGTTGGCCTCGTCATCTGTATATCGGCTCGGGAAGAGCGCGGTGCGGGCGGCTTCGTCTTCGGTATCAAGGGATTCTTGCGACGGGTTGTCGCGGAACCGCACGTTCTTGGATTGGGGTTGTGGAGTCGAGGCTGGATCTTGCTTACGCAGACTCGACGAGCGAGGTGTGTCGTTTGACTTGCGAGTCTGGGCGCGTGCGAAGTCTTCTTTGAGGGATGGGTCGTTTGGGGTGGTAATTGTCGCACGGGTCGCGGAGTTGGTCGATTCGCCATGGAATTGTCGCGCGAGATCGGCGTATTGGGAGCGTAGTTGGTCGAGGGCGGTGCTGTCGGTGTCTGGTTTGGAGGAGAGGGTTTCGATGCTTTCCCGGAAGGATTCTAATGAGCGAGCGATGTTGGAGTCTTGAGATGGGTTCGGGTCGAGGTTAAGGGAGATGGCACGCTGGCGTTCCAGCAGTGAGAGTTTGATGTGGTCGGCTAGCAGGAGTAGTTGGGATGGGTTCGACATTGTGAGCTGTTAATGAAGGAAGTGGGAGAGAGTGGTTCGTCGAAGGATGCCTGTCTGCGGGTGTCGAGCTCGTCTCAAAGAGCAGGCTGCGCTGTGCTCGCCGAAGGGTTGCAAGGACAAAGAAAGACGGAAAGCAAGGCGCTGTGCCCTCAGTAGCGACTGGAATGGTCTGTCTTCCGGCTTTACTCTCGGCGGATATAGGATGACCTGGACGCAATGGGTTTGTAGAGGATGGATTGCAGCGACGAGTGTCAGCTAGAATGAAATGAACGGCGTTACTGGTTGACTGGTAACTTCAAGATCTGCCGGCAAGTCGGTTACTACGGAAGCACCAATCGATAACGGGCCGGCCTTGGCAGCCTCGCAGCCTCGTAGTTTCACAGCCTTGTTGCTTGCTCAGCCAGACTGATCCGGACTTCGATGTTACATATTCTGTATAGGAACTCATGACATGACAACTTCTCTCAAACAAGATATCTATCTACAGGTATTGGATATCTTGATCACGACCCCCTGCTTGACTACAATATCAAGCCCTCCACCCTAAATCCTCCGCACGCTCCTGCCACTTCTCCTTCTCCGCTTCAAGAGTAGCGAGCCTCTTCTCCAAGTCTCTGATTCTGTCGAGCTTGTTTTGCCGATGCTTTCGCGAGTTGATGGTATTGCGGATTCGTTGTGCCCCCTTCTTGTCCGTCATATCGACGAAATAGATCTTTGAACCGTGGGCCGTTGAAGAGTCGGTCGTCGTTCTCGAGACGCGCTGAGCTGTCGCAACTGAAGGCGCTTTGGGAATCCTGCTGGACGACTGTGTAGCCGACGATATGTGCAAGCTAGAAGCTGCGGGTAGTGATGGAGTACTCGCTGGTGGTGGCAGTGTGGAGGGCGCGACCTCAGCAACTGCAGATCCTTGATGCAAAGTAGATGGATTCCGTCTCTGATCTGAGGCAGGGGCTATTGCAGGCATCGTGGTGATACCAGAGTCTGATGTTGACATCGCAGGTTGATACGGGATGTCTCCAGGGAATGAGACCGCGAAAGGATTCATGAAGAAGCTAGCAGGAAAGGCTGGCGTGGTCGATGTGAGATTTTCGAGGGCTTCCTCCTCCGAGGACTCGGCCACTGGTGGAGAATTCCATGTTGGTCCCTGCGAGTCCTGTCCGAAGTCCGGAAACAACTCATGATCGGAGGAAATGTCGTCGAGACATCCGGAGAGATCGTATTCCGGGAGGATCGTCGGGTCAACATGCTCGTAATTGCCGTTATGATATAAAACGTTTCGCTGGTCATGGTTGACCAGAGGATAGTGCCGTAAAGATGAATCGTAAACCGGGTAGTCCCTACCGAACCCTTGTTGGTGGTTCTTATGGTGGGAGTAATCGCCGAAGCGAGCGCGACGGTACCACGACTGTAGAAGCAGACATGATGTACTATCCAAAGCTAGCCCTCAACGAGGGATCAGAAGGAAAAGGATGCCGCCTTGCTTGTGTGCCTAGTGCAAGGCGCGAGGGAAGAGTGGTGTATGAAGAGAAGAGAAAGTGGGAGAAACTGAGATTTCGGAATTTCAGACTTATCAAGACGTTGCAAGCGTTCGTCCGTCCGCTGCAGACACACTAGGCCAAACAAGGTGTGTGGGAGATACGCTCCTCCCAGGCGAGGCATTCGATGCGCTCTTCGGACGGTCGAGGTGAGTCACCGAATGATGCCGTTCTCGGTAGACGTGATTGGGGGCCTCTCTTGGCTGTTCCACAGGTACCAGGTTTGGTGGGCACTGGGCAAGGCTTCTGGGGCCGAAGCATTGGGCCACGGAGGAAGCCCAGACCGGAGGGTTTGTACGGAGTAGTCGACCGACAACCACCTTTTCTCGACTTCCTTAATTCATCTGCTTTGGCTGATCCAGATACCGCAAAGGATCTCTCTTGCGTCCAGACCACCTCTTCAAGGAGAATCAGCACAAAGAGGACAACACGATATAAAATTCATAAACGCCTTCATCTTGCTGCTGCGTTGTCACAAGAACAATCAGCAGCAATGATGACAAGCTCTTCAAGTTGTCTAGCCGACATCGGTTGATACATTCGTGAAATATTCTTTTTGCCGATCTGAGCTCTGACTTGTGTCTTTAGTTTAGTTTTGCTGGATGCTGATGGCTGCCAATAGCTGGTGGATATGGCAGGGTATCAGGCAGGGGAGAGACTATTCAGGAAGAGGTTCAGTGATAAATGCCTTGCAAGGCTTGTGCCTGAAGCTTGCCATGTATATATACATATATATTAAATAAAGTCTATTATGCTACCGTTCCAAACCCACGCTATGCAAAATGAACCAGTGATAGATGTGCGCCCAGATTAAGATAATATCTATATCGGTGCGGCGAATTGTCCTCAACTGAACTTGAGCTCAAGCGCCGCAGGTCATGTCGATCAATGGGTTGTAGTTCGAGTCGACTACCGCAAAACTGGGTGAAGCCGTGAAATCGTCGAGATCGTAGAAGAAGTAGTTCAGGCTGCTGAAGCTGGCGCACGACACTTGCCACCAATAGGTTTGTAGCGACTCGACGGAAGGCACTGCGTCGCCAATTGAATCTCCCGATATGGGTTGACCAGTTTCAGTCGTCCAGACGTCTTTCCCTTGGGCAACCGCTCTGACCTGATTGACCGCCGTCCAGTATGCATCGCTAGCAGCGCCATTGTCGATACCGATGCCTTGCCAGTAAGGGTACGCATCGTTGCCGAGCCAGTCAACCGCCTCGATGACAGCTGTGTTGGCACTGTCGACCCAAGCAGTCCAAGTGTCGACGTGTCCGACTGATTTACTGCTGGCCCCTAGACCCCACAGCATGCCGCGCACATCGTTGATCTGGGAAGCCAAAGTGTTGGCATCTGTGTCGCCTCGATAAAGATCTTCACTACCAACGGAGACGGCTAAAATCCAATCGTGGCCATACTGTTGAATAGCTTCAAGCAATGCTTGCTTCTCGGCCTCAAAATGAGTATTATCCTCAGTCCAAATACCAACGAGGAGAGTTGTTCCAGTCGCGAGTGCTGCAGGTACAGCATTGGCCAGTGTGTTGCAGTCGCTCGAGGCGTATAACCTGGCCGATTTGAAGCTTCCAGGGAAACTAGCGATCTTCTGAAAGGCAAATTCCCAGTCAGATTGGCTTCGACATGCTCCCGAGGCAAGGTTGGCACCAATGTTGAAGCCGGAATAGTATGCACCCACGCCGGAAAAGGCTGCGGCAGATAAGGCAAACAACTGAGAAGGTTTCATCCTGACGGTCTACGAGTATGAATAGGTCAAGAATAAAGAGGGGTTCTTTTCAAGCTTGAGGCTGCTGGAAAAGGCACAAAGAAAGGAGTGAGAGTGTGCAAACAAGGGAGTGACAGTGTATGGAACGAGTGACTGTAGTAAATTGAATTGCAAATGAAGAGTGAGAGAAGAAGAACAAGCAGATTTGATGCAAAAGTGAATTTGGCTGAACGATGCCATGCGATTTATCAGGCCGTTGAGCATCCTTGCCTGCATCCTTGATAGCCCGCAGTTATGGCCGGGATCTACTGCTTTGTGGAGAAGCGGATGATAGCGGTAAGGAAAAGGAGCCACCATGAGTGCTACAGGCAGGGCCCGGCAGCCACCCGTTGACACTGTAGGTGGGGCTTTCTACCCATAATTTGTGGCTGTGCCTTGCATTTGCATACCCGGGAGATTGGGATGATTCACATTTCGACAAGGTCCAGGGTTCGTTTGCGAGAGCCGAATTTGGTGTCGTCCGCAGTTTGCAGAGCACGCAGAGACACCTATCTCCGACGGGGTCGAGGCTTGTTAGCCTGGGTTGTTGCAGAATATCAATCATGACCTTAGGATATCGATGCCGGGGACATATTGACATCCTGAAAGACCAGAAGCTTTTCTTCGGGAGGTTGAAGCCACTGATTTGGCTGATGATGCTGATACTTGTCTAACCAGACAGTTGTAGAGAGACGGAGCAATGCACCATGTCCTTCGGAGACATGATCATCCTTGTCTGCCGCAGGACGGTCATTTGGCTGGAAATATGAGGGGCATTCGTTCGGCCAGTAGCTGAAATGCATAGTGCCCTCTATTGACCATCACCGGCCCTTATTGACCTTGGAAAGGTTGCCTGATAGGCTGACTAGCCTGCAACGGCGGCGTCTTGTATTCCGGACTGGAATCCTGGTATGGGTCCGATTGCGATGTCTGCTGCGGTTCTTGTTGAGCAGAGGGCTGAAAGCCATCATCTTGATCATGAAGTGCTTCTTGGTACGAAAATGGTCGTGGTTGAGCCGGGCCAGTCCTATCTCTTACTATAGTAGAGTTATGGCTCATCTCTCTCTGTGGTCTCGAATCGTTCAAAGGGGAGCTGTACTCCTTGGAAAGCTCTGACCGAGAGCGTTGTTTACGTACGGATCTCCTTGAAGATATCGTTACTGTGCGCCGGGTCGAATTGCTAGAACCGCCCATTGAAGGAGGCAGTGGTGAGGGGGTTCGGCCAAGGCCTCGAGTAGGGACTTTGAGATTAATGTAGGACGGCGTCTGATTCGTGAATGGGACAGGTGAACCCCTCGACGACTCGAGGAAGACCCTCAGATTGAGAGTCGTATCGCCAGAAGGGAGAGTTGGCTTGCTTTTCACGTTCTGCTGCTGCGCATGAGACGCTTGCGGTAGCGGCTGCTGCTGCGGCTGCTGCGTAGGTGCGGTCGTTGGCGATTGGAGCACACCACTGTCGGAAGTCGAATAAGTTGTGCCCGGGAGGTAAACAAAGTCATCGAAGCTGTTTGCGATATTGGCAAAGTTGAATCCCTTTCCCTTGATCTGCGGCTCAAACACTTGACCAATTTCTTGGTCGAGATCGAGCACCCCTGTGAGTAGAGGTTGATATTGGTGCAAGTTGGTGATGAATTCTGGATAACTTGTGCCCAATCTTCCAGACACCTTAGGTCGTATATCGATCTCGAGTCTGACGTCGCCACTCACTTCAAACCCTCCACTACCTTTGGTGAGTAACATGACGAAGGTAAATTCTCGTGGCAGTCCGGACTTCTGAAGCCTGTTCTCTTCGAGGGTCCATATCATTTCTCCGTCTTCGATGTCGTACTTATGATCATACCAGGACCGCAGCGTCCTCACGGAACCCTGGATTTTCATCATTTCATAGATCTTGTAGCTACTTTTGACACCATAAGAAGGCTTTATCGCCGCATTTGCCGGACCTTGAGATACTCCTAGACTGCCCGCCAGATTGAAGTTCCAGTTTAGGGTCTCCGGACTTATAGCTCCATACAGTACTGCAAATTGTCAGGAAGCTGTAACATTGATGGAAAAGGACGACGCATAAGACCATGCTTGGATGGCACAACCTTTCGGGTTGGAGATTACTTACGATGAGGCGCGTGACGAAGAAACTTTGGAGGCAAGGTTTTCGGCCTCGGTCGCGCCAGAGAATTTGACTCTTTTACAAGTGAGCTGGACATCGTCTGGGTGCCATGGTCATGACTCGAGTGCCGTTGAGCGGCCCCGGTCACCGCTTGGAGCGGAGTCAACTTGTCGTCTCGAGAGTGATGAAGTGCAATCCTTATCTCGGCCGACTTGAAGCGAAACGTGGTGCTAGTCGGATGGAAGACGAAGTTGATGGCGACGAAGCGGACGTTGTCAATCAGATCCTCGTGGATAACCGGACTATCGTAATATCCTGATTGAAGGCGCTGAACGTGGGCGGTAATGTATGAGCCGCCCGGAAGGCGTCGCTCGTAGATACATTTCTGGTTGAGCTGATAGCGGTAGTCAGGGGCATTTGGATCCTTTGGCCGTGCCGGGGTGGCGGGAGTCAGTGGTGTTTGCGGCCACGTCTGAGCAGTAGTGAGCATGGCCGGCGCCGAGCTAGGCTCGGAGCGATATTGATTGAACCAACGATTCATACTGAGACTCCTGCTAGTCGGGCTTCCAGGGACATTGGCAAAATAGTGCAGTCAGTACTTTGTACTATAGCACTGTCAGCAGATATGAAAGGGTGTACTCCGTACTCTCTTGGGCGACATGAAGATCAGCAGACCAGCAGACCAGACCTTGGACGTGCGTGAGGCTGGCTGGCAGCCTGATTGCTGAAGCCACGCCCCTAGCCGCTGCTCGTCATTGGCGACTGTGAAAGCCTGGTGCAGCCTGAGACACCCATAACGATTACGGAGTAGTGTCGACCATTGACGATCGCACGCCTAAAATTGGTAGACCGTGGCTGAGTTTCAGCTCCTGAGGCGCCGAGCATCAGCAACAAAGTCTTCTCGTAGGGCTGACCAGGCGTTCACGTGTGTGTTGCATGATGTGCAAGCGAACTGCCTCCACGCTAGCAATATTGATGGCGGTGAGAAAACACCCTTGTGAGGTCCAAAGTTGAGCGACGAAGAGATTGAAGTTGGGGCAGATGCACGAGCACCACATTTGCCTGGCCGTCCGGGCGGTTGATGACAATAATGCCTAGTCATGGCAAAAGGATTATTCCAAGATACCGCAAAAGATTTCTGGCGACCGAGACATCGCTCTTAGTCACCATCGCAATGAGGACAATGAGGTGCCAAGATATACCCAGCTGGTGGTAAGACGGGGCTTGAAAACAAAGTCGATATGTATGGCATTATTCTACAGCAAAGGATCGCGTTGGATACTTGAAGCATGTTCCAGAGGCCAAGCAGGAACCACCTTTGGCTGAGTATCTGCCCTTTGAGCCGATAACTTCAATGGTGTGATAGTAAAGGACCCTGATAATAATACGTAAACATATAGTTTCCAATCTACTGATCGAGCTCCAGCCGGTCCCGCAAAGCATACAATTCTGGTCCGAATGCAGCATCAGACCATGTGAGTCCATGAACCCTGGCGTGGAAACCCCCAAATGTCCGTATCCCAAGAGCTCGGGTAGTGAATGCGAGCAAAGCAACGAACTGCTCCCGCAGGTCGTCGAACAATGTTGCGGAGCAGGACGCAACAGTCAGCGTCCAGAGGAGGACAGTATTCGACCTTGGCCACAAGGAAAACGTTTCCAGTGAGCTTAGCATTGCCTGGAGTTTGGTCCCATAAAGCATCCCCTGCCCGGGCTCCGGGTCAAACTTGGCTCGAAGATTGCAAATGTACAGGATCGCGGCAAGTCGAAAGCATTCCCTTCGTCTGAGCTGGACATCATCGTATATCGAGGCTCGAGGAAAGCACAAGCATTCGTACAGGACCGGATGGATCTGGAAGACTGGAAACAAGGGATCGAGCCAGAAGTCCCTTGTTGAGGACTCTTCTCCGATTACCTCGTTGAGTTGCCGGAGTCGTTGACATATATACCTTACGGGCACGCTGCCTCCGACGTCTTCGACAACCTCATCAGATGACAGCTCGGGTAGACCTGCTGCAGGTAAGGTGAGTCGGCAACGTGTGGCAAGAAGCTGATACGGTGGTCGATACAGTGGGACGGCATCTTGTCGGGACCGTCCGTTAACTTCGATCCTAGAGAATGTGAGTTCCATTGGAGCACAACTGGCAGGAGGATGACTGTCTCCCACCAAAACATAGCCAGCCTGAGAGCAGGACACGTATCCAAGGTATTCTCTCCGCCTCTATGCCGAATTATTTGTGACAGGCCTTCCACATGAGTTTGAAACAGATGCGGAAGTTTTGTCAGGTTCTGCAGACGTTAGACTGGAAGACCCATGGAACGTGCTTTGGATTCTCGTACCGCATACGCAGCAGCTGCTAGCACCGCAGTGATAACTTCATCGGTCGTACCAGTGACAATATCAGCCAGTCGCTGCTGCAGTGCTCGAGTTGAAATCAACGAGTATTTCGCATCGTCTCCTGTATCGTTTTCACTGCGCAGGAAGTGGACCAGATGCCATGCGGACGCAGAAAGCATTTGAGAAAGCGCAATGCTCTGACGGACTAGGTCGATGAAACCAATGGCAATCAAGACACGGAACTTGGCACAAGTTCCGTCGTACACTACGTGGTTAGTCCCAAATCGGCGAAGGTCTGGAGGAAGACTTACCATGGTCCCAAAGACGGTGAGCCCGCTGACCACCTGGCAAGGGGAAAGCCTCAAAGGGATCCGACCGGCTTGCATCGAGGATGGTCAGCGGTCCAGAACAAACCGTGGGATTGTCGGTATGCAAACGCATGGGCCTCTCAAGTAAAGGGGTCACATCGAGTTCCGCAACATTTTGACCTCGGCGATTCGAGATTCGGCGACGATAGTTCGCCTGGGCATGGCTGTGAACTTGTCTTCGTGTTTCTGCATCGACTTGCCCTGTATGGCTCGATTGGACAATGAAAGTGAAACGCTGCTCAGATGATCCTCGACTGGTTGAAACCTGGTTCGACATCTTGTTCCCGAAGGTGCTTGAGCAAGCTGCACTATGCGCAAAATCTCGAGCTGTAAGCCTCTACGCCTGAGAGGCCTTTAGCAGGCCAAGTAGCTCTCCAGAGCCAATGAGTACAAGGACCAGTGGGACCCGACCATAGCAGTCGAAGCAGCTGTTCATGGCTAGAGCAGGGTACCGACAACTTGCGCATGACACGCTGCATAAGGCAGACGAAAAGCGGCAACAGTCTCGTAGGGCGTCGAGGCGGTCGGGCTCGGACGGATATGCAAGTGCAGGGATCAGATGTATCTTGTTGCGGTTTAGTCTTGAAAGTCGTTTATCAGCATCTTTCAACATTCACAAAATGACGTGGTCGGCCATGCTTGCGCCCTTCAACGTTTTGTAAACCAGCTGCATATGCTCGCCCGACTTGATTTGCGCAGAAAGTGCATAAATATGCGATGTCTTGCCCCGAAGATGAGAGAGAGCCCCATCGGAAGAGCAACCACATCTTCTACACATTGGAAGTTTCGTAAGTCAAAAGAACAGCCATCGTTACAGAGGATCACTCCCATACATCAAAGGACAACAGCATAGAAGACATGTCGACGACGATGGAAGCGATTGTCATCCCTAGGTTCGGCGGCCCGGAAGTCCTAGAACATCAACAAGTGACCAAGGCCAAGGCTGTCGATGGTGAAGTCCTTATCGAAGTGAAAGCGTTTGGGCTTAACCACGCTGAGATGCACATGCGCAAGGGTGAATGGGATGAATGGAATCCCATTACCGGACTGGAATGCGTCGGAACAGTAGAAGCCTGTCCAGGAGGCGAGTTCTCTGTTGGATCCAAGGTCATTGGCGTCATGGGTGGGATGGGGCGGAATCGACCGGGCTCGTACGGCGAGTTTGTCAGTGTCCCTGCCACCAACGTGGTTCAGATCGAGACAAAGCTACCATGGGAAGAGCTCGCTGCAATTCCTGAAGTATATTCCACCGCCTATTCCTGCCTCTTCGCAGTTCTGGACCTTCAGCCCGGCGAGTCTATATTGATCGGCGGGGCAACCTCAACCGTCGGTCAAGCAGCTGTCAATCTGGCTGTCAATGCTGGGGCCAAGGTGACAGCAACGACACGAAGAGAGGGAAGATTTGAGATGTTAAAGAAGATGGGCGTTGCCGATGCGAAAATCGAGCAGGTTGGCCTGGCGAGTCAATTTCCTGCCGGAACCAGGTTCAGCAAAGTACTCAATCTGATCGGCAACAGCGTACTGCTGGAATCAATTGGTCTCACTCGTGCTGGCGGCCGGATGCTCCAGGCTGGATGGTTGGGAGGACTGGCACCAGTGAAGGACTTCAACCCAATGGTACAGATGGACTCTGGCGTGCATTTCAGCTTGTTCCACAGCAAGGTCTTGGGAAGTGCAGACTTTCCACTTTCCAATGTTCCGCTCCAGGATATTGTGCGAAAGATTGAAGACGGAGCATGGGATGCGAAGCCGACTTATGTTTTCGATTGGAAGGACATTCAGAAAGCTCATGAGACGCTTGACTCTCACAACGCGGGCGGCAAGATCGTTGTGAAGCACTGAAATCTCTTTGAGCCAGGATGACATGTAGGTGGATGAGAAATCCTGCCAAAGTGAGTTGCAGCCATGTCAATAGCCATAATACTAGTAGTGATTCTGGAATATCCGGTTCTTCCTCGAGCTCCCTTCGTTCTTTCAACCCTTTGACAGCACTTCGACCTCGGCGGAAATGGAGTCTATGTACTTACGCACTACGTGGCCGTCCCTGCAATGCTGTGTTCGAAATCCAGCTCGTTCTGGCAAAGTTCGCTTGCTGTTTGTTGTGGCCTCTAGTCCGTAAAGCAGCCAGAGAAATATTCCTGATATCTCTATACTACGTACGCCTCGAGCGACAGATCCACTTTGCTTTCCCAGTTCGAGCACTGATGCACCTTGCTGACATAGTACAGAATGTATCCTGAGGTTATGACCTCAAGCTTTCTGTTTAATCTGCACTCGGGGGTATATTTTATACCGGCGATTATGCGTAGTACTGTGATAGGGTTGTTTGCATCAGACCCAGGCAAAGGCCAGGAAGAAGTCTTGTTGCATTCTAGACTTGAGGCATAATCACCGCGGAGACGCACGCAGAGTCGACGACAGAACGCTAAATCGGAGCAATAACAAACGCCGCAATGAGTCGGAAGATCTGTAAGCGTCCTTTGACTGCGCTGGCACAGCTACAAAGTAACTGCTATTTAGCTGATGGTTATTGTTGCGTGGATTTATCAAGAAGTAGCGTCCTGCTATTTACATAACAATCCATTTCCCTTAGAGCCAAATTTGGGGTGTGGAATTCTAACTGCGTCAGTCTCAAGATGGGGTTGGATCTGACACACGAATATTCCGTGGTGGACCATTCATACAAACTTCTCAATGCTGGCATATTGGATAACCCGGTGATTCAGAAACTTCTCCCAGTGAAAGCAGCGAGAGAATATGCTCAACGCATCAAGTTTGAGGGCAACCAGGCGCCAGCCATTCCCGTCAATTGGCGTTTCGCAGAGAGCATTGCCGCCCTCAAGGCGACCGAGGGGATCATGATGAACGCGTTACTGGAGCAAAAGTACGGCGTCGAGCCTCAAGAAGTGGTGATCAACATTGACCACGCCCAGCTGTTTATGATTTCCTGTCTCTTGACCACGATCAAGACCGAGGATGAACGTGCAGTACGGACAGAAGGTTTTGCAACGACCTCGCTCTTTCCCAGCTGCGATATCCACCATAACACAACGAACGCTTACAGGTGCTGCGCGGGCAACATATATCCCACCAAGGACGGACGTTTCTATCATGTCCACTCGAACTTGAACCCTGACAAGCTTCAGGACGCACTTGGTTTGCCTCACGACATCGGAGTGGGACGTGACGATTACGACATCGCCTACAGAATATACCAGGACAAAGTCATTCAGTACACAGCTGCCGAGCTTGATGAGCTGAGCAACGAAAAGCTTAGGGTGTCGGGCACTGTGGTCTGGAGTGTTGAGGAGTACTTGGCCACTGAACATGCAAAGGCCAATGCTGACAGGCTGCTGTGGAATATACACGAGGTCCCAAATTCCAACCAAGAGCCTTGTTGGTGGCCATCTTCTCCAGAAACAAGCGCCGGTCGACCTCTGGCAGGCTTGAAGGTTGTCGACTTCAGTCGCATTATCGCCGCACCCACCCTGACCCGTGGGTTGGCGGAATATGGGGCAAGCGTGATGAGAATCACTTCACCCCATCTACCTGACATGGGTTTCCTGCATCCTGATATGGGATGGGGAAAGTGGAACACTTCCCTCGATCTTCGAAGGTCTGAAGATGTCCAAAAAGCCAAGGACTTGATTTGTGAAGCAGACGTGGTTGTCTACGGCTACCGTCCTGAAGTGCTTTCCAAGTACGGTCTGGGTGTTGAGGATGTCCTGGGGATGTGTCAATCTCGAAACAGAGGTCTGATTGTTGCGAGACTAGACTGCTACGGTTGGGTTGGTCCTTGGGCTCGCCGCAGTGGGTGGCAGCAAATCAGTGACGCTTGCTGCGGTGTCTCTCTCGAATTCGGTCGAGCGATGCATGGGACAGACGAGCCCGTCACCCCCATTTTTCCCAATTCTGACCACTGTGCAGGCCTAGCGGGGCATTTGGGAGTCATCTCGGCTCTGATCAAACGAGCAGAGACTGGGGGAAGCTACGTGGTGGACTGTTCGATCAACGCGTACTCGCACTGGCTTGTGCAGTCCGTGGGCACTTATCCACAGGAGGTTTGGGAGAAAGTCTGGTCTCGACATGGACGACCGAAGTTCCGACATTATCATCCCATGCAATATCTGTTTCCCGAGGGGATCAAAATGCTCAAGGCCAACACACCACATCTGTTCAACCCCGAGTTCTTCGAGGACAGAGACGCTACCGTCATGAGATGTAAGATCAACTGTGTCAAGCCAGTGCTCAAATTTGCCTCTGGAAAAGTGCATCTCAAGTTCCAGGTTGGTGCCAGAGCTAACGGTATTGATTATCCCAGCTGGCCGTCAGATCTACTGACTGAGTTAGTCACGCCTTGATATCATGCATTACATTATGTAGCATTCTAGTCAAGGAGGTGTGTGCCCTCGACAAAAGGGCCGTCAAATGGTTTCGTCTGACTTCCTTGTCTCGTGGCAATAAATAGCCCTGTGAGCTACGATCGTGGCCAACAATATCTGAACGGAAGACGCAACTGCCAGTAAAAATGTACTTGGCAGGTCTTGTCTCCTAGTGGAAATTACAGATCAAGGCTTCCTAAAAAACATCTTTCTACGCGAATGCTTTTTGCTGGGGACGATGATAAAGGAGACCAGAGAGTCGCTGGGATCCCACAACGGTGAGTTGCTCTGCGGAGGCGCTGATTCTCTTCAAAGCGACATCGCTGGCGTCGCCTGATGAGTATACCGACGCCCCAGTCAGAATATTTTGCCCAACACTTGCTTCACGTCGTCACTTATCCTCTCCTCCCCGACCTTGTCCCTCTCATGTTGGCCCTTGACTTCGTTCTGTCTCCACGTTCTCCTGACATCGGGATCTGCAGCATCGCCCACATCGTCATGTCTATTCTTCTTTTTCTCTCTCTTCCTCTTCATGCCCTCCTTCCTCCTTCCTTCTTCCACGCCCTCAATGAACCTCTTGGTCTCGCGAGCGATGATCCTCCTCTCTTCGTCCCGCTTGCCCTCTTCCTCTCTCTTCTCTTCACGTATACCGGCCATCAACTCCTCCCACTGCATGCCTCGTAAATATTTCATGTTCCACACGTCGTCATGGTAGAAACCCCCCTTTTTCCCGCCCACCTGCTGTGCGTTCAGGCTCTCCGCACACCGTCTGGCTGTTTTCTTCGAGGTGAATTCTATCCAGCCTTCAGTATACAACTGACGAGAATTCTTCTTGGAGGCGGATTTATGTTTTGAGGCTGGGGCCAGGAACAGCCGCTTGATAGGTCCGAAGCCACGCTGCTCGAGCAGGTTGCGCAGGGCCGAGGGTTTGAGGTATGGTGGAAGCGAGGATAGATAGATGACACCAGGAGCTGTTTCTTTCTTCTCTTCATTTTTCCTCTTCGACTTCTTATGCGACTCCGTTTGTGTGGAAGATGCGCGGTCGTCTGATATTGGTCGACTGTGCTCAACTCGGACTTCTTCAGGCTCTTCGCGCCGAGGGACTGGAGACGTCGAGGGTCGCTGCTGTTCCGTCTCATCTGCTTCATCATCTGTGTGGTCGTGGTCTATTCTACGCCTCTTCGTTGCTCTGCTAGCCTTGGAGATTTCTGCCGCCTCGGAATCGTATCCTGCGTCGTTGTCTGACTCGTCCGACAGACCGCGGTCAAGATAGGTACTTCTCTTGGTCACAGACATTTTTCCTTCTCGGAGGTGCTGTTCCAACAGAGACTAAGGCTAGCGAGAGACGTGGATGAGTTGGATGTGCATGTAATTGGAATCGAGAGCGGTCATGCATACATGGAACATGCACTCCCAGACACGTAAAGATGAGTGCGGAGAAAATTTCTGGTTGGTTTTGCGGTTTTGTTTTGGAGAAGTTGATGCGCCGAATCTAGAAGAGCACGAAAGGCATACAACCACGATCACACCAGTCTGACAGTTTGGGGGTTGTTGCCTGCTATTCAGCAATATGTTATCTCTCAAATAGGAACGATCTAGTGCTACAATCGGCATGAAAAGGACCTAGGACAGTGCATCACACCGTCTATAAATTAGGTGTTTGACCCTTCCACGATATCCCTCCGCCATCAGTCCTGGTCTTGCGTGCAATGACTTCCTGGACCTTCTCCCTAACACCTGCCTTGTGGTTCCATTTCTTTGCGACCTCGTTTATGACCGCCTTCGCCCCTTGCCGACCGTAACTTCTAACCACCTTTTCAATGTCTGATTCTCTGGGGAGGGCAAACACCGCATGAGGATAATCTGTGAATTGCTGATCCAAGGCACCCTCGTGGGGCTCCAGGAGAGTCATGGCTTCGAAGCCAGGAGGCATCTTGAAAAACTCGTCCACATCCTCATTGCTTACTTCTGTCAAATTGGCCGGCTTCCATTCGGGTTTTGTGGGAGGCTTATTAATGAGACGAGCCGAAACACCTTCAACAAAATCCGGATGTTCCATGAACTTGGCTGCCATTCGGTGCTCACGAATAAATGCTTCACTGATGTTCCAGTTCGCGCCCTCTCTCAGCTCTCGCAGAGTGACTCTCAGACTGGTCGGAGACCTCAACGCGATGGTCTTTGCAGTTTGTCTGGCCCATTCTGAGAGATACTCGTCCCCAGACTCACTCTCCTTGCGAAGGGCACTGAGGATATCTTCAACCGTGTCGTACTTGAACGTTCGATCAATAGCTTCACGCAGTTTGCCGCTCAAGTTTCCGTGTTTGGAGGCTTCGTATGCGTCGGGGGAGGGCAGATTGTTGGTGAACTCGGCAATGGTTGAGTTGATGAGTTGGAGTCGCTCGGTCAAAGTGGCATAGTCTTTGAACACCAGTTCCGCCAGCCTAGTGGTCAATTGAGGCAGCACAGAACTGTCCACATAGTGCGTTGCAACTCCAGCATAGAAAGCTTGAACTCCATGCAGTCTTTCTGAAGTCAATGCAAGATATGTGCCAATTTCTCCGTCTAACCGTGAGAGGAAGAAGCTCCCGCCAACGTCAGGGAAAAAGCCAATGGTGGTCTCGGGCATAGCGAACACGGTCTTCTCTGTTGCGATTCGGAAAGGGGCATGTACTGACAAGCCAACTCCACCTCCCATGGTAATTCCGTCCAGGACAGCGACATATGGCTTGCTGTAGGTTGCAATCATGTGATCGAGCTGGTATTCGAGGGCGAAATAATCTGCCGACTTTTTCTGGCCCTCCGGCCCGTCTTTGTTCTGCTGTGCAAGTTCCGCAACATCACCACCTGCGCAGAATGCCTTAGGCCCAGCTCCAGTGATCATGATCACGTTTGCCATCTGTGATTTTTCCCACTCTCGTAAACGTGGCATGATCTTCCGGACCATCGAGCCATTGAGAGAATTGAGCTTCTTCGGTCGATTCAACTCGATCGTTCGGACGCCGTATAGAGAGTTGAAAAGAACATCATCAGGGTCGTCTCCCGGTAGTTCCTTTGGCATCTCGGCATACCGAATCGGAGAGGAAGACATCTGGACATCGTCAGCTCGCTTCTAGATACGTGGACAAGATACAACGGACTGGGCGCCGGCCCAAAACTTGGAAGACGATTGGAGCTCGAGGTCTGGAAAAGAGATTTGCTGTTCTGGCGGCAGTGCTTGGAGCTACAAGTGATGCAGCGTACCTAGCACAGCAGGCCTTCATGACGAGGTAGTCAGGATCGCCAATGCATGTATGGCGCCGTGTTGAATTTCTTGAACCGATGGCTGCGGAGAAACATCACCTCGGAAAGTTGTCGTCCGCCGCCGAGGCCCTGCGCTTGGGCTTTGGAGACGAGAAATGTCCGCAGCCTTACGCATCACGTGCAAGGCTGGAAAACCTTGCTTAGCGGATCTTGGGAGGCGAAATCTGAATAATCTTCACCCGTCTTTCTCACAGGTTCGATTTCTTTTACCAAACAAACAATATATTGTTCCTGGTGGCCTTCCTGGCCTCTTACTTCTCTACGTCTCTCAATTGTACCTGATCGGTTTTCCAAACTCTCAAGATGTCGATGGACTTAGACGCCCCAGTGTCGCTACCGTCCATCCACCAGCCACAGACGGCGGCGACAATCCTCTGCTGCAATTGTGGTGCACCAATAGACGGCACAGCATCAGCGGGCGCATTATGCTATGACTGTATCAAACTCTCCGTTGATGTGTCAGAAGGGATTCAGAGAGAAGGGGTGCTGCATACCTGCCGTGATTGCGAGCGATGGCTAAGTCCTCCCTCGCAATGGGTGACAGCAGCACCTGAAAGCAGAGAGCTGCTTGCTCTGTGTCTTCGCAAATTACGCGGTCTCAACAAAGTCCGAATCATCGATGCAAATTTCATCTGGACGGAACCTCATTCAAGAAGAGTAAAGGTTAAAATCACCGTCCAACAAGAAGCATACGAGGGGACTATCATCCAACAGACTTTTGAGGTCGAATACGTGGTCGCCTACCAGCAATGTCCAGAATGCCAAAAATCCTACACACCGAATACATGGCGGGCTTCAGTACAAGTCAGACAGAAAGTGCCTCACAAGCGAACATTTTTGTACCTCGAACAATTAATCCTGAGACACCAAGCACACAAGGACACCATTAACATCAAAGAAGCCAAAGACGGCCTAGATTTCTACTTTGCACAACGAAATCATGCCGAGAAGTTTGTCGATTTTCTCACATCAGTCACACCAACCAAGGTGAAGAAATCTCAAGAGCTGATTTCGATGGACATCCATACTTCCACCAAATCCTACAAGTTTACATACTCCTGTGAACTACTCCCGATATGTAAAGACGATCTGGTGGCGCTTCCAATCAAGCTGGCAAAATCGATCGGCAACATCGCTCCACTAGCACTTTGCTACAGAGTAGGTACATCAGTGAATCTGATAGATCCTACCACCCTGCAGACAGCGGATCTTCCCACAAATACCTACTGGAGAAGCCCTTTTAAAAACCTGGCCGATGTGCAGGAACTAGTCGAGTTCGTTGTACTCGATATCGAACCCTTGGGAACGCAAAACGGTCGATTTTTCTTGGCAGAGGCCACGGTAGCGCGAGCTTCAGATCTGGGTGTTAACGACAAGACTTACTATTGCAGAACACATTTGGGCGGGGTTTTACATGCCGGAGACTCAGTAATGGGCTACAGTCTGTCTGGAACAAATTTCAACAACCCACAGTTCGAAGAGCTGGAGCAGAGCAACACATATGCTTCGACAATCCCCGACGTTATGCTGGTCAAGAAGTTCTACGCACGGAAGAAGAAACCCAAGTCCAGGAGCTGGAGACTCAAGCGGATGGAGAAAGATGAGGGCGAACTTCTACCCAAGAAGGCGGACCAGGAGAGGATGGATGCAGACTACGAAATGTTCTTGCGTGATGTAGAGGAAGATGCCGAACTTCGACAGACATTGGCTCTCTACAAAGCGAAGCAGCAGAAGAACAAGGACGCGGACATGATGAGCGTGGCCACAGGAGAGGACAGTGAGGACGAAGTACCGAAGATCAACGTGGACGAGTTACTGGATGATTTTGAAGACTTGAATGTCCATGATGATGAATGATGGCATGCCATGGCTGTGCTCCAGGCGTTTGGGCTTACATAGGCTTTGTTCATGGGCAGAATGGATGACTTGGGGTTGAAAGTCCGAGTCTGTTGGTTATTAGCCACCGAATCTGATGAATGTCAACCCCCAAAATACTCATTCTTCGTCGTTGTTGCTGCAAGTAATGTGTACACAGTAGACGACAGTAAGAAGGATGCATTTTTGTCGCTGCTTCAATAACCCCATGGCCTATGATGTCATCTTACTTATTTGAGCCTCGATTCATTTCTTAGGAGAACGCGAGAAAAGAGTCCCATGGTTTCTCAACCTGCTGAGTGCCTCGTTCAAAGTGTGTATTGATCTGCCTACTGCCTACACTCCACGCCCTTCCTTTGATCACCTCGGTCGTTCTGGTGTCGACAATGTGCACATGTTGATGCGCGCCCTTTCACAGTCAATTAGAGGGGCCGAAAGACATCGAACGTTGTGGCAAGTAACGCCAAGATATGGTTGGATAGGCGAGGTGATCAATGTGCAGTCTTGGATGAAGAAACGCAACAAGCCTTAAGTCTGATATCGGTCACGGCCAAAAAACATCAATTTCCTGGACGAGCAATACTTGACAGACGTGGTTTGCTTCTGGCGATGATTGTGGCCTTGTGGAAGGCCTCATTGAGTCAGGTAGCAGAACCTTCTCTGTGCGAGAAGGGATGAGTTCCGCCTTCTTTCGTAGGCCAGGTGATGGAAGCTCCAGCTCCAGCTCCGATACAGAAGATGAAGCTTCGGAAGACATAGAGCAAGGCAGGCAACAAGTCGAAAATGATAACGATGAGACAGGTGACTTGGGCACCACCGAATCGATCTCAAGCCACGGAAGCATATCATTGGGAGATGGTCCTGATGCTTCGCTAGGTCGTTTTGCAGCTGTGGACCATCACCGGACGAATTTACTTAATGCCCTTCTGGAGGACTTTGCCAGGAACCGAGCATGCGAAATATTGAAGGAAGCACAACCTGACTTCGATTACAACAGGTCGTCGCCCGAAATCCAACCTCTGGCTCTGAAGCTCTATGACGAAGTGAGGCAGTCGCTTGCTCATACAGGTGTACTGCCACCAATGTTGTCCAAAGACAGCCATGGGGATAAGCAGACTCGGGCAACTTACTTAGCCGGACTCGAAAGCATTGCACTCAGTGGCCTGAAGAAAGCCCATATCGCGCCTGATCAACCAACATCATTCCTGCCTGCCCCTGAAGGACAGCTCGGCCTTGCTCGAATCAGCAACCAGCAATCAGCCATGTTCGGCAAATTACTCGAACAACCTATCGCAAACCTTTCGTTATATCAGACTCAGAATTCTCTGTCGTCTCCATATGCGGATTTGGTGTCGTCCACAACGTCTAGTCGCCGTAGCCATTATGAATCGAGCTTTCGACAGATCAGCTTACTCGGAAAGGGGGGATTTGGCAGAGTATACCATACATTCAATATTTTTGATAAAAAGGAATATGCGGTCAAGAAGATCCCTCTCAGTCCACGTTTGTCGCAGCGGTACAAAGAATCGGGCCATCAAGAATTGGAGCATGTACTGCGAGAAGTCCAGGCTCTGGCCCAGCTTGAGCACAATAACGTCGTTCGGTATCATGCTACATGGATTGAAGAACCTCTCCTCCAACAAGGGAAACGGCCAAGTACGACAAGTGATAACCGACGCCTTATTACCAGTGGAAAGAACTCCTCAAAGGGTCATCCTCGAAAAGCTCTCCCACGACCGTTATCATCAAATCAAAGCGATGGCATTGTCTTTGGTTCAGATAGCGTCTCCCAAGTCCGTGCGCATGACCTCAAGGAGAACAGCGAACCACTATGGTCGATGAGAGATGTCGACCCCGAACCTAGTTCAGCTCGACCTTCCGAGATTTTCACAGATGGACATGGACGGCCAAACGCGCAGCAAGAGGCAGTCATGGATGATTCGGTCTATGTTCTCCATGTCCAGATGTCGGTATATCCAATGACGTTGGCGCAATATCTGGCACCACCACCCGAGAATGCCAGAAGCGCTCCAAGCAATCCTCTTCGGAGACATTGCTTCCATCTCGTACCCGCCTTACGAATCCTGCTCGGCATCTTGTGTGGCTTGCAGTACATTCACGACAAGGGTCTAGTCCACCGCGATATCAAACCGAGCAACATCTTCGTATCGAACCTGGAAATGACCGCAGTCGGACTTGTCTCACAGGGCTACTACGACGTCGGAAATTGCGTCGGATGTCCTCATTCTGATTCCTACTTTGTGAACCCGCGTATTGGTGACTTCGGGCTCGTTGCTGAGTTGGCCAGAAATGGTGAGATGGACGAGCAATCTATTGACAGCCAATCCAATAAAGCGGTGGGAACAGAATACTATCGGCCGCCTCGCTGGACTGATCCGAAGGAGACATGGAAGTCGAGTTCGACCATCAACGAGAAGCTCGATGTCTTCGCACTGGGAGTGGTGTTGGTGGAGATGCTCTGGTATTGCACGACCAAAGCTGAGCGCTTGGTTGTCCTTGGAGACCTCCAGAAAGGGAGACTACCTACGGGCCTAACAGAGAAGATCAACAAGGAAGGGCACGAGCCAGGAACTGGAGATTTAGTGCGTCAATGCATCTTGGGTATGATTCACCGAGACCCACGACAGAGATGGAGTTGCACAGAGGTGAAAGAATGGGTCGAGAAGATACTGGCGAATTGTAAACTTCGAACAGCTGATGATAGTAACGGTCCAGGTGTCCATGCTGGATTCGGCTTTGATCTACAACAGGTGAGGAGCTTGGACACGGACGCAAAGTCACAATAGACGAGAAATAGCGAGAGAAGTTGGATGTGAGGTTCTCCTAACGGGTATAGACGATCATGGTCACATGTACGGTGCCAGTTGTCTGTGCTCAGCAGCTATCCCAACAAATACATGCGGAACACTATCTCGTACTGGTAGGATCTTGCAAATCATTTGATTGCGACGACTCGACAATGAAAGCTGCAGATCCTCAACGAAGACATAGACTTCTGCCAACAGTCGATCGTCCGTTTGAGATCGAATATGCGCCGGGGTTGCTGAGAGGGTGAGAGGGGCACGAGGTAACTATGTACTGTCACGTGGCCACTCCCGCACATGAAGCACGTGACCCTTATTCTTTGGCACCATTCACACCTATCGCGAGAACACGATTTTCGGGATTAATCAATAATAATCTCGCCTGGCCTTCAGGTGTCACAGAAACCTTGTGCCTGAATCTCGACGAGCGGTCGTTCCAGCAACAGATCCGCGGCTAACTGTAGTACAGTACATAGTATATCGTAGTACGGAGACGTGCACCAAATGTAGTTGCCGCGCTAAAGTTGAATGACGAAGGATTACAACCTGACAGTTGATTTTCTCTTGTTCTAGGCGGCCTTAACTAAAGTTTTAACTAAAGTCTTAACTAAAGATAATTTACTTTAGGTAGCTTAAGGAAGAGATTAAGCGAGTATTAGAGATAAAGTAATAAGCTTCGATATCTTCGAGAATAGTTATACTTTAACTAAAGTCTTAACTAAAGATAATTTACTTTAGGTAGCTTAGAGATAAGGACTAGACGAGTATTAAGGGTAAAGCTACGAGCTCCGATATCTCCGGGGACAGTTGTCCGGAGCGACGGAAAAGAAAATAAATGGTCTTTTGACGTCCTCGTCATTCAACTTTAGCGCGGCAACTACATTTGGTGCACTTCTCCGTACATCGTATACTAACTCCATGCGAGGGTAAAGCTTCGCTTCGTGATACTTTTGGCCTGCTTTTGGATGGTCCCGCCAATCTCCGCGTTTTCTTCAAGATTACTGCAGGACCGAGTTCAACGGCGGCGAAAACAGCTGATTTCGACTGACACCTGTCGGTCGCTGACAATCCTCGCCTTGACGTCGGTTCCGTACCTGGAAATTCAGGGCCTCTTTGCAGGAATCACACGTTGTCGGCCGCCTGTGAGACCTGCGGCCGACCAATGTTGCTGAACTCACACTGGGCGTAGGCAGCATCATGGAACTTAGGGTTTTATATCGAAGTCTGAGATCTCCAGAACTTGGAACAAATAACACGTCGCACGTTCTCCTCCCTAAGGACGAAGTATTTAGGATGTCATGTCTCTCCACTGTTTGGGGTTGAGGCCGCATTCCAGCCTGGTCTCAAACAACGGGGCAACCCTCGAATGGCGCCAAGCTACTTGATGGAAACGAAAAAGGGGTGAGATTGGATACCACCGACACCAGGTCTAAGTCCAAACGAGCTGCTGAAGCATGGAAAAGCGCCCTCGGCGGCTATGGGAGGCTTTGCCTCTCGGCTGCTTGTATTGCATTTCCTTCTTTTCTCGTTGCTGAGTGTCTGCATTGTTCATTTCATCTTCTGATCCCGCCAGTATCATTAATATTTCAGCTCCAGCGAAAAGAGCAGTCAATAATGGCAGTCATGAAGAAGACCGGACTCGCGCTGGCGCTGGCCGGCGTCGTTGCAGCGCAATCATCGTCTGTTGTCAATGTCTTCTTGCCTGGCGCCGACTCACAGACGCTGTTGGGCTCGATTATCAAGTCGGTATGTTATGTGACGCGCCTTCACCAGATTGGACGGTTTCTAAACCAAGTGTTGCAAACAGGATTCCTCGAAGACCACGATGGCGATCGCATGCCCGACGGACGCCGACTCGGTCGATTGCGGTTTCGCAGGTCCTATTACCGTGACCGTTGGGCCGTCTACGTTCCACGCTGAAGAATCCTTTGAGTCGACATCGGTGGTGTTGGACTGCAAGATGACAGGAACCACGGCGGCCATGTGTGCAGAAACATTTGTTGGACCGGCCGGGCTGCTCGCGACAGATATTTCATCCTTGACAGCCTCGGATGCGTCATTCGACACCGCCATCACCACGACTGCGACCACGACCGCGCTAGCATCGTCGGATATGGCTTACATTCCCGTCACACTGACCGATTCGCTTGGAGATGACACCACTTTGTTGACCACTGCTGCATCAGGAGCTAGCGGAAGTGCATCCACTGCTTCGGCGACGGGATCGAGTGCCACACAAACTGCAGATTCGTCGTCTGCGACTAGCGGCTCAAGTGGTACCAGCAGCACCGGAAGTGCAACGCCCTCGAGCGACAGCAACAACGGTGCCAACAGAGGGGATTCCCGTCTGCTGGCATGTGCCGCTGTGGGTGCCGGTCTGGTGGGCTTGACGATCATGCTACTCTAGAGCGGATCTCTTGTTCCTGGTGGTGGGCAAGACAAGAACCGTGGATCGTAGTTATACTGGCAAAATCGGTGGTACGAGTAGCATCCAGGAGATTAGTTACGCGTGTGCCCAGTGGAGTTGTTTGCGTTCGGATATCAGGTCCGCAGGGGAAGTGGCACACCAGTTGTGGCAGACGGACCGTTGAGGGTTGGCGGAGATGGGAACCTGGTGGAACTCGATGCACAATGACATAGGCATGACATAGCATGGAGGTCAGCCATCTAAGTAGATTTGTTTATTGTCAGCCAGAGGGCTTCTCTACATGTGAAGTGTGAATAGTTCCGGACTGACTCAGCCTGGGCAATCAAATATCTCGAGGGCTCACAGTGCTATAGAGAAAAAGTTCTATACAATGTAATTGACTTTGTTTGCGATCACCGCTTCTCCGCGGGCATTCCTGATGATCATTATTGAGCCGCAGGGTCAAGGATGTTCTAAGGTTCTTCGAAAGGTTGACATTATTTTTCTCAGGGGCCGTGCGGAAGATACCAAGCCACCACACACCAAGGTATGCGGAAAAGCAGGCATGCCTTAGCCATCAGGGCCACTGTTTGTTGGCGAGAATATGACGGCAGATCGAGCGATGAAGTCGCCTCACCATTGCCATCAACAGTTTATTCGACGGAGAGCACAAGCCGAAGTGGCTTACAGGGGTAGCAGTAGTGAAGACGGCACATGGCACTTTTCGAATTCCCATGACCAGAACTGGGGGATTTGTAGGGGGAGTGATGGGCCTAAAAGAGAGATCGCCGATGACTGGAGGGATCGACAAGAGAGCAACGGCCGATGCGGGTAGTGAGTGTCGATGCCTGGGAAGAATACCGCATTTGCGAGTGGGCAGTGACATGGCGCTATCATAGAAAATGTACTAGCGAGAGAAGTACCGTTCACCTACCATTCACCTATGAGCTCCGTACTGTTCAATGCGATTCTCTCTCGCAGTGTCTCCAAGGCATCTGCTGCTAGGCCCTGAGTCGCCTAGTCGTGCCTAGTCGTGCCTAGTCTGCAGGGGGATACCGTGCCCATGCGCCCGTCGAGGGGCATCTTCAGCTGAAATCGGCGCTTCTTTTTGATTTTGATGTCTGCTCCAGTGCTCCGCGTCTTGGATGTTATTTCCTTCTGCCATAGTTACTCCGTAGTGTTTCGTGGAGATTCGCCGGAAGTCTTTTCTTCATCTGCAGGGGTCGTGGGCATGAACGTGCCGTCAGTGTCTTCGGGTGTCTCGTACCTCTCGGGGTCAGTGTTCAGTCGTATCTCGTAGCATTGAATGCACTTAACATTCCCGGCGGATCAAGCCTCCGCCACACTTTGCTCCAGTCACTCCAGTCAATCGTTCGATCGCCTCTATCACCGCCCAAACCATCCGTGTGGCCCAAACAACTCCATCGCCCTGTTCTGCCTCAGATCTCAGGCTGTAGTCCTGATCCCCATCAGTCCCCTTCGTGTTTCTGCATGTTCCTGACTCTCCTACGAGCCACACCGTGCCCTCTTCGTCTTCTTCCTTCCTCCACTCGACTCCACTTCACTTCACTGCCGTTCCCTCGTCTTTTTTCCCGGGTCCGCCGTTGCCAGAATCTTCTTAAACCAGCCAACCCTTGATATCCCGTCCACTCCTCCCTTCCGCCACACCATCAAACAAGCCATCCAAAACAACACCGTACCACTCCCTACCGACCCAGACACTCTCCTACACAGTAGACCTTGTCGCCGTCCACCCACCACGGACCAACAACACTGCGCTCGTGCTTGCATCGCTTCTCAATTCACTGTAAACAGTACGCTCCACCACGATGGCGGCTCTAGGTACCTTGTCGGCCACCTCGTCTGCTGTTGACAGCATCAATGACCTTGATGGATACACCCTTCGAGACTACAGCTTCCCTTCCGTCAACTCCTTCGCACCTATCCAAGAAGATGACTTTGGTTTCGACCCCCCTCTAATGAAGGCTTCCTCCCTCAACAACTACCAACCCTACAGTCCTCCCAACGATCTCTCATTACCCGAGTGGCCCGAGTTTCAGCGCGAAGACGATCTCAAGCCGTCTGCAGACACCTCGCTGAACTTGGACGCCTACGAGATCAACAAATTTATCAACTCTACACTGCCAACCTCCAGCACTGCCGTTTCACGATATGGCCAGATGACTCCACCACGATCCAACTCGGCAGCAAGCACAGACTCAGCCATGTTTGAAGAGAAGCTCTCTCCCAAGTCCATAGCTCCAGAAGCACGCCGGAAGCGGTCGTCCAAGACACAATCCAAAGACGATGAAACAGCTCCTGCACCTGCTACGACTACACCTGGACGGAAGCGAAAGTCCACCAAAAAGGGATCGGGTGCGGCGGATAAGGTACACTCTCCCGAAGAGCAAAAGAGAAAACAATCACTCGAGAAGAACCGAGTCGCAGCTGCAAAGTGCCGGATGAACAAGAAGGAAAAGACCGAACAACTACAGCGAGACTCGCACGAGAAGGCCATTCAGAATGCATACCTGAAGGACCAAGTCATGCGCATGAAGGATCAGGTCCAGCAAATGAATGCTCTCCTGCTCGCCCATGCGAATTGTGAAGAATGCAAGGCGCCAGAGGAAATCCAATCTCACCTCGCCAACCTCGGCAACGACTTTTTCACTTCTCACATGGCACTTGGGAATTCGAGCTTTGTCGACTTTGCCCCTCCCATGAACTTCTCCGATCTGCCAGTCATGAACAATGGCTATTTCGACCAGAACCAGGGTCAGATGCTGCATCCTCCACTTCCAGAATTCAACCGTTCTGCAGACTTTGAGGTGCAGACACCCGTGCAGACCGATTGAACCGAGCGCTTCAGCTGAAGTTACCCCGCACAAGAGACACAGTTCCAAACAAATCCCGGCCTCTTATGTGCAGCATACAAGTCTTGGTCCCAGCAATCACATTTGCAGAGTTGTCGTCGCGCAAAGCTACCAACCGACGGGAGGGGGTGCCACTCCCCCACTCCAGTTGTGGCGCTGCTGCCGAATCCACTAGTATCCCCAATGTGGTTCTCCCTGGCTGCTATATCCGGTACAGCTGGATTGTGTACAGTACATTATGACGACGGTGGCTTGTTACCCGCCGACACCATGTCTTACCACCCTCTACTATCTGGGCGCTCGAACCTGCCACTTTCAACGCGGGTATCGTCGAACCAGGCGAAGTCTGTGTCTGGGGAATATTGCCGAATCACTTGGCTTGGCTCAGGCTTTTTCCGACGCGCCATTGGTCGCCTTTGACGTCAATCCTTCGATGCCCGGATCAATCGTCCGGACGATCGTCCTGCGGCATTTTCATCAGGATTTCATGTGATACACACGGTGGCTGGTGTTGCCCTCAGCGGTATCTTGTACGAGTATTGATTATCGCATAGCAGCAGGAGATGCGGACCGGATGGGGGGGCGAAGGGTGAGCTGGCTCTGCATGAATTTGCAATTGCTTTTTCCAGTATTTTACATCGGAGTTGTCGCGTTCGGATCAGGTGTTTCTTCTGGCTGGAGGCTGGCTTTCCTGCGGACACAACACAAGGACAAAAGGACACACGATGGCACGTTTATGAATGATACCAATCCAAAGCTTTATGTACCTGCTTGAAGGGCTCAATATAATGAATTAATTGATGACTCCCATTTTCTGCTCAGAATCAGGCCTGACAGGGTTCGCACATGTACAAGGTTGATGAATACTGACTTTATCGAAAGCATTGGTACACCGTATTGCAGTCGACTTTTCACTCACTCCAAGACTGATTGCGAGTGCACCTGCCGAGGCATCCGTGCGCAAAGACGAGGACGGAGCGAGCAGAGACTATCATGATCCAATCAACGTCTTTGAAACGAAACATCCGGGTATCAACGCTGCTAGCTTGTACTATGTACCTCGTAGTACTACGTAGTCGTTGGGATCGACAATACTCCGTACGGATGTCTGACTATCATCCGTGCTGCCAGACAGGGAATAGCTTTGTGAGTACAGGTCAGGTACGGACGCGTCCAATTGTACTGCCATCGTAGTAAGGTACTTTTCGGATACTCCGGGTTGTTGGGGGGAGAGGGGCTTGACTGGATTCAAGAGCTATGGGTTGCGATGGATGACTGTATCTGAGACAAATACTCGTACTGTAACCTCCGTAGGCTCTCATAATCTGCTCAGCGCACATGCATCTTCAACTTGGGCGGCGCATTGACTCAGACTTCCTAGACCCATTTTTTTTATGAGTAACAGACGGTTTGCGGATTGAGGACTGTGGGTGACGGAGATCAAGATCGCTACTGCATGCTTTGACACAGAATCATCCGCATTCAAGGAACGAACGTCAAAGGCTCAAAAGGGTATCTCGGTCGGCGAAACTCGACGCTCGGCCCTTTGAGGTTTGAGGATAGACGGAGGACAGGCTTTCGTGACGCCGGGCTCCTTATGGATTACTCTTCAGCCTCTCGATCGTTGTTTCGTAAAGCCGCCAGGCATCACCGAGAAGCAAAGCTCGGCAGCTACGGACCTCTTTGGCTTGCGAAAGCAGTCAAACTAGCCATCGCATTTGACTCGTTCCGTCGTCTTGAGGCCAAGCAGGGTCAACAGTGCGACGTTGATCCGCAGCACACCTCTCCTTCTCTTCAGACCCCTTGAACAGTCCGCGGTGATACCACTCTTCTGGAAGCTGTTCATCGAGCCTTCTGACGAATACCTTTATTGAATCTGGCAAACGGACGAGTGCAAAGGGCCTGGAGCTCGGGCTGTTAGCCATGATCTGGATGATATCTGCCTGGGTATTTCCAGGGTGTATCCGCATTGCACCGCCAATATAGGCGTTGACTGAGGATTGCTGGAAGTTGAGGGCAGCATAAGAGCAGACGGGGATTGACAGGCACGATGTCAGCCTCGGCTCAGCCTCGCACGTGATCACTTAGTAACAGCAATCAATCCCTCCACCCCCTTCAGCCGCAGCTGAGTCAACTCGGAATGCAGACACGATCCAGGCTATTCTTCATAGACGCCTACGGAAGGCAACTGAAGAACCTTTTCGCCTGTCCAAACCAGTCCGCGAATCCCTTTCAAGCCTAAGCACACCTGAGCATACCTGAGATTTACCTCCTCCCATTAAGCGCAGGCGCCTCTTCCTCGATCCTACACATCCTCCACACTCCCACGGAAGCCTTCCCCAGCACAAGGGAAATCAGCATCCCTATACAAAAGAACACAATGGTCATCCTCGGCGGCCTCGAACTCGTGGCAGCAGGCTACCTTCTCAAAGAAGTTGCCAAAGACAGCAAGGAGGAAGAAGAGCGCGACCGCGACCGCCGACGGCGTCGACGAAGACGCCACTCCCGAGATGACCACCACCACCACCACAGTGGAGGTCGCTATGACGACTCGCCGCTCAGCCGACCGAATCGTCCACCGCACCAGAATTCGCTTTACCCTCCAAGCGGTCCGCCTCGACCGAACAGCGCACCGCCCGCGCAGAACGGCAGACCACCCATGCCTCCTGGTCCACCGCCGCCGAACAACATGATGTGGCAGCAGCAGCAGCAGCAGCAGCACCCTCAACCCTACCCGCAAGGACCACCGCCGAGTCACGGAACTTGGCCTCTCCCACAACAGCAGCCACCACACTACCCTCAATGGCCAGCAAAGCCGCCGCAACAGCAACATCAACATCCTCGCCCGCAGCAGGACAATCCCAACAACTTTGTCCCTCCGCCCCTGCAGCGCCCTGCGACAGTCATGCTCCCCCCACCGGGCATGCACCTTGATATGAAGACGGGAAAATGGCAGAACAACATGTACCCGCCCGAAATGTCCCAGGGACAGAATCAGAACCGGGCCAAGCGAGACGTGGACCTCGACGGTTATCATAGCAACGAGCGCATGCGGCGCGAAAACTCGAATCCTCCGCACAACGCCTCACAACCCCAGATTAACGTCAGCCCACCGACCGCGCGCCCACAGGCGCACTCGTTCTCAAACTCTGCCCCGTCTCTGCCGCAGGGTCTTGCGGAGCTCGACGCCGAAACGCCCGGACGGTACAGGCCGCACGGGAATGAGAAGTACTCGTATAGTCCGCAGCGTGGCGAGAGACGGGGGCGAGCGCATTCCGGTTCGTCGTGTACGACAAGGTACTATGATGAGGATGATATGAGGGACGCACCACCTGCATACAGAGAATAAGTATGAGTTGGTTAACAAAGTCCCGGCGGCGAAAGATCACGACTCGTTATGATGAAACTTATGAATGCACGCTGTCTCAAATGTATGACCCAAATCGAATGATGCACGTTTGGCAGTATACTGGAATGAAATGATGGTTGAGATGCGCCAGAGTTTCGGCCAGCATGAGAATTGAACTGCGCAGATGCGATGTTGAGGGATGAATGTTATTGCATATCATGTATTTGTTCAGTTGAAGCTGAATAACATGGAGCTGGTCTCCGTAATGTTGATCGAATGACCAAGCTAATACAAGTGTTTCACTTCCATTCAGTTGCAAGTCTCTCTTAATCACTGTCGCCCGTGAAGCCGTTCCAAATCCCCGTCTATGTTGCTGGCGAGTCCCTCCAGCTCGTCACATTCTCCGACCTGATGTCTTCCCAGTCTTCACTCGGTGCAGCTCTTGCGAATATCAGATTCATTCTTCATGGCCGTAACCACCACAATATTAACGATTAAAAAGTCCATTCTCTTTTTAGCAAAACAAAGTATGTACGTCATGCCTGCATAATCATGTCTGTTGGATTAGGATTCGGCCGCTCAAGGGTGTGTCTGATTCCTGGGCTCTGCATCCGATTCGACTGATGGCTACCTACAACTGGTGTGTGTGGCAGCGGAGTGTTCCTAGCCAGCATCAGCGTGACTGAGTCTTGGAGGATACTGGTATCGACAACAAGGCCATGTCTCTGAACAAAGGATGAGGTAGAATGTGAGCGTCGGCGTCTGAAGATTAAGGACCCAGATTGATCTGGCGAGTCCAGACGTGAAGTGTCGGTAGCACGGCCTGCGTTTCTCGGCGCAGTGTCATCGACCCGAGCTCTTGCCAGAGCCTTTCTCACTGTCTCTCGGAAACCATTACGCGGACGTACCGAATGAGCATCAGCTTCAAGCTGGAGGTCTTCCAAGTTATCTGTGTCGTTCATCATGTTGCAGTTCTGAAGTCCCTCAAGGTCGACTTCATCCTCCAGCCTGACGCCAGGTACACTGTGCAGTGACTGAATCGCCGAGCGTCTTTGCTGAGCGTAGAATCTGTCCATCTGGGGCGTACGAATTCTAGCCAGGATCCGAGCATCGGAGATTGGGCGGTTTTCAAGCTCCCAGGGTGGTGGAAATTGAACTGGACTGTGGAGGACAGCATCCAAAGACAGGTAGGCACGTTCACGGTATGTTGGTCGACAAGTAGGGCACACCATGAAATTGCAAGCCTGTTGGCGATGAGTATCCTCATCCCAAGTGTGTTCGGCGCGAGTGCCTTGATTCGATAGATGCTGTGGCGGAGGAAGTGATGGCGCTGACATCCAGACCTTTTGCAACTCTTTCCAGTCGTATGCTGCTCGAATTTCTTCGTCAAGAGAGATGGAGGAGGTTGTGGAAAAGGTTGTGCTTTGAGGTAGAGTTGAAAAGGTCGCGTCTGTGACAAAGGAAGATGCGGTCGTATCTGTAGTGCAGGTGGAGGAAGTCGTTGGCCTGTTGTCTTGTCCCAGTGCGAGGATTCTGACCCTTTCTTTCTGTTCCAACAACGACTTGATCTGCTCATTTGTGTACTGACCCTGTCCGATTGCTTCGATGATCGAGTTGCTGAGCGAGATTGCTGCCACGTCCATAGCATCCCTTCTCTTCATATGTGATGATTCGCCAGTGAAGTCAGATTCTGGCAGGAACCCGCCGGAGTCCTGAGTGCAACGATAAAGCCAGCCGATGTCGGGGTGCTTGTGGCACATGGAGCACCTGAACGATCCGTATGGGTCATAGAGACGAGTCATTCTGGTATGAGTGCATGGGTTTCTTCGGTCAGTGCTTGCCACTTTGCGTGAAGGCATCTTGGTATGACATTCGAAGGTCACTCAATAACTCAGGAACATTTGAGGTGGTAGAAGAGTGCCAGAACAACATAAGACATGGGTGAAGTCAAAGCAGTGGGAAGCAAGAGGAAGATAGTGCAATTGAAATGGGCGGCACCGCCGTTGCAACTTGTGATTCTGCCACTCCTTCCTGTCTCCAGACTGTTGACAATAACTTGTTTCTTTCTTTCCCTTTTGCACATCATCGACACTACCGTTATTTTCTGTGCCATAAACACGACTTCTCAAGCTCTGAATTGTGTCGCATGCTCAACGAGCTATATGAGTACCCGTGGTGGTCTCAAGTGCTTCAAGGCACGTTCCATTGCTCTCAGATTCTTACAGCCTAGATTTCGGGCCATCACTGTCTACTCTTGCATCGATGAAGGCATCGGGAATGTGAGCAGGTGAGATAGCTTCAGAACTTCGAGGCGACGAGGAGGTGTGTTTATGTCTTGGCGGCATCAACGACGGTGAGTGGCTGATGGGCGTCGGCGTCACTTTCTTCCATCTTCCACATTGACAACGGGGTTGACGGGACTGCACCAGGGTGACCATGCACCCACGCCAACTCATCTCGGTCACTCCCATTCGACCCCATCTGCGCCCATCATCTCCCACCTCCCAGCTCCCCTGCCCTTCGCATTTCGGGTCACTCTCCGTACTGACGCTTCGAGTCTTGAGTAACGCGTTGCATTTTCTACCTGGTCTTCATTTCCTATCTCATTCTATTGTTGCGCCGTTCGCGATATAACTACTCGACCTGTCTATCCTCTGATTACCTCCGCAATCCCTGTCACTCCATCTACTCCGTACGTATTGTGTCCCAATGCTGCTCCACAAGGAAGTCAGGCCTCGGCACTTGGGGTTTGTCAACAATACCCGGTCAGCGCGCTGACCACGTCTCTGCACCTATCGAGGCTTCCTCTGGTTGCAACCCGTTACTGACGCACCTTCGGTAGACCCGATATATCCTGCGATACTCCCCTTCCTTTCGACCAGTGGAAGTCCGCGGCGCAACTCCAGCCATGTCTGTCAAATTCGAGAAGGAGCAGATCTCGACGACGCCCGTCGTACGCGGTGGAAAACATGAAAGCATCCCTCACAGGATCGGTGAACGCCTAACAGGAGGACCGCAGCCGACAGGTTATCTTGCTGTACGGAAAACCACTTCGTGATGCTTATCGCGCGAACACTCATACTGCCACAGGCATACCTCAAGCAGCTCCAGTCAAACCCTCTGCGCACAAAGATGTTGACCTCCGGCACATTATCTGCTCTTCAAGAACTTCTAGCTTCATGGCTTGCCCATGACCGTAGCAGACACGGTCACTACTTCAGCTCAAGAATCCCCAAGATGGCTGCCTATGGCGCATTAATCAGTGCTCCGATGGGCCATATCCTCATCGGCTTCCTACAATGGGTCTTTGCAGGCCGAACCAGCTTGAAAGCGAAGATCCTGCAAATTTTGGCCAGCAACTTGGTGGTACGTATCCAGCCTAACAACTACAACCGAACAGGCCCTGAAGACTAATTTCTCCAGATCGCACCCATCCAGAATACCGTCTATCTAGCCTCGATGGCTGTCATTGCCGGTGCCCGCACATGGCATCAAGTCCGTGCCACTGTCCGTGCTGGTTTCATGCCTGTCATGAAAGTCAGCTGGATCACATCTCCTTTGGCTTTGGCCTTTGCACAGAAATTTCTCCCAGAACATACCTGGGTACCATTCTTTAACATTGTCGCCTTCTGCATTGGCACTTATATCAACACGCACACCAAGAAGAAGAGAATCGCAGCTTTGAGGAAGAAGGTAAATTAACCCATCAAACAGCCTCCTGTAGTGGCGCTGACCAGATTTACAGCACTACGGTGATGGACGAAGCTCTTCGGGCCGCCCAGATGAGAGATACTGAATAAGTGCTGGTTGAATGGAGGAGCAGGTCGTCTGGGAGATGGAGCGAGAAGCCATGGCTAAGACACATTCGTTGCCCCTGCGCTTGCCCTACTGGAGGGAACTAATCAGAAGACATGGAAGAAGAAATGGAAATTGGACCGCATATGAAGAGCAAGCACTTTGCTTGACTTGTCCTCTTTCTTGCACCGAAGCTAGTGTATGAACCTTGTTGCTGGAGGGCGGATGATGTGCCGGGTACAAGATCGTGGTGCTTTTTGCACATGTGTTGGCGTACGCGTTTCTTACTGAAAGGACCCAAAGCTAGTCGAATATTGCTGCAGTGTTGAGGCACTGGAAGAGAGGAATTTCTTGGTCTCCCGTAAAATCATACCGAAGTCGGAACATGGGCACCACTACTTTGGACCTTCGCTTCGGTCAATAATGACATCTGGATCGCACTTGATTGTCGCGCTGGGCGTCTGTTGCATTGTTCTACAGTTCCCTTCTAGCTCTGCTGTCAAAATTGATCGTACTTTCATGATCCTCATCATACATCCTCCTCGAATGTCCAATTGTTCAGCTCGAAAAGACGTCCATCTTTGCAATTTATAGCACATCTCAACACCCACGACCCCCAGCCGGCTTACCTCTCTCCAAGGACGAGAGGCGATCACGCCACATACGAATAGCTGTTTCCTTCCTCCTTCTCCATGTAGTCCTTCTCGATCAACCTGTACACCAGTGTTAGCACCTGTATCACGATTTTGTTGAAGAATCATGCAGGATTTGGGGCAGGGGGACAAGAAAAAAACTCACTTCTCGATGTTCCGCTTAATATCAGCCTGATCCAGCACACCTCTCGACATGGTCGCCTTGATAACCTCGACGATCAACTCATTGTGCCCGATCTTCTTGCGCGACTTCATGATGCGTACAATCGCCGCTTGCGTCTCGTAGTGCCGGTCCGCCGCGACACGCTGGTGCGTTTCTTTGTTCTCTTCCTTCGTCTCCTTGAGCTGGATCTGGTTGATCTTGACACGCAACTTCGGGTCCGCAAAGGCCGCATTGAACGTAAACGTGTCGGTCTCGTTGATCTCACGGCCCTTCGGGTGTTTCTTGAGGACCTGATACTTGGCACACGCGATAGATTGCAATGTGCGTTTGAGCTCGGCGTCGACCAGGCCAGAAGACGCTTTGATCTCGGTGTAACTGAGGTGTTTGTCGGCCGGCATGTCATTGAACAGGAGCAGCACGATGGCTTGGAAGCCCGAGACAACCAGTTCTTTGTTTCCCCTGGGGAATCTGGCGCGGAGTTGGCAGTGCGCAAGGGAGTGTTTCCAGGAAAGTTTTCGACCACTGTGTTTTGCTTTGTAGTGCGTCTCAAAATCCGCCATGACTTTGGCGATGTCAGGTGGGATGTTGACGGTTACATCGAGATACGTGGGCCACGCAGCGGCGGAGAGGACGTTAACATGGAGATCTGGTCCGGCGGATTTGCCGCCTCGGTCGTCTAGCAATTGGTTGTACGACATCATCTCTTCGCGGGCGAGATCCATATCTTTGAACATGGATTCGAGGTTGTGCGTGAATGCAGCCCCGCATTCGTTCTTCAGCCGTGTGAGCATGTTGCGTTCGGCGTCGAAGGAAGCGCTGCGACCCATGAGCAAGCGTCGAGCTAGATCTTTCTTGTAGAAGGCTTCGAAGACTGCTTTGCCGTGGACGAAACGGAACAGATCCAGAGCGTTTGAGAGATGTTGGTTAATTTCGGCGTCTTCGTCTGCAGCGCCTTCGTCAAAGTCATGTTCTTCCTCGGGTCTCGATGGATCGGATTTCTGTGTCTGAAGACGTGGGATCGCTTTGACGCCACCTTTGAGAAGGAGATCGACATGTTTTGCAATCATTTCCCCAGGTTTGTTGTTGTCCGTGTCCCAATTCGACTGAGTCTTCTTGGTTTTGTTGATGAACAACTCAAAAGCTTTGTGCAGAGCATTCCCGAGTGTCTCGTTGCTGCGGAAGGAATACTTGAGGTACCGATCTAACCGTCGCTTAAATTCGAGAAGTCTAACGACCATTTCCGCTTCTCGCTTCTCGTCAAACACAATCATCGATCCTTCCGTTTCAACATATTTGCCGAAGGTTGATGCTAATTTCTCGCCGTGTGACTTCCTCTGGAGAAGAGTATACAGTCGCTCTAATTCCTCATACTTGTCATCTTCGAGAAGATCCAAAATACTGTCCTCACTTGTAAGGACCTCTAATTCCTGCTCAACCAGTATCTCATCGAACAGGTCCGAAATTTGAGCTCTTGTGCTCCGGTCCAAGGTGAGAAAGTCACATCGAGACATTTCCCGAGCGAGTAGATCGGTACAGTTGTTCACATATGCCGCAAGGTCGTCCTTGTTAGCTTCCGTCTCTCGCCATGTCTTGAAGTACCGTTCTGTGGTGGATTGCAAGACTGGCTCGAATTCGCTGGTGTATATGCTCAACTCGTGTAATGAGTCGACGGCTTGACGTAGGAGACTGGTGTCCTTTTCACCAAGGCTCCCCTTCCTGTCTGAGTCGATCAGCGTCACCACTCCCTTTAGGACTTTTGGTTTGATAAATTGATCCTGGAAGACGCAAGATCTAAATTTGATCAGACCCATCTCGGTGATACTCGCGTTTTCAGCAGAGCGAAGGAGGAAAGTCTGGTCAAGGTAGTAGAATATTTGGCGGACTGTCAACAATTGCTTTTGCCAGGTTGCCCAAGCGCTTACAAACGCCTGCAGAGCATCGGCATCGGATGAGTTGCCTTCGTCTCGACGGATACTGTCTCTAACGGCATCCGTGAGATAGGTCTCACACTTCCTGCTTAGCCTGGCATACAGCTCAGCAGCCTTGCCTTGGCGGCAGACATTTTCTGCACCTTTGTAGAGCTCCTCTAGTGAGTATGGCTGCTTCTCATTTCTGAAGACTGCATCAAGAGCTTTGTCCTCCTGCGCCCATATTTGTTCGAAGTACTGTTGGGGGTCTATCCGAGGTACTGTGCGCAGGTTCTTGACGACCAACTTCTTCGGCCCTTGATGCGGGTTGAAAGGCACCTTTGTACTCGCGAATGACGTCTTTCTCTTGTGTGATTCAGGGGAGCCCGTCAGGTCGACAACGTTGTTCGTGGTGGACTTGGAAGTGAAGGTGTACATGTCCTTGTTGGACAGTCTGGCTGGCGGGGAAGCTTTGGTATCCATTTTGTCTCCTCTCTTGTCACCGTCGCCGTTTCCTTTTCCTATCTGACGACCTTCATTCGGATCGTTGCTCTGCTGGGAGGACAATAGTTCAGCGATAGATACCCGAGGCTTCTTCTGGGCCTCAGAGGCAGGACCGTCTTCGTCAGGCACTTTTCTCTTAGCGGGAAACTTGGATGTGTTTCCTCGTTCTGGCGCTTTTCCTTTGCGTGATGTAGTCATCTAAATTGTATGCTCAGCTTAAATAAGGCATAATGGAAGGAGATCATAATACTGACGATGTCGACTGCAGCGGAAGTGCGGTACTAGTTCGTACGCAGCCTGACGTGCGGCGAGCAAGCCACTGCGAGTCCGGCGATTGGCGGCGGAGATAGTGGTTTGTTCGCTAAGTCACCATCTACTTCGCCGTCGCTGCCACTTTACGCGTCGACGCGTTCAGAGAATTCGCTACAAGTGCCAGCGGCGAAAGCAAACGGAACCTCAGCACTATCAATAACTTTTCCAATTTGACAACAGAGAACCAAGTTCCCAAGGCGAAGAAGCACTAAAAGATGAATAACATGGCAAGCCCCAGAATCCTTCCTTCCCATCTTCACGCATTCGCTCCGGGCACCGCCAATGGTAACACTGTGCGCATGCTGGGTCAAATCACCACTGTGAGCGGAGACCAGGCAACCCTTACCTGCGGATCCGATGCGGTCACTATACTTCTCTCAAGGTAAGCTTGCTCCTTCCATCTGCTGTATTGCAAGCACTGATGTGTTCCCAGAGAGTCGCACGTTTCCGTCGGTTCAATGTTCGAGATCGTTGGCAAGGTCGTCAATCTGGATGGTGGGCAGGGGCTAGGCTTGCGGGTTCTGAATGCCACAGAATGGCCAAGGAATGAACATGGTCAACTGCCAGATCTCAAGCTATTCGAAGCTGCCGTGGATGTAACTCATCGGTACAAAAGCATTTTCTACGGAGAGAGCGAAGGTGGCATGGACAGTGGATATTGAGGAATATGAGATTGGAATAATGCGATATGACCTTGCTATGCTCCATGGAGGGCTTGACGAGAACACTGGGCGTTTATTCAAAGGCCGCAAAAGAAGATTACACCAGGATCTGGAGGTACGCGTAGTCAGTGTCGCACTGACAGGCAGGGCATGGACGTTTTTGGTCACGGCTCCGCAAGAGCCTGATGTGTACAACAGAAAGATGCCTTGTATAGGTGTTGGAAGCGATTCTACTTCATGTTGGAGAGTATCGCTTCATTTGGAAGGTACGAAGAAGTCACTGTGTGGCAGAGCAGAGCAGGGACGAATTATGAATCTCATGCCTTGTAGCTATTATCGAGGCGGCTCGCGACGCCAATGCATTGCGTCAAAGAAGGACATCTGGCAGAATCCTTCGCTTTCTATGTCATCCATGTCATAAGCCTTCTGTTACTGTACACAATACTCTGTTTGATGCAATAAAATGGAATAGCGCGCTAATGTGCGACCGCATCGAGTCAAAAACAGAGCCTTGAAACCATAATCATCATCTCACTCCTTTCCTGGTAATGGTTCATTTCACTCGCTGGTGTCGAGGGCTTCTTCTGATAGATCCAACTGACGTCGTCACTGCCGATGCTTCTGGATCAGGGTACGACTGTCCCCCATTGGCATCGATCATGTCGTCCCACATATCGTCCATGTCGGTGCGTTCAGCATCGAGAAAGTTGAACAAGCCTGCTGGAGGCGAACTAGGCATCGTAGCAGCTGTGGCAAAAGGATCGGCGAGGTCGCTGTTTAGGTGATCGGTTGTCAATTCAGAGAAGCTGAAATTGATCATTTGGTCAGCTGACATTGGCGAAGAGTCCTTGAGAGATGGCAAGTCAGGAAAGTCGAATGCGATGGCCTTTTTCGGTGGGGTCTTCTTTGCTTCACCGTCGACCAGTGCTCTTTGTTGGTCTGGTACATTCGTGGCGTACGGGGCGTCACTCAGGAGAGCGTCGTGAATTGACCTAGAGAATGGAGTCATCTCAAGGACATTCTTGTGCGCTGTACCCAACAAAGCCGCTAAGGCAGCATGGTGGCCTGGCTTGCTTTTCGGCGTTCGAAAGCTTGGTAGTAGGTCAGCATTGGGGGACAGCTCAGCACCAAAATGTCGTTGAGGGGTTTTAGAGGGTGTTTTCAAGAGAAGTCGTTCGGACCGTCTTTTCGGAGTAGGCGTCATGGGAGGTAGCTCAATGTCCACTGGCCCTTCTTCAAACAAGTCTGCAAGATCATCAACAACCACAGCTGGTGCAGGTGCTGCATTTTCCTTCCCATGGACGGTAATTGCGACAGTCCCAGGTTGTGTTGCAAAGAAATCTCTCGTCTTGTTTAGTCTTGGACTCCGTCGCACAAACGCTGGAAGGTGTGTTGCCGGTTTCGCTAAAGCTGTTGTCGGGCCTGGATCCGATCGTACTTGCGTCTTTTCCGGAGAAGGAAAGAGTTGTCGGCGAACAGGCTTTGGTGTCAAATCAATCTCGATTGCAACAACTTCGGTGCCGTTGCTTTGTCCCGGACTTGACTGCACTTGTCGTCCAGTCGCTTGATGGCGTGTCCGGCTTTGCAGACCTTTAGGTCCAGGTCCAGCACTACTGGCCCTGAACGTACGAGGCATTGGAGGCAACTGCGGCTCGCTGTCATCGGCAACAATGTCATTGTTTGTCACTTCGTTGTCGTTCTCTTCAGCATCTGGCGCTTCAGTGCCTGTGTCTGGTGAAGAATCGTCACTAGCAGGAGTTTGAGCATCGCTTTTGAAGTTCGCATTACCGTCACTCTTCTTCGATTGTTTGGAGGCATTATTGTTTCTCTTCCGCTTGCCCTTCTCCTTCGGGTCCTTTTTCTGCCATTTCTCACGTGGTCGGGGACATCTTTGCTTATGGAACCACAACCCACAGGCTAGATGGACGTTAGTTTAGCTCGATTCTGGTTTCGATATTACTCACGATTGCACAAAGTAATAGCAATCCATTTATCGTCTTCGTCTCCCGATCTCTTCTCGACCTTGTATCCTCTGAAAGTCTTGATAGTACCATCTGCATTGCGTTCCAAGATCTCCTTGTAACAGCATTCGCCCGTTCCTAGGGATGTTTCGACCTCATCCCAGCCACAACTGAAGACCTTGACATATGCTCGACGCCACGCCGGGGTTTCGATAGAGCCGCAATTGTCACAGAAGGGTGGCATTTCTCCTTTCGCAATCGCATTCTCCAACCTCGCTTTTGTCTGTTCCATGCCCACCTTTTTCTTGGTTGCGGCTTTCGCCCTCGTCTCTTCCGTACCAGCTGCGTCGGACATAAGTGCGTCACTATCAGGGGCCCATGTCTGTGCTCTTTGAATAACTCTAGGAGCTGGATCACTTCGCGGCACTAAGGCAGGTGCGATAGGCTTCAATCTTTGCTGTTCACGTCGTTCTTCCATGATCTGACGAGCCCTCGGAATCGGTGCCGGTGCTAATCTTGGAGATGACATGCTGACCCGAGGGGCAGGGGTATAAGACTGTGCTCTTGCGAACGGCCGTGATGACACAGGTGGTGGCGGAGGGGCTATTTCGGGCATTGTTGCTTCGGCCGGCATTTCACTAACGTCGTACTCATCCTCAAAAACTGTTGGGTATAAAGAAGCATCAGCTGGTCGCTGTTGCGCAGCGTATTGGTTGAAATCCGGTCCGTCTGGTTTGTCCACAATGAAGTCGTCAAACTGCAGCAGTTGATCGTCACCGAACAAGTCATCAAGGTTGCCGCTCATGAAACCAGAGTCATGGTCAGCCATTGACGGAAGAGCTGGGCTCGTGATGGCTGATTGATCTGGCATGACGGGAGGTGAAGAAGGAATGTTCGCCGGAGTGCTTGAGACACTTCGACCTCGAGTTTCCTCGGGAGAAGTAATGGGAATGTTTAGCATTTCAGGCTGTGGGACGGATTCAAGGGCAGGAGAAGACCCGCGGACTTGAGGCCCGTGGGCCAGGTTACTGGAAGCATTCTTCCGTGGTCGTCCGGGTCGACCTCGTGGCTTGCCTGACTTCGTGGCTGGAATCGGAGTTGGTGGTCTCACAGGCTCTTCTGTAGGTATTGCCGCCTGACAAATTGCTGGGTTGATTGGAACAGGACGATGGAGTCGAACACTAGAAGCAGTGCTTGCCGCGACACGTAGAGAATCAGGCTGACGTTCAATGTTGAGACTGGACTTAGTGGGCCAGTCCACTTTCGTTGTCTTCGCTCTCTTTCTTGCCGGGCCGTCGTCTGTATTCTCATCCCCACTATAGTAGCCTGAATTGAATGAGTCACGTCTACTGTGAGAGACCTGCCGCATGCCTGCTCTTGAGCTTGGCCTTGACTGGTTTCCGGCTTGTCGCGATGGCGCGTTGAACGATTGCGAGGCATTGGGCGTGCCTGGCCTGCTAGGCTGTCCAGAGACTGGCACGTTTTCGCCACTGAGCATACGCTGCATAACTTCAAGCCCGGTAGTATCGACTGGAGAGCCCGAGCGAGTAAATGGTGCTGCAGAACCGTTGCCCCACGGACGACCGCCATCTTGAGAGCTGACACTTCCTGAACGATTTCTTTGAAAGAAGGCATTGACCGGTGTGAGTCTCAATTTGACTTCCAGCGTCTCTTGTGCGTTCCTCGAAAACAGCCCCATCACGTTTTTTGTAATTCTGCCTGTCACCATAGCCTCATTATCGATATCTGCGCCTTGATCTTGATCTGCAATTGTTTTTGAGAGCATCCCTTGGCCCACTAGTGGTGTGTCAGGTTCGGAATAATCGTAAGCGTAAACCGTGTAGTCATTATCAGCGTTTGCCGTCAATTCTGGGCTCGCGTTTGTCACGGCTTCGAGGCAGGTTCGTAGGTCAATGACACCAATCTGGTTGGTCTCGTCGATGTAGGCAGCCTGCACGTTTAGTGCATGAGGCCATCTCGCAAGATGATTGTCTTTTTGCTCAACGTCAAATGTGTACAGCACTTTGAGTTTGACTGTTCGAATGGAAACGGTCTCTCCGGGAGAAGTCGCCATTTTTGTGGGTGTTGAAAAGACGCGTGTCGCTCAGACAGCTGTAAGTCTGGCAACACGAGTCTTCAAGAGGCTATAAGGTCTTTCTCATCGCGCAGGAGGACTGTCTGGGGTAGAAGACGATCGTGAAGCTTCTGAAGCGTGGTCGATAGAAGGGTGTCTCTGGAAGCAAGAGTTGGAGAAACTTGCAGGTATGGTAGAAGTTGACCGCTGCTGAAGGGAAGAACTCCGGTGCAATGCTTTTGGAGGCTAAGGACAAACAAGAATAAAGCCTTTTATTTGAATACAGAAAGACAGGTGAGCAATAGGTGAAAGTTGAGAGGCAGGTCGAAAGGTCACGGCATGCAGCTTGGACCTTGGCTCTTTCGATACGCGTTGCCAATGCGAGCGTGTTTTAGAGGCGCGACCTTAGTGGGGAAACTATGACGAACGCTCGAGCCACCAAACGGGCATCGAGGCCGCCACTTTAAGTTGTTGGCTTGTCTCCCGAGGAAACTTCTCCGAGCATATTTCTTGGCGTGAATTTCTTCTCCAATTTGAAGGCAGTTGAGAAGAAACCATTTCTACTCTGCTCTGGTCTGCCTGGGGATTCAGTCTCTTTAAGTATCTCTTCAGCAACATGGCAGACGCCTCCAAGATTCAGTATGTGCTCTATTCCTTCCGGCGCTATGACTCACACCCTGGTCGAGCTTATCTCCGCAATGTTTTGAGGTCACGCTAGACACGTTTGCAATCTGCTGACTTGTTTTTCTTTCGACAGGGACCTTCTCAATAAACCGAGGAATGAGTTGACGTATGTGGATCCCCGCTTCCCTATTTTTCATTGTTCCCCTTCCAATTCGTCCGGTACCGCCAAAAGTCCTCCGCCCAACCCTCTGGAGGTGGTTCCCGCTTCCGCCCCCGCCCATCCACTTCACAATCATCACTACATCCCATTGTCGTCGCTATCGATGCGTCGCTTCGGCATCACCTATGGACAATTTATGTCTGCACTATCATAACCATACTCTAAGCGACGCGCATCGATGCTTTACGCGAGAATATGCCTCCAGTACTAACTTGCCTCTCAGTGAATATGAAGTCTCTCTCCTCGAAGCGCACGAACTCTCCACCGGACCTCTCTCTATCCTCATGACCGCCACTCGAACACACACTCAAGTCCTCATATCTTGCCGAAACAATCGAAAACTACTCGCGCGCGTCAAAGCTTTCGACCGACACTGCAACATGGTGCTTGAAAACGTAAAGGAAATGTGGACGGAGAAGGGCAAGGGCAGCTCGAAGGGCGTTAATAAGGACAGATTCATCAGCAAAATGTTTCTCAGAGGTGATAGTGTCATCTTGGTTCTGCTGAGTTGAGTTGCATTGCTCGCATGGGATAAATGGGTTGTGTTTGGATTGGCGCAAAACAAAAGCACGGGATGGGTTGGGGTGGCAAAGAAACTGATACCCTAGTTTTATGCGACAATCTCATTTGTTGAGAAAAGTTCCAAGTGCTGACTTTTGCCTAAACTGAATTGCGAACTGGCTCTGAAGGGCTCCTACTGACCATGCCTCTAGCAAGCACCAGCTAATCCATCCAGCATCTCAGCTAATCCCCAAGCCCCGGGGTCGGGGATCTTGCCCATCCATTCACTCTCTCCGCCAACATACACAGCGCGCCCTAAGCTCGCCTTCATTGTCTTGGTCTTCTCGGCGCCGTCTCTCGCAGCTTGGGCGGCTTTCTTCACATTACCACTGCTAGCCAACGTGTCAATGAAAGGGGTTAAGGCATCCATGATAGTCCTGTCTCCAGGCACAGCCGGTGTATATTTTCCAAGTGCCTGCAAAGCCGACTTTAACGCGGCAGCCCATGTCTTTGAGTCCATTTGTTTAGATGATGTCGAGTCTTGTTCTCGAAGCCCGTGGACCAGCGCGTTGAGGTAGATGGAGAAGAGTGCTCCACTCGTACCGTCCATAGTATGTTCTACGACGGGCACGATCTTGTTCACAAAGGAGACGGCATCGGTAGGTAAGTCGCCGGACGACAACTCCTTTAAGACAGCCTCTGCGCCACGCTTTAAACCAGTCCCGCAGTCTCCGTCGCCGACGATGGTGTCGAACTTGGTGATCTCTGCTTCTGCAGCGATCATCTTGTCGAGGCCGGCCTTGAGCACAGTATGAGTCTGCTTCGGGTCGATAGATAGATTGCTAGCTTTCATATCCTTAGCGGTGTCGGCGGTTTGGTCCATGATGGCGGTGTTGTCGGCGTTCCAGGTCTCTGTTCGAACGGCAGCACTCCATCCGAAAGCTTCCGCTGGGGCGTCCAGCAATTCAAGCATCGACTTGCCAGCCCCGAGTCCGGTGTCTCCCAGTTTGAGCAGAGAAACTGAGAATCCAAGACCGTTAAGGGAAGTGATGAAAGTGCCAGCGATGACACGGACCGGAACAATTTCCCAATTTTTTTTTAGTTGTTCGTGCACTTCAGCGACGATGCCACCAATTTCGAGGTTGCTTACGCCGCCGAGATTGTTGATCAGCAAGACGACCTTGTCGTCCTTCGTGATGTCCACGTAATGTCTGTCTTGATCATTAGGGTCCAGAAGTTGTTTTAACATGGTGCTGACCAGATCCGGCAACGTTGCAGACACCCGGTGAGAGCCTGGCTCCTGTGCATTGTCAGCAAAGCTCAACGCTCGAAGATTCGCCACAATCACCTACGTTGTGGATACCCATGCCAATCTCGATCTCTTCGGTCGGGATGATCTCATCGGAATTCGGGTCGGGGACCTCACGTCCAGGGACGTGGACGTGTTCCATCGAAGCACCAACAGATACGAGGTTGCCGGCCACCTTCTTGGCCAGGTTATACACCTCTGACAGACTGCCACCAGCCTCAGCAAGAGCACAAATGATCTTGAGGACCAGTATCGATCCGCCGATGCCACGTCTTCCAACTTTTCCTCCTTTCTCCCGGCCAACACCAACATCATCCCCAATGGCATAGAACTCGGTATCAATGCCTGCCGCTTTCGCTTTCTCGGCAGCCAACCCGAAGTTAAGGACGTCCCCAGTGTAGTTCTTTTTGATCAGATGTTAACAGGTGTATTGGATGGATGAGAGGTGGAGTGGTATAGGGGGAAAAGGAGGAGGGAGGAAAGTTGGTGTTTGGTCAGGCAGGACAGTGTCTTCAGATGACTTACGAAAGTGATAACAAATACACCGCGACGAGTGTCTACTCTCGACATAATAGCCCTCTGAACCTGTAAGGTGTTTGGGCTCGCAAAAATGGTTCCAGCTACGCCCGCGGTAACAAAGCCCTTTCCAACGAACCCAGCAAAAGCCGGTTCATCTGCAGCAGCTCGTTAGGAAGCCGTATCAATGAAGACAGGGACATAGCCCTTTCGGGGCGCGAGAGGACATACGGCCGCTACCTCCACCAGTTATGATCGAGACTTTGGGGGTTTCCTGCTGTTCCTTGGTCGGCCTCCGGTATACGATCTTGTTTTGTGAATCAAAGGCGAGAGAGGGGTTGGTCAGGGTCAAGCTCGCGAGGGACGTTTGAACAAGATGAGTGGGATCATCGATGAAACTATTGTCGTGGTAAAGATCGTGTTAGCATTGAAGTCGAGTATAAATTGGGTGGAAACCATGTAGCGGCGACGGATCTCAAGTTCCATATTCAACCTTCCAGCGAGTAATCTGGATAGCCGCAGGGACTTACTGTTTGGTCTGCATTTTTGCGACTTGTCTCGCGCTTTGCCCAGTAGCTGTTCGTAAGATGTTGGACCAGCGGAGGTCGTGGTCGTGATCGAAGAGAGTGTCTGGAGGACTTTGTAGGATTCTGGCTTCCACAAGCCCACGAAGACAGTTCCGATTACAACTTCTGAGTCAATTTAGGCGGTTGAAAGAGCGCAGGAGAAGCAGAGTAGCAGTAAGCATGCGGAGGACGAGAGGAAATATACGTCGAGAGGCACTGAATTGCCAAACTACCGCGTGCGTCCCCGCAGCACCGACGAGGGGAAGACAGGGATGTTCATCGCCCCACTGACCACCCGGATACCAGGAAACTTGCGGCGTGGGGGACCTCGAAGGGGACGCCCACGAGACTTTTTCAGGCCATGATGGGCCATTATCCACTTACACTCAAGCCCCGTGCTGCCGCTCGGTGTCAGAGAGACCGAGACACAAAATCCCGTATGGGCGTCAGTCGTTCCTCTGCAAATACATACTTACACAGCATTGCTCTCATTGCTCTACACAGCAGTCTTCCCACGCAGGTTCAAGCAAATTCCCATGTTTCCACAAATGTGTGTGCAGGATTCTCATAACTCGTGCTGGATCTGCATGATGGCTCATGGCTCCTTGGAGGCTCGGACTACTCTTTTTGGCATTCCGCGGCCCGACTCCGGCATTCGACGCCGACTTTGACACTCTGGCGGCGATGGTAGCTCGTAGCTTTGGCGACAGGGCGTCGGTGGTACCAGGCCCGACTTTGGCAGACCCAGTCGACCAAATTGGTGGATACACACGGCAAAAAGTGGTATCCAAGCGACAACAACGTAAAATAGTGCTTGGCCTTACCTGTTTCGTCCATTATCAAAGAAACGGTCGGCTCCCAGTCGGCAATATGGCCGCTTGATGAACAGTGGACTTTTTCCGAGTACTGTGTAGCTGTGTACTTTGTATAGGATACGAGGTGATCAGCACAAGACTTCGCTTTCACCTGGACTTTCAGCCCTTCTCCCAAACACCCAGAAGTTCAGAATCCCGTTCGACGAGGTATGTGAGTGATCCATATTAGGGTCTTCCGTTCTCAGGGTCAAACTCGAGCTCGGGCTGTACCAATTGCGCGATGTCACGGTACGGCACTTTGGAGTTGGTCAATACCTCTTCCAGTCCCTAAACACCCACTACACCCTGCTTTAAAATTGAAAGAGCGCGGAGCGCGTCCCCAGGCTGAACAGCTGACTAACAACTGACCGAGTCACGTGCTCAGGATCTCCCTTGGCGCCAAGAGACTCGTCCCCCTCTCCCCGGAACGGCAGATTCTTGTAACGAACTTTGCCCCCACGCATTCTGTCCGAGGTACATTCATCCAAGAAGACTGTTAGAGTGGTTTCTATGACAGCCTCGTCGCACCCCCAAACTGTCCTCATGGATCCAAAAGTTACATTCAATTTTAGTGAGTGAGTTTGGTGGATTTGATACTTTTAGCAAAGCATTCCGTGGGGGCAGAATAGAATCCGTCCAGGGGACATTCCCTGCAGATGATATCCTGGGAGACCTGAACCTCGCTAGGGGCTATCAACCATATCCAAGAATGTTATGGGGCTCGGGATGCCCAAGTCCCACCAATTCCTGACAGTATCTGGGCCGGAAGTCCGTCTAAAGGTAGTTAAATTTGCATTCATTGATAATGGACTATGAAGTCGAATTAGTTCCTCTAGGATCGTCGGCTCGATCACTAATCGACGGTCAAAGAGTCATCATGGGATTCATGGTCATTCCATACACATCTTACACTCCGCCAACGCACTTGTTCTGTACACATTCCTCGTACATCAGGCTACCCGATAGCGGATGAGTTCGACCGCTGAACCGCAACTCAGAAGGTGCAAGACAGCCCTAAACACCTCGTAAGAACATAACTTACCTAACTCCCGCGATCGACAAGGTAGCTTTGTCAGACTCGCTGCTTGGCCTGGGCGATTATTACTCAGCAGTACGATGTTTCGACCGCATCAGTGCTCGAAGTCCGACGCGCTCACTTTCGCGAACGATATAAGACAGAGATCCAGGTGTTGTCCACAGAGGTTCCGTTGACTTGAACAGTACATTCAATCTTCCCAGATCATTCCACGCATCTATGTCTTCAAAACTCCCAACCCGCCAGTTGGGCAGAAATGGGCCAGAAGTGACCGCCCTCGGTTTCGGGGCTCTTGGTTTATCCACGTTCTATGGGAAGAGGCAACCTGATGAAGAGCGCTTCGAATTTCTCGACCGTGCCTACGAACTGGGGGCTTGGAACTGGGATTCTGCCGATGTCTATGGCGACAACGAAGATCTCATTAGCGAATGGTTCAGGAGGAGCGGGAAGCGAGACGACGTAAGCTCAAATCAAATCATCCCCTATGATCTTACGCCTAACGCCACTCTTCCGTCCTAGATATTCCTCGCCACCAAATTCGGCAATATCTGGCGTCCGGACGGCTCCAGGACCATCAGAAACGACCCTGAATACGTCAAAGCCGCTTGCGAGAAGAGCCTCAAGAGACTCGGAATCAAGACAATCGATCTGTACTATTGCCATAGGCTCAATGGACAGGTTCCTGTGGAGGACATGGTGGGCGCCATGGCTGAACTAGTCAAGTATGACCACATCAGTGGAGTGTCCTGAACAATTGCTGACTGCCGAGAAAAGGGAGGGCAAGGTCCGATATCTCGGCCTGAGTGAGTGCTCGGCAGAGTCGCTGCGCCGTGCACATAAAGTCCACCCCATAACGGCTGTCCAAGTCGAATACAGTCCGTTCACAGTGGAGATCGAGGACCCTCAAATCGGCCTGCTAGAAGCCTGTCGAGAACTTGGAGTGGCGGTCGTTGCTTACAGCCCACTTGGTCGAGGGTTCCTGACTGGACAGTACAGATCACTTGATGATTTTGAGCAGGACGATATGAGACGAACACTGCCGCGCTTCTCACCCGAGAATTTCCACAAGAACCTCGAGCTTGTAGACAAAATCGTCTCTCTCGCCAGCAAGAAGGGATGTACGGCGGGTCAATTGACGCTTGCGTGGTTAATGGCCCAGGGTGAAGATATCATTCCGATCCCAGGCACAAAGAAAATCAAGTATTTGGAGGAAAACTTGGGAGCTCTGGATGTGAAGTTGACTCAAGAAGAAAACCTGGAGATCAGACAGGCTATCAAATGCGCCGAAGTCAGCGGAAATCGGTATCCTCCACAGATGCAGGCATACAACTTCATGGATACTCCACTAAAGACTTGACAAGTTACAACAGCGATGTGAGAGTATATCTTGCCGACAATGTTCTTTTTTCACTGTTATCAGTGGTCATGTTATTCAAACGGGGTCCTACTGGACGCTGTGAATGGTGTCTCCAGCATGGTCTCCCGGCGACTCGACAGGGAAGGTACACAGAGATATGACGCGAATGGATGTGGTTGAGATTGCTCGAAGGGGCGATTACCAGGCGTTGAGTCGGTTGGAGTCTCATCGAATAACTCCATATGGTCCTATAGGCTGGTATCCGTCTTTTCAGTCCGAAGCAATCGATTTCCTCTATTTATCTTGACCATTGAGCTCCACGAGTTGCCGGACGATATCGAATAAGCTGTCACCTTCGCCGACCGCGCCAGGAGAATCTATCCTTCTCCGCATATCGTCATCCAGTAAGGCTCGAAGCCTGGACGCCAGGACACCTATCCTTGCCCATCCTCGCAATTTCAACCACCCATCCACGACAATCCCCGCCCCGGAAGTATCGACCTCGATTGGCCCGCCGAACAGCAACAGTGCGTACGCATTCAAGGGGGTCAAGTCTCTGATAAACGTCTTGCTCGTCTCCATCTTGGCGAAGTAGCTTACAAACGCAGCCCCGCCGGAAAAACTCTGCGCATCGAACAGAACAGAGCTCGGATGCACGAACACCCTCCCGTTCTCTTCGTTGAAGTACTTGATCGTCTTCGCCTCGGGATCGAGTTCCTTGGCACCTGACATCGAAGCAATATACTTCTTGTCGGGCATTTGAATGCGAGCGATTTGCGGATTCAACGCCCCTGCTATCAACGCTCGGAGGAGCATAGTGTTACCTTTGCGCTGGTTATACCTCGATGGCTCCCTGGCATAAATTGCTGGTAGGAGACCAGCTTCAATCAACGAATCCAACAGCTGCCGTCTCGTCGAGTCGATGTCACGCAGCGTCTGTTGGGATAGGAATTTGTTCGAGCACCAATCTTGTAGATCCCTGTATCTCAAAGTTGCCGAGAGCTCTTTCCACTGCTCAAAAGCCGCACAATCAAGCATCAGATCTCCGTCGGTTGTCAAAAAGGACGAGCGAGCTTCTTTCGCCTCGTCCCTTTTATCGCGTGGGCTGACGAACGGGGACTTCGTCGTCAATATCGCGGCAATGCTTAGACACGGCTCCAAACAGTCGAACAACACTCCGTAAACGAGCAGCTTGGCACACCGCAGGTCTGCTGGAATCATGGCCAGGTACGTCCCCAGACCAGTGAGTCTCCCATTGTCCAATGCGCCCATCCTTTTGAGCGTCATCATCGCCATCTTCACGGCACGACTATGCGGCGGTGAGATCGTCCTGGCCAGGAAATCTTCAACATTCCTATCCGACCCAGTCGCTTTGACGGACAGACACAGCTGCTCGAGTGGCGTGCGGTGCATCTCTGGCGGCGATGCAGCTGGCATGTTGGCTTCGACATTGCGCGTGAACAATTTGTAGCACTTGCCCGCCTGGACTCGGCCAGCTCGTCCACGGCGCTGCTTGCACGCCGCTTGTGAGGCCCATACTTCTTCGAGACGGACGATGTTGGAGGCGGGGTCGTAATTCGTTTCTTTGACCTTACCTGTGTCGATCACCGCGACGATATCTTCAATCGTTATCGAGGTTTCGGCGACATTGGTCGCGACAACTACCTTGCGTTTCCCAGGTGGTGCATGTTTGAAGACTAGCCGTTGTTCCGCCGGCGTTAGTGAGGCGTGCAGCGGCAAGCCCTGAATGCGTGGCGAGTCGCTGAGGGACTTAAGGCAACGATCGATTTCCATCGTGCCGGGCATGAATATGAGGATACCGCCGGGATTCGTGCCGAGATCATCGTCGATGCATTGTACAAGTGAGGCGATCAACTGATAATTCGTGCCGGCTCCTAGACTTTGAATGGCTTTGCCCACATCCATGGGTGAAGCGTCTTCCGACTCTGTAGGCACAGCGCGATTGCCCCATTGGACGAGCTGGACGACATCGTCGAGGTAGAAATCCTGCACGGGGTATGTTCTACCTTCGATGTGTACCCTGCCCACGGTCCTGTTAGCGCCAAAATAGTTGGCAAAAGTATCGGCATTGAGAGTTGCGCTCATAAGGACGATCTTGAGATGTGGCAGCGACGGCAATGCATCGCGCAGCAACGCCAGAAGGAAATCCGTGTCCAGTGAGCGTTCGTGAACCTCGTCGGCGAAGACGTGGCTGACATCTTGCAGCGCTGTCTTGACATTCTCAGCGCCTTGTAACCGGCGAAGAAGCACACCGGTCGTTTGAAAGGTGATCTTCGTGGTCGAAGAGACCTTTGAATCGCCTCTGATAATATAGCCTACCTCGTCTCCTTCGCTTGCGCACCTCTCTGCGCTAACGCGATCGGAAAGTGAGAGTGCTGCGACTCGTCGAGGCTGCGTGCAGATCAGATTCGCGGATGAGCCCTGCAGACGCTGGATGGCATCGTCAAGGACAAATTGAATCGCTTGAGTACTCTTTCCTGAGCCAGTCTCACCAGTGATCAGGGTGACTTGGTGCTGACTGATCTGTTCGACGATCGAGTCCTGCTTAGCCCAAGCTGGCAGATTCTGTCTCACTGCCAACATTTTCTTCTGCTGCTGTGATTCCTGCCGTATAGTCCACGCTTCGAGTATCGACTTGCTCGTTCGCGTATCCTGCTGCTGCCCTCCTTTTGTTCTCTTCTTGTGACCTACAATTGCCTTTGCTTTACCCTCGATTGGTGAATCCCGTGCGTCTAACGACGCAGTGACAATCTCTAGATCACTTAACCTCCCAGGATTTTCAATGATTCTTGGAATTGACTCTTCAAGCCACTCGAGGAGACTGAATATCATCTGGTCACCGAGAAGATGCCCTTGAGCATATTGGACAGCCTGCTTGATAATACTTAGGCAGACATAACTCGGCACCTTGGCGTCTCGGATCGTGATAATAGGTGGCGAGGAAATTGGATAGCCATATATAGGACGCTGAAAGTTGAAAGTCGCCGATATCGCGGAATCTGGGCTGGTTTTGATGGAACATTGACCGTCTCTGATCGAAGTGAAGCGCTCAGCAAGAATAGCTTCGAGCGCCGTCATTTCCTCTGTCCACGCCAATTTGTTTGATAGTGTGTCGACCGGCTGATCCAACTTGGGAGGCACAAGTCTTGCTTGAAGCGCCTCTAGTGCCAAAGACTCATCACCGTGGTTGTCGCGCAGTGCCTGGAGACATAATTGACTGGAGTAACCCGCTTCAACTAGCCGCTGCACCTTTGAATCCGTTGAAAGATCGCTTGTGACAAGGGACACGCCTGCACTGTAACCAGGCGGAAAGCTCCATTTTGGAAGGGCATCCTCTGGCAGATGTATCAAGAGCCACTCCAGAACTTCTTCTCGGCTACCAGCCCAGTCCAACGCTTCCTGGATGTGACTCGCAACAAAGCCCGACTTCTCCAGGTCAGAGGCGATACGTTCTCGTTCGCTAGCCGGTATCTGCAGGCCATTTGGGTTCCAGATGCTCCTCGTTCGAATTGTTGATTCGATACGCATACGGGAATTCTGCCCCAGTTCGATTTTCGGTGCTCGATCCCAGCCTTTCAAGGCACGACTGTTGACGCTCGAGTTGACAAGACTCAAAGTCTCAATCTTCGGCGGCTTAGATGCCTCCTCTTGCCTCCTCTTCTCGATGGCAGCCTTGATGCCTTGCCGCTTGGATTCTGCTGCAAAGGGATCGGCGTCGTATTTCCAAGCTCGGTCTTCTTTGACGTCTTCCTCCTTCAGCCGCTGGAATTCGCCCTTCCAGAGATCTCGATGATTCGGAGGCAAAGCCATGGCTAGATTCTTCATACTCGAGACACGGAAAAGAGCATACGTAGCGGCAAAGTGCCTGGCTTCAAGAGCTGTTGGTTGATCCGCAAGATGTGCATGTGTTGGCGGCAGTTGGAAGGGGGGAAGCTTTGTGGTCTCGCCAGTCTTGGGATCAGTCCTCGACAGCACTACCCAAGCTCTATGCAGTTTCTCGCCATTTCCCCCAGAAGGCACCTGTCGACTCTGATAATCGGGCTTGTTCCACTTCTGTCGTTGACAATGCTCCGACAAGAGGTTTACAGGCAACTTGCCTGTCCATGATTGGCCTCCAATCACTTTGCGAGCATCTGGACGTGGCGGCACTTCCACCTGTCTGGGGTCTTTTGGCTTCTTGTCTTTTTGTGAATTAGTAAAAACGATGTGATCGCTGTCGGGTACTGCTGGGGTCGATGTTTTCGAGGCCTTGCTTTTTCCCGAGGCAGACCCCTTCTTGGGTGCCATCTGTTGTTCAATAGCCGTTGCGAAGTCCGACCGAGCGGATTGTCGTGAAACCCTCTTTTGTCTCCAACAGACGGCAAGTGATCTCCACAAGGGTGATGTCAGTAGAAACCTAGCCAACTCATCATTTTGCGAACTAGGCGAGAAGATCCCTCGATAGATGAGATAGGCGACAGGGCATCATTTGAACCTTTCAGAACTCGATGGTCGCACTGAGAGATGTTAGCGTTATGTCGCACACCATTAACTGCCCCGTCTGACTATGTGTCGTTTGGACATCTTATTATGAAGAAGTGAGGCAGAATAGTGAAAATAAGAGTCCCGGCAAACCTTCCGCATTACGCAACGGGCAAGGCTGGAAGATCGACTAGGCTGCTCAGCCTTGCGATGCCCCTTTTTCCATTTAGGCGGTTCATCGGTATAGATCCCATTGTGCGGAGGGCACTCTTCCCGCAGCGTTTTCTCGGACGCAATCGAAGGTTTTTGAAGGGACACGCGTTGACAAGCACCTAAGGGGACATCTATTTTCATTCTCTCCAAGAGTATTAGTTGCATTATTTCCGTTACAGCACGTCTGTTGCTTCGCTCGAAATCGAAATCACTTCGCGCATGAGCAGTCATTCCCTTTCCGTTATCTGCAGTCCGCAGAACAGACTCTTGACGCCGTTACCATAGTCTCCAAGCTTTCCACCCTGTGTGCAGCAATCCGCCATGAGAACGCGAATATTGAAGACGATACCCGAAAGAGGGTAAAATCATTTAATCATTCGCCTTATCTCTTTCGGTTTCCCGGGAAATGATGCCTGTCAGTGGTTCATAACTTCGTGTGTCGTCGTAAAATGAATATCGAATGGCAGTTGCCCAAGCAACGGCCTTCCAGTCTCCGAAATGGTGCCCGAAGGCGGCTACATCTGGAAGTGAATGAAGCTGCTCGTGTGCTCTCAGACCTTTGAGTCATTAGGCGAGTGCTGAGTGGCGGTCGTAGTGCACCTAGAATTGCCATAGAGCAGATTCCTAGTTGCGATAATAAGTAATGCTGTCATAGTATGGAACCGTTTGTGGTTGTGCTAAGAATACCATAGCAGCTTGATCTGGCAGTTGGAAACCTCTCTGAATTTCGGTTTCGACAAACGCCGATGCTCTCTTGTAGCGCTTGTCGCAGTATTTGTTGAACACTGCACTGTGATGTTTGCGAGGGTCATCGCAGCACTCGAGCAAAAGACTGACGAGAGGCTTAAGTTGTGAGTAGGTGTATCCAGAGTAGTAGACATGGTGAGCAGTCTGGATGTGTCAGTAATTGTTCCTGCAAAGCGTTGGTGGAGACTTACCCAAGTTCCCTTTCGAAGCATGATACGTGCAAGGCAGTGGGAGGCTGCGGCTGCGAAGCTTGGGGGACTGCCAATGAATCGCTCATCCATCAAGGTGACTTCTAAGAAGTATTTTGCCAAAGTTCGGGTTTCGAGGTCGTAATCATCAGCTTTGCTGATTCTTCGCAAGAAACTCATCGGGCCGGGCCATCCAAGCTCAAATTGGAGCATCGTAAGCATGAAACGCTCTGCCTTGAGGATCTCGTCGACAGTGTAGCCGCCATCAACCATGTACACAATCTCTTGGACAGATGGGCAGTTGATCTCTTCATATTTAGCCGCAATGAAGATAGCTGTTGCACCGACGAGCTGCAGTTTCCCGAGAGATACAACCTTGCAGGACAAGAATCGATCGATGTAGTTGACAGTGAGGAATAGAGTTTCTGGGAGGAGGTTGAAACGAAGATGCACCTGCACAAGCCAGTCCATGAGGACCGACCGCATCGACCATTGAATTTCGTGTTGGTTGTCCATGTAGTGAGCGTTGGGAAGCATCTTCAACTCCATAGATCTCATATAGTCGAAGATCTCGTCTCCATATTCGGCAACCATGCTTGTGTCAAAGCTCTCGTCCTCCACCTCTTCGGGGGAGCGAGTAGCCTCAACCAATTGCTTCGCCTGGGCAATCTCCTTGCGCACACGTTGATTGATTTGGGGGAAGAGCATTGCGGTGGCACCACCAGTGGTGTTGTCGCCTCTAGATCGAAAGGACCTGGCTGTTACATAACCCTCCTCGTCGTAGTTGTCGTCATCGTCTTCTTCCCAGTACTCCTGTTGCTCGGTTTGTCGCTCGACGTAAGTATGGTGTGAGCTCAAAGGAGGGATGTTGTCTACCGGGTTAACGAGCTTCGCGACAGGGATCTGCTGTATTTCAGGCTTGGTGGTTGTTTGAGCAGTAGTGTTGGCCGCAAGTGACGGGATGAGAGAAGACATATTATGAGATTCGTAGTGCGAAGTAACGGGGTGGCCAGCAGGCTGTGAACTGGCAATGACGTTCTCGCGAAGGCGAGCATCATTGGTCAATTCACTAGACAGCGCAGGCTCTAGGCTCACTTCATCAATTCCTGGCAAGCTGATCTCTGACTGAGGATCTTGAGCTTCTTTGACAGGCTCAGCAACAACCTGCGACGTTGGTGGAGGGAGACAAGGTCGGAGTTGTGTGTCGAACTGCGCAGAGTCTGTGTCCTTTGCGTTCACTGTGCCGTTAGTGGAGGATGGCTCCACAGTTTGGACTTCCGTCTCTTGCACTGTCACTAGGCGATTGTCTTTGAAGATGGTGGTGTGTCGCTTGTTCAAGGCCTTTTTGCCGTTGACAACATGTGAAAGAAGCCCATTGCTCTCTGCTGGGAGAGTGACGGCACTCTCAGAGGTTGAACTGGTGCTTGCACTGGAGAACAGTGTCTTCAGACCTGACACCGATAAAGGTCTCTGGGCAGGTCTAAGTAGGCTGGTTGACTTTCTTTCATACAGAGCTTGGACTGGTTTCACCATAGCCTGCTGGCTAGGCTTGATTTGCAAAGCTGAATCATCTTTAATGGGTTTTACACCTATGGTAGTATTGCTGACGTCTCCGAAGACCTTTCGTTTTGCTCCAGCTGCCAGGCCCTGCGTTGCTGGTACACCTGTTAGGGCAGGACTCGATTTGTTCCGGTGATGGATTGTTTTCGTGGCATGACCGGCGGGAGGGAGGTTCTCGTCGTTGTTGACGCGTATGCGCAAGGGTCGTTGTGGCTGGAGTCCAGATTAGTGACAATACGACATCAAAGATCATAGAGCTGGCCGGCTGCAAGGGAGGAGCAGGTCGCGTGTCGACAGGCTTTGTTGACAGAAGAGGGAGATGCAGAACAGCTTACCTTGACATCCATATTGACTGTTGTGCCTTCCAGTGTTTGTTTGCCTGTTAGATGTTCAGTCGAGGGAGGCTGTTGTAAGCCTATGCCGGTCGAGACGCAGCACCCCTATGGAATCCAGAACGCGACAGAATCGGTAGCATGAGTTGAAGTGCTATGGAAAAAGGGTAGAACGAGAAGGAAAGAGGTCAAGTCCAAGATTGAGTATCAATGCTGGAAGCTATGGCTGCGGAAAGCGCACGGATTGTGTACAACAAAACATTCGGCTTGGATTTATTGAATTGGAGCATTATGGTTGCAGGTCCGAGTAAACAAAACAGCCTTCTTGCCGCTCTAAAGATCTGCAGGCTAATACTCCAAATTAAAGATCTGACCATTCCTCTTTCAGAGGCCGACAACACCACTAGTGGAAAACACGAGTCCTACCGACATCTCGAACATCATTTTGACGGTCCACCTCAACGAAATGCTTCTACTAATGCATCAATATTGAGCTACTAGTTCTGATGATGAACTTGCATCTTCTACGGAGGGATGGGCTGCCTGAGGTCTGTCAACCGTGACAAAAGAACAAAAGCTGCCATATGACGTCGACGCGACACGGCCCAACGCGTGGTCACATGACTTTGCGTAGGTCTTGGAGACGAAAGGACCTTGATTTCTTCTCATCTTTTCAAGTTCTCGAAACAATGACAGTCAAGCATCACGACTGGCGATGACAATAATGAGCACTTGATCTGTTCTGTGGTGCCCTTGTCGACCTATTTCAACAGCCTGGCCTCGTAGCGAGGTGTCATCCATGACTGGCTCACTTCAAGACCCCAGCTGGTGGGCGCTTACTCACTCACCTCAACGATGTCATAACAGGACATCCAATCACCAAGAATCCACCTCCAGATGGAGAATCACCAGTTCTGCATGATACGGCGAGAAGTTTCAACCGTGCATCTCCTGACTGACTGACTGAACCGGTCGCTCGGAGGTCGATGCGGTATAGCCTGTTTGACGACTCCTCGTTGCATTGCTCGCACAAATTCACAGGCCCTGAACTAACCTGCGCTCTGCCCTTCAGACCGATGTACATCTTGCACAGCATGTTGGCCGAGGTATGAAAGTCAAAATCGGGAAAATGCAATCTGGGCAGGCGTTATCTTCCGAGCGAGAGAACTCACAGCCGCAAAACTCAATTTATATAATCATGGCTCTCATGCCTTGCCATTTGTGCATTGCTCGGCCGGCGTATTTGTGCCGACTTGCGCTGATTCTTTTCGCCCTCGGCATCGACGCCCATCGCCACGCAGAGGGCCCAAAGACGCAAATCGCATGATTGTTACCATCGACGACATTTTCCTATCATCTTGTTCAAACGTGTTGCAGGTCTTTCAGGTATGACGTTCCTCGTCCACGGAATTGGAATGTGGGGATGTCGTGGTCGGACAGTCAATAGCGGAATCTTGAAATTCATTAATCTCGCTCGAAGATCGACGCCATACATACAAATGTACGTCGACCTGTCTGAGACTCTACAAATAGCTACGATAGTGCTCGGGGCTTGGATTTCGTATGGGATCTGACCGCATGTGCACCAAAGGGTTTATCAAGCCGCGAAATTGCGCCGGGTGCGAGCTTCGCCGCCAGGCCGCCAAGGCCCTGGTTGGTGGCAGATCGTGAGCGAGTGTGAGCGAGGTTGACAGCGGTCGTTTGCGCATACTTCTTCCCTAGAGAAATAATGGCCAACGAGGCCCGGCAAGATCCTAGTCGGCGGTGATTATCGGATGAATCATTCCATCAGAGCTCTCGTCATGTTCATGAGAAATGCTCACCGAGGGTCGAGGTTGCATGGGTTGGCGATTCAAGTTCTGCGGTTTGTTGCAGCCAGTGCGCCAGCCCACGCACAAGTTGATCGAGGATTGGTGGAATGGTTGGATGGCATGCTTGCGTGTCTTGACCACGGCCTCTGAACGGCACCCAAACTCCACCTTTTTACGGCTCATTGCTAATCTTCACCAAACAGACGTCGCAAAACCTTTGCACTACGGCCAGCATTTCTGAGCATCAGTGAGGGGTTTGCTTTTGATCGTTTTAGCACAGCGCATCGCCTGGTCTGGCTCGCATTGGTGTCCTCACTTTCCCGATCCGCCTCTGCTGACCGGCTTCATCACTTTTTGTCTCTCCTTGTCCAACCCTCGGGCCCGGTCAGGGATGCTAGCCAAAGTATATGCTACCACCTTCCACAGGCCGCGCAGGACACCGCTTGGGTCGGGTCATGGTTTCAATTGGCTCATAGCCGGATGTACATCCCATCACAAGATAGCACTACCTGGGCAATACTGAATACCGGACCTGTAGTACGTTGGGTCCTCGCTTGAGGTCGAAGATAGGGCCCAACGCCATGTCTTGCACTTGAATCGTAGTTTCCAGCGACAAGACTCTTTCTGGTCATTTTTCCCTTTGTGCGCTCCTTGCCTGTTAAGAAGAATTACTGGTCATAGTTCTGACTCGTTGGAATTGTCAACTTCGGTTTCTACATCCTTCGAAACCACGTTCTTGTGGTACGAGGTACGGGCGCATCTGTGTCGAGGGTGGGTCTCTCAGCACTGCCAGTTTCAACCCTGCTTCCCTCAGCTTGACCTCTTCCCGTCACTCTTCGACTTGCCCATCAACCTCTCGACCTTTCTCTGTACTACCCGAGAGGTCTGTATATCTATCAGTACTTCAACCAGCCATTCATTTCAATATTTCACCCTTAACCGTCCCAACAGGTATCGTCGCAGGCTCAATGTTCGTATCCTCGACGATGCCTGGACGGTAGTGCCGGATACCACTGTCATTGCCTTTGCGCAGCCTCTCCTCCAGTCTGTTTCGATCATAGGATTACTGCAAAAAGTCGCGGTCGCTGTCAGAAGCGTTTGCCCATCGTAAGTCACCAACACTTTGCCCAGTGACTGCATCCGCAGCCATCCTCCCAACCGCCTCCCACCCTTCCAATCCAGCACCTTGGACCATCAGTAGCCAAACCATACCACGCATATACCGTTGACTGACAGAGGCTGACTTGGACACTTAGAGCATCAACCTCAAGCCTAGAAAACCGAGTCCTTCCGAACCCTCCTATTGCTCGACCCTTTCCTGTCTGACAATCCAGGCCTAAAAGGAGGGATACCAAGAGAAGAACGGAGACGTCCTCGATCATCAGGTGCAATGCAAGTCTCCAGCCTGCTCTCTAACGAGGAGCATACACCACCCAAAAAGATGCCTCCTGCAAAATCGATCTCTTTCGAACTCCTCCTAGACGAGGGCTCAAAGACAAGGGCACGCATTCCTCTTAGGGTTGTGTTAAACACCCATGACAGTGCTGAGTCTATCATCACTACGGTGAAGAATTTCTATGGCATATACGATGGCAGAGGAGTGAGCTTCGAAGACGCACTAGGGATTACACTCATTCCCTCTTACGAGAACTTGGCGCCTGATTCGACTGTCTATGTGAGAATTGTGCCAGCTCCTCAACAAGCCATGGGAACGTACACTCACCCAGCCTACTGCAATGAGAATGGATATGAGCCAAGACGCCGACCGAGTTTAGGTGAACCTTTCCAGATGTTGCCGCCTCACATGCGGGAACTGTCTCACTCACCCTCGAGGTCGGCGTCTCGGCTCGCTCGAAAGAGAAGTGTCTCTCCTACACAAGGCCGAGGGCGAAGAAGTGCGTCGCAACAAAAAGGAGGCTCGTTTCCGACCGCCAGTCGAGGCTCTAGTGCCAATGGCAGCTACCACGAAGACGACGGTTACAGTGACAGCGAAGCTGGGCGCAGTTCAGTCTCTGGATCCAAGAAAGCCAGAAGCGAACAGTTTGTGAGTTCAGAGATCAGCACTGCCAATGTGCTACAAGATGGTAGGCGCGGCCAGACCATTTTCGATAGCTCGGTAAGTGACCATGGATTTCCCCAGTCCTGCCCCAAGCTGACATTGACTAGACCTTGCCTCTCTTCGTTCCTCCACAAGTCCCAGTAACTGCATCACAATCCTCCATATCACCTCAGCGAAGATCGCTTCCGCAAGAAGGTCCCTCACCGTTCCATCCTCCGGCCCAAAAGTTCGGACTGCAACAAATCCCAATACTGTCCCCACAGACCTATGGGCCAATTCATAATGCGTATGGGTCAGGCGTAGGCGCCGAGATGGGGACACCTGTACCTCAACATGGCCATCGGCTGCGAGACAGATCTATCTTGCACCAAGGCCACAGTGGGCGACAAGGAAGTGGAGTGCTGCCTACCCCTGATCCTACTGTCGCAAGTTGCATCTCGGATGAAGATGTCGCCCGCACGCTGATCGCCCTTGGAGACGCTTCCAACTACTCACATGGACGTACCTCGAATTCGACTCTCGATGAAACATTCAGCGGCGCCGCCGATGCTGCTTCATCGACCGGTGCAACCAGCGATAGTGAGGAATATGGCGATGCAGAAGGAGGCTTGCCTAAGTATACAAAAGTCTTGGAGGATGAGGATGAGGACTATGATCAGAGCAGTCCCGCTCGGGAGCAAGATGATTACGAGGGCCAGCCAAAGATCAAAAAGATCAAAACCAAGATGCATGATGGCCCAAGCAATGGCTACCGAGCAACACCGAACTCATCCTTGAAGAATGGAAAATCTTCCAAGATACGCTCCAACACTCTACCAAAGACTGCCAAACACTCAGTTCAGCCAAGTCTAAGCAAGGTCACCTCTGCGCCCACTGCTGGGGGGCAAGCTCGAAAGTTGTCTGGGTCGAGCGTCAATTTCCAGCATCAATTGGGCGCGGACGAAGATGACCTTTCCTCCAAACCTCGTTGCCAACGATGTCGAAAGAGCAAAAAAGGTTGCGATCGTCAACGACCTTGCGGACGATGTAAAGATGCGGGCATTGGCATTGAGGGATGCATCAGTGAGGATGAAGGTAATGGTCGCAAAGGCCGTTATGGTCGGCACATGGGTGTTCCTGTCAAGAAGTCAGCCGGCGACGACTTGGACGAAGAGGAGTCCGTCATGACCGGCCCCGGTGCACTGATGGGCGGTGCGCTTGTCAGCAGCAGCCCCGATAAGAGCAAGAAGAGAAAGAGATGATCAGCGGCGTCGTTCGTTGTATATTGAGAGTGTTACAGCAAGGATTCTGGGAATCACCAAAAGCAAGTCATGGTCAACAGGTATAGAATGGGATTGTCGACCATCTGAGATAGGATCAAAGGGACCGCGAGGCCTTTCGACGGGATGAGAAGATTGACCACGATGGCGAGTGTCTTATTTGCTTTGTGTTCATGTTTGTCTGAACTGGAAGTACAATGGATTCCAGGGCCTGAAGGAGGAATAGTGGCGGGACATTGCAGTCTGTCTCCTTTTATTTGAAGTTTTTGGTACGGACAAGAGTAGGCGAATTTTGTGGATTGTCGTTTCCGAAGCAAGAGGTTGATCCTGGATTCAATCGCGTTCATGAGTGCACGAAATGAGAAGACTTTGATTGTCATTGGGAATCTGATCTGATCTTTTACATGACCTTCACACCACATCAAATGAAGGCCCAAGTTATTACGAGCACTTTGGTATACCAGAGTGACCAGGCGAGACTGCATCGCGAGATCGTACGAATCCAGTGGCTCACCACGTGATCATGTGCTTACCTAATTACGAATAGTCCCAAAGCAGTAGTAAAGCCGAAGTGAGGGGAAATTACTCCAACAAAAAGTTGTCGCAGCGATTTTGACAAAGTGACAAATTGACAATGAAGGAGAGAATTGGTTTCCAATTTGCACAGCACACACACCTTTACATCTCCTCGCTACAACGCTGTCATTAGGTGACTCGGACTGCTCGTGCCGCAGCTAGTTACTGTCTGATCTCAGGGTCTTTCTGTTTTCGGCAGACTGGCCAAGGACTTTCATTTTACAAACCATCCATACCAAACCACTACTAGACTCCGACTCGATCGATCCAATACTCACTTTCACTCGTCAGACCTCGACTATGTATCCTAGCTTATGACTTCGACACTTGTCCTGATCACCAAGAAACTGACCTAATCATCCCTACGGGACATTCCCACGATGTCCGACTCCAAACCTTCAACCCCCAAACCGTCCACGTCCGCCCCGAGAGCCAAACCACGCGCCGGCGTTCAGCGCAAATCCAAGGCCGAGCGTGAGGCCTTCGCCAAAGAGGAAGCCGAGCGTCAGAAAGCCCGACTCGCTGAGGCCGAGAAAAATGCAGCCATACGCGGCGCACGTGGTGGCGGCCGCGGTGGTCGCGGTGGGCGTGGCGGCGCATCTTCAACAGGACCGAACAATGAGAGGGCCCGTGAATTAGCTCTCGGCGGAGGTAGTGTCTTCGGCGCAGGCAGCGGGGCGAGACTTCAGGGGAGGTCGAGAGTGCTGCCAGAGGGGTACTCTGAGATGCTGGAGGGCCAACAAGCAATCAGACCCGACGATCCTTCTTACACGGAAGGTCCTGCTGGTGGCGGCGGTGGTGGTGGGGGAGGGGGAGGAGGGGGAGGAGGAGGTGGTGGTGGTAGTAGGGGAATAGGAGCGAGCAGGAAGACGGACGTCGTAGACATACCCTCGGACGACGAACCAGACGTGCCGAAGCGAGATATCGAACTGATCGACCTATCAAGCGACCAGTATTCGGATGAAGATATTGTTTTGTCATCAAAAAAGAAGGGCAAGCAGAAAGTCCGAGAAAAGACCTCAAAACCAGGACAGGGTTTGCGACCCGTCCGAGCCCCTCGCGCACCCAGGCCTGAAGAGCGGGACAGACAAGATGCAAACAAGAAGAGTCGTATCGTGAAGAAAGCGGACCCAGAAGTCCAAGACCTAGACGGCGAGAGTGCGGATGCAATGGTCACGGACGACCCGGTGTTCGTCAAGGAGCAGCCATCTAGCCCTGAGTTGCGGAGACGAGGACTCAAGAAGCCCGGCGTGCGCGCGAAGGAGGGCAAATTCGCGACGGAGACCATCGAAGAGCGTGCAGAGCGTTTACGTGAGGCGGACGACGTGCACAAATTACGGGATGTTTTTGCGCAGGTCGGGATCAAGCAGCCTGCTACGAACGGCGAGGATGACGATGACGAGGAGCCGGATATGCAGGGCAAGATGTTCCTGTTCCAATTGCCACCATTGACCCCGTTCTTGGTCGATCCAGCAACGATCAAGGGCGAGGAGGATGAAGTCAAGAACGAGCCTGGCGTCGATAATCCCGCTCCTCTCGATGGCCCAGGAAAGGCGACGACGCTGCCTGGCGAAGCGGAGGCGAAGAAGGACACAGATGCCGTTCAGTCCTCGAAACCGCATCTGCAGCTCGATGGGCTATTGACTGCCACCGAACCAACGCGTCTGCCGTCCGGGTTGGTGGGCAAGTTGCGTCTACACAAATCCGGCAAAGTCTCCCTCGACTGGGGCGGGACGGATATGGAAGTCCGGTATGGTTCGGAGGTGGACTTCCTGCAGGACGTGGTCATGGTGCAAAGCGATGTCCAGAAAGAAGGTGAAGAGGACACGAAGAAAGAAGAGGACGGCGATGGTCCAGAAGAAATCGAACTCGGAGACAAGAAGGAGAAGTTCACAGGCAAGGCATATGCCTTGGGCCAGGTGCGCAAGAAGATGGTTCTGATCCCGGACTGGGCGAAGCTGTATGATTAGGAGCCATACAGTGAGACCGACCATGGCCCGCGGACAGATGATGCAGAGTGATTGAGCTTGTGGATGATATTGCTTCATCCTCCAAGCCGACATGTATTCCTTGTACATCTCAACGGCGTTGGACGAAAGGCATGAACCAGGCGGACTTGGGCTGATCCATCAGTCATTCCTGATACTCTCAATTCAAGACTTACGGTATTCTCCATATTATGCTCTCACGAGCTGAAACCAAGTACATGATTCTAACAGATGGAACACTTTTGAACCCAATCCCATCGCCGACACACCTTGTACGCCTTTTATAATGCGACTTGCGCAGCTTGGTGCGGACATAAAAGAACGCTCGATCGTGTAGGGTACCTCACCCCCAGAAATCGGAATATTTAGCCTCGTCCGTGAAGAACACCACGATTTTGAGAGAACAGTAGACTTTCAGTAAGTGACAATGTCTTCTATCTTAATCACTAGGTACAAATCCAGGTTCTAGCCGAAGTTGTCTACAAGTCCTCGGTCTCACTTCAATAGAAGATGAGCGACGCTTATGCTCGATTTACGAGAAGCCCTTTGTTTCACCAATACTTCTGCTGTTAAGTCTATTGGCACCCCGTAGTCACACTCGGAGTGCGGAGCGATCTTGATATCGGCCTTGTTAACCGATTTCATTCCTGATAGAGATATGTCTCTGGAAAGAGTTGTACATTCCAGTACTTAACAATACCATAGACGCTCACGCATGGCGGCCAGCCGAATTCCTATGCAATCAAACATCAGAAGTAGGCTCCACCCCCTAAACCCATGTCATGTTCGCCGTCCGAGTGACCATTGACTCGGGTGACCATGCGTTCCATTAACCAGTCTCTCATCGCAACTCCTTTCAAACACACTGGGGTATCGTTCACAAGAAATTCAAGCATGCCGTAACGATGCCCACCGCCACCACAGTCAACCCTGCGACTCCGAACGCATGTCCGGCATTGGCGCTGCATTTGCAGTCAGCAGTTACAGTCCTTCCATCTTTGCTCACATGGAGCGTCGTGCAGCCCATTCCACACTCGAGAGCCTCGTTGAGTTCTTCATCTGACATTTCCGGGTCCTCAGCCGTAGCTTTGTCCGCCAAAGTATGAATGTCATCCTGAATTGTCTTAGCTACTTCCCCGACCGGCTCTGTTGCAGGAGACAGCTCTTTCTCGCTTTGTGTCTGAATTTCCGGTGTCGTGCCCTCATTGGCTACCAAGGCCACTTGCGTGGGCAGACTTCTCTTCGACTTGACGACGCCAACCGTGCCTTGAATCGTACCAAGCCCAATCTCTCCAGCAGTGGCTGATGGCCATTGGTCAGGAACAGGGGCAAAAGTCTGCGTATATACACTGCAAATTGTCAGAAGGCTGTGGCGGTAGGAGTAATCAGGCTGAAATGCTTACACAGGGACTTGGACTGCGGTACCATCCTTCATAGAATTAGCGTAGTATGTGGTGATGGGCGAGATTTGGCCGATAGCCGTGGCTGCCAGTCCAGTGCCTTGGCCGGTAACTTGACGTTTAAGATCCGGAATGATATTCGGATCCAGGACGGGGAGGACCTGGACATCTGGAGTAGGTGTGACAGTCGCTAGAGGTGTAGGAGGAGATGGTGAAGGTGTGATGGGTTCTAATGTTGTGAGGGCAGACCAGCCATTTGACTCGAGTTCGGAAGGAATGGCCTGGATGTCCACAGGCATGAACGCATGAGTAGTGCTGGCAAGAAGAGAGAAGAGGACGGTCTTGACCATCTTGTTGGACATTTTGACGGATGTAGAGGACGGCACACTCTGCTAGAGACGGGGCTCTCTATTCCCAAGTTATAGATGGTCCTCCACTCGGAGTTTGCTGTCACGGGGTCCTGCTCCTGTGCACTTGCGGGCTGTCGTTGCTCCCAATATTCCCTCAGCAGTGTAGGCCAGTGATGGAGGCAGACAGGCCAGCGAAGAAGTGTGAGGGTGTCAAAACAACGCCACGGCGATCGACCTGCGACTTGAGGAGTATGATGGCGGAGGGATGATGTGGAAAGGCCTCACAGCCTCAACTTGGCTGAAGCTGACCGGAGGTTCGGTGGTTGGAAGGCTGGATTGAGCTGGATTTCGGGCCGGATGAGATGAGGGCGGGATGATGCAGCAAGGAATGGAATACAGTAAACGAATGGCTGGCCCGCTGACAAGGCTATCAAAACAATGTCAGAGTGTGCAGTGTGAAGAGCAGGAAGGCTGACGCGTGAAAAGGGAAAATAGCAACTTGAACCAACATGGGGAAGGGAGAGGCAGTGGAGTTCCTTCCAAGTTCCAATATCCGAGTTGGCAATGGCAAAGCCAATGATTGCGTGGCTAGCAGATAAAGCAAGGGAAACTCCGATAAGTGATCCCTCCTTGTACTGTATGGTCGCGGTATCAGCATTCGTCAGGCAACAAACATTGCACGCATATTTCTCGCAGATCGCGCCAGCAGTTGACAGGGAGATGGCCGTATCGTCGTTTCAACTAAACAGTTTCCGGAAAGGCGTGTTACGGCCGCCAAATTGAAGCTTATTGACATAAGCAAAGGCTGATTGGCCTCTTTCGCATGGTTAATTTCGAGAACATGCACAAGGGTCTCGAGAAAGGAGTTCCACCTAGGGTCTCTCGAGGGACTACCATAGTACATAAGTTACTTGATGCTGCAAGGTGTTTATATCGGCTTCGAGTGCGGAGTATTACGAGTACAAACACTACACATGATCAATATCAACTACAGACCGGCGTCTTAAATCCAACAGTCCACCCCATACTGCCCATTATCATTACCATCAACCCCACACCTATCCACGCGCTCGTCAAGCCATAGATCCATCCATGTCTTCTGCGCAGTCCATTTATCTCAGCCGCCCAGGTACTCACGGTCGTTAGACATCCGCAAAAGCCTTCCATGATACCCTGCAGGACAGCACAAGCAGTGGGACTAGATGCCCCGACGCCGCTCGCATGCTGTAAATCGAAGGCCATGCCCAAAATTGCTGTTCCGAACATGTTGACCACAAACGTACCTAGAGGAAATGAGGGAACAATAGCATTCAAGTGCTTTGACGCGTAAAACCGGAGAAGGCAACCTGGAGGTGCGAATACCAACGGAAAGACCGCGCGAAATCGCCAGTGCTCATCGTTGCCGGCGGGCCAGATAGCCAAAAATACTGCGCCGAGCCAGCAGCCAAAGCCCAGCAGGACCATCAACGGATCGAAGAAAGAACGTGTGATCCTGATCGGAATTGTAGGCGTCACAGGTTGTAGAAGCAGTGCCAGCTGGGCCCCTGCATTGAGACCAGCCAGCGATACGGCGGGATGGAGAATCAGTATTGCCATCAGGGCAAGAAAGGAGAAACCACCATTTCTCGAAGGTACGTTGTTTTCAACATGGTAAGGTGATGTTGGCGAAGGTCCTTGCAGGTCATTTGTCAATGCGAGAAAACAATCGCGAATGAATGAGGAAAAGGACGTAAAGCTTCCACAAAACCCCGTAGCGAGACCAATGTAGAGCGGAATAGTTTTCTTGACCTTGCCATGGGTTGACGCTGGTGCTTTCGGATTCGGTGATCCCCATTCTTGCCGGAAAAGACGTCGGTCCTCGGCCAGAAACCCCATGAAAAAGGAGCCTCCCAAATTGGCCCAGAGGATCCTAGACGAGACTGGTGTGTTCGGATACAATGTGACGGCGTCAACGCCCAATCGTGCCAGTGTGCCTAGTAGCGAGAAGAATATCAGAGCCGACACGGTGACCAACTCCAGGAAGAAAGGCGAGGGCATGTGTTCCCTTTCTGCCGCGACTTTCTCTTGGTCTTCCAAACTCTTGCGCTGGGAGGGCGATTCGACTGCGGTCTCTTCGTCGGACGGCTTCTCTGCCGGCTCGGGCACAGCAATTTCTCCAAGAGCTGCCTCGCGACTCTTCCTCCGACTTCTCGACGAGCTAACCCTCTGCATGGCAGCCTCAAGCGAGTCCCGGCGTCCTTGCGGCCGTGCGGGAGGTGGTACATTCATCTCAGTCAACTCCATATTTTCTCCATCCCCTTCATGTAGCTCATGCCTGCTGGGCCGGTGGATTGTGTCTTCCCATGAGGGATAGCGGATGTCTTCCCTGCGAGCGGGCGGTGGAAGGATGGTCTCGGTCAACTCTGAGTCGCCGACGTCCTCGCTTTCACCCTCCATTTCCGCATCGCGATCCATCTGGGTCACATCCTGGTAGTATGAAGGAATGTTGGTGGTTTCTGGATGGTGCTCCGGCGTCCGATGCTCGGGTAGATGATTTGTTTTGCTGCCTCCCATCGCGTTTTAAATCGCGGTGACAGATGCTATCCAGGAGAAGAAGTCGGAGGACGTCTGTTGCAGGCCATCTAGACTCTACGCAAGGGCTGACTAGAGTATTTGACTTGTGATAAAGGTGTGAGGAAGTTGTTTGGAAGTGGAAGCTGTCATATGATGGATGGATGTACCGAACAAGCAGACGCGAGCCCGCATCGACCTTTTAAGGAGGTGGATAGCATATACACATTTAATATTGTCCCTGCTGTTAACCAGCCGCTGGGTGTCAAGTCATACACTGTCTGCGGCATCGGCCACTGTACCTGGCAAAGGTTCAAGAAGCGCAAGAACAGAAAACAGTTCAATCAACCGGGGCTTGGCTGTGCCGGTCTGCCCGATGTTATCGCAGATCATGCGCAGATGTAACAAAGAAATGTGGGCACCCCGCCAACAATCCATTAACACGGTACCTGCGCCGCGGCCAACGATAAAGCAATGCGCGTTCAATCCTTAAGTGTTGAAACTCCTTCTGATCTATCTTCCTTATTTCTGGTCTTTCATTGCTACTCCTATGCAACAGTCTTCCCGCTATCATGGCGCCGCATCTTCCTCCCAATGTCCGCGTCTCCAAACACCCTTGTCTCCGCGCAAAGCTGTCACAGCTGCGTTCCAAGTCCACCAATGCTCGTGAAACCAAAACCCTCGTCCACGAGATAGCACTGCTGTTGGGTGTCGATGCGCTTTCCAATCTTGAGGTTGAAGAAGCTGGGAAGGTCAGTTAGTTTACAACTCCTCGATAACCTTGCTGATTGCGATCCCAGGCTGACCATTGAGTGATGCAGGACGAGACACCCATCGGGTTCGAGTATAGCTTCGAGGCCGTAGACTGCAGCAAGATCACCCTTGTGCCCATTCTTCGAAGCGGACTTGGAATGGTTGAAGGTAAGCTGTTCCATGCCAGCGGATTTCCCTGCGACTGACATGTATAGCCGTGCAAAGCATTCTTCCTGAAGCTGTGACGGTACACCACCTTGGTCTCTTTCGTGAAAAGCTGACGTTGCAACCTGTCGAGTATTATAACAATCTGCCACAGTCACAAGCCAATGTTGCGAAATTGGCCATAGTCGTGGATCCCATCATCGCGACCGGACAGACATGCATTGCTGCTATTCAATCACTCAAAGAATGGGGTGTCGAGAAGATTATAGTGTTGAGCGTGTTGGGTGCATACCCTGGTGTGACAAGAGCGGCAGAAGAGTGGCCGGAAGGCACCGAAGTATGGATTGGTGGCTTGGACGAGGGTCTGACTGACAAAGGCATGATCAAGCCTGGCGTGGGAGACATTGGCAATCGTCTCTTCAAAACAGGATAGACGGTGTTGGATCATATTGGAAGACAGAGTCTCACCTAAGACACATGAGTGCTTGATGACCAAAGAGCTTCTCAACCGTGCCTTCCTGTCTGAGAAGCCCTCCGAGCCAGTGCCTTGCTCTGTCAAGATCCTCGGCTCCGAATTTCACCAGGACGAAACCTCGAACCTTTGCTGCTGTCCAAAGGAGACCTTCTGCGTGCTTTCCTCGCTCGGCATGTATCGTGGCGTCATTAGTCCAATTTTTGGCTCCAATCCGAGGCTGGCTTGTAAACTCGTTGATGAGAAACTCTGCGAGGTCTCTAAAGAGCGGACCATATACAATTAGCGTGCCGAAGATACCCATATTGTTGGACTTGTCAATGAGGCCGGTGCCACCAAGATCATCTTCTTGAAGCATAACCGCATCACGCAACAGCAGTCGTCCTCTACATCGCTCATCAGATTCCCTGACCTCATTTCGGCCTTTCCAACTCCAGAGAGTCCAGCTTTCTCCAAGAGCTCGTCGACCTTCGCTTACCCAATCTAGCATGAGCAAGCTGCTGGTGCCACCGGGCTCAACGTAGAAGGTCTGCCTTTGCTCATACACGCTCTCCGCAAATGGCTGTGTCGGGTCGGGTAGATAGCACAGAGCTGCTTGAGCTCCGATCTTGACGTCCAGGTTCTGTTTGCTCACCACCGATCTCTCTGGAGCTTTAAAGAGCTTGGTACTACCCTGAGTGAGCAAAGCAAGCCGAGTAGAATCATACAGCTCGATTTTCAGGTTGATCTGGTCTCCTCCGACGAGTCCTCCGCCATAAGTAAGAAGAAAAGCGATCGTCACGTGCTTGTCATCGCTGGAGCTGTGAGGCTTGGGAGCAATGAGCTTCAGAGGATATTGGTACTTGAAGGTCTGTAGGACTTGTCTACCGGGAGGCAGCAGGACCAGGATAATCTCTCCCGCTCCTGGAAGGGAGGAAGACGGTGCGAAAGGTGAGAGTGGTAGCGACATACCTTGCTCGGAGCAAAGGCAGTTGAAACGAGTGGTCAGTCCTGCATGTTGTAGGTCTTTACCTGCTATCTTTTATAGGGCGTTCTCTGCTATGACTGTTCGAGAGGCGGCCGTGCATGGAAGTCGATGTTTTCAGCGAAAGTGTTGGGCGTGGTCGCTCAACTACCTGGTGATGCTGGTGGTGGCTCTTGGTGAAAATATTAGGTGGGGTCCCTCTAATAACTTGAAGGCCATCCTTGCCGCCGCGGTCACTTTCGAATTTCCACTCCACTCTGGCCTTCGCGTCGCGCGTTTCTATCCATACGGGGCGTGTTGATTCTCTTCATGCACGGTAGCCACTCTTTGACGACGAAGTTTGCCTGCGGGCATTGTCAGCTATCGTCGTAGTCGCTCACTTAGCCACGTTGGACACTGCATGCTCCTCTACGTGGCCTCCGTGCTCGAATCCCTTGCCGACAACACCCTGATCCACGAACTTGCGACCGAGTCAACAACCATCTGGCCGCAAACATTCATCTCCATAGTCATTATGGACGTCAACTCCAGTTCGCCTAATGGCACACAAGAGTCACGTCGCAAATCTGGTAGAGTTGTGCGTAGACCAGAAATATTCTCCCAAGAACACCACGAAGGCAGCCTTCCCACCAACGGGACGAGCAAGCGCAAAAGACCAACTGACACTACCGATGCGGATGACGAGGAAGATGACGGGGAAGAAGAATCTGAGGATGATGAAGACGAAAGTGAAGATGAGCCGGACGAAGAGGAATTGAAAGCGCAACGACGAGCACAGAGAGCAAATGCGGCAGCGGCGAAACCTGCTACCAAAAGAGCAAAGACAACTGGTGGGTCAAGTACCACCTTAGCCATGCGCCCAGCCAACACAACAAGGACAGCTGGAGGAAAAGCCGCAAAAACACAGAAGGCGCGCGCTCGACCGAGCCAGGCGCATCTACAAGGATTGTACGCCGAAGTGTTTGGCAGAGGACGGTCAGCCGAAGATGCTGCTTCCATATGGTTTCAGTCCGTGCAAAGCGATAGTGTCGCTGGCATTCGGGATTTGATCAACTTTGTACTGCAGTGTATCGGGTGCGACTCCAAGATCGAATCCGAGGATGTTGAAGACCTCGACTCAGTACCGACCAAGCTGGGAGACATACTTCAGGAATACGAGCAGCAAAAGTCGCCCGATTATCCTCTGATCTCGAAGCAGAAACAGTATGCTGGCTTTCAGACTGTCTTGGAGGACTTTTTCAACGCTGTCCTCAAAGCACTACACACCTCCTCGGTATTTTATGACCAGCCTGAAGTCTACGACAACATTCATGTCTGGATTGCGACCATGTCAGGCGCCAACTACAAATCTTTCCGGCACACCGCCACGATAATATCTTTGTCAATGAGCACTGCCCTTTGTGAGGTTGCAAAAGAATTGCAGGAAACGATGGCGACGCTGAAGGCACAAATGGACGCAGAAAAGAAGAAAAAGAGCGTCAACAAAGCTCGCATCAAGACGATTGAAAACAACCAGAAAGATGCAGAGAGAAAACTCGAAGCAATAGATGCTCAGCTGAGAGATGCCTTCGACACCGTCTACGTCCATCGGTACCGAGACGTAGAAGAAAGAATCCGTGCTCCTTGTGTCGCTGCACTCGGTAATTGGATTGTGCTCTATCGAAAGATGTTTCTTGAAGGCCAGTTTCTGAGATATCTTGGATGGGTCCTGAACGACACAAGCTCTCCAACAAGACTTGAAGACGTCAGACAACTCAAGAATCTTTTCAAGAACAAGAAAAATGTCGCTGCGTTGCGAGCTTTTACAGACCGGTTTCGACCTAGGCTGGTCGAGATGGGTGCGAGGGACGCTGATGTCACTGTGAGAGTGGAGGCTATCGAATTGCTAGACAGGCTGAGAGATGCCGAACTTCTTGAGCCTGACGATATTGACACAATTGGCCGGCTGATTTTCGACAGCGAACCACGAGTACGGAAGGCTGTGGCCAAGTTTTTCGTCTCCAACATCGAGGATTTGTACGGAGCAAGCATTGAGGACTTTGATGAAGCTCAGTATCAAGCAGCTCTGCCCGATAAGGACGAAGTAGACGAGTATGCTGTACCTACTCGATCTTGGATCAAGTTCAAATGTTTGGGGTCAATCCTTGCCGGATATGACAACGATGAAGAGTCCATAGACGGGACGGCCGGTCGCCCGTTGCCTAGGGATCTCTCCATTGACTCCAGATACACCCTTGCCACGCAGTCCATCTACCCTTACATGAAAGAACTACATCAATGGGAGTCGCTCGCTGGTTACCTCCTGTATGACCATTCTTCGATCCCAGCAACTGGGGACGACGAGGATATCAATGTCCAAGTCCAGCAAGCCTATCATCTCAGCCCAGGCGAGGATATCATCCTCCTGGACGTCCTCCATGCTTCGGTCAAGCAATACTTACAATCCATACTCGAACCTCCCACGAACCGAAGAACCAACGCCGCAAAAGACCATATTCGGGAGAAGCAGGAAGCCGCGGCCCAAAATCTCACTCAAATCCTGCCCGACCTTTTGAGCAAATTCGGGAGCACTCCCCAAGCTGCCTCATCTATCCTTCGCATTGAACAGCTCCTGGATATCGGCCTGATCGACGACCTCCAGAGCGGCGAAGCCACTTACTCCGCCATTCTCGACGATATTAGCAAACAATTCACCTCGCACTCGGATAAAAAAGTCCTTGCCGCTGCGAGCGTGGCGTTCAGGAACGCTCGAAGCTACGAACAGTCAAAGGAAGCAGTTGACTCCAAGGTCCAAGAAATTTGGACTGAATCCATAACCACGATCGCGGACCTCCTTCGGGGCAAGGATGTCGAAAAGCGAGGGACTCTCGATAGATCTTCGCTGGCCGCATTGGTGAATAGTACAACGCGCTTGACGGAGTTGGCCGGTGTATGTGACTGCACTCAACTATTGGAGAGTAGACTCGGCCCGGCCGCGAGCAGAAAGCAGAAAGATAAAGCTGACCAAGGCACGTTATTGAGTCTTCTCCTACAGCTTCTGAAGCGTGGCGAGCCGGATGAAGATACCACGGACACGTTCTCAGGGTTGGAAGATCAATTATGCACAACTCTCATCGAGCTATTCTCGCGGTACTTCCGCTGGAAAATGGTCGGCTTGAAGAAAGCTATTTCCTCGAACGACGCAGGTCAGTTGTCGATCAGGAGTCTGACCAGCTTCGCCATGACACGCACAACGTTCGTGGAGAATCTAGCGCCGGTTATTTCACTGCGCGCCCCCCTTGATTCAGTCCGCTACAGTGCGATTTTGAATGTTCTCGAGCTGTTCGCCCTCTTTACTACAATACGAAACATGCGTCCTGACAAGGGCGCACTAGATGAAGATGTTGAGCAAAACTTGAACAGTCTTATCACCGCTGTGCCAGGGGATATTGTGAAGGAAGTCATGGTCACGCATGAGCGCCTGGAGAAGAGCTTTGCTAGAAAAACGCATAGAAAGATCTTGAGCAGCAGCGAGAAGAAAAAGGGAGCTGCAGCAACGGACGAGGATGAGGAAGATATAGAAAAGCCGCCCGAGGATTCGGAAGATGAGAATGAGGACTCGGATATGGATGATGAGGATGAAGAGCCTGGAGGCAGTGGCGGAGGTGGAAAGAACGCGAAGAAACAAGCCGCGCTGTTGGCGGAGCAAAATTTGTGTGAACTGACGAGTAAGATTATCTTTGCAATTGTCGGGGGTGCGGTGAAAGATGAGAGGGTGAAGAAGGGAGTCTTGCTGAATCGAAACAAGTTGGGCAAGAATTATGCGGCACTGGTGGCGTATTTGGATGAGAAGAAACAAAAGCAGCCGTCTGGGGCTAAGGCGAAGGGGAAGAAGCCCAGTGAAGCTGTGAAGGCCGCGAAGGAGAAGAAGGCGGTTGTGAGCGAGGAGATGGTGCTCGACGATGATGACATTGAGGACAGTGAGAGGGATGAGGAAGAGGAGCTGAGGCAGCGGGAGTTGGCTGAGGATGATATCGAGGATCATGGCAAAGAGAACGAAGCTAAGGAGGAGAGACATGGTGAAGGCGACGAGGCTGAGGATGATGATATCATGGGTGATTGAACTCGGTTTGATCCAAACAATCGTGTGGCATTGATGTTGCAGCTGCTGAGTGCCGTGAGGAAACAACTACCTGTGAGGCTGTCGCTGATCTGATCGATCTGGCAATGGCGACGAAGCGGATGCCCAGTGCATTTGCGATATGTGGTTGTATTGATTGTTCTGTCCGATATGAGTGTTCATGAAAACATACCTACCTTTCTTGCATCAGGTCAAACCTAGGAGCCTCGTATACAGCTGGCCATCACGCGAAAGAATGTGTGGTTGCACACGGCTCTTTAATTTGATTTTGCTTTTCTGTCTCGGTGGCTCTTCTTTCTGGACCATCTCATCAGACAGAAAGGAATTTATTTCTCGGTATCTGTCCTAGTTTCCACTCCTGTCCGGCTCGTCCACCGTCTACAGTACGGTGCCCGTCTTATCCAAGTAATGTTTCACATCCGGTAAAATCACCAAGATGTACCCCTTTTCATATGCAAGTCCATGCCCATGCCCGTTCGTCACTGTTCGTACATAGCTCGCTTTTGAGATTCAATGGTTGTGCGCTTTCCTGTCCAGACCTTTGCTGGCTTCGGACAGAAGAACATTCCGTCGTGCCGCCAAAGTAGTATGGCTAGCACTTGTGGATAGCTTTATTCCGGCTTGCCACGACTCTTTGGTCTTCCACCACTCTTGACACGACGAGCTTCCGGTCGCTGGATGTGATGACTTGGGATCCATTCCTCGTTATACTTCTGGGCGCCAGTAGAGACAGCGGGGCCTTCGCTGTCGGAGACGACAGAGCCAACATCAATCTTCTTGACCGGAGTCTTCTTGCCAGGCTTCCGCTTCTGTGGGAAATATGGTACGATCCAGATGTTGTAGAAGAAATAGCCCACACCGACGGCACAGGCAAGGAGGAACAAGTACAAGAAGAGACTGCTGTTTGTTAGTTTTTGGAACCAGCTATACATGAGATCGCCAACTCACATTTGAGGATCGAAGATGCTGGCATCCGGTTCGACAATAGAGACAGTGCCATTAAAGGCCTGGATGGTGTAGAAAGTGTTGTGTGAGCTCACAACAGCAGCCAGATTCAGGCGCATATCTTGGGGGTGCATGTTGGTCTGGAAGCGGTAGGGGAGGCTTTGCTTCTCGCCAGGTGGAATTTCGATGGCATATTGAGCAGTGGTCAAGTTCCGAATGATGCGCGGGTTCGCCAGATCAGGAGACCACAAGCTACCTCCAACGAATTGTACGGTGACCGGCTCCGGCTCTTCATTCATGAAGGATAGGACAGATTCGGTGGGCTTGCCATTCACAAGCTTGATGCCGAAGATCTCTGCATCGGGAAAGGATGCCTCAACGGTGACAGCAAGGGCAGGGCTGGTGGAAGGGTTTTCGACTTCTTCCTCGACCTAAGAATAAGAGTCAGATGTGTTGTCTCTTTTTGTGCGCAAACCGAAAGTTGAATGCGTGTGTACTCACAGCATCGGCTGCTTGGGCAAAAATGCCGGCAGCTTGGAAACCGACGAGAAGAAGAGCGAGATTCAGGAACCGTCCCATGATGAAGGCGTACTGAGGAAGAAGAGGAAAGGGAATGTACTGAACACGGACGAGGTCGAAAAGGACACGGATCGCAGCTCTACTTTTGATAAACCGAAAAATGAGGAATTGGAGAACTGTCCTGTTTGCGGCCACCTTGGGTGGGCTGGGGATTGCAACTGCGGCTGGGCTGGGCGCAGCGAAGACGTGCTGTTTCTGGTTAAGCGTTGACCATCTATTTAACCGTAGTTTACCGCCCACAGCTCCTGCGCTAGGCATGGGAACTTGACATCAGAGCGCTGGCCAGGGCGAATCGCTGCCCACATCGACGCGCTTCTGCAACTCCAATCGATGCGCTACTAAACCTTACGCGTTCCCCAGAAATTCATCATCTTTTTGGCTGCAAAAAAAAGTAAGTACATTGTGCCTGCGCCTGCGCCTTCGCCTTTACCTGCAGCACACCGTCCTGCATTTCACCTTCACCGCCACCAGTACACAGGGACTTCGCTTTCCTTTTGAGATACCACTCACATCTTTCTGGAATTTATTAGAAACTTCTTGACATCCTCAATGCCCGACATGGCGCGTTACGATCCGTTTTCTCCTACTTTCGACCATCCTTTATTGAATTCCAGCCCTGACTACGGTTCTCGAAATGGGTTCAGATCCAGTCGTGCAATTGGCGATATCGGTGTGATGGACCCTCAGATGTCCTTCAGAGAGCGAAACAAACGTCTTAGAAGCCTCGACGACGAAAGAAATCAGCTGATAGAGGTATGGACCTCACTTCATCCATCTCTTTGTCTCTGAGCTGCCGGATGGCTAATTCTGGACACAGGATCTGTTGTTCCAGCTCGAAAACACCCAAAATCAGCTCGATAGAATACAACTCGACCATAGCAGAGAAGTTTCCTACAACAGAGACAATCAAATGCGAGAATCTGCCTTACACGAGCAACTTTTGCAGGTCAAGAAGATAATGGTGGGCACTAAGCAAACGTCTTGTGGCAACAAGGACTGACAAGTATCTCAGGATCGAAATCCGTTTGTAACAGTCCTCATCGATGGTGACAATCTGATATTCACCAAGGAGCTTTTGTCCAAGGGTGAAGAAGGTGGTAAAGAGGCTGCAAACAGTATTTTCGATTCAGTGAATGCCTTCGTTGCCGACAAGCTACACCACCTCGATGCTCCCAAGATTGTTGTACGGATCTACGCCAATATCAAGTCACTATCTGAGACACTCGCCAAGTTCAAGGTCGTCGAGCGACCACCGTTATTCGATGATTTTGTACGCGGGTTTAATAGTACTCAGCTACTTTTCGATTTTACCGATGCTGGTACACAGCCGGATGCTACAAAAGAAAAGATCTGTGAACAATTTCAGACCAGCCTCTACGACTGTCACTGCCATCAAATCATCTTGGGCTGCTCCAACGACACCCACTACGCAACATTGCTCGAAGAGACAATTCAGGACAGCACGGTATTGGACCATGTCACTCTCCTGAAGAGCGTACCCTTTGAGAAAGAGATTACGAGCATGAAGGCGAACTTCAAGTCCACAAAGTTTGATAATGTCTTCCGTGCCACAAAGCTTGGTCCTACGGCAGTTACATCTAGTGGTCCATTGCAAGCAGTTACAGCAACTCTGCCAGCCCTGTCCCGCGTGGGTTCAAACACCACGAATGGGACAGGATCAAGCTCGAGTACGCCTGCTATAACCTGGGCTAGTTTGACAGCTCAACCTGCTCCTGCGGCGCCAGCGCCGAAGGCGAGCAGTACGCGGACTCCTACGCCAACGTCCCTGAAGAGTCCTGAACCAATAATTCCAAAGTCAGCCACCAAAGGCATTGATCGAAATCGACATGGTCAGAGAATTGACAAGGTTGATTCTTCGATACCAAATCACGAAATCCAGCGCATCAAGAAACTCAAGCTCTGCAATATCTACTACCTTCAGGGGCCAGAATATTGCACTTCGAACAATTGCTCACATTCACATACATATCCTTTGTCTAAAGGGGAGCGCAATGTTCTGCGTGAAGTGGCACGAATGACGCCTTGTTATTACAAGATGGACTGCTCTGACCCCGAGTGCATTTATGGTCATCGGTGTCCGCAGAACGATCCAAATAGACCCGACTGCTATTACGGTGATAATTGTAAGTCATGTCTTCTTCCAGATGTTGTCCCGACGATACACGCTCTTCTCTCTCAGATCCCCTTGTCCTGGGACATCTTTCTAACAATTTCAAGGTCGCTTTGGTTCATGGGGACATTCCGTGGACACTAGAGTGGTCAAGACAACCAAGGTATAGCCTGAGGCAGGGCTGTCTAGCACTCACATCACGAGATTTCTACTGTCAAACTACATTTTGTGTCGCGCGAGCGCGAATTCCAAGCCATCGTAGCCGCAGCTGGCCTGACCACGGAATTTCGGACCCAGTACATGCTTAGTGGACGGTTTTCAACGTTCGTGATTGCGACGAGGCGCTTGGAGTGAGAATTCAGAGATACCCAGGCTTTCTTTTTACTATCTATTGGCAGATGGGAGTTAACTGCGGTTTTCTATGCAATGGCGCAGGTAATGACGGCTAAATAGCTGATTGATCATCAGCAATGAAATCATGTTTCGACTCCATACTTTGGTTCCTCAAGAAGACTGCTGGTTCTACCAGAGCCTCGACTGCGTGATTGAAAAGGCCAGGCGAGGCTGCGTCTTCTGGATGACTGAGCACCTTACTTTACTCCGAAACTTGTGATGGAGTCTGCTGCGGACCATTTGCCATCACCACGCGACAGACCTCTGATTCGATCGCACACTTCCTATCTCATCGCAAGATGGAGCCACGACGTCCGCTCTGACTCGGCCCTTAGCTGATACAAAGTGGGACCATTTGGAACTACTATGGTACAAGAAAGCCTGCTTCCAAAGCCCACTCGCCGAATCCGACTGGCGATCGGCGACGGATCAAGCCCATATCGTGGCAACACAGTAAGGAGCAACCTTCCCCGCATCGTGAATATAAGAGACATCAACGTCTGGACTAAGATGATTGCTTCTGATAGGCAATCTTGTCGACAAGCGAACCAAGTATCATCAACAGATCAACCTTTGAAAGAGCAGCCTGCTTGAGACCATGGCTGCCACCGATTTGTCGCAGCAGCTCGAAACCCCAGCTGTTAATGCGGGTCTTCCAACCGATTTCAAGGGAATAGAAGGCTCGATTCCTCAATCTTTGCTTGGCTGGCTACGCCCAACATCCGCTGACACACCACTTGCCGAGATGAGACGTCGTTTGATGGAAGATGAATACGTCTGGGTCAAGGGACTGCTTCCTCGAGAAGACGTCCTTGAGATGCGAAAGCATTATTTCTCCCATTTCAAGGACTTTGGCTTATTGAAACCTGGAACAGACCCCGTTGACGGGATCTATAATTCCGAGGAGGATGTCACACTCCACAACGGCATCGGTGGCGGCGAGCCGACAGGTGATGAACTTCAAGCTCTCGTGACAGCTCACGTCCAGCAACAGTACTTAGAGTTCGTGGCGCATCCAAAGCTACGTGCTGCGGTGAGAGGGCTGATGGGCTGGGACGAAGAAGTAATGCTGTTGAGAACCATGCTGCGGCACAATATCCCCGGCGGGAAATCGACTGGAATTCACTACGACAAGCTCTTCCTCCGAGGTGGAGATGCATTCTTTCTGACTGCGTGGGTACCTATTGGCGATTTCAGTCCTGTCGGTGGGGGACTGTTTTATCTGGAAAACGGTGTTGAACTTGCGGAAGCTATCGAAGATGACTTCACTGAGCGGGCTGAGGGCTTCTCCATGGAAGAGAAGGTTTCGGCATTCAATAGCAACATGTCTGCCACGGGCGTGATTGGGACAGATCCAATGACCTTTCAGAAAGACCACGAGCACTTTTCATCGAAGGGCACCTTTCGCTGGCTGGTTGCGCCTTACGAAGCTGGTGATGTCGTCTTTCATCTTCCGTACACCATTCATTCTGCAGGCGGCAATCAAGACCCGGGCGGAAAGATCCGTCTGAGCACGGATTTACGCTTTTACGACCAGAAGGACCATGATTTTGGAACAATCGACAGACGCTGGATGAAGTACTGGACGCCGGCAGATGGCCTTTGATAGGATGACAAGCCATTGTGTAGCTGGAGTAGCCTTGATACTCGGCGTGTATCATGGCTTCGAGCAGCGTGCATAAACGGAGTATGATTGATAAGACATGCTTCGAGATGTAACTAGGGAACATGTTGAATTAGCGAAAGCGACAGGGGGCTCCAGTACCTGTACAGAGGCACATTGGCCACGATTGGGATACTCACAGATCTGTACTTTGCGCTGAGGAAGAAGCTTGGGGAAGTTGTGGGGACTCCAACATACCAGTCTCCCAGTCAAGCCACGTAACGATCACCGAAGCTACGCTGTTCCTGTCTCCAATCCTAAAGTTACAACCGAGGCAAAGTCCCTGACAAGCAAGGTAGGGTACCGTGGGTACTTAATAGGTTGTTCTTCTACGTCTGGAGCGATATCAACAAGTGAGTTGTGTTCCTACCGGCCCAAATCTCTGGCAGCCTGACAAGATGCCTTACAGCTCGCCTCACCAACCACTAGACATACCCAAGCAAAACATCCTGTCATATTTATTTCCTCCCGATAAACCGTTGTCCAACAAGCCGCTATGGATAGACGCGAGAGATCCATCCGTCAATTTATCACAGGCGCAAATGCTTTCCTGGATCAAGAGGTTCGCCCTGGGCCTTGATAAGCTCGGCATGGAAGAACAGCAAGCAGTCATGGTTTTCACTCCCAACACGTTGTTTGTGCCAGCGGTATACCTTGCAAGTGCAGGCTCTAAGCGCTATTTCACTGGCGCCAATCCCATCTATACAGTGGGCGAGGTTGCACACCAGATGAAGGCCATCGAGGCGGCCATTGTGCTTATCCATCCCTCTTTGTTGGATACTGGCATCGCGGCTGCAAGGCAGGCCAACATACCCAAAGACCGCCTGTTCATCTTTTCTGACACAGAAGGTCCCACCAGAGGCGGTGTTCGAGATTGGCACTCAATGCTAGCCACAGCATCCGAAGCTAAGTCGTGGCAATGGGATCCCCTACATGGCGAAGCCTCGTTGAAGACCATTGCCGCAATCAATTTCTCCAGTGGAACAACCGGTCTGCCGAAGGGTGTATGCATCACACATCGCAATTTGATCGCAAACTCAGCTCAATCAATCTTCAATAAGTACGAAGGCACTCAGTATTCAGCCGATAATCCAGGTCCGGAACGTTGGCTGGCTTTCCTCCCATTATATCACGCCTACTCTCAGCTATGGACCATCAACATTGCTTGCAGACTCAAGGTCCCGGTATATGTGATGGCAAAATTCGTCTACGAAGAGTTCCTCAAGTGTATACAACAGTACAAGATCACTACACTCCAATCAGTGCCACCAGTCATTGTCATGTTGAGCAAAAGGCCAGAAACTTCAAAGTATGATATCAGCAGCCTACGGCAGATCCTCTGTGGTGCTGCTCCTTTGAAGAGCGAGTTGCAGAACGAAGTCTGCAAGCGGTTCAATGTGAATATTGTTCAAGCCTGGGGAATGACTGAGACAACATGCGCCGGTATAATGATGCCGGGAACGATCCAAGACAAGACCGGAAGTATAGGATACCTTCTGCCCAATACTGAGGCTATGTTGATTGACGATGACGGAAAGGAGGTGACGAAAGATGGTGAGCCAGGCGAGGTATGGCTTAGAGGGCCTCAAATGCTGCTGGGTTATTGGCGAAATGAGCAAGCAACAAGAGAAAGTAAGACAGCCGACGGCTGGTTCAAGACTGGTGATGTTGGGGTGTGCAAGGAAGGCAAAAAGTGGTGGATTGTTGATAGGAAGAAGGAGCTCATCAAGGTTAACGGGCTCCAAGTTGCTCCTGCCGAGCTGGAGGCCGTCCTTTTGGAGCATCCCGATGTTGCAGACGCCGCCACGGTTGGTATTACGATTCACGACGAGGAGTTTCCGAGAGCGTATGTTGTGGTTCAGGAGCACGCCAAGGGCAGAATCACGGAAGACGACATCAAGAAATTTGTTGCAAGCAAAGTTGCCAGGCACAAGTGGCTGGAAGGTGGCGTCAAATTCATCGACGAAGTACCAAAGCTGGCGAGTGGCAAAATTGTGAGGAAGTTGATGAAGGAGTGGGCGAAACGTGATGCAAAGGAGGTCGAAGGGCAGGTCAAAGCTCGATTATAAGAACAGAATGACCAGCGAGACTCTGGGCTCTGCAACGCCGGTCACCAGGGATGAAATTATTGATTCATCCCATACAAGTCCTTCTCGACATAGCGATATGAGGTGGTGCGAAAAGGTATCTGCGGCTACAAAAGCGCAAGGCTGCCGGAAAGATGGGACTGCGAAGTGAGAAACGCCAACAACAAGAGATCGACTCATTCATTGTCAACAAGACCATTGATGCCCCCAGTCCCTGAAGAAAAGGTAAGACCGTGCAAGACAATCAGGACAGCAAACTATACAAACATCTGCGATGGACAATGAGATTCTGCCCTGGCCAGAGATGACTACTGCCACAAAAGACAACCTCATTCCTCTTTCACTCCTACTTCACCGTCGCTATCAACCTGGTTTGACTTCCCTGCGCGACCATGTGAGTTTTGGTCTTCACCACCGCCTACGAACCGCCCTTCGACTTGTCGCGCCTCTCTCCCACCCAACATACTGACATTACCAACATTACTTCCCCTCGTTGCCCCGATTAATTACTCTAGCTTCACTAGATCAGACGAGATGACCCGGCACGCCTACAACTGTCGCGTTCGCGGCGACCATATCGTTGAGATTCACCGCGCGAACGGAGTCGAGGAGCTGGACATTTCTTTCAAGCGAACTGTGAGAGTTCCAGATAACTATGACCACTCCAAACTACCTCCTGATTTGGGTGATTACCCACTCTTCAAAATCAAGGACTATGCCCACATTTTGCCTGCAAGCATGGTCGCAAAAGGAGGACTCTTCATGCCAATGCACCGTGAGAATTTGCTCCAGATAATTTTGAGTATGACGAAACTAATGCGATTATAGCGATGGAGGCAATGTGGATCAACTTTTCAGGAAGTACACCTTTCGCGGTCAAAGTCTACGCTGGTGCCGTGAACATCGTCTCAGGTGAAGCAGCTGCCGAGACAGAGGAGGCGAAGCGCCATCGCCATGATCATTCTTCGGAGGACGATATCGTACAAGACTACGTGGTCGCTCCTCATCAGCAATGGTTGGATGGTGTTACGTGCGACGATGGATACGTCCAACAATTTGTTGCTATGGATCTTGGCAATCGATATACTGTTGAGGCTCAGGTCACTGGACAAGAGGCATGCGGCGGTCTGCAGTTTGAGGTTACGCCTGTCAATCTGGGCAACCTTTTCTCCATACTGGTCAAAAGATTAGGAGGGCAAACAACCAGATTGGCGATTGGCGCCCAGAGCACAGTTGCTGACGTGAAGAAGCTGATGGCGTTGAAAGAAAGTATTCCAGCAGTTCAGCAGAGGTTGATCTACGCAGGACGTCAGCTCGAAGATTGTAAGTGCTCAATCGGTTGCAAATTGATGTCCCCTAACGGTCCATCTAGCGCAGCGCGTCCTTGACTTGACTGGAGGAGATGACGTATGTGACCTCCATCAATGAACGCACGGAGTGATTGTCTCTAACATGTTTTTGGCAGAATGATACCTTCCACTTAGTATTGGGGATGAGAGGAGGGGGTAGTGGCCCACCTCCTAACAATTGCCGAGAGATGGGCATTGCTGTAGGAGGATTGATTGAGCAGGCCATCTTCCGAGATCCTTACCCTGCTGCCGCGTGGAACGCCGCTGCAACGGTCGTTTTCAACGTGCAGATCCTTAACTCGTCCACATTCGAAGCTATCACAGGCACCCCGGCCCCAGACACTCCGATTACCATGGATACCTATACCGAGCTCGGCCTACCATTCTTTGAACTCCCAGAAGAAAAGAGCGGTATACATGGGCGTTATGACTTGATATCGGTTGGAGAGCGCCTGGGTCTGAAAGAGGAGGGCCTCCCAGTGCCGCCAACTCACGTCCTCGGTAATTTTCAACCAAGAAAGTCGATGGGCATACCAAGAGGCAGCGAAGCCATTTCGGATGATGACATAACCAATCCCGCAGGTCCATTGTTGAAGTTCCGCCCTTTCTCCGAGTTCGTGAAGGAGGTTGAGGATTTGTCGATCCATGCATCTGAATGAAACATTGAGAGAAGCAGTTGTGATCTAGGAAATTGGTCAAATTCATGTTCAAAGAATTAGCTGCGGAATCAGAAGGCTACTAAGCAATTGATATCGCAAGGACAAGCGATGCCAACATTGGTACTGGCCTGGTGTTCTTGGAAAGAAGAAGGTTGTTCGTTTGCTGCATGTCAATGGACTGTCATAGTCCTCAAGGACGCCACTGATTGTCTCTATTCAGGAGACTCCGACATTGGAGGTTGACACTGGGCGTTTGCAAGGCTAGATCGAGCTTCATGTATCTAGTATCAGAAGCAAAAAGCTACGTCTCCTTTTAGACAAGCTTGTTGGCCAGCTTACTCGAGTGTTCAAAGTCATCCGATCACGCATTCAGTGCTTCTGGGCAAGGCTGAGCAACCACGCTAAGATAAGATACCGACTACGGTAGTCTGCATGACTCGCGGGGTCGTGTTTCCTCGATGCCCTGAGTCATGAAATATTTAATCGACAACGCAGTCAATAAATGCCAGCCTACTTTTCCAGCCGCAACCAGGCGGACAGACAGCGATCTACTGGTCCCATTGTCGCACCGAGGCTTAAATGGCAGACGCAGACGAAGATGCCATACCTACAACGTCCGCCTCAGGCCCAGATGACCTCGAAGATGAAACGCAAGATTTCCGATTCCTCGCTCAACTCACATCCACGAGTAGTGGGCAAACCATAGTCCCCAAGCGAGGCACAAAAGACTTCGAGCCGAACCCTACACGATCACAAGTCTCTGCCCTCGATGCGTCACGCCTGGCCATGCACACTGCCCTCAGCGCGGTGCGGGTACACACAGGGAAGCATGTTGTAGGACAATACCTCCCAGATGAAGAGGACTGGAGATGGGACGACAATGGCGCCGGAGTGAGGCACGGGCGATGCGTCGTGGTCCCGATATTCAAGGGCACGCACTCGAAAGTCATGGGCCTGGCGGACAGATATAATCGGACTTGGTTGCTGCCCGAAGAGGCACTGTTTCTGCTGGAAAGGGGAACTTTGGATATAAGATGGCCTGATACTGAGGAAGATGAAGAGCAACATGAGCCAGAGCAGGAGCAGTATCAGTCGATACAAGGTGACGCCGCATCCCAAGTACCGACGGACCAGGTTGACAACGAGGACAACTCGCGATCTCAGCAAGAGATTGGTCCGAAGATTGGCGAGCTGCCTATGAGTTTACAAGGTGCATACGCCAGCTTCATCGGCAAAGACTGCCTGACTCTGGAACGATACACTGTATACGCCGGGCTGAAGAGAACCGGTTATATTGTCCAGCGAGCGCCGACATGGCATGACCACGACCCGCCTCAGGTCAACGGACATATGCATCCACAGATCGAGTCTCGAGCTGTTACTTCCACACCGCCTCCATCAACACCTGCCGCCATCGCACCGCACCCAACTGCACTCTCGAATGCCGCCAGCCTGGTCCACAGACTAGTCTCGTGGCTCTTCCGACCGCACCACGGCGAGGCCTGTCCGGCCCTTGGTCCACTCCTCGGGCCAGGCCTGTACAGGAATTACACAGATATATTCCGGGCATTGGCATTGATACCGTATCACGACCCAAGCAAGACGATAGCCCCATCTGCTTCCATTACCGACGTCGACTCTCCCTCCTCTCAATCCAGATCAAACCCTCGACCTCCGTTCCGCGTGCACTTCCACGTCTGGAAAGCCAGCGGACAGAACGCATACCGCAAAACAGCACCTCCCCCGCCAGACTTCCGTGTCGCCGTGATCGATGCGCGGACGACATCTGTGCCGACACTCTCGGAGATCGGAGACTTACTTGACTCCCAGCCCGACGATGCATTGTCGAAGGAGAAGGCAGGCAGGCTAGAGACCCGCATCAAGCATGGGAGGAAAAACGTCCTGCTTGCGGTCGTGGATATGGGCGTTGTAAGTTACCTGAGGTTGAGCGACGCGTGTTTCGGGGCGGAGAAGTTGTACGAGGAAAAAGCCCGAGCTGGAACAAAAGGAAAGAGACCTCAAGGGGGAGGGGCTGGAAAAAAGGGCCAGCAGGCGCAAAAGCAGCAGAATCAGCGAAAGAGTAGTTAATGAATGGGCGGCAACCAGACTAATACTGACAGGGCAGTTGGGAGGATTAGGTATATGTAGGGTGGCGTTGCGATACTTTTGCACAGATCGTGGCCCATCGATGGTCTTATGGATGGATGGTATGAGTCAAGACGCTGAGCATGAGTCTCGAGGCGCCAAACCAGCATAGATATGATACCCCGTTAGATATTACACGCAAGAGAGCATGAGCTGACCAGCGCAATTCGATTGAGTCTATCATGATAAAGGTCATACTGCTGGTGAAAAACATGGCTATGAAATGTCATTCAAACAGCATAATTCAGCTTGGATGGAATGCAAGTATTGTCTCCCCTTGAGAGAACGTCCGCTATCAGCACGGAGAAATAGCCAGGCGGACTGCCTGATGATCTAGGGAGTAGGCTCTGATCTGCCACCTTCTATAGACGTTGACCCGTGTGAAGAGAAAGGCCACGTATATGCTTGAGATGGGGAGGAAGGAAGGGGATGATTTTTGAGACAATTTCGACCCTTGCCATGGACTATTGAACTCAGAAGTCCCAGTTTTGATCTGTACTCATCAACGTCTCTGATCTTGTTGAGACGGATTGCAATACGAGAACGAACTCTCGCGGCAACAGGATGTCCAGCGGTATCTTTTGCCATGGTCCTCGAGAATCTGACGAGGCTCACGTTCTTTCATATGGCTCTAGGTCCTGGGAGCCTAAACCGAGTTCCATGTCGGATCTGAACTCTAGGATTGCCAATATGGTGCGCCTTGCTGACACTGAGAGGTCTTGTCTCACTGGCTTCCACAAGACAGACATGTTGTGGAGACTGGACGGATCTTCAATCTGAATAGGGATGAGTACAGCCAAGAATACCTCGGACGAGATATCTCAGTGCCCCCAAGGTATCAGAAATGATATTGCTTGGCGTATTCCTGACCTCTCTTGATGTGTGCTTGCTTGAGCAGGTGGTCAGTGTCATGTGAACAATTGACCCATTTTCTGGTTTCGTAGTCCCGCTTCTTCAAGTGAGAAGATAATCAGCAGCCATGAGAAGTTCCAAGCACAGCTCAGAAGGTATGTCCATGTCCGGAACGCCTTCGCTATTACGGTACTTCTCGTTGTAATAAAAATATTCGACCACTTTTTCGAGGACGATGCCGGTAATGTTTTCGAGGTGACAGACGCCAGTTTGAGCTTCACTAAAGTTGCCTAAGATATAGATCAGAATCATGCAAACATACAGAGGGATGGCGCGCACTTTGGGTGTCGAGCATCCGACGGATTGTGCCCGACACGCAGGCTGCTGAGCGGCGAACGTGGAATTCAAAACCGTCAGAAGACACAAGGGTCACGAATGGCGAGGGAGTCCCGTTGACAGCCATGGTTGTTAGCAGCGTTCGACGGACTTCGCAAAATTCGGGTCAAAAGTGGCTGCCCAGCGGGAATTTTTCTCGTGCGAAAGAAAAGAGGGAAGAAGAGAGAGAGAAGCGTGTGTGTCAGTTAGAGGCGGCAGAACGTGTTGTCACGCACAGGTCTAGCGGCGAGGCGGGATGTTAAAGCGGCGTGTGACTGCTTCTGGATTGACTGACTTCCTTCTTTTCATACCCAAAACCAATGTCAGATACTTCCATCAGTCGACATACAGTAACGAGGACTTCGGGAGCACATGAGTGTCAAAAATCTCCCGTCATGCCGCTCTATTGAGAGAAGTCTCAGAGCTGCCAACTTCTTCGCTTCTTGTCGCATTATTCGACATCCAATTTTTCGGAGCTCCAGCACGAATTCAAAGCCTCCAGGGGGAGCCGGTATATCGCCTCACCGTGGGGAAGAGTATGGCGATCCGAGTCGAGATACATACGACACAGAGCTGCCGGAATTGACGCAGAGTCTTGACTCTTTTGTGTCTTCCTTCCAGCAAGATTCCGAGGCGATTCCCGATTTCAATTCCCCTGAGACAGGCGATCAGAACCAGCGGATGAGCCTAACTGAGCCTGAACCAAGGATCAGGTTTATTCAAGCGGCCAATAGGTCTTTTTCAGCAGGCTATGTTGAAGACGATCACGTACATAACGATGACAGTCCAAATCGGGAACACCCGACTGATCCATCTAATCCGAATTCCGGCTCGACTTGGCTTTCTCGATTGAAGCTTGAGAACGATATGGCCACAAAGAACTATGAGAAGGCGAAATTGGCTCCTGGAAGCAAATGTGCCAATCGGTCAATCCTGGTGACTGGTGGCACAACTGGAATCGGCTTCGCAGTAGCCAAACGCGCCCTGCTGGAAGGAGCATCTCATGTACACATCTTTGCCGGCACCATTCCAGGAGGAGCCTATGCAGTGAAGAGACTCAAGAAGATCACTGGACTGGATGATGCGCCCGTCTCATTCTTCCTACCAGATCCCGAGCGGATGTTTCCCGTTCCCAGATTTGTATGTAAAAGACGTCGCTACTTTCGTCGGCCGAAGACTAATACCATGAAAGGAATTTAACACTCTGGTCAACTGCGCTGCTGTCCAGAATCCCACACCGCTGTCTAAATACAACTTCGACGACAAAACCTGGTACGTCAATGTGGCGTTGCCGGGATGGTTCATGAAGACCTTGTTACGGCGTTACGCCAGTATTGGAGGGAGGAAGATAGGCGGACTGGACCATCGACCGAACGAGTTAGAATCGCGGCTCAATTCGACGTCGTGGTGTTCTGTCAATCTATCAAACCTCATGGCAACTCAGGGCGGATACGGCATGCCGGAATTTGCCGCATCTCAGTCAGCTATATCTACTCTGACAAGGGTAAGTACCGATCTCTCTTTTTTGGTTGTCGCTTCGAAAAACCTGGCTTCGCAATTTTGTCTCGCAAGTCATGGCTCTGCACATTTGCATCTGCTCTGTTGAAGAAAATGCTGACACTATCCAGATGATGGTCTTGGAGTGCGGCAACGCCTACGTCAAATACAGAGATGTCATGCCGCCATTTCGCGCCAACAATCTCGTCCATGGACTCATAGATACTCCCTCGAACGATAGTGTGTAAACCTCGAAGCCGAAAAAAGTGTTCCTCTGTGCTAACGAGTATTATTCGTAGATCATATGAGCAGAGGTGTGCAAGAAGAAGTCAGACAGAAGACCCCGTTAGGTCGATTCGGCACAATGGACGAGGTGGCAGACGCTGTCATGTTTCTGCTTGACAACCCGTACGCAAACAATTGTACGTTGAATCTGGATGGCGGATTCAGCGCGAGATGAGACAACACAGGAATACCCTTCACCCTGAACTGAACCGGCGAAAAGATGTGCTGCGTCGGAGCCCGATGCTCGTGTGGTAGGTTTTCTTTGTCTCCTTTGAGACCCCTCCGGGCAACGAGCGCGGTCTCTGATTCTGGAGTCTCACCCAGCTGTTCCGTCGGTCTGCGCAAGGAACATCTGCCGGACAGCGATCCCAATGTCGGACAGGTTCTTCGCCAACGACTTCGACCACGACTAGGGATCAGCTTCTTTCCATCAAATTGACCACAACCCTCACCGCTGCGGACGCGTCATGGATGGACTCTGACGAAGTTAAGCCTTCCTTCGCAGCAGCGCCAAACATCGCGCCATCGTTGGACGATGATCTGCAGCAACCGGTCACGCAGAATTCACAGCTCGGGTGCCAGAACGCAAGAGGCACCAATGACTTCATCTCCATTCGACTGTTGTATCTCCTCGATGTAACGAGCGTTTACTTTGTTGTATAGTTGCCATTTTGAGGGGAGAGTGGATATGTAGTTGCGGATGCATATGTGGTGAAGCGTGGCCACACGAGCAGACGTACTGTGGTATGCCAGCTTCGTACAAATACACCATCAATCGATACCTACCTGAGATATCGCGATGTCTTACACCCCATAAATCTATTGCGTCAAGTTCTTCAATGGCGGAGCACAGCGTACCATATATTTAAGGAACATAAGGACAAGCTGATATCGATCTCCTATTGGAGGTGATTTCGTGATATTCTGGTCGTTTCTTCTGTTTATTTATTTGTCGATTCTCTCCTTCATGCCCGTCAGGGAAGAGATCGTATCCAACATTAGACAAGCTCATGCAGAATGCGCTGTTATATGTACATTTCATTCGTCTTCCAGCTCTTGCTGTCCATGTCGGTGGCCTCTATCTCAAAATCTCTAGCGAGATCATAGAACATGGACAAGTCCACGCGCTTGCGAGTATGCAGTCCGGGCCAAATTATGCTGGTAGGCCTATCCCTTGGCTTCGGGAACCGTCCGACTATGCAGACCATTTCCAGCTGGTTCGACAGACGCAAACACATGAATCTGTGTGGTCTTGAACGCCATCTTAGTGCCCGTTTAGTCGTCATCTGCAATCAAAAGCGTTCCGTCGTCCTCGTCAATCACGATAGCATGCATAGCTGGGTTCTTGGCGACCTCTGCATTGATAGGGCCTTGCAACTTCTTTGCTGGCGTACCAGTTGCTTCGGCTTCTTCGTCAAGTGGTCGTTTTCGTTTGCCGGTCGAGAGGGGAATCCCATTTGAGACAGCTGCATGGCCCTCACCAACCTCAGTGGCTTTGTCGCCGTCAGGAAGCGGTGCCTTCTTCGTTCTCCGTGGTATCTCAAATGTCCCGCCTTCTTTCTCAACAAGCATAATTGTCTGTGACTGGTCCTCCAACTTCTTCGCTTCTATGGCCAGTTGGAGGTCGATTCGCGGGTTCCCATCCTCATCGTCCTTGACCACGATGAAGCTCGCGTCTGAGATACTGAGCTCGGGGAGTTTCTTCTCAAGGTTATCTTCCAGATCTGGGTCGTAGATAACTCCGGCTTCGCTCAATACTGTGATTTCTTCGCCATAGCCCAGCTTCATCCGCAGGATGTCCACCACCAGATCTTTCAAGGTAGCCTTTTCGAGATCGACTTGCACTCTTGCCATAGCGACACTGCAAGCGGGGCAATCTGGGTTCGGATCTTCTAACCGATCTGTCCTTAACGCCCCATTCCAAAGCCATAACCATTTCGTTCGAGCATATTCTCCTCTCAGAACTTTGAATGCTTGCATCACGCATAAGCCTGCAACCATGGCGTTTGTAGTTGCGATAGCAGGAATGATATTGCCCGCCATTTGCTTGATGTCAAATTTTGACTTAGGGTCAATGCCGAAGATGATGGCCCGTAGATTTCCAGCAGCGGCAACAAAATCCATGGTATCGTCGTCATCCTTATCGAACGAGATCGTAGGTGGTGGTTGACCAGCCTTCGCAGCTGCTGCTTGTCCTTCAGCTAGTCGCTTCGACAAGCGAGCCAGGCTGTGTTTGAGGACGAGAAAGTTTTCTGACGCAGACCATGTCCGTTGACTATCTTCTAGGATTGAGCTGTTGAGCGTAGAAGCTTCTTGTTCGAGGACGTCGTATGACAGGGGCTCGGGCGGCTTTTTGTCTTTCCACATGTCTTCCATCTTTGCCAACCGCTCGATGTCCTCTTTGAAGACCTTGTCGAAGACCTGTTTTACGAAGTCATCCGAGGCCATTGATTCTCTGATTTTCTTCAGTGCCTGCGCCTCACGTTTGAGCTCCTCAATCTCGGCCGCATTATTTGAATCTTCTGTCTCGTCCATCTCGGGAGTCTCATCCTCGCGGACTCCGAACAGTTCCGGCAGCAAGTAGCTCTTCGCCCACACGATGCAGTGGATCGGTTGGCTGGGCGTACTTCGTATCGTGCAGACAGGATAGGAAATAGGAGTGGTCTTCGGTGTGCAATCGTAACAAGCTGTCTTGTCTTTCTTGATGACCTGGACTTGACCCTTAAAACCTGTCGTGCCAGATTCGATCAGGGGAACATCAACAGCCAAACACATCTTGTTGACGTGCCGCCGGGCATCCATGTTATCCAGCGCATTGAACACGAGGTTGAAGCTTGAAAACCATTCCAAATTGAACTGTTTATCTTTGATGTTGGCATGGTAGGCAACGAGTTTGACATTGGGGTTGAAATTCTGAGCCACCTCTTTCGCGACTAGAGCCTTGGGTCTCTTGATATGTTCTTGTCGAAAGAGGAATTGACGATTGAGGTTGCTCAGATCGATGGTATCGAGGTCAATGACATGTATTTCGCCAAAGCCGGTCAGGACGAGGTTCTTGAGGAGCTCACAGCCGATTCCGCCTGCGCCGACGAGGAGAACGCGCGACTGCGCAGGAAATGTGTTAATTCGAAGCAGGATCGAGGAACCGTCAATGATGTTCTCACCTCTCTGACGAGCCGGTGCGCTGCACCAAGCGACTGTCTGGCAAACTTTTCGCGCGGCATGATGCAACTGTGGTGATGGGTGTCTGGGTTGGAGAGGCCAGAGAGAATAAAGTAGTCTAGGCGGGGAAGGGCATGGCGTAATGTGGGCAAGTAGAACACAGGAAGAGAGGTGAAAGTGAGATCCAAGTGGAGGGAAGACTCCCTCTTGGGTAATGAGTTGTTGACAGCCAACAGCAGGGAAAGAAGAGTCCTAACCAGTAGAGTAAAGATGTAGCCAGGGAAGAAGTTGAAGCCGGTAGAGTTGCAAACAAAGATGGCTGTGATACAAGTAGCCTGACCACGCCTGACGTTGAAGGCAATGCCTATCAAAGTCTCCGGCAACGCCTAAAAAGGACCTAAGTTAGTGACCCAACGGCAAATCCCCGGGGCGCCCAAACATGGCAAAGCTGAAATCGCCAGTTAAACCTGCGCTAATGCCGAGCTAAAATCAGTGCCTTGCAGTAAATCACATGATCGTTTGGCCAGGGGGAGGTTCGTTCCGTCCAAATTATTTTTTGACCCATGCCATCAAAGTAGGATACATATCAATAAGCCACTTCCACCTGTTAAACACCGACGTGGAACGAAGGGAGGTACAGGCACAGAGGGAGGATGTCAGATGATGAAGCCGACCCGGAACTTCTAGCTCTCCTCCGCCAATCCCTGGGTCTGGGACCTGGTATTTCCACCGCTCCTCCATCCACAGGGGTATTGAAATCAGCCCAGTACATTTGCGACAATGCCATCGACGTAGCTATATCTTCCGGCGGCACCAAAACCGCGGCAGAGACAATATGGGGCCTCATGCAGGCAAAGCGGTATTCCACCGAGACGTGGTCGTCCCATGAGCTCCACCCGAAAACCAAAGACGAGGCGACTGTCAATTTCATCTTCACCATGAACCTGCTCAATTTCTCCTTCTGGTCCGAATTACCGCCAGAGGAACGATTCACGGTCGAGTACAGAGGTCACCGGTGGACGGGATACTGGTCTCTCGTGGCCGCCCTCCAGCGAGCATTAGATGAAGGTACGTTCGGCCAGTCACACGACCCCTTTACTCCCGTGTCTCTTCAGCCTTGTCAATGGCATACTCATCTTGCTGCGTCGTCCAGGGTACCCAATCACCACGCCATGCTTCTGGACCGACCTCGAGTCCTGCCCGGACACAGTTCTGCATCATGTCTTCCGCTCTGCCACGTCCGAGCCCATCCCGCTTCTATCCCAGCGCATCTCGATTCTCCGCGAAGCCGGCACCATCCTCCATGACTCCTTCGACTCCCGCCCACTCAACCTGATCAATCGCGCCGAAAACTCCGCCTCACACCTCGTCAACCTGCTGGTTCAGTACTTTCCCAACTTCCGCGACACAGCCACCTTCCACGACCGCGAAGTCCGGCTCTACAAGCGCGCTCAGATCCTTGCCGCCGACCTATGGGCCTGCTTCAACGGCTCATCCTACGGTTCGTTCGACGACATCGATGCATTGACCATGTTCGCCGACTATCGCATTCCGCAAATGCTCCAGGGGCTTCATTGCCTGTGGTACTCACCGCGGCTGGAGTCGCGGATCGCTCGACTAGAGCAGTTCGCGCCTGGCGAGGCTATGGAAGTCGAGATCCGCGGGTGTAGCATCTGGTGCGTCGAGCTGCTTCGCCGGGAAATCGAGCGGCACCATCCCGAGGCCAAGGGCAAGGTCAACGCCGTCTTGATTGATTTTTTCTTGTATGATACCTGTAAAGAAATGGAGAAGAGAGGGCAGTGTGATGGTATGCTGCCCCATCACCGGACAAGATCTATCTTTTATTGATTGGATTGATGTCACGGTAACTAGATTAGACTCGCTGCAAGGCTGGAGGTCGTCGGCAATTTGGTTTGCTTCATTAGACTAGAAAAGGCGTTGAGTGCCCCCGTCCAAAAATTATCAATACTGGAATAGAAATTCCTTCGTCTTCATCGTACCGATATCTGAGTTCTTCAGCCCGGCGTCACTTTCTGAATGTATGCTGTAAGAAATGAAAACGCTTTTGTGCTCGGAAACCAACATACACCAACCAATGCGCTGTCCCGCTTAACGTGTATCAGACTCAACGGTCTCCTTCAATCGGCGTGCTCGTTCCCTTGGACCGCATACTAAACGGAGCCAAGACTTTCTTCGCCTCCCATATCCGCCATGCTAAATTCTCTACCTTGCCATCCGCTTTGACAACTTCTGGGGCAAATTCGATTCCAAACATGTGATGAATGGCGTAGACAACTCTCCTAGCATACCTGCCATCTCGATCGACAAGGCTTCCAAATGGCTCTGAAGCAGTGCTGGGCGCGATGTTGGGATCGCGATCGAAACAATTCTGCACGATAGGGAGAAGTGTGCTTTCAATGGATCGTCTGATCAAGACGTCATTCTGCGTCAACATGGCAGTCGTGGACGAGGTGTCGTTGTCCAAGCCTTCAAGGTCATCTTCGCTGAAACGCGGGATGTGGACCTCGAAAGGCCGTGAAATCGCCATCACGTTGTGCTTGCCGTTGTGGTGGTAGCGGAACTCAAACACACCTTGTGTCCACCAGAGCTTGTCTCCAGAGAAAATCATCTCACCGGTCATACATTCTTTTTCGGCGCCATCTTCACCCTTGGTCGTCGACTTGACGTTGCTTGAGATGATGCCTTTCTCGGAGTTCAGTAAGTCGTACTCGTGGCGATTAGTGGCAACCCATCGTCCCGACGATGATATGGTGGTAATTTCGCGGGAGGCATTGTCAGTGACCATGTATAGCCCAACCCAGTCCTTCTTTCCGTGATTGAGAGGCGCTGTCCATTTCACTTTGATCGGGGCACCGTACTCGAAAAGGAGGGCTTTCTCTCCGGCTGTATGCTGAACAGGCGTCCTGGCCATTTCCGACTCTTTGTCGCTCGAGCGCTGAGAGTCAACCAAGGCAGATGCGGGCGTGCCTTCGATTTCTAATTTGTAGTCCTTTGGGTTGAGACCGACGACCTCGGGTTCCACTTTTGTGATGGTAATGCGAGCTGTGTGCTTAGGGATGATGTCCTTGACATCCTGCACGATGCTGGTGACGCCTGCAGCCAGCTTCGGTCTTACCGCATCGAAGAAGTCGTCGAGGTAGTCGAAGGTCTCGTCCAACATCTTGTCCATTCCATCCTGCCACTGTCGCAGAGGCGGTGGCAGTGATCTGCGAAGACTTCTGACCAGTCCGGCATCTTGTCGGAGACTACGACCATAAAGTTTCTGCATGTGAGGTCGTTCGACATACTGGATGAATGCTAAGCTCAGGGTGTGGCTGAGCAGCGCCAGACAGAAAATCGCTTTGCTGCCAGTGATAAGAGCCACACCCCAGACACCGGCCAGCCCGAGTACTCGTTCCGGGTTGTTGAGGAATCGGTATATGCCGCCGTATGTCAGCTTGGGATAGTGATCGAAGAAGAAATCTCCAAAGAACCATCCGAACTCGCCGAGCTGATCGTAGATGCTGAAGGATACCCATACTTGAAGAGCAATCAACCCCAAGCCAATGACGTGTTTCAAGAGGACAAGACCGTAATCCCAATTTGTTGGCATCGTGTACATCTTCCATGCTGCCGCAGCAAACCAAGCATAGCAGAGGGTCATGCTGAGATGATAGGTACCCTTCCACTGCCTCCATGCCTCACCAGTACTCTCGCCGTATTTGAGAAAATGTCTGGTCCACTTCTTCCTGGAAGACTGCCTATTAAGCAGATATCCAATGCCAGCGGAATACCAGATCCGCCAGATCGCAGCGTTGATGACAAAGAACGCTTGGTAAAATGTGGTGTTTGGTGTGAGCATGGTCAAGCAGAAGATGTAGATTTGCAAAACGAATACGGCAGAGTCGGTCGTTCGATAGAAGTCGATGTTGCTTATGCCCAGGAGATTGTGCGTTTGGGATGGTTGCGCATGGGCTGGATGGGGCCAGACATCGTCGGTGGTACTCAAGTCAGTCGCATTCTTTTCTCCGTTTGCTGCTATCGGCAATTGGTTGACAGATTTCCGTGGCGGTGGAGAGCTGTAGGTACGCTCGATGTGCGGGCTTTCGACCAAGATCAGGAAAGCGAATTGGGCAGCGTGAGCGATAATTGAGATGAAGAGTACTTTGTAGCTGGCGGCCATGAGGGAGGTGCCATAGTATCCAACATATCCTATCGAGTACATGGGATGAGGGGCCATTTCGAAAACCCCATCAAAGGTCAATTCCTGATCGATCAGGTAGAAGAAATCACCCCAATACCAGGCGTAATCTTTGACTACCCGATGGGCGTCCAACTTGACCCACAAATTGAAGACAAAGAGGGACATGCCGCCGATCCAACGAAAGGCCGTCATAAGGACTGATTCTCCGATCGGACGATGAGCACACGCCACCGCGAAGAGCATGTATGTAACGAAATCGCACATCAAGATGAGATCGACGAAACGGCGGAACACCAACCAGGTATTGTATTCAATGGGAGCAGTGTCGAAGTTGTAGTCTCTCGGGATCTTTGTCTCGAGTTCGCGTTTGATAAAGGCTCTCAATTTCGGATGAGGATTCTCACCGTTCGAGGCGCTGGGAAATATCTTAGTTCTGCGTGCCCATCGGACAAGCATTTTATGGTGAGATTGCATATGCAGAAGGTAGCCGATACCAATGTTGTAGCCCGCTCTCCAGAATAGGAAAAAGGCCGCAAGGGTAGGTCTTCGATATGGGCCAGGAAGAATCCACGCCAGGATGATATGCATCAGAAGAATGAAGAGGACCACCAGGTCTCCACGATTCTTGGGCTCAGTGGGTGAGAGCAATTGCGACACCATGTCATGTGTGGTTGGCACAGTAAACACTATAGGAGAGTTAGCTGGCCACTAGGAGATCTGACAGAAGGCAGGTACCGGTTCCATCTGGCGTGCGACCGAAAGTCTTTCTGTCTTCTTCCTGCTTGTCGGATTTTTCCTCGGCAGCATTGAGGTCCAAGACTGCCTGTCTAGCTTCTTCTTGAGTATTAGCGTGAATTGGGGCATTCCTCTGGCGCAGGCCCTCAGCCGCAGATTCAGTAGAAGAGTCCATGTTTCAGTGTTGAACCACTGATTTTCGTAACCCAAATTGACCGGATAGAAGGAGAGGATGTGTCTGTAGCTGTAACACCACAGACACAGAAGGGTTGGTGAAAACAAAAGCAGTGGCCTATGGGCAACAGTAGTTCCTTTTCCATGTGTCTATTTGGAAACAAATCATCACAAGGGAAGCAGAGGCAGTGGAAAGTGGGCAAGAAGAAGCTGGCTAAGGACAGAGGGGCCTTGGCCAGTAGCTGCAAATTGAAGACGTGCCCTCCCGGTGCTGCTCTCGGTCACGTGCATTGCCAACACTGCTGTCGGGGAAGCTGGACCATGACGCCATGTCCATGTGCGGCATGGTCCAACAATTGGACGAGGTCCGACGGACTATGCACCCACGAAAAGACAACCCAGACTTGTGCATATGCCGACCTGATGATGATGATGGAAGGACCATGAGAAGGTTGATCCGTGTGTCCGTGGACATTTTAGCATTTCAAAGAGGAGGAGGGGTTGTGCAAGGCTGGCAGACAAGGCTGAAGGCGCTCATGGTGGGCTGATGGTTGCCCCTCGCTTGGACCAATCAGCTTCATTTTCCTCATTACCAATCCATGACTTTTGCCGCTACCAGAACCAGTGCATCCCAGCCTGCGCTTTACAGGATTTGCTCATGAATTAATTACACCCTCCCTTCATCCACACTGTAAGGTACCTCCAACTGGGCTAGAGAATGGCCCCTTCTTTCCAAGAGCCGCTCAATGAGGCGCTCGAGGCACCTTTGAAGAACAAACCAGATTTGGTGGCCCCGGAACCTGGTTCGTGATCCATTTCCATTTCCTTTGGAATCTACGACGAGGCTAATAGTAAGTAACAGAACACTGCCCAGGTCCTGAATCCGAACAAGCCGGACAAGGCGACGCCTGCAATGGCTGCCCAAATCAAGCCATCTGCGCCTCTGCGCCAAAAGGTCCTGATCCCGACATTCCACTCATCACCGAACGCCTGGCTGAAATAAGACACAAGATTTTGGTCTTATCAGGAAAAGGAGGAGTGGGCAAGTCGACATTTTCGTCCCTCTTATCACATGCGTTTGCCGCGAACCCCGATTCAACTGTAGGAATCATGGACACCGATATCTGCGGACCCTCTATACCAAAGATGATGGGCGTTGAGAGTGAAACAATACATGTGAGCAATGCTGGTTGGAGTCCGGTCTGGGTAACGGATAATTTGGGCGTGATGAGCGTCCAATTCATGCTACCGAACCGAGATGATGCGGTCATATGGCGTGGCCCGAAGAAAAATGGATTGATCAAGCAATTTTTGAAGGACGTCGAATGGGGCGAGCTGGATTACCTGATCGTGGACACCCCTCCGGGCACCTCAGACGAGCATCTGTCTGTGAATTCATTTTTGAAGGAATCGGGCGTGGACGGAGCCGTGGTTGTTACCACTCCACAGGAAGTTTCATTGTTGGACGTGAGAAAAGAGATCGACTTCTGCCGGAAAGCAGGCATTCGTGTTCTGGGATTGGTCGAGAACATGTCTGGCTTCGTTTGTCCCAAATGTACCCACGAGTCTCAGATATTCCGAGCAACAACGGGAGGAGGCCAGAAACTGTGTCAGGATATGGGCATTCCTTTCCTTGGATCAGTGCCTCTTGATCCTCGAATAGGCATGGCCTGCGACCTTGGAGAAAGCTTCATGGACAGTTATCCGGATAGCCCGGCCTGTAAAGCATTGCGACAGGTTGTGAGGTCGGTCGGCAAACTGATTGGAGAGGATCCCGACGAAGTTCTACCAGACGGGCCGATATGAGACAGGAAATGGCTTTTACGTTCCCGATTTCCCTCTACTGCAACTTCATCTACTCGTGCCACGAGCACCAGATCGCATACCTGCCTCTAACACAGGTTCGACATCACCGAAACCCTCCCCGTGTCCTCGTGCAGCGCGACGAAGAAGGCACTTCTGCTCTTACATATGGGGCCATGCTGCCACCAGCCGCAGTTGCGTGAGGCGAAAGTTATACGCATGGAAGATCCATACGTGGAGGGCATCACTCCGAGTACGACGACGTGGACGAATTATCCCGGCGCCTTGCTGTCGTCCAGCGTGGCACAGCTATCACGCGCCTTTTTGGATAGATATGGGGCAACATCAGTCGAGCGACATCCAACCCTCCAGATGAGACTTGGAGCCCGAGGTATTGCGCGAGGCAGGAGGTGTCTATTCCTGAAAACTGGAGGGTCAATGACGAGGCCGCGTAGACTGCGGGCCAAGGTTCATAGCACAAACAGCAGGTTCTGTCGAGGAAAAGTCCCAGTAGCATGTTATCTGAGACGGCCCACGGGGACATGGGTAGCACGGCGGCTGAAGGTCAGTGATGACAAGACTCGATAGCTTCTATGGCGACCTCCGGATGCGATGCCGGGGAGCACTTTCTTTGCAGGGAAAAGACGAGTCGAGGTGATGCCAAGGCCCAGGATGGCAGGTGACATGCTGAAGGTGGCCTCGGTGGAGGTGGATTGTCACTCTCGAAACTTCACTTCTCCTGCATGTTTCATCTTCTCAAACTCGCCCCTTTTTTCCCTTCTTCACAATCCTCACCGAATCGATCAGAATCTGATGCGTCCGCTTCCCGCATGGCGTCCTTCAGCTTCCTCTCTAGAACCTGCAAAGATCTCCACCGCCAGCAGCCTCGTCGCTCACGATCGCGGCCCATGCTCTCCCATTGACCCATGGTTGGTTGTATAGCTCCCCAGCTGTCACACCCTTGCAATTTGTGGAGAGCTTTCTTTTCGAAACCCAGATCCATATCGAGCGCCACTGTTGACTTGTTCGTCTACACATCCTGAGACGTGCAATAGCCCACCTGATGGCGTGGCCATATCCATCCGCCACGATTCGAGACAAGGCCGGGCACTACATGCTGTGTCTCTTGTTCTTGTTAAAATGTTTGCTTTCGGTCCAGTTCTTCGTTACTTCTGCGTTGTTGGCTATCAAGCCTCGTATCCTTCCTTTTCGACTGTTATCTTTCCTTTACATACCGGGGGCAGGTCCTTCATTATCCTTTCTCGCTTTCACGTTCTCTCAGCTTCGCAGCGCGAAGTCTCTTGCTATTCGTTTTCACTCCTTATTGTGCATAATCGCTAGTCGATCTCTACCATCACCATGCTTCGGCTTCAGATATTGTTCTTGACGCTCCTTTTCATCAGCACCGCTTTTTCGACGCCTATAAGGCAAAAACAGAAGCGCTCTTTTAAGCTCCCCCGGATAGCACAATCTAACTACGAGCCGAACGGAAAAGCAGCGTACAAACGAGCGTTGTTCAAGTTCGGGTTTGGCGAAATCAGTTTTCAGCCCAATGGTGAGATAGCCACCAGAATCCAAGCAGCAACCAATGCTTCCATTGATGCCACTGAGGATGGGGAGACCAGCGCAACGCCATCACAAAATGACGCGCAGTTCCTGTCCCCTGTGAACGTTGGTGGACAGACCCTGGTCATGAACTTTGACAGCGGGTCATCGGATTTGTACGACGACCATGATCATTGACGCTTTCACTGCATCGAACTAACTATTCCTTCTAGCTGGGTCTTCAACACCAACCTTGACACCGCCGCTCAACAAGGTCATACCATTTACGATCCTACAAAATCGAACGCATCCCAATCACTCACGGGAAGCACATTCAATATCAGCTACGGCGATGGCTCGTTCGCTTCCGGCCCTGTCGGCGTCGACACAGTCGACATTGGCGGCTCCACAGTCAATGCCCAAGCTATTGGCCTACCCGACACTGTCTCTGACAGCTTCATTAGCAATACCGCATCCAACGGCCTCGTTGGTCTCGCATTTAGCCAGCTCAATACCATCGAACCACAACCACAAAAGACATTCTTCGACAACGTTATGGCAGACCTGACCCAGCCGGTGTTCACTGCGCAGCTCCTATCCAACGCTGCTGGCTCCTACGAATTCGGGAATATTGATAGCAGTCTGTTTTCGGGCCAGCTCCAGACCGCCGCCGTGGACTCCTCCAGTGGCTTTTGGCAGGTCGCGTCAACGTCGGCTGTTGTTTCCGGCCAGACGATTGATATCGCCGGTGGCTCTGCGATCCTCGATACCGGCACTTCGCTCATGCTGGTAGCGGATGAAATGGTGGTTGGATACTGGAACAATGTTGATGGTGCGCAGCTGAATCAACAGGCGGGCGGGATCATCTTCCCTTGCAACGCGGACCTGCCCGACATCCAAGTGGCTATTGGAGACAACCTTGCCACCGTCAGTGGTGCGAACATGAACTTTGCCAACGTCGGGACTGATTCTCAGACTGGTGAAAACTGTAAGTGCCTCTCAAGACCCCATGACTTGGTTCTCAGATGCTGACTGTTGTATTTAGTTTGCTTTGGTGGTCTGCAGTCAAACCAAGGCCTTCCCTTCTCAATCTATGGCGACGTCTTTTTCAGATCCAACTTTGTCGTTTTTGACGGCTCAGGGCCATCGGCCAGCTTCGCGCCACACGCATAGTATGAGAAGCAAATTGCATAGAATAAAACAAGGAATGATACCATAGCCATATATTGTGCATTGTTTGTGCATAGCGATGGAGTTGCTCGTGTTTTGTTCAATGAGCTGTGTGCTTTGCTAGCACCTTCACTTCTGCATGGTATATTTGCATTCATTATAGCAACAGATGAGTGATGACAATGTGCTTGAAAGACATGAGACATGACAATGAAAGTGCGTTGACAAACCAATTGGACAGAAAGCATTGAGTCCAAAGGAGCCATCAACCCTGGGACGAGTTGATTGCGATAACAGCATCGCCACATCCATGTCCTGTGCGGCAGCCGGTCACTCGAATTGTAGTCGCCTGGAATTCTCAGGCGCCGTGCCAAGTAGATTTGATAAAGACCGAGCTTGGTCTTTCAGGTACTGCCAGGTATGGTACGAATAGACAAAGTGGCAGTAAGAAGACCTGTGCTCTGGGCACTCATTCCAGCGAATGGACGAGACACGAACTTGCCGGGCTCTTGCAGCATCCGTTTGCATCTCTAGCGCCTCATTCTCAATTCGTCTCAGCTGCTGTGGAATTCGGGCTCCGATGCGGTTCATGGTCTTGATGAACTTGTCCAGTTTTTGGCAGCTCGGCAAGTAGCCGAACAAGACTCTGGATTCTAGGTCGCCACGCCGCATTCCTTTTGAGAACGTCAGCTGTGTTTCAGATTCATCGATCTCGTTTATTGGTCGATTTTCGGATTCCATTGCACCAGTCTCATGGAATTCCACACGCCATCTAGCTAGGCGATGGGGCAAGGCTGGGTGCCTTAAAGTGTTCTTGATCTGGCTGTCTTCCTCAGCAAACAATCTCTTCCTCCGTGTAGCATCAGCAATGAAACGGATAGAATGGTTGCCCGGGGCAAAACTTTGCTGGCATGGATTCACCACCATAGCCGCAACGAGCAAGAAACCTTGGGAGGGAGCAATGCGGCTGGGCGCAACCTCATCAGCCAGCCTCCGGAACAGCAGCTAGCCAAGCTGTACCACCTTACTTTCCCAGGTCAGGCCAAATGAGGATCAGCCTACGCTGCGCCCACCCCCAGCGAGGGACCAGCGGGGTTGAGTGCAAATAACAAGACTTGGACTCAGTGCTTACCAAAAGCCGACCCCTGCAACATTCTATCTTGGGCCGACCGCTGAGAATACACCAGTTCACCTCCCACCCTTGGCTCACTTCCTACTTCAGGCCAGTAGGCTGAACAAACAAAGATGACATTAATCCCTATTACAGCGGTGCTTTTCGGCCTTCTTGACTCCGTTGACCGGCCTCAGCTCGCGCCTGATGCCGTAGGTATGTTTGTTACTATATCGTGAATCGCTTCATCTCGCTGCCTCTGATAACCTGCATTTCTATGTGATCACACAACAAGCTCAACATGGAGTCCCATACCAAGCGGTAAGGCTTGCGCTGTTGTATTGCAGCATTCAGACTGGACTTGTGCGACTGACATACCGACTAGGAGACATGCTCCGCATTGGCCTCCATTCAAACAGTCATATCAGCAACTGGGCTCGACCGAACATGTTCACCTTACCCCTCTGCCGCCGACGACTGGTGGCTCCCAAAGGTCGAGCCTGCCGAGCGCAAACTTGTTCAGTCCGGACCTCAGTAGCACCACAGCATACACCCCGGATCCCATGAGCGGCACACCCACCGCGCTCTTGAGGTCTCCCAGCAAGTCGGCGGCTACACGCAAGAAAAGTTGGTTTGGCCAGGGATGGAAAGCAAGTTCGAAGATAGCGCTGGGCTGCGCCATATTCGTGCTGGTTACAAACATCTGTCTGACTATCGCCATCGTGACCAGCGGCAAGTCGATGAAGAACGGAGTTTATATGGTCTATGAAGGAAGTTGCAGCCAGACTCAAGTCAAGGATACGTGGGTACATTTATGCTTGAACATGGTCGCAACCATACTACTGGCAAGTTCGAACTACTGCATGCAACTGCTCACGTCTCCGAGTCGAAGCGAGCTAGATAGAGCCCATGCAAAACGGAAGTGGCTGGACATCGGCATACCCAGTATACGGAATCTCGGGTCCCTGAGTAAGAAAAAGGTCGCACTGTGGTGGATGCTGGCGATTTCTTCGGTTCCTCTTCACCTGATGTTGGTTACTCAAGAGATCTGATGTACTTGTTCAGCTGACCATCTTAGATACAACTCTGTCTTCTACTCCGCGCTTGCCACAAACAACTACAGCGTCCTGTATGCCTCTGAAAGCTTCGTCGATGGCGCATCTTATAATACGACCAAGTTCCCCAATACTGAACAGTTGAACATCACCGACATCCAGACGAGAGCCAAGTCATTCCAGGTACTCAACAACGAAGACTGCATCCATTCTTATGCGAAGGATTTTGTCGAGGACCGTAGCAATGTGATCGTGGTGGTCAAAGACCCGCCAACAGACGAGGGCTCACTCTTCGAAACCGCCGACAACGAATTTCCTGAAGTCATTACTCCAGAGTACGATGCGTTCGCTTGGATCTGCGACAATCCAAATGTCGCCAATGAGACGGGTGCTTGCTGTAAGAATGAGTACGGCATTGTACCCTGCCGCAAAATCACTCCGAAACTCCTCGACATGGCGGACACATGGTCGACAGGCGGGTTCCAAGTGGATCATTGCTTATCGGAACGTGTACAATCACAATGCCATCTTCATTTCTCTCTGGACCTCATTGCCGTGGTCTTGGCCTTCAATATCCTCAAGGTCATTGGCATAGGGTACGTGGCCTTCAATCTCGGAGAAACGCCCCTGGTCAATGTTGGCGACGCTATTCAGTCCTTCCTGCGCATTCCTGACCACACTACCGAGGGCATGTGTCTAGCTAGCCACGCGAGCGTTGTTGCCTCCTCAAAAATAGGCTATTTAGCAATGCCGACTCGATATGATCCCAAGCAATACCGATATTATCATGCAGCAACATGGGGCCAGTGGACCTTCCTGATGTCCATATTCACCCTGGTGATTGTCGGCACTGCAGTGTGCTTAGCACTGGGCATCAGGAATTTCGTTGGCGAAAAGACAATTGGGAATGCATGGTCGATCGGGTTGGGCAACGTAAAACCCGAGAACCTCGTCATGGGCTTGAGTATAGGCTACGGCGACAGATCCATTGCGATATCGACCCTGATTGCCAACACGCCACAAGCCATATTTTCCTTCCTGTACGTCTGCTACAACGCGCTCTTTACAGTCATGTTCCTCTCCCGCGAGCTTTCACGCTTCAGCGTCACTGCCGGTCGTGGTCGAAAATACCTCCGCGTGACCGATTCTCGAGGCGAACAAAAGAGCACATACTTCCTCAGTCTGCCGTACAAATACGGCATTCCTTTACTGGTCGGCTCTGGGCTGTTGCACTGGCTGGTCTCGCAGAGTATATTTCTCGCCAACATCACCATCATCCCACGCGACGGCGAGGTGCCGATGCAGGATGAGATCACCACGGTGGCATACTCACCCATTGCCATGCTGTTTATACTGTTTGTCGTCTTCGCACTGCTTGTCTTCGTGTTCGCCATTGCTATGCGCAAATTGCCCATGGGCATGCCGCTCATTGGGAGCAATTCGCTAGCTATCAGCGCCGCTTGTCATCCCCCCATGGGCCTGGACCAGAGCGAGCGCGAGGATATGGTGTTACGTCCGCTGAACTGGGGAGCCGTGCCCGGTGCAGGCAAGGTTAGTGACTTGGGCATTCGAGGTTACGAAGTGGAAAGTCCAGATGATGGGCAGAACGTGGGACATTGTTGTTTCAGTGATCAGCCCCTCGAGCCACCTGAACGAGGGAGGTTTTATGCATGATGTTTCTTTTTCTCATGCTTATGCATAGCGTTCATCAGGGGGAACTGCATAGCGACGGCATTGAGCATCTTATCATACTATTTTGACAGACCTTTTTCTTGCTCAACCGAGCCATTGGCGCCCTGATGTGATGTATTCAGTGTGCAAAATGTTCTTAGCCGGACGGTGCGAGATGCAAGCAGGAGTGTATCCTGCTACATGCTGGTAAGTCTGGAGGGCAGAAGGAAAGTCTGGATATCGAGTACATTTGTTTAACCTCCTATTCTGATCGATGCAATTCCAGACAGATTCCGACCAGGGCGAGTACATTTTGTCTAACCTCCATTCTACCTGTGCGTCGTCTCTTGGAATGGTTTCGAATACCTCCACTGACGTTGAATCCTGTACCTGTCGTGCGAGCTTCACTGTCACAAGCACCATTCTACTCAGCGTCCTTCTCCGGCGTCTTCTTAGCCACAATCTGGGACTATAATCCCTCATGCCCCTTTTTTTCCAGCTCTTACGAAGAACCATTCTGTCTAGCCTCCTTCTCCTTGTCCACTTCACGGGTGATGATCTGGCGGATTCCAGGCAATCCTTCCGAGCTGGACACCTTCAGCACTTTCCTCTCCTTGTCGTCCAGCCCAACAAATTGCTCCGGCAGGACGCTATTGAAGTCGAACCCCTTCTCCTCCTGCAACGCCAGGTCGACTGCACCGGCGAATTTCGCAGGATGGGCCGTGGCCAGCGACACGGTCGGCACGTCACATTGACCCGACGCTTTGATCTCGCGCAGGCTCGCGGCCACGCCGATCGCGGAATGCGGATCAAGAACATATTCCTTCTTGGAGATGACGTCTCCTCGGTAACAGTCCCGAATCGCCTCCAGCGTCTCGGCGTTGCTGACTCTGTACGTGTCGAAGATCTCGCGAGCCTTGTCCAAGATCTGCGGATCGACGGTAAAAGAGCCCGTGCTCTTCAACTCCTGGAACCACCCATCGATCTTCTGTCCCGCCACGCGTACCGATGACTCCATTTTAACGTGCGGGTTCGTCTCCAATTCATGCTCAAGACTCAAATGCCAGAGCAGGCGTTCGAAATTCGACGAGACCAAGATGTCCATGGCTGGACTGTAGGTCTCCTTGACGCCGGCCTCATGCGCCTGAGCGCCATCCTCTTTGATGCCCTCGTGCGGTTCCTGGGGCGGCTTCGGCTTCTTCGAGTACGAGCCGGTCTGCCAGAAGCGGTGAAGGATGTCATTCTCATTTGTGGCGATGATGAGTTTCGCGATCGGTAGACCCATGCGCTTAGCGTAGTACCCGGCCAGGATGTCGCCGAAGTTGCCCGTGGGCACGACAAACTTGGCCTGTTTCAGGTCGGGTTTCGTCTTGAGAAGCTGGAAATACGCGGAGAAATAGTACGTGATTTGGGCGAGGATACGGGCCCAGTTGATCGAGTTCACGGCCGCGAGATGGTGGATCTTGTTCGTCTCTGGGTCGGCGAAGAGAGCCTTGACGTAGTCCTGGCAGTCGTCGAAGGTGCCTTGAACAGCGAGGCAGTGCACGTTCGGGTCCAAGACGGTGGTCATTTGCGCTTCTTGGACCGGCGATACTTTGCCATCCGGGAACATGATGAAGATGCTCACGTCTTTCTTGCCGCGGAGGCCGTAGATGGCAGCGGAGCCCGTGTCGCCTGACGTAGCGCCGATAACGGTGAGATGGTGTCTGGCTTCGCCCGTTTGGAGGTTCTTGTTCTTCCGGACGAGGAAGAACTCGAACAAGTTGCCCAGGAATTGGAGGGCGACATCTTTGAACGCGAACGTCGGCCCGTGGAAGAGTTCGAGAAGATACAGGCCCTTTTGGTCGTCGAGGGGGACTAAGGGGACTGTGTCTGGGTGTCTGAAGGTCGAGTAGCTACGGTGGACTATGTCTTTGAGTTCGGCGTCGGAGATTTCGTACTCGTCAATGTACAGCCTCATGACCTGGTAGGCCAGGTCTGGGAAGGAAAGATCCTTCCATTGTAGATATTGAGACCGGACGTTGGGAATATCATGTGGGTGAAAGAGACCACCATCGGCTGCCAGGCCCTTCAGCACGACATCCTCGAAACCGAAGAACTCGCGTAATGAACTGTCGTGGTACCGGGTGCTCGAGTATTTCGAGTTGTTGGCCACCATGGTGGATACTCAACTAAGACCACGAGTCAAAGGCTCAAATAGAATTTTATCACAGTTGGCTCTCTGGCCACAGGTTCAAGTTACTCCGGGTCAAGTATCAAATTTGGATTATGACTGGAGAGGTGGTGAGTACACAGTATGAGGCTACATACTCGCGAATGGGAGTGTGAGAAGCCGTTCTCTCACGTGCATCCTGTCCAGAAAATTCTCGAACTAGTCCACAAATAGTCTAGTTCCTGATATCTCTTGGCGAAAACTTTCCTCGCCCCGACTACAAATATCTTCTGCCCATCTGCGCTTTTGCTTTCTTTTTTCTTTTTTTCTTCATGCGACTTTACTTCATAGAATCGTACGTCCAACATTCCACGCACAAACACCTCTGGAGTCCCTTCCACTGACACTTTTCTTTGCAGATTTCTATAGTAAACGTCCTCTTCTGAGCTCTTCACACGAGCCACAGAATCCTCAACCTGGCTGACGAAACGAAATCCTCGGTGCCCTAGAGTGAAGCCTTTTACTCTCGCGTCGTTCGTCCATGACTCTTCGGAGACTGGATGAACCAGAGAGTGGTGATGATCTTTGACCTGCGCGTTGGGGACTGGCTTTGTGCCGCCCTGCGCAGCTGGTACGCGAGGACGATTCTGACAGGCCTAGTCCTACTTTTCATGAGCTTGGAACCCTTGTGGTCGGAGTTTGAGAAGAGTTGTACACCTTTGTTGGCACCACATCATCCAGCTGAACGGCGGTTTCGTTGCCATCAAACCCGCCTGGACCTGTTGAGAACTTCTGACAAATGCTTCATCTACCAGTACATCTCCCTGTCTTCCCGTTCAGAGGGTTTTTGCAACAGGAAACATGCTTCACGTTGACGGCAGATTCATCCTGACTCGACTGACATAGGCACTATTTATTAAACAGCCCTGTTTCTTTCACCCACCAGCAGCGGCTCACCATCAACATCCCAAGCGCAACAACACCGGGATAACCATACTTTAGATCGAACATCTACAGCATCAGCCCTGGTACAGGTTTGGGAAAATAATAATGCAGCCTGTAGCTGTAAAAATCTTCATACGACTACTCTCACACTATCGTTGCACGCAATCGATCAAAATTCCAACTTGCCACTCTCATCTGCCATCTTCACAGCAACCTCTTTCTCTTTCGTCGCCTTCGGCCGTCCCTTCCTATCAACTCGTTCATCTCTCGGATCGAACCCGCCATTCCCCCAGAGCGCCCACTCCGGTGTCTCCATGCAATAATCCTCCGGTGCAAAATCCACGCCTTCATCCAGAAGCTTGAAAAACTTGTCATAATCGATGATCGTATGCCACTTTCCGTTGATGAAGAAGCGCTTGCTTGCAAGCAAAACGCAGCAACTGTGCGCATGTTCGGCTGCAATGCCGTAGTCCAGCCCTCGTTTCGCAAGAGCCTTGTTCAACGCCTCCACAAACGTAACCACTTCCGCATAGAAAGGGACATTCTGCATCGTCAAGCCTACATTTGTGGATGTAGAAGTCCCACAATACGTGGCAGCTTTGATCTCGATAAAGCATGGCAAGCCCTTCTCAACAAGACCGGCATATCCTTCAACTTCGTCCTCGATGTTGAATCCCTTGACCAAGGTGAGACGGTAGACTGTTCTTTGGACGAACCGTTTCTCGCGAAGGATGTCGAGACAAGACTGGAATCGTTCCCAGAAGTCTCGATGCAAAGGTCGGTCGATCCTGCGTAGACTGTCTCTATTGCTCGCATCGATACTCACATAAAGCTGAGTGACCCTCCTAAGGTCGCGGAGCTGCTGTGGATGCTGTGCGTTGCAGACAAGAAAACTCGAGATGTGCTCATTGTGTAGCAGGCCGACAAACTCGTTGATTCGAGGATAGAAGATAGGTTCGCCAACCAGGCTCAACGCGCAATGCCGGATGCGCATTGCTTCTTCGAATCGTTCGCTGCGCACGCCAGGAACACCACGCATCATCTTGATCTTCTTGTAATGGCCTGCTTTGGCACCGTCGAAAATCATCTGCGGGTCGTCCACTTGCCACCTCCAGGTCGTGGAGACCGGGTTTGTGCCGTGGCGCCAGCAAAAAACGCATTTGTTGCTGCATGACAAGGATGGAGTGGTTTCCATGCACAGATGGGAAGCAATTCCGTAGAATGAGTTCTTGTAGCACGAACCACGGCCACGGAGAGCAGATTTGGTCCATCGACAAATCTTGACTCCCGAATGACTGCCAACGATTGTGTAGCCTTGCTTTGTCAAGGCTGCGTGTGTGGGTGATTCTTGGGGCACCATGGCTTTCAGCAGCACCGGCGCTGTGGAGGGAGCAGAGTATGTGGTGAAGTCAACCGCCATTGGAGCACCTTTTCCGCCGACATCCTCGACATCTGCTGCGCTTGCAAGTTTCCTTCTCTTGTTCCGACCAGAGTCGGGGAAGTCAATCTCGTCATCTTCCAGTTCCTCCTCATCGGCACTCTCTACGGCATCGCCACTTCCGGAAACCCCTTCACCCAGTCCACCATTGAGGCTGAGCTCTTCGAGCATGGCACATACTCCGGAGACCCAGTCTTGTAGTGCCTGGGCCACATTGTTCTTCACGTCACCAAGGCCTAGTGGGTATGCTCGCTTCCTCCCAGTCAGCTTGGCCATCCATTTATCCACTTCAACCGCCTGTGAGCAAAAGCCCATCTCTTCAGTAGGCCAGCCTTGCTTGTCACCAACTCCAAACACGGCGTATCCAGCCAAGGCCGAAAGAGAAGCCGTGTCAATGCGGAAATCATTGTGAGTTTCGTCAAGGTGGGCAAGGAAGGTATTCAAGATCGTATCGATGTCGTAGGACGGTATGAGGAGGACGTAGACATATCGGACGTCTGGACGAGAATCGGAGGTCTTGGGACCGGAAATGAAGAAGTCGTCGAGGTCAATGTACGAAAGGTCATGTACTTGAGGCTTGAGAACAGCGGGCTGCAATGCCGAGAGACTCTCAAGTCTGGTGAGCACAGTCTTCGACAGACGTTCGGTGGTTCCTGTCAGCGATGTGAAGAAGACCAAAGGTTGTATGCAAGCAGGTTCTGGTTGTCTTGGAACTCCCAATCCTCCTCTTGGATTCGGTTTGCGGCCAGCCACCACCCGAGGTGTAGAAGATCGAGGTTTTCGACTTGCAACGGCTGTAGGTTGACGCTCGGTGCTTGAAGGAGACTTCTTGTTCGTTGTCGCCAACTGCTCCTTGTCTTTCCCCTCGAGCCAGTTCGCTTTCTCCAGGCCAGGCGAGGAGCCGCGTGTTTGCAGTGTGCGGATGCGCCTGCGCTGCAACCAGACGAACACGAAAGCCAGCCCAAAAGCCGTCCAGATCACAACCCTATGGTTGTGCCACGAGGTCAGCAATCTGTCTAGCCAGTCTGCTAAGACGACCGGTGCCGCCCCGCCTTCTCCTAAATCCATTGTCTTCCTGCCGTTCCTGCTCATGCTACAAATGCAGTTTTCAAAATTTGTTATTCGAGAAGTGGGGTGCGGGCAACGAGGCGAGCGAGGCTGCTCGGCAGCCTCTGTCTTTCGCTAATGTGTAGGTCTTTCCAAGGCTTCTTTCGGCCTCTGAACGACGAGAGAAAAACAAGAGTGGGAGCATTGATGCTCCGCTACTGTCTCAGGTGGTATGTCTGTATCTCTGTGACATTGGTTGTATACTTTCAAAAACATCTAATGCGTATATTGAGACAGCCACCACTTGGGTCTTGTCTGTGGTCCCGCACCCAAACGCCCTTGAGCCCCCAATTGCCTCATAATGATTAACTGGAGAACGCCTGAATCAACCCATCACAAGTAATCGATATCGCTCGCTTCCCAGCCTCGAGCACAGCGTCCATGGCCAGAAAGGGATGCGGCATTCCCTTCATGACCGTCAAATCCGCCGATATTCCGTTGGCCTCTAACTTTCTCGCATACTGCATCTCGTCAGAAAGCCGTAACGTTGCAGACACGAACCAAGCATAAGCCTCCTGCTTGAATGGCACGGCTTGTTGGGGCAGGAGATTCCTTACCTCTTCACCTTCGTGCCTGAGAACGTCGAGCTCTCCGACGATGATGTTCGCGCGTGGCAGCTGCCTAAAGATGGCGTTCGGTGCGAGAAGCGGCGACGCCTCCCTGTGCGACCAGGTAGCTGGATCCGGTAGATAGTGGTTACGATACCACAACATTTTCTTCGCCGGTAGAGCGGCCGTATGCTCAAACATCTTCCATGTTGGGTTCTTTGAGCACGGTGTAGCTGTGTTATCCGTGACCGGCACGATCAGAAACTGGGATCGAATGAGAGCACATTGCTGCACCACGGCATTTTGGACGATGACTGCCGCAATGTTTCCTCCGGAGGACGCTCCCCCGATGGCAATCTTGATAAGATCGAGGTTAAGTGTGTCCTTGCCGGTTGATGTCGCCCAGAGTAACGTTTCCCATGAATCGTGGATTGCAGCAGGCCAAGGTGCCTCAGGAGCGAGTCTGTCCGAAATAACCCCAGTCAGTCCATAGAGATCAAACGGTAAGCCACTTAGCAGGTAAGCCTGTCGGACAGGGCCCGGGGAACAGGAAGTCAGGTTGCTGACCTATAGTCTGTCGTGATCACTACAGCCCTTGCTCGATTACAGATGTTTGTGCATACATTATTCTCCGTGGAAAGGTCACCGAAAACCCAGCCTCCACCATGATAATACAATACCAATGGCCATCCTGAGCTAGGCGGAGTTCCTTGAGGGGTGAAGCATCGTATTGGTATGTCAGGCCCGTTGGTTTCTTGCCGAGCGCGCTGGGGTATGCAGATGTCCTGGACCCTGCCAACAGGGAGAGGATCACTGTGGCAGGCAATGGCATTTCCACCCGCTCTAGAGACAGAAAGCGGTAAGCAATGAGCAGGGGGCAGATTCAGAAGGTGTTTGTTGTAGAAGGCCACATATTCTGGATGTAGTCGATCCTTGACACTGGGATGAAGTGGGAATGAATGAGCTTGAATCTGAACCGCCATTGTGACGTGCAAGTTGTTCCTGGCTTCACCTCTGAAGCTCGACCAGATCGATTCTCTCGCGTTAAAGAAGGGGAAGCCTGGTCGTTCAAGCCTTGGACAAGGAATGAGTACAAGTACAAATCAACGGTAGTCAACGTCTTTTCGGTTCGATCCCCAGCCAACCGTCGATGTTTGCCCGTTACGAATTCCGTTCGGGTAGCGTTTCCATCACGTAGAGGGGACGGGTCTTGAGCCGCTGAATTGTCAAATCAACGGCGTGTAACTGCAGGGTGGTACTGTACTCAATGAGCTGGTCTCTTGTGATTCCTGGGCCCTGCACGATCATGGCCCTGCCTGTCCCTCATAGCCGCAAATTCGAGCGATAGCTCCTGAGGTACAAATCCCACGCGAGAAGACTGCATCACGCTACTGTACCAATGCGAGCAGGGAGCTCGAAATCTTAGCCTATGCCGTCCAAGCACGAAAAGTACTGGTGGGCAAACATACATACCTGTGCAGGAGCAAGGGTAAGAAGATCGGCTGGAGGCTGGAGGATGACCAAGACCGGCGGGTCGAATTGATACCAGATTCATACGACACCGCTGCATGTCGTTCACAGTTTAGCGAGTTTCCGCCAAATCACAGCCAGAGTCTTGCCACAGGGCTTGTCCAGACTTTCGATCGGTCTTCGTCGATTCGCCATTACCATTGCAGCGGGATGGGCTACTGCGACTTGCGAGCTGTACTCGCTTGGGCGTGCTGTGAATCGAGGTTCCAGACCGGGTGAACTGTCGAATATCACTTTGCGAAGGCCAGGGTGGCTCACGAGAGCTGCTGAGTCCGATCTTCTCTAGAAGGAGACCTTACGGAGTACATTGCAGCATGCCATGAACAAGTCTGGAGGGTCTGTCTGGAGTTTGATGAGTGTTGCTCCGATCGGCTCACAGGCCGGGGAAGAGGCATGGACGGGCGGTCATCTGTAATGGCGGGAAGAACTTGCGGTTCCGCTCAAAGTGGAAGCCTTTTCTGCATGCTAGTCGGACGCCTAACTAAAGTTGAGTGAAAAGAACGTAAATCCCAGAAACCAGCTCAAGCAGTGTCGCCCTCTGGTACTGTACTTGGGGGATAGTCAACGGAGGGATACCCGGGGCAATTGGAGGCAGTCCCAAGGAACCACCACCTACAAGCCTACCGGAGCCTATCCTGCGCATCACCTTGTTAGGGGGCAAAAAGTGGATGAGCAGAGTGCCCCATGACGATCCAATGATGGTCCCCATTGCTCTGATAGGCACTGCTACTTGTTTCCCAGGCTTCACCTGCAGCAAGCCAAGTTAGTTGGTTTAGGCTTGTTAGGCGGGTCCTGCCATCCTGAGCATTCTAGTTGCTTACAGTAGGGAGTTAGGCTTGCCTTTGGTCGGACCGTACCGCCATCATCCGTCATGTTCTATCTTTGCACCTGGGTACCTTACGGAGTACAGTGTAAGGGAAGTAACTACTGGCACATTTTTAATCCAGAGACCTTGAGCACTCTTCCGGTTCTCACGTCGCTTCCGCAAACATCCAAACACCGCTTCCGTGACTGAGTGATCCCCGCTTCTCTTCCGAAGGTGGTACTTCAGGTGCCGTTGCGCATTTCAACTGAACCTGACCGGCTAGGTGAGGGTGTCCGGAGCCTCACATCATCTACTAGGTTGAAGCTAACGCTCTTTTTGACCTTGCCGTGGACAGCATGCGCCACTTTTGACAAGCCATGTTGAACATGGTCCAACGGTCCGTTGCTGATGGAGCTTGCAGAGCTGGAGGCGGTACTCTCGCTGCTCGTATCGACTCTTGTCGGGCTGCTGCTGTCACTGATCGATGCCTCAGGGACAGTCTCGTAGATATGCGAGTCGTCACCTATGCCAGAGGCCGAAAGGACTTTAGGGGGTGACTGGGGCGCCCTTAGTGAGGCCTGCCCTTTCTGTTCAGATGGGATAACACCCGACTTTGATACATTTCCGTCGATATCCGAATCTTTGACACCTTTTACCGCAGGGGGTGGTGCAGCAGCCGAGTTGTCGTCATCGACAAGAGACTCGCCATCTTCTTCTTGGATCACAGCGAGGTCCACTTTCCTTGTCATCGTCGAGCCGGAAGGTAGACTCTTGACAGCCACCTTGTCGTTCGTTTGAAAAGCCTCCGACGTTGCCAATGTGCTTGCGAGAGCAGGGACCTGGTCAGGCGAGCCACCCGCATCCCTGCGGTCGACAGAAGGTGCATGCTCTGCGCCTGCATGCTGATATGATCTGGTGATACCATTCGTCAACGTGGAAGGGGACGACCCCGAGCTTCGGGACCACGATGGGGAGGCTGCGCCGTCCTCCGATGTTTGAGATTGCGATGACGATGTTGAGGAGTCATCTTCAACGACACTGCTTTCCCAGTTCAGGTGGACCTTGTGGCCGGGAATGCTGCGAATGTCGGAAGCTTCGACCTCAGGAATGACTTCCTCCATATTATGTGAGTTGGAGTACGACGGAGGCCGGGCATCCAGCTTAGCTCCTTCTACCTGTTCAAACACAGGTTCCTTGTTTGATTTCGACTTGCGAGAGCCAGGGCTACGCGCGAAATCCCAGTCCTTTGATGATGTCTTCTTCGGTCGCAGCCTGTCTGGGATGACTGGGACAGGGGGAATCTCCGTCCTCGAGGTGCGAGAGGTGGTGGCTGATATCGGATTGGCATGAGCTTTCCTTTCCTTGGAATCATCCAAATGCCCTCGATCTCTTTCATGTCTCAAGATTGAGGCATCTCTCCCACCACCAAGTACGTTGCCCTCGCTAGCATCACGAGAGAACTGCTCACTTTTGGCGTTGGCGCCTGCTTGACTTTGCCGGACGGCATGAACGGCAGAAGAACGGTCTTCAACCGGACTCTCATCGGCAAGACTGCCATATCCCTCATCTTCCTTGCCTAGGCTCTGATATTGTCGGAGGCCATTCACGCTGGAGATGGCAGTACCGTCAAGCTCATTCAATCCGAGCTTAAGATACCTCTGGCCATTTCCTTGAGCTGAAATCCCGGCTTGGGTCATTGCATCTTGTCGAGTTTGGATTTCATTCTGGTTACGATGCAGTTGAATTGGTCTTGCCTCCTCTCGTTGCAAATCCGACACATTGGCGGTGTACGCAAATGGCAATCCCGTGGAATAGTTCTTGCGATGCGTCATCACTGCCCGAGAGCAACGGTAACAAACGAGCGTCGCGTCAGGGCGCGTTCAATGACCTGAACAAACTCTTTAGTCTATACTCTGTCGATGAGGTTGGAACGCTATGGCCACAAGCTCGGGATCCGGGTCGATTTTGGCCTCGTGGCGATCAAGCTTTTCGAGTGGTTGAGTAACAGTGGGATTATTGTGGTCGTCGATGTCGTACGAGTAGACTCACGGAAATGTACATTGTTCATGATGTAAACAGGTGCCGATAGACTTCGAGACTGTGCTTGCAACAGTCATTCCGAGCTCGTGGTTTGCACCCTATGTGGGCGGGGTTTTGATGCGGGCTACTGGGCAGTGGATGATGGCTCGATGGCTAGGGGCTTCAGCCTCACCCCGGTATCCTGGACGAATTAACGTCACCAGTACGGAGTAACGCTGACTGTCGGTGAAATGGCCGCCGAAAACGGCTGCTGAGGCGCCGCTTTTGGCCTCCGCTGCACCCTCTCCGTCGCAGTCGACCAGCATCCGACGATCCATCCCCTAATGGATACTTCATCGACACCTATCTAGATATCTTTCCCATTGTTTGTCCCGGAACGTAGTGCCTCTTTTATCTTGGTGACGACAGTCTTACGGCCAATATTCGGACATATTGCTTTAGGAACAGCTATTCGCTAACGAGACATATCTAAAATCAGCATCTGAAATATCTGACCCCAGGTGTTCCATTCGCTTGCCCCCACCCGTATTGCAGTGTGATTAGGACAATATATGATGACGCAAATCATCTCATGATTCACGCATTGGACGTCCATAACATCTTCCACTGCCCTTAGTCTACGAACAAGCTTAGGGCCAGCTTACTTCTATGCTATAAGCTAAGCATATATATATATAGATAGATCTTTGTTACGCCTTGGAGAAATCAATTTGATGCAGGGAAGATATTCGAAAGTCATGCTGTCTCCACTTCCAGAATGAAATCTTCTAGACCGCTATGTAGCCAAATGATTTGCGTTCTCCTTCCATCGTAGTTCCGAGACAGGAGTGAGTAGCATTCGTCAAATTCGGAATGAGCCTAGTAATGAACGACATCCAGAATCTGATCATGGTATGGACTGCTAGCCAAAAAAGAAACTCCTCTTGTACTCTTCTCCTCTTCAGAGAGACCATCTCGAGCCCTGCCGCAATTCGCTCATCTCTCTCGACTCAAATTGCCCTCTTGACACTCCACGCCATCGCCGCCGTTGTATCACACAGCACATCACTAACGAATTGTAATGCTACCATACCAACGTCTCTAGCCAGCGTCCTTGTTCATCCCAAAATGCCAACCACTTTAACTTACACAGGGCTTACGGAGTACAGTTCGTCAGATATTGGTTATGCTCCCCCACTCCCCTCCCCCCGGCACTAAACACGTACGGAAAACTCCGCTCCCACAGCCAGAAATTGACTCACATAATAATTAAAATGGCCGAATTTGCTCTCGCAATCCAATCAATTGCCTTGGTGGTCTAGGTATGATTTTCCACCTATACGGTCTTTGATTCAAGCTAACTTTCCGAAGTCGGTTATGACGTCGGTCTCATAAATGATTTATGATCCTGTGCAACACACGGGGGCTATCCGAAGGTCACGAGTTCGATTCTCGTCCGAGGCATATACTTGTTTTTTTTGCCGCTTATTATGATGCCTGCTTTCTGTCATCTGAAATCTTATCAATGTAGCAATTTCCAAAAGTTTTAGTTTTTGAGGTGAGGAGAGAGGTGGTGAGAAGACTACTACCTACAGAAGCGCATAACTTAGGTAAGATCCACCCCTTACAATTTCTGTACACACTAAACCCTAGTCACCTGATTGGTCGGTTGATCTGAGATTTCTCAAGGTGCGCATACTTCTTACCGCATCCTTGATCAATTTGACGCATGGCACCCACTCAATTAGGAGGGATCGGACGCGCGATTTACACAGTAGATTGAAAAAGAGATCTGGCATTTGTATGGGACTCTCATAGTAAATCTTGTACCACATTCCCCCTTATTAGATTACTGTGCATGTTGCCGAAGTTCACGTACACCCCTTTTGAGTGCGTGATGGCGTATTCGTAGGGACATGACCATATGGATCTCCTTGACAAGCGCCGTGGCTAGGTTCGAACCTCATCGCCGTGGTTTTGTGTAGACGTGCGACTACCGCATCCTCAACTGTATGCTCTTTCCTCTCTTCTACCTGCGCGGTGTCCTGTATTATCTCCTACCTCCTTAATCTCCTTCGTTTCTTCAGGCTACATAAGGCGGTCTACCCTTATCGCTGAAGTAGGTTTCGTCGAGCAATGCGTTTACTATTCAGATGTTGAGACATGGATGGATGGCCTACCTGCAACTTGAATACTTCTCGCGGCGTTGCTGCGCCAACGAGTATTGTGGTGTGCACAGAATAGCTGGCTATCATGACAGAATAATCAAAACTCCGTTGATGTGAACAGAATTACAGTGATTAATGGGGTGTGTACAGAATAAGGAAGGTGGGGTGTGTACCTGTACCTAGGTACAGAATAGCCAAATGGTGTGTCCAGTGTAGCCGGTGCCGAAGACGAATCGCAGGTACGCGGTTTCTCATGACTAACTTGTCCAGTGAGGTCGCCTCGGATTCATGGTGATGCTTACATTATGACTGAAGACAAATGTCTAGTAGAAAGATTACTGAAAAACGAGATATATGGTCGAAGACCTTTCGTTCATTCATAGATGCGCCAGTTAGATGAATTATGACATGAGATACTTCAATAAACTGAATAGCAAAACCAGCACGATCTGTCGCCTGCTCAACCTCTGTTAGGATGACATCGTAGGATTGATTTGTGCCCGATCAGCCATCGCTTGCTCCCATAGCCACTTAATGTTCTCGGCGAAATCGTCGAGTCGGTTGACGGGAATGCTGACGCCAACTTTATCGCTGTCTTCAGGGTAGAGCACTTGCCCATGCTCGTTCTTGATACTTATTCCATCGTCGTGAAACTCAAGCATACGTCTGCAGAATTGCGATTTACGTCGAAATAAGCTGCGGTTATTGGAACAGCTGATCTTCCGCACGGATCCATCAATCCCTTCGCATTTGAAGGCTGACCTGCCAGTCCAGGTACCGAGGTCAATTTTGTGTAGCGTGTTGATGCTGTAGACTTCAGTTTTTCGCGTTTTGATCTTTTTAAAACGCTCTCTGTCTTGTACCATATCCTCCGCAATACTTTGGAGGATTTCGCGTCTTGAATCAGTCGTCAATAGCGCCATGTCGATATTTCTTTCCGTAGCCTTCTCCAGAAAGAGACCGTGAATGGCCTGAGGGAGATTGGTAACATCCTCTGATGCATCAAAACAAATAGCAAGATAGTACCCGGTCGGTAGACTTGCGGCGTATGTAGTCCACTCTGACTGAGTGAACTTCCTCAAGGCATCTTGTAGTGGTTCATTCTTGTTTGCGATCCATTGGTTGTGTGCCCATAACCGACGTTGTTGACTGAGTGGTTCTCCCCATGTCTTGGGGAACCGGTCCAATCGATTGAGGTACGCACTTTTCTCAGCAATAAGTACCACCGAGATAGCATCTGTCGATTCTGTTTTGGAAAAGGAGCGCTTCACTTGTGCTCTAGCTTCGAGGCTCTGTTTCTTTTGCTCCGCGAATTCTTCCTTAGCATTGCGCAAAGCGTTCTTGAACCCCGCAGCTTCGAGTCTTGTTTCTGCACTTGCCATTATATCTTGACAGAGAGAGTGTCGACCTTTTGTCGGGTCTGGCTCAGAAGTAAGAACTTTCAAGGTGGTATCAATGTAGACCCAGACTTGAATCCAGCAGAGGAAGTATAGGCGACGGAGTGTTGTAAGTTGACCTGTATGTGCATCGTAGCCGGGATGATATTGTGGTAGTATGATGGTATGGGAACTTTCTGTATCATCGCCGACAAACTCGATTCAGGCAATGCCAATCTTGTACAGAAGACCCGAGTAGCTCGAGGGAGAGCATGTGATAATGTTCGCTCACTAAGCGTAATTGTCAACAGCGGCGCAACCGTGGCTAAGTGGGTTTGTAGAATGTTCTTCACATCTGGATCAATTTTGTGCGATGTTTGACTCGGCCAATGCAGGACATTGGTGAAGGATACCAGACGCATCAGATCATCCAAGTTGCTCGACAGAGAAGGGTTTGACTCGCAAGCAAGACATTCTTGAAGATACCCGATGATCAAGTCACGAGTTGCTCAGCTTCCATCGAAAACCCCTGTGTCCTCTCGAATAGACTGCTCTGTGGCGGCTTCCCCTACGACTGCGGCTATGCAGTAACCATGGAGAGTTTCGCAGACAGCTTGCTTGACATGATGTGATCCAATGTACTGAATATTTTCCTGTGTCGTCTCGTCCATCGGGAATCTCTTACGTATTGCATCGTAGATAGTCTCGGTAATTGCGGATAGCCGGGGCTTAACCTGCAAATCCATATTCTGAGACACTGACTGCGCGAGCGTACGCATCACAGTGGTATCGATAGTGCTCAACATTGCGGTGTCTCTTGTGCTTGGAATACAAGATGGTCCGCAGCCTCCAGCTTGCTGATTGAGCAATGACAAAGATCCGAATTGTGCGATCAGGAAGCGTTCAAAAGAGTCTGTAATTCTTCGACTGCTTCTCGTCAAACGATCTGAGCTGTATCTCTCGAATAGCCAGCCGGTGGCGGTGTCACAGAGGGCAAAAACTCGGATTCTCCTAGAGGCCTCTAGGTCAAGCACCTCATATCGTCGCTTAAATTCATTCAACAAAGTACCTCGGGCCTTGGGACCTTTTGTTGATTTGTCGCATCGTTGGAAGGGAGTAAAGGAGGTGGTCTGCCCAACGTACCGAACCCAGACTCTTTGATGATTGTCCATCCCTCTGAGCTGGAACGTCCAGCTTTCAAGTTGTGCGAAATCACATCCATCTCGTTCTAGGTCCTCGATGATGTTCTGAAGCTGTTCTTTCGTGAGAGACCATGATCGGTAGTAACAGACAGACCCTTTCTGCACTTCATCTGAGTCGCGCGATCTCTTGATCAGGAAGATTTGAGCTAATTCACGATCTGAGACGGTGATGGGCATCGATAGGAAGCGCTCAAATATATCTCTCTGCAGCTCACTGTCGTGTAATTTGGGAAGGAATGCGTCGGATGAGGATATAGTCCTTGTTCTGGTGTCAACTCCCCGGAGGTCCAACTGATCCTTCACACCTTGAAAGATCCTCACACGTAAGGCCTCGGAGGTTTCAAGATTTGCGTCTCGATTTCGCAGGGACGATGCTCTAGCTGAAGAAGAGCGAGGAGCTCGTCGGTAGTTAAGGGTCCGAGGTAGGTCAACACATAGGGAACGGCCATTTCGACGCCTGCGAATGAACGTTAGGTCATTGACAGGTGAGGTGAAAAGATGGTCACAGGCTATTAACATGTGGAAAGATTATCACCTACCGAGATTGCCCCATTGCATCGTAGAATTGTGTTTATCCTAGCCAGACTGCGATGAAGTGTAACACTGTCCGTGCGGAAAGCTTCGATGCTTCCCAGAGGACTTTTATGCCGGGGCACGACCGTCGGGAGTGAAGAGGGAAGGCAGCAATGTAGTAACTTACTATGTAGGTACGTACAATGGGAACAATGAGTGCATTCTGCGCATAAGGGTAACTTCGTCTCATCGGCAAATTCGGCGCCTCCTGCACTGTCACTTCCCGCTGTAGTTAAAGCTTCCAATCGAGTGATTCGGTGAGTGACCAAGCTCCCTCTTGCAGGTTCTCGCCCTTTCCGTGTCATCAATCACTCCATCAAGAGCCCCCATGCCGATTTCACATTTGAATTGGTCAAGTTGTTTGGGTTGGCACGCTAACAGCAAAAGACTGTCCCGTCCCTTGAATACTAAACCGTTATGCTAAGGATGTAGACCTGCATACTAATGGTACCAATGATACCAATGATACTCTGACCGCGGCTGGGTACCAGTGTCAGCCAGTCAATCAGGACCCTGGCCTAGAAGTGTTGGCTCTGGTTCCTCACTGTGTGATGTTGATGTTCCGAAGTCCACCAAGATTCTCAGCCTTGTTAAATTTCAGCCTCGTGCCAAGAATTGATTGGTCCTGCGTCCAACACAACGACATATGTCTGCATTTCTATCCTGTCGCACTGCCAGAATTCCAGAATATACTCGATTACACAGACGCAGCTCGTGAAGGACTTGACCGGACGCAAACATGGTGTGAGTTTGCTTATGTATCGAACAAATATTCGCCAAGGGAGTTGCATGGACAAAATACGATCACTTACATATACACGATATAAAAAGTTGCGACAGGAACAACAGGTTTATATCTACGTCCTTGTTCAAGCTGAGTGCTTAGCGGCTAACGTTTCGTGCAGGCTGTAGATTGGACAAACTGGTCGAGGAAGCGCTGAAATTTCCAAATTTGAGAGAGGTTTTCATTCGCGCTCCACGCTGGGACCAAGACGACCATCATGTTATCATTCAGACCTTTGCTCCCACCATTATCTTTCCGCTTGTGAAAAAGCACTACCTGCCGGTTATCTTCAGAGGCTGTCAAGTGAACATGACTATTTCCCTTCCTTGTTCTGCCGTTTGGTAAAGCGGTCATAGACGCGGCTAGGAATAACATCGTCAAAAATCTCCGGCTCTCTTTTCATCTGGACGCTGATTTTACCTATCTAGATGATCCGGAAGAAACTACGGAAGCCTGCGTCAGGATGAAGAAGTGCTCCGATGCTGTGAGAGAAAAGTCTAGCCTCGCAGACTTTTTACAAATTCATTCACATCTCGAGTCGCTCGACATAAGTTTCCAAATATGCACCAGTTCAGACAACCCGCAATGTTCACTGATATCTTTCCCTCCAGTACACAGTTTACCCGACTACAATCTCTTCGCCTCTCTCGGTTTGGCTTTCAAGACAGAGCGCTACTCGAATTCATCCAACGACACTTGAGTTGCCTGAAGAATTTGACCTTATCGGAGATGTTCCTTGATCGTCCCTGGAGTGATTTTTTGTGTGGTATGCGTGAGCTTGACATCAGATGGAACGAATTCCTTCTCCTGGGCGACGCGGATGACAGGGGGAAGATCGATTCTGACAGCGCCATCGAGAATGAAGATTACCCGCCTATTAAATTACCTATATCGGAGGAAATAGGCGCATTTGTACTGGGTTCCTCAGACGAGCTTCCTCAGAGCGTTGGAGAACTTTGGCGAATCATGGGATCGGAAGAATCTGCTTGGAGAAGTTGAGTCTGTTCTGGCTCCTAAGCTGTAATAAGGAAAACGACCGACCGACCAGATGTTTATCCAAAGTATCGAGACGACCAGATTTGCGTGCTCGCTTCTGAAATGGATAGATATTATACTATCCCCGGCGTACGTGGACAAACAACGACTCTACGCGGTTATTGGCCTCTTCTGACTTTGAATTGCCGTACACCTCATCGACGATCGAACGCCTTTTGTTCTGAGACATGAACAGTATGTCCTCAGTGCTAAAAGATCTTCCCCAAGCGGCATACAAACACGAGCCGATGGTCTTTTCGACTCAACGACATGAGCATCTCCCAAGGATTGCGGCCCCTTTCAGAGAAGATTCACAATATCTACATGACGGTTGTCTTCTAACAGCAGCAGGTTCAAGAGACAGCATCTATAATCAAGCATCAGGGAGTTCACTCCAGAGAGCTACGATACTCATGCGATATATGTGGTGCCCTCTTCGCTCAACGGCTCTCCAGAGCGGTTATGGACATGCTGGAGTATCCCGAAGATTATATCGAAGACCAAGTCACGCGCAGACACGTGTAACGCCTGGGGTGCGTTTGTTGTCACTGGTGTGGTTTTCAGCGTGGCTCAGAGTCCTGGTAAAGATGTGTTGGTCTATGTTCCCTGCCTCTTTAATCATGACTATGCCTTAATTACATAGACTTCAGTGTGACCAAACTCCCCAGCTATAGACCGAGGGTCAGCCTTCCATTCTTGCTCTCCTCCTCGTTCCTCCTTCCAGATTCAGTTTGAGACACCGCGTCAGCGTCCGTCGAGGCAGAATCCTAGCTTGGCGGTCAATTCGACGCCAGAATCGGACCCCAAACTTTACTGGTGCATGGCGATGTGCCTCGTGGCTTCCACGACTGCAGACGGTCAGGTTCTCAATTGGATTGAAGCAGAGACCTTGACCCCAGTGATTATCGAACCGACTGACACTGATACCGCGCCAGAGAATGGGTGGCGGAATGCGCAGATCGAGGGAATAAGCAAATGTTCCTCAGGGCGCTGTGAATCTTGCACGACCGTCGGGTTTAGGTAGGGAGGTCAGAGTCCATCAAGAAATTTTCATGTCCTGTTTCCTCAACTCACTTGGGTCTTCTCGAGTGGCTGAAGGACATGGAGTGCTGTATAGTCTGCCTTCTCATTTTTGCTGGCGGTATAATCTCCACGGATATGAGGAAAGCGCTTCGAGGCGGCCTGGAGACTCGTTTGCGAGGCAAGTCATCGAGGGCTGCAACGAGCTCGGGAAAACGGAGATTGATCGACTGAACCTATCTCCGAGATTTTTGCTATTGGACAACGCGGTAGGGGAAACGGGCGGGGCAGAAGGGGACCAGAGTCAGACGGGACGTGTAACAGGAAGAAACAGGTAAGTAAAGACAAGCAGAGACAATGCGGGTAGCTGCGCGACAGATATACGGATAGGCGCCGTGAAAGCGGCGAGGGATCTGTCGCGGCTGCACTACCCAAGCGGGGGCGGGTCGCCGGAGCCGGTTTAGGCCGCCATTTCACCGACATTCAGAATACGGAGTACCGGACTTACATTCGCAGAGCATCGACAAACCTGGCATCCTAAATCCCATCTGCAAGACATTCGAGGCTCAATTTGGGCCACGCCCTCTTCTGACATTACTTCATGATCTCCTTCCTGGAGACATGCAGGTGGGAATGCTCATCCTGCCCGCACACAAGAAAACCCCCGTGGGGTTGGGAGCACGAGCCACCACAATAGCCTTTCCGGCATCTTCAATCGATGATCCCTGACTAAGCTGGATACAGCATAATCTTCCCGGTTCATGCGAAAGGGTCAGGCTACCCCGAGGTCACCATCCGTAGGGTAGGGAGGACGACCAGTGAATGAACGAGAATGATAGTAACATGACCCCAACAAAGCTTCCGGTACAAGCACTGCATCTGTATTTGCTCGACGAATGTATTGGTGTGACTAACCATGGTCTATGTAGTCCTCCAAAGCTGACCGTGGCACAGGCAAACATCCGGCGCTAGACCAACGGAAGTCGCACACAATGTGTCAAGATTGACCTCTGACCGAAAACTGTTCATATACCAAGATCGAATCAGAGACCCTGTAGAGCCAAGTGGCGAAACCCGCACGATTCTGCGAAAGCATACTCATGCAGCAATCCCGTCTGATTCTGGAGGCCCTGTGTATACCTTCCGAGCATGCACGGCATACCAGATGGCTGCAATCGCCAAAAATCCAACCAATACCACACTGGCGTAGTTCATCGTCACTTCCGTCACAGGCAACGCTGTTGGCATGCTGAACAAAACCAACTCGAATGTGATCCAGCACAGGGCAACAATGTTGACAATCGGTCCGATAACAGGGCCACAATTCCAACGTGCAGTCGATACCTCACGTCGACGGTGCGCCACACTGATTGCGATCGGGATTGCATATGACAGGGCCAAAGCAATCACTCCCACGGACACGAAGGCCGTGAAAGCCGAGGATGAGCCCAAGTAAATCAAACCCAGCAACATTTGCACAATCGTGGTGAGAATGAGCGCGTTGAGAGGAACTCCCAGGCTGTCGTTGACTTTTGCCCATGTGCGAGCCATAGGAATGGCGTCGTCTCTAGCAAACGCCCAAGTGCAGCGCGACGCAGCGACCGTGATACTGATACTGCAGAAGAGCGTGATGACCAGGACCAGGAAGATAAGGCCGAGCCCACCTCCAGGAGTGCCCATGACTCGGTAGAAGATGTATGGTAACGCCTGTCCGTAGGGTGCAGCGATGATGTCTTCCAATGGTGGGAGCGTGAAGCATATCGGCAGGATGAAGAAGAGGCCGGCGAATCCACCCACAGGCACGCAAAGACTGATAGCCTTGGGGACCTTAATCGCGGGGTTCGAGCATTCCTCGGCCATCGCAGAGATCATCCCAATCGCTGAGAAGGTGTAGGCTGCTGGCAGAAGGCCGATAAAGAATGTGAAGCCTCCCCATCCGGAAAATGATTTGTCGTAGTGGCCGAGAGCGTATGCAGCGCTGTGCCTTCCGACATCTGCCTTCACAGATAGCGCAATGAGGATGACGACAATGCTAAGCGCAGTCCAAGCCGCGCAGAATATGTCGACCATGGGCAGGATTCGGTTCATCGTCGCACAGATGACCAGGGTCGAGAGGCAGATAGCGTAGAAAATTAGGAGCAATTGCCAATCTTTAGCCACCCAGTCTGGGTGATACATTGCGACAGTTCCAGCAATGAGTGATGCGAAGCCGAAATTGACGGACAGTGAGATAGTCCCTGCAATTGCACAGTCAGAACATGGAACTTCCAATCCGCGAATGAGCAGGAAGATGCAGCGATAGCCTCTGAATCTGGTATTGTGCAGACTTGGGCCGATTCTGGTCGAGCTCTAGGAATATTTGAAGGAGGAATACAACTTACAATTGCCAATGAGCCATGTCCATCCGGTAAGGAAGGAGAGCGCAGTCTTCCCTTTGGTCGCGACCTGGTACGACCAGTAATAGGGCCCCGCTGATGTGGGATATTTTGAAGCCAATTCACCTAGGGAGAGCGCAATACATTCGTCAAGGATCAACACTATAATCCAGCCCACGAAGATTGACAGAGGGCCCCCGCCGTATATTGCACTACTCAATGGAGCACCCTCGCCGTAGGGAATGGCGGCGATTGCAAGTGATTGAAACAAGAGTGTCAACATAGATCGGTTGCGAACCAATTCTGGCTTGTAGCCTAGCTCTGTGATTATTTGGATGTCCTCTGCTGTGCCGGCTCCGTGTGAGACTCGTCGTCCAGTCTCCACTGGCACCTCGTTGGAGATGGTCTTTTCTGCGTCGACGGCCATGACTGCTGTATATCTGCGAGAGATGAAAGATTGTAGAGAAAGTGCGGAGTCGGGGGCCAAAGAGGAGAGGAGAGGACGGGAGATGAAGTAGCTCTAGCGTTTGCAAGGATCCTAACCCTTTTAAAGAGGCCTGCGACTTGGTCCCTCGCGTTCCTTGACGAAGCTTGGCAATCTTGCTGCAGCCGTTCACGCAAAAGGTGGCTGCGTCAAGAAGATGAAGGTTGAAGGTGAGCATGGCGGAGAGCCCTTTTATCGTAGAGACGGCCATGGCCTCCCCCAATTGCACAACAGCTGACAGGATGGGTAAATATCGAACAGGGCGATATTTTTCCCTATTGTAGACTAGCTGAATTGTTTATCAGCCGAGCACCAAGCTATAAATGCGTTAGTGCTATCTGTCGACTTGGGGGAGTTATAGCCAACCAGTTGCCGCGGCCTATCTTTTGCAAAGGCGCAACGCTAGGCGTAGATACGGTTGGTGGGACGCATGGCCTCCTCCAAAGCCGAGGCTGTGGGTCGTATCATCGACTGATTCCGGGGGAGGGTCAGAGCCAAGTCGACTCTGGTTGCTTGATTGGCTTTATGGGTCTTGGGGATGACCAATACCCGTGTGTAAGCACACGCGGAGTGACGCAGGTACCGAGAAACGACAGGATTCGTTTTCGAGGCCGTGCGAGGCCTATCTACATACCAAAATAGGCATGGTGTGGTCAGGTGTGGTCGTGCGTGGTCCAGCAGCCGTTGTGGATCAGATCCGCCATGCGATTGACAACTTCCGGAGCTCCATTGGCCAATTGTAGTAAGAAGATAGGCCAGTTTCCGAGCTGTGAGCCTTAATGTCGCAGATTGCTTGTGAGCGATAAGGTAGATAAACGTCCCGGGGGCCTTGTATCGTAGTTCATATAACGCGCTGGTTTCTGCAAGTTAGCTTAAACGTCTTCAGCCTTCACGGTCTCACGTGAGCCAACTTTGCACCATGGTGTCGGTCTCTGAAGTGCAGTTGGCCTGGGAGGCCTGCGACAAAATCGACACCGTCTTCATCCTCGTTTGTACCGTTTTTTGCTGGACTATTGTCCCTGCCGTAGGACTCGGCTACTCTGGATATTCGACGAGACGGAGCGGACTTGCGTCTGTTATGCCTGCAGTCTATGCAGTAGCCGTCTGTTCGATCCAGTGGTTCATCATCGGATATACCCTTGCATATGGAGATGGACCTGGCGGAGTGTTCGGAAATCTTGCTCACGCGTTTCACCGAGACGTACTGTCAGAACCTGTTGGTACAATTCCAGCAATACTGTTCAGCGAGTTTCAGCTCGTATTTTTGGCCACGGTCTGCGCCATCAGTGTGGGAGGAAGCTGTGAACGTGGGAGGATCTTGCCGTTAGTTCCTTTCATCTTTGTATGTTCACCTAAGAGTCAACTCGACGATGAGAGCGCTAACAATTCTTCTGCAGCTCTGGGCGACTTTCATCTATTGCCCTCTGGCCCATATGGTATGGGGTGGTGGTTTCCTTGCCGAATTGGGAGTCCTTGACTTCGCTGGTGGCACACCTGTACACATCTGCAGCGGCGCGACTGCTTCAGCGCTCAGCCTGTACTTGTCATATCCGATCGCCAGGTCTAGGAAATCGGAAGTCCGCACGCCATCTCATCTGAGACTGCATCGACCGCACAATTCCATGTGTCAGTTACTGGCAATGATCATCATCTGGGGTTCATGGCTGGCTTTCGATGCTGGCACTACGCTGAGCTTGAACTTCCAGTCCGTTATGGCGCTTTGTGTGACCAATCTGTGCGCATCAGCTGGTGCTTTGACTTGGGCCACTATCACATATATTGAGACTGGTAAATGGTCGTTGGATAGCACCTTCATGGGAGCTATTGCAGGACTTGTCATGATCACCCCAGCGGCGGGCTTTATTGACCTTCCCACTGCGTTGTGCTTCGGCATCCTTGGAGCGGTCGTCTGCCGCCAGGCTCTCCGGATCAAGTTCACAGACTTTGCCAGAAGATGGAGGTGGGTCGACAACGGGGATACATTTGCAACACACTGCGTCGGAGGGTTTCTCGGGACTATCTGCACAGGTCTTTTCGCACAGAAAACGGTGGCGGCGTACGGTGGTGCAGAAGTTGATGGTGGTGTCTTTTTCGATGGCAATGTCCGGCAATTGGGGATTCAGATCGTTGAGGCATTGATTGGCTTCACATGGTCATTCTTCGGCTCGCTCGCGATCATCGTCCTGCTCGACTGCGTCCCAGGGCTCGAATTTTTGGCAGAGGATAAGTATGTTGATTCCTCCTCATCGGTCTCCGACTTCACTAACACTCTGTAGGGACGTCAACATAGGTATGGATGCGTCACAAATGGACGAAAGTTTGTATGAAGCGCAATGGTCCGGGGAAGAAGACTACAAGCCCCTCCCAATCGGCAGCATCGTCCTCGATTGAGTGGTTATAGCTTACCGACGCTCAGAGATGCTTCCACAACATCAGTCCGCAGGATTGAGGGTTTATGTATCATATTAGACATTTAGAAAAGAACAAGATAGAGAAAGAAGAGGGGTAGACTTAGTAGCTGAAAAAACCAGCCAGCCATATCAAGTATGTGCTTCAGCTCGCGCAGAGGAGCACCTCTCAGCCCTCTCTCCAGGCTAGCTTCTTACAGATGAGACAGATTCGATTTGGGAAGACGTATTAACAAGTAAACTGATCTTCCTGCAACACGGGTCCCTGTCTTCCTTTGTGTCATATAAAGCGATGGAGAGAATTCTGAAGCCTCAGCCCTCGAAAGTGACAGGCACGTGACAACGTGATGCACGTGATAAGGCGGCTTGAAACGGTTAGTCCCCAATCTCCACGGTCACGTGCTGAACCGAACAGCTAAAGCCTGCGAGGAATCTTCCGACCTCTCTCTCTCTTTGCTCTCCGAGCAATCAAAGAAGGTATCTGGTGTTCATTTAATCCTTCCATTCGTTGACTTGCAAAGCTTCATGATCGCTTGTCTACCTCACCATCCTGCATCATAACACAAAATCAAGGTAGGTCAATATGTCATGGGCAATGATATGTTCTTTGTCTTCTTTGTCCCCGTAGCTGCTTCCGGCTTCCAAGCCAGCAAATTAGTTCGCGCGAGTTGAAGATCTTGGCTGCCTAATACCTGCTTCCCAATGTAAAAGCACGCGAAGACTCCAGAAGATCGGGAGGTCACATATCATCTCCTACCGGAAGAAAGAAGCTTGAGAGGGTGCAGCAAATTTGGATTTCAGCGCCATACTACCCGAAGATTGGTACGACAACACGATGTCTGCGCTCCCCACAGAAGAACAAAGCCTCACGGGCTCTACATTTGAAACCACCGAGCATGCAGAAGTACCCGTCTCCGCCTGCGAACTCCTCGTGATCGAGCTCTACGCTGAGACGCTCTTGAGCCGAGCTCATTTCCTTTTCTTTCTCGCCGCCCTTACAGACACTCCGCCGCTGAAAAGAGACGTACTCTTCCAAGATGGAGTAACTGCTCTTGAAGAAGCCGAGACGCTTTGCATGTCTGGCAGATATTCTGTCAGCAGTGATTTAAGAGCGAAATACTGGTTTGTGAGAGGCTTTTTGGCGCAGTCTGGTGGGGATGACAGGAATGCTACGGAATACTATCTCAAAGCCAAAGAAATCAACGGGAGTTATGAGGCTTTTGAGGGCGCTAGGAAGCTTTTGCACCACCGGGGAGACGATGACGAAATGGCCGACATGTGGGACCAAGTGGACTCAGACCGGGGGAGTTTGGACAGTTTGGGCGCAGTTCCACGCGAACTGGCAGGTAAACCCATTCAGTCGGCCCCTTCGCCTTCAGTCGACGCAAATCAGGTCCGACCGGACAGCGTACTCTTTACTTTCCTTTATGGAAGAGTTAAGGAGCCAGCAGGGGTAGAGGAAGCTCCAGAAGTCGACGACTCCACAACCGGAGACGTTCCCAGTCCGTCATCACCACTAGTCGCCGTTCAGAGCCGCAGCTTTTCCAAGGACAACGTCACGAAAACTATCGAAAAACTGATGGACGCACCTCCAAGAAGACGCCCACTGGCAGACAGGCATCAGACTCCGACTCCAGTACACCCACCGCCAGAGTCAATGCGCCTCGGGCTTGAGAAAGAGAAGGATCAAGCAGCCAAGGAATTCAAAGAGAGAAATGAACAATTGCGTGGGTGGTTGGAAGCGAAGCCAGCGCCCTCAAATGCCTCATTGCATGAGGAGACTCTGCTGTCTGATACGCCTAGTATGACAAACTTGGTGGCATCAGTCAGAGAGGCAGTGCCACAGGTTATTCCTTCAGCATCCAAACCTAAACTCAATATTCAAGCGATCAGGCGCCTATCAGTGTCAAGTAAATCAGCACAGGCTTCGCCAACAACACCGAGTCCCTTAAGAAACGCATCCTTCCCTGACGAGTTCACTGAAGGGGCCGACTGATGGACACTTGTGGTGACATCCTGCTCACACGGCTGCGCAATGGGAAGGGACTGACATTCGCTCGGAAGACGAAAAGCAGCACACACCCCAGGAGCTTCTCCAGAATAAGAACCGTGGCTTTGACAACGGAAGCTCGACCACTGGTGGTAGATCGCCTGTTATGCCGTTCGAATGTCTCTTTCGGGACGGTGTTCTCTCGGCTCGGTTCAACCATTCAGACAGACCCAAAATGGTTTCAGTTCCAAGATAAATCGCACTCTCGACCAAGTGACAAGAATTCTTTTGAAGCTTTGATTGCACCTCAACACGGACCTCATACCTTTACGTAGAATATGATCAATGAAGCTGGCTCCCGTTTTGCAACCCACCTACAGTCTCAATCGAATATGCCCTGACCGGAAATCCCAAGAAACCTTCGAGCCACCCGCTCCATTTTGTGAAGCACTGAAGTCTTCTCGGCAAGTTCGCGGCCAACATGTTGATAGCACGCAATCTGATCGCTTTCGTTGGTCCTTAACGCTGTGCCCTTGAGTTGTCTTCACCTAATATGAATCCTAGACAGCACCACATCACGATTGAACTCATCCATGTCCACCGTCGTAGCTCCTTCCTTCTCCATCGTATTCACCTTCATAGTCTCCCCGCCCTGCACACCAACCTCATGCTCCTCTACGACCATGTACCCACACGCTTCATAAAAAGGAACCGCGTTAATCGTGCTGCTCAGCGTATACCTCGTGAATGGCATAGCCCTACTCGCTGCGGCCTCACATTCGCGAACCACTCTCCTCGCCAGACCCCGACGCGCATATGCCGGGTGGACATACACACCCCTGATCCAGGCTGGGTCCTCTTCGGGGTTGAACCATTCGTACTGCGCCGTCGTGGAGCCCCACTCGTAATACACTGTGCGGCGTGGTGACCAGCCCCCAGATGCGATTATGAGCGCTGGGTTATCGGCAGGGCACGCGACGAAGTATGTCGAATTACATATCAGACTATCGTAGCGGTTGGCAGTGGCCTGAGCGATCATGGCCTGGATCTGGGAGGGTGTGTAAGCTGTGCTGCAAAAGTGGGCCGTCGATGAGGATATCAGGGCGTTGAGGGCTGGGAGATCGGTCGGAGTGGCGGGCCGGAGGCAGAAGTGGGATAGATCTTGCGGTTGGGGCATAGTAGGTCAGAGAGAGAAGACAGTTCACAGGACGTCAGACCTGACCTGACGCACTGCTAGTGGTACGTTATATCCGCGCAGAATACTAAGAAATTTGTAGCTGATAGAGTGTCTAGGATGTGACTCAGAGCTCTTGGCCAATTGCATATTTCTTTGCACGCTTCGCACCGAGCTGTTGTCACCTACTATCTTGATATAATTGGCGTGTAGTCGAGCTTTGAAGCCTGAAACACACCTAAGATCATGCGTGACGAGGCTGAGGTATTCCAGGGGTTACAACGGGGCACCATGCAACCATATCCGAGAAGGAGATACCTCTCACCCATGGCTCGTGAAGTATGTCACTTCCACGTGCCTGCCTCATTCTCGCTTAGACTTCGCTGGGCGACTCAAACGTCGGGAGAGGTCCCATAACCGAGAGCTAGCATTACTCTAGATCTTGAATCATGCTATGACCCAAAAAAGCTACTTCTGTACCCGCCGCCGTGCGTCCTCCCCAACATCATGTCGAAGTTGGAACTCGTGCTCGTATGCTGTACCTATGCTCGTCGCCGTGGAGATGAGACAGAGTGAACTCAAACAGCATTAACCTCATCTTTGTACAGCATTGCAGCTGCAGCGTCATCTCCGGAGGCGATCGTCAAGAAACCTGCACTGATACCGTAAGGTAAAGGGTCAAAGTGGCACAGCATTTTGATTGAATCAGCGACCGTCTGGGGCCAATCTAGGCGGTAATCACCTGATCTGCAAGTCCGCTAGGAACTGTTCAATTGTCCTTTCAGTCGTAGTCCTTCCAGAGTCGACCTCCATTCCCGAATTGCCAAAACCGTCCTGTCTCATCCTCCTCTTGTCTTCGAGCATCCGGTCCATCCGCTCATAAACGCCGTCCTTCTCGCGCAGAAAATCTTGCATGACTTCCAGGGCATCTCTGTACTGCTGACTTTCCATTCCCCACGTCCGCTTCACATTCATCAGGTTTCGTCTGATCTTGTTGAGTATTTTCACAACCTCCTGCATCTCCCTCCTCGGATCTGGACCTGTGTTCACGTCCATTGCTGAAGGCTGTTGTTGGACTTGGGCTTTTCTTGCGGCTTGCAAACCTGAGCCTTGTGGTGCTGACGGCGAGTTGGGAGAGTATTCCATCTCCGAACTGGAAGACGTGTTGCCTTGCCTCTCAAGCGGGTGCCCTACCCGACTGCCAGAGAAGTAACAAACGTCTGGAACCGGTCCTAATACCCGAAGGTATTTGTGGCGCGTTATGTTTATCGCTAGTCCGCAACAGAACAGCAACGTAGAAGACTTTTGCGTCCAAATAGGTGTTGAGAGTAGAGCTTGGGCTTGCCAAAGCCTTTGACCTTGGGAGATAGCGGTCTTCAGGCGCGAAATGTTTATTATGTTACTTTTCTGTGTTAGAAGGCCGCAATTGTTTGACAATGTTAACTCGGCAATCAGAGAGGGAAAAGAAAGGATGAAGGAATTTAAACCTCGAGAAGGTGGTGGAGTGAAGTGTTTTGGTCCTCACCGGCAGCCTTGCATATTCAGCCTTGCATATTCAGCCTTGCTATCATATGCATCACGTGATCATCGTTCATTCGACTCTTTCCTTCTGCTTTCTGCGGCCGCGTGAAGCATGTTTTCTACATGGATTTGTGAGTCGGTTTCCTGAATCCAACCACATTCGCCTCCAGCTATCATAGTAGGCAAACTGTCCACGAAGTGCCTCCAACATCGGCCGTCCTTCGAGCCTGAAACCGACGCAAGAATCGGACACTTTAACACGCAGCCCAGTGGATTCATGGATATGTTACCGCAGCATGTCAGTCACAGTATGTCTGATACTATCACCATATTTCTCGCAGACTACTTACATCGTCTAGCTTCATACCACTCATGGTGACCTCAAGATCGAAATCTTCTGCGAGTCTGTACCCAAGACGGCCGAAAATTTCCTAGCCCTTTGCGCCTCTGGAGCCTACAATGGGACTCCATTCCACCGCTTGATACCTGATTTCATGATCCAGGGAGGCGACACTTCACTCTCGCCTCAAAACACCGCAGATAACCCCATTGTCAAAGGTGGAACATCAATATGGGAAGAGTACTTTGAGGACGAGATCAAAATTCCTGCACTGAGACATAGCGGCCGTGGAATGGTGTCAATGGCAAATAAAGGCCCGCAAACAAACGGCAGCCAGTTCTTCATCACGTTCAAGGAGGCGCCCCATCTAGATGGCAAGAATACTGTTTTCGGACGAGTCATCGATGGCGCAGAGGAGAATGGCACACTCGAAAAGATGGAGAGTGTCGAGGTGGACAAGAAATATCGCCCAAAGAGCGAGAAAATCGTGCTGGAACGAGTGACGATACACGCAAATCCTTTGGCAAGTTGAGAAAAGACGGTGAGGGCTCCAGCTGCTTGATTTACGTGGTACAAGTCTACGCTTGGCACCTCGACACCGAAGACGGTGTCAGAGGTCCAGCCACCATGGGTGGGCGCAGATGTGCGGTCGCCCGTTGACAGGGAGGTTTCGAGACGTTCTTGAGGCAAGCATTGATCAAGGACGTATCTCGTATCGATACTTCGTGGCTCCCGAAATCCGGAGCGTGGGTTGAGCTTCACTCGAACAGCCGCCCAGTATGCGGACTGTGGGATTCAATGTCTTGCACGACAAGCGTGATGCTGAGTACCATGTCAACCATATCTCGGAAGACTCGTGCGTACGTGCTGGCCAAGCCTGGGCTGGTCGTGGCTGGCCCAACATACCGAAGGGGCTTACGAAAATGTCCGCAGTGCTGCAGGCGGACTTTTGAAATCAGGCACCACCACAGATCTTGGCCCCGCAGCTGTCGAGCTTGATTTGTCGCATACCAAGCGGCACTGACGTCCGCAATTCTGGCGGAATGTCTCCAGTGTCGTGGAGGAGGGACTCGTAGACTCGCTGCGTTTGGGGGCCGTGCCGTGGCCATTATTATGTCGAATTGGTAGCAGGTCGGCCCCAAGTAGTGAACGAGGGAGGATAAGGCTGAAGTCTCAGGAATCGAGATGTTGATACTCCGTAATGATGGCGTGGTGTTCCGACTAGCGCCAGCCATTACTGTACTCGTAGCGGTCGTGAGTGGTCCATTCCAGATCGACAAAAGTTGAAGGGAGGTATCATGGAGCGCTGACATGCGCTGGTCTGCGTGTGCGCATGGGTGTTACCTAAGGTTTATAGGGCTGGAGTCCCCAAAGACGAGCGAGGAATGGGCTTATTAGCCACGGCTGGGCTTGACAGTCCATTAAACGGAGGTGTCATTGGCGGTAATCTTCCTAGATTCTGCTGGCTCGATAGGTGGCTCCTGGAGTTGACGCTCGTAGCTTGCAGTGAATGATTCTATGCTCCAAACGTGCCCTGTCATGCCTGTCCTACTTCGTCCTTGCCCTTCCAACTCGACTTTCATCCTTTCACTTGCGCCTGCACCTGCACCTGCACCCATCTAGACGAGCCGCTCTCACCCTCAGCCCTTCGACTTGGAATCTATCTTGTATCCCATTATTGCTATCAAATATCACCATCATCGACTGTCGAAGGTACCTCCGGCCAGTCCAACAGACCGCAGCCCGACCGTCCGCTCATTTGTCCGCCCTCCTCTCCAAAACAAAGCGACGTCAACAAGCCCACTTCCTTGCATTCGTCGCAGCAAAACAAAGGAGCAAGAAACCAAGCTGCGCTTCCAGACAATCCTCCTGCATGTAGTTCCCAAGCAATCCAGCAGGCTCGTCTCTATGGGCCACACACTGTTGCTCAGAACAAGGCCCCCGCTATTTCCCAGTCCGATCATAGGCCGACCGCAAAGGATTCATACAACCACGCCTGATGGTCTCGGTATAGTCTTCACCCGTGTGAGAAGATGAGCGCATTCGTGCGAGTGACTGGTCGTCCCAACACGAATTTCCTGGTCGGGTATCCGGGCATCTCTGCCACTTTGGTGAGTCTTCTACCGTGTGCATGCGGACTTGTGCTGACATCCTCCAGCCACGCATCGAAGGAACTGTCGAACTACGTCCCGGTGCCGGTGTATCAAGCCCCGTCAACGTCTCGATAATCACGATCGCTCTCCAACGACGAGAGAGCATCCATCCCCATGCTGACTCGATGGCCAAGAAGCATCTGGCTGCGCCCAGAAAGGAGTCGACGGAGACGGTGGGGAAGGAGATGTTGCTGTTTCGATGTCCGGCCAACAGAGAATACGAGGAGATCATGTACATGGACCTGCCGTTTGTCATATTCATACCATTTGGTCGGGGTGGTCAAGAGACTGCTCGCAGAGTACCACCTGCAAGCCTACAACTACCGCGAAGGACGGCTGAGACATTCTATGAAATGGTGGTGACAGTGGGATATGGCTCGGGAGATCGCAAACAATATGCTTTCCCAGTCCCCATGTGTCGCTATGACACGTTGTCAACATTTGGCATGTACAATCGCCCCGAGTCCGCCGAACGAGTATCCGATCACCTGGTCACGCTGGGCATATCTCTCCCCAGATGGTCGTACGGACCGCTTGACCCGGTCAGCGTCTATATCAAGTTATCACCCAATCCGGACTGGCTGAGCAAAGCACGAAAAGTGACGATTCGCAAGATCGAAATCGGAATCGACGAGGAAGTCATTTATAACCATGAAGGTGATGAACCCCAAAGGAAAACCAAGAATTTGGTCCGCAAAACCGAGAACGTCGGCGTCAAAATGCCTGAGGCCGGCTACTTTACCAACCTCGGATTGGTCTTTCCGTCTCACGATGTTCGTGATGCCGATGGTATCATGCCGCGTGGCAGGGCAGCATTTCCTCCGTACGCAGTGACAGGTTTCACGACGACGGCAGGTCTATACAAGGTGGAATATTACCTGACCATCAAGGTATGAAAGGATCTGAGCCTCCCCGAACAATCTACTGACCATCCACAGGCGTCCATGAATGGTGCCAAAGATATTGTACTGCGGCAGCCAATAGTAGTCTGTCCATACGATCACGCCATGTGCAAGGCTGAAATGGAAGCTATCGAACAGGCTGCTCGAGATGCTTCGCACGTTAATGCTGAGAATCCAATGCTGCCGCTCGCCACGATTGTGCGTGCTTCGGATCCCAACGCCATGAGCTGTATTGGTGTGGCTTTAGTCGGGTCAGTGAAGAAGCCATTGATTGAATGAGGCAGCAAAGCATCTGGCGAGAACTCGATACCGAAACGAGTCCGCGACGAGAGCAAAGCTGCGTTTAGCAGTCCTTTTGCCCAGACGTCGTGCGAGATGAAAAGCCGACAAAGCGAACGGAGCCATACGAGGTATGGCTCTACAGTAGTCGGATCTCACACTCAAGCACGAAATTTGGAATGAAGCCTTCATGCGAGCATCACCTATTCGAAAATGAAGCAACCAGCCAAAACCACGAACAGCCAGGTCTGCGCGCTTGGTGCGTTCCAGGTTATTGTCGTCTAGACACATCGAGAAAAGGGTCGCCAAGGAGGCCACGCTTTCTTCCCGCTGCTTCACCCCTGTAATTCTCAGGATGGACAACATGGGAGATATCCCCGCTATCTGCGGTGTTGGATGAGTCAGAGTTCCATTGCAGTCCGGACAGAGAACCAGATTCAGGACCCTGACTAGCTATGAGCAGCATCGGCGCCAAAATGATTCGGACTGCCAATTTTTTGTTTGTTTAAGCTATGCATGGCGTTGGATTGGACTAAGATACCTGAGGTTATCATGAAGCGATGTCTGGGGTTGAAGTAATGCCTGAATTGAATCATATCATTGCATTCTTTATCAGCCTCTGCGGACGAAGACTTTGCGATCAGGAGACAGCATATGCTTGTCACAAGTTCGTGCCCGTTCCTCACGCTCAAGCTATATACTTTGCGGTCGAACACCGGCTCGTGGGTGTATTTCAGACGGCGTGACATCCTGTCGCCACGAACCCGATTCAAGCACCAAGGTAAACCATCGAGTGATCAACCATGTCGTGCCGGTAGAGCAGTACTGCGATCGTCCGATCATGAAGATTACTAGTACCCTAGCATGCGCGGTGCCGCAGTACCCTGTCAAGAATAATGCTTCCGTTCCGGATTCTCAGCATCAAAGAGAAGGGAGATTCTTCTATTGCCCTTCTGCGATCATCCTTGGTCGACACAGGTTTTGGCTGGCTTCCTAGGCATCCTTCTGAATGATCCGTGAAGTCTGCTGCCAAGTAGAGTCCGCCGCATGATCTTATGGGTCACCAGGTCGTGTTAGGGGCAAAAGACTGATAAAGTGAAGAAATGGATGCAGCCACAGAGAAGTGGACTGGCAGAACGTTCACGGCACAAAATGTATCGATTTTGTCACCTTTGGCGAGGAAAGTAGCCGGCTTGCCATTCCTCCGGCATCGCAAACAGACAGCCTTCAAACTATCCTTGATACCCCCCTAGCCATGCCCTTACCGACCCCACAAATCAGCCTTGCAAAGAGAAGGCCTGTACAATATAATATGCATGACTTCCCTCAGGTATCTTCCATCCGCTCTTCATCATTGTTAGGTATATTGTCGTCATGAAAATTCAAACAGAAAGAAGCAAGACCCGTCCCTAGTAGTACAAGTCGAGCGTCGTCGCTGACATGCTAAAAGAAGTGAAAGTAATACAAATGATCATATAGATCCATGAGGGATCAACATTTCGACGCCATAACCTCGCTCATATCAAGTCGTCGCAGACAGCAAGCTCGAGTTCTTTTTTGATATCCAGCCCATCAACATATTGTCAAGCTGTGTCTGCATCTCTGTGAGTCTGTTTCGCTCATCTGAAAAGAGGTTATGCATAAGCGGGTGATCAGGTCCCACAGGCGTCACGTTGGATTTGTCGTGCACGATTATGAGGAGATCTTTGATGTCCTGACTGTTCTCCATGTACGACCGTAAAGATGCATCTGACCATGTCGGGGTCGACCTCGATGTTGACGGCGTGTGAGTGGCAGTGGACGGCGAAGGTTTCGACGTACTAGCGGTTCCTTCTGAAGCCGCTGGATTGGTCTCGTTCGGTATAGGCGACACTCTGAGTGCACCTGCTTGTTGAGTTTGGTATTGGAATTCATTAAACTTGTCGGATGGTTCGATAGGTGAGACTTGCATTCCAGAATCTGATCGAGGTGGTGCCCCGTGCGATTCCACTATGGGAGACACGGCTCTTTGGTCCTGGTTTTGGTCTTCTGCTTTGATGGTTTTCTCGTCCTCGGAATCACTGTCGTCAATCGCAAATCGTTCCTTCGCCCTCTTAGAATATATGGGTTTCGTAGGAGAATCGCCGTCTGTCCCTGCTGATGAGCTCGACTTTAGCGCGGTCGTAATGGGCGAGAAGATCGATCTCTTCTCTGTGAGTGATGGGAAGCGGTTTACTTGGGTGGTCGATTGAGTCTGCGAAGCCGCTGATTCTTGAAGTTCTTCTGCTTGCACATTATCAGACTCAACTTTCCTTACTGTTGGTGGCGCCGGTGCAGGTCCTGTAGGTGCAGGTGGTGCCGCCGTTTGTGGAGCGTTCGGACCTTCTCGAGAGGGAGCCCGCTGATCCGAAGGCGAAGCCTTCGACAATGCTTGTGGAGGCGTCTTTTGCAGTTTACTTGGCTTTCGCTCCGGTCCGGTGTCTGGTCTAGATGAGAGCGACTCGAGAGAATCTTTCGATTGTGGCGGTTGTCGAGACTCCTCCACAACCTTTTCGTTTTCTTCCGGCGTGGCACCCTTCTTCCGTTTAAACAAACCGCTGAGCATGCCTTTCTTTTCCTTTTTCTTGTCCTTTGACTTGTCGTCCGAGCCGACTATCTTATCGAACGTCTCCAGACTGGGTCGTTGGCGGACTTCTTGTGGTTCGGCGGATGCGCCTGTATCAGAGTCGCCCCTCAAAAGTCGCGGCGTTAATGAGATCTTCTTCGTTTCCACCGTGTCGTCACGGAAAAACGAGTCTGTATTTCTTACGACTCCCTTCCTCGACCGTTGCACCGGCTCTTCCGAATTTTGTTCTAATCCATCCTGCACTTGCTGCATTTTCGTGGGACTGGATGAGACCTCGTTCTTCAAGCTGTCGTTGCTCGTCATACGCTGAATGCCGTTGACTGCTCCCGCTTCCTCTTTACTCCGTGATTCTGTGGTGGTACTGGAGACGTCTTGCTGATCTTCGGCGACATCAGTGTCGTCGCCATTCTCTCCGCCCTCGAGCGCTCCTTCTTCGTCCTCTTCCTCTTCCTCGTCTGAGTAATCGTATTCAGAAGGTTCATAATATGTGGGTGCTGAGAATTGCACCGTTTTAGCGTTTCTGCGCCGCATGGCTTTCTTTAATGGATTTTTCGACTTTTCTGTGTTGTCTCCGAGCATAGAAGCAGACAACTATCGCTTTGTTAGCTGCATCCCAAGCAGAGCCGGGACCACATACATCAACATTTCTATGCTTGTTCAATCGAGCCAGTCGTTCAGTAGGCGTCTCTATATGTTCAGCGGGCAAGTAGCCTGCGAGAGTTAAAGGATTGAATAAAAAAAGGGAATTCGGTCAGACTTACCAATGCTCCCGTCTTTGACGACTCGGACTAGCCACCAGTAGCTGTTGCTATCGTCAAGCAGCACCATGGTATCTCCCTTTGTGGCATTGGCTTGACCCTCGACGGTAGCGACAAACGTGTGTAGAGCATACACGAACTCGAAGTCAATGTCCTCTATCTCTCGTAAGCATTCTCCTCCCCAACCAGAATCAATCAAGCGCCCATTGGAACAAAATTGAAAATTCTCGGTGTCATCATCAGAACTCGAGTCAGGATCTGGCAAATAGGAGTCTTCGTCTTCCCAGTCGTCGTCTGTTTCGTCGTAAACGAAGTCGTCTTCGTAGCTCTCGACCGTATCATCCAACAGCGGATCATTCACCGGCAATAGATATCGTCGGAACTCCTGGGACTCGGACAATGGGATATTGTAGTAATGCATGGTCGTGTTTGATCCCGGTGCGAGTGGCAGGCTTGCTTGTGGAGTCTGATAGTGGTCGTGGCCGGGAGAGCCGTCGAAATAATGTTCGGTGTTGATGACATCCTGATCCTGTTCGTACTCACCATGATGACTGGCCGGGTGAAACAACTGCGTTGGGCGCAAAGGGAAATGGGCCGGGGAAGAAGAAAACGGAGAAGACGAAGAACAGCTGCCTCGAGTCGGCGTCGGTGAAGCCGGGGAAGCTCCAAGGTCCACAGAGTCGACTCGGGCGGGCCAAACGGGGAGGGAGTATTTACCATCTTCAATTGAGGGTGAGCTGGAGATCTTGTCCATCAGGTCGTCATCCATATCCTCCTCGTCGTGGGAGTCGCCCGCTCCACCATCATCAAGGTCCTGCCCATGGTATCCGTTCCCATTGATACCATTTTGCGAATTTATATGGTCGTCGTCTCCGTCATCGTCAAGGTCATCGTAAAAGTGTTGGTCGGAATGAAAGCCTCCGTTGGCTCTGTCCTCCGAAGCCCTGGGACTTGTGTGTTGTTGCTGGTATGCTTCCTGCTCAGCATGACGCAATGTCTGCTGTTGATGCGGCGCGGCAGGGCCATACCCGTAGGGTGAAGGATGAGCAGGTTGTTTGGTGTGATCTTTCGCCGAGGGGGCATCATGGTCTTGTAGGTCCAGGGTATCTACCGATACAAGTTGTGAGTACATGTCTTCTTTTGCAAATCTGGCAGAAAAGTTCTGCGGCCATTTTGTGGTGATATCTTACCAGCTCTCACAAGCTGTGGCTTCAGGGTGGTCATTGCGCGCACCATTGGGGCGGGGGTAGGATGGACGTCGCGTTATGTGCTCGTCGAACGAACTCGACGGGCTCTGACTCGATTCGGGGCGCATAGAGGTTCGGCTGAGGAGCGACGAGAGCAAAGAAAAGCCCGATGGATACGGAAGTGAGGCGAGGTTCGGAGGCACAGGGCGAAAACGGATGACCGACGCGGTAATGACTGATGGCGTTGGGTGCGAGCCAGCTCGATTGTTGCAGAGCGACGCGTGCTGCGGGAAGGACAAGCAAGGAGAATAGGAGAAGGCCGCGATCGACTGTATGCTGCAACGAGAGGATCGTGTTCGCAGGCGCAAGTGAGCAGCGGCGACAGACGAGTTGACAGTATATTGAAGAAATGCAGTTGGTTGGTGGTGGAGGATAGAATTGTGGTCGATTGGGAAGAAAACGGGCGGGTATTGAGCGTGGTCCCCCTAATCGAAGGGGAGCGGATGTTTCAAAATTCAAGGACTGGGTCGTGCCTGTGCCTTGTGCCTTTCTCTCTGAATCGAGATCAGGGACAGTGCGACTTGGGGCTGGAAGGGCCGAACAGGGAATAGTCTGGGGCGGACAAGGCCCATGATTGGAGCAGCAAGCGGGCGGACCAGCAGGAAATCAAAGCCATTAGGATGCAGATTGAGCTGGGGCTGCTGGGTGGCTGCCACTGCTCACTGCTGGCTTCCTGCAGGCCCACGCCGGGCCATTCTTAACCAGAGCCCGTCATCATCCTTTTCCCCCTCAGGTGCCCCTAGGTTAGCTGTTCACTCCGGGCGTCTGTTTCGAGTGCAGGCAATTTTGTGGGGGAGCCAGCTCGTCATCCTCGCCAGCAATAGCATGCAGGAGCAACCGGAGTGCTTCCTTGTTGCTACCAATGGGTGTCGTTCTTGTACCGTGCTGTATCTCGTCGAGTATATCTGGTGTTTATCCTTCGTAATGGTCTCATCGTCATAATCAATGCCAGATTCACCAAGTCCTGTGACCTACTCTCCTTTGTCAACTTTTTTTCTCTTAGAGGTGGCAGCAAAATGGAATGCCATGTGCAATCTGAGATAGACATGACCAATCTGACCGGACGCCTCCGAACACCCAAGAGAAAGAGTGAAGAGGCCTTCTGCCTTCTGTCTTCGGAGGTTCTGCTCGCTCAACTGTCACCCACCCTCCTCACTGCCACAAAATCCCTGTTGGCCTCGTGAACCAAAATATAAAAAAAACAATTATCATCGTTGCCTGCCATTTGATGCCGCTCTCCGGATCTGCAGATCATTATCCGTCTCTCCGTGGCATCCACACTCAGCGAGCCAGCCAAACCTGCCTTTCGTGCCCGCACGTGGGATTGAAGGAATTTTGAAAATCGGCTTCCGGCTTCCACTGCTTCCAACCTCCTTCTCATGAGCTTATAGCACCTCGTCTTTCTGAGGCAAACAGTCTCGTTGAGATCATTTTCGCACACTCAGTCACCTCCAACCCGTTCCTCTATACACCTAGAGAGACAACTGCGTGCCACTTGTTCAGTGGGATGGCGCAGGCCGACGGCCATGTCCACCACCAAGATCGCCTGCGCCCATGCTCGAACAATGAATATATTCCTACCTTGAATACCGAGGTTGAGTCTGGCGCCATGTTGTCTCCTCTGAATGCGCCCGCTCCTCAGTCGCGGCCGGCCTTTCAAGGGTCGGCTGCCAGCGAAGATACCATCCGCCCGATTGCAACTCCTCCCGTGGACATTCCCGTCGCAAACGAGCATGTTCCAGCGAGAGGAAACACCCCCGACACATCTTCCTACATCGAGCGCTATATGCGCAATCGTAATCCGTCCGTCAGCTTCAACAAGGAGATCAAGTTGGATTCGGGACACCGTCAGAGTATCACAGATCCGCTCGAGAAGCCCTCGCGTGATCGAGGGCGCTCAATGATGCAGGCCATTGTAAGAGAGAGGCGAGATTCAAGAGCGCACAGCGAGTCCGAACGGTCACATTTTGACCCCGCCACCGGTCGTCGCTTAGCCAAATACTCCCAGAGCCCGGCCAGAGAGCAAGCACGCATAGGCGAAGCGCGCTTTCCTTTGTTGCAGGCCACTGTGGACGAGATGGCACGAGAATCGCAGACGAACCTACCTCAGACGCAGTCCTTGACCTCTCAGTCTACAGAGGCTTCCAACGAACAGGCTGTCTTCTCACCTCCTTCCGAAGATCACTACCTACAGTCTCCCTTCACAGCCTCACCCTCACCCGTTACTCCGTTCTCCAACCAAGCCTTTTCCTACGAGGAGCCAAAATCCTTCCGGCGTACTGCATCACAACGATGGAGAGATGGTGAGGCCAGCGCTTCCCCCCAGGACTTCTTCTCTCGAGCGGGTAGTGTGCGCAACAAAAGCATGCGTGATCTTGTAAGCCGCGGCTCCCGTCGCGACACTTCAGGCTCTACGAAATCTCCTATGTCAGCTGCATCTTCTTATCTCCGTGCCTTCTCCATGAGCAGTTCGACGAACAATGGCGACGCCGAGACTGGGCCTATACCTCCGGATGCGGAGGGCCAAACTATCGGTGAGGACTATGTTCTAGGCAAACAGATCGGTTATGGCGGCTTCAGTACGATCAGAGAAGTGACGCAATTGAGTGACGGTGAGCAACGAAAACTCGCCGTGAAGATCGTTCGTCGACGTATTGGCGGCATCTCAGAAGCCGAAAACGAGCAAGCACAGGCGGAATTCGAGCATGAAGTCGAGCTCTGGCGCTTTCTCAATCATCGCAACATTCTCCCTCTAGAAGCTGTTTATAAACTCGACGAAGCCACCTTTTGTTTTATACCCCTCAATGTGGGAGGGACACTTTTCGACCTCGTCCGCTTGAACCGCAAAGGCGCCGCACACAACGTGGCAAGGAGCTATTCCTACCAGCTCGCCTCAGCATTGCGATACCTTCACCTCGACGCCCGGGTCGTGCACCGCGACATAAAACTTGAGAATGTCCTCGTCGAGCCTGGACCGGATGGACAGCCAGGTCTGCTCCGTGTGTGCGACTTTGGCATGGCAGAGTGGCTTTCCTCCGACAGCCTCTCCGGTCCCCCAAGCCCAGACTTCCACGACAGTGACCGACCCCCGCAGAAACATATCGGCCCGGCCGACACGTCCACGTCTGCCTTTGCAGGTGGCAGCCTAGAATACGCTGCACCCGAAATTCTACGCATTGCAGAACGCTTGAACAGCAGTGCTCCTGCAGAGCGGGCCATTGTCTCTCCTGCTGTCGACCTTTGGGCTTATGGCGTATGCGTCTACAGCATGATTGTAGGTTCTCGACCATTCCAGAATTCATTCCAGCCTCGTGTGGTCATGGCGATTTTGGCAGGGGACTGGAACCGCGAAATGCTGGAAGAAATTGGAGGTCAAGATGTCCTGGAGCTCGTGACTGGATGTCTGGACATGGACGACTCGGCCCGCTGGGACGTATCAAGGGTCATGGAGAGCCCCTGGCTGGAGGATCTCGCAGCTGAGGAAGACAATCGAGATCAAGGGCTTCACGGATGGCGATTGTAAATTCTACCCTACGGACGGCTTCTCTGGGATGAACTTATGGATTCTTACGACCTCACGACTTGCATGTTTTTTCTTCATCTTCTTCGCACGCATGGAGCTTTGGGACAGGCGCACTGCTGGTTGTTGAGACAGGATGTCGGAGTGTCTACCTCTCCTTCCTTCGCTATAGCGCTGTATCACTGTATCACTATGTTTCTCATAGGCTATACTAAACGCTAATGATAATGACTATGATACCCAAGGTCTTCTAATAAATAGGTACTCGTGGCGTTTGTGAGCCATTTGACTTCAGCTGCTGATGCTTTCCTCTCGTTCTCGCTCTCCTTCTGCCGGCATTCATCTTATCGGAGCATCTGGTATGACGCTGCAGCACACGAAGCAGTACGAGATCCCGACGACAAAACACAGCGCAAGTAAACGCATCCCTAAGTTAGCACCGCCCAACGGACCCCATGGACGAAGGACACTGGGGCCACGCCAATATACTAACTAGTATATATAGCTCAGACAACCAACAGAGAGATACGCGGAAGAACACTTGCCACCGGTGCGTTGCCATGTTTATTCTCATTTCATTGCCTGTGGCCGAGTGCCAGTGCTTCGCGTGAAAAGGTGCATTCTATTTTGCTTTCTTCATACTGTGTAGTACAGTACAGAGCGTGTTTTTCCACCCACCACATCGGCCCGTTTGTTCTGGCAATCTCAGTCTCGACATCTAGCACAGTGTGTGCTTCGTCCCTCTGGCCGGTGTCTCCAGGTCAGGTACTTCTTTTCCCGAAAGATTTGGTATTACAAATTCTTTTTCCCATCGGATTGCGTCGAGTATGGCAACTGGACGAGAGCATATCGTGTCTTCATCATTCCACCAAACCCGCTGTTCACTGACGACATGTCCACATGGTTCTCGAACGCCGACTCATCGAGCCGTGTGCGGTTGTGGCATGTCCTGTCGTAACGCTGGGTTCTGTCTCGTTCATACATTAATTTGTCTTCTCAGCCGTGTCCCGTCCATATTATGTTTCTCGTGTTCTCGCAGGCAACATTCGAATGCCTTTTCTTTCCAGATGCAGGTGCAAATGCAAAAGCCTTCGAAAACTGGCCCTCCAAAATTGGTAATAGTACATGTGTTGCAACCCTGGGTTGCGCAAGAGGTCTTGGGGTATCATTGCAAATCGGCTGGATTCCAATCCATCTATTTCATCGTAGAATAAAGATCAAACCGACCAAACATAAGAAAAGCAGCTGATGATGTGGTGCTACGAGCACACCAGTTCCGGTACTGAACGGCTCGTCGAACGGACTTCCGCCGCCACTGCCGCCGGTGTTGCCATTGCCGGCGCTTGAGGCTTGCGTCGCGGAAGATGTACGGGTCGTCGAGGTCGAGCTAGATGTGCTTGTGCTAGTTGAGGAGGTTGAAAGGGTGGTTGTCAAGGAAGACGATGAGGAAACCGAGGTGGATCTAGATGCAGATGAGGACTTTGTCACACTGCTGCTTTCTTTTGTTGTAGTTGTTGTTGTACTACCGGCAGACGTGACACTGGCGGCGGAACTCGAGGATGTAGTCACTGCTGAAGACGCTGCTTGTGAAGCTGTTGACGAGGTTGTCATTGTGTCGGAAGCCATCGACATGGATGATGATGGACTAGCTGCAGCAGTCGTCATAGTCGTGGTAGTTTGTGAGCTGGTAGGCGTGCAAAGGAAATCGATGACGTTCCCAATGAATATCTGACCGATCAAGGAATCCCCGGGGGCTGATAAGCTCGCGCATGCTCGCTGTATGAAAGTACCAGCCGCTTCCAGAGCGATCTGGCAGTTGGCAGAACAGCCACTTCCACCTAATAGTGGAAACTCGTCGAGCTCGCAATCAGTTATTGTCGTGCTGTAGGCTTTTGTGCAGAGTTGAGGAAATCCCATAATAGGTTGAATCTCTGGGAATGAAATGCTGGCCATCGAGACCTGTAGGAGCCCGTAGAACACGGTCGCAAGTACTGCTCGGGCCTTTAACCGAGTTCTCATGGTGACTTCCGTGCGGCACTTAGGAGGAGTTGAACTGAGTGCACGAGAGTTGTGAGAGAGCTCGAGATGAGTGCTTGAGGGCGAAGAGATTGATGGAGAGTCGATGCTTGACGTCGTTGAGGTTTGATGTTTGTTGACGGTCCGGCAGAATTTGGTAGCGATCCATTCACTCTGGCTGTGAAGTTCCAGCAGTTGAATGTTGGAGCCCGCCTTTCTCAAGATGATGCGCAACCAGAGAACATGTCGATACTCCCGCTTTGCCGATGGCTTATGTTGATGGTATGTTACTTGAAAGACTGTCGCACTTCAAGGACAGGAGTGCTCTGCTGCGAGAAGGGAGAATGGGCCTTTTCTTCACTCGGCTTCCAATGCTTCTCTCCACCACGATCGACCGCCGGCTTTCGCTGACAGAAGCGTCGACGTTGTGATAGCCACTCACGTATTCAGCTCAACGACAGCGCCTGAGAGTCCCTCAGGTTCTACGTCAGTCCAAGCTTCGGCAAACGAGGGATGGACAGCAAGCAATTCCACTACGCAGACCACAGTATGGTGTTGACAACAGATCTCTGCCGATCGCAATCAAAATATCCACCTCCAGCTGGGCAGTCTTCGGCGATTTTATTGTAGAGCGGACCCCAAGTTTCTGGTCTGAAACAGTAGCTTCCGTGCACAGATGTGAGGGACAGTTGCCTGACTTGTATCTGTCAATCCTTTTGTGATGTCAGATGTCCATCTCTTTGCTCGGAAATGCTGTGGCCGGGAAGTGCAGGATGAACTTGTAAAATTCGACGTGGATGTATAATCCGAGGGGCTTTGGTCGCTTGGGGAGGTTTCCTTTCGTGGTCAGCATTAATCTCTCTCTTAAGGACTCAGTTTCTTGTAACAAGGCAGAGGAAGAGGGAGAAACAGGGGCGTTAAGAGGGTTGCGGCTCGAAGTTCTCGACAGCTGACGAATGATTGTTATCACAATGAACGCGTAGATGAGAGCGTTCTGGCGTGATGTATCTCTCTCCCACCTTGATAGGGAATCGTCCACTCGACGAGCCATACTGGGCAACGCTGCATAGTCTGCGACAGTTGTCACCCTGCGTCAGGGTCATAGCCACGAGGCTGCCCTGAAGATGACCTGAAGCGGTGATGAACTGAAGCGGGAACTGTATGATCGACAGGGGAGCACAATGACTGATTGGTAGGTAAGCGATCAGGGGTCCAAGCTGAAGCAACATGGTCGCTGGGCGCCTCGGAAAACAAGATCCATTTCAGATCCGTACGACAGCGGCTGCTTCACCAACCAAAGAGACCCAGAAAAAGAGTTGTGTAACTTGCAGGGAGTCTGTTGACGTCAACCATGAAGGAACATTCTCGACCTACGGTCTGCTGGGTACATAGTATGGAGTCTGGAAACTCGTTTGACGGTAGGTGGACGGGGTTGCAAAGCCAGGACCTCTCATTCAACGGAGGCCCTCCTACCACGATTGTCCTCGCTACTGTTTGTCGTTGAATGGCACATTAGCGCCAAATTACACGAATTACGACTTACCCAAGAGATGATAGTAGGTACCTGGTAGGATATATTTCTATTTGTACGGTATACCCGTTCATGAACACCTCAGTCTTGTCGTTGAAAGGCACGGACGAAACGGTTGGCCCCTTTAAGAAACAACAGCTGGCATTCCAATTTCTGCATCCCCCAACCCGATAGCATGGCTATTCCAAGGTACAATGCTGCGCTCGCTGTGTTCCATCACGGTATCTCATGACCATTTCATTCAATTCGGGATCACCACACCGCGGAATCGAACCTTTCCGGCGACCATCTTCTCCAGAGCCTCATTAGCCTTGTCCAACGGGAATTTTTCAATCATCACATTGACGTCGTGCACCCGGGCAAAGTCGATTGCTTCCTCACTGTCGAGGGCATGTCCGCTCGGCCACGCCACGATGCTCAAGCCATGGCGGATCATCGAGGCTGTGTTGACTTCAACGGGCGCAGAGGCCGCGAGGATGAGGAGTTTGCCCAATGGGGCCAATCCCTGTAGCAATGGTGGGATGAGTTTCTGGTTGGGCGCAGTGAAGATAATACAACTGGCTCCGCCCATCTTTTGCAATGCTTCACCAATGTCGCCCTGTGACGCATCGATGTATTCGTGGGCTCCAAGTTGCATAGCGAAGTCCTTCTTTTCGGAGCTGCTAGATATCGCAACTGTCTTATACCCCATACGACTGGTGTATTGCAATGCCAGATGCCCAAGCCCCCCTAAGCCTTGCACGGCTACAACTGAGCCAGGAAGGACGTTCTGATTGCGCAAGGCTGGAACCCATCCCCATCAGCACCATAACGTCAAGTCGGGGTTGAACCACTTACAGTTGAAGACTGTCACTCCGGCACAGAGCAATGGGCAGAAGGCAGCTGGGTCGACGTCTCGAGGAATCGAAACCACCGCTTCGGTTCGCAATGTAACATATTCGGCATATCCGCCGTCCCGCGTGACTCCGTTGACTGGAAAGGATGCATATCAGCATGGTCAGAAAAAGACGGTGTCGGTATAATACGGACTCTGTTCCTTCTCGCACATCTGGAACAGCCCACGCTGACACGACTTGCACGTCCCTGGAGGGTCACATGTTCAGCAGAAGGCTCCTCGAGTTCTGTTCTGAGGTGTTTTCCTACCGTCATGGCCTCCGTGCCACGGCGCGCCGACTCGGTCACCCTCTTTCCAACGCTTCTCGGTATCTGGGACGGCGGCGACCTCCCCAATGACTTCGTGACCTGTGCCTGTTAAAAGGCGAGTAATCCACACCCGACGATGGCTTACCAGGGATGATGGGGAATGAGTTCCCAAACAAGGCGTGTTGGACAGCGCTGTCGGAGTGGCACACACCACAAGCCAGCACTTTGACCAAGACCTTTCGACGATGGGGTCAGCCAGGGGGCGATGGAACAAGCATTCTGACGGTACGTACCTCTCCAGGCTTGGGCAATTCTAGCGGCACCTGCTTAAAGGTGAGTGGCTCTCCTTTGGCCTCGAAGACGGCCGCCTTGTATTCTTTAGGTAGATTTGGCATGTTGAATTCTTGAATTCTTCCCGAGTTTGTGGACAGATTGACAATAACTCTATAATTTCAAAGGTTTCAATTCCCAGGGCCAAGCACAGGTACTTAAAAGTATGGAGGGGTCGTGTGTATTTATGAGGTGGGATGGCACTGAGGCACTGACTTTCCCATGATGTCAAAGGTCTATCATCACGTTCCACTTATGGACTTATGGTTGACTGGTGTAACAAATCCCACATGCTGTTCCTTGTACATTGCTCTCTTTGTCGTCAAGGCCTTCTGCAGTAACGCAGATACCCCGGCACTTGCCCCATGTGTGCAAACTTCTACGCCATGAGTATTGGCGAATGGTCGAAGTCTACGAAGGGGGGAGCAACGATGCGTCTATGGGACCACTACGGAGTAGTTCTGCCTGATTATGAGCTTGCTGAATAAGAAAAGGCTTCTTTTGGCGACAGTGCTGACCTCTCAGGCCCTCCTTAGTCGTTCCGTATTGGGGCTCGGACATACAGCTTCCACGTCTGTGCAGTTGCTGTCGAGAGATCGACGGTACAGAGTCTATCTCCGACTTCTGACAACCTGGAGGACTTAAGAGTTTCCTGTTCCGCGATTTGACGCTCCGAGTTCCCCAGCTGGATCCCGCAAAAGCCGCCCATTACCGCCATAGCCTATAGGGTGTCCCCTAGATCAATACAGTGACTTTATGCTATTGCTATGACTCGCGAGTTCTCGTCATATTGTTTGATGACAGTGGCTTGAAAATACGGCCTCAGCATCTTGACATCCATCTCGTGCGAATCCGAGCAACAACGTCCTTCAGCTCAACTCAACTCATGGCAAGGCTTTTGGCTGAGGCTCCCTAACCATACAAAACAGATCGCACTTATCACCCCCATCCTCACACACCATCTTTCTAGCCAGTTTGAACCCCATCTTCTCGTAGATCGCAATGTTGGGCACCTCTTTCGAACTCTCGAGATAACACTTCCTCCCCTCCTCGTCGGCCTGCTTCGTCACGACTTCAAAGAGCTGCCGCCCAATGCCTTTGCGCTGGATGCCCGGCCTGACCGTGACAATATTGCAGAAATAATACCCATTCGGATCTGTCCAGATCTCTGATTGCGCAATCGCCTGCTCCCGCTTCCAGATCCAGTACCTCTTCGTATTCAGGCCTCCGCGCCCTTGATACCGCACTAGATTCCAGCCCTGCTTGAACCAGAGGACATACTCGTCGATCCATTCGCTCCAAGTCTGCTTCTCATTGACGTTCCGCGGCTTCATCCACATGCTCACTCCCAGGACTTTGCCGTCCTGGTCGTCCGTGTCCTTTGCCGCATAGAACAAGGCATTGCGCATCCCCCATTCACATTTCGCTTTGAGACTGGCAAAGTTGCGCTCCTTGTTGAACTTGCCTTGCCGGGTGTCGAAGGCCCACAGGTGGTATGGGTCATCAGCGAACGCGGCTTGGATGCATTCTACCACCGACGGTATGTCGGCGGTTGTTATAGGCTTGATTTCAATGCCCATTTCTGAGCCTTTCAGGCGCAATTTGTCGAGGTGAAAAGGGAATTTCGGCGAAGACAATGGAGATCAAATAAGTGCTCCTCGTCGGCTGGGAATTCAGAATAGGTCAAGACTGGGGTTGACACTTTTCACAATGCTGTTTCAGACAGCATCCCTTCGCAGACAATGGAGCCAACACGACTTCAAAAATCATGAAGGACGATTCGAGGTTCAAGGCTCAGGAAGAAACGGCCAACTCCGGTCCATGTTGGTTGCCAAGGTGTGGCCGGAAAATAATCTTGGTGTCTTAAATTCCTGCATTGGATCTTCACGGTTACAGAATCATCAAGATGAGGTATGTTCGTTAACATAACGCATAGAGAATCAACTAGCAAGTCACGGCAAGAGAGAAGCTTAGGTCTCCAACAGTGTCATCGCTTTCCTGCTCCACATCTGGCTCTTGAGCTCTTCGCATCAGCTACCCAGCACTGACATTATTGAGCTGAGCATAAAGGTCAACATTCACTGAATGTCTTCTGAGGCCTACGATCGACTTCACACCATTCATCACGCATTGTCAGATACCACTCAGTGGTCTTCCAGTTCCAAACAATCAAAACAGACCTTGTTGTGCAGGACGCGAGATAGACCCTGGACTTCAGTCATCGTTCGCCCTGATTTCGTCCAATCATACATCGACGTGCCCTCCCCTTCTAGCATGGATGGTTCCCTCGTCGTGAAAAGCCAGATCCTTGAACTGCGTCTCCTCACGAAGAAGCTTCACGATTCCGACTTTCGGAGCCGCTCCGTTGAACGCTCCTGTTGACACGTCTTGGCTGAGACATACGTTGCGGAAGGTGAGCGAGTTCAATGTCTCCCTATGGCGTACAATGAATTGCCAGAGTTCATCCTCGGTAGTGATTACCTTGCCAAGGGTCAAGTTCTTCAGTCGGGAGAAACTGCGAGACATTAAGTATCGACTCATTGTACCCATCATCGAAGACTCGCTGTAAAGATAGAGTTGGTGTTCCACCGTCATCGCTCCGAAACCCAACACTAAGTCCTCTACCGAAGGTAATAGCTTCTGCAATCCTCCCAGAGTTTGAAATAATCTGGCGACATTCCAGCGACCGTCGATCTTTGGGGCATGGAAAAGGAGGGTAAGGCTGTGATCGCGGTCTCGCGTCTCGAAGATGACCTTGAATTTGCTCTCTTTACACAAGGCTGGTTTCTCCTCGGCATTATGTAAGTGCAGAAAGTGTCCCAAGTAATGGGCACAAATTCGACATGGGCGACATAAGGCGATCCAGCCGTTTCCGTCACTGATAAGTTGACTAAGATGGTGTTCAGCAATCTCTCGACTCTTGATCGTGGTGGAGGTGCTCTCAGTCCGCCTCCCTGTGGGAGACTGCCGTGCAAATTGCACGCTCCGTCCGACTTTTCAATCCTGCCGTTGGTATAGCACAAGGCGTTCGGGCGAGAAAGGCTTTGCAGAAGGTCTCGCATGTACGGGTGACCAAAGCTCTTAAAGTAATCAATGCCGTTATACATGCAGCATAGGTAGACAAAGTGACATCGGCAGACGAGTGGATTCCAATGCCACTCCAAGCAACGCACAAAACCTGACAGCTTGGGGTTGTTGACTTTCCCTGCTACTTCACCGCTGCGCGTGGTCGGCCAGATATGAATAGCGCGGAACAACCGACATGTCGCTTGAAGGCCGGTGCAGTTGTCTACCAGTCGACAATTCTTGAGGTCGTCTCTGTCGAGATGGCCGATGATCATGGAGATGACCTCGACGGGTAGTCTGTCCCAATCTCTTCCAATCGTCGTTTTGTCGATAGTATTGTGGTTTGAGGGAGTCGCCATGATGTCTGATATTGTGGGTTCCACGAGATACTCGGGTAGGAAGCTGGTTCCGAGTTCTGAACAATCTGAAAGACTTTATCCTGTAAGCTGATAAATGGAGTGATCTAGGCTGTGCACATAAGAGGCAGTGATAAATCCGAGCTGAAGTGGCATGGTCCGTGAGAGCGAAAAATTGAAGCCCAGGTGAAGCTGGACAGGCAGTCGTCCGCCTGTCTCACACCTGTTGATGGCCGGTCAAACCAAGTGATGAGCTCCAACTTCATCCCACTGCCTCCTCCATTGGACCTCAGGCGCCTTCCTTAGCCATGCTCCGTGGATCGTCTTCAATGCTTACCTTAGATGGAAAGACATCAGGTATGAAAAGGCAGCACGCAGTCTGAATCATTCACCGAGCTCATGTCACCCGAGCGTGTTGACCAGCCGTGACTAGTTCAAAGGGGTCTCTTAGGCCAATATCGGCGCAAACCAAGCTGCGCTCACCAATGGTGCTCAACGCTGTGTGGATTCGTTCAGTACGCTCTCTTTCAACTCAGAGCTTGCTCCCCTGTTGCCCTCCCATCTCTTTTGAGCCTCCTGTGATCTTCTTGACAAGCTCGCTCGGAAACCTCATCATGCCGTCCTGTATGGTCGTCGCAATGAGTCTCCCGCTCTCATAATCCCACAGCCGACTATTATGACAAACCCTATTATCACCACTTTGACTTGACCATGCCTCCTGGACAAACCATTTTGGCCTACCGTCCTTGCCTACCATGGACAAATGTTCCGCCAGCCCATGGAAGACCACCGTATGCGACAGCGAAGCCATCGTCGTGGGAACCATCTCGTACCCCAGCGCCCGCTGCACAAGGAACAGCGAATTCTTGTCCGAAGCATATAGGTGCGCAGCAGCATGGAGATTCAGGTCAACCTCGTCCCCAGAATCGTCGTCCTGAATAAGTCGATAGAAATGCAATCCCCGCCACCTCGACGCACCTTTTCCGTCCTTCCCACCACCGGGCTCAACCCGTCCATTATACCTATGCATATCGACCTTCCTCATCTCGACACCTGGAAACGCCGCGGCAGTCCGGTTCCATTTCTCTGCTTCCTGGTCCTCCCACCACTGTGAGTCCGCGCCAGGCGCAAGCGGATGGTCTTCGGGCCCCACACCATCAAGGACCATCGCATACTCGGTCCTGATATGCTGCCTCGACACATCTTGATGATCAAAGTCATGCCATTTAGCGTTTCCTTTTTCCGAGCGCTTGAACGAGATTGTAGCAGTAAAGCAAGGCGATGAGCCCTGACCAGCCGCATTAGACTGCTGGAACACATCTACAGACCTGAGACAGTAGATCCCGCCATCCCGGACTCTTCGGACACGGTAGACGAAGGGCACATCGATTGCGCCGGGAAGGATGAAGTAGCCTGTCATTTGCTTCGACATCATCAATCAGATCCAGATAAATGTCAGCAAAAGTTCTCTCACGTACATGAACCACAAGTCCCTTTCCGACAGTTTTGCTTGCAGCGTACATTGCTTGGGCGTAGACATGACCACCAAATGCTCGCTGGAAGGGTGCCGGTGGCCAGGCGGCTGTGAGACTCTCGAACGTGTCATTGGCGATCTGCTTGACGGCCATTAAACGCTTGAAGGATATCGGCTTCTTGCCCCGCAATGGCTCGACTTTGTGTGTTGTCATGCTTATTTGGTAGCTTGTAGAATGGTCAAAGAGATCTCTGAGAAGCGAGGTGTTCAAAGCCTGATGAAGAAGTCTTTTAGCGGCTGAGAAATCTGTATATCATTCTGCAAGATGGCACAACGCGTTGTCAAATATGTGAGTCTGCGATAGTCGAGCACATCAATCAGCAAAGAAATGTGCCTGATTCTTCGGCTTTGGATTGAAGTACCTAGTCGTGCCAGTCGAGTTGTGTCGAGTCTAACTGCCTCGGCTCGAGAGAAGTGTGGAGCGGTGGAATCACCTCGCCAGCCCAGTCGGACTTCTTGTCCGTCTGGCTCTTATCGCATCTCTCACGTGGCGATAACGCCTCTTAACTCCCATGACATCACCTCTGCGATGCTGTCATCGACCGCTCACCACGCAGCACGGACGAAGCGGCGCCCATACTAGGATACAATTACCCGCTCATATGCTCCAAACTCCCTTGCACCAACATCTAAATCCCAGCGCAATCAAAAGTATACAGAAATGTCCGCAAGCCAATCCTCCGACTCTCAGTCTCAACCATCCATGCTCGGCGGCCACGCCAAGGTACGTTCCCCTTCCGCTCCCTTTGCCACTTCCACCATGCTGTTCTTCTCTGACGCTGGCATCGGCAGTATGTCCAAGGGGCTGTGTCTTCCGCCCTAGGCTACGAGTCCGGCCAACAAACCAAAGAAGCCGCCGTTCAGGAAATGCGAGACGCCAAAGCCCAGTCCTCAGATCAACCCACACAGTCGACGCTTCTCGGCAGTGTCGAGAAGGAAGCAGGGCAGGTCACCGGCTGTGAAGGGATGGTCGAAGAAGGACAAGAGAGGATTCCCCAGAAGGCAGGTATCGAGGAGACCAATGGCACAGGCTAGAACATCCCGACAAATAGAAATATGGACATGAAGAGAACACCGAACTATGCGGTGTCGACGAACAAAATCAGTCAGACCTTTGACGCCAACACCGTGCCACCCTGTTGAGGTCTGGCTTCTAGCCTCACTGCCCACCGTCAATCCCAGAACAATACCACTGCACTATGCAAGGATCCCGGCTATCGTTTATCTCCTTTCTATCCTGGTTTGACAGCCCATGCCTCAGCATCATTTCAGAGACCGGTATCACCTCTCGACCTTGGCAACGGTACATCACCCTGCGCCGCCTTATCGACTATGACACTGTCCGCCAGGTCTTCATCATCATGTCCATCATCACGCATCCTAACATCATTCTCCACATCCGAATCTTCCCCGTACTTGGCCACTGAATCCCAGTCCTTAGCTAGGTCAGCGTCCGCCGGGTATGCAGCCCCATATCGATCCCGTTCGCGTTCTTTTGCTCTCACCTCCTCGGTGTCATAATCAGGCTTTTCCCAACCATCTCCGACTTCGCCAAAAGTAACGCCGTGATCTTTTCCTAGAAAAGTTAATCCATGACTCGCCTGGTACCAACCCTGGTCAATCCAAGAAGTCAAACACTCCTTCGCTTTCTCGCCGAGGGCATAGAAGCCAGGGTTATCCCGCGGGAAAAACATGGACATATGTGCTGTCGTCTCGTCGCTTGCTTTGTCGTTGACAGCTTTCGCCCATCGGAATCCGCCTCCATCTGTCCTGACCTCTTTGCCATCCCTAGTGACAAATACAGGCAGGTTGCAGAACGTCCGCTCTTTCCCAGCCAGACTAGCAGTAATCCCGTAGCCCTCCCGTGCACCTCTGCCCAAGTTGGTATAGAGATTTGCACATCCGCCACCTCGTTCCTTGAACGCCTCCTCGACGTTTTCGACTCGCTTACGTAGGTACTCCGGCTTGAACAGCTCGCCCACGAAAAGGAGGTGATCACTCGCCCATTGCCATCCGACGCTGAGCTTCTCACGTTGCGAATAGAGTGCCGCTGCGCCACCAGCGACGACTGCGCCTGCAGCGCCCGCGAACATGGCATATTTGCCCCAGGACTGCCACTTTGGTGCGGCCGCTGCGTCAGCGGTGGACGATGCAGGGGCAGGAAGAGCAGCGACACTCCTACCAGCAGACGAGGCGACGTTTGGCTCGGACTTAGAGCCCCAGCCAAAAATGGACGAGACTTCGTTGTAGGTATTGTAAGCACTTGCGAGTGTCTTGCCGCCTCCTTCGAGACTATGAGCGACCATGCCCGGCGCAAGGCCGAGATATGGAGTGTCGAAGGCTAGAATGCCTTGAATATGCGGGAACATGAAGCTGTGTGATTGGGACGTGGGAGACGGTGTGGGATGGGAAGTGGAAGTGGTTGAATTGAGAGTCGTGTTGGAGGGAAAATTCGGCTTGCTGGGGTTTTGTTGCGAAGATGCTGGCGGAATGGGCTGCTCGTTTGCGAGAAGGAGATAGGTCTCAGCAGCGACGATGCCACCCATAGAATGCCCGATCAACATTACATGGACCGAAGGGTCGATCATCGGAGACGGAGTGTGTCGAGCGACCTCCAGATCGATCACTTTATTCTGCAGCCTGCGACACGAACTTGGTCAGTCATGCTCCACAACCTCACCATGTCTATTGCATACCATTCTCTGAAACGGGCCACACAGTCTTTCAGCTCGCCCCGTGTCTCGAATCTCGGATAGGTGACGGCGACGACGTCAATGTTGGGCAGAGCGTGGCTGACAAGCGCACGAAGGTGTTCTGGAAAGGATCCAAAGGTGTCATCGCCACCCTGTAGAAGCAGTCGTTAGCAGCAGTAATAAGCCAAACGTTGATGAAGAGAGACTGGGGCAGACTATTCCGGCCGCATGCCGCATGCTGTACGTACGTACCTTGAAGCCATGGATGAACACGAGAAATAATGTCTTGCGCATCCTTGCGGAATGACAGGAAGCAAGGATGCTGCATTATTCGCGTTAAGTTCATGTATCGTTCATCATCTTTGTCGCGACTCAAACACTGAGGTCGTTCTGCAAAATTGGCTCACTTTCTACCAGACCTGGAGTTCGTCCATGAGAAAGCCGTTGAGCGGTAACGTTGGACGGATCAGCATAGTCACGTGATGACCACCGACACCTCGCTAGTGAGGTTTTTGTTCATCCAATGACCATGCACAGACAGACTCGCTCTGGGACAGTTCTCCTAATCAACGCATTCAAATGGACATGGTCAGTACTGTGACAGCGGGAGTATGATCGAGGAATCTGCTCAGTGTTTGCATCAGGTGCAGCCATAGCGCTTGGTCTCAACGGGTGATTCCGAAAGATGATAGTAGTGTCAGACTACAGAGAACGGAGAAATAGTATGGGAGACAAATTAATTTTCTTTCTATTCTCCTTTGATGCTTGGTGCAGCTTATTGCTGCATTGGGTGTCCTACGCTAGACCATCTAATTGTGTACAACCCCTTCTATCGAATTGCTCGGCGTGCATCCGGCTCGTATGCCGTCATGTTTTGTGCCTTTTATTTCAGCCCTCCCAACGCCCATGAAATGCATATCGCTGATACTGAGTACTGCGTACAGAAAAATGGATAACCGCCACGCTATGCACAAATCATTGGTCGCTGAAAAGTGCGACACAGAGGAATTGATGAAAGAAAAACAATTTCCGCGGCCATGACCTAAAAATGATATTGCGGATGAGCAAGAGGTGTTGAAGTATTGCTCCTTTGCCATCCGTCCGCTTGCATAAAAGGAAGTGGGCCAGTGCGCCGCTCAGAAGCAGCTTTGCCCAAGGGTTGATAATGAATCTGATCATAGGGGATGTTCCTGACAGGAGCCTGAAGAGTAGTAGAGGGAGGTGGAAATAGGAGGGTGTTGACATGTCGTACTGGCCGGTATGGCGAAGTCCGATGTGTCAAGAAGTATGAAGGTGAAAGGCCTGGAAGTGTAGAAGTCGTAGTATTAAAGCCATTCGATGGAGACGTATGAGCCGAAGGATAATTCGAAATCGATCTTGATCCATCGCCAAGGTTCGGAATAGGGTTCTGGAATAGATTCTGGGGAATAGCGGAAATGGGAGTTACAGGCTGAGGATAACCAGCAGTTGCGCTCGGATATACACTCGCCATTGCTCGGCTGACTGGCATTGATGGCGGAGCAACTTGGGTTGAGGGATGAGCAGGAGGAGGAACCCTGGGGACATCGAGCCTCGGAATTTCCAGCGGCAGAGTAGACAGGCTCGGATCTAGAATGTTGCTGTGAATGGGAGGAACCCTGAGACCATTTGACGGATATGGAAGAGTGTTCGCATGGCCAATGCCTCCACTCTGCATCGGAGTGGGATACTGCTGTCTTTTGGCTGGTGGCAGGTCTGCAGAGAAGTCAAGACTCCGCTTTCTCTCTTCCCGTTGAAGACCTGATCCATATTGCTCCCGGAGCGGGGAGCTCGGCAATTGTGCTGAAGAAGGCACAGGATGTGGTAGAGACGGGTAAGAATTGTTCAGAGGTGACCGCATAAAGGAGTGCACCGCATGCTGAGGTGATGGCGGCGAGGGTAACTTGTGAGAGAAAGTTTGTGAAGTTGGAGTGACAGGAGCTGTGCCTCTGGGTTCATCTGTGAGGCGGAGCTGTGATGATTTGTCATAGAACGCGCCAAACCTTCCGAGTTTGGCCTTCCATTCGTTCCACTCTTCGGCCGAGGCGTAAAGATCATATCTCATGTTGCTGAGAAATTCCACCTCCATGATGTGGATTTCTGTGACAGAAATCCCAGAGACCTCTGCCCAAGTCTTGTTTGTGTAGGTGTTGTCGTCGAGGAACTTGTTGCCCAACATCAAAGCAATGGTCAAAAGCCTGTATTCACTCCCACGCTTTCCACTGACGCTTGGATTGAATTTCTTCAGCCGATAAATAAACATCAACGCCAGTAAAATCACGTTCTTGCCGACTTGGGTAGTGCTGATGATAGTTGTCACCCACTTTCGAAACCCAATTGATGGTATAGCATCCGGAAGTAGTCCTCCGTCCACAGGATGGTCCTTCGGCAAATCCTCTGCATATTGTATTGTGCTTGCAGTCTCGAACCAGAACAGACAGGTGATTTCAGCCGTAAATTCTGCCAGGCTGCCCTTGCTCTTGTTAACTGACTCCGGTATTTGGAGATGAGGTGCAATGGCATTGACATTGACATTGTTCTGATCAACGGCTGGGCGGAAATAAGAGTCGGAGTTGTTGTTTGAGGCAGATACCAAAGCGTGAGAGTTGCCGTTCTTTAGCGATAATCCTCTATGCCCTTGAGAGGCACCAACTGCGTTATGAGAGAAGTCCCCCTTGTGTTGAGACAGATGGCTGGGGAAGCCAGGATAGCTGTCCCCGAGTGACACTCCGGCCATGGCCCTTGATCCGGGAGGTGTAGGCAAGCCGTTGCTGAAGGAGGTATCGTCGGTGTTCCGCCTCTTGAACCCATATGCAGAAGGGTAGTCGAAGCTTGATTTGGTAGTTGAATTTGACCAGTCCAGGCTCCCGACACCGCGGCGAAGAGCAGACATGGACGACATGAGACAGGACGGCTCGGTAGGCGAAGGCTTCGATGAAGGTTTACTGAGGTCAGGTGAGTATTGGTGGTGAGGAAGGGTACGGCATCGAGGTGTCGATGAGATAAAAGCCGGTCCCAGGTGTTGAGTTGAAGTGGCTGACAACGGATGACGAGGCGTGGTGGATAAGTCTGGCAGTAACGAGCATCGCAACAAAAAAAGGATCAAGAATGGTCAAGAAGCGAGGAGCATCTTTGATGTTTTGGAGCCTTGAACTGAATTGGGGTTTGGAATGAGGGCCGTCTTGAAGGGTGGAACCTTTTGGGATGGTGAAGGTCGCCTTCACCACCAACGCCGTCTCAAACGGTGACTGTGCGAGGAGATGCCAATCAAGAAAGATAGTCCGGAGCAATCAGGAAGCAAATGACACAGATGTATGGGTTAAGACGCAGTCAGCCGAGCATCGGCAGGTAGAGTTTCGTGGCTGCCAACGATAGCTGATCACTGCTCCTGTATTTCATCAATAGTAACTCAACTTCGACGGTCTTGTCTTGGATCCAACGCGGTTCGAGGCTCGGCCTTTTGATGTCAGGGACCCATAGCGACGAGCCGCCCGATGCAGCAAGCAGGGAGGCGACGCGAAAGCAGAAGCAAGTCAGCGAAAGGGTAGGCAAGCCGCAGGAAGGGTAGCTACGACTGAGACTGGGAAGCAACACAACGGCCGAGCCAATGAAGGCAAGGGGCCACCGGCAACAGCGACGAAAAGATGGAGCGCAGCACACACTGGCGCAATAATGATTGCCAAAGTGGACTAAGACGGGCTGGCGGAGGATAGAGTCAGGAAGTGATGGGATGTTTTGGAAGGAGAGGATGTGCTAGGATGATGGATGACGGAAAGCAAAAAAAGCACAAAATGGACACGAACGGGGAACGGGAAACGGGGGTTTGACGCGGCGACATTAATTGTGACGGTGATGGGCAACCACTGACCAGACACGCTGCGCTATGCGATGCGAGAGGGAAGCGATGGCCACTCTCTGACCACAATTTTTCCAAGTAGCTCGGATGTGGTATCAAAAGACGACGTTTAGCTTGGTATGGACCTGGGGCCTGAGGGCTAAAAAGACAGGAGCCTTGGAAATCCTAGTGTGACCTTCTCTGGCAAGCTGGCTCTTTGACTTGGACCCATGACGCTTGGAAGAAAGGAAGGGGGGCAGACTTTGGAAAGACCAGGGATAAGATCGATGCTGAGTGGAGGAAAAAAGGGCCATCGCCTTTGTTTTGTCCAAGACCCGAGCAAGCAATTCCACCATAAAACAGTGGGCAAATGGGCAAATGGGCAAATGGGCAAACCGTCAGTCACCGGGCCACTGCAACGCATCCTCCTCGTAACTGTTATTAGCCACGGCTAGGTAGTCATGATTCAATCTCGATGTCGTTGCCGGGTTGCCAGCTGAAGCCTGAGGGTGCGCAAAGTCACCGATGGAACTAGCGCCGGTATCACTGAAGACTGGGCCACGGCTAAAGGGCGAATTTTCAATTTTCTTTGAACAAGGGGATGTGCATACCACTGCGTTGCGTACGTGCGTGCGTGTGGGATCATGCAATTACCAGTTTTGGAGCGAAGTGGCAATGAATGGTGTCAGTCGCCTGCGCCTGCGCCAGCAAAACTCTCGTCATCAGCCGGACACTGGCACGGAAAGGATACCACAGCGCTAAAACCTGAAGGGTGACTCTGAGCAACGCACGGCCTGGTCTGGATGGAGCTGGAAAAGCGAGCTGCGAGCTGCGAGCTTGGAGCCTGGTCGTCGTCGTCGTCGTCAGGAGGTTGCGGCTTGATCATTTGGCCTACAGCTGTGCGGTCCGAAGTGGATGACGAGGATGATGAACTGCCACATTGCCCGGTGAGGAAGGCCCCGAAGCAAAAAAGCCCGGACGCAGCCAACCCGGGTGGGCTTGAAAGAAAGTGTTAAGAGTTGAAGGCCTGTTTTACTCGCTAGTCTGTAACTGCATGAGTAACGCCCCTCGATGCCGGTGAGAAGGGGGACCCGTGGCATGTCAAAGGATTGGACGATCCTCCTACCCTCCACACATTATTTCCGCAAGTTTACTGAACTTGGATGGGCTGAGAGGGATAAGCCGGAACCACGCTGGGGACTGAGGTCACTGACCGGTGGTGAGTTAGGCGCAAAAGATGCGCGCGTAGGGGTGGGTGGTGACATGCACGTTCAGTGGAACTTTTAAGCGGTGGACGGCGGGCTTAGCAAAATGACGGGCCTCAAATTAATGGCCATGATGTGCCTAACCACACCTGGCCACTCCTACGTCTCAGGCTGCCGCCCCGCGTCTCAAGGCCCGAAGGCAAGACAGAAAATGGTGGTCCTCGTAACATCCACGTATCTGCAGCCAGGCCGATCAAAATATTGTCTACCATATTACGACTAGGTCGGCTACGAAGTCCTACTCGTAGGCAAAGAGAGCACACATGTCGCGATCAACACCTGCGCAGTGGAGACTTCCCAAGCGAGGCAAGGTCGACAGAGAAACGTCCAACGGCAGCTTTATTCAAAATGACTATCACTCTGATCAGCATTGGTAGACGCGATGTTCGAGAGACACTTGAGATACCCAGTCGCTCGGTTTCGTCCAACCCTCAACAGGCTAAAAGCTGTACGTCTCCGACGAGTTAGTCCTGTGTCACTACAGCCCGAAGGCGAACGGAAGCCCGGTCGAATGTCAGCTGAGGATCCATGACATTATTATTGTTCTAGCCGTGGATACTGTAAGTCGACAAAAAGGAGAGGCACGAGCGAAAGTTCAAGCATCAGTCGGATCCCGTGCGTTGACCACTAGCCGAGCGCCTAGTTACATCTCGCTGCGGAGGCGAGGAAAAAAGAACAACAATCATTCGGACACCTCACATGGATGGAGCTGCACGAGGAACAAGCCGAGCAACAGGGGACCATCTTTGTAGAGCACAAGGCATAACTTAATCACGCGGTGCACGGGTTCTTCAGGCTGCTAGTTGGGCGTATGAATCCAGACTTGTGATCATCTTAGAAAGCGTCGTGGATCCGACAAGGAGCAAGAACGAATTTTGCCCTCGAAAGATCCTGACCGCTCCAGAAATAGCAGTGTACCCGTATCTTTATCCCTTGCGTTCCAGTCTACCTGTAACTTCGTGTGTGGCTGCGGCGAGGCGGGTATGGGCTTGCCAGATTCGACGGTTCCAGGCGTAACCGAGTATCAAGGTTCACGGATACCTGATTATTGTAATACGTCTTCATCCGTGCACACATCTGGCGCATGTAGAGGTGATACTACGGCTGATGATTCCGCGTTATTCTGTATACTAGTTAGTCAAATTGAGGCGAGGAAAGATATGCAGTTGGTGGCGCGGGCTGTTGCCGTCTGTCTGCACTGGGTATATTGATTTTTGAACGAATCCACAGCACTTGCAAATCCCAAGATCCGTCCGCTCGCAGGCCCCGAGGATGTCACTGAGGTTCAGACGCTGCGGCGTGGTGATCGGTACGGCGTACTATCAAAGTCTAACACTAGACATGTCGACAGCACCACACATAACTGAAACCTTGAGAAGCACGGTGTGTCTCGTCTTGGAGGAGATCCTTGGCCAACGCAGCAAGTTGCATGTCGTTGCGCCCGCCTTGCAGCAGAATAAGAAAACTTCAGGTTGAAAGGGCGCCGGCGGATGTGCTCGGTCGGCAAACCACCTATCTCCGACAAAAGGAGCGCAAACGTGAGGTGCGGATATGTATCTGTAAGTCTGGGACAGCAAATCACAAGTGGCTCGGCTTGTGGAAGAATGGGTCTATCAGGCGAGGTTTCGGTCAGGTTGGGGGTCAAATAAGAGAAGAGGCGCCTTTCAAATTTGCTGCTCAGGATCCAGGGATCCGAAGGCCAACCAGCAGCCTTTTTGGGCACTGCGTGTTTCGTGATCACTGATGATGTCGCCGAGAATCGTGGCTCGTTGCAGGGCTTTGCCGGCTAGGGGCAACGTTGGTTCCGATGATGGGCAACGATTGCTAGCACCCAGTAGTGATGATGAAGCATTCGCCGTGGCTGATATGGAGTCTCTCACAGAACGAAAAAATTCGGCCTATCCTTCTTCGCTTATTCTTTCCTACCCCTTGCTTAAGCCCGCCACTGCACTGCATAACTAGTCCGACACTGCGGCGCATACTGTGTACGAGTACGCAGTCGTGGCAGTACACTGTAGAACAGAGTTCGCCCGTCGAAGACTTACGGTCTTATCTCATTCAGAGGGCCACGGATTTTGTAGGAATCTCCTCAGTGGACGTGGAAATCCTTCCGTAGGTCACTGCTGTCTCATCCTGCCGACATTGGGCGAAGATTGGTTCTGGCACACCCGGTCACTGAGTCTCTTTGCATCCGCAAACTTGTGGTACTGACACGTCCAAAAACCGGTCAAATCATCATATTACTCGTACTAGTATTGTTCCCGGCCACGAACATGCAAGTCAACCTTCCCAGAGATGAAACACCAATAGACGTCTGCCCATCACCATGCTGACTTCTCTTGCATTCCTGCTCACTCCTGCTCAACCAAAGGTTCCGTCGTGCGTCCGTCAATTTCGATTCGTTACTATCCCTGTCTGTCGCTTGTAGCTTTGACACGGTCGTCGCGTATTCGGAGCGTGTCGGGGGTTTGCGCGTCGGCGATGGTTTCTACGAGGTATGGTTTCGGAGCTCGTTTGGAGGCCTTGCGAGCCATGATCATATGAGTGGCTCCTTTTGACATGCAGCAATCACTGAGATGGCCACCCAGACATGAACACCGCAACATCACTGTGACATCCACGGCCCTGTTGTTCCACAACAAGGCATTGCTCCTCAGCTGTCACCATAACCCTGTACGACATGGTCACACTGGGATCTTTCTTTCCTTTGCATCTCATTGCCAGGATGCCACGGCTCCTTGAGTCCAACCATAATTTGAGATGAACAGTTGAGCTAATACTCAACGAAAACCATTCACTGTGCTCTCATGATCGGCGATTGCCTCTCAACAAAGGCATCACTCGCAACCAGGCATGCTTTCTTCCGAACGTACCGCAACCCTGAATTTCTGACACGGTCGGCAGATACGAGACTGCTCGCCCCATTCTAAGCGCCCCCAAGCTACAAGCTCGTATGTACAGGATTCCAGAATCCTACCACGCCAGTGAGTCTGGTTAAGCTATCTTGTTACTTGCCAGACGCTCGAACCCAGCTTTCATGATTGGCTCATTCAGGCTGATAGGTCCTGTCCATGATCTATCCGGCTTGTCCAACCTCTGTTGAAGTCACCCATCTCGTGGTTTCGCCACTGAAAGAGCTCCCGGGCTCCGTCTCAATGTCCTCTTGATCTAGATTTGTTGCTCTATTCGTCCGGGAATGGTTCGTGCAAAGACGGCCGGCTCGCCACCATCAGAAGGTAGCACAGTCACATGAAGCGGACGGACAAGATGTTCTGAAACCTGTTGCTTTGCACGTCTCGACGAGGTTTTCACGATCACTGGCGCCACCTACATTGGCGAGTTGAATAATGGCTCGGTAACATCTGTGCATATTCCAGTAACGGATCTATGGTCACATAAAAGCTGCTGCAGTGTACACAGTAGCGTCTCGAAAGAGAGGAAGCATTCGAGTCCCCACGAACAACAGTCAGTTAGACTCAAGCTGTGTCTCCAGATCCTGGCTCAAGCGAGCGTTCCCAGACGACCCACTCTGATGGTCACGGTTCGCTAGGCTAAGCCGTAGGTATCGAGACCTGAGAATCTAGTCGTGGCTTTTTCGCATACCTACTCTTTCACGAGCAGGAGCACGCAAGATGTGAGTGAAGCTAGGCTCATACAAGGGTTAGCTCCGGGTTGACGGCTCAGACGACGGGAAAACTACTTGACTGCTCATCAGGTGCATGTAGCCAGCTTATCTCTATCAGTCCCTTATGCGGATACAGGTCGATGGACCACGCTGGACTTAAGTTACAGCACGTCGACGCAATAAATTTTCATTTACCGATGCTCGGAATCAAGGAGCCACTTCTTGATCGCGATCACGACTTCTTTTTTGCCGAGATGACCACAGATCGACACTCATCGCACGCGGAGGATACCGCATGACCCATGCCCAAGATCGCAGGAGGACCACTTGGACCCTGTCCTTGAACTATTCACTTGTCACGCGTACTGTGTTACTCTGTATATCCATTGACACCATACCACGGCCCGTGGCCTCCAATATCCTCGCCAAAAATTTACTGTGCTCAATCTGGAACGAGCTACGGATATAACAACTGGGATCTGGCGAAACCGTGGTTCACGCTATCGATTCCCACGTGCAAATAGCAACTTGTTCGACCAGAAGCTTCCGGTCCGGACACCTGGGGTCCTTCCTATGTTCAGGTGCCCCGCATACGATAACTGCGTCGGCCTGGCGCTCTTTCAACAACTCAATCGTGGACACCTTCCGGAGACGCTCGGATCTCCCGTGATATTTGGCGGAACAATCGCTGACACTAGAGGACTCTTGGAACGAGCATCTATGCGTCCAGCAGGTGGGGACGGTGAGATGCTGGAATTCACATCCAAGCTACAGTCTCCTGACTTCAATGCTATTGACCCCTCTATACATGCACGCACGAATATGTTGGGTTGCTGTGGAGTCTCGGCTCGACTCGACTCGATTCAAGGTGGTGGCGACTCTACATTCTCCTCGCAAATTTCTGCTGCCGCCAGACCCTAACAGGAGGCGTATTGGACCCACGAGTGTAACGGAGCCGATCCCTCAAACATGGCGATATCGTCTTCTAGCTTTGTCCAACGGCCATAATTGCCTGGTCGCTGCTCACGGACTCGGAACTGTCTTGCCATTGGGTATTTTGGACGATACCAACAATACAACGGTAACTTGAGGGCTGTGCTGGCTGACCATAGCTGATTAGAACAGCGATGCCTGGGAGGCGGCATGATCAAGTCGGCTGAGCCATTGCTGACACCTCGCATGGCATCTTGTACAACAACCTGGGGTTGTGAGCATTGTCTGATAGCTGCACTATCGTGCATCGGACTCCACCAATGACAGCATGCTCCTCCCAAGTCAAGTCAACATGATTCAAATGCTTGCGTGCAATGACTCCTTTTGATTCCTTTTACCAACACCATAAGAAGACGTACGCTCAAAGCTCCGCCTCTGCAAGTTTAACGACTCCCGTGTCCATGATGGCAAGACCTGTACCGTCGCCCAGGCCGTCGCAATCTATGTTTTTAATCCGAGGTGAGTTACCCATTGCTCACATAGTATCTTGTAGATATTTCCCAAATGCCTTCGAAACATGTCTCTTTGCTTTCCGGATTTGTCAGGCTCGATCTGCTGCATTGTCAATGTGAGCCTGCTCAAGGCGAGGCTACTTTGATGTGGTCGGCGTCCCTTCTTCAATCATTTGCTTGTTGATCTACATGGAACCTACATCGAAGAGACACGGATCACGCCCTCGAAACCGGCCGGCCAGTAGCAATAGCCCTGATGCGCCCTCACTATTTCTGAACCGGCATTCCCCAAACGAAACTCGATCCCTGGTCGTCTTCATTGAAACGCTCAAGACAGTGGCTGCCGGGAGAGACCTCGTCGCTACTCACCTCAAAAAGTCGTGTGCAGGCGTCCTGTTCAATGTGAGGTCCAAGCAATGCCGAGCTTGGAAAACTTCACTTCCGTCTCAGGCAAGTATTATGTTCTCCATTCGGTATACATGAGAACCAATTGTCATGCGGGTCACATTCCCGAAGCCGAAAAGTCAGTCTGCACATGTCGTCATTCCAGCATCATATACAACAACACCATGGAGCCACTGCCGCAGATTTCTAAAGCCCTTCTATATTCACCACTCTACAACCATATGACATACCTAGGTAGCACGGTCAAACCCATACTGACCCGACCCTCCGATCGTCACTTAAATCGTCCATGATAATGGCGACAACAAAACCCAGCATCACAATTGATCCCACCAAAAAGCAAGCTCCAACACGAGACTATCCATCATCCAAAGCCGTAAAGGAGCACCTGCCCGCCGCAAAGTCCACAAAGTCTCATCCGACAAACCAGTCTTCCCAAACCAATGCCAGTCTCTTCTTCGTAGGCACCGCTACTACGATCCTCGAATGGCAAGGCATTCGTCTCATGACAGATCCCAACTTCCTCCACCAAGGCGACCACGTCCATCTGGGCCCCGGTGTCCGCGGCACCCGCAAGACCAATCCAGCCGTCGACCTCCACGACCTCCCGCACATCGACCTCGTCCTCCTCTCACATTACCACGCCGACCACTTCGATCAAGAAGTCGAAGCTTCCCTGCGCCGCGACCTACCCATCATCACCACGCCTCATGCTCATCACCACCTTACCACCAAAAAGGACGGCGAATCCTTCACGTCTGTGCACCCTCTCGACGCTTGGGATGACATGTTCGTCAACTTCTCCGGGTCCAGTGACGCTCTGTCGCGCCCACGCATCCGCATCACCGGCATGCCGGGCAAACACGTTGGCGATGGCCTACTCTCGAAAGCCAACGACATTCTCGGCGCCGTCCCGCCCACGAACGGCTGGATGCTCGAACTCGGCTACTCGCCATCCTGTGAGGCCCAGTCCTTCGAGTGCGGGTACAGGATCTACATTTCCGGTGACACCCTGTACGTTAGTGATCTCGAGAAGATACCGGAAATGTACACGCACGCGGGCAAGCCGATCGACCTCATGTTGATCCACCTCGGTGGCACGACGATCCCAGGTCCGCATATGCCGCTGATGATGGTCACCATGGACGCGAAGCAAGGGGTCCAACTTGTCAAGTTGGTGCAGCCGGATCTGACGGTGCCCATTCACTATGAGTAAGTCTCCACCCTCCCTGCGCCTGCCATTGCCCTACCAGCTTTGAAAGTAGCCGCATTCCACGTGCCATGTTGGGTGCAGAGTAATTCAGGCACTATGGCAGTACCCTTATTTTCTCTCCTGGGTCATTGGCTCCGTTTCTAGGCGATATCCTACTGATTCTCACCAAAGTGACTACGACGTCTTTCTCTCTCCACTTGAGGACTTCAAAACGGAAATGACGAAAGCCGGTTTCGATGACAAGGTGGTGTATCTCGATCGCGGTGATCGATTTGACTTTGAGGTCCGGGAATCGAACAAGACCGCGTGAGCGCAGCTTCTCCGCGAGAGATGCATCTGAAGGATTTTCTGCCGAAGAAACGCTGGTGATACTCCAACTCGTATTCTGCAGAGACCGAAACACCACAGCCCTGAGGTTGCTAGATGGGATGGACGGCCGCTGTCACGTCAAGCGGCTAAAGGCCGTATGCTATGTTGTGACAACATCAACTCAAGCACTGGGAAGCCTTTGATATCTAAAATGTGCGCCGCATGAATCTAACAAAGATTCCAATGATTCTAAAACCTGAACCGTCTATCCTCACTGGAGCCGGAAAGTTATTTGAGCAATTCCCAGAAAAGGAGAGGCGGAGCTCAAAAGCGCATCAGCTCGAGGACAGTCGAGACCGGGTGTGTACAAAAGCCTATATGGCGTGCCGCTCGAGGCAAACGACGTATTACTGACTGAACCTGGCGTCCCACTCGGATTAAAAAGGTGGGAAAGTATATGACCATGTCTTTACCGATTCTGTTCCCATCATCTCTTGCCCCTTTTCTGACCCTCAGCGTACCATAGCACAGTGCAGGCATCCTCAATACCCGAATCACCACGACTATCTCATTGATTAGTTGTTCATGCTCTCACAGAACCAAGCAAGAAGGATTGACCGTAAACAATAGGTCCTTGACGTCCATCTGCCGGTCTCCAAAGATGAGTTTTCTCTTGGATGCTGGCAGTCTTGTAGAACAATCAATGCTTCAGTGGAGACTTCAAACGTTGATCGTAAAAAACTTGGGCAAAAGCTAGAACCACACCGTATGAACGATGATTATATCCTTGATATTCCGTCCTGTAACGATACTTATGCCACGCTAAATCTATTCAGATGCCTATGCTTTCGTGATAATACCTGCCCAGGCTTTCATGCATAAACCGATTCATTATCGCCATATGGCTGAGACCTTCTCCGATCTGTTGTCTGATTGCCAGATGTGGCACATGCCCCCCCTTGGTGCTTTAGTTTCTTGACTTGCTTCCAAATACTCGCCAGACGACACGCAGAACTCATGTTGTTTTCACGGACGTTCAATAAGCATATTCCCTCTCTCGCGTCCTCACTGGCTGCTGCGTATCATAATCATCATAACTTCCCAATTGTTTCCGGACGTCTCCATAACTATGCCTGGCTTCAATCAAATTGCCATAGCCAGAATTTCGATGGTCTCTAGCCGAGGGAAACTGGTGAGGATGTTGAGGTGGATATTCCATGCTAGGTGACTCGTAAACACTGTCTCGACCAGCGCCATAAACGCTTGTTCGGAACTCTTCGCTCGCGCTGGGCTCAAGAAGGGCCTCTTTGACATCCCAATGGCCTTGCTTCGTACCGACACTGAATTCGAGGTCTTCTTTGGTAATGCTGTCCCAATACTATCAAGATGTTAGCGGCCCGACGCAATGACCCGAACTTGAGAACTTGTACCTTATACACCATCATGACGCCCAATAAATTGCACACAGTTGCGAAAAACAGTCCGTCGAGATAGTGATTGACTCCCTCGCAGATCTGCTTGGCGAACACATACAGAATGACTTGCCCGATGACAAAGAAAAATGCTCCGAAGGCGAGATCTCCCAATGGCCACCGATCTTGCAGGGTGTTGACGACTAGGATGACTTGCATGACGAAGTAGACCGCCAGGCAAATGGCATTGATCATGAACAGCACGATGAATAGGCCAGTGGTGTTGGTTGGTGACAGGCCTGCCCAGCCCTTGAACGTAAGCAAACTGACGGCAAAGCTGATGATGAACATGACCAGACTGCTGAGGCGTAGCAGCCAAACGGAAAGGGTTGTTCCATCTTCGTACAGCTGGAAGCCTACGAACCCATTGATCAACAGACTCGTGCAGAGGGCGCTTGAAAGCCCATTTTGTACCGCCACGAACCAGGGGTAAGCAGTTTCAGGTGTGGCTTGTATCACGCCGGCGTCCAGCACCAGGCTTGTCATGGTCAACAAGCTGTATATGTAGAAGAATGTCAAGATCTCTTTCCGTCCCACAGCCGTGAACTTGGAGCGAACGTGGAAGATCATGATGGCGGTCATGCCCAGGGCGGCTATGTGCGCGAAATCGGTTGCGGCTTGGAAAATAATGGTATTTGCCAGTTCAATCGATCGAGCACTGCATGCTGGTAGTAGAGCCGGGTTATGTACAGCGGTAAAGTCGGTGGGCGTGCCGAGCAAATAGCACAGAGGGAGGGCTGACTGCTCGCATACTGTCTCAAAAGACCCGAAGCCCATTGTGGGCGGATGCCCTCAAGCGACTTAGACGAAGGATGTACACGGCCGACGAGGATATGGAGGTAGACAGGACGCCCGAAGATGAAGTATTCCGAGAGGCTAGGTGACCGAAGGAAGGTTGTTGAGGGAGGTGAAAAGGTTTGTCGAGGGGTGTCGATGAAGGTTGAAGGGCGCGGTAGAGATGAGTTGACAGAACGATCGGCGTCGTTGACTATGCTAAATCGGAGGGCGATAGTCAGTCGAAAATAGGCAATAAGTAACGAGTGTCGCAGAGGTGGAGGAAATGAATGGATGGATGGATGATGTTGGTGAGGGAACGAGGCTCTACCAGGAAACGGGATCTTTTCGAGTCTCACCATCCGCGATTCCAGGAAGGCGCAGTCAATAACATACACTATGCCTCTTTGAGTTAGTTGATTTTTTCGTTGCCATAGCCCCTTAAACGAGTCACTACTACGTAGGTGTACGGAGTACAAGTATATACGATGGACGACTGTGGTATATCAACCTCTGATCCCCGTTCACAACGAGAGATCTCATTTTCAGCTTCAACCAATGACCGATTATCTCATGTTTCTGCCGAAAGCTATCTCATGCGGGTATAATGTAATCTCAACATCAACAACCTTGACACCCCACGAGAGCCTGGCGCCTCTTACCCAATGCATGATGCGCGTGCTTTGCCTGCCGAGTCCATGCACTCAAACACCTCAAACACCATTATTCCTAGTCCGAATCCCCTCGTGCAGTCATGTCCTGGTAGACGTTCAACTCCGCTGTCCATTTTTCGATCTCAACTGTCCTTTAGCATTGGAGACGATCTGTCGTGCTCGTTCTTGCGCAGTCGATAACTTCTCGATAACCACAGTCTTATGCAACTGTGGCTTTAGTGCAGTTGTGTCCAGAGCTGCGAACAGTTCAGACACCGCCAACTGTACGCCTGATACCCTATTTGAGAATTGTATCAAGGCCTCCTTGCTCCGAAGAGTTCCTGTCTCTGCAAGTTCATGGATTTCGGCCTGGAGAGCACGTGCTCTTCTCATGACGTGCACCTTCAGAGGTGATATACTCGCATCCACAATCTCCTTGATCTCTCCCTCAATGCTGCGCATGTTTTGAGCAAGGCCTTGGAGGAGAGTCTCGGGCTGTTTGGACAGCGCCGCCATAGCGTCATGGAACTGCTTCTCAACCATGTCAAAAGTACCCTTCAGTTGCAGATGGCCCATCCATGAACGATCTCCAAATGAGACGGTCAGAGACTCACTCAGATCAGGATCAGTCATGGATAGATGGACCTGGACATCTCCCCAAGCGTCTCGAGGTTGGAGCTGAATGCTGTACACGCCAGCGAAAAGTTCGTGTATCCCAACCGAAATTGGACGATTGTTTCTCTTCAGCCCAACTGTCAGCGGCGACCGCTTCTTTCGATTGGTAGCAACTTTTGGCAGTCTGACCACCAGTTGATGGTCACCGGCAACGCCGACCTGGAAATGTATGGCGTCTTCTGCTATAGAAGGCACCACACTGACGGAAACAATTGCAAGGTTTTGCTGGCCAACTTGAAGCGCGCTAACAGTAGACTCGGGCGAGACTGAGGAAGGCGTGGATTGTATCTCAGATGTCCAGGTCTGAGGTTGGCTTGCAGGATCCGCTGCAGCCTCCTTCGCCGTATGACCGGGGGTATTGGAAAGGGTGTCATAGACCACAGGCCACATATGAGCGCCGAGGAATATGTAGACGCCGATAACCCAGAGAACAAGGAGCATGTTCTTGATGAAAGCAATATTGGGTGACAGGACCAACCTCGGACCATATGAGTGCTTTTCGGGGACCTTATCCAAGATACTGACCTCAGTAGCTGGCTCTTTGGTAAGGTTTTCTGCGTTGTTGGAAGTAATGAGAGCGATATGCTTGTTAAGTGCAGCAGCGTCAAGGTTCAGGAAGGCAGCCATGTCCACAGGCAACTTCGTGAAGACTTCGTTGGCATAAGACATAGGCATGCTCACTGCCTCGATAGCCTCGTGGAGCGAGTCTGCTTTCCAAATACTGTCGCAATACTCGCCAAACCAATGCCGGTCCATTCGAACCACAATACTTGCAATGCCGTGGCGAGTGACGAACTTCAGCAACGCGTGACTCTCCTCATCCATTCGTTGCTTCTTATCAAGGTGCACACAGACGACTGCAAGGTCAGGAGGTGCCCAGCGCGGGTTGGCAACCAAGTGTGTGTGACCGTTCCATTCGGAAACGACCTCTGAACCTGTCTGACTGTTCTTCAAAATCAAGGTTGAGTCAGGACCTAGCGTACCATGCTCCTCAACCGTATCATAACAATCAAAATCGATCTGCTTGTCAATGGCCACTAGGTCGGCGAAGTCTGGTTCCGCACCAGGACCAAAGGAATTTGGCACAAGATGAAACCTCGAGGTCGACGTTCGTCTGGTATCACTGGTGACTCTCCGTGACACCAATGCATCTCCGAGCTTTCTCTGGATTTCAGGCCGAAATTGGTCGACGTGTCTGCCGAGGAGGACAACCTTGAAGTAGTCAAGAGTATTCACGTCCAGTCCGTCTTCCAGGAGAGTCATTCTCATGACGCTAATGTAACCTGTGGATCGATGCTCTGGATCAAGATGCTGGCTGACTTTGCGGGCCTCATCCTTCATGAGTGGTCTGGTAGTGGTGTGAACATGTACAGGAGGATAGCCAGTGGGTTCGTTGTTTTTCTCATCTTGGCTTGTCTGCGTGGCGTGGACGTGTTGCAAATCGACAATAGCATCTCGCTGTGCCGATGATCTGAGAACACCCGGGCAGCTTAGGTCTACTGTAGATGTGTCTCCAACATCCTCCTCATCAGTGGCTTCTCCTTCACTTGGGTCGAGGCCTTCCGTGACACTCTGGACATCATCTGAGCTGTGAACGTCCAGCAGAGACCCCACGTCGGTATGTTCAGATCTGAGATCATCCTCGTTCGAGGATTCAATGTCGGTGAGGGATGCCCAGCTATCACTGAGAGAGGACGAATTCGCTTCGGAGGCCGGCATGATTTGGGACGATGGGAGGCTGGGTTGAGAGTGAGCAAGTAGGGACTCAAGGGAGAGATCTAGAGGAATTTGAGGATAGTCGAGGTCAAAATGATTGTCTTCTGCAAGTGCGTTGGTAATAGTGCCTCCTCCGTCGAGGCTGCTGCTTTGATCTTGTGTGTCAGTCATTTTCCGGTCAAGTTCACGCCATGCAGAGCGATAAATGATATCAGATGGTTGTGTGATGGTTGCTCAACGGAAGTGGAAATGGGACCTACTAGGTCAAATAACTGAGAGCTGCTTTCTTGGTTAGGCCGCGTCGACTAGATTAAGACAGTGTTGCGACTGCCCAAATGAACGGTGCGCAGTAGATTGGTTCAGTCCATTCTCAACGCTCCGAAGGAGTGGTCAGTGAAGACACTACCGGCATGCCACATGGGTGAGCAAAGCTAGTGAATCGTTGAGTCTTCTTTCAAGAGTATCATTTCTGGAAAAGCATTCAGATTACCATCTACGGTAGAAAGGGAGGGAATGATATAGCCCAAGACATGTAGGCAACCAAGGAGGTTCACTTGCAGGACACAAGGCAGACAATCAGACATCGGACCCCGCACAACCCCACTGACTGTGTCACACGGCCTGATGGCTTATCGACAAGCCGGATATCATAGCACAAGGCTGAGATCCATCTTGATGACAGATTAGACAGTCTGGTCACGATAAAAGTATATCATATTCACACACTTCGAATGTACAGTTCATAGTGCGGTCTGTATAGATGGCGCCGTTCACCATCGAGACCTATTATAAGAGGTCCCCGACTCGACTTTTGTCGTCCAGCATCGAGAGGTAGACCCACAGCTCGTAGACGTCAAGTGCTCTCATCCCCCCATTCCTCCTCCAGTTCAAGCAGCTGCGTGTATTCCCACAGTAGCTGACTTGCTCCATGTAGCCCGGGACTGTCTGCAGTGGTGGCCTTACGCCGCTGAGATCTTTTGAACCCATCAAATAGTTCATACATGAATCCAAAGGTTGAATCCAACATCGTCACACAGTTATCCGACGCTGGTCATGCCTCCTGTACGCCAAACTGTTGTCTGTAGCCTGGAACAAGGACGCCAAACGCCGAGATGCGATGCTCTGTCAGGTCAAAGATCCCGCTCTGCCATTGAAAAACTCTTTTAGCACTTGCAATGTCCTTTAGGGCGACGCCCAACCACCAGCAACTTCGACCCACTCCGCAAGACAGCTGCCTTCCTTGCCTTCAACATCCCGGATATCTGTATCACATCGACATCGGCAACCCACTCCGTTCTCTTTGGGTGTATCTGGTGTCGCCCAATAGTCGTCTTCTTCCTTTCGCTCCTTGTCGTCTTCGGTGGTTTTTTCGTACCACGGAATATGCGGAAGCTGTCTTGCTGGTGCATTTGCAGGACAGTGTTGGATAGTGGTGTGTCTGTAGCCAAAATCACGGAAGTAGTGGATGTCGCGAGGTGCTAACAGTGCGCCTGCTGCAAGGGAGTGAATGGGAGCATCTCCCCACTATGTATTGTTAGCTTGTCAATATAGGTGTAGTTGTTGAAATGGCTTACTCTCTCCATCCAGAACCCTCCACTCCTATCCATCATGTCGAAGAAGTCGTTGTATTCCTTGCTCCGGAACCAGTCTAGCTTGGCTATCTCGAAGTTACTCCAGAAATGGCACATGTTGTACTTCTCACCCTCCATGTTTTCTGGATCGATGTCTTCAATGTTTTGATGTCCAGGTTCGGTTTGGAGAATCTCGTTGGGCAATGTCTTTGCTCTTTTGTCGTCCACCGTATCCTTGGTTTCAGGTTGAGGTTCAATGAACATCTCCCAAAGGCCCTTTGACTTCATGTTGTGCTTCCGCTTGTAAGCGGAGGCATATCGGAAAATGTTGGGTACGGTCTCCTTCAATTCTTTGACGGCAATCGTGAAGCCGTAGGTTTTGTTGGCTCTGGCCATCTCGATGAATGGGTCATATGTTATGTCGCAGAAATACTTGATCTCCGGTTCCAGACGCCAATACCACTCATACTTCTGCAGCAGCTCGTGCTTGTAGAAGAAACCGGAGTAGAAGCGGCACATGTGGTGATAACTCTCCATCCCACCGTACATGATCGCTGCGTCTCCTTGTTTGCGAATTCCTTCTCTTGCAACCTCATGATCGACCCAGTCTGGATATCCCCACATGGTGTTATCAATCTTTCCAAACTCGACGGGAGAGCTGGTGTAGTTCGTGATGGTATCCTTGAAATCCTGTTCGAATTCCCCATCATTCAGGAAAACATAGGGGTAATGGAACCATCGGTTGAAATGTCGCTCAATGCTTTTTATCGACTGTATCACTCCCTCCAGCTCTTTATTTCGGGCCAAAACAACAAAAGCTGCGTTCGCTCGGGGCTGTTTCGCAGCGTCTTCCGGATTCAAGCATCCAGTAGCGAAGACTTTATCATGTCTCTCGCTGATTTTTCTGCCACAGCATTAGCATGGAGATTCAGATCTCAAACCAGCTCGCGTACCTTATGGATGGAGGAGTCCCCGCTGGGACCAATATGCGACCAGGTGAGTTTGGATGTTTTATCACCAGGATGAGAATTAATATGACCACCAGACTGGGGAACAGTAATAGAAAGCCCAGGGGTATTGATATGGAGGAGTTCCCTTTTAGCTTGATTCGCCTGCGAAAAAAGGATAATCGTGACACGGATTTTGGTTTTTCATTCTTCCAGTCTTCTACCGCTGGGGTCGAAGGCAAGCTCTTGTATAGTCGCTGCAAGAACCCCATGATCATGGACGATTTTCCGGAGTCCGTCCAACAAGCAGGATGTTTGCACTTCCCCTGAGATCTTATCTGGTAACCATGCAACCTATGTCGCGCATCGAATGGAGTGACTCGTAGTCGCGGTTCCGAGATGAGTTGTCTATCGGTAGAGGGTGCTCTGTTTGAAGCGCGGTTTCGATCAGGACAAAGACACCTCCCAGCAAACGCGGCGGACGGAGGAGATTAGGGATCAGGCGGACAGGACAGGGATGGGAGATAGCTCCGAGATGGTTCGGTGGGCGCAAAAGTATTATCTCGACGAATATTCAAGCAGCATAATGAACTTGCGGTCGACAGCGATGAAAGTACAGAGGACAGATATGATTCTTTTTTCTCGTGATGGACTTGAGAACAAGAGGACATTTGGGGAATCTCAAGAAAGACGACGGGACTGAAGCGCAGCCGGTTGGCACTGAGATCCACTCACAAAGTCCCTGAATGCACCTCTGGCTGAATTGCGTTGCGTTTGCTCGCCAAGCATCGGGCTACGAAGCACGCAAAGCACCCAGAGCACCCCTTTATTGCTATATACATTGTAGAAGGCCTGACGAGCTTGAGAGTGTGCAGCTCCCAGCAGATGATACGGCTGGCAATCACGAGCCTGAAGAAGAATTCGATGTCCAATTCGCAAGATCCCAAGTTTTCACCGTAAGGGGCACCTAACATCGAGAGGCACCCCGAGAGGGTGGCCAACACCAAATTTAGTCGCCAATAACTGCCTTTTATACGGAGAAGACGGTGGCCGACTGATGGCTGTGCCTGGCCAAAAGGAAAAAGCCACTTGACCAGTTCCAGGGGTGAGCCTTCAACTGACTCGCGCACATTTTCCCCGCCCCGGAGAGGAGCCCAAGAGAAAGATCGGCTGCGCTGATCACTTGCATGGCAAAGTTGGACTCACTGGCACTTGACTGGTACTCGTACTGGGACCAACCACCGCTTCTTCAACAACGGAATGACACCCACATCGACACAGACCTCGCAACTGCGTCGGCGTCTGCGCAGACCATCAATGTTGACATCCAACCACTCGTTGCTCTTCTCATCCTCTTTCAATACCTATTTCATCTTCTCACATTCCATCACAGCCGCCTCTACATTAGCCGCATGGTAAACCAACCGATGCAAATCTATTCAGGTGCTCCTGAAACACTCGTTTGATCGATTCGTTATACCTTTCCCTCGGTCTCGTGTGCCCGCCGTCTCAGACGTCCCCGCCGCCGCCGCATCCACATTGTCCACCGCTCACAGAATGCTATGGCTGCACCCTCACTCTGAAGACCGCGGCTCTCAAAAGCTTTAAGAAACCCGTTACCTCCTCCTCGCAATGACGGCTACCTCTCCTCTCCGTCCCTCTACCCCCTCAAAACCGTTCTTCAATGCGCCTCAACTCTCGCCAAACAGAATGCCGCCAGCCTTCGTCCCGCCAGCCTCCTTCAAACCGGGACATCGAAACTTTGACGTCTTTTCCCCTGTTGATCAGAACGGCAGTTTCTGTTTCGACCGTGTTATCAAGAGCGGGAAAGTTCTTCGCCGAGTAAAGAACAAAGGAGCCTGGAAACCCTCTTGGAAACCTGCGTACCTCGTCTTGAGACCGAACCTACTATCTGTCTACCAAAATCCAGACGAGACCGACTTGAAAGCTTCCATAACTCTCTCCGAAGTCAACGCAGTTGCACCAGTCCGCAAGGCTCGTACCGAGAATGTGTTTGGAGTCTTCTCCCCGTCCAAGAACTACCATTTCCAAGGCCTCTCGGCAAAGGATTCCACAGACTGGATTGCACATATACGCATGGAAGCGAGAACAGACGAGGAGGATGATATTGACCTTTTTGCGCCGCAATTTCCAAATCGCGAAGGAGAACCATCCAACACGTATGAATCCACCGATATGTCTGCAGATGAAGTACCTAAAGCTCGCGTCTCCTCTGAGGGCCACCGGACGGGCGTGCAGATTAGGTCGAGGAAAGGATCACAACTGGCGCATCAGCCGAAGCCCGCTTCTACTCTCAATGAGTACTCTGGAAACGAACAGTTCACGACGTCAATTTCTGATTTCTCGGATGCCCTAGGCAGCTCTCTCCCGAAGAATTCGACCTCATCACTTCCTAAACACCCAGCACTGACACCAATTGCCTCGTCTCAGCAGCTTGCCTCATCTTCTAAGCCTAAACTGCCCGCTCCGACAGCTCCCTCATCGTCTCACGCCGACCCAACGACCGACCCTGAGCGTGTGATCCGTCATGGATACTTACAAATCCTCAAATCCCACAAGACAGGTGTCAAGGGATGGAAATGGCTGTGGGTCGTCCTCCGAGCCCGAAGTTTGGCATTCTACAAGGACGACCAGGAATACACCGCCGTCAAGATCTTCTCCATGAACTCGATCATCAATGCAGCAGAGATTGACCCTATCAGCAAGTCCAAAACATTCTGCTTCCAAGTAATCACAGACGATAAGACATACCGATTCTGTGCCAATGACGAGGGCGACCTGGAACGGTGGCTTGGTGCATTGAAAAGTGTGCTCAGTAAACTACATGAAGCCGAGAAAGCCTTAGCCAAAGGGAAGGGAAATGCCATCACAGAAGGGACTGCTGCGCTGTCTTTACGTTAGGCATGGTGATTTCCATTGACGGCAAGTAGCCATAACAAGTTTTGGAGGCGAGCCTTGGGTGACGCGCGGTGTCGAACTGACGATTTGATGTACAATTTATGAATGCCTACGAGCTTACGAACAGGACTTTTGGAGCGCCTCGGGCTGTCGATCAGCAAATGCTGCGCTGTGGTGTCGAAATGTTGGTATAAAATTTGGTTTTGCTCTGCATTGTATACCCCGGGGTGTTAGGATGCTGGATACCCTTGCGAGGACGACTATTGAGGAAGGGTTTTTGGAAGGATGAGAATATCATTGGTATGAACAAAACGAGTACCTGAGCACGACCGTTTTTAAAAAAAAATTGCCGGTGGCATGCGAAGAGCAGTGTGCAGATGATGAGAGGCGAAATAGAGCGTTTCGCTTGTTCTATATTGGCATGAATATACAATAGTACAGTAGTGTGGTACAGAGTCACCACCCATCCCTTTTTGACGAGACAATAAGAGTCCCCTTCTCTAACTTTACTTCCATTCCTGATAGAAGACACCATATAGTGAGGGCAGACCAGGTCCAGAATCACGCAATTCTTGGAGGGATGTGTGCAATTGCCCGGGCTCTTGAGAGAAAACAGCCGGGTCCCTGATGAGCATGCGCCGCCAATGACCGTAGAATGGACTCACCTGCCCAGAGGCATATGCATAGGAAGCAGTCCATGGATGTCACTTCTCGGGCTGGGAAAGGGAAGATCCGAGCAAACAATCCACACTGACCAGACCAAGACGGCACCCCAGGTCATTCGATGAGGCCTTTCTTCCTGTCCAGCTTCACCCCCTCTTGCCGTTGGCATCACGCTGTTAAGGCCGACGTTGGTCCTCAACTACCAGTTGCTTCCTCCCACCGAACAACCCACGCACCCGTCCCCAGAGACCCGGCGAATGCAGCTCAGCGTCCCTCCTCGCCGCCTCGATCGCTGCCGCATCAGACGTCGTAACATGAGCTTCCTGCCCATCCTGGCCTTGTCCTTGCTCAGTTTCACCCTCCTCAGCTTCCTCTGGCGGCTTCGTCCACGGTTCTGGCTCCTGGGTACTGGCTATGGCCATCTTCTCCGGCATCCACCCGTCATCCGCTCCACTGCCAATGACATGCACACTCTTCGACAACAGAACTGGAAGCACAGTCTCTTGGGTTTCTTCTTCACTCAGCTCCCCAACAACACGGCCGTGCGGTGTTCGCGCCTCCCTCGGCGGCAACGTCTTTGCCACACCAAACGGCGCCAGTCTGCCGTGAACCACGTTCTTCGGCCACGCGCTTGCGAACAAACCATCATTTAAATCAGACCAGAACATCTTAACCTCCGTATTCTCTGCCCAGTCTGGCTTCTCTTTATCCGAGACATCGACCTTCAGAGTCTTTCCCCCCTTTTCATCGAACTCGCTAAACGCTGCTGCCCTCGCCTCCGCAACGTCGTTCCATACCGATCCCTGCTCCGTCATTGGTGCATCATTCACCTCGAACCACTCTTGTATCGCCTTGCGCTCGGCCTCCCGTCCAACGTACTGCCTCTTAGCCCAGAGATCCATGTCGAGATTCTTACTGTTGACCTCATTGAACGACTTCCATTCCTGAATCGCCTTTCTCAATTCATTCACATTCTCAAACTCAATCAACCTATCCCCATCGATCACCCCGTGAAGGTCCATACTCATTTGCGCCAACACCTTGCGAGAAAGCGGCAAATGACTCTTATCTTCGAGATCTCTCTTGTCCAACGCCAGCGTGATCCGGTCTTGAACCTTCTTCTGTTCCGCATCCTCGTATTCTCGGATCTGATTGATCCTCCGCCTCGCTCGTCTCGTTCTTCGATTGTGCTTGACCACCCTGTTCGCGGCTAGTTCCGTTAATCTTTCTAGTGGACCGGGGCCGGAGCTGATCCAGTCCAACACGAACGCGGCGTCCGCGACACTTGTGGCTTTCTGGTCCATCAACCGCCGCGCGTGGAGTTTCTTAGGAAGTATCTCCCCGAGCTTAGGGATTCTGCCTTCTAATCTGTCCCTTGCCGCCAACTCTTGTAGCTCGACAGGCGACCCGAGCTTGGATTTGATCACGTCAATGTCCTCTTGTGTCACACGTATTAGGTCGTCGGGCGGTGAGAGTTGTCGTTGTAGCGAGAGCTCGCGGAGTTTTGCAAATGCGAAGAGCCCGTCGAGTGCACCCGCAGGTGTAGGGGGGAAATGGATGGAAAAGTACGGCGCCCACATGTCCGGCCGGATTGAGGCTGGGACGGTCTTTTTGCCGTGGAAGACAAGTTGTTTCAGGATTTTGGTCTCCTAATGTCCCGTATTAGTATGGTCTGTTATTCAGATAGGCTTGGGTGACCAGGGAAGAATAAATACCTGCAATGTCCTGGTAAGACTATACACGACCTGATTCGTCCTGACATGCCGGTATGCATAGATATCCAGGCCGTGCGTCTCATGGCGGAGTGCTTTCGCAGCTTGTCGAGCCTGTGTCTGCGCCTGCTGCTTGCTTGCGTTGGACGCCGGGTTTCGCCATTTGCCTTGCACCCACCACTTGTTGGGGGGAGCTTTTCCCGGAGGCTGTGGATTTGTATTGGGACTTGGTGTGCCCTTGAGCATGCGCGGGGGTCGTATTCGCGGCATAGGAGGAATAGGGAACGGTGGCATCTGGTGTGCCATCGTGGCAGCTGCGGTGCTCGCCATTGCGGGCAGAGAGAAGTACCCAGAGGCACTTCTAGACGTGAAATTGAGAAGACAAGGCTACCTAGACATCCTGGAACAATCCAAAGTTGGCACGACTTCTCTGTTCAGAGCCTGCAGCGATGGTGGCTTACTGGTAAGAATCAATGGATTATTTCGAATGAAGACGCACCTCGACTCCTACTCGGATAAATTGGAGCTCGCGCGGAATCTGCAGCAAACTTGTAGAACTCACGAGTTAGCCTTGGCATGTTTGCAACGTTCAGCCTCGTCGACTGTCAAAGCCGGACTGGGTTCTTCGACCGTTTCATACCACATGCCCGGTAAGCCGCTACATACTAGGTACGTATTGAGTCAAATCCGTGGTAGAGAGGGAGTATTATATTCTGCTGCTTTGCTCTCTTTCGAACCTTAGTTTCTGTATTCTTTGCCCTAGCCAGCAGGTGAAGCTACCTAGGTAGCTTCACGAAAAAATCGCACCGGGAGCATCCCATCAGACTAGTGGATCATCTAGGCGCCTTAAAACAAACCGACCACAGTGTTATTGCTCGTCATACAGAACAAAAGGAGACTGCAAGAAATTTGAAGATACCAATCACAAGTCAACATTTCGCATGCTATAGCTCGATGTCAATCATAACTTTGCAGTTGCCTTAGCCAACCTGAACACCTATTCTCTGGGGTGTTCTCAGCTCAAACGCCCCAAATCTTGCAATGTGCATAATCCCCCGTATCCCTTTTCATATGGCCTTAGCCCTCATTGAGCATATGCATCGCCTTCGCTTTGTCACAAAGTCCCATTAGTGTCATCAGTCGTACCTATATCATGTGCTGGTGAAGCTGAGAATTATAAAATGCCAATCACCCGTTAATGTGCAAGCGAGGTCGAGGAAGCCAGTCCCGACGGCGCATTGTTCGAGCCTGCACCAAGTGGGGGCCAGGTCCGGGGAATATCCATACTCCTGTTGAGGCGCCCGCCTGGTGTCAGTGGATAGTCTACTCGCGATCGATCTAACCGGTCGTCCTCATCAGACGTTTCGTCGGCGAGACGGGCGAAGTAGTCAGCCAGCGCAGTGTTGCTATCCCCAGACACGATATTATCGTACTGGGGAGGTGGCGTGACTAACGGTGGCGGTGGGTCGTCTTCGTCAAAAGCAGGTGGATTGAAAGATGGTGCTCGAAGTAAATGCATCGGCCTCGGCTGTCCAGAGTTCGGGTCGTTGGCCACATGTGCTTGGGAGGGCATGGCAAGACCACCAGAATCGTTGGTCCAACTTCGTTGCACACCAGGGGCGGGATCGCCACCTCCTTGAGTGTTCAGCGTCGGTACCCGCGTTTGAGACACAGGAGGTGTATTTCGCCGCCGCAGTGCAGCCCCTGGACATCCACAGTCGTACTCGTCGGCTGGAATAGGTGCAGATCCACCCGCCTCATAAGCCGGAAGCGAAATGTTTGCCTGCGTGGCACGACATGAGAGAATGTTGAAAGGCGAATCAATGGAGATTTCGAAATGGCGTCGCTTAGCAGAGTCATTTTCGTCTGGTCTAGACAGACGCATCACAATCTGCGGATTTTGTTAATGACTAGCATACGAGGAAGACAGGGAGGGCATACCTTGATCCAATGATTGACCTGAATGTTGGAGTAGGTGGTGTCGAAATGCAACCGCTCGCTCCTAAGCTTGTCTTTCATCTGATGACAGCTTGGTAATTGAACGTTGAATTCCATCTCGGTAGGACCTATGCTTCCAGCGTCGTTGTCAAGATTTCCCAGAAGATTCGTCTGATCTCTCGGTATATCTTCTTCACCACGGGCTGCAGCAGCACGGTAGTCGTATGGTACGCCCCCTCCAGCTAGGATGCGCATAGAACTTCCGGGATATGAAGACACGCTGTGGCCGTCGGCGCGCTTCTCGAAGAGCTGTACTTTCCTTGTCGGCTCCAGCCTGTGCACTTTCTTGTTGTTCGTAAAATACTGGATGTTCTCTGTCACAAAGACTTTGATCCGATGGCATTGTACCTTGGCCAACGGTGTCAGCTTGAAAGCAATTGGCACAGTGGAGCCGAGAGGAAACGATTTCCCGGAAATGACAATATCATAGTGCAGCTGGTCTTCCCAGTTTCGGGATATGGCGATGGGCTCCACTTGTTCGAGAGACCCTTCTGCGGGTGCTCTTATTAACGTCAACTCTTTGGTGCCCACCAGGTTCGCGCGGAAGGCCCCAGATCGCTCAACGAGAGCCTCCAATTCGTACTTGACATGGCCCAGGTCGACGTTGATGGACTCGGGTAAGCGCGAGTCTAGAGGCAGTTCGAAGTTGTAGATGTAGTCCCCCGGATGAAACACCTTGAAGCCTTTCTGGGCCACGGTGGGACCACCATTGATGGTGTCACCTTTGCCAAAACTTCGCGAATGATTTGCTTGTAGAGATAGTCTCTTCATCTCACGAGACGAAGGTGGGGCTTTCGCAGGGGATGCGCTGCGCTGGAAGAGGTCGAAAGAAGAAGTGACCCCGAGTTCCTTTGATTCGACCGAGGGACCTTTGTTGATCTGCACAATGTCTGCACCATAGCTGTGTTCAGCCGAGGGAATTTGTGCATTGAAGAATGACCAAGTGTGGTTCATGATCGTGGTCGAGTCTCTGAACTCGACTCGCTTCGGAGGGATACCCTCTGGCCATTCTGTTTCCGATTTGCCACGGAAATTGAGGGATATCGACTTCAGCTTTGCTTGTTTCGTCACTCTCAGCACGAGACTGCCACGCAGCATTGTCGTGCTGTGGGTGGATGGATCATTGGCATCATAGCCCTGCAGGAACAAAACCGGTTCCGCCAGAGCAATTGCAACAGAAACGCCGTTTCCGCTTGCAACTGGCTTCTCGTCGGACAAATTGGTGATACTTATGGCAGCATCGGCTTTCGCTCTTTGTGTGGAAGCATTCCGAAACTCACTCTCTAACCGCGGGCGATGCACCATACCACTGACGGGACCACTTATGATGCTTGAACTTCTTCCCCGGCGTTCCGGGGAACGCCTGCCAGCGTCGGCAAACACCATCTCCCCCGACTGCACCGAGTTTCTTCGTTCGCCTCCTTCAGGTAGAGCCGGCTGTAGGGTGAAAGGGTGAGGGTTTACTGGCGGGAGAGACAATCTGAAGAATCGTTTTGCGTGTTCTCGTGAGATAGCCAGCTTCGCAGGTTGAATGGCTGATGGTGTTGAAGGCGGAGGAGGAGAGCTTAGCAGTGGGATCTGCTACGCGGAGGACTCGGGGGAGACGTTTGTTTGGCTGCAATTGACATCTGTTAAGAATTGACACTTTGCGGTAAAGACGGAGTTGCGAAGGGCACTGATCTGCTCATCACACAGAACAAGCAGGTTGCTGGAATGTAGGGAAAGAGGAATGACCAGGCGTGCCAACTCCGCAGTTGCGGGATGGCTTGGCTGCCACTCACCGAATCAAGCAGTCTTTGATCGCCTAGTGTGAGAGACTGCCGCTGCTAGATCGCCTCTAGAGCCTGCCGGAGACCAGGATGGTTGCACTCATCGCCGGTATTGCTTTTGTTGACGTAAAATTGGGCTCTTGAATGCAATGGAAACAAAGCGAGGATGAAGCAAGTCCTCAACTGATGGCTTCCCCCTTGATTTTGTTCAGTGACCAGACGAGTGAGGAAAATGACTCTGACTTTGAGCAAATGTAATGGTACCCGCAAGAGATTCGATTGGCGAACAGCACAGGCACTTCTCGGCCCGGAGAATGGCGATGACAATGGGCGGTAGTGCCACAATCAGTAGACCAAGTGGGTTGTTAGTGGGCCTCGACACTGTTCTTGTGTTGCCGTCTTCAGGTCTTTTCTGCTTGATGATATAATGTGGTGATGTGCACACGCCAGAAGCCGAGTAGGCTTCGAGGCTTCTTCGGGATTTATGGGGCTCCAAAGGCATCAAAGCGTCAGGAAAAAATCATCAATAAAGCGAGCAGTAGTGGCGGTACTTGTACAAACCACTTGTACAAACCACTACATTCCTCGGCTCTGCGGATGAGCAACAATATGAAATCAGACCCATCAACATGCCGCGATTACGGATCTGGCGCAACATCCTGGACATGTCTTGCGACGATTACCTTACTCAGGTCGTGTGCCTGACCAACTATCCGGATTGGGCCCTTCAAGGGCATGCTCATACGAATGACTCCATCTACTGTCTCTACCAATCCATTGCCATTCAATTATCGATCGAATGTGTACACCGTCCATTTCATCGTTTGCCAGATCCGCCAGCGTCACCATGACATACGCTCATGCTCGTCGTGCTGGTCCTATGACATCTTCCCCAGAAAGCGCTCACACCTTCTTATCTTCTCCGACTCCCACAATCTCACCTGCGTTTAACTGCTCCGCCAGGCCGCGCAGCACAAGGCCTGTGGGGGGTATGCAGCACAGTCATGCCCTCGTCGTGGGGACATTGGACGCAATATGCTGCAGTTTTTTCTGGTTGTTTACGCTACGTGCCTAGCAACAAGATCTAGCCAAAGCTTTTCAGCATATTGGAGTTCAATTGTTCTACTGTGTAACTGTTCTACTGTGTAACTTTGAACGGTTCTGCTCGCAAGCAAAAGGCTGTGTCTCGGTAATTTTACATGCTGGAACTAGCTTCTCTTCAAGGATAACGATGCTCCTTGCCAGAGCTAAAGGCCGTTTCGAAGAATTTGTCTTGCATAGAGAGACCTGGACCATTTCAGGGCTTTGACTCTGCACTCTGTTCCTGTGGAGTGAGAGTCTGCGTACTACCGGGGCTGAGTCCTGTATGTGGTCAGACATCATGTTGTAGGAGAAGAACCTGGAGGGCTGTGGCATTCACCAGCGTTATTCTTTGTTGAAATCATTCTTATATTGTACCTCATACTCTCTGCGCCTCATCTTTTGCCAACACTGGTACCAAAGAGGAAACCCGTCTTACGAAGGCCACGTAACCGTGGACACCAAAGCGGAGGGTTCTAGATCATCATTACACGAGGGTCAGCGGCTTTCTCGGCTCATGGGTTCCCTACTCGGATGCTGGCGGCGAAAAGTCTTGAGTGCTGAGACGAACGTGACCCAACTCTTCTGGCTGCTCGGTGTGCTCGCCGGCAACCATGGACCATGTCTCCTACCGTCTCAAAAAATCTTACCTCTGCTGTGGTGAGTATCCATGAGGGAGTCGTCAATGGACAATCGCGCATAGACTGGCAACTTTAAATTCCGAGTGTTCCGCTAGGGCTGCTTATGTTATAAGGCCCCTGAGATAGTCAGCAGCATAAATGTAGTCCCTGCATCGTAACTGGTCGTCGTATTGGAGCAGGTGTGTTGAATGCTTCCATACAAGTCACACAGCACGTGCTTGAAGCTGTGCAGGAGAATTACAGCCAGCGCTGGCCGGGCAGTGAGGCTTCTTTGAACACATCCATCCAGGTATTCATATCGTGCCCGAGGCACGCCGAGGCTACAAATAGGGACCCGGAGGATTTACCCGGGCCGACGTCATGAGCCTTTAGTCAGGAAGCTCCCCCCTATCAAAGTGCCTCCACATGTTAAGCGATCTACTTGGCTGCTTCTCGAAGAGTCGTTCTCATTGGAGCCCATGCCCCGCGCTCTGTCGCGCGTTCAAGACGCGTCCTTGAACGTCCCTAAAAGTGCCCATTGGTTTGGCTAGTCTTCGCTAATAACCGTACATACATCGAAACAACGTATTCCTACACGGGTATTTGAATACTTACAACATGCGGGATGGCACATACAGATGCTCGAGGTTTGTACCGCACACGTTTCATGGCTCCGTGTTCTAATTCGCAGTCCAGGATCCGCCGAGCGACCTCTTCAAGGTGTCGTACTGTGCTTCACCTCGATTGGGCCAGATGAACGGGTGCGCAGAATCAGATGCAGCCATCAACACCATGTAACTGACCTTGCTCATAGACCCGATATGCGGACCTGGCCATCCAGATGGGAGCAGAACATAAGCTGGACCTCACCTCAGATACAACCCACCTGATTGTCGGCAGCACGGATACGGCGAAGTACCAGTACGTTGCGAGAGAACGAGAAGATATAAAGGTCTTAAGGCCGGAATGGGTCGAAGCGGTTCGAGAACTATGGATCACCGACTCACCCCTAAACCTCGATGCACTCGCCCGGGACTATCGTATGCCAACCATGGCCGGCTTGAAAATATGCATTACAGGTTTCGACGACCTCTCCTTTCGCGCCCAGCTACAACGAAATGTCGTCGAAAACGGCGGGGAATACACCGGTGACTTGACGAAGGATGTGACGCATTTGATTGCAGCTAAGCCTGAAGGCAAGAAATACGAATATGGCATGTCATGGCAGAAGAAGGTGGTCAGCCTGAAATGGTACAAGGACACTCTCGAGCGAGGCATGCAGTTGGACGAAAAATTATACCATCCGACCCTCCAAGTTGCAGAGCAAGGGGTCGGTGCTTGGAATCGACGACCTCAGCGCTCCCCTCGACCAGTTAAGCGTGCTCGAGGGGAAGATGCCGCTCCTGAACCGTCCAGGAAACTTCGACGGATTGCGAGTGCCAGACTTGGGAGCCAGACTCAGAATATGTGGACCGACATTGTGGGTGGTGCAGGGTTCGAAGCTGATCCAGTGGACCGTCCACAGCTGAAGCTTTCCACATCTATGCCCTCTTTGAGGCAAGACGATGCCTCAATGCAGCAAGCTGGATCTGGTGTGAGCACCCTCACCACTGGCGAAGGTCAAAAGGACGCAGACTTTCTTGCTGGCCAACATTTCATACTCAGAGGCTTTGATGAGCGGAAGGTATGTCTGCCCAATGTTATCCGTTGGGCCCTGCTCACTTTTCTTCAGGATGGTATCGTACGCCATATCATACAAGGCAAACAAGGGACAATCATCGGCGCTGAAGAATGGGGTACACCCCCCCCGAGCAACACGTTATTAATGCTGCCTCATGATTTGAGGAAGAAAGCCCGAGATGCAGATCCGGCTGTTATTATTCTAGGTTTGCGGACTGTATCTGAGCTATGGCTGGAACGATGCATGTTGGAGAACAGGTTCATTGACCCTGACAACTACCCTCTGGGACTCTTTCCTGGGCCCTGTTCGACTGTCCTTTCATCCATCCTCGTCAACGTAAGTGGCTTTCTGGGACTGGAGACTTTGCATATCTCGAAAATGGTCAGCGCACTCGGAGGTAAATACACCGAGCACTTTGCAGCTGGAGTGTCCGTACTTGTGGTCAGACAGGGCAGTCATAACGCGCAAAAGCTTGCCGGGGCAAAGGAATGGGGCATTCCTGTCGTATCTGAAGAATGGCTGTGGTCGACCATCAGGAGTGGGAAAAGGGCGCCTTTCGCAACCTATCTTCTCCAGCCAATTCGCGCGCAAAGAGCGCAGGCCAAACAACAGACTAGGCAGAAACCTAGGGCTCCTGATGACTACGTGGAAGTGGGCACGGTTCCGCTACGACCAGAGGAAAGGGAGCGTCAAGCCCGCTCAAGAAGCAAGTCTTATCAAGGCGAAAAGGATCTACAGAGCAAGCTCCGAAGTGCAGTGAGAAGCAAGGATGCCCCTGTTCGGATACATCGAGATGCAACCGACAACGCTATCCGAGAAGCCGAGGAGACCATGCTTGCCTTAGATGATGAGGATTCGTTCGGATGCAACGAGACAGTGGGAACTTCATTTGTGCAGGAGGATCTTCGGCTCCAGGCGGTATCGTCAAACTCTTCAGGCAAGAATCACAACAACGTGGAAATGAAAAGAACCGTAATGCCACCGTTAGACGGCAATGTGAGCGTGCAGGAAACAAAAGGCGACGAAAATGTACAAACAAGTGGGCACGACGACAAGTCCAGCAGTATCCAAGCACTTAACGGAGCGATTCGCGACTTTCTCGATTCGGGTATTCGGAAGAAGCCCGCTGGCGACAGTGAAAAGCCTGCGAAGAAAGGCAGGCTTTTTGGACGAGCACTCAGCAATTTGTCTAATGGTTCGGCATCATCCCATCCGAGACAATCAAGGGCGAGCTCCATCGACAGTATGAACACAGACGGAGTGGGAAGTGAAATTGCATCTGTGCCGTCTGAGCGTCCGGCGGGCGGAGCTGGCTCGACCGGGGAAAAAGGTACGTTCAGCTTTACTGGGAAAGCGAAAACGACGATGACCGGCGGCATCACGCCTCTTTTGCTGGGCATGCATGACCTCGACATGCCCCACAACAGTAACCAGCGAGAGGAAGAAACACCGCGGTTGACGCAGCTGGGGTATGAGGACCCGGAAGAAGCAGTTCTGCTGAGGGAGAAATTGGCCGCCTCCAGAAGGAGAAAGTCGAAGTTGGGACAAAATGAGGACGACCCGAAGCCTGCTGCGGTGAGAGCCAAGCCTGAGAGGAAGTTACGCGATGATGATATACTGAGCAGCGCCGGCTGGGGTGCTGGTAGGAGGACAAGGCAAAAGCAGAAGAGCCCGCCTGATCAGGGGATCAAAGATTTTTGAATACTACCTTTGATCACAATTGGATTGACAGCCTTTTTGATCTGAGTTTTGCTTCATTCCATATAAGACTGGTCGCTCATCGATTGCAATCCTTCGCGTGCTTCTGAGAAAGATTTGCTTCTTTCTTCACGCCCAGTTCCCCGCGACGACCATGTACGCCCGCGGAGTCTGCATCCTCTATCAGCCAAACCAACAACACCATCAACGGTACCGGGTTTTTTCCTCTCACCAGCAGAGCCTTGATTTACCCTATATAACGAAAGAGGCCATGACTCATGATCTCTTCCGCTACCAGCGGTCTTGCCTGCGACGACGTCTCTCGCGCCGGTTCGACGTGTAGCAGTATATAGATAATGGTTGTCTTTTCAGCAATTTGCTCTATCCAATTTGTCATCTGACCCTTGAGCCGTAGATATGAGTTTGACTTCCAGGTCTTCCAGTGGAGGCTTTGCAGTGCAATCGAGAGCGATAGTGAGTCGTGGCTATGGCCACCTAAGGTGGGTAGAGCAGTGTAGATACCTCGTAAGTCCTTCAAGCACATGTCTGGAACAGGTTGGGGTCTCCCAGTTCCGGTGCCATTGATACGTGCACGCTCCAGCTCGAGTAACGTCTAAACCAGCTCCTACCAGAGCTGTAGGAGCCTAAGTGAAAGGCACAATCTGCGCCAAGATAGCAGCCATATGCGCCATCTGCCAGCCAACGCGGTCGGGTCAAGGTACGTACAATCGCCCTGGCCAGGTGGAAACTATGTAAAGTTTTCTATACGTTCTGCTCCTCACTGCTATCCAAGCACAATCCTAGTCGAGCTGAATCGGCACAGCATGCGAGTGGCACGGAGCGATCAATGAGTGGCAACATGCTCTGAATGGTAAAGTGGCGATAGGAAGGCCAGGCAGCGCGCTCATTACCTGGAGGGCTACGGAGAACATAATGATTGGGGTGGTAGGGAGCCAATCCATGAAAGCTAAAGCTGGCCGTCGCCCACGAGAAGATGGAGTGTCTGTTGTTTGACCGCTGGCTCAGAGTGTTCGTCTGTCGCGGTAGGGATTTTGCGCCCCTAAGTGTTTTGTCGAAGCAGAAGGTGACAATTTCAGTGCGCTGCTAGGGCCGGTGGTTCTGGTGGCTGCCGGTGTCATTTATGCGTAGTGAGGTGATGCGGGAGAGACACATGGATTCTCCAAGTGGTATAATGAGTCTGTGGTCGTCGAGGTACAAGCGGCGCACGGAAGGGTTGGCGATCCGAAAGCCCTCCGTGTAAGCTCTCGTGTCTTGCGTTAATGCGATTGGTGTTTGACTGCCGCGGAATGAACAGCATGCTTGGATGTGGTAACACAAGATATCGAATTAGAAGCAAGCAGGCTATGGATCGAGGGGTATCTGAGAACGAAGAATTTTCATTCCAAAGCCGGACAAAGGGATCATATCGTCATAGGACACGATTTCTATAGATTTGGTCAGTCGCAATGATCGGTTACAACCGGGAGGGGTGATCATTGGAAGACTTACTGTAATAGAACACCTTCCAGTCCCTCGGCCCTTGCACCAGATATCGTGGCGAAAACGTCGCCACCCCTGTAGGCCAACACGGCGGGGACCTCGATGGTTTCCATCTCCGCGATCTCGTGATTTAGCCGTACGAAGCGCGTCTTGTTGTGCTTGTAGGCGAGAGTGCTCAGCTCATCTTCGACCTGTGCGCTTGCCGAGGACGACGGGTCGTGGATCATGACCACTACGACGGTATCGTCTGACACCTTCTCAATAGCATCGAGATAGCCGGTGGCATCGACTTCGGAGAAAGTGCCCCATGTACGTTGGCTGGGGGATTGCTTTCTCTGGGAGTTATACGCCGACTGTGACTGGGAAGATAGCTCGGCTACCCGATTTGCACGCCATGTGTTCATGAATTCTGGATCGGCTTCGTCGTCTGATAGGGCGAGGATTTCCGAGTCGGAAGAATTGGATTTGGGTGATGTGCCGAAGCGACTTTTCCTCTTGTCGGCTTTTTCTGTAACGGTGCCGGAGGGCTTGTGCGAGGTCAAGTTGCCAGCGAAGCTGGCTAGTCGCTGGCGGAAGGTCGACTGTTTGGCGCGAGCGAATGATTGAGCGTCGGCAATGACTCCCTTGGGTCCTGTATTGGCGTAATGCACCTGTGAAGGCAGATGGTAGCTCGTTCTGGTAGCGGTCATCGTGGCCATATTTGCAACGTCGTCGTCGTCTGTCCCGGGGTCAGGATGATAGCCGTCTTCAGGAGAGTCGGCTCGATCTTCAAAAGAGCGTTCTGAATCGTTGTCTCTATCTTCAGGATGAGAAACTGTATGGTCTCGAGAGGAAAAGTAACGCTCGGCTTCTTCGCGAGCGAGGTCGGCCATGATGTATGTAAGGGAATGCGACGTGTCAGAGCGGGGGAGCCTTCTATGACATGGATACCTGTTGTCAAACAGAGGCGGCTTGCAAGGATGGTAGTGACTGCGAAGGAATGCGCTAGTATGTTTGGGACATAGAAGAGCAGACGGTCTCGAGGGTTCCTGAGCCGCGATCCGTAAGCGGGAGGCCAAAAGAATGATCAGCTGAGAAGAGTGAGCTGTCCACACCTGTCGTTGACGTGTCTGAGAAGAAGATTCTGGCGGCCAAGCGGGCTGATGGGGTTGATGCAAAAGTTGTAGCAGAAAAACACAAAGGAGGAATAGCTTGAAACACAGCGCTGCAAGGCGGCGAGGCGGCTTTTGAGCGGGTGGATCTGGACCAAGCAACACTCCAGATAAGGCTTGCAGTGACTGGTGTGACAGCGATATCACGGCCGGCTTGGTGGCGATGGTGAGCAAACAGTGGTGAGAGGATACGAGGTACAGGGTGACTACTATGTACATGAGTGCGAATGAGAAAATGAGAAGGACTACATAGTATGTATGGGTTTGCCACTCCACACACCTTGCGAAACCGTGCCAAACCTATGAAACCGGATCCAAAAGCCATCACACTGACAGCTCAGATCTGACCATCACCACTGCTTTCGGCTTCGGTGTTTGTCTCATGCTAATGTGGCCAAGTCTGCTAGCTGTCGATCTTAGGCTTGACTCCTTCGATCTGCCATCGACCAGCTGGCTCACTAGACTGACAGAAGGCCACCAATCCGTGCCTGTGGTCGAATGAGAGCGCGAAGGGGACAGACGTGACGAGCCTACAGGGATGGGCCGCCACTACCAGTATATATATCAACCCGCAGACCCGATGCCTGTTGTTGCCCAGCCCAATGTTGTCGCTCTGATTGACCTGGATTGCGACTGCTTCAACGGTCTTGACTTCAATCAAGCATGATGAAGAGATGATCAGTCTGCATGTTAAGAGAAGAGAGACAGGGGTGACTGCTGCCATGCCAGCTTATGTGCAAAGTTTTGAATCCCTGTCCTATTTTGGGCACAACTTGCCCACGTCGCTATAGTGGGAGCTTATTCGAGCTTGATCAGGTTAGACTTACTTCATGCAGATAGTGAAGATGTGAAAGGCCCTGAATACTAGTAATCAGTAACGTAAAGGTGACGAGAGGGAATCCTGGTCGTAAGGAGCATCAGTGAACATTCAACTACTGCTTGACAAGACTGTCATTTCTGTGCTTTTGGTTTTGAACTCGTTCCGCGATGCCATTGCGACGCAACGCGAGCCAGACTTTTGCTGGCTGGTACGGCAGTGCAGTGCGGTCTCGTCGTTTGTGGTGACCCTCTTGCTCTGGCCCATCATCTCGTCTCGTAAAACCGTCCCTCCAGATACTGAACATACAAAAGGTTACCAGCGTCGTCTATCTCCCCTACTAGCCCATGCTCCGTTCCACCCATGTAATCCCAATGAATGCTCTTTGCTGTTTACTGGCAGGGATGTCCTCCAATACGAGCGATCATCAGCATTCATGATGAAACACCGATCCTGGAATCCCGCAATTGAAAAAGATTCCTTTCCCGCTCATAATATGTTGGCATCATTTTGCAAAGTTGAAAATCGAAAATACGCAGAATGGTCCGGTGTCAAGTTGTACGGACGGCACTTGGCCGAGTCCGATGCTGGGTGCTCCGGGAACGAGACATAAATTGAGCGAATAGGTGGTGGTGAGGCAGGTGAAGGAAGTAGTGTTACACAAGGAGCACGCCACCCATGGTAGTCATCACGGTTGGACATATCGGAAGCGTCTGCGAAGGGATTCGGGCCTGATCCGTCCTAGCGGAGCTGCCTTCTATGCAGACGCCGAGATGGCGTTCTTCTCGGTTGTGAAATCCCAAAGCATCTTGATAAGATTCTCTGGGAGGGTATACAGATCGACGTGGAATTCGCCCTCTGTAAGGGTAGGCCGGTTAGTGGACGCCAAAAATGCACGGGTATACGGGTGCACATACGCTCAACGTCGTTACGCATCCATGAGTCCTCGCTCTTGTTGTCATGCACCATCTGGACAACCTGGAGAAGATCATCCTCGCCTAGTTTCTGCAGACCTTCGGCCAATTTGTCCATGTCGATGGCCTTGCCATCCCCACCCTTCTTCTTCTTCTGAGTACTGCCAGCACCGATCTCACTGCTTCGCTTTTTGCTGCTGGCATCGGCACCATTGGTGGCAGCTTCACCTGGAATTGGTCCAGAGTTGCGAAGTGCTTCGAGGAGGGCGCCTTTAGGGTTCTTGAAGGTGATGATTTGCTTCGTTTCATAACGAGCGTTGTTGAAGTTCAGATCATGAACGATATTGTGAAGCTTACCAGCCAAATCTTTCAATTCGATCATGAGCTCGAATTCACCCCATCCATCTTCGGAGACACGGAACGGTGGTTTCTTGAAGACTAGCAATCTGCGTCAGACTCGGGTTGTAGATCTCAACAGGCTGCGTCTACCTACCTTGTCTAGCCTTGTCGCCGAATGACTCGTGAAGGACGTATGTAACAGACTCGAATATGTCTGCATCGATCTCTTGCTTCGTGTCTGCATGTAGCAGGACCACTCTCATAGTCCAGTGCCTCAAGGGAAATCCAGCAACTCCGCTGTCGGCGCCAGGACTGTAGCCAATGAGTCAGCCTTGGTACGGTATATGCGCTCTCGAGGTAATAAGAGATTGTCTCGAAGGGAAGAGTCTGAACCGGGGAATTGCTGGCGGAGTAAGATAGATCGACCGGCTAACGGCTCGACATACATAATCTTCTGCTCAGTGATGATCTTGATGGATCTCTTGACCTGCAACAACGATGAGTGACATGACCGGGGGAACACACTTCCACTCACGTCGGGCATGCTGGGCAACGTCAGCTGAATTGTGAGGCAGGTCGAGTCAAATTCAGGGCGTGATCAATTGACGCGCCAGTGGACTACACGCCAGACACGACCGAGATAAATGCAAGACTGATCCTGAGGGGAGAAAAAGCTAAAGAAAAAGCACAAGTGCTTCTTGCTTTCAAGAGAGCAGTAAAGATATTAGAGATGATAGAGCGCGCAAGGCACTTGTAGAGGGGCGGTTCGTGTCTGGTGATGGACCATCTGCAGCGTCGCGCATCAGGCTGGATGAGTTTCTATGCGGGGTCGGAAAGGGCAACTTAGCCGAGGAGGAGTTCTCTTTACTTTTGCGGTTAGCGGCCAATCTGGACGAGCTAGAATGACTTTGGCCCCTCTTTCAGTAAAGCGCCAGGAACATGGAAGATACTAAGAGGATCTCTGCTTCTTCATCTCATTCATTGCTGAGGTGGCTTCGAACACCGTCTCTATCTAGGATTGAAGGCTGAGATGGGTAGTGTCATCAAGGGTGTCAACGCTGACTCTCTTCGTGCCTCTTCGTAAGCATCGCATTGCTGAATCGTCCAAGATTCCATGCAGGATATCAATCAACAAACACAACATTTCGGGATCGCTATGATGCAGACGCCTTGTTACTTCTGGAACAAGGCCTCGTTCTCCTGCTGAGCCTTGATGAATGCTTCCTTGAACAGGTTGGCATCTGCCCCAGGTTAGTATCATGAAAAGAAAGACTGGCTGGGTTCGCCTTACTCTCGCTGTTACCAAAACGGATGGCCAATGTTTGAGCTTCAGGCTCGCCTTCGCTGACATCCGCAGCAACGTTCCAAACCCAACTGCGGTCGCTGCCAACATTGGGAGATAGCTTCATATCAGGAGTGACTAGACTGGATCAGACGGAGGCCCAAGATAAAATCTGAATCTGACTTACCGTAGTGGTTGGCGCAAACTTTGAGGGTCTTGTCACGTCGCATAACCAATCTTGTCTTGCCATTTTCTTTGTGTCTGAGCAGTCGAACATCACCGGTGCCTCGCTCCTTCCACTCTCTTGACTCACGGTCAAACTTGAAGAGCTTAGCACGCATCTTGAAAACTTGTTCCTCCAACTCCTCATTGGTCTTGGTGTCGACTTTCTCCGTCAGGCGAACAACAGGCTCGAATTCGACATCGGCTTCTTCTTCTTCGGCTTTGTCCTGCAGTAACCATCTTGATCAGCCAGCGTCCTCGTAGCAATACCTCAGACATTTCTTACCTCATCCTCGTCTTCTTTTTTGGCCTTGGAACTACCGCTTGGCTCATCCTTTGCACCCTCATCTTCTTCGACTTTTCTCTCTTTTTTTGCACCACCTCCAAACATGGAAAAGACAGAGTCCTTGACGCCAGTTGCAGCGGCGGAGGCGGTACTGGCAGCACTGGTGGCAGCATTGGCTGCGGTTTCAGCGACCGTGGAAGACTTGGTCTCGCTGGCTGGTGCCTCGGATGAGGGATCCCCCAACGGGTTCTGGACTAAATTGGTTTCATGTTGAGCCAATCTTGGTTCGGAAGAGGCAGTCTGATCGGCTGATGGGGTTGGTTTGGCTTCGGTTGCGTCCGACATGGTTACGGATAGGTAGCGGATGGACAATGGAATTCGGACACGGAACGAGGAGAGGGATACGGAAGCAGAAACGCTTCAGATGGGAAACTATGATATCGTCAGTCAGAGAATTCCAACGAACGCAGGAGTGGTCTGTTGGCTGGACCCCACAGACTAGAAATGTTTGCACGGCGAACTGAGTCTGGCTGCAGGTTGTGATATGATGGTGCGTGCTTGGTTTGATGCAGGTTGCTGCAGCCCAAAAAGTGTCAAGTCGCCGCCTCTTGTCGTCCGCTGCCAAGACCTCCATCTGGCCCCTGTTTCTGACATCACTGTCCATCAATGGCCAAGGTGATGGTACCTTTGTGACAGGCCATTGCAAGGCCCCAGAGGTGCCAGGCGTAGCATATCACAACACTCTGCTCATGGCCCTCTCCCTTTTGTCCAGGTTTGTTCTTCATAAAACAACAAACCACCTCTATCCCATCTCTGGTGTTTGCCAAAGATGCCTCTCATAGATCTGCCCGAGGACGTTCTGACTATTGTTCTCTCTCATCTGCAACCTCGAGACTATCTTGCATTCTGTCAGGTTTCAAAGGCAATCTATCCAGAGTACCGGCAAGCCTCCTTTTATTGGCGAATCCAGACCTCCAATACCTTCCGTCTTCCAATCAGCCCTTTGCTTGCTGCCGATGGCCCACGCTGGTACTGGCTCTACAAGCGTCTGAAGACCCAGACTCAACTCTATACCTGGGGTCAGGGGTTGAAAGGCAATCTAGGTCCCGGGCGAGCTCTTCCCACTCCACATCGAGGATTGGCACCTCCAAGGATACTCCCGCGTGTTCGGCCATACCCAGCCCAGATCTTTCAAAGAACTTCATCAAGTTGGCCAACAGCGACCCACGTGCCTGACGAAGTGGGAGTGATAGCTGACCTGCAATGTGGGGGCTGGTCAACCTCAATTCTTTCGTCTCATGGACAGCTCTATACTGTCGGTATCATCGATTCCCTCAACGGCATCCCTGTAGGGCAGTCCACCAAAGAGTTCACTCGACTCGAGTACCTGACCCAGAGTACCTCTGCAGTCCGTCAGTTCTCATCGGGCAGACGTCACATATTGGCCTTGACTGATGATGGTGAGATCATCTCTTGGGACAGAATCAACGCCAAGGGACTGAAAATCTTCCCCAGAGGCGGGAGAGATTTTGGAGGAAAACCTACCAGAGTAGCCGCAGGATGGGAACAAAGCTCCGCTTACGTACCTGAAGCTGGACTCATATTCTGGGAACCTCTTCGGAACAACCAGACCGATGAAATGGAAGATAGCGTTCACGTCAAGGAGAAGACCGTCCCTGGAACAGCACGACGGACGACCGACGATGGCTACGTCGTTGCCGTCAAGCATATTGTGCTGATGGACTTCTTAGTCTGGATCACCAGCGACTCGAAAATCTATGCCTGTGACATGCATGTTGATAATCCTGAACAGGAAGAGCCAACGAGTTCTCCCTTTGAGGTTCCTGGTTTCAGTGCGACAGACCGCGAGTTGAAGGACATCCAAGGCCAGTTCCAGAGATTCGGTGTTTTCACGGCATCTGGTGAAGTCCTTGCAGGTGATGTTGACTATCTCAGACGATGTGCAGAAGCCATAAAGGACCAGCCTGATCTACTAGAGTCCAGAAACTGGTCTATCATGACAGACCTGCTTGCTTCCCGACCCCGAGATGTTCCCGCACTCCAGCATACAGGAGTCATCGGCCTGGCCTACGGTGACTATCATTATCACGCTTTGCACGCCAACGGAAAGATCACCTCTTACGGTACGGAACCACAACGTTGTGGCTCTCTAGGTTTGGGAGATCTGCAGGCAGGTGCACGTTTCCGTGGGCTTTATCGGCGAAATCCTGTCTCCCGCGCAGACGCCTACGTATGTGACACCGCTTATCTTCGCGGCCGTCAAGTCTGGTTCGAACCTCAACGCAAAGACTGGCTTCAGTGGTTGGAAGAGCGGCTACGACTGCTCGATGTCAAAGTCGACGGTCGTACAGCTCTGGAAATATTGCAAGATGGCAGCAACGAGCAGGCGGCTTTTAGCGAATGGATTGAGCAAGAGGGCAAACACTGGGATGAAGGGCCTGCCGCTACGCCCGATCGCCTGCTCCAAAAGAACAGCGAGGAGAAGCGAAGTGCAGGTGACTATTCCCATCTCGGTGCCTACTTCTCTATCGCCATTGCCGCGGCAGGATGGCACAGTGGTGCACTTGTTCTTGTCGATGAGGATCAGGCACATGAGGTCCGAAGCCTGTGGGTGGTAGCGAAACACCACGACGACGACGATAGTAAATCGCGACCAATGCCTGGTGCCTTTGAGAGCCTCAACGTCAATGAAGAGGAGTATGTCTGGACGAGGGATGGTTTCCCCAGGGTGTGCTTGCCGAATGGGGTCGAATTGCCTGGAGAAGGCCAGGTCCGTCCCTGGAGAGATGGCATGCCAACCATGCGAGACTTGGGCCTGGAGTAAGCCGCGTCGTTTCTGTCATCCCCTATAAGCGGACTGGAAACGGAATGCATTGTAGGATGATGAAGACAAACGAAATGGAACAGATCAGTTGCAGCAGTGGACCGCCCTGGGGTGGACAGTCTCCGGTGCAACGATGGCGAGAGAGGGTATGACACTACGATGTAATGATCACGACGACGAAGGCAAACTCCATGTCTCTTACCTCCTCGATAAAGCTGGTGATGTCTGACGGCAATGAGACGTATGCTTCTGGTCACCTCGAAAATCGAGCCTGAAGCAACTTTTCCACAGTCCCACGGGATTGGGAGTCCTTCTTTGCGCCCATTTACTCAGAGTCAGAATCCTCTTGCCTTGTAGCTTTACTCCACTAGACGGCCCTGCCTTGCCTAGAGCGCAGCGATGCGACATGAGCTTCGGAAGGCCGTTGCCAGGCCGCGTACCGCCGTAATGTTGTTATGGTCACTCGGGCCATGCGTAGGAATCGCAACCCTGGAGCAAATCGAGTTCACAATTGTAGATCAAGAGATCGGGTATCAAGTCTACATGTATCTTGTCCGAAACCGAGCGCCCATGCCGAATCCCATGCCCATAAAATCATAGAAATACATGCCTTCGCCCTCTAATCGGAATCACTGTCCAAGAAATCATCGTCATCGTCATCATCGCTCGAGGCGTTTCCGCCACCTCCACCTGAGAGGATGCTGCTCCAGAAGCCTTGCTTCGAACCTTCAGCAGAAGCCTGGTCTAGTCCCTGTGGAAGTGGCGACGCAGGACCATACGTCGTTGATTTCACATCAGCCGCTGACCGGCTCGGCGAGGCTTGTGTTATCGCCGTGTCGTTGCTCTCTCTTGCAGTCGATCCATGCGAAATTCGGTGGACAGTGTACTCCGGTCGAACCACGCCGCCTGTCGTGTGCTGTTCGGCCTGAAGCTCGCTCCGAGGCTGACACTCTTCCTCCCTCTCCTCATGATCCACGAAAACAAAACTGCCCACCACAATTGCCGCCCCAAGCCAATAAACCAACCCCTCATACCGTCCCTGGAGCACCATCTCGCCCACCAAACTCAACGGGATAGTCAGACTCAACCCCACCGTCACCACAAGAGGGCTCGTCAGAACCATCGCATACGCCCAGCAGATATCACTCAACAGACTACTCATGCTGTTGACCAGTAGAATTGTCCAGATATGTCGGCTAGGAGGGAGTCCGAATGCTTCGTGCCCGGTGAAATGCAGTATCGGAAACAGGGGCCACAACAGTATGATGTTCCACAGGCCCACCAGCCCAAAGAACAGCGCCATATCCAACGATCTCGGCAGTGCCTTTATGGTCGTCTTCTTGAGCGTGATCGTGTATAGACCGTATATCACGGCCGAGAGCAACGCCATGGCGTCGCCAATGGCCATTTCTCTCGGTGACTTGTCGGGGAATGTGTCAACTGCTCGTGCCCGCGGAGACGGGGAGCCGACTTCATCGTCAGCACTGGCCGATAGATCAACTTGCGAAATGAGGACGATTCCGACCAGCGATCCTAGCACGCCTAAGAGCTTGCGCCATGTGAACTTCTCGGTACCGGTGAGGGCTCCGATCATGAGGGTCCAGAAACTGGACGTTGACGTCAAGATCGTGGTCGACGCTACCGTCGTGTGTTGCAGACACGCCATAGCGAAGTAATTCGCGCCGAACCAGAGGATGCAGAACATGAGTGAAAGACGTGCTGTTGGAATGATGCCTAGATGTTTCTGACTTTCCTTCTCATCCACGTCCACTTCCTGGCTTCTCAAAGTGTCGGGCGAGGGTTTGCCGTCTGGAGCGAGAAACGCCTGCGCTTCATGTTCGGCCACTGCATCTTCCAAGCCTGTCGTGTCGTTGTTCGACAGCCGCCTGTATTTCCCTCTTCTTGAGAACGTCGAGCGTACTCTCGTATACAAATCTCCGTGGTCTCTGTGTCTTCTGTATCCCATCCGAACCAGCGTTGGGATCATAGCCAGCATAAACATACTCGTGTTGAGATACGTCAGGAAAAAGGGCTTCGCGTAGGTGTTATCGGCAAATATGCTCTGTCACATCTCTTGTCAGTCTCGTCTTGAACGGAGTAAGGAAAGGTGATTATACGCACGCTACCCAAGAAATTCGACAATGTCCATAAGAACACCACACAGAGCAAAAGGATGAGTCCCAGCGTGTGTTTCGCGACGCTAGGGAGCCCTCTACTCGCGTTAGTCTCATCTCCGACATCGAGAAGTCTCTGTCTGGACGAATTCCTCGTCATGCCACTGTCGTCCATCTCGATGTGCTCCCTTAACGTAGAATGCTCTCGTTGAGGCTGAGGTTGGTGTTGATGTGAGGCAGTGTCCAGCATACTTGGGCCTCACACTTGTGCGACATCGCCTGTTGTTGGCAAACGACGAGCATGCGATGCAGTGAAGACGAGCCTCGCGTGACTCTGACGTCGCGATCCAGTCTGGTGGCTTTGGGGTCTAATGGATAGATGCATACTCCGTAGATCCAGTGGACAAGAGCGCGCCGTGAGATCCGCCGAGAGCCAATCCAATCCAATGCATATCACGCCGCTTGTACAGAGAGGAGTTATGATTTCCGGTTTAGGACTTGCGAGCCGACAGTCGAGTTGGATAACCGTGGACAATATAAATGAATTCCAGGGACGGCTCTCGACCACTAACTCAGACCTTTTCGACTTCATGAATGCTCAATAGTCAGTACAGAATGCGACCTGCCCTTCGAAGCTCACCTCCACCGAGCCAGCGTCTAAACTGAGCCCGGCATTGCGGAAGCAGCTGAAATTGACCATAATACTATTCCATGATATACTTGATCATCCCGGACTGAGCATTGTTCGCCTAGAAAGCCCAGCTAGTTGGCACAGAGTTGGAAAGAGAACCACTCTGAGGTGCCAAAACACTGTGGCATCGACAAAGCTCGACTCTATCAATACAATGAGAACAGAGCCAGCGAGCAAACGATGCTCACTTCACACCCACTTTCATTGGTGTATTTCCTCCTTCTGATAGAGGTTGGCAACAAGATGCAACGTCTATGGATCTGAAGATGAGAGAAAACTTATCCCAGGATATTGCGTCCAGTCCGTCCACCTCACTTCGAGGACCTTCGTGCGATATGCTGGACGGGATGCGCTGGTGGTCTCCAGAAATGGCAAAGCACAGCCCTGCAGATTCGCAAGTGTGGGTCTCCCAGCTTGTCGCTATGAGCCTGCTTTAGGGTTGCAGATGCTTTCTCTGTTGATGTGTGATTCTCCCTACTAGGGCGATCTCAGAGCCAAGGCTTGCTCGGCTCAGTAGTAGATGATCTTCGAACTGATGCCGATTCGTTGTCCATATGGACTTCAACAATGATCTCCTGTCTAAACATTGTCGACTTTCTATCGTCGGATAGCAAGCCAGTCGTTCGCCTCAGAGAAGAGTTTGGCTTCCCTGATATCTGCACCAGGAACTTGACTTGCTGCGTATATCTGCCAAGAGGTCAGCATTGGGCACTTTGTCCCGCTGACTGAACTTACAGCATCCCAAATTTTCCAAGCTTGATCCAGACTCCTGGTCAGACCGCCGCCACTTTTGAGTTGTTGAAACCAACTATATTTTCCCTCTTGCTGCTTGATGGTCTTCTTCAGGGTCTCAGTGATCTCCTGGTCATCATCGAAAGCATCCAGGTAAGTCTTGACTGCTATGCCGAGGCCGGACCCATGATCGTCAATGAATGGAAGCCTACAAGGGGCGTCAGCTTTGTATGACATGACAGAGAGAGCAATACGTACTTCTGGCTCAAATCCGTCCAATCTGAACGGTCTCGTTCCACTTCACCATTCAGAAACATGCTCGTCATGATGGTTTCCAGAAGATCTCTCAGTGTCGTGCGGACAGCAGTAACCTTCCATGCAAAGGTTAGCTTTTCCCGGTCAAGTGGTCCAACAAATCCCATAGCTTTATGCCGGATTCTACCCAAGCAAGCAGTCTTTGAGATGAGATTTGAGAATGTCTTCTTTTCGTAATCCTTGTCTGGACGAGAATCAGTCAAGTATTCGACGACGGCCTGGGACAGGACAAACCGGTTTTAGAAGGAGGTGTCCCTGTGGCAAAGTTAGAGGTGAATAGCCCTAGTCTGAGCATTTCAACTCCTATAACAGTGCTCTCTTCATCTGAAATTGCCAATGCGGTTTCTAAAACCTTGCCCCAGGTGGTCAGAGCGTGCTTGTCATCGACATATCCACGAACGTGTAGGAATCGGAACACCGAATTGACAAGAACTTCGTCCGCAGTGCGCAAGGCTGGATATTCTTGTTTGCCCTTGACAAATGTCTTTGGGGTGAATTGCTCATCCTGCAACGTACGAAGGCAGCGTAAGAAGAGGATGGAGTCCTGCTTGAGTCAACATCTAGATGCAACTAACCGGCGCTCTTGGGACCTACGCTGGTGTTTGACAGCACACTCTCAATGTCAGGGCCACGGACTTTCCACTGCGCCAGTTTGCCTTTCATGGCTGGAGTATTTCTGATCTCGATGGTCAAGCTGCTGGTGTCCTGTGGAACCCATGGCTCGACTTTGATGACTCTTGACTGGTAGTAGTAGTGGAGTGACTCTGCTAGAATTTTCAGAGCTTCCGTCCGGTATCGGTTGAGTGATTGGATCATCAGTCTGCGGTAGGGCTCCGAATCATAAGATCCCCCGGCAAGGTTGAGCACAATCTCTCCAGAGGTCAGCCAATTGGGTATTTGGGGGCCAAGTAAGCCTTTCGAGATGTAGAAGAACAGCTCCTCTGGCAGTCGCTGTCCGACAAATTCGTGGACATCGCCAGGAGCTTCGTCAAAATTTCGCGGAGCGACGACGCCGTTCTTCTCCATGATAACATGGTGCCGGATTGTCATGATGGCTTTCTTGTATCGATCCGCGTATGACAGAGCTTGAACTTGTGGATGGTCGCGGTGGAAGTTGCAGAGTTGTACCACAGACTTCCCTGCGCCATTTAGTAAGGTGATTGCATCAGTGATCCCTGTGGATTTTGTAGTCGCCATTGCTTCGAGGATTGGGAAAGTGGGCGTAAACGATGTTCCGAGGAGGAGTTGAGCATCTCGGAGCATGTCATCGTTGACCTTCAGTAGATCTTCGCACACTCCTTTGCTGATCAAGGTCAGCGCTGACTTGTTGACATTGATATCCGTCACCACTCTGTCGACGCCAAAAAGAAAGCACTCGGTGTTGCCCATGACGGCGTCTATGTATTGGTCTTCCAGTTTGAGAAGATAGGCCAACTGGCTTCACGTCAGGGTCCAGGTATGGTAGAGTGCGTTGTATTGACTCACTTGTGCTGTTGCGCTGTACGGTGCCACCATGAATTCAATCTTGTTCTCAGCCAATATCTTTTGGAGCGTTCTCGTCATTACATCGATGTGGTATTTGGCCTTGGAGAAGTGTGAGACCGTCCCCTTGCTGTTGCCGCTCAAATATTCGTGCCATGCTTCTTCCTGGGCTCTTCTACTTTCCACTGACTGCGAGTCCGGGGGGCTCTTATCCACATAGTCAAGGCCACTGAACACAAAGACCAGAGTGACACCATGCTGGCGCAGGAGGGAGATATCGTCTTCTATGGCTTTCTTCAGGGTAAAGGGTAGGCCACCAAGAGCATGTTTGAGAGGTTCGACTTCGTTGTTGATGCGTAGGTCAAGATAGTATGAGGCATCGACACCAATGACGGCATCCTTGAGCAAGTTCAAAGGACAGAGCTCGATATGTTTATTGACCCATTGGTCGAACTTCTGGACTGGAGCTAACTGTGAGAAAGGAAAGAGTGTAAGATTGCGCGCAGCCATACCTGACATGTTGGAACGCTAAATGAAGTACGAAAGGAAGATCAGAAGAGGGAGAGAGGAGAAAAGAAATCCGTGAACGCTGTGAAGTAAGAGAGAAGGGCACAAAAAGTGCAGGGCCAGCAGTTGTTTGTCTGAAGCAGGTACAAGAGACCTCTCTGAACTTTTTGGAAACCTCCACTGGAACTACGGGAATGGTATTATTCCAGGTGGGTTCGCGCCTGGAAATCAAGTGGTGCCAAGTGTCATCTGGGGGAAGCGGGCACCATCCACAGCCCAAAGCTAACCGGGCCAGGGGGGACGTACTGGATGCATCAGTGCGCACGAGGCTGAGGCGTAGCCTTGCTATGACTGACCTACTCGTGGCGATCAATGCGTGCGTGCATTGGAAGTTGAACCGCCGAAAGCTTGAGCAGAAGAATGCTTTCTCAACATCACGAGTCTATGCATACACACCGCCACCTCATTGCTATGAATCATGCAGTAGCGGCCACCTCCTTTGCGTTCTGTCTGAATCCGTAGGTCGCCTCTAATCTGTTCATCAAATGCTCCCTCGCAGTCATCGCTCGTTTTGACGTTGCTCCCCCTCCATATCCTACGCTCGAATTCTCGTCCAATACGTGCTCCGATACAATCTGACTTGGGACAGCCACAAGCTCAGTCTTGTCCCCAGGGTGCACAAAATATGCGATTGAGTAGCGGTCTTCTCCTCCCTGCCTGACATCCTTGGGGAAAATGACTCGGTGCACCGTACTCTTGAGAAGGCCGTTGGTCCAGTAAGACAAGCAGTCTCCGATATTCACGAGTATAGGTGGGAATGTCTTCGACGTCGTGTAACCATCAGGAATGACAGGGACAGGAGCCCAAGTATCCTCCGGCGTTCTGATCTCAAGGCCTGGCTGCGACGGTCTCTGGAAAAGCAGAGTGATGCTGCCGTAATCTGAGTGCGCACCTGCCCGGATGTCCACGTCTGGCTGGTAGTTGACATCTGACGGGATCGTAGGATAATGCAGGAGTCGAACAGTACAGCCACTGGGCTGGGTGTGTCGCGATGAGAAGAAGGTGGGCTCTGTCACCTCGAGTCCTAATGCAAGAAGGTCGAGGACACGTTTGGACAGAGCCTGACAAGCGTTCTCGAACTCGCCCAACTCGGCGAGGTGAGCTTCGAGCAACCTGGGCATAGGCTGTTGTGGTCGCCCGTCTTTGGACTCGCCTATATTGAAAGCCTCTTTGAAATCTCCTTTACGCTGGCTCTTCGGGTCGAGGCTCTCCACATGCAACCCTGCATAACCTCGGTCGGCCTCATTGATCTTGACATTATTCTTCTCGGCCTCGGGTAACGCAAAGAATTGTCTTGAGATTTCGAATTGGCGATCTACTATGCTCTCGCTGAAACCGCTGCCATTGGTGTCGATGTAGAGAAAGCCGTACTTGATAGCAGCATCGAGCATCCCTTTCCCCACTTCCGAGGTGGACCTCGAGACATCAATCACAGGGAGCTGAACAGCACCGGTATTCCCCTCGGCCGATCCCATAATTACACCTCTGGCTCGACAAGCCTCTGCTGCCTTCCAGCAGAGAAGCAGCAGCAGTCACAATAGGGCACACAGTCCGACTCAGAAGTGCGTCGTACAATGGCGGGGCCTTCCTCTGACTTTGATGGCAAGGTGAGGGCAGATGGGGCTTGGAAGTTCTCAGAGGAACGAGAACTAACCGATCGATCGATAGATATAAATACTGTTTCTGCTTTGGGTACGGAGTACGGAGACCTCCGTCGAAAAAACAGACTATCAGAGGCCAAACCCACGGAGTACAACGGGCCGCAATGATCCTATCACTCAGATATTGATAACGGAGAAGGCTAGCATTGCGAAGGGAGAGCGGAAGTATCTCTCTCGAGTTACGCCTTGTCGATGCGTCGATTTCGGGACTTGGTCGTCGACCCACGATGCTCGCTGCTTCAGCGTCTTTGAAATGCAGGGTCGGGCAAAAGATCTGAACGGGAATTCTTGAAACGAGTATTCGATTCTTCATCATTGTGCAGTAGTAACGTCGTCAGATTACACATCTGTGTCAATAACAGTCAATAAGGATCACCAGGTGCAGTGGCCAGACAGTCACCGCAAGACACGTCCATAGGTCAGCAATCCAAAAGCACCTTCATCGTCTCCACTGTCACAAGCCCTCGTCCAGCTCGTCCCTTAGTGATATGTACCTCGAAGGACATCATACTTCGTCCAATAACGCGATGCGCTGTACATCAATCATAGCGGGTGCTCATTCTGTCCGTTTGGCATTGAGGACCGAAAACCCTGTGTCTGACGAGACTCAATAACCAGCAAACGCCAAACAATACCCAATCGTTAATACTCCGTGGCTATGCAGTTTTCATGTTTGCTTAAGCATTCGATCGGCGGTTCAGATAAATATTCTCGAGGTGGCACCAGTGCCTATGCATGCTCCACGACTCGCGTTGGCATTCCTATCGACAGTCAGCTCCCACGTCCCACAATATCATTTGGCAGATGGAGAACATACCTTGCTGCAGTACTTAGTTCGCCGGCAACGTCTGCATTTTGCGAACTGCCGTGTGTATTCTTCCCATTTACCGCACTGATAGTTGGCGCACTGGCGTATGCCTCCTCGAGCATCGTCCTTTCTGCACAAATTCCGCATGACCACACAGGCCCAATACTGCATGTCCTTGGAGTGGTGTCTTACAGTGAATTTCTCCACCAAGGGGAAGATGTTGTAATCATCAGGCTGGAGGAATTCTTCGTCTTCATCTTCGGTTGGCTCAGGCAACATCGGGCATCCGCACATTGGGCCGTATATCTTCTCGACCTCCCTGTCAATTCGGAGTCTGGGGACCAGGTGGGTTTTCTGGAAGTAGTGGCGAAGGTAACAGTATTTTGAAATGTAGGCGAGCAATTGCAGACCCATCAATACATCCTCGTCGCGAGGCATCAACGCGGTCGTCGAAGCTGTCGCAGTAGCGGTTCTTAGGAAGAAATTAGGATATGCATTCAACGGAATTGCAGGAGAGGCAGCTGTGGTTGGTGGTGGTGGTATTGGTGAGGCGCCCATAGGTTCGTGCGCTGCAGGTCCTAATGGATTGGTCATGCCTGCGAGGATTGGCGTTTGCTGAGCAATATCGACATTGTCAATCTCTCGAGCTTGTTGAGGAGGAATAGTCAAGGTCAATGGTTGGCGCTCCGCTAAGTCTCCTGGATCGTGTGGGCTGGGATCTCGAGTCTGATCTCTGCTTTGGCCTTCTGGCTGACCATCAGGGTCCAGCAGGTCTTCGCCAGGGCCCGGTACGTCGTCCAACATGACATCTTCAGGGTCAGCAGAGGTACTATTTTGGTGTCGAATGGAGGGTCTGCGCATCCGGCGGCCGATAGGGGACAACAGTCCACGGGAGACAGGAGCGGAGGGCGTAGTAGGTGGGTCAGGATGAGAAGTGATGCCTGTGTTCAAGGCCGGCAGCATCGAAGGTAATCTGTCTACCTCGCGTACAGGACGCAATGAAAACCCATCGGAAGTATCCATTGAAGGGACTGCAGTCGCAGGTGCTTGCATGTTCATAGATCGATGGAAAGACCCTCTGCTCTCTTGGCCTCGTGTGTGATGGTGAAAATCGCGTCTCGGGAACACAGTCCGTTCAGGTGGCGAGGTGAAGACACCGGAAGGAGTCACATTGCCGTCTGCTGTGCCTGTCTCTGTGGTGCCAAAGGTCTGAGAAAAGGATTGCGGTAAATCAAGTGACGGCGGAGGTGCTTGCCGACGGGTAGAGCGCTGATCCGCTGCAGCGTTCATATGCTCCAGGAAAGATGTCCTTGAGAGGGGGTCTTGTGGGAGCTCGCGGGAAAGTTTAGATCGGGAACCTGCAGGATGTTTAGTGCCATTGCGCTTTTCTTGCTCAGCATCCGCCTTTGCTTTTTCCATCTCGATCACCAAGATGTAGTCCCACAGGATAGTCGCAATCACCGGCACCATATCTGCTTCGACAACTCGAGTGCGAACAACCTCAGAACCTCGGACCCCTATGTTCACAATGCATTGGAACGCAAGGTTCCACTTCCACATGTGCATCTCATCCTTGCTCCTGCCCTCCTTCAATACGCATATGAGACGTTCAACCCCGCCATCTACTGTCAGAATATCTCTGATGCGAGCCGAGGAAGTGGTAAGATACGCGAGATGGTTGAGAGAGTTGATTAGGGGTAGAGTCGAGGTACAGTCCAGCGCTCGACGGTCGTAGAGGGTTGGGGTGATATGGACAGAGGCCTTATTGACATTAGGAATGCTGAAATTGACCTCTCTCATATTGTCTTAGTATGCTGTTGTTTCGTGCAATTATTTCGAAACACAATCCTGGGAAATTCAAATGATTTTGATCAATGCGAAGCCAGAATCGGACTTGAATCGTGACTCTTATCGGGCCTTTTGAGGCACGGACAAGAAAAACAGTTGAGAGGCCTGAGTCGCAGTCGAGACTATGCACGCTGCCGCATACAATGTGGAAAGGAGCAAGCAGCCATCAAGTGATCCCGTCGCTCTGTTGTGGGGGCAGATGGCAGTACAAGGCTCGGCCAAGATCGAAAGGTATAGATCCCCTGATTGGGGATTTTCAATCAATCTGTGCACGAAGACGGTGGTATTCGTAGCTCTCAGTGGACGTTTGTTCGTCGATCGGTACGATAGCAAGTATGTATTTTTGCACAGGAACGGATTCGTAAAGAGCGTGGAGGTTCGAGTCGAGGACGCGTGGGAGGTAGGTTGCGGACAGGGCTGGCAGAGATGGGAGAAGCGAGCACAGGGGACTCGAGGATGTGCAGTCGAAGCGAAACTCGGCAAGCAGATGCGGATGCAACGAGAAAAAACAAAGGTGATCAGCAGTCTCGAAGAGGGTGTGAGAAGAGTTGATGAGGATGATAATGGAGGTGGCTGAAGGTGAGAGAGGGTGCAGTGAAGATGATGGTATCAGGGAAGTGAGGAGGCTGTTGTTCGACGGTTGTGTCTGAAGTTGCGGCAGCGGCGCAGGCGTTCACTGGCCACTAAAAACGTCGCTAACCTGCAATTTCTTCGCCATCCTTTGAAAGGCCTTTCACAAACTAGCCACCATCAAAGTCTCGTGTCGCATGGAGTCATTTTACTGTCCTCGATCAGACTCTTTGCTGTCCATCTGTCATCATCTGCAAGCAGGCCCTTGATTCTTGTACAATTAGCCACCTTCGACGGATTAGCGGTAGAGGCTGTATGCTGTCTATGTCCACGGTGAGATTATGGAGTGACAGTTGCAGTCTCTTCATGATTGGGGTTCAAGGGCTCCTGATTTAGGCGCATATAAACTACTGGGGGGAGTCTGTTCCATTGTCCTTGCCAAAAGTCTTTCTTCAAAGGAATACTTCGGTCAAGACTGCCAACCTGGTCGTTCGCATCGCTAGTACTGCATTGTGTCGCCATCAGAGTATGGAATACCCATGTGTGTAAGATCTATACATTGGTAATGGCGGGCTACATTCGAGTATCCCTATTCGAGGCATTAGTAATGTCTCTTGGATCATTCCAGAGTCACCCCGAAAGCCTACTGCTGCCCCCAGCGTGCCCCAGCTATCTGGCAGGTTGAGTCGTGCCGATATTCGCACCAATCAATAAATTATGCTCAGTATGCGACTGGCCCCCAGACTTTATGAGTGTTTGTTGCGTTAATTGCTCCGGACGTGTCCATACTTGACCACCACAGCTTTGTAGATAGAACTGTAGTGTCTGTTTCAAACGACGGGAGGCTTTTGTATAAGCCGCTAACATTCCTTCATGGTTCTTTGGGACACCCTCTCCATCCTTGCACGTTCTGATGTAGATCCAGGTTCTAGAACGCAGACAATGCTGTTGCATTCTGATCTGCCTCCCCATGGATTGGTTCTAGCGAGCTGATATGTTTTGATGACCTCTATCTTTCTTTACTTCTGAAGCGAGAGAGAGCTTCGCTCCTATGGCCAACCGCGAGACCTATCCACGATCGTCCAGAAAGCTGGAGCCGCTGCACTGCTATTTTCGCTGCCACCCATACCTATGGTATGCAAAAGGACCATCGGGCTTCGAGAGCGGCTATTGAGCCAATCGCCACCATGTCTTCACATGTCGATCGCTCAAGGCAATACTTCGCTTTGGCAGAACGAGCCGTGCGTCCATCTCACAGGCTGTCTATGATTAAAGCTGTGCAGCTTCTGTGGGTGCTATTTTCAGTGGCTGCTCCCTTCAATACATGCTCTTCATGGATCTAAATGGTTGTACATATCAACCTGTCGCGGATTGGAGATTCCTCGAGTAAGGTGTCTCGAGCTATTGATACATTGAGTTGTGGCCCCTAGTTGCTGCCTCTATCGAACCAGTCTCCCTTTACTACCAAAGGCGAGAGCTGCCCATCCTGCAATCAAGCACACACCTCCTAGAGGTGTCACTGGACCAAGAGCCTTGAAGCGTTGCGGGTCAAGGACCAGCAGATATATGCTACCGCTGAACATGGTCATGCCGGCGATGAATAAAGAAGCGGCGATCTTATTCTTTGGTGCAACGGAAGTTGCCAGGAGCACAATTCCACTGTGAACTAGCTGTGAGGGACACCAAGTTAGAGCTGCATGTCGAAGAGGAGATATTCGTGAGCACAAGACGTAAATGACGATGCATCACGAGTGAGTATGGGATACCTGATAATGAGCGGCGGTCGACCAATTTGCAATTCTCTGAGGGTCGGCGATCCGTTTCTTCAGTCCATGGGCACCGAATGCACCGAGCATGACTGATGAGGCTCCATAGAGACACCCGAGAGTCCAAAACATTGTCAAGATCAAGCTTCGTGCAGGGTGCGACTTCGAGCCGGTGTTGCAGTGATATAGAGTATCCAGAGGTGGACTCGTCATGTTCGAGATTTGGGAGTTCACGTTGACAGTAAGCGAATTAACTTGAAATTCGGCCGCCTTGGCAGAGGAACCGGGGGTTTCAATGTGCGCCCGTACCTCTGCACTCAACGTTGGCCAGCAATTGACAACCAGAATCGAAGTCAAACATCGTCGCCATGCTTCAAGCATCTTGAATTCGGCCTGGATGACAGGGCAGCTGCTGGATATGCGTGGCAGGACAAAAGCGTGGGTGATTTTCCAAACAGGCCCAGACCGCTCGACGCCACGTCAAGCATGAACACGAGCAACGTCTGGAATGTGGAAAGCCTCGAGAACATCACCAGTCCTCGATTGGGACATTGCTAGTACAAGTAAGTGGGACGAGGATTGACTTGGCGTGGAACGGTGGAACCCTTTACGGAGTAGACAAGGAATACCTAGCTTACTCTTCCACGGGCGTTCTGTTTGACACTGAAGATCTATAGAGCGAGGTATCAAAACCGATAATGGCGTCCGACAGCACGAGCAACGGTGATAACATGGCGAACGAGATCTCAAAATAGTGACAAAACATCCACGTGTTGATATTCTCCGCAGTTCGCAGTTGAAAGGGGTGATCAGCAAGCGTGAGGTTGATGGTGTATCAGCTAGTCGTTAGTTTAGCGAGAGGGAAATCATGGAATACACGCCTGGAACTCTTGTTGAGTTGCTGGAGGACAACAGCCAGATCTTGTAGAAAGGACCTGACGACTTCGTCCATCTTCCCCAAGAGAACCACGAGGAGCCGAGTAGACAAACAATCCGCCGTGGCTGAAGTGCAGGGCTCAGAAGACTGAAGAGCAAACAAGCCCCTGAAGCATGCACACAACCTTGCTTTTACTATTGTATGAACAATTTGGTGATCTCCAAGGCCGATGTACCTGTCAGGGATGTGGGTATGTTAGATGGGGTCGCCGCTCGACCCGTCACACCGGCTTCTTTGTTAGCTACGGTTAGATGCGACCGCCCAATTTCACTGCTGTCACGTCTTTCCTCCGTCCCCCTCCTGGCACTTGCGCAAAAGCCCTAGGCAAGCCTCTCTCGTGCATGGTGGACACGAGCCTCGATCACCTCGGTACTCGTAACCCTCGTTGCTACTAACGCAGGCCACTGGGAATAAGCGACCCAGAAACTGGACCAGTGTCGGCGAGAGACCTCGTTAAACGGTTTTGGTATTTTTTGTGTGACTTTTTCTGTACCGATTGATTGACTATTGCCTCGCTCAACCACCTCAGGAGAGATCAGAGTAATTTTGGGGCCGCCGTTGCTGAACCAGTGAACCCAACTTGGGGCTCTGCTTGTTTGTTGCCGCGACAGAAGGCTAGTCACAGGGCTGTAGAGGCTCTGACAACTCTGACTCCAGGCAGTATTTGGGGAGCAAGCCCGTAGTCCTTGCATCTTTTGACACGGCGATAAGTTGTACAGACGGAAATACATAGCACTGTAGAATGTTCACCCACCAGATCGACACATACGAGAAGCCTTACTAGCCATACCTGATGTCTTGCCAATGGCAGCAACCGGGGGTTTGATCTGCTTCTAGTGTTGCTTCCCACGGGCCAATTCAGACCCGCCGGGAAGGACCCCATCACTGGAATCCGTTCTACGAATCGAATTACAGACTACCGGCACCCTTTGGTTTTAGTTGACACTCGGTGCGCACCACACACACCAGAGCCCACCTAGCCCACGGAGCTGACCTAGCACCTAGATTCCCGACCTGCCGTTCAAATTACCTTCCCAGAGTGCCTTTCTTGATCCAACCTCACCACCGTCCCATCTTTCCAACGTCTCTGTAATCCACGCGCGAGCCATCGCTATCATCCCTCAACGCACTTCGACGTTTGCCGTCTGCAGCAACAACCTCCCTCTGATTGCGGCCCTAGGTGACGGCGCTAGTCTCGGCATCCCTGACTCCTCCACCTCCAAGCTGCCTGCGCTGCGCAGCCTCCTGACCTCGGTTGCACACCGCGACGAAACGATTCTTCCTCGCGCATCTCTCGAGCTCCTTCAAAGACACATTGTGTGATAGTTGTGGTCTTCCGTCTGAATTGGTCCGATAAGGACCTCCCAGTCGGCACGATGTCGAACGATTTGACTGGAGAGCAGATGCAGGCCAAAATCACGGCTGCAAGAAGAGAAGCCGAAGGCCTTAAAGACCGTATCAAGCGCAAGAAGGATGATTTGGCCGATACAAGCTGTAAGTCGATGGGGGTGCTGACAATCTCATCCGTAAGGATTTGCTAATGCTTCTTCATCATTCAGTGCGACAAGTTGCTCTAAACAACACCGAAAGCCTACCCCGGATAGGTATGAAACCGCGAAGGAATCTCAAAGGCCATCTTGCCAAAATATATGCTATGCATTGGTCCACAGACAGACGGCATCTCGTCTCTGCCTCACAAGATGGAAAGTTGATTATCTGGGACGCCTACACCACCAACAAAGTACATGCCATTCCTCTTCGCTCCTCATGGGTCATGACCTGTGCATATGCCCCCAGCGGAAATTACGTCGCCTGCGGTGGTCTTGACAACATCTGTTCCATCTACAATCTTTCGACAAGAGAAGGCCCCACACGTGTTGCTCGCGAATTGTCAGGCCATTCAGGATATCTGTCATGCTGTCGATTTGTCAACGACCGAAAGATCATCACGTCATCTGGCGACATGACCTGCATGATGTGGGATATCGAGACAGGTTCCAAAGTCACCGAATTTGCAGACCATCTCGGCGATGTCATGAGCATCAGCATAAATCCGACCAATGCCAATGTTTTTGTCTCCGGCGCATGCGATGCATTTGCCAAATTATGGGATGTCCGAACAGGCAAGGCTGTGCAAACGTTCGCTGGCCACGAATCCGATATCAATGCGATCCAATTTTTCCCAGACGGAAATGCCTTTGGCACTGGTTCCGATGATGCCTCTTGCAGACTCTTCGACATCCGAGCTGATCGGGAACTGATGTCTTATCAGGTATGCATCTCCACTTGTCTCTGTTTGATGCCGTACTGACTCGCTACAGAATGAACAAGTACTTTGCGGTATCACTTCCGTCGCTTTCTCAGTGTCCGGACGTTTGCTCTTCGCCGGTTACGACGATTTCGAATGCAAGGTTAGTACCATGATTCCTTCCGGCTGAAATGCAAGCTGATCAAGTATCCAGGTCTGGGATACTCTCCGGGGTGACAAAGTGGGTTCGCTCAATGGCCATGAAAACCGAGTTAGTTGTCTTGGTGTTAGCAATGATGGCATCAGTCTATGTACTGGATCGTGGGATTCTCTCGTAAGTCATTCCTCCTGTCGGTCATTGGTGGCATGGTTTAGCTGACCGAATTTTTCAGCTCAAAATCTGGGCTTGGTGAAACAAAGTTGCACGGGATAAGGGTGTATTCTCTTCCGTCGATGGCGAAATGTCTTGATGCTCAATCTCGAGGCTGGCGAGCACCAAAACCATCAGAAGCCGATTTTCTTTACCACATCCTTTCACCGACGACAACCGAAGGGAAAAGTGGAGGAAGCTTCTATTCAACCCACAAAAAGACTTACTGGATACTTAAGGACCTTGTGAGAGGCCGAGCATTTCTGGGATGGACAGACCGGGTCTCGTGGGGAATTTTCTGCTTGCCAGACAAGAGCGTGCTTGTTTTATCGTCTACGATCCTGATGACCGGGCCTGGTGCAGATGGAGTTACTATGCTATGTGCCGCCACTACTGTATGACCGTGGCCTGCTGCTCTTTCTCAAGCGTCAGCTCCACCAGCTGGTGAGTGTGCCTCCTACCACCATTGGCACCACCTTAAAAATTGTGCTTTCTCTTTGTTTCCTTCAGAATAGCGTGTCAACAGCAGCGCAGAGAGAATCCGAAAATGAGAATCATACTACGGCTACAATTACTCCTTTTCCTCCCCACGATGCACATGGAAATCTACTTCCCCCCGCCAGCCACGGGCTACCAGATGGAATGTGGCTTTGGCAGCACTAGCCTCTGGCTGCCCTCAAGAACATCGCTTGTGTCGCTGACAGATTCTCATCGTGGAAGTGCACCTTGGACACTGGCGGTGCGGTGCGGTGCGGTGCAAACGGGACAAGAACCAGTCCATGCTTCTTGTTACTGCGGAATGGGATATTCTGGGATTTTCGAATGATATGGTCACAGGTCGCGGTCATGGTCACACTTACAGGCGTAAACTCTTTATCACTCACAGAGTGGTTCGGCTTGGTCTATACGCGTTGCTGCTGCAGCAGCAGCAGCTTCACCTCCTCATCTTACCTGCAACACAGGACGGGGCTTCATATTCACGACACCAAGACGAGCCCTATTGGCTATGCTCCCAGGACTTCTGAGCTTTGTATCTCTTCAGCGGTCCCAGAAGTAGCGTGGGCTGTGGTATCCTTTTTGAAAAGTGCCATGGCCATTTGCAACACGTAATCAGTATTCTGTGACGGCAGCGTTGTAGTGGATACAGAGAAAGGGTTTGACCTGTGAAATTGCCAGTGTCTGTATTCTGTACGCCACCAGCCCGGAATGCTTCATTGCATTGCTTGCGCCTAAAACGCCCCATGGGCCTGGCGAGCCAAGCGCCTGAGAAATCAAATACAAATGTGCCACTCAGTCCCTAGCGAAGATCCTGATGGGCCTTCTGCCATGTTTCTCGTCAAACACCCTCAGACTCTCTTTCTGCTTTCATAGCGATCTCCCTATCTTCGCACATTGCTCACCGGCATTTGGTGGGGCGTGTATGCATCAGACTCTGGCAAATACCAAAGTAGCTCCAGCTCCAACCGAACTCCATCTAGCCCACCAACTTTAGCAAGCACATCCTTCCCTCCCTTGGTCGAGGTTGATATTGATTGGGTCCGAGAAATCACCTCCATACTCCTCACTCTCTTCCTGGGCCAGGGCATTCCGTGCGATCACCTCGAACGCCTGCTCGACATTGATACTCTCCTTTGCGCTGGTCTCGAAGTACGGCATCTGCCCGCGTGATTGACAATATGCCATTGCTCTTTTCTGTGAGATCATCCTCCTCTCTTCGCCCATGTCGATCTTATTGCCTAGCACGACAAAGGGAAAGCTCTCCGGATCGCGCGGGGAAGCTTGGATGAGGAACTCGTCACGCCACGAGTCGAGCGTCTCGAATGACTTGGCGCTGTTGACGTCGTAGACAAGCACGCAGCAGTCGGCACCACGGTAGAAGGCGACACCTAGCGACTGAAAGCGCTCTTGCCCGGCCGTGTCCCAGAGCTGCAGGGTCACGATCCGGTCGTCGACGGTGACTTCTTTGGTCAGGAAGTCGGCGCCGATCGTGGCTTTGTAGGACGTGGAGAATTTCTTGTTCACCTGCACAGTCATTGTGTCAGTAGGAAGTCAAGGCGCGAGGGAAGATAGATAGGAAGACAGACATATTGATTCATTAAACTGGTCTTGCCGACACCACTGTCACCGAGGATGATGACCTGCGCCAAAGTGTCAGTGAAAGATTGTGATAGTGAGCAGACGGACATCACACCTTCAATAACACCTTCTTCCTTGACGACATGGCTGATGAGTACCACAAGTGTTGGGTCTTGTCTAGGGCTCGATAATCGATATCAATCGTGGCCGGTGCAGGTGCAGGCAGTTGGTAGTTCTGCGGCTAGAGGTCACGCGGACGTCGGCGATGGATGTTTGATGGCGATCAGACAAGGCACAGCGTTTGCTCTTGGAGATTACAACCGACGCAGAAAGCAGTGAAACAGGGGTGTGTGTAGACGCAAGTGTTCGAGGAAGCTTCGTCGATATTAGAACAAGCAATGCACACAAGAAGTCCGATCCATGGTCGTCATGTAATCGCCAGACAACGGGGCGGTTTAGCTTGTTGGATCCAACCGCAGGCCTGGATTGTTTGGCCATCAAAGGCCCCCTATTGTTATCGAGGCCAGCCATCCTGTTATAGGGAAGGTCAGCCGATCTCATTTCATTCCATGCCCATCTCTGGAGGAACTCTTACGTCTCTGGGCGATCACATTCCAACTGGATTCTCATTCGGGATCTTATATACTCTTCTAATATGATTGGCAGATGCTTGATGAGCCGATGTTCACGATGCTAACAATCCGATAACACTATGTCTACCTGGAGGGACCAGTACCTGGCAGCCTTGCAAGGCCGAGACAAGGTTGAATCAGCCAATCTGGGTCTTTACGACTACTGCACCAAACTTGCCGACGAAAAGGCCGAGCTCCAAAAGACAGCAGCCGCACAGGCACCATCCGAGGAGGATGAGGCTCCGACATCTCCTCAGCCTTCGTCCCTGATAGGCATGGGCATGAGACGAGTCACATCACCCGCTGCTCGTCCAGAATCTCCAACAGTCGCTCAAATTCGTCAGGACCTGGCCAAGGCCCAGCAAGAACGTGGTGATCTTCAATCTCGTCTGGATGCTGTGCAGCGTGAACTTGAGACTCTCAAGTCCAAAGCCAAAGTTGACAACAAGCGGATTGCCCAACACAACGCCAGCGTGTCTCAATTGACGGTCAAATTGAGGGATCGGGAGGAGGAACTTCGCGGCAAGGCGAAATTGATCGAGAACGTGCAGGACGAGAATGTCACGTTGAATTTGCAGCTCAATATGGCCGAGGAGCAGTCCGACAAGTTGAAGAAAGAGAACAAGGAGCTTGTTGATCGATGGATGGCGAGGATGGGGAAAGAAGCCGATAAGATGAACGAGGATAATAAGTTTGGCTTATGATGTTGATCCCGGACTTCTCGCATCAGCATCCACCAAGTTCTACTGCTCTTGTCGTCTCTGAGACAGTGACAGCAAGCCATACAGAACTGAGGGCGACATTCGATATCTGCGAACGTCCGTTTAGAGACCTGGGGAGGACTTTGGAAGGTGAGCACAAACCCTTTCCCCTTCATGTCACCTGATTGACATTCACTTCGGCCGTAAGAAGATTCTCTATACGACTCTGTTACCAGAAGGATCCTGACCGCTGCCTCTCCAGCTACAGGCGAACCTCGAATTGCCCTTCATGCATTGCCGACCTATCCATCTCCTTAGAAAGGGCAGGGCTCGATCTGGAAATCACGGCCCATTCTACGCCATCTCTCCGACTTTGCAGGCTGCTTGAACACCGAGCACGGATCGGCGCCCCGGGAGGTAGTCAGGCATACTCGTGGGGGAGCTGTGTCCTCCCACGGCGTTCCAGCCGGGCGATGGATTTGTTGGGGATGCCGCTTCAGAGCCGACAGTTCATGTCCGTCCGAAGAGAGGTTGGAACAGTGCCACAGCGTATGAGCGAGGATCATCGAAATCGCACTCGGGCTTCAGAAGCTAATATAGCAAACGAGAACCAACGTCAAACTTCAGGGACCACGATCTCTTATCATCAAAGCACTAGTGCGTCAGTAGCACCAGGCCAATTTCTAATAACTAGGTAGTACATTAGCTGTCGAAGCATGGCCAAAGAGCCAAATTGCCAAAATGGTCGCTGCCGGTCCATCGCTATGCAAAATCGTCAATCATCAGTCGTCAAAGCTTTCATCCAAGAATGAGCGGAGGCCGGCCCTTCCTAATCCCGAATTTGCTGCCTCGTTCGATTCCGTCGCGTAACGCTTGACCGTGTCCAATTGCTAATCATGGGCTCCCATGCTCTTAATAAAGGCGTCCAACTCTCTCTTATCCTTCCGTTGATGAAACCACTTCCCGGGATCATCTGCCCAGCTGACCATTCCACTCCAGCGATCTTTCTCAATGACTGAGAGCACATTTATCGGATCGTTGACGTTCGATTCTTTGATTTTGTGAGAGGGACTGCGGAAGGGCTTGAGGCTGATAATGTGGCAACCCTCCTTGAGATCCAAAAAGATGTATTTCAGGTTGTCGTTGAGCTCCGCGGAGAATGCTTGGTTGTTGACCAAGACGACGTCCGCTCGTTTGAGAGCCTGACGCACTGCCTCGTTCTTGAGAAAGTCTCCATGAATGAGGTGGACGCTGCCAGGCTTGATGCCCCAGAGCTGACAACGAGCCCGGAACTCCCTTGCCTGGAGCTGGGCCAACTCGTTCGGATTTTCCATGTATTCGCAACCCCACGACTCACAACCAGTTTCCAGCGCTGCTTGAACAACACAGTTGCCAACGCCGGATCCGAGATCGACGAACACTTGATCAGATTTCAAGCCGGTCTCCTTGAATATCCGACTCAAGAATTTGGGAAGAAGTTCTCCATAGACGAAGTTCGAGAAACCCTCGTACTGTCTCACAGATTCGACGCTAGGCGATACTGTTCGAGCATAGACCTGACCTCTGATGATGTGTTCGACCAACCTGAGGTCGACCCGAGTCATTTGATCCAGCTTCATGCCGATCGTGCCGTCTTTGCGCTTTTCCGCTATTAGAGTGTTGTATTGGTTGACAACGTCGATGTAGTTTGACTGAGCCCCAACTCGTCCTTTCAAACCTTGGCTTGCGTGTCGGTGCAACATTTGCACGAATCCTGTGCCCTCTTCTTCATTGTTGACTTTGCGTGCCGAGTCGCGGTCCAGATAGTATTCGGCCACTATTTTCATATTGGCTTCTATTTCATCCAACGGCTTGAAGTCGGAGGAATCGATAGGTCTGACCAGCTGGTACTCCTCGCCCTGTAACGAGGTGGGATATTGAAGTTCGATAACAGGGTCGTCATCCTCATCACCTTTCAACGCTGTGAAGAATGCTTCATACTTGACCCTACCTTGTGCATCGGCTTTGGTGTTTGCAATTTGTATGGCATGGATCATAGGGAGACTGTCGCTATCATCCGCCGAGAACGCCTGAGGGTCCCTCACTTTCCGTTTTTCGTCGATACTGTCATTTTGGTCTCTGCGTATTCGCTTCTTCGGCTTTTCCTCTTCACTATCGTCATCGGAGCTTGTGAATCTCGGTGTCGAAACTGCAGGAGATGCACGCTTGACCCGGTTTTGTCGTTCATGTCTGACTCGCTCCAGAGGCTCACGGCTACCTTGCCTGGAAGGCACCGAGGCAGGCGTGCTTGATTTGCGAGGAATGGTTTCTTTTCGGGGGGCGCCATTGGAGACAGGTTTGCGCAAGGAAGGAGACTGCGACGACGAATCGGACAATTGAGGCTTTGGGGTCGGCTTCGTTGTTGGATGCACGGTGACAATCTTCGTCATGAATTTGGGAGCGGCCTTTTTCGCTTTGAGCGCGGCAAGACCAGACAAGGGTCGGTCCTGTGACGGCAAGGGTCCCATGATGTTGGTGTGGCAGGACGAAACGATATTGCGTAAGGAAGGACACTGAGAGTTGGAAGAGCGCTAGATTCGATCAGACATGACAAAATGAGAGTGAAGTCCTCCGAGATGCAACTGTGTTAATAAAAGTGAGTGGCTGCTGGAATCACACGACTCAAGGGATAAAAGTCGAGATGGGGCTGAGACTGCGCAATGCAGCCAAACATGCGGAGTGCGCGAGGGGCGAAAGTGCCTGCAGGCGAGATCTGCATTGGCCGATGCGGCGCAGAATCTGGGAAGATCACAGAAAGATTTTGGCGGCATCATCCGGCAAACACCGCCACTCGGACCGGCCATGCAAGGAACATGCCTGGCACTGCTTGGCCCACGTAATTGCCTGTGATTTCCAGCTCGCTGGCCTAGATCTCTCAGGGTTCACGAGAGTTCTACATCTACCCGGCCACCCCAGCAAACTGGCACCTGGCTATCGATCTTGGATCTCTGGCGATGAGCTGTTGCGTCTGCGATGGCCATCAGACCTGTCGCCATCTCTGCGACCATCCCAGGATCTCTTTGAACCTCCTCCTCGGCCCAGAGGATTCCGGTGTCCTCTATGAGAGTACTGTCTGCCATCTCGATCGCGATCCCGATCACGGTTTCTATCTTGGTCAGACATCGGATGCTCTTCTATCCATTTTTCAAGCACCGATGACACCTTTGGTCCCCATGTAACTTCTCCAGCCTCCAAATCTTTATACGTAAGCGCAGGTACGAGCCCGTCTGGAGCAGGCTGAAGACTGGTAAACTCGGCCTGTTGACTTCTGATCAAAGATGCCATTGTGCCATATGAACCGCAAGCAATCCCCAGATCATACGCAAACGACCGAACATAGAACCCGCTGCTGACCGTCAAGCGAATACGAGCGGCAGGAGCGTTAGCAGGGACTTCCTCTTGTGTGGGTAGATGGTGAATGTGCATTGCTGCCTTCTCGTGACGTGGAATATCTTTGCCGTAGGATTTGGAGGTTTTCGCGTCATTCTTATCCGACAGTGCTCGTTCATGTTCCGTGGTGATCGATTGCTTCGTGTCCTCAGCGCCTTTCATAAGCTTTTTAAACACAGCTTTCTCTTCATCATCAGCTTGCTCGGCTGGCCAACGAAAGTCGTGATGACCAGATTCGTAGTATTCGAGTAAAGAACACTCCGAAATCTCGACATTGCGGCTCTCCAGTTCGCGAGGGAGTTCCTTTCCCGTTCGAGCATAATCATATAACTTCATGCCGTTGATCTTGATTGCGCTGTAGATTGGGGGGATTTGCTTCATCTTGCCCTGGAATTTCGCAATCTCGTTTTCAACCACGGCTCTTGTAATATTCTCTGTTGGTGCTTCCGCAACAACCTTTCCCATGACATCGTAGGTGTCTGTTGTTTTACCAAAGAGAACAACAGTCTCGTAGGTCTTTTTACATGAGAGAAAATCCATAAGATGTTTGGTGCCTCTTCCTATGCCCACTATAAGCACACCTGTAGCCAGGGGATCAAGTGTGCCGCCATGGCCCATTTTGAAGAATTGGTCATTGTCGCGCCTCCGCCGCTTCGGCTGGCGTCGTTCTTGCTCTTCTTCGCCCCTCCTGGTTCGTTGTAACAAGGGCGCAAAAGTTTTGGACTCGGCGAAATGGTGTTGGAGATCTCGCAAGACTTGGGCAGACGAGAGGCTCGGCGGCTTGCTCACGGCTAAAGAGAGATTGTGGCGGTCAGGACATGCATGGAAATGGGAGGCAGGGCCTCGGGAGAGGAATTGGCCTCACCGAAGACACCTTCGAGGATCTTTCCGGATGGCTGAGCCATGTTGAGAATATGCCGTATAGGCATGCAAGGACGATGGCCTTGATGGGTAGAAATAGGCAACTTTGGTGCCTCACATGAAGGTCTTTTGTCGTGGTCCGAGTGAAGTGCAGCCAACAGTCTGGTGATCCTGGCACCCGCCTGGGAAATATTTCACTTCATTTCATGCGGAGATAAGCTGCCACGCGAAGGCAAAGCACTAGTACAGATGTAGACAAGTGCAGCCGAGGGGCAGATTCAAGCCAATCGGACAAATGACATCGTGCAAGTGCAGCAACACGCTTTTGCTTCTCCTCCCAGCCTTGACTCGACTGCTGCCACGCTCTCCACAATGCTTCTGACTCTAACCCATTCACCTCTCATTGCACTTCATATTCGCATTGTTGACAACTCCTCGCCCTTGCCTATCGAACCGAGGCCACGCGCCCGACCTTTGAGACCCATGACCACATCGGTATGACACATCTAAATCCTGCCCTGCCAACAACGTAACCCGAACCTACCTCGAAGTCGCAGCATGAAATCCGACCCTCATCACTGATATGTCCACTCTGCCCGAAGAACGTGTCCTGAAACCTCTCGATCCCGTCCCAGACGATGTCAACACTTGGCCAGATTTCATGTTAAGAGAAGCCAAAGTGTTCTATCAGGGAAAGGGCCGATATGCAGACTTGCTGCAGGCGTCCGATGAGACACCGCTTTGTGTGCTCGGCGAGCTAATGCCTCTGGGCGATGAACATGACGATCTAGGTATGCTCTCAGGCGTTCCCGTACATCATATAATGCTGACGGAAGTGCCAGTATTGATTGACAACCCACTCCATGCACGGATAAAGATCGACAACGTTACAAATTACAGCTTCGGACAACATGACGATGGCAAGCCTTGTATATGGGCTGCTGGGAAAGCAGGCTGGTACGAGATCGTCTCGCCCTCGGATCGCTACCTGAGCCATTATAACGACACGGTCGAGGCCATCGACTTATTCTATTTCATGGTCGACCAGCATCAGAGACTGCCAAAGACGCGACAACGGTTTGGATTCAGAATAGATCCATTTCTTACAGATTACCAGCAACACACTGGATACAGAATCGATGACGATGACGAGGCGATGGAGACAATACACAAGCATCACAGATTCCTTCTCAGGAACATGATCGAGGAGAGGGAAGGTATAAACTGGTCCCAGACCTACCTTTGGAAGCACTTGGCCGAGACTTACTCCGAGGAATTGGAGGAACTGAAGTTAATCCTGGCTCGGCTGAACCAGTCCATGGCAGTCGCGGAGCCAGATTTGGCTGATGGGGACGACGTGGACGACGAGAACGACGCTGAGTCAGAGGATGACTCTTCCACCTCAGAGGAGTCGGAGCTCGGGGGGAAATCCGAAGCAGATTCTGAAGACAGTGCAAGCACGCCTACAGAAACGAAGCCTGAGCCAGTCGACTGGACCAAACCAATATGGGAAATGCTCAACGTACTACGAAAATCAGCCAACTTCAATATGCGGCATTGTGGGATCGACGAGGCTGCAACGGAACTAGAGAAACTAGCTGCTTTCGAAGGTACACACGATGACGCTGTGGCTGCTTTCGAGCGATCCGCCGACGAACTCCTCCGACTTATGAATGAGGCCAAACTTCGCAAGAAGTTCAATTGGTCTACCCGGAGAATCTATGATGAGCTAGAAGCCACTCTAGCAGGAGAAGTCGCCGACGAGACCATGAAGACGCCCGGCAAGCCGGACAAACAGCGTCATCGCATGAAATCTGTCTTGCGGCCTAGTGGCGCTAGTAAAGCTCACAAACGCGCTCGAGGTGCGGCCGATTCTCTGGACGAGGATGAAGAGATGAGCGACATACCAGCACCCTCGCTGGTGACCCGTCGACAAGCGCCTCCGCTCCCCACCCGTTTGAGAGAAGCGACAGCTGACTCGGCGGGCAGTCGTGAAGATAGTCCAAGTCGACAGCTCAATGGGCATTATGACCCTGACGCATTGCCAGAACTTCCACCCGGACCCGAAGCGCAAGAGATGCTAGATCTTGTCACCCAAGAAGCCAAGCGAGTCGGCAGGCAGTATCAAATAGGGCATCTGCAGTCCTTCTTAGGGCATTGGGCTGCATGACTTTTGGCATAAGCGAGGCTTCGGAGATGGCGCAAAGCAGCAGTGGCGCTGTGGTGGGCATGTCGAAGTTGATGTATAACCGTGATACCCCTTCTGCTTTTTGATTATAGCGACCAGACCAGACATAGCATTGAATCATCTTTTTCTTTCGTCCTTCCAATACCCTCGTGCCGTACTGTTCAACGCCCCGCCGCTCGTCTACTCTTGCCAGGCCGTTTGGCTTTGCCTTTCATCTTCGAGGCCGAAAACCCAGCCAAGTCGCCACTGCTCATTGCATCGCCGCTTTTGGAATGTCGCTTCTTCCCACCGAAGCCGTACTTATGGTCGCGCTTCTGTCTCTTGACGTTCGGTCCGGAACCGGCACCACGCTCGCGCCCCAATCGGTCCTTGGCGGGCGCCTTGTCGACGTCAACGCTCTGGAACAGCTCGTCGTCATTGTCTTCGCGGACTTTGCCTGTATCTTGGCCTTTTCGTTCTAGAAGAGCAGGAAAGGTCAGCACAATCATGGTGTTACTCGACGCTGGAAAGGTGACAACAACGAAACTAGCAATTGGGGCATAGGCGTACTTCGTTTCAACTCCTTAATCTTGTCCAAAGTATTCCTCTTCTCGCGTGCGCGCTCCTGCTCCTTGGCCACTTGCACGGCTTTTCCAAATTTCTTTGCGTCGCGCAACTTTCTCGCTTCCTCGCCCGCCTTCTTGCTCGCGGCGTCATCGTACATCTTCTTCCTCACCCGTCCCATGTGTTCGTCCGACTTGACCATCTCGGCGAAGTAATCTGCCGGTCTGGAGAACGGGACGTTTTCTTTCTTGAGCAAGGCGCGTGCTTCGACGGCGGCGTCGCGCGCGATGCGGTAAAATTCGAGTTCGCGGGTCAGATCGTCGTTCGGGTCTGGGATGGATGTTTCGGTGGCGGGAAGGGAGGAAACGAGACTGTTGTGTGCATGGAAAGGTGTGGATTTCGGGTTCTTGATCAGAGAGATGCGCTTGCACGAGGCGAGCAAGGCGGGACCATTGTTGATGGTCAGGCGTTGGTGTGGGATTGTGTCTTCGAGGTCTTCGTCTTCGAGGTCGGAAAGAGGAACGTCCGACTCATTCTCGGCTTCGGAGGCGGATGCGTCGACAGGGACGGATGGTTGAGGAATCGTAGTGCTGGTGCCATTGGGTTGGTCTTCTTCGTTCGAGAACGAAGCAAACTCCTCCTTTTCACCTTGATTTAACGAGGCATTTCCGTTCTGGTCGGTTGAGACATTGTCACCATCTTGTTCAGGCTCTTCGTGTTCCTTTGCGTTCTCGGACTTTTGGCGCTTGCGCTTCTCTGCTGCTTTTACTTGTTTCTGCCTCTTCTCTGCTTCATAATCTCGTCCTTTGTAGGCGTCCAGGGCAGTCAGAAGCTTGCTTTTCTTGGCCATGATTGAACTCTATAAGGTGTGGTTTCTAAAATCGATCCTGAGGGTGACTAAGTTGTGAAGTCCATGCGAGTTGTATGACCTCTGGTTACTGAAGAATTTCTGGAATTGGCAGAAAAAATGTATTGAGTTGGAGATGGGCTGCGGAGTTGATTTTGGGTGGATTCAGCATCGCAAAGATATTATTTCAACCTGACAAGATGATATCATAATTTAGCCGCGAAATCCAAGCCTGCGACTGTCAGACAGACTCAGTTTTCGAAGCGACCAAACTCCCGGTCCCACGGGGCTACTCGCAGTATCGACGTTGGCCTCCAAGTTGTCTACGATCTCACTATTATAGAGCACTTCGCAGGGACTGGGTAGCTTGGAACACCCAGCTATGTCTCTTGTGTAAGGCTCATTAGGCTTATACCACAAAGTCGGTGCAAGTTCTATACATTCCATACTTCCCGCCCTGTGCAACCAACAAAGCACCGTGACAAACAAAGAGTGACACACCATGGTAAGTAGTTACGCAGCTCTACATGCGCTCCCACACTATTCCGGAGTCGCATCTACGTGCTTTGGCTCTATCTACCTCCTGACCATGCCTAACGGAACGTACCTTCAGTCGGTGTCAGTCCCAACACCACCGCCCACGAGTCCTCCATACTCCACGAGCAAGACAACCACAGCCGCATCCGACTTCGCTGCTCCTAACGACGCCACCTCCAAACTAACCGAGGCCATCGACGATTTCCTAGGTGATCTCGAGAAGAAGTTCAAGGGGATCAGCGATGAGATTCTGACGAAGCGTACGGATACCTTCCTCTTCCCAGACTTCTTCGTACACTGGATGCGCAAACACTAACTGCAATCTTCCCGACGCATAGTAGACGACATGGCCGAGCGCTGCGATCGCCTCGAGCAAGAGATACTGTTCAGGGACACCAGTGCCATGGAGGATGTAGGGAAGACGCCAACTGGGTCGGCGGCGGGCTCAACGTGAACAGTTCAGTGTTCAGGATAAGACGTCAGACATTACATAGTCAGCAGACAGGGTGCTGAATGTTCGTCAGCTTCTGGCCTGGATAGGAGAGTGCCTCTGCAGCTCGACCTCGCGTGCCGGCAACGTGTCGTGGTTCCCGGAGAGTGAGGTCGATCCGACCGATGGTGTATCAATGGGATGTCCAAGCCGAGGGAATATGCAGATATTGCAAGGTATCAAAGCATGATCTCGATGGAGCACTTCCTCTCCATCACAGTTTCGTTGTTGCTCAGCATACCAGCCGCGAACTACTTCTCCGGGATGGGATGGATTACTTATACCCTCAGAAAGTGTCGGCAGGAAAGAAAGCATTTCTCAATCACGATACCATTTGAAACTCCTCTAATGATGGTCAATTTTTCAAGGCCATTTGTCGATTTCGCCCGGTGTACCATTGAATTTTCGTCACTCGCAGACCGCATATTCCTAACATGGTCTGGAATCTTACAACTCGCTCTTCCCTTCATCTTTAACCAAAAACTTGGCCAAAATGTTACTGCGTTTCTGCAAATCATCAATCTTCTCCGGCGCGAGACCACCCTTCTTCAACAACCCGGCTAGCCGTGTCTGCTCTTTCATCGCGTACTCGGGGTTGCCTGTGAGCTTAGACAAGGCGCGAAGGTAGTACTCCACGCTCTTATCCTTGAGACCTTGTGTAGCCTTCTTGATATCGGCAGTCGCCTTCTCGATGTCCTTGATCCCACCTTGTGTGATGTACTTCGCAAGCACACTGTCGATCACTTCGATTGTTCCCGCCTGGCTGTTCAGTCCACCGCCAGGGAGTCGGTACGTTCCAGCCTTGGAATTGATAAAGTCCACGAGGGCCTCTTCGCTACGTCCGCCGCTGTATGTTTCGGGCTCGGTGCTGCCCTTAGGGAAGAATTTGATGGTAGGATAGCCCGTGACCCCTTGAGCCTGCGCTGTGGCTTTGGAATTCTCGGCTTCCGCGTCGATTTTGGCGATTAAGACCGACGGTTCGGACGCAAAGTCGGCGGCGACTTTCTCCCATGTTGGGGCCAAGGTTTTGCAATCTGTTCACTCACATCAGCAGCTATTTCTTCCACAGGACGGGGCCGTGAGAGCACGGGGTTACGTACGACCACACCAGGGCGCCGTAAACGCCACAAGAACATCTTTGTCACCACCAATTTCAGTCTTGAAGGTCTGGTCTGTCAACATCTCCACATGGCTGGGCGCCTTCTTGGGGCCTTTGGCTTTGGTACCGCTCTTCTCGGCGACGAACTTGGTCAAGGACTCCAGGTCGCGACCGCCATTGTAATCCTCAGGCTGACTGCCAGGTTTACCGTCGAACCACTTCAGAGTCGGAAAGCCCTGGACACCGAATCTCTTGCCTAAATCTTTGTGCTTGTCCGCGTCGACGTTGGCGATGGTCACTTTGTTACCGGACGAGGCGAACGCGGTGGCCAGCTCTTCATATACCGGAGCGAGGTTCTTGCAGTGACCGCACCAGGGGGCGAAGAATTCGACGAGAGCGGGCTTATTGGACTCGAAGACCACGCTGTCGAAGTTTGAAGGAATCAGGTTGATCACGTCTGAGGCGGCGGTTACGAGGGGCAGGGCGAGTGCCGCCAGGGAGAGGAGAGAACGGAGGTGCACCATCGTGGCGCTGAATGTAAGAGGATGTAGTGTATCTGTAAGCAACAATGTGAGGGCTCAACGATATGAGTGTGTAGAAAGGAGGGATAGAGGAAGGAGAGAATGAAAGGACTGATGTATGTTCGAGGATGGAGTTTTGAACATTTGCCTGCGGTGACGCTGCGCTTCACTACTATTTCGAGCGGGTCCAGGGTCAGAGGGTCTCAGAATAATGCCCATGATTTCCAAGCATCGGAAAAGACACCTGTCTCCATGATGCTCCTTAAGGCTCAGCCTTGCCTAACTAGCCTCTAATAAGCCTCCTCTGAGTCCTCTCCCGATTACTTATCATCTCACATTTCCACCATTTTATACATTGCAAAAAAAGCCCCCCAGGGATCTTGGGATTGACGCTGCTGGATACACATTAGGCTGTCGGGGGTATGTATATAGGTACAAGGTCCTGTCCTTCTTCCGCATGCAGGAGCAAAATCTCGCATTTGCCAATACCTCCGGCCTAAATGGCTTGTCGACCCATCCAGCGCCTTTGCTTGTTACTCATCAATCGTTTAAATCCAGGCGAAGGGGTATTGCGAAACTCGATTAGTCGTCATGCTTTCTGTTGCCTCTGGAATCAGCTTTTGAAATATCATCCTCCAGCACTATATACCTGATGATAAGCGCTGTGTGCATCGACAAGCACTGGATACAGGTCAGCAACGAACACTATACGGAAGTTGACTACTACTCACTTTGTAGCACTTGTTGCTGAGAAATCTTGCTTTCGCATGCACACTGCACACATCTCCCATCCTTCAGATCAAGAACAATGCTCCAGGCTATCTCTTCTCTTTCAAGGTCGGGTAACGACGGTCGATTGAAGTCGCTTAAATGGTACTTCCGACTGACGCTCTTCATGTTGGCGTCCGTCATGGGTGGTGAGAATATGAGATATCCTTGATCGTCTATCCTCATGAAGCGCCGCTTCCACAATAGTGATTCGGGAAACTGCACATTGACGTCCCCAATATCGACAACGTGCATCAGGGACTCCCCAACAGAATTGTCCCTCAAAGACTCCGATTGTTCTTGAATCGTGTTTGGATGTGATTGCTCTTTCGAACCCAATTGACCTTTAGTGCGCGACGATGTCAGATTCGAGACCCGCTTCATCAAGCGGCTCGTCCTGGATGTTTTCGATTTCTCCTCGGAGATAGAAGCGGCATCACTCGCAGACCGTGGTCCATGCTTCTTGTGGGTGCTGCTTTGTGAAATTTTGCTGTGGTCGGATTCTGAACGTGGGAGGTTGGGGTGAGAAGAAGAACGGTGAGAAGAGAAAGAGAATCTGCCTCTATCTGATTTGGTAGGGCTTTTGGTGCCAGACTGCATGGACGCAAACGAATCTTCCCGTGAAATATTTTCGTGCTTCTCATGCTCCACGATTAGTGGACTTCGGAATAAGTTGAGAGGTGTATTATAACTGGAACTTGGTGACATAGGAGGGTGCTTGCTGCTGGGATCGCGGACGATTTTGGCAGTGACAGATATGGTATCTGCTTTATGGAAAGGGGCATAGCTGTCGACAGAAGGTCGTCTGTGCTCATTTGCATCTTGGGCATGCTTGGAATGGTCGAATTGAGGAATGAAAGCGGGGAGTTTCTTCGGTGGTGACACATCCGTAGAAGCATTTAGTTTTGGCTGATTTCCCACAAGTGATGAGCGTTTGATAAAGGCTGAGAATGCTGACCTTCTACCACTCGTCTCTCGGGCAGGTGGAGCAGGCTGTTGTGTGTTCGTATCCTTTGCTGTCAGCACCTCCAAAGCCTTGATACGCTTCGAAATGCCGGTGCCTAGAGTCGGCTTCTTCGTAAGTGGGAGGGGCATTGTTTCAGCTTGCACAGGCGGCCATTGAGGTAGCGCAGTTGATACACTGCGTACGCTACCGGACCTACTACCAGGTTTCGTGTCGGGTGTGCTTCCACGACTCGGTCTAGAAGGATGATTGGAATGTGACGACTTGCTCACAAGTTCACGCAGCTTGTCGGAGCTTCCTTTAGACAAGATGGGAGTGACGGGGGATCGTGCAACAGATATTGGTTTCGCTTCATGGACTGTGGCATTGTGGATATCATCCATGAGCGACTCGTCTTCCGAGAGATCTGATGCTGAGGTATCACCACCTGCTAGTCGCAGTGGTTGAGGTGGTGCGTGGCGCTTTGATTTAGTGGGTGACTTTGCAGAAGGAACTATTGTCGAAGGCCTAACCACATTAGATGCCTGAAACTGTCGGTCTTGGTGCGGAATAGATTCTCCTTTGGCAAAATCAGACTCCTCACTCTCAGAAAACGGAACGCCTAGTTTTCTGCTGTCCCATGATCTGCCATGTCTTGGAGAGTCCAGAGCTTTCGTCGGTGTTTGGCTGTCCTGAACGGGAGCTTTGGGAGTGATAGACGAACTTGTAGCAGAGGATAGTGACCGCCGCTTCCGCGAAACATCGTCCTGCTCCGTAAATGAGGATGCCTTTGTCGATCGCTCTCCCGAGATATTTGTCATGAACGTCGGAGAGGTCGTAGCGGATGACTGTGTCATTTTCGATTCCTCCTCAATGTTAGACAGCTGTTCTTGGCTTGGCACGGTAGACAGGTCATTGCTAGAGGCGACGGTGCTGAGACTAGTCTCTGAAGCATTAGGAGCGTGCGAGGTGGTGGGTGACAATGTAGATCTTTGCGCCAGCAGCATATTTCGTTTGCGTAATTGCAGGGCTTTCATCATCCTCAGCTTCTCTGGAGTGGCTGTAGATACTTCCGTTGTGACAGAGGCAGCTCTGGATATCGCGGGTCGGCTCTCGATCGGATTGTATAGGGATTGGATGTGAGATAGAGAAGGTAACGGGGGCGGTCCATTGAAGGAATGGGTGGAATTAGCGAAGCGGCCCGGGACGCTGCGAGTTGATTGCTGAGAGCCTGGGCGACCCGACAGCGAAAGCAAGGGCCTACCGCTCACACGGATACTGTGGGGGAGGTTTGCGACTGGCCGTACACTGATGCTGCTATCCGTTGTGCCTGAAGTCTTCGGACGATGGGTTGTTTCGACATGGGGCCTAGGTCCTAGCTTTTTCTTTTTGGCCTTGACGGTGGCATAGGAGGCAACGTTGCTGCTCCACTGACTAATGCTGTCTGACTCGGCAGTTGATAGATGACGAGAATGGAGCGGCCGTGGCGTCGGTGGCTCCGTTGGATCTCTGTTCGTCGCGTCCAGCAGTATGTTACTCGCAGCTTCAAAGTCAGGTGCTCTGGCAGGCTCGCCTTCGCTCGTGGTGGGTGGTGTCGATTCAGGCGTATCAGGCAGTGCCTTGTCTATCGTAGGTACCGGTGAGGCTGTTGCTCTATAGGAGAGGGAAGCTTTGGGTTGAGGCAGAGGAGTCTCGGAATGTGCGGAGTCTGCGGTCTGACCTGCAGCAGCCTCTTCTTTTCTCTTTGCCAAAAGCGCTTTCGCCAGCACCGCGCTTGCCGGTAGCTCATCCAACTCGCGCCTTCCATAGCTCGGTGCCGGGGGTTCTTCCACTTGCGCTGGGTGTATGATATTCTCTTCGGGCGCTGGTGTGCCTTCTTCAGCATCTTCAGTGATTTCATCCAGTCTTCGTCGTCGTAGGGATGAGCTCGAAGAGGTCAAGGATGCTGCAGATGGCAGGAGCATTGTGCTCAAGCCAAGTGCCGAATCAGTTAGTTCCGACGCGACTGTAAACGAGAACACGATGTCATGCGGTGTGAACGTTTCCAGGACGGATTGAAATTGGACGGTCAGCCGCACTGTAAATTCAAGTCAGCCATGCGGTGGGCGGCAGGACAACATCATAAAACGTGTCGACAGTGGTGATGACAAACCTTGTAACAGTCGCGATGTTCCCTCTGGCACATATTTGAGAATGACCTTCTTGCGCCTATATTGCACCAAGCCGTAAAGCGGTGACTTTTCCTCATACTTTTCGACCACACCTCTCACTTCCTGCACCCCTCCTGTTCCCTTCTGCAACAATTCGACTGTGTCGCGGGTGACGTACTTGAGGAGGAACCTGATGCCCGACATGTCAGCGCAATCTCTTCGGACCTCTTTGCATCCGACAAGACAAGACGTACCATCCTCCAGCTTCAGCCAGCGCAGCCTGGTGCGCTCCGGCAACCGCAGCTCCATCAAGCCCATTTAATGACATTCTTCAGCTGCATTTGAGAGGGCCGAAGCCACGGTGGTTCAAGACTGACACCTACAGATGAAGAACATAGGGATACAGGGCACGGAGTGCAAGAGACTCAGGGTTCCTTCACCAGTCAACCCTATTACCAGATAAAGAAGCGCCAAAAGTCTGGAGACGCATGTTCGAGGGGAACCCACATGCAGGAGCAGCACCAATCGAGCACAGCGCGGAACACTGTCTGCAGATTCAGGGGGCATCCCAAAGGGCCACACACCCAAAAGTCAGCTACGAAGCGAACCTAGACCAGGCACGACAAGGGTAATGGCAGTTGGTGGCAGACCAAACCCATGTCTCACCCACATCTGATGCGCCATGGTGGGGTGCCGTTGACCTCAAACAGCCCGAACAAGGTCTCCGTCCGGAGCCTTATTCGACCATCTTCACCCAAAACAAGGACCAATTTCGCGAGCCTGCAGCTGGCCCCGGTTGGCTTGTGAGGCCAGAAGCCAGCGACAGTTGAATCCATCGTGGTCCATCCACGACCATCAACGGACTATCGCTCTTACGGCTTGCCGGACTTCGTGCTTGACAAAACCATCGATCTGCTGGCGGAGCGAACTTGCGCTTGAAGCTCGAAAGAACTACTCGGTACTCCGTACTCCGTAATAATCGCAGTCACTTTGAGGACCAGATATCATGTTGGCGATCTCTGCCAATCTCTTTTGGCTTCGGAGATGCTCCGTTCCTCGTGCGAGCGAAGGCACCTGATACTGGACGTACCTTACTCGTCCATTTGAAATGTACCTGCCAACAACTTTTTGGTGTATCTGTCAGAAGCTGTGTTGACACCAGATCCGACGCACCGTTTGTGACTGCGGCTCGGTCGATCATCTGACAGGAGTTACAAAGCTTTCTTTTTACTTCCCCCAGTCTCTATGTCAGTCTCTGTCCGAGTTCCTATCATGTCTATCATGTAAGGTATGATGGGAAAAATCCACAGCTGATCGCACCACCCTTGTCGATGGCGCAATTTGTGCGGCATATGATTCTTTTTCCGTGCCTCACGTTCAAAATACGAGATATGGGAATACCTAGTTTCTTCACGTGGTCGCTGCCCTACCACATGGAGCCTTTATCTGCCAGCCATCGAGGAAATACACACTCTTTAAGGTGGTAATGCCATGCGTGGCGCTCAGTTCTCCGTATGCACATCTTTCCCTTGGGTCAACGCCAACCCACGTGATCCGTTGTTTACTCGTGGTTCACTGTTCGGAGCTTAGCGATGTGATATGACGTTGGAGTTTTGTTTCACGCTTTCATTGAAATGGAGGAAAACATTCAACTTTGCACCTTTTGCTTGTATTTCATACGCGTGCTCTACTGTTCACGAACTGAAGACAATTGGTGCTCGTAGGAGATTGTTCCCTCATACATCATGGCCACACTACCACCCATCACGGAGTTGCCAACCCTCGATACTGAAGAGAGAGCGCAAGTGCTAGACCTACTATTTGAGCCATGTCAACAACTTCATACCCTGTCTGTTAACTTACTCCGAGAGAATACGTATTATTCATACGATGAGCTCATCGAGGCTGTCGGCAAGCAACTGACAGACCTCTCCGAGTCGAATTTGGAAAGCGACAACAAATGGCTCGAAGCAATTCTCTCGGCTCATCCACGTCTTGGCGAGAAAAAGGTCGAGAGCGAGCAGAGTCGCAAGGAGCAAGCTCAGCTCAATCAAGGCGGTGAAGGAGAGACAGCCATGCTGGCGGAGATGAACAGAAAATATGAAGAGACCTTCCCAGGGCTGAGATATGTGTAAGTTGTCATCCTCCCACGAAGCTCGGCTTCGACCAGTTTCTAGAACGACGCGCTCCCTTCGCGACCGCTGACTCGGACCCGTGCAGGGTTTTTGTGGACGGACGATCTCGGCCCGTCATCATGGCGGACATGCAGAAGCGGATAGAACGGGGAGATCTGAAGCAGGAGAAGCGGGATGCGATCACGGTATGTCTCCTCGAGGCGGCGTTACATTGCCCAAACGGCTTTGCGGATCACTGCTAACTGCTAACTGCGAATTGTCAGGCAATGTGCGAGATCGCATCTGACCGAGCAAAGAAATTGGGTGCATCCTGATGAGACCGGACGGCAGCAAAGCACAGCACACGCTCTGTCGTGTATACCATTTGGACCCAGCGTCACAGCAAGGCGAGATTCAAGGCGCTACCGTATAGATCTGTCAATGACCGTCACAATTACCTTGAACATCGGTTCGGCACATCTCGATTGATCCTTACGGAGTACTCATATCCCAGATCAAGCCGGCTCTCGCTGCGATGCCGCACTGGCTCAATAGCGCACAGTAGTAGGTGCACCAGTATCGTTGCGATAGATAGTCTCTGGACAACGTGTCGCTGTCACTATTTACTGTCAAAAGTCACCACCGACATATAGAAATTCTAGCAATGGCTATTCCTCTAACTGAAAACTCATGCAGTAAATAAATCCCTTTTGCATTGAAGAATGCCCACGCGAGAAGGCTGGACAGATTATATTACAAGACTTCATCCTTCCAAAGCCTGGTTCATGTTGCTATTCGTAACATCCGCCAGCACCACATGCCAGTAGCATGGCAATCATCGCGGTTCGTGCGCAAGACTCTCCTCAGGTAGCAGACCAATCCGTCTGGACAAGAGTCTACTTGCTTGTTAACTTTTTGTGCTCATCGTCACTCTCTTCTTCGCCATCACTCCACTCTATTCCATCGTCCCCGACAGCGAAAATCGTCTCTCCGTCCAACGACTCCCTCGGTCGCGGCGGATTCGGCGGGGCTCTGCTGTTGTTCTGCAACGCTGGTGCTGGTGATGCTTTCCTTGGTGATATATTAACGGCGTCCGTAAGCGAAGTTGAAGCCCCTCCAGTCGGGCCGACTTCGCGCTCGTGATCTTTCCGCGCTGTTTCTTCATCATCAGAAAATGAGTCCGCAATACTTCTGATCTCGAAGCCGTCGTCATCTTGGGCCAACTAGTCCGACTTGTCAGCCAAATTTCCGGAAATCTTTCCTGAACAGCGGAAGAACTCACTTCATCACTCATAGCGAAACGCCTATTGTTCGCCGTCGGCCGCCAGAGATAGGCAACAAACGCAATATCGAACAGATACACCAGATTTAGCCACCCATCCAGTACAAACCACCGCGTCTGCCAATGCTTGGGCACGAAGTCGGCCTCGCTACTGCCCGCGAATGCAAAGCTGTTCACGAAGAAGAACGCGAAAATCACCAATATGGACCCCAAGATACACCACGACAACTTCCTGTACATCAACGCCTTGGTCTTCTGCTTGCGGTCGACCAGGTCCTTAATCGTGACGTTAAGGCTGGACAGTGTCCAGACGTAGAACGCCGTCAGTGTTCCGGCGAGTGGGAGAATGACAAACAGTATCAATGGGCCCACGGACTCGGGCGTCACGGCCATGCTTGCGACAGCGTAGATCACGCCGAATATGAAATGTGCGGCCGCTAGGATTCGCACGTATATCATGGTCCGGCCGAGCGAGGGCTTGACCACGCCGAAGCCCATGCACACGATCAGCAGCAAGAAAAAGCTCAGCGAGTTTCTCCCGGCATTCAGGATCGACACGATGATCATGAACACCTTGTTCAATGTGTTGTTGCCGTGACGGTTCTGGTAGTCGTAAAACCCCCATGTCATGAGCTGCTCGACAATCAGGAAGACGATGGTCGCGGTGATGTAGTTCTGCACAGGCAATATGTCGGATCTGTTCTGGACATAGAGGAAGGCCCAGAAGGCACCCAGCACAGCGTACACTATCGTCAGGCCGCCGTAGAAGGGGAGTTTCGCAATCTGGGCCGCGGGCAATTCGCCGTAAGAATTGCGAAACTCCACCACCGCATCATACTCGTGGTCACTAAAGGCATACGTGCTGACGCAGTAGTATCCCGTCCGACGAATCGGATAGTTGATCGCCTTCGGGTCCTTGAGATGAATGGCTTCATTGTAGATAGGATTCTTTGCAAGTGAGGTCGCGTTCGGCGCGAGGATGAAAGACCCGATGTCCTCCTCTTCGCAGAGCTTCTGGCCCACGGCGTCGGGCGTGCATATTGTTTGGAGATCTCGGTAGCTGGTGCTGCCTTCGGGCATGCGGCCAATCAGGGGCTCGTCGGTCCATTCGAAGATGATGAGGGAAGAAATCGGGTCGGTGTCGTCTTCGGTGTGGTCGGGCAGGTATTTAACGAGGATGAATGGCTCGACGGAGCCACCCCAAGATTTGCGGCTGTACATGCCGCTGCATCGTTGCCGGTTGGCGTCGTCTTGTTTCTGCAAGAATTAGCATGATGACGCCGGATGCGAGAGATGAACGGAGCGGGCTAACCAATTTCACTTCGTTACCAGCGACGAGGGTCGCGAGGTATGCCAGCAGGCCCAGGGACGGGACCCATCGCTTCATAATGCCTGTGCCTGTGCGTGTAAGGCGCTGCAGGCGGAGAGGTTGAGAAGAGACGAATATACCGGGTATGGTGGTCAGAAAGGGGGACGAGGATGTGATCTCGGCAGCAAGTTATACAGGCTCTCAATCGTAGCGCATGTTGACGGGGTGAATGAGCCGTCAAATATGACTGTGGCGGAGAACGATGTGAATAATATTTAGTCCTGGCTGCGCAGATAATCAAAGGTGTTGTTGATCCAACAGGCTGCTCGAGTATCGTTGGCGTAGGCGGAGCACTACTGGCGGGTCGTCGGATGCGCCGCGTCACTAATGATCCACCCTTCACATTTCCTTCATCCAGCATCTCACGCCTCAATGTATCCAGAATCTCGAAGTAGGCGCAAGACCTTAAGTGTTCTATGGCTACTGGTGCACAAATGATTCAATGTTGATAGCGCCATGAAATGGCGCAGATCGGCGGGAAGAAAGCACGCGGTACCATAAGTAGAAGAATGAGAAAAATGGGAGGACGGAGATATCTTCGATCATTTCGTGGTCAGCATATCGACAACCTGTCCCGTATTCCCAGTAATCGGCCCTCCTACGAATCACCTTCATCAGGAGGGCTGTGCTCGACACATGGCTGTTCTGTTGGTTTACTCTTGGTCTTCCCAACCAAACTCCGTGCAGTGTCGCAAATGTAGATATGTGGACCGACAAAGCTTTCGCTAGCGTCAATGCCTGCGGACTCGTCCTCTTCGTGCTCGTCAAGCAGCTCATTGATCGTCTTGAGAAGGCCAGTCGCAACAGCTCGATTGCTTGTAAGTGTGACAATGCGTCGAACCCACCCGTACAGGAAGACAGAAGAATTTATGGCTGTAAGAGGCATCACGGATACCACCCGGCTAGCAATCGAAAAGGTGAAGTCGTTGCATCTCAGAGCCGCCTGGCTGGAATCGTTCCTGCGCGGAGAGAAAAGCCCGTCTGCACCGAAATCAACGACCTTGATAGGAAATTGTATCTGATCCGGCACAGCATGTATAGAATGTTCAGCAAAAGCCCGGCGTAAACCTGAACTTGGTTGTCCCCCGAAAGGTCCTTCACCAAGGACAATATCTGCGCGGGTTCTTTCGCTCGTAGTACCCATACACTGGACGATCTCACGCATTCTTTGTGCTGCATGAGCCGTACATTCGAGAGCCCGACCGGACAGTACAGAATATATCTCTTCCGGCAGAAGCGGGTGACATTCCTCGGATTCGATTTGCCTCTGAATAGCTTTGTGGAATGTCGAGGAAGTAGGATTGCATCCCGCCGACATGTCTCGCCGCCGCAGGTGAGATATGTCCGATATCAGGGCCAGGAGAATGGTACAGTCGATGTTGATCGTGTCAGTCAGAGGCACTGGTGCTATTGCAGGCAGCATTCGATCAAAGTTGGGAATCTGCTTGATTGTATATGTGTCTTTTGGGGAGAGCCCACATTGGACAGCAACACCCGTTGCTCTGAGGTCGGCCAGAAACTCGTCCACATCATCAAGCACGCCCTCATGGACGTTAGGGAGAACGAAACGGACATGTACATATCGAAAATGTACCCTGACTCCCTTTGACGCAGCCTGCAGTTCTTCGGCAAGCCGCACTAGCTCAAGTTTGCTGGTATTTCTCTTAGAAGATCCCTCTTCATTGTCCGTTCCACTGTCATCGCTAAAATCTGCATAGGATTCCCACCCTTCCTTGGCCATCTCAAAGAGCAACCGTTTTTCGCTGATAGTTGAGACTTTGATCCACTCCAAACCGTTGTCGGTTACGATATCAACAAGAACCATGCCCTTCGGAGGATGCGGTTTGCAAGTTGAGATGGCATCATTAGGTCCCTCTTTGTTCCGCGTTTTGGCGAGAGGGAAATATATCTTCTTTCCCAAGGCGGTAATGGCATGACTCGACTTTGCAACGTCCCAGACTGCTTCGAAGAATGACAGATTCGAGCTCCGTAAAGCGTGCAACTGGGGTGATTTTTCCACTTCCTTCTCTTGAAAAGCTGAGCCCTTTTCGCTCGCGAGCGTGGATTTCTGTGTGATTCTCTCCAAGCTCTTTACTTCAGACTCAACTCCGCGTCTGAAAATTCTCAGTTCCACTTCATGCTGCTTGTTGTAAGACTTGAGATGTGCTTGATAGGCTCTAAACTCATCCAACAACGATCGTGCGCGGCTTTGCAGGTTGCTCAGAAGATTCGCAGGGTCGTCGGTTGCAGACAGCGGGTCTCGGCTGTGATTGACGGGATCTAACATGGCAGTCTACCGTCGTTATAACAATTTCTGCTGCAAAAGCGTAGGGTTTTGCAGAACCGTCGTGTGGAGAATAGAGGGGATATCTGCTGCGGAGCAGAGGCGACTCCGATTGGCGGAAGCAGAATCTCGTCCACAAAGCGGCAAGACCCTCCAGCGCCGTCCATCCGCAGCTCCATGTCCTGCGAAGCACGTATTCTCATCGATGATAGTTAGTGGAACCTTTATCATGTCAAAACCATGCCTGTGTCCGTCTCAAAGATCTGGATTTTTGATCTGGTCTCCTGGCAACCACATGCAAACCTTGGTGTCAGCAGTTGCAAGCATGTTGTAGCGTGGGTTGCATTGCACAACGGCACTCTTTATTCCACGACTTGCAAGTCTGGCGATAGGCTCTTGCCGACCACCAGTTGCAGCATGAGTGTCCCAGACAAGTAGATCAGACTGATCACCAGCGCCGCCAATGACATATCGACCATCTTGTGTAAAGCATGCATCCCCTTGTCCCAGTGGTTTTCCTGAAGTCGAGATTGGTGCAGCTCGTCCTGTGCCGCTGGTCTTGCCAACCAAGAACGATTTGACTGATCCATCGTAGGCATCTAGCACGAAGTGACCGTGGTAGTCGGTTCCTAGAAGCATGCTCTTCCCATCATTGGAAAATTCCAGCTTAGTCCAGGCCCGGCCTTTCGTGGTTGGGGTGTATCTATCCTCGGCTTGTGCCATGTCTACTGTTTCGAAGGGCGCTTTGTCGAAATTCCTGACATCATACATAAGGATGGAGGACGTCGATTGAGACGCTATAGCCATGACGTTGGCCGAGGGGTCGTAGGCAGCAAGGTAGGGTGTGACCAATTTCAATTTGCCCTGGGGGCTTCTTGAGTTCAGGTCCCACAGACACACCATGTCGTCGTTTCCACATGATAGGAATTGATCGCTCCCAGGCGATAAGGCTATGCAGGTGACTTGTGCCGTGTGCGCCGTGAAGTATCGGACGAAGCTTTCGTTGTGTAGTTCGAGCAGTCGAAGAGAGTCTTCTTGTTTTGTACTCGCAAAGAGAACATTCCGCGGATGATGGGTGAATCGAGCGAGATGAATCCCATACTTCTTGCTAGGTATCACCTTTGTTCTCTTTCCCTCCTTGATGTCGTACACCTGCATCGTCTCGTCGTCCGAGGCCGCAACCAGGAAGTCGCCAGCGTCGTCGAAATCTAGGGATGTGACTCGACTTTCGGTTCCATCGGGTCGCGTTGATCCGGGAAATTGCTAGGTCTTGTCAGCATGGAGTTGAAACATTGAAAGATAAGAGGCATAGGGGTTCACTCTTGCAGGCCGGTAGTGTTTGACCACATCTTGGACCTTTTGTTGAATGGCAGCCATGGCCAGAAACAAGCCAGAGGCTGTAATTGTAGTCAAGTCGTGCGCATGAACAGGATCGAGATAGTCATAAGACAAGCTGTCAAATGTTGCCAGAGAGGAAATCGGAACATACAGTGTGATGCTGTTGTTCAGAGTATGGTGACAGTGTGTCCAAAAAATTGAAGCGCGGATTGCGCCTGCAGTGCGGAGAGATGATTCTGATGCAGGAACGCGCCTGGTGTGCTGCCAAACCCTTGACCGAATTATTACTGAAGATCCTTGGGACGGCAAGGCACTTGCTTGCTGCTCCGGGCCACCGAGCCTGATCTGACCGCTCTCCAGGCCTTTGTCAGCCTGGTGCGCCCGTGGGCTACGCACAGCTATTTACGGCAAGGCTCCCCTGGCAATGCTCGCTTACTGGGGATATTCGCGGCAGCCGGACAGTCCGCTTTCACGACCTGGTGCGAGCTTTCAACTAGGATTTTTTAGTCACCATCATTCACTATTGTTTTGCGTGGTCCATCGTCAGCGAACGCCCTACTCGTAGGCTGACCCGCCGAGTCTTTACCTTTTAATAACCCTCGTTCGTTCCTATGGCCACGCTCCTCGGTTGTAATTCATCTTCCCAATAGAATCGCAGTGGAGGAGAGGTCGAGGTGTCCCAGCGATATCGGCCGGCTACCATGGCGACCACAACTGGTGCATTCATTGCGGGCGGTATCGCAGCTTGCGGCGCCGTTACTGCGACACATCCTTTCGAGACAGTCAAGATCAGACTACAACTACAGGGTGAACTACAGTCGAAGGATGTGGCAGTCAAGAAATACAAAGGCGCCTTTCATGGCGTCGGAGTCATTGTGAAGAACGAAGGCATTCGTGGGATTTACCGGGGGATTGGGTGCGCATACGTTTACCAGATCCTCCTCAACGGATGTCGTTTGGGCTTCTACGAGCCGATGAGAGCCGCCTGCACAAAACTCATTTTCAAGGACTCCGCTGTTCAGTCTTTGGGTGTCAACATCTTCTCCGGAGCTGCTTCAGGCATCCTAGGAGCCATGGCTGGTTCTCCGTTCTTCCTCGTCAAGACTCGCTTACAATCATACTCGCCCTTCCTCCCGGTTGGAACGCAACACAAATACCGCAACGCGATTGATGGTGTCAGGCAAATATACAAGGGAGAAGGAGTGAGAGGTCTATACAGAGGCATGGGTGCCGCCATGGTCAGGACCGGAGCTGGAAGCTCTGTTCAATTGCCGACATACTTTTTCGCCAAAAGACGATTAATGCGCCATGCAGGAATGGAAGATGGACCAGCCCTACATCTCTTGAGTTCTACGGCTAGCGGCTTCGTGGTTTGCTGCTTCATGCATCCTCCCGTAAGTTTACTCCACGCATCCACTTTGTCACCGTAATCATTGACCATGCAGGACACGGTCATGTCCAGATTATATAACCAGCACGGCAATCTCTACGGAGGCATCTTCGACTGCTTGTACAAGACTGTCAAAACGGAAGGATTACTCAGTGTCTACAAGGGATTTTCAGCTCACCTTGCTCGGATATTACCGCATACCATCCTTACTTTGTCCCTTGCAGAACAAACGAACAAATTAGTGCGAGGAGTTGAGACAAGGATCCTACCACGATCTACCATGGACAAGCTATGAGAGCCATATAGTGTGGCACATGGTTCGCATTCTCAGCGTTTGTACTAACATTTACGGTATGCTGGGGATTTATTGGGAAAGATGGACCACGTCTTATGAGCATTTAGAGTCCTGTGGAAGCCGTAGACACAATTAGCAATGAGAGGCAGGTGGCAATCCTCACTGAACCAGAAGTGGCAATGCTTGACAGAGGGCATATGACCAGAACTGCTATCAACGAGGTCAATAATACCTGGTCTTTGACACAATACAGGGAGCAGATGCGTCACTGCCGGATCTGGCATTTGGTATTCGGATGGGCACCCAGATTGAGCAGACTTTTGTGCTGTAGGTGACTACCTTTTTCAAGCCAGGATTACAACTGTCTGGCAGAGACGCACGCCCAGCGGATAATGCCAGCGTTGACAGCACTGTTTCTGATGGTCAAATACAGGCTGCGAGTGTTCAGCCTGGAGGATACTCCTTGTGGTCTACACGGACGCCTTGAGCATTCAAAAAAAATCTGTGTTTTGGCCATACGTGGTCCGCACCTACTCAATTAGTCGAAGCCTGAGCTTGCAATATAAGAGTCCTCCATACCGAAACAGCCCGAAGGCGCCGCCTTGTGCACAGAACCTCACAGGCTGCCTTTGGTTTGTCTCGCGTCCACTAAGCGGGACGAAACTTCCTTTAAACATCATTGTCCTTCCCTCTTCCCGAGATATAAGGCATTCAGGGGTTCAGCCTCGTTATCTGTCTTCTTCTTTAGTTGGGCTCGGTTGGACCAGGTCCATTTTCTTGCTGCTTGGTCGTTCGTTTGACCGTTCGCCGTCTGCTCCTTGCGTTGTCTCCTCGTGAACTCATCGCGGCCATTCATCACCCCGTTCTCCGTTGCGCAGCTCTGTCCCTTTATCACGGAGCTTGTCTTGACAGAACGCAGACTAGTTGCGTTCCTCCGGCCAAGAGTATGTGATTTTGTCCCACGAATCTGTAGGCATCGGATCTTGTTGTAGTTCGGGAAGCCCTTTAGCAAAGAGTCCTCCTTCGATCAATCAAATCCCGTCTCTCGTGGTGTCTGTGCCTTCGAATTTCTTTTCTCCTCGTAGCTTCGCAACAGCCTTCTTCCCTTCCAAGCCTTGAAATGCCGCCAAATCGGGTTGGTGGAGTGCTCATGCCTCCCAACAGCGCTTCCACAACGAACTCACTGGTCGGCCTGCCGGACGAGGTCCTAATCCTCATACTCTCTTTCCTCTTTATGTCCTCCACGGTCCCGAGGTACCAGTTGCAGGACCTCTGGGATATCTTTCGATTGAGACGCGCCCCGTACGATTGCACTGCGGTCTTCCTAGTGTGTCGAAAACTGCGCGAGACCGCTAGAGCCGCCTGGTACCAGCACGTTCAAATTCGAGTACAAGACCCGGGAGACGTTTACTTGATAACAGGCGGAGCACAGGTCAATCCCCCAGCTGCGTCACTCCACGTAGGCCTTGGGCGACTCAGATACTTGGACCTTGCACCCAGACCATTTGGAATACTTGTGCAACATGCTGAGCACGTCAACGGATGGATAAGGCTGGCGACGATGCTACCAGAGCTCCGAAGACTGGTAATCCGCCCATTTGGCTACCAGATCTTGGTTCGATCGGTTCCGCACTGCGCTTCAAGCATCAGCCACCAATGCGGCCACCGTTAGCTATTTCCAGCGCGTTTGGCATCTCATCGACGATCTGAAGGCCAATGGATTAGCTCGCCATATAACATATCCCGGTGTCGTCGCCACGACTGACGCTACCTATCAAGATCGTCTCAACCGCTTCTGGGCAACATATGGAGCGGCGGTGATGACTATCATCGCCATCAACCTGCATAAGCTTCGATCTGGAGGTACTGCTTATATGTACTACATCAGCAGCTTGACAGAATGCCATCCCGCCAATGGCAAGGTTCTCAGCGAGCTAAATGACCTGGCCACCATCAAGCAAACAACGACAAGCGGCATCCGACACTTGGAGATCAAGCTGGGCATGCAATGTCGGGAACGCAACATCTCGAATAGAAGAGTTCATCAGACACTCGTACGTATCGAGAGCACGTTACACCGGGTCGGAAGTTTGCTGACTGACTGGGCGCAGGGCCATTACTGGGATTTGAGTAACGAGTGGTTCTTGGGAAAGCCAATCCCGAACGCTTCAGCCTCTTAGATGGGGCAGAAATGGTCATCCGGTCATGGAAAGGGTCGCTGAGACAGGTACAAAAGGCCGACAGAAGAGAAAGCTGGGCAGGAGAAGAGCAGGTCGGAAGGAGCAATGGTCCATGCAAATGCAGGTCTAATCGAACCCCAGCAGGCTAAAACACGCTTCTACACGATGACACGTGACGTCGAGAGAGATTCATCTGATAAGATGAGATTAGATGGGTCTCCGATGGATGCTCCCGTCATCATGCATCTCAAATCCAGGCTGTTGCCTGAGATGGTTGGTGATAATGGAACAGTTACGACATCAACCACGCCAGCTTGTTCAGCATTGTGTAAAGAAAATCCACAATTCTCTGGCAGATCTGGCCATGTGCAATCCACAGTCGCGGTGGTCACGGTCACAATGTTGATGTGAAGTGGAGAGCTGCCAGGGTCATTCACGGGCTGTCCAGCAACGCGAAGTCGCGCTAGCGCGTGACCGCGATTTCAATTAAAACCCGTGCAGTCTCCGGCTTTTCCAGCATTGATTCCTCTTCCATTCCTCGCGTCTCACAACGACCCAGTTGATACCTCCCAGTACCTCTTTGCTTTATTTCTTTGTTCTCAATTGCATTGACACACCACAGAAACAATGGACACTCAGATCACGCCGTCAAAGCAGGTACGTTTTCGCCACTGCCGTCATCGATTGAGCGGAAAGGTACATAACTAATACCATACGCGCAGGCGGCTTCGAGCCTCGAGAACCTCAAATTCAAGGACAGCCCCGTCAAGAAACTCGACTTTAATGTTGAAGACAAAGAGAATAACCCTACCACTGTCGATGTCGCGATAAACATGACTGAAAAGGTCAACGTGACGAAGGTCCAAGAGGACGCACCCAAGCCTGAAGAGTCAAACCGACCCAAGACTATGAAAGAGCTGGAGGCTGAAGAGGATATCCTGAAGGAGAACCCTCATCGTTTCGTGCTCTTCCCCATCAAGTACCATGAGATTGTAAGTCGATCCCAGACGCTTCCGGGCCTTAGCCATGCACTTCTCGGACCATAACTAACCTGTGTCGTGATACAGTGGAATCACTACAAGAAGGCCGAGGCGAGCTTCTGGACAGCCGAAGAAGTCGATCTCTCCAAAGACCTCCATGACTGGCACAACCGTCTGAATGATGACGAGAGATACTTCATCTCTCACATCTTGGCTTTCTTTGCTGCTTCAGATGGCATTGTAAACGAGAATCTGCTTGAGCGCTTCAGCGGTGAGGTGCAAATTCCAGAGGCCCGCTGCTTCTATGGGTAAGGTCGAGTCTAGGCTGCAGATCAGACGTTTCTGACATCTGCCCGACAGTTTCCAAATCATGATTGAGAACATCCACTCAGAGATGTACTCTCTGCTCATCGATACCTACGTACGTTTTCCTGCCCTCCCAGCTTCACAGCAGTCTCGTCGATAGTGCAGTTACTATCAGAGATATGTCCACTGCCCTGCTTGCGTTTATTTCACAAGCTTTGACTGACGCGTATTGTTCACTTGCTTGCAGGTCAAGGATAATAAGCAGAAGACCTATTTGTTCGATGCTATTGACACCATCCCTTGCATTCGCAAGAAGGCCGACTGGGCATTGAGATGGATCTCCGATGAAGAATCGACCTTCGGTCAACGACTTGTCGCTTTCGCCGCAGTCGAGGGAATCTTCTTCTCCGGCTCATTCGCTTCCATCTTCTGGCTCAAGAGCAAAGGTAAGCTTCTTGTGTTACCGCCATATATCTCGACTCTAACATCACTTAGGTCTGATGCCTGGCTTGACCTTCTCCAATGAGCTCATCTCCCGTGACGAGGGTATGCACACAGACTTTGCTTGCCTGCTCATGCAACATCTCAAGCACAAGCCGGCGCCCGCACTCATCGAAAAGGTTATCACTGAGGCTGTCGCCATCGAGAAGGAATTCCTCACTGATGCTTTGCCTGTCGCCCTTCTCGGCATGAACGCCAAGCTGATGCAACAGTATATTGAATTCGTCGCTGACCGCCTGCTACTGGCATTGGGCAACAAGCGCTACTACAATGCGCAAAATCCTTTCTCATTCGTAAGCTCTCACTCCCCCTTGCTCGCCTTTCTTGTCGATACTGACCATGGTGCTAGATGGAGAACATCTCTCTTGCCGGCAAGACCAACTTTTTCGAGAAGCGTGTTGGCGATTATCAAAAGGCTGGCGTCATGACCTCCAAGCGGGAAGAGAAGCCCGCCTCTCCTGGGGAGGAGAAGACTGAAACAGATTCCAACGGCCTCAACTTCAACGAGGATTTCTAGATGTTCACAACTTGTCACGATCATTTGTTTTCACGGCGTTTCATGAAGGCGTCGGTGGGAAAGACATAAATCCGGTTCATATGGCATCTACCTCTACTTCAAATACCCCCTTGCACCATGGTCAAGGACGGCATGGAAAACAAAACGGTTCATAGGTGCTAAGCATGGGTTTACTCTTATTCATGTCATAGACCGTCTGGGGCCCGGTCTAATTTATGGGGTGTGCATAACTGTGGTAGAAATGGGATCTGGGTCTGGTCTGGTCTGTGCTTTGGTTATGACGAAAGCATTCGCATAGAGTTGCGAACACTATATCACATGGTGTCTGTAGTATAAATACAGAGTCAAATGAAAACTCTCCGTTCATGCTGGGGTCTCGCAGTTTTCGGCCATGAGCTGTCTCTGCCAGCCTTGTGTCGCCCCTTTTTCAGATGGAGCCTTGTCGGAGCGGGGCCATGTTAGTCCGATGTATTAGAGGACGAGCAGCAGCGGCTCACACAAGTCATGTTCTTCTGTTGTGAATATGGTCAAAAGCTACATGGAAAGAAGACCAGTTGGTGGCTTCGGAAGGGAGTTGCTCATTCTCTTTCACCACTGTCGAGCGGGTGGCGAGCAGATGCCAGAGTATTACCTAGCACATCTTGGACTGCTTCACTGTCCATTTCCCACACCAGGACCACCATGTTTGACCCTCACGCAGGGAACCATCGGCCATCTGATTGACTCATTGTGCCTTCTCACTCGTTCGATTGTCAGATACTCGGCAATAGGCATGCTCAGTATGGCACACTTTCATACTTAGTGCCATCGGTCTGAGGGAGAAGGCCCAACTCTATGGCCGCTCCAAAAGCTGGCACTGTCAGAGTCGTATCATCATCGGCAATGGCATTCCTTGTTCCGTCTTTTCATTGAACATGCCAAATGCTGGTTATGAGCTGCGATTTGTCCATTTTTCATTTAACAGACATAACAATGTGTCGTTGCTCATTTCTTCCCTTTCTTCTTCTTTCCCTTGCCTCCCCCTCCCCCTCCTCCGGTTTGGCTTGCTGCCGGCGGCGCAGCAATGACATTATCCCCGGTCTTCGGCGCGACTACACCAATCCCATTCCCGCTGTCAACGTCCATTTTATCTGCACTATCCACCACTGTGGTTGTTGTCTGTCCCGTCGCGGTGGTGGGCATTTCAATTACTTCGCCCTTAGCTAACCGGCCCAGTCCCGCAAGTAATCGTCCTACTTCGGCGGCCTTGTCGGTACGGTATTTCAAGCATATGCCCGATTCAGGATGAAAAGTCTTGAGCGTGAGGATCGCGGAGGGATCGCGTTTGACTTGGCCTTGTGCTTGAGCTGCGGCGCTTGTTGTTTCGCTCGATGGTGCAGAAGCAGCGGGTTGTTCTTTTGAGGGATTGGATCGAGACTTCGAGTTCGCTTTTTTGGGCAGGGAGTATTTCGTGGTTAGCCGACTGGAAGGGTAGGCTTGGATGAGCAGCGAGGATTGGTGGAGATAGGTGTGTAGGTCAGTGAAATAAGGCATCTTGAGAGGGTTCGCAAGTGAGAGAGTCCCGGCTGGGAGAAGGTTTGTCTTATGGTCAAGATGTGTACCCCGTAGGGTGTCGCTGTTTTGTGGACGAGGTTGCGGAGGACCGAATTCGCTCTAGGGAGCGCTGCGAAGTTGGGTTTCTAGTAGTGACTTATCATCAAGCAATTCGGATTGCAAATAACCAACCCTCAAGACTAGGCCCACTGGTGTTCAAGTACGGTGTTGTGCAATTATCAAAGATACGCAGTGCGGAGAGTGGAGGAATCTTCACTTCACATTGCGAGTGACGGAAAGCTGCTTGGCGTGGGCAGCGTAAACCTCAGCCGCCTCTAACCCGAGTGGAAAGAAGACTTCCTTCAGGTTTCCATGACAGTTGATCTGAAGGCATCTACCGGCACCAATAGTTACATAGGATCGTTGTCCCAAACTCACGAAAGGTGCAGTCGGAGACAGGAGTGATCATTAGCCCTTCTCTTGGATAACCTGAGATACTCTACAGATTCCAGCACACCAACTTATCACTCCATGCAATGTCGCCGAAGCTGGAACGGCACCTTCTGCAGCCATTTATCTGTTCGAGATGTCAGACTCAAAGGCACTCCCCCTTCCTACCGCGCTCGCGCACTTTTGCAACCTCTCCAGCAGCACATACCGTATCATCGAGCACGCCTAAGTATCTCCAGCTCACGAACCGCACCATTATTAGACTGGTCGGGCCCGATGCTGCCAATTACCTGTTCAATCTCGTGCCCGCAAGATTATTGGGCACCGGAAGCACAAAGCCTATCTATACTGCGTTCCTCTCCGCTCACGGGCGCATCCTGAACGATGTGTTCATTTATCCACCCCTCGACTCCACCAGCGAGGAGTGGTACGTTGAGGTGGATGCCGAAAGCGCAAGTGACTTGTTGAAACATCTGCGCAAACATAAATTGAGGTCGAAATTCCAGTTGGATAAAATAGATCCGGACAAGATGGGCGTGTATTACAGCTGGCCATCCGACACGGAAATTGGAGGGTCGACGGGCCGGATTGGCGGGCAGGATCCACGACCAGGTATGGGCACGCGATGGCTGGATGGAACCTCTTCCAAGCCAGAAACACTGCAGAGGCTCGAGGAGGGCGGTGGGCAGGCCGTCACCTTGCAGGAATACACGATCCACAGAATGTTGAACGGTGTGGCCGAGGGCCAGACGGAGCTGCCGACTGCCAACTCCCTGCCGCAGGAGAGCAACATCGACTTTTTCGGCGGGATTGACTTCACGAAAGGATGCTATCTGGGTCAAGAGCTCACGATTCGAACGCATCACACGGGCGTAGTCAGGAAGCGGATATTGCCTTGTCAACTGTATGATGAGCAGAATCCGCCCTCGAGTGGGCAGACAACTCCAGAATATAAGCCCGATCTGTCGCTGCCAATGCCGCCGTCGCAGTCGAACATATCAAAACTCAATGCCCGTGGTCGGGGACGAAGTAGCGGGAAATGGCTGTCAGGCGTGGGCAATATCGGTCTAGCGTTGTGTAGGCTGGAAATGATGACGGATATCCAGTTGACGGCAGACACGGCGAACTATGATCCGAATGAACAGTACAAAGTACAGTGGGACGTCGATGGAGAGGAAGGGAAACGTGAGATCATGCTGAAGCCCTTCGTGCCGCAGTGGCTAAGGGAGGGCGTCGAGCAGAATCTACGCAGAAAGGAAAGGAAGGTCAAGCCGCGACGGGAAGAAGACGACTATGAGGATGTTGACTGACTCTGTACTACGTATACTACCTTATCTTGTTGCAGGATGAGCGACGTTCTTGCCCGTTGTAAACGTTGAGTCCGCCTCAGAACTATCCAAAGGATTTACTCGCATGTGTGAGCAGTATTTTGACCTGGAGGGCACCAGCAGTCATTCACTACCATTGCCCCATAATCCCCCCTTTGGCTAGCTCATGCCTTTTTGGGTTTATATTTCGAAGTCGCGCAATTTTCTGTTGCAATTCAGCCTTGATGGCCATCTTTAAGACTCTCCACGTCGAATCGCTGTTTGCGTGGTCCGGTTGGTGGGCCTTTCCTTGGAGACCATAAGCTCAACGGCTTGATGGATTGAACTGGGAGTCATTCTTCCGTTGCAGGTCTCCATGAACACCAAGTAACCTGATGCTAGACAGAGTGGACAGGTAGTGAAAGGTGTTCATAGTCGGGAGAGGTAAGAGAGGAGCCAGTCTCCTCTCCAACTAGACTTTTTGCCAGTTCATTTCGCTCCGAGGCTCTTTGTTCTTTTTTGTGTCCATTTCGGCAAGACTGGATATTTTATCGCTAGAGGGATTGTGGGTTGACTGGCTGAGGATGTGGCAGAATCTGTGGGATCTCGCATAGGGTCGGTGAAGCAGAAAATCCCGGAAAGCGAGGTATCGACCAACTGAGGTTATGCGACAGTGTTTTGGAAGGGTCTTACTAGCATGACAATAATATTCCCATTCGAACTAGCGAGCTGGGCGACTTACACTTCGCTTTCCTAGGAGAATAATGTCGGGACTGGAAGTCAGAGGGATTTCAGAGTCTGGCATGACATTCCGTCCTCACCGAGGCAGCGAGTCGCTCCGTACAGCTAGCATCCGTCAGCAACTCCGGCAACCGAAAAGGTTGATGGTCCTATCAACTATTCAGTAAGAATAGCTGAGCCTGTTAGGGCCTCCATGCCCTTGCTGAGAGCTTGCCAACCATGGAATCCTTGGCGGCGCTCAGACTCTGCCTTCTACAGAGACTCTGTAGATTCTGAGCGCGGAACGGGACCTTCGAGATGAGGAAGCTGATATATGGCAGGTCTGAATCGCCAAAAGTACACCACATGGGATGTACTACAGCTCTGATCCAGTACCGAAATCCACGTGCTGACGGCCGGCTTAGTTGTTCGGTTGACGGTAGCAAGAAGGTGTCGAGTGATCCAAACGCTCTGAGTACCTTACCCGTGGGAGTGTTGGTGGTTGTTATTTATGTCTTCGGATTCGCTGCGCCTTAAGTTCCATCTGGTTCTTTCGCTGCTGCCCATTCCACGCTTTCAATGTCTTCCCAGGGTCCCTGACAGATCACCTTCTTCGCGAGAGCGACAGACTTGAACACAATAACCGCAGTTCCAAGCAAGACTTTCTTCTCCCTGCCATCAATGCGACGCTTTTTGTCCTTGAGGATGAGCACGTTTTCGATATCGCCTGCCGGGAAGTTCTGTTCAAGGGCGTCCTGATCGATATCCAGTCCCTCACCTTCCTTGATCCAACGGACCTTGATGGATCGGTTGATGGAATCAGAAGGCGGTTCCTGCGCCTGAGCCTCAGCTCTGGTCTGCGCTTCTTGTGCCTTTTGTGCGACTATTGCCTCTCTTCTTTTGCGGTTTTCTTCCGCTATCCGCTTGATTTCGAGTTCCCGATCGCTCCATGTCCTCTTCGTGCCATTCACCGTAGTCGGCATTCCCGTTACGGTGCCCTCTCTTTTCTCCAAATCCTCCTTCATCTTCCGTCGTCGACTTTCCAAGGCAGCTGTCTCTGCCAGACGCCGCTGTCTGGCTTCTCGAGTTTGGTCATATTTCGACTTTTCCGCGGCATCGGTCAAGATATTGATCGCAGTCTGCAGAAGCTGAAATTTATCCAAGTTCTCTGGGGTTGGTTTGACTTTGTCAGGATGGTACAGAAGGGACGTTTTTCGATATGCACGACGAATTTCGGACTCGGATGCGGTTGCTGGGATTGCCAGCAATTCATAGTAGTCGACAGACTCTGCGTCAGTAGTTGGCGCCATGTTAGCCACCCTACTGAGGCAAGGCTGATATCTTAATAACCTTGGGGTTGTCGAACTATGCGAAGTCAACTAGGCTGGCGGCTGCTGCAAAAGAGGGTGGCGACTTATGATCCACCGTACTACGACGTAATTTCGCCTTAAGGATGCCATTCCACGACAAACAGCAGCCATGACACTGTGTAATGGGAGGGCCTCCTGTTCAATGCGATGTCCAACTGCTGCTTCGACGATTCAAGCGGCAGCTGTTTTGCACCCCGGTCAAGCTAGTTTTATTACACGATTTACCCATGAGACCACAGTAAAAGTGCAGTTGACACGATTCCACCATTCCTGCTTCTCATCAAGACCGGACTTTCTCAGAATGTTAACGTATGCCTCAATATGTTGTGAGTGAAGGTGACGCTGAGACCCATTTCAGCAGTCTGTCTTGAGCGAATTTGGCCTCAGAGCTTCCTAAGTTTGCGCCTGTTTCCCTATGTCGTACTCATGCTTTCTGTTCATTGCCTGAAAGTTCGCACTCCTTTTCTCTTGTCACCATGTCTGTTGTGGTTATGTAGCATTTCAAGCTCTTTTACTTTCGTATAATTGGGGTCACGTATCAATAATGAGTCCTTACCCTCAAGCTGATTTCGACACGGGCGTCAACAACCTGCCTTGCCGCAGCCAAATCGCCTTTGCATCGCTTGTTGTCCGGTTGAAGCCCGCTCATCTCTCTATTGAAGGTTGTAGCACAACTTTCGTCCATCTACACCTACTGACCCGGTTAAGAACATTTGCAGTACCTCCGCAGTGCCATCTTCGAGGAACGCTCCCCCAGCTTGGCAGTCGGTGTGGATTTCAATCCCCTCGTTTACTGGGAACAGGTCTGTCGAAACTCCGAGCAACAGCGAATCGACCTGCTTGATGAAGTGGCGAGGCTCAAGGAAGAGGTGGAAGTCCTTCGACGAGAGCCTGCGCCTGTCTCGCCCACTTGGAGAGGAACACTTGGGAAGAGAAAACGAGGCGATCCTACGGCACAGAATTCTGCAGAACGACCCGAGATCACCTCTGAAGATATTGTGCATGCCATAAGTGATGACGACCCAGGGTCAGACAATGGTCGTAAGAACAGCGACGGAGCTGGTAGTTACAAAAGATCTTCCTGCTGTGCTCTGTTACTGACTAAGACAAGCTCGTCAAGATCTCCTACGAGGCCTTTTTTCTCTCCAGCATACTCTTCGACTCCGAAAAACAAACAAGAAGGCTCTTATGGCTGCAATCCAGACAGTCGCGATGACACTTTGTCGCGACCTGCAGCCCGCAAACAAGGATAACGCAAGTGGTAGCACTCAAGAGGAGATATGGTCTGCCGAAGAGCTTGAAAGCATTGTCAAGGAGACCTATCCGCCTATACTGCACGGCCTAGAACTCCTTCGGCCGGATACCGATGAGGAAGGTCAAGTCGTCTTTCATGCAGTACCGGATGTGGTCATGCTATTTGAAAGCATTCTTGGGCGCCTACATAACTTTGCACAGTACGACGTTGCAAGACGAGGAGGAGGAGTCACCTTGCAGCCGCGAGCGCGAGGTTGTGAAGCAGATCTGGACAGGACGGGACCGCTTAACGATACTGAGGAAGAGTCAAGCTGCAAAATAATCACGAAGACGCTCATAAGAATGGTTCTCCTCTTGGACCTATCTCGGGACGCCCATTGTGAAGTGTTAGAAGGGATTTTGTGCGCACTACTTGATCATATCGGCTCCTTGTTATCACTTCTGGTGTTCTCCGATAGCAGCGGCAGAGCTGAAGGAGTTATTGGCATCCTTCCGCCCAAGGGCTTAGTTGATGCGGCTGACGAGGATTTGGAATCGGCTGTGGAGTCTGCGAAGATGGAAGGGCCATATCTGATCTACATCTTGCGCAAGGCCACGGAATTCCTCCAATCCAACACAAAATTTATGTCAAAAAGAGGCTTGTTGTTCTTCTCGCGACGAAATGCTACAGGCGACAGGGACCTGCAGCAATATATCGAAGAAACACTCCAGAATACGCTGCTTCGAGGCGTCTTCGGAGACGATGATGATACCTTTCACAATTCATTACGTCGGAGCGAGCGAAATGTCGAACCTGATTTGAAGAAGTTGATGCAGGAAATCACGCCAGATGCAAGTTCTTCGGAATGGTTTATTGGGCAGCTTTGGGAGCATTTGGGATGGAGTATATTGTCAGGTCGGAGAGCACGTTAGAATGGCACTGTGTCAGTTACCAGAGCCCTGTCCTGTTGTACCCTGGCAGGCAGTCCTTTTACATACACCTATCAGTGCACTCAGGTCATAATCTCAGGCCCAGTACTCTGACTGCGTTTCCTCCCAATATTTGCCTCCTGGCCGCTTCATCTTTCGGGAGACATCCATCGATAGCGGCTTTGTTGCTCTCCACACTCAACCACTTGCTGTCCTTCTCATCGCCTAGAGGCGGGAAGAAAGGGTGGTCTGTTCCGAACATGACTCGGTCCACACTACCAGCAGCTTCAATGGCAGCTTTTAGGCCAGGCTGTCCGTATATCACAGCATCGAGGTAAATGTTGGAATGCAAGACATCCCATATCGACCGCTGCGGGCCTTGCTTCTGCCCGCCGTTCACGATAAACTCCCGCTCGTGTGCCACGCAGGATTCTATCCGTCCCGCGAGGAACGGCAGTGTACCACCTGAATGCGCGAGCAGGAATTCCAGCTTCGGATGCCTGTCAAATACGCCAGCTAAGTACATTCTCGACACAGCAATCGTCGTTTCTAGCGGGAATCCTAAAGCCAGAGGTAGGACGTGGCCTGACTTCGCAATGACCTCGGGTCCACCGAACGCGGAATCCGGCAGGCCGTAGTGCGGGTGCAGGAAGACAAGCGTAGACGTGCTCGCCAACGCGTCGTAGATTTCGTCCAAGGCAGGATCGTCTAGACCATTCCCCAGGCCAGTGGTGCCCATGATCACGCCCTTGACGTGCGTGAGTGATTTCAGACGCTGGATTTCACTGACGATATCCTTTGCCGGGGCGGATAGAGGGAGACAACCGAAGGCATAGAGTTTCAGGCCAGCATGGACGGAGGAGGAGTTGTTCTTGGCACAGGCATTTTCAAGGTCGTTGTTGATTTCTTGGGCCGCGGACAGGGCGGAAGAGGGCTCAAGGAAGTCCAGCCACGGGTTGGCAAGGCTGATTACGCTGCATGTGATGCCGTGCGTGCTCATGAAGTGACGCTTCGAGTCGAAGGAGGAGTATGTGCTGTCCACAGGCCGGCCGCGGGAAGATTTTGGACGGGAAGAGTCGTCGTCGGAGGCGAGGATTATGAGTCGCGGATCTGCATTGGGTTCTGAAGGTTGATGAATGTAGGGTACACTCGTGCGTGAGGATAGGAGTTTGATATATGAAGGGGGGTACATGTGGGTGTGGATGTCGACCACGGGGTAGGAGGAGGACATGCTGGCGGGTGGAATGGTTCACGTTTGATTGTTTTGGAAACGTGAACGGACAAGAACACCTTCTAATATCAAATCACCTTTCTCGTTTGGCTGTTAAATGCGACCGTTGATGTTTGTGTTTGACGTGCACTTACTCCGTACTTGGTACAATGTAAGACTGCGAGTTGGATTTATTTGAGACTCCCATCGGCTTCCTCCGTCATTATCAGCAACCACCCGAGGTCTTATCGAGGTTCCCAACCAATCAGCTAAGTTCCTTTCGTGTTTCTCGTGATTAACAGTGTAGCCCCTCCAAGAAGACCTTCCGTAGACCTTCTCATAACGAGTCTCTTTCTGGTTCTGTCACTCCTTATTTCTGGTAAGGAGAAATCGCAAAGTGAAGTGAAATTCAGAAGGAAGCGCCAACTTGGCCAAATCGACGTCAAAAGATAGATCGGGCTTGCAGCTGCGATAACCAGTAGCCGGGAGAAGCCTCTTCCTTCAAGGGTCTCAAGCCAGGAATTTCGCCGGATTGATTACTCTTACCAAGCAGCTTACTGAGTTACACCCAACGAGGACACCAATCTCGGCCCACTTCAGCCTTCCGAGACATGGGTTCGATCGGAGAAGCGCCTCAGAAAGGCGTAGAGCAGGATGACCTAGTTATGCCGGCAAGTTGGGTTTCTTGATGTGTACCACATATATGAAAGCACTAACACTCCGCCCACCAGTTGATCGACTTCGGCGCGTTCCTTCACGGCGACCCAACAGCCAAGAAGGCCGTTGCGGAGCAGATTGCTGAGGCATTCAAGTCCTCCGGGTTCCTGTACCTGCAGAATCACGGCGTGCCCGAGGATCAAGTCTCACTGGCCTTCTCCGAGTCCGCTCGCTTCTTCGAACGCCCGCAATCGCAAAAGGCCGAACTGCAATGGACCACTCCAGACTCGAATCGGGGCTACGTAGCATGGGGCCGCGAGAAAGTCACCCAATCCGCCGACCCAGAAGAAATCGCCAGGCTCCGGGCTTCGAACCCGGATCTCAAAGAGTCGGTAGAAATCGGCCGTGAAGGTGTTCCTGGATTCCCCAATCAATGGCCCGATCGCTACGACGACGAAGGCAAGACGTTCACGCACGACATGCAAGCCTTCTTCCTCCGGCTCAAGGATCTGCACATTGAAGTCATGCGCGCCATCGCTCTCGGCATGGGCATGGACGAGGACTTCTTCGACAGCTACACCGACGCAGGGGACAATACGCTGCGTCTCCTGCACTACCCGTCCGTGAAGAAGAGTTTGTGGAAGCAGAATCCCAATCAAGTCCGCGCAGGCGAGCACTCTGACTACGGGTCCATCACCTTGCTGTTCCAGGACGATATAGGCGGGCTGGAAGTCAAATCACCCAGGGGCACCTGGGTCCGCGCGAAACCGATCCCTGGCACCATCGTCGTCAATGCAGGTGATTTGTTGTCACGCTGGAGTAACGATATCATCAGGAGCACTAAGCATCGTGTCATCCAGCCGCCGCCAAAGGAGACCGGAACAGAGGGCCACGACGATGACGAGAACGCGATGGTACCCGCGAGATATAGTATTGCGTACTTCTGCAATCCGAACTTTGATCGTTTCATTGAAGCGTTGCCGGGCACGTGGGAGAAGACGGGGAAGAAGTATCAAGGGATTAACAGCGGAGACTATCTAGTTATGAGACTGGCTGCGACGTATTGAGCTTGCAAAACAATATAGCACGAGACGGATGACGATGTTGATGTTGATGTTGATGGGTACGATGAGCAATGTAAGATGCTGGGGTTGTGGTTTTTTTTTGGAATACCTTCCTTCAGAAAACCGTTTCTTTGAAGCAAATGATCCAATCAATCTCTGTTTGAAACTACAATCCTAGTTTGAGGCCGGTTGCTCAAGGACCACATGAAAATAAATCCAATTGAACGCCTACGCTTCACCACCTAAATAAGCACCCTCCCTTTGAGCGACAGTCCTCGGTCCCGGATCTCCTCCGCCACCATGCACGGGACATGAAGGATTTGGCGACACCGCCCGTGGCGGCCTGGCTACGAGCTCCCTCTCCTCCAGCGCCGAAGCCTCCACAGCCGCAGGGTCAGGACTGATATCCCTCCCGTGGCCGAATCTCGAATATTCGCCGCGTCCATCGCGATCACCACCACGTCCCATGAAATCACTAAACCCAGGGCCCTCGGGCCTGCGCTCACCAAGTTCCCAATCCTGATCATCCGCGCCGTCCGCGCGGACGCCGACATCCACGCCAAAACGCCTCCGTTTCCCGATCGCCCGCCTCTCCCGCCACCATCCCATGCTGTATCGCTTCCCACCGAACACGGTCTCAAACTGCGGCTGCGGCAGCCACTCTGCGCCGTCGGGGATGATCTGCTGACGCTCGTCCTCGTCGTCGTCGTCATCGGGCGCCGCATGAATACTTTCAGGCCGGGTTCCTGCGTCGTACCCAAACGATCGACGGCGCGGCTTGCCACAGCACTCGCAGAGGCCTTCGTCGGCGCTGTGGCATAGGTCGCTGCCAGCTAGAAGGGACATTGCCCCGGCGAGTGAGCACGGGTTGCAGGGTAGCACGCGGCGCATCTTCGTGGTCAGCCAGGAGGCCCCGGCGAGGAGGGTCATGACGCCTAAAATGATCTGGAGCTCGAGTTTGCTGTCTTTGTCTTGGACGAGACGTGGGGTCGTGACTGTTGTGGTCGTTGTGCTTGTTGTTGCAGACTGTCGGCGACCGAGCCGGGACGAAGAGGTCAGGGAAGTGCGCATGTTTGTGGAGATGGCCTGGGCCATGTAGGTGCGGTAAAACTGGTTGATGGCGTCGACGAGGGCGTTTCGGTTCTCCGCGCCCACGAGAGATGCAGGGTCGTGCTTGTTCGTGCCGTTGATGATGGCTTGGAAGTAGATGTCGAAGGTATTCGTAGCCGACGGGTTGGTAATTGGCGTGCCGCTGGCGCCGTTGAACAAGGTCATTTCCTGGGCGAGGTTGTTCTGGATGCGGAAATCGAATGATTTTGCGCCGGTGGTACTGGCTGGATTGGACTGGACGGAGACACTGCCTTCCTGGACAATGGGTGGATTGCTGGGGTCGATGGTTGTGGTGTTGTCTCTCAGTGTCACGTTTGCTTGGAGCTCCTGAATCTCCTGGTAGCAGATCATCGTGGTGACCTGACTCTGGTCTGTGCTGCCGAGTTTGAAGTGGCCGAATGTGAATGCAAGGCTGGGACATCCTACGGCAGGATTGTCGCCAATGTACTGACCGCGGGCTTCGCCATAGTTCCCATAGGTGGACGCATTCTGTCCGAAAAGGAGGTCTATCTGCACGCCGGCATAGGTGCCATCATCATCATCTGAAGGGAGCTCGAAGTTATTCTCGTAAGTGACGGTGCTGGCGGATCCACTAGAGCCTCCCAGATGGCAGGAATCCGGAAGTGAGGCTGTGGCGGTCACGAATGCTTGGTTCGTGGCAAATGCACTGTCGGACCCAGCTTGTTCAGTCGCCACGCTGAAAGAAGACGCAGGTAGTATTTCGCATCTCAAGTTCGCGCGCACTCCTGGCAATATATAACTGGATGAGCCGCTTACAATCGACGCGGAGTCAGACGTCGCAGCCGAGCTGTTGAGAGATAGCTTCGGAAAGACGAGGCCTTCATAGGTGAATTGAGGGTAGCTGGAATTCTGATGCATAATCAGGTCTGTAACAGCCGCTGCTCCGTTATCCGAGGAGAAACTGTTCGACCACATCAGATTGAAAGAGTCAAGCTGGTTGACTGTTATATCAGGTCCGCTGATGGTGACATGCTGGACGGTATAGAGCCCGGACACGAGGATCGTCAGAAGACTTGCCAAAGCCGCGGCCGGAATGCTCAGAATGGCACCTATATACCGAGTCCGTATGGCTCGTAAGAAGGCCCAGGGCGGGGGTAGCCCAAGGAGGTGATTGAGAACAGATCTCCTGCTAACAGCATCACCTTTGGCCAAATTGACCCAAGGTGCGAAGAGAGCCACATTGAAGTCAAGCATGTTGATCAATGCAGCAACTGCCAACGTCACGATACCTGGAATATAATGGCTGTAGACTTCGGTCCATTTGTCGTCAACGACGGTCAAGAGACCGTGATGCTTGTCTGATGATTGCTGGACGACTTCAAGGACTGCAATCAGCACCAACGGCAGCACTAACGCGATGATTAGGACAGGTATCGACGCTGTGAATGGCAGCCACCATTTCAGGTCCATGTGAAGTTTCGTCGCGGCTGGATCTGGTTCCCCTTCCGACGCCACGATCTTGAAGCTGGTGGTTCCGGACTCGGTGGTCGCTATAGCAGTGCCAAATTCAAAGCCGGACAAGGCGGACCTTTGGTTTGCATAGCTTGGAGCACCTTGCTTCCGCAGAAGTCTGTTCAGCTCGGTGCTTCGCGTGAGTAACGTGGCGATCGCGGCGATCGAGCTGGGGTCCCGTGGAACGACTGCCCGGGGTGCGATAAAGATCAGGGCAATGCAAAAAATCACCAGGAGCCCAAATATCGAAGCCATCGTCCAGGCGGAGACATCATTGACGCGTAATCTGCGTTCTTGCTTCGTCAAAGTACCTCCATCCACATCGCTGCTGCTGGCGGCTCTCAAGGATTGATGAGCATACTGCGAGAGTACACCTTTGTATGTGTCCTCGGCGGCAGACATCATCTTGCCAGGATCCATTAACGAGGCAATATCCTGTGATCCAGCTGTAAGAGCCATGAGAGTGAAAATCCCGCTGGAGTTGGAGGAAGTATCGTCATTGACGATGTCGCCGAAAAGCGCGTTGGCCGATGTAGCGGACTGTAGGAAGACAGTGGTGGAATTCCAGTTCGAGAAGTTCGGCAGACTCCTGACGGATTCTTCTATCGATTCCACGGATATAGCTTGATTGCTGTCACTGAGTTGAGTGTTGTTCGTCACCTTGACCATGGCCATCGTGTACGCAGGTCTGCAAAACACATTTGTCATGTTTGTGAGGGTTCTGGAGACATCGCTGGCAATGGTGAACGTGCCGCCAGCAAGTTGGGTGGCATTATCGAAAGGAGTCTGTCGATATTCGATATCGGTCAAAGTGAAGAGCAGTCCCAACGGTCCTTGCGAATCTGATACGTCCCCGATCGTGGCGCCACAGTAGATTTCCTGCATTGTGCCAGTGACCTGACGTCCTGAGACAATTTCTGTATATGGGTTGTCGGCTGGGACACTGATAGATGATGACTGACTGCATACATCACCAGCTTGTATGGTAAAAGAGATGTTTGAAGATGTTGCAAATGCGTCGGCAGAGTTAGTATCGTTCACAATGGTGGGAGTGTTCAGCTTGACCTCCAGTGTATTACATGTCATATTCGGAACAAATGCAGTGACATCGCCAGATATTACAGCATCATTGCCAATCGAGGTGTTTGATGAGACTGTGAGAGCGCTATACGCCAAATCGAACGTAACGCCATTTTCAAGTGGTATTCCCTGCGTTTTACTCCCATAATATGCATACACTGGCGAGGCAAGAGACAATGAATCCAAAGACGCGCTGGGATCAAACGCCTCCGAACTGAAGCCTCGCGCTTGAATTAAAGCATCCTTCTGTGTGACTTGGGTAGGAAGAAGAACCAACAACCCGGTCGAGAAGACTGTAACAATTTTTAATAGAACAAATCCAGTAACCGTAGTGATGACGGCAAAATGGTTGCGTTTGATGGCTTCGTATAAAGCCACGAGTTGGAATTTCGAGAGGTAGTCGACAAAAAGACTCTCCGAAGGTTTCAAGGGCCCGTCCTGAAGAGCATCGAATGGCATAGCCAGCTTCGCGTGGTAGTCGACCAGTCTCCATGAGGCCACAACGACCACAGCAATGACCGTGGGTGCATAGGCCCAGGCATAATGGTTCATGCCATCAGCGACGTGAAATCCATCGTTGACGCGATCGAAGTGCCAGAGCAGAGCCAGGGCAAGCACGAGAAGCGCGAAAAGTATCGCGAAAAGAATTATTGTCGGTTGCTTCAGCCATATTGGAGTCCACAGAGGAGGTGTTGGTCCTTGCTGGCGAAGTAGAGAACCTTGATCGGACTTATATACTGATGATTCGCGAAGGTTGATGGACTCAGGTTCGTCTTCCTCATGAATAGGGGAAATAGGGACATATTGGCGGTTCTCGAATCTCTGCGAAACGCTCGGTGGAATATTTCGTATTACTGGTGCGGCACGTATGGAAGGGAATCGTCCAGGTGGTGCATGACGCTGGGGAAACGATGATGGATCTTCAGGATGTTGGTGATGGACGGGCTCTGGTAGAAGTCTGTCGGAGCTGTCATCCCTCCGCCGCTTGGCCTGAATCCGCTCAGCTTCAGTCACGGGAACATCGAGATAGACATGGTGTTGATTGCTGTCCATTGCGTGATGAGCGATCGTAAGGCGACATTGTCGTTCTGGTATATCGCTACTTCATGACATGTTGTGGTTGTCTGGTTGCAACGATATCTCTGAAGTCAAGTCTCAAACAACGTCTTACAAAAGGCCAATTTTTCAGCCTGAGAGCTAGATATGGCAGTAGCCAGTCGCCATCGCTGCCTGGACTCCGACGCAAATAGCAACTCGGGTTAGAAGCGATTCCTAGGGCATTGCGCTTCGTAAGGCGCCCGGGGGCTGAGACGACATGTCGGAGCGTGAGAGCGTGAGACAGCGGGCTCAGCCTCTCTCTCGCCTCTCGACAAGGAATCTGCAGAGGCTTGATGGGGTCTAGTCGTGATCTGATACGAGCGCCGTGGATCCTTTGCCACTCGTTTCAGAGCCCAACAAGCCACACAGGCTCGGCAGCTCAGGGATTTCGGCCTATAAGCCGCCTACTGAACCTCGGGTTTCTTGAACTAGCACCTGGGTGACCAGTGTCCCAAGATAGCCGATCTACATAGACTTCAAGACCAGGCTGGGCAATTGGGTTGTGGCGTCGATTCGAATCGATGGGATGTGAACTGCGGACTTACTGCTACCCGTACCTGGCTGGCCTGCCAATACTGGACACATTTCATCCTTCGCAAGTAGGATCAATAATCTGGGTTACTGCCGTATGGCTTGGTACAAGTCGATCCAACAACCAAAGCGAGGGACAAAGATAGAGCTTACACGTCCATCCTGGCTAATCCGTCAGCAAAGACGGATTCTTCTCGTGAGAGCAGTATGTTGGCTTTCGTATCCAGCTTCGGGGGTCACCTTTCCGTGTTGCGGTATGGAGTAGAGCGTCCGCCTTTACGCACACGCTGCATATGATGGACTTTGGACATTCAGCGAGGAGTATGGATTACAGGTTCGACAGCATCTGCTGAGTCAGTAAGACTCTCTTTCTCTCATTCATGATCAATTAAATCAGGTGTTGCTCTCTCCCTGTCGTTATAGTCCATACCAAGCATGATATCCAGCCACCTGCCTGCCTGGCTTACTTCGCATAGACGTAGCAAAAGCGCCTGACCTGGATCCACGGACCCATATGTAGCTGTACCGAATGAATTGCTGCCTTGTGTCCCAGAGCCTGCGCCGAGTCGCTAAAGGTACATCCTTAGGGAACTTTTGATCGAATCAAGTTCGAACTCAAAGGTGGTAGGAACATGTATATGACGCAAGACGCCTAGACAATCATTTGCGCAACTCCTTGTCCACCAAGTGTCTTGCTCCCGACGAAATCTTGCTGCTTCAATCCAGCCAGAGCGTAACAGGCTCCCGCCAGAGCCAGAACAACGGCTGCAGCGATCAAGCTGCTTGCACCCACTATGATGCTGAGCCATTGAACTAATGACATGACTCCGTAGATTGCTGCTCTCATGTAGTTCGTGGTGAATCGGCGGATGAAGGCATCGAACTTCGAGGAGGTAGGGCAGATTCGGAGGAGAAGAGGGATTTCAATGAATATGAGGATCAAAGCCGAGCACCTGCGGACGTGAGCTGGAATTGGAGACAATGCGCATTCCGTGAGACATACAGGAGAATGATGCTGAATATGATGAGAAGGTTGAAATGGAATATGTTGGCAATACCCAAGGCAAAGCCTAGGATGATGCACAGTACTCCGAGCCTGTGAGAATGTGGTGTCAGCGCTTCCCATCTATTGACTATAGAGGTCCACCCCAGGTAGTTGGTGGCTTGTATGACCACAGTTGAGGTAACGTGTTCGGAACGCGCAGTATGGCCGATGCCATCCTGCGAAAAGAAACGGCATGGAATGGCTTACCATTGCCCGTAGATACCTAAGTCGCGACCAGTCAGTCTTACTGCTAAACATCTCGCGGACAATCGGCAGGGAACTCACTGAAGTTACGCGACCTGAATTCTTCAGCAAGTGTCATCGTGTCGGCGTCGCTTTGGACTTTGTGGGAGTGTGGTCTGCAAGGAGTCGGATGAGGACAGATGTTGCGATGGTTCGGTTGAGGTAGACTATGGAGTAATTGCGCTCGAGGAATATTCGTGGCTAGCAGTATACAGCGGAGGAAAGGTGTTCCGACTGAAGAGAAGCGGTAGAGTAGCCCTTATGGGAGGATCGTGGTAGTAGTAACGGGGTGGGTCGTGTGGTTTAATCAAATGTTGTCGTTGATGACAGTTGGGCGTGTTGGGCGGAGATATTTGTGGCAGCTGCGAGACACACCCAAGGCTGATGCCAGGCCCAAACAGGGATGCGTTTAATGCGTCGTGTCTGACTACCACAGTAGCTGCAACTCCAAGACCAGACACTTTGACAACTGTTCTTTGCAACGATAGAAACACTTGTATCCTGACAGGTTATTTATGCTGACAGGAATGCAGCAGCCTAACTACGAACCCAATGCGTGGCGCTCACCAGCAGCAGCTGCCACGCGTGGTGTCGACGGTAAGGCCACTCGGACCCCAGGCATCAGGTATCCATCTCGTCATGTTATTGTGACAATCGGCGACAACGTTCTACTCTTCTCTTAGCCCTACAGTCTCTCCGGGGTCGACACCTACAGAAGGCTTGAACATGCATACCAATCTTGCACATCTCACAGCGGCCTTTATGGATCGTCTGATGGCTGCTTTTGCTACGAGGCCACAGCGCTCTTCCTACTCCAGTCACGTGCACCAATGGTGACTAAGCGTCCTCGCCCGTGATACAGAGTCCTGGACTTCGCTCTAATCAATCCATCCTTCCTCTTCCTACCTGTCTTTCATTTTGCTTCTGTTGGACCCTTTTCCCAACAGCATTCGTGCTTACCGAGTATACCCAGAGTCATTATCCCCGTCTATGAATCATGTAGCTTGTCCACACGAATCCTTACTGCCGCTACATCTTTGCCTCGATCAGCTCGGCGTCCAGGTATGAAGACTCCAAGATATCACCACCCAAATGCCTAGATCAAAATCCGAGAGACAACGTACCAGGACATTAACAGGCTGCTACACCTGTCGTGGGCGCAAGCTGAAGTGTGACGATGGTCGTCCGGCCTGCAAGCGGTGTACTGCACTCGGTGTCGCGTGTCAAGGTTATGAGATCAAGTTATCCTGGCTGGCTTACGACCCAGGCTGTTCTCAAACCAAGAAGGCAGGCACTGAACCTGGGCAGCCTAGCAGATCAGCAAATGGTAGGAATAATGGCGCAAAAGAGCCTACTATCCGCCGTCGTCCTCTGTTTACAGGTATGTTAAAAGCCTGGCCGTGTCTGATCCTATAGTGACCAAAAATACCACGCATAGAGCGCGAGAGAGCGGGCATGATCTTCCAAATCCAAAGGTGCTTTTTGAACGGCGACCAAGATGGGAACATCGACCAGGCAATCGACAACATCGACGCGCTGGCTGAAGAGCTTGACAGTCATTCTCAACATGGCCAAGATACCGGCCCTTTTGGCTTTTTCGTCCTCGAACCTTCTACTCAGTCTGAAGTGACCCATGATGAAGACTTCACCACCCCGGATGCGATCACTGGGGAGAAGGAATCCAGCGAAGGACTTGTACAAGGGGAATTGTTCCACATGGACAACAGTTATGCGCTTGGGCCGGATGAGCCCGCAATGCCCTGGCTAATCGGCATGGATGAAATGACATTACCTTGGCTTGACGAGGAGAATAATGTCTTGGGACCAACAATGACAGATCTAGTTCCTCACCAAGGACCCGATGTCTCAGGCCAGTCCGGAGATGATAGCTATTCCGATGGACGCTTCGCAGCATTCGACTTAGACCAGGCTACAGCCGCCATGCATGGCTTTATTACACCATCCTTTGGCAAGGAGCCGTTGCCCGCAATTTGCACAAGGACCGAAGGAGTGTTCTTCGACATATCAGAGCAGTCACACTGGACAGGTTACTCAAGTTTGAACCGTATCCCAAGGTCATTGTCCAACATGGAAAACATCTCGCGTATACCATCCGAGGCCCGCTTCCTGCTCGAACACTATTCCACTGAGGTGGTTTCCTTCATGTGTCATTTGCCAAATCCCCAGTCGCCCTGGAGGACCATTCATTTCCCCTGTGCCATGAGCACTATGGCAGACCTGTTAGTGTTCGGAAGTACCAACAATGCTAGATTGGCGCTCTTCTATGCTCTTCTCTCCGTCTCGGCCAATCATCTAGGCTCCAAGATTCCATGGTCTGCACAACTCGAGAGACGATCTCAAGATGCGGCAAGAGAGTCGGAATCCAATTCCCTTTTGGACACGAATGACTCGAGAGAAATGTCCAACTATTGGTTGGCAAAGGGATCCTTGTTCCAAGACATGGCCACTTCGCAGATACTGACCTGTTTGCAGATCCAACAAGGAAACTCCGAGAATCAAGAAGACTATCGGGAGCTACTGATGAGCTTATTGAGTATGGTGACAATAAGCGTTACAAGCGGCAAGCTCAACAGTGCTCATATTTACCTTCAACGAGCAAAGAAGCTGATCGAGATATTCGTTGCGCGGTCTCACGACTCATCCTTCAAATCTAGCAAGATTGCAGCCTTGCATCAAATATATTCATATCTGCAGATCATTTACAACAGCACGAATGTCTCTAGAACAGTGGGATCTTCTGAATCTGAGCACTACGGCCTTGTACAGCATTTCCACGAAGGAGACATGGGAGGCTTTCCTGCTACAACTGTGGGTCCGCTGCTACCGCCGTCACTTGAGTCCAGCTTGGATTCCCTCGCTCAGCACAGGGACGACTACCAGCTGTTCGGCAAAATATACGGTGTGCCGCGATCCCTGCTGACCCTCATATCGCGGGCGTCTGCACTAGCCAACGAATTGGAAGAAGAGGAGGGAAGCCCAAACAGCAGCTCTCCCAGCAGTTACAATTTTCGGCCCCGGTGCCAGCTATTGGAAGACCAAATCTGCAACTGGCAGCCTATCGACGACGAGTTATCTCCTGTGCAACCTTCGTCTACTTATGACCCTCAAGTCGGATCCCACCTGGTTCAAGCCATGCACGATGCTTTGACGGTCATGTTCTTTCGCAGAGTCAGGCCCATCAATCGGACCGTGCTTCAGCACTACGTCGAGAGTGCTGCCGACCACCTCAATGAACAAGAAGCGGTCAAGGGACGAATAGGCATCAACGCGCCCGCTCTTCTTTGGCCGTGGTTTATGGTCGCGTCGGAAGCGATCAGAGAGACGATTCGAGACAAGCTGCGCTTGTGGTCGAGCCTTGCAAGACAATACGGCGGACGAAATCTCGAGATAGCCGAGCAGGTAGTGACCGAGGTCTGGAGGAGGCACGACCTGGAGCTACCGAACTCTACCTGGGTTGACGTTGTACGGGAATGGGGTGTAACGCTTGTTCTAACCTGAATGTTCTTCCATCAATTGTACAGTGTCAAATCAATCCGCTATTTCAACGCTGGCTCCTCCATCCTGTGCTGCACGCTTGAGTTGCCACTGATGTGAGATGAGCAAATAGTTAGGCTCGACGACAAGCTGATAGCAGGAGTGGGATTTGGTGCGTCGTGGGTCCGCGTACCGGCCAACATTTGCATTTCCTCACCAACTCTTAGTTATTCCCCTTGTGATGGGCGGTATCGAGCTCATTTCATGTCGCGTCGACTGCGCTACTCATCGTTATCTTCAGATTAAGGAGGTACGATATTCCATGTCAGGTTATTGACGCTTTGCCGAGGAACGTGGCAAACGCTTATCAAATCGTCCCACAAAAGAAAAGGTCCACGACAGTCCACGACTGATCTATTCGGTCAGGAGAGCCCGCACGCCGTCGAAGACGCCACATGCCTACCTAACTACTCGCACCCAAACCAAGGATGGAGATCAACCTTCGCCTTGCGGAGACTGGAGAGAGCAGTATGAGAGTAAAGGGCCGGATAAACCTCGAGCCTGGACTCGGGATAACTTGCCAACTCTTTCCCCAGAGTCTTTTCCCATTCCAGTGACCTGCCCACCAGTCGACGTGTAACACGACGATCGACGACCAGTCCTATGGAATTCATTTTAGGGGAAGTGGGAGCCCGGCAGTCCAGATAAGCTCGGGATAGCCTACCCATGGCCTCGTTCACCTTTGACAATATGTGGCAAACCATAAACCATCGACAACGGGTATGATAATGGAAGCACGTATGGCGATGGATTGATATAACCTGGATCGGTCTCGTTCTGCACGACATTGTTTTATAAAGGCCGACATTTTCCTGCATGAGTCACTCTTGATCAGGAGATCCCAGAAACTCTGGGTCTGGTCCTCCTTCGAAATTCGATACTGCCCGAGACCCTACAAGGACACATCATACACCCTTCAATCAACCGAGGGTGATTGAGGACCTTCCAGCAAAGCCTGAAGTGACTAGAAGGGGCTTGTCCGCAATATGATCGAGTCCAAAGAAATATCTGCTGGGCCGATTACAGAGATACCCTCGCAAGATGATGAAAAAATCGGTACTGTCAACCCTGTCGGCGAAACACTCAATCGGCATGGAGAGGATTACGCTGGCAAATATCGCCGCTCTTTCCTCTCTCGTCACATTCAGATCGTGACTTTGGGTAGCAACATCGGATCCGGTCTCTTCATATCCACAGGTAAAGCGCTGCGAAACGCCGGGCCTGGAAACATGATCATTGGGTACACAGCCGTTATGACAATGGTATGTGGAAGAACAGCCACACTCAATTGAGGTGGTTGCTTACTGAGGCACCTGCGCAGGTCATTGCAACGCTTCAAGCGCTGACCGAGATGACGGTCGCCTTCCCAGTCTCAGGAAGTTTGATCGACTATGCCGACAGATTCATTGACCCTGCCCTAGCTTTTGGGATTGGATTTGGTGAATGGTTGGCCTGGACCACCGTCCTTGCTGCCGAAGGTGCAGCGTTCAATGTCATCATACAATACTGGACCGACGCAGTTCCTGTTGCTGCATGGAGTGAGTAGCTGCAAACCTCTGTTATATGCTGAGCATGCCTCATTTACCCGTGTCGCGATGATGACGAGAATGCTGCATGATTGAGGCCGAGGCTGACGTTCGATCAACAGTGACCATCATCTTGATCATTACGTTCGGCATTCATGCTTGCCCCAACCGGGTCTTCGCCGAAGTCCAGTATGCCACCTCGGTTCTGAAGGTGGTCGTCCTCCTCATCTTCATCTTCACGAGTGCTGCCATGATTGGAGGTGCTGGTCCGACAGGAAAAGTCCACAATGGTGAATACTATCGTGAGCTTCCACCCTTTCTGCACAACGTCAAGGTATGTAAAGTCCACAGTTTGTGCTGTTTGCGTCACGACACGCCTACTGACACACTTGCAGGGTACGTGCCTCTGCGCTATCTATGCAATATGGGGTGTTGGCGACCAGGTTAGTGCTTGAGGCATAGCAAGCGGCACAAAATTCTGACCCCAATCACTAGGTGTATGTTGGGATTATGGGCGGAGAGACCAAGAACCCTCGCTATAGTATGCCCAGAGCCGTGAAGAGCGTCGGCATTCGCGTCTTCTTTTTCTTTATGCTCATCGTCGTCTTCATCACTTTGCTCGTGCCTCTGGACGACCCTCGTCTGCTCGGAGGCTCGGGCATCAACGCCTCGCCACTTGTCATCGCCTTGAACGACGCCGGAATCAACGTCATTCCCCAGATCCTCAACGCATCCTTCCTTGTCATCTCCGCCACTGGTGGTCTGGAACCACTGTACATAGCTTCACGTGTCATGCGCCACATGGCTCTGTCCGGGATGTTGCCCAAGAAGCTCGCACAGGTCGACAGCAAGGGTCGTCCGACGTGGTCCCTCTTCATCACGGCCTTGTTCACCATTACCTTTACATATATCAATTGCTCCAACACAGGTTCTGTTGTTTTCTCCTGGTACGGCGCATTACTCGCCCCTGCTCCCTTCCAACACCACTTGGCTAACAGTTAGCACAGGTTCTCCAGCGTCGCGTCGACCATCTTCATGATCGCCTGGGTCATCCTGGCAATCTGCAGCATCCGGTTCCACGCGGCCATCCGCGCACAAAAGAGCACCATCCTCGAAGGCAAATACGCATACCGGGCTCGCTTCTGGCCCGTTGGACCCATCTTCTTGGGTGTTGGCGCGTTTTTGGTCCTGGTCGGTCTGTTCGCGGACGCTTTGTACCCTGTTGGTGGCACACCCTTGAGTGCGTACGACTTCTTCGAGACGTATCTCGGCGTGCCGCTCGTACTGGCGGCTATGATCGGGTACAAGGTCATTTTCCGTACCAAGATCCGTCGCTCGAGAGAGATCGACTTGGTCACGGGACACCAGCCTTTGACTGAGGAGCAGGAGAAGTTCTTGGACCATTACTATACTTTGCCGCTGTGGAGGAGAGTGTGGAGTTATATTTCGACCAGTGATTGATTGGTGGCTGCATTGTGCAGAAGTAAGCCGGTAGGTAGCAGTGGCATTAGTGAAACTTGGAGTTCAGGTTCGGGTTGACATCGAGAAGGTCTTTGGAGTCGAATACACCGTCGTCTAAGATCCTGGAGGAAGTACAGTGGTATAGGCATATTGGACCAGTGCGATTATATTTTCTGGAAACATGAGTCAATGCCTATCCGATTTCGAATCTAGACGGTACTAGTATTTCTCCTTGCTGATTGGATCGACGACCGTGTTGAGCGGCCTTGGAAACGTTTGCACATCTACAGTAATGTATCTGAATCGAATTACAGTAGTATCTGCCAGCCTTCGAAGGCGTACGTTTTCTTCCTCACTAGGGCCTGTCTCCACCATTCGTGGGTTCGTTGCCGCCATGCGTTTGCCGCAGCAAATGCCACTGAACCACCTTCAACAGCTCGTACACCTGACTTAGCACGGGTGTGCTCACACCCTTTTCCTTGGCCACGCTCAGGGGGGCTCCCAGGATGACATCCAGTTCCAGAGGTTGGCCCTTCTCCAGGTGCACCAACATACTCGGCCTGAACGGACTTGTCTTAGGGGTGTCATGGAGCAGAAACTGCACGACGTCTTCGGACACTGCATCGGCATAGCCCGCGGCTTTCCCAATTGCCGCAATCTCCCGCATCGCCGGCTCGAGTAGCGTCTTCCGGCCGGGGCTCGAGAGCACTTGGCCCACGGACATCCTGAGCACCGCACAGATTGTGTTGAACGAGCCGTTCCACAGCAATTTGCGCCAGCGAGCGGCGATGATGTCGTCGACCAGTACGCATTCGGCTTCGGCTTCGGCGCGGGAGGAAGACTTGCGTGTTGTCGTTTTGGCCTCTGCCTCTGCCTCGGACAAGCCCAAGCCTGACCCCAAGCCGGCGTTGTACACTTGGACGAACAGGAGCGCGGCGTCGAGCTGAGTCGCTCGAGGCAGCGGATCGCCGACGTGGTGCCAGTACGGGCCGATTCTGAGCTGGTCTGGATCTTCGTGGAAGACGGTGCGAGGTGATGTCGTTCTGGACCCGATCATGCTGAGCCCCGAGAGGATGGGTGTTTCGGGAAAGGCGGACGCCAGGGGCTTCTCGATGTCCAGGCCGTTCTGGATGAGCACGAGGCTGGTCTTGCGTGGGGCGATGAGTGGCTTGAGGGAGGGGATGAGCGAGGCCATGAGCTCAGGGATGGCTTTGGTCGTGATCACGATGAAGTCGTATGGTTGTTCTTGGTCCGTTGTGGCGTGGTGGAGGGAGGGGATGACTTGAGAGGGAAGTAAGAATAAGCATATGAGAGAAGAAGCCAGAAGAGTCTGATAGGATGGTGGTGCGCAAGAAAAAGAAGGGACCGGGTGATGCCAGTGGCAAGGCACAGCAAGGTAAATGGTCTCGCGAATGGTCTCGCGAATGGTCAGAAATGGTACCCGCAGAGATACCTTGGAGTGATAGAATGCAAGACCACCCTCTGTGTTGTCGGCTGATGGCTTACCTCTATGCGGCTTCCAGCCCCTGACTTTTCCATGGTCGACTGAATCGATGTCGAAGCCTTGTTCCTTGACAACCGCGTAGTTTGATCGGAGCACTGCTGTGACCCGACATCGCTGTGATTTCTCCAGAACGTATGCTGCTATCGTCCCAACACCACCGGCGCCAATAAGACATACGTTGAGCATAGTGTCGGGCAGTGAGGAAAGGATCAGACACCAATGGAGGATGCTCTCAAAGGGGTTTCCAAGGTCTCAAAGAACGCTGAACAGTAACTAGATCGTCTTGATCGTGTCCGTTCCGCGTCATTTATGGTCGATGTTGCTTTCTTCGGACTCTTGTCTGTCCAAGAATGACAGTGTCATGCGACGGATACCTGCTGCTGGTTTGCAAGGCGAGACGATATTGCCCTTGCGTCGTCTATCTTCACAACTCTTCGATATCATCCTTGCCTTGCCTTGCCTTGCCTTCCCTCCCCCTGCCTTCTCGCGTCGGCAAGCGTACCCGATATGAAATGTGTACGCGTGGACCTTCCTAGCAATCAGCACTGAAACCCAGACCCAGGCTAATTCGAACTTATCAGTACCACTACCTCCCACATGCGGACCTTTTATGCACGTTCGTTGCGACTAGAACGGGAAGTTCAGCTGCGAGGAATAGATCGGCAAGCAGGTGGCAGGTTATCCCGAGAGCCTAAACTGGTCGTGATAAGAAATGTGGAGTCTCGCATGGCCATGCGCTCCACCCAGCTGTCCTCTAGGATCATCTGGTAGCCGTCCCGCCGTGGACGAGAAGTTCGACAGGTCTGCTCAAGCGAGGGCATCTGAGCGAGAAACGAGGCAAAGACTTGATGCCGAGGTCGCGGTCGTGGTGCAGATGCGCGTATATGTCGCACAGCCAAACCCGTCTGTGTCGCGGACACTGACTCCAAGCCAACGGTTCCGCTTGTGCCGTAGCAGTCGGCCTCAGTTTCTGTTCGCATTGTGTGCACAGAGCAATACATGTCGTGTCTCACGTGTTGGTGGATTTGTCCAGAGGGTCAAAGTTCCAGATTCTCGCGGCTGCAAAAGTCGGGGCTCAACTTTGCAGAGACCATAAAGCGTCGGCCTGAAGATACAATCTTCTTTCCGGGCATGCCATGGCTGCGTTGAGGAACGACTGAGGAGATCCAAAATCACGACGACGCCACAGATGACCCCATCAAAGACCAAAATGGGATACCTTCCTAAGTCATCTTCAATCCTGATTGTAGGAACAGGAACCTTTGGCCTCAGCACAGCCGTCCACCTAGCCCGACGCGGCTTCACCAATATCCAATGTCTAGATCGGTACCCATTCCCGTCGCCCGACTCGGCCGGGTACGACATCAACAAGATCATCGGCATGCGCAATGACACGGCTCTGGCTGCACGAGTCAGTCGGGAAGCTCTGGCTGGTTGGCAAGAGCCTCTGTTCGAGTCAGTATGGCACGAAGTCGGCCTGATTACAGCCGCCACGAATGATGAGGCCGTAGAGTATTGTCGACGAGCATACCACAGCTGGATTGACTGTGGCGAAGGTGACAATGTGCACTGGCTCGAATCGGCGGACGATTTCAGGAAATTTGTTCCCCAGCTCCGTGACGCCTGGATACCGAAGTGGCGTGGCTTCTTCCACAAGCGAGCGGGTTGGGCGTACGCCAGAGAGGCGTTGAGGATTATGGGTAACGAAGCTGCGAGGTTAGGAGTCAATTTTGCAACCGGGACGTCGGCCACGATGCAGTCGCTATTGCTGGATGACCAACAGGGGGTCATTGGCGTGGTCGCCGAGGATGGTACGCAGTGGAATGCCGACCGTATCGTCCTGTGCACGGGAGCGTGGAGCGACGCTTTGATTGATACCGAGGGCCAGCTCGAAGCGAAATGCTGGACATTAGCTCATATACAGCTCACACCCGAAGAATGTGCCGAATTTAAGGATATACCGGTAGTGATGAATTTGGAAGAAGGTGAGCCTGCATTCAACCTTTGGGTCGGACAGATAGCTGACAGATTCTCGTTAAGGCTTCTTCTTCGAACCCAGTGATGATGGTCAGATCAAAATCTGCAACGAATTTCCCGGCTTCACTCACAGACTCACATTACCTGATGGTAGCAAACAAGTCATCCGCGATCCCAGCCCCGAAACCCTGGAGACACCATACCACATCAGTCGCGGGTGGAGATCAGACGGTTCCTGGCCAAAACGATACCGAAATTCAAAGATAGACCGTTCGTCACTGAGAAGATGTGCTGGTGTACCGACACGCATGATCGAAATTGGCTGCTCGATGTACACCCGAAGCATCCTCGGTTGCTTGTCGCGACCGGGGACTCTGGAGTTGCATTCAAGATGCTGCCCGTCATGGGCAAATACATATCTGATCTGGTGGAAGGCAAATCACTGGATCCGATGCTGAAGGAGGCGTGGAAATGGCGGCCGGACAAAAAGAGTCGTGACCAACGATGGGGTGGCGATGGAAAGACGCGTGATCTGAATGATATGGATGGTTGGAAGGCTGGAGATTCAAAGCAAGAGCTCCTTATATCGCCGAGGGAGTCGAAATTGTGAAAATAGAGCGTGTCACTCGTTCGGCCGAGCCAAGTCTCGCTTCTTGAACGGACCGCGTCTCTGTCAATGTATCTTGTCAGTATGAACCTATGGCCTGCTCCACTGTAGTGAGCAGGCGAAACAGTCTGAAATGGCATGTCGGGTGCCAAAGAAGGTCAAGCATATAGCGAAGCTGGAAGGAACTGATGCATCCAGTGAAGGTCAATGCTCGGGTCCAGATATCCATCCGAAGACCTGGCGGAATATGTTCATTGGGTAGGCGTTCAAAATGCCAACTTGAATTTATCATCAATGCTCGTCTCAGCTCTTCTCACACCACTTCATATTGAGTCCCACATGCAGAGCCTTCGGCTGCGCATATCATTCACTCTATCAAATCGACACCGAGGCACATCTGGGCAGTTGTTGGCCATCTTCGATAGGAAGAGGTCGTCCATCAGCCGGCAGCATAAACCACTATCCGGCGCGTCAGCTTGACTCGAACCAAGAGAGGGGTCTCGACATACATCGGAAGACGTCGTTCTGCACGAAGTAGCTACCAGACTCGGGCAACAGGTTGAACGTCTGAACGTAGCTCATGGGTTGCTGTTGATCGTCGACCTATCAATTGTCGGTCAGATGCTGTTAAGACGCAGAGCCGCAGGCGGCCCAAGGAACCATTTCTGGTGCTCATACCATCAGTGCGCCGGTGACCAAGACCAAGATACCGCCCTGCTCGTTGGATGGTTGCGCATCTGTGGTGTCGACTCGGTGTTGGACTTTGTTGAATGGCAGGTTCTACAGTTGCTGGTCAGCCATGCCTGCGCTAGCTTTGAGCCCGCCGTAATCGCGCGACTGACCGTCAACTTCTCAAGGATGGATTGCGTTCCTTGGAAAGGCTCTTTCTCGAAGGTAAGCATCGAGTTATTTCTCTAGTATAGTCCGTCAGTTCTTGTTCTTGCTCTGCTTGACGCCCGGGGCATGTTCGGGCTGAGGTTGTCATACGTAGAGGGCAGCCAGTTGTGCTCGGTCGGTGTCGAAAGTCTTGTAGTAGAATTCAACGAATTGTTCTGTCGCCGGGTCAGGTGCTTGTCAGACTCGCCTCGCACGAAAGCGATGGTGCCATAGCACAGGGGACCACGTACGAGCAATGTGGTGGAAATCTTAACACCTTTGTCAGCCTTGCTTCTCCTGCAACTCATGTCGCACACTGTCAAGCGCAAGCAGCCACCAACTCGAATTAAGGAGTATAGGAGAACGAGACATACCGGCCATCTTGAACGATTCTCGACAATCTGCGCGGAGACAGCCGTTCACAGAGGTAATTCCTCACAGTACTAGTCTTGTGCGTGGGTGTAGCAGTTTTATTTCCTGGTCAGAGCAATTCAAGAGGGGCAGCGTTGCCTGCATCAACAACAGACGATCAGGTTAGCAATTGTGTCACCCACTGTCACCAAACTCAAGTCACGTGCATCTTGCATTCCGCTGCCAAGCGGCGAATTTCATAAATCAGTCACACCAGCTTTTGTTTTGTCTTTCCCCTTTCTCTTTGTACAAACACGGCCACTGAATTGCCATCAGATAAGCCATCCTCGCCATGTGGCGAGACTTGCTAGTCGTTATGTATAATGTCTCTATTCTATCCTGCGCTTGTACAAGTCTCTCAAGGTAAGCAAACCCTTCACCCTCGAAGTCCCCCTCCATTCAAGCTCCGATGATTTTCACAATATGCTCAAACGATAACTGACGAGGCGGATGGCACTGTCAATGCCGCCGTCGCTGAGTATAAAAATTATGTCAAGTCTCAACAGTATGAGGTGCTACCAGTTGCCATTCACTTTGCCACCGTCTCCAGCTGTGGTGCTTCTGTGCTGACATCTTGTCTTAGATACAGGTAATTTTTCAGTTGCTGGCTCGAATTCTCGACCTTCAGTCGTCGACGCAATAGAGCTCATATTGAATTCAAAGTCCCTGGATTGTATGCTAGATTATCACCAAATTTGCACTATCAATACTCTACCTTGGATTACCTTTTCCTGTACCTATGCATTCGAGCTCATCACCTGGATGGAATGCTTCTGCGTCAACGCCGATATACTATCCCCCTCGTAGTATACCTCTCTTTCTTTCTGTCTCAGCATCGCCCTCGGCCCCTCCCAGTTCCTCGTTCCCCACGTTCACCCTCCCGCTTATGCCACGGATCACTCGGCCAGACCCAGCCTCTCACAGTCCTGGCCTCTCTCTTCTCGCCCATTTGTGGTTCAGGAATCCACTTGTCCTTGCCATCCTTACCAAGCTCCTCGACGTCGCCGTCCTCGTCAATTGTGATCGTACCATCTCCTGTGCCGTTTCCACCGTCCCAAACTCTTTGCCTCGTCAACGTACCAGAGCCGCCAACGTCCATATAGCTGCCAGGTTGACCCGGGAGAGGTGTCGCCTTCGCCAGCATGAGGAGATAGTACAGCGCCAAAGTGACCGTCATCGTGACGTTACCACTTCCGGTGAGATTGCCCTCCTTGCCAGCGAAGGTCTTGGTCTCTACAGCTTCCGCGACCTCAAGAAGACCAAAGTATGGCTGATCGCGGTCATCGCAGCCGGCACGGACGCAGACGAGTTCGATCTCAGTGATGATGAACCCGTAGCGGCAACTGTGGTCACGCATGCATTTCTGCAGATGCGCCAGGGTGCGGAGGTACTCGACCTTACGGGCCGGGCCTTCTCGGCGCATGCCCGTGTTCCACCGATCGAATGAGCGTACCAAGCCTACGACACGTCCCCGTGGTAGACCCGAGAGAGTGCGGTCATTGTCGCTGGGATAGTTGGCCAGGAATGTAGGGATATTGGCGGCATTGGAACTGACGCCAGAACCAGTTGGGGCCGGCGCAGGATACAAGCAGACAGAGTTGTTCCCGAGCGACAACCTGGTCGCTGCGTTGACTTTGGGGAAGTAGATCTTAGAGACCAAGTTGGCGAGATCCAGCTCGGATGCAGGAGTTACAGTATTTGTGTTGGCGTTGGTGAATGGTAAGCATGCTGTATCATGCTGAAAATTCAGCAGCGTAAGGAGGTCAGGGATCGTCGCCATCGTTTGCAGCGAGAATGATTTCCAGGGCCGGACATTGCGAACATCCCACCAGAAGTGGTTAGTGAGACCTCGACCAGTCTGGTAGGTGAGATGTCTAACCAGGTTGATTGGCTGGGTGGGTTGAGTCAGGTAGGAAAGCATGCTGGCTGTTGACGCCGGTGCAAGCAATGGCGGCGGGCTCATGGAGCATGGACGCGAGATGGTGTCGAGGTCAATTGGCAAGTCAAATGTGCCTTCAAGATTGATCATAGGCGGCTCAGGCATGGCCATGTTGGTGTACGGCATGTAGTTCGTTGCAAAAAGGTCTGGAGATGGCGTTTGCTGGTTGTGAGCCATGAAGACAGGCATCTGACGATAGGTAGGATACCCAAATCGATTCAGCACATTACTGTCAATGCTCGAGGCCGAGGTTGACCGAGAATGTGTCTTTGTCGGCACACTGAGTTGTGCTTTGGACACGGTCGGCGAGGGCATCACCGAGTTCGATCGGGAATTCGGAGCATTGGATACTGGGGACATCATTGAAATACATTCTGCAGGCTCGGTCGCACTCCTGTACATTGGCGGGCGGACATTTTTGGTGTTGTTGATGTAGGACAAGGTTCGTCGGTGCATCGATGGGCGACGGGCTAGGTGAGAATCCTTCGACGAATCCTGATTCCTGATCTTAGGAAGCAATGTTGGGCCATGCTGCCGAAGAACTGGAGATCGATTGGGGGTCGAATTAACAGTAATTACTGACTCAGGCGAAGTGTCGACTGTGCAGTACGACGAGGTCGACAAGTTCCGAGCATGTCCACGCTGACCAGCAGCGCCGGAGGCCTCCGGAGGCGTGAGTGGTCTATAGTAGTAAGGTGCTAAAGACATTCTATTGGTAATATCAGTCATCAACTCAGCTAGGCATGAAGGCGACGACACTCACATGTTGGGACTTTTGGTTACCACAGCCAGCTAAGAGCTTTGGTTAACGAGAAGCCAGCTTCTCAGAGTGGAGTTCGGAATCTGACAAGAAAGGACAGAGTAAGGAAAAGGCAATACCAATGGAAGGAAGACCGACTATTCAGTCTCGCAACTTGAAAGAACGAAAGGCTGAGAGAGCTTGGGGGGGAAAGGACCAGGTATAAATGGGTTGATCTCATGCGACCGAAAGCGGGCATCAATGAGGCCCGGCCAACAGTGTCTTGCAGGTCATAGTGCATATGAAACGTGGAGCAACCCGACGAGATGGCAAGGAAACAAACACGTCGGAGCGGTTGTTCGAGAATGCGATCTTGGATTACCGAAGGCGATACCATACCGTGGATCGTGGAGCGCGGCGGAGAACGCGCGCCAGAGACGATGGAAACGAATGCAGCTATTTCGGGTGAGAATGACGCTTCAGGTACCCCAGGACATTGCCAAAGTGGCCAGATAGGGTGTAACCACGATGTGGACGACTTCGCCATGTCTTACGAGGCAATCTGTGTCGGCGCTTGCTCGCTATTTCGAGATGAGGCTCTTGGGAGGTAGCGGTTGTTTGACAAGATGGTGAGATCGAAGCGTGGCTGGAGGGTAACACGAAGCGCGGATGCATAGATCCGTCGGGTCTTCAGATAGGCGCTGGTACTGCAAAGGTGTTTCATTGGCACTTCTTTTTCAGATTCTCTGGCCGTGTAGAGACGATAATTGGTGGCCACAGTTGCCGCCCGTTTGAAAAGAGGAAGAATACATGGTGGCGCAGCATTGATGGACGACAAGATGGGGGAAGGTCCAGCGAGGAGCTGCTGCGCGAACTTCAAGATCCTCGTCGCACAGATCTGCAGCTCAACACGTCCTTCGCGCGTTGGCACGTGAGTCCTCGTTCGACTTCAACACGACTATTCCACGAAGTTTCCACGACTAGATTCCCAACCTCTTCGTTTGCATGCAATCTGCACCTTTGTGCATGTTTAGGCTCTCAACCTGCATCGACCGGTCTTCTGCCATCCTGATCGACTGGATGTTACAAACATCAGAACTTAATTCGTGTTTCAGGTTGCTGCTCATCACTGTGAAACAGGCCGCTCACTGGCCGACCACCGCCTGACGGCCTTTGCACGTTGCGTCAAGCGTAGTGGTGTTATGCAACTACCAGGTACTGCAGCAGGCAGCTTCCGGCAGCCATCAATAACGACACATGCATTAGCTGTAGTTCAGTGTTCTTGCTGTCGATCAATTGATGCGGAGTTTGTCCTTCTATGTCGGAGCCACCAGCTCCTCCCGTATGTACAAAGTCATGCGAGGTTCGAGACACACCTCTGATTCTCGCCAGTAGACACCCATCGCCATGCCCAGTCCGTTCTGCCAAAGGACGGTTTAGCTCCCTGACCAATCCAAACCCGACGCCATCATGTGAAACGGTATGTCTGGTGCAAAATGACACAACTTATGCTCTGCTGACGGAATTCCATCATGCCTTGACCTCATATTTGCGGCGGAACATATCATCGACCTCGGTCAGATAATATGTGCCCGGGACCAGACCCTCGACCTCGCCGACCGGTTTGAAGTCTTTCTTGAGGTGTGCCTTTTCCCGGAGCATGCACATTTCGTCATACACTTCGGGGGCCACCACTCGGCGAGCGTCGAGTCGCTCCTGAAGGTTGAGCTTCTCTGCCATCTCAGTGGTATCACCAACCACCTTCAAGCTGAACATGGAACTGGCCAGACCACTGCCGTAGCTGAAAACTCCTATCCTCTTGCCCTGCATTGTCTTGGGAGCAATGTTGCTGATCAAACCAACAAGGCCACCATACACGCTGCCACAATACATGTTTCCACACATGGTTGCAACCTGGATGGCCGGCTGTACTCGCTCGGTAAAGCGTTTCTTGGTCAGCCCCATGAAGGTCTTCTCCACATTCTTGTCGGTCAATGATGCTTGATAGTCCAGGTCCCGCAGTTCAGGTGCAACCTCTTTGAAAACAGGGTGCGTCGGGTCCTCGAGGAAATCGTTGTACAACAGACGGGCATATGACTTGGAGACAAGCTTGCACGTGGGTGCGTGGAAAGCCATGAAGTCGAACCTGTCCAGGGGAGCCTTTTCAGTCTCTTCCTTGTGGACACCATTTCCGTTGACTGCGTGGCCATTGACCGCACTTCCATTGGCCTGGGCTTTCAGTGTCCGCTCTCGTGCATTATATGCTTTGTAGCATGCATCAACGGCCTCTGTGTAACATCTCAGGGAGAATTGGCCATCAACATAAGGGTATTCGCTCGTAAGGTCGGGCTTGTAAAAGTCATAAGCGTGGGTTATGTATGAGCCTCGGAGGCCAGGTTCGAAAGCCAGAGGAGCGTCTGGGCCGATCAACATGGCGACGCAGCCGGCTCCTCCAGTAGGACGAGCGTTGCCCTTCTTGTAAAGAGCAATATCACCGGTAACCACAACGGCGTCTCGTCCGTCCCAAGCTGAGGATTCAATCCAGTTAAGCGAGTTGAAAACCGCGTTTGTACCGCCACTGCCTCTTGTTAGATTTGGTTTCTCCCTTGTAATATGTTCCGACATCACTCACTAGCAAGCATTGTAAGAGTCCACTCCTTCGACATTGAAGTTTCCAGACTTCTCAAACAGTTGCATCAGAACGGATTTTACACTCTTGCTCTTGTCGAGCATAGTTTCTGTGCCGACTTCCAGTCGTCCAATATTCTTGAGGTCAAGGGAGTATTTAGAGATTAGGTTTGTTAGGGTCGTCAGGGCGAGCGAGTAGATGTCTGATGCACGTCTGGTCAGTGACTGCGGTGAGGATATTGGATTCCTCGACTCACCTTCTCTGTCGTCGCAGAAGGACATTCTGGTCTGTCCTAGACCGATGGTGTATTTCCCAGCTGACACGCCATCGAACTTCTCGAGCTCAGTTTGGTCGACACACTGCATACCAATCAGCACTTGTTATAGCATCCCCCATTGACATTGATCCCATACCTGGCTTGGGAAATAGATCTCGATGGCCTTAATGCCGATGTTTTGGGGTCGCGTGGCCATGTTGGACATGTTGGATATGTTGGGACGAAGAAGTTGAGGCGCACAGATTCACACTCAGGCGGTATTCTCGAACGCAGGTGATTTACGTGGATCAGATTTTCAGGGAGGCGGTGAGGTGGGGGTAATCAAGGATAGGAGGGCGATGGCAATCTTTGTGGAGGCGCAACACAATGTTTTCTGCACGTTTCTGAGTGAGAGGTTCTCTGCTAGAGTCCACAAACAAAGGCCAAAAAAGTGTGAGGAGGGGACAAAGAATGTTCTGAGCAGAGAGGGTGCGTTATGTATCAATGAGCGTCGCAGCCTGAAATTTCGTTTGGATCTGTTGAACGGACGCAGTTTGGATTCTTGCCGACATCGCTGGGAAACCAGAAAGCGAGAACAGGTTGCTGTGGCTGCCCGTCTAAAACCTTTAGAGCGTGCTTAAGATCTGCTTCCCACCAATGAAATTCGCCGATCTGCAGGCGGTGAGCACCGTTGAACCATCAGTTTGTGGTGGTGTCATTCGGATGCCCTGTTCCTGCATTTCTTTCGGCCAGGGGCTCAAAATTCTCCCGTGCCCTGCCAGATGGGTGCGCCAGAGTCCACAAACGCCATTCTGGTGACACAACAGTCTTTCAACAACCGATAGACCACCAAACACCCCCCGGACATAGATTCCTCAGTCGTGGCTGATGAGGCTGAGCTTGCTCCCCGTTCATCTCATTTCGGCATCCTGTTGGAAGTGGTCACGCCACCAATTGCCAAACCTCAGTGCATCCGAGTGGCGTCTTCGACGATCAATTTCTGTTTACCTGAAGAACTACTGCATCTACGTTTCTAGCTACGTCTATATGCTCATAACAAGGGTACCTGCTGAAGCAAAAGCAATCGGGCGTCTGCCTCAGCTCTTCATCAATAGGAGGACGGGAGGACTCCCAGTCGCCCACCATCGGTCACCACGGTGCATCCGTTGATATATGCCCCAGCTCTGCTACACAACCAGAGAATGACTACCAGGTAGTTGTTGAGAGACTTCCCATCAAGATGACGATCTTTGATTGTCAGATAGCGAGTGATTCGGAACAATTCGCCGTGCCAGAACCGGTTCCGGAATTTAGCCAATGCTTCTTGGCTTGGTATGACGCGACGACGCGATCAGGCAATTTCGGCACGCACTATACGACTGTTACCTCTCCTTCCACACCGTCTGAACGTAGTAGCGACATGGCTCGTGATGTCCGCCGGAGCGTCCATGGTGAAAGGCTGAAAAGATCGTTGCGGCTCTGGGATGCCACCATCAATGAGGTCAAACAGGATCGTAAACCTCCTGTGCGGACGAGGGACCTCAACACTGCAATCGACGAATTTGCAGATTGGTTTGGCCCCTGTAATGAACGTGCCTATACCGCTATTTGGGCAATCTGCTTTGCGGTCATGCTCGATATCTCATCCACTGCTTGACAGCAACGCTTTTTTTTGGCACGATCGAGCTCTGACGCGAGTTGGAAGGGTAAAACTAGAGCAGTCCTATCAGTCCTATTGCAAACACGCGTGTGCGGTTCAGATCACTGGAGCAAGTATCAAAACATCCCCCATCTGCATTACTAACTTCCCAGGACACCTTTGACGGGACACAGGAATTGGTCGTGCAAGGACGCTTTCTGGCGAACACTCAAACTCCCCAGAAGCCAGGCCCTACACAGTATACTCAGCTGCCTCTTTGGTCGCGAGCCTCAACGCTTGATATTTGCCGCAATGCGGTTCGTCAGCAACGACGACGGCTGCCCAATCAGCACACAAGCCAGGCACGCCAGTATTCCAAATGGCAGAGCTGAGTACCAGACATCTTTCAGACTCTCCGCATATGCCCACCGAGCGCCGATCGTCGCTCCCTGCAGTACGGCTTCTGTCAAACCTGGAACGGCAGCTTCTCCAGCAGGCGTCGTGAGGTTTTGAGGTGCCACAAGGAACAGTTCGACGAAAGCTTTTGCTGAAGAAGGCGGCAGTCCAGCCGCAACAGCATATGTAGCCACATATGTAGGCAGATTGTGCGTTAACTTGGTGCTGAAGATGTTGGAATAAATAGCCGTGCCGACCGAACCTCCAACCGTCCGAATAGACAGGGAAAGAGCAACGCATGTTGCAATCAGATCATCAGGAGACCCGATGACTGCAGTTGTCACTGCTAAAGCAACGACGCCACCGATTCCGAACCCGGCAACAGTAGCAAGAGCAACTGTCTGGACCGGGTTTTCAGGGGTGCACGTCACGAGCGCAGTGCCAAACGCTGTTGTCAGAATTGCACAACTCAACAGTATCTCCCTGTTATGGTTTTTGTAAGCCGACAACAATATGTTTGGCACAACTGCTCCGGCAGTGACCCCAATAGCGGGAATGACTCCTTTGAGACCAGACTGAACCGGATCCGGTCTGTAGACGTCCAAGTATATGACCGGCACGAAGTTGAGAATGCCGTAAAAGTACATACCGGCCACAAACGCTACCAAGAAGCTCATGGCAACAATGCGGTGGCGTCCGAAAAGCTCACGAGGGACCATCGGAAAGCTCGCGCCTTTCCATTCCCAGAAGACGAAGGCGACGACCATCAAAATGCCTATGATCAACGTACAAAGCACTTTTGCGCTCACCCAGGAATCGGAAACGCCTGCCGTGACGCCCACCAAGCTTTTGAAGGGTCAATATCGGTGTGGTAGGTAAGGAAAGAATGGAATATCAGAGAGTACTCACAATAACGCAAGACCGCCTACGGAGAGGAATGCGCCGACAAAGTCGATTTGCGGCAAGACCTCCCGGACTGTCATCCGCCGTCCACGGACCTGAGACTCTGGGAAGTAGAAAAGTGCGATTCCGACGACCGCAATAGCGTTCCAAATGCTGCAGAGAGAATATCAGTCGTCTCATCACCAAAGAAGGGTGGAAATCTGGGCACTGACGCCTCGGCGTCACGAAAAAGGATGGGGTCCATACAGTGCTATCCAAATGCTCCATCTCCAAGTCGAATGCAATCCCAGTAAAGTGGTATAGATTGCATACGGCGAAAAGGGCAGTACGAGGCCGGTAATCAGACCAAGGTACAAGCCTCTCTTCCTCACAGGGACCAGCTCCGAGGTTCCCGCCAACGCCGTCAGCTCGCCTATTGCGGCGCCCACCCCAGAAGTGGTCATACCCACGATAGCCTGAGCCATAGTATGTGCGGTGCTGATTATTATGAGTCCAACGCAGAGCACTATAGCGCCAGTGAGTGAGATGTATCGGCGTCCAAAGACATCTTGCAGGTATCCGCTGAATGGAGCTAGCGCAGCGAAGGCCAGAGCGTATGACTCTGGCAGCCAGGATCTGATCTCGGATCCGCCGACGTCTTTGGTGATGAACGAGAGACTTCCAGACACGAAGTAGAGAGGCAATTGCGAACCTGTGTTCTCCCTTGATGATAAGCTTTCGAAGGACGCAGCATATACACTGCTCGAAACCTTGCACGAGCCGAAGAGGGCCAGACGTACCAACATAAAGACAGGAAAGAGAAAGAGTTGCAAGGATCTGGCGTCCAGTCCATTCTACTCGGCCGTCCGAGTTATCGCCTTGAACGTTATCTTGTTTCTCAAAGTCGGTGGCCGGTATATTGACGAGGTCTACATGAGATGTCTCAGCTTTGGCGACGTGAGGTTGTTCCGCTTGCTGAACGGCCTCCGGCTCCCCAGGGTTTTCGTTTATGCTCATTATGTCTAGTTCCTGGGACGATTTTTGCTGAGCTGGTTGATGGTGCATGGGTTCAATGCTAATGGCTTCCTCCACAGACTGGGGAGGGATTGAGGAACTGAAGAACAGCGTGGAGCCCCGACTATCGTCATATACGCCTCCTACTCACGTTCAGCATGCGGGGTCATACATGACCCTACAGGTTGGCAATGTGTCTATTGGGCCTCATCCTTGTTGTCGTGTGTTTGTACCGCGGCGACGTCCGGGTATACCAGTCACGACCAATGAGAACCTTGAAGCGGTAGCGGCTACGGCTATACAAATCTGGTGGCCGGACTACTCGGTTATACAGACCCAGGTGTAACAGGGCTTGACTGGTTTAGGGCTGACAAGGCTATGACCCCTGAACCACGAACTTTGCCAACCACCTCTCTTACATGCTCGGCGTGCCTGGAGGGAGCGTGCGAGTGTCGACAGTTTCCTTGTCAGACGGGCGAGTGTAGGCTCGCTGCATGTGGAATGTTAACCTTAGCACATGTCGGACAATTCTACAAGAAATCAACCATCACCACGAGCTTACGTGCTTGGGGTGGCATGACCAAGTTTCCCAAGGCCAGGTGAGTAGTCGACTTTCCAGAGAGCTCTCTTACCTCTCCATGCTCAGCCTTGTGCATGTCTCTGAATCTACCAGCAGCAATGCTGGCACGACCGCGATTGAGACTTTCCCCGAGCCGATGTCAATTGCTCTCCTGACTCTATAACATCTAGGCATGATCTCCGAGCTCTCGATCAGCAGAGATGGACCATAGCATCAACCGGAACGAACACTCAACCGTTTGTTCTGTCGAAGTTGGGAAGCCACAGGGGCCAATATTCCCCATCGCAAACGGAATGCGGAGCCCCGCAAGGTTGATTGTTCCATGGGGACATTTCCCTTCTCCTCGGACCTTGGTGCGGTTGTCGGTAACGGTTATACAAGATCTGCATCCTTCGACATAAGAACCTCATGACAGCAAGCACAAAGCGGCTGATGCGCGTGTGGCTGTGCAGCATGCCTGCGCCAGTCGATGCTCACACTCTTTGTCAAAGCAGTCGCATGTACCTGTGAGAATGTTTGCACCAACAGCGCCCTGCGAGCCATTACTCGAGAACGATAATTTCGACCTGGAACAAGTTCCCACTCTTTCGCGCATGGGCGCCGATATCTCCTTTTGAGGCTGTTCCAAGTACAACGGAACATGTTTGACAGATCTCGGCTCTGAAGGTCCGTCTGACATACCGAAGGAAGACCTTCTGCCGTGCATGGCCGACGACCCAAGTTATGGATGTGGACAGCGAGGTCAGCGGACCTCATTGAAGACTCATCTCCAGCTCAGGTCGCTTTGGAGTAGGATGCTGATCTAGATATCTAGATCGATGGTTTGGATCTTTCCCAAGCCATGCTTCACCCAAGTACGCATGGTTGTTCTCGAGATCCTCTAAGGCTTCCGCGCCGTTGGCCTGACGAAGGGCGACTTATGGTTGCCTACACCCGTTCCGTCATGTAAGCTTCGTTCGCCCTACAAGCCGACCAGTGGCACCCGTCACCCACCAGTGGCTTGACATACGTGTCATCGAGCCCGATCCTTCACCGTAGAGGCCATCGCACTCTGTTCAAGTTCCCCATGTTCGGGAGATCTCAGCGGCAGGGTGGTTTCTGTTGATGCCTTGCTCGGCAAGGCGAGCTTTGTCGAAGAGTTTGCTGGGAGCGCAGATTTGCGGGAAGGGTCAGACTCTTCATCAAGGCGTCAGGCTCTTGACTGAAAATGCTTCAGAAGAAAAGGTAGCAGAGCTTGAATATGACAGAGTGATCATTTGCAAAGTGTTCATGCAACCGCTCGCCTTCTCCGACTCCTTTGAAAACGTTGTTCTATTTCATACATGGACTCATTGGCATCTAAACTCGTTTGCTCGTCTCTTGAAATCCTCTCCCTCACACTGACTCCGTGCAGAATAGTATTTCGTCTCTAATGTTTCCCGAAATGTGTCAGCTTGCCCTTGAGCTTGCTCATCTTGCTAGGCTCGTAGGTCTCTCCACGATCACCACTAGTCTGAACGTGTGTGCCGTCGTCCAGACAGCCAGGACTCATTTCTCGTTCTTCCACTTTATTCTTGGCCGGCGCAGTCAGTCCATTTCGTCCTCGCTCATCCGCGCTCTTGCCCGAGGTGACTGTCGTGGACGTGGCAGCGCTCGACGTGGTCTTGGAGGTGGGGTCTATGGGGTTCTCTGCCAGCAGCGGGAATGGTATCAGCAAAGGGCGGTTTGCGAATGACAACGGACACACAGCTGTGATAGGGAAGAAAAAGGTCGAATCTGAAAACTTACCCGGCGCATTTCCTCCATCGTATGGGTCGGTGGCTGTGCCTTCGCCTTGCACGCCTGAAGGGGGTTCCTCGCCCGAGAGGACAGGGTCGTCTGCGTTTCCTTGATCGTATGGGTCCGTCGCTGTGCCTTTGCCCTGCAGACCGGAGACCGGTTCGACACCGGACTGGGCTGCGCCACTGCTGCTGCCGCCGACGCCCATGGCTGTGTCTTTGAGATCGCTTGCTGTTTGAGACATACTTCGGACAGTAGTCATGTTGATACTCGTGATGGGTCAAGGTGGGAAAGGAAGCCGACGAGAAGGATAAGGAATCGAAGAGTGGGGAGGGAGGGAGAGGTCGTGTATTCGGTATGGAATGTGTACTCTAGGACAAAGACAAAGATCTTCCTTCTGTCGCCGATACCTGGGTAGGTAGACTAAGGTACTGTGGTAAGTGTTGGGAACGCAGTCTTTTGGTTCAGGAGTCAGTCCTCGATGCAACGGCAGCAGTCACTAGTAGTCTTAACCATGTGCGAGGAGGACCGGGTTTCCCAGAGTTAAGGCACACTATGGCTACTTGGTTCTGTAGAGGGATGGTTAGGTCAGACGTCATCGAGGGGCCCACCGTCATCAAAGGCCGACTTCTTTTCTATTGCACATGGGGCGGCATCAGCGCCTTACTTTAGGGACGATCTAAGCCCACCAGCCGGCCACATGACCTCCATCACCGCTAATCGGCTGTACATTCCAGGCAGGGCCTTAAGAGTCAAGTTTTATGGTGGTTGGTTAGTGCCATTGTGGTGACTGTCTAACTAGGCCTCTACTCGTAGGTGCTGTCCACCCAGCTGTCTACCCCAGTCTTGTTTTGCTTTTTCCGCTATATAAACACTACTTAATTTAGCGAACTTCTTTCGCAAGACGGCAGATACTATGGTACACTCTTCACACTACACTCATTCCATAAATCGTGCTCGCATGCTTCACCCTCTTTATCTTCCTCTTCCCATTAGGCAATGTGACTAGGTACTCGTTCAAGCCAGGAAGCCATCCAGCTTCTGCTTGCTTCTTCGCCTCCAGCTTCTCAGCGGCCTTCTCAGCTGCCGTCGGCGGTCGTGTTGGTAGTGGTAACCGCCGACTTCGTGCTTCCTCGACAGCGCGGTAGAATCCGAGGTCGTCTTGTATTGAGCGGAGTTGTTCTGCGGAGAGGGATGAGACTAGGGACTTGTCAAAGAGGACAGCTGTGGATGCAGATTTGTCGTAGCTGAAAGCAGGTAAATCGTCGCGGATGCGTTCGCAGGTCCAGCAGTAGCACTCGGAAGCCAGACGTCTAGCCGACTCAAGGCTGGCGTCGGCAATGATTTGAGGTGAAGTTGGTGACTTTGAATCCGTAGATGCCGGTGTAATTCCTTGAAGAAAGAGCTGGTACTGTCGGGGATAGAGTTTGTGCGTTTTCCAGATCAGTTCCACGCCAAAAGGGATGTCGTGGATTTGGATGTCGGCAGAGTTCGAAGAGAGCTGAAACTCTAGATATTCTATGCTAGATCGTTCTAGCGAGCCCTTCAAAGCAGGTGAACGGATCCATAAAAGACCATGAGCGTCGTCCATGAACTTCTCGTGTTGCTTGACTTCGGCAAAGAGATCGGTTTGGATCGGTAATCCAGGAAACTCGACGTACGCTGGGGGACCTTCGAGATATGTGAGGATATCTGCTGACTGTGACGTTAAGGTTGAGAAGAGATTCTCCGCTGCCCGGGGTAGCTTGAATGTCATGGTGCTTACGTCGAGCACATCTCGAATGGCAGGCCACGGAAAGCAAACTTGCCCGACCTCCGGTATTCCTCGATTGTGGCACGCAGCTGTGTAAGTCTTTTCGTCGAGCATGAAGGCGTACCAGATAAGAAGTACGTCTAAGGGGGGAAGGTAGTCCTTAGTCAGCTGCACTACAGACTGGCCTCCAGCATGGTAAGTAAAAGCTCTTGCATGGCGGAAGACCCGGTCAATGCTCATCCACCAAGCAGTGAAGCGGGTAATGGCAAGTCGGATCAGTAAATCCCATCGCTCTGATTCTGGCAATCTGGTCGGCGCATAGTGCTCTCTTGGCCTGGGCTTTTCAGAATATGCTGGTTTTTCCAGCTCGACGTCGAGCCTACTGGCGCTGAGCCTCAATCTTCGGAAACATTCGAGCAAAGCCAGGTGCACTGCGGCATGACTTATATCAGGGTAGACGAGGCTCGTTTCCGTTCTACCAAGGGTGGCTTCACTAGGCACAAAGGCGTTCCTGAATATTGTTGGATTTGGGATGACTGTCTCTCGGCCACCTGCTTTAGATGTCGAGTATGAAGATGGTAGCGGCCAATCATGTGGATCTCTATCCGCCTGACACCCAGCCTCAGATCCGGAGAGTCGTGCGCGAACGCGACCAAATATTGACATTGACGTGTGTTTCCGGCCCGAAGATACGGCCGTGCTTCATGTCGTCAGATTCTATAAGATGCAAAGGTGACAAGATAGAGAGAGGTCCTGCAAGTCTCCAGGTCGATAACTCCAACTTTTCGACTTAAGGTGGTAGTCCCATGCTGCGTGGGAGCGTCAGTGAGCGTCCTCCAGTAGGGGGGCATCATGGGGGCTTGTGCAGGCTGCGCCCTTGGCATCTAGTTAGGCGCTCTTCTGCCAATTGTGACTTTGATTCGCTCAATTCTGGTGGCGAAGTGATGTTGGCATTGAAGTGAATCTACCCGTTTCATTGGTTTATGTGAATGCTGCCGGCGTCCAGCTGCAAACCTCCTGCCTGCATGCCAAGCATCTGCATGCACCACGCCGCGGGGGACATTTTCTTTCGAATCAGGCTGGCTATCTCGGCCATTTCCACTCGAGTCACCGCAACAGGCGATACTTCGAGCAGATATGGCTGTCGACACCTGTGTCGAGTGCCGTGAGCGCGATGCCGCCTTGAATATCAGGAACAGGCGCTTATGTGCCGCCTGTTTCAGCTACTATGTGCATTCCAAAATCTTGAAGCGGATGGAGTCATATCGATTCAAGAACTCGTCTGGCAATCAGAAGCATCGGGTGTTCCTCCCACTGTCTGGAGGCACTTCGTCTCTTGTTCTGCTACAAGTGCTTGATGCTCAGCTTCACAAGCAGATCGCGAACCGCAATAGAACATCCTATGATATTGTTGTCGCACGAGTCGTTCTGCCCGAAGACCATGACTCCACAGCTATCAAGAACGACTATGAAGACCTGAAACAAAGGTTTTCCACGCACAATTTTCTACCTCTGCTTTCGATGCACGAGGTACTACGACTGGATAGCAATATTGACCGGGATTTGAAACACCTTGGAATCGTGCGCCGGGAGGATGAATCCGACGGAGACTTCTTTCTGCGGATCCTATCTTGCACCACTTCTGCAACCACGAGGTCAGATCTACAGTCGATTTTGTTGAAGCGCCTTTTAGTAGCCACGGCAAGGGACCAGAAATGTACGAGTGTCTTGTGGGGTCATTCGGACACTCGTCTCGCCGCACTGGCGCTTGCAGATGTGGCCAAAGGCCGAGGTGGGTCTGTCTCTTCTACTATTGCTGATGGTCAATCGATGCGTGGGATCAACTTCAGTTATCCTGTTCGTGACCTCTTCAAAGCTGAACTTCAGGCTTATGCTCAAGTGGCTTCCGAGTATTGCTTGGAAAGAGGCGTAGACAACGATGCCCCGGCTCAACAACCCGCAAGCATACGAACGACCTCAATCGACAACCTTCTGAACACTTACATTACGTCTCAGAGTGAGAAGTACCAAAGCATCGTGGCGAATGTGGTGCGAACAGCGAGCAAACTCGAAGTCAAGCGACCAAATGATATTGCTGTTTCATGCCCTGTCTGCATCATGCCCGTTGTGGAGGCTACTAGGATCTTGACATCATACTCGGGCTTATGCTATGGATGCGAAAGAATGAAACACGATGTTAGGCCGTGAAGTCTCTGGACCCGACGAACCACGAACTACGGTAGCACAGGTCAGACTGTGTTGAACAATGCAGATCCCGTCCTTCAACGCAGCCTTCCTAAGCGAACAAGCCAGCAATGATAATGTCCGTTCAATTTATCGCTCAATACAATGTATTGCATGCTATCTCTCAAGTCTCTAGCATTCGCAAACCAGGACCTCCCGACAATCAACATCAGCGCGTGCGTGCTGGCAGTGACGGCGCACCAGTTTCTCCTCGCTCAACATCACGACGATCTCTGTGCGATCTGCCATTCTCGCGTCGGGAGGTATATCGGGGGGGAGGGCCATTTTGATTGTTCAAGAGTTGTTCATCGCCCTGGTAATCGTATTCGTCTGGCAGACTGGGATCTGCTATATTTGCATGCGGCGTACCCTTGATTCTCTTTGCGCCACGTTCGCGCAGCACTTTCTCCAGCAATATCACGTTCCTGGTATTGCATTTGTAAACGGCATCCGCAATGTCACCGATGAATGGTACCAAGCCAATGCCAAAGTCGATTGCCATGTTCAACACCATGCGGCTTTTGATGGAGGAAGGTAGCTCGACGGAGCAGCACGTTCGGTACACCATGAAGGCCAACAAAAGGTCGGCTACGTCACCAATCCTGCTATAGGTCAGTCACATCCTCGCGACAGCAAACGATAACAGCAGCTTACGCAGGTATCAGGCCGATAACAGCTCCCCATCCGAATCTAGTTCCGCAGAAGTTTCCAAGAGAGAGGTCGACGCGGTACGCTCTCCTCTTGGCCTTTGTGAGGATCTTCTCTTCTTCTGGAGTCAGACCAGGTGGGAGAGCCCTCTTTCTCTTCTTGGTCGTCTTGTAAAGTCCTCCTAGTCTGGTCGCCGGGACTGTCTCGAAGTAGGGATCCTGCGCATGTTAGCAAGTCAAGACAGACCATCGAGGATGGACTGCTTACTTCGTAACCATTTTGATTAGAGGTGTTCTCCTTGAAGAATCTTTTGGCTACCAGCTTCGCAGCATAGGAAGTCATGGTGAAAGGAGTGGTGTCAAAAATGTAAGGGAGGATAAACTGCGAGGTGCGGACTTGTCATAAAGATATAGGCCAATGCCGGGAAGAGGTAACAAAGGCGCAGCGCTTTTATGTCACTATGCGTTGGTGAGTCGGTTTAGCCTTCAAACAAAGGGATCGAGCCATGTCACGGCCTGCTTGGCTTGCATATGATCGGCTGGTTGTCAAGTACACCAAGCTGGCTGGTAGGCGCTGAAATCTTGCTTGCCACCATGAAACATTTCAGGATTGCGCCCGGGTGTCGTCATTCTCGGTGCTTAGTCTAGCTAATTGTGCTAGTGGACAATCCTGGCAGTCTCAGCCACAGCCACAGCCACAGCCACCATTCACCAGCCACATTACTTACTGCTCGTGCTGCTTCTTCATCACAACACAGTTACGCTGACCCCACAGAACACCTTCGACCAGACAACTCCCAGCAACTTCGACGCCGATCTAGACTCGTGGCAGTGCACATTTCAACCTGCATCCGAGTCTCACATCGGGACTTTCCATACTGTACCGTGTGGTTGTGGAAATGCCCAGACAAATCATCGCACAAATCACCGCGAGCAATGCACCTGGAGGATTGTGAGCGCAATACACCTTTCGTATGAAGAGTCTGGGATGCTAACACCGGTCGCGCTGTAGGGCTAGATGACCTCTGTGTCCGATTCATCATAAACTTGCCTCCCGAAGAGCTGGAATCTGTAGAGCGAATCTGCTTCCAGGTCGAGGAAGCACAATGGTTCTACGAAGACTTCATCCGTCCACTTGACCCTTCTCTGCCTTCCCTCTCTCTACGCGCCTTCAGTCTGCGAATATTTCAACATTGTCCTCTGTTCTCACAATGGTCGGCTCAACACCACACTACCGCTTTTGCGGAGTTCCTGGCCTACAAGTCGCGGGTTCCAGTCCGTGGTGCTATCATGCTGAACGAGGCTATGGACGAAGTCGTGCTCGTCAAAGGCTGGAAGAAGGGCGCGAACTGGAGTTTCCCGAGAGGAAAAATCAATAAGGACGAAAATGACTTGGATTGCGCCGTGCGCGAGGTCTATGAAGAGACGGGCTTTGACATTCGTGCAGCAGGACTTGTCAAAGATGAAAAAGACATGAAATATATCGAGGTGACGATGCGAGAACAGCACATGAGGCTATATGTTTTCCGAGGAGTACCCAGAGACGCGCACTTCGAACCGAAGACACGGAAGGAAATCAGCAAGATTGAATGGTACAAGCTCACAGATCTGCCAACGTTGAAGAAGAATCGGCAGCATGAGGGCAGTGGCACAGACCAACCAGCTCTCAATGCCAACAAATTCTATATGGTAGCGCCTTTCTTGAATCCGCTCAAGAAGTGGATTGCCCAGCAGCGAAAGAAGGACACGCGGTACAGCTCTCATCTTTCGGCACCTCCAATGGTACCCGAAGAAGTGACTACCGAAGATGACCAAGATGTTGATGGTGTCGGAATGGGCTTGCCAGCACAAGTGCCACAGATTACGAGCGAACTTCCAGAGGTCACTGCAAACAATCCCACTTCTCACTTGAAGCAGATGCTCAACATTGGGTTTACACAGCCTGTTCAACCCGAGACCGTCCTGCAACCGAGTCATATGCAACATGTTGACACCCAGAAATCGAACGCCCTTTTGGCACTTCTACGAAATGCTCCGCAAGGACAAGCCCGTCCCATACCTCAGACACCTTTTGAACAAATTTCAGAAGCTCCACAAGTACAACAATCGCCACATGTCTCTCATGTGCGTCAGCCTCAGTTGGATCAGACGCAAGCGCCTCCACCATTTCAACCACAACTTCAGAACGCCATCCGGCCATCTTTATCCCAGTATCGGCAAGGTACCGAGTCATCTGCGATTCCAGCACCCAGAAGCACTCAATGGTATCCACCACAAATGCAGGGTGCCCCGTATCAACAGACGGGGGATCCACAATTTGCGCTGCAGAGTACCAACCAAACACAGCAGCCTTCCGTTCCTCCAGCCAGCGCGCTGCCAAAATTGACGAATCATACAAAAGCACTATTAGACGTCTTCAGAGGAGCCACGAATGTAGCACCTCCACAGGTGCCCCCTGCAAAGAAGGGGCTGCTGGAGCTTCTTTCGGGAGGAGCGTCGCTGTCGAAACGTGGGGCGCTACCCCAGCATGAGACGACTACAACAGGTACACTGCCAAGCGTAACAAATCATCGGGAGCATACGAATCTTGACAATCCAGATATACCTCGATCACTCCCGCCTGTGGCATCGCAGCAGGTTCAGCACGAGAGGCCAATTATGGCACCTCGTGCTCACCCTGTCGACGCACAAACGACGTCGCTTCTGAACCTGTTCACCAAGCCGGCCAACACAGAGCAGACAGCAGGAGACAAGCCTCGAATTCAACCACCGGCAGAGTTAGCAGCTACACATGCCGCTTCACCGGCTCGTCAGAACCTAGATGGCGACAAGAACGAGCTTCTCCTGGCCTTGCTCAAAAAGAATAACCAAAACGGCTCATCAAAAGCAACTACTACTGATGCTACTGCTACCACAAAGCACCCGTCCCCCAGAGAAGGCGAGACATCAGCAACTATCAGTGGACCACTGAATCAACCGGAGTTTGACGCTATCTCGAGGGCGGCCCGGCACATGTCCAACGACATGGGACGAAGTCCTCTTGCGTCCACACGAACGCTATATGACCCCAATCGGCCAACGCCTATCAAGATTCTGACACGGTCGGAAGAGTCTCGACGACAACAGCAACCGGCACCCTCCCGCTCTCCGCGGGGAATGAAGGCGCCAGGGAAGAGATCAATCAAAGAAAAACCAGCGCCAAAAGCCCCGAGCAAACCGTTCCAACCTCAGATACTTCGCCGACCACAAACTGCAGAATCCTCTGAGCCCGAACCGACGGCGGACGAGGCCACGAATCAGCACGCCGTCCAGGCGAACGCAATTCCGTCGCCTCCACCTGCTCCTACTATTCTGGGGAGTGGAAGACAGGCAATGAGTCGGCAATCTTCTCAGACCGAGGCGCAGAAGCAAACCTTGCTGTCACTTTTTGGCGGCGGTCTAGACATTACCCCAAGAGGGACGACAGTTCCATCTGGTTCTGGCGTAGTGTCTCCATTGTCTTCTAGCCAAGTCCTGAATCAGAACGGTGAAGCCCCGTTATCCGGTCTTGAACCAATCTCAACTAGAACATCGCGAGTTGGAAGTCTGGCTTCAATTGCAAGTGGACCAGTGGCCAATCGCACACCCAGTGAAAAGCGACAGACGGGAGCAGAAAACAAGGCATTTCTCTTGGGCTACTTGGGCAGAATTGCCAGCCAGGAGAGTCAATGAGCAGTGGTCCTACGAGGGACATTTTGGGCAGTCCAAGACTATGTTGCTAGGCTTGAGGAGCCCGAACATGTGGCTTGTTTCGGCGACGGCGAGTCAGCCTGTCCGTGGCCTGTCTTATGTAGTCAAATATTATGCGCTGTTCTTCGGGAAGTATTTTTGAACGGGGTCAGTCTACGTACATCGTATTCGGCTTCCCCGGTGCCCGGGTGACTTTTTGTTTTATTCTCCGAGACGCCAAAGTTATGTAATCTGCACAAGAAGCATGTGTCTGCAGGTCGTGCATAGACTACAGACGGAAACAGTATAATTTGCGAGGGGTCCTCACCGTACTGGGGCCAGGAAAATGAGAGAGCATGGCACGAGGTGGATCATCACATCTCGCAAAGCATGACCTCAGCAACACATCGGGACTCGCGATAGCCACTCTGTAACACAGTAATCAGCTTCACACCAGCGTCGTGGGGCGAGAAGCGCACTTGGCACCATTTCTTCTACTATAGTAGGCGCTGAAACGCAAGGCCACCGAGTCCAGCTCGAATGCGGGCTGGTGTAGGACTTTTGGGAAGTCCTTGCGAAAGAGCTAGTGAGGCTGATTGCCATGCCCACACATGCCCTTACGTAGTAGGTGGTGGATAGAAGGATGCTTGTGCTGCCGCGCCCCGATCGACAAGGTCCTGACGCGGCCACGGAGAATACAAGAAAATTGAATATTACTGAAGATGGCCCAAGGCCCCTCCTTGCGGGCATGCGCTCAATAACCTAGAGTCCGTCACGGTAAGAAGTCTGCTACACTACCGGGTAGACACTTTTGCTTCACTCGTGTTTGTCGAATGCATCTCCCATTGTGCTGTGGGCAATGGCAGAGGTTGCGCCGCCTCGCCCGATTCCAGTACGAGGTCCAGGTTCAGGTCCAGGTCCATGTCCCGGTCCAGGCGCAAGTTTGTTCATGGCCGAGGCTGTTGGAACCTTGAACCATAATCACCACCACCACCACCACCACCACACAAATCGTCCACCAACCATCAACATCAGCGACCATGACTCGGGAACTGCTACCAACGGTATGTTTTGCAGTTGGTGTTATGTGAACCATCACTCAGCACTCTCCTCGTTCGACCTTTTGCCTTCCATGGCCGCCGATCTGCATGGCTATTGCCGTCACGACAGCTGCTGCAACCCGCTCCCGTCATTGTATCATTCGAATGCTGACTGTGCTTCGTCTTGAACCTCAGTCACCCCACTTCCAAATACGAATACTGTTCGCAACTCTACCCATGTCTATAATTTAGGCCTGAATCCAGCATCATCGGCCGATATGAGTCCTGTCCTTAGCTCCTCAGAGGCGCAAGCCGCCAATGGTGAGCAGGTCCAGGTCCTTGACCCAATCTCACGGGTACGTCCAGATCCCTTACACCCACTTGGTCGCCTTACGGCTGCTCACCATACGGACAGCAAATTCGAGAGCGCACTCACCAGCAGAGCAGGCAGCCTCAAATCCAACAGAGCGGTGTGCCCTCCAAATCCACTTATGCGGAATCCGGTCCATCCGAAGACCTATACTCGGGCAGAATGTCCTCCGACCCGGTGCCTCTGCGGAGAGTCGATAGCGGTGCTAGTAGCAACAAGTTAAGCAAGGACAAGAAGTGAGTTGTGCAAACAGACAACAGACAAACAAAATCATTCGTAGCCCATTTCATGTCGCGCTGCGTGACCGTCACTACCACCCACTTTCCCAGGCATCCTGCGCGGACGCCCGCCGCAGCCTCGTCGCACTGACATGTACAAGGCTGACATGTATTGTGCGCAGGAAAGGAGTATCGTTCCTAAGTCGCATCATGGGCGGCCCCAAGAAACGCGATTCAATGGACCTGCGTGACGATACTGTTTCAGAGCTCGCCGACGATCGTTCCGCCGGCGTCGAGGCCGAGGTATTTTCCCAGCCTGTTGGCTTCATACCAAAGTTCCCCGCTCCTCCACGATACATCAAGGTCAAAGCTCAGTATGGGAAAGAGAAGGACTTTGACCGGCTTTTTCTAGCTCAGATAGCGCTCGACACACCAAGGACGAAGTCGAGGAAGACGTCGATTGACTCCAAGATCCACGACATCAAAGATACTCCCGTCACCCAGCCGAGTCCGGCAACCAGTACCACGAATTCTGCCATATGGGCGATGGAATTTTCAAAAGATGGGAGATACCTTGCTGCTGCTGGGCAGGATAAGAAGTTGAGAGTGTGGGAAGTCATAGCCACCCCTGAGGACCGTGATGCCGAGGACAAGCTGGCCGAGTCCGATCATGATGGAGACAAGATGAAGCTCAATGCGCCAGTTTTCAAGAGCAAGCTCGCGCGGGAGTATGATGGCCACACCTCGAGTATACTGGATCTCAGCTGGAGCAAGAACAACTTCCTGCTCTCTTCATCCATGGATAAGACAGTCCGATTATACCATGTCAGCCGAGCAGAATGCTTGTGCGCCTTCAAGCATAATGACTTTGTCACTTCGATACAATTTCACCCACGAGATGATCGTTTCTTCCTGGCTGGCTCGCTGGACTCCAAGTTGCGGCTGTGGAGTATACCGGACAAGAATGTGGCGTACTGGGCCCAAGTGCCTGACATGGTGACTGCTGTGGCCTTTACTCCCGACGGAAAGACCGCCATCGCCGGCTGTCTTAACGGCCTATGCATACTCTACGACACTGAAGGCCTGAAAGCACATTCGCAAATACACGTCCGGTCGGCACGAGGTAAAAATGCAAAGGGGAGCAAGATCACTGGCATTGATACCATTGCCTTGCCAAAAGACGGTGCTCAACCAGATGTCAAGCTTTTGATCACCAGCAATGACTCACGTATACGCATGTACAACCTGAAGGATAGGACACTGGAGGTGAAGTTCCGTGGAAACGAGAATTCCTGCAGCCAAATACATGCCTCGTTCAGCGATGATGGGAAGTATGTGATCTGTGGCAGTGAGGATCGAAAGGTGTACATATGGCCTACTTCGGTTCAGGAGAGGCTCGATAATGATAAGCGACCGATGGAAGTGTTCGAGGCGCATTCGGCAATTGTCACAACTGCGCTGCTAGCTCCTGAGAAAACGCGGAGATTGCTTGCACAGTCTGGAGATCCTCTGTACGACCTTTGCAATCCTCCGCCGGTGACTTTGTTCAGTCGTGCAGACTCGGTCATCTCATCCCGTGCGCCTACGAATAATAGCTCGGATGAAAAGAATCCGCTCTCTGAGAAGCGACTGTCCGGATCTCCCAGGCGCGCCCCCGAGACCCCGGCCTACCTTGCCCGACATTCTCATTCGGGAGGTCAGATCATCGTGACAGCGGATTATACTGGTCAGATCAAGGTCTTCCGGCAGGATTGTGCGTTTCAGAAACGAAAACACGAATCCTGGGACGGGGGCTCGACCTTCTCCAAAAAAATGCTTGGTCGGAGCGGTTCTGTCAACACTCGAACATCCGGGGCTTCCTCGACTCGTCGAAGTTCATTTGTCATGGGCTCGAAAAACCAGTCTACCGATCGCATCTTGAGCTGGAGAAATTCCGTGAACGCCACGAACGGCGGCAATGGTACAGCCGCTAGCATGGTCGAAATCCGCGGGTCCTTGAGCAACGACCGGTCACGTAGCGCGTCGCCGAAGAAATTGATCTCGCACCGACTCTCGATGCGCAAAACCTCACCACCGAACAAGAACGGCCTTCTCTCACCTACCTCTCCAGTATATCACTCACCACTTAATCAGATACAAAATGGACCATCCATCGCTGTCACGTCACCTACAGCAGAATCACCCGGAAGCTTTCATTCCGCCTCGCAAAAGACTCCCGAATACGAAACCCACATTGCACACACAAATATCGTACCTATCAGAACGAATCCTAGCCCGTCAGGTCTGCCGCACAACGACCCTCTTCTCTTAATGGACCAACAATCCTTCATGGCATGGGACATGCGAAATACGCTTGCGCCCATGGCAAAACACGCTCCTCGATCGCCGGGATATCAGGGACTCGATGGAAATCCGCTCTCGCGCGCAGGAAGCTATGTCAGTCAGTTGAGTAGCGAGGTTGCTAGTTCTGAGCAGGGAGCGAACAGCGCAAATGTAAGTGTGCACGATGGTGATGATGAGCGAGCCGAGAAAAGCCGCAAATCCCGGTCGAGGCGGCGAAGTAGCGCTGGCAGTGAGGGTGATTTGCGTTGTCGAAAATGTGGCAATAAGACATTCAGAGCGACAATGACAGATAAGGGCCAGAGCATCCGTTGTAAGAAGTGTGGTACGGTCGTGTGAAGAGCAGGAGACGTTGAGATTCCACGCCTTTGACGACAGGACTCTGATGGAACTCCCTTAGCACAACGGCCAGCATGGCCAAATCTTTGCAGCCGGCTGGGAGAGTTGACCTTATTGAGCTCGGATTCTGGACTACCACGATTTTGCCTACGACTGTCCGAGTACCTTTGAGACGACTCATGCATGATTGCGACAGCGAAGTGTGCAAAGCAGGGTTGCCGATGCTCACCCTTACCGGATGCTATACAAAATGCTCCATGCAGACTGCAATCTGCAATCTGCTGGCATCATATGACACTGGAAACCAATGAACACGAAGTTTATGATAACGAACAAACAAAATACCTCATCACAGCCTTGCCTTCAGGTGACTGCTACAGCAGGGACAAGAGGGTCAAAGGCGGGGGAAGAGAAGAAGACGGGACAGACGTCTTGATTCTGGATATCTGGATATTGTATATTGTATACTGTATACTATGGGTCAACAGACATATTTGAAATGTGAATATATGCTCCGTACGGAGTAAGAACAAGCATTAAAAACTTGGAACAACGTCTCTGGTCCCGTGCTGTTTGAGAGTGTGTGTGATGATCAGACTCGTTTTCGACGCTGCGAGCTAGATACCTCAGGTATCTGTTTTGGCAGTAATTACTGTCATTGTTAATCGTCAATTGTCATTTTCCAGCCTGAACGTACCTATATCCATCCCCTTGGGTAATCTCCCCGGCTGCGCATGGCGGACGTGGGAAATAATGGCAAGGACGGAGCAGGGCAGGAGAGGAATGTTCAGCAAAATTGAAGAACCACGTCTTACGAGTATAGGCGCAATGTGAAATAAGATGAATCATGGGATTGTTATCACTGTTTTATCATTTTCTGTTTCTGCGCTCATCTCAAGAGGGGCTGGTCCCCCACCTTTGACTTTTGACGTTTCACAACGTCCTGCACATTACCATGAAGGAGCCCAGTGTGGAAGGCATATTTCTACAAAAGTCTGGTCCCATCTTTGCTATGCTGTGTAGGATATTCTCCAACATCGTTTCCTCGCTGCTGCTTGTGCTCCAGTACTGGTCTGTCCCAATAAATGTCCACCCAAGTTCATTCGAATCAATCGAGTGGGAAAGAGACGAGGCCGATGTCGTCGGATTTTTCTCGGGTTCTCTCTCTACAAGTTGTCCTTGATGGCCTGTTCGAGAGCTTTCTTGTTGGCACCGACGACCTCGCCGACCTTCTCGCCGTTCTTGAAGAGCATGAATGTGGGCATGGCGCGGACACCGAGCTCCTGGGCGATGTCGGGGACCTCGTCGACGTCAATCTTGTAGAAGGCGACCTTGTCCTTGAACTCGGGTGATTCGGAGAATTTGACGAGTTCCGGGGCGATGACCTTGCAGGGTCCGCACCAGGTGGCGAAGCAGTCGACCACGACGAGTTTGTCGCCGCCGGCGTTGTACACGGAGGTGCGGAAGGAGGGTTTGCTGTGGAGGGGGTTAACACCATATCTTTTTGCAGGGGCAGCCTGAGCTCGCTCTTCACGCAGCTTGGCTTGATGGTAGGCTACGTACTCTGCGAGATTGTGGACCGTCATTTTGCGAGTGGTCTGTGTGAAGTTGTTGGGTTTGGTTGTTGTGAAGAAGCGGGAATTTGTTGTTCGAAGTGGGGTGGTTCTTGCTGTGGCTGATAATAATGGGTGGTGTTGTTGTAGTAGGAGGCGCTGGAGTTTGACGGACGAGGAACGGATTGATGAGGCCAGGGCGAAGGTATTTATCTTTGGATGTTATGGGAGAGGAATGGAAATGGAAAGGGAAAGATGCGAGAGAGTGACAAAGAGATTTAAGAACGGTCAGAGGTAGAGGTAATCGGGAATTGCTGATGATGACGGTATCGGGGATGTGAGTGCAGGAGCTTAGAAATGCAGAAGCACCAGATGCCGCAGGCAACCAAAGCGGGAAGCGGGACATTCAGAGGTGAGAATGATTTTCAATTCGCCCATGACGCGATGCGCAGTCATTTCAAATCGAGTTTGAGCTAGTGGCTTCGAGGCGAGGAGGATTTGGAATTCGTCATGTCACGTGCGTGCCCTGATACGTCCAAGTCTTCTTGCCGCTATTGCAGTGTGAAGAGAGTCACGGAGAGTGATCAGACACTGCGAGACGGCGAGGATAACTACTCCATACTCCGTGCTCACTGACCAAGCAAGCAAGGGTGCTCGAAACATCTAGTCACTCTAATCATTCTTCGTTCAATGTGTGCCAATTTCAGTTGTAGTACATGTATGATTCCGGTTCCTGACGGCCGTGATCCGGGAAAGACTGGCCATATTACCGTTCCCATCCCTTTTTATTTGCAAACACTTCTGCTTCAAACCAAGCCCGCCATTGCAAATCAATTGCTTTGGCTGTACATCGAAATTTTGATTGCTAATAGCTCCAAATCATCCAAGTGGCCCTTCTCCTTGTGTCATCTTTGACTGTAAAATGAGCGATTTGCGGGGTATCTTCTGGTATCATCAAAATCGTCCAGCCTGCCCAACGTCTTTCGTATATACGCGTGCTCTGCCGGGAGTTGAAACTGAGGAAATAACAAAGGAAAGTCTCATCGCAATCCCTGATTAGGATTGCTTCGAAGGTGACTGTTCTTCTTGAACCGTGCTTGTTGACTTTTGAGGCAGACTCGGACTTCGTTGGGGCACATCAGAATGTGAAACCGATGATGCTCGCCGAATGTCCAATAGCCTCGCGCTGCCAGCGCTGATATGTCGAGCATGACCCTTACCCTTGTATTCCACACTTTTCGCTCGCAGAATTGGTGCCCCGGCCAATTCCGTTCCCGGTGTAACTGCCTCTGCCACTTCGGCATCGCTGGCTTCATCGTCCCCCTCTGAGCTTGACCTTCGGGATCCTTCAGGAGAATCCGTCCCGAATTCCTTCAATAGCCCTTCAGTGGACTTTGCTCGATTAGCCTGACGGACCACAGTTGCCTGTCTTCCAATACCTGCGTGCCATGTCTCATCAACTCCTTGGCTGACTGGGAGTGGAGGCACTTCTGGGGCGGGGCTTTGCTCTCGTTCCCGTTCCAGGTCGATTACATTGCTGCTCGCTCTGCGACCTGTAGATGTAGTCGAATCTCGGCGCCCACTGGGCCCAGGACTTAAGCTGTTGAAGTACTCGTCATGTGCAAGTTCGTCTTCCTCGGTCTCAAAGCTTCCAGGGACAGCATTTGGAGGGATCGAAGACTGGCTCTGCCGAAGTGGATGGCTTGGGCCACCAGACAGCCGCTTGACGGGTTTACCTGAGAGCCATGAGCCTTCGGAGTCGACTGATGCAAGGGATTGAGACATGACGACTCCAGATACTGCCTCCATGCCCGTATCCATCTCCATGGACCGTGTAGGTCGACCTTCCAAGGCAGGGTTGCTGGAACTGGTACCAAGGCTCATACCATCCAAAGTGCCCGAATGCGATGGCCTGACTGTATGCACTGCCCCTGCCTGAGGGCCAGTCATCACTTCAGGCGATTGGACACGCGAATCTGGAGGCGAGATAGGCAATTCTGGAAGGTCTTCCCGAAATTTGGACATTGTCCTCTGGGGGACTCCAGACGAGTCAGAACTTCGAAAAGTGCGAGGCACGACCACAGGAGGTGGCTGCTGTTTGCGAGCGAACGACTCTCGAGATGTGTTGGAGAACTCAGAGGGTGTACTTCTGCCTCGGTCTGCAGCGCTGGTCTTGCGCCTAGTCCCACGTTTGAAAAAGCTGGTCCATGAGCTCAGCTGATGTTGCTGACTGCTCTGATCTGAAGCCCATCGCCCGAAACGTCCATGTTCCGGTATGTCCGGACTAATTTCGCGAGCGAGTCCGGAAGTTTGAGACGTACTCTGGTGATCGGATGGTCGCTGTACGGGTGAAGTAGGAGGTGATATTGTCGTCGCCTGGGAAGGCTTTTGATTCCCTTTGATCTCAACTGGGAATACGGTTCGCAGCGGAGACTTGACCTGTACAGGTGCTTCTTCATCTTCATCGTGAGAGAATGGATCTTCCATGAGGTCGACATCCTTCTCATCTTCAAATGGGTTCCTGATATGGTGGGTAGGTCTGGCCTGGCCAGGCTGAGATTCAGGGTCCTTGAAGGGATCGGTTGCTCGTCCCCGAGGACTAGGAGAGCTCGGAAAGCCGGCGACGTCTGAACTTTCTGTACCAGCCTCGAAAGGCGTTCTGCCTCGCCGCTCGCGCTCTTCTAGTCCATGAGTTGCGGGATCTCTTGACGGTTCCATGACTGGGCGGCCGCGCAATTCCTCTTCCCTTTGTCTATCAGCCTTGCGCTGAAGCTTCCGCTGGAGGCGCTCCCGCTCCGCAGCCTTCTTTCTCTCATGTCGTCGCCGATCTCGTTCCATCAACTCTCTCAAACCACCAGCGTCCAAGTCATCCGCCAAGTCGTCGATCCTCTTCTTGGAAGCAGGGGCCTCCTCCTCGATGGCTTGTTGGACTGACGGCTTTATCCTTGCAGGTTGTTTTCCGGTCGGGGATCGAGTAGAATTGACGTAGGTGAGGGTTGGTCGCGGAGTCAAAGCGGCCAATATCCCGACTTTGAAAGACCCTTGATGCTCAAAATCTTCACCTTCCTGTATCACCTCCGGCAACGGTAAGGAGACCTTTGAACCCGGTCGCTCGAGTCGTCGGTTGAGGTCGCCAGGGACTTCCTTGGTGTCGCGACGTAATGGCCCCGATCCTGAATAAGACGACGGCCGCTTCAGCTTGTACCCAGGCGAACTCATGGCACGGATCTCCCTCTCACGAGCATAATCTTCTGCCTTCCTCTTGCTGGACTTCCTCCGTGTCAAAGCTGGATCATACGTCCCGCGTCTGGCCAACAGGGTTGGAGCCTGCGGTAACGCAGTGAACTCCTCGGGGCCAATGCTCAACTGAGATGTCGGATTCTGAGAATACGCTTTCTGCCCTCCCATGGCCCCTGATTCTGTTGCAGAATCTCTCCGTCTATTCCAGGCCTCGGAGGCAGGACTACCGACCGAGACCGTCTGCGCTCGGGAAACATTTTTAGGCTGACTCGGGACCCTTTGCTTGGACAGGCGCCGTGGCTTCTCGTCCGAACCGCGTTTGTTTTGACCCCGTGCCATGGTGCCCATCTCCTCGGAGGTATTCGAATCTATCCGTGTTCTAATATCCCGTTCCTCTTTTTCCGACTGCGTATGCAGCGCTTGAGGTTGTGCCTGACTCGAGCGGGCTTTTTTGCGTCCTCCAAATGGCCAAAATCCCATGCTGAGGCCAAAAGTGTGGAAGCGCAGGACAGACCCGAAGAGGGCGCCGTCAAGGAACGAGGTTGAGTCGGGGTGGAGGATTGCAAGGCTGAATCGAAGACATCAACGACGACCGATGTGACGCAGGATGGATTTTTTTCGTGGCGCGGATGAGAATATGCCTGATCGTTCGGCAATCGCGGGTGGCAGGGTAAAAGAGTGAGATGTTGATTGTTTTGAAGGGAAGGCCACGATGCGCAGTGGCGGTCGTAAGCTTCTTCGAACTGACAGGTCTGGACGGGGCAAAAGGCTGGTTCGATGACAGATAGATGAGGGTCGAGGCTACCGCGGAGGGGTCCTAGGAAGGCACGTGAAAATAAGGCTGGAATGAGCGTCGACTGGGTAGGCGGAGTAAAATGGTAATTTGCTTCTGGACGAATTCTTGAACGAAAGTGAATGATGAATGTAGAAGGGTGATTGAAGGCGAATTCGATGCAGGTGGTTTGACGGGGTTGGTTGTTTGGTCGACGTGACTGAATGAAAGAGTTCGACCTGGTGGTGGCAGAAGCCGCGAATGACGGAAGAGAGGCGATGATGTCGAGAGTGGCAGCAACCAGCGGTCCAGCGCCCACTGCAGAAAGGCGAGCGGCGCCGGGCGGTGGCGATGGGCGGGCACAAGAAAGAACCAAAGGGCGGGCTAAACCTGCTTAAACTCTTCTGGCCATAACCTGGTGAGCCTAAGAGCCTAGGGGCTTAGGGGCCTGGGGTGGGCCTTGAACAGCTCTGAGCTTATGGCGCTGCTCGTGGGTGGGCTCGTATTGTGAGGCCAGTTCCTTCTCGAGGCGTTTTACGGATAGAAGCAAGCCACTCGTCAAGGCCGCTCATGAGCCTCTCTGAGCAATCACATAGTAGATCTTCACAGCCATCAGTGGAATCGCTGGCATCACAGGGTCAAGGTTGGTTGTCAATCAAGTTGTCCCCCAAGACCCTGCTTGCAAGAGGGAGCGTCACAGATTCACAACAGCTCTGGATGCACGCATTGGTCCCGCCAGCTGTCTTGCAAAATCATCCCAATCATGACGGCCAGCCCAGCCGCCCAGTGCGAGCTCGAGGACAGACCACTTCTATCTTCGATCGTTTCCTTAGGGACGGCTGCCCCCAGCGAGCTAAGATCAACAAGCTACAGTCAAATACGACTGGCTACGGCAATCCCGAACTTTTGGTCCTCTCATTCGACCAAGAGATTTTTCCCATTACCTGCGAGCCTCAAGGAACCGAGGATCCTTTGTGCATGGGCTGCGCACGCGAGGGACAAGCGTCATACCAAGCGGAGTTTAAGCAGCGTCTGACATGCAAGGAACACAGCAGAAGACCAGGTACAGGTACAACGTTGTTCACATAGGAAGCCCACCGAGGGAGTGCGAGCGCAAGATTGGTGAAGCATAGCACAACGTCTTTTCGTCTGCTCTGCACATGAAAAGCCCCCATAGGTGATGCGATGCGCGGGGCGTCTCCGTCCTGATGTAAGCTAGAGGTGGATTTGTTCCCGCCTGAATCCAGTGAGGAGCCGCGGGAGCATCTCATCCATCGTCCATCGTCCATCGACCGAGCTTGGGGCATTGCTTGTATGATGACGTCCGGTACGAGTAGTGTGTTGACATTCTCGAAGAATGTTGTCCACGGTTGTCGCACTTGACCAGCCAGCCAGCAAGGCCAGGTACCGGCTGCCAAGTACCTGTTGCGTCGTGGATGCAGGGATCCTGGAGGTGAAGAGCCGGTCCTGCATCGATCTTCTCTCTTCCCAGCACATGTCTCAGACTCGACAATCCTGTTTCGAGACTGCGCTGATCTATTTCGGCTACAATGGACAAATGTCAATTGCCACCAGTTTCGTAGCCGGCATATCCTAGTATTGTCGTGTACCTCAATGAACACAAGGTTCGACGCATACATACGTCCCGAAACAGCAGGGATGCGTCGACCAAAGCACTCGAGGAGTCGAGGCAGACTATACGAGTACTAATAAAGAGCCAGACCGACGTAGCTTACGGTTGTGGCGCTGCGCCGGAGCATTTGACCGTCAGCGGCGTCTTGCAGTCCCTCACGTCCATGTCGGTAATCTTCTCGATAGGCGAGTCACAGTTGTATCTTGACCTCCAGTTCGTTCCCAAATCATGGCAGTCACCTCAACGTTCAGCCAAGATGGCAATCTGACTGGCTGAGCAATTAGACCACATGGCGACCGACAGTATTATATGGCCAAGAAGAGCTGACGTTGTGAAAACTTGCACGCCTTCAATTTGCACAGAGGCGTTATTTAAATTGAGGAGCCACGGTCCCAAGAGTGCACAGCAGCCACTGCCTCCTCAGTGCTTTGAAAGCCAATCTGGCCACGGAGTACGGGGTACTTCTGGACACAATTCTGTCTAACAAGATCCGACTCAACCGTGCTTTGTCGGCGGCGCTCAATATCTCCTGCGGTCGTCTGGATAACTCACAATCTCGCGCGGTCTTCAAGAGCTTCCTCTACCAACTTCACTGCTGCTTGGGCGCAGCCATACGAGGATTGCTGCAAAACCGTCAGCAAACTGTACCGATCGAGACAGGAGTAAAGCACAAGACTCGTGCTTGAACGCCACAGTCTTCTGGACAGGGAACACATACATAACCGGCTCCTCCACTGCCATAGTTGTGCACTGTCCAGATGCCGTTGATTTTCTCCTTCTCGATCCTGGTGCCTCCCTCCCGGACGGGCCTTAACCCGACGCCGTGCCGGATGATATCCAGGTGCTCAATGCCCTTTCCGCCAGTCAGCTCCGGGCACATATCGACACATCTTTTCATGATTCTGATTGCGAGACTCGGGTCTGGCTGAGACTCCCAATTGCCCTTCTGATAACAGCCGCCGAGGATTGTGCCACCACCGGCCGCACGAGTCATGATATAACAGGCTTCATCCGGTCCGTCATCGGTTCCAGATATCGAGTACATCGATGGTGCCACGTTTCTAACGATAACAATCTGCCCCCTGGCGGGAACAACAGTCTTGTCCATAACGCCACCGAGTTTATTAGCCGAGAGACCTGTACAATTGACCACGAGGTCTGCCGCGCCGCCAAGATGGTGGACTCCTGAGGCAGCTGCATCCGAAATATGTTTGAATATCGCCCTCTTAAGGACGACGCCGTTCTTCAAACATTGAGACACTAACCATGGCAAGTATATCGCCGTATTGATGCAGACTGACGTGAAGCGCGTGGCGTTATCGACGCCTGGTTTGAGATCCTTTTTGGGTATCTCGTGGAACTAATATGGAGATTAGTACAGGCCATAGTACTGAGGACGAAGCTGGTTATGAAGGCACTGTCTGACACGGAAGTCCTTCAGCGACGGACTTGACTGGGCAAGTGGGAACAGTCCCCTTTGAAGGGGCAGTCCACTTGTTTGGATCGGTGGACTCCTGTCAGGAAAATGCAGCTCGTCCTGCAAATTTGGCTGATACTGGAATGACTTACATCGTCGAAAAGGGTACTGAACCAGGGTGTCGGGCTGAGCAGCTCGGCAAACCAAGCTGCGGTTGGCGAAGATACGTCCTTTTTACGATTGTAAATTTCGCATTTTTGGAAGTGAACCCCTGCCTCGGGATGGTTACGTGCCAGGTCTGCAAGCGGCTCCCACGTATTCTTATCCCATTCTTGTGCGGGTGTGCCTTTTACCGAGACTCTGTGCAGGAGGATAAGTTGGTCTGCTTCTTCGTGGTTCTGGGAGAACTGTCTGCTCACGGCATATAATTTGCTCCAGCCCAAGGCGAAGCATATTCAATGTCATAATCTCCAGGCATGTGCTTTGCGGCAATTGTGATCTTGTACCTGGGATTCTTGGACAACAAAAGGGCTGTGGTGAGCTACCCTTAGTCAGAAAACCGTCCGGTGAAGACGAGTACAAAACATAGAACTCATGCTTCTTGAGGAGGCACAGTCTCCCGGAAAGGACAATACTCACACCCGCCACGCCGGCTCTACGACAAAGTCAGCAGGACACCACAATGCGCAGACTTCAATCACTGGACTCACCCAACCACGACAATCTTCTTCTCAGTAGGCATGGCTCAGAGTGAATTGTAGGATGGTGCAGCAGAGAAGTGTGTTTTGACTGGTCAGATAGTTGCTCCCAGTGACTTGGATCCGAACTTCGGACAGAAAAGTTGGGTTTTCTGCCGCACGAGGACCTATACAATAGGCACAATAGGTAGCAGAACAACAACTCACTTCTATTGAGGACCTGAAAAGGACTTTGCGTTTGCAGAGAAGAGCAAATCTTTCTTCCTATATACTCCCATATCAGACCACCAATTTACACGTACAACTCACCACAAACAACTGCTCGCAGGGCGTCAACACCTTTCAGATTGGAGTACTTACTGTTTTTGCTGTATGGGGCAGGCGAGTCAAGCAGACCTGAGGTAAGCCACAGAAGAGCAGTCGCGCCCCTCACCTCGCCTAAGTTGCTTTGATTTTTGTGCTGTCACCTGTGCCTGTCCGTGCCTCTGTTCGGGCATCACGGTGTCTGCCTAAGGGTCAGCTTTTAGGGCAACCAGTCAATCATACGCCCCCCTGGGACAGCAACTCCGCAATCAGTGACACTTACGTGCCTTGTGAAATCATCAAAAAGCCCCTGCACAAGTCAATAAGGAGCAGCCCAACACTTCATTGTCCACGCTGTCTTTCATTCAATTCCTGCAGTCCCGACATGTTCTTCTGAGCCCTTTGGGGATATCTATTTCTCCTTTACAACCTCCAAATGCTCCTGTCAATGGATCTTGCTCGATCATGGCTGACCATGCAGTCTCTACACAGCTCCCAAGCATGGTCCGAAACCCCAAGGCTGTATGGCCTGGACTGGTCAAGATGGGCATGTACCAGAAGCAGATAGCTGGTGACGGTATGCTCCTCTGTTGCTATCAACTGCCCCTCTACTTGAAACTCACGTCGATCCAGGCAATTGTCTGTTTGCATCCCTTTCCGATCAACTCTACGGCACACCGGCAAAACACCCCGAGATACGTGCAAGCATCATTGAGCACATGCGGACCTATCGACCACTATTCGAACACTATGTCCACAAAGACGACGTGCAACAACGTCGAACCCTCCGCTCCGCTACACTGGTCATCCGTCAAGAGTCGGAAGACGCGTTTGAAGAATACCTAGCCCTTATGTCACGATCTGGGACGTATGGCGGAGAACCTGAATTGGTAGCCTTTTGTCAGGTCTTTGATCAAGATGTGACGGTACACCTCCCACGCATCCAGAATTTTGATAGGGACTCAATTCTCTACATTAACGAACATCGAGAGAAGCATCCGGCCACCTCACCCTTGCACATTTGCTATGGCGGAGACGAGGTCACGCGAGCACACTACGACTCAGCTCGAAGCCGAGACGGTTCAACTCCACGAAGCCGCAACAGCCCTCTCCTCAAACCTCAAGAGCTTCCTCGGAGCATTACCGCAAGCCCTCTCTCCTCCGGACCCGTATCCACCCTCACTTCTAGAGCCATCCGCAACAGCAGATCGGAGCTATCTTCCGAACTCATCCATGACTTCCTCCAGAAGAGCAGAAAAGAGTCGGAGAACAATCTGGACCATCTCAATGACAAGTACCGAGCCAGAAGCCCATCCGTGACTTCCTCGCAACGGAGTTCAAGCTCAAAGAGATCCTTGGACGATGATGGCGAACCAGTCCGCTCAAGCAAACGAGCTGATAGAAGAAAGAGCACTCGAAGACGTGCAGACATGGCAGTCACTGTCCCAGATCCAGACGACGAACTCTCCCCACGTCTCCCTGTGGATTCTCCCAGAGCAGACACACCTCCAAGCACTCAAGACACCGAAGTATCATCTGACGCTCAATCTCAAGAACCTGCAACTGCCATCATCAAGACCACCGCAATAATGTTCGAAGACGACGATTCCAACTTCGAACCCGTTGCCCGTGCGACGAAACAACCGATCAAGAGTCAAACTCGAACATCACTGCACCTGGTCACCAATAGGGCACAAGCATCAGATCCAGCAAGTCCGCGGCTGATGTCAGTTGCTGAGAGACCAAAGTCGACATTGCGAGCATAAGGACTGAGCGTCCATGGAGTTACTGGTCAAAAATCGAGGGACGTTTCGTGTCCATCTTGTCTTGGTGAGATGTTCTGCATAGCGCATGGGATTTGCATACAAATGATACCCCTTCCAGTATAGCGTTTCCGGTGAGCATGGCATATGGGTAACGGGAATCGTGTTCAAGGCAAAGAACTTGCTAGATCCGCAACCATAATAGGTTTGCAGAGATTCAGAGAGAAATGATTTATGAAGTAAACGGTCGTACCATAGAAGATCGCATTCAGATCATACAACAGCAGTAAAGGGAAGCAGCTTGTTGGATCTTGGTATCAGTCTTCCAAGTATCTTAGGTACCTACCTAGGTAGGTAGTCTCTACCTTGGTCTACTTTGCAATATCAATGTGAAGTGGACATGATTCATTACTACCCAAGGGTACTGTAGTTTCGAGACCTTGACTTGCGCTTTCACTTGTGCTGCTTGGTAGTTAGAGTGCTCTGTCGTGCATCCCTCGTCCTTGGACGTGTATGCACGACAGTGATTGCGACCGTTAGTAGCGATCCCAACCCTCCAACACGTACAGTCCTTAAACATGCCTTCTGCTTTCTTTCGACATCCAATATGTGTGGAAATCAAGCATGGAGTTCGTTACCTAGGTAGGTATGTACGAGTTTCGTGCCCTGATCATGTGGATTTCGATACACAGTTACAGTATGCCCTCCCTCGCGAGGCACGTCTCGCTGCGCAGCCATCTTCGTCAATTAGTCTCTATAAGTTACTCCTCCTCCGTTTCTGGGGGAGCAAAAGGCCTCGTCCCTTCCTGTGTCGCACAATCCTACCTAACCGTGCTAACGTACCTTTGGTATGTATGTACTATGGAACGGACTGGGCCAAATTGTGTTGCGCGGCTCGATTTCCTTTTTGGGTGGCTACTCCTTTCCTTTCGTTTTCTCAGAAAGGCTTGGGAGAACTTAACCTCGACTTCCGCATTCTCCATTACCTTCCAAAAGTAGTGACTGAGTCAACGGCTTCATCTATGATTTTTCATCTCGACTCATTCCTTTTTTCGGTCTCTTCCGTGCCAAACTCTCACCGCTATTGAGCAAGTCAGAGCAGGCACTTATCGGTATTCATAGTCACCTGTTCTGGACGTGAGCGCTGACGAGGACACGCATCCAATGTTAAAGAGAGGTCGACCCCTTTTTTGGCCGTAGAGGCAGTTTTGTTCACGTCTGGCATCTTCGCATGGTTGGATATCAACTCTACAAGCACACAAGGTACGGAGTACTTCGTACCTAACCCGTCGAAAGACGGGGGCTTCGCCGAGCTTCTGAGTAATAGTGATCATCCTACTGGACGATGGAAGAGGTACCACAAATTTAACCTTTGGGCTCCCCCCTTCCTTACAAGTACTACCAGCGCGGAATGCACATGATGTCACGGCGTGGACTCGAGTTGGACATGAGATAGACATGGGAAAACCGAAGGACTTGTAGTACTCGAAAGGCCGAGCCGAATGTCTTCTCCTCTGGCAGCTGAGAGTAGATTCCTTGCCTCGGCAAGTGATAATGCTATGTAGCGCTGCTCGACTTTCCCAAAGTCCGCTCACATTCACAGGCTGCCGCACAAGTCCCCGCCCGGTCCATCCAGGACAAAGGGGCTGTGCGATGCTCATATCAGTCCATAGAAAAGGAACCAATGATGAGCTCGACGAGAAGCTGTCATCTGGCCCTGAGCGTCATCCAACAATGACCACCAACGCCTTGCTGTGTGCCTTCAAATGCAGCCTCGTCCAACTCGGTCATGTCGGTCGAATGAGCGGGCCCATCTTAAAATCATATATCCTTTCTTTGCTCGCCATACCTCACGTAAGATCATCAATTTCTCGTTCTTTGGCACGTAGCGCTGCCCTCATGACCTCGGCCTCGCGCATAAGTTGAGCTCGGCGCTCGGCTCGCAGAAGCTCCCGCTCTCGATCAGTATTCGTGCCATCCGCAGCAACTTGTGGACTGACATCCGGTTCTTGCTGTCGGCGACCGGCATCTGCCAATGCAGGGTCAAGGTGCATACCTTCTGCGGCCGCAGCAGCTAGTTGGGCTTGAACCCGATAATCATCCGCAGGTGCTGGTCCGGTTTGCTGGGTATCACCGGTTGTTATTCCAGGGACATAGCCAGTGTAGTCCACAGTAGGTGGTGGCCTCCTTCTTTTCGGTGGGGGAGATGCGTCGTTGGACTCTTGGTAGGCGTGTTGTTCAGGTGAGATGGGCTCAGGGGAGGTAGACACAGTCTTTTGCGAAGCGGCGCCATCCGGTCTCTGCACGTCAGAATATGCAGGAACCACTCGTTTCCTTCTCTTGATTGTTGATTTCTTCATCTGCACAGGCCGATGTGAACCATGTAGTTTGTGGTACAAACCGCACGCGTTGCAGATAGGGTGGCCTTGTTCGTCCCGGCGCCACAGAGGAGTCACCGTGGTGCCGCAGTTCTTGCAGGCGACAACCAAAGTATTGTTACCAGGCGAAGGCTGAGAAGCAGGGGTATCGATTGCAGCGCTTTGGGATGGACGTGTACTGGTCGAAGCGGCGCCCTCGGCGGTAGACTGAGGAATATTGGTCGGAAGAGCCGAAGGGTTTGTAGAGCGTGCGACTCGATTGTTGTAGGCGGGGCACCCGGAACAGCCTTCAGCACCACCCGCTCCGTTGCAACTGCCTCCACCTGGGCAGGAACCTGGAGTATGCTCCGGCACCCGGTAGGGGATACTAGCAGGTTGGTTTGGCGCTGCTACTGGCGAAGTTGCTGCTGCTGGAGACGTGCCGACGCGGTGGCGAGGGCTTTCTCCTGGGGCAGTTGAGTTTGGACGTTGGAAATTTGTCGGCCGGGGTGTATTTCGAGTCTTGAGATAAAGGCCACACGCATTACATATCGTGGTACCTGTCGGCGATCGTCGCCATAGGGGTGTTTTGGTGGTGCCACAATTACTATAACCTACGTTAGCATGCATACCTTGGGATGGACCGGATCGATGTGTGAATCCTCGAGGGTAGGCTCGTCTTCGTTTAACGACAACGTCCAAGGCACACTTACCTGCAGACTTGACCCAGACCACTACCATCATCTCTCTGTTCAGCTAGCTCACTTGAATGACGCGGTGCATCGGTAGCATCGGGTCTAGGACTAGGTCGACTGGGTTGGCTAGTTTCGGTGGCAGCATCGCTTAGATGACCATCGTAAGGAGTTAGATGTGATTGTGATCCATGGCGTCCACCACGGGCTGACGAGACGAGCTGACGAGCAGCATCGAGATCTTCCGCGGAAGGTTGGCGCATCAGACTTTCCCGCTCTGGACCTAAAGACGTGGGATGTTGTAAAGCGTCCATCGCACTTCGTACGGCCAACATGTCGACTCAGTCACGATTTCGTTTTATCTGGAATTCAGAGCCATCCAGATAGGAAGAGACGAGCCTGAGGCCTAGGAGAGCACAAGGAAAGAAGACGGCGGGAGACTGGAGAAGCACCGTGGCCAGGAATACCAGTGGGCGAGACGGATGTCGGTGTGTGATGATTCGATATAGAGAGCGGTTTGCTACTGAGAATGGGTCTTTTTTCAAGCAAACAGGCCGAGTTAACGTGATCCGGAGGAAGAAGAGGGATTTTGAAGTGTAGACAAGCTGGATTTCTCAGGTTGAGTGACAGGAGAGACAGTCGAGAGGGCGAAGGTGACGGCAGAGGTTGAATCTGGAGCCCAGTGACAGGCACCGGTGGAGAGAATTGTCGCGCCAGGCACATTTCACGGCGTAAGCATCAAACACGTCGAAGATGATTGGTTGGCGCCATAAAGCACGTGCTGTCGAGAAATCGAGGCTGTACAAGGCACGTGATAAGCATCACACGGTGCCTCACAGTACTTTCTGGTGATGAACTCGAAGCACTACCACTTTCATGTTAGGATCTCAAGCAAAGAGAACTATCATTCTGGAAAAAGAGTGCGCGTCTCTAGGCCTCATCACTCTTTCCGTGCCCTGCCTTGTACCTGATGATGCTTTGACTGCTCATGGGAGTGGATTCTTGGCTCGAACATTCCAATTCAATTCCTACCAAGCCGTCAAACTGTTCTTGTCGAGATGTTGCTCCCTCGTGCTTCAGATTAGTCTACAGCATTTTTACATTGGCAGAATTCCTTCTGCACCCAATAAGCTAGACACTAGATATCATAGTCGACGAGACCTGACGACATGTCCCATCCCATCCCATCCCATCCCAATCCCAATCCAACGCAGAGAATTGGCCCTTCAGAGTGTTCCCCGCCGACGCAGCCTGTCCCTACCACTTCAGTGTTCCGCGCTCATAGTAACCCCGAATTGTCCTCATCCCCGACCAGTCTTCTGACCATTGAACGTCACCGAGGTTATTGTCTCTCACAAAACCACAGCGTTCGTCCTGATCTTTGACCGATGTTCAGGTTGTGGTGAACCCGAGTCTCAGACCTGTTCCGCGCCCCAGCCGGCATCCGCGTCTCTCATGTTGGAGGGAGGCTCAATTGAAGGCAAGAATTCGAGGGCGCAATAACCCACACCAACGAACCCGATGATTGTGCCCGCGATGATGCGCAAGACGTGGTTCTCGAGGATGATGCAACCGACGAAGATGTAGACTAGACTCTGTTAAATCCTGTGCGACCACCGTGCATTGAATACTGACAGATGCCACGTCCTAGGAAGGAGAACAGAAAGCTCGCGTATTTCGGTAGGTATGGTGGAACTTGTGGGAGAAGTTCGAGGCCAGCAATAGCTTGTATACAAGTCAGTCTCTCAACCTTTAAGGCCTTTGCGTGGCTGTTCGTACCAAGCCCGAAAATGATTACATAGATGCCGACAATGATGTTCCGACTGTTCATTTCTCAGCATTCAGTCTCGTGTTAGAAAGGATCATGACTGACAAGCCAATGTTGGGGATGAATTGACTAATTCCTGTTTGGAGCAAAAGTGTCAGCAACTGTCCTCCAGAAGCCTGCGCCTGTAAATCCAAGTTGTCGCTTACCTCCCAGGATCATGATCCCGCCCACGACCAGATTGACCAGTCGACTGTGAGATGGTCAGTATCTCGAACTCGAAGCTAGCCAACCATTCCTGGCGCGAATGTGCATACAAAATGTTGGAGAAGTCCATGCTTCTGAGCTTGCGACTTCAATGCGACTGGCTCGAGATGGTGAGATCGGAGGTGTTGTACGACAACTTGGGCACTGTCGAACTTTATGATGACCGCGACGAAGCTAAGAGGAAAAGTATTGAGCTTTGAAGGTAGAAGGCTGTCCAGAGAGTAACTCAGCGCAGGCAGAAAACAAAAGGGGAAAGCAATCTTGAGCTGCAGCTTGATTCAAAGGTGCCATTCAGGGACGAAGAATGGGGAAATCGCCGTTGCGGACACGAATCCTTGCCAAGTAAATTCGCCTAACAAAACCGACGTCACTTTTTCATCATTGCAATACCTGTCTCCCTTTTCACAATACTGTTTGACAACCGTATACCACAGCCTCGTGAGAGTATCCAAACAGCCTTTATGACCAGGGAAATCAAGATAGTCGTACACAAGAAAGCTATCCTAAGTAAGGTGAACATCCCAGCATCTTGTCTTCCTCCCTTCGCACCCTCGAAAGCCAGCAAAAGGCCAACACCAAACCCGGCTCTGTTCAGGTGCTGCCTACCTGCATAGCCTTAAGCTCGTATTCAATGCCAACCGGACGTTGTATGATTGTTTGGAACGTGCCACAAACGCACCTCTTATTCGAGAGCGTTACCGTCAGCAATGACATCCTACCAATCGGAGTCACGCACCGTCGAACACGCCTCCTGCATGCTCTCATTGGCCTTGGATCAGGCTACAGCGAGAGGACTGCTGCCTTCAGCGTGTATGCTTTCGCCCAAAGAGCTGTTCAGAGAAGCCCTTTGAGTCAGTCCAAGAAATATGCATAACACGGTCCGTCTTGAGAAGACTGCCATTGGTTTTTGGTACTTCATCGTGCTGTATATTTGCAGAACAGCGTGGGGTCATTTTCTTGAAAGCATCTAGACACCGATATCGTTGAGATCTCTAAGCCCCTGTCTGTTGTGATGCCGTCGCTCGTCCCTTAACATGCCTAGAACCACAATTTGATCAACTCTTCGCTGACTGCCTTTGGAGTCAAGATTCCATTCTCGGTGATGAGTGCGTCAATCAGTTCTGGAGGCGTGATTTCCACCATCTCTCCTACATCAACGACTTGGCCCTCGCGTGATTCCTGCTCATTTTCTTGCGATTCCGTGCCAGTGCTGAAACGTAAAACATCCTGCTTCACGCCCATGCGAGCAAGATCAAGCGGTCCATAGCCCAGAGGGAAGTTTCGGACAAACTTGTAAGACTCGACCGCAATGTGTAGTGGCACCGAGACTGCCTTGGCAATCAGGCCAATCTGATGCATCCCAAGCTCTGTGATGATCGAGCCGTTTTCCAATACCGCCGTGGCTCCTACGATAAATTGCGGCGCTGGTGACGTTGCTGGTAGAGAGGCCAGAGCGTAAGTTAATGCTTGTAAAGAAATGGTTGTTGTTGGGATGGACAGTTTATTCAGCTTCGAGATGCAACCGGATATCCTGTCGGTCAGTCCCTCTGAGGGGAGAATGTAGATGACGTTGAAATAGCGACCAACATCAGCGGCGTGCGTCAATAGAATCCGGACGACCCGACTGTAGCCGTAGGTGATGATTGTGGACTCCTCTTTGATGAATGGTAGCGCATGATGGGCGATTTTGAGACGAGCTTCGTTCGCTCGCTTCACAAAGAGAGATGAGTTGGTGAGGATGTGGTCGCGCAGAGTAGTGAAGTCGGAGTCTGCCAGCGAAGAAGGTCTCTGTTGGAACGAGCTTACAAGATAGCGTTGGAAAAGTTCCGTGCCGGCTGATAAAGGAATTGGATTTCGCTGAGAGGCCAGAAGTTTCTGGGAATGTGTCGAGAGTAGGCTCAGGGTCTCGGATATGGTGGTTAATCGTGTTTTAGCAAGCAGCGAGATGAGGGCTTCAATCGCTGCTATAGGTGGTGTGATGGACGAGTCTTCGCGAACAAGTTCATTGTAGAAGGTGACGATGTCGAAATCCGTTGTGGGAGACTGACCAGACGGTTTTGGTGTGGTTGGTGGTGTCTCTAAATCTGCAGCTGCTTCACAGCATGGGTCAGACGTGCTTCGGAACAATCTGAAGACTGGAGTATGCTTCAGGAATGACCAGAAGAGGCTGAAAGCAAAGTATCCCGACAACACGATATTCATGCTTCGAACCCTTGGCCTCCGAGTCACAGTAAAGGAAAAGGTGAGGCGGAGGGAAATGCTGTACAAGACTTACTGGACGCCATCTCCAACAGAACTTTGCACCAGTATTGTATGAACTAAAATTTGCGTGGCGCTTGCAGGACGTGGCATATGGATATTGGTTGGTGGTGGACAAGATCGTTTGGCTGAATGCAATCCCAAGGTCTGAAGGCCTTGACTCAGTCATGAGAAGACTCACAAGGCTGGACAACAGCCTCGTCGGCTATTCTTGGCACATAGATTACCGATGTTTAACCGCCAGCAGGCACATCAGGCTATGCCTATCTTGGAACACGTCAACAAAAGCTTCTCGCACTGTCTCAATTAGGAGGATACTGCGATCTCTTGAATCGTTGCTGTCCTCGTGTTGTGTATACTGTCACGTCTCCATTACCAGCCGTCGGCATGAATTCCCAATACCGCAGTTCGCAGCCACAACAGGCTCGCACGAAGAAAAAGGAGGAAGATCCTGCCGACTTTATGCGCCTGGTCAGTACCCAGTGCGCTTAGCACAATGCCTACTGACAGCAATCGCAGTCTGAGAAAGAAATCGCATCATGCATCAGCGAGATGGGGATACCATTTCAACCGTCCGACCTCCTCAAACCCAATCCGCAAGTCATTCAGATGGTCTTCGAGCACCTGGCGGAAATAGGCACAAATGCAACTCGAGACGCCATTGACCCTGCCATGCGTGCCGCCTCGGAAGACATCTGCGCGGAGTTCCCTGAACTAGTACCAACGGAAACGAGACTTCTCATGGGCTTCTTCGTTCAATTACGCACCATGCTGGAACAATGTGGGATCAACGACTTCTCGTTCAATGACCTTGTCCGCCCGAGCCACGACCGCCTCGTCAAGATCTTCTCATACACAATCAACTTCGTCCGATTTAGAGAGACGCACACCAATCTGATAGATGAAAACTTCAACAAGGCGGAAAACACGAAAGCCAGGATTGAGACGCTGTACACAGAAAACCAGGACATGGAGCAGAGACTAGAAGAGATGAAGCACAACAGAAAAGCAATGGAAGTGGCGGTCAAGGAGAAAATGCGACGCAACGACGAGTTGAAAGCTCGCTTGCTTGAACTGCGTAAGGGTCAGGAAAGAATTGCAGAACAACTTGAGCGAGCAAAGGCCGAGAAGACCCGCGCGCAAACATTACTTGAAGAGAAAACTGAACGGCTGGTACGTGCGCGACAAGAAAGCGAGAAATTGCGGCCCTATGTCCTCCAAAGCCCGGCTGCGCTGCAAAGTGCCTTGACGGAGTTGTCGGAGAATTTGATGCGCGAGAAGAGCCAGATTGATGCTTTGGAACGAAGAGGTCGCGCGCTGCAGACATCTGGCGATAGCTTCACGGTGGTACAAAACGACGTGCAAGCATGTGTGAAAGTGCTGGAAGAAATTGCCGTGGAATTGCAGAAAGAGGAAGAAGAGGACGCGCGAGCGGCCAAGAACAGAGACGCTCTGGCAGAACGCGGCAATAACGTTCGAGAGGTCGAACAGAATGAAAAGCTATTACAGAGACAGCTCAAGAAGTGGGAAGAGCGGACAGAGGAGTTGCGGCGGAAACACAGAGAGCGCGATGAAGCCAACAAAGCTAAGATGGATGAGTTGCGGGAGAATCAGCGGCAGCTTCGAGACGAGCGAGCAGATAAAGGGCGAGAGATGGAGAGAAGGAGAGTAAGAATCGAGCAGACCGAGAAAAAGGTAAGTTTGCTGGGCGAAGATCCAAGTTTGCGACGAAGCTGACCCTTTTGCAGATGGCCGATCTCAAAGACAACATCGACAATGAAGTCCATTCGGCCCACGAGGAATATTTGAAACTCGAATCGCATATCAAACTGTATATCACCGAGATGGAGCAGAGCCTGTGACCCAATGCTCTAATTACGATGCGCATGACGGAGTTTGCAGGTTTGGATCAAAGATACCCTTTGGCGTTGTGTAACAATCGACCACGGGGAGCTCAGTTGCTAGCTCTTGGTTAGACATACAAAGTTGGTTATTCTTCTTCGAGCAGTATTTTATCGTCCGAGCCAATTCCTTCCCAGCGACGAGCTTCCAGTACATCTCTCTGGTTGGCTCTTTCGAATCGAAACCACCTCGATGCGATCCTCGTTGCTGACACGGTTCGACGACCCCAGCTCGCTCCACCTTCGCCAATCTTGAGGGACCCACTAAGCAAAGGTACTTCGGCCTGCCAGAGTGCTGGGCCTTTGCTGGGGTCAGCAGGGTCGTCAATATCCTTGCACTCCACGAGTTTAAGTGACCAATTCGTCCTATGAGCAGCGGAAACGGCCGTCGCAAATGTCCGGGAGAGGCCTTGCAAGGTGAACTCGGAAGAACCATGATGCAGTCTCAACAGATTGACGATCACGATATGGCCATTCCCCAATGACCTGCCATCTGCAGGATGGCCCTGGTCAGAGAGCTTTGGGACATAACTTGAAAGATATCCACGAAGAACCGTGATCGCTGGACAAAACACAAGCCGGCAGTATCGACTTGCGTTCAGAAGATACAGGCTCGGTGACAGAAGAATGTGGCTGGAAATCGGTGATGTTTTCTGGCCCGCCTGACCAACATTGTGCTCCGATGTTGATGCTTCATGTTCGGCATGGTGACGGTCAAGCTGAGCAAGGATTTCAGCCAGATACTCCCCTCTTGTCGAGCAGATGATCAGGTCGGTCTGAAGGGGAGGGTTGTGTCTGACAATATCGTCGAGCAAGTCAAGAACAAAGTTGTATTTGGTCGAGACGAGGTTCATGGATGGCGTGGAGTATTGTCAGTCGCGAGGTCGGCCTTTCTCACCATCTTGTGGCAACCAACGACCTTGCGGTTAATACAGAAGAGTTGCTGGGAGGCTGTGGTTTTGAGGCTCTGATCAATGGGATGCTTGAGTTGTTGAGGAAGTTGACCTCTGGCGTGCGGAACAGGCTTGGCGTCTGGAGAAACCTCATGGATGCCTTTAGGTTACCTAGGCTCGCTACGTAGTGACTCCCCGCTGAAGTCCGCCCATCTCAGAAGCTCTCCGTCTTTCAACATACCATGCCGTCCATGCCCACAGCCATGAACAACCCTCGTAATCCTCGGCAGAAGGTACTGGTGTGGCCATCAAAGTCACATGCCATTGCGGGACAATCATATGGAGACGGGGCACTCCAGCTTTTGATGCAGTGATAACTCTGTTGCCTCTTCTGGCATTATCAGGTCGGGACCTTCACGTAGCTCAACACCAGCCCTAGTGAGCCCTCAGAGTGGCTCGAGTGGAGAAGATTGCCCAGAACAGCAGGCAAGGCGTCGGAGATCGGCTGTGCTACTGAACTGATACTTAAAGCCAGTCCACTATCAAGGTCCCGACTTCTTTTATCAAACCCGACCTTTTTTGGCGCCCCTGTGGAAACCAGACATTTGCAGTCCCACGATGGCTACCATGGAGAAAGTCTTCGCCGGCTACGAAGCCCGCCAAAAGGTTCTGGAAGCCAGCACAAACCCCTTCGCCAAAGGGGTCGCCTGGGTCGAAGGCAAGCTCGTTCCCGTCAACGAAGCGCGCATCCCCTTAATGGACCAGGGTTTCTTGCACAGCGACCTGACATATGACGTCCCCTCCGTCTGGGACGGCCGCTTCTTTCGGCTCGATGACCACCTAGATCGATTCGAGCTCAGCTGCTCGAAAATGAGATTCAAGATGCCGCTGCCACGACAGGAAGTCAAGCGTATCCTCGTTGACATGGTCGCTAAGAGCGGCATCAAGGACGCCTTTGTCGAGATCATCGTCACTCGAGGGCTTAAGGGCGTCCGCGGCCTTAAAGCCGGCGAGAGCCTAACGAACAACTTGTACATGTGGATCCAGCCGTACATCTGGGTCATGGAGCCCGAGATGCAGCGCACCGGTGGCAGTGCCATCATCGCGCGGACGGTTAAGCGAACGTCTCCTGGCTCCATGGACCCGACGGTCAAGAACCTCCAGTGGGGCGACCTCACGCGCGGCATGTTAGAAGCCCAGGATCGCGGCGCCGATTACCCCTTTCTAACAGACGGAGACGGCAACATCACCGAAGGGTCAGGGTTCAATATCGTCTTTATCAAGGATGGCGTGTTGTACACTCCCGACCGCGGGGTACTCAAGGGTGTCACGCGCAAGAGCGTTGCCGACGCTGCCAAAGCGAACGGTATTGAAATGCGCATCGAGTTCGTGCCGACGGAGATGGCTTATCAATGCGATGAGTGCTTCATGTGTACGACCGCTGGCGGAGTCATGCCTATCACCTCCATGGACGGTCAACCAATTGGCGATGGCAAGGTCGGTCCCGTGACGAAGGAGATCTGGGATGGTTACTGGGCGATGCATTATGATGACAAGTACAGCTTCAAGATTGATTACGAGGAGAAGTCCGCCAATGGTACAAACGGTGTGAATGGAGTGCATTGATTGATATTGGGAGATTGCTGATCAAATTAATGGAAGTGACATCTATATTATGTGGTAGATATTCTACACCGGTCACTGACAGAGGTGTCGCAGATACTGTTCAGAAGCGCTCCTCTCTCAATCATCTCTTTCGCTAGCTCTTCACATGGTGCCTACCTAAGGAGTAAGATGTAGGCTTTTCATAAACCTCGAACGGCCAACCAAGCATCAAATAGCTGCCAATACACCCCAAGTGCTTCTCACTTCCGTAGCCTACCTTGAACATGTGTCATGGCCCTAGCCAAAACGCATTCTGTTCCTTCCAGATATCACCATTCCACGATATGCTGAATACCTCGTTCTTTGCGCTTCCAATTGCCAACCGTCACATACTGAGCTTGTGCTTTTCGGTCTCCAACAAACGTGATCTTGACCTCTCTAACACGTCTTTCATCAGGGACCGTTCTTCGTCCATCTGGAAGCGGACCCAGGTTTTCATTGGCTGCTTGTTCTTCGATGTTGAAAGTGTTGGTCGCAATGTGCCCCGTCATTGTACCATCCCACAGACACTCCCGCCGTGCGCCACTGCGCAGCAAATCTAGAGCCTTCATGCGGATCTGAGGGTTTCGACACCGAGCAGCCACCGTGTGCAGAGGCATTACAATTCCCAGTCCGGAGTAACACGACGCTTGTCGTGACTCCTGTCTATCCGCTCTGACAATCCTGTCACAGTAGCCCAATATTCTTTCAAGATATGGCTCCAGCCGGTCGAAAGTTGCTTCACGCTCCTCAGGTCGAAGAGCATTCATGCCCATCCGCATTTCGATGATGGTGAGGTATATGTGCAAGATCGCAATGCCATTATCGTCTCGTCGCGCGCCAGGCGTAAGCGGTTGTATTGCTGCGAGTAGATCGACGGCTTCCTTGCACCTATCCAGAGCCCAGACGATTTCTTTTTGTCGTCTGTCGAAAGCATCATGCTCTTCAGGTGTCCGCGGAGGGTTGAACTCGGAGTTCTGCCGGAAAGCAAGCATGTTGTAAAACAGCTTCTCAACGTACAAGTGAGCTTCCGTGATAGAAGGAAACCATGCCACATGCTCTAAATCAGATATTAGCAGATCGCGATGCCACTGGGTCAGCGCTTCGTCGTTGATCATGCATCGAACTTGTCCGTAGATTGAGATAAGAGCACGACGCAGGTCACCTAAGGGAACTGGATATGTCGATGAGTAGACACTCTGGTGGGTTGAAGAAGCCTCGAAGTCTTGTAAAACTTTCAATCCCGAGCGAACATGCTCGATTGCTTGAGCAAACTGTCCTTGTAGGCTAGCGATATATGTGAAGAGGATGGACACCGTAATGATGCAGCTCGTGTTCTCCGCCGACTGAGCTTTCGAGCCTGACTGGAAGAGGTCATTCATAAGGCGAATGGATCGATTGGCCTGCAGAAGCGCGAAATGTTTTCCAGCAACGGAATCATACCGACTACTTGACGTGGAATCTTCATTTTCGAAAGTTTCGTAGGCGGTCCCCAGAGCAAAGACAAGATGTCGGATGGATGGATAGTGCGTAGCTGCCCGCAACACCTCCTGTGTCCAGAATGGCCGATTAAAATATCCTCCTAACCTGTGACACGCCCTTGATTGGAAGAAGTCGAAGCTTCGACGTTCTGCTTGAGAAGCGAAGAAGTTGGGATGCGCGTCGAGACTGGCTAAGCTGCTGCTACCTGGGGAAGGCGTATCTGAGGCCGGCGGGTATCCGTCGCACTTGCGACCTGCATGAAATATCGATTGTTAGACAGTTTTGAGTCTTCGCCTTTCTCCCAGATGCGCACACACCTGTGGATAGACATCGATTGCATTCGGGCTTAGCCTCGTCACACTTCACCTTGCGTACTCTTGCAGTACCACTTTAGCACAGACGTCGTATTTTGTAGGTAAGAAACAACCATACTTGCATGTGCCGCAACCTGTTTTGACCTTGGGCAGGAATGCGCGTTTTCTCCTAATTGGTTGCAGTGCAGCCATGTCAAGGTTCACAATCGGACACTGCCTTTCTTTGGTCGGCTCGGAAATGTACGTAGCTGATATTGAGCAGGACGCTCTTCTGGAATATAAAGCTGCCAGCAAATGTCGGTCGATCCGTCCGCCTCATGCACCCCAGCTTTTTGGCCCCCATGTGATCTTTCCGAGCAAGCAAATAGCGAGTATTCGCTTCCACGGAGCGATTTGGCCCGGTCTTCAGGCCCCCAAGCTCACAAAAGAAGATCTGCGCTCCAGCCATGCAAAAGGCAGCTAAAGACCTTGGCATCAAAAAATGACCCCCTAATAGTACACCGCCGCGCCATCTGGAGAATGGTATCCGACCATGATGTAGTCTTTCAAAATGGCGGTTTCGTTTCGTATCATCGCCTTCTGCGTTGGGGTGCAGGTCTCCAACTGATCCCAGAAATAGCATTGAGGCGCAGGGTGAGGAAATACGGCGGTCTTGATGCGAAAGACCGACTTCGGACCTTTGGTACTGACAGACTCCGCAAACGCTTTACCGGTTGCAACATCGACTCCTGACATGGTGCGGTTGAAGATGGCGAAAGCTGCTTCTGGCTGATAGTACGGAACTGAGAGCGGTGCGTCAGTTAGACGGACGGGACTCATGAAACCACGTCAACTAACCCTGATGACCTGCGCTGAAAACTCTTGAGAAAGACAAGTTTCCGAATTGTCGGACTGTGCCCGCAATGCGGCCTCCTTTGGTAGTGATGTTGGCATATCCAGCGTTATGGAAGTTGGATTTAATGCTGGAATTGATTGCCAGGCTGAGTGCCTCTCCTCCCAGCCCTGAAGACTTGTTAGCGCTCAGCAATGGGATATGGATGGGATACTCACAATTGCACTGATAGTCTGCGTCACCATAGACAAGAGCGATTTTAATGCCTCGATCAAGGAGCTTCCCAAGTATGGCAAGATTATGACCTAGAACGAAGTCGCCAGTATTTTGAAACCCGGTGCTCACTGGATCAGATAACCCGGTGAAATTGAGAGGAACACCGAGCGCTGTCTGTACCGGTTTTCGATTGAGGAAGCCTGCTGCGTACTTGGGCGGGAAAGCGCTTGGCACTTTGGCTGTTAGATCAAACGTATCTCGCTGCGCAACGGTTAGCCTCAATCTGGAGAGCAGCTTGTGGACAAGAAAAAGTGACACTGGCTGAGGAGTGCGGCGGCTCCCTTCCTGAGGCACGACATCTTAGCTCTGAACCTGCACCGTACGACCCCCAATTGAAGAAACTTCAATAAAGCAGATGTCCTTCTTAGCGTCGTAGAGTGCCATTCTTCTATCCGCGTCCTGATGTGTGCACGAACATACTTACGCCAAGTTTGGTGAGATCAGTCCAAACCGTCTCAAAGCAGGTAGCATAAGCTCCTCCGCATGCCTGATTGACATCTGTAACATTTCCATACCGCATCGGATCATGTGCGTCTGCGAGTGATCGACATTCTTCCACCATCTTTTCACAAACGGGCCAGCTATCAACGGCAGCTTTATACACAGATTCGTTGATCACAGGGCCATATGTATTGTTGATCGCCATATCAGGGTAGAAGGGCATCTGAGTCAGTATGTCGACACAGCCATTGATAAGACCAACGGTGTCAAGCTGAAGGGGAATCGCCGACTTGTCAAGCTTGCCATCTGTGATGAGCTGGTTCTGCGACAAGAAGAAATCGGCAAATGTTGGAACATAATGGCCGCCAAAGCTCTCACCCCACATGCTGAATTTGTTGTTCTTAGGCTTGAGTGCTGGAAATCTGTCACTGTTAGCCTTGTGTGTCCGCCCAAGGTGTCAACTAACCCTACTCTTTCATCCAGGTCTGCATGAAATGCCACGCAACTCGAGCAGCAGTCATTGTCGTATTCGGCGTTGTGAGCGAGACTTGATCAGAAAAGGTGCCACCCAGAACAGTGGAGTTGGTTTCGAGGGCCTTCAGGGCCGCATTTCCGTGGGCTGTAATGTTGAAAGGTGATGAAAACTCGTCGATCGTTCCATTGATAAGTGTGTCGTACGAAAACCCAACTGAGACAGGTTGATCAATGTAGAGCATGTTGGCCTCATTGGTCCATGACCAAGGGTTCAGGACAGTATCAGTTGAGTCCTCTGTCACAGTACAAGGGCCGTTTTCACCAATGGCTGCTGGTATAGAAGGTGAGCCCGGTCCGCCTTGGAGCCATAGCGAAAGAGGAGCGATTCCGGGGTTTTGTCGAGATTCGAAGAACCAGAAGAAGGTATGTGTCGGATAGTCGCGGCCCTCAGCAGGATCTGGGGGCAGGTTCACGTAGCCGCTCCAAGACTTGACACCCGGAGTCGTCTCACAAAGCTGGACCTGGCAGGTATGAGCACCTGATGACGCTCAAACGAAGGCATGAATCCCCCTTACCTCTTTGAAAGATAGAGAGACATTCGGGTCTAACGGCGAGTTGACAGTGACAGCCTTCCCCTTCGCTGTTAGAGCAATCGATGTAGCGCCAGACAATAGTAGCGTCGTAGCGAGTGAGAAGACAAAGCGGGAAATCATGGTGCTGAGTTGTGAAAGGCAGAATTGAGCGAATGGAAAGGTCGATGCAGCATTTGGAATGAATGACAGTGCAAGTTGAGGCTTATATAGGTGCTTTTGGTGAAGTTCAATTCGCGCACTACCACTTACCATGATCATGGTGCTTTAGAGCGGTTGATCTAACCTCATGCTCGCATAGATCTTCCACAGCCTGCCTGAGACAATACGTAAGGATCTATAGATTGACTTACCTAGCATGAACAGGTCATTGACACTGGTATTAGTCTCCTCCTGCAATCTGCACAACAAGAAGAGCACATGGACCCAAGGCCGACTCCCTATTAATTCGGGGGCCTGACTCCAGACTTGGACATGATTCGTGCGCTCGGAAAAAGTCACGGGGTGTGGCTTTTGGCATTCGTCGCTAACGCTGAACCTCCATCCTGGCCCACGTTTGAAGGAGCCGCCATTGGAGGGCGCAGTGATTAGCTAGTGCGACCGCAGGGACAAACCTGTTGCAGATCCCATCCGGGAGGCGGAGAGACAGGGTGTTTGGCATCGAAAGGCTTATGAAAGCTGTCAAGGTACTGTAAACAGAGACGCAACAAATCCGAGAAGCTATTTTGAGACCAACAATACCAAATCATCAGCTTGCTCCAGGAGTTTGTCGGAGTGAGCATGGCCGCGTTGCCACAAGGTCGGGTCGTAATGTCAAGGTTCTTCTGGCCCGAGGCTGAAATATCTCAAGTACAACAAGTTCGCAGCTGATAAAGGGATGAAGAAAAGATCTTCAAGCACAAGTCGTCCCCAGCTGTATTATATAATCAATCACGTGCTCATGAAAAAGGATTAAGCAGCGACCTGCCATCTCCTAAAACGAGATATTTCACCTGCTGGTTTACTCATTCTTGGCATTGGGATTGATTTGCGACATCATTGTCGATCGAAACCGCATCCGCCTACATCACAATGTAGCACAAAACGCTTAGGGGTGACACAAGCCTGACTGAGGCAGCGTCAACATGGAGTCGGTCTCCCGCGTCTCGTCCTTGATGGACCCTGGTGAGTCAAGATGGATTCGTCATGGCTTCAATATGCTGATCCTACTCAAGCACGGGATCTAACAGTGGACGCTGCTCAGGCGATGGGCAAGGCACTGAAGGGCGGCGGCTCGTCATCTAGGAATATTCCTTTCGTGAAGCTGAAAGCACTTCTTGACAGCAGGAGTGATCGCGATATCCTTGATGGACTGAGGAGAGTCGTCTCCGTATGTCTTGCCTTTTCCCTCAGTATTTTCTGTCTGCTGATAATGTCCAGATGATGTATCAGAACAAGCCATGCTTGCCATACTTTTCATCCGTCGTAAAGAATGTGGCCAACCCCAATCTTGAAGTCAAAAAACTGGTCTACATCTACCTGCTTCACTATGCGGAGTCTGACCCTGACCTGGCCCTGCTTTCTGTCAATGCCATCCAAAAATCGCTCACAGATCAAAACCCGCAAGTCAGGGCTCTGGCTCTTCGCACCATGTCAGGAATGAGGGTACCGGTAATCAGCCAGATTGTCTCCCTTGCTATCAAACGAGGTGTGGGAGACATGAGTCCACACGTACGAAAGGCGGCAGCGCTGTCTATCCCAAAGTGCTACAACCTCGATCCTAATACCCTGCCTCAATTACTCGAATACTTATCCTCTCTACTCGGAGACAAGCAGTATTTTGTTGTCGGTCCAGCTGTTCAAGCTTTCCTGGAGATCTGTCCTGAACGCGTCGACCTCCTTCATAAGCACTTCCGGAGCCTGGTCAAGAAACTGGTGGACATGGATGAATGGAGCCAACTGACGACACTAAAACTTCTTTTGGTTTACAGCAGGCGCTGCTTTCCCAGACGGACGCAAAGAGTAACGAAAGTCAACAAGAAGGGATTCTATGATGACGACCAGGACGAAACAGTCGAAACTCACGAAATTGTCCAGGTGCTGGACCCAGATCTGGAACTCTTTCTCAACGCATGCAGATCTCTGCTGCAGAGTCGAAGTTCAGCTGTCATCATGTCTGTCACCAGTTGTTTTCTGTACCTCGGAACCCAAGAATACCTGCAGGAAGCTATTGGACCACTCATGGGTCTCATGCGTGGACCTCCTGAGTTGGAAGAAGTCGCGCTATGCAATATCGTCTTGGTGTCACTGTCAGCCCCGGAACTCTTCGTACCTTACGCCTCTCACTTTTTCATTCGAGCCCGAGACTCCCCACAAATCTGGAAGCTGAAAATCGAGCTTCTGACTCTTATCTTCCCCCACGCAGCGTTACACCTCAAGTCCGTCATTTTGAGCGAGTTAGAGCATTTCTCTCATAGTTCAGACATCGAACTGATTCGGGAATCAGTGCGAGCTATCGGACGCTGTGCGCAGTCTGACCCAAAAAACGCGCATCGATGCTTCAAAGTCCTCCTGAACCAAATATCCAGTTTCGACAATGTCCTGGTCTCTGAGGTTCTGACGGTCATGCGGCATTTGATTCAGCAAGATCCTTCGTCGCACCGGAGGACTGTGGTTCGCTTAGCCAGGAATCTGGATAGGACCACAAGTCCCGAAGCCCGAGCCACAATCATCTGGCTTGTGGGAGAATTTGCAAGTCTGGATCCGGAAAATAATATCGCACCAGATGTGCTGCGAATCCTGGCCAAAGGCTTTGCTGATGAAAGCGAAGCTGCCAAACAGCAGATTGTGTTACTAGCTGCAAAAGTCTACCTGCTTTTCTTGCAGAGGCACCTTACAAGCAAACCAGACAACGACAGCGACGCTTTGGTTTCACAGAACGATGCTGGTGAAATGGTCGACTCCACTTACCTCGACCACCCAATATCCAAGCTATGGAACTACATCCTCCTTCTCGCACGCTACGACACATCATACGACCTCCGAGATCGAGCACGGCTGTTCAAAGCTCTGCTCTCAAGTCCTCAAACAACTCAGCTGGCGGCTCTTCTACTCCTCGCGCCAAAGCCAGTCCCCCATTCCCCCTCGCCATCGGAAAGTCGAAAAGGCTTGATGCTCGGAAGCACCACGCTAGTCCTCGGCAAGGATGTAGCTGGTATTCTGGGGCTTCCAGGCTACCAAGAACTGCCCGACTGGGTCGAAGAGGGCAATGAGCCTGATCCAAAACTCCGCGATGCCAGCGACGCAGGGGAGAAAGAAGATTACGTACCCATATCGGCAAGAACAGCAAGTGCCGTGGCCGCCAGCAGGAGGCTCGACGAGGCGGTTAAAGAGCAGGGCTTGGAGAAGGTTGTCGCTGCAGGATCAAGTAAGGCAAATGCCAAACCGAGGACGTTGGACGACTGGTTAGCCGAGAGTGAAGAAGAGGAAGAGGAGACCGAGGAAGAGACCGAAAGCGAGGAGACTGACGCGGAGCAAAGTGAGGAGGAGGAAGAAGAAGAAGAAGAAGAGACGGACGCCGAGAGCGAAGATGATGAGAAGGGAATGCGAAGAGGTTTGATTAGCTAGCTCGCGGTTCCTATTCTGCGGAACCAGCAGCACTGGCAAGACTGTGTCGTCTCATCTGATTAGCCTTCCACGAATGCATCGCCCTTTGTATGTCTAGGGGAGTGGGTTCCCACAAGTGTCAGACTGGTTCAATTGGGTCTCAGAAGCCCAAAGTACAAAATGGTTACTTCCTTGGGACGTGCGATGGATGCGGAGAGTCTGCTCCTGGCATCTCTGACAGGACTGTCCAAATCTCGAGGAATACCTGGCTTCACGACATACGACTGGCCCTGTCAGCTTATACCAGCATTCCTGTCCAAAGGCTGGTCACTTGCTCCAGAACGTTGAAATGGAATACGGGTACGCAGTAGTCCAGAACGAATTGCAGCTCAAGAAGTTGATCCCTTTCTACATACAGCACAGAGAGTGAGCTCGAGATGCATACGAGCAGACTTGGCCGATTTCAGGTACTAGCATGTGATTTTGATGACTCTTTGCAAGATTGGCCAGTATGCCGCTGATCAAGGCCTGGTCGCATTATTCTGGCGGAAGGAACGGTCCGCAGCACCGTCTATACAACAGACGTATGCGAAGTCAAGATTTTTCCAACTGCGGATGAAGCGTCTGTGCCAGCGTCTGTTCCTACCCTGCTTGCACCTGCTGGATGGCCGGTAAGGTCGTGCAGTTGCGCTTCTCGCAGCCATTCAGGCGCTGCAAACACTGCCTAGTCGACGGATGGTTCTCCTTCCGTCGCCTGGGTCATGGGTAATAACGTAGTTCCATGCATGGCCGCCGACATTGACGCAACGAATAATCGCCAAGGTCAATTCACCTCCAGGCATCAATGCAGCATCATGAATAGTGTGGACATTGGTATCTGTACTGTATGCTGCTCTGGCAAGCCATCATGACCGTGGAACTCTGCCGCGAATCAAGGTCCATCTCCGACCTTCCATCTGGACAAGCGAGGCATTGGCTGCATACGGGAAATGCATATTATGGCCCGCCAAGTGCACCTAGAGGACTTTTGGTGTACCATCGGCGCAGCTGGTGGAAGTGTCTTGCATCGGCAGCTGCAGTCTGTTACGTGTATGCGTCGGTCATTCCGTGCGTTCTTTTCTTTAGGCTTCTCAGCCCCCCCGGACCATCGGCACTTGTGAGGCGGATCCAGCTCGAAAAGTGCCGATATGCAGCGAGTGATCGAGGAAGACAAAGACTGAGGGCGGGGATGACCGTGATGGCCCATGATGGCCCACGAAACGATCTTCCACCGTTGGGCCGTCCGTCCCGTGCCGACCATCAGCTCCACTCCGGTAGAGACGTCGCCTGGAAAAATAGATCCAGAACTGGGTATTAACATTCCATCCTCACGCATGTTGGACGGTTACAGTAACGCCCAGCGAGGCCAAAAAAGACATCATGGGCGCACCGCGTCGCATTTAAACATCGCCTCGCTTTTCGGCTGGCACCCGAAGTTGAGGGGGCACTGAAGATGACGGGCTAACCGAGGTTTTTCTCTGCATTTGATCCACGACCTACTCCGTACTATGGAGTCCAGTGTACGAGTAGCCGTGAGTAGCATCTCTGGCTCACTAGGCTTATCGCCGCGCCGGGCACCACTTCCATCGTTATCGATGCATAAAGCATATCCTGTTCGCGGCAGTTCGACCGAAGCACGGTTCATCTCGCTTCCACGGCGCCGACACTGGCCTCGGCCGGCTCAAGCAAGGGCTACCATGGTAAGTACTTGTACAAGTACAAGTATCGAGGCCACTCACGTGTTACATATGGTACTCGTACACAGAAGGCCACCTAACAAGAGCCAGCTCCAGGTCCACCTCTTTCCGGATCGACAGCCCTTCAAACCCAAGCGTGAGAAGACAAGCAAAAGAACACAAGTTCTCTCTGCAGAACATCATACTACGTACGCTCTGGTCACGGTTGCCGTTCTTTCCTTCAACATCCGTGTCTCGACGAGGCATATCGGCGCACTTTTGGGAAGTTGCAGTGCTTGGAGTGCCGGGCAAGTGCCGACACTAATGTTTCGGTTAAGGCGATCCATCCCCTGACCTGTTTAACTGAACTCGGTTGGAGGAGAGATTTTCGAGAGTGTACCAAGGGTCCAAAGGACAAGTGTTTTGTGCACCTTGCTGTTGACGCTGACAGGCCACTTACCGTCCGAAGTCTACGAACGATGTTGCCGTTTGCCAGCATGTCATGCCACCACTATGGGAAAACCATTCACATTCGATGTCAAATAGCCAATAACCTGCCTCCGGCTTATTGCCTTGCCTTGCCTTGCCTTGCCTCGTGCGCACGGAAAGCTCAAGCCACTCTCTCAGGCATGGCTTTCAGGCATGGGCAATGCTACAGGTGGTATGTAGCGAATCGAGCTCGCCTCGCCTGGCCTTGAGAAATTCTGTGCGCTCTGCCAACACCATTCATGATTTACTGTACGCAGTACACAATATACTATGTAAAGCTGTCTAACCCCTAATTGCATAATATACTAGCACACTGGATATTGTATACTGTAACGAGAAGCATCCTGCGCCGCCCATACCACGTAGGCATTGATACTAGTACATACGTAGTAGTAGATCCCAAACAATGGACTGACGTGAGCCTCGTCAAGGCCCATCACTTGCGGATCTCAGTGCGCAAACCAGGTGGATGTCCGGGAGCGAAAGAAGGCTCTCTCGTTTCATCAGGGGCAAGGGGGCTTCATGTTTCAGCCTGATCTCGGTTCCTACGAGCGCTTTCTCATACGGTGAAAATCTGGATCCATGAACACGGTGGGCGGCCATCCCGACGCCGCAACAGAAGGATGCCTGAGACAGATGTTCGTACTGAGTAGTCGCATTCATTGACGCCTGAACGAAAGCTCACGTACGTACTCCGTACCCAGCAGACTACTAATCTGACCGATTACCTTGGACGCCTGGTAGGAGCATCGCGGTTGCCACCAACTGAACAGCTCAAGGTGTCAAAGGCCTCATGGAACAGCCTGATCTGAGTAGACACAACATAAGGAGAGAAGCATGTATATATTCATTGATCTCGTAGCTCCCCGTTGGTAAGCTTGCTGCTATTGATATCAGCGACACTCTCGGAAAGGTGTTGCTGTAGTAAGTCGTCTGTGTGATGGTATCTATTCCGCACCTCTGACCCTCGCTGTAACATTCTCATCTCTGTGCAGGGGTATCTCTCGCGCGCGCTCTCTCTCGATGGCCTTTTCCGTCCCCTTGCCCCTGACCCAGTCCTCGATCCAAGCACTGTATAACCCGAAGACGCTCCTGACGTATGAATAGTGTGTCCTGAAGACTGGAGATAGAAGTTCACAGATTCGAATCCTGTCGCTTTTGCACCCAAAATTCACCCATGAGAACTCCGTGGACGCCACAGAAAATGAGTATTATAACGAGAACGCTCAGATCTGAAGATCAAGTCGTGAAATGGTGGAGTCGTCATCGCATCATGTAAATGCTCGGAAGGTATAAGTCGAAATTGGAAGAAGTTTGACATGGCAACGTCGATGTCAGCTGACCGTAGTTGATTGATTTCCCGGAGCTGCCTGTTCATCTGCTCTGCGCTGAGGCTCATCGATGGTAATTGTAGTCTCTTGGATACATCTGTCACATATCTGGTGGTGACAGTTCGGACATTCTTGCGTACCCAATTCAAAACCTGTCTGACATTCGTGACACGCTCCCTCAACGCTGTTCCCATGAGCTTCCACAGCTGTCTCGGCCGCTGAAGGGGCTACTGGTGCTTTTGTAGTTCTCGAGCGATCTTTCCTCGGCGGGTAGCGAGAACATCGTGTGCATCGACGGTGTTGGCACCCATTGCAGACTTTGTCATAGCCGAAGGTGGTAGAACAATTATGACAGGTGTATCTGACCCTTTGTCTTATGGGCTTCGAGACTCTTTCACATGGTCCTTTCGGCCTCATACCCCAATCAGCCTCCGTCAATTCGATATTGTACCTGGCAAATATTGCCTTGGCTTTCCAAAACTGCATATCTTGGTCGTTGGAAGGTTCTCGCGGCGTTTGTTGGGTTGGTTGTGCATTTGCATCGGTCGGTAACGGAGTATCTTCCTGCATAGAGTCGACTTCAATCGGCTCGTTTTCGGTAACGGATGGCTGCTGAGCTGCGGGCACCGTAGCCTCGGGAACTTGTACAGCCTTCGATTTTGGCGCAGATTGTGAGGTGGTGGTAGTCGGCGCAGTGGGTGTTGATGTGGGGGGTATAGGTTTCTTTCGAAAAATGTTGTTGATTCTTTTCCAAATCCTTCGCAAACCCTTCTTTTCCTTCCTTGAAGAATGTGCTTCTGACAACTCCATTGGCGGGCTAACATGGAAGGCCTGACAAAGAGGGCATCATGGAGATTAGGGATAATTAACGAGAGGTCGAGGAAAGCGGCCGAGGAAGGAGTTCGGAGGGCTCTATGGCGTTGTTATTGGACGTCGGCCGACACAGGGACTTGGTGGTGGTAAAGAAGCGTCAGCTGTCAATTGGTGGTGGAATTCCGGGAGAGTGGACTGGAATGTCACTCGTCGGATCTGGAAATCCCTGGTCCAGGAGTGCGAACCATCGACTTCCTGCGCAGTGTCCGCAAGAACACTGATGCTGTCGAGTGCAGATGTAGATTGGTAGAGGTGAAAGAGACTGCGTACTGTACTTCTGTAAGATCAAGGCCAACAAGGTCCGGTAGGGTCAGGTCGACGGATAGGCCGCTTCAGCCAGGTGGGTACAGCCAGCTGTTTAGGCACGGAGGTGTGAATGAAGATCGAGAAGGATCGACGCTGCAGGGTAGCAGAATGCTGAGCCGGCAAGTTTCGTAAAGCGTGAAGGAATATGGGACTGATCTACAGCAGATCGAATTGTCTGAGGAAAACAGAAAAGCAGATCGTCCAAGTCCTCATAGAAGAAGGAGAAACCAGAGAGGAAAGAGTTGTGTGATTGAGAAGACCTCAGGTGGTGGAGATAAGAGAAAGAGGAGAAAGGTTGAAGATTGAATGCCGGATGATGAAAGGGTCGAATGATGGACCGAGAAACAGCGAAACGGCTGCCAAAGCAGAGAAGACCAGGACCCCAAGAGCCAGGCGGCGAACTAACTATCTACCAGGTAAGGTAGGCGTGCTAGGTAACACTTGCAGCTCCTGCCGGTTCTTGTTAGTGGTGCCAGTCTTGCCAGTTGAAGGGTTCGACCGAAAAGAGAGCCAGAACCCAGGCACATGGACCTGGTACCCGTACGCGGCTTTTTCTTCTGGGGCCCAGTACGAGTATCGCATGGGTGCCAGGTACCGGGGTGCTGGGTGTCAAAGGCTCACTGGGCTCAAAGGACAGGCCCGAGGTCAGTGCTAAGGGCGCCAGTGTGGGTATAAAGGTTCGGCCAGGTGCTAAAACTAGTACTTCTGAGGGAGCCGGACTCAGCGGACGGTGCTAGAATTGTTGTCATCCTCATCCCCTCGTGCTATACGGAGGACACAGTACGGAGTACAATGATAACTTTTTTCTATCGCGCATTCATCCATCCGCCTCCTCTCCATAACACCCCCCAATGCAGCGTTATACATGACTCTCGACGGATCATTCGGTCACATATTGTCTCGACAAGCTGTCGGTACCAGCGGCTTCGGATCCCATTTGAGCCCTTTGACCCTAGAGGCTCCAGCTTTGCCAGCCTGTCAACCATTCAGAAACATGGCACCGGACAAATCCAGGCAAGCGATCTACCCTCTAAGCGAGCTTCCCTGGGCCGGGCTTGGCTTGGGGCTCACTAACCAGCGGTAGCCCTCGTCTGACGGGAGGGCCAGGCAAGGAAAAGAGGGCACGTTGCGCCCCCGAGTCAGACCCGCGGGCTTCCACGTCGGCAGCTGACACTGCTACAGTAATGTAGCTAGCTTGATACACACCCCCCATCAACTGTTGATTGGAGGTGCACCGCCCTTGAAAGCCATGCAGTTTCCACGGCCTCGCTGGCTCGAATCAATCGCTGTGGTCTCCACTTCAGACTCCGCAATTCTATCCATAAAGTTGGGATCTTCTTCTTCCCCGGAATATTGCTACTGCAGCACTTTGCGTAAAAAGCAAAGATCGAGACATCTTTACGTAGTAGTGGCTGTGAGCTGGAAGATTGAGGATCCGCCGTAGCAAAAGATGCTGCTCGTCCTGGTAGCAAGCATGGGCCGCTGACTTGGCAGCCAGCGGCGTTCCAATCAAGACGATATCTAACTGGCGAATTTGTCAAGTCGACGTTGTCCATGTCTCCTGGTACGAGCTACATTTTGCGAACTAGGGCCCTGGCGTGTCTGCAAAGCGAGGTGCTACTACTTCGCATACTATAGACAGTTCAAGAGAGATCCCTAGATGGCAGGATCTGCGTCGAATCACCTTGATGACGCCTGTCTAACATGTGGGTTTCCGAGCCCCTAAACGCCATTACGAGGCCACGGCGTATATAGTATGAACCTGGACGTGCTATTATTTACTTGACAGGAGAAGGCCTTCTAACTGACAGTCATGTGCACAGTGCTGGCCGCCGCCACTGTCGACTATCTAGTCGTCAAGTCGCTCTAGCTTACCAATACTGGCTTGCCTCTCTTGGTTCAGGTTTTGACCAATGCATTATTACCTGTTAGCAATGTTGTCATCGATATATGACCAAAATCAAGCAAGCATTCAGGACGTCGTTGTACATGTAAGCCTTGAATTTCAATGTCGAGGGGTATGGGTTCGAACATCCACTTCCAAGCGAACAAATCCTCGACTCTGAACGATCGACCAGGAAGCGACAACCGACACTCTGGTGCAATAAGTTCTCGACGTTCGTCTTTCTGCGACGAGTTCGGCTTCCTGAACTAGTATTATTCCAGCCGCGAGTCGTCAAAGACAAATTCGAAACCCAAGATTCGGCGAGCTGTTCCTCGCGCACAGGCCATTGCCCCGGATCACAGGTTAGCTTGCCCGCGCTTGCCTAATCGTGCTAATCTTTTGCTGGCACCACCTAGGTAGCTAAAGAGCCTACGGGCTCGCACTAACGAAATTTGGGACGATCTAACGACTCAAGTAGTCTAGGGCAGGGGCAGGGGGTTAGATGGCGAGATGGGTTTCGCTTCTCACATGGCTTCCTATCGCAATGTCCAATGAGATCTGATCACTTATAGAATCTGCCGAGGAAGATTGATAGAAGAAGAAAGAGGCCGTCATCGTTGTCGTCTCACTGTGACAATCAAGTTCCCGGTTTCGGTCTCAGGTGGACCATCGAATTCAGGCGTCGTCTCACGGAAAGTTTCAAGGTTCGAGTCATTATTCCCGCCATTAGAGACCGACATGTTTGGCGGCGGCACAGGCCCTGAGCCCGCCACTGACAACGGTATCTCGACGTTTGCAGATTCCTGGATGCTACAAACACACAACCTGAGGCCTAATTGGTGTCTACAATGAACCCAAAACCAAACTCTCGAGCATGAAACTTCTGCGATACATACACGCCGGAGTTGGTGACTGCATGAAGGGGTTCGTCCGAACAAAAAGCGAACGTTAATAGTGGCAGAATAGTGACTCTGAAAGCAAAGCATGGGTACCCAACTCTCCCAGCCCTCTTGTCACATTGCGCCCCTAGGCATTTGTCCGTCGATCATAGTCCAGCGTATTGCTCCGCATACCGAATCCTTGAGCCTCCTGAGTCTTGAGCCACAGCGGTACTCGGACTGGGACTTTTACAACCATGGCCGTACGGAGTATGCAATCAGTCTCCTGCTCAGGTGCAAAGGGGTGCGAACCTTAAATCAACACTTGGGGACTTCCTGTTCCACGTCGTCAAACCATAGTGGATAAGTTCAGCATGCTTCCCCTACCTGACTCCTTGGGGCGGTGGGAAGTCTCATCCTCAGGAAACCACCGGCTTGGTTCCATACTAACGTAGATCATCCACCGAGACCCACGAGATGTTCCTGTAACATGTGCAGGAGCCTCATGCTAGCCTGACGACTTTGCTGTCCCTCTCAACCTCAATCCTATATATCAACCAAACGCCCTTGTTTCCCACACAGCGGGAGCTGATTGCCCTCGTCCAAGCACAGCTAAGATTCACTAGGATTCGCAAGGATGTGACAGGCTGTGTCCAGTGTGCCGTGTCTGAATAAGCTCAAGGCTGCCATTTGAGGAGCGGACAATGCGAAGCAGCCATTTGTGGATCTGCAAGCGCATGACTATCAATCTCGGGCCCCCAATCGGAGAAGGCAGGTGCTTCTCACAATCTTCCCATCTTCAGAAGAGCTTCCTCGGCTGAAATCACTGCTCTATCGGCTTGATTCGTCGAAAATGGCCCAAGAGTATCTCATCTCTGAGACGACCCAGCACAGGTGCGTAATTATTTGACGTATGGTAGAAAGCAGGTATGGCGTTTCACGTTGAATCAACCGCCTGGACTCTGCGTTCCCACGCAGATCTGGTTGTCGTCCTCACGAAGGCTAATGTAGAAGTGATGTATGACCAGGCGAACGCAACCGACGAGGTTGGTGCAAAATACCCTGGCCCAGTCGCACGAACATTGCCTTCCGGAGGTAAATGTGGGTTCGAGCATCCTCTGTCCGCCACGGCTTCGTCTAGGAAAAGGACCATCTCCGAACACATATCGAACAGACTCTTTGTCTCCTCAATTACGTCTTCCTTCTCGACGTCGGTCAAGAGTGCCGACGCTGCCAGAAGTGAATCCTTGAACCGCAATTTGAGAGCCTCATGTTGCGCATCCTCACCACTGCCGCCGCCAAACTCCCAGAACGACAAAGGAAATGCATCTGCTTTCCAGAAACTCGAACCTGCTTCAACGAGCTGCCGGCGAATCCACCGACCACCATTAAAGAGAGCGAGGTACATTGCCCAGGCGTAAGCCAGCAGTACGTGAGGTCTTGCAGACAAGGCTGCCGTGTTTCGAGAAGCAAACACTGTTGACTGCTGTGAGAGCAGGTCAAGTTCCAAGGACTGGTCAGCGTTTAGCCGCGACTTCAGTGAGTCAATGTCATTTCGCAATCGGTTTGTTCTGACCAAAGTGCGAAAATGTATACATTGATAAACGTCTTGTATTCGTTTGTCAAAGCTCCTCGAGGCTAATGACGCTTCTAGAAATTTCTCAAATCCGAAATATATCTGGCCGAAGACTATCATGCCCTTCGCATAAAGGAGCGGATCATTGGCATGAGGCGGCAGACACAACGGTAAGCGCGCTGTGATCTGCATGTTGAGAGCATGGTGCTTCTCCCGTGTAGCGGCATGAAGCTCTACCGGCAGAGCAGGCCGCACGTTGTTTCCAAAAGTCGTATCCATTGTCGTCAACGCGGCTATGATGATTGCGACGATTTTTGTCCAATGAGCGTTCCTTGGCCTGGCAAAGCAATTAGGGGATTATCAAGAGAGCGAACTTGTCCGCGCTCCTTGTCAACATCGTGCCGTTTACTTGACGCTGCAGATGAGGCAGGATGCAGGGAGTAGGATCCAAACGAGTGTTAAGAATAGCCAGATGGCAAGATTCCTGGGTGTAGACGCGTCTGCGTGCGGCGGCAACTTCGACACCGGAGACGCGGGAGAGTAGAATTTGCATCTCCCTTGCTTTGCTGGGATCTGGATTTCTAGAACTCTTGGGGTTTAGCCTGGTTTTTCGCCTTCTTGCCGTCGATCGGGAAGTCTAAAATGTAGAATCAATTTCTGGCATGAATCTTGGCGATCGTGACGTTGTTCAAATTCGCACGCGTGGGAAACGGCTTCTAGTTCCGTACACGTGACTGAGATTTGGTAGTCGGGCTCCCTCCGTACATCACCGTACAGCGATTTGAGGCTAAAATTGAGAGGCTGAATCTCCTCCTATTCCAGATATTTGAACTCGTCCAGTCGACTCTTTTGCTCGACGGGTACAGAAACTCGCAAGACCGAAAAGGATAGTGTTTCGTTCCAACAACGCCAGAAGTGCTAGCGTTTAAAATGACCATCGGAGTCGCCATTTTGGGGGGAGGTAAAGTGCTTCTGTGATAGATTGAAGAACAGATTCTGACGTGCCCAGGCATTTTCGCCAGAGAAGAGCACAAGGTTGGTGAGGCCGAAGGGCATGGTGATATCTTGACTGATGTGTTTTGCTTCTAGCCTGCAGTTGAAGCTGCAAAAGATCTTACGTTGAAGGCTGTCTATTCACGGTCACTGAAGTCGGCCAAAACACTTGAGGTCGACGAGTCCAAGGTCGACATCTATTCTGATGAATCAGGCGCCGGCAAATCCCTGGACGATCTACTGGCGCGGTCGGATATCGGGGCAGTCATTATCGCCTTGCCAATAAAGAATCAGCCAGAGTACGTCCGAAAGGCATTACTGGTGGGCAAGCATGTTCTATCTGAGAAGCCAGTTGCGGAAAATGTCAAGGAGGCAGTAGAGATGATTAAATGGTATCGGTCAGAGATCGCGCCCAAGGGAGTAACGTGGGGAGTCGCAGAGAACGTTAGATACACGAACTCATTCATCCACGCCGCGGACGCTGTCAAGCCCAAGGGTCGACAACTGACTTTCAGATGTCGGATGCAGACACTGGTCGAGGGTGGGAAGTATTTTGAGACCTCGTGAGTCGAAGATGTGATTCAAGTGAATGTGAAGGCTAACGTGGAGCAGATGGCGCAAAGTCCCAACTCACCAGGGTGGCTTCCTGCTAGATGGAGGTGTTCATTTCACGGCAGCGCTTAGATTGATGCTGGGAAAGGACAATCCCTTGGTATCGATATCAGCCCATTCGGCATTGCTACAGGAACATCTTCCTCCAGTTGATACGGTGGAGGCCACGGCGAAGAGCAAGAAGGGCGCAGTTGGGACAATTTCGATATCATTTGGAACCACTGCCAAAGGGAGTGAGTGGACGGTGGGGTGCGAGAAGGGCTTTGTCAGCATCTCCCGCAACAAAGTCACAATAGATGACAAAGTGGAAGAAATCGAAGACGAAAAGACCGGTGTGCCGCCCGAAGTGAGAGCGTGGGGTGAGGCTCTGGCGGCCGGCACAGTCAATGAGATGCAGTCCCCTGAGGAGGCTCTAGCAGATCTGGAACTCATCGAGGCAATGCTCAGAAGTGGAGAGCAAGGGGGTGTTCCTATCAAGCTGCAGCATCAAGAAGTGTAGATGAGGACAGTAATCATTTCAGGATAAGGACGGAAGCCATTCAATTAGATGAGGATCACATTATCTACCAGGTACTGCAGAGACCCGAGTACTCCGTATTGTACTGATGGATGTCTTGGAACCGAGTGATCTTGAGAAAAGTTGGACTAACTGAAAAGGGTATAGCGTCGCCTATGTGCACTTCCCACAATGCAAGTCTTGGCGCAGAAATTGAGGAAGCCGCAAACTGCGCACTCGACCACTGACTTCCCACTCCATCTCTTGACCTTGCTTCCGACGTCCAGACCACAATACCGACAAGGTACAACTGTTCACAGCTACTTTAATAGTAAAGAGGCTGACATTCGCACAGATGGTCTCCGCAAAGAAGCACGTTGCTGTCATCAAAAAGCACCCGAAGAAGTGGTTCAGACATCAGTCCGACAGATTCAAGTGTGTGCCTTCAGCATGGAGAAAACCAAAGGGTATCGACAACCGAGTTCGAAGACGGTTTAAGGGCCAGATGGTCATGCCATCGGTATGTGAGAAGCTTTTCGGACTGCAGTAAAGAGATTTGAATACAAAATGGGGCCATGAGCAGAATATGTTGGCTTCAGAACCAAAGACTAACATACTTGTCCACAGATTGGTTTTGGCTCAAACAAAAAGACTCGACACATGATGCCTTCAGGTCACAAGGCTTTCCTTGTCCATAATCCAAAAGACGTCGAAATTCTCCTCATGCACAACCGAACATATGCCGCCGAAATCGCATCCGCTGTTTCCTCAAGAAAGCGAGTCGAGATCGTCGCAAAGGCGAAGGCGCTGGGTGTCAAGGTCACCAACGGCAAGGCGAAGATTACCACCGAGTCATGAGCTGGGGGATTTTCTGGTGCTTGATTATGGCTCTGCTGGAGGCATAGAGTATGATGGAGCACGTCCACCAGGATGGATGTTTGCTGGATTCAGCTTGAACAGGATGACTGGCTTGTCATTCTGAAGGGTGATTGCCAGCTTATGGGCATGATACGGAGCATTCGGTCGGCTTGAGAGAAAAGAAAGGAGAACAGAAAATGATACCAATTCAGCCAATCCTGCTTCGGATCAGGTTCAGGACGCTGCGTCCTTCCCATCGGGCTTTCGAATACCGGCTTTTCTGGTGACCAACTTCCAATGACCTTTCATATCAAGTGGTTGTCGGATGGCTGTCCAACAAAGCGCTTGGTGTTGTGAAGCCATGACTCCTAGCTTTGCGCTTCGGCTCGTTCGCATGCAGTGCCTTACCGCGAAGTCTATGCCACATTCAGCAAGACGAAGTCCAAGGCCAACATCGTAGGATCATTTGTCGTAGATTCCGTGGCGTGTATTATGTTTTTGCGAAGGCCACTTAAGTTCTAACTTTCGTTTTCCAACCACTCGAATGGACATGGATTTCTCGTCAGACAGTAATCCACGTCGAACTTCGAAACTCGAATTCTCGCCAAAGGTCGTTCGCCTGGGAAAGTCACAATCAAAGCGTGGGTGTGGGGAGTAAATCCTGTGGCTGCGGCAGCGAAGAAATTCCTCCCGGAAAAAAGTGTTACCCTATGATGCCCTGGAGCAACGACCGGTTGCATATGTATCGTACACAATAGACCAAAGGGGCATTGTGCACAATCTTACTCCTAGAAGTTATTCCTGGCTCCATCGCCACGGATACTTGCCTATCTGGCAAGCAAGGACGGTCTCCCAAGCCACCACCAAGTCCAGGCATGGCCATGATGAGCACCGAGTTGCAACCTGACTCTTTCAACGATGACAGGAAACATCTACCACCTCCTCCGCCAGTTGCAATAACACCTCCGGTCGATCTACCTAAGCCATACTACCTCGAAAATGGCCTTCGCCGGGTTGCGCCTTATCACTTCACATACAATACTTTCTGTAAACAACGGTGGAGGGGACGAGAGATTCTCGACATCTTTGCAGCAGAGTTTCGTGACCGGACTAAGCAATATTACAAGGAAGCGATCGAGTCGGGGCAAATCATGATCAATGGCAAACCATGTAATGATATTCATACCATCGTTCAGAATGGCGATGTCATCTCACACACCCTACACAGGCATGAACCGCCGGTGACTGCGCAGCCCATTCGGGTAGTACACGAAACGGACGATATGATTGTGATTGACAAGCCAGCTGGCGTGCCTGTTCATCCTGCTGGCCGCTACAACCACAACTCGGTCGTCGAGATCATGAGGGCAGAGCGCCATCTCGGGTTCAAACCTCTACCGTGCAACAGACTCGACCGGCTTACCAGCGGGATTATGTTCATTGGCAAGACAAGCAAGGCAGCTGAGCACATTAGCGAGAAACTTCGTGGACGAACAGTGCGCAAGGAGTATGTTTCAAGGGTCAAGGGCCGGTTCCCGGATGGAGAGGGTTGGGACGGTGATCCAATGCGAGGCGGTGTCGTTATATGCGAAGAGAGCATTCTGCAGATCAGCCCTATCGTCGGCCTCAACAGAGCAAGAGCAAGTGGCAAGTCTGCAAAGACACTGTTCAGGAGACTAGCATACTACCCTACTCACAGGCGGCACGATACGAGTCAGTCACGTTTGACGGATGCCTCGAACGGCGCCCAAGTGGCCCAGCCTGCGCCAGCAATTTCTGGAACCGAAAATGAAGGCTACAGTATTGTTCATTGTCTACCTCTGACAGGGCGGACACATCAGATCCGAGTGCATCTACAGTTTCTTGGACATCCGATCACCAATGACCCTATCTACAGCAACCGAGCAGTATTCGGAGCAAACCTCGCGAAAAACGAGTCAACTGGCGACAACGATGCCGAAATCATAGCGAGACTGAAGAAGATTGGAAAGACTGAGGTGTCGGACTCAATATCATACGAGCAGCAGCGACTTGCGAAGGTCGTAGAGCAGACGCAGCAGACGACAGTATCGGAAGCAGCAGTGAAGCCAGACTTCAAACCATTACCAGAAGGCACCTTGCATGCTGGACCCCTCCCTAAATCCGGGGAAGATTCTATGCATGATGATCCTCAATACGGAGCCCTAATCAAAGCACACGACGACATGGTAGCGGATTATAACAAGCGGAAAGGCGAAAAGATGACCGGAGAGAAATGCTCTGTATGCGACACTCCGCTTTACTCCGATCCTGGACCACATGAACTAGGCATATATCTGCACGCACTGTCATATGCAGATCTGACCGTCGGTAGCTGGAGCTACCGTAGTCCTGTCCCCCAGTGGGCTCTACCTCCAGATGGGTACGATGGGCCGAGAGATATTGGCGAGTGGGAGTATCGAGGAGATGAGGTGCTGGATATAGGTGACGAGAAGGAGGATGAGCAAACAAAGAATGTTCGAGGCGCGAAAAGGAACAAGGGTGAAGAAGTGTGAGAACCTTGTCACCAACGAGTCGTGGATGTACAGAACGATGAAAGAAGTGAAAGAAGCCTTGCTCACGACCCAGCGGATGCCAGCCGTACTAGGTCAATCGGTTGTAGACGAGCATTCTGAGATTGGTGCTCTGTATGCCTCATGTGCACCGTACAAGCCTAGTGAGCCCCAAAAGGGAACCCCAGCCACGCCGGGGCAAAAGTTCCGATAGATTGATTTGGTCCCTAGAAAGGGTCTCTGCGCAGACTAGCAGGTCAAGTCTCCGACCAACCAAAGCCCCCTGTTCTCAGTGATCGAATGACCGCCAGTCGCATTGACGGCGTCCCCTTCGAGCCCTTCTCCCTGCCACCCGCTTCAGAGTGACGAAGCTGTGACCTTTGACCTCGCTGTGCTCGCTCTCTCGGTCTCGTCATTTTCTACTCGCCCTTCTTCTCCAATCGCGCTCCTCACCACTTCTATCTCTTTGGTCGCGTTGCCTGATGCTTCGGTCAGTCGCATAAGACAACTCACCCTTTACCGTTCCTCCAATCACTCAATCTTTGTTTTATCAGTGCTATCGGGCACTTGCGCGATCATCCCAGATCCTCCGCGCCTTCCTGCTGCACTCTTCGAAGCCAGCCTATTGACCCTTCAAGAGCTATAATACCTTCTGGCAGAATGCGATCTCTACCTGCGAAGCGCAATCCTCTTGTCGCGCCCGGCGCTGTCCCTTCGTGTGAGCCACTGACTTATCTAGAAAGCACGGCATGCAGAAGGACTGACCAGCGGAATAGATGACGATTTACTCAGTCGCCGGAGGCTGGGCAAGACGAAACTCACTGTCAAGCCTGGCCAGGTGGGCACCTCGAACGCGACAAAGGCGGAAAACCTCGGTCCTTTCGAGTATGCGCACCTGCGAGCTCCTTTGCCTGAAGATTTGAGCGGTTCCGAGATCTTCGCTACTCAGTCGAATCAACCTACGCCTGAAACATACTTTCTCATGGTACGATCGCTAAAATGGCCGGTCGCACAAGATTCTGACGCGGTCGCAGCGGAGAAGTAAGGATGGCTTTGTGAGTGCCACGGGCATGTTCAAGATTGCCTTCCCTTGGGCCACCCATGCCGAAGAAAAGGATGAGCGTGACTACCTCAAAGGACTCGATGGCACGAGCCAGGACGAGATTGCCGGCAATGTCTGGGTAGCACCTCAATTTGGTAAGGCAAACAACGACCAAAGAGATGGCTTAGGCTGACAAGGATACCTAGCTCTTGCTCTAGCAGCTGAATACGGTCTGACGGACTGGATTCGAGCGCTGCTTGATCCAGCTGAAATTACTCAAGCACCTTCAAGCACCAAGAAGCCTATTGCTCCGCCGCCCAAGTTCGACTTGCCCGCGGACAAGACGAAGTTATCTGCCCCCACCAAGACACCTCGATCAAGATCGACACGGTCTTCCTCACCCAGCAAGGCGGTAGCGAGTCCAACGAAGAAATCCACAGCGTCTCCTCGAAAGCGACAAACCAAAGCGCAGAAAGAAGCCAATATCGCTCATGCGAATGCGGCAAGTGCTACTCTGCAGTCAGCATTGGATGATGCCGCCTCCGTCGCAGAGACGGAGGCGAAGCCGGAGACGCCTGCGTTGGCAGATGGCGTTTCCCCAACACAAGAAGAGATGGTCAAGGTTGAAGTGGACCAATCAGTAGAAGTTGATGGCACCACCGAGACTACACACACGAATGTGACTGTCGAAATGCCAGCAGGATCGCCCGAACTGCCGCTCCCCGAAGACACCGAACAGATGCTCGAGACGGCCAGGAAAATGGTTGAGGAGGCCAAGACCTTGGAGAGCTCGCCAAAGATCTCAAGAAAACGCAAGGCTCAAGAACCCGAACCCTCCGACATTGATGCAGAACTGCCTGCGCAACCTGCGAAGAAAGCAAGAGTATTAGAAGAGAAGCTGAAAAGAGAGAAGGTGAGGACTAGGGCAGTCTTGGGTGTTACGGCGACTCTGGCTATTGCGTAAGCTGTAAGCTCCTTTCTTCGGAAGGACTGATGCTAACCATTCGTCTAGTGCTGCCATTCCCTATTTCTTTTAAGAGCTGTGCTTCAAAAGGGCTTGATATCTTCCCTGGTTGGAAATTTCTTTCTACAGAAATTCCTGGTGTTGAGAATACGACAGGAGCCTCAAAGAGTCCGCGGTATTCACGGTCATGCGGAAATGCTCGACGTTCGCCCTGAACGAGTCGCCCGCTCGGTCTCATGTTCCAGATGATTGTTTAAACCTGTCCGTACTGGGCACCGTCGTTTATACAACGATCTGCGCAAATTTTGTCAAAGACAGAGTTTTTGTTCGAGGCCATGATCCAGGAGGCTCTCGAAGTATTGTACCAGTACAGAAATTCCGCACCCAGTCTCCTTAGTTCGGAAAAGCTTTCAATGCTCAGTCTAATTTTTATTCCCTGGATGGTTCGAAAGATGGCCGTCATGGTTTGTAACGCATGAATAGTTCAGACGATCGAGGTGGAAATGAGGTAGCGTTTGGGTATGTCAGGAAGATGGGAATGAGGATGAGGAGCCTAGCATGGCATCGACGCGACGCCGAGATTGGATTGTATATCTATGCAATCTCTACCTGATCTGTGCCCCGAGAATGCAATATCTTTACACGTGAAGATGCTTTCGCGGAGAGTGTCTGATCCGCGTCTCGCTAGTAAGGATGCTGAGCCGGAGATCCATCATTTCCCTGTAGCAGTCACTCTCTTTTGACAGCCGCTGAAACACCCACTTGTGACAGAATTCAATATACATCATTTACGGCGAGAAGCGCTTTTTGCGTCACGTTGTTGCTCTGTGGTTTTCTTTGGATTGTCTGTGCCATCTGTTTGCGCGTTGGAATTCTCACCCGAGTCGTTCTTTCTTCGTGTCCGGAGGCACCGACAATACCGACGACCACCACGCGCTTAAGCAAGTTACACAACTTTCTATTTTTATGGATAACCATTCTTAAAGTCCCTACGACATCTGTCTGGTCCTTCATCACCATCATCGACCCTCGATTCTCGATTTCCGCGCGACCATGATATGGCTGCGACTGCTTTCCTCCCAAGCGCAATCATGACTCCTCCGTCGTTCCAGCCCTCGACAGAGGCCTACGCATCCGCAGCCGTGCTCGCTGCATCCTCCTGTCCCTCTTGCGGATACCACTTCCCTCCACAGACCGATCCGACGGCTGAAGCAGCCGAAGCACACCGCCGCATCCTCGACCTCGAAGCGCAGGTCAGACTCCTGAATTCCAAAGCCGCATCGGCCGTGGACAAGCTGGCAGATTACGAGGATGAAATACGATATCTAAGCGAAGCCTACGCGCGCTCACAGCAACAGGGGAGAGGGAATGGGCTGAATAGTCCACCTTTGGAAGGACCTGGCCCGGCGATGGCCGGCAGTCAACAGCAGCCGCAGCCGCCACATCAGTTGTCAAGGCTTGCCAGTCTGAGCGCCTTGTTACCAGGACGAAGGAAAGAGTCCAATTCGGGACAACCAGTCACACCATCGACAGCGACGTTCCCACAGAATACCGCTGCCTACACGAACAATACGCTCTCACCGCCGAAAACACCCTATTCCGGCAACAGTCGCCCCGCGCCAACGCTACAAGCTACACAGTCAGACACGCAAATCATCACGCTCTCATCGCTACAGTCCTCGCTCGAAGAAGAGCGCACGCTGCGACAACGTGCAGAGACGAATCTGTCAAACGCGCAGAGCGAGTTGGAGGAGTTGACGGCACAATTATTTGGACAGGCGAATGAGATGGTCGCGACGGAGCGGAAGGAGAGGGCCAAATTGGAGGAAAGGGTCAAAGTGCTGGAGCAGAGGGATATAGAGAAGAGGAAGCGGTTAGAGAGATTAGAGAAGGCGATTATGAGAATTGAACGGGTAAGAGCGATGGTTGGGCCATGAAGGGATGGGGTATAGCCCAGAGAACCCACCAAGGACAGCGCTGCATCAACGAAAATGACGGCCACCCCAATCTCGAAGCAGTGAGGTTGGAACGCTTGTGAGAATCAACCGGAGATCGAACGAACAGTATATCTGCTCAGTACGGCCGAGATATCACTAATCGCTATGATGGGGACTACACCTATACACCACTCAGCTCAGGCATTAACGCATTTTAAAAACAAACAGCAGTACGAGCGGTCCATTCAGAGGATCTGTCTCCCACAGACGTGGCAATGCCGAGATGACAGCGAGGTCGTCCAGAGCCGACACCGATCAAGTGATCAAGAAGCAGCCGTTAATGAGACGAGCAGGTCAATGAACCTATCTCCAAATCGAACAGGTTAACGGCTCGCAGTAATCTGCGGGAAGCAGAAATGTTGCAACACCAGTGGTCTCTACTTCAACTGGGCTGAAATATGGATCGGCGCTGCGCTATGCTCCTGTACCTGAGACGAAGCCTTGCGACCCAAGCCATTGGATACCCGGATTCTGTGACGAGATTTTGAGGCTTTGATAATGCGACTAGGAAGCACCGGACACCGCTGTGTGCGACGAACAGGAGTACAGACGATACCAATTTGATTTCGAAGCTTCTTACGGGTGTATGAATACTTGAGAACGGCGTCCGAAAATCTATATCCGCTATGCAAAGACACATTTGAACATCTCATGCTCCCGCACAGGACAGAGTATATCACTGAAATAGCACGGCGGACATATTTCGTATTTTCGGTCGTGGCAAGCTTCGTTTCGACAACCTGGTTCGAACGTGTCAGACACGTGGCTTCGATGTATTATATTGCCTGGCTTCAGGACGACTTAGGGAAAGGGAGGCGGCAAACTTACTGAAGAAGAAATCATCATTCCTCTCCTGTCCGGCGCATTGCGCATTCGAGCATTTCCAACTCGCTTTCTCGGCCTTGTCGACGTGTCGTATGTACTTCCACGCATAAAACTTCTCGAGCACATGGTTGTTGTCCAGGCAGTGCTCGCCGAGTTCAAAGCATTCATCGCACAGGTCGAAGGTGCCTCTTTTGCACTTGGAGCAGTCTATGCCACTTGTTAGCTCCCTCGGGGTTTTTACAACGGGTTGTACGTGGGCGTGGGTGTGTCTGTGAAGCACGCCCGGGACATACGATAGAAAGCGCCCTTGTCAATCCGGGCGTGACATTCGGAGCAACTAGCTTCGCCCGTCGGCGCTCGACCTCTTCGTTTCTGATACGGAGTCTCCTGGCTGTACGACGCGAATTTGGCTCGAGGGAAGGCGTGGAAGTTGTGCGACTCGTCGCCGGGGCATGTGGTTCCCGACTCGTAACATCGGAGGCAGAGAGTGCATTTCTTCTTGGATGTGCGACATTCGAGGCAGTCTGGTCATCATGCATGTAAGCTTGCGTGACAGGAAGGAAGCGGGGGGAATGAATGGTGCGTACCGTAATGCCAGCCTCGGGTGATTCTGGTGGAGCAAGCAGTGCAACTCAGCTTCGCCGGACCGGCGATGTCTTTCATGAGCTTGGTCTTGCCTGATGGTAGGCAGTAGCGGCCTGGCAGCGCGGTTTGCCGGGTCTCCAAAGTATGATCTGGACTCTTGCATGTCGGAGAGTCTTTGTAGCATTTCAGACACAGGTTGAACTCGTCCTCAACTTGTGCGTCGGCGCTGCCCGCGCAATGGCAGCAATCTGAGATATGTCAGCTCCGGGCTTTCTTTGCGCAAGGTTCGCTAGAGGTGCTACTGTAAGTTACTCACGGTAGAATTTCCCGCTTGAGATGTTCGTCTCGCATTGTGAGCAGATGATGCCGGTCGCCCATGGCAGAATATCACAAGTGATGTTGTAGTTGTATCTGGGTAGGATACTCTCGTAATCGAGACGCTCGCATACTTGCTGGACCGTTTGCATGCTGAGCAAGGCCAAGATCTCTTTCTCGACGAGTTGGGCAGACTGTGCCCCTGCTATCCATGCAGCAGCTCCTGCGAAGGTCTGGTCGGCGGTAGCACCTGATGCTATGGCATGATGATTCGGTCCAAAGAGAGCTTGGACTTGATCCTTGAATCCTGAGCCCCAGTTCTGAGTGACAGTCTGCATTTTCTCATGGATGCTTTCATGCCATTGATGAGTACCGCTAGATCCAGATTGAGGATCGAGGGCTTGGTGAATATGGGTTGCTGCACTGTTATGCAAAGCAGGGTCTGAGGTGTGAGTTACTGGTACGTTGCCAGCATGCAGGAGACCTTGAGTAGCCGTTCCTGAATCTGGTTGAATCTGGCCTCCTCCACCCAGCGTGTGCTCGGGATGTCCTAGAGGGACTGCCCCGGAAAGCCCGAAGTCGACACCAAGACCGACGGCAAGACATGTGATAGCTACGGATGCTGGGATGATCCAGTCTCGATGGAGAAAAGGCCGCAGCTCAACTCCTCGGTTCACGAGTTCCAGCTTGATGAATTTCAGCTTCTTCGCAGCAACATACCAGCGACGGGCTGCCCATAGGCAAATGGCGGCCGAGGCGCCATGCGAAGGCACTGCAAAGGCTGTCCCGCTGATGATGGAGCACATGGACGAATAGCATATTCGGGTCTTAACAGCCTCTTGTCTTTTGAGGTGAGTGTCGGGATATTTGGTGAGCCTTTGGTCGTAGTCATTGGGAAAATAGCAGAAGTCCAACAAGTAGTTCCTGGCGGCTTGCTTTTTGGAAAGCCCTTGTTTAGGCTTGGTGGACGGGGCTTCGCTGCTGCCAGATGTGACCGTGGTGGTCAACGAGAGATCAGGGACCGAGTCGAACTTGATGTCGAAGGCCGCTGGACTCTTGTCCAGTGGAGATGGGTGGCGTTGGCCTTTCTTTCCGCAACGTGTTCCTTCGTCGTCGGATGTGTACAGTGGAGGTGGCGTAGGAGGTCGTTCGCCTGACGAGTCCGTGGCTGTGAACCGTCTTTTCAGTGAGGTAATGGAAGGCATGTTCGTATTGGGCTGCTTGAATGTCGACCTGGTAACTCAGGAAGAAACAAACCTCGAGCGCTCTAGCCCGGCCTTTCACAGCTGGCCGCTGCAATACTGAATCGCTTCTTTCGAAGGCGGCGCCAGACTTCTCCCATTCCGCTCCAAGTCAACAGTACGGGGGCTGCTTCACTGTCCTTGACAACAGAGTATGTCTAACACAAACCCTCAAGTCGCCGTTTCAAGCCCTTTCTCTCTTGAGTGGGCCGATCCCAAGTTCGCTGCAATGTTGCCGTTGGGTTCTGAGGAACCGCACAGCCTCAAGGTCTGCATAAGACTATGAGAATATGACGTTGCCCTGCATGAAGATTGGTACTCGTATGAGGTTCGAGAAGTGGCTAGCCAATCATCACCGACGGGGAGTGCCACTTCCTCCACGCGAGACAAGGATGACCAAGTTGTAAGGGTGGTCAGGTGCTGGATCTGCAGGCATGGTCAGCGGTGATAATCAGATGAATCACCTCTCGGCATCGTCAAAAATTTCATGATCATGAAGAAATCGAACATCGACCGGTGTGGCAGCGCAATCGATACGAGGTCTTGACTCGAGGCACAGCATTCAGCCAAAGTACGAGAGCGTGGCAATGACTACAATATGTTGTCTTATCCAGCCTGCTCACGTGCCTCATGAGCAGTAATTCTGAATATTCCGAGAACCAGGTCAACATCGGCCAACAGGACTCTCCGACCCAGTCGCGGTTTGTCGAGATTGGTCTGTACACGGAACGAGTCATGTCGCCGCCAGAGAACCAGCCGGCCAGCCATCAGTGGCAGCCTGACTTGGTTTGCGGCATTGATTTTGGCATGACTTGTACAGGCAAGTTCGAGTGTACAGTCAGTACGTAGAAGGATGTCTAACCATGGCCCAAGGCGTTGCGTGGGCTCTCTTCAATGAGATGACGAGTGACTGGTCTCAACTACGACAAATCAGACGATGGCCTGGTCAAAACAGCAGCCTGGAAAAAGTGCCAACCGAGCTTATCTACAACGGCAATACCGTGCAACTATGGGGCGCCGAGTGCAAAACGCTCGCCACGCAAGAGGAAAGGGTCAAGACGAAGCGCCTCTTCAAGAATGCCATGTCTGCCCGGGATGTCGGTCTGGCAGCCTACGGCCACGAAATAGAGAATGCACGGTGGTATTTCAAGGACTTTATCACTCACGTCCACTCGCATATCGAGGCTACGCTCGCCAAACAGATCAATGACTTTAAGAAGCTGAGCATTGAGTATGTTTTCAGTGTACCGACAACGTGGAACCGTGACGCGGAAACCTTGAACGAGGTCAAGCAAATGATCCGAGAGGTTGTGGGAAAAACCCAGTATAGAAGAGCGGTGATTGGTATGAGTGAAGCGGCTGCCTCCGCAGTCGAGACTGGACAAGACCGATTCAAGGTGCGTCCGGATGCCTTCAGGATCGAAATACTGACTATGGAAACAGAAAGGTGACGTCGTCTTGGTTTGCGATACTGGTGGAGGGACAGCTGTAACCGAAGGCTGATACGTCTTAACGACCAATGCTGATGTCTATCCAGGATGTCAATATCTTCATGTTTGTTTCATCCGAGAAAGAAGCGGCTCGTGTCAAACCATTGACGTATGATGAAGGTATACGTTCTTTGCCTCTCCTAGTCGTCCTCTTGTTAACATGGTTTCAAGGCGCTCCGGCCGGAGCCGCAAGCATCGATCAAGCTGCTCTCGATTATATGATATCGCGAATGAGGAATATCAACCTTTTGGACAAGGACAGCGCCATATGGGCTCTGGAGGCAGTCCAAGCAGGCTTTGCAGCCATCAAGCATGATTACGGCAGATCGAAGCCGAAAGGAGGGTATTTCCTCTTGCCGGTGCCAGGTTTGGCCGGGCTTCAACCACCTTCAGAGGACTTCGAATTGGCAGGCAAAGGCTCTCAGGAGGTGTTGTTCAAAATCCATCCGTAAGCTATTCCCGAAGTGCTTCTTCTTCGGTACCCTTTGTGGACTACCAAATGGACAGGAAGCTCCTGGAAGAATGGTTCAACAATGCAGTGAACGACATACTGGCAATCATCGACAGCCAACTCGAAGCACTGGCTCGCGAGCACAAGGGCGAGAAGATCGTTGAGCATCCCCGTGGTCATGATCTGCGTTGATCGTACTAATCATCTCAACCCAGGACCGTGTCGTGTTGTCTGGTGGCTTCGCTTGGAACAACTACTATCAAGATCGGATGAAGACGTATTTCAACAACAAGAAGCGAGAGAAACACAAGTCAATCTCAATCGACCTGGAAATTCTCTGCGCACCCGAGCCGTAAGTCTAGCTACCCAGCAACAAGAGAGTAATGATTGAGGCTGACAACTAGTATAGGGAATTATCCGTCGTCCAAGGACTCGTGCACAACAGAGTGAGGGAGCTCAGGGGCTTGGGCCCTGTATTCGAGTCTGTGTGCTGTCCGGCCAGCTATGGAGTGGTGTTTGCGGAACGGTACAACTCATTGAAGCACTCCCGTCAGGGAGATGTGCCCGAAATCTCTGCTCTTGATGGCAAGAAGTATATTCGGGGCCAAATTGACTGGATCATCAAGAAAGTGAGTTTTCCCCTCTCCTCTTCCCTTGAGACCGCCTTGTGCAGATTGATTGAACACATGAGATATACAGGGCGTGCCGATCCCGAGCAAAGGAATCAAGAGGGAGTACAACATTGTTCTCGACAAAACGGGCGAGCGTGGCGAAGAGCCTCGATCGTTCCAAGTTGTGTCTACCGACCATCCACGGGACCGCTTACCTCCCAATATCAGCCATAGCGCCGTCAAGCCCGTCTGCGAGATCACCATTGACTTGGCCAAGCTGAAAATAACGAGCAGGCAGCAGCATTCTTTAAGTGGTGGCATCGTGGGCTTGTCAAACAGGCTCAAGGCCCCGTTGAACAAACGAGCCAATCCTGTTGCCGCTGCCGCTGCTCCTGCTGCTACTGGACCCAAGGAGGCCAGCTTCGACCTGTTCTTGCTCATCGGCGCCGCGGACCTACGATTCGAGATCAAGCCAAGAGGAGAACCGGACATTCTGGCCAGCTCGGAGCATGATCAGATCGATGTTGTGTGGGCACAGGATGATACCGCCATTTCCAGGACATCAACAGCAGCATCGCGGACGGACGATCTCATCCTTAAAAGATCGTGAATTCTGTCGCCAATTCGACTTCTTCTGGGCTTGGTGGCTCGTTTTAAGGGCTGACGCAAGTATCGTGTGGAGGGTCCATGGACGCTCAAGCAGAATCTAGTACCGATAACTTGGCCATTTACCGCGAGGAGCGGGTGTTGAATTGAACACAGTACAGTGAGGTAGCCCTGCTCACCTTGAATCCCGTGACGTGATAGATGGCGACGTTGCACGGAATTCGATCATCAGTCTGGAGAAGATGATGGCTCCCTTGGAGCCTTCCCGAGGACCACTGAATGCTAAACTTCAGTTTCGGTGGTGGTTATACAAAAATCAGGTTTCATTACCCAGGCTAGCTGGGCGTGATCATCTTCATTTTATCTCACATACAATAACATTAAGTCGTAAGGACATGATATTCTAATCAATAGTACATCTTCCATGGGGTTCGCAAGGACGAGTACCTGCCACGATACCGCCGTTTGCAGTTTGCAACTTGCAAGCTAAAGACACAGCTCGTGTTCCGTACTCCGTCGCTGATGCTAGTACTCCGTAAGTAAACCTGGATTATCGATCGACCGAAAACAGCATCAGATCGCGGCTTCTTCCATACGTTGAAGTATTCATTCTTTGCCGCCCAGATATCCCCATAATATCATATCGACACGCCATCCCTCAGCATGGCCTACAGCTGTATCAAATCGACCTCGCTGAAATCAGGCGGGGCGCCGCTGTACACACATCGACCTTTGGAATCGAGACCTTGCCTGACGTTGCTGACCCAGATATGAGAGCTAAATCGTCCCATGCGGTGGACTTCGTCGTCGCTAACGCCGAGCTCATCACGCGGGATCCAGATCACGGGCCGTCTTGCTCGCAGTGCACTATGTTGGAAAGCGCGCTGCACTAATCGATCGCGCTCCTCGGGTGTCAGATCCTCCAATTCGTCACTGACGCCTCCAAAGAGAGCATCGGCAAGCTGATTGCGGGCGGCACGCTGCGCTTCGATGTCTTTCTCAGTGCCGGTGATGGGGTTGAAGTTGTTCAATTTATTAAATACATCTCGGGGCGGTGATACGCGGCGTTTGTGTGTTGTATGACCCTGCGCAGGAACTTCCGAGGGCGCTCTGCTACGGCCTTGCGAGGGAGTATCCTCCCACTCACCGAAATTGGACGCTCTTCGATTTCGTTCATTATCTCGGTCGGCCCATGACTTGGGGCGTTCTTTTCGTCCCAAATTTCGGACGACGAGATGCTTGGTGGTGTCTGTTGCTTTTTGAGTCACAGACTTGGCGATACGAAGACCTCTGCTGTCTTGATCCAGGTTCATGACAATTTCGGGGTTCTGATATTCAGAGGGCTCCAAATCAGGCTTGTGCGTTTCCTGCTTCTCGAGCCGCGCGTCTCTGTCTGCTTTGATGCGTTGAAGCTCGTACTCCTGTTCATTCCGATCTTCTTCCATAGACTGGCGCTCCTTACGCTCCAGCTGGTCTTCTAGGTCTTCGACTTGGTTGTCAGCTTCCAGGAGCCCCTGCTTGTTCTGCATTGCTCTGGCGAATTCCTCGTCTCGTCGAACAGCATCATCCTCGAGCGTGATGGGAAGATATCGGAATAAGGGGCTGAAGGCCTCATTTAACAAGAGTTGATAGCCAGCAGTGAGGATCAAGATAATGATCATGCCGATGGCTTGTCCGCTGCAAGCAACGCTCCCGGCTGAATCTCTGACAAGGAAAAACATGCCGATGAGAGCGATTTCCATCACATACAACCCCACAAAGGTGGTATTGATGGCGTTCGGATACAACAAGCCGCCAGTGTCGCGGGTAAATCTGGTGACATAGAGCGTGTTGTAGCGGTATACAAACCAGAACAATGAGAAGGTAATGACATTGAAGATCAGGATCAATGGCGAGATAACGGAATAGATCAAGCCAATGCAAGCCAAGTTGGTGTACACAGGGAAAAACGTCCCCCATCTGACATTGGACAATTCGGTTTGTCGCTTGAACTTGGCTCGTGCCGTGCTGTCAAACAGAGGAGCCAGGATGAACCACCCAATAAGTGATCCGACCTGCACCAGGGCTCCCGCACTCACAGAGAGTGCCTGGAGTAGCATGTAGGAGAAGAAGTAGTTGCTCGCTTTGGGGATATTAGTGCCCAATAAGGCAGGGATGTTTGTGAACCCATCCACACTGGTAAAAAGGGCGAAGAATTGCGTGAGTGCAGACGCGATTGAGACCACCAAGAACAGTTGGACGAAGAGGAAGGCAAAGTAGTAGCGTTGGACCGAGATTTCCACGAGCATACCGGACTGGATTCCCTGAACTTTGCACAGGAATCGTAGGATGAGAGGAAGCAGGAAGGTCAACAAACCCAAAAGGGCTGGCGGCAAGACACCCTGAATGACACTTCTGAACCAAGCCGGAATGCTTAATACCCAATGAAGCCAAGTCCATGTCTTTGCCGCCGTATCCAGCTGAGATAGAGCTGACGTAAAGGCAACAGGAACGGCCCAAAGGATGATCATGCCGGTGACGATAGCGACGACACCACCAGTCCGAACGTAGCGTTGCCACCAGGGCATCGACATATTGTCCCAAATGACATCGTTCGGATCAATTTCGACCATACGGGGCGCCATGTGCTTTGGGACGTGATGGCTGACAGCTTGACAAGCCATGTGCGCCGCGACCTGATGATTGAATTGAATGAAGGCCGAATTCATGAGTGGAAACCGTTCTGGGTGAGCCTGATCGTCCTCGATCTCGACATTGAGTCTCGCCACCTCCTTTCGGCAGTAGCGAATGGTGTCGACCTTTTCGCCCATCAATGGGAGTGAAGGCATCCATTGCCATCCAAAAATGGGCAGCCTCATGGTCTCACGATCCTTTTCTGTCAAATATCGCCGCCAAACAGCATCATCAGGGTCCTGCTCAAAGTTCCATTCAAACGCAGGCGGATAGTCGACAGGGTCCTTCTCCTCCGATCCAAGACCAATGGCCTTTTTGAATTTCTCGAACTTGGTTAGCGGCTTCTCCGGCCGGGTCTTCTCATCTCTCATTGTACTAGACTGAGAGATGGGGCTAGACGGTCGATCATATCTCCCGAGTTTCTCCTTTGAACGTCCACGATCGCCATCTGCTGGTTGCGCCCCTGCCGTAGCATCGTGAGCGCGATGCTTTTTCTCTTGATGGAAGGCATTTCTGTGAGTGCCAGAGCCGGAATTATCGTGTTGGCGTGATGGTTCATCGTCGTCAGAAGAAGATGCTTGCTTTGGCTCCGAAGCCACAAACCCATTCGTTGTATCAATGGTATCATTCACTCCTTTATTGACGCCGCGGATGCCACCCAGAAGCCGGTTGCCAATGGTGTCCAACCCGTGGGTGACTGCTGATATACCCTCACCGATGACAGGGATCGGGATAGCGCGACGTGTATGTCGGGGTTCCTCGACTACGTCCTCTTCTCCGTCAGATGGCGACATGGAACGGTCGCTAGGTCCGTCGAGGACATCACGAAGACGATGGTTGACTTGGTGGGGATTGCCGGTCGTGATTCCATGGCCATGAGCTGCTTGATCGCCCTCTTCATTTCTAATGGTTGCTCGAAGTTCCTTTTCCTGCTTGGAGAGCTTTTTGCCGGCTTCTTTGTCGGCTTTCTTGATATTTTCCTCGTTCTTCTTGAAACATTTCTTGATGAGTTCCGTCTCAGCAGCTTCGAGGGTGGCGGCAAGCTTGTCACGTCGCTTGATCTTTTCGCTCAGTTCGTCGAAATTTCTGTTAATCCAGATATTCCTCAGACCACCCGGGAAAACGTCGTACAGACCATCCAGGGCCTCCACGTTGCACCATTTTTGAGGGATTGCACTCACTAGCACGGTCGTGGCTGACGCCCGCAATCGATGCTGGGGCGATGTCAAGTAGGCTTGCCGCATACGTATGTAGTTTCGTAGTTCATCGTACGCAACGTAACAGACCCAGACAATCAAACCCAAGGCCAGTAGCCAGTGAGCCCAATATCGTCCAGTATGGTCCGGAGCAACATTGCCCCAAGCAAGCTGATCCAGTCCAGTAACATTTGTTGAATTCTCGTGTCGTCCTGTAGCGTAGCGTCCACCTCGACCGTCTACCACATTCAGGGGTATCAAGATGGGTAAAATAACCATCGCAGCCGGGACGAAGATCTTCAGGAGGGTGCGTAGGTACCGCAGGAAGAAGTATGCATCAAGACCACATTTCTGCACGAATTCGGAATTGGAGGTGACGAAGACTGGCTTGATCCATTTCCACCAACCAGGATCTGTTGGTTTCGTCCGTTCTCTTTCTGGTACCAGATATGTTCTCGGTTGGTAGATTCGAGCAAATCGATCTTTGATGAGGAGGAAAAGAGCCACTTGGATGCCGAAGATGGCTATGGAGGTAACTAGGGAGGCAGCAAATTGACTGGCGGTTTGTCCACTCTTGGACTCGCTCGCGGTCGTGCTCCCGCCCAGGTCGAGGGTAGAATTAAGGGACATGTTGAATTAGTTGGGCCGAGAAAGGATGTCGTTAACTTTCTGTGTGTAGGGAGTCCTGTAGAAGCATGACGGACACTGCAGTGTGCTTGTGTTTGGTGATGGTAGGCCCGATCGCGTTTGTGGCGGAGGCCTGCGTCGATAGCCAACACTTTCAAGAACGCAGACAAAGCAGAGGATGAAAAGACGTTGTTACAGTCTTGTAAAGGAGGTGATTGTTGAGACGAGAGGGACAAAAGAATGCAAGACAGAGAACAAAGATAGGGAAACTTGGACAAACGGTGGAGCGAAGCCAACCAAGGATTTTGATCAGATTGTCGAGAAACAGAGGCAGATTATCGACAATCGCAGACGCCATCACACATCCAAATGACGTCGAAGGCTCGCTAGGCATGAAATTAGCTGCAGTCCGGGTGTCTTGTTGGCCAATCGTCCTTGACGCGCCCAGGCCATCCCAGGCATCGCGTATCGTTTAGTGGCCCCATGTGCCCCCCATCATGCCCCTAACCTCTCCCAAGTTTAGGGGCATCATGGGTTTCGTATCATGGCCTGTGCCGTTGACGAGCCGCGCGGGTGGCATTCCTTGACCTTGACCTTGACCGCGTCTTGGTTCACAATAATCGTCCAGCTTCCAACATCTTCTGAAGCACTACGCGTCCTATCTTGAGCACATGTGGCGCAGTCAACCGCCAGAGGTCTCGCCTACCAACCGTTGCAGAATGGATATCTTGGCCATTGTACTACAGTAGCAACTACGATGCAATGAGAAATGTGCGGTACAGCTGGAGAGAGGTGGCCATATCTGCCATGTGAAACTCTTCCCGGCTGTCCAATCTCTTTGATGTTTCTCCACTGACCAGGCACGCCAGGGGATGACCTTGATGGATATGGCTGGTCCGTTCAACCGAGGCAAAAAAACCTCCGCAAGGCTGAGAATACGAGACGTGGGGTATCTGCTGACATGCTCTTCTCCTTGGACAATAATCATTAAAGCCATTGAGCATATTCGCATGCTTTGTGCTTTGTATGCCTTTCCTGCGTACCAGCTTAGTTGGTCCTCAGAACAAAGATGAAGTCGTCGTCGCCCAGAGATTCCGTTGTCGTCTCATCCACCCCCTCAGGCATCACAACCATCACCATCTCTCGCCCTCATCGGCGCAATGCTGTAAATCCTTCAACTGCCCGAGATCTGTACTCTGCGTTCCTTGATTTCGAGAATGACAGCTCACAAAAAGTTGCGGTTCTGACCGGCTCGGACGGATATTTCTGCGCTGGAGCCGACCTTGTCGACCTCACCACTCAGCAACAGCAGGACCCAGCGACTATAGATCCTCTTGACAGAGATCACCTCCAGCCGGTCAAGGATCGCAATTGCGGACCGATGGGACCTTCGCGTTTGCAAGTCCAAAAACCCGTCATTGCTGCTGTTGCCGGCCATGCGGTGGCCGGCGGGCTGGAGCTCAGTCTTGTGGCAGACATGCGCGTTGTCGAGGAGGATGCCGTCTTCGGGGTGTACTGTCGGCGCTGGGGTGTACCACTGATTGATGGAGGCACCGTCAGACTTCAGGCAATCGTCGGGTTGGGTCGTGCATTGGACATGATCCTAACCGGACGGCCTGTGACAGCCCAAGAAGCCCTGTCCATGGGTCTGGCCAACAGGGTGGTACCGAAAGGCAAAGCTCTGGAGGAAGCCACCAAACTGGCCGAGGAGCTTCTGAAGTTCCCGAATGCATGCATGAATGTGGACAGGAGTTCAGCTTACTATGCAGCTTACAATGCTTCCAGCTTCGAGGACGCTTTGAGGAATGAATTCAATCAGGGCATCAAAGTCCTCCAGACTGAGAGTTTCCGAGGCGCAGCCAGGTTTGCTGGAGGGCAGGGGAGACATGGACGTTTTGACAAATTATAACGGCACTAAAATTCTACTCTGGTACATTGTGTATTTACGCATCTGATCTTCCTTCCAGGCAACCAGTTTGGCTTTATTTCGCCCTCACCTCACTTGAGCTTCTCACTCTACGTCCAGCGACGCGCTTGCAGTGAATGATCCTCGTGGCTTGCCGGAGTCGCTCCCTGTACCTCCCTTGTAAACATTGCGCGATCTGTTGTCAACATCTCGCTCTATCCTCTTTGTTCTTCCCACCTACTCCCCGCTCGTCGTCCTGGATTCTTTCATCGCGACAATCATTCAAGCCTGCGCAGGAGAGGCACCTTCGCGTGGTGCAGGGCGTGAGTAGCTGGCTCCGGCTGGTGAAACCAAGACCTCTCCGACTGCTGGAAGAACTGATGCGCTCGGTGATTCCAACATGCAGTTTGCCCTACGGGGTTATCTTACATACTTTTCACTTTCTGTCCAGGCCAAAAGAAATTCGCTGGTCCTCACTTCGGCAATGTACTTGCTCTGTTGTGGGATACATGGATTGCCCATTCTCAACGGTGAGTCTGCTCCTTTCCCCTCTTACTTTGCGCATTGTCGTACTGACTTTGAGCTGTGGTAGGCACCAGGAAGTGATGGCATGACAACGAGTCATTCACAAATATGACGGGGACCATACCATAGCTGACTCCGAAAACCCTCGATACCAGGCTCAGCAAGCACCTAGGGCAACCTAGGTTGCTTTTATTTCAAAAGGACATACCACCACTGTTTGGAGGAGCGTGCATCCCCGCGCTCTACTTTGACAATTTTACAGACTGCACCCCAATGTCTGGGCTGGGTTCCTCCCAGGCCGCTCCAAATAGGAAAACCACAACAAAAGATCGCTTTGTCCTTTGGACAGGCATCTGAACTGTAAGTCAATACTTTGGAGACCACCTTGGCAATTCACGAAGACATCTACTTACTGGTGTCACATTCAGGCGCAGTCGAAAACTTCCCTCTGCGTCGCCAAATTTCCAGGTGCCTCTGCAGTAATCCAGCTTTCGAGTTGTCTACCGAATAACAACAGTCTCGAAGTGCCTGCACAAGTACCTTGATCCGTCCCCTACAGGGTAGGCTTCCGAACATCATTGGTGGAACTCACACCAGAAACTCGTCGGGAAGAAGGTCAAGAAGACAGCACCGATTTCGACAAAAAACACAAATCGAGTGCTGAGGAGACCCATGCGTTCTCGTCGTGAGAGAGGATCAGAAAGGACAGGATCATGTCCATCGACAGAATCACTGAAGATCCAGCTCCACATGGCGGGAATCGCAAGGAAGATGACCTTACTGTCTGGAACAGACATGGTCATGGACTGGCCGTCCTGCGGCTATGTCTAATACTTTCGTCAGATATGACGCGCTGGTGCGTGTACTGCATGCACCTGCACAAGAACAAAATGCCCTTGGGTGTGCCTCCTGCCTTTTTGGTGTCCGGCTGCTGTCGGACACTTTGACGGAGGTGCCATGTAAGCCAAAAAAAGGTCGGGGTACATCTGGCAGCGGATGTACATGGGGGTATTGATTTTTGGACTTGACTGCGGCTTTCTTTATTCGACTCTTGTCAAAATCTCGAGCTGCGGAAATTGGCAGGGTGGTGGAAGAAGGTCAAACCAAACAAAATGGACCCACGAAGGATATCCAGTACCAGAACAAATGAGTCCAGTCAATACGCATATCACCAAATTCAAAACAAATCATCATGCAAACCTCTTCTTCTCCATAACATACAGTGCTTGCCTCATCGAGCTGCTTTACCTCTCTGTTTTGTCGTTCTCAGTCAGCCGCGCTTGATGCATCTCTCTCTGAGTCTGTAGAGCCTCATAACACGAATTTAGCCTGACAACAAAGCAGGCCACGCAGCCTTAACGCACACCCCATGTGAAGTAGGGGACCGCTCACCGCTTGTTTGACTGCAGCACATCCTGGCCATCCTGGCCAGGCGTCTATCCATGCCACCATTCTCAAAGAAGGAATTGCCGTAGTATCCACTTTGGTTGCCTTCCTGAGGCCATGCAGACTAACTTTGATGCAGCTGCTCCAATCGAAGGTTAATCCAACCACACGACCATGTCAAGTCGCATCCATCATGATTCTTGAGGTCCTCGAGGCGGTTTCAGTATTTCGCAAGACTTCACTGTCAGGAAGGAATGTTGCGAGACATCAAAACATCGAAAATTGATGCTCCAAACGAAGCCTTACGTCATTTTGGTCGAAATGATGAATGAAATGATGCTGCCCCTGCAAAAGACACGAGATCATCGGCTGAGGCGGCCACTCATGATTCCTCCATCACCCTCCTAAAACATCAAACAACAAAAGTGAGTGTTTGGGCATCCGACTTCTCTATTCATCCTATAACATCACCTAGCGACCCTACTTGACCTGGGGTTGACCTTTGCTTCTGTTATCGACCCTTGACCACCCTCAATCAAGCCCGGCGCATTTCGCCTTGCAAGGCGCGGACCAGGTCCACCCTTCACCACAGTCGACAGTCCATGCAATATGGCTCCGCGAACAGCACTTCTAGTGATAGACATGCAGGTCTTCTTTGAGTCGATGACAACAACCGCCCTGCCCAATATCATCACCCTCTGCAGGCATTTTTCCAAGACCTCGGCGCCGATCGTGTTCACCCAACACGGTCACACCAAGGCCGAACTTACCACCAATCCCTCGCCGAACCAGCTTGTCCGCAAATGGGGCGTGTCGGGCTCCATAGCAGCGGGCTCAAGTGACTGGGAGCTTATCGACGATCTGCGGCAGTTCATACCCAAATTCCCGCCACGGCCGGTGAACGTAGGCGAGTCGTTTCCTCCAGCCGAGGAGCAGAAGTTCCCTAAATTGATGGCTAAGAACACGTACGATGGATTCATTAATACCAACTTAACCAGGATCCTGGAGGCCTCCAAGATCGAGCGTGTGATTGTTTGCGGCGTCATGACAGATTGTTGTTGCGATACAACTGCGAGAAGTGCATTCAACCGTGGGTACGAGACATGGCTTGTCAGTGATGCTTGCGGCAGTGCGAATAAGAAGCAACATGATGCTGGTCTGCGAGGTTTTGGCTTTGCCTTTGGTGAGGTGTTGACCACGAGTGAGGCAATGGAGCGATTACAAGGTTAGTTTTGGGGAATTGGAGCTTTGGATGTTTAGCGGCGGTACATTTGTCATGGCCGATATATTCCTAGACCCACTCAGGGGTACGCAAGGCACCCAAGGATGGCTTCTCGGATACTGTCTTCGGTAGTTGAGGTTGGACCAGCAAAGCTGACGGTTGTGTCTTCAATGCAACGTACCACGGCATGCAGTCCGAACGAGAATTATCTGAATGTGAACTGCGACTTGTCTCTACTCGTACGAAAACACATCAAAATAACGATCAAATATTCCAGGTCCAGTGCTCTCCTTCTCAGATCTCGTTCCCCTAACCGCGATATTAACTCGTCTGTGGGACACGGTCTCGAACAAGGCCGGAGGACTCGGAAGATCCGTCCTCAACATGAAGAGAGGAGTTTATTATTGAACATCAGACAGATGTACCGTAAGAAAGAACAACAGGTACACATGCAAGTACCGACCGAAAGCCTCTAAGAGCACAACGGCGATACCCTTTGCTGAAAAGTTCCAAGGAGACAAGATAGGAGACAAGTAGTGAGTGAATACCATGTTGAAGTTGTTCAGAAGATATGACTTGATAATGTCAATCATACCCTCACCCATCCAGAACCTTGAGCCCTGTCATCAACTCACACCAAGCTTGTGCCCTCCAGCGACTCCCGAAAGCCTCCCAGTTCAACAGACTGATGCGTTCGAGTTACCTCCTACAAAGACCACAAGCACCGCAGCGAATGCGGCTGAAGCAGTGAAGCATTCCACTCTCTTGGGTTTCCCTATGAGGGTTAGAATGGTGGAAAAGAGAAGTGTACATCCAATAATGGCACACATCCTAGCAAGAGGGTTGCTGAGAAACCAAATAGCAAGTGCAGAGATGGTGGGCAAGACCGAGGCAAGAATCGTGCTCAGTGTATCAATGACAGCAGTTATGCGAGCGTCGGAATAGTACACGTGCTTATACTTCCCGTGGCTCCCCCATGCTTCAACAACGGATATAGGATCGTGGTATCTGTGTCCCAAAAATCTGTGGTATACCGATCTCACCATCTTGTCAATGAACTTGGAGAGGGCATCTTTGTCTGCATGTTGACCTGCCAACGACGTCATATCATGCAGATGCTCTTCGTCCCAAGTATCTAACTCGCGTTTGAGGAGGAAAGGCTCGTGGCTGCCGTCTTTGCTTTTCGAGGAGGTCTTGAAGAGCTTCAAAATCAGGCTTGTTCACAGGAGCAAGTCGACAGAGAGCAGCAAATTGAAGAAGAGCTTCGTCTAGTTCAAAGGAAACAAGAGGTTAGCAAGATAACCCAAGGCATTAAGGCTGGGAAAGAGCAGACTGTATTGCTTGAGCAGGCCGCGTAGCTCCAGGGTCTGACGCCATTGCAATGCATCGCCAGGATTGGCATGAGGCCCCTTCATGGCTGAAATGTTGTATTCGAATTGACTCCTTGGGCTGTCTTTGGCGCTCCGGTCATCTTTGATCGTGCCTCGAAGTCCATGATCGAGGTTTACAATTTCCGCTTGCATGCACAAAAGGTTTCTGGCGTTCAGAATCAAGAACCTTCTGAAGATACAGAGCCCATCATATGTTCCCATCCATCCTGCAATTGCGTTGTAGCCTTGCATTTTTACGAACCAAGCACGGTAGACGACCGTAACAGAGCGCCTCAGGCATGAGCTGGAAGAAGCAGCGGAGGGGGTGATGGAGGGTGGGCAGTTGCAGTGAAAGAGGACTCATGGTCGCCTGCACCTATGAGCTCATCACAGATGTTGGCATCTGATATGCTCACGTCGTCCGAATGCTAGCAAGCAGCATCCAAACACAGGTGCAGGCATGCAGCTAATTGATGCAGCTTAGGTATACCAGGAGGTTCTCCTTAGCGACCCTACATGATGAACATGTTCGCAGAGCCGAAGCCAGCGGTCATACAAATAATAGTGGCTCAGAAGCGATGGGACACTGAAAGCGCCTGTCACCCAATAGAGGAGATAACTTACCAATGGCACGCGTGAAGAACCCGGACACCTGCAGCCACTCCCGGTGACATGACCGGGTCTGATGCAAGTTCGGTCAGAAGATTCGAATCAGCTCAGCCTTAGAAAAAGAAGCATAAAAGGAAGGTGCCCTCGCACAAAATGAGCCGGCAGCTGCAGTCTGCTTCTTCTTTTTTCTCACCTTGACGCTCATATTCATCCGTTCCTGTCGGTTCCTCGTGGATCGGAGAATTCTCCACTTCTGGTTGAGCGTGGAGTAAAGCCGACGACCGCCTTGAAGCTAAGTACAGCCAACGTAACGTACTCTTCCAGGTCAGCGCGCAGGAGGAATGCTTCGATCGGGCCCATGGCACAATTCATACATACATCAACAGCTGAATTTTCTCAATGTCGACCCAAATTCAACTGCTACCTGACCATCTTGCAGAGCTGTGGACAGAAGGGGCCGCATGGCAGACTCCAAGCCCTCCTTGACTTGGTAAGTGGTACAGGGTTGAGTGTGTGTATCAGGGTCAGGATGCCGAGGAGGCCCCGGAACCTACTCCAAACGACCACAAACCAAAGGGCCACTTAGGTCAGCGCACCATCCATCAAGAAAAGCAAATTCTCGACTGTTGAAAGGACAACTACTTCAAACTTACCTTTATTCGATGGCTGAATTACCAACATACAGCTCGTCACCGTTGAATGCGCCGTCAAAGGTGACAAGAATATACAGCAAGGCAGCGCTATCTCCAAGTCGCATTGCCTGCCTCGGCACAACAATGTCCAGAAGTTGTAGCTGTAGGTTCCTGTTGGGGGCGTGTTTCAGCTTCACGCGCCCCGCCGACCCAGCTCTGGCTCGCAATCTCTCAGGAGCAAAGCACGCTATTACTTAGTGTTGCTCACTAGGCATTTTGTTTGGATTGTTTTTCAAGCTTGCGCGGATTCTCGGTTCCGTCCGCGTGGTATCACGTCTCATGCATCCGGCCGAAGCAAGGATTGCGGTGCCATTGCCAGGTACAAGTTTTTTGGTGTCGAACATCTCACCAGCTTCACGCATCACGTTCTCGACGCTGCCTAGTGGAGGCGAGTGTTCTATCTTCCATTGCCAGCGACGAAATCCAAGTTGGACTGGGAAGCTATCGTGAGCGCCGGATCTCCAGCCCTTGAAGATATCTGCAGTGCGATTTTTGGGCCTCGAAGACCGGGCAAGGGTGATGCCACGGCTGCCTCGCCCAGAGTCACCCACATCGCGTCCTGTTGCAGCGACCCTGGAGTTTGATTTTCTGCGCCGTCTGACGGTGCTCTGTCGGTGCAGTATTCTCGCAAAATTCAAGGAGTCAGACTCCTCTTGAGCCTCGAAAAGCTAATGCTCATCCCGCTACTCGTGCCGACGCGACTGCATGTGGCGGTCAGCCATCATTTCACGCCCCGAAGCTCGATGAGATGCCTGCCCTTTCCCGCGGCTTCCTCCTCGTATTCCGCAGTCCGGCAGCCCCTTTTCCCCCAACGCGTTCGAGAGTGAGTCGCAGGCCAGAACTCGTTGCTGCTGTGCAGTTGTAACAATAGCTCTTGCGCTCTGTCTCTATGCCACTGATTCCATTGCTACAATGTTTCACCGGTCGCTGAGCTTAGTCGTCTCTTCTTTCGGCTTGTCTGCGTTGACTCCATACCGCATACACCTTGAAATGAACCTGAACATCAACGTTAGCTCGACCGAGCTCTCCTCCCAGCCATTCAGAAACGAGCCAGTCCTTCCAAAGCATGCAACCATTGACGTTACAACGTCAACGCAGGAGAATGGGTGTCAAGATGACGGTTCAGATCGACAAACCGTTCTACAAAATTGTGGCAGTACGTTGATAAGAGCATGCATGAAGGGAAGAGGAAAATGACATTTGCAGATCTGCTGAGTCGAGCTCGTTCTGCTATAAAGCTGCTCGTCGGGTTGCACCAGTATAAAGGGGCTGCTTGGCGTCTACAAGGCTACGGCAGCCGTTTGCACAACTACCTCGTGCACAAAGGACGTCAGGACGCGTCTAATGGAACCGCTTGTGACACATGCAGGGGTGTCGACATTAAGAATGCCTCAACGCAAACTGATTCTACCAATGAAAACATCATCGCACCCTGTCTACACACCACTTTAGCTAGTAGTGCTCCTCTGACGGAGAGATCCATGCTCTTGCATCATGGTGCCCAACTAGAGGACCACGAAGGCATTGGCTCTTGCGAAGGTGTGGTGCCTGTCTGCACTTTCAGGTGTCTGTCAGACAACGAACTGAAGCTGCAGAAGGTGGAGGACTTCAGGGGCATATGCATTCAGCTCAATGGGCCTAATGGTCAAGAGAGAGACCTGAGAGCGGCTCAGGACACCTGTGCCGAACGCAATCTCATCACAAACAAGCTGGCAGGCGAACTTGGTCTGCCCATCGTGCCAGACCGGGAGAGACTTGTCTTCAAGACCATCGAGAAAGGGGAGGTGGGAGCCCAGGGCATTGTATCGATACCCATCAAGACTTTTTGCTGCGGTATGGACCTTAAGGTCAAATTCTACGTGCTAGAAGAACTTGCTGGTCATCAGATGATACTGGGGATCGACCTTATCTTGGAGCTGGGTCATCTAGAGAAGAAGCCCTGCAGACAGGACCCCGGCGCGGCAAACTGACCGGTGAAGAAGAAGGGGCGTCTATGGCCTGGTCCATGGACACCCTATCGAAGGCCTCTTCAAGTAGCCGTGTGACGTGGCGACGAAGCTCTTCCTGGCTTCGGATGCCTTCTTGTCCTACCCATCCCTGCGCATCAGCATCAAGATCAATAGATTTTCATTCGAGCAATTCCTCACCGTAGCTTCCCAGATGACCGCAACCGCCAACGTAGAGGCTCTGCTCGTCGAAGCTGCACAAATCACGACGGACTTCTTTTATGGCCAGGATTGTTGGTGCCTCGTCTGCACATACTGTTCGTTCAGACGACCACCATCAGCCGTGCACGTGCGTTCGTGCGCCCAACAGCCGTACTGGGCGCGTCGCGATTGCTGTTCTTCTTGCCTGGACATTTTCACAGACGTCGGAATGATAGGCCTTCTGCTCACTGATCCTCGTCGGTATGCCTGCAAGATGGGCTGTACTGAGTCTGCCTTACCTGGCGATGAGGCTCATAGGGAGGGCTTTATGCGACCTTCGAACGAGCTGATGTTAGATATACGAATGCCAGGCAGTCCCTCCGGAGCCTGACTCCCCCAGAGTAGTTCTGCTTCTCGTAAGCGTGTCGTGTGAGCTAGAGCCAAAACCGTTGAACGGAAAGCTTCTAGGTACCAAATGGAGCAGCAACAGCAGCAGGTCATGGAGATTCAGCAGGTCGATATCTTCTCACGGCGAGCGGGAAGGTATACTCTACGCAGGCTGTCATAGACACCAGCAAGCCTTGTCGCATCATTACGAAGAGTGAACTGGAAGCCTCCGGCGAGTTCGGCAACATGATTCTAGCAGCAGACGATGATCCGCATGCTCACGCACATGTTGGCTATCTGGGCAAGGTGAAACTGTCAGTCCAATCGACTTTTCACCGTATCAACGACAGGGAGTGGTATTGTGTCGTCGAAGATGACAGCCTGCCTCCCTTGACCCTGAACAAATCAATGCAGCCCAAAAAGAGTACAGAACCAGAGTCTGAAGCCTTACCGATTGGCATGCAGGTGTCGAAAAGTTCGCGCCCCCCTAGAATCGCTCGTCTTAGCTTTCGTTAACAGTATTCCAGAGAAGAAGCGCGAGAAAGCCGAAGCCCGCAAAAGGGCTAAAGAAAGGGATAGGAAGGAGACGGAATTGGAGGAAGAAGACGAGAACCAAAAAAGAAAGGAGGCGAGAGAAGAGCTCAAGAGAGAAGCGCAAGGGACTTCCCAGCGAAGTGCAGGCCAGAAGTGACTGCGATGACGGAGAGACATGGCCACGAGGCTGAACCTGAACAAGGAGGTCATGTAGGATACACCTGGAGGCATCTTGACCTCTTAGTCTTTCTTTAAAACGGAATTTAATATCACCCATCTGCATTGAAGCTCGGAAATAATGAGGAAAGTAGTGAAAAAGCCAAAGCAAGGCGGTGAAGCAAGGAAAAGCAGATACAGTAATAACCGACCTCCACTTCGCGGAATTAAGTAAGACCGTTCAGGGTCCGGAATACCATCGAGCGGGAGCGTATCCTCGGAACGGTCAACGAACCTTCAGAGTGAAAAGCAATCAGGGAAGATATCGCGACAAAGTCTCCTGTCAAGTATAGTGTAGCTTCAAAGTGCGTCGTGCCGTCGTACCAAACTTTTGGGGGGCATCCAGAGAAAGCTAGTTAGGCTGCTCAGGGGTTCCAGCCTCGCTTGCTTGGGTTGGAGTCAAATATTCCCCCGTGCGACTTGGAACCACCCACCTAAGAGCCCATGATAGGCTATATAGTTAGTGGTCCCCCTGGACCCTTAGGTCAATCAACAGACATCTCTTGAACCTTCTTTGACAGGTAAGGATTACGCATTAACCCTATTGATGGCGCACGGAATGGGTGAGGGCACCCACCCGCCCCGGCTACCGTGCCGATATAGAAACACATATTGAAAGAAAAAAAAAATCACGGTGAGGCGGATGAAGCAAACAGATGAATATCTAGCACGCAATACCCATTTGGTCACTGGCATATATGGACGAGTTCGTCGATAGAATGCTTCTGCAATGGAGAAGTCGGGGCGTTGGCAGGGCGAGACATCTTGAACTCGCCTGGAGGACAACAACAAAAACACAACAGAGGAATACCTGAGAAAGGATAAATCAAGAACCGGGCAAGACTTTACGGTACGAGTGATCTGTCAAAGCCATTCCCACGCTTTGAATCCCCTGAGGTCGTTGCTTCTCTTGAGCCCCCCTTCTCGAAATACAGTTCTCGAATCCCGCCCAACGCCGTCGGTCGCTGAAAGCAGTCACTGGCTAATAGAGGATGCATTTGCAGCTCTCAGTATTTCACTCTTTCCTCGTGCCGGCTTCCAAGATCGAGCGTGGAATCATTTGCGCCATTTATGACGGACTGTTGCTATGATACAAACAGCGCGAAGTGTCGTTCAATCGTGGATACGAGACATGGCTTGTCCGGGATGGCGTGCGGCAGTGCGAATAAGAAACAGCATGATGGTTTCGCGCTTGGGAGGTCCTTACGAACTCTGAAGTGATTCGAGAATTGGACGGTTGATAGGTTTTCTGAGTGGCGGTGGCAAAGGTGATAGGGGACTGCTCCTTGCATGTTGGGTACGCTGGGCTGGACGATCACAAGGGTCAGCTCTCCCTTACGTCGCAGCCTTGGGTTACACACAGAAGCGAGCTGTCTCAGTGTGGTTCCTCAAAGCTCAAGTGGACTTAAAACCACGTTTGTCACGGTCTTCTCCGCAATTCCGCTCTGCTGATAAATGTCATCTTCGCCAGATGATGCCAGGTATTCTATATCCAAATCAGTGGACTTCTTGACTGCACGTTCGGCCATGCTATTGCAGCTGAGAGACGAATACTACAATATGCCACGTTCCCTACATCTGAAGGTACTCTGAACCTGCTACTCCAGAACGTGCTGAAAATTGGTGGATAAGGGGCCAAGGCCTCCATACTGGCCAATAAACAACTGGTAGTGTTCAAACAAGTTCTCATCTAATATAACTTCCAGAGTTTGTGTCTCGCATGTTGGAAGCATCATAATACTCGTCTCCCTCACTGGAGCTCTCTTTGGCTGAACGAGCCGGTACGGAAGTCCCGGCAGTACTTTCTCGCTCGTCCATGAGCCGCGCTGGAGAACCCTCATCTGCCACAGTCACCCACCCGTAAACCAGCGAGCATTTTGCACACATCAAAACTCACAGTCCGTGTTGTTACTAACAAAAACAATCAAAACGGCTGTAAATGCCGCCGTTGCAGCGAATGCGTCGATCCTTCGAGGTACTCCGAGGAGGGCGAGAGTGAGGCTGAATAAGAAGCTGAATAAGAACACAAGCCCCATGCGAACAGTATTATTGCTCAGCAAGAACAGGCCCAGAGCAGAGACAGTCGGGAGAAGAGGAGCAAGAATCGTGCTCACGATGTCGACGACTCTCACAAAGTATCGATCCGGATAGTCAGTAAGAGGAGATGTGTACTGCGGTTGCCAGTCTCCTTTGAAACGCAGACGCCCATGCAAGTCTTGTCCAATGAGCCTGTGGTAGACATTGCCCACCAACGTGTATAGCCATTTGGAAAGTACATCTCTGTTCTTGTTGTGATCATTGAGGCTTGTCAGATCACCTTCATTCTTTTCGTCCCAAGTCCGATATTCAGTGCCCTCCAGGAATGACACTTCGCGCTCCGGACCCTTGAACAGCAGCCTCCGTAGACTAGCCAGGTTGGATGGATTCGCAGGAGGGAGCTGGCAAAGCTTCTGAAATTGGAACATTGCCTCGCCTGTCAATGTCAAAGGTGGGTCAGCAGATATTTCACGGACTTAAGGGTGCAATGAAGAGTTCTACGTGCTGTATTCTTTGAGTAGCGGACGGAGCTCATGCCATATCTCTTTTTGACCCTTTGCCGCTTCATCTGGCGGGCTTGGAGCGGTCAACATTGCATGGTTGTCGAACGCGAAGCTTCTCCTTAGTTCATCAGTAGATTCCCGATCTTTTTTGATTGCCTCAATGAGGTCTCTTTGCTTGTGAACGATCTGTGACTCGTATAACAATATATTCTTGCTGTGCAATGGTAAGAAACGACGAAAAATCGCAAGGTCGTTGGCCTGAGCCATGTGGGAAGCTAGATCATCATATCCCTGCATATTCGAAGCTTGACGTAGGAAAGGCGTCGAGGTGAGGGCATCAGGAAGCAAAGGTGTCGAGGTCGAGGCTGTAGAGGTATGGCTATGAGCCCAGCCAGACTGCGACCACTGTGTATGCTCCCCATCAGGCACCACATGAGGGCTCAGTAGTGCCCGAGCGATGCAAAAGAGGATGAAGGCATTTTCAGGCGTATGGAAAGGCAGCCAAGTGGAAGTCGAGAGCTGGCAGTTCGGTGGAGGACTCGGCTCCATGCACCAGCAATGCCCATCAGTCCATGCATTTATGCACAATAGGCGCGACCGCGGAAGTTTGATCAATGACTGAGTGCACCGTGAGGAGACGAGGATACATCTCATTGGCGATCGCAATAGTCAAGACCGATTGAGGCTTGCATGGCCTTCCCTGTAAATTACGAGCTGAAATGCAGGATTTCCAATAGCCAGTGAACGGCAGGTAGCGTAGCAGTAGCCACAGCGAGATATAAGAATCCAAGCCCCCTACAATTTGTCTCACCTTCCTTCACATTCACCTTCGAATAATACCTGTCAGCTGCGATCCGCCTCCTGCTGGCGGTTGTGGATAACAGGAGCTTGTCGTCGTCGGTCGTGCCGTTCCACCCGGACAGCAAGCCCAAAATTATCTTAGGCATTTACCGGCTATGCCTCGTCCAGCTTCGGCACTCGCATTAGGCATTTGCGTGCCCAAGCTAGCAGGGATAAAGCTCACAGTGGATGGATTTATCTTCGCCAACATCATCAGGTATGCATCGGAAGAGTTCGCAGCAGTTCGCATGAACCGCTTGCATGCTTTCAGAAAGACGATCACCCCGACATGCGCCAGATCTTGGACTTTTCTCACGTTGGCGCTTTTCAGCAAGCGTGAACTTGTTTGAGTCGAACGCAAGGTGCAGGAGATCACGTGCCAAGTGCTTACCTAATCTGTGGCATATTTTTTAGGGAGAGGCAGGTAAGTTGCTTTGAGTGGCCTTTACTGACCAAACTTGAGCGCTACTTCAAGGAGCATTCCGGGTCATGAAGGAGTCTCTTTTGCTGGCGTACCAAGCATGAGCAGAACATACTCATCATCTGCTCTGTGACGGTCCAGTCGAAGAGAGATGCATATCGGAGGAAGAAAACCTTCGATCACCTTCTCTAGCCGTCGACGGAGGCTGGGGCCGTTAGCTTCTGAAAGGCTACTAGGCTTAGGTCAGGCCTGAGGTTCTCTCAACAACTCCGGCACGATGGTACCTAAACTGGTTGACTTAGAGGGCTAGGACCGTCCCTAGCTTTCGTTCCGAAGAGCCGGCATGGTCGCTAACGATGCACAACCGGATATCCAGTGCTTCGAGCTGGAGGGATCTTTGTCAATCACACAGTTGCTTCATAGCACTCCGCCCACCAAACAACGGCTGGACAGCACTCAAGACCCGTGGTCTGTCAGTGATAACAGAGTTTTGGCTTCTCGCGTCCAGGACCTGGACGGCAAAGCTCCTTCTCGGTCAAATCTTGTCTTTGATACGCGTCTTACGGAAATGTGACGGGGTTTTCTGCTGGGCGCATGGGAAACGGCCATCATGACCAGGATCACAATGTATCTTGTCCCAAACGGCCTATGACTGCCCATGGAAGCCTTGCGCATGCTTCCGCTCTCCATGGTCCGAGGTCCGCTGCATCTTCGATTCGTCCTTGCTCTGCAGATGCGCAAGGCTGCTGGACCAAGATCGTAATGCCCGGTTTTGCTCGCTTATTCTCTTGTACGAGGCTTCACGCACACAAACACGTCTGAAAATACTGGCGCAGTTTTTGTTCATGCATTTGCTTCCACTGATTTCAGGTTCCTGACTGCTTCACTTGTCAATGCTTCACACTGGATTCTGAGCTGCAAATCAAGAAGTTGTAGCAAGCTCTCTTTCAATTGTCGGGCCCCATGCTCGCTTTCGACCCTCCTTCTGGCAGAATCCCTTCCACACGCGCAGTCCCAACCTCTCAGCCTTCCCACAAACCCTCCTCCCTACCACACATTGACACGCTTTGCCTAACTGCACGAAGTCGCAGGCATCCACTCCGGTCTGTGAGATGTCGGATGCAAGTCGCTTGTTCGCGAAGCTGGGGGCAGCCTTGCTTGATCGCGAGTCCAGTCCGGGAAGGGAGATGCAAAGCAGAACGGCTAAGCATAGCTCTTGGGACAAAGAAGGCAATCACTCTACTGGCTTAGGAGGTGGAAATGGAAATGGCTATCAAGTCTTGCGTCGACATCTTGAAGCAGCAATTTCAGGGAATGTAGAATCAAGTCAAGATAAAGCCACAATCGTTCCAGAACGCGTGGAATGTGATAATCAGTACATTGGACGGATTGCTGGGCCGCAATATAAATTATATAAGCGGCTCCCACTCGCCAGTGTTCGGACAGGGGCGTGGATGCAAGCTCCTGCATCAAATGGTTTTCAGAAGAGCTCCCAATGGCCCAAAACGGACCAAGATTCACGCCATTGTCGCCTTGGAGCGATCCATGAGGCCATATTGCTTAGCCCACATTTTCCTGACAAGCACAAGTCTTCAGCCTCAGGCAGAAAACCTACTGACAGCCCACAAGAAACACCAATCCAGACGTCGGCACCTGGCGGCCCCGACTCGGGTCCAAGCACGGCGACCGTTCCTAAGTCAAGCCTGTGTGAAAGTTGTCGGGCCATCGTCACCTGTAAAGTCGTGAGCGAAAATCCCGACGATGATTGTGTGCTGCCAGCCTCCGTCACACGTCCAGAAGGACGGGAAGTAGCCCTGATGGTATTGCAAGATACTGGGGCGGACGTATCGGCAATGTGCAAGACACTCGCAGAAGAGTGCGGAGCAGAGATCACAGAACTTGCCCAGACTGAAAGAATCCGTAATCCCGTCGGGGATCGCTACGTGGACGCAAAATGGGTCGCCCGTCTTGATGTACAATTACCTTGTTTGGCGTCAAAAGGGAAGCCGCCCGTCGAGGTCGAGTTCTATTTGCTTGACGAGAAAGACTTCCCGGCAGGTGAAGTTCTGCTGGGTAGACAGGCAGTTAGGGAGCTGGGACATACCATCATTCTCCACTGCGAAGTGTGTGCCGAAGCAAAGTAAAGTGACTGACCGGTCAAGCCATCTCACTGCAGTCGCACCACCCTCAGCAGAAGACCCCTGGGAGGTTCTCCCTTACTCGTGACGTGGGAACAAGGGTTGTCGTTGGCGGCGTTTGTCTCTAGGGCCAATCCTGGGCCTCAAGATAGTTCAATAGACATTGATTCGAGCACCCATGGCACCGGACCTTTGCCCAACCTACTCAGGCAGACAGTGGCCGACGGGTCAAGCTTGCTCAGGCAACGTAGGGATTCTGAAGCCATGATGTGAGTGGCCGTACGTCTCTTGACCGCCAGAGCCGGCTCATCGAGCACAGAGACACGTCTGCAAACCACGTGCTGGCGCGTCCAATACCTACTAGTCGTGGTGGTGTAAGCCGCGTCGCGATCCCTGCTGTGCAACCACTACGGTCGGCGACGTGCTCGAATGATATACTCTGCCTCACGGGCAGCATCCTGAAGGTGAGTCAAAAGGCAGAGCCAGGCTCCTGGGCGCTCTTACGCAGTTGGTATAAGTAGAAGTCTGACATGGTCGGATGGTCGTAGGGCCCCAAAACATCTTCTTCTCCCTCAGAAGACCCCTTCCATAGCTGTAGCTGAGGCATCTGAAGCCAAAAATTCACGAGCGACAACCTAAATTCCTGTATCATTTGGGGAACCTTTCGACGACGTCATGAGGGCAAAGATCTGGAGTCAGTGGGAGAAGAAGTTCAAGACAGTCGACGTGGAGCTCGATCGGCAAGCACCTTGTTGTTTGATCAGCCAAGGGCTTTTGGAGCAGGCCGGCCTGGATCATCCATCCCACAACGAAGTCCAATGTCCCAAGAAGTGCCATCAGGAGACAATCAAGCTGTCCGTCCGCGAGAACCAGACACCTGCTGGCTGTAGAGGACGGCAAGCCTGCGTCATAACATTCTGCATCCTAGAGTGTAAGGAACCATTCGCGCTCATGACTGGTCAGGAGGAACTGTGGATGGAAGAAGCACCTTCGAAAACTATTGCTATTTTAGTCCGAGAGAAAAGGAGCAAAGGTCAGTTTATCCCCCACCCCCCAAAGGTTCTTGTATGGTCTCATCGCTCAAACGTTCATAGCCAAGAAAGAAGCTATTGCCCGTCAGCTCCCGGCCAAGGAAGCACAGGTTGCGGAGAAAGAAAGACAGCAGAGCCAAAAGAGCAACAGGCAGCCTGATGGCCAGAGCCAAGCCCAGGGGGTTCAGCCTCATGCACCACAGCACCAGGGAAATCAACGCAAGTAGGAAGAGATCTCTCACAGACCTGGGTATCAACTTGTAGCACTCACTTTTTAATGACACCGCCTGAAATATTTCTTTAGCACATGTAGTTACCAGATTCTGTCTCTACGAAAGCTCAAACGGAAGCATACGGTGAGAAAGGGGTAGCAATTATTGGGCATGAGCGAACCAATGAAAATGCCTCTCCAAGTGGAGACAAACAACAGGCTGAGGATGTCCACCGATGTCCTTGCCAATGAACGATGTCGTTGGATAGCAATATCTTGGCCTGGCTTCTGTCGAGATGGATCTCCTTGACTGTGTAGTGATCAAATCAGGTCCAGCTTTCTTACTTGATCAGTTTATAACACAAGGCCAGCAGGGCGTTCGCCGGGGTAGAAAGAGCCTCAAGATCGTATTCAATGGGTTTAATACCGCGCTTTCGCCTCGGCCTATCAATGAAATACCATTGCCAAACCCGCCCAACGCCGTCGCTAAAAGCAGTCACTGGCTACCAGAGGATGCGTTTGCAGCTTTCAATATTTTACTCTTCCTCGCGTCGGCTTCCAGTCCAGCGGATGCGTCTCGGGCGTTGCCTCTGGATCCGGCCTCCAAATCTTGATCGTCTTATCCGCCTCTCCCATGATCAGCCGCATCCCAGTCTGATCGAAAGTACTGCTCATAATCCCAGCCTCGGCATCCAGTGAGCCAGGCTGCGCCACGGACTCGGTACTCTGAAACCTGTGGCCCGTCTTCCAGTCCCAGAACGAGATGCTCCCGTTGTCGCCACCACTGAACAAAACGTTGTCCTCGTTGACAGCCAGGGTATTGATGATGGCATTATGTCCCTCAAAGTTCTGCATAAAAGCGCCTTCAGGACACTTCCATTGCTTAATGGAGCCTGCTGACCCCGACGCGAATGTGAATTCTTTCGGATGCAAGGCAAGCGCTCTCACTCCCTTCTTGTGATGCGTCAGCACACCCATGCTCTTTCCAGCTGCCAGATCCCACAGGCGAACCGTGCTGTCGAGACTGGACGAAATAACCTGAGGGTCTGCTTCTTGACATTTGACGTCGGTAACAGTTCCCTTGTGACCACTGAGGACGTGGATGTTGGATCTCGTCCGCATGTCCCATACTCGCGCCACGCCATCTCGGCCACCTGTGACCAGCACATCGAGGGTAGGATGTAAGGAGAGTGTATACACGCCCGACAGATGGCCGTGGTAATGTCGAATGACCTTGTTCGTCTCCAAATCCCAGCACTTGACCATCTTGTCCTCGCCGCATGAGAAAAGGTAGGGATGTCGCGGTGATACAGCAAGTCCGCGGACTGTAGAGATATGTCCGGTAAGTGTCAGGCGAAGCTGTCCCGTCGCTAGGTCCCAGATCTTGATTGTTCGGTCGCCTGCACCTGACGCGAACCACTCATTTCCAGGCTCAACAGCCAATGCTCGCACCCAGCCAAGATGCCCAGAAATGACTCTCATCAACTTCCATGGCGCGTGCCAGTCCGGCCGCGGTTGCTGCATATTCGGTCTTTGAATGAGACTGTTTCCTACCCCATTTGTCTGCGGCGGTTGTCCTGGCTTTCCCTCACTCTTTACTAGCGCCATCTGATTACCTCCTGCCTGTACTTTCGGTCGTTTCGGTCCCCGACTTGCCGCAGCTTTCGCTTGCTTCTCGGCGAGCGCCTTGGGTAGCTCGCGGACACTTTCATATTCGACTTTTCGTTTGTATGAGGTCGATATGGAGGAATAGGTAGAATCGATCGTCTCGCTAAAGTCGTCACCGAAAATGGCTCTTGTGCGCTCCGTCAGAGCTTGCGCCGCAGCCGCCATCTTGTCGTACTTGAAACCCGGTGGGAAAGCAAAAGCTGGTACGTTAAAGGGCACAGGCAGAGTTGGACGGATTTTAGATTTGAACCGGCAGACCTGCCGAATATGGCTCGCTATTGGCGGGCGACTTTCTATGCGGGGAAATAAAATGCTTCCTGGCCGTGTCATGCCCCTCCGCCTAAGAAACAAAGACACCCTCCAGATGGCGGAGACGACAGAGAACAAGTATGCTATTCACGAGGCGGCTAGGGAGGGCAGAAGTAAGAATCAGGATTGGAGTATTGTGGCGAATACACTGACACCGATTCTCCAGCTCAAGCAGTCGAGTCACTTCTCAGTGTGAGTGTCCACAGACCACTTGAACTCGTCTCGTACTCACTCTTCCAAGGCGAACCCTAGACTTGCCAAACTCGCGGACCTAGACGAACGACTGCCTATCCACTGGGCCTGCGCATTCAATCGGCTTGACGTCGTGAAAATCCTAGCATCGACGCGCTCTTTCGACCCCGACGTTCAAGACGGTTCTGGATGGACGCCGCTGGCCATTGCATCAAGTCTGAAAGATAACAGCGGCGAAGCAATTGTCGAGCTATTGTTGTCGAAGGAAGCCGATCCAAAAGTTCCCACAAATTCGGGTGCCACAGCGCTACATTTCGCAACGTCAAAGGGAAACCTGGAGATTTGCAAGACGCTATTGAAACACGGTGCATCCGCGAGATCCAAGGACAAACGAGGACAACTACCCTTGCATCGGGCCGCTGCAATAGGTAGCGTCCCTATCGTGAAACTGCTGCTTGAGCATAAGAGCCCGATCAACGCAACAGATGCGGACGGAATGACATCCTTGCATCACGCCATCAGTGAGGGCAACGGGGACGTGGCGGTCGAACTGCTCAAAGCCGGCGCGGAGATTGACAAGAGAGATGCTGACGGAAGACTGGCGATCGAATGTGCGCCCGACGGGAAAGTACGGTCATACATTATCAAGGCTGCGGAAAGAGAAGGTCTGGAATTCGAGTGAAATTGCACAGATGACGCTCAAATTACAAAAGGTCGTGCACGCAACATATCAGGATTTCCCCATGGTATCTGCCAGCTGCCGATACATCTGCTTCACATCCAGGATATCAGCCTTGAGCTCCTCCACCTGCTCACTCTTCTCGCCCAGAAGCTCGAGAGTAGTCCGATGCCGTTGACTCAGACCCTCGTGATCTTTCTCGAGAGCCCTTAAGCGATCGTCGATCTTTCGCTTCTCTTCGACTTCGCGCATGAGACTGACGACCTCCTGTCTGGCCTCGTCCCGTTGGGTGGCGAGTCTAGCAAGCTCATCTTTGGTCGCAGCTTTCTCGCTCTCAAGCCGACGGACATTGGCCGACATTCTCTCGACCAGTTGAACAGAAGGACCGGCTCCGACAGTGGATGTAGAGATCAGGTCGTTGACACCACGATGAGAATGGTGGCTGATTGAATGTGGTGTCGGAGGGACATTGGCAAAGAAGTCATCCGCATCATTAGAAGTCACCACGGATGGTGTTTCGACGATGGACCCATTCGCCATGGCTTTGAAAGAAGCCGTCGATTGGTGACGAGGAGGAGTGTTCCAGTCGAAGGACTGCATCATGGAGGATTTTCGGCTGGTCGGTCTGTCATACTGGACCGGACTCAGCAAATGGCCGATATCCAGACCTAGGTTCGAGGCTTTGCGTATAGAAGTGCCCGGCGATTCTGTACGTTGAATCTGTAAAGTCGCTGTCCACTTCGCCTTTTCTTCCTCTAGCTTGCGTTGGAGCTCCCTCTCGGACGCCATTTTTTGCTCTTCAAGCTCTTGGAGAGCATTCGCTAAGTCAGCTTCAAGCTGAGTTGCTTTTCGGTTCAATCGTTGGGCCTCTCCTTCGGCAACAGCTAATGATTTCTCCACATCGACATGTTCATTCTGGACGCTGTTCAGCTCCTTTTCTATGCTCTTAAGCTTCAGCGTGGCGTCCCGGAACTTCTTTCGGAGGTCGGCTTCCCTGGCCGCAATCTCATCGCGTTCCTTTTCGAGGTTGGTTATCCTCCCTAGCAGGGTGCTTTCAATCCCTTGCCAGTTCTGACTCGCCGTTGCATATTGACTTTGCAACGTTTCGATTTGTCGAAGGAGCTTTGCCTGCACATGTCCATGGTCTGCAGAAGAAGCTTCTTCCGCTCGGACACGGAAGTATTCAAGCTTGCTTTCAAGAGACGCCTGCTCGCTGAGCATTTCACTCTCCATGGCCTTGGTTTGTTCCTTTTCCCTCTCCAAAATAGCCTGTAGATCTTTGATTTCTCTCCGTAACTTCTCCTCGGATATCTCTCTCTCGATTTTAGCACTGGTCAAGTCGTCTTGTAACTCGGCATTCCGCTTTCGCTCTTTCGCCAACTGGTCTGCTTGAGCTTTGCTTTCAGCTGCTTCGGCTCTTGCATTGGCTTTTGATATTTGGCTTCTCATGTCCGCTAATGTCGTCTGTAGGGCGTCTCTCTCCTTGCGTACAGCCTCAAGGTCACTCGAGCCCGTTGTACTCGCTGCCAGACACTGCTCTGCTCTTTTACTTGCTGCTTCAGCCTTCTTTGCCCTGTCTTCCATGTCTTTCATGAAGCGCTCAGCCTTGTCCGCCCGGAGTTTGGCGGCCTCTTGTTCTTTGTAGGTAGCCGTTATCTGTGCTCGCATCTTTTTGATCGTGCTCAAATGCTTCATCTCAGTTTTTGATAACTTTTGGCCTTCTTCCATAAGCAAGGCAATCTTTTCGTCCTTCTCCAAGATCTTCTTTTCCAGGCTTCCAGGCTGGGCAGAAGCGGCTGCCTGTGCGGCCGAGCGCGCGGCCTCTTTGCTCAGATACTGAAGTTTCGACTGCAGCGCATCTATCTTCTCGATGTACGTGCTTATCTCTTCCCGTAATTCTGTGGTCCCTGCCGTCTGCACAAGGCTTTCTTCGCTTTTCCTTGGTAGATCCTGGGATGCTCGGGCCGATAACGGCTGGCTGGCCATCAGAGCGTCAGTGGAAGTCCGCGTAGAGCTAGCGTCATCCTGCACACTGATGTCTATCTTCGGTATTTGTTGATTCGGCTGAGCTATACCATCCGGTGTTGCTAATGTTGGCTCATTCTCTGCGGGTTTAGGGCATTGCCTAGCCTGTTCTGCCTCTAATTCTTGTATCCGGCTATCTGCGGTGGTGTCTGTATGGCGGGCGTCTGCAACATGGTCTTCTTTCACTTCAATGTCCGTTTCGGGTGCACTCCCGTTTGAAGTAACATCTGCTGCCGGCTGAAGGCCAGGAGCAGGAGATTCGGTGCGGCTAGCATTCTTCTTTGCCATCGCTCGCGCGAGTCGCTCTTGCAGTCGGTCGTTGACGTTTGAAGCATTGCTATTACTTCTCGAGAGGTCAGAGGAATCTACGAATACGTCAATCATGACACGCTATGAGCGTTGGTCGCCACATACTTCTCTTAGATGGCGCTGAGTCCCGTGGAGCCTGCGCCGGTGTGCTGCTTCGCTTTGGCGGTTCGCTGTCTTCCGCCAGAATGTCGTCTAGTCTGGATTCCACAGATGCGACGGCTTGTTGCAGGAAATTCCATCTTGATGTCGGTTTCGAAGCCATCGCGGGTACCGTCGACCTAGTTGGATTCCTGATTCAGATATTGGATTCTGCGTTGTCCATTACATGCTAGATTTCTTAGACAGTTATTTTCCATGAGATCCAGAATAACTGCCATAGTCGCAACTGGGGCATTGTACTTGGTTGCGGTCTTTTTGATGTTGACGCGTTCTCATATGGACAAGTGTCGGAGCGCAAGTGCTGGAGACCCGCCGGGGCTGCATGCCTACGGCCCTTGGCCTCCAACTTCTTGGAGCTTCGATAACGATTAGAGTAACTGCAATGCGATGACATCTTTTTCCCAATTCTCATTCCAAAGACCCAGCTTCTCGAATCTATGGATGCTATCGAATAGTTTGGCACTCCTTGTTTCTTCCAAAGTGCCTTAGACCAACTTACAGCCCCTTCCAACATGTCACTAAGTCCGCCTGCCTACCTCAGCAACCTGCAGAACAACATTAGAGCACGCCCCGTTGGTGCCTATGCCATTCTGATATGTGCACAAGCTGACGATCCGCACAGATTCCTTGGGATGGCGCGGTTCGGGCAGGAAACCTCACAGATGAGCAGCTCAAGAAGATCAGGTCCGTGGACAAGGTTAGAAAAGAGCAGAGGAAGCAGACAATCGAGAAGGATGTCAAGAGCTACAGCGCGCTGCTAGTCGGCGGTGCAGATGGCCCCAGTGTACTGGAAAAAGCCTCCAAACGAAGCGACATTATCCAATATATCCTGGTCCTGGCGACGGACCTGATCAATGGTGTGCCTAGCTACGAGAGACGATGTCCCTTATGCTGACCTCAAACAGATGCGCCAGCGCTTGCAACAACCATCCTAGAGCACCCGGAACCCTACAAGACTTTCCTTTCATTCCTCAACCAATCCAGCAACCCAGAAGACCCAATACCTCTATTTTCAGCCACCTTCCTCGTCAACCTCATTGCTATTTCTCTAACGGCGTCATCCAAACCGGCCCCACGAGATGATCAAGCCCTTCCCCAAGTCTACTCATATTTGGCAAAGCTGGTCAAAAACCAGGACAGTGGCCTGCAGGATATCGGAGTACAGCACTTTTCACAGCTGCTGCGTACGACACGGTCGAAAGAGCTGTTCTGGAAGCAGAAACAAGATACAGTTGATCCATTGTTTGATATCCTAAGGAAAGCCGTGGGAGCATCTAAAGACAACGACTCTACGCTATGGAGTGGAACTACAAGTATCCGAAGCAACGACACAAGATTTGGAGGTGGTGTAGGACTGCAGCTGATGTATCATGTCTTGCTTGTTATATGGCAGCTCAGCTTCGAGGGCGAAATGGTGGGCGAAGGTCTCGAACAGTATGGCCCATGTACCGACAAATTTGATTCGGGCTAACATTTATCCAGGGACGAAGAGATTATCCCTTTGTATACACAGCTCTTGCGAATGTCGCCAAAGGAAAAGACTACTCGCCTGCTGCTTGCAACGCTGAACAACTTGCTATCAACCAACAAAGACACTTTGATTGCCGCTGCTACGACTGCCAGGCTTCCAGCCTTACTGGGTAATCTCTCGGGACGGCATCTAACGGACCAGGATTTGCTCGAAGACCTCGAGAATCTCAAGACAATGCTTGAGGAATACACCAAGAATCAGACAACTTTTGATGAGTATGCCGACGAAGTCAACTCTGGTCATTTGAGGTGGTCACCTCCCCATCGAAACCCGACATTCTGGAGGGAAAATGCTCGCAAGATTCTTGAAGACAAGAAGGGCGAGCTTCCCAAGAAATTGACTGAGATCCTCTCTAAAGGTTGGGAATCGGACAAAAAGGTACTTGCGGTGGGATGCAACGATGTGGGAAACCTGGTCAAAGAAGTACCCGAGTATCGGTCGACTCTTGAGAGGCTTGGTCTCAAGGCTCGACTACTGGAACTCATGGGTGATTCGGATGAAAACGTAAGATGGGAGAGTCTCAAAGCTGTTGGAGAATGGATGCGATACACATTTGACAAATAAAGAGTCTGGGCTGATGCCAGACTTGTTTCGAGGCGGGATCTCCATCACAAGGTGGAAATGGAACAGTCAGGTCACCCAAGGTCGACCTCATAAAGTGCTACGTGCCTAGTATCTTTGATCCAAGAGGCGAGCGAGGCACCGTGCGATCATCGATGGCGCAAATTGCTTGCAAATACTTTATCGATCTCCAGTACGGAGTAGTCAGAGCTAGATGCTTGACGCAAAACTAGCCTTCGTGGATGAATTGCTTTTGCCTGGAATAATCCGGGTCTAGTACTGTAATATTCTACATAAGGCATACTGCAGCCTTTTGGGTAGAGAGGGATCGAGACCATCCAGTGACCATCCCAAAAATGGGTGCATGCCCTTAAGAAGCGAGATAAGTTCAAGCGTCGTTCAAGTGGTAGGACTGTGAATCTTCCACCAGGGGAGCCACTGGGAGCTTTAGCTTTACCTGCAGCTCGGCAGCTCAAAAGGGCAACATCCCCTGCCAAGATGAACGGGTTGGAACCATCATGAACGACATGAACTTTCCCACTGGTTGCAGCTGCTGCACTAACCCGCCATGCGCATGTCAATCCCATTGGGACATCCATGCATGCGACCCTGAGGTAAACTCCATGATGGAATGCTGGGGAGCTTGAAGACAAAGAAAATGTACAATTGAGTTGGAAGGAAGCGAGAGCACAAAGCCCCATTGTCGCTGGCGGGAAACTGGCCGTCATGTTGGCATCCTGACGGTTTCATCGTCGGCTTGAAAGCGTATTCATGTCAAACACGGTCGCCGCAACCATTCGCACAACCAAAGGCTTACTAGGCCAGGCGCCATGCCCGTCACGTCGCAATATCCCTAGGGTACAGAAGATCGTGGGCAAGCATCTGTTCACCCCGCCAGATTGCATCTCTGTATCACGTCGAGAGCGACTTGCATTTTGCAACAATCTCGCTAGCCATCCTCATCTGATCAAGACGAGATTTCGTAGCCTTGTTCTCTAGCCTGTCCTAATGCTGAAAATCAGTAGGCGCCAGACGGCGATTAGTGCGTAATCTGCGAGGGATCCAATGAGATTGATACCGTCGAGGCGCCTAAACCGCATCCGACTACAACAATTGAGCGGCCGTTCTCCTACTCTCGATTAAATCCTCCAGCTCACTATCAATGCAACAGAAGCCCTTCTCTTTGGCTCTCCACTGTCCTCACTCAGGACTATTTGCATGTGGCTGATCTACGTGCCATACACCCATTCGAAACATGTCGCTATTCTAGACGCCCGTCAAAGCGTCAACCCACTTCCGTTCGCCGTCTCGCTACAATCCACCACACCAACCCCCTGATCGCGCCGCACCAGGGCGGCCATGGACGACAATGCTCAATACCCAGGAAGCTTTGCTTCTGCTCCCCCTCCTCCATTGCCAAAGGACTATCCTCCTCTACAACGTCTCCCCTCTCTTTCGGCAGCTTTGAAACCCTTCTCTCAGATCTCTCCCGTCCGCCGAAAGCCTCTCCCTTCCAACGCCTCGCCCATCGTTCAGTCTCCCAAGTCTCCTGAGTCATCACGCCAGCTACCGAGCGCGGACGTTTCACCGGTTCAAGGAAGATCTAACGAGACTTCACGGTCGCTTGACACCGTAGGAAGGGCGTAAGACACTGCTCTTGTCCTCTCGTACTTACGCGTGTAGCTGATTAGCATAGGACATCGAGTATATCGTCGGCTACTGTACCTCGAAGAGATACGATCGACATCGACTCGACTCGAACCGCTACGAACGGCCACGTACCTCAAGTCTACACCGAGGACTATACCAGCTCTCCCCAGGGCCATCACAAAATAAGACCATCCAATGGTTTCACGGTAGAAACTGTGGTAGAGGAGGACATGGGTTTGAAGCCTGGCTCGAGGCCGCCGCCTTTGCGGACGGACTCGAGCTCGTCGACAAAATCATTGACGGTCGTTGACCCGAAGAAACCTCAAACACCGGGGAGCAAGTTTACATCCTTCTTCAGCCGCAAGCCTGCCGCCTCCCCAAGCACCGAATCTTCCGTCACTGATATATCAGACCGGAAATCCCCTCTTCCATCTCCGTATATTGCATCACCCAGCGCCTCTATACGTTCGTCCTCCGGCTTTCCCTTCGGAGCCTCGACCTCCCGAAACGCACAATCACAGCCCTCCCAAGACTCGATCGACTTCGATGGGAGCCCCTATGTTCAGTCGCTTACCAATGGCGACGCGGCAAGCAAATGCCTGCAGCTCGAGGCTGAACTACGTGAGATCAGCACCGAGCTGGCCAACTCGATTAAACGCGAGATGGATTTAGAAGACCTCGTTGAAAGGCTACAAAGCGAAGGAACAAGCGCCAATAGAGAGATTGATCGAACAAGTGATTACTTCTCAGACTCGGGCACAAGCTCGATTCGACCTTCCACTAGCGAAGGCAACCCAAAGGATGAGATTCAGAGGATAAAACGCGAATCAGAACAACGGAGAGCACAGCTGAAGGTGGAAATGTCCCAGAAATGGCAGAATGAACGATCAAGTCGGCAAGCCTTGGAGTCTCATGTCCACATCTTGGAGCAGAGGCTCTCGCAGTCGCGTCGAGATCACAACCAGTCCGCAGATATCACAGCCAGGGCTAAGGAGCTAGAAATGGCCCTGGAAGATGCGAAGAGGAGGCTGGTGGAAGAAAGGCAGACAAAAGAGAACTTCGAGGATCTGTTAACTGCACTGCGAGTCGACTTGGAGCAACACCGAAACGAACGCGACAACCTACGTGATGAAGTTGTGCCTCAGCTGCGGTCTCAAGTTGAGGGGTTGGAGGCAAGCTTGTCTGAGTCCCAGAAATCACCATACGACATAACACGAATGCAGCAGGAAATCCAGAGTCTTAGAGATGAGAACGCTGCGCTCCAGAGTGCAAAGGCGATGAACATGCAATTCCAATCCATCGCTGAAGAGGGAGGGATGGGCGAATCCCCCACAAAGACTTCGTTCTTTGGAGGACGAAGTATGGGACTGCAGCGGTCTAACACCATCCACATGAACAGGTCGAATTCAAGGGCTGGTAATAGGTCGAATTCGTTGTCCAGGTCAAATTCCATCAGCAATCGTGCTACCCCTGATAATCAGCAGCCGCTTGCCGACCAGTTGAAGGACGTCACGGACCAAAGGAACGCCTTGCATACTACCGTGAAGTACTTGTTACGGAGACAAGAAGCTGAGCGGCGACAATACGAAAAGAGACTCAAACTCGCCGAAGCCGAACGTGACCGCGCAAACTCGTTGCATCACCTGAAGAAGGGAGGCTATGAACGTGAAGTTCGGACCTTGCGTTCGGAAATCAACCTTCTACGCAAGAGGACTGATGATGCTTTGGAGCAAAAGTGGCAATGTGAGAAGGGTCTGTCGGGTCTCAAAATGGATCTGGATCGAAGTAAGCAAGAAACTGCTAGTTTGCAGACCTTGCTACAAGCTCGCGACGACAGTGCACCTGAAGTCCTCTCATCAACACTGGAGGAAGCGTTGCGTCGCTTACAGCAGCAGCGAGACCAAGCACGGCAACAAGACTCATTGGGACAGTTGATGCAGGAAGAAGAACTTGCTGCAGAGCTCGAGTCGTCTGCTCAAAGGTCTGAGGCGTTAGCGACCCAGGTCAGAAAACAAATGCAAGCAAATTCCGATCTGCGGAACCGACTCAAGGACGCGGTCGAAAATGGTCAAAAGAATCAGCTAGCCTCAGCAAGTCAGATCAATGTGCTTCAAGCTAAGCTTCGGAAACTGGAAGACGTTATCACCGTTGCCCAGATGCAGTCCGAAACAGCCGTCATGAAGCATGAAGAGGAAGTCCGCGTTATCCGCGCCAGTAACAACATCCAGCTGATGCGGACACGGTCTGGCAGAAAGATGCCTGGATTTCTGACTCCTACGCCGAGGTCCCCATTGTCACCAATGTTTGTCAACTCGAAGAAGAGCCCGAGATTGGACCAAACGACCAGTGGACCAGGCATAGCCCTTCAAGAAGCACTCAAGACCGAGTATCTAGAGAACAAGGTGGCCGACCTGGAGAAAGCTCTAGCTGAGGCCGAAAAGGAAATGGAAGAAGTCGTCGGACGGATGAACACAGCTCAGATTGGTGTTGCTGAGCTGGAATCGGAGAGGTAAGCATGATTCTCATTGACTGATCTATGCCAGCAAGCTGACAGCATCGCTGTAGGGACGAAGCCCTCCGTCAAACTCGACGACTGGAAGCCGCCATTGCGGCTGAGCGCGAGAAAGTAGAGACACTCCTGAACTCATCGTACGACTACTCCTACCCCTCAGACTACTAAGTCTGCGCGAATCAGGGGCCTAAACCACATGGTGCTCGACGCCGTTACGGGCATATTTTTCAATTTTTTTTACCGTTACCATTTATGCATGAGAAGCATATTTAGCGACGGAGTTCTTGGTCTGAGAAGCAATACCATGCTTCACTTGGAGAGATCAGACCTGGATTGGGCTTTCTGAAACTTGTGCCTCATATTAGGCACCCTTGATGGAAGGGTTTTGGTTGCCTTCTGTCCACCACCCCAACGCACGCGCACAGTGCTTGGTACATGATTATACCCAACTAATAGTATTTGAAAGATGAGATGAAGGGCGGTGATGAGATGCATCAACTGTGGGTTTGGATATAGTATTATACATGGCAGGGATGCTTCCGGCTGGGTTGGGACCTGGAGAACGCCATCAAAAGGATAGGCATATGCTTGTCTTCAATAATACCATATCTAAGCACGATGCTGCAACAATCTGCGTCTTATGAAGGCCATGTCTATAACTGGTCTTCTATTATCAAACGGATTGGACCTCTCTAGATGTTCCTGGGATAGAAAAGCAGCTCCGCCCTGGAAGAGTATTTCTAATAAAGCAGATGCCGGGCGAGCTCTACAAGGCGCAGACGGTGTGAAGGCGTCAGAAGTACTTACGCTCGAGGTACGGATGCTTGACCGCAACCGTTAGTGGTTCTCCGTACTGCATTATGCAGAACAATTTCCCCGCGGTTACGATCTTGCCCAGTACACTCCTTCACTGCTTATGGATTGAATTGAGAGACCATCGCTGTCCTTATTCGATTGCTTGCAAGTCTACCTAGATACGCTGTGCCAGGGACAGCAGGCCAGTGCACAAAAACTTCGCACCTTGGTCGTTAGGTCGTGACTTCACTCCAGTGGCCTACGCAACATGCGACATTGAACACAATACCCAACACATCGATCTCGGCGCTTGCTTCACCTTCTACGAATCCCCGAAGTCGATTTTCCTTTCCATCATATTATTCATCTCCTCCTCCTTCAAGACCGTCGTCCTGCTCTCCAGCTCATCAGCGCGAGTCTATATCTTACGGAACCCAGAAATCCGTCAGATAGCAAACAATCGGCGGCAGCAGCAATGGCACCACAACAACAACAACCTCTCCCTCCCTTCGTCTCGAATCTCGCCGACATCTACGACTCCTACATCTGCCCCTTACTCCCTGGTCCGCTACAATCCATCTCCTCAGGCCTCACACCAATTTTCTCCTCCGCCATAGCCGCCGCGACAAGCGGGGACATCGTCTCGCTCGCGGCGTTCGTGGTGGTGCTGTACCTGACACTGAAGATAGCGGATTACGTCCGCCGCAGCGTGGTGGCGTGGGTCGTCTTCATCATCAAGATTGTATTGGTGATTGCGTTGATCAATGCGGCGTTCTATGTGAACAGAGTGGGAGTGCAGAAAGCATTTGGTGATGCCGAGTGGGTGGTGGGACTGCTTTGGGGGTTCGTCGAGGACAAGGTGATGAGTGGCGGTGGGAAAGATAACAAGACGGGTCCTTTTGCGTACTATGGCGGTGGGAGACAGCAAGTTCCAATTGTGGGAGGGAAGAAGAGACGTAGTGGGTGGACTTGAAAACCGTTTTACACGCAATGAGATTGGCGCCTCGATCGGGGTCGGAAGGACATGCTTCCAAACATCTGATTACGACAGCGGGGGCTCGGTCAACAGCACAGACGGCGGAACACAAGAAGAAGAGATTGTGAACATATCATGAAGGATCCGTTCGATTCCCGGGTATCTACTTCATGTTGCATGAACGATCACGCCTCCAACGCCGACGCTGACCGAACTCGAATGAAGACGACCAAAATTTCGCGGGACTAGGAAATATACAATAATTGGTCAACCTTCCTCCCACGCTGGTTCTTCCATGTCCGCCTCTTTCGGATCTCTTGGTTCCTGTGCCTCATGGTATTGGATGGCATCGTCGATGTAACTCAGGATATCGCCAACACTGTCTTCATCATTCACGTCCAGCTGCAGGAAGGATACCATACTAAAATCATCGATCAATCTCGCCACAGCACGGTTGAGCTGCTTGAACGAGCCACCAGTCATGACCTGATCAATCTCTTGTGGATTGCGTAGGTCAACGGTATGCTCAGCCGTACCTCTACCGGTGTCTTCATCATCGAGCAGATTGGCATCCGGGTCGATGAAACGCTTCAGCTCTTTCTTGGGTACTTGGTCCTTGACGAGGTCCATCTTGGATAGGATATTGACGTGCGGAAGTTCCATCATGATCATGGCGCTCATTGCGGAAAGGGTCCCGGCGAAGAATTTGGCCTTGTCTACCACGAATGTGGCTTCCAGGAGATAGGCCGCGCACAGATTGATATTCAACGGACCCATTCTTGACAGATATTTGACCAGCTCCGGTAGGAGAGGGATGTGTGTGTAAAGTTCTATCTGACCTGGGAGATCGAAGAGGATGAGATATTCTTCGGTGACAGGGTCGAGGGCGGAGGCGAGGAAATCGAGGTTTTGTAGCAGGAATTCGAAGCAGAATATCAGACCACCGTTAGGCCCTAATGACATTTCCTCCATGACATCTTCTAGCGAGATGAGGTCGCGGATATCGAGGTCGGGTTCGTAGGCGAAGTCGTTTGCCGCAGGGTCGAGGTTGACGTAGAAGCATGAGCGCCGGCTGTGTTGGAGGTGCTGGATCAGAGCCGTGCAGAAGGTGGTCTTGCCTGCGCCGGCAGGGCCCATTACTAGACAGCCAAACTTAGACATGATGGTTGCTGGTATGGCCAGAGCATGGAGGGTCGCTTGCGATGAGGACTGCGTATGCGGTATGTGTGTAAGCGGGAGACCACTCTAGAAGTTAACACATTGTCTGTGGTAAAGATCTGCACACGACCTGTCTTGTACTGCACAAGGCGATTGGTTTGTCTCTGATGTGAAGAGGTGGTGAATTATCCGGTGTCGTTGTCGCTCAGTGATGTGCCTACACAGTACAAAAAAGTTTCAAGAGGAGTCACATCATTCTGCCACCGCCCGCCCGGTGGGGAGATGGCGATACTGGCAGCGCAGACACAATCCAGGGTATACATAGCATAAGTATTGCCCACGACCACAGTACCTAAGGTAGGTAGGCTAGTCAGGACCAAGGGCCATGATGGGCCACTACTCGAAATTCTGTACTGTCTGTACTCGTACAAATGAGCCTGCTCTGGAAATAGCCACCGGTCTTCCACTCACCCAGCACAAAGGCCACAGAGGCCACAGAGGCCACAGAAGGCCACCAAATGGATCTGGATATGGACATGGAACAAAGCGTCCCGCATGGCATAAGCATGGGGCCACTCAGATCTACCATTTGCTGAAGACTCGTTCAGAGCGAATGCCGATGGGGTGGGTGATGGGCTGCCGATAACGACATCGCAACCAGCAAAGCTCTTGTTTTTCTCCTCACCCATTTTACCCATTTTCCCCCGATTTTTTTCTGGTCAAACCTCTTTGCTCTTGTTGTCATATACCGCCTCTCTCCCACTCCACTCTCTTTGCCCTTCTCTCTCTGATATTCCTTGGTGATTGCTTGCAAACAGACTTTGCAGCAAACCATCAAACCAACAAGACCACAAAGCTCGGCGTGGCTGACATTTCATCGCATTTCCTCTTCTTCTGCTGTACACACCCCTCCGCACCTACTCTCCCACCACATTAAACCCGACTATCCCTCTTCCTTCTCGCCCTTCCTGTCATCTTCTTACCAGCCAAAATGGCCGGTGCTACCAACGGAGCCGTCAACGGCGTCGACAAGCGTGAAACCTTCCTTTTCACCTCGGAATCTGTTGGTGAGGGTCACCCGGACAAGATTGCGTGAGCCCTCGATCTTCCCCCACCGAAGGCCGAAGAGTCTAGCTGACACATGGGCATAGCGACCAAGTCTCGGACGCCATCCTCGATGCCTGCCTCAAGGAAGACCCTCTCTCCAAAGTTGCCTGCGAGACTGCCACCAAGACCGGTATGCGCCTACAAACTGCGCCGGCTGGTTCTCTTCTAACTCCTTCCTAGGCATGATTATGGTCTTCGGCGAGATCACAACCAAAGCCCATCTCGACTACCAACGGATCGTCCGTGAGGCCATCAAAGAAATCGGCTACGATTCTTCCGACAAGGGCTTCGACTACAAGACTTGTAACGTCCTGGTCGCTATCGAAGAACAGTCTCCAGATATTGCTCAGGGTCTGCACTATGAGGAGGCACTAGAAAAGCTGGGCGCTGGTGACCAGGGTATCATGTTCGGTTATGCCACCGACGAGACTCCAGAACTGCTTCCTCTGACCATCCAACTTGCTCACAAGCTGAATGCGGCCATGACACAGGCCCGCAAGTCCGGCGAGCTTCCTTGGCTGCGGCCGGATACTAAGACTCAGGTCACCGTGGAATACGCCCACGATGGAGGTGCCGTGGTGCCTTTGAGAGTGGATACTGTTGTCGTCTCAGCTCAACATTCAGAGGACATCAGCACCGAAGATCTTCGCAAGGAAATCTTGGAGAAGATCATCAAGAAAGTCATCCCAGCCAAATACCTCGATGACAAGACCGTCTACCACATCCAGCCGTCTGGGCTCTTCATCATCGGTGGTCCCCAGGGCGATGCTGGACTTACTGGCCGTAAGATCATTGTCGACACCTACGGTGGTTGGGGCGCTCACGGTGGTGGTGCTTTCTCGGGCAAGGACTACAGCAAGGTCGATCGATCAGCTGCCTATCTCGCTCGGTGGATCGCCAAGTCTCTCGTCAAAGCTGGTCTCGCCCGTCGTTGCCTTGTTCAGCTGTCATACGCCATTGGTGTTGCCGAGCCATTGTCTCTGTTTGTCGAGACGTATGGCACAAGCGACAAGTCCAGCACTGAATTGGTCAAGATCATCCATAACAACTTTGACCTCCGACCTGGTGTCATTGTCAAGGAGTTGAACCTCACCAACCCCATCTACAACAAGACCTCCAAGAACGGCCACTTCAGCGACCAGAGCTTCCCCTGGGAACAGCCCAAGCCCTTGAAGTTCTAAATCACCTGTCGAAATCAAATCACCACCACATCCATGAGGGGAGCGGATGACTGAACGAAACAGAGTAGGCGGAGCATGCTGTTGGCGACGAGGCGAGGTTCGGGCTCCTGGTTTCAACAGACTCAGGGACGAACTTTTTGCCTCGCTTGCTACATCTTGCGAGTCTCTTCTTTCAACAGATAGAAAGCGTGTGATGTGTTGCATTTTGTGGTCCTGAAGAGAGAGTCGGGCTAGAGACGATTTTTCTTTGTTCTCAAAAAAGTTTCTGGGGCGTGGGTTTGTCTGACGATATTCAACATGTTATGATACCCCTACGCGCAAGATACATTGGATTTTTGTGGTTCCATCAACAGGGCATTGGGATTGGCGTTCAACTCGCTATGCTAGACGAAAGAAACGTTTGGGGAACTGTAGGAGATTGAGATAGATCCCATCGGCATCACAGACGGCCAGTGGATCGACGTGACTCGACTTGAGATTGCGCCCGCTGAGCGCAAGGGGGCATCACTGTACTCGAAAGACTACAGAATCGCTCGACGCTCGCTGTCAACGAATAGGTCGAATCCGCACGAGCTTCAAAGTACAATCGATCGAATTTGCAATGGCGAGTGGATGTTTTGCTGGTGCTCTACAATCCTTACCGTGACTACGGAGTTTTGGCTTTATGTTCACCTCATGACTGGTCCCGTTCAGCCTAGCCACAAGAACTCCTTCTCCCTGGCCAATTGATATGAATTGTAGCTGCCAGAGTGGGAGCCTTGGAAAGAGATGCGCTCTTACAGAATGGACATAGACTAACGTCTTCTCAGGATCTTGCAGAGCCCACAGCCAAGGTAAGGCGCCCATCTAGGTACCGGGAGGAGTTACTGGTACTGTCAAAGTAAAGCATTAAGTATTAGGATATTGATCATTATCAACAGTCTTCATTGCCTGCCTGGCTGTATCGCCTGGATTGCTCATTGGCTCGTTTACTTGCTTTACTTCGTTTTGCTTGCTATTTATTCAACTTCCGTATTACACAAAAAGATCCCAATCCGATCCAATTCGACCTGAACAGACCACCATCGCCCCCGACCAAGACCTCGAACCCAAGCTCTCTCTGGCTGGCTGGATATCGCAAACTGATTATAACCCAAGAAAAACAACACACACAACAAAAGAAAGGGACATGAAAACAGGGCATGGGGGGCATGACTGTATGTAGAGTGCCATCACATCAATCAAACATCAACCAACCAGAAAACCAGGGATCCAACTCGACTCGACTCGCCTCGCTTGCTGTGCAGGTGCAATTTGCCCTCGCTTTCGTGTCTCGACAGACAAAACAGACCAGGAAACAGGACAATGCGACGTCATTAGTGTTGCTGATCGACCGAACGCCCAATTCAAACGCCTAGAAACAATTCAATGAGCTGCCCTTTCGTTTCTTCGTCTTCCCGTCCTTGCCGACGGTCAACAAGCGCATCCGCTCTTCGAGTTGCGCCCTCGCCGCCTCGGCCTCACGGCGCTTCTTGACTTCTTCTTCGACAGCCTGGACACTCAGTCGCTCGGACCGCCGCTCCTTCTTCAGGCCCGAGAGCTCTTCTTCCATGGCCCAGGCCTTCTTCTTCCAGACGTCCGCGTCGGCGCGCAGCTTGTTCGACTGTGTCTCGAGATCGACCAGCGCCTCCTCGAGTGTGGCGGTCAGTTGCTTCTCGGCGTGCAGGTGCTTTTCGATGGTGCGGAGGCGGTTTTCTTGTTCTTCAATGAGCGCTGAATGGCGGCGGACGTTCTGCGAGTTTGAGGATACGGCCGTGCCAGAGACTGGCGTGATGGGGAGGGCAACTTCCTTAGAAGTATGACGAGATTGAGGCGGAGAAGGATTCGTTGCATTGGCACCTGCGACCGAAAGGCCGGGTAAGGCTGGAAGCGGCGGGAGAGGGATGGCGGGTGGAGGGGATGGTAAAGAGGCGATGGATGCCGACTTGCGCAGATTTGAGTTCATTGAGTTCGAGCGCGGGACGCCTCCTTCGACTGGTGGAGATTGAGGTCGGTGTTGAGACTTCATGGTGTTGGTCCGCGAGCCGCTGTCTGAGCCGCCTTCATTGATGGATCGCCGCTGGTCGAGGTCCTTTTCCAGCGACGCAATTCGTTGTTGGGCTTCAATCAGGGCCTGGTTGCCTTGTGCCTGGATGACTGAAACTCGATTATGATGCTGGTCGAAGCTGTTCTGCAATTGTTGCTCCAGCTCCTCGATGATGACCAGTTTCTTGGCCTTCTCTGCCTCGATTGCCTCAACGGCTGCTTCGGCCTTCTTGAGCTGAGCTTCTTTCTCACGCAGCGTCTCCTCGTGATTTCCAACTTCGTTTGCAAGACTGCGGATCGTCTCTTGGTAGTTGGCGATTCTTGTGTTCGCATCGGCGAGCGCCTCCTCCAGCTCGAGCAAACTTTGTCGGCCGTCAAGTTGGCGTTCAAGCTCAGCGTTGACGTCTTTGAAACGTGCATTGGCTTCTGCAATGTGCCGCTTCTCTTCCACCACATCTTGGATATGACTCTCAAGCATGTCAGCACTTGTTGGGTGGCCGAGAGCTTTTTGAGCCTTGGAAACAAGTTGATCCACGGTTGTTAGGGCGTGCTCCAAGTCTTTCTTGTACGTCGATACGAGTTTCTCGTGCTTTCCAGTCATCTCGGTAATTTGGTCATCATATCCGGCCAGACTGCCTGCATGAGCAAGCTTCATCTCCTCGATCTGGGTAGTGTGGGAGTCATGAAGAGACTTGAGATTCTGCTTGTGGAACTCCGCGGCCGATTCCGCTTCTTTGATCTTCTGTTCAAGCTTAGCAATTTCTGCCTTGAGCGAGGAGATTTCGGCTCGTTGTGAGGTCGCCAGCTCTGCTTGGGCATCGAAGTCCTTGCTCAGCGAGTCGTGTAGTTGCTGAAGCTCGGAAATCTTGGCCGCCTGATCCATATTTAGCGTCCGCTGCTCTTCAACCTCCTGCTTGATGTTGTTGATCAATTCTTGGTAGTGGTCACGCTCAGCCTGCATAGCATTGGCAGCAGCGGCCCGCTCGGATGTTGTGTCGTCTTCACCATACATTTGCTGAGCTCTGAGGGTTTCCACGCTCGCCAATGCTGCCTCGAGTTCGTGTCGGGTTCGAGCACACTTCTTCTCGGACGCCTCAACTATTCGTTGACTTGCTTCAAGCTTCAGTTGCAGCTCAGACAGCTGTCCATTGAGGGACTGGATCTTTTCTCCATCCTCGGATGCCGGGGGTGTGATGTGGCCATTGGCCTTTTCAGCACTCAATCTCTGGATTTCTTCTTGCAAACGTTGCTCACGACGAGCGTATTCCTCATGTAAAGACTTGAGTTCGGTCTCTTTTTGAATGATCTGATCTCTTAGCTGAGACACCATGTTGAGGTCAACAGGGGATCCAGCTTTAATGCTCGTTCTTTCTCTTGTCAAGCCAGAAATAATGGTGGATTTGAGTTCCATCTCTTTCTTGACCGTCTTGACTTCAGCTTCAAGAGCTTGAATGCGGTCCAGACGCGCTTGGAGCTCAGTCGCTGCCGCGCTGAGATGAACTTCGGCTCCTTCCATACGGTCGGGCTTGTCTTCGAATTCCGCCACCAGTAAAGTTCTTAGGGAGGTCACTGAACGTTGACCTCGGTCAACACCAGTGTTGTTCTGTGAAGTCATGCGCCTAAGCATGCCAGGTGTACCGGGAGAACCAGGTCTTGTCCGCTGCACTTGTGTCTTCAGCCGCTCGACAGTTGTTAATGCATCCTTGTGTTCTGCCTGGAGCTGGGTGTACTGTTCTGTAACCTGCTGCGTGTTTCTTTCATGCTCTGCAAGAAGATTCTGCAAGCGTTCGATCTCCTGTGTGGCGACTTCCATCGACGGAGAATCCTTAAAGACTGGAGTAATATCGGTATCCACTGAGGTAGAGGATTCCCCAGCTAAGGATAATTCCGAGGAAAGTGATCGCGAGGAGGGCACTTCCTGTCCATCCTCCGCTTCTTGCAGCTGACCCTGCTCTAAAAAAGGCGAGCCTGTGGGGTCCTCGGCAGGTCTGCTTTCTTGGGATGCTGCGGCTTGACGCTGCTCATCAATGGAGTCTTGCATCTCAGCCAGCGTCCGGAGTGCCTCCTGGTACTTGGCAGAAAGTAGATCCAGGTCGTTGACCGTTGACTCATGCTCCAGGCGAAGGTCGAACAATTCCTGGCTGACAGCTTCAAATTTCTCATTGATGAACTTTGACTGCGCAGGGCTTGCTGGTGCTTCGTCAGTCTGCTCCGCCTTCAGTAGCTGCTGATGAGCCACTGCACTTTCAAGTTTCCCAAGACCTGCCTCGTCGCTCTCTTCAAGAGCTTGCTCTGCCGACTCTTCAAGATGTTCCTCAAGCTCATTTTCTTTCTGAGCAGGAAGCGCAGTTTCCTCTGCTGCTTTGAGGTCTTGTTCATGCTCTTCCTCAATGATATTGTCTCCCTCAGGAGACCCTCTACTGAGGACTTTCGATTTACCATCCTTCTCTTGGATGTGATCGAGCTCATAGAGCAGGTTGTCAAGTTTGCCAAGACTCCGCTGTCGTTCGACCAGATGCTCCAGTCTCTCGATTTCGCGTTGCATGATCTCCATGTCTTGGTCTGCCTCGGCAAGCCGTTCCTCGAGTGTACAAATATAGTCTTCAGCATTGGTCTCACTTTCTCTGATTCGCGAGATTTCCTTTCGCAACTCGGAGACGATTTCATCATTTTTGGCGCCACCAGTGCCTTGGTTGTCGAGTCTTGCTTCCAAGTCATGAAGGTACTGTTCCGTGTTCGACTCTCGATCCATCATTTTCTGGACACGAGCATTCAACTGCTGATTCATTGTTTCGACGTAAACGCATTTGGTCTCCTTCTCAAGCAGATTGCTCTCTGTGGTAGCCAGCGACGAGCGGGTCGTTGAGAGGTTGGCCTCAAGACTCTGAATTGTTTTCTCGTACTCCATCACAACTTGCTCGATCATCTCCTGATTAGCCTGAGACCGTCTTAATCGGTCCATAGCACTTTCTCCCGGAATTGAAGTGGCTTGGTCATACGTCTCTGCGTTTCTGGTTAACTCGGAAATGAGTTTTGCATGTCTTTGGCTGAGGGCAGAGTAGCTTTCCTGGACATCCAACAACTGATTTTGCAGCTCATTTTCCCGTTCATTCAGTCTGTCTCCCCGCTCGGACATGACACCAGGTCGGCGGTCACCCGATTCTGCACTGCGGATTTGCTGTCTCAGAAAGGCGATCTCAGTACGCAATCGTTCAATGACAGCTTGCTTGTCAGCACCATCGTCGACTTGTTGGATTTTCGGCTTGCTCTGGATGTTTCGAGCTCGTTGAGCATACTGTACAGTGTTCAGGGTCTCACTGAGATGGAATTCTGCCGGTGTCACGCAAGCAATCATGTACGTGATTGCGTTGCCACCGAGCGAGTCCTGAAGCATACGAGTCAATTTGGAATCTCTGTACGACACAAACGTCCCGGTTGTCCTGGATGACAATTGCGAAATGACTTTGCCCAAACTGGCCAATCCAGCATTGATGGAGATGCCTTCCCTTGCGCGATCACCCGTGGCTTGGGTGTTTTTTAGTCTTTCACTACCAGCCAAGTCGACGAAATGGAGTTTGCTTTCTACTGTCATGGTGGACTCGTGCCCGGGGAAATGGTCGACAGCAATAGACGATCTCTTGTCTTTCATGGAAGTGAATCCTTGTGCTCTAGTCTGTCGAAGGTTGATTGTGAAGACGGCATGAGACCGAGAGGACCGGGCATTGATAGCCGTTGCGTCAGTCTGTCGGATAGTAGATCCATGGTTCAAGACGCGCATCAATTCCTCGATGGAGGAGATGCGAACGGAGTTGAGGCCTTCAACAAAAATTCGACCACGAGGATCTTCTCGGATCTGGACATTGGCTCTTTCCGTAAACGGTGCGTCCTCAGGAAGCAGAAGATCTCGGGGTTGTTCGTTATAAATCTCGACATAGGTTACCGACATTTCCCATCCTCTGTCGGCAAAGGACTTGGAGTTGCGCATGGCTTGGTTCAAGCTAGGGACAGAGAATTTGGTTGGGGATTTCAAGCCCGAGTTATGCCGGCTGTGGGTGTTGCCACCGTTAAGGTTGTCGAACAAATGCTGCGCTGCTCGAGGAATGACACCTTGACAGAGATGAGACTGATACTTCACAAACAGTCAAGGTTAGGCTTACCTTTCATAGAAGGATGAAATTGTTCATCTGGGCCTGATGTGCCCATCGTGTAACTTTTCCCGGAGCCGGACTGGCCGTAGGCGAGTATCGAGACATTATAGCCTTGCAGAAAGGAATTCACGCTGTCTTGCAGGTATTCCCATACTCCTTCTTGGGTTGTGTCTTCTCCAAATACGCGATCGAATATGAACATCTTTCGTCCTTGGGGTGATTCGACGGCGAGACTAGTATTTGTGTTCACCTGCACCATCGATCTTTGAAAACGTTGCGGGATAAGATCGAATCCAGGGTCGGAGGGGCCCAGCGGCGGCCGTACTCGAACCACTGCCTGAGTTTAGTATCTGTATCTAAAACCATCATGTCATTCCACGTACCGACTCTGACCGAAGTCTTTGCGTCTTCATCTGACGCCCTGCTTCCAACATGATTGCTACTTTGGCTCATGCGACTGTTACTGCGAGGCGGCGGCCGGCCGATCATGCTCTGAGGTCGTTGTTTCTGGACAGGATCTGGAGACGGGGCCGAATACATGCTTTGCGCACGTACCTCGCGCACAGCCTCCGGCGAGCCTGGAGGGGAGGAGATCATATTGGGCAGCTATGATTCTCCCCTTGGGCTTGGATGTACTTGTTTGCTTGCGCAACGGACGTCTTGCCCTCAGTGGGTGTCTCCAACGGGTGTCAAAGGGCACAGCAGTGCACGGTCATCCGTCCTTGACCTCTGAGCATGGAGTTCGACGCGTAGGTGGATTTGACCGTGGGAGATTTGATTGCTGGGGGGAGGACGCGGAGGATATCCTGAGACGGTGACAGCCGCGGGAACGTCGAGCGTGAATCAGTTCGGGATTCGACAAGCCGGACAGTTGTGGGGAGGACGTGTAGGTGGTCCGTTCTCTCAGGAAAAAAGATTCGTAAATGGGGGAAGGTGATAGTGATTCGAGTGACCAGGGCGCAGGAGCGCTGGTTAGGGGTGGATGCTTTTCTGTTGACGATTACAAAACTCTACTAGACGAAAACAGGCACAGCGATGACCGAATGCAAGCTGGGAGAAGAGGAAAGTTGTGTTGACTGTGCCTGAGAGATGGTGACGGTACAAGTTCTCGCGTGTGTCTCAAGTCAGGAGTCGAGAAGGGTTCGCGTCCTAGGCGCCAAATGCGGTATGGAGCGAGAATTAAGCCTAGAACCAGATCGTCAAGCCATTGGCAGGATTAATTTCCGGCTCTGCGGGAATGGTTTTAGTGCCCTCTTAGCAGACACCTAGCAGGCACCTAGCGGCCGTGGCTAGCTCCAGAGCCATTGCAGGAACTCAGGAACCCGGCAAGCCCTAAATATACCTAGGTATAGATAGTGCCCTAAATACATGGAATCGCCCCTACGGTTGGCTGCCTGCAGAGGGCGGGCCCTCTAATTCACAGAACCCGCGCCTTTTTCCACTCTATCCTAGTCCCTAAGCGTGCTCATCGCTCTGGAGTGCCAATCCAGCCACAGGCAAGGTCCTTTGTTTCAAGCTGCCTTTCCCCTTCCCTCATGTCAGGGGTTAAACGAGTCTAATGCAGTGGATCTACCGCCTTATCCTAGCTGTCATCCTCGCTTGAGGCCTTCCTGCATGCCTTGGTGATGATCAGTTCTTGCGCTCACTCTACTGTACTCCGTCCGTTATGTATCTACGGCTCCTTAGACCGGCATTTCCTCTTGAAAAGTTTCCCATCAGTCAACCACCTTGGTCCGCTGTTTGAGCTTCTTGTCCGTGTCCCCGCTTCTATACCGGATGCAGGTCAAACGGCGCCATTGTTAGTCTGCAGTGATTGGGATCCCGCAGAATCCGCAACCATAGGTACAACGGTTCAGCATCACTTTGCTGCTCATGCATGCTGCGCATTTTTCCGTCTCGCTTGGATAATTGAGACAGGATGGCTCGTCAGGTCAGAACGTCCATGATCAACATCTGAGAAAGCAAGTTGTTTGTTGGATGTCATATCGAGATTGTACTAGACTCAAATTCTACCTTTCCACTGCTTTGTCACTCTTCCAATGACACAAATCCCGTCCTTTTCTGTCTAGGAAACACGGTACAGGAATCAAGGAGGTCGAAATTGCGGTCGTAGTGCAACCAAGCATCAGCCACCAGCGAACTCTCAGACAACCGTTGAGCCCGTCCACGGTTTTGGCACGTGGATAATTCTCCGAACTGATGTGACAGCTTAAAAGCACTCGGGCCTGAGCTTTTCAGCTTGAAAGTGCTCCATGTCTGAGTTCATCCAAGCCGCTTGTGCGGCTTTAGTCTCGAGCTTGCATAAGTCTCCTTCATCACGACCTCGACTCACCTGAGAATCGATGCGGGGTCGAGACCTCGTCCAACCTCGCTTTTGAACGGCCTGCGTCGTGCTAGTTGGCGACCCTATGAGAGTGGTCAACAAGGTCCCATGCTATTCCCTTCTCAAGCAAATGATGGTCGAAACGGGACGACGCGGAATCTAAATGCATAAATGCGCAGATCATTCCGATAGCGCAGCTGCATCATGCATGGTCCTGGTATCTTGTCTTGTCAAGAAGGATGTGATATGATGGTTTCTGTTTTTTGTGCCTCTTGATCAGCCTATGTCCGAAGCGCCTTCGTCCACGACTTCATCGTCGTCGTCACTAGCGGCCGAGTCGGATTCATCCGCGTCTTTGTCGTGTGTTTCAGCGTCCCTGGCATCGCCATCGATACCGTGGTCTTTCATGTAGGTCTCGAGGTCTTTGGCCATTTTCTTGGAGAACCCCGAAGCCTCGACCTCAACATCCAGTCTTCTGATCCCTTCCTGCCCAAGTCTTTTCTTTGCATCCCGGAAAAACGGGCCTTCCTCGGTGCTGATAAAGCCGAACCTTCTGGCGAAAAAGCGCTTGACGCATTCAACGTCTCTATCAAAGTAAAACTCTGCATTGGGGTGATCCACACTGACCATCTGGGGAAAGTCGATCAAGACCGGGACCAATCTGATCCCCTCGCCTTCCTCTTCTTGTTCCTCTTTGATCAGAAGGTTGAATTCGTTGAAATCTCCATGTATGAGACCCAGAGAGCATAGCCGGACCAGGATCTCCATCAATTCTGCATACAACCCAGCTGGGTCCGGAACTTTCTCAATTTGACGCAGTGGGAACCCATCAATGAGTGACATGACCAGCTGGTGTCGATTCTGGCCCAGTGGTATTGGTACACTGAGCCCTGCGTCGTGTAGAGCTTGCAAAAATGCAAACTCTTTGACGGCAGCAAGTCGTGACATGTACATCCAGCTACCGGCACCTCTCTCTTTCTGGACCTTTGTCCTGGCATAATCTCGCTTGTTACGAACACCTTTTTTGAAGCTGACTCGACCAAGTCGATGTATCTTGAGCACTCTTTGTTCGCCCTTCTCGTCACTGACCACAAAGATATCACTCTCTTTCCCCACACCAATCTGGTTGCCGACACTGTAAACGGTATTGCTTTTCTGCAGGGAATGTAGAGCGAGGTAGTCTAGCCCTCCATAGGTGAGCCTGTAGCCGTCGTATTTCGCATTCTTGACTTTGGCTATGAGGTTGGCCTTGGCCAAGAGGGAGATACTGCGTTGGACATCACCCACACTGGATTTGGAGAGATTCGCAATGAGGGGGGTGGGCACAACTTCGTGATTTCGGCTGCCGGTCTCGACTGTAGTGAGGGTGCGCCAATCGGTGGGATTGAGGTATCGGAGTGACTTCGTGTCGAGTTTCATCTTTCAAGCATGAAATGGAGAACTCTCAGGCATTATTCGCAAGGCATCATACTTGGAGTGCTTGTCAGTTCCATATGCGCAAGTTGTGTCCAACATGTGAAGTGCGCGGCGTGAAACAAAAAATGTCTGATAGACCGGCAGCTTATCTAATCATGCAGATGACGTACTGTGATACGTTGACTTCTGGCTCTGAGCACCATCCACGTGACCATCCCTTCCGCCTCGCTGCCACACACCTCACTTCAACCCCTTTTCCTTGGGAGCGACGTTACAGAGTAGAGGAGTGTTCACCGTCACATGTCAGTTCTGTTCTATAATACTTATACGTATTGATACGAGGATCATTGATCGTGTGTGGACTGTCCTGGTGGCCCACCTTACACGTGCAAGCGGTAGGAAGGGGTGGGGTGACGGACGTCCTCAAGCTTGTGTGCATTTCCCTTACTAGGGTGCCTACAGAATCTCGCAGCAGGAGTAAGAGGTGAAGGTAGCAGTCCTCCGTCACTCAGAATGGACATGAAGATCTCTGTAAGTGCGAGTGGACACCATCCTTGCAATTTGCGTTCCCTCGACATGTCCAAACCATCAAAACCATTCCCTGAGGACGCCGTGTTGATTGTCCCGAGTCAAGAAGTCAGCCAATGCGTCTTCTGGGGCATTCTGCTGAGATGGACGAGTATCTTCTATTGTACAGATTTTCTCATACAGTTTGTGTCCGTGAAATAGCACGCTACCCCCTTCCTTGAACACTTGCGTCAAGTGGCAGGCATCAAGACCAGATGACGCAAAGGCTTTCCCCAGTCATGCCCATGAATGTTAGACAGCCGACCCCGAGCTGTTGGTTTTGACCCCCTTGATTCATGTGTCTGAAATGAGCAATTTGCCCACATTTTGTCCAGCACGAAGACAGCGCAGACAGTCCTAGTGTTGCAGTCTAAGCACACGAAGCAACTGAGTTCAAACCATCAAGACCGTTTGTGGCAGCCGCTCGGCGAAGAACCCAATGGAAAGAATGGTTTGGTGCGGCGGTCTCGTGTGTTACTGTCTGAGTCATCCCTCGAGGCGCTGTTCGTACACCATGGATCCGCACAATTGGTTGCATCAAACTATTGGCTACCTAGTCAGTACCAGTGGTTTTGCTCGACTTTTGTACCTTTTGAGTTTGGAGAGCAGCGGTCCTCGTTCGCCGTCAGAGTCATGATTCGACAATTTTTCCACCGTCGCCGACTATATATCCTCCCCGTGGCCGCGTCTCTGGGTGAGGACCAGACTTTCTTGCTCGACTCAACTCCCCTTGGTATCACTGGCAACAGATTCTCTCTATTTCTTTCACAGACAACACTATACGATTCGGCGCTATCCAACCTATTCACGATTTCCTACAAGGCGCTTCCTCGATCGACACTTATCGAAGCCCGCATACCTACGGACACAGAAGGCTTATGCTCTTGTAAAGAGCCGTCCTAGCCAACCAAACTCGATATTTCCCTCACCAAATACACCTTCCAACTTCTGCAAAAATTCAGAATCCCCCACTCCCTACAACATGCCATCCTACTGGAACCTTGGCGGTCTGCACTACTTCCTGGACGCGACCCGTGGTCCATGGTGCCAGAAATTCTCAGAAGGTCACCTCGACAGATGTCTAAGGGTGGAGCCTGAGCACCCTGACGGCGCTGTACATCGTATCTTTGCTAGATCCAACTTCAGCCGCCTCAGCATATATGCCGGCCTCGAAAAGCCGGTTCACGAATGGCTAGATCCGGAATGGACAATAAACCAAACTTTCTACGACCGAATTCGACCTGCCCTAGTGCTAGCCACACGACTACTCGAGGAGAACGCAGAATTCCTCGACAGGATCGTTTACGGCAAGATCGGGCACCGAGCTGGAAAATTAACTTATATTCTCGAGCACCAGCTTACCCAAGAACAACACGTTTTCCCAGACGCGTTCGATTACCTGTACAACTTCCAGATCTTCACCGGCCACTGCGAACCACGTCCCGTCGATAACTGGTACGCATTCACCAAAGCTGGACAATATCCCGAACTGGCTTGGAAGCATATGGAGACACAAGCCATCCAGATCAACAACAGATTTGTGACCGCCTTTTCCGACTACCACTACGGAACACTGGCACCCAAGCTCAAAGAGAGACTTCTCGTCACACTCGCGTTTACCCTCGTCCACGAAATGGTACATATTTGCGCAAACTACAAAAGGATCGAGCTCTTGAAAGACGGACGGCATGATCTAGTCGAAATGAAGAGCCGGAAACTATGGTTCCCAGAACCCCTCCTGACTTCTGAAGACGCCAGGGGTGAGCTCGGAGAAGCCTGGGAGCATTTATCTTTTGGGGGCATGGCTTATTTATTCTCTGCGGATAGTAGGGAGGGCTCAGAGGGGAAACCCATCCCTATCCTAGGATCTACCCATTTAGCATGCCTCCAACGCTCGACGGCCGCCGAGAGCAGAAACCCACACACAGCCAAAGAAATCGACGCGGCCTCCTTCCTCAACGACGACTGCTGGCAATTGTTCAGGATGCTGCGGGGTGGCGATCTCGCATCGACATATAAATCCGTTGCAGGCACCCGAATGCTGGAGCAGATGGAAACGGCCGCCTTCATGGATCAATTCAAGCAAATTGTGGGGCGTTATCCATCGCCAACCGAGATCAAGGATCACCAGAATGAGGACGACGTTGAAAGTCAGTCCTATTCAGACGAGTCGTCGCCAGAGGTCCCCATCATCCCATCGGACAGTGGCATTAAAGACCTGGTTGGTGCTGAGCCAGAAACGGCTCCATCGCCCCAGGACAAGCGCGCCGACTACTCCGAGGCTTGGCTTGCTCTTGGTAACGTTTCAAACGGCAGCCGCATGGGAAAAGGGTTAAGGGGTATGCACGGGAGAAGACGGACATTCACCAGACGGTAGATATGGCAGGCGCCCCGAGGCCATCTTCGACACTCTAGAGAGACCGAGACAGCGCCATTTCTCCTCAACTGAACGCCGGCCAAATATCGGCATCAGGAGTATCTACCCGCCAGGTCAGCCTCACAGCAATCGACAGGTTCGACACAACGGTCACCGAATCTACAATCACCAGCAGGTACCAGCCACTGTCTTCGGGAAGGACAATATGGACAACAAACAGCAACATTGAAACATTTATACTGGCGACCCCCTGGAAATCAAGATACAAGGTCCGGACGCCGATCTTGAGACAGGAGGAGGGGAAAAAGGACTGACGGCCGCAAGAACGGACTATGCACGGTTTTTCGAGCAGGAGATATATGTCAGGAGGCGTGCCTAGACGCAGTGGATTGGGGTTTCCGTCCTGTCCACTTGGGCACTATTGAGAAGAAGGATAACAATTGGGGAGAAAGGAGATGGAAGTTCAATTGGTGATATAGGACCCGAGGGCATTCTAGTAACAGGGACGGCGGGACAGGAGCAGATGACGAGAGATGTTTCCAGGTGGATTGTGCGATACTTGTGTTATACAGAACAGAGGAGCAACGTTTGAATGATCAGTGATATCTGTGCTTGCCCATCTCCCTTTAACCCCAGAGGAGGATCATTCTCTTGATAAGCAATTCTTCGTGTTGCACCAGACTTTCTGATCGTCTGCCACACACTGAAGTTGCTCCGGTTTAGCACTTCTTTTTCCCCCTCCACCAACCAACTTTCTGCAAGACGGCCCGGCCAATTCGGCTCCTCACGGCATATTGCACAAGAGCAGCAGCACGAAGAAGAGTCGAGGCTGCCGCGCTACGAGTATCGCCGTCGCCATCGCCATGGCTCCTGCCTCGACACGAGTCAAGAGATTTATCCCTCTACCCTCAACGGGCTTCAGCCTTCCAACAACTTTTCAGTCAAATACCGGCTATAGGGTTTATAGGGCCTGTGTCGATTCTCTCACTCTCTCTTATGCTTCGCGGCGCCAACGCTCTTTTACGTACCATCGCTTACCTTCATTCCATCATCATGATCCCGCAGTATCCTGACGAATCTCAACCTGAACATCCTCCTGGACATCAAGCCAACAAAAAGCCCAGCCCGCTTCGACCACCCGCACCGTCAAGGCTTCCTTCAGACTACTCGACCCAGCCACCATCATACCACACAGGTGCCCCTACTCCCAGTGAGGAGGAAGACGGATGGACGTTAGATCCTGGACCGAGCAACTGGATGAATACTCGCGAAACTATACAGTCACCTGGTGCCAAACCACATTCTCAGCAAAAGCAAGCGCTGCCATATACGCTACTTTTCTCGTCCACGAAGCACACCAGTTCCCTCACTCCGCTAGCGTCGTCCCAAGCTCTGTACACGGCCTCCTACAATCGTCCTCTCTTTGTATCTTCCAGGCCCGACATTACCATCACTTTCGCTCCGAAAGACTACGAACTGGCAACTGTGGTCTTCCATACATTCTCCTATAAAATCGACCTTATCTTTGGCCTCGACAGGATTGTGACATACAAACGCAAATTCGAGTCCTGTACGCTAGGTCGACTGGAGTGGGCGCTGGAGCATGCCAGGCGGAAAAAGGCGAGCTTTCGGTGCTTGGACCAAGCAGGGAAACCTGTGTGTACAATTGAGGTGACGGACAAGTTCAAAAATGGCCGCCTCCAGATCTGGAAAGAAGGTCTCAGTTGGGAGCAATTCGATGAGCTGATTGTCAGTGGGATCGCAGAGGTCGAGCTTTTGAAACGGAAACTCGACACAGCGACCGGTGCGATGAACGCGCTGCCAGGAGCGGTTGCAGGAGCCTCGGGCGCTGCAGCGGGTTGTTGAGAGAAGACGTACGCTAGCTCACAAATGAACTTGCAGGCAGGCGTGTCACACTGGACATCACGGTTCAGTATGAGGCATAGTTGTTGGCATGACTGGGCACTCCTAGAGCTCGACATGCTAGTGAGCGGTTGAGAGACTTGTCGGGCGGGCAGCTTGCAGCAGGAGAGAAACACAAGGCACAAGGAGGGGGAAATAGAGTCAGCACTTTTTCTGGTATCGATACTATACTCAATCCATTGGATATCCACTTTGACGACTAGAGCCTCTTTCTACAAGCGTGCCCTCATCTCTTTGCTGCAGCTGCAGCAGGCACCTCCTCATCCAGCTTCAAGATATCGGGCAGTGGTCCGACGGGTGTGATGGAGAACTGATTGATCTGCTTGTGACTCTTTGTGTAGTGCTTCTTGATATGCTCGAACTCGGTCGTCTCGCCAAACGCGGGCACGGTCCAGTACAAATTCCTCAGCCATTTGTGCAGATTCGGATACCCGGACCTGATATCCTTGATGTTGCACTTGAAATGCTGCACGTACACGGGGTCGAAGCGCACGATGGTCGTGTACAGCCTTACATCGGCCTCGGTGATCTTGTCGCCGAAGTAGAAGGGGCCCGAGGATTTTGCGAGGTCTGCCTCGGCGCGATCGAGGCTCGAGAACAGTTTGCGCACGTTGTTCTCGTATGCCTCTTGGGTGGTGGCGAAGCCAGACTTGTACACGCCGTTGTTGATGTCGTCGTACGTCCAGGCGTTTGTCTCGTCGATTTCGTGGCGGAGCCGCTCCGGGTACAAGTCGACGTTGCCGTTGGCCGCCTTGAATTGTTCGGGCAGCAGGTCGTCGAACTCGGTGTACAGCATACGGATGATCTCGGCGGACTCGTTGGACACGATGGTTTGCTTCTTCTTGTCCCAGAGGACCGGCACGGTGAAGCGCGCGGCGTAGTCGCGGTCCGCGGCGAAATAGAGGTCGCGCAGGTGTGTGAAGTCCGGGTGCAAGGGCTCCGGGGTGGTGTTTTCGCCGGGGACGTGTTCGTCGGGCGTGGCGAAGCGCCAGCCTTGATAAGATCGCTGTCAGAATATAGAAATGGAATGGGAATGGGAATGGGAATGGAGATTTGCAGTGGAAGGGTTGAAGGGGGGACGAGCATAACGAAAAAGAAGAAGAGGTGAGATTGGTATAGTACTGTACCTTTCTCGGCCATGTGCCAATGCACGCTGGTGAAGCCGATGATGTTCTCCAATCCTTTGAGTCGGCGGACGATTAGGGTCCGATGAGCTTTTTTCCCCCGGTCCATCAGCATAGTCCTGAAGGGACTTCTCTAGGTGCGAGATTGGTAAATTACATACCCCATGGACAAGCATAAGATACATAGAGATGATATCTGTCCTTCTCGGCTGGGAACTCGGAATTGGCATCTTTGGAGATGAAATTTCGAAATGCAGACTGTTGGCGCTTGAACTCGCCCGACTTGTCGTCTGGCTTGACCCAGTCTGTGATGGTGGCTTTATTATCCTGCGAGGGAGTTCGATTCAGCAAGAGCACGACAATTGCAGAAAAAAGAAGGACAAGGACGGACAGAAGAGAATTGCTGCGTACCGACATTGTAGAGAAGCGGGCTGCTCTTGCTGGGGCTAAGATAGGTGTAGTAGGGAACTTGCTGAGGTGAGATACTTGCTGTCGGATGCGATGAAGGATATTTGACATAAAGTGTTGGGGGTGAACTGGTGGGCAGCAGTATGGAATACTAGTAGCTTTTATGTTGGCTGTACGGAGTATGCGAGGTAGCAAATACAAATGCGTGCGGAACGAGTCCGATGACGAACAGCTACCCACCTTGCCACCACCTACCTGGTAGGTGCCTGTGTAGTTAGGTGTCTGGGTGTCCACTGGTGTCACTGCTAATCATGACGAGATCAAAGCTCGATCGTGTGGGTGACTAAACCTGCAGTGATGACTAAAGATGCAGTAATTCCAGACTTGCCATTTGTGGCGGCAACGACAACAGCAGATGATGGCAGCAATCTTGGCGAGAGGAACCCGTCCTCGAAATCCTAGGTACGGACCATGTTGAATTGATTCGGTTCTAAAACGTCTATCGATTTTTGATACAGACCCAGGGGAACCCGCCTTTGTCCATATGTCCAGTCACCCTCCATCTGCAATGTCTCGAGTCGGAGCTGCGAATCGTTGCCATACGCCTTAAGGAGCCATCTTGAATCTTGATCCACCTACTTTCTGTACTTCACCATGACATAGGGAATTTCCACATCTTCCTCAGTAGTGTCCTCGGCCGTAATCTCAAAGATGATGTTCCTCTGATGACCCGGAATCGGCTTTTTACTGATGGTTTCGAGCAGCTGGCTCATCTTCAGCGGCATCCGATCCTTGGTCTTGTTGGGCGGATAGAAGCTGGCATACAGTAGACTGACACCAGAGCTAACCATGGTCACGCTCAGTCCCAGAGACTCAAAATGCACCAGGAACTGGTTGAGAGGAACATCGTCGACTTCGAAACGATCCCATAACTTGTCGATGGTGACTTCACCGTCCTTGCCTTTGTACGTGCCTTTTGGACTGGCTATCGGCTCACTGAAGCCAAAGAATGGCAAGGCCAGGTTGACGAAGCCGTTCTTGTATTGTTCGAGGTCGGTCTTCCCGTCAATGATTTTGTACAATTCCAGGATCACCAAACCAGTAACCAATGCCGTGGTTGTAGCAATGGCCGGAATAATCTTGCCGGCGATGAACTTGGTCTTGTGACGATCGGCGACGGGAATGTTGTAATTCATGGCTCGAAGGTTGCTTGCAGCAGTAATAAAATCGATGTGATGATTTGTATCATCATCTTTCTCGAACTCCACAACATTAAGTCGGAAAGTCGGGATGATTGCTGGAGATGGCAGCTCAGCAATAATCCGGTCAAGTTCCTCGGCGTCATCTGCAAAGCTAGGCTGGTTTGCATTTGGATCGGGCTCCTTCTCGTCGGCCTGAATCTTGACGTTTGCGTCAGGCTTGAATTCCGGAATTATCATGCTGCCAAGGACTTTGACATAGTCTTCATGTGAAAGTCTCGGTACTTCGATTCCGTAGTTGTACGCATGGAGAGCGGCAGCTGCGACAACGAAACCCATATGGGTCGTGTCATAGGGGTCGAAATCAAGAGGAGTTGGAGCGCGTTTCGGTCCCGACCAGAAATCGGCTCCCGTCGATGTCTTGGTGTCCTTCGGAAAGTTGTACAACAACTGCGCGATGGCATTGTGATATTCCTTCTCGAATTTCATCCGCGCCCAGGCAATGCAGTCATTGAAGTCGCTTGGCTTCTCGCTGACCAAGTAGTCTCTCAGGCTTTCCAAGATCATCTTCTCGTTGCCTTGCTGCTTCAAAGTAGTGTCGATGTAATCTGGCTGTGTTATGTACAGGTTGACGGTTTCCGGTGGTCCCACAAAGTATGACTGGAACAGGTCTCGGGCCCAAGCGATGGTATGCTCAATCTTATTGGGGAAGCTTCGAAGTGTGCACATCGGGAAGGATTGTTCTGGGGGATCTTGAGAGCTAGAGTATGATTCGGTCAGACGCGGCAGGATGACTTGAGTATTGCCTTTGGTTCCCAGAGTGCCGCTTTCGAGTAGTGGCTTCATGAAGAAGACGCATCGCCGATCAACGTACGTACGAGCTTCCACATTGTCCAACGCATTGGTGACGATGTCGAGCTCATGCCAGAATCGCTCATTGAAAATGTCCTCGCTGTCCGGTCCAATTCTGTCCGTCATAGGCGTGATTTTGCCCTTGAGGTCAGGATTCATGGCCTGGACTGCTGCGGCTGCACATTCGCTCTTCTGCTTTCCAACGTCCTTGGGACGGAACAAGAATTGTCGGTTGAGGTTGCTCTTCTCGATCGAATCGTTGTCGGTGACGGTAATGTGTCCCTTGGGACCAGTACCGAGACCAATCATGGCATAGTTCTTCAACATCTCACACCCAATGGCGCCAGCGCCAACCAGGAAGTTTCTGACGTTGGAGATCTTTTCTTGGTATTCCCTGCCAAACACTGCGATTTGGCCATCGTATCGTGACCCCGTGGGTTTGCAGAGCTCTTCACTTCGAGCCACTGAGGTTGGCAAAGATTCGAGAGAATCAAAATAGAGCCATTGCTTCACAGGTGTGAATTTTCCGGACACAGCCTTTAAGACTTCCTGTGCCGTGAGGCCACCAAAGAAGGCTGCCATGGGACTAATGTCACCCTGAGCTTGATAACTCAATTCTGTAATCAGCTTGTCGCTAATTTCGATCTCCTCGCCGCTTTCCTGGGCCAGTTTCTTGGCAACCTCCAGCACCTCTTTTGCATCTTCATCGTTGTGTGGCCTCGGGAATGTACCATTGTGATTCTCAGCAAATGCATGGAGGGCCCGAATGCCAACATGGAGCTGCGCTGGACGGTCGAACTTTGCAAAGTCGGACATCAAGAATTCGGGCTTCTTGATTTGTTCGGAAAGTTTTTTGAACTGAAGCACCTTGGGCATCTTGACCTGCGCGAACAGTCCTCCTCCTTCATACTTGCCCAAATCAGAGATGTCTCCAATTGAAAACGAGTATGGTCCCTTGACCGTGATCTTTCGAGGCGGAGCACCGTTGAGCGCTTCCAGACCTCTGAGCTCAGCAAACTCAACGTAGTCACCATCCTCCAGACCATGACGTGTTTCGTCTAGAGCAGACACCAATCCTGTCTCGTCGATGTCTGCAATAATGCCACTAATTGGATTCTCTCCAGTCACATCGCCCACCGTGAAATCCTTCCCGAAGTCGTTGAAGATGTAGCCAAATAGACCAAAAGTATCCGCAACTGTGAGGTAGATGCCATTCTCGTGACAGAAGTCGGCGATGGTGAGTTGATCTTTCAAGGCCGTGGCCGTCAGCACGATGGCTTGGTATTTCTTGAGTTGATCGAGATCATCGGTCAAAGATTGTGATTTATGGATGGAGACAGGAGTGTAGGAATTCAGTTCAGCCACTCGCGGGGCGGTTACTTCTGCTCGAGGCTTGCCAACGTCTTCGGCGCGCAGGAAGAATTGGGAGGACAGGTCGGCAATGGCTACGGGGTTGGGATCGAAGAGGGTAAGAGACTTGACGCCAGCAAGTGCGATGTTTTTGGCAATTTCAACACCCAGTCCTTTCAAACCGACTATGAGAACATTGGAGGATCCCATACGCTTCATAGCCTCGTGGCCCAGGACGTAGAGTTGTCTGCTGTAGAGTGATTCATCGATCTCGCCCGTCTGGAGCTGTTGAATAGCAGCCCCAGGGTTGTCGACTTCCATCACAGAGTCTGTCATGATTTTCTTTTCTGGCCGGGAGAGGTTCTCGGTGGAAGCCTTTCTCTTGCTACCGGCCTTTATAGAGTCTGGGATATCGGCGTGAGGAGAAATTGTGACAGTGGCCTTGCGTCAAGCAAGACCTGAACTGCGGAAGATGTGATCCGAAGAGCAACAGCCGCTTCAGATGAGGACACTGTGCGTAGAGGAGAGGTTGGTGAGATGGAATGAGTGACAGAATGAGAGGGTTGAAAACGCTGATTAGAAAGGACAAAGCCGCAGGCAAACAGTTTGTAAGGTGGTGTCTTAGTCAAGAAGATTCGCGAACTGGAGCGCAATGAATGCCTTGTGCTGTGCCTTGCAGTGATGCAATCAGGCGGCAAAGGGCCTGTTCGGCTGACCTGCCTAGATATGGATTGCTAATACTCTTATGGAGTACCCCACCTTGTCTAAGGTTAGTTGGTCACGTGGTCTATGTACCACACACGACCACGGTAGGCTAAACGGCGATTGCCAGACAACCTGTCAGTAGAGAGTGGCTGCACCGCAAACAAGAAGCCTCTCTACATGCGTTGTTCTTATCCTTAGATCCTTGAGTCCGTCACCCTTGCATGATGTATCTACCCAACCACCTTCCCTACAACGCAAGGTAGGTACATTGGTGAACAGGTGAACAAGCACGGAGGACTACTTAACGCGTCCTAACTTCAACCGCGTGGACCGCCTCAGTTTGCACATCCCATCATGAACTCCAATCTTCTCAATGTGCCGGTTCGAAGTGATTGGTCGACTAGTGCTCTGGTGTCAATCTGAACACGAAACCACTCCTTCTTTTGACCTAAGCCACGATCCTCCGCCTCGCCTGCGTGTCAAGCCAGCGCCTAAACCTACAAGATGCTACATGAAATCCTCCTGTCCCTATCCGGGCTCCAGTCGCCCATCTGGACCCAAGCAGATGCGCCAGAAGAGAAAGGGCAGGGTCTGAATCAATATGTGTCACCACCAGAACGTGCCATGTTACAAAGTCTTGCTCATCTTCACGACCTACACATTCAGATCAAGAACGCAACAACAAGGATATCGCGGGAGCACCCCTCTATGATATGTCGGGCTGTAAGCTCCTCAATGTCAGATGTGCACTTGGGCAGATTCATGGACAAGATCATACAAGTGGAGACGTCAATACTCAAGAAAGACGCTGGCTATGTGGGTGCTTATGAGATTGTCCCTTTGAGCACGATAGTCTCTGATTTCGCCCCTTGGACAAGACGCCTAGAATGGCTGTGGTCAATGGTGAGACAAATGAACCTCGACTCGGCAGGACGCCAAACAAAAGCTTCCGCAGCTAGCATTCTGGATTTGTTGGAGCAGGAAACTCACACTGGGTACGCCGATATCGAAGACATGGCCGTCGCTCTGTTGACAGTTGCACAAAAAGCTTGGATGAGGGCAGCGTCAGTCTGGGTTTTGTATGGGAAACTCCCAATGTCTGGCGCTGATGACTTCTGTGTCAAACAATATCCCCGCTCGTCGTCGACAATGGACACTTTCCTGCTTGACCATTCACTTGTCCCGAAACTGGTCAGTCCGACCGGTGCAAACGCTCTTCTGTCGATTGGAAGTGCTTTGAATCAGCTACGTTCTCAGGAAGTGCTTGCCGCCAGGTCGCTCAAAGGTCTGAATGATGCAGCAATGACTCTATTGCCGAGGCATCTGAGGCTGCTCCAGTCTCTCCGATATCCTCTGAATTCTGCATTGTTGGAGAACGTCTTTGCATCTATCAACCAGTCTATCTCTGAGGATGCTCTCACAGAGATCTTGCCTCGGACGCTTGTCTTACGAATGCTCCAGGTCACGTTGCGGTACCTCCTGCTCGGCCATGGGGAGTTCGCCGTTTCATTAGTGGCTCATGCCGATGATCGCATCACAAATCGCCAACAGACACAGACGGCAGTCCGGCCAGTCCGGAGAATCGGTAGACTTGACGATCTAGCAATTAAGGACGCGGAAATCAACGCTGTTTTGAGCAAGGCCATGGCCGAAGTAGCAGGCTTTGATGAAGACACCGAGGATGAAATTTTCGACTTTGCAAAGAAGATCTTGTCTCTGAAGCCGGCGGATGCGCAAGATAACCCGCTGATGGTCTCAACGTTGTTACCTACACCGACGCTCTTAGTTATCACGATCCCGCCCTCCTCACCATTGAACATATTCCTTTCTACACAAGATATCAAAACCTACTCTTTGTTGAACGCCTACCTGCTTTCCATCCACAGAGCAGGCCTCCATCTGTCCGACCTGTGGAAACTGACTGCACACCGCCGGTCTTATCCTACGCCCCTAGGGCCGCCTAGAAGCGCATCACGGGCGGGACAGGCAACGCTCGCAGCCCGCAGATCCCGAGACGAGTATAGAACCAAAAGAACGAGACGACATTGGACATGTGCAAGCAAAGCCCTCTTCATGGTCAATGAGCTTGAGGGCTATTTGCAAGGCGAGGTGATCCAGAGTAGTTGGTCTCACCTCCACAGGTGGTTGACAGGTGATGATCAAAGTGGTCCTGCGTCTGCAAAGTCTTCTCGACCTACTACAGCCTCATCAGCCGGTCAAACCAGATTGACAGACGGTAGCTCCGGCGTCCCTTCTTCAGAAAGGCGGGGCGGACCCACCGATCCCCGAGTGTTGGCACAGGCTCATCGGGCATATCTACAAGCATTGAAGTCTGGGCTGTTTTTTAACGACAGTATCTTCGTAGATGCGTTGAAAACATTTCTGACCCAGATCGACCATTTGGTAGCGCTGTTTTCTCGCCTGCAGAAAGTCTGGGAAGGGCTAGATCTGCAAGAAGACGATGGCGTGGTTGACGCTTTCTCAAACTATGCGCAAGATTCACGAGAAGTACTCTCTGAGATGGACTGGACAAGTGACGCCATCAACGCAACAATCATTGAGCTCGTGGATAAAGTGCGCGAGGTCGAGAAGGAAAAGCGAAGTGGTACTGGACACCATGCTCTTGTCGAAGGCCTCGATGGCCTGGACTTGCACGCTTCGCGATTCGTTCCCTGGCAAGCGCGAACTGTGGATAGACTAGTTATGAAGCTTGATAGTCTGGCGGCAAGGCATGAGGAAGACGGAGATGAATCAGAGGTCGTCTATGGTTACGATGATGAATGATGATTATCCCTATTGGTTCCAAAAAGAATCTGCCTATGTCAATATGCCAAGTCAAAATATTCACAGTAGAAGGTCATTGTCTCAGAAGGACACTAGCCCGTCCGGTGATCACGAGATTCATGCCCGGACACCACCATTGACCAGTTCTATAGCTAAAAGCGAACTGTCCTGACGCTGGGGAGGGCGTAGAGACTCCTAGAAGCATAGCTTTGCCCCGTGCCCAGAGTATTGCATCGGTTAACATGAAACTCGAAGTTTACCGGAAAATTCTCCACAGCAGGCAATTGCACTTCCTCTGTGCAGCGAATTGTCGAATGCAAGGAGCGATAGCACGGTACTTTCGGATGACTTCACGTACGATGAGCCTACCCTGTCAGAGCTATTAGCCATTGGGTCGTCCAGAGTGCACACCACCAGGCGCGAACAAAAGAGAGAAGCAAGATAGAACTCAGATAAGCCGTGTACCTCATCCCCTTCCCTGCCAGGCAGAAGCACCGACCACGGCCTCATAACGAGATCATGATTAGCGCTGTCCGCACTGAACAGCAAGAACAAGCCTCTGTTTTCCCTGGAATCACAACCTCGGTTTCGGCCAGGCTTCTCCACAACCAATCATCCCTGCTCCTCTGCCTTGGAGTGACGAGCAGTCCGAGGGTGAGAGGCACAGGTCCGGTATCAGGGAGAGTGGACGGGTATGAGGTGGACCCGTGAGAAGGGGAGGTCCAGTTGGAAAGGTGTCGCCCGTGAGGGAGAGCTAGGAGAATGGATAGACTAGGTGTCATCATCGAAATTGGGGGAGACGGCGGCGGTGATGAGCTATGAAGGGTTGAAGCACTTACTTATAATGTTTGGGACAGACAGACAGACAGATGGTCATCAAAGAAGAGCTAAGGTGAGCGAAGTCTATGGAGTCCTGTAAGGGCATGATTAGCAATTGAAAAGAGCAGAGAAAATCGGACGAGTTGGACAATGTGAAGATGAAAATCAGACAATTGGTAAGCTTGGTAACGGTTTCTTCAACTTTTGATTCAGAAGCAGAACTGTTTGAGAATAACCTTTGATCATCATGTGATGGGATTTTGCTGAATTGCTGGAGGGGAATGTGTAGACATACCAAGCTAATCAGGACCGAAAGGTCGAGATCAGAACGCACGACTAAGATTATATATCTGCTCAGATACCGGTTAGCGAACCATGTTGAGTCGGCGTTTCGTCGTCAATAGTGAGATATGATATAGAAAGGTCAGATGGTAGTGCATGTTGAGTTCAAGGCTCATTGATGATCGCCGGAACTGGTGTATGATAAAATTTTCATCAAAGAATGGGAGGTAGACGGGGAGAAGAAATGCTTACCACGTAAGTTACAGCATAGCGATATTCATGAATGATGAGAACATGAGGAGCCGACTGACTGCTTGATGAATCGATGGTTCGAGCATGGTATATAACGACGTCTTTGACCAGCGAGGTTGGAAGTCGTCTGCAAAACAACAAAATTTATTTATCGGCTCACGGTTTGATCAAGGTCCCCATACTCCGCCGTACATTTAGCGCTCTTGGCAAAAGAGCCGCACGTGATACGACTCGGCTGGTTAGTCAGCTTGTCTGCTCGTCCAAGCTGACTAACACGCGACATCTGTTGGTGAGTCCGACACCTGACAACTGCCTGATCACTGCGTACCTGCTTGTTTGATTAAACCACCAGGTGAACAGCCTTGACTCGGTACGTTGACGGCAGGGAGAATTCCTCAGCGGGAAGTTTGTGGAGCTGTACTGAATCGCGCGGTTTTCGTGCAGTGGAAATATGGTCACGATGCGTCTTCTCATCAGGACTTGCTTCGGACGAGCTGAGACGAGTCCATAATTCGACGGGATGCAACAAGCCGCCATAACAAAAGAACAACAAACTCTTCGGACAGACGCGCATGGATTCTAGTGAGTCAAGGTCATTGTCCTTCTTCGCCCCAGTGTGTGTGGCAGTTGTCAAAAGACGACGCCGTTCAGATCCTCACGCCTGCCGGTTTAAACAAGAGCATTTGGCAGGAAGTCCAGTTTGAGAAAGCAGGTAGGGAATCTGTTATCTTCGTTACAGCTCATGGCTTTGGCTTCACATTTGGTATACCATTGCCACACTGCCGGGCCTCAGTCAAGCTCATAAGGTTCGACCTTGGACGAAGGTGAACGATGCGGAAGACCCGCGACTGCCAGCAGTGGGTATGGTAGCCACGTGGTTATCGAGTCATGAAGAAGCCAAAGACAGATCTGCTCACTCTTACCCTGACTGCGATCTCCAAATTGTCATTACCTTGCATATGCCTCTGTCCCGGAATAGACGAGATATGAGTCGAATTTTCCAAACTACCCAGGAGAAAAGGCAAGACGCAGCGCCATATTTGGGGAGAAGCTATGTCGGGCAGCTCGCCTTCTACCGGAGCGGCTGTCGCTCAGCAACGGTGAACCGGGGACGCCTGAGAGATGTCGACCCGCCTGCTTGTGAAAGCGAGTCGCCTTCTCACGTGCCACACCTTTGACGCGCATCTTGAGTCTCCGAGTCAGGCCTATGCGGCCAGCTCGCAGAGGGAATAGTCAAATTTGAAGGACGCCTTCTACGTCCAGTGTTTCAGCATTTCCCCCTCCCGAAATAGCAGCGGTTTGGACAAGTAACGACAATGCTATAACGGAGGTTTGCACCTGGATGGGGCCGATGTGGGCCCCAGGAGCCTTGACATGACTGCGTATTGAATGTTGGCAACAGATCTGAACAAAATTGAACTCTGAAGAGTAGCAAACTGCGCCTAGCGACATCCGAGATGGGCATTCTCTGGCCTCATATGCCCGGAACTCACTTGACGATTGGACAGTATGTCCCACTACTTTTGGCTCTCCAATGTTCGTCCACTTGCCGAAGAGGTGTCCTTCTAGATGCCGGCGACCAGCTCTACCGAACCACAAAACAAGAATCGACCAGAAGTACTTGTGCTCGAGGCAGTGTAGCCGGATGTCGGCTGAGATCCTCTCCCGAGTCTCTCATTCAGGGACTTTACATAGTCTTTGGCTAGGGCATCGGACCAACAGCATCCAGCGATCATCGACACCCATCATCGACTACGCTCAAGCCAGCAGAAGTGCATTGTCATTCGACAACAACCTTTATCGAATGCCAGACCGTTTTCCACTTCGGCTCTCTTGGCGGGTGGTGGTGGCCTAAGCAATCAAGGCTATGACGCACTTCCCTCGTTTGCGACCTATTCTGTCCGCGCCACGAGTTGCAACGAGCACCTCGTACCTTAGCGAGTTTCCGTAAACGGCTGTGGGGGCCAGGAACACCTATCGCCGTATGTTGCCGTATACTAAATATCATCTCCATGCTCCAGCTGCAACAACTGTACCTCTACTATACGCAAAGACCCAGTGTATCTAGCCTGGCCAGCGACTGCAGGACACCTCATTATACGACTTTGGTGCTGTCGTCCCAGTGTCTCGTTCGTGGACATGCCCGCCGCCTCCCGGCCTGCCAGACGACGGCGGTGGCATCAGAAAACATTCAGCGGTTGTTTGCGGTGCAAACAGAGGCATGTCAAGTGCGGAGAGGAGAAGCCTGCTTGCCAGAAATGCATCAATCTTGGGGTCTCGTGCCCCGGCTACAAGCTTCCCCTGACACGCCTCTTCGAACTCAAGCCCTCAAAGCATTTCGATTGCAAGGAAGACGAGCTGAATTACGACTTCTTCGTCAGAGACGGTGTGGAAACCGTGGCATCCGCTCAGAGCACGTCACTACGGTTCTGGACAAGGCTGGCTCCTCAATTGGCCGAGAACGATGCAGGCATCAGACACGGGCTGATTGCCCTTGGCGCGATCCTGCGACCTTTACATAATGCGCCGATCGAAAGACGACTCGACAGACCACGGCAAGCTCTCCAGATGCCACCTTCGGCAGCCAGGCACGCGAGACAAGCCTTGAATTGTATGAAGGTTTTAGACTGCGGAGTGCTGCCGGTCGAGGTGTCCCTCACTTATTGCATTCTATCCAGGGAGCTGGCTATATGGACCGAGAAGGAGCCGTCTCCTGTGGATCATCTTCTCATTGCGCATGGCATCCTCCAAAGCAAGAGCGTACACAACCTGGGAGTGTCGTGGATGGCACACAACGACCTCCTGGCGACCTTTGTCCCTCTAGTCGACCAGCTGCTCGTCCACGCCTGCAGCTACTCAGATGATTTCCCCCCTGTCGACTCCGGCTTACTATCGAACTACCAGCTTGTGAATGGCTTGGAAAGGATACAGACGGTTTCGACCTGGGCGGATGCGCTCGACAGCATTGCCTCCCTCCTGAAATCCGTCTTCCGAGTAACCTGTCCCTTCATCGTCTCGACCGACGCCGAGTTGGGCTATATCCTGTGCTCGCTGAACATGTTTGAGGAAAAGCTGCAGAAGATCCGGGCTGAGAGCGGCCTCGCGGGGGATTACCTGCACCTGCAAGTCCATCATCGAGTCGCGCACATAATGTTCCACACGCTGGGCCAAGACGACGAGTGGAAGTACGACAAGTTCCAGCCGGATTTTTACTTTATTGTCGAACAGATGAAAATGATGCTGGCGTCCCGGTGCTGGGGCTACTCTAAATGGAACGACGACGACACGGTGGGACATCATGCTGCTAGACTCTCGCCGACTCTTGGCTGGATCGCGCCGTTGTGGTTCGTCGCCACGAAATGTCGCGACTCGTATCTCCGCCAACAGGCGCTGCGCCTGCTGCACGACCTGCGCCGCGCCGAAAGAGGGTGGACAAGTTGTATGGCGGCGGCCATCGCCCGGTTCGTGATCGAGGAGGAACAGAAGCCCGTTTCCCCGGTCTCGGACGCTGACATGTCGGGGTCATCGGCCATCTACCACCTCGAGCGGAGAGTCGAACTGAACGAGGTCGAGTTCTGCAGCAAAGAGCGTAAGGTCTTTTTGGCATACACCGTCTCCGGCAAATACGATACCGTGGCGGAGAAGTGCATCGACAGCATCCCTTACACTCCCCACCCGACGGTCGAGAAGGACAATGGCGAAACCTGTCCGATGTCAAGGAAGGTCCTCAGGCACTGTGGCTACTCGGGGATCTTGTTGTACTCACCGCATATTGATTGTCATTGCGCCGATCTTGCGGGATGAGTTACTGAGTAGTATCACGACATGAGCAAGAACGTAGATTTTGGGTCTTCTGGCTATGCAGCCGTGTTGGGGGAATGCTTTGCAGAGCGGGTTCGTCTGATACGTGTGCAGAACGATGGTCAATGACTTGGTAATAGTACTATGAGCGTCGGCGCAATAGAATTTCCAGCAACATTTGATCGAGGCCCAATATCCAATATCTCTTCTTCGGGCTTCACAAGCTTCTTGACAGGAACAGACTCCTGTTCGGACCTAATCATGCGTATTTTACTGCCATTGAGAGCTTTGGGAAGAATGCCCGTGAAATACTTGGTGATGCATTGCGTATCTACGAACCGGCCGAGAACTTGTTTCCCCAGATTGCTGGCCCACTTCTATTGAGGGTTCCGAGTGCCTGCTCGAGCGTGATCACTTGAGCAGGAATCTTCAGAATGATGCCTTACTTGATCGCTTGGTCAATGTTCAGGCCGGGCACACTCGAGCCTGCTTCGATGGTGTTGTTCGAAATAACATACACGTTGTAATTCAGGGCGAAGAGGTTCTAGGCCGTGCACAGAACGGTGCCTGAAGATGTCATGCCTGACTGTCGTGTCTCAGTTAGTCCTCGATCGGATTTCGACAGTGCCGTGGCCTGATTTACAATTACCACTGTATCGATGTGCTGCGAGCTTAGAATGATCTCGAGCTCGTTGGCAAAGCCTGCGTAGTGGCGTGTATGCTGCATTACCACGTCATAGCCATCTTTGACTCTGAATGCAGGTGCAATGGCCGAGGCTGGGTTGGCGGCATTTATAGAAGACACATCGGCCGATGGATTCATGGACTTGACGAGCGCAAGGTCTTCGGCAAGTGCTTCGTCAAGTGCTTCGTCAAGTGCTTCGGCAAGTGCTTCGGCAAGTGGCGAACCAGGCTCGACGTCTGGGTATTGCGAATTGGCATAGTAAACGCGTGTGAAGATCGAGAGTGGTGGAGGGCTCTGGGTGTGCACTGCGTCTATCCACTTCGATGTGGAGGCTATGAAGTCTTTGCCCGACGAATAGGTTGAGATAAGCTCGGCGTAGCTGGTGAACAGGCCTAGATTGAGCACAGCATAGTGCTGGCCAAACGAGAAAGTGTCGTTGTCAGGGAGGGTACTGAAATCGGTGAAGTACTGCGGTGCCGGGACCGACGCTTGTCAAGCCGACGAGGCAGAGAGATGCTAAAGCAAGGCTTGCTATTGTGGAGAGGCTGCAAAAATGCATGTTGACTAGGCCGGACAGAACGCTGGTATCGCGGAAGCGGGCGTCCAATGTAGAAGAGTGAGCTGGTGGCCTGGATCCCCCTCCTTTGGGCACTTTTATATCATTCTCTGCAAGTGTCCGCACACGTAAGTAGTAGCCATGATGCGGGTCAAGAATGCAAAGGTCAGGGGGTCGGCAGCCTTGCTGGTGGAGCTCACTGCACATCCTGAGGCTTGACTTTCCCCAAACCAGAAACCTGAACGGGCCCCGGTAGAGTCGCAGTGCGGCCTCAAACAGCCTGCCTGAAGCAATGACTTAATCGTGGGAGGGAACGGTGGGCATGCACTTCTTCGAAAAGAGGTTGCGTTACAAGGTCTTCCGCACTCTCATCTCGGTCAGATTCTTGCGACGGATGGATGATATGGCGCAAGAAGACCGCATCCGTCTGATCCAAGACTTCGGGTCCATCGGGCCACAGCTCTATGCCCAGCACAACCAGCGTGTGCGTGACATGGTGCCTAAGGAGCGGCTGCTGGAGTACAAGGTCAAAGAGGGATGGGAGCCACTCTGCGCCTTCCTTGGTGTCGAGGTCCCTGATGAGCCGCTGCCGAGGTTGAATGAAAGCGACAGTATTAAAGCCGTTTATTTTGGCCAGCAAGTCTTCGGAGCATGTGTGTGGACCTTTTGGTTCGGGTTGATCGGCTGTGGTGTCTACATCGCGCGAAATCCTGGCATTCTGCGGTCACTGGACGACCTTGCTTTCGACTGGTTGAAGAGGAGTCCGAGGTAATCTACCTACGTGAAAGATGAAAAGATGTAAGTGGCGGTTACAAAGCTGCGAGATCACCTGCATCCTGCACGTATCTCGCGCCTTCCTCGTTGCTACTTGACACTTCCAATAAGTGCTTTCCAAATTGCGATCATTCCTACCTTGACTTCAGAGTTATTGTGTGCACTCGATAAAAATCATACCTCTGGACAGATGTTAGACTGTACATAAGTACTGAGCCACCATCAGCATGGCGACCGTGAACCCACTCAAGCTCGACGAGACCTGCATCATGTGTCCTCGGCGAGGACCGAAGCGGTGTGTAAAGTGCGGTGACGCTCACTATTGCTCCATAGGTAGACATCGTTGGTATGAAGTATGTGGTTTTCATGGCTAACATCTGGAACAGAATGTCAGCGTCTCGACTGGAAGAACCATAAGATCATATGCCCTTCATTCAATGAGAAGAGGCCGAATCCCAAACCGCCCGAACCGGGTGCGCATCTCCAGTGCAAATATAGGCGAGGGCTGTTCTTTCCTGGAGAAAGACAAACCCCAAGATTCGTCTGGATGGCTGTGTCGGTGAACCCTGACCATTCCTGCACATATCTCGACAAAGAAGTTTACTTTGGAGAAGATTGCACCGATCGGATGAAGACCAGTCATAACAACATCCAGGCGCGTGATATCGATCGTGATAAGGCTGAGCAGCTGCTTTTCCATCACAAGGAGAATATCATGGCCGAGAATCCAAATCTGGGAGTGCGAGACTTCACGCGGGCTGGTGTCTGCGCCGACATCTTCAGAGGACCTATACTCGTTACACGCATGGGTTGTAGTGCAGACGGGTTTGAAGAATACCGCGACATGGACTGCCGGGACGCCCGAAACGCTGCAGACTTCTTCAGCTCAGCATTCCGACTTGGCCAGAAGAGCGCAGGCCTCCAAGATATCCGAGTCATGGCTATAGGTGCTCTTTACGATAGTATTCTGAAGGAAGGGCATCATTTTTGCTTTTTGAAGGGAGAGGGACGGTCATGGCATACCAGAATCCTCGACGGTTGCGACAGTATTTTTTCAGCCGAAGGAAGTGGAATAGCCAACTTACTCGGGATTCCAATTTTGTTGCGTCGATGTGATGAGCTGGATATTCCCGAAGTGCTGCGTCAAGCGTATGGATTGCATAGGAAAAAGGACCAAGGTCTGCACAATCGCAATGCCATGCTCTTGAAGCGAGACATCACTTCAACCACAACATCGAAAGCGTCGTGGCAGCCCAGAAACCGATTCTGTGCCGCCTTCATAGGTAACTATGGCCAACACGCCGGCGAGAAGGGCTTTGGCTCTTCTCCAGTGCTGTGGAACGACACAGATATGGGAATTGTCATGGTGGCTCGCGCAGACGGCCATCCACTGGTGTGGCCGCACTTCATGGCTCTTTGCCGATATATCTCGACCAAAGTAGAACCACGGTTGGCGCAAGCTGTGTCAGGTCTGGCCGAAGGCGGCGTTGTCACCGAGAGGGAATCCGTGCTTAACTCCATCACCAAAGCCGAGTTCTTGGATGTTTGGAAGCAACTGAAAGCTGAGCGAGCGATTGATCCGAAATGGAGCTTTTGTCCTTCTCCATACGATATAAGCAACCCGGCGGAGTTCAGCGAGATCGGTATCATGGTTTCCGTTGAAATGAACCTGGCTACGCAGATCAGTGCGGGAATCATTCAAGAAAGTGACCGTCCTGAATATAAGATCAACAGCGTGTCGACGAGCTTATTTGGGTCGAAATGCGTGTGCGCGTCTGAGGATTGACCAGTGAGGGCGGTTGTGGTTGTAGCGGAAGGTCTGGCCGCTATATACCAGAAGGGTCTGAGTACTGAGACAATATTCATTCTATCCTCGTCCTCAACAGCCGTCTCGAAATCATCCAGCGTCAACGGCAGTATTCTCACTTAGATCCGTCGTGTGCTCTTCACGATTTCATACCCAACTCAAGATACGGCCTGCCCTACCTCAGGTCTTCGTCCTGCACGTGTGGAACAGCTCACACGTCATGATTGCATCGTTGTTGTCCACTCCGCGTCAATGAGCTCATACGTTCTTCTGCCCTCCATAAAACCCTCAGTCTGTACAGCCCAATCTACATTTGCTACGAACTATGTACCGTGCCCTTTTCTCTCGCAGTGTGACTCCTCTTGTGAAATCATTTGTCCCTCAGACCAAACCAACCCATCTCTTCCGCAACATGTCTGCCGTCAAGACGTCTCACTTGCCCAACGAGGATCTCCAGGCCTCTAAGCTCTTTGATGTCTCTCACATTGTCGCTGTCGTGACGGGCGGCGGTACAGGTATTGGTCTTATGATCGCACAAGCTCTTCAGTCCAACGGCGCCAAAGTCTACATCACCGGCCGCCGAGAAGAAGCCCTCGACGCTGTGGTTAAGCAGTACAGCAAGGGTCCCGGCAGCATCCACGCTCTTCCAGGCGACATCACCAAGAAGGATGAATGTATCAGGCTTGCCGAGGAGGTGGGCAAGAACGAGTCAAAGGGTGTCCACCTGCTAGTCAACAACGCCGGCATCGCACGGGACGACCACACCAAATTCTCCAAGAACGGCCAGCCCGACATGAAATCCGCCGAGAGCATCTCGAAGCACATGCTCAAGTCTGAGGTCTCGGACTGGCAAGACACCTTCGAGACCAACATCACCGCTCAGTTCTTCATGTCCGCGGCATTCCTGCCGTTGCTCGCCAAAGGACGTAATGTCACGCCTGGATATACCTCCAGCATCGTCAACATCACCAGCATCAGTGGTCTCATGAAGGGCTCGAGCAGTGGGCAGTTTGCCTATGCTACGAGCAAGGCCGGCTTCGTGCACTTGACCCGGATGCTGGCGACGACGCTTGCTGAGACGGGAGTCCGTGTGAATCAGATTGCGCCGGGCATCTTCCCGAGTGAGATGACGACAGGAGAAAGCGACGAGACCCAGAAGAGCGAGTTGAGTTCGGAGATGAGTAATCCTGCTGGTAAGTCCATCATGGTTTTTTTTTCTGAGCAAGCTGTTGCGTAGAGATTGTCATTTTTTGCTAATGCATACTGGCGACAATAGGACGTGGCGGCGGTGATGCAGATATGGCTGCGACGATTTTGTATCTGGTCGGCAAGGGTGGATTGTTCTTGAACAACCAGCTCATCCACCCCGAGGGCGGTCAATTGTTGGTTGCGCCGGCTGCTATTTAAGGACGACGTCGAGCCGAATGGAGAAATGCCAACCACCGTGACGTGGACATAACGAGGACCACGAATAGTTATTCACCCAATACTCCATGGAAGGAGGATTGACCTGCATAGAGCAGAAGAGAGGAATAGCAGAAGAGAGGAATAGCAAAAGCAACGTGTTCAGAGACGGGACTTGAAAAGGCAGGGAGATATCAATGTCTCAAAATCCGTGAAACTTTCTATAAATCGGGAAGGTTCCACGGACAAGTGTCCCAAAAGGGCGTATGTATTATCAAATATATATCTTCCAGGATTCAAAAAATGAAGTATCAAAGTCCCGAGAATTGCATGAGGACGAGACATAAGGAGACAGCAAAGACGACCATCGTCGCGCTCACAGCCGCAGCACCAGCCGCGCCGGTGTAAGTGGCGATCCATGGTCCTGATGTTGAGGGACTCGTGTCCCCAGTGTCTGAGTTCGAGTTTGTATCTGCTGGTGACCAAGCATTGGCACTGTCGCTGCTTGTAGGAATAGTTTGGGAGGCTGCTTCCGTGGGCGCAACCGGCTCCAACGTGACTGTGGTCACAACAGTTACGTCCGAGCGAGTCGCGGTGACCGTCGTTGTCGACTCGTCTCCCTGGAATCCTTTTATCGTCACGGTAGAGACTAGGCTTCCTCCTTGGTGGCCATTCATGGTCACAGTGCTAGCGGGGCCATCGCCATCAACTGCCCAGCCGTTGGCATGGCCGGTCTTTGATGCTTTGGCTACAGACAAAGTTGACTCGTCTCCCTGGTATCCCTTCATCGTAACAATACTGGCCGGCCTTCCTCCCTGGTAGCCATCCACGGTGACAGTGCTAGCGGAGCCATCGCCACCAACTGCCCAGCCGTTGACACGGCCGGTCTCCGATGCTTTGGCTGCAAACAAAGTCGTAGTCACGGGCATAGTCACGACAAATGGATTCGGAACAGGCCAATTCGCAGGGAGTTTGACTGTCTCCGTTGTCATGCGGATCGAGGCCGGCGGTTGCTCTGTGCAAGAGCAGTGCGTGGTGGTCAGGATCACGGTCTTGGTGATAAGGCCGGTCGCACATGGTTCGATCCAGGTGGCTTTGGGAGGTTAGCGGACATTAAACCGGTGGGTAGGATTAGGATGAAAATACTTACTGGTCAACGTTGTCTTGTAGACCACGCCCGAAGTTGGTCTGCCACTGTTACGGGTAATTGTTGTCGTTGACGCACTCGAATCGTCCTCAGACCAGTCCACCCACACGATACTACCGGTGGTAGGGCTGGGAAGGACGCTGTTGAGAGACTTGCTGCTTGTGAAGCTTTGCGACATGTCTAGCCATGACCTGATCGTGGTGTGCGTGTTGGTGGATATTGGGCCTATGCTAGATCCGGACGGGCCTGTTGAGCTTGGTGAATGGCTGGAGGGCAGTGATGCTGTTGACATAGATCTGAAGCTCTCGCTCGAGGTGGGACTGGAAGAGCTGCTCGACCCTGTGGTAGTTTCCGAGATTGTCGTCAGGTTCGTGCTGATGGGATCGGCTGTAGACCTGCTCGTAGTGTAACTAGCTGGCGTACTGCTCAGAGTGCTGCTCACGATGGTTGAGCTGCTGAGTACGGAGCTGGTCAGGCTACTAGTGGCACTGCTGGTTGAAGTGCTCGCAGAGGTGCTGATCGGGTTGATAGCGCTGCTGATGGTACTAGTAGTGGTGCTACTAGTCGAAGTGCTCGCAGAGGTGCTGATCGGGTTGACAGTGCTGCTGACTGTAGTACTAGTCGTGCTCGTAGACGTCGTGACAGGGGTGGTGGTTGTCGTCGTCACTGCGGTAGTGCTCAAAGTACTACTGGAGGTGCTGATGGCTGTAGTAGTTGTTGATGTTGTCGTGGTTGTTACAGATGTAGACGTGTACACCTTGAGGGAATTGATCAACCAGTAGGTTTCCTCGAAGTCTGAAGGATTTCCTTGCACATAATCCGAGCATTGTGCTGCTCTAGCAGTGCATTCAGGGGTGGTCGCCCATTGTAACCCTCCGGCCCAGTCTCCACAGAAGGCAATATTGATAATGAGCTGTTGGTCCACGAAGTGCTCATCCAGGGTGCAGGAAGTCACAAATTTTGCCAGCGGAGGCCCCCAGCTGGAGGGATCGGGCGTTTCGTAGCCGATATCCGTAGGCACGTTGCTTTCTGCAAAGTACCAAACACTGACCGCATCGCTCGTCCATTCGGTGGCATAGACTCCACCACCCCTCTCGTTGAAACCTTGTCCGTATGCAGAGGATACGGTTCCCGAGTCAATGGCGCAGCCTGAAACGCCTCCAGTATTGACGTTGCAATCTCTCGTCAGTAGCTCTCCATCCATTTCCTGTGCTTCAAGGAAACAAGTCTGATTTGTCTTAAGAGACATCTGATTGAATGTTGCAGTGTTGATGTTCTCAATGATATCAAATTCACCATGGCTCGGCCAGTCCGGACCAAGAAACCAAAGTGCCGGCCAGACAGCGCATTGTCCCCCAGGCATATGTTGTAGGTCGATGATGAAGAGGCCGTGATTATAGACCGCTTTGCTTTCTAGACGCAAGCTGTTCCGCCCTCGACCGATCGCATTGTTTGTATAATCGACTCCGAGGTAAATGGTCCTGTCATCGTCAAAAGTCCGGTAAAGGCCGTCGGTGACTGCCGTATTGTAGTCAACGTAATTCACGTAGCCATGCGTCGGATCATCATCCTGTTTCAAGTGAGCAAGCCACTCCGTCACCACTGACAACAACTGACCGTGAAGAAGTTGAACCTGTCAGCAAAGCCGGACCCGCCGGTGTAGTCGTCTTCGAGGACATACTGACCCAGAGCTGCGGTGCAAAAGCATAAAACAACAGAAAGGAGTGGACGCATCTTTACAGATACTGCGGGCGGCCACGTCGGACGCAAAAGTGAGAGCGAGTGACGAGGACAAATTGGAGGAGAGGGACATCGTGAGCTTTACTTACCTTCTATCCTTTTGAGCAATGTCTAGATCATTCAGCAATGATGGCTCGAGCAGGGAGTCGCCTAGGCGCAATCTTCGTGACAACGAGGCCAAGATGGCATTTTCCATGCCAAGGTACATGTTACATTCTGAATGTATCGTCAAGCCTGAACCACTTGTGTGAGCGGCCACAGCGTTGAAAATTCGCAAGCAGAGCCCGAGCCACAAAGGCGATGCATAGATTGATGGGCCTGTCAAGCAAGTCAAATCACCTCCCCAAAGCCAATGAGGCATCAGGGCTTGAGAGGTCGACATGTGTCAATGGGAAATCGAGTCCGTTCATGCACTGCGGGTCCCTGATCGCGTCCTGCTATTGTGTCAATGGATTCGAGCATGGTCCTTGGATCCCAAATTCATGGCAAAAGAAGAACTTGACACGAACTTGACGAGGTAGTAGTGTCTGGAGATGGGGTACCGTGGGTATGGCACGAACGATCTGCGCATCGTATCGCATGATCCGCTGGTGTACGGTGGACTTGGTGATCTTGAAGCACATTTTGATGGCTTGGCTTGGCTGGCCAATGAGGGCGGATGAAGTCCTGGCTCAGCAAAAGATTGAAACTGCTGAATACTTCGGTCGTCGTGCTCATGCGCTTTTGGTGTCTACCTTGTGTTGATGGAGCCGTCCGCTCCTTGTAAACACCAACCGTGGTCCAATGTCTGACAGACGGCGTATCAATGGCCCTCCTGGCACGACCATTGCGCCAGTTTTTGTGTCCTCCAAGCAAACAGCGAAAGCAGAGAAACGACGACTGAGAATACACAACGAACTACGCAGAATATGTACTGACTCTCCGAACCCACACTTTGGCTCGATCTAACGTGCACAGTCTTGCAAACCGGCGTGGTACCGTCGGCCAGCGGCTCTGCCTATCTCGAACTCGAAAGTCGGCCTACGAAGCCAGCCATTGTATCCTTGTCCTCTACGATCAAACTGTCATGTACCGTCCTCGGACCGAAACCCCTGCCTAGAACGACTTCCTTCTCTCCAAACCTCCAATTGACCGCATCAGTCAAGTTTGCACCGTTTGCGACGCGTAACCGACAAGGGTACATTCGTGATTCTACAGAGAAAGATCTCGGACTACACTTGGAGAACGCTTTGAAGGGTGTAATCATACCATACAGATGGCCCAAGAGCGCGATCGACATTGCCGTAACAGTTCTCGAATGTGAAGATGACCATGAGACGGGAAACCGCATTGCGGGACTGGGACTGTTCAATATGCTAGCTGGATGCATCAATGTCGCAGTGGCGGCACTTGCAGACGCTCGTGTGGACTGTCTGGATCTGTTGGCCGCTGGAGTTGGTGCTGTTGTCCCAGGTGCTGATGCGCGGCCCGTTCGGGTCTTGGATCCTGCTGCTATCGAGCATGCCAAAGTGCTGTCAAGCTGCCTCGTCGCATACCTGCCTTCGAGGGACGAGATTGTCGAGCTCTGGTGCAATGATTCAGCATCAATATCAAGCAAATACGCTCCAGGATTCGAGGACTTGGTCGACAGTGCCGTAGCAGCTGCTCGTGGTGCGCAGACGGTGCTGAAAGACGTCTTGATGGAGTCCGTGATGTACGGCCAGCCCGCGACCAAGAAGCTTAATCAGCAGGGTGCAAAAGATGTGGCAATGAGTGGATGAAGGAGGAGGCAGATGGTTGGCATCGAGAACGCGGCAGCCCGCATTTTCGTCACCTTCAACTCAAATATTAATGATAACGTGACTATTTTGCTTTTCGTGCATATCAACGGATACATATCTACATAATAGATCTAACTATACTTCTTAACAAAAATTAGCTATTCAAGAAGAAGACGGTGCATCTATTTTCGGCGATGATGTTAAAGAGACTTTGCGCCGGATCGAGGCGAGATGAGGATATATGAGCGGCATACTCCTCAAAAAACGACAAAAACGACAAAAACGACAAAAAAGATTGAACCCCACCTGACTTGCTGCTATGAATTAGCGGAATGAAGAACACGGTCGGGGGGGAATACGAACAACAGATAACCTTTCGATACCGCAACTTGAGAACTTCTTTACGAAACCGCAAGCACTGGAGTCGAACGCGCTACCAATTGCGCCAGAGGTCCGAACAACGAGCTCGGACTCGTAATTGTTGAGAAATTTCGAGCTTGCCCGATATGAACTAACAGTTTTCATGGTGGGCTCTCTGGGGGATCATGGCCAATAAAGATCCCAGACACACATGGAGACCCTCGTTAAACGACGTTTCCGCCGAGCCGCTTCTCCGTCGGATAGATGCGGGTAAACAAGAGTGCATCAGAGATGGAACAAACAGTCTTGAGTCGTTCCGAGGGTCTGAAGAGGGAAGAGGTACATCGATAGATGGTCCGCTCACGTTGGACCGCAGTAAGGTCAATCGACAAGTCGAACACAAGCAGTCGTCTCTGCCTGGGCAACAATCTCGACTGAAGTCGCCCAACACTCCAGCTCCAGCTCTGGGGCGAGAGCGTTGGGAGTCACCAGAGCCGCATCATAGAAGACAAAATTACGGATCGGGAAAGTCGAAGGACAGCCCGGGTAAGGCCATCCAAGCGGAGTGTCAACCTCGCATCAGTCCAGCCACCATCTGGTCCTGTTCTCCCTGGAAACTTCTTGAGGTTTTGCACGGTGAACAAGGCCGTTGAGCAAGAGCGGCATTGGGCATGCAAATATCTCGGAGATGGTCTCGGAGATGGGCCAAAGTGTTACACTCTGCAGAGTCATCAATCCTGTACCTACCACCAGCGGGGGGAATTGTCTGGTTGGCGACAGGGTCAGCCGGTCTGCCAGGCCACGGGACTTGATGAACCGGAACGACTGATCAGTACTACGGTCGCATGGGTAAATCGTGTAACGGAACTCGTGTAAGTCGGGTGCCAAACAGTTGCCGCTTGGATCCTCGAAGTAGTAGTTTAGGCCTCGCATTGAACAGGGGCCTCGCCTACCACATACAGTGTCCTGGATTTGGCCTTGAACAGGGAGTCCTCCTACTATATACGTGTCCTAGACCTAGCATTGATACAGGGGCATCACCTACCATATATATTGTCTTCGCTGCTGTTTGTCGTCGAATGGCGCCCTAGCCCCAGATTACTCGATTTACCCCATGACACCGTAGTAATCTGTCTCACAGAGAGCTCGCAACCCTCAGACAGCAAGAGCAGAAAAGCGTTCGGAGTCAGGCATGCTCTCCATAGTACACGTAGTCAATTGCGCAGAGTAGAAACTGAATGATGAACGATTCGATTAAACTTCCTTTCTATTATCACTATCAATGTGAATGTCTGCCATGAGACTTTTCTGTTTCGACTGTCTTCATAATGCAACCTTTTCAATCCATTCAAGTTCTTTTCCGTTGGGCCTTCTATCAAGCGAAGCATACCCTCATAGCCCTTTCATGGGATTTATGCTGACTCAGTCCACGTCTTGGGTCCATCTCAGCCCTCTCAGGCCCATATGGAGCAGCAGCTCAATCATGCAAGACAATCGACTCGGTGCAAGGACACATGACATCGGCGTAGATCGTGCACAACTTGTTGCACCAGCAGTCATCCCAGCAGATGCACATCTTGGCAGCCATGTATTCCTCAATACTCATGTGGCCCTGATAGTAACGGAATTGGCCGACCGAGACACCCTCGAGCCGAGCGCTGGTACACTCAAGATGCGCTTCTCGACGGAGATTTTCTTCGGCCTTGGTGCGGGTGAGGTCTTCGGCGGCAAGATCCATCTGGAAGTCGGCGAAGTTGAGTGCGACATTGCGAGTTGGCAGACTGTTGAGCATTGCTTTGGTGTAATCTTTGTACGGGTAGGTCGGGTCATCGATGAAGTTGGTGTGGGTGAACTCGCCATTCGGGTGGAGAGGGTCGCCGTTGGTTCGGCATTCTGGGACGAGGATGGCAGCGGCTGAAGACGGGGGCGTGGTTAGTTTATGCTTGTAGACGGAAAAGGGAGGTGAAGGAGTCCAACTTACTACGACGACGCAGGTGTGCCACTTCGTAGCTCTCGAATTGGCCGGGGTAGCCGGTCAAGACTGGGATCTTGCGTTTGCGTGGTGGGCTGGGAACGGTGTACAGGTATTCGCAGTCGTTGTCTTCGCAAGGAGGAGTGGGTGGAAGCTCGATGCAGCAGGTGGTCGAAGCTATGATCTCGATATCTGAGTCGTCTTGCTCTTCTGCAGTGCGGATCTTCTTGGTGGCGATGATCTCGATATCTGAGTCGTCTTGCTGTTCTGCAACTCGGATCTTCTTGGTGCCGACGGGACTGATGTCGTAATCTGGAGACTTGGTGAGTGCGATTGAAACATGATGCTGAATGGACTTACCATAAATCATGGGACTATCATCGAGGGTGTCACGGTTGCTACGCTTCTTGCTTGTAGGCTGTTCAAAGAAGACATCGAATTGATTGAGAGGTGTGGGAAGACCTTGGTCAATGTTGATCGAAGTCCAGTCGCCAGCTGGGGCATTTGCTCTTTGACCTTTGGAATGATTCTTCTTGGGGGCCGATTGGTACTTGGATTTCTGAGATTTCGGGTTGAGAATGGCTCTTGTAGGATAGGCACAGGTGGATGGGTCATAGTCTGGAAGATCCTCTGAATCCCGGATATGTCTGAGATTCTGATATGTGGGCACATATTCTTGGTCATGGTCAGTCATAAGCGCCGCACTTTCTGGTTATGAGCTTACCTCCAGTCCTTCCAACAGTTTGCGCGTAGGCTCTCGCATCAATACCGGCATCTGCAAACTGCACGTCCAAGCAGGCCTGTCCAGGAGTAGGTGGAAGCGGCTTGTTGAGATAGTCCTCGATCGGGAGTGGCTTGTTGAGATATTCCTCGAGATCGGCTGGTTTTGAGTGGTTGATTGCAGTGTCAGGATGGTGGTGCACACCACAATCGCTACCGACAGCAGCCAATGCGTTGTGATACCAGGAACCGTCTCTCTCCTCATCATTGACGACTTGGTTGATTATATCTTTCATGTCATCGGTAGCGGACATCTTCGTGTCAGGGTTGGAATCCCAAAACCACAAATCGGTCCCAGACATCATCTGGTCAGCCATGGCTTGGAGCGAGTTGCGTGAAGTGATTGAGGAATCTCTTCGACGAATATCAATATGTGGTGGAAATAATATTGTCACAGTCGCTCAGACGAAGGCTCAACAGTCCATGAGCTGCTGTGGCATTGGTAACAAGAGGATAGAGAAGGAGTTGAGTACCATAGGAGACTGGATTTGAAATCCGCATCTTTCACTTACGCTTTCTATGCTGGCTATTGTCGGATTGAGTGGCTGGGCTTCATTGAGGTTTTCTGCCGTACATCTGTGAAATCTTTGCACATGAATAGAGAGAGCGGCAGGAGAGAACAATAGCAGTGCAGAGATTTCACCGACGGTGCGGTAGAAAAGTTCGATAGCAGATGGTTTGGCCGACATCAGGCACCGCAGCGTGTTGAACATACGGGTGACAAGACCGGTCTGGCAGATGTGATCGAGCAACGGTAAGTGACATCTCGTTCAGCAGGGACTCTTCCGTGGCATCAACCTACACGTCGTCGTTCAGACAACGAGCTTGAGCACGAGGAGTCCTCCAGGGTTCGGTCACAGGACTCCAACAGCGAGCTAGACTTTCCATAATCCAGAGCATGGAGGCCTTCAACACCAGAGGTGATGCGTACAACCGTCTATCTCATCTCATGAGAGTGCAAGTCAACATGTCTTCGCCGGGAGAATTGAGTCCTGCCGGGTCTGCTCCATCTTGACCAACCCCATCATGCTTCAAGGGGAGAACTATGAGATCCATCGGCGTGTCGAACAATGCCGGATGAACAGAGATCCGATCTAGGATGATGAGAAGGCTTGTTTGAACATCCTGAGAATAGGGACTTCTGGCATACAATGTTTCAGGACGGGGAAATGGTAGTTGGGAGAACGTCAGCAATGAGGCGCGTGCAAACGCGTTGGTTACTGCGGGCATCACGGGGCGTCCTGTTAAGGAAACTATAGCGACCGAAGGAGTGAGGACGAGGATTAAGCGACGCTTTTTGGGGGCTCGAGCCTTGATGGCCGAAGCCAGATCACTGGAACAGGGGGGTTGTTTCCCATCTTTCATGCCGTGTCCCCAGAAACTGGTGTTTCCTAATAGGCATCTCCTTAATTTTTTTTGTAATATTGCTCCTTCATCTTCTTTCTGAAATCGAGGGCGACGGCTGCTCTTCCTACAATTGAATCCTCGGCGTCCGCTTGCCTGATTACGAACCCTTTCGAGTCCGCTGGAGATGTTAGCTCAGCGATAGGATTACTGCCTTCGTCTGCCCGCTCATTCTGGTCGAGAAGATGGCTGGCTCCGGTTGCTGGCCCCAGAGGTCGTCAGCAAGATGGCTGGCACGATTAACGCACTGGACATTGGCCGTACTGTTGTTCACAGCCTTGCCGGCAAAGAGCGACAAAACGGCGGCCGACTATTATGTCCACTCGCTGCCTGGGCAGCCTGATGGTCCGCTGCTGAAGATGCACGCCGGGTATGTCGTCCGGTCAGAGGTTAGCAAACGTACTGACGCAAAATAGGCACATTGAAATCACCCCCGAACACAACGGACATCTCTTCTTCTGGCATTACCAGAACCGACACATTGCCGACCGGCGGCGGACTGTCATCTGGCTAAACGGTGGGCCAGGATGCAGTTCGATGGACGGAGCGATGATGGAGCTAGGCCCTTACCGTGTAAGAGAAGGAGGCAAGCTGGCATACAATGAAGGCTCATGGGACGAGTTTGCGAACCTGCTCTTCGTGGACAATCCAGTCGGCACCGGCTTCAGCTACGTCAATACGGACAGCTATTTGCACGAACTACAAGAGATGGCCGACCAATTCTTGATCTTTATGGAGAAGTGGTTTGTCCTGTTTCCGGAGTACGAGAACGACGATCTGTACTTTGCTGGCGAATCTTATGCTGGCCAGCATATACCCTATATCACACGGGCCATACTCGACCGCAACATCAAAGCAAGCGCCGATGGTAAACCACTATGGAATGTCAAGGGGTTGTTGATCGGCAACGGATGGATCGCACCCAAGGAACAATACCTATCATATCTGCCCTTCGCATACCAGGAGGGGCTTATACAGGGAGGCACAGAGGAAGCAACGAGAGTCGAATCGGCGCAGACCAAGTGCCTGGGTGAATTGGCCAAACCCGGTGGTGCTGACAAGGTGGATGTGAACCAATGCGAGACTGTTCTATCTATGGTTCTCGACGTCACCAAGAAAGATGGCAAATGCTTCAACATGTATGACATCCGACTGCAGGACAATTGGCCATCCTGCGGAATGGCGTGGCCGCCGGATTTGACGACAGTGACGCCTTATCTTCGCCAACAAAATGTCATTGATGCCTTGCATATCAACCCGGACAAGCGCACAGGGTGGACCGAATGCTCAGGGTCCGTTTCTTCCGCATTCCGAGCTAGTCACTCGAAACCGAGCGTCGATTTCCTTCCCGGCATCTTGGAAGCTGGTGTTCCTATTCTTCTTTTCAGTGGAGCCAAGGATATGATATGCAATCATCTCGGTACTGAAGATATGATCGGCAATTTGAAATGGTCTGGGGGAACGGGGTTCGAACTCTCTCCAGGTGTTTGGGCACCGAAGCGTGAATGGACGTTTGAAGATGAAATAGCAGGACTTTACCAAGAGGCGCGAAATTTGACCTATGTGTTATTCTACAATGCCAGCCACATGGTTCCGTTTGACTGGCCAAGACGCAGCCGAGACATGCTGGACCGTTTCATGGGAGTGGACATTGCGAGCATCGGCGGCACACCAGCTGATAGCCGGCTTGACGGTGAGAAAGCGGGTACCGAGACCAGCGTTGGGGGACATCCCAATAGTACTGTCGCCATTGAAGACGAACAGAACAAACTCAAGGAAGCCGAGCTCAAAGCATACTATCGCAGCGGAGAGGCTGCTCTGGTGATTGTGCTGATTGCGGCGGGATTGTTTGGCTGGTGGGTGTGGCGATCAAGACGAGCCCGGTCACGAGGATACGTGAGCGTGCCCCTGTCGAATGGCTTGACGGGCAAAGGACGAGATGTGGAGGCGGGAGATTTCGACGAGAACGAGCTAGACACTCTTCGCTCAGGTCGTCCACGGGCAGACATGGAGACAGAACCTTACGACCTTGGTAGTGACAGTGAGGACGAGCATACAGGATCTCATGGAGTTGGGGGGGCCGAGGGCAGGGAAAAGGGAAGCGGATAACAAAAGGGCCATCAAAGGGGAAAGGCTCAATGACCTACATAATACTACTACGAGTATGTGAACATGGATATGATTATAGACGGCTTGGTCTTCTTTCTCTTTTCTGGGTCTTTTCTTTTCTTTTGTTCCGTTGTTTCCACCAAGATGAACCAGATCCATGAGATTAACGAGATCGACCAGATCCGACCAGATCGACCTCGGCGCGGATGTTGCCTTTAGCACAATACTGTATTGGGTGATCAGCCATCGTGAACTGGTCCGATTTTCCTGTCAAGTGTCAAAATTCTGCGAGTCTGCCAGACCGGATCCCCCGCCCATCCCAGTCCTGGTTCGGTCTTGAGTGTCTGGTTCTGGTTTCTCATTATTGCAACCATCCAATTCACCTTCCGAAAATCTCTTTTCCTGGTTGTTACTGTAGGTGGCTGTTCCAATTTGTCATTCCGCCAATATGCGGTGCTGATGCGGTGAGTCTCCTCTTACTGTATCATCTTCGAATACTCATCTATCCCGATCTCCCGATGTTCGGCTAACTCAGTTGTCGACCTGCTGGTAACCGTGTTTGGTCCTTGGCAATTACGTTGTATTCGAGACCACTGATGCCGCCAACGAAACTACCCAACGCTTTGATCAACGGGCTGGTCTGGTCTGGTCGTGATCTGAATGCGGATCCGAGCTTCGTTCCTCAAGTTCGGATTGCCTGGATCCCTGGATCCCTTGCTTCCACCATTTGATTGCGCCACTTTTCGACTATGGCATCCCGTTCGCTTGGAGTCCCTCCCCAGCAGGTTGACATTTGCGCGCCTTCTGCGTATATTGTCTTACTCTGGCACTTCCCGTGCAGCCTGCATGGACATGTCATTTATGTGCCTGACTTGCTCGCCACTGGGCAATAATTGTGTCATGGCGGTTGCGATACGAGGTTCTTTCAAGATGGTGGCTGCCTCAAGGACATTTTCATATCATCCCTTCCTTCAGTCCAACCTGTCTTAAAACCACACCTCCAGCCACTGTCACCGATATGCACACTCTTCAAGCAAGCTTCAGTATCGTTCTTCTTAATCCAGTTTGACTTTGGGTCTCCATGGAGTTGTAATACTGTATTGATGCTTTTCAGGCCGTGCTTTACTCGACTCCATTTGGGTCGTGTCAAATGAAACTTTCAGAGATCCTTACCTCGGTCAAATAGACTGCTTTTCGAGTTGGAAGTCGCCGAGTCTCAGTCACCATCTAGTCGGACCTCAGGCGGCCAGCCTTGCGGACTTTGCGGATGGACGAAGATGCTTTACAGCTTTGGCATCACTACCTGGGCAGGTCCACCGTCGCTGCTTCACCGACCGTGGTGACCTACGATGCTGGCTATGTCGTCCTGTCCTTCTTCACCTCCTTGATAGGATGTCTTACCACAATCGAGCTACTACAGCGACGGACGTCGATGCGGGGAGCCTATAATTGGTACGCTCCCATGATTTCAAGATCCCAACAAGGCTGACCGCAACAGGTTTCTCCTGGTGGCCTCAGCTATAACAATGGGTGGCATCGGTATATGGGCAATGCATTTCGTTGGCAACAGAGCCATCGTTCTCGACCGTGGCCATCCTCAACGCCAGATATTGTACAATAAAGGCTTTACGGCGGCCTCATTCTTCCTACCCATCATCGTCTTACTCTTCGCCTTCTACACCCTTGGCACATCTGCCAAAGCTCGCCAACTTCAAGTTGCTGCCGCCGGAGTCCTAACGGGTGCCGCCGTTTGTGGGATGCACTACATGGGTCAATTGGGCATTGCAAATTACAATTGTTCGTATCGGCCTCAAAACGTGGTGGGGGCCGCGATCATCTCAGTGGTCGCCAGTCTGATCTCTCTCAGTCTGTTTTTCAGAATGAGAGACAAATGGACGGACGTGTGGTGGAAAAGAACTCTCTGTGCTGTGGTGCTTGCCATCGCGGTCTCTGGGATGCATTGGACGGCAGCCATCGGGACCATATATCACTGGAGAGGTGATCTGTCCGTCCACGGAGATTCTCGTACAACGACTTCTGTTGCCACCTCTTGTCTGGTAAGTCACGCCCACCCTTCGGTATCAAGTCGCCTTCTGACAGCATGTGAAGTCAATGGGTTCTTGCATCATGCTTCTCGTGGTTATTGGCATCCGAGGACGGAAGAGGCGCAACGCCAGAATCACGTCACAGCGACTGGTGCTTGCATGCTCCTATTTCGACGACAAAGGCAATTTGATGGTGACTCAGGACGGTCTGTTACCAAACACCAAGATTACAAACCAATACATTGAGAGGGTGAGTCCACAAGTGTCCCGGTGTCTTCCACCATGCTGACCAACGTACCAGACTTTTGGTGAGGACGAGCTTAGCAGATCTCATGACACATTCCATTGGATCTTTCGGGCTTCACACCAGTGGACAATCTTCAAGGATCTTATCGCGGGCATGAAGAAGGACATTGAGGGGGACCCAACAACAAAGCAATACCGTCCTGGCTCGCATACGACCACTCTACCTGATGACACAAGTGAGATCTCGGTCAATTTTGCCCGAGTGTTCAAGGAATTGTTTTGCGTCGCCGCGCAGCAACTCGCCAATACACTCCACGAACCACTCGAGAAGATTGGGGTCTTGTTCGAAGAGCCAATGGACACTGGTACCGTGTGTTGCTCCCCCAGCACGCCCACCGGCATGCGGAAATCATCAATTTTTTCCTCTTCCACGGCCGTTGATGTTGAGAGAGGAAAGGGCATCAATTCTTTCACCAAAGGCAAGTACCTTTTCCTCGTGCGCGAAATCCAACGCGGCGAGATGGCCAAATTTGCCGCTTTGGGTTATCGATTTGCTGCCGTGGAGCAAATTGCTGATCCTCTTGCCAAAAGCATGCAAGTGAATCGCGCTGATCTTGTGGAGCGGATGAAACGTATCAGAACAAGTGCCGCTCGCACATGTTTACCACCCCCGGGAGTATACCTCTCCTGTTTTATGCTTCGTCCAAGCATGTACAAGAGCTTCGATATTTTGGTGCTTGACAGTGCGCAAAACCAAATTCCGCACGTTACATTACAGTTACCTGATCTTTCTCCAGAACAGTCGAAACAGTTGCAGTCCTTGGATGAAATGCAGGTCAGTGAGGTCCTCAAGGTCCTCGTCAACAAGTCGAGCAAGCCGAACAATGTGGACATCGACGAGGGGTTCCGATGGCAGCTCTACAACGCCTTTCTCAAGCTTGTCGATGCGGTCGGCGACTATGACAGCATGATGGCAGCCAAGTTCTCGGCAAGACAATTTCAGGTTTCTTGTCAGCACGGTGGTGGTTGCGGTTCGTCAGGCAGCTGTACTACCTGCAAGTTCTACTCAATTCGAGCCCTCAGAAATATCCATGCATCTCCTACCCGAAGTGATTTGACATATGTACCACTTTCCTTCTTCAGTATTCAGCAGCAAGTACACACGGGACATCCCGACGACAACGGCTTTGCTCGAAAGGTCGAACGGCAATTTGGTCACCTTCACCGCGATGCAGCGCTATCTATGGGAACAAGTGTCGCCAGGGGTCGATCGCCGAGTCCTGCAGAGTCCAACAGCCAGGGAGCCGATTCGCCAAGGATACCGATCTTCAGAAACCCACTGAGGAGGTCAGTTGTTCGTCGTAGAAGTGACGAAGCTACTATTGTCGACCACGAGACGGCTGTGCCTGACGCAACAGACACGGAAATGACCAGAGTCAGGTCATTAGACGAAGACTATCCTGCCGGAGAAGCGGGGGAATCAGAAAGCGAAAGAAAGCCTTGTTGGGTTTCGGAGCTGTTCAGTCTCTTCCAGACGAAATGCGAGCCCGGTTGGGGTTCAGCCAGGCCAGGTGGATGGAAATGGGACATCAGCGTCCAAAATTCCGTTGAAATAGCGACTAAGGACCGCCGGAAAGGAAGTAATGTCGTGTGCGCATCGTTTTAAAGGAGCATGGCCTACGGAGTAGATACTAGGTAATGATGAACGACGACCATGCTGAAAGTACCTATGTAGGGAACATGTGAATACTTTTGCAAACCTCAATGTCTGAGTGAAGTACCTAGGTCCAGAGTCCGTGACAGTCGCATAGCACGGAGTCAGGAGTAAGGAGTACCTGGCCTCGCTGGTAAGTACCTGGTAGTGATTCCTCATTGGCGGAAAGTCGGGGTTGACTCTGCCGCGCTTTGCCGCCTTTTGTCTTCAAGTCCCTCCATACCAGGTACCTTTACTGCGTACCTACAGATGACTTATACGAGTACCATCCCCACGACTTGGTAAACTGCGCCCTTCAACAATACTGTTATTCAGATTGTGGCGCCACCATCATCGACAACTCGATACCATGACCACTATGAGACACATCTAATACCTGCTACACCTTCTATCCTCTTACCCGGATCGACCTACTTAACCCTCTTCACACACTCTCTCTCTTTCGTGACCAGGAAATCCTCCTCTTGTCAAAAGACCCGAATAACACGGAGTACAAAAATCCCCAAGAGACAAAGATTTGAGCCAGGGCCAAGCCATGCCGTTCGGCCAGCTCGTGATCGGGCCTCCCGGGGCGGGCAAATCGACATACTGCAACGGGATGCAGCAATTCATGGGCGCGATCGGGCGCAAGTGTTCGGTGGTCAACTTGGATCCGGCCAACGACGCGACGAGTTACGAGGCGGCAGTCGACGTGCGGGAACTGGTCACGTTGGAGGGGATCATGGACGACGAGGAAGTCGGCCTGGGCCCCAATGGAGGGGTGTTGTACGCGCTGGAAGAGGTCGAGCAGAATTTCGAGTGGCTGGAGGATCGGCTGAGGACCCGCGTCGGCGAAGATTATGTGCTGTTCGATTGTCCGGGGCAGGTCGAGTTGTTTACGCATCATGCGAGTTTGCGGCGGGTTTTTGCGAGGTTGGGAAAGATGGGATATCGGGTGAGTTTCTGGACCCTACGCACCGTCACACCTTTTTCTGGGGTTTGTATACTGTGGTGTCCTGCGCAGGCGGACTATCTGCCCTTTTCTTTTTCTGGGCTTTGGGACACGGCTGTATGCTGGCACAGACGGATTATCTGCCTTGGGTGACTGCGGTGGCCTACGCAGTCGGATTGTGTGATACGGACGAAACGTGTGATGTGGAATGTGCAAAGTATACTGATATGGTTGTGCACAGCTAGTGGTCGTCAACCTGATCGACTCATACGCCCTGACACTGCCGTCATTATACATCTCGACACTACTGCTCTCATTACGAAGCATGCTGCAACTCGACATGACGCACATCAATGTCCTGACCAAGATCGATAACCTCTCGAAATACCCTCCTCTGCCGTTCAATCTGGACTTTTATACAGAAGTGCAAGACCTGTCGTACCTGCTGCCGAGCCTGGAAGCAGAGTCGCCGATGTTTGGACAGGACAAATTTGCCGCGCTGAATGAGGCGATTGTCAACCTCGTGGAAGAGTATGGACTGGTCGGGTACGAGACGCTCGCGGTCGAGGACAAGAAGAGTATGATGTCGCTTTTGCGGACGATCGATCGAGCCGGAGGGTATGCCTTTGGCGGCGCGGAGGGGGCGAATGATAGTGTCTGGCAAGTCGCGGTCAGAGAGGGAATGGGGACGATGGACGTTAGGGATGTGCAGGAACGGTGGATCGATCAGAAGGATGAGTGGGATGAGAGGGAGAGAAAGGAGTGGGAGGAGGAGCAGAAACGACGGGCAGAGGAGTGGGAGAGGGGTGTTGAGGAAGGGGGCATCAGAAATGATGTAGATGGATTGGATATGGGGGATGACTTACCTAGGATGACGGGCGATAGTGGTGTCAAGGTGAGGAGGAGGGATAAGGCTGAGCCTGAGCCTGAGCCGGGCGATGGAGGGTCATGACCATGGCAGCTGATAGCGGGTTGGCTTGCTTCGTGGTTTTGGAAAATGATTCCACCCTGCTCTCTTGGTCAAGCAGCTTCTGAAGAGACGTGCAATAGTGTGGTTGCTCAATCAGAGATATCTTCCATGTCCTCCTCATCGTCGAGGTCTATGATCCCCTCCTCTTCATCCTCGATGCGCAAAGCGGCGGCATTGCCTGGTCTTTTGTCTTTGTTTTTGTCCAGTAAGCCTTGAAGCATGTTTTTGTCTTCGTCTTCATCTGCTCGGCCTTCCCGCTTTGCGCGTACAATGTCCCTACGCGCTTGGCGGAGTAGCTCCTCCTCGCTCTTTCTGATCGTGCCACTCACCCTGGTTACTCTGATGACACATTGTACAGGCGCGGATTTTCTATCGGGTCCGGGTATAGTGTCCATGAATGTCAGGCTAGCCCAGACAAGGCGGAAGTGTGCTCGGGGTACACGCAGAATCACGGTGCTCGTGCTGGGGCTGAAGTAGATGACTCGCAGGGAAGATTGAACGACGGACAGGCCATGGTCGCCGAAGAGGGACTGAATGGTGGAGCGAAGCGTGGACAGTAAGAGGCGCGCATTGAGGTGAGGTGGGCTGGGCCGTGAGAAGAGGACGTACGAGGGCGTTGTCTGAGAGGAGGGTGGTGTGGGAGTGGTGGCAGGGTAGAGGACATTGAAGAGGAGGTAGCGGTGTTTGATGCGGACCATGTTGTCGAGAGAGAGGCTCACGAAGGTATCATGCTGGAACTGTCACTCGGTGGCAACGGCGTTGATGTTGCTTGCTACAGTCACCAGTTGGATCCGGGAGACTTTTGAGCCGCAGACTCTCTACTGTGTACGGAGAAGTGCACCAAATGTAGTTGCCGCGCTAAATTTTAGTGCGGGCGGGGAATGCGGCTTGGCAGCTCTCAGAGTTGCGGTGTAAGGATTGCCTACCAATTTGTATGACACTTTTCAGCACTCGCCTCGAGATTTTTGTACTTTGCATACAAAGCCTATAATAATTATATCTCTAGTATCTATAATTGACTTTGTTTTATACTTATTTCCCTCTAGAATAGCCCCTCGTTTACCTAATTTTATCGATCCTAAAGGGTACGCTAAGCGCGGAGATAGTGGTAGGCAAAAGGTACATCAATAAATACTTATCCTATCGATAATGATTTAGTAGACGGTTAGTTTTTGCCCTTATACCTTCTTCTATCTCTTATCTTACGGTAGAAGTAACCAAAATTAGAGAAACCGAGCGGCCGCGGCGTAAGAATTCGCCTACCGTTAGACCTATAACCAAATCGGCCTCGTAGAGAGATACTAGCACTAGATATTTTATTGCTTAACGGTCCTAGACTTTTACCCTATATTCTATCGATTAGAAAACTACGTAAATTATAGCCTATATTAAGATCTCTAAGCGATCTATCTAAGCGATTATAGAGAAGATAAGAAAGAGAGGATTTACGCCGTAAGAGAATCCTCGAGTCCTCGACTATTTCGTTAAGGATAGATATAAACTAAAGCGTCTAAGAGAAGTGTTAGAAGTTAAGGAAGAGGAAATTCTAAGTTTATTAAGAATAAATAAATCTATAAGAGAGAAATCTATAGAAGTTCTAGTCTATAAATATAATATTAGTATATTAATAGCTCTTTATATTCTTTATAAATATAGCCTAAATAACGTAAAACTAACGATAAAATTAAGCCTTAATCTAAAGTAATATATAGTGTAGCTTACGTTTTATCTTATATATTAAGATTAAACCCTCGAGGATTAGAAGAAAATAATTTAGAGCGATAAAACGAGCGTTATCCTAGGGTATTGACGAGGTTCTATCCGGGTATAACGAATATCTAAAGAACTATTTAAGAAGTCTATTATTTATTATCGCTAGAAAAATTACTTAGAATTTATATTTTAGGGTTATTTTACTTACGATAAAATTAGTCTCTATTATATCTATCGAGTAGAGACTATCGTAGAGAAAAAGACATTTTAGAAAGAGATTAATAAGTTAAATAAGGCTCTCGAATCAAAAAAATATAAAGAGTAAAAATTATTAAATAGCGTAAGACAGCTAGACCTTAAAAATCTTCTAAAATATAAACTAAAATAGCGCTTTACTAAAGAGATAGATAAACTAATAAAATAAGATAAGAGAGGAATTAACTAGTAGTACTATTATAAGGTCTAAAATCTATTCTCTTAAGATCTCTCTATCTAATAGAAATTAAAAGGTTATTCTCTTAAAGCTAATTTTATTTACTCGCGAGTATAGCCCTAATACTATTATTTAAGAGAATAATACCTTACTATATATCTATTACTTTATTAAATAAACTTACTTTATATAAGATCTTAATAGAATACTTTAGCTAAATAACTCCTCTAATCTCTTTACTATTAAAAAAAGCTAGCTATAAATAAAAAGAGTTACTACCTTTAAAGAAGCTTCGCGGATAAAAACTAACTTAGAAACCTTATAGATAAGTAAATAAGGAATAATTCTATAGGACTTAATTTAAAGCTAAATTAAGGGTATTATAGAGAATATTAAAAAGATTATTATATTAGAGGGCGATAACGAGTACCCTAAGGGCCGCGAGAGTAAGAGATTATATAAAGGGCGTAGACGTATTAGAGAGCTATTTAAACACTTCTAAATCTAAGACGATTAAAATAGCGATAGCGAGAACAGTGAGAACAGCGATAACTATAAAAATATAGAGATAGAAGAGAAGGACGAGTTTAATGCGGACACTACTAACTAATTAAATAGCCGACCTTACTTTCTATAGGAGTGCTATAGTAAAAGAGACGAAGGGTTTAGACACAAGGATAGGCATGGACAGGTAGAAAAGGTATAGATAGATGGAATGCCTCCCAAATTAATAGGAATGCCTCAAAAATTAACACTATAGATCTCTATACCAACCCAGCCTTACGCGCAAATAGTAAGGCTACGGCGGCGGCATGTTGCTACAACATGATGCCGTTGTGTTCATTCCATATCAACTGCTCACCTAATTTTGGTGAGGAGTCGATGACATCCGAATACCCTTGCAATGCCGAGAAGCTAAATTTTAGCGCGGCAACTACATTTGGTGCACGTCTCCGTACTCGTAGGTGAAAATGAAATGCGGAGTTGCGGACGAGGCTGCGCGGCAGCTTGGCAAGGCCGGATTTCATTATTACTAAGGTAGGTACCTGGTATCTACTGTGTAGAGTGTCGAAGACGCTTAGAATAGGTCCGTACGAAACAGATGACAAGGCTTTATTCTTGATTCTCCACAGAGTCGAAACTCGTGACAGTCGATAGGTGAAACGGGTGAGATCGAACATCAAGGTGATGGTGACGGTTTGGGTCAATTTTCAGGAGTCGCAGGTGACGGTGTTCCTTTCTGAAACACCCGACAGAACTGCCCTTGGCTGGGCTCAGTGGACACTGGACTGCAGGACTGCAGGACTGGGGGCGAGAGAAGGCTACTCTTGCCGTCGTGCATCACCATTCTAACTCGAACGGAAGATCTGAAACGATTACTTGCAGATCTGGCTCGCAACCGATCCTGGCTGGTCATGCAGGCACAGAGTTGAGCAGCCTGAGGGCAGAGTGGGCAGATTACATGTTACGTGAAATCATCCCAGGTTTGAACTCTTGCAAGTGTCGAGCAGATGATGCCCAATAACATACAAAACCATGCTTGGGTCGTCGAAGCAGATAAGGGTCAGGGTCTGGTCTGTCTTTGTTTGAAGCCGACACTGCTGAGAAAGCCATCAACCAAAGAATGATGACTTGGGTTGACAGGAGTTGGTCTGTGGTCAAGAAAGGGTCTATAAAGTTTTGAGAAGCGCTTGACGTGAGCCACCGAGGGCGCACTGGGGATATCGTGGCTTCGATCTGTTCAATGTTTCAGCATCACCCGGCCAGAGCGGATTTGAAAACAGTTTGGCGGTTGTAAACTTGTGAGTGGTTGAACAGCCCATCCTTCTCCCGTTCTCGTTGCCCCTTATCAACAGATGAGGAACCGCCGTGGCAGCATGGGAGGGGGACGAGTACTCCGTAACTAGAGTCGAATGGCGGAGAATTTGGGAAGGGCACGAAGGCATAGGCTCACTAGGCATGCCTCTGGGCGAACCACGGCAAGCGTCTAGACTGCGAGAGGAATGGCGCACCATGCGAAGAATGAGAGGGGACATCGTGGGTGGCGTCGAGGGCGGCCAGTCCGGTGCTTCAGGGAGGGAGGGCGAGGATGGTGAGTGGTCTCCATGTCCAGGTGGAGGCAACTTAGGGGCATCATGGGCGGTACCTTGCGCGTGCTTGCGCCAACGGGGAGCGCGTGGGCCTGGCCCTTAAGTCCAATAGGCACCGCCAGGCGTCTTTTCTAGTGTGAAGCCATCAAAAATTGCACAGCAGAGTTCGGTGCATGTGTCTATCTCCATCCTCCTGCAGAAGATGCCATTCTCGATCTTCCCAACATCCACTCATTCCATCTCCCGAATTCAAGGGATACTCGCAGACGAGGAAAAGTCTTTCGTTCTTTTTTCCCACCGCAGTCACTCTTTAGACACCCTCCCTTCTGCACTCTCTTGAATCACAATCACACATTCCTTGCTCGTCGGTCGATCCGTCGTAGTTCCCTCCATCGTCCATTCATTCGCCTAACAGTGTCTGCGCTCAGTTGCCATCCTTCCTTGACGACAACCGACCATTCACTTTACCCCCGAATTCGATCCTTCCTCACTGCGGACTGAGTCTGCATTCTTACCGTTCCTTAGCACTTCAGAACTTCAATTCAATTCAGAAATACTTGATAACGTCTATTCTTCGACCATCATATTCACATCATCGCACCTGTCACTGGAAACTCACAGCGCACAAGCCAATCTTCAGGTTTGCAAACACCAAGATATCTTAGTTCACCGTGTATCACATTACGAACCGTCAAAAGACATAAGAATACCCCGACAGACCTCAGTTGCTCGTCATGTCTTCGTCAACCATGTCTCTTGCGCGCGCTTTCACGAGGCGCAACAAGCGCAGTGTTGATCAACCGATGCCCCAACGTGGTACAAGTGTCAGATACGCTCCTGGAACCATCAACCGTACTCAGATCTCACTTCCAACTGAGCTGATCTCGACGACAAACGTCCAGGCTTTGACTGCACCAGACATTCGCACTGCCTCCGGTTCCTCGACTGCCTCAATTTCCTCGGCCAACGACTCGGACTTCTCCACGATTGACCGAAGCTTTCTCAATAACGCCTCCAGTGACACGTCGTCCATTGAAGACAGTGGTCCTGCGACTCCTGTCACACCTGCTTCCGATGATCACAAATCATTCTTCGATGTGAAGCAAGCCGCTTCCGCCGTTCCCGCGATTGCCTCACCGCCTACCGCTGCAACGCCCGCAATTCCAAAACGGGCCCCCTCCCACTCAAAGCAGGCTCATGTTGAGTTGTCACGAAAGCGATCAATGCAGCGGATGTCACCTCCCCCAACAACCCTCAACAAGCCCGCGGTGCGGAGCAGTGCTGATATGTTCACTTCGTCCGCTGACCCCAATCATCCTTTCGGCAAAGAGCTAGCTCAAGTCAATGAGGTCGCAGAAGAGTTTGGTGCCACGGCAAGATTATTGGAGGAAGAGGAGCAAGAAATCATGAGCAAAGGTCTGCGCAAGTTTTGCGTGGAAGAATACTTGGATGAGATCGCTGGCCTCTATGGTGGGATCTTTGAGGACCAACTCGGAACGATGGCGAAGCCGTGGATCTGAAAGATCTAATCAATGGAATCGGCCTAGGCTGATCCACGCACCAGATACACGACTTTATGACAAACGGAGTTTCGAAAAGCGAATTGTTTTTCCTGGGCTGGCCGGCTTGCGGTGTCTTTTATGATGTGATTCGAGAAGGCTTCACTTCCATTCATTCCTTTACATTTGTTTTCGGACAACAAACCTTTTTCTCGACAATGATCGACATGGCGTGTGGTTGGGCTATCCATGTGTGTTGAGCTCATAGGGTCTGGGACCAAATGAGTCAGTGACACTCGGGGTGATAAAAACATAACCTTGAATGGTAATCTTGATCATACGAACATGTCGAATGGAGCTGGAGACCTTTTTTGATTGGAGATCTTCTTGTCAAGAATGGGATCAGATGAAGTGGATGAGGAAAAGGGAAATCTTGTTCAGTACCAACAAACGATAGAGCTGCCAGATGGAGCTATCCAGAGAAACAAGACAATAGAGTCATTCCTTGAAACGTTTTGTCGATTCTTCCTCTTGTTCTTCCCAGCGTCGATGCTTAGCTTACGCCCAGTCCCGAGAAATCTGCACTGTACTCTGTAAGTGCCGCTTCATTACTCAAAGTGGATTGTGGAAAAGGGTCCGCCCACGCCCATACCCGCCTCTCAGCTGCAAAAGTGCTTGCAGTCGCCTCCTCTGGCTTCAGCTATCGAAAAACACATGGTTCAGCAGTAGTGTCTGAAAGGAGCATCTGTCAAGCTGAAATAACAGAAGCAACTTTCTTAAGCATGTGGCCGACACTGACTGTACGGAGTAAGAGTGGAGGATATACAAGTACCCGGAGGTCTGCGTAAACAAATCGAGGTCACCCTTACAGCTGGACAGGGGTCCTTTTGGCTCTGCATTCGGCAAGCTCCAGGCACCTAAAGGCGTGGCTTATCATTTGTGGCCTACAGATCGGAAACTCGCCATTCACGCTGCAGCCGAGAGATTCAGTGGAGTGACGACGACGACCCTCTCAAACCTTGGAATCACTAGGATATGCCTTGACCAATACCAGAAATTCCTGCTGTACGCTATGAACTGTGTATACGAGCACAGCAGATCAAAGTCGCTGCGACACGTACTCTTCTTCTTCCCGCTCTTGATAGACAATCCATATCATTTCATTCCTTCCACCTCCTTCTGGCTGTCAATCCTTGCTGTTGTTACTGCCTTTCTCTCCCTTCGTTCTCAACCTGCGACTGCTCCCTCACCCTCACCGCCGCCGTATTGTTATTGACCTGATCCACTCTAGATCGCGACTTCAAGACGATTGCGGCGCACTCCAATGCCCATGTCTTCCATGAAAGCATTCCATACGGTCCTCGAGATACGCGCCGAGGCTCCCAGCACGAACACTAGTAATGATCAAAACATTGGTTCTGCGAGAGAAGGCTCTCCCTCCCTCTCGGGTCTGATTTCGACCCTGGTCCCTACATTGATCATCGCGGGAATATACTTCGCCCTCTTCATCCTGCTACGGTCCCGATTTCCCAGACAATATGCCCCGCGAACATACTTGGGTGCTTTGCGCCCGCAAGAACGTACTCCTGCGCCGCCCAATACCCTGTTTGGTTGGATACCGTTCATGAAAAAGGTGGGTGAAATGCCCAGATTGAAGAGAAGCATAGTGCCTGACAACAACACCAACATCAGCTCCCAGACGAGTACGTTCTGCAACACAATTCTCTGGATGGCTATTTTCTGCTGCGATACCTCAAGATGTCCATCCTTATTTGCTTTGTCGGTTGCTGCCTCACATGGCCGATTTTATTCCCGATCAATGCGACAGGTGGCGGAGGACAGAAACAGTTGAACCTCCTCAGCTTCAGTAACGTCCAGGACAAGAACCGATACTATGCCCACGTCTTTGTGTCATGGGTCTTCATTGGATTCATCTTTTTTCTAGTCACTCGTGAAATGGTATACTACATCAATCTGCGACAGGCATACCTCCTATCTCCGCTTTATGCTTCGAGAATCTCTTCTCGGACGGTTCTCTTCCAGTCGGTCCCGACCGAGTATGCGGACGAAGCCAAGATCCGGCGCATGTTTGATGACGAGCTCAAGAATGTCTGGATCGCTTCAGATGCAAAAAAGTTGGAAGAAATGGTCTCGGAGCGCTACAAACTATGTATCAAGCTTGAGACTGCCGAAACCAAGCTGATCAAGCTCGCTAATGATGCATACCTGAAGACTATGAAAGGAAAGTCGACAGATACCGAGCGACCTGCTTACAACCATGAGGACTATGGCGAAGAGTCAGGCGCAGCGGCAGGCCGTTGGGTCAGGCCCAAAGACCGTCCTACTCACCGTTTGAAGCCGTTGATCGGGCAAAAGGTCGATACAATCAACTGGTGCCGGGAGGAAATCGGAAGATTGAATCCATTGATTGAAGCCGAGCAGACCAAATATCGATCCGGCGAATCGGAGCCCAGGAATGCTGTCTTCGTCGAGTTCTGGACGCAGACCCAAGCACAGAGTGCCTTTCAAATGGTAACACACCATCAAGCGCTGCATATGTCTCCCCGTGTCGTAGGTCTGAGTCCGGAGGAGATTGTCTGGTCGAACCTGGGTATCACGTGGAAGACGCGGACGATCCGCAATATCATCTCCCTGGCTTTCGTTACTGCTCTGATCATTTTCTGGTGAGTCATGACCTTTTTTGACCGTGGACTATCAGGAGTGATATTAACGGTTGGACAAGGTCAATCCCGGTCGCTGTTGTGGGCTCCATATCGCAGATCTCATACTTGACCCAAGTCGCTCCCTTTTTGGATTTCATCAACAACTGTCCAAAAGTCATTCTGGGAGTCATCACCAATTTATTGCCGACCATTATGCTGTCAATCCTAATCTCACTCGTGCCTGTCATCCTGAGGTTCATGGGGAAAGTGGCTGGAAAGGTAAGTAGTTTCTGCTCTGAATGCTGTGCCACTCAAGCACCAGGGCTCTTTTTATGTCCACCTGAACAGTGCAGCTTCTGACAATTTGCAGCCTACCTTGTCACTCATCGAACTCCGCTGCCACGAATCATTCTTTTGGTTCCAGATTGTGCAGGTCTTCTTAGTGACGACAATGACGTCTGCTGCTAGTGCTGCAGTACCACAAGTCATCAAAAATCCAGGTTCCTTGACCGCCATTCTGGCAAAGAACCTCCCGCTTGCTTCAAACTTTTATATCTCATACTTTATCCTCCAGGGCTTGGTCTTCTCTTCGGGTCAACTGCTGCAGATCGTAGGGTTGATACTTTTCAACGTCATGTCCAGAGTGCTTGACAAAACTCCAAGGAAGATGTACAACCGATGGTCCAGCCTGTCTTCTGTCGGATGGGGGAGTGTCTTCCCAATTATCGAGTAATGTGCAGACCGAAGCTTGTGATTTTTCTCTGCTGACTCTGAACCAGGATGATGACAGTGATTTCCATCACATACTCTCCAATTGCTCCTCTGATGATGGGTTTTGCCACAATCGGCCTTGGATTGTTCTATTTCGCCTACCGATACAATCTCCTTTTTGTCGACAGTTCCGTGATCGACACGAAGGGCCTAGTCTACTCCAAGGCACTGCAACATACTCTGGTCGGCTGTTACCTGGCCGTGATCTGCATGATCGGGCTACTAGGCATACGAGCTGCCCCTGGACCTTTGGTGTTGATGATTATTTTCTTGGTTTTCATGGTTTTGTACCATATTTCTCTGACGACTGCTGTCCAACCCTTGTTGCACTATCTCCCACGGTCATTAGAGTCTGAGGAGGCTGCACTACTTCAAGATGACTCTTTGGGCATGTCTTCGCCTGACCCTCGAGGGAAGAGCAGTTTGCACGAGAAGAATCCCGTCGACGAATTACGACATACCCAAAATAGCATTCGCCCGGACGGCAACAAGCCGGTCTCGATGCTCAAGAGGTTCTTGAGGCCTGACATCTATGCCAGCTACGCCGTACTACGGAAATTGGTACCGCAAGGTTTCGCAGAGATCAGGTACTCGCCTGAAGTCGAAAGAGATGCATACCAAGATCCAGCCTGCAATGCCATTGCACCGCTACTTTGGGTTCCGCATGACGAAATGGGTGTGTCGAGGCAGGAGTGTCTGCATACAAATAAAGTGGTTCCGATGACTGATGAGGGAGCATATTTTAATGAGAAAGGGAAAATAGTCTGGGACCAGGAAGAGACAGGTGGACGACCACCCATTTTCGAGGAGAAGATTTACTATTAATGTACCAGTCCTGCGCCCACGCGAGGCTTGCTGAATGGTGGCCTGAAGTATTAGGCCAACGTGATGCTGAGAACTGCTCGCTACTTTGATATGGCATTGAAGAAGAGGCAAGAATGGAGGGCAAGGGATTGAAGTGCAAAGCGCTGTTTTGATCTTAATGAGTACGAAGATACCCCCTCGGCCGGCAATTGGTATTGGTATTAGTATTGTCATAATGCTTAATAGTACATGTCTTCAGTATGTGCGGCATCAAGGGATGTTCACGTTGTTGGCTCCTACAAGGTGCTGGTTTGGCTAGTGTGGCTCGTTTGGATAGTCCGACAGTATAGGTTTGATCATTACTCCGAACACTACGGAGTACGGAGTGCCTTACTAACGTAAGACTTGGTATGTTAGCCGTTACCCACGAGGTACCTGCGAGGTATGTAGTAATTGTCATCAAACTGTCTGAAAAACAAACGAAGTAACTTGCCCACCACTGTTGACGTACATAGTATACTCGGCCGAGTCGATGCGGAGCCAAAAAGCCATCGACCACATACGACAAGACGAGGCGAGGCGAGACGAGTATTCCGTAAGGCGGCTGCTGCTACATGCCTAGGTAATATGTAACCTGGTGGCTGTGCGAATTGGGGTGACCGGAGCAAGGCCGTCCCAGGATCACACGAGTAGGACCGGGATCTTGGATTCTATGTCAACATAAGATTCATTCCCTGTCGGGACGTGAGTCGAGAGGGTGTATGGAGTTACTGTGATACCACTACTGTTGAAGAGCAATACTGCTAACTTATCCGTACCTACCGTACTCCGATAGGTAGGAGAGTGTAGTGGCTGTGACCAGGGCACCCAGGGGTACTGTAAGGTGCTGATGGGCGCAAGCCCCAATGCCGTCCGGTGTCGGCCTCGGAGGTCTTGAGGGTCGGGGAGTACATAGTAAGTTAGCGGCTGATACGATTCTTCTCGAAGGACGACAAAAACTTGAAGCGAGATTGGCTTTTGGTAACTACAAGTATCAGCGGAAGCGCCTCCTGCTTCGACACTGTACGGAAGACTCCGTACGGAGTAATAATGTGGTCATGTTGGATGCTCGCAAGTCTCCAGTTTAGCCAGGCATGCCAGGGCTCAACTAGGGTGTCAGCAGCGTGCAGCAGTAGAAACGTTGATAAACGGTAAAACGGGTTATTTCTTGGTTGCCTAGAATGGCAACCAATTCGACAATAATGCAAATCATCTTTTCGAAAGGAAAAAAAGGCCGATCGTTCAATCATGATTCCGAGTCACCCACGAGTGGCAGATCGACGAATACTGTAACTCGTACTCGTACCTTCGTTTACCATATTCACGTGCATATTGGCTGACTTGATCGTGGTCTGCCACGTCTGCTCGAGTCATTCGGCAAGGTCCCAGGCACGGCCGAACATGGGTGAAGGCCTTGGGTTAGAGTGCATTGAAGATCAAAAGCCCAATGCGGATCCTGACACGAGAAGGAAGAACCGCAGCGTGCCACGGTGATTTTCTTCTTTTTGCAGGTGACTCGCATAATGATCGTCGGTGAAGGTAACCTCAAATGCGTGACGGGACAAGTCGGTGGGACAAGTCCACGCAAGTCCCTTGGGTAGTCGTGGGTAGTTTTGCCCAGGAGGCGTCGGTAGTGTCGTGTGGCTTGAGATTGCTTCAAGAGGCTTGCACGGCCCGTTGTTTGACGGTCATCTAGAAGCCGCTGGCTGGCCAGTCTAATAGGGCTTCTGCTCGCACTTGTATTAGAGCCATCATGCTCTATGGCTGTCGTCGATGTGCAATCATCGCCTGACCGATGATAAACTTTTGTTCATGTCCATGATAGCCGACCACAAGTGGGAGCCGAGGGAGCCTCGGTTGCAATGGTATGGAGAGTTCAATAAAAGCGTACGGAGTACACTCGAAAATGCTTGAGTGGGAAGCCATTTCAAGGTTGGATTTGTCTTATGCCGGCCTTCTCTTTACAAGGTCATGCATGCATTCTTACCTTTTTTGGATTACCTTTGCACGAGCACTAAGATTGCTGTTGGCATCTTGGTCTAAAGGCGGCCCAAGAGGTTCGATCCGAATATTTGTTTGGCTGTCGTGGGAGCTAGAGCGGTGAAACCAAACGTCGATCATTATTGCAGGGTTCTCCCCCATACGTGGTAACCGTAGTATCAAGTGTCGGTGAGACAAACTTTCAATAAATGAATCATACAAGTCCCAGTACGACCAGAGTGGACAAGCAAGGACATTTGGTTGTGTTGGCAGCATACTCCGCAAAGTATCAGCACATCATGGTGCTTGTGGCACCTAACTTACTGACGCTTCGGTCCGGGAGCGAAGACGGTCGACATGGGGTCCAGCAGACGATTACTGCTGATGGCCGACTTGATGCATCCTGCATAGTTGTGAGTTTGTCCATTGGTGCAAGTATAGATCGACCATGCAAGAGGGCACATTAGGGCCAGACATGTGGTTTGCCGCATCTCGTCTGCATTTGAAACTTGACATATCCTGGCTGCTGTGTTGGCCAGATAGCTGCTACGCTGTCTGCATCTTGCGTTCCTTCGGTGGTGCCACCACGCTCCATCTGATGTGACAAGGGTGGGGACGGGTTGTCCTTCGGCCGCAACGGTTAGTTATGGGGCGTATGCCAGCTTCAACGCCATCGACGCTTTGGTGGCTGAACTGTTCGGATAGGTGGTACGTTGGCCTGTGGTTCTGGATCCGAAGATGCCGGGTGATGGACAGCTTCGCATGATGCACAGGCCACGTCGGAGAGCCGCAGACTCGATGACGACGGTACGACAGAGTCGGTGATGGTGGTTGGAAGAGGATTGCTGCTCTTTACTACGGAGTACTCGAGTAACATTTGGATACTTGGGTTAGCATTCGTTACGTGTATCGAATGTCACATACGGAGTACTCGTAAAGAGTCTCAAACTCCCCGGATCGTGCCAGTCAAGTAGAGCGTGGGCCTTTTCCGTCACGATCTGGCTCGCTGGATGGACCAGGTCGTTTTGGGTCAAAACGACGTGCCGGACCGCGCGGAAGATGCACTACGTACTCTGGTGATTCAGTAGGATGGCCAAGATAGCCTTCAGCTTGACAAGATGACAAGACTCGAGACCCGGTAGCTGCATGCTAGGCATTGACACCCAAGACCAATGGGAGTGGCAGTGGGAGGTGACCACAAGGAAATCTGAAAAGACGGCGAGGGTTTGAGAAGGAGGAGTGGGGGAGATGGTTGTCGAGACTTGACTGAGATAGGACATTGACAGAGTGCAGCTCCAACGCTCCGACCAGCGAAGAACGAAGACCTAGGCCGTACTCACTAGGCTCAGTGGCTCACTTCCCAGGCACCTAGAGGTGATGCTAAACTGATGACAGACAGGGCAAAGAGGCCAGCGAACGAGAAGGAAATGCAGGGCTAGCAGGGGTTGGTTGGCAGGGATTTAGGCAAGCGGGACGACGAGTAGCGTGGAAAAACGCAGCCTGCATTGACTGGCATCGGGACCGCTCAGTCCCCCTCCTGCCTCTGCCTCTGCCTCTGCCTCTGCCTGCGCCTGCGGGCCTTTACCCCCTCTAGACTCTCTGGCTCTCTGGCTCGCCTGGCTTGCTGGGTGTTCTCACTGTGGTCCTCATCCAATCCATCTGGGATCTTCGCGCTTCAAGCTTGCTCCTCCACCCTTTTCCTCCCATCACTCACATCAATCACAATTTCGGCCATTATTCTGACATTTACCACGGTTCCTCCCTCCCCTTGAACTCTCGCTTCTTTCCAGTATCTACAAGTATCCATACTCCGTACGACCAAACCATTTTCACGTCAAAGCCCACTACTGCATTCAGCCTACTGCGTAATCGGGTCCGGGGTGCAACGAACAAAACTACCCTACCTGTAGCGACAGAAAAACCCAACCGAGCACAGACAGCGAACAGCAGACCGCAGACACCTCGATTTACGTATTACTACTCTAGACCCCCGTCACCACGTTACAGCAGTCCAATTCTCTCGCTGACATTGACTTCGATCGACCTTTCTCCTTCTCTTCCTCCTCCTCATCATCCAACAAACAGCGATCGACTGCATACAGTACCACCAACCCACCTCACCTTCCCTGCATTCTTATTCACCCGGCCCTGGTATCCAACCAGAGAGCTGCGTTGATTTGCTTCCAATCGTCTGTCGACATCTCCGGCCACCTTCCGACACTTGCCCCTGCGACTCCGCCATCTTCTTACTCGCACACCGCATCTTGACTGATCTTTACGGAAGTACTTGTCAGCGTAATATCACCTCGCACAACTTCAGCCGTCGACACAATGTCCTGATTGCGGTTCAACAATCTTGTACACCAGCCCACCCATCCATTGCGGTGGCTATGGCTCAAGCCATGGATGCTCACTCGAGCTTCGTCCACCTTGTCGACAATCTTCCTGTCTGGAAACGCAGCGTTGAGTCGCTGTCGATTCATGCTACTCGGAAGCACGCCGAGTTCGTCGCCGACTTCTCGCAGCTGGTCCACCAGGTCCATCCTAAACGCAGGAAGACTCCTTCAGTTGCTTCCATCCGTACCAACGACGAAGAAGAGATTCAAGAGGATGAAACGGATGTACCTTCGCTCCCCAACAGAGTAGAGATTAATCCCCTCGAGGCAGGAAACAGATATCTCTATGCACAAGCGACCAAGAAAAGAAAGCCCGGAACATCGATCCGCTCGGGTGCCTCGGGTCCTCAGAAATTCAGAAACAAAAACCAGGTAGTGGTATACTACGATTCATATCTGCAGGAACAGCTCGATGCTTTGGTCAAGTCTATCGGTGTTGGCCGCAACAACCTGCGGAAAGGGAAGAACTCGTTTGTAGTCGAAAGAGGATTTCGATTGCCCACTTTAAAAGGAGGAGCTCAGGGATATCCGTCCTTGGATAACTTGAGAAACAACACGATGTCCCGAACCACTTCGCCTATCTTATCTGGGAAGAAGGCTGTCGAGTCAATTGTCATGACAGTCCCAGACAATGATGAGGCGGCTTTTCTCCAAGTGGACAAGGAGCTTGAGTCAATTCAGTCTCTCTGCGAGACAGCAGCGCACCAATTTCTTCGTGATGGAGACTGTAAGGCTGAACTCGACAACATACAATACAAGCTTGGTGCTGTTCTGGCGCAGGCAACTTCCACTGCTGATTCGCTGAAGAAACTTAAAGAGAAGCACGAATTGGAAGAGGAGGGGGAAACTTCTGATACAGAATCCCATGCGGACTCCCTCACCGAACCATCAACTTATGTTATGCCTAATAAGGGCTCGAACATCCATCGAACGACAGTGACTATCAACCGCACCTTGGGAGATATGAGAGCCCGTGGGGCTTTCTTCAGTGCTCCTGCCATTACGGACGACTCTGACACCGATCTCATGGCCGACGACATTGAGGTCGACGACGCCAGTGAGCAGAGTTCGATCATTGTGGACATCTCACAATACCGACTGGCAAATCCGAGAAGGACCCGGGTCTGATTAGGTCACCTCCCGCGGAACTCATCCTGCGAAGGCTTTCATTTGTTTCATTTTCATTGTATAAAGTGTGATTGATTTGGTGGTCGTATTTCAGCGTGGTGTGTGTTATCTCAAGCATTTATGCATCATTTGAGCGGATTTGTTTTGGTCATCGAGGAGAGAGATATGTTGTTTGACAGCCTCCGAGAAGCTAGCGAGGGAAGGGCCCTCGTGGGGGACCCACCACCCAGACGGCGGTGGGCCGAAGGCGGATCTAGTGTTTGCAGTGTTTTGGCATCTATGGCGATGCAGAGGGAGGCACCCTTGGGACGATCACGTCAAGTTCATGCTGCGTGAAGGGAGACTTGTCGTCGTCCGTACTCGCGTTGGGGGCCAGACAGTTGACTTGCTGCAGAGCACGTGGTCTGAGCATGTTTGGGATGTAGAGAGAGATGTGATATCAGAATGTTACGGCCGACTTGATATGGGAATGGGCATTGGCTATGGAGATTGGGATATCTATTGATTGCCGTTTGAGCTTGGATATCAATGCTTGGGGCGTGGCGTGAGGACTGGATCGAGTCGCATCAGATATCTTGCAATGATACTGGATTCGAAGTTCTTGAAACTTATGATGATGGCTGTCTTTCTCGTCTTCATTCCCTTGACTGGCATCACGCTAGAATGCCCTTGCAAGACTTTGTCGTCGAGTCACGGTACTCAGCAACTCTGTGCTTCTCGTTGACAACGTCATTCCCGCCAACTCTAGGCGGGAATTCAGGTTCCCCTGTAGATGTCGGACGAGACTTCCACGATCTCCGGGGCTTCCGAGAGGTTTCGTCTTGATGACGACGGCCGACGTCGAGGTGGAATTTTTGACGTTTTTGACAAGTTTGGACCAACCAACTTTTAACGCCTTTTGACAGGCGTATTACGAGTACGAGCTCAAAAGATTCGATCAGGATCGGAAAGAGAAGATGGTTCAGAGCAAAGCTTCGAAGACAAATGACGATAGTGGAAGTCGCCAGGCCGCACTGCCACGGTCAGAGGGCGCCGGATTAGGGTGCGAATCTTCATCTTCATTTGATGGCGTACGTTCACCACTACCTGTAGCCCCTCGTGACATCGTGGCAGGTGAACTTGAAGGAAGATGCTGCAGTGAGCAGCCGTGAGCGGTAGCGTGTTGGGACGTTCCGAATGCCCTTTACGGGGACCAAGATGAACCCGTGCAGTCGACAAAAATGTCTCTTCCTGTGTGAATCGTTGTGTGGAACTACAGTACCAAGTACAAGTACTTCACATGGGCTCTAGTACAACCGAGGTCGATAGATACCTGGCACCCAGCCTGGTTCCTAGGTACATAGTAAAGGCTTTACCTCCCGATTCTGAAAAGGGGCTCGATCGGCATAGTACAGGTCATCCTCGTACGAGTGGTGTCAGCTACTCATGTACAAAAAAACTGTAAGAGCGAAGGAGGGACGACAAGTCTTTCCTTTTACACTACCAAAGGTAGGTACCCTCAGCGCCCAGGAAGGACCGCTTCATGTTCGCTGCCCAGGAAAGCATTCTGATGCACTGAAGGGGAAAGCCCAGCCTGCCGCAGGTCAAACACTGGTGGCTGTGACTAGCCATTTGTGATCCCTGGGTCGCTCCGAATGCCACAGAGAAGCATACCCTTTGTGGTCGGGCGTCTACCTGAGCAGTTTGTTGTGAACAGGTGGGCGACTGGCCATGCACGGTTTGAGCCTCTGCGAGGGTTTTCTCATGACCATGCGGCCAGCTTCGACATATATCCGTACTGTACGCGATATGATGCCGAGCATACCACGCAGATGCTTAGCTTCATCAAGGATATCCCAAACTTCTAGGTATTTCAACCACCGTTACTGGCAACTGCAACACCAGCCGCAGCATTCGTGGCTTGCTCACCGGCAGCTTTGATCCGTGCTTCCTGCACCACACCCCAAAACAGCGCCTTTTTGACCTCGCTAGCCAGCAGCCCTGCCACTTCTTCCGACGCGATCTTGTTGCCTCCTCTGACGACCTGCTCCAACGAGCCATCTTTCAAGACTCTAATGTTCTTGTCGCCAGTGCCTGCCAGCTCTTGACCTCTCCGCCCCATGCTTGCGCCGGTTCTTTGTTTTTTGGCAAGTTCCTTGATTTTCACCGCATGGTCGGCGATCTGCTTGTTGGCGTAGTCCCGGTTGGTGAACAGTGGTGATTGTGAAATTGTCGATGTCCAGTATTTGTTCCACAGAAGGCTTAGTAGGTGTGTGTCTAGTGTCGATTTGTAGTGGGCGACTTCAAGAGCATAGTAGGAATTGGCGTGGGCTCCAAAATCCTCAATCTTGCCGGTGGGAATCGCCTGGAATTCGTCGCTTTCATCGGTGAAGGCCTTATTCGTCGGTCGTTGACCCTCGGGATACGTTCTGAAAGCACCAATCTCAACCTTGCCCGCGCTGACTGTCCGGTCTGGATCAATGACCACGGCGACGAAGGGATCATTGACCATTTGGTGCGTCATTTGAGTATTAACATCGATACCCGACAGCCAGCAGCCATATCCCGGATGTGAATGGTACCATCCGATAGGATTTTCAAGTTGACCTCCTCCGTCTCTTGATGCAACACCGAAGTTGACCATGTATTCATCTGCATCGGCGTGTGCATTGACTCGTGTCTCAGTACCTTCAACCGGTAGTCTGAATGCGTCGGTGATGATAAGGGATTTGCCCGAGACGTAGCCCGTCATCAGGCCCATGATCTCTATGCTTCCACCGGATCGAGCATGTGTGGTCATTTTGAGGAGAGCAAGCGCAGAGATGCGGACGTGTGTAAAATAGTTGGGGTCTTTCTTCCATGGTGCAGCATCCTGAAGAGCTTTGTAGGATTCTGCGTCTGGTAGGTTGTATAGGGCGTTTTGAGACGGGTCGATGGTGATGATGTTGTTCTCGGCTTCCCAACTGCGGAAGGCAGACTGGGTCGACATCTTGTCAGGAAGAACGATAAGTAGGGATTGTCATGAACCAGGCCCAGCAATCAAGGAAATCTCCAGGCTGTGCTGGCTGTGCTGGCTGCGGTCAGAACGAAGTACTCAGTCACTGCACTCGCTGTTACTGTCGAGTGTATGAGAAGAAGGTGAATGCGGGGTCACGTGCGGGGTGACTATCGGAGGAATACTTATGTAATCAAGCCTCGTCTCGTCAGTGTTCGTTGTTGTTGGCAACGAAGATAAACATCCGCTTCGGATTTCTTTTCGCGATGAACTCGCTGAGCTCCCACCTGATTCGACAAAAGCCGCTTCGACCATCTGGTGGCCTTTTTCTGTCTTCTTACACATCATTCACCGTTCCTGTCATCGCACACACTTGATCTGATAGACATCCATCCTTGAGCTGCAGGGCCACGAGCCCGAGTCGCAAAACATGCCTGCGCCCATGGATACCAGTTACTTGACGACTCAGGTCACCACAATCATCGGCCAATTGCACTCAATCTTCGACGAGATAGGAGTTCCTCGAAATGAGCGCGAATCTAGAGAAACAGAGCTCTTTGCAGCTTTGTCCGAAACCCTCCACAACCACCTACGCATGGTCAACCAGTACGTTGCCTTATACTCATCCCGCTCTGACATATACTAATTGTCGCTTGCAGGGAAAAGAACGAGATGACCGAAGAGGCGCACAACATCATCAAGACGATCAAGCAGATGGAAGCATCACTAGACGACGAGAAAGATCGAGGATACGATCTGGACAGCAACGGACTTAGAGTTACTTACCCTCTCATCGACTGTTTACGCGACCTCAAAGAGAAATACAATGTTGTCAGCAGACTCCACCGAGAACGATTTGAACAAGTCAAAAAGCTAGTTCAAGCTCTCGATTCATACTCATCGCATCTCGAATCTTCCTTCGTCAAAATCAGACTACCTCCAACTTCGTCCAGCACCTGCCCTCCCACCTTCGACCTGTCTCCCTCATATGTCACAACACTTGACGAAGAGTTTACACGAGTATACGATGAATACAATAGAAGGATGAGCGTTGTCCAGCAACACGCAGAAGAAATCGTGAGATTATGGTCGGAGTTGGGCATTCCTCAAGCACAAACAGATTCTCTCATTGTTCAACACTACCGCGATTCACCCGAACAATTAGGCTTACATCAGGCTGACCTTGATCGTCTCAAGAGCCGGCGGGACAAATTGCTCGATGAGAAGAAGAGCCGCGAAAAGAGACTCGCCGAGGTCAAGAAGAACATTGAGACACTGTGGGACCGTTTGGGTATTGAGCAAGCAGACCGCAAAGCATTCCTGGCTGCTAACCGCGGCTGTGGCCTGCGAGCCATCAACGAATTTGAAGACGAGCTGGCACGATTGAATGAGTTGAAGAGACAGAACTTGCACCTGTTCGTTGAGGACGCTCGCGTCAGACTCCAGGAGCTTTGGGATATGTTGTACTTTTCGGAAGAGGAAATGCTCGACTTCACGCCTGCTTTCTCTGACGTGTACAGTGACGCCCTATTGTCAGCTCACGAAGCAGAAATTGAACGACTTATCACACTCAAGGAGCAGCGGGCGCCGATCTTGGCTGCTGTAGAAAAGTACAAGTCTTTGCTTGCCGACAAGGAGGCTCTTTCAGCATCTGCCGCTGATGCCTCGAGATTGCTGCTGAAACCGCAAAAAGGAGAAAAGCGAGATCCCGGCAAGCTGCTGAGAGAAGAGAAGATGAGGAAGAGAATTGCGAAGGAGCTACCAAAAGTCACAGCCGAGTTGGCCAAGACTTTACAGAGATATGAGGATGAGTATGGTCGCCCATTCTTGATTCACGGCGAGAGATTTCTGGATGAACTCGATGAAGCAGAAACCAAAGCACCACCACCACGGTCCAAGACACCCAATGGGCTACCACCCCGATCCAAGACTCCTGCTTCAACACAAACCTCCAAACCAGCTCCAAGTGCTACCAAATCTGCCCCACAAGCTCGACCAGCCAGTGTAATGAAAGGCCCTCCACCACGATCGACCGCCAAAACGCCGACCGGCAGCAGATCCGGAACAATGAGACAACAGGCTCCTCCAGCCTCTACAACAACCGCACCTGCCTCACAAATCAAATCTCCATCAAAGATCCCATCTCGAGTGCCCCTGGGCAATCTCAAGAACGGGAACAATTCTCCTGAGCGTCGAGCTATTCCGCAAGCCTCATCGCAAAGCCAGCATGAACCACAGCACAACTTCGCCCAGAGCACAAGAGCCATGGGGCCGCCTCGAGCACCGCCTCCCAGGATGAGAGATCTCTTCGTACCACCACAGGAGTCGACCGCCACATCTGCCATCTCATCCCAGCCTCAACCCGCTTCCACCACCCGGCCAGCGAGCACAGTGTCCTCCGGCTCGAGTGAAAGCAGTCGATATGTTCGACCAATAAGTCCAGAAGACGTGTACGACGACCGTGAGCGGATGTCTTACATGTCCATATCATTGCTCAACCGTGACAGACAACAGCCTCCGCAACAAGGTGACCCACACTATTCCTCCCACCAACATCATCCGTCTCAATCCTCCTCGACGTCAATACACAGCCAAACCCATAACCACAACGTGCGCTCCAACCCTTCGGCACCACCTTCAACAGCAGTTTCCCGGCAGACTTCGAACACATCCTCGAACATGACGACCGGCACCACCGCCAGTGGTAGCGAAAACTGGGAGACATACTCGGACGCTTCGGAAATGGAGCCGGAGCGTGACGTCCGTGACACGTATTACTCCAAGGTCCATGCTGCTGCCGCTGCCACCACGAATGCCCTGGGCATGAGCCACAATCTCAATGGCAAGAGACCAATGACCGCCTCGGGGCAACCGTCATTTGCAGGACAAATGGCGCCGCCACCGGCCAAGGTCAGGATGCAGATGCAGATGCAGAATGGTCATCACTTCCAGGATCAGCAGTACAGCCAGCAGTTCAGGGATGTTTCGGATGAGAATCTTTCTCATGTCAATATCAATGGCCTGAGGACGAGGGTTGAGGGGAGTGAATCGGCGTGGAGTACCGAGCTTGAGGAGACCTACTGAGCTACCTCCTAGCCTAGTGAGCCTAGCTATGGTTTACAATGCGATGTGGTCAACTCGAGTAATGGAAATCCGGGTTGCGGGTCGTTATTGGTGTTTTTTTTTTCCTAATCTGCGAAAGAAAAAGTCATGGTTCATGGGGTACGCAGAACATGTGTTTTTAAGAGCTTGCGCTGGTCTGGGGGTTGGGGGGTTTTTTCTCGTTCTCGTCACGACTGTTACGATTCATCATCTTCGTTCCGCTTTCGCTTCTGCTTCTGTTTTCGGTGGGTTGGAGTTAGATGTACATGTAAGGCGTACTTAGAAACCGGAAACTGGAAACCGGAGACTGGATGGGGGAGTTTTCCGCAAATGCAACAAACAGCATCATACATGGTGAGCCACAGAGCTTTCCCGGAAGAGTTTTTTCTTCGGTTTCGAGATACAATCGTGGTATGTACTTCTGTCAGAGGAGAAGAAGAAGGAAGGAAGAGGTCCAATACAGATCGGATTGTCCATAACATCAAATTCATGATTTATCATGTGTGTCGCTCCTTAAGATGCCTACTGTGTATGACCGTTGCAAGATGGCACCAGTGGTACAGGAATATGCAACAGGAATGTGATGAAAATGGAAAATCAGGTGTCCTTGCTATCCGCTCGCCGCATCGTGGGCTGAAAAATTCCAACAACTAACTCCATCTAAATGCAACGCAATGCGATGCCTATGCAATGCAGCTGGCTAAAAGAAAACTCAAGCGAATTTCAATGCAACAGGTGGCTTCGCGCCGTATAGTTCAAGCAGGATGCTATGCTTATATTCCCAAATATGCACATGTGCTGAAAGTCGAGGTCGAAATCGAGTGCGCGCCGTTTTCGTAAATGACAAGGCATGACATGATGATGTGGATGGTTCTATATGTACTTTCGTTTGTCAAATCGTATCGTGGTTCTCGTTAATGAGGTCGTTTCACAACGCCCCGAGTGGCAGTTTCGTCGCGAATGAGACATACGGATAATGTTCCAATAATTCGCCAAGGGTATATACAAAGATGTCTGCGGGCAGGTTCAAAAAACAAAGGTGCTGCGGTTCCAGTCGGTAATGTGAAGAAAGTCGACAGACGACTTGAGTGTCTGCTGCTGATGATCAGGATCCGGCTGGCTCGACAGGGTTGGCATGAAAGACTTTGACAAAGTAGTTCCTGACTCCGTCACAGATACCCTGTTTGCCTTTCCAACATCCGAATTGATGCTCGTACTCGCACGCGGTACCCATGATCTCTTCCCAGAAGGCACGTTCCACGTCGAATCCGAACAACTCGGTGGCGCGCTGCTCGCTCATCCAGCAGCGCACGGCGGTGCCGTTTGAGTCATGCGTAGGACCGCCGGAGCCGGTGACTTCGTCATCGAAGCCACGCATTTGGTGCTGGAAGATGGTGGAGGGGTCGAATTTGGGGAAATTGGCGTGGATGAAAAACGGCCTCACTTCGGTGAGCTGGATGTCGAATGGGTTCACGTCTTTGAGGTCTCCTTCTTTCAACCGCTCGTGAGGGGGCCCGTGGACTTGGGTATAGATCCAGTCAGCAATGGGATCATGCTGGGCCATGGCGCTTCCCAGGTAATGGCCATTCGAGTCCATCCGGCCAAGGGCCATAACCCGTTCATGGACCGGGTAGAATGGTTGTTTGAGTGCTGTAGCCGCCCAAGCGAATGTCTCCTTGTCGCCTTGACCGGGAGCGCCCTGCGAAAGGAGTGGGTAGTAATAGGTCGGGCCGTAGAAATTGTAGTATGCAGCTAGCATGATGGACATGTTATGTTTCGCTTTCGAGTACATCAGTTCGCCCGATTCGACGGAGGCACGAGAGTACAAGGGCGGGATATCTTCGATTTTGGCAATCTGGAAATAGTACGGTGATTCGGAAGCGTACCAAAAGTCGGGCCAGACAATCATACCCGTGCTCTTAAACGGCTCTTGTTCGAACAGTGAGATGGGATTGTGGATGGGAAAAGCATCCGAGTCCAGGAGCAGGACTTCTTCGAACGAGGAGAACAGGATGGCCATGATTTTGTACTGAAAGCGGTCGATGGACACGCCCGACTCGGCCGCTCGAAAGATGTCGGACAGAACGATGCATTTGGCGTTGAGCGTCGGCATGACACTGTTGCATATTTCTTCGTCGTAGTCGTTCGGATCGGCCACGAACACCTCGACCGGCAATAACGACCATGTCCTCCGTAACATACGTATCGATATCACCATGACCGGCAGTTGATTGAATCCCGCAGTCATGACGAGTCCACGACTGCCTGGCTCATACACCATTGTTGGAGTGGACTTTTTGAGGTCATTGATGAAGTTGGTATGTGCCTCCCTCATGCGTTTGATGTCTTTGGACTCCATAAACAATATATCCGGTCTTTGGTGGTTGTGCGAAGGGTCATATCCGATGTCCAACTTCTGAGGCACGACCAGGTCCGGTGGTTGGTCACAGTTTGGGTCATTGTTCAGGATCAGCAGGTGGAGGTCCTTCCAGAAAGAGGCTTGGCTTTTGAGGAGAGGGCTCGTAGGTCGCGGTGCAGGAGGTGGAGGGACCGTCGCCGCTGGTTTCGCTGGGGTTGAATGGAATCGAGTCTGCAGGAAGAGGAGGAAGAGGAACAGGAGGAGCAGTTGGCCAACGATGCCGGACTTTCGACGATGCCATTGACCGCAGACGTTTCGCGAGGGTCGAGGTAGGAGCATGATATCATTTTGCTATTGAGGAAGGGACATTCCATTCGACAGAGGTCCAGGGCTGCGCAGGTATAGGGTGTATAGGTTGGAGAGAAGACGGTACGGAGTACTGTGGTAGAGAACAACGCCGTAGCCAACGAGGTACGCGTAATGCAGACATCGAATTGAAAGTGGGAAGGAAGATAAGGAAACAAGCTTGCCCATTAAGCGAAGTCCGTGGTGGAGAGTCGAAAAATATGGAAAGCATGTCAATTCAATGGAACCCTGAACCCTGTTGATGAGGATGATGGATGCACGGATAGAAGGATGGAATGGGATAGGCGAGGTGAGGCTGCCGAGTATCGACGGCGGCATGTGCTACGAGTACAGTATGCTGAATCTGAAACATCCATGTTAACAAGAACAACAGGACCATCTGACCACGGACCACGGACCACGGACCACGGACCACTGACCACTGACCACTGACCAGCCGGTGAAAAAGCTGAAACCTTTCCTGGCATGTGTTCAGGTAAATATAGAAACGTGCGTCGGTTGGAAGATGGAGATGGAGATGGAGATGGAGATGGAGTTCAGCAAATGGCAATATCAGATGCCTACGAGCTACACAAGTATTGGCCTTTCTCTCCGCCTTCTTGTCCACCATCCTCTACGAGTAGCCACATTCCATGGTGACACTGACGATCCGAGAGGCGAACTGCTAGGCCCGAAGCGGTCCATGGAATCTTCTTCGCCTACTGCGAACGTTTACCAAATTTGACGGCGACAACACCAACCACAACCTTTGTGAGGACACTCCTGTTCGCACACATCTACCACAGTACTCCGTGTTCCTCTAATTTTGCACGCTGACGAGTCGCCCTGCCGCGTACTTGATCATATAGTGGCCTGGTACGGATACACTTGACAGGCTTCACCATCGTGGCCGCTTAGCCATATTGAGTGAGATACGTGGCTGACGCGTATGAGATGAAGCGCGGCCACCGAGACTAAATTACGGCCTCGGGTGGTAGTATGCGTCTTCGACTGGTTTTGTATGGAGCAAGTTACTACGTAGTAGCTAACACCTTGATAACTGAACTTATGATCTCGGTAGACTCCAAAGAAACAAAGTACCATACTACGTAGTATCCTAACGGGAACCGAAGTTTCATCTATCGACTGGTGCGACGAAAAACAGCATGTGGTGTGATTACTGAGACCATATACCATTTTCCATCCTGTCCATGTCATGGCCCACACGAAGGAGATGCGTCTGGCTCCGTCTGGTCAATTTCACCTCCGTCAAGGGATCGTATAAGCGCCGTCGACGACAATATTCGCTCCAGTCATGAAGCTCGACGCATTCGAGGCACAGAACAGATACGCCTGTGACATATGCATCAGTCATCTAGTCTTGTTTCCGCAGAACAGCTGGACATCGAATAGAACTCACTCCTTTCAACTCATACGCCTCACCCATCCGCTTCGCTGGCGTAAGTGCAACCCATTCATCCGACAACTCTCTGGGCACTTGTTCCAGCATATCCGTCCATATATAGCCGGGACTGACACAGTTGACGCGACAGAAGTCGATCCATTCCACCGCCAGACTTTTGGCGAGATGGATTAGTCCAGCTTTTGATGCGTTATACTGTGATGATGTTAGAACCGTGACAAACCCGGATTGAGGGCTCAACTTACAATGGCCTGCTTGTCCGGAATGTTCACAATCAACCCACTGATCGAGGTCGTGAAAATCACATTCCCACTCCCCTTCTTCTTGAAATACTTGGCCGCGGCACGCGCACAGAACCAAGGCCCGTCAAAGTTCACACCCATCTCCGACCTGAACTGCTGAGTCGTCATGTCCTCGGCCGCGACGGTGTAGCATATCCCAGCGTTCGCGACCAGGATGTCGACCTTGCCGCCGAAGTCATTGGCAATGGTCTCGAAGACGGCGTCGACGGCCTGTTCGTCGCTGACGTCGCATTGGTACGCGCGGATGGTCACGCCATGTTGCGCTGAGAGTTCGGATGCAATCTGGTCCGCGGTCGATGAGCTGCGGTAGATGGATGCAATGTCGGCGCCCGCCTCGGCGAAGGCTTTGACTATTTCGAGACCGATGCCGCGGGAGCCGCCTTCACGGTTTCAGGCTTCAGACAAGGTGATCGGAAGGAAAACAAAGGGAAGGCAACGCATGAGTTAAAGGGGCCGAGTGTATTGGACGTACCAGTGACCACGGCGACTTTGCCTTTCAGGCTGAATAGGTCGAGGACATGTGCATCGCCGGGTTTGGGGAGATACATGGCCGGCTATACTAAGAACAAGACTGCCGGTGTACTCGACTCGGCACTCAAAGTGGTGTATTGATGATTACTCTCGAATCGCGTCCCATTGCTGGTCCTTCCTGAAAAACATGCGATTGTTGAAGCTATTCCGACATGGAGATCTCCATCTACAAGAGGAGATGACCGTTCTGTCAAGAAAGTGGTTTTCCCCTTTAGGATAAGCAAGAAGTGCTTAGTACTTGATCTCCTGTGCGAGCGAAGCGCAGTAGCCGCCGGACTCTATCGAAGGCATTGACGTGGCTATTCTGCAACGTGGGAGCTGCTGGCGAGGTGGGACTTGTATCTTCATGTTGCGAGCTCAGCATTCAACACGAATCGGCATGCTTCTGCGCCTAGTGGCCGCTACTGAACACCAAGTCAGTAGCCATTGATACCCGTCCCCATCACTTTCCCTGGTTTGTCGTGTTGTTGGATTGCATTTTTTTGGCCCAGATTTCTGCCGTTGGTTTCCTACTCTCGCAGTACTAAGAACAGTCTTCCCATCCCAATTCTCTCGTGATGTCAAGCTTGACATTAGTCTCAGACAAGAAGTCTTTCACCTCGAACCTTGACCAAGAGTACCCAAAGCGCTACTAGGCAAACCGTGCCTAGCCCAAGTAGCAGTCCACTCATGAGTTGCACCGCTAGGAAGTTGTAGCCATTAGACCCGGTCACATTAACTTTGATCAGAACTCCAGCAATCGGGGCGCCTATCAAGAAGGAAATCCCCGAGGCAAACCAACCCATTCCCATCCAGGTGCCAAGCTGATTTGCGTCCTTGCAAATTTTGGGAAATATGGCTGGAGGCAACGCGACCAAAGCGCCTGAAAAGCAGCCTACGTGGGGCATTCACGGTTACTCATGATGTTGTTCCTGATCAAGGTAGACAGCAACTCACCATACAATGCGCAAAATGCATACAGTGATTGTACACTGTGCACAAAGATCCAGCAGAAGCAAAGCGTTGCCGATATGGCAGAACAGGCAACCCAGGAGATCATGATGCCAAGTCTTTGGGCGACCAATGCAGATCCAAGACGGCCTGCAATGGAGGTTGCTGATGACACGGCTAGCGCCCAAAATCCAGTTGATGCTGGTGTTTGCAGAACGACTTGAGCGTAGGACGGAACATAAAAGAAGGGGATCAAGTAGCCCAAGAAGATGATGAAGGACGCCAGGGAATATATGAGGAACGGTAAGTCTTGTAGGGCGGCCTTGTCGAATAGTCTGCAAGGCGAGGAAGACGTCTGCTTCGTTGGGCTGTTGGACACCAAGATAGGCACGGCCAAGCCGAATACCGCAGTCGCAATGAAGCCCAGAACACGTACAGTCCAGGCGAAGCCGACACGAGGAAGGAGGGATTGAAAGGCTGCAACATAAACCACGCCACCTTGGGTCTTGTTAGGATGCCAGTGCGTGGACCATTAATATACGCGCTTACCTATGCCGATTCCATAGGTCAACGTGCCGAGGGCCAGTGCGCGCCTCTTCTTGAAGGAGGTGCTAACGAGAGCCAACGAAGGCACATACAGCAGACCTCCACCGATGCCAATGCAGACGCCTTGACTTAGAAAGATTTGATAATATGCTGTTGATAAGCTGAGCATGAAAAGTCCGACAAGCACAAGGAGTGCACCCGTGACGGTCATCAGGCGATATGCCCCGAGATCGAAAAGAGGGCCAGCGAGGACCCCGATCATGGAGAGAAGGGCGCTTTGGACAGTACCAACCCAAGAGATTGAGGATGGTGACTCGGAAGGTATGTAGGACAATTCATAAAAGCTTTGAAAAACTCCAAAGATAAAGACAAAGCCCCTGCGAAACAGTGAGTAGCATGTTTCAGGTGCAAAAGGATGGAGGCAACTCAGGCAGACCAGATGTTCACAAAAATCAAGAAGCAGCCAAAAACACGTAAGAGGCCTGTCGTGTTTCCAGCTTGCTCCTCGGAAGAGGGAACTGCCACCTCTCGACGATCATGGTTGTTCGAAAGCTCATGGCTTCCGCTGCAACCTTGGGCCACAACCTCATGTTGAGTTCTTCCGTGCATGGCCAATACAGTTTTCGCTTTCAGAGTCGGGTACGCGGTCGCTGTCCAGATAAAAGCAATCGAGGCTCTTCACAAAGATAGCTGACATTGGATCTCATCAAGCTCCATTCCTGTGCATGCACTTATAGTCAAAGGCAAGATTGTCGGATTGTTAGGATAAATCACAAAGGATGGAGGACTGGGTGCTAAGTAAAGGGTAAAGGTTCCCTTTCGGCAGACATTCCAAGATCGGAATTCACGTGACTGTTGCATAAGGGGGCGCTAGGGGAAATCTTCCTAAAGCGGCGACACCAGCTTATGGACAGAATCCTCGACGATTTGAGGTCTCCCTCCTTATGAGAGTCACTATCAGAGGTTTGGGAACGCAGAATGAGTCTTCCTAGAATCATCAGCTAATCCTTGATTCTGATCTGGTAGATCTCGACCGACTCGCGATACTCGCCCTTGGCGGACTTCTCGCTACTGCTAGCATGGCCGGGCTGTACGGAGAATGCGGGGGAATAAGGCCAACACACCCTTCATCACACATGTCAGGAGGCCTTACGTGAGACTCGGTTCGACCGGTGCACCGAATTGTATGTTATAATCAGAGAGAAGCCAGAGAATTCCGGCAACACCCCCAGCATCGCTCAGCAGTATCCGTGGCCGTCAGGAAGACACTGCCATCTTCGTCCAAACCGCCCGCGGGGCTCAAGGCTTTCCAGAATTGAAGCAGTGAAGAAAGGACATTTGATACTACCAAGTTACAGTAGTAGTGCCGTTTGATACGCGATCCCCTCCCCTCCGCGACAATGGCACAGCGCTCAAGCCTAGAGTACACACCACTTCCAGAGAGGGCACAAAAGATTGTCGAAGCCTTCATCCCCTCCGAGGAGCAGATTGAGCGCGAGATTGCCCAGTACGCACACGTCAAGCCACGCCCTCCTGACAAGGACTTGGATACCGAAGTCCTGGACGGAGTAGTCTTCACACACCATTTTGTCCTGGGCCCCGGCGACGCCGAAGTGATCCAGTGGCACTATGTCGAAGCCGGTCCTGACGCCGAAGCCGAAGCAATCGTCTTCCTCCACGGCATCCCCGACGCCTGGTACCAATAGCACCACCAAATGGCGCACCTGTCCCAAACCTACCGCTGCATCGCCGTCGACCTGAAGGGCTACGGCCAGTCCGAAAAGGCACCCGGCGACTACCGCCACGAAGGCGCCGGCGAACAACTCTTCGACATGCTGCAACTGATCTTGAACAACAGCAATGGTGACGAGGGCAACGACGGCAACGGTGATAAGGCCAATGGCAAGAAAAAACGCTTCAACCTCGTCACGCACGACCGGGGCACCGTGCAGGCCGACTTCATCGTCGCCAAACACCCCTCCTCCATCATCCGCTACATGCGCGGCGAGCAGCACCTATACCACTTCAACCCGCTACTTGCCCCGCAGGGCGACATCTTCAAGGACGCGCCGTGGACGGGCATCATGGAAGACCCCATCCGGTTCGTCGTGTGGGTGCACAATTTCGTCCGCGGCAAGAAGCCACTGCCCCAGCACGAGATGGAGCGCGTCATCCAAGAATTCTCGTACCCCGACATAAATCGAGCCGTGCCGCGCTATTTCAATTCCTCCTCTTTCAGGATCGAATGGCTGCAACGCCGGAACAGATTGCTCGAGGCTTGGAAGTGTCCCGTCTTGATCATGCAAGGCTACGACAGCAAGAGCCAGCCGCGCGAGTTTTATGAAAACGCTGGAGACTACATACCCAATGCCGAAAGAGTCGCGGTCCAGTACATTCCCGGAGGACACTTTTGGACCCTGGAGTCCCCGGCGGAGACCACTGATGCTATTGAGAAGTTCATGAAGGGTGAGCTTTGAGTATCTATCAGATGTTCTCCGGATGGCTTTGCGATGGTACCTTTTGATCGAGAATGGTGCTCGAATCAACGATGGCAACGGCAATGGCCATGGCCATGGCAGTGATGTTAATGAGTTCTATGAGGCGTGTAGAATCTCTCTACCTGCGTTAAAGTGATGCTGAGTGCCAGGACCACTGTTGACTCAGGTATAGCATACAATTGACCTACCTAACACTATCAAACGATGAAAGTGGTGTATTCGAGTCCGTCAAGTCCTGGAATTTCAGAGCTGTGATTCCTCCTTATCGATTGCATTGACGGTGAGTCTATTGGAGGTAGTGTAGTGTAGAAACGCTATATCTACATCGCACACAAATCATCAAATCATCCTTCATGTAAGTCTGCCCGACTTCAATGTACATTTTCATCCGACCTGATAAACCGCTCATCTCACACCTCATCATCACTGCTAACCACCACCGCCATACCCGCTAGATACGTCGCCTTTCGCACGCACGCGTCCATGAACGATTCCAGCCATTCCACAGAACCCAGCGCTGGAATCCCATCTGGATATACAGTCTCCCAGGCTACTGGCACGCCTAAGCCAGATTGCGGGCAAAGCGCTCTCGGGAAGAACGTTGACCAGTGTATTCGTCGAACACTGTTGGCAAGTTGGATCGTTTGCAAAGTCTGGGCATCTAACAGACTTTGAGCGCCTCCAAAGTTCTCTTCCAGCTCACCATTGTTCTTGCCACTCAGGCGGTGTTTCATTTCTCTGCGCCATTTCGATGACCAGTTTCTGAACCGTTCCAGACGCAATTTATTTGCGTTGGAGCCTGGGATGTAGTCGAGCATGTAGTCGAGACATACATGGCAATAATCTTCCAGGGATTGTAGGCGTGAGTCTAGTTCGCCGACGGGGCCATTCGGATCGCCACACAAGCCGAAGGGGGTCCTGTGTACTGCCGACATGAGCACAAGGAAGCAGATCTCTTCGAAGATCGGGTGGGGTCTGCCATCCGGAAGGATGATCGTCATTTGCTCCGCGTACCTAATCCTCTGGAACGGCAAGAGCATGATCTCAAGGTCGGACCTGTCAAAGATCTCTGCGTTGAAGTTGCTTTGTTGAGGTGGCTTTGTTCTCGCTGCCAGTTCGCAGGTCTTGCCCCATGCTCGTCGAGGCGTTTGCAGAAACGTGAGTTTGATGTGTGGTAGATCGAAGCCTGTGTTGTGCGATCCACTTTCGATCTCCGCTTCCGTCGCAGGTGGATCGTATGGACGCCTCCATCGAGGCAATAACCAGTCCAGAAGGCGTGTCACTTGCTGGAATCCTCGGATGAGTTGGGCAGGATCCCTTGGATCAGGAGCGTGGATGTCGATGTCAACTCGTTTAAAAGCGTGGAATGGGAGCTTTCGTCCTTCTAGGCATGCAGGTACCTTGATACTGGTGGAGCCGAAAGGTGCCTCCAGAAAGACCGGGTTTGTGCCAAATAAAGCAACCTCCGTGCGAGGCGAGTTGGGGTCGATGGTAATATTGAAAACAAAATTCTCTCGGACGAGAGGAGCGAATTCATCGTAGAGTTGTGAGTTGAGGCGAAGCATGGTCATGCATCTCTGCTCAACGCACGCTCTCATGACCAGTTGACGGATCTCTGGTGGTATCTGAGCCAACGAGCCAATCATCTTTTGAGGATCCATTTTGGATGTGTTCCGAGACGTCTCTCAGGTGGGCGGTTTAGGCTCGTGTGGAAGATTGCAAGGCCGTCTCTCAAATTGACAAAGTCGGCTTGTGTTTGGACGTCCGTTTCGAGATGCTGGATGAAAGAGCTGCTGATGAAGAGAAAAACAGTTATATATAGTCTGGTTCGTCGATGGTTTCTGTGTGAGGAACTGTCTGAGGACCTATGGCCGCATCGGGTGGTCTCGTCTCAACCAGAAAAAGGTAAAACATCTGCTTCCGCCAAACCAGGCGCGAGGACCACTGGTACTCTCCTTGGTGAAAGTATTGCGCTGATTCTGTGACTCACTATTTTGAAGTCGAAAGAATCTCAGATTCGTTGTGGCTGGTCGACTTCCACTCGATGTGCTCGCGGAGCAACGATTGGTTTGACCATCCCCATCGACGGCGTGGAGTACTGCTCACATGCTCGATCTCTCTCTAGTCCCGGCCAGCATCCCTCCAAGTGGTGACCTTCATGCCAGCTTGAGGGAGTGCGCTTCCTCTTCCACATCGAGTGTAGAGTCAACTTTTGCGGACACCTGATCCACGCCAGCATTCGGAGCTGAGGACTTCGCTAAGACAGGCGCCGTTTTGCATCAGACTTTGCAAGACTCTCTGCTCAGAGGTTGCTGCTTCACGAGACGATGGTCATTTGAGGCTGGCTAGTGGGAAAGGCCTTGCCAGACCTGTGTTGAATCTTGCTGCCATTCCTCCTTGCTCTCCTTCTGCGGCAGGATCGTTCGTCACAGTGTTGACAATCCCATTGCCGCTAATATCCCGCACATGTTGCTCTTGGGTCGTGCTCCTAAATAGTATGAATATGCTCATAAATTGCAGGACGTTGCGGGGAGTGTTGTCGGGCAGGTGACTCTTCTCTGCTTGTTCCAGATGCACTGTGATGCGTTAGTCAATGTTTTCTGTCACTGCAAGGTAAGCACCGGAGAAGGTTACCATACCTGTCAGAGTCTTCATTCACTTCAGCACCAGCCCGAGTGATATCTCGAGAAAACGATAGAGACTCTGAACCGGACTCATTCACCATCTTCCGTGCGGCTTGATACTGCAATTTGGGATTAGCAGACGCTATCAAAGCAACCATCGGCCGCAATTGAAGTCGAGGCACATTTACAGATAGGTCCGCCATACTTGTGGTTGATTGCATAGTTTTCAGGCAGTCCAGATTGCTCTGGATGTGAGGCATCACTTCGGTCATAGTGATTTTGCCTCGTTCGGGGTGAAGATCTAAGACTCGAGTAACATAATGTAACATGACTAGGATGTCGGATTGCGGAATTTGCGGGTTTCCACAGCTCACATGAACGAGATCGCTTTACGGAGGCGTGCACCAAATGTAGTTGCCGCGCTAAAGTTGAATGACGAGGACGTCAAAAGACCATTTATTTTCTTTTCCGTTGCTCCGGACAACTGTCCCCGGAGATATCGGACCTCGTTTCTCTGCCCCTAACTCTCGCCTATCCTCTACCATTAAGGCACCTAAGTGGATTACCTTCAGTTAAGACTTTAGTTAAGGCTGCCTAGAGCAAAAGAAAATCTCATGTCAGGTTGTGATCCTTCGTCATTCGATCTTAGCGCGGCATCTACATTTGGTGCACGCCTCCGTACCTTGGCTCTTTTTCCTGGATCTCCCACCCCGGACATTTCAATTGTGGAGAATAGTATAGCCGGATGGAGATCATTACTGTCCATGTTGGTCTTTGATGGTAAGCGATATTCCCGGCGAGGTACGGACTACGGAGTCATAGTCTGCGGACTGGAACAGGAGAAGAGTACAACGGAGGTGGCGGGTAGTCGGCAACGATGATCAAACACTAGTTAGTTGATAATAGGTAAGGTACAATACCTATAGGTAGTTAAGCGTAGAGTGCTTCATTCGGCTAAAGAAGCCTATTGCTCTAGGCTTGCACGTGCCTGGAATATCATCTAAGGGGACTGCCCACTAGGCTCGTTACCTAACTTACTAGTACCTGGCATAGACTTGGCTCAATGATAGACGCACCCCGACTTTTCTTATCGACTAGCTAGCGAAGGGGCATTCCTGTACCAATAGGTCTCCGTATGATCCCGTCGATGTTTCGCGCGAGGCGCCAGAGCCGCTGTCGACGTCTTTGCGCTCGGTCGCAGCAAACCAGCCTTCGTAGGCTTATCGTGTCGGGATCCGCAGGCTTAATATCCTGCCTTGCAATGTCATGGTGGATTTGTCGAGCTCCGGGGATCTTCTCTTGCACTCCGGACACTGTACAGATATGCGCAAGTCTTCGAGTGCTCTTCTCGCCACACAAGAGAGGTTGGAACGGGAACCAAGCACATGGAGAGCTTGAAAACTGACAGATAGTCATACATGGATGGCCCTTGGTTCTGCCGGAGACGACTGTCTATGCTGTACCCGGAACGAAACCGGCGGCAATGCAGAACTCCTTGGAATCTGTGACTTTTGCCCCGTCGAGCGGTGACCGGGCCTCGAACTTCAGATTCCGCCCCTCAACGATGAGCCAGAGATCGTATACAATCTCGTAGTATGCGTAGGATTTCCCCTGATCATTCGTCTCGGTTTTCGGCCGGATGCGATTCTCTGTCTTCAGGAAAGTGAGGTCGGCCAGAATTCTCCCTGCCTCTCGTGCGCCTGGGTGCAGCGATCGGATTAGGGCTTCTGACCAGGGTGACTTGGATCGGGATATCTCTTACCTTTGTTCGCCTTGTGTCCGATTTTGTACCCAGACGGATGCTTGCTCGAAGAAACATAGAGAACTTCTTCGCATAAGAACTTCGGTTCCGAGACTTTGAAGATGTGCCTCGACGGGTATGACTTTTCAGACTTGGTCGCCACAAGAGTGTCCTGGTGCCCTGATGTTAGAATGCATAACAGAAGCAACTTGTACCACGGTAGGTGTCCAACAGACCTTTTCGATAACCCAAAAAATCGTGTCCATGATGTACAATTCTCCATCGGCCGGGGAACGGGTGACTCTGAACTTCCGGTGCTTCAGGTCCTCTTCGTTATAGCGCTCTGATCGAAGGATCCCGTAACTCGACCTGGTAAACCTCTCAGGCCCGTCCTCTTTTCTCAAGGCCCGCAATACGGCGCCGCGCGCGACAGCCGACTGGACGTGACGGGATAGCTCAAGATCTATCGGCTGACCGAGATGGTTCCTCTCCCTCCTCAGTACCTTCTTGAGATGATTGGTCAGCGACGGCGACTCTCCAAAGCCCCCAATCACAATGACCGTTTGGACGTTGACCCCTTTTTCTTTGGCTGCATTGAGTTGTTTCAACATCAGATCTGCGACGCCCCGGATGCAGTCTTTGAAGACTTCATACATCTCGTTCCATTTGAGATCCATTTTATTCCTCCGAAACCGCCGCTCCTTATTTAATTCGAGGCCTTGAACATAGAGCGGCTCAAAGTTGGCTTTCTTGTCGAGTATATTGATCTTTCTCTTGTCACTTTCAAATTCCTGGACCAATTTGGCGATGACATCCTCCAGTGGCGTGTCGTTGCCCCTGATTATGGCATGTCCAAGCCGTTGCTGCAGTAGAGTCTTGAACTTTTCATTCAGGAAGCTGGAACCGCAGCAAGCTCCATCGGGCTTGACCACTTCTCTCAGCCGAGTCGGGTTGGTCTGGGTCAATGTGTAGGTGACAGCATCGACTGTGCCGCCGCCACAGTCCAGAAGCAATAAGGACTCGTCCGTTGTCATTCTAGACAAAAAGTCACGATCTTCGAGTGCGTAAGCTGCCGCAGCCTCCGACTCCGCCACGAAGAATAAGTCTCTGATCGTATCTTCCTCGGGACGTATAAACCAGGACATCTGGGCGGCCTTTGTCAAGGCGTCTTGCATAACGCGACCCGCCGTGTCTGTCCAGGAATTAGGCACGCATAACACAAATTCCACGGGACTATCGCTGCGGAGGTCATGAGTGACCGTCAGCCTTGTTTTCGTATGCTTGAGCAACTGTCCAAGGTACTCGGCGATGACATCTACTACCTTGGCAGGCTTCAGCATGTTCATGACCCGAGCGCTTCTTCTCCGAAGATCCCTTGTGGCAGTGCTGTCATCCAGTAGCAGTTTGAAGTTGTTCAAGTGCGCTAGATCTGCAGTTATGGTTTGCGGCTTCATCAATCGGGAGTGGACGCCCCATCCCCAATTCGAAATCCTGACTAGGATCTCTCTGGCTTGAGCAGTTGTCAACTCTGCCTCCTCCTTCTCTTGATCAGAGTCGTCAGGTGAAGACGAGGCCCATTCTTCGTCCAAAGAGCAACGAGATTCATGATCCGAAAAGTCTGATTCGGGTTGATTTTCAGACGTCGCCTTGTCTTTCTGCGTATAACACATGAGCTCCGTGGGGACAGTCTGATGGTAGGCGAGGGCGTCGATAGGTGGGCCGGGTAGCATTCCGGGGAAGTTGTCGATGCACTTGATGGACTCGATTCCAACTAGTTGAGTTGCAGCTTCAGGTTCAAGACGTACGAACGCCACAGAGGAAAATGTAGTCCCAAAATCGACAGCAATGACGAATTTTGGTAGGCGCTGCTCCCGGGGGTCTTGCTCTATGCTTTGAGTAGGTTCAGGGTGCGGATCTTGTGCCATGTGGACGTCTTCGCCAGGTTGGACGGGTATGATTACACGAGGCCCATACTGCAGCCGGTCTCTACCACAGGGTTCGGAAATATCAAGCATTTCGGTATCCTCCGAAAGCTCTTCTGAAGGGACTCTCCCGAACTCTTCTTCAGCATTGTCGGCCATATCGATCATCTCCTGGACCTCGCAATACCCATCCTACCAGAAGGCGTGACGAACTGGTTATATCCATCATCAGCTGTTGGCCAATTCTGCCTGATCTGCGGCGCCCCTTCTTGGCCCTCTACAATCGAGGCTGAGTGCGCCTTGTTGCCTTGCAGCCATCCATGGACTTCCAAACCTCACTACCAGTCCGATGACCAGGGGCCCTCTCGACTAGCCGCGAGCACCTGGCGAATGTGGGCAGGCGTGACCATTCAAACAAGGATAGCAAGCGCTTGAGATGCGGCGCGTTCATTTGGGTTACTGTTACAATGAGACCTGAACGCAGACAAGTACTAGGTACTAGTTAGTCCTGCAGATTTTGAGACAGATTAGGTGGCGGACCAGGCTTCCGCAACCGCGGTCGGTAGTTGCCTGTTCTTCTGGTCCACTCAAAGAGTGGATCGGCAGAGGTCTGCTACCACAAGTACATTAGCCTCTTGGGAACTGGATAGATCAAGCAAAGTACTATGTAGTACTTCTGTTCCTGACAGGGGAGGGGGTCGGTCCATGCCACCCACCACCGAAGCTCATCACAGCCAAACTGTATTCTTCGCACTTTAATTTACTTTTCTCTCCGCAACGATCTGGAATTAGTGGCTGGCGCGGGCTGAGGAAAGAGTACTATATGTACTCATGTGGGTGTGGAGGATCCCTAGGCTGTTCAGCACGCAATCCACAGAAGTACTATAGTACTTTTGCATCGCTCGGACGTATTCGAGCAAGGGGTGGTGAGGATCCACTGTGACAGCCTCCTTATCGCTTGTTAGTGCTGTGCCGAAGTTGGGCAGGGCGCACACACTGCCACAAGGACACGACTAACAGTGCATCTCAGTCTCTTGCTCGAAGTCGTTCCAACCGCATACGAAGGCATGGAATCAAAGCGAAGTCGCAAGCAGCGAACCGACATCAATGGGACTCATGTTGACGCCCATCTCTATGATGAACACGGTCTGAAGATTTTGGCCCACCTAGAGCGCACTCTTCTGTACGAGCTCCCACTGGACTTCTTCGCACCAGCTGCCATCTCCTACTGCGAAGAGCTCGGCAAAGCGGTTTCCATGAGCGAAATCGAGGGCAAGCTCATGCTTTTCTGGTCCCATTGGCGCCCCAGAGGGAAAAATCAAGAGCATTGGAGAGAACTCTATCAATTGGGGCTCAAAGGGCTGCCAGGTCTCGCCCAAGACAAGGCCGAACGGATCAGGAAGTGGGCGATTGAGTTGCAAGATCACCACGGAACTCCACGGCGCCTAAGAAGTACTTCAGTATTACCGCCAGCTCTCCGCAGTACACCTAAAAGACCACCAGAGCGCCTGGTCGGAGTTCCGGCATGCAGTCGAGTTCAAAGAAACCGCCAATATGATGAGTCCCCAAAGCCAAAGAGAATAAGGACAAGGCCGACATCAGTGGTAGGCTACCAGCAATCTTGCATAAGGACAGTCTTTCTCACGAGCAACCTCTTTTAGTGTGCTAGCAGTACGGTGATCAAACGATCGACCTCTCCTTCTCCTCCAGCAACGAGACAGCTCGACGTCGCTCTCAAGAACTCGCGTGGCCACGAGGGTAATTCGAGTGTTGATGTGTCGTTCCAAACACCCAGTCCACCAGTTTCTGAACGAGCATCCCCAACAAGCGATTTTCGAGAATGGTCTCAGCGGCACCACGTCAATGCCGCCGATTTGAACAATGAATTGGTTACAACAAACCAACCATGCCTCTCCGGAACGCCCCTTACGGAACTTGAACGTCGCCATCTCTGTGAGATGAAGTCGGCATTGGACGACATGACAAGTCAAAAAGCACGTTTGATGTCGGAACTGGACATCGTCAGAAGTGAAAAGGCTCAGATGACGTTGGACTTAGGCGAGCTGAAAATTCAAGCCATCGACGATACCCGGCATTGGAAGCGGCTGTATCACAAAACCCGCAGACGGCGAGATTCCCTCAAACGCCGCAACAAACACATCCAAGCAGAACTCTTCGCATCAACCACGGGCAAGACGAGCAAGACCAACTTGAAACTCCGCCGCGAGAACGACCTCCTGCAGGAGAAGTTAGACAGCTTCCAGGCCACGTCCCAGTTTGACAAGCCGTTTAGCGAGAATTTTCGCGCCCGGAATACGGAAAAGGTCATCGACCACGTGGATTCGCTCCGGTCGAGACTCTTCAAACTCTTACAAGGAGACGATGTCTCGTTCGCCCTAGAGAGGCTGGACGGCGTCAGTGACTGTCCCCTTGCGATGCTCTTTCGAAGGGCGTTTGGCTTGGATGCCACCGTTGATGCCTCTGCCGGAAATTTTATTCCCACCGCCGAGCTCTGCACATCCACGTTACAGGCGGTTGTCCTGAGTCTTGTTTCTGCAGCCATCTGCGTATGGGTGCTTGAGGCCGAGGTAGGGGCGCTTTTCCAGGAGAATGATCTCTTCTACTCGAAGCAGCAAAGCCTCCTGGCTACACAAGGTCGGCGAATGCCATCAGAGGGATCAGAACCTCGGCTAATGCAGTGTGCAGACATCAAACTCGCAGACCGCCTTCAATATGCTGCCCTCGAAAAGTGCGTTGACGACCCTTCTATATACGACTTGGCGATCCCAAGACGAGCACGATCCCTCGCCAGGCGGACTCTTGACTGCATCAAGCCTCTACTAGATGCACACAGAAACCTGGACGAGCAATATGCCGATGCTGCGGATGAATGGGTTGACGACGAACAGCAGCTGATCGAGATCTTCAAACAGGCACTGTACGCGAAAGTCAGGCTCCTCTTGACCACTGATGTGTACAAGTGTGTCCTTCACTGGCCGGGGACGTCCCTTGACAGAGTCAGCATGGAGGGCAGGAGAGGCGGCGTCAATGACACGGAAAGTGAGCCTGATGCAGTGGTGAGCATCACGATCTTCCCAGGTCTGCTTCGGTATGCCTCTGAGGAAAGCTTCAACTTCGACCGCTTTTTGACTGGGAAGAAAACGCCACAGAATGTCAGAGCCAACGTTTTGAGGCAAGCAGTAGTTTTGACGAGGTAGACTGCTTACGAAGTTTGATGACCGTGCTATCCGTGACAATACAATATCCGCATCATTCATCCAGAATGCCCATGTTTCTCTTCCATTCTGCTGGCAGTGCATGGCATCTGTCCTGCCCAGGCCACCGTTTTCGTCCACTGTCTACAGCGTTTCCGGAATAGCAGGATCTTTGGTTTGTGAACAAGGAGTGACAGCGGCTGCACGCTTGACGCTCGATCAGCCAACCGGTCTCTTCAACCGAATTTCAATGCTCAGCCTAAGCGAGTCTTGAACCCGGCTAGCCAAGCTGGCCGAGATGCTGTAGTGCGGTGGACCAACTGATCATCACTAGGCTCCCAGGAGGTTGGTACGCTGGAGAAAGGGTTGCATCTGTTTGCCTTGCACTAGTGGTTTCGGCCCTCCCACCCAGCGTCTTTGCACAATTATCCCGTTCGTCAAGTCGATTTAGAAGGTTCGCCTATTTCTTATCCATACTATCGAGAATCTCCTTCGTTCATTGTTGGATTTGGAGCCTGCAGGTTATAGGGTTCGGTTGCTGGAGCCCTGCGCCTGATACCCGTCACATTGCCGCAACCCGTCCTCGGTTCAGAAGAGCTTCAGGTGGTCATGGAGCAGCCGGACGAGAGTTTTAAGCACGCTACAGTTGAACGCATTGAGTTGATGAAGGATCTTGGCATCTCATTCGAAGGACGTATTCAACCAGAAAAATGGGGAGAGTATGCCCCGATATTCGAAGAAATACGTCGCATTGGCGAGCTGAGACCCAAAGATTTCATCGAAAAGTTCCCATCGAATCATGACTATGCCGTCGACAAAGGATACAAAGCTATGAGGCTGAGCGAAAAGGCATGGACTTGCCTGGAAATCAGGGATAGCGAGTACGGTTGGAGAAAGGAAGTTGAATTCCGGGCTTTCGAATGTTTCGACTCCGAAGTCATATGGTAGCAGCTTCCCCTCGTGCTCTCTCCGGAGTCGAGTGTCTCTAACAAGCTGACTGCAACAGTCGTATCTGCCGGAAGCGCCCTTGGAAGCCAATGTTCGAGGCGAAGCCACTCGACCCAGCCGAAGCCGAGAGGCTTCAAAGAAGACGGCAAAAACGACTCCTATGTACATGTACTCGCCTGGAGCAGACACAAACGCAAGAGTGCGTCTCACCAAATCATTGGAAGCGGACAAGAATTATACGCATTGCTGACGGCCGTGCAGGACTGACCAATATTCTCGGCTGTTTTCCAGAGAGCTCGATAAGACCATTGACCACGAGGACATGACAGAACACGTGAAGAAGCGCTTGAGACAACAAAGACCTGACAGGGTGATTGGTCTCCGGCCGACTGGCACTTTGCGGCATCATATTTCGTCTCTGCGGGCCCGATGTTGCCCGTTTAAAAAGGCCAACGTCGTCTATCCTTTTATCGTGATCGAAGCAAAGGCCGCCGAAAACAGCAATTTCCCCGCCATGCTACGACAGACAGCTTTCGTCATGCGGACATGTCTTCGCTTGCAGCAGAACCTCCGACGAGAGACCAGGATGCCACACCAGTGTCTCGTCTGGTCATTCTTAATCCTGGGGGAAGAGTGGCGTCTCTATGCTGCTGTGCCGGATGGTCTTGGTGTGGTCAGTACCGGGAATCACTCACTCAAATGCGTCCACGCGGCGCTAACTTTGAAGCAGCAGATTTTTGACCTCTGGCACGGAACAGTACTCTTCCCAGAAGGTGCCCTTCAACTGCTGTTGATCATTGAGTACCTCTGTGACTGGGGTTGTGAAGTCTATCGAACGAGCGTTCTTACCTGCTTGGCTGGTGGCAGAGATAGCTTTCTCAGTTCCAGGCTCAGTCCCAGTGGTACCGATATATCCTCACAGCTTAGTGAAACAGGTCTTACAAGCTCACGAGCAATGTCGCTTCCCTCGAGAGCATCCTTGACGCGGGAGCTCCTTAACGGCGACGCAATCGGAACACCTATAGAGACATCCCCTAATCCCCTGGAAATCGAACCCTTGCTTCAGATCGACGACGCCACCTTGTTGGACGGACAAGATGTTCATCACTGGCGGCGATGGGTTGCGAATGAGCAAGAATCGGGCTCATGGGTCAGCAAAGCAACCATTAGGCACTCCAACCAAGTGGAGCTGAGCTTTTTACAAATGACGATGCCAGCTGAAGTTGATCTCCTCCGAGTCTTCTTGACATCTTGGTTCCCTGCCTTGACGCTCAAAGAAGCTGCAAGAAAGCTCCTGACTTCCCTGCAAGATGATAATTTGGCGGTGACAGCTTCCGTGAAAGCCACTTCCTGGCAAGAAAACCAAGTGAACAGGTTCACCCTCGAGGTCCGAGCTTTGGTGTATTTTCGATCAGCGTTGAAACCCGAAAACTGGGAGATCGCACGGCACGTGCTGGCCATTTTGTGCGACCCCAAGGCGCTGAAAGGGCTTTGCGAGATCGCAGAACTCAACCCCAATGACCAGCCGACCTCCGACAGATGTGTAGACGCTGATTGTGAGCCATTCAAGCAGGCGATCAACTGGGTAAAAGCCGTGGGAGGGACGACCTCAGCAGGACTGGCCCTGAGGCGGCGTCAACTCTACCTGAGGTCTGTCAGTAACAATGATGGATCTTCGAAGTTTGAGTGGATGATATCCCGTCCGGAGCAAGAGGGTGGAGTATTGGAGCATCTCTTGGAGAGGATATCACAGACTTCTGAAAGCTGCGAAGAGGGTGTACCAGAGATCCTGACACCATACATCAAGAGATTCCGGCGCACATACATCGTTCCACAGGGGCGTGATGAGCAAGGACCACCGGCAACGGCTCTCAAGATCCCGGACCTCCGAACATCCGGCGCGTTGATCAAGAAACCGACCACTGGCTGGCCTGAAGATACGCAGGACTTCTGCTTCTTGATCACGAACGACAATGTCCGGTTTGACGACATAGCCAAGCTTGGGCAGCTGCTGGAAGATACCAGAAGGGCGAAAGAATTATACGTGATTGTCAGGAAGAAAGCTACGTACCACCAGGGAGACCTGGCGCTCATCGATTGGTGGATCCGGGTCTTGAAGAACCAGTCACCTTACGACACATTCTTCGAGTAGCTGGTAAAGCCTGCCGAGGGGAACTAGCAGCACCGACATGGAACGAAAAGGGCATCATTCGGCTGTCCGGCCGTGGGCGGAAGTGTTTGTATAGGTGTTGTTGTATTGATTGAATCATATCGTGGTCGCAAGACTGGGATTGCGCAACGAATCGTCGGAAACATAATCAGCCTAGATGCGGATGACTGAATCAGCTCCTCGCTGTCGCGAGAATATTCGTTGCACATGAAAATCAAAGCAAATGAGAGGCTGTTTGTAAAAACGTCCTAGACGAAGTAACTGAAGGCCCAGTACCGTACGCCCTCAAACCATGGTTGTTGCATATCATTCTGAACTCCTGATTCCTACTGGCGTTGGGTTCGGGTGGGCGCTGAGCATTGTGGGGCTGTCTTTGGGCAGGCTCTGTTCAGGTCGAGGCAGGACTTATACCATATCAGTAGCAAAGTGTCCTGCTGAGAAGGGCCGCAGGCATCCATGTGCTAACAGACTCTTGCTGCTGGTGTCACCAATGGCCACATAGGCTGGCTGCTAGAATTCCCTGCCGGCTCAAGTGACAGGCACACTGATACCATTCGTCTGCATTTGCTGCATCCAATCCCAAGGTCGGATACAACCAGTCCCATGATCTAGCCACGAGCTCTTGACCAAGTCACGAGCTAGCCGCACATTCCCAAGACCGCTGAAGCTGCTCAATCGATCAAACATGGCCGAGACCTCCGCGCGTTGCTCCGACAGGACGCTGGCGAACCCAAAGACGAAGGCTGGGAAAAGCAAAAAGGCCAGGACTCCGCTGGCTTGTATCTGTTGCATATCGTCCAATCCTTGCCGAATGCATGTTTGGACTTTATCATCAGCCACCTTGTCCGGATACACGATCGAGTACAGCCAAACGAACAAGGCAGCAGAATAGGCGGAGAATGCCAATCTTTGGTCCTTGTCATCTGTGTCTGGTTTCCATGCATCAAGTTCCTCCCATATGCGGATGGCTTCGCAAATGACGGTGACATTCGTCCTACCGTTTGCGATGGCATCAGCCCGCAAAGCGGCGATCTTGGCGATGAGTCCGAACAGGCCGTTATCTGCTCCAATCATCATGTATATATCGTCTTGTGTCTGCGACGCGCGGATGGTGGAGTCCAACACTGGTTCGCGCGTTGCATCAGTGACTCCGGCTAGAATGTCGTGATAGGCAAAGAAATCCAGCAGGAACTGATTCACTCCTATGGAATCCACGGCTTGCGCATCAGAGTGAGCGCACTGAGTCGCCGGCACAGAGCTCTGCAAACAAGTCTGAATGAGCTCCCTCGCTTCGTCAAGCCTTAATTTCCAGGAAATGTTACCAGAGCCTTCGGATATTTCATATAGGCATAAGAGAAGCGTGCTTGCCAATATTGCTTCGACCTCCGAGCTTGAGCGCAATGGCTTTGTCGCTCTTAAGCTATGTAACCGAGCTGTTTGCTGATGGAGCGCGTCCCTGAGAAGCCGTTGCTTCTCAGCTTTCATTCGAGTCTCCGCTTCAGGCTGGAGGTTGACCAAGTGCGAGCCCCCAAGACAGGAAATAGCTTTAGCTATCATCGGATCATCTAGGCTGCGAGGCAACACGACTGTGAGCAGCGGATTCTTTTCGTCGTTGCATATCGTGAGCACGCGAGAGGTGACATTGGTGAAGTGATAGAAGAACTTCTGCTCGATATGGGAACCGACTCCACTGATCAAAAACGGAATGCTTCGAGGTATTTCGGTTTCGTGGTTGGGTTGCTGAGGCGTGTAGGTTTGTGGCGGGAAATTCGGACTCATCCCAGGGTACATCATCATCGCGCCTTCCAGCGGACTAAATATGTTCAAAGTGCTGACGTCGTTCATGCCCACGAAGTCTGGAATTGAGTCATCAGGGAGAAACCAGTTCATGAATGCATCCGAGTCAGCAGCGGCGACTGTGGTATCTTGAAGAATGGCAGTCGTCGATGAGGGACCTTCAGGAGGAGATGACGGCAGGTTGCGAACTGGAACAGGTTGAGCTTGACTGGATCTTCTGGGTTTGTTCTCCTCGAACCTGATGATGTTCGGATATCCCTCGCAAATATACCCTGCTCGTATGCAGCCAATACCTAGACCTCAATCAGTATGCATAGGGCCAGAAAAGGAAGCATGAAGCAAACATTCTGGCTTGGTCTCGTCACATTTCTTCCGTCGACGCCTACAGGTGAAGCAGCCAGTCCTGCCTCGCTTTATTTGAGTACGTACAGCGGTGGGTGATGCAGTCGACTGATGTGGTTGACTCGAGTCGCCTGACGAAGACCCGGGAAGAGCTCTTGTGGGTGATTGATGGGATGTGGGTTGATTAGCACCCCGACGACCCATCGTTGCGCTTACACTGGGAAGATAGGAAGACTGTCACCAGAAACTCAGGTAAAAGGGCATCTGTCTTCCATGTGACAGAGTCTTGTTGCAATTGATCATGTCACGGACAAGAGTTTGCCATAGTGAAGCAGGTCGATAGAGGCACGACAGTAATGACGGGGTTCTCCTGCTGGTCAATGGATGACTAGATGACCAAGCCTTATCTCGGATACTCCGTACAGTATCTGGTCCCCTTCCCCGCGTCGAGAGCTGCCCAGCTTGCCAGGTAGTTGGGAGCCCATCATCATCCATGGTGGCTAAGTTAGTGTCCCACGATGGGTGTCGAGGGGTGTCAGCCTCTGGCAGCGGTTCTCCTTATCGGCGCTAAGACCAGCCTCTCGCACACCAACGGCCCAACACGAGGAGACCAGTGTGGAAGAACTTGAACCCTCATCGTCGCCATCATTCGCCAATCATTGGAAGCCTGAAGAACCGGACAGGCGATGGTCATGGAAGGCACACAGAGGCTGTACTTTGCTGGGCCTTTACAAAGAGAGTCTGTGAAAATGCTACTGGTATCCATCCTGGTCGCCGTTGACAGACACTTGTCAGATTCCCACCCGCTAAACATCCTTCAGCTAATCTAACCATCATGGTCCGACGCAAGCTGCCGCAGTCGTTCTTCACACCATGCCTCAACAACTTCACCCCAAAGAAGTTCTCCTTTATATATGGCCATCTCCTTTGGCATCGCCTTGATTGCTCCTGACAGCTCTCGAATGCTGTCTACATCGTCCTCCAAGTCCAATAACGGCGTCATATACGTCCTCACAGTGAAGAGAATGGCACCCGTTTCTGATAGTCTTCTTAGCGTCTGCCTTTCATGCCGCAGTCGGATATCTTCAATTTTCGGTGGCTGTGGAAGCTTTGCAGCGAATGGTTCTTGCTGGAACAAGACGTCGGTGGTCTGAATGAAGAAGTTGTGTCTTGAGATAGGACTGTCCGGCTTCATCCGGAGAAAGTATCTGTCCTTTCGTCAGTCATAACTTTCCAGACGACGACGACATCTTCGAGAGAGAGAATGGTTGCTCACCGATCCACAGATTTCCGGAGGTGGTCCGCCCAGAGCGGAACCGGTGAGTGTATTTTCCACAGCGGCCAGCCAATGCGCTCTTCTAGGTGCCATCCTGCTGGTGCCATGCTGAAGCTTGCAACCCTTCACCTAGTCAGCAACAACTGCGAGAACAATGAACCTTGCTTACAGGTAGTATTGCTCCGGATCTCCACCATAACCTTGCATCAAGATGTTGAGGTCTTCCATGACCAACTGCGCAGCAATGTGTAGGGGCGGCATATCGTACGGGGCTGTCACCTTGAAGGTCATACCCGTGAGCTTGTTGTGGAGATGGTCTGGCCTGTCATCGAGATAGAAGAAGAGATGCGGGAATCGTCTGGTCAGGTAATCTATGATGAGGTCCAGTGTCTCGATACATGCTGCTTCTGCTTCTGGCAACACTTGAGTTACACCTTCTCGTTCATGCTCCAGTAGATACCGTCTCAGAGCTTGCTCTTCCCAGTATCTGTTGTCAAGCGACAACCACTCTTCGTGTCTGACCTTCTGAATGCCCATTGACATGACAAACTTGCCCGACTTCCAAGGCCGGTATGGATGTGGCTCGATTTTGGCGACGTCGAAGCCATGAAGAGGTCGTATCTCCGTGCTGGTATCTGCTGACTTATCACTATGTTGGATAGCAAGGCTGCTTGTTTCCTTTCTCTTCACCTTCACTGTCCTGCCCAACTTTCGATATATCAGGCTGGCGAGGCAAAGGAGAAGAAGGAACGCCCAACACGTGACGAGGCTTGGTTGTTGTAGAGGCTGGACTTCTTCCAGTTCTTGCTGTTTGTGCCTTTCCATTTTTTGCCTCGACTGGTACCACCCTCAATCTGCCAGGCTCGCGGATCGATATCGAGATAATAAGGGCGACACACGTAGCGTCTAGAGCAACTTCCCGCATCCACCAGACGTGTCCCTGCATCATCATGAGAACGCTCTAAGCGCCAGAGCCGCGAAGCGAAAACAGCGCCGTTCTTATCAGCACCCGTCTCATGGACCACAGGTCTTGGGCCAATCGCGACAGCTGGCGGCTGAACTTCATGGCTCCAGTTCTCTTGTTCTCTGGTCTTGGAAACGATCTCTGAATTCGAGATGCCCCAGATGAATGATAAGGATGGCTTCTTGAAGGTAACCGACGGCCATATATGACTGCGCCGGATCCATGGAACCATGTCACAGCCTTGCATTCTACTATCACTCGCTTGAAAATCTTACTGGCCGAGATCAAGGTCAAATCACTTCGTCAAGCGAATTTGTTCACAATGGCCGAGCATCCAGCGGACAAGAGCCGCAAGGTCGATGTCGAGCCAATGGCCTCAAGCGAAGACTCAATTGCGCATGGGACTGTGATGGATGCAGATGACGACTTGCTCCGACACATTGGATACAAACAAGTGCGTCAAGCGCTTCCTTTTGCAACCGGCAGAAGTGCTGACGCCTCCAGGAATTTCGGCGCGAATTCACCAGAATGTCTACGCTTTCCTATGCTATCTCCATTATGGGAGTCTTGGGCTCAGGTTGGTGCTTTTGGATCCAGGCAGTCGATTTTCACGCTGACGCCTTTCGAGTCCCTGCCTCTTGGTCCTCCCCACTCGCTGCTGGTGGCCCGGCCACTGCGATATGGTGTTGGTTTTCCGGTTCTTTTTTTGCATTGTGCATTGCACTTTCCAGTGAGCATGACCATCCTAACGGACGCCGCACAGACTGAACAAATAGTTGCCGAGCTTGTGTCCGCATATCCCACCTCGGGCGGAATGTACTTCGTCACCAAGCATGTCTTTCCAGGGGACAAGGTACCCTTGGCTGCCTGGGTGATTGGATGGAGCAACTTCCTCGGACAGTAAATCATACCTCTACTTCAATATCGAGCATCTTGCTGAAACTCTTACAGGACCGCAGGCGTTGGTAAGAAGAATCTACATCTTGCCGAACAAGAGAAGTCTAACACCTAGCAAGCAAGCGTTGGGTATTCCGTTGGCCAGATGGTACATCACTTTTAAACACTCAATTATCGATACCTTGCTGACTGAATCAGATCCTCGCCGCTGCGGCCATGGGCTCTGTGCAAGAAGATGGCACATTCTCCTATACCCCGTATGTGGATTTCGTGCGAGTTCGGAACATTCTGACGTTTGCAAGGACGGCCGAACATACGGTTGCTCTAAGCATTGCTATCCTCATCTGTCACGGAATCATCTGCTCTTTCCCGTCAAAGACACTCAGCCAGCTTATTCGATGGTTTGCCCCTATCAACAGTGAGTACCTGATCGAGCATAATAATTCTTATGCTCATATAACGACAAGTTCTCGGCTCGGTGGCGGTGACCATTGCTCTTCTCGTCCTTACCGATAACAAACATTCAGCAAGCTATGTCTTTGGACATGTCTCTGATGGCTCGGGCTGGGGAAGTCGCGGCTTTTCATACCTGATCGGTTATCTGTCCGTCGCGTGGACAATGACGGACTACGATGCCACAGTAAGAGGCTGGATTTTCCAATTAGGCGGCATTCACCTATACTGACTTATATTGCCAGGCTCATATCAGCGAAGAATTGCACAATGCAGCCATTAGTGGGCCTGTGGCCATATTCCAGGCGGTCCTGGTCACATGGGTGAGTTTCTCTCTTGGTGTGTCGTTTGAACAGCAGTTAATCAAGCAGGTCGTCGGCGTGATGCTCAATATCGCTCTGGGATTCTGTGCCGGCAACGTGCTTGATACTTTGGCGTCTCCCCTGGGCAACCCAGCAGCACAAGTCTTCTTCAACGCGGCAGGGAAGAAAACCGGCTTAGCACTGTGGTTCTGGCCCATCTTGATCCAGTTCTTTACCGGTAAGTTCCTAGTAGGGCAGCCCACATTGCTCTCCGTTGAACACTACTAGTACTTGTACTAGTAAGTTAATGATGTTCAGGAATCACTGCCATGCTTGCAGATACACGTACCTGTTTTGCACTCGCTCGAGACGAAGCTCTGCCTCTTTCACGACATCTCAAGAAGATGAACAAGTATACCCAGACACCACTGTTCAGCGTCTGGGCCGTGGTCATCTTCTGCTGCTGCCTCAACCTCATTGCCCTCGGCAGCGTCCAGACGATCAACGGCATCTTTGGTGTCACGGCGCCGGCGATGGATCTGTCCTACATCGCCGTCATTGCAGGGCGCCTGTATTACGAGAACAAGCATCCCATTGCGAAGGGTCCCTTTCAGCTGGGCAGGTGGCAGAAGCCAATCAACTATATCGCCATCGTGTGGACCCTCTTCATTTCCGTCATTCTCTTCTTCCCGCCGGCGAACCCTGTGACGGCTGCGAACATGAACTACGCTGTCGTCATTGCTGGGTTCATTGCACTGTTTGCCCTCTGTTGGTGGTACCTGGGTGCGAAGAAGTAAGTTCTTTTTTTGCCTCTTTCCCCTCCTTCTGCTCTTACGGAGTGGAGTACGGAGATGTGAGTAGGTTAAGTCGACGAAGACGACTGACTTGAATATTAGGCACTACGTTGGCCCGAGGACTGAAGATCAGTATCATTCGCATGACGATCCAGTCACTGGTCTGAAGACTGCTTGAGCCTTTGGAAGTTAAGTTTGTCAATGGTCGACACGGAATATAGTGGCCTGATTAAGACGGACCAGGGATAGGGGCAGGGCAACCAGCTAGCAGATATCGTCCACCTTTTCTCTCCCCCCCTCTCTCTGTCACATCGCAACTAGAGAAAGCTGAAAAGGGCAAAGAATACATACTGGTATTACAAGTCCACGAGATTCGAGGTTCTCGTAATTGTCATATGTAAATAATCATCATTGTTCAATATGCCTAGGTAGTGTTACAGCAAATGGGTATCCCGCCAGGTCTACTACGTAGTAATTGCGCCGCGCCTCAAATGCAAAGAACTCGAGCCTCCGTATCCGTTCCCGTATGATGCATTGCTGATTGACCTTTCAGTGGCCCTGAAAAGAGACGTCGTTGTTTCATCGTGGTCTTCATCTTCAAATCGAACGCCCCAATCGCCGGTCTCTCTTTTTTTTTTCTCTCTCCCATGTGAATGTGCACAGCAGCTTTAGCCCAGCCCCTGCCCCGATCAACCTCCAAACCCCATATCTCAATGCATCATGTCCCGTGAGTCATGCCTCCGAATGTCATCAAGCATCCCATTCTCCGCCTGAAGATAATGCATGGGCTCATGATGACCATTAAGTCGTTTTTACATCGACCACTCCCATCCACCGTCGACCCCATTAGCAATACACAGCCACCACCACTCGGTCGTTTCATACCCTCGAGACTTTGCATGGATTTTGACAAATCCAGCTTGCACGCACCACTGCATCAACAAGTCGACCTCACCCTTGTCCAGCGCATACCCCAGCGCGCGCGAGATCTCGAGCGACGAGACGCCGGGCATTTGCGACACCAGGCCCACCACACCAGCGACAAACATCTCCCATAGTCCGACCTGCACGTTCCCGTGGATATCGATCCACGCGGGTATCAACCCATCATCATCATCATCGTCATCATCATCATCATCATCATCAGCATCCTCATTCGCCCGTCCTCTCGGGATGGGCACTTTGCGCCCATTGGTCTTCGGATCGCCGCTGACATAGGCGCTGGTCGGCACGATCTGGACGCCGAAACTAAGCGTCTTCTTGTCCATACTGCGCGTCTGATACCCGATCTTCTCATGCTCCAGGCCGTACCGCGTGCGGGGCACGTCCGCGCCAGGCCTGGCCCTCAACATACCCTGGCTCATGAGGTTCAGCACGGCGACCATCTGCGCGTCATCGACGATCTGGTCTTTCTCGAACAAGACGGCGGTCTCGGTCAGGGCGTTGGTCTCGCTCTGGCTCTTTCGCGCGAAAGCCGCGTCCAGGACGTCGAATTTATAACTCGCCGCACGCCGTAGCATGCCCGTACTGACCATTCGTCGCTCTTCGAAGCGCTCGTACAGCCGGCGCGAAGGCTCCCATGTGCGCACGTTGGCGACGCGATCGTTGCTCCGATCCTTCAGGGCGCGCTGGATGAGTTTCTCGTCCTGGAGGACTTTCAGCGCGCGGAGGAGGAGGGCGTCGCATTCGTGGCTGGTCGCCGCGAGCGAGGTGAGTTTGGCTTGTGCGAGGGCCGGGTCGAATCTGTCTTCGGGCGTGAGGATGGTGGCCAGGATCCATGACTTGGCACGGTGGAGGTGCGGGTCGGCGATCTCGAGTTCAAAGCGTGGGACGTAGTGCATGTCCGTAGCTGAAGTTGTGGGGGCAGGATCGTGAGTGTGAGGGTGAGAGTAAGACTGTCCGAACACGATGGAGCTGACGACGTCTTCTTTGACTGGGTTTGTGAGGTTGAGACCATATCCGAGCAGGTTGTGGTAGCGCTTGGGTTCGGAGAAGGTCAGGTTGTTGCAGGCAACGAAGTCGTCTCGAGTGGCCGGCAGATCACCGATATGTTCTGCGTTGAAGTTGTCGAGTTTCTTGAGTCCCCAGTCCACAATGCCAGGCCAGTCGGTTGCTGTGAGATCTTGAAAGTTGACTGAGGGCACTTCGTTGGCTTCAAGTGCTTCGATATATTTCCACTGCAGATTCTCTGTCATGGTAATGACGTCGCGAGAGTATCGTTTCGACAACGTCTTCCAGCGTCCTTGGATGAAGTCTTCTGTCTGGCCCGGGAACACGGTCATGACGAGCGGCCAGTCAATATAGCTTTCGATGCCTCCGGCAAGGGTACGGACGATTAGCACAGCAATGACGATGCGGTAGATGTCCTGTCCTGACATGTTCCGAAAGTACTGAGGGCCGCGGGCCAATCTCTCCGAGCGGGGGACCCGGGCAGCGAGGTTTCTGCGTTTGCTGCCTCCAGCTGTTGAGCTTCTGGATCCACCTCTGCCTCGTTTCGGATGAGGCACGAATCCATAATCGTCCTCGGAAGCTTTACGCTTTGGCGGTCTCCTCGAACGACGTACAGGGGACGTCTCGTCGGGCGGAGGAAGCGCCGGTGGGCTGGGCGACTCAGATCTGAACCATACAATACGTTCCATCTCCTCCGAAGGTGCGTGGAGAGCATGCACGAAGACTGGCCACGACTGCGCGGACGGGTAGGATACTTCGATTTCGACATGGTCGTTGTCGAATTGTATGAGAGCTGAGAACGTGGTAGTTACAGGAGAGAGTGCCTGCCCATAAAGGGCTGGAGGAACGGTGTGATTGATAAAGGCGTACCTCGAGCGTCTCGAGAAGGCCGACTCTTGCGCCTCCCAAGCGTGAACAACCTCAACTTCCCAGGCGAAGCGTTGCCAATTAGCGTCGTCAGATTGGACATCTTCAGGTCTCACTTCCAGATCTGGAAGCTGCAGTATGTCTTGTAGAGACGACGGGAAGTCTAATGTATTGTCATTTGCCCACACAACTTTGGGCCCTGTTGTGCGGGCTTTCGGCTTTCGGGCATTTCTTGCAGGCCTTGTAGGTGTTACAGCAACAGCCCTCCGTGAATTCGCGGGGATCGTGTCGAATCGTAATGCTGTGACGGGAGTTTCTGTCCTCCAGTTGTAGATCTGCACGCTGGATAGGGAACCGAGGCGTGGTACCTTCAGTGTCAGGAAGCCAGTAGCTGGGTTCTCTACAGGCGGCGGAGTTGGCGAGGCCATACTTACGCTCCTGGTGACCCTTGCAGCATCGCTGCCCACGGACGCGATGACGGACGCGATGCTGATTGATGGTGAAGCACGTCGTCGTCTAGGAGTTCTAGTCCCCCGGGAAGGAATGATCGTCTCGGTCTCAATCGATGAAACACGTCTTCTCTTGCGCGGGCTCTCCTCGTCGTCCGATACCGTGTTGTGGGCTCTCTTGCCAACTAGCGGCATCCGATTACCTTCTTCTCTCCATTCCGGCGGGATATAGTCAGCAGGCTCGGCGTCAATGATCTTTTGCTTCGTTTCCTGGACAAGCTGAGCCTGCGGCCTGATACTTGGCAGGAAAAGAACCGCACGCTTGAGCATCATTCCGGTCTTGCTGCGATTTGTGAACGTGACTTGCCGTAGCTTCCCTGTCTCGCACAATGACTTGATTGCAGCCTTCATAGTTTTCAGAAGTGGGCGGCCTTCGTTTCCGGCCTCTTGCCAGCGAGCCGCAGAGATTCTTCGCAGAGTGGAAGGGTCATTTGGCACCACGCCTGATGTTTCTGAGATCAACTGAACGATGATCTTGCGACACAAGGCATTAGCATCAGAGACATAGGGCTTCCGTTTCTGCGGTCTGGGATTCGCTGCCGAATCTTCAGATTCCGAGAGCGATTCTCCTCGGCGCCGCTTCTGCGAGACGCTTTTCTTGGTCTTCGGTGTTGCTATGGTTGTGTTCTCCGGTAGGTACTCGTCGTCGATGTTTGTGGACGAAATCTTCCTATCGTGCTGATCGGCATGGGGGGTAGGCCGATTTTCAGCAAAGGCTTGGTGCTTGTCCCCGTTGTTGTGCTGGGTGATATGGTCGTCTGCTGTTCCCTGAGCTGGCATCTCCACGTTCTTCTCTTTCCCCTGGTCCACTCTTGCTGGTACTGTCAAAACACCCTCCTCTGGTGAACGTTGGGCCTCTGCGATATGTGCTGGTACAATGAGTCTGTTTCCATTTGTGTCTTCGGCAAAGCCTCCCACAGTCACTGAGTCGGCCTTCAAAGACTTCTGCACACCATTGCGAAGGCTTAAGTCCACGGCATTGCCAGTATATGAAGTACTTCGGATGTCGGGAAGGAGTCGTGCTTCCTGATCATGTGTGGAGCTAGCCATTTCCACGGTTATTTGGATTGATCTCTGTCTTCTCGTGGCCTCAGGGGGAACAGCAGAAACAGCAGATCCGGACTTCGATCTCTCGGTTGAATGAGGAGGATGAGCTCCAGAGTGATCATCCATAAACTGTTGTGATGTCTCACTGTTAGACAAATGCACAATAGGCGCTTCAATGGGTTTAGGGGTCGAATCGATTGATGCAGTGCCAATGGAACACGTTTGACGGTCCTTGCGGGCGAGGAAGTCAGGCTCTTCGTCTGTAATATCCACCACAGTATCATAAGACATGGGTACGTCGGGAGGCCGGACAGATTGGGAGGCGGAGGGCCCAATGGAAGCTTGATCTTCGTAGAAAACGCCCACTGGAGGGCCTCCTCTTTTATCCGACCCGCGTTTGGGCCTACGAGACTTCTGCATGAGCTGTGATTTGCCGTCAGCCTCTCCAGAAGACCTTAGCTCATTAGGTCGAAGCCCATAGTATCTTTGGTGGGCGAAGCTGTGCGAGGCGCTGGAAGAGATAAACCGAAATGGGTACACTCGAGTTCTGTCACAGAAGTCGACTTCATGCAAGCGATTGGATTTGAAAATCAGGACTCGTGATGTCGTCTTTGCAGTGCCGTGGCGCAAACCCCTCGGAGTCATGTAAATGCCGTCTGATGAACGCTGAAGTACACGGGTTGTGGAAGCCACCCAATTTTCGTCGACATCCTCCGGATGGTGAGGCACGGGAAGGCCAGCATCGATAGCCTTCAGGAGAGTTTCATCAAAACCCGTGGGCCGACGTCCATAGAGCGCCAGACCAGCAGGGTCATTCATGACTCCTTTGTGTTGCTCCTTCTTAGGTATGCTACCGTTTGACCTAGCTTCAAGAAATAGGCGGCGCCAAAAGTTTTCTGTCCCACGCATGTATTTCCGAGGCCGGCCTTTCACGATACCATCTCTGGGACTCTCAATCTTTGGGGGTTTGGGACTTCGACTCGCGGGAGGCTTGGGACCTCGACGCTTTGGCGGCAAAGGTTGGAGTTTGCCTTGTACCTCATCGAGTATGTTGTTGCGGAGCTTTATTGTCAAGCTTTGATCCGCATCTTTGACTAAGATAGGCTCGCCATTCCTTGCATGAATATCCCCAGGCCCAGCTGCCGCAATCAGAGTGGGAAAATCTGCTTCGCCATTCTTTATTTGTAGCTGTAGCACGGCCTGAACAGGAAAACCGAACTCGTCCGTGTGCTTTGTCGTCGTGGGCTGCTCAACTTCATTCGCATCAGATTCGCAGTCTCGCCTCGCATTCAGTACTTGCTCCGCGCCAGGAATCTGTGATATGTTGATGGCATGCTTGTCCGCTAGATCACAGAAAACTTCCCAAGAATAATGAGTGTATTGGGCAATGCCATCGACTGTGACGACTGTGCGAATTACTGCCAGATGGCGTAGGTGCGCAGGCTGCACAATCAATGACTGAAAGGAGATCCTAGCAAGCATGGATTCCATCACTCGACGAACGAAAAGACCAGTAATCAATTGTCTCGAGCTCTGACCTACGTTAGCACGGTGGACTCCTAATTCTCTCAATCCACTTACCAAATGTGTTAGCCCCTCCTGGCCCGAGAGACGCGTAGCATCGACTATTATATTGGGCATTGTGCGATCAGGGTTCCATCTTGCAAGATGTTGTGTTGCGGGCTGACATTCCGAACTTTGAGGTCTGGCACCTAGATCTTCCTGATCATCTGGCTCAAGCTGTGCGGACAACTGTTGTACGATCTGATCGAGTGACAGCTCGTCAGTGTCGAACTTTTCCAAGTCCTCCGATTTAGGCCGATGTAAGATTTGAACGAAGTGCTGTAGGTCTCCGGATGTTGCGGACGGCCCCATAGCAGTTCTCACTCTCTTTAGACATTTGAGTCGATCGAGTCGCCGGATAATCTTTACTAGGACTGCTGACTCGGCAGCGGATGTCAAGTTCAGTTCCTCCGAAAGTTTCGTCTGTGAAATGAGATTCTGCTCTGATAAGATATCAAATATTCTTCGAACCGCATCACGTACGGATGAACCCCTGGGGGGCTGTTCGCGCTGGTCGTGACCATGTTCAGCATCATCAGCTCTTGGGGAGGCAAACTTCTTCAGAATAAGGCGGCTTGTCCGGTTGCCCTTACGGTAGATGACTTCCTTGATGATGTACCCTTTCCTCTTTAAACTGTCGGTTCGCTTAGGCACAGACCGCTTATCTTGACCCGTGAGCCTGATAAGTTCACCCTGTAAGATGCCGTCCGAGCGTGTCGCGGCGATCTGGGAGAGCAGAACAAATTCCAAGGGTGCCACCTTGGTGATGTCTGGTGGATGCCCGCATATTGCGTGGTAGATTCGTTCCTGATTGACGAAGATTCTAGGTCCTTTGGCTGACTGATGTTGTTTCTTATCCTCCAAATGAGCCTTAGCAGTTCGACTGTCGTCCTGGACCTCCTTGGAATCTCCGGCGTTCTCAGTTGGTCGTCGCCCACCACTAACGGTGGCGTCGACGAAGCCTGGAAAGTCGAGTTCGATTTGATCCAGCGATGATTTGTTGTACTTCTTGTTTTCTCCAATGGAGACGTCTGGATGTCGACCTAGCCATGCCCAGATCTTGGACAGTAGACGACGATCCACGTTGGTCGTGGAGATGGATGATTGCTCGACGACAGCACCGATCTGATCCTGGTTGCCGACGTCATTGTAAAATGTCGAAACGGAGTTTGCAATGTCATTACAGGTTACGCCTGTTCATAGATCGGTTGTCAGTACATGACTCTCCAAGGCAAAGGACAGTGGAACTCGTGAATGTACGAGGAATGCGTGCATGGGGTGTGGGGCAGATTCCAATGTTTGGTATGGACTCGAATGAAACGACCAGCTCGTCGCCACTTTCGAGCCAACCACAAGCCCGAATCTTCCGTCTCACTCACCTTGAATTCCACTCACTGCTATCTCCTCGAGCAAAAACTCGATCAAATCGTCCAGGCTCTTCGCCATCGTTTGTACTCCATAGCAGATATTGCGTGATGGCTTTTCGAAGGTGACTCAGGCGACGTTGAAGAGGTTCGAACCTCGGTCAGGGCAGTGAATTTCGTACCGAGAATTGTGGCCTTGGCGCGAAGCGAATTATCTGGGCCCTGATTGGCCAAACCTTCACCATCGGTTATCTACGAGTAGGGCTTGGCGTCTTTTCTGGTTTCACCTTTAAGTACCCGTGGTACCTTACCTGGACTCGCTGGTAACTACGAACAGTCGAACAGAGCCTCGCCACTTATCTGATTACAATGATGGCAGAGATCTGGACAGCAAGTCATGCCAAGAAAGGGCTTTCAGAGAGCAACATAATCTATGGTTCGTCTAAAACCCGGTGCTCCGCTGAAGCTGGGCCTGTTGGCAGGTACATGTGTGATACGGGTTGGGAGACTACTCTTCTTGAATCCTCCTGCGGTGCCTGCCACAACTTTCTCCAGTAGCAAAACAAGTACTTTTCCCGAACTCCGCAATGCTCGAAGAAAGCAAAGAGCCCACCATCAGCGCCCATAAGAGAAAGATGTAAGGCGAGAAGGTTAACCAAAAGTGCTGAGGACTGCCACCATCCCGTACCCGCCACTGCTGGCACAAGCATCCCAGTCAAGAAGGGGAGAGAGAGATCTAGATGTACATAGAACCAGAAGTAAGCCTTCATGTACCTCACCATCGATAGACGGTCAATGATGCCAAACAAGATCATTTGGACAATTATGATGCAATAGCTCTTGATGGGTAGTTTCGACGGTTGTTGCGTTGTTTGGAAGGCTTTGAGACCGTGCTCCATCCCTCTTCTTCCAACGCCGCGGTTGTGCTTCCTTCAGGAGCCTGAGCTGCTGGTGCGTTTCGCCATGAACCATTGGCACGGCTTGGTGGCTCTTGGACAACTTCCTTGGGCTTGACCGCCTTGTCATCGACAGGAAGGCCCTCCTCAACCTCCTCTTCGTGGTCGTCTGCAACCATATCGTTCATGCCGGAGTCAGCGCGACGCAGAATGTCGTATTTTGGAGTGGTTTGTTGAGAGGTTTCTTCACCATTTTCCTTGGACGCGGAAGTGTCTCTGGTCTCGCTGGTCTCAGTCGTGTTTCTAATGTCTTTGGACTCTCTGATGTCTTTATTTTCTTTGTGTTCCTTGTTCTCTTTGCTGGTTGGCTCCTTGGATTTTTCAAGGTCACCCTTCTCTTTCGCCAGCCGGCGCTCCTCCGCTTTCTCAGCCTTGGCCTTTTCTTCAGCCTCGCGTTTCTGTCGGATGGCTAATTGTCGCTTCTCTTCGACTTCCTTCTCTTTGGCGGCCGTATCAACCGGACGTGCGGCGCCAAATGGACTAGCCTTGGAGTCAGAAGCCGGGGCAGAAGATCCTTTCGGATCAGCTTCAGAGACGGTCCTCTTCTGCAGATTCAGCTTTGGTCTGGTTGCAGGAGCCGGAGCTGGGGGCGGAGAAGAAGGTTCGCTGGCCTCAGGAGTAGGCGCTTTGGCCGGAGCGTCAGGTCGCATTCTAGCTCGCCATTGATTGTCCATTTCCGATGCTGTAGCTTGTCGTTCAGGAGGAGGTCTTTCGGTGAATTCGCGTCTCGGTGGTCGAGAACCGTCTTGAGACCGGCCCTCACCCCAAGCTGGTGAGTTCCTGCGGAATCCACCATCCTTGCTTCCTTGTCTACCGCCTTCACGAAGGGAAGTCGGGGCGGGTGATACAGGTGACAATGGACCTCTTCTTTCCCAGTTTGAGAAGTCTCTGACCTTACCATCTCCCTCACCGAAGCCACGACGTTGGCCCCGTTCGCTACCTGCATCCGACGTGTTGTCGAAGCTGCGGCCACCGCCGAACCCACCTGGTCGATCGGATACTCTTCGCTGACTGTTTGGTAAATCTGGGAGAGGTCCTTTTCTCGACCAGTCACTGAAGTCTCGGCCGTCTTGCCTGTCTTTGGCTGCAAACGGGTCAGTTTTTTGCAGTCAGTGTACTCGGTTCTCCCACTTACGGGGCTCTGCGACGCTGATGCGTACTGAGCGACCAGCCAGATTACTGCCGCTGAGGGCTAGCGCGTTCTTAAGACCATCCAATGTGCCGAACTCGACATATCCAAACCCCTTTGGCTTTCGATCCATCTTGTCCTCCACAATGCGGACGTTGGTGACTTCGCAATCCCCGAAGAAGTCGCTGATGTCTCCTTGGGTGGCGTCGAATGAAAGGTTCGCTAGGTGGGCAGTATATGGAGGTTCAGTGGGAAGGGGCAATTGCTCTCGTGAAGGGAATGTATCTCGTCGTTCTGTTTGATTGTATCAGTTCCCCGTTTCCATCTACCATTCACTTGGATATGCTAACCTGAAAATCCGCCGCCCATGCCAGTCGTCGAGCCGAAGGTTCGTCGCTCGGTAGCGTAGCTGGGTCGAGAGTCGGAGGCTATTCTGCCGTCAGCAGTCTTCCTTTTCGGGGGCTAGAATTGTGGATGGAATCTTACCAGGCAAAGGCATATCCTCCATCTCGTCGGCCCACGAGCCATAATCTGCGATGGTCAGTCAGAATGATCGACTGGAGTGGATCTGTGTTGAGACGGACTTTCATCTTGCAAGAAGGTCCCGAGGGACATCTTCTGGTTCTTTTTGGGACCTACGAGTCGTTAGCAAGGACAATATGAGCATTTTTCCAGCGCCAGAGTGCTGCGCAGGAAGGCAGCCGTCGTTCGTACCCATGATTGGAAAATCTCAGCAGGCGCACGGGAATTGTGCGACTGGCTGGGAGGCGATGGTTCGAAGTCAAGAGCAGGCCTGATGAGGTCTGTGTAGATGCGCAGACCAGACAAGCCTAGACACAGAAGCTCGTAAGAATCGTCGAAAGAGCGCTGTCAATGATGGCGCACTTGATAGCAATGAAATGTCTGGAGTCGAGTGTCCGCCTCTTGCGACTTCTCTCGGGGCTTGGCGTGAACTTTCCGGGAAGACACTTGCAGCTGGCTCAACGGCAGGGCACGGCCACCGTCACACGGCGATATCTCACCCCCTCGCAGCCGACAGCCGGCAGGTCTAGATAAAAGGCAGAGACGTCCCTTGAGCCGAGTAAGCACGTTAAGTCCTATGAGTTCGCACCCACCCCTGAGACGACAAGGTGTATGAGCCGCAATCACGAACATATTCAGCTTGTGAAGCGGGAGCATTCCCCGTCAACAGGGTTCTATCTCCCTGTCTACAAGCTCGACATGGCTGAAGATGATGAGCCAAACACTCTCGGCAGGACTTTTATAAGACCGGTAGTCCCTGCTTTGGGTGTAGGCACCGCTACAGGTATTGCTAGATTTTGTAAGAAAAGCACTCTGCCTGTTGCTGACCTTTGTGACAGGAATATTGGGCGCCGCATATGGAGGTGTCGCTGGTACTCTTATAGTAACTCCTAGGCCACTGCTATATACTACGATATCCGGGGTACAATGGTTCTGTGCAGGAACAACATATTTCTGTTTGTATCACCTTCAAAATTGTTCGCAAGAAGCTGACCGGTAATGAGACTGCCGTAGGGTTCTGCTTGGAGACCCTAAATCTCGACATGGATCACTAGAACTCGTTGCTGCGAGTGGCCTCGCCGGGTCCTGTGCTGGAGCAGTCGCTGGATCCTTCTGTGAGTGCTGTGATTCTTCAAGTCTACATATCTCCTGACCATTGTTAGTACGGCGTGGTGCTGTAATACCTGGGACCATGATTTTTGGGGCCCTTGCAGCCGTCTCGCAAGCAGGATTGAATACTACGGGAGGTTTCTTCAAATTCGATTTCAAACAGTTCCCCTCACGACTTCAACAAGGCATTGCTGGCCTGGTTCCGATGAAGTCTCTTTCCGACAAAGAGTACGGAGACATGCTCCTTCACAGACTTCTCAAGATTGAGGCGGAAATTTCAATCTTGGACGATCAAATTGCCGACCTACGTGCAGCCAGCAAACAGCAGATGCCAGATCGAATCCAACAACCACAACAAAAATCTAAAGATACCTCAAGCTGAAACGAATTGTGGCGCCTATCAGAATGACAGAGGGTACCGAGATCCCACCATTAGCTTAGTGGCCACGAGGTGAGTTCGTCGTGGCAACCAAGTGACAAGGCGAGCTCCCAAGCTACAATGCCGGGCTATCAGGAGCAGGAAAATGGCCGGGCTGATATGATAAAAACAAGTCTGGTGTCCCAAATCCTTGAGATCTGTATTACAGAGCAGGCATCCCTATCGACGTGCGTCAAAGATGTTGAAAGGACACGGTCGGTACGCCGTACCAGTGGCAGAAGCCGTCTCACAATGAGGATGCAGAAGGTCTACGAAATTGTCCCGTGAAGTGAATGTGGTGGAGAGTGGCTATGTCAAACGCCCATCATCTTGGGGTTCATAGAGTGGGTTGAGTGCTGTGGTGAAGTTGATAGGATGGAAGCCTTGTGGAAGCAGCTCCTGGAAGTGAGGAGTCAAGCATTTTTGGTAGCACAGGCCCTGATGGGCCTAAGCATATTTCAGCATTCTCGCCTAATAAGCTTGTATTCGTACCACGGTAATCCTCTTCTCAGGCTGACTCACCAATCGATAGCTAAAATGGCTGCACAGCATCTTCGCTTGATTTGGTGCTTTCGGGCGGCATATTCTCTAAGATCCACTGCCACTGGTTGTACCCATCGGGGCCCTCCAGTGACCTTCACCTAAACCTTCCTAGCCTAATGAGCCCAATGCCCGCCTAGGTTTTAGCCTGCTCGTTGTCTCCAGTTAAAGTTGATCTCGTATTTGTGGCCCGCACGAGCATTCCAGCTGCACTGCAACTCTCCGCAGCATGAGCATCGACCGGGCTCGCCGGCAACCTCTCGCTCTGTTATTCATCGCAAGTACCTGGGTATCCAACGGTTGCAGCCCCATCGATGTGTAGTTCAAGCGACCAGCTGAACACCATCGACGTCTTCGAGAAGGTGCACCCTTGTCGCCTACCGCATAATCGAGGTCTCGGACTTTGGAGTTTGTTGCGCAGTCCACGGTGAAAGCCAGCACCTGGTCGTTTGCGAGAAAGCAATCTGAAGAACGAAAGTTCCTGGTTTTTTCTGTATTCGAACTTTCGGAGCACTGTATGCATGGCAATGGCAAGAGCTGAGCTACTCGAGCGGTTTTGCTGGTTCTCCAGCGTCGAATGCGACAACTTCGAGCCACGAACGAGATGATAACGGTCCGCCCACAACTCATCGATTTCCTGACGGTTCGACGATAGCGTAGAGATCGCAAAAATGCCTCTACTCAATGCCACTTCGGTCGCTGCGGTCTTTATCCTGCTCTACTTATCCTCCTTCGTCATACTGGCCATCTTGCGCATCGCTACTGGCGTCTCCATACAGAGGATTGGCTATTTCAGTCTGAGACACATATCTTATACTCCAAGAGAAGGACTGAGGATAGATCTGCGAGGACTTGGGCTGAGCCTTCACAGACCGACGTTTGCTCAGCCAACATGGATAAGTCTTGTGTTCGAAGAATTGAAGGTTACCATCGACCCTGCCGTCTACGAGAACTCCTCCTCGAAACCTGGTGGCGCGAAAGATGTCGAAGAACCCGCCGATGCAAAAGATACCTTGAAGAGCCGCGGGCGTCGGAAGCTGGATGGGAGAAGCAAGCTGTGGAAGAAGTTGACGAATATAAAGGAGCGGCTCAAGCGCATCCACCGACAAATACACCTTCTCCGCATGTTCGACATCAGCTTTGTTAACACCACTGCCGAGGTCATTGGCGTCGGTTATGTGCAGGTGTCGAACTTCACCATGGCAGTCTACACAAGACGGAGGTTACTTGACCGTGGTCGTCTTTTTCGTCACAAAAAGGAACCTCTCGGCAGCCAAAAGCCAGCAGAATGGGTACTGACTATCAGGAGCATTCTGCTCGGAGCTGGTGGTCGCGATCCGACGGAGATCTTGGACAATATGACAGTCAATGTACACGGACTTTTGTACAAAGAACGCGAAGGCCTACGGGATACGTCGATCGCCATCAAAGGAGGCCGCCTCTATATTCCCGTCGATGAGATCCTACATTTTACCCAACGAGCGAAGAACATATCAAAATCTTCTCAACGACCTCAGCCTTTGAGCCCGGCAGAGGAAATCTCCTTTGAGGATTTGGTTGAAGAGCTTGATCAGCCAGGAAGCCGAGAGGCTTCCATCGTGCAAACTGTGGCGGACTCCAAAGAGTTCTTCAGCTCGGTATTACGGAGTGTTCAAGAAATCCAGATTGGCCTGAGTTTCGTGCGCATCTCGAAAGAAATCGTGTCGCTCAGGCAGGCTAACCTCCCCTTGGTTGCGAACGTGGTAATACACGAGATTGGCGTCGACTTGCACAGGCTTGATCAGAACTCTCCGGCTCACCGTATGTATTTTTCAAGGGAGGATGTTGCTCATCAAGCTCTTGTTGCAGCAGTATCGATATCAGTCAGTTTGGATGAGGACGATTTTCAGACAAACAAGATCATGTACATCCCCATGGCTACCACAACGATTAGAACAACCTTGCCAGCCAAAACCATGAGTTTCACGCAAGAGAGGGACGTTGCTGAGAGAAATGCAAACATCCTATTCGCCAACTTCGTGGTCACCTCTCCATCACTGGACCTGGTACCGCCCCATTTGATGAGATTGTTAGCCGTTGCTCAATCCCACAGCACTTCGTCGCAGAGACCGCCACAAAATCGACACCGTCTCATATCGAGACTTCTCCCGAAAGCGAGTATCAAGTTTTCCATCCACGAGCCGGTGGTCCGATTTATACTACCAGTGGCCAATCCTACCCATTCTGCCGCAGGCGAATACGACATGATCATATCCTCCATTACCTCGATTTCTCTGGACGTTGAGTCATCACATTCGGCTGGCGGCGAGTTATTGTACTCATTAGGGTCGAACTTTCGCGTAATGTCTCATCAGCTCTACTACCAGGCATCTACAGGCGTCAGGCACAATATAATCATCACTGAAGCACTGGAGATCAAAATCCAGGTTGCCGCGTCCACCGAAATCGCTGTCAGCATTGCTGGGAATTTACGCACCTTTTCTATCCTTATGGTACGTGAGGAGGTCAGCAAAGCCATTTATAGTATTGTACGACATTTCAAACGCCATGCACCAGCAGAGAAAACTCCCGCTTCGAAACCTGCGTCCACATCTTTCTTGAGAAAGCTGCCATCTTGGGTCATCGAGGCGACATTTGAGGGCTCTAGCTTCAGCGTTGAAACAGCTGGAGTGGATTCCAGCGTCTCAGGCCAAACACGAGGTCTTGCCTTGGAGCTCGAATCTTGGACGTCACACTATACCACCTCTAGAATGGACATGGCCCGAAAGTCCCTTACACGGAGGAAGACGAGTAATACAGCACGTTTCGATGACACGTTTTCCCCTAGCAGACATCTCTCGCCGCCCACTTCACCGCCACGACATCGTCACATTGATCCTACTGATGGACGACGTCTCACTGTTCATGTCAAGGGTTTAGAGGGCTTCATTATTGAATCTCTCGACAGCTGGGAATCAAAACCCTTTACGTCAATTCCCAGGTTTGAGGTTGCTTTCAGCACTTCCAGAGACCAGCAAGGACCGCTGTTCCATATCCATTCTTCAGTTCGTGCAGTTTATCTGGAATTCTCCCTATACCGATTTTATTCAATAGGCGTTGCGGGCTCGATTGTGAAAGATGCCTTCTGGGGTCCCGCCAGGACCATACCAGATGTGCATGGTCACCCAACATCGATTAAGGCCGATGCCGCAACACACGCACCCGTGCCTCTTGGTCAAGAACTTTCTGTCATTGATGTCAAGGCCCATTATGTCCAGATCAAAGGTCAGATGCCAGCTGACCCGCCCATGATGTTACAGGTCTATCAGGTCTCCGGCGGTCGGCACAGATGGTCTGCACCATTCTTGAGGGCCGATCTCGTACGACTACATGTTGAAGCGCCCCATTTGAGAAACGTTTACACCCGGATTGTCTCAGCCAGCAATCTCCGCTTAGATCTCCGGCATAGCAGGAGGAAGACTCAGCATGGCACGACTGAAGAACGGTCTATCGATGTTTCAACAGAGTTCATCCGCTTGGCTGTGCCTTATGGTCTACAAATGTACAAGGTCTTCGACAATTTTGTCAACACAAGCAAAGCAATTGTCCAATTGCACCATCGTTTCAAAACAAGGACAAATGAGTACATATTGAAGAAAGAGCCTGTTGCGCCGAAGAAAGTCCCTCGGATATCGTTCCGATCAAAAGCACTTTGTTTCGAGCTCGAGGATGATCCATTCGAGTGGAAGCTCGGGGTAATCTACCATGCTGGCCGCATTGAGCAGAAGCAACGACTTGCGCGAGAGGACGCATACCGCTTGAAAGTGAAGAGGCTACATGAAGAGAGAAGGCCACGGTCGATATCGAGGTACCGCGGGCGTTCAAGTCGTCAGAACTCCCCAGACACAACGGAGCATGCCACTCGTCGTTCTCGAAGCGCCGACATCACCCCAAGGAAACGATCTGCTTCAAGAGGCAGACGTAGAGAATCCGCGCGGCTCCGGTATGATCGTGAAGGCACGTGCGCCTTGACAAGCAGCGCCAAAATACAAGCCGGTGAGGCATGGGAGAGGCTTCAAGAACACAATGCTAGGAGTTGGAAAAGGCGCGTGGACTGGATGATGAGGCTCCAGAACAACACAATCAAGAGCATTCGACAAATGTTCTCAGGAGCGGATGAACCACCTCACGATGGAGGTGAGCATGAGGCTATTCTTGGCATGCCGAACAGGCCTGGCTTGATGACGCTGATTATCAGCGACTTGCATCTCCTAATCGACAAACCCTCCTTTCCTTCGAGTGGCCTGCCGAACTTTCTTCATGAGATAGGGAAAGGTATGCCTTACGACACCCAATACGCCCTTCTGATTCCCTTGAACTTCAGCCTTGACATGGGCGAAGCCCGGGTAATGCTCCGGGACTATCCTTTAAATCTTCTCCACATTCCTGCAATACGACCAGGGCAGTCCGCTCGTCTACCCAGCTGGTCATTGAAAACCGACTTTGTCATTGCCGAAGAATTTCGGGATGAGCAATCCATACGGCACGTTAAAGTAGAAGTGGTACCCAAAGGACAACACGCACAAAGCGGAGAGGATATTCCAGGTTTCTATATCGACGTTCGAAGAACCGTGTCTCCAGTCAAGACATTTTCCCAGCCTGTCGTCGACATCAACACCAGCTTACCAACATCGATGACTTGGGGTACCTCCTACCAACCAGTTATCCAGGACATGATGATGACAATCGAGGGTTTCACAAAACCGGAGATCGATCCATCAGAACGAGTTGGCTTCTGGGACAAGATCCGCATGAGCTTTCACTCACGTCTGATCGTCAATTGGAAAGGAGACGGCGATGTGCAGTTGCGACTGAAAGGCTCCAGAGATCCATATGTGGTGACGGGCTACGGAGCGGGATTTGTGATGTGCTGGCGCAACGAGGTGCAGTGGTCGATACACTCAAGCGATGATCCTCGCGAGTTCATGACCGTCCGAAGCGGTGAGTACATCTTGGCCATTCCGGACTACAGCCACGAAGCTCGCAGCGCCCCGGAACAACGAAGCACCCAGGACACCGACAGTATGTCCAGCAATGGTTCTCAAAAGAATACCGCGCTCTTCAAAAAGGTCATCATGAAAGTCTCCGGCAACGTCCAATGGACTGCTGGTCTGGTGTTCGAGCGCGACCTAGAGGGCGGAGGCCGCTCGTCCAGCTTCATTCCACATTACGATGTGGTTTTGAGAAATCCCGCCATGACGCAGGGCGTCGACTTCAAGCGCTATGATGCATTCCGCGGCTTCAGAAGTCAGCATGTCCATCTTTCTGTCGCTGTTGCTGCACCATTCGATCGCGACTGGCTAGGCGCTGATGGTTCGCCTTCGGAGAGCTACAACAGCGTGCACCTGAGTCCGAGGTTCTTCTCTCACTTCTTCAACTGGTGGTCCTTGTTCTCGGGGGTGATGTCCCTGCCTGTACGACAGGGTCCGTTGTGGCGAGGGGTTGAGAAGTCCAGCAAGAAGTTTGGCCGGCATTTGGCAACCATCAAATATGGCCTCCTGCTATCCCCGCTTTTCATCGCCCATGTGTATAAGCACAAAGATGTTGAAGACTACCAGGAAGACGTCGTTTCTGCTACCGGCCTCAAAATCAAGATAGACAGTTTCATGCTTGATCTTCACCAGCGACGAGAGTATTTTGATACCTTGTCGAAGGGGAAGTCGAAGCAAATGAGAACGAGTGGTATGAAGATCTACAGAGCCGAACTTGATTTTATGAGAGCGGATCTTCGAGCTGTGGCGGCCAGCATAGCTGGCACTACCGCGGAAGACCTGCAGAAAGCGACCGACGAAACACTATCTTCGTTTCAGGAAGTGTCAGCCAATATCGACATGTCCCAATTTACGATACCTGATCGTGACTTCACCTGGATCGATATGGACGACTTCGTGGAGTTGGATTGGGTGTTGCCAGCCGAGTCGAATCCGGAAACCAAAATTCTGCCACTGGCCTTCACGCCGCGTTTTACATATTTCAGACAGACCGATCACGGTAACGGCGGCATCCAAGGGGATGAATCTCGCACGAGCCCGTTTGGCGATGAAGATACGCATTTGTGTGTCATGTCTCGTCACAATGACCCGCGGAAAGTGCAGATGAACCTGATCGAGAACAGACTCCACGATCTTGAGGAAAAGCTTGAAGCACATATGCGCATAATGAGTCAACATGAGCTCAGGGTGATTCGTGAGGGCGATCACGACAAATCAGTCATGGACAAGCAGCAGACTCTGGTGGCGCAACGAAAAGAATTGGACAGCAAGCGAAGATTTCTGCAACATGGTCTGCAACGTCTTATGGTTCATGGCAATCCAGGCGAGGTCCAGGATTCGGAAAAGAGTAGTTCGCATGGACCTGGAAGCACTGCAACTTCTGCAACGGAATTGGTGGACGCACAAAGCAATGTCACTCCTCAAATCGACATGGATGCGCTTTACTCGTCCAGCCATGACGAGTTCTCGAGTGATTTCAACAACCGATTCATCATTCACAACGCTCAACTCAAGTGGAACAATTCACTGAGGAATATTATTCTTCGTTACAGTCACCAAGTCAGCCAGCGACGGGGTTTTGTCTACTATATGTCGCGGCGTGCCGTTAAGTTTATTCTCGACATTGTCGAGGAACAAGCAAAAGCTAAAGAGCTGCGGCGTAGACAGGAAAACAAAGACGCGCCCCCCATCCCGGCCACTCCCAGCGTTATGTCGCCAACAGACGAGAAGGACGAAGATTCTGTTGTTCAGGATCGAATAAATCAACTTCTCAGAGATGCAACCCGGTTTGTCCATGTGGGCGACACAGACAAAGATGCCGAACCCCAAGAGGAGTCTGCTGATTCCACTTCAGAACGAAGGCCTTCTACTGCTGACCTTGGAGACAAGATAGCGGAAAACTTCCAAGCCATGAACAGCTATCACCTCCGATTGATTGCTCCTCAGATACAGCTGCAAAGTGAGAAGAACGAGAAGGCGGCTGTTCTGATTGCAACCAAGGGCATGCAGTTGAAGGTTGTTTCAATCATGGACAAGGCTCGAATGTCGGACGACGTCAGCGGCCTTGTTCAACGCCGGTTCGCCCTGGACATGGATGGCGCACAATTCTTCGTGGCTAGTCAGAAAACCCTGGCTCAGTATCTCCACCTCTACTCTGGTAACAGATATGGTAATGCCCCTGGCTCAGCATGGCCTCCGTGGGTTTCTCTGGAGGCGATGTTTGATTTCCACTTGGAGCCCTTTGGCTTCCAAAGAGTGATCCAGAAGACGTCGGCAAGCCTGCGCTACGAGAAATACAATCCACTACGTCTCAAGTACAATGAAGAAGTTGAGAGCGATGGGAAGGGCGAAAAGGCGAATCCGTCTCGCAGAGAAGACCGTATCGACCACCTATGGGTCGACTTCCCGAGAGTTCGTGCACGATGCGACTCCCAGCAATATTACACTATGTATATCATTGTTCTGGACCTATTGCTCTACAGTGAGCCACTGGAAAAAACGAGAAGCGAACGGCTGGAGAAGATCATGCTTGCTTCGGACTTCAGCGATTTGCGAGGTGCGCCAGAAATTGCCCAAAGGCTCCAAGAGCGCATTCGGCAACTAGAGGATATCAAGTTGCACTTCCAGATCAATGCGAAATACCTGGACAAGCATGGGTGGCAAGATCGAATCAATCTCGAGAAAGATCTTGCCAGCTGCGAAGACGAATTGTTCTTCATCATGAAAGCTATCAACACTTCTCAACAGAGGAATGACGATCGCAAAGCCCTAGAAACAACCGGCCTTCTGCGTTGGTATTTGAGCGCCTCGGAAATCGTATGGCATCTAATGCTCGACAAGGATCAACCTCTGACTGAATTCCAACTCGGTAATGCTGCCTATGAACGGATTGACAACAGTGATGGATCCAACCACAATGCACTCGAAGTTGAACATATCCGAGGCTGGAATCTTCTGACCAACGCGCTGTATCCGGAGATCATCGGGCCGTACTACGAGTCTGCAGACCGACGAACTAACATGATGCAGCCGCAAAAGATGTTGGAAGTGCAATGGTACATGCTCGAAGCCATTGCCGGGATCCCAGTGCTTGAGCAATTCTACGTCACCGTCCACCCACTGAAGGTGCAGCTAGAGCGCGAGCTCGGCAAGAAGCTGTTCGAATACATCTTTCCGGGCGTCGGATCGAATGCTTTCGAAAGCAACGACTCCTCGCCTCTGATGGTACAGTACATGGAACCGCTTGACGAGGGTAACGATCAAGAACTCGAAGCTGCGCAGAATGCTTTGATGTCACAAACAGACCTTCGTGGTCCCAGCATGGAACAGAAACGTGACACCTCCCCCGGGGAGATGGCAAGAAGACTCAAGCCAACTTACAGCCTGAATTACAAAGAGAAGGCCACTCCGTCCACGACGCAGGGCAAGTACAAGGGACTCGGCCTTGCCCCAGAGCATCACAAATTCTTCAAACATTTTAACACATCGAATGCTCGGGCTGTGTTGAAAGAGCCGACGCGTAAAGGATCGTCAGGCAGTCTGCGCTCGAACAAGAAGAACGACGCGTCGTCAAGTAGTCTCGTGGGGCTGGGTAACTCAGAAGAAAAGAGGCTTAACGTGCTGCACCGAACAACGAGCAAAGAGCGCGGCGCAATCGGCAAAAAGAGCAAAGACAAGAAAGAGAAGCCCTCAGACGACCTGTCGCAAATGATGTCTCGCGCCTCGAATTACATGACGCTTGCGCACGTCAAGTTGAACTCATTCATCATCTGCCTGAGCTACAAGGGCAAAGGTGACCGCAACATTGAGGATCTCCACGACTTTGTCTTCCGCATGCCCACGCTCGAGTACCGCAACAAGACGTGGTCGAATCTCGATCTGGCGCTCAGGCTGAAAAAGGATGTGATTCGTGCGTTGATATCTCATACTGGCGCGATCATTGGCAACAAGTTCAGTCATCCCCGCCCGAACAAGAAGCAAGTAGAGCGGCTCAAGGAGGTTGCCATGACTTCGACGATTCCGAACAGTGATATCAATCTGCAATTGTCGGGAACCAGCGAGAGTACGAGCCTGTATAGTTTCAGCCAGGACGGGAAGGAAGATGATTTTGAAGGGTCCGGGATCACTTTTCAGAGTCCCACGACGCGCGAGAACGGTCATAAGGTTACCGTGTTTGGAGGGGCGCCAAGTCCATTGCTCAGAAGTGGGAGCTGGAGCTCGAATATCAATCTGCCCAGGAACGCGACGTTGCAGGTCCCGCGGTCTGTGCCGCCACCAAGCATGAATGGGAACGGGAACGCGGCCGCGAGTGCTAATGGCCAAGGGACGATGGGGGCCCCTCCACGACCCAGTACGGCCAGTTCGCATTCACATACCAGCGGGCCAAGGACTTTGTTCAAAGATACGATCGGTCGACACTTCACGAGCGATACAGCCAAAGGACGCGGCGTGCATTTTGGACCCTTGAGTCTCGGCAAGAGCGAGAGTCATAGAGATGTTGCGAGCACGAGTCATGGCGGTCAATCTGCTGGGCGTGAGGGTCAGCACGATGACGGCGCCGAGAGTGATCCCGAAGGACATAGGAGGAAGAGTGTACTTTTGTTGGGGAAAAAGGTGCTTAATCGGCTGAGTTAGGAGCGAGGTTGACAGAGCCTAATGAGCCTACGTTGGAATCGGCTCGGATCAAACTATACCCTAGTACAGAGTGTGTATGAGAGGAAGGCGTCCTTTTTCATGAGGATTGGATAGGCTACATGGATTGAACGGACATGCCTTTCTTGTGAATGATATGGTCGAGGGATTGATTGATGAACATTTAGGCGGACAGATGGATATGTTCTTGTGCTTGCTTCTTGCTTCTTGCTTTTAGCGACAGAGCTGAATTACTAGTACTACCGGGGGAAAAGGCTCTGTTCTTTGAGTTGAGTACCTAGGTATTGGGATCAAAATAAATTCCTTTCTAATTCATCGCTTCATAGCCCTTTTGGATACTCTTATGGGTGGTCGGGCGCTAATAGCACTCTCTCACTCGAACTGACTCGGAGCTCGATATGGGCTGAAGGGGAGAGCATTGATCCAATGGGCCACGAACACCTGTTTCCATCACCGGCCTCGGCCTTCGCCTTCACCTTCACCTTCACCTTCACCTTCACCTTCAATCTCGCCCTCATCAATGTTCTCCGGACCACCATCTTCACCTCCAAGCTCGCTCTCAACATAGTCAAAAGCGCCCTTAAGGGGTCGTGGCGCCTTCCATCCAGCCATCAGCTCGTTGACCACGTACTCGTCGAATGTAGGGAAGACATTCAGTACGTCGTCGAAAAACATGATTCCGCAGTTGAGCGTGCGGATCGTGGCTTCGACTTTCATGCCAACGCGCAGGTGTGACTGCAAGATGGACTCGACAAAGAAGACATACTGGTTCTTCTCCTCATCGTTTTTCGCTGCCGGCGCGACCGGTGCTACTTTCTCGGCAGTGGTGAGATCCTGGGGTTGCTGGTCGGGATTGGTCCACGGCTTTGCATAGACACGACCCACTGGACGGAAATGTTGGGAAGTGGTCGTGTACAATTCTTTGCATTCGTCGGTTGGCGGCTCGATCTTTGTGATTTGAAATCCGGCATGCTCTTGGACCGAGTCGACGGCCAACAGGCGGCCGTTATCAACGGCTGCCGCGTATGCCTTGTAGACGGGCTCGTCTGCTGCGCCTGCCACGCCGAAGTGAATGACTTGCTGAGCTTCTTCGGGGTTCATGCCGACGAAGACGTTCTCGTCTCGAGCGTCGGTCTCCCATTCGGCGCTCCCGTCGTAGTTTTCCGAGTAGTAGCCGCCAAATAGAGTCGAGCAGGCGATGTTGAAGTCTCCGGGGAGCCGGCGTGTTGCCTCGGCCACGTCCCACAGCTCGGAGGTGGACTCGCGGCAAAGGTTTCGTGTGGCTAGGACGTCGTCGCGGTACTCGGGGCATACATCGTGTTGGAGCAGATAGTCCATGAACCGCTCGAGGGTGGTGGTCAGGGTAGATACTTGGTCCCGCAGCTCGAAGCCGTACAGGAGTCGGGCTCGGCGGCTGAGGAAGGCTTTCATGACGCCTTGGAAGTCGACATCGTACAGGCTGGTCGCGGTGCCGAGGTGGCGCTTGTCGTCGCTGACGGAGGCTTGGCTCATGGCGGCGAGCAGCTGGGTCTTGTCCATGTCCTCGGTGTCTCGGTCTTGACCTTGACCTTGGCCGCCTTGGTGCGCGTTGGGCCCGACTTCGACACTACCGAAGACCAGGTACTTGTAGAGCATGTCGCGGCGTTCGGGAGTGAGTTTGCGGGTCCGTTCGAAGCGTGCGATGGCTGTGAGGATGCGGTCGACGAATGCGATGTTTCTGGCGAGGAGTGGTTAGTTGGTAGTGGTGTGCTGGAATGCCTCTGGGAGGGTCTCTGAAAGGGTCTCTGAAAGGGTCCAGGGCTGGGAAGTGGAAGTGGAATGCTTACGGATGGTAGAGTTCTTGCTCCTCGGCATGTTCGGATGGGGTTATTGGTGTATCTGCGAAGAAGGCTTCGAAACCGGTGGGTTTGTCCTGAAGGTTTTGGAGTGTAGGGTCAGTGTCTGTGTAGGTGTTCGGATCGCGGGTTGGTGTCGAGGTCCTCGATGGTTAGAAACGTACCAGGCCTCGTTTACTGGGTGGTTTGCGGTTCTTCTTTTTCTTCTTCTTTTTGACCTCGGGTGGTGGGAGATCATTAACGATTTCTCCATATTCTTCTTCTTCGTCGGCGTCGATGGTGTTCGCAGGAGTTGCCGTGCCGTTGACGTTGACGGTAGCTTCTATGTTGTTCACAGGGCCGTCGCCAGCATTGTCGCCATCATTGAGATCGAGATCGACGGATGCCACTGCAGCAGCAAGACTGTCGTCCTGGGCCTGAGACATTTTCGACCGGCCGAGTTTGGGGGGAGAGCAAATGATTACTGTGTAGGCTGGCAAGAGGGAAAGGATGTATGAGGAAGAGAAGGGAAGAGTGAAAGTATTGAGCAGAGTCTTTCACATCTTCAATTGAGGATTGATTCAGTGAGACCGGCACAAGGTGGTCATATAATATTAATATTCACTGGAGAAAATCAAACAATCATGGTGTGAGGAGGCTACCTGGATTGTGCTTGTGACAGACAGACAGACTCTTTCTCCCCGGCAGTCAGGGATTGATATATCTCTTGCAGTGAATACCTAGGTATGGAGTCGGGCTGCTGAGATCAAAAGTACCGCACATAGTACACCAGTCTTCTCTTCTATCAAAGACTGGTTGGTACTGCAGGTGACCGGCCAAGGCTGTACCTGGATTCAGCCCCACGAACCTACACCAACCACTACTGATAGAGGTTACTCGCTACTGGAAGAGATGACTCCAGTGACTCCAGTGACTCCGTAACTGCTTCCATGTTTCAGCTCGTCGATCATTCTCTCCATTTCCAAGGATTCTCCCCGTCCATCCTGCGGAATGCGCCCTTGATAGGGCCTACCTTCTAACACTTTGTAGAAAACATGTTCTTCATATTTATACCCTGACAATTCTCCCACTGCTTTGAGCAATCATCTACCCATCCCACACCCGTTCAAGATGGCGACGACACCAGTGCCACCCAACAAAAAAGTGGCAGCGATGCCCGCAGAGTCGGAGCTCGTAGCATTCGACCACAGTGCCGCAGGACAGTGAGTTCTTGTGTTTTGAAATCCCTTGCTGATCCCATGGTGTACTAACTCGTCTCGTGCAGTCAAGGAATCAGCTCTAATGCATCCGGCTCCCTGATCATCAAGCCATGCACACAAGCCGAGATCGACTTCTACGAGTCCGCCAAAGACCACCCTCTCTTCCAAGCTCATATTCCCACGTTTATCGGCTCCCTATCCCAGCATGAAGACCAAGACGCCATCGCTCCCTTGCTTGACTCCACGATCAATACCGGCGCAGTGAACGGCACCAGTCTCCCTGCGCCCGGGCTGTCGAAGCGAGTGTCGTGGAAGCCCTCGGGCGGCAAGAAGTTATCTACAGGCCTGGCCATTGTGCTGGAGAATGTGGCAGCCGGCTTCAAGCATCCGAACGTGCTGGACGTCAAGCTCGGAGCACGACTTTGGGCCGACGACGCTCCGCCTTCGAAGCGGCAGAAACTCGACGAGGTCGCGAACCGCACGACCAGTGGCACTCTAGGCTTCCGCGTGGCGGGCATGAAGATTCGACACCACCACCACGATGATGGAGATACGGCGCATCAGCCTCACAAAAACGAAGAAGAAGACCCGGCGCATGTGCAGATCAAAAATGGTTATAAATCATACACTAAGTTCTATGGCCAGTCGTTCAGTCAGCATACCGTCGTCGACGCGTTCACCACATATCTGGGTGGCGTGCACCACGACCCGAGCACAGGGAAGAAGGTGTTCAGGCGGAAACGCGCACATGTGATCGTGCAGAGACTGATTCGGGAATTGGAGAGTATCCAGTACGTGTTGGAGAACGAAGAGAGTCGGATGTACAGTGCCAGTGTGTTGATGGTGTATGAAGGAGACGACGAGGCTCTCGAGGTCGCCATCGAACAGGAACAGAAGGAGGAGCAGGAAGTGCCGATAGAAAACGACATTGTAGATGGAGAAGGCGACGGCGAAGAAAATGGTCAAGATCGAGATGGAGATGAAGCCGAGTACGAGCACGACGACGACGACGACGACGACGACGATGAAGTACCCCCAAAAGTGCATGAGGTGAGGCTGATTGATTTTGCGCATGCCTCGTGGACGCCTGGTCACGGCCCGGATGGGAATGTCCTTATGGGTGTCGAAAGCATCTTGCGCATATTGAAGGACTTGATTGACTAGACTCGGATATACACATGGATACTTTGTACGACTGCGAGACAAAAGTAAAGACGGAAGTATTGGGACAATCGATCATGTTATAGGTACCATGAATTGATCTGATCAGTCACTCAGCTATTGTGATCATCTGCTGCTATTCAAAATGTCGCCTGCCTTTCCGGCATCTTTGAATCTCTATTTTCTCGCAGGTCACGACCTGTCCATGCCCAGTATCGGCTCCGGCCAGCCTGCCCAGACAATGGCACGGTTCGGCACCCGTCCAGCCACAGGGCTAAGGAGACTGATACGCCCCCTTGCTTCGTCGGTATCTGTGACATACAAGAACCCCATCACACTGCTGTCCCGGATGGTCTCTTGTTCAGCTTCCGGGTCACAGTTCATAACTGCTAGGATGGAGCTGCGAATCGCGGCATACGGTGCCGTTATTCGTTCATAGATCTGCGAGGCAGGAAGAGGCACCTTGGACGGACCACCATCTGAAATAGTCTCATCGCCCATACCGCCGCCAGGCAGAAAAGTTTCTTCGTCTTCATATGCCCCGCCCATGGAAGAAGAAGTAGGATCGGGAGTGCTGCCTATCCGCCTCCAGACAGTCATCGTCGAAAAGTCCACCTGCTGTTGCCGAGGTTGTAGGGAGATGCCGTTGCTCAGACGGGGGTTGCCGTAGAAATATGTCTTGACCTGTGCCGCTCGGAACGCCTGCATGTATGCCTCGTCACGATCAACACAGCCTCCTGATTTGGCAAGCTTGATGACCGAAATTGTTGCCTGTGATGTGGTCGTGCCCGTCGACCGAGAAGCTGTTGGCTGACCGTCAAAGCGCTTAACCATGTCGCTGTATAGCCTCTCGGAGCCAAGGCAGACAATCGCCGTCACGGCAAATTCGGCCACAATGTCTTGAATGATGCCATAGCCTACACCGCCGTCTTTGGTGCTAATGAGAGTACCTGGAGTGTCGATGATGAGACCACTCTCCCGCGCTTCAGGATCCTGAGCGATTCGACCAGAAACGGCGAGCGCTAGCCGGCTGATCTGAGCCCTGTAGACCTTTCCATCCTTCTCTTCTGGTTTGGAGCTGCCATAGAAGTAGACCAGAGGTAACTTGACGGGGATAGCACCATTGGGACCGCTCATGGGTGCAGTTCCCCATCCTTCTTCAATGTCCATCATACTTTTGAACACTGTAGCGGTCAGCGTTCCCGGTATGCTCATGACTCCCTCCTTGACGTCTAAATTGACCACGACTGGCGACCGGGCTGATCGTGAAGCGTAGCCCGTGAGGATCTTTGCGAGTGTGCTCTTCCCCGCATCCTCTGGTCCTAGAATCAGAACGCGAGGTCCTTCTCGTCCTGTGGCTTTGGCTTGTTCGCGCAGTGTCTCAAGCGCAAAATGGGCGTTGATATACTCGCTCATGGGCGTTTCTTCGGCGGTATACTCGCTCTGCAGGGCATCACCGCTGACTTCGAAAGAACAGCCATTCCAGGTGTAGATTGCGGCTTTGATCCCCGTGAAGGTGTAGGTGTTTCCGGGGACGAGTTCGGTGCCAAAGAGCTCGGCCGCTCCAGTCAATACCTACGAGCAGATTAGTTAGTAGGAGTCAACAGGGAGCGAAGGCGCAGTAATACCTTGACCTGGATGTACTTGCCCACAGCGGCCTCGAACCGCCACTCTGAATCTTTAGCTAAGTCATGGCGGTTGATCTCGATGGTGGACACCTCCTCCGGCTCTGCTAGTCCAAGACCAGGCAAAGACATCTCATCATCTTGATTTGGAGGGGCAGAAGAACTCCTGGGGAGAAAAACAACGGCCTGCAGAGTGAAGTCATTTCAATCGCAAAGTCAAGGCAGGTTAGCCGAGTGCTTCTTGTCTTGGCATATTAGTCAGCCTACTATTGCATTTTGCGGTGTTCTCATGAAGGAGTCACAGAGGACACGACACCCACAGGGAACAACTAAAGCCAGCGATCTCTAAGACAATATTTAGGGCAACATTGGCTATTGTCCTCACATTCTGAGAACCGGACTTCCCACACATCCAGCTCAAGGATGGCCCAAAGTGGCCGGCACCTGATGGTCAACGATCCCTTCTCGACTGGTGTCTATGAAACCCTCGATCGCCGTGTCTCAAGCACGCCTCGACGGAGGGTGCTCCGACCGATAGCAAATCAGTCTGCTCCTATTCCGACGCATACGATGAAGCGTACTTTGGCTTTGCTGGCGAATGCTTGGGATTAACTTCCTTAGTCACGCACTTAGTCATTGATGTGCATTGGACTAGTCACAACTAATGTACAATCCGTGGATCCTTTGTCAATCCTTTAGCAGGCCTCCGGTACTCTTTGCGGAGTACTCGGATCCCTGATCTTCAACATTCTGGATCAGACCGATATGCACGCCCACACGCCGACCTCTCTCGCAAATGGTCGACATGATCCTCAATGGTCAGCTCTTCGCCGCGTAGTGCCAAGACAGTGGATTGGTATCCAAGCGAACTCCTAAGCCGAGTCCAAGCATGTAAGACTCCGTGGTCTGGTGATGGCTCGCATCGAGCTTCCTCGCAACATCTGGGTATGGTTATTGCCAAGTCAACAACACGAGAGTCTTCAGTGTTTACGACTAATTCGACACGACTGGTTCGACCCGGGGTTGTACGTGCATGTCAGCGGCTCACGGACCAGCAGGATAATCATTCTTACTTGCGGAATCCCTGGCACTGAAGGTAAAATCACCCCAATCTACACCTGATAGGTCGACCACCAACGTGCTCGGATGTCTAGGATCTATTTGTTTTTGTTTCCGTTAGACTTGCGATCGGCAGGCTCCTAATCCGTATCTCGTTCCTCATCACCCCATTTTAAGGCCTCCCGCAAAGCTGGTGTCCTTATATATGTGCTTGGCATGATGCACTCGTATCGCTTAGCTCGCTCTGCCCGGGCCTCGACTAGGTGGTGTCATTGTGGACATCTGCTTTCTTGTTTCTTCAAGTCTTCAGTATTGTGCCCTTTCGTACCATGACTTCTAACAAGGGCGAGCAAGAGCAGCAGCACGCCTTTGAGCGTGCCTCCGTGGACGATACTGCTCTTTCCCACCAAGCATCGACAAGCAGCGAAGAGAGTTCTCCAGATCAACACTTTGAGCCCATTCGTACTAGGAAAACACGGGATGAGGCCGACTATCAGTTTGACCGTGGCGATGCTGCCACACGGACTGAGCTGGCAAGACTGGCCTCAGTGCTGTCTGGGGTCCAAGCTGTCCGTACAACCACAAGTGAGGGTCTCTCGAGGCAAGACACAGTCGCAGGAATGGCGCCAGAATCCCCAGAGTTCGATCCCAACCATCCGTCCTTCAACTTTTTTCTTTGGTTGCGGAAATTCTCACAACTTCTCGAACAGCAAGGTGTCAAGCACCGAAGGAGTGGCTTCACGTTCAAGAACCTCAGCGTCTCCGGCAAAGGTGCCGCTCTAGTGCTCCAGCAGACTGTGGGCTCGATCTTCATGCAACCTTTTCGTATGCGCGAAATCTTCAGCCATCCTCCAGAGAAGCAAATTCTACGCAATTTCAATGGACATGTCGACAGTGGGGAAGTGCTCATCGTTCTAGGAAGACCTGGAAGCGGATGTTCTACCTTTTTGAAGACCATCTGTGGAGAGCTCCAGGGCCTTAGCATTCCGAAAGACTCCAGCATTACATACAGTGGGATACCGCAAGAAGTGTTCTTGAAGGAGTTTAAGGGTGAAGCTGTCTACAACGCCGAGAACGAAAGGCAGTAAGTCTCGCCAAAGCACGTAACAGTGCTGCAGGAGCTTTTGTACTTCGGTAATTGACGGTACAGCGTTTCGGTGCTAACGACGTGATAGTTTCCCTCATTTGACGGTTGGGGAGACCGTTGAGTTTGCTGCCGCTTGCCGCACACCGTCTAATCGCATCTTCAACGTCCCCCGTAAGGTATGGATCAAACATATATCATCTGTGATGATGAACATATTCGGTCTAAGTAAATCTGCCGTCGCCCATTTGTTGCGTTGGATCGCCCTTACTGATGTGGCTTTCAACAGGTCACACTCGCAACACCAAAGTAGGAGATGATTTTGTTCGAGGCGTTAGTGGCGGAGAGAGAAAGCGTGTCAGTATTGCCGAGATGGCACTCGCTGGACCTCCGATAGCTGCATGGGATAATTCGACCCGCGGACTGGACTCTCAGACGGCACTCGAGTTCGTCCGCTCCCTGCGAATAGGCGCAGATGTTGCTGGCCTCACGTCTCTGATAGCCATTTGTAAGTCTGGTGTATTTCCAAGAGCTGTGCCAGCTACACACGAGCTAGGCGCTCTGCCACCGTCATTTCCCCCCGCCTTCTGACCTTTTGCAGACCAAGCATCCCAAGCTATCTATGACTTGTGCGATAAAGCAATTGTCTTGTATGAAGGCAAGCAAATCTACTTCGGCCCCACAGACGAAGCGAAGGCGTATTTTGAGGATATGGGCTGGTATTGCCCGCCGCGACAAACGACCGGAGATTTCCTGACCTCGATCACCAATCCTCGTGAGAGAAAGCCTCGGGAAGGCTACGAAAATCGAGTGCCACGTACAGCTGAAGAGTTCGAACAATATTGGCGCGAGAGCCCGAACTACAAGTATACCCAAGATGAATCTGCTCACGCTGCGGAAGTGAACGCCGACGGAAAGCAAGCCCTCGACACATTCCGAGAATCTCACAAGGAAATGCAGGCGCAACATACTCGTCCACAATCATCTTACACTATCAGTATACCCATGCAAATCCGCTTGTGTACGAAACGAGCATACCAGAGGCTGTGGAATGACAAAGCTTCAACAATGTGAGGGCGCTCAGATATACTCACTATCCATTGGCTTCATGATGCTGACTTATTTCTGTTGCAGTGCCGTCATCTTCAGTCAAGTCGCACAAGCCTTGATTATTGGTTCCGTATATTTCGGCACTCCGCTCTCCACTGGATCCTTCTTTGCGAAAGGCGCTGTCCTCTTCTTTGCGGTGCTCCTTAGTGCTCTGCAGTCGATTGTTGAGATCAACACGCTATATGCCCAACGACCGATCGTTGCGAAGCACAAGTCCTACGCCTTTTATCATCCCTTCACCGAGGCTGTTGCGGGAATCCTGGCTGATCTGCCGATCAAGTTCTGCGTCACTACCGTTTTCAACGTTGTATTGTATTTCCTCGCAGGTTTAAGGGCCGAACCATCTCAATTCTTCATCTTCTTTCTATTCAACTTTATGGCCATGTTGACAATGTCAGCCATATTCAGATGTACTGCAGCTGTCACCAAAACGATCTCGGCCGCTCTCGCAATTGCCGGCATCATGGTGCTGTGGATTGTCATCTACACTGGGTTCACCATCCAGCGAACTTATATGCAGTATGTATACTCCTCGTTGGAAGACTGTGCCATTCAGGCTTGCGTCTTACCTACTCCCGTCCACAGCGGTACAGGTAGCTAACAAAGTGCAGTCCGTGGTTCAAATGGACTAGTTGGGTAAGTTTACTGAATCCTCGAGCATGACTTATCTTCTTCAACCTTGAATGTCGTTGATGGAGCCACCCTCTGACGCATCAACGACAGATAAATCCGGTCGCGTATGCATATGAGGCTCTGATAGTCAACGAAGTGCACGGTCGCGAATTCCCATGTGCAGCGAGCAGCTTGGTCCCTCCTTACGGCCGAGGAAACAACTTTCAATGTGCTGTTTCAGGCGCTGTTGCTGGTCAGATCAATGTCTCTGGCGATGCATGGGTGAAGTCATCTTACGGCTATTCCTACAGCCATATCTGGCGGAATCTGGGGTTCCTCTTTGCTTTTATGATATTCTTCTACGCCATCTACTTCGTTGCTACCGAATTGAACTCCGATTCGACATCCACCGCAGAGTTCTTGGTATTTCGACGAGGTCATGTTCCTGCCTACATCCAGAATGGTGGGCGCAAAGATGAAGAGGCCCCCGATCACGCCGAAGCGCCGACGGTGGCCGGCAATGGAGTTGATGAAAAGCAGGAGGAAGATGTCAATGCCCTTCCGCCGCAGAAGGACGTCTTTACTTGGCGGAATGTCACCCTTGACATCAAGATCAAGGGAGAGCCTCGAAGATTGCTTGATGGTATATCCGGTTGGGTTAAGCCTGGTACCCTGACAGCCTTGATGGGCACATCAGGGGCCGGAAAAACGACGCTTCTTGATGCGTTAGCACAGAGGACTAACATTGGCGTCTTGACTGGCGACATGGTGAGGATTTCCAACGATATCTATCACTTCTCAAGTCCTTAGCTAAGATTTTCGCAGCTCGTAAACGGCAAACCATTGGATGCATCATTCCAACGCAAGACAGGCTACGTCCAACAACAAGACTTGCACCTTGAAACCACCACTGTCCGAGAAGCACTTCGATTCTCTGCATATCTTCGACAACCAAAATCGGTCCCGAAGCAAGAGAAAGACGCTTTTGTCGAGGACGTCATTCAAATGCTCAACATGGAAGATTTCAGTGAAGCGGTTGTCGGTAACCCGGGCGAGGGTCTGAATGTTGAACAACGTAAATTGCTGACGATTGGTGTCGAACTCGCTGCGAAGCCGGCTCTTCTGATCTTCCTGGACGAGCCTACTTCTGGACTGGACTCTCAAAGCTCGTGGTCGATCGTGGCATTCCTTCGGAAACTCGCGGACTCTGGACAAGCTATACTGTGCACCATCCATCAGCCATCGGCCATTCTCTTCCAGGAGTTCGACAGGCTTTTGTTCCTCATGAGAGGGGGCAAGACCATCTACTTCGGTGACATCGGACCCAACTCACAGGTACTGCTTGACTATTTCGAACGGAACGGCGCTCCCAAATGCGACGAGAACGACAATCCGGCCGAGTACATGCTAGACATATGTGGCAAGAAGTCAGACCGAGACTGGAGCGAGGTCTGGAAGACGACTCCCGAAGCCAGAGAGGTTCAAGCCGAACTCGATCGAATCCATGCAGCAAAGGGATCCGAACCTGTTGCTGATCATGGTCCAGCCACCGAATTTGCCATGCCGCTGACCTCGCAGATTCACTATGTTACCGTTCGTGTTTTCCAGCAGTACTGGAGAACACCGTCATACATCACTGGCAAGTCAGTAGAGCCCGTCATGCTCCGATGGAGACGCCGTCAAAGCTAACACTGGAACAGGTTCATATTGGGCATCATGGCCGCGTTGTTCATTGGCTTCTCTTTCTACAAGCAGAATGCCACGCAGGCCGGCTTGCAAAATACGCTTTTCGCAGTCTTCATGCTTGTCACGTAAGTCCTCTCTATTTCTGCCTGATTCACGATCCCGTGACTAATGGCTGCATTGCAGTATTTTCTCCACGCTGGTCCAGCAAATTATGCCGCGTTTCGTCATCCAGAGGTCGCTTTATGAGGTTCGGGAACGACCGTCCAAAGCCTACTCTTGGGTGGCCTTTCTTGTCGCCAACGTCGCGGTGGAGATTCCATATCAACTCGCTCTCGCTGTCTTGATGTGGATTTCCTGGTATTTTGCAGTCTTCGGCAAGAACCAGTCGAACCAGACGCGTGGATTGATGCTGCTTTTCGTGGCTCAGTTCATGATCTTCACCAGCACGTTCGCCCACATGATCATTGCAGCCATGCCGGACGCCGAAACAGCAGGAAACATCGCCACGCTCCTGTTCAGCATGATGCTCACGTTCAACGGCGTGCTCCAATCGCCGACAGCGTTACCCGGGTTTTGGATCTTCATGTGTATGTTTTTGGCTATCAGCCCCGTGCCATTAATGGTGTTTTGCCGCCTTCACGGCCTTTGCTGACTTGCCTTTTTTATAGATCGCGTGAGTCCGATGACCTATCTCATCTCCGGCTGGGCGAGCACCGGTCTACACGGCCGACGTGTGGAGTGTGCGCGGAATGAACTGGCCATATTCGATCCACCGTCGGGTCAAACCTGCCGACAATACCTGGCCGAGTACTTGCAGGCCGGGGCACCGGGACAGCTGTACAATCCCGGTGCGACGAGTGGCTGCGAGTACTGTCCGCTCACGTCTGCGGATCAGTTCCTCGCCGCGAGCAATGTTTACTACAGCGAGCGGTGGCGGAACTTTGGCATCGGGTTCGCTTACATCTTTTTCAACGTCTTCGCCTGCATCATGCTGTACTATGTCTTCCGGGTGCGACGGTTCAGCATCACCAGCCTTGCTAAGTGGCCGGCTCTTGTCGCGGATGTCGTTCTGATTCAGGGTTTCAGGAGGTTGTTCGCACGACATGTGGAGCCTACGCCGCCTGGGAAAGAGGCACAGAGTCACAAGGCGTTTTGAGAGGCGGGTTCTGAGGAAGGAGGTGTGGCTTGGATTCTCTTCTTATGGTGGAAATTTGGGACAGTGATTGCGTTTGTATAGCTCGATGTTCATTGCTTGACATATTACCGAGTACTAGTACTCTGTAGAGTGCGAGAGTGCTTAATAAAGGCTGTGTCATCCGCTCCGTCTCTTGTCAGTCCCTTGCAGCAGAGGAAGAGCTTAGCACAGCTTAGCAGAGCTTGTATGTAAGCCTAAGTGGCCCTTAAAAGGCGACGTCAGTGGCTGTGAGTCGGCTCACGGTCCAGGATGACCACCGTCCGAGCCGGATGCCTTCAACCTAAGGTAGTCAGCCCACTCTCCGTCCGTCCTCATCTCTTTCTAGGACGGCCACGCAAAGGCCGGGCCATTATAATTGTTGGCCCCCGTGTTGCAAGATCCGGATGCGCGTTTCGTTTCGTGCAAAAGTTCTCCCTGGAAGATCTGGCGGTCAAGGGTGTCAACCGGCCGGGGTTCAATGCTTATCAGCAAGTCGGTACGGAGCAAGAAACGGTTCGTAGGGACTTCTCCCGAGCCGTACCATCCAGTTACAGTTGACCACCTTGTGGCCCCGTGCTCGAAGGGGAACATGGTGGGCCTTCAGTACGATTAGCCCCAGGTCCAATCCAGGCACATGCTTCTGCTCGGGAACTATGGAGTAGTATCCTCGAGGGATGCTAACCAGAAAGCCACTGGAGCTGCGCTTCAGGCGTCCACTCATACAACGTATGCGTCTCGTCTCGTCTCGAATACTTAAAGCCAGCAAGACTCCTGTTGAAAAGCGCAAGATCAACTCGTTCGGCAACAGCATCAACCAGGCGGAATCCAACTTGATATATCAACATTCGCAATTCTCGACACGAGTAACTTAAATCCCTTCAAAACACCACCATGGCCTCAGTCGATAATCTCTTCGCCGCCATCGAGAACCGCATCTCTTGCTACTCGCTCACCAACAAGTCTCCCATCCCTGATTCTCGCATCCACGAGATCGTCAACTCAACAGTCAAACACGCCCCATCCGCGTTCAATGTCCAGTCCGCTCGCGCAGTTATCCTGTTGAAGCAGGACCATGAGAAGCTCTGGGGTATCGGCGACGCCTGCCTTAAAAAGGCCATGCCAGAACCAGCGTATCTGGCTCTTGCGCCCAAAGTCCAGGGTTTCAAGGAATCCTACGGAACGATTCTGTTCTTCGAAGACCAGGCTGCTCTTGATGGCTTGAAGAGCAAGAACCCTGGCATTCAGCATGTCATTCCTGAGTGTAAGCCATTCCCCGTAGTTCGGAGGTGGTGAAGTTTTCGCGCTGACAAGCCATCACAGGGTCTCAACATTCCAACGGCATGCATCAGTTCATCGTGTGGACGGCCCTGGAGCTTGAGGGCCTAGGTTGTAATGCCCAGCATTATAACTTCATGCCCGATTTCGTGGATCAGGTTAGGAAAACTTGGAGTCTGCCTGAGACTTGGGAGTTGCACTGCCAGCTTGTCTTTGGCCAGCCGAAGGTGGGATTGACGAGGAGTCGCGAAAGGACGTACCTGCCGTTGGAGGACCGGGTGAAGATGTTTGGCGCGTGAAGGGTAGGAGCGAAAATTACCAAATAGACTCTGACAGGCGTAGAAGACCAAATCCAAGATCTGTTTCAACTTGTGTGAACATTTCCAACTTCCTCGCGCCGCTGTCATTGGATTCCTTCATACTGAAGTGAGCACAGCCCAGTGTTGCGTTGCTGCCTAAACACGACTTTCTTCTTGTTGTCAGCTTGCAGTTTCTGTCTCCTCCCGATGGTTTTCTCATTGCCAGTCCACCACACTGGTTGTCCAGCACTTGAATGCAGGGACGTCAAGACCACTTTCAGTGTACCGGAAGTGACTGACAAAGACACTTGAAAGCTCCTCGCCTCTCCTTAGGACTGATCGATCTGTTCGCTTGCGTCGGCCATCCGCCAGGGTCGCGCGACCCATCCTTCGAGCCACAGGTATTCGGGTTCCACGCCTGACAGATTGCAAGGGCACATGTCTCTAGTAAGATCTCCGAAGATACGGCATGATGTTGAGGACTGACCGGTGGAAAGAGTGCCATCCTTCACCAGAGTGCGCTTGGGGAAATGTGAATTTGAAGACCATTCAGCCAGAGGTTGTTCCAATATGGACGGGGACGGTTTGACTTTCAAGTCGAGGATGCTTTGTACAATTTTCTAAAAAATATTTACTGGGGACCCTTCTCGATGTTATCGAGGGAGAGAAGCTTAGTCCCACAAATAAGCTGTCCAATTCAGACCGGCAAGCCGCTGATACATTGCATAGGGAATGGGTAGAAAAGGAACATCCTAAACATATCAAGGCACATCTTCAACAGGACATACCGGATAGTGCTAATAGCTTCCGGACACCCTCCAGAACATCAATCAGATGCCATCTACAACTGGAACTGCAAGGCCAAAGTCAAATTGCACTGGCGGACACTGGAGCACAAGAAAATGTGATGTCTGCAGCACTCGCTAGGGAGCTCAACTTGAACGTCCAAACGGATCGCCGCACAACCCCTCGCTTCGAAAATGCCGTTGGAAAGAGCATGGAAGTGGCAGGCCATGCCACTGTCGATTGCCAATTCAGTGACGAACCGCAGAACACGGCTAGCATCAAGTTCTGGATCCTGCCAAAAGTCGTTGTTCCTTTGATAGTGGGCAAGCAATTCCTGGAAAAGACAAGTTGCCTGACCACATTCCATCACCGCCTTCGGAGGATGAATGTTTTCAGGAACTTGAGTCCAAGGATTCTGCATATGGAATTACCAAGACTGCGGCTGCCATGTCAGGTTGGGAATCAATTAATGCTAGCGAATCCAGACACTGGGTCAGATCTGGATCTGATGTTTGCATCGTGCTTTCGACGATCGAACCTCAGACTGCAGGAGCTAAGACATGCACGTCAATTTGTCGAACTTGCCGATGGCTCAATTGCACGTCTTTCTGGGTTCGTCCGCGTACTGTTCGCCATGGGTAGTGGCGGACAACCAACACAGCTTCGGGACTTCTATGTGATGGAAGGGTTGACATCGGACATCCTGTTGGGGAATGCAACGCTAGAAGTATTCGATGCCTTCAATGCACACAAGGACGATTTCTTCGATTTGCAGGAGTTTGACGTACGGTGCGATCTCCATTGCATCCGCTGGGTGCCGAGATCTCGGAGCAAAGAGTTCCTGGAAAGTCCATTCGAAGACTTTGAGTTCATAGTGCCTAACACAGGTAAATCTGCATGCAGCTGCAGTGCGCCATCCACTGACCCAAGCAGGACATGAAGATGAGGCTTCCGTCCCACATACTCGGCGGTCATGGTCGCAAATTCTCCGTAGGAAGCAAAGGAGGACTGGAAATGAGAAGCTTACAGGTGCAGCGGCCCCTTCAAAGTTATCCCTGTTCGAGAGCTGATCCGGACCACATAGTGAGCGAATCCGAGGCCCGTTACGCCCAGTATCTCCGTTATCAAGACGACAGAGAGGTCCGACGGAGATTGAGAACGGACGAAGACATTGCGAAGCGGCTACCTTCGCAGCGGCAAACAGCTCTGGACTCAGAACAACAGCTGCGACGGAGCTACGACCAGCGGCGCGACGCTTTCATTGCACGATACAGGGCGGCAGTCGCAGGCGCGACTTGTATATCAGGACTGTGAGGCGTGAGGGAGCTGGGTGGACGTTTCATTCTCGGAGGTTTGCATTAAGTGCTGTCATAGTAGATGGTCGGTGTTGACATTGCTTAGGGAGAGCGTCTAGCGAGCAGTGATGTTCGACTCTCTTCTGACATTGCAATTTTTATGAGGTTATTCAGGAATGAGAAGAAATGAACAGTGATATCTCAAGCAAGGCGGTCAAGTGGTGAAATCTTGCACGTGATCTCACTTTCAGGGGCAGTGGGGGCATCATGGGGGCATCATGGTCGAGGGTCACAGGACTGCACGTGACTAAGCTTGGCAAATTTTGGTGACAGACAGTCAAACCTGCCACGACCTGACCGACTTCTCCCTTCTCCCTCTTCTCACTCCTCTCAACCCCTCATGCTAGAATAGCACTGGCCTTATGCGATTCCCTCGTGCCCCTTGATACCTGCCATGCTGTCTTGAAATACGAGAGGCAAGGAATCTCTGTCCAAGGTCTGAGGGCCCCAGGGGACAAGCTAACCGCATACCTTTTGATCCGAGGGGTGCTGAGAATCCCTAGAACTCTGACACACTCCGAAATCTCATTGCACTTTCCTGCTCGCTGGCTCTGTGTTCTGCTCTCATACGAACCATGAATAACACAGTTCTCCACCTGGTCTCTAACGGGTTTACACGTGCCAACAGATCAGGATCTTGGTTCCCCACCAGCCGCAGAATCAACCTTTCGCGTAGCATCGGGAGGAACGGCATCGCTTACGGTGAGGTGGCAGCTGTCGGGTCCTTGCCCGATTCAGCCTCACCACATGTAGCTGATGCTTGATTGACCCTGAGCACTCATGGCAGCACAGACTCTGGCACCGGTGCTCTTTCAGGAGCGCCGACGCGCCCAGCGCACATTATTGCGCGTATTAGCGACAAGATGAATAGTCCGGGCAACTACCGATGGCAAGCAATTCACTAGCTGCAGAGAGAGTATGGCAAAGGTGATTGCCAGACCGGCCCCTATTCACGGTAGGACACTACCTGAGGAAGTATATCCAGTTCCAAAAATTCCATGGGTTTCTTGCTTCTCCCCACTCCAAACCTTCATCTTTAAAGGTTTGCATTACGCAGAGTTCAGGTTTCGAGCTGTCGACTCGCGAAACGTTGACTCCGCCTACAAGCATGGCTGAGTACGTAGCGCTCCAAAACCTGGAGAATGACGAGGTCGAGATCGCCGCCGCCACGAGTAGCGACATCAACAACGACACTCCAAGATGGGCTCTAGACCCTGAAAAGCAGCCTACAAGCCGGCGGACGCTTTGGAAACAGCATCTCTATTCTGCGCTGATCACGGCTCTGCCTCGATACATCAGACCCGGCGGACTACGCGACAGGGATATCGGCCCAACGTCCTACTTAGACGCTCTTCGAGGCTACGCGGCCTTCAACGTGTTCATCTTCCACATATTCGGGACGAACAATCAGAATGATTGAAAACATCAACCGATCTTGAATCTTCTCTTCGCAGGTCGGGGAATGGTCGCTTTGTTCTTTGTCATCTCCGGCTACGCTCTGGGATACCGACTCCTGATCCTGACACGGCAGGGCGACACGGAACGCCTGTTGAACGCACTCGCCTCGTCGACATTCCGCAGATACTTCCGGTTGTACCTCTCGAGTGTCGTCGCATGCATGATCGCGCTTGGCCTCGTGCGCCTGCGCTTCTGGAACGGCATGCAAGGCGGGTGCTGGAGAGACAGCTTTATCGCTCAGGATGGGTCATGGTCATGGTCAGTTTGAGTTTCAGGTGCAATTACGGAGTACATCTCAGGAAAACCCCCTGGAAGTGTCCTGTCCTGTCCTGCGGAGGGAGTGGGGCTGCTCACCGGATTCGAAGCGCTGCTCCAAGTTCTGATGGCGTTCTTGATCTTGGAGGAGGCCAGGGCAGATCGGTCTTGGTAGACATTATTCAACTGGTGGAGAGGTTGGCCGGTTAGATTCTTTGAAAGTACTTTCCATCTTGAGGGGACGGTGGACGTCCGGACAAAGGAGAAAGGATGTCAGCACTTACTCAGATATTCCAGTTCCAATAATTCTGGGAGTGTGAGTTGTTGCTGATGGCTTCGACGGGCGGAACGGATGCAATGGCACCGTAGATGGCTTCTGGATGGTTCCGACGGTACACCGTCGCAGAGGGAGCCGCCATACGATCCTACCGGAGCCGAGTCAGAACCCAGTGGTTTGACCGATTGATTCGGGAAAAGATGTGTGTACCCCAAGAGGTGGGTGTGGCGTTAAGGCGTGGACGGACCGCTGAGGACTATGACCTTGCCGTCCTGCGCACCGGTGATGTTCTGCTTGGTATGGTCCATGAAGGCGACGCCGTCGGCCATGACGTTGTCCAGTGTCAGGTATGCGTATTCGTTCCATTGCTTTGTAGGGTCGCTCGCTCCGAAAGGGGCACTCTCGCCAAAGTAGCGGTGCTCGAGGGTGACAGCGATTCCGTGGGTGTCCTTGGCCCAGGTATACGCAATGCTCGTATCCTGTGACGTTTAACTTTTAGATTTTCAAGTTTCATGTTTCATGTTTCAGAAAAGAGAAAGAGAGCAAGCAGACATGGCGTAGTCTGGCAAAGGGGTATAAGTTAACTCACGATACAGTCAAGGTAGGTTTGCTCCTCGCCTTGATAGAAGAAGATCGGTCCGCCTGGCTTGGAAAAGTTGGTGACCATGTTGTATTTCTGGCGGAATGTCCCGTTGTGCTGGCCAAAATGGTGGATGGGTTGGTCGAAGAATGGGAAATGGCAGTCATTATGGTTGGGAGGTACAGCTGGTGGTTCATTGGGGGTGTCGGTGCTGGCGCGAGATAGTATGTTGTTCCGCGAAGCTCAGTAGGCACGACAGATGAGAGAGATCGTATTGGAGCAATGGCAAGAACGGCAAAGAGTCTCATGCTGGGGATTTGCATGGTTGAACGAATCTGAAGAGTGATTGGTGTTGGTTGTCGAGTTTCGTCGACTGACCTGTACCATAGCTGACCTACTGAGCAGTGGCTTATGTACCTTGTTGAGAGTGATAGTGAAGAGCTTACCTTTTCTTGTCGACACCACAGCCTTGAGCCCAGATGAGCTTAGATTGCGACCATACTGAAAAAGCCGTTAAGGCAGGAAGCCCATGTTGGAGTGCTGTGTCTTGAATTCATGGCGGTCCAGCAAGCTGAACACCCGGAAGCTGATGATGGGAGTACAATGACGAAGGACGGGACCTACTCTCGCCGACTCCTTTTGAGTCTTTCAGGAACAGTCACCATTGAGAGACGAACAAAGCGATCAAGTCAGCAGGGCCATCGACAGTCCAGCTTGAGATTTTGATTTGATGAGGTTTAGTTTGCGAACACGAGAACAAGGCGCCCCGGACGCCATGGCGAGGCTGTGGTATGCCTTGCCTGGCCTGGTTAGCCAGTGATGGACGTTGAGCGAACCTAGCTGGGTGCATGGGTGGAATGCCTGACTTACTCACATTGCTACGCTCTATCGCACACCCCAATCAAGAGAGATTCGACAATTCTCTCATCAAGTTCATTCAATCCTTCTTCAGTTCCCAACTCCTCCACGTCCGACCTCTCCATAGCCCGTCGAAGAAGTCCCTCACACCGTACCCCTTCTGCCAACCATTCTGACCGATTCCACCACTCTGCTCCTCGCTGATCTTCCAGAACAATGTCCCATCATAACAACCTTTGAGATCATCCTTCCACACACGGCCGTCCTTCTGGAGGAGCAACCACGTCGTCCACAGCTCCATGAACGCAAAGCTCCACCCAGCGACATCGGCGGCGCATCGATTCTTCTTCCACATACGCCACATCTGATCCGCCGATAACCCAGCACATCTGTCCTCGTCCCAACGGTCGAACATCCCGTCAAATCTGTCTTGGTGGAAGTGGCCATCAAGGTCGAAAACGCCGGTGTCAGACCCATGTTTGGCTTTGTGGATGCTTCCAACGTATATACGCAGCCAGGGATCAGGTAACCAACTATGTCCCAGTGTCGTGGGGTAGGAGAAGAAGATGGGAATGAGCAGGGAACCAATTGAGAAGATGATGCTGAAGCCTAGCTCTCGGAAACCAGTGTAGACGTCCATAGGGTGGATGATGCCATCACTGTCACGATCCCAGAAGAGAACATGTTGTTGAAGGGCTGTGAGTTGAGGCTTTTCAATATTGTGGTCGGTGAATGTGGTGGTCGGGTTCGGACAGCCATTGGCGAGCTCAGCGTTTGATTTCGTGGCTGGTCTTTTTCGTGGTGTTGATTGTGGGACTGTGAGAGATGTGACTGAGCTTGCTGAGCTCGCTAAATTTGCTTCCATGTTCTCTTAACAAGTTAACAGGCACCCAGACAGCTGTGCTTTGGCATTTGGTTTCGTGTGTGCTTGTAATTGCAAAGGCTGGATGTCGTGGTACTTGAAGTCGTGCTGACCTCCTTGGGGGAGTGATTACCACAAGTTCAATTTCTTACTAAACGTTTCAGTGGCTCGGAGTAGCTGGCGAGGTTGTCTACTCGTAATAGTACTTGACTCGTTGGGTAGATGATGCTGCAGTCGAAGGTCATGAAGTCATCAAATTGGCACCATCAGCAGAAAGACAGGAACATGTGAAAAGGTGCTTCCTGACCGCCTTTACAGTTCTCAGTTCTCCGTACTGTGTACAACAATTTTCAGGTCTAGGCGCACTATTTAGGCTTAGGCAACCCCGGATCCTAGTTCCGGGGGGCGAAGTAGCTTTCCTCTAGGTGCCTCGGTACCCAGCCAGTGCTAGCCTCACCAGCCTTGAATGGCCTCATCTCGCTAGACTGCATCCCAACAAAACCTGACTCGTCGAGGGAATCTTGACCGCATGACGGGCGTTACCGCGATCTGCTTGATCTGCTAAACACGGTTTTTGAATTTGTTCCTGCATACGACAAACTGTCATTGCGTCAATTGTAGCTCTCGTCCTCCTCCTCCTCCTCCTCCTCCTCGCGCACACAAACAGCAACTTGCATGCTGACCAAATATTCCATCGCACAAATCTATCTCGGCCACGACCACTGACCTCTAGTACTACTGTGGGACCTTCACACCCTACCACAGTACTTGCGGAGGGTATATCTACAAGATGGGTGATCCAGGTGTACCCAACACAAGCAACCAGGCTTCGTCCTCGGAAAACCACGTCGGCGACCAATTCGAAGTCCCAGCATACGAACCTCACCCATCATCCACGACCCTGAAAGGGCGCATACGACACCACTATGAGCTGGCCTCGGATTATTACTATTCGTTATGGTACAGTACTCACTCACTCCCTTTCCCAGTCCTTCCCAGTCCTTCCCACTCCAACAGTCCTTCAACAAACACTGCTCTGCTCTTCTGCTACAACCCTAATTGAGGTGAGCTCCATTTACTGATAGATGAACACAAAAAAGGGGCCAACACATCCACCACGCCTACTTCCTGTCACCCACCGACACCAAAGAAACCGGCCAAACCAACTTGATCAACCTGCTTCTCGAAATCTCCTCGCTCAGCCCCAACAGCACCGTCCTCGACGTCGGCTGCGGCATCGGCGGCACCACACGCCATCTGGCCCGCGACCACGGCTGTACCGTGACCGGCATCACCATCAGTGGCCGACAAGTCCAGATCGCAAAACGTCTCACAGACAATGAGTCTTCTAGTACTACCACTCCTACTAGCAACAACTCTCGGTCTCCCGATACCCATACCAATGCCAATGCCGACAAATTCACCCCCATCGGCACGCGAGGCGGCCGTGTCCAGTATCGAGAACTCGATGCCGAGAAAATGGACTCCGACTTCCCCCCACAGAGCTTCGACTGTGTATGGATATCCGAAGCCCTCAGCCATTTCCCGGACAAACCGTTGTTTTTTCGGAATGCCGCGAGACTCCTGAGACCCGGCGGGACGGGCAAGCTAGTCATCGCGGACTGGTTCAAGGCTGAGGATTTGGATGCTGAGGCCATGGAGTCCGATATCAAGCCTATTGAAGGTACCTCCCTATCATTGCCTTTACCTTCCTAAATTACCCCCTTCTTCTCTTCTCCTTTCTCCTTTCTCGGAGGAAGTCAAGCGCTGACCGACGACCGCAACGCACAGACGGTATGCTCCTCCCTCCTCTATGCACGCAGGCCGACTACGTGTCCTTGGCCGAATCCGCAGGTCTGAAAGTCCTCCACCAACCCAAGGACATCAGCAAGGATGTCGCAAAGACCTGGTACGTTTCTGAGTTCTACGTCTCTTGTTTCTTTTTCTGCGCTACACTCGAACCAACCCAGCTCATGGGCACCAAACAGAGGCTCTACTGCCCTACCTGCCTTGCCCTGCCCTGTCGTTGCTGGCACCTCTACTCTACTGCCTACTGCCCCTGTTGCTGCAGTTGCTGCTATACTCTCCTATCGACCGAACACGAATTTTGTTCTTGGTTCGATTTGAAGGCTTACCACTCCCCTTTTTGGGCATGTGTAGGGATATCTCCTGGGACCTGATATCGTCCCCCTCACTCTGGGCATTCGCCATCTCCCAAGGTCGAGACGGACTGGCCTTTTTACAAGCCTTCCGCGCCATGCGACGAGGTTATGCGAACGGCACGTTTCGCTATGCCGTCATGGCTTTCGAGAAACCATGAATCCCCAACCGGCATTCAGGATTGGTGTGTAGAGATCGAGATCCAAGATTCAAGAATCATATAGAAGTACATTAGGTACCAGGTACTTAGAAGGGGTTCCATCGTCTTACTGGCATAGATTATGCATATACGCAACCAGGGTGCAACTGACGTTTTTTGGAAAGACATCTCTCAATACTTACCTAATAGGTTAGATCAGACATACAATACACTTAAGTGAGCATCTGGTCATCTTCAACATGTATGATTTGATTCTTCATCGACTACAAATAGACAACCACGCAATGCAAGAGACTACAGTAGCAAATTTTTGGAACATCCAATCATACAATGCAAGCCGCCTTCAATCTTTGACAGTCCCACCCAGCAGCAATCAAAACGACGCGACAACAAGTCAACCTCACTCTTCCTCACTCTCCACCTCGGCCGTGTTATCATGGAAATACTTCCCTTCGGTCGTCTCATTGATCACACCCGCCCGAATGGTCCAGTCCCCAAACCGTTCACCTTGGTTTCTTTCTTTGGCATACCGTCCCAACAGACCTCTCATGATCTCCAGGATCTCATCTTCCTTGATACTGCTCCTGTACAACTTGTTCAGCCTCTGCCCATGGTACCCACCACCGAGGTACATGTTATACGCGCCGTAGGCTTTACCCACGAACGCGGCCTCGGCAAGCCAGGGTCTAGCACACCCGTTCGGACAACCCGTCATGCGCATGACGATGCTATCCTGCGACAGGCCGTTCTCTTCGAGACACCCCTCGAGCTTGGTGATCAGCTCCGGCAGGTACCGCTCACTCTCGGCCATGGCGAGACCACAGGTCGGGAACGCCACACACGCGGAACTGCTCAGTCTCATGCCCGAGAACTGCGTGTTGTCCAGCTTGTATTTCTTCATCAGCTCGACGAGTTTGGGTTTGGCTTCGTCCGTCACATTGGACAGGATGAGATGCTGATTGCCTGTCAGTCTAAACTCGCCTTCGTGCACCTTTGCGATCTCGACAAGTCCAGAACGCATGGGGAAGTCGGCAGTATCTTCGATACGACCGTTCTCGATGAAGAAGGTGAAATGGTTCAAGCCCTTCTCGTCCTTCTGCCAGCCGAACGTGTCAATGTTGCTGGCGAACTTGAACGGCCGGGGAGTGTCGAATTTGATGTTGAGGGGATCAAGGAGCTCTTGGACCTTGGCCTTGAACACTTCATTGCCCATGTCGTCCATGGTGTACTTCAGACGGGCGTGCTTGCGGTTCTTACGGTCGCCGTGATCGCGCTGAACCAACATGATCTTCTCACAGACCAAATGCGCCTTGTCCGCAGGGACGAAGCCCATCATATAGCCTGTGCGAGGGTATGTCTTCTTGTTGTTGTGCGTAACACCCATGCCGCCACCAGCGAGGATGTTGAAGCCCTCAAGATGCGCGTTGTCCTTTGACCTGATTGCGATGAGTCCTACGTCGTGCGCATACACGTCTGTGTCGTTGTGTGGGGGGATGGCGATGGTGATCTTGAACTTGCGGGGCAAGTACGTTGGGCCGTAAAGCGGTTCGTAGTCTTGCACAGCGTCGCCAGCCACTTGGGTCTTTTCGCCGGTCTCGTTGTCCTTGAGCCAGATCTCGTGGTAGGCGGTCGTAGAGGGCAGGAGATGGTCAGAGATTTTCTTCGACACAGCGTGTACTTCTCGGTGATATTCTGACATTGTGGGCAAGCTGGAGCACATGACATTTCTGTTGACGTCGCCACATGCAGCTATGGTGGTCATTAGAGCCTTATTGATTGCTCGCATGGCAGGCCGCAGCTTCGACTTGATGACACCGTGGAATTGGAATGTTTGCCGGGTGGTCAGTTTCATGGTCTCGTTTCCGTGGGCGGAAGCAATCGCGTCCATTTGCAGCCACTGTGAGGGCGTGGCGACACCGCCGGGAAGTCGACATCTGATCATAAATGAGTATGCAGGCTCCAGACCTTGGGCTTTGCGCTCGTCTCGCAAATCACGGTCATCTTGCATGTAAGTGCCATGGAACTTGGTAAGTTGCTGATCTGGGGCAGATATAGCCCCTGTCGAGTTGTCCTCCAAACCCTCCATGATGGTGCCTCGAAGATAGTTTGAAGCAATCTTGATGTCTTCGTTTGTCAATGGCGCCGGTTCCTCGGGAAGACCTTCGACGTTAGCAACATCGAGAGCTTGCCAGAGTCTCGCTTCCCATTCCTGATACCCAGTTTGATAGCCATCAGGATCTTGATCGTCACCGAGACCGATAGCAGTCAGTGACTTGCCACCCAGAAACTGGACTCGTGCGTCAAGATCTTTGCCTGGCTTATTGTAAAAGATTCTGTCCTCCTTTCTAGGCCAGTAATGACTGTCACCCAGAGCGAAGACCGAATAGTGAACGTTGGACAGGTCCAAATCTGCTGCGTCCTTGATGCCCTCCCAGAAAGCGCGGCCATTCTGGGGAAACTCTCCTTGACCAGCAGTACTGGTGATCATGACCACATTCTCCTCGGTGGGGAGATCCTCCAGAGGATAATCATCCATGGCGAACACCATGGTCTTCAAACCGCGGGCCTTACCACGGTTGCCCAGTCTCTTGGACAGACTTTCCGCATTGCCATTGTCCGACGCGAAGAGGATTGTCAGTGGTGCTCCGTAGAGACCCTCCAGCATCTGTTCATAAGCGTCCTTGGCTTTGCGCTTTTGTAGCTTGCGCACCTCGGATCCATAAGACTCTGAAAGGTTGGCAGCAAACTGCGGATGTCGGTTCATGACCTGGGTCAGCTGGTTATCTCGGCGTAGGAACTCCTCCAGCTCTCGCTTGATGCGCTCAGAGTCCAAGGAGAAAGTTGGCTCTCCCTTGTCTTCGTTGGAGGGGTCCCATCTGTACAACGGCCAGTAGCCCATATCCACTGCCTTCTTGGTCTCTTGCAAGACGGTCAATGGCGAATCGTTCTCCTTATTGTATGGAAGATAAGCAAGGACGACGGAGGGACCATTGAACTTTTCTGCTTCGATCATGGCTTGCAGAACTTGGGTGTAAGAGCTGTAGACAGCCACTGACGCCACGTAAGCATTGCCGAAGTTCATGGCATAAAGTCCGATGTCCTTCTTGCGTCTCATCGAGTCTGCTTGAGCTCTTTCCGAATATGGTTCAGAGTCAATGATGAGCATGTTGACGTTGGCGCCCGATGACAGGACATGGTGCACTCCTGAGTTGCCCAGATCATAAGCCCATGCGTCGGACCCAATCAGCCATTGAGACTCCTTGAAGAAGAGAGCCTTATTGTCGAGCAACCTATTCGAGAGCCCAGACCCGTCATTAGCCAAGCGGGCAAGGACTTCGGATGCATATTCATTTGCCTTTGAAGCATCATTAGCATTTAATGCCCATCTAGACAACCACTGCTTTGGCGACTCAGTGATGAACTCATTGCTTCGTGCAGCCTCTTCGGCCTCCTTGACAAAGTGCTGACGTCGTTCAATCCGTGCAAGGAGAGATCCGAATCCGTACTCAGGAGACGCGGCTAAAGTGGCAGATACACCTGCATTCTTTTGCTTGAGCTGGTTGGCAATATATAGTCTGTTGCTGAAAAGTTGATCGAGGATCTTGAGGTACGCGTTCTCGAGCTGGGGCTGCTGGGGAATAAAATCGTCGACGGTAGGCTCGAGCTCATTCCCAATGGTCAGATTCTGGATTGAGACCATCGTCACCTGGGAGGAGCGACCACGCCGGCGAGAGTGTTTTCGGGGCGTAGCCGGAGGAGCAAGATTTTGGAAGATGCCTCGTAGGGCTTGCAATGCCGTCGCAGCATCAATCTGGCCTAGCCGGTATTGCACCAAGGAAATATGGCTTTGACCTCCAGCACCAGGGCTCAAGCTGGCCAGTAAATCAAGGAAAGTAGGACCCCACTTGGTAGTCTTCCTCTTGATCTGTTCCAAGACAGCAATTTTCTTGATTGATCTTGGGATGGAATCCAAAAGTACTGCACTACCTAGCCACGGTCGATATAGTCGAGCTGTGATGAGACCCACATTCGTCAAATCCACTGGTACATCATCGGAATCGAGGACGTCGACGAAGACGCCGGTCGAGCCAAATATAAAAAGAGCGTCTTCCGCATCGGGCGGTCCAGAGTATTCGATCGCAGAGTAGCTTCGACCGGTGGCTTGCGAGATGACAGCCCAAATATCGCTAACGTAGGTGAATATATCGGTGGCGCTGACAGGACGAGTAATGGGAGTCTCGATGGTGGTAGCTAGAGAAGATGGTGCAATGCTTTCGGAAGAGCTGTCCCTTCTCGACGAGGGCGAGGAGGACACATCAGTTGTACCGTTTGTCGAAGAGGCTGGTGCTGCGGGTGATAGCAAATCTCTCGAAGCGGCGGGAACTGTCTGCCGCGACGGAACATCTGGCAGACCTAGGTCTGTCACTGTTGCCGTCCTCCCAGTGCTGGCATACAGCGTCTGTTCATCTGAGGCGGCATGCGAGGCCCGCAGTCCAACGCCAGTCTCCAACAGTGTACTGACCAATTCCCGACTTTCAACTGGTATAGGATTGTCCTGAAGAGAGTTGCTGGGATCGTAGAAATGTATGACACCCTTGCCACTCTTGATCGCCAAAGCATGGGCAGTCAGAGCAATGTCTTGCGCCTCTTGTAGCGTCTCTGACTGCAAAAAAGTGAACCCACATTGTCGGATGGAGCTGATTTCGGAGAAGTCTGCCTGTTGGGTTGCCAGCGCCACATGAAGGACCACAGGATATTGAGCAAGCTTATAGAGATGAGGAATCGAGGTCAGGAGTATGGAGGAAGGAGCGGTGACTGCGACCAGCTTGCCAGCCTGTAGAGGGGTATACGCCGAGAGTAGAGGGTCTGCATTTTGGCGGACTGGGATGATCTCAGGAAGCGCCTTCGAGACGAAGCTCTTTGCCTGGTTTGCAGTAAATCGAGCAAAGTGGTGGGAAAACTCGGAGTCGGTGCTCAGCGACGGCTGGACAGAAAGAATGACATCGCTGGCAAGATATGCAATTCTTGCAACTATAAAGGCGAAACGTGTTAGCTGTCGACCTTTGTGCCTGCGCTGCGAGTCGGGTTGGGGAACGGGCAGAAAGCTGCAGGGAAGTACGTACCAGCTTCCGCGGGGCTTGCAGCAGACCCCATCTTGAATTCTGGTTGCTCGTTCTCTGGGAGGAATCGACACACAAAACGAAGAAACAGAACGGGAGGAAGGTCCAAATGCGAGAGAAATAGTAGTAATCCTCCAAATATTACTGCATGCTTCTCCGCCTCTCGGAGCATCCACAGAACCCTCGAAGATGGGCTTCTTTTACTCTTTTTGCTCTGGAAATTTTTATTGCGCCGGCAACTCTTCTCGTCATTCACTCCGGCTGGATGATGATTGGTTGTCCATCGATTGCGACATCGAGGTCAAGGCCCGGATGTGCGGCGAAGAAGAAGCCTAGGCAGTGGCTACCGAGCTCCCTACCGCCCACCGACAGCCCACCTATAGGCATCGAATAGGTAGTGACAGCTTGGTAGCCAGGTGGGTTGTCTCCAACTATTACTAGCAGGATTACATAAACAGACACCACGGTTCAACTTCCTTCCAACTTCGACTTGCACGGACTTGCCAGAAGGGAGCTCACAAGTCGAAAATACTACGGCTTCCGACCGTATACCACATAGCTGCTGTGGTCAGCATGGACGCCTGTGACAGATCAGACCGGACCAACTCACTATCGCACGTATTGATGATGATTTCGATTCTTCACATCTCTTCTGAAGCCAACCATGGCCAGCTCAGTCTCTTCTCGGGTCCATCCATATGTATGGGAGAACACTCTCAGCCCAAAAGCCGAAGCTCCTTCGACCAGGTTGGTCATCTCCAATGCCCCAATCTTCTTGAGCCGTTTATCCTTCGGCCATGGGGACGACGGCATCTTGAAGATATGTTCGACCACATCGACGAATCCCGCATCTCGTAGGTATTCTGCGAAACGCAAACAACTGTCCAAGGGTGCTCCCATGCCATATGACGCCTCAATGAATTTGTCACAGATGAACTTGAACATCGAGTCGTCCGGCATTGATCCATCGTCGCACATGACACGAGGATAGACTGATGCCAGCTCACACCATCCTCCAGGTTTGATATGCTCATAGGCTTGCCGCATCAGTTTTGGCCAGTCCCGCACCATGTACAGCGGATCGCGCAAATGAATGAAATCAAAGCTGTCGATTCGGTAAGTCCAAGTATCTTCGATGTCATCAATCTCAAATGAACAATTTGGAGCAACCCATCTCGGTTGAATAGGTGCAATGTCCACTCCTAGAACTTGTGCGGATGGAAACATGTCGGCCACGTCGAGCGCCCAGATGCCCGTGCCCGTGGCCAAATCAAGGATTCTTTGCGGGCTGTCACCAATAGGAGCAAGAAAGTGTCTATCGCCAATCACCAGTTCATATTTGCGATGTTGGAGGTCCATACGGTCCATCTCCGCCTCGTCAATCGGCATGCCATAGCTGTGTTTTCCATATTGTGGGTATAGTCTTTCGTTTTCCAGGATGCCTCGCGATATCTCGGATGCAATTGACGATACGTAACTGGTACTGATGCTCTCTGCATAGGCCTCATCGTCGATTTCCAAGTCTGGCAAAATCATTGGCGCCAACTGTGTGGTCGTGCTCGCCGCCACGTAGTTGGCGGGCGAGGCCGTTTCCAAGGCCTGGCCGGCATCGGGATACAGTGTATCTTGGACTGAAAGTTGAGTCGAATCTTCCGCTGGTTGATTTGTTGTAGATGTCACCAATTCGCCAGACGGTAATGGAGAACTGTCAAGCTCTCTGCTTGTGGCTGCAACACCTTTCGTGTCTTGTTGCAACTGGGTCTGCTCACTCGGGCTTCGCACTGTTTGAACTTGGTCGCATACTGGAAACAACATTGGAGGCCTTGTGAAATTTCTCTCTGTCAATGTACAAACATCATCTTCTTGTGGGACTGCTTCCTGGTCATAACCCATCGACGCTGAATGAAGCATATTGTCAGCTCTTCCCAATTCATGCTGTCTGGCTTGCGGATCATTCTGCTCCGGTAACTCCTCTCGCGTAGGCTCTGACAACTCCAGTCCGTGGGCGTGGTATCCTGATGAAGACATGATGTGCTTCTACTTCGATCTTCAGCGCGTAGACCGTTCGGTCCATCTATGATCTTTGTCAAGGCATTAGACTGAGAACGACCAAGCTCGGCGAGAGACGGATAAAGGGCAAGGGTCGAAGCCGAAGACGACGGAATTGAAAGCACAACGGTCATGTGTAATGGAGTGCGCGAGCAAGTGACTCGTGCGAGACATTGTTGCACCAACAAGTGCAAACGAGTCTGGGATAAAACGACTGCATGCATCTCAGCAGCACGATCGACCAATTGCAGCTGCGAAATCTGGATAAGCAATATATACAGGGTTTTGCCAGCCGGTGTCCGGCCAGCAGTGTGTGAAGAGGATAGCTGCATTTCTGGTGCAACCAACCTGTAGCGACAGGGGCCAGTAGCAGGACGAAAGGCTACAACCTCAAACATTCAGTGCTGAAGAGCTTCTCGCCGAAGCAGGCGCAATAACTCAAACGACCACGACAAAGCAATGTTGTGCATGTAAGATGGCGGATTGTCATTAAGAGGTCGATGTTTCGGGCAGAGTTACACTGCAAGCGATGATTTGACGAAAAAGTTTGCCACGTGGATGCGCGCAAGCGACACTTTCAAGCAGAACGAGTCCCAAAGCCGTATGCAAGTTCCATAACAGCAAGATCATGAGAAGATGCCCAGCCGTATTAATAACCCATAGAAAGGAGCAGCGTGGTCAGGTCGCCAACAGTCTGCTACAAAGCCAGGCAGATGGGAAGCAGAGTCGGGCCAGGCAGCGTTTCGAGGCATCGACTTTTCGAAAATGGGATCGTCGTTGCGTATAGGCCTTCCGCCTCACCGCAGGGCCATCGGCACGTATATGCAAGTAACCGCTGGTCTGTTGAAGAGAAGTCATTGAACAAATGCAATGGCCAACCCCCACTAGCCTGGCTAGACGTATCTCTTGGGAGGCGAATGCTCTTGATCATGTCCTGGGAAAAACATAGTGCAACTGAGTGGACGGCGGCATTGCTGGTAATTGAAAATGCGACCAGCGGGGTAGTCCTGGGCAGAGATACGAGTAGATTTGAATTGATTGTGAGAAGACTGTAGGAAGAGAAAGTTTCCTCGCTTCCTTCATCCGATCATCATATGGATAGAGCCGCATTGGCCTATTTACTCACCCCTAGTCTGGTCTAGTCTTAAAGGGGGGAAGTCCCGGATTTAGTGGGTGGTGAGCGCCGGTGTTAACATGCAGGTAAATTTGGTGGTATGGTTCTTTTCCATGAGCCTTGTTCCAGAGGTCCTCCAAGTCTGTCATCCAGCACGCACTCACGAGGTCTTTCGGCTCGAAGAGACCGGCCAGCAGTATTTTGTCGGCCTTTGGCATCGATTCCAATTCCTCTCCCCAACCACTACCCTGCCCGACGGAAGCTTTCTGCCTGCGTGCAAAGGCTGACCCAGCCCACAATGGACGACGAAGACGACCCAGTCATTGCCTCCTACGACGTCTACCTGACAGATGCGCCTGGGTCTAACAGCAAAGACTCCTCCTCTAGAATCTTCGTCCTCCAATATCCTTCGCACCGACGCCGCTCCAAACCGTACAATGCCGCTCTATCTCAGACACCCACATCTCTACGCTTGAAACCAGACACGGGCTTTTTGGAGGTGGACGTTCCGATATTGACAAATGAATATTATAACTACAATGCCGCTGAAAAATTTGGAAAGGCCATGTTGGATAGTCGTACCAAACAGGTAGGCGGCTCACACGGGCTCGCTGGAGGTTTCTCCGCAGGCCCTGCCCATTCAAGAATGAGAGACGTGCCCATGCACGAGAACTCCTCCCATGATGTGCCCTTGCTGGCCTCTCAGACCCTCGGCGGAAAGCTCGTCGATCCAAGCCCACGAGATCCTATCTACCTGGTTGGATGTTTCCACCGAGACCAATTGCATCTCTCCCACGTGGACGGTGTGGTGCAAATGCGGCCTCAGTTGCATCATATTGATGCCCAGGATGAACTCACTCAGAAGCGCCTTCAATCAAATACACCAAATGCACGACAAAAGCCTGGGCTCGAGACTCCCGCTCCCAAAGTCGAATCCAAGGCCATTGAAATTAAAATCAAAGATAGCAAAGAGGACACAAGAGATCGCAGTCTTAATGAGAATGCAAGACTTCTTCGTGATATTCAAGTTGACGATTGGCAACATCATGAGTGGGTAGACGAAGATGACGATGACGCGGAGGCGGCGTTTGGCAGACTCATGCATTCACGCTGTGGCGCAGACAATCTGCCTATCAGATTACGCAGTTCCATTGGAAATGGGGACTGGCTGGACAGAATGAGTGCTCCGAGAGAAGATGGCAAGAAAGGGTTACTGGCAAAGCTGCGCGGTCGGGAGCGCGAACGTGCGAGAAGGAAGAAGGCTGAAGAAGAAAAGCGTCAACGACAAAAGGAAGTCTCAGGAGCCGCAGTCGATCCCAGCAGCGCAATGTTGGACATGAGTTCGGACAGTGATCTGACCACACCTGGATCATCGGATAGTGAGGTTGAGGAGGACACCACGATGGCAGGAACACAAGAGGTTGAGCCTGTGACTATCAAGGAAGAGCCTGCCGCCTCGGGCTCGCTTTCGATGACAACAAGCAGCGGGCCAAAGAAGAGAGGACGGCCCAGAAAGTCTCAACCGCTCGCGGCCGGAGACTGAGATCAAGAAGGTGACGCAGAGAAGGCGTATCCTGACTGAACAACAGTTCAAGCATATGAGCAATCTCCTTAAGAGATGCCTCCGTTTGGCAATCAGTGACAAGCGCGTCTGAGTAAAGAATGACTTTGCCGCTATTTTGGCCGCACGAAGTGTTGCAATGGCAGAGCACAATTTCTATGCTGGACGATGAATGATACAACCGACTCGATGAATCAATTGCGGTGCAGGATACGGAGTACTACTGTTCTGCTCTTCATTGGCCGACATCTTAGAAAAGAGCACGGAGTAGAGACAGTTTTGCACGTGACCGAGCTGGGGAAAGCTGTAGCCAAAGAGACTCCTGAAAATCATCGAATGATTTTGCCTCGCCGAAATCTTTCTCTCGGCCATTCCTCGTCCAATCTGTATTTCCATCACCACGTTGTTTCTCCCTTCTTTTTCGTCTGTTTTCTTGCTGAAGAGGGTTTCTGCTGTGGTAGCTGGTTATTCCGCTATTACCATTGTACCTAGAAAATTTTGCTTGCCCTCGAGCCTGGATACTTTTCTCAGGCGCAATGCTCACGCGAGCTGCGCTTCGGCGAAGGCATACACTTCGTTATCTTCAACAGGCAGCAGAAACTATCCAATTACCATGGCTGTGCCCTGCTCTCGCACATCCACCGTCCCTCGAACCTCAAAAGAGACATAGCTCGTCGCGGCCATCAATTACCCGCTCGAAAACGTCGCCTGCGCCCCGGACCCAAGCAAGACATCTTGCCTCTCCCGCAGCTGCCCCCGAGGACTTCGATCGTAGCGACGACTACATCCCGTTTGTCTATGGAGACTATCCCCTCCATCAACGATCGGGACCTGGCAAAGGGGAACTCACTCCTTTCGACCTGTCCCAGATTCTCATGCTTGAGAATGCCGCCGACTTATCGCAAGATCCCGAAGACGCCAGTTACCATCCAGGTGTGAACGTTCGGCGGAATGTCGCTGAAGTTGAAGCTACATTGGATGCTTGTTTACATGTTCATCGATGGGATCGAGCTTTCACCTTACTGTCTCAACTGGCAAAGTCCTACCAACACAATCCCTCGAAAGTACAAGGCTCCTACAACAAAGTTTTTGCCGCTATAGTGGATGATCTCCTTCAAAACAACAACATCGGCCATGCAAAGCGGATCAATGAATGGATCGAAGTCCATCTGAGAAAAGCGGGTTTGGATCCCGATGCATACACACTCGCCCTGAGGATGAAAGTGGCACTGGAACTTGATAACGGGAATAAACGCACACGTACAATCCTCCGATACTGGGACATGGCAAATCAACTCGGTCTGGAGAGTCAGGTACTAGGCATGCGCGAGATATTTGAAGATAGACAGCTTGGAAAACTCTCTCAGATCCTGCAGTTCTCTGAAACCAACCCTCTCGAGCCGCTGATTGATGCCTCTCAGTCGGCGCCATTTCACGCAACCACGGAGACGGAACCAACGTCGACAGCTGATGTCCATGTGCGACAGATGGAGCAGAAAGGCCTGGGTTTGACTTCACTTAGGAAATCTCTTGCCATATTCTCGGGGCAGACAGATATGACGTTGGAAGCGTCGCCGGAGCAACATCGGGAACGCTCCCTGAACAACGTAGAAAGGCAACAGCGGCTGGAAAGAGACGCCATAGACTCCGCAATGGTACGATGGAAGGCCGAGTACGAGAAACGAGCCAAACGAGGCATCACGGGCGATCTGGCCCATGGAAAAATTGGCGCTCTACTCTGGCAATGGCATGAAATACTGGCCGAGAAGATTAAAAGGGAGATTATGATGGCGAGGGAGGAAGAAGCGAATCCAGGAAAGAAGTCAGCGCAAGAGAAAATAAGATCCGAATACTCACCATTCCTCGAGCTGTTACCACCTGAAAAGCTCGCCGCAGTTACCACGATTGCACTCATGCAGATGATGAGCAAGATGGGGGCTTCCAAGCCTGTCAAGCTTGTACGACTGGTCAGCGAACTGGGCCAAGCGGTTGAAACAGAATATGACGCAACACAGCTGGCTGGGAGAAAGGCTGAAGCCAAGAGGATGAAAAGGAGACTCAGAGACCTGGTAGATCCTCCCCCTTATCAGGAGATCGCGGTGTGGAACGAGCGAGCAGACCACCGACTACACAAGCGGTCGTCGCACCACGCTGCTACTCCTTTAAAGTACCAACCGACTTGGTCCAGGACCATCCACGTGAAGCTGGGGTCAATCCTTTGTGAGCTTATGTTCGACACGGCAAAGATCATGATTACGCGACAGGACGAAGCCACTTCCAGAGAGATAACTATTCCCCAGCCAGTCTTCATCCACGGTACCAGCTATCAGCATGGCCGCAGAGTGGGTGTGGTATCTCTGCATGAAGATTTCGTGAAAATCCTGGTTTCGGAGCCCGCCGAGCATTTTATCGCCAAACAATTGCCCATGCTCTGTCCGCCGAAGCCATGGACTAGCTTCGAGGAGGGCGGCTATCTGGAATCAAAGCAACCGTTTCTGCGGGTGAAACACAGTGAACATGCTCAGAAGGACTATGGCGTGGCTGCTGCCGAACGTGGAGATCTCGATCAGCTCTTCGCTGGCGTGGATATCCTGGGCAGAACAGGATGGCGTATCAACCGACAGGTCTTCAACGTCATGCTGGAGGCGTGGAACAGCGGAGAAGAGATTGCCAATCTACCGCCGCTCAACAAGGTATTCCCCGAGGTAGAGCGACCTGGCGAGAATGCGACTCCCAAGGAGCGTTGGGACTGGTTTGTCAAGATGCGCTCAGTGGACAACGAGAAGAATGGCATTCATTCGAATCGCTGTTTCCAGAACTTTCAGATGGAAATCGCCAAAGCATACCTGGATGAGACATTCTATCTCCCACACAATGTTGACTTCCGTGGTCGAGCATACCCTATTCCTCCCTACCTTAATCAAATGGGTGCGGACAATGCACGTGGTGTACTGCTTTTTGACAGGGGTCGTGAGCTTGGGAAGGAGGGTCTACGCTGGTTAAAGATACATCTATCCAACGTCTATGGCTTCGATAAGGCGAGTCTCGCGGAACGTGCTCAATTCCCAATGGACCACATCGACGACATCTATGACTCGGTCAAGAACCCCCTGGACGGTAGACGCTGGTGGCTCACGGCCGAAGATCCTTGGCAGTGTCTGGCGACTTGTTTCGAGCTTACCAATGCCCTAGACTCTCCCGATCCGACAAAGTTTGTGTCGCGGCTTCCCATCCATCAAGACGGCTCCTGCAACGGTCTCCAACATTATGCTGCGCTAGGTGGTGACATTGCAGGCGCTCGGCAGGTCAATTTGGAACCAGGCGACAAGCCGGCCGACGTGTACAGCGGAGTTTGCGAGCTGGTCAAGGCCGAAATCAAGGAAGATGCCGCCAATGGTCATTCGCTGGCCCAAATACTTGATGGCAGGGTGACGAGGAAAGTTGTCAAACAGACCGTCATGACCAACGTCTATGGTGTAACCTTCATGGGTGCCATCCGCCAAGTCCGGAAACAAGTTGATGATCTGATGCCGGAGGTCAAAGCAGCCCAGCTTTCCGGCAAGGCCTCGACTTACATTGCCAAAAAGATTTTCAAAGGCTTAGGCGCGTTGTTTACTGGAGCTCATGAGATCCAGTACTGGCTCGGCGACTGTGCAAACCGGATCAGCTCATCGATATCTCCTGCTCAGCAGGAAAACATGTACCGACGGGCATACACAGCGTCTCATGAAAAGAAACCAGAACAGAAGAGGGCCATCATGCCGGAGTCCAGCAATTTCAGGACGACCGTCATTTGGACAACGCCTTTGAAATTACCTGTCGTCCAGCCATATCGCATCAACAAAGGCCAGAAGATTCAGACGAATCTGCAAAATATCACCTTGGCGCAACCGAGCGTGGCGGATTCTGTGAACAGGCGAAAGCAACTTCAGGCCTTCCCTCCGAACTTTATCCATTCTCTCGACGCCACACACATGATTCTTTCTGCCATCAAAGCTGATGAGCTCGGATTGAGTTTTTCAGCGGTTCACGACAGTTTTTGGACGCACGCGGCCGATGTCAGTACTCTCAATTCCTTGCTACGGGATGCTTTTATTCGGATGCATAGCGAAGACATCATCGGTCGACTCGCCGCAGAGTTCCAAAAGCGGTACGAGGGCCACTATTATCTCGCATACACTAAGAGGCACAGCCCTCTCGGCAAGGCTCTTTCCGCATACCGCAGCGAGATGGTTGAAAAGGGCATCTTCACGTCAGTCCGTGGGTCCAAAGGGATAGCTGAGCGGAAGGAGCAAGAATTGTTGCGAGAGATTCGCAGGAACCAATTACTCGCAAGCGAAGATCCGAAGGAGAGGGAAGAAGGCGAGAAGATGGTGACGGCTGCGACTTTGTTCGACAAACTCGAGGGAGAACAGTTTCTTTACCACCGTGATACCTTGGGCGAGACGGTCATTGGAGCTGTTCCAAAGGAGGTCAAAGAGGCGACAGTGCAAGAGGCCATCCACGCAGCTGAAGTTGCTGACGATGTCGACATGGCCAGTACTTTGGACCCCCTAAGGGATTCGGTGACCAATGAAGACGATGTCGTTCATCGGGAGGGAAGTGGTGTCGTTGTCGATGTTGCAAAGTCCTCCCCGACTCCGCCGGCAGATAATGTCGTGCGGAACGCCTTTGGTCAGAAGATTCGAAAGTCTTACCCCAAAAACGGTGTGTCAGGACCCAACCAGATTTGGCTGTGGTTGCCGATCAAGTTCAGGCCTGTTCCTAAGAAGGGAGATTTCGACGTCAATCGGTTGAGGGAGAGTACATATTTCTTTTCGTGATTGTATACTTTTACAGGCTGGTTTGGTGTGGTACAGGTGCAATCAGGGATCTGGTGCAGTGGTCTTTCAGAGAGGGTGAAAAGGTAGTATCATGTCACGGTATAGAAGACGGGACGATCTTGAGTATTACGTGCGTGAACAGGAGTGTGTATTATGTATGCCATAGATCAGGATGGGGTGGTGATTGTGTACAAATGCGTGCTATGCAGGAGGTGCATCAGCACAGCTAGACGGGCCATTGTAGATTTATGGTGATGCCGCTGAAGGATAGATGCTTGTCTTTGTGTAGTGGAAGAGAAGTCATACCATTTTTGGGCTTGTACGGTGTTATTCAATTGCCAATATCAAAGTTACTACTCGTATTCCAACACTGTTCATCTATCTCGCAGTACTCGTAGGTCGTTCCCGCTTCATTGGGCCTCTGTCGCTCGACTTGTTATCTTACTCGACTTAATTACAGTACTTCAGCCTCGCCGACCCGGATACCCTTGTATGATGAGGCTGTGCAAACGGCATCTCGGCCCCCAGGAACATGAGATAAGTACTCCGTACTGGGAGCTTTCTTTTACAGTCTCCCTTTTTGTTCTATGGGGAGACTGAATTCAACCTGGTTTCCTTCTTCGGAGTCTTTCTGGTACAATTGGTGGTGGATGTCCGATCGTTTTTGCCCATGCCTCGAATAACACCGCTACCGCTACTGCTACTCGTGCGAGTCGTGTTGTTGGTGGTTCCGCTGTTCTATATCGGTCTTGTGCTGTTATGGGTCGGGCTGCCTTCGCCGGCGGGGTCGTGGGAGAAGGATCCTTCGGCGCGACTTTGGCGTGGAGGGAGCGTTGTTAGGGTTTATGAGTGAGTACCTACCTGACCTACCTGAGCTTATGCCATAATACCAGACCTTGCGTTGCGTTGCTTTGCGTTGCTTGCCTTACCTTGGCGTTTGCGTTGCATTGCCGTGTCGTCCCCCTGCCCTCCCCGTCCCTTTGCATCATCCTCCACTGTCTTGTCGTCATCCTCCTCCTCTTTTTCGATCCCAAAGCTGGTGGTGGGGCGAGGGAAGCATCGGGAAGGATCTCCGAAGTCATGAAGAAAACAGTGCTGATTTGTATGTTTGCGTGTGTGTTATAGTTTGGACGCCTTTTTCCCGTGGAACGACGACTCGCCATCCGTACAGGACGCGCGGAGGACCGGTCGGACATCGTTCCCGTTGGAATATACCTACGACCGGACGACGAGTGCATTGACGATCGGGAGCATGAGCGGAAGTGGAAGCGGAAGCGGAAATGATGCCAGCAGGGGTGGTGGTGGTATTGAGGTGCATGGGGTCACGGTCAACCTTGTCGAGCTGTTGTCGTTGTCGTCCATCGATGGCGAGGCGGCGGCCGCAGCAACACCGCCGTGGTTGTCCGCCCCCTTCAGCGTGCGGGTCAAGACGGGCGACCAGGACGGGATCAATTTACCGTGGTTCGCCAAAGCTGATGCATCGTTGTTGTTCTGGGAGATTCATGGCGACGTGGTGGATTTGCCGCTGCGGTGGAGGGTGGTCAGGGAGAAAACGACGGCGCAGACGCGCGGAGAGATCGTTGTGAGTGAGACGACGGTGCAGATTGTGCCGGCGGTTGGGGCTTGGGTAAGTACTCAGCCTCGTCAGTTAACTAACTCCCTTATCGCAGGTTTTGGATACCTTAGAAGAGCTGACATCGTGGTCGACCCTCTAGGACACGCAGGACGAGACTGTACCGGGCAGCAGACCTTACCGTCATGATGAGATTGAGCCGCTGTTGTCGATTGCTTTCAACCCTGCTTCGATGTCGACCTCAACCTCGACCTCGGTTGCGCCTTGGAGTTTGATGAATTGGAGTTGGTTTCCACGCCACAAGATTGAGGACATGTTCATTGCGTGGTACCCCGGTCCATTAGTGCGCGGCTCGTCGCCATCAATGACATTCCCCGTCCGACGGGCGGTCACCGCGATCATGGTACCGACGTGGTTCTTCGTGGATGAGTTTGTTAGCGGGTACCTTCAGACGCCTATCCTACTGATGTTGACGTGGGCTCTGTATCTTGGGTTCTGGGCTGGTGTGATATACGCGGTTGCTGTGCTGGCGTGCTGGAATACTTATAAAAGGGGGCAGGGACAGCGACGCACTAGTTCGAGGTTCTGGCCGTGGGCGAGGAGGTACTGGTTGACCCGTCCTGTTTTGGTCTATGTGAGACCCCCAACGGCGGCGGCGGATGCTGACGACGAGGCAACGGACACGGACATGAAGGTTGAAGATCATGAGCACGGCCGCGAAGGTCGCGAAGGTCCAAGGCCTTTGGTGAGTCCGTGGGCGTTCTTCACGAGTTCTTCGCCGCTCGACGATCTGCTGGTCACGTACGAAGTGACTAGGCCTTTTGTGCAGCCGCTTCTTGCCAATGTCACGCTCCGGAGGCGACGTACTCAAGATCAAGATATAGAAGGGGAGGCAGGGGCAGGCACAAGTTCATCAGCGGACGTCAAAGGGGTCGAAAGCACTAATGTCGAGGCCAGTGGCTGACGTGGCCGGCGAGAAGAAGTCTTGAGTACTCCGTACCTGACTTGGAAGATCGATATACACATTTCACTCTCATATCAACAGGTTCTATTCTTGTATATGCTATAATGGCTGACTTCCTCACTCTCGTCTCATTGTACTCCTAAGTTAAAACCCATGGACCATGCCCATCATCAACGCCTCACACTGTCCACCATCTTCTAGCCATCCGTCCCGCTGCGGCAGCACCAACAAGGCATTCGCCGCAGCCAGACTGCCTACCCGGCTACTCCTCTGCATGCCCGTACTCGTCGCCACCAGCCTGCCATCCTTCGCATCCACACTGACCACGACGCGATGATACTCGACTCGCTCCTTGTCACACTTGATCCTCCCCTGCACCATGACCTTAACCCTCTCCAAGCCCTTCTTACCGTCCAGTCCCACCATGCTCTGCACGCACGGCAACACGAACAGATTCGCCGTGACCAACGCGCTCGCCGGATTTCCCGGCAGTCCAAAAATCAACTTCCTCTCCCTCTCGCCCGATTCTGTTTCTTTGAACGGCACACTCGCAAACGTCGTCGGTTTGCCCGGTTTCATGCTCACCCGGCCGAAATGCACCTCGCCGCCCAAACTCCTCTCGATCGTGGGTTTCAAGAGGTCCAATTCGCCCATACTTACGCCGCCCGTCGTAATGATTATATCCAGCCCCTTTGTCCTGAACGCCTCGCGAATCTTCTCTTCAAGCTCGTGGTTCGGTGTATCCCTTGCGACGTTCAAGTCCACTACGCCGTCGCGCTCGCACAGGTTCCAACCCCGCAACAAAGACAACAAACTAGGCCGGTTCGAGTCTCGAATCATCCCGCCCGTCAGGGGTCCTTGAAACGAAATATCCGTAACCTCGTCGCCGGTAGACATCACGCCGACACGCGGCTTGCGGAAGACAGGCACCTTCTGGATCCCCGCGGCGGCAAGGACGCCGATTTCTCCGCCCAGCGCGCTGATCTGTGTGCCCTTGGTCAGGATCACCTCCCCGAGCTTGATGTCGCTTCCTGGATCTCGGATGTTTTCACCGACGGTGATTTCGTCCGTCAATATCTCGACGGTGGCTTCTTCGGATTTGTCGTCCGTCAGGCTGGCGATGGCTGTATCTTCGACCATGACCACGGCGTTGGCGTTTTCGGGCAGCGGCGCGCCAGTCGTGATCCGGGCGATCTGGCCGTGTTCCAGCGGTGGAGGCATCGAGGATGCTTGCGCATGTGAGACGGATGCCACGGGGAAGACACCCTTGATTGGCGGGAGGTCTTTGTGCGTCGGGGATTTGGCATCCGGAACGATGACAGCGTACCCGTCGACGATGCTGGCCGGGTAGGCAGGCACAGCTTCAGCGGCACGGATATCCTCGGCGATTACGTATCCAACAAGATCGGGCGTGAGGTCCCGAAGTTCCTTTACGGGCTGTGGTGAATTCTCAATGATCTTGGCCACGGCGTCGGACACGCTGAGCATAGGGTAGGGGGAGGAGCGGGCGCGTGCGGTCGCTCCAAGGCGAGGATCATTGGATTGTGGCCGCTGAGAGGGGTCGGTATGTGCTTTGGGAATGCTGTGGCCTCCATGGCCGTGGCTGTGGTCGTGGTCGTGATGATGATGAGAATGAGAATGAGAGTGGTCGTGCGTTGCCGCCATCCCCTCTGCGCCCTTTGCGCCAGCAGACACCCCGGCGTCTTTTTCTAGCTTCTTGACTCCGCCCGCATGCGCGGTTCGCGAGTCCTCGCCTGCAGCTTGCAAACATGCATGAGGCAGTAACTTCAAAATAGCTTGCAGGTTCTCCTTCGCACCCTTGGGCGAGCCCGGCAGCGTGACAATGATGGTTTTATTCCGCACCCCGGCCACAGGTCTGGACATCATCGCGAAAGGCGTGACTTGGAACGACGCTGCCAGCATACCATGCACGATACCCGGCGCATGGCGGTGGATCAGGGGTGATATAGCTTCGGGCGTGAAGTCTCGTCTGGCAAAGCCTGTCCCCCCAGTCGTTATGACCAGGTTCACGGCCCCAGACCCGGAGGATTCATTGTCTGTCCAGGAGCGAACAACGCGCTGTATATCGAGGATATCGTCTTTAACGATCTCGACGATGGGTTCGGCCCATTTTCCGGCGCCGTCCTGGGTGAAGGTCTCCTTCAAGATGGGAAACGCTCTGTCTGTTGACGGGTCGGCGGCTGCAGTATCGGAAACGATAAGAATTGCCGGGCGAAGGAGTGGTTGGGAGCTCATTGTCAAAGTGCCAATTACTTCTGCATCGGGTGAGCTACTAAGATGGGCAGCTTCTTGAATACAAGAAATGAAAGGGAGAGAGTGAGGTGTCTCCTACCTTCTACAAACTCAACTCGACGTAAGTTGGTCTATCACAACGCTTAGTCATCCGGCTTTTATATCTACCAATTTACAAGATACACCACCTTTACACACGCCTTTTGTCCAGGAAAACAATCACCTCCACAGGCGATGTATGCAAGACGCTCGAGGCAAATTACAAATGACTTCATTGAGGTGTTGTACATGTACATTCCTACTGATAGGGTATAATTCAAGCCGCGTCTTACTATAACGACAGGCTCAGATGGGGACGGGTATCAATATCGTAAGAATAACCAACGCAAAAAACGCCCCGTCACGCAGCCCTCTATCCAATGCTCTATCCAGTTCCAACATGGCTTCGAGCTTTTCACCAATGCAAGTATGCTTGAACGCTGCAGATGCCACCCATACCCCAATCACAGACGGCTAAGCGATTTCTCCTCTCTTGTACTCTCTCTTCTTGACCGCCCTCAAGGCCGGCAAGGTATGCTGTTTCCCTGGCTCTCGTCCAATTTCCACAACCAAAAATCTGACAAAGTCCTGCAAGATCCAGTAACTGCTATGCGCACTAAGCATGTTGAGATATTGAATTTCAAGGGGACCGCCACCTGAATTCAAAAACCAATCAATCTGCCCATTGTCATTGAGCAGATACATCCTCTTCTCGGCGATCTCTTCGCGAGTGAAGTTGTGTGTCTCCAACTCAACCGTGCTTGGAAAATGTTGCAGCTCAGGCCGAGTTGTCGGCACGACGGCCGTATACGCATCTGATGCCGAGCTCGATCCCCAGCGCAGACTCTTACCGATTCTAGTGATGAATCCTACGCTTGCACTTGGGATCGAGGCTGGCTGAAGTGAGGCGGCGTAAAGTTGGTCGACGGAGGCATTTTGAAGGTACGAAATCGGATCGTTTCGGTGGCAGATGTTGTAGATGTTGTCAACCGCAAGGCAGCCATATCTAGCCTCGCTCGCAAGACCTGCTTGTCGGTCTTCCCCTTCCATCCCGGGCTTGTTTCGACCTTTGCGAGGTATGAGACTAGCGTTGTTCAGGAGCAAGAAGAATCCACTAGGACTACCGCAGCAGAACAAGTTCGTAGTGTTGAATTCGAAGAATTTCTCGCTTGGCTTTTTGGCATCGATTCCCATGTCCTTACCGAGCTTGGTAGGCTGTTTGCTAAGTATTTCCATAGCCATGACCGACCCAAGCGAATGAGCAACCAGGTGAACCCGACCATAATCTTCAAAACCAGGATTGTTTCGGCACCACAGTCGGTAGACACGGTTTGCTTCTCGCATAACAGCCGAGGTCATCTTGTCCTTGTGATGGGACATATAGTAGGGTATATCCAACATGACATCGCTAATCAGAGACCGCACACTTGGAAGACTGTCAGGAGTAATGTCCTTCAAGGCATATTTGTTTTCTGCGTTCTCTTTGGACGCCCCGTCATCTTCATCGAAGGAGACCGTTAGCCGCCAATTGACTGGCAAGACCATGATACCAGCTCCCTTTCTCAGATTGCCTTTGACAGCCTCGGTAGACAACTCGACGTTGAACTCACGTCTCAGACTGTTGATGGCATGTGTAAAGTGGAAGCTGTCAACCCTTTCCGAAAGCTTCTGACCTATGCCATGAATGACGAGGACGAGGTCAGATACCTTGGGGGCTTTGGAGTCTTGATCGCAAGCATGACAAGACATTCGTCGTCCTCTGGTCGCAGCAACTCCTGACTGCGACATGTATGCTCCTACTTTGGCGTGAGCAGCTTTGGAATCCAGCTTCGGATCGGGATGAATTTTCGACCATGCCTTGCGGTCGAAACCACGTACAACAGCCACCCCTATCTGTCTTCCTTTCCGCAGAGAGCTCAGAGGTCGCCGGTTTTGGCTGATGGACGGTAAGAGGCTGGGTTTGAGTATCTGCGCATTTCTGGAGTCAAGATAAATTACGCTATGTGTTGAGAAAAGTCGTCTGTCCTTTGCCTTGCGAGGGTCGGCGGCGGCATTGGCTAGCTGTTCAGGTAGCTGTTTGTCGACTTCTTCCTGAGCGCCCGTTTTCTTGCTCTCTTTCATGTCCATGGCCGTACCTGGTCTACTGGGTTTCGGATCGTCAGGCCATAGCTGATGGACAACCTTCATTTCCGCAGACGCGCCATTGTCAATGCAAGCCTGTAACTCTTCTTGGTAGGATTCGGCGTATGGCGTCATATACTCATAGCCTACCTCCAAACGATTGGCGACCTCGGCCGGCACTGGCAGCATCGTGTCTTTGTAGAACCAGGTGGCCCTGATGACGTTTGAAGTGTCGTTGATTGGCGACCAGTAGATGGGTTTCATGATCAAGTCCGGCATTTCTACCAAATGAAGGCGTGAAACTCCAACAGGCACAAAGACCTTTTCTTGTTCTTTCCCTTTTTGGCGACGACGGCTCCCAGTTCGCGATCGACTCTTGTCTCTTGAGTCGACGCCTGATTCATCTGAGGAAGCATACACTGCTGTGGCATTGAAAGCCGAACTAATGTCGCGTCCGCTTGGTGCTCGAGCAAATGGTCGACCGCTAATGTCAGAGTTGAAAGCTGCCGTTGACTGTGGTTGAGCTGCTTGAGCCTCGTCAATCTTCACGGGTTTCGGAGAGCTGTCGCGACTAGCTGTGCCTTTCTTGTGTCTATGTCGGAACGGGGAGAAGTGTCTCTTGTGCTTGGGGGCCTCCTGAATGACTTCTTGGGGATCTGGATTGTCTTGTAATTCTTGAGCGTCCACTGGCTTAGGATTCTTCATCGAGTCCGAAGGTATTTGGTCCAGCGTGACTTCACCCTCGGCCTGTTTCTGTTTGCGAGCTCCCCGCGTCCTTGTTCCACTCTTTCCCTGATCCGTTGCATGTGCCGGCTGAGGAGAAGATCCACTAGAGTCTCTGAAATCAGGGAACGAGATGATACCGCGTGCAAGGTTTGCCCTTGTGTCTTCACCTCGGTCGCGAACAGAGCCATTTCCGCCATGCTGGAATGCTTGCCAGGCTTCTTCCAAGGCCGCGTTGTCTCGCAAAGAAAATGGCTTCGGAGGGAAATCAGTCGCTCGATCGGCAGATAAAGGCGGGAGAGGAGAGAGAGGGTCGTCGATAGGGAGCGCGGATACGTAGAAGAACTGAGCTTTCACCCTTGGAGGATTGGAGCCGTCGGTTGTAGAATCATCATCTTCCTCGTCATAAAATGCGCACGTTGGACCCAAGGAATGGACATTTTGACTCATTGCAGAAGAAGCTTGTGCATCTGGGGTTATTGCTCTTCAGACGAGCTCCCCAGGAACACGGTCTGGATATGCGCCAGAAGGATCCGTCGTGGTCGTGAATCAGGCACCGACCCGAGCGTATTAGTGTTCTAGGTTCCGGAGGTTCTGGCCCATAAGACCAGAGAGCGAGGCCGGCCTGGTTTCTATAGGATACAAGAAGAGAATGAAGGTAGGTAAAGAGGAAAGAGGCGCCCCAAAACCCTCACGCCTGTCATTTTCATTTTCAAACAGTCACATGCGACGATGGCTCGACGTTGGTGCTCGATCGAAGTCGAATAAAGCCGAAAGACGGTGACGTAGTTTGGATGCCCGCAGGCGCACCAAGCACCAAAACACGACTCCTAGCAGCAATTCTCGAAGACACAGTATACATATTCACAATCCCTCACTGAGACGGCAGTGGGACCGACGGGATGGAAGCAGTTGTTGCCCGGAGGATTTTGAAGTTGCTTCCAAGCAATTCAATCATGGCTCGTCTCTTTTGAGCACGAAGCCTAGATATACAGTAATCATCTACATAGCTCGTTCATATTTGCCGGATCTGACCCCTCGCAGGGCCTAAATCTTTCTTCTGGGGCTGGAGAAGTCGTATGGTAGCACTTGTCCTCGCTGACTCGAGTGACCTGTCTCCACACTGACGGGTATTACCTGCGTCCAAAGCGGAAGGCTCTTGACAAACCCCCAACGTCCTCTCTCCCTCCTTTTCTGGGGTGGGGTTGTATATAATATCCCTCTCATCGTATCGGCAGCCGCATACCATGTCGGTTATCTGCTTCCCATCACTGAAATTCCTGAGCCTTACTGCTGACCAGCAATCCAATGATAAGGCCGAAGAGACCTAGCACACTCGAGAAAATTTCGATGACCAGCACCTTGACGAACATACTCGCGTCAGCAGCATCTGCCAGAGCAGCGCTGCTCCCGTTGATTCCAACGCTGACACCACAGATGAGGTTGCACATTCCGACCGTCAATCCAGACCAGAACAGTGCATACCCCGTGTAGTAATTCGAGCCAGTGTACAGTTGCTCTTCAGGGACAAGCTGAATCTTGGAGGAGAAAACGATCGACATGATGACTCCGTAGATGGCGACGACTTCGCAGAAGATAATTGAGATCAGGTTTTTCGTTCGTATTCGTGGTGCTTTCACGCCACCGCCTAGGATGGATGTGCCTGTAATGAATATACCCCTGCGGCATAGTGTCAGTCTGCGTCAGATACCGCGGATGATGAGCTGCTCCGTGTGTCAGGATCCTTGAGGCACCGTATGTATTCTTACCATGCTGCTCCTACTACCGATAGCCCGATACATAGGCCGATGCCCAAATCTGCCCAGGCATAAGGGGAAACTGTCTCGAGAAATTGCCCTACCTGCGCCGCAATTGTTAGTCTTCTGTCCACTGATATCTAGTCTTTGCGGTCACACATACATTGAATTTCTCGCCTTCACCATTGAACAGCATATCTACGAGACCTGTTAGCTTGCGGAGTGTCCATGTCCAAGTGGTTCGTCAAGAAACCTACACAGTCCAACAACACCTAAGGCCGCCGTTGCGCCGCCAGCAGGGTAGATGAGACTCATCTTGAATCCTCAAGGCCTTCGTAGTCGGCTCGACGTAGCGAGGAGTTGGCGATGTGACGGACGTTATCTGGCAGTCTTAAAGCTCACTGATGATCACAGGCCGCAGCTTGAACATCGTTCTACGGAATCAAGAGGAAGGTATGCCGAAGCTGATAGTCACGTGTCAGGCTGTGACTTTCTCCCTTACCTACAATCTACAAACCTTGCGACCGAGGAATAGTACAGTAGTTCAGAAAGTAATTGTATTATGGTCATGAACCAGGCCAGAGCACCCAGAGCTCGACCCTTTGGAATTGCCTTTAGGTTACCCGTTTTCAATCTGGCCCATTTATCCTCCACCCAGGCATTAGATTTTGATTCTCGTAACCCATTCACTCATGCATCATAAATCGTAAACTCATTCAATCGACTTCCAAAACGCTATGTTTTGTTCCATCTCCGCCCGTCTGTCCCAGCCAGCTTGCTGTTCCGCGTCATAACGCTTGTGCAGCTCCTGCAGACGATGTTCCATACTATACCTATGCCTTGCTGCCGTCTTCAGACTTTCGAAATCATTCTTAGTGACAGCTTCGCGGAAAACCCTCCTCATCCGATCACTGTAGAGCTGGCAACTTATTCCCGGTAGGAGCTGGCTTCTCCGCAGATTGGGCACTATTTTCAGCGTCTTGGACACTTCCCGCGCAATAGGCCAATCCCTGAGAGGCCAGACTACCTCTTCGAAACATTCCTCGCAAATTGTGAATTCAGGGAGATCAGGTATGAAGTGCCAAGACGCAGTCGCTAGCATCGCATCTTTTGCGCATTCGCGATGTCGAGACATCCGACGGATGTATTCGACAAAGTCTTGAATGTCCCTCTGCCGCAGCTGTTCTCTGTGCCGACGCTCTGCCAATCTTTCCAACTCCGCGAGTATGGACCAGAAGTGACGACTTGTGCTACTGAGATTGCACACCTTTTCCTCATTCAGTTTGTCGCGTGGCCTGTCGAACAGGTGAGATCGCAGTTGAGGGAACGTCAGGTCAACCTTCATGACACATGCTGAGCATATATTGAAGCCCTCCACCGGTCTCTTAGTCCTCGGATCGGTGAGATGGTACCATCTTCGGTGTTCTGGCTCGGAGCCGGGACAAGGCCTCGTACCTTCGGGAGGAGGGCTGCTCAAGTCCCAGACAAGCGACAGGTCCTTTCTCTCCTGTTTCGCAGATTGCAACCATGCAAGGCGGATCCATGGCCTGCTCATGGCGCACAGGACAGGCCGTCTGGAATCTTTAGGCAGGCTTGGAATGAAGTGATCCCGAAAGCGAGTGCCACCCAAGAAGCTCATACAAGATGGACAGAAGTCCAGGAAGGGCATTTCCCGAATAGTGTACCAGTCACTTAGTCCAGCGATGGGGCTTGACCTGGGACACAATGGTGGAACGCTTGATCGGGGTGGGACAGTCGAAGGAGTGCTGACCACCTCAGGCGATACCGGAGCCGACACCACTGGCTGCTGAGTCGTGACGTGGAGATACTGCTGGAAAGCTTGCGTTGATGTGGTAGACATTGCCCTGTAAGGTGCAGGTGGTCTTGGAGCTTCCAACGGGTATGAATACGATGCGGCTCTCGTTGCCGTTCGTGGGCTTTCAACAGGCGCTGGCACGTAAGTAGAAGTCTTCTGCAGCGTTCGATCTTCATGTATTGCATATGTCGTGGTCCGTGTTGGTTGACCTTCATCTTTGCTTGCGAAAGAATTGTTCCTGGACAGCGTATAGGTGACTTTAGGAACTTCTTCGGAGACTGGAGAAGGCTTTCTTGATCTTTGTCCGCTGTTTGGCCTGCTCTGGCTGCCGCTACTGGGCGTTTCCAGCGTCGACAGGGAAGTGCTCGATCTCGACGAGCTCGGCATTGCCTTCGAAGCCAAAGAAGCACCTAATGTTGCCGCACCTAGGAGGGTAGTCAGGGGCTTGAGATTGTTGAAATAGCTGTCATCCACTGAAGGAGGACGTGATCGCGGTTTTGAGGTGTTGGCAGTGCTCAAAGGTGGTTCGAAATACTCCCTTGGCGCTTTGTCACCGCGTGGTGTTCGCGGCGGACTCTCTGGCGGCGACGCAAGCGGGGACACGGGTCGTGAATGGTCGTTATTATGCCCAGATCGTCTGCTTTGCTTCACGCTTAGCGCCCTGTTGAAATAGTCTTCCATGGCTTTAGGTGTTCGCGCCGAGAGTGGGATGTGTTGTTCACGACGTGCCCTCTCATCCGACGAAAAAGACCCACGGTTTGACTCGTCTTTAAACCCTCTTTCCCGACGACGAGATGTAGCTCGACTCATTGAAGGCTTGTCGCCCTCCTGAGGGTAATAGTGCGATCTTCGTCGTGATCGGCTTGCACGTCTATTCCTCTTTTCATCTTCTGAGCCCTGTTTTCTACTACGTCTCTCTTCAGCAGAGGAAGTGTAGGGTGATTCAGAGATAAGTTGTCCGGTACCACGTCTGGAGGACGGATAACCCGATGCATTCCAGTCTAGGATCGAAGATGGTGTGTGTTCTAGCATGGGCTTAGGGCTCTGTGGCGGAGTGATATGCTCTTGAGATGTATAGCTGTAGCCAACAAAGCCTCCCTTTGATGGAGCCGGGCTACGGTAACGCTGAGCTCTGCTGCTAAACCCGTCAGTCGTTTTGCGATCGCTCCTAGACTGTGTCGGGCTCTTCATGTACTCGGTGTCAGAGCGATCAGATTGCGGATAGCTTTGTTTTCGAGCCGTGCTTCGACTGCGCTCATGGCTTCTCTTCGACTTCGAGACGTGCTCAGAGTCACTGCTGTCGTTATGAGCTGGACGGGTGGCTTGATGTACTGACCGTGACCTTCTAGGACGATGAACGTCCATAGGTGACAGCAGGTTAGGCCCAGATTGTGGTCCACCAGACACGGAGCCAGGCATTGGCTGGGAAGTGTGCGGATAAGATGAGGGCTGCCGCCAACGAGCTGTCGGACCATCCAGACCAGGGCCGAAGTCCGTATGTATCCTTGACACTTGGGGCCTTTCCTTCTGCGCTTCCTGTTTGTCAAGTTGGGTAGTAGACTTGGATCTGTGGAAAGTCTCCGATGTTGGTTCCTCCTCAAGCGCCGTCTTATCAGATACTAAGATGAATCTCTTCTCGGTGTTTGCGGGAGCATCAGTATCGGCGGACTCCTTGTGCTTCTTCGAACGCACATTGTCCGAGTTGGAATCATGTTGTTTGTTGGCTGCGTCTGGATCATCACTGTCGACGATGATGGGGTATTGATTCACCGAACCCCGACTGCCTGCGGGTTGATTGTCGGTCTTTAACTGATGTATGGGAACATCAAGCAGATGTTCCTTTGCCAGAGATACTTCTTCGTCCTCCACACATGGAGACGGCGGCCATACTTGCGTCATCTTGATTGAGTCGACTCAACAACCATGTCATGGACCACGAACTCATTGCCAGATACGACTTAATCAGCTTTTTCCTCTGGAGAGACTCTCCTTAAGAATACCATCGCCTGACGACAGTAAACAATGTCCAAAAGACGCGCTGTTGCACAAGGCTTGTCAGTCGTATTGTTTCACCTGAGGCGTTGCGTGTTGGGGTGGTCGGTTTGGCAATGGTTTGCAGAAGGCGCAGGCAGTGTAAGAACCGTGGCAGTCCAGATCGAAATCAGCATATCATCTGTAACCTGACGGGCAAAAGACTGGGGGACAGAGTGTCGTGACACAGGGCAACCCAGGTAACTGTTGTATATTCTCTGCTGCTTCCTAGTCGCCTGTAGGAAGTCTGGAGAAGACGGGAGGGGTCCTTGTAGCAGGTTCGTCTCAGGCTGATAGTTTGGTCACAGAGGACAACAATGGCTTGCAGGAGGATGCCGGCGCTTGTAGAGTTGGTCAACGCGCGAGTCCCGGGAAGATTTGGTGCAGGTTAGTGATACGACGAAGAACGGGTGATTGAGAAGGAATGAAAGGATAATGCCAACGGCCCGCTAATGCGTGCCATCCGGGAGGGAGTTTTGGCATATGCAAGAGTTCTCAAATGTTTGAGGCAAAGTGGAGGTTTCGTGCGTGGAAAGGCGGTGTCCGGTGAAGAATGAGGCCTTTGGTGCCCTGAACGGCTTGAAAATTGGACTTGAGGACTTGTAGAGAGTTCAATTGGATCAACAGGACATCCCCCACAATTCACTCTGCATGATGCTAACTCTTCGCCTAACGCCTCCTGTTCCCATTAGCTATAACGTGCTGTCTAGCTGCTGCCTCTAATGCATTGCTTGCGTACGTGCCCTGGGCCTTTCCACTCAAGAACCATGGGATTCGCCTCTGTAAAGGCCTCTCTGCATTTTTTGACTGTGGCCTCGATGCAAATCCATCCTTCAAATGCAGGAAAACACGAGCCGATCTAAGCAGGAAACAATCATCACCCGATCCTAGAAATCCTCAAAGGACATGATGCAGAATACTGGAAGACGCCGTCGTGCGTGACTGACCGACAATCCTTCGGCACTTCTGCCTCCATCGTGCTTACAGGTCCGACCCATTCCCAGGGCCTAGATATGTTCTACTTCTTTAATGGCAGGGCATACTGCAATGTACTTATGACAGATGCTGAGGTGAGGTCCTCCAATTGACTTCTGACATATGAAGAATGTGTTCTCTGGTCACCTCGAGAGCCCGAATGGCTTTGATGGGCTCTTTATCATTCCATGCTCAAGCGACAGCCACTCAGATATGCAGAGTGCCTGACAGATCGACGACTGGGTCAATGCCACAATCCTCCATGTGCATAATCGCGGCGCAGCATTCATTGGGTCGAACCAGTGGCAAGGCTTGCCATCACGGCGGTGTCTGCCCAAGCCTCGTTGGCAACTTGTCAATGGCGTTCTCGAACAAATGATTTACGAACAGCTGTTTTCACGAGCATTTGATCGTCAGAAAATCATCGGAGAGAAGTTCCAAATAACGTGCCATGCTATATGCCGATGGCTATTGTCCTCACACCACTTCGAAGTGTCGTCAATGCTTTGCACACCATCGCTTGGAATTATATCACCTATGAGGGAGCTTCTGTGCGACCATTCCAGAGAGCAGCTGACATGCTGATCAAGACAACACCGGTTAGACAGCTGAAAACCAGGCGGGAGGTTCCCCAGCTCAATCGGGCGCAAGCATTTCGATATGATCAACCGGTGTTCGCTACCCTACACCCTTTACAGGTTTCACCACAGTGCGCTTTCCGCTTTCTTATCGGCCTGTCATCGATTCAGCCCTTCACCCGGATCATCAACCTGTACACTCCGTCGGATATAATCTCCTGACTTGTGCAGCATGGTAAAGCCATGGTGAACAGACCTCGTACTGACGGGATACGGCTTCTGCACGTTGCTTATTGAACACTGTTTGCCAGAGGGATTGTCAGCCAAGGAACGGTACGTACTTGTTATACACCGGTTGATTGACGGAAGTCCGACTACCGTTGAATGGCTTTGGCCAAGAAGGCCTCTGATCAGCCCTTTTTTTTGAAGCGGCGTGTATGTTGGGATATGGTCGACTCCTAAGTTAGGCACCTCAGCCTCAATCCCTGACTTGTTTCCTATTGTTTTTGTACTGAAGATATCAGTACATCACGCAATCAAGATACTGTGTATGCCAACAACCGGACATTCGCCGTGCAGCTAAGGGCATCGTTCTTACCAGCGTTGAAGTGGGCGTGAGCGGGATATTCTCCGTCGTGCCCCGTCCTTCGGTCCCTCTGGGCAAATGCTGGTCTTGCTCTTGAGCTCGACATTGCCGTGCGTGCGGGGATGATACCGCACTCTTACAAATGACGAGCGAGGTGGGGAAATATATTTCTACGGCGAGTCGTGCGCAGTCTGCTCCTGCAATCGCTCTAATATAGCACAGCTGGTCATCCAAGTCGTTCAGTCAAGTGAGCATTCTTCGAGGATCCCTTTGCTCTTCCATCATTTCGTAAATCAGGTCCATGTCCTTGGCCTTTCTCCGGACGAGACTGCCATTGACTGCAATCTCCACTGCTACTCGAACAAGCGCAACCATCCGGTTACTTGCACTTACCTCGCAGGTCAAACAGACACCTCTTCATAACCCGTCTCGTCCACTGACCGCTCGCACGATGTCCTCCATACCCTCCAAGATGAAAGCCATCGTGGTCCCCGAGAATGGCGGCGCCGATGTCATGAAGTATACCGACTCGCACCCAGTCCCTACACTCTCCGACGGACAAGTCCTCGTCAAGAACCACTTCGCAGGCGTGAACTTTATCGATACGTACTTCCGCACAGGCTTGTATCCTGCACCCGGTGGCCTGCCTATGGTCATCGGACAAGAAGCGTCGGGCACAATCGCCAAAGTTGAGGGCTCAAACCCACTTGGATTCAAGGAGGGCGACCGCGTTGTATGGATCAAGTTTGGTGGCTACGCGGAATACACAGCCGTGCCTGCCGAAAAAGTCGTCAAGATCCCAGATGGTGTGTCCGATGAAGATGCAGTAGGCGGATTCCTTATGGGCATGACAGCATTGAGCTTGGTCAAGGAAGCATACCCGGCGAAGAAAGGCGAGACTGTGCTTGTGCATGCCGCAGCCGGAGGAATGGGTCTTTTGCTCTGTCAGATCCTGAGGGACACGGGCGTCACGGTAATTGGAACAGCTGGAGGCCCGGAAAAATGCGCACTCGCGAAAGAAAACGGTGCCACGCATGTCATTGACTACAAGAAAACGGACGGACCGAGCTGGGTTGAGCAGGTCATGAAACTCACAGACGGAAAGGGCGTGGACTGCACGTACGATGGTGTAGGTAAGGACACGTACGAAGGTGACCTCGAGGTCGCTAAGAGGAAGAGTAAGGTCGTATACTTCGGAAACGGTAAGACCCTGACGAGCTCATGTCTAACTCAAGCCTGCAAACTGACAACGCCTACAGCAAGCGGAGCCATCCCGCCATTCAACGTTGCCAGACTGTCAGCAAAGAACGTTTCCATCATGCGCTCGACGCTGATGAATTATATCGTGACCCGCGAAGAGCTGGAATTTTATGCCAATGGCGTTCTTGATCTGATCAAGTCGGGCAAGCTGAAAATCAAGATCTATAAGATCTACCCTCTCAAGGATGCCGTGATGGCGCATAAAGATCTGGAAGGCCGGAGGACGACAGGAAAGCTGTTGTTAGAATGTTAGCCTAGTTTTTGATGGGCGGCCAAGAGGCTGAATAAAAGTACCCGACAATGAACACGAGGTTACCTGCTTACTTTTGTGTGCCTCTTCCCCAATCTTACCTATGGCATCCGGAGACATAAAGACACAAAGTACAAGGCATCGTGAAAGGCGAGCCAGATGACGACCTGGGGGAGTGTCCGAGACGGTGAGTACCGCTCCCAGAGAGTGATGAGTAACTTAGAGGGGTTTTAAGCTCGAGGCAGCCCATGGGTAAAGGAGGATGTTTGTTCTGTGACGATGACCACCGGTCATAGAATCTTCTTTCATTGCTAGTCTGTCAAGAGACTCTAGACCAGGCTGATCACAGTGTTGAAGAATCCAGTAGCAGTAGTGACCTTTCTCAACATGTCCAACCGGACTTTCGAGCCAAGTCGTTCGCATTGTTTGGCTTTTCCTTGCATGTAACCAACAGCTTCTTCCCAAGGTGTCTTCAATCCAACTGACAAGTCTTCATGCTTAATGTGCTAGTGCTCCGATTGACCATTTCATCCTCATCAAAGGCTCCAATCCTGATTTCCTGGCATGTGTTCTGTCCTTTCTCATCGAACCCACGAAGACCATAGAGACACGAAACGCCATTCCGCCAAACAGTGGTGACATGCACGGTTGAGAAGCGAGAAGATCCCATCACATGCTGAGTGAATACAGCTGGGTAATGCCGGTCTTGCCAGTTCAAGTCCGCCATGGCAGCATCGCACCTCGTCGTCGTTCTCCAGTATAGGGCGATTCGAAGCCGTAGATAGGTTGGTTCATCTGCGGCAGACTGTCAATTTCCCTTTGGCCCATGATGGACTTGAAGATGAGACGTACTCGGTACAGTATCCAGACTACATCTTGTGTAGTCACAGTCTATATAACCATAACCACGTCAGCCCAGTCGTCATGAACAAGAACCTGCAGGCAAGCTAGAGAGGAGAGGAGACGCACCTTGCGGCCAGGGTCTTGAACACATGCCTGAGCTCTCTCACGGTCGGAGCCGCCCAACAGTGCCACCAATTTGCGGAGTATCTGAGATGTGCGAGGTCAGACATTGGCTCGCAGGTCACAGGCTACATTGCAGTCTTCAGGGCTGAGCATGCTGAGCAATTTGCGACGTACCTCAGCAAGACGATCTCTGAGGACCTTTCTGGCTTCGTCGTAGATCTCTTTCTGAATTCTGAGGACACCGCCGCGACGAGCGAGACGTCTGTTCCGAAATCAGTGGTGTCAGCTCAGAGCGCCATAACCTGGAAGTTGATGCTAAGGGTGGCCGTACCGAATGGCCGGTCTAGCTGTAGAGAAGGCACAGTCAGCATTGGGTGTGGAATCTCAGGGAGCGGGCCGCAAAAGATGGTCTTGCACATACTGACACCTTGGATCGCATCGGCGTTCCTAGCTCTGAGCCGATGTCTCCGTGGGAGGGCAACACCAGGACGGGCCAGACCGTAAGATTTGACTGGTGTAGGAATGGGCATCTTGGAAACTATCGTGGGATGAAAGGAGCTTGTGTTTCTGGATAGCAAGGTTGATGTGTGTTTGGCTGAAGTTGTCGATGTGCGAGACGGTGGTGTGTTGGGAGGAGTGACAATGCGAGAGACGAAGGTGTGCTGGAAGATAGCGCTATGAGGTGAGTCGAGACTTGTCAAGAACGGATGTAGAAAGTGAGGTGAGGTGAGGTGAGGTGAGAACGTTTGTAACAAAGTATTTCACATGTCAGTCCGGCATGTGAGGGCTTTTTGAAGCCCAAGTGAAGAGATCTGATAAGACGTTGTAAGAGAGGGGAATCAGGGCTTAGGGCATTAGACATTAGAACTGCCAATATATCCAATCGTAGGTCATCCGACCGGCCAATTCTATGTAGGTCATTATACACATACGTGAGTTCGTCAGGATATGAAGGTGGCTTCACAGAACAGCTGGCCCTTTTCGGACACTTCTTGCTCGCCATCTTTCACTTTCAGTGTCAGTTGATCTTTCGAGGAGTACTATCTTGGTCAGCAACAGAAATCTACGCTTTTTGAACCTACTTACCTGGAAGATATGTGGCTTCAGGCCCGTCGCGCCTTGGATGAAGGACTTTACGAATCCGGGCAAATGAGCGAGAACCTCGATCCGATCGCTTTTCGGTGGGAGATCACCGTTGATTTCTCCAACCACAGTCTTGCCGTCATGCTGATCCTTCCATTCGAAAGAAACTGTTCTTGGTTCAGGCCAGTCATTCTCGGTTTCCGGCTTCGAAGTGACATGTTTGGCCTCACAAAGACCGGCAGTGACGAGTTCATCGTCTTTGGCGATACCGCCAACTGATACCACCGTCTTCCCATAAGACTGGGGTGTTGTGTATTCCATCAGGACAGCTGAGTAAGTTGGTGTTTGGAAATTGACAAAATTCCACCTGCATGCCAAATGGTGAGGCTTCATGCCTTGGAGAGCATACACATACATTCCTCTTCCCTTCATTTCGTATGTCTTTGAGGGTGTCTGCATGGTACCGGTGACGGAGCATCTAGGCCAGAAGGCATGTCGCATCGAACCCCAGGGTTCGGCGGGATCTGGTCCAAAGTAGGTTGTACCATCGTTGCCGACTTGAAATCCTGGGGCTTTCCTTGTGACGGTCAGATTGATAATGCAGTCTTCATTCCTGGCCGATTTGATCGTGTATGCATCACCGGCTTCGTTTAATTCCATGGCCATACTGTCGGCGTAGAAACTCGTCTGCGGTTCGTCGAAACCAAAGTTGTGTAACTGGTCTGAGCACCACTGGTGTTTGCCAGGGCCCTCATGGTCGAAGATCTTACTGTTGAATTGACAGGTAGTACGGATGCCACTATCTCCCAGTCAGCTTTGCGCAAGCGGTGTGTATGAAAAGATCTTACCCAACATTGCTGTAGATGACCTGAACCCAGGACGTCATCCCGTCGTCCGTAAAGAAATAAAAGGTCTCGGTCTCGACATTGGTATGGTCCAGGGCCTTCCATCGTAGGTCATCCTTGCTAAGGATGGAATATGGCTTTGTCTCTGCCTGTTTGGTGACAGGCCGTATGGCTGAAGGCCCATATTCGGGCTCTTCGGTACCGACGACGTTGGCCAATTGCTGCTTAAACCAATTCATATTGTTTAGGGGACTGCAATCGAAATCTAGGTAGGACGAGGCAAAGTGCAGGATGGTGTGTTTTTAAGGAAAGATAGGTTGATGAAACTGCGTCGCTGGAGAAATACAACAGGCACAAGACGTCACTTCAACGAATGAGATCGGTTCAGTGCCTTGTGGGCGCCTCTCGGCCATTTTTCCAGGGGCTTTAGGCACCTATTAGGCTGCCAATTTCTGCTGACTGAAGGCGGATCCGCCTGGGACGTGCAACAAGTGGGCTAAGTTAACCCTGATGACGCTAAACTTTTCACAGCTACTGGTCGCGTTTCTGCTTGTGAATGGATTTTCGACTTGTTCTGCCATCATCAACAACCTCGTCGACACAATCCATTTCTTGACCACCGTGGGCAGAAGTTACTGGTAACCGGCCACCTGGCAGACAACACCCCAGCTCAGGCGACCGCCCCCTGATAGCTTTCCTCTTCACTACTTCGAAGCCTGCCCGTCATGGCTAAAAAAATGCCTGCTCGCGACCAAGTTGTCAAACTGATAGTTGGCGCTGGTCAAGCAAGCCCTAGTCCGCCTGTCGGCCCAGCTCTGGGTAGTAAAGGCGTGAAGAGCATCGATTTCTGCAAGGTATGAAGGAGCTTCAATTGTGGTGGAGACTCAACTGGCTCACGTTTGTGAAGGAGTTCAATGCCCGCACTGCTCATATCACTCCTGGCGTTCCCATCCCAGCTCGAGTTACAGTCCGACCCGATCGCACATTCTCTTTCGATATAAGGACACCGATGACGTCCTGGCTGCTTCTTCAGGCCGCTGGGGTCAAGGAGTTCAAAGGCAAAATCAAAGGTGCAAATCAACCAGGCCGTGACAGCGTTGGTACAGTCACACTCAAACACATCTATGAGATTGCAAAAATCAAGAAGAGCGAACTAAGACTGTCCGGGCTCAGCCTAGAAGGTCTCTGCAAGAGTATCATCTGGCAATGCAAGTCGATTGGCGTCAATGTTGTGCCGTAACCGGGATGAACTGCAGCAAAGCTTGATGGCAACGCCTACAACCCGGCACGCCCATCTACAGACTGCTATCAGGAAAGTCAGTTCTTCATCCAAACGGGCGATCCGAACAGAGCTGGCACAGCACACCACTCAACCTGTTGGAGATGGACAGTGTGATGCCACCTCGGTCCCAGCCTCCAGCAGTGGCCGCGCGAGGAAAGCTACGAGAAGAGCCACTGGGCGAAATCCCAGCTGGCAATGGCCCAGCGACAGATGTGTACTGTAATCCAGTACCTGGATGCAGACAACTTTACCTCGGAGCCAAGGCTGATTGATCGACCTGCCCACTCCCCAATTGGATCACAATTTATACCAATTGGACTTGATCTACCAGGATGAGGACCATGAGGTTAACAGCACTCTTCTAACCGACTAGCACTCCTACCTTGACGATCCTCTAGAGTGTCAGTAGTCCGCTGCCGAGACAACACCGAGGATGCAGCTGGGCCGAAGCTCGGTGGATCAGCCATGTCGTACGAAATGAAGATCTAAATGCTGCGGTGCGATGGTAATATGTCATGGATGCCGAAGATTTCTTGGATTCAGAAGGCCCCCGCGGGGAGATAGAAGTTTTGACGAGGGGAGTGTATAGCCTCGAGGAGACTGGAGCATGTTAGATACTTTTGCCTAGACTGGCTTATGGCACATGTATATTAATCTACTATCCTCAACGCAATCACGAGCATTCCTAAATAGAGTACCGAGGCATGACAACCACTGACTCTTCGTGTCGGGAATACGAATAGAGAGATGACGTCTTGATCTCACGCCTGCAAAGTTTCAGGCAGACGAGGGAATATCTCGTAAGTCGGGCCAACAGTGGTTTGTCAGTTATCCAGCTATCCGGGGTAGCCGGGAGACAGGTGTACAAGAAACGCAGGGTGCTGTGATGGCAGGACTGTAGAGTTGCCGACCGGACAATAGGATATGAGGTGGTACGAGTAATGGCCTGGGAACATGGGTTACGACGATCGGTGTTGGGAGTCCGCAGAAATGACTTTTGAATAGACTGTTCGGTGTCTACGTAGGTCGGAGTATTATCATCTGAGAGAAGCGAGGCTCATGGCTTGATTAATCGGGGAGAAAGACAATCGGGTCAAAAGATGTTATGGCGGGGCAGCCACCGGAGAACATCCCACTCTCGTTGGCGTGCCATTTCTCCTACTGCAGTACCGCAGTTTTGCCCGTACTATTTATTACTCGTAGGAAAACGAGGGAAGGGGCATCACATCTTCATATGCCACCGTGAAAGACACTGCCATCCTGCTGTTTCACCACACTCCACAGGTCCGCTTCTATCTACATTCTCGTTTGCCTCGATGGACGTCTGTATATAATCTGGCATCATCTGTGAGCTATATTTCTCCACTGACCCGGCAAATGCTCGTGCGCTCCCGTATTAGCTCATCTGTTCCCGCTGCTCCTGTCGAGTTCGTAATTCTGGCTAACATGCGCTCTGCTTCAGATTCATCCGCTCTGTAATTCACTGCTGCGACCCAGAAACTCAATTAAGGCCGAATCAGCCCTCGTTCATGTCGTCGATCGCTGTCGACACCACCGCAAACCTTCCCGTATAGCAAAAACGCCGCCGAAATGACCTCCAAACTTTCAGCAATGTTTCTACCGGGTGATGACTCGAAGAAAGAATCAGGTACTTTAAAGCGGACCGCCTGCTCCACATCGCCAGCTGACCTGGAATATAGATTCAAATGCTGGGAGAGAACAAAATCGTGATAAAGAGGAGGATGTACAACCCAACGTTCGATTCGCTTCGCAAGATGAAGAAATAGATCCCCTAGACGGCTCGCAGCGTGATCCGCAGAAGGGAGTCATAACAGACGAAGAACTTGGACCAGAGGCGCACGAGCAGATTAGAAATTTGGCCATGTCTCTACAGAAGTCTCGATTGCAGGAAAATCGGATGGCTAATTTTGCTTACGAGCCGGTTTCAATGCCACCTTCACGGGTATGTCAACGTGCTCGGCCGCAGGAGACGGACTGACGCAGGTTTAGGTGCCATCAAGGGACAGCGATGTCCCTGGAACACCAAGAAGCTCGATACGACCGGGCCATGGCTCAATATCTTCAGCGTTTCAGTCACCACCTTTGACACCTCACGGCTCCAAAGATGGGAGAACCGACAGCGTTGGAGCAGGTAAAAGTCATCAAAAACAAGATGCGATCACACCACAAACCTCCCCTCCTCCCGAGTCTCAAGGCAGAGCGCTCTCTCAGACCACCTCACCTTCTCACCCCATCTCCAGACCAGCATCCGGCGAGAAACCTACCATTGGCCAGGAAAAGAGAGTGCCAAAGTTCGAGATCGGTCCATCTGAATCCGCGAGTCCGGTAGACCAGAGCCCTGTAGGAACCCCAAAGCTTCGACCTGCATCTCCCCAGCCAGCCTCTCCCCAGCCAGCTAAGGCCGAGGCAAAAGTCGAACCACGTCATTTCGGAAGCACAGGAAGACATTCGCTGGCACCGGCGATTGCGGCTGCAGCGGAGCGGATACCTCGGCCAGGAAGTAGTAGCGATCTCGCAGGCTCTGAAAAGCGGTCGTCAATATTCGGGGGAAAGAAAGACCCTTATTCGCATGTCAGTGAGAATAGTGAGAAGGGTGGGTTGGATGGAAAGAAGCATGGGTCCATGTCTGAACTAAAGCGATTTTTCAGGCTGGGTGGGCATGGCCACAAGCATAAGCATCAACAAGAGTCACCGGCAACCTCAGCTCCTGCATCGAGGAAATCGACATCGACGAAGTCAGGGACAAGAACCCCTCCTCACCAAGCACCTCCAGCCGCGGTCCCTTTCGCCGACGAACACAGTCTTGAGGCCAAGTACGGCAAGTTTGGCAAAGTCCTCGGATCCGGGGCTGGTGGTTCGGTCAGACTACTCAAGCGAAGCAGCGATGGTGTTACGTTCGCCGTCAAGCAATTTCGAGACAGGCATTCGTGGGAGAGTGAAAAGGACTACTCGAAGAAGGTCACCGCCGAGTTTTGTATTGGTTCAACGCTACACCATGGAAACATCATCGAGACCATGGACATCATCCAGGAAAACAACAGATGGTACGAAGTCATGGAGTATGCGCCCTATGACTTGTTCGCCATTGTCATGACTGGCAAAATGTCCCGGGAAGAGATCGCCTGTGCTTTTCTCCAGATTGTTAACGGTGTCAGCTATTTACACAGTATGGGGTTGGCACACCGCGATTTAAAGTTGGATAATGTGGTTGTGAGCGAACACGGCATCATGAAGTTGATCGACTTCGGCAGTGCAACAGTGTTCAGATATCCTTTTGAGAACGAGATTGTGCTTGCATCTGGTGAGTCTCAGTCCAGAAATGTGACGATGTGGTTCTAACATGGTTCAGGTATCGTCGGATCCGATCCTTACCTTGCTCCTGAGGTGTACGAAGAGAAGAAGTATGATCCAACTGCTACCGACATTTGGTCCTTGGCAATCATCTTTTGCTGCATGACATTGCGTAGATTCCCGTGGAAGCAACCTCGACTTGTCGACAACTCTTACAAGTTATTCGTCTCTCCACCAACGCCAGGAACGCCAGTTCCAGATTCCAAACCGAGAAAGAGCTCCACTTTGTCACCAGAGGAAGAAAACGGCTCACGACGTCCGTCAGAGGCAGCCAGCCACTCCCACCATCACCATCACTCAGAAAGTCCGGAAACCGATTCAAGGCCCACGACCTCGAGTGGAGACAAGCAAGAGGTGATCAAAGGTCCTTGGCGACTATTGCGCATTCTACCCAGGGAGAGCCGTCATATCATCGGTCGAATGCTCAAAGTCGATCCTGCTGAACGAGCAACCATGGACGAAGTTCTGGAGGATGATTGGGTGCTGAGCTCAAAAGTATGTTACCAGGAAGAGAACGGCGTGGTTCATCGCGCAGACAACCACACGCATGTCTTGGAGGCAGGATCTGGCGGGCCTCCACCGGCAAAGGTCTAGAAGAGCCATGATCGGAAGGAATTAGATGGACTTGTGGGTGACGTTCTCTGTTTCAATCACCGATTCGAGGCCCCAAAGTCTGTCACGGAATTCAGAACTCAGCACGGCTCGATGTTACGGCATTGCATGGGAGCTGAAATGGGATGCGTCAATGTTTGCACGATTCTTACGCAACTGTTTGTTGGAGAAAAGGGCGGGAATCTGTTCGAAGCTTTAAATTACATTTGTAGATACCAGTTGATTACGGCCAACAAATGATACAGCATTGTATCAGTATTCTGGGCTGCTATGAGTCTCCTATCTTCTATCGTAGTACTCATCACGCATTGAATTGGGCATGATGGCCTGTTCGGGGTAATTGACCCCGGTTCCACGTTGCACCCCAGTCTTCTAGAAGGCGGGCACGAGATTATCTGCGCATCCTCCACCCCTCGACTTGGTGCACTAGACGTTAGTAGGTCTGCCGATACTACTCTTCCGCCGTCTCGACAACCCTCCTTTATCGTTGCTCTGATATACACCGTTCAGGCGAAACAGATTCTTATGCATCCGACTACCATGGCAAGATAAGAACAGACAAGCTGCGTAATCACTTTGGTGGGATCTTGAGTGGTTTAGGAATCCCCTGCACATGGCCAGAAAGAAGCGTCAGAGGATCAGCTATGGTTCGTCCACCTCGGGAGTGGATATCATGCTTGCGCATGGCTGACAAGCTACAGTTCTGCCTCTGGCAAGCACACCTGGCGGACATAGGCTTGGTGTGAACGGACTAGACTTCGACGAAGACCGCTCCATATTGTACGCAACGCTCCCAAACGAGGGGTAGGCGCATATGCTGAAAATTGAGGCAGATACACTGGCGGGCGAGATGGCGCTGTATGCGCCTGGGATCTCGACCTTGAAGCGCAAAAAAAGAGCCGAGATTCGGATACGAGGAAAGAGAAGCAGAGCACTGTTACCTTTCGCAAGCAGGTGCAGGCACATACACACTGGGTCAACGACATTGTCCTGGTCAAAAACAACCTCGGGCTGGTATCGGCGTCGTCAGATGTGACGGTCAAGTTATGGCGACCCCATGGCCATGAGACTACCCAGGCATATACCATTGGGTCACATAGCGACTATATAAAATGCCTGGCCACTCCAGACAGAACGGCAAATTGGGTTGCATCAGGAGGCCTTGATCATAAGATCTGCCTGTGGGATCTGAACGGCGCCGGAAAGACCCTTGAAATCAACGTCAGCCAAGCAGAAGATGTCGTCAAGGGCTCTGTGTATGCCCTCCGTGCTCGAGGATCCCTGTTGGCAAGCGGAGGTCCCGAGAGTGTCGTGCGGTTATGGGATGTAAAGTCTGGCAAGAGTATCACCAAGCTAGTCGGGCATACCGACAATGTGCGAGACATTCTCATCAGCGACGACGGCGATACCCTGCTCACAGCATCCTCTGACCAAACAATCAAAGTCTGGTCCATTGCAGCTGGTCGATGCATACACACCCTGACCATGCACAACGACAGCGTCTGGTGTATGTACTCCAACGACCCTAACTTGGCCGTCTTCTACTCCGGTGACAAGTCTGGACTGGTCGCAAAGACGGATACGCGACGTGCCATGGAGATTGACGACAGTGTCTCAGTCGCAATATGTCATGAACATGATGGTATTTCCCGCCTAATACCTGCGGGTGACTCGGTCTGGACGGCCACCTCGAGCTCCAGCGTCAACCGTTGGCTTGATGTAGATACTGAGCTCGAGGTTGAGACACCACCGGTTTCGCCCCGTGAAGAGCGTCGTGCTAGTTTGAAGCACCCAGCGGTAGGGACCACTGAGAAGCCGATCACGAATGGAGTAAGTCACGATGCGAAGATCCCTCATAACGCAGTGCTGCTCGTCTCCAACACAGCTATCCATCCGGGAAGAAAACACCTGGGTAATTTTGCGGATGCTTCCGTGACAAACATCAGAAAGGCGTCTGAAGCCATGACCATGGATGATTTGAGCGTCGTGGTGCCTATCCGTGGGCAACCCGCCGAAACTATCGAGGGCCAGCATGGGCTAATCAAGCATGTCATGTTGAATGACCGGAAGAGGATTCTTACTCTCGATACAGCTGGGGAGGTGGTATTATGGGATCTTTTAAAGGTAGGTCGCCCCTTATATCCTTGTATTCATGGTTGACCGTGAGCAGTGCGTCCCGATCAAGTCCTTCGGGCGGCGTCATCTGGACGAAGTGGTGCCTGAAGTCAACACCACCGAAAGTGTCGCAAACTGGTGTGGTGTCGATACCAAAACGGGCAAAATCACAGTCATGCTGGAAGAGAACTACTGCTTCGATGCAGAAGTCTACGCAGACGAGCTTGATTTGGACAAAGACTTGGTTTTCCGTGAAGATCAGAGAAGTAAGCCAAACTCTCGGAAAGCTCGATGGGGCTCTCTGCTAATGTTCCTACAGTCAACCTCGGAAAATGGGTGCTACGAAATCTGTTCTCTAAACTCATCGACGAAGAAATCAAGCGCGACGAGGCACATAGAAGCACACTGCGAAATCCGACCACCAGCACAGGGCTTGTCCGTCCCGGCGCCCCAACCAGCATAGCCATGCCGGAATCGGCTGAAGCCACTCCTATGGTATCACCCGGCCAGATTCTAACACCACGCGCCTCGAATGGAAACGCTTTGGTCCCTCCGACGCCTAGCCTAGCAATCGGCGCTGCGACACCGGGCTTTGCACCACTGAGCATGACACTTCCCCCTACGGCCGAAGAAGATAGTGAGTGGACGACGAACGGCGTCTCTTCCCCCGCTGCGCCAACACCTTCTGCCGCGACAGAGTCGCAGACCGACTACTTTTCGTCAACAAACCGGTCCGAAGCATCGTCCGACCATGCAAAGCTCCCCGACACGCCTGGCGGACTCGACGCGCCACTGTCTACACCGACATCTCCCACGGAAGAGAGGAAGAAGGGGCTCTTTGGCAAAAAATTCCCCATGACGTTCCCGAAAAAGATGACGCGCACGTCGGTGGAGGTTAAGACCCCCCTTGCCCCCGAGGAGAAGTCCGACACGGCGAGTTACAAGTCTTCCGAGAAAGAGGACGTGACCTCCAAGGTTATTGAGGATAACTTCTATGGTGTGATCCAGAAAATCCGCCATGAGTACGAGGAGCACTTGGAACACAAACCTGACGTGCCTGTGCCTGTGGGGATCACCCCATCTTTGCCGATGGAGACGCCCGTGCTGCGGCCGCCGGAGCATACCACGATCATCATCCAGGAGGATGACCCGGCTAGTGGCGGGTTGGCGGACCAGTATAGCGGTGAGATTGGGGAGCTGGGAAGTGCAGAGCAGGTTGACGTCCTGGAGAAGATTGCGCCCATGTGGCTTGGAGAGGTTTTGCTCAAGGTACGTATGCGAGTCATGAGTCACCGTCGTGACGAGCCCTGTTTTCCCAGAGGGAGGGTAAGAGCTGAGCTGACTATCTTGGATATTGTAGAATCAACTCCCCTACAAGGAAACAGTCAAAGTGTCGTTCGTGCTGCATCCTTACGACAATCAATTGCCCAGTATCGCGTCGAACGACGGCAATGCAAGACTGAATGCGAATCGGATGCTCCGAGCGAAGAAGATCATGGCGTACGTCGCGGAACGGATCGAGGTGCAGATGTCGCCCATGACTGGTCAGGAGCATGGTCATGGTCATGATCATGAACACAAACATCGACATAGTCACAGCTACGATCTCTTTCATCGGCATGAACATGGACATGGACATGACCATGACCATCATGAGCAGAGTCACGTTCATGAGGAGGGCCGAGAGCAGCACATCGAGGGTAACAGCGAGAATCATCATGAGATGGTAGAGGCAGGAAAGGAAGACGAGCACGCGGAGAAGGAGAGGGAGAAGAATGCCGATGCTGATGCCGATGCCGATGCCCATGTTGATGCTGCAAAGGAGGAGGACCAGTTGAAGCCGGAGGAGTATCTCGAGCTGTACTGTCAAGGGCAGAAAGTTGATCCGAACACGACGCTGGCGACGCTGCGTGTGCATGTGTGGCGGACGGGAGGTGATGTCGTGCTGTTTTATAAAAGTAATGGGAAGAAGAAGTTGAGGTTGTCGCATCCCGCGGCGGTACCGAGTCGTGAGGAGAGTGAAGAGGCGACGGGGGTTAGTTAGATTACCTTTGGGTGCTTCCAGGTCGGTACCTAAGGTTGGTACCTAAGGATGGTAGTGAAAGTGTCGATGTCGAAGAGAGGATGCGTGGAGAAGCAGAGCCTAGGGGCTAGGGACCGATGGCATGGGAGAAGTGGAAGGTCTAAGAGTCAGAAGTGTGGTGTTCTGTCGAGCTCGACGTCGATGCGCGCGTAGTGGTCTCCGTACATAAGATAGTGTTGTATATCGGGTATAAAAGTATAGTGTAGTTATTTATACGGAGTACTTGCGTGTGGTCGGGAGTCACGTCGGAATAGTACTGATGGAATGGTATGCGATGTACTCCGTAGTGAGGTTAGATAAGTACTAGCAGATTTGTTCATGCCAGACAGGGATTACATATGTGAAAGAGTCGAATATCGTCAGTTCTGATGTGGGCAAGGCATTGGGATTTTCGAACTGGGAAGTTGGAGGACGCAATTTTTGTACTACTATACAACACGGTTTACAATGGTCTTTATCCCTCAATCATTCTGACGTCGCGACAGAAGAACTTAATAGACACGCCTTGGGAAAGTATGTCCCAACTGGATCAAGGGTGCCACGGCGATGTTGCAGAACTACCTTTGTCGCCGGGGTAGATTGGGATTACCATCTCGCAGTGATCAATCCCTTCACCCATTTCTGGTAGATGGTATGTTCTCTACGCCGGAAGGAGTATCGTCAAGAGTAGACCTCTAGCCGACTCGGCTCTTGTTCTGCGGAGATAGCACAAGGAGTCCTTCTTTGTGACCTGGTGCAAGATGCTGGTGCAGTAACGTCCCCGAAAATGGAAGCTTTGGAAAGTAATTGACCTTCACCAGCGCTACGAATGGAGGATGTCCTTGGCGTGTCTTGTCAATGGAGAATCGCAGCTGTCCAGGTCCGGAAATTTGCAAGATCGTCTCTGGTCAAGGCTGTTCCGAGGCCAGCTGATTCCATACATACTGATATGTCCCGAGAAAGATCGCACCACCAGTACTGATCCAGCCCACACGAGGCACAAAGCCTCGAAAGAGGCCGGAAAGCCCTTCAGCATGCCAGGTCTGTCGCAGGGCGGCGATAGGACCTGTCCTGGTTGATAAGCTCCCGGTCTCTTTCCGTGCAAGCATGATCCGAGTTTTCACCACATCTAGGGGTGTGGTTAGGCCTGCAGCTATGGCTCCAGCAACGCTTCCAAAGACTGCACTTTCGCTGGCAGTCACCAGTCCTTCCTGACGACCAGTTAATGTGTGCTGTCGATCTGAGTATGAAGCTTTAAAGTATTCCCACAGACTGAATTGGACGATCGTGAAGGGTATCTCGCGCATGATGGTGATCCCTCCGCCTCTGTAGAGCTCTCGCACCATGGTTGGAACGCCGTCAGTGTGCCGCAAAGCGAGGATATCTTGGAATGCGAGCAACGAAGATCCGCCGAACAGTCCTGCTTGCGCTCGTTGCTTGACAACCTCGGTGGGCACTCTGATTGCGCACGCTGCAATTTCTCCCAATGATGACGCCAGCATGTGTGTGTATGCCTGTGTCGAGGAAGGCTGAGTCGGGTCCGTCAATCCTCGCTTGACGCCGTCGTAGACCAGGAAGAAGAAAGCGGCCGAGGGCATGGAGCCGAGCATGGCAGAGGGCAGGCCCGCGTACATGCTGCGAAGAGTGCCGGCGAAGGTGTGCCGTGGTAGAGTCGAGGCATGGTGATTGCTCAGATTGGACTGTAGTCGGGTCTTGATCGTGTCAATCGGATACAGAGAGGTGTCAACCGTGAGGCCGGCTAGAGCGCCCGCCTATGAAGAAGTCGTCAGAATGCGGTGGGGAGGAGGCACAAGTCGGGGAGGAGGTGACCAACGATGAGGGATCGCGTCCAGAGAGAGGCCACGACGGGCGTCGGGGCTTCGCGCAGGACTACATCTTGCTCTGTCATACCTGGGCTGTCGGTTGCGGTATGAGGCGAAGAGGACCTTTCATCTACTCGTACGAGATTCGAGTGTGTCGACTTCCATTACAAGGTAACTTGCATTGACGTGGAGGAAAAAAGGCCATGTTCAAATGACATCAGCGACAGCGGTGGGAATATGGAATATTTCTTGCCGCTCTATCGACCCAGCCTCGCCAGGAGTCGACAGTGATATTGCTTTATCATTTTGCGGGAACCCGTCTGATCTGGTGGCTTTACTACAAGTGAAATGCTTTATGAATTAGCACTTGAGGGCCCTGCTCGACGGACAGCTAACAATGTTCTCCGGAGCTAGATTATGGACGTGACTCGCCACCACCATTCCGAATTTCTTCAAACCCGTCTCGACGCATGAAGCAGTCCTTCCCTGTGCATCGTACATTGTTGTGGGATCAACCGTCAATAGACTTTGACATGTCCGAGTTCGCGTGTTTGAGCAAGAAGCCTCCGTCACCTTTGGTCAGAAGGTTCTGAATCCATTCAACTCCGTACGTCCACCAGCCATGCCGGTCAGGCTTTGCCAATTTTAGACTCTCGAGATCCAAACTTCCAACTGTAACGTCAACGATCGCCTCAGGAGTTCCGATCCGCTGATGGGATACATATGTTAAGGTGGTCCCGCATCTCGAGCAGAAGGTCCTGGTTGCTCGATCAGAGGCATTGAAGCGTGTCACAAAGGTTGATGGGCTATTGCCACTGGGAGGACCGACGGCTTCAATGGTTGATAAATGAAAAGTCTCGCCTGATGACTCTCTGGACAGGATATCCCATTCAAACCATCCTACAGGACAAATGAACCAACACTGTACCATGGCACCGGATGTCTTCCGACAATTGTTACAGTGGTCAATGTCGATGATGGGAATCCGGGTCTGAACCGTTTCGGTGGCTGAGATGGGAGTGTCGAGAGCCCCAGGGACAGGAGGCCTGTTTTCCCACGACGGTACTTTGATCGTGTAGCGAATGGCTTCGCAATAACAGCCGCCTGTTAGCGTTACTGCTTCCTTGGGAAGAAAAGACATCGTGATCAGACTGATGAATGGTCTTCGGTGCAAGGGTACAACCACAAGGCTCCAGATGTTGGGCCAGAGACGCTTCGCTCAATTGAAATATGTCCAGTTGGCTGTGGTTAGCTAGGTCACGAAGAGGAGAAAGGGTTGGGTATTTGGAGCAAGAATATGCGGACAGTCCAATGTTCCATAGACATGTAGAGGGGCAGTGACCACCTTTGCCAGACTCTGGGAGTGCTCGGTTGGCGTATGATGATGAGGCAGGAGGTGAAATATGTACCAGCAGTTAGGGGTTGTTCCTCCATCATGCCATCTAAGTTAATGTGCTCTACCAGACTAGGGGTGCTAGGGTACGGCTGCTGTTAGAGGCGAGAGCAGATTCATTTAGGGGTGATGAATAGTCATGGCTCTAGGCCTAGTGTAGCCGGTGCCCGCCATAGTAGGCGCTGGCTGAAACCCCGCCAAACAAGCGCGAGTCGTTGTCGTGCCAACGAAGACTTGCGGGCGAAAAATAGAGCGAGGCCTATTCAGACGCGTCGTTTATTGCAAGGCTAGCAATGAACGAACTCAAGGTAAAGTCATCATATCCAATCACCTCCAACATGCTTAGAGACAGCATCGCTTCGTTGTATGCTATACCAACATTATTCGTTTGAGCACTGATCTTGCTCAACGCGCAACTCACGTCGAAACACGATCACAACGAAGCCATGGAGCCATGGCTAGACTCCCTCTCAGAGGACTGGAAGTCTGAACAACAATCTTCGTCTCCTGCACCGTCTCTTTCGAGCAGCCGGCAAGATGGCAGCGTCGCTCTCTCGCGGTCCCAAAGCCGAATACCACACCTTGCGAAGAACATGCGCAAAGAATCAACAGCTGGCAGTTTCCTGCGACACAGATCACAACGAAGTCAAACACGCGCCACTGGCGAACCTATCTTGCATGAACGGAGCGCATCCAGTCTCAATCTGCCACCAGCAGTTGGGTCGAACAAATACACAAATCTGCCACGTCGTCCATCTAGCGCGTTCTCTGAATCACAAAACTCCGTTCAACATTATACCATTAACGAGAAGCCAGCTTCTGCAGAGACGCCTGACTGGAAAAGGAGGTTGGCTAATGGAGAAGATGTAGCGAATGACGGTTTCGATTTGTTTTCGCCATCCAAATTGGAGGGTATATTCAAGCAGCCTACATCCTCCCAACTCCTTAGCGACAACGATGCGGCCCAGAACGATGACGATACCAAACCTCGAAGACCTTTCAATCTCCCCATTTCGAACGTCTTCCCAGAGCAGTATAGCAGCGTTCGAGGAACAAGAAGTCGGCTCAATCTTGCGGTCTTGGAGGAGATAAATGAGGAAGAAGAGTCAGAACAACACAATCAGGCGCACGTACCCCCAGATGTTGCTAGATCAGGCTCGAGTAGAGGCTTGTTCAAACAGCGCGTCGAATTTCTCGAGCAGGCTCGCGAAAACGGTTCTGAGCCATCGTCACCAAGAGATGAGAGCATGAGCCACCATAGTCACAATGCCCGAGATTCACGCTGGAGAACAGTAAGTGGACAGGAAGAGTTGAGGAACGAGTTTATCAGTCCGGTCACCATGTCGAAGCAAAATTCCATCCGGGCGACAGTCCTGCAACATTCTGTTGATGTCGATATTCAAGCCCTTGACGCCAAACTCATGGAAGCTGTTGGAGATCTAGAGCGTCCTTTGTCCAGCGCAAGCGACAGAGATGTCAGCTACGGCGGCAGCAATGCCACCAGACGAGCTCCGATTGACGAACCCTTGCCAGATTTGACATGTCAGTCTCTACCAGACGACCTATCAATGGGCACACAGGATTTCGTGGCTCATGGAGGCTTTATCAACTCTCGACGCGGAGGACGGTCGAACGACAATTCCTTTCTTCGAAAAAGCCTTAGCTTATCCCATGAGCCCTCCAAACTCGAGGTATACTCCCGCGATTCTCTAGCATTCCACAGTTCACCTCCTCAACATTCCCGATTATGGGACGACAGCGTTGATAACAGCAAGATCAGCGCCAGTGCTCCGGCAACACCACCGGATACAAGCGTTGTCCACTATCCCCAAAACCATATCAGACCAACATCGTCTGGTAGTCCGTTGAAGCTCTTTGGGAATCGAGACACATACACAAATAACAAGCTCATGCGGATATTGAGTCACTTCGAGCCTGATGAGTCGCATGAAAGTTCCGAAAATGATATCTCGCCCGACGAGCAGCAAGATAATGTCTTTCGAATGAGTCAATTTGGCCAGGGCGAGCTGGACGGGTTTGGGTTCGAGCAGGCTGTACGTCGACCTTCACCCATTGCAATGGCATCTGTTGGATCGGATGACAAAATATTCAAGCCTAATACTGCCATCAACACTCAAGAAAAGCAAATCGATCAGAGTCTGGACTACGCCACGAATGCAAACAATGCTCAGGAGAGAGACAGGTTGACAAAGCGCCGTAAAACTCTTCTAAAGGACCAAGTGACCATCAACGAGGTTGAGATGGAAGTCAAGATCAGTACCCTCGAGGAGATCGCGACGTTGGCGGGAAAGAAGCGCACTGATGCTAGACCTGGTAGTGATCCTACAGAAGCAGAACCTGAAGTCCTGGCATCACGAAATCTTCTGAAGCCCAAATCAGCCCGGAAATCTTCCGGGAGCAAAATACCAACCACAGGTGGCTCCGAAACTGGCGACGAAGAAGCAGACCTTGAGCAATTGAATCACGACCTTACAGAAGCTTTGGCAGCGGAATTGGCGACCTTTACTCATGAAGCTGTCAAGGTCAATGAAGATTCTCGAAAAGCGTCTCTTGCTACCAAGGACTATATGGAGGAAGCTAATAAAGTCATGCAATTCATTCGTGCTCGTGGTAAGCCGAAGCCCGTTTTGAAAGATATCAGTGAACCTGGGAACGTGTCTGAGCTCAATCCTGATGCAATTCTTGATCTTGAACTAGAGGCAGAGTCTACGAAAGACGACTTCTCCCGACCACCATCCCGAGAACGTTCGTCCAAACCTTCTCCAGACCGTCGACATGCCAGGCACGATTCGAGGACGGCGAGCTATCTGAAAAAATATGAGGATCAAGACGACCTGGACGTCCTTGCTAACACTTCCATCATCGGCACCTGGGCTCCCGTGGACAACAATCTGGCTGCCGAAGCCGCCAAAGTTCCCGTCCCGGACGAGATACAGGAGAGCGATCCACCGAACATCCGAATTCTGAATCACTCTGAAACACTGAGAAAGCGCAAACACTCTACTTCTACCATTGAGGGGCCTCACTCAGCCCAGAATTCCATGCAGAACAGCTTTCCCACAAGTTCATCCACGACCTCTGGGCAGAAGGGTGTTATAACATGCGGCACCGTGTCAATACCTGATAAGGTGGGAGTCATGACGTTCGACCACGAAAAGAACATCTGGGTCAGAAAGATACAGGAGAGCCAGAGCCCAAAGCCGCTAAGCCATGAGGGCGTAACAGAAGATGACCCGTTTGAGAACATACCTGATCTGAGCATTGATGAGCAACAAGAAATGAAGGCCAGATACAGGCAGATACAAAATGCCTCTAAACAGCCAGAGTTGGCCAATGCGCCCACTGAGAAAGCTCCCAAGCGAACAGAACTGCCAGCACGACGGCCTTTGGGAGAATTAGACCCCGAAGAAGTGATGAAGCGGGATCACCTCTCCGCCGACACTCATGGCAAAGGTGATGAGGAGATTAAGCACTGTTCTTTGCGCTCAAAAGCCTCCGAGCACGAAGCTAAAGTACAAAGTGGTATGCCATCTAAGCCTCCAGCTCAGCTGAAAGAAGACCGCAAACAGGCGCGAGTGGTCACAATCGCTTTTTCGTCGCCAGTAGTGTCTGGAGTCAACTACGCGAATATGTCCGATGAGGATTTCGACGCTCTTCCAAGGGAAGAAGATCTACCTCTTGATGAATCATACGTAGATCTCGACGATCTAAGCTTTGACGAGAACGCCTTGGACTCATTGAAAAAGAAGAGAGATGCCGTGACAGTCGACAGACCGCATGCTTTGACTTTCCAACCTCGAACTATTTCTCCGATCGAAGAACAAGATGAGGAACAGAATGTTGCACACATGAGTGTTGTTCGCCCGAATCGCTCGAATGAATTGACTCCAGCTCCGCCACGAACTATTACAAAGCTTCAAAATAGCGGACCCAAAGTTGCAAGTATTTTGTGCTTGACACCGCTCTCGGACTTTTCTGTCCATCAAATCGACAAGGCAAGGGATCCAGAACAAAGCTATGTCGAGGACAGAAAGCATCCGAATGCCCTGCGCCAGGCCCACGGTTCCCTTGCTTTGGCTGTCGATCAACTTGTGAAAGCAATCACAGATGCAGTTCAAGAAGAACTATTTTGGGAAGAGCTTCGCCGTCTCACACTCGGTGCAGGCAAGGTCTCCTCCATACACGCACTGAAGGAGTACTGTCCCGTACTGGAAGAGCTGTCGGTTTCAGGAAATAGTCTGCGGCAGCTCGAGGGCTTGCCATCGACTTTGCGTGTGCTTGATATTCATGACAACATGCTGAATGACATGACCTCATGGGTTCACTTGCAGAATCTCCAGTATTTAGATGTCTCAGGAAACGAGCTCGAAAGTCTAGAATGCTTCAGTTCTTTGGTGCATCTCCGCAGCTTGAAAGCGAACAACAATCGCATCACTAACATTGATGGAGTTCTGGATCTTGACGGTCTGCTGGATCTTCAGCTCAGCGGCAACGAGCTTATGACTGTCGACCTCGAAAGCGCCGAGCTTAGTCGTCTAAGGAGCTTGGACTTGAGCAATAACCAACTCTCCGAAGTGAAGAATCTTGCTTCCCTTCCGGCGCTCGAAGAATTGGACCTCTCAGGGAATGCACTCGAACAATTTCAAACAGACGGCGATCTTGCTTTGATAGAGCTTCGACTTGCCCACAACGGACTAGCAGTGATTGAACTGAAGCATATGCCAATGCTCAAATATTTGGACCTCGACAACAACAGAATCAAAGATGTCCAAGGTCTGTCATCGGCTTACAACCTGGCATTCTTGTCCCTGAGGGAACAATCGGAGCCTTCGCAGATCGTGGACCTCGTCCTGTCCACCTCCAACGAGTGCCGTACGATCCGTCTTTCATCCAACCCAGTCGCCAACGGTACTTTGAAGTTGCCATTATTACCGCAGAATAACCTGCGTGAGTTAGAGATCGCTGCTTGTGGTATCGCAGAGCTTCCGGAAGGCTTTGGCGCTTCCTTCCCAAATTGCCGATATTTGAACGTCAACTTCAATGCGATCAAGGACATAGCGCCTCTCAGAAGAATGGTACACTTGAAGCATCTTCTTCTGGCGAAGAACCGGGTCAAAAAACTGAGGCGGACATGCTTAGTACTGTCACGACTAGGATCATTGGAGCAAGTCGACCTTCGGGATAATCCGCTGACGGTCGGGTTTTACAGCCCCGTGGCCGCCAACATCGACGGCAAGCAGGCTTTGCCTGAGGCACGATATCATCTGCCTGGAGTTTTGCCAGATGAGGATGTTGGATGGTTAAAACTGATGGATGAAGTGACTGGATTGAAACGACGTACCATTGAACTGCTGCTCGCTGACCACTGCAAGAAGCTGGTTCAACTTGACGGGCTGGCTTTCTCTCATGAACGGCTGAACCAAAAGGACGATACATGGACCAGATTGACCGACCAGAAGGTGTTGATGAGGCCAGCGATCTTGCCGCCGACGAGCGCTGCAGAGAAGCTTGCGCATGAAACAACATGCTCGCTGAATGAGGTTACGAAGGAGCAGGAAACTTCGATGATTATGGATTGTGAAATTTTGGATGGATGAGATGATGTACCATATTGCAATTGACGTTTGAACTGGTTTTGGGTGCCTACAAAAGTTCCGGGTTGGTCGATGAGAAAATGGCAATGATGGGCTCGGGTTGATTGGGATGAAGGTCAATGACTCGTATTGATATGTTGTGATGAGACGAATGGAAGTATTCATTCCAAGTGCAGTCGGCCACGATGTGTCCTTCGAGCCTGCCAAACCCTCTCCGATATTCCAAGACGAACCAGCCACAGCCTCGAACGTGGTGGCCATGCTGAGGCATCTACTATTATTACCAGGTGAGAGAGGCTGTGCTTTGTCTTGGCACATTCCATTGTTGTTCGCCCCCCTGATTTTTGCAGCCTCGTTGATTACCAGCGGGTGTATGCACAGACCGCATTCTTCAAAACGTCCAGAAAAAGGACCCTGGCACGCCTGGCCACTCGCCAGCCTTGCCATACCATCAAGAGGCTATTTCTATTTACTGCCAGGTACAGATGACGACAGGACATAAATAGAGGTTTGTCACTTGTCGACTTCAAGATTTCAATGCCATCAGACCAGACTAGACCAGGCCACGCCCATCGAGTCTATCGTTCTCCATCACAACCTCTACGAAACTATGATTGATCTGTGCTATCTTTTCTTCGTTTTTGCAGCCTATTATACCAATGCTTCTCCGATCGCCCTTCCACAAGCAGTCACAGCCCTGATATCACCTTCAGCACCGTCGCAGCCGGGTTGCACAGGAAGCTATCCTGGCGTTTTCGGTATTGCAGTCATGAACATATCGACTTCGACGCCTGAGACCACCAGCGCGACACTACCGAGGAGAAGACAGGAATCCGAGTAAGATACTATACTCTGTATACCAGCCTTGAGAAAAAATCAAGAGTTTCTGGAAAGTCCGTTACCGATTTGACACTGACAAAAAATTTACAGATCTCGTCCCGCACCGATCTTCACGATGGCCGCCGTTTCTCAGATTGGAGACGGCCAGGTGCAAGGAGGGATGCACACGTTGACTATGGCGCCTGTGTCGCAGATCGAGGATGGCCAGATTCAGAATTCGGCGGCCGCTTTCGCGGCCGGCTACTCTGGACAACAGTCTGCTGCCTGCGCTACCGCTACGGCTACGTCAACGGCATCAAGTACAAGTATGATCGGCGACAAGCCGCCGACTGTCCTCGAGCAGGCATGTGGCATATCAGTGCGGCCCACGGCCAGCCCAGTCATGCTGCTCCCGCCTTCTGGTGGTGACGCTGCTTCTGCTTCTGCTTCCGCCGCCGTTCCGTCTACTACTACCTCGGTCAACATATCTACGTCGAGCAGCCGCACGAGCATATCTACATCATCCCCGACAAGTACGGCCGAGAGTGCGCCATCATCACCACCGAGACCGTTGACGCTGGTCTCGTGCTTGACGAATTCGACGCTACGCTTGAGTCTAAACGACGGCGTTCTTGTCGACGGGAAAAATCGCACGGGGTATATCGCATCGAATCTCCAGTTCCAATTCGACGGGCCGCCACAGTCTGGCGCGATATACACGGCGGGCTGGAGCGTGTGTCCTGTTGATGCTGGCGATGGAGGGCAAGGGCAGATGTCGCTCGCGCTTGGAGGGAATACGACGTTTTATCAATGTCTTAGCGGGAAGTTTTATAATTTGTACACGGAAAACTGGGCGGCGCAGTGTAGTCCGGTGCAATTACGGGTTGTTCGGTTGGTGGATTGTTAATGGATGACTTCTTGTGAACCAAGCATTGTGGTGTGTGAACATTACGCATGACCAAGGTAACCCGAGAGTGTGGAGATGTTATACGTATCTACGTACCTGGGTAGCTAGGGATTACCATTTTCCCCAGATCGGAACGTTCCACGACGTAACTTACGGGGTCTGATGGGGCGGGGTGGCTGTGAGCGTCCATAACATGGACTCTACGGACTCAACGGTCTTTCCCCGACCCACTCGGGTTGGCCAGTGCTATGGGAAGACTAGGTTATCACCCATGTACTTCTGTCGTCGAGAACTGCGGCGGTGGAGAACAAGAGCAGCAGACCGTGTCGTTTGTGGAGATGAAAATGCCGTACATAGTACGTCCAACCTAGCAAGCCCGGGGCCGTAAACGAGAATCAGGGACTGGCGGGCATGGGTTCGGGTATAAAAAGCGAATCGAGTCTCCTGGCCCTGGGTTACTTGCTCTCAGCAACGTCCAATACCTAGGTGCCTGAGTGTTGATTCGCGTACTAGCTGGCTGTCGACCCCTTTATCCTTTTCCCTTCCACGAGCAAGACCTGAAGGAAGTTTCTCCAGACAGGATGGCTTCGAGATATCTGATCAAGGGCGGGCGTGTCCTCCTTTTCGACCATGACAAGAAATCCTCCTTTCCTCAACTAGACATCCTGGTCGAAGGCCAACGCATCACCAAGATCGGCCCAAATCTATCTCTGGACAACCTCCAATCTGTCGAAGTGGTGGACGCCTCTGACCACATCGTCACGCCAGGTTTCATCGACGGCCATCGCCACGTCTTTCAATCCCAGCTTCGCTCTACAGTCGGCAACCACACATTGCTCGAGTACTGCGCACACCTCCTCCAAGGACGGATGGTCTTCCTTGACGCGCAGGACATGTACCTCTCGCAACTCTCTGGCTGTGCCGAGGCGATCTATTCGGGAGTGACCACAGTCATGGACCACTCTCACGCCGTGACAACACTTAACCGTGCACGTCAATGCATCAAAGCCACCCTCGAGTCCGGGATCAGGAGCGTGTATTGCGCCGCGCCATTCGCCATCCCCGTGTCTCTCAACCCACTGACTCTGCCTGATATGTCCGTACAGCACGCCAAGCAGATCGATATGATCAAGCAGCTGGCCACAGAGCGTCCCCTGGGCGGCCCTGCCAACGATGGCCGGGTCAAGCTGGGCCTGGGCTTCGACATGATGCACCATATCCCGCAGGAGATTAGTCGCGAAATCTTGACCTTCGCGAAGAAGAACAATATTCCTACGACGATGCACGACGTGCCGCGATACAATTTGCCTGCGCTGACTTACTTGAGGGACAACGATATGCCACTCCCCAAAGTCACGCTCTCACATACCTGTGATCCTGGCGCCGAAGAGATCAGATGGGTCAAACAGCACGACATCGGAATCGTGTGCACGCCAGAGTCTGAAATGGCAATGTCCCATGGCCACCCATCTGGCCTCGACTTTCACCAGTCCGACTGTCGTGCCGGGCTGGGCGTCGACTCGCCCGCTATATGTTCTGGCGATCCGTTCTTCACGATGCGTCTTGCTCTGCAGGAGAAGCGACTCCGCGAGAATGCGAAATACCATGCGCGCGGGAAATTACCTGACCTCGTCCCTGCGAAGACTGATGAAGTGTTGTACATGGCCACGTTGGGCGGCGCAGCGGCCATACACATGGAATCGGAAATCGGAAGTCTGGAGGCAGGCAAATTCGCCGACGTAGTGCTCATCAGGACGGATACCCCGAGTATGATTTCGGCTGTGGATTATTCTGCGGCCCTCGTAACGCATTGCATGGCAAGCGACGTGAGGTCGGTCATGATCAACGGGGAGTGGGTGAAGAGGAATGGCAGGTTGTTGAGCGTCAACTGGGATGAGCTGAAGGGGCAATTGCAGGAAAACAGGGCTGTTCTGGAGAAAAGATGGGAAGGAGTCGATTGGGAGGAGAATAAGTCGGACTTGAAGGATCTGTGGCATATTAGGTGCGTGATGGAATAGATCAGTATACGTTTTTGAAATGCTCAGCATGGTGTTGAAGATTTCTCTGACCCATGCCACCCTTGCATGAACTGTTGCGACTGTCGTGGTCCAACATCGCCTAAACGAAAGAGCGTCCAACGCTGGTGTATAGATGCCGGAGTCGTTGTCGTCTAGATTGTAACCGACGATTCTTAAAGCTGCAGTCAAACGGATTTGGAAATGGATAAAAGCCAATGGAAGAGACAATCAACAACAGACACGGGCATCAAAAGGGTTATCTTCTCGAAAGGATTACTCATCATGGCCCCGGCGATGACAGTGATGGTCTGTTTCAATTCGCATCAGGAGCATCAATGGCTGCACCAGGCTACAGCTTTGCCCCAGAAGGTACTGGTCCTCCCGGCACCCTGGACACCTTTTGCCTGTTGCGATTTCTCGCGTGGACGACCCCGTGTCGCTCACCAGGCTCCCACTGCTGAGACTGCCTCCCACGCCTCCCCATGATGCCCACATCAGGAAATCACCACCGAAATCCGTCTTGGTCAATCTAAACCGTACGCACCGCCATCACTGGTCTCTTAGCGAAAGCGCGCTGTCGAGCAAAGTCGCGACGAGACCGCCATTGTGACTCTCTTATCGAGTCATCCAAGTCTCCATCCGGGAATGCTGATAGCGACTGGAACCCGACAACATCTCACCTCAAGGAGCATCCAAACCCTGTCCGGAAGCCGGAACTACTCATGATGAAGTGAGGCTCTACGTTAGAGATCCGCGTCTGACGCTTCAACTTCCTTCTGTCAAATCATACAATCACAATGGTGAAGCTGTTTTTCGTCCAAACCTCTCCGGCCACTCACTCGCGAAAGGACAATGCGGCGCAAGAAGCTGAGATAAGGTCGCATGCTGCAATCGTCGGCCACCACAGAAAGGCGCGTCGCAGACCGCCCAATTCCGAGACGTCATCTGTCAAGTCAGCACCTTCGCCGGCATCCATTTTCGATACGGCGTCCATCAAGACAGCTCTTTCGCCAGCGTCCAGCATCACATTCGCATCGCCATCATCGATTTCTCATGGCGATGCCGAAGATGAACCCCCAGACTGCTCTCGAGACTCCAAATACCCACCAGCGCGAACCCTGACTTCGAAGTCCCCAGCCCTAGATGCTGGCCCTTACTTCCGTGGCACAAGGACTGATCCTTTCAATTGCATAGCGACAGAACATCCTCATCTTCTTGCAGCTTCTGTCGATTATTGTATGTTCCTCCCATGTATCTCCCTCCTTCACCCGACTAATAACGTGACAGTCTCCGGCGTCACAGTTCCCGCTCACTCTGCTGTTTACGAGCTCTTCAATATCACCAATATCTACAATGGATATTGGTTCGAATTGATGTCAGATCCTGACTTCGCTTACACAGGAGTCTGCCTCACTCTGAGGGTCAGGGAGTTATCTTGCGACTCAAATGCTAAGCCGTCAGAAGAAGTCTTGACCGCTTTGGGCGTCGCCTTGTCACGAATACGCAAGCGACTGGCCAAGTCCGACAGTGCCGGTGATGATATCTCCATTACAGCCGTATCCTTCATGGCTGCTATTGCGGTTAGACACCCCCTCTCTCTAAGGCCTGTCTAGTCACGAAGCTAACGCCGAGCATAGAAAGCAATTGGGGATGGGCAGTCTCATCAAAAGCACAAGCAGGCTCTCAAATGCATGGTTAAAGCATGTGGTGGACTTGACAAGCTCGGTCACGGGGGCATGGACAAATGCCTACTATTGCAGTAAGACATCAAAGTGGTGTGCTGGTTATCAAAGAACTGACCATTATCGCAGACGAGAAGGATTCTGGTCCATAGCAGAAGGCAGCACTATTTTCGCCGACGAACGTCAAGAAGTCGTATCCATCTATCCCGAGTTGCCTCTTTCGGGCGACAACCTTGAGATGGCCAGATCCCTTCCAACTGGATTCCAGGCCCTTGCCCACCTTGGCAAATTGTCCATTCAAGTCTTGGAAGTACTGACCCGGACTCAGAAGGCTCAAATGAAAAGGAAAGCGGCATCGGTGGCTCGATCGCCCGACCTCTTCAAGACGCAGAAGCGGCGCTATTCGGATTTCCAGGAAGCTTGCCCGTGTTTAAGTGAGCCGGATGTAGATGGTGCCAGCATGGAAAGACTCCTGGTTCTTGCGCTCATCATACACTGCAGCAGCAACTTTACTCCAACCCGCAGCAATACCGTGCTGTATGATACCTGTCGGAAAAGACTCCAATGTGACATATGGACTGCGAAACCGGATAGTGCAGCTGAGGCAACCTGTCTGATTTGGGTTGCAGCCATGCTCGTGTGGTCCTGGACGACAACAAGCAACAAGTTGACTGCAGAGGGTATATTGTGTATCAAAAAGCTCAAGGCCTCCATCATGTATGGTCTGACGTGGACAGACCTTGAGATTGTCCTATACAGGTTCTTCTGGTCGGAGAAGATGTCGGCTTGTCTCGAGATGCATTACGATTCACTGGACCCAGGATGAGACCAGGCTGGCGAACCACGCAAAATCGCTACTCAACGACAGGTTGCACAATCTCTTCTACAAAGTCTCGGAGCGATCGGAAGAATCGTTTCATCGGAGTAAGATTCGAGAGCCTCAATCCATCAATGCGGTAAAGCACTGCTTTGGCCAGCCTCAATAGGCGGCCAAGCTCTATATTCATGCAAGAAAGGCCTGAACCATGCCACGAAGCTGCTTCTGTTGGTCTGACGACATAAGATCATGAAATGAATGTGGTCAACTCCCGGTCTACCAATCGATCGGCCATCATGCTGTGCAATGGGTGCTTTTGGCAGGACAACACAAATCACACCCGAGCCTTATGCTACTTCACAGCGCCGATTTGCCTGACAACCACAGTTGGCCAGGTGGATGAATGCAGTATCACTACTTTGGACTCCGTCTGGATCTTTATAGTCGCACAAGAGCGACTGTGTGGCCATTGGAGCCGGAACGACTACACGGCCGAGAAGTCAAATATCTTCAACTTGACCTCGTCATGACATTTTGTGTCCTGGGGAGCTGATATGAACAATTTTCGATGCAGGATCTGGCAATATGGCGCCCCACACAGACATGTACATAGCTTTGTCATATATCCAAGCATGATTCTGCAATGAAATGGTATCCGCCTGTCCAAATTACAAGACAAACCGTCCTCAAAGGCTTCCCGTCCTCAAGCTGTGGCAGCCCACTGGGTCCTGAAGTTATTCAAGCCCGCCATGAGGCCGAAGAAGCCCACAAGACCCGTATTGAACCCCTTGATCCCGACCGGGTACAGACTGTAATGCACGGCCACGGGCAACCAATAGGTCGCGACCATAAACTCATTCCACCACTTCCGCTCGAAAGACTCCTTCTCCTGAGCGCTCCTGGGAGGGCTCTCCTTCTCGATCTGGGCCTCGCGCCAGAGACGCAGAAAGTCCGTAGCCACACCGACCAACCAGGCCCGACAACTCCACGCGACCCACTTGTTGATGCCGCCGCGCTTTTCGATCAGCGTCATGGGCACGACGCCCTTGCCCGCGAGGTGGTAGATGTTCTCGAGCAGTTGGAACGCGATGTAGCCCGAGCATTGGAGCAGGGCGACGCGGCGCAGGGACGGGTCCATTTCGGCCGCGGCCTTGCGCGACGTAAGACTCTTGAGCCAGATGTACAACGGGATCAGGCCCGTGAGTCGCAGCGTCGTGCGTGTGTCGGAGAGGAGCGAGCCCAGCGGTGTGAGGAAGGATGATGGGGTCCCTGCGGGCGGCGCGAGGGCCGACGGTGGGAGGAATTTGGACGGTGATGCCGTCCGGCCGAGGAGGCGCGATAGATAGCCTAAAACGGCGGCGCGGGTCGGTGCTTGTGCGTGCAGGTACGCGGCCAGGTAGATCGAGTAGTTGAGTGTCGAGAGGGCGGCGCCGAGGCCGGCGGTGGTCTTGATCAGTCTGCGAGGTTTCTTGGGTTAGTCGAGGCTATTTGAGGGTGGGTGGGCGGCCAGCCCTTGGATGGCAGGCACCACGGAGCGCGGAACAGTGAAAAAGAAGAGGGGGAAATCCGACTTACTTGCTGAGGCGCAAAATGATCTCGTCGGCTTTGGAGATGGTGGTCTTGACGTCGGTGGGTAGTTTCGCCAGGCCGGGGGTCTGAGAGGGCTTGACCGGGTCGACTTGGCCCTTGTTGACCTCGGATGAGGTCTGAGGGACGACGCCGGGGTCGGGATGCGTGGATTCAGTGCTTGACATGGTTGCGCTGGGGACCCAAGGGGAAGATTTCTACGACGGAGGAGAAAGACTGAAGGGGGGAACCGCGATGGAGAGAGGAGGACAGAGGAGTATTCAATAAGGCAGATCTGAGGGGAAAGCTAGCCTAGCCGCTGCTGGATATAAAATGAAGAAGCTCACTCTTTCAGTAGAGCCGGTCCCGAGAGTACCGTGCAGGTAAGCTGATCCCTTGAACGGCAATCACAGATGAGAGAACCACAGGAATGCCCAGAGTAATCAAAGAAATCTGGGGATTGATTTCAAGGATTCGGTGCCCCCAAGTTTCGGCATCACGAATTCGAATCCATTGAGCCGCTGAACCGAGGCAATTGAAGTCCCGGATCACGTGAGTACTGACACGAGCCCGAAACTTGGTGATTACACGCTGCTTTTTGTCCGCAACAATACTGGTCCCTGTAGGTCCCATGGCACGTCATTTTGCTCTCTCCTCGGGTTGAATAATCGCGCAGCCTTGTAAACTACGCCTCAAGCATCGTACTCTACTTCAGGCACCTGCTTTTCTTGTTGCTTTCTTGTTGACCGCAAAAATATCAAAGAACGACCTTCCTTGCGCCATTCTGTCATACACTCAATTGACTGACTTACATGCCGGCGAACGCAGAGTACACCGAGAGACGTACCATCATCATCATGTCGTGCGGCGACCTCTTTCTGGGGCTCCTGGCCGTGCTCTTCCCACCTATCGCGGGTTTGTCGACCCCCCATCTTTCCCTGCTGGATGCCTGCGCGCGTTCTGCTAGAGCTTGCGCAATTAACTGACACCGATTGAAATCTCTAGTCTGGATCAAGTCGGGCATCTGCTCCTGCGATTCGCTGATCAACATCCTCCTATGCATGTTGGGCTATGTACCCGGCCTGATCCACGCTTGGTACATCATCGCCCGCAACCCTGAACGAGATTACGACTACGAGCCCATCCAAGACGCCGAGGGAGCAAGGGTCACGTACTACTACATCCGGCACGAGCCCAATAGACGAGACTACGGCACCCAGCAAGGACAAAGACAAGGACAAGGACACAATCGGCCTGCCCCTCTGCCGCCGAAGCCTCAGGATCGTCCTGCGCAAACTGGCAATGGGAGTGGGGAGGGAAGCAATAGACCTGCACCACCACCTGCAGGTCAACCACAGGGCCCAAGTGTGGGAGCAGGAACCGAAGAGCCTGGAGCTCCTCCAAGCTACTCGGAGGTTGTGAGAGGAGACAACAAAATTCAATCTCAGGATTGAGATTTACATGGACAAACCTTGGCTGGGGAATGTGTGAAATGAAACTGAAGTTGAAGGCTGATGGTAAAAGTCGATGACAAGGCTAGGGTGGGAGTCTTTCGCGATGGTGGGCGGCGTTGCTGCGATTGGGGCTGGTAATTTCTGTCCAACCTGTATGAAAGTAAAGCTATAGTCATAAGGAATCCCTATTAATGTCGGGCGTGAGAACGGCCCATTTGAGAGCGTTATTTTCCTCGCCCTAGTTGTCAAACCGCAGAACATTAATAATTCTACGGCACGGATATCCACCGTCTCGAGATCGTTACCTTCTCCAATGCCTTTTTCTGGTTACTGGCAATACCACTCGGTGTTCTCAACTCTAGGCCTTGGCGTTGATGATTTGGACAACTGCAAGATATCCATTAGCTCCTCATCAATGACTGTGCTCTTCACAGATACTCACATTCAGGCTTCAAGCTAGCACCGCCGACAAGGAATCCGTCAACGTCAGGTTGCTTCGCCAACTCTCTGCAATTCTTTTCGTTCACACTACCGCCATAGATGATTCTCGTCTCTTCAGCTGCTTCGGCAGAGACGGCCTCGCCCAGCCACTTTCTGATGGCTGCGTGGACTTCTTGTGCTTGCTCTATAGATGCGGTCAGTATCATAGTGGTAGCCAGGCCATTATAACGTACCTGTTGTGGCAACCTTGCCGGTTCCGATGGCCCAGATGGGTTCGTATGCAATGACAACATTCTTCCAGCCGTCCTTGCCAATGGTTTTGTTGACTGCTTCTAGCTGCCTCGTCACCACATCGACGGTGATTCCCTTCTCCCTCTCCTCGAGACTCTCACCGCAGCACAGAATGACACCAATACCGCCATCAAGAGCAGCCTTTGCCTTGCAAGCTACAAAGTCATCTTGTTCACGGAGAATGGTACGGCGCTCGGAATGGCCTAGCAATGTCCACGTAATATTGCTGTCCTTCAGCTGGTTGACGGAAATTTCTCCTGTAAAGGCACCGCTCGGCTTGTCGAATACATTCTGAGCTGCCACTTCGATGTTCGGAGAAAGGTGCTCTCGGGCGAGCAGGAGGTACAAAGACGGAGGAGCAACAACGACTTCGGTGTTAGGGTCTAGACAAAGCAATAATGGATATCAGTCTTTCTGTGCTCCCAGGAGGGTGATTGTACACATCCTAGTTGAGCCTTGTGTCTCGACACGAAAAGGAACCGGAAGAGCATGAAGAAAAAACCGTACCGAGCTTCGAGGTGGACAAGTTGTGGGCAATTTCTTTGATGGACTTGATAGTCCCATTCCTAGAAGAAGACCATGTTAGTAAGATGGCCAAAGGATACACGCTGTTGCTCCTGCTGGTCTGGTCATACATTTTGAAGTTTCCTCCGACGAAGAACTTGCGACCCATCTCGGCGGCGGTGAGTGTCTTGTTGGGATACTTTCTGGCTAGGTGATGGAAGGTTATGGCGAGGCTCGACAAGAGATAGAGTGAATCCTAAAGGTAACGAGCTACACAAACACGGAGGAATGAAAAAAGGAACCAGCAGCTCTTCAGGAAGCAACACTTTTGGGTCTTGCTCTATTGACAGCGGGGCTGCCAATGACGACCGTGGGGATCCAGGCCGGAGATGTGGAAAGGGAAGTTTTGCCGGGATTCTCTATCGTTATCGCATTCCGAATTCTGATGAAAGAGCCTAAAGCAGCGACGATACGATTGAGGGTCCCGTCTCGTTCAAAGAGTGTCTGCTATTTTCAGGCTCTTCAAGTTTTGATCCACGCATGTTTCGCTCATATTGGTGGCTAACAACAGTACAATCTTTTGTGCAGCATCGGGCGCGGAGCCGGTGGATTTGTTTCAGCTTCCAGCCCTGGTCCTTTCGGCACGTTGTAGCACCAACAGTCTCCGAATCCTCCCGGCAGGTACTAGTATTCACACAGTCCTCCTTCACGTCCGTTAAAGTCCCATCGTCAATTTCACTTGCATGCACTGGTGGACTTCGCACATAAGGCCCGATCTGCAAGACTGGCCTGAGGCAGACATCGATCCACTTTTTAGGCGAGAGTATCTGAGTCTTCGAGACTCCTTCGAACCTCGAGCGTCGTGCGTGGCTTACTTTGATGGAGCATACGAGCCGGATCGGTCGCGAAGTTCAGTTGAATAACCTGACATTGGTATACCAAGTCGTGCAAGTTTACCGACACCCTGGACCCGGATACTAAACGCAGTCTAACGGATCCTCTTGTTCTTGTTTACTGTGCAAATAAAAGAGGGCCTTCGAATGTCGCGCGACCAGTTACCCGGCGGTGAAGGGTTTTCGGATGGCGCTTGTATGAGTCCAGACGAGAAGCTCAGTGAGTATTGTATACCGTCAAAGTACTCCAGCAACAGCTGCTGATGAAGTTCTCGCTTTTTCTCTACGATGTATGCGGGAAAGTTCTGTAGGTTACTCGAGCATGGGTAGGATATCTTCTCATCCCCCGGTGAGGTCACTACGTTGATACTTTTTCAAATGTTCTGTTGCGAGCCCCGGCTGCGTCGGGGGAGCTCCGAAACATGTCGTTCTCGTTTCAAGTGGCGTTATGGTTGCTATCTCTACGTGTTTCGCGTATCGAACGATGTTCGAGAAGAGTCACGCCACGCGTTTACACGTGTTCTGTGGGTCATCCTAATGGTCAAGGCGAGAAGGGCCTACCAGGTGAGTGATCTGCTAGCGGCAGGGTCCAGTGTGTGGGCTCGATATATGAATGAGCCATGGGTATAATATCAGTACGTTCGCTTTTGGTCTACCCATCCCACCCGCTGTCCTCAAACCCAAAAGGTCCAAACGCAGTGCTGAATTTTGTTTGTCATAGAACCAGTCTTTCTTTGGCCTCTTAGATTCTGAGAAGGCTTGTCTACACGATGGCGACGATGCCAAAAGGGATGGAACATGTTGACCGAAGAGAACTTTACACCTCGCTGCCTGCTCGAGTTTTCTACCTACAGCAATTTCTTGAATTTGGTGCAGGTAAGCATTTGTAGTCATTGACCCTTGTGTCGGACGCTCCTCCTCTCATACTCGGGCAGATGATGTGGCTGCCCTTAGCGAGGGACAGAAGTATATCAAAGCCATAATACCAGCGATCGTGAACATGGTCTACAAGAAGCTACTGCGGCACGACATCACTGCTAGAGTCTTCAGCACCAGAGACAGTCGTAACGAGGAAGACCCGGACCGTTGGATCGGTGAAGAAGATGCTCAGATTAGGCACAGGAAGATGTTCCTGAGATGGTATCTCACAAAGCTCAATTCCGATCCTAGTAAAATGGAGTATTGGCAGTATCTGGACAAAGTTGGGTGTGTCTAAACTAGGCAGCGACTTTCGAAAGGGCAACTAACATTGTGCAGATTGATGCATGTGGGTAAAGGCCGGAAGAACCCTCTTCATGTCGACTACATATTCCTCGGTGCCTGTTTGGGTTATATACAGGATTCGATGACGGAGGCTATTCTGTCGCACCCCCGACTGGATCTGACACAGAAGATCGCGATCGTCAGGGCTATCGGCAAAGTGATCTGGATCCAGAATGACCTGATGGCAAAATGGCACATTGAGGATGGTAAAGAGTTCGCCGATTCAGACTGGAACGATGAATTGCAAGCCGAAGCACAACAGCCAGAAGGGTACGTGAACGGCAAGAGAGTGTTGGGCAAGGTAGACGAGGACGACAGCTCTATTGATGGGACAGCGTCATCCATATCCTCGGAAAAGAGTACGACCAGTCTAGGACGGACAATGGAACAGGTCCGACTGAGTAACGAGCAGAGCAAATGTCCATTCAGCGGGATGGCGAATGGCGGCCATGAGTTGAACAGCCAGAGAGCTGCAACGTGGAGACCGCGAAGGGATGATCCCATGGTGCCACCCTCTTCACCAACGGGAATACCACGTTTGCGTGTCATTGATGGAAAGACGGTCGGAAAGGAAAAACTCGGCCTCAGTCCTTTTGAGTAGCAATAGCAAAACAAAACCACTCATCTTACGAGAGACTGCCAATGCTCTTCCGCGAGTTTTTCTGTCAAAGTCGAGACGTGAAGAGCCTCAGTAGCCTAGGTATATGACATGGACGAACAATGGACAACTAACTGCTCGTCGAGTTCATGTCTTCAGGAGAAAGGCGCTGCACATGACTCTCTATACGCTCCACCGTAGAAGATGTGTCATTCGCCGAGTCATAGAAAATCCGTCAAAATGGCTCAACTGACTCAATAACAATCCCCCGGCAACTTTTTTCTCCCTCGCCATCGGATGTCCCTCTCGGCGCAACTGTATAGATCATAGACTGCGACAGTCTAGAGGAGTTGGTCACCTAGACGAATTGTGTCTTGCCACTGGTTTCAGCCTCGTTGCGCTCCCAAACACACTTCTTTGGAATTTGCGCCTTCCTCTACTCACCTTCGCACCCTCCATCAACCAGCCTTTGGGGCCTGCGCCGTACAGCGCAATGGCTGGAAAACACCCTGGCAATCCTGACGGTGCGCCTTCGAAACGCCAAAAGACATCAGGCGACATGAATCCTGAGACCAATCCTTATCTTGCCCATTGGAATGACAATGAGTCGAATGGCTATAGCAATGGCTACTCGACCCCGGCAAATGACGGCCCTCTATCAAAATTGCAAAGACACAAAACCACCGCTGCGCTTGCTCGCGCCTGTGAAGACGGCAAGACGAACCCGTTTACTGGTCAACCCTTCTCTGAACGCTACTTCTCCATTCTACGAACGAGGAGAGACCTTCCTGTACATGCGCAAAGAGACGAGTTTCTCCAATTGTACCAGAAGTCTCAAATCCTGGTCTTCGTGGGTGAGACTGGTTCCGGAAAGACTACACAAATACCACAATTTGTCCTCTATGATGACCTGCCGCAACAAGAACGCAAGCTGGTGGCCTGTACACAACCACGACGAGTAGCGGCCATGTCGGTAGCAGAGCGTGTGGCGAATGAAATGGATGTCAAACTTGGGCAAGAAGTCGGTTACAGCATCAGATTTGAGGACATGACAAGCCAGAAGACCATACTCAAATACATGACGGACGGTATGCTTCTGAGAGAAGCCATGAACGACCATGAATTGAAGCGGTACAGCACCATCATACTCGACGAAGCCCACGAGCGGACATTGGCCACCGACGTGTTGATGGGCCTACTAAAAGAGGTGGTGCTACGCAGGCCAGACTTGAAACTGATCATCATGTCTGCCACTCTTGACGCACAGAAGTTTCAGCGATATTTCAACGATGCGCCGCTGTTGGCTGTTCCTGGTCGCACACACCCTGTCGAAATCTTCTACACTCCTGAACCCGAGAGAGACTATGTGGAGGCTGCAATTAGAACAGTCCTGCAGATACACGCCACCGAGCCTGAAGGAGACATTCTTCTGTTCTTAACTGGAGAGGAAGAAATCGAAGATGCATGCCGGAAGATATCCCTCGAAGCCGACGAAATGATCCGTGAGGCTGATGCCGGCCCGATGAAAGTCTATCCTCTGTACGGCTCGTTGCCTCCAGCTCAACAACAGAGAATCTTCGAGCCAGCGCCACCTCCCCGTAAGCCAGGCGGGAGAGCAGGACGAAAATGCATCATCGCCACCAACATTGCCGAGACGTCTTTGACTATCGATGGTATCGTCTACGTGGTTGATCCTGGCTTTGCCAAGCAGAAAGTGTACAACCCACGTATTCGTGTCGAGTCTCTATTGGTCTCACCGATATCCAAGGCATCTGCTCAACAGAGAGCCGGTCGTGCCGGTCGTACTCGTCCTGGTAAATGCTTCAGACTTTACACCGAGGGAGCTTTCAAGAAAGAGCTCATCGAGCAAACCTATCCTGAAGTGTTAAGATCAAACTTGTCATCCACAGTCCTGGAGTTGAAGAAGCTCGGAATTGATGATCTTGTCCATTTCGATCTGATGGATCCTCCTGCTCCGGAAACTCTCATGCGAGCTTTGGAAGAATTGAACTACTTAGCCTGTTTGGACGACGATGGCAATCTAACCACCATGGGCAGACTTGCTTCCGAGTTTCCTTTGGATCCAGCACTGGCAGTCATGCTTATCTCATCCCCGGAATTCTACTGCTCGAACGAAATTCTAAGCTTGGTGGCTTTGCTTTCGGTACCTCAAATCTTTGTGCGACCAGCTTCTGCCCGCAAACGAGCAGATGAGATGAAGAATTTATTCGCCCATCCTGACGGTGATCACTTGACCTTGCTGAATGTCTATCATGCCTACAAAGGACCTGAAGCACAGGCTAATCCGCGACAATGGTGCCATGATCACTTCCTCAGCCTTCGCGCTCTCCAGTCTGCCGACAATGTGCGCCTGCAACTCAAACGCATAATGGAACGGGAGGAGTTGGAGTTGATGTCGACGCCTTTTGAAGACAAGAAATATTACGAAAACATTCGACGAGCTCTCGTTTCAGGATTTTTCATGCAAGTCGCCAAGAAAGAGGCCAATGGGAAGACTTACACAACAGTCAAGGACAATCAGACCGTACTTTTGCATCCTAGCACGGTTCTCGGCCAGGAAAGCGAATGGGTTGTTTACAACGAATTCGTGCTTACGAGTAAGAACTATATTCGGACAGTCACTAGCGTTCGAGGAGAATGGCTACTTGATATCGCCCCTGGCTATTACGACATCAATGGTTTTCCCAAGGGTGAAGTCAGGACAGCACTTCAGCGGCTTACAGAACGTGTTGCTAGACGAGAGAAGATGAAGGGCGGGAGGTGATCGTTCAAATCTAGGCCACGAGAGGAAGGGCTGTTCTGAGCAATTGCGGAACTATGCGGGCGCCAAATATGGGTTCTGTGGCTGATCTCGCATAATCAATCACTCTTCAGGGGTTATCCCGACGTAGGCAACCCGGGTCTGCTTGGGGCTCGCAGCTCGTGTTACGAACCTGTCGAGTCCCAATATCTTTGCAAAGCGGTGAAGCAAGTGGCCTCAACGACTGGAAGGGCCTATATCAGCATCTGTGCAAATAGCTTGCAGCAGCATGAGCAGGGTTCAGGGACCTCGGCGGTGCTGCTCCCAGACCCGCCATAGATAGATTCTCGGATAGTACCTTATGAAGGGGCAACTCCTGTTTGACATGACGGCTTCACCTCTATAAGCTCGAATATGAGAGCGCATCTTGTACTAATAAGGAGGCAACAGTCATGCCATATGAATTTCGTAAGCAGAGAGCGGTCTGCATCTAGCGCGCCTTGCTCATGACCCCCGAGAAGGCAAGTGGTCTGGATCCCTGCTGGCCTATCGATGGTCGGCATTTCTCCACATCTGACTCCCATCAGAGCCATCAGAACCACTCACTAGGCTCAGCCTCATTCAGCTCTCGCCTAGACTCCCCGGGACACTCTCTGGTTCGCACGCATATGCATGTCAACCGAGCAGGCTCGCGAAACCCCTGTGGCAACAACTTTGGGATACCGCTAGTTCACATTGCTCCAGATACGTATTTGCTACCGTGCTTAGTTTCTGCCCGCCGTAGAGTGATCGTTGGACCTGGGGGAAATGCGTACAGTAGTGCTTTGAAATTTCGGGGCAGTGCTACTACTACAGTCCCGAAAAATTAACGGCGTGGCCGTGTGTGTCTGTGAAATAGAGTCATCGAAATGTAGAACACTTTGATTGAACGGGCTGAGTGTCTAGACCTTCGTGTTGCGGTCGAGCTGCGGGTTCCGGTAGATTGTCCAAGTGCAAGTGCCTTCAGAGTCATCTCCATATGAAATATGCAAGCACTTGGCCCGATAATTTGTATCTGTCTCGCCAGGTAATTGATTTTCCATCGCATTCTTTGTATCTTGCATGTTGCCACACCCGGTGTCAAACCCTTCGACTGGCGCTCCTCTCTACAGACCACGTCAAGCAGATGACTCCGGCGAGCTCAGCAAAAGAATCAACGTGAAGAGCTTGGGCGGTCCACGGACGCCATGGCCACACGGACAATTGATTTTATCGACGGCTCAACTTCCCCAGATGTATTCTCCTCGATGACTACCGTTACAGGCACCGTTGCATCATACGAACGGCGCAACACCCCGAGGGCATCGACTACACCTCCATCTGCTAGTGCCACATCTTCGAAGGATTCGAGATTTCTTTCATCTCGGAACATCGCCATAGCCGGATCTGCTGCAGGTGTGGGAGCCCTGTTGACGATTGCCGTTGGGATGCTCATATACTGCTGTGTGCGCTGGCGAAGGCGAAGACAAGTACGGCGTCACGTTGAGTTTCAATTTCACGAGACGCTGCCGAAGAATACTCGGAGTCTCGACAGACAATCTCGGTCTAGGACATGTATGTTTTCCCGTCACTGTTGCCCGTTGCGTTCTTCCTTGAGAATGGCTGACACCATGGTTCCCCAGTGGCGACACGTCTACCGTATTATCGAGAAGCAACCCCTGACTTACCGGCATCGTTTGCTCCTGCATACACACTTACCAGCAAGGACAAAGAGGTCGAGCCACAAGAGATCATGGGTTTGGGGCTGAGCACGGATGAATTCAACCGAAGAAATAGGTCCCGATCGCCTGCCCACAGTCTGGACGGACCAGTCGAGCTTGCATCTCAGCGGTTTTCTGCGATCAACCCTCATGTCAACGACAAGAGCACTATGCCTGATCTTCGCCATGGGAGGACGAAAGAGCGGTCGTCGCGACTGAGAAATAGCCCGGGCGTTCATAATCTGCGGGTAGAGGCATCAAGGAGTCCTTCAGCGAGTCCGGGAAGGAGGTTGCTTCCGTATGGATGAGGCGGTCCAGCTTAGATGGAATGTAACTCAACCATACCACAACTATTCCTTGCAAATGTTCTTGAAGCCGGATGCATGGTAATTAAACCTACTCGCAAATACTGTACACAACCTTGAAGGAAAGCGATGTGCAAAAGGGTGTTACTGATTTGCTGGAGAGATAACAAGGCTGAATCACGCCATACCATATTCGGTACAAGCGGCTTGTCATTCTCCACGTGACTATAATTTTTTCTGAGACGAATGTCCTTCTACTTGAACAGTTCTTCTGGCCGTAGTAAAGCATCTCATAAGTAATCTCACCGACGGACCTATGTTTGGGCGTCGAAGTCCACGTCGTCAAGGTCTGCAGTTACTTTCGTCGGCTGCTGGTCGGTCAAGAAGATTTGTCCACTGGAATCCTTTTGCCCAATCTTACAAGGACTACCTTCACGAGGTCCAGCCGCAGCACTGGCCAAGGGGACCTAAATCCAAGAAAGAGCTTACCTTACCAACAGGAGAGTACAATGCAGAAGTCATAGCGCGCGAGATGGCACAAAAAGTCAAGATGATGAAGGTTCCTGGCCTGAAACGACATAAGGTCGCAAGAGCCCAGATAGAAGGGACGCCAGAGGAGATTCTGACGTTCGAAGCACAAGCGCTTCTTACCAAGGCTGAAGCTGAACTGCCGGAACCATCCAAGGAAACAGATGGCAAACTCAAACCATTTTCGCCTTTAGAGTTCGGAACCGAGCTGGAACTGGAAGTCGTCGAGCTGTCATCAACGGGCGATGGCCTGGCATATTCGCCAGACAAAAATCACGTCTATGCCATCCCCTTCTGCGTCCCAGGCGACCGGGTCCTAGCACAAACGTTCAAACAAAAACCTCACCCGACGTATACTTCTTTAAGATTCATCAAACTGCTCCGACCGTCACCGAAGCGCGACGGCATAACACCAGGCTGCAAGTACTTCGCCGAATGCTCGGGCTGTCAATTCCAGATGATCAGTTATGAAGACCAACTCAAGCACAAAAAGACCGTCGTGGAGAAGGCATTCAAGAACTTCTCCAACCTCGATCCGTCTCTGATACCACCTGTCGGCGACACGATCGGTTCGCCACTACAATATGGCTACCGAACAAAACTCACTCCTCACTACGACGGGCCTCCCAGGAAAAACACCGCACACTGGGCAGGCAGACCTCCTCCGGCAGTCGGCTTCTCAGCGAAAAATCGGCATGTCATCGACATCGAGCACTGCCCCATCGGCACACCGATACTGAATGAAGGCCTCACCATCGAGCGCAAGAAAGTCCACGAGACATACCACACCCGCAAAGCCGGGGTCACGATTCTCCTCCGCGAATCGACAAAGCGCGTCTTCAAAACAGGCTCGCCTTCACCACCCACGGCTACATCTCCCGCCGCCGACGGCCAACCCACATCATCAGCCACCGAAAATACGGAGGGCAATACTTCTTCTTCGTCTACACCCAAACCATCAACATCCGTCCTCACGCCTTCCACTGAACCATCCACCGTGGACAGCGACTTCGCCGCGATCCCCGTGCCCACGCCCCTCTCTGTCAAGCACCACTTCCGCGCCCCCAACACTCCGGAGATAATCTACGACTACCCAACGTACCGCGACGTCAAAACCTACACCTCGATCAACCAGGACTTCAGCACCGAGTACGTCGGCGACTTCACATTTGTCTCACGCGCCAACAGCTTCTTCCAGAACAACAACTCCATCCTGCCAACTTTCATCAAATACGTGCGCGACAACTGTCTTCCTCCTCCGCCAGCGTCGACACAACTTGTTCAACAGCCCAACGAGCCGCCCATCAAGTACCTCCTCGACGCGTACTGCGGCAGCGGCCTGTTCGCCATCGGCCTGTCCCCGCTCTTCAGCTCCGTTCTGGGCATCGACATCGACGCGTACGGCGTCGAAGCGGCCCGCGAGAACGCAAAGATCAACAACATCCCGAACGCGGGCTTCATCGCCGCCGACGCCGACGTGTTGTTCGCCGACGTCCCGTTCCCGCCGGAGCAGAGTCTCGTGGTCATCGATCCGCCCAGGAAGGGCGCGAGCATCGACTTTCTTGAGCAGTTGTGCGCGTTTGGCCCCAAGCGCGTCGTCTATGTCAGTTGCAACGTGCACACTCAGGCGAGGGACGTGGGCATGTTGGTCACTGGCTTGGGCAAGAAATGGAGGTACCAGATTGAGAGTGTGCGTGGCTTTGACTTCTTCCCGCAGACGCACCACGTGGAGGGCGTGTGCTTCTTGAGTAGGGTGCCAGCATCCCCGGATGTAGAGGAAGCTTAAGGTGAGGAACGGGCGGTGTGCATGGCTGAACTTTCTTCCACAATGTTTTTACTCGAGCGGTTTATTCCTGCATAGAGTGTGTTAATAAAGGCTTGAGAGAGGTCTCATTGGTGTGATATTCTAAGTGAATCGGATTCATTTTTCTGCTCTCAGGGCCTTCCTTCCTTTCGTAAACTTCATCATCCTTCCATCTAAGAACTGCCTGGACCACCTAGCAAAGCAAATCTCCGGACAATGCTAGGCCCTATTTCATCATACTCGGCTTTCGTGTGACAATAGCTCCGAAACTCAGGCGTTGACGCCAACAGACTACCGCCAAACCAGGGGCCATGCCTCTGTCGTCTGTGGGTGACAACTTGGACTTCTAGCCCACCACTCTTCGCTCCACCACTTCGCACTTCTGACGCTCGGATACGGGCATCCACCAAATGTCTGATGTCTCGCTGCAATCTGCGGCCAAAATCCTTGTACAAGGTCGAACCACCAGAGAGGACGATGTTCTTGTATAGACCTCGTCGCACATCGATAGGGGACGACTGGATCACTCCATCGACCACGGTGGGCAGTGGTGTAAGGAAGTCGGAGGAGTAGATTTCGGGGTTGAAGAATATTTCAGGAGCAAGAAATCGTTCATAGCCCACGTCAATTGTGATGGATCTGCCATTGGGCGCAGTGACGGTATGCTTGAGAAAGCGGTCGGGTTCCTTGTCGTAGCGAGCGAACTCTTTGACAATATCCGGGCACACATAGCAGTATTCTTCCTTCACCTTTTCTGCCGTCTTCAGACTGCTATCAGGCTCTCCTCGGTCTCGCAGCAGGCTTTGGACGAAGTATGTGATATCTCGACCAGCGATGGGTATGCTCTTTATCGAAGACCCAATAACATAACCTTCTGCGACGGGAATAACGTGTGTAACACCATCACCGGAGTCGATGACGGTTCCGGTGAGAGATCTGTCGACGACTTTTGAAGATGTCCAGGAGGCAGCCAAAGCAAGAACGGCTTGGACTGCAATATAGAGGCCGGCGCAGTTGAACGACTCGAACATGATTTCGGCGGTGTTCTCGCGGTTTTCCGGGGGGTTCAAGGGCTGCCCACTTGTTAACAAGGAAATCACTGAGAGACAATGTCTTCCATACCGGTTCTGTCAAAAGGAAGTAGTGGTCCTCAGGCTCGACTCTCAGGTACTTGAATATGGAATTTGACCAGAAGCGTTCCATGTAATCCCAATTCTCGATCTGACCATGTCTGATGGGGTAGTTTATGCTGTATCCTGGACCTCCTGAGGCTGCAAGAGCTTCATCACCAATGAAGAAGTCGAGGTCTTCTGTTCCACGTTTGCCCGCCAAATTCGAACTTGGGCCTGCGCCGCCCGTAAGGTATGAAGGCTTATTGGCTGGGGCTGGTCTTCCTGAGCCTGCACCTGCTGCTCCGCCTCCTGGACCTTTCATCGCAATAGCGGTAGGAAATACCCATGAGGGAGCATCGTTCCCGGCGAACCCTAATCGCAGAGAAGTCAGAAAGGTGAAGCCGACGAAGAGAGGGGGGCGCACCAAGTTTAGAGAAGCCAGTACCACTGGTACTAAGTTAGCACAGGGTTCATCGATTCACAATGTCGGCTTACTTGTCCATGACAACGGCCGGCGTCTGAGACGCCATGCTGCAGACCGGTAGGTGGTTAACCTCGAGGAGCAATGAAGAGTCGGCAGTGCTAGGTGAGCAGGAAGGGTATTGCTGGGCCGAAGTCTGCAGTCCGGTATCGTCACCAGAGGCGAGGTGAGAGGTGAGAAACAAAGAACCCCGTCCAGGCACCAGATCGTGGTTCAGAGGTGGTCGCAGGCAGCTTTAATATGGCCGGATGGAGCGACAGTCAGACTCCCACTGGCAAGGCTAAGAGTGGATGATGGTGGGCTGGGGAGTACAAGTAATTGGGGAGCTCAGTCACGTGATCGCCGTCACCAGTTGTGCCTTACGCGGCTGAAGATTCGCTTGGCATCATGGTATCGTGTTTGTGGTCCTTGCAGTGGCTCCTTCTCCTTCGGTCCTGGATGCTTGTAGGCCGATATCTGCGGCTCAGACAAAAGCTATATCCTTCAGCCAATATACGCATGGCAAGAAAGCATTTGCAGAGTCGTTACTGCATCCAGGGAGCCCTCAAGCAGGAGCCAAGATAGTGAATGGTGTCGTCAATGGTGATGTTGCGTTCTGCCTTCAAACTCTAGCAACCTCAAGCTACCACTCAGGCTGCGCGCTCCTCATCATATCATTTCATTCCTCTAGTCTGTAATGCTCTTCAGCATTCTAGCAAAACATAGACTATGAGCAGCAGACGCTGAAGTCGCTCGTTTGTCCAGCCCAGGCCTTTGTTAGCTTGCAAACGTTATTTCTTCCCCCAAACCCTGACGGTTGTTCTTCTCGCTTTCAGCGCAACTCTCACCCTTCTCTTACTGCCGGTCTACTCAGATGTCTCTTTCTCACATCCTGCTCATTCCTTAGCAATCCCTCGAGATTCACATCTCAACTCTGTCTTGATCGGTACTCGACCTAAGGAAGCGAAATCTTCTGGTGGCCGAATTTCATGTCTTTGATCGCTGACACGCTTCAATGCCTCGACGACCGCAAGAGAATGGTGATCTCTGTGCTATTTTCATACATGCTGGAGCGGGATACCACAGTCGCCAAAATGAGAAGATCCACCTAACAGCGGTTAACGATGCTGCAAAAGTCGGCATGGCTATCTTGAAGAACGGAGGAGACGCCACGGATGCCGTCGAGATGGCGATCCGGCTACTGGAGGACAAGGAAGTCACGAATGCAGGGTATGGGAGTAATCTGACCATGGATGGGCGAGTCGAATGTGATGCTACCATAGTTGATCATTTAGGACGCAGCGGTGCTGTTGGTGCCATCTCTCAAGTCAGGAATCCCATCGCCGTTGCTCGACTGGTCCTCGAAGAATCCACCAAACCACTCTCCCTCCAGCGTGTACCACCAAACCTCCTTGTCGGTGCGGGCGCCACGGATTTCGCCCACGATAAAGGTGTGCCGATCCTACCTCCGGACTTTCTGGTGTCAGTCAATGCTCGTGATCGCTGGATCAGATGGAGACAAGATCTCAAAGATGCAGAGGACAAGGAGGCACGGAAGCGGACTCAAGAGCAAGGCTTGGGAGGATCAGCAGATACCGTTTCCGCTGCTTCTGAGCCACGCCCTAGCCTCGCCGGTCCTCCAATCTCATCTCCGTCTACGCAAAGACGTCCGAGCCTGTCCAATATGCCTCCAATGATTCGGCCGTTGGTCGCCTCGACTGCCGATGTTCCGACGCTGGCGCTGGGAAGGAAGGATGGAAACACAAGCTTTCAAGACACAAACGATAAACTTCCAACCCTTGGGTCAACGCTGCCCCCGGACGATGAATCTGCATTCACCGATCAGAGTGACGATGCCATTGATGACAGTTTGCAATGGCTAACGTCACCTCCTAAACGTCAAAGAATGAATGGCTCATTTGACGGTCCTATAGGAGACGACGACCAAGAGGTGGGATCGGAGCCATATTCAGAAACACAAAAAGTCCCGAACCAGGACAGCGACCGGGAAGACGACATTACAGACACTGTTGGAGCAATTGCCGTAGATTGCTTCGGTCGGATAGCCGCCGGCTCATCTTCTGGCGGGATTGGCATGAAGCACAAGGGCCGATGTGGTCCTGCAGCCCTAGTTGGGATTGGTACTGCAGTCATTCCTGCTGATCGCCAAGATCCGACGCAGACCTCTGTAGCCACCGTGACGAGTGGCACCGGAGAACACATGGCCACTACAACGGCTGCAGCTACGGCTGCGGATCGGGTCTATAACTCGATGCGGAAAGAAAACGGGCGGCTTCTGGGGTGTAACGAAGATGAAGCCATGTATTCTGTGATTGACCAAGACTTCATGACACATCCTGGCGTGGTCAATAGTCATTGCACAGGAGCCATTGGCATCCTGGCAGTCAAGAAGATGCGAGACGGCATTTACTTTTACTTTGCCCACAACACCGATTCATTTGCAGTGGCTTCGATGCATTCGGAGGAACGAAAACCGGTTTGTACCATGTCGCGGAGCAAAGGACAAGGGTCGATCGCACAAGGTGGACGAGTGTCACGTTCCAGATTTACCCGTCTCCGATGAGGATTTGCAGCTTGTGCAACCGAGGAGCAAGGAGCCGGTGACATGCGTCGTAGCCCTGTTTTGCTTGCGTCCACGTCCAAGGAAAGCGGCGCTCCAGGAGAATGACTGCCATGGGTTGAGAAGTAATCCTAAACGAGCAAGGTAGCACGAGAGTCTATGCTCTTCGAGATGCGCTGCCAGAACAGCAGGGAAAGGGGAGGTCATGGTGCTGGACGTATTTTTAGCTCGCTGTCCTAGGTCGAGATACCTTAGATGCGTCCCGATTCCTAGAGCTCAATCATGATACCCTATTATTCCAATTTGCGACTCCCGTATACCCACTCGGGTCGGCCCTTTGTTGCATGCTCATCTCATCTCCCAGCAGCTGCCTGCTTCTTTTTCGTCTTCTTCGCCACAACCACCGGCCTGGCCCCGTACTGTCCGACAGTCAAGTGCGTGCCACAAGTGAGACAGTCTCCATTCTCGGGGACGGAGCAGAAAATACTCAGACAGATACTGCATACAAATCCAATGCTGACTACATTGCGATGACAGAAGCAAGCCGCTCGGAAGTCCACGTCAATGCGCGTCGGCAGGATCAAGTGCCTGCTTCGCGTCATCGGACTTGGCAAGAATGAGAGGAGCAGATAAGTCAGGAAAGCTTGCGACGCGGATGCTCCGGACGACGAAGTGGGTAGTTCAGCGGGGATGAAGATGCCGTGCGTCGCATCGGCGGCTTGTTGGAGGAAAACGGTCGAGTCGGAGGAGGTATTGGAGCCATCATTGGACTGGAGATTTTGCTTCTTTGTAGTGGGAAGAGGGAGCGGGAGTTGCAGGATGTCAATGGGTATGGACAGACGCTGACAGGCGAAAATGGCGTTCATGATGGGGATGTACTGGTGCGCAAGGTCCGTGGAGGGTGAGGCGGAGATCAGGAGAATCCGGGATTGCAGGGTGTTGGTGCCCGCTTCGGTGGTCGCGGAGACGGTGTTGGTCGCGTCCGTGGTGGTGGCGGTGATGGTTGTGGCTCCGATGAGAGATTCGGCGTGTAGGATGGATTCGCGGTTGATGTGGCTTAGGGCGAGGGTGAGGGCGCCGGCGATCATGGTCGATGTGCTGGATGAGACAGAGTCTGGGGTTGTGGTGGAGAGGAGGATGGTGAGGTTATGGAGGAATTCTTCCTCGACAAGGCGGAAGGGGCGGTATTTGTTGCCTTCGTCCGAGGTGGTGGTGGTGGTGGTGGCGGTCGTGGTCGTGGTGTTAGAAGAGGAGGTGGATGAAGGGGGTTTGAGGTTGAGGTTGAGACGTTTGGTTGGTTCATGTTGAGGTTGAGTCTGGTCGGGTTGATGCTTTTGGGAAAGACGAGATGGATGAGAGTCTGGGAGCTTCTGTTCGGTCGGGGAAGGATAGAGCCATTGGGCTTTGTCACAGTGGGAGGCAATGACGGCGACTTTGTTGGTGTAGTTGGCGGCGAGGTGGGCGTTGATGAAGACGAGAAGGTTGGCGATGGCACTGGAGAATGAGAGGGTGGGAGAGAGGAGCGACCATGCTGCTGGGTTGGTGTCAAGGATGATGGACAAGAGGGATGGGGATTGTTCTGGCTATTGTCAGGCTCGGGCACAGCCTTGTGATGGTGGTGGTTTTATGACAGCCTTGGGATTGGGGGAAGGGGAGGTGATTGGTGATTAGGCTGGAGCTGTGGCTCTTGGGGCTTACCTTGTGAGGGTTTATCAAAGTGATCGGATGCGTCGACGGCATTCATGTTGATAAGAGATGAGAATGGGTGGGTTGTTGAGGGATGGGGATGACGCCGTTGGGAAATGCAATGACAGGACTATACGAAGAACAAGTGTAGGGAGAGGTGAAAATGAAAATGGTACGGAGATGTATTCGGCCATTTTGCCTTCAGCCACAAATGGGACGGAGGATCAGCCTCAGCCTCAGCCACAGCCACAGCCACATGTCATGTTGATTGAGATGGGTTTCTGAGAGTTAACGATATAGGAGCTGTATTTACCAACCTAGGTACACTGGTACACAATACAGGTAAGCAGGTCGTGGCAAGTCTATATTTTAGGTGAAGACGCGGCAGAGAACTCTTTTACGAGGTCGTAGGAACCATCATCAAGAAACCATCAGGAAATGTTCTGGGCGCTTGGCCTCTGTCTCGACTTTCGTCAGTGTCGGTTTGACAAGTCTGGACGGTCCAACCGGAGGCCAACGTGGGAAATATCATACGCTGTTTGGGTGCTGTTGAATACATTGTACGTATAGGAACTTTGAGTTAGAGATTAACACATGTCATTCCCCTCCCATTTATCTTTATTGTCATTCTCTCTGTATTCGTCAGCCTAAGTTAGACCACGGAACCACCAGCCAAACCCCCTGGAATCCTGGGAGCCTGGCACCTGGAAATTTTTATTTTTCTGATATCCACGTGTCCACCATCGACCGTCTACCAGTCCCTACAATCTACCAGTCGGACCTGGACCTGGACTTGTGGTGTTCACTGTTCACTGTTCATTGTTCTGCTCGTTCAGATCCAATTTCCCACCCAATCATTTCATCGTCCACCAGTATTTGTTATCCTTTCCCGACCATCATCGACCTATCTTTTCGACTCTTTCTCAACCAGCCTCACTCGCTCCAAACCTCCCACGCGCCCTTCTTCCATCATTTCATCATCCTCCTCTGCCTCGTACTACCGCTGGGCCTCTACCAACAAAACAAAATCCACCGACAAATCCATCAGCTGATTAATTCTCTCTGTCGACACGTCTCTCCCATCCACTTCATTGCCTCTTTCAACTACTTATTCCGCCGTCTTCCAGAATCTGTCGCACTATCACCGACAGTCTTCCTTCGCCCCTCCAAATCATAAATCATGTCCAACCCTTCATAATCTCACGTCACCCTCCCGGCCTCTTGTTCTCGAGACCCTTTTGAACCTCCATCAACCTCTGACTTCCCCTCTCTCATGAGTACGGCCTTCACTGCCCCGGCGCCTTTGATGTCAAAAATGGCCGCTCTTCAGCGGATGACCCGGAAATTATCCGAGGAGCGAGCCTCGCATTTGGCAAAAGAAGCCGTAGAATTATCTCACTCCGGCGACAAAGTGGTATGTCTCCTACCACACTTTTGTCAGCTCTTGTCTATTAACAGGTCTGCAGCAAGCGTCTCGAAAATTGAGAGAGGCCGCCGCTCTTGGCCATGACAACCCAGATGTCCAATCCGCTTTTTTGGCTATTCACAATGACCAAATTGGTTCGCCACTTCGAGATCTGTGCCGGAGATATGCTTTGTACCACAACAACGCCGCTGGAGACGAAGCTGTCAATTACTTGAAAAGTTCCGACGCCTCTAATGCCGCTCCCGTCGCTCTTGAATGCCTGCAGATAATTCTGGAAAATCAAGCAGCAACCCTGTCTTCTGCTCAGGACTTCATCATCGCCGAGCTTGCGCGACAGAGTCAGCCTGTACGACAGTATTTTGCTTCCGAACTGCACGCATCGACCACCGAATTCTTTGACAATGTCTACGAGCGAGGCGACGATGCGGCCAACTGTCTTCGATCAGTGGTCCTCGACGACAAACTCTGGTCTTCCGAAGATGTCCGACTTCGAGTCGAAGATGATCTGTTTCAACTCTTCCTTGCCAAGCTGATGGAGACGGGCCACGATCATGACGGCAGAGCTCTCAAAGGCATTGCCCTCCTGCTCATGGCTGATACCCTGCGATTACACACTTTTATTGACGAAGAGGCGTTCGAGGCACTCATGGGCTCTCTGGACCCACGATTACCTCCTGAGGTTCGAGGCCAAGCCACCCTCGTCCTGTCCAAATTCTTCGAGGTAGCCGAAACCACTGGTCAGGATTTCCTTTACAGGTACATCAGAAAGCATGTCGAGCGACAAAAAGGCGACGACCTCATTCTCGCTTTTTCAGCTGGTGCCCATCTGTTTCCCGTCGTGCCTAGCATGATGGCACACCTCTTTTTGACCGATGGCTTCCTCGTGTCCATTATGCCTCTGTTGCGCAGACAGTTCGGCAGTCCTACCGTGCACGATGCTTTCCTTATGTTGGTCAACGCGGCCTGCTTGGACGGCGCGTGCCGTGCCGCTATTGCACAGTACTGTTCGACCTGGCTCGCTCATAAAGTCAGCAATGGAACAGGCAAACAGCCCTCAATGGCAGCTACTATTCTGGCAAAGTTGAGAACATCAGGTGCTAAGGCGGGAGATCAGAGAGCCAACAGGGCGGATGAAGATGTCAGTGAACTTGTTGATCTTTTCAAATCTACCTTGTCTGTTGAAGAAGGAAGAAATGTTTCTGACTCGATTGAAGGCCTTGCGTACACATCTTTGAAGCCCGAGGTCAAAGAATCGCTTGCTCAAGATCGAGCTTTTCTGAAATCCTTATTAGAAACCCTCAACGCCAACCAGGATTCACCGGAAGTGATTGTTGGCGGACTCAGTATCATCTCAAACCTGACTCAATATGCCCCCAATCTATCGGAGGAACAGAAGAGAATATCGCAGCTGAAAGCTTATGCAAACGCCACGACTCCCTCCGAGCCGAGTCCATTGGAGAACGATGACCACGTCAGAGCCCGTTGCTCCGCAGTGGTGGAAGCAGGAGTCGTGGCAACATTGTCTAAACTTAACAAGGGGAGATCACCAGCTACAACGCAATTAACCGATCGGATACTCCTTTCGCTATCAAAAAACCCTAAAGACAGAGGCAGGATGGCCCAGCAAGGAGCAGTGAAGCTTCTGATCATGCATGCCCTGAGGAACTTGGAGTCGTCTGAGAACAACGCGAGCACCGAGGCGGCGCAAGCTTTGGCCAGACTCCTGATTTCCCTGAACCCAGCACACGCTTTTGCAGCAGGGTCGACACCAAATATCACTGACGCAGTCCCACCTCTTGTGGCCCTCATCAAGGCCCCACGTGGTCAACCACTCAGTGACCAGCCGAGAGATCTGCTCGCGGTTTTTGAAAGTCTGCTTGCACTGACGAACCTGGCATCAGCACCCGAGCCGACAGCTGCAAACGGCATTATCAAGTCCGCCTGGGAGGAGGTTGAGGACCTACTCCTAGGGAATAACAACATGCTTCGACGAGCGGCCTGCGAATTGATCTGCAACTTAACAGTCCATCCTGCGGCCGCCGAGAAATTTGCCGACGGCTCTGGTCGGGGAACTCAGCGGCTCCATCTACTTGTCGCCATGGCTGACGTCGACGACCTGCCCACAAGAAGAGCAGCCGGTGGAGCGTTGGCCATGCTGACGGAGCAATATTCGTCGGTGGTGTCGACACTTCTAGAGTTCGAACGCACCCCTGAAATACTATTGGAGCTTTGTCATGACGACGACCCGGGCGCCGTGCACAGGGGACTAGTCGTGGTCAGGAACATGGTGTGTGAGGACGACCCCGCCCTCGCGAAGAAGGCGAGAGTTGCATTCAAGAGTCACGACGCAGTGGAGGAGCTGAAGACGTGTCTGAAGAAGACCAACGATCCAACCTTGTTGCAGATCGGCGTGGAGGCGTTGAAAGTCCTGGTGGAGTGAGCCACGAGCAGTGCGGAAGAATTTTACAACGGGGTCATCATTTTTGAGTCGAGTTCGAGAAACGGCCGCGGTTGCACTTTTTCACGAAATTATGAAAACGAGCATGGAGTATCATCATGCATGGCTATGCTATGACGGTTAGACAAAGTAATTACGGAGTATCATGGCTGCTCTAGACAAACCCCGACGGATTTCACGCATTTGCATTGATTTTGCAGGTCAACGAACAGCAAATCGCATTGCTTCGGCGTTGACTCTGGGAATTTGGGATCTTGATTGGCAAGTCTGCTGGTTGGAGTCTTTGATATTTATGGTTGATTCGGGGCATAAAGGGTGTAGAAGGAGCTTACTTTCTAGCCCAATTGACTGGGGCAAGTCTTGAGTCATTGAGATATCATATTTCTATATGTATATACGTTATTTTATACCTGTTCCTCCTATGATCGGCGCGCTAGGAGCTTGAGGCGGAGATGCAGAGACCGGGTCGTGATTTCGTGGGAGGCAAGTCCAAGATGAATCATATCTGATCCATGAGACTCTTTGACGGAGGATTTGAGATCCTGTAAAGATTCGATATGCAGCTTGCTACAATGGCGTTAGCGCTTTCGATACGACCATCGCCAGAGTATAATGGACAACGGCATATATGTTCTTCCGCCCTCCTCAAGATGCGATCCTACTTGGTCCGCCCATAGCTTCGCAATGCTCGTGTCGCGCTTGGACGGCGAAACAGCGCCCCATGGGATGGTGTCCTCTTGTAAAGAGGCGAACGGCTGACCTTGTGCCCGGGTTATCTCAGATTGGGTTCGGCCAAGACCAACCTTGCCAGCGGCGCTGAGACCTGCTCAAGCGGACCTGGGAATCGGTGTTGTCCAGGGCCCGGTCTGCCTTCGCAGTGGCCATGCGTTCTACGACAGGGGATCTGCTTCCGAGCTTCACCTGCACAGCCAACACACATTGAACAGCTGAGTCGTATTACATGGCCGATCACACCATGCGGTGCGGCGTGGCCATTACTGGCATATCATCCGATAGGAAAGAGCCCGAAAGGTTCTGGTCGCTGTCCCCGAAGGATGCAAAGCCGAGATCAATCAGTGCAATACTCAGTTTCAGGCTCTTGGTGGGCTCTTGTTCGGGTATAAACCCAGACGCTATGAGGTAATGAACTTTTTGCGTCGTCAATTGACCATTTGCCACGAGGTCACTGCCAGTTGATGTCCAGCTAGCCTGGTATCTTCCTTGGAGTGAACTCGATAATTTGTGACAGTAGTGCCTGTCAAGGCTGGCTATGTAGGGCTCAAACTCAAGCCATTACTGTCGGGGGTATCGCATTGTCGCTTGAGGCCACAAGTCGCAATCTCTGCCTGACTTTATTTGGCGACAGATGCTTCAGTCGTAGGGCGGTGGGGTTTTGGACTTGAAGAGCAACGTCTTGCGAGGTGACTGTCGGTGTAAAGCGAATGTTAGGCTCTGGCAACGGCATCGGTTTTGACGCGGACACTGGGACATGTTTGACTGCCACAGGGGCAGGTTTACTCGCTTCGACTGCAGCAACCTTCACCTCTGCACGTCTCCTGGCGGGTTGTCGAAGCTTTCTGGTGGTGGTATGTTCCGACTGTTGTGCCTGTTGCTGCTCCTTTAATCGTTTCGTGGTGGCTTTCAATTCCGATATCTCGCTTCGGAGTTTAGCTTGCAGTTTCGCGTAAGATTGGTTACGTTCTTGGAGCTCCTGCATTGCGACTTGGGATTCCTTCAGTCGGTTTTGTAATTCCTCAGCAGTCTTCTCCAAATGAGCTGTGTTATGAGCCCTTTCCCGGTCAGATCTCAGAGCTGCATCCAGTCGCTCTCGCAACTCGGCCGCGGTTCTCTCCAGTCGGAGAGTGGTTTCTTCCCGCTCCTGCTTATCTCCCCGGGCAGCCTTGTATCGTGCTTCGGCAATGTCCAAGCTTGCTTTCAGCGCATGAATTGTGTTGTCTTGACGCTCGAACCTAGCATCAATTTTCGCCTGTTCGGCAAGCGTGATACCGTTAGGTTGATTGTGACCCCACTCAGAAGGAGCCCTATTCTGTTGACGACGTACTGCTTGATGCAAAGTCTGCGTCGAAGGAGGCATAGGTTCTAGGTCACCATTCTCGCCCGGTTGTGATGACTCTTGGGCCAGATACGGTGCATCGGAAATATGTTCTAGGAAATTCCTGCACGCTTCTTCGAAGGATCTCACCTTCTCTGCTGGCGGAAGTGATATGACGTCTTCTGAGATTGGGAGGGCACCCCATTCGTCCAGGATGCTGCGGCCTCGAGCATAAATCACCTTGCGATTATTGGGATTGCGTTGCCTGACAGGCGGGCCAATGCCGGACTTGACTGCTGCCTCCAAAATCGTGGTATATTCGGGTAGTTTACGGCATTTGACACACAAATCGAGCATACGGTAGACCAAACGTACGAAGCCGTCGTATGTGTGGGCAGCAATTGATGATGCGTGGTGGATTGACCGATGTAGCCAGACTCTGCCTTTCTCCCAGTTGCCGTGCAGCGAATAATAGGTTAGGAAGCTTCTGAACAAGTGGTTCTTCCTCAAGGCGCCATAGTCCATCTCGCGGAGTAATGATAGCCAACCTTCTGCTCGCTCGGGTTGTTCGCACCGTAGAGCTGTATAGATCAAGACTTGCAGCAGTCGTACGTTTAAGGAAGCAGGGACAGGCAGATCCAACCCATCCGCGTGAATTCTTTCCCATTTGTTCAGGACATTGAACTTGTCGTCTGACCTGGTTATCAATGGCAAGATATGGTTCAAGGAGCGTGAATCACAAGCTTGACCAATCTGGAGTATTATATGAAAGAGGGCATCATCAGACAGTGGTAAGGTGCTGTTTTTCATGGCTGCGATGACGTGGTATGATAGCGAGTAGTTCCCATGCTTCGAAAGGCTTCGAAGGAGCATAACATATGAAGAGACGGACAGTACGTCCGTCGTTTGAAGAAGTGCTTGTCCGAAGCCGTGGATAAGTTCACTTAACATTATCTTTCCTTCGTCGAATTCCGTCGTTAGCTTTCTAACGACATTGTTCAGGTCTGATCTCGAGGCTTGGGCGTCGATATGAGGGGCAACAAGGAAAAGGTCCTGACGGTTTTTGAGAGGCCGCATTTCCTTCCGCGTCAACCTTAGCATCTCGACAAGTTTGTTGTTGTCTTGAGGAAATTTGACATCTTCAGCGTCCACCACATCTTCACCTGGTACCAAGGTAAAGTAAGGACTCGGCCCTATCTGAAGATGGAGAAGCATCCTGATGGACAGCATGATAGCGTTGAGTCGATGGTAGCGTTGAAGATTTGCCATCTCGTTCGCGGAGAACATGCCGTCTTTGTACACTTTAGCAGGCTCCAGATCCTCGATAGGCTGTGTGTGCTGCTGAGAGACGCATCTGCGGATTTGGGGCATTCCTCCCTCCTCTTCCCATATTGGCACGTCCACCTGATCCTCTACTTCCTCTTCGAACTCCACTCGAGCTTGCGTAGCCGTAGAATAGCCCCTTCTTTGACTGAAGATTCCATTCTTGTGGGATTGAATCCGTAGTGCATTTCTGACCCGCTGTTCTCGTTCATGTATCTCCTTGATTTCTTCTTGAATTTCTGAGAGCCTGTCGTCCCAATCCTTCCGTTGTTTTGCTTTCCAGCTGGTATCGACTATGAAGACGGCGGCAAGGACAGGAGCCAAGAAGATGGTGAAGACATCGTTGAAGGTAGGGCGGCGTCTCAGAGGAGCTGTAGTAGTTTTCCGCACCAAGGCAGGAGTAACGGTATCGACTGACGAGATAGAGGGGCAGCGACTCAATCTAGGCCGAGGAATTTGAGTCCATAGTGCTCGCATCTCCTCGAGCAGCTACCCTCCACTATCGAGCGACCAACCATAGAGTCGTCGAAGGATTGTTGTTGGTAAAATGAAGGTCGGCTTCAGGTGGAATGATCCCAATTAATTCAGAGCATTGAACAGCTCCGGCATAGTCACGTGCATTGACATAGAAGGGCCTTCGTCAGACAAATTTCTTGCAGGTGCCCGCAGGCCAAGACGGCACGGACGGCAGGAAATCAGTGCTATCTCATAGCAGAGGTTCGTGTCAGACGAGGCCCTTTATTTCGCTAAGGACCTTGGAATACTCCGGACAATGATGTAGCTACTATTCCGGGTAGTAGCCAGACTGCGGTTAGAAAAGAGATGTTTCGTCCTCGCACGGCGGCGCGATCCTCCTCATACACCAAATGTGACAGTCATCCACGAGTCATATGGCTGCCAGGAGCCGATTACACCCTGAGACCAGGAATCATGAAAAGAAAGATGGCTTTGTGCCTGCGCGTCCTCATACCCAGTCAGCCTTGGGCTCATGGAAATCCTTTCGCCGGCGACGTGTAATCCTGGCGATTGTCGCAGTAGGAGTGCTGTATCTGTTCTTCAAGAACATACCCACAGATGTCCCTCCAGTCAACCAGCGATACGATAGTCGGTTCGGGCGACTGCACCCAGGTCTGCAGCACCAGTCCGCTTGGGAGAGTCAAGAACAAATCAAGGATGGGAAAGACCACAACTATGAGGGCCCTATAGCATTTTTACACCTGGCGAAAACTCTACGTGGAACGGCGACTACGCGCGACTCGAAGGGTAGTGTTCTCTTTGCCATATCGCGACTGGAAAGCATACCACGAATTCTGCCAATTGCTTGTTCCATGGCACAGTACAATCGGACTCGTGTCCATGTTGCCTTCATGGGCCGCCAAACGGCGAATTGGGCAGACATAAAGACATTGAATGGCATCTCAGACGACGCGTGCGATGTCTTCCTGCATGATGCACGCCCGGATTTCCCAGCCCTCTCCTCTGCGACACGGATGGATGTCAGTGCTCGGGCGAGTCTTGGACATATTCATACGGTTGCGCATCTGCAAGCCGTGCTAGTGGGTGACGATAATCAGGAAGATGTATATTTTGTAAGAGCCTTGAAGGAGAAGACGGCCTCAATGGGTCTGTCTCTTATCACTTTACCTGCTGCTGGCCTCGGAAGTCTTTCTTGGATCTCGTCGTTGGATGGTGCAGCATTGAACCATTTCAGTAAGATCCACGTGGACATTGTGATCCAGGCACGACCCGAATCTTCAGCGTCGCTCATCCGGCTTCTCCGCTCAATGAAAGAGGCCGACTATTCTGGATGGTCTCCTCCCAGACTGACCATTGAGCTACCAGCCAGTGTCGATCCATTTCTTACGGATTATCTTGCGCGCTTCAAGTGGCCGGTTGACGCCAGCAGCAGTGAGAGCAGACTGGTGATAAGACACAGGACGGATGCGAGTCTCCTTTCGCCGCCGCAAGCGTCCTTACGAACCGTTGAATCATTCTACCCTCTGGTGCCTGGAGACTCTCATGTACTGCTTCTCTCACCTGAGGCCGAGTTATCCACCGGGTATTTCCATTTATTGATGTATACCCTGCTGGAATATAAGTATGCTGCCAGGCGGACGGACCTTGTGAATCATCTGCTTGGTATTTCACTTGATCTACCACCTTATGCACCTGATCTCCAAACCGAAGCGCCATGGACATCCAGCCGCCTCCAGGAACCACTTATCCTCTGGCAGGTACCAAACTCCAACGCCGCTCTGTACTTTGGTGACCGTTGGATGGAATTGCATACCTTTTTATCTCGTCGCCTTTCGGTCGATCCTGAGCTGTCAAAGAGGAGTACCGCAACTCCAAGCATAGCCCATGAGTTTCCGGCATGGCTCAAGCCGATGCTTGAAATGATGCAAGCGCGAGATTATTGGATGATGTACCCGAACTTTGTAGCTACACAAGGTTCCTCGGCAGTCACCATGCACCACGAATTACCTGAATCTCCAGAGGAGTACCTGGTGGATGATCAGAAAAAGGAGCAGCCCTCGAGCTTTGATGAGGTTCATTTGACCGAGGATCAGACCCTCACAGCAAACGACGAGATTGAGCGGTTAATGCGAAAAGAGCATCGAACGTATAGCACTTCGCTTGTGACCCCGCTTCTCGAGCTGATGCCTTTGGAATTGCGGCAAAGCACTCTTGGAGACGCTGTACCGCTGATATCATACAAAGGGGAGAAAATCAGCTGGGAGGACTCTGGCAGCTTGTCGTGGCAATTTGCTAAAGATTTTGCAGAGACTGTCGGAGGCTGCGCCAGCTACGATCCGATGAAGGTGGGAAGCGGTAACGTCGAGTCACTGTTCTGCCTGGCAGCAGGCTAGAAACGGCTAAGGGGGTGAGAAGAAGCCGCTACTTCTGTAAAATGAGCAGATATTGTACTCTAGCTTATGATTGTTGTCCAGGCCAGGAGAACTACAGTACCAAAGAGGCCACACCAGACTTTGATTTGAAACATTGGAATCAAATGTGGCATCGATCGTATCATTTGGACGAGGTAAGATATGCAGAGGATCGGCGTGTGATGGCGTCCATCGTGCCGCGTGCTTGCGTGCGTGAATCTAGCCTGGGCCGCTCTGTTTAGTGCCTAGTGAGCCATAAAAGCGTCAACTGGCACTGGCACGACTGGCTAGGGATGATGGGCGCGGATGGGACAGGAACTGCCCAGGGAAGCGGGATGGGATGGGCGGCGATCTCAAGTGAATCGAAGATCAGTGGTCTGTAGGAGTGAGGATCATCCGGGTGAAAATACTTAGCAGGGATGAGGCCCAAGACGAGAGGCCTAGGCTGACCAGATGCTTGGATGAGGAGGTGTGAAGCACACTAAATCACCAACTACGGTTCATATCCATCTCCTCGGCGTGCCTCTGTCCTTACTGTATGCCTTCGTCCCTCGACATCCAGCACGTTTTGGATGCAGAAACACATATGAACATGGAGCACGTGGTGATTTCCTCCAAGTATGAAGTACTGCTGGATGAGGACGGAAATGGCTTGCAGATTGCCCCCATCATGCCCCTCTATGTGAGATCCCACAGGTGGTGGTGACATGCGTCAATGACAACCCCTCCCGTGCCCTCCTTCTCAGCCCTCCCGTTCTTCTCTCTCCTTTTCTTCCACCTCAAACAATAAGGTAACGAACAGGGATGCCTTGAGAGGTGCATCATGTCATGGCGCTAGGGAGCATCATGGAGATGGAGACGAGTGTTGCCCGCGTCCAAGTCCTCCACGTCCTCCAATCACTCTTCTTCGATGCGCGCTTCGACCGGCTGCTCACCCATCCAGAGGTCTGACGCATCGATTTTGCTCATCATCCAACGACAGCCTTTTACGAGCCTTTACCGCAGTACTCGTACAGAGTCGGTGGGAGTATTGCACTGCCCCTCCCGTGCAAAGGCGTTGACCCGTTCAGCCCATTTCCCTCGAACTGCCCGCTAATGCACACTTGTTCTTCTCTCTGGCGAATGGATAACTGGATCCCCCCGACTCCAGAAGCCTATCACTCGGCTCCTAGGGCAATCCGAATCGCTTCGATAGTTACCAATCGCTCTGACCCTGGTTCCCCGGCAGAAGCAGCCCTTTGCTTGGGCCTCCTTCTGGCCCGCGCTCCTCCCTCGAACACTTGCTGCCCCACCATCCTCCAGACTGGCTCCTCCTCCAGACTTCCGCTCGATACATGCACTTCTCACAAATCTACCTTGGGTTCGCATTGTGGTATACGCTGATAGCTTCTCTACCAGCCTCCCACCCTCATCTCAACGTCTTCTTCGTGGATTGCTGCTGGTCTTCACTCAACCTTAGCAGCTCGAACGGTCAATTCTTCCCTTGTTCTTTGTCCCTGGGCCTGAAACTCCCCTCGACAAATACCTCGGTCGCCCCTCCCGAACACTTTCCACTCTTACGAATTGAAAGAATTCGGACAAGTTCGTCCCATCAGACGTTCATATCCCGTCGCCTGCCATCGTGCAGGTCTGGCTGGGACTCCTGTTGGTGCAGGATGAGCCTTTGAGCAGACGTGCTCGGGACTGATTGAAATACATTCTACACCACATCAACAAGCATGGCGACGCTTGTCGTCCAACAACAACCCTCTGTTCGACAGTCTACCACTCCACCTCCAGTCGGCCCAACAATTACCCTCAATCAACCCCGATCCTCCACTCCTGTACCCAACAAACACCTCCCATATTGTCCTCCTGGACCTGTACCATCACAATCCCAGATCACTCCACCAAATTCACCTCCGCTTCGAAACGTCGCCCCCAAACCCACTTCGCTGCTCTATCCTCCGCACAACTACACTAAGTTGTGCAACTCCCCACCTATCTATGGTATCAGTGCAAAAGGCCTTGCCGAAGCGCTCGATCACTATGCCTCTCAACCTCTCCCAAACCCCGGTTCGGTCTTCCCTTGGCTTCATGGCTTGCACCCAGAAAACAGCATTCAAATGGCCTTCTTTGTGGCAAGAAAGAAGTCGTTGAGACGGATTCCAAAATGCATTCGAGGTATAACCATCATAAAGGCTGGTGGGGATCTCAGTCGGGCACGCATCAAGGGCGCCCTCGCCCCAGATGAGATCTTCAACCTGTCAGACAGCAATGGCCGAGGTTTTCTGGAATGTGATCCAAAAGAGGGCTTCTCAGTACGCAACTTTCACATCCAGGCTGCGAAAATGGCTCTAGTGTCGGATGTTGTTGTTTATGGCGACGAGGACACTGACCATCGAATCATCAAGTCCGTTGCTGAGAGGGCCGCATCTGTACAGAAGAGATGGCGCCGAGAGTTGGAAAACTTGGGACAGTGCCCAGAGACTTTCAATACGTTTGTCCTTACTCAACCTTTCGAGGATTTTGAACAAGATTATCCAGAATTGGTGGCCATCGACTCTCAAGGCCACTATCCGGACCACAGTCTAGACTTTCTCCAGCAAGAACGACGCGAAATGTGCGCCATGTCGAAGGCTTCCGAGATTTCTCACGGCGTCTTCCAAGGTCCATCCCCCGGACCCCATACCCTCCCGCCATCAACCATGGACGATCCATCCTTTGACCTCTACATCGAGGCTAGCGACCATGCATCCATCCCGGATGAGAAAATGCTAGCAACCAAGTTGAAACAACTCCAAGATCGACAGGACAACAAGCCTGTTCATCTCGCCTTTCCCAGTTCAGGGAGCATTCTGCCGCCATCTTGGTCGCAAGCCGAGGCTGATGGGATTCTGCGGATGTGTCACTGGTTGTACGACTTGACGCATGCCAGGAAACCCGTGAGCGGGACTCAAGATGATGATGGCGATATCCAGATGACTGAATTTTCACCTCAATCTCGACGAGTGCTTTTGCATTGCGCCGATGGCTATACAGAAACCTCGATGTTGGCTGTGGCTTACTTCATGTTTGCTGAAGGCCTTCCAGTTCACGATGCTTGGATTCGTTTGCACACCGAGAAGCAGCGAAATTTCTTCGCGTATCCTTCCGATGTGGCCCTGTTGATGGCGGTCCAAGACCGGCTGTTGAAGGAGAGCCCAAAATTTGTCGGCACAAAGGTTCCCCAACTACCAGCGCCTGCGTGGTTGTCCAAGCTGGATGGCAGCCTTCCTAGTCGGATCCTGCCATACATGTATCTGGGCAACCTGACGCATGCGAATAATCCAGAAATGCTTCGTCTTTTGGGTATCCGTCGCATCCTCAGTGTCGGAGAACCAGTGGCGTGGTCGGGAAACGAAGTACAATCTTGGGGTCGAGAAAATCTGCTTATGGTCGATCGGGTTCAGGACAATGGGATTGACGAGCTTTCGCCTGAAATGGATCGCTGTTTGAAGTTTATTGGTAAGTCATCATCATTCAAAAGCGATTCGTGGGCTCACCGTTGTTCAGAAAAGGGAAAATCAGATGGTACAGCTACACTGGTGCATTGTCGCGTTGGAGTTAGTAGATCTGCCACGATTTGCATTGCAGAGGTCATGGCAAGTCAAGGGTTGAGTTTTCCAAGAGCATAGTAAGTCTTTCTTCTTCAGGGTGTCTGCAATTCCTTTTACTTACCTTTCGACACAGTTGTTTTGTGCGTGCACGGCGTCTGAATGTCATCATCCAGCCGCATCTCAGATTCGTGTATGAGTTGATGAAGTGGGACGAGCAACAGCAAGCCAAGAGGGGCGAGCCCGTGAAAAGGGAACTCGAATGGGCCGTTGTAGCAAGAGAAATTGCTGCCATGAACAGGCCTTACTCTCGGACATGAGATGTGTTTGTGCGGCGCCGCAGGCTCGCAGCCGCATATCTTTACAACCTGGAGAAGACGAAAGCGACGCTTGCTTTCTGGCATGTCTGGTCCGGTGTGACGATGACATGAGAATCATGATTGCTGTTATGGATGTATACGAAGTAATGAACTGACGATTCTGGGATATTTGGTAGGCTGGATTCAATACCTGAAGAGCACAATTTGGGTGGCTGCGGCTCGTTTACTGGCAAGGGTACTGTGTCAGTCAAATAGCCTGGCTACAGGGATTGGGCTAAATCTGTGATACATGTGCTGGGCCCTTGGAAGTTGTGAATGCTCGCGACGTCAAAAGCGGGATTTCGATGATGATGTGATACAGCGTGAGACACTTTGCAGAGCTCAATGTTTTGTCCAAGAATCGTGTATGTGTGTGTAGCGGTTTTCACTGTGGGTAATCAGGCCCACTTCAGCACATCAACGTGGTTGGCATCGAACAATACTAGTACCACATCGGGGCCAGATGAACAATTCCTTTTCATTTCGAGTCATTTCGGCCAGTGTGTCTGTATGGGCGATGCAGTATTAAATCTATTTCTGGACCAAGCGCGGCAGTCTCACCGTGTCTAACATTATTCGTAAAGGGTCTATCCAGAATCTTGTAGAGCGTATCACGACAAGTGATCACCGATAATGAGCTCCCACTTCGCTCACATAAGAAGCGGGACAGGCCCGTAAGCAGTCGGCCGTCCACCATTTGGGTTGTCACTACACACCAGTTTCCGAGGCCACTTATAATCTCTCAGCGCGCTCTCTCAGCTCATCGGCGAGGCGTTCGAGATAGGCTTTTGCGATGGGCTTGGGAATAGCTTCCAACAGTTTCGTGGCTGGTTCGAGGAGGGCGTCGTTGTTGGTGGGCTGTTGTCCATTAGCCACGCCAGATCCAGGCCCAGCCACGATGTTCTGGTGGTCGCCGTCGGTAGAAGCAGTAGTCGTCTTCGATGCGGCGGCGCCGTTAGTCGCGTTGGCGTTCGTGTGGTGGATGATAAAGCGACGAAGGATCTTGTCCAGATCGCGGCGGCCGTCCTCGTACGCGGCCAGATCGCGGTTGCCGTAGACATCGCGGCCGGCGGGGTAGGCAGAGGCGGAGAGTGAGCGGAAGAAGATGTTCAAGGAGATGTTGATGCGGGATGTTGCTGGGTCGGACGAGTGGGGTTTTGCATTTGAATTTGACAGAGTGGCAGTAGTGGCAGTAGTAGTGGCAGTGATAGCGGTAGCGGTAGCGGACTGGTCTTCCGAAGTTGGTGTAGGTTCTGACGCTTGTGCGGGAGCAGGTGAGGGTAATGGCGTGCCTGAATGAGCCCACAGTGGAGGAATAAAGAGGGCTTCACCGGGTCGAAGAATGGCAACGTGGGGTTGCGTGTTGGGAATGGGTCGTAGCCGGTCTTCCTCGGTTTCTGGATTGCTCGATGGCTCGAAGATATCGATGGTTGAAGTCGTCGAACCGGGCGGGAAGGATAGGTGTTTGATATCGTCCGGCGGGAAGAGGATGAGTTTCCTCGTACCTCTGATTTGGAAGAGGACGTTTGCCATTACGTCGTAGTGAAGCCACATGTTGACGTTGGCGCTGATGCGTAGAGGGCTGCTGTGCTGGTTGCGGTGGATGAACTCGAGGTGTTGTGGCAGATGGAAGTCAGGAGCTAACTCGGGCCAGTCAGTGGAGAACACGGCGGGAACCTGTGTTGGTTTCGTGCTGGATATGGAGCGTAAATACATATGTGCACTGTGGTCGGTTTGTAGTTGCTGAATAAATTTATGGAAGGGTACAGTCGTGTAAGCAAAGTCTTTTCGTTGGAAGTTCATGGTTCGGCTGGACGCGGTGTGGATGATGACGGATCTGGAAGACGGCACCTTGGAGAGAAGATAGGAGGCTGTCCATTGGGAGATACACGGGCCAATGTCGAAACACGTGAGGATCTTTGGCACACCGGCATGTAGGATGCTTGTGAAATCTTGCTCCGAACAGAGACTGACACAATCGACCGAGATCAACGGCCGCATCGAGCCTTCTTTTGGCAGAGGTTGGCCACCAGGTAGAGCATTTCGTTGTGTGGGCTTGATGAGAGCCCAGGGCGTTACGTCGCCAGCTTCGAAGAAATAGAGGAGCCAACATCCGGGATTCCAGTATGCACCGAAGCTGAAGCATGTTGCTCCTCCGCCAACGATCAATGTGGTTCGATCCTCGACACTTGCTGTGCGGTGGGTAGAATGCCCAATGAAGAATGGTCTGGGAACGTTCGCGTCCTTTCTTGGTATAACGCAGGCGACTCGCAATTCCATCTCTTTCTCGAACTCACCAAAAGCAGAGAAACTTCCCAAGATGGAAAGTATCTCGTAGTCCTTTGGTATGCAGCCGTGCCTTGCCACTCCGCCGACAACCAACAGCTCGTTCCTGATCACGCTATAAGAGGCTCCTAGCCGAGACAGCCAAGGCCAGATCCCAGCTGAGGTGTCCAAAGCGTTGGAGGGCTTGAAGGTGATACCTGCAACGACACCGTCTCTGATGGTTAGTCGCCATCTCCATAGACCCTGGCAAATGACACCGTCGTTGCGCATGCCGCCGAATAGCAAGCCATGATTAAACCCGAGCCGTACAAAGCTTGCTCCGAACCGTGGCATGGGATCTTTCAGGAGGGATCGCAGTTTCTGCCATCCGTTCTTCTTGTCCCAAAGCAGACAATCGATGGCGACTTTCGTGGCTGATGTCTTGCCTCCGAAGACAACAACACCGTACTGTTTGTCTGGCAATACTACGGCTGCAGCTCGATGTCGAAATCGAGGCTCCGGGAGATCTTGTATTCTCTCCCATTTTGATCCTATTTGCAGCCAGCAATCCTTCATTGGTGCCGAGGGTGACCCTCGCCCACCAACTAGGATGTTCTGTCCGTTTGCAAGGGTTGTCATGGTGTGACAGCATCTTGCTCCAATGTCTTCCGGTGGTAATGAAGGGGGTGGGAGCTTACAGTCTGTAGCGCAGTATACCGACGTACTGGATAATCGAGCCTGAAGGCCGACCCCGCCATGCAGGCCAATCGCGTCTTCGCCAGGGATGCGGTATGCTGAAGCATGATGGGTACGCCCTTCTCGTTCCGGATTTTGCGTATATTTGTATGCGAAGAATTGAGTCAAGCCGCTGTATGGTGAGACCGTCCTCGTGGACAGATCGGACGCTATACTGTCGATGGACGCCCGTCTTGATCTCGGCTGCTCTGAGATAAGTGGCTCATCACCTGTCTGGGCGATAATGAGACCGTAATGTGACGCGAACAGTGCGAACTCTTCCCTGATGGATCGTCAGTAGGCCATTCGGGAGCATCGTGTGGAAGCCTTACCATTCATCGAAAGGTTCAACTTCGTCCAAGGACATTCTTTGTGAGGGGGATAGAAATCTCGGATCAGCCCATAGCTCCCATAGATTCTGGGTCTCGACCATGTGGAAACCAGCGCTCTGAAAGCGTAAGGTCTGAGTATGACATCCGGGATATTTGAAAACAGACCGAAGCGGGGTGCCTAACTTGGCGAAGTGCTTCATCATTGTAGCCGTGAAGGGATTGTCAGGCCGATCTGGTGATTGCTGCTCTAACAAGCAGAAGGTGACGTCTGAGCTTGTCAGTTGCGCCATCGAAACGGCGGAGAGATGTGTTTCTTACCAGGAGAAAGTGTGCTTGTCCAGGCAATAAGTGCATCCGAGTCTTCGGCAGCCATATAAGTGATGCTGACTTCTGCCACGCAGAGGACGAGACAGTCGTCAAGGTCCACAACTGACCTGAGCAGTCGCTCTAGCCTTCGTAGATTCCGTAAGTCGCAGCCAATGGCGACATACTCTTCGCTGTCCAGCACTATTCCCGTTTCTTGCGACATATCGGCATTAATTGAAAGCAAATCTCTCATTCTAGGAGTGTTGCGAATGATCTCTCGCTTGCTGATCATCAGTTCTCCGAAGTCGACATCGACAAATTTAGTACCACTGCACAGATTTTTATCTTGTGCCAACCACTGAAAGGGAATTGGGTCACTAAGACAGTGAGTATAAGAATCTTCCAAATCCGGCCACCTGAGACCTTACTCACTATCCGCAACCCAGGTTGATGATGACTTTCTTCTGATCGGAAGGTCTTTCTAGGAATTGTCTGACGACCCAGTCGATCGCCCTCATACGGAGCCAATATCCACGGTTGATCAGTGGTGCTCTTCGCAGAGGCTTCTTGACAAAGTAGCGATAGAAATGTGGTTGAGGCAGATATAGTCTTTCCACACTTCTCTTAGACACTATACTGCTGTTGTTTGTCTATTTGGAACCCGTCAGAACAGACACGTATAGGATACGGGAGAATACTTACACCCATGATCAAACCAGCATTCTTCTCCATGGCAATCTCATCATCGGTAGCGTCTCTGCGAGAGGCGGCTAGCGAAGCCATGTTGATCGCGGACTCCTCCGAAGAACCAAGTTGTCCAACAACGAAACTACATGCAGGAATACAGGCTCAGGAAGAAACAGGGAGATGTACATGTATGAGTCAGAGTGGAATATGCAGCTGAAGAGCCTGCTGGTTATTGACGAGCACAAAGTCGGGAAGAAAATCCAGACAAGAAGATTGGTCGAGAGACGGCTTGGCGCAGAAACGGTTCTGGTTAGTCAGCGCGACCTTCCTCTTCATTTGTCCGCCACTATCAAGCCTGAGGAAGTGGCACGACTTTTGTGTTTCTTCGAGACGCATACTCAGCATTGCGTCGAAGATGGAAGCGCCAGAGCCGAATCTAAAGGAACTATACAAGGAAGCCAGGACCCGACAGGAGGAGCTAGACAGCCTTGACCCTCGAAGCTCCGCCTACAAAGACACTTTACAATCCATCATTGACAATCTTGGGAGATGTCGTCAACTGATTCAACAGCTTTCACTGTTCAGCCCGAACGAGGAAGTCGAAGATATCTCCACACATGACCTACAGTGCGCGCCTCGGTCGTTCAGTACGGATTCGTTGCTGACAAACTGCAGATATCTGACTGTTGACTATAACCTGGCGGAGATGAGGACCAAAGCATACGGCGGCGATCGACAGTCGTTATTGAGGGAATCATCGGCACTCTTAGAGAGCTTCCTGACCCGGCTGGACCAGTACAGACTACTAAGCCCGTCCGACCACAAGCTTTACGAGCGCTTTCTTGAGCAGCGAAGTGCTTTCAGAATAGTCTCCTCAACGAACCCCGAAGAGAAGCGCAAAATCAAAATTGCACGCTTTCAAGAAGAAAAGTCCTTGAAGCAAAAGCTCGAGGTTCGTGCGAAATTGCTCACTATGTCCAAGTCGTTCTAACATATCCAGTATCTGAGAAACCAGTCACAAAAGCTCAATACCGATGACGAAACTATCCGACATCTCTACCTAGCCGAAATAGCGCTCTCAGTCAACAGAGCCTTCGCATCATTAGACATGATCACACAGGAACTGGAAATTCTGTCCCAGATACGGCAGATTGAACCGGTCCGAACCGGTCCACCTTCAGATCAGAGAGAGCCTGCTAGGTCCCAAGGCTATTCTGAACGTCTAGATGGTCCTGCTACCATGGGAGGACTGGGTAAAAGAGGCGGGCCTCTGCTCAGTTCAAGTGGCAAACCGCTCCAGCCTTTCACCCTGACAGACAAACGCACTCAACTTCGACAGGGAGTCTTTCGACCTAGTCACAGCCTTCCCACAATGAGTATCGACGAGTATCTTGAAGAGGAACAACGTAGAGGAGGGATTATCGACGGAGGTGGCAATGCCAATGCGCCTCAGCCAGAGCCTGATGAGGACAATATGGAGCAAATTGATGCTGCCACTATGAAAGCTCGAGAGTGGGATGAATTTGTCGAAGCCAACCCCAAGGGTGCTGGCAATACTCTAAATAGAGGGTGAAAGGATATGCAATCGTCCAGGCCGCTTGCTTTACGCGTTCGAAGTAACCGTGTCTTTGCATCTCAAAAGGTACTTTTCGTTGCGAAATATTGGAGGGCCACTCCGCAACGACGATGGCGAGTTCATTTCTCTTCAAGATCGGCCACGGTTGTCGGCCTCTTTGCCTTGATCTCCGCCAAAATTTTATCTGCACCCTGTCTCAACAATTCCGACGCGGCATTGACGCCAAATAATTCAGCATCTTCCTTGCTCTGAACAACTTCCGTCATGTCAATCTCTGACTTTTCCTTTCCGTCCGTGCTGATGACAACGGCCTTCAGCTGAAGAGCCTTCTGATTATGTCCTTTGTCATGCCATGTGGTCTCAACGCCCAAAGGAGCGCTACAACCACCCTCTAGTGTCCTCAGTAAGCTCCGTTCGGTAGCTGTTGCGAGGTGGGTTTCGGAATGATCTATGGTACTGAGCATATTTTGGACTCGTTCGTCTGATGATCGGTTTTCAACCCCGATGGCTCCTTGTCCAACGGCGTATAGCATGCCCCCACTCTTCGAGTCGAGGTATTGAGTGATACGATGGCGTAGATCAAGTCGAATCAGACCAGCAGCTGCAAGAATCACAGCGTCAAAAGGGCCATCCTCGGCATCAAGCTTCGACAATCTGGTACCGACATTCCCTCTCACGTCAACAACCCTTAGGTGAGGATATCTCAGGGCGATCTGGGCAGTCCGTCGCATAGAAGAAGTACCGACAACTGCTCCCGCCGGTAGGTCTTCGATGTTGCATGGTTTGCGCCCAGCTTTGATCACAAAGGCATCCCTTGGATCCTCCCGAGCCACAACGACACCTATTTCACAGCCAGATGGCAGTTGAGTGGGCACATCTGAGAAAGTGGTAAGTTAAGGCTATGGCCTCAATTGGCGGAGTCCAAACCTTTTAGCGAATGCACCAGAAAATCCAGTTGTCCCTCGAGCATCAGGACCTCGAGTTCGTGAGTCCACAAATTCTTCACAGGCATGTCTTTGAAGGGGGTCACTTTGTCGATGTCTCCTGCGGCTGTATCTCGTGCCTTTATGGCGTACACATTATCGGGACATGCCGCTGCCAGAGCCTTCACCACAATATCTGTCTGGACTAGGGCCAGTTTGGATTTTCTGGTGCCGACGTTGAAGGTCAATTTGGAGTCGGTGTCTTGGACGTTTGCCGACGCATTCTCGCCCGAAACCACTGCAATGGTGGCCATCGCAGCGGATTATTTCAAATATTTTCCAATAAGTGGTTTAGAGGCATGAAATCGCGAAATAAATCTACTTGTGCCTTTGACGGTCGCTGTCGCTCGGAAATGTGCCGCCGAGCCGCCTTTCAACCGTGGAGCCGTGGCACGTGAGTTTGCGACTTATCGGCTTCGTTATGCCCAAATCAATTCGGTATCCAGTGGCTGTCGAGCCTGTCTAGCCTCATCCACCTCATCATGCCTCAATCCCTACCTCGGCATGATCAAGACTTCCGGTATCGACCTAGCATCTCGCAGGTTCTATGACCATTCGACAATGCCTTCCGAATAGGTAATCAACTCTCCGGATTATCATAAACGACAAGTCGCCCACTTTCCCCGCCCAGATCCATTTCCTTCACCTTCCATCCGTCCTGCACACCATGGGTTACACCGCGAAGGCAACCATCCCTCTCATCCCTCTCGCAAGGGACTCGGTCCTCCTGCCTGGAGTTACCCTCCGGATCTCTGTGTCGAATCGAGCCGATATACCTCTCCTCCTCTCATCTGCATTCCAACGAGCCACCAGATCAAGGGGCGGGACTGCGTCACTTCCTATCGGCTGCGTTCCTATTAACTCGCCTTACCTGAGCGCCGATGGCAGAGAGCTGCTGGATAGTTCAGAGAAAGAGAGCAGCAGCCACATTGAACATGAAGTCGACCCTGGCAGTGCAGCCAAGAAAGACTTGTTCAAGTATGGAACTCTGGCAAAGATCATTGGAGTACAAGGAACCTCCAACGCCGACCCATACCTCGTAGTTGAAGGAGTTCAGAGGTTCAGAATAGACAGGATTAGGCACGAGAAGCCCAACTTCGAAGCTGAAGTCACCTTCTACGAGGACGAAGTTCCCGACCTCAATGACGGAGACCTCCGCGCCAGCTTCACGCGGCTGAAGCAGCGATCCCGCGAGCTGCTCACTCTGCTTCGCCTCTCGTCTCTTTTCCGACCAGCCTCTCTGGTTCTCTCCCCACTGATTGTCCGCCGCTTCGAATTATTCATCGCAAAGAAAGATCTTTCACAAGCTGGACAATTGGCGGATTTTATGACAGACATTGTGGAAGCAAGCTATGAAGAGAAGCTTCGTATCTTGAGTACACTGAATCTCCACGAGAGATTGGAGCGCGTCCTTGCCCTGCTTAACAAGCAGATTGCAGGCATCAATGGGAACATCAAGATCACCTCAATAACGTCAACCTCTCTCCCGTCGAACATAGGCGTGGACATATCCGACCTCAACCAGAGCCAGCGTGAAGCGTTAGCAAAAAGGGCTATGTCCGGCCTGAATGGTATGCCCCCTTTCGGCATGCCTGGGGCACGAGGTGGCGGGGATGACGAGGCCAACGAGGTCAACGAAGTGGAGGAACTAAAGAAGAAGGTGGCAGAGGCGGGTCTGTCGCCTGAAGCCCAAAAGGTCGCCGAGCGCGAATTGAAGCGTCTTAAGAAGATGAACCCCGCCAATGCAGAGTATGGCGTTATCCGGACCTACGTGGAGAACTTGGTCGAGATTCCATGGACAAAAGTCACAGACGAGCACTTGGGCGCCGACACTCTGGCTCGCGCTCGCAAACAGCTCGATGACGACCACTACGGTCTCGAAAAAATCAAGAAGAGATTGCTGGAATATTTGGCTGTCCTGAAGCTCAAGCAATCTGTCAACGCTGATGTTGACCAACAAATAGCACGACTCACCAAGCAACTTACTCCCTCTCAAGAAGGTGAAGAACGCGAAGTCGAGCAGATTCCAGACACGGAGAAAGATGCTGCTACGGCTAAGTTACATGTACTCAAGTCAAAGAGAATGGTTGACAAGTCACCAATTCTTCTTCTCGTTGGCCCGCCCGGGACTGGCAAAACGTCACTCGCAAAGTCAATTGCGCTGTCTCTGGGTCGCAAGTTCCACAGAATCTCCCTTGGTGGTGTACGGGACGAGGCAGAGATCAGAGGCCACAGACGAACCTACGTTGCCGCCATGCCTGGTCTAATTGTCAGTGGCTTGAAGAAAGTTGGGGTTGCAAACCCCGTTTTCCTGCTTGACGAGATCGACAAAGTCAGCACGAATAACTTCCACGGAGACCCATCAGCTGCCATGCTCGAAGTTCTCGACCCAGAGCAGAACCACAGCTTCAATGATCACTATGTTAATATCCCCATCGACCTCAGCAAGGTCCTCTTCATTGCCACCGCCAATTCTCTGGACACGATTCCTGCACCACTTCTCGACCGTATGGAAACCATTCAACTCTCGGGCTACACCACGATCGAGAAACGCCATATAGCCAAGCAGCATCTCATCCCCAAGCAAATCCGCACAAACGGACTATCAGAGGGAGAAGTCGTCCTTCCCGACAATGTGGTCGACACCATCATCACCTCTTACACACGTGAGTCTGGCGTGCGCAATCTCGAACGTGAAATAGGCTCGGTGTGCCGGTACAAGGCCGTGCAATACGCTGACGCCCGCGACGCGGGCGACATGAACAAGTACAACCCGACCGTGACTGTAGACGAGCTCGAAGAGATTTTGGGAATCGAACGGTTCGAGGAAGAGATCGCGGAGAAGACCTCACGCCCCGGCGTCGTCACGGGCCTCGTGGCGTATTCGTCCGGTGGCCAGGGGAGCATTCTGTTCATCGAGGTCGCCGATATGCCGGGCAAAGGCCGCGTCCAACTCACCGGCAAATTGGGCGACGTCCTAAAGGAGTCCGTCGAGGTTGCGCTCACGTGGGTCAAAGCGCATAGTTACGATCTCGGCCTGACGCACGATCCACACGAGGATATCATGGAGAAGCGTGCTATTCACGTACACTGTCCGGCGGGTGCGGTTCCAAAGGACGGGCCCAGTGCCGGGTTAGCGCACACGATTGCACTCATCTCGCTGTTCAGCGGGAAGAGTGTGCCGCCGCAGATCGCGATGACGGGCGAAGTCAGCCTCAGAGGACGTGTCATGCCAGTCGGTGGGATCAAGGAAAAGCTGATAGGGGCCCATCGCGCCGGTGTCAAGACGGTGCTTTTGCCCGCGCATAACCGCAAGGATGTCAAGGATGTGCCGGACGAGGTCAAGCGGGAGATGGACATTGTTTATGTCAAGTAAGTCACTATATCCCCTTCATTTTGGATGTGAAAATGGTGCTAACATTTCTGACAGGCACGTCTATGAAGCATTGCGGCATATTTGGCCAGACTCGCAATGGGCGTCGGATAGCCACTTTGCGGAGGTCGAGAGTAGGTTGTAGTGTAAGCGATACGTGGCAGAGGGCGGCGATGTGAGGAATAGGGTGTTAGCGAGCGTCCTTTTTGGCCTCATCTTGGGTATAATCGTATCATATTCTGCTTCGCTTAGCTTTGCTGCCCTATTAAGAGTCCATGCCGCTTCTTGCATTCATTTGGTCAGGAGGGATTTGGGGAGCTTTATATGGTTTAATCATCTTTCTCCCACGATCTTTTCAACGGCGACTTTGGAGGCAAATAACGTCTTTTCGACTTCTTGGATTTACATTTTTTGAACCGAACCAGTATTGTACAGGGTATCTATTGTCGAGCCACAGAATTCGACACTGGCTTGTCGTCTAGCGCCTGCCACGTCGGCGCCCACTTCGTTTTGCCTTTCAGCAGCTCTTGAGCCTGCTGCGCGATGCTTTTTCGGTGCTCTACATTCGGTTTCGTCGTTCCCCATGAGGAGCGCATCCGCTGTCGGGCGAATTCTGCCTTCATTGCTGTCCAGAAGTCTTCGCGTTCCCAGCTAAGATTTGAGTTAGCACAGATGCCAGTGGTGGATGGAAGACGGCAACTTACGCATCGAGATCTGTGATCTCCTCTGGATACACAAATGGTTTGGCCAATTGGACGGTCATCTTCTTTATGCTTGCAGGTCGATATAGGGGGCCTTGAGTATATTGGCTGACTGGTTGCTTTCTGTCCACTTTTTGCTGCACCACTACGCTCCGAATGTGGAGGACGTCAACGTTGTAGACGTTCTTTAGGTATGCTTGCAGGTCTAGTTTGCTGAAATGTCGTGGGACGTCGAAGGCTGCGTAGTATGGACTGAGGTGGGGTGTGCGCATCAGGACGACAGCGTCTTTTGGGTCCGGACTTTGAATTAAGAGGTTAGCAGACTGTGAGATATGTCTTTGAGGAAGGAAGAACTCACAAGTATATCTGTTTCCGGAATTCATAAGGGACGTTCGACGAGGCGGCGAAAAAGCGAGGTGGATTTTCCAGTAGTTTAAGTACCGTGGGCTTGTCAAAGATGTGACGGTTGGCACATATAAAGTCTCTGACATCGCTTGAAACTCGACGAAGATGAGGGTGCACATCCATAAAGTTGTCGAGGTCTTCCCTCTTCAGCTTCCACCATTCGAGATCGTTGTTATTGCGCGTTTCTTGAAGTGCTTGCTCCGTCACTGGGTCAAGTCGACGATGATTGTTGGATTGAACTTGACTCTTGTGAATCTCGAGCCATTTTTGTACTGATGTTGTTTTCTCGAAGTCTTTGGAGTGTTCTGGTGTCAATCCAACGCTGGTTCTGGTTCGACGTTTGGCATTCCATAATCGCGGCCCGCTCGATGTTCGGATGTTTTTCGATTTTGTGTAGAGCGTAGGCGGGAGACGTGCCCGCGGCATGATTGCGAATGGCCTGAGGGAAGTCCTTGAAGAGATGCCTTGAATACCAGGATCGAACTTTCTCCAGCTTCAGGTGCAGGGCCGCAAGCGCTAGATGGCCGCAGCGGGAAAGTTAGCCGCGGTGGTGTGGTAAGGAGGAGCAGCCTGAGGAATACGGAAGACACGCGCTCAAACATTTTGGTAGTGGTGGACCTCCTCTCCATCATTCAATCGTTCCGTAAGCTACTTGCCGCCTGCCACTAAGGTATTGTGCCCATCACCATCATTGCTCTTGCCTCCATAACATATTTGGGACACTTCTCTCAAAGTTTTCGTTCTGACAGAGTTCCATTGACCGTCGAATTCTCTTCCCACGATTCACTGGCCAGCGAGGCCACCCCGACAAGATGGCGCAGGACGACAAGAAGCCGACCGCCGCAGACAAGGGCAAGGGCAAGGCAGATGATGTTCCCATGTCAAACGGAGGTCAAGATGCACACACAGGGAAGGAAAAGCCGAAACAGGCCGATGGCAAGGTTGAGGCGCCGGCCGAGGAAGAGCTCAGCGAGGAGGATCAACAACTCAAGAGCGAACTAGAGATGCTGGTGGAACGATTAAAAGAAGACGATGCCAGCTTGTATAAGCCTGCAATGGATGCAATCAAGAACTTCATCAAGACCTCTACCTCCTCGATGACCGCCGTACCAAAACCACTCAAATTCCTCCGACCTCACTACGATGAGCTCGCCGCTCTCTACGACAAATGGCCCGCAGGCCCTGATAGAGATTCACTAGCCGACATGCTTTCGGTGCTGGGCATGACATACGGAGATGAAGAGAAGCTTGAAACACTCAAGTACAGGTTATTGTCAAAGTCGGACGATCTTGGTTCTTGGGGTCACGAATACATCCGGCATCTTGCTCTTGAGATCGGTCAAGAATACCAGAATCGACTAAATGATGAAAGAGAAGTCGGAGACCTCACAGAACTTGCCCTAGCGCTGGTGCCATACTTCTTGAAGCACAACGCAGAAGCTGACGCTGTGGATTTGCTGAGCGAGCTGGAGATGATTGAAGAGATTCCACGATTCCTGGATGAAGATACCTACTCGCGAGTGTGTCTGTATATGGTCAGCATGGTCAGTCTCCTCACCTATCCCGACGATGTTGCCTTTCTCAAGACTGCACACGAAATCTACGTCAAGTACAACAAGCTGGCACAGGCAATGGTGCTCGCTATCAGACTCAACGACGAAGAGCTCATTCGTCAGGATCTCGAGTCGACAGAAGACGTGGCGTTGAAGAAGCAATTGGCATTCCTCATTGCTCGACAGCGTATATCAATAGATGTGCCTTCGGAGACAAAGGATGAGCAAGAGATTGCTGAATGCTTGGGAAACACACAGCTACCGAACCACTTCAAGACCCTCGCAAAAGAACTCAACATTCTCGAGCCAAAAACACCAGAGGATATTTACAAGACACATCTGGAGAGCGGACGCGGGAGCTCAGCAGCAGCGGATTCAGCCAAGCATAACTTGGCTAGTGCGTTTGTCAACGGCTTCGTCAATGCCGGCTTTGGTAGCGACAAGTTGATGCTGGTCGAGGGCGAACAACGACCATTTGTTTGGAAGACCAAAGACGACGGCATGCTAAGCACTACCGCCTCCCTGGGTTTGCTCATGCAGTGGGACGTCGAAGGCAGTCTAGACAAAATTGACCAATTCCAACACTTGTCGGAAGATCCGATCAAGGCTGGTGCGCTACTAGCCTACGGTGTGGTCAACTCTGGAGTAAGGATGGAAGGCGATCCGGTCATATCCCTGCTCAGCGACGATGATGTCCTGCAGCATGGAAAGCCGTCGATGAGACTCGCTGCTATCATGGGTCTTGGTTTGTCTTATGCTGGGTCCAACAGGGAGGATCTGCTGGACTACCTACTACCGATCGTCGAAGACCAGAACCTTGACATGCAAGTATCTGCTATGGCCGCTGTCTCGCTCGGCATGGTCTTCGTTGGCTCGTCGAATTACCAAGTAGCTGAGGCCATTGCAAATCAGTTGATGGACGAAGACCGCCAAAGACAGCTCAAGGACAAGTGGGCTAGATTTATGGCGCTGGGTTTAGCGCTGCTTTACTTCGGCAAGCAAGAAGAAGCGGACGTTATCTTGGACATTTTGAAAGCCATCGACCACCCAATGGCCATGCCTACTGCAACTCTTACTTCTGTTTGTGCCTGGGCAGGTACTGGAGCTGTATTGAAACTGCAAGAGCTGCTTCATATCTGCAATGACCATATTGAGGACAAAGATGAGACGATTGGCGAGCAGCTCGTTCAGTCATATTCTGTACTTGGGCTGTCTCTGATCGCCATGGGCGAGGACGTTGGCCAAGATATGGTGCTCCGACAATTTGGTCACCTCATGCACTATGGAGAGTCCAATATTCGAAAAGCTGTTCCACTCGCAATGGGTCTCCTCAGCCCCAGCAATCCTCAGATGAAGATCTACGACACCTTGTCACGATACAGCCACGACAATGACAATGATGTTGCCATCAATGCTATATTCGCAATGGGCTTGGTGGGAGCGGGCACAAACAATGCTCGTCTTGCTCAATTACTGAGACAACTTGCCAGCTATTACCACCGAGACCAAAACTCATTATTTATGGTTCGCATTGCTCAAGGTCTTGTGCATATGGGTAAGGGTACCATGTCCCTCAACCCCTTCCATACCGACCGCCAAGTGCTGTCCAGAGTTGCAGCTGCAGGTCTTCTGACAGTCCTTGTTTCGCTCATCGACTCGAAGCAATTCATACTGGGCGATGCCCACTACCTACTCTACTTCCTGGTTACCGCCATGTATCCGAGATTCCTGGTCACTTTGGACGAAGATCTGAAGCCGATCACCGTCAATGTCCGTGTTGGTCAAGCCGTGGACGTCGTCGGTGCTGCAGGCCGACCAAGAACGATCACAGGCTGGCAGACACAAAGTACACCTGTTCTTCTGGCATATGGCGAACGTGCAGAGCTGGAAGACGAGGAGTATATCTGTCTGAGCAGCACTCTGGAGGGACTGGTTATTTTGCGAAAGGTTAGTGACTCCTCGAATTGATAGGTCCCTATACTTACATTGGTCAGAATCCGGAATGGGAAAGCACAAAATAAAACATGGTCCAGTTATGATTGTATCCATATTGTCGCATTAGCCTCGAGACAAGGTGGAACAATGGATCTTGGGTCGGGCTTGTACCAATACAATGGGGAATCTACCTTAGACTTGCGCGGGAGAGAAATCCTCTGAACGGAAAGGGATGGCTGAAAGACATCTCAATACAGTAGAAGTCTTGAATTACATAAGATCGAAAGTCGATTGATTGTTTACTGTGCTCGTTGAAGTTTCCATTGCACCGGTATTTGCAAGGCTGGGCTATGCAAGTAGGGTACGAGGCTCGCTGGGCTCGCTGGCTCGTCAAGTCAAGTTGGAGAATGTGATCCACCCGGAATGGCATCATCGTCGGCCATCCTGGATGCGTGACTTGTGCCCTGTCCACTGTCCGCTGTCCACTGCATCACATTGATCCTTACATCGGCGAGGCTGCCACGCAAGATGAAGCCGTCGCAGATATAGCGACTGTCATCATGACCGCTTCTTTGCTCTCGATCTAACCTCGCTAGGCTTTCTGGAGCGATCGCTGCCTCTACTAGCCCACTATGGCACCGACCTCCAACCCACGCATCACTGCTCTCGACTTTGACTCCAACCGCAAGCGCAGGCGCCGGTCGGCTGGCTCTCATCCAAGCATTGGAGATGATGACTTTGATTTCATGGGCCGTGTAGCAGAGGAGATCATCGAGCGAGACCGCATCAGAATGCGTAGAGAAGTCACACGAACACTCAGCTTTGTCTGCGCTGTTCTGAGCTGGTATGGCCTGTTTCAGAGCCAGTCTGAAAGATGCTAACACACTCCAAGTCTATGCGCCGGATCGATCACGTCCTTTTCTCTATATGGCGCCCGCTTCCTTACCGACCTTCACTACACCCAATTCCGTGTCAATGCCGTATCTATAACTGCTGAACTGGCCATGTACCTACCTGTTCCTCTATTTGGCTATCTCTGCGACCGCTACTCTCCTCCACCATTGTCGCTGCTTGCTTCTCTTCTATTCGGGTTCGGTTATCTCCTGGCGGCATATACATACAAAGCAGGACCACCTCCCGACGCTGCAAGAGACGGGCAAGGATGGCCATTCGGGATCATGATCCTCGCATTCATCGGCATCGGCGCAGGAACAAGCTGCATGTACCTCTCTGCCGTAGCGACATGCGCGAAGAATTTCGCGACAGCCAAATACCGCGGCTTTATGCTCGCGGTGCCCATTGCAGCATTCGGCCTCAGCGGCATGTGGCAGAGCCAGGTCGGTGCGCACCTCCTGTACCAGAAACTACCCAACGGGCACAAAGGCGAAGTGGACGTGTTCAGATACTTTGTCTTCCTGGCCGGCACGCTCATCGGCGTCGGTCTCCTGGGCACCATCGGCCTCCAAATCGTCGACGAGGAGGGACTCATTGACCACGGTGTCGAAGCCCTCGAGCGGAGCGGTCTTCTCGAGGAGAGCGAGTTCTTCCGCGACACAGAGGCCCCGACGCCTATTAACTACGGCGCCACCGACCATTCGGGCACTTCTACACCGTCCGACATCGCCTCTGAAGAAGTTGATCTTTCCGAGTCCCAAGTCCTCAAAAAGCGCGAACAAGAGCACCGTCTACGCAAAAAGAAATGGTGGCTCCTCAACCACGCAACGCACAGCTTCCTCACAGACCGCACGATGTGGCTGCTGGCGGCAGGCTTCTTTCTCGTTACAGGTCCTGGAGAGGCATACATCAACAACCTCGGCACCATCATCCCCACGCTCACGCCCAAACGCTACTTCGACATCACCAGCCCACCCGCGGGCCATGCAAGCACGCACGTGAGTATCATCGCACTCGCTTCCACGTTTGCACGCTTGTTCACGGGGACGCTCTCCGACCTGTTCGCGCCACCGAGTCAGCCGGAGAACCCACCCAGCGCTCGAGTGCAGTTCTCGCGGCTTGTGCTCCTTCTGCCGTCAGCAGTGGTGTTACTCATGGCCTTTCTCAACTTGGGATTGCCGTTCCTCACGCCGAGCACGCCCGGGCTGTTTCTGCTCTCGAGCGGACTGCTGGGACTGGGTTACGGCGCGTGCTTTAGCCTGGTGCCGATCATAATCAGCGTCGTCTGGGGCGTCGAGAACTTTGCCACGAACTGGGGTGTCGTGGCGATGATGCCGGCTGGCGGAGCGGCGGTCTGGAGCTTGGTTTACAGTGCGGGATATTCGCGTGCCGGCGCGGGACGCGAAGAGGGCGAATGCTCTGGATACGCATGTTTCGCGGCGTGGGCGTGGGGCTGTGCGGCGAGCGTGGTGATCGCAATCGTCCTGTGGTGTTTTGCCTGGCGGACGTGGAAGAGACGCAATGTCATCGTGTAGAATGCGACAAGGACCAGAAGAGAGACGAGAAGAGAGACCAGCAATAGCAACGGAGGCGAGGAGGTCCTAGTTGATGTGAGGGTTCTGGTCACCTTGCCTCGGGCTGCGGATGCGCGGGGAAGGAGGGAAAGGGACAGGGAGCCGTGTAATGTGCATATCCGGGTCCGATGAGCCCAATCTCGGGTTGCTTTTAGGTGCGTAGTATCGTCTCGACGAGTTGGACTCCTTCTTGTGTACGGATAAACACTTCCTGGATTACTCAATGTGTCATGGCGACAGCGTTTGGGCTGGGTCGCTGGGTTACAGCTTGGATTCAAAGCGCCTGGGATGGCTTTCACTTCGCGCCGATGGATACAGAGGGCAACGCTCCCAAGGGAGCTGCATAGCAAAGGAAATATACGGACTTCAATGAAAAGAATACTTACATTTTTATATGGATTTTCCAAATCCAGTTCGCAATCTTCTTATTGATGATTCATTGCATTTGGGTATCTCTGGTATCGTAATCATTACATGCGACCGAGAAGCAGGAATTAATCCTTGGCCGTTCCTGTCCCAATCCTACGCTCTATCATGTCCTCCTTAGGATCGGGTATTATTGTCTGGACCCGCTAAACCTGCGCGACCAGATGTCCTTCAACGCCGCGCCAGAAGTGATGCCATTAACGCGCCGCCATGCGCTGTCGGAAATCCGAGAAAGCGAAAATCAAATCAGACCAAATCCCAAGCCGCGACGCCGACGAAACCCATACCAACTCGTCCCTTGCCAGTCAGGAATTCCTGCACAGTCAACCCTCGCGCGTCCTGTCTGTCGCCAAAACTCTTAACCGCAAATAACGTGAGCGTCTGCCCTGGAGCACCCAGCTCTTGAGCAGGAATATCCGCAATCCACGTGTCGCCGCCCTGGCCGCTGGGTCCAGGGTAATACTCCAGTGGGATGAGATCTTTGTTTCTGCCATCAACGCCGCCAACGGAGACAATAAATACCGGGGGCGGACCTTTTCGCGTGTGTCGATCCAATGTCCAATGCGGGCACACGAGACTGAATTGGAAACGGAGGAGGACTTGTTCTCGGATATCGATTTTTCTCGCCCGAGGGCTGAAGGTCTTCTCTCCAATCGAGTAGTCCTCTTTTGCATTTGTGAACACCGTCGGACCTTCGACTGCATCCGGCCAACAAGCCGGATCAATAACAATATATTCCTCCCATGACATGCGGCGGCCGCCAGGAAGGAAGAATTGATCCTTGTTACCAGGAAAGTGTTTGACGGCGAATTGCTCATTGGTCATCGAAAAGAATTCTGGATTGAATTTGGCCACATATGGTCGTCCAGCACCTTGGACATAGCCTGCTCCCCAGCAGCAATCGATGAGTTTCCATTCTCCATTGTCAACCTTGACTGCATTCCACGCGTGACCTGCATTGTAAGATGGAAGAGGTGCTCCTGGAGCAAGGGCACTGAATCCGTATCCTTTGCCATGACCACCGATTACTACTGACTCCAAGCCGGCATAGGTTGCTATATTGGTGAAAAGTGCTGCGTAGCCCTCGCACACAGCCAGACCACTTTGCAAGGTGGACTGTGGAGTCGAGGGCTTCACGTTGTTGCCGAAGAAAGCCACCACGTCGTACGCGACATTGTAATGAAGCCACGTGAAGATTGCCCGAGCTTTGTCTGTAGGTGAAGGGAATGGGGAGGTTAGCTGATGGGCTAGAGTTTGTAGTGATGCAACCTGATTCCTGGGGAAAAGAGTGGCTTGGTGATCGGGACCAGAAAAGTCTCGACAAACAAGGCAGCTAGATGACGAAGTGGCGGGAGATGTACTGGCAGCAGCAAATCTGGGTTTCGTGGCCTGTATAGCCGACAAGTCTGGCCGTGATGAGAGTGGCACAGGAGGTGGAGCGGGGTGAGAGTGCGTGTGTAACCGGGCTGCCTCGTTCCCCGCTGGCATAGGAAGAGGCTCTTTTGCCTCTCGGGGCACCAAGTCCCGTTCGGCAAGGGGTATGTGTCCTCTCGCAGGCAGAATTGTTGGCTCTTGAGCAGGTACCACCTCTACGTGTGCCACCTCTTTCTGGGAGTTGAAGGAGAGGGCTGCCTTTTTGGCCTTTTCGATCATGTCTGCGGACGGCAGGGGAGGCAGCTTGTAAGTGGGTGTCTCGGCAGCATTTTCACAGTTCTCGGTGTCGTTCTTTCGGGAAGGGAGTCGGGGTGGGAGGGAAGGTCTTGGTGGAGGAGCAGGTTTCACGTCTCGAGTAGAGGCCGGTGTGGTGACGCTCGTGCAACTAGGTGCCCGGTTGACATATTTCGGCTTGTCGTCGGAGAACTTTCTGGTGACAGGTTGTGGGTGCGAACCTCTGGCAGGTAGAGGAGGCAGTTCGCAGTCACCCCATGCCGGTGCTTTGATCCGGTTCGCAGAATCTGTGGATTTGGTCCGCGTAGTTGATACCTTGTAGAGATTTGTGTCGTTTGTACCACTCGAGGTCGTAGAGGCTACAGAACCTCTCCTCTGTTCGTCCAGCGAATTGTTCCTGCTCGGTAGAGGTGGAGGTTGTTTTCTGGCAGGTGGTGGAGGAGGAGGAGCCGGCTGATTGCCAATCGTACGGTCGGTGACAGAGCCGTTAACATTTTCCGGGGGGTTGTTGAAGGTCTTCTGTTTGACAACGACGGGACGCCTGGTAGGTATGGAAGGTGAGGGTCGGAGAGGATCACCAGGAATACGACCAACATGAGCAGCGTTTAATGCGGCAATGCGTTGCTGCAAAGTGAGCGGCTGGGGATCTTGGGCCATGGCGAGAGATGGCTGTAGCCTAGATCCCTACGAAGTACAGCAAAGCAATATGCGTAGGTTTGACAAGAGCGCCGGTCCTCATATCAGCGTGGTCATAATGAGAGAAGTGGAAGGACCGAAAGAAGGAGTGACTTGGCTGGCTGCGCAATCGATGGATGAACCTCGAGGCACGCGCAGCACATTTCTAAGAGGATTGGTTCTGTGACACGCTAAGAAACGGGCTTCGTCTGACCAAGGCCGCCACCCGCACATACTACGTAGTAGTATTCCATACGGGCAAGTAGATGGGGGTCCCTGGCATCGCTGAGATCCAGCAGGATGTCAAGTCAGTCTTATTTGCTGAAATGATTACAGCTGAGCAGAGTAGCAGCCCGATCTCAAGACTACCCACCAACAGTGGATATGAAGTGAGCGACCGGGCAAGGAGCACTGACTGTCAGACAATGCTTTTGCTGCCCAGACTCAATGCGCGGGTAAGCTGATCTGTTTCAGCCTCGTAGAAACAAGGCTGTTGCCCCTGGTTCACTGTTTTTTGGCTTCATTGACCAGTTTCGAATTCCAAGAGCCAAGGAGGTTGCATTTCGTTCTAGGAACGAACGAAGAAAGAGAACTTGACTGAGGAGCCCGTATTGCAGGCTGTATTGATGTCAGACAAGGAATTAGTCGCCGAAGAAATTCACATACGCCAAAGCAGTATGGAGTGCAACATGTCTCGATAAGCTCAACTTTCTCCCAATGCCCATTCTTGCAAGAGACCCTTTGTGTTCGCGCTTGAGACGACCACATGACCACGTTACATATGTGACGGAGGCATCAGTCTAACGCAGGCGTCCCATTAAATCTCATATCCTGCCACCCTATGCAGGACACCGAGTACATAGTACAGCATTGAGGGCGCGATTACCCGAATCATCAACAAGAGCCAATCTCTAGCCTAGTTTATAACAATTCCGATCCCGTCATGATTTCAGATTCAAGGACGTCGGACCTCGTCAATGGTTCCACCAAATGCGCTCGAACAAGTCTGGAGGACTGGCAGCGGTCCCAACACACAGGATGGAGAAACTTTCGAAATCAGTCAACTACATCCATCACACAGCTTGCACAGACGACGCCTCCCGGTGGGATCGGCTTATCTTGAACGCAGCCGACTTGGCGGTCGCGGCGGTTGCGCGAGCTGAGGAGAAGAACACTGAATGTGGCGGCGCGCTTTTCACAACGGGGACCGGTCCTGGAATGCATGGACAGTGGTGGCGCCTGAGTCGATGTCCCGGAAAGAGCCATCATGCACAGGCCTTTACGCAAGCTCAACGTCCAAAGGGTCCGGATCTGGGCAGTCCCAGCCTCCTGGAGATTGACACAACGCTTGGATCGTTTCTCTCAAGGTACGGAGTACAAGTCAATCCGAATAGGCTTGACACGAAATAGCTCTTGCTCCGTCCGATCTGCCGGAACCTGGTGCCGTCGGGTTTACCTGGGTCTGGCAGTGGCAGGGGAGCCCTTTAAGATTGTCTTCTGAATTTCGGTTGGAGCTCCTGCGCCCCATCATGCGCCAACTGGAATAAAGTGGAGGTTGCACTTCTCACCACTGGGCGAGTTCAAGTGATTGTCTTTCTCATACTATGTAATTATGGTTACAGTTGCGTCGTGAAAGCTTGTCTCTTTTGCCGCATGGTGTGCCCAACTCGCGGTGCAAGCAGCGCCTATAGCTATCTCGGCATGTCGCCACGAGACAGCTGTACGTTTTGGCTAGCAGCCTCACCAGCCTTAAGCTACCTATCAGGCGCCGTGGAGCGCGACCTGGTTGGACGCTCGATATCGCCGGAAAAGCATCCAGCCTCGCTCGCCAACCTCGTGCAATAAATGCGCTAAACGTTCCTAAAGCCATAGAGCAGACAAAACTTTCTTGTCCCACAGCGGCTGTCGCGTCCCTTGTCCTCCGTAAACGGTGCAAATCTGTCGTTATTAAGGGGCAGCAACTGGAAAGGGATGAGTCGATTATATCAGAAGCTATGCCGTCGGAGCAGAGAACAAACCATCGCTCCAAAAACCAGTCCCTCAGAGACTATACCATTTGATCGGTTTTGACAAGACTATCCTGAAACCAACATCTTCCGCACCAGGCTCCGGGAGTTGCAAGATCTAGCATTTGCACTCTGCATAAGCGCAGATTCTGGACATAGAACCTTTCTGAGTGCTGGATGGAGTGGCTCCCCCATGGAGCTGCCGCCAATCCGGGGTTTCGCCCGAGGACGTGAGTCTCCTCACCAGCATAGTCCGCCTACGTGATTTGTTGCTGACTGTTTGGGCCAGGCATCCTCCATCGAAAGGCAAGAAAAAGCAGACCGTCTTCCTCTGGACATGTGTATGTGTCAGTCCCCTTCCCCTAACGTGGCGCTCAATCTCTCCCAATCGAGTTAAGCTCCTTGCTGAATGTTGAGTTAATCTTTGAGCCCGGGACAAGTGCAGGTGCGGGCATTCGCCCATTCGAATCACGATCTCGAGCTGCCCTCAGTGCCACCATGCGCGATGCTCCAATTGCCGAACTGAGAAGGTCGTCCGGTAGAAAGCCCGCCCGACAAAAGTCATTACCAATCCTCCCCTTCAGCGGCATTGTTCATGCTTCAATCAAAGGCTCACAGTCTCCCTGGGCTTGCATCCGTTCACTCCCTCCACGGCCGATACCTTGCGAATGACTCCCTTTCGCACGAACCGCCATGCGATCGGTTCCCATATCCAGCTTCGGGTTGGATATGATGCAAGGCGTCTACGTCTAAGAGCTGCGGAACAATCCAACTGGACCAAGAAAAGATGCCTTTTCAAAGACAACCCTAGTGGTCCTGTGTCGCGTTCCAAACCAAGTGTCCCATCCATCTCTCCACGCTGTGTCTGGACGAGCAATCGAGAGCGTGGGAGAGAGATCCCTCTTCTTTCTGCGCCCGATCGAAAATGTGTCGGTAGCAGAACTCTCACAGCCTCATTTATCGATGCAATCCGGAGCGACGTGGCCTCCTCTTACTCGAATAGACCTGATGTTAGGGAGCCAATAGACTTATTCACAATGCTTCACTTGTGCCCAATGTCACCATTGAGGCATTCCTTTCCAATGTCGAGAATCATCTGACTACGTCTCCCGGGCGCGATTGGTCCTCTCCAAACCTCTTAGGCGATCGCCCTTTCCTGCAAGGCGCAAGTACCCGGGCACTCCTGTTCCATTGTCGTTGACGGTACAGACCAATCGCGAACTTACTGGTCCGCCGACGACGTCTTCGAATTGCACCTTTGAGTACTGGAATCGAACTGGGCCTGGCTGTTGTGCTACATACGAAACATGTATGAGAAGGGTGCCGCCAGGCAAGGTGATTGCTACAACGCCTCCCATCCAGTCGCACTTCCCAAAGCACGCGTGTTTCTTCCTGTACGTACCTGAGTAGCACGCAAATACCTGGACCCCTTCTTGCCATGCGCAGTCTCTCTACAATGTTGGGGAACAAGGCGTGGGCTTGCGAGGTCACCTCAGAAGACTTGGCTCGATATTTCTCCAGATTGCCACTCTCGAATCCGACCTTATCTTCCGGCCAATGGCTACCTGAGTTCAGAACCCCCCGTCATGGTATCGATTATGAAAATGAGAACAAGTCGTATATTGAAACCCACCGGCATCTCTGGCCAGACGATTCGGATCTCGAACTGTTCATGCAGAATCCCCAGGATACAGACGACCGAAGTTTGTCCCTTGAGGTCAAAAGGGTGGTGGATTTCTGCAATGGCAAGACCCTGCCACCCGTCGGAATTGATGAACTGGGAGATGGTCAGGACCCTCTCGTCGCTTGGCTGGACGAGCGCGCCTTTGAAGAAGGAGTCTTCAGCTCAAGAAACTATCGAGGCCCCCTTACATCAGATGGGCTCGGTCAAGAATTACGCAAGCGCGTAAGGCCTTCATGACCCACATCTTCATGCAGGAGCATCGCTGATATGACCGTACATTAGCGATATCATTATGGGAAAGGCCGTGCCAAAGTACCAAGGCATCCTTCGACAATGCGGAACTTGGGCTGGAAACCCTGGACGGTGGTAAGATTTTTCCTCGTATCTCGGGTACTGATATCACGGCTGGAGTCTTTTGCATGACGGGGCTAATGCAGCACATTAGTTGTCTCAGGTTAAGGGTTCTCCATGTCATAAGACTTCCAATCCCGGAATCGCCACCGGCAGGACGAGCTTGGTTTGTGGTCAGGTTTCGGAGCCTGATGCCGATAGGCGCCTGATATTCGTCACCGACTTGGATAGCGCCAGCATCCATGCGCTCATCAGCACTGCTTCGACGCATCAAGCCCCTGCACTCCGTGACGCTCTTGCCAGGCACCTTGCCTTCGAGCCTTTTGGCGACGTGAAGATCCAAGTATGTATCCATATCTAATTATCCTGTCACAACCTCGGCCCCAGGACTACCGGCTGAATCGTCGTATAGGCGGATGGACTGTCGATGTTCGAGCTTGGCTTCCATTTACCAGGTCTTCTGTGCAGAAACTTCCAAACAACAGACCACCGAAGATTTGAGAACGGGGAGACTCTAAGACGGACGATTGACATCTCGTTTCTGAACTGGGAACCCGGCCTACCTGGTGAGTTTCTCTACGAAGCTCAGGTTTCTTGTGTCATCGCTGGCCTACACGAACACAACTGGGTCGCTTATTGCTTTGCCGACACATACTTTGACGGCAGCAATGAGCGAAGGGAGACTGTGGCGGAATATCATAAAGACGCACTTAGTGAATGTGGAATGAACGCAGATCCTCTGACCTATGGCAATTGCGATGCGAACGTCCCCCATTGGGATCCTAGGAAATATTTCCTTGCGGTGTACCTTCACCGTACGAAGCCGGTGATACGGGAATGGCTGCTCCTTACAGGCAAGGTAGAGCATAGTTTCCGGATATACGAACAGGTATGACATTCCTCCGTGAATATCCTGGTGAGACGATTACGAAAGCACTCGTTCTGTCTGGGTTAGAGAAGAAGCTGAGTGGAAGTGGAAGCAGAAGTCATATGTCTCCAACTCCGGACGTCAGATTGCACGGTTGTAAGACGGGAGGATTGCTGGATCTTCATCGGTTGACATCGTCAATAGACACACCGCTTTGGACTATCCCGGTCGTCCCGATCCGAGCCGTCATCACAAGGACCTGAACTCCATCTCGAAGGTCTTCGAGCATCTTTCAACTGGGTGCTACAGGTCATGCAGCTCGTGGCACAGTTACAAGAAGTCTTGGCCAAGACTGTCGATGCGTTCGATAACTTCTGCTCTACGTATTCCATCATTTTCGAACACCTCCCTTCTGAATACCAAGTTTTTGGGAGAAGAGTGAATGAGTTTAGGACTTTGAAGACGAAACTCGACTATCTAAGATATCGCTGCGCCGAACATGCCCGCATAGTGAGTTCCTTCCGCTGCAATTCCTTGGCCATTTGCGCAGTTGAAAGTAAACTCCTAGCTGACTACTCCATCAAACCTTCAGCTTGAACTTCAGCTGAACCATGAGGCACTCATTTTAAGTAGAGGCCAGAGCCAGCTAGCGAAGGACAACAAGCGGTTCTCCTTGGTTATGCTGGTAAGTCCAGATCTGCCTGAATCAGGTGGTTGCCAGGACTACTCGCTAACTCACGACTTGTAGCTTTACATCTCTCCGGTTGCATTGACTGCAAGCGTTTTCTCGATGGACAAACCCATCCTTCCACTAGTGCGCCCAACATTCGCGTGGTTCGCTGCGTTGATTTTGCTGTTCAGCCTCGGCGGACTCGTTGTTCACGGCGCATTGTTTTGGTGGCAGTGGAGAGAGGTCATGGATTTGTGCCGCAGATTTCCAACTGACCTGATCGTGCTGCTACGGTTCACTAGACGAGGGAGAAAGCCTCCTCAAGATATTGAGCGTGCCGCCGGCATGACCCCTGGATTGGCAATCGGTGATGCTCCGAGAGTCGGCTCATCAGATACCGGAAATGCCTCACATGTATGAAACAAATACTATCTGCAACATAGACAGAGCCAGATATGTACTAGAGGCCAGGAGTATTCCCTGGCAACATGTATAATATTAGCTAATATCCCTAGTACCGCTCAAAGATCCGACACAGTATTCTTTCCCTGCGTTACAGTGGGCATGCAAGATCTGACCTTTGTGCCATAATGCATCACGGTCGACAGGAGCTCACATTTGCATTGCAGAAGAGGGTGGCAGCACCTCCTCCATAGCGGCCAGGTGGCACTAAGCGCGGAAGCTCACGCCCTTGCACCAACAAGAATCGATTTGGTCAAAATTGACAAAGAAATTCTCGAAGACGGGGACGGACAGGATCGCGAGAAGGCTGCTGCGGCGGAGGATCCCACTTCTACTGTTCAGACTCTTGACACTTAGAAGCCTTCTTCTCTTTTGCCTGCCAAAAGAGAGAGGGCAGAGCCTGGGTTTGAGTATGTACTCGTCGTTGAAGAAAATCCCCAAGAGTCAATCTTTGGTTCTAGCGCTTCATGATGGCATGCAGGAGTAGGTACAGTCTACGCTCATATTAATGTGCTGCAACGGAGACGTTTTCGACATCTGTGAGGGATCGACGTGAACCCCTTACACATGCCAGTCTCTGAAGAAAGTCTGCTCGCATAGCAACAAATGTCGACCTCCGACATCACCAACCCCTGCAAGGTCTATGGTCTCAATGATCTTATCCCGACGGCTACAGTTTAGCTGCTCATCAATTTTGGACCTTGTCCAAACAAGAGAAGCCTGCCAAGCGGTCGATGTGCTCCTATACCAAGACTATCTGTACGATCTTTTTCTTGCCCGTCTCCACCTGGTCAATGACTTAGCCGTTCATGACCCATTCGACAATGCATGTACGCACCGGGGTGAAGCAGCCTCTGGCGTGGGTGGCAGCGTGTACCATCAACGACGCACCCAAGCTAGGCAAGACGTAAGCAACGTCACCGATCAGGCCAAACGGCCGTCTGTGGTGAACGTTTGTGATCCTCAGGGGCAGTAAGCCCATGGCACCATTTTGGAGAATGAAGAAGTTAAATGTCCCGAGGAAGTGAGTATCGCCCATAATCGACTGAACTTGCCTGAAGACCTTGTCCAGGGCCTGCTGATCTAAATTCTTGCGAAACCGCCAGTCGAGTTGTTTAGGAAGTCGGAGTGGTTCTTCGCGCCGGACACGGATTACTTCCAAGAACTTCCTCAACAGTTGCAAGGAACAGGGTTCACCACGATCACAGCTCTCGTCATGACAAGTCCATAGCTTGCTTGCAGGACGTCTTCAGGCTCCAGCAACATTGTGGTGAAGTCCCGTTGTTTGTGAATGACCTCGACAACCCCTATTTTGATAGCTGATACTCTCATGCTCCGACCATCGTCGAGAAAGGAAGGGGCGAGCCATATGCGTTTACCAGCTCGAAAGTCAGAGAATGGGCGGAGGCCCATATAGCGGTGTTTGGTTTTGTGGAAGTCTGGTACCCATGTGGGAAAGTCTCTTTCCGCTTCGTGACCACTTAGGTATTCGAAAGGCCATTTGTGATCGTTTTGAATAGCAGGTTTCACGCCCGTGGCCATAACGTTCGCAACGCTGTTAGCGGGAGAATAATCGGGAATGATGCCATACGACCGTCTCTGCTGCTTGCTGAGGATACCGAGCACCGAGTACAACTGTATCTCGAGGATCAGACGCCTGTAGATACCGTGTTTCGTCGAGCAAAGCGAAAATTTGCATCTCTAATCTTAGCGATCGAATAGCTTCCCTCGTTTTGAATTGTTTCCACGGGTAATACAAGGAGCTTCCCATCAACCGATTGTCGATGGGACCGGTTGAGGTGATGGCGAATACAATGTAGGCTAAGCATCATGACCTGTTCAAACAAGCTGAAGTCATCCCACCGAAGACAGCCTGATCCGCATTGCAACATGAGCACCTTGGAAACAACTGCTTCTTGTAAGGTCCAGAAGCGCGTCCACCAGCCCCTCGAGAGCATCTCGTTTCTGACTCAAATATCGTCTTCTTGTTAACATCTTCAAGAGCATTCTTCTTCCAGTGGATGGCTTTGGCTACGGGATCATTGCGAACTCGGCTGTTGTCCGCGTTATAGTCCATATAGGTAGATCGCTTTGCCGACCAGAAATCTTGGGTGACCAAGAAGTCGACAACATCGTCCCTGAACTGTCTCTGCTCCTTGAGCGCATCACGCGCATAATCGTATGAGCCACCTTGTGCCCAGCGTAGAAGGTGTTGACGGATATCCTCTCCGTATTGGTCGATGAATTCGTTCACAAAATGGACGGCCTCTATCGTTCCCTCTTTAGCTGGCCCAAGCCATACCACCGTGCTTGTTGCTTGCCGGTAGATGTCGCACAAGAGCAAAACCGAGGAATTGCGCTCAGGAATATCGATCTGATTGATGCAGAGTTGGTCGACCCACAGCAACCGTTCTTTATCCGGAAACCGAAGTTGGGACAATGCCAGAAACAGATTTCCAAAGACTTGGGAACGCGAGCCGTTCAGTTGTATCGGCTCCGTGTTCTTGTGATCACCTGAAGCGTACGAAAGGGCTTCGTAGGCAATGGAGGCTTTCCTACTCTCAGACACTAGGGATTCGTTTTCCAGCACTTCGCAACATACTGGATTCAAACCTGTGCCCGGTAGGAGACGTACTAGACGGATATACGGTTGATCTGCTCCGAATGGAGAGTAGACCCTGCGATAGGGGAATCCATCGTTGCAGGGCGTGTAGAACGAGGTAGCGTCAGTCTCGCCTGCTTCGCGAGGCTCCGGTAAGCCCTCCAGCTAAGGTGCCAGGTGTAAGCGGAAATATTGATGATTGAGGTAGTCGGGATAGCAGTGAGGTGCTTTGTCTTCCATGGTGAGTGGCAATGGGCAAGGAGGTAGGCAGTATTGAAAAAAGGAGAAAGAGAGAATCTATGCATGGAGGTCGACGTGATAAGTGAAGGAAGCGGGGGATCCTGCTGCGTCTCAAACTGTGCCTCTCTAACGTTAGCTGAACAGGCCAATCGTAAGATGACCATAATCCTTGCTTAGCTCCTGTAGACCAAAAGTCCCTCTGATTTTGTCGGAAGTTCCTCAGTATTTCACCATCTCTCTAAATCTGGTACCTAGTTGCCAAGGTTGGGGAAGCAGGCATGTACCTGGCATTAGTAGCTTCACCTCATACCTTATGCTGTGCTGAAGTCGACCCAAGTCTGGGGCAATTCTCAGCCTTACGAACAGGCCTCCGCAAACTGTATGCTGAAAGTGAACTCCCACTACAATATGTGCCCCGCTGCGAAGAATCAGGACGAGTTGCCCTTCTTCGGAAGCGTAAATGAGCCTTCCTTCGCACACATGTCGTTGAAATCTCGCCTCATGCTGAATGCGGGCAAGGACATCATGTGCTCCTGACTTTCGTTCCTTGCTTTGCCCCTGACGATCGGAGCATCGTTGCCTTAGTGTGTCTGATATTGGGGAAGCCGCCTCTTACACGTGTGATAAATGGTGGGCTGGCAATTATTCCCAGAAGAACCCAGCTGCGTGCCTTCTTCTACTACCGGTCAGTGATAATTGGGCAATCACACCCATATCCTCGTCGTCCGCAATTATAGCAAAATGTACAACCGCATCTGCATGTCATACGATTGTACCCGGCAGCTTCCTCAACCAGATGTGAGCATTTCGGACAGAACTTCCATCCACCTTTCTTGATCATCTTCTGCAATGATTCGTCATTGGTGCATAAGCCTCCATGGTCCTTCCCACCACAGCCCACACACAACCTCCTCTTACAGAACGGACACTTGGCGAAATTCTGCTTGATGAAAAACCGAAGAATGAAGGCGGAGCAGTTCTCCCATGGACAGTAAAGAGGCTTCGGACAGTGGAATTCTTGTCACAACTTGGAATAGTTATTGAAGAAGTCATCATCCAGATTGCCGAACTTGCGGATTTCTGTAAGAGGGATCGATTCGCCGCAGCACTTGAATTCAGTCCGCTTGCGGAATGTAATCACAACAGCCTCTAGGAATCGTCAGCAAGCCGCGTAAGAGGGATCAGTAGAGAGGGGACGCATCATGGAGGCACTCTCGACAGAAAGAGTGTTGGCATTGAAGATTCGTCATCATGATTTTGAAGAAAGGTTCCATGCATGCGGCACAATCTGACACGCCCGGGAAGTTGTCGTCAATGTTACTTTGGAATTGGAATGATCTGCTTTTTGCTCTGACGGCCAGATCCCTTAATGCAATGGACTGTTCAGTGAGCACTTCCATGGCATCTTCGCGGCACCTATACTGACGTTGCTTCCTCTGCAGATGTAATATTGGTGCCAGCTCATCGATCGCATCGTACAAACAGACCGAACGAGGCTGATGGACCGCAGCGATACAGGCATGAAGGTAGGTAGCAGATTGCTGAACGCTGAGGTCGCGGCTCTGGGCCAGGTCGTCCACTCCCATCACTCTTGGGATAGAATTAGGGTATGTACTCGGGATTTGGAGTAGAAAGCCATATGTTAGATTGGGGAGTTTCAGAACAATAGTAGTGTGATGATGGTTGTGGAATGTGACTGTAACGGTGTTCTCGCCATAGATCGCATTGAGAGCGTTTATCTCGTCGCTCAACTCCGAACTCCGGATCAACATTGTGCTAAGGCGATAAGGAAGTCGTGGTTTGTACAGTTTCACGAGCCGCAATGGATTTGTTGCGAAATGAACCCTGCATAAGTAGAGCAAGTGGAGCCAGTATCTTTACGATCGCTAATCACAGATAATTCAGAAGCAGTTGACAGATCCACAAGGATCAAGATCTAATCCAGCACAACTGTGACTCATCAAGACTGACTTCACTGTAGAGTCAGATTAACTTCAATGTAGTGTCATGCGGGTCGAAGGACGAGGCTGAGGTCCCTGGAAAGTGGGTCAAACCAAAAACCCTGCGGTCAGCCTCGCCGGCTATGTATGGCTGGACCAAAAGCAGCCTCGAACCGCGGCGACTCACGCAATTGGCTTTGGCGACAGATGCGAGACTGATTTGAGGACGAGATTCCCTTTGGACGGAAGCGTCATACCTAGCTACGACACCTCCAACATAGTGCAGGCTGGTGCCACAACTCACTTCAAAAAACATTGACCTCTCTCCTTGACCTAGCAAGGTACTCTTTTGTGCAAGTATCAATTGCCGAAGCTGATCTTGATGACCTCGATTCTCGTGCGACTTGCTTTATTTTGCCTCCACCGTATCTCGAACGACCTCGCTCTGTCGCACATTCTCCTTGTCTGACGCTTCGTGGTCTCCCCGAAGCCTGGCTTGCAGGACGTGTTTGTATTCCGGTCGCGCGAACAGGATGTCGATCTCTTCTAGACTGAGCCCTTTGGTCTCTTTGACGCAAAAGTACACAAAAGGGATCGCAAGGACGTTGAACACGCAGAACAGGATGTAGAATCTATACCCAATGTCCTGTATTCCCATGGGTCCGAACTTGACCACGATGAAGGTGATGAACCATTGGGTAAAGACACCCATGCTGGTTCCCACATGTCGGACATGTAGCGGAGAAATTTCCGGCTGCAAGCGGTGCTGCGTCAGCAAATGTACGCAAGATTTCAAATTTTCAGGAAAAGCACGAATGACTCGTTCCAAAGTGAGTCGGCATCCACTGAGGCCACACTTACAACGTAAATCCAAGGCAGCCCGCACCAAGAGGCGCCAAAGGATAGTTCAAAGAGAAATATGCTTGCCACAGAGAGCTTCAGTGAGGCATCAGTGTTGACTCCGAGACCAATCGTGAAGAGAATCATGAAGATTGAGCAGAAGACCGCGCCGTACAACATGACCGTGCGACGGCCCAGATGCTCAACGGTCCAGATGGTTGTAGCAGTACCACCAAGAAAGAGAAGAGTCACGCCACCTGAGGTGATGGCGGCTTGATTTTGTGACATTCCGAGAGAATGGATGAAGAGATATGTCGCATACTAATCTGGTCAGCAAAGCCGTCTTTGGACAGGAGAGGCATGGGTATGCCGAAGGACGGAAAAGGGCAGACCGACATAGCTGACAATGTTATTTCCGTCCATTTGTTGCATAAGCTGGCATAGGACGCCTAACCAGAGTCGCCATGTTGTGTTGACTGGAGAAGTGTCGTAGAAGAGATTCTTAAAGCTGAATTTGTACTCTTTTTCCATCTCCAGAGCGGCAAAGACATCAGCACGGTGCTTGGCAACTTGGTCGCTATCCACGGGAACAGAGTAGATGCGGGCCATGATATCATCAGCATCATCTACTGCGCCGCAGGCATAGAGATATCTGGGTGACTCTGGAAGGAAGAAAATGACGGCCCACGTTAGCAGGACAAAGACAACCTGAAAGGCGATCGGCAGTCTCCAAACGGCGTCAGTGTTAGGGTGGTGTTGAAGCATGCCATAGTCAAACTGCGAAGCATTAGCTGGGATCGCCTTGCCGCATCAAAGATCTTGTTCACCCAGTAAGCAATAGTTAGCCCCAGGATCACGATTGTGAGCTGCGTGGCGATCAGCGCCCCCCTGGAATGAGCCTTGGATGTTTCCGCGACCCATATAGGTACCATTGTTGTTGTGAGGCCTTGACGAGAACTGGTCAGAACGTAGTATCAAAGACATCTCATCAACAAGACATACCCATCCCGATGCCTCCAATGACACGACCTCCTATCAGATAGCTGCTACCACGCGCTCCAGCCTGCAACCCTGCTCCGACGACGAGGAGGACCCCTCCGAGCACGATATATAGGCGACGGCCGAGTTTCTGGCCGACGAACCCGGCAATGATGCACCCTGTGAGGCACCCAATGTCGTATATCGCCACGATTGTGCCCTGCAAATCAGCATCGTTCGCACTGATATGGTTGGCTTCCAGGAAATTCGGGAGCGCGATCAAGCCACCAAGGACACCTTGATCGTATCCTGTGGCGGCAATGTCAGTCACACAGGCAGCCTGGGTCGATGTTTGGGAACTTACCAAACAATGTAAACGCCCATGCTGAGCAAAGCGTGATGGCTGCTTGCAAGGGAAACCCGTGCAGAGACTGAGCGTAACCTCTGTTGAAGGCACCCATGTCGCATGCAATTGTATGTTGTGATATATGTTCCTTCTGGTAACGTCGTTGATTGCAGATGAAAGCGCACCTCTTGAAAATGTGGAGGAACCGGGCATGATATTTACCTGTAGATCTTACGATTCCACGGAATTGTGGTTGCACTTGGTAGGAACAAACCCTGCAGAGATTAGGACGCGGAAGATTGGTTTTGTTATGGCACGCCAGCCTCCCAGCCTAGTAGCCCCTTTCGAAGCCAATCAGTCTTCAAGCTGGTAAGGCCCGGCATGCCGAATTCGTTAAGATGTCGCAGGAGCGAATTGGTTTAGATTCGTGGGCCTCGCGTTTCCCAGTCTACCCCATCCATCCGCCGAAACATCGTGCGGGGGACTGGGGGACTCTGGCCTACTGTAATGGTAGGCAGCATGATGGTGGTGATTCCTATGTCAACGTTCGTGCCGAGAAGGCATACGTGCGGAGTCCCAGGTTCGGCAATTTCGCTGTGTGTCGCAACGTGGTATCTTTCCCTTGGGCCCTTTGTGTTTTCCATGGCTTCTAGTAGGCGCAGACACCATTTCTCAGCCTTCTCGGCCGGCGAAATTGGACTCCCGGGGTGGCAGGACATTGGAGACTGGTCATTCAAATCGCGCACTGTAATTCAGTTGGTGGAGGTGCTCGTGGTCATCTACACATTTGAACCCAATATCCGTTTTAACCGAGCTTCGGCCTCTTAAACCTGTTCCCAGCAAAAGTGTCGTCTTGCCAGCTTTGACGGAGGGAGGTAATCACGTCGAGACCCCTGGAGGCACTCTTGTAGGTCTGACCCATTTCCCCTAGAGCTTGAATGCAAGTCAAGAAGTGTCTTTGTGCGCGCTCTTTATTTCCGTGCTTCCCATCTGTAACACAAAGACAGAATATATGTATCAGCGCGGCTGTCATCGTTATATGGCACATGTGGTGATGTGGTCGCCTCAGGCCGTACATTCGGCGGAAAAGGACAAGGATTTTGCAGATTTGCTCAGCACTTTCGATGCATCTGCTGAGGGAAGTAGCAGTGTCGCGGAACACCATATCTTCCGGAGCAATGAGCGGCCTATGCAGTAGGATGATGCATTCGTGGTAACTCAAATGAAGCTCAAGAACGGCTGGTATATGGAAGGGGGTTGCCCCTGTCATGTCAAGCTGTAAGTTCTGTGGCAATGATGACAACCAGTCTTGGAAATCAAGGTCTGCCTGCGCGACGAACGCTTGAATGTCGTCGGAGATGTCTGGTACACCTGAGTACAAGACGTCAGATACCCGAGCCAAAATTCTCATGAGGGAGGCTAGATGGACATGAACATGAGCAGCCGCAGTGAAATCGAAGGCCGGGGGAAACTTGAGACTGCTATACGGATCAGTGTAGTATTCCCATTGGTATGTTCTCGAAGGAAGCGGTTCTTGTACGTTGTGTCGGAGATTCTTCATTAGTGAAGGCCTTCCACAGTGTGCGCTCCAGAGCGTATCGATTGTGTTGATGGACCAAAATAAATTTCGACGTAAGATCAAAACATCGCCGGGGCAGGTCAAACTCCTTGTATCCAGTCGAGGATGTTCCTGCTTGAGGTCCAGGTGTAGCCCAAGATCAGTCATAATCTGCACAGCCATTCCGGAGTAAATCCAGCCGCGCGACTCGCGCGCATGGGCGGCTTCATGAGACGAAAGGATTAATAGTGCTTGAGCGGTTGCAATTGTAGGGCTGTCGATCTCGATTTCGAGGTATATTTTGCTCCGAAAAGCAAAAAATTCGTCCGTAGCGTCGTTGACTTCAGGGTGAGTCCGATCAGTGTATGCAGACCCTATGGTAAATCTGTTCGATATTAGGATCTCCGCGCCTGAGTGATTGTTTGAGAAGCTGACGGCTCTGACATGGCCCTCAAGGACAAAGACCTCTGATCAAGAAACGAACTTACACTGCGTTCTCCAGTGATGGCGAGTAAAGATTGGTGCGCTGACCATCTTGGAACCTTTGCCGTTCGTTGAGGAAGATATCTTTGTCCAGGACGTACATCAAGGCATTGTGCCAGGAGAAGAAAAGATTGATCAAATGTTCTTCATAACTTGGATCCCCTTGCCACCGAAGGCCGGCCTGGGCAATAGCCGCATCTCCATGATGAACAACGTGGCGGATGTTTGGCTGAACGAGAGAGTTGGGACTGCCGTGCAATAAGTGCAGGTTCGACGTAGCACCATAGTAGCGAGCCTGTCCACCTTCGGTAATTTGTAGTCGTCCTAGACGGCTGGTAAGCTGACGGGTAACGTCGTTCAGGGATGCCGCATCGCGTTCTGGTCTACTCGTGCCAGTTTTTGACTTCGGGACGAGACTGCTCCTGACTTCCACATTGGCTGATGAAGTTCCTACACTGCGAGGAGACGTCTCAAGTGTGTCACCAGGTACCTTGAACCTGGGGATACCCACCACGACCTGACTTCGCTCCTGAGAATGCCAATCGAAATGGGCAACGTCCGTCGAGAATTGCCCTCCTAGGCCGGCTTCCGTCGGACCAGGCGTGGAAGTGCTTGCTTGGTTGAATGAGTCTTCAGCGAAGAGAGACATGGCTTCAATCGGGTCAAAAGCCGTGGACGGGATGTCCCATCCAGGCTGAGATTCGGAGAATTCCAATGAGGAAGCACCGTGGCCGACAAGTCCTGACTGCTGAGTTTCATCCATCAAGCTCGATAAGTCGAGATCGGTCCATGGCAGCTGCGCGTCTACCGCGCCGTTTTCAACTGTTAACGAACCTCCATTCCTGGTGCCGATGTGGTTGCTAGATTCCACATTTTTGACGGTACCCTTTAAGATACTGCCCCTGCGGCGCACATTCTCCGATAGCCTGACAGCATGAGCGAGGCATTCAGTGTAGAGTCGTGCACTTACCTTCGTCTATCTTGACCGTAGGCACATTCGACCACGTACAAAGTACAATTGGAGCAGCTGGGCCGTTCGCCGTTGCACTGTATCCACCGGGCGAATTAGGATGAGTGATGGTTGCTAGAATGAAGCTTACCTTGATCTTGCGCTTCCTACATTCCAGACAAGCCAGTGAGGTGTACTTTCTTTCGGCCTTTTCTTTGGACATGCTGACGATCCGATGAAGCAAGATGAAGAAATGGGGAGAAGCTTTGGGGGTTACTAGGTTGAAATCTAGACGAGAAGCCGGCTCCAGTTAAATTGGGGCGTCTGACACGAAGTCTACCTTGGAAAAGAGGTGCAAGGGGGCTAGTAGAGGAGAATACAAGTCAGACAAGACATTACTTGAGTACGAATACTGTAGACTTCCCTCAGCTCCTCTATGGAACCAGCATGTCCAAACCCCAAGGCCGAAACCTTCCTATTTATCAACAACTACCTGATGTCGTGGAATCCTCCATCGTTCACCAGGAGACTTCCATTAATATACGAGCTCTCATCACTCAACAAGAAACTCAGCACGTTCGCTTGCTCCTCGGCAAAAGCCATCCTTCGGAGTCCGATCTGCTTGCTTACCGCAGAATCATTGTTCTCCTGTGTGCCAATCGTGCCTTCTTTCCCCATGCTATGTTCGACCATTGCCGTCAAGGTCCATCCCGGACAGAGAGCGTTAACGCGAACACCACTTGGGCCATAGAACTTGGCTCCGTTCTTGGTGACTCCTATGGCTGCATACTTGCTCGGTGTGTACGCAGCCAAGCCAGCCGCCTGGAGTCCGGATATCGAGACGACATTAGCGATGGATCCCCGCTGTCCTGGTATTGTATGCGGACATGCAGGAGAAAAAGAGATCGGACGAGGCTCCTGGGTCCTCATCTGGAAGGCTTGATATTTCTGACATAGCCAGAGTCCACGAGTGTTGATGGCATGAGTCCTGAGATCAAATCTCAGTCGGACAACCATCCTGGGAAAGATTGCCGGTACTTACCTCTCAAAAAGCTCCGTGGTGATGCTCTCCTCCTCCGCCCAGATGGATTCACAAGTACCAGCACAGTTGGCAGCATAGTCGAGCCGACCAGTCCATTCGGTAGTGGAAGCTATTGCCTCCTTGACCTGTTGTTCTTGGGTTATATCGACCTTGAGGAACTTGCTGCGGACATTCCACTGTTTCGCGACTTCGTTGGCTACTATCGGGCCATCGTTGTCGTTCATGTCGACGATGATGACAGATATACCACGGCTAGCAAGTTTGTGAGCAGTAGCCTTTCCGATGCCGCCTGCAGCACCAGTGATCATAGCCACTCTCCCGGCCATGGCGGTCATGTTTGAGTGTGAGCTGAGAACAATCTTTTTTACTGGCAAACAAACCTACTATGGTCAAGGGAGCTGGATTGAACGAGACTCACGCGGGAGCTACAGGTCAGTCACGCGCACGACAGTTCCACGGGATTACCTTGTCTGCTCTGGCAAGAGCATGGAATTGGTATTCGCCTCATTGACGAGTGCGGAGAAGATGTGAGAAAGGGCGAAGGGGGAGTATTGTGTATTCTCCTCTGGATCACGACAGTGAGCTCCAGTAACCACATACACCCACGGAGCGCCTCCTCACTATTAATCCAAGAATGGACTCTTCATCAGTGCATTGACTGAAGCCCACAGTCTGAAGTGGCACGAGGGCACTGGGGGCTAGCTCTCCAAAGTCCACACAAATGAACTCCGCCAGAGCGACGGCCTTCAACCGAGGTTCATAGTGTGGAGACTGACATCGACGCCCAGCATATTGAGCCGGCGGCTGAGGGGTTCCCAGATGTGTCGTCGACTTGCGACTATAGCGGTTGGGATGCTCGACACTCCAATAAGTGGACGGGTAACATGTATCTATCACATATCCGAGAGGGGCGTGATGGGGGTCCTCGCTTTTCGATTTCCGTGGAATCAGCCCCAGTCTCTCTCTGCATTGAATTGCCCCTGGTAAGTTCTAACTCCATCGAGACAGCATATCTGTTCTTCGACTGCGTTCATTGATAACAACTACTTTACTGATCTCTGTATGCTTTCCCTTTGCTTTTGAGTGTTTCATTCGCAGCATATCCATCAACAATCATGGAAGACTCGTCTACAGAGCTAGATGCTCTGATCATTGGCGCCGGGTTTGGAGGCATATACCAACTATACCGTCTGCGACAACTAGGTCTCAATGTCAAGGTTATCGACATGGCGGGCGACGTCGGGGGCACATGGTATTGGAACCGGTACCCCGGAGCCATGAGCGATACGGAGAGCTTCGTATATCGATATTCATGGGACAAAGAGGACTTAGTCACCTATCCGTGGACGCATCATTATGTCAAACAACCCGACGTTCTAGCATACCTACGGCACGTTGTCCAGCGACACGACCTTCGGAAAGACATGCAATTCAACACCGAACTCCTCTCGGCTGACTGGGACGAATCTACAAACCACTGGCGGGTAGAGCTCAGCACTGGTAAGACGTACCACGTGCGATATCTGGTCACCGCCCTCGGCCTCCTTTCCAAAGCCAACTACCCAGACATCCCAGGCATCAACACATTCCAAGGCCGAATGTGCCATACAGCAGCCTGGCCCGAAGACCTCGATGTGACTAACAAGCGCGTTGGCATTATCGGCTGCGGCTCCACGGGTGTGCAAGTCATAACCGACATAGCTCAACGCGTCAAATCACTTACCTGTTTCCAACGACATCCTCAGTACACGGTCCCTAGCGGTGACCGCCCGGTCGAGCCTGGTTACCGAGAATGGGTGAACGAGCACTACGACGAAATCTTCGACCAAGTCAAGAACTCGGTTGTCGGCTTCGGTTTCGTCGAGTCCACCGTGCCTTTTAATTCCATTAAGACAGCTGAAGAGCGCGAAGCCATCTTCGAGCGGCTATGGAAGCAAGGCAATGGATTCAAGTTCATGTTCGATGGGTTCAGCGACGTCGCGACCAACAAAGAAGCCAACGAAGCCGCCTGTGCGTTCATTCGTAAGAAGATATCTCAAATCGTCAAGGATCCCGAGAAGGCTCGCAAACTCTCGCCACACGACGCTTACGCCCGTCGACCGCTCTGTGACGGTGGCTACTTTGAGCAATTCAACCGGCCTAACGTCGATGTGGTGCATCTGCAAGAAACGCCCATCACGAGCATCACGCCCAAAGGGATCCAGACCACTGAAGGTCTGCACGAATTGGACGTGATCATATTCGCGACGGGGTTCGACGCGATCGAAGGGAACTACAACAGAATCCGTATCCGTGGTCGCGAGGGTCTCACCCTCAAGGACTGCTGGGATCCCAAGGGGCCGACAGCCTATCTCGGCGTTTCAGTACCCAGCTTCCCGAACCTCTTGATGATCACCGGTCCTCAGGGTCCTTTTTCCAACCTACCACCGGCTCTTGAGGCGCATATTGACTTGATCTCAGGGCTCATCGCTCAGGCAGAGAAGACACGAAAGCAAAGCAGCAGCGGTGATGTAGCTGCGCCGGTCATCGAAGCCCTTCCTGAAGCAGAGGAGGAATGGCTGGATGAGTGTGAGCGCATGGCGGAGGGAAATCTCTTCAAGGAGACCGCATCGTGGATTTTTGGGCAGAACGTGCCGGGCAAGAAATATGCCTTGCGCTTCTACTTTGGCGGGCTTAAGGCGTTCAATGAAGCTGTTCAACGGGTCATTGATAATGACTATTCTGGGTTCAAACCGTTAGCTATCCAGCCCCAGGATCAAGGGCAACCGACCGAGGACGGCAAGACGGTTGACCAGGGTATGACTGCACGCTTATGAAGTCTTGTATTTGGTCGGTCCACACGAGAGGATGGATTTGATTGTATGCATTTGGAAATGCCAGACCCAAGTCGAAGGATGCCGGGACGGAAACGGACAAGTATCAATTTTTCTTCAATTCATAAACATATGCCGTATTTGCTCGATAAGCCCATTCTAACCTAAAAAGAGAGGCACCATTAGGATGCCATGTAGCAATGATCTCAAGCAAGAGTCATGAGTCGTCGTAATCGAGTCTGTTGTTGCTGCGGCCAATTTCATTCACGAAAGGCCACGACCAATCATGCTGTAAGCAATGTTTCGGCCATCGCCTCCAGTCATCTAATATCTGCTGCCGCCCCAGCTGCTCTGCGAGCTGTGGTGTGGCTTCTTCTTCTTGTCTTTCACGAAGTCTTCAGCCAGCGAGCCCAAGATAGCACCGCCTACGGTACCCAAGAAACCGTGTCCTGCCTTCTTGCCCATGAAATGACCGCCGAACCCACCGCCAATGGCTCCAAGTAATCCTCGGTCTGTCTCGGTCATTGGTGGAGCATTAGGGTCGTAATTTGGAGCGTTGGGATCGCTCGACTGTGGAGAGAACTGGTGTTGGCTAGCATCCGGATATTGGCCAGCGGGCTGACCACCTTGTTGGCCGCCTTGACTTAATTGTTGCTGGTATGCTTGGTTTTGAGAGTAGGCGTCATTGCCGCCGTAGCCTTGTTGCGGCTGGCCGTAGTAGCCTGGATGACCTTGTGGGTTGCTAGCATCATAGGCACCGTATTGGCCACCGGCTTGGCCGTGTTGGAAACCGCCCTGCTGGGGAGGGCCGAAGGAGTCTTGACGATGAGGAGGGCCGAAGCCTTGATCCTGAGGAGGATACTGTGAGTAGCCCTGCTGAGGGTATTGCTGTTGCTGGCCGTAGCCACCTTGATCGTAGCCTTGTTGAGGAGGGTAGCCGCCGCCGCCGCCGCCACCGCCGTAGCCTTGCTGGGGGTACTGTGACTGCTGATTGTAGCCAGAGTAGGAATCATAGGGACCGGACATTGTGAGGACTGTGAATGTTGTGTGATTAAGTGAGGTAGTCGAGTCTGTCGCTTGTCAAAAGAGGTAACTTTCGATGAAGATAGAGATGCGGTGAGGATGAAGAGGGAAGGATTTATAGACTAGATCGAGCACCCGGAAAAGCTGAAGGATGGCGCAGCGCAGGCAGTTCACATGGTGTGTCCAGCTGCACTTCTCAGCAGTTCATTCACAATCGATTCATCAGCTCAGCCCCGCGGGCATGAGGGGGGATTCGTTAGGTGGGCCTGGACTTGACCCTCAGTGGCTGTCAGAGGCGAAGGCCAACGAATCACGCAGTCCCCATCGAGGCCACATGCGCGTCCTTTGGTGCTTGCCTTAACCAAACTCCGAGTCCAATTCACCACTACTAAGGATTTGTACCATTCCGTGAACCGATGAAGCCGAGGGCGACTTGTGGCGGAGTCCAGTCAAGTCACGTGGATAACAGAGCCGTAGAAGAATAAACTTTGTGTCTGACGTGATGTTTTACTCACTCTGATCACGTGTTAAGCTCGTCAGCCCCGCCAAAAAATCCTGCCCTTTGCGGGTATCCTGTTCCTCCTTAGCTTGTCAGACATTCACAGGATCTCACTAGCCACATCGTACTAGCTCTCTTCCTATCGGACTGATAGCGAACCTGAAGATGGCTGACCGCGAATCGGGCATCATCGGACTTGTACGGTCCTCTGTCGCCTCGGGACCTTTCAACTCCAATAGATGTGTTCCCAGGTTGTCTCCGTCGCTGTCTGTACTCCGCATTGCAAGTCAACATCAGACCGAGACGCGCTCTAATCCGTTGTTACGCTGTTCTCGAAATGATTTCAGACACGTAGGCGCGCTCAGGTTTTCTTCTCTTGACGTATTGATATATTTGGTATAAATATCCCGCATCATGGCGAGGTTCGACTATAGACAAGCCTCGGCCATAGCCCGAAAGAGAAGAGCTGCCAATATTGCTGCCTTCTACAAGACCCCAACCTGGAATGAGGCCGACCTACCTCAAAATCTGACGGATTTCGCTCTCAAATCCGGCTACTACACCAGTGATGAGTTGATAATCATTCAATCTGAAGCAGATGTCATCCTGGAGAAGATCAGAACCAAGTCGTGGACGGCTCTTGAAGTAACCCAGGCTTTCTGCAAGGCGTCTGCTTTGGCTCAAGAATTGACGAACTGTGTTACGGAGGTTCTATACGCGGAAGCATTCAAGAGAGCAAAGTACCTCGATGACTATCTGGCACGCACAGGCAGGACCATCGGCCCTCTTCATGGGCTGCCGATATCTCTTAAGGATTGCTTTATCACTGCTCCTCACCCTTCATCGATCGGCATGGCAGCATACGCCAATGAGCCTTTGGAAAAAGACACGTTGCTAGTGACTATTCTTCGAGACCTAGGAGCTGTTTTCTACATTAAGACGAACGTTCCTACTGCCATGATGATGGCCGAGACTGACAACAATATCTGGGGAGAATGTCGAAACCCTCTGCATAAACACCTTAGCCCTGGAGGTTCTAGTGGCGGGGAGGGTGCTTTGATAGCCTTTAAAGCTTCTCCTCTCGGTGTGGGCACTGACATTGGAGGCTCAATACGCATCCCGTCCGCCTGGTCGAACTTGTACGGCTTGAAGCCCTCTTTCGGTCGCTATCCCGTTTATGGTGGTAAATCCGGAATCCCTGGGCAAGAGCATATTTTGGCCGTCAATGGACCTATGTCAAGGTCGTTGAAGTCACTGCAGCTATACTCTGAAGCCGTCTTATCGGAACAAGTGGCACCCTGGGAATTGGTAAGTTGGTAGTCTTTGCGAACGGAAAGGCCTTCTGACGACCTACAGGATCACAAATTAGTCCCCATCCCATGGAGGAAGAACGTTATACAGCCGCCGGGCCGCAAACTCAGGTTCGGCATCATCGGCATTGATGACGGACTCGTCACAGTGCACCCTCCAGTCGAGCGAGCATTGAATATGACCAAGCAAGCGCTCGAGAAGCAGGGTCATGAAGTCTTCACTTGGTCAGCAGCGGAAGATCACCCAGTAATTGTCAAGGTACGCTCTTATTCCATTGACAATCTACAGTCTTCAAGCGACTGACAGCATGCACAGAATCTCCAAGCAGCTTTCTTCGACTTGGGTGGCGCAGCTATTACAGACCTGTTAAAACCCTGGGATGAGCCCATCTTCCCTTGTATGAGAGGCTACGCTCTCGCAGCCGGTGCTGGAGAAGGCGATCTTGGCCCGACGAAAATGCGCATGATGACGCTCAAGCGAAACGCATTGCAGAAAGCTTACCTGGATAGGTGGAATGCCACCGCGACTGATGGGAAACCAAGGATGGATGGCATCATCTGCGCAACGTCGCCCTGGGCAGCTCCAAGGCTCGGCCAGACTCAACAGAATCTCTACGTGGGTTGGACAGGATTCGTGAACTACTTAGGTAAGAAGGTCCCATCTATCCATACGAGAAAAGTCCTGGCTGATCTTTTTTCAGACTTCCCGGCTTGCACGTTCCCCGTGACCTTTGCGGACAAGGCACTCGACCCGCCACGCGACATGAAGACTTTCAAACAGCTGAGTGACATCGACGGGCGGATCCAAGCCGATTACGACGCAGATTTCTACCATGGCGCCCCAGTGGCTCTTCAGATTGTCGGGAAAAGACTCGAAGAGGAAAAGGTCCTGGAGTTATGTGAAGTCGTTGCAAACGCATTGAAGGATGCTTGAAGGGACCGCGACTCTCACATATTGATCGCCTGCCAGTAAGACCCTTTTGGGCGCAACAGTCCGCCTCGTGTGCAATTGAATCCGACAAGAGAGGAACTGCGAATTACCCAGGTTGAGCGCGAGAGGTAGCCCGGCTCTCAAGATGGGTGCGCCTCTCCCTCGCAACAGGAACAGGGGCCCCTTACGCCCCTACGTACGTGCGTGTTTTACGGTTGCTGCTCCGAAGTGCTTTCTCTAAAACCGGCACGAGCGGATAGGCAGGTCACGTAGTCACGTACTGCGCTGATAACATCGGAAGATAATGGCTTGAGGTTGTGAGAGTCGACGATGAGTTTGATGTGGTACTTCAGCCTGTTATTGCGCATAGAGTCAATACACATTCCTTTAGACTTGCAAATCGCTTGCATTACGCTCATAACGATCCTTTCATATTTACGATGTCGACAATCATGTGGCAAAGCCCCTGAGCGAGAAATCGCTTCTACGATTCCACGCCTCTGGGCGCTTCTCAAAAACGCCGAATCTTGCAAGAACCCTACCTCGCATCCCAACCCGCTTTTGCATCCGCAGAATCTGCTTTACATGGAGACCTCGACACGTCCTTCCGTAGCACCACCCTTCGCTAACTGAGGCAGAAGATAAGTGATGTCATCCCAAGGATGTCTGTAGAGGCCGGTCCGGAGCTTCAATTTGTTAGTCTAGACGCGGATCACAAGGGGAGCCAAGACTTACGCGTTTCTGATCAAGATGATGGGCGATGAGACCGATGGATCGGCCCAGGACGAACAAGCCGTTGAGAACACCCATTTTCATGTAGTCCTCGGCCTCCTCTGAACTGAAGACGCCCGAGCTCCGCATGAGGTCGACGAAGCAGACAGCAATGCATCCATCTTAACACTGTTAGCAGAATGTCTCGGTGCATGGGGAATAAAATACGAACCAACGTTAAGGATAAGATTATCCTTTTTCGATGTAGTGACAGTCTCGACAGCGATAGCATAGTCGAGGAGCTTGTGAGAGGGGAAGTGCTTGAGGACATAGTCCTTGACAAGCTCGACACGTAGATCAGGATTGTTTCGGGACTTGATTCGATGGCCGATACCGGGAACTGCACACCTGGTTAGCTTGGTCATGTAGACGGTCAATTTAGATGCATACTAAGCTTGTTCTCCTTTCTCATGGTGTCGACAAACTCTCGAGGCGACCAGCCCTTGTCGAAAGCCTTTGAAAACTCCTCGGCGGCGCCGTCAAGCGCACCACCGAATCGAGAACCGATGGTAAGGAGACCGGCGACGAGCGAGGAAATCAGATCCTTGCCCGCACGGGTAGTGACAATCGTGTTCATTGCACCAGACACAGCCGGGCCGTGATCGGCAGTCAACATGAGAACCATCTCCAAGAATTTGCTGGCGTATGGGGGGAATCGGCGACGGAACCACAGCAGAGACATGACACCACCAATACCAATATCCTCCTTGAAGACGTCGGAGATGGGCATACCGGCGTAGAGCAGCTCTTGACCTCTGTCGTCGGAGATGGTAGAGATGAAAGCAGCAGGCTTTCGAATCAAGCCTAACTCTTGTGCCCAAGCATAATCGATAGGAATCTTCGGTGGAATTGGTTCTGGAGCTGGCTTGATTGTTCCTTGCTTGACAAGTTTCTGGTAGACTTCAGCAAGCACCTGAGGCATCTCCTCGAACGTGTCGGGGACGAAAAATCCAGCTTCCTTCATCGACTGGTTCTTGACAACAGCGGTCTCGAGTTGTGAGTTTGCAGAAGCACCGGCGTGACCGAACTGGACCTCGGTCTTGAACATGCTTGCGCAAGTACCAATAGCCCAGGCAACGATCGGCTTGGTGATCTGGCCCTTCTTCACCGCCTCGATGACTCGGTACTCCTCGACACCGCCGACTTCGCCTAGAAGCACTAGGATCTTGCAATCGGGCTCGTTCTGGTATCGGAGCAGATGGTCGATGAAACTGGTTCCGGGATATCTGTCTCCACCAATGGCAATACCCTCATAAACACCATCGGTGTTCTGGGCTATGATGTTGTTGAGTTCGTTGGACATACCGCCCGATTTCGAGACGTAGCCAACTGAACCTTTGCGGTACAGTTTAGAAGCGACAATGTTGTCCATCATACCACCAGTGTTGCCAATCTTGAAAGCACCAGGCTTGATACCACCAACAGTGGCAGGTCCAATAATGGTGATGCCCTTCTCTTTTGACTTGACCATGATCTCACGAGCGCGTCTCTCGGGGACACCTTCTGCAATGATCGCAATCGAGCGTATTTGAGGAATGTTCATTAGCTCCATCGTCGAGCTGTAGACTGATCGAGAAGAGGCAAAGTTCACAATCGTGTCAACGTCAGGGTGCTTCTCGAAAGCCTTGTCCACGGATTGATAGACAGGCAGGAGGGTCTCGCTGGTACCCCAGTACATCTTGCTGACGAATTGACCGCCAAATGTGTAGATGATACCGGCTACTGACGGCGTCGATCGCTTACAGATGAAATCAAAGTCGAGCATGCCCTGGACGGCCTTTGGCTGCATACCGCTATGTCGATTGTCAGTGTCGATTCTTCTCCAGATCTTGAGTCCTCAGCTACTTACTAGACAAAACATCTCGTCTTGTTGTGGAATAAAGCATGTTGGACAGGGCTCAGCACTCTTGAAGGGGGATCGAATCGGCGGATGTTGTCGTTGGCAGAGAAAGGTGCTTCTGACCCAGGGGAATCAGTGCCATCTGGGATGTTCACCTTGGGCAGTCCGTTGGCGAGAGGCGCAGGCCCGTCCATAGCAGTAGGCATTGTAGGAGAGTCTTGACGAACTGGAAGTCCCATCGTGTCAGCAGGAGGGAGTCAATACAAAAGACGGTAGTAGTGTATAGAAAATTGTATAGCCGGAAGAGAAATTGTGTGTGGTAGGGCGAATATTGCGATTGAACAGGATCCTCTAGTAACTTACGTTCGGGCAATAGTGATCGTTGAGGGTTGTATGAGAGAGAAAGACTGTCGGTTGAAATCCAGCACAGAGACAATACCGACACGGAGAAAATGCTGTCGAGTTGAATTGGTGGTTGTTTAGTGTGGAGTGTGAGATGATGCTGAGGGGCTCAGAAATGCCAGATTGTACACAGTATTTCGCAGCTCAGCTGTTGTTGAGCTCCGGGTGCTAACGAGGTGCAGCCCAGTGCAGTAGGGGCTCACCCGAAAATAGACTGGCGGCCCCCAACTTGTCCATCCCTGCGTTACGGTGAGATTTTTGGTGGATTTCTGATCGCTACCAGGCCTCGCCATTGACCTTTTGCGGCCCGCAGCCGGAAAGGCTGAACACGCTGAATCGCCGCCACCAGACATTTTCTGGTGGGCATGATCCCTGCACGTCCCTGGAAACTCGATCCTTCACTGGAGGCAGTGGAGGGGAGCTGTCCTCGCGTGCCTCCTTGACGCTGTGGTTCGGAGTCCGGTGGACGTCGTATCTCGTATCCCCGGGTGGCACGATACTTTGGTCTATACATCCGGCGAATATACAAGAGTATTATGGGCAACTGTCGGGACTTGGACTGGGCCAACAGGAAATTGCTGTCTCCTCTCGGTGTTCTACGTAGGACCACGGCCTTGGAGAACAAGGCATCCCTGAGACAGCAGCACTCGGCATTGAAACCGCGAATCCAACAAATAGTACGTGGCAATGGCAGTATTATCCACGTCACAGGGCCAGCAATGGCTGAGAAGGCGGTGACCGATGAGGAGCTTAGGCTCGGTCACTCATCTGGAGGATGTTCCTGGCGTTGGTGCGATTTAGCTTGATCAGATCCACACAGGACAGGCACTCACAGGCCCATGATGGACCCCCTCGTTAAGTTTAGCAACCTTCTATAGGGCTAGGGGCACCGGCGGACTCTCCCAACAACGATTCTCCGCCAAATTTTTATTGTGCAGCCGCTCTCCGAACGCCAACATTATCATTATTGTGTCGAACCCAATCCAGCAATAATTCTGCCCCCAGCTGTTCGGAATTCTGGCACCACCACGGTCTCACGCTTCATTCAGCAGGTTGACAAGTTGTCCATTGCACTTTCTTGATATCTACATTTCTCCTCTGACACTTTGTACCTTCACAACTTCATACATTCCCCCTTCAAAGCGTTGACTCGCCCTAAATCTCCCTCTGTTTACCCCTCACCGCCGCAGCCATGTCAGCAAAATCCATCCTCGAGGCTGATGGAAAGGCTATCCTCAACTACCACCTTACGCGCGCTCCAGTCGTAAAGCCAACTCCTCTGAAAGCGTCTGGCGTCCACAACCCTCCTGCAAAACTAGCTTCTCTCTACTTCCCTGAAGACGAATCGGTACAAACAGTTTTGGATCAAGCTGAGGCCACCTATCCATGGCTGCTTGCCCAGGGCGCCAAATTCGTCGCAAAACCAGATCAACTGATCAAGAGAAGAGGAAAGAGTGGCCTGCTGGCCCTGAACAAGACATGGCCAGAGGCTAGAGCGTGGATTGAGGCCAGAGCTGGCAAGGAACAGAAGGTCGAGACCGTTACTGGCTACCTCAGACAATTCCTGGTCGAGCCATTTGTTCCTCATCCTCAAGACACCGAATACTACATCAACGTCAACTCTGTCAGAGATGTGAGTCTTACAGGCTGTTAGTGATATATCCCAGACTGATTTGAGGCTAGGGTGACTGGATTCTCTTTACACACGAAGGTGGTGTTGACGTTGGTGATGTCGACGCAAAGGCCGAGAAGATCCTCATTCCAGTCGACCTGAAGAACTTCCCTTCAAACCAAGAGTTGGCCTCCTCACTCCTCCAGAAAGTCCCCAAGGGCGTTCACAACGTCCTGCTCGACTTCATAGTCCGACTCTACTCCGTCTACGTAGACTGCCAATTCACCTACCTTGAAATCAACCCCTTGGTTGTCATTCCCAATGATGCGGGCACGTCGGCCGAAGTCCACTTCCTCGATCTTGCTGCCAAACTCGACCAAACAGCTGATTTTGAATGCGGGACAAAATGGGCCATTGCACGGAGCCCGGCTGCTCTTGGTATGCCCGGAACCAAGACCGATGGAAAAGTCACCATCGACGTTGGTCCGCCAATGGAGTTCCCCGCACCCTTCGGTCGCGAACTCACCAAGGAAGAGAAGTACATCGCGGACATGGATGCGAAGACCGGTGCCTCCCTCAAGCTCACGGTTTTGAACTCCCAAGGGCGCATTTGGACTTTGGTTGCTGGTGGTGGTGCCTCGGTCGTCTACGCTGACGCTATTGCCTCCGCCGGTTTTGTCAGCGAGCTGGCCAACTATGGTGAATATTCAGGCGCCCCGAGTGAGACGCAAACTTACAATTACGCCCGAACGGTTCTTGATCTGATGCTTCGAGCACCAATGCACCCCGACGGCAAAGTCTTGTTCATTGGTGGCGGTATCGCTAACTTTACCAATGTTGCTTCAACATTCAAGGGCGTCATTCGCGCCTTAAGAGAGGTTGCTCCCGTGCTCAACGAGCACAAGGTTCAAATCTGGGTCCGTCGTGCTGGCCCCAATTATCAAGAAGGTCTCAAGAACATCAAGGCCGTGGGTGAAGAGCTCAAACTTAACATGCATGTGTACGGTCCTGAGATGCACGTCAGTGGTATTGTGCCACTGGCTTTGCTCGGCAAGAAGTCCACCATTCCTGAATTCGGCGGTCAGTAAATGATCGTGGGGGCATTATTGTATGGTTTGATCTACAGTATTCACTGTCAAGCAATTTTGATAGGTTGGCACGCACCTGGGCAATCGGAAAAAGGGGGCTAGGTGTTCTTTGCGGATTTGGCCTGATGACTGCGAAGGGAGCATTCTGTGTGTGATGTACAACGAGTGACAGCCTTCCCTGTTGGGTCGGATTGAACTCGAGACAGACGAGCGTAAATATCCAAGTTTAGAGCCCCATGGTAATGACAAATTCACGCAATCAGAAAATGGGCTCAGAACATGCTTGGTCTAACCTTTCCATTGTCAAGTCCGCTTCAAAACTCGTACATTCGAAGGCTGCACGGAGGACCCGGAACCTGTGCCCCAGCATTCAGTGCTGTATAATGAACCATCGACCTTTTTAATTCGGTCTACTCGTTTTGTGGCACCCTAAGTTGACAGAACTCCCAACGCCATTTTATCGTATCGTCGCTCAAATGACCACCCAGCACAAACTCGTCTTGAAACCTCCATTTCGCCATGTACATGAATGCATTCATATCAGTCGTAGCATCTCACTCGACGAGAACGACTCTTCCTCCTGCCAACTCGTCAATGTAGGCCAGCTTGCCACACCCTTGGCTCGTCTTCTTGTCCTCTTCACGTAGCAGAACGGCAAGGACTTCGACAGGAGGCTGAAGACCGAGCATGTTTGCCCTCTTCCAGCGCTGAAGTCTCTGTATGCCAATGCAGGGTCCGTATTGGGAGGAAAGGTCGAAGTGCCGTAGGATCTTTTCATGGAGGGAAAGCGACTCTTGGTGAACTGTGGATGATCAGGGTTAGCAAGGTCCAACCTGGAGCAGACAGATTACGCACTTCTAGGAGCAAGCCGACCATCCTCCTCGGCTCTCCAGTATTTTCTCAGTTGCGCATCGGTGACCTTCTCTGCCGCAAGTTCTCGCTCATCTTTGCTCGCTACAGTCTTCTTTTTGGTTTTTGGAGTCGTTGTTTTCGGTTTCAACGGTGATTCTCGAATAGGTACATCGACTTTCTTCGACTCGGGCTCTGGCGTGACCTGGACTTCGTTTGCTTCTGGCTCGTCTTCCGTCTCAGGTGTCTCGATGGCTCTCACTTCATCTTCGACTTGCGCTTGCGCCGGCTCAGAGAGTTTCGAAGCGGCTTTTTTTACTGCATCGTCTTGTCTGGTTCCGGGTTTGGTCACTCGAGCCGAGTTGTTGAATGAGAGTCTGGACTGAGCATTGGAGGCTGCTGCGCCTTTGGCTTTGCGGCCGCGAGGCATTTTGTTTGTCGAGGTCAAATGTGTGCAATGTGCTGTGAGATATACTGTGATTGTAGGAATGAATCGGCCAGTAACTGATGTTGTCGATGTACACAGTATGTGCTGAGTATTGTCTGATGTTCGGACCACCAGAGAGATGGTGAATGACGTTCTTCAATTTCCCTTGTCGCTGCCTCAGCAACCACTCCAGCGGCGCCAAGGTATCATTTAACTGCTGGCGCCGCATCCCATTTGCGGAAGGAGGGTGATGCCGCCCTTGGCTCAACCCCGGATCGCCGGCTGAGCGATCACCCTTGATTCACCGGTCGTGGGGCAGAAGTGCTCTACGGCCCTGAAACAATAATTCGCGATGTGATAGGCTTTTATAGCACATGGTTGCCCAATACGATGTTGCATCTGTCCAAGCATGTGGTGTCCTGCTACAAGCTGTCCCGATAGTAAGTCCAGGACTAACCCTGCATCTCTACGCCGTACAGTATCAATATATGGCCTGCCGAAACATCTACCGAACGAGACTCAAGGTCTACCTCCTCCGCCTCCACGTTTTGCTGCACCCTCCACGACCGTCCTTCCGACTCCGAGCATTTTGATGATTCTGCAATGTTATAACGCATGCACCTAAAGCTTGAGGATAATCTTCCAATAGTTTCACATTCAAGGGCTTTCTTTGGCCTCCTTTGTCGATACAGAGCTAGATCATTGATGGAGCGGCCGCCGAAAAGGGTTCGTGACTACAAGCGTCCGTACCAAGCATGCCTTGGTTGTCGAGAACGAAAAATTAGATGCGACATGGGTGACAACAATGCGCCACGTTCTCCTCCATGTGCTCGCTGCAAGCGAGAACATCGACAATGTCGCTTTGGTGAGGATCGGGCATGGGCTAGGCAATCCGGGAAGGCGAATGGTGAGCTGGAAGCAGCCTCGTAACACGCCGATTTGCAAATCACCTACCATCCCTTCAACCACTACTGACAATAACAACCAGGTTTCGCTCTCGATGCATCCCGTCACCCATCTCTTTTGGAAGCCGCCGTCCAGCATCGAGGTCGTGGCCGTGATAATCCCAGTCGTGTTTCACCCGCAGCAGAACCCCGATCAGACCCTCACGATTTCGAGCAGCTGAGCTCTCCAGCAAACCCCGGTAGAGGCCAGGCTCGGTCGCCCGAACAATGTAACCGCTCCGGGAGCGAGGAGCCTGCAGATGTTCCTGGTTCTATCACCTTTCATAATGCTTTGCAGTCTCATGGTCCGCCTGATCGCATTGCCTATGCATCCCCCACAATCCCATGTCCCCTGGCGGATGCGATCATGCATCCTACTCCCGTGGATGGGGACGATGGCTTGACTATTCTATTCGGGGCTGCTATGCGAGATGGTCGGACTTCACGTGAGAACACCAGCCGGAGTCAACCTCATGGCCTTCTCCCATCCAATATCCAAACATCAAATCCATCTCCCGGCTCCGCTTCTCCAGCGACAGAGGAATCTTAATGAGATCGCCTGACCATTCGACGAAACTGAAGATCTCTACCGCCTCAAATGACGACCTCAATTTGAGGAACTCCTGTCGCTTTGTACGCATGGGCTGGTTGGCTGCATACGAGGCCATCACACTTATCGATGCGTAAGCGAAGTTGCCACCCAAGTTCTTTATCGTGTCGTATATTGACTGTCCTAGATTTTTCACGAATATGTGCCCGTTAACAGCGGTGTTTACCCCTTATTATGCAGATCACGCCAACCATCGTCGACTTCTCTCCCAAGATCCTTTCCTCTGCACAGTGATACTGATGCTCTCGGCTCGCTACCATATCCTTCCAGGTCCATGCGCTTGGGGAAGAACTTTGGCAATCCACAATAGGCTTTGGCACCATTGTGAGAACCTGCTGTTGAGGCTCATTCTGGGCCAGTACAAAGACAAAGAATGCAACCTGCGAAGCTTAGGTACTCTTGAAGGATTACTTTTGTTGACAGAATGGCACTCCAGATCGTTGCACCATGCGCCAGACATGGAAGGCTGGGACGCCGGTCTGATTGTAGAACCCACCCCTTACGTTGACTTCGCGAAGCTTGGTTACGACATAATCGATAGTCAGAGATGGCAAAGCTATTAGACCGGCAGACGAGGGCTTGGATAGAACTCAACAGACTGTCTGCAACGATTACAGAGGTTCTCTATCTTTCCCCTGCTGCGGCTCAGAATCTAGCTAGCAACAGGCACTACAGTGGACTGCTAGACCACTTCAATTTGATGTTCGATCAGTGGCACGACAAGATATTCCAAGATGGAGGTACGTGGGAATTCAGTGACCTTTTCAGAATGAATTTGCCAGTCTCGCATTTAACGTGTATGGCGGATGTGACCACTCGATTTTCAGATCTTCTCGTGATAGAGTACTACCGGATCCGAGTTCATACCAACGCCCTCGGCATACGGGCCCCTATTGAGAGACTAACAGCCAACAAGCGGCATGGCGCCGATCATCCTATCTTACAACAGCCACTCCTGAGGGGCAGAGAAAGTGTCTATATCCAAGAGGTAATGGTTGGGGCCTGCGCCATGCTTTCCAAGGTCACAGAGCTGGCCGACCTGGGCGTACTAAGATTTTGCCCTGTCCGGACATTCTTATGCGTGGTTAGTACTTCTATGCTTCTCCTTGCTACCGTCCATCTCGGGTGCGCGACAGTGGAGGACGAGGGTATCTTTGAGCTCATGGATCGAGCCACTTCAGGCCTTCGTTCATGTGTCGTCGACGACCTTCATCTCAGTTCTAGAATTGGCACTCTTCTTGAGATTCACGTGAGAAAACTGCGCTTGAAGCGTTCCCGTAAGCTACGGACAGATGCAGCCTCCGGGCATGTCGACACACTGAATAACTCTCAGGTGGACACAGCGTACGTTGCTGGTGAAGAGCCTCATGCCATGGATGATCATCAACAGTCTCTCGACCCGGATTTTGCACTGTCGGATGTCAACTTTGACTTTCCCCAGGAGCTTTCAGACGACATATGGGGGTTTCAAATGCCGACACCATTCGCTCCACTTCATCACAACACTGCCCGAGAGAGTGAAGGCCCCCATTTCAATCAGAGCTTGTGACGAACCCCACGGATTATTCTAACGTTCTGCTCGTCGCGAAGACAGTAAACAGAATGATCTCCGCTTCTGCATTCTACAACCGAGTCATGAAGCAGTCGAGGGCGTCAAGGGCAATTTAACTTCCGTTGGGTCATGTGCTTCGGCCAGACACTGAAATGCAGCAAATACCCGGCACTGAGGAAGCATCTATACAACGAAATCGGAATCGGCACGTCCCGAGCATTCTCAGGAATTCGCCTCGCGGAGGCCTCGTCGCGTCGTTCGTCAAGTCACGGGCAGTTCAGGTGCTGATAATGAATGGACATTGCCAATTCTTTCGACCTCTTTTGCAAGGGTGTCTTTTGGGAGGATCTCATTGAGAGATTCTGCCGCGACTCGTCTGCATGCGGCTGGTTTAAGGTAGCCGATCGCTACTTACAACTGCACAAAGGGATTGTCTATAGAGCTGTTGTTCTCTCCTCCAAAATGGATGTGATGTCGTCCTCGATTTCCAGATGTGAAAGTTCCCTGGAGTGGCACGAACTCGGCAAGCATCATATGATGACCAAATACCTTCAACACCAGCTTCTCACCCTTCTCGAAAGCTATTGCCGTTGGCCAAAATCCAATTTCTAGCTTGACGATCGTCCCCTTGGCGACAGGTTCGACGGCCGAATGACTTGGAATAGGACGATACGGCTTGCTAAGCTTCTCGTCTAACCTTCGGTGACTGGCACGCAGAATACCCGTTGGGCCAAGATATTTCAGCGGATTGATGGACGGAACGTCTTGCGGGGCCATGCCAAGTCATGTTCCTTGCAGGAAACGAAGAGGGTCGCTTTGGAGTACCCGACGAGGTACGACGTTTCAGTAAAAGTATACTCGAAACGTATTTCCTCAGGATCGCAATCAGCCTGCAATGCTTGGGTGTCGGACTGGTAGCTGTATGTTCCATGATCAACGGGCTTCTCGGGGGACAGCTCAGATGTGCCTTGCAGGTACAGTGTTTGGTGCTTTGTAGATGGCAGGGGCCATTCGGGCACAGGAAGGTTGACGGTTACAGGCTGTCATCGTCAGCGTGTGCTATTCAAAGATCAGGAGGTCTTCGCTGTTACCTGATTGAAATGGATAATGGAAAGTCTGATCCCCGGCGTATCCTCCCAGCCATTATCTATCCCCTTGGAATAATGATCGAAGAACTTCTTCAATCCAGCCTAGCACCCCTCGCTGTACAGGTCGAACCATTCTTGACTGGTATGGACACGAAGCCTATAGCACGGCAAATGTGAGCTCAGGCGCATGCCAGGCACAGAGGACTCGTTGCATGACAACTGGGACACGTACCACTTGGGACATTTGGATTCCTCGTATGCCCTGAATGAGCCAAGAGTATGCAGGCCAGTCGAAAAGCTGGCCAAGATATACGCGGGAACAGAAATGCGGTCCATTTTCGCTCGCTTATCTTCCCAGTAAGCGTTCCATGTAGGGTATCGACGCAACATCGCGATGAGATCTTCCTGCTGTCCTTGGCCTGCGAAAGTTCAGCAAATCCAGGGGCAACATAAAGGACACAAGGCGTCCAAGGGGTATTCTTCACCGAGCATAGTACCGCTTATAAAGCGATGAAACGGTTCCGCAGGAACACCACCTCTACCCAGAGTCTCACGATCTATGTCGCCTGCACCCTCCAATGGTGCGATACATTTCAGGTGAGGCGGCTGCTCAGCAGCAATGAACCACTGGGACATGGCGAGCCAGGAGTTGCCCACCAGTGCAACACTGCCGTTGCACCAAGGCAAGTGGGCGATGTGCTCGACTGCATCGTATCCATCACGATCATCGGTCATTGCTCTTATTTGTAAGGAAAATTGCACCTCCCATATGATGACCGACTGACGTCGCCTAGTGTGCTGCTTGATTGTTGATCCCTCAGCTGAGTTTAATTCACGTATCGACGCGCCAGTGGAAAAAGAACTTGTCATGCTTCAAAACATCGTCGACGGGGACTATGAACGTCGCTTGGAGAATGTTAACGTTGACTCTAAAAGGTCCGGACCATGAAGCAGATTCTTTCACCGAGAAGAAGTGGCAGGATCTCCAACGGCTTAGCACCAGACCAGGAGCTGTCGCGCCTTGCTCGAAGAAGACCGCTTTTCACAAGTAGGGAGTACCATGGACTACAGTAAATAGTCATATAAAGCCCCCAGGAGGAGCCGGAAAAGGAGACTTCTTGGTCGTGGTCTCACCGAAACTATTGCACATACCACATGTACATCGTCCATAAGTGAAATCGCCGTCTTTGAATCTGTAGCCTTGAACCAATGAACCACTAGTCACAAGAGCTAGTGACCAGTGGTTCGTATTCGTGTCTCACGGCTCATCGTTCTGTCAGTAGCTGGTGCCATATCGCTGGCGCAAGTGGTCTTCAGCCCTGATGGGCGCGTACAGTGGTTGCTCTCCTGGTCTCAAGCAAGTTGGGATGCATTCGATCATCTGGTCCAACAGGCCTTCGTTGAAGAAGGCCACAGAATATCGGTCCTTGCTGGATACAGGTGAGATGACTCGGTGCAACGTCGAGGTGTACATGTTGTTTGTCCATCTCTCTGAGGAATGGCTTAGTTACACTCGGCTGTGGGACCGGGGCTACTCACCCATCATATCTCCCATATTAACGACGAACGCGTCCTTGACTGGTGTGACACTATGCCACGATTGTGTGGGTTTGTGAAACACTTCAAGTCCACCGACTGTAAAGCAAATCAGCGAATACCGTGCATAGGGCACGAGTGACATACTTTCGTCTTGGAGAAGGAGCGTCAGGGCTCCAAAATCGGTATGCGCGCCAATTCCTCGAGTTCTTTGAGCCGTCTCGGAAGTTGTTGGTGGATAGCGATGAGCTCGGCACATTGAAATTGCTGTTCACGCCCTGATCAGTTCCAGTGCCAAAGCTGCATAGTGAGTCATCCTACAGTCTCTGCTGCCCACGAAATTGTCAAAGTATTCCTCATCCAAGTCTAGGCTTAATGCCATCAACCTAAACATTGTCTTGCTAAGCTCAAGGACTTGATCGAAGTAGGTCGTAAAGACCTCACGAAAACCAGGCATTGTCTCCTCGCTTGGCCATTGGTTGGGCCCTTGGAGAAATCGTGCGTCTGCCGAAAGTTCTGGACCGATCATAAAGCCCTCCTTTTGATCGGAAAATGCAGGCTCCAGCCTCTGCTCACCAACACTCTCGTAGCCTCGCAGGCATTTCGACTGGCCCCTGTGAAGTGCTTTCTTTGCTGTTGCGGGCAGAGCGAAGAACTCGGAAAGTTTCACAAGCAATTGTGTTCGCAAATCTGAAGATATTTTGTGCCCTATGATTTGGAAGAATCCTGGAGATTGGCACGCGGATCGAAGTTCATTGGCAACTTTTGCGACTTGGGCCTTGTCGCCCCTGAGATAGCCCGAAATGTCTATTACCGGGACCTCGACTCTGATGGATTCAGGTAGGGACCCCATACTCAATATCGCTTGTGGTAGCCCGATCTTTGAGGCAGTCAACTGTGGCGGGCTGCCCCGGATATCAACAAAAGCTGTGGAGTTTTTGCATCGCTCTGGCACCAGCTCGTCGTCTAGTCCAACTGACCGAACAAGTCTTGTGGACAACCAGCGATGGTCGCTAGCTCGACCCGGATTTCGGCGCCTTCTGGCCTAAGCCGCCAACATCGAAGTTAGGTTCGTAGGAAGACAAAAGCGTTTGAAACTGATAAGCAGGTAAGAGCTACACTAACAGAGATCCCGATGGGCTAGGCTACTCGATTCCCTACAGGAATGAAAGGCTGCCTGTCCTTATCTACGACGAATGGTTCAACATTTGAGTTCGTACATATCTCTCGGCTTTTTTCTATATCTTCTTGTTTTATCTTCCAAGCCTGGATCAAAACCGCGTCCGAGGCCAATGGAATCTTTGCGAAGAATTGTGGAGCATACTTTCTCGCTGCGTCCAAGTGATAGCTGAACTCCGTGCACAGGATGCACCAGACTTCTTCTTGGCTAGCCGTCCAGACCGTGCCATGACTGACGAGCATAAGATGTCGGCCTTCAACGAAAATAGCAAATGCAGCTTCCTCTTGGTGTTCTCTTGCTCTGTCTACGGCTGCGCTGCAAGAAACAATGCCATCTCTCCGTCTGGACCATGTCCGCGAAGAAGCGAAGAAGAAGAAGCACATCAATGGCTGGGTTCTTGAAAAGCAGGAATCCAGTTGGGCTCCTGCTGGAACATGGTCCAACATTGACTTGGACGTGACGCCAGTCGAGAGGCGGACATGGACGAGCTGGACCATCTTTGGATACTGGTTCAGCGACATCATCAGCATTCAGAGCTGGCAGACCGGCAGTACCATCTTAGCTCTTGGACTGACTTGGTTGGTATTCAGTCCGCCTAGAAGGTTCTTTATTGACGGTAACCAGGCGCGAGGCTATATTCGCTATTGTCTTTGGCTCATTCGTGATGGGCGTGCCGATGGCGTTGAACGGCTACACTGGGGCTAAGACTCACGCTCCGTTCCCAATTCTGGCTCGAGGATCATTTGGATACCATCTGGCGAAATTTCCAGTCATCGTTCGCTTTATCACCGCGCTCTTCTGGCATTCCATCACCAACTTTCTCGCTGTTGGACCGACGATACAGGTTATCAGGGCAGTTTGGCCTTCGTTCCGCACATTTCCAAATAGTATTCCTGCATCTGCGGGCATCACCAGTCAGCAGATGATCGCGTACTTCGTCGTATGGACCGTTCAGTTCCCCATCCTGCTGATTCCACCACACCGGATGAAATGGCTCTTCTTCGTGAAAGTGGTCCTGTGTATAGGCACGATCGTCGGAATGGCAATCTGGACTTGCACACGTAGCGGCGGCAGCGGGAACATCTGGGATCAGCAAGCTACTGTGGCAGGATCGACTAAGTCCTGGCTGATCATGTGGTCCCTGAACAGCTGTACAGCCTCGTGGAGTACGGTTGGAGTGAACATGTAAGTCTTGACAGCCTCTGATCCAAGGCCGAGAAGTGCTGCGTGTCAAAGGACAATGTTGCCGTTCCGTGTGCTAGCTACTGATGCTGATGCCTTCCAGACCCGACTTTACTCGATACCTTAGCAAGCCGAAATCCGCACTGACGCAGGCCATCTTCTTTCCTATGATTGCCAGCTGGGTGGCTATCATTGGTGTTGTGGTGGCGTCGGCCTCATACATGATATACCACGAATACGTCTGGGACCCGATCGCCATCATTGACTCCTGGGACGGACCAGCTGGACGCGCTGCTGCTTTCTTTGCCGGTTTGTCCTGGGTCATTGCTCAGATCTGTGTCAATATGTCTGCGACCGTGATCTCTGGCGCAAATGATCTGGCGAATCTATTCCCGAAATGGATCAACATCCGGCGTGGTGCGATTGTCATCACAATCATTGGTGGTTGGGCTATGGTTCCTTGGAAGATCTTGCACAGCGCAAGTTCGCTGCTGAGTTTCATGAATAATCTGGGCATCTTTCTTGCTCCTACAATGGTGAGTCCACAACGCCTGCAATTTTTCCACTTTCAGACCGGAGCAGTGTTGCTGATGCGAACGGGGCAAAGGGCATTCAAGTCGCCGACTTTTTCGTCGTCAAGAGGCAGCATCTCGACATCCCGGCTTTGTACCAGCCGCACGGCCGCTACCGATATTATGGAGGCGTCAACTGGCGCGCATTGGTGGCGTTGCTTGTGTCGATTGTTCCTGCGTTGCCGGGTCTGGCGAATAGCGTGAATCCGAATGTGCCAATTGGCGGCGCGATTTACCTTGTGCAGTTCAATTGGTACTACGGTATCGTGGTCGCTTTTGGAGCGTATGCTGGGCTCAGTCTAGTCTGGCCTGCGAAGGAGTCCCTTGTGCCATGCATGATTGAGTCGTGTGAGCATGCTGAAGAGGAGCAGGCGGGTTTCGAGAAGGAGCGTGTAGTGACTACGACTACTACAGCTGAGAAAGACTGAGAGCAGACGAAGGCACTACTCATTGGCCAGGACTCGTTCTGATCCTCGTTTCATCGGACATGCTGCACGGAACCCTTGATAAGGCCAACCCCGGCACTGACGAGCCAAGGCTACTGCATCTTGGTGTTGGTATACCATACAGGAGGCGCCAATGCATTTAGATAGAAGACTCGGAGTCACTGTGATCATGCTGAACTTGTTCTTCAATTTCGTATTTTTCTCTTCGTGACTTTGGGTCTTTCCTCATACTTCCAATTCCCTTGTGATACACTGACAATCCCCCGTACTCCCACATTCACACCGTCATACAACAATTAGCTGCTTGATTCGTACACAGGATCGAGATTCTTTTCTGGCTTTCATTCATGTGGCCTTTTCGATGTCAAATACAATGCTTGTCACAAAACAAGCATCGTACGCGGATCCCGTGATTTTCCCCAGCCCATGCGCTGACGCCGTCTGGGTCTCATTGCAAGCAGTAAAAGCCCCTTAATTCTCGTTCCTGCGACGTTGTTCGATTTTCATATTTTGCATAGCTGTTTGTTGCTGTTGCACACTCTGCTGCGCTTTTCCGTTGCGCTTTTCCTTCCATTTTTCATTCCATGGTTTCCTTTCCGTCGCTTTTCCCTGTTTCCCGCTCTTTTCCCTTTCTTTTTCCCTTTTTCTTTTCGTTCTGATGATGGGTCAAGTGTTTGACCTGCAATATTGCGTCCCATTTCGAAGCCGGTTATACCTGAGCACGCATCTCCGATAGCCCCAATATTGTCGAAGACATTTGGAAGAGAACTCTGTGGTTGGACAGCGATGAGCAGCGGCGAGCAAAGATGCCAGAGCTTTGTTGAGGTTGGGAGATTCACAGACTGCTACGTCTAATGAACCAGTTAGGCACAACGCTCATGAAAGGGAAACAACCAGGTTGCACTTACATCTTTCTCGTAGTCAATCGAGGTGCTGCTGCCGCTGTTGCCCAGTGACTTCGCGTTAGGTTGCAAGCTCTGGTCAAGTGTGAACCAGGTCGAGTTCCATCTCAATTCATCATGATGTCATGAATTCTTTCTTCGCTTTGATTCCCGAATGTTCTTCCGGTTGTCTGACTAGACATGCCTAGGAAAGTGATTCCGCACGAGCCTATCAGATTCCTTCTTCCTCTCATCTCATTCACAGTGACGGGTTTTCCGAGAGCTTCAGTAGTTCGCTGGAGGTGGTCATCTTGGACACCTTCGCCACATTCTTTCTGAGTGAGGTCGTGGTGAGAGTAAAATCAAACTAGCCCCGGTACGACCGCATAATGATTGGATTGGAATCTTGTGACTGATTGATGACTGACAAACAGCGAGGATAGTCCCATTGTCTGAAGATGACTGCCCAAGACCTCAGGCTCTTCGAAGAGTCCCAAGGTTTCCGGATGTCCTGGCTGAAAGGTGGACAGTTTCATGCTTGCCTCGTTGCGGCCGGTGAGGAGCATACTGACAGAGGCAGTCGGGAAGCCGAATCATCACAACTGCTCTGCAGCATGGAAGAGACAGCACATCAATGAAGTGGCCGAAACTTGAGGAAGAGGAACAATTCGCGAGAGAGAACTGAGGGCTTATGAGGTGGTTGAAGAATCTCTTGGCAACGGGCAAGGCTGCCTCTCAGCCTCGTGTCACCTTGCCAGATAAGGTACCTTATGTGTACGAAGGCGGTATCAACAAGTATTTCCATCGATATGAGCAAGCGATGATTCGGATAGGTTCCGTGTACGAATGGATGCTCATCGAAGTCAGTGTTAGGTTGAGCACGGTACTATATTCTGCGTCTTCCAATCCCTCATGGACTTGAACCTGCGAGATCAAGTGTGAGAAAGCAGCGGAGGCATGACTGCGCCGGGGCTAGCCAGGAAGCACGAGAGCAGAAAGATGGAGAGTTTCGAACAGCTGTCATTCTATCGGAACGAAGAACGACACCTCAGCCCAGTCAGTGCAAGCCTTATCCTTTACACCTTCGTCGGCCTCACACAATCTGTGACGAATGCTCAGATATCCACACAGAAGTGTTCAGTACAACTTCAACCCGACCCGTCGCCTCATGCACATATCTGACTACTTCTTCTTTCCAGTCCTTAACAGCGTACGGATCCTGTCTGGGTCACTTCTTGCTCGCCTCAAGCCCTATGTATACCACGACAGCCGCTGCTGCCGAGATAAACGGCGCCACAATGTCCAGAAACCACAGCCACTGGAAATACAGCATGCCCCAACGTCTCTTGTCAAGATCGATCGTCCCATTGTCTCTTCTGAAAGGGTACTTCTTCAAGGTGAACACGCAGCCCTGCACGACCCAGTAATGGCCAAAGGAAAGCACGGCGACGATGATTCCGGGATATTTGGCAGGCCACATGGAGTGATCGAAGTTAGAAAGAAAGCCACGAAGGCGCACAGTTCGGCCATGGCTAGGATGAACGCGACGCCAAGGATGTACTCAGCCACATTAAGGTCGACATCTTCCTTGTTTGGAGTCTGAGTTGCAGGTGCTGCTGTCCGTCCGGCCAGTGCATCTGAGGTGCCTGTAGACACAGTCGGCTCGGTATTCGTCGAAGCATTTCTCATGGTGGCATTGTGCGTGCTTTCAGCAGCTCGAGACTCGATGTTGTCTTCGCGTTCGCGCCTTGAGCGGTAAGAGGGCGGTCGCGAGTTCGAGTCCATCTCATGAGACTGAGCTTCGTCGTCAGTTTTCGAAAGACTCAAGTTGAGTTGGCTGGGGAGACTGTTTCTTGGATATCTGTCACGAAAGGCAGATACGTGGAAGCCTCGAGCATAAAGAATTCGAGTCATGAGGTGTAGCGAGAGGAGTCTCAAAGTAACTTGCTTCGTGGCAGAAAGAAAAGCACGAGCCGACGGGGAGACTCAAGTCTTATAAAGGTGGAGGATATAAGACCTCAGCAAACTTTGGGCTCTGGCAAGTGTCCATTGTATGGATGAACCAAGAATTTTGCTGGGTGGACCACCATGATCGCCAACTATAATGGCTGCTCAAGGGTGCTCTGGCAAGGCAGACTGATGAGGGAGAAAGGGTCTTGCCAGAGTATAATCATTAGAGAGAGAAAAGGGAGCCGGAAAAGTATCGAAATTTGGTTGTTCAATCAATCCTTAAAATGATGAACGTGGCTCCATACCTAGAGCCGGGGTATCATGAGAATGCTGTATGTGCTGCCGTTTTTGCGACCTCGATCTTCCCAAAATCTTCCCAAGTATATGTGAAACGCCTTGCTGTATGCCACGTGCCATATGACCAAAGTCTCGCAAGACTTATCATTTCATATTCGCCTGCCACGCTGGATGGGACTATTTCCCACGCTCATAAGAACTCGTGCCGCCATTCTTGATCTCGTTGCATATTCATAACCTCGTATATTTGCGGTCAAAGCTTCCAAGGCAGACGGCTGTTTAGGCTGACCAAAATCGCCAAGGTCCACTGAACCACGATGATTTTCGGTCCCAATTCCAGGTGCCTTGGGTGGCGGACCGCAGATCATCCACGTTCAGATAGTCCACACCTTCTTGATAGAGAACACGCCAAAGGTAGTTTCTCATGCCCCTCGGCCAGCTGGGTACGCCCCAGTATCTGACTTTCAGGCCGCGCCTATGCGCCCCATCGATCTGTTTGCGGATCTTCTCGATTTGAGTGGAAGAAAGTTTGCCCCGCCATGGCCAACCAATACTGCTCTTGAAATTCACCGAGGCGTAATACGAGTTGGAAGGAGAGTAGATGGCTGCATCTGATGGAGCGGCGCCTGAGCGGCCTTGGCCTTGGTTGGTGACTCCGCGCTTATCCAGACCATGAAATTCATCGGCGGTGACGCGAGGGTGAGGGATGGCAGGCGTCTTGGGGTCCAGTTTCTCGAGGACATTCAATGGTGCGTCGAAAAACATGTCTCGATACTGTGAGCTGGCCACCACATTCATGTAGGGCGCATTTCCGGTAACTACAACAGTGATCGGCCCTTCGATCGTGTCGGTTCCGTTGAAATATGTAAGGTAATTTTTTTGTCGGAGCGGTCCTAGCTGGTCAGCAACGTATGGCCAGATAGCTGCGCCATCGTTCTTGAAGTCGATCAAAAGGACAAGCGTCTGGGCGGGTTTCGTGTCGAAAACACCGCTTCGAGGGCTTTCGACAGAGGGATGAAACGAGGTTATCGGGTTTTGCTGATCCAAGATCTTCACCAAAGGATCAATGTAGAGGCTGCGAAGAGTTCGTTGGGGAGAGAGGGAAGCACTCGTGTGGCCCACATATAACTCTTCACCATATAACCAGACATCAGCTTCAACTCCGCTGCAGCCAGCTTTCAGTGCCGAGAAGAGAGGTTCTTTGCGCCAATAGTCATTGTGAGAATGACAAGCAACGGGATGAATGTCAGCTGAGAAGTCTGTAGGCCATTGGCTTAGTTCGGGTGAAACGTCGCTTGCTGGCTTCCATCCATCAAGCTCATCGGCAGCCTCGTTGGGGAGGAAGGAAAAGAGGACACCGCATGCTAGGGCTATGAATTCGACCAGACCACTGCGAAGAATATTAGAACACAACAATATCTGACCGATACAAAGAAGGACTGCTTACAGCAACATGAGCGAAAATGCCAGCAAGCGAAGGACCCTCCGCAGTGGGGTGCTCAGGACAGATTTCTCAACGATGTGCTCTTTATGTGCCACCGAATAACTCCGACCAAAACAGCGACTTAATGAAGGTATTCTTTCTGTCCAGCGCCATCTGGAAGGAAATTGAGTGCTGACAAGGTCAAAGGTATCGTCCGATGCAGAAAGAGAAGTAACAGTGACTGAGGGTGATTTATCGGTGTCGGGTCTGGCGGCAGATGTGTCATTGAGTGCTCCATTTTCCAGGTCCGCACAGGCGACGAAAGCCTGTTCCTGCGTCAAGAACGGTACACGTTCCGAGTCGGGAGATAGTTCGTGGTTTCGAGATGAATTTTGCTCACTGCGGAAGGGCCGGATACCTGCGGAGGGAAAATGAGGCATTGTCTGGTGAGCCTCGAGGCTGCAAAAAGCCCGAGCACGGATTGGAGAGGGGTGTCTCGTTACTTAAAGATCCAGCCAGGGACCAGGATCATACGAGTAGTGGGAGCGTGGGATGGTGGGATTCGATGGAGGATGGAGCCACCTGCAAGATCGGAGAGCCGAGGTGTCTGACCCGCACAGGCTAGAAGGATGGGAGGATGGGAGGATGCGATGGATCTTGAGGCGGAGGAGGGGTCGCGGCAAGGTATCTCTGTATCCCAAAGTAGGTCGCGCAGGTGGTTGAAGGTATCGACTTTTTGGTGTGAAGGTGATGGTGGTGACAGTGAATCTACGGCATTGGTGGCATGTATCGACTTTTTGAGGGTGATTTTTTCAATAGCCTCGAGATGGTCCTTGTCGAAGATGACTTTGGTGGTTGCCAGGCTAGATATAGATAGTATTGCAGCCGTGCACCCAAGTCTGTGTCTAGGCAGTAGACGAAACTGTCTACCAACCTTCTGCCACAGATCTGTCACCCATCTTTCCCACATGTCTGTCACCGTCTGTCGCAATTGGATCGAGGACATTTTACTACTACGAGTTACGCAAACTCCGAGTCTTCCCCTACAGTGCTACCACGGTATAGCACACCCATCATTGGAATCACCAAAATCTTGGCAGTTGGTCCATGAAGTAAAGGCCAGCTGATAGATCGACCACATCTTCGTCGTGCTTCAACCAATCCCTCTCCCCCGTGGTTTAGATCATCTGGAATCTCAGCTCTCGAGATTCGGCTAGCTGCGTACTACGAGCACGTACAGTACGAGTAACTTGGTTCCTTCCCTTCCCCAACTATTCTGGCTCACCTCCATCAGCCTCCCTGATCCATCGAGGCGCGACGTGTGCGCCACTGTCATTCCTTTGCTCCTTTCCCCGAAGAGCCTCAAGGCCCATGCATCAGTTTTGATTCACACGGGAGCACTAATGAACCCAAAGACAACGCCTCAAATCCTTCAGGGCTTGGTTTAGGCTTTGCATTGGTGGATTTTGACAACAGGGTCGTAGGCTCTGAATCCATGCCCGTGCGCATCCCCAATCTGGCTCTCGAAAGCTGTTGAAAATGGTCTCGAATGTGCGGGCAAACCCGGCACTCACTTACGGATAGAGACTCCGCCTATTACTCGTGGGACGATATTGTCCGCCAATTCGTCCCAACTCATTCAGCGCATGACAGCGACCTGTGGACAAAGCCACTCAAGCAACCGAATAGCCTGGTGATCCTCCAGGGACTCGTCTTAGCCATGGAACACGCAATGTTGAGGTTATAACCATGATCTGCACCAAGAGACTGTTCTGCGAATCGCATATTTGCTTGATCACACGTGCTTGTCATTGGCTGGACCAGAACGACTCGTGGATATGGTCGATCTGTATGCTCGATACTCTACTGGCAGCTACACGACGAATGGCAAGGCGGCGAGATGCCCGTGCGCACGCCGTGCCTTCTTAGCCACTCTAGAAAAACAACGAGACAGCACTCAGATAGTCAGCACCTCCAAGCATACCGACCTCATGACCAGAACGAAGCCATCACAATGCATATCCCTACCATGGTACTGTGTGTGATATGAGGGGGTTCAGAGCTTCGAACTTACTTCGCTGAAGCGGCGTGTCTCACGCCAGTGCCATCGGCTGCTAGCCAGACGACAGCACCAGTGAGTACGTTATCAAGCGCATCTAGAGGATGGAAGTGCTCGAGTGTCCCCATCCTATGTCTTCAACTCACCCGATCCAGCTGCCTCGAGCCAAAGACGATATGTGCCATATCAGCCTCGTCAGCCTCACTAGCCTGGACTTGCCCTACAAAGCAGTGAGAGCCTCTTCTCACGTACTCATTTTCTCTATCAAGTCTCGCCCCCTCCAGGAGCCAAGTCGGACACATCGGCCAATACAATGCACAAGGGTCAATATACATTTTGCCATACAATTATTGCAAACATATTGACAGGTTCCATCGCTTGATCATCATCCACTATGAGATAATCCTGCTTTCTGGACGATTCATAACCCTACATCCTGACCTTCCCTTCCTCCATCACAGTTCACAAATTTACAAAGGTCCATTAGGATGGATCAACACCTTGGTATATCCCTCGATCCTCTTATCAAACTTATCATATGCCATTTCAGCATCGTCGATTCCAATCTCGTGGCTGACCACGAACGATGGTTTCGCTCGGCCCGAGATGATCAAGTCGCGCAAGTACCTGTTGTATTGCTTGACATTGCACTGGCCTGTTGCCAGCGAGAGACCCTGTATCAATGTTAGCCAATATCACTCTTCCACCGTTTTCTGGTTCTGAGATGGTTTCCTACCTTCTCAAACAGCTTTCCGAAGCTGACACTGATCATTCCTTTCCCGCTCGCCTCATCCGGCGCACCAGGATCGGTTGGCACGTACAATCCTGTCGTCCATGGTCAATTTCTCAGCTTCTCCCTTTTGCATATCGAACTTACCAGGAATACCCAACCCACCACACGGCCTGGTCGCTTTAATCATGTTCTCCAGAATGATATTGGGCTGCTCTTTTTTGCCTCCGGTGTCAACAGCCTGATACCCCACGGCATCCACAGCGCGATCGACCATCCCACCGTTCTTCTCGATGATCTGGTCCGCCGCATCGCCCTTGCTGAAATCGATCGGAATACACCCAATCCTCTCCGCAGCTGCCAAACGTTCGGGCACTCTGTCTACACAGAACACTTTAGCCGCCCCCCTCAGCACGGCAGAGTACGCAGCCATCAACCCCACAGGTCCCGCACCCCAGACAGCGATGCTCTCGCCAGGCTTGAACCCGCTGAGAGTCACGCCATGCCAGCCTGTCGGGAAAATGTCCGCCAACAGGATGAAGTCGCTCTCATGTTCAGTGCCAGGCGGGAGCTTCAAGGCGTTGAAGTCAGCGTACGGGATGCGGATGTATTGAGCTTGACCGCCTGTGCGCCATCACCATATGTTGTCAGCAACCCCCGACCACGACCTCGACCAGCCGATGAAGGCTGGGTAGGTGGGTGACTTACCTCGATAAGGACCCATGGCCACGTAGCCATAGGCACCACCTGCAAAACCCGGATTGACACCCGTGCAGAAGGCGGTCTTGCCTTCCTCGCAGTTGCGACAACGTCCATCAGCGACGTTGAACGGCATAACGACACGGTCGCCTTTGTTCAGCAAAGTGACGCCGGCGCCGACTTCCTCGACAATGCCCATGTTCTCATGGCCTTTCATAACCATATGATCAGCATATTGTGCCTAACCGACACCCATGGCGCCTACCTACCGAAGGTAATGCCAGCCTGAGCGCCAGTTCGTCCTTCGTACTGCAATACGTTAGCCTTTCCGAGTCTTCCTTCCGAAGGCCCGGAAGGCTTCCAATGCTGTGGAATAACTCACCATGTGTAAATCGGAGCCACATATCGCTATTCGACACATTGGTCCTTGTCAGCCAACACCATCTTCGTATGCTTTGCGTCACTGTCCGAGAACAGGATGGGCTGCAATGACAACGACACCGACACCATCGTCTTTCCGTCTGACTTACCAGCCGTGGTCACCTTGACGATGACATCGTCCGGATGTTCAATCGCGGGCTTGGGCACATCTTCGACCTTGACCTTGAACGCCCCCTGGTAATTCACCGCCTTCATCGTTTGTGTGGTAGACATGTTTTTGAGTCGTAGTCGTAGTCGTAGTGATTGTTCCACTGCACTTCACTTCGCTGTTTCGTCCAACTAACCTTTTAGATTAGTTTGATTAATGCCTGACTGATTTGGTGTACTGTGTACGCTAGTTGCAATTTGACCAGGGAATGATTTAGCAAAGGGAAAAGAAAAGCAATCAGGTAACATCCCAATTCTCGGCATGGGTACCTCAGCTGAATTATATACCCTTTTCTCACTCACCCTCACTCACCCTGCTCGATCTGGGTCGATTTCCTTCCCTCGTGCATAATCTCGGGGCTCCATCGTGGTGCGGAGGTGCCCAGTCGTTGTTGCTGAATCGCTACATAGCCAAGCGGGCACGCGGGACTTCAGGAAAAAACCCTCGTCATCCATCGAGCATTTACCACTGATACGGATGTGCTCACCCCATATTTGCGGGGTAACGATGGTACGAGCGAGTAAAAGGCACCTGGCACTCGACCAGCAGACAACAAGAGGAGAAGCACCGAAACACGAAGGGCTGATCCCTCAAGCCCCTCAGCATTGTCGAACGGCCACACGACATATCGGCAAATGTGAAATCGCGCTCTTACTGGTCAGAAAGCCCCGCGACTGCGAATGTATCATGCATGGTCCCAGAAAAACTTCATACGGGAGTACCGGTCGAAGGCCTGCTTACTCTGGCTTCAGTTCCCGAACTTTCCTCTGGTCTAGACCACTTGTTGGAGATGTTTCGACACACAAAGCTTACCAAGTTCGGGATCAAAAGAGCGACGTGCAGCGATCATGAGACAACCTGGGGGTCTAAATTGCTGGCATTGGGACTAGAAAGCATTCGACGTACATTGGCTTCAGCGTTGTCAAAGTAAAGGAGTTCTCTCGAGACTATCCTGCCTGGTGTTCGCTTATCTCATGCTCCTCTTCTCCTCTTCCCTCCTTCGACACAAGACCGAGCATAAAAGCTTTGAAATCCTTCGCCGAAAACAACGCCTCTATCGCATGCTGTGTCAGGTGTCGGGCTATGTCGAATGTCTGAAAGGGGTATACATGATGGTGCATCTGTTTGTGGTCGTAGGTGATTCTTGTAATCGTACTGAATTGTCCGAGGGGTGCTTGGGTTCGGTTTTGAGCGGGGTGAGGGTGTTGAATGGTTGAAGATGGAAATTCCGGTGCTAGGATGAGGGTTTGTTCGAGTCGGGCAGCACTGCACAACCTGGGGCTGTGCTTGAACGCTCGTCAATGTTGAGTGACCTTCAATTGTGCTCTGCATTATCGAGGCTATGCCAGATGGGACAAACATGTCACACATGACACGGACGGATCGTTGCGAGTGACAGACTGCCCATTGATGACGGTTTTCACAAGTCCATTGCCTACATGTCCATGGAGTCATTCCCGTTGGCGAAGTTGAACTGTCCCTGAGGTTGGTTCGTGCCGAGTGTGAAGCCAGTGGCATTGGCTTGTGGTGCCAATTCCTCAATATCAGCCCCAGCGTCCTCTTCATCCGAGAAATACCGCTCTATAATATTGTAGGCCTTCATGTAGATCTCTTCGTTGGCATTGTTTTGGCAATCATGGATCTTCTCCATACCACCCGCCTCTTCAATGAACAAAGCATATCGGTTGACTTGTGCCTCGGGGGCTCGAGCATCAGCAGCCTCTTTGTCCATTTCTCCCACCTTGAGGATATTCTCCAGTCCGTCCAAAGCCACCTGGATGATCTTGTTATCAGGGCAGGCGAGCAAGTCACAAAGCGGCTTGATGCAGCCTTGAGAGACGAGGTATCTGATCTGATCTGGTTTTTGCAGACCGCCAGAGGTAGCATTCGAGATAGCCCAGCAGGCCTCCTTTCGAGTCTTGAAATCTCCATTAGAGAGCAGGTGAATCAAAGGAGGGATGATACCGGCGTCCACAACGGCCTGGATCTGGGTCGAGTTGCCTGCGGTAATGTTCGAAATTGTCCAACATGCTTCCTTGCGGATCCCGTCTTTCTGAGAACTGAGTAGAGATAGCAGCGCAGGAAGAGCGCCGCAGTTGATTATGACCTGTGTTTGGACATCGTCGCCGGTAACAATATTACCAACAGAACGAAGGGCCGGCGTTTGGACCGATGTAGACGCATGCATAAGGAGTTCAACAAGTCGTCGAGGGATGCCTGCTTCAATGACCGCCTGGATCTTATCGTTGGAACCGTCAGAGAGGTAGGAGATAGCCCAGCAGGCGTCGATCAGAACTTCGTCGTCAAGCATGTAGACGAGCTTGGACAACACGGGGAGGGCGGGTTGGATCTGCGGCCTGTCAGTACAATGTTTGAGACCTAATTCGACCTACTTACCGTGTTCCAGTCTGGTTGAGGGGTCTTGCCACGACAAAAGTTGCTCAAAGTCCACGTAGCGTTTCGAAGCATGCTCAGTTTGCGGCCATCGGCAATGAGGTTGAGAAGAGGCTTCAGAGCGCCCTGACTGAGCACATAGTCACGGCATGCAGGACTGTCACCAGCAATATTGCCCAGAGCCCACACTGCTTGTTCACGAACATCTGGCTCAGGGCTGCTCAGGAGTTCAACAAAGATGGGTACTGCGCCCGCTTCGATGACCACTTGTGTTTGTGCTGCAGATCCAGAGGCAATGTTTGTCAAAGCCCATGCCGCTTCAAATTGGACGAGAGTGTGAGGAGAGCGGAGGAACTCGACAAAGCGGCTGACGACGCCGGTCTCGATGACTTTTTCGATGGGAGGGTTGCGTTCTTTCGAGAGGAGTTTTCGGAATTTTGTGGTCGCTTGAATTTGGAGGTCGATCTGATCTGAGAAGACTCCTCGTACCATTTCTGGCAGTTCCGTGCTCAACTGCAAAATTTGTTAGAACAGAAGTCTAAAGTGCAGACTGTCACCCTTACCTCGCTCTCAATGTTACCCGCCTCATCGTCGCTATCCTGGTCTGCGAGCCCACCAATGCCGATCTCTCCATTACCACGTTGAACTCCTCTCCGCTTGGCCAAATTCTCCTCTCTCTTTTGACGACGAATTTCAACCTGTTGTTCCTCACGTCGACGGCGTAGTTCATCTGGCTTGAAACTGCCCTTTGCCTTGAACTGGGTACGGCGATGTTCGGGGATGTATCTTTCCGCCATGATGAATGACGTCTCAGGGATAGCCAAAGGTCAAATGGCGGTTTGCAGTCCGGTCAAAAATCAGTTCGCCTCAAGCAGTGCGGATGAGAATAACCCTGAAGTGTCAACAATTGATGTTTATCTGCGGAGACTGACAGAGATGAAAATGCGCCCAGTGCGGGTAGTGGGCAAATTAATGAAGTGCAGGTCGCAAGGACGCAGTGGCTGCTTTTGCGGCATGCCACTTGCTCAGATCTGAGTCTTGAAGATTCGCTTGGCGGTCACTAGTGCTCACGTGATCTCGCGTCAGACGCGTTTGGCTGGCGTTTAGTAGACGACCGTCTCGCGTCAAACGGCCAGCTTCAGGCACCACTGCCCATCCTGTCGAGTCACTGCCGAAAAGTACACAGATGCGTTTGCTATTTCATGGTATTCTCCCCTCAATGTGAAATTCAGTTCGACACATACGTTTGACAAGATGGAGCCCAGTCCGGTCCCGCCAAATTTCATCACTCTGTCCGAGGCTCTGAGCAAAGCCGGCACCTACCAACAGTACAATGTCATTGGCGTATGCGTCGACTATTTTGATCCTACCATAACCAGCACAAAAGAACACATGATCACATTCACCCTACATGATCCTTGGTGGACGGAGCGTCCTGGCATGAGATTTCGTTTCTTCTCCAAGACAGAAAAGCTGTTGCCAAAAGTTGGAAACCAGGGTGATGTTGTTATTCTTCGAAACGTCAAGACTGTCAATGTGAAAGGACGGCTCCTAGGAATCTCAAATTCTGCCTCGAATTGGCTTGTTCTTCCGTCCTCCGCATTGCGAGAGGTAGAGTCCTCCCAGGATCTTCAGACAAAAGCAGAATGGTACGGAAAAGGGATTCCTAAGCACTACCCTCAGACGGCTCTTCCAAATGAGGCTGAGCTCAAGTATGCCAAATACATTGCAGCCTTGGAGGATCCAATGAGTTGGGGCCAACTGCCTCCCACGACACGGCCACAAATGAAAGCAATAATGGAGAACAGCGGTGGCCAGGCACCCGTTTCAGCTGACAAGTTCAGTCTGATACAGGACCTTCGGCCGAACAAGTACTTCGACATCTTTGGAGAAGTGCGTAAGATACACTTTGACAAGAACTTCCCCAAAACTGAGATCTTTCTAACCGAATACACTTCGCGGGAGGCCTTGTACAACTACACCTCTCAGAGCAGTGCAGATGGCCTTGACGGTGATGAATACGGGTATCTCGAAGATCAGCCGAAGTCGCAGTGGCCAGGTCCTTGGGGGCGGATGACAATTAGTGTCATGCTTTATGAGCCCCATTCCAGCAAGGCGAGGGAGATCATTGGACCAGGGTGTCTTGTATTTCTCCGCAATGTCCATATCAAGATGGACAAAAATGGCACGAAGCTTGAAGGGATCTGCCACACAGATACGTACGACCCCACTGTGGTGAACGTCGAGGTCATCAAGCCACACAAAGACGATGAACGAGCAAGATCGCTCATCTCAAGAAAACAGCAGTATGCGAAACAGGCTAAAGCAGAAGGCAAACTATTCTACTGGTCCCCACACGACATGCCGAAGAAGAGAAAGGCCGACGAAATCGATGAGGTTGAGGAAGTTCAGAGGAGCAAACCAGGGAAGAACCGAAAACGGAAAAAGAAGGAAAGCAGAATGAAAGGCGGCATAACCCGACAGGAAGCCCGAGCAGGCGTCGATGACACCAACGTTGAAAGCAAGTCGAACACCAATGTTCGATGCAACTCATACGAAGTCCCTCGTAAGTCCATCGTCGATATCCTTGACATCACTTCTCTCGAACGCAAGACTCCCCAGGGCAGTCTGTATAGACTTCCATTCCAGAACTGCAAGTACAAGTCTCATGTGCGAGTTGTGGACTTCTTTCCCGACAATATTGCAGATTTTGCCGTTCCTCGAAACACCGAAATGGACCTATTATCGGACGAGGAGGACGATGAAGACCTTTCCAGTATTGATCTAACCCAGGACCACGGAGACAGGATAGGATGGGAATGGCGATTTTTCCTGCTTGTGGAGGATGCTCGGCAACCCACAGCTCCAGGTGAGCGGCCTACACAAATGGAACTTTTGGTGGCCGACACCGATGGAGATTTTCTCTTGAACATGACCGCCTGCAACCTGCGGGACAATAAGCACGCCCAACAGCTTGCGGCACTGAAAGAGAAGTTGTTTCTGCTCTGGGGCAATCTTCAAGAGAAGAAAGAAGAATCGAGCACAACTGAAGCTTTGAGTGTCAAGCCGAGCGCGAGACCTTTTGAGTGCCTCATCAAGGAGTACGGCGTGCCTGTCCGTAATTCTGACGAGCAAGTGAAGGGCACCTCAGACTATGACAGGGTGTTTCGCCTATTTGGAACCGCCATCTGAAAGGGATGCTCCTCTCGCGAGATGATTTTGCACAATCACCGTCTGTTGGTCTCATCCAAAGTACGTCTCTTGTCTGTCAGTCTTTCAAAGAAGGGATGTCACCTTGGAGTGTGATGGAACGTCCATGTTCTTGGCATATCCATTCTGAAAAGAAATCCTCCGGGAAAAATCATTGTAAAAGCCCAACAACGAACTACGGCTTCTCATAACGGTTCAAGGCACACGGGGATCGAAGATCGGAGACCGGTCTGCTGCCCCGGTTCTGTTGAGTAGGGCACTGCAGGGGTACGCGACCCCAACACGTCTGCAGTGTTGGTGGCATCGATCGTCTTGAAGAATCACACCTTGGGAGCCCTCATACTCCACTCGTTCCAGGCGTGCAACATAGGGAGACTGACTCGACCTTTGGGAATTGGGCAAACCGTGAGCAAGTATCCGTGCAACCTGCACCGAGATGTGACCGCTAGATCCCCCCATAGGTGGCTCAGGGGATGGGAAGATCCGGTCGACAAGGGGAAACTGATTGCTGACCAAGTGTGATGTTCTGTGGCGATGCGGCTCAAGACGCAGCTTGTGTCACTATCACAGTGACACCTACCGCTAGCGACTGTAGTCAAAGCGGCCAATGGGTCCGGGGCCGCTGTTAAAGAATCAGTTGATAATCGGTCTCAACAACAAATACGATACCGTGGAGCAGCGATTTCCAAAAGGGGAAGGACGAACGCAAACGGAGCCCGCCGGCTTGCTGGACCGGTGCGCCACAAAAGTGATCCTTGCCAATTCTTGCAGAAATGGAAGCAAAGAATAGGAATATTCCGCCGGCTCAATGCAGGACAAGATTAAGTACCGTGCTCAAATTGACGGTCTGAAAATGCGGAATCTTGGTACGGAATGTATGTAGTAGTGATCACCACATGGTGACCTACCAACCACAATGACAAATTCCGTTCGCATTCCTCGTATTGCGCAAACGAATAGACTGAGATGTCTCCGTAGGCTATGCAGAATAGTCAGCAGAGAAGGCCAGCCTACACATGCTTGTCGCCAGCCAGCAGGGCACGGGTTTGCCAGCGGACAGCTGCAACGTTAAATACGAGAGTCTGGGGCATGCAGGTTAAACCCGATATTGCGCGGCGTTGCAGTGACCGCGCTGGATTGGTCGTACTTTCTCATGCCAGGGGGAAATCCTTGACCTCTAGCCGTGGAGACTGGAAGCCTCCAGGAGCTCAAGTATTCCCAACAACTATCGAGTGTCGGAGCTCGCAGAAATGCACGTGGACTGAACCTCTGGAGATCAAGGACTACTGCAACGTCCTGCATCTGTAGAATCTTGAGCCGCTGTTCTGAGAAGAAGACGAGCAGCATGTGATTGGCTCTCGATGAGAGAGGCACGTTCATCGACACGAGGGCTTACAAGGACGCTACGCTCGCCGCTGCACCAAGGACACCGTTCTGCCGATCCTCGTGGTCCTGCGCTTTCGAGATGTTGTGGATGTCTTTCATTCGTGGGGATGAGAGCGACTCCATGGAGACGGTATCGCACAAACTGGTGCGAGTGTGAAGCGTCTTTCCGAATTACGCCCGTTCTCCTCGAACAGGGGAATGCAAGGGATCATTAGAAAACTGTCACAGCAAGTCCTTCTCCAGCCTTATGCAGGTGGAGTCTTTGTTGGACGTTTTTAGGCGTTGGACGAGGACCCTCAGGACCGTCAGTGGGCCTCCTTGGCCTCACTAGCATGGACCCCGTCGATGTTGCGCATCGTTGCCAATACCCGCCTTGCCGCCAATTGATAGCGATAAGCCCCTCCATGAAGTGCCCGTCCCACCCCTCCACACCCTCTTTCCCCCCCGAAAAACGGTCCTGCTAAGGTAAGCTATTGCGAATCGTATCCTCGTACCATTCGTGACCATTGCACGCAGCAGGCGCATGATTCTTGACAGGTGGTGCCATTCCGAGGCTCTGGGACGTCAAATCGATGCTTGCGCGCATGAACACGCGGCCAACGAGGCCGGCCGCAGGAGATAGGCAGTGCGTGGCAATACCCTCATCCCAAGTGCTTCCCTTCTCACCTGTAAGATGACGCGTTCGAAGGAGTCTGCTTCTCGCAGTCTCAGCCGCTCGTGCAACTAGAAATGTTCAGATGCAAATCCCCCAATGCTGCATCGATCACGCGTAGATTGCCTGGCCAGCCTGATCTGCAAAGAGTGGCTCATAGTGTACTAGTCAGGCAAGACGAACTGTACAGTAGTTAGAATCCTCAACAGCAAGCCCTCGTACGAAAAGGTGGAATCCGTCGATTGCCACACAGGTTTCAAGAGTCAACAGAGAGCGATGTGCTAGCGGCTACTGTATGTTCTTTTCAGAGGGCCCGCTCAGTGACTTTTGCTGTACATACTTGACTCCCGTTGCCGAGTGAGAGGTGACCAGTAATAGTCGATATGCCAGCTGTGGATGTTCACAGAGTAGCGTGAGTGTCCTGTCGGACCAATTGATTGTCGGGACAGAAGCTGCAAGCAAGCAAGCCCCCAGAAAAGCTAACGTATTTCGCGCAAAAGCGATGCCGAGTCTGGAGCAGGTCCTCAATCTATGCAATGGTTGAATATGCATGTCGTGGTCAGAGATATATCTCGATTGCACGCTTCTTCATCTTGCCCAAAAGCCGAGAATACTGTAGTCTCATTGGACTCAGGTGATAGGCGCTGCTCTGACGAGCACTCATGATCGTGTCCGCCGATGGGAGTGACACATCCCCGGACTCAGGTGACTGAGTGTGCTGAGGTAGGTAGCTTCCATCTCTATCTGGGTGTTTCTCAGCACACTTGGGCCTTAGTGATGCTCCCTAGCCTTCAGGGACAAGTGCATGGCAGCGCATAAGTTCCTGAAGTCTTGTACATGCCTTTCGGTACTGGATAAATCGCGGTGCCACTCACGATCCGGCGGTTCCCCCCAAGTACCGGTTCTTGTCACGAGGAAGAGCGGACTCGCCCCAAACGTCACTGCACCCTCGTGGATATTGGCGCCTGGAGTGCCACCGAGCCATACTATGGTAAGCGATGAGAGCCGTCCGTCTAGATCGCGTTAGGATGTTCGGGGGTCCCAGGCAAGGGTAAGACGGCTGATTGTGGGGATGGACCCAGGTTTGACTTTTACCAACTGCAGCGTATCCTTGAACGTGCCGTCTCATGACCACCCCAGATTTGCACTTGGTCTGTGGGTTAGCAAAGGCACTCGGACCATCAGCGCTCTCGAGGGGAGAGGGGTGCTGTGCCTTGTCGAGCTTGTCCCTCTGTCTCGCCCAGAACGACGGACGATAATCTTTGGGATCTGCATTCATACACAGGTGGCTTGAAAGTGGCAACAGAAGTTTCCACTGTTCGAGGTAGACAGTTTTCGATCGAAAAACGATCCCTGGGTGATCCTGACCCCGATGATGTAGCAACAGCACTTATGGTGTCGCCATGTCCAGAAGGATCGGACAATGACTGGCCGATATATTTAAACAGTATACCTAGATAGGGTCCGGAGCTTCAAACTTAAACTGAGAACCTTGAAACGCTCGTGAACGCTCTAGAGCCTGCAAGATCTCTGTGGTGTGCTCGTAATAATCAATCCTACGCTTGGTAAAGGGAAAATCAATACGGACATCGTTTATGTTTCGATGGCTATTTTCAACGTGTCTAACGCAGTGGTCTGGACATTCGTGTGACAAGAAAGCACTCGGCAACAATAGTGGCATCAAGATTTGAAAAACGAGCCGTCGCCGCGGCCACACAAGGGTTCCAGCCGAGCTGCAACCTAGTCGCATACTGGGGTTGGCGCTGGTGGACCTGAGGTGCGTCAAGAGCTCGACGAACGTGCAGGCTGGAAGTACTGATATGTTTCGTCTCTCATCGGTGCCTAGCAGCATTAACTACAGTACTTGAATACTTGGGAGGTACGTGAACGAATGTCAATGGTCTGGCTAGCATTTCCGACGTTTGTCACAATGCATTGACAGGTAGATCGCGAAGTAGATCCCTAGGTAGGTTTTCATTAGCTGCCACACCACGCGAATATGATGGACCATGTCTTTGCTGTATTGACAAAAATGATGGACAGTCCGGGCGTTGATCTTACTCGTAGTACCCCAGCAATGAGGCGCATAGACACTTGCTGCGTACCAGTACCGGGGGTATTTGACAATATTCTCTCGAACACCCACGATCGCTGGACACTGTGGAGTTAGGACATGGCCATGCCAGTGGATGGATTCATCACTATGCAGCTCCCGGACAAGTGTGCAGACAGCAAAAGCAACTAGTTAGTTCCGTGCTGTCGACCACTCTGCAAATCTTCCAAAATGCCGCAGTCTTTGGTCCGTTCGCATGAGGGATGTCGCCGAGACCGAATATCTCGGAACTGCTGGGAAGCAGCTGGAGGACCCGCTGTTTGAGAGGCGTGCCTGTTGTGCCAGTGTACAATGCTGCATGCTACTCCGTATGGTGTAGTGAAGAGCAAGAGACCTGCAGAGTCTCCAGTACTACTGATATTTCATTAGTCGATCTCTACAGACCCTGGCATCCAACCCACCGTTACCGGTCTGCCACCATGGATATTGCTCCTTGTAGCTGGTTCGCAGCGAAACATGAGGTCCTTGCTGCAACCGACACAACTAGTTGTTTATCGCTGTGGTACTTCTTTAACTGTGCAGCTTGAAGCTGTACGAGTATGCGATCCAGAGCGCTAAGAGTAAACCGGAGCACGGCAGCGGCAACGGCATGATGCTTTTAGCATGTCTCTCGAGTTCATTAGCCTCTAGGCGCATCAGCTCTTAGTTTCAAACAAGAAGGCTCACAGACGCTAGGCTAGGGGAGGCCCATAACCGCACCCCTTGTAGCATTGACCCACGGGGTAAGTGCGAGTATGATTGCGGCAAGCGCCCGCTGTGGGCTTGTAAATCCTTCCCCCCAAGCGGCAATGAGCGTCGACCCTGTCTCTGCTCACTCACAGACAAACACCGTTTGCTGCATTCAACACAAGCACAGCTTCTTTCTTTTCTCTGCCGCCATTGCACTTGAGCAATCGTCCGGCCGGTGTCCTTCTTTCTTGTTTCGCAGACTCCAGTACAACCTCAGGCTGCGCTTATTCTTCTTCGCCGCTGATTATACCCGTTGACCAAGATCTCTCATTCAACCGGCATTCTACCTCGTCACCCTCCCCGCCCACCGTCTTACTACCTTGAATGAGAACCGACCACTCTTTGCCCTCGATATACCCCAGACTTGTCCACGCTGCGTCCCTCGGCCGTTTTGTCTTCCGCCTATTGACAGCTTCGCAAGCCCCGACCGGTCGACCAACAGCGTTCCAGAACAAAACCGCGACCTGCCCGAACGGGCGATCTACCAATCCTACTGCTTCCCTGCTCGCACCTTGCAGACTCGAACGCCAACCAGCATCGACGGCCACCCACCAGTGACGCTCACAGCCTGAGAGGTTGCTGCTGCTACTGCATTGCTCGCATTGTCTCTATCCCGAATGCTCACCCCTCCCTCTGCCATTGACTTCTTGTACCTTTACCAATACACCTGCTATATCTTCCAGGTGAGTTCCTGGACCTGAGGCCATTGTATTCGCCTTCCCAGATCCCCAATGCCTTGTTCAGCCAATCAAGAAGTATACTAAAGCTCCTCAGGCAGGCGAGTAAATACATTCTTCTCGTACATGACTGCCTCGTCTCTCGACAGACTCTCCTAGTCCACATCCGACTCGATTTCTGTTTAGTTTGGTTACTTCTATGCGAGGCTCCAGTCCTGTCCCGTCGAACCCTTTCTTTCGAAACTGTCATACTTGCAAAAGTTCTTGCGACGAAAATTTATTCAGTGGTTATAGGGTTCAAATTCCATGGCATACTGATTGCACTCTATAAAAAATCGAAGAAGGAAGCACAGTGGTCGTGAACATCCTGAGGACAGCCTGTTAGCACGGTGAAACCGGCGCATGTTACATTGGACCAGAACACCTCTTGTGTGTTGCAACGAGTCAACCATCTGTGAAGAAGCCCAGGCACCATTGGGCCTGCGTCAGAGTGCACAGGAGGACCTGACTCAACCGTGCAAGACGGGGGGTATCCGCAGTTGGTGAGCTTGAAGGCAGTTCACACGCCACGAGCATGGCTGCAACAGAAGCTGTCAGCAGTGAGTCAACGGACGCAACGGGCCCTGGTACTGGTGAGTGACCCTTCCACCCACTCTGTTCGATGCTGACTCTCTCTTCCTATACCTAGATATCAAGAAGCCGTCAAAAAAGTCTACTGCTGCGTCCAATGTCCCGGGTGACCCCACCTTGCCGCCTCCGAAGACCGACAAGCCTCGCCCGCATCTGTGCTTGACTTGTAAACGGTGCTTTGCTCGACTAGAACATCTGAAACGCCATGAACGGTCTCACACTAAGGAGAAGCCCTTCGAATGTCCAGAATGTACGCGATGCTTTGCCAGACGAGATCTTCTTCTGCGGCACCAGCAAAAGCTGCATGCATCTACCACTCCAGCATCGCGACCTAGAGGGAGCCGGCGCGAAAGCGTCGCTGGCGTTGCGACCGGCAGAGTACGCAAGAATTCGACGACCAACGCTCCTACAGCTATGAGGCCCAGGGCCAATACTCTCAGTCATGTTGATTCCACCACACTTGGAATGTTGGCCAACTCTGCCGCAACTTATGGCCGCCCATTCGTACCAACCCACAATAACCATAATAGTATGAGCACGCTTGGGGGTACGCAAGGGTACCATGGCCGTGCAGTGTCGACAAATCATCACTCCTTCAGCCTGCCGAAACTGGAGACCGGCCTTCCAGTAGACCTGTCAAATGGTCTGCGTACTGCACCTCCCTTCGGAGGGTTTGGCGCCGAGTTCGATATGGGTCCCATGGACTTTGGAGTAGAACAGGGGGATACAATCAACCCCCATGCTCTTCATATGTCCGGTATGGGGATGGATGCTTCGCACGCCCAATTCCAACAGCTGTTCAACGGCATAACAGCGTCCCAAGTGATGAATGATGACGATGAGGATGACGCAACATTTGACTGGATGGCCCATGGCTTTGAAAGCCATATGTCTTTCGCACAAGCTAACGAGAATGCCATCGACGACTCTTCGCCTTCGGCTATGAGCACTAATAGTCCGGCGGGCCTTAATGAGATGACAGGAGATCGCACCATCGGCGCCATGCAACAGAGTGCTGTGTCAGGGGCTCCTATGTGGTCCGGTAGCCTTGCAAGTCAAGCGGCGATGGTCAATAGTCCCGTGAGTATGGATCTCATGTCCACATTCACGGAGATGATCCATCCTCCGATGGGTACTATCTCGCCAAAGTCTCTCCTGGGCCAAGGAGGATCCATGGATTTAAGCCTGTCAACTCCTCCTGATATGGTTTCTATGGATCCTTCTGGTATGCATACAAACATGCACTTTACTGGCTTTCACTTGCCGCTCAGCAGAGATGGCCCTGCATCAACAACTTCCACCGCCTCGATGGATTCCAGTTTGCGTCAAAGCTCAGTGACGACCACGTCCTCTGACCTGGTGACCGACCATATCCGGAGCGTCTTGATTGCAGGCCTGTCCCAGACTGCAGGGTTTGGACAGCGTAAGTATTCACAGCCAGCAATTAGTTCGCCATTGTCTCCGGGCGTCCCTTCACGCACAAGAGGCTTTAACGCAACTACTTTTCCTTCCACGACCGAGCTGCAGCGTTACGTGGCGTCATATATCCGATATTTCCATCCTCATCTACCTTTCCTTCATATCGCAACCCTCAACTTCGAGTCCCCCGAGTACACCACGCCAGTCCGACTCGTCTCAGGCCATCCACCTCACGGTCAACCGACTGTGGCTGGGGGAGGAAGCTGCCTGATTCTATCGATTGCCGCCATTGGAGCCTTGTATGAACATGAGATGTCTCAATCCAAAGACCTCTTCGAGTGTGCCAAGCGTCTGATCAGCAGCTACCTCGAGGAGCGGCGTAAGGCAAATATGACCAAGACCCAATTTGCCCCGAGACATTCTACAGAGCGAGAAGACACGCCGTTGTGGTTGGTCCAGGCTATGCTATTGAATGTGATATACGGACATAATTGTGGCGACAAGACTGCTGCTGAACTTGCCAGCAACCACTGTGCCGCGTTGGTAAGCCTTGCGCGAGGTGCGGACCTTGCTCGACCAATTCAAGGACATAGCGGACAAACATCCGACATGCAACCTCCCAATGTCCAGATGGGGGGCATGCCAACCCATAATTGGAGCCACATGACCAATGAAGTGGACAATTCCGACTGGTACGAATGGAAAGCGACGGAAGAGCGCAAGCGGACCCTCTATGCAGTCTTCATCCTCTCGAGCATGCTTGTGACCGCATACAACCATCCTCCCGCTTTGACAAACTCTGAGATCCGGCTGAATCTGCCTTGCGACGAACAGCTGTGGGCGGCCGAATCAGGACAGGTATGGCGGAGCTTTGGAGGGGTGGCCGGCGCCGAGGCGAACTCTACCACGTTTGCGGAATCTTTCACCCACTTGCTCATGGCAGCGCAACGAGAGAGACGGCGGAGCAGTTCCATCCCTTCATTCGCCACGGGAGGCGAGCCGGAGCTGAGACCTAGCACCTTTGGCTGCTTGATCCTCGTCAACGCTTTGCACAATTACATCTGGGAGACGCGTCAAAGGCATCTCGGGCGGCAATGGACTACCAGTGAGACGGAACAAATGCATGCTCATATCGAGCCAGCGCTTCGTGCATGGCAAGCTGCATGGGCTAGTACTCCTATGCATAGTCTGGAACGTCCGAACCCTTTTGGTGCAGGACCCTTGTCCGCCGATTGCATCCCATTACTTGATCTTGCATATGTCCGACTATTTATCAATTTTGGTAGGTCCAAAGAAGCCTTCTGGCAGCGCGACTACGATGCCATGGCAGCGGAGCTTGCGAAGGGCTCCGAGGCCATGCCAACCCGCGAGACACCCGGTGGACGTCAGGAAAATGGCTCGCCAATGACCGCGTCAGAAGGCAAGGTACAGGAACAGATGACCACGCCTCCAAATGACAACACCGGATCGGTAATGCAGGAAGATCCAGATCAAGAGCTCCACCAGGTCCTTTCGTCGCGACGAGAAAGGCATCTGCGCAAGGCTGCGTTTTACGCCGCTGATTCCTTGTCCATGTCTGACAAGCTTGGGCTAAGCTATGCGGAAGATACTTCTCGTGAGCTACCTGTGCAGTCCGCCATGTGTGCCTTCGATTGTGCACAAGTATTGGCAGAGTGGGTCACGACTGTGCAGGAACGCGTTGGAAAATACATTGGCGTGATTGGCAGGGACGAAATGAACTTGATGGAGGTTCCTGGCATCCTGCTACTTGAGGACGAGGACCGTAAATTGATCCAGAAAATCGACGAAGTTCTGACCAGTGCGGAACAAAAAGTCGAGATATTCGGCGGCTTCGACGTTAACGCGGCTCGAGATGGTGGACACGGCAGCAGGATTCTTGGGCTGACAGCATACCTGCTAGAAAGAGACGCTGTCTGGCCTGGTGAGTGACGCAGTATCATGAGGCGACGATGGATAATGGATACTGATACCTGATTCTAGTTTTCAAGTTGATGGCGAGGTCACTCGAAACCCAAGCCGGCCACATCAGAGAACGAGCTTTAGCCTCGGTTTCCGGCTCTTGACGCGAGTCAGCGCTGTCCAATTTCGACTTCCACGCCCCGAGTCATGAAGTTCGCTGGCATTTCTTCCTGAGGCTGTCATTGCAGCATTTAATACGTTTGATTATGGCTTATAGGCGCGATTGCGCTAGTATATATGATTTGTAAGGACATATGATCAAAATATACCCCCAGACACGAAAACAGTCACGAGAATCTGCGGACGCAACCAAGATTTGTCTGGGATTCAAAAGTTACGGGATGGTTTACTCTTTCAGGTTTGCGATTGGGGACAACCTCACGGAAGGGCACTGGCCCGTGATAGGAGGACTCGAAGCGGTGGCAGTGATATGGTCGCGCTGGATTTTATGCACATGGCGGAAGTTGTCTTCTGTCAGAGCCACAAGCACACTGGCACTGCTGGCGGGCTACGTCTCCACCGATAGCTGCTCTGGAGAAAGACGCGAAGATGCTGGATGAAAAAGAACCAAGACCGTTTGGCAAGTAACGTTGAGAGTGAAGGGTGTTGGCGTTGTTAAGTCCTTCAGTGCCGCCTAATAATGAGCGTGGTTGAGGCATATGCTTACGTTCCCTGCACAGTGTTGACTCGGAAGTTAGAGAGTACAGGGATTTCTGTCATGCATACTATGTCTGTCGATCAATTCCCTTCACACCCATGAGCCCGGGTGTTGGCTGCATGTATGGTGATAAACCATGCTGCATCCACGCTGCCTGATGACGACGATTCGCGGGCGATTTATTCCCATCAGACAACTTCAATCCGGTGTGAAACCTTGAAAAGGTGGTATCAACGTGTCGACGGTCCAGGTGTGGCGTAATGAGTCGATCAAAACCAGCCGTTGTTACCTTATCTTGAGAGTGCCGATGTTGATACGAGTCTCCGTACAACTGGGTGAACTGGGTCTTTATCACTGCCGCCAAGAAATGTCTGGGCCTAGTGAGCCTGCACTTGCCGGCCAAGTCAGCCCGGGCGAAGTCTTTTGCCCTCTAATGTGCCTTGTAGCCGGAGGGGCAACAAGTCCTCACCAACCACATGCTCTCGCCAAACACAACCTGGACCCGTCACGTCTTCCGCTAATCCATTCATTGCTTGCTCGAGGTCCTCAACAGTGGACTCGCTACAAATCACTGCATCTTTCTTTTGCAAAATGCGACCAAAAGCAACTTGACTCCTGAGCATAAACAAGAATTGTTTCATCCTCTGGTCGAGAATCTCCTCCCCTTCCTCCATCACTCTCGCTACGAGAATAGAAGCGAGTGTGAATCTCCATCTTACCATCGACCAAGCCCGGAATCAACTTAGTACGGAATATTCGAGTCTCCGACAATCTGGAGTGGCCCTGGCTGAGGTGTGGTTGGCTCTTCAAGCCCACGTTCCAGCCCTGTGCAGGGATCCCTTGAGTCGGTCCTTCAACTCGTAAAACACCGCATCATATTTTCGGCTGCGATCCCATCGACACCCGCCGCAGATTACTACAACGCTGTACAAACGGCCCACCTATTATCCTCACGCCGAGCCTTGTCCTTCATCATTTCTGCTGCGGTTGCAACTTGGCAAAGGCGTGCTTCGTTCTGATGCTAAGACATCGTGGACAGCCGAGCTAGATCAATCTGCTGTATTGTACTTCACTGGGCCGCCCAGGTCTGTTAACTTAGGGCCAGCATCTTACTTTTCGGCATCCGTACGGCCATCTGGCAGCATTGCTGATCTGCCTTCCCAACTCTCTTCCTTCGATCCTACAGACACCGTTCCTGAACCTGAGCATAATCCTCGAACCTCGCTTCACGCATTCCCTTCGAAAAAATCTACCCCTCTGACGTGACTGGCCTCCTACCTGAATGCTTCGGATACTGCACCACGACCTGACACCTAGGCAAAGCAACGACTGGGGATAATACTTCGGAACTCTTGCTGGCTTTTATGAATTGAACACGATAAAGTTGAGACACAGCGGAGGAGTCTATCACTCTGTGAGCTTGTCGTCGCACTTTCGCAAAATCTGCGTTAAAAGACATCGGTCGCTATCACCATTATATTACGAGTCTTGGGAGGAGGCTGTCACCCTTTCCATACTGACCACAACCTGCGTGTCGAACAAAAACCAGGAGTGTGCAAGGTGTGCACGGGTTTTCGCCATGGCGTGGGACCAGTTGGCAATAGACAAACCGCATCTGGTCTATATCATTCTGGGCGGGTTCACGAGTATATTCATGCTATGCTCTCTGTTCATCAAGGAAAAACTGTACATTGGTGAAGCCACGGTGGCCACCATTTGCGGTGTCATCTTCGGTCCTCATGCAGCCAACCTCATCAATCCTCTCACCTGGGGCAACACCGACCAGGTCACCCTCGAGTTTTCTCGCATTGTCCTTGTGGTTCAATGTTTTGCCGTCGGTGTCGAATTGCCCAAGGCGTACATGGAAAGGCACTGGAAATCGGTCGTGTTCTTACTGGTTCCGGTCATGACCTTTGGATGGCTCGTCACCAGTCTTTTCATTTGGTGGATGATCCCCAATCTCTCTTGGTTGGAGTCTCTGGCCATCGCAGCTTGCGTTACTGCCACTGATCCTGTCCTGGCGTCGTCCGTGGTTGGTAAGGGCAAGTTCGCAAAACGAGTCCCAAAGCATCTTCGAGACATCCTGTCAGCCGAATCGGGATGTAATGATGGCATGGCTTTCCCATTCATCTACCTTTCGCTATATCTACTGAGGTACGATCTGGATGCTCGGCACGTGGTCTTCCACTGGTCATGCTATACGATTCTGTACGAGTGCATCTTTGGTGCGTTTTATGGAGTCATGGTGGGCTATATTGGCCGTCATGCGATCAAGATGGCGGAGCGAAGGGGCTTGATTGACCGAGAAAGCTTCTTGGTGTTCTACTTCGTACTCGCCCTGTTTTGCGCAGGTTCGGGCAGTCTGTTAGGTATGGACGATCTTCTCATCGGGTTTGCGGCTGGAGTAGGCTTTTCAAACGATGGCTGGTTTACCGAGAAGACGGAAGAGTCACATGTTTCCAACGTTATTGACTTGCTCCTCAACTTGGCTTACTTCGTCTACTTCGGTACCATCATACCATGGGACCAGTATAACGCGCCAGAGCACGGCTTGGTCCCCTGGAGACTTGTCGTCATCGCCATCTTCGTCATTCTTTTCCGTCGAATACCTGCTATGATGCTGCTGAAACCATTGATTCCGGATGTCAAAACCTGGCGAGAGGCATTGTTTGCAGGTCATTTCGGTCCTATTGGTGTTGGAGCTATCTTTGCAGCAATCCTAGCTCGTGCAGAGTTGGAAACCGATTCTACGCAACCTTTGGCGAAGCTACCACCACCATCGACAAAAGATTACGATTTAATATACCTGGTGTGGCCAGTGGTCACTTTCCTGGTGATCTCGTCCATTCTTGTCCACGGCTCATCGATCGCCGTCTTTACCCTCGGTAAACGCATCAATACCCTGACAATCACACTGTCATACACCCAAGACAACGACAAAGGCCCAGCATGGATGAACAGGCTACCAAGAATCACTTCTCAGTCAAGATCAATGTCACGAACGTACAGCTCAGAATTTGAGACAGACGAAAAGCTAGATGTACCTCCTGGTGAGCTACCACCAATTGGTATTCCTAAACTCCACCTGAGAAGACAGCGTGAGGACGAATATGAGAGAAAGCCGGGGTCTCGTTCTTCAAGCGTTGGACGGTCGCGCAGAAGGAAGCGCCGCAGCGACCTAGCAAATCGGCCTGGTGGTCCCATCAGCCAGAGTGCCATCGCACCACAGAGGCGCTCGGAAGGCGCCCTAACCCAACAGGAGTCAGGCTCAGATACTCTGTTCGAAAAGTCTGGAGAGCCTTCCCCCGAAAGCCCTCACGATCGCCTCGAGCCAGTCTCTCATCGCGAGCGTGACAAACTGGAGGCCGAACAAGAAGCCGAAGCAGAGGAACAAGGACGGCCGCGATCGCCATCACCGGACAGGCCCGCAGATGTCGAAGCATACGAGGAAGGCGCCCACATTGTTGTTGAAGATGAGGAGGGTAACGTGGTAGAGACTCTCGATACGCGCAACATGACAGAGGAAGATAAGGTTCAAGCGATCGAAGAAGCACGAAACCGTTTGACGAAAGACGAAAGTGGCAAATTTACTAAACATAGACACCGGCCACATCCCAAGACGGAAGGCGAGGAGATAGAAAAAGAGGCGGCAGAGGCTCTTGGCCAGCCCCAGAAGAAAATGCGCCAGAAGTTCGATCAGTGGCGTGGCTTTGGCAGACGCAAGGAGGAAGACTCTGAGCCTTCAGAGCCATCGAGGCAACCAGAGCGTAAAAGGGGTCCTGCTCATGCTTATCAATTTGGCAACACTGTCATTGTGGAAGATGAAGATGGTGAAGTTATCAAGACATACACCATTCCAAGCGAGGACGCCGGTGGCGACCGGGAACGGCAGCTACGAGGAGGTCTGCGCCGGATGAGCACATGGGTTGGATTAGGTCGTCAAGCAGGTGCTGCTGGCCCGAGTACTGCTGTTCCTGTCCAGGTGGATGCTACTGAAGCAACAAAGTCAGAGTCTGACAAGCCGGAGCCAAAGGGACGTCGCGGTTCCACATCATCAGACGATGGCTTAAGAATGATCATCTCATCGACTGATCGGTATGGCCTTACCGGGCAGAAGAAAGTCCGTGACGCCCCTGGCACGATAGCCCTTGGATCTGGCAGACGGTTATCAACAAAAGACTTTATCAAGCAAATGCAACAGCTGGACCCGAAGAACAAGATCAAGGAAGTCAACGAGAGTGATGCTCCTGAGGCCGTCAAACGCGAGCTGCGTAGAGCCGCTAAGGATGAAGCTTCCGCTGGAAGGCCTGGACGCCATCGGACAGAGACGAACACTGGTGCAACATTGAGCGTCCCCCACCCAGATGGGGGCAGCAGGACCATCAGGACTGAGATGCCTGCTGAAGACGATGACTATTTCAGTCCGCATCGACGTCCTGCTGCTGACGGCGTGGCTACCGAGGACCTGAGTCGGACACGGGAGGAAGAGAGCGAAGAAGAGGAAGAAGAAGAAGTCAATATCCCCACACACAATGTTCGTTCGAGTATCGTCAGGCATGGAGGTGGTCAAACTGCAGCAGATTTACGAAGACGTCAGCTGGCCCGGATCCGATCAGAGGATGAAGATGAGGCTCCTGGTGCAGAAACCGCTGCAGAAAAGAGACGTCGCTTGGCTGCTCTGGGACTGGGCGGCGAAGGTGAGGACGACAGTAGCGAGAGTGACGAGGAGGACGAACCCCGCCAGGCCGGTGCTGCTGTGCAAGAGCCAGTGCCGAGTGAACCATCGACTCGGCCCAAGATCCAGTGGGGTGGTGAGCGGGGTAGAGAGAAAGAGAAGAAGGATCCTCAGGACATATATGCGGGCGATCCCATTGTAGGTGCTGCGCGGAGGTTGAGGGGCATGATGAAGAAAAAGTCTTGAGCGAGCATTTTGAAAATTATGTTTGATGGGAGTAAATGAACTCCCTTATGATTAGTTATGGTGTTATAGATGGAATGAATGGATGATCGTGCGGTATCTGCGCGACATGTATGAAATGCGTCTCTCCATGGCATTCGCGAACTTTTGATATCAATTTCGAATATGACTTGATGTGCCAGAGTGTCGTGAGTACCAGGTACTGGGGTTGATTCTGAGATTCTTAGCCAATATCCCGTACTGCTCGGAAATGCAAACTAGATAGGCACTGTGACTTCTTCCGTCGTGGTTTAACGTCAAGAAATGAACGAATGAATGCAAAAATCTACCTAGGTACCTACCAGGTAGGTATGCAGGCGTGGTCTTGGCCTCACAACCTGAAGATGGTCTCCTAGCCTTACACCCAGGTATCGTCCTCCGACTGAGGTCGTCTTAACGGGATGACTAATACCGCCTCGACCGATGTTCTGGCACCAGAAAGATCGAAACGCCCCACCAAATTTAATGTGCCTATCATTTATTTTGCTAGCAATTTTCTGCTTCGAAATTGCCACACATAGGTTTTGTAGTGTAGTGGTTATCACAGCGGATTCTGATTTTCTTGGATGTTCCGCTAACCCCGGTTCGAATCCGGGCAAGACCTTTCAACAAATTTTTTTTCTTAACTTCAAAATCGCAGTCCAGCTGCAGCGGCTTAATAAATGCGTCGAGGTTCTTTTTAGTAATTTCTTAGCTGTAAAGAAGGCCTGCCATTATTGAAGCAGAGTTCATGAGACGCGAGATGATCCAGAATTGCAGCTCATTCAAGGGCCAAAGACCCACAGGATTGTCCAAATGCTTGGTCGAAGAATTCATACCAAGCTAACCGAATTCAGGACAACCTCATCCATCGACCGACCTACATTGTGCATTGGCACATTGGTTGATCCTCAGTCTCTCAATCCATATTTAACAGCAATGGCTGTTGTTGAAGAAAGATCAAGGAAGAGGAGGAAAGTGGAGGATGGCACACTCTTTCACGACTCTTCGTTTACGTCTGCCGCCCAGCTGAGAAATCTTCTTCAACTTTCACAAAAGACTACCTCCGAGATCAAAACAGGTACGACATCCCCAATCAATGATGGAACGCCCTCTGAACCTCTCCAGCTATTGATAGGTTCTCGAATTTCCTGTCTGGAATCTCCAAAGAGCAACAGTGGGAAGTCAAGCAGCGACAACTAAATATCCTGAAGACCTACTGTGACGAGCAGTTTTCTTCGTCCCACGATCAGGTTGATTTTCCCGACTTATTGACCGCCTGGACTAATGCGAGCCAATCGAATGATGAGCCCGTCCTTGCTGCTGTCCCTGCCGCTCTCACCCAGTTCTTTCGAGCGGTATCAGGTAATCTGGAATTCCGCGAATTCGGGTTGTCACTTTGTCACAGCTTGCTGAAACGAGATCAACTTCGACTGTTCGACAGAGGCTTGTCATCACCTCGGACCAAGGATCATCTTATAACCTCCTGTTTACAATTACTGACCGAGGTTGTCAGCTTTGATGCTGGTGCCCTTGCCAGCAATGTTTTTGGACGACGAGACTTGCTATATAGGCGCCTCGATGGCATCCTTAGTCAAATGCACCGAGGCGATGAACCACGAGCCACGGCCCCTGTAGCTGCTTTGGAGTTCCTGGTGGCCAACCTGAAGTATCTAGATACGGCTTCAAAGAGCGAGCTCATCAGCCAGGGAAAGACTCTACACGTGGCCATCCGCAGCTTGCCAAACCAGCGTTCGAATATCATTATCGAATCTCTGCTTTCTCTCGAGATGTCGGTTCTGTTTGATCAAAATTTGTCCAAGCAATTGAAGATTCGATGCTTCAATTCTGGCAATCTCTCGGCTCTGGCGAAGGTATATGATGTTGCTCAAGGGGGATCTGAGGAGGACAAGAACAGCCACGAGGCTGTTCGAGATGCTTTACATCATCTATTGCTTCAGGTCTGCGCAACAACGAAAGGCGTATTGCTTCCACAAACTGGATGGTATCCCGCTGGCTTTAGCCCGGAAGTCCTTCAAGTGGACGACGAGATGATTGATCTGGGATTGGATTCGCCTTACTACTCTGACGACTACTATGACAAAGTCCCGATTAAGAACAACACAATTTCGACATTTATCCAAACCCTTCATCCAGAGAAAGACATCTTACAGGCTAATCTGATCACTTCGACATTCGCCGCTGCTCCTGAGCTGGTCGCGGATTATTTCACCAAGAAGCGAAAATTTCTCGTACCTCCATCTGACGACCCGATATGGCGAGGGCAATTCGCTTTTCTGTTCTCTGTTGTTGAGCTTCCTGTTCCGGCAAATTGTGGCTGGCACGACGGGTTGCCTGATATGCCTCCTCCTCCTCTCTCGGTCGTGATTGAGAGCATCCTTCCCCGACCTCTGGACCGAGCCACCATAACAAAATGTCTACACATGAAAGAGGACATCATGACCATGTCGGCTGCTCGGTTGCTCACAATTGCCCTTGAAAAGCTTGATTCTGTGCTGAAAATGTTCGAGCTAGCACAAACTAAGTCCCACTTGTGGGCTCAAGCTTGCACTAGGCTCATCAACTTATTCCTCGAACGAATACCGCAGTTGCAGGATACCATAACTGCACTGCAAAGCCTTGCAAAGGACCAAGAGCGAGTGCGGACGGCGGTACTCGAATGCATAGCTACCTATTACAGGGTGTTGCCGTCTCTGGCGGCGGGGTCAAAATTTGATATCGGTCCGACTCTGACTCTGATTCTGCGGAGATTAGGTTCGGACGCTCTGGACGATGATAAGAGGGACGCATTTGAGGAACAACTGCCACACCTTCTGCAGATCTCTGATGTCTCGCCTACGACGAAGTGGTTTCATCGATCGACTGCGGACACCCTTTCACTCCTGGCAGAACTACTCAAGTACTGTGTTCCTCGGCCCGGGGACTTGCTCACGAAGCAAGCGATACCCGTTTTGAAGGCTTTGCTGTGCGGTAAAGGCGTACTCAGCACGCATACTCGGTCTCCAGAAGCTCTACTGGCGAGCTTGACCTCTACCAAGAAATGGCAACCTGAAGATACAACGTATCAGTTCTTGGATAATTGTATGACGAGAACAATGCAGCGGCCGGTCAAATACCTCGATCAACTTGAACAGGAACAACAGGCAGTATCTGATTCGAGGCCTCTCAGTCTCCTTGCATGCTGCATAGCCGACCAATGGTCTTTCGTCGTCAAAAAGGACGAGAAAAAGGAAGCCAAGAACATTGCGGAATGGATAGCCAAACTCTTCTCGGCGCTCGACGCTGCCGGCGAAAACTATCGTGTCATAACTGCTCTGGAACAAAAGATGATGGAAAACCCAGGACACGATGATAAATCCAAAGCAATCCTAGAAAAGGCCTTTGAAAAGCAGCGGAAAAAGCCGACAACCCTGCCCGAGCCCGAAGGCGAAGAAGAAACAGCCGAAAAACACGTATCTTCAAATCTCTCCAACACCAAACAGCCATCTCTTTCCTCTCCCTCAGAAGAACCCACCGTCGACCTGGACGAAATCTTTCCCTCACCCCCACGCATTCCATCATCCCTCTCCGGCCTCGACCGCTGGACGGACCCGGACTTCGAGACCGAGATCCAATCCGGTCGCCTTTCCAATCTGCTGCGGTGCCTCATCAGCCCGGACCAAGAGATCCGCCTGCAAGCCTTCCACACGCTCCAAACCGTCATCCACGCCGTCGAACAATCGACCTACCCGGAAAAGACACAACTATATCTCCTTCTAGGCGAAGCCAGCGAGACAATCCGCTCACTGACTACCTTTTCCTCTCCAGACTCGCCACCACCTCCATCCATCATTGCCGAACTCGCGGCGCACATGCTCCCCGTCGTCGCCGACCCAAGCTCTCCGTACTACCGCAAAACCAATGAATTCCTGCTCACCACGCCAAGCTGGCAACCCGTCACCCGGATCCTGCCCTACTGGGTATCCAACACGTTTCTGTCTGAGCCAGAAGCGGATGACACCGACCTGGGTGGTAGTGGTAATCAGAACGCACAGGCTCACGAGATCGAGCGACTTCTCGACTTACTCGTCCACTCGCTCCGGAACGAGGTGGACTTGGACCTGTTCCGGCGCGGGCACGTATTTACGCGGCTATTCAGTTACTTCCTCGCCCCGTTGTGCTCGAAAGACGCGAGGAAGAAGATCCTAGATGTCGTGCATCGTGCCGTGGCCGGCGTCAAGGGTGGCAGTGATACGTTGATCACTCGCGCCGGTGTGCGGGAGTGGCTGGCCGTGGCGGCGGAGGTCAGGGATCATAGTGGGCATGGAAGCACGGCGGGGCATTTTGACCGGGAGATTCGGAGGCTCGTGGTGGTGGTGAGGAAGGAGATTGAGGAAAATTGCGACAGGGAGGCGGTTGAGCGGTGGGAAGCGGATAGACCCATCTTCAGGGCTGGGAATTTGCAAAAACATGGATCAAAGGCTGGGGAGGGCACGGGTGGTGTGCAAGGTCAGGTGAATGCGGACAGTGATGCGGGAATGGAGGAAGACTGATTATTCATTATCCCGCTGGTGCACCCTTGCGTATTCGACGCAGTGAAGGGCATGCGAGATCAACCCCTATATGAGATCGAGTAGTAGTAGTAGTAGTAGTATCGTCGAGTGCATGCTGTGCAATCAATGCAAGAGCAGCATATTCACAGAGGCCTCGACCCAATCGATGACCCTTTGCATAGCAAAGCTTCCCGCGAAACGGTGTGCGAAATGGTGTGTGATGGTGTCTTCGTATTCAGCATCCTAGGCGCATCCAAAGCAATATAATATCATTGAGCAAGCCGCTATTTGAATTCGCTGAAAACCAGACATCAAGTCGGGTACTCGTTCTGTACAAAAAAAAATCCGACCACAAATTCTATATACCCACTGCAGGCTTCTTTGTCATTGTCTTCTCTATTTCTGTTTCCTATCGTCTTGGGCGGCTTCTTTTTAATGGATTTGAAGCAAATAGCTAACCTTCTCTACCCAGAGCGACGACGATCCTCGTCCACTGCCAGAATGCCACCGGCCCTGCTCAGGCTCGAGCGGCCGTGGCCAAGTTCATAAAAGATAGCATCTCCTATCCGATTCCTGAAACAGAATCGATCATTGCGTGCTTGTGTGAGGCTATCCTGTCACCATCGAGCTTCCAGCTCCAAGTTGTCTTATGTGCTCATCAAATCTGACCATTCATTAGAAACTACTCCGGCTCCGGGGTTTGTGATAACTTACCTCTTCCAAAGAGCGCCCTCTTCGTCCAATCCATCGCGAGAAGAAGTCTCGTCCTCAGACTTACGCTCTGTGCGAAATAGATACTCCGCCAGAGGTACACGGCCATTAAGCCACCGCTGAAATTTAACCCATTAAAGTCGAAAATCGCCGCATTGCCAATATAAGCCAGACTACCAAGGTGATGATATTCGAACGCCTTGTACACGGCTTCGTCGAGGTCGCCAAAGTCGACTTCATTCGCCCTGAAGCCTGGGATTGCCTGGGCAATCTTATTGAATTTCCGACCGAGGTATTGACCTTGTTGGTTAGCTCGCTGGGCTGTTGCAGGCAATGAAGTCAATTTGCTGTCGATCTGAACCATGAGCTCGTGCAATTCGCCAAAGTCCAACGTGCCTGATTTGTCCTTGTCGTATTCTTCGAACAGGCGGTCGACACGTTTGAGGTGGCCTGTAGCCTGAGGGAACCGCTTCCGGATTTTCTGAGCCACGTTACGCCATTCTTGAAAAGTCAGATGCACTTTATCTGGGTCTTTGCCTTTTTCATAGGCCACGCCACGCAGGAACGTGGTGATATGGTCAGCGATGTTGTTTTGGACTGTGGCGCAATCTCCAATGGCGTAAACATCGCCGAGAGGGGCTCCAAGGACTCGAAGATGGGTGTCAGTCTCGAGTGCATGCCTGTTCGTCTGGAAGTCTCCCAATTTTGCGGCGATCTTCTTACTCAGCTCCGTCTGAGCGACTCCGGTCGACCATAAGCAGAAGCCCATGGGAAGTTCCTTGACTACCGCATGTCCGTCTTCTGTTTGCGTGAACAAGATCTTGTCAGGCTGGACTTCTTTGACACGTGCATTCGTCAAGACTTCGACCTGGTCGTGCTCGAACCGTTTTTCCGCATACACAGACAAAGCTTCGTCGTAGGTGTTAAGAATGTGGCCTCGGGACTGGATGATATGTACGGAGATCTCATTCCGCAGAATGCGTGGGAAAGAGCGCAAGAGATCTTCGTTGAGCATGTCATACAGCTCCGCGGCAAATTCAACACCGGTAGGACCTCCACCGCTAACGACAAAGGAGAGGAGTCTTCGCCGCTCTTCGTCAGTTGTAGTGGGTAGGCATGCCAATTCCAGATTCCGTAGGACCTTTTGCTTGATGAGACGAGCGTCTTCGATTGACTTCAGGAAGTTGCAATTCTCCAAGCCCTTGACACCGTGCGGGTTTGTGGTCGCACCGACGCCAACGATCAATTTGTCGTATGGCAGGTAGAAGTGCTGTTCATTTCCCCGAGCATCGATCGCCTTGACTTCGACCAGCTTTTCCGTAAATTCGACATCCACAGCTTCGGCTCTTAGAAAATGCCCTCTCACTCGGTTTACTATCCTGCGAATCGGCTCGGTCAAGGACCGGAACTCAAGAGTTCCCACAGTTGCAGAGGGCAGCATGGGTGTGAAGAGGAAATAGTTCGTTGGCGAAACCACAGTGACATGGTAATCCCCTGGGTTGAGCTCTTTCAACATGGCAACGCTGCCCCATCCTGTTCCCAGTATCACCAATTTGGGCTTCTCTTTCTGTTCTCTCATAGGATCACAATCCTCGTCATCAATCAAGACCTCTGCTATGGGCAGATTCTTTGGCCCTCCTCTTCTTGGAAACAGAGCTTTCTCGTTCACTGGGATGTCACCCATCTTGTCGGGAGCTTCATGGTAGGTCGAGGCATCATACACAAAGAAGGCTAATACCAAACTGCCGGAAAAGACGATAAAGATACCCGTCCAAGCAAAAACTCGATACATGAATCGGGCGAAAGGGCCATGGTGGTTTGGAAGTTGTTTGGTGGAAATGAAGCGAATTGGTCCAACTGAAGCTCCCGCCTGACGGAAGGAAAGCTGACCGGCGACATGGCGAGGGTTTCTGGAAGAGAAGCGAGTCTGTCGCAGGATCGATAGCGGTCTCGTAGGCTGGAGGAAGGGCTTCAGATGCTTAGAGGAACGGTGGTAAGGGAGGTTGTTGAGACGAAGAGGACGCAGGCCAGTGCGGGCCAATCGAGGGAATGCCTCCATGGGTGAAGAGGAGCAGTTAACAGATTCACCTCATGCTTAACGATAGACGGTGCAGAGGAGGCTCAACTAAGAGAATTTAGGTGCGGCGACGAAAGATTGATCAAGAAAGCGAGGGAAGACTGCTGGTAGAGTAGAGATGGAATCTGCGGTATCTGGCTTGCTGGGTATGACGGCATCAGTTGGCGATAGCTTCGGCACGGAAGATCATGGCAGCGAGCATTCCGAGATGGCGGGTCAATAGCAAATGGTACTGTAACACTGTGCACGCTCTGTGCTCTTTCAAGGACTCTTCCACGGTAGATCACAACGTCACAGTCTTGAGCGATGTCCACGTAACAAGGACAGAGATATCACCTCTCCACACCTCATCCCGTCGTCTACTTATATTCATCTGGGGCCACTCGACCAAATCTGCAACCCTTCTTGTGAATTCGCTTCCGCAGTCCAAGCTACCGTTCCTAGGTGGGAGAAGCAACCTTGCAATGTCTGCTCTGATCTCGATATCATTCCTTACAAGTATAAAACGAGCATAACATTGTTTTGAATTCTCAGTCCCGTAACGGCCAGTCAATAACTATGTGGGGTATCATTGTATCAAATCACTAACAAACAGCCTCAGCCTCATGATGTAGCAGACGAGGGTCCCTTCAGAATACCTGCTTATCTCTTTTGGTTCATTCCATCATTAAACGCCTGAGCCCAGATTGTGTCGCGGCCCCTATGGGCCCCAAGATGTGAGTGACACCTCCAAGTATTACCGCCTCAACCAGCAAAGTCGCCATCAGGATCGTCGTCCATCGATGACACACTCGAAGACCGTCGTGCAGTTGGCGTTTTTGGTGGTCGACCTCGAGGTTTCTTTGGCGTCCCACCAACAGATCCATTGATACTCTTGCGCTTCCGACCTCGAGGTGCGCTCATCGGCTGCTCAGGAGCCATGGCCATCATCGACATCTCTTCCTCTTCTTCAGCAATCTTCACTTCATCATCGACTGCCACAAGGGTCACAAAGTCTTTGCATCGCTGTATCATGCCGTCTGTGTCGCTGAGGGATTCCAGCACCGACTTGCTCGTCGTCCAATATCTTTCTCCCGTGATGCCGTGGACCTTGACAGGTTCTTTGGTGGATTCCTTGGTCTGCTTGTTCTGTAGCATTGCCATTTTGACATCCCGAGAAACGCCGTACTGTCTCTTCAGGTAGTTCCTGGCCTCGGATATCAGAGTGATCGCGCACGCAGCCGCAGCCAATCTTTTCAACATCCCCGGATCAACCTGGGACATGGCAGTAGGTTGGCACGCGGGTGCCGCCTCGCCTGTCACAGCATCAATCGGTTGAGGGACCAGAACTTGCTGAAAGTTGGACTCTATGGCCTGCGCAAGCTCACCACCGTTCTTACCAAACGCCAATTCTAGTTGCAACACGGTGTGTAGGAGTTCATCCATCTTCTTGTACTCGAAAAACGCAAGGTTCTGGGTGACGAATAGAACAAAAAGGACATGCTCAGGAATTGCTCCTTCCTCAACACTTAATTTCAAGTATTCGGTATTGAGTTTTGAGATCAAATTGCTCAGGAACTTCTTGACATACTTTGAACCGCTGGTGCTGATAATGGTGAACGCCGGTGCAAGTTTAGCCTTGTAGCCCGGCATAGTGCCACCGGTAGGATCCTTGAAAACCTCGTTCTGGTATTTGAAGGCTTCGATCACTGCATTGATGTATTCCCTTTCACAAACAGACTCATGCTGTTGGTGAAGATGTTCGTGGGCAATCCTGGCAACGTGAGAAACCCTCGGATCAGTGCTGCTTTCCAAAGCCACAAAAGCCGCCGTGGTCTGTTTTGGATGCGTCATTCCTTTGTGATCAATGCTAGCCAGTGTCTGAGCTGCAAGCAGAGCCTTTTCACCACTCTCCGACATGACAATTCGAAGCAGGTGGTCGACCAAAGGGTTGGTGATGATAGAAATGGCACTATCATCCTCGCGAGTCTTGCTGTCGCCACCAATGTTCTTTAGCGCCTGAACTTCGCCGTTTGCTTCACCTTTGGTGGGATTCTCTTTCTCGTTGGCGCGCTTGGCATAGAGTTCATCGAAGACCCCAAGAACCATGACTTGCATCTTCAAGACATCATTCTCACTCAGAGAAGCAAATGAGGTGCCTTCCAAGACTTGGAAAAACGTCTCACGAACGTGTTTCTTATTGAATTGTCCGGGCCAAGCCTGACAGATCAATCCCAAGCTTTCCAATGCTTTCAGTCGTATCTCGATAGGCGCCCTCTGCAGAGTAAACGGGACGATGCTGTCAGCAATAAAGCCTGCGACTGACGACCCAGCGGTAAACGTTGGGAAATCTCTCTGAAACGTCCCGCGATAGCCTTCAAGATCAATGTGCTTTGCAACCACTCCAGCAAGTCGCAGGGATTGTTCTCTCACTTTGTTCTCTCTGGTCTGAAGTTCCTGCATCTTGTTCTCTCTCATCAGTTTCTCTCGGAGACCAGGAGCGATACTAGGACTGAGGACATTCTGCAGGACTGATTTCGTGAATACAATGATTTTGCCAGTGTTGTGTAAGACGCCATCAATGCTTCTCAGGCAAGACATGACCTCCTCCAGCTCTTGACGACGAGCAAGACTTTTGGCGGCTTTCATAAGGTCCAGTTGCACCTCCAGCAAAAGGGGTTCTTGCGTCTTGGACAAATTTGGAAGCACACTCCGGAAGATCGCAACCACAGATTTGAACTTTAGAATGTTATCCGACTTAGAAAGATCCTTCAAGTAGCTCTTTAGACTGGTCAGATCAGCAGCCACCACTGTTTGTGGTCGGGCCTCCGCAAATGAAACAAGTGTCGTCAACTCCGCCGGACCTGCCTCGGACCCGTTTGCATCGTCCAGAAGCTTCTTCACGATACGTGCATAGAGATCGTGCACTGTATCCACATTCTTGGAATCTTTGAGTCTCCATACCAGGAAACTCTTCAGCAGCGCAGCCATCGATTCAGTATCGTTGCTAATACAGGCGACAATATGTGCTTTGAAGTCTTCAATGGCAACCTCAACATGAGCTGACTCATTTGTATTGGCAAGAAGGGTCAGCTTGGGCTGAATCCAGATTTCAGACAAGGTTTTCTTGGCCAGGTCGGCCACTGAAGCTTCCAGGTCGGCCGTTCGTCGAAGAAACTCGACGGCGATCGTCACCTTCATACCTTGCCTTGACTCCCTCAAGTAAACATCCTTGAGATGGCCCATGGCTCGCTTTTGCACTCCCACATTGGAATCCACGGCACACTTCAGCAGTCGCTTAAACGCCTTCTCCTCGAGTGCTGGTCGAGGCATGATGAACTTGGCAATCAGAGACAAGGCCGAATCTCGTACAAGTGAAGAATCGTCCGACGCACATTTGAAGACATCATCTGCGATCGTGGGGTCCCAGTCCAGGAGGCTCGCATCCGTTTCGAGAATGGTCACTACACTCTTCAAGCTGCGACTTCGGACCTGAGCCTGGTCGCTCGAAAGAGATGAGGCAAGTGTCTTAGCAATTCCGGCGAAATGCCGACAGAAACGCATGTTGAGAATGGTCAACAGGTAAGCCAATTGTGCGCCTCGCTGGGTGACGTTCAGATGATCATTCACGGCCTCGTGAACCTCGTCTGGCTCCGAGAGCTGATGTGCGATGAGGGAAACCACGCCTGCAAGCCTCGACTCGAGTTCATTGTCATACTCGGCGTCTTGTGGCCCACGCAGTGTCCGAGATATAAACGTGGCATATTGCACGAGAAAATATGACTTGGCAGACTTCGTTCTCAGGCCTTCCCCTTTCTGGGCACTCATGTATGAGTGAACAATCCAGAAAGGACCATCTGGTGAGATCATTTCAGCAGGCTCGATGCGGAAATGTGCATGATCTTTGACGATCTCAGCAAGTTTCTGCCCGATCGAGGAACCCGAGTCTCCATCGCGTACAATGGCCGATAAGAGGCCCCGTGCGGATGCTCTTGTCACAGAGATCGCAGAGCCCATAACTCCGAGACACTCCAGAGCCATGTTCTTGATCGATGCAGCCTTGTCGTTCCTGGCCAGGGAAATCATACGCATAGCCAAAACTGTGAGCAACAACTCTGATGCGGGCCAATCTGTTGATGGAAGCACTATTGTCAAATCTTCAACAAATAAGTCAAGGATGTTGCGGTAGGGTGAATCCCCGGTCTTGGTGACTTTCGAAGCTTTGTCAACCATCCAACCCACGATATGCTGCGCACTTTTGAAAGCGTCCTCGAAGAGCGCGTCTGCAGTCCGACTTAGGCGTGAGACGGGATCTTGTTCAAGGTGATTGGAGGCCTCGACCTCCATATCACTTTCTTCATGCTCATCGTCTGAACTTTCAGGATCTTGCGACAGGTTGCGCCGTGCACGATGCTTCTTGTGTGGCGCAGCTTTTCCTGACTGCGTAGCCGGCGTCTGGACTAGTAGCATGAACAATGCAGAGACAAGTTGGATATTCTTGCCAGATCCCAACTTGTACTGCCTCGCACTTCGACTGTTTGAAGGCAGTTTGTCTAAAGAGGTCAAGACCTCATCGAGAATTGGTCCTCTTTCGCCAGGAAATGCTGCATATAGCTTCGCAAGGGCTGCCATGGCCTGCTTTCTCAAACGCTCGTAAGCTTGTGAACCGATCGCCGACGCCTTATCATTGTAGGCATTCTGCACGAATAGAAGCTTGGCAGCAAGAAACTCGGTCGAGTTGACAATAGATCCAGCACCTTTGATCTGAATGCATACTTTTGCCACGAGATCGAGGAGCTTTCGGCCAACATCGAGTAGCCTCTTCAGAATTTCACTATTCTCTGACGCAATACGAAACAGCTTACCGTCCTGTGCCTCCGGCCGAGCCTCAACAACAAGGATCAAGCAGTTCTCGAACAGGTTGACCAGCACATTGGGAAGCCATTGCAGCACCTCAAGGTTCACAAGGTCCTGATGCTGCGAAGCACCAAGCACGGTGTAAATCAAGGTGCAAGCAGAGACGGCTCCTATCTCCCCCTTGTGGAGTTTGGTCAACCACGTTGCTATGTCGTCATCTGAAGGATCTTGGGGTAATCGAAGATTGACAGTTTGCGCTGCCTCGATGGCAGGGTCACAAATCCGCTGGAGTCGTTGAAGATATTCCAGGGGCGCATCCATTAGACGACCGACAGAAACGAGTTGGCTCAGAATGCTCTGCAGCTTTTCCTGTGTCCGAGTGGAAAGACGAGGCTCGAATTCATCTTCATCGTCCGGCAATTCGAAAATGGAGCTTCTCGCTGCCGTCGACGCTGACGTGTCTGGGGTCAGCCGATCTTGAGCCTCAAAGATCTCTGACAGAAAATTCTCAAAGTTATTCAAGAGCATGTCTTCTTTCTCTTTCTTAGATTTGGCCGCCAGAGAGACCTTGCCGTTGATCTGAGAACCACTCAGCTTTTGTCTCTTGGGAGATCCAGGCATGGTGACATAGTCCTGTCGACGAAACGACAAAGGCGGCTGAGGGACCTCAACGACAACACCAGAGGTGATTGGCTTCGAAGGAGATGTCTTAGCGGTGGACCTTTTCACGGGCGACTTTAGAGGTTTGGTAGAGGGGTAGGTATAGTCAATCTTCGTCAAACCCATGACCATCTTTTGGACAGGGTTCAGATCTATCTCAGCTGGGGCGTCATTCTGTACCGGAGGCCGTTTGAATTTTCTATCACTGTCAGAACGAGAGTCCAAGGTGAGGTGAAGTGCTGGTCATACATTTCTGAAAGTCTACTCGGATCAAGTAGGACAGCCAGGCGTTCTTTTGCTCCAGCCGTATAGAGATCACTTCGGTACGCAGACGCTCTTTCGGCAGAATTCGTGAGCCGTGCATCTTGGACGCGCCGTAGTTGTGGTATAGGAATGCGATCTCACTGTTTAGCAAGGTGACAACGACTGGAAGACAGACTCACCATGCGCAGGCAGAATTGAGGTGGTCATGGGGGTGTATTGTATGGCCTCATCTACCGTGAGCTGCCTTGAATTACGCCCATTTTGAGACCGCCGAGGTACGAATACCTCAATAGTGTCGTTCATCGCCATCTATGATTGATTGTCCCACACTACATGCGGAGAGTGGACCCAGCAGGACGAGGTTGACTCAAGAATGAGATAGACATCGAGTTGGTGAAAGTTCCGGCGGCACAATGGTGGTCGGAACCATACCTGCAAGGTAAAGTGAAAGGAATAGGGATAGAAGCTGGGGTTGTGGTGATAGTTGGTATTGCGCATACGGCAGTGACTTCAATGAGAAGGCTGAAATTGCGGTGCAGGGAGAAGAGGAGGCTCGGACTAACTGCTTTCGTCTAGTGCGGGACTGACCTTGGCTTGCAGAGCCAGCCTTGCTTTCCTAAGCAAGCGACGGAGTAAATTTTATCTTTTCGGACGTCTCGTCACTCAACTCTGAGGTTCCTGGCCCTATTCACGATCTCCTCCCTGTCTACAAGATGGTCGCCATAGGAAGTCTTCTATTTTGCGATGTTTGTGGCTCGCTACTGCCACGCATCGTGCCCGGGCAAAACGAAGATGATATGGTCAAATGCGACGATTGTTTCCAGTACACCAAGGACACCTCGTCCAAAGTGATAACATCAACCTCTAAGCCAAGTGCATTTCCCTCGGCTCTACGATCAAAACACTCCGAAGTGCAAAATATCAACGCAGACGACTTACAAGTGGAAGCTGTAATAGCACGAGAATGTCCAGAGTGCCACCGGCCCGAGATGTTTTATCATACAAAACAGTTACGAAGCGCCGACGAAGGTACTACCGTCTTTTACAGATGTGAATGCGGGTTCAAGGATGTTCAGAACAATTGAAACATTCTTCCAGTCCTAGTGTACCAACGCCTAGAATGCACGCTATTTGAACAATCCCATCATGCAGCAAGCGGTTCCGGAATTGTGGCGTACTCCATCTCGCCGTTTTTCTCATATTCCGCCATATCAAGAGCCACAATTACACTTTCACGGACAACCTGCTCAGGGTCGTCGACGAATTTCCTCAGCATGTTCTCCACCCCTGGTTCTTCTCCCAGGCTGCCCAGGGCCTCTGCTGCTTCGTGACGGACCATGCTTTCCTCTTTGCTATTCTCGAGTACAGAGAATAAAGCCGGTATTGACGCCGGATGTGAAAGCTGGCCGAAGACAAATGCTACTTCGTGTCTGAAAAGAGCCGATGGGTCGACGAATCCGGACGCAAGGGCGTGAATTGCAGCTTCAGCAGTTGGAAGATCGGGTGGAGAAGCAAGATCTCGGAGAGCAAACATGGCTCTGTATCGTTGAAATAGAGGGAGAGAGTTGTCGAGAAGTTTATTTTGGAGGTCAGGAATCGAAGGTGTCTCTGTTGCCAAAGGCATAGGAGGGGCAGGATCAATAGATGCAAAGTCGCTTGATTTGAGTGCCTCTGCTTTCCTGCTCTCAGAATGTGCCCATTGAATGCGATCGACTGCAATGTCGCAGGTCTCCCTCACTACCACTGGCTCCTTCTCGTCGTCCTTCATCTGTTTCATGAGTTCCAGACTAGACAAATCGCCCAGTGCTCCAAGAGCTTCTGCCGCTTCGTGTCTGCACATTGCATCTTCTGACCTGTTCTCGAGCACTCCTCTTAGGAAGGGTACCGCCACAAGGCTTTTTGTCTGTCCCAAGCAGTACGCAAGTTCATGTTTCAGGAGCGCAGAAGGCGAGGCAAATGCTGCAGCAATGGCCTCGATGGCAGCTGTGGACTGTAGACCAGGAGACTGTGAAGCGAGGTGTTTGAGGGAGAAGAGGGCTCGGAATCGGCGCGCGAGAGGGACATGCTCGGAGGTCAGGTCTTTCCGCAGGACAAGGATGGTAGGGTCGATGGTAGAGGATTTAGCCTCGGTCGCAGCTGGCGCCATCCTGGGAGTAAGTAGAGTCTTGAATCTCAAACAGTCTGGCTGGTTAGACGGTGACTGCAGGCACCTCGAAGATACTGGACAGGGCGGACAGCAGAAAATCTCCAAAAAATTGTTCCGGGGTAAAAGATCGCGCCTCGATCGACCACCTTATCTTAGCGCCAGCCTTGCGACCACTAAATTTCAGCCTTGCCAAGCCAGAGCCACCGTCAGTTCTTTTATCTTCCATTTCGCCTGCATATTGCAACTTTTCTACAATAACATCTCTCCTCTAGGACAACGCGGAACATAACATCTTCGCATCTCGAATCGCTTGCTAAAAGGAGCTCTCTCACATCATGGGTTCTGTTGTCATTCCTCATCTTCCCTCAGCCTGGCATGTCGACCAAGCCATTCTTTCCGAAGACGAGAGGTTAGTCATTATACGCTTCGGTCGCGACTGGGATCCCGACTGCATGCGTCAAGATGAGACTCTTTTCAAGATTGCTGAGCGCGTCAAGAACTTTGCTGTCATTTACGTCTGCGATATCGACCAGGTCCCGGACTTCAACCAGATGTACGAACTCTACGACCCCGTTACCCTCATGTTCTTCTTCCGCAACAAACACATGATGTGCGATTTCGGAACTGGTAACAACAACAAGCTGAATTGGGTCCTAGAAGATAAGCAAGAGTTGATTGACATCATCGAGACCATTTATAAGGGTGCGAAGAAGGGCAGAGGGTTGGTCGTCTCACCGAAAGACTATTCCACCAGATACAAATACTAAGGACACCTCTGGACATGTTCATGGTGGATGACGGACCGCGGATCTGATCGCGAGGTCCACTCCTCAATCATCACATTTAACATCATACGACATCGGACAGAGATTCTTGAGAGCTAGGACTGCTCTGGACTTGATGCACATTAACCTCAACCTACACCTTGGGACTGGGCGTTAACATTGGGAACGGGGATCATTTGGTTGGTCTCACTAAACTATGCATTGTTCAATGACAATTTGCTGACACGAATTGATCTTCAAGATACTCCCCTAAGTCCAGGTCGTGCCCTTCGTCGCTTTGGCGCATTCTCTGCCCATGACCAACAAGCACTGACAGCCTCTTTCGGCCATTGCAGACATGCGGAGTTTCGAATATTCGTCGCTTCCCGAGAGACACTTCCTCAAAGTCTTAGGGCCCGTGATGCGGTGCGATGCTCCTTGGGCCCTTCGCTACTATTGTCGAATGGTATTGCAGCGGGCCCTGCCTGCGAGGACCCCTCTGCAGTTCGTGCGGCTTCGTGTTGCCCAAGTATAGTTGCTTGTCGCATTGTTCACGCCTTCACTGATACCCGGATGCCGTAGTGAATCAAGTCTCAGCTCAAGAGCTGCATTCTCAGTAGAAACAATACCACCTCCTACATCTGCCGTCCTCTGATGGCCCCTCAAGAAGGTAGACGCTGGGCATATAAGTTTCTTCTACCTCAATTCAAGGACCATCCCACCACTGCAGATTTCGGAGCATTTCTTAATTGGGTGGGGATGGACAGGCGGTGATGCCATTCGGAGATGAGGAAGGAAGCCCTAACGAAGCGAGGCCCGAGAATCCCTTTCAGACCATAATCGCATGACCCGGCCACTCGACTGCGACCACAAACTGCAACAGATCTGGCCACCCAGACCGCTTTTTGGCATTCTCCACTGGTTCATGCGAGCTCTTCTTTAGCATGTCAATGGGATTCATGACCTTTCCCATCAGTATGAGCATTCAACTTGCGGCTCTGAAGCAGTCCGCTTGGGACAACATCCCCCGCAATTCTTTTCTCCGCCGCATGACCGTCCGCACATGAACCTGCATTCAGTAGGCGAACACAAACAGAGCTTTCCCATTAATTGCGCTCCAAGAAGAATCAGGAAGACAAGCACAGCAAGACTACCACGAAGAGTCACCGGTCCAACAGACATAGCCCCCTACCCTCGTCGCAATCCTCCTACAAGACGAGCCCATAGCATCCTCAACTGGCGCGCAGAAGGAAGGATCCAGACACCAGCAAGATGAACACCCCAACCTTGCTAACCCTGACCATCCTTCCATTTCTCTTCTTCGCCCTCTGGCATATCACCGCCTCGTCCGTCCCTCCTATCCCGCCGTCCCTACGTGGCAAGCGTGTCATCCTGCTCATCGCCCACCCAGATGACGAGTCCATGTTCTTCAACCCGACCCTACAAGCGCTCACACATCCCTCCCTCCAAAACCACTTGAAGATCCTATGCATGTCAACAGGCAATGCGGACGGCATCGGCGAGACCCGTCGCCTTGAACTCGAAAAAGCGGCAGTCCATCTGGGCCTGCGGAGGCGCGAAGACGTCTTTGTGCTAGACGATGAGCGGTTCAAGGACGGCATGGATGAGGACTGGAAACCAGAAGACATCGTGCGCGTGCTGGCGAGTGCCTTTGCGCCGCATCTGAACGGTAACAGTCCTCAACCATCCTCTACGTCTATGCCGACAGGACCGAAAGACAAGGATCGCCGGAAGTCAAAATCAAAGCCAACCTCGTCCAGCAAGATCTCATCCACAGCGACAGCGCCGAGTGCACCTGCGGCGTCTCAAACCGGTCCCATAGCATCCATTGATGTGTTAATTACATTCGACTCGCACGGCATCTCCTCGCATCCGAATCATATCGCCCTCTTCCACGGCGCGAGTCTGTTTGTCCGGCAGATCATGCATGGCCACACCGGGTACGCATGCCCAGTGGCACTGTACACACTACCTACAGTCAACATCGTCCGCAAATATTCCTTCATTCTAGATGCAGTGCCGACCATGCTGGGCGGGATCTACAGCGCGATCTTCGCCAATATATCAAACATCCTCAGCAATTCGACTTCCGGTCGGGCAACGACCACGCCAATAACAGGGAAGAAACACCCCCTAGACAGAGTGGTCTTTATTAACGATTTACCACGCTATTGGAAGGCCCGCGGCGCCATGGTGCAAGGCCACGCGAGTCAGATGGTTTGGTTCAGGTGGGGTTGGATTGGTCTGGGACGGTATATGGTGGTGAATGACTTAAGGCCAGAGAAAATTGTTACATCATGACCATCTTTAAATGGTTTGATGAGTTGGAGCATCATGCAGGGATGAAAATTGCATATGGCGAAGTTGAGCGACGAATTTCAAATACTTTCGTGGCGGAGACGTATATTTACAAGAGGCATTGATCTTACTGTCTTATTTAGCCAAGATACCCCATTGCCAGGACGCAACGTGGATTCATGGTTCAATAGCTCTCGTTCAAGTAGGTGCTTCAAGTTCGGACGCCTTAAAGGCAGGTCCAAGTGTACAGAGTGATCTAATTTCGGCACAACGGTAGTACATATATAATGCTACACAACCACGTCGAGAAGCATTGCTTACTCGAGCTTCACTATATTAAATTATCCGAGCGTCATTTTTTGGAAGGATTGCCAGGTCCAGCCCATGGGTGCCATTCATCCACTCGCCAATCCGGTCCAGGAGGATTCACCTGTCCATACTTGACCGTGCTCAAACGCTCACTACGCTGCTCCTTCTCCTCCCGCAGAACCCAATCAGTATACCTCTGATCACCATCGTCCTCAAAAGACGCCGCCTCTGCATCGAAGGCTGCCAGACCCTTCGGACCACGATATACATAGTCCACGGAATGACGTAAACGAGCGGGACTGTAGGTGTCGAACATCGCCCTCATCGACCCGGCAAAGGTAGTCTGCGCCGAATTCGCCGACACCATCGCTTTCTCTCTATGTTCCTGGCCGCTTATCGTGACATGGCCCGTAGTCGTGTAGTAGGGAATGATATTCGGGAGAAACTCCGCCCATTCCTGAACCAAATCAGGTACCAATCGCAAGGGCCAAGTGACCTGCCGAAAATAAGGCCTGTGGGTTGTAACGTTCCACCAACTCTCTTTGAACATATTCCTAACAGCGGTGCTGATGAGCTGGATATGACAGTCGAGCCTCAATGAAGCAAACAGGAACTCCCTCTTCAGTTGGAGAAATTCGGCCGACGGTACTCCAGCTGCGAAGATATGGTCATAATTTGTTCGGAGATACTCCCGCATTTTATCGTACATCTGGGAGACTTTGGTCCGATCTTCGTCGAGCAATTGTACGCACACTCGCAGATCGCGCAACGCTAGTTCTAGTCTCTTTCCTCGAAATCTACCTTTGACTCTGTACATCTGATCCACAATGGTAACGGGTACATTGTAGGGCTCATCATGGAAGGCTGTCCATAAGGCTTCAAGTGCTCTGAAGGACACCCGACCGGCAGCATCGCCGTTGCGAAACTTCACCCCGCCCAACTGGAGGGAGAGTAAGGCAGTCCATTCGAGGAGGTGCGTCCACACACTTGCCGGAATCGGTATGTTGTAGTTTCGAGAGATATAATCAACCAGCATGCTTGCTTTGTCGACTTGGTTGTTGGTGGAGAAGGTATGAACTACCGTCTGAAGGAGTCGTTCCGTGGGTTTCAACGGAGAATCGGGCTTGTAGAAAGTCGGACTTTCGACCTCTTCCTCATCGTACCTCTCAAGGGCATCAAGGTCGATGTTCCAGACCGATTTGAGCACACTTCTCACGCTAGAGATATCTCCCTCGCGACCCATCGCGGTTATCAGGTTGCAAAAGGTAGCTTCATCGCCTTTCAGACCTCGTCTGACGAGTTCGTTGAAAGTCCTCAGGACTTCTAGCCGGAGTGACTGCTCGTCGTTTGGTAGCGTCGGCGAAGCGACCGTGTGACCGCGGAAGCCTGGAAGCCTCTCTTTCTGAGAGCGAAGATACATATGCTTCGGAATAACTCTCAGGGAATATCGCTCAAATCTACCATATGCAAGGTTCCAGTTGAGCGCCTCCATGAAATAGTTGTAGCAGTCCACATCGGGAACGATTTCGTTCTCTGGCATCAGGGTACAAAATACGACTCTTGCCATGTTCCCATAGCCCCCAGCAGCTGCACAACGCAGCAAATGTCGATAGACATCAAGAGTGATGGCATGGCCACGCTCTTGTCGAAGCGTGACCAACGTGTCCAAGACATGATAAAAGGTGCCGACTCGTTCTTCGAAAGATTTTACGTACCGAAAGCGTGGCTCGGTCTCCAAAGTAGGTTTTATATGGCGATGGATGTCTCTGAATGGGAGGATGAAGTAGTCAGGATCAAGAGCGCATATAGCTCTGGCAAAAGTCTCGTCGTCCGCGTCTGCAACGAAAGCATCACCAATAGAGGGTGTGACAAAGCCCAAGAGTATTCTTTCCGGGTGATTCTCTTCCAACAGCTCTTCCATCGACACTTGTCTTTTTAAGGAGCTCTGAGAAGCAGACCCGGCATCGGGAGTCAATGCGCTCGTGGACTCGAGTCTCGAGGTGTTTGTAGGGGTATCATTGTGTTCGTAGTTGCCAGTAGTGGAGTCAACCGGGAAGAAAGACGAGCCGATGGTTATGCTGGACTGAAATCGTCGCTGATGTTGAAGATTCCGAGGCTGCCATTCCGTCGTGCAATGCGCTCTAGCACGAGTTTGTCGTCGAAGGATGTGAAGGCTCAAATGGGGAATCCGGCTAGACGAAGGCTGTAGGACACCATTGAGGAGCCTGTAAAAGGGGACCGAACCATGCATAAATGGACCCGAACGCCAAAGGTGAATGAAACATAAAGAATGAAAGCTTGGATTGAATGTCGAGAAAAGTTGTATCTACAGCGTCGGCGCCGGAAGGAGTAAGAGAACAATAGTTTTTCCTCAAACTGCTGCCAAGCCCCGATTCGCGCAGGAAAGATTCCATCAAGCACCGCATTCTCGAAGCCGTCCAACAACTTCAGGACGCCCTTGATTGTGCAGTTCTCCTAGATCCGAACTCACTGACATGGCAGACACGGCGGACGAAGCAGCGACAACCGTCTCAGAACCTCTCGACTTGGTCCGGTTGTCGCTTGATGAAATTGTCTTTGTTCGGCTACGAGGAGATCGCGAGCTCAAGGGAAGATTACACGTACGCACCCTCACACCGGAGCTGCGCAAAGGATTGTACTAAGTCAAATCCAGGCCTACGACAGCCACTGCAATCTCGTACTCGGGGAGGTTGAGGAATCAATATACACCATCGAGGAAGATGACGACGGAGAAGAGTCTGTAAAGGTCGGTACAACTTGGTATTGGAAAAGCATCCCCAGGCTTACAAGAGATAAAGACGACGAGGAAACAGTCAGATATGCTGTTTGTGCGAGGCATGTATCTCCCATCTGAAGCTTGGTCGTCTCTGTTAATCCTTACTAGGAGACTCCGTTGTCCTCATCTCTCCGCAGCCGGTGTCTTGAAAAGCAAACAATCTTCCATCAGACATGTAGCTACCGCGAAGCCTTACGGCGAGACCAGAACTTGCTATGACCAAGCATTCGTCATACCCAGCCCAACGTCCGCGAAATGAGAAGAGCATAAAGCTCAGACATGGCTTTTCTATTGGGCAGGATTTACAATGACCAGAAATGAGTCACGAGAGGACAACTTTGGGGCTGAGGGGGCCGCTTTCGAGGGTTCTGATATGATCCTTCAAAACAGCACGCTGGATGGAATGAATCATTTGAGCCTGAACTGTACTGTGCAGTGAGCGCATGCTGCTGGCTAGGGAGCCTCATGATACTTGAAAAGAGACGCACGAGGCTGGCTCTAACTTAGGTGGGGTTAGGCGAGTTGGGTGCAATGAGGGGATGACTCGATCAGCAACAGATTCCCCGCTGCACACCACAGTCGCAATCATGACTCTAGACGCTCGAACGAGTGGCGTTTAAAGATAAACGACTCTCGCCTTTCACTCTTCGTTTTCCATTTGACCCATTGACCTATCCTCAACTCGAATCAATATGGCACGATCATAGCAATATCATTCCATCTCCCTATCCTTCACCCTTCTCTGAAAGATGATAACTCGAATACCTTGAAGAGCGCGGGGGCGACATTCACAATCAGTGGGTTGAACTGACTATCGATTCCATTGATACCGCTACTTCGCATGGCCACTCGTATGAAGCCGACGCTGCAGGATCGGCGAAAGGGCGAACTTGTAAGCATCTCCCATAGCCAGTGTACGAATCTCTCTCACACCTCGATCTCAGGCCCTTTCCGATTTTGCGGATTATGTCGCAAAGCAGCAGGCGAAGACTCGGGCAAACCCACCTGACTCCATTGCCAGCGACAGTGGCTACGCGTCTGCTCCTCGTTCTTCCGTCACTGAAGACCACGCAGAACTCGATATCCTCGATCACTTAGGTCTCGCCGACGCGCCCTCCCAGGTAAAGTTGAAAGATTGGCTAGTGGATGACTCGGAGGATGCATCTGTAACACTTCAGGAGCTGGCAGGACTGATACAGTCCAGAATAGACGAAGGCCATGGCGAGGTACTGTTCGACTTGGGTTTGGAGGACAGTGGCGAACCAATGGGCTTCACGAAAATGCATTGGGATCTTGCGTTGCAGAGGATAACCGAGGCTGCAGGCATTGTCAAGGCTGCTGTGAAAGTCCTTTTGACATTCAATGTCGGTGGTGCGGAAGAAGCCGAGTCAAAGAACCCCAAGGACCAGTCATGCCATGGCAAGCTACTCATCCGACAGGCTCCCTCAACCGCAGAAGGTGTTATTGAGACTCGAATCGCTGTGGTCGGAAATGTCGATGCTGGAAAGTCGACTATGTTGGGTGTTCTGGTCAAGGGTAATTTGGACGATGGCCGTGGCAAGGCTCGAGTCAACCTGTTCCGCCACAAGCACGAGATCGAATCTGGTCGTACATCGTCTGTCGGCATGGAAATCATGGGCTTTGACACCCACGGCGACGTCGTCACCTCGAGCGTGCCAGGCCGCAAGTTGACATGGGGAGAAATTGGCACAAGGTCTGCCAAAGTCATCACGTTCACCGATCTGGCCGGTCACGAGAAGTACCTTCGCACAACTGTTTTTGGGCTGCTCTCTTCCGAGCCGAACTATTGCCTACTAATGGTGGCAGCCAACAATGGTCTGATAGGCATGTCCAAGGAACATCTCGGTATCGTGCTTGCCCTGAATGTTCCTGTAATGGTGGTCATAACCAAGATCGACATCTGCCCACCTCAGATCCTCGAGCAGACGATATCCCAGTTGGCCAAGATTCTCAAATCTCCTGGTGCTCGAAAGATTCCGATATTCATCAAGAATTATGAGGAGACCGTCATGACAGCCACTCAATTCGTCTCTCAGCGAATATGCCCGATCTTCCAGGTCTCCAACGTCACAGGAGAAAGCTTGGACCTAGTTCGAACCTTTCTGAATATCTTGCCCCATCACGGCCACTATGACAGTGAGGCTCCTTTTGAGTTTCACATCAACGACACATTCTCCGTTCCATTCGTGGGCACAGTCGTGTCTGGTGTGGTCAAGTCTGGCGTCATCCATGTAGGAGACACGGTCTTAGTCGGACCTAACTCCTTGGGCCAGTTCGAGACAACAAGCATACGGTCCATCGAGCGAAAACGAATACAGGTACCAGGTTGCAGTGCCGGTCAATCAGCGTCTTTCGCCTTGAAGCGTGTTCGACGTAAAGAGGTTCGCAAGGGAATGGTTGTGTTGCCGAAGGCTGAATCATTGCCAAAGGTGTACAGAGAGTTTGTGGCTGAAGTCCTCATCCTATCTCATGCTACAACTATTCGTCCGAAGTACCAAGCGATGTTGCATGTTGGCCCTGTCAGTCAGACCTGTGCTATTATCGACATTGACCGCGAGTACATACGGACCGGTGACCGGGCTACGGTGGCGTTCCGATTTGTCCAGCGACCCGAGTTTCTGGCTGTGGGCCAACGCATACTGTTCCGAGAGGGCAAGACCAAGGGGCTAGGCATAGTCAAGTCGTTAGGCTATGAGGAGGGCTCGTTAAGCAAGCAGATCCCTATACAGGGGGCCGAAGATGGTGAGGATGTTAAGGGCAAGCAGAAGGCTGAAGAGAAGGGTGCTCAGACTACCAAGTCGCAAACTACGGCGGCGGCGAATGGCAAGACGAAGTGAAGAGTCGGCGGAGGCTTTTGACATGAGTCGGCAATAGCTGCACCAGACTCTCAGCAGCAGAGCTTATGACACGCAGATGCGGTTGCAATGATCAGATGTAGCCAATTATTCAACAAGGCCTCGGACACCTCTACAACGCACATCTAAGATGCTGCCATGCGCGTTGAGGCAAGGCATCTCCCATACGAACTGTGTACGAGCCCTGTGAACCCTGTGAGCCCTGCAAGGCTCCATCTTCCCAGCCAACCACTGCCCGTTCCAAGCTCTCCACCTCAGCCTCGTGAGCTTTGTTTAGCGTATCCGTCATGATTTCTCCGGTCCCCAGACACCTCAGTCTAAGTTCTGTCTTGCAAAATGTCCCAGCCACGACGCCGCATACCAAACAATCAATCGGACAGGACCTCATCTGTCAAGATTCCGGCATCGCATCCGGCAGAAGACATGCAGGATACGTCTCTTTTATCAGCATTGCGCCGCCAACCGATATGGATAATCCTCGCCATCTCCTCCGGCGCGTGCGCCGCGTTCAATGGCGTCTTTGCGAAGCTGTAAATACAAAGCAACACGTTTACTCGTAGTCGTTGCAGGGCTTACTGACCTGTGCCGATAGTACTACTACGGCATTGACGTCAACTCTCTCCTCCCACATCGCAACATTCCTCTCCCTCTCTCCTTCCAACAAAATCATCGAATTCCTCGTGAGGGGCACATTTTTCCTCCTGAACCTCGCGTTCAACGCCGCGATGTGGGCGCTCTTCACCGCCGCGCTGACCCGCGCGGATAGCACGACGCGGGTGAGTATAGTGAATGTCAGTGCGAATTTTGTCATCACTGCAATGCTAGGCTGGATGGTGTTTGGGGAGAAGTTGAATGGTCTGTGGTTCCTGGGCGCCGGTCTACTGGCGGTTGGAAATGTGGTTATTGGAAGGAGAGAGGAAGGGAAGAACCCGGGTGGGAGTATGGGACTCGATGAGAGCGTGGATGAGGCGGAGAGGGAAGAAGAGGCCGAGGGATTACTTGGTCGAGGTACAAGGGGAAGAGCAGAGGAGGTAGAACTAGATGAAAGCGAGGGAGGTTTGCGAAGAAGGAGTGAAGACGAGGGTAGGGATAGAGAGAGGGTGAAGAGGGGTGTCGAGGTTGACGATCCTATATGATATATTCTTTTATTTCATGGCGTCTGAATGGCAGATCCAGTCGCCCAGATACAGCACATTGCAGATCCTGTTGCTGCTGGCCTCTCGCTATTGCTAGTGAGGGATGACCGCTGGCTCACGCTGAGAGTGGTCCAGCATTTGCGCTGCGGTTGGAAACCATCCGTGCTTTGTGACTTGCGAACGACTGTCCCCAGGTCAGCAAAGTTCGATCTCGACTAGAAGTCCAGTAAGCAGGAACAAGCAACTGCACAAGTGCAATTGCAATTGCAACAAGGGCAGGGCTCCGGTAGCCTGAGAGGAGCCAGATCGTTCGCGAAAGGCACTCCATATTCTCAGAAGCCAACCTTTTCCTTTACGACCACAGCTCTATAGTTGGACACGGCAAAGAGAGCTTTCGCCGGCCCTCAAGAACGTGGCGCTACCTTGATCACGAGCTTCTACAGTAGGGACGGGAATTCGTGTTGGTTGGCTCCTCGGATCTCCCGGATTTCGCAGCCTTACTGACGGCACACCTTTTCCTTCCGTGAAGTAATGCCGTAGGATACCAATGCCAGGTTCTCGACATTCACACAACCCTTCATTGAACTGTAATGACGGGTGCCAGCCTGGTAGGCTTCCTTGCTTTGACATTGCTGTCCGCAGACACTTGTTTCTCATTCCGACTGACACAGAAATATGGACCCAAATCTCCAACCTTGTTTCCTCCTCCAGAACATAGACGCTCGAAACTCACACAGCTTGAATTCGCCTTCCTGGGGTTATCTCCGCAGTACCTTCACGATAACTCATAGACCTTCAACGCCCTGAAAGAGTTGTAGTGGCACATATTTAGAGGTACAGACCTCGAGATCAAGCAAGTATGAGAAACCGAGGTATATATCTAACATAGCTCGATTTGCTTCCGCAATCGACCATAGGCTGTGTTCCAACAGGGCTTCCCGTCCGCTCAGCCGTACTTAAGCCACAGGCCGGTAGGTTAGTAGTCAAGTGGGTGACCATTGGCGAATACCTGCTGTTGATTGTTTTTGCCTTTTTTGGCCATGTTGTGGTGATGATGAAGAGGGCATTCCATCGGTGGTTAGATCAAGAGGAAGAAGCAAAGCGGACATCAAAGTATAGATTGGCAGGCACCAAGAGAGATCCATCCTGGGACTGTCATCGAAAGGGGTGTAGTCTCCTGATAGCAAGAAGACAAGAGCTGCTTGATGCGAAGTTGGGATCTTTGGAACTCACACTCGGCAATAGAAGCGAGCGATATAAAGTCGGCGCCAACGTCTTTTCCAGGTCATGAGATGTCTCGACATTGAAATTCGCCCGGATCTTGTAGACCTATTGCATCGTAATTGTGAGAAAATTTGATGACAGGAGCGAACATAGTCGAGCCACTGCCGACATACCCTTGATGTCATGAGATGTCTACCTACGTCCTGAGGTGATGGAGTTGGCCAGTTTCTTGCTAACAACGTACCGTACTCAGGATATTGAAGAAGGCGCCACTGGAAGTTATTTCCTGATAAGTGGACGTCCGGACATGCTAGACCACTCAGCAGGCACCATAGGCTGTTTGCATGTGTTGTCATACACAGAGTCCCGTCTGAATCACCTACCGTGTTGTCCAAGTCCTCGTATAGCCGGCGATTTGACTACTCCCTGTCTGCATCCGCGAGAGCAAAAGACAGTGTCGGGAGGTCTGCCGAGCTTCCAGTGGTCGCGGGGACGCATATCGAAAATCCAGGTCCGGCGGAATTGCGCGGCTTGGAAATTATGGTGTGCATGAATGACGACGTTCTAGAAGGATTCGAAGGGAAAAACTATGATCCGGGTGAGTTATTTGCGGAATGGAGTGCAAGTCTGGTGGCGTGAAATGGAGCTTCAGATTGGATGCGAGACTTGAGTCGTTCAGGGGTCGATTGGGCTGTCAGGGGCTTCGTTCGTCATAGCGCCGTCGCTTTCGGCTACAGATGCAGTTGGAACGTGGACAACGGCACAACGGATGAAGGAAGGAATCGTTGCTCCATTCCGTCCGTTGCCGGCTTTGGCCTAATAAGTCTATTCCTCGTGGCGAGACCGTAACATACGGTGTAGATTCGACGAAGGAATTTTTTCCAGAACTTGATCATTCATTCCAATATTTATCAGGAGAACAACTGTCGGCTATTGTTTACATTGACGAAATTATTCGAGACAGGAGGGAGATGAAGTGGTCCTTACCTTCAGGAGACGTGCACTGAGCACTGGTAATGTGGGGTTGGGGCCTTTTTGATTGCTGAGACAATTGCGGTCTCACTGGACTACTGCACAGTTACCGGTGCAATTTATGCATACCAGGTAGAATAGGATCGTGAGCATTGGTACTCGTATACAACCTAGTATGAGGTATGGACCTAGAGCCCTCTACCATTGTTCCATAGGACAAGAATAGACGATGAACTGTTTGATCGGTAGTGATCGGTACAGTTCCATACGGAAGCCGGAAATGACATGAGGGTTTCAAGGAGCACGATCGAACAATCGAGGCTGAAGTTGCAAGTGAACGGCAGCTACGAAGAAGGGTTTGATCTGCAGGGCCAGAATCATGGTTGGGCTCTTTTGCTCATTGGAGACGGGGTTTGGTAGCGCAGGGACGACGTCAAGCAAGGCTTTCAGTACAGCTGATTTGCTGGAGTGGTGAGATGGATGGAGAGACATGGACAGGGGTGGTGTGTGGGAAAGCAGCTGTTTGCTCAAAAGGCGAGAGGGCCGCGAGGGCGCAGCCTCAGGCAGTGTTCGATTCGCTGATAAAGCGCTCGAACTTGTGCCAGAATCAGATTAGCTGGTCGGAATGTGGATCAGGCCAAGATGCCGTTGGTGTGTGTTGCTGTGCTGAGAGATGCGCGCGCATACAGTGGCTGGTCTGAGAAATACTGGGGGAGTCACTGGGAGGTCGACCAGGTGGCGAACAGATCAACGAGGCAACTTGGATGGGCACCATGGGCTGTTCATGGCTCTTTCGTCCCTGTTCCCGGCGACGACCGCCCCAGGCGCATCGACTAGCGGCTTCATTAGTTGACAATGCCCGCTTGGACAATGCTGAACCGACCAATCCAGGGCACCTGCAGGCCCCAGTCTTGGGAATGGCACGCGGAGCACCAACTTGCACTACCAGAGGTGACCCAGCATACTAGTATCTAGCTCCTTCCTGCCCTTCCTCTTCCCGCATCTCCTGCCTTGTCCATTCTATCCCACCGCTTATTTGCACTCAGTCCCTCTACTCATCCATCACCGCCTCTTCGAGACACAGGAGTTCTCTAGCTACCTGCCACCTGCACCACACTCATCTTCGCTCTATTATTACCCTTGTATTTCTCCTGCATCGCCTTTACATTCTCGCCGATAAAATCTGCGCAGCATAGACCAGGACAGACGACCAACCTGATCAGCTGACCTCCCGTCATTGTTTTGCCACCTTTTGATTAGCTGTTGAACCACCCATCACTTCGACTGCGCCTTTCATCCCTCTCTTCCTCCTACGAGCTCCTGCGAATCGGATCGAACTGTAATCATGTCGACTTTCTACTACGGTGGTCATCAACAACACCAGGCTCAGAACCCGCACCCCATGCCTCAATCTCACAACCACCATGGCCGCTCACGAAGGGCTCCTCGCATCTCATCTTCTCAAAACAGTCAAAGACAATACCGAGCACCAAAGCTAGTTAAAGAGGTCGTTCTCACCGAAGCTCCCACTCTGACGGCTTACCGACAAAGGTTCGAGGCAGGACGATCATTCGACCTGGACGATGATCTAGAATTTTGCCCGAACCTTCTGAGTTACGACGAGGTTGGTTTTGAACCTCTTTTCTCATCGGCATCCCTTACTGACTACAAGAAGCGCCAGTCAGTCACTTCAGGCTCTGACCGATCTTCACTGTCGAGCGGTTCTCCGGATTCGTCGCCCATGCAGTCCCAAATCCAACCCCAACAAATAACACCGTCTCTCTCCGTTTCCTCCGCTGCAACATCAGCATATGTGTCCCCCCCGACATTCATGAGCAATAACAACAACCTCAAGATCCATCAACCATCGGCAATTCGTTCTCGCAACAACGCCATCCCCATTGTCAATCCATCCACCGGTAACCGCATTGCAAGCCCGCCATCATCCATCTCCCCAGGCATGATGCAGCAAGCAACCGCCGCCCGTCGGTGGTAAGAGATCCTTTTGTGCTCTCACCTCCCTGCTGGTCGCTGCGTTGCTGTCTTCATTCCTGGGCTGGTCTCTGATGTTCGGTCGTCCGCCTTTGCTTTGCCGGTGTATCGACAATTCCCTCTCGACTTTTTCCCTCTTTGCTATGTACATATGTATTTGACGACCTCCAAAAATCTATTATTTCATCGAGCGAAAGAAAGGCATGGCGACTTTGACGACGTTTAACATCACGATACCAGCAGGTCTGTGGAGACCTAAAGAACAGGAATGGGAGTATGGTGGCACAGCGATTCAAAAAGACAATTCTGTTTTGAGCATGGAGTTATCGAGCATATTCAAGGTCCGGTCAAGAGATCACGATAGAAGACGACGACTATCATCTGCATCATTGGCGGTGTTTGCGTACAATATGGTTTTGGCAGTTTTTTTTATTTGCTTGCACACTCGGTTTATGCTTGGGATATGGGAGATGAGAGAATACAAAGACACCAGATGGTTGATGCGGCTTTGGGCTGGGTTATGACGGTGCCAAAGCATGAATCAAATGCACATCTCCTGGTTTGAATGGCTGGTTACTAAAATGATATCTCGAGGTTTCATGGGGAATCTTATCCATGTCGAGCAATTATTGGATGGTTGATGATACCACCACCCATGAGGTGTATTTCTAGTCCTAGACGCTGAAAATACGATTCTTCATTCTGTTTATCAATATACTTGATCCTTCTTCCTATGTCGTGCCTTGAGTGTGTAGGCGGAAACAGCATCTCATCAATGTTCATTCATTCATTTCTTCAGCTCTGCAAGGTACTACTTATAGTAGATCGCTGATATGGGGTCATGCAGCATCATGAAAAGAGGCTGATATGTGGCAGTGCTGAAGCATCCGACCCCACCACGTGAGCACCGATTCAGGTAGAGAGTGCGACAATATCAGGCATTCCAGCTGGGTTGTCGTGTAGATGCAGGCATCATTGTTTCCCAAGCTATCACAGTGACGGGACAGAAAAATCTTACATCCAGTCAGACTCAGTCTTGTAGGCTGATTTGCCGGAGCCATTGAATACTGGTTCTGTCATCTGCCCTGACAAGCACAAACTTAAAGAGGTCACTCGATCTACCAAGTTTATATTCGTTCTTGGCCAGGTCAAATATCCAACTTCCCACCATCGTTCCTCCATCCAGTTCTTTCAATCCAAACACATTGACCCATTGAGCCTCGACAGAGATACCAGGAGGCTTCGACAATCGAAATGGCTCTCAGTAGGAACGTCCTGTTGATCCTCGTCCTCGGATTGATACTGTTTACATGCCGGGCACATGCTTTTGGCGCTGGAAATATTGCCTCCATCTCAGCGGTCGAAGGCAAGAATTGGCGTCATGGCGATATTGAAGATGTACTCAAGACTCTGGCTTGTATCAAGCATCACAAGTGGAACTCTATGTAAGTCTCGCTGGATTTAGAGCCTCTAGAGCTTCCATCAGCAATGAGCCATTTTACTGAGTGCTAACGACATGACAGGATGATCAAGCGTGTCTACTTTGGAAACTGGCTCAGAGACTACTCGTATGTGAAACAATCTCGAAGAAGCCGTGGCATTTTGGCTTGAGCTCTTTGATCTGATCCCGCCACGTTGCTACCGCTTTCTGACTATTTGCAGCCAAGCTATGGATACCGGAGCCCTAAAGAAAGCACAACCAGAGACTATTCGCATCCTGGTCTGGTTATTATCCTTCCTCGGATTCGGATATGCTACCGCTGAGTTCGAAGTCACGTCGGAGAGACTCGGCGTCTATCGTCCGGAGGAGCACATTGACAATCCCAAAGATTACAACGACAACGAAGATGCTCGGCAGTACGATGTTCGCTTGCGAGCCCCTGTCCGTGATATCGAGCTACAGATTGATCCTGAGACTGGCATGAAGAACTACATTGCCAATGGCAAAGGTGACTGGGCCACCAGTGCTGCGTTCGTGAAGTACAGTTTCGAGCGCAGTATACACCACGGTCGTCTCTACCTGAACGGGCACGGCTTCTTTAAGGGTAAAGACGAGGATCTGGCGGAAGCATTGCGATGCCTAGGCCAAGGTCTCCATACACTGGAAGACTTTGGCGCTCATACAAACTATGTTGAGCTGGCGTTGAGAGAAATGGGTTTCCACAACGTCTTTCCTCATGTTGGCACCGCCACAGGGATAAATCTTCACGGCAAGCATGTCTTCCCTCTGGTCACCGGCACATTCGGCATGGTTGATTTCTACCATTCTGTTTTGGGCGAAGCTACGGACCACTTCACACAAAGTGAAGTCAATGAGATGGATAATGCGCTAGGGACTGCTCAACAAGCGGCGCAGTCGTCAAATCCATTGATGACCCTAGTTAAGTTGCTATCCAAAGTCCCTGGAACCAGAGACCTATGTGATGAAGCCGAACGACTTCAAGCGAATTCTCAAGCTCAAGCTCAAGCTCAAGCTCGTGGAGGTGAACCAGGCTTCGGCGGACAAGGAGGGTTTCGAAGTGTAGATGACTTTGGTGGCTCAACACGGGGAGTGGATGACTGGGCCAGCAACCGTGCGGGTTATCCAGGGCAGCAAGGTTCTGATAATAGTTGGAACGCTCCACAACAGGGCTATCAGCATTCTCAACAGAATTGGGGTCAGCCTCAACATCAGCAGTGGCAAGATCCCGCACAGCAAAACTTCAATCCTCATGACCAATTCCCAGGAGCGCAACACAATTGGCAACAACAGCCAGCAGCTTCGGCGTGGGACCAGAATGCACAACCACAACAATGGAATCAACCGCAACATCCAGCACAAACGCAGCAGGCTGCGCCGACCCAGGCGTCTCAGCAACAGTCCTCCGCTCCAGCAGGACTCCCAGGCCTACCTGATTTTGACCCAGCAAAGACAATCGCCCAGATCTACCCCATCCTCGTATTCCGAGACAAGGTTGTCCGCACGATCAGTGCCATCATCGAGAAAATCCCCGGCCTAGAGGCTCTGGTCGACCGCATCACCGAGACGCTCACCGTATTCATCCTCTCGCTGCTCGCTCCATTCGTCCGCCCAGTCATCAACGCCATCTCCAAATCCCTTCAGACGGGCAGTGAAGGCGTCATAAACTCCTCTGGTAAACACCAGTATGAAGTCTGGACCGACGCGCATTGTTCTGATCCCACCCATTCCATGCTGAGTAAAGACCATTTCAGCAATATTCTCAATGAGCCTGCTGGTAATGTTGCGGCTGAGATTCTCAAATTCATCGCCCCGAGAGTTTTATATGCTTGGGAACACGTAAGTCTCATACCTGCCTACTTTCTGCAGAAGCTGGCAAGGCTTCCATCTCTCACGGTGCAGGTATGCAGTGCTAACGACATATCAGCCGAACGTCCCCGTGGAACAAGTGATGCGTGATGTCGAGAGTATATTCCATCATCCCGCAATTCGAAACGAGCGTACCGAAGTCCATCGCAATATGTTCGCCGCGGTGAGACGATGGGTCGACGGCATGTCAGACAGAGGTCGCAATCTCGACAGTGTCCTGAGCTCGGAATCTGTGAGGGCTGGTAAAAATCATAAGGCGGGCGTGAATCCTCATATGCAGCAGACGCATGCACCTCAACATCAACAACAGGGTCATGCTGGAGGTGGCGGCCTAGGTGGATTCGCGAGTTTCCTGCCAGGACAGCACGGCCAGCAACAACATGGTGGTAGTAATAGTCCATTCGGGATGGTGAGTAATGTGATAGGCAGTTTCACTGGCAGTGGGCAAGGTCATCAGCAAGGCGGACACGGTGGCTCTGGTGGTGGACTGGGCAGCGTTCTTCACGTTGCGGAGCAGTTCCATATTCCTGGCGCTCAGAGCGCAGGGAAATATTCCAAGTACCTAGGCGGGTTTGGTGGTGGTGGTGGTGGTGGTCATAGCGGCAAGCGAGGTCTTGACGATGGCGACGATGGACCAGATGGACCAGATGAGTTTGCAGCCTTCGCTGGGGCCGAGGTCGGGAGCGGGAGGGAACTACACGAGGCTGCGATGTCTAGTGATGCCAGGGCACCCAGCGCAATGCCTATGCAGGCACCCAGTGGTTATGAGCAGTACGGCTTGCAGCCTGGAGCGGAAGAAGGCTATGGCCAAGGCGTGTATCAGTACCAGACGAATTATCAGGATCCGTATCAGTACGGAGGTCCGGGTCAGGGCCAAGGACAGTACGGCGGCGGCGAGAGTCAAGGGTATTATGGCGGGCGTTGAGATTGTCATCAAAACCGCAGAATTTGGCATTCGTGGCCAGGAGCATAGGAGAGAACGACGTGAGATGCCCTCGGTCGGCGAAGGCTGATGGTTGATGACCCCGACGTTACGAGCTGATTGTTAGTTGTCACGTAGACTGAGAGCTCCAGATAACAACCGTCGCCATACGACTGTGGTGAGCAGTCGAGTTGCATTCCTTATGAGCAGAGCAATAGGCTCAATGGGCAATCTCTCAACTCAGCGTTTCTATCTCATTTCTCTTCAATGCCTCGACATTGTCACTCCCAGCTTGCCTACCCAGGCATAACCGAGCCGAGTGGGCAGTTTCCAAAGACTGGGCTACCCAATAGACCCACCTTGCCCTCGCCTATCTCATTCTCTGATGACTACCTCAACAAGTCCATATCCACGGGCATCGCACGACCAAGCCGTAAAGCCAGTCCGTTCCCAAGCGGCCAGCGATGCCAGCCGTCCAAGTCACGCATCATTACCAACGCTCTTCACCGTCTCTCCTGAATTGTCATTCAGACGCCCAGTTCCAGCCCGCCTTGCCTCGTTGTATGCATCCATGACACACCCTCAATGCCAGGCCCTTTCTTTCTCTTCTCTCTGGCCGTGGCCGCCTTCATACTCAGTCCGCCAGGTTCAAGACGTACTACCTAGGTACGTACTTTATTGCGCTGCACCGAAATCCACGTCGTCACGCAACAAAGCAGCAGCACCTAGCATATCAGCAACCTCTTCCAAAATCCTGCTCTTCCCCTCGCTTCCCTTAACCTCCCTCTCATAGCATGCACTCAAGTCTTCAATCTGCCTCCTTAGCGAATCCAAGGTGCCTATCAACTTCTCATTATCCATGGCAATAGTGTGAGTGTATCTCTCCATCGCCGCTATGTATGGAAGAACGGAGGACGTGATCCAGCGGTACATTGCGTCGGCGTGAGTTGAGAGAGTTACGTGCGTGGTCGAGCTGGGCGGGAGGAGAGCCAACTCGGTGAGGTGAGCGTGCCATGAGAGAAGGTCGGCTTTGTTCAGCTCGAGAAAGAGCGTTGTCGGAGGACTTGCCAGAGGGTTGCGGTCCCGGTGAGAACTTGAAGCTGGTGGGTTGAGGTCGGGGACGGGGATGGGGACGGTTGAGGTGAGATGAGTGTGAGTGTGAGTGCTCTGCTTTGCGACGTTGTTCGACTCGTCTGAGACGGGATGAACAGATGATGCCGTCGTCGAAAAGCCTCGGTCGTCTTCCGACGTGGTTCTTCTAATCATCGTCACCTCACTGTTGGAGTCATTCAGTTTTCCATCACAACACGCCAAAGCAGAATCAACACCGATCATCTTGTGCCATTGCTGCTCATTGTCGGTTTCGGTTTCGATCAAAGTGCTTCCGTCGAGATCGGTCAAGTCATTGCCACCCACAACAGCTGAGAGTTCGTCTTCGAGCGTCCTGCGGCGGTGCAAGAATGGCGAGGTGTGGTCTTCGATGAGGTTGGTGCCTCCATCGTCAGCTTCTTCATGCTGAACATAGCCGTGGTCAAGCTCTTCGTGAGAATCGTGTTGTGAGGGCGAGCTGGTGGCGATCCCACGTCCGCCGTTGACGTCGGAATCGATCAGTATACTCTCACTGGGATCGAAGACTGTGCTTGCATTGAGGGCGAACGGCTCGTCTTCGAGAATCTTGCGGCGCTGCATCGAGGGCTTCGTTGGGTGGTGTGTGAGATCGGCGACGACATGGCCTTGATTTGGGGGCTGATGCTGCTGATCTTCAACATGGGAGTGTTCTTCACCACGGCCTTGAGCGAGCACAGGCTCACGCACAAACGGTTGAGAGGGCACCGTCGATCTGCTGGTCATATCGGGCTTTCCGGCTGTGGAGGTTGTGGGTGAGATTGGCTATTGTCAGGTCGGCAAGTGACCAGTATCGAGCGTGAGAGAGAGGTGGTGCCTCCTCGTAGAGCCGTAGAGTAGAGACTTTTAATAGCGAGCGAGTTGGAGTGGTAGAAAAACAGGTCGAGAAATGGGAACGTGAAACACGGAATGCCTATATGTAGTCTGCAGCCAGGCGACCAAGTTAGATCGAGACTCGATGTTAGATGGGAAAGTATAGATCTGAATGCTCAAATCTCCCTGCGAACCCGAGAGTAGGGTTCGTAGAAACAACAGCGACAGATCGACGGAGGGTGGAAAACATCAGCGAAATTCGCCCACTCAAAACACATAATATACAGTCGTATACTCGCCTCATCTCGTATGCATCTCAACGCCATATCTTTCATGGTCGACAATATCAACACCCCCTGTCTCGGTCCCGTCCAGGATCTCATGCTCGTTATGATAATCATCAGCAAAATCATGTCTGCTCTCATCTCGAGTCACCCTAACCCAACCATTCGCGGTGCGAGGGCTTAATCTCAATTTTCCTTGTGATAAATTGTTGATCTTGTCAGCGATATACTCGCCAATCTTGGTGAGCACGTCGGCGAAACGCTCGTTTTGCCCGTTCGAATCGTCCCTGAGGGCGGCTGCATGCTCTTGGGCTTCGACCTTGAATTGGTATTTCAAGCAGTCTTTCACAGTGACAAGACCTTCGAGACGACCGTGATGTTCGACAAGGATTACCCGCGGGCCCATTTTCTTGAAGAGCTCCATGACGGTTTCGAGAGGTAGGCGAGGATGCACGGTGATCGGGGTCGAGTCGACGAAGGTGCTGAAATCAACGGTATGTAAGGCTATGGAGTCGAATGTGACTGTTGGACTGAGTGGTGCTAGTGTTTCTGCGCTGTCGTCGCGTTCCATGGCGAAGGTACATTTTGCATCTGGTGCGAGCATGCCTTGCTTTTTGGCTCGGTCGATAGCGAATTGAAGCTCAGTACGTCCGATGTACCCGATCAAGATCCTGGCGTCTTTGTCTTCAACGATAGGAAAGCCGGAGTACGTCGTGTCATTGAGTAGCTTTTGTACGGCTTTGACTTCCATACCTGTCGCGAAAAGCATACTGATGTTTCCGGTCATTACCTGCGACACGGAAACGCCAAAAGTATGTTCCTCCTTGTTATCGAGAAATGGGAAGCCGTTGAACCATATCATTTGATCGGCGATGCCGGCCTTGCTGAACCTGTCACCTACGGCTTTTGTGACGCCCACCACGATCATAGTAGGCAGGATGTAAGTCAGAGCTCCTGTGAGTTCGAACATTATGACTGTGACGGAGATTGTCAGGTGCATGATCCCGCTGAGAGCAGCTCCGGCGCCTAGGAAAGCGTATGTGCCAGGAGTGATGCAGGGTACGTCTGGTTGACATGCTGAAAAGAATCGAGAGTCTGGAAATGATTCATGCAGCCACTGAACGATGATCCCTAGCATTCTTCCGAACGAAGCGCCGATCGCCATTGATGGCACGAACTATTTCTGTCGTTAGCACCGAAAGACACACCGGGAAACGGGTTCTCTTACCGCACCGCTTGGTACCTTGCAGCCATAGGAGACGATGAAAAGAAGAGTTCTCATAACAGTTGCAGCCGCCAAAGACGTAATGAGAGACCATCTGTTTCGCCTATCGCAAAGCCCATCATAATCATAGTCACCCTCGCATTCTCGGAATAACGTCTCCATCATCTCAGTCATATCGATCCTGAGGAACATGTTCGGGTAGCATAGAAGAGCTGTAGCCCCAGCAAGGATTACAGCTTCCGGGATGGCGTATTTCGACAGGTACTTCTTTCGGAATGCTTGAGCTTTGAGGTTCCAGTTGATGACGAAGGCGCCATACAGCCCACCAAATATACCCAGAATGATGTAGAAGACAATCTCAAAAAAATGCCAGTCTCTGTCGTACTTCACTGAGAACATGACAAGTTGACCTGTTCGGAAGGGGTTCATGGCACTCAGAACTGCCGTCGCCACAAGAGCACAAAAGTAACTCCGCCATAGTGTTTTGAGTGGAAAGTGTGAGGCCATTTCCTCAAGCGAAAACAAAACTCCGCCAATGGGACTTCCAAAAGCCACCGCCACTCCTGCTCCTGCTGTCGCTGTCAGGATCTCTCGAGTCTTGGATGCGCTCCGTTTGTATTTGTCGAAGAATCGCGAGATGACATTACCAACGCAGACCGCGTAATGTACACTTGGGCCTTCTTTGCCGACAGACAATCCTGAGGCGATGGCCAGAGGTAGACAGATTGACTTTATCAGGAAGGTCCAGAATCCGAGAAAGCCTTTCATGATGAATCCAGCAATGATGCATTTGATCTCTGAAATTCCCGAACCGGCAGCATAGGGAGCGTAGTTTTTGACCAGGTAGGCCGATAGGAAGCACAAAAGGACGGCAAAGATGGCGTATATGAAGTAGTTGGCAATGCCAAATGAGCTCCACCTCTTCCATTCATCACATCCTTCCTCGGAGCCAAAACAGCAGAAGCCCTCATTGAGATACCAGGCAGTTGTGCAGTAGCCCATCTTGATATCTGACAGCCATTCTGTAACGATGCTCAAGGCGGCAGCATTGAGGCCGATAACAACGCCGACCAGTGTTATGACAATCCATGCTTGAGCCGCATCGTAGGATTCCCAAAGTCTGCGGCGCCATCCTAGAACTCCATCTCTTTCGAAGAATCTGGACTCTTTCCGCCTGGCGCGTCTCCTCACTTGTGCTTGAGCCGCATCTTGAACCCAATCTATCGTCGTGAAGTCTTCATACCTTTTTATTTCTGCAATCTCTTCGGTGATGGCCTGTTCCGCCGGCGTGATCTGAGGGATGGGCTCTCCATGTTCGAGACTGGAGACTGTAGACAGGCGCCTCGATAGACGTCGGCCGGAGTAGGAGGGTCGACCAGAGGAGGTGGCAGCAGCAGCGGACGTGGAAACGCGCGAGGTCATAACATCGGATGATCTATCATGGTCGTAACGAGAGGTAGTCTATAGACTCTTCGCACGCTGGTGTGTTGGAGTGGAGAGTGCTAGAGTGCTAGAGTCGGCGAGATGAACTGTCCTCCGAATTGGGAGCCGTTCCCATTTCGGGACGTGCCCAGAACAGTGACATATCAAAGTCTCGACGCGACTTTCTGTCGATTTATTGTTGCTACTTTGAGATTATATCAAAAGCAACATTGGACTGTCATTCTGAGCAGTCAACAACGCGTCAAAAAACACATTCCCGACTACCGATTTCCGTGATCTTGTACACACTACGCTGGTGCGCGACTCGACATCTGGCACAGGCGAGTCTCATCCGGACACTTTTGTGCCTCATTGGGCGGCTACTGGACTCATTACTTGTGCCGGAGTCGAAACAGGAGACTTACTGCACAGGATCTGGTCTGACATTGTTCGTGCATCCCGACACTGACCGTGGCAAGACGCGATGCCTTACAACAATGCGCCTATTGAGCCACCGGACGAGATCACTGGCTCGTCTGTTCTTCCTCGTCAGTCACTGTTCAATGGGCTCTGTGCTCTGTGCTCTGGGCACTCTCCACTAACACGGACCAGTTGCGCGCGTAAAGAAGATCATTGCCATGGACGAAGACGTGGCTCAATGCTCCACCACGGCAGCTTTTGCGATATCAATAGCGACGGTAGGCTATGTGGGCAAAGGTACCTTTACTCAGGATGCTGAACGGAATACAGGAAGAATTCATCCGCTACTTGGCCGAACAGTCACACAATGTCGTGAAATCCGAACGAAAACCGCGAAGGAATATCGCGTATAAAGACATTGGTAGGGGACTACCCTGGCATTGTGCCAATTACCTCTAACTTTTTTGCGCAGCCACAGCAATATCCAGAATTGACAATCTCGAGTTCTTGTCAGACACGGTGCCAAAAACAAAGACGTATCGACAGTTTCGAGAAGAAAAGGCTCAAGAAGCTGCAGCAAAAGCAGCCTCATCAACAGCAGCCCCGGTGAATGGAGTCAATGGCGAGAGTGGCTCTGTATCAATAGAAGCCATGATGAAGAATCAGCAACAGAACGGGGTCAATGGAGCTAATGGGTCTTCGAACGATATGTCGGGTAGTCCTATTGCTCACAGATCAGTTCATTCGCGGAATCATAGTCATCCAGACCCAATTCGAGACATTGAGATGACTGACTGAGCCGAATTGGTGGAATGCAATCATGTTGCGAGCCTTTTCATTACCGGAACTCAAAATGTATTGTACTTATGTCAGTGGATGAGGAATGACTGTATCATGGCGATCGTAACAAAAGCAAGGCTGGATGACCATTGTTGGCTTTAGGTCGTCCTCAATATCATTTGACGCTCAACTTGCGCTGACTCACTGGGAGGACGCACGGCTAACGGGCTTAAAGCCCTTTTGAGCCTGCGAGGTTATGGTAGAACAGCTGCTGGTAGATAGGTCTAGTATAAGAAGACTGAGGTACAACCAAAGGTCTGCTGAGTATCGTCGTGGTCGAAGGAGCAGTCGAGGCAGTCCACCAGTCCTGGCGAGTTCAACCAATCACGACAGACACATAAAATCATTCACGCTAAGCCCCATTTGGGACTGCACCTTCTGCGACTTCCATCACAGCATTGAACAACCTCAATTCCTAGCTTCCACCTCCTCAAACAAAAGGCCTCTCTGCTCACCACTCCTCACAATGCGGCCAGCCTCAACCTCCGCCGGCGCTGCCCTGCGCAACTGGACCCGACACCCCCTCCCTACTTCGCCATCCTCGTCTTCCCGTCTGGCCGCAGCCTCCGCCACTACAGCTTCATCCCCGAACTCACAGCGACGGCTACAATCCAATGAACCCAATGCCGTAGCGAGCTCGAGCTTCCATAGTCCTTTCACTGCCCACAGAGCACCCGATAAGAAAGACACCACCCAGATTCCCAGCTTCAAGGCCTATGCCTCGCCCCGATCTGAAGTCACGAACCGGGTTTTCCAATATTTCATGGCCGGCTCGATGGGTCTGCTCGCAGCAGCGGGTGCAAAAAACACTGTGCAGGGTATGCAGACTACATCCATGAGCTTCTGCGGTCAATTGTGACCATGAAAAAGATGAAGATGGGCTGACAAGACGGCCTTGCACAGATTTCCTAGTCAACATGTCCGCATCCGCCGACGTCCTGGCCATGGCCAAAGTTGAGATCGACCTTGCTGCTATCCCGGAGGGCAAGAACGTCATTATCAAGTGGCGAGGCAAGCCTGTTTTCATCCGTCACAGAACGGAAGATGAGATCAAGGAGGCCGAATCTGTCAAGTATGCCTATACCACTCCACTAGTTCTGGCCTCTGCCGCGTCCACATTGCGATGCTGATATTCTTCCCAGTCTTTCCATCCTCCGTGACCCTCAAAAAGACGAGGACCGTGTCAAGAAACCCGAGTGGCTCATCATGTTGGGTGTCTGCACACACTTGGGTTGTGTCCCGATTGGTGAAGCCGGTGATTTTGGTGGTTGGTTCTGCCCGTGCCACGGTTCGCACTACGATATCTCTGGACGAGTGAGAAAAGGTCCTGCCCCGTTGAACTTGGAAGTACCCGAGTATGATTTCCCTGAGGAAGACAAGCTCGTCATCGGTTAGACGCGATTCACTACTGGTTGTACGTCGGTGGGAGGGTTAGCGGAGCTGAAAGCTTGATCGGCTGATACCCGTAAAGACTGCAGCGTGAGCACTGTACACATTAGAGAAGGGCGAGTCTGATGCCGTTGTTCGAGGTGCCGAGGTGGTCGAGACAGAAAAAAGAACAAATACCAAATACCAAAAGACCTAAACATGTAGCCGATACTGTCGAGTTGCTCATTTTGTCGGAGTTGTTTCTTGACCATCGTGCAATAGCCAGATACGCCTTTTTCTGATGGCCTCTGCCTGAAGCCAAAGAAGCTCGCAGCACTACCCTTAAATCAGACAATGTCTACCCAAGCAAATCATTTCTAATCAGACTTCAGTCCAAGCTGAATCACGCTCTTGCTTTTGGTAGCTGCACTAATACCTGGATTGTGTAGTTGATATCAGTCTGCAAGCTGTATTCTCATATCTTACAAGGTATATACAAAGGTCAGACAGCTCGCGTTATAGGCGAGGTGTGTGCGTGAAAAGGCTTGACGCTCGCAGAAGAGACTAGAGCACCAAGATGCAGGTTCGTTCATCTTGGCCTCAAGAGCACAAACAGCAATCCCATCAGAGCCATACCACCAGCGACACCTTCCATCGCCACTGTGGTCAACTCGCGCTGTGTGAGTGTGACTCTCTGCTGCTCGCTCCATCTTGTGCGGATCGCATCCTCATACCATGCCAGTGGTGAGTTAGGAGATGTCCAGCGCGATTCTTCGGGAACCTCCATCGCTCTTACTGGAGATGGAGGCGGGATTGGCTCTTCTGGCACAACGGTCTCTGGCGCGCCACGACTAATTTCCTCCGCTGCAATCTCGTTGCTAGTCACCTTCTCAGCTGCCTCTTCTATGACACCCTGGGACACGACAGGCTCAGTTTGGTCCGTAGTCGTCCCAGATACGGCATCGACAATCTGCTCCGCTATATTATCCGCGACGGCGTCGACTTTCTCGCCCGCGGACATCACTGTCGCCGCGCCCGTCTGATTCGGATGCACAGCGGGCATTGCGGCGACGGATTTCTCTTCCTGCCTCTCTTTAAGCGCGAGCTCGACCTTCTCTTCGAAGCCCTTGACGAGCCGTTTCCGCCGCCACGGCTCAATTGCAATCTGGAAGACAACGAAGAGCAGCACGTTCAGGCCCATTAGGCCCCACGTCCCCCATGTGGACATTTGCCGTATCTTGTCGCTCCATATCTGTTCTTCATGATACCGCGCCAGTATTGCCTTTGCAAGTTTTGTCGAAGCCTCTTCGTACCGTGCTTCGGCGTCCTGGACGTCTTTCTGCGCCGCGGCCTCGGCTTGCTCATTTGCGTGGTCCGATCGGTATAGGCTGGTAAAGCGCTCGAGGTCCGTCGCTGACCATGTGTGCTTGCGGTGTAACAGGTCATTTACTTCACGTTGCGTCTGGCTCCGTGTGGCTATGGCGTCACTGTACCTTGAGCGGGCTTCTTTAACAGCGCGGCGAGACCCTTGGACAACGGATTCTTGGTGTTCGATCTCGTTCTTGAGCTCTTCGATTCCTGAGTACCCTGTCAGGTCGTTCAACCGCCTAGATGCCACAAAGACGTGCGTTTGGAAATTGTCCATGAAATCTGAAAAGCGTTTCCGCATTTGAGAGTAGCGGCCGGAGAAGTCGGATGGTAAGGATCTATCGGTAGAGGCAGGTTGGTCTTGAGGCTTTTGAGCTGCTGTTTCCTCTCCGGTGGATGTATAGACAATCGAGGACGACTCTGGTATTGTGTGGACGATGGTCTCATCTCGAGCGTTTTTGAGCTTCTTTCCACCCTCGGCAGCTTGGTCTGCTCGAGCATCGAGGCTCTCTTCTATCCTGCTCTTTGCGTCTTCCACTTTTCGGTCGACTTCGGGCTTGCTGTCGCTATAAAATCGAACTGGGACACCTATCCTCGGCCTTGAACATGTCCATCGCTGCGGGGGCTGTCGCACCACCGAGGAAAATTGGCGAGTAACGGGTCGAGGAGCTGGCTTCGCAGCTCGAAAAGCAGTCCATATCGTCTGAGACAGCCGCAAGGGAGCTTGCTGCATCTCGACCACAGCACTCTACACGCCAGACGGAGAGACTCCCAAATGCAACAGGAGCTGCTCGACTCTCCGAAAATCGCAGCTTCATTCACCTATTCACCTTAGAGCCGCATTAAGGTACCATTATTGGCGAGGAAGGTTAACCGATCCCGACCCGGAGATGCGGCCAATCTGTCGCGGACGTCATTTTCTTGGGATACCCAGTCACGTGCCCAGTTCAGGCAATGACGGGCACCTTCCCGACTCTCCGACTTCCCGCCCGAAAAATATCTGAAAGAATTGGGTCTTCAGTGTTGGCATGAATTCATGTGCTGTGTTGTTGTTCTGATTTCTTTTGGTAGAGCTGTTCTCCTGTAGACTTGTTCTGTTCTTCCATTATCGTCGTCCCTTTCCAGTAACACAAATTCTCTGACCTGGTCCGGCTTCGCTTCATTCGGCCCGCCCATTTTCCCATCATGCCCTTCCCAGAGACTCTCAACGCGAAGCCCCGCGTAATCTTCTTCACCGACTTCGATGGGACCATCACCCTCCAGGACACCAATGACTTTATCACGGACAACTATGGCATGGGCTACGCCGAACGACGCCAGCTGTTTCACGCTGTCATCGACCAGACTGATACCTTCCGCAATACATTCCAAAAAATGCTCGATTCGTGGAAGATGCCATTTCCCCAAGTCCTTGACATCCTGCGCGAGAACATCTCTCTCGACCCATATTTCAAGGACTTCATGGTCTGGGCTCGGTCCCATCACGTCCCTGTGATCGTGCTCAGCTCGGGTATGATTCCTGTGATCGAGACTCTCCTGAAGCACTTGCTGGGTGAGGAGCTGATGCAGGACATCGAGATTGTTGCCAACGAGACACAACTTCGCGCTCCTGGCAACTCGCTCGACAAAGCGGATGGCTGGACCATCAAGTTCCACGACGACTCGGGCTTTGGGCACGACAAGTCCTTGACAATTCGGCCATATGCAGATGCAATCGCCAAGATGCCTCATAGCGAGAGACCAACGCTCCTTTATGCTGGTGACGGGGTAAGCGATCTCAGCGCTGCACGAGAGACGGATTTGCTATTCGCACGAGCGGGCCAGGACTTGATCACTTACTGTGAGCGCGAAGGCATTCCTTTCACCGAGTTCGACAGCTGGGAGACGATTCTTCAGGAGACGCAGGATATTTATGACGGCAACACCAGTGTGAAGAAAATTGCCGAGGAAGGCCTAAAGAGGCACAGGACAAATTCGATCGAGCAGGGCGAGCATATGCGGCCGACGACTCACTAGTTGCTGGACGGTCAAGTGTTCAATGGTGGCGATCGTATTTTCGGGCAGTCAAAGCATCAGTCGGCGTTCTCAAAATATGAGATGCAGGGAACGATCCTATAGACAGCGACATGGATAGAAAGGCACGAACGCAAGAGGGTGCTGACATAGACATATAGATACATAGACCTACTGCAGCCAAAGGGTATGGCGTGTATCCTGTGGCTGCGGACCACTATATTCGGGGCTTCCGGGCGCCTTGGGCCACAAGGACGACTTCGAGGTCCAGAATCTGATCTGTTCTGCCAGTGACAACTTGGAAGATATACAAAAAAAACCGTGTGCAGATATGGACATGTCTTGCCGTCCATTGTAGCATCGTGCTCAACGGCTGCAACGCTACTCCCAAAAAACATCAAATCGCCTGCACTATGCATTATTGATGACCACGGCCAATTCCGGTCTCCGTCTCCACATTGAAATCAATGGTCTTCCTCATACTCATCCAAAGCCTTCCTCAATCCAGCTTCATCCCTCGGCACCAATCTCACGGTATACCGCTTGGGCACACTGACAAGCTGCGTGGGATCAATGACGCCCTTGACGGGATGGGTGTTCATCTCGCCGCCATCCAGAGCCTTGACGTCTGTGATCTCAAACGCACTCAGTAACCGCAGATAAATCGTATACATTTCCCGGTTCGCCAGCAGACTCCCCGCACACATCCTATAGCCCAGTCCGTAGGTGAACATGGGCGCGTCGGGCTGCTCCAGCCAGCGCTCCGGCCTGAACACCTCCGGGTCATGCCACACTTCGTCGTCCATGTTACACGCCCACGCGTTCAAGAACACCACGCTACCGGCCGGTATCGTATGCCCGTTGTACACGATGTCCTTGACTGTCGCGCGCGGCAGAGCGAGTCTGAGTACGGTGTAATACCGCAACAACTCGCGCACGAGGGCCACGATGTACGGTATACTCTGGTCGTCGTTGGCGTCGCACAGGATTTGGTCGTCCGGATAGACGGCGCGGATCTCCCCCAGCGCCTTCTGTTGGATCTCCGGCCGCTGCGCGAGCAAGGCCATGCTCCAGGCGACGAGCGTGGTCAGCGTGTCGAGACCGCCGGATAACATGGTCAGACTGATGGATACCAATTCTTCGTGGTTCAGTTTCGCCTCCTTGTCCAGGATCACATTGGCCTGGATACACGGCTGGTGCGTGCCCTTGGCCATCCGGTCGTCGAGATCGTCGTTCAGCTTTTTGAGATATACATCCCTTCGTCGGCGCATGTCCTTCGCCTTGGCTTTTCCCGTGCTGAACGGGTTCAGCCGCAGGAGCGGGATGTAGTCCTGCAGATTGCCCGTGGTGGAGCGGAACTTGGACACTTCCTCCTCGACGTGGGTGATCTCGCCGAACAATTCATCGTTCTGACTCGCCATGCGCGTGCCCCAGTTCAGGGTGAGCGCCAGGGACAGGCTGAGACGCTGGATCATGGGCATCGGATCGACGGACTTGCGGCCGCCGTCGCCGTACGTGAGGAACTCGTTCAGAAAGTCGCGCGTCTCGACGTCGATGTGCGGGATGTACGTCGCGACGCTGGGCTTGTTGAGCGCGCTGGCGGCGCCTTTCCTCCGGCGCTTCAGGCTGTCGGTGAACGGCGAGGTGCCGATCGTAGTGCCGGCAGTCGAGCTGACGACTTTGTGGAATGTGTAGAATTCGGGTCGCGAGGCCAGCGCTTGGGAGTTGGCGCCGAAGATCTCGCGCGCCGACTTGGCCGAGTTGACCACGATGACGGGCACGTTGCCCAGCATGATCTGGTAGACGGGCCCGAATTTCTTGGCCCATTGCCGGTATTGCTCTGCCGCGTTGACGCGGATTTGGTGGATGTTCCCGATCATGGGGAGTCCTGAGGGACCATTGAAGCCTGGTATTCGGACTCGGGATCGTTGGAATTCAGTGAAGACCAGGTATAGCAGTGCGGAGGCCGCCGCGAAGTAAGCCAGGAATGAGAGTGGGGAATTCTGGGCCGTGCCCACGATGATTGAAAGGGCGTTGTCGATCATGTTGTGATGCTGGACTGGCTGAAGGGAATAGAAACAAGGAATAAACAACTGTATAGGAAAAGGAGGTTGTGATATGTACAGTTCAAGGGACAAAGAAAATGGATGGATGGACAAGGTGATATAAAGATCCAATTCCGGCGTTCCATATGAGGGATTGGGGAAGTATGGGGAGATGGGAGTCGATTCATTTGCCGAATCCTTGCATGCCATTCCGCCGTTCATGGAGAGCGGAATTATCACCGCTTCCGTGGTAGTTTTTCCCATGTGCAGGAATCCTCAAGTCTCCTTGCAGGCGATTGGTTATACGGAGAGGATAAGTTTCTGGGTCATCGTTGGATTCAGGAACTCAACCACATGGCCCTTAAGACGCCGCGCACATGAACGAAGAGACTTTGACCAACTCATTTCGCTTTTCGACCTTTTCTCGACCCAGGAGTAGGTTCCTTCTTGCCCGTCGAGGGCACAGCACCATCAGCAGCAGTCGTATCCTCATTCTTCTTCTTGTTCTTCTCGGCCTCCTTCTTCGCCAGAGCTCGTTTAACTGCACCTTCTTTCTCCAGCTGCTCAATCTGTTTCTCGCTGAATTCCCAGAGCCTCTTTGCGACCTCTTCGTTCTTGACTTCAGGCCTGAAGGGTTCAAGCTCTCGACATTCTTTGATCATCTTCCCGCCGGCGCCTCTTGCATATTCAGCTTCCATCGCCGCTAGGAGATAACTCTGAGCACCTTGGAACGGGGATTTGAGAACAAGCCACCAGAAGGGCCATGTAACGAGATACCAAAGCAGTCCCCATACCAGACCCCCTGACAGCCATCTTCGTGTCCCCGGAGTTCGACAAAATCCCGGGTCAATGATGAAAGCTCTGGCATTGTTGGTCGCATTGTCCGGCCTCTTGTACGAGTCGAGATGTTTCTGGAAAGCATACGCGAACGTCATGGTCGCCAATTTACTCCGCGCATAGGAAGAACTGCCAGACTTTGTGACAGACTCGGTATCCTTAAGGTCCAGCTTCCCACCAATATAACTGCTGCACGTGCTGAACAAGATTCTCACATCTCGGTCCGGTGGCTGCGCCCTTATAGCCGGCGATAGTATACTTAGGAGGTGGAAGGTGCTGAGATAGTTGATCATCCATTCCGCTTCGAGCCCGTCTTTCGTCTTCTGCCCAGTCCCGAAGTATGGTGTCATCACATTGGCACAGAGAATGATCATGTCCAGTCGCCGCGGCGGTGCGTTGTCCACCCACTTCGTCGCAAAGAGTCGAATGGAATGCAGGGACGACAGGTCGACCTGCTCGGCGTATATCAACTCATTGTTCGTCACGGTCCGGAGGTCTTCGATGTAGTCCACCAGAAACGGATCGGAGGGCGCATGGTGCGTGAGCAGGATGATCTGGGCGCCTCGTGTAGCTAGTTCTTGCACAACCGCGGCGCCGACACCTGATGTGCCTCCCTAATCTCATCAGTCGAGGCCTTCGTATGAGATCAGGGAATACACATACCGTGACCATTACAACCTTTCCATGCATCACCCGTTCGGCACGACATTTCGCTCCGCCAAAGTACAGCTTCAGCAGTGTAATCACGCCAATGACCACTGCACTTTGAAGAATGGTGGATAAGTACGGGATACTGGACCATCCTCGCCCAAAGCCCTCCGCCAGCAGAGGGATAGGCATAGTGTCGCTGGTCGAAGTTTACAAATGGGAGACTACCGTATGTGGTCTCTGTCTTGCGAGTCAGAATAATTTCAACAGAGCAGACCGTGAAACGCGCCTATCGCAGTGTCCGGCGACCGGTTTGTGCCTGGACGGAATTTCTTCTTCGGTATGACGCCAGACCCACCATCTCATCTCGTATATTTACTTTCTCTCATAATATTCGCAGATCTCCTCAAGCAACCCGATGACTCCCTCTTGACCGAGTTCCGTGGCAACAATGTCAGATGAAGAGGAAGACAAAGACTACCACCTCCCGCTACAAGACCAACGCGTCTTCGGCGCCGGCATCAAACGCAAAAGAATCGCTTTCGTGCCCGCCTCGTCAACCGAATCCTCTCTACCTTTCACAACTGATTCACCAAAATCAGACATTGCATCGCGCTACCTCGCCATAGTCCTGCCCAAGGTTTCTCAGTCTCAGTCTCAGTCTCCGTTACAAACGCCTCGGCCCCCTGAACGCTCTTCCTCGGCGCCTCCGGCTTCCACTTCCACTTCCACCGGCCAAATCTGCTCAGTCTGCCATCAGCCCGTCGTCGCCTCCACAGACAAACACGAATCCTCGCTTGCGCACCAACTATGCCTCACACACGTCAACCCACCTTCACACCTCGATCGTTCGCACGTCGGGCTTCGGTACCTTACCACGCATGGCTGGGATCCAGACAGTCGACTGGGTCTCGGCGCAAGGCAAGAAGGCATCCGTGTCCCCGTCAAGCCCAAGGAGAAGCACGATACAGAGGGGCTTAGAGAGAGCTTACCCGACGATAGCAGGACCATCAGGAAGAAAGCTACACCGAGAAAAGAGGACAACAAAGTCGTCAAGCTGAATGCGAAACAAATCAGGGTCCAGGATACGGAGGCGAAGAGAAGAGCGGACAGACTAAGACAGTCGTTCTATGGGCCTGATCTGGAGAAGTATCTTGGGCCGAACAGCTGAATCTATGTTGATCCTGTGCCACAACCACAGGCTCGTGCGAGTGCGTAAGGTATATCCACGCTATGCTGCAAAAACCTCATACCGGCTACAAAGCCTACATGCCTATCCACAACCTCTGGCTGATGCCTACATGTCAACGCCGACGCCACGCTAAGTCCAGTCAAGTCAAGCCAACAGGCATCCAATTCTACTTCCCATGAAGCATGCGCTAATGCTTCTTGAACAAGCCCAGATGGTGCTTCTTCTCCTTCTTCAGCTTGCCATGACTGTCGCTCGACGTCGAGGGAAACTGATACGGCGCCGGTGCTGGGCTCGGCTGCTGAGGCCGCGACGGGACCGTCCCCACGCCTGGACGTACACCGTTCTCCGATCTCCCACCACTAATATTCATCCGCTGCATCGCTTCTGTCGGCGGCCTCATGTTATCAGGCGGCCTAGTGCTCCCGTTTGGTGCTTGTGGCTTCGGCTGCAGCGCCTGCGGAGGCGGTTCGGACATCCAGGCTGGTAACTTCGGCTGCGCTCGGTCGACAGGGAGATCTAGTTGCTTTCTCCCGGAACTGAGGAGGCTCACCTGTCTCAGAAAGTTTTTGGGTGTGATCATGTGTGTCGTCGCCAGGAAGATTTCCTTGCCAGCCAGGCGGGATACTTCGTAGCACGCGCGTGCTTCGGCGTACGTGGCGCCGCCGCCCATGAATACAATGATGCGTTGACGAGGTTTGTTCGATTGAGAGCGTGTCTGTGCCCAGGTGGGTTTTCCTGCGTTTCTGAGTGACGTTTGAGATACCATGACCTGGCTATTTGGGTCGTTGAGGTGAGGTTTGAGCGGCGGGAACACGGTCTGGTCCAAGGTGCCCTGGCACTGCTCTTCGAGCATGTATCTTAAGGCAGGTTCAAACCTTGACAGACTGACTTCTTCGTTATTGTTGTTGATTTCTCGTTGGCGAGGTGGGAAGATCGGTGGGGGAGGCATGACCGTGTCTTTTAGTTGCTTCTCGACCCTGGCGCCGAGCGTGATCAGGTTATAAATGATCTCCCCATCCATGGGAGATAGTTGGCCATGACAACGTAGTTTCTCAATATCGCCTCGCAGAACGCCATGTCTGTACAGTATGTACAAAATCAACAACCTGACCCGGTCTTCGTGGATGACACTATCATCGTCCAGTAGCCGGACAAGCTGGTCTGCCAAATTTTTGGGCTTCCTGTTGTCTTCGTCGGTTCCCGTAGACAGTGATTGTTCAACAGACACTACGTCTAGGAGTTTGTGGTCTGCAAAGATTTTGGCGCATCGTTCCGCCATGTCGATGTGCAAGGAGAACGCTTCCTTGCCTTCTTGGAACTCTGGGAGTCCCGCTAACATGTCCTTGATTGTATTGATGCTTGCAGGTTGGCCATCGTTGTCGGCGAATTGAGGGTTCTTCGCTTGAAACTTCCTGAACGCTTCACTGAGTTCCACGAGGAGATCCTTCATGTGCATGTGTCGGTGGGCGAGCCAGAGATTATCCTTGTCGGTGATCTCCACGTCTTTTTCTTCCTGGTCGGGTTGACCTCGTCTGATGATATTCCTGTATGTGATTTTATCCTCGTCGTCTCTGATGGGCAATAGGTCCATAGCCATTGCCTGATATGTCAGCTCGTGAACAAACGGAGACATCAGATCCATGGATCTGTCGGTGATCAGGAGCACGGCTCGAGGTCGGGTAGACTGGTTTTGTGGAGGGAAGTTGTTCCGTTCATCGCGAGCGTAGTTGTCCAGTGCCGCTTGCACAAAGCTGGCGAGATGATAACAGAGAACGTCTGCAGGGTGCCGCTCGCTTTCCCTGGGCTTGTAGAACCTGATGAGGGGGTATTCTCCGAGGGAGACACATATTGAAACAATCTTCTGAGTCAATGCGTCCAGATGGTTCTTAACCAGACCGTCGCAGGCCGGGTGGAAGAGAAGATGGAAACTCCATGGCTCTCGAAAGGTGATTAGGTTCGACTCTCGAGGGAAGAATTCGATGTTCAGTGTCCGGTTCTCGGCAATGAGGCGTGCCCGTGATTCTGACCGGAAGATCTCTTCCCCCAGTGCACGTGGTAACTGTGATGTCCAGATCAGATGTGACCGACGATATCTTTTCCGACTCAAATCAGCCTTGAGGCATTCGACGATGTGTGGTTGTGGGGAGAGCAGGTAGATTGCGTCTGTGTCGGAGAGTGTCTGCCTGCGGTCTTCAAGCTGTTCGATGTTTGTGATGTTGGCGTTGAGGATATCATCTTCTCTTGTAACATTGTACACCAGCCGCTTGCTCTGTTCATCCAAGACCAATACCTTCCAGTCTCGTCCGCTGGTCGCCCGAAGGGTGTCTAGTATGATGCTTCGTTGGATATCAATGACGGAGGTGGCCATGGCGGTTTCGAGGCGGTTCGAGGTAGGACGGAGATCACATACTAGAAGGGGACGGAAGTCCAAACGGTATACGCTGCGGCTGCCCGACTCAGCCGCTTGACTTGGTGAACACAGGAGATAGGGAAGAGATGTTTCTTACAACAACTGTACACCTGTGAGTGCGATGCATGAGACCGTTGCAGCTGGTGCCCGAAGCGTGGGAGTGGATCGAGGGGCACTCCGCAGCCAATGATGCAGGCCGAAACTCTATTTTCCCACAGATAGAGCCTCACCAGCATCAGTGGGGAGCAACAAGCCTTTCCCTACCTGAAGTTAGTCGCTACGGGCATGATGGGGGTTAGACAAGCAATGACTGGCACCTAGACAATGCCTAGCGAGCCCGATCAACACGCCGGGACACCCCGGGACGCGCCGCCTATAACAAACTAGTCCCAAGTCTATCGTCATGTTTTCTTGGATACCTCGAGGCTCTCCAGGCTGCCTGCATCAACCCACGGTTGTGACACCGTTCGCGTGTTAAGTTCGTCCTCTGGTTCAGTACGCTCTATCAATACTAAATGAGTGCCCGTGCTTGTCCCTGTACATCGATCTTGAAAATGATGCAAGTCTAGCCCGGCCTTCTGGTTTGTGAAAGGTTCTGTCCTGATCTACCTTCGTGATCTACCTTTGTCGTCCAAAGGTTGAATCTAACAGTCACTGACAAAACTTCGGGTATCATAAGCGTCCATTCTGTATTCTCAAGCTCTAACATGATCGCTGAGCAGAAGAAAATATACAAGTTTTTATGGTGCTCTGTTTGGTTCGGTTACTCCGCCGTGTCCAGACCAACATCGGTTCTTGGGGTCTCTTGAAGGCCTGAAGAATGTATCTACTCCTTCGAGAGTCATGCGACCTCCCGGGACCGAGCAACACGCTTCGACTGGGATGTTGGGAGGCCAAGAAGAAATCGTGATGTTCATGTAAGTGGGTCCGGTATAATGCTATCAGTGCCTGCCACTGTTCGTTGGAAATGCTTGTTCCGTCCCAGAGCCACGATCCCATTTTGGCGCCGAAATGACATTTCCTTTGGCTTCTGTGACCCTAGTGAGCCTCATTGGAGCCTCTCTAACCCGACCGATGTTTGTCTCGGGGAACCTTTGGCTGGACTTGATGCACTGGACGGTGTTCCTTGCAGCACCCCTTCCCGACCACCAAACTGCACAAACTCCTCAATAATTGGTATTTGAACACCCAAAGCTGCCCGCTTATGGCCGCTGACCGAGGTGCAGTATCATGGCCTTCTTTCTTTTGGTCCAAAGCCTGGCCTGACCCACTGCATTGAGATGTCGAACACCAAGCACGCTATGTCTGCCTCTTTCCTCAACGCCTCTTTAGCCAGTGTAACGTAATCGATTCTGTAGTATTCCTTGTCCCTTCTTGAGGGGACTCCGGTACCATGGGAGGATCCCAGCTTCCATGCTGAGATGTGCATCGTCCCACGATGAGGTATAACTAATCCGACGTTTGAGGTATTCTTCTTGGTATGACATGTCACCACTTTGTGCGCCCGGTATAGCCTGCTGGCGGAGAACCGTCTTCGACCGATTCAACAATGGTCGTCCGTGAAGAGGGAGACTGCAGCGATTGTACCAGCCTTTTACTTGAGTTTTCTCTTAGACCAGGAGACGTTGGCATGTACTGAGAAAATCAAATCTGTGCCCAAGAGGAAATCGTATTCCATCTCTGCGTCCGGGACCACGTAGAATTTCGAGTGGAACATGAACCCTGGAGCGTCTGGGTGGAACATCTGAAGAACGATACTGCCCAGTACGTGCAGATATCCCGGGCTCTCCCCAATGCGCTGGAGCCCTTTGACGCGGTATTGTTGCCGTTTGGAGAAGTGCTCTGTGGGTATATATGTCTCTACGAGATCCTTGACCACCGACTCTCTGATCAAAGAGTAGCCCCTGGACACCGTGTCGACCAGTTCCTTGAATCCCTGTATTCCCTTGTCGCAAAGATTATTTGAGGGAACATGTACTTCGAATTGGATACCCCTCTGCACAAGTCCAGGATCTAGATCCCCTGTCAAAGGTACAAGGCTTCGAGGAGTGTAAGAGAATCTCTGTTGGACTATCAAGGGCTCTAGGGGCTAGTCCCCCTATATACATGTGTCCTGGGGGGTCGGGCAGTGATGTCAACGCTCCACCAAGCTCTGCCATCCCCGTGTATGTTGTATCTGAGGTTAGATAGAAGGGTACTTAAGGCCTTCCGATCTTCTTCGTTCGCGGGGAAATACTCGACGTAAGTAAGTCGTTCTTTGGCCGTAAGACGCCGGCGAAATCTGTCTTTGGCAAGCCCAGGAAGCCTTTTGAGCCATGTAAGAGAAGATTGGCAAAACACAGGGTGTGTAGAAACTTGATCATCGTTGGTTGACGTTGAACTCAGGGATCCGTGGCTTCTCTGCGAATCGGATAGGCTGGGGCGAGTAGAGCGGATCTGTCAACTGTCAGCGACATGCTGAAGAATGCCACCGGACGGAGAGTAGTGCAAGACGGGAACACACATCAGTCCTTTGCATATTCTCTGGTTCCACTTCTTCTTGAAGGTTGCCAGCAGACGCAGGGTCTGCTGCTCGGGCTGCAATGGTGATACCGGCCATCGTGGGGGTGTACGATGGCTTCGTCGAGTATTGGTCAACGATCCATGGTGAGTCTCAGTTGTGATCGCATACTTGGAGATGTCAGGTCTGGGTGTTACAGGTATAAGGAGAGGCAAGGAAACTGGATGAGTGGATGGGTGTTTCTACGTCAATGGAAATGTCGAAAAGGAAGAAGACCAGAGCGGGGCGTCTGAGATGTATAGTCAGCATGCGGTTGTTTGGCCGGATTAGTGTCGGTATCGCGACTTTGGCTTAATCGACGCCACCGGGTGACTCTCCCAACTCTCAATACCATCGCGCCCTGCCACCGGATACCCTGGGCTCGAAGCCTTAAAAGGACGGCTCAAAAAGGGTGCGGCTGCGATTGTGGCCATCGAGCGCATCGCCCAGCATGCCAGGTTCCTGCCAGGCGGACTCTAGATTGGCAATGACAATTTTGGGAATGCACATCCTCCAACCAGTGGAGTCCTATCCCGATCGAGTGAGAGGCAAAGCAGGTACAAGCCCAAATATTCCTTGAGACTGCGTAGCATATATCCCTCTGTCCGGAGAGCGCGAACCAGTCTGAGGCTCCCATATGCATGGCAAGTAAGCCCAGAGGATGAGGAAGAATGCCAAATGGTTGCCAACCTTGCTTGGAGCTTCAGCCCAACATGGACGTTGGAGAGTGGAGCGATATTAAAGCTTTATGATTGGCTGTAGTGGGGCAAGATGGAAGCTGCAGTTGTTGCATCCAATGTCGATGCTTCTGCTTTCCAAGCTTTACGAGCGATCTTTTCATGAGTAACCCCTGCAGAGCAGTGCCCCTATCCATTCTGCATACTTTTCCCACCTATCCTCATATTAGGGCGCCTTCCAGACTTGGACATCCTCACGCGCATCACATTTTGAGACACTCTGACTTCGGCTCAGCCGAGAGGTCATGTAAGTCAGCCTGACGAAGAAGCATACCATTGCACCTACCCACCACATAAGGTCCCGTTTCCGGCCCACGCACACTCAACGAAATTTTATCCCAGCGGCGCGTCAGATGTATTCCGTCCTGACAGATTAATAACTGAGTGGCGAACCGTTGAAGCGAACATAGCAGAAATCGTTATTTGCTCCAGCGTCACGACAACAATTTTCTTGCTGTGTCCCTCGCCCATCACATGACGACTGGGTCTCACGACTGGGTCTCATCAAAGGACAACTGGCTACGATGAGCTCTCTACCATCGTGGGCAGCTTTCCCGAATTGATGATCTTCCGGCGGTTGAGGTCGCTTGCCGCATAGGTCTCACTCTGCATGCAAGCTGACCTGCTCGATGTCGAGGATGACCTGTGCGTGATCAGGGAGATAAGGAGCTGGAAGACTCGACGGAACACGAGGTGTCTAGGTCCTGGGCACAAGCCAACGCTGCCACCTCGGAAGACGGTCGCAATCGGAGAGCACTTAAAGTGGCTCAGGCACAGAACAAGCTTGAAAAGTATTGTGAGTAATCTCCCATATTGGATGAGTCCTATTCAGTCGAAGCCTCCAACTGAAAACGCCTTCATGCTCCAGGTCAGCAAAGTTCAAGAACTCAGAGGTCCAGGGCGTCACAACTTCCGCTCGCTGAAGTATTGGCTGGACAGTGAGCAAGCTGGTAATCATTTCCTTGCCAAAGCCGGAGGGGGTCCAAAAAGTGGGATGCCGGATCAACAACGACCTAACATATGTCGCGCACGGGTCAACTGAGCCAACAAGCATTCTACTTCGAGAGTCGGCATATGTTGAACGACTCAGCCTCACCAATCGCCGATTAGCATGGGAGTGCGAGTGGTGAGCGAAGGGGTTGCTGAGGGGCTGCTTTTCGTACTTCTACTTGTAGCGCCGACACACGTGTACCGATCATGCACTACTGTATATTCTGAGCACCCTCTGGAGCGCATGCAAGTTCCCTGCATTGACTTGGGGTACCCAGGAGGTGAGCCATCACCCTGTTCTCATTTGGGATGCGGAGATGCAAGAACGCCTTGACTGAGCCTTACTAGCCTAGCCAGGATCGAATTATTTGGCTCCCCGGTCAGCATGCACCAAGCAGTGTTCAGCCATGTACTTGGCTCGACTGCAGTGCTGTAAGCAAGTCCGTGTGATAGCAAAGGCTTGTCGATGTCGATGGAAGGCCCCATCAGGACTTCTGCAAGCAATGGAGCTCGTGAGAGCTTTCTTATGCTATTGGTGCAGGATTTCGGTCACTCTTGCCCCAGCCTAAGCTCCCATGTCTAAACAGCCAAATAAACACCTCAACACGGAGCAAAGTACTCACCTTGCGGAGTGTGCAATTTGAGGCAGGCCGGACTGCTTGATCTCGATATACCATGATGCGGCTCAGATACCCCATAGAATCGCTGATCTCCCAACGTGCCTCCCACAGCTCCGACGAGTCAATAAGGATATGCTTAATGCTACTGTTAGACTAAAGGTTCGCACCGCAACCGAACGTTATCTACATAGCGAGGATAGGCTGTTGGACCCTAATGCGTAGAGAACTGATTGATTGTCATGGCTAGAGAGAGAAATCTATGAAACATTGACAGAAATCCAACCTGACAGCCGATTGGTGGATAGCGCCAAGAGTGAGGCAAGGCTGCCACCCTGGCGGCGCTCACGTGACTGGGCAACTGCCCTGTTGTGATTACCAAAGCGCCAAGTCTTGTAAAGACAGGGCCTCGGGCAACGACGGTGGTAATGCCTCTGACGCTATCCGTAGTACGCAGGTATATAGTCTGACATCTCCCCTCGAGATGTCCTAATCCCACAAGACCCTTACGTTATAATCACATGCGCTAATCGCATATGCACGTGACTGTGAAAAGTGGTCGCCAGGATAGGAAACTTGCCGAGTGCCCCCCAAAAAGGGGCGCACTTGGCCCTGCAACACTCGTTGATGGCCCCCATCATCCACAATTCGTTCCTCCACGCACTACTGAATATCGAGGTCGTGATATCGTGAGCCTGGTTCGCGCTACTCATTCATGCTCTCCTTCAGTTGCTCGTGTGCGGAGTATCTGTAAGCCCAACGCGTGGCTACGGGGTATCTTTGAGCGTCGGAAGAACATGGTGAAACGAACTAGGTGAAGAAACAGCTACTGGTACCTCTCGCCAGTCGTGTTGCCTTAACCACTTGAAACACACTTCGCAGCCTCGCCAGTGTGACCCCTGAGGCTCTACTCGAAGCTATCATGCCACCTCCAGCCTCGGCACGTATCATTCGGTTCACAACCCTCCTTCCCTTTAGTACTTAATGCTTATTCCTGCCGTTATCGCTTGCGTCGTTACCAGGTTTCTGGATGCTCAGTCCACTGGGCGCCCCCCTTCTGGTTTACCGTCTCAGACCTGTGGCCAGTCTGTATCAGATTGCCTTCACTTAGCTATGGCACCTCTGGACTCCTTATCATACCACCCGTATCACACCACTACGCGACTCGTCTCTGGCCTGGGTAGCCAACAACTGTTCTGGTACGCCTGGAGAACTACCTGGCATATAGGAGATATCATTGTTCCGATGGCTCGTCCTACGACTCCTTCTCTCATTGCCCAAACTTCGACCGCCGGCTCGGTTCTAACCATCTCTTACTGTCCTTTTAATCCAGATCACTATCCAAACCCGACAGGGCTTCAAGCACGCCGCTGGTCCGGCTCCTTTCCTTCTTTACCATAGCATCAGCGTATTGATCACGCACAATCGACAATCTTCGAACAAGCGGCTGCTACGGTCAACTGAATCTACAACCATGGGATTCCCTATTTCCACAACAACGTCAACCATGGTGGAACGGACAAGGTCAACGGAGTTGATGAGGATATTACTGTCGGGAGAGGTCAGCGGAGAAGCGCCTAGAGAGTTGACACCCAGGGAGAAATTCCGCAGATGGATGGTCAATGAGGGATCGCGACGCCTCTTCGTCAGCACCTTCATCCTCGTCCATTGTATGCTGTACGGCTTTGGTTTCATGAACTACACAATGAAGGACAACCTCACTCAAGCCCGGGCTACCTATGGCTACGGATACCCAATTGCTCGATCCGCCGCCTTGGTCCTCCACTTCGATGTCGCCTGTATCCTTCTACCAGTCTGCCGCACTCTTATCTCCCTCGCCCGACAGACGCCACTCAATGGAATCATTCCCTTTGACAAAAACATCACATTCCACAAGCTCGTGGGCTATTCACTGGTCATCTTTACGTGGGTCCACACTATCGCTCATTTGCACAATGTCGCCCAACTCTCCGCCAAGGGCCACGGAGGTTTCATAGGCTTTGTCAAGCTCAACTTCCTGACAGGTCCGGGCTGGACGGGCTACGTTTTGACCATCTCCATCATGGCCATGTTCTTTACCGCACTTGACAAGCCCCGGCGGGCTAATTACGAACGCTTCTGGAATACTCACCATCTTTTCGTCCTATTCTTCATCATGTGGTCAATTCACGGAATCTTCTGCATGATCCCTGCGGACACAAAGCCCACCTGTTTTGGTAATGGCTCTTTCTACCAGTGGTGGATGGTGGGTGGCTTCACCTATCTCGCCGAGCGTATTATGCGCGAAATCCGTGGCACCCACAAGACCTATATAACCAAGGTTATTCAGCACCCCTCAAATGTTGTCGAAATACAAATCAAAAAAGAGCACACCAAGACTCGCGCAGGCCAGTAAGTATTTTCACTTCCGGACGGCTGTCCCATTCAACGGCCGTTATGAATACACTCTCTGACGGTTTACAGATATATCTTTCTCTGCTGCCCAGAAGTCTCAATTTGGCAGTATCATCCTTTTACTCTGACCTCAGCGCCCGAGGAAGACTATATTTCCGTGCATATCCGTATGGTTGGGGACTTCACGAAACAGCTCGGTAGAGTCCTTGGATGCGAGGGTTTGGACAAAAACGAATCCAAGAGAGCCAATGACTCAGCAAGACTTATATCCGACGAAGACAACATAAAACTCAGCACACTCCTCCCGCGTCTCTATATTGACGGGCCCTTCGGCTCCGCCTCAGAAGATGTCTTCAAGTTTGAGACAGTGCTGCTGATTGGCGCGGGTATCGGCGTCACCCCGTTTGCATCAATCCTAAAATCGATCTGGTACCGCATGAAGGATCCTTCTGCAAGCAAGACACGGCTGCGGAAGGTATACTTCTTCTGGGTGTGCCGAGACTTTGGGTCGTTGGAGTGGTTCAAGTCTTTGCTCACAGCCATTGAGAGCGAGGATAAGAGCCATGCTATTGAGATTCATGCAGTAAGAATTTTCCCTATTACACCCCTTTCGAAGCCGGTAACTGACCTACCTAAAACAGTACCTGACAGCAAAAATCACATCCGCTCAGGCTTCCAACATTGTCCTGAACTCGGGGGACACAGATGCCATCACCGGTCTCCGTACACCCACGAGTTTTGGACGCCCCAACTGGGATATGGTGTTCCGGGGAATCCGCAAGCTCCATTGGCCGGGTGAGTGCGGCGTCTTCTTTTGCGGACCGAAAGGGTTGGGTGCGGATTTGCACATAAAATGCAACATGTATACGGAAGCGGGCGATAAAGGCTTCAGCTTTGTGTGGGGGAAGGAGAACTTTTGAAAGCGGACTCGAGTCAATACCCTGAGAGTCGAATTGCTGGCTTCACGCTCGAATGGCTTGTATAATTAGGTAGAATTCCATTGCAAGGAGATCTTTCTCATCACACCGCATTGGCTTCATGTCTCCATGCAAGCTCTTCAGAGCATAAATCTGAGGGTGTGAAGGTACGGTCTGGTCGAGGCTGGAACTTACTCTGCTTATCACCAAATATCGTGGTATTTGTAACGGAGGATGATGGGCTTGATTAAGTAAGCAGCCGGTTCTCCTACTGAGCCGGCAACCAAACGGAACTAATTGCGGAGAAGTCGAAGTCCTGATATGCGTCCAAACTTTTTTGCCATCATGCCTGCACCTTTGGTTTCCGACAGACTTCCCCCATCACCCATCGAGGGCCGCATTGCCTAGATGTGACACGACCATACTTCGTCAAAGTCCCTCTCCTTCGCTTCGGCTCCCTACCTCCTTTCCCCGGGCGATCTTTACAAACCAAGTCCGCTCGCAGTCCACGGGGCAATGCTCGCCCCTTCGACCCAGCGAGGGCAATGCCTGTTCTGTTCCTTTCGAGCCTTGGTCGCGCGGACACCCAAGCATATTTACAATGTGCAAAGAAGTTTCATTACCAGCACCCCACGGGCTCGTGAGGTCAAGAGGACCAAACCCTCACCAAGTGCATCCGGAGCAGCGGTACGACTACGGCGGCATGGACGAAAGACGACGAGCTCACAGGACTTTTCATTCCCCGATGAGACAGTATTGAAACGAGTACAATTAGCCTTGAAAGACCTAAAGGAGGATCTATCCTCGCGCGAAGCCATCTCCGATTCCGAGCCTTCGCCGTTGGAAGCACTCGATCCTGGAGGCACACGCTGGACAAACTATACTACGAGGTTGAAGGACATCTTAGAGTTCCGAGGCGAAAAGGCGACAGCACAGGAGGAGAGATTGTTATACGAGATCGGATCTGCTCAGAGTAACAAGTCGTCGACGCAAGACCTCCAGAGAGTCCTGCATTATGGTTTCATCGACTTCGTTCTGCACAAGAACATGGAGGACGGGATCCTAAGTAAATCAGCCATAACGGACCTGCGGTACCCGACCGAGTGGTATACAGCGGCGAGACAAATTCAGAGAAATGTGCATCTCCATATTGGGCCTACGAATTCGGGCAAGACGTACAATGCTTTGAAAAGACTTGAGGAGAAAGGCGATGGGTTTTACGCAGGCCCGTTGAGGTTGTTGGCGCACGAAGTCTACTCACGGTTCAAGGCAAAGGGTGCAAAGTGCGATCTGGTCACTGGTGACGATATTCGACGTGATGACGATCCAAATGTCAGTCTGTACGCTTCGACAGTGGAGATGGTGGATGTTTCGACGCCGGTTGAAGTCGCGGTCATTGATGAGATTCAAATGATAGCTTCGGAGGACCGAGGCTGGGCATGGACGAGGGCGTTTCTCGGTGCGAATGCGAAGGAAGTCCATCTCTGTGGAGAAGCAAGAGTACTCCCGCTCGTTCGCGAGCTCTGTGCTGCCACGGGCGATACTCTCCAAGTGCACGAGTACAAGAGGCTCAATCCGCTGAAGGTCATGACCAAGAGTCTGGGAGGAGATCTGAAGAATCTGAGGAAGGGCGATTGCATCGTCACGTTCTCCGTGATGAACATCCACGCTTTGAAGAAACAGATTGAGCTAGATACTGGGCGACACTGCGCGATTGTGTACGGCAGCTTGCCGCCTGAGACGAGGGCGGCGCAGGCGGCGTTGTTCAACGATCCGGACAACGACTACGACTTTCTTGTGGCGAGCGATGCTATTGGTATGGGCTTGAACTTGTAAGTGCCTTTCCACGGGAGTGCAACGTCAATCAAACCTAACGACTCAATAGGAGTGTGAAAAGAATCATCTTCCACCGGGTGCATAAATTCAACGGAGTCGGCCACGAGCAACTCTCCGTGCCTCAGATCAAGCAAATCGGTGGTCGAGCTGGACGATACCGAAGCGCACACCACCAAATGAACGATGGAAAGTCGAAAACTTCGTCAGAAGTCAGCGTCGGCTTGGTCACCACCCTGAATGAGGAGGATCTGCCCATCGTTCGCCAGGCCATGAACGCAGAAGCTCCGCCGCTCAAAGTGGCTGGTCTCCTGCCCCCAGGCGACTTCATGGAAGACCTTGCCGCGCGATTACCCAAGGGCATACCTTTCGAGTACATCCTCCGACGGGTCGCCGATTCGGCGGCGATGCATCGACGCTTCAAAATGTGCAGCATCCGCGACCAGAGCGACATTGCGCGTAGCATCGAGTCCGTTCGTGGCCTGAGCGTCACGGACCGGATCATCTTCGTCGCCGCGCCTTGTTCAAGGGGCTCGCAGCGCGTGAACGCCGTCGCGCAGGCCCTCGCGCGGTGCATCGCCCAGAAACGCGAGATCAGCATCATCGACGTGCCCGAGATCAACCTGGAGGTCCTGGAAGTGCCGATATCCGGCGACCGGTCGTACCTCGAGAGTCTGGAGGATCTGCATAAGAGCCTCGTCCTGTTTTTGTGGCTGAGTTACAGGTTCATTTCAAACCTGAAGGATCGCGACGTGGCGTTCTATGCGAAGGGTCTCGTCGAGGATAAGATCAATACGTGTCTCGTGGAGTTCTCGGCGAATCCGGAACTCAGGAAACGCGTGCTGGCGTATAAAAAGCGCATGAGTATCCCGAGCCTGCCGACGGACGGGACGGCGTTGCCGGCGAGCAGTTCACAGTTGGATATGCCGGCCGAGGATGAAACTGCGCTGCCGGTGGATTGGATGCGAGGGGAGTCTGGGGCCGAGTCTGGAGAAGAACAAGAGAGTCGGAGCGTTGCTGCCGCGGCGGCCTGATGCAGTATTTAATTTCTTGACTGTGACTGGTGGTTTGATATGTACAGTATGGCGCTGGGTGCTACAGGGGCACATGGGCAATTAAGCTATTTCACCTCATTGGACCCGAGACGATTGTATGGCGTCAAAGACATGTACATTATGACCAATGGGAGGATTTACATTGTCGACTTGAAAAGAAGGATGAAGGTTGAATTGAATGTAATGATTCTTTCTGTGCTAATCGAGCTCCGTGTATGTGCACTGTCGAACGCTCATGCTATGAAAATGATACAGGCCCCTCGGCTGCATGGTTGACGCCTCAGTCACCAGTCCGAACCTGCCATAGGTTCAGGACATGAGTGACTTCTCCAATGATGAATAGAAATGTAGGATTGGATGCAGCCATTTGCGAAGTCTAACACTCTCAACATCCTGTTCGAACAGAGACCACCTCATCGGTAGCAGCTGTCTATCGTTGAGTGACAACGCGGTCGGCAGAACCTGCTTCAGCGTTGCGAGCAGCTGCTTCGCGGGCAAGTTGTTCTTCGGTCTTCTTGTTGCCGTGCATGATCAGGCGGTTCAAGAAGCTGCCTGGCTTTCCAGTGTCGTGGCCTTCTCTCTCGGCGTCGTCCGCTTCTTTGGTGACGTAGTCCATGGTCTCCTCATCGGCAGAATCATGCTCATCGAAGTTGGCTACCAGTTGTTAGTCCGAGCTCTCTAGTAGAATGGCCTTTAATGGCAGAAGAGGAATGGTGAGGGTCAACGAGTTGCTAAAGAGGATCGTCGGATAGTGAGACATCGTTTGAACCTCCTTATTGTACCAAACGTGGCAATTGAAGATGTGTGACTTGGGCAGCTGTGGTAGGCTGGCACGTACCTGCTTGGTCCTTGTGGCTGAGTCTGCGCTTGAGCTTTTCTCGGATGTTGTCCATTTTGAGAGTGATTGAGAACGATTCTCGTCGAGATACTCGGGTGACTTTTGACTTGAAAACGAACGAAGGATATGTATAGTTGCAAGCTTGAAACAACGGCTGTGAAAGAAGGAGAAAAGAACCACAATGGGTAGAAAGACAAGCTGAGGCGGGGTGAAGGAGCGACGTCAGTTCAATGGAGGGGTGATTGGCATGAGGACTCAGGAAAGTGCCTTCTAGACCCTCGAGCACCCACTATACACCTGGACACCTTGGGCCAAGCGGGCATCGTCCCAGATGTTGCCAGATGGGCCGCGGTCGGTACTCACCACCACTGGCTGGTACAACAGATCAAGCCAGTCTAAGCGAGAGCACTGGGTCAGCTCCAGTTAAAGGCGAACGAGCCCACTGGGCTCAGCCACACTTGAGTGTCAGCCACTGAGTTACTCCGTACGGTGGCACGGGTAGGCAGCCAGTTGGTGGCATATGGACTCGCCACAACTTAATTTGTGCCTGCGCTTTTCCGTCCACTCAACGTCGTCCATCGGCTCGGCGGAGTTTGTCGACATTTTATGATTTTATACAGACACCAAGTTCCATCGTTCACGGGCCTGACACTGGCCACATAAGGCCATGGATGACTTCGCGTCCCTGGAACTCCTCTCCTTAGTGTCCAAGGTCACTTCGGAACTACAAAACCATTTGGGAATCAATGACAAAACCCTCGCCGAGTTCGTCATCGATCAACATGAAAAATGCGGTGGAAAACTGCCCGAGTTCAAGGCCGCTCTGGCTGCGATGGGAGCAGACTTTCCCAACAGTCTGGTGGAGAGCGTGGATCGGTTGATCTTGACGATGCATCCGAAATACAAAGTGCAGAAAAAGTCCGAGCAGAACGAAAAGTCGGACCTGGAAGAGTTGGACGCTATCGGTCGCAAGGCAAGAGTCTTCAGGGGCTTGGCTGTGCCGGACCGTGAACAAGCATGGGATGACTATGAGGACGATATGGTAGGACAGAAGACAATTGACGAGAGCCGACCCCCTGATCCTGGTACACCTGCCGACGATGATACCTTTGCCCTGCTTGAAGGTCTAGCCGGGCAAACGAAAAATGGCACAAATGGAACAACAGAAAGAAGCAGGAAAAGATCCCGCAGTCCGGATCGCGATGACTACTCAAGAGACAGGAAGCCAAGACAGAAGTACTGGTCGCGAAGTCCGAGCCCGCGTGAGGAGAAGAGATCACGCCGCCATCACCGAGATAGAGACGAAGACTATGACGATTATAGAGACCAACATGAAGACCGCCGAAACGGTCATCGCAAGAGTAGGCGGCGAGATTATGATGCTGAGGACGATTTTAGAAAGCCTCCTCGACAAGAAGTTGATGAATACCCCATTCTATACAAGATCTACGATGCAACAATCAACGGAGTCAAGGATTTCGGTGCTTTTGCAGACCTTCAAGGTGTGAAAGGCCGCGTGAGTGGTTTGATCCATGTTTCGGCCATACAAGAAGGTGCAAGAGTCAATCATCCTTCGGACCTGCTGTCTCGAGGGCAACATGTCAAAGTAAAAGTCATCAAGATGGAGAACAACAAAATCAGTCTCTCGATGAAGGAAGTAGATCAGGATACAGGTCAAGACATGGTTCCGTCCCGACGAATTGCCTCTGGCGCGAACATGGAACGACTGGACGGCATGCCTTCCAATGATCGCTACGGTGGTCTGGGCAGTTCAGTGCCTGTGATTGAAGATGATTACAACGCCAGGTCCAAGAAAAACAAAAAGCGGCTCACTTCACCAGAACGATGGGAGATCAAACAACTCATTGCGTCTGGCGCAATTTCGGCGCAAGATTATCCCGACATTGACGAGGATTATACCGCTACACTGAACGGTCAAGGCCAATTTGATGAAGAGGAAGAAGAAGAGATCGATATTGAGGTCAAAGAGGAAGAGCCGCCGTTCCTGGCTGGTCAGACCAAGCAATCACTGGAGTTGTCACCTATTCGTGTTGTCAAGGCGCCCGAGGGTTCAATGAATCGAGCGGCTCAGGCAGGGACAACTTTGGCCAAGGAACGTAGAGACCTGAAGCAGCAGGAGGCAGCTGATAAGGCAGCAGAGGAAGCATCCAAAGTCGATCTGAATGCTCAATGGCAGGACCCTATGATCAACCCCGAACAACGAAAATTTGCTTCCGAGCTCAGACAAGCCCAGCAACAATCCTCTAAATCTACCGATGCTGTACCGGAGTGGAGACGCATAACTCAGGGCAAGAATCAAACTCTTGGTCGCAGAACAGACATGACCATCAAACAACAGAGAGAATCTCTCCCTGTGTTTAAATTCAGAAAGCAACTTCTCGAAGCCGTTGCGCAGAACCAGTTGCTCATTGTTGTCGGAGACACTGGTTCAGGGAAAACAACCCAGGTCACCCAATATCTTGCCGAAGCTGGTTATGCCAACAGCGCTATGATCGGTTGTACGCAGCCGCGCCGTGTCGCCGCCATGTCTGTGGCGAAACGTGTGTCGGAAGAAGTTGGGTGCGAACTTGGCAAAGAAGTTGGATACACCATCCGTTTTGAAGATCGCACTTCACCACAAACCAAAATCAAATACATGACGGATGGTATGCTGCAAAGAGAGATTCTGCTCGACCCGGATCTCAAGCGGTACAGTGTCATCATGCTGGACGAGGCTCACGAAAGAACCATTGCAACTGATGTTCTGTTCGGGCTGCTCAAGAAGACGCTCAAGAGACGACCTGACATGAAAGTCATTGTCACATCTGCAACACTTGATGCAGAGAAGTTTTCCGAGTTTTTCAACAAGTGTCCTATCTTCACCATTCCGGGCAGAACGTTCCCGGTCGAGATCATGTACTCAAGAGAGCCGGAAGAGGATTACTTGGATGCTGCTCTGACCACCGTCATGCAGATACATCTTACTGAGCCCCCTGGTGATATACTGCTGTTCTTGACTGGCCAAGAAGAGATTGATACCAGTTGTGAGGTGTTGTACGAGAGGATGAAAGCGCTAGGACCCAGCGTGCCTGAGCTGATCATCCTGCCTGTGTACTCTGCTCTTCCTAGTGAGATGCAAAGCAGAATTTTTGACCCAGCGCCGCCAGGAAGCAGAAAGGTCGTCATTGCCACCAATATCGCCGAGACGTCGATCACGATCGATCACATCTATTATGTTATTGATCCCGGTTTTGTCAAGCAGAACGCCTACGATCCTAAACTCGGTATGGACTCTCTGGTCGTCACTCCCATCTCCCAAGCGCAAGCGAAACAGCGGGCGGGACGGGCAGGTCGAACAGGTCCTGGAAAATGCTTCCGTCTGTATACCGAAGCCGCATATCAATCCGAAATGTTGCCGACTAGCATCCCCGAGATTCAGCGCCAAAATCTGTCTAATACGATTCTCATGCTCAAAGCCATGGGCATCAACGACCTGCTGCATTTCGATTTTATGGATCCTCCTCCAACCAATACCATGTTAACAGCCCTTGAGGAGCTCTACGCTCTTTCAGCCCTTGATGACGAAGGTCTTCTGACTCGACTAGGTCGCAAAATGGCAGACTTTCCGATGGAGCCATCTCTGTCCAAGGCATTGATAGCTTCGGTTGACATGGGTTGTTCTGAGGAAATGCTGACCATCGTCGCCATGCTGTCTGTACAGACCGTCTTCTATCGACCCAAGGAAAAACAACAACAAGCCGACCAGAAGAAAGCCAAATTCCATGATCCTCACGGTGACCACCTTACTCTGCTTAATGTGTACAATGCCTGGAAACAGTCTCGCTATAGCGACCCGTGGTGCTTCGAAAATTTTATCCAGAAACGGCAAATCGCCCGTGGCCGCGATGTTCGTCAACAACTCGTGTCGATCATGGAACGGTATAAGCATCAGATTGTATCTTGTGGACGAAACACTGTCAAGGTTCGACAAGCTTTGTGCGCTGGGTTCTTCAGGAACTCAGCACGTAAAGATCCACAAGAAGGCTACAAGACCCTAATCGAGGGGACCCCGGTGTACATGCACCCGAGCAGTGCGCTCTTCGGGAAGCCTGCGGAGCATGTGATATTCCACACGCTCGTGCTCACGACGAAAGAGTACATGCATTGTGCGACAGTGATAGAGCCGAAGTGGCTGGTCGAGGCGGCGCCGACGTTTTTCAAGGTTGCCCCGACAGACCGGCTAAGCAAGCGCAAGAAGGCGGAACGAATTCAGCCTCTGCACAATAAGTTTGCTGGTGAGGATGATTGGAGATTGAGTGCGCAGAAACGGCAGGGTAGAAGTGGTGGAGGAGGGACTTGGGGGTGAGCGCAAGACTTGTGGTCATTGTGGTGGCGGGCGTGGACGTCCGGACAGGTTTGAGATACCAGCATCAGCAAAGCCATATTGGGGGCAGCATCATATACCTTTGATTATAAATGCTTCAAGGAGAAGATTGTCGATGACAGGCCAAACGTATGCTCGGTATAGCACGGTCAAGCGCGGTTTCGCTTGAGGGCTCGTCAATTGTTAGGCATCCAGCCCGGAGTTAGCGATCAACAGCATCATGACACCAAGTGCGTGCTAATAACGTGCCAGTAGAAGGCACCTGAGGCCTCGTTTCGAACCTCGCATCGTCCCGATCTTGTCAGCACCCAAATAATACGTCTGGTCTTGCTTTGGAATTCGCTTTAAGTCCTTAGCATCTCTTCTTCAAGTCAATTACACCGTCGCCGAGTCAAGCCTGCGACCCAATCCGGGCCTCAATACTCCGTGATGCTCCATACTTCTCCCTGCCTGGCCGACAACTTTCAGGAACATATCTGGGACACGCAATCGCTGTATGGACCCCCTGATCATCCATGCCGGGAGCCGGAGACACGATTTGACCCGTTGCCATCGGTTTGACCCTTTTCGTCGCCAATCTTATCAAACGAATGAAGGACGAGGTGCGACCGTGCGAGGTCCAGCGCAGTTACCGACGGTCCACACGCTTCCAAAGTCTGGTGTTCGGTTGTCTAACTTAATCACTATTATGGTACGTACCATCCCAGGCTCCATGTGCGATGCAACCTTCCTAATCGCTGCACGGAAGACGGGGAGAAGGCTTCTGGAGCAACAGACTGTGGATTGTTATCTGTCCCCTTAATAGGTATGTACTATTATGAATGCCGACTTGAACCGTCAGAAGGCGCCGATTTCCAGCGGAGCTTACGGGTCTCAGAACGCACTGCAACACGAGCACGAACCATGTCAACGCCAGGGTTAGCCATCCTTGATTGTGTATGTGGTCTTCGAAGGATGCAACCCGCCAAAAACAATATGCTTCGGAAGCTCTCCCATAAAAGGGCAGTCCCCGAGCGACAAATGGAAAGGGACACCACCAATACCCCCACCTGCGGCCCGAGACACTTGGGACCCTCAACGCATACGAGTACTGTGCGGTAATGGAAATCATGCACGAGACCGAGGTTCAGGATCCGGAGAAACGCAGAACGGCTTCAATTGGTCTTGATGCATCAGAGGACACCATGCTTAGAATCTTGTCAGTGTTGTCCACTAGCCCGATGATGTTACATCAGGATTCGCAAGTCAACATGATTTTCCACGGCCTCGCTTAGAGCATGACGAGGTGGCTACAGAGACTGCCTCGACTGTTATCTCGCGACAAGCTTTGCAACGAAGCTTAGCATTCCTCTGTGCAGACGTCAACCCCACACAACTTGGACTCTGTTGTCACAGACAGTGGCGTTGATAATCCGCCGCGCTACTGCGTCGATCACTAATTGGGATCATTGGCCTACATCAGCGACTCTTTTGCAAATCCGCGCCACTCCTGAGGGCTACCCGAGCATCAAAAGGCCGGTCAATCTGTATGATGAGCATGCGAGAATGTGTCAAGCCGAGAGGCGAACATGCTGGCGAAGCGGCTACGATCAGATGAAACTCCGGACAATCTTTGCCGTACCCAGCCATTTTCGCCTTCGCAACCACCCATGAACATCGACCTGCCTGATCGAGTTACTGTACCAGTATTCTGGTGTGCCAGTCGTCGCATGATTTCATCATACTTTCTACTCTCAGCCAATCATAAGCCTGACCACAGCGTTCGGAGTCCCCTATCTGGCGGAAGTCGAACATGGAGCTGCTTTGGGGCAATGTTCTCCTCCCTGAACTGCTATCAAACTGCCTATCCAACGGTAATTGAGACTGGACGTCGCAATCTCAAACTTCGGCTACCCTCCTCACTCTATCCTACCTGACTAACCAGGGATGTAAGTGCGAAAAAGCCAATTACACAACCTTGACCTATCAGTTGTGGAATCATTGGGCAAGGCAAGTGCCAATGCTTCGCTTCTGCCAGATATGTTCTCTGGGGAGTGTAACCCTCTAATCGGCGTTGGCTGCTCTGAGGCTAGTGGAACCGTGTGGTACGGGAGATATATAACCCTGCACGTTGCACCGTCGCAGCTCCACGTCTTGACCACATGGAAAAGGCCTTGGTCGCTTGGTGTTTTGACTACCTTTCAACATGGCTTCTGGAGTAGGATCTATCGCGGGCATTGGCGCTGCCGCCGACCCTCGCCTTTCCCTTTCTGGCCAAGGTATCGACCAGACTACCTACCCTCAAAGACTTCTGGAAAAGCTGCACGATCCCAGCATTCCTTTCGAAGAATACCTACACTTCGCCAAGATTACGAGAGCGGAGGAGGATCGCTTGTATGGTCCGGGCAGTGATTACCAGGCCACCGATGGCCCTGCGACCGCCTTTATCAAGGAGAAGATCCTTCGTAAACGGGCGCAACGACGTACCTCGATTGAGCAGCCACGTTTGTCCATCAGCGCACAGGGCGAGGCTCAAATTGCGCGACCTGCGGAATCGGGCAACGAGTCGGGCAACGAGAAGACTACGCAGGACAGGAAGTTCGAGCCTATGATCATCTCTGACGATGAATGGGTGCAAGCTTCACGAGCTGCAAGGACAGCGACTTGGTGAGTTAGTTCCTTGGACACCTGTATCCCGGCTAACGTGGGGGATCAGGTCCGCCGTATTCTATCTGATCACCACCGATATTCTGGGCCCGTTCAGCACAGGGTACGCTTTCAGCCAAATGGGTCTCGGACCTGGTGTCGCTCTCTTCACCGTCTTTGGTGCTCTTGGTGGCTACAGCGGTTACCAACTGTGGAGGATGTATCTCCAGCTCGACAGTGACCGGTATCCAATGAAAGGTTATGGTGACATTGGATTCCGTGTCTATGGATCATGGTTTCGCCATACCGTCAACAGCTTGCAATCATTCCAGTTCTTTCTGAACGTGGCCTTGATCATCCTGACGAGTGGCCAATCTATCAGCCAGCTGTCCAAGGGCAATCTTTGCTTCATTGTGTGTATGGCTGTTTGCACGATCTTTGGTTGTATCGTCGGACAGATTCGAACGCTTCAGCGCTTCGGCTGGTTGGCTTCTTGGGCGGTGTTTTTGAACCTGTTTATCATCTTTGCAACGTGAGTATTCCCTGCCTTGCTCTATGTCAAGTTCATGGCTAAAGCACGGCTAGCATGGGCGTTATGGCTCACTCGCCTCCCAACTACAAGCTCTACGCTGCCTCAAACCCTGACTTTAACATCAACAACCCGGATCCTATCCAGGTGTCCGGCGCAGCACCATCCGGACTCAGCATCGTAGACAACGTTAATGGTCTTATGAATGCCGTCTTCTCCTTCGGCGGGGCCACTCTGTTCGTCGAGTTAATGTCCGAAATGCGTCGCCCTATGGACTTCTGGAAAGGACTTGTCTGCGCAGATATTCTGATCTACCTCTGCTACATGGTCTATGGTCTCTATACCTATTGCATGTGAGTGAATGCGGAATCCAGCTGAGCAGAAACATGGTGCTAACGCGATGCCCAGGCAAGGACAATATGCATACAACGTCTCGTACCAAGGTGTCTCCCCGTACTCGTGGCAGACTGTTGGCAACATTTTGGGACTCATCACTGGTCTCATTGCGGCCGTACTGTACGGCAATATCGGCATCAAGGTGCTCTACAACAACCTCGGAAGAGACTTGTTGAAGTTCCCCCGACTCGAGAGCAAGGGTGGCAAATGGATTTTCGTCTTCTTCGTCCCCATCTACTGGATACTTGCTTGGGTCGCCGCACAATCGGTGCCTCAAATCAACTCCTGGATTGTGCTCGTTGGTGCTGGATGCATCCTGCAATTCACCTATACCTTCCCACCATTCATGATGATGGGCTTCAAGATCCAGCGGGACGCCATTCTGCCCCAGGAGACGTATGACCCTGCTACTGGGCAAGTCCAGCGGGTCGACAGCGGCGTCAAGCGATGGATTCGGGGCTTCAAGAAGGAGCTTTGGTGGAACCTGTTCGATTTGGTGTACTACCTCGGGTCTTGTGTCACCTGCATTTTGGGCTTGTACGCTGCTTTCACTACCATGGTTGACGCGTACAAGAGCTCACCCAACTTGTCGGCGTGGCGCTGCGAGTCTCCCACAGGCTAGAGCAGACATATTGTATGGGAGTAGTGGATCGCGACGATGGATCGTGAGTGGGAGGCTTATGTGGTGCGACTGAGACGGAGGATTTGACCCCAGAAGAAAAAGCAGCTAGATTCTTAGTGACATGTAGCTATAACTGTCGAAGATGTGTGTACAAAAGAGGAATCCCTGTTATTTCTTCTCGTGATGATTGTGTCGATTACTCCGTATGAGTCCTACTGCCAAGTCAAATCTGGGGTAACCTTGGGTGTCCCACGGGAGCCGCGTGACTTACAAAATGATCCAATGGAGGCCTGAGGCGGGTGTCAGTATCACGCAATTTTCCGGGTCATACGCTCATGATGGCCCCTTCTTTTATTCATTCCTTCTTCTCCTTCTTATTGCCCAAGTTCTACGGTCTGCGCCGGCGCAGATCCTTTTTTCCTTGATATCCTTCAAAAGCCATGGTACTATCATGGGGTTTGCTGTATAGGTTGTTTGTTTTCATCGTCTTGCAGGGTCTAGCCTATGTCCAAGCCCATGTGTCCAGCGCCCAGCAGCCACTGGCGGTAGGCGAACCCGCCCAACGCGGGGAAGATGCAGGTACTATCGCTCCTTATCTTGAAGCAACGATATCATGCTGATCCAGCGCCAGGATGTTGCCACAGATCTTGGTTGAAAGATCAACGTGTCATCCTAAATAGACCGACGTGGAATGTGCGGACTCCCAAAGAAGACCCTCAGCAACCGATCAGAGACCCCTATTTTAACACCACTTGTACGAAGAAGCCCTTGGTGAAGAGTCAGCCAAAGCTAAGCTAACCTGGCGCTGCAGTGCTACCCTTGAAATTTGAACCCTTGCCTCTCGGTTCTGTCAAGCCGCTGGGATGGCTTCGCCAACAGTTGGACTTGATGGCCGACGGCCTGCCAGGTCATTTGCATGAATTTTATCGCCTTGTTAAGGATGCCCCTTGGCTCGGGGGAGACCAAGAATATTCATGTATGCCCTTCAATCCCAACTCGGCTTACACGAGGGACGAGTATACTGACACTGCTCGTGCAGGGCTCAATGAAGCATGGCCGTACTCATACAATGCACTTGTTCCGTTGGCCTGGCTGACCGAAAACGCACGGCTGAAGCATCACGTTCTCCGCGTCACCGATTGGGTCATCAGTCATCAACATGAGGACGGCTGGCTCGGTCCCGAAACAGATCTTTCACGCCGCAATTTCTGGGGGAGATATCCTCTGTTTCTGGGCTTCATGCAATTGGTGGAGGCCGAGCCCGACCTCGGTGAGGGAATGATCTTACCAGCCATGCATCGGTTTGTGCTGCTCATGTACCAAATGCTTTCGAACAAGCACCAAGGCTACGTGTGGAAGCCTGGCGACCAGTTCGACGAGCAATGGGGCCGTTCGAGGGCTGCAGATATGGTGCTTGCCCTGCAATGGCTATACGAGAAGTATCCCATGGGTAACGAGAAAGAGATCCACCATTGTATGGTGTACATGTACGAGATGGCCTATGACTGGGGGTACTGGTTCAACGAGGACAATTACATCAAAGATGATTTGGATTTGTATCCGGTTGAACTGACAAACAGCTTGTTTCCGTACCTTCATGGTGTCAATGCCGGCCAGGGACTGAAGTGGGCTGCCGTCATGCGAAGGCTGGTGCAAGACGACTCGCTGCTCAACACAAGCAGGAACGGAGTCAACTGGACGTTTCAATATCATGGCACACCGTCAGGAGCCATCATCGGCGACGAGCGGCAGGCTGGACTCAGTCCCGTCCGTGGCACCGAACTTTGCAGTGTGGTCGAGACAATGTTCTCGTTGAACTACCTCTACCAAGCTACGGGGGACCGTGATCTTGCTGACAAGTCCGAGCTCGCCGCTTACAACGCTCTTCCAGTCATGTTCATGCCGCATTGGTGGGCGCATCAATATATAGCCCAGACGAATCAACCCGCAAGTCACCGTCTGGAAAGCTCGCCGTTCTGGAACGTTGGTCCCTTTGGTCAGACATATGGAACCGAGCCAAATTTTCCATGCTGCACGGTCAATATGCAGGGATACGCCAAATGGGTGCCGGCATCCTTTGTAAAGGTTGGGGAGGACGGACTTGCGCATGCGTTGCTCGGCCCGGCACATGTCAGCACAACCTTGATGAAGCGCAACAAGATACGAATTCGCTGTGAGACCAACTATCCCTTTGCAAATTACCTCAGTTACGAGATGAAAGCGAGGTCAGCGTTTCGATTTTCGTTCCGGGTGCCTAGCTGGGCAATTTTGAATGAGAGCAGTATCTGGGTTGACTCGGGCAAAGCTCGTGACCTCAAGCCGGATAATGCGACGGGTTTGCACACCATGATTGTGCCTGCTGGTCACACTCGGATTGAGGTCATGTTTGGTGCGACAGTGCGCGTCGAGCCTCGAGCGAACGACACCGTGTCGATATATCATGGCGCGCTACTATACGCATTGCCTATTGCCGGAGACTACTCCTATACCCGCCCAGCACGGTATCCAGGGACGTCGGCACCGCCCCAGGCGAGAGATTGGGCGATACTGCCGCGAGAACCGTGGAATGTGGCTATTGATATCACGACACTGAGATTTTTCGATTATCCGAATCGGTACGATGATTGGATGCCCCATCCAATATGGCATGAGGAACAGCCACCTGTAAGTATCTCGGCCTTGGCCTGTGAGATCGATTGGCAATTGAAGGATGGATATGCCCCGAATCCTCCGCTTAAGGGGCAACGGAACTGTACGGGGAGAGCCTTCCCCGTGGAACTGAGGCCGTATGGAAGTGCCAAGTTGCATATGGCAGAATTGCCCACGGTGGATTTGAGGCCTGGGAGTCATGATCTGTGGCAGCACGGCGAGGATGACGGTGAGAAGCCTGGTATGACGAATCAAATGGAACTCTAGCCAGAATTCCCACTTGCATCGACGAACTCTTCACAACCTAGTAGTTAGCCTACTCTTTGGTGAGCATTGTAGCGCCTGTAACAACGTTCGACTGCCTTCGAAGAGCAACGCAATGCGCTCCTGAATCTGGCCGTTTATGCAAAAGAGAAGAGGCGTCACCGAATGCTGCGTCATAGCGTCGACAATGGGCTACAGTACGTATTTGTGAAAAGTGAAGATAAAGAAGTGACAAGTTCTTCCGTCACGAGAAAGCACTCGCCCAGGGCGCTTGAGGACAAGTGACAGAGGCGTGAGAGAAGACATCCCGCCAACTTACCACAGATGCTGCGCCCATCTGACGCTCCTTGATCCTCCAGGTCTTGGGTGACTGGCGGCAAAGCAATGAATTCGTCGCTTGTTTCATAATTGGACAATGCTATGTACCAGGTATTGGTGTTGCGAACCGCGCCGAGGATGCAGCTGACCCCGGTTATTTTTGTTTCCTGTAAGCGCCCCGATCTTGCCGAGTCATGACCTGTAACCTCTCCAGTCCAATCGTTGACCGTGATGGCTCCAAGCACCGGTGATGGACTCTCCGGGAAACATGGAAATGGAAACCTCCTGGAAGGAGTCCTTATGGACGCCGATGGAGGCGATGCGCAGGTCACAAGGTAAGCACATCGTTCCATCCCATCCTCCTCTTTTATCTCGAGTTCGTGCCTGCGGACGTGAACAATCGACTCGTCGTATGGGCAGAAACACTCAGGCCTCCATTTCAGCTTATCTGCTGACGACAGCAATACGACTTCATCGTTACTCGGCAGCTGGCTGCCGATTGAGCTGGAGAAATGAAGACCTATGAGTATCCTCGAGTCCGTCCTCCTACCTCTCTACAACCGCCTCGACCGCCTGCCGATGCCCGATTCTCATGGATGGATACCCCAGCAGATGAGGAAAGTCGAGCTTGGGTAAATAACACAAGAGAAGAAAGAGAGACAGCCCCTCCAGTACCATCACAACGAGTACCGAATCCGCAGGTACAGAACATGGCACCGCAAGGGAACGAACCCGCGGGTTACACATATCAAGTGCAGAATCCCATGGGAGTACAACAGCAGCAGGTACAGGACCCGCGATACCCAAGCGCTTATCCGGCCCAGCAAGCACCTGTACAAGTACCTACACCACCCGCTCAATCACCACCTTCTCAAGAACAGTATCCATTGCCTCAACCTCCTGAACCAGTAAAGCAGCCATCATCGGACAACAAGCCAGCAGTAGCCATTGCGCCCGACGCTAATCCCTTGACTCCAAACGCTCCGAGAGTGCCACAAAGAGCGAGCACCAACATGGCCATCGTTCCTCCGCCGCCCGATCCGTCGCATTTTTCGATTGGCATATATACTCCCAGTCCACAAGCGCTCAAAGGCGGATCATGGCAGCATGGTCTATGCTCCTGTGCCGATCCTTCCACTTGTTTGACGGGACTTTTCTGCCCCTGTATCGTTTACGGAAGGACACAATACCGACTGGCGCTTCGAGGGGAAAGAAAAGATCCAACAAATATGCTAGGTTACGCCGCTGTCAACGGATCCTGCATAGCATTTGCGGCCTTGTGTGGTGTCAATGGGTTTCTGGCGGCGATCCAACGTTCACGGATACGGAAGACTTACAATATGAGTACGGAGGCAGGCAATGTCCCTGGTGATTGTGTCAAGGGCCTTTGTTGCTGCTGCTGTGTCGTTGCTCAGGATGAGAAAGAGGTACGGTTCCGAGAGGAGCAAGCTAGAAAACCCGTGGCCTCCGGCACCAATCAGGAAGGTTATGTGGCACCGACTGGGATGACTTTTAATCCGCCTCCGAGATGAGAATGCTCGGACACTCAATACGCTTGGGACCCGAGCTAGCAGTGGAATCTACTCGTCGGGCGATCTGGCACTGCAGTGCTTATGCCGGTTGGTTGCCGCTATTAGGTAAAGTCGTTCATGCTCAGACTGCTGATCATGGGCGATGTCTGGACACAGACAAGGCCGTAGGCGTCAGGCTGAGCGGCACACAGCATATCCTACCGAAGACGCCGCCGAGTACCTGGATGTAACATAGTGGCGCCGGGAACCTTTGATGGACCCCAGACGGCCAAGTATTGCGCCATGCCTCCATATGCACGACCCTGTCGGAATTATCGGGATAACGAACCGCTTGACCCATACCCGGTCAGCGCTCCGGCCCGTCGTTCCAGGGAGCCTATATCGGTGTGTCCGGCCAACAGGGCCTCAACTCTTCTACATTTACAGTCACAGCTCGAGTCCCAACCAGAACACCAGAGCCACGATAACCCGTCGATGGCTAAGCCTGGCAAGGGTGATGTTCCTTGAGCACTCAGCCTTGCACCTTGCCTCATCCGGCATGGTCTGTTACAATCCATGTTAGCCTAAGGAAATCCCCTTATGTATCTTCTATTATCACAGAACAATTACAATGTATGATTATGGCTCTGATGTACTGCCGAGCCTGGAGCTGGCAGCATTCCTCTCTTCTTGCGAAAGGCGCAAGACTCTGGCTGTTTCTCGATGCGCCACGACACCCGACTGACACAGCCAGGAGCCGGCCGACTATACGGTCGCATCAATGCACACCCCTGATAAACCTATCGACCCACTAACAGGTCACTTTCCACAGCCCCCAACTTCGCCCAGGACGGAAGAATCGGCCCAAATGCTTCGACGCTTGAGCGAAGACTTATAATCACCTGCTATCGCCAACCGATACCAAGGTCTGCGTAGCTGCCTGCGTTCTGAAGTTTGGGACACGATGTTCGCTTTTCAGGCATTCTTGCTTGAACACCTCCTGGTTGGTGTCCTGTCACTCTGGGCATACCTTGTCTGGAAAGCTCCTTGGTTCGAGCTGTTCAGGCTGGTCGATCTCCCCAGGGAAATTTCGTTCTTTGACCTCAAGGATCATGACGAGCAATTCATTTGTGTCGGAATGACGCTGAGAGCAAAGAGATGCACAAAGACCCCCAATGATAATCGGTTTTGGGCCTCTGCCCTACGCAACTGCCTGATCTCTACAGACCCTACGCACATATCGTTCCGCTCAATGCTCGAAAGTTACATCCTTCTCTGTTTGTGCCCTCATCACAAGGATCGGCCAAGCATTGCGCGGTTTTTGGTCCGATGGGAGACTGAGATGATTGCCTATCATCGCGCTGCAGGAGGGAGCCGAAGGCCTGCTGCTTCCTCTGGCCTACCAGGAGCGTATGCATCAGAGGTTGCAGACGATGAAGAGCATTCGTTGGCTATTGACTCACCATATGCCTCGCACGGTCGTCCTGGTACCGTCAGCAATATCGACAAATTCCCCATCGCCAATCCTAATGCTTCATCAAATGACAGAAGTCCGCAGATCAGCAACCGTGAAGGCACAACCTCTCCCATGTCATCTAAGGTAAAGCCTAATGAAAAATACAGTGTATGGTGCAGTACCATCAAAGGGCTTTCGATACCGGATTCAAAAAGAGGTTACATCTATATCCTCAGCAATGAGGATGACCCGGGACTAGTGAAAATTGGCTACACACAAAATGTTGCCAGGCGACTTGTGCAATGGAGGAAGGACTGCGGCATCGATTACCACCTGGAATATCAGTCGCATGAGATTCCATTTGCACAAAGGATCGAGAAGATTATCCACGCCGAGCTGAGACCAGTCCGGTATCTCAAAGCTTGTCCTGGACATCCCAAGCTGCACAAAGAATGGTTCCGGATCAGCCTAGAAGGAGCAAAGAAGACCGTCGATTACTGGATCCATTGGATGATGCAATTCACTCCATATAACATTGACCCACCTCACCACCACACGCCTGAGTTTATACGCTGGCTGTATTGGCCTGCCGGTGCTGGACTTGAGCAGGAGCCCTTCGAAGCCGAATTGAGGGAGTCATTCCTAAAGGATTCCGATGGGAAAATTTGGATGTGTCCGGAAATGGCACCACATGATGTTGACGATGAGCGTGACGAGGATGAAGACCTCGAAGACGGCAGCTGCAGCCCAGTGGACAAAGGTACGCCTGCGAGTGCTTCGTCACGCCAGCCAAGCCTGTCGAATGATGGTCGTTCGGCCCAGGGAAGTACGGACCAAGCCAAGGCAGACATCGACAGCTCATCGCTGCACACAACTCCATCCGCTCGACGACCGGCCATGCACAATGCTTCCGGATTGAAGACACCACGCCGCAGGCTTTTCCGCCAGGACACGAATGAGTCAGGTGAGAGGGACTCAATACCAGAGGATTCTTGCTCGCCGGGCAGCGAAGTCTCCACTCCTTTGACAACGATAACAACGCCTCCTTCAGATTCATCAACGGCCAAGACAGTGGGTCATCAACACGCGCCATCGAAGCTTGCTCGTGGTGGCCGGAGGAGAGCAAGCCAGAGAAGCACTCCGCCGTCTGAAACTCCATCACTGAGTACTTCGGTGACTCGCCCCGGAACAGACACGCTCGTCCGCGACAATGCAGAGCCAACCCAACCCTCATCGGCTGTAGACAATGGGAAAGCGCTAGTAAATGACCTTCCCAGCATTTCGCCAAGTATATCCCGCGATCGCACTGCAGCAGACGGGCTGACTGTCCGTGGCGATGAGACTGGGGCGGGCTCTCCAGCAAGCTTACCCTCCCTAGCAGCTCCGGAGCTTACGATAGTAACCGAAAAAGGGCTCGATTCTGTCGCCGCAAAGTCTCGAAAACGGTCGGGTAAAGCCAAGCAGAAGTCGAGACCACCAATACCATCCAGTGCCGCTGGAGAAGATCGGTCTGAAAACACTGAAGTCGAAATACCAGACTCGCAAGACGAGAATGTCCTTGCTGATATTGCGGGACCACAATCCCAGAGAAATGGGAATGAGGCGAAAGGCCGGGACCGCGAAAAGCTGACTCCGCCCAGGAGTATTCCTCGAATGTCAAAAAGGCAATCTGCAGCTTCTGAGCTTGGTAGCTTGGCTGAAGCTGAAGGGTCGTCAGCTGGCCGTGGCGAGAGGAGCGAAAAGGTCACTTTTCCCCAACTCACGGCGTCGACGACGACACCAGGAGAATCCGCGGTCAAGGTCTCGGCGGCACAACAGATTGCGATTGCTCAGTCTTGTGGAGTTATTGAGTCAGCCGAACACGAGCAGACAGATGGGAGGAGTCCGGTGACTCCTGAAGGTTCAGTGCAACGGAGAACACGTAAAAATGGCAAAAGTACGGTTCCTGCCAGTGCCAGTGCCAGGAATATCGAACAATGCTCAGTCGGATCTGAGGATCTCTCTCCATCTCCATCCCCGTCACTATCTCCATCTCCGCTTCCACCACGGCACCAAGGAGGTACAAGTTCTCTGTCCCCTACTCCATCTCCATCACGGCACCAAGGAGGTTTGCACCCAGGTGGAGAGAAACGCCCGACGGCGTACGCACTTCAAGGGGCGAAGAAGAGTGAGAGTGTAGGTGGTGGTCTCGTATTTGTCAACGACGACCAACAGTCCTTACGGGAGAAAATTCAGAAGCAGAGACGCAATGTTTCGGCGCCGGCGCTGCAAGGTACTAGTAGTACCTAGCGTAGTGCGATGGTCATGGGCCGGGCCAGGGCCAAGCAGGATTGCCGAGAAGACGGAGGGAGTTGCACGGTGGCGGAGGAGTCGAGATGGGATCAAAATCACGGAGTAAGATTGAGGACGGAGGATAATGGGAAGGAGTCCGGGGTAGGGAGTACGGAGTAGTTAGAACTTCTTCCTTCGGGCTGGGCAACGCTCGAGTGTCACGGAATAAGTCTTGCTTCTAGATGAATAAAGCTCGAGTGAGACAAGGAACAGGAGGTCGTGGGAATATAGGTCTATTCACACCTCCCGGAGGCTGAACAGACGTAGTCAACTTCGTTCTTGATCTTACCCATACGTTTGAGTCTTGATCAGCTTCGCTCTAGTAAAACGACTCCCTCTGTACCAGGGCTCTCGTATGACATCCCACTTATACTCCCACTTGCTGCTAAGGAAACCCCCTGTGCGCCTTTGGATCGCGACCCTCTTGGAGCCATCAGGAGCGATTCATAACTTATAGTGGGGCTTAGCACTACCCGCACGTCGTTTAAATATAGTTCCTTTGGTTCCATTAAGGCCCCCCGGTCCAAGCGCTTCTTGAATGGTGTCTGAGGCCTGGGAAGGTATCATTCTCCATTCCCCGCTTCGTGTGAGGTAAACAGGGGGGAATCCTCCTTGATCATATCAGCCGCCTTCTCCGCCAGTGCATACACTGTGGCCATCGGATTCGCACTGATGGTGTCGGGGATGACACTGACGTCGACCACGCGCAGGCCGCTTACATTCTTTACTGGCAAACGCTCATCCACAACTCTCCCCATGGCGCAGGTGCCTGAGTTGTGGTTGAAGATCATGACCTGTCGACGGACGTAGTCTCTGGCTTGCTCAGGGTCCTGCAGATCAACCTCTGGTGGAGGGGCCAAACGCCCGACGAATCTGCCAGAGACGGATTCCGACTTGTACGCTCGATCCGCGACGGCGAGGCCGGCGGCAATGGCGTCCACGTCGGCTTCGTGAGACAGGATGTCCATGTCGATTCGAGGTTGAGTGGCAAACGGCTCTTTTCCCTCTTCCACTGCTGACTCGGAACGCTCGATGTGCGTATTTCCACGTGCGAGGGGATACATGGCGCTGACCATGGTCGTGTAGCACGCATTGTGTCCTGCGGGGGCTCCAGGCATGATCTTGCTTTGGTTTTTGTGTCCAGCCTCGAGGTCGACATAGCCCGGAAGACTGATGAGTTCGATGCTCGGGGCAGATGGACTGGCAATCAGCGTTTTCACTCGCTCATGCGGCTCGCGCTGAGTTTTGCCTGGAGCAGAGATGCCTTCAATCGTCGTTTTTAACCTCTCGGAGGAAACGCGTGCCGCGTAGGGGATGAAGCCAACCGGTCCGAAAGGCACCAGCCATCAAACCATCATGACTCGCCATAAGACGTTGGAGCTGCTCTTGAAAGACAGTTCTATCGAGGAAGAGAGAATCGAGCGTGATGTTCTCTGGACCGGGAGCCAATTCATAGGAAAGAGACGACATGGAGTGTTCCGTGAGATTCTCACCCACTTCTGGTAGGTCCACGACACACTCGACACCTGCAGCTCGTAGAATTTCCGGGTTACCAATGCCAGACAGCTCCAGCAATCGAGGGCTCTGAATTGTGCTCGAGGAAATTATAATTTCCTGCTTCGCACTTGTTGCAGACGCCCACCATGCGAAAACATTACGCCAGTAGCTTCGACAGAGGAGTCTTTATTGTCTAGAAGGATTTTCACCACGCTGGCCTCGGTGAGGAGCTTGAGGTTCGGGCGATGGGCATATGGCACGAAGTCTCCGCTCGTAGCGTAGCTTCGAGACGGAATTCCCGCGCGGCGGTCCAAGGTGAAAAGGTGCTGCGCCATGCCGAGGTGGTCACCACTGTACGGATCTCTGGGAGGTTCGGTGTTGCTGGCTTCGTTCAAGGCTACTATCAGATTTCGTTCAATAGGGACAATGGACGGTGCCCAGGACGTTTGAATGGGGCCTGAATCTCCTTGTAGCTTGGGCTCGAGTCGGAAGTAACTGGGACGTTCCTCTGTGGAACGGTCTGGTTGAAGGGTCTGACTCTTCCGGTAGTAAGGCTCGAGTGCAGACCATGACCAACCCGAGGCGTGCTGACCCCAGGCGTCAATATCTTCTGATGGTGGGGAGACAAGAGCCATATAGTTGATGCCACTGCTGCCGCCAACGAATTTGCCCCGAACGACGTGGTGGATGCGGTTGTGATTGTGTTTCTAACGCCCAGTGAATCAGCCTTGGTCCATTGCGCCTTTCCCTCTCGTGCGCACTTTGCGCTTTGTAAACACCAGGGGGGGGGAATTGAGTATAACATGCCTGTGGAATGGTTTTGAATACTCAATCATAGTCGGGGTTGTTCCACATATTTGCGCCTCCAGCCAGACCATTGACATTCTCGTCATCCACTCGAAGCTTACCGGCTTCGACAACGCCAACGGTGACATTCGGGTTCTCTGTCAGTCTTGCAGCGAGGACCAGCCCAGAGGTTCCTCCACCAACAATGACATAGTCGTACTGTACTTTGAGAAAGTCGTCGAGCGACACGTGAGCAGCAAGAGAAGCCATTTCGCCCCAAGTTCCTTTGCGTGCAGATCAGAGTATCCATGGTAAGCAGAGAAAAGAAGTCCAAAGGTCCTCTCGAGTTCATACTGTCGTTTTCCACGTACCATGGCGGACGAAGGAGGAAGGGTAATCACTGAATGCATACAGCTGACGGTCGCTCCACTCTAAACACCGGGTGACGGATGACGGATGACGGACGACGGACGACGGCACCTACAGAATGATACTCGTGAATACTGTAGTAGACGGTAAGATGCCGCCTGGCTCTTTACATACCGTAGTAGTTGCTGTTCAACATTACCAGGTAACCTTAACGGGTTTTCTACTACTAGAGTGTTACCCTTGTCTCTCACCTCTACCAAATCTAGAGGACTAGTCACGTAGGACCATCATCTTCTGACCCCATTCCACGTTTTTCTTTACTTTGTTTCTCTTTGTACGATCAATGTACCAACCCGTCATCCTCGATCTGCTTAACGTATTTCAGGTACCTGGTGGCGCTGGCTTTCCGCATCCGACGGCCCCATTTGATAAAGACCAAGAATAACGAGATCTGGGCAAAGGCAACACACGCGGCGGTGATGAAGGCATTCTGGTAGCCCATGTTAGTCACCCAGGGGGTGATCCTGCAAGAAAAAGGTCAACCAATCGGTCATATTCTCTCTCTCTCTCTCTCTTGTCTGGGATTGTTTTGGGACTGCTCACCCGTAGCTCACAGAGAAACTCATGGTGTTTCTGATCAGAATGACCGTGACCATGCCATCACCACTGACGTCCTTGTAGGAATCGATGCAGTAGCTCACGGGCAACTGGCAACCGATGGTGATGGAGGCGGCGAGCATGCCCATGGCGAAGACGAGACCGAACCAATGGATATGGTGAGCCGCTCCGGGGCCCCAGATCAGGAACCCGCCAGGAATGAGGATGAACAGGGCACTGTACAGCCACAAGCGGTGCTCGGGCTCCATGACGCCATTGTTCTTTCGGGCCTTCCAGAGGATGAACCTGTCACCGATGGGACCAGAGTAAAAGGCACTTATACTGTTCAGCTCTGGTATGCAGTATTCGTCGCAAAGTTTGACTCACCCAAGAAGAACACCAATCAGACACGACACATAAGACAATCCCACCATGCTGGACGGGAAATTGTAGGGCGCATCTGCTAGGATCAGTGAAGAGGTGCCGTTCAGAATATTGAAGTAGCAGACGATGGAGCCGTACATAAACCCCGAAAAGGCGATGCCAGGGATCGACGCGAAGATCAACGGTCGGAGGAACATGCCCCTCAACTGGTTCCTCCTCTGCAGGTCTTCCTTGCGCAGGAGGGCCAACTTCTGCACGTACGTCTTCTTTTGGAATGTCTCTGAATGGCCTACTCCAACATGCGCGGAGCTGTGGTTGTTTTGCACCGTCTTCTCCGGGTCGGCAGAGTCTCCCGGCTTCGATCCTGCACTGATGGCCGTCTCTTCGATCGTGCTCTCATCGTCCGGTTCAACAGCCAGCAGAGGCTTACGGTGGTAGTTGGTCTCCTCCATCAGGAAGAACAGGATGATGAGAGCGCCACCGTTGAAGATCGCACACCAAAACTGGATACTTTCGGTCAGCAAGCAGATGACATCTGACCGGGAAAAGAAAAGAGCACGTACCAAAACCCACTGCCAGCCTTGACCATCGTTGATGAAGCCGGAGAATATGGGGGCAAGGAAATTGCTCCCGGCCAAGAAAAGTGCGTAGACACCCATGTATGTACCCCTTTCATGGGTGAAGTACTAAGAGAGTTCGATTAACTGGAGACCGGAGAAGTTACTGTGTCAGACTCACCAGATCAGAGACTGAGATTTCACAGAGACTCTCAATGGGGGCACCAAAGAAGCCCTGCAAGATCTTGTTGGCGATCCACTGACCATTGCTCGTGGTGTATGGGGCCCAGATCATGATTGCCTTTTGAACGAGAAGACTCGTTAGCCATATACACGAGCAGCAGTCGAAGGTTTTATTATTTTTCATAGTTCTCACCATGGTTGCCAGAACTGAGAACAGGTACACAGGCCGTTTCCCGTATTGCTGAGCAAGAGGCTGCCATACGAGACAGCCCCAGCTGGTAAGTTGATGTCAGTTTCCATGATTCCAGTATCTCAGGTGGGGGCAATCTTCTGCCCGATTTTGGCTTTTTCTATACATCAGCGAAAAGGGAACGTACCCGAAAGCGAGAAACATGTATCCTGTCCCTGCGTTAAGGTCGCTAACGCTAAGGTCGGTCGCTTCCGAGATGGGCACCAGGACCGAATAAATAGCGGCGGAAGCGTAACCGACGGCAAGGATGTAGCTGAAAAATAGAGTCAGCTACCGCGTCGGGAAGGGTGCATAAACAGCGGATAGAAGCATACATTGTGAGACAGAACAAAGAAAGGAGCTTGCGTCGTGGAGTCCAATTCAGAGGGTCGTCTGGGTTGGCCGACGGCGCAGGCACAAGGACGATGTCGTGTTTACCTCCCTCAGCATGTCGAGCATGGATCGTACCTTGCAAGTCAACTAAATGGACCGTGCCAGGAATGTAATCGTGGGCGGGTGTGGCCATTCCTGTGTCGACAGTCATGCTTGTTGGGCGCTTCTACACTGTTTGTTTATCAAGTTTGTGGTGAGAAGCGGCAGCAGAGACGAGGGCAAAACTGTCAAAATGGATAAGTTCGAGTCGAAGTCTGAAGCAAGTATCGCGGAAACCTCCTTTATATAGCTCTGGTTACGCACAGGACAATTGTATCACGGCATACAGGTAGATAGTGCACATGGCATGCGCGGGGCACTTTCTCGTCCGCTACCACACGATAGGCACAACCGACAGACCTATCTTCCCCCGTTCTAGGCTCGATGGAAGCCGTCTTCTTCGGCTAAGTTTGTGCTGATAACGAAGAACATGATGTTGTAAAGATAAAAGATATCAGAGAGTTGCACATAAAGGAGGAGGATGATGATGATCGGCCCAATAGTTCAAGTGCCAATCAGAGCTAATACCGGGTCAGTCCGGTTGAGGAAAGACAGTATGATGGGTCCGTTCGCGACACCTTCGAAAAGCGCCACCATGTACGGGTGTGAATTAAAGAGGTAGGGTCGACGATGGATCCGTAGTGATCGGTTTTACTGGTGTTTGGTTATCATCACAGCCACGACTTGGCCCGCCAACCTAAGGTCAAAAACCAAGTCGACCAAGTCTACACAAGTCTATATTAGCCAGATAGACGATGTGTAGGGTAGACCGACAGTGTGTTGGTGGTTTTGTATCAATGGTGATGATCCACCTGCTCCAAGGCGACTTCCCAGGCCAACCAATCAACGGTATTTGCGGGTTGGACCACCTTTCTACAAGGCTGGCTAATAATATGCGATTGCGAGGTCCATAATGGGGCACTGAGGAGATAGGAGCAGTAGATAGGAGATCTTCCCCGGGCCTAGGTGCTTTTTAGGTCTTGTAGAACCTAAGCCAAGCTAGTCTGTCTTGCATTCGTCTATCTTCTTGTTGTTTTCGGGAGCTGCGTAAGCACTGCTGGCTCTTATCATCCAAAGAGGCATGGAGCCTACCCCAAGTCAAAGATTAGCCTCAATACGAGGCTCCACCCTTTCTAAACAAGAAGTACCGTGGTGGCAACAACAACAACATGACTTGCTAGCCGAACTTCTATCGCCAGCGGCGGAGAAGAATTCGTGATAGTCTGAGTGCCATTCTCGCAAATCTGGCTCGTTGGTCAGAGCACGATTGCTTGGAACAAGGGGTCGCTGGTTGTTGCGAGGCGATGATGAATGCTCCCTCCCTCCCAACCCTCAATCATGATCTTCAGTGCTGAGGAAGACTCACTTCATTATTGTCTCAGCTAAGTGAATACTACTATATATACTATCTACATATTGACATCTCATCCTCCACCTGACTTTCCATCCCAGAGCATAACGCTTTTTGTCTTCTTTACTTTTCTAGTAGCTTGACCTTGACCCAAGCCAACTGTATTGAAATTCAAAACATCTACTCGCTTCGACTTCAGCAGGACCCCTTTCCGCCAACATGGTTCAGGCATCGTGGCAGGTCAAGGCTGAAAAATGCCGAAAGATCCTGCAGAACTCTCTCAACCCAGAGTGGCTGCTGCCGGTCGATGAATTGCCCCCGCCTGACCAGCTCGACGTGCACTCCTTTGCAGACACCTGCAAACTACTGACTCCCCGAGAGTTGGAAATCACAAAGACCAACGCCACAGACCTGGTGGCTCAAATGGCGGCTGGCACGCTGACGGCCGTGGACACGGTGACAGCCTTCTTGAAGAGAGCCCACCTGGGTCACCAGCTGTTGAACTTTGCGACCGAATTCATGGTCGAACAGGCTCTCACCCGGGCTTCCGAGCTCGACGCGCACTTTGCCTCGACAAAGTCCCTGGTAGGAGCTTTGCACGGCGTGCCCATCTCAGTGAAAGAACACGTGGCCATTAAGGGCCGCCTTTGCCATTCCTGCTACATCACCTGGACCGACAACGTCGCCGACGAGGACGCCTTGATGGTGAAGTTATTAAAGGATGCTGGCGCCGTCATTCATGTTAGAACAAATCAACCACAGACTCTTATGGTACGTCAGACAAACTTCGTTCGGTTGCTACTCCTGAAAGAATGTAGTCTCAGGAGTGGCAACGAAATGGTGCTCGCCTCGAACCATTCAATTACCCATGCTGACACACTGCGGCAGCACATTGATTGTGACAATGTTATTTACGGTCCCACGGTCAACCCCTATAACCGGAAACTCACCTCCGGAGGTTCGAGTGGCGGCGAAGGGGCGTCCCTGGGTTTCCGCTGTGCCGCCGTCGGCATCGGCACCGACATTGGAGGCTCTGTGCGCGTGCCCGCCGCGTTCTGTGGAGCTTATGGACTTCGCACCACGGCCTTGAGGAACCCTTACAAGGGTGTCCTCCTTGCTGGTGACGGGCAGGAAAGCATTCGCTGCGTCATTTCCCCCCTGGCCAATAGCCTTGCAGATATCAACCTCGTGCAAAAGGCCATCCTGGACCAGGAACCCTGGGAGGAAGAGACGTCGCTGGTCCCATTGCCGTGGAGGAGTGCCCCAGTCGTTGAACCCAGCCAGATCACCGTTGGTGTCATATGGGATGACGGGTGAGCTTTTCCTTTTTCTGACTCAGAGGAGATGCTGGACACATTCCCCCAATGACCCGGTGATGGAATGAAAAGCTGACAAATTCTGTCTAGGGTGGTTCACCCACATCCGCCCGTGACTCGTGGTCTTAAGCATGCCGTGTCGAACCTCAAGGGCGTCGGAGTCAAGGTGGTGGACTTCGAGCCGTACGAACATTCCCGAGGATGGGATATCCTCAAGGTGCTTTACTTCCCAGACGCAGGCAAGTACCAAAAAGACCTCCTGGCCAAGGGAGGCGAACCTGTTGCCCATTTGACGGATTGGGCCTTCAGCGTGGCCAAACCCGAGGCAATCAGCGTCACCGAGAACTGGGAGTTGAACGTGCGACGTGAAGCCTACCGAGCAGAGTGAGAAGTCGTCCTTTCCGGAACCCCCGAAAAGGCCGCTTGCTAACTATCCGATGCATTAGTTATCATCGCGTCATGAAGGAACGAGGCGTCGACGTTCTTCTCACCCCAGCCTACGTCGGTGTAGCTCCTGAGCTCGCCACCGGCCAGTACTGGCTGTACACGGCGATATGGAACATCCTCGACCAGCCCGCCGTCACCTTTCCGACCGGGTTGAAGGCGGACCCAAACGTCGACGTGGTCGAGACCGACTACACACCACGGTCGGCAGAGGATGAACGAGAGTACAAGAAATGTAAGTCAGGCATCTTCATGCATTTATTTTCAGCCCGAAAGCGGTCCAGTATTGACATGTCAGCAGACATTCCCGACAAATTTATCGGCGCACCAATCCCGTTGCAAGTTGTAGGCAAGCATTTCCGTGACGAAGATACCGTGGCCGCAGCCGAAATGATCTTGAAGATCATTCAGGAATAGCCAGTATTGAACATGAATGGTGTGGAGCTGGTTGAATCTTACCGTGCTTCCGACTGTAGGGCCAAAGATTGGGGGGAAAGGAGCCTAAGTTAATGAAAGACCGTTCTGTGACCTCCAAGTACTTTTTGCCGAGGAGCCAGATGGAAGACAGAGGACAAACTTGACGTCGCTTTCAAACTGAGGGTCCAGTTAAGTCAATATCTGCTACACCTGAGTTGAGATGCAAACCCTTCCAGTTGGTGCGCTACTAGTATCCATTGCCTCGACACCAGAGCTGTAGCCTGTAACAGCGAAGAATTTGGCGTCTTGGTCCTCGTTGGCCAATTCGAAAGCATACACTTTTCTCTTGTACCGAGGAGGGTGGAATATCGTGCGCGAAATGGTGGATACGGCTAAGCAGGCCCTGGGGCTTGGACCTTTGGAGGCTACTGTAAGTTAGTCAGTCTATCCTGGAGGTGGTTTAGCGAATTCTTCCTCCCGCCCTCGTCCGAGATAAGAAGGCTCGCCCTGTCCACTGCAATACATACCAAAACACCAAGTCTCATCCCGTCCTCTTTCTTCATTCTCATCGCCGAATGCGAGAAGATCGAGCAGACTTTCCCTTGCGGATGTCGAATGTAATCGAGTGGTGGGCGCCATGTGAGATCTCATCGGCACGGATATCATGCCTCATCCGAAGTTGCGAACAAAGACGGGTTGTTTAACGTGTATGTGTGCTCTGGCCACCTCCATCTCCCCTCTCCCTTATGGTTGGCTTGGGCAGCATTGATGAGGATACTTGTGGTCCCCAATAACAGGCAGACGGCGCCGACTGAAATGTGACGAGGTGCGACCGTCATGTCGTTACTGTTCCACAGCCCATCGTCAATGCGACTGGCCCTCGACGAGTGACCTCTACGACCGAAGGCACCGTCGGCCGTCGGGCTCCTCCACGCGTACGGAGACGTCGCCGGGTGATAAAGGAGTGACGCGTATTTTCGATGAAACCGATTCCGACCTGGACCTCCTCCTTCTGGAGCAGTGTGATTCTGGTGGTGCTAAAGATGATGCCAGCTTTGCGCGATCATTGTCGCTGTCTCGGCATGGCTATGGCTTCCACCAGGCAGGATTTGTCAAAAATCCCATCGTGCAGACGACCATCCGGTCGGACCTGGAGGTCACGTTGTTCCGATACTTTAGCGACTACTTCCTCTCCGTGTTGATGCTGCGCAACGCACATCCCGGCTTCTACGCCGACTATCGGACTTGCCTGGGTCGACTCATCTTGAACTGCGACAGTGTCAAGTGCGCCATCCTGGCTTGCTGCGCGTCCAATAGGTACATGCTTGACCGCGATCCTTCCCTGCGAGAAGTCTCGCTGAGGTACTACACGCAAGCCGTCAGACAAGTCAACAGGGTCCTCACCACGTCGGATTGGGCCTGTGAAAGCCCCAGCGATCACCTTCTGACCACCGTCATCTTCCTGTACATCAATGCAGTATGTATTGCCCCCAGATTTTCTGCTTGTGCTGTTACTGCGTCCCCGAGGGCGCTCATTGCCACAGATGCGCTCCGGTGACGCTTATTTTCTCAGCCTGCTTTCTGAGTACCTTGGATCTGGCAGCTGACACCGAAGCTTTCATCTCACTGAAGCTGTGGGGGCCAGATCTCGAACACGACGCCTCCAAACACGTGGCTGGCGCCATGCATCTGCTCAAACTTCGGTACAGCAGCAACAATGCGTCGTCGTCGCTGTCTATGACCCGGCCCTTCGACCGCATCACGGCAGAGAGTGTGCTCTACCAGGCGTTCCTGCTGTCCATGAGACGGCCCTTCGCCGTCGACTTTCAAATCGACCATCATTTTCTCGCCTCCACGGAACACATTCTCGAGTCGCCAACCTTCCAGGACGCTTCGTCGGCCGCGAACAGCCCCGTTTTGGGCGTGCCTCTGCCACTCTATCGGCTGATCCTGGACGTGATCCAACTGTGCAATTCTCCCAGTGGGGTCGATGCTCAAACTTCCTCCCAATTAAAGCGTGAGATGAAATATTGGGAAACAGTGGCCATTGAAGTGGACGATGATTGTCGCATTTCACAATCCCCAGCATCAACGCCCTGCCCATCGCCGCCACATCAGCACCCACATCCGCACCCTGAAGCTCTGGCTCTGTACGCGCTGGCCGGCTCCTTGCTGCTTGACTGGATGGTGGACTTACCTGAGTTACAACGTAACGTGGACATTTCCTCCCCACAATATGGCCGCATATCTAGCTTAGGCGTCTCCCAGTCACGCCCGCCCAAGACGGCGTCGTCATATACGTCCTTTGACTCGCCCACTGCCTCACCCCCTGCACCACCTCCTCTTTCTACGCGAAGCTGGCAACTGTCGCGGGCCCTGGAGATTCTTCACCGGCCAACCACGCACGAGACGTGGACGCGCAGTTTTCTCGGCTGGTGGCCGCTGCTGATTTTCGGCTACGTGGTCACGGATGATGATGACATCGAACAAATCAAGTCCTTGTTGCGCTGTATGCGCCGACGCATTGGCTACGGCGTGGTTGAGCGTGTGCTATATGAGTTGGAGGCGGTCTGGCAGTCGAGGCGGACCGCGGATGATCATCAGATGTCACTTGTGAAGCCTACAAATTTCGAGATGGGCTAGTAAAAAGATGTGGGAGTTTCCATGGCGACAAAATCATTGCACTTCTAGATTGTAAAGAATCATGAGAGATGCTGGTCTCGTCTGTAAAGGAGGACTCGTCGTATATGACAGGATTGAGATAGACGAACGGTTCGAAAGTCTCCAGGCAACAGGCTTGAAATAAATGGAGGGTCACAGCTGGGCAACTGTAGCCAAGGTCCAAAGGGGACCCCTGAGCCCGGACTGGCTTCTATGCATTGGTATCAGGGCAGCACTCCTTGTGGCTCCCCCGTACTCGGCCAGGCCTCCTCGACGCTCCATCACCTGCCAGATCAAAGCGGCCTCGCTCCCTTTCCTGAACGAAAATGGTAGTGGATGAAGCAGACTTCGGGGTATATATATGTGTGCGCACTCATACTTTGACGAGCTTGTTCACGGCATCGGCGATCCTGTCGCCAAGGGACGGTTGGACACGGCGGAATAATTCTATCACCAGAGACAAGGCACCCAGATGTTAGCAAACATCGCACAAAGGTTTTCGAGTTTCGCGTAGGATGCGGTGTGAGAAACTTACCAAACACTTTCTCTCTCAGCCAGCCCCTCTTGACGCCGGCAATGTGTTCAGAGATATTGGAGATGAAGGCCTCCTGGGCACCTTCTTGCTTGCCCATGACATCGTTCCACAAGGCGCCAGGCTGCTTGAAGTCCTCGTCGGTGACTTCGCTGTGGAAAGCGACGGGGTTTCCTCCGGTGACACTCTCCTCCTCTGTGGGCTTGTACTCGGACGAGAAGAACGAAGGATCCTGCTGGGAAACAAAATTCGTGGGTTGAATCGCGCTATGCAAGTAATTCGGGTCCGCCCCGTAATTGGCGCCAAAGTTCATGGACCCATCTCGCTCGGTGGGGATGTACACGGGGCTCTTGGCCGCGTTGGTCGGTAGCATTTGGTAATTCACGCCCAAGCGGTAGCGCGCGGCGTCCGGGTACGCGAACATACGGGCCTGGAGCATCGGGTCCGCGCTGGGTTCAATGCCGGGAACCATGGTGCTGGGACTGAAGGCCGCCTGCTCGATCTCGGCGAAGTAGTTGACGGGATTGCGGTCGAGAACGAGTTTGCCGACCGGGCGCAGCGGGTATTGAGCGTGCGGCCAGACTTTGGTCATGTCGAAGATGTTGACGGGGCAAGAAGCGACGTCCGGTCCCGGTAGGATCGTCTGGATGGATACGGTGTAGCTTGGGTGGTCGCCGGCTTCGATGGCGTTGTACATGTCCAGCGTGAGAGAGTCCGGATCGGTGCCGGCAAGACGGGTGGCTTCGGCGGCGGTGTGATTTTTGACCCCTGCGTCGGCATGGATCTGGATCTTGACATAGTGGAAGGAGCCGTCTTTCTTGGTGAATTTGTACGTGTGGCCGGAGTAGGCGTTGATGTTGCGCAATGAGGCCGGTGTGCCACGGTCGCTGAATAAGAACATCAACGCGTGAACGGACTCGGGAGCGTTGACGTGGAAGTCCCAGAACATGTCGGCGTCGGTGGAGTGGGTGGCGGGATGGCGCTTGTGTGAGCGGTTCAGAGAAGGGAATTTGATTGGGTCTCGGACGAAGAAGACGGGGATGTTGTTGAAGACCCAGTCATTGTTGCCTTGGTTTGTTTTGAACTTGATGGCCCATCCATGAACGTCGCGGATGGTGTCTGCTGAGCCGGACTCTGGGCCGACGGTAGAGATGCGGGTGACGACTTCTGTCTTCTTGCCGATGCCATTGAGAAAGTCGGCGTCTGTGATGTCTGAGATGTCGTGGGTCACCTGGAAGTATCCTCGAGTGCCAATCGCTTTGGCGTGGACGACTCGTTCGGGGATCCGTTCTCGAGCGAAGTGTGCCAGTGTCTCGATCAATTGCGTGTCCTGGAGGAGAACGAGGCCTCCGCCGTGCTTGTTGCGAACTTGCACCGCAGTGTCATTGCGTGGCAGGGGAGCTCCCTCTGCAAGGGTGTAGACGTTGGTTGGGGCGGAAGCAATCATAGTCAAGGGTATCAGGTACGAGACGAGGGGCCTGCCGCGAAGCTGAATGTGAACGAGTATCTTCAAGTATCTCGCCAGTAAGGAGGAGAAGGGAGTACACCTCACCTTTTTGTAGTACCGGGTTCAAGGGACCGTTCGGCATTGGACTTGAACGGCTGTCGTGGGCCTGCGTTGTTTCCCGCGCAACTTGTAGCATTGTCACCAACACAAACGATTTCCGGATCTCTGTTCTTGTGGGAAAAATGCTGCGAAGTCACTGGATCAGGACAATGGTTGAGCCAATGAAAAGCGCGTCAATGTTTTGCCAGCACCAGGCAAAATGTTGCGCAAGATTGCGTGGAGCGAGATTGGTGTTTTCTCGGAGTGCAAGGCTGACAAAGGCAGAGCCAGAGAACCATGTTCACGTCATGAGAAGATAAGCAACATGCGAGATGCGCCATGGTGCACGGCCTTCGCCCATAATGGCAAATGTATGAATGTGCTGGATTGGAGGAGAAGGAAATATCCGAGGACGAAGAGAATGAGAAACTCATGTTCATAAACGCGCCCCGGACAACCGCCGGCCTGACTAGCCCTCATCGAGCATCCCGACTGGGCTTTTCTATCATTTACCACTGCACGGTACAGAATAGATATCTGGAAGAGTCGTGTTGATAGCTGCTAGTGCGTGCGAATCGATGGCTCGAGAAGAATAGGTCTGCGAGGCGTTGAGGACAGCATCGACACACTGCCTCGTTGTCGGATTCTCATGCTGCACGTCCATGCTGCCCAACCATCTAATCGAGTCTCGACTTCTGAGGCCAGATGCTAGGTTGAGGCTTTCAGGTGGTCTTTGCTGCTCATGAAGATCCCCAAGCAACAGGCTGAAACAAGCAATGCAGGCTGGAACAAGGACCACCCTTTCTTCTGGACGTTCCATGTCCTCTTCGCATGCTCGTCTGCCATCCGGTAGAATATGCTGCCGTCGTACACGCCGCGGATGTCTTCCTTCTTCATGATCCCGTCGTCTGGCCAGAGCAACAAGTACACCGCTGTCCCTATTCACTCCGTCAGTTCTGATCTCTGGTTTGATGCTCCAAAGCGACAAGACTCACATTCAAGAAGGGTGGCACTGATCCCAAACACGTCAAGCACCATGCGTTGACCTTTCCAGAAGCTCCACACATCTCCGAAGGTCAGTCCGCCCTTGTTGTCACGGTCGTACTTGGCGAAGATGTTCTCGAAGTGCTGTGGAGTGAATCTGCCTTCGGTGTCGAATGTCATGCTGTCACTGCCGTGCTTGCACTTGTACACTCTGTCGAGGTAGATTCGGAAGAACGGGTCAGGTAAGATTCCTGGTACGGTCGGATACGACAGGTTGAAGTTGATGATGAATGTCGCCAAAACACTGAGAAATATATTCCAACCTGCCGTTGCACTCAATAATGAATGTCCCAAGCGTTCCGGAGGTGTTGACTCACCAAATTTCCTACAGCCATGATACGTATCTGAGGGCCAAATGACGCCGTCACCATCAGGGTCGAAGTAGTCACAGTGCTGCTGAACGACAGTGCGGTGCTTGTTGCGAGTGGCAAAACCGCCTTCCACAGTGCCATTGGGATGCTTTGTGTCAGCGGCGATGTTTGCTCTCGCAGTGCCCAGATCGGCCAACGCTTCAGATTTGGACGGCTTGTACGGTTTGCGCTCCTCAGTCACAGGCTGCTCAGGAATGGCAATGTCGAAGGACTTTTCGGCCGTGGTGACTTCATGTTTGCGATCCATTATCAATCTTGTCACTCTCGCTTCCAAGGAGATGTTGCTGATGCCTTGGTTTGGTTCTCAACGGTAGCAGGTTGGGCACTTAAATAAGAGTGACAAGGCATGAGACGGTTATGCAGATACGGTTGGTGTCATACTCTCGGGCACTTGTTCCTACTCACTTCGACGTTCGTGATACAAGGAAGGTATGCTCGGGATCGCCTTCCGGCTGTTGATGACGCTGGACAGGGAAGGACGTGAATCTTTTGCACATGTCAAGGATCCGATCTCCGACAACACAATGGACACGTGCTGGTGGACATACTGATCCAAATGCGAAGTATCCTTCTCACTTCACACATCGCTATCAAGGTGTCTTCGCAGAGTAGGGTCGCCGGATCAAAGCGACTACTTGGTTCTCGAGTATTCCAAATCATGGCTACCGACTGCTCTCAACCAAAACTTGATCGAAGAAGTCATCAACCATGTCGACGTCCTCGATTTCGCATATCAGGGACACATGTTGATCCGGACGGCAAACAATGATACAACCGCACCCCGGGTCCACGCCGTATCTCTGGTAAGAGTCCTCCACATCACTTTTCTCCTCAGAGCTTTCGCTTGTAAACACCTTCCAGTAATCGTATCCTAATTTCTCATGGTAAGGGTGCAAAACCTCTGGCAAGTCAAGGAGTTCTATCTCCACTCGTGGCGCTGAATGGATGGTAATGATCTCAACCACTGCTTCGGAGACGGTGGGGCGACAACATCGGCCTACGATGGACTTCTTGCTTGAGAAATGCGCTGCAAAGTTGTCTATGCGCCTTCGTTGTTTGGCATCCCGCAAATCCCCAGCAAATAGCATTATTCTCCAAGGTCCCATAGCATCCATCAACTCATGGACTTGGCGAGGGCTGGCGTCAGCTTGATTGACAACAAAGTGCGAGCACAGTCGTTGGCCAGTGCGAACTTTTCGAGCGAGATTCCGCTTGGATCGGAACTTGCATGTTTGGCCTTTCGTATCCGACTCGGAATCGCCGTTCGTCTGCTCATCATGGTCGTCCTGTGCTCTGATCATGGAGGGACCGTAAGTGACACCTGTGCCGCTCAAGAAAGGGGTGAATTTCTTCCTGAATTCGTCGTAGTTGACGGACTCTTCACATGGTCCATCAACAAAGAATTGAGACATCTGGCGGTCGAGATCGAGCAATGTTGTGGCGACTTTATGTCTCTCGGATTGATACGTGTCCAGCAGCTCCGGCTTAGCAAGACGCTTGATGACCATGCCCAATTTCCAGCCCAGATTGAACGAGTCCTGAATGGACACATTCATACCGGCGCCCATAGTCGGAGTATGAGCATGCACTGCATCACCAACCAAAAAGACCCTGATAAACGGCTTAGCGCTATTTCGATGGCTCATGAATACACCTTACCGATTGTGCAGGCTCGTGGTCTTCGCGATCTGGTGGTCCACCTGCAGATGTCAGTGTAGGCCCCAGGCCCGTGGTTGAAGCGGCACTTACTGTATACACCGACCACCACTCACACGCTGCACTCTGCAGCTGGAACGGACTAAAGATCTTTTGAGCCTTGTCAAGAATGTCATCGAAAGATATCTTTTTGGCATTGAACGACTCCTCTTCATCACCCGTTTCCGCTAGTTGGACGTAGCACCTGAGTAGCCGGCCTTCACGGGGAAGGGTCATCACACTTCCGTGGCGAGCAGAATGTATGACACAGGACACTCGAACATCCGCTGCAAGCCATCAGTGGCCGCGTATCGAAAGGGTTGAGGCGGCTTACGAAAATTTGTCAACGGTATGATATCCATGACGCCAAAGTGTTTCTGGGTGCGATTCTTGTTGATATCGAAGCCACACTTGTCTCTCACCCAGCTATGTGCACCATCAGCTCCAACAAGATACTTTGTCCGTATCTGCTCATGTCTGGGCCTAGCTCCATCTAGAATATGTTAGCAGCCTTCATGACGCCACTGGTTGGACTTCGTACTGGACGATTGCGATTTGTCGCTGTGCGATATGTTGAGCGTGATAGCATGTTCACACTGTTCTTGTTCATGGATATCATCGTAGGTAATTGATTCCGTGACGACGTTGCGTTCAACTTTAAGCACCCCTTCTCGTTGCAGCAAGTCCAGAAATGCGCCTTCGATAAAGCCTTGCTTTAGCGACATCTGGGGATATCTGCTGAGATCCATTTCAGGGTCACGGATTCTTTGCGACCGCTCGATACGACTCTCGTCTTTCTCCGAGGGGTTCTGCGTTCAATGTCAGCTGTGCATGTGAAGTCTGACTCTGGTGAGGTGGACTACCCAGGAGCAGATTTCCCGTATAGGCTGGGCCTTATCGGTGATTGATGTGGCGATGCCAAAGCTGTCGAGAATCTCGATTGTTCTCGGATGAAGGCCATCAGCTCGACCATCGTAGACTTGCGTAGCCTTGTCGTCGATGATACGAGCTTTCAGTCCGAAACGACTAGCCCATGCTGCGAGAGTCAAGCCTGCAGGGCCTGCGCCGACAATCAAAAGATCGGTGTACGATATTTGTCGGTCCTCAGGCCCTGTGTCACTTGACGCGGGCATTTCGAGTCTCATGGTGGATACAAATTCCGACGTCTAGGTTCAATCAAGCAAGTGCTCACGCAAAGGGATACGGAGGGTTGATCACACCATGAAGGGTACTTGGGCCTCTTGCCAGGCTTCAGCTTCATCTAGCATGACCTAGGGAGGTACTAGTAGACAGTGGAAGACACTGCGTCATGATATTGACCTACCTTTACCTTAGGTAATGTGAGTAAAGGCGCTTACCTTCAGGCTGCCACACAATTCAATAGTCAGAATTCAATAGTCATCGGGTCATGATTGATTGCAAGTTGATTTAATGGTCGGAAGAGGGAATCTACTGTGCAGTACTACGCAATAAGCGAATTTTGGCTTATGATGATTGGCTGGGATGCGCTCAAAAGGGCCTTGCTCATTATGATGTCACATTCCAATGATGAAACGTCCTTCGACACTACGACCACTAGGGTAAAGCCTTGGTAAAGAATGGTAAAGACTGGTAAAGACCTGGTACGACGACGAGGGCGGATGTACTTCTCCCGGATTTGGTTCCTGTCAAACAAATCGTCTTGCTTCCGGACCAAGTTTCCGAAGATCAAAGATCCAAAGATCAATCAATCATCTCGTGGGTGTCGGCCAGGACTTTGTTTCCAGAACGCCCAGGACAAGCTCGCTCCTTTCGTTGGACGGGAATGGTGCCATCGCCTGGGGCCTGACGCCCGTAGATCAAGATGCAGGAGATTCTCCCTTTCATTGGCTTCACCCTGTTCTATTCAAGACCGGCATGGGGAGGCCCAGGAGAAATTTCCCCGGTCAGTGTGGAGCATGGGTAAGATGATAGGTTTATTGTGATCCCGGCCGTGATTTCGTCACACCAAAGCCGTGGTATATATTGAGGTACCGATTGCCACCAGTGTCTCTTCACAAGAGAACATTGCAATCCCAACATGATATCGAAAGATCCTGTTGACATTATCGACATCAAGTCTGATGCAAAGGGGACGGCCTTGGCTCAAGAAACGCGCAATGCCCTGCACACCAAGCCGGCAGCGTTCCATCCGCTACTGCTTTGGGACGAGCAGGGGCTCAAGAACTTCGAAGCTGTCACCTATGCGAATCAGTATTATCTGACCAATTGCGAAATCGAGTTGTTGGAGAAGCATAGCAGCGAGATTGCTGAGGCTCTGGCGCCGAATTCTATCTTGGTGGAATTGGGTAGCGGGTGGGATTAAGACCACTCTTGGATTTCTGACGGCTCTAACCCGTGCTACAGATGTCTCAGGAAAGTCAAGATCCTCCTGGACGCGCTGGAGAAGAGCGAGAAGCGGGTAGATTACTATGCGCTTGACCTCGACTATTCTGAACTAGAGCGCACATTACGCGACATCAGGCCTCAAGACTTTCACTATGTGCGATGCCACGGTCTTTTCGGTAGCTATGACGACGGGTTGAAGTGGTTCACAAGCTCCGAAATCAGCTCAAAACCACGATGCATCATGTCTCTGGGAAGCACGCTCGGCGGGTTCAATCGAGACGAAGCAGCAAAATTCCTCTCTCAATTTGCCAGCTTACCGGCACCACACTCGTCAAGTGTTCAGTCGTCTTTGATGCTAATTGGATTGGACGGCTGCGAGGACGGTGACAAGGTCTGGACGGCGTATAATGACGACGAGCAGCGCAATGAGAGATTCATCCGGAACGTCTTGTCGCACGCCAACAGAGTACTGGGTAAAGAAGTCTTCCGTCAGGGCGAGTGGGAACATCGTGGCAAGTGGAATGACGAGCTAAAGAGGCATGAGCAATATTTGATTCCGAAGAAGGATGTCTGGTGTGATGGTCACTGCTTACAAGCTGGTGAAGAAGTGTTTGTTATACCCAGCTACAAGTACGGATCAGAGCAACGATCAAAACTGTGGCACGATTCTGGGCTGCGACCATTGAAAGAGTGGACTACAAAACCACACAGCTACGGTCTGTTTCCATCTCGGCAAGCAACTTCTCAAGTACTGACGAGCACACCAGGTCTCCATCTTCTAGCCGCCGCCCTTCCAAACTAGAAGCAACAGTCTTTTCCGGTGTCGAGAAAAGGCCATAAGATGTGCAGAGAGTCCTGCTTCTGATGCTGTCACAAGCCCTGACTTTAAGAGCTCAATAGCATGTCCAAAGTGCCAATTCTCATCACCATGTTGCTCGTTACAAGGATTCTTCAGTGCGACGGGATATCTCGACATGGTGGTTCACTACACAATGGCTTTCCTGGTACCAATTGGCTTTTTCTTGCTTCCTCTGCCACTCGCCCAGCATGCTTCCTGCGTAGTTGTTATGCGAAGAATCTTGTCCATGGATTTCGAACCATCATTCATACCATCCATGCAAAGTCTCCACGGTGACTTGGGTGGGAAAGCACAAAAAATGGAGTCCTCCCTGTCCTGACATTGGGCAACAACGCTCTTACTGGTCACCGATCAGGTCGCCAATGACGCTGTCTCGGACTCCCTGACAACATGCTTGTCACATCTCCTCTCGTCCAATGATCTTTGGAGACTCTTTATCGAGGTACATGATTTTCTGCTCTTCGTTAGTTTTCCTCGCAACCATTTGCGATATCAATGGTGCTGTGACTTACCAAAGCTGTAACATGTCTTTCTGGTCCCTCCATCAACGCCTGCGCTTGCTCTCCTAATCGATTGATGTCGAAATTGTTGACGAAAGGAAACAAGGCATTGCTTGAAGGATGCTTCATCACACGTCCAGCCGGAAATGTCACAAGGCTCCATCGAAGTAGTGATAACATCGCCATAGCCATAGGTTCGTCATCCGTTGCAGACGTAAAGGGCCAGTTGCTCATTCCGGGCGACACTATGCTCCAATGGGCGCAGTGGTGCAGAACATACATGCGGATGACGTTTGCTGATTCTGGCAGCTCTTCGTCCAGCATGGCGTGAATGAAATCGAGGTGTGGTTTGACGGCTGTTATGGCATTAAAGATCCGCTCGATCTCTCGCCAGGCAAAGAGTTGCAATGCGGGCACCATAAGGCGATCCGCCATCACGAACACCTCGAACCAGTATTTGTGACGGCTTTTTTCAAACCATCCCTTTTGCCAGTTCTTGCTGTTCTCGCGAGCTCTTCGAATCTTGCTGCTCACCATACCGGGGTGTTTGCCGTACAGCCAGTCACAAAATCCGTCGAACACCTCGGGATCCTCGTTGGGTAGTTTGACCACTTTTGTCTGGCCTTCCGCGAAGAGGCTTCGGAGCGCGCCCTTGAAAAACCATGAGGTCTTGCACAGAAGGTTCTCGTGGATCGTCTTTATGTGAGGGGAATCGACGTTGCCGATGACCACCTTTACCATTGCTGTGCCTGAAGGGACACATGGGGCGTCAGTTGGAGGAAATCGAGTCCACATGTTGAGATCAGTCGAAGGGGTCGGCACCGGTAGGTAGCGAAGCGAAGATCGTGGTGTAGGTAAGAAGTAGCAGTTAGGAGGCAGGGACATGTCCACAACTTAGCAACAACAGGAAAAGGCAGGCAATTTCAAGTGGGCGTGAAGTTGAATGCGCAATCTCTGCCTCTTCATCACTTCGTTGACAGAGTGCTCGAGCAACTGCCTCGCATCTGGCTCTTGGCGGGAACCGTTGTTGCTCAACCTTCACTTACCAAGTGAATGATCCTATGGCAAGGTGACATAGTCTCATTGATTTTGCGACGTCCCTGGAAGATATGGCTTTCCCTATGTCAGCCACCCCAAGTCCAGCGTTGATGAAATCCTCGCATGTTTCTAGCAGTCTGCAAACCTGGCCCAGCAGCATCTCTATATGGGATCCGGCGACATATTCGAGTGACCAGTCCAAGATCGACGACTCGAATTAGATGCATGATGACTTGTGAAGCAGGAAAAATGAGAGTCTAGCATCTAGGGGCTAGTGAGGCTCAGCCTCGCGTCTCAAAGAAGGCCTAGTCACGTGATGGGGCTCTACTGCAGCCTCGTTCTCCAAGTTTTCTTCCCCGCATTCAGCCTTGCAATAATTTTTCCTACGTTCACTTTCCATTTGAAACTGTCTTCATACAACATTGTCCACCATTGACTGTCCTAGCCGAAAACATGCCTCATAAGCACAAGCGGAAACATGACGAAACCGAGGATTCAAAGTACGCATCTACTATTCTTTGTGCCTTCCGGGCCCCATTCGCTCACACTATACTAACTCGCCGCCGCAGTTTCGACCTCCCGCCCACATCCCGCGCACGCACGCTCACCGTCCACCAGAAGTCGGAAGGCATATTTGACACCTCCAAAAGCAAGAAGATACACCGCGAACATAAAAAAGCCAACAAGAAGAAACCCAACTCCTTCGAAGATGACACCCCGAAGTCCTTCGCCCGTCTGATGGCTTTTCAACAGGCGGGAAGACGCTTACCATCCGGCCTCGACAACGGAACCACTTCCAGCAAGAAATCCAAATCTAAGTCTAAGACGAACGCTGTTTCCGACTCCAAACCAACCGCCGAGTCCACCACAACCACAACCACAAGCGAACCCAAGAAACCACTCCAGATCCTTCCTGGCGAACGCCTCTCCGAATTCGCAGCGCGAGTTGACCAGTCTCTCCCTTTAACCTCTGTGCCCCGCCACCAAACCCGAATGAACAAGATCCCAGGCCTCGAAAAGGTCAAGACTCCACTGACAAAGCACAACAAGCGCCTCGCCCGGTTACAAAGCGAGTGGCGCAACACGGAAGCCAAGCGGCGCGCAGCCAGAGAAGAACAGGACGACGAACTGGCAGACCAGCGCGAGGAAGACGGACTGCTCTGGCTCGGAGCGGGAATCGACCGAGATAAACCGGTCGGCACGAAGAAGAAGAGGCCAAAGCGTTCTGGTAACGACGATGACGCCGACCCATGGAAGCAACTCGAGAAGAAACGACGCGAGGAAGGCGAGCTCCGGCAGAAGAATTTGCAGGACGTAGTCCTTGCCCCGCCGGTACTGAAGAGCGTCAAGAATATCTTCAAGGTTAAGAGTGATGGAAATGGGGATGGGATGCCGAGGGCGATAATGACTTGATATGGTCCTTTCTTGCGTATTAATGACATTCAGAATCTAGCCCGAATCGTAGACCTTGGACTTTTGCGGGTTTTACTCACGATGATCGATCGCGAAGGCGAAGGCGAAGTGCATATTCCTGGCCTGAGCTGCGCGGACAAGGCTATTTCGAAGGCTAACATGATGTGCACATGTACACCATCCCAGCATTCTTGGCCACGCTCCAGCACATCCCAAGCCATGTATGCCGTATATCGGAGCACCCCTATCCCATCTTTCACATACAGCTGTACAACTCCAATCCCTATCCTCACTTACTGCCGAAAAAAACACCAAATTATCCTTCCATCTCGGCCTTGGCAGCAGCCCTCGTTCAGCGCAAAGCACGTTTCCATTAAAATGCAATACGAAAAACCACAGCACCAGTCATTCATCCCTGGCAATCTCAACCGCTGCCGCTCCTCGCCATGCAAAGAGCCAATCTCGCTCCCTTCCCCGCAGCCTTTCAAAAAGGAAGTCCGTCATGATGATGAAGTCAACCCGCATTGGCCGGGTACAAAGCCATCTTCATCCTCTCTCTCCAGAGCTCCTTGAACCGTCTGTGCGTGGTGCGATGACTCTTGTCGAAACTCTGCTTGATATACCAACTCAACACGACGTTACACCTGGTCTGCTGCGTCTCGAGCAAATTGATGACGCCACTCGCATTGCCCAGCGAGAATTTCCCGTCTTCGCTCTCCTCCGGTGGGGCCGCCTTGTTCTTCTCCTCGTCGCTCCCGCTCCCCCTGTCGGCGACCTTGATGACCCACCTCCCGTGGATCGTTACGCCGTTGCCAGGGTTCGTCAGGCTCTCGAGGCCGTCCCGTGTCTGCCTCAATGCTGTGTGGTACACGAGCGTAGTGCTGTAGCCCGCGAACACGGGCAGTTTGTCGGTGATTTCGTACTGCGAAAATTGACTCGTCGCGTAGGCCGCGCTCACGTCGACGTTGAAATTCGAGGCGAGGGCTTGTGTGTCCACGAGCTTCGGGTGGTCCGCTGGCATGCTCGTGACGTCCAGGACGAATGGGTTGAGCGTGCACATCGTTTTGGCGGACTGCACCATGTCCAGAGCCAGCGCGAGCCCGGTTTGAAGGACGTCAGAGGCCGTTTTGCCCGGTGGAGGGGGAGGGCAGACCAGGTCGGTGATGTAGCCTTGTTGGAAAGAGGTCTGCATCCTGGCGGTCGGGTCAGAATCGGATCGGGCGCGTGGTCCTGGACAGACAATAATCCTGGACGGGGATGTCCCAACTCTTAGGGTGTGAGAATTGCTAGGGGCGTGAGGTTGCCTCCTGGCCCGGAAATCCTTTGTGGCTGTAGATGCGTCTTGGAGTGATTGATTCGGAGTGTTTTTGGCGAAATGATACTGGTAGGATGCGAGTGTTGACGAGTGATATAGTACTCCTACTAATGCAGTGCTTAAGAACGAATCCCCCAGTTCAGTCGCACTTCATGAAACCCTCCGAAAGAAAGGAATGTGCTGTCGTGGCAACGCTAGCAAGTGCTGATCCAGGCTATGCGCGGTGTGAGAATCTATCTGTTGTTTGTACGGCGAAACCGCTCGAATGGTGTTCGTGCGGTTATCTCTTTTGCGAGTAAGTATGCGCTCAAGTGAGATACAAGTCCGCGGTTCATAAACGTGTTGCTCGTATCCAATTCCAGATCCAAGGTGAGATGTTGAGGAAGCGCGGCTGGCCCTGGCCCCCGGCCCCCGTCCCTTCTAGTAGTAATCAATCCCACCACCCACTGTAATGGGCGGCAACAGAGGCGGTCCAGCCCTGCGTCGAAAAGTCTGGAATGGAATCGATCTCGCAATATGTTGAGCAGTCAGTGCCTCTGATGTAGTCAAGTTGTCATCTTCGTGCAACTGGTGGGCGATGTTTTCATAGAGAAATGACAGGGTTAAGGCCGAGTCAGCGAGGTGCTGGTAAGAATAGCGCTCGCCTTTTCGCTGTTGGGTTTAGCGGTGTCATGAGTTCTAGGAGATGACCTCCTCCAGCTAGCCTCTTTGATACAGCTAGGTGTGGGAGCGTATGATGTTCAGCTGTGGCGTTTTGGGCCTCTAAAGACCAGCCGCACAGAGCGCGAGGCGGCCAAAGGTCGATATAATAAAGTGCTTACCTATTTATAATTTGGGGCCACGATATGATGGGTGGATGGGCCTTTACGACCATCCTTTGCCTATCACGTACAGGGGCAGAGAGCGATGAGCGCCTCGTGCGTCACACGCCATGTCTATCAAACACTTCAACCCTCACCTTTTGACCAAGGATCGTAAGAGAAACAAGAGATCGCTTGAAAAATCTTATTTATACAGTCCGACTAAGCTAATGCAAGCTCTTCCGCCAGCACCATGCGCGTGGGCGTCTGGGGTGTTCCACTTCACCCTCGACTGGTGGCTCTTCTCCTTTGGAATAAGAAAAGGGAGTGCTCTGAAGATGCTCTCCTTGATCGCGCTTGAACGCAGCAAGAATGATGGATGAACTTTTCACCTCTTTCCCATTATCTTTCCGAATGTCAACCCGTCTGAGGCCCCATCGCGAACTTGACCGGAACGACCCATTCCGTGCCAAAGTCCACTCCATGTTTCCTTCTGGATCCATGTTTCTGCCAAGCTGCTGCAGCAATCCCAATATCGGCGACCAAGACTTGCCAGGTCACTTGGACACCATCCATAGCCATGGCATGCAGTAAACCACTTTTCGGCGCTCCCAGACTGACGACGAATTTGCTGGCCATGACTAGGAGCTGTCCGTCAACCTCGGTCACCAATCCTGACGTGGCGGACAGTCCACTCGGAACATCGATCGAAATGACCGTCGAACTTCGGTTCGCCCACCGGATCATTTCCAGGGCCGTCGCTTGATCGTCTGTTCGTAATTCCTCAAAAGTAACATGCACGCCGAGCAGGGCATCAACCACCACGTCTGGAGCAATTCCTCCTTGAGATGTTTTGGCCTGGTACTCGTCCCATCGGTCCACGTAGCCCTGGCCCTTTTTGTAGATATTGATTTGTTTGCGCATCACTTCCAGCAGGACCTCTTCGCGCTCGCCACCAAGGACGACTATCGTCACCCGTAACCTCCGATTGCGCAAATGCCTGGCTGCTGCGATGGCTCTAGCACCGGACTTGTGATTTCCAACCAGGAAGACCACATTCCTCACATTCGGAATGTTCAAAACAGCCATGGCTATGCTCCGACCAGCGTTTTCCGAAAGCATGTCTTCGGTGAGGCCCAGCTCGGACGTGCATAGTTGCTCAATCTCCAGCATCTGTAGAGGCGAGAGGCAATGGCATGGCTTATTGTTCAATAGTTTGAAGGAAGCTCGAATGCCCGACAAAGAACCGTTCATGGGTGACGACGTCTGCATCCGCGTCAGAGGCCGCGGCGACTCGGCACGGTCGATGTGTCCTGGGATAACACTCCCTTTCCTCGCTTGCATGGGACGTCTAGAGCCGGCTCTCTTGGATCCTTTACCACTGCTGTAGTGCTCTTCAATCATGTCGTTCTCGGTCTCTCCAGCCTCGCTTTGCCATCGGTCGTTAGCTTTGACATTGGGCGTCTCGAGAACGTTTTCAGTCCAGTGGAGATTTCGCCCGCCATTCGTCCCGGGCCGTGCTTTGCGGTTGAAACTGACTAGCCGATCAGCCTCGGCAGTGGTATCGGCCTGTCGGATGTCGTCGAAAACTTGTCTTTTATCAAATTTGGAAAGGTTGCTTTCGAAGTCGAAATCGCCCAGATCTTGTATGTCGGTCGCATCTTCCGTGGCCCATCCATTCAATTCTTCAGCTGTCTTCCGTCCTCGTTGGACCTTTTTCTTGGTTTGTTTTGGAACTTCCTCGATCAGTGGTGTCTGGCGCCATCCCTTACCTTTTCCAGCTTTCTTCTGATTCTTCAACGGGCCAAGGTTCACGTCCATCATATCAATAATCCCTGGCCCTGTTTGAGATATCGGCTGCTGCTTCTGTATGGCACTGTTCGCTGTCCTTATAGGCTTGCCATCAGCGACGTTATTTCCCAGCCGTAATGCATCGAAGGGTTCAGTGAGCGTCGCAGTCGCGGGCGTATTCTTCTGCGCCTTCTTAGGGACAGCCGTAGCGATGCTAGATACGGAACTTCCACGTATTGGTCCAGTGCGAGGCAGTTGCGTAGACTGGCTGCTGACCACGCCATCAGCGATCATAATAGGAGAGATTGGCCCTTGTTGGATTGAAGGCCGTCTTGGACCTTTGCTTGGGGGTTTCGTGTAACTAATGATGGCGGGATCGATGTAAGCGGCATTTTGCTGGCTTTGTGGAATCGTCTGAAAAGACGCAGCTTGCGAAGATTTGGCATCGACGACAGGTGTAGATAATTCCTCCTCTTCCACAGCGGTTTGCTGGGTGGGTGCTACCTCGAGGTCGGCGATTGCGGAGGATTCGATTGCATATGATGAGAGTCGTTGGCCATTCCAGAGCAACAGGACTGGGATCATCAGCACAGGTCTCGAGGACAGAGTGTCTGCCTACCATTCTGTAGAAGGAGTTTCTGGTTCACGACATCGGCAACCACGCCCTGCAGCTGAGCATTGGGTGGGCTGTGGAGCGTGACCAGAATCGTGTAGCCGATGAACTCAGAAGCCATGTCGGAATGAGGGACCAAACCTAGAATGTCATGGTGTGAACGCGAGAGAATATTAGTAACGCCAAAGAAGGGTACATCAAGTGTGAATGCTTGATCGTTGTGATCGTTGAAGGTCGCAGACAAGTGAATGCGTGTACCACAGTATGCGATTCTGCTCTAGTTACAGATCCGCTCTTGAATTTTCCCAATCCGTCATCAGGACTACTAGTACCCGCACTTTAACTTAGTTAGCAGCTTCTTTCCCCGACCATCATCTAATTCATCAATCATCATGCTCAGTTCTTCTCGATACGGTCCAATCTCAATGTACATATTCAAATTCATGCCGGTCTAGTGAATCCTTGTGAGCTTCAAGCGTAGTCTACTGTGGGGATCGCGGCTATCTGAGTGGGCATCAGGCCGCGATGAATTGGGTGAGACTCTGCACAATTAAACATATTGTGCAAGCCGCAAGGTATGACCGCTCTACCAGAGACACCCAGCGGATTGCAGTACAATGTCATCAAGATAAATGTTGAGCGGCAGGATTTCACGGCAGTTCCTGGAGCTGTATCCACTAAACCTGGCATCATCTTGGGAAGTTCTGCTAGTACCCAGGTAGGCATTGCTGGCATCTACCACTTAGCGTATGTCTGGAATCCTGTCACAGGTCTCTTCAATAAGGTATACCGCGTTGAATCATGCTCCCAGATACTGCGCGCTACATCCTGCCACTCTACGGACCATTCAAAGTACTGCTCCTGTGCTTTACCATATGTAACTTTCCACAGCAATGATATACCAGGTCGTTCCGAGAGACTATTCTATACAGTACCGCTTGCCCGCATCATCTGCGATTCTAATTCCAGCATTTCTTCGTAGGAGAAATCGTCCCCGAACTCATCCTCTTCCACACATTGCTCCCCAGCTTTCTTGACAATCTCTTTCTTGGCAATGGTAGATGTCTCGCCAACGCTGGCCGTGACTTGCTTTACCAATGTCTCATGACCAGACAACTTGGAGTAAAATTCAAGAACTTTCGCGTGGACCATGACCTTGCGTTCGTCAAAGCGAAGCACTTGTAAGCCTTCCTTGCTTCTTGCACGGCTCAATGCAACGTAGGCTTGTCCCTTCTCGAACACCTTCCCGAGGTCGACCTTGACTCGGCTGAGAGTTTGTCCTTGAGCCTTGTGAATCGAGAGGGCCCATGCGAGGATCAATGGAACCTGCACCCGTTTGGCAATGACCTCTCCTTGTTGGGATTCAGTCTTCCATTCATCTGGAGAGCAAAGCATGCTGCGCGATGTGCCATCGGGCAGATTGAATCGAACCATTGGCCACAACCTCGTGGAACCAGCACCTGCGCCTTGAGACTTCATTCGGGCAGCCTGGATCTTCTCACGTGCGGCGGCCTTGTCGTCTGAATCATCGCCATCACCGGGTTCATGTGCTAAGAGGAATGTGGGCTCGTCCTCTTTATAGGCGAAGAAGGTGCCTTCGTCCATGAAAGACTGGACAATGCCTAAAGAACCGTTGACTAGTTGAGTGTCGATGTTTTTGATCAACATGACCTGGGAGCCTTTCTTGAGCTCGAGGACTTCTGGAGCAATGAAATTGGCAAGAAGATTCTTTCGAACAGTCAGGTCCTGGATACCCGAGTCGACAGCGTTATATGTCATGATTTGTCCAGACAACTTGCGCATCCGGTTCTGGTTAGCACTTTCGACTTCTTCACGACGTGGGTACCTGGGAGTGGTTAGTGGACGTCGTTGGCAGTGACAACATGCTTACAGTTCAGTGGCCTCGAGCTCGTCCCGGAAATTGAGGGGCCTTGACAACGATTTGAACTCGCGGATCGTGGCGGCACTCATTTTCCCGAGCCGCATTTCATTCAGCATTCTTGCAAAGTGCTCGTCCTTTTGCCGGAAGACGTGCGTCAGAAGAATGGTATGCTGAATGCAAGTATTCCAGGTCACGGCATCGAACACAAACTTGGCAGTCGAGTTCTTGTCTGGAACGGGAGGAAGCTGGAAAAAGTCGCCTGTCACGACTAACTGTATACCACCGAACGGCCGGCCGTTGTTTCGTATTGTCCTAGCAACTTGCTCGAGTTTGTCGAAGAGCTGGCCATCCACCATGGATATCTCATCAATGATAAGGAACTTCGTTCTCAGCCATTTTTGTCGTGATTTCTGATTCCGTTTGATCTTCTTGACCAGCTCCGGTGCAGGCTCTTTGCCCAAGCCGATGCCTGACCAACTGTGAAGTGTTTGGCCCTCCAGAATGCACGACGCCAGACCCGTTGAAGCTGTGATGGCGATACGGTCAGGCTCTTTCCGGTATCTGTGTTTCAGTTGAGCGATTATGGCTCTCATGAGCACCGACTTTCCTGTGCCAGCAGAGCCCGTAAAGAAGACACTCTTTCCCTCCTCCATGACCGCCTTCATGACAGCTTTTTGTTCATCGCTGAGAAACGGTTCCGGTAGTCTGTCAATCGTCGCCTTCTGGGTATTGGTCGATTTCGCAAAGGATGAAATGGTTCGGTCAGAAGATGTTGACGGCCGTGATACGGGTGTGTTAGACCGCTGACGAACCGAAGGCGCTTTTTGTAACATGTCTGACATGGTGACCGACGCCTTATCTAACCCATTCCCAGTTGTCAACTGCTTTGAAGCAGAGTACTTTTCAAAGCGGCCAGTATGCTCTTCGTCATGCTTTGTACCCGCCCACTTGCTCTTATCCCCATATACTGCATGATCACTCGTCTCGTCGGTTATGCCATATCTTGAACTTGTCGAAGAGAACGTAGAAGGGAGCACCTTTCGTTTCTTGGGCCTGGCAGGTTCCGGAGATGGCGACTCTTTCGTCATTATACTTGTGTTTGGTTTATTGTAATGCGATTCGGGGGATGAAGACCATGGTACAGGGGCGCTACTGGAAGGCTGTCCAGGAGAGCCTTTCGGCAGTGGAGGAAGCTTGGGGTATGCCTCACATTCTAGATTATGAAGAGAGGGATAGCGGATGTCGGAGCGCTTCTCAGGGGAGGTCAGGTCGATGTAGCCACCGGGAGGACTGTTCTCGTCGAAGGACTGTTGGTGAAGCGAACCCAAGCTGCTGGCGGTACTCATGCTTCGATCAAATTTCCGTTTCTGACCATTCGAAGCAGATTCTCGAGGGACATTGGCTGCCGCAGCATTCAAGCGAAGAGGTGATTGCGTTTTCTCTCCTTGCGAAGTTGATGCATATCGATTCACTGCTCGATTCAACATGATGGCATCAATGAACCTCGTAGGAGATCTCAAGGCGCCATTCGGAGACCGCAGGAACTTGGTGGCCGAGAGAAGGTGCATGTAAGAGAGGGGAGGTCTTGAGAGGGAAGAACGACCGGGGTCTATGGAGCAAAAAAGATGTTTTGGAACCACGGCACTTTGGACACTAAAAGCGCAACCTCATGAGGCCCAACGCGTATCGCGTCGAAATGGCGTTTAAGGAAAACCATTAGCGGCTTGGCGCCAATGCGAGGCTGCGCAAGGCTGAGTCAAGAAGTGTGAGAGGTGCATTAAAGCGGTAATCTGCTTCGAAGCACCAGCAGTCCAATTCACACGGCTGCACTTGACCCATCTACGATGATGCAGTATATTAGGACATATACTAAAGGAGAGAACAAGTATATCGCTTTTGATTGGGTATCCTGCTAATCACTGATTTCCTTGACTACAATTTGACGACGATTCCAATATTCGTGCTCGCTTGGATTGCCCCCATCTAGTTTTCATAAAGGTCGGCGAGGCTTGTCGTAACTTGAACAGAACGCTCATAGCAATAATCAATCTGATTGGAAAACACAACAAGGCTTCCACGATGTCACAAGTTATGCCTGATATCCCTGGTAGTTATTACCATACGACGGAGGGGGTTGTTGGTACATTCCAGCCGGTGGACCTGAAGCACGACCGTATCCTCCAGCCGATGGGGGAACCTGTCCGAAAGCCGATTGAGGGGATTGGGTGTAGGGGCTCGGGAGATGGTTGGAATCCCATGTACCGCGTGCGCCAGGGCTCGGGCCTGAGGGAACGTTAGCCGTGTTCTTGCCTCTGACGTGGTCATCGTACCTTGAGGAGTCATGGGTCCTGGACCACCATACTGCGGAAAATATGGAGAGGCTGGATTGTAGCCTCCAGGAGTTGTCGCAGAGCCAATGGAAGTCTGTGGTGAATAGGCATCGAACTGACCAGTCGGAGGACGATCTTTGCCCCACTGCTATTGTTAGACAGTCCGCCATCGAATCCCCGTGATAGAACTTACAGAGCATTTCAAGGGTCTTCCGTTGACATTATAGCCCGACAACTGACAGATTGCCATTGCTGCGTTCTCATGCGTATCCATTTTGAGGAAGGCAAACCCGCGGTCTGACTGGAATCGTGTCTCAACCACATAGCCAAAGTTCTGAAACAGCGGGACGAGATCCGCCTGTGTTGTGTAGGGCGTAAGATTACCAACGTAGCAAGTTGTCTGCCAGCTAGGAGTTTGATTGACGACCATCTCGTAAGACTGAACCCCCTGAGTAGGGAAGTGGTGGTGGCCAAAGGGAGTGGTTGGAGTCATGCCCATGGCAGCCATAGCTTGCTGCTGAGAGATGGACGGCTGCCCCTTTTGATTTGCCCAGTTGCAACGGATGGCTCGACTGCCCAGCCACTCGCCGTCCATGGACGAGAGTGCCTTTTCAGCGTCTTGTCTTTCACGGAACGCAACAAAACCATAGCCTCGAGTGCGACCAGTCTTCATATCCCACATGACTCGTGCTTCGGAAACGGAACCAAACGCAGAAAACGCCTGCAATAGCACTTCGTCGTTGACTTCATTACTCAGATCACCCACGAAAATGTGGAAATGATTAGAGGTGTCCTCCTTGTTGGAGCTGTTCGATTGGTATGCCCAGTTGACGCGAATTTCAGCTTGGTGAACTCGGCGTCCGTTCAGAGTGGTCATGGCTCGTTCAGCAGCACCAGGGTCATCGTATTCGACGAACCCATAGTTGAAGCCTTTAGAGTTAAACTGCTCCTCACTGTTAACGCGAGAGCCGTCTTGCGTTGCCAGCATACTCACATTCTTATCTGGTATGACCTTGACGCTGACCACATGTCCGGTGGTTTCAAAGATCTGCTTCAGAACGTCTTCTGTAACCCGAGGATCGAGGCCACCCACATAAAGTGCTCTCTTATTCGGTTCGGGCGCAGCTCTGCGAACAACTCCGCCAGAAGAAGGGGAGATGGCAGTGCCCGGGGTCGCAGGTGTTGGGACGGGGTTATTGTTCTGAGGGATGACGACTGGAGGTAGCGCAGGTGGTCCCATAGGAGTGCCGGTGTGACCATTGCTTCCAGGAGGGCCATCGTAACCTGGAGCGCCGGCGGTGGATGGCGGTGGTGGCAGTGTCGCGGGTGTAATGTTCTCCGTCATTTTGAGAAGTGCGCCTTTTTCTGACAGCTGAAAGAACCACAGATAAAACTCGAGCAAATGACTTGGTGCAAGATTATATGGTAGGAGCTCAGTAGTAGATGTATGTTCGCGTGGATGGTATTGCGGGGAGGTGGAGTCGTAAGTAACGAAATTCCGCTCGAGAAAGGCGAAGACAAGTCGCTATCAGATGAGAAGCCAACCCAGGGAGCAGCGCCAAAATGTTGAACAAGTAGGAGATGCTTTGACAACGCAGAAGGACTTGGAGGAAAGAGGAGAAGTATGTTTGTATGAGTGGTAGTTGTACGCCGGTCGTGAAAGTGGTCGCGCCGAGATGAGACAAAAGCAGGCAGGCAGCACGGCGGCGGCGGCGGCTGAAACTCGAGAATGCGCAGCAAAGCAAATCAGAGCAGCACCAAAAAGCTGATGAAGTTGATGAGATGAAGACTTTAGGAAAAGGAAGAGAGATAAGGAATCGCTCAAATTCTTTTCCCAACGCCCAAACTTGCAATGCACGAATTCCAAGCGACTCGACGAAGATGAAGAGGAAAGAAGAAGAACGGACAAGCTAGTGGTTGAAGATAGGATGAGAAAGGTGTACAGAAGAAAGCAGCAAAACCGATGGAAGTTGGACCAAGGCCGCAGCCCCAGATAAGGTGTGATGTGACTGCTGCTGGGCTCACTGGGTGAGGTGGTTAGCTTCTTCGGGACTCGGCTGGTCCTTTTAGGCTCGGGCTTAGTCCCAAAGTCAAACCAGCCCACCTAGAAACCCTCCAGCGAACACCCTATAGGCCCCCAAAAGATGCCCTGGCCCCTGTGCTTCTGTATCCGCGTCTGCGCCTGCGCCTTCTCCGTGCCCGGACTTCCACTTCAGCCTGGTGCCAGCCGTTGATTCGACCCCACTGCCGTCCATCATCACGAACTTGACACTGACACTTTTCCAACCGGCGCCAACGTGGTCAAGTCGCCCGACTTTATTCAAACTGCAGGTGGAAAGAATGGTGTCTCTCTTTCCGTAGCCAGCTCTTTGCCTACAGCGCCCGACTTCTTCGATTCTTCTCCCGGCCATTTTCGCCGTCTCCTTGCGAATGCCATCGTCGTCATGGCCGCGACCAAACCCGCCTACGACCCGATGAAAACGGTAGAAGGCATGTTCAATGGCTCTGTAACACGGATCGCCTATGCCATGAAAGACCCTCTGAACTACGCCCACTCTACGCGAGCCGTCCTTGTCGAGACCGCTAAGAAGTTTCAAGATGCGCTGGATGATTGCGAAATACAAATCCTCGACGCAAAATGGTATCTAGAACACAAACTGGCGCAAAACAGAGCGCGTCGAGAAGCAAAAGCTAGGGAAGACAGTGCAGCAAGTGCGAAGAGAAAACGTGACGAGGTCGAAGGGGCGCAAGGGAAGCCTCAAGAGACTGATCAAGAGAATGCGACGAAGCGAGTGAAAACCGGCGAACTGGAGAAATCCGCGCCGTCACAGCAACCACAGAAACAGAAAGAACCTTCACAACCACAGCTTCCGAAAGCTCCCGTTGCCGCTCCCAGTGCGAAGATCCAGGTGTCTCCAAAGGCAGCAAAGAAGCCAAGTGTACCCAAACCGGTCGAGAAACCTCCAGCACCGACTAAGCCTAAGGTCAAGAAATCCCAATCTCCAGCTATGCCGCCAGCCAAGGTGCCAGAGAAGCCGCCTGAACAACCTGCAGTCCCAGAGACTTCTGCAATTCAGCAGAATGTTGAAGACTATCCCAAGGCTACTCCGCAAGATATGTCTGCTGGCGGCAACGAAGATTTCAGTTTTGTATCGATGTTTGGAGAGCCCACTGCAGACATGATGGCAGGTGCAGGCAACGACATGAATTTCGACATGAGTAATCTGGATGACGGATTCGACGCTGCTGCTGTGCAAGACGCTTCTTTGAACTCGCTACTTCCAGGCCTGGAGTCTTATGCGAATCAAGCTGGCGACGACAGCTTCAATATGCCTGGAACTACAAATATGGTTGCTGGCGGTGATGCCGGGACGGGAGGGTCTGGGCCAGCGGACAACAACCTGCCACCACCACTCAATCCCAATGACTTCAGTCTTCCAGCTTTGGGGCCAAACGAATTCGACGAGCTCCTCAATTCAAGCGACATGAACTTTGACAATAGTGTCAGTTTTGTCGACAGCGGCATGATGAATATGGGCGGTATGGACAACATGGATAACATGGACAATATGGACAGTATGGAAAATATGGAAAATATGGATTTCGACTTTGACAGCATGTTCAAGTGAGCATCTGAAACGCCACTGGCTCTGTGACCAGGCTGTTTTGACTTTGGAGGCGAAATAGGTCGGACTAAACCAAATCGTAATCCTCGCCGCACTCTACCGGACAGGACTTTTGCTTGGAAAAGGGGCCATGGGCGCGAAGGTTGGAGAGCAAAATGGCTTGCTACTCTTTGTTCATCTGGGAATTGACATGCTAGCAGCGGCGTTGGTGGCTTGAGACGGCTTTAATGAGTCCGTCTATTGTTTTCAGTCGTTGTCTTTACTTCTTGAGATACCCTGGATATTTTACATACACGATTTTGTAGCACGAGATGCGAAAGGGGAGTGCATGCATGTACACTACGGCCACGACAGATGCTGTTGGAGAGGATGGCTTCCGTCCAAACCATTTTCTTCCGAGAGCCTCTTTTCCGTCTACCTTTTCATGTTTGCAAATACCTGGAACGATCCCCGAAAAATGTTCATCACCATTCGATACACCAGTCCGAGGCTGGTCCTATGCACATAGGGTACCAATACATTATGAGGATGGAATCAATCCGCCTTGCCCTTCCCAAGCCCATTCATCGAACCACTACTACTCGACCCTCCGGACTCGATCATATGTAACGAAAAATCCACCTCACCGACCAACTCCTTGACCTTGCCCAGCACTCCAGCGGTCTCCTGCATGATCAGCACGCTCGCAATTTCCAGCACCGCAAAAGCGGCGTAGCACGGCTCGTTGATATGCTGCACGCTGAGGATCTGGGGGTCAATAACGGCCAGCTGGTCCGCCAGATGGATCGGCGGCGGCACGCGCACGTACGGGGGCAGTGGTTGCGCGTTTGCCATGCTCGCCGCCACAAGACACAGTGTACTTGTGAGTTCGCGGCTTGTCACGCGCGTTTTTGCCGTGAGTCGTCGGAAATCGGCCAGCCACTCGCTCTCGTCCTGCGCTTGTTGTCTGCCCACGTCCGATGCGCCCTTCTCGCCGGCACCACTCTCGCCAGTCACAAAAGCTTGAGAACTGAAGTTGATGAGCGCCATGTAATTGAACAGGCTCTGCAAATGCGCAATCAATTCGTCATATGTCTGCTTCGGGAACTTCCCGCCAAACGTGGGCTCGTACGTCGTGAAACTCGAGTGCTCCCTCAATCGGTTCATCATGCCCAACATCTTCTCGAAACACTTCGTCCTCGCCTTATCGAGTTTCCCCATCGGGCTGTTCTTGCTGCTATCGTTCGCTTGCGCGCCCAGCCGCAACTTCATCTCGACCGTGCTGTGCGTGCACGCATAATAGTTCGCGAGCAGGTACAGCGTCGCTCCCAGGTCCTTGCGTAGCGTCGCGTGCGTCGTCACGGGAAAGGGCAGGTACGTCCATATAAACGCGACGGCGAGCCCCGTGACGACCGTGGCCAGCCGGTACGGCGCGAGCACATGGACCTTGTAGAAGCGCTGGCCGTTCGAAGTTAGGGCCGCGGTCCCGATTTTGAGGTTCTGCAACTCGTAGCCCACGATCAAAACGATGGTGACGGTCGCTATCACACCCGTAATGAGATATTTGGGCTTCTTTAAGATGACGTAAAACCCACATACGAAGGCAAGGTACGATAAGGGAATGATGGCCGCTGGTTTCTTGTCCGCCATGTACCATATCGTGATGGAAACGACCATAGCGACCACCGTGCCGGCAATCCGCAAGAGGAAGCCTTGCACGCCGGCGCCAGCGGTGGGACCCATGCTGATCGCGATCATGATGACCGCCCAGATGCCGCGCTGCTCCAGATAGAAGTTGTGCGTGGGCTTGAGGAAGCCGAGAATCGCCAGAGACAGACTGGCAACGGCCGCGCGGAAGCCGTATGCAGATTGGTCGGAGCCGAGGAAGCGAGGAATCACGCGTAAATGGTCGGTGACACGCTGATACCAGTTTGTCGGGGATAAGTGCTCTGGGTCTTTTCGCCTAGAGAGGGAATCGCCGGGCCAGATTATGATGCCAGTAGAGTCTGCATCCGGCAAAGCGGGTTCGGAGTCTTCTTGCGTGAACATGTGTTGGAGGAGCTTCGTTATCCGTCTCCAGCCTGGAAAGATGAATCGTTTCTTGCTCATTGTGCCATCTTGAACCTTGGAGTCTGCAAAGAGCACCAAGGCCAAGACTGACCGGCACATGGAATAAAGCAGATACTCGAGGTACAAGATCAAATATAGCTGCTGATGGTTCTGCTTGCTGCGTACGATTTCATCTAGGGATTCGGAGTCTTTGAAGCTGTATTGAGCTGATGGATCTTCCCAGAATTTGGCGGGTACGTCGATCCCTTTCCTCTCGCACCATCTCCGCATTGTTCCTTCTCGATGTTGTTGAAACAGTCTGATTTCGGCCCTGAGGTGCTCGGCAAAATTGGGATCTCCTGGAGCAGGCGGTGCATCTGCCCTTTTCTCGACGTCCTGCTTTGCGAATTTAGGGCGTGGAACGAGCTCGAGCACGTACTGTACGTGAGCTATGCCACCAGCAAGGCTCTCTTTCACCCTACGGAAAGGTTCACGGGACATGGCCACCACTTCTTGCCACTCGTCGGCTTCCAGACGTCTAACAGCTTCTAATGTAGTCGCATCTTCGATCAGGTTTTCTCCTTCAGCCTTATGCTGTCTGACTGATTGTAGAATATCGGCGAAAGTAGATAAGCCTGCCACTGGTAGAAGAACTTGCTGCAACCGTCTCCAGATGGTGGAGAAGTCTTCAGGCCGCAGTTTTCCGAACCCCATTTCTTTCTTCGCAAAGCTGATCTCGATTCTTAGCATTCCAAACAGCTTCGACGCTTCTTGAAGGGCCGTTTTGAGCTTGGTGGCAATCTCTTGGGCATGCTTCGCAGATGCAGCCGAGTCCGCCGTCTGCTTCACCGCACCGCCCTCTCCACAGGAGTCTGTATTTACTCCAGTTTGATGGTTCGAGATGCTATGAAGATAAGTTGTGTGGAGGCTGATGCTTGCATTCAACAGGTTGAGAACACCAGCCATCTGCTTCTGGCAGATTTTCCTAGAAGACACTGGTAGGATGAAATACGACGTTCCAGTGGCCAAGGCAAACCCAGTGAGAAAGACCTTCAGTAACCTCTTCACGAAATCGATCCCGGCAGTCATGGTGGGAAAGGCCGGAGCATACGTGGAAGCGATAACAGCGAAAATCGTGTACTGGATGGCGACAATCATGAGCTGGGGCCGGTAAGCCCTGATAGTGTTGGCGAGCCACAGATTGAAGAATAGCCAGACAGCTGCTGTGGCGTTGGCAGCCGAGCTAAATGCCAGTGACTCCTTGCCGCCGGACGTGCCCGTCGCGGATGCTTGAGGCTTGGTTCCTCGCGCAGAGACGGCGCACCGGATTGTTAGCAAAGCCATGGCAGCTGACAGACAGATAGCAGTGGTCGAGATCAATATGTTTTGAGCAAATTTTGCTCGTGGTAGAATTGGTAGTGATATGATGGACATGATTGCGATCAGGTATCCCAACGCGCCGTACTCCCGAGCCCAGGCATCACTCTGATATCTGGGTAGTGTGAGCACTGAGCCTTAGTAGATCTGATGGACTTACGCCGCGAGAGCAATGGTTGGTGGTAAGGCTCCCCTGTAATCATCAGTTTAGTCCACATGAGACTAGGCCTCCTCACTTCAGCATCATCAGAACTGTTGGGACATCAAGCCCAGCTTTCATACACAACCGTTTGAAGAGCCCTGGCTGTGTAGGTCGTTGCGACGGGCTTTTGGGCTGGACATGTTGGTGATCGTCCGTCGCTCTCTTTTCCTCTGTCGTTGTCGACTCAGAGGAGTGCTCTTCAACAGTCGAAGGCATTGTTGCCGGCTTGACTGACTTTCTTCGAAACGCACAGAATGGTATGGGAAACTGAGACAGACGTTTACATAAGGAGCATTGGCTTCGGCGGCGGCGGAGTTGATGAGGTCTCCCCAGATGTACACGGCGGATTCGACATTATAACTCGTCACCGATCGATTTAATCGACAATTGCGAGATGTGTTGATCCAAATACTGTACGGAGTACGGAGTAGAAGGTGCCCTTTACCGAAAATAGTAAGGGTTCGACGCTCAGACGAATCATCATGCCTACCGGCTGGTTTGTTTGCTGACTTTGACTGCTGAGTAACGAGGTCTAACGTAAGGCCACCCGAAAGTGTCAAAACAAAGGAGCAGGGCAACTTGATGGTCCGACAACTCGATGAGAGGGCCTACTCGTACAACGCCTTGAATGCCACCTTATTACTTAGGTACCTACCTCGCTACCTAGGTATGTAGGGAAAAGGACCCTCTGTCTGACGGCGCGCTCGCGCTTTTAGTCCTTCCGCCCCCATCGGCCCTCGCAACGTTCCATGCCGACGCCAAGCTTGACTGTTGAGCTTTCGGCGCGGAAACTTTTCTCAAGTACGGATACTCCGTACAAGTTCGCCTTTTGCATCAGGGAAGCAGTCAACGAACATAACATCACATCATGGCTCCTTCACGAGCGCCTAGTGCCCTTTTGCTGCACTCTCTACGCTCGTTGGCGATCGAGAGTCCGTTCTCCAGCGCTGCTGTACGTGTCATCTCCACGACGAGCTCTGCACGCCAGGAAGCAGAAGTTCAAAGACCCTCCTTCTACCGGAACCCAGATCCTGCTACTGTATTCGTACCACGACTCGAACGCAAGCTCAATCGAGCCGGAACCCAGCCTATCGGGTCTCGAAGACGTCGCGCGGCGCTTGCACAGTCACCCGGAGTCCCTTTCGATCAATTACCGTACCAATGCTTCCAAGAAGCCCGCAAAATCCTCATCGAGGACAGAGCAGAGAAACTGAAGAAGATCGAAACGGAGAGAGCTCGGATTGCGCGACTACAAGAGGTCGATCCAAGCACCCTCCCTGGTGGTGAAACCTACAAGCAGAAGAGATTGAAGAGCATGCACGCGGAGCTCGAAAGACTGAAAATATTGGCCGATATCAATGATCCCAACGTCAAAAGACGGTTTGAAGACGGCAAGGGTGAGTGCTCTTCCGAAACTTGGAGATGGCTAAGCTGACAAATGCAGGCGACATGAACAAACCCATCTACAGATATCTGGCAGAGCGAAAATGGCGAGACTACCCCCGGAAAATTCTGGTCCAAAGGATCACACAGATGAACGTAGTCCCAGACGTGATTCCAGCCTGCGATCCTATACTGGACGTCAAAATTGCGTTTGGCAAAAAGACCATACCACCAGGAGAGTTCGTGCAGTCGAATATCAGCGAGAACCCATGCCAGCTTACACTGCAAGCCTTTGACCGCGGCGAGAAAATGGTCTCCATTGCCGTCGTCGATCCAGACGTGCCCAATTTAGAAAAGGACAGCTTTGACTCGAGATGCCACTTCCTCGCTTCCAACATCATCATCTCCCCGACCGAGCCTCTGGTTGACCTCTCGAAATTATCCGCCGACAACCAAATCCTCCTTCCCTGGCTACCACCTCATGCACAAAAAGGTAGTCCATATCACAGATTGTCCATCATCGTCCTACAACACAAAGACAACATCCCCATTGACCTCGGGATTGCCAGGAGCAAGATTCAAAGAGATGGTTTCTCGGCCCGCAGCTTCATGAGCCGCCACATGTTGACTCCCATCAGTGCATCCTTGTTCCGGACGCAATGGGACGACACCATGGCCTCTGTCATGCAAAGGGCCGGCATTGAGGGCGCCAATGTCGAACTTAAGAGGAAGAAGGTCGAGCCTCTGCCGTATAAAAGGCGCAATCCTCCTAGCTTTAGGTAGTCGAGCCTTGAGGCGCTGTACCATAAGACCGGGGACTGATCTCGCCCCTGTCGCTGACTGTACAATTTTATCTTTTTCCCAGTATTCCACGTGCTCAATCAGGCTTTGCACCTTCTAATACAGCCTCGGCATTGACAGGCTCCAGAGAAGTCTGATTAGGTTCCAAGACTGGCAGAAGACGCGGTTCCCTTAAATTCGTCCAAGTGAACCACCCATCCCCGTTGTATATACATTTTCCCTGGATCAAAGCCATGGGCAAAGGTCCGTAGAAGCGCGAGTCGCGACTGTACGATAGATTGTCCCCCGCAAGCCAGACGTGGCCTTCGGGCACCTGGACCATGGTGGGTTCGTCTCGCGCAGAAGAAGCATCCTCTCCAACGACTCGCCTCGTGATGCCGGCAGATCCAGGTACCGGTGCGCCGCCGACCGTCGGGCTCTGCGCCGGGTCACGCACGACATAGTCGCCCGGCATACCAATGACACGCTTGATGGCCCGCTCGCGCAGGAAGACGGGGTTCTCGAAGACGACGACGTCCCCGACCCTGATGTTTTTGCCGTGCCTGTGCCGTCGCAGGTAGATTGTGTATGAGAGCTCGCTGGACATGGTCGGGTACATGGAGGGGCCTTCGCTGTTCTATATTTCGCGCAAAAAGGCAGAAGAGCTAGTCAGCGCCTGCTAAACTTGTGCGGAAAGGGGAGGAAAGGTCTGGCCAGCCCCTGATACTTATGCGGAAAGGGAGGAAGAAAGAAAGAAAGAGAGAAGAAAGAAGGACATACAGCCACCGCAACTATATGATGCGCGATCAGCGCGACGCTCGAGTACATTGCGACGGCTGTGATGCCGACATCGATGAGGAGTTCGGCGGAAGTCAGTGGCCGGGTTGGCGCGCGGCGGAAGAAATTGAGGAAGCGCAACATCTTGCCACCAAGGGAAATGTCTGAGGGGAGGTTGTTTACCTGCGAGACATGGCGAAGAGGTCGGATCAGGACATCGAAGTGTATCTAGCTAAAGTGCAGTGCCGTGCGGAAAGTAACTTTGTTCAATGAAAATGAAAGGTCAAGGCGCATGCAAGGCTCCGTCCGATGTTCAGCCGCGCAGCCTCGTGCCGGCACGAGTGTGTCAGTTGCTCGTCTGCCATGTACGCAGTACTCCTTGAGCATTCTATCGGACAATCTGCGATTGGCAGAGCTTGTATTTGGATAGGATTGAGTCCGGTGCTGTAACAACAAGTGATATGTGCTCTTCAACTGGCTATAACCAACTCCAACAGGTCCGGCATCGCACACATGCAGTTCGTCGAGCAAACCCGCAATCAATCCACTGCAGGAGCGACTCTTGTTACCGGTAGACCATTTCTCTTCGGACGCTTCTCCTCGTCACTTTGCTTTCCCATCACATCAAACATCTCAATTCGCCCAAGCAGCCCATTGCTTAATGCGGCCCATACACAGGATCAAAGCAAACGAGGTCGTCATCACACGACAGTAGACAAGCTGCTCGAGGTCGATGGAGGCGGCGCATGTCGAACAAATACCCACCCGCAAGACTGAAGCCATCGCTGGTTGTCTGCTGAGCAAGCTCTGTCCAAAAGGCCAATCTTCTTCAGCAACTCGATCGTCTCATTCCACTTCGCCTTGCGGTTTGTCTCGCCGCGTAGTGCCCATGCAAGATCACAGAATTGTTCTGCTTGTTTGTATGTCTGAATCAAACCATTGAAAAGATGCTTCTCCAACTCAGCACACCTATCTGCGAAAGATGCTCCGCTCATCGCAATCAACTGTGCGGTCGTAAGGTGATTCTCGCTCAGCCAAGCTTCGAATAATTGCTCAAGTCGCAAGGCCGTGAAGGTCTTCAGGTCGAATTCCCTGACTGTTTCGACGCTCCGGCCCAACCACTTGAACCAATCATAAGTTCCAAGAGGATCGGTGGTCTTGAACACCGCAACTCGCTCTGAAAGATACTTTTCCCAAGGTATAACAGTGTCGAAGAAACCGAACTGTGCATTGGAGAGGTCGATGACAAAGTACTCCTTTGTGGCTTTAAGGCGGACACGAAAGACGTGATGAATAGTTGGCTCCCGATCAGCAGTTTGTGACTGATGTTTGCTTTTAGAAAAGTTGGTGGAAGTACATTTTTGGTACGGCATTGAGGCATTCGCTCGGAGGAAATAAGTAACGCGGTACCGCTTGTTGACAATTGCGAACTTCACTTCTACAAGATCGTCACATATATCTTCGACCGAAGTCAGCCCTTCTTAGTCATAACAGAAGGCATCAGATCAAGCACTGACCAGATAGTAGCGAACGAACGACATAGTTGATACTGTAAGCGTGTGCGCATGCTCCATAATTGAGAACGGCTTCCTTGAGCTTTCCGTCGGCAAAGAGATGATGGGCAAAGGGCTTCAGGATGAGCTCATCCGCATAAAATCCTTGTGTCCCCCAAAAGGTGATATTGTCGCCCTCATTCTCGACTTTTTCAACGTTGATGAAGTTTGAGTGGGTGCGGAAGGCCAGCCAAAGAATTCTCAAGACTTTGCCTGCTTGGTATAAACTCTTGTGTGCCTTCAAGCGTCTGCAAGTCTTCTTGTGGGCTTGCCAGTCCGCCTTTTGACACTGAACGCCGCAATAAAAGGTCTTTGTTGCTCCGTCAACACAGCCGCTAGCGTCAGCGCAGCCCTGGCAGGTCTTGGACGTCTGCGCATTGCAGCGGGCGCAACAGGAAGTCTGTGTTCCTGTCATCTCGTCGGCTGATCAGCGCTGGATGGACTGCTCGGTGGAAGGCTATGGTCAATCAGCGCGATATTCACGAATGTTAGGAGGGTAGCCGCTCACCTATGGAAGGGAAATCATGGAGGTTCGATTGACGCAGCAGAACCGCTGAGTTGACACAGGCTTGCTTGGGCTGAAGCAGATCGTAACGATCAGAACTCCGCGTAGAGTGAGGACAGGGAGACCCCGAACATGCTGGACAAGGACGTCTGGAAATCGCTTTGCCAAAACGTCGCTTCCATGCAGGATGGAGATAACGAGAAAAGCGCCGCAGGCTGTTAAGAGCAGGAATATGGCCGCAAGTGAAGGAACCGAGTCTTCATTGTGAGTCCAAACATGCTTCACCGCTGAAGATGGGCAGTGAAAGACTTTATTCACTGGCCCTAATATTCCATCATCGGTGACAGTACAGACTTCACTTCGTAGCCTTGCGCAGCCTTGTACTGCAGTAGCGGTGGGGAGGGCACTCACAGCAAACGGCCGATGGTTGACATATTCCAGCCCTGAGATATCGAATGGCAGCTCCATTACACTTCGTCGGGTGGTAGATGGGCACCTCTATCCCTAAACTTTAGCATGCCCGATGATCCTCTGCAAAGGAAGCGAGCCTAGCACCCTGGCAGCAAGACACTAATGGACATCATGATTCGGATCACCAGTTATCGAAATTCCCAAAGCCACCACCTTTGATCTTCTTCCGTACCGGTTCCTCGGGCTCATCAATGAACTCGACGATCTCATCCTCCTCGTTAGGCTGGGTGTTCTTCGCCGTCGCTGCTTTCAGGTACTTTCCCACGCCACCACCAGTGTCAGTCTCGATCGTCCCATCATTTCGTATCCGTTTCCCGGTCCACGTCGTCCGATCATCTTTCCTTCGCTCCTCTTTATCTTTCTCAGTCTGCTCCTTTTCCGCCTTGTTCTTCCAAAACTCCTCAAATGGATCAATCAGCACAACTGCTTCGAGGATCTTAATCTCTTCTTTCGGTCTATCGTTCGCATCCACAGGTGTGTCTTCGAGTTTCTTCAGCACGTTCATTGACGTCCCGTCATCCTCAACCACGCGTCCGAAAATGGTATGTTTCCTGTCCAGGTGGCTCGTGGCCCGGTAGGTGACGAAAAATTGACTACTATTCGTGTTCTTGCCTTTGTTCGCCATGGAAACGACGCCCCTCGTGTTGTGTTTGAGCGGGCCTTCAATCTCGTCCTCGAAGTTCTTGCCCCAGATGCTTGCGCCGCCGCGCCCGGTCCCGGTCGGGTCGCCCGTCTGTATCATAAAGTTGCGGATGTTTCGGTGGAAGATTATCCCGTTGTAGTACCCCTTTTGAGCTAGACGAATGAAGTTCCAGACCGCCTTCGGGGCGTATTCTGGGTAAAGTTCGAGGCCGAGATCGCCCACGGTCGTAGAGAGACGGACATAGCCTTTCTCTTTGACGCGGCCGCGCTTCAGCAGATATTCTTCGTCGGACATCAGGGCCAAAGCAGCTGATGTGTGCGGCGTCACGCCCGTGGAGGTCAACGATGCCGCTGCCAGTCCAGTTGTATGACCTGTTGCGTTGTATGGTGTTGGTCTGGACGTTGAGACTGTTGTGGTCTTTCTCGAGACGTTGGAGGTTTGTAATTTGTCTTTTGCACCGAGTGATTGGGCATTTGCACGCTCGGCTCGGGCTTTAGCCAGGGCTTCCTTGGCTTTCATAATCTTCAGATCCGCAGCACTACCTAATGAGGCTGAATTGATGGATGCTTCTTCCTTGGGTATGCCAGAGTCTTCTCCTTCTTTCAGGTACTTGAACGAGCTGAGGTTCCGGGACTCGATGTTCTGCGGGTCCTGTAGTGTGATGATGTCTTTTCTGGAGAATTCCTCGTCGGAGACCAAGTCGCGCCACATTTTCGCCTTGATATTCAGCCTTTCCACCGTATCATATGCGAAGGCATTGGCCGAGTCGCCATGTCTAATGGCGACGATGTGTGTGTTGTCCGTGAAGACCTTGTAGGTGACTGGATCGACATACTCCCCGCCATCGTTCTTCGCAAAGTTCAATTTTATCAGGTCTTGCTGCTTAAGCGGCTTGCCATCGGTAGGATTGGTGTCATGTTTTAGAAGCCACCGTATAATGTTCTCATGGTCGAAGATGATGCCTTCGGATGTGCATACGGGAGTGGTAAAGGGCTGGAGGCTCAAGGCGCAGAAGTTGAAGGGTAGTCGCTTGAAGTACGCATGACCGCTAGTGTCAGCGCGGACGCCCGCGCCTGCTGAAGCTGAGTATGCATCGGACGAGGCCCATTCGGAGTGTGTAATCTAGAGAGTGTTAGTTGCGGAGGTGTGCTGGTGGGAAAATATTGATCGTACATAGAGTTTATCGGTTCCTATGAGAGCCCGTCAGCTTGCTGAAGCGGGCAGTGAGAGAAATTCTCACCTTTCCCCATTTCTTGCCTTCGCAGATTGCGGTCGAGTGTATTTTCGGCGGCAGTTCTCAATCTTGTTGCGAGCCTTGGGAAAATGCAGGGCGAGTCGGCTAATCATGGGGGTACAAAACTGTGCAGCCTCGTCTCAGATAAGGCTGGGAAGGCTTTGTTGCTGATTGGACAATCTGCCATATAGTCTGAGGACCTCACCGCCCACCCACTACCATTAACTCTCTTCCTCCTACATCTCAGTGTATTGGCTCAAACAATTCAACAGCTCCGCGTCTCAGAAAAACCAGACATATCATTGCCAAACGCTCAATTCTCCCTAACAATCCGAGTCCTGGGTGGCCACCCGGGCTCGGTGCGTTGGTCGAGGTACCTTGCCAGCGTCACAGCACGTGTTCTCTACAGCTGACCCCCTACACTCGCTGCATAAGCCTTGACCTCGTCAAGTGTCTCATGCAGAGGGTACGGGGGTTAGTTGTCAGAGTAGCACGGGCCGGTGACGTTGCCGAGGTAGCCCTTGATACAAACCGATTAGATTCGGTTTTGTAGGTATACATGTCTCTTTGGTAGAGCAGTTGGGGGCCCCGACTGTTGCCAAGGAGGGGGTATACCGAGTTTTTGCACATTTCATGTTCGAGCCTCATTGTTTCCTTTTGATTTCTGTGCCATTCTCCGTGGGATTTTGGAAAGCATTGAGTTTGTGGGTTGGAGCTTTGCATTCAGGCAACAAAGTCACGAGGCAGGCAGAGGCGACGACGATCACCGCCAACGAAGGCAGACTGCCACGACTTCGTCAGACGTCTGTCGTTATTCTAATTTCTATGTTCATTTCATGAGCTAGGCTATGCACGACTTCCCCCGTCTAACCAGCACGATATATCCGCTGCTTTATCTGGAGTAGCCCAGATACTTGAAATACTCAGCCGACCAAATCTGCTTCTCGGCGTTACTGATAATCCATACAAGGCCAACCATTGCAGCAGCATTCGCACCGGCTCCTTTCTCCAATCCACAATGCCGTCTGGGGATCAAGCACAGCCATTCTTTCACGAGAATAACATTGTAAGCCGGGCCGCCGCCGTGCTCCGCGTGGCATTCCTGGACTGCCTGGTGAAGCTCGCTGTAAGCTTTCATAAGCTTAGCTTCATCAACTTCTGCCGGAAGTCGAAGGACAAAATGCCGATGTGGGACGTTCGCAATGTCGCTAGTAATTTCGCTCATTGAAGTAGCCTTGCTGGGGAACAGCTCGAATCCCATGTCACTTTCATCAGGGTATCGCCACAGCTGCATGTGCTTATGCCCTTGACTGGAGCCTGCTTCGTACCCGCAATTAAAGATCATCATGTGTTTGTGCTCGAAGTGAGTCAACAGTGCCCACGCGGCTTTGAGGTCGCTGCCGTCAAGGCTGTCGGATTGAGGAGCGAAGTGCCGAGTGATCAGGAGCAGGCTTGGTCGATAGACGCAGTACTTGTTGAGTAGTAGTAGGTGAGACGGGCCGACAGCTGACAGTACAAAGTTAGGATCCGGGTTCAAGAACGGATTGCTGCCTTGGCCAGATTTCCTTTCTGGAGCGTCCGAGGCTGTAATCGGCTTGCGGCGAAGATGAGGGGCTAGACAGAACTCGAACTGTGACCAGGAAAGAGATATTAGTGATTTGACATAGAATGGCTAAGAGTTTATTCTGAGTCTCATACCTTGAACCCTCGATCTTCTACTGTGTCGGTCCTGGAAGGCTCATAGATAATCTCGCCCTTGGACACCAAGTCATCGAATCTAGAGAGGACTTGCTCTTCGAGGTCCGAGGAGAGTGTGATTGATGTCGTTGTCTTCGCTGCTTGCAGTTCAGGTGGTGCGCCATTAGTTTCCATTGCAATACGCTCCGTCCTGGCACAGGCATACAGCAGCCCAACCTTTGGTATCTTTTAGTGTCCTGATTGAATATTGCTGAGTGTGTCGCGCAAGGCCTTAGGGAAGTGGCAGGCTTCTCGATGTCCAGCCAGCAATATCCAAGAACACCAGTAGGGGACAAATCTTTTATGCAGCATCGGTGATGGTGGTAGATTTGAGCACACGGACAGGCCGCCGTTTGACAGGCCGAACTTCTCTGACCCGACTGGGCCCAGCAGATACGTCAACAGTCATTGTTACAGGACCCAACAACACCTAAGCAGTATCTACTGAACCTTTGTGAAGCCTCTAGACAGGACGTAACAATGGGCGAAGAGCCAACACGAGGTCGTGAAGCCTGAAGTGAACATTGCCTGGTAAGGGTGCAGACCCTGCTGGATATGGTTTCCGAGAGTTATGGTATTTGACACGATGTCGCTACAGAACCTCCAAGCAGTTGGGCAGACTCTTCACGGCTACTACTAAAGTTGAGGTGCTCGGCTTCCCTCATGACCCTTTTTCCACTCATCGATCAAGCCGACATAATCTTCAGGTCCGTACGGGTCAAACATATCCGCCATTTTACCAGCCTTACGATGTGAGTCCAGATTCATATCCCGCATCAACATGTCGACATACGGAACAGCATCAAATACAAAGTCCGGGAATCTGGGACCATAACCGATGGGATATCGCCACCGACCGAATTGACTGTGTAGGACGGTTTGCCACTTGATGTCTTCTTCCGAGGCGGGAAGTCTGTCCAATGTGCCGTCGAAGAGGGCGGAGATCCAGATTGCTTGGACAGTCGCAACTACAGAAGTTGTGATGCAAGACAACATCCCGGCAAAGGCCAGGTTGCGCTTTGAAACCATGGCTGGGGGAACCATGAACCGGTACATTCGCAAAGGCTGGTTCATCCTCTCGGCTATCGCATCCTCGAGTTCACGTTTCCTTTCTGGCTGGGTCTTGAGGCTCGGAAATTGCTTGAGGATCTCGGAATCGGCTTCTTTGGTCAAATCCTCCAAGTCGGATGGTGAGTGGTGCAGTCCAACCTCGGTCTCCGTGCCTCCCAAGAAGTCGAGGGAAGGCTCCTTCTTCCACCCAGTGGCCATCACGGCCACGTCGGCCTTGAGAGTTTCGCCTGATGCCAGGCTGATAGAGTTGGCTCCAAAGCCGGTGATCTCATCGATGTGGACTCTCACTTTTCCTTCCCTGACAAGGTCGAAGAAGCTAGTAGGGTAGTTGTGAATGCTTAAAGAGCTTCCAACGTAGAATGCGGGATCCCACGGCTTCAGTTTCTTCAGTTCCGGGTGCGAGTCGTACTTGTTGAGCGCAACGACGTCGCTACCCAAGATTTTCCAAAATGTGCTAACGATAGCTCGCCCGGCAAAGGTTCCATGGAGGAAGTGTCGAATGCTAGAATATCCATCTTCGTCACCCCAGATGCATGGACTGAGCCACGTCAGGAATCGCGTGTGAACAAGTTTCTCGAGCCACTTCTTGAGAGGAGTAACATAGGGAGGGGCCATCCAGACAGGCCCATGCCCCGACTTGCGAATGACCATGTCGACCTGGACTCCAGCTTCGGCATAGGCGTATGCTACGTCCCAAGCGGACTTGGCACCTCCAACAACAACAGCATTCTTAGCTTCCTTCAGCGTTGCCGCCTTCTTTGCGAAATCTCTGACATGAAACAAGGAACCCTTGAAATCCGGCATACCAGGGACTTGCGGAATGTAAGGCTGAGAGGTTAGACCTGTGGCCACTATCAACTTTTTAGTCTCGAAGGTTCTGTTTTCGGAAGATGATGTTTTGAGGAGCCAGCCTCCATTCTCCGTGGATTGTGCAGAGTCGACTTTCGTGTTGAAGCGAGTGCGCTCGTAGACACCAAATTCCTTGGCATAGTCGTTGAGATAGCGGTGCAGAACAGTCCCCGGAATGTGCTGACCAGGCTTTACTCCATAGGTAGCCTCATCCATCGGAAAGTCAGGGTACTCATAAGTGCCCAACATGTTGTTGGATTTCAGTCCGGGATACAGACGATCCTCGGCCCAAACACCTCCCATGGAGGAGTTGGCCTCGAGAATTGCCACATGCTCAGATGGATGCAGCTCAATGTATGTTTTGGCAGCAGCTAAGCCGTACCAGCCTTTGACATATCAGATCAGTCTTGAAATCGTTGATGTAGGTGCAGCAGGTAGGTGCTGAAGGTGCAACGTACCTGTGCCGATGACGATAAGGTCAAATGAATCCATTGCTTTCGGCTCCTCCCTCACTGGACGCTGAAGATACAGGAAATCGAGATCGTTATGTCGAGTATACTAGTGCAGGATGAAACCCGAGACACTCTCCAAGAATGGATCTCCGTGGATAGATTTCTCTCACATGTGCAAGCAGGAGATTATTACTCCGGCGTCTTTGGAATGATAAGTCAGGCGAAGAGCTATCAATCTTCTCATATCGGGCAGAAAGGAGGTGTGCCATCTAAGCGGCGTCTTCAGCGCACTGTAGGGGAGTGATGGCAAAATTCTTGCACACCCACTCAACAAGCCGTTATCCTTGCAGACGAGACTACCTGAGGTGGGATCGTGTTAGTGGGGAGCATCACTCGGGATGCTAACTAAAGCAAGCAAAGGCACAACGGGCAAACCGTTCGGGGGTGATTGTGCCTTTCACTAACTATTCGTTAACAAGTATGGCCAGTGGCGCGAGGGCCCGCAACGATAAAACGTCTTCGCAAGGAAAATCCACAGCCTTCTCGATCCACCTGGTAAAAGAATCCTGACCTTTTGGCCTCAGGGAGAACCATTTTATTTCGCAGGTAGCAAGGGATCGAAACGCAGGCAAGAAGAATTTGCAGTACTAGTCGTACAAGGTACTTCCTTATCCAACAGGCAATCAGCATTTCTGAGTACAGTGTGTGCATGAATTGATGGCAGCTGAAAGCAGCTCCGGCGAACTCAATCCATGCCACGCTTCCAATGGCAACATTGATGGGCCGTTGACTTTGACTGTCATTCTGTGCCAAGCCATCGCACCTTTTCCTGGTTTTCTTCGGATAGTCGAGACATCCAACAAACCATGGAGACATCGTACCACCGCCTCATCAACACAGACTCAGGGAAATCGTCCTCCGTATTCCGTACTCAAATGGCCATGATGTCCTTTTAATCTACTCCGTACCTTTGTATCCGAATCGGACAGTAAAGCTCAAGCCAATCTTCATGGGTCCATGCGGCAGCCACCGGGAGCCGGTAACGCCTGTCGATCCGCACAGGCTCTCCTTCTGGTAAAGGTATAGCATGGCGTGCAAGGGCCACCCTTCAACTGCCGGGCGAGGTCGCCATCCACCCAATCATTCCCAGCATTCCAGTACGGAGTATTCGCTCCATCAACGGTTTCTTGGCCAGACACCCAGAACCTGGTAGTCGTACGAGTCAAACTCTTTTGCCTCATTTTGCATCATCTTCTCCATAACAACCCAATCCGCTCGAATCAGACCGATCAGCCTTCTATCAACCGCATCCATCCGACATTATGTTTCACTCCGATTCTTAGCAGAGCTCTAGCTAGACTCTAGCTCGCACAATCTGGAAGCTGGCCGTTATCACTACGGAAGATCGACACGGAGACTCTATCCCACGAACTTCTTGAAACAAACCATCGCGTCTCTAAAGGATAGTCGACCGCGTAAGTATGTTGTCGATGTGTGATTTTCAGCATTCCACCAGACTCCATTGGAAGCTCGCCGAAGCAGTTCGCTCGAGACGAGAGGTCGTTTGCTCCTTCGCTTGCGTGGCTTGCCTCATCGATTTAGCTTGCACCTGTCAGGTACTAGTTGCAGCTTATAGGTGGGAATTCAAGTCCCCACTGCTCTGCATCCGAAGAAATACTTTATCATGTCAGAGACGTCAAGCTCCAGTTCAACGGGTCGGCAGGGCTTCCTAAGGCAATCTTTCTCGAAGACGTTGAAGCTTCCGGTCGAAGACAAGGGCTTGTGCTACTTTAGTCGATCATCTGCCTTTTTCATCCTCTCTCCGGACCAGCAAGTTCCCTTGTCCTGGTCGATATGCCCAGGATCATCCACGTAAGTGAGATATCCCAGAATGCTGGCCGTTGACTTTGGGGAAACGACATCCACGGAAAGTTTCAAGAGACGTTGACTGTCTGCCAGCCCCCGGTAGATCACCAAAGTGAGGTATATTCTATATCATTCCTCATATCAACGTGGCATCAGTTGTCCAATATCTTTCTGCCCGGTGCATCTTGGAACTTCCCCAAATTTTGCAAGCCTTCTTTTCACCATGGCAAGCGAGTTCAACACCGAAGCCTTTACTTTACTTGGTGTGGGAGTCTTCGTCGTCGCCATACGGACTGCCTCTAGATTGTCCATTGCTGGATTCAAAGGACTATGGCTTGAGTAGGTCTTCACATTCCCAAAGGACTGCACCGCGACCTGAACCATTGCTGACATGCCCGATAGCGACTATCTCATGCTGTTTGCCACGGTAGGCCAGACTGCTATATCCTTCGCATGCACTCGCACTAACAGCTTCAGGTTGTCTACGGCCTCGAAACGGGAACAGCATATGCTGTCGGCGCCTGGTGGCATGGCCTGGCGAACAACGGGATGACGGACGAGCAACGCCGAACGTTAGACCCGAACTCTCAAGAATACGAGTTCAGAGTCAACGGCTCAAAGACACAGCTTGTTGGCTGGAGTCTCTACACCTTGCTGTTGTGGACGTTGAAGCTTTGCATGATTATATTCTATCAACGACTGACGTGAGTCCCAACCTCATCTGCATCTCGTCTGAAGCCAGTCGACTGACTTGCCGACAGTGAGGCTCTCGATTACATGAAAACTCGAATCCGCGTCGGCTATGCAATCGTCATCTGCACATATATCGCCACCGAGCTGTCCATACTGCTCGGTTGTCATCCATTCCACAAGAACTGGCAGATTTACCCCAATCCTGGCAGCAAGTATCTCCCCACCATCCAAGCCGCTTGTTACTCATAAGATTGCTAGACCACTGTCAGCCCGCGATTTCAAAAATCGATTTGTACGTCACTGTCATCCTCAACGTCTTCTCCGACGCGTACTTGCTTTCGATACCGATTCCGGTGAGTAATGCTCCTCATCTGACCTTATGAAGAGCTTCCCTTGCTAACAGCTCTATAGCTATTATGGAAGGCAGAGGTGCCTATGATTAAGAAGCTGTCTTTGATCTTCATATTCGGTGGAGCTGTTTTCGTCATGGCTGCCGGTATCCTACGTGCTGCACTGGTTATCGAGGTAAGTCCGCTTCAGTTCATTCATTTGTCTGCGCTTTGGCTAACAATGGCATCATAGGATCCTGTCGGAGGAGCTCAGGCAGCCGGCAGCTGGGCTGTTCGCGAGACGTTTGTCGCCGTCGTTGTCTGTAACTTGCCACTCGTATACCAAGGTCTGCGACGATTGACAAAGACCGCACAAGCCAGTGGGCTCTTCTCAAGGTCGGCATCTCGCATGGGCTACAGCAAATCCAGCGAGGAGCCTGTATTTGAAATGACCTCAAAAGGCGACGCCCCGCAGCTGCAGCCACAGGAGTTTGATGCAAGGCAGAAAGAGATGCAGCAGGGGTTCTTCAAGGCGCCATAAACTTGGAGTCACGGATGCGCATATATCGAAGCTGCTCCTGGCAGATGGTGTAAGGTCGTCTTTGGTTTGTGGTGGAGGGTCAGTAACTTTGCAGCAATGCAGGTTGTCCGCAGGCAATACGTGCGGGATACTCGGCAGGCATTCCGGTATCCTGGTTGTTGACATCAACAACGTAAAATTTACCGCGAGAGGCCTGTTGAGAGATCTCAGGCTCACTGGGACTCAACTTGTGGCTGGCTATTTCAATATGATATAGAGGAGGGACTGCAAATCAGGATAGACATACATGTATGCTTGTAAATGAGCAAAGCAATGTCGCAAGCAGCCAAATCCCATCGCCGTGAAATCGTACATAAATTGTTCACAGATATGAGCCAGTTTATGCAAGCACTATCAGGATTATTGGGTCCCGGAATTGCCTTATTACTAATGGTCTTCCGAGCGTGCGTTGCGAGGGGGCATATTCAAAGCTTACGGAAAGGTCCCTAGAACCACCTCGAGCGCAGCATCTCGATGACAAGCACCTCCATCCCATCATAATCAAACACTAACGCTAATCCCTCCGCAACATTCGGCTTCGAGGGGCATCCTAAGAGAGGGGGGCCACCCAACTCTGCAATCTGCAACAATATGGCCGAGCACTTGACCATTTCAAACTTCCCAGGAAGTATTGTCTGCTGGCAAGATCAAATCGCATCCTGGCCCGTCGACACTCCGTACACGTTCATCAACACTGTCGTCGTGCCCACGGCGGAAGACGTGGACGCGTTCTTGAAGGCTTGGGCTGATGTGGCTGGGATCATGAAGGGCCAGTCTGGCTTTCTCTCGGCGCAGCTCTACCGTGGATGTCCGGACAAAAATGGTCGGAATAACATCCTCGTGCTCGTCGCGGTCTGGGAATCCGTAGCGGCGTATCAGGCTGCAGGGCAGAGACCGGAGTTGCAGGAGGCAATTGTGAAGTTTCCGAAGGGGACGGTGGAGCATTTTCTCATGGCAACCAAGGTCGCTGTGCCGGGGTTGTGTACTGCTTCAGAATAACAAGCCTTACCACTGAAAGTCTGATGACTGAGTCGCTGGGTAGAGCACAGTTGCGGGACCTCAGGCAGGCTGTGATGGCGAGAGTCGTGACAAGTGTCACATGGGTCAACGGACAGTACGGACAGTACGTGTATCAGGGCCATTCGAAGCCTCGGTCAACGCCACGAAGCATCTTATAGTTCAACATGTAGTGTCAGGTTTGGTCTCCAACGGCCATCTCAGCTTCGTTCAGACTAATTTGTAAGTTGGTTCCTCACGCGACGGGCAGTGTCAGAGGTGAAGAGGAGACGAGCTCACGAGACGCCAAGCTCGAGTGCTCCACCTCGAAAGAAGCTAAACCTGATTGGAAAAATCTTCAAGCTCTCGACTTTCCTGCGCCGCGAAAGCGCATCCAATTTTCCAGTCGTTGTACCATTGCCATCTGCTTGTCGCAGCATTCGGGTTTCAATCCTTCTTCATTCATTGTGTTCTTAGGGCGTCATCATGGCTTTCTCTCGCTCAGTCACATCTCTCTTGCGAACTTCGCGGCATGTCGTAACGCCCGCTCGAGGTGTCAACCCAGTTACCAAAGTCTGGGGTCACGACAGATTCGGAGCCAGGACTTATGCTGCTGTCTTCGAAAGAACCAAGCCGCATGTCAATATTGGCAAGTGGAACGTCAATTCTGCAGCTGGTCTTGTTGTTCTAATTGTATACAGGCACCATTGGTCACGTCGATCACGGAAAGGTAAATTCAGTGCCATTCCAATTGCGTCCTCCGCTCACCCATCTAGACCACCCTCACTGCAGCCATCACGAAAAGACAAGCAGAGAAGGGATTTGCACAGTTCTTAGAATATGGCGCCATTGACAAAGCCCCCGAAGAGCGGAAACGTGGTATTACGATCGCAACTGCACACATCGAGTACCAGACCGAAGCACGCCACTACTCACATGTCGATTGTCCCGGTCACGCTGATTATATCAAGAACATGATCACTGGTGCTGCTTTGATGGACGGTGCTGTCATGGTCGTTGCTGCTGGTGATGGACAAATGTAAGGACGTCTCGACGAAGAGCTGGAACTTCCATTAACAATAGCTAGGCCTCAAACAAGGGAGCACTTGCTCCTGGCCCGTCAAGTCGGCGTACAGAAGATTGTCGTTTTTGTTAACAAGGTCGATACCGTTGAAGATCCAGAAATGTTGGAACTTGTTGAGATGGAAATGCGCGAACTTCTGGCGAAGTACGATTTCGACGGGGAAGAGACGCCCATCATCTTTGGTTCAGCTCTGTGCGCGCTTGAGGGCACCAAACCTGAAATCGGTGTGCAGAAAATTGATGAGCTCTTGGCAGCTGTTGACACCTGGATTCCAACACCTGTCCGACAAACCGACAAGCCCTTCATGATGTCAATCGAAGAGGTGTTCTCCATCTCTGGACGTGGTACCGTGGCTTCTGGTCGAGTCATGCGTGGCACTCTCAAGAGAGACACCGAAGTCGAGATCGTTGGTGGTGGCGACCAGACCATCAGGACCAAGGTTACCGACATCGAGACCTTCAATAAGTCCTGCGAGGAGTCTAGAGCCGGCGACAACTCGGCTCTTCTCCTGCGTGGTGTTAAGCGTGAAGACATCAGACGTGGAATGGTTGTTGCAGTCCCCAGCACAGTTAAGGCGATCCAAGAAGTTCTCGTGTCGATGTACGTCTTGACCGAAGAAGAAGGTGGAAGAAAGACCGGCTTTACTCAAGCATACCGACCTCAGCTCTTCGTCCGAACAGCCGATGAAGCAGCTTCGTTGCAGTGGCCAGAGACAGAAGAGGATCCTTCGAGGATGATCCTACCCGGTGATAATATCGAAATTATCCTGAAGACTCACCACAAATGTGTCATGGAACCTGGTGAACGATTCAACTTGCGAGAAGGCGGAAGAACTGTTGCCACTGGCTTGGTCACAAGAATCATCAAATAGATGCCCTAATGCTTTCGTCTCCGGCCAGCCGATCCAGAGAAGGACGGGGAAGTTCCTGGTAACGACACTGGCTGGTGGTTATGTATCAAAAGTGCATGTTTGATCTGTCATATTTGAGTCTTGTACAGTTGCAAAGGGTTTTGCATCCCATCGAGGAGCCTGGTCTGGACATAGGACGTCTGTTGGAATAGGCCGGCGCAGAGACTCGCATACATCAAACTCTCAACTTCACTTCGAACATGTATGAAAACCTACCGCAAAATTTCCATTCGTGTTTCCCTCCTCAACATCAGTGCGTGGGCAGATTGCCTTCTGTGTCTGTCCTTTCGGGATGTCTGTCCCAAAGTCCTCGTAGTTCGACCTCGGTCTGATTGCCGATTGCCCGGTAGTGCCTCAATGCCTTTTGCCGGCAGTTGCTAGTAGGTTCTGCCATATCAAGGCCAGAATCGGAGGGCTTAACATGAAGTTCATACTCTTACCAAGAGTTTATCCGAATTGAAAGAAGCAATATCTCAATTTCGCCGTCTATCCGCTAATAAAACATTCGAGCATGGAAGGACGCTGCCAGTGCGGTGCTGTCCGCTTTATTGCGCCCCTCGACCGGCCCTTGAAATGGTATATCTGCCACTGTCTGGAGTGCCGGCGTCAAAGCGCGTCCGCTTTCGGCATAACAGCAATATTCCCGGCATTTGATATTACGGCGAAGGCCGACACGGGAGCTGATGACATCGGGGTGTATACGCACGAGAACACGACCTCGGGCCGGATGAAGCGATGCTACTTCTGCAAGAAATGTGGCACGCGGCTTATGCACGGGGGAGGGGACTTCGTCGCGGTCAAGGGTGGGTGTCTTGAGGGCATCGATCAAGAATGCCTTGAGGGAGCGGCGCATATTTGGACAAAAAGGGCCTTGTTTCCCATCCCGGAGGGCGTGGAGAGTTATCCTGAGGAGCCGCCTAAGCCTGAAAAGAAGCAGTGGAGGGAGGGATCATGAGCAGAAGAGTACCGAGTACAGCTTTGGTGCATGGGGCAACGTTGGCGCTGACTCAACTGCTTCTGGGACTGGAAGTGACGAGATCGGATCGAGACCGGATCGTTCACTCGTTTCCCGCAGCACTATGGCATTTTGGATGCTCAAGAGACCCAGCCATTCCGTCAGTCAGGGTATATAGCTGGGGTCCGTCGGCTGTGTCGGCCAGAAGTCAGCGTGCGAAACCGCCTCCATCATGAACCTAGATGTCAACTCTGATCTTCCACGGCCAAATTTTGGGTTGTTCAAAATGCCAGAAGCATTTGCATTTCGTACAGTCGTTCGTGCCTTTGTACAATAGTCAGGTAGTAGTCTTATCTGTCTTGCTGTGACCTGCAAGTCCGCTCCCTTTTCTCACCCCTTTCCCACACGCATTTTATGTTTCTTTAACTCGTCGACGCCAACACGCCAGCTGTCTCTGATGGTGTCCCTACTTCGGCAGCTTCTCTTTCCGCTCTCCGTCTCCGCTTCTCTATTATAATCTCTTTCCGCTGCTGCAGCATCTTTACTTGTCGGTCCTCCACGCCTTTCATCCAATATCCGAACGAGCCTCCGATCCCGGCGAACAGAGGGTACACCCATAACGCGCCGCGCTGGAAGAACGGTCTCATTTCGATGCCCAGTTGGACGAAGCGTGTCGCGATGCCTAAACGTGTCAAAAAGGGGGTCTCAAAGAGGAAAAAAGTGCTGGTTCACTGCATACCGAAACCGGCCCAGAACAGGATTTTGTGAACCATGATGTCGTGTTATCTGGCGCCCACGGCGCGATCAGGGGGTTGAGGACAATTTGAACGGACAGAGTGCTGGCGAGGAACCGGAGAGGAAATATCAGACTCTCGTTTGGCGGTGGGAAGTTGTTTTGTCGCTACTTGAAGAGCTCGGAGATTGGGAGGTTCGGGGGTCTCTGAGCAAGCTTGCATGGATGAGCACTTTGATGGCTTCCAATGCGCAGCTCCATAGGTGCCAAGGCTGAGCTTCTCCTGCGGAGTATTATGTCTGTGCGTTGAGAAGTCAAATGGTCGACCGGAGCACGAGGCTGAACCAATCCGGCACAATATCCTGGAAAAGGTGCCTATCATTTAGTTCTCAACACTGCTTTCTTCAAAGTGCTGGATGGTTGCTTGGTGGCAATCAAGTCCAGCTCGAACAATGTCACATACTTTTCGTTGATCCTCTAGACTGCCAGCCAATGTTACTCTTGCAAGTAAGAAGTTCCAGCCATGAAGGGTTGGCCCTTTGGATGACTCAGCCTTGTGCCAAACCCCGATAAATTCGCCAAGGCTGCATGCGCATTTTGCGACCGCTGAGGTGCCTCTCTCAGACGCGACTAGGCCGCGTAGATCACCAAACCTCAACTTCGTACACACCCTTTGAGACGACACGAACGTCGCGTGCGACTGTTCCCAATGAGATTGCTTTGCAATGGCTGACACCGTCATGGCTGATTCGCCAGCAATCGAGTCCGCCGCTCCTTTCTCACTCCGCCCGCGCTTCAAGATCTCGGACCTTCCTCTTGTTAAAGAACAACGATCGACCATTGATACACTTCTCCTCAAATTCAAGAAGCAAGGTGGCTACGACAGTCTAAGGAAACAAGTATGGGCCTCATACAATACCTCCGACGCAAAGACTGCGCTCGCGGACCAGATTCACGCAATTGCAGAAGCCGAAATCGAGAAAGACCCCAATCTATTGAGCCGTGAGCGGGGCAAGGCAGCTACATTGATTCAAGGTGCTGTTGACAGAAGCGGCATCTACCAAGATGTGGAATCTAGGATTGACACCGAGATTGCAAAACATTTGAATACCGTGCTCGACGCGGTACGGGATATCAGAAAGGCTGATGTGGGCGTCGCTGTCGCCGCTGAAGAAGAACAGCGAGGCTGCAAGACGGATGAGCAGTACAAAGCGGAGACCGAGAATCGGGCTGCTGAACGGGAGAGGAACAGGTCTCGCATGGAACAGTTGCTGCGTGAGACTGCAGAATTGAAAGCGAAGATTAAGCAGGAGGAAGAGAGAAAAAGAAAGAAAGAAGAGGCTAAGCGGGAGGAAGAGGAGAGGAAGAAGCGGGAAGCCGAAGAAGAGGAGAGAAAACTCGCTCGGCAGAAGAGACGAGAGGAGGAAGAAAAACGGGAGGCTGAGAGGATCAAAGCAAGAGATGAGAGGCACAAGAAACGTGAAGAGGAGAGGAAGGAGAGAGAGGCTCGATACGAGAAAGAAAGGGAGCGTGAAAGAGATAGAGAGCGGGATCGACGTGATCGAGACAGAGACAGAGACCGAGACCGAGAACGCGAGCAGGAGCGTGATCGTGATCGTGATAGGGATCGAGACCTCGGAAAAGGCACGGAACGACGGGGCTCTCGGGCTGAATTGACGAACACGAAGGACATACCGACCGATGAAAAGGATCTGGAAGCTACAGCACTCGAGCTCCTTCTGAACGAAGGCAAGCGCTTGGCCGAAAAGTCGAAACAGAGACCTGAATATGATTTCGACAAAGCGGAAATACATGACAGCTCTCGAAGACATGCAGGGTCCGATCGCCATTCCAGTCGGCGAGACAGGTCACGCGACAGCCACAGACGAGAAAAAGACCGCCGAAGCCGGTCCCGTGATAGACGGCCATCGATACAGAAGGAAAAAACGCGTACGCCCAGCAAAGACCGTGAGGAAGGAGAGGCCCGAAGTCAGCGCGAATCACCTTCGCCGACCCAAGAAAAAGAAAAACCCAAGAGCAGAAGAATGCGGTCTGCATCTCCATTGGGTATTGACCGCTACGTTCCTGGTGGAGGTGTGCATCGCTCTCTCGAAGAACGTGAGCGTGAGAAAGAGAGGCGAAAAGCTCGAGAACTTGAAAAAGAACGGGAGCGAGGAACTATCAGGAAGTACGACAGCCATCGTGGTGACGGGGACCGTGATCGAGACAAGGAGCGGGAGCGAGATCGAGATCGAGACCCGGATCCTGACCGACGAGACCGCAACCGTGACCGCGACCGTGAACGCGAGAGAGATCGTGATAGAAGCAGAGATCGTGACCGAGGTAACCGCGACAGGGACAGGGACAGAAGTAGGGAAAGACTCAGAGAAAGAAGCAAGGAACGAGACCGCGACCGCGACCGGGAACGAGATAAGTATCGCGAAAGAGACCGTGACCGAGATCGAAGCCGAGAACGAGAGAGACAGCGCGACAGAGATCGTGACAGGGACAGAAGGGATCGCAGTCCCAGACGGCGGGATGATGATCGACGGGACGAGAGACGAGATGATCGCAGGGAAAGCCGACGAGACAGAGACCGAAGCGACGCACGAAGAGATCGAGACCCAGTTCAGATTGATCGTTATGTACCCGGGCGATAGCGTCAGCCAGAAATCATCAACCAGCTGTCATTGCTCGTAGCAATACTGGACGACTTGTCGTCATCGGAGGCATCTGTGGTATCCGGTTTTCTTGCCCCTGCACGCTCAAACCAATTTTATCTACATGCTTCCGATAATTGAGCTCGGTGTCCGACCTTGGCCGCAGATCTGCCGAAAGACCCTCGACAATGGCCCTCTCGAGCAGCAGTATACTGCGCAAATTGTTGCCCTGCTTGGTCCATATCGATATGTGGGTGAAATATAATCTCGGCGAGAAAGACATGCCCAGGATATGATCCCGTTCTGTAAGGTCATCGTCAGAATGGTGCGTGGTAAGAGGTGTGTGCACATACCTTGTGCAATAGCCGCTTGTAATTCCCCTCCGCAGCATAAGAGGCAGATTTCTTCCCAGACTCGTATGGCACGGCCATTGTCCGGACGGACACGAATGAGCCACCTTCCGCCTCGTTGATTCTCGGCGTCTTCCCAGAGGGGTTTGACGCCAGAGCGGAAGATGTGTATACTATCGTTCTGCTTGATCTGCACCCAAGGCATATTGTTGAAAATACGGTAGAAGGTGCCGATGTCGGGTACGTCGTCGACCAGTGGGGTGAGTAGGTATTGTTGTTGAGCATCGGGTTTGCTGTGCCAGACCGCCCAGCGATATTGAAAGGGGAGTGGGCGGAGTTTGGTGATGACCATTTTGTGCAGGGACGACGAGCGGCGTGGGAGGGTTGGGCGAGAGCTTGCAATTGCGGTGTTTGTTGTTGGTGATGGGACTGGTGATGGCGAAGGTCGTGGCGACAGTAATGCGTCGCCGGTCGTTGTTGGATACGTTGTTGCCATTATAGCGTGCAAGTGGGAATCACAGCATGGATCATTGAGATGCTCGAAGACCTCAAGGGCTGTGAGGGTCACAGCAGGTGCATGGTATTGAATACGATGAGACTAATGCACAAGCGAACGAAGTGGTTCATATACCTGTTTCTATCCTAAGACTGGCCGTCCATGGGGTTAGATATAGTCGTCATCTTTCCTGCAGGAATACCTGATCGCAGATACGCGCCCATGGTATCGTGGACTTGAAACATCGGTTCTGCGTGATTGGCCTGCTGTGTGCATCGCGAAATACGCGCCCGGATGAAGTGTTCCAGTCGGGGTTCTTCAGCCTGGGGTGGTTGCGCAAAAGGTAAGCACGGTTTCTGCCTCCTTAATATGTCCCAAGCTTGAGACACGAGGCGACCCATCAAGATGATATGACTGATGTCCACTTTCACAGCGAGTCAGTAGCCGCAAGGCTGGACGAGGCTGCGGATGCCAAGGCGGCTCGCTTTTTTGTCAGACGAAAATTTACTCAGAGAAGGGAATGGTTGCTCCGTCATGCTTGCCGTTGGCATCAAGGTCCTCCAGTCAATTCACCTGGCACGCTAAACATCGACATGCGTTGTATGATTTTGTATAACTCGCAGTAGTGGGTTATGCTGAGATGACCAGGCCAAAGCAACAACAACCTGCCCAACCTGGAGACGCTGAACAACAACATGATCCAGAGGACAAAACCAATGCCGAAGAGGAGAACCATGGTCGTGAGCAGGATGTAAATGCCAGTAGGGTTGGCTCGAGGACTGCAACGACATCATCGTCGATTTCATCTTCTCCTAGTGCAACATGGCTAGGACATCATGCTAGAGCGGACTTGGCGGGACATGCTGAAGACAGTGATACGGTCAACGAAGACGAAACATCATCTTCTGGTTCTTCAGAGTACGAGACGACTTCGGAAGCTGAGGAAATGGAGCAGGCTGATGGGTCCGAAGACGAGAGGATGGTGGCGTCATCTGGGGGCCCGACGCCGGTCTTTGCAGGGGGCGATCTACGATCTCGACTACAAGCGTTTCTACCGCAACTTCAACGGGCCAATGCCGAGCTTGAGGCCTCTGAGGACGTACCAGCGCGCAGAATAGACCACGTCGACGACGACGAAGAACACTACATCGAGATGAATCTGGGTTTGGGTGTGTTGAGTGAGCGAAAGAACAGGGAAGATGGTGAGATACGTGTTGATGGCGAGAATTCGAGTTCGGACGGTGCGGAGAATGACGATGAGGCCGGAGAGGGAAACGAATGGGGCGAAGAAGAAGAGGGACGGCAAACAGATGTCCTGGCACGATTGAGAGGAGAGAAGGCAAGCAGAGGGACGAAGAGGAAGATTGAGGATCTTGGGTGAACGCATGAATCGTCTATGAGATGACCGGGCCAGACCTTTCCGCTATTGAGACTAGGAAGAGCTGTGGAAACCGATGATGTCCCGTCTATTGATAATGATGGCCATCAAACTCTGCAGGACCAAGCCAACCTCTCTGCAACATAACGAACCATACCGGGAAAAATGCGCTCGGACATGGACAACAAGATATCGACAAATATCTCTTGGGGTGCTTCCAGTATGGGCCACAACGACAGCCTCCACGTTGGTGGAGAAGGGTCCTTGTCAAAGAACAAGCAGTGGTCAGTGTCCACAGCCTTGACCCCGTACAGACTGTCAGACAAATGGTCCCCAGAATTGCAGAGCGTCCATTCTCAGGTACCGATTTCTTACCTTTTAAGGACGTATTGTCACAAAGCGAGTCGTGGATGACAAGGACTAGATACAATCCTCACAATGGCAAGGACTGGAATCAAGACAAACACATATCGAGATGGAAGATGGATGAGTTGGAATATCTGGCCAATCAGAAGTTGTGATGTCATTGTTTAGATCTAACCCGAAACTGCAATATTCGCTTGATCCTTTTAAGGCTCCGCATCGATAACCCGGTCAGCGCGTGGGACTAGCTGCGTCCGACACCTCATTTCCTTGTCCGTTTCGTTTTGATGTACGTCTCGTTACAGAACAGATATCGTGCTGCTATAGACGAGTGTTATCAACTTTTGGAAGAAGCCGTCAACATGGCGCCGCCGGGACGTGCAATCAACGCCAACGCCAGACCGCAAACTCCCACGCTCTCAACCGCTTCCAGTCCCTCTCTCAGGTCGAGAACACCTGTCAGTGTACCGATGACACCTATGAGTAGCAATACGAACCCAGGCGGGAATGTCAAGGTGGTGGTGAGAGTCAGAGGATTTCTTCCTCGAGGTGAGCTGCCCCTTGTGTTTCGCTAAGCCGATCTCTAATTTGTGTCTAGAAATCGATCGAGGTGCACAATGTCTGATCAATATGAACCCGATAAATCAGTCGACGAAACTCCTCGTTCCTCCGTCCAGCGATCCTGCCAACGCACGAGCGCAGACTCGAAAGGTTGTCGAAGAAAAGACATTCACCTTCGATCGATCATTCTGGTCGCACAACACCGACGACGAGCACTATGCTACACAAGAGGATGTTTACAATTCATTGGGAGAAGAGTTTTTAGATCACAACTTTGAAGGATACCACACATGCATTTTCGCCTATGGCCAAACTGGTTCCGGAAAGAGCTACACCATGATGGGCACACAGGATCAACCAGGTCTGATTCCACGAACGTGTGAGGACATGTTTCAGCGGATAGAGTCCAATGAGAGTCCTCACATCAGCTACAGCGTTCGTGTGTCTTACTTTGAGGTGTACAACGAACACGTCAGAGACCTATTCCAGCCTCGGACTGATCCTCCTCAATATCTGAAAATCCGAGAATCACCCACCGAAGGGCCATACGTCAAGGATCTGACCGAGATCCAGGTCAAGAACTACACGGAGATTCTGAAGTACATGCGCATGGGCGACAACTCAAGAACGACTGCCTCGACCAAGATGAACGACACATCGTCACGATCTCATGCTGTCTTCACCATCATGCTCAAGCAGATCCACCACGACTATCACAACGACGAAACAACCGAACGCCTGGCACGAATCCGCCTGGTCGACTTGGCCGGATCAGAACGTGCAAAGGCGACCGAAGCTACCGGGCAGAGGCTTCGAGAGGGTGGGAACATCAACAAATCCTTGACTACTCTGGGAAGGGTCATTGCTGCACTCGCCGACCCCAAACATGCTCGAATGCACAATAGCAAGCGAACCGCTCGGGATGTTGTCCCTTATCGTGATTCGATTTTGACGTGGTTGCTGAAAGATTCGCTTGGTGGTAACTCGAAGACTGCCATGATTGCCTGCATTGCTCCATCGGACTATGACGAGACCTTGTCAACCTTAAGATATGCCGACCAAGCCAAACACATCCGCACCAAAGCCATTGTCAATCAAGACCATGTCTCATCAGCCGAGAAAGATGCTCAGATTCACGAGATGCAAGAGACCATTCGAGGTCTGCGTTGGACTCTCAGCCAGCAACAACAGAATGGTAGTGTCAATGTTATCAAGGCCGTGCAAGACAACGCAGAAGCTCAATCTGAAAAGATCCGCGAATTTACCACGAAGTACGAAAACATGCTGCAGATTATGGAGGAGAAACTCGCAATCTCAGAGTCAAAGGTCCGTCAACTCGAGGAAGAAAAGGAAGCAATGAGTATCCACCTTTCACTCGTACTCGATGAGCTCAGAAATCCAATCATCATCAACAAAGACCCCGAGTCTGGCGGCGTCGGGTCTAGAGTGCCTACGCCCGACATGATCTACGAGGATGATACTGCGTCAAGTGATGAAATCGAGACTGACTCTGAGTACGACGACGAGGCGGCGGAGATTGAGGCTGATGCTCATGCACTTCTTGCGCAACTGAGCAATTTCAAGAAGAAGATTGCTGCGGATATGGTGGAATTCGGTATCAGTCCGTAGGTCTGATACCGTGCCGATCCAGTCACGGGGAAGAAGTTGCCGCCTCTTTTAATTTCGCAGCATCGTGATGAGATGAATGAAGGATAGGATAGCGCGGCGTTCTGGTGTTTGTCGTGACTCACAATTGGCTACGGGATTGGCCCAGGGTGATGTATGAACTTAGGGCTTCTTGAGCATAGCCGTGAGCCTTTACAGGTGTGATGCATAGGTACATCCAAGAAGGCCATTTCCCAGTTCGCACGAAAATTGAGAATATGCTATTCCCCTGACGTTTCCGGGACACAAACAACAGATGCCCTACAGTAGTTCCCCGTGCGTGCCCGTGGTGGCAGCCTCGTGCAGCCTCGTACCAGACTCTGCTTACATAACAAGCTTGGCGCTTCTTGAACAGGCCGACAAAAAGGTCCTCTGCCTTTCCGGTCCATCAAAAAGTTGGAGAACTAACACTTTTACAGACATGACTCAGTCAAGATGATATGAAATGCTCGTCCTACCTTAGACCCGGCGTCCTTTGCTCGCCTTTCTTGTTCCGACATACATACCATCCTTGAACCCTGCATCCTCAGACTTTCTATACAGCATGACCGACTCGAAACACTCCAACCCCTCCGGGACAAACGCGCCTCTCAACCCTACAGCCGCATCTTTCAACATGCCTTCTTCAGGCGAAGGGACAGTTGTGAATGGGACCTCTACAGCAGCCACAGATGGCATCGACCAGTCCAAAGAATCGAAGAAATCCGGCAAGTCTCGCCCGGACGCAGCCCTTCGAACAACGACCGAACAAAACATAGCAGAAGCAGGAGCCGGTGTAAAACTCACGGGCGCAGAGCTCAAGAGACAAAAAGCCGCCGAGAAAGCCGCCAGGCGAGCCGAAAAGGTGGCCCAAAAGGGTGCAGAAGCACAAGTTGAAGCTGCAGCCGGCTCGACATCAAAGCCAGAACTCCAACGACGGCCATCTGCTACGAAACGAGATAGCGACGCAGGAGGCTCACATCACAAACGCACTCCCTCGTCAAGCGGTGGGAAACCATTACCTCTCCGCGGCCAGCAGCAGTCACAACAGCAGGCGGCACCCACAGCGACTGAAAAAACGAAACCGCAGGAGTCAAAGAGAGTGGCCTTGTTCTCACACCTCTACCCAAAGGAACGGAAAGCCAACCTCGCAAGCGCTGGCCGCGAAATCCACCCGGCCGTACTGTCTCTCGGCCTGCAACTCAGGGACTACGTGATAGCTGGTGGTAACGCGCGCTGCGTCGCTACACTCCTGGCCTTCAAGAAGGTCATTCAAACGTACACGACTCCTCCCGGCGTAGCTTTGTCGAGACATCTATTGACGCATCTGAACCATCAAATCGCGTACTTGCGCAACGCGAGGCCCTTAAGCATGTCCCAGGGGAATAGTATTCGGTGGCTGAAGAACCTGATCAGCACGCAGCCCGTGGACGCAACGGACAGTGAGGCGAAGAAACAGATCTGCGACGAGATAGACCGGTTCATTCGTGAACGGATCACACTGGCAGATGAAGTCATTGCGCGCGAAGCGGGCGCGAGGATTGGTGATGGCGATATTGTGCTCACCTACGGGAAGAGCAGTGTCGTGGAGAAGACGCTTATAGCTGCACATAAGCAGGGAACGAAGTTCAAGGTCATCGTCGTGGACAGTCGGCCGATGTTCGAAGGGAAGAATCTTGCCAGGAGTCTGGTCAGAGCCGGATTGAAGGTTCAATACGCACTGCTGGCAGGACTATCGGACCTGGTCGATCAAGGCGCCGGAGCCGTGACGAAGTGTCTATTGGGCGCGAGCGCGATGTTGGGGAACGGAGCGTTACTGGCCAGGGCGGGTACTGCGATGGTCGCGCTCATAGCGAAGGAGTGCAGTAAGAATCGCAGCCGCAACGTGCCGGTGATTGTGCTCTGTGAAACGGTCAAGTTTACGGCCAAGGCGGCACTTGATAGTGTCATTATGAATGAGGTCGCGGAACCCGACGCCCTTGTGGAGACGAATGAGCCGGATGTGTTGAGCTCGACGACGCTGAAGAAGGAGGATCCCGCAGCGAAGAGTGGCAGCAACAAGAAAGCCGGAGGGAAGGATGATGACGACGCCGATGATAAAGACGGGATAGGGAAGGGTTTGCAAGGGTGGAAAGAGCAGCAGGGCCTCTTTCTACTGAACTTGATGTACGATGTCACGCCGGCCGAGTTTATTGATGTCGTGGTGTGTGAGATGGGAAGTCTTCCGCCTACGGCGGTCCCTGTCGTTAATGGCGTGCATGGGGACGATCAGGCTCTGGCGTGATGAGATGAGTGCGAAGATGCGTTGTGATGACGAGCAGGATGCAATGAGATGGAATTGCCCCTGTTTTGAGTGTTTACGCGAGAGAAGCCGACTTTGCGAAGGCATACACCGAAGGGCTCAGGCACTGCCATGTGTTCGGAAGATAACGAAGAGGGTCTCAATTGAGCTACGTCTTGTGCACTTTGATACATGCCTGTCAGGCTCTGTCGACCCGGGTAGGCACAGTAACTTAGTTTCAGAGACGTGTTTGAGTCTGTACGAAAAGGCCAGAAAGCTGACCGGGCCGGCTCTGGTCAAAGGCAGCGATGCAAGTAGAATTGTTCTTGATGAATGGATTTTGATCTCGGTGGTTCGGGACGATTGTTGTCGGCTTCATTCGAGTCGAGTCTTGTAAGCACGTAACTGCTTTGTGGGTCTGAGAACAAGAGAAACAGAGCATGATGGGGCAACGTTTTTGAAGAGTTCATTTTTCCGATTCCCATTCAACTCATTAAAGAGCCATGACCATCTAGTATGTGTGCTGTTTCAATGCATGAAAGAGCAAGGCCTGATTGGCAAACCCGCCGCCGTTCTCACGATCACCTGTCGAAAAAGGCATATTCGTTACTCCCCGATCCTTTCCTGGCGCAGAAATTCCTCCTGCCAACTGCAGGCGTCTTATCTGGTTTTCGCGTTCCCGACTCCCATCGTAGATTTGCTTCAATTGAATTGGTAGCTCCAGCCCGGCCATTTTATTGTGAATGCTTTTTGTTTATCGGTGCTACAGCCGGTTGCGTCAGCGTCTGCCCCCATTCCAATATTCACGCACACCGCGCGATTCCTTCGTCGCGAGCGTTTTGGAGGGTAATGGGGTAATTCATTCATACCTTGATGAAACCAATGTCCTGGCTCTTTTCCCGGAAGCACTGACGGCAGATGTTCAGGCCATACTTGCGGATCAGACCGGCTTTGTGAGTGCAGACGCGGCTGTTCGAGAAAGAAAATACACATCAGCATGGTTCTTCATAAATCATCACATCTCTCCTTTCCAGATAGTCTTCCCTCGCAAGGGCTGTTGTGAGTAGTTCCATCTCTTCTTTTCCCTCATTGTGTCTTCAACATGATGGTGCTAAAAGGAACATGGCAAACGTACCATCCGCGAGCGCCCTTTCCGAAGGTACGGGGTCGTGAGTACCAAACACTCTCGTGAGACATGATTGCGGTGTGGTTTTGTGCGCGGAAGGAGAAAAAGGCTCTCGATCTAGGAAGACGGATGGATTAGTCGACTGAATTTTGTGATGGTTGTGCGTGTTTATTTATCGCATGCAGATGATGGACGGGAGTATCTCACCTTCTAAGCGGCGCGAAAGGTGAGCGTTGAGAGAGTTGTCCGGATGAGGTCGTTCTGCAACCCAGTCAGTCGAGGTGCGCTTTCGAAAAAAGTGCGAGTGTGGGAGATTTCGCCAAGAATAGCACGTGATGATTGAACTGTAACAAAACGTGATTGGCAAATCCGCCGCAAGGCTGCTGGCGTTGGAGCTAGCTGAGTCAGCGCCTGCGACATTGCGGATGAGCCGTAAGACTTGGTATTTGCTATACAACTATGAGAGTACGCATGCCAGACTCGCTGATAAGAAAACATTTCTCGCCTGTGTATTCTTCAGTGAGGCCATAGCTTCCAGTATCCAGGCAATGGAGAGAATAGTGAGAGCATGATAACACCGGAACCTCAGAAATCTTGTGCGCCAGAAGACAGGCTCGCCAAGTTCGCCACATTCTTCCTGTTCAATTCAGCTTAGCTAGGTTCTTACCACCTAAACACATGTCAGTCTGTATCACATCGGAATGAAGGGCTTAGCCACTCACCCAAAAGTCTCTTCGAAGTACTCAACTCCCTTGTTCCCTTCTTTCAGAGCTTGATGGACAGCACACCTGGCTTCATCTGCCATGGCAGCTGGACCACATGTCAAAATCGCAACTCGATCGCCTGCTGAGCCGGCCGTATGGACGTCGTTCACCACACTGAAAACAGTATGTTTGATGTTGGGTCGACGGTAAGAGATGATCAGCTGAGGGTACGCAAGCATCCACTTCTCGAGGTTATCTGTGTCGACTGTGATCGGAGTTTCATACTGTGATGTTGCATGAAAATAGACATGCACGTCTTCTCGTCCCAGTATCATTTGGAGCTCACGAGCGGCAACGTCGCGAATCATTGCCGCCTGCTTCGCGCACCAGACGAGAGTGACATGTCGAGTCCTCGTTTCACCAATCGTTGCTCGCCGAATGTGGTCGAGCAGATAAGGCAGCGCACCAGAAAGTCCCGTCCCTCCAGCAATGAGGACAACGTTCTCATACAGGTGCAATGGACTGCGCTCGCCATATGGTCCTTCGATCAATGCCTTGGGATTGACCGAGCCAGTGACAGAGTTGAGACATTCCTGCTTCAAGCGCAGCGTCCAACTACCGTATGGCCGAACGAAAAATACCAATTTGTACTCAGCATCCCGAACCATGCTACTGCGTTTGTGGTTCATGAAGTTGGCTCCGATCGGTGTCATTGGCGAGTTTACTGGCTGGACCTCGACTTCAATTTCCTTCTTTTTGAGGGCTTCATCGTTCGAGCTCGAAGTGGATACAATCGCTGCAGTGTTGGGCTGGTTGAGAGCATGCCACGCGCCCAGAGTGAAGGGATGGTTCTCCCAGCCTTTCAACGTTGCCGGCTGGTAGATGAAGTAGTGTTGGCCCGGTCCAGGGTTAAGAAGACCTGACCCTGGAATAACCTCCAGCCTTATCACGTCAGCGTCCCGCAGGTAAGTAGCGGTCGTCCTTGTCGCAACAGGTCTGCCCGAAAATTGGAAGTGGAGGTTGCAATACACTAGCCGTACAACTCGAGCACCTCTGTCAAACGTCCAGATGGCAACAACCGGCCAGAGGTAGTCATTGAATTTGTCGTCAAAGGGTTTCGTATGACTGCACACTCTCAGTAAATACCACTTGTCTCAGTGGGCTTCGACATACTAGAAAAGTCCGATGATCGTGACCACGGACAGCGTGATATGCAAGAGTAGAAATACCTCATAGCACCGCCTTCGGAAGAACGATGAGGAAAAAACCATGAGCAGAGCCAGCGCGATGGTCGCCTACCATATACCAGTAAGTCCCCTAGTCTCCCCACTTGTGAGTAGATGGCCACTTACCATACCACCCCTATACCAATATTTCTCCCGCCACGATTCCGCCAGATGATCTTCTGTACAGGATTAGCCACATGTTGCTTCGGCACTGTAACCTGGGAAGACTTACTGCTGGCCTCGATCGCCGTGAATGCCACAGAATGGAGTACTGCCAGGATTGTGGATACCCGAGCGACGTGCCGGTGGAAGACATTGAAGGTCGAATAGCTCCAGCCAGTCAACCAGAGGAAGATGTTGTTTCTTCCGGCAAAAATCCACAAAATTGGCAAGGTAGCATAACAGATCTTCCCCGTCCGATCAGCTATATTCCTCCACTTTTGGTCCGCTTCCGTGTAGCTGCTGTTCGGTCAGTGATCCACCTATTGTCGAGTAGTAAGATCAGACGTACTGTAGGCTTGTCCAGGAAAGGTCATATGAGATACAGCATATCGAAATTATCAGGACATAGAAACCTGTGACAACCAGTGCTTCAGTTCTTGTGGGAATAGTTCCCAGCCAGGCCCGACGCTGATGGTTGGAGCCAATTGCCGTTGGAACGATCAGGTTTGCTTGAATCCAATGATGGACGCAACCTAGCAGAGAGGAAGAGCGTGATGGCCTTGTTCTTTGTCCTTCACGACCCTCAACGTCCCGAGCTCTCGTAGTCCAGCGGAAGGAGAGGAGATGCGACAAGAAACGGTTGATGATGCCTATCAGCAGTATCCCACCCCAAAATCCATAGACTGCCCAGCTAATGTGCCAGGATATGTCGGAGGCCATGATGATCCATGGCGGAATTGAAAGAGCGCATCCATATCTTTGGCGAAGGATATATCGCTCTGGGCTGCTGAGGTGGAAGATGGTCAGTGCACAATGCCCTTTGTTCCTCCTTACTTACCGTCGTTTGCGTCTCGACAGTCCACAATCCTTCTAAGTGGAGCGCAGCATACCTCGAGTATTTGCATCATCTTATCATCAAAGATGTCAGTCGACATGAAGATGTAGAGTTGGGAAATCCCACGAAATTTTCCGACAAGCGCACCACCTGAGTCCCCCATGTCCGCTGCAGCAATTCCTGGGCATCCGAGCTTTTGTCTCGCGCTCTCTGCACCAGGGCAAAATTCATACTTGCTGCAGAATGTGGCACGAGTTGTAGAGTCACTGTTGAATACTCGCCTCGTCATCTCCCGCTGAGTCAATCGTGAAGATGCCCATCTCTTCCCAGTGAAATCTACTCCTCGAGCAACCGGGTGACATGCGAGATGGTAAAGGGAAAGTAGCGCAAGAACACACAAAGAGAAGTAACATCCCCACCGCGCCTGCGCGTCTTGTAGCATCAATGGGCAAGAACTGCGTGTTCTGCGAGCTGAACGGAATTTGAAGAGTGCTGTATGGTCTTCCAGCCATCAGACTCTTCGAGCTTACCGAGAAAAGTTTGAAAGCATCTCAACTCCTCATAGATGCATGGCGCTGCAATTGCAATTGCAGCGAGCGTTCTCTTCTCGTGCCACGCCTCATGGATAAAATAGGTACCTTGTCAAGGATCGTTCACGGATGTCGACAGGCCTTGAAGCTCAAAGAGCAGAGACGAAGTTCCCGACTATCTTTCTGACCAACAATCCGTTTTTGGTTTAGCGTTCAAGTTGTCGACCAGAGATCTTCTCTTTCTTAATCTACTCAACTTTCTCCTCTCCTTTCAAATCACCTCCCTTCTCCATGAGTGGCACCTTCTTCTGAGCAGGTACCAGCGTCTTGCCAATTATCCTGTCTTGGTCCCCGTCCTCGATCTTCAAGCCAACGCACTTCGCTATGAAATTGCATAACAGAACCTCGGCTTCAAGCGAATTCTTGCTCAACGCATGATTGTCGCCAGGAAACAGTTTCAACGTGCGATCTCCGCTGGATCCGTACGAGTCGTACAGATTCTGCGAGCAGCGGTGACTCAGGGTTGCATCTCCAGTGCCGTGCAATAACATGACTGGTCGTGGTGGTAAGTAGCGTATGCCCGACGTCGCGGCCGTTTGACTGGCGACCGTGGCGCAGCCCACAACGCGTTCTGGACAAAATGTCAGTGGGAGGCGCCGTAGACACAAGGCAGTGCGGGTGGCGTACCTGACTCTCGTCCTCCAACCGTGAATGCCGGCGCACCGCCAAACGACCATCCGACTAGGACAAAGCGGTTGATCGAGTACATTTCCTCCATATAGTCCATGGCGCAAATCACGTCCTTGACGCATGGGTTCGTATCTGCTGGAAAGCGGTAATCGAGTCTGAGCACGGGGACACCGCGCTGGAGACTTGCCAGCTTGTCGCCCATGGACAGGTACATCGCGCTTGGGCCTGTGACACCGCCGCCAGCGCCCGAGAGGAGGATCGCTGCAGCTGGTATCCTCCCCTCCTGATTAGGGGAGTAGTTCGCTGGGAGGTGCAGGAAGCCTGGGACTTTCTCTCTGGCGCCGACCGGGATTGAGAGTTTCTGGACGGTACATAGTAATTTATGAACGTCTTTCAGAGCGGGAAAGTTCGTGGCGTGTTGAAGACTAGGAGTAGCACTTCTAGACGAGGCTTCTGAGCGAGCGCCGCTACTTGCGTTGCCGCTCATGTTTGAATTTGACTTGAATTCTGCTAGATTGTTCCTGAATTGTGACAATGCGGCTCGAAAGGATGGTGGGAGTGCAACCATGAGAGAGTGTGAAAGACGGCTAAGTTATTATAAGAGCCCAGCAATAGATGTTTGATCATTTCCATCATTTTGATCACTTCTACCGGAGACTCGCCACTCGTCGTCCAACGTGGACGGACAGAATTACCGACCTCTCATTTGGCCAGGTCCGCATTGCGTCACAGCGATCGTTGAGGGGAGAAATTGCAGTTCTCGTCTCTGTCATGTCGATAAATAACTTCGAAGTCATTTCCTCACTCACTCCCGCTTCAAGACAAGAGCATCGCTATCTCTCTCAGGGGGAAGAAAGAATTGTGCTCGGTGAGTTGGTGTGAAAGCACTGCCTGGGTCATCTCATGCCGGTAAGTGTGGTCATTCCTTAAAGTGCAAGTAGCATTTTTAGGCTTATCCTGACAACAAACTCCTTCGAAACTCACATGGCTTCTTCTCACAGCCCATTCTGCCCGCTCTGACACGAAGCTCATTGAACATGCCGACGCCGAGGAAGCGTAAGTACGTGGAAAATCAAGATCAGGTCAGACAATCTTGACCTCCATCCGCCGTGCTGCCTGGAACCATGAAGCGGGACAGAATGACACTCCAAGACGAGAGTATGTTGCTTCGCCCGGAACCGCTTGGAGCACGAGGCATGTTCCCCGTCCACTGTTTATTCGGGGGTGCCATCTTTCAATTGCAATGCACACTGCCTGCTGGCCGTCGACCGCCGCAGGCACATCTAGTTGGAAAGGTTGTCTACTGGTACTGTGAGAGTTGGGTCCACCGCTGTGGGCACGTTCGGGATTCTGGTCATCGCCAGCGGCCGTGTGGTTCTCGCCCGAGTCCTTGAATTTGTGAGCTAGACTCATGAAACAATCTCGTGTTTGCTGGTGTCCAGAGCTTTCTTGTTGAAGAATGACATGAACCGCGGGTCCTATAAGGATCAGGAAGGCCGCATCTACAGCTCCAAAGCGATCTTCGCGGCTGGTCGGAATGGTTTGGACATCCAACATTTCTGCAACGACTTCGTTCGCATAGTGCCAGCCAATGTGGGCTTCAATTCGGCCACGTACAGCGATCCACGACCACGACGGACCACAGTATTTCTCAGGACGGTGGGTCTGGCTCTCTCCGGGGGCCGCTCGAACTACACGCCACAGCAGCCCTGATGGGAATTCATGTCTCCAGAGCCCGGCGCAATACTCGCCCAGCTCAGTCGAAGCAACCAGTCCAGCAAACCCAGACAGGGCCGGTAGCCTATCCCTCTCGTCGTGTAGTGCGCATGCAGAGTATGGCTCCACCACAGAATACCACAGCTCAACCCGGGAAGTGAGAGTCACAACGCGTCGAAGAGATTTCAGCGTTTTGGTCTTGAACGTCCCTGAAACACCTTGAGATCTGATATACCTGCACTCACAATCAAGATTTTCTCCACACTCAAAAACAATCTCCTCAGCTGAAAAGTGTACCACTCTTCTTCCAAGAAGTCGCTCCTGGAAGCACCAGGCTCGTTCGAACAATGGCGTTGTGTTGAAACGATAGGGATCATTTGTCAAGAAAGCATCGTGGGGAATGGCCTCATTTACATGAAGGTAAGACCTCTTGCGTGGGTGAGTGTCGTGTATGGTTATTCTTTGCGCCCCTCGTCGATCGTGGAAGAGTCCCGCATCCCCGGTGCTCCCTCTGGTTGCAGCAATGACGACGTGTGCCTGGCTATAGACCAATGCCATGCGCGCCGCCTCTCGCGCAAAGTCTGCTGGGTCGTCCTGCACGATGCAGAGCGAGTCGATCCAGACGTACTTCAGCCCAAGCCGACGAACAACGGCGATGGTATCGCGAAATGTTGGTGTCAGATCCTCCCATTCGATCCTGTGCAGGTGTCGGTGTAATGTGTCAATCTTTGTCTTTGGGACTGCCTTGACTCGATGGCTTTTGTCGCCCCAGCAGTGGCTAAGTGCCGCAAATTGCGTGTCGTTGCTCGTGATTTCTGAACCGATGACGAGCCTAATACTTTCAGTCCGGCCGTCAGGACTCACATCCACCAGCCGCGTAGGGAGTCCTCTCTCAGTCATAACAAGTCCACACCCGTGCTCCCGAATGCACTCATCAATCCAGTGTTTGATCATGTCAAAACAGACATCATTGTCAGACCTAATGGGCGGTAGTGTCCGACGGAATAGGCGACGATCCATCGTATAACCTGCCGAGAAGTAAGTGTCCACCGCCGGGGAGACAAAAACCGCTCACCTTCGTCCGCATACAGCTCGAGATCAATGCTGCCATAGTCCTGGCGCAGTTGAGCCGCATATGGTTCCAAAGTTGGAATCGAGCCATCTAGGAGCCATCTGACTCGGATCCTAGAAAAATCGCCTTGATACTTGAGACGACCAGTCCCTCTAATGTGCACCTGAATTCGCCCAGGATCTATCCCAGTAAACCTCGCATGGAACAAGGCGATACTCTGCACAATGAACCAACATCTTCCACAACCGACCGTTGCAGTCCTCTGAAAGTCAGAGAGTGTAGGCCAACACGTGTGTACTTTTCTTTGGGCGATCACGTCCGTACACGAGCAAATTCCACGAAACATGATGCGGTATCGGAATCCGTCCCAAATATCCTGGCCCCTGTAATAAGCTTTTTTGGCCCTCTCTGCTGCCCATGCAGCCGATTCTTCGAATCGAGAGCTATCATTGAAGTATTTCCAGCCGTTGACGCGGTCCAAGTAACCGACGAATGTCTCATTTTTCCTTGGTGTACGGCGGCCCACGTGGACCACTGTCTCATGCAACTTGGTTTTTGAGAAAATCGATCATTGCACCAACACTGCCACAATACGTAATATCGACTCGACCTTTTACATATTGATTTGTATGTCAGATTGAAGGGCTGCATCTCAGGAATCTAGTTACTATGGGGCATTTCTAGATTTAACGCTGTTCTAATGTGCGCTGACAGTCTAAAATCTATCTCTTTAAGTGAGAGTTCGTTTATCTTTTTGATATTTCGAGTGCCAAGACTATTGTCTATAAGCTCTTAACTAAAGACGTCTAGCTTATAGGTATCTTAGGTAATGAGATAGCCTAAACTTTAGGCGTCTTTAGTTAAGAGCTTATAGGCCATAGTCTTGGCACTCGAAATATCAAAAAGATAAACGAACTCTCACTCAAAGAGATATATTTTAGACTGTCGACGCACAACAGGATAGCGTCAGATCTAGAAATGCCCCATAGTAACTAGATTCCTGAGATGCAGCCCTTCAATCTGACATACAAATCAATATGTAAAAGGTTAAGTCGATGTTCCATGGATGTGCTGGTGGTGCAAATGATCGATTTTCTCAAAAACCAAGTTGCATGAGACAGTGGTCCACGTGGGCCGCCGTATTGGTGACAGACGTGTCTCTCTTTTCCTGAAGCTGCTCCACTCGTCGGCGGTGATTTGTACCACCCTCGGAGCAAGGCCATCCAGCCCGGGAGACTTCGTGATATACTTATCAAAGCTACTGGTCGTCATTATGACCACAGCAGGAGTAACGGGCTAAAGACTTCACCCTGGAAATTGCCCCATCGCGAACATTCCAGAGAGGCATTGAATGGGAATGGAGGTATCATTTAGTAGCCTGTGTCTCTAAGTCTGCTGCTGCCAGACCCAAAGTTGCAAGGAAATTTAGGCAGCAGCGTAAGGGCGCAGTTCCCAACCGGCCGTCTGAAGCAAGCATAGCCTATAGCAAGGGGCCAGATTGGGTCCCCTGTGTGTTTGCTCGGAAAGCGCTCAGTGAGGCTCAGCCAAAGGCTCAGTTAAAGCTCAGGTTAACCCGGCCTCCACTCACCCTCTTAGGAACAAACCGTTCCGCATCGCGCTAGCAGTATATCCGATTTCTTACCCCACACTTTGTTTACCATTTTTCCATGTCCTTTATGCATCGGAAAAGTCCATCTTCCCTTTCATGGATGCCTACTCCGTACTAGCCTGACTCCCTTCCACTCGTGGCCCGCGCTCTCTCGACTACCTAGGTACCAGTCTCCACGGCGAGACATAGGCGGTGCCTCGCCCATCCCACCTCCTTCAACACGACTCGAGACAGACACTAGAACCGCATTCGCGCCTTCTCCAAACATTCACGGACACAAAGATGGTACATACTCTCCTTCCCTCCTCCGGCACGCTCTCAGCTCACATCCCTCGACATTCTCTAGTCCCGCGACTCCTCCCACACCTACATCCACGCACACGCTTCGCGCCACGCCGACCTCTTCGAAGAATTCTGCCGCCCACCCTCCGCTTCCTTTCCCACCACCTCGGCATCTACCAACGGCACCTCTTCCACGCACGTCAATCCCTCCCAACCTCCTCCCTCCTCCAATCCGTCTGGCTTCAACGTCAACGACAACTCCAACATGGCCCAACTCCCGGGTTCATTTTTACCGTTTGAAGAAATCTCCCTCCCACCACACCTCGTGCCCCTCAACCCTGAAGACGAAGACGACGTTGTGCCAGACATGCACGCCGCATTCGGTATAAATCGGGCGTTGGGACAGCATCAGGCTGGTACTACAAGCGTCACGATTACTGCCACTGGCGCAGGTGCGGGCGAAGGTGGCGGTGAGACCAGTAATGCGGGCACACAGCGCGAGCCCGTCTGGCGGGATTTGGGACTCGACGCGCTGGTTGCGGATGGTAACGGCAAAACCAACGGCACGGGGGAGCGACGGGGGGCGAGAAGGGAAGGGCACAGGACGAATCTCTTACTTCTGCGGTGAGGTACACTATCGAGGCGACTACGAGGGATAACGAGGCCTGGCAATGATAGTGGTACCTAAAGAACATGAGGACGCCGGAGCTGTACCGCTCTGGTGGTCAATAGGACAAGGACCCCGCCGAGCCCAAGTCGGGGTATGATCATTTCACCCTTTCGAGCATGTTGACTATACAAGCAAGGGGCTGCCCATGATGGGACATGGGCACCATGGTATGATATGACACGGTTACGTTATGGCATCGAAGGGCGTGACAATAGCCATCTAGATGGACAAGCCCAAAGGTGCCTGATGAGGGATGATACATCAACATCATTGATAGCTTGATCCTGCGTGGCTCTCCCAACAGCAAGACAATGTCCAGAGGGTGCACATTCATATCCTGACGACATCCACCCTTGCCCGTTCGAACACATTATGCGGCAAGGTTTTCGCTGCCTTCTCCTCCTCACTCAGCACCCTCGGCTGCAGCGAGATCTGTGCATACGTCCCAGCAGCCTTCCTCTTCGACAGTTGTCCCGGATTAAGCACCATCACGCTATCGACGACCTGTCATCGTTGTCAGCTATGTTCCCCACACCATTTCCGAGGACGAGAGCAGACTCACCTTGACACTCGCCGTGACCAAACTCGGCAGCACCAGCACATCGGGCTTAACCTGCATCCACTCCCCCAGCTTCAAATACCCGAGATCCAAACATGCCCCTGATCCTTTCGTCACTCCATTTCCACGTGCCATGGGCGGGAACAGCGGGAAAAAGTGCCTCTGCTCAATCAGACATCCCGGCAATCTGCTCAACAAATCACTACCCACTCCGCCCATGCCATGCGAAACCTGTTCCCGACTCAACTCGTACAAGACATCCTGAGAACTTATCGCGAAAACTGTCTCATTCAAGCTCACAAAGCACGGATTCGGGAGCATGGTAACCTGTTTCGGCAGCGCGAGGTCCTTCTTGACAAGCCGTTCCTGCGGCCACGAGACGTGCTTACTCACAGCGTCCCGCACGCTGGGGACCATAATCACCGTTATACTTGGCACGGCTGCGCACAGCCTCTGCAGGTGCGGCGATATCCACGTCTTGAACAACGCGGCCATGCTCGCTTCGTTGTCCAGGCCTCGTGTTTCGGGGATGTCGAAATCCCCACTCCCGAGCAGAGTGTGCTCAATGTCCAGGAACGGACCGGTCAGGATAAGTGCGTCGGCCATACTGTCTGCTGCCTTTTCGCATAGTGCTTGGAATGGTTCGAATGCCAGATTATCGTCGGCGGTGTAGGGCCCGGAAGAGATCATTATGTTCAGCGGTATTGCAGTAGAGTCCTCCGAGACCTCGAGGCGTTCATTGACGGCTGCGATCTCGCTCGTCGTGGATAACGGCATAGGTAGTCTTGGAATAGAGAGGACTTCTTTGACCGTGAAATACAGACCTGAAGCATTCGTGCCTTTGACCGCGACGATCTGGCCTGGGAAGAATTGGTACGAAGGTAGCGCGTCGATTTTGAGCGGGACACGTAGTCCAGCACCCATCCGTCGCGACATCTCTAGCACGAGCGAGGCAGAGTTGAGCTTTCCCTCTGGCGTGTCTGACGCGATGCGCCCAACGGCAATGATCTCACTTGTGCTCTGCGCCGCTGCGTTGCCGAACGCGGAGTCCTCTAGGCCATGGTGTTTCTGGACAAGAGCGAGAAAGTCATCGATACGCTCGTCGAGGATCTCTGATGCGTCCGACAGGCGCATCGACATGGGTTTATATGCGAACTTTTTGAAATCGGTGCGAGAGATCAGACGGAGTCGTGCTTCGGAGAATGGTGCGAGCGGTGCTTCAGCTTGAGGGAGATGGTCGTTGATTGTTTCGACGATTTGGCCTGCGTTTGGGCGTTCGGAGAAGGGGACTCCTCTGTATACGGAACTTAGCATTAGTGACGAAATTCTTCTGCCAGAAGTCGGGGATGGTGCCGTACGCAGATCCATCTAATTTGCCTGCCTTGCCTGGTGTTGTCCTGCTTGTGTCCGTTCGACTGACTCTCTTTGGCACGGGAGAGTCGAAGTCTGCTTTTCTCTTGATGCTGCCACTTCGTCGTGGGAGGGCGTTGGGCGTGAGTTCATCTAGCCTAGCGTTCTCATCAGCCGTTCCTTCCCTCTCTCAGCATTTTTCCAGATGCGTACATTCCAAAGACGTCTCCCGTCCCGACCGCTCTGGGCGTTGCATGCACGGCACTCTTCCTGTCCGACTTGGGAGCGAGTTTGTTGCCCTGCTGCACTCGACTGTCTCCTCGCTCGACACTCTCTTGCACATCTTTTGCGAACATGCGCGCCGTCTCCAGGTCTAGTTTCGTCTCCTCACTGCCCATTTTGAGGCAGTAAACTTCCCATTTTATGAAGAGTTCTTCGGCCGTAAGCGAGTGTAGGCGCAGTGTGGACTCGAGGACGCCGAGAATGTCGGGTGGCAGGCCATTGCCCGCAGGATCGAACACTGCATTAAGGTTCTCTTTTGCTTCCGTCATGGTCAAGATCGAGAGTGTGGGCGGGAGAGTTGACTTTCGATTGAGAACTGCGAGAGGAAGTGTTTCTTTGATTACCGGGAGACGCGTTCCACTAAACGCGTCATGCGAAAGTGCGTGTACTCTGACGTACTCCTCGTTACGGAGAAGTATTTAGAGCTCTGTGCATTTAGTGTCACAGCCTTGCGGAAGCTAGCCTTGCCTCCCAGAAAGGTACCTAGGTAACTTACTTCTGATCAGCACAGCTAGCCTGATGCTCAACCAGGTTCATGGTTCGTACCGCATGAGTAGCATATTTCTTGCACACTCCGTACATCATTGTGAAGTTCTTCGTAATTCGCGCAACTGTAACTGCCTTTGGGCCCCTTTTATCCAGCCGCTCTATTCGTGTCTGATCCCAGCAAGTCACAGACCAAACGCCTGATCTATGCCTCGATAAAACGCCAGGCTATGCATTTCAGATCTCCTCGCCGTATCGTTACGCATGGTTCATTTCCTCTTGCCCTTCGACCAGAATGTAATGTAGAATGTCGCTGAGTGACAATACCCCCTTAAGGTAATTGTTCTCATCAACCACCATCAATCTGTGCACGCGGGATTTTTTGATGGTTTCGAAGATCGTATCAAGGCCATCCTCAAGTGAGCAGCAGTATATGCCTGGGTGACTGGGTGGTCGTGCCGACAGGGCTTTACCAACAGTCCAGGTGAGGTTGCCATAGTCTCCTGTCTTGAGGATCTCAATTACATCGACGGCTTCAAACACATTCAGAAGAACACCTGGTTGGTCAGTACAGGCTCTGGTAGTGAGAGTAACAGACATACCTTCGGTAGTTACCACAGGTACACTAGAAATGTTCTTCACCACCATCTCATCAATTACGTCCAGCATTGTCGTGTCCATACTGCAACGAACAATGTTTCCGTATGTTCCGAGCTTGATCATCTCGAGAGGTTTCCGGAGCATCTCGGTTTCCTTGACATTCATCGCGATGAACTTGAGAATTCGGTATTGAGTGATGACACTGGTGACCATAGTTCTTTGCGTATCGCTGTCGTAGGAGACCAAGGGTATACGCCTAGCTCTCGATAACAATTGTTTCCGTAGGGCATCGTATAAGATGGCTTCTGGCGATGCCGACACTGTCTCGGGAGGCTTAACATCCAGGAATTTCTCCACGTCTGCCACTTGATCAGTCCTAATCCCGACACAAGCCAACGCAATATAAATTCCTCACCTTTCAGGTCGCTCAGTAACAGTTTATCCACGTCTTTCAGCTTGTCGGCATGTAAATTGTAATACCTCACGACGTTGAGATAGTCGTTGACGGTAAGGAGACCAGCGTAGGTCGAAGTAGAGGAGTCCCATAGTGGCGCAGAGACAATTCCTACCCATACAGTTAGTACTGTCCGAAGCCCGAAAGAGCACGCGACGTACCACATTGAACCATAATATTCAGGCTCTCTTTGACCGTAAGACTAACATCCAGCTCGATGAGCCGGAAGCTGAGCGGTAAGACCTCATAGCAATTGCGCACTCTAAGGAAATCTCGTATGGCTTTCTGTGCGAAGTCAGTCGCAATAGCCCATGTGTGTCTTGCAAGAACAGGCGCTCTCTTACTAGTCCAGCTCTTTCATCCCGATCTATAGGCCTCTCCGGTTTAGGAGCTGCTGGTCGAGATGTGGTCCGTGGGCGAAGGAGATCTGATGGTCGGACAAAAGTGGCCTCGTGACCATGATGAGAAGGAGTAGCGTGGGCAGCGGCAGCAGGAGGAGATGGATGATTCGTAGGAGGAAGAGTAGGCTGCGCATCTGGCGGGGTAGAGGTCTCGGTCACCTCAGCGTTCTCTGCCATGATGACCTCGCAAACAGCATCTTTCGTTTTCAAACAATCAAGGAAACTTTTTTCCTTCCTGAGGACGCAAGAGGCGCGAGTTGGTATGTCTGTGGAGGAAAACAGTCGGAGCGTGTGGAGACGAGCCAGGCGTCGACGAGTAAATTTTCGAGGGGACAAAGGAACGGGGGCCAGAGACGGCGAGACGGTTACAGTACGATCGCTATCCTCCTGCAGGTGTCGATAATGCAAGCAAACGGGGGTTTGCGCAGGTGTGCTTTTCAGGTGGACGTGGTAACGATCGGCTCCCGGGACTGGGCACATTGGGGAAGCTGAAGGCGGGCTGCGGGTTGACTTGGTGGGTTGTGCTGCGCTGTGATGCAGGAGACTCCTTCAGGCTCGCTCAGGTAATCATCAGCGAAATTGGCATGTGATGTGCGATATACCTATGATTGCTGGCTGCCACTTAGGAAATTCTGACGCGGACAAACCGGCATTATTCATTAGTTGACATTTTGAATGTCATCTGTACTACCGTATGCACCCATGTGGTGCTTCGTGTCTCCAATCTATTGCAAAGAATACTTCTAGGACTGTGTTCCAGCCTCAGGACCAATAATCCAATATCAATGCAATGTCGAAAACTCCAATCACTCCTTAGGGGCTGCCTCTTGCTCTCGCTCCCTCTCCGCAAGGCTCTTCTCATCTCCTCCTCTGAGAAACGCCTCGTACTCGCCAATTCTCTTTCCTCCCTTCTCCCATCTAGCCTGCCATGCGGCCCTCTTCGACTCGCATAGAGCATTCAGTGCTGGCCAATACTCTTCATGATCATACTCGAATTCAACAAATCCGCCGCTCTCTTTCAGCAATTGTTCTCTGGGCACATGTAAACCCATATCTTCGTTGAACTTGATCTTCTCTCGTGTCAAGGGATCAATAAACGGAGTGATCAACTTGAAGAAACCCCAGATATAAAACGGAACATTGGTGACAAGAGCACGACCAAGACGCTCTGGATAGTGGTTTTGGAGAATGTTCAAGGTCTGCTTTCCCTGTGATAGTGTTGCACCTTGTCCGGACTTTGTTTCGGCAAAGTTGATGAGCAAGGCCAGCGTTTCTTGGCCAGCAGGCATCAAATCGATCGCTCTCTCGAGCATGAAAACAAGATGCTGAATCTGCCGGTCGCTACGTTCTGTGTTCTGCTTAGATGGTCTTAGGTATTGACACGTCCTTCCATGGTTGTCCCATCCCAGTATTACTTGCTTGCCGGTAGCGTTCTCGATAGAAATGTAGTCTTTCGTATGCTTTTCCAGCCCATATTCACGACGCCAGACCAATGTGTTCTTCAGTCTTTGTTCCGATTGCGCCACGTTCCAATTTGTAGCTCTCAGATAGCGGAACAAGCACTCTCGAGTGAGAAACATCCGTTCAGAGTCGGTCAGAGTTGAGCTTCTCGAGCCTTTTGCCGAAGTCTCGGGTATTTCTGTCCAATTCAACACATTCTTGAGCAACGTAGCATATTTGGCTTCTTGTTCCGCCGTCAACGGGGCTCTTGATGGAGGTTTCGAAGTCTCTAAGGGTTCGGCGAGCGGAGTCTTAATCACTCCATCTGCTGCGGTACGTGGAAGGTTCAATATTTTTGAAGACGCGAGCGCAGGCTCCTCAGGGTTGTCCTCGAGCTTGGCTTGGTCCATGGCCGAGGAAAGTTCCTCTGCGGCCTTCTCAGGATCTGTCAGTCCATTGGGGACGGTCGGCTCGTGAGCCACCACCGTGGCCATGCTGTGCGAACGCGAGGAGGAAACAGAAAAGGAATCGCTCGAGAGCGCCAGAAGATCTTGAAATTCACATTCCTAGAAAACGTCGGGCTCAGATTGTTGGGAACGTGCAGATTGCTGAGAGAAGCGCCGCGGGGACTTCTGCAGCCGGGCAGCCTCATTTTCTTCGAGGCTAGACAGATCCACACCAGTCTTGCACTTGTCAACTCATAATGTCAGGATCGTGCCGACGAAAGTCTACTTCGCGAAGCCAGCGTGCTTAGAACGGCCAAGTCTGGTGTCATAGCATTGATTTGAAATGTCCGTTGGCAGAGAATAACCTGCGCAACAAATTGTTCTATTCTCAGAGATACTCGGAAACAACTCCTCAGCATCCACAGCACATTCCACACTTGAATCGGGCTTCAGACCGTTTCGTGTTATTGAAAATGAGTAGCTACAGTCAACAGCGCCATTGTGATTGTCGCCCTCAGCGCTTTGCTTCTCCTGGAAGATTGCTTGTTTCATTGCGTGGAAGCTTCCTCCATCTGAGCCAGACGATTCTCTGAATACCCTTGTGCACCAAGCATTCTCTGGGTCCAAGGGTCAGGAAGTATTGTCCATTATCCACCTCCAGCTCTGCCTCTCGAAGTTGGATGGTATTGATCCAGTTTGGCGGAAGGCTAATCTTCGCATGGTGTAGGAGCGTCTGCTTGTTCCCTGGCTTCTCGTCGAGATAGAACGGCCCGCAATAGGACAACGTCTTTTTAGCTGCATTGGCCAACTCTCTTGTCGTACCTTGTGTCCAGTCGGGTTCGTACGGTTCAACGTCGCTCGATTGAAGAATGGCCGCCATCTGCAATCTATCAGAGACTGTCTCAACTCACTGCGCTGGGGTCGTCGACCTCGCGCTGACTGTACCAGCCACTTGAGATCCGGAACTTACGTATCCATCCTCGGTATACATGATATGTCCCTTGCATTCTTTCCCCATAGGGTAGAAGATGTCTTCGGTGTTCACAACATTGACTGCGGTGTACGAAAGAAGTTCCCATGTCCCGAGAACTTGCGACAAGAAGGAAGGCATGATTCAATATGCTGAAGAAGACTCTTCCCTCGAAAGATTGGACTTCGAAGCTTGAGCGTATCACAACACGGATCGAGGGACAAACCTCCTTTGACAAAGCTCAAGAGGCAGATAGGTATCTGTACGGGACAAACGAAGAGAACAAACTGGAGGCAGTGACGATCTGCATCTGCTGCCACTGTATGGAAGGTGCGATCGAAGCAAACAGCGCTCCTGGGGTACTTTCGCTCAACATTGAATGCCCCTGAAAACACATGAATGTCATCTCCCTCGATGCAGGCAAAGGCCACCACGCAAGGTCTGCCGGTATATCACGAGAGACACGCCTCCATCTACTTGGCGGGAACATTGGTCGACCTTTGGGCACCCGCAGTTCTGCCTCACCGTTTCCTTTCCCTTCACCGCACCCAGAATTCACACAGCCGAGAAATAGAAACAAACATGGCAAAAAAGTCTGGCCGGAGCGCGAGTCGACCCAACAACTCGCTCTCGCTCTAACACCTCCCCCTTTCATGCTATTTCAGAGTTCAACGCCCTCACCCGTAAGACTACGGGTAACTGAGTACCAGAGAAGCGCACACCTATGTAGCTTGCACAACAGCTCATCCAAGGAGACTCCGAGGAATTGCAAAAAAGAGCAAAAAAGGAGGTCGAGGCCTGATGCCTGCTAACCGAATGTTAGTTTGTCTTGTCAATGCCTGGAACCTCTGAGGTCCGAGACATGATGCCTTCTTGATAAGTTTAAGTTTGTCCTGTCATGTCGGACGATATCTGTTAATCTCGGTAAGCTCACACAAATGGAAACAGAAATCATTACAATGCCAGGTCGAGAGCCGTTTATACTCGGTGGATTGCAGGAAATGCCGTGTAGTCACAGACGCATACGTCCACAATTTGATCCAGGTCCTATTGTTGAGTGAAATTGGGGGAGAATAATATATCAAGTGTGAAAGAGTGGAACACTGCTTCACCTTCCGCTTGCGATCGAGAATGGCTCTAATCATCCTCTAGCGTAGGTGACTGTGTACGCAGCTGGGGTTGAGCATTGAAGTCACAATGTCGCCAAGAGCAACTTCGACGAAACCAGGTATCCGGGTACTGCGAGACAATACCTGAGATGTAGAGCACCCCGGAGACAAGACGACAGCATGAACTCTCAAGCTCTTCCGAAGGACACATCCCAAAACAGACCTGAGAGCCCGATTAACAGCCCATCCAGGACACTTTGCGACCAGACGAGAGATTTTGGCGTCCTGGGACAATGTCATGGCTTGAGAATGCCTCAGCCTTCGGTTCGGCAGCCCAGCAAACGATCATTTGAGCATGGCCTAAGAGCTCTGCTTTGACGCCGACAAGGAGAAAGGGGGCGGGCTGAAGGGTCCAGCGCCACACCGGACTCTATCCGAGAAACGCACAGAGAGAGAGAGAGAGAGAGAGAGAGAGAGAGCGCGGTGGTCGACCGGTTTATAAGAGATGGCGAGCATCGTCAACAGAAGCAATGGATTACAGGACACTGGTAGGAACAAGTCCGATCCTGGCCACGCGCAAGAACGTTCATTTCTTCCAAGGCATCGCTTTTGATTTCGGCATATGTACCAATAACCCGGGACTTGAAGCTATATGCAAGAGAAAACGCCGATCGCTTACGCTATCTCACAACAGTACCCGCTCGTCTCATGTAACTAGCCACCATGCACCACCAATCGTTATTGTGCAGGCCAGGATTGTCAAAATTGCTGCACCTGCCTTGTCGGCCGTTGTAATCGGCTTCTGAAACTGACTTGACGGGGTGTCGTTGGCTGTACCGCCAGCCGATGGGTCACTTTCCGATGTCGCGCCCGTTCGTAGACTCAGAGGCACCATACTCGAGCTGATCAAATTGGCTCCGAATATCGACATTGCGCTCATCTGCATGGTCATCAGCTTTCATTCTCCTATAACAGTGGGAAGATAAACCTTACCTCTTCACCAACGCCCGTCAGACCGTCGTATGTTGTTGTATACCATTGTTCACCGCAAATGTCCCCTCCCCCACTACACTGGCCCGCTGCGCCCGTGGCACTCGCCTGTAACTTCGGCATAATCTGGCTCGCTGTGCTAGGCACAAGAAGCGCTGTGACGGCAAGCCAGCGCGACAAGTAAGCCTTGAAACTCTTCTGGTCTTGGTCGCAATTCAGCTTTGGCTCGCACTCCATTTCAGTCATGACGTTCCCACCATAATCCGACGGGAAGAACAGGCTAAATGTGCTGGACAGCACCTGCTGTACTCGGCTCTCCCACTCCGAACTTCCGTTGGTGTAATTGTACATGTACGCCGCGCCAGCGAGGACAGTCCCGTAGTTATACGTCCAGACTAGGTGATCCGCATTCGTGCAGTTATTGTCGCTGTCTGTACTGTCCCATATATACAACATGTCACCTTCTGTCTGGAATAACTGGCTGGTCGCCATCCAGTCCCAGACCTTTACCGCCCAGTCAGCGTAGCTCTGGTTCCCTGTGATATAAGCCAATCTTGCTGAGAGCTGGAAGTTGCCGCCATTAGCGATTGCGATTTTGAGGTTATATCCAGCATTGAATGAATAGACCTGCCATCGGAATCCGCCACCACAAGTCGAGGTATCCCAGAGAGAGGTCTGGAAATTGTACACGCCCTGTGCGAGAGCCAGCCACGATGGATTGTCGCCTCCAGCCTCGGGGAAGTTGCTCTCGACGGCATCGAGTGCTGAAAAGGCCCAGAATAATTGATCGTCGACACCCATGCTACGTGACTGGTTGGGCGGATTGAAATTGTCCTCTGGTCCTCGTTGAAATTGTATCGACTCGGAAACAATCGAGTTATATGTGCTGTCGTTGGTATATTGCCAGTAGTTGATCAATGACCCCCACATTGCACCGGCTTCCCACCAGCAGTAGGTGCCGGTAACCTTCGGGTCACAGCTAAGAGAGCCTGGAAGAAGGCCTGGGACTTGGCCTGTCTGATTGCCAGTGTAGTAAGTCATCATGTTGTAGGCGGCTGTGCCTGCTGCCGACGAGATCGATTGCGTGGAGCTGAGGTCGAGTGTAATGGCCATGGCTGCAGCCGGGAACAGCAGCGGAGTCAGCCACATTGTGAAAAAAGACAGAGCTAATAATGACAATTCTCAACGATCGTAAGCGTTGCAAGGAATCATATCATGCTGCGGTACTGGGCATCAGCGAGCGACGATAACATGCGACAGTAAAAGAAGCAGTGCAAGCAAGAAGCGAGAGTCGACATGTGCATGTTGAGGTCATGGAGGGCAAAGTCTTTTTGCTTGTCTTGCTTGAGGCGCTTGTCTCAGATGTCACCTAGATTGGCTGATCATAGATGCCGCGCGTAGCATCGTATTGGGTCACCAGTGCGGACTTCCGACGCCCGCATTGGTGGTTCGGTTCTGTCGGTTCCAGTGCTGCAAGTGACGCTGGCATTGGAGGCTGTGTGGCAGTGCAAAAGGCCTCGTCCCGCTTCCAACACTGCTGTTGCTAGAGGAACGATTTGTGAGATGGTATTGCCATGGATTCGATGTGCAGGTAGAGGGAACTGCTTCTGGTAAGCTGTTATTAGTCTGCATGTCCACGTTGGCCTCCTAAAAGTCTGCCAGGCCTTAGTGCTTCGCCGCATAATTCCACCGGCTGGGTTGGGGGATGGTACCGTTTTGGGGCAGTTGTGCAATTAAGCAGGCTAAGATTTTGGCCTAGGAGCCTAAGCAACGCCCAGAAATGCTTAACACACGTGAAGCCGTGAGCGACGTGGAGGTGGCCCCTGCGTGCCCCTGCCACACACAGCGTCCTGCTCCCGTGAGCCAGTCAACTGTAACTCGTGCCTCAACACATCTGCCTTACTTTTTACTTGCTCTCTTCCTTGTCCCGTCTTTAGTGGAAGAATATCCGAAGGAGGGAGATTCAGAACCGTACGGAGTACCCAACTTCATAACCAACTGAGGAGGCGCACGTTGAAAGATTATCGACGCACACGAATGTGCTTCGTGCAGCTAAGACTACCTGTATCCTCAGCTCGATGATTCCTGTATGATGGGTATCGAACCAGTAATCTATCTCTATTCAGCCCACTTCTTGCCTCTTTCTGCGGCAAGCACTTCTCTGATATGACTCAAGTCTGCATCAGGCCGAGGACTTGGATCGTACTTTCCAGCCTGTTTGTCCCATCCTTCTTCAATCACCTTTTCCTCAGCAATGGTCTTCAACACACAAGTCCCACCACTATACTCCTTACTCTCCACCATTCTCAGTATCATGTCCGCAATCGTACTTGGTGGCATGAGCTTTCGCTCCGAATATTTGGTGAGTTTCATCACGTCGTCATCTCTGTCCTCCCACAGTGGGCTTTTGACGGTCCCTGGAAGGACGCATACAATTCGCACGCCGAACTCTGGATCGGCTTGTCCCAATGACTTTGTCAAGCCCACTACAGCATGCTTTGTTGTGGCATAGAGCGGAGCAAAGAAATTCCCTCGAATTCCAGCCGTGGAAGCCACGTGGCAGACAACACCCTGTTTGCCCGCGGATGCGAGAGCTCGCATAGCAAGACGCGTGAGCTTGACGGGATGCTGGATATTGATGGCGACAGTCTTGTAGGATTCTCCTTCGGTGTCATCCCAGAAGTTGGACCAAGACGGGTCAAAGACTCCTGCGACAGGAGCATATACGTCGGGAACATCGCCGAATGTCTTCAGTGAAGCTGTGATGAGGGCTTCCAAAGACTTCCACGATGTTACATCGCAGGTCTTGAAAAAGAGGTCGGACTCGGGCTTCGAAGTGAGAAAGTCTTGAGCTTCCTGAGTGAGCTTCAAGTCTCCCACGACAACTCGCGCACCCTTTTCGTGGCACTGTTTCGCAAGTGAGAGTCCAATCCCACTCCCACCTCCGGTAATGAGGACGATTTTGCCCTTGATCGGGAAGTCTCCGACTGGACCATGGCCTGCCATTTTTCAATAACGGGAGGGCTCGATATCAGACACGGAGATTGTTGACGTCGTCGTTGTCAGTGTCTTTGTCGCGATGGTGTTGGACTCGCACGCCTCGAAACAGAAGAGCACTCTCGGTGTAGAAAGTCAACAATTGAACTCTTGACAACATCATTTCTCCAACGTCTTACAGCCGTACAAACCATTCCTCGGTCTCGACATTGGAGGTCGAATATCTGCGGGGGTGCACAAACCGAAAGGCGGAGATGACTTGGGGTAAAACGCGCTACTCATTACTGAACAATTCGACATTACTATCAATCGAACGACATATCATTGTGAGATGCTTGACATATGGACGGAAGAGTGCGCCAACAGACAAGAGTCCTGCTGATGGTTGTGAAAAGTGTCCGGGACCCGGCGAAGACGTCGGTCTCCGGTGGGCATGTTGGAAAACCCTGGCGGACTTCAGCCTTGCTTCCTAATCGACGGACTTCAGCGACTACCTACCGTGTGTCGGTCCTCGAATTGAAAGGTCGAGAACTGTCTGGTCTGCCAACTAGGACCACCTCCGGAGAATGTCGAACGCTTTAGGGGTACGTTACGCCCACTATTGGCTGTTCAAGCATTATTATCAGTTGGTGTGCAATGCCTTTAATGGTAGGGCCGACCTCTAAGTTGCCCGCTCCGAGTCTGTCGTTTTCGCCGTTTCAATCCCCTTTGGTCAGTTTTTGCAGCTTCTGGGCCTTGTCACCTTTCTCAGGAAGCAAGGATGGCGAACTTGGATCCCGACAACATCCCTGTAGTTGACTTTTCGCGCTATGGCACAGATCTGGCCAGTCTAGCGCTGGAAATCAAGCAAATATGCGAAACATGGGGGTTTCTATACCTCAAGAACCACGGTCTCGAGCAGGAAAAGATTGATCGTATGTTCAACATCAGCGAAACGTTCTTCAAAACTACATCGTATGAAGAAAAAGCCTCCACTCCTTGGAACAGCATCTACAACGCCGGCTTCGATGCTAAGACTGGAACTGAGAAGTACATGAGCGAGAACGGTGCCAAGGATATTGTTTCTGCCCAGGATGGGAAGGAAGTCTTCGTCATCAGGAAGCAGAAGTCTTACGACCAACCGATGCCGCCGTCTTTGCGCAAGTTCAACCCTGAGATCCAACAATTTATGGCCGAGACTCACGAGAAGATTGCTGTTCGATTGCTTGCTTGCCTTGGCCTTGGTCTAGGTTTAACGAAGGAGCGCCTTCCGGATGTCCACAAGCACGAGAGTCCTTCGTACACGACGCTACGGCTAATTTACTACCCGGCCTTAGAACAACTTGACAATGCGCCCATCAGGCTGCCCTCGCATACGGACCAGGGCGTGATAACGATCTTGTTCCAAAACCAAATCGCCGGCCTCCAGGTCCGACCTCCAAAGTACACTGGACCCATCAAGGAAGATGAGGTATGGCTGGACGCGCCTGTCGTTCCTGGCGCAGTGTTGATCAATATTGGCGAGACGATGACTTTCTTCTCGGGTGGTCTGATGAAGAGCACGCTTCATCGTGTGGCGAGGAGCCCGAAGCCTGAGGACGCCGGAAAGGATAGGTATTCAATGGCATACTTCTGTCATCCAAATCAGGATACGTTGCTGGAGGTGATGCAGGGCATCGAGGGCGCTGTAAAGAGGGAGACACCAATATCTTGTGTCACGGGAAGGCAGGTCGAAACGGTCAAGGACTGGATTGAGCATAGGCATTCATTGGGACGACAAGAAGCGATGGCAGCGAAGTGATTGTGAGATGTAAGTTAGAGGGTATCGTTTCATGGTTCATTCTTGTTTTCGGTCTTGCTCGACTTCAAGATCCGCACGTCACAATCGAGGTCCACTGGCGTCATTATCTAGAGCTGGTCCATGGCTTTCTTCAAGGTGGCCCCTTGGTCACCGGAGGGTATGAAGGCGACCATCGATGTTGCACATGGACTGAAAGTGATGGTCTACGGCTCATGATGTCAGGTAGGAAGAAGATGGATGGCATCTTCTCAGGACAGAACATGATATATATAGTAAAAGCACAGTACTCCGTAAAGTGTCGGGAGAAACAATTGAAGAGCGGCGTCAAGCGTCCGTCGCTGTCGAGGTTCATACTCCGCCGTAATATCCCACAGTCATAACCCACCGTACAAACTGACTCCAAAGTGCAACTTTCGACAGTATTCAACATTTTGCAAACTCCGTCGACAGTATCTCACCTACGCCCAGGCAGGCTGTTAGCCTCACATCTGTGGCGCACTGAGCCATCTGCCACTCTACTCCGCAATACTTGCAGCCTCCCCCATCCTCAGACGCCAAGATGCCGCCGCCGATGCCGAATCCCGCAAAGCGCATGACGGCAAACCCAGCGAGACCCGTAGCAAGGTATCGTCCAGGAAAACCGATCGCAGAACAAGAATCATCTGACGAGGAAGAAGAACACGAGGAGGAGCAGCCACAACAGCCCCAGCGGAAACTTCAAGCAAGACGTCCCCTACCCAAGAGACCGGCCGCACCAGTCCAACAGGAGAGCGAAGATGACGATGAAGACGACGAAGGCTTTGTAACGGAAGAGGAAGACGAAGTCCCTGCTCGGGCTGCAACAATATCACAACAGCCCACGGCAGCTGCGTCTACAGTATCAAGACTAGCACCTCCAAAACAAGAATCTACACAACCGCAGTCTGAAGAAGAATCCTCCGAGGAAGAGGAAGAAGAAGAATCAGACTCAGGATCTGAGGAATCTTCCTCACCCGACGACGAACACCCCCAACGCAAGTTTCAACGTCCAACATTCATCCGGAAAACCGACCGTTCAACATCCATCCACTCACAAACTACACCCGACCCCTCCGCCAGCGCCGATGCCGACGCAGCCCGACGCCGAGCACAAGCAGACCTACTCATCAAAGACAAACTTGAACGCGACATTCTCGCCCGTGCCGCGGGCAAAAAGTCATGGGACGACGATGACGAGCTCCTTCCCGAGTCTATGGTCGACGACACGGACGGCCTTGACCCCGAAGCTGAATACGCAGCCTGGAAAGTCCGCGAACTCAAGCGCTTGAAACGCGACCGCGAGGCCTTGATCGCGCGGGAGAAAGAGATCGAAGAGACCGAGCGGCGACGCAATCTCACCGCCGAGGAGAGAGAGCGCGAGGACAAAGAGTTCCTGGAAAAGCAGCGCGAGGAACGAGAAAGCGGCAGGCAAGAGGCACAATTCCTGGCGCGGTATCATCACAAGGGCGCTTTTTTCCAAGGTGATGAAGTCGCGGACGTCCTCAAGCGGCGGAACGTCATGGGCGCAAGATTCGAGGATGAAGTCAGCGATAAGTCTGTGCTGCCGGAGTACATGCGGCTCAGGGATATGACGAAGCTCGGAAAAAAGGGCGGCACGAGATATCGAGATATGAAGAGCGAGGACACAGGCCGCTTCGGAGACGATGTCAAGCGGTGGAGGGGAAGTGGTGGCGGTGGCGGTGGCGGTGGAAAGGGAGAGTTCGACACAAGAGGGCTGGATGAGCGCTTTCTGCCGGACGATCAGCGTGGCGGAGGAGGAGGAGGAGGGAGGACAGGGCCGACCGGGGCGAATGCGAGTGTCGTCGGGGGAAGCAGGAGAGAGGGCCAGAGCCCGAGGGACAGGGACAGGGACAGGGACAGGGACGGCTACGAAGATGGTGGGCCCCCCGACAGGAGTAGATATCGAGAGCGGCCGAGTGACAGACGGAAGAGGTCATACTCCAGATCACGTTCGAGGTCGAGATCACCACGACGGCAGAGAAGAGATTCGCCTTCCCATGACCATGAGAGACACCGAGATCGTGATCGAGATCGAGACCGGAACAGAGGAACAAGGGAAGAGCTCAGGTCATACTAGACCTTCTATCTAACTCATGACCCACACGGTAATAGTAGCGATAGGATATCCCGAAGACCAGCTCGCAACCCATGATACATAACCTACCTTAGGTAGCCTTGAGTGCCTAGGTAGGTTGCTAGCTATGCTGGTACCTGATGAAGATTCGCGGCGGTCATCTCGAAAGCAGAATCGAGGTAGAAGTAAATTGGGACATCCGCTCCAGCAGGGCGCAGCTAACAGCACCTCCATTTGCCATGGCCCTCATATGCTCCCTCATACCAGCACGGAAGCGTTCGATCTAGGGTTGGCCACCGGACATCACTTCACCTCCAAAGCATCTCCTTCCATGCCGGGCGCCACAAAGTCGCCGTCTCATAACACATCCGCGCCCGTCATCCATTACTGCCAGAAGGGCAGTCAAATCCTGTCGAGGTTCGGTCTGCCGCGTGCATAGTGGAAAGCAACACGGCCAAGCGAAAACACCTCACCATTTCGTCGTCCCATAGTCTCAGTCTCATGATTCCGCGCGCTCACGCATCATCCTCCGACACATGCGCAAAAGATTAACTTGAGGACGCTCATCGATAGCGCAGCCAACTATCGTTGTGATGATGAACCTCATGAGCTATCACCATTGCAATCACTTAGGATCGCTCAGATTTGCCCGGTTCCCAATCGAAATGTAGATGTCGTCCTCCCATGCCGTGTATCAAGCAGAATCCCTACCATTTTCGGTAAATCCTGGAAGTAGCGCACTCCGTGATCAGCCTGGAAGTCATTGTTTGACGACAAACAGCCAGAAAATTGGCGGAGTGATGATAGTCAGCCATGTGGTCGGCTTGCTGTTAACTGTCCCAGGGGTTTCCGACAAGAATCTGTCTCTGATGCATGATGCGCTATCTCCGCTGTGCCGTAAAGGATGTTCTGAAGCTCCAAAGGGTACTCGGTCGGTTGAAGACATATCATAGCCAAATATGTGGCATACAGTGCCTGCGGAAGAAGAGACATGAAATCCGCACATAGCTCTGTCATGACCCCATACTCCGGTGCCGCCACCCTGTAGGCATCGCCAAGGACCCCCGACGCAAGCTGCTGACTTCAGACCATTGTTTGTCGTGCCCTCTCTGCTACCTTTCATTTGATACCCTGCCTTTCCAACTCTCTCTCCCTCTCTAGCACACTTTCCTCAAACTTGATCAAGAAAACCGTGCGGCTCGGCCACACATCCGTCCCCGTGTTATGCGCCGAAGCCTTGCACTCGAACCCCGCCCCGTCGCACACGCCCTCAATAATCCCCGCGATGTACGCGGCCACACTGAGCTGGCTCATCTCCTTGGGCACCGAGATGTACTGGTTCGTCAACGGCGTGTTGTCGATAATCATGTACTCTCCGGGATTGGTTGTGGACTGTTCCAATGAGTCCGCTGGCCGGGAGAAGAGCAATGGATATAGTTTTGTTGTGAGAAGGGTCAATAAGGGCAACAACCTCAACGGTCGGTTAGCCACTCCGCTAGTGGAAGTGCTAGACGAGCTTGAAGAACTCCCCGCTGGCGTCGACCGATAGAGGAGCAAGTCCAAGAGTTTGAGGCCCAGAGGGTATCCCTGCTCATTCAACCTCTTCTCAAAGTCCTGGATGCCCTTGACGCGGCGGTGCGCATATGAGACCATCTCCATGAATAGGTATGCGAAACTGGCGCGGGAGAGTTCGGCATTGCGCGAGCGATTAAGATTGCGGTCGTATATGGTTTTGCGAGTTGACGGATAGCGCAGGGTCGATGCGGTAGAGGCGCCGGTGGGCGTTGTCGTGCCGAGGGCTGCGCTAGAGGAGGAGTATGTCGAGATATGCCGGCTGGGAGAAGACGTGTGCGAGGGAGGGTAAGACGGCATTGTCAGGCCTGGAGGGGCGGCCATGGCTGAAGGGAAAGGTCTTGCCAGGAGCGAAGAGGTATCGTGCCCGCAACAAGAGGGCTTTGAGAGACGTGGTTGTGGAATGGAAGCCATGCGAATGGAGCAGTGAGCAGGGCAGGTACGCCGAGAAGTCCCCCTTGGAAGGCTGAAGAGCTCAGCCTTGCCCGGGCGAGCAAGCTAGGTAAACAGCTGTCAATTATCTTTGTTGTGAGTCAGTATATTGCCTCTGGGTGTGGAGCATCGTCGTGTCCATGATATTCTACTCGTGGGTACTTCCAGTCTGCATTCGTCTCTACTCTATCCTTTATGCCACCCCGGATGCCCTTGTCCGCCTCTCTTCATATCCTGCCGATCATCATCTGGCTTAGAGTCTTTGCCTTTCGCATCCTCGTGATCCCCCTTGTCCCCATCCCAATCCGCGTACGCCTTTTGCCGTTGTCTTGAGTTCCATTGCAAGGTTCTCGAGATACTGTTAACCCAGTCCTCACTACGGCGCCCTGGAGGCATGACGTTAGCAAACGGGTACCGCGATGCTGATATTGTGACATAATCTCCTGGAGATAATTCAATCCTGCAAAAATTAGTTTGCTCTCAAACCACCCAAGTCCTGAGGACTTACCTCTCTCGCCCGTCGAAGCTGGCCCAGGAACTCGACCTGGCATCATAAGGCACGCCGAGCCGTAGAACGATCGTATCAGGGAGAATGATCGGTCGGAAAGAGAGCGTGTGTGCGCAAATAGCTGTGACCAGTATGACCGGGTTTTCAGGATGACATAGAGACCCTCCTGCAGCCAGGTTATACGCGGTCGAGCCTGTGGGCGTGGCCACACATATCCCATCCGCCTGGACCGTGGTCAAATGCTCTTCGTCTCCAAACAGCTCGATAGTCGACATTGTCGGATTCGGACCCCGGTCAACCACAATATCGTTCAAGATCTCGAACGTGCGGTCCGGCTTATGCGTCTTCCGGTCATCAGCCTCCTCCCCAATCAACTCTTCCACAATGTCTCGACGCGCAGCATCATCGTGTCGTTTCTGCGATCGCATAACAGTCCCTTCGAACCGTAATCGCAAACTTATCGTCACGCCATCCTTAACGGCCCGCGATAGAGTTTCCTGATAGTTACTGAAGTCGAACTTTGTCAAGAACCCCAGCGACCCCAGCGCAAATGACAAGACAGGCGGCACGACTCTCTGGAACAGCCAGCTTGCATACAGTACCGTCCCGTCGCCGCCCAATGTGACAACAAAGTCGAATGTATGAGGCCTCTTCCTCGCCAGGTCGACATTCCAATACTTCAGCCGTTCGCCGTACGAAGCATCCTCCGCAATCAGGCCCTGGGCATCAAAGACGGGGTTGTCCTTCATCACATCCTGGACATACACGATATACGGCACCGATCGATCTTTCGACAACAGCCACCTAGCCACCTCCCTTGTCTTTGCAATCAACGTCTTGTCGTAGATTTTTGTGAGCAAGAAGATCGCCCGGATCTTTAGTCTGACCTTCAGATTACCCAATTTCTTCGCCAGCGCTCTCACACTTATGGCCATGTCACTCAACTGCTTTTTCGTGAGCAACCGTGACTCTATCGCGCGAGACTCGTCTTTGCCTGACACCGGATCCCTCTCGTTCTCGTCGGTCGGCATGCCTGGGTCAACTTCATCGATCTGTTCGAGCTGCGGTTCGACTTTGGGTTGTTGGCCGAGGGAGGTCTTTTCGACGATTTGGTGGACTAGACATTGGGATTTGGACCGCGCTCCGTGATGCCGGCTGGGTTTATCGACGTTAGGATGTTCGGCCAGTACTACAGAGGATTTGCGGCGTCGGGCGATCTCAGAGTCGAAGACGACCTGCGTGTCGTGTCAGTCATATGGGCGAAGTCAATGTTAGCGGCACGGTGCAAAGCGGACATACCTCGATTTTGCGATTGTAGTCGTCCTCGCTGCTGGAATCGCTTTGTAACTATCTCCTTGTAAGCACATAACCTGGAAGCTTGCGCAGGCATACATACGTGCTCTGGCAGGCACTCGCTGATCCTCCTGCTCAGGTGAGGCGTACCCCGCGCGTCCGCCATGATCGGGCCCCAGAAGGTGGATGTTCGATGCAATAGTTCTATTGGCAAGAAGTCTAGGCACAATATTGTCGCTGTCAATAGTCTATGGTGGTCAAAAGCGTCGAAATAGTTGGCGACTGTGGCAGACGCAGGAAAAGACTGTGCGAAGTATGACGATCCTCTGAAATAGTGATCAATGTGCCGTCATGTATGCAATGAGTAAGCTGTGGCCATCACTAAAAGAGAGGATTTCGACCGTGACTAACCCAGCCTGTAATCGGAAAACGCGAAGAATTGTCATTGATAAAGTGTCATATGGTATCGATGTCATCGCGAGCAATGCGAATCTATAAGGGGTATCTTTCATTTTTGGTACACCATTTCTCGTAACGTCGTGAGTGCCATGATCCTTCCTTCACAGAGGTGAAACCACAGGCGTCCCTGTTGAACTTTGTTGTCCATTGTTAGACACTTCGATCGCCGTTCTCATAGGCAGGACCGGAATATCTTGTCGCCTATCTGGCGCCTGTTGCGGAGCCTCAATCGGCGAGCTCCCTTCTGATGCAATGATTGAACTCTCCGAGTAGGGTGTCGACGGCCCAACAGCGGACTCGGAGTCCAGCGCCTCACTCTCGAGGTCGTCCACAGATGTCGTCTCGACCTCGGGTAGTTCATCACTCCTTCCCTCTGAATCAAGGTGCCGCACCTCTGGCACGGGCTTTGCAGCAGAGAGATTCAGCAGTCGGTCCATGCAAGGCTCTGGGCTCGCCTCGTAGAATAGCATAAAGCCGTTTCCTCTTCCGAGAACTTCCTCCTCGGTTATCTTCGTCACCATTTCATCGTTGAAGGAGTACCAGTCCTTACCACGCTTACCCAGTGCAACGTAATGACCATTCTCGTGCCGACCATAATGCGTGACGATGCACCTCAGCTCAAATAGAGCCACCATGGAATTCTCATCGTTCCCCAATGGTGCACACCAGGGGCCCAGGAAGTTCAACTTCGGAGGAACTCCAACTGGTGCTGTATTCTTCAACTGATTGCCGAACTCATCAAAGATACTGCGATTGATATGGAGGACCAGATCTTTCGGCAACCTTGCAACCGTAATTTGCTTTGCCTTTGTACGAAGGACTGGAGGCCTTTTCTTTTGACATTCCTCTCCAGAGTTGTGAGACTCGACTTCGTCGCCGCATTTCCGATCATCACCGCCATAAGCCGCTTTCGTGCAATTTTCACATTCGACACCTTCGACCTCCTCTGGTGCACAAAATTCATCCAATAGGTCCTCTACATTCGAGGCACCTCGCAAACCCATGTTCAAAGTCAAACAGTTGAATTGAGTCAAGGACAACCCTTCGGTAAAACCGCAAGTCTTGCATTCGAGAGCCTGTGCCATCATCCCATTGAGGGGATTTCGTTGTTCGAACTGTGCTGGCTTCGTGGACAACTCTGTTTGCAACTGGTCTGTCTTGCTGGCTCTAGGTTGATCGATGAGGTCCCTAAATGTAGTCTTAGCATCACTGGTTTTGGTCCCTCTCAGACACTCGAGACCGGCGGTCGAAGACCGTTTCAAAATCTTGATATACCCATTCGCCTCCTTCTCTGCAGCTTCCAGAACCCTAGAGAAATATTCTTGCGCATCTTGCTGTTGCCAGCTGTCCATAGATTTCAGCACTTTTGGTGTCCACAGCGTCGTCTTGCGACAGCTTGAATCTGCAAGCTGTTCAAGAAAAGCCACCAGGGCCTGATGTGTTTCCGCCGGCACTTGGAATTTCTCACACAACTCCAGGCTATGCTTCATGAAATTGATGAATGCAGGCAAAGAGGCCAGTCCCTGCAGAACACTATTCTGATAGCAGGAATTGTCCCAGTTGCCCAAGCCAGGTGGACCAGTATCATTGCTCAGTGATATGAAGTCCCCGACGCCGGAAAGGCTCCTAACTTTCCGGAGAACAAGGGGTATTTGTGGTGGTCCAAAGATTCTCTGCACAGCCTCTTGTTTTGCAAATATGTTCCCAAAATCGGCTCGACTGAATTTCGCTTCTTCGGGATCCATACGTCCAAGTCTAACCATAGCACGCTGCATCATGTGGAGAAGAGGCGAAGGAAAGAGGTAGATGAATGATTCGTACGCGGAGCGCTTGATCGTCGACGGCCAGGCGTCGAAGACTGAGAGCGCATAATAGCCCAGCACAAGGAGGGCGAGCGTCGATATGACTTTGGTTACAGTTGGATATGATGTGCTTTGGGATGAGCAGTCTGGGATTGGGCTTTCGTTTGCCCTAACCGGGAGGTTGTTCATATCGAAGAAACAGAAGGTGGAGGACCTTGGTTGCTACTGGGAAGTCTTGCATTCGGTCTGCTAGCACTAGACGAAAGCAATTTGTAGTAAAGAATGAACCGATGGGAGCTGCCAGGCTGCTCTGGTGACGAACAAACAATTGAACGAGCTTGGTGGGTGAGGAGATGAGGCAACACAGACCTGCATCATGGGCGCAGGCCAGAAAGGCTTGGCGGCTTCAACGCAGCATCTGTACTCTGTATGATCTAGCCAATGTAGACATTTATCTGCAAAGATGAATTGGCGCAACTGGGACACGGAAAGGGTCTTGTGATTTCATCTCATGTCATTTCCATCTAGAACTCCATATTTTCTTTTTTGCGCCATCCCAGCCCCTTGTTTCCAGACTCTGTCAACCCTCATGTCTGTGACTGAAGCTGTCGGCTCATTCTCTGAACCTTCGACCGTGTTCCAACCCGTAACAATCTCCTCAACGGACTCGGATTTGCTAGTACCAACGTCTGCCGCTTCTCGTGCTATTCGGATGTGTTCTTCAAGAAGCCTCAGTGACCGGCCTGGATCACCAGTCGCATTCTTGACCCACCATCTCTCCCACAACCATGTCAGTGCTTGCCGTGTCATCTTTCGCAGATAGGATAAGTTGGGGATATCACCATGCGCAAGTTGATGTCGTAGACCGACAAAGTTCTGCGGCATGCCAATCGTAGCAGCAAGCGCGTACATAGAACTTTCACCCTTTGCTGCCGGTACCACGCCATCCTCCCCCTCGTCCTCGTCCACGGCCATCTCAGCGGTATGCAAACGGGCGACATCGCGATCAACAAAGCCATTAACAAACCTCGCAAAAGCCATGGCATAGATACTCTGCATAGCCGAGTCTGAGATTCCTCCAGACCGCCTAACAGGATCATCGTGAAGCGAAGCTTCAGTTAAATTGGCCGTTGCTACGATGGCCGGGGGTAGCTGACCAGCTTTAAACAGCCAGAGGTTGACTTTGTCGATAGCTCGTTGTTTCATGTCTTGTGGAGAGCCTGAAAACACGTCCCGTTTGGCATGATCAGGGAAGAACCAGTCTCGAACCATGGCCAATTCCGAGTCGTGTCGCCATGGCGGAAATTGCAAGACCATTATGACACCTCACGCCAAAAGAAGAAAGGGCCGCAGGCGTAGATCCGGTTCATCAAGATTCCTGAGAGGCCGGTCTCTGGCATATGACACCGATGCGGACGAGGACAAGGCCAGTGCTCTATTTTATCCAAATCGTAATAATAAAATACTTCGACAGTTCTAAGTGAAGGAAGATACCTGGTACTCGTAAAATATTCAAATGAATTTTGGGAGGGCAACGAGAAGTCCACTTTTAATACCTTGCCAGATCCGGGCTAGTTCAATGGAAAAGGTTCAGAAGTTGACGTCAGTTGTTGGCTAGGAGTGGCCTAGGAAAGCACATTCGGTGTCCATCTGTGGCGGTTTTCTAGACCGTCTTTCGGCTTCTCAGTTATCGAATTGTATCAGTAACACATTGTCCATCAAATTCTAGTCTCAGTTGCCTTGAACTACCTGGAGGACCCAGTAAAATAGGGTATCATAGGTGAATGTAAAGAAGTCGTGATATCTAAATCTCCCACCAAACCAAACCAAGCCAACATTCAATGAAGAACAAAACATGGCGAATTCATCAAGTCATAAATCATATCCATCCGTAGCATTGCTGGCTGGGCGCGTAATAGTTGTTGAGCTGACTTAAGGTTGCAAGATACTTATATGCGAGAGGATCGACCTCTGTCTGTGTGCCGAATGCCATGTGGTTGGCAATGGATTGAGACTCGTAGGATGGGAATGCTGTCATGGAAGAATCGTTTGACTCCGATTCCTGCTCGTGTGCGGCGTCCTCGTCGTCCTCATCCGCGTCTTCATCTTGTTCTACTGGCTCGAACGACTCTGCGAGCTTCAACGACTTTTGACCCGACTGAGAAAATCTGCCGAAGAGTAGGGATGATGACTGTACTTCGGCTGGAGAATCATACAATCCCATCCCGACCAACTCTTCCGAATCGACTTTAGCTTTCCCACTGGTGGTTCCCAGCGATAGATTGTCTAGGTCGATATTTGGAAAGGGCGGGCAATCTGGCGAGGATGGTGCCGTAGGGACGTTGGAAGTCATCAGTTGTTGGTTTGCGTGCGCGTAGGGTTGAGGGGCCGGGGGGTATCCCGCTTGGTAAAAGGTCGACAAGGCATATGGATCGCCTTTGGTCGGTTCGGATGCTATCCACGATTGATCGAAGTACGCTTGATTGCCATAATCGAAGCTCATATTTCGGCCAGAGTATCCATCAAGGGGAGTAATGACTTCTTGAATCTGTGGCTCATTCATTGCCGGATAGGACATAGGCGTGATGAGCCCGTTGACTTGCGCAGTGGAGAAGTCCCAGGCGGACGGGTCTGCAGAAGAGTCGACAGGAATGTGCAGCGTATCGATGGAATTCGGATGCCAGCTCACTGGCCTTGACCGAGACCCTTCTAGACTTAGTTGTTGCTGGCTGCTCGAGCGAAGATGATCAACCACGGACCGGTTTCTCGATGACGTTGTCGCGGAGGTGGTGGTCTTCCTCCTGCCCAAATTCCGGGGACTACTATTGCGACTGCCGGACTTGACGACTTTGTTGGGACGAGTAAAGTAAGAGGACACACTCGTTGAGGTGGCGGGGTTGTAGATGGCCTCATGGAGAGGATAATTCCAGGACTGTGAGTACTCCATGGTCGATGTTGGCTGTTGGTTGATAGGGTCGAAGATGTCAAGGTGTTGAGAGGGAGAGGGATACGGGAGTCATATCTGGTCCAGCACGCGCTTCTTTTGCTCGGGAAACGACGAAGGGTCAAAAGCTGTGGCTAGCGGGTGCCGGCTAAGGGGTAACAAAGACGAGATTGAAATGGCATCTCAGATTGCAGCGAGACACAGTAGTGAATACATACCACAGTAGTGAGGTGGGCTAGGGGATGGCCCAGGTGACAAACGACGAAGAACCGGGGTCACGTTCCAAGTCACAAGCATGATGGACACAAGCCAGATACCTAGCTGCTTAGTGTGAGAGGATGATACGCACGATCGTAGTGTTTTGGCTGCTGCGTAGGTTTAGGATGATGTGGAAGCGAGCAGGCGAGATGCGTCAGAACCGGGCGGCAGCAGTAGCGTAGTCTTGTGGGAATATGGGGAAGACTGACGCGAAGTCAAATGGCTGAACGCAAGGCGTAAGCACCAGAAGAACGGTAAGTCCGTAGGAGCACGGGCGAGGATGATGGATAGCAGTCAAGGGGCACAAACCTTGAGCAGGGTGAGCTCTGAGCAGGGAATGTTCAGCGGCAAGGAGCCAGGCAAGTACACCGATTTTGGCGGGACGGAGACCCCGTGTGGACCATGATTGATTGAATAATGGCAAAAACTGAATGTGGTTAACTGAATGTGGTAACTAACGGGTACGGATAGACACGATGGTCTGATTCGAATCAGTGTAGCCTGGAATATGAAGGCTGTCCGAAAAATGCCGTGGTAGTAAGTGTGAAGTGTCAAAAGCAGTCAAGAGAAGTCAAAATTGTGAGAGACGCTAGTGTTTTAGCTCGGGAACGGCCCAAGCGTGAAAGCGTGCCCCAAGGAATCATCAAGGACAAGACTGAAAGGTTGAAAGCCGGGCCGGCTGGTGGCTCGAGTGTCTGATAAAAGTGGCTCAACCCGAACATGGTCTGTCGGTCGGAGAGGCGGAGGCAGGGGTCAAAGGCGGAGACTTGAGAAAGACATGCCCTGGCCTTGACACCGACAAGAAAACGGGATGACGCGATGTCGAGTGTCCACCTAGCATCAAAGCATCACAAACGCTACGAGTACGAGGTATCTGTGCAGGAGCCAGGAAGGGAAAGCGAAAACAAGCCGCGTATGGCCAGGGTCGGTGACTTCTTGAATCAGGATGACTCGTCGTCGGCTGAGGCGAGGAGAGCAACGGATGTGCGTGCAGGAGATAGGACGTACGAGGGGCCTCGAATTTGTCCGAGGCTTTGTAACTCGTAACACCAGACAAAACATGAGCCTCGCTCCAGCCCACCCAAAGTCGCAGCAGACAACCATGCCTGCTCGAAGCGAGCAATCCGGACTGGGTGCCTAGTGTGGAAAGACAGTCGATCAATTTGCTCAAGTTAGCCGCTGTCCGGTGGATTGGTCTGAAATTGCTGCGGTTCAGTGAGCCTTGAAGGGCCGATGTGAGCATATCGCCTCCAAGGGCAGGAAAAGAATGTGACCAGGGTCTCGTGGTGCACGGTGAACCAAAAAACGAACATCGCAACGGATGGCTGCCATGTGGAGTGGACTTGTCAGGACTGCAGATGCATAATCTACCTACGTGGGTAGGCAGTAAGAAGACAGCGCAAAGTGGAGATGGTGAAATGCAAAAGAACCCATCCCATGGAGTTGCCGCAGCGTGAACGGCGTGACGCCAGGATGGTGACACTCGCCAGGAATCACTTGGACAGGCACCAGGGTAGAACAGGGCACAGGGGAAGTGGAAGTGGTGGAGCACCGCGAGAACGAGAGAACCCATGAATTGTGAGAATGGGAATGTCATGCCAGACAGGGGTCCTTCGGGTGGCTCGAAAAAAAGGCTCAAGGCTCGAGACTCGTGGAGACTGAAGTGTGGCAGAGTTGCGTGGTGCAGAACGGAAAAAGGGAAAAGGGAAAAGAACAGAAAGGAAAGAGACGCATCATGCGGTAAGGATGCGAGTTCAGATCCCTGATCCCCTCGCTCGTAGTGATCAGTAGCATCAATCGACTCGTGGTGGAGAAGATTCGAGGTGGTTTTCATGCATCGCACGCCTCCTTTCGGTGCTTTTCCCTGCCAATCGTTCCACGTCTTTCGGAGATTGACTTTGGGTCTTGCAGCGTGATGTTCACGGCGAGGAATTTTGGATGCTCCCAGGATGCTCCAGGATGCTCCTAGGGCTCACCAGGCCGAGCTGAGCGGGTTTCCGTTATAACTATCTTTATGGCGTTGCATAAGCGACCGTACTTTGGGCTTGAACCGCACTTAGTGTGCTATCGCCGACCGCCTCCCCCAATCCAGATGCTGCCTCACAAGAGCACCCTTCACAAGTTGCCATCCTGGTTCGAAAATTGCCTGCTGCGTTACGTTGTACTAGAGTAAGGTATGTACAACTCTCACTCACCTGCTGCACCTTTGCATTTGGGACCTGCGTTGCGACCAATCGACCAAGTTTACCAATCACGCATCACAAGTCACAGAATTCGCTCCTTGTCCTCTAAGCCACGAATCTTCGTGGCCTTCAAAAGCCTATCAACCACGAACCACCGAGCTACCTCTAAGAAGCGAAGCCAAATCTGCCCCCGGCATCGACCCGAGATGCATCCCTACGGCAGGCTGACTGGACCACCATTGTGCAGCCCTGGCGAAACACTTGCCTGAGCCTGCGCCATTAATTATTCCAAGTTGGATCTTCCTTCGCGCCCCATCACATCAGAACAACCAGAACCTTTGCCCACTTGATGCCGTGGATCCCACAATCAGAACTCCAGCAAATCCCCTTAGAATTCGACTAGTGTCAGTCATTGCACTTCCACTCCAGACCGCCTCCAAGGCCCTTCATACGCCGAGGACGCTCCAAAAATGTCAAATCATGTCACGATCCCGATCAATTCGTTCCAGTCGATCACCCTGACGCCAATCATGCACGGCGAGGGAAACTTGATGAGATTTGCCGACCAAGTTGAGACACCTCGGAAGGCCAGTGTAACATAATGCTGTTACACGTTCACACAATCCTCAGTGCCTCTTGATCATGCAGACGCCCGGACTCTACACAGTAAACATATATTTGTCTGTAGTCAAGAGCTTCAGGCGACTTACTACGTAGAATCGCCGCCCTGAACTCCTGGGAAAAGGCACATAGATCCAGCTTTCCTCCAACGCCATGCCACATGGAGTATTGGAGCACGGAGCGCCCAGTGGCTTCAAAGTGTAGGCCAATAGGTACGCCACACTTGGCCGCCGCGACGCTTCATTTACACAGGAACTGATCGTAAATGTCGTGTCTCTGCGACCGGCTCAAATCCTGGTCGATAGCACCCTCAGTGTCCGGACAGCCCTCATGCATGCAGGCAGGATTGGGGGTTCAATTGGGAATCAGTGGTCGCGCCCATCTCACAAGACTACCCCTGTACATCCATTATTGTCGAAGCACTATTACTCTGGCGGAAACACCCCTACGGTTTCCGCGCCACGGACAGGTCGAAAGAGAGTCGCTTTCCTGGTCCAGCCGCCGATCTGCAATACGAAGCTTGAAATTTGCTGCTGCACAGCCTCGAAAACTTGTCTCGGTGGTTCTGGTTCTGTCTATGGTGTCGCTTGGCAAATGCCTGCAATCCTGCGGGCGTGCACCAACATTTTTACTGTGTACGAACGACCACGCAGGAGACGGGGCCCTGCCTGCACTTTAAGAGCTGAACCTGGCGTCATCAGCCAACTTGACACCAGCCACCTACCAGCAGGCCCGGAACATTGGGCCTTCGTGGCCTTCTGAACGCTAACGCAGATGCAAAATTTGAACATTTATGTCCAACCACCACGGGCAGCCCCCACAGAAGCTGAGACTCCAACCTGGGTGGCTGATATGTCACTAGCCGATTCCACGCAACAGTCCTGAGCCAGGCTCCTGAACCTAGTGCTCCGTGTGCTCCTTTGCTCTTCAGGCCAAGAGGGCGCATGGACGATCTCCAAGCGCCAAAGTCCCAAACTCAAAAGGGCATGCGAGGCCCAGCATCATCCAAGATCCACATGAATAGCCTTGATGTTTCCGGTCTATCCCAGACCCACTGTCCACGTTCCACGTCCTATCTAAAGGATTAGGATTACGAGCAGAACGAAGACTCGCCCACAAGCATCCTGAACTTTTCCAGCTGGCAACACCAGTCGGTGTTGGCGGCGAAGAATTTGAATCCGGGCGTCATTAGCTTGATACAGAGCGAGCTAGGTTTTGCTCACCATCGCACGGCTCGGGCAACCCCAGCATTAGGCAACGGTGTGGGCGCGGGTCCAGGCCAGGGTATACGCACCGCATCGTGCGGATCGGACATGGCCCACATTCAGACACCCTCGGCTTGCCTCTGATCCTTTTCGATCATACCTTAGTAGTTTTTTCGGAACCAAGACGCGGTGGCCTTTGGGATGCGTGTGATATGCGCTGCTGTGGCCTTCACCCGTCCCACCGTCTATGGGATGATATCGTGACAGACAACAGGTCCATGATACAGCCTTTCGCACGACCTGGGCTGCTCCAGCCTTCACAAAATTTGTGTTTGGCACTCGTCAGTACGGCGAGTTTCATCTATATTTTGTTGCTGTTCATCAATGCCTCAGGACTTCCGATTTGGGAAGAAGGTGTTTCGAAAACGTGGTACCGCAACCCTGGAAAGATGGCTATCTCCGGCACGGCCACCTTTAACATGTTAATGTTACCGGCATCATGCCGGGTCTGATGCTTGTTCCACCAGGCGATTACCCATCTCGCACCCTATCGTGTCGCTTCCATTTCTATTCACACTAGGGGACAGACGCCCCCTGCTTAGTATAGGTACTACTCGTATGTAGAGTAGCGTTTGGCTGAGACCCTTGCTGCTAGCGGCGAAGGCATCTTCCGGTGAAGTGCCAACTCGTCTACTTCCGGTGGTGATGTTCACATCAAACGTAAAGCCTGTCGCTCGATTAGGCTTGTTCAACCCATTCACCGATTACTTTCGTTGACCGAGCACAAATACTGTAGATGAACGTCGTCCGGGTCAAGTCAGGCTCTGCCGATGCATGCGGAACTGACTCGCAACAAGGCCGAGTCACCAGGCGGGATCAGTGTCAAGGAAGTTTTACAAGTGGTAATACAGTCCGTGAAAATCGTGACGTCTTCTTATCCAAAGGCTCATGCAGTCTAAAACGACCGAGGCACCCCTGCCTCACCTGTGCAGAGAATTCCGGGATGACCTGAAGCAGGCATCTCTGCAGTGAGCCGCGGGAGACGTGACAAACGAGGGGGGGTTCGTATTTGATGCTATGGCCAACAAAAGCCCTTGGACCATCATGGGCTGGAAACCAGTCACTTCACCTCAGCTTCACTCCTCTTACGAGATACGGAAGAAGGGACTCGAAGTCGTTTCTGGCCCCTTGGTCTCTCGCTTGTCGATCATATCCGTTCATGGTAGCATCGCTTTATGTCTTTGTCAATTTTTTCACCAACCATGAGATCGACGACGCGACCACGCCGGTAAAGTACGAGTACTTGTGTGACTCGATACATCTATCCACGCGGTGGGAATCTCGCGACGATCTTTTTTGCCTCGGAATTTCAATAATCTCAGCCCCCGTATGATCGATCCTGACTCGCTGGTCGTGCACTCAGGGGTCTATGGACATTTAAGTTATTAACACTAATGTGCCTCCTGGCTTGCTTGGTCAACGGAACCGGCGGCTGGTGTGCATCAAGCGTGAAGCGGCGCTGCTGTGTACATCCCGCCTCGTGGAAAGTAAGTAGTCAATCCGGTCAGGGACATGTACGAGTGCGAACCTTTTCCGATGGTCCTGCTTCTGATACGAGCCAATTGGCCATGACCGAGTCAGGACGTGAATGTCAAGTCAACCTACTGCTTCCAAGTGGTCGAACGCTCAACTGCACAAATGGTCCAGGCTGTGGATTCGACGTCACCGAATGGAGCGAGCTATTGCGATCTGCTCACCGCTCCAGGCAACATTAGGAGGGCCAGCGAAGCAGCCTGAACAACTCCCCAACATCGAAGATCAGTGAAAATCGCCACAAGCTCCCTGCGTTACACGGAAGTCGATCCTACAAACGACGAAGCAGAGTCACTCGTACAACCAGTGGAGGCTCGGCCGCTTTTTGCGGCCCGCAGGAAGACGGCTCAACCAGCCATGCCTTACATCTCAAACAATGTCGTTGCATGAACTTTTTAATCTTCACCACAGGATTCTGGAAACAAGGTTACTATGGTATGCTTGCAGACAATATTGCTGACGTCAATCTGGCAATCGCTCCAGTCCTTGGGCAAACCACAGTGACCCAGCCAGACAACTGGCGCACCTACACGTACTTTGTACACTTTCAAGTTGCAACAAACAAACGGTTCTTCACGAGGACCATCCGTAGTAACCCTGGCGTGTGTGCTCTCGAATCCGATAATATGGCGGCACGCACACTGCTCGTGATTTCTGAGTCTTTCCGCTTGATGGTTGCAAAGTACTTAGTGGATCAGAGGCGTTCGTTTCCGTTGAAATATATCCTGTGGTACATCACCAAATCTTTGCCAGTGTACACGCCCCGTCAGACTTCCCATGGCATGATTCAATCATGGGGTTTTAAGTACACACAGTACTCGTAGGCTCGCAAGTCCGAGAAATGCGGTTTTCAGTATTAGGTCAGGCTCGCAAAGTCCCGAATTTCTTGGACAACCACAAAAAGGATGCTTGTACCAGATGCAACTTGCAGCAAGGACACAAGTATTGCGTTCACACCAGTATTAACTACGAGTAGGGGGCGTCGCTTCTGCGATCGCTGTATTCGTCGGTCGTTGCACATGCCTCGTCCCTCTGGACCCTCGTCTCGCATTTTTTCTGGGATTTCTGATTTATCTCGAAGTATGCTAAGAGCTGGCTTTTCGTCTTTGTACACAGCAAACCCGGGCGTCAGTCTTCCTTTCTTCTTCTGGTTTCGCAGGAGCTTGATACCGTTGGCCCACCGGGTAGTATGACATGGCGAGAGGCACTGGGCCTCGTGTATGCCAGAACTCGCTCTTCGCACGTCGCTCCGGTCTTCCACACTACTAGTGGACTCAGAAGCTCAGCACAAACAGCTCACGCCTTTGCAGGTGATTCTACTGCGGCAATGAGGACTTACTCTACAGGCGACTTGGAAGATTGAGGATCCTACGGCTAGCTAACGCGGCGGAGATTAAAACTTCCTTGCTTGTCTTCGCAAGTCACGGAGAGTCATCTACCTACACAAACGTCATGGTGGGCATCATCCCTACCGTTCATTGAAATACAACAGCCTCAAAACTTTTAACCAGCATTCTTCATCTCTCTCAATTTAGCCATGACCGCAGCGGGCTCCGTCTCGCCCGTGACCTTCTTCATCTCGTCCGTGTGCACCCGCATGAAGGCATTATGTGCCTTCTCCTGTCCGATGGTAAACTTGCCCTGCGTCTGCTGATTGTCGTCCGCGAACTTCTCGAGTGTGTCGACCGCCTCGTTGCCCGGGAGCACCTTTTTCAAAAACTTGACGTTCGACTTGGTATACTCGTGGCCCGGGTAGACTTTGGTATCGTCCGGCAGACCCGCAAGGACCTCATTCAGCGCCTTGTGCATCTCTGCGCCATTGCCCTCGAAGAATTTCCCGCATCCACCAATGAACAATGTGTCGCCCGTGAACACGACGCGTTCGTTCGTCTTGGAGTCCTCCATGAACCAGCAGATACTGTCCTGCGTGTGGCAGGGGGTGTGCAGGGCCGTGACTTGGATGTTCTTGCCAATGGAGAAGGTCGAATTGTGCGGGGGGGTCTTGGTCACGGCCTCGCAATCTGCGCCGCCGATGACGGGTATCTGGGAGGGTAGCGAGGACAGGATTTTCTTGTTGCCGCCGGCGTGGTCCCAGTGGTGGTGGGTGTTCATGATCGCGGTGAGATTGAGCGTTTTGGATTTCTCGGATAGGATGGGTGTAACTCTATCGACGGCCCAGCGTTAGTGAGCCACGAGGACAATGGGACGGACAGTGGGAGAGGGAACGTACTCGGGAGGATTGGCTGGGTCGATGATGACCGCATCTTTCGTCTCATCGTCACTGACGAGGTAGGCGTAGTTGTTGGACGACCCAACCCCTGATGAGCATCGCTATCAGCCATTGTACTCAGCATCAACAGTATATTCCTGCTGCCATCGATTCTCCGGAAGGGCATATTCCGCTCTCTTTCCTCTCCTCACCCGGTGCAGCTCAAGCAAGTTCCCCTCCACCGCCGGCTTGATTACCGACGACTAGATAAATACCACGGGCTGAACAGCACATACACATAGGAATACTTTGGATATGCATCTTTCTCAACGGCTGCTGGAAAATCCCAGATCCCAACCCAATTCCCTGAAACTGCGGGGTATTTGCAGGGCGGATAAACGAGGCAAATGCGGCGCTGGTAGATAGTATAGGCCGGACGAGCTTCGAGGTGATCATGAATTCTCCAGGGTGACCCTAGATATCGGGTTTCCAGGTTTGACGGCGCGCAGTTGAAAGAAGAGAATTGTAAGCAAAGATGTTGGATGCGGAGATGCAAGCAATTGGGAGTTGTAAGGATGGAATTGTTTCCTCCTCAGACTGACGTCAACCGGCATCTGGATTTATTAAAGCCGATGGACGACGACGAAGGAGTTCCTTATATAAAGTGTCCAGGATGAACAACAAAAACGTGCGCAATATCATTGATGATGAATTTTTCCATATATTGAGAGCTTTAGAGATCTTGACGTCCGCCCCAAGACTCGTCCCGGCAAGGATCAAGACCAGCCATGTTAAATGTAGTCATCACATTGTTCTATGTTCATTCTCTCTACGTCAATCACAGGTATATAACTCATATATCATGGCTGCCAACAGCCCCATAATCAGCGTGGATGCTCCTTCTCCTGCTCATGCCCATTTGCCCGCTTTCACCTAGCAGTCGTTGACTCTCAGCCATATCGACCACTCTATCCTTTCCAGCCATGTTGGGTATCCATCCTCTCATCCAGCCATTGACTCTCTCCCAGTGACTGAATCCGTCTTTATCCCTGACCTTGACCAGCCTGTCCTCGAGTTCTCCGTACATCATGAACTGGACTCCCATCATAGCATCCATACTTAGACAACCCGCAGCGCCCAGAAAAAAAGGAGCTGCTCTCGCAACCCAAGCCCACCTTTGTGAGCCTTGGACATCCACCCAGCCATGGTGCCCGTAAGGACCGTAATCGTCCCATGCATTTGGGTTCGTCAGGAGCGATGTGGAGTAGAAGAAGTTTCCACAGAATGCGGCGAAGAACAAAAGTGGCGAAAGACCAGCTGTCGATTGTCGTTTCCAGTTCTTGTACAGTTGAGGCAATCGCGAACCTAAGTACAAGAGAGTAGAACACCAGGACAAGATAGTGCCTGCAATTTCGAGAGGTGTTTCGACGCGCAAAAGATGGATTCCGTGCTGTCGATGGTCTGCGGGGAACGGTATGGGAGCTGCCACCACAGTTGATGCTAGAGAAGACAGGGTCGCAGCGTATAAGAATGTTCGGGGCGATGGTGAAGGCATCCAGCTCCGAGCGGCCTTGTCGATATTGGTACCCTCCCGAGGAGTCCCGTTCTTTTCACCATAATGCACCTGTAAAAATCTTGGTCCTTCAATCTCGGTCGGACGAGCCGACTTCTGGATATCCTCCTCTGAATCCAGTAGGGATGCTGGTCCGCTGGTGAAATTGGTGTTGATAGGAGATAGGGTGTTGATGATAGCGCTGTCTGCGTCATCAAACTCGCTACTTGCAGGAGAATGCAAGCTCTCAGCGTACACCCACTTCGCGACATGGGTGTACCAAAAGTACTGTAAGACAAGACAAACATCCACAAACACATAGTAGCTTGCAATGATAACCTGCCAAGCAGCCTGCTTCGTAAACAATGCACCAAGCAGATTCGTCAAATCGCCCAATAACCATTCTGCCAAAAAGAATATCGATAGGCCTGCTGTGGATTTTATATGGTAATTCTTGAAGATCTGCGGCATCTGTGCAAATAGCCATGAAATGATCGACAGTGTACCGAGCAGCGTAGATATTGCCGCTAATGGTGTAGGAATGCAAAGTCCAAAGTATGAGGAGAGATCGAAGAGGAAGGGAGTGATCGGAGTACAGTGTTCTGGAAGGGCTGGCCTCAACAGAAGCGAGATGTATGATAAACCCATGATTCTGCCAGTCCTTGAGAGTTCTCTCGAGTGAATCGGATGACTATCTCGCCCTCGATGTTCTTATCATCTCTTTCACAACTCAGGTTCCCGAAGCGCGTCCGGCCAACGCAAAGGCAATGATCTCAGTCAGAAATTCAATAACATCAGCTTCTCTCGTGCTGCCAAACAAGCTGAGGAGAATGTCGGTGTCAATACTGAGTTGGCGAGAGGATGATATTTCGTATGTTGCTAGAGTTCTTTCGTTGACGACGAGTCCGAACAGCAGGCGTGGCAGTCAAATGCCCGAGCTAGAGACCAGTAAACGCAGCGACGGAGTTTTCGAAACCGACGTCAACACAGAGAAGCAGAACTATTGAAGAACGAATGCAACAGTCATGCTGAGAAATGACAGACGAAGTGGGATGTGCGCAGGCCACCTCCCGCCGCAGCAGTTACGAATGAATAGTGGCACCCAGATAAGGAAGTCATACCCCCCCATTCCGGGCGAAAACAGGAAGCTCCGATCTCTCACCTCAGGCTGATTCTGCGGCAGCCAGAGGGACGAGCCGAGGATGGAGGTGCATTTGATGCCCTGGTGACACTCCAGTATGACGCGGAAATTGGTCAGATGAAGGAAATGGTGTTGAAGGCCTGCATGATCGAGGATGATGGTGGAGGGTTGAGCGAGGCGCGGATTTCCACGCGACCGTCAACACTGATAAGCATGAGCGAAGGACCAATGGAGTGCGCTGGCTGCCTGGATGCGCATCTCTTGGCGTGGGAGACGATTGCCGACCCTTGAACAAATCTGCAGCTCACTTTTAAAATTCGGCCACATCCCTCGCTTGTGTAACAGGAGCTTTGCCGATGAGATTTGAATCTCACTTCGACACACAGGTAAACAAAACAAAAGAAATGCTGCTGCTGGCTGAGATCATCCCAGATAGGCACAAATTTGTCGAACACAGAATGCTCACAAGGGAGGCTTCACCGCTTAGTAGTACCCCGCTGATCCCCAGATTATTGACACCCAATTGACCATGTTATTACATGATAGATTTCTCTGGGAGTGGATCACAAGATCGAACAGAACAGCGTTCAAGATTACCGAGGTGTTACGATGGATGTGGGATAGCTCCCAACAACTCCGACTTGATATACAACCCAAGAAAATCCAATTGAGTCGAGAAGAAGACAAGCCGCTACCTACACAGTGTCCTCATCACCCACAGGCGTGTACTGATTCACATAAGGCACCCTGGTTGCGTCCGGTCAGACACGAGATCAATCTAGCGTGTCGACCGGACTTGAACAGTACCTACTTAGCGATGTTTCTCGCCGTCACAAGCCCAGCACATCCCACCGCGTACATGCTGAGCAGCGTTCTCCAATCGCCTTTATGTTCGACTACAAGAGTTACCAGGTCGTAGACCAGACATCTGTCAACAATTCAGTCACTGGCAGCACTCGCCAGACCGAATCCCAAACCGGTCAGAACCTTGATGGGCAAAGTGGCAGGTTGATCCCTGAAGAAGCTGCAGAACCATTGTGCAAGAAATCCAGTACGCCAATACCGACGAACGTCTTGGACACGATGTATGTAAGTAGAGATGAGGTCGAGCTGGTGTTCATTGGCCCAAGTTTCGTCACTATATACCATAGTCGGCTGAAGGTGTTGATCGTGACAGATCCTTGGGTGATGTCCAGTCGGCCAGAGTTCCAGGCGACCAGCCTAGCTGACTGTGTCAATTGGGTGCTCGGGTATCCTAGACGCGGTATACTTACCTGCAATGCTCAGATCCCCAAGACAATACTAAGGCACGAACTTCACCATCTGCTCCAGCTCCGCTCTTTCGGCAGGTTTGGAAGGGTCCAGCTTCCAGAGACGATACAGCTAGGCAACTTGAAAGAGTTGCTGCGGGAAGAAGAACCTAGCGACAAAGAAAGGTTGAGGGCTGAAGAATGACAAGCTCTGATCATGGATATCTTTCATATTGAGGGACAATAGCATACCATAGTTTTGACCCGCAAATTCGACCTGAAATGACACGGGTGTCACCCATTTTGCGGTGCTGTAAGAGATTCCCATCTTGATTCTACCGGCTACTTGGGTGTAGAAGAAAGCAGGTGCATAACAGTTGTTGTTGGTTGTTCGAATGGTAAGGCTTCCACCTAGACATACCTTCCACCCAAAGTCGTGTCGTCACCACATTGACCTCTGCAAAGTGAGCCTTCAGCCTTGCCAGCAGCAGCCCAATCAACAGCTTGACCGTTAGGAGCCATAAGCCAAACCAAGTAGACTTTTATATGAGCCTTGTGACAAGTGTACGTGTCGTCAAAAGGACATGTTGAAGCCTACAACAAGCCTTGTGCCTGTATTTCCGGAACGACAAGGCTCTGATAGAACTGCCCCCTTGTGCGGCCAAGGGCGCGACGTCACTGTTCACGTTAGTATATTGAAACGGTTGATCTTTCAGCCTCTTTCGGTGAAGCTCGCTCTCGTTGCACTCTTTTGGGATATCTGGCCCGTTATCTGCCGCCTGTCTCGCTGTTTAGGTCAGTCGGTAGTTCTGAATGCTCCATAGGTACCACCACTTCTGATGTCAGGGTGAAGTGGAAAAGGCTTCCTTAGAGCCAATCAGAGGGCCATGTAGCCTCGGCCAGTGATGCAACAGGCCTTTGTCAGGCTGTTCCTGATTCCCGACGGACCACACATCCGGCAGAGATGCGGGGCTCGCTTCAACGGCCGTTGATCATTACCTACTTTTGTTGCTATCAGAAAACATGACGAAATACTTCCTAAGTTTTGTATGCGTCACGGCCCAAAGGTGATAAAATGCTTGCAATTGCTGTGACTGCCATTGGCAGGCGCGACAGCTTGGATGCAAGACTCGCGTCCTTCTCTCCGCATCCCTTTTGTTTATCTAGTCGAGCTTCCCATCTTCCGGCTTTGCTTCTCTTACCTCCTTTACAATGGCTTCATCTGTCACAGATCGCGTCAAGAATCTAGGAGAATCGATGGCCGACTCTGCTAAGAACATGTTCGAGAACGAGAAGATTGCCGACCTCAAGAAGAATGTCAAGGATTCTCACAGCAAGCAGCACCAAACAACCGACTATGGCATCAAGGTCGCCGACTTGGACCATTGGTTGAAGGTGGTGGACGAAGAGAACGACAAGGTCGGCCCTTCTTTGCTCGAGGACCAGATCGCGAGAGAACGCGTACGTACTTCTTACTGCCTCTGAAAATCCAAAGACTTACCTCGCGGTAGATTCATCGTTTCGACCACGAGCGTATTCCTGAACGTGTCGTCCATGCTCGAGGGGCTGGTGCTCATGGCCAGTTCAAGCTTTTCGAGAGTCTTGAGGATGTCACCACCGCTGGCGTGTTGACCGACACGTCCCGCACTACACCTACCTTTGTTCGCTTCTCCACTGTGCAGGGCAGCAGAGGAAGCGCAGACACCGTCCGAGACGTTCGAGGTTTCGCCACCAAATTCTACACCAAAGAAGGCAACTGGGACATCGTTGGCAATGACATCCCCGTCTTCTTCATCCAAGAGTCGATTAAGTTCCCTGATCTTGTCCATGCGGTCAAGCCAGAGCCTGATAACGAAGTCCCTCAGGGACAGACTGCGCATAACAGCTTCTGGGACTTTACGTACCTACACAAAGAGGCGACTCACATGTTTCTCTGGGCTATGTCTGACCGAGGCACTCCCCGATCGTATCGAATGATGCAGGGATTCGGTGTCAACACTTTCTCTCTGATCAACGCTAAGGGTGAAAGAACCTTCGTGAAGTTCATCTGGACCCCAGAGTTGGGCGTCCACTCCTTGATGTGGGATGAAGCTCTCAAGCTTGCTGGTCAGGACCCTGATTTCCATCGCAAGGATTTGTACGAAGCCATCGACAATGGCGCCTATCCGAAGTGGAAGTTCGGTGTCCAGCTCATCGCCGAGAAAGACGAGCACAACTTCGACTTCGACATCCTCGACTCCACCAAGGTCTGGCCCGAGGATCAAGTTCCCATCCGCTACGTTGGAGAGATGGAGCTCAACCGCAATGTTGACGAATACTTCCCAGAGACGGAACAAGTCGCCTTCTGTACAAGCCACATTGTTCCTGGTATTGACTTCACAAACGACCCCCTGCTTCAGGGAAGAAACTTCTCTTACTTTGATACCCAGCTATCTCGTCTGGGCATCAACTGGCAAGAACTTCCTATCAATCGACCTGTTTGTCCGGTGCTGAACTTCAACCGTGATGGTCAGGGACGTCATACCATCACGAAAGGCAAGGCGAACTACTGGCCCAACCGGTTCGACGCCAACCCTCCTACGGGACACGGTGGCGGAGGCTTCATGTCTTTCCCTACCAAGGAGTCAGGCATGGACCAGCGAAAGCTGGCACCCAAGTGGAAGAACTACCTGTCTCAGGCCCAACTCTTCTGGAACTCCATGACAGAAATTGAGAAGATGCACATTACAAATGCTCTGTGCTTTGAACTCGATCACTGCGACGATTCTGTTGTGTATGAGCGAATGGTGTCACGCCTTACGGAAATCGACCTTTCTCTTGCAACAGCTGTAGCTGAGAAGGTTGGTGCGCCCACTCCCACCAAACAGGCTGTGGAGAACCCTGGCCTCAAAGCCAAGGGCCTCAGTCAATTCGACTACCTGCCAGAGAATCCAACCATCAAGTCACGCCGCATTTGCATCCTCATCGCGGATGGTTTCGACGCGGTGGCTTATGGTGCTATGAAGGCTGCCGTTCTGTCACAGCTGGCATTGCCTTTCACCATTTCCAACAAGCGTCAAAATGTGGTAGCTTCAGATGGAACTACGACTGTGAAGCCTGACCATTTCCTGAACGGACAGCGTTCGACCATGTTCGATGCCATCTTCATCCCTGGCGGGGAGCAGTCCGTCAAGACTCTTGTGGGCAATGGTATCGCAAGATTCTATGTCCGCGAGGCCTTCTCTCATCTCAAGCCCATTGGCGCTACTGGCGAAGGCGTCAAGCTTGTCGACTCTGCCCTGAAGGAAGTCGAGGGCGCCCAATTGGCCACCCAAGGGACCTCAGATATCGTTGATTGGTATGGTGTCGTTACTGCCCAGAAGCCAGATGATGAGTCCAGCGTCAAGAGCGGAGTCAAGATGGTCAAAGAGGCCAAGGACTTTACTGGCAAGTTCTTCTATCACATCTCGATGCACAGAAACTGGCAAAGAGAGTTGGATGGTCTTATCAACATGGTGGCCGCTTGAGATTGTCCACCGAGACGAACATACTTGGAATGATCATTGTGATGGAAAGCAGATCCGACTGGAGACCGACTACTTCATCTAAGAGGTGGTTCGGATACATATGTGAACGAACTTAGTATATAGTAATGACCTTGATATACCCTGCTCAATATGAAATTATATGAAGACAAATCTGTTGACGTCGTCCCATGTATCGGCCCTCAACTCATTCTCAACGCTTTTTCTTTTTCTTCCTGCATGAGTCACAAAATCACGTCGACGATGAAACCCAGGCTTGAAAGTAGCTTTATTGCTTAAGAATAAACGGCAAGTCAAATAATTTGTAATTTTGCTTGACTATTGGCCGGGCGAAGAAGCGGCAGAGTTGAACTGCCATCGACCATGAAGCGATCCGACTTCCGAACACCGGGCCCATGCTATCGCCAAATGCCATTCGCTTCAATCCGTCGAGAACGCTCAGTAACCCAATAATCACCAACCCTGCCGACCAAATACTTTGTGTCTGTCTCAAATCATATGTGCATCCAACCGGACTCAACACCTAATCCTCGTCCGGAATCTCTAAAATCCCCTGCATAGTCAACACGGCGCTCCCACTGAGCAAGACCTTTTCGACTTCTACCTTGTCATTACCACGTTCGGTACCAGTGGCCTTGACAGAAACTTCGACGGCAATTTGACTCTTCTGCCCCATTTCCACGCCCTGCGTGAGGCGGTATTTGTACCGTCCCGCCCGCCCGGTCTGCACAGAGAGATAGGACGCCAACGCGCTCGCAGCACTGCCTGTCGCCGGGTCCTCGCGCGAACCAAACATGCGCGTGCGCAGATCTCGAGTCTGAGTCGAGGTTTCGATGCCGAGGTCGACAAAGAACTGTCACTTACATGTTAGAACCGGTTGTCTGTGATGTGAGGTATCCTGGTTTCCCAACTCTTTAGGCAAGTTGGAAAGGGCGCGAGGTGGGCAATTGCAGAAGGCAAAGGCTAACAGAATGTAGTATGTACGATAGATGAGAGTCCGATAGGTGAGAGTCCGAAAGCAGGCTCGCCGAGAAAGAGAAACAAGGATCACGAGCGCTGGTCACAGGAACAATAGGTCGAGACTCTGGATCGAAAACGAGAAGAGGAGCTTAGAACTCACATAAGTCGTCACGATCCCCGTTCTCCAACCCTCGTCAAGCGCTTCCTGCGAGGTATACGTGTTCTCCGTCCCGAGCAGGTTCTTGGTCTGCCGGCCCAGGGCCTCGAGGTCTGGAAGCTGGGCCAGGATGAATGTCATGCCCTTCACGATACTGACCACCGGATACTGGCCGAAAGGTCGATCCGCGAAGGGGTCGGCGTGGATATGCACATCATGCGCCACGGAGATCCGGGTGCCATCGACTGCCTGGTCGAGCGTGATGCCGAAGCGTCCTGCTTTGGCTTCGAGGGCTTTGACTTGGTTGAGCGGGTCGTTTTGGAGGATCCGGAGGAGGTAATTTGCGGTGCCGACGGTCGGGTGGCCAGCGAAGGGGACCTCAGCGTAGGCGGTAAAGATATCGATACGGACTGAGGAGGAATCGATGTCAGAGCCGGTTTGCTCGTGGAGGAAGACACTCTCGGAGAGGTTGAATTCGCGGGCTATGCGTTGTTTTTGGGATTGAGATAGTGTGAGTGAGGCGGGTACGTTGATGACGGCGAGTGGGTTGCCAGTGTAGCGGGATGTCGTGAAGACGTCGAGGGTGACGAAGGAGAGTGAGGGGGCCATGACGATGGATGTATTTTGGTCTTGTCACAGTCAATGAGAGAGGAGGAGGCCTGATACATGATATGGAAGGATGGGTATAGGACCAGTTGTGAGTCATGGAACGCTAGGCCGAAGGTGGCAGTCTGGTGTTGTCCAAATGGCCGAATGGTGGGGACTGCAGATAGACTTGTAACCGTAATATCGAAGATGATTGTTGAGTAGTGGCTAGTGGCATCAGCTTGGACGCTCGGTAGCAATCCATCAAACAGTATCGTCCCTGCATTCAATGCGGGATGCTGGCACAAACATAAGTACATCTTATTGACCGAATGCTTTAAGATACTAACATTCCATCAATAAGACTGCGAACCAGATGGGAGAGATATTCCCGACTCTGTCTCGTGCATGCGCCGTGCAGAGATGGTTCATGTCCCCACCGGCAACTCAACTGCGTTCCATGTCCGTCCGCTCTCAGTCGATGGCATTTCGAACGGATATGTGGCAGCAGCGCCTTTTCCAGATGGCAGCTCTGAGAGTGCTGACTGGCTTCCTTGCATCTCCGAGACATATGCTGGGGGCCCTTTGACATCTTGCGATTGCGCTTTGTTGTCCGAACGCCATCGTTTCTCACTTCCCGCCTGGGCTTGCGTTGCTTGTTCTTGTCGTCGTCGGACTGATCTTCGTCTCATGACGCCACATACTATGATGGCCACGACCAGTGCCACGACTGGAATGACGACTCCGATTGCAACTTTCGCACCCCTTGACAGTCCGCCATCCGACTTGCTACTAGCAGCTGCTGGTGGCGAGGAGGAAGCGGCAGCGGTGGGCGAGGTAGTAGATGCATCATCGGTCTTCGCACCAACTGTCGTCCTCGGACTCGCAGGTTTCTGTAACCGGGTGCAGAAGACCAGGAGTCTTCGACGCACGAAGCCTGATGAAGCCTACTGTGCTCTGAAGGGGCTCGAATTGTGCCTCTATGGGCATGGCAGTTGTAGCACCGCCAGGAGCAATATTTCTCATACCGTGGGCCGGTTGCGACGCCAGCAGCCCGATGATCCAGAACTACCACGAGGCTGTCGGGCTCTCCGGTATGCTCACTCAAACATTATTCGTTGGCCGACGTTGCTCCATTACTTCCCGTCTCTCCTAGACTGCCATTTTAGGTCAATTTCGACGGTGGAGCTTTGCACACGGGCAGATAACAGAGCAAGCTGGAGGCTTGAAAAAGATAACCATAAAGTCAAGGCTCAGCCTTGTGGACCAATTCGAAGTTCAAGCAACGAGCCACGGCACAAGCTCGTTTGCTTAGCCTAGTAGCCTTGTTTTCCCTCGCTTATCTGATCTCATTGTCAGGGGGCCAAAATACAAAAGGTCCTGTCTTTGGTCCCGCGCTTGGCTTCCTTCTCTTTGCCATTTGCCATCTTCTTATCATTTGGCAGGGTTGTGCTGTCTTGCTCTGTCCCGTCTCTGGACCTATTCTTGATATGATCGAGGCGAATTCACCGTCCCTTCTTCCGCTTTGCTTTTCCAGAACGAGCGCTACCATTTCTGACATGTCGTGGTCAAGGTTCGACAGCTTTTGGATACCTGTCGTTAGCCGGGTCATTTACGACGGCTAGGCATTGTGCCACATCAAGAACAAGATACGTCTGTAACTTTTAGACAAGGGCCATGCGCCTCAGGCTAGTCTTGTAACAGTCCAGAAGAACATAATGCTGGCAGGATCAAGCTACTGCTCGGGACATTGGGGCATGTAGGGACGATATCGCGCTCGAGATCCGTCGAACGGCGTTGATCAAAAGATTTGTCCACTGGATTAAAGGTAGATCGTTTGATGTGTGATCAATGGACCAGAGAACGCAAGAGGAGTGATTGGGAGATGCAAGAAGAAAGAATGGGCAGGGAAGCGGCTTGTGGTCTGGCAAAGCTCGAAAAGAGTGTAGGTTGACTTAGTCAGATCGTCTCGCTGAACAGGAGGATATAGCTCATCATGTGCCATCTGGCTATTAAACTGCCCGTGTCACATAATCAAAGAGGAGCAAAGGACCCAACCACAGCTTCACGAAGGAGCCACCTTGATGGCCTTGGGACTCTCGACCCAGTCAAAGGTCCCCTGAGCCATCGTCCAACAGACTTCGCTGGCATGTGAAGCCCCCTTTTGCGGCATGTCGAACCCTTGAATCATTGTTCCACTCAGGAATGTGTATGGGAATCCCGGGTCGAAGTCGTAAGCCATGTCGATTTGATCCATTTCCTCGGCGCTGAGACTGGTAGACAAGCCTTCAATGTTGCCCTTGATGTGACTGATCTTACTCCCGCCCACGATGGGGTAAACGTAAGGCTCCTTGTGCATAACGTAGGCAAGCGCCACATTGGTCAGGGTGGTCTTTTTGGTATCTGCGATCGTTTCCAATACCCTCGACACATCCTTGTCTCGTGCTGTCACAGGAAATTGCCGCCCTGTATTGTTCTTTTTGCGTTCTTCGAAAGCGGCCGCGCTTTGGAACCTCCCGGAATTGAGGACAGAGTACCCGCAGACACCCATGCCTTCATCACGGCACATAGGAACAATGTCCCGCTCGAGATCACGCATAGCCGCATTCCAGATGCCCTGATAGACCACAAACTGGCGTAAGCCGTGGTCCCGAGCATATTGGTTGGCCTTGGTCACAAGCCAGGCTGGGCTGTCGGAGATACCAAGATAGAGGACTTTCCCAGAGACCACAAGGTCGTTGAGGCCATGCATCACCTCCGGGACAGTGGCTGTAAAGTTCCACCAGTGAAGATATAGGATGTCAACGTAACTGGTCTGCAGTCTTCTCAAAGAATCCGCAAAGGTCAGCCTCAGCGCCTTCATCCCATTTCCGCCATAGTTGGCACGAATTTTGATGTTTTTGTCCGGGCTCGGATGGGGTCCGGTGTACTTGGTAGCGAGGACGATTTGGTCCCGGTTTCCACGAGCTGCCATCCATTCGCCTAGCCAAGTCTCCGTCTCACCGCCCTGGTAAGAGTTGGCGGTATCGATGAAGTTGCCACCCTCGCTGTAGTAGTGGTCGAGAATCTCAAATGCGGTTGCTTTCGAGCATGCTCCAAACATTGCCTCATTTTTGGTTCCCAAGCTCATGCTGCCGAGACATAGTGGAGAGACGAAGAGGGCTGCTGATGGTGACAGTTGGCGGTAGCGAGCAAGTCGTGGGACAGCAGTATTGGAAGTCATTGCAAGTTGTCTAGACATGTATTCTGGGGCCGTATAAAGCAAGGCAAGGAAAACAACTCAGACCAAGCCTTGTTTGTTGAAGTCGGCGTTCAGCGACACAGAACTTGTCCATCCTTTTATAATGCATTTCTCTTGCGGAGTTAAAGAGTAAAGCCATGCTTACGATCATTCAATGGCTGGGGCACCGAGATGTGTACACTCATCAAAGGGGTATTCTCCCGAGTGCTGTGAAGTCCGGCCCTCAGGCACCAGAAAATAGTGGGTTGATAGTGGAGCTCTTCGGCCGAGGTGGCTTGCATTCCACGGCCGATATTACGGCCCATCATGGCGGTCAATCTCAATCTCAGACAATTTTGTCCTCTTCTTCTCCTTTCTCATACTTTGCGGACAACAAATGAACGTCGTAAATGACTAGACTTGGTCGATTCCATTACACCGACCCCTCCGGCTTGGGAAATGCAGAAGCGATTCAGTACATGAGGATCCCCCGAGAAGCCGCCATTCGTCGAGGTCGGCTCCATGGACTGCTCTCCAAACCATCAAACACCCATGGTGGACATGACGAACCGGCGAAGACCCATCACTTCTTGCTTGGAATGCTATCGTAGGAAACTAAAATGCAACCGAGTCAGGCCATGCAACCAGTGTTGCGCTCGGAAAGGCCCGGAGAAGTGTTACTTCAGCAGCGACAAGGCACCCTCGGACGCTCGTTCGACGACGCCTCAGGCGCAACTCGAACCGTCGAATGTTGATCCGAACATCGATGGAGGCAAGCCGACGTCTAGCCTTGTTGATCGAGCTGGCTATGCCGCAACACCGGGAAGCAGTACTTTTCTTCGACTAAAGTGTGAAGGCGTCTACCAATATTGCCCCGGTCCATCAATTGCCCCGTCAATACCACAGCAAGGCGTCCAACATGAATATTTGCGCTTGGTGGCAAGGTTGCCGGCCCCGGACATCGTCGACGCGCTTCTCGACTTCTTCATTCGGGATCTGTACTGGGTTTTCATCCCCGTTGACGAGGATCATCTGAAGAACATGTATCGCGACTGGCTCAACGTGCCACCTGAAGGCCACGTAAGAAGCAGCAGCCTGGATACTTCGCAAAGAGAACTCCTTTACTTCCCTGCACTGCTGTTCCAGGTCTTAGCACAAATTGTGCAGCACTTGTCACCGCAGCACCCTTCCGCAAAAGCCTTGGGGCTCAAGGACTATTCTGACTGCCGTCGTCTGTCGCAAACATTTTACCTTGTCGGCAGTAAACTGATATCTATTCTCGGTCGGAAATACCCGACGTTATGCTCGGTGGAGCACGACCTTGTTGACTGTTCCTGGCTGAAAGACTCGGGCCGAGGAACAGAAGCATGGCATCGACTCGGGGATGCGATAAGGTAAGGCCTGTTGCGTGTGACCGGTTATGCGTCCTTGGAAACAACTGACCCTGACTCATGGATGGCTACAGACAAGCTCAAGAACTAGGGCTGCATCGCCTCCCTCAGAATATTGAACAGACACGGACGTGGGAAGAGCCCGATCTGGTCTTTTGCGATCTTGAACACAGGAAAAGGGTTTGGGCTCGACTCTTCACTTGGGACAGGCAAGTATACCCCTCGCTGCGCATTGATCTTGCTAACACCTTTTCAGCATTGGCGCCTTGCTGTTAGGAAGGCCTCGACTGCTGCATCGGGAGGATATCTCGACTCCGGCGCCTCTGGATTGGGACTACTCCGGAGATGCAGCAACAGCATGGGTGCTGCCATTCTCAGGCGACAACCCCGCAGACGCAGGTGGCATGCTTTTCCTTACTCTGGCGCACAGGATTCACAACTTGCTGGCCTTCTCAGCAAACGGACGTTTCGCCCAAGATTATTCCAAGGTACTTGAACTTCATGAAGACATATCTTCATTACGAGAGAAGGCCTCTTCGTTGTTGCAGGGTGACCAGTCGACCGCCACACCTAGTATAAAGACATTGCGACTCAGCATACTGCGGCTGACTCTGGTCAACACAGTCAATGCCGTCCTGATGGCTCTGCATCGCCCATTCATCGGGAGCCATCCCCCAAGCCGATCAGCAGCGATAAACGCTGCTCTTGATGGGATGGATCTGCAGCATTTGATTTTTGATCTCGTTCCTCATCCGCAGAACAGACTATACGCCACCACTCTCTCCACCATTGAAGCCTCCGTGTTCCTCTGCGGGATCATGATGGACCTACCTCCGCGAGATTCCGTCGAGGATCGTCGAATCAGACAAGCTATTCTCCTGGCAATTGGGCGGCTCGCCGCAACGAAGGACTGGAGTCCTTTAGCCGAGGCCGGCGAACAAGTCTTACGGCGGTTTTACCATAAAGTCCAAGCCGCTCGGCGGCCCGCTGTTGAGCAGGCAGGTTGGCTCCAACCCGATGCTCTGCATGGGCCTATGTTTCAGGGTAGTGACCAACTTTGCGATATTGCCATACCATCGCCGCAGCAGCCTCCCCACGAAATTTATCAATCACTTTTCGGTCATGGGCAAGCCTCACTCGGACCTCTTGGCCTCCTTGATCGTTCAGCTTCGACACTTGAGGGCTTTGGCCCTGGTGATCTCGGACGGTTCCCCAATCAGGACGAGTTTCTGTGGCCGGACTTCGACGAGATTCTTTGAGTCTTATTGGAAAGGAGAGTTGATGCCGCGGTTCGTCCTGTGGAGACTCTATCCGCAGCATAGCACTGAAAAAGATGTCTTGACACCTTGTCGTTTTCAAGCGTACCTCCGCGAGAGGTGCTCCTCGAACCGACAAAGCTCCCATTAGGGTAGCTTCGCAATGAGAAATTGTCAAATTTAGCCTGACCCGTATGACTTTCTAACAGTGTCGTTATGGCATGTACAGTATATCAGTTCTGATCTTTCTCGGTATCCCTTCGGGTCTACTCCGTAAAAAGCGTCAAGAGTCCCCAATGCAACGCGTTGTTCAGCGAGCACAGGGCGGCATCATTCTCGTCCCAAATACAGGTGCGAGCTGCAAGCCGCTTTTACTTCTTCTTGGCAAATCGAGAGCCGCAGACTGCGCTCCGACCTCAATGCTTCCCAAATCGCCCATTGCCGGCCAACCACTGCGCAACAATGTCGTTCCTGCGGTCACAGAGCTCTCTGCGGCTCTCGAGAGCATGTGTACAGATCCCCAGGCCAACAAGATGGATATCATCAACACCACAACGCCGATTACGCGACCCCGACCCTAAAGCTATCCCGGACGTCAAGTCGATGCAGATGACCGAAGACCAAGCCTCTATGGTCGAAGTCGACCACCAGCCCGAAAGCGCCGTTGAAAAGTACCACCCAGACCACCAGCCCGACTACAACGCGACCGTCGACCATGGCACGTCGACGTACTCGCCTGTCCCGAAGCGAGTGATGAACGGCAGCGAGCCGACGGAGACCACGCCCGCGGCTGTCTTGTCGGGAGCACCTATAGACTTGCAGGCTAGAACAGTCAGGTGAGCTTCATACAGCACAAACTCCCCCAAGTGAAATCATTCTAACCTGGGTGTCCTCCGTCTAGAATCTACAAACCCGTCCGGCCGGCAACACAATCTGGAACATGGGGCAGCCACGCGTGGCGTATGGACTGGGACGTCCTGCCCAAGGGACATAGATGGGAGAATCCGCTGATGGGGTGGCAATCGTCGGGGGACTTTATGCAAGGCACAAAGGTCAACTTCAAGTCGAAAGAGGATGCGATCGCCTTCGCCGAGAAGCAAGGGTATGAGTGGTATGTCCAGGAGCCGAATGAGAGACGATTTGTGCCCAAGGCGTACGCGAACAATTTCTTACACGAGCCGGGCCCGTTGAAGCATATCAAGACGAAGTAGAAATGGATACAATCCCAGCAACGATATGGAAGATCGCGAGGAAGCTGTTTCTGTAAGCTGATGGGGCACCAACAAGACCTATCCGCCACGGAGCTTCGCTTTTAAGGATATCGGTGCCACGGACGCAGACGGAATTGTACATATGAATTATCATGAACTGGAAAAGGGATTGATATTCAGAGAAGCGAAAAGACTTGCCCGAGAGTAGTACCTGTTGGCCCATTATATCGCGCCCCTGCTCTGTTCATTCGCCGGCTGTACGTTGCCCGGTTTGCGAATCGGGCTTTTGGCAGCCAATGCTTCAGCATATTTCGTTGAGATATCACAAACAAAGCAACGACAAAGAGCAAACGCACGTCGGGCTGGTAGAATTCTTGGTCATTCACTCGTCAGACTCAATGCTAATAGTACAGGGTTATCATAACAATCAATCTCATGGTCACTCCGGTCATGACAGGTCCACCATTTCTAGTATCCAGGCCACAACCACCAGCACTCAGCTCATGTGTACTTCAAGCGTAGCAGGTGTCATGCTCGGTCGACGGTATGGTGAGGTAGGGGTAATTGTACGATGACACAGCTAGTAATTGTGCTTGGCTGCATGCTTGTTCGCATCGGCAGTACGGTTGTGGGAAGATTCATGGATCTTGTCCTTGACGGCGTCGCCTGCAGCTCGAATGCGCGTGGAGGTTCGAACATTGGGGTCCTTAGCGACTCTGTGGTATGTTAGTCGGTCTTCCTCTCGTGATCAGATAATGGATGGGATAACGAACTGTTTGTTTGTCTCCTTGCTGGCAGCGTGAGCACCACCTTGGGTCTTGTGGGAGATCCAGTTTCCGGTATTCCTGATGGTATTCATGGTTACTGTTGTTGTTGTTCGATTGGAGGTGGAAGTCGGTGTTCAATAGTCTGAAGTAAGACGGTATAGCTTAGGTTATGTATTTGTGTTTGTTGGAAGGCAGAAGTCAGAAAGGGAACGATGATCAAGTAGATATTTATATATTAGTTCCTGACTGGCAGCACGCCTTCTTCCCTTACCTAGCTTAGGTGGCAGTCCTCGTAGGAGTTCAACAGGAGGAGCGAACGATGTCATCCCGCATGGTGCTGACTGGGCAGCCGCAACCTGTCGCCAGATTAATGTCCTATATGGGCAGTGGTAACCAATCAGACAGCACCACCGAGCGTTAGGAAACCTGTTTCAGGATTTCGAATGGGATCGACCGTCTGACCGATGACGGATGGGCCCGAAAGATGGATGGCTTGAAGCGGCTTTGGGAGGGTCACGGAGGGTGTAAGTGGGTATACGATAGGACAATTGCGGCGTCGAGATCGGGCAGTCGAAATCGATGATGGGTTTCCGTCGACGTCATTGTGGCGGCAAGTGGTGTCGCCCTCGCAGCCTTGTGCAGCCTTACGCAGACGTGGAGTATGAGAAACGACTAGCTTCGAGGAGATGGGAGCACGAGGCTCTATCAATAATTCCATTAGTACTACTATCGAGGGCAAGCATACAAGACCCATCCGGCTATCTGACCGGCATAAAGAACCCGGACTACTCGGTCATCCTGTCCTTCGAGTCACCATGCGTCCACAGCGGCTCAGTCACAGCTTAGACATGGGTTCTGACAGCTCAAGTATTCCTTTTACATCTGATGCTGACGACACCACCCGTTTGCATACCAGCATTGGCCAGAATTCGCGCATTCTGGTAGTTCTTGAGGCCGGGCCAATGGAATCCCGTGGCCGTGTTCCATCCCTTGTCGTTGCAGTCGCGCTGCTCATAGATCGTACATGTAAGGCCTTTATCCGGTCCCATGGATCCAAAGCTATCGTAGATCCTATCGAGCACACGTCAGCATAGATCCACAAAAACATCGCGATAGAAAGATACTTACCGGTTATAGCACTGTCCATCCGTGAGAGGGGTCCACTTGCATGGCAGGATCCAGTTCTGATTCTTGCACTCGTACACACCCAGCTGGGTCCCACGAGCATAGATGTGAGGAAATCTCGGGTCGGCAAAGTCATCGCCATGTTCATGGTGCTCGTGATCATCGTCGTGGAAGGCACGAGGATGGTTACCATGGTGGAAGGCCTGTCCTTTGTGATATCCCTCATGGTCGGATCCTTCAGCGTGGTGGTCACCTTGTTCTTCGGGATCGTAGTGGTGGAAGTCGCGTGGGTGGTTGTCAGGTCCACCGAAATTTCCCCCCTTTCGGTGCTCGTCGTGATCAATGTCTTTCTCGCGGAAACCCTCTTTGCCTCTATGCTTAGACATGCCATCCTCGTCTCGGGCATGGTTGCCTTGACCTTGGCCTCCGTGGCCCTGGCCTCTGTGACCTTGACCTTCGTGTCCCTGATCAGCGCCTTGGCCCTGAGTTTCGTGGTCATGGTGATCAGCAGCGCCGCTACCTCCTTGTTCACCACCTGCTTTCATGACATTAGAAGGGCCAACTTCATTGGAAACCCCTCCAGGACGGTGCAATAGTTGCCCCTGACCCGGGAAAGCCGTGGTGAGGGTGGCCAGAGAGGCCCAGAGGAGGATCGATGTTTTGATAGCTACCATTGTTATTAGATGTCAGTATTTAGTCTTGTAGATTTCGTACTTGTAAATGCATGCAAGAAAGCGTCGCAGCCTCGTGCTGAAGATATAGGTACACGCTAAAAACATCGACCGTCCCATTTGAGAAAGAATACCTTTGTGCTCAAAAGGACAGAAGGCCTAGCTCGATTCTGAACAAACATTTGCTGAGCAGTTCAAGCCGGTTTCGAACAGACGAGATACCAGTATGCGAGGGCAGGCTGCTCAACTAAGGTAGATGCGATTGTTTGGGACAAAGCTCGGTCTTAGTATTGTTGTTGCCCAGACAAGGCTTTACTCCTTAGTATTGTTCTCCGAACATGCCAAGACGAGATAAATCGACTCCGCTCACCCGCTTTTGGGACAAGCCCCCCTGTGCTCACCTGAGACTCGCAGTGAGTGCGCACTGCACTGGTCGTGGGGTCGGAATCCTTATGGTCAAAATGTAGGGTGCTTGCGAAAGTGCCGTCGCTGGGCTAATTGTTTAGTTCTAGCTACCTAGGTGCTAGCATCTCGACACCGCTTTCCCCAAGTAGGATAGACATCGTTGTCTCGTGACTAAGTACCACAGTACGTGTAGTTATAGGTTGTCCCAGCTCCGCGGGCCACGGAGATCATGGATGTTCCGAAACGTAAGAGCGGCAAGCAGCTGCCACCACAGTCGTTCAGACTTCGCGGCCGCCGCCACCGCCTTTCCCCGCACCCCCAGCAGCAGTGTGGCTATGCGAGGTGTAAATGTGAAATATATCTTCTGTGAGCGACGAGTTTCGCTGATTCGTCCATACTGATCAAATGACACTTTAAACACGGTTGACGTAATATGGCTTGCCGCCAGTCCGAAATAGAGTCACTTGGCGAAAGCCCACACACGGGGTTGTAGAGAGAATCCCACTAGGGTCCAAGCCGGTCTTCAAATGGCGAGAAAAGAGAATGCAAAGAGCATTATCGCGTCCAGAACCGTCGTCTGGTTGGGTCTCCGTCTCCACTGTACGGACAGCAGTTCCTGAATGCTTTTTTCTTCCCGCTGAGTCCCACGGCCACATCGTTTCTATTCCCATGATCGGCACAGTTCGCCTCCAAAATTATGCATATGTGGTTGCTAGCTGACAAGAACAGGATTTGGTTTTCTGCGCTTTCTGGATCGCGGGGGACCCGGAACCGTCGCAGGATTATAACACGATGACCCCTCGCTATGACGGGGCCGTTTTGTCTCGTACTGTCATGTAGTTGTCCTAGGCTGGCTCATGCTACAACGAGATGGCGTCAGTCACAATTTGCAACATGCGTCTGTGACTATCTTGCGGTATAGAACCAATGTTTTGGCAATTTCGTCGTCGGACCTTATTGAGCTTCCATAAACCTAACTCTGGATGTCGTGGTAGATTTGCAAATGGACCAAAATCCAGCCCCTGAACTGTTATCCTCGACAAGGAAAAGACCACGTGTTCGACGCGCGTGCGACGAATGTCGAGCAAGAAAGACGAAATGCACTGGAGAAAAGCCATGCGCCTTGTGTTCGAACAATGAGCGAGGTATGAATTGGCTATTGAAGAAGTCATCGAGTGGTCCGCAGCTAACATATTTGTAGGATGCTCTTATGAACAGTTTCGATGCCCGCGACTCTCGACGGCAGAATATGTCAGAGAGCTGGAGACCGAAGTCCACCGCCTCACAGAGCTGCTCGGCCCATCCTCACCAGACAGGGGACATGCGTTCGACCATACCGACCATACAGGGCGGCATCGCTTTTCACTTTCCACCAATTTCCCAGACAGAGAGGCTGGGAACCACGAGGGAGCCGTGGCAGTTGTCTATGTCGAAACTATGATGGACGGTGTAGGCCAGTTGCAACAAAAGCAGGATGGTTCATACGTTTATCATGGCCACTATGCCGGTTTGACTCTTCTGGAACGCGTGTACGAATTCTGCCGCCAGCAGATGCCTAATGCAACCGAAGACGCCACCTTCAGTATCACAGAAATGTTCGATGGCGCACTACCGGCGTGCAAGGAATTTCGCATTGTGGCTCGAGAGACACCGGGCTCTTTGCCAGAAAGAGCGACCGCTGAAGACCTCATCTCCGTCGCCTTAAACAATGCCTGTTCTCTCCTGCCATTTGTGCATAGTCCCACGCTTGGCGGACAGCTGGATTACATATACAGCGTTGGGAATGACTACAACTGTAAGACGGACTCAACGATACATGCATTATTTTACGCAGCCCTGGCGGTGGGAGCGCTATTTTCGTCAGCGGACGGCGGGGTTTGCGATCACAACTCATCTTTGCAGTGAGTCTACCCAAACGCTCCCCGTGGCAGCTGTGTTGTCTGATCATCTAGCAGTTTCCGCTACTTTCAGACTGCTATTGGCATGATTGATCCCGCTTATTGCAGGGATCTTGTCACACTACAGGCAATCATCTTTGTCATCATGTACCTCCAGGGCACTGGAAGATTGTCCCACTGCTATTGCTATTTAGCATTGGCTTCGGGGTCTGCCTTTCAGATGGGCATACATCGAAACTGTACTCCGCCGCTTATGGATCCCGTACAGGCCGAGATCAGGAAGCGCATCTACTGGAGCTTGTATACCATGGATATTTACCTCTCCACGGTTCTGGGTCTACCCCGCACGATCGCCGACTACCCCTCTGATCAAGGAGGGCTGTCTGAAATAGTGGGCTGGGGTGCAACCTCTGGACGTTGTCATTTGGAAGCGCCAACAGCTTCTTCCGTATTGACCCTGGCTAATCACCACATCAAAATCCTCAACATCATGGCTAAGGTAGTGGATTTCCTCTGCTCAACAAACATGCAACTGTCGGGGTGCAATCGATACTGTCAAGTGGAGGCCGCCAGACTGTCCCAGATCGAGAGCGATTTAGAAGAATGGTATACGACGCTCCCCCCTGTATCGAACATGAGTGACCCAATCAACTTTGACCACATAAGGTGAGTGAAAGGCAATGAAGAAATATATCGGGCTCGGGCTCTGACACAACATCATAGCGCACATCTACGGCTCAGGCTCGCGTATGCGCACGTACAGATGGTCCTGTACAGGCCTTTCCTGCACCACATCATAGGCACGAAAGCACGCTCGGAGGCAGAAATGCATTCGTACACTTGCGCATCAGCTTGCATCAAAGCAGCCATGCAGGTCATATGGATAGTACGACAGCTGCACCAGCGAGGCCATTGCGTCGCGCCATGTTGGCCGGCCTTGTTCATGACCCTTTTCTCGGCGCTGACTCTCGTGTTGTTTGCTCTGGGTAATCAGGGCGGTGCGACGGTAGAGGAAGCCTGGCATGCCGTCAAATCTGCGCTCTGGCTCTTTACCCAGCTGGCTAGCAACAACGCACTTGCGCAAAAATGCGCAGGCATATTGGAGGTATGCTCGAGACCCGGAAGCAGCCATACACACTGTGAACATTGCCGCTGATATATTTCAGGAGTTTAGCGACGGCCAGTCGCCATGTTCCGTGGACTCAGCATACGGGGAATGTCAAATTTCCCAGCCTGGTTGTAATTCTACGGCAGGGTCAGCTGTCGGGCCATCGGAATGGGGAAATTCTCGCAGTGGCGACAGTTGGCCAGTATTGTTAAGCTATACAAACCCATGTCTCCAGGACTGATGCTCCTTGCTTCAATCCATCCCGCAAACCGATTTCATCCGTTCCCGGCAGGAAGCCTGGTCGCCATGACAGCATTTACCGACGGTGATAAGGTTGTTGGCGACAAAAGCCTACATCCTCATGGAAGCCTTAAGAAATTGAGTCGTGACACATTTTCCATCCGCAGAAGATATTCTAACAATGTAGCTTTTCGTTTTCTCGCATGTAAACGGGGACGCACGCAGTATCGATCTGTCATGCCTATCACCAAGTACCGGGTCGCCCATTCCAACGGGCGAGCCGATGACTTATCAGAGGCGGCAGATGCTATTCCTTGATACCCCTAGTACGATATACAAAGCGATCATATTCATTGGTGACAAATCTTTGGGTGTGAGTGGTCGCCTCCAGCGTAACCCGTACTTTCGGAATTTCGTTGGACAAACTTCTCGAAGCGCGAAGCTCGAGTTGAGCTGAATGGTTGAAGAACCTCAAGGCAGTCAGTGCAAGGTGCTCTCTGACTCGTTTGTGCACTTGCCCAATTCTTGGCGGAGAAAGGGGCTCATGAATCCCACCACCTAAACAGAAATCATTCCTAAAGGTCGTTGGCCATGCTCAGGAAGGCGCTGATTGTGTGGAGGCGGTTGACTGCAAGCCTGGGATTGGGTGGAGTCCAGAAAGACGGAACTGGAATACCGCCAAGGCCAGGAACCTCTCCGGCCCGTCAGTGGCCCCAGTGGATTTCCAATCACGTCATAGCCTGGCCGTGGAACAGCCAATATACACTGGGGTGACGGCCTTCCACCTGGAATCAGCTCAGTGATGGCCATGGAGCGGCCTGGATCGTAGATCGATGTCACCTGCGCTTTGCAACGTCTCGTACATGACTTTCTTTTCGCCCATTGACGGGACTGAAGGAAGGCAATTGCATCATAACAGAGGTGCGGAGCTGTTATGGCATGCGCCTACAGACGTTCATGTCTCCGCGGCATAAGCATTTCGTGTTTGGTGGGTAGAAAAAGTTGTTCCAGTCGGGAGGATAATCCTCTGGAGAGAAGGTCAGCGGGACTCGGGCACCTTGTAACCTCAATGGCTGACTGTCGTGGTCTATATCGTCCAATAGATTACAACAAGATCGCAAATCCAAGCTGTGAAACTTGTCTGCTGATTGCTGGCGGGGTCGAATACCAGGTTGAAAGCACAATGCGTCGAGGGACATCCCAGAGCCTCAAGCATCCGAAGCACGCACCGGCCAACCTTCAACTACTGGCTCAGAAGCAGCAAGACGAACCATAGGCCGCAATGATTTCAATCATTTTTCGTTGTCATTCTCTCGACGTCGGCCCCTATACATGCTGTAGTATTCTGGTGCGAGAACTTCGGCCCCAAGTCCGCTGACTCACAGCAGAGACGATACGTCAGCAATAGGTAGGTACAAAAACCTCCATCCTAGTACAACTAAAGTTCCAAAATGACCTCCGTGGATTGTGGAAGCAGTGAGGTGGGTGAGCCAACTGGCTCGATGCTGAGAGAACTTTCGAGTGCAATTCTTGAGGGATCCCTGTTTGTCCCGCCTAACCTTCTTCCAGCTCTACTTAGTACCAAGAAATTGTGCCGACGATCCGCACAGCCCACACCTCCCAGGTTCCACTAATTTTACAGGTGGCTCTACTTGTCTCCTCGTTGCCCTCTCCTTCTTCATCATTCCGATCTTTGGTTCGTAGTCCAAAATGCCTATACCAGCTCCTCGCCGCACGAAGGTGCATGACCACCCCGGCTCGTCTGCTCAAGAGGTAGCAGATGAGCCTGACTGGGGTGCTGGCCATCAACACCGTATCGGCTTCAGGAATCGACAAGAACGAGTTGCTGGCTTCACTCATGATTCGGATCTTCCAGACCCGGATGAACAGGAAGAAGACGAGAAATTCACCGAAGATGCTATGAGACAGTATCAAGACCTGAGGCAGAGGGCGAAGAAGGGTGATCTGGTTAATTTCCAAGAACTAATGAAGAATCAGACCGATTTTCATAGACATCGGCCGAATGTGTATCCGCCAGGTTTTAGATTTGTGGTCAGAGGTACAGAAGATTGGGTAAAAAAGGAGCAGGATTGGCCAGCGAATATCAAGGCGAGGAAGAAGCAGGAGCAGCAGGAGAAAGAGCAGGATGAGAAGGAGAAGAAGGAAATTGGTGGTCAGGTGACTGACAAGGAGGAGGAGAAGCAACATGCTAAGGAAGAGCATGAAGAGAACAATTATGAGGATGAATGGAGGAAGCAGAATAACAAAGGCGGGAAGAAGCACCATGGAGCTTACGGGAAGAGCAAGGAGAAGCAGAAAGGGGATGAAGAGGGCGCTCAGCAAAGTAGAGATCAGCAGAGTGGAGATCAACAAAACGGCGAGAATCAGCAAAAGACAGAATATCAGAAGCTACGACAAAGATATAGCCCAGAAGAGATCACCTTATTGAGACATCTGCAGCATGAGTCGGAGCATTTGCAGAAAATGCAGCTTAACGATGGGAAGCGAGTGTCGCCAGTTAAGTCCAAGGTCGCCCACCGCGACATCTCCATAGAGATCCAAGACGCTATGACTCCGGACAATTGGGTACCACGCAGCGGTGATCTGGTCCGACGGACTGGCCAGCATCCGTTTAACGCCGAGCCTCGTCTAGAAGTGTTGTTTCAGGCGGGCCTGATCACGCCGAATGCTCTACACTATGTTCGAAACCATGGCAGCGTCCCTCGGCTGTACTGGGACACGCATATGCTTGACGTTTGCGACGGAGAGCTCAAGCTCAGCATGGACGATTTGCAGAATCTGTTCCAGCCTGTCAACATACCTGTTGCGATGGGTTGCGATGGCAATCGACGTGGTGAACTCAACCTCCTAAAGAAGAGCAAAGGCTTCAACTGGGGTCCTTGCGCTATTTCTTGTGCCTATTGGAAAGGTGCTCTGCTCTGGCAGGTTCTCGAGAAAGCTGGCGTCAAGTGCGATGCGTGGAACGGAAGGCGCCAATGGGTCAACTTTCAAGGTGCAGACGAGCTCTCAGAAGGGAAATATGAGACTTCGATACCTCTCGATTACGCTCTCGATCGTGCGAACGACGTACTTCTTGCATACGAGATGAACGACACGAAACTCCCGGCCGATCATGGCTTTCCGGTACGGCTACTCATTCCCGGCTTCGTCGGCGGCCGCAGTGTCAAGTGGCTGGCCCGCATCTGGATCAGCGACGAAGAGAATCAATCTTACTACCACATTTGGGACAATCGAGTTCTTCCTGCCTTCATCACAGAAAAGGATGGCGCTTTCGCTACAACAATGTTCCACCATCCCTCAACAAAGTGTATGGAGCAGAACCTCAATTCTGTAATCGTCCATCCCGGGCAGGGCGAGAAATTAAACATACTCGACTTCTTGAAGAAAGACACCTACCGTATCGAAGGGTATGCGTATGACGGTGGTGGACATGAAGTGCAGCGTGTTGAGATCTCCCTAGATCACGGCAAGAGCTGGCTCTACAGCATCCGCACCTTCCCAGACAGCCCAATTCGGAACGGCAATAAGTTTTGGACCTGGCTACACTGGCACGTCGATGTCGAACCTGCCTACCTCATACGTGCCGAGTCAGTCGTTGTGCGATGTTTTAATGTATTTAAGAACACACAGCCTGAAGAGCCTGTGTGGAATGTAATGGGCATGATGAATAACGGGTGGTACACGGTCAAGCCAGAAACAACGAAAGACGGCGAGCTGATGTTTAGACATCCTTTCCATCAAGAGGACAACGAGGGGTGGATGAAGCCCAGCGTGGAGAACCAGCTGGCAGCTGCACAACAGGGTAGCAACACGCCCGATAAGCAGTTCACGAGGCAGGAGATCGAGAAGCATTCGAGCAAGGATGATTGTTGGTTGGTTATCAATAACAATGTCTACGATGCTACCTCTGTGCTATCGTGGCATCCAGGAGGAAGCGCTCCACTTCTTGCCAACGCAGGCAAGCTGAGTCTTGATGTCACGTCCTCTTTCGAATCAATACACGACGATTACGCGCACAAGAAGCTGCAAGAACATGTTATTGGCAAGGTCACAGATAAAGCCGTGAAATTCATGCAGGAGCAAGCCAAAGAAGAGGCAGAGAGAGCCTCTAAAGAAGGCGAGAGCAAGACGTTCTTGCAGGCGAAGAAGTGGGTACCTGTGAAACTCGTTAACAAGGAGCAGATATCCCAAGATACCTTCACGTACACTTTCAGCTACGCCGAGGAAGATAGCAGAGAATTTGCGGCTGAGTATGACCAGAAAGAGGATCACATGAGTGGCAGTGCGGACACAGATGATGAAAAGAAGGATGACACGCAGAATGGTGGGAAGGCGAACAAGAATAAGAACAGGAATGCGAAACAAGGCAAGCATTACAAACCACTCGGCTTGCACACTTGCCAGCACATACAGTTCGGCATTCATATGCTTGACAAGTTGCTCATACGCAGTTACACGCCGACGAGACCGATTGCGGAAAATGAAGAAGATGGCACGTTCGATCTCACTGTCAAGACTTACTTTCCGGACGAGAACCAGCCTGGTGGTGCGTTCAGTAACTTCTTGTACGAGTTAGAAATTGGTGAGCAGGTGGAGGTCTGTGGACCCACCGGTGAAATTACGTACGTAGGTATGGGCAAGTTCAATATCGAGGGACGGGAGAAGACATTCAACAAAATCAGTCTCGTCCTCGGCGGTTCCGGCGTCACGCCAGGTTATTCTTTGATCAAACGTGTCTCCGAAGAACTCGCCTCGGACGATAATAAGGAGGCGCCGGCAGTGAGAATTATCGATGCGAACAAGACGGAGGACGACATCTTGCTGCATGACGATTTGAATAAGATGAATGAGACGAGCAAAGGAAAGATTCAAACTACGTTTGTGCTAAGTCATCCGGGAGACAAGGATAAATGGGAGAAGAATGGTGGTCTCAGAGGGCACGTGAACGAAGATATGATCAAGCACAAGCTCTTTGAGCCTGGCGACAGGAGCGTTGTGTTCTTGTGTGGTCCGCCGGCCATGATTCAAAAGGCAGCGCTGCCGGCATTGAAAGGTGAGTTGTTGCGTACTTGTGGTCCGAAGAGTGAAGCTCTAATTATTGTTCAGATTGGGGATATGAAGAGGATGAGAACTGCTTTGGATTCTGATGCCAGTCTCATGCGTTGGCCCTGGACAATCGGCATGGCAGTGTACGGTGTCAGGCGGGGCATACGGAAGTACATCACTGGACATGGGTAAATACATCACGGCTTCCAATACACTATGATATTGACTCTCACAAAGTCACACAAACTTACGTTCAGATGCCTCTGGTTTTCAAGATAGTATATGGCCAATCGACCATGCACTCCGTCTCAGTGTGTTGAAACAGGCTCTGTTTGCAAGAGCAAGCTGAGAAGTCCATACTCGTGCCAAGGGTCACGGCCATCGTCGACGATCTCGAAACTCAGTCTTCAGACAGCGGCGTGCAGGAATCCAATTGAAAGACAAGGTCAATGAGTCCTTGAAGAAGCATGAGTAGATCAAGTGGTCTGTGCAGCGGCGCAGAGGCGGGCTGGAGGAAAGGAGTCACGTCAGGCTCACGTTCGCGACTGAAGAGACGGCCAAGATGGCGCGACAACATGTTCGATCGTTCCAGGAGGCGTACTTGTTACTCCGCTTATTTTCCGTGGTATATACTGCCAAGGTTCATGCGGGAAGGAAGATGTGAGGTGAGGCATGAACGAGGTACTCGCACGAGATCAAGGCTCGACCCTCGAAGATGGCACAGAAGCATAACACGGCGGAATGCGAATAAGCGAATAGATAAATCCACCTTGTTTCCCAGTAATTGTGTACAGCACTACATTGCAAAGTCGGACGGATCTCAATTCCATCGATACAATAACTTGAGCAGCGTCACCTACATTTGAGTCCACTACTCTAAATCATCTACTTGCCGATTGCTTCGCTGACCGTTTTCTACGCTTCGTTTACAACGGTTTCGCCCCAATGCCCCCAACCTCCGGCTGTATAACAAACCGCGTCCGTGAGTGGACACAGCAACTGAGAATACGTCCAATTTGGGGTTTGTGGTGTCGGTTCCCATTATCGTGAAACCGACATGGGCCCCGTTCACGAAGAGAATTCCTTCCTTGCCCTCGCATCTGCGCCTCAATCAAGCCCAAACCAGGATCAGATATCTTAGGCGCCGCAAGTCGCCATTCAATCATGCCTCTGTGTCCATGACTTGGGTCTATCTCGCCAGGGCCGTGGGAATCTGGTTTCCATGATTTGGTCACTTGATTCAGGGCCGGCATTTAACCGAAGCTCGACTTTGGAGCGCTCGGCCCGAATTAGGATAATGAGAGATATACACAGACAAGCTCATATGGTTCTTGCCTGGTTGAGAACAAGGGATATTTTGTTTGCTTCTTGTAGTACTACGGAAACAAAGAGTTTGCTTGCCAAGAAAGGACTCCAGATCAAGGTTGAGGCATCGCGGGCATTTGAAAGTTGACGGAAGAACCATAAAAAGAAGTGCGCAGACAGGTATCCTCTGATTCAGAAGTGTGTATGGTTTTGTGGAGACAGGCTCCAACGTCTGGGCTTTATATACGCTCCGGATAGGAAGACCTGCTAAGGCATTGGCACTCCTGCTTGCACCAAAACCTGAAGGAAACCGTTGGTGGACACTGAGTTGCATCGAGGAGTTGTTGAATCAACATGTTGTGATTAGCGGAGAGGAACGACGGCAACCTATACAAAGTACGCAGGGGATTCCAGTCCTGCAAGCATCCGAGGAGCATAGTCAGTATTGGTGCCGTAAGATATCTGCACCGGCAGAACCAGGTGGAACCTGGAGCGGCTTGATTCCCTTATCCACACACGAAGGTCGAGACTGTAACGTAGAGAAAGCAGGGAAGATTCGAAACTGGGAACTATGACATTGTTGTGGCCGAACTCGAGAGTCACAGAGGCTTTTGCTTCCCATTGTGTTGTGACCTTGGAGGCATCATTCTCGCCTGTAGCACTATTAGTGGAAGGAAGGATAGGTTCCTGGATTTGCCCACAGCGTAAAGTATAGGTGACTTCTCTCCAATTCGAGAAACATACCGTAGCCTTCGTTCTAGCACAGATCTGGAGATTTCGACTTAACGTGGCCGCCGAAGTGGATAGGTCAAGCAGCGTTGGGACACTCTTTCGCGGAACACTTGATATAAATGTTGAGGATATTAGGGCACAAATGCATCGACAGTTGACCGCGTCCCGTGGTTTCGCTTCGCCGCGACCTTTCCGTGCATAAGTCGTTTGTGTCAAATGTAAGGTGGTGGAGAATGAGACAGGGTCCGTTATATGACTCAAAACGAGAGGTGCCGGTTCACTGGCTTTGAGCAGCAGGTCTGTGGTATAGTATTTGGCCAGTAACGGTAAAATCCGACGTCGAGACTTCGCCAGAGCATATTCACCCGGAAAGTCTGCGATACAAGTGGGCGGCCGGGGCTCCAGCGTGGGAATTATCTTGGCAGGATGCGAGCAGCTTGCTACCACCTGGTCCCGAGCGCGCATCTGCACGTGGAGCGTGTATGCAACTTTGCAATTTCCCTCACAACGTTCCCGCAGCAGAGCTGGCCTTCTGCCACGCGTGGCGCGTGGGAAAGAAGCCGGAAGATCTCGCAGGTATCCGTCATTTTGGCCCAAAAGCTCGTAGTGCAATTTTCTGGGTATATCGAAATGGAAAAAGCACTTTTGAAGGCGTTTACTTTGGCCCTGGTTCGCCACGAATTCTGTAGCTCTCTTGACGTCGTTCAGTTGCAGCAGCTGGTATGAATAGGTCAGTATGGAAGGTAGATGGATTGTGTATGTCAACCCTACTTTCTGCGCTCTTTGGCAAAGAGTCTCTGCATACCAGCCTGAATACCGTATAGTGTTAACCAAGATTCCTGACCTTTGTGAGCGTCTTGAATGGGTCACGTCCACGGGGGCTGGAGGCATAAACCTTCTAAAGAAAGTATGACATTGTCGAAGTCGAACTCGACCTGATCGCTCAGAGTGATACAGCCATCAATTCCTGCGTCTCCCAAAAAGTAGACTTCGCTGCTAGCAGCGTGCCTAAGTCCGTTGACGAATGCTATCTCAATGTGCACGACCATGGTGGGCGATGGAAGTTCGGTTGCGATACAGGAGTGAAAGTTGGTGTGATTTCGTCCAGGCTTTGACTTGTATAGAACGACCTCTACACTCTCTTATTTTGAGCGTCTAATGCCATTCCTGCAAACACGCCTCTCCAACTTTGGCGAACAAAACGACATCTTCCATTGCTGTGACCGGAGCGCGAATTGCCGCTAGCGTAGGCGCCCACCACCCGGATCAGCCTAACTCCTCGGTTCCGCGGCACGTAACCTCTAGAAGTGCTTTGATTTGAACCTATGGCAACTGCAGATCCTGTGGAGCATGGGGTTCACGGTTATTTCTCCTTTTTTAGGGTGCTTGGCGTCAGCGTCCATGGTCCTAAACTCAGGGTCATTAGTGATGCGAAGTCAGTGACTTACCGGGTAGCAGACGTTGGAGGCGACGAAGGGAACAGAAGAAGGCAAATGTTTGCCAGAAGCTATACTGTGTACTATGGTTGTAGTGGTATCGACAGATGCCCCGATAACCACAGTAGATTATTGTATTGCACTGATCAGACTATAACTAGAATATCCTCTCGCGGGCCGTGCTTGTCGAGCTCCAAAGGCAACCATCTCGGGTCGAGGACCGCTTTCCTCCTCGGGCCTGGGAGGCTCGCAGCAGTGACTTCTTGGATCAGGTAATAAATTGCACGCGTCGCACGGAATCCTAAGTGGATGAATGTCAAGTTCCCCATGATGCAGGCTTCTCTTCCTCGTTTCAGACTGTCTCGTCCACTACTTGACCAAGTCACCATACGATAGATAAGCCCTGTCAACCAAGATTGTACTTGGTTTGATTGCCGACGTTGGCCAGCCCTCGGGCGAGTGATCCTCAAAGGCCGCCGCCAACTCAATTAACTCGAGGTGCAAGGATTGTTTTCTAGAAAGTCTCGAGTGCCAGAATACTCGGGAGTGAAGCTGGATACAAAGTCGGAAGCAAGCAACGTTTATTAGGCATCATGACTCGAGCCAGGACAGAAAGTCGGCGTTACTTATTCCGTGTCTGGAATCAAACCCATGAAAGTAATCGCCATGCACAGCACGAATGATCAAAGAGCAGCGAATGGCTTGTAGCAATGCCTCACTCTACTGGTACCAGGGTTGCTGCACTTCACAGGATCGAATATGAAATGGGGCCGACAACTCATTATCCATACTCCCCTCAGCCCTACGGAGACAGTACTAGCAGTTTCACCTACTTGGCGATCATCGGCTAGCCTAATTTGTGGCTTCCTTGAGAAAGTAGCCACGCTCCTGAGTTGCCATCACGACACAACTGCATTTAAGGCCTTCCTTCGAGATACTCTTCAAACATCTAAATTAAGGATTTTCGATGGGAAAGGCTGCTCCCTGCCACCCATTGGGACAAGCCACGTTCGATTCGCAGGCTTGGCATTGTTTGGATGGGGCGGACCGTGGCTTTTTGGGTCTCCTTTTCGCAGATCCTGAGACACCAAAGAGCATACATAAGGATGGGGCTCTGGCCGAAGCACACTACAATGTTACAACCACGAATCTCATCAATAGCTCACCACTTTCTTCGACTCAGACAGACACCTCAGAGACGCAGATCATGTCGAACAGTACGGAAATTGAGTGCACGTACGCCACTTGCTCGGTCAAGGAAGATGGCATGCTTGAATACATCCCAACATTGCCTGGCAACGCGGCATATGCGGGGGTCTTCGTTGCTCTGCTGGTCCTCCATATCTTCTTCGGCGTCAAATTCAGAACATGGAGCTTCTTGGTGGGCATGACGTGCGGGAACATCCTCGAGGTGGCAGGCTACGGCGGCCGTATTCTGCTGCACCACAACGTGTTCGAGAAAAACTATTTCATCATCAACCTGGTCGGCCTCACCATCGGACCTGCATTCCTCTCCGCCTCAATCTACCTATGTCTCGCCCGCATTATCTACATCTTTGGTGAGAAGCTGAGTCTGCTCAGACCGAGGGTCATCACATACATTTTCATGGCGTGCGACTCTGTTTCTCTGGTGCTGCAGTCGGCAGGAGGTGCCATTACCTCTATGGCCGACGATGAGGCGAGCAATCAGCGAGGGGTCGATATCATGATCGCCGGTCTTTGGTCCCAGGTGGCATCCTTGAGCATATTCATGCTGCTCTGCGCGCACTTTGCTTGGTGCACGGTCCGGAATCCGCACAAAATCAACGGCGAGACAATCGTTCTCAGATCAACTGTCAAGTTCAAGTGTTTTCTTATAGGTGAGTACAGTCTTCTTCCCTTCCCGCAATCACAATTTTTAGAGTCAATGCCTGATTCCGGATGCAACAGCTATCGCAGTTGCCACCATAACGATTCAAATTCGATCCGCTTTCCGACTCGCAGAGCTACAAGACGGCTTCGACGGAAAGCTGGCCAACAACGAACTTCTCTTCATGATCTTCGAGGGCCCAATGATCATCATTGCGGTCGCCGGGCTTACCATTTTCCACCCTGGCCTTGTGATCGGCCGCGACATGTGGAAAGCTGCCAAGGGTAAGAAGGCAAAAGATATCAAGGGTCCATACAAGGAGGTCGCGGACGATGAGGACTCCATTCCCATGATGCCCCCGGATACCCATTCGAGGATGCAGAGTTATTCCCATTTGGGAACCCCGGAGCCGTATGGAAATGGAGGCATAAGGGGAAGCAGGGACCAGCTATAAGTTAGGTCTCCACTGGGAGAGGTATATGAAAACGCCGGCTGAGGTCCTCGCTCAGCATGAATGCAAAATTCACCGCCAATCTGTTGCTGAGTCCCGAGTACCTTGGGGCCCCGGTCAGATTCCCAAAGCAGAAGATCAAGCATTGCATCAAAACAGCAACATCATCGTCTAAAAACGAATCAGCTCTCTTGAATGCAGACACAGTCTCGGGTTGATGGCTGGGAAAGTAGTTACTCAACACGACGTGTGAGAAAACGAGACGATAGTTGGACTGTGGCGTGGTAACTGGCTCTACCAATGTGGTTGAGATCCGTGGTTGGCTATGGGCGCATTGGATGATGTTGGATCCGTCTTTTGATCACACAATAAATTGATGACAACTCCCAATCCTCTCTTGATGTTAGGTAGTATGCAATCTGTACCATCATCGCGAAGTTCTTTTCTCGAGCCCATTACTCTGACCGGTGGCGGAGACTGTTCGAACCATAATGAGCCTAGAATTACCAGGTGGGTGCCAGGGGGCAAAGCCACTCGGAGCTTCCAGTCGTACTGATCAATGCCTACTATGTCCCTAGATAGGTTCCCCCCGAAATCCACAAACGCTGCGCCTCGGCAACTGCAACTTGAGATTATAGAACCGTTAAGACCAAAGCCGATTCAAAGGCTCCTCGAGAATCCGGGCAGGAAATAAGGTGGAACTCGCACAGACTGGCTGCGGGCGGGACGAGCCACTAGTTAAAGTCCCGCAAAATCTACTTGGAATCCATTATTTGATCTCTCGTCCTTCCTAGTCTTTTAACCACAGCTTCGAAGCCTCACGAACATACTCCGTACGGAGTATGATACTCCGTACGGAGTATGGAATTGTTGTCAATTTCTGCTCAGAGCATCATTCAATGCTACGTCACCATCAGTACCTGAAATGGGGGAGGCTGGGCCCTTCTCGTTCTTTGCAAAGCCGAGACACACCCCCCCAACGTCGAAAATTTTGGCGAGCGCAGTTTAGATCCAGGGTAGTCCTTGCAACAAGCCCAGGTATGATAGCACTCCGTACAGGTCTCGCCAGGATCATCTCCCAGCACATCGTTTCGCATCCGAAGTTGCGGGCACCTACTATGGGGACTAGCCATCCTTCCGATCTTGCTTCTTAACACGATATACTACGTATCCTGGACCTCATGTTAGTCCAGGAAACCTTTCAGCCCTTCAGCAGTTCAGCAACTCAGAAATCATTTGCTGCTCGCTAGAAAGTCGCCAATCTAGAGTCCCCCGCAAGGCCAAAGCCGATTGACCCGTTCGGGGAAGCGGCAGGCGGCACGCGAGGAAGCGAGGAGGGGCCCACGGCGCCCTATTTCTTAGCTGCATCTTTTGACAACGGCTCAGTATCCCAATATGTTTTGTAGCGACACCCTCAAAGCATCCATCTCGCTCGTATCATCTCGCCATCGCCCATCCCAGTCGATTATGTGAGCAATCACCATGATCGACAAAACCCTGCCAGCAAGATCTTCGGTCACGGCAAAGACTACTTTCGTAATCCCAAGACAACATCATGCAAGGGTACGTCTGATATGACTACGAGGTTCCAGTGGCAAGTCTTTGGATACGAGTACCAGTCGAACCGATGCCAACTGTCCAGGACTTATCATGTTGCCCACATGGAAGAGCCTCGATCTTGTTGCGACAGATAGATCGTGTCTTTCTCCCCACATGTTCAACCTTTCGATGACAGAGTCGGTTCTCCTCGAGGGTTGCTCAACGTCTTCGTTCGGATCGTTCCCTGGGCCCGAAGTCCGCTGTAAGCCACCTGTCAATTTTCGACCACGTCTTGATGATAGGATGACCTCGTATTGGAGCTTGCTTGCTTCTACAGCACCACAATTGACAGGTCATGCTCCCACATTTGCGGTGGAGCTGAGTTTGAATACGTATCTTGTGCATCCGAAGTGGCGAGTCCGCCATCCGGATTTGAAACATATCAGCACATTTTGAGCCCATACCCTGGTATTGGTGGCCATGCGAGGTACAATGGAGTCACCACGGTATATATCGACAATTGACACCTGCCGGAGCGCTCCTCGACCTTCTCGACCTTGATCTGTGCACGCAAAGTCGCAGTATCAAACATGTTGGAATCTACTGATGCCGCCCTGGTGGGAACGAGCATTGTGCTTGCTGTATCGACCATCGTGTCGGTGGCTCTGCAGTTGGACAGACAGTACAAGGTCACCGGCCATCTGAACGCGAGTAAATGTGAGTCAAAGAACACAAACTCCCTGCATCAACTGTGCAAAGACTAAACTTACCCAGGGCTACTCGTCGCAAGTACAGTATGTCGAACCTCAAAGGGCACGAATCGGCACCATACTTAACCTCGCTACAGTTCTTCGCGTTGGTAATGACGAGTCTCGTGTGTGCTGGTAAGCCCAACAAGACAGATTGTCCAGGTCATGACTAACCTGAATCAGCTGCTGCCCATGGACTTGGTGCTTCAATCTCGCCCAAGGAGTTCGCCACGAGAGAAACACTTCAGAAGGTACGCACTGTCCTGGGTGACCGGTGTCGCACGCTCACTAACTTCTCAACAGCTTCTCATTGCGGCTTTCCCTCCTTACTTCCTCTGCAACATGTTCGTCAAGCACGCTTGGCTTACATTTTACTACGGCCTGGCACGCACACGCCCACAAACATGGTTCATCCACTTCATGCAATTCATCGCAGCCGCCTTCGGAATCAGCTCCGTCCTTGTCACCATGCTACAATGTGTACCGTTGAGCCATGTGTGGACGAGATGGCTGATTCCCCCGGTTGAAGATGGCGCACAGTGTATCAACCTAATGGCCTTCTTCTACTTCAACTCGATATTCATGATTGCGAATGACACCGTCATGTATTTGATACCAATTATGTTGCTACGAAATGTCGACATGTTGAGAGGTCACCGCTGGGGTATATACACACTGTTCGGGGTTGGTGGAATGTAAGTGTTCACCCTGGATGCTTGCATACCTCACTGACAATGTCATTCCAGCGTCGTACTGGCGAGCATTCTCCGCCTTGTCGCCGTTCATGAACTAGGTCAATCGAACAACTTCTCCCGTGAGCATATCCTCTCGGTCCATGTTTCTCTTGTCCACATGCTGACCATGTTCAACAGAAAATTACGCACTCGTTTTCCTATGGGCAGCAGTCGAAAACCACGTTGGTATCTGCGCTGCATGTGCAGGTGCAGTCAAGCAAAAAACCATTGGCGCCGTCGATACCATCAGACGGTCATACAGCTCATTCCGGCATAAGTCATGGCCCCCGCCCTCGTCGACCCTCCGGACTCAGAGTACCGAAGAACGAACCCTGTATGAACGCACCGAAAGCATCCCGAAATCTTCATTAGGCTCCGATAGAAAGGATCTCGGAATGCGGATGGAGCTGTACCAATTCCCCGCTAGAGCTGACAGGACAGTGGAATTGCAGGCGTAGCGTCTGTAGTGACTTTCGCCGAAAAGAATATCTTGGGCATTTGTAGGAATGTATGATACGAGAAATGAATGATATGGTAATGGGAATGAGGGTGAGGGTGAGGTACATAGAATCGTAATCAGACCAGAAGTACTCGGAATAATGAACGATAACTCGGGAACGGGTGGAACAGGTGTTCTTCGACAAGCATGAGGAGCTCGTGGGGCGGGCCGCAACCGAACTTAGTTGGGTATCCTTTGAGACAGTCCAGGTGCCAATCGCCTAACCGTTCCCTCCAACATGCCTCCAACAAATGCCCCCAATCGCCTAGGATTTCTCATATTTGGGTAAGCCCCGGGCATCGAGGGCCTGTACGTACCAGCAAGAATGCCCTGAAGGCCACCACAAGGCCAGCGTTGCCAGCCTCCATCTTCCTTGCTATTTCGAAGACTCTGCATCCGACGAGTCCTTATGTACATTTACACCTGCTGAGCAGGACAGCATCTTCAATGTCCCAATCGTGTCCTCTGAGCCGTCCCCTTCTCTGTCGTCGCTTCGCACCATTCCATCCCTCCTTTCACAGCTGTGCAGCCAACCCGAAGAAACAAAGGATACACTTCGCCCGGCCGCTTTCTTCACAATTTCGCCCCCTGCCGCTTCATCAGCCGCTCATACCCTTCCCTCATATGCTTCGGCATCCCATCCTTGTCCGGCTTCCCTAACTGGCCATCCCTCTGCAGCACGTAAACATGCGTCGACCCTCCGACGGCTTTCACAGCGTCTTCACCCTTCCTGAATATCCCAACCTCATACATGACGCTCGCCTTACCCAATTTCACGATCCGCAAACCACAATCCACGACGTCCGGGTAGGACACTGACCCGAAGTAATCGCAATACGTGTTGGCGATGATGCCGGCCTGCTCGCCCTTGTTGACTTTGTACCCACACTGCTCGATCATGTACTGGTTGACGATGCTGTCGATGAGGACGCCGTAGTACGGGTTGTTCATGTGTCCGAAGATGTCGTTGTCGTTCCTTGACGAGCCTCAGTCTGCAGCTCGCTCTGAGAGAAAGGGTTCCGCCTCAAGGCAAAAGGCACCGGCGTCGCCATGCCAGAATATTGAAAATGTACCGGGTACTGTACTTACCAGCGGAGCCGAAAGTCGAGGTGATAGCCATAATCGCTGCGTTTCCGTACACGCTTGGAGGCGAGGTCGAGGCCAAGCTCGGGCATATTCAAGCAATGAATTTTCCCTTCCGTTGGACAATATGTTGATGGAAGATATCGTAGGAGTACGTAGAATTCGGATCAAAACTCGTTAATACTACGCTCCTGAACGTTAGCAAGGTCATATCGAAGATGTTGTCGAGGTCTAGATACGATGATGATATTGGCCAGTTGGACCTCGGCTAAGGACTGAGCCCAGAACCCAACTTCGGCTGTGGACTTTTCTTATCAGCCCGCGCGTTCGGCATAATGAGCTTCACAACCGTTGCTTCTGCTGTCAATATGATATACGTTGCAAGAAGGATGACCCGGTGACCCTACAAGGGATGGGTGAAAGAGTGAAGTGACATGGGGTGTTCACCAAACGAGAAGAGAGGCCAAGGGTCGAGCTATGGTGACAAGGCTGCACAAGGCTCTGCTCTTGGCAGGTGAGAACCAAGAAGTTCACGGAATCCGTTTCACCTACTCCGTACTTCGTAACTCTGCCAATATCGTCGACTTACCCGCTGGAAAGGGTACGCTCTAATGCTCTGGTACATCTCGTGAGAGCGGCTTGGGACCTTCATGAATGCGAAATTCGATGGTCCGGCCATTACTGCCTCAGCCACCGACGTGTAATTTCGGTGCAGCTAGCAATTTCCAGATCAATTCGCTCCCGGCTCAGGAGCATTCCACACTGAGGAAGAAGGCCTTTTGCAGGAGGATACACTTGAATTCAGTCAAAAAAAAAGAAATGAACCGCAAGCAGCGGCGTGCCAAGGGATCCGGCAGCCCAGCAATAGCCTCAGCCGACGACATCCCCCTGTCCAAGCCGGACAGCCCACGTGCGAAGACTCAAACCAAAACACTATTCGAAATCGCAGCTGAGCGACAAGCAGAACTCACAGGTCGGTCCGACGGACGAGGAGCCATCAGCCAGACGCCCATTAAGCCTGAGAACATTGTCCAGGTGAAGATCGGCGACGATGGCCGAATCCAGCCAGATCCTTCTTCTTTGTCTTCAGAGCTAGCAAACATGCCCGAAACGCCGTGGCTCGATGCGCTCCTCCTCGCCGCATCTCTTTCAGCCATCCACTTCACACTCGAAGTATTGACCGTCCACCAATACGCTCAAGACCTACACTTTCCGCCGATTTTCGCGCACACTCTACTCGTCGCATTTCCGACCCTGACAGTCATGGTCGCGTTGTTCCACGGCCTTTTGCTGCCCGAGTCAATCACGGCAGGCATATCGCCGAGGGTACGGCTTGGTGTACTCACGTTGCGCCAGATCGCGTATGTACTCGTGGCCAATGTAGCGGGGTGCTACTTGATCGCCCTGACCAACGACAAGGGGTACTACGCCGTTATGAAGGACGCCCCGAGTATAGGCACGATATGGGTTTGGGCGGTTCTGGAGCTTGGGCTGCTGGGCGCGCTGGCGGGTGTGATTGGGCCGGGGGTTTATGCGTGGTGGAATGGCTATGGAATATTCTAAGTTGCGGAAACGAACGTACTGTGGTAGGGGATCGCGTGAGCTATGGCCCAGAGAGTCAATCCACCTCCTGTATTATTAAAATCCCCAAGATTACGGAGATTGGTAGCCTGAGGTCCAGGTCGGATCCGGGAATCCTTTGTAAGAGGGGAGTCATCAGGAGTTCGGACATGGTCGGCCCATCCGACGTGTGTATTTCGGAGATGGCAGGAGATGCACGGATCGATGAGAAATACTCCTCTTTTTGGATCATACGAGGCTTTATTAGTGCGTGAGTTTCCGAACGACTCGAGCAGGTTGTTCGTACGAAGGCCCAGACTTGGGCATTGGAAAGGCAGTCGACGACGAGCATGAACCCGACTTGGGGCCCCCTTTTGGCAAGCAGATGAGAAACCCCTTGGCTTGGCTGGTTGGCAATTACACAGTATAATGGCCCATGTAGGACAAATTTGGCCTCCGTCCTACATAACTGTGGTACAACCCTCTGAAATGGCAATTTCGCAATTTAGCATGACTGCGGGTATTGGACTTTCATAGAAGCACATGGCAGTATCGGAGAATCCCGACCGCTGTCAAGGTCCTCAGTTTTGGATCAGCCTTCCGGATGTGGGAGCGTAGACAGGCGACGGGAAAATTTTTGGAGGGTCAAAGGTGGTACGAGGCTCATGAGTCAGGCCCAAAGGAGTATCCGGGACGCCCATGAGGTGGATATGCTCGAATAATTATCGAGTAATGGCACTGAAATGGCAGTATAGGCCAGAAGTACCATCAACCCAGCTGGAAGTAGCCTCCATAGCACGTGCGAAAAAATTTTCATGCCGATGTTCGCAGGGCGTGGGAGGATGGATGGCGACAGCACGGAAGGCGTGCGAGGGCTACCACAGTATGAGTCAGGATGTCACCTTGCCGAGCGAACGGACTTGAATTCGATCTAGTGGGAAAATGATGGAATCTGGATATTCTTAGTCTGAAGCATTTTTGATGCCCCGATTGTTTGTGTATAGCATGTGAGTGTGTGCCGTGGCCCGCGGAAACTCAAGACGGTTTGATCGACGACCAGGCAGAACAGGTGATGCAAGGAGGTCATAGAGGTGAAGGAGCAAACTCTCCAGGCAGCTGCTCTTGGAGAATTTTGCGGGGTGCAGAAGACGTGGCTGTCTTTATTGGGTGGAACTGGCCTGAGCCCATCGCCGCTAGTTGGTGCCTCTCGATTCGGGCGTCGTTGGTGCTGTAGGGCGTGAACAAACAGGGCTGCACCGGGCTCACTAGGCCTCGAACTGGCCTATCGTGGCCTATGCACGCCTCATACGATGCTTGATGGGGGTTTGACGTGCTTTCAGCCAGTCTGGTGATGCCTACACACTTCATAGGTAGGTACTAGGTAGAGGTCAGCTGGTCATGCTCGTCTTTTCCATCGATCCAATGTGGAAAGTGAGAATGCTTTGAGTCCTCGGGCCGCTCGTACTTCTCCTCTTGAGACTCTGAGATGCAAAGAGCTGATCGAGGTGGCAGAGCTGACGAGGCCCCTTGCTGATATCAGTGCCAGGATTCGCCATGTGAAACGGGTTCAGCTCATATGAGCTACGAGTACATGATAGTATTAGCCTAGTATTTCCTGATGTAAGGTGCACGTTGCTCCAGGGTGGGCTGGCTGTGAATGAGGTGATCTATGATGTGTCGTACAGAAACCTGTGGCTACTAGGTAAGGTAGGCTTGTCAGGTCAGGATCCGGGCTGGTTCTTCCTTCCAGGGACAAATCGAGTTGCTCAGGTCGCTCCATCAGTGCGGCTAGCTGCCGTGACCATGCCTAGATCGAGTTTCTATTATTCACACCGTGCAGGTTGCGGCATCACGCTCGAAACGCGCTCAAACATACATAGACTGGCCTGAGGGTCCCATAATAATATTTTTCTCAACTTGAAGTGACTCTGTGACTCTTATCAACACTCTTGCTGTTGCTGTTGCGCCTACGATATCACGATATAGCCATCACAGCACATCACGAGACCGACTCCGTACAACACAACCCAAGCCGACGCCTACTGCAAGCCCCCGGACGTCACTTGCTGTTGCGCCTGCACCCCGCGGACAAGGGCGCTGCTAACTATCAGAAAGGCACGAGAGGGTAACGCAGAGAAGAACTTGCTGGAGACCCAACACAACCTTTCTGGCCGCTGGTTGGGCAGGTGAAAATTTCCACCACTGCTCCCTCTGGGCCTCTGCTGCTCCTCCCCGCCTCTGACCTCTGCGTCCCGGCTACGAATTCCTGATCCTTAACCCGGCGACCCGCCCATCCTTCGCCATCACCCACCCTTGCTCGCCTTGCCTTTTCGCCTGCGCCCCGCGTCATCATCAACACAGCCAATAAATTTCGTTTGTTGGTCTCAATCCATCCATCATGCGAGCGCCGCGTCGCACTGTACATCAAGGTACCCATACTTCTCCTCGACAATCTACGACGACCGTCAACGACGTCGTTTCTGCTCTACAACGCAAATTGACAGCAAACCATCTCGAGCCGTCAGTAAATGTTACACAGAGGCGGCCATCATTCTCAATGGATTCACTACTACACAAAAAGGACAAGAAACGAGATGACTCCAAAGATCGAGATCCACGGGAACAAAAGCGCATGTCGCTTTCGATGCGCCACTCCAGCAAATCAAAAGACCGAGCCGCGCAGCATTCTCCTCGGTCCACGCCTAGTCAGCCAGGTCGATTTCAAATGATCATTGAGTCTCCCCCACTGGTCCTCTATGGTGCTGTGAGCAACTCTACTGGCGCCCTCCTATCTGGGCAACTGAAGTTTCTGGTCGATGACCCGACAGGCGAGGTGCGCCTCAACAATTTCACCATGGTGTTGAAAGCCAGCATTGCCAGCAAGAAGCCCGTCGGCAAGGATTGCAAAGACTGTAGCGAGAAAGTGGACGACCTCAAGACGTGGGTGTTTCTTTCGGAACCCAAGACCTTCTACAAAGACCAAGACAACCAGTTTCCATACTCATTCCTCTTCCCGGGCCACCTTCCAGCCACAACGCAAGCGCCACTCGGCTCAATACAGTACTCCCTTCACGCAACAGCAGTCACATCTCATGGCGAGAAGATTGTGTACCATCACCCCTTGACTATTCAGAGAGCCGTCCAACCAGGTCCCGACAAGTCGAGCATCCGCATCTTTCCTCCCACCAATCTCACTGGTCGCGTTCAACTACCCCCCATAGTCCATCCTATTGGCACTTTCCCTGTGACCATGTCCTTGAGTGGTGTCGTCGAGAAGAAAGGTGACAGCCAAACTCGATGGCGTCTGCGGAAGCTCTCATGGCGCGTGGAGGAGCATAGCAAGGTGATATCTTCCCCTTGTGCTAAGCATGCCCACAAGGTCAGTGAAGGGAAATCTATCCTGCACACGGAGACAAGGATTCTGGGCAACGATGAGATGAAATCTGGCTGGAAGAGCGATTTCGACACTATCGGTGGAGAAATCAATGTCGAATTCGAAGCATCCCTTGCCACCAACTCGAAGCACAAGGCAGTTTGCGACGTCGAATCTCCAGCAGGCATCGAAGTCAAACACAATCTGGTCGTCGAGCTGATTGTCGCCGAAGAGTTTTGCCCCAACAAAAGCAGCCAGCTGATTACTCCCACTGGCGCCGCGCGCGTTCTGAGAATGCAATTTGCCCTCGTCGTCACCGAACGAGCTGGTATGGGCATCAGTTGGGACGAGGAGATGCCACCTGTCTACGAGGATGTGCCCGAGAGCCCTCCTGGCTATGGCAGTGCGGACAAAAACGATGGTGCTTGGGGTGGCGCAGTCATGGAGGACTACCACGGACCCGCATTAGAATACGAAGAACTCGAGTCTATGGGTAATCATGATTCTAACGCTGCTCGACCCTCCAGCTCAGGGCTTCCGATGCGCAGTCGCCCTCAGAGCAGCAGACGAACAGACTCTGGCGAAGGTCCCTCGACCAGACGCCAGTATGGCCTGTTCACCAATGACGAGTTGGGTGCGGAGCCTCCTCAGTACGTCCTAAGAGGCAGGGAAGAATCTACGGATAGCCAGAATGGCCCGATTCAAGACTATGAGGAGGGAACAGCATCCGGCGCACAACACTAAAACTTATTATCCCTTCACCCTCCCTGACGACATTGCTTTTTGGTGGATCATTCCACCATTCTTCGACCACGGTTTTGACGAACGACATGGATGACATTTTCTTCCCTCGACTTTATTTGGGCGGCTTTCTCAAATCAATGATACCCCTCAACTCTACCAGCGAGCATTCATATTGGCGCGTTTATTGATCAGGGCATCGAATTACTTACGTTGTTGTTTTTGAGAGCAGTCTTGAGGACTGTAGTCTTAATGAGTTTTTCACTTCTCTACTGGAATACCGGGGACAAATTGGGGAAATCCATGGTATCGGGACATTTGCGTCAGCGAGTACAGGACCTGACCAGGCACTCCCAAGCTGCACAGATTTTCTGTCTCTTTGGAACGATTGGTCGAGCACGTTAATGTATGCTCCCATTCACCAAGGGACAATGTTTATAGATTCCCAACGAACGTTGGTTACTTTACATGTTTAGGAAAGCCATTCTCGTCAACCGTCCAAATATTTCTTGGGTCATGCTATAGAAAATAAACTACGCCTTCCCGCTATCATGTTTGCCCGACCTGACCGAGCTTCCTCCGGCGAACTTGTACACACGAGGCTGGCTGGGAAGGACTGAATCCAGATCTTTCAGCTAGGAACCACCCCGGTTCAGCAGCCTTCCTTTTCTCTCGCCACGCTGGTACTAAGTTATTTTACTATGCGCAAAAACCATTTCATTACTCTCGTCCTCATTACCTACCTACCTACCTACCTACCGACCAGTCACCACCCGGCCCGGCCGTGCTTACAACAAGAACGACCAATTCAATCATCCACATCCCTGGGCTCGGTTTTTGCCCAAAACTCATCATACTCGTTGCTGTTCATGATGGGGAAATCGGCGGGGCGCGTCAACGGGACCAGACTCTCCCCGTGGATGGCAAACTCCTCCAACCTCTTCCTCGTGAGCTCCTTGGCCCTGTTGACGCTGTAGATCTTGACCCGGTGACAACTACTCGTGACATGCAACCCCCAGTTCCACGCGCTGCGCACGTCGAGCGGCTGCGTGTTGATGCTGTTGTCCCAGCAGCGCACGACCAGCTCGATCCAGCCCTCGGCATCGCAGGGGACGTTCATCTCCCAGGTACGCCAGGCCCACTTGTGCTTGGGGGACATGTTCTCGTTGGGCACGGCGTACCAGCTAAACCCGCCGTCGGCGCTGACCTCGACGCGCTCCGGCCAGCGCCCGCCGCCGCTGTACGCCCAGCCCTTGACGTCGATCTTGCCCTCGTGCACGACGACCTGCTTGACCCAGGGGGACATGATCGCGCTGCTCACGGGCATCTCCTGGATCTGGATCCCCAACGTGGGTAATTGGTTGTGCTTGCCCACCTGCTGGTTGAAGTACAAGTACTCCTTACTCTGGACGGGGGCGCGCGACGGCCGATCCAGCGCCTTGATGCGGTACACCCACTTGACGCTCCGGGCGCCAATGTATCCCATCACCACCAACCGCACGGGATACCCGTGGATCTTGGGCAGCGGCTCGCCGTTCATTTCCCACGCGAGCATGACCTCGTTGGCCTTGGCTTTCGACCACGGCACAGACACGAGATAGTTTTGCACCTCTTTCTGCTTGAAGTACGTGTCGGCACCGTAGAACTCGAGATGTTTGCCACCTTCGGCCATGCCGCCGCATTGCTTGATGACCTTTTTCAGCGAGACCCCGACGTATCGAGCCGTTCCGATTGCCCCTTCCGCCCAGGGTGCGTTGATCATTTCGTCCCCCTCGCCCGCGTACAATTGTATTTGCTCGATCCGGCGGGTCCCGCTGCATTGGATGGTCACGAGCCTCTCCATGCGTGGGAAGATTTCTTCATTCTGGAGATCGGCCAGGGTGAACGTGCGCGGCGTCTTGACCAGGCCGTCGAGTTTGAGTTCCCATTTGTCCGCGTCAATGTCGGGAATGCCGCCGTGGTTGCGGATGAAATGCAGTGGGTTGGGCGTGACGGGTTTCGCCGTGACGAGTCGTTTGGGTGGTTCGCCGTTGTAGGGAAACTGGAGCAGGTGAAGCATGTCCGGGTGCTTTTCTTGGATGACGCGAAGCCATGATTCTTCGGGGACAGAGGTCAAGGGTCCGCCGATGGCTTTGTGCCACATTTTCCAGCGCACACCTTCGAGGACCGGGTTGGTGTCTGGAATGGGACCGAGTTGGAATTCGGGTGGTGGTGGGAAGTCGTTATTTATCAAGATCTTATGTGCTTTGGCCTTCTTCTCGGGGTAATCTTCCCATTCGATGTATCTGTAAGTCATTCAGCGATCTATCTCCTACTAAAACAGGGGATAGTGGCTCCTGCTCACCCACGCCATCCCTCGCGCTCTTCGGCAAAGACAACATCAGGGTCTTCTTCTGCCGCGATATCGTCGGCCTTAGCAGCGTCCTCTTCATCCTCGCTGCTGCTGTCCTGGGCTTGGTCGACCTTGCTGCCCTTGGATTTGGCTTCGACCTGCTGGAAGCGTTGCTCCGGCGGTATGGTCAGGTCAAGGAGCGGCAGCTCAGCCGGAGCCATGCCCTGTTCGAGCTTCCACTCATCATTGGGCTGTTTGGAACTCATGTTAGCTTTAGGCCCGGAGACAGGCGCTGGGCAAGTAGACCTGGGTATGGCGAGAGACTTCTCTCATTCTCACGTCGTTGTGCATTTTGAGAGCTTTTAATAGTTCAACGGGGACTTGCCACTTGTGGACGGATTGAAGCGTGGGCAAACAAACAACTCGCGAGGCGATGACGATTAGTGGCCGGCACAAAGAAAGATAGCAGATCAGGGGGAACCACTCAGTAGATAAACGAAAGGGCACAGCTGTCGGGCAAACAATAGAGACGCAATGACCTGGCTCCACTCTTACAGATGGGCTAGCTGCTATGCAGTGAAGTCAAGAGGTGCCGAGGCTGGCTGCCAATAGCTTGTGAACGATAAGTGTCTGTGCAACAATATGAGAGATGAGCTTGCCTTGCGGGCTTCTCGTCGTGGACGGAGCAGGGGCTGCAAGAGCTCATGTGGGAATCTGACCCGTGAACTTCTGTCATGGGCGGGACTTGCCATCCGGATATTTTGGAAAACATTTTGGCAAGCCATCTGCCGGCGAAGAAGCTGAAAAGGTGGTGACATGAGCATTGAGGCGCATAGAGCTATGTGTCGAAACCCTGTTTGTGCACTAGGCTTACTCATGGGACCCGTTTCTCGTGCTGCAAGCTCGAGATGTTGAGAGGTCTTGGTGGCCAGGCACATATTCTGCTATCCACCACAGCTGGCCACATTGGACGAAGGGCCTTCTCGGTCATGAAGGTGGTTCACCAACTGCCAATTGCGAAGCGTGCATAGCGCCCGAGGAATGTTGTAGCTCGACAAAGCGAGGGAATGCCGACGCCAGAGTCCTGACATAACGATGTTGATGATGTCGATATGACGCCAGAGACGACAGAACAAGTAGCGTGAGTAGATAGAAGCGGTGATGAACAAAACAAATGGGGGAATATTGTACGAGTGCCACAAGCTTGAAGTACGAGTGACCGGCACGGAATTTGTTTCTTCCAAGGTCTGATTCGCCAGTCTGAATGATTGTTTTGGGTTAGCGTCCTGGCCGCTTTCAGCGTAATCTTTCAGCCATCTTTCTCTGCTACACCTCAAGGACCTCGAGGACCTCAAGGATCTCTCAGTGACATCTCCTACTTACCAAGCTCTTTACCTCCTCGTACTAGTAGTCTGACATAACAAATGCCTGCATATCCGAGACCAACACCAACACCTTTGCGGCAACTCTTCAAGTTCATCCGACTCGTCGATCTGACGATCCTTTGCACATGCCAGTTTCTGGCGCAGCATCCCACTCTGTAGCCTCGTCCGTCAACAGGCCCAACAGCATCCCGAAAGCTGCCTAACTGTCCTCTCTCTGCTAGACGGCGTAAACTCCGACTGCATCCTCTCCTTCACCTTGCTCCCTGCGGACTCTAACGTGCTTGCTGCCGTCACATTGCATGCTTTGTCTTTGCTGACCAACGGCCCATAGTCCAGCCAATCCATACTGATTCCACGCCTCCCAACGTCAAAGCCCACTTGCCCTCACATACGCCGTAACAACACCCCTAAATCATCCCAAGCCGGCAATCCTGCCCCAGGCACTCGTGTTAGGTCATTGTACTCTCCTCTTCAACTCTCGAGGTATTTGTCATCGTGTATTAGTTCAACAGGCGCTCCACAAATCATTGACGGGCAGAATGCACTAAAAATCTCATCTAATCTTGCCTTTGACTTCACACGAACGGACAAACAAGTCTTCGAAATCGATGCAATCTCTTGCCTGGGATAAACGAGACATAGTAGTATGAACATGAGATGCTGTCGTATGGGCCTTATCCCGCATGGCAAGCGAGTCCTCTATTATATCATCACAGAGACTTGATCGCGATAACTCTATCCCAGAAGCATCTCAAGCTCTTCAATCCGTCTCTTCTTTCTCTCCTCTTCTGATCCTCCGGCCCCGGTCTGTCCAACGCCTAGCGAACCTGCAACCGCCATTTTCCTGTCTTGGACTCGCAGCATCCTACCCTCGATGCTATCCTTGGTCACAAATCGTACGACTTCAACTTTCTGAGTCTGGCCCATTCTGTGCACACGATCAATGGCCTGTGCCTCAACTGCAAAACTCCACCAAGGATCCATCATGTAGCAACGGCTTGCAGCAGTCAAGTTCAAGCCGACGCCTCCAGCCCGGAGTGACAGGAGCAGGACGCGTGGAGCTTTAGGGTCCGACGCATTCTCAGCGTTGAAAGCACGAATCACCTGAGCACGAACCTTCTGTGACATCGTCCCGTCAAAGCGTAGATGCTCAAGGCCATGTTTAGAAAGTTGTGGAGCAATGAGGTCCAGAAAAGAGGTAAATTGTGAGAAAACCACCGACTTCGTCCCTCGTGGTTGTGCAGAAAGGTGCTTGAGGAGAGCCGCTATTTTTGCCGATGTCGAAGCGGTCGGAGAATAAGGATGCAGTCTTCGCAGCGAGATCTTTGCGGGTTTTCCAGCAGCAGCATCATCTGCCGCATACAAGTCGCCTTCGGAGTCGCATGACTCGGACGGACTGTGGTACTTGACCACTTCAAACACATCCCGCGGGTTGATGGCCTCTCTGCAAGAAAAGCACCGAGGAACGTCACCCTTATCCATTTGGTGGGTAATATACTTCTCCAGGCAGTCTTTACAAGCACTGTGCCAGCAGGTGGTAACGGCAGGGTTGATCATCGGCTCTTCATAACACAAAGGACATTCTCCGCTCGACTCGTCCTGGATTTGCCGCAGAGCATTCGTAGTGAACGTGGTGATCGGATCCTTACTTTCCTTCTCTGCAAGATCGGTATCTTTCGTGAAGCGATTGATGAGATCTTGAAGATCTATATCATCCGCGAATCCGTTCGCGTCGGCAGCAGCTGCAAGAGCCGCGTCCTCTTCGTCCGCGACAATTTCCTTATTTCTTGTCAAGACAGGATGACAGCAAGACTGGCGCAGACGCAGGATCTGAGCAAAGATCGTAGTGTACGACTTAAGGAGAGTACCGGCGTGTAGAGATTCGTTGAATGCCCGTTTGGCTCGGGTGAAAATGAGGTCATACACTTCTCGCTCTGTCTTTGAGAGCTCCACTTCCTCCACGGTAATCGTCTTCGGGGGAAGAGGCACAAGAGCTTCGCCTTCAGGTGTCTTCATGTCTTTGGTACGCCGGAGGACGAGTGGTTCCAAGACCGTCTGGACGACATTGAGCGCTCTAGCAATCTCTTTCGACTCAAAAGGTACGGTGATGAAGGTCTTCCAGAACGAGAAGTTGCTCCACGGCTCGACTTTAAGGAACCGCACCAGACTGAATAGATCCTCGAGACGATTGACAATAGGCGTTCCGGTCAAAACCCATCGGTGCTTCGCTTTCAATTCATAACATGCTTTGGAGGTTTTGGCTTGCCTGTTCTTGATGGTGTGGGCTTCATCAAGAATCACTCGATGGAAGTCCACGGAGAACAGGCCTCCATGAGAACCACGATCACCTCCTGCAGCAGTCACTTGCCCAAATTCAGATAATACAGTACCATAGCTAGTGATGATGACGTGAGGAGCAGAGGCAGCATTGGCAGCAGAGCACAGCGCCTGCAAATTGACGGTCTTTTCGCTGCCATAGTATACCATAGTCCTCAACGTCCCTGGCTGGGAACATTTTACTGCTTCGCTCTCCCATTGAGCTAACAAGGACATTGGCGCCACCACCAAAGTCGTACATGGCGCTGGCTCGACAGAGGTCGACGAGTGTGGCAGACGAGGTAGATGATTGACCGAGGTAACGGTCTTATTAGCGGCTTCAAGGTCGGTCTCTGAACGATTGGAATGAATGAGACTGTATATTTCAATCGTCTTCCCGAGCCCCATTTCGTCGGCCAGAATCCCTCCAAGGCAATTCTGCTCCTGCACTGGGAAATCAAGGCTGATCTCGCCGGAGTAGAGGTTGACATAGAATTTCTCTTGACCTTCGACCTGCGGAAGTGATTTATCGTCCGCATCTTGGGTCGGCCAGGTATACTCTTCCCAAAGAGGATGCATTGATTGTTGCCTTGAGGAGTTCTCATCCCGTTCTTTTCCAAGCATCCAATGCAACGCCTGCTTCTGGTACTTTCTGAGGTCAAGTGCGAAGGTTGATACAGGTTCAGCTTCTGGAGTGTTAAAGTCAAATGACTGTGCTTTTTGATATAGTGCGTCCAACTGATCTTCCTCGAGCTCTTCCCCTTCTTCTTCCTCATCTGAATTAGGGGTTGAGGTGCCCGACTTGGCCTTGGAATTTTTGTCCTTCTCATATTGTTCAGCCATTTCCGCTGCTCTCAAAAGGCCTTGCTTTTTGTGTTTTGCAGTTGTTTCATTCGTCGTCGTCGGACTGAGATTGACTTCTTCGAAAAGCTTAACCAGCCCTACTTGTCGAAGGCGAAGGTCTTTCTCTTCGCTGCTCTCTTTCTCCAGGAAGAAGCCCGTGGCTCGGTTGTCATCTTTGGGTGCCACAAAAGCGCTTGCTTCGAAAACAGCTCTCAGTAGATATGCCCGAAGCTGAAGGTAAACTGTATCATTTACCCGGACACGATCTGGCGCATAGACACATGTTCCTTCAAACCGACATATTTTCTGGTCCAGTAATGAGGACACCCAGGAAGCAGTCTCCTCAGGCAAGCGGCCCAACTCCTCACCTCTCGCGTTGGTAAACCTTGTAACCACATCGACTTTCTGGCTTCGCCCCACCAAGGGTACCAGCTTGCCACCCCTGCCGACCTTTGTCTTCGGTGCAAGCCTGGAGCGTTCTATCCGTACTGCCTCACCATGAGCCAACAACTTCGTACCACTTTTGGTCATCCATGCCGCAACACCAAATGAGCCGACGTATCGTTCTCTGGGCATTCCATGCAGCAGTATTTTCTGGGGCGCAGGCTCCTCATCCTCCACTTCTTCTTTAGCCGTTGGCGGCGGAACATCCTTACTAGATGGGTTGAGCCAGCTTGCTACACCCTTCGAAGGTCTCTGAGATGTGCTGCTGATGGCCGCAGTCTTCCAGGACCCATCGAAATACATATTAATGGCCCGTTCCATGTCTCCGTTGGCCGCAGCCTGCACCTTGTCCACAATATCTTGACTGACATTTCCCCCAATGAATGCACGGAATGTGTCTGCGTGGAACGCTAAAGCCTTATCACCATGGACGGACGGGTGGAAGTCAGCGGCATCGGTTTGACTAGACTTTTGTTCATGTTCCGTAGAGGAGGTGGCGGAGGCAGGTCTGCTCGAGGTGTTTAGGGAAGACGAAGCGGTCTGCTGTTCTGCCACATCTTCAGGACCATCGACAAAGAAGCGCCTCTTCTTCCTGGGCCTTGCTTCGACATCCATCGGGATGGATGACGGCCGTATAGAGAGAACCAGGACGTTGAAAATCAAGGCCTCATTGACGCGAGGCGACGCGAAAGGAAGGGTAGGCGCGCGCCTGCACGTGACCGAAATAAATTGGTTCGAAGGCTTTTTGTACATAGCAACGTCATGTAATTCCGACATCCTCCATGTTATTGCGAGTTCACCTGTAGCGTAGACTACCGAGGACGGATTCATGAGGCATATACCCTAGCTTCGGACAGAGCTAGAGTCTTGATGTTGTCTGGCTGTCGGGGTGACTTCTGAGCGCCTCTGACGAGAGGTTCTTTCAGCTTAACAAGATCAATATCCTACCATGTCTAGATGTACCTTGGAAAATATGTCTACCACTTGCGCTCGACGCACGCCGTGGAGAACACAGGCACAAGCTCGAAGCTTCTTTTTCAAGAGTCGACGATCATTTACAGCTACACCAAGGACAAGACTATCAATAGCTCGAGACTCGCCGGATGTCCAGAAAGCCCAAGTCTATTGCCAGAATCTAGTCAGGTAAGTCTGTTGCGCTCCAATTCGATGTCCAGAGCATGACGGGCAACCTCATTAACGAGGCTCCAGAAACTATGACTCTCCGTCATATACATTAGCTCACTTCATTCGGCCGCACATGCTACCGGCATATTTTGCCATTAGGGCGTTCAACATTGAACTAGCTCGGATACCTGACGTGGTGTCAATGCCGCAGATTGGTGCGATGAGGATGCAGTTCTGGAGAGACACGATCAACAAAAGCTTCGAGCTCACTCCTCCCCAGGAACCCGTCGCCATTCTTCTAGCTTCCTACCTTAAGCAAGGTCACAAGCTCAACAAGACATGGTTTCAGCGCATCATCACAGCCAGGGATCGCAAGCTGACTCATCCTGGATTTACCAACCTCACAGAGCTGGAATCTTATGCTGAGTCAACATATTCCACACTGTTATATTTGAGCTTATCTGCATTGCCCCTGAATTCTTTGATGATGGACCACCTGGCTTCTCACGTAGGCAAGGCCGCTGGTATAACAGCTGTGCTTCGTGGTGTACCTTTGCTTGCATTTCCTTCTCCACCGAATCAACACTCAAACAACCCAGTCGGTCTGGGCATGCCCACAACCCGGGAAAAGCAAGGCGCAATCACGCTGCCGTTGGACGTCATGTCTCAGTATGGTGTTCGAGAGGAAGACATTTTCCGAAATGGAGGAGATGCTGCCGGCCTGCGTGACGCCATATTTGCCGTTGCAACCCGTGCATCGGACCATCTTATTACGGCCAGGACGATGCTCAAGAATGTTCGACAGAACCAAGATCCTGGCCACGAATTTGAGCACCTGAACGACGAAGGCCATGAGCCCGGCAGATATGGCACGGAAGCCTCGATGTCTGCCGACAAAAGGAAAGCTGAGATAGATGAAGGCTTCGGCATTGTCATGGGCCCGGCGGTGAGCACACAATTATGGCTCAACAGATTGCAAAAAGTGGACTTTGACATCTTCAATGGTACCCTCCGGCAAGTCGAGTGGAAATTACCGTTCCTCGCATGGCTGCGTAGCAAAAGAGGAGAGCTTTGACGGCCGGCAGGTAGCTCACTATCGGTCCGGTCGCATCGATTCTGAGAACACTTGCAGCTCGAGGGACTTAGGACGCCTACTTAAGGAATGGGCTCACGCTTCCATCGTGTTTCTCCGGCTTCTGCTCAGGAGCATGGCATCACCTTTCTTGCCGAGAATGGCTTCAAGTGCGCCAATAAGTGCTTGAGGGTCGTACAGCATAACACCTTTGCTGCTTTTGCGACCATACAATTTGAGGCAATCGATGCCCACGGACGCGAGACGCTCCTTATCGACCTCTGGAGTTCCGTCGCCACTCAAATGCACAACATGCGTAACATATCGACGATATATCGAGGTCCCTTCTGCTGGCCGCGGCTCTTTAGGAGCGGAACCAGGAACAAGAAACTCGCCGTGGCGAGTTGTGGGCGAGGAAGCAACTGATGACTTCAACGTGTCGTCTGATCGAGAGGTATGGAGGACAGGTCTCCAGGAATTGCCACGAGACTGCTCACACGCTCTCGTAATGGCTTCGACAAAGTCGAATGCTGAGAAGGGATTTGAGCTTGGGCCTGTCTCTCGATCGATGGAGCCATTGAGGATGAGGATTTTGTGCCGGGCTGGGGTTGCGCGCAGTGCCTCACCGACTCCTTTGAGGACAATGGAGGGAACAACGGAGGTATATAGCGAGCCGATCGAGTAGACGATTGCTTGAGCCTGTCTGACTGCTGACAGCACTCGAGGGTTGGCTGGTGGGAGCATCTCCTGTCCGTATGGATTAATGTACCAGATTCGTTCTATCCGTGCCGGAAGGTCTTCGTCTTCATCCTTGCTGAAGTTGATATTCTTCTGCCGGAGAGTGGGTAGTGTGCCTGGAATGTTCGCATCTTCGAATTCTTCGGTATGGTCGACACTGTGACGACTTCTGGGAGGGATTGGCCGTCCCGCAGAAACAGCTGGCATTGCCAATGCTGTGGCTGCTGCTGGATGTGAGATGTTGTTCTGACCCACAACGACTTCTCCATTGACCAGACCTGCTGCTATGTGGTGCGAAAAGTTTGAATTAATGCTCGGAATGACTCGCACTTCGTCTGGTATGGCGCAGATGCTGCTTAACAAGTAGATGGCAGACTCGAAGCTGCCGCTGAACAATCTCGCGCCAGTTAGAAAGAGGTTGCCCACGCTTGCCGAAGTGAAATCAAATGTCGACGAGGGCCTCGATCGCTTCAGGATTTCCAGATTCAGCAGATTGAAGAATGATCGTATTAATTCTGTCTTCGCTGACGGGATTCCGTGCCATAGGTCGGCCGTTCCAGAAACGATCAATTGCCATTCAGTTGACGCGTCAATGGCGAAAGTGGATGACAAGCGGTGATTGAAGAGATGAGATATGGCTGATCTCTCCGGCGAAGACGGGTCTGTAGGGATAAGGCGAACCAGGCGACTTCTCACATCGCCAATACCAGGTCCGCCGAAGACTCTGATCAGTTCTGAGGAAGAGCCTCCATTATCACTGATAGGGATGATATAACTCAGAGGACAAGATTTGTTCTCGCGCACTGCTTCGAAAACATCGACGAGACTGTTTGCAGCGCTTCCTCCCGAGAAGACTACTATACCCTTGGTGTTCGCCATGTACTACCGCCAGCTTGACAAAGAGGAATGTGATGTAGTTTTGAAAGCGACAAGGTGTCCATATATACCGGTATGACGAGGCTCAGCCTTGCTTAGCCGAAGGGTGATCTCGCTAGGAAGGGCCGGGATGGCTATTTGTGGTAGTGTAGCCGGCGGCGAGCTTGCCAGAGTCAACAAGTTTCGGCAGTAAATGCACACTGTGAATGTGGCTGGACTCGGTTTCGCTGATCAGACTTCAATGGTTCATTTTCGTCAATGTGACTCGCCTCGCTCCTGCTTCGAGTCCGGCGAGTCGGGTCAAATCATCAGATAAGCGAACTAAATTTGGTGGACGGAAAAGCAACGTTGTCTGACAGGAGTCGAAGAAGCATTGAGTGATGATTCAGATTACCTTTGCCGTGCTTTGCCCACCTTTGGCGGAGTGTGCTATGATTTCCTTCTGTCAGACAACTTCATTTCTAGATGGGTACGCTGCCGGTCGCGTGCTGGTTCATCCTCGCCTCGAAGGGCCCCCATCCATGCCCGGAGCCCTCTAAGTCCACAATGCTTGATCCACCACAAAAGCTTCGCCTTGGAACCGCCCACGCCGCCCCAGAAAGGACAGGACTTCAAGACTTCTGCATTTTGAAACCAAAAGGACCTCTCCTGGCTGCCGCCGAGTTTATTGACTTCGATGCGCATTCGATCTCAGATGTCGTCCCGAGCAAATCCTGCAAAATAGTCCGCCAGTTCGCTATTCTCTCCCATATAGCTGACTACTACCTTTGTTTACTTCCGCTGAGACCCTGACCTCCGCCTCTATGCACCTGCAGATTCATCTAGCCAACTGGAAATTGCGCATAAAACCTTGATGCCGACCATCCCAATGCCTCACGCAGGCAGCCATGTCCTTGCCCACCACAGAAACTCTGCAGAAGGTTCCGAGCGGTCCCCGTTTTCTCGAGAACATCGAAGATCGCATGATGTTGAAGCTCAAGAGCACGGCGAGGCGCATCACGTTCACATCGAGGACAATCCGGAAGTGATGCAGCACAAGCACTCGGATGATGGAGAGGACTTTCCTTCACACGGTCTCCACCGTTCGGATACAGCGAATACCAAGACCACAATGAAGTCGCTACGCAGACGGGGCAGGTCAAATACAAACACCGTGATATACGGGGCACCAGACATGGGCAGAACAACTGGATGGGCACCTGGATTGGAACCTGGCATCAACACGAGCGAACCTGCGCCGCCTTACAGTGAGGGACATCCGACGTCTGTACACTACGAGACCTTGCAGCAAAGATGTGAGATCACGGTGGTGGACTTCAGCAACGATGCAATGTCCACCTACGACCTGGATAATGATAATATCGAAGAATTCCTGCAGAAACCCGTGGAACCGTGGGCTGACGTCCGCTGGATTAATGTCAATGGCTTGTCCTGGGATGTTATCAGGGTCCTTGGAAACCACAAGCGCCTCCATCCGCTTGCCATTGAGGACCTCATCAACACAAAGAACCGCACCAAGGTCGATTGGTACAGCGACCACACGTACATGGTTTTGCCCCTACAAAAGCTCATCAACCTCGACGAGCAGGAGGATGACGACTATTTCGACGACAATAAGAACGACGACGATAGTTCCGTCAAGGACCGGGACTCGGAATATCAGGCGCGAATAATCACAGAAGAGCGCATGCGCAAACACCCCAGGAAGCGGAAAGGTGCCATTCTCTCCCTCTGGGAGGACATCTTCAAGCCCAAAAAGAAACGCCAATCAGCCAGCGCTGCCGAGTCGTTCAACGAACAAATAAACCCGTCCAACTTACTGCGCCATGCCTCCAAGATCGAATCACCCTGGGCCCCCCAGAAGGTCCGTACCATGCAACGCTACCATTCCGGCCCGAACCAAGACCGCATCGACTATATGGAACGTCATGCAGTACTCCGGAACCGCGGCATCGGCGTCTCGATGGAACAAGTCTCGATCTTTCTCTGCGTCGATAACACCGTGATTTCCTTCTTCGAGTACTCGGCACACGACGTGCAGACGCCCATCATCCGCCGTCTGCAATCCCCAGGGACCATCCTTCGACAATCCGCCGACGCGTCCATGCTCGCGCAGGCCATCCTCGACGCGATGATCGACCTGGCCATTCCCGTGACAACAGCCTACCAAGACGCCATAGGCGACCTGGAACTCGACGTGCTCACGGACCCAGACATCCACGAGTCCAACACACTCTACATCCTGACCTCCGAGATCGGCATCCTCCGCAACGCCATCGCCCCCGTCGTCCAACTCATCGGCGCACTCAAGGACCATAAATCCGACGCCCAGAGTGCCAGCATATATTCACGCCAGCCCACGCCGTCCGTGGCCTCGGCGGCAAACGGCAACCCCATGAACACCTCCCATACTGCCCACAACACCACCACCAAACCGCCCTTCTACAAGAGGCAGTCCAACTTTGCGTCGGGCGTGCAGATCTCACCCCTCTCCATCACGTACCTCGGCGACGTCGAGGACCACGCCCTGCTCATCCAGGACGGCTACGACCAAATGCGCCGCAGCGCGGACAACCTGGTCGACCTGATCTTCAACACCGTCTCGGCGTATCAGAACGAGAGCATGAAGCAACTGACCATCGTCACGTGCTTCTTCCTCCCGCTGAGTTTCTTGACGGGCTATTTCGGCATGAATTTCGTGCGCTTCGACGGCGTCCAGCTCCATAGTGATGCCTTCTTCTGGATCATTGCCGCCCCCGTGAGTACCGTCGTCTTCCTGTTACTCATGCGCGATGTCATGGAACGGTACGTCGTCAGGTGGGCGAATAAAGCGCTCATTGCGAGGGGAAGGAGGAGGAGATTGCAGAAGAGTTGATTGTGGGCACTCGGGTTTTGAATGGCCATATTTGTACATGTGTATATATGTGTATAATGTTGGAGAGGGTTCTGGCTTGAACTACTCTCAGGTTGAAGTCGTTTCGACAGTGGGTACTACTGTTAGAATCTCTCGACTTTTTGGGGTCAAAATACGAAGACGGTTCGATGTAAATGGTGAAATGTATGTACAGAGATGTTCATATGGGAACTGGAGAGCTTGAGTAATGATCAAGCAAGAGAACATCTAGAGGTAACAAGTTTGGGAGGGGCCGCCCATATCATAATGTCCATACAATCCTGCCTACGCTCTCACGTTTGGCTTTCAGACTTTTCTTATCATTCAACTACTGACTGCTCCGAGTGGTCCACAACCAAAGCGAGAAAACGGTGTCGAGTGCTATGCAAATGTGTTCCACGATGAAATCCGAAATATTAGCACTCGTCCCTGAAACGCCATGCTGATGCTCACGGTAGTCCGTGTCTTCCGTTCAATCTATCATACGCCATCATGAGTTGCAATTCGTGGGTATCATCAAAAACAATATAACGTCAGTTGACCTCCATGAACTCTTCCCACATCGCGTCTTCTGTAGTCTCGCGCTTCCGCTTCCGTGCACGGGGGGTTTCCTTGTCAGCTCCGTTGCCTTCGTCGTCATCCTCATCATCACTAATAGTTTCGGCCTTCACCAACTTCTGCTTTCCCTTGTCATCTCTCTTCCTCTTCCTGACCAGCAATTTCAACTCAAGCGGTACCAGACTTCTCGTTGGGCCTGGGATGTCCTTGGTATCTAGCTGCTTTCGACAGACCGGACAAACACCCTTGACCTTGCGACTCCTGGGGGCATCTTCACGTCTCTGCTCGATAGACCAGTTGAGAGTATCAATGATGCAGCGGTGGCAGAAGACGTGTCCGCAAATAGTAGACGTAGCGTCCGTGGGTACGTCCATACATACTGGACATTTATATGCTGTCAATGGTGTCCGTCCTGCCTCCGTCCCTGGATTTTGTGAGAGTATAGCATCTTCACGTTGTTTCGCGAGCGCTGCAGAAAGCCCGGCATTGTCATCGACACCAGTAAGATCGACTGACTCTATCGTAGGGTCTGCGGGTGGGGACGAGGCCTGGTGCCGGGTTCTCCTCGAAGAGGAAGAGCGCGGAGGGGACATTTCAGGGGAAGGGTTTCGAGATCGGCATTGGATTTGGTCTCGGTTTCTAGCCTGCATGCGCTCCCAACTCGAATGGTTTTCTCGTTGGCGGTTTATAGCTTCCTGATCCACGATGGCTTGGAGGCGGTTGTGATCGGCCTGAAGGTGAGGCAGTCGAGGTAGGTGTGTCGCTGGTATTGGAAAGAGTCTCAGAACAGGCAAAGAATCCTCAGCCTCAGCGTTAGGCAAACGGCGTGGTGGTTGTCCGTAGACCGGTTCGTCGAGGGTATTCAGTCTCCTTGATCTCTGGTTCGAGGTGGAATCATGAGGGTGCGTTGTTCGCGAGATGAAGTGAGATTCCGCTGAATGGTCTGGTGGGCTGGGAGAATTTGATGGAAGCCCGTGCCTGATCCTAAGAGCGCGGCTTTCAGTTATACCGGGCCTTGTACCTGGTCTGAATCGTCTAACTTGGTGAAATGCGTCCTGCGCTTCCTGCAACGCCCGGTTTGCACTGCGTAAGGCTCGATTCACGTCCTGGACTGTATCTTGGTAATTTGCTCGAGGTAAAGTGGCCTGCCTACGAGAAGCAGTATCTGACATAGCATCGAAGAATTCGCGGAAGAGTCTCGGGGAAGAGGGAAGGCGAGGAGGTTGTGCGGGTCTCTGTGGCGGAGTCTGAGATGGACGGGGTGGGAGAACTCGGTGAGGAGTTTGCTCGAATTCGCGGCCGGGAGAGTGGGATAATAAGTCACCTAAAGAGGCCGGAGGGGAACTCATACTTGAGTCAGAGATATCAAACACATGTTACAACTCACATAATGGTGACGGCGACCAAACAGCAACGGTGGGCAAAAGAAGCATCTGTGAAGTTCGGTACGATAAAGAAAGGACGGATGATGATGAAAGCCGCAGCCAAGATTTTGTTCTCCGCATGTGAACGGAGGCGTTGATGTTTAGCCAAGCAATTTTGCCTCCCATCCTCCCTCAACATGCCCATTAATCGAGCACCTCGACTCACGACTTCTCTATCATTTGTAATGCTATGAGCTGAATAAGGTTCTCTCAAGTCCTCATCGCCTTAAGGACTGTTCTCTCAGTCTAGGCCTAGCTCGCATTCAAAAGGAAAGCAAGATTTCCAGAAGCGCACAACAGAGCAGACCCTGTTCTCTGTGGCTCTGGGCTGTGATCTCTCTCAGCCAACACATCTGTCGGTTCTCTTCTGGTAACTATTGTGTCTATGATAGCTTCAACCTCCTCTGGGATGCGACGTCCCAATTCAGGCCGCAAGCCGTGGGGCTGTAGTTACGGCGAATGTCCAGGCGATAAGACAGGCACCAGAAGCGTTTGACTTGCGAAATGGCCAAAGCGCATTGCGCAATGCTGCTGTTGATGGTTTGTATATGATCTACTCCGTATGGATCCTCCTGTGCCCATAGCTATCTCTGGAGGTGCGCCACCAATGAGTTGCCCGACAGGGCTTCGATGAATACGCTGCTGTGCAACGATCTGGAGTCGAGGGGTTGTTTAGAAGTCCTTTTCCAACTTGTTCACCTCGGTGTCAACAACACCGTCGATCGCACCGTCTGCTGCGTTGGGTACGCCTTCTTTGCCCAAGAATTGATTCACCTCTGCTGAATGTCAGCTAATTCTTCCGCAAGGCAAGGAAGCGCCTCCTACCTTGGTTGACATAGGCATCTCCAGCATTCTGCTCAAAGCCTTTCATCATGCCTCCTCCCTGCTGGTCTGATTGTCCTTGTTGGCTTGGCTGACCGCCTTGGGAGTTCTGCTGGCTGCCCAAGAGATTGCTTTGGTCCATGCCCTGGCTGCTTCCCTGATTTCCTTCCTGGTTCTCAAGGAATTGTTCTCCTTCTCTGACGATATTGTCCATTTTGACTGTTGTTATGGCTTCGATGTGCTTCCTATAATGTGTCTGCTTGTGGAATAAGCATTCGGTGAAATTGGCAAGGAGTGCGGCCTTATATGTGGTTGAGGTACAGCTTTCGAAGTCTTGAGCTGGCCCACCAAAGATGTCACAGGACGTGATCTCAGAGATGTGCCTTGCACGATGACCTCCGATCCCACCCTGTCACTAGAGACTATGACGTGGATAGGGCAGGGCGAGGTCGCTAAGTGGTCCTTACCCTGGAAGGCCCTGTGTCTCATGTCAGACAAGCATTCCAAGCTTTTGACCTTAACCATGATGGAAGCTTGGTGCTCTTTGGGCGCCACTTCCACACTTCAGGGATGCCCCGACCAACGCAACGTTTCAATCGTGATCTTGACAGAGTCAACTCAGCTGAAAGAGATATCTTGCGTCATGGCGCATGGTGAGACCTTCACTCAGGCTTTCAGCACTTGAAGCCTCCACACCTTTGTGTGGAAAGCGAGCAACGTCCGATCAGACTTGGTCGTCCTGGCGACAGATACTCAATCCATGTACTTCAGCTCGAGTCTGTCCTCAGTCAGCCACTCCGGCATGGCAGGCCCAACTTCCCCCTTGCATGCTGCTTCCACACATCTCGACAAACTGCCAAAATGAACCCCTCGCTGCACCATCCCTGGTGCATAATGCGCATATTTTGCAGAATTCGTCATGATGTTCTTCGCACGGATGGGCACTACTGGCTCACCTAGCATGCACCAACAGGTATCCGTGATCACACGAGCACCGAAATCGTTCAAGATATCGAGAAACCCCGCTTCAGAAGCCTTCTCACTGACAGTTCGACTTGTGGTCACGACGATTTCCACGTTGGCATGCTTTCTCCAACCTGAGCATAGCCTTGCGAGCGTTGCAAATTCTTCCAACGAGAAATGAGGATTGCCGAGCGACACAAGTCCTACCGAGGAATCGGTTGCCGTGTTCAGCTGATACCAAGAATTCCTCAGGACTTCTCTACTGACTGCATGGCTAGGCAGCCCTGCACTGGATAGGCTCACTTTGTCTGCTTCAGGTGTCACGCCCCGGATATGGAACATTGGTGCCGAGGCTGTCGTGGCAAAAGCCGCTCCAAACGCCTTTAGGTCTGATATACTTGGATCCAGACTCTCCAAACCACTTATCAGTGGGATATCAGGTCCTGCTAGTGCGCCAATATGATACCCTAGCAGCGGATAAAATGTGTCATCGGCCTCGAAAAAGCTGTTTACAATGACTTTCAACTTTGGCAAGCGATGTTGCTCCAGATGGCACCCAGCAGCCGGGGCCCGTCCTGTCAAAGCAATGCATACATCGAGGAAGTCGGGATACTTTTGAGTCCGGGCGCCTAAGACGCTGTTGGCAAACACGACTGCATTGGACTCGGCCCAGCCAATGTCCTCGCCGGCTCCAGGTGCTGTGCGAAGCAGGTAAGGTGCACATGTAAAGCTCATTGCTGCACCCATCGACATGTACGCTTGTGCTAGCCTCTGGGCTTCTTTTGCCAGGACTGGATCCATTCCGATCTCTTTCCAGCGGCGCTGATCAATGGATATCGAGTTCAAGGTTGTCGGAACAGCAAACTTGGCACCTAGTGACAGGAATGTCTCTGCGAAGTCGAGGCTTGCCGGTCCAATGTAGATGCAAGCATCAATATGAGCTTGAGAGACGTCAAGGAAGGCCTTTGCGCCTTGCATCTCAGCCACACTGACTAGAATCTCCATAGCCAGCTTAGCTGCCGGACCAAACGCGCCGGCCAGCGTACGTTCGTCTCTTTGTGTGAGCTTGACGCTCCTTGAGGAAGTTGCGCCAAGCTGTGGTACAGAAGAACCCTGTGCCTCTGACGCGCCGTATCCAAATAGAAGCTCCGAGCCTCGAACAGTGGCCGGCTGGCCGCTCCGTAGACGTGAAAAGTCTTTCGCGGATATGACGAGAACAGGAATTGAGCGCCCAAACATTGCTCTCGCGATCATGACACCGAGCGTAAGGATCTCTTCAACATGGTGAAAGACCAGAGCTGCCGGTCCTCGTTTGCGCAGCAGGAGCTCGAGGATGATGCCACTTCCGGTACATGATCCTCGACCGCAAGGGATAGCGAGGATCCGACCTGTAAGGCAGTCGCCCTTGAGAGGATGATGCTGATCAACAACAATCCCAGTCTCAGAATCGACGCCGCCCCAGCAGCTCAGCGCAACATTCGACACCAGGAGATCTCCGGAGGCAGCTCCCTCGACGAGGCTACGACCTTCGATTGTCATTGTCTTCGTATCGATTCGTAGGTTGGCGACCAGGGACAAGCGGTTTCATTTTCTGGCCAATTACTGAGAAACACTAGGTATTCATGCTTCTTTCCGGGTTGCTTGTTGAGGATTGAACAATGCGTGAGAGCGGATATCTCCTATCGAAATTCAGGCTCTACAAGATTTGTTCTGCATAAAGTGTTTCTGAGAACAAGAGTCACCAGGGATGGAATTACCAGGTTATAAGACCAATAGAACTTCACTTTAACTTCTGGAGTTGCAGGTGGCTTTTGTTTGCCAAGCTTGCGAGTTACCGTCGAGGCCGTTTTCTCCCCTGGACTTGATATGCGTTCATCATTTCTTCTAGCCAGGTGTAGCAGCTATAGAACTTCTCAAGCTCGTGCACTTCATCTTGGCACGGCTCAACGTGTTTCGTCTGAACCCTTGCATCTCAGAAGCTGACCAATCCTGCAACATGTATTTTGGCTCTGTTTGTCCTAATCTCCCATCCCACCGAGAAATCATTTCCGCCAGGGCTCGAGTGTCAATCCGTGGGATCGAAGACCAGTTCGTTGACTTTTGGAGATATAACCAAGAGAGAGTAGCCTGAAGAGATTCCCACAGGCGGCTTTGGTCTCAGACGAGGCTGAGGGTCTCTTTGGCTGTCTGGAGAGAATGGGTGCTCTCCGCACCGAGAAACGTAGTCTTTCGGACACAGGAACTATCAGCCCGTCCGCTACACCACATGAGGTGGCAGCATAGCGTTCTTCTCGTTCGTCTCACAGTCCAGTCAATCGGCCATGCTCCCGTCTCTTTTTGCCGTAGCCCGGACATCATGTGCTCGGTCTGAAATGGCTAATAACCTGTTCCAGCTTGTGAAATAATCCCCTGCGGCATAGTATTCACCTTACGCGAATATATGTGGGTGGTGTGCGCCGTCGTCGATACTGAAGAGTAGTTTGATGTTACTCTTCAGTACGTCCCATCCTTCTGTGCTCTGAGCCAGAACCCTTCCATCTCTCCTTGCATCCTCCACCACATTTCAACAAGCTGTCTATCAATCCAATCCGCATTGCCCGGATCCCAGAATTTATCATGCACACTGGCGGCTCCTCGCTCCACGTCCCCATAACTTGGCCAATTCATGTTCCACTTCCCCGTCTTGAGGTGGCGGTACGGCATCGGGCCGTCCATGCGGTGCGCGTAATTGAACAGTCCTTGCTCCATTGTCGAGTCGTCGAACCGGCCCTGTAGGTTCATCACGCTGAGATAGTAAGCGTACAGGACCGGGTCGGGACGCATGACCCAGAATCCGCCGTTGACGTTGTCATGCTCGTCCGGGACACTGTCGTGGTGAGGGCCACCCGCGTCGGAGACACCGGCGAAGACGTAATCGAACGGGAGTGGGCCTTCGTCGGACTTCAGTTCGATCGATGATACTGGGATCATGGGGTTTTGAACGACATCTTCCTCAAACATCCCATCGAGGCTGCGGATGAGGAGCATGTCGCTGTCGATGAAGGCGATCCGGGAGAATTGGGTCATGTTGAATAAGCGGAGTTTGGTGAACTGCTCGGCCCAGCTTTCGCGGGCGGGGTGGATCCAGGTCGTGTCGTTGGGGTTGAGGATGTCAGTTCGGATGATCGTGGCACCTTCGCGGGCGAGGAGGTCGGTTTTGCGAGCGTCGACGTGATTAGGCACCAGGATTAGCAAAGGATAGTCGTGCTGTGTCTTTGTCGAAGGATGGTGGAGTAGCTGGTACAGAAGCACGCGAGTCGCTGTGAAGTATTTGTCCTCATCGTCGGGTCGGGTGTCGTTGACGGGAGAGGAGTAGAATGTGGCGTAGGCATATTTTCTGTCGGTGGTGGTGGTGGTGGTGGTGGTGGTGGTTGTTATTGTTGTTGAGTTAAGGTGTGACAGTTTGCCTGATACTTGCCCTAGGGTGCTCGATACGAAAGTTGAAATTGACTGAGAGGAGTTGCTTAGAGAATATCTGGGGGCCTTGACCTCCAGGAAGGCCACGGAGAGAATGATGAATGCCAGCGAGAGGACCGAGAGGGCAATCTTGGTTAATCTTTGCATGGCGGCGGCGAGATATGAGCGCGCCTCGCCAACCACGTATTGCGAATGAGGCTTCCTTCAGCCAGGATATTTGGGCTTGTCTTTGTCGACGACACAAGAGGTCTCCGCAGATATCACAACTTGAATCGGAGAATGACTTACAAGATAGAATCGTTATCGTTTTCATCGCTCCATACTAACTTACCTTATTCCCGCGCTCGAATCAATCCAAAAAGCACTGGCACGGATAAAGGGGTTGACCCGCACAAAGGTAGGTAGCAATTTCGCATCACGGTTATCTAAAGCGAAGCCGAGACTTGCTAGTCCCCGCCTCGAAATCAGTTGAATGTGGTAATGGAACTAGCTAAGACAAAAATAGTGACCGTTGACCCCTGACTGGGAGTCCAAGCAGATTTTCAAGCATTTTATTGCCAGCAAGGCACAATGGCGTCCGGGAGTCTAGAGACCGTAGGTGTTCAGGTGTGACGCGAGCCCTGCTGTAAAATGGAGAAAATGAAGATCCACGTGAGGGTCTGAGGGGGGTCATCATGGGTCTAAAAATCAAATTCAACGCGGTTTTATTGACAGAGCACGTGACAGAGGCAAAAACAAATTCCTGGGCGATGGGCGCTCAAAAATGTTCGCCGATAAGGCTGGTGAAGCGCTTATTCTTTTGTGTTGTCGGCTGATGAAAACAGAGATTATCGTCCGAATGGGGCAATTATGTTACCACTTAGGGAAAGATAAACGTCCACTATGGTCAGGACTACTCTGTAAATCATGGTTAAGCTGGAACTCGCAACTTGAACGGGAGCAATGCACTGCCATTTCTGTGATATTAAAAGTAGGTACTGGTGAAGCGTCATGGAATTCAGCATTCTAATGCGACTCTGCCCACTGCTTGTACCAATCCAGGCAGCTGCTATTGGCCACGCTTGCACTTGTTTTAATGTTCAGTCCACTGAGGATTTGCTTCACGGCACCCTCCACCTTCTTGCCATTCGTAGTGACCGGTATCTCGGGACATTCGTCTATGATTTTTGGTACATGTCTCGCACTGAGCTCTTTCTTGACGACTGCTTGTATTCTGTGTGAGAGTTCGCTGGAGAAGCTCTGACCGGCAGACATCTTGAGGAACAGAACCACCACTTCGTCCACATCCTGCTCGCGCTTACGTCCTATGCACAGTGCATCTTCGACTTCTCTCGCAAAGTGCTTGAGCAAAATGTTGTAGATCTCGCTTGACCCGAAGCGGACCCCCATTGGATTGAGAACACCATCGGAACGACCGAGCATCCAGATACCGCCGGTCTTAGGGTTGAAGCGGACAAAGTCTCCGTGGGTCCAAATAGGCTCTCCCGATTTCTGATCTTTGAACGATTCGAAGTATGAAGATTTGTACCGCGCCTCCCCTTTAGGGCCTGGAGGCCAGAACATGCACGGTTGACAAGGAAAAGGCACGGTGCACACAAGTTCGCCTGCTTGACCTGTGCATGAGATGTCCGTGCCGTCAGGCGCGAAGGCCTTGACAGACATACCCAGGCCGCGGCATTGAATTTCACCCATATACACCGGAAGGATGGAACAAGGCGCGCCAAAAAGAGAGATGATATCGGTGCCGCCGGTTATTGAGCCCAAGAGAATGCCAGGATGTGGTGACGGTGGCGAGAGGTTCTTGTAGACGTATTGAAACGTGCTCGGTGCGAGAGGGGAGCCGGTGGAAAATATTGACTTGAGAGATTCGAGTGTTGCGGTCTTGGGAGACGCTTCTCTCGGGAGGAGGTTGGCTTGCTCAAGGACGGAGAGGTACTTAGCCGACGTCCCGAAATGATTGAGTTTTAGTTCATCGATAAGTAGTGGCATACTCATCTCTTTATGAGGCTGGAACGGTGACCCGTCGTATACCACAATAGTCGCTCCACTTGCAAGGCCTGACACTAGCCAATGCCACATCATCCACGTAACTGTAGTAAAGTAAAGTAGTCTCTCGCCGGGTCTGATACCGGACTGTATTAGATGCTCCTTCTTGTGTTGGAGAAGTGTGCCCAGGGAAGCATGCACAATCGGCTTCGGAATTCCAGTCGTGCCGGAGGAATAGAGGATATATACGGGGTGTTCGGGATGAAGATATGTAAATTCCAGAGGTCGTGCAGAATGGCCTTTAGACAAGAAAGTAGAATATGTCTCCACCGTAGTGTTGGGCTGACGTTCCAGAGACGGTAGGTCGAAATGATGTCCTGCGACTGTCTGGAATATGACAACGTTCCGGATTGATGGTAGGTCAGCAATGACATGGGATATCTTGCTGTGAGTTTCGTGAGTCTTGCCATTGTATGTCACCGCATTGTCTGCTAAAAGTAAAACAGGCTCGATTTGCTTCAGTCTGTCGAGGACCGCATGCACGCCAGTATCAGGGCTGACCCCGGACCATATTGCACCCAGGGAGGTTGCTGCAAGCATGGCGATGACTGCATTCGCATGATTTGCAAGGTAACCCGCCACTCTTTCCCCTTGTTTGAGGCCATAAGCCTCCATGGCTGCGGCGCATAACCGGACACGCTCTCGCAGCTCTGCCCATGTCACTTGCTCACGAGTCTGTTCTGTGGCCGCGATGATGGCGAGAGAGTCGGGTGGAGGATTTGAAGCAGGGAACAGGAGGTTTTCAGCGAAATTCAACTCGCAGCCAGCAAAGAAGGTCGGCTTAGGGAACATGGGCAAGGACTCGTCCAGGACCTGTCGCCTTGAGTCAGTACACGTCCGCAGTTTGCTTCTAGTCAGGCTCCACTTACAAAATCATACCGTTTATGCGCTCTTATTCCCGTATAGTTATAGACCTCCTCCCAAAAGGCGCCTGGGTGATCAACACTCCATTGCCAGAGGTCATGGTAGGCAGTTGTTGGGACACCATGCTTCTTTGCGACATGCTGCTGGAAAGCATAAAACTCGGATTTCTCTGGATGAGGATGTCTCCAAAGCTCGACAGTTTCGTCATGCATCCCATTCACGCCATTTTGAGCCATTGCGAATGATTGATCATGGAGGAGGAAACCGATGACGGGCGCATTCTTCAAGCACTTCCCCAGGAACTTTTAAGTGGGCCCAGGAACGAAATCTTACGGGTGCATTCGCGAAGCTGTTGAGCCTCGGACTGACCAGGCCAGGGCGAAATTCTTCCGGCCGAGAACATCGTTGTTCGGCGGCTTCACCGTACCTAGATCTTGGAGGTCAAGGATACCCAAGATTTCGAGTATGGACAAAGCGAGAAAGCGAAACAAACCGCATTGAAGCAGGTCGCAGTGCTGTCGATTTTCAGCAGAGCTGCCCGACTCATCTATCGAGATCTCGAAATCGATTCCCTGTCACATGAGTATTCATACGGGGTGCCTGGGCAACAATCACACTGTCATCAAACAAAAAGTCGAAAGTCGTATCACAGTAAAAGTGCAGTACGAGTAGTCAATCCACTGTAGCATGATCATGACCTCACCTGCGTTGCTGCAAGGGGAGCAAAGTTTTTCGATCTTTTCACGGCCCGCCTGGGCGACACAAATTGATGCCAATAACGGGCCAAACAGTTAGTCCATGATGGTTCTTCGGTGGGTACCCCTATTAATTAATGGGCCACCCATAGGCGGCGGACGGATAATGCTGCCAGCTGGGCGCCCCTGTTATTCGTCCAGCTAGTCACTTAAGGTCGCTGATGAAACGCTCCCAGAGCAATTTCGCAGAGGCCAAAAATTCCCCCTACTGTGCCCTACCACAGTTATTCTGCAGCCCAGTGACCAGCCCACAGTTCTTCACCTAAAAGACATCCGCCAATCTCGAGAAATCCACTCGACCGTCAGCACGAAACCGAGCTTCACAAAGCTCGCGTCCTTTTCGCGTGTCGTGTGCATTTTCTCCTTGTTCAACCTGCACCTTGTCACCATTTCTATTCCTTTCAGAATCATTGTTTTTCCTATTTCTCTTTCGCTGCCTCTCCGCAAAGTCGCACTAAAGCCCCGGCACCGAGCGGGCAGTTCCTGCAAGGGACGAGGGCTTGTTGATCCAACCACTGGCCATCTCACGGATCAGAGCGGAAGTCTTTTCTGTCATCAAACGTCCCGCCCATCTCATCTGCTCGTCATCCTTCTACAGAGCAAAATTACTCTAGAATCAATACGACCCTTTGTCTTTTTCTCTCATGGCAACTTAATCCACATCCAACTCCTTATACCTCTTTGTGCGCCACCAACTTCATTGCCTGAGTCGACCTTTCGCAGGCTTCTGCCATAGACGATTTCTCTTCTACACCACCACACTCGTCTACGTACGGCTTTGCGACACCACAGCTGAAAGCTTTCGGACACCCACCGCGAAGCTGCGCTCAAGCAGCGTCGCCAACGGATTTCAAGAGGAGGCTATCTTCTGAACATCCCAATCAGCTTTATACCATCCTTTGGCCATGCCTCGTCGAGTGTCGAACTCTCTCCTAAGTAGCTCACCTCCGACCCCCTGGCCGTCCTTTTCCCCGTCAGAAAAGGGCGGCAGTCTCGTCAACAAGACCTCGGCAAAAGCGAGCAAAATTGCGCAGTTCTTCTCGACGTCGCCAAAGACAAAGGAAGCACAATCTGCAGCTGCTGCGCTGTTAGCAGCCAGCAAAGCTCAAGAGCAGGCGTTTCTGGCTTCGGGTACACCCCCTATCAGCACAGCATCACTCTCCTTACCCAGTATTTCCTTATCCACTGCCCGTGCAGATTCAGCAAACATGGATGAGCCTCCGACCACCCTGTACCAGCCTCCGTCGCCTGCTGAGACGAGAAAACTGGCAAGACAACATGCTCAATTCGGACCCCTGAATTCTCAGTCGCACCGATACACGAGCCGACATCAAGGTGGCGAGTTCCCCGAACCCGTCATGGACGAACCTCCCTATTACTACCTTTTAACGACATACGTCTCCTACCTGATCCTCATAATTTTCGGTCACGTCAGAGACTTCTTTGGGATGAAGCTTAAAGAGGACAACTACAGACATCTGAAATCGCGCAATGGCTATGCTGCACTGAACAGCGATTTTGACAACTTCTACGTCCGTCGATTGAAGATGCGTATCAATGATTGCTTCAACAGGCCAACTACTAGAGTGCCTGGCCGCTACATCACCCTGCTCGACCGCACGTCAGATGATGGAAACTTACATTTCTCTTTGACCGGCACTACAACCGAGACGCTGAACATGAGCTCGTACAATTACCTCGGCTTTGCACAGTCCGAAGGTCCCTGCGCAGACGCGGCCGAGGAGACGATCCGGAAATATGGAATTTCTATGTGCAGCACCAGAGGAGACGTGGGGACGTCTGAGCTGTCACTAGAATGCGAGGAGCTCGTTGCAGAATTCGTTGGCAAAGAATCAGCGATGGTATTTTCCATGGGATTTGGCACCAATGCAGGCGTCTTCCCTGCCCTCGTTGGAAAGGGAGACTTGATCATTTCCGACGAGCTCAACCATGCTTCGATTCGGTTTGGTTCCAGGTTATCGGGCGCCATGATTACATCCTTCAAGCACAACGACATGAAAGACCTTGAGAACAAGCTTCGTGAAGCAATCGCCCAGGGTCAACCCCGTACGCACCGACCTTGGAAGAAGATTCTAGTCGTTGTCGAAGGTCTTTACTCGATGGAAGGCACAATGTGCAATCTTCCTGGACTCATCCGACTGAAGAAAAGATACAAGTTCAATTTGTTTGTTGACGAAGCTCATTCCATTGGCGCCTTGGGACCTCGTGGCAGAGGTGTTTGCGACTACTTCGGCATCGATCCCTCAGAAGTGGACGTCCTTATGGGTACACTCACTAAGTCATTTGGCGCCAACGGAGGCTACGTTGCTGGTGACAAGGCCATGATCGACAAGTTGCGATGCACCAATGCTGGCGTTATTTATGGTGAGGTTCCTCTGCCGGCAGTGCTCGCCCAGATTATTGCCTCCTTGCGGCTTATCAATGGTGAACTATGCCCGGGTCAAGGCGAGGAGCGTCTCCAAAGGATCGCTTTCAACTCACGTTATCTCCGACTCGGTCTCAAGCGTTTGGGCTTTATTGTCTACGGCCACGACGATTCACCGATTATTCCATTGATGCTTTACAACCCAGCTAAGATGCCTGCCTTCTCGCATGAAATGCTTAAGCGCAAGATCTCAGTTGTCGTGGTTGGCTACCCAGCTACTCCTCTGATTTCGTCTCGAGCTCGGTTCTGCGTATCTGCCGCACACAACAAGGACGACCTCGATCGTTTCTTGGCTGCTTGTGATGAGATCGGCAACGTCCTTCAGCTCAAGTTCGCAAGTGGCATTGCTGGTGGTGCTCCTCCTTTGTCGGATGGCGTCACGTGGGAAATGGAACAAAGTCGCAAGCGACTGGAAAAGCACGACAAAGTTGCCAAGTCAATGGTTCTCGCCCCGCGATGGACTTTGGACGAAGTCATCAAACGTGGTGTCCAGGACGTCAAGGTGCCGCTGCGATAAGGAGCTTCTGTTCGGGCGGGCGCCTCGAATATGTTTGTGTACACCAAATGTGTGAAGACGAAGTCATGCGCAGTATCAGCCCCTGCAAAGTGTCATTATTTGGCGTTTGGAACTTCTCTTCGTAACAGCCGAGGCGTATCTGCCGATTGTACATAGCGCTGTGTCGTGTCGTGATGGCACCGGCGAATGGACTGGACGGGTCGATCGGCATCAGTTCCTCTCAGGGTCACGGGATAAGGAGTTCTTCAGCAGCGACTCGATTTGCATCCATGAGGGATGCAGCAAGCTCAATATCTAGTAATACCATTATCTGAACATACTTTGTCTCGACACTTTGAGCCCTCCACTTGCAAGTCAAGCTTGAATAGTGAGGCGAATGATCGCATGACCTGTGATGAATTCGCCCTTTCCACTTGCAGGATGCTGCATGGACAAGACACTTGCATCGATGCATGTTCATTCTATGGATTTGTCGGCTGAGTCGGATCTAATGCTGCCAATGATCGTTGGCAGGTATCTACTATGGTATGTCTCGCAGGAGCTAGTAGCCTTGTTGCGCTGGAATTCCTGGGCTCATCCAAGCGAAGAGATCTCGCGTCCGTCGCTAACCGCAGGTGAGTTTTTCGTTATCGAGGGAAAGCAACCGTAACGATAAACATCTAGAGCAAACAAATCGCCAACGTGGTGTGATGCTTGGGTCTTTGAAATCCGAAACATAGCCATGACCGCGGCACACGCGAAGATGGGGAGCTGTCACTGTCGTGCTCTGTCCATTTTGTTGCCCGCAAGATCATGAAGCTGCATGCGTCGGCCCAGGTGCGGGCATTGGCATTGGTGAATACGAGGAAATGCATGATCCTGATCGCCTACTGGCTCGAACGTTCTGAGGACGATCGCAGATGCCTTGCTCACGCTTGCTATAACATTGGTCGGGGGGCTGCTCACCGCCCCATTGGTAGCATCACCATTGTAGTAAAGATGTTCGCGAGGGGATCAACAGCAAGTGCTTTGGGCCGGCGCGGCGCGAGGACTGCTCTCTCTAGCCAGAAATCATAAACTGAAAATGATGTTCGAAGTCAGCCCTCACCCCATCGGTTCATACTCGTATACGTCGCACATTAATCTGGTCGATGGTGACAGTGAGATCCTGGAGGAAGTGGGCGCAATATGGCGGGGTTCAATCACGTGTTTCGCAGCGGAGGGGAAGAATCACGCTTCGCAGGCTTCCTTTCTCGTGTTCTCTTCCCTCCTAGATTTCTGGCAGTTTCAACAATGGTCAGCAACTATCATTCATCCAAACAAAATGATAAACTATGTACGGCTGCCCTTCTGCAAGCGCAATGCGCCCAGCTGCATCATGAAGCGACAGCAGCGTGATTATTACGGCAAATCTGACTCCCATTTGTTCAGTCATGCAGCTCGACGACTCGCTACTGCATGCATGGGGCGGGCAAGGACCATTCCCTCATCCCTTCTTCAGACCGCCGTTTCAAACGTCGACCCCGGTTTTACCTGTCGTTTCTCTGAATGCCCTCTTTCATTCGCCTCCATGCCCCACAGATACAGTCTGTCTTGCTCATCGTTGATTGAGGAAGTGCTTACCCTGGCCAGAACTCTAGCCTGCAAGACAACACTGGCCAGGTCTTCACATCCTCCCTTGGTATTGGTTTGTCGCTTGAAAAGCAACCGTCGCAGGTGCCCTTCGCCAAACGATCATTCAACCGGTACACGTATTGTTACCTATCCGCCAATGAGCTGATCTTGCCTAGGGAGGCGTACGTTCGCAACCACTTTGTTGTTCGAGCAGACTCTCCTCTCTCCATGCCTCTGACCTTCCTGAGCGTTATCCTGACCTCCTTGTATTCCCCGTCTTCCGCATCAATCAAGCGCACTTCCTCTGCCCCACCAAGCCTCACAATCCGTACATCTCTGCACCGAACTTTCTTAGCATCACTTTCTCAAATCGCATCCACATGAGGAATTGGCTGCGCCTGGCTTGTCAAGTTGTACTGATCAGGCTGGAAGGATAATGGAGCCGCCACCTCCTCCAGACCACCACTTTGCTCCAGTGAACCCTGACGTGCACATCTTAGACGACGAGTTCGATATCATAGACGAAGAACCTGTGCGTTACGAAGAACGGAGGCCGACTGTTCAACAGCGCATGTCAGCGATGTCGGTACACGATGACCCGCCAGAGATTCGGCCTCGCGGCGAGCCTAAGAAGTCCAGTGAGGTTCTTCCAGACTACGTTTACTATCGGTTGAGGAAGAGTGGTGACGACTGGGGCGCCGCTTCCAAATCAAGAATTGTCGCTCCCATCGAGGACATTGAAAAGACAGCTCGGAAGGGTAGAGGCGGAGATGGCCCCATTCTCGACCAGATGAAACGCATGTCTGATCTGCGACGAGACATGATTGATGAGGTGGTGCATTCGGCTAACAAGAAAGAGACTGGTGATCATCGCTTCCAGGTGGCATATATCACGTCCAAAAAGATTCGGAAGCGCAGCGGCAAAATCGAAGTCCCAGAGATGGACCTCATCCTGGCTCGAACCAAAGCCAAACCTAGAGGTAGGGGTAACTCTGTCAATGAAGAGATTATAAAAATCAAAGAGAATAAGGGATCGAGTGACAAGGAGAAGAAACACGACGTCGACGGCTATGGTCGCTCACGGAAAGATTCAGTACTGGAACCGCTCAAAGACCCTATTGCCAACTTACCACTTTTTGAGCATGATGGACGACCCAGAGATGAACTAGGCCCAATCCATTTCAACAATGCTGGACTTCCGCCTCAAATCCCCCAAGAGAAGCCGCTTGGGTCCAAAGCTGAGTCCAAAAAGGAGGACAAAAAGCGAGACAAAAGTCGTAAACGCAGCAAATCGCGGGACAAGCATTATGCCGAAGATGATGTCGTGATGGTGGGTGATGTGGAGGAGTTCCATGCCGCCGAAGACGCGCCTCTTGTTGATGGCATTTTTGCCGAAGTATCTTCTGACAAGCGTGGCCGGCGAGGAAAGTCTCCATATCCGACCGAGCATCCCGAGGTGCTAGGAGAGCCTCGAAGGTCTCACTCTCGACGACGACCGCCGACGGAAACCCGGGGCCACTCCCGGGACAAATCTCGATCTCGAAGAGGCTCGGTGTACATTCCCAACCAGCACACACGGGAGTATTTCAACGAAAGCAGTGCTTCCTCCCAAGCCAGCGACTCCAGTCATTTCGGCTTTGTCGAGTATGCGGAAAGCTCTGGAACGTCACTGACCTCAGGTGGCGTCCCTCGACGTGGTAGTCTGGTCCGTCGCGAACCTCGCCCAGAGACCGTTTACAAAACGCATCATCGCGGACCGGCCAGAGGTGCGTCGTACGCCGAGAAGTCATATCGTGATGACGAACGAGTCGTCATTCCCGCCCGGTCGCGCAGAGAGTCGTTTGTAGCCTATCAGGAACGGCCACCAGCCGAGGTTCGATATGAGCGTGCACCTCCACGGCTAGTGCGACAGATGACCACGCCGATCCCTGAGGAAAGGCAGGTCATGTATCATCAAGAAGTCGTCCCAGTGCGCCGGATGACTGATGCTCCTGTGATTCGGTATGTTCGCGATACTGTCCCGCCTATGGCTGGATTCCCTGAGGAAGAGCGGGAGGTTTACTATCGCGACGATCTGGAAAGGCGGTCATCCAGAGTGGAGGATTATCAACGTGAGAAGGTCAAGGAGGAATATTACAAGCAGAGGGAGCAGGAGTTGCACGCTCGGGAGCGGGATCTCGAGCTCGCCGAGGCAGATATGAGAAGGTTGAGGATCCAGGACCGGGAGTATTATGATGATAGGGAGAGCAGGGGGAGAAGGGCGTCCAAGCAGTTATATTATGATGAGGAGACTGGGCGGTATTTCTACTATGAGTGATGCAAGGCCTTGGTGGTGCGGCTGGGCCTATCGGACGCTGCGAGGCCAAGCCATGAGTTGATGATCGTGGAAGACTGATATTGACGACGCTTCGTGCAGGTTTACGGACGAAGCGCGGTGGTACAATGATTGGGTTCTGTTGTTTCGATTACTTATATCAATTCCCGGCTCCTGTATGGAAGGAGGTGCTCTCGCTTTTATCGGTACGGCCAGTCCGAAACGAGACTGAGTCTGGGACGCAAGACAAAAAGTGATGGGAGGCAATCTGGTGGATTTGTTCGACGGCAGGTGGGAAATTTCCAATGTCCAGGAATCTTTCAGAGGGAGATCAGTGGGCGAATGTATGGGGCCAGCACGACTCACGCTCGTTGCTAGCACAAATCTTGCAACGACATGTGCACAGACAAGAGCAGTGACAAGGCTGAAGCTCAAGTTTGCGGGCTTGGACGCTTGGATGCGAGGATTGATGATCTCTTACGGCCTTTACGTTGCGTTGCATTTCTTTTTTTTTTTTTTTTCATTATTCAATTCTTGCTGTCACTTGAGAGATACCCCTTTATTCAGAGGTTGTTGCCGATTTGCGAAACGAAGAAACGGGCTGATGAAACATGTCGAATTGGATCTTGATTTGATGTGACCAGAATGTCTGGATATTGAAAGGGAGAAGAACTGAAACCGCGCAATCATTTGTCTTTCATCATATGTCGTTCTTGATATCGAAGTTGGGGTCTCCTCTTTATGTACGAAGGTTGGCTTGTGTTCTCCCAGGCAAAGCAACAATACTAGGCAAGAATTGGCAGGCTCAACTGTATGTATCGTATATCACACTGTCGTTTCTGGTCAAGGTCGGGAAAACCAAAGGGAATCGATCACTGGCTGAAACCTCTGCGGAGGCGGGAACAAATGTGTGGTCAACTATCAGAAATTGTATGCAGCAATGCTTGTGATATGGCATATATCTATAGGTAGCCTCAATCATCACTTCATATCATTTTCCTTCTCGTCCTCCTGCCTGACCAAGGGACTTGTCTAAAGGTACCCACGGGAACCTTTATCATGCTTTTGGAGTATTGGTGCTTGCCACATATTGATCCTTGACAAGTTTTTGGTGTTACTAAGGTAGTATTTCCATTTTCATTTCCGTTGCCGTTGCCGTTGTCACCTAGGTAGGTATTTTTCACCTCTTCCGCGAAGGCCTGGCGTTCTTCTCGCGCCTCTTCTCCTTGGCTCGCCGCTCCTTGACCATATGATCGACACTCCGAAGCTCCTTTTTGTTGCCGCTCATGGCCATATTCTCCGTCCGCTCCTTCGCTCCAGTGGCCTTCTTCTTCTGCTTCTCATAGTCCTCGCGGAACTTGTCCGGTGCCTTTGGCATTTTCAAAGTCTTGTGTCTGAACCGCTTCCCGAAGCCGCCAGCCCCTGGCGCCACCCCGCCAGGGGCGGGCATAGAAGAAGTCCCCAAGGACGTCTTGCCTTCGGCCTCGCCAGTCCTCGCGACGCGCTTGATTCGATTTTCCTGTTTCCATCTGTCGAAGCGGCCGGAGCGGAAGCTCGCGGCGATTTTCGCCCCGGATTCGCCGCGGACAAGACGCTTGCCGCTGTTCTTGGACCCGTCGTCGTCGTTGTCCCGTCGCACGTACTTCTTGTGCCGCTTGTCCCAGCGCATGATGCTGCGGGCCTCGCCGAAGGTCTTGGACGATTCGTCCATGGCGAGATCCATGGTCGCCGAGCGTGCGGCTTCGGTGAAGTTGGTGTTGCTGCCGGAGTGGACGCCGTAGGCCCGGTCGTCGGTCATGTTGGTGGACGTGGGGTGGTAGGACATGAAGTTCTCCGGGTCGCGGAAGGTTGTGCTTGTAGTTGTCGTCTCTGTTTTGTGTCTTTTGGAGTTTGGCTGCGAGAAAGTGACTTCCAGCTCGCCAGAGGATGCTTCGGACATGGCGTCGTTGAAGTCCAGGTCGAGTTGACCCCCTGCAAGGGTATCGGCGTTCGCGTTGTCATCATCGAGCTCCATGGATCGCGCTTTAGCTGTATTATCTTGGGACTTGTGCTTGCGGGTTTCGAGACCAGAACGGATTTTCCGGATGGCGTCGACGGCGTCTTCGTTGTTCTTGCGCCCGCCGCGACGGGCACTGAACTCGAATATGGATTCTTGGGGTCGGAAACCACCGACCCGTGCCAGCATCTGTTCTCTTTGTGCTTCGAGGTCATCGGATTGGTCGTTGAAAAGGGGATGGAGTTCTGACCAGGCTTCGGATGAAACTAGGCCTTTGGCTCGTTTGGCGCTTTCAGAGGAAGCAGAGTTTCGAGTACGCTGGTACAGCTTCTCACCTTTTGAAGCGACGGAGCGCAGGGCGAGTAAGTCGGAGTCGTCTTCGAGCGATTTGGTTACCCACTCGCAGGTCGTGTGCAAGTCATCCCGGCGCAGACCTCCTACAACAACGTCTTGTGCAAAGTTGACGCTCTCGGAATTTGCCCTGCCAATCGAGAGCTTGCGACCCAGGAAGAGTTGCAAATCAAGAAGGTAAGGGGCGTCAGAATCGCGGACGAGACTGTAACTCCAGCCTTTTTGGCCAGCTCTTGCTGTTCGCCCCACTCGGTGGACGTAGATCTTAGGCTGCGAAGGGAAGTCGTAATTGATAACATTGGCTAGCACTGGGATATCGATCCCTCGAGCCGCTACGTCGGTGACAACGAGGATGTTCGTTTGGCCTGTGCGAAAAGCGTGGACCTGAGTCTTGCGTGCAGTTTGGTCTAAAGATCCGTAAGCGTAAGACACGGCGTATCCAGCAGACCGAATAAGTTGTGCCAAGTATTCGACATGATGCTTAGTCGCAGCGAAAACAATGGTTGAGTAGGGGTCTGAGCTGAGCGCGCTGCTCTCATCCGCTTCTTGCCGCTTCCTCTTCTTACTTGGTTTGTCTGTGTCTGCGGATGTCGCTGAAGAGACGAGTTGCGTCCTGGTTGGCACTTTGATGATTTCTTCTAGAAGAAATAGGAGGGCTCCTTCCTTCTCCGGCGATTTCAGTGTGAAGAATGCGCTTTGCAGATCCGGCGAGATCTTGCTGTCTGCATCAAGTCGGACAAGGACTGGGTCTTGCAGACCTGCTCGAGCAAACTCGACCAGTGACTTCGGCAGAGTGGCTGAGAACAGAAGTGTTTGCCTAGAAGCTGGCAATGCGTGTAGAATCTCCGTCAATTGTGCCGCAAACCCCATCTCAAACAGGCGATCTGCTTCGTCGAAGACGACATATCTCATACTCGAGAGATCTAATCCCATTTCGACTTTCAAATGCAGGAACCGACCTGGTGTTGCTATGATGACATCCGGGTTGTTGGACATGGCGGAAAATTGTTCTTCAAGGCTGTCTCCGCCGACTAGTAGGATTGACCTCAAATCAGCTCCCCGTCCAAGTTCCTTGACAACTTGTAGTGTCTGCAAAGCCAATTCCCTTGACGGTGACAAGATCAAAGCCCTTGCTCCAACTTTTGTGCTGTGGACCTTCAGCTTCTCGATCATGGGTATTACAAAAGCTGCTGTCTTGCCCGAGCCTGTTCTTGCCATGCCCACCACGTCCTTGTCGTTCAGAAGAAGAGGGATCGTCTTGCGTTGGATCGGAGTTGGAACAGAGAAGCCTTTCCGCGTTATTGCTTTGAGCAGATTGGCATTGAGGCCCATTGCTTGGAAACCGCCGCCCTTCCTTACGGTGCGTCCTTTGAGATTTGAGCCCTTTCGGTTTGAGGCCGCTTGTTGGGCGGCAATGATGGCTTCATCGTCCGACCCTGACTCCTCCGCCATAACATCCAGGTCTCCATTCTGCAGGTCTTCATTCTCTTTATCCAAGTGGGTTGCACTGGACTGGATATCGTCGCCGCCGAACAGGGCAGATCCAATATCGAGTTCGTTCTCAGAACGGGCTGGTGAGCCCGATCGGCGGCTCATTGTTGCGAATTGGCCCTGATAGAAGGGAAGCGGGCTTGATGGATCCCGACGGTTACCTCGATTCAATCATGTCGCCCGGAGGAGGCTTTCTACAGACCTGCTGTTAAAGCCGTGAAAATTGCCTGCGCTGAAGATAAACTTCTCCAAAAGTTTTTTGGTTCACCGCCTTGGGCAATATTCCTGCACATTATGTAAGCGAGGGGATGGCAGAAAAACGCGTGTGAACGCGTCGTTCCTCAGGCTCGATGCAACCACTTTCAGACTGTCATCAATATCGACATTCTGCCTGCTCACCAAACCAATTGTCTCGAGCAAGAATGGGTATGTATGCAAAAAGCCAACATTGGAGCTTTGACTAAATGGCTGCAGATTACGGCTACAACAATCAGTACACGACCTCCTACGGCGCCCATGGCGCAGCCGACGGTGGCGGTTTCGTTGCGGGAGAACCACAAAGCAGCCCGGCTGCCGGAAGAGTATGAATATGGCAATGACAGTGGTGCAACATCTGCTGATCCACGGTGGTAGGGAGGGTATGGAAAAGACACAGTCCGACCCATGACGATCAAGCAAATCCTTGACTCTCAACAACCACACCCAGACGCAGACTTTCGAGCAGACGGGGAACCCTTCGGTCAAGTACGTGTTAACTCTATACGTTGTATATTCTGGGTCTGATTCTGATGCACTGAGGCGTGCAGGTCACGTTTGTTGGCCAAATCCAAGGCATCAGCACACAACCCACAAACATCACTTACCGAGTAGATGATGGCACTGGCATGGTCGAAGTGAAGCAATGGATCGACACCGACTCCAACAAGGAAGACAGAATGGACGGCGTCGAGTCGAACAAGCCCAAACTGGTCGAGAATGGATACTGCCGTGTCTGGGGCCGATTAAAATCGTTCAACAACAAAAGACACGTTGGTGCGCACATCATCCGACCCATTACGGACTACAACGAGATAAACTACCACTTGCTCGAGGCTACGGCTGTGCATCTGTTCTTTACGAGAGGGCCACCTCAGGCACAACAGGCCAACGGCAACAAGGACGCGGGTGCGAATGGTGGTCATCAAGACTTTGCCAGCGCGGCCGACAATGCTCTATCCGGCATCTCACCTCTGGGACGGAAGGTCTTCCATACATTGAAGAACACCCCGCAGAGCAACGAAGGCCTGCACGTCCAGATGATTGCTTCGCAGATGGGGATGCCTGTCAGTGAGGTCTACAAAGGCGCCGAAGAATTATTAGCGATCGGCATGATATTTACCACCGTGGATGATAACACTTGGGCAGTATTGGATGCATAAATGCACTGACTCCGTGTTGAGTCATGCCCATTCCAAGACTCACCTGTCTTGTGGATCTGCATCGCCACATCTAGTTTGGACAGCGGCGCTGGTTGTACATTATGATGATACGAAAGAACTCGGACTAGGATGATGTCTGATAGACCGAAGTACTCATGAGTGCAAATTTAATGTCTCATGACGATGACAAGGACCAATGTCTACGGAAAAGCCTTGATCCGATGTACATGCATGATCCACCTCCTTTCTCCCCACGCCCTCGACATTTCCGCCCTCCGGCAAGTAACCAGCTATTGAGCCTAAATTCAGATGTGGAAGCCCCCATGATGCCCCAAATGTACAGATACCATCTACATCGGCATGGGTACGGAGAATGGTCCGCTGCGTCATGGTTTCGGCCATATGAGCGCTTGTGATGTGTCCACACCTAGCAGGAGGCTCTCGCCGTCCCTTACTGGCGTGTACAAGTGAAGAAAAACCAACTTCTGCTCCAACGACTGACGTTTCGGCAGGCTTGGACTGATATTAACCCGAGTACTACAGGGCAGCGCTTTCTCTGCTCACATTCGTGCCAGACATGTTGAACGGCCAAGATATGACCTCTCACGATTTACGGGTTCGCTTTACCTCTCTAAAGAGCCCCTTAACGACTCGTTCTGAGGTGTTGGAGGCGTGTACGTCTCTACTTAACCCGCTTCTGCCCTTCTTCTCTCCAGCACGAACCAGAGTACGCCTCGGGGCAACGGCCACTCGTTACGATGAAGCAGGCGCACAGCTAGAGGGCTTTACGAGACCTATGTGGGGTCTGGCCGCTTTGCTGGCTGGAGGTGATGCTTTTCCTGGCTCAGAGCTTTGGCTAGAGGGGTTGAAAAATGGCACGAACCCTGACCACCCGGAGTTTTGGGGTTGGTCGAAGGACTTAGATCAACGCATGGTCGAGATGTGTCCGTTGGGTTTCGCACTGTGCGTTGCTCCCAAGCAGTTTTGGGATCCTTTGACCCAGAAAGAGCGTCTCAACGTTCAGCAATGGCTTGATATCAACAAAAAGGAAATGCCCAACACGAACTGGCTTTGGTTCCGTGTCTTCGCCAATCTTGCCCTGATGAAGAACGGTGCCAAATATGACGCCGAACGTCTTGAGGCGGATCTTAATCATCTGGACACATTCTATCGAGGTGATGGTTGGTCGAACGATGGACCCAAGGACACGCTCCAAATGGACTACTATTCCGGGTCTTACGCCATTCAATATCTCCAGCTGCTGTACGCCAAGATCAATGGAGATCAAGACCCGAAGCGAGCTGAAGAATATAAGTCTCGAGCCAGGCTGTATGCAAAGGACTTCATTCACTACTTCGATGAGCAAGGTAAGTACCAGAATGTTCTGCGACACGATGCCTCTGACAAGAGCAGGCCGAGCAATCACTTTCGGCCGATCGTTGACTTATCGTTTTGCGATGGCTGGCTTCTGGTCTGCGGTCGCATTCGCGGACGTCGAACTTGATCCACCCTTGACCTGGGGTGTCGTAAAAGGGCTCTTGTTGCGCAATCTCCGATATTGGCGCCAGCAAAAAGACATCCTTACCGAAGCAGGGACATTCAATATTGGTTATACATATCCAAACCAGTTCATGTCCGAGAACTACAACTCCCACGGCTCAACGTATTGGTTCATGTTGAGCTTTGCTTGCCTGGCATTACCGGAGTCACATCCGTTCTGGATCAGCAAGGAGGAGCCTTTTCCTGCACCATCAATACCTCAGATTGTATCTTTGAAGCATCCCAAGCATATCATGATCAAGAGGGGAGGGCACACTTTCCTCCTTTCTTCCGGGCAGATGTGCCACTATCCCATGCGCGCGTCAGAGTCCAAATATGGCAAATTCGCGTACAGCTCAGCCTTTGGCTACTCTGTGCCAACAGGAGGCTACTTTGTCGAAGCAGTTGGCGGAGACAACATGATCACAGTGTCCGATGATGCGGGGGATACTTGGAAAGTTCGGAGAAAGGCCATTAATGCAAGGCTGGAGACGAAGGACAACTCACCGGTGCTGATCTCCACGTGGATGCCCTGGCAAGATGTGTCGATCGATACCTATCTGCTCCCTCCAATCGAAGATGCACCAAACTGGCACTTACGCGTTCACCGTATCACGACGGGTAAGCGAGCTCTAAAGACAAGCGAAGGGGCCTTTGGGCTTCATGGGATCTCGCAGAAGGACGAAAGAGAATTACCCCAGCTGAGCGGACAGGACACCGAGGGGAGGCGGGAGGGTACAGGGGAGGCTCTGGCTATCTCCAGGGGTGGTGCAGTGGGGATAGTTGAGATGCATCAACCCCAGACTCGTTCGGGCCGCGTGCTCGATGAAGATGCAAACAGCAATTTGACCGAGAGCAGATCTGTGCTGCCCAGTCTGACTCTAGACCTTGAGCCGGGCACAAGTATCTGGATGGCCACTGCAGTATTTGCTATGCCGAATTCTGTTCCGGAATACCGGCAGAAGTGGCAGGGTGAATGGGAGAGACGACCCCGGATTCCCGACTGGCTCAGACAGCAGATGGATTGACAAAAAGGTGCAAGGCTTCACATCAATAAGGTCAGACGGAAAGCAGCTGCGACAGTATATGAGATCCAGCTGTTGTGATGATTAGTCGCACAGTACGTTATGTTCTCTGCAAAGCCGCAGAAATAAGGGCATTGTGTGGGACATCTAATGGGGCTCTACTCAACCTCTTTGCATCTGGCTACCCGTGACTATTCTCTACGACGAGCACGCAACAAGCACACCTGTTCTGGAAGGCCAGAAACAAAAGAGGTTGCATTTGGCCTTCGGCAGATGATTCCACCGACGAGCGGGCCGCCCTCGACATCGTTTACTGTGTACCACTTTTCTCGATTCAGCCTCGATTTATCCCACAATTTACCCAGGATCAGCGGAGGACCTGCCGTCCTCGACCTCCAATACCCCAGAGCCACCAGGCGGAGACAGCAAATCACCGTGTCCCGGCCTCTCCAAGGAGGAGATATGGTTGGATTTCGAGACCTCCTCACAGCATTACACTCCTCGTCGCCATGATTTCAGGCTGAAAAGTCCGGGCATTTGGAGAACGACGTGCATGGACATGCCATACCCCCGCAGCATGATAGCGCCGAAAGTCTTGAGTCGTGTAGGAACGTTGCAACAAGGGACAAGACTACCAATGCTTGTCAAGCCTTTGCACATCTTGACTTCCTTGAGCTTGGTTGGTGGCGTACCGCCGCTGGCTATTCGACAAGGGGTAAAACTCCGGCCACTATCGCCGAGTTATACTCCCCAAGTTGTGGTGGGCGGCTCATCACTTCCTTCAGACCTGGAGTCCCATTTTCATTCTCCGTGCCAGGCTGCAGATCGGCTGACATCTCAAAAGGGCAAGTGGACGTTCGCTTGAAGATCATCCCTGTGCGACATGTGGCTGCTGCGAGAAGGCCGGAAGGAGATGCTCCGGGTATATTACCTTGTACTCCTGTCTTCATGCCATCTTCTTCTTCTTCTTCGACCCCGACAGCTAGCTCTATCCCGCCTCAACGTCAGCCATATCATCCATCAAGATGAGTTTCATCAGGAAAATCGTCCACAACGACGCTGTCAAGCTCGACCCACCCGAGGTCTATAACTGGCGAGTCTTTGCGCTTGCATGTGCCGCTTGTTTTGGTGGAACTCTCTTCGGCATGGACATTGGTATCATTGGCGGAGTCTTGACACTGCCTGATTTCAAGAAGTATGCCCTGAACTACACTCCTCTCGAGTATAGACGCTGATATGCTTCCAGAGAATTTGGTCTCGGTAAAAATAGCGCCAATCTCTCTGCGAACCTGGTCAGCGTGATGGTATGTCCCTCTTCATTGCAATTTGCAATCCCCACTCTAGTAAAATACTGACTTGAAGATGCAAAACAGCAAGCTGGTGCTGTCCTGGGGAGCTTGGTGGCCAATCCATTGTCTGACTGGATTGGGCGCAAGCGAAGCATTCTTATCATCTCGGTTTTTGCGTTCATCGGAGGTCTCCTTCAAGCGTTCTCCTATGGCAGCCTCGTGTGCTTCTATATTGGAAGGTAGGTTTCCAAGATGGAGTGATTGTTTAGTGCGCAAATCTGACAGGTACAGATTCGTGGAAGGCTTGGGTCTAGGTGGTGCTACCATGTTGGCTCCTACCTACGTCGCTGAAAACGCACCTCGAGGCATCCGCGGTCTTCTGGTCGGCTTCTACCAGCTCTTCGAAACTATGGGTGCGATGGTCGCATTCTTCATCAACTACGGTTCCCTTTTGCACCTCAAAGGCCACGCTACGTGGATTGTGCCTCTGTCCATGCAATCACTCCCACCACTTTTGCTCTTCTGCTCGATTTTCTTCTGTCCGGAAAGCCCTCGATGGCTCGCCTCGAAAGACAACTGGGACAAAGCTTCCAGCACACTCTCGACTGTTCGTCGGCTGCCTGCGTCCCATCCGTACGTTCAGGCTGAGCTTCTGGAGATGAAAACCCAGTTGGACGCCGAACGAGGGCGTGCTGGTGGCAACAGCTATTGGGCGTTGACCAAGGAAGCCTGGACAATTCCTGGCAATCGACGACGTTGTATTATGGTCATTGTTCTGATGATTGCGCAGCAAATGACTGGCACCGTAAGTGTTGTCCATTGCGAAAGAGGGCACTATTCTTCCACTGGTCTTTTGCTTTCACCGCTGGTTTTATTTGTACAATTGTCTCACAACGTGTCTACAGAACGCTATCAATTACTATGCCCCAACCATCTTCACGAGTAAGTGCAGTTTCAAACGGATTGTTCACCTTGCTGACGAGAGACAGACTTGGGCGTTACTGGAAACAGCAACAGTCTCTTCGCAACCGGAGTGTATGGCATTGTCAAGATGTGCTCTTGCGCTATCTTTATTACATTCCTTGCCGACACCCTTGGGCGAAGGTGGTCATTCGTCTGGACGGGATTCTTCATGTGGTTCTGCATGTTCTATCTTGGATTCTACGTTCGATTTGATGCACCCGAGAAGGGCGCTCCTATTTCGAGTGCCGGGTACGCTGCACTCGTGTTTGTGTATCTCTTTGCTGCAGCATTCCAGTTTGGTTGGGGTAAGGTTGGCATCGATATACAAGAAGGCATCTTTCTCTGACTGACCACTTTCAGGACCTTGCTGTTGGATCTACAGCTCCGAGATTTCCACACAGCGGCTTCGAGGTTTGACTGTTTCGTACGCTGCATGCACCCAGTGGATCTTCAACTTGGTCGTGGCTAGGTCGACCCCTGTCATGCTGCAGACGGTTGGGTCCCACGGATACGGCACGTATTTCTTCTACGGGTCCTTCTGCTTTACTATCGCAGTCGGAGCATACTTCTTGGTTCCCGAAACCAAAGGTGTAAGTAGCTGTCCGAGCGTACTCATGGTGGCTTAACTTCAAACTGACATATACTAAAGGTCTCCCTGGAGCGAATGGATGAGTTGTTCGGTATCACCGACTTCAGCGGCATGGAGGACATGGGTCTGGCAGCTCAACACGCGAAGGGCGACATTGAAGCTGTTCACCTTGAAGGGCAAGGGAAATAAACCAAACATGCTGGGATAACCTCTCCCTGCCAGGACAACATGCTGTTTCAAGGGATGAGAAGAAGTAGACAGCTTATCGAGAAATGAAAGTCCTGAACAACAACTATCTGACGGGTTACAGTCCAGGTGAAGGACGACGAACGAAGGTATCCAGGTGCTTACTGGTGTGCTGGTGTTGATGAGTAATCGGAGGCGAGGAGGATACTCCTGAGTTACACGTGATCAGTCTCCTTTGAGCAGCTGTGCCGAAGGCTTCTTTCACGTGACCTGTATCGCTTCTGAAAAAGAAACGACAACCACCGACCAATTGATTGTCATCTTCTTTCATTCTTCTCCTCTCAATGGGCTTCCGCCTCACTTCTACTCTTCCCTGCGATCCCATGCTAAACCTCATCCAGAACATCTACGCCCTTTGTATCCCGCGTTGCCCGTATTCCACACTCGTGCACCTCGTTCCGGCTTCCTGCTATCCTCCACTTCCCAGTGGACAAATCAATGTCTTTACAGACTCCGAGTAAGAACGCTCGACTACGACTCGTTCGGATGCCCGCTCTGAAGGACTGCCGTGAGCCAGGGACCTGTAGCGTGGGGAACCGCCTGGCCACAATCAATCTGAATGGCGGACTTGCTGACACCACATGTCGTCCAACTCAAGAGTCTGACCATTTCCACATCGCCAAGTGGCTTCCTGGACTTCTTTTCCAGTTGACCAATTGATAAAGTCCGCTTCCTCCTAGCCGATTCAGCACGAACTTCTTCCCCGTTCTTGTCCCTCCAGATTGCCAGATCCGCGCTGCCGCCAATTCAACTCGACATCCAACTCTCGAATGTCGATATTGAGGCTTCGAATTTCACCACGCCCACTGCTCGCTTTCGATCAACCAGCAGCATCAGTTCCGCCACACGTGCAGACCTCGTGCTACTAAAGCATCTTAAGAGCAAACAACCTACATAAAACTCTCGTCGAGGTTTCCTCTTCACACCCTATATCCCCAAACCTTCCGTTCAACATCATCATTCGCTGATGTCGGTTGATCTTCGTGCGTCTCGTAGTTGTCTGCGCTTTCCATCTCGAGTCGTCACAGTCTCGAGAGCTCAACTTTCTTCGGTTCACACTGGAGATCTCACTAGACCAATTGACAGGGGTTGATCCAGAAACATTGCCAGAGTAGGTGAAACCAAAGTGCTTCTGCGTTCCACTAAAGTTCGAGAAAAGGGCAACGTCGGAGAACAAGAAGCCGCTAAATACAAAACCAGCCATTGAAGATGGCTCTTGCTCCTTGTGCTACCGTCCCAATGCTTGATGGGGCTATGGTCCACGAGAAGCCGAATTCGACAGCCGACAACATTGCACCCACTACGACTACCCTTGAAGGAGTCCGAATTGTCGCTCCGCATGAATACAAGGAGGCTGCTGCCTGTCTTGCTGAAGCATTCCGCCTCGACAACGTCGTGCGCTATGCCATCGATACTCCCGATCACAAGCATCTGACGGAAGCAGAACGGTTCGAATTGCACAGGGCTGCATTGGAATACGTTACCTATGCCCACTGCCTCAACGGTCTGGTCCTCACTGTTGGTGAGAACTACGACTGTGTTGCTCTTTGGCTGCCACCAGGGAAGGATATCGATGATTGGTGGACCATATTCCGAAGTGGTATGTGGCGTCTCAGTTACATGTTGTCCAAGGAGGGCAAGATTCGTTTCTTTGATGAATTTCTGCCTTTACTACATGACACAAAGCAGGAGATCCTGGGCGAAAGGGATGCTCAATCTTGGTACCTCAACTATGTTGGCACAAAGCCTGAGGCCCGTGGCAAGGGCTATGCAAAGAAGGTGATTCAGTATGTCACTAAGCTGGTTAGTCTGGCTAGACATGATGCAGGGTCAATTACCAACTAACGGTCTCAGGCCGATGGTCACGGACTCCCGTGTTACCTTGAGAGCTCGCATGATATCAATATCGTCATCTACGCCAAACTTGGGTTTGATGTTAGGAAGCAGATCTTCTTGAAGCGCGCTACCGGCAAGGAGCTTAGAATGGATGTTATGGTGAGGGAGCCTGTGACTCGAGAGAAGAATAGCAAGACCGAGTTGCCAAAGGCGGCTTAGAGACACAATACTGTTCCTTTCCAGATAATGTTGAGATATCTCTACCACTCAATGATTTCGATCTTAATATAATCGCCGTTGGTCGTAGGCTTGGGAGCACGTAGATTGACACGACTGGCTGGAAGGATAATGGGGGTTTGGTTGATCATTGATGGCTTAGCTACTAGTAAAGTAGTGAGGCTAAGCAAGGCTGTCCGCGGATGAACGAGGCTTAGCCATCTCTAAACGTCACCCTTCCAAGTACCCAAGGAGCCCGGAGGCTGCGCGTTTCAGATCCAAATCAACAACAGAAGTACTACGTATTCTTATGCTTGTGTCGACTTCTTTTCTACGAGAAGACTTTATCCAGCCTAGTCATCACTGCACACCGTAAACAGGTGTGTCTGTGCTTTGTCTCATTGTATTCTCCCTTTAACGGTCGCGATCACGACATTACCAGCGCAACAATGCAATCCTCGAGATGACACTAGACCAATGCCAATGGAATCGACCGCCTGATTGAATCAGCCTCTCCTCCAAAATTCTTGATATCCTCCCTCAATCCCGCTCAATGGCTAGCTACTCGACACCCTCTTCCTCACCGCCACCGACTCCCCGACGCCGCCGCTTACGTTCTTGCGCAGACAAATGTGAGCGCGGATGCTGCACGGTGGCTACCTACTTTCCACTTGCCTTCGTCTACAGTCTGTCAACATGGGCCGTTTATGTTGTTTCTTCGATAGGATTTGGGGCACATCGATCTAAACATGTGTGGTGGCTGATACAACTGATCTCATGTTTGGGCGTAATACTCTATGGATTGGCGAACCTCTCATACACAATCGCAGTCTTTACAGACCCCGGATCACCGCTGGACTCTCGGCGAGGCTCGTCTCGTTCTAATCCGGGGCAATATTCAGTCCTTCCGACGAACGAGCGGTCAGCAGACTTGAACGACATTCAAACAATCACAGTTTCTTCCACGGGAGCACCGCGCTATTGCAAGAAATGCCACGTCTCAAAGCCCGACCGGACGCATCACTGCTCGACATGCAAACGCTGCGTATTGAAGATGGACCACCATTGCCCCTGGCTCGCGACGTGCCTGGGTTTGCACAATTATAAAGCATTCGTCTTGTTCCTCATATACATCTCACTGTTCAGCTGGGCATGCTTCGCCAATTCAGCATGGTGGATGTGGAGGGAGTTGTTCGAGGACAGCGGCTACCTTGAAGAAGCAGCTCCCATCAATATCATCTTACTCGCCGTCATATCCGGAATCATCGGGCTGGTACTGACCGGGTTCACCTCTTGGCACATTTATCTCTGCGCCAAGGGCCAAACTACGATCGAGAAGCTGGAAAAAACGAGATACCTGAGCGGGGTGAGGAGTCGAGTCGAGCGAAACCGACAGGAACAGCAATTAAACCAACACCGTCGCGGCTCGGAAGGAGTAGCTGAACGACTCCAACGAGCCGGCGAGCAGATCCTCGAGTTCCACGCCAATGCTGTCCCTGGAGCGTCGCGTTATGAAGAGGGCGAAGAACACACATCGCCTGTGCCGAGTGTCTACAATCCTAATGTCAACCAACACCATCCTCAACATCCGCATAACTACACCCAAAAGACCCCCTACCACGACAATACTGGCGATACGCCCGCACTGCGCGCCCTAAGAAGGACGTACTCCAACATCGAAGCCGAGCGTGAACGAGAGCGATATGCCGAGTACATGGACGACTACGAGTCCGAAAAGATGCCCAATGCATTTGACCTGGGATGGCGGCAAAATTTGAACCACCTGTTCGGACCGACCCCGCTACTGTGGTGCTTGCCTGTGTGCAATACTACGGGCGATGGATGGCGGTGGGAAGTCAGTCAGAAATGGCTCGCGGCTCAGGAGGAGGCGGCGCGGCGGAAAGAGCAAAGGCTCGAGACGATGAGAAATGAGCAGCATAATGCATACGGCGGCGGACGCGGTGTAGGCATGAGAGGGCGCGGATATGCTGGCTATGAACGGGATCGCGACCGGGATCATGAGTATGGGCGAAGTATGCAGAGCGCGATGAGCATGCAGCATTTACCCCACCAGCAGCAGCAGAGGGGGAGGCAGAGGACCGACTTTGATCGCGGCGAGAACGGGCAAGTCGAGCGGTTTCAGGTTAGTAGCTCTGATGAGGAGAGTCAGGAAAGCGACAGTGATTCGGATATTGGATACGATGATGACGATGCCGAAAGAGGGTGGAAGCGTCGGGACCGTGCGAGGAGAGGGAGATGATGCGAGGCTGTGTCGCTCTGTGCTTCTTGCCGAACACCGTTTGTATATTGCTGTCATCATCAATTGAGCGTTCCACACACAAGAGCGTACCCAACGGATGCCTAATTTAGGCTGCTTTTGAGATGGGCATTGCTGGAGTTCTAGTCCGGTACGAGTACCACTTGAAGCAAAACAAAGCAAAGCTGCGTACCAAGGCAGTGCAGATATCCCTAACCCCTGCCAATTTCTCTATTGACGGGCGTCTGTCCGGGGCTTTTTTCTCCGCCTCCCATGTTCTTACTGCCACTCTTGCTTGCTGCGCGTCTCGTCCGCATCGAAGCCCAAAGCTGTACCTGGACTCAGTTCCAAGGGTCTTGTGAAAGCCCTGGTCTGGCGGAGCAGAAGCTTAAAAGCAACCCAAGCCATAGTGCATTCGTGGCGCGCCATTTATCGAGGTCTCTATTTTCGTACGCCTAATCATTCAATTCTGTACATCCAAGGAATCATCGCTCACTTGCTTGCTTGCTCAATACGCTTTCAATCCAAGACAGTCTAATTCCAAACCGGCCAGGACCTCGCATACGCCATAACACAGATGACTGGCGAACGGTTACAAGTCGTAGGCTCTCGAAAAGTGATTTATTCCCGCTGCAGATAAAAATCGTCCACGGCCCCTCCAGTCACGCCAGCAGGATAGAAGATCTTCTTCAAAACCATAAGACACAAGGCTAGAAAGACACCGGCGATCGCGCGGTCGATGGTTATATGCTCCCGCTCGCGGTCGCGCTGGAGTATCTCCTGCAGGGGTTGTTGACCGGACGGGGCAAGCGCGGCGTTGGCAGCGGCCAGAGGCGGTGCGTGGATGCCGGACATCCTCGACATGGTCGGTCTTGTTGTGCTGGAGGAAGAAGACGGCGGGAGGGTGAAGTCGGATGGTGTCAAGACGGCTTCGGCGCTGGCTTGGGTCGCTTCGGCGGACGGGGTCGATATGATGGGGATTGAGGACTGAGATGGCGGACTGAGGCTTGAGCGTCGTTGCGATTGGGCCTGGGCGCGTGAGGGCGATTGCGGTTGAGCAGGTGTCTGTGTTTCTGACCGCAATGGTTCCCTTGACAGCGTTGACATTGCCGTCGAGGCTGGCTGTGTAGGCGGTACTTCCTCACTCTGCTGTTGTAGCCTCGTGTCCTTCTGCTTGCCCTTCTCTTTCCCCTCTTTACCAGACCTTTGCTCCGTAGCTGGAGCCGTGCTCTTCGCCTCCTGCTCCCTTACCCTCGCCTCCAAATTCATGCCCTCCGGCAGCGTTTCCAACTCCACGCCCTCCTCTTCCTGCACACTGACACCAGCCTCCCTGCACACCTCCCACCACTCCTTCATGACGTCTTCATTCGTCTTCCCGCACGCCTCGCACTTCCACCCTTTACTCTCTCTGGCCAACCTCTTCCTCACATCGGCACTGGCCTCCAACCCGCCGACCTGACCCGCCGAGCCTTTCTCGGCCATAAAACTCCTCAACGCCGTCAACGCCGTCCGCACACCCCACGCAGGCATCCACGTCTCCTCATGGAAGCCCGATATGCTCAGGCAGATCTCTCGATTGACCTCGAAGCGGCCGGAGGGCGTGAGGAAGCGGAAGTTGGGCGGTTTCAAAGGGTACGTTGCGGGTAGGGTGATACGGCCGTGGTACATCCCACCAGCGTAGGGCGAGGGCGAGGGAGGACCAAGGAGGGTGAAGTGCCATTCGTGCAGGTCGGCTTCCGAAACCGGCGCCGCGTAGAATGCTGGGTTGGGGTTCGAGGATTGCGACGAGAGTTCGGCGGTTTCTTTGAGGAGGCGGCGGATCGTGGGCGAGGGAGCCATTACTGAGAGAATGAAGGTGTATGTACAGAGTAACTCGTAGGGCCGTGCTGCGTTGGGTCGGTGTACGAGTACAACTGAGGACGTTGAGTGATGGTGACTAGTAGGATGAGGTCATTGGAGAGGTTGGCGCGAAATACAGGCGGGTTAAATTTGATAAATAGTGTGCTCGACACAATGTTGCAGAACGTAGATATGGTTTTCCACTGACGTGTACTGTACATGGGGGTAGGACCAGGAATATAGGGAGTGAGCAAGAGTGGCAATGGACAGAGTAAACCGAGACGCAAGGCTGCGCCTGTTGGCTTCTTGGAGAAGGCTGAGGATATGTATCAGGTTAAAGTCCGCACCTCCGTACTCCGTATCTTTAAGTACTCTGTAACTTCACCGTGCTTAGCCAAATAGAATCAACCCTTCGAGACTGCACGACGCACTTGTTGCATGCCTTTGCTGATTAAAGAGAATACGCGTGGGGGCACGACAGGGTAGTTTTGCAGCATGCTCGTTGCCTCTCGTGCGGCTCTGCAGTTGAGGACAGACAGAGACTATCGAATGTGAACAGTGATTCACGACAGTCTCTCGACATTAAAAGCTAGGTAGCTATTGCTATTGCTATTGATATTGCTGTGCAACTGATGACGCTATGCTGTGCCTCCACAGAGTCACTTTCCTCCCCAGTTCTCCGAAGAAGTTCCACTTTCACTAATATACAGAGGAGAGGTTAATCAAATCAAATAACGGCCGTCTCAATTTCAATAGGAAAGGACGAAAATTCATCAGCCAGAATCCCTGCTGGCTATATAGGACCACCTGGTCCATTCTTGCTCGAGTGAAGGAAAGTCGTAATTAAGAAATGCCAAATGTCTTGTATCTCTAAGCGCACAAGGTATCATGTCGAGGTGATTAAGTAGTTGTATGTCTGTCGTGAGGTTGAGGGATGATGTGCTTGTGTCGATGCGTCGATCGGAATTGTTGGTATCCACCTCAATTAATGTTTGGATAGAATGTTCGTGTGCCCAAACAAGATCGTTGATATAAAGTCGAGAGTCGAGAAGAGAAATATCGAAGATGCCATTCAAACGCCAGATTTCGATGCCAATAAGCCGCCAAATCGCCATGCAAGATATTGGGGAGAGTCAGGGTAAGTCAGGCGCCGAAGGAATTTAATATGCTGTTTCCATCCCCATCAGAGCATGGTCAGATACCTGCATGCCTGTGACAGGATCGATTGAGAGCTCGTCGACGTAGCCGATCAGAGCTTGAGAGTGTAATTTGAACGATTCGCCCATGGTTTTTGAGATGCTTTCAGATGTTAGTTGCGACCTATCAAGATCGGATTGAGAACTTACCCCCAAACAACCACGCCGTCTAGCATTGTGCCCCAAACACGAGCCACAGTCGAGCTCAACCGTGACCCATTGGCATCCACAGCGTCATCATCGAACAAGCCACGTACTTTCATGTACATGGCAAGCTCTTCGTCCGTCGCTTCTTGATCGTCATGCTCGATGCGATACAGCCACAAACTGAGTATGGTAATGAGATCCAAACCGCAGAGGGGATGTTCAATGCTCCAATTGGTCGATGAGGTTTTGGTCACCCAGTTGATGCCCTGCATTGCAACAATTTCCATGCATTCGTAACATTGTTCGATGACTTTGATCATCTCTTTCGTTCTTTTGACGTTGTCACGAGTCAACGTCATGGCTGCGGCAATCTCATATGAATTGTGATACCGTAATGCCTCCTGGACATTCTTAAGGTCCACTTCAAGGAATGCACGGGTGTTGCGATAGACAGCCATTGAGTTGAAGATCAGAGGGTGGCTCTTGTGCGGTGTGCTCAAAGGGACGACGATGATCTCGGGTTCACACAAATCGAGTGATCGCTCCCAGGTTTCCAGTGCAATCCGGATCTTCCATTCCAGAACCACATCCTGCAAAGATTCGAAACTTCTCCTCAAATTCCATACTTCCAGGAACAGCGCGTTGATCATTACTCGAGTCGCAAAAGCACTGTATCGAGCGGCATCTCCCTGGAAGAGGCTATCGTACGCCTCTCGAACAGTGATTGTTGGCGACGCTGCAAATATGTCTTGCCAAGAATCCTCGTCTGTGGGCTCGATACTCCATAATGATTCGGAAGAGGGTAGTGGTAACGAGTCGAACTCGTTGAAACTGATGGCTGGGGTGTGATTGTAGGTCAGGGTCAGCATTCCGAAGAAGATGTAGACGGCATAATATGTTCTTCGGCAACCTTCTTCATTGACCCATTGTTCGTGTGTTGGCGGAGCCCCTGCGCGAGCATCAATCCGTAACTTGAGTTCGTACTTGTTGCCGGCAACCATCTGAAAGAATTAGTGGGAATCAGAGACTAGTCAGGCATCACCTACGTTGGCGAGCAAGCTCTTGATAGAGCACGCCCATTCCAGACCTTGCGAGCCACCACTCCAGCTTTCGAATACCATGTTCAGTAGAGTACTTTGCATAGTCCAGAGAGGGCATTTTCGCGAGTCAAAGTTGTCTTTGTTTTGCAGGAACTGGTTGACAAGCTTCTTCGAGCCATGGTGCAGCAGATACGCTTGTTCTTGCTCGAAATTGTACAGAGCTCCGATGGAGAAGATGGCGAGGAGAAGAGCTGGTTGGCAGCTTTCAGGACGGAAGGTGACAGGATGAAGGAAGGGTAGGTGATGGTGAAAGAGGTTGAAGTAGGTGGTGAGGTAGAGATCAATTGAGGGCAATGAGGGTAGTGCGATGTCTCCGCCTAGCTGGTTAGCAATGATAGCTCTCTCGTCATCATTGTTCAACTGCGGAGCTTTAGGCAAGGAAAGGGGCTGGGCTGGACCAGGCGACTTGCGATAGTTCACTGGCGACACAGGCCCTGTCATTGAGGGGAAAGGAGAGAGCGCGTTAGGCGTGGGCGTCCCCGAAACCGGGAAGGTGTCGGCCAGCGAGGGGAAGGTTGGAGGCAGCGAGCTCCCGAGCGAATTCTGGCGTTCCATGATGGGTGGTAATTGGGACTGATGCGGTTGGATCGATCCCATGTGGACGAAGGGAGGCTGCGACAGGTTATCTTGCGACGAGATGCTCGACATGGAATGTGCTTTGGGTTCTGACGGGCCTTGTGGCATGAAGCTGTCCCACGGCATATGCGGCAGGACGTTCGGACCGGCGAGGTAGTCGGACGATTCGAGTAGCGAGCTTCGGTCGGGTGAGTAGTCGGGAATGGAGCCTTCGCCGTTGTGTAGATGGCCGTTCACTGCCGCTGCTGCTGCCGCCTTGTGTTGGAAGTCTGTCATCAACATGGCGGCAGTTTCAAGGTCGAGCATACCATCGCTGCTTGCCTCTATCTGCTCCAACGTTCCTGGATCGATGCTTATCGACGGCTTAGACGGAGCGGCCGTTGAGGGCGTCGTCTTCGTCGCTACACCTGTCCCTGTTCTCTTTCTGCCTTCAGACTGAAGGGGCACACCGCCATCCTTCGCATGCACGGTTCGATCGTGGCGCAGGAGCAGATCTCGACGAACGAACGTGCTGCGGCATTTCTGGCACTTGAAGGGACGCTCTTTGGTGTCTAGCAAGGGATGGATGTCAGTAACATGTTTGATTGCAAGATCATGCAATGATGGATGGTGATGGCGGGGTCTGCCTGAAGCCCCACGTTGCAACAACAAAAAATTTGGTACTTACGCGATCGCTCGTGTCGACTCCTGTGTTCGCTTCTGCTGAAGGCTCGGTTGCAGTACTGGCACTTGTACTTCTTCTCGGGCGCTGAGGCAGCCTTCTTCGGGGTCGTCGAGGATGCGCTGGCATTGGCAGGCTCCGAGGCGGTGGCAGCGTCGGCCTGAGGCATAGTTCAGAAAGTGAAGGGTTAAGAGTCCTCGGACCTGGCGCAAGCCTTTCGCTCAGAAGTGAGATGGTTCGTGGACGTAGAGTGCGCCGTGATCATTCCGCGTGAGAGGGCCGCCTGGAAGTCGAAGCGATTGAGGAAATGATTGCTGGCCTGCTGGGTCGAAAGGGATTCCAACTGGATCTGGTTGGCAAAAACGCAAGGTGGATCACGTGGCCGGTTGTAGTGAAGGCGGCGTGCTGCAGCGTCGGTACGGAGCGTGACAGAGGTTGATACAGAGGTTGATATGCGACGATATTATTACAATTGTATGCGACGACAACGACGACGATATTGATACAAGCAACAAGAGAAGGAGAGGGTGTCAAACGAAGGAAACAAGGAGGGGCACAGGATGGCAAGAGAGGAGGGTGTTCAGATTGTGCCAGGCATCCCTCCTCGCCCTCTTCCGCCCTCGATGCATTTTCTCGTCCTCCTCACGAGCCCCTGAAAAATTACCGTACGGAAGTGACCAGCCTAGACGAGCCAGCCCGAAAAGACCAAAGCACCAAAAATGACCCGCGTTATCCTTGTGCCTAGCGGGGCCTTCCACTCGCTCCGTCACCGTGTCCCTCCTACCGGCGAGCGGGCAGCCCACCCTTCGGGCTTCGAGAAATCGCTCGAAACCCAGCAGCCAGCAGAGCAACCGTTGGCCACCAGTGCCACCTCCTGCTGCTTCCGGCTTTGTGCCAATTTATTAGACTTGATTTGTACCTGTCAAAGCCCAGATGTCCTCGTACTGCTAGAACATCCAAGTGTTCGAGACTGAACCATGGCGTGCCATGGGTATCAGCGACGAAAGCAACATCATGACTGTGATGGAGGTGTTTAGGTAACCTTCCGACGATGAAGTTCCAGGAAAGGAGCGTGACGCCCGACTGATCATCACAGTGAAAGGCGAGCACAAATGACAATCCAAGGTGGGACTGAGGGACTGAGACTCGTTGGACGTCTTCGATCTCAAAACGTCGTCATCATCACAATGCTATTCCCAGCCACCTTTGATGCCCACCAGCCCTCGGTCACTTCAGGAATGCTTCGGTCCGTACCCACGCTCGAGCCGTTGGCTATGCAGCGTGACGCCTAACGAACAATAACACTGCGACAAGCCACGCTCTGCATTTCATTGGGCCGTTCCACGGCCAATTGTCTGTCTATACAAGGACGCGCCTGCGAAGACAGGTGGCACATGATCAAATCAGGCGATGGCGTTTGTTGCTGAACAGAAACAAAAAGCAATCGTGGCACCAAAAAGTTGGACGAGAAACGATCGTCAGCATTTGGATCCTCGCCTTGCAACCTGTTCCTGCATGTACCGTGCAGCTCCTTGAAATCTCTGGGTAAGGCTCACCACTCTAATTCGCGGCGTGGGCCTCGCTAAGGCCTCGAATGCCCACAAAGCCGTTCAGGGAATCGAGAGGCCTCCTGCTTTGTCTGACAGGACCCAACTACCTCTAGAGTGCCCCTAGCAAACCGAAGGCTTCTCTTTCATGATCACTGTGCTTGTTTGTCTGACCATACCATCTGCGCAAGAAGTTCCCGGCTAGGAAGTGTCATCCCTCTTTCCCCGAGATAGTCAAAGTAACGCAGCCGAGGCCCATCCTCGTGGATGGGACCCGTTGCAGTGGGCTTCGCGGCAAGGCGGATAGCATGGACAGAAATGATGGTGTCCCGACGGTAGAGAACCGAACGAAAAAGCATCAAACAGTCTCCTGAACAATTCTGACAAGTCTGCACCGAGTCAACAAGGAAAAGTCCCTCCCACAAAATGCCATCGGTATGGGAGTCGCTGTGACGATTGCAGGCCTGAAGTGGTTGCGAACCCAGCTGTTAATTTCAGACAAGTCGGCATTGCGATAACATAGCAAACCGGCATAGTTGCTCAAAGACGCCCACGGCGTTCAGTCTGTCGACAGAACAAACTCTCTTGATCCGGCCTCAGTGGTTGCTTCACTCCTGCATTGTTTTCATCTAGTACAGTCTAGCTTTCGAGATGTCGGTGAATGCTTCTCTCAGACACTGCATAAGCGAGAGTACATCTACGATGGTAACTCCTCTTACTCCGTTACCGGCAAACCAGAGTTTGTTCTACCGAAACATCGCGACGTTCGTGCGGTTCCGTGAGCACGGTTTGCGAGAAATGGGTTTCGCCAGGATTGGAAGCGTGGCTCACCCCTCCAGTACGAGGGGGTATCGGCTGGTCAGGGCTACAAGAGCCACAAGAGCCACCACGGACGCCAGTCAGTGCCTATCCGCCGGGATCCCACAACCCGTGGCGCTACATCTCCCCCACTCACATACCCACTCTCAGTGATGGAGTCTTCTTCCATAACCTCATCTGAAATTTTGACAATCTCCGGCAACGTCGCATCATACAATGATTCGCTGCCTTCGAACCCCTGCGCCAGAATAACGTCGTTCGAGAAGCTCGAAGGAATCCCACATCACTTCGGTTGGTTATCAGCTGATTGCTGAATCACTCGTCTGGGATGAGACGAGGGGTCAGGATTGGAGGGGTTTCCCACGAAATCTGGATAAGACAAGTGTCACAAGGAAACCGAAGGTCTGTGAGAACATGGGCTCAGAGAGCCTCATCTATCCTAGAATGGGTGTTATCAACTACCGCCTTTTCGACTCCTTGACCGCCTCTTTTCAAGATGCCGAATAGCCTGTTACCTTGGAGATCAAGCTCCAGATACAACAGCGGCTATAAGTAACCGACATATTCCTGGGCTAACCGATGACAGTAATGGTGCGTCAGCGACGCGTCCTGGACAAGCTGAAGATTATTATTCGCATTGCGATGGACGTCTGTCATTGAGAGACTTGAGCCAAGCCTCCCATGCTCCTTTAGAAATCGCTGCCGAGAATGGTGTAGGCACTGGCAGACGTCAATCCAAACTTCTCGCGAGTATAAATCTCAAGTTCACACATTTCGGATATGTCAGAGACGAGCCAACCCCCACTTCGGATACATGCCTATCTTGACGGTACGATCAGGTACCGATGTTTGTGTGCCTTATACCGTGCTGGGGCTGACACCCAGCCGTGCATGGAATCTCACCTGCGATTCGACAAGCAAGATCTCGTACCAAGCATACGCATCTTCACACGACGTGTAGTCGCGGACTGAAACGGGCAAACCGGATGTGGCTGCCCACGATATTCAGCCAGATCCAGTCCTGGGCTGATGTGTCAAACAAAACCCCGGCTCAGTCGTTGCATCAGCTAGGGAAGGAACGGCGCGTAGGATGGACTGAACCGTATTCGCAGTGAGGTACGTCCATTCCAGCCCGTTGTGCCTCTACCTTATCTTCACGACCAGTTTACACCAATTCCTAACCGCAGAGATGCTCTCCGAGTCTCCGCTTGTTCGGTAGGTCTTCGCTGTTACTCAGCTGAGTGGTGGGTGAGTGGCATCCCAAGTCATCCATTTAGTCAGCAAGATTCTTTACCCATCCGCAGAAACCCTTCGTCAGTCAATCCCGTTGTAGTCAACAGCACTCCACCACTTCCGACTCAAGCTCTTACTCACCATGGTCAAGCTATCAACTTCTCCGTTTTCCCGATCCCTTTCCTGCAAATACTCACAAACAGCATTATCTGCGTCCCCTTCTGCATCGTAGTAGAATATCCCCGGCACGCTATCCGGCGAATCAAACACCTGCCACGACCGATAGTTCGGTAAGAGACCTGGAAATCTCGAACCGTCTTCTGGCAGTACCGCCTCTGGGCTAGAAGCTTGATCCCTCTTCGCAAGGTTCTCCGGGTCAGAGCACATGTTCAATTCTCCCGAGACGAGCGAGATTTGCTGCTTGGTCCAGGCGCGCGGCATGCGCTTCTTCTCGTACAAGCCTACGGCTTCCGGGATGGTGATCACGCCGCGAACGACCTCGCTCACGACGCGTCCGAGAAAGACCCCGTCTTCTTGCGCGGTCCCCGCACCCTGGCCAGTGTGGTTCTGCATACAATGACAAGCGTCGCCGAGCAGGACGACGTTCTTATGTTCGTTCGACCAGGTTTCCATGGGTGGCATGACCAGCAACGGCCACCTTTGGGTGTAGTTGACTAATTTGATGATTGACTGGATGGCCGGGCTGTAGTCTTTATAGTAAGCACGGAACTCATCAATGTCGACTTCTTCCATCTTCTCGACGTAGTAGTCCTTGCAGAACGAGGTCACGACGTTGAGTTCCTTGCCGCCTGATAAGGGGTAGGTCATGATGTAACCATTCGGTCCTGGGAGTGTCAGCGAAGGTAGTCTCGGTTGGCGGCGACCAGGGATTGCAGACCTGTCCACATGTCCATTGTGTTGGTAAGGACCGATTTTGCTTCGGGTGTTTTGGTTAGGATTTCCTCTCGAGTGAGTACACCACGGTATGCTGCGACTTTGGATGGCGCAAGAGGGGTGACCTCTGGGAAGAGTTGTTGACGAACAAAACTTCTGATCCCGTCGGCTCCGACAAGGAGATTGAAGCTGTAGGAACCCGCCTTTGTCGTGGTCACGGTGACAGAGTCGGGAGAATACTCGAGGCTGTTTACACGAGCGCCGACGATGATGTCGACGCCATGGCGCCGGGCGGATTCTGTGAGGCCGGCATGGAAATGATCTCGTCGCGCGATGTAGTGAGGAAAGCCGCATATCCTCTTAACTCGCTTCGAGTCAACCCGGGTCACCACCTCGCCATTCAAGCCCCAGGTGCGCACTTCGTCGACCTCGACAAGGTTGTCGCCAATGATCTCGTCGACGCCCCAGCGTAGGAGATATCTCGACACATTCGGGAAGATCTGTGCTCCTGATGTCAGTCACAAAAGCAGATTGCTGAGGTTCATGCTCGAGGCAGACCTGGATACCTGCCCCTATCTCTCCAAGCTCAGTGGCAGCCTCGAGGATTGTGACTTTCGCTCCTCCTCGCTTCAATGCTATTGCCGCCGCCAGACCACCGAGACCGGCACCAACTATGCCGACGTGAAGTTCAACGGGCGGCATTGCGTGTGAGGCGTTGGGCTATCGGTATCACACCAGGTTCAAGTGCCGACGATAGCCAAGGCTTGCTGGCGACGGCAACGCGCTATCGGTGACTTGCATAAATTGTTGATCTCGCCTTTTAGGCAGGTGGCATGTTCATCAATGCGCTTATCAAATGAGCCGGATACAGCAGGGTCAGCTTGTTCCAGTCTCCTGTTTGTATCTGTCGTCGATATCTCGAAAAAAGAGTGTTATCGGTGCTCTCTGCACTACTCATGATGCCTCAACATATTCATCGCTACCACGACCGAAGGGATGTGGACTCTGTCTCGCGAAGGAGGGGTATTGTACGGGACGAGACACAGTCAGCGTTCGACAACAGCTTGTAAGAGCCACGCCGTAGGCATGAACGCAGACACCCAAGTTACCGATAACATCACATGTCATGCCGAGCAAAAGCACACGACCGCCGCTCTTTTCACGACTTCCATTCTCACGATCTGAAAGTCAACCTGGAGCTAAGCTGAAATACGAAGTTTGCACCGAGGGCACAAGATGGGCTCTGCCGTGTGTCCATGATCTGGGGTAACTCCGCATCAAGACCACGCTGATCGAGGCGAGACAGAGCTCTTTCCCAGCCGGACACGACAGCTTCCGCTAGTGCAGCGAACCAGAAGATTCTCAAAGTAAAGAGACACAAGTTCTCACACGCTTCTTCGTATGCTGCTCCTTGGGCCGTACCTGGAGACCTCCTTGTCAAAGTGCAGAACTCCAAACCTCCCCGTGCTCCCGGTCACAGCCACCTCCAGGACGATGACCGGCGAGGCTTGAAACGAACGGGCGAGTCAGACCAGGTACGGAGCAGTGCACCAAATGTAGTTGCCGCGCTAAAGTTGAATGACGCAGGATCACAGCTTGACGATGGATTTTTTCTTGCTCTAGGCAGCCTTAACTAAAGTCTTAACTAAAGATAATCTACTTTAGGCGACTTAGTGATAAAGAATAGGCGAGAGTTAGGGGCGGAGAAACGAGCTTCGATATCTCTGGGGACCGTTCTTCGAATTATAGCTTAACGATAAATTTTTTCTTACTTTAGGTAGTCTTAACTAAAGTCTTAACTAAAGATAATCTACTTTAAGTAACTTAGTGATAAAGAATAAACAAGAGTTAGAGACGAAGGAACGAGCTCCGATATCTCCGGGGACCGTTCTCCGGAGCAACGGAAAAGAAAATAAATGGTCTTTTGACGTCCTCGTCATTCAACTTTAGCGCGGCAACTACATTTGGTGCACGTCTCCGTACGCGAGGAACAGTCTCCTTTAAAACGGGGTATACTGGGCAACTTAGCTTTCCTGCTTAGCACCCGAGTAGAGACTTGTACCTTTTCCGTGGATGTGGTACTCCGTACGCGAAACCATGAGATATGGGGCTGCGACCTGCAACCACTGAAAAAGGACATGGGCACTCCGAACCTCGAATGCGTCTTCGTGACTTTTTGTGCTCCCGCACTTTGTGAGTCTGAGCGCGTTCGCGTGGGTGTTTGCTAGAAGAGAACGTGCCAATGGTTGTGCGTTACTGGGCAGAGGGCTGCCGAAGCAGACGGTTGGACATCCCGTGTCAGCAACTTTTCGGGTAGAGATCAGAGTTGCTTGCACGCCGCAGCAAGTACGAGTACCTAGGTTAGTGGGCGTCTGTGGGCTCGTTAGTAAAGAATAGGCGTGGATGTCGACGAGGGTCAGGGAACAAGGAGGCCGAGCACGAAGGGCCAGTAGGCTTGTACTATCTGGGACACCTGCAGGATTGGGCTTGCGTTATTCTTCCTCCACATCTCTGTCACCTTGCCCTTGCCCAACTCCGTACTGACCTCGTCCTTGTCTGTCGTATTTCAACTTTTCGCATGCCACAATTTCTCCCTTTTTTGTGTGCGTGTAGATGCTGACATCCTAATCAAACCTACCTTAGATAACCTTCACAACGGCATCTTCTCTCGCTATACCGTGCCATCAAGACCAAACCCTCTCTTTGCAAATAACCGCCTGTCGAGCCACTCCGATCGACCTCTGTCCCTCGTAAAACCTCCAATCGGGCGCCTACCCCTTCTCCACCTGCGACACCTGCCAACTGCAACTGACAAAAAGACTTCCTTCTGCTTCCCTCCACGCTGCCTCCAGATGACTCTCTGCTCAACCAAGTCCTCGCTAGTCCGCCGATAGCCTCTCCAATCCGCCTGTACATGGTTAGATCACGCAACAATCGAACATGCAGACCCTGCCCTCTGGCTGCGCTCCGAACGGCTCGATCAAGTCCTGCAATCCGTCTCTAGTCGTCGAAAAGTGGTGAAATGTCAATGTCGCGCAGAGTAGCACAAGATTCGACTCTTCAAGCGCAATCCATCAAGACCGGGTCGACTTTTGCCGCGGCTTTCCATTACACAGAACCCAGCACGTCTGCTCAGTCTGCCCCTCGCTCAGGAACGTCCACTGTTCATCAGTCGGGCATGAGCGGCCTTTCGCCGCGCCGTCGTGCTGCCCAAGCGGCTGCTATGAACGGCTATGTTGCCAGTCCTGATCTGCCTCCACCTCCTGCGCCCACGTATGTTCGAGCGCTGTATAATTATGATGCAGACGACCACACCAGCCTGAGTTTCCGGGCAGGAGATATAATCCAAGTCTTGACACAACTCGAAAGTGGATGGTGGGATGGTGTGATCAACGATGTTCGGGGCTGGTTCCCCAGCAATTATACCGTTGAGATATCGGATTCTAATGAGCTGGGTGAACTGGCTGGCCAGGGTGAGAGTGAAACAGGGTCAGGGACCGAGGAGGATTATGATGATGAAGAGGAGGATTCAGATGTTCACACCCAGGACGAAGACTCCGACTTACCAATAGAGGGTGGGAACGCTCAGACTCAAGAGGAGGCGGCATTTTGGGTTCCTCAGGCGACACCGGATGGCCGACTGTTCTATTTCAACACGTTGACGGGCGTTAGTACCATGGAATTGCCGTTAGAGACGCCAACGAGTTCCGATGAGACTGGACCGAGGGATCGCAACAATTTCCATGTACCCGATCAAACAAGGCCACCGCCCGAGATGATGGCTGGGCGGTATGGGCAGAATGAGGAGGATTATGATGGGTCGGCATCTGAGGCGGACGGTGAACAATCTTTCCGTTCTTCGCGCAAGAAGGGATCCATGACTTCGGCTAGCATCTCAACTTCAACTTCCATGGACTCGATCGATGTAAGCGCAGCCAGGCAAGCGGGTAATCAATTTGCAAATCCTCTGACAAGTACTTTCGGGACATCCATGGCATTGCCTCCACTAGGGACGACGGCCACCTCATTCACTGTGCCGCCGCACCAGAAGCTTTCTAAATCACCAATGCCTAAATATTTCTTGGATGACACAGGAACGGCACCTGTAACGTGGAACACCTTGGTCGAGAACATGCGAGCGGCAATTGAGGCTTACCGACATGCCATCCGTACCCACGCCCGCGCTGAGTATGTTCGGAGAGCTGAAGACATCTCAGATCATTTGCGCATGCTGCTTGCCGCAGGATCAGGCACAACTGACAACCACTCCGGAAACCCTTCTATCATCTCCACCAACAAAGCCTTATACCCTCACTTCAGAGAAATGATGTCCAAGTTCTCGAAGCTTGTTCTTTCCTCTCATATCGCAGCCGCCGACTGGCCGGGCCCCGATGCCCTGACGAAATGTCTCCAGGAAGCTGAAGGCGTCATGAACGGTGTCTACGGCTATGCCGACGTGGCGAAACAGCAGCGAGGTGAAGAGATACCCCGACTGATTCCCGGCTTCATCATGGGTAGTAAAGTTGGAGGTAGCTGGAGAGATAACAACATCGACAGTCAGACCAACCTCGAGGAAACTTCATTCATGGATTCCGGCGACGAGTTGAGCTCACGTCCTTCCACGCTACTAGATGCCAATCTCCTGCAGCGCATCGATGATTGCAAGAAGAATCTAGCAGCCGCAATTCGAAGTTTGGAGGAGGGCCTTGTGTTGACGGAGAAGATTGTCACTCCTGCACGGCAGTCTGCGATCGGAGACGATGTATGCCAGGGGGCCGGCATTGTCATTGACTACTTTCGACCATGGAGCCATCTCATTGAATCGATCGACCTTTCTGCGCTAGGAAATGTATTCCAGAAGCCGTCGCTGGTGGATTTTGGATCGCAAAAACAAAGAGTGTATGATTCGGTTGGTGAGTTGGTGGTGAACTGTCAAGCTGTCACTGCACCACTTGCAGACGAATGGGCAGAAATCCGAGGCGAGTCGCTCGACACTCGTTTGAACAACGTACGGGGTGCATGCAAGCAACTCGAAGCTCACGTATCCAACTTGGGTTATGCGTTGCAGCTCTTACTGCCGGCGACCAGTCTAAGTGCTCCCACTGCCACGAATAAGCGAGACCACAGAAATACTGATGGAGGCGAAACCTACCTAAACCATCATCTCAGATCCGACTCAAATCACGCTGCTAACCTACGACCTGCATTGGCTGATGTTGGTCAGTCAAAATCCTACACCCTGGGTCAAGAACCTCCTCAAATGGACAAGAACCGTCGTCCTCCGACCAAGGACAAGGCGAGACAATTTTTTGGCCAGATACCGCCAAACCTGGCTCAACTAAAAACTGCAAACATCGAGCCGAGCTTTAATTCAGAAGACGTGCCGTGGTATTTGGAACTCGATCATGCTGACGAGGTGATCTATGACACCAAGGCTAATCCACCTCAAGTCAAAAGCGGTTCCCTGACAGGACTGGTTGAGCAGCTCACTCGACACGATCGGCCTGATACTACCTTTACAACCACCTTCTTGCTCACCCACAGATCATTTACGACAGCTGCAGAATTGTTTGAGCTGTTGGTGAAACGCTTTAACCTACAGCCACCGGCTGGCTTGAACAGAGACGAATTTTTGATCTGGGAAGAGCACAAACAGAAGGTTGCACGATTTCGAGTGGTCAATATCCTCAAACAGTGGCTAGAAATATACTGGATGGAAAGTGACAATGAAAAGAGCAGAGAATTGCTGGAGCGTATGATGGCATTTGCCAAAAATGCGAGCACCAAAGTCCCCCTAGCAAAGGTCTTGGTAACCCTGATCGACCAACGCCTCAAGGGCCAGGATACATCTTCGAAAAAGCTGGTCCTTACAATAACGAATTCTGCCCCGGCACCAATCTTGCCCAAAAACATGAAGAAGATCAAATTCCTTGACATTGATCCCACCGAATTTGCTCGACAATTGACAATCATGGAATCCAGGCTTTATGCGAAAATCAAACCTTCGGAGTGTTTGGCCAAAACGTGGGAAAAGAAAGCCAATGATATGCCACCATTCTTGAATGTGCAAGCAGCCATATTGCATTCCAATCAGCTCACCAACTGGACGGCGGAGATGATCCTGGGCCAAGCTGAGGTAAAGAAGAGAGTTGTTGTTGTGAAGCATTTTGTCGCTATTGCAGACGTAAGTGCTGAAAGCTCGATGTACTGATATGACTCGTACTGACTTGCACAGAAATGTCGTGCATTGAACAACTTCTCGGCCGTGACAGCCATTATCTCTGCCTTTGGTACAGCGCCTATCCTGCGACTCAGTCGGACATGGCACGGAGTCAACCCCAAAACATCGGCAATGCTCGAATCGATGCGTCAATTGATTTCAACAGCGAAAAACTTTTCCCAATATCGAGAGACATTGGCAGCGGCAACTCCACCCTGTATACCTTTCATGGGTGTATACATGACCGACTTGATCTTTATTGAGGACGGTATTCCATCCCTTGCAAAGAACTCAGAGTTGATCAATTTCTCCAAACGTACAAAAACTGCTGAGGTGATTCGACTGATTCAGCAGTATCAGAACGTCCCGTACAATCTGAACCCGGTGCCAGATCTGCAGGAATGGATTGCCGAAAATATGAGAAATGCTGGAGACGTCCAAGAAATGTATCCTCAGAGCTTGAAAGTGGAGCCTCGCGAGCGAGAAGAGGAAAAGATTGCTCGACTACTATCGGAATCGGGATTCTTGTGAGACCGTATAATACAATTACAAATGCTTCTTCCTCGAGGAGGACGGCGACAAAGCATGCGAATCAAGTGCGGAACTCAAAGGATACCCCGTTTCGATGATCAGCCCACATCGGGCGTATACTTGATGTACATTGTTGACCAGAGTTCTTCGTCTTTCTTTCGACTCTGCTGGCGCTGGAATATCAGACAACTGGTCGACTGGATGTTTCGGCCTTGATGAAGCTGTTGCACGGCGTTCATTTGAAGATGTCAGTTTGCTGCTCAATGCCACGAGGTCATGCATAATTTACGATTTTCATGCTGTGAATATGAATTGCAAGACGGCGCTCCAAAACTGGTAGGGGCCTATGTGCCAATGGCCAAGCGAAAGAATTTGAAGGCTTGGCTGGATATAGGTGGACTTTTGCTGGTTCGATAGCTGTTCTTCCTATAGACCAGTATCCGTATATTTGTTGCACATGTCACAGATGCCCAAGTATTCACTGTTTGTTCTTGATTCTTCCGGCGCGATCTATCATTCGGGATATCATACACAACTGCCGCTCTATGTCGGGACAGCCGTATATGTACAGTGATTTCGAGAATCCTGCGGCCTACCATGCTCATCCAATGCGTCTCAAGCTCATGATTTTCTATGCATAACCGTCGCCGCTGCCTGGAGAGGGGATTTTCGGTCAGCCACAACATTCAAGCCGCAACCAAGAAGGGTACAAGGTGAGGCGACATGTCCACCAGGATATGGGTACTGTAAGAGGTCGATCACAGGCCACAGGCCACAGGACACATCCACAGCCATGATGGAATGGGGCGACGATGACAGACAAAAAAAGGATCCAAGGGGGCTCACCTGATGATTTGGAAAGATCAAGGAATCCGCCAATACGACGTTTTCTCTCCGCCCAGCAGCGAATACTACGACCTCGGCGATGTCGTCAGGTGTGAGCGGCTCGACACCCTTGTACACGGCGTCGGCTTTGGCTTTGTCGCCGTAGAAGCGGACGACTGAGAATTCCTGCCCACAAAAAAATCGAAATTGTCAGTAAATGTGGTGCTTTACCCTCCCAGGTTTCTCTCTTTTCCTTTCCTCTTTCTCGGTGCTACAATGCGCTGGGAGCGGGATAGATAGGGAGTTTGCCAGGGCTGGATGGGCTTGTGCTTGTGCTTGTGCAATAGATAGGCCGGTGAGACACACGGGTGCTGTTGGGTCAGTGGCGGCAAACCAGGCCTCTCTTGCCAGTAGAGGTCATTGTGCTCAGCGCAAGGAACAGACAGTCTGAGGCAGCGGACAACCTTCTGAAAATGACTATAGGATGATTCTCCATCTGCAGGCGTCGGGGGAAAAGAACGGAAAAGGAAAGCAATGCAGCGGTGTAACTAGTACTCACCGTCTCGACCTGGCCCGGGTCAATTTCAATGACCCTGATCCTCGTGGCGATCAACTCCCTTCTCAGCGCGTCCGTGAACGTCCTGACAGCAGCCTTTGTTGCACAATAAATACTCCCGCCAGGATAGCCCTCGCGTCCAGCGATGCTGCCGATCATAATGACATCGCCGCGTCCGCCGTCGGCACCGCCATTCTTGTTCTTGAAAATCGGAAGCACGGCCTGCGTCATGTGGATCAGGCCCGTGACATTCGTGGCAAACATGACATCGATATCCTGGGCCTTGATGTCGGGAGCCTTGTCCACACCCTTGACGAGACCCGCGTTGTTCACTAGGATGTCAATGTCCTTGAACTCGTCGGGTAAGTTCGGTACGAAGGACGCGATCTCCTCGGGCTTGCTGATGTCCAGTTGCACGGGGAGGACCTTGACGCCCTGTCCGACTTCCTGGGTTATCTCGGCAGCCACCTTTTTCAGGGTGTCGATGCGCCGCGCGGTGATTATGATCTTGAGGTTGTTGGGGGATGTGCGTGCGAACTCTTGCGCGACCGATTTGCCGATGCCCGAGCTGGCGCCCGTGACGAGGACGGTCTTGCCTTCGAGGCGTTTGGACATGGCGGAAAGGGAGGACATTTTGTGGAGGGTTTGCGAGAATGCTCGGACAGTTGCTCGTCGTCGTGGGATGAGTAGCTGGTAGAAGTCCAGGTGCGGGGAAGGGAGAGGGCGAGAAGCGGTAGGGAGAAGAGTAAATAGTCTGCTCGGGACGCGGAGGGTAGAGAAGGTTGTGGAGCGGGCAGGCATGTACAGGAGGAAGCTGTAATTGAGCCGTGAGCGAATATGAGATAAGTAGGTACAACAAGGCGTGAGAGGATACTAAGTCATACGAGGTAAATGCTGAGGACAATCGATTCAAAAGATTCTTGTGGAATGATGATGCACCGAGACAGAACTCCAATTCTCGGGGTATCTCCGATCAGCGGCATCAACGGCGACATAACCGCCAGCATTTCATTGGATGTGGATGGCTAGGTGGATGAAGTACTCAGTACCGTCCAGGTGGGTTGATATGGTGATAGATTACCTGGTGGTTACCATAGGTATCTTGACTTGTACAGAAACGACACTCTCAATACATCTTTCTTGGGTGTGATGGACTAGAAGTGTGAGACTCCTTGCTCTCGGTTTGCGCGTACAATCGGCGTTCAGTCAACGCGAATTCGTCCATTCTCCATCTGCCACGAGTCTCGACAGCTCTCAAGTTTGCTGTCAGGGTCCCGTACATGGCGTATATCAATCCCACTTTCGGCGCTTCCCAGCCATGTGTTCTTCAGCTCGAACATTCCGCGGTGGATCCTCGTAAGCACGCTTCTGGCCTTGCTTGTTGTCCTTCCATGGCTGCTCGCCTCTTGACCTTAGCTGGCCCGAAGAATTGTCATTCCGACTGTTGACTCGGTTATTTGACTGGGCTTGATAGTGAGAAGAAGCATGTCCACGCGGGGCGTTACGCTCTGCTCTGCGTTTGCGCCGGGACTTTCTCTTGGGCTGGTCATGGTTTTGGTGCTGCAACTCATGGCCACGATCAGCTCGGTGGCTGGAGGCCTGACTGGACCATTCACTATACTCTGTGGACTGGGACTCCTGGTGCATAGCACGGCCTCGAATCAGATATTTGGCGTGTGGTTGTGGGAAGGTGTCAGATTGCAAGCTTGGTGCGATATGCTGACTTGGAGTCGCGTCCTCGGGAAGGAAAGGTCGCGCTGGCTTTGGTGGACCGGTGACACCAAGGGCAGCGAGGCGTTCTTCTTGCTCAACTGATAATGCTCGGTTCTCCAATGGTTGGAATGTTTGCTCGGTTTCGTTTACACAGAGACTCTGTGAATTGTCGTAATCGTCAGCATAGTCGTTGCTGAAATAACATCGTCGTACTCGCCTCTGCAGGTCTTCGAAGGTAGTGACTTCTGCATCAACAGCGATAGGTGCGAAGATTGGGTCATTTTGCATGGTCTGCCAATCCGCAGTTTGGCTAACGTTCAAGAGAAAGTCTTTGTCGTCGAGGTCATGAAAGAATTGGGATACGATGACAGCCTGTCTCCGGTCTTGGATATCCTGTAGTGCCATAGTCGCTGCCAAAGCCTGAACTCTCTGTTGTACGGGGAGACATGACACCTCGTCGAGATAGTCCAGTGCCCAGAGGTCGAATTCCAGGTCAAGGGCTTCGGGCGAGGGCTCGGCCCAGCAGTCACTGCTCTCGTGGTTGGAGGGAGGTTGACGGTGTTGGTAATCATAATCCCGCTGACATCTCTCTTTGAGATCGTGAGTTTGACCCGATACCTGGTCCAACTGGTCCGATTGGGCCTGGCTGACATGTTTTCGAGGTGGAAGCATGGAAATTGATTGGTTCTGTACAGGTTTGCTCGTGGGGAGCGTGCCTCTCGATCCTCGTGGATGATCATAGTAAGCAGCTTGTGCATTTCTCCCAACATCCTGAGTGCCGTAGCTCGAAGCTTGATGTGGTCCTTGGATATGTTCAGTCTTCGCGGTACACGGGTCACATGTTGGAAGCATACTATCGCCACGAATCTGGACTGGGGACGTACGTGTGGTGTATGGTTCTTGATAATAGGTCTCCTGGTGTTTGCGCTCTGTAACCGGGTAGGCATCTGGGTAACCCTCGGTCATAGACCATGTTTCGCCTGACGAGCTGCATCCATTCAATTTTCACTCAGAGTGCTCACTATGGGCTCACTTACTAGCGTTGAGCGGAGTGGTCGTCCTGCTGCCTGTGGCGACTGCCTGTTACCTCACTACCTCCGTAAAAGGGCCGTCCATCTCCGAGTGGTGGTTGAGAGTAACTTGGAGCAGTGAGACTTGGAAAAGAAGGGTAGTGGTGTCCAGGCGAACGGTGCGGCGGCTGGGAATCTGAGCCCACTTGAGAATAGCCCTCCATCTCGGGGTTATCGATGTACAAGGTACATTCAAAGGAGAGAGAGGAAGTCTTCCAAGCCAGGTTAAACTCGCTCGTCTTAGAAGCGTGAGAAAGACGATGAAGTGAGAAAGAGAACTTGAGGGGGTGAAAATAAAGAAGAGAACGAGCAAGAAGTCAGTGAAAAAGGAGGGCGCGGCAGAAGGGTCTGGATGGGAGAAGGAGATTCAGCAAAAGACTACGAGCTGAAGTAGGCAGGGAGTGTCATATAGCTAGGCAATGAATCTGATTCTCAAGCTTCATGTAGACAGTGAAGCGGTGTGAAGCTTTTCTTTGTTCATGCCCGCGAGAAGTATCTCTTCAACTGGGACCTCTACGGGCGCTTGCAGCAGAGGAGCAACAGATTTTCACTGTACCAAATGTTGCAGCCCGCCGCCGGAGATCTGGACGCATCGATATATCCATGGAGAAGAGATTGAGCTTTCACGATATTTCTGAGCACAACAGCGGACTTCTTGAAAGACCAGTGATGTTAGACCATCAGGAGTAAAATACAAGAAGAGGACGGAGAGGGATCGATTGGGGAGAGCTTGACCGATGCCCTTTTAAGAAAGCGAGGCGAACAACCACGAATACCGTCGTCACTTTCTGCATTCCCTGCGCCAAAAGAGCACGAGCCTCGATCATTTCCACTTGCTCGCCATCTATGCAATGAGATACAGGTCAACAACTCTCCCAAGCTGACATGCTTTTTGCTGTCTTCATGTCTTCTTCTTCTGGGTGCCTTGCAAGCCCAACATCATGAGAGATCGTGCCAAACCCGCCCACGTACAAAGGCAACACTTCCTGACCACGGAGGCGAGGCGGTGCGCTTAGCGATTTCGGCGAAAGTCCACACTCTTCAGCAATGCCGGGTCTACCTGGTATGATTCTCCAGCACCGGACATACCTATACATACTGACAGTCTTTCTGTATAGCGAGTATCGATCTTGACGAGTGTATCGCCCAACTGTACAAGAAAAACCTGCTGGCCGAGTCATTGATTGAAGCAATATGCGCCAAAGCAAAAGAGATGCTCATGAAAGAGAGCAATGTTGTTCACATATCTGCGCCGGTGACGGTAGTTGGAGACATACACGGTCAGTTCTTTGACATGCTGGAAATCTTCAAGATTGGAGGCTTTTGTCCGGATACAAATTATCTCTTTCTCGGTAAGGGGAAACCTGGTATGATGCAAGCCTCACGTTCTAACTTGATATAGGCGACTATGTCGACCGAGGCCTATTCAGCGTCGAAACGATTTCTCTACTTGTTTGTTTAAAGCTACGATACCCCCAACGCGTTCATCTCATCCGCGGTAATCATGAATCACGAGGCGTCACTCAGTCATACGGTTTCTACACTGAATGCGCACGCAAATATGGCAATGCAAATGTATGGCATTACTTCACGGACATGTTTGATTTCCTTACCCTGAGCGTGGTCATCAACAATCAAATCTTCTGCGTACATGGAGGCCTTTCTCCTTCCATCCATTCCATCGACCAAATCAAGATCATTGACAGATATCGGGAAATACCACATGAAGGACCGATGGCGGATTTGGTCTGGTCAGACCCGGATCCAGAAAGGGACGAATTTTCTTTATCACCAAGAGGCGCAGGGTATACATTTGGCGGGGATGTGGTCAAAAAATTCTTGCAGGTCAATAACATGTCTCATATCCTACGAGCCCATCAACTGTGTCAGGAGGGCTACCAGATACTGTACGATGATCGACTCAGCACAGTATGGAGCGCGCCCAACTACTGCTATCGTTGCGGGAATCTGGCCAGTGTTCTTGAAGTCAGCGATGCAGGGGATCGATACTTCAACATATTCGAGGCGGCGCCGGAGAACGATGTGCATCGAAACGAACAGCAACAACAGCAGCAGCAGCAAAATCAAACAAAGGACGGGCAAGGATCTCAAATTGAGTACTTTCTCTAATCGTCGATTCATCTCATCGTTGGAACCAACTCACAGGCCTGTTCGTGGCACCACTGCATGTGAGGCGCTTTACGAGCCCTTGACCTCTCGACTCTAGCCGCGCATTGTACGAGGTGGCGCTGCAGAGCTCCATATGCCGAGCGACCTACTCACCCCTAAGCTCGCCGCGGTCGTCCAGATGCACATCATTTCCAATCCTTGGCTATTTCAAACGACCATTCGAACTCGAGATGGGTCATGTCGTCGTCGTCAACGAACCGGGAAACTGCGTCGTAATGGCCACGAGCCAGCATACCAGACGGAGCCTCTTCTTTGGCGAACTTCTTCTCGTATGTTGGCTTGCCGGTGGTGTTTGGAGGATAACTGCCGATCATTTCCTGGTCCTTGCTCACCCGAATGCCCTTACGCTTGGTGACTTGGATGTATTTAAGACCGGAGAGAACTTGATGTTGGACCACGAAATTCGCCTTCATCTGGTACTCGCAACCCTCCTTGATGGTGAACGGTTTCTTCTTCAGGCTCTCAAGAGCGCCAGGTTGTGACAGATCTATGGTGATGTCGGGTCGGCCTACAACTTCCTGAAGAGGGTCAGCGGTGTCAGCGAAGGTGGAACACTTTCACGTGGATATTACGTACCAGAGCAAGAGATTTGATGATGCAGAGGCGAGGGTCATTGGGATTAGAGATTGAGTCGCCGGTAGCCAGGCCAAGAGAAGCCTTCCATCGGTTCAACGCCTCATCTTCTTGGTCTGAATATATCAAAAGTCAGTGATATCTTGAACATGCCCAACAAGAAACAAGGTGAGATAGCCTGTGTAGCCATCATTTAGAGACAGACAAAGATATCACAAACTACCCGCTCGCGCCGCTCTTTGCATGAGGGGGACTTGGTGTACATTTGTAGTCCGGCAGTTTTATGTCCATGCATAACCCAAATGCGTTCTCTTCCACCATGCTTTGTAGATAATGTTGAGTCGATCAAGTGGAACTCACCTAATTTGTGATATTCATCAAGCGTCTTCTTCTCTCCAACCTTGAAACCAGGGGTCTGCTCGGCTGCAACGTCGTCCGACATGTTTGTTTGTTTACCAAGCTGAGTGTCCCTTTGTATGCTGTGATGTGATGATTTTATCTGCGGATCTGCTTGTGTAGACTCTGGTAGACTCTTATGTTATCACTGAAGTACAACTCTGCTGAAGATATTGGAGGGTTGCAACATGAAACACTCAGGGCGGTCAGAATGCCTCAGATTGCACGTGATTGATACTCCTTCACGGTTGAATCCACATTGAAACTGTCGCCCCGCACTTGCCGCTTTTGACAGATTAAATGGGATGACGCGACGCGACTTTTCGCGCATTCATGTGCCGGTAACATTCAGAGGCCCATCTTCATCGTTGTTCACACCGTGGATCTGACTTTCTGTTGTGCCTTCTCATCGCCGCTGCCATCATGCCTGGACGTGTAGTTGAGAAGCCTCAGAAGAGGGTGCTTACCGACGCCACAAATACACATAATGCCGTCAAGTCCCCTTCTTCCGCAAAGAAGAGAAAGCTCAATGGCAATGGACCCAATGTCTCCTTTCACTCCTCTCAACATGGCCCGAATGGCGTCAAGTCGAAGCTGGGCTCTAGCCAGCCAAAGAGTCATTTTGAGACGGAAGTCCTTGAGAAGATGACCCAAGATATCACAGGCTTAAAGGAGAATAACGCAGAGAGAGACCAGCAATGGGACAGACCGAGCCTGGATGACTTTGACCCCCAGAGAGACGCCCTACGCTTCCAGCAGATTGAGATTGAAGAAGGATCATTACACGGCGGCAGGGTCACACTGAAGATGTTTGGTGTTTCTGAGGTTTGTTGTCTGCCGAGTATTCTATCTTGCAATTGCTGACTGGTGTTCAGACCGGACACTCCATTCTGCTCCATGTGACTGACTTCCTCCACTACATCTACGTGGCAGCGCCTGTCAACTTCCAGCGTCATGATGTCGAAGGCTACAAAGCCTACCTCGAAACTCAACTGGCGCAACACCAGCCTGTGATTCATTCCGTGCAGATGGTGCTACGAGAAAACCTATATGGCTTTCAAGGCAACCAGAAGAGTCCATACCTGAAGATCACAGTCAATGATCCAAAGTTCATCAACAGACTAAGATCGGCGATAGAAGATGGAAATGCCAATTACAAGGGAATGTGGAAAGGGGTGGAGGATAAGATATTGACCTTTGACAATATCCAATATGTCCTGCGTTTCATGATCGACACTGGCGTCGCTGGCATGTCTTGGGTTGAGGTTCCTCCTCAGAAATACCATGTGTTGCCGCAACATGACCGCCAATCCAACTGCCAAGTCGAAGCATATTGCCACTATCGAGACATGATCTCACATGGACACGATGGAGAATGGTCAAAGATGGCACCGTTACGAATATTGTCCTTTGATATCGAATGTGCTGGTCGAAAAGGTATCTTCCCGGAACCAAACCAGGACCCGGTCATCCAGATTGCAAATGTTGTCACCAGATACGGCGAATCGAAGCCGTTCGTACGGAATGTTTTCGTCCTGGATACATGCAGTCTGATCGTCAATACGCAGATCTACGAACACGATTCTGAATCAAAGATGTTAATGGCCTGGAGAGACTTCCTGGAGAAAGTCGATCCCGACGTAATCATCGGCTACAACATCGCGAACTTCGACTTTCCCTATTTGCTTGACAGAGCAAAGCATCTGAAGCTGCCAAAGTTTCCCTACTGGACGCGGCTCAAGAGTGTCATGTCTCAGGCCAAGGACACCAACTTCTCCAGTAAGCAGATGGGTAACCGCGATACGAAAGCAACAAATACAAATGGACGGATTCAATTGGATCTCCTGCAACTGGTCCAGAGAGATCATCAACTACGAAGCTACACTCTCAACTCTGTGTGTGCTCATTTTCTTGGAGAACAAAAAGAGGATGTGCACCACACCATGATCACTGAGTTATTTAACGGCACTCCTGATTCAAGACGACGATTGGCTGTCTACTGCTTGAAGGATGCCTACTTGCCGCAGCGCCTTATGGACAAATTGATGTGTCTGGTCAACTACACCGAAATGGCCAGAGTTACAGGCGTTCCTTTCAACTATCTTCTTTCTCGTGGCCAACAGGTCAAATTCATCAGTCAGCTATTCCGCAAAGCATTGGAGCAGCAGCTAGTCATCCCGAATCGCAAATCCGAGGCTTCAGATGAACAGTATGAAGGTGCCACGGTCATTGAACCCACTCGCGGTTACTACGACGTTCCTGTTGCAACGCTTGATTTTGCATCTCTGTATCCGTCAATCATTCAAGCCCACAATTTGTGCTACACGACACTTCTGAACAAGAACACAATTGAGAAACTCAATTTGAAGAAGGACGTGGACTACATCCAGACACCCAACGGGGATATGTTCTGTACTTCTAATGTTCGAAAAGGACTGCTTACCCAGATTCTGGAAGAATTGTTGGGGGCCCGTAAGCGAGCGAAGAAGGAGCTTGCAGTGGAAACAGATCCCTTTAAGAAGGCCGTGCTCAACGGTCGACAGCTCGCTTTGAAAGTTTCAGCAAACTCGGTATATGGTCTGACTGGTGCTACAGTCGGAAAACTGCCTTGTTTAGCCATCGCTTCGAGCACGACATCCTATGGTAGGCAGATGATCGAGAAAACAAAGAATGAGGTGGAATCCAAGTATACCATTGCTAATGGCTATTCGCATGACGCACAAGTCATTTACGGTGATACCGATTCAGTGATGGTGAAGTTCGGGGAGAAAGACCTAGCAAAGACTATGGAGCTTGGACAGGAAGCCGCTGATTATGTTTCTGCGAAATTCATCAAACCCATCAAATTGGAGTTCGAAAAGGTCTACTTCCCCTATCTACTCATCAACAAGAAACGGTATGCTGGCCTCTATTGGACCAAACCAGAAAAGTTTGACAAGATGGATACCAAGGGTATCGAGACTGTTCGACGAGACAATTGTCGACTCGTGCAAATTGTCATTGAGACAGTTCTGAAGAAAATCTTGATGGATCGCGACCTGGAAGGTGCACAAGACTATGTCAGAGAGACCATCTCCAACCTGCTTCAGAACAAGGTAGATCTCAGCATGCTGGTCATCACCAAAGCGCTCAGCAAGAGCGATTACACTGCCAAACAAGCACACGTCGAACTTGCGGAGCGCATGAAGAAGCGCGATGCCGGCTCCGCTCCTGCGCTAGGAGATCGCGTCGCGTATGTCATCGTCAAAGGCGCCGCAGGAAGCAAGAACTACGAGAAAGCCGAGGATCCCATCTTCGTGTTGGAGAACAACATCCCTATCGACACGAAGTACTACCTGGAGAACCAGCTGTCCAACCCGCTGGGCCGAATTTTCGAGCCTATCCTCGGTGAGCGGCGCGCGAATTCGCTACTCGCCGGCGACCACACGCGCAGTATCAGTGTCGCTGCACCGACATTAGGCGGACTGATGAAGTTCGCGAAGAAAACACAGACGTGCATGGGGTGCAAGAAGCCGCTCGTCGGCAAGGAGGAGAGCAAAGGTGCAGTGTGTGAGAATTGTCGGCCGCGCATTGGCGAATTGTATACCAAGCACGTCAAGAAGGTCGGCGAGATGGAGGTGCGGTTTAGCAGGTTGTGGACGCAGTGCCAGCGGTGCCAGGGGAGTATGCACAGCGAGGTCCTCTGCAGTTCCAGGGATTGTCCGATCTTTTACATGCGCATGAAAGCCAGGAAGGAGGTCGAGGAGGCTGGACGGGACCTTGCCAGGTTTGATGAGGACGTTGGTGCGATCTGGTAGGCGTGGAAAGAGAGAGCGAGCAAATCGAGGGTGGACAGCGTATGCTGCGTCTTTTCATCTGACAGAAATCAACGTGCGGATGTGGTCTGGTCAGTAGGAGGGTCTAGGTCACTGCATCTATTATCAAAGGAGAGCCATTATAGATCTGAGGATCATTAGAGTCTGAAGAAAGACAAGACTCTCATGAAGTAGCATTTACTGTATTGGGTATCTGTGGGCTTTAATGTTAAACAAACGAAATCACTCGGTCATTAATCCAATTCTTCTTCCGTGCCATCCTCGGTGTGCAATTTGTCCTTCTGTCGGCCTTACAGTCTTCCAACTCGATATCGGTCTCGTCTGGGTGGACCCATTTCCTTGCAAACGAAGTCAATCGAACATCTGCTAGCCAGCAGCATTTGTCCTTGTTCCTCTAGAACTCAACAAGGTGGCCCTTCATCAACTCCCCCTACCTCCTACGCCAATTCCCAGCCGCCCAAGATCAAAGATCGGGATCATCGTCCAGCTCCAATCTCGACGAGTCTTCACACATGCTCTCCAGGTCAACCGACATTCTCGAGCCTGCTATTGACCCGACTTCCGATCCAAGCATCTCGGCATCTTCGTAAGAGAAAGAAACATTCGCTCTGAGAGCCTCCTTGCGGATCTGCATGGCTACGATAGCAATGCCAAGGGCATTCCAGACATCTTGATCCTGCTGGCTGAAGTCAAACTCCGCAATAATACGCAATCGGTCGGTGATGTCAGTGCCTTGGCTGGCAAGCTGTTGAGCTTCGTGATCGGAGTTTGGGGGTGAGACTGTCTGGCGAAGTCGAGGTGAGTATGGTGTGGCGGGCTGAGTAAACGGACTCAACGTGACGACGACAATGACGGATGAAATGATGACCAAGCCAACAAGGGTAGGCAATGTGTCGTCATCCTCAATAGTTCGTGTCTCATCGGGCCCAGCTAGGCTGAGAGTACCGATCTCAATGCTTGGCTGGACGTTTCGTGCTTGATGATGTCTGTCCGTGAGCCGTTGTAGTTTCTTAGCAGTATCTTCAAGAGTCTGAAGCGTAGTTCGACCTCTGCGTCTTCTGATGAGGGAGTGCACAGGAATATAATTGGCGTCCGACTTCGGTCGAAGGCCAACGTCTGTCAGAGCCCAGTACAGATATTTCTTCACTGAGCGTTCAAGGATCTTCTCGCGCTGAACACCAGGACTCACGTACACCCTATCTCGTGTGTCGTGACCAGCTTCAAATAGCTGACGGAGGGCGCGAGCTGCTCGGAATTCTTTGTCTCTGACATTGTGGACAAGTGGCGGGTCTGTCGTATTTTCGTGGGCGAAGACGCTTATTGGGAGGGTTCCAAAATCCAGCATCCAACTCTGAGGAAGAAGCGGTTCGAAGCCTCGGTAAGCAAGATGAAAGAAAAGGTCCCTCTCGGTCTGCGACCAGACACCCGAATTTGGGGGCAGTCGAACACTGGCGATATATTTTCTTCTTTCTTCCATAACATTCTCATCTATGTCCTCAGTTTTTCTCCTTGCAACTGAGGTTGACGTGAGAGATACGACATCTTCTTCGTCGTGGACTGTGGGCCTGATCTGTGGCGCAATCGATGTAATCAACGGGTTTTGCGGTATCTTGCTCTTGTGCCGTGCGGGAGTCTGAGGAGGTGGCATTAAGGCTCGGTCGACGTCGACTTTTGTGCTTCCAAGACTCAAGACGACGGAGTCGCGATCCTCCTCTTCTACACGAGGGAAGCTGCTCGACCCGCTTTTTGTTAGGAGTCGCTTCGCCGCTGGCTCATCAATTTCGAAATCGGCTGCTTTCCGCTTCTTGTTGGCCTTGCTGGGCTCATTGAGTGGCTTGCCTGACATTTGAACATCTCTTGTAGTGTCGAGACCTTCTTCAACATAGCCCGAGAATTCACCTTGTGCTTCGCCCGTCGTAGGCACGCCTGCTTCGGGGGAGTCTGAAGATGAAGTCCTCGCCGGCACCAACTTGCGCAGGAAGTGGAATGGTGCAGCGAATAAGGATGCAGCCATGTTGTCTTCGCTGTAAATTCAGTTTCGCAGGGCGTATAAGCGAGCTTGTAGGATTATGGCTCAAGGTGATGAAATTGGAGAAGCGATCTCACAGGGAGCGAAGTGCAGGAGTCTGGCGATCAGTCAATGCCCGATCCAGAATGGGGCGATAGGCTCGCCCGTATGCAATAAGCATGATGAGGCGGCTGAAGTGAGTCTCAAGCCAGGCGGTGTGTTGCCGAAGACGGCGGCCTTTGTTTGCAAGTGAGTTGGAAAGTGAGGTTTGCCAGTTGCAAGTTGGAATGACTGTGAATGACGCTGCTTCCGGCGCTGCGTTTCACGTGCCTTCACTGTGCTCAGCGTTAACGCGTCCGTCGGGTTTAAGCTTAATTTGTTGCCACCGTTTTCGGTCTAGCTGAACTGTTAAAGACGCGACATCATGTGATCACGTACTTGTAGCCAAAATCGAGAGTGACAGTTCGATTGCTCGTTGCTGACGAGGTGCATGCGACAACATCCAGCATCATTCTACCTCCACCTCACCCACCGTGACTCCGGAAAATAGTTACACTCGTTTACTTTTCTATTGAATTTCCGGCAACAGTGGGGGTTTGTGGTGTTACCAAGTCCTTACTGATCCATCAAATTGTCGACTTCTGAGCCTGCAGCGGATGCCTTTGCATCTCTACCCGGCCTCACATCAATGGGTTCATGACTGAGAAACAGGCGCGGCGTCCTCCCGTGGCGCCCAAACCCTCATTCATTCAGCGAGATGCCTCGACCTTGAAGATCTCTCCTGCACCATCTCCAGCCCTGCAGGGTGCAACTTTGGCTTTTGCTCCCGCTCCAGTAAAAGTGTTGAATGCAGCCTCACATAATCCAGCTGCAGGAGCATTGCTTGCTGCAGCCGTCGCAGCTAGCAAGAAGCGGCAGCCCTCTCCACCGTCTGGAAAAACACGCTCAGTTTCGCAAAATGCCACTTCATCGCAAGCATCGTCTTCCGCCCCTCGCGGCCGTACCTTAACCAGTCCGAAAGTACCTGTGACTGCGGCCAAAGTCTCCTCCTCATCCCCTCCCGCGCCTGCTTTCAGACCGCATGTACCTCGCTCTACCTCTGCTGTGGCGGCTGTCGCAGCATCGGCGACTGCTTCTGCAAAGACTAGCCCTGCCCGCAGGCCAGAAATACGCAGGACAACTCACTATCTAGGCCCACCAGAAATTCGTTCAGCGGGCAGAACACGGGCTAGCAGCACAAGTAGCAATACTGAAAGTCTGGCTTCACTTTCCAAAAGTCCAGATGCACTCGCTGGTGCACTCGCTTCCATGGCGCTAGCCCCAACACAAGTCCAGAGCGGACTCGTTGATAAGCATCGGAACGAGCTGGGTACTATACCTCAGTTGACAGCCCAGTCATCGCAAAACTCTACACCCTCGCTTCCCTCTCCGTCTGTCACAGCTGCTGCGGCTACAGCTACTAGGAATGCTGCAGCTCTGGAGGCGAGAAACAGAACACAATCCGTATCTGGTCGGAGTGTTCGGCATGAAGTGCCCGGTGATATTGCTCCGTCGGCTCGTTCGTTCACGGAGTCAAATTGGCCGCAGGCGAAGTTGTCTCCTCCGCAACCTGATCCTGAGAGTGATGACGCCCGGACCAACCATGAGCCACCTCGCAGGATCCTTCCAGCACCTCTTCCTGTACGACCCAGTGCAGCGGCAATGGTCGCACAAGGCACGGGTCCTTCAAGTCAAGCTTCTCCTGTCCTGGATGCTCGAACTAAAATGACTGCGAGCTCACTTGCTGATGCCATGGTGGCTTCGTCTGTAGCCTCACAGCGTACAGGCTCGCGGGTATCATCACCAAAGTCGAGGCCCCCACCTCCTATACCCCGGCGAAGATCGAAGTCCGTCGGTCCTGTAGATGGTATTCGTCATCATCTGCATTTTCCTGGCCTCAGGAGTGAGACGCCTCAACCACCCCAGCCACTGAAGCCGCTCCCCGCCCGGCCTATGAGGCACACATTACGGCGTCAATTATCAGATCATGACGAGCACGTCGAAGTCCATCACAAGCGCGGCCGAGGCCATTGGACTCGACATCCAAATAAGCACCACGAAGGTGATCGTAAGCGGTGGCGAGACAAGGTAACAGAACGCGAAAGGAAAAGGTATGAAGGTGTCTGGGCAGCCAACAGGGGAGTTCTTGTCGACCTGGATCCTGACATCGCGATATCTGGGTACAACAAGGATGGTACACCCATAAGTGATCTGGTGGTCAACGTTGTAGTCCGAGATATATGGGAGCGGAGTCGCTTGCCTAGGGATGTTCTGGAAGAAGTCTGGGACCTTGTGGCACGACCTGGAGAGAAGGCGCTGAATAGGGAGGAGTTTGTGGTTGGATTATGGCTAATTGATCAGAGACTGAAAGGCAGGAAGCTGCCTGTAAGGGTCTCACCAAGTGTCTGGTCCAGTGTGAGGCATCCTCAGGGTGTGAAAATATCAAATAGGGCCCTGCAGAAGTAGACTATAATGTATTCATATGTCATACAAGATGTCTGAATGGATGCTCAGTTAACTTTGGGTATATGTTCAATCGCTAAGACGCCTTCCAACACCATGTTCAGATGATCTCTCGCACAGTCGCGTTGCTCGTGGATCTAACATTGGCATACTATCAGAATGCTCCAGGTGCTATGATTAGCAATGCGGAGCATGGCATGCTGGCGCTTATCTTTCGAGAGTGTTTCGTTTCATGTGGCTGCCATGAGTGATACATCACAGGCGTAGGACCATTCGATCGATAGCCGCTGAGTTTGCGTGGCTGCAGAGCCTGCTTGAGCCTCACTGGTCGCGCCGTTTCGACCACATCTTTGAAACTCGTGTGTCATGTTGCCACCTAGCCAAAGCTGTCTGCATCGCTTGAGCCTCAAATAATCCGTCCACACTCTTATGAAGCAATCAGGCTATTGATAGAAATGGACCATGAGATTGTCGGTAGCAAGGTGTTTCATTTACCAATAAGCCTCACACCGGTTATGTCAGCATGGCATAGTGGGTTTGCGTCATTGGACGGTTCTTTTAGTGTCATCAATTATTGTCCCAACTTCGCAGGAAAACAACACCCACACACATTTCAATTCATCACCTCCAGGCACTGAGTACCCTCTCGGTCATCTAACCCGTGCTTGAACGGGCTTCTTTCGTGCTGACTGGCCGAATGAGACACATCAGGGCCTTGTCTGTACAGAATCGGTGACATCGTCAGGCGTTCAAAGAGCAAGCGTAAGTGAACGTCAGTTGAGCCTCACCAACCACAAGTTTCAAAGGTTTGCTGGAATTGGACCCAACGACGCGAAAACGAGCTGTGTACACGTATGAGCGTACCTACCCTCGAAGGAACAGGCTCCAAGCTGGCGAGCAACTTGTTGACCTTCCCTTTTCAGGAGGGGTCGACCAGTTAATACGACACATTAAGCGCCAGCTTCAATCAGCTAGTGATTCTTGCGAGCGTTATGCCGAGTGGATGGGAAGAAAGAGATCGTCATGACTATTCTTTCGCGGTCGAATGCTAACTCCTGATGAGCAGCCAAAGGTTTCGCGGTCTATGTTTGTGCACATTGCGGCTGACAGCGCCTATCTGACCAGTGCCCGAATATGTGGCTCTATCATATTGAAAATGCCACTTGCTCATGTGTATTTCAGTCTCCATGCTCGTGCAGCATGCGACCTCAGGGCGAACTTCTCGGGTCCATGGCGTATCGACCTTGCATTGCCTCATCATGCTGGAAGCGGAGGGCCAATTTCGCTAGCTACTGCTGGCGTTAATGGCTGAACAGTTCTTGGTCTTGTTTATATGAGAGACCGAGGCTGAAAGATAAGCCAGGAGAGCCGCGGGTGCGACTTCTCATCCAGCACATCGACCTCCACATTTGCGTTGCCGACCCAGAACATCTTTCCGTATATGCCGCGATGGCTTGAGGTTTTTTCTCCGTGGCCGATTTCACAATTACCTCAGTATAGCAAGCTGGACTGGTACTTCTTCAATGATCTGAAGGTGGTGCAGAGCCTCTCCGCTCCTTCCCAGCCTCGGTCTGCAAAATTCTCACATGGCGGACGCGATAGGCTCGTCCGCTAACATTTTTCAAGGTCTCTGGACAGACTGGTCCAAGGGTAGGATCTGGGGCCTCACCTGGACTCTACGCCCCACGAATGCCACCATTCTGACCAACGCCATGGCCTTGTTCGTCAGTATAGCTGGAATGCAACTCTGGTGCATCATTAGATATTCGCTTCACCAAATGCGTCCATCATCTCGGCAAGGGATGCCGACTCCCCACCTTCGGAGCGAACAAGTCATACTAAGAAATGCAAGCTCCGATCTCGAAACAGCCCGGCGGATGCTTTGTTTGGCATTTACATCTCGAAAACAGAGCACAGGCAGGCCGTCTTTGCGATCATACTCTATCGGACTCTTTGCTATCTTTTATGCTGGCCTCTTTATGACAGCCGCAACATTCTCCAATCTGGCGATAAGTGCTAAAGCGACAAACGGTGGTTCGACAGTCCTTTCGAGAAGCAAACAATGTGGGATGTTGAACGAGAGTTGGGTCAACATCACGAACGGCTATTACTCAACTAGGGAAGAGTATGGCTTGTACGTGCAGCATGCCGCCAAGAGAGCACATGATGTTCAGCTCAGTCTCGAGTACGCGCTTGCATGCTACTTGTCCCAGCCCTCCACCGATCTCTCGTCGACCTGCCACACCTTCAAGACTCCAAAGCTCCTCTGGCAGACTCTCAATGGCTCTTGCCCTTTTGACGCGCAACTTTGTCAGAAAGGGACCAGGGCTGTTGTCCTCGAAACTGATTATATCGATTCACACGATGATCTTGGTATTAATGCGGAACCTCACGACCGGCTGAGATACCGAAGGAAGACGACATGCGCAGTCGTCAACGGAACGGGCCACATCAGAGGGTGGGACGGTGCCCGGGGCAACGGCTCAAGCTCGAAGTCGTCAACGGAGACCGCTTATGCATACTACGGCCCTTCTCTCTACAAGGACACAGATTTCACCTACTCTTACTCGGATTTTGCATCGTTCTACACAAATTTCAGTGCCCAGGTTACCTTGCCATATCAGATCGACGTTGAATCAGCCCCTGGCTTGGCTGATCCGCAATGGAGCCAAAGCGACTTCGATCCAATTCCTGGTCTAGTGCAGGACGAAGCAGACTTGGTTTTACTCTTTCTGAGCTTCACAGGAACGTACTTGGGGAAGGTCGACGATCCTTGGTTTGCAGCTCATAGGGAGCAATCCTTCGAGGCCTCGTATGACTTTTTCGAGCAGCGATATGCACGCGATTTAGCTATTAGCACTCTAGGGTGCGCCGAACAGCACGAATTCTGCCTCAGCAATGACACATGTACAGGGTTGCTTGGATTTGACCAAGTTCAGAACGTCTATCCTTTCAATGGCTCACTGTCCCCACATCAGGCTGTCACCTTTGACCGGTTGCTTCGTGCTGTCGGCCCTGCAAGTATCTGGAACATTGTGTTTCAGCTCACATTCACAGCGACGCCGCTCCTTGCCACCAATGCGACCAATTCAGGACTGAGTGGAAGACTGGTATCGCTGCAGCTGCCCAACGATCAGTTCGAAAGGGAGCTTGGGTATTGGCACTCGATTGCAATGGCACAGCTTCAACGTGGCATCGTTCAATGGGCGACGGGCCAGATCGCTGATGAACCACAATACCTTGTCCCTGCTGAGAAAGAGGACGATGTTTGGTTCTGCAATAGTCTCATCGTGCCGTCCACCTTATATAAGTCATTTTCTCTTGTCGCGATCGTCCTATTGATCGCTTCCGGGACTTTAGTGATTGTGGTCAGCCTTACTATCGAGCAGTTGGCAGTCTCCATCCGAAAGTGCTTGGGAAGGGGATCTCCGCGCAACGACTGGGAGCAGGACAACATGCTCGAGCTTCAGCCCTCTGTGAGCGAAAAATTCTGGGCGAGTCAAGGTGCAACCGGTGATGACAACTGCAGTCCAGTGGATGCAGGTCACGAGAGTTTCGAAAAAAAGGAGCTAAGGAAGCATCGGATTTCCTCGCAAGTGCTTTCATTGAATGATCCTGCTTTCTCATATATGAATGGCCTTTTGATAGCGCGGAGTGACGGTGGTCAAGCCAAGGAGAAGCCACCGCCTCATTGAGACTTACTGTGTTTGAGATTGTTTCTGTCACAATGTTGGAAATATCACACTACCCGCGTTCTCCTCCGGCCTTTCCAACCGCCGTTTCGCATCACATCACATCACAGCCATGAAGTGCTGTGTTTGTTCTCCACGCCTTTCCGGGCTCCCTGCATCTTTTTTACTAGCAGCTTCGTGGACGCCTCCCATTCGGATTGACCACATCACACCGCTGACACTGTTCCAGCTTTGCATCACACTCTACTCAAAGTTTGTCACGAAGTGATGTTCTGAATCTTTACCCGTCATGTGCTGGGAGCCTTCTCCCGGGAGATGGGTGCTTTGGGCTTGCCGGTGCCTATGCACAACAGCAACGTGATGACCATATCAACAGGCCATGAGAAAGTGTTTATTGAATAGGCATGAGCCTTCGCCCCGTGATGGTTCCTCAGGTCGCCGGGTTGGGACATCTTTTCCGGGAGACACAAGATCACGTAGCTAAGTGTAGGAGCTCAGCCTCACCTTCTCGCTTGAATTGAGAGGAGGACCAGATGGAACAAAGAGTACGCGACTCCATAGCCTCACTAGCCACGAGTAGCCTATGTGCCTCGCGCGAACTAGGCAACTCTGCCGAGAGCACTCTTTATCCTTCAGAGCACTTTCAAATTACGAGTCACCCAGCGAGTACTATTGACTTCAACCACTTTAAGGTTGCGATAGTGCGTGACAAGTCGAAGAGGCCTCTTTTGGTAAAGTATGCTTAGCAATTTTATCCATGTTTATGTTTGCGTTTGCGTCTAGCAAGACTGCTACATCCGCTCAAGGCCCGACAATATCCTGCAAGTCATCGACGCGTCTCGCTTCGATCCACGCGATCGCCTCCGCTCGGTTTCGGCAGACGTGTGGCTGCCCTCTCTCATGGTCTTCAGGTGTCGACATGGACCCTTCAAGCGTCATGTCGAGGTTGCACAGAATGCTGTTCCTCAGATACTCGAAGCAATGACTTGCATGAATCGGGTTGTCGTTGTCCGTCCGACCATTGACGATCAATTGGTGGTAGCTATCGACAGAGTAGTATAACTAGAGCCGATCAGACAACGGAGACGATAACTGAGTGATTCAGACACAGAGGTTCGAAGAAAACCGGTGACTGAGAGGGAGAGGGAGAGAACTTACACAGTGAAGAGCATGAGTCCATGAGGCTTCGAAGAGCGGCCCGTTACGGATCGGATCGTCTGTGATCGGATCGCCGAGGAGAGGGTGGTCTCGGTAGTCAGGGATTGCAACGCTTCCGCTGCCCACTGGGAGAGCCGCAGCCGGGCCAAGGGTTAGCTACTGCGTGGTTTTTTCACTCAGGGGAGAGAGAGAGGGGAGGAGACGGGGAATGGGAAAAGGTAAATGGTCTTGAGGGGTCAAGGTACAGGCGCAGGAGACGGAAATGGAAACTTACACGGCATCAGCAAGTCCCAGTTCCTTCGAATCTCGAGTCGGTTCTCGTTCGTCGTCATGTTCGGTATGAACTTATCGGTATCGGGCTTGAGGTAGGTATATGTGTGTGACACTAACCGAACAGTTAACACAACAGGTTCTTTGGTTGCCAATTCTTGATGGTTTTTTGTTTCTGCGGCAGCACCATGTTTGAAAGGGTTGGTTGTTTGCTGGAAGAAAGCCCCATCGGACACTCACACGTCTTGTACAACCCATTGATATCGCCACCAGATTCGACCACCTTGTCCTCGAATACCGCGTCCGTGTCTCTGTCTCCCTGGACGAGTTTTCGCTGACACAGCAGAAGGACGACGATGATGCTTTGCAGCCCGACGACCACTCCCCAGCGGAGCCATGCCAAGAACGGTGCAAATGACCGAGCCTTTCTCGACGAAGGGGTGAATGTGTCGGCGGACCAGGATGAACTGTACGAGTCCTGGCGGTTCCTTGAGCTGAGCGGCGCTGATTTCTCGTAGAAGGTCGTGGTTGAGGCCTTGTTGCTGAGGAGGCCGGTCGCGTGTTCTTCGATATCGACGTCGTCGTATTCTTCTTCTGACTTGTGGCTTCCCAACATGGGGAATGTACTTTCGTCCTTCCTTGTGGCGGGCATGGTTTAGGCCTGGTCTGCGATGTCGGCTGAAAGATCGGGGAGTGAGAAAAGTGTAGTAGGGCACAAGAGAGGGTGGACAGCGCTATAAGCGAACACAATCTGGCAAATGCGGCGGGCACGTAATATTCGAAATTCTGTTCGTCGGTATTGCTCTTTCTTTTTCCTTGTGAAGCTTTCCTTGCCCAGGGCTTGGATTGACAACGAAAATATGGTAGGTGAGTTACTTACTACGTACTAGTATCTCTCAGAGAGAGAGAACAGCCTGTGCAAGGACGGACGCGATGATGGACTCAAGCCAGAGACTCGAAACAGGAGACACTCCCTTCGTAAGGACTCCCGTGCAGAGGTGCTCAAAACAACCGATATTACCTTACATAGTAGGACTACGTAACTCGGCGTCTGAACAATACTACAGTAGTACTACGTGAGAAACTTCTCTCTCTCTCAGTGGCTAGGATTCGGCATCATCTCCTTACCTCGTAACGTCGACTTTGTGTTTGAAGATTATATCGCGCACAACTCCCCACCCCTGGCGGAGGTAGCAGGGGCAATTGGCAGCCTCGCGCTCGGGGAGCCCCTTGCTTGCTTCCTTGTTTGATGCAGATCCAGGGAAAGAATTGACGAAAGTCCCCGAAGAAGTGGGGATCGGTCCACGCTCGACGTCTCGAAAGCCTCGCCGCTGCGTAGTACTACTGTTGCTACTGCATAGTCGGAGCGGGTCAGACCAGGGGGCCCTTCCCCGAGTTTCGTATTCGTCTAGATTTATCTTTTTGAATGGGTACAGTACTATGTACTATGTATGCCCGCGCGAATTGTGGATCTGGCAAGTCTAGCCGGCCGGGCACCTCCCGGGGATCGATCGACTCGAGGCTGTTGACCCCTAACTTAGAAATTTAAGCACCGGCCCTTTTGCTTCAGCGAGGGCCCCGGCGTTGCTTGAAACACCATGACTCGACTGCACTGGATTCACGAGTTGGTGCAGCAGTTCGGGTACAGCCTATTTCCATTTGCAAAGGGCCGAAGCCGCCACGTGTACTACTATGTATGTGTGACTTGGCAGAGATCTCTCGGCTGCTGTTGCTCAACTCATGAACGGCTGTAGCGAGGACGATGTTTCCTCTAACGTTTCGACAAGTCCCGAAGACTACTACGATGGAAACCATTCAAGGCCCGAAAATCTCATTGTGTCAATCAAACAAAGACGGAAAATTCACTCCAAAAGCTCCATATTCCCAACAGAGTGGTCGAGTGCCCATTGCCTCACGCCGTCGAAATTCCTGCATACATGCTTCGTGTTGAGCTCCGGCCACGCCTGTGGATCTCCTGCGACCATGTACAGCGTGAAAAGGCCGATGTCCGCATTGCACTGGATGTTCAACCTGAGAATCTCGATGCAGTGATCTGTCAAAAAGGAGATGCGTGTCATTAAGCCCCAACCCAGATGCATTAGAAATTGCCAGGGCGAACTCACCTGTATGATGTTGCAGCGCGTCGGGTCCGGCTGCGAATTCTCCGCCGAGCGGTTCGTAGTATTCCTTGAATGTGACTCTTCTGAGCAGGTTGAGGCAATGGAGCTGGTGGAAGACCTCCATGCCTACGCGGTAGCCTTCCTGACCCGTCTCTGGATGAGCCATTTTGACCGACGTCCTGGGCATGCCGAGTCTGTCGAGGTCGGATTTCGAGATCCATTGGTCTCCCACTGTGCCGGAACGTCAGATACTCATTCTTCTTTTTCAAAATGGACGGAACCACTGGGGACACATGACGCACTATCATATGAAATCTCGCGCCAGGCTTTATCGACCTCGGGTCCTGCGCCGACGAAACGATTGTCTTGCGTTGATACGTTGTACTTGACTGACTGATACCGGACTGAGGTGTCGGCAGGAGCTTTTGGTCATCTTCCATCAGCTTCGGTTCACAAAGATTCTAGAGTTCAGGGTTCGGGCATACACCAAGCAGAGAACTCGCGCACATGTTTCAATGTTGATGACCGCACCATCACGGCGAGTGTGAAGAATGTGAGTGATCCAACAAGAAGGACCACATGGAGCAACCATAGCCACTTGGATATCGAGATTGTTGACCGACACATCTCACCCATAAACTCCTGTGCCTTTACTTCCCGCTTCAAAACGATATCCACGTCGTCCGCGTCGCCCAGAGTAGATTCCGAGTCAACGGACGCCGCGTCGTGTTCCACAATTGGGGATAGCCGCTGGTATTTGAAGTCCATCGCGTTGATTGAAGCGGGAGAGGACGGGAATGGTAGTGATCGTCGAGCTGGTCAAAGAGAAAATGCACTTGATCGAGGTGAGAATTTGCAAATTCAGAGAGCCCCTTTACAGTCAGTGATCGAGACCTTCTTGCTAAATTCGCGCGTTGGGAAAATACCAGGAGATACAGCAGATGGGCTTCATCACCAGAAGGCCCTTCCATCATGATACTGTACGTCAAAAGTGGGCAAGAATTGACGACCAAAACTGGCTCCCAAGTTCTTGAGGCTTTCCATGCCTCAGATGTGAAGCAATCTTGGTTTCAATCGAATAAGACGCACCAGCAACGCGAGTCATGGATCGAAACTCGAGTGTATCCTCCAAATCCGTCAAAACTTGCCACGTCTAATGCCATCGGAAACTGAAGTGGAGACTTCGAGGGCGCAGAAAAATGAAACCTGGGGATACGTACTCGCCTCCGGATCGCGTGCGTACTACGCAGTACGTGAGGAAGATTCGAGCCGCGCTATCCGATGGCAGCAGGCAAGTGTAGCCTCCCGATGCCTTTATTTCGAGGTGGTAACTCAAGACACCATGCCGGTAGTATTGGCTTGTAGCACTTGTAGCTGCCACGATTCTGTCTAATTTGAGAAGCTTAGCACGACCTGGAAGGTTACACTCCAGCGAATGGCTCTCCATATCAAACACCTAGCACGGTCCACTCATATGACTTGATACTGCTATCTCAGCGGCTGGTGATGCCATGGAGTGGGCGATTGATAATCATATTTGTGGATATTCCTTGGGCTGAGACAACAAGGACTAGTATTTGATGGTGAAGAAGCTTGAGGTAGCTCCCTCCGAGCCAAACAGCCGCTCTTGGAATGAAACTTCTGCAAAACAATCACTTCCCTATCCACTTGCCTCGAGTGGGGGATATATTCAAGATCATGGAGCAGATGAATCGTCTATCCAGTAACGGTGGTGCGAACTAAATGTCTGAAGAAATGGCTCACTTGTTGGGGGAGCGGCTAGGTTGCCAGGTCTTCCAGAACCGTTGAGGCCGAACTGTCCTTATAAGATGCAATGAGCGCCCTGAATTGATCTCTTCTCATCTTTCTCGTCCGACTCACACTTCGTCTTCAATTCGTTCTTTTCAATTCTTTTGTACAACTGCCGGCCAGTTGGAACTGTGCCATCCTTTAAGCATCCATACCATCGTACCATCATGCGTTCCTTCTCCGTTGGACAGATTTTCGTCTTTGGCCTTTTGGCGGCTGGTCCGCTTGCCGCGGGCTTCTCTCTCGAAAGCCCCGTTAACGAAGTGGAAAGAAGACATGTGGTGGGTCACCATGCTCCCCGACCATAACATCTGCGGTTGCTAACCTCAGCCCAGGGTTCGTTGGCGTCCATGGCCTCGAAGGTAGCCAGGTCCGTTGTCGATGAGATCGGCTTGGCCAAGCGAGAGCCCCACCACACCGAGGCACAAATTGCTGCCAAAGAGGCTGCGGCAGGTGGCAAGAAGAACCAGCGTCGCCAGGAGGCTGATGAATTCGGTCCTTGGGACAGTACCGAGGACGAATTTGGGTCCTGGGTCGACAAACGAGACCCCTCGCCTCATCATACTGAGGCACAGATTGCAGCTAAGAAGGCAGCTGCAAGTGGCAAGGGCAACCACAAGCGCCACCACACTGAAGCCCAGATTGCGGCAAAGGAAGCCGCCGGGAACAAAAAGAACAACAAGCGAGACCCACAGGAAGCCGACGAGTTTGGTCCTTGGGATAGCACCGAGGATGAATTCGGCTCGTGGGTGGACAAACGTGACCCGTCGCCTCATCACACGGAAGCTCAGATTGCAGCTAAAGACGCGGCGGCAAACAAGAAGAATAACAAACGTGACCCTCATCACACTGAAGCTCAGATCGCAGCAAAGGAAGCCGCCGAAAACAAGAAGAACAACAAGAGACACCACACAGAGGCCCAGATCGCGGCCAAAGAGGCAGCAGGCAACAAGAAGAACAACCGCCGTCAGGCACCAGATGAATTCGGGCCGTGGGACAGTACCGAAGATGAATTTGGATCTTGGGTGGACAAGCGTGATCCTCATCACACAGAGGCCCAGATCGCGGCCAAAGAGGCAGCAGGCAACAAGAAGAACAACAAGCGGCATCACACTGAAGCTCAGATTGCCGCGAAGAATGCGGCGAAGTCTGGCAAGGGGAACAATTGATGTTGATGTTGATGTTGATGTCCATCCGGACAGAATGCCTTCGGCAGGCCATCATTACCGGTTACTCGGGTGAGCAGAAGCAAGCAGCATTATGCACAGTTGTCGATGACCTTGCATTGGGGAACCTCGTAGTTGATTCGTAAGACCGAATACGATCGACTAGACATGAAGATGAGTTTAACAAATTTGATTGAGGGGATTTATTTGATCCGTCTTGCCGTCTCACTGCTGATTGAACGAACACCAATCACAGTGACTGACTTATTGCTTAGTTGCAGGTGTTCATGCTTATATAATATATCACTCATCCTCGCGAATCTGTGCGAAGCGCGGGCAGAGGTATTTAAATTTTCCCTTGCCTTCTCACCCACAGCGACTTCGGTATCAATTGCAGTTTGCAGCTCCGTTGCTGACAGGTACAGTACCCGCACCGGAGTACTGTGTACGAGTTATTTTGTCAACGGACGGGGCTCCATCGGTTCGGCGCATTCCCTCGTGATCCGCGATGGTCAAGAGGACTGCAGCAGTGCCTCATTTATTACCTACCTACCTTAGGTGCTTCGTTTAAGCACTGTGTGGCACTGGTAGTGGCACATCAGCACCGCGGGTCAGGCTCACTAGGCTTGACGAACAGTGCGAACCAGGCAAAAACATTTTTTAAGCCAAGCTAACCTCGGTCGATCATGGAGATTTCCGGAACAGCCAGGTGACGCATGTGTACTGGTACTTTCTTCAAGTTTTCTTTGCCTCGGAATTGAATTGGGATTACAGTAGTGGTGAGTGCGAGCCCTAAGTTAAGGCTCACTTTTTTTTTTGTAGGCGGGCATTTACGAGCGCGAACGAATGAACGAAGTTCCCAAAGCCTGTTAAGGCCCGGGGCCCGAGGTCATTCAATGCCAGGATTTTTATTATCGAGGGTGATCACGTCGAGCCTAAAGGCTAAGGATGCTGGCAGCGCGCGAGTTGAGCGTCAGTGAACTCGTGAGCGTGACCGTAGAATGCCTCAGGACCGGAGTATACGCAGAGGGGGCCTTTCTTGGGTTGAAATAGTGTATGAGTACGAGTAGGATAGAACCCGAGATCCAAGGCATCCAGGCACCCAGGCACCCAGGCACCTCGCATCCGTACTCGTAGCCCGGGGTGTGAATCGACGTCACCGTGCAGGGGGGGACAGAGCACTGCAGTATATCGCGGAGGGGGAAGAGAATAACAACATTTTGGTTTGACTAGAGGATTAGATATATTGACTGTAAATCTTCGTATTGTACAATCGTCTACCTAGGTACACTTCGGATCCGTCTCCAGCACATACCTGATCTGCCCCTCGTTTGCCACCAAGGCCGACAATCTCACGACTCTTCATGTCCCAGATAGCGGATGTTAGATCCGGCAGAAGCTGGAATTCATATGAAAGTACTTCGTACTCCGGACCGACCGTAATTGTACGAGCTCGTGAGTGTGCCCAATGTTTTCCCAGGCTGGCTTCACATAACCACGACTACTGGGTTGGCACTGTAGACAGATCATTGCTTGGATCGAAGCGTAGCCAAAAACGGGACTGACTCGGAGCTCTCGACGGACCTCCTGCGGCCCGTCGTGCTCAACATGAATCATTCAACTCGTGTCGTAACGTTCGTAGCGTTTTTGAATCGTAAAAAGTCGTGGGTATCAATAATAATCAGGAACCTTTTTGTCGTCCTGCTCTTTTGTAGAGGTGAAGAACCAGCCCTCGCATCAGCGCCAAAAACCTCAATCGTCCTCGTCGACCTCAATGGCGGTCTCACTGACCGTGATCGGCCGATTCTGCCTCCAAGGTTGATCCTTGAATTCGTACTTTGATGACGGCGGTGGAGGAGGCCGTCTCTTCGGGCTGAGTGGAGTTCTTGATTGTGTCTTTTTCTCGTTCTGGACGTGGTGTACGATGCCGGCGTTGATTTCGAAAGATTTGCTTTGGGATTGAGAGTTGATGACATGATGGTCTTCGTCTTCAGCGTCGCCGTCGCCGTCGCAGTCAAAGATGGCTACGTCGCCTGACTTGACAGGGTCTTTGTCGTCGTCGTCTTCTTCTTCAAAGCAGTCCTCGAAAGGATCGGAATCTTCGTCGGAACTGGAGTCGACGAGGACTGTCTCGGATGGCTCGGCGAGGTCACGAGACCAGCGCCGGACGCTGTCGACGAGTGATGCATGAGCTACTATTCTGTGGAGGTCTGGTGTCTGTCGACGACATTCATTGTCGAGTTTGGCTTGGCCCATGTGGTATACCCGGTAGGCCGTGATGGCGGGATTTGTAGAGGTGGGCATGTTGTGAGTGGTCGAGGAGCCGTGAATCATACCCAGGTACTCCTTAGATGTTGTAGAATGTTCAATTTTCTACGACAAGAGGAAAGGACAATACTGTAAGTGGCTGAGGCGACCACGGAAGAATATATCTTAAAAACACAGAATATTTGTGGAATATGAAAACGCAGGCCTTGATTCACGGTGGATATTACGAGGTAAGGAATGTAAACGACGTAGCCATGGATAAGGTTTGCAATGCCTCAACCATCAGCCTAATGGCCATGATGACTTGACCTGACGATCAGGCCGGATGATGCGGCAGCCAGGGAGCACCGGAATACTAGTTATTACTGTTTAGTGGTAGACTGAAGCGGGAATGGTGAGGTAAGCATGTCATGTCATGCATCTGGCGTAAGGCGGAACAAGTACGGAACCCGTGGAACTATGCACCTACGATGGTCGATGGCACAGATGGGTCAGTACTGATGGCACCTTCGATGGATCCATGGTCATGATGATCCCAGTGGGCAGTGTCACGGACATGCACGGAGTCCCCAAAGCCCAGATTTTCTTCTTCCTCTTCTTGCTCTTCCACCCGCCAATTGGATGACAGTGATGACGGCGATGACAGTAACCGGCTTGCTTCTACCCGCGAAACATCTGTCAAACGAGGTGCCAGACCAAGAGGACCGAAAACCTTGGACGTACAGCGACTCGTAAGAGGGCCGCCAATATGGCCAAGGTTGATGCGAGATGTTGGAACTACCTGGGTAATGATGGCACATTGGCCTTGGTTACGGGTTGCACGGTTCCAGGCGAGAAAACAAGGAATTTTCATCCAGATCACGTGATTGTAGCTGGCGCTCGCTGATGACATCACTGCATCACTCGAACCCCCAGACTGTCTCCGCGACCAAGTTTTGCCTGGCGACGAACAAATCGAACAACCCACCTACAGTAGGGCAGCTCTTATCACCCCGATTCCAGGATATTCTTTTGCAATGAGAGTCGAGTCGAGTCCACACTAAAATACTGTAGTGGCTTCGTCGTCCATCATGTGCACCCCCGGGCACAGGTTCAGGGCACAATCAAGCACCGCCATGTCCCCCTGCTGGCGCTGGATGTTTCAGGCAAACCTCTTACGCACGCGCACTTCCCTACCATACCTTAGTATACCAGGTGTATTCAGGCACGCACTCACTCGATGCGTATAAGGCAGGTACATTGATTACCCGTACAAGAGTTTATGGCCCAGCTTGTTACGCCTCACTGGTCTTTCGGCCGGCCACGTAAGTACCTAGGTACATAGTAAGCCGCCTGCACAGTCAGGCTTGTGCGTCAGCTGGCCGACCCTATCATTGCAGGGAACCTCTGAAAGGATCCTCACCTGAGTGATCCCTACTCGTAGTAGAACCTTTCCAACCCCGAAACCGAAACGGATGGGCGGGAAGCGGGGGAGAAGAAGAAGCAGAAGATTCCAGCGAGAGCAAACCATGGTTCCAAGTGGAACGAGATCCATTCACTCTGGTACTCTCGCATGAGTGCAAAGTACTGTATGAGTAGTCCTGCCGGATATTCTATCCATGATTATGAGGTAATCGTCCGACGTCCATCCTATCTAGGGCGAATCAATATATGATCCCAATTCACAGCCTTTCCCCATCTATGACGCTCACCAACGCCTTTGCCGATGGTAGGTATGCCTCATGACACTCCCACCTCCTTTGGGCTACCGGTGGTTAGATGTCTGTATGTGGGCTGGCTGGTTCATCCGAGAGCCGTCGCTCGCCGTGTACCGGCCAGCCACTGAGCACAGGATACGCTGGTACGAGTTCCATTTATAGGTACTCGATATGAGTACTCCACGTGGTACTCCTATTCGGAATCCACCTAGGTAATTTCTGTCTAGACCTTCTACGAGTAGTTCGGGTTGTATTCGGTATTTGCCTCTTCCCGCGGAACATGTCCCGGATCGAGGGAACCACCTCGGGGGCCTCGATCAAATGGTCCCATCATGTCCTGGACTACTGTAACCACCTAGGTAAGCCATTCGGTCCGTAATGTGAGATCGAGGTTTCCGTCGTTGAACCATTGGCTCGTACCATATGGAGCCCACGGAGGCTCAACAACCCCTTCGTACCGAGTACCGAGAATGACAGTTCCTAAAGGACTCCATACCGTCAATGGGCATTCGGAGCCCTGATACGAGTAAAAGCCCTGGATAGCACTCTTCGGAATTTAATCCCTCCTCGAGTACGAGTATCGAGGAAACCTGCCCGGCCCGCATCCGCGGCGACACGTCGTCATATCCAGAGCCTCGCGCGGAGTCAGGGTACGAGATACCGTGGGGGCCCATCCTTTTGTCCTCATACAATGGAGAAGTGATGCCATTTCATCTCGATGATTTTTCAGACGGAAACCATTGTGGCATATTGAATGCACGTCTCTTGGAATCCCTCATGAACTCCGTCCTGAATACTTGTGTCATCAGTCATGCTGCCAACTCCATGCAAAGCCATCATGAGCCTCGAGAGGCCGACTATCCGTGCACATTCTCTCCCAAAGACGGCAAGGAACGGCCTTTGGCGTTCGTTCGCCCGGCGTCAGTCATCTCGCCATAGACGTCCCGATGTCGATGATCCAGTTTCGCAAGCTTGTTCCTTCTCTTCCCTTGCCCTCGCTTACTAAGGGTGAAGCGACTCGACTCGACACGACTCGGATCAACTCTTCCCAGTCTTTCTCGGTCTTGTTTTGATGGTGACCACCCTCGCGCAAGCAGTTCTATTTCCCTCTTTTCCTACCTAGGTAGGTAGGATACCATCAGAGTGTGAATATCGATTCATGACCAATCCTCGCCAGCCCTCGTTGGCAGGGAAACCCTTTTCCAAACCATCCTGCCAGGTTTTAATGATGCCTATATGAAGCTGGGTACACACCAGGTAAACAAGACGCCCTCGACCTCCAATGATTTCCCGCATCTTTCCTGACCGCGTGATTGGACCCAGAATCTTTTCTTTCATCAGCCATCATATCCGTCCTTCATTAGTTAGTAGTACATTTCATCGTCAAACCCGGGTATGTTCTGCCCCTGGCCAGGTCTTTTCAGTTTCATCTTCGTATTCATGCTCCCTGCGCCCAAACTCATCCCGCCCATTCCAGGCATCTCCATCCCCGACATGCCCATTTTCATCCCTGAATTCAATCCGTTCCCCAGCCCATTCAAACTCCCATTTGCGCCAGCACCCACATTTACACCGCCGTAGTTACTCGTGGGAGGATACTGCCCGTACTCGTACCCATCTCCCAGCCCTCCACCACCATTGGCGTTCGACCCCGAGGTGCCAGTGTCATAATACCCCATCCCTGCGCCCGTCCCATACACAGGACTACTCCCATTCGTACCTGTGTTCACCCTGCTTGAATTCGTGCCATCTGTGTCAAAGAAACTCAGATCTAATGTGCCCCAATCCTGCGTCGGCTCGCCCCAATTCCCAAAGCCCATGGCAAGTTGGTTTTGATCTCTGAAAAACCAATCCTGCGTGTCCTCGATCAGGCTGTCCACGCCGCCAAACAATTTCGCGGGATTCTGCGCACTAGGCTGACTCGTACCTCCCGCCGCCCCGCTGCTGGCCAAACGTGCCTGGTGCGCATTCCACGCATCCTGCTGCGCTTTGGTCAGATACGTCGATGCACGGACTCTATGCGAATCGCGAACCAGATCCGCGGCGTTTTGTGGCGGCATAGACAAGTTCCCAGACGATCGACGCGTATCGATGGTCTCAGCTGGCGACGGCGCCATCGGTGCTGAGATACCGCTAAACATCTGTGGGATCATAGCCTGCTGCTGAACATTGCGTGCCATCAGGTCAGGCACGGGCTGCGACACGATCTGCTTGGCTAGATGGCCCATTGTCTGCGGCGATATCGGCGACGACCCCTCTGCAAGGCCCCATTTCATCTTGACCCTAGTGAATACCATCTCAACCTCCTCCGGCATCTCGATGTTCCATCTGTCTGCGCATAACCGGAGAACCCGCAGTGTTCGACGAGCTGCTGTCCAGCATTCGCCCATCTCTTCGAGATGTTTGATGCCGTGGATGATGTCCCGTCGAGCGTTTTTGTCCGGAAGGTTCAATAGATGGATTGTACATGCTGAGTGGACAATGTAAATTGCAATGTTGCATATTTGTCGTAGTCCGTGGGTTCGTTTATATAGCCGGAACAGCTTGGAGATTGATCCAGCAGCCTGGGTGCAGTATTTTCGTGGAGACACATGAGCGGGAAGTGGTGAGGTTGTGCGCGTGTATTTGAGGAATGGTCGATATAAATGTATGTACAGTAGCTGGAAGAACATGCTGCGTCGAGTCAGAAGTTGAGAAGTCAATATTATCAGAATTAGACCTACTGCATGAGAAGGACCTGCGGCAGTTGCCCTTCACGAGACTCCATTTCTGCCGGGAGGCCCTGCTTCCAAGCTTCCAGCCTGGTATGTAAATCGGTCAATCTCTTCAACTCGGCTTGTTTGGAATGAGGTTTTCGCAACTGTTCGGGGTTGTAGAACGAGGTCAAAAGGTCACTGGAGATCTCGGCGAGTTTGGACAATTGCAAGGCGACTGCCCTTGTCCGAGCGGGCTGAGCATGTGCCTCGATAATGCCGGAATCGGTATATGGCGACCACATCTCGCTGTCCTCAGAGGGGAAGACGTCCGGCTTCTTCACGGTAATATTATTCAACAGTAGCTGTGGTTGCCGCCCGAGGTAATTTGACCAGCATCTGTAACGTTCAGTAGGGGCCAAGTTGAAAGCCGAGAAAACTTACTTGTCGAAGAGAAAGCATCCCCAGAACGTGATGCGTCTTGCATCACTACCTTCATCTGTCAAGCGAGAGAATTCGTTGATTGGTTGCGCATCGACGTTCAGGCCCAGGTCACAAGCCATTCGGAAACTCATGCCACTAAACACCCAACCTTTACTCTCGCGACCACAGCCGGCCTCCCTTACGGACATCAACGCCAAAGCCTGTACGGTGCACAGCTTCGCATTGGCGAATTCGTCATCCTCGTAAAGAAGTCTCTTTGCTTCAGCAAAGAAGTGATCACCTGTGGTTCCTGAGTCTTCTGGATCCTTTCGCGCAGCAGGCCAAGTGGAGAAATGGCAGCCAAGAGCGAGCATTATATTAACCAGAAGTGGAGAGCAATACTGTGACGTTGTCCCCGTCAAGAAGTCCCTGTAGAATAGCTCCTTGGCCAATGTGGTGAAGAAGGCATAATGCCAACAGAAGTACATGTTCATAAAGTGAAGGATATCATCCTTGTTCTGCGTCACTGTGGTCCACGATAGGATTGCCTCCTCCTTTGGCCTTAGAGCGAGGTCGTGAGAAGGCGAGTGGGCGGAATCATTCTGTTCGTAGTCCTGGGGAAGCCAAATCAAGTTGGACGTGCCACCAATGAATTTGAGAGAACCGTCCAACATCAGGTCACCCATCCTACCTGAAAGCTCGGCCTCGAACTGTGGTATCCTTAAGTTCTCGTTGTTGAGGGACGAATCGCCAGCATCTTCAACCAACCCTTTTTCTTGGGCTTCCAGGCTGGTGGCCAGTTCTTCCAGACTGTCGCAGGTCCGTATCTGGCTGACTAAGTCCATGACATCGTCCTCCTCAGCATTGAGAATAGCCTGTATAAGTATCTGCAGCGTGGAGTTTTTGGTCTTGGAACTGTCCACATCTTTCTTGTATACGCCTTTCCGGCGGTGGTCTGTGTGAGGCGCATATTCACATTCCGTCAAATATACCGAGGCACAGGCGGCGCATTTTGGAAGCATTCCATCGCATTTCGATTTGCGCTTCCGGCAGGCTATACAAGCCGTGCTTACACATCGTCTCTTTGTGGCTGCATTGCTATCCTTGTCTTGATTCTTGTTCTTTCCCTTCGATGAACTCTGTGCTGAAGTGTCTGCATTTTCCGTCGAGTCTTCTGGAGGAGGAGATTTCTGTGGTGGTATTGCTTCTGGCTTGATCTCGGATTCCATGCTGCGGTCTGAGAGGTGAGTTGCGGCTCTAGTCTGTTGTTCTTGCGCTATCTGTCGACGGATAACAGGCTAGCAATTGCAAGACCATGACAACCTGTGAGCTGCTAGAGCATAGCCAATGAACCGGACTATGTCGACGGCGATCGAAGGGCGAGCATTGCGAAGACTGCGGCTGGTCGATTTATGTGGATGTAGCTGGTGGGACTGGGACTGTGGTAACGCTGTAAAGGGTGCGTACGAAATTGAGAACCTTGGAATGGTCTTGGGATGGTGAATTGCGGAGGAGGGGCTATCGCTAGGTAATCGGCAAAAGTATGTATCTGTGATAAAGCAGAAGGTGAGCGAGCAGATTCGTATCAATGTCCGCCCGCAAACCAGCGAGGCGGAAGAATGTCTGCACTCTGGACCCTCCACGGCCATCCCACGAAGGGGACGGTCGGCAGCTGCAAGATCCACTGATTGTTAATCAAGCCCGTGTCAAGCCCTACAACGCTGGGCGCGGCTGGGCTCTGCGAACCATCGGTGGTCGAGGTGGTCCCAAGACACCTAAAGCCAATGAAACCTCGGGGACGACGATAAGCAGCTGTGGATCATCATAGGCTGCGGCGGTGGGTGTCATTATCCATGTGCTTCGGCTGGCTGCTTTATGAGGGTCTTTCTGTGCATCACTATGCTCCCAATGCTATTGGCTGTGGACTTGGCTGATAAAGCGAGGACCCCATGGGAATGAGGTGGGAATGGCCCATGATGCCCTGACGGTCGTTCCATGAGTGTGCGAGTGAGCGAGATAGAGAATTCCCTTCCTCGGGTCTTTTATCCAGAAATCACCCCCCAGTGGTGGGCGTACATTCCGATTGGCTGTGAATAGGCTGTATGGGAAGACTTGCGCAGGACTCATCTGGAAGTGATTCCCCTGAACACGTCGGGCACGATATATACAATGTTAAAGGAATGCGGAGATTGGGACGAATTCTGACACTCCATGTAGAAGTATGGGCATTGACTTTGTGAACAATCCTTAACGCAGGCCCAACAACGCCTTGCTGTTCTCATAAACGATATAACTGATACTGACAGCTGGTGCAACCTTCAGAAGATTTGGGGTCACACCCTTGAACAATCCTTTGATGCCTTCGTTCTGGAGTGTCTTCCTAGTCACATCCGCAATGCCTTTGTAGGTCGGCGGATGGAGCACCGTACCTTGGGCTTGAAGTCTTGTTCGAAGCAGATTGATCGGATATACTGCCGTAGCACTGATCGCGCCCGAGGTAGCTCCAATCATGCCCGTGATAAGGTTGCTCATGTCCACATCCTCTTCGTGAACTCGTGCTTGCCTGGCTTTACGAGCAATCACAAAATTCTTGCAGTTCTCGAAAATGAACAGGTCGATAGCGCTGTAAGGAAACATGCCAGCAAGACCCATTCCTAAGCCCCGATAATATGGTATGAGCTTGCCTTGTTTCCACATCTTCCTGGCGGTCTGAAAGATCAGGGCGTTTCCATGCAGGCCACCAGAAACTGTCTCGCACTGCATTCGACTGTGGGAAAGGTGGTTAGTCGTATCCTCCCATGGCGTTAGGAGGACGGAGCTTACAATTTCAGGGTATCAAGCGGGTAAACAACACATTGAGATACCACACCGCCAATACCACCAGCGAGAAATTGAGACGTCGGATGCAGATGCTTGGGATCTGAACCGTCAATTCTGGCGAAGAATCGCTTGGCGGCCTCGTAGGCACCGAACTTCATGGCCGATTCCGGCATGACTTTGACCACATTCAAGCCGTTCCCAGCGAACAGGCTACGCAAGCCGCCAGCAGCCCAAAGTTCCTTGCATGCATCGACCAGTGGTCTGCCGAAATTCCTGATCATCTGCAGAGGTGCGGCATCCTTCACAGCTTTGATGGTAGCCTCTTTCGGACTTGTTTGGGCAATCAAGTAGACTTTCAAGCGGTCAAGTGGAGCAGTTGCTGTGCGTGAGACCATGCCTGCTAGCCCACCAGCTATGAAATAGCCTGGCGGAGGGAGAAAATCTGTCAGCATCGTCAACAATAGTTAGAATTTGTTAAGAAAAGTCTCTTCGCTGAAGCAAAGTTGGCCCTATAACATGGTCTAAAAGGCAGACCAGGGATGTAAAATAATGGCGTTGGGTTGCAGGCATCTCTGTGCAGACGTTTATTCTGCAATCGCGTAGTGCCGGTACAAATAAGAGAGGGTGAACCATACCAAATCCTTGCAGAGTGTCATTGACATTGACATCTCCTTCCTGATTGACACTTGCCGTAGCAGTATAGTACGATAACACACCGCGAAGATTGGATCGGCCTGCTGGTAAGAAGAGAAGGAAATCCCTGGAGCTGGTCAGACAGTCCTTGAGGAAGAGAGAAATATTGGTCGCACCTCCACTCGTCAAAGCTGATCTCGCCGTCGTGATTCACATCCACCTCATCAAAGAACTGATCCAATTTTGCGGAACTGATCGTCACACCAGCCCTGCTGAACGCCGCTCGCAGCTCTCCTTTATCCAAAGCACCGCTGTTGTCCTTGTCTATACTCTCGAAAAGCTGCCACAACTCCCGCTCTGCGTGCTCAACAAAGACTCTGAACTCATTATATTGGATTCGACCGTCACCTGAAGTGTCGACAACGTTAAGGACATCGTGAAGGAGGTCATCGGCGTTTTTGAGGGGGTGGTCGATTTTGCGAAGACCCTTTTTCAAACCAGGGAGGTCGAGATGGCCTTCGCTACGGGTATCAAGAGTATGCCATAGTTCTTTAATCCGCTGTTCGCGGTGTTCATGTGACTCTCCGTTCATGCTACGCCTTGATGGTTTGAGAGCAGAGGCTATCTGTGAGGGAGCATGGCTGTTTGTCCTTGTTTAGCCGAGCTCTGAAGGGCGGCGACCGAAGGTAAAGTAATCGCAGAATGCCGTGGATTGGAGGCGCAGGGAAAGAAGGCCCAGGCTGTGCACCGTATATAAGGGAGGGTTGCTGAAGTGCCTGAGGCTGATGGATGGAATTCAAGGAAAGCAGTTTTGTTGCAGGTGGAGCAGTTGTGACTTGTGAGTGTCTGTGGTGAATTGTGAGCTTTTGGGCACTGCACCCTGCAAGCCTGCGACGGTGACGTCTGTGTGGGGTTGGAATTGGGAATTGGTTTGGGATTGATGGCTTGCCGGAATGCTACTCGTAAGAGCCTCGCCGCTCCAGTAGCTTAGGTGCCTAATCAAGTCTCTTCGTTTGCCAGGTGACAATCAGCCAGCATGCCTGCAAGCCTCAAAATCTATTACCTAGGTAAGCTTGCCTGATTGTTCTGCCCAGCATGTTACGCTGTCTGCCCGTATAAGGGATGATTACGCGGAAAACCACCATTTGGGTGCCATTATATATAAGGTAAGCTTGCAGCCACTGGCGTCGAAGGACGGAGTAAAAGCAGCAAGATCGACGGCGCGGAGTGCCTGCCAAGCCCAACCTTGGATACCCACGGATACCTTACATGATGTTACCTACACATCTCGACATCTACCTACTCCGTATAGCTGACTTACTACCAGGCACTCTCTTTTCTGTCCGTTGTGTACAGCTTTTCAGGTTGGGGTTACTGTTCCATCTGTTCGCGACTCCCCCTGGTGTCACGTAAATGTCAGCAGCGTACAAGCACATAAGCACTCGAGGAGCGATGGCAACGGTCGGTTCAGAGAGGCAAACTTGAGCCTGGTGGGTTGATCAGTTCTGCGAAGGATATCCTAAAGGCCTCGCAGAAGGGCTGGAAATTTACACCGACAAGCCAGCGCCATGGCGGCCAACTATTGGACGTCGACCCAGAGAAGATACTGGACGTTCACTCCGGAAAAGCTCGTCGACATCCGCGATGATCTGGAGAAACAGCACGCCAAAGTCATCGAGCAATATCCTTATCCCGATCGGAGGCACATGATGATATTCCTACGTGATCGTCTGCTGCAGTTGGCTAAGCGCCTGCAGTTCAGACAACAATGCGTGGCAACTGCTCTAGTCTATTTACATCGATACTTCCTGACGACGCCCATGCAGAATGTTAACCTCTATCTTCTGGCTGCAACCGCGTTCTATCTAGCATCGAAGACTGAAGAGTCACCACACCACATTCGTCTGGTCGCTGCCGAGGCGAGGCAGTCGTGGCCGGAGTTCATGCCGGGGGACGTGGCGAGACTGGGGGAGATGGAATTCTGTCTCATCTCAGAAATGCGCTCACAGTTGATTGTCTGGCATCCATACCGATCCTTGATTGCGTTAAAGGAGAATCAAGATCTCAAGCTGTCCAACGATGAGCTTGGTTTGGCTTGGTCCATCATCAACGACAGCTTCATGACTGATCTGCCATTGACTTGCCCGCCACATCTCACTGCAATCATTGCGATGTTCCTTGCAGTCGTCTTCCTCCCGACAGCTAAAGCAGCTGGCACATTGAGACCGTTGTCACACGATACCCTCACAAACCCTGACAACGGTCCATTCTCATCCCTCGTGGGTCGGCAGAACATTTCCGGATCTTTCAGCAGTGTCCTTGGGAATCTACAGATGTCCAGTCATGGCGGTCCTCAAAGCAATGGCAAAGCTCAAATGCAATCGAATGATGCGCCCTCTCAGCCATTTGATAGAGAGAAGACCATAGCGGCGGCAAAGGAGTCCGAGAAGATGCAGAATACGATGAAATTCCTGGTGGACTCAGGCATTGATATCGAACGTATGATTGAAGGAACACAAGAAATGATCTCTTTGTACGACGCTTGGGAACAATACAATGAGAAGTCCATCAAGGACGTCGTCGGTCGTTGCCTGAAGTCGCGCGGGTTAGACGGCTGAAGATCTGCCTCTCGCTGTTGCTGGGGGAAGAGCCATGCTGCACCCTTTCGGCTTCCACTACTTTGGGGTGGCGACCCCCGCTATTCCAAGCTGTTTCCTCAGCTCAAGAACAATAGGTTTTGTTTTGGTGACAGGCGCATTCCAATCAAAGGAAGCCAACGTGTTGTTCGAAAATTCGAAGTATAACAAATCTGCAGCATCATTACGAACCTGCAAGCATACGTCAGTCTCAGCATGTCGTATGAAAAAAGAAGACGGACCTTTGGCCAGCGATGAAGCAACTGACGCGTAAGCTTGTCCATCGCCCGGGTCCGGTATGCATCGATCGACAGCAGTCTGGAATAGCAATTCAGTGCAGCTTCAATCCTCGGAAGGCTCGAGGTCGGGCTTTGGATTTTTTGCATGATGGCCCAGATGTCCCAAGAATCATTAAGTAAGAGGCTTTGGTCCATCAGAAAGCACAGAAAATCGAGCAGTGTGACGACTTGGCGGTCATCTTGCGTGGCATTCTCATCCAACTGTCTCAGTATGATCGACGTGGCTGCTTTTGCCAGGTCATTGCGCCTCTCATTATCGAGCAGCTGCATGTACAATAGAAATGCATTGCTAGCAGCGCGGCAGACGTCTTCAGTCCCCGACGTGGCGGATGAGACAAGGCCTAAGAGAACCTGCTGCTGGAAATCTTTGCTGGGAAACAGCTCCAAGAGCTGTTGGAAATATGAAGTGGAGGATACGTCGGCGGGATAGTCAAAAGTGCTAGCATTATTAGCCAGCCAGTGACGCTAGGGTTCAGTTTGGACTTACCATTGCAGGGTTGGAAAATTCGGATTCGTCTTCCAATAGCCTTCCAAGCACTTCCAAGCACGAAACCGTACACTGTTTAGCTTTTCAGCTGCCAGCTTCGCAACGAAGGGCATGACAGCCGTGAGAACATCGTCAGAAAACCGGTTCAGGTCCCTGTGGTTACGGAGTGCGTCAAGTGTTTCGATACTCTGAAGTCGAAGTGTCGAGCCGATGTCTCCCCTCTGGTCGTTGGTATAGTCATTCAATCCACAGCAGAGGACGTCGGAGATTTTCACTGCGTCGTTTGGAGTGCCGATGTCAGAGTTCAATAGGATGACGGACAGGGCTCCCATAGCATCGATTCTGGTTTCAATATTAAAATTGCCTTTGACAATTCCAATGGTGTATGCAGTGATGGCTTGTTGGAGATTCAGATATAGATCTTTGCCAGCCAGATGAGCATGAATGAGACTCAAAGTCCTAATTCGACCTTTGCTGGTAAAAGCCGAAAGAGACTGGGTGTTAATGTCAAGCCACTTCTCGATCAATGCAGCGGCTGTTGGGCTTGGGAGGAGCTTGAACATGTCGAGGTTCGCATTGCTGCTTGTCTCGACCACCGCATCTTTGGAACCCGCCACGGTGCACTGATTCAAAATGTCCAAGGCGGATGATGTCCAATCTTGTTGCAGGACCGGCTCGTCAATCCCCATAAGCTGGAGACTCCGGCATATGCTGCCAATCAGAGCAGATATACCCTCCATGACGAGCTCCAAGTCAGCAGTCATTCGAACATCCATTTTGCCGGTCAATTTACTAAAAGTAAAGAGACCTTGGCCTTGCTTCTGAAACCAGGAGATCACTGCATCGCCATGACATTGTGCAGCAGACTCCAATATCGACATCAGGATAAGAAGCAGACCATGTCGTGCGGCGGCCGTGCTTCCAATGTTGGCTGCCCTCATTTCAGACAGTTGTCGGAGGATGACATTCAAGAGAGACAAAACGTCTTCAGCAGAGGAGGATCTGGTGAGAATGCCAACAGCATTTGCCGCCCAACGTCGCTGATTCAGGTCCGTGGCGCGTGCCCCTCGCCATCCTATCAGTGCCTTTAAGATCGGCCTTTGGTAGACACGATCAAGAGTTGCTACCTGCGGAGCAACTTCGATCATTGCTCGAGACAGCCGAGCAACGGCATGGTAGTCGACGATCTGCACTACGGGTATGCCATGGATAATTGTATCCGGATGCCGTCCGATGAGCTCCTGCAACGCTGCGGAAGAACCCCGCCGAATATTGCCCGAAGGATCGAAGCAAGCAGAAATGGTCAACTTGATGGCTATCAGTTGCAAAACGTTTTTGCAGTCCTCATACTCATCCAGTGCTGCTTCAGCGAAGTTCGATACGTGCACAAGACCCAGCTCGATCGTGCTATATTTGCGAGCCAGAGCCCAGAGACCGAAGCAAGCAGCATCACGAACACCAACACCGACGGAGGTACCAACGTTTGACCTCTGTTCGAACTCCAAGCCAAGAATCATTGCTTGGATGATTTCCGGGAGTATGTCTGGTGGAGGAGAGCGACGGAACACGAGATGCCCGAGAGTCAGCATCAATCCATGCCATTTCAGCGGATCAACAGCGCTAATGTTTCTTTTCAGCCCAACGGTGCTAGACTTGATCTTATCGGTTAATGGTATGAGCTCCTGCGTCTGTGGATCCTCCAGGAGTACACTTTCCTCCAGAGAACCCAAGATGGCTTCGACGACTTCCCTGGACATTGCGTTTTCGAGTCTGAGGGTGATGACACTGAGTGCCTTCGCTGCAGCCATCCTCACTGGCGTGTCCTTGTCGTTCAAGGCATCCAGAAAGTATTGTATGCTCTCTTCCAGCATCATTGTCAAGGTTCCATCCGTGACAGTGTGCCTCGTCGCATTGAGTGATACGGCATGCGTAACAACGACTCTCATAATCTTCAATATCCATTTCCTTGCGGGAGCAGAGTCTCGAACAGTGGTGTGCGACTGTTGTTTGCTAGTAGCCAACTTGAGTACATCAGTGAAAAGTCTTTCGATGAAAGGGGCTGCTTCGCTGTCAGTGCTGGCATTTGTGATGCCGTATAACAGCGCCAGGAGACCATGAGCTTTGTAGGGGCTGATTTTCAGCAAATCTTCGTCGAGAAGAAGTCCGCGGGTCGCATAGGCGATAAGTTTTGAGGCCAAATTATGAGCTTGCATATCGTTTCGAAGACTCAACCGCACTAGTAGGACGCTTGCAGCTTCGCGTTCCTTTCCTGAGCTTTCGAGCTGTCCGAGAGCTAGGGAGATAACGTTCTCGACGGTAGTTGGAAGGTCACCTAAAAGCTCTGGCATTGTCACGTTCGCATAGGCGTTGCCAAGTGACATGCTTGCCAGCTCGAAAGGCGCCAGCATCAAATGAGACAACCATAACAACATAATGTAGCGCTCTTCCCAGGTCATGCCCAATGACCCCGTACTCCATGCTTTGAAATTTGCCAACATAACGCCCAAGTACTTGGGTTCATTGTTTAACAATCGCACGATAACCTTATAGCCTCTGACTTTGCAGAATGAATAGAGCAGACGACATATCGCCCTAGGTAGTGGCAGGATGCCGCTGTAGCTACTTCTCCTGGTCGGGGAATAATGCTCGCTGGATGTTGTGAGATAGTCAACAAAGGTGTTGGCAAGAAGCTGGACCAAATCCGAAAGGTTAGGGTCTAGGAGTTGGGGCCATTCTTGAAAGCGATCCAGCTGCCATAGTGTTAGCGATAGTAGGTGGCCTTGCGTCGTTGTTGTTATCTTACGAGTAAGCTTAACTCCTGGCATTTGGGGTCAAGAACGAAGAGACGGTGAGTCCGAGGCGACGCCTTACTGTGGTAGATGAGCAGCGGCAATTTGTGCTTGATTTCCTCAAGAAGCGTACCTGATGCCTTGTATAGTTTGGCATCGAGGTCATGCTCGGCCGCATCCATAAAGAAGAGGTTTCTAGATATCATTCGCCGATATGGGGGAAAAAGGGAGGTGTTAGGCGTCTGGATCACGTGATTTAGCCTAAAACGCTGTCATTCACGGCGCCAAGGACTTTGAAATGACCCCCCAATCGCTTCGTAACCGTCGAGGCTGTCGAGACATGTTACGGCGTCGGTCATGAGGTATGTCTTCCCGGCGCCGGCTATGAGATTTCGGTTGTACCCTGTATCATTCTCCTTCATCGTCGTTATCCTCTATCGCTGGGGCACGGCCCTTGCCTTTGTTCCGATGGTATACTTCCAAGAGGCTTTGCTGGACACTTCGGGACCCACCAGCCACAGCTACCGCATTCTCCGCCACCTTTTCCGATTCTCTTATTGCCCGCTCGAACTCATCATCGTCCTCGTTATGGAGACCTATATCCGACTCCGATTCCCTGTCGCTGCCACTCTGTCTCTGTTCCATCACACTCTGCGCCATGACTCGCTCCAGCTGTTTCTTGAATTCTAATGCTTCGCTTGCGTGTCGCTGAGCTTCGGTTTCGCTGGCCGCTATCGCCTGGCGCAAATTCTCCTGCTCTGCCTGATGATCTGCAGCTTCTTCCTGTTGGCGCCGAAGTTGAGGCTCATTTCCCTGATCCGCCCGCTCCATACTGGCATCCTCTTCTACGTCTCTACGCAACGTCTCCTGGACCGATAGTTGGATGGTTTCGTTGATTTCAGCCGCATTTAGCGATTCTTCAGGGGACTGTGAACCACCCATGGCGAGTATGGCACTCTCGGGATCTAGTGTCGGGGCATCTGCACTGGCGGACTGCACGGAGTTCGCACTATGTCCGCAGTTTTGTCGGGTCATTGTGTCCTCTATGTTCTTCCTTTGCTGTGCTTCCAGGACATCCTGCACCATCTGGTCAGGGTTGCGTTTTTTCTTTATGTATTTCTGGATCAGTTTCCACCGAACGATGACGTCTTGCTTTTCTGCATCGGAGCTCTGCAGCCATTCCTCGTATCCTTGAGCTATCCTGGACGCGACGATGTAATTCTGCACATTTCTGCCGAATAACTTCTGCACCTCTTTTTGTACCCCCTTCATCGTATGACCGAGGATACCAGAGAAGCCTGCGAATGGCTTGGTTGCAAATCCTGCGACCCCTTTGCCAATTCCTTTGACAAAGCCGCTAGCACCCTCTCTCTGGGCGCCTTTCCACGGCTGAGTGACCAGGCCAGTAACGCCATCGTACCAGCCAAAGCCAAATTCTTTGCCTGCTGCCACGGCGCCTGACTTGAAATCGCTGACTTGTTCTGGAGGCCGCACGGTATCGTCTCCCCAAAGCTTAGGGAGATTGTGAAACCCTTTGGTTAAACTCACCGAGACCTCCATAGGTGTCTGCACAAACGCCGTTACGAAACGCCCGAAGCCTTTGCTACTGTGCGCGCTAGTCTGACGCAGCATGTCATGATCCTTGCCGAAGCCGGTTTTATTTCGACTGCGGACTCGACTTTGGCTAGCGTCGTCTTGTTTGGGACTCAACTGATCTTGCAATGCATCTGATGTAGAGCTTGATCCGATGTTCGAAGTGGAAGATGACAGACCGGAGAAGTTGGGAGGGCTTCGAACATGAGTAAGATATTCCTGCACATTTAAGCTTGTCTGACTTTGTTCTGGCGAAGTTGGCGCAGCTGATCTCTCCCCCAAATGTGAGGCCTCACTTTTCCTTGCGATTGTCGACACTGATTCTTGGGACTGCTGTCGGTTCGACCCAGTCGGAATGTGGAGACTCTTCAACGTCTCCGAGGGAACCTCAGCTAACCCCATCGCCATGCCGCTGAATGCCCTAAAACATGCCGCAGCGCCTCCGGTTACTGGATCCCAAGGACCTTCGTCGGTGTAATATTCTTGTGGTCTAAAGCGCTTCAAGTCATGGAAATCCAAAAGATTTGCATTCGCCAAAGTACAGGCAGCAAAAGCGCTCAACCTGACCTGAGTGCGCTTGATGCGCCACGCAGCGGGTCGAGAGGGTGCAAGGGTACAACGGAGTCGGTCAGCCTCGAGATGTTGATGGAACGACTGAGCACCCATGTCGCTACCTCGCTCCGCCGCGATCTTGCCTGCGAGTTCTTTGGCGCGTTCCAGGCTTTCGGGCTTCAGGCAGAAGTTGATGGCATTGGCTAGTTTGTACGCTGTGAGTTGTTTGTGAGGAATTGGATCGGGGCCGGCGCCTGCTCGCGCGACCATGGCGCCCCAGAAAGGTTGGTCTCCAAAGAAGGGAACCACTACAGTAGGCCGGCCTGCGGCAATGCCTGCAGCTGTGGTTCCGGCGCCACCGTGGTGAACGACACACGAGACGTGCTTAAAAAGCCAGTCGTGCGGCACGTTGCCTAGTATAAAGACGCCGTCGGGAATACGAAGCCTGTCCGCGCCCATGCCTCCCCAGCCTTTAGAAAGGAGGACACGCTGACCAGTCTGCCTCACGACCTCGAAGATGAGCTCCGTCATCGCGTCAGGATCGTCTAGAATGATACTCCCGAATCCTATGTAGATAGGGGGCGGGCCGGCGTCGAGGAACGCCTGGAAATCAGGAGTCGGGCTATAGTTAGAGGCCAAGTTGAGAAAGCAGGACCCGGAGATGGATATGTGAGGGCCCCAGTCTTTCGGTTTGGGTATCAGGGCCGGAGACCAGCAGTAGGTGTGAGGAATTTTGAGACGCTGGAGCATCCCGGGGGCCCAGATCAGACTCACGGGATCCAAACCGAGACACTTCGCGCGGAATCGGTTGATGATGTCACCTAGGCCTTGCCACGCGAGAACTTCGATCATCACGTAACTTATATAATTAGTGAGTTGAGGGTCGGCATTGGAGGATTGGATGTTGGCCAGCGGATGGGGAAAGGCCTGGGTGGGAGAATATGGCATAGTGAACATGATGTGGAGAGGGATGCCCAGTTTCTCTGCGCAATGGATATGGGCAAAGCTTGGGGGGTTGGCGATGATGCAGTCGGCGACGAAGGGTCTTGCTGCAAGCTCGGAGCCAGGGTCCTTCTCAGAGGGCTCAGAAAGGTCATCGTCGGTAGCACGAAGACCCATTCCGTCACCGGCTTCGTAACATGATCGCCAGCAGCCTTGAATGTACTCAGAAACATCTCTCCTTCGCTGACCGATATCTCCACTTAGCAGATTGCGAAAGCCCGGCATCAGGCTGGGATTCTTGACCATGAAGGCCATTAACCGAGAGGGGTCGCCGCCGATGCTGAAGAATTCCAGGCCATTCTCCTGCACAAAGTTCTTGAAGTTGGGATGAGTCGCTAGACGTACGCGATGGCCGTAGGCGTCTTTCAGGACTTTTCCCAAGGCAACGAAGGGTTGGACGTCTCCGCGCGAGCCCACGACCTGTATGACGATGTTCAAGGGTGGCGGTGGAGGCACTCCCTCCTCCCCTCCTAAGGAAGGGGGAACGTAGGGGGAAGGAGGCGGGCGACTGTCTTGGGCACTCTGGACCTGTTGATGTAAAGCAGGAGTAAAGATCTGGGACAAACGGCGGTTGAACTGATTGATGCGGATGTTGACACGGCCGTCGTCGGTGACACAGGCACTGGTGCCCATGCCGTCTTTTTCGTTGCGGATCTCGCCATAGATGTCGCCGTAAACAGGAGGGGGCGTGTCGTCCTCGGCCGCATCGGGAGTGATGAGGTCAGTCTCGTACAGGAAGGCCTCCTGTCTCGTGGGCCTTGCGGGATCGGTCTGGGCGGTAGCGGTAGCGGTAGCTTGTGCTTGCTGAAGCATGGATTGCTGCTCGAAGGTCCACGGGACAGGTCGGCCCTTTTTTGAGGGAGATTGGGTGGCCATGGTGTGAATGAGAGAAAGCAGGCTGAATGAGGTGACACGACTGCAGGGACAGAGAGGGTCGGAGAGATTCTGTCATAGCCGCGCACATACCTACCTGTACCTGGAGCTCATTGATACCAGGGGCATGTGAATTGATCAGTAGGCTGAGCAGAATGGAGGAGCGTTCGATTTGGGATTGTTCTGTACTTGTACCTCAGAAGGTCCAGGCAGCAACAATCAGGTCAAGGATGCGACGTAGCAGCGCCCAATCGGGGCATACCCTGATTACTACCTACCTTACCTGGTAGGTAACATGAAATTTGCGAGGGGAATTGACCCGTTCAAAACATAGTATGCTCGCGGACCTCTTATGACGACCTCAATAGCGTGTAGGTTAGAATGAAATTGTAATACGAGGGCTATCAACGAGTGTTACAGGGCCGGCTGCGAATGTGAGGTGCGCACTCGGCAGAGTTGCCTATCCTGGCACCGCGTCCACAGGTCACATGATGTGGAAGGGTGACACCTCTCGTAGCTGACGTAACTTCTCATCATCTTTATTTACATACCGTACAGTATGTACGGTAGGCTGGACTGACCTTCTAAGTGGCAGTGTCCAGCTTCACTTCAAAGCCGCGACATTTCTCCGCCTTACATTTCGTAAATCTTCACTTACGGTACACAATACCAATGGCGACTATCCTTAAGTGCGTGGCAAACTACTAGCCCATCCGTGAATTGACTTCCTCTACCTTTGCACGTTGCGTCTGAGCCTGTTGATGCATGACTACCAGGATCCTGCCACCTTTGAGAAGCCAATATGTCAGATGACGAGGATATGGATGTCGATTCCGGCAACAAGGGTCAAACTGATCAAGCCGAAGTTGAACGCCAACTCGACGAGGAATATCCCAACAGACCTCACAACAAACACAGAGCCCTGCCGTTCCACACGCTGATCAGGGATTTATTTGAGCCTCTTATCGAGAACAGAAGCAAAAAGGCAGGCCCCGCCGCTGTCAATAGGAGGAAAGTCGGCCCCAATGCTGGCCTAAGCACCTCACCTTCCGAGCGGCGACGCGCCATCATTGAACGGTATATCTCGCGTTGGAGAAGGGATGTCGGACCGGATTTCTTTCCTGCCTTTCGCCTCATTATTCCTGACAAGGACCGCGAACGAGGAGTGTATGGACTGAAGGAAAAGATTCTTGGTAAACTATTGGTCAAGATCTTGAAGATCGATAAGAATTCCGATGATGGCTACAATCTTATGAATTGGAGGATCCCTGGCGGAAGCAATGCTCCTCGTTCATCTGGGGATTTTGCTCTGCGTTGCTACGAAGTGATCTCGAAACGACAAATGAGGACAGAATATGGGGATATGGACATTGACGAGGTGAACGAACTGCTGGACAAACTGTCAGCCGCTCCGAGAGAAGAGACGCAACTACCCATCTTGACCGAATTTTATAAACGCATGAATGCAGACGAACTTACATGGCTGATTCGTATCATTCTGCGGTCGATGAAAGTGGGCGCGACCGAGAAGACCTTCTTCCACATCTGGCATCCAGACGCGGAAAATCTTTTCAACATCTCCAGCAATCTTCGAAGGGTATGTTGGGAGCTTTGGGATCCGGAAAAGCGTCTCGATAGTGAGGAAACGGGAGTCTCCCTGATGCAATGTTTTCAACCACAACTCGCTCAATACACCCAGGATTCCCTCAAGCGGATCGTTCAGAAAGTACAACCCTCGCCTGAAGAGCAGGAGTTCTGGATCGAAGAAAAGCTCGATGGCGAACGCATGCAATTGCACATGGTGGAAGACAATAGCCTTTTTGGAGGGAAACGTTTTCAATTTTGGTCTCGCAAAGGGAAAGACTACACATACCTCTACGGCAACGGGCTCCACGATGAAAAGGGAGCTCTAACCCAGTTCCTCAAGAACTGCTTCCACGAAGGCGTGAACAATATCATCCTTGACGGGGAAATGATCACTTGGGATCCGAAAGAAGGAGCCCCGGTGGCTTTTGGCACATTAAAGAGCGCCGCTATAGCTGAGCAACGAAACCCGTTCGCAGGAGGGCAAAGACCGCTGTTTCGTGTCTTCGATATTCTGCTCCTGAATGACAAACTTCTGACACGGTATACGCTCGCAGAGCGTCGAAAAGCCCTGGAAGCTAGCATTCAACCGGAACCGGGTCGTCTTGAAATCCATCCATACAAAGTTGCCACGGGAGTAGAGGAGGTCGAGAGAGCCCTTCGTGAAGTCATCGCCGAAGCATCTGAAGGATTAGTGCTGAAGAATCCTCGCGGAGCTTACAAACTGGACGACCGTAACGGTGACTGGCAGAAGGTCAAACCAGAGTACATGACTGATTATGGCGAGTCACTCGACTGCCTCATCATCGGAGGATTCTATGGTTCTGGCCGGCGAGGTGGGAATCTGTCCAGCTTTCTTTGTGGCCTGCGCCTCTCTGGACCAGCGCAGAGTCAGCATCAAAGTCAGGATCAGTCTCAAGCGCAATCCCAATCGCAGGCTTCTGAGGCCTTCCAGAAGTTTGTTTCTTTCTTCAAGGTCGGCGGTGGCATGACAGCCAACGATTATGCCACCATTCGCCATGAAACAGATGGAAAATGGCACAAATGGGATGCGAGACGGCCACCAACAAAATATATCGAATTGGGAGGTGGACCACAAGGCCAGCGCGAAAAGCCCGATATGTGGATCAAGCCTGAGGATTCCCTCGTGGTCCAAATTAAAGCTGCACAGGTGGTGCCGAGCGAAGACTATGGTTGTGGTATGACATTGAGATTCCCGCGGTTCCAGAAACTCCGTCGGGACAAGAATTGGCAGTCAGCGTTGTCGCTGGACGAGTTTCAAGATCTCAGAAAGACCATCGAGGACAGCCTCAAGAGGAAAGCGCTGGAAATCGATGAACAGAAGAAGCAGAAGCGAAGAGCAACGACACGCAAGAAAGTCGTCACCGTTGCAGGCTACAATGCCAAAGATGTCAACAATGTGTCACTCCCCGCTGGACCTCAGGGCAATGTTTTTGAAGGCCTCACGTTCTACATTATGACGGAGGCCGTCTTACCAAGTCAGAAGAAATCAAAACTGGAGCTCGAAGCGCTGGTGAAGGCGAACGGCGGCAAAATCGTCCAAACCCACAATGTTGTCAAAGACACGATCTGCGTGGCAGGAAGGCGGACTGTGAAGGTAGCCAGTCTCGAGAAGACGGGAGAGAAAGAGATCATTAAGCCAACCTGGATCTTTGATTGTATCGATCAGGCGCGCCACGACTTTGCAGTCGGCTATGCGGAAACGGTCCTGCCAGTCGAGCCAGAGCGTCATTTGTTCTTTGCCCCAGAGGGGATGAAGGACCGCTGGATTGAGAACTTGGATGTCTATGGAGACAGTTATGCTCGGGACACCACTGTGGACGAGTTGAGGGAGATCATGGAAAAGATGGGCGTTATTGTTTCCGACGATGTGGAGGCAGTGAACATAGTCCCAGAGCTGTTCCCCGAGTACCTCGACATGAGAGGGTTTATCTTCGTCGGCCTCGTAATGCTATTCGACAATCCGGCAGAGCCGAAGCAGAAGGGATCGTCAGCATCAACCACGGAAAGCTCTATCGACAGCACGGGCACAACAGCGCGCAATTTCGCACTATTCGGCGGAGCGCGCGTCTTGCCAAACAGTGGTCTGGATTCTCTTCCTGACAACGAGAAAGTCAAGATCACGCATATCATTGCCCACTCAGATTCCGACTTACAATCACTCAGACGAGATGTCTCCCGGTGGAGTAGTCGACGTATACCTCGAATAATGAGTCCAGAATGGATTCGAATGTGTTGGAAGGAAGGCACAAAGGTGGATGAAGAAGCTTATGTGGCTAGGTGAGGTGCTGCCCTCCGGTGGGTGACTCAACCTTTATACTCTGGGTTGGGACGCCCCTGCGCATCACCCTCACCTAGGAAGCCAAATGAAAGCACGAATTTATCCGATACTGGCCGCCTGTGGCTACCCGCATACAATCTCGTTGATAAACACTGACTGGCGATGACAATTCGGTTTGCTCGGTTGCTGGTACGCGGCTCTGGCTCAAGCCATCATGATAACCGTCAATATCCCACAATGAACACTCTGATTTCGACAAACAGGCGGATCTTGACAAACTTCGATCTACAAGTCTATTCCGCCGATATTGGAAGCGGACGTTTATTCTTGGTGGCACTACCAAGTGCATACAGAATTGTTCTGGAGGCCAGTCAAAGGATACTCTAAGCAGTCCTGCCCTAAGCACCTTTTGCTTTACGGTCTTCCACAGCCTAATGATAAATGAGACTGTCCATACAGTCTTGTGTTGCCACACAGACAAAGCCAAAAGAACGGATTGGGTGAGACTATCACGTTCCCTACGACTTGCTGCTGCCATGATTTGTTCCGTTGCGTCTATCGTCGGCTTCTGCAGCCTCCATTTGGCATTCACCAGGCTTATATATGATATATCACCTCCCATGCATACCGCGCGTTTCCTTAGTGTCTTGTCCGTTTGAGATCGTCAAGCCAGTCACCTCTACAATGACAAGCTGCGGAATGGATCTAACCTCAGCGGATCTCAAGAAGAAACCTCAACCACAAAGCATTCCTTCCCAGACCCCGTCGTCAGTCATATCGAACAACCTGTCATATCCATTCTGACACAATGGCTGGTGTGGGTGCAGTCGCCTGCTCCTTGACTTTTACAGTCCTCTCTGTCCTCCTCGGCGGTCTACGACTCTTCACAAGAGCCTACATCGTTGGAGCGCTGCTGATTGACGATCTGCTCCTCGGGTTTGCGATCTTGGCCTCGATAGCGTTGACGACGCTCATCGTCTTTCGTACGGCCGAATATCTGCTGTAGCGACGAGAGAAGAAATCGACTGACAGGTGTAGAATCATACAATGGCCTAGGCGAGCATATGGAGCTCCTCCCAATGGACAACATATACAATTTTCTGCAGGTACGCCACAGTCGATCGCAATAAAGACCATCAACGCGAGGCTACCTGCTGACATCCTGCAAAGGCTCTCTGGGGAAGCACGATAGTGTACAGCATCGCCATGATGCTCACACAGAACGTCTTCCTCTTCCAATACCGCAACTTCTTCACAGGCCGCTGGCTCCGTCGAACCACAGCGGCCATGGTCGTCACGGTCACGCTCTTTGGCATTGCGTCAACGCTCACGCTCGCCTTCCAGTGCGTCCCGATGCGGTACATCTGGGACCCGCTGTCCCCAGAGGCCCGCTGTATCAATTACCAGGTCTTCTGGTACATCTCGGCCGGCTTCAACACGCTCACAGCGATAATCATCTGGATTCTGCCCATTCCGCTGATCAAGGGTCTTCATCTGCCGAAACGTCAGAAATATTGGCTGATTATGGTCTTTGCGTTGGGAGTTTTGTAAGTGTACTGTGTACAACCTACTTCACCTACTTTGGGCCCTTGGGACGATAAGTTAAAAAGTGCTAACATGGTTTGTGTCTCCCTTCTAGTACATGTCTCGCCTCGGGCCTGCGTATCCGCGCGCTCAACTTGGGCGTCAAGCACACCGAGTTCGATACGAGTTACTTCTATCCCGAAGTCGCGGCCTGGAGCTCGCTCGAGATCAATGTGGGCATCATCTGCGCGTGTCTGCCGACGCTGAAACCCATCGTCGACAAGATGTTTCCCGGCTTGTTGCATGATCCGGCGAGGCGCATGGGGGCATCATTTGTCAATAGAAGCATCTACGACAGAGACGGCATGTACATGGGTACGGTGAACTCGCGTGTGGGAAGGGATGTTGGTGGTGGTGGTGGTGGTGGTGGTGGTGGTGGTGCTGGGCAGTACAAGGGCAAGGGCGGCGGCGGTTTGGCCGGAAAGACAACAGAGACAGACCTGGAGAGTCTGACTACGTCCGCATCGTCGCCGGCTAGGGGCAGAGCCGTTGGAGACTTTTGATGACCAGTCGAACTACTGGTACCTGCTGCTGGCGAGTAACCGCCTATCGGCAAGTGAGAGAGCCGGGTGCATCCATGTGATCGGGCTGTTCCTTTCCTGCTCGACGGCACGTATCGAGGCGAGACGAGTACGGAGAGAGCTGAATCGCGCTGAATATCGAGCTGAATCGAAGGCGTGAGTGCCGCAGAGAATCGAGTTCTAGTCATTGAGAGAACCGCAACGAAAAGAAGAGCTTGGGATGATTCATCAATTCAACAATACTTGCAAGCAAAGAATTTCGAGCCCTGAAATTAGTACAGTACTCCTCGTAGCAATCAAGAGCTGGGTCAACTACTACGTAGTAGGCACCTAGGTGGTGGGTACACGGAAGTTACGTAGTACGAATGTCTGCGAAGTCGTGCACTACTAACTAGTTAGGCTCGTAGTAGGTTACTAGATTCGCATCACCAGAATTACTACCAGTACATGCTCTTGTCACCCTGTAACTTCGGACGGCGAGGCTGCCACTTACAGTATCCTACGTTAAGTTAGTCCAGCGAGTTCAACTTACGGTACAACTACCAGTGGTTCTGTTCTGGCACTCTGGCCAGGCCGCTGACGTTGATCTTGTGGCTCACGAACAGGAACAGAAACTGGCGTGGAGCATCTGATGAACATGAACATCGAGGTAACCTTAGGTTAGGTATGCAAGTTCCAATATCTCATCCGTAAGGACGGGAGTTGCCCAGCGTCGGGATAGAGAAGGACAGGCAATAATAATATGTTCCATAGATGTGTACTACGTAGGCTCGTAAGCCCCCCGCCCGTTCAAAAGGAATTTCACTATTTCTTCTATGCAAACCGCGTCATCTTTCCAAGACTCTTTGATAGTTCATAGATAACTCATAATATACATCTTCGACTCATCCTGGATCAGTCATCCTAGGAGTCCTAGGAGGAATGGAGAAAACGGAAAAAACAGCACGAATTTGACGTCGCTTTTCAACCCGCTTTGCTTTGCGAAAAAGAACATAACACGATGGGACGAAAAACAATTGGCTCATGATGGCTCAGAAATCGTCACTGGACCAGCTATTCCACCTCTCTGGCCCAGGCTTCTTATCCCTTCGGCCTCGGTTCTGCTCCCTGTCTTTTCCACCCTCATCAACTGGTGGCAACCACAGCTTTGCACGCCCGACCGCTTCATCGCTCAATTTCCCACTCTTTCGCATATTCATCTCACATACAAACACCCTCAGGAAATCTCTGTTTTCACGTGGTTCGCGAAGCCGAGGCTGGCCCTCGCTGCTGTTCATGTCATCCCACAGGGTCTGGGCGGCGCGGTGCTTATTGCTCGGCGTGCCGTCTGGCTCGAGCCATGTTGGCGGACTTGACGCGTGGGCAGTGCGAATGCTGGACGGAATGCAAGTGGCCAGAGGCACGACGGGCGGGAGTTGAGAAGTCGTACTCTTCGGTCCGGTGATGTTGCTGCTCTCTCGAGCCGCGGCGGAAGCTAGGTGCCTGTTTTGGTATTTCCGCTTGATCTTCAGTTTTGGCTTGGCTTCAGCTTGAGATGACGTTGGAGCTGGTTTCTCATCGACCCAAAAGTGCAGCTGAGCTGGAGAGTCCGGAGGCACGGTAGTATGTGGATTGAGATATCTCCGTAGAGCTGCCGATGGAGGCTCGTCGGAGGGAGGTGGACGTCGGTCATCGGTCAAGGAGGGCTGGAAATCAAAGATGGATTTGGATAGGAATTCGTCGGGCTGGACAAGCGGCGGAGTACCGGCGATGTTGGAGACGGTCTGCGCGGCAGATTTGAGTGCTTTCAGAGATGCGGTGAGGCTGGACTTGAATGAACTCGGTCGCTTTTCCGGCATCAGTCTTCGTAGGTTCTTCGGCGGAGGAGACATTGCGAGATCTGGAGTGGTGGTCCCGCTAAAATCCTGGTCATCTTCCACCTGAAGGAGAGGATGTTGATCGCTGCAATCTTCCGAACTCGCCATCTGCCGCAATCGATGATCAGATGGGGATCGTAAAGTTGCTGGAGAGAAACTGGCAGTATCCGTGGCGCTGAACTCGTCTGGAGACACGAGAGAAGGCATTGATTCGGTTGACAATGATCTTGTTGATAGAACCCCTGCATCGAGGCCTTCACTTCCCACAAACATTTGACCCTCAAGCAAGCCATCGATGGCGCCAAACAGTCCTTCAAATTGCGGACTCGACCAGCTTCCGGACAAGCTGGATTCCCCACTGGGGAGGTCGTCTCTGAGTAGTTTGCTGAAATCGGCGACGTAGTCACAGTTTGGAAGTCTTTGTACCGGTCTCTGCCTCGGTTTGCGCCTGATTGGTATAGTTGTGGACGATAGTACATCTTGTACAGACTCTTTTCTTCTGCTGGGTATGTCTTGCACCGACTGGCTACTTTCACTTCTTGATGGCTGAATCAAGGAAGGCCCGGGTCGCCGCGTTGGTTTAGAGCGTCTGTCGGCGCGTGGCGGGATCTTGACAGGATCTGAGGACGGCTTGTTCCTCTCTGACTTTTGCTGTGAAAGGCTCTGTGAGAGGGCTGATCGCGTGGGTGAGCCGGATTTCCTTTCTGGCGATCGTCTTCTGGACAGGACTTCTTTCTCGTCGAAATCGATGGTCTGAGTCCCGCCCATAGAACCTGGGGCGAAAGCCCGAGGGACCATCATCATGTCGATTTGGTGTATAGATCGTTTGTCTCCAAGTTAGTTCAGCAGGCAGCATGCCCGTGACGGAGTCGAGCCCTGCAATACGCTTATCGTAGCATCTTCACAACGCTCGGAAGGGCTGAAGCTAAATCTCCGGAGATGGTCGGCTACGACGAGATTAGGGAGACAATAAGGTAGCGACAGTGGTTGATGACGAGGGAGGAAGACTTGAGATAGGACTGCAGTATAGCATGTTAAACGGATGGCAGAAGAAGAGATATGTGGCCAGCGCAGTCTCGCCGAGCAGCTGAGAGTCGCGAGGTAGCGTAAGTGCGTAGGGGCCACGGCTGGTCAGTTTGGGTGTCAGTCGTGTGCGCAATAACTCGTAAAGCCGGGTGGAAAGATAAGACAATCGGGGTTCAGCGATTGGCTGCGGGGCCCGGGCGACGCCAGGCGGTCTCGCGGTGGGATGACGACCCTGTGCGCCTAGTGAGCCCCCTATGACGATCTAAATCTAAGCCTAGGTGGCCATGATTTGTCCCTCATACGGGGTTCCTGTTGCTTTTTCTTCAGGCTGAGCCACCCACTGCTTCTCCCCAAGCTCGCACACACCTTCCCAGAATCCCAAGATCAATAACCATGGCATGATTGGATGGAGAAGACAACCTGGTCGACTATGGTCTCCCCGGGAAGTGCTACTCGGCATGCATGAACCATTCTCTTTACAGTAAGTCATTACAGCTTGACTGGTGGAACATTGAGCCGGGGTATACGGAGTACTGTACTCTGTACATAATCCTCCCAACTTCATTTCGTTTCCTAAACGCTGTCTGGCAGTGTCTGCTGTTATCGTACGACTATTGTCTAGCATTTTCTGGTGTCCGCGCCGAGAAGTGTCCTAGACACCGGGACCCGGTTGCCGGATTTGCTGGTACCTGGAGTCGAGAACAATCAACCAAGGTCCAAGCGATTGGTAAGAACAGTTCCTCTCGAGTAATACTTTCCACCCTTCACGGGTCCTTGCGGAAGATACCGACGTACCGAAAGCAGGCAGTGGATTGCGGCCATGAGCGCCCTGGCTTCTGGAAGTCAGGCAACCGACCGACAACCCTGGATCTGAGTAATCAGAATGAAGAAGGCAGATCCCACACATTCACCAGAAGCAACGCCGACAATACCTACCAGGCAAGCAACTGTGACAATTTCTATGGAAAGCAACTGACGCAGGGTCTTTTCTTGTCCGTGGGGGTTTAAGATCGCACTCGGATCGAGTCTGCCGCGAGATCACTAAGATCTAGCCAGATACAGCAAATTGAGCGCCGAAACCGCCCAAAGGGTCCGGCCAAATCCATCTTTCTCCGACTCTCTGGTCGAAGAAGGAATCAAAACATAATTGTATCCACTCCAAGGGTCGAGAAAGTGGACATTCATCACCCAGAGCGCGACGGGAGTCCCAGTGATGTGGTCCCAGGAAAATTGCTCACCGGTGAATGTACAATATCTTCGTATCAAAGCCAGATCATCCACTTCTCAGAGACGAACGAAAGAAGATGCGATCAAGAGTGGAGGGCACTCATTGTCTATGCATCAATGGCTCGTGTCTAGTTAGCCGGCTATCGCAAGAGCCAGCGTATCTCACCAGATGCAGACCACCAAAGTAGCAAAGAAGCCTCGCAAGTCAGATGCCTTCAATTTAGCTGACTTGAAACTTTCCCTTCGCCGATAAAATGGTTCATGCTCGAAGCAAATCCCGAACGTACGAGTCAATCCACATTCCTGGTCTCTGGCAAAGCGTATTTCTTCAGTACGCAGTAGTAGTATTTTTCTCTGTCCGAACGCCTTCTGCATATCCATCTGGGATTCTTCTCGCCTCGATGGCTCACCTGCCTTCCCGGCTGGACACTACTCAGCATTCTCCCCTCGAGCTTTATAATTCCGAGCCCACTCTGTAGCTCTAGCGACGACTCCTTCGACGCTGCGCTGCTCACCATGCTTTTCCTCAAACTTCTGCCACCGCTTAAAGAAATGTTGCGCTTGGTTCTTGCTGAGCTTCACCCCGACAACACGCTCATAAGTGTCCCGTATTTTCTCCGTGTCGCCCAACTTCTCCTCCTGGTCGAGGATGATGTTGTATAGGTCCAGTCTCTTTGGGAACTCGGCGAGCATGCCTTCAAACAATGTGCGTCCTCGTTCTGGTAATCCATTCCTCGACTTGAATTCCAGCAGCGCAAAGGCTTTTGTCAACTCGAAAGTCGCCTTCTTCTCCTCCTTCTTGTCCTTCATCGCACCGGTCAGTGTCTTCATTGCACGTGGCAGCAACTCTCTGGCATCGTACGGCTTGTTGACAACATCAAACAAGAATGTTGCATAATTGACCCACACATCCAGATCCGCCTTGAATTTCTTCAGCATTTCTTTGAACTTCTCATCCGCCTTGCCGTACTTGCCCGACTGGATCAAGATACTCGTCATCCGCGTGTGTATCTCCTGTTGGTCGTTGTATTCCAAAGCACGTCTGAAAATCGCCTCGAGCGAATCATCGTCGCCACGAGCATCCTCCAGGTTCAGCATGGCTGTCCAGACCTTCAGTTTCTCTTCCGATTGACCTACTGCAATTGATCGCAAAGCACGTTCGCCAATCTCGCGTGCCTGGTCCACCTCCTCGAGTCCGAGGTGGAAAGCCATATACTGAATCCAAAGATCCCCAGAGTCCGGCTCGGCCAAGAGCAGCCGCTCGAAATCATCGGCAGATTGTGGACCGTTCGTATCCAGGTCTGCGGTGCGATCAACGATAGGCACAGCTCGCTTCTTCTTTTTCTTTGGTGCTTTTCTTGCTTGTTCGTCTTCGGAATCGGATGCATTAACGGCACGCTTATTAGCCCGGGTATTGCCACTTTCAGTGGTCCCAGTCCAGTCAAAGCCGCCCACACTGAGACCTTGTGATTTGGTGCCTGCTTCAGGCGCGGCTTCCTCGTCGCTGTCCATGGCTTGATCGTCGTCAGCTTCATCATCGTCCTCGTCCTCATCGTCGAGTGCTTGGCCGTCTTCTTCATCTTCGCTTGCTTCCTCAGCTTCGTCATCGTCGGGGTCTTCCATGGTTTCGTCGAGATCAACTCCTTCGCCAGAGTCCGCTTCACTCGCGTCCTCATCCTCGGCAATGTCGGGGAAATAGGACGCTTTCATGCCAAAATTGACCCTGCGATTGGCAGGATCAAGTTTCAGCACTTTAGCTTTGACAGTGTCTCCCTCCTCGAATAGCTTGGTTGCATCTTCAATGCGCTGCTCGGCTATTTCGCTACGATGGCAGAGTCCACGGACGTTTTCAGAATTGTTTACAACCAGAAAGACGCCAAATGATTCGACCTTGACGACTTTCGCAGTGACAAGATCCCCGACGTGCAGGTCGTTGAAAGTAAGTGGGGCCTTGTAGGTGGGATCCAGCGCCGACGCTTTCAGGTTCATTTGGACATGGCCAGAGGCTTCATCAACCAACGTGATCTTCCCTTTAACAAGCTGATCTCGCTGGAAGTGATCTTTCCAATCTTTCAGGTACTGATCCGACAGATGGCTTACTCTCACAAAGGCTGTGATGCCATGACCGAGGGTCACGAAAATACCTTTGTCAGCAACATTGCAGATGAAGCCTCGAACGACATCATTGACAGAAAGTTGCTTGAGCGAGGTGATCTCTGGGTCGGTGACTGGTGACGAAGAGCTCAACACCTTCGACCGACGTGTTGACAAAGACACCTTCTTGTTTGGTACATCGACGTCCAGTACGCAGACCCGGAGGACATCGTTCTTCTGGAATTTCGCAGAGTTCGCCTCCTTGTAATCGTCGGCCATGTCGATCATTTCAACAGCGCCCACAACCTGTTCGCTAAGCTGAACCAGGATATTACGGTCCGTCACTTTTGTGACTCGACCAGGGAGGATTAGTCCTTTGGAAAGGTCCTTGAAAGTCAGTGAACCAACGGAAGCGTCCGACCGGGCAGTAAGATCAAGTCGGTTTTTCTCTAAGTCGACAGAGACAACATGCACTCGAAGAGCGGAACCAACGGGGAAGTTCGCTTCCAGGTTGGATGCAAGCGATAGATCATCAGACACGTCTGTGGCTCGGATTCTTCCTCGGACAGCTGGGGATATGTTGACCCACAGGCAATCCTCCGTAATGTTGTTCACGAACGCTAGCCAGGTCGAGCCGGCTTTTATGTCCTCCACCTTGAGGCTAGCCTTATGAGGCTGTGCGACGGAGCCGGGCTTGCACGACAGCTCGAGCACTGTGTTCTTGCCTTGTCGATGGGTGAGTGGCAGGAATCGGTGATTTCTGGTATCGTGCGCTCCAATGACTTTAACAGCAAGTTCTTGCTTCGGACTGAATTGCTTCAATGGCCGTTTGCGATCTTTGATATCTTTCCACTCATCAAAGACTTCGGAAGCATCGATGCGTCCCTGGACATTCTTCGCCAGCTCCACGTTTATCTGGGTTTCCTTGACGGAAGTAATTCGAGCTTTGGTAATCTTGCCCACAGATAGATCATCGAGCTTATTGAGCATTGCATCGACAGGTTCAATAAGGTCCGGTAACTGCTGTACCGATGACACAGAGCTTTCTTTTGTTGCGACATCCACGGTTGTGTCTCTCATTGTAAGCCAGAAGCGCGGAGTGGCGCCCTTGTAATCGATGGACAGGACTCTTGCCCTGACCGGCTGCAGTTTCATCATGCCAAAATCCGGCTCGTCTTCGTGCTCCATGGGAACCTGATTCTTCGCGATGAGGCCACTGATGTTATCAGCGAAGCTCACGAATACACCATCCTCCGTAATGTTAGAAACATAGCCAGTGACATCTGCGTTGGGTTGGAGCTGCTTGTAGCTTTTGAGTAAAGTACCATCTTCAGCAGCCTTCACCAGACTCTGCTTGTTCGTGACAAAAACGAGTCTTCTCTTTGCCTGAACTTGTAAGATGACAAGATTTTCCAGCTTCTGACCAACTCTTATCTTGCTGAAAGCAGACTCTCGTTTCTTCAGCGAACCATCAGACACATGATCCAACACCAACCGCGCAATCGCATCAGAGCCTTCCAAACGCAGCAAGATGTCATTTTGAGATTTCTCAAAAACAGTACCACTTGTAAGAGAGCCGGGCTGCAATGCAGTAAGAGAGCTCTCTAACGAAGGATTTGAGGTGTTGACGTCTCTACAAGAGACGGTCAGGCGCTTCTCTGCTGCGTTAACGCTGATGGCGTTCACGCTCAAGACTTGACCAACGCGAAAATGCTCAGTAGCATCCTTGATATATGCTTCACTCATCTCACTGACCGGAAGAAAACCTCGCACCGGACCGAAAAATCTGACAACCGCACCAAAGCGGTCAACTTTGGTCAATGTGCCGACGGTAGAGTCTCCGACCTCGATGTCTTGGAAGGAAAACCATGCTTTCTGATCACTGTTGATGATTGATTTCTTCAAAGTCAACTTTAGACGACGTCTTGCCGGGTCGGTTGACAAGACTCTTGCAGTGATTGTCTGCCCTTCTCGGAACTTCCTCTCTGGGTGTTTCAACTCGACATCGGACATATGTATTTGCGGAACAAGGCCGCTAATACCCTCCGCAAGATTGACCAACAAGCCCGACACACCGCTCGAGCTAACTATGATCTTCTCGACTGTTCCCTTGACCACGGCTCCAATAGGCACGTCATCAAAGCGCAGGAATGGTTGATCGAGTACCTTCTGCTCAAGAGAGACAATGTAGAGATTGTCGATTGGATTGTAATCAATAATTCGAGCCTTGTGATCGGATCCAAGTTTGAACTGGCCAGTCAATTCTGACAGGGAGTCAACCTTCTTGTCCGACAGGCGAGAGATATGCGCGAAGCCGATGTTGTCCTGATCCAGCTGTAGATAAACTCCGAGTCCAGACTCCACTCGAATCACTGGTGCCGAGTCGATGGTCGAAGATAACGCGAGTTTTCCATGGGCTTGTTCTGGCGATTCCGCGCCTGATGCCAAGTTCAACAAATTGTCCAGCACCGAGAATCCCAGTTTCTTGTTGTCTGATAACGGGAAGCTGCAGATCAAGCGGCCGGTCACCTTTTTGCCGGCTTCGAATTTGGCGAGAAAACTTTCCTTGTCCTTGAAGGATCCAGAATGCACGACGTCGGCCGTCACATCGAGAAGACCCATAACTTTTCCGACAAGCCCAGCCTCGGTGCGAGCGGTGACCAGAATTTCCGTCTTCGTGCCCGGCAGGAACGAGTCCACGGAGGGTGCTTTTTTCAAAGCCGTATCCATGGACAGGTCTGCCGAGAGCTTTACGACTTTGCCGTTGGAGCCAACCTCAAGAACGCTGCAGAGGAGTACCGCACCTACTCTGACATCAGACAGAGATAGACCGCTTGGTAGTTGTTTTCTAGGTACAAAACCACGGACACTCTGTTCCTCCAAAGCCAGGTCTACCACCAAGCCATGGTCTTCCACACTGCTAACGGAGACCTGGACAGTCGCGCCGGCCGCAAGGTTGCCTCGGGTGAGACCAACGTTGGTCAAAGCTGGCTCAACAGATAATTCGATACGCTTCCGTGCGGATGATTTTCCTCCAGGCTTATCCTGCTCTGTAGATGTGACGGCCACTCGCAGGTATTGTCCGACTCTGAAGTACTGCGTAAGAACAATGTCTTTCTCGCTCTTGTCTCCTTCTTCTTCGCTAGTACCTTCATCGTCCTCGTTCAGTAGCGCCTGAATCTTCTCGCTCAACTGAGGAGAGACTGCAGTCAAAGGAACGTATCCCACCAAGTTATTTGGCAGCGCTACTGTCAAAGCTCTTTCACTTATGAACGTCACTTGACCGAGTATAAGCGATCCGGTCGTTATTCGTTTATAGTTGAGACCTCCGATTTGCACCGCGGGGGTGTCGGTTGCAGAGTCTTCAGGCCGCCGTTTGTTCTTTTTTGACTTTTTTGTGGCTTTCTTCACCTCTGTCTCCGAGGCCATGCTAGCTTCGTCATCGCTCGTGTCTTGGGCTTCTGTCCGCCCCTCACCGAACAAATCCTGATTCTTTCTTTCTCTTGCAACATCTCGGGTGGCTTTTGCGTGGATTTGTTTCCGTTCAAGCGGAGTGAGTAGTCCTGCACCTCCTCGAGGAAACGCTGCTTGTTCCTTGGTAAGTACCGAGACATGTCTAGCCTTCTTGCTCTCGTTTTGCTCGGAGACAGAGTCGTGGCTCTTCGACGTAGAATCCGATTTCGACCGCTTGTTCGCTGGGCTGGCGGAGGGCCCTTCGTCCGCTAATCTTCTTTTGGTCGAAGCCATATTGAAAGCTCGGCGACTTGGAAAGCCGCTGTCAGTATTACAAGGTATGACTGGACGTAGTAATGCGACACAGGCCTATACCAGCATCCTGCGGCTTTCTTCGCTGCGGGCTGGTGTCGTGCGGGCAGGAATTTTCTTTGGAGTTGCTTGCACTTTTTTCCGTTTTGGAGATCGTTTAGCTCCCGCCAATCATATCGTTCCTCGGCTTACTTTCCCCAGCCTTGACGCGTCGAGCCTCGTTCCTGCTTCGCGCGTCCGAGAAATCAATTAAGAATGCATGCATCTCCGCCAGACTGTTAGCTGATCTACCTCTCTGTCTGCACTTCAATATCCCCATTGCCACGCTTAGTTTCATTCTACAGTTGCCGTCCCATCGCGCTTTAGTCTGTTGGCAAGGGACCTACCGGGGTCGTTATGCTTCTACCACTACCAAACTGATTCGTCCAGAGCAGCGAGTATCTATATCCAACTGTTACGTCAGTGGCCATGGAGCGAACGCCAGAGAGACCTTCGCACGCTGACACAGTCACCTTCGTCATTGCTGCAGACGAGCATAGAAGCCCTCGTCGAAGCAGTCGGATGAAGAAGAACCCTTCTGTAACACCCAGGCGTTTCAACAAGTTCTTTACACCCCGATCCCGAAATGTTCAGCGTGCCGTCCGAACCTCGAGAAAAGCCCTGCAAGATCTATCCACCGCCAAATTGAACAGCCGAGCAGACAGCACCCACCGTCCGAATAAGAAGAGGAGACTCTCTTTCTCCTCTATCCCCTCTCTGCCATCCTCGCCAATCAGGAAAGACTCCCTCTTCCCGAGCAGCCAAGAAAGCACCGAAGCTGGCCAAGGTGTAGTTGCAGGGTCTGCACGAGAGATCGAACCCAACTTCTTGGATAGTGATGATTATGAGGAGGAGGAGGAGGATGATGACTTAGCTACAACAAGATCATTACCACCCCGATTGGTGCCATATCGCACCATTAGCACTTCGGCTGCAGCCCTGTCAAAGCAACTTGGGCTGAAGAGCAAGATAGTCGAAGCAAACGACAGCAGCTTGTGGCAACATGAGACAGCGAATTTCTACAGTGCAGCAGATGATTTCTATGCTTACCTCCGGCGGTTTGCCTCCTTGCCCTTCTGTGCAGCTGGGTTCAAGACAGTGTCCCTGGTTGCAGTTGGAGATGAGGATGGAACCGTACGCATACATGATGCCTCGAGTGCTGCTACCCCGTACGCCGAAGTCTTCCTTCAGATGCATCCGCACGACAACGCGATCATGGATCTGGAACTGTCTCAAGACGATGCATTACTCGCAACAGCCTCAGGAGACCAGACCTGTCGTATCATCGACATGAAGCGGCAAATGTCGACCCATACTCTCGTCGGACACACGGGCTCCATAAAACGCGTGCAATTCCAGCCCGGTTCAGGCAACAATCTACTGGCAACCTGCTCTAGGGATGGGAGTGTATGTTTGTGGGATCTCCGATGTGCAAGTGCGAAAGGCTCAACAATGTTCAAAGAGCTACGGCGCGAATCTTCAGCATTCCTCGATTGCAGCAGAGAAGTCAACACCATCAACGATATTCGCGACGCACATACCGCCCGCGACAGCATACTGTCCAAAGGCCGACGCCAGCAAAATCCTGTATCTGCCCGGAACGACTTTGCCGTCACGACATGTGCCTTCGTCAGCGAAAGCCGCTCGCATCTACTAGTCAGCGCGTCTGAGAACGACGCCATAATTAAGCTCTGGGATATGCGCACTTCCTACAAACAGCGCTCTGGCAAACCCAACCCTATATCTTCCAGCACAGAACCACAAAGCCATCAGAACCACCGTCAATTTGGCGTGACTTCGATAGCCATGAGTACCGACGGGTCAAGGCTGTACTCACTCTGCCGCGACCATACTATTTACGCCTATTCAACCGCCCACCTCGTCCTTGGCAGCGCCCCCGAGATGTCCTTATCATCATCCTCATCTCGCCCATCCCGCCAGCCACGCCAGGCTGCCCGCGGCCTCGGCCCACTCTACGGCTTCCGCCATCCGGCCCTTCGTCTGCAGACGTTCTACGACAAACTCGCCGTACGGCACCGAGCGAGTGATACTACCGAAATGCTCGCGGCGGGTAGCAGTGAGGAATGTGCAGTCGTCTTCCCCACGGACGAGCAATACCTCAACGTTTCAGCGCGGCGACGGCGACCGCACTCCGGAAGTGCCATTCTCGCACCGCGCATGGTGCGCACATCTTCCACTGCAACATTATCTTCGTCGCGGCAAGGCATGAGTAACGCTGATGGAGACTGTCCGATATATTACCACGGTACCGCACTGGTGAATGCCCATCGTAAGGAAGTCACCGCTGTGGCATGGACGCAGAATGGTAACCTTGTGACCACATCCGACGACTACACCACGAGATGTTGGCGAGAGGATGCGGATAAGGCACGCGCGTTGAGGCTGAACACCGATCGGGACGTGGGTAGGCATCACAGTGGGTGGGCGGATGTATCAAGGGGATATGACGACGAGGAGGATGAGTAAGGTGACTTCAAGGGAAAATCCGCCCAATTCTGCTGGGTGATGAGTGATTGTGGATGATGAATGAGCCTGTTTTTGAGTCAGCCATTACCTTTTTTGGCGTTGCTGTTGTTGCTTTGCAGGAGGCTATTCGTGACAAAACAAGCAAGCGTTTGTATATTGAGTCAATGTCAGTCTCTTATTGAAGCGGGCGACTTTGAGAAGCGTTCACTAAACCAGGAAACACGTTTTACTGATTTCGATGGCGAGGGCCCAATGCTAGTACAATACATGACCTATGCATCCTGTAAAAATACACCTTTGGAAGCGAGCAAAACCTGTTGCTGGACAAGATTATGCCAAAGCCACTGATAAAGTCATGACAATTCTGTATCATAAGTCGTAAACATCTTCCTTCCTCCACTGACTGAGGTACAGCATCAACCACCGATATACATCAGGCCGCCGGAGCTCTCTCGTCTCCCGCGACTGTCAGCGCCGAGCAGCAGCACCGCCACATTTACATTCACGGATCTGCCGCTTCAACTCCGCATTCTCTTGAAGCAGTTTGTAATTTTCTTCGTCGACACGCATTAGTTCGGCCTTGTATTGTTCCAGTGTCGTTGACGATGCTTCCGCCGTCTTGCTGGCTGGCATCAGTATGGGAAGAGCAGGCCCAGGACTCGGCGCTGAGCGGGTGGTAGTCATCGACCCTGCGGTCAACGGTCTCTTGACGATGGATCCGGAAGAGAGTGCCGAACTCGAGGTAAGAGGTCTGTTTTCGTCATTGCGCGAGCTCGCGACGTTGCTGACTTGTTCTGGATCTTGCTCGGAGAGGATACCGGCCAGACCGGGTCTTGAAGTCTTATGTCGTCGACTCAAGCTCCTCCCGAGGCTAGGGAAGAGACGAGGCCCTTCACGCCCCTTCAGACTTCCTGTCAGGGCTGGAGCCTCCCTGATCGTCCCGGTTGATCGTGTCAAGCCTGACAAAAGCTTTGTAGGGGAGAGCCCTTTCTTGCGTGACTCGTGCTCGATGCGAAGAGAGTCGAGAATGGTCGAGGCCGCTGGTTCCATTTCGCATATTTCACCAATAATCTTGCGCGCCTTTTCGAGAGTACGTATGGCGGCAGTGAAATTCGAAGGTACATGTGGAAGCATCGTGTCAATGTACAGGCCGTATCGTGAGATACGCTGTGCTGGCTCCATAAGCAGGGATGGCGCTTGTTGGATCGAGGTTGTGCCTTCTTTCAAGAATTGGTCGAGGTTAGAGGCCACTTGGGAATGAAGGTCCAGGTACTCTCTGTATGGCATGGGGAACTTGGGGAAGTGGTGAAGCAGTACTTTGGCGAAGCTGTAGACACCCATTGGGTCTTTAGCGGATTGTAGCAGCTGGGGATTCTGGGAAGCTTGGTCGAGGAACATCAAGGCTGCATCTTCTGAAGTGGAAAGGGCGCTCTCGATGTCGTCAAGGAAGGCCAGATTCAGGTCCTTGATCTGGTCTAGCAATGAGGGAAACCGAATGATTGCATTGACTGTCTTCTGGTTCCGAGAACTTTGCAATCGCGAGCTCAATGACTTGGGGGTCCGGCCTTGGTTGGTGACAAGATCTATCAGCTCCTGCAATCTGGTGAGGTATCTATCTTCGGTATCGACGAATTCGCACATCTTGAAACGTAGCGACTCCAACTGGTCCAAGGAATGCTTCGGTGCTTGCGCAGCACTAGCCTTCCTAGTTCCTTGAGTAGAGGCGGACGGAGAGCGCTTTGCGTGACTGCTTGGAATCCTTCTTGAAGGCGTGAAGAGGTTCCCAGCCCGGCTAGCACCATAGCTGCTAGCCTCTGCAGGCAAGAACGACGGTCGAGTTTTCCTGATGGACAGACCTGGCTTGATTGGAGTTGGCGGACTGGAAGGCCGTTCTTTTGAGAATGGACGCAGTGCTTCAATAACTTCTTCTGTGTTTATGACTCTACTCATCCTGCAGGTCACCTGCGCCGCGTGTGACTGCCCCCACTTCAATGTTATACCGTGGTTCAGGTTTTCGTCCGCGATGGCATTCTTGACCTCGGTTGGCACTTCCGAGAAGTATCGACAAAGAGCGAAGGCAATGCCACGACAGACATCATCTCTCTGTTTGTCTTCTGGTAACTTGTGGACCGCGGAATAGTAGCTGCTATTCGGGGCAACTGAGAAAGCCCCATAGCTTTTGAAGCCGGCTGCGGAGAGAATGGTAGCACGGATTCGAGACGTCGAAGCCAACGAGCCGAGAGCTTGCACAGGCCAGTAGAAGACCAGGATACGGGGGAGATATGGAGGGTCTTCGGCGTAGTAGATGGTAGGTGTCTCTGAGGAGTTGAGGATGGCCGAAAGAGCGGCCAGGTTGCCGGACTTGGACATGTTGCTGAGAATACGCGATCAGGGTCAAGAGGCAGGAAGAGGAAGTGCACAGACGATCATGGTTCACGTCCAAAAATTGGCTGAGAAGACGAAGATGGTCTGCATAACCATGCACCGTAGGATATGCACCAAAAGACGCGGTCTATGAGATGCTGCAGTGCAATTGCTGAGGGTCAAGTGATACAGTGAGTTTTCAGTGTTGATGATTTTCCTAGTTGGTTCAATGCCCGGAGATATCTTAGTCCGTTCCGAGTACACAAACGCAAATGACATGAAAAGACGAGACCATGACTGCCGGCTTTGTGCGACTGGCACTGTAGGCGTTGCGTCTGACAAGTCGCATTTTCCTTCTCTACTCGTACGAGGTTACAGGATCGTCAGGTGTAACACAACGAAGAACAGCAATCTCATACCATAGTATTATTTATTCACTTGTACTTGTTCGGCTCCAGATTAGCGGAATTTGTTCGACTTGCTCACATCAATGGCGCACGGGACCTCGGAAATGCAAAGGCCTCCGTCACCCTGTCATCAGTAAGCACTCTGCTCGAGGGAGTCCATGCGGAACAGATGAGGCGCAGGAGGAGAGTCGCACATGGGCGTCGCCCGCTGCATGGTTTCGGTCCGTGATTATGAAATCCTCTTATTGGGCTTACTCCTGGTGCCTGACGACAGCTGTTCTCCAGGTCTAGTATGATACGCATCGACCACTTATATTATTCCTCGCCGGGCCATGACACGCCAGCGACTTGGAAGCATATTTGATGAATTCAAAACTTCAGAATAGCAACCACAGTATGATTGCTTTTGATCGGTAAGCGACGCTCATGCAACAGCCACAGAACAGGCAGAACACCTTCTTGGTATAGCTTCTCCTCCACTCTTTCGACCCCTCGTTGGCCGACAGCTTCAAAAAACTCCCTCCTCGGCCGCGAACCAACTATTGCTCGTGTCCACGGCCCCTTCGATGGCTGAACCTCAGAGTGGATGTTCACATTCCGCTGTTACTCGTCAAGACTTTCTTCTTGTCGTCATCGTCAGCAGAACTTTTCTCCATCTCCCCCACACTTTGCCATCGTTGGCCTGACAGATTATTGCTAGCAAATGCCATGGTTCTCGAGTCGCCTGTCATTCGAGCTCGTTCCTGATCCTGTTCATGCACGCGAAAGTCTCGACCTATGCACTCGCAGTATCGAGTTGTTGACTGATCATGCGTCTTCTCCAGTCCTACGTCAAGGTCTGGTGTCATCCCGGAAGCGGGCGCGTTGACTTCTCCACTACCGCTCAGACCAGCTCGTTAACAGGCCGAAGCTTATGAAACCCGTGTCCAGAAATATATTGATTGACCCAGCGGCATACTTCGTGATCCTCTTCTACCCGAAAGCGACTTACCTCAGCCATTCCCCCTGCGGACCAATTCCCGTTCTACCCTGATTGGCATACAAAGACTTGCCTTGCTCGGTCAAAGCTAAGGTGGGTCTCTGCCTGACGATACATCTCACAAGCATCTTCGCAAGATCCTTTCAGTCCTATCACCTTATATATCGAGCAACCCCCTGCTGAACACATTCCTGTCACTTCTTGCCGTCTAGAAAAGATCATACTACCGATTTTCCTCAACCATGGGCTCCTACGATCGTGCCAGGGTGTCTATTTTTGATATTCGTGGAGACAAGTCCGGCCAGTCACTCTTGGAGACACTTCGTCGGTCCTTGAACCCTTCCAATGGGGAGCCGCGTACATTTCCGACTTTGCTGTTATATGATGGTACAGAGGTTCTGGTTGTGTGAGACAAACACTAAACAATTGCAGAAAGGGGTTTGAAACTGTTTGAGGACATCACTTACTTGGACGAATATTACCTCACCAATGCCGAGATTGAGACCCTCGAGACACATGCCGGCGAGATTGTCGCTCGATTTCCAAACAACGCCCGGCTTGTGGAACTTGGAAGCGGGTATGAAAGCCTTCCTCTCCTTTCCTTCTAAGCACTACTTTCAACCAGACGCTGAGCAAAACCCAGAAATCTGCGTAAAGTCGATATCCTCCTGAGGGCTTTCGAGGCAGCCAAAAAGCCAGTTGAATACTATGCCCTGGACCTTTCCCTCTCTGAACTTGAGCGCACATTCTCCGAGCTGGACACCGGTGCCTACCAATACGTCAATTTTCGGGCGTTACATGGCACGTACGACGACGCTCTATCCTGGCTGAAGCAGTTGGAAAATGATGGCAAAACCACATGTGTCATGACCTTGGGTTCCTCAATCGGCAATTTTACTCGAGAAAGCGCCGCCCAGTTCCTTGCCGAGTTCAAAAAGGTGCTCACGGCGTCGGACACTATACTTGTCGGACTCGATGGTTGCCAACAACCTGACCGCGTTTACCGAGCCTATAATGATACACCAAAAACCACGGAAAAGTTCTACCGAAATGGCCTATCACATGCCAATGCTATTCTTGGCTATGAAGCATTCAAGCAACATGAGTGGCAGATTGAAGGCCTGTACGACGACAAGCAGAACAGACATCAAGCGTCGTATGTTGCTTTGACATCGATTGAAACTCGAGACTTCTCTTTCGAGAAAGGTGAAAAGATCCGTTTGGAAGACGCTTTCAAATATTCCCAAGTGGACAGCGATCGACTCTGGCACGAGGCTGGGCTGGTTCTACAGATGGCTTATGGCAACAAGACCAACGATTATTGTAAGCCTGATGCGGGGAACGCTGGCATAGTCTAACATAGTCACAGTTGTTCATCTGCTCTCCCCTGCCGTTATTAACTTCCCAACAAAGCCGGCAGAATTCGCAGCTAGCCCTGTTCCTACACTGAATGACTGGCAACAACTATGGGCTGCTTGGGACATAGTCACCAAGTCCATGGTTCCAAGGGAGGAGCTCTTGAATAAGCCGATCAAGTTGCGAAATGACCTGATCTTTTACCTAGGTCACATTCCCACATTTGCAGGTAAGTAACTTTCACAAGCCCTTTCTCACACTCAGGGCTGATGAATCCTGCAGATATCCATGTCACAAAGGCCACTGCTGGGAAGCCAACCCATCCGGGCTCTTACTGGTCCATTTTCGAGCGAGGAATTGATCCTGGTAAGCATGGCCTTTCGCTTTTTCTTTCTTTCTGCCCCTGTTAACGATATCAGACGTCGACAATCCCGAAGTATGCCACGACCACAGCGAGATTCCCGATTCCTGGCCACCACTCGAGGACATTTTGAACTACCAGAACCGCGTACGCTCCCGCATCACTGAGAAGATCACTTCCGGCGAGGCATTTTCCGACCGTAAACTCGGGCGCGCACTCTGGCTCGGCTACGAACACGAAGCCATGCACCTCGAAACATTCCTGTACATGCTCCTGCAGAGCGAGCGCGTCCTCCCACCAGCTGGCCAAGAAGTCCCCGACTTCAAGGCGCTTGCAGCAGAAGCCGAGGCTAACCGCGTCCCAAGTAAATGGCACAAGATTCCGGCCAGCAATGTCAAAATCGGCCTGGATGACCCCGAGAACGACCTTGGACTGGACAGATACTTTGGCTGGGACAACGAACGACCGGCTCGCACGGTCGCGGTCAAGGAGTTCGAAGCACATAGCCGACCGATCAGCAACGGCGAATACGCTCGGTTCCTGGAGGTCACGCATCAAGACTCCCTGCCCGCGTCGTGGACAACCTCCGCATCCTCTGCCCCCGCCAACGGTACAACAAACAACGGGAATGCCCATGCTGAAACCGGCGTCATCGAAACGGCTAGCCCCTCCTGGCTCGAAGGGAAATCCGTCCGCACCGTGTACGGCCTCGTCCCGCTGAAATTCGCACTCGACTGGCCGGTCATGGCCTCGTACGACGAACTCGTCGCCTTCGCGAAGTGGTCGGACGGGCGAATCCCGACCCTCGAAGAAGCGCGGAGCTTATACAAGTACGTGCAAGACCAGCAGCAGAGCACCGTCGAGAAGGTGACGAGTAAATTGATCTCGGCGGTGAATGGGCACTTGTCGAATGAGGGCGTGCAAGAGACCCCTCCATCCAGCCATTGGTATCCCAGCGGCGCCGCTGCCGTCAATGGCAGCAGCGCAAAGCTCAACCCGAATGATACATTCCTCGATCTCGACGACCGCAACATCGCTTTCCGACACTTCCACCCCACGCCCGTCACCGGGTCGGACCACTTACGCGGCCAAGCCGACCTCGGCGGGCTGTGGGAATGGACGAGCACTCCGCTGGCGCCGCACGAGGGTTTCAAGCCCATGGACTTGTACCCAGGGTATACGGCAGACTTCTTCGACGGCAAGCACAACGTGTGCCTGGGCGGCAGTTGGGCAACCGTTCCTCGCATCGCGCTGAGGAAGAGCTTTGTCAATTGGTACCAGCGCAACTATCCTTATGTGTGGTGTACGGCCAGGCTTGTCAGGGATGTGCCCGTCTCGAACTAGTCCAGCCTGGAGGGGGGCCCCGCCGGCAGAGCTGGACACAAGGGTACTGTATCTGTGGGATATGCGGCTGTCCGAACAACAGCAAACTTTGATCCACTCTTCGGGCTCTTTGATCAACGCTGGACCTGAGGACTGTCTGTTGTTGTCCGTTTGGCTGCCCCCCTGGGAACGGGACCAGGCAGGGAAGGCGGAATATCTGGGCAGATTTGGCAAAGTTGCGTTTCCTTTTCGACTTGTTGATGGCTGGACTTCGGCCAGATCCACTCCTTGTTTATACGTGATCGGGACTTCCGGTCTCGACATGATATTGAATTGGATGCAGCTGGATTCAACCATGATTGGTTTCATTATGAAAACAAAAAAAAACGACAAGTATATACACTCGTTATACTCACGCAATGACGAAATGAACAGCATAATTTGCTCCCCTCTTTGACATCGGACTTTCGTAGTCGTGATCTATCTCGTGATACTGTTCAGGACGGGCTGGGCTGGGCTAGGCTGAGCTTAACTGGACTGGAGATCAGAGGGGTACTATATGTCCTTCATCATTGTAAGGTTGGTAAATTGAGGGCCACACCATCGAACCATGTAGATTTGATCCACATTCTGAGATGGCAGTCTTCTGTCTTGATCCATCATACAGGACTAGAACTTGGAGAGGGCAGGGTCGACATGGAGCAAACTACTAGCATACGGATACGCACTCATCATCTCCTCAGGAATCGTGGATGTAGTGATGGCGGGAAGGCTCGTCTCTTTCCAGCGGCTATTTTCGGCCATGAGTATCATCTCGGCCTTGACCGGCATGAAATTGTCATTGAAAGGTATATACACGTCTTCATCCATGCTCAAGTCGCTATCCCATGACTGGTGCCCCCCCTTGACTTTTATATTGTCCTGGCCACGCCGACAATATCAGCCATCTTCATGATCCTTTGCTCCACAAGATTCAGCGGCAGCCTGCAACTCTCAATGCGACCTGCCGTGAGAGGGACCCACAAGCGTTCTCATCATGTCTGTGACCTCTGTCGCTGGCAGAGGATATAAGACACATTCTTTGTCTGCTTTCCGGACCTTATTCAGCGAACACAACCTCTCTTGACAACAGAGTGTCTCGCAGCATCATCATGAACATAGTGAAAATGTCTCCAACTGCGTTGTTTGATGTCTCGGACTTCCACCTCCTCAACGCTTTAAGCCACTTTGACATGGACAGCCCATTATTCATGAATGGAGTTGAGTCGATCTGTACTGGCATTGTAGCTGTGCCGTCCCCTGGATCTCAGCAGCGCAGGTACAAGCCGATTGTACCCGGTCGGCATTCGTTCTGTTGTGCAGTGACTGGCGAATGTACCGTACCCAACACGAAACGCGTGTCCAGATTTCACTGCGTTGGAATACTTTGCACACCGCGTGTGCGAGTTCGCGACCGTCCATCTTCACTGGAGGCGGTGAACCAGGCACCAACACCAATATCGTTCGCACTGCGTAAGCTGCACGCCAAAACATCGTGAAGCCTGTCCCACATCCTTGCTTCATTGTCTTCTCATATTCGTGCTTGACAGCCCAGTTCGTGCACCATTGCACAGTCCATCACACCTTTGATCACACAGCAGGCATCAGACAATCGCGAATATGGACCTCTCGATCCCAAACAGCCCGTTTCGGTGGGAAGCGGCATCTGGCCTTGGTAAGTAATCCCAAAAGGGCAGACCTCCGTCGTCGCCTTCCTTGTCGCGTAGACAAAGGGGTTGACAGTGTGCGCCCACAGAACACAGTTGCTGGAGCTGTTCAATGAAAATGAGCAATCCCAACGCGCGACACACCTGTTATGGCGTCCACTCAATCCCCTGCTACCGATACCACCAAACCATGCACGCAATTGGAGCTAGCCATAAATGCGCGACATGTCTTCAGACTGATGAGAACCATCATAAGCGACACAGAACGGTAAGTTAGCTCGATTTTCCTCATAAGCTGCGGCCAGAGCTGACTCTTGTATGACAGATCACCGAGCTTGTCGTTGAGTACCGTGAAGCTACTCGTGAAACCACTGGCAACACATCCCTTGCAACAGACATTGAACGTCTGCGAATCGACCGTGCTCCCGAAGAACCTGCGCCATTCGATCAGTTCGATGATTTTGCCCTGAGAGAAGAAGGCTTTGCTGCCGCAGAAGAGGATTTTGATGTCCCAGTAGGTGTTGAGCAAGAAATGCACAACGACAATGACATGGACGATCCCGACAACGCTTTGGAGACTGTCATGAGCACTAGCACAGCTGACACCAATGACAGCAACCCTCTCCGAAAGCAGTCCAAGGCAGAGATTCGCGCAGCAAAGAAGGCTGCCAAAGCCGAAAAATCACAAGCAAAGGCCGCAAAGAACCAAAGAAAGCAGTCTGTGACTGTCCGCAGCGAAGACATTGAAGCTGTCACCCGGGTCTTGCATGGAGACAATGCCGCTGAAGCTGCAGCTACGCATCCTCTTGCGTCAGACAAGACTGTCGAAGACGTTATCAACAGGAATAAGAGCTTTGTGTCGAGCATTGAAGCACACAAGAAGCAGCTGTTGTCCAGCATCGCTCGAAAGCGCAAGACCGAGCGTGAAAGGCAGAGGTCAAATGGCAATGGCAAGGGCAAGAAGAGGCCCAGTGACGAATTCGACGAGAGGGAAGCTGAGATGGATGACCTGGTTGCTGCTGTTTTGACCAACCTCGGCGTCGACGCTTTGCATATCCAGACCACAGGCAGTGGTGCTGGCTCGAAGAAGGAGAAAGGAGGCAAGGCCGGAGGCGGTTCGGGTGCTCGGATCTCGTCAATTGTGGCAAGTCTGAAGAAAGAGATCAGAGAAGATCTCAAGACATTCGAGCATGAGCAGAGAGAGACCTGCATCCGAGCAGGTGGCTTCTGGAGGTATGTGGGGAGTAAGGTGTTTGAAAGGATGACCCTGATTGCCCAAGAGGTGGATTGGAAGACAGGACAGAAGTTGAAGGAGTAATGGCGGTTGTTGGTTGTTGTGAGGTGAGTTGACTGTTTGTTTGTTTTCTTGGTCATAGATTAATTCCACTTCAATATGGGGTGCCCATTATTAGCAACTAGGTGGCAATCAGGAGAGGAATGCAGCCTGTATTTGCCGCTGTCCATGTCTCTTTTGTCCCTGACACTGTGGATGACGGCCTGCAGAGGGATTTGTCCCATCAGGTTCTTTTTCATCTCATGGTGCCTGCCGTGCCTGCCGTCGTTGTTATGTTCTTGGTCGAAACGCCTTCCCCGGATGTATCATGCTGACAATGCTCCATAGTACGCTGGTGTCTGTGCGATGACATCCACCATGTAGATCGGAGATGCCTATACTGGGGACGTCGTTTCTCAACCATGAAGTGTGCCCTGATTGCCCCATTGATGGTGGTATGGTTGCCTTCCGTAAAAGCTCAACCGACCACTTGAGCCATGGGCGATCACCAGTGAGACAATGCTCTTCAGTAGCTCAGTATGTCGGCCTGTATTTGCCTCTCAGTACACCCCTGTTGCCCATGAGCCTGCACTTGGCGGTCATTGAACATTCAAATCAGCCATTGCGCGCCTGACATAGCTGTAGGTATATATCATCGTCTTGTTCCCCAGACTCTTCAGCTCTTCGCGTCTATTATCGCGGCCACTTTCTTGTCTTCAAACCCAAGAAATCGTCCCAGTACACCTTTAGGCTTAGGAACAGGACACTCTCGTGCTTCCTTGTCCGCCTTTTGTAGTAATTCTGCTTCCCGTTGCAATTCCCTGAACAAGGCAGCTTCCTCCTCAATGTTTTTGTGCTCTCCCAGTCCCTTCCGTACACCTCTGGGCTGTTGGTGTATGCCTGTCGTCTTCAAATCCGATGATTCCTGATCTTGCAACGTAGAGACTCCATCTGCTTTGATTTGCCTGACCCTCCTCCGAATCGGTTTCCCATCATCATCGAACTGAATTTCTGCGTCGGCGTACCCTCTGCGCGGCCGGGGGCACGGGAATAGATGTGGAATGCCAACAACTAGGAAGGACGCGAGCAGAGTGCCGGCAAATAGTGTGGAAGTCGCTGTTGATCGAGGATGAAGGTGTGGAGGCATCTTGACAAGGTCTGGAGCGGCTTCTTAGAGTGAAAAAGGTTTTTGTTTGTGAAGGATTGGCTTAAGAGTCGGACATCGAAGCTCCAGGTGAAATCGGGACGCTGCGGGATAGAGTTGAAATTGTACAAGAGTCGATTGACTGGCTTCCAGACCTGAGTAAAATGCTACCTAGGGGAGCCGTGGGAGCTCTGCATGTCTATCAGGTTGCAGATTGATCGTCGAAGCTGCGGAATTGACTGAACCTTGTAGATGGGTTACATTAGTAGTGTGATGGATTCGCTTTCACGAGATCTAATCTTATCTCATCTGCCTGCGCTTTTGGGTCTCCCATAAAGGTCGACATCACAATTCATCGCAACACTGTAATTTCGGTCTCGTTGCATTTGCTGTCGACTGCTTGCTCTACCACCTCTCAGACACTTGCTACGCTTTTAGACTGGCTCGCAGCAACGAATAGAGCTAAATCACCCCAATCCTGATTAAACGAGGCTCTTGCGCAAATTTGCCCGCCACAATCACCACCACCTCGCTGCTTTGGATAGGACCGAACATTTCACCCTCATGCACAGAAGTCTGGAATACAGCTGTGCTCTGCGATGAGCGACCTCGACAAGTAAGCTGGCCACTTTATTTCACCTGCCTATCTCCTTCTGACTCACTCTAGGGCCATTGCGCAACTGCGCGCATGCCGACCGATTCCAGAGCCCCAGGTTCGCGAGCTTTGCTATAAAGCCCGTGAACTGCTCATCGAAGAAGGCAACGTTGTGACCGTCGATGCCCCCGTCACAATATGCGGCGACATCCACGGCCAATTCCACGACCTGATGGAACTCTTCCGCGTTGGCGGTGACGTCCCCGACACAAACTACCTATTCATGGGCGACTTCGTCGACCGTGGCTTCTACTCCCTCGAATCCTTCCTCCTCCTCTTGTGTCTGAAGGTTCGCTACCCAGACCGCATAACGCTGATCCGAGGCAATCACGAGAGCAGACAGATTACCACGGTGTACGGTTTCTACGACGAATGCATACGCAAGTATGGAAGTGCCAACGTCTGGCGCTACTGCTGCGAAGTCTTCGACTACCTCGCCCTGGGTGCTCTCATCCTCGGCGCAACCACAGACGTCCCACCATCATCATCATCCCAATCATATAACGACAACACACAATCCACTCTCCCGCCTGACGACGAAGACATCGAGTCCGAAGTGCTCAATGCGCAGGGCGACGTCCTAGGCAAGACTCTCCGACGTCAATTCGCTGGGTTGAACCTCAACTCTCAATCCTCCAACACTTCTCGCATATCTCCCGCTCCAGACGTCGATCTTCCATCACCTCTTGAACCGTCCTCGTCGCTTCCCTCTCAGGGCTCTCCGCTTCCACCATCCCTCTTCAACCCTCCCACATCCACAACGGGCGCTGTATTATGCGTGCACGGTGGCCTCTCCCCTCTCATTGACACAGTCGACAAAATCCGCTTGATCGACCGCAAACAAGAAGTCCCCCACGAAGGCGCCATGTGCGACCTCCTCTGGTCCGACCCAGACGAGATCGAAGGATGGGGCCTCTCACCCCGCGGCGCAGGCTTTCTCTTCGGCGCAGACATCGTCCGACATTTCAACCACAACAACGACCTGTCGCTGATCGCCCGCGCCCATCAACTTGTGATGGAAGGGTACAAAGAGATGTTCGACAAGACGATAGTAACGGTGTGGTCGGCGCCAAACTACTGCTACAGATGCGGTAATGTCGCTGCGATCCTGGAGTTGGGCGAGGACGGGAGTAATGGTGGATGTATCGCGCGGGCGAATGGAGACCAGGGGAGGAAAGAGCCGGTCGGTGGCGACGGCAGTGGTGGTGGGAGCGGCGTGCTCTGGAACTTGGCCACGCCTGGACGACGGTATAGAGTGTTCGAAGCGGCGCCACAGGGCACGAGGGGCATGCCGGCGAAGAAGCCTGTGGGCGAGTACTTTTTGTAACAACAACAACAACATCGACGATTACAGTCAAGGGGCGGGCGCATGGTGTCTGGTAGAGCAAGGGCACGGCGTTTGCGTTTGCTTTTGCTTGTCCTTTTGCATTGGAGTCTTCTGGCCTGCGGTCGTGGCTGGCTTGGCCGTCCAGCCGCCATGGATCGGTCGGTATCACAGCAAGAAAGGAGGATGGACAGAATGGGGCTCTGAAGGCGGTATAATATGTCGGATTGAGATATCCAGGGCGGCTCCGATTGTGGCCATGGCTAAACAGGACGAATTGAGGCAAGCATGCTACGTGCCACACTTCTTTTCAGGAGTGAAACTGCAGGAGAGGGAATCGGCTTGGAGAGTAGAAACCCTGAGCTGGATCTGACCTGCTTCGGGTCTGAGGGTGAGGTTTTCACTTTTCAGACAAGTGATAAGCTGTGTGCCTAGGTTGTGAAGGCAGATCTCTCAAGCATCTGTCCGCTGTCGGACAAGTCTATGTGCAGTACTCGACGATCAAAGTATCCTCGAGATTTACCCACGAACGAATGCCAAACTCCGCGTTGCGGTCGTAATGAGGAGAAAGGCGTTTCTGCTCAAACTATAACTATTCTATTTGCAGGTGATATTTGGGTATCCAAGAATTGCTCAGATGAAGATAAACCAGGCTTTGGATATGGCCCCATTCCAGGTATCCAAAGACAGCAGCAAAACTAGGTCAGATGAGAAGGTCATTCATCTCTTCCCTCTCTTCCCAGCAGTCGGAGCCAAGTCCTCTTTCACCCGCTCCAACATCTCGCGCGCCTGGCGTTCTCTCTTATTGAGAAAGCCCTGGAATGGCGCTGGCACAAGACGAGCACTGTTGGCATGATCCTCCGCGAATTCCGGTCCACTCCAGCCCTTGGTCTGGCACAGCTTGACAGCCTCCTCGAGCAGACCCTGGCCAATGCCCTTGCGACGATAGCGGCGCTGAACGGTCCAGCCGCGAATCACGCCTGTCGTCGGTGCATTTTTGCGCGGTTTCCTGGGACTACTTCCTGCCGGTGTGTCACGCTGTCCGCGCACAATGATCGCCCCAATGACTTCATCGCCGTACCGAGTGAGGAGGATGTCGTCCGCGTCTCCGACCGCGGCGCTGTCGTAGTCTTTTCGTCCCTGTTCCAGCCATTTCCATGTTCCGATGTTCTCGGCCTCGTCGATGTAACCGCCTGTCAGCCATCGGATCGTGACAAGCATGGACATTAGAATGCCCGCACTTGTAGTGCCGATCAACATCCAGTCGGATCGTTCGCCTTTGTACATGTACTGATACAGCAAGCCGAAGAAGAGGACGAATATGCCGGCCGTGAGTGGGTGGTACATTATCGCACTGGAAGCAACCTGGCGTTGTTGCGCGACCGAATCGGCCAGAAGGTGGAGGGCTTCGACCTTGTCATCCTCGGTGAGTGCAGGTTTCGTGGTCAACTCGGGAATCGAGTCTAGCGGGTTTCGGGCTACGACGGCCGTGTCTTCTGTGTTTTCCTCACTATGTGCAAGCGGAGAAGGTGAAGGAGGAGGGAGACCACCGGAGGAAGTCATCGTTGTCGGCCGTAGGACGTCTGGAGTCGTGGGAAGGGATGGTGGGTTGAAATCGGGGTCGAGAACAAGATTGGCTCGTAAGGTGTTGAAGAATGCTATCAGAAGCACCTGTCAGAATGCGGTTTGACTTTTCTTATTCTTTGCTATTGTCGCGTGCTCACCAGCAGAAGTTTTGAAGCCCGGGATGCGGTCTCCGACGGCAAGCGCAGTAGAGCGACCAGTCTCTTGAAATAGAGCGGCTGCGGGAGGGTAGTAGACGACCCGATTGACCGCGAAAAAGGAAGACGCAGAGGTCAAGTAGTTGGCAGAAGCAGAAGACTGTGGAGGAGTGGGAGGAGAAAGGTATAGGTGCTCAGGAAGTCTCAGATGATGGTGCCGGCCCATGATCTGGAAACTGGTCGTCCATCCACAACGGGCATGGTTCGACCAGCGAGAGGGGAAAAAATTAGATGGGCATGGATGACGTTAGCCCAGAAGAGAAAGGAGGAAATGGCAGGGTAACAATGTGAGAAATGAAATGGCCCAAATCTATCGAGTCCAGAAGCACTGTTCAGGAAAAAAGAATTGAAAAAAGGCTGAGGAGGGGCATTCGGAGGGTTTAGTAGAAGCACGTTGACAATTGCGGGAAGAACACTGGACGCAGGGAAAAAGAGGCGGCGTGAGGCGTGAGGCGGGCTGTCGATGTCCTTATGGGTCTTTGATCGCGCGTACGGACTGACGGACTATCTGATGGAGGAGAGGATTCTGGGGATCCTTTTCTACTTGTACAAGCCATGTTCACTGTTCAGCGATGACACGAGCTTGTCTCTTCTTATCGGCAACCCCAGGAAACCATGGTTGGCGTGCTCGTTGCGTGCTCTTCGGCATGAATCGTATCACCACCACCCCCCGCCAAGCACCTCCTGATAGCGACCGAAGACGAGATAGCCCGTACGATTGGCCTATGGAAACATACCGCTGCTTCTGACCGGCACGACTGGCTTGAACTTGGCCTGTTCCTGGCCAGATAAAGCTCCTATCAGTCACCAACGCAGCCTCGATCCTGCATCTTGATAAAGCTAAGGAAGCCTCATTCTGCTCGTCAAACACCTCCACATTGTCAAAACGTGTCTTGTGATCATTCCAGCAATCAAAAGCCCCAGCCATCACCTCTGGCGGTCATATCATAGTCATCTCGCTCGCCATCTCCGTCCCTCTCTATCGTAGAAATGTCTAGCCCTTTTCTGCACGCTGTGTCTAATACGACCGTCCAAACATGCACCATGCCTCTGCGAACTTTGAGCACTTGGGATTCCCGCACCTGGTGACGCCCTTCTCGATGCCGTCTGGCTGGTCAAATGGAATACACAGAGTCTTGGCCCCCATACTTGGGGCACGTTCATCCAGTGGCACACCACTCTGTTCCTCCTCGGTGCGCGTACTCATCTCCTTGATCTGGTCCTCGCATGCTTCGGTCAGGCAGAATGGCATGAGGATGACGTTTTTGTCGTTCAATGTTGGCACGAAGTCGTCCCAATTGGTGACCTGCTTGATATGCGACTTGTACTTGGCATTCGCTCGGTCGTACAGGTCCTTCTGGATAGTCTCGAGTAGCTCCGGGATAGCAGTGTTGAGCTCGCTGATGGCAATTTGGCCCTTGCTTTCCGCCTTGGGGAGGTCTCTTCGGGACGTGGTCACATAGTGCCCCTTGCTCTCACCAGGTCCAAACTCCAGACGAAGTGGGACACCCTTCAACTCCCAGTCATTGAACTTGTATCCTGGAGAGTATCCCTCACGGAGGTCGGCAAGAGCTCTCACATTGACGGCCTTCAGCACTTCGACTAGCCCGTCGATTTCCTTGTACAGAGCTTCGCGCTCCTCATCGGTAGTCTTTGCGGTCACACCCACTGGCACAATGACGACCTGGGTTTCGACAACCCGAGGTGGCATGACCAGACCCCGGTCGTCTCCATGAATCATGACCATCACACCAATGACTCGAGTAGACAGACCCCAAGAGTTCTGCCAGACGTACAGCTGGTTCTTCTTCTCTTCCTCGGTCTTTGCATTTGGATCTTGAACAGTGATGCCAAACATCTTACTGAAATTTTGGCCCAAGCAATGCGATGTCCCGCCTTGAATACCCCGTCCAGTAGCTGGAATATAGCCTTCCACAGTGGTTGTGTACAGACCTCCGGCAAACCTCTCCTTGTCTGTTTTCCGGCCTTTGATCACGGGAACAGCTAGGAGTTGTTCATAAACACCAGCGTAAAGATCGAGAATTTCAAGGACTTCCTTGCCCGCCTCCTGTTCCGTCAAGTGGGCAGTATGGCCTTCTTGCCAGTGGAACTCTCTCGTGCGCAGGAAAGGTTGAGGATGTTTGAACTCCCATCTGACCACCGAGTTCCACTGATTGAGCTTGAGAGGCAAGTCACGATGACTCTGGATCCATTTGGCATAGTATGGGTACATGACGGTCTCGGATGTCGGACGAATAGCGATCTTCTTCTCGAGTTTTGTGCTGCCTCCGTGTGTCACCCACGCGACCTCGGCTGCGAAGCCTTCGATATGGTCCTTCTCGCGAGACAGCACGTCTTCAGAGACGAACAGAGGGAAGGAGCAGTTCTTGACACCCATCTTCTTGATTCTGTAGTCGAACCAGGCGCGGACTTCGTCCCAGACGAATTGCGACGCAGGCTTTAGGATGTAGCAACCGGAAATATCGTAGTAGTCGAGCATATCTCCCTTCAACAGGACTTGCTGGTACCATTCTGGGAAGTCTTCGTCTTTCGAGACGTCGATACCAATCAATAGAGCACCTTCCTTCTTCTTTTTCCCGCCTGCTTTTGACTGGGGGACCTTGGCCTCTGCCTTGCCGACAGGCTTCTCTGGCTTTGTCTTCTTCTCCATCTTCTTCTCAGCGTCCATTTTAGGTTCTTTTTCGCGGGTAGGGAGATCAGTTTTTGAGGGTTCTCGTGAATGAGACATTCTTGTAGGGGACGGGTCTCGTCGGAGAGCGTCTAATTTGAGTCAGATCTGCGGACAGACCTGTAGGATCCCGGTGAAGAGGTGGAGCGAACGAGTTATGAGTCGTGTGTACCTTGGGCATTGGGCGCTGAAGGTGAATTAATTGTCATACCCCGCATACAAAACGTTGCCTTGGCGGAAATTATTCGATCTCGCAGGCTGCGGTCGGTATTTTTCCATCCGCGGTGCCTGTTGTCTACAGAGTTCCGGGTCTGATAACGGATCACACAATCTTGCTCTCAGGTCTCATCATCTACTTCGACTGAGAACAACTTCCGATGGCAGGCATTTTCGAGGCTCCGCGCAACGCGGGAACCCTCTTTCTCGGTGGCCAGAAGATCAGCGGCGCAGACATTCGAGACCAAAATGTTCTCGCGACACAGGCAATCGCAAATGTCGTCAAATCCTCCTTCGGACCCTCTGGTCTAGATAAGATGATGGTAGATGATATCGGAGATGTCACGGTCACGAACGATGGTGCTACAATTCTGAGCCTGCTCGATGTGGAACACCCAGCAGGAAAGATCTTGGTGGATTTGGCACAACAACAAGACAAAGAAGTCGGAGACGGAACGACGTCTGTTGTGCTCATCGCAGCGGAACTATTACGGCGAGCGAACGAACTCATGAAGAACCGAATACACCCGACTGTCATCATCACCGGCTATCGACTGGCATTAAGAGAGGCGGTCAAATATATGCAGGAGAACATCAGTACCAAGGTGGAAACCCTGGGAAGGGAAAGTTTGATTAACATTGCCAAAACGTCCATGTCGAGCAAAATCATTGGCTCAGATGCAGACTTCTTTGCCAACATGGTGGTTGACGCAATGCAGTCAGTCAAATCAGTCAACACGCAGAGGAACGAGACAAAATACCCGGTCAAGGCCGTCAACATTCTGAAGGCTCACGGCAAGAGCTCCACAGAGTCAATATTGGTCAAGGGTTACGCTCTGAACTGCACCGTTGCATCACAAGCTATGAAAACGAGGATAACAGACGCCAAAATTGCATGCCTCGACATGAACCTTCAAAAAGAACGCATGAAGCTCGGTGTACACATTACAGTCGAAGATCCTTCGCAGCTGGAAAAGATACGTGAGCGAGAAGCGGGGATTGTGCTGGACCGCGTGGAGATGATATTGAAGGCTGGTGCCAATGTTGTCATGACTACGAAGGGCATCGATGATCTTTGTCTGAAGGCCTTCATTGAACGTGGGTGCATGGCTGTTAGAAGATGCAAGAAGGAAGACTTGAGGCGCATAGCGAAAGCAACTGGCGCCACCTTGGTTAGCAGTCTGTCTGACCTAAATGGCGACGAGAAATTCGAAAAAGAATTCCTTGGATCTGCCGAGGAAGTTGTGCAGGAGCGGATATCAGACGATGAATGCATCCTTGTTAAAGGGACCAAGGCTTTCTCGTCAGCATCCATCATCCTTCGGGGTTCGAATGACTACCAGCTTGACGAAATGGAGCGCTCAGTCCACGATTCGTTATCCGCCGTCAAGCGCACATTGGAGTCTGGCAGCATCGTTCCTGGAGGTGGTGCAGTGGAGACGGCTCTGTCCATCTATCTCGAAGAATTTGCTATGACAGTGTCATCCCGAGAGCAACTTGCAATTGGAGAGTTCTCACAATCTTTGTTGACCGTACCGAAGACTTTATGCGTCAACGCTGCGAAAGATGCATCTGAACTGGTGGCCCAACTACGGGTACGGCATGCCCTGAGTCAACGAGTCCAGGATAGTGACGGCAACGAGAAAGAGAAGGATATTGCAAAAAAGCGGCAGTACAAGAACTATGGCTTAGATCTGATGAAAGGCAAAGTTGTTGATGTCGTGAAGATGGGGGTGTTGGAACCTAGCATGAGTAAGGTCAAGCAGCTCAAGAGTGCTGTGGAAGCCTGCATTGCTATCATGAGGATCGACACTTTGATCAAGTTGGATCCACCAGAGCAACAAGACGACGGACACGGTCATTGAAGACACTGAGCAGCTTCATGCAACAAGCATTCGACGTGGGAAAGATATCTCTAGGCTGTGAAAGGGCCTTGCTTATGAGACCCAGGATCCTAGAATGGTGCTGTATGCCAATCCCTATGGATCGCCATTGCAAGTTCTCATTCAGAAGTGCCTCTTCCACACGGTACATACGTGGGCCCCGGGTTGGGGATAGGGTTGCCGGACGGAGCCCTCTACTCATCAGCATAGGCCAGGGCGAGGCCTACAGATCCTGCGGCAGAAAGGTTGCGGGGCGCCTAGTTATCGCACCGGCAGCCCGTATGATCTCGAGATGATGCACAGTCTCGAACTGCTCCGGTCACCCCCTGGGCACGACCGATTTCGAGGATACCCAGATAGAATAGAATGAGAAGATGTTGGTCAAGATGTCTGATGTATCAGTATCGAGATGGAGTTCGGTCACTCATTTCATGGCTCTCTACTAACACAAATTTCCCTCAAGAAATAGTGCAAAGCTGGTTCAAGGTGCGGCAATTCATACTCAACCGGACTCATACTCCCAGTTTTGAGCAGCAGTAGGTAAAGTATGAGTGAAAAGTACCTTTCAATAGCATCCACCCCAATGCGGCTGGTACAGAGTACGCGACCACATAATGCCTCAGCAGCCTGAGTTGACGCAGATGGCTTCAGTGGCTGTTGCAAAGAGTCCTGTTGATACGCTTAGACATGCCCAAAGCAGTAGTACTAGAGAGTCGAGACAAAATCTCCCTCCTAGGTTGCCGCCTAGCAAGTAAGTGGTTGCCACTAGAAATACCTGCTACCGGGTTTGGAGTTCACTGGAGTCCAGAGTTCTAGACGGTTTTCTGGATTTTGGCCGTGCACAATAGCCCATTCACCTCCCACCCAGCAATCGTCTGTGCAGCGGGATCTGGAGCATGGTGGGCGCATGGGCCAGCAATACTTCTTTGGGACTGCCTGGACTGCCCAAATCGACGTTCTATCGATAGTCCATTCCGTGGTGCAAAGTAGCGGAGGCTTTGGATCGAAGCTACGTTGGCCAAAAGTGCCATCATGCCGAAACATCTACATATACCAGGCCTATGCAATGTGAGGAACAATGCAGCGACCCAACAAGGCCCTGCACGACATCCAGATGTTTCCGGACAGACGCTGAAGCAATCACACAATGACTGAATCTACGACTCTAACGGTCACCAAAGCCGTTCAATGGCGAGAACGACTCCTCAGCATGATTCCTGAAGAGGTACCAGGAGCTCCACCAGTCATCGACTTCTCACGTAGGCACTTCCACGATCAGTATACAGACGTTTACTAAATCAATTTGTGCAGCATTCTACGAGGACGACGCCGATGCTAGGGCGATTCTTGTGGACCAAGTGCGAGATGCCTGCCTGGAGAAAGGATTCTTTCAGATCATTGGACATGGTGTCCCGGAAGACCTCCAAAAGGCCATGTTCGAGCAATCTGCAGACTTCTTCTCGCTACCGCTGGAGCAAAAGGAGAAATACGATAAAGGTAAGCAAATATCCTCCTTGGGAAATCTTCTTCATTGCAGTGACAAATCCTAACGGCCCACCTTGTAGCAAACAACCCGAACAAGTTAGGATACGAACGTCTACGATCACAGAATTTCGAGGGTAAAACTGCTGGCGATCTGAAGGAGGGCTTCTTCTTTGGCAGAGACCTACCCCCAGATCATCCTTACGTCCAACAAGGAAGGATTCATTGTGGGCAGAACGTCTACCCAGATGAAGTTTCTGATCAGGAACGCTTCAAAGCCACTGTCAATAACTATCACCGAGCGATGACATCCTTGGCCGAAAACATTCTCAGTGTCATTGCCATGACTCTAGACTTGGACAAGGATTACTTTCAGTCTTACTGCCACGAACCAGCTGCTGTGTTACGACCTCTGCACTATCCGCCTCAACCGGCTGATGCGAGTGAGGATGAAAGGGGTATGTCCCATTACCACCAAAAAGTCCGAATGAATGACAGAGCTGACCTGCCTAGGTATCGGGGCGCATACCGACTTTGGCGGCGTGACTATACTCCTTCAGGATGACGTTGGTGGGCTACAAGTATTCGACGCTCCATCGAAGACTTGGATCGACGTGAAGCCAACCCCAGGTGCATTTGTGGTCAACTTGGGGAACATGATGATGCGCTGGTCAAACGACGTTTATGCTTCGAACCTGCATCGAGTGATCAATAAAAGTGGAAAGGAACGATACAGCATACCGTTCTTTTATTCTGGCAACCCCGACCATATCATTGATTGTTTACCTGGATGCGAGGATGCCTCTGGGAAATGCAAATATCCGCCGATCAGGGGCGAAGACTGGATATTCGGACGACACAGCAATACCTTTAGGGAAGCCAAAGGACTGGAGGAGCTATCGGGTTTGGCCAAAATCGCTTGATGATGAAAATGAAGACCGGCATTTTGCACGAGGCTAGCCTTTAGGTAGTCAATGTTGTTCAATACGAAATCAAGAAATGTCTGATGAGCCTCGCTAGCCTTGCCCGTTGATTCTTCGGGCGGTCGACAGGCGTCTGGACGATTGAAGAGCTGGGACTGCTACATGGATGCAAGAAACTGTCCCCTGTGTGCATAGTCCGTAAATGATTGCTCCAAGGTGAAAAGGGGCCTGGACGAGGCTACCTAGCCTCGCACCCTCGCTAGGTACCTACCTGGTAGTTACTGTGGTGTTCAGCCTTGCGTCGCTCATGGCCGACCCCGACTTGACTTGCGTCATTCTCCGACTGCGGGACATGTCACCTTCACAATCTCAATTTCTTGAACCATTCCCTCCTTCAATTGCTACTCTACTCCCTTGCTTCCAGTTCTCCCAACGAAACCGAAAAGCTTTTGGTTACAATGGTCGCCGAAATAATTACCACCATCTCTCCTACGACCAACAAACCAATTCTGACTCGCCATGGCCTCCCACCCGAAGAGATCTTGCGCCTCGGCACGACCGCCCAGAAAGCATACAAATCCTACAACCAATCCCACCCGACCCTCGAAAGCAGACAAAAAGTCGTAACAAAAGCCCTTGGAATCCTCTCTGAAAGACAAGATGCCCTCGCCGCCGAACTCACCGAACAAATGGGCCGGCCCATATCCTACACCGTCAAAGAAATAACCACCGCACTCAAGCGTGCTGAATACATGAACCGCATCGCTCCCGAGGTCCTGGGGCGCGATACACCCGGCGACCCTGAAAAGGGATTTAATCGATACATCCACAAAGAGCCCGTCGGCGTCGTATTGGTCATCTTCGCATGGAACTACCCCTACCTGATTCTAGTGAACAGTCTGATACCCGCTCTCCTCGCGGGCAACGCAGTCATCCTCAAACCCAGCCCTCAAACGCCCACGATCGTCGAGCATATCCTTGATATCTTCACGACAGCAGGCCTTCCGGGACATGTCATCCAGTACCTACACTGCGGGAGTCCGACGGATTTGCGACCGCTGATCCTCAGCCCGGATGTGAACCACATCTGTTTCACGGGCAGCGTGGCCGCGGGTATTGCCATACAACAGATCGCCGCGAGTCGGGTGTCGTGCTCTGTCGGGCTGGAACTTGGTGGGAAGGACCCCGCGTATGTTCGTCCGGACGTCGACCCGGCGTGGGTGGCGGAAGAGATTGTCGACGGCGCCATTTTCAACTCGGGACAGTCGTGCTGCGCGATCGAGCGCGTGTACGTGCACGAGAACATTTACGAGGACTTTGTCGCCGAGGTGAAAAAGGTCTTGTCAAATTACAGGCTAGGCGACCCGATGGACAAGTCGACACACGTGGGACCAGTGGTCAGCGTGCGCGCAAAGGAGGCGATTCTCAAACAAGTGTCTGACGCGTTGGCTGCGGGTGCCAAGGACGAGACACCACAGAACAAGACGTTTGCTAGTCCGCCGACAGAGGGCAACTTCGTGGCGCCAGTGCTACTGACGGGCGTGAGTCACGCAATGTCCGTGATGAAGGATGAGACGTTTGGGCCGGTCATCCCGGTGCAGAAAGTCAGTGGAGACGAGGAGGCCGTTAGGCTGATGAATGATAGCCAATTCGGGTTGACGGCGAGCATCTGGACAAAGGACGTGAAACGGGGAGAGGAATTGACGAGGCAAGTCGAGGCAGGGACGGTGTTTGTGAATCGTGCGGATTTCCCGAGCCCAGATCTCGCGTGGACGGGGTGGAAGGATAGCGGGAAGGGCGTGACGTTGAGCCGGTTTGGCTTCGATCAGTTTGTCAAGTTGAAGAGTGTCCATTTGAAGGACTATCCGAAATGAGACAGACAGTACCTCAGGTACCTCGGTAAGGTAGGCATGATGCATTGGAGATTTTAAGAGGCGTGTGATGGGGATGGGATGGAATGACGGTGTACGGTACGGAGTACTTTACACTCCAGTACCTTTACCTGAAGTAGTGCGGGCGGATCTATTGTCTGCTCATTGTACCTAGGTAGGTAACTTACACAGCGAGATGGGGTTGGAAACCGACAATGCGGCTGTACGGGATCGAAGTCGATTCCGGAACAGGACTTGAACCAGCGAGAGAAAATTTGGGCATGAGTCGAACCGACGAACAGTATCGGTACCGAATCCAGCCTGGCATAGATTAGGGTACCTCAGGTAGGTACCCAGGTAGACAAAAAGCCACTCTGAAGATGCGTGGCTCCAAAAAATGGAATGAAATTGAGTATGAAATACTCCGTACTTCGTTCATATCCATTTCCATATACACAACGTGCTGAAGCCGGCCATCCCATCAAAAAGAAAAGCAGGACCAGGGCCGCAAGCAACCAAAATCGACCGGCTCGCCGGCTAACGGTTCTCCTCCTGTATCTCTCATGATCTGACACAAAATCACTCGGCAGCGACACCGACACCGATGCTATGTTATGGTGCCATGTCCATTTTCATTCGTCATCATCAATATCAACATCAATCGCGTCCGGGTTTGCGGCGACCTGCTTCGCCTCCCCATTTGCAAGTCCTTCGGCAGCCTCTTTGGAGGCTCTATTCCCTCCTTCCGGGCCCGTACTCGCCGCGACGAAACCCACCGGCGCACGAGCCTGCCGTTCCAGTGCGGCCATGGCATCCTGATCCTTTCCGTTGCCCTCGCCCTCGCCCTCGCCATCGGCCTCCGACACGGCAGCAGCAGTAGCCTGCCCTCGCTTGACGGCCTGGCTCGCAATGAACTGCACATCGGTATTAAACTGCGCCGCGACGCTCCTCTTGATCCTAAGCATCTCCTTGAATGTGTCCTCATTCCCATGCGCGACCTCGAATTTCTCCCACGTGTCCCAGAAGCCCTTGTCCACCCTGGGATCGGCGAACTGGCTCGCATGCCCGTAAATCGCACGTGCGCGATCGATCTCGCCCAGCCGCCGCTCCATCTCCGCGAACTTGAGACACATGACCTTGGCCTCCTTGTCCGGCAACGAGGCAATCGCACGCTCATAAATCGGCCGCGTCGAAGTCAATCCGAAATTGGTCGCAGACTTCGTAATGTAGAAGTCGAACATGGTCAATCTGTCCTCGTCCGCCACGGCGCGCGTGGCTCGCTCGTACACTCGCATCGCACTGCGGGCCAATCCCCGCTCCTCCTCGAGATTACCGTACATAAGGTATATCGCCTTTGCAAACTGAGGCGGACAATTCTCGACGGCCTGCTCGAATAAATCCCGTAGTCTTTCGATTGAGATCTTCCGCTGAACCGCTTTGGTGAGGTACATGTTCCATAGCTCGAATGCGACGGGATAAGTAAACACATCCAGTCCGCGCTCGTACACTTTGAAGGATTCCTCAAAGTATCCATTCTCCTCAAGCAGGTTCGCATAGTTGACCACGGTCTGCGGCGTGGCTATGCGCAGCTCAAAGATTCGATCGTACACGGCGCGCGTCTCGTCCATAGATCCAACACTCTCGACGAGGTCAACATAGAAACTCCATACTTTCCAGGACTTGTGCACGCGCTGCTGTGGGCTGAGGGTTTCGTCGAAGTAATCGACTGTGCTGCGCTTGGGTGCTTTCGTGGCCGTGGCCATCACCTTGAGCGCACCGTCGAAGTTCTCGTTCCGCAGCTCCATCTCGGCCCAGCCAACCCATGTATCAGACAGCTCGGCAACGGATTTATATGGGACTTTGACGGCTTTGTCCAGGATCATGCGCGCGGTATCAATGTCGTTACGTTCTTCGTAAAATTTGGCGTAATTGAGCCAGAGCTCGTGGAATTTGCCGATGGCTTTCTTCGGGTGGATTGCAGCGATGGCGTCGGTGTACGTCTGCACAATTTCGGCCTCGTTGTCGTTCCACAGAGCGACGCGCTTCTCCCATTCGATTACGTTGTTTGGGTTTTGGCGCAGTAGCACGTCGTTGACCAGGAACGGCCGCCTGTCCATCAGGTGTTCGAAACGCATCATGCGCAAGTCCAGATCGAAATCTTTGTCCGCATCGGCTATGCCTTTCTCAGCACGGGCTGACGCGGCGTCCATGAGACTTTGCAGGATGGACTCTTCGAATTCCACGTATGCGTCGAAGATCATGGTAAAGTCGCGCACGGTCATGACGGTGGTGATACCCTCTTCGAAGACGTCGCGAGCTGTTTCGAAGTCGCCGCGAGTGATCCAGTAGGTCGCCAATCCTGCCCAGAGTTTGCCCCGTTGGTCGGCAAATCGTTCAATGCCACTACGGATAATCGTGTCGGGGTCGAAGCCAGAGACCGAGCTGTCTCCAAGGTCTCGGGCTTTGTTGACCATAAGCTCGACCATTTCGCTCCAGAGCTGGAAATCGCTCTTGATATGTTTTGAGCGGAACTTCGGGTTGTCTAGAATCTGAATGTATCGTTTGACAGCCTCAAGGTAGTGTCCGGTCTCGATCAGTAACTCGATGTAGTCCTCCATGTCTTCCGGATGGATCTGGACGTAGCGAGCCCATATCCTGACTGCCGTCTCGCCTCCTGCGGAGTTTGCAAATGATTTATACAGTTTCCATATCCTGTTGTGCTGCGTGACTGGCAAAGCACGAAGAGCTCGGTCGAACGTCCGTCGGGTTTTTGTGACGTATGGTTGTCGTAGCAGGAATGTAAGATACATCTCCCAAATAACGGGCATTTTGTTCAGTAAGATCAGTGCTCTTTCAAACAGAGCGTTGACCTTGTTGAATTCGGTCTTGTACTTGACTGGATTTCTTTTCTTCAAGTGCTTTACTCGGAAGTCCAGGTACATTTTCCATAGCTTGTATGACCTTGGCAGTTGCATGCATGCTCTCTCTTGTACAAATGCTTGCTCGTGGATTGTGCCGTTGCGCATTTTGAAGTCGACGTAAATCAGCCAGGGTCGTACGCTGCCCGGGTTGCGGAGAATATCTTGCTCGTAGGCGGCATCTTCGCTCGATATCAGGTAGAGGTCGGGTTTGCCGACCTTTGAGGTCGCCATGGCGATGTCTGGCCCAGACTGCGAGTTGCGTACAATCCTAGGCATCGCAGTTGTCCCTACCTTCAAACCGTTGCTGGCGTTTCGAAAAATGCGGCGCGCGGAAAGGAAGCCCCAGTTCGAAAAGGAAGGTCTAGCGAACGAATCGGATCAAGGTTTTAGCGGCTGCGTCGTGAATCAGACTGGCAACGGGAATGTCGTCAAGTTCAGCCTTGCATGTGCCTCGATAAGCGAGCTTGAAGTGAGCTTCACATATTCGCTCCATTTCAGTATTCAAGCGGGCCCGTAGGTGATCAACGTGGAAATGTCGCAATCAGCAGGCGTACGCCAACCTCATAACAGCACAATGGCAAGCACTAACATCTGCGACAGCGAGAGGCCGTCTTTCCAACTCGGCAGGCCCTGGGCCAAATGAACAGCAAATTGAAGGGTGCCCAAACTGGCCACAGCTTGTTGAAACGAAAGAGTGAAGCCCTCACGAAGTATGTTCTCTAGGCTCCTGCTCTGCTCAAACGCTAACGGGGAGACAGGCGATTTCGAGGTTCGCATACCTTGCTCTTATGACGATCTGCATGCTGACCATGCACAGAAATCTTGAAACGAATTGACGAAGCGAAGCGGAAAATGGGTCGAGTCATGCAGATTGCCGCCTTCTCTCTGGCTGAAGTAACATATGCTGTCGGAGGTGACATTGGCTACCAGATCCAAGAATCCGTCAAGACTGCACGATTCAGAATTAAGACGAAACAAGAGAATGTCTCGGGTGTCTTCCTCCCACAATTTGAAGGATACACGAAAGATGAGATCAACGACTTTGGTTTGACTGGTCTAGGAAAAGGAGGGCAACAAGTACAAAGATGTCGAGAAACATATACCAGAGCTGTCGAGACATTGGTCGAGCTTGCCAGCTTGCAGACCGCTTTCATGATCCTAGATGAGGTCATCAAAGTCGTGAACCGGAGAGTCAATGCTATCGAGCATGTCATCATCCCAAGAACAGAAAACACCATCAAATGTGAGTCGTCCTGGACGTCTGGTCGTATTCACGGGCTGACCGTCTTCTAGACATCAACTCCGAGCTCGATGAACTTGACAGGGAGGAGTTTTACCGACTGAAGAAAGTGTCGGGCAAGAAACAAAGAGACCAGGCTGCTGCAGATGCAGAGATCAGAAAGCAAAGAGAAAGAGAGGCGGCCAGAGGCGACGCCGACGAGGAACAGGACAACGAAGGGGCGGCGCAAGATGTGCTGGGCGAACACGAGGACGACGATGTCATCTTTTAAGCTCCAGCACGACGTTCCGTGCTCATATTATACAGACCGTTTTCCAGCAACGCCATTGCGATGTACTCCTACCAAGCCGCTATCAATGCATGGGTATCAAGCCTGAAGTCCGTTTCCCCGTTTTAGCGTGCCCGTCGAAATGAAAATACCACGACCATACCGTTTCTCCTTTGATTCTTCGCTCATGCTCGTTGATACGTGACCCTGATTCCTTTGCCTTCATCACCAAGCTGCATTCCCGCTGTCGCCTCCTTCGCACTGATCGCACCCGCCTCGGCCTCGTATTCGACAAACGCAATGCCTTTTCTGCCAGGCACCATTCTGACCTCCTTAAACCCTTCAAACCGACTGAATATCCGCGATAGCCCATCCGCGTCGTAACTATCCGGCAGATCCCTGATGAACAATATCTTGTTCGGAGGCAGGTACTCGTCCGGAACGATGGCCGCTGCATTCGCCCCTGACGATTTGAGTCCTGCGCCCTTCACCGCCTTCGCTGGCCGGGCGGACAAGCCTGTCGCTTCAGCCGCACCAGTCATAGGCGCCGGCCTCTTGAGTTTTTGCTGTGTAGCTTCGAGTGCTTGTTTTCTCTCCTTCTCAGCTAGACGTGCTCTTTTCCATTTTTCTAGGCCTGGCTCGCCTTCCTGCTTTAGCACCGTGGCGTCGGAGCGTGTGCGTGCGAAGTCGAGTTGCATGGGCTTGTCGAAAAGTTCAAATCCGTTGATTTCTTCTATCGCTTTGGCCGCATCGTCAGGGTTTTCGAACACGACGAACGCTTGTCCTTTGGCTTTCAGGTTCTTTTTGGCCACGAGGTCGATGATGTTGCCATATTCGGAGAAGATTTCCGTCAGGGCTTCTTTGAGCTGGTCGACCTTGATTCGCTCTTCGAGGTTCTTCACGTAGACGCTGTAGCCTGTGTCATTAATGATGTCTTATAGTGGGGGTGGACCTGAGGATGCTTGACGGGTAGCGTACGTTGAGCTGGGCGCATTCTGCATCGCGGTAGCCATGGCTGCCTTGGAGTTCAGGAGGTTGGACAAGGAGTGCTACCGGGTATCACAGGCCATTCAGATTCGTCCTTCCGAGGTTTATGTTTGTCGGAAAGTATGGTACGTGGACGGTCTACAATTGCAATGTTCTTCATAGCGAAAATCGGGCGCTGCCCCGGATTCCTTGGCGGCTGCAAGGTGGCGGCGGTAAATGTCGCGCTCACCCAGACGGCGCCGCTTTTAAAGCCACCTGCTCTCAACTCTCCGTTTTCTCTTCCTCTTACCCTTCGACTCACGCTTCTACATTTGTGCAACCTTCAAGTGCTCCGGAGCCCTGAATCCATACTTCAACACACATTCCATTAAGAAGGTCTCTGGTCTCTACAGGTGGCGTGAGCTCTTATTTATTGGCGTACCGGTCACGATACCGGGCGCAAATATGTCTTGAGTTAAAACGAATGAATACGGACTGCCGTGTCAGTGGACATTGTACCTCGAGGAAGATATAGCTGGAGCAAGGGCAATCAAAGACACCGGGAGGGGGGAATCGTCTGGGGAGGGGCTCCCAGGCCGAAGGCTTTGACTTTGGCCCTTCAGAACAGCCCAGACTTCCACGCCCGGTGCTCAATGGTTCTAGTTGTGAGGCAAGCCTTGTCTCTTGCTAATCTGTCTCTGTACTTACTGACTTCGACATTGAAGGTGAGGCCGTAAGTGTAGGAGAACCTACCAAGGTACCTTGGGATCGTCGATGCCGAACGGTAAGGTTCAAGGCAGCGAGACTGAAGCTTGCCCACTCCGGGGCCGACAGGGAAGCGTTCACGGGCCGGAGTGGCTTTTCAAACAGGAATGAAGCCGTCCGCGGCACGCTGAAGTCTCGGAAACACTTGTCAGATGTCTCGATATGTGATTTTCCAGAGCGCCAAGTAGCAGGTGATGGTGTCACATGCCCCATGGGGGACAACCCCACCCTCAGGGCCGAAATACAATGAACGGAAGTGCATATATGGGTGTATATCAAAAATCTTCCCGCTCTTCGGGATTCGGGCCCACCCATCTCTTCAGAATCCGAACGTCGAGGGCCCGCTTTCAAGGCTTGCAATCTTGGGGGCTTTCATCTGCCATCTTTGGCCTCGATAGATCCTGTGGACTGGATGTTGATGCCCGGGATATATAGAGCTGCCGCTCGCGGTTCGATAACCGATTGGCTTCTTCCTGATGCTCCCATTGTCGTTCAGACGTGGGCGACGAGTGCGATAATGATCCCGGCTCAGACTGGCTGCATTTCAGAGTACCTTGTCTATTGTTTTCGCTCTGACGGTGCCACTTCGACCAAGAACTGCCGGACCGGCTCTGCTGCGGCAAACGCCGCACGTTGGACTATAGTTTGGGGACTTGGCTCTTCCTCCTGGGGTTGTCATTGCGATGCAGGATTCGATGCAAGCAAAATATTACAGACAGTCAGCCGTTCATGGTTATATGTTGCAATACCCAACCTGCTGCCACCACCACTTCCCTGACTTGACCTCTCACGACCGCAATGACCGCGCTTGAATTGGCCAGAGATAGGTCCTGGCAAGTGGCCCTGCCTCCCAGCCTGGTACTTGGGGGCCTTCTGTCCGCTATCATCATCTATTATGTATTATTTGAGTTGTTCTCAGGCTTGAGATCTTTCCCAGGGCCATTGCTAGCTCGTTTCTCCAATATTTACATCGCTCGGGAAGTTTCGCGTGGCCGTTGTCATACTCTCTTCAATGACCCTCATACCAAATATGGTCCTATTGTCCGCACGGCTCCCAATAAGCTATCAATTGGGGATCCGACCGCTGTTCCCATCATCTACGGCACCACCAGTAAATTTCTCAAGGTTTGTCTTTCGTTTTTTCGGCTTTCTGGTGCTTTGGGATTAACGGAACTAGGCCGATTTCTATGATTGCTTTCGAAGAAATTTTGAAGGGAAATTAATGGATAATATGTTCACAACCAAAGATCCGCAGTAACACAAGGCAATGAAAACATCGGTGTCCTCGGTGTATTCGCTTTCATCTCTTCAAAGGATGGAAAAGCTTGTTGACGAAAACACGCATGTCTTCGTCAACAAGATGGAGTCTAAGGCCGGCGAGCCGGTCAATCTGGGTGATTGGGTTCAGTGGTATGCCTTTGACGTTATTGGTACCATCACGTTTCTCAAGCCCTTCGGTTGCATGCAGGTTGAGGGCGATATGAACAACATGATTAGAAACACCGACACTTCATTCCGATATGTCTCTGTTGTGGGCCAGATGCCAAAGCTTCACCGCTGGCTGCTGGGATCCCCGACTGGCGTGAAGCTGCTGTCTCGAATTCCATTCTTCGCGAAAGCGAACCACTGGCCGTACATTGGCGTGGTAGGTCTCCAGCCCTAACAACTAAGAGAGACTAGTTCGATTAATCTCTTATATGCAGGTGGCAGCGAGAGCAATACACGAGTACGACTCACGGAGCGAGGAGGAGAAAGGTCGATGTGCCAATCTTCTGGCGGGTTTCCGGCAAGCGCAGGCAAAGCATCCAGAGCGCCTTACAGATAGAGACTTGATGGGCTTCCTCTTCGCAAACATGTAAGGAAATGTTCTCGGCGGCCGAGTACATGAGTGAGCTGACGTCAGGCGTAGAGCTGCAGGTAGTGACACTACTGCTGTCACACTGCGTTCTCTCTTTTATCACCTCGTGCGTACGCCGGGCTGCTATTCAAAACTCACGGACGAGATCCGGGCGGCTGAAAATGCCGGGGCGCTGTCGTCCCCCGTCACCTATCAGGAAGGGCTGAATCTTAAATATCTGTGAGTTTCTACCACTACTCGCGGACCTCGTACTTAAGCTGATATTCGAAAAGCCAGGCAGTGATCAAAGAGACCTTGAGAATCCACCCCGGAACACCTCTGCCTCTGGAGCGTGTGGTGCCGCCGGAAGGCGCCAACCTCTGTGGCACCTTTGTTCCAGGAGGCACAACGGTCGGAGTAAGCGCTTGGGTCGTACAACGGGACAAGCGAGTCTATGGGGCAGACGCCAACAAGTTTCGACCTGAAAGGTGGCTGGAACCTGATGCAGATCAGCTCAGGCTAATGGAGCGGACCTTCCTCAGGGTGAGTCTGATACTCTAATACTCTAATACGAGTGTTCTTGTGATTTTTTGACATGTTATGCTAATTATATCGCTCGGTCAACAGTTCGGCGGAGGGGCCCGCTCTTGCATTGGCAAAAACATCTCGATCCTCGAGGTCACAAAGTTAGTACCCCAGGTCCTGCGTAAATTCAAACTGGAGTGGGCGTCACCAGAGAAGGATTGGGTGGTCGAAAGCTATTTCGTTGCCAAACAGAAAGGCGTGGTTATGCGTTTGATTCCACACAGTGTCAAAAGCTGATACAACGTGCTTGAAAGACAATTAATGGAATGTTGCTGTGACACGGAAGACGCCCTGAGCAGAACCGGGAGAGATTATTTTGTTCTAGTTGTAGAGCGAAACCGTGTTGCTTTTGGCCACGCCAGCAGCAGCGACCACTCAACATGACCTTGATATAGCCATGAGAGAACATTAAAGCTTTTGACAGCAAAAAGGGAAAACTGTTTTCCAATTGTAAGAGCAGAGTATGCCGACACATAGTAGTCGAGCTTGTTGATCATGCGAAAAAATCAGAGTCTGAAGCTGAATGGGACTTGGACCCATCCCTGGGAATCTTTGGCTTCGCTGTTCCCTCCTCTGCGCAAGGGGCAGGGACGATTGGGTGATCTGGTCAAGCTTGTTTTCTACCGAGTGCTCCGCCTTCGTCAACGTGATCGTTCATAAGGGGTTTGTACTAGTATCAAAGGCCCGCTGCGTCCAGTTTTCTCTATTTTGCCTGACCCTAATTACAAGGTGTAGACCAACTCGGGGTTTTCTTTGTCCGTGAGATCCAAAAACCTGACATCTTGGGATCAGCGTCTTGCTTCGGATAAAACTCACGAGGGCAGACTTACTCTTGGTTCTCGAGCCTGGCGTAACCCGGTTGTCCACGAAGAGCCGCCTTGTTCCGATTTTGCCGGCTGTAGTACCAGTATATCAAAGCCATGTCGAGGAAGCAAGCCGACCTATTGCCGAAAGGGAACGTTGAGCATCATTTCACAAGAGACAGGAGTGAGACAATGAATATCGTCAATGGTAGCAGAGCAAACACAGCCTTACCAGCAACATATTATGGTTATTTCGGCAGGAACATAGTGTGGGGCATCCTGGAGTCGAAAGGTTTGTGGCCCTGTTGAAAGGGTCAGTAAGAGATTGCTTCCACTGGACTGGATCACATACCAATTATGAGCCCTGCACAGTATGCAATAAGATATATCGCTGCAACTGTCGTCTTCTTGGTCTGGCCAGCAACATTGGTTGAGATGAGTGATAGTAGCGCCGTGAAGGGCGGCGAGCAAGCATACATCAAGTAGTAACCTGCAAGTCTCCCACCCTTGTTCGAGAGGGGCAAGGCGAGGATGAGTACGATGCCAACGATTGCCACAACGAGAGCCAAAAGAATTGAACAGGAGTCGATTACTATATCGGTCGCCAAGGTAGCCACAACCAACCAAGGCTATAACGGCCACAGCACCAGCTGGGATGCTCAGTAGGAGAGACTGTTCGGCAGTGAAGCCAAAACCCACAATCTGATAATCAAGTCAGCATTTGTATTTGGCCCAAATGTTTCTTCCTAAAGTGTCTGTCCTGTTGGCCCGAGCAGATCACATGGATATGCTGGTGCAAATTCTTGAACAAGTGCACAGAGAGAACTCACCAGCTCGCTGAAAAAATTGGTCACGCCGCCGATAGGTATACCAGCAGCCAGTGCAAAGAAAGCGAAAGTTCAAGTCATGGGATCGAGCATTGCCTCCTTGAACTGGTAGAACTTGAAGTGTTTGTTGCCAATACCTTGCTCGTTGATTCGAACTCGCGCGACCGCGAGCCGTTTGTCGTCGTCACCAAACCAGCGGGCGTTGAGCTGAGAATCGGGCATCACGAACCAAAAGACGACACCTATCACGATAGTGAATAGTCCGGTGCTCACGAAGAGTATCTTCCACGGAGCTATTGTAGTTCCATGTGCTTTTGTGCCTTCGGCGATGCCGTACGCCAGAAGGCTACCAACGATGATTCCGATACCATTGAAGCTGAACCATATGCCTGTTCTGAAGCCCTGCTCCTTTCTGGTATACCACTGTAGCCGATTAGTCAGGTGGTGGCGAGTAAATCTTGTCGCGGTCATGAGTACCTGGGATGTGAATAACGCGAATCCAGGGGTCACTCCAGCCTCGAATACACCCAGAAAGAATCTCAGGGCCAGGGCTCGCTTGAAGTTGGAAACGACTGCGAAACAACAAAGTACCTGATCCAAAGGTCAGACTACACCCCGACGAGAAGTCATCAGTGGCACTTACCACGCCCCACACTACGATACAGAAAGCGGAATACTTGGCGAGAGGCAGCCTCTGTAGCAAGCGATTCGTGGGGTATTCCCAGGCAAGGTAGCCTGTTCTCAAAGTCAGCGTAGCTGTAAGGATCTGAAAATTGTTATAGAGATACTGTACCGAAGTAGAACATGGAGCTCCTATAGGTATCATCTCAGTCAGTCTCGCACCTCTACTTCTAAAGGTAGACTTTTGCCTTCACTTACAGCCACTCATAGTTGCCGCCTTTCAATCTGATGTCTTCTTTCATTCCCATGACGCTTGCGAAAGACAAGGTGGACTTGTCAAGGAAGTTCAGCGCGTAGACGAGACAGAGTAACGGCATTAGTCGCATGTCGATCCTCTGGAGGAGTCTTTTGTTCGTTGCATCATCGATCTCGACATTTCCAAGAGCGGAAACGGCAACCATGGCTTCATCCGCATCGAGAGGATGCTTCCATTTGGTCTCTGGGAGAGCGTCAACCTCTCTGCCAACTTCTGCCTCATGGGCAGCGTCGTGAGATGGCTTTTCGTGGGAGCCTTGAGCCATGATGCGTTCGATGGTTTTCTCAAGGGTGTCGAGTGCTTCCTCCTATGCAGCAATTGGCTACCCCGGACAGTCTCAATCTTAAATGGACAACCCAAACACTGTCCGGGGTTAGAATGCGGAGTAAAGTCGTGCCGCTCAAGGCCCGGCAAGAGGGCTTTCGAACTCGCACTGCCGTTCGCGGCCCAAAAAGAGAGCTTTCAAGCTCGTACTGCCGTTCGCGGCCCGGCAAGTTGGCCAGATCTTTGTACTACAACCATTATCATTGGTTCCTTTTAGTAACAAGACTCACCTCGTCGAAGTCGTCGGGTTCCTATCTCAGAGACTCGGACTTGAGTTTCTAAATAAATGTCATCTCCCAGACGTCAGAGGATTATTCTCATCACTGGGGCCAGTCAGGGTCTTGGCCTGGCTCTCGCCACGAAGCTGGCATCGTTTGAACACACACATGTACTCCTCAGTGCGCTTTCTCTGGCAAGCGGTGAAGAAGCTGCCAGGTCTATTCAGCCTGTCGAAACATCGGCAATCACCCCTCTGGGGCTTGACATCAACAATGACAACTCCATCAGAGCAGCCGTGAGTGATATATCGAACAGATTTGGACGCCTCGACGTGCTGGTCTATAACGCTGGAATATTCCTCGATCGCCCATCCAAGCCGGGAGAAAACGTGTTCCTCAATGATAGCGGCGAAGTCAATTTCCGCGACATATTGCGCCAGACGTTTGAAACCAATGTCATCTCACCTTTACAATTGACCGAGTCGCTACTACCAGTTCTGTTGAATTCTGGAGATCCACGGGTCTTCTTTATCACTTCTGGCCTAGGTTCCCTCGCCCTCACACTCGATGAGAATGATCGTTACTTCGGCTTCTATGCCCCGGCTTATAAGTGCTCTAAAGCTGCCCTCAACATGGTCATGGCTATAGAGAGCGTGAAACTCCGGAGTTGTGGGGTCAAGGTGAACGCGACGTGTCCTGGTGCCATAAGTACGGCAATGAATGGGTTTCGTGAAGGCCTTGGAGCTGTTGAGGAAGGAATCATCAACACAGTGAGATAGATCATGGAAAAAGACACCTCGACGGGAACATTCACAGCGTGGGACAAGGACCACGTGGCTACGCGGCCTTGGTAGGGTGATTGAGTGTTATGTACTGAGACTCTATCGTCAGATGAGATATAGGCAGCACTTGGTGACCTTCGCTTAGTGAGTACAGCTTTATGGGCGGCCTGGAATCCCGTAAGGCTGCGTAGAATCCTCGCTGTTGAATTAGCCGGCGCGGTAGGACGCCTCATGATTCTCGGGCGTCAGTGCGCTCGTCTGAGCTGCTACAAGGCCCTGGTCAGTGGTATCTCCATTTTATTATACGTTTGACCGCTTCCTGTGAGTGTGCAAACCGGTATCGATATTGTTGTTAGTTGACTTCCTCTACAGTCACCGTGAATATGGTTTTCGGTGTTCGAGAGTATTGTGTCACATCATGAAGATTGCTGTATGATGAAGTTGATTGCAACGCCGTTGCGAGTGACATCAGCCCTTGAAGGTCTCGAGCTATCCAGTGGGATTGATCCTGTCCGATCTTAGTTTTGCCAGCCCCGAAACAAGACAAGCTGTGGCTCGAGCAGACTACTTCATTTGCCACGAATTCTGGCTTCAGCGTCCAGGCAAGCTTCTCGGATGGACCAAAATTGGTCCGTTAGTAGATGGGCCAGACGATGAGCCAGAGGGTAAGCCAAAGGGGACTGGATGGGTGTAGCATGCTTACTGGTCGCCTCGTCCGGTGCACAAGTGCACAATAACTATTGCTTACCACACTTACTAATATAGTACTTACTGTATCAACACCCTGCGGTCTAGCTAGGGACATATACTTAAACCAGAGGTTGGCGGGAAATCTTCCAGCTGGCATACCTAAGGACCAAATTTCGAACTTCACTTAAGATCAACACTTTCGGAAATTTCAAATCATCTCCATTGCGAGATCCACCGATACTAGTATAATCCCATCATGGCTCCATCTCTAGTGCCCGTATGTACGATGCGGGCATACCTCCACTCCGAACTTGCAGATGTTGGCCCAAAGTCGTCCGGTGCTACTCGATTCATCGCAAACGTCACCGACGGTTTCATCAAATTCAACGAGTCCGACATAGAAGCCCAAGTTCTCCCACCGGGTGGGGATTGGCCTCTCATAGACTACCAGGCCAACTGCATTTACATCGACGCTCGAGTTCGGGCCAAAACAGAACAGGGAGAGATATACCTCCAATATAAGGGAAATGTGACTCTTGATGAGCCGATGAAGAAGTTACTGGCAGGAGATCCCGATGCAAAATCCATGTCTTTTGGAGATACTAGTTGGTTTACCAAGGTGGATATGGAGACAACGGATTCGAGATTGAAATGGATGGAGACCGCCTTCATTGTTGGCCAAGGTCGTTGGAATGTTGATGAAAAAGGCATCTCAGCGGAGTATTTGGTGTCCCATTTGAAAAACTAGCAGAGCGCAGATCATCGAATCGAGCCGATAAATTGTGCATGACCGGTTTAATGAAGACCTTGTAGGCAGTGTTTGTAGGGCTCGACTCCTACCCCACCGAGTCCTGGCAGTCAACATTAGTCGCAGTCCCAGTCGTTGTTTTTTTGTAAGGAGCCGGGCCCTAACGAGTGGTCTCATCTTCTAATCTGCACATATACGTTGGCACATTTGTATATACGTTATTGGTTAGGCTTCGCTGGTGGCTTCGGAAGAGCATCCCAGCGGCTGCTTACGACGCCCTCACAAAGATCACTGGAACTTGGTCCGTATAAAAAAGTCCTGCGAACTTTGTGAACGCGAGGATGGCATTCCCTGGCTGTATGAGGTATCTCCGCTCACCAATACCAGGGTGAGCACAGTGTCATTCGCAGTATGGACAGAGAATGCGTTAGATGCATGAGTGCACAGACCACAATGCTTCATCGATGAGTTACACTTCTATTAGTCGCAAACATTGTTACCTTGCAGGAATCCTTCGCATATGATGAATCCTGTCGCCACTGGAGATTGTGGGGAGTGGTATGGTATGCCAAAAAGAGTCGAAGACGGAACTCGCTCAGAGTGTCTACCGTTCCCGGAACGACGACGACTCGCCGAGAAAATGTCATGTACTGATGCTCTATCGTTAGATGAGATGTGGGCCGCACTTGGTGACCTTCACTCCCTTTGCTGCCTGGACTCAGATGCCTTGTGCCTGCTAGGGTCACGCCCATGGTGTGCGGATGTGCTTGACAGCGAAGCGGCTAACTGGAGCGTACAGAAAGCCATCCTGTTCCCTTCTCACAAGTCATGCTTACATAGCTAAGATAGTATGCATGCAAACAGGCGCGATATTTCAGGCCTATTTGGTTTGGATGGATGTGATTATTCTCTTTTTCGTGATGTCAAATGGACAGTCTAGGTGCTGGGCTTCTGCGCGTTGGCATCAATAACCCCCCTGGTAGCCTTCTCAACCGGTCAATAACTTCCACCATAATGTGGTCTGTCCCATCTTGCCTCCTTCTTCCTCTCCTCAGGCTCACTCCGATCATCGAAATACTGCACTCTCTTCTCCTCAGTGAGAACACGTAGATCGAAATCTTCTCTATAATCAATCGTAGTCCCATTAACCGAAACATACGGTCTCGTATCATTCTCTCCATCCCACTTCGCGCGCCAAACTTCTCTCTTCCCTTCTTTGTTGTCACCTAGTACCTCTGTTAAATCTACAACATCGGTCTCGCCCGCGCCACTAAACGTAAAGCATCGGACTCCACATTTTGGACAGAAGTAGAATTTCCGTTTCTTGTCGTAGCATTGGTAGATACTCAGTTCATGATCTGGATCAAGTGGTGAAAGGAGCATGAAATCGTCTCGAGGATTGGCAGGATGAACGTGGAAGAAGTTCATTTTGTAACACGTGCTGCAATTGCAGCGGCAGACTTCTTGTTGGATTGGTTGTGGTGGATGAGACGACGAGAATGGATGTGGAAGGGTGAGGAAGACGATGTACTGCGTCAATCCGCAGTGGCAGGATCCGTGGCATGCTTGTCTTTTTGGCGCTGTCTCTGCCATTCTTGTGAAATGTGAGGTCTCGGAGTGAAGTCCTGATATGAAGCGACGAATTGGTCAATCATGGAATCCCAGAGCGCAGGGTGCTATAATTACTACCTACGAGGGATCTTTGCGCTTCAAAATCGAATGTGGACTAGCCAGCAGGTAGGCGTCGACAAGAGACAAAACAGAAATGCAGATAGTTTGATTCAATGTAGCATGTGTTGATTATTGATAAGAGGTATTGCTCTCCTTTGGTCCACTTCGGGTCTTTGCGGATGATCATTATTCGGCGTAACACTACGCTCGAGTATATTCAGGGTTTCTAGTAACCACCCCACCTTCACCTAATCAATGCGCTCCTACTCGTAGCTGTAATCGGCCAAACCGCTATGCATGTTCATTGTCTCGAAAATTTGCTTGGGCAGTCCCTCGACCGACGGACAGCCACATGTTTCCGCAGTGCATTGATGATGCTATGGATGTCTATGCCGTCCTGCTGGCACTGGGTGGTCGTTTGAGATATAGTCCCCATGAGGGTGACTCATGAGCTCCGTTGACTAGTGAGCAATGTGTTTTGGCACGCATATATTGCAGGCCAGTATGTGACGAACTCCGTGCATCATACATTACTTGCCTTCGCCTTCACTCCACCTGTGGAAGGCATATTGTCCGCTTTGGCTGAAGTCACTTGAGCCTGTGAAATCTTTAACCACGCACTCCAGAGGACGTCCTTATTTCTTTCCAGCTCACCAACAGTTCGACAACGGACTTGTGGTGGTTCGTGTAAGTCCAGTCGAGTGGTGTACAACCATATTTGTCCTTTACCTCTGAATTTGCTTGGCTAGTGGAGAGTAGCAGCTCTACAATAACGACATGTCCATGCATGGCAGCCCAGAATAGTGGTGTCCGGCCATAGATGTCCTCCGAGTCCACTTTGACATTCCCAGCAGACAGTAATAGCTTAACGACCTCGCTGTACCCCTCTCCAGCAGCTACAGATAGCGGTGTCCGTTCATACACATCCTTTAGATCGGCCTCGATCCGCGCCGCGGAGAGGAGCACCTGGACCATTCTGCCATCGCCCGCATGAGCGGCCCTGTATAACGGTGTGAAGCCGAAATTGTCCTCGGAATTGACGTCTGAACCGTGCAGTAGCAGCTGCTGGACCATTCTCTCATAGCCACATTTCACTGCCACGGTAAGTGGCGTCCAACCATTCTCATTCTTGGAGCTGAGATCGATTTGGTTGGTCTCTGAAAGCATATAACCAATATCCATATACCCGTCTTCGAGAGCTGAAAACAAATCCTCATCTGGAGCTTCGAATTCGCCTGTATTCAACAGCAATCTGACAATTGCTGAGAGGCCATCATGGACGGCGTAGCTGAGTGCAGTCTTGGGCCAAGATTTGTGTGTCTTTGAAATAGCAGAGGATGATTTGAAGATCGCTTCATCCACATTTGTAAAACCACTCAATGACGCAAGTTCAAGCGAGTTCAAGTCATCTGTGATACTATGTTCTCGGATTTTCCGCTGCCACAACTCAGCTATCTTGGCCCAAGATTGGAAAAGGTCAACTTTTGGCCACTGAAGCAGCACCAAAAGATCAGGTTGAGGAAGTCCCTTATGTTCGACTTTTTGTGCATGAGCTATCCAGTACATATAGGCATATTGAAAAAACTGAAGTCGCTCATCCGAGTAGGGGAAGTGTGGGTCTGGGCCAGGGTCAGTGGTTGGACAGCAGTGAGTCCGTCGACGGGGCCCGAGGGCAATGATAGCCACGGGGTATCCTTGAAAGGACCAGCAAAATTGGGAAGTCGCGGTCTTGTTCAAGCCAACCGAGCTTCTAGGCTCTGGTGACTTTCCACAGGCTACTACATCTTTCAATGTCAAGTATTGAAGGCAAGATCGTGATAGTTGGAGATGGGCATTTCCGACAACCATTGAAGAGCCGCCAAGCTGTTCCAGTCCGGCGTTGAGGAGGTAATCAAACACAGATTGGTGAATGAATCGCGCTCGTGGTACTTTACCGGTTTCCTGCACTTCGATTAATCCTCCTGAAAGCTTTTTGACTTCTTCCTTCATTTCTTCTAGTTCGTATCTTCCTGAGGAGTCCAGACACTCTTTGATGGAGGTGAAGACGGGGTTCATATCAAGGACCAAGGCAACGTGTAGTGCTCTCAGAGAGAGTGGTCGAGCAGCGAAACATACCCATTGCATGAGTTTCAGTGCTTTCGCTCGATCCTCATCCGGAAGAGTTTGAAAGATGTTTTGATAGAGATTGTGGAGATCGGTCGGTGTTTCTCGAATCCGCTTCAATATCACGTCCATGTTCTTCTTGTAGAGGCGAAGCTTGAGGACAATTTCCACAACCAGAGCAACCCACTGAAAGATTCCTTGAGCTCCACTTGTGATATTGGATATAACCAGTTGTGCATGGTTCTCATTTGGAATCGCGGACTTCATGCGGCTTTCCACATACTTTCTTATATCTCCATCATTTTCGTCTTCAAGGGTAATGACAATGTCGCTGCCCTGGTAAATGCGAATATTAGGGTAATGACGACACGAGAAGAGCATGCTTGGATTGTGCATGCTTGGATTGCAACTCGAAGCGAGATCCTCGAAACGTGATGCAATGTATATGGCGTTGTCCTCGCCGCATTCGTCAAGCGCATCGACAGATATCCGGATAGCCGGCGCTTTTGCTGAAGACATAACCGTATTCTTCAGAAATGTCTCAAGCTCTTTGACTTCCCAATTCCACTTCACCCCTGGCTCGCCGATGGTGCGCCATCTTTCCTTGAAGTTGTTGGTGAATTCATTGAGGAGATGAGGAACACGGCTTAAAATCTGATGCAAAAGCGATCGGACGAGTCCAAGTGGGCTCCTCTGGAGAGGCACTCCTGTTCCATCACAGAAGAAAGAAGCCAATACGGGATCTTTCTGCTCTTTGTTTTGGTCCCCAGTGGCATAATTGACGAGTGTTGATTTACCTGTGCCCGGTTTGCCTCTAATCCACAAAAGCCCTCTACGTTTGACGAGCCATGACTTATAGCTTCTATGCTGGAAAAGCCAATTGAACGTTCCCGGGGCCGCTTCTCGAATCCTATTTTTGCGGGTGAATATTTCTGGAAATGCCAAAGACTGTAGGCATTCTATAGAAGAAATCATTAGGATTGCCATGTGTGGGTCATTGGAAGTATGCCGACCACTTACTTTCTTGATCTTCAAGGCTTTCTTTTGCCCGGGCGAGAGCTATTGGCCCAGCTTTGTTGTAAGTGAAGGACCAGTGTTTGAGAAGGGCTTTCATGCAGCTGGCTGACACTGTTGCAGCGTAACCTTGCCACATTTTACTCTCATGGCTATCTGCATAGTCGCAGACGGACTTGATGATGATAGTAGGAATCTGATCCCATACTCCAGCTCCCTCCATCTCGAACCCGATGACACCATGTTCGTTCGCGACGCCATCTCTGTGAGCATCGGATTTCATGACCACGTCCCCGGATGCGAACCAGCCGAAGTGAATCAAAAAAGGGGCGCCATCTTGGTCTCGGAAGTCACGCCCTTGTGAGGAACTTCGACGGGCAATGCCATTGCAGCCAAGTTCAGTACAGCTAGAGTCTCGAGCCTCCCGACAGATGTGATCTGATGGGCCATTGCATTGGGCACAGATGTTGCAAACCACTGGATTCTGGTGCTTATGGCGATACTCTGGGGGATAGATCTTGTCTTCACCCGGGCTTGGGCGCTCCAAATCCGAATATTCCTTCGTGGCATGAAGGCCTTGTAGAAAGTCTAAAGTATCTCCCTCCAACCTTCGGTATCCTTGTTTTGTCCTTAAACAATGAGAAAAAGCACGTATTTCGGACTTTGGTCGACCCAGATTGTCGTCGAGACTCTCCTTTTTCTCCAGGCCACCGGGATATTGTCTTGCCAAATCCAATTGATTGATCCCTGTGCTGATAAGGACAGCGCCCAACGAAATGTCACCAATGTTGGTCCTGGTCGGTACTCCTCCACAAACACCAACAACCAGGCATAATCTCACATCGGGGAAGGAGGCTCTGAGGTGAACACCAGCCGTAGCAGCGGCGACTTTGCCCATGCCGGGCAAGTGTACGAGGACAACATTGTGTTTTCCAATCCAGCCTGTCGTATACGAATTGTCATCCTCATCAATTGTCCCGAAGTCATCCCACTGCCCATCGAAGAGAGCGGCGACTGCGCTGGATTCTATTGGAAGGGCACAGATCAAGGCGATCTCAAACTCACGTCGATGAATAGGTCTGTGCCGTTCGGACGTGGACCTCCTAGGCAACGGGGAGTTTGAAAGGGCGGAGAAATTTCGACATCTCTACGGTCACTCCGTACTGTATTGGACCTGGAGGCATGTACGAAGAAGGAGAATGGTTTCCTGTTGAGGTTTTGATGAGATTAATTTGAGGCTACGGTGCTGCAATTCAATGAGGCTTTGCGGAGTAGCGGCTTAAGGCAATAACTCGGACCGTGCCGCTTTAAACCCACCCTGCCACGTGCTCGCGACTCCCCTCTTCTACTAGGTACCTGTGCTCACTTTCCGATTCGCCCTTTATTTAACTCGCCCTCGCTTCGAAGGTCTTATTCAAACGTTTCAATAATTCTTGAGAAGTTGAACTTCGAGCCCCAAAGTCGCTCCTATACCATTTATTTCTTCTTGTATGTATGTCTCGGACATTCTGAACTCCCGCTACATGTCTTCGACTTGTCAGTCAGCACGACCTTGAAGCCATTAGTCTTGGCTTCCTGTAGGCACCTTCGATCTCTGGTCAGGGTGTCTTCTTCTGATGGACGGTAGTTGATCTGTCGCTCTACGGATTCGATGGCTTTTCCCACGCGGCATTAGTACTAAGCATGTTCTGTTGGCGGGTACGGTACTTGCCTTCGTCGATCTTTTGTTTGGACTGCGTTGGCTTTGACGAAGAGTTGCCCATGATGACTGCTCGAAGTTGCCTTTTCCTCCAAGGTAAGGTGTGGTTTAGCTGCTGCGGTTGTACGGAGTAGCGGCGGAAAAGATTGATTACCTAGCTAATCTAAGAAAAAAGAGTGGCCGCTATATATAGTCCCCATCAACTGGCGCGATTGGCCTTGCTGGGTTGAGAAATAGGGTGACGCCGCCTTTACTCACCGCGACTCGCGCGACCCGTGTTAGCGATCACCCTCCGAAGCTATTTCGTTAATTCACAGGAGCTAACCCAGGCCCGGAAGCTAGAGCCTCAACTCTCTCTTCACGACATCTTTGTTGGCTCACTTTTGATCAGAGAGGGCTAATAGAGCGATTAAGGGGAATGCCCATTGATGAACGCATTTGCAACTCGTTATGATGCTCATCTGAATTTCTGAACAACATGCCCCAGGCCATCTCTTACAACTGTGACGCTGAAGACCAGTTCGTAATCGAGTCGAGATCTATGGTCAAAGGGATGGTAAAACGTGGTTCAAAGACAGCTTCAACGACAGCTGCTCTACCTACTAGATGATTTCAACAACATCTGCTCTGTATTTCAAAGGACTTTAAATGTCAGCAGGGGGGCGGCCCCTGAAACATAACACTGGCCACGCCCAAACACTCTGCAGCAAAAATGCTCGCCGTGCTCTACAGCACATAGCGGAACTTCTTGTTTTGTTTATCGGTAAGATCGAGGAATTCAATGTTTTCGACCTCTTGGACAAGGCCGGCAGCTTCGGCTTGATCGCGCTTCTGGTTCTCCCACTTGTTGAAGTACCAGATGCCAAGCATCAGGACGAAAACGAACGCCCATAGTGCAAGGGTCGCAGCCTTGGCCGAGGTATAGTACGGCGGGTGGACAAGGATCTGAGGGCCGGCTAGGTACGAGACAGCCATGGTGATGAAGACAATGGCGTTGACGGTGTTTTTCTTGATCGTGCCTAACGAGTGACTGGAAACCATGGACAGGAACAGGAAGAAAGGCGTCACGCCATTGCTGGCGCCGATGAAGTACGCTGCCGACTGACCCCCTCGGCAGAACAGCAGGCTTTGTGCTGCCAAGCCGACCTGTAGCGCGATGACAAAGACGTTGACGAGCTGCGACAAAGCCGCCATGAGACTTCGGTTCTTGAAGCGATCGGCCATGGCCAGCAGTACCGCTGTCGGTAATAATTGATGTGGGGATTGAAGTGACAAAGGGAGGCTAATAATCAAGTCTGGTGCAGTCCAAACCCGGAGGCTCCATTGATCCATTCCCGCAGTTCATACTTCGTACCTCATCGAATACTCCGTGATATCTCTGCGCAACGCGGGATTCTTACACAGTCCCGGAACTCCCCTAACTTCGAGGTAGCACGCGAATATTAGCTTCCCTCACTGAAGGACTTGCTTCATTACTATTACCATTAGTAAATGTCAACGAAAATTCGATTGCTGTCCCCAGCAACAAAGTATTGAAACATTGTCGTGAACCATGCATTCAACCGCACTTTGAAGGCGGAGTTGAATTGTTCTTATGTCTTGACCATAACTAACGTAAGTATGGCTGTTGCTGGAGCTTATAGACCGGAACGTATAGGTCAAAAAATATCAATAGCAACAAAATATCATTAGCAACACCAGAAGGGCAAGCATTCTTACATCGATGCCTCGTACACGAAGAAGTGGAGCAGGCCTGTCTGGCCAACGACGAAGCCCAAGCCGAAATCCGTCGGCTTTAGCTCCCTGCCGGCGCCACGGTGGTGGTCGAACCGTGGGCGTACGCCACGAACGGCACGAATGACATGACCGAGAGGATCACAATGGTAGGGATAAAGTTGTCCATCTCGATGGAATTGACTCATGATGATTCTGCAGTGTTGGTTCTACCTCCGGTTACTGGAATGTCCCGGTGGCAATTACTACGCCTACCCGATGGCCGTATGCGCCGAGGTGTCTGAGAAGCTACAAATTAACAAGCTATATCGCTTGCCTGCTTCCCCCAGCGAGAAAATTCACCACGAATCGCATCCCTTTGACCGCCGCCGGATCCACCCTACGTCCATGTCTGAATACCATCCCGATTTGAGACCGCCTCCTCGAACCACCACTACGCCATACCAAGTGGTTCAGCCTGAAGGGGCTTCCTTCAAGATCCACGGACAGAGGATCGACTGGGAAAAATGGCGATTTCGAGTAGGCTTTAACTATCGTGAAGGCTTGACTCTTCACGACATCCGCTACGACGGGCGAAGTTCTCTTCTATCGCCTGTCCCTGGCGGAGATGTTTGTGCCTTATGGCGATCAGCGAGCTCCCTATCCACGTAAAGCGGCCTTTGACCTAGGTAATGACGGTGCGGGAATCAACGCCAACAACCTAAAGTTAGGATGTGACTGTCTCGGTGAACAAAACCCTCTTCAACGTAGTATACAGCCTTTCCTCTACCATTCTTGCTGACTACGAATTAGGCACTATCAATTATTTCGATGCCTGGCATAACACTGAATCTGGAGAGCCCCCTGAAAATGCCAAACGTCGTATGCTGTCACGAACAGGACGATGGAATTCTGTGGAAACATACCAACTTCCGGACCCAGAATGCGGGGGTGACGTGATCACGTATCCTCGTGTTGCAGACGATTATCACGGTCAGCAACTACGAATATATTCTTGCCTTCCACTTTGGTCAAGACGCCACGATCAGCTTCGAGGTTCAAGCCACAGGTATCCTGTCCACGGTCCCCTCCGCCATCAATGTCAAGGACAAATATCCCTTCGGCACGATAGTGGCGCCGGGAGTGCTCGCTCCGTACCACCAACATCTTTTCAGTCTCCGGATCGACCCTGCTATTGACGGCTACAACAATTCACTTGTGGTGGAAGAGTCGAAGCCTATGCCGGTCGACGATCCATCCATTCACAACCCCTTCGGCGTGGGATACATGACCGAAAGCCATATCGTTAACCGAGAGGGCGGGTTAGACCTCGATCACAACAAGGCGAGTCTTCAAATTCATCAACGAACGGAAAATCAACCCCATGACCGGCATCCCCGGTCGGCTTCAAGATCATCCCCGCCTATAGCCAGATGCTCCTCGCCCAGCCGGAATCATTCCATGCGAAGCACTCCGAGTTCGCCGAGCATGCAGTATGGGTGACGCGCTATGAAGACAACAACCATTTCCCCGCCGGCAAATACATCATGCAGTCCTCGGGAGGCGGCGGCCTCGCCTCGGCCATTAAGAAGCGCAGTAGCGGAGGCAAGACCCAGTCCGTGCGCAACACCGACATTGTCATCTGGCATAACTTCGGTTCCACGCATAACCCGCGCATCGAGGACTGGCCAGTCATGCCCAACGAGAAGATGATGGTCAGCTTGAAACCCGTCAATTTCTTTTCCGGCAACCCAGGCCTCGACGTGGCCATCTCGATCCAGAGCCAGAACAAGAGCGTCTTGTACGACGACGAGGAAAGTCCTGCCAACTGGACCCAAAGCTGCTGTGGCCCGAGGCTGTGAAATGTATTGGGCCCTCCGTCAATAGTGTCCACATGTATTGCCTGCCCTAAGCGGAAGTTTTGACCCTTACTAACCAGGGTTGTCCCGGGACTCACTTCTAAGACCTACGGCGCCATCCTTCGCCTGCTTATTGACTAGTTGTTGTAAAACAGAAACACGCGTCTAAGGGAGGCCCACGGCCATTTCCGTCTGTGATGCTGCCGGCACGTTCGGCCCTTGTTGCGGTCGGGATTCGCCGCTATTCTCGCGCTGTCTAACAGACTCCTCCGGTTAGCCCCTTATTCCAAGCTACTGTACTCCGTACGTGCCCACCCACCCAACCTATGTACATTAATTGATCCCTGAAATCCTCCAAGTAGGATGGCACCGCCCAGAGAGGCCAGAGTTTGTCTAGTCGTGGGCCATGTCACGACCAAGTAAACATCATGCAGGCACGATGTAAGTGCTTGTGCCGCCCTCAGCGATTTTCTGAGTGTTGGTATCCAGACATCGGGAGATTCAAAGCCTGGGTATAACCCTGATCACGGGAGAAATGGTCCTTCTCCGTCAATATCTCTACGTTGGGCTGATCCTGATGGTGTTACAGCAGACTGGGACTCAAGGCGGCTCCAATTTAGGTCTATGGGCGCGCTGGAGGCCAGTGGTCTATGCCTCCCAGCTAGATCATGTATGCCAACTACAATAGCCACTTTATGCCTACATTATAGTCTACGTTTTCTTTCTTCCTGTTGCCGGGAAATGGTGGAAGGTCACTCTAATCCTTCCACTTGAACGTGTGACCATAATGGTCGTCTCTCAAATGGCTCTGGCCTTTGCCGTATAGGTTTTCCCTGAAGGTGCCGCCCGGAACGGCGTAGTCGTCCCACATCAGACCTCTCTTCTGTAGTTCTGGCACCAGCAGGTCGACCACATCCTCATACGTGCCCGGGTTGTGCACGGCCGAAATGTTGAATCCGCCAATGTCAGCCGACTCGACCCATTCCTCCAGGTAGTCGGCGATCTGTTCCACGCTGCCCACTGGAGCCGGGTGCATGCCTCCCGTCGAGATCTTGAGGCCTAATTTACGGGGTGTCCAGCCACCACTCCCTGCGGATGCCGCCTGGAAATTGTCACTCACGCTACGGATCACACTGTTCGCCAGGTACGCCCTCCAGCTTGAAGACCTCGTCCAGAGGGAACTTGGACATATCGATGCCCGTGTGACCCGAGCACTGCGCTAGGCCCGCAACGTAGTCGGCGTGCTTGAGCGCCGTCTCGTATTTCGCCTGGGCTTCTTCGGGAGTGCGACCGACGTGCAGCGTGATGCCCACAAAGATCTTGATCGAGCGGGGATCCCGCCCTTCCTCGGCGGCGGAGGCCCGGATTGAGGCAACCTTTGGCTTCAATTGTGAAGGGGTGAAGGCACCCATGAACACTGCCTCGGCGTGCTTGGCCGCGAACGCCTGTCCCGCGCGAGACGTGCCAGCCTGGAGCAGGGACAGGGTCCGTTGAGGTGAGGGGTGCGTCTGGTGAGTTCCTGACATCTTGATAAATTGACCTAAAAATAAGAGAAAGAAACGATCAGACTCTATCCTATGACATCAGGAATAATGGGAAAGCCTTTACCGTCGTGTTCGATCTTGCGAACTTTGTCAGGGTTGTAAGCAATAATCTGCTCCTTGTCCCACACCGCAGCATCATCCGCCCACGAACTCTCCCAAAGTCTGGTGGACGAGCAGCCACGTGCCGCGCGTTCTAAGCCGCCAATTGTTGGCGTGCGGTGAAGAAAGCAAAATGACAGGAAAGGACGTACTTGTACACGACATCCATAAATTCGTCAGCCATCTCGTAACGCTTGTCGTCGGGCAACGACGTCAGTAAGACCCAGTGCGAAGGCAACCTCTTTGCTGTAGCTGGTGACCACGTTCCAACCGACACGGCCGTTGGTAAGGTGATCCAATGAGCTCCAAGTTCGGGCCAGCATGTACGGTTTCAAGTAACTCGTGCTACCCGTGATCCCGAAGCACACAGAGTTGGTGACCATGCCCAAGGCCGAAATGAGAGTAACAGGATCCAACTAACTCGTTGCGTTATTAAGAGAGATATGGGGAAAGGACAGCCCATCTGCAACAGTCCGAGAGGAGAACACTCACCTGAGCGACCTGAGTTCCGGCCTTTAAGAGGGGAGCTTGTGAGCCGCCATACACTTCCTTACCGCCATATGAGTCGGCAAAGAAGACACAGAGGATTTTGCCTCGTTCGGCCAATTGAGCCAGTTTCATGTAGTAGTCAATCCGGTCTTTCGTGGACGATATCTCTCCTGGCGAGCTAACATAAGGTTGATTCCTCGGTCAGCAAAGCCATTCCTTCGATGAATTTTTTTTTCATATCTGAAATATTTCTGTCTTAAGCAATAAGAAGAACTTACCGCCATTGCCCGGCGCACACAAAGTTGCCCGTACAGGCAGTTTCAAAGAACGCCAGCTGTATCTGCCTCTTCCCCATCTTACTGATCTCTTCTCCAGCACTCGATGAATCGTGAAAAAGAACCACAATGTCCGTTTCAACAAAGCCGCGTAAGGAGGAAAGCTTAATGAGGCAAAGGATCCTTTTCCTTATAACCGGAGACTGGATGGTTTAGAACCAGACCAGTTTAGGCTTACAAGTGGTGCTTGAAGAGTAGCCTGTTGCAGACCACTCGCCATTATTCAAGAGGGAAGGCATGAAGGGCCCCAGGTTACAGTGGTCCTGGCCATACCATAGTAAGTCATGATCCGGCCTGGGCTTGAAGCCGCGCGAACGGGTACCGTCGCGGAGTTCTCCAAACGTTGCGCTTACTGCGGCAAAATGCCATCCGAGCGCTTTGCAGCTCCCGGGAAACAAATCATGTCTAGATTTCCTCTACCGCTTTCATGATAGGTAAGGTCAAAAAGCTCGAGCCCGGTTAAGGAGGTTAGTCAAATAGTAATGTCATGCCACGTCAAGAGACTTCAGCACGCAGAGAATGACTCGGCGCAGATTCGACGGCATATCTGTCCCGTAGCGGATTTACATTGATCCGACGAGGCTGTGATAATAATCTAACTGAATAAGAGAAAAAGTCTGGCCGCTATATGTAGTCACCGTAACTGAGTGTAAGGAGGCGGGAAGTATTAGACTAGGCAAGTATCCCGACACTAGTTCTAGATTGTCAACTCCTTTACTCCGTAACTCGCAACATCATGTGTCGCCTCCACGCTACGGCTATTGTTCATCACGAGTTTAGCCCAACCTACCTAGGTATCGTTCAGACGATTTGTCCCTAGTACCTAGGCTTATATGGCAAATGGTTTTCTGCACATATTGTGGCCGAGAGTTCACCCGGGCGGAGCATTTGCAACGTCATGTCCTCATCCGTAAGGTCATATCTTTGTTGACTGTCTTTCATTTTGGACCAATGGCTCACCATTATACTACTACTCCCAGATACGAAAGTTCGTCCTTTTACATGCAATGTGTGTCACTTATCCTTCAGTCGCAAGTAAGTCGCTGCTGCTGCTGCCTCGTACCTCTCCTGCCATCTTCTTGACCTCTTTCTGACCCGGAATTGAAGGGATGCCGCTCAAAAGCACGCCAGCACGCATTCCGAAACGGCGACAATAAGATCGGCGCAATTTGCGTCTGGCCGTAGCTCCTCTCATGCCTCTGAAAAAGGCCTGCAAGCTGCATGCCAAAACTGTGCTAAAACAAAGACCAAATGTGATCGCCAAATGCCCTGCGGTCGTTGTCGCCTGAAGAATCTCTCTTGCCAGTCGCGTACTTCACTTCGACCGCCCCGAGCTACTGACCCGGGACTCACTGTGTCGGCGACGTTATCGGATGATCAGCAGAGACTTGACAGACACGAGACAATAAACTCTCTGGAGATTTCGACCAAGGCAACAACCCAAGCTCCGTTCTTGCCTACCGCCGATCACAATTTGTACCGGACCACTTCTGCGAGGCAGACACTGATATCAAGCTCTCTAACTTCAACTGATCACCAGTTGGTTCAACCTCCCCAATTGCAACAGAACCTTTCGGGCTCAGACCCTCCTGGAAATCAGGGACAATCGCTCAGCGACAATTGCCGGAGAAGGCCTGAAAATCGTCAAAGCCTCTCCAGTTCGGCTGATTCAAGACAAATCAGCAGACCGTATGCGACAACACAATCTTTGACGCCGATTTTGGAAGGCTTCGACCTTGAGCCGTTATTCCCCCAACAAAATGCCTCAACAACCCACTCCCAGAATACCAATGATGCCACGAATGGCGGACTTCACGGAGAAGCAAATGGTCAAATGTTCTCTCAGCCACAGCCAGATACGAGTATGCCCAACATTCTCGAGGATGCTAGCCATATATTCTCGCAGTTCGACTGGGGATGGGAGGGCTTGTTCGCATCGCAAGCAGCTACTCCAAATTTCCACACCTTGTTTCTTCCAATGGACCCTCCTTCCTCGACTCCGTCTCTTCCTACCCAGAGCGTGGTGACCCCTACACGCTCGGCCGAAAACGTCGCTCGTCTAGGAGATAACTACGCAGATGCTGCGCCGTGGTCAAGCATCTCTACTACCACCTGGAGAGCCCAACACTTCAAGGAACAGGAATACTTCGAAAATGTCAGACTTGCCGAAACCACGAGGGAGAGAATGTTGGCAACCGCGCAGAATTTTTTTCGGTTAACTCTAGACTCGCTTAATGTCAACTCCAACCCTGGGACTCGATTTTTGATGGCAGATTTGAAACGGTACAGTTCTTCGAGCATCTTGATGCTACCCCCAACGCCTATATTACATATTTACCTCGAAACGTATTTGACAAGCTTTGAGCCATATTATCCTCTGATCAACAAACGATCCTTCGATCCGAATGCGATCGCTTCCGGCAAGCACGAGCAACTTGCCATCGTCATGCTATTGCTAATGATAGCTTATGGCGCCATGAGGGACCCTGCCATCAAAGCCCGCCGACTATCCATGGGCCTTCTCGAGATCTGTCGTTTGACAACGCTGCATCTTCTAGACAAGGATAACACCAACCCGCGGAGTATGATTCTCGCCGAGTGTGCTTTGCTGAGCACCTATCAAGCAGCCTTCAGTGGCGACAAGTGGCTCATGGAGTCAAGTTTCGGCCAAATGCATCAATATTTAATGGTGAGCGCTGACATCACAATATGTTGAATCCGCGAAGGGATTGTCTGACAAACCTTATTCACAATAGCTGTCGAAGCACTCACGCTTCTTTGAAAGAGATCCAACTACGCCGTACGTTTTGTCCGATGGAGCAGACGTCGAGCTGCTCTGGCATTCCTGGCTAGAGAGAGAGTATACTTCGAGGTATGTGGACTTCCAACCTTTCAGATCGTCGTTGATAGTCTCGTAGACTCGTTTACAGCTTAGTCATGGTCGACGCAGAGATCAGCATTCTCTGCGACAAAAATCCAACGTTGACCATCCCGGACTTGGAGAAAGCTGTGCCGGGCGGCGACGATCTCTGGCTCGCTCCCGACGCTTCAACTTGGTTTCAGTGCTGGACAAGTGCTTGTGGACCAGACGCGGACACGAAAACTCCATTTGTCCCAGCTCAAACCTCACTGCCAGAGCTATTTCAATCTCTTTTGGATAACAAGCTCGATCTTTGGAAACCAAGACTCGAAGTTCTCCACTTGCGTCTCCTTTTGTATCCCATTCACATCTTGACTGCTCAGTTATGTGAACTTATGCTCTGTTTCTCCGAAAAGGGACTTGAACCGTTGCGGTTTCCTCCAACTGCATGCCATACGTCTTCAACACTGCGCTTCGAAGAGATCAAGACTCTTCTGCAGACGTGGTGGAGTGTTTTTCGTGGGTTGGACGCCAATACCACGAGGCATTCGGCTCTGAAACAGGTGACGGAAATATTGTACCATCTTCTGAACCTGAAGTTGGCTGTGTCTTGGTCGCACATCGAGCAATTTTCCTGGACGTTCTCAAAGCAACCCCAAGTCACTCCGCAGTTGTCTGCAACCGCCTTGCGCAGACCCCGAGAAGCCGTCTTTCATTGCGGTCAGATAATGCGTATAATACACAACATGGACACCGAGATACGTCCATTATGGTGGCCAGCCGCGCTGTATCGAGTGGCTGTCATTCTCTGGACTCTTAGTATGGTAAACAGTATCGAGCGACCTGAGAGTTCAGGTTCTGACAAGCCGTCCGACTTTGCTATCGATAGATGTCCACCGGACGATCCGACATGGCAGCTATTCCTACGACGTGACAAGGGCAGACCATGTCTTACTGCTGACGATGGCAGCTTACAGCCTGTAGACGATGCAAGTACAATTTTGCAGGTCTGTTCGGATCCTCTCAGACGGCATAAGAACATGTCATATCTTGCAGAATCCCTGCTCGGCGAGCTTGATAGTCTGGCCAAATCGCCCCACCTGGCTGCACCACGCGCTCCAGCGGAAGACCGGCAGCAGGATGGATGCGAATGGATTCTTTGATGACTGCACCCAGTACGGGATTGCATTGGCCTCAGTCCAACGGACAAGCCATTCCTGATTCTTTAGATCACCAGCAAGTCCCGTAAGTTCGGATCTCCACTTCGGGGTCCCCAGAAGTCCGCTGGTCACAAATCCGACGTCCGAAATCTGGTGTTGTCTGATCCCGGGCTCCTCCGGGGCCAGATTGGGCGAAAGATCGACCCCATGCGTCCGCACTCCAGAGACTTTGAGTCCATGCCATTGCCCTTCCCGTAGCTAGCATCACGGGATCGATCGGTTGTTTATACCGTTTGTCCTAAGTGCTGAACGACCTTTGAAGTTATTCCTGTCGACCCTACACACCATGGAATGGAAGAGGCTCATCAGATTTGTCGACGAGGCGGGCGATATCACCTATGGTGATGCATGCATCCAAGACGAGGATGACGTGGAATCTCTAGTCTCGCAAGGCAAACTGTACGCTTCTCGCTTTGAGGGTGATGATCCCTTTGCACTTCATCGTACGACTGAGCAGGTCAGAGTGGCCCGTTTGCTCGGCGTGCTGGACCGGAAACACGTGAAGGTTTTCAAATGTATAGGTCTGAACTATACAAAACATAGTAAGTTACTCCATCATGCAAAGAGTACGCAGGTGTGATGGTGGTGTACTGACGCTTCCTACGAGTCAGGGAGACCGGCCGTAAGCCACCGCCATATCCGTCTATGTTTATGAAGGCTGCTACTGCAATCGCTGCCTTTGATGATGATATCATGGTCCCGGCGATAGCCCAGGGAAAGAATCTTGACTATGAGGGTGAATTATCCATCGTTATTGGCAAAACTGGGAAGAACATTCCACGAAAAGAGGCACTTTCTTATGTCGCGGGCTACCTGGCATCGAACGACGTGTCTGCCCGGACGTGGCAGCGTGACCCTGAATACAGCGGTGTTGTGCCTCAGTGGTCTTACGCAAAGTCATTCGACACTTTTGCACCGCTCGGACCTATGCTGGTATCGCCTGCCGTCGCAGGGGCGGCTGACAATTTGAGACTACAGACTTTAGTCAACGGTGAAATCAGGCAGGACACGAATACCAACGACCTATTATTCGATGTTGCCTATATCATTAGTTTCTTGAGCCAAGGATCAACCCTAGAGAGAGGGACTGTCATCATGACAGGGACTCCAGATGGAGTGGTTCTGGGCATGCCAGATCCCAAGCCATGGTTGAAGGATGGTGATGTTGTTGAAGTGAAAATTCAGCACATGGGAAGCTGTGTCAATAGAATCGTCTACGATCAGGCGAAATCTACATTGTGAAGTCTGTAGCAGCAGGGCTGGCTGATATAGCAGGAATTTCCTCAGTTCTGTGTCCTACAGTACATGATGTGAAACGCCTAAAACTGAAGCGCATCTTACAAGTTACGATATGAATGAAGCCAAGTGCAAATGGGTCGCTTACCGGTTAGTGGCTCAAGCGTTGATACAAAGTATACGGCATCGTAAGGAGAAGCAATTGTCTCACGCCGAAAGAATGCCAGGTTGGTCCCCGAACTCCGCGGCATATTCCTCTTTATCCGCAATATGCGTGACCTGCTTTATTAGTTCCGGGTACCATTCCTGACCTGATCGTCCGGTTCTAAGTTACTATCCTTTGTGCACTGCTCTCGAATCACTCTCATCGTGAGACTTCACATCCAACGACAGCCTCATCCTTCTTGAAGAAATTAGGAGTCTCCAGTTCTCTTAGGCCCTGCAATCATGGCGACATGGGAAACAGACGAATTCATGTCTCAGTGGGACAAGAAATACGTCTCCACCAACTTGAAGCCTGGCTCAAAGCCGTACGATAAAGATTTCTTTCTCGGCCTCGAATCTCGCCTGGCTTCCTCGCACGCCGAACTGAAACATATTGCCAACACTCTGATTGTCTGAGAGAAGTCCCTTGCTTTCTCCTTTTCGCTTCGATATCTTACTAACTTTTCAAAGGTTGCAGCTTGTTGTGCCGTCGGCCGTGCAGACGTCGTTGGTCGACTTTTCGATGACTTGACAGCGGCTGCCACGCCCGAGGAATCCGAGTACATGTTTCTGCGCTTTCGTGAAGCCATTACAATCATCTTTCCTTATTTGGGTCTCCCCACATGTATACCAGCATGTTATGGCATGATCGGAGTTGTACAACGCAAGGGGGCCCGATATGCATCAACCAAGAGTCTTCGGAAAAAGACCATTACTGAGGACGACGTCCAGAAAGGGATCGAACTTCGTGCGAGGATCTATCGTGGTGTGGGCAACTCGGACATCTTCTCCTTGATGGACAGATATTTCACGGACCTATGTGAGTGCCACCTCCTTCTATCTGCCACTTGGATCGATCACCGAAGATCGAAGAGCGCTGATCTATGGCCAAATAGTCACGACTTCGAAGGTGGTTACGTGGGGATATCTTATCGCGAAAGCGAACGAGGAGGTCTTCCAGCCACAGGAGTCGCACCTTGTCGTGGCCACGGCTATCATGGCCTTGGGAGCCACTCGTCAGACTAAAAGCCATATAAAGGCTACTTTAGGTATTGGGAACTCCGTCAATAGCGTCAAGGCTGTTGTAGATATGGTATCCCAATTAGCTGAGTGGGCTGGTCGCCCCGAGATTGGGCCCGTCGACGTCGACCAGCTCGTGGAAGAAATCCAAGCGGCCTTGAAGGGATGACACGAGGACCGCCGAAATGGAGCTCTGGCCGCAATGTTCCTATATAGCAAATACCACCCTCCTAGAGCTACTCTTATAGCCCTGCAGGAATATATTCAAGCATCTGCTCCCGACAAAACCTGAAGGAGAGTCACATTTACTGCTCCTCGCTCCTCGCTACCCGCTCTCTTTACATCTCATCCGGCCTCGACTATCTTGCAAGTGTAGTCTGCACTCACATCGACTTTTGCCAGCTCACCGGACAGAACGCCGTTTCTCTGAGGGGAGACGAGAGCGTCTTCAAACGTTCCTCGTCGCTATCGATACGGTAGCTGGGCCCAACTTGCAACGGATATGTCTTCAAACCAGAGGAAGAGTACCCTAGCTTCTGCTCTTCCCCTCTCAAGAGGTCGTGTTGATCTCGAATGCGCAGCATTACGGTCCTCACCTGGGTCCTGTGGCTTGCCCGATGACTGAGGACCTGCCCCGTCTTGACGACCATGGCTTGAACTTCTACTATGAGCAAGAGGATTTTATGTTTGCTCTGCAGAGGCAGCAAAATCGGTCATACAGCATCATTCGCCCCAACAGAATCATCTAGTATTGCAATCCCGATTTCTCTTAGTCACTTTGTAAGCCCACTTCCGAGCGGGATGAACGAAGAGCAGGGACGCGTATTCTTTGAGATAACGCATACGGCACGCCTTAGACCGGAACCGGTAGCGGCACTGTCGGCTCCCCAGGCCATGGGGCATTTGCGACGGGCTCCGAAGCACGACCTCATCTGTACCCCACACTAAGTATTGTCATGATTCCGTGCTGCTCAATTTATCGCCAGGGCACACCGGGTCCCAGGCCATTCAATTCATATTTCAGAGACATGCCGGTCGTTTCCGCGGGCATCTCAGTGTGGATTTCTGCAAACAGCGAAGTGGAGGGTGAGGTATCTTGTCACACCACGTTACCAATTACCTGGTTCTGCGTCACACCGCGAAAACCAAGCCACGATTTAAATCAAGATAGCCCGGGGGGACACCTGGCAGGAGTACTTGAGACCACGTAAGCTGCGTGTAGGGCCAGGATCACATTGCTTTTAGCTCGGAAGCCACCACCATACATATCTATCAGTCTAACCTTGAGTCCTTGACAACTCACGACAAGAATACTAGTAGGAATGAAGAAGATCGCGCTGAAATCAACCAAATGGCGCGACTTCATCCCTCCTAGGGACTGTGCACGAAGCCTCGAGCTTGCGCGATCGGATACGTATCAATGGGCTGAACATCGATGCGCTGAGCCATGGATCAGTAATTGGCGGAAGACGTGGCAACGCCTACATGGAGAACCATACAAGGGCATCACGACCGATGGACATTTGATCCCCAATGTACACCATCTGGCAGGGACCAGTGAAGATCACGGCGCACCGACCAAGCAGATGGTACAAGCAGCGACGAGGCTGATCTCAATAGCAAGTCCAGAGCAGCGTCAGGCTCTACAAATCATCGATGTTGATGCCCCGGAATGGCGCGCGTGGGTGAATCCAGAGATTTACGTCTCTCGTCACGGCATCCGCTTAGAAGAGTCATCAGATGCGTTCGTTGCGGCGGTACACGACTTGATGCGCGCCAGCTTGTCCGAGGCCGGCTACTACAAGGCGTACGGCTGCATGAAAGTCAATCACTATCTCGGCGAAGTGGTCAATGGCCAAAAGGTGCTCAACTTGGGCTCGTACAACATTACTATTTTTGGAACGCCGTCAGAGACAGAGCCTTGGGGATGGCAGGTCTTTGGCCATCATTTTGCCATGAACTGCCTCGTCCTCAAGACCCAGATGGTAGTGACGCCCGTCTTCATGGGTGCGGAGCCCAATGTCATCGACGACGGACCGTACGCTGGGACCGAGCTCTTTACCGATCAGGAACAAACTGCACTCATCCTCATAAATTCGATCGCGACCCAAGACGATAAGGAAGCGATTGACCGAGTCCGAATCTACAAAGAGCTTTCAGGACCGGAATATCCAGAATGGCGTTACCATCCCGCCGACCAGCGCCACCTAGGCGGTGCTTTCCAGGATAATCGCATCATCCCCTATGAAGGCGTTAAGGTCACTGCCCTATCGCTATCACAACAAGACCTAATCCGCCGCCTGATCATACTTGGCGTTAACTACCTTCCAGACGGCGCTCTCGCGGCTAAGATGAGGGAGGTCCAGGCCTGGTGGGCCGAAACCTATTTTTGCTGGATCGGGGCTTTTACGCGTGAGGACGGCTTCTACTACAAGGTCCACTCGCCTGTGATCATGGTCGAATTTGATCACCATTCTGGAGTCTTTCTAAATAATGCCCTACCCCTGCCGTTTCATATCCACACCTTGGTGCGAACACCACAGGGGAACGACTATGGAAAGGAACTACTTAGGCAATATCGGAAATCTAAGTCATAGACTCATAGTCAGTTGATTGGTCAATACGCCCAGGGGCTCTTATTTGCAGAGAATGTCGTAGTGTGGGGGAAAGAAGGCGAGTAGAGGGTTAGCAGGATGAAGCCCAGGGACAAACTGGGATCATTCCCGTCTGTGGCCCAAGTGGTGGGACCTGTACATAGGATCCCAAAAGGAACTCTGCCATAAGATACGTGGTCCTCATTTTCAAGAGAATAGTTATTTAAAGATCAAATCAAGCGACCATCCATGCCCAAGACACCATATGTGCTGCAAACTTCAAGTTGTCCATGGTGCGTTGGCGTCACGAGTGCAGTCCCAACACCTGGCGAAGTGCACCACGTAAGGCATCAGTAGGATTTTCAGGACGATTCACCGAGCGCCATGCAATGTGACGATCCGGTCGAACTAACAATGCACCTTGGTCACCTAGCTCGCCGCGTGCAGTGTGCCACTCACCAAGTACGTCGTCGTAAAGGCAGCGATACCCGATTTTGTAGACAGGAATCTTGAGTTTGAGCTCTTGGCTCACGGCTTGTGCGGCGGCAATGAACGGGTCGCCGCCGATGCCAACGATGAGGCCGAAATGTCCATGCTCCAAGATGTTTAGCGTCGACATGCGGCACGTCTTGACCTCGATCCATGCGTGTGGCAAGTATGCGCCAGGATGCGTCGTGGGCTCGTAATGCATCACAGGGTCACGTCTGTACGCCGGGAACGGAGTGCCGTCATCGACCACGGCGTTGGATTCAGCATATCGTTGACCAAGGTGCAGCCCTAAAGCATTAGATCGTCGATTCTGTAAGTCGATGGCCTCCCTCAACCGGGCGCGCCGCTCTTCCGCGCCTGGGACGTCGGAGAACAAATCTTCAAGCGATTTGTAGCCTTCTTCTATCGACTGGCCATGCTTGAACCCTAGTGCTTCAGGCACTCGGGCGAAGTTGTATAGGGTCTGGATCGCGTGACCCACAATCTGTTTAGCGATCGGTTGTCGCTCTTGGTTATAGCTCTCCAGTAGACTGGTTCCAGCCCTGCTTGACACAACAAGCGATAATTTCCATGCTAAGTTGTATGCATCCTGGACACAAGTGTTGCTTCCAAGTCCGCTGGCAGGAGGGTGGCGATGGGCAGCGTCTCCAGCCAAGAAGATGCGTCCGCGGCAATTCTCGGTTGCGTAGACATTGTTGACTTGCCATCGACTGGAGTCCTTGACTTTGATTTTCAGATTTGGAATCCCTAATGTTTTGCGCGCGTACGCTATAACTGCCTCGTCTGAACTATCAATCTCTGCTTCGGAATTGTACTGTCGATTTAGAAGCCACTCGGTATATGGCTTGACCGCGACGAGAGTGCCTGATCCAACCCAGAATGCGTTGCCAGGCTGCGCCATCATGTAAAGACATGACGGTCTATACGCAGTATATTCAGTGACATCGGCCTCGAGCCACGACGTCAGCATGTTCATCAGGCCAGGCTGCCCCTCGAAACCAAAGCCAAACTTTTGTGCCACAAGCGATCTCCCACCATCGGCTCCTATTACATACTTTGCGCGTACAGTGTATTGGTTCCCGGTTTTCCGTTCTCGTACTGTACTAATCACATCGTCATCGGTTTGCTCAATATCGATCAGTTCATGATAGAAATGGATCTCAGCGCCTTTCTCCCGAGCATGTGCCAAAAGAACCCGTTCAAGAACGTGTTGCGGAGAATTTACCATCTCCGAAGGGCTAGCCTGTGCAAAATCGGAAAGCTGATGGGAGCCAGCACCGTAACAGCTGTAGCGGCCTAGTTCCAGACCTGTGAGACTGGTACAGATGACTCCATTTCCAAGAAGTGGTAATGGTGTTGAGACCTGACGCACAGCTTCTTCAATGCCCATGTCACGGAAGATTTCCATGGTCCGCTGATTGGTTACGTGAGCACGAGGCGAAGGCGCTGTACCACTGTGCTTCGCAATCGTGTATGCTCGTACGCCAGCGGTAGCCAGTAGCGCCGCCAGGGTCAAGCCGGTCACGCCAGCTCCAACGACGAAGACATCGGTCTCGACATCTGGCAAAGGTGATGTATGTCCGTTGCGAGTCTCATCCAGGCTGACTTGGTCGCTGGAATACATATTAGCACCGAATGCACACGACTGAGCCTAGGACACATACGCGACATGAGGCTGATGCGTCGAACTGTCTTCTTTGTTGATAGACATCTTGTCCCTTGTCAAACAGCAAGTTCCGGCCAGGCGGAGATCTTGCTCGTGGAACTATAGCACCGTTTTCGTTGAAGAGTACTAATCTGATGCGAGCTTGTGAGAGGCAACAAATAGAATGACCATATTGAGTGACGCCAGGTCATGGAAACCAGGTTGGACCTCTTTACAACAGTGTGAATAACGTGGAGCGTTCGGACACTTTCTGCAATTGTCTGGACATTGGCAAGCAGTTACCGTGGCACGGCAATTCTGTCATGCTCGCACAGACGTCCGGGTGGCTGAACATGCTTTGAAACTCATGCGACTCTCCGATAGCGATTCTTCCCCACGACGATGCTTCAGGTATGACCTAAGCTTGGAACTCCTAGCTTGACCTCCTTGAGCTGTTGAAGATGCGATATTGGCCGCGCAACATTAGCTTAACGCCCTCCGAGCTATCTCTGATATTTCCGGACACGGAATGGGGTTGTCCGAAGCCATTTCCGGAGCCAGCCTCGGACTTAACCTGCTCGCAGGACAGTCTGGATAGGAAAAGTCGCATGCACGAGGATGATAGCTTGGAGCAAGTCTAGTAATAGTCTCACTTAGTGATTGTCTTGATCCTTTATCTATCCTGCTCCTGTAGCTATCCTTGGTCGGGAATAGACCGATGTTTCGGTTCCCAAATCTTGGCCATCTCCTCCAGCTTGTACCTAATCCCTGCAGAGAAAGATGTTGCCAAACAATGACGAGTCACTGTAGTAATCCCCAATTGCAACAATTCGCCAGGATTGCGCAGCGAAACCCGACGCCCGTCTTCAGTAGTCAGCACAGGCTTGGCGTCGCCACGTCGAAGATAACGTTGAGCATCATCATCTTGAAGCGCCACTTGATCAATCACGAGCTCCCTTCCCGTGTTCCGCTGGAGATCGATCGTCTCGTGTCCAAGCGCGGAAAGAGCATTGATAATGCTTATTGACCATAATATCAGAGTAGCGCGATATATGGCTGCGGCACTCCATATGGGGCATATTCCCTGATCCATCTCTCTGGATAGCCGAAAGACTTGACCACAATGCAAGATGGCGTGCTCAGGAGCACGAATCCAATTTGAAACTAAGCCTGCCTGTGACTGAGATTCGAGCATTTCAAAACTATCCCGAGCGAGACGTTCCAGTTTGCTGAACGCGGTAAATAGGTTGAGGCTTATGAGATGAAAGAGTGTCAAGGTGGCATTTCTCATCGCCCGAAACCGGGCGCCCTGTCCAGTCGATCGATCGAAGACATCACGCCATGTTTGCAGGAGAAGTCGTATCTCTTCATGACGGAGGACCGACGAACTTTGCATGGTGGAACTGGAGAACCATCGAGACTGCATTGATACTAAGCCACTATCCAACAGCTGGCCCAGTTCCGCCACAAGAACGTGGAGAGGATACAGCAACAGCCTCATGTGTAAAATTGTCGGCTGGAAGTCCAATTGGTCCAGTTCGTTGTCCATCAAGAGTTGGAATAGGCTACGGAGCGAGTGGTCAGGCTGTGCATCCAAACAGACCTGCCAATCATCAAATGAGCCCTCTTTGCACAAGTTTTCACGCCATTCCTCAGAATGAGATGCGAGCCATAAGCTTTCGCTGCATGGTAATGGTGCTTCGAGTTCTGAGGTATTCAAAATCGGGCGACAATCGTAGAACAGGCTGATCTCCGTTTCCAGCATGACCCAGCCATATGCAAGTCTCGAAGCGCTCTCTTTTTCAAGCCAGGACTGCCAAAACTTTTTGAGGCCTTCCTTCTCAGAACTTAGTGGCTGCAACTGGCGATGTGGTTTCTTGAAATGTCCAACCGACCTCATTAGCGTCAGGTACATGTGTCTATGAGCCACGGCAATATTCATGTGCGCTTTGTCACCACTGAATGAGCTTTTAATGATGAAAATCAATGAGCAATAGAATAGAAGGCCACTTCCAGGTGCACCTGAATCCTTTTCAAGCACGTCGTGGATTGAGTGCCTGCAGATTTCGGTCAGAGCCGTGGAAAAACGCCGAGCTTTGACAGCAGGATCCAGCATCGATCCGAAAGCGAACATCAGGAATAGCAAGAGATTGGAACCCCGACCATGTTGAGGCCCGGCCAGTTGATTGGGTTCCAGAATTCGTGCTGGAACGAGAGGATAGAACGGTTCGTAAATTGTCAACACCGTCTCGAGGTATTCATGAAGAGCTTCGGACGGTGGTAGTCGTATGAAACCTCCAAGAGCATTGAACTCATCCACCTCGGGCGGTGCTGGGGATGGAGGATCAATGCTCAGGCCATGGACATCCATGGCAACACGCATGAAGCGTTGTGCGATCATCAAGAGCCATTCTCGAGTAGCTTCGGACAGCTCTACATTCACAAACCGTTCAGCGGGTGCAAACTGCTCACCTCTCCGGTTTCCTGTGAGGATTGTCCAAGGTCCTGGGCGTGCGAAGTTCTGCTCAAGCGTCATGATCGACGACTTCTTCCTATCTTCAGGATCAGCTGTAGGTGGAGGAAGACATCGGCATATGGCCCAATGATCCCAATCTGGGACCAAAGCAGTCTTATCTTCTTCGTAAATGTGCTCGAGATCGCCTCGGCCTGGGTAACCGGAGGAATTCTCGTTGCGTGCAAGGCCGTTGTGGTTCTCCGGTGATTGCTGAACAAGCCCAAATTCTGCGGCAGGTTCGGCCCTTGCAACCGGTTCCAGCAAACCAGATGATTGCGTAGGATTGAATGTAGGGGGTTCCAGATCTTCAAGGCGAAGCCCCGGAGTTTGGAAAGTGTCAGCTTCAATCCCTTGACGCAACGCACGATCTGCAGAATTGGCTATGTGGTGGCTGGGTTGCCCAAGTTGCCGATCAGCGGCAATCAATCTTTGACTGTCATTGAGATGTCCCGAGAGGCCTGGGCTGGAATGCTCTGCAAAGATCAGGCCCAAGTGCGGATCCGGATTCAAATGCTGAGATGAGCCGTAGAAGTCCTGGTCTCCAACACATCCTTCAGGTGTGAACCTTCCTTCGATCTGGGCGTGTTCTGCATGACCATCGACCGAGGGCTGCGCGTGACGGGCAGACTTTGCTCTGAGAGTTCTCTTCCTTCGCGGCTGCCGCGAGATACAGCTCAAGCGTTTCATGCGGCATCGACCGCAAGGATACTGCCGGTCACATCTGGTCTTTGTCGCGGCGCAATTGGCGCAAGCAATTTCAATTTGGGGATGACTCGACGAGTTGTCCCCTTGTGGCTGATCAGTATAATGCACAGTCTCCAATGCGTACTGTGGCACCATGATCCTCCACTTGCAACGACAGAGACAGGGTCAGCATCGTGAGACATGAAGCAGACAGGAGTGAGCAAAGAGGTGAGTCGTGACAAGCAGGTAGGCCGGTTGTCGCCGGTGGATTTAAAAAGCGGCGCCGTATGGCGAGCGTGGGCCCGTAAAGCAGCGTCTACTTGGAGGAAAATTGGTTAGACACAGAGAGAGCAATCAAACAATCATCCAACCTGAGAAGAAGGTTAGTCGCGAGCAGTCGTTTTTAAAAGCGGCGCCCTCTCAATAAGCGCCCCGTGAGCTCAGGAGCAGCTAAACCATTGTGACCATTGCTTGGGCCGCCAAGGCTTCCGCCCTCATCCCACGGTCGAATGCTGACGACGACGGTGGCCAACACAAATCTCTTCGGGGCTACAATTCGTGGTACTCGGCGCTGACCGATCCTGTCTGCTGCTCCGTGACGTTTCCCAAGACCTGAAAGCTTGAGACCAGCACTCACACGTGAGAGTTTGCAGAAGTTGGGCGATGCCGGGTTCCCGAAATCCAAGAACCTCCAAGAGTAAGATGGTCAAGGATCCTCAAAGGCCAAGACGTTACACGACAGCCCAGCTTTCCGCCTGGATGACGATTTCCCCTTGCCCATGACTTCCCTCATTCGCACTTGGCACGGCGAGGAGACTTGAAAAGAGACTGGGCAAGGCCCCACCCTGGGATGCTTTCCACTGTGGTTTGACTGGGATTGACAAAACAACACCTCGTGTTTGGCTTCCAAGATACTAATGGAGATCTCTAGGCATACGGCAAGCGTGACTAGGTGTGGAGCTGAAAGACTTGCGTGCTTGCTCATGGCCCTGTAGGTTCAATCTCTTCTTCGCTGGCCCCGGAAAGCTATTCCCGTGCGAAAAGCACTCGGCCATTTTGCTTTGTATATATACGCTCTCTGGGGCTTTTTGTACGATCGGACAGATACTCCTTGCCGGAAACCGACTCTCAGATCCTATGTGTCATTTACGATGAACGCGCTCAAGAAGCTCGGAAGCTGGCTTGCGCCGCCCCCGCAGAAAGCGGATGATGGACGTGATCAATGGCCTTCACGCATGAGCTTCATTCTAGCTTCATGCGGAGGGGCTATTGGCATGGGAAACCTCCTACGCTATCCTTCTCAAGTCTACAACAATCTCGGCCTACAATGGTTCGTGCCGTACCTGATGTCAATTGTCCTCTTGGCCATACCAGCACTCGCCCTGGAAATCGCCGCGGGCAACGCATACCGCGGCGGTACTGTCGTCGCTTACAACAACATAAGCTCGAGAATGAAGGGCACGGGCTTGGCTTTGAACTATGTTGGCTTCGTCGTTGTCACATATTTCGTCCCCATTTTGTGCTGGATCATGGTCTATTTCCGCGCCTCGTTTCAGAGTCCCTTGCCTTGGACTGGCCGTGGCCAGGAATTCTACATGCGCGACGCCGTCGGTGCGGTCGATCCTGTCCCCGGATCCTTCACGGATAGCGGCGCCGTGGAGTCCTACACCTCATATCCGGGCACCAGCCTCATCGGCGAATTGGTCGGCTGGGATGTTTTCACCTGGTTCGTCATATGGCTTTGCATGTTCCGCGGTGTCGGACTGACAGGCCGTGTCGTCTACTTCACCATGGGCCTGCCGGTCATCATGACCATCATCCTCATTGGGCGTTCTGTGTCTCTTGAGAACGCTGGCGCGGGTATCAAACTCTACTTCGCAACCTGGTACGGCAGCAAACTTGCCGATGGCAAGATTTGGCAGGATGCTGTCGGTCAGGTCTTCTTCAGCACTGGCGTTGGATTCGGTTACTACACCGCCTACGCATCGTATAATGCCCGATTCTCCAACGCGGCCCAGGATGCCGTCATCATCGTCTGCAGCAATTGCTTATTCGAAGCAATTGCGGCCTTTGCCGTATTTGGCATCGTCGGCTTCCTGCGCCTGTGGCCTTCTGAGACGGGCCAGATCGGAAGTTTCAGCGTCGGGTTCGTCACCTACCCAGAGGCCATCACACAGATGCCCGGCGCCAACTTCTGGGCTGTCTTATTTTTCTTCACCCTTATGCTTCTCGGCGTCAGCTCTTCGTTCGCCATGCTCGACGCCGTCGTAACGCTAGTCATGGACTCCGAACTCGGGCGCAAGGTCAGCCGACCGATCGTGGCTACCACACTAGTCGTTCTATCCTTCCTGCTCTCACTCCCATACTGCACGGAATTCGGGTATTATTATCTCGATGGCGTTGATCGGTACATCAACAACGTCGCGCTCGTCTTTGTCGTGTGGGCCGAATGTGTCGCTGCAACCACCGTCTACCGCTACAAAGATGCTGTCGGCCAGGTTGGCTTCACCTCATTTCTGGTCTATAATATCGGATATTTCAGCGCGCAAGTCGCCGGCGTCGCGGTTGGACACAGCGTCAGGCCTGCTGCAGGCGCGGGCGTTGGTTTCGGCTTGTTCATAGCTGGGCTGATTGTCTCGCTCACTCTCGCAAAAACGCCAGATTCGCTCGGTGCGCCGTCCTTTTGGCAAAAGAGCATGCTACTGAAGAAGGTATATTACCTTGCATTTTATTCAGGCAACCAACTCCGGTGTGACCTGAATCTGATTATTGGGCTGGGCAAAAACTGGAAGCTCCCCTTCTTCTGGGCGCCTCTGCTGCGATACGTTACCGGCCCGGTGTTAGCCATCGTGTTCAGCTTCGCGTACCCGGGTTTTCAGACGGTCAAGAACGACCCAATGTATATCTTCGGCTTCATCGTCGCACATTTCTTGCTGCTGTGCATCGCGCTCGGATTCATTGTGCCCAAGTGGTTTGATGTGTTTATCCCGAGGGAAAGGAGGATTGAGGGAGAGTTGCCTTCCGCGCCGGATGTGACAAGAGGCAGCACGGAGGCGGAGAGTGATCATGCGATGGAAAGCGGTGAGGGTGCACCGTCAGGCGAGAAGATTGAAGAGCCCGGCGCAAAAGCAACCTGAAGTCGTAGGAGACTCAGTATGATGCGAGATCCCGAGATCGAGATTGAAGTTTGAGGTAGGAATAATAGCTTGGGCATATGCTCGCTCCCATGGAAGACAAAAGACAGAATGTGCTAAAAGTAATAGTAGCTGCGCGTCAAACTGAGAAGTCCCGGAAAAGATCGTGTTAGGTTAAAATTGGAATGAAGATTCATACCCAGTGTCATCATCAGGTGTACAGTGTACTTGTAGATTTCACCAGAACTTCCCATAATTTTCACGGCAATCTCGCGAAGAGCATAATGGGTCGCTGTTCACAAACGCATAGCCATGAAGAAGAGTGACGGGAGTCGTCCGCGGATCCCCTATCTCAGGGCGATATGATTTCAGCTACCGTGATCCACGGGAAGAAGATGGCAAAAGCCTCCTGCCGCATCAGAAATGAATATAGAGGAGACAATGTTGATGACGCGACCTTCTTGAGCGAAAAGGCGCTGTTTGTGGGTGCGAGACGATATAATACAAAAGAGAAATGAAAGTTGCGAAAAATAATATGTACCAGAATATCGACTGTTGTTGGCTGATCAAACAAAAGATCTCCTTCCGGATCGGGTAACGAGAACTACCGCATAGAGCAGGATGATGTCATTCAGACTTGGCGGGTGCTTTGCACTTCACGTGATCAGATGAGATTTCTTTCCATCTGCTTGACCTCCACGCAATTCAAGCGCGTTCATTACATTTGTTCATTTGAAATCCTAGACATGACAAGGTGCGTTAACAACTAGTACCTCAGCCACCTCAGCTTACACCAATTTTCGCTCAGTTCACCTTGAATAAGACGCCAGGCGCTCCCCTCTCTCCAAGTACATCTTGGTCATGGTGGTGTCCTTACAAGCATTGCTTCGCACTCTGAGGGCCGCTTCGATCATCGAAATATGATCGTTCACGGTCGTCGCAAGTAGTAACTTTCACGCTTCCGTCTCTCAACACGAGCCATTTAAGCCTTTTCTCTCAGCTTGAGGTACGCCAATAAGCCCCATTGAACGACAAAGAAACTCGAGTGGTGGTCGAGCGGCTTATTCGGGTTCACGAGCTGGATCTCATACCGTCGCAAGAGCTGGGGCAGAACCTTGTTCATTTCGAGCAAGGCGAGATGTCGGCCAATGCAAACGTGAGAACCACCGCCAAACTGGATACTGGTCAGCCCCTCGTTCGAGGTCTCCTTCGCAATCCAAACTTACCTGGAACATGCACCTTTCCATCATCTTGATCTTCTCCTTATCGCCTTCAATCCATCTCTCAGGTCTGAACACTTCTGCATCCTCTCCAAACACACTGGTGTCTCTGTGCAGAACCCATCCATTGACAGCGACTTCTGTGCCACCTGGCAGTTTATGACAACCAAGCTCAGCACCACCAGGCGGCACCTTTCGTGTGATGTTCAGTCCGACAGCTGGGTTGATTCTCATGGCTTCCTTCAGACAAGCCTGAAAGTACGGCAGATTCTGGGCCTCGTTGTACGTCACCATGTCTGACAGATCAGCCGACAGGATCTCCTGCATCAACTTGTCGTAGACACGCTTGTTTGACGCCACCTGCCACATGAAGCTTTGCATCGTGCTTGCGGTGCTGTCACTGCCGGCGAAGATGGCACCATGCGCAATAGCAAAGACATCACCAGTGCCGAGAGCTTCGGGATGCTGCTTCTGAGCTTCGATCAAGCTGTTGAGAAGATCCTTATACTCGACCTTTTCGCCTTGAGGGTTGATGCGCTTTTCAAGCTGGCCCATCGCAGTTCGTGTGACGAGGGCATTCTTGGTGGCGAGGAACGGAACGAATTGCCAAAGCGGGTTGCGTCTGAAGATATGATCGAGCCAGGGGACCTGCCCGATCAGACCGTTGTACCATTGCGAGTCGTCAATCGTCTTGATAGCGCCGTCCACATCGACACCAGCCTCGAGAAAGCCGAATTTCTTGGAAAAGGCGACTTCTCCTAGGACCTGCAAGCACATGAAGTCAGTATCCCCGACTCCGACTGACACGACGTCGGCTTGGCACACTTACGTCAAAGGCGAAGAAATGCAACCAGTCACCCAGGTCGCAAACTTTATTGTCATCGGTGAATTTGTCCAGTTGGGAGATGAGTAGTTGCTCCGTTGCTTCGATGCGATCCGTGCACTGCTGCATCGAGGCCAAACTATACGGAGTTGCTGCATATCGCTTCTTGACGCCGTGGACAGACTCGCGAGTTTCGGTGAAGATATCTGGATTCTCCGGGGGCGGAAAGACGCCGTAAAAGTCGGTCTTGTGGAATCCCTTGCCGGTCTTGAATAGATCTAGTGCAGCGTCTGGCGATGAGACCGAGACCTCGTTTGGTCCAGTGCGAACGATGGGTCCGTACTTCTTGTGGACTGCAATATAGTGCTGTTCGTTTTTACCTGTCCAGACACTCCACATTCGCCATATTCTGGAGCAAGACGCCAGGAATGGCCCCGGGAATTGTCGCAATGGCGAAGAGTAGCGTCTGTAAAGCGGCCGCACGACCAGCAGCAAGAAGAGAGTGATGACTGGAACCAGGACTGGATTCGCAGCAAGGAAGGACCATGCGACCAAGATGGCCGATTTGGTCACTGGAACATCCCCTGTCGTAGTTGTGGTTGTCATTTTTGATATGCCTCTCCGGAAGTGGTGATGTATGACTAGTACTACCTAAGGTGGTATATCGATGGTCCTAGAAAGACTGAACAAGCCGTGCGAAGCGAAGAGGGAAAGAGTGTAAGAGGTAGTAGGAGTAGTAGTAGTCGCTGCATCTTTCTAAGCCCTACCACCCCGTGTGCTCCCACTGGAATTTATTAGACCACCTCCTTCAGCTTTGCTTAACCTCTCCACTGGAACACAGGTGCCCGTGTGATGGCCTTTGCCCATTCTCAGGAACTTGCAACAAAGGCCCCACCTGGGAACCTGGGAAAGCAGCCCCACGATATTCCCAGCCGCCCACGCCGCCGTACGAGGAGCAGTGTTCCAAGTTTTGCGGGCAAAGTCTGGACTCGTCGGGCGAGCATGTCCGATGGTTTGGGGTCATCGTGGGCTTTCGAGAAGGTCTGGAGAGCCACATTTGCGAGGCTTGTCCCAATAAATGAATTGCCGAGGTGTCCATTCATTGGTAGCCATGGGATCTCGCCTCTTTGAATTTCGTCTCCAGTGCCCATGGTGTCACAAGCTATTCGGAGAGCCACAACGGGGTGATGAAATGATGATCGTCCATCATCCGTAATGAACTTCAAAAGTGGTGCAGACAACGAGACTCTCCTTGGAGACTCCTGGGTCAGTGGTCAAAGGAGATGGCATGATGCATACCTATCTCAGTTACTGAAGTCGATACTCCCTAGTAGTCCAGACACCACCATACTCGTAGTACGTAGTAGATTCGAGTTCTCCGACACGAGTGTTGTACTCCAAGGGTCGCAGGCGATGTGCTGTGTAAGGATCAACCACCCACCACCACTCGTGGACCATTACTCCCCATACCTTAGGTTTACCCCAATGAACATCAGTTGATTGCTTTCCACCAACGGACATTCTGGATCGATACTACGGAGTAGTACCCCACATTTTACAGGTACAGAAGCAACCTGGAAGGTGAGTAAATATCCGACAAATACGCCGTACTGCCGCTGGGCGTTCTCCGGAACCATGACTGTCTCAAAAGTCCTCGACAGCGCCCAGCGCAGTTAAGTTGAACTTCTGCTCTTGCTCTTACTCTTAAGCAGAGCTCGAAGAGAGTGCGACAGGTAAGAACTGAGTATCCGCGATGTGGACTGCCCCAGAGTTCCAAGGTTATATGGTAAATGGAGTCTCCAGCAGCCAGCCGTCATGCTGGCCTGCTTGACTGTTGATGGCAGTCGCCCGACATCTTCGAGCCCATTCCTCCTCCATTAGGTACTTGTGATTCGATACCAAAGTACATATGAAGAGGCTGCTATGATGTTGAGGAACGCTTTCTGAGCCACGAAGATCATAGCGATGGGTTGGTTTTCAACTTGCGACAAGGCTAAACGAAATTGATGTGTCTCGGAAGTCCTTCGATGATGAAATTGCTGCATCGCCAAAATAGGCAGCGTTGAGGAGGCGTACGAATCGCTCTGTTTGCAGAGAACCAAAAAGTCTTGTATATCTAACAGGTACAGAAGTTTCAAGAAGCAAAAAAGCAGGGAGGGCTCCAAATCACCCTTTTCTTTTCCTGACTCCTTGCGCTGCCGAGTGACCCTCCAGAGGCACGCCGTTGACGAGAACAACAGGCTTGGTCCCGTTCATCTTAGCATCTTGGCTATCTTTTCCAACGGGGTCGACGTCGTCTTCCTCATCTTCGTCGTCACTCCTCTCATCCGCCACCGGTCGGGAAAGAACAAAGTTCTTAGCGATGCGCAAAATCAGGAACAACCAGAACAAATTGACAGCTTGTAGACAGGCAAGGAGGGCGAACGTGATAATCTGGCTGATCCAGCACTTGTACTGCTGAGTCTCCCAATTCAATTCGTATGGTCCAACAGTTCGGAATTCAGTCAACGTCGCCCACAGAATCCGCAAGTTGATATAATGCCGCATGTAAATCCAAACGACCATGAAGAAGAAGTAATACGGTCCGACAATAATGGAGTCGAGATAATTGAACGTTTTGGATGTCTGCGGCGTACTCAGCATGGTGCTCACACGAACGAAGATGTCCAACTTACCGCAAGGAAAAAGTCACTAATGTCATGGGTAATGTAGACTGCAATACCCATTTTCGCAAAGTGGAAACGATAGCTCAACCCGATCAACGACAACGTCACGATATGATGCAGAACCAACTCTCGGAAATCCTTTCGAGGCTTTTCCTGTTGCAGCATGAGAACAATGGCTTGCTGAGCCCAGTAAGCGGCCTGCAGCAGATAGTAGGCCTTGAAGACTCCTTCGTGCTTTCGGTGCGGGAACCCCTCAAACATGGCCGTGGTATTGAAATACCACAGGGGCCCTTGTGCCATGACATAGAGTCCAAAAGGCCCAAAAATGCCAAAGTAGATGGCCGTGTAGACTTGTTCCATAAATCGCGATTGTTTCCCCCTCTTCTTCATGCCGCAATAGACCGACAGTGGCCGAAGTATTCTCTGCATGATAAACTCTCTCGTGAAGGTCAGGACGATCGTATAGAAGCCCACAAAGGCCCAATCTGCGTAACCCTTGCCGTACATATTCGGTCCACCTGGATAGTCCGGCCCCAGTGGGTATGACAGGAAGATGGCTTTATGAAAGGGGTTCTGTTCCCCAGGATTGATGAAGTAGGCGGTTAGGATGGCGAGCATGAGGAGGAGCGGGTTCAGCCACGTATGCCGATAGGACAGGTTCTTCCATTTTCGAAATGCCGATCGGGCTTTCCGACGCTTCGAGTGAGGCTTTAGTTCTTTTTCGCTGTTCTGCGCATCGTCAGCTGGAGAATGGCGACGCCACGGGGTTCCAGACATACGGAAGGCTGAAGGGGTTGTTTGGGCGTCATTGTAGCCCACGCAGGGCCACTGGTGTCTCCGCGAGGGTCACCCCCGAGATTGCTTGATGTTCGTCGTGGGCGAGCCATGATGGCACTCGAATCAATATGACGTCGCCAACAGTCGAAAGTGCGGTCGGCAGGGACAAGTTGACGACAAAGGTTGAAATCGCGATGGAAAGTCTGTCAGCCGGGAAACACGGGTGCGAGATTCGACACATGTAGCGCTTTAATAAAATAATTATTTGCATGCTGAAAAGAGGAGACGGCGCGTCATGTTTGGTTGAAAAAAGTCGTTGGCGCAGCGAATAGGGGAAGCTGCTGGCTGGCCTCAAAGCTGGTGGAGCTTCTTCGTATTCCGTAGGGTCGTATCATATTGTAGAATTCCATTCAAGCTACTGAATCCTGCCATCCTTCTTGCTTGATGGATGATGTGTTAATTCAACAGGAATTGAATGTTTACGAAAGGTGATCGGGAGGGCAGTGGTAGAAAGAAGAGAAGTTCGCTAGTGGAGCATTTTGTGGTGTGACAAAACGAGGATGCTTTTCTACACAACAGTGACAGCAGCCAGGTAGGGCTACGCAATTGTTCTCGAAGGTTGCAACTCTCTAAAGCACGCGGACATCTGCCTTCATCCTCATTTCTCACCAGATTTCTCCTTGTCCATGTCCTTCTCCTCGGCATGTGGCTGGGACTTCTCGGGATCCTTGTGGCCGCCAATAGGTCTTGCTGAATCAACAGTGCCGTGAATGCGGGCGGAAGCACCAGGTCCTTCAGCTTTCTTCGATCGATCGCCTTCATACAAGAATGGATTGCTAGCTCCGGATACATCTCCTTGAGCCTGGCGTTACTGTGTCAGTAAATGCATCTGATGGGAACTCGCTCAAGCTGGACTTACTTGTTTCTCGCCAGCTTTCTCTGTGGTAGCTCGTTCCTTTCCATCTGGAGATCCCTTGGTGTCACTGGAAGTATGATAAGCCTACACTTTCTCAATACCGTGACAGGTTTCGCAGCAACGTACGCATCCTCATCCACGGTTCCACCGGACTTCTTGTCCGCATTGTCATCTTTGTCTTCCTCCTCCTTACCCTCCTCCTTGGACTCTTCAGGTTCGTCCTTTGGCTGCTCCTCTTCTACGGATTCCTCTCCAGAGGTTTCTTCCGCTTCCTCCTTGTGTTCCGCGTGACCGTGACCGTGATCGGATTTACTGGGACCTTGCTGCCACAGCCACCCAGCGGCGGGAACAGTGACAACCAGGGAGCCAACTAGCCTGTGGTGCGCCATTAGTATTGCGGCAAGCACGTGAGAGCTCATCCTGTCAATGAACTGACCATGGAAGATCGCTGCTCTTCTTTGTGCTATGTTCTTGTGCATAGGTCCGGCGGCCAACGTTGCGCAGGGTAGTTCGAGCCTGTGTTCCTGTTCGCTTGGCGACAAAGGAACGAATACTGCCCCGGAGGGCTGCAGACCGTGGTAGGGCCATTGGAAAGATAAATGAAGGAAGCAGAAAGCCACTGGAGTGGATTGTAGAGATGTTATGAAGTAAGGTACGAGTAGTAGAGTACCTGAGAAGCTCCGGAAGAAGCTTTCCACCACCGAGTGTGGAGTGACCTGCGTCATGGTCGATGGGCTTCACGCTGCACGCTGCGCACTGTCCCTCCAATTTGATACTCGCCTCGCAGCCTGCACGAAAGACGACTCATCATGGACTTTTGACACCATTTTGTATCTCAACAACAGGCCTTCTTCTTGTCCAAAATTTCCTTCATCACACAGACGTCCTCCACCCCTCCAACTTTACCAGCGTTCAAGCGTGTTTTCTACCTGGCTTCACCGCCCCCAGCATTCATTCACTGCCATCCTTGTCCCCGCATTTCAGTCAAATTATTCAAATGCTCGACAAAGTCATACAACTTGGGAACCCTTGAGGCTCGTGTGAGGGATTGGTTGTGATCTATCTCGACAACATGGCAGGCACTCGCGGTTCCGTTCATGCGAGTATCGCGGCACTGCTCAACAAGGTCGGTGACCCTGACCCGGACATTCGTTTCATGCAACTCAGCGACCTGGCGAGCATCCTCTCGTCCCCTTCCTCGGAGTACATACGCAACGAAAATCATACTGTTGCGAGAATAATCGATGCTCTGCTCAAGGCTCTGGGCGATCAGAACGGCGAGGTGCAAAATCAGGCGTTGAAATGGTAGATCAAGAGCTTCTAATTCTAGCCATCTGCTAACATCTTCAGTATCGGTCCGTTGGCAGCCCGCACACCGGGCGACATCATTGCTCCCTTTATCGACAAACTCACCAATCTGACCGACAGCGACATCGATGTTTCAATCCCTAACACCGCCCTACGAACGCTCATTGCAGCGTTGCCTCAGCCTCAATCGAACGGAGCTCCTGCCCAAGAAGTAAAAGATTCATATGCAGCCATCAGCAAGGTTTTAATACCCAGACTAGTAGGACATGTTGTTTTGCCAACATCAAAGTCGCCTCCCCAACTACCGACCGGTCTGCTTGAAAAACAGAAGGACAAGGGCTACAGCGCCGAAGCCGTCGATGTCATGATCGAGATTGTAAAGTGCTATGGTTCGATGCTGCAGGAGCTGGAATTGGTCGAACTTGCAAAGACTGTCATGCACATTATCGAGAGTCCGCAGGCAGGCGGTGTTGTCAAGAAGAGAGCTTTGGCTGGTGTGGGTGCATTACTCGTACATTTCAACGATATGCAGGTCAGATCCTTCGTCACGGCGCTCAAGGATAGCTTCGAGAATCAACAACTCACCACAGAACATCGGAGATTCCTCATTGCTACCATCGGCACCCTTGCACGTTCCAGCCCTTCCAGATTCGGCCCCTACCTGAACGATGTGGTAGCCTATGTGCTCCAGGTATTGAGCCAGCAAGAGATGTCGTCCTCAGCATCGGTTGATGACGAGGACATGGAGGCGGATACCGAGACCGAGGAATTACGAGAGGCAGCATTGATCTCGCTGGAATCCCTCCTAGGATTCTGCCCCACCGAAATCCATTCCTACCTTCCTGATGCTATTGATGCAGCCTTGAGATATCTCAAATACGATCCCAACCTGGCGGCAGTCGAAGATGACGAGATGGCAGGGACGCAGGAAGACAACTCAGATGACGGCATTACCGAGGAACCTGCAGACGACGATGACGACGAATATGCAGAGCTGGACGACGAAGACGCATTTAGTGATGTGGATGACATGAGCTGGAAAGTCCGACGATGTGCTGCAAAGGTCTTGTACACCATCATCTCGGGAGCTTCGGCAGCAGACAGAGGCCTTCTTTTTGAAAAGATCGCACCAGTCCTCATTTCTTGCCTCTTCAACGAGAGAGAAGACAGTGTCAGACTGGAAGTTATTGCCGCAACTACTGCTTTGATTCGCAAAACAGGTTCCGCTTTGATTCACGAACTCACACGGGTTGATTCGTCTGAAGACCCTGCTGCACCGACTAATACCCGGAAGCGGAGAAGACAAGATAGTGAGGCAGATCGAAAAGACCCAGACCTGAAAGGCCTGGTTGCCACACGGTCCAGTCCACCTATCATGCCTGCATCACCTCCGACCGGCTCCCAAGCAGAATTGGTCGTACTCGTGCCAAAGATTGTCCGGGCACTCTGTAAGCTATGGAAAAAGGCTAGCATGTCGCTCAAACAGGCATCTATTACCATGCTCAAGACTCTTACTTCGTCAAGAAATGGTATCCTATCCGATCACCTACAGCAGCTCGAAGATCCAATTGCCGATGCACTCAAGCCATCAAGCGCTGCTGGCTCAGGGGGAACTGGATCAGGAACATCAGCAACTGTTTCCAGTCTGCAGATAGAGACCTTGATTTTGATCAGCACTATTGTGGAAACCAATGGCACCACTGCACTGATACCCTTCGTCATTGCCTTGATACCACCAGTCACAACAGTCGCTCGGGAGAGAAACTACAAAGTCTCAAGTGAAGCACTTTCCACCATTGAGCAATTCGTCAAAGCTCTGACACCTCCTCGACTGGCTACCTCTAGTCAAGATCATGCTATACATATTCAGAAGCTATGGGAGGTTGTTGAGAATCGAGTGGCCGACAACAACACTGACCTCGAAGTACGTCATCGAGCTATCCAGGTCTTTGGCGTGCTTATCGCAAGAACATCTTCCACGAATCTTCTACCGGGTGACGCACGTGTCAAGAGTCTCGGTATTCTCGATGACAGATTACGAAACGAAACGACAAGACTTGCCAGCGCAAGAGCCATCGGTCTTATTGGTGAGGCTGCAGGCGTTCAAGATAACATCGGGACTGCCTGGATACAAGATGTTTCACTTGAGATGGCAAATCAGCTTCGCAAAGCAGATCGAGCTCTTCGCGTCTCGTGCTTGGAGTCATTACAATATCTTGCCCTCAACCCCGTCACATCTTCACAATATGATACGAACACAATATTGCAGCTCCAGAGCTTGTTGATGCCTTTGATCTCAACCAGCGATCTACACCTTCTTACTCCGGCATTGGTCATCCTATCGAAGATTATCCCAACGAATGCAAAAGCCCTGGTGAATGAAGAAGCCGTCCATGCTCTTTGTACCATTACACAAGCCCGACTCGAAGGGCCACCTCTACGAGCATATCTTCTAGTGGTGAAAGTTATTGGTGAGCATGGTGTAGGCGCTCCACTTATGAAAGGCCTTCTGGCAATAGGTACGGCTGGTGAAACAATGGTGCTTGGAAGAGCGATTGGAACTCTATTGGTCTACGGAGGTGACAACCTCGGTGTCACGATATCGGATTTCCTCAAAGAATTGGAAATATCCCAGGACATTCGAGCCGTTTGCCTTGCATTGACCGTCCTGGGCGAGGTCGGCTTCAGAACGGGACCTCAGTCTCCAGTTGATGTACAGACGTTTATCAAATGTCTGTCGGCTGAAGCCGACAAGGTTCGACTCGCTGCTGCTGTGGCCCTCGGAAGTGCCAGCTCGAACAATGTCAGCCAATCGCTGCCGATCATTCTGCAAAGCCTGAAGCAAGACGACGGGCAGGATTATCTGTACCTCCATTCCCTCAAGGAGATACTGGAGCACTCCGAAAACTCTCCGGGAGAGCTGGCTCCTTTCGCATCTGAGCTCTGGCAAAAGTTATTTGCTGTGTCACAGTCAGAGGATAACAGTGCTGTTGGCGCCGAATGTATTGGCAGACTTGCGACCATTGACCCAGGTATCTACGTGCCGGAGTTAGCGAAGTCACTGGAGGATCCCAACCCTGCTGTTCGAGGCACGGTCATTTCCGCCTTCAGATTCACTCTCGGCGAGACAAGTAATTCATACAACAATCTCCTCGTTAAGATGATGACGCCTATGCTGCAGACCATGCTGAACGACTCCGACATCGCCAACCGTCGTCTTGCCGTCACCACCCTGAATGCAGCTATCCACAACAAGCCCGAACTTGTCATTCCTGATATCGGTCAGCTTTTGCCTACCATCCTTGACGCTTCCTGTATCAAGAAGGAGCTTGTGAAGACGGTCAAGATCGGACCGTTCACGCATCAGGAAGACGGAGGTCTGGACCTGCGGAAATCCGCATATGCCACTCTCTACGCTTTGCTCGACTCTCCTGGCGCTATCCCACACCTACCTATTGCCAAGATTTTCGACCGTATCCTGGATGGAATTCCCGATGACACCGATATTCGTACGCTGTGCAATCTGATGCTCTCGCGTCTCTCGGTGATTGACCCTGACGAAGCACGTCGCCGCCTCTCTGCTCTCGCCGAGAAATTCCGCGTCGTTCTCGGTGCTAAAATCAAAGAGAATGCCGTCAAACAAGAGATCGAAAAGGTCAATGAAGCCAACGCTGCGGTGATCAGAACAACCATGGAATTGGACCGAAAGTTCCCATCCGCGAGCACTGAGGTCAGTGGAGATTTGGTGGCTTGGAAAGGATACGTCGAGTACGTGAAGAAAGAGTTTGCTCAGGTCGTTCGCAATGTGCTTGCCGAGACTGCTTAGTGGGCCTACATGTGGTCGGAACATGTGGTCGAAACGCGTGGTTCCAACCTGTGGTTGAAATGTGATGACGATGATGACTAGTCCTTCCAGATACCTACCTAGGTATGCATTACAGCGTCGTGACTGAAGGAGAGGCGGAAGGAGAGACGGAAGGGTAGATAGACACATCAGCGTGGCATTCATGGCGCTGGGCATGCTTGAAACGTGTATGAAATTAAGGCGGTGTAGTGTAGGTTCCAAAAGTCACGGGCTCCGTTCAATGATGGGCAATATTCACAACGAGACCAAAAGCGTCTAAGTTAGAGAGCAGAAGGAAAACAAAGCCCTTGGAAGCAAATCTCGGGGGATCAGATCAGACCCTTCTCATTCTCTCGTTGAGGTGTCCTTGCTTGTAAAGCATGTCGGATTCTGGCTCAAGGTGCGTCGGTCGAGTTCGCTTGTCCTCGTACTCGTACATAAGCAGATGCATTTTTGTTTCTAACCCAGGCTGCTCGGAGCTCAACTCTGCGAACCCAGGATCGGGAGCTCTGACAAGGGCCGTTGCAGGTTGACCTTGATTTTTCTCTCTATCAAAAGATTCCTCGTCGAGAACGTCCCTTTCCCGCATCTTTCTCTCAAGTTTCCTTTGCACTGAGCCCATAGTCCTAGTCTCGTCCTAGTCTTGTCCATATGCTCCCATCGTCCCCCGTCTCTGTGCAAATGCAAGTTCCAACCTGATCATATCCATACCACGACCAAACACGCTCGCAAATGCGCCGTTCCGTGCTGAAATCGACAGAAAGACCATGGAAAATAGGATGACAGCATGTCAAAGGGGAGTCTGGCGTATGTTGTTGGTGCTGGGAACCATGAACCTTGTGTCGTGTGTTAGTGTCGGTGTCGGTGTCGAACGTTACAATCACTCTCCATACTTTTTCAATCACAGTCCTCCACATATCTAGCATGTGCGGACCGAGAAAACTGGACAACTACCATTGCCGAGTTTTGATAGGTGGCTCTTCAGTCTTGCTGTCCAAAACAAAACATTATCGTGCGCTGTGTCGTCAATTCATTCCGGCAAGCAGTCCCCGGCAGAACAACAAGACTGGGGTGGAGGGGATTTTCCATCAGCGTCAATTGACCGACTGATACAGGAGGAGAGGTTCGCCGACGTTCTCGATTTCCGGGATCGTACATTTCAAATCAAACGCCTTGGACAGGACGATTTTGAAAATCTTTTGCACATTGATGCTGTGGCTTGTGCTGCTGAAGATCAGGCTGGCGCGCATGGCTTTGGCAAATCTTCTGGCCTACCATGTTGTCAGCATTGCTGCCATTGTACCAAAAGGGGCAAGGTATACCTGATTGCTTATCTCCTCTTGATCTTCTCTGGGGAAATTGACAAAATGGTCATATTTCGTGCCAATCAGGAACGGGATTGCCGTCTTGTTGAAGCCCCGTCCCTGCCTGTACCATTCTTTGATACTGTTCAAGGTGGATTTACGTGTGAGGTCGAACATGAAGAGGATGGCAACGGCGTCGTTACAGACTAGCGGCAGCATGTTGACGAACTCGCGCTGGCCTCCCAGATCCCAGATGGAGAAGGTGATCTCGGTGTTGCGTATTGAGATGGTCTTCTCCATGAAGTTGACGCCTGTATGTGCCCATTGTTAGATGAGGTTTCTTTCTGGCGAAATGATGGCAGGCCAAGGGCGTACCTAATGTCTGGATATAGTCTTCATCCCAGCTGCCCTCCACGTATTTCACCATCAGACTTGTCTTGCCTATCTGTGCGTCCCCGACCATGCCGACTTTAATGACTACGCTGCTCTTGCTGGCGGGTTGAGGTTGTCTATTTTCCGGGTATTGTGTTTGTGGATGCCCGCCCATGCCGGAGCCCGGTCTTGAATTGGGTTGTGGGTACAGACTCGGGGAATTATATCTCTGGTTCGAGTCATGATCTAAAGGGGGCGTAGCCGTGGCTTGCTGTGGGTGACCGTTCTGGACGGCGGTCGTATCTTCTTGTTGGTCGTTGTCGATAACCTGCGGGCTGTATGCCGAGTCGGCGGGGTAGTCATTTTGACCGGTAAGATCCATGGCTGGGAGAGAAGGATCGAGAGCTTGGACAACGAGCGGAGAGTGAGCAGTGGTGACGGAAGGATAGGTGGTTGATGGCTGGAGAGCCTGGAGTCAGTCCTGCGAGGAATGCCCCGAGGGTTTGTTCATACTGCGGTCGAGGCGTTTACAGTTTACTCAGGTCGGACTGCGGAGGCCTTCAATTGGCTGTCACGTCACGTCAAGAAAAAGGGAAGATAAAGTCGCGTTTGGGCCTGGCTGACATAATCTTTCAACATTTGCACCGCACCATGCCACCTAGGTGCACGCCTGTGCTAAGGGGCATGGTCCCTCACTGGGCCTTTAGGCGTATCAGTTTGAGGTTGAGGCCTAGGCCAAATGATTTTCTAGGTACATTGTCCACAGTAAAGAGTACAAATACCCATAGGTCAGCTTATTTCGTCGCAGCATCTCATTGACATTCTTCACATGACACCACCCTCTTGGTTTCTCGCCCTCGCCTCGTCCACACTACGCTGCCAGTCCGTGCGACTCAAATATATAAACTCAATCAACGCCACCAGACCCAGCGCTAGGGCCACACCAGTCCACAACCCCCAGAGACCCCAGTGCTTGCCGAATGCCAGACCGAAGCTCAGCGGCATAGCGAAAACATAGTAGCAGAACAGTTGAACATACCCTCCGAACTCCTGCCGCCCGAGACCACGCAAGATACCATTGCACGCCGCAGCCAGGGCGTCGAAGAGCTGGAATGCAGCGCATAGCGGCAAGATTTCCGACACGATGCGGACGACTTCTGGATCCGAGGTGAATAGCCTGGGAATATAGTCCTTCAGCGTGGACAGAAGAGTGACATTGAGCACGCCGACAACAATGGCCGCAGAGAACGTGACTTTCGTGCTGACTTTGGCGGCATCGGCGAGCGTGGCACCAATAAGATTTGCAACGCGCGTTGAGCCGGCGATGGAGAGGGGGAACGGGATCTGGAATGTGATCGAGGTAAGCGTCGCGAGGACAGATTGAGCGGCAAGGACGGTCGTGCCGAAATATGAGGCGGCAAAAGTCAAAATCTCAAAGGCCAGGACCTCTGCTTCGATCATGATAACACCGGGCAAGGCCAGTTTGACCATGGGACCCCAATTCTGCAAGGCCTTCTTGGTGAATCCGTTCCAGCACGACATGCCGGATTTGGAGAAGAAGCGGACGTATATAAATAAACCAACTGGAAGGAGGTTGTCGGTGATGGCGACCGCCAGTGGTGCGCCCACGAACCCCATTTCGAGTTGCCAGACAAACAGCCAGTTCATAAAGGCGTTGAAGGGCGCACAGAAGAGGAGGACGTAGAGTGAGGCCGAAAACAGACCTTGTGCTTGGACGTAGCGCTTGCCTGCCTCAAACGCCGCATAGCCCGGTGCACCTGCAATCACGACTTTGAGGTACAGACCAGCAAGCCTTGCGACTTCAGGTTCAGGGACGATGACCAGCAAGATCTTCTCGGCGAGTACCCAGATGATGGCGATGGGGATACTGATCGTCCACAGGAAGAACACCATGCGTTGCATTTGGAGGCCTACCAACTTCTTGCGGCCAGAGCCATAGGCTTGCGCGCAGAGTGTGTCAAGCGACGTCGCTAGACCTTGATAGATTGCGTAGCCTGTGATGTTGGCGGACATTGAAGCGAGACTGACGGCACCAAGTTCAACAGTCCCAATGTGGCCGACTGTAAATATACTGGCCACTGTCAAGGAGTATTGTAAGAGGAAAGTCACCATCAAGGGAGCCGAATAGCGGGCAATGACCTTGGCTTCGCGTTGCCAGGTGGTGTGGATCATGCCAGCAGCCACGGCTTCTTCCCATTTCGCTTCGATGTTCTTCGCATCGGCTTGTCCGCCATACGGCAGGCTTGGATCGCCCAGTAGAGGGCTAACTTCAGACGCGACACCCAGTTCGCCGTCTAAGGCTGGTGTAGCTTCTTCATCTCGAGAGACCTTGCGGTCGCCGCCAGGTATACTAAATATGCTTTTCTTTCGGCCGCCATCTTCTGCTTGGGGGTGCTTAGGTGGGATGATGTTGTTGTCTCGGAGGAGACTCCTTTCCTCCTCTAACGCTCTTTCTCTCTCAAGCCTGGAGAGTCTTTCATGCTCTGGGAATGGCCGTGGGAGGACCGTGGCTCTGTTCCCTGCGCCGGCGAAGCTGGGTCGACGATATGATCCCACAAACGAATACCCTCCTGGAGCAGACGTGGAAGGTCGAAGAGTCGAGCCTTCGGACTCGGACTCGGATTCTGCAGCTTCGGAATCGGTGTCTTCTGCGAGATCTCGGGCGAGCGATGCTTGCGCAATAGGAGAGGAAGTAGGTAAGGAATTCTGGAACACTCGACTCGCGCGGCTTGTGAGGCTGGTCACTCTTTCCAGAGTGCGGGCATTCTTGGGATGAGTCATGGTGGGACAATTCGACGATGCGGAAACCGGGTTACTCCGCTATTGTTCGAGATGGGCAGCTCGCATGCTCAGTATCGCCGAGCACGTTTAGATGGGTGTATACATGTAGTGCGACAACGATTCCTCATTGCAAAGACCGCACCAGGTACTGAACAAAGAGGAGGGAAGTTGGAAACATGGGGATTTTGGACTGATAAAGCTTGCGAAGGGACCCTGCACGTCGGCCATATGCGATGGCCTTTTGATCGGCTGCAATGGCCACATCGGGCATCGGTTATCAAAGGCGTCTGATGGCGTGCACAGGCTAATCAAGAGGCGAAACAGCACAGCAGCAATTCGAGAATCCGTCCTGTCGGCTCCATACCTGGAGGAGAAGAAGAAGATAGATCGACAGACGCTGTTGTGAACATGATGAACCTTGGCATACCGGTATATTCACCTGTTCGGACTTTAGGTAGTGATGAGGACGAGTTGAGTGGTGTTCATCCGGGCGTCGATAGGGTTCACTAGGCAGCCTTGTGAAGGCTAGTAGGCTACCTGACTTAGTACCAGCCTTGTCGTTCGGGGCTGTTTCTAGGCGAGGCCCTCGGTTGTCATCAGCCGACCACTTACTGTACCACTTCCAACGTCCGATGACTGAAGCAATTCATACCTAGATATCTTTCAGCTTCATCGCATCTCATCTCATCTCATCCCATTCCATCCAATATTCCACGACTTAGCTCTAATTATTATTCGACGTCCAGGTCATCTTCATTCATTCCTCTGCTGGACTACTCCGTACCGTACCCTCTTTCGAAGAATATCAAGCATTTCCATCACCCGAAATGCCCGCTACCTCAACAGCACCGGCCTCCCCCGAGGACGACTGGCATATCCTTTATAACCCCTTTCGCACTTCGATCAACGTAGACGAGTAAGTCCACATATGAGTCAATTCTGCGCTTTACCACTACTAAGCATTTCAGGACACATCCTTCCAACCCGGTCAAGCTCTTCTTTCTCCAGCCGCTTTGGGCGCCGTTATTGTTCTCCAACACTTCCTCAGACGCACGCGACCACTGCGCGAACGAAAGGACGTTCCTGTCGTGGCTTCGCCTGGCTGTCTACATGGCCGTGGTCTCCGTCGCCATCTTCGTCAACTTCCATCTGAAGCATCAACCTACGTCGCTCGAAAAAATGCTTTCGCATCCCCTGGGCATTATTTTCTGGGTTCTCTCGCTCGCCTGTCTCGTCAGTGGCATGGCCAACTATATGCGCACCGTGGCCGGGTATGCCGGGAGACGTGCGTTGGTTCAGTCCGGCATCAAAACCCAGATTGTCTTTGGCGTTGTGGCGACAGCCATTGTCGCAGCATGTGGATTGTTCTTGGGTGCCGAAGCTCAAGCTGCGAGACTCGGTCGTAGGAGCTGATGGACAGGCAAAATATCACCCTTGAAAGAGTATCATTCTATCCATTGACTCGCACTTTTCCTCCCTGGTTGGACCGGTCCCAGTATCTTTTGCGACGCAGTATTGTACATTTTCACCCACGTCCAGATTCGCACCTGCGTTGTCGTGCCCCTTTTCGGAATGCTCAAGGCCCACCGTGCAGCGAAGCAAATGAGTTTTCCCGGCTCAACTCGACCCAGCTACGCAGTACTGAAGTCATGTACCATCCGGATCAACGACTAGAATCAATTGAAAGAGCCACTGCGAGCCTCATTGCACTGTCACAACCCATCCCTCGTCCACGACTTCCTCATCTCTCCTACCTCCCCAGATCACAAACACGTGTCCTCCTTGATCATTCCAGACGTCACAGCCGAAGTCGTACAGTCCTTCCGGCCAACCGCCGCTAGACTCCTTTCCTATTGCGCTGTCGCCTTGGTGCTGTTGAGTCTCCTTCTTGGTGTCCTCTTTGGCCAGCTCACATTTCGCCCAGGTATGCTTGCCCGAGTCCCAGGAAGTCTTTGCTTTGCTCACCATGTCCCGCACTTTGTCCTTGATGCTGGCGGCCGAGGCCTCTTCGGACTGTATTTGGAATGACCAGAAGTCGTTTAACCCACCAGTCTTGAGCTCCCGGCCCATGAAATAGACCAAATATTGTCGACCGGCGCCCGTGGTTATAGGCACAAGACCAGCGGAAAGTCTGGGCATGGGGAGTTGAGACGCATTGGTGCTCGCGCTGCTGGTGCCTCCAGGACCACCCGGGTCTGTCGCTTCTGTGCCGAAACTGATTACTTGCCACTTTCCGTCGCCCTTCAAGCCAACACCCAGCACCGATGCATCGTTTGTGTTTGGACCGCCAGGGAGATTTGTGTTGGGATGTGGATGAGAGTCATGCTCCGCGAGTTCTAGATACATCGCGCGTCCGAAGCCGTCGCCGAGTCTCCATAGACGTCCATTGACATAGGCAATCCTGCCCTCGTTGGCTATCTCGGATGGCCCTGGGTCAGGTATGTCCGGTAGACGAGTCCATACTCGTGCTCCAATATCAAATGCCCACGTGTCTCGCAGATCTGTATCCAAAGATGCACCGCCTGGAGAATCAGAGCTGCCGCCGTGGATGAAGATCGTGCCGTGGGCGTCGGTCGTTGGGCCATCTGGAAGTGAACCAGGTTGTGGATGTGGTGAGGATGTTGCCGTATGATTTGTCCTTGGCGGGGGAAGACCTTCGCGACACTTGGATGGGTCGGCCGTCAGGATGTTGTAAGTGTTGGTCAAAACATCGAAAACCACAAAGTGGTCCGACGATTGTGCAGGTACGTCTTCTGGAGGTTGATCGGATGTCGAGCCTTTGCCTCCCCAGATATACAGCTTGTCGCCAATTGCAGTTGTTGTATGACCCGCTCTGTTGAAGGTGAACCTCGAGCTGCTAGTTTCTTCAGAGCCGTCGTGGGGTGCAAGCGGACGGTTGTCGTTTCGGTATTGGGGTTGAACATTCTCGACATCCTGGGGAGTCAAATCTCCTTCACCATCTGTGGACGAGGCAACTGGTAGAGTGACAGCGAGAACAGTGTTGTCGTCTTGACGACCACCAATGATGTAGGCTTTCCCTTTGACGATATTCAGAGTATGTCCTGATCTTGCCAGTCCTTTCTCACTGGTTGGGAGAGCTATCTTCCGAAAGTTCAGATGTAAAGGCGCCGTCGACCTGGACACTGCCAATGCACCGACTGCGGCGCCTTCGACGACTGTTTCTGCCGCATAAAGGGCTGCTGCTACTTCTGCCATGGTCGCTGCTTATGTGGACTGCGTTCAAAGGATGTTGATGGCGACGTAGTGTATCCTAATTTTGTCGGAGCTTCTCATCCAGTCCACCCTGTCTTCAAGTCGTCCATAATAAGTCATTTGAAGCCTCTGTTGTTACAACGACGGATGATGTCATGCTCAGCAATGATGCAACAATAGTACTACTAGTAGTATCTGAAACTGAAATGAAGCTCGCGAGATGAGGATGTAATTCACCATGAGAGACTTATCCTTGAGGCATGTAGACGGAATAGATACTGTTCATCGGCCACTGATGCGCTTGCCTGAATCTCTCGGGTGTCGCCTATTTGCTTGACTCAAGATGTCTTCATCGTGGTAGACTACCTACCTAGCTAAGTTACTGTGTACGTGAAAGGTCGACTATCTTGATTCAGCCTGTGTTTACCCCTGTCAAGACCAATTCAGCCCGATGACCTTGAACCGGCTGCCAAAACCTGCTTCAACCGCGCGCGCAAGTCTGAATGTTTCATGCCCTCCACACCTATCAAGTGCCAACTGTGTGTCACACAGAACCAAGCTTGTGGGTGGAAAGTGTCACACAGGACGAAGAAAGTGACTGGTACTATATAATGTTAGGTACATGCATTGCTGTCACTGGTTGTGGTTGTGCCTGCATCATGCAACTGACGAACGTGGCGCATCTCGACTTCACTTCCCATCACCTGCAAGGTGGCACGAGGACTTGTTCACATTCATCGTGGCGCTTGACAAGTGACTTCACAAACCTCGACATATCGACATTAAGAAGCATGAATGATCGCAACACTTCAAATTGACTTGAACGTTTGTTCTATTCTACCATCCAGCCCCGTGACTACGACGCAGCTGCCACTTGACCTTGGCCTTACTGGCCCTTTCGATATACGAGTTGAACAGCGCATTCTATACGACCTGAACAGCACATTCCTCGCAAACTGCGACTACTACTACTTCTCTACAAGCTCTTCGCAAGAGAAAACCTTCCCGTGTATATATCTCATCTAATCTCCTCCACCATCCTTCAGTCCACTCCACCACGTTAGCCTACGCCGCCCAGGATGTCTACGCCCACTTTCCTAGCCAAATCTTCAGCAGAAGAAAACACCACTCCTCTCGACAAAGGAACCTACACTCCATCTTCGCCCTCCGACCTCCGTAGCCCGTGTCCCATGATCAACGCGCTCGCAAATCACGGCTACCTTCCTCACGACGGACGAAACATCAGCGCCGCCGACTTTTCCTCCGCCATGTCCCTCGTCGGCCTCAGTCCCTTCCTAGGCGCATTGTTCAGTAACGCCGTCTTCCTCCAACACCCAACTCCTTCTGCACCAAAACCCTCGTTCGTATCCAGACTCCGCGCCATCTTCGCCAACCCCTGGGAACTCCTCCCTCACCGTCTCGGCGTGCTCTTGCCCGGCCACCTCCGAATGCAAACGGACCTTGCTGGCCGCAAAGTCAGAGTCCTCAACCTAGACCAACTCTCCCTCCATGGCGCAATAGAGCACGACATCTCGCTATCCCGCCGGGACTTGGCACAGGGCGACAACCACACCTCTCAAGCCGATCTGATCGAACAAATCCTCGGTGCGTCCTCCGACGGCGGAAAGACATTCAGCATGGACGACCTCTGCGCGCTACGGTGTCGGAGGATCGAGACCCAACGACTGGAGAACTCCGAGTTGCAATACGGCGCGTTCGAGCACGAACTCGGATGTGGCGAGATTGCTCTGCTTTTGAAAGTGTTTGGCGATGGGACGAGAGTGAGGTGTGACTATCTGCGCGCATTCTTTGTCGAGGAGAGGTTGCCGGTCACGGAGGGCTGGAGGATAGGCAGGCGCTCATGGTGGAGGGCGTTGGGGCTCGTGGGGTTGAAGTGGACGGTCGAAAAGGTCAAACGCAGAATTGGCAGCGTGTGAAAGGAGTATCGACCAAAGAGACCTCGCGAACGTGGGATGTTTTGTCCGCTCCCTAAGAAACTGTTCAATCGGGTATCGTGTATGCATATCTTTCTGTCCTGCTGTGTGCTGTTTCTGCGCCTGGAACGCCTGTTGCTGCCATGCATATGCCCATCCCTCGTTCATCCGCCCGCATGGTTGACAAGCCCCGGAACACGCTGTGACCGCCCTAGACAAGCTCAGCTCCGCTCAGCTCACTTTACTTCTTCTCGGCCGCTTCCAACATCCTCCTAATTTGAGTCTCATTGGCGACCTCACTCAGCTTGCCCTCGGCCATCTTCTCCCACCAGTCAAACAGCATCCCTTCACAGATCAGCCTGAACCACGGTGTGTATTTCAACGCCTGGTCCTTCCCACTCCGCGACTCGACGTCCTTGAACATTTGCCGCAACTGCTCAGGACTGACCCACCTCGTATCCTGTACTTCATTTTTATTAATGTCCAAAGTGACGTCGGCCTCGATGAATAGGATATAATCGATCTCGTGCTCGCCCCATTTCCCATCCGACGGCGCGAGGTAGTGTATCCTTGTGAGAAAATTGAATTTCTCAATCGGCACTTCCGACGGCTGGATGCCCAGCTCGTGGTTCAATTTGCGGATCGCAGCGCGCTTGGCGCCTTCGACGTTACTGACGAGATCGCCGTGGCCCGTCTCGGACGGGTGCGCGAGCGGGTGTGAACAGCATGTGTTGGTCCACATGTCCGGGAACGTGATCTTTTCAGAGGCGCGTTGCTGGAGGAGCAGTTTCTTGGTTTTGGGGTCGAACACGAAGGCCGAAAATGCACGATGCAATAAACCCTGGTTGATGTTGGTCATGAGGTGGCAGGCCTTTTTCGAGGCCGACCCGATGGGCATGTCGTTGTCGTCCAGGACGATGCATACTTCGTCCATCAGCCGGATTTGTTCTTCGTCGTAGCCGGCGAGATCATCGGAGGAGTTCGACGAGGCGTCGGGTGTGGCAGTCGGTGCCATGTCGGCGCCAATGAGGCGGGTGTGCACGTCGGGAAAGAGTGTAGTGACATTTTCGCGCGTGATGGTGGTCATCTTGACGAAGGACTTGGAATGACTGTAGCTTCGCGTCAGCGTTAGCAGTGTTGGGTCTTTAGTAACGAGTGTGAGGAGCAATGTATGCAGCTGGTGGCGGGGGTTAGAAAGATGGGACTGAGACGAAGCGATCGCAGGGCGAAGGCGGTGAGGACGAAAAAAATATCGCCCTAGGGGAAATGCGAGGTCACGTGTCAGGGGTAAACTGGCGAGGCCGGGCGATGAGATGGGGATCCCGAGTGGGTTGACCACTGCCTCTTTACTCCATATCTCATGTCAATGTCCGGTGAATAGTGCTACCTTGTTTGTCATGATTGAGTCCTCTTGATTGATAACATAACACATCGTCGCTCGGCGCTCGTCTTTCTCAACCGTTTGTGAATTCTCCGGCAAGCATGTTTCTCGCACTTGCGCGAATCCAGGCCTACTCTTTAGGGTCCTGCTGTAGCCTGCTGTCCACAACTCGCTGCCCAAGCTCAAGAATCAATCCTTCCTTGCATGGTCCCTGATACCCCTGCTGGGGACATTGACATCTTTGCTGGCGGCTCTTATCATATGCCATTTCGTAGCATGTCAACGTCGGGTTCGATATCTCAGAGCACCGTTTTCCGCCTTCATATCGCAAAGCGCATTTGTTTGAGTTTTCGACACCAAGGAGTCTGCTCTCGAATTACCAGAACGGTCTGACGATCTGCTTCTGCTGTACAGCCTGAACACCACTTCCCTCTCCAGATATCTGGCGTTGTGCTCGTGAGTCTCTAGAGGCAAGGTCTCGACAGCCAAGAACCTAGTCCAACCGCGACGGTCTGGCCAGCTCAGTCCGATCCGGGAAGTGGACATTTTGCTCTGCCACAGTGAGAAATCTTCGTGGCTGGCATGAATGAAGATCAAGCTCAAGTGAAAGTAAGCGTGATGGGTTTCAAGCGACATATTTTGCATGTATTGGCAATCATCTTGGGAATCCACAGGTGCTCGGCAGCCGCAAGTCCAATCTGCTCTCACCAAACGTGGAAAGAAGTCGAATACAGCGATGAAGTCTTTCTCAAAAAAGTGATCGTGGCCCCAAACTTCACCGAAAGCAGAGTCTTGTCTAAAGCTCTTGTATATCAGCTCCAACGGGCACACTTGAATGCCAGTCTCGGCCGCCACGCAAGCGTGAAACGCCTCTTTCAGCTTCAAGTCACTTCCTATCCAGGAAACACCGCGTTGTGCACCATGTAGGAAGATAAACTTCGTTAGAGACGGAAAATAGCTGGCCAGATTGTCCGTCTCCTCCTTAACAATGACCGGGACTTCAGAATCGAGGACGACCGTTCTGACCAACGCTGCCTCTTCTAGTGGCATGAAAAAGCGCGATCTCGTGCTGCGAGGACTCCTAATCGTGTATGGTGCCACTTTGAGGGTAACGCTCTTCCATGCAACATGCTTCAAGAGCTTGCTGTTGTGCAAGGCTGAGCATGTATGGAACAGACCGAAAGGGTTGATAGCCGCTCTCTGGTAATGCCAGTCCCGTTTGAGTCCCACCGTCGATTCTGCAAACAGAAGGTCGACTATCATCGCAAGCACCTCAGTTGGTAGGTCGAGGAGCTTTGCCATTCTTGATGCGCTTGCGCCTATAGCTTCATGAGTTGGTCGGAATGGAGACGTGGGCGCAGGCGAGGCTGTATTGTTTTGGGTCTCGGAAGAGTGTGAAGAGTCCGAGTAGAGAGGAGGACTTGAGGGCTGATGTAGAGTTTTCCCTTTGGAGCTGGAGGATCAGTGAAGGACGAATGCCTGAGAATTTGGTGTCATAGTATAAACAACTGAGATGAAGGTGAAGACGAGATGAAGGGCAAGTGAAAGCAACAAAAGACAAGGAAGGCGACCACGGCTGGAGAAGTAGCAATCCTTCAAACACCAAGGTGCCGATCAGGATTCGAGCCTCTTCAGGATTGTTTTCAGGAACCAAGTGAGTGATATTGCAAGCTCAAGAAGCCAAAGTAGCTCCCAAACGCCGCATTCTAGAATCCCACACGAACCATGGACATTGCGCGACAAGAACAGACGTCCTGAATTCCAGGGCAAGCCGTATTGATATCCTTTCTTCCTTGAGGACATGTTGTACCGAAACTCGAAACCCATACTCCTCGCTAAGCTCTGAATGATGTAACAATTGTCCTGGATTGCTCCGGCAACTCTAGTCCCACCTGAAGAGTCCACTATACACTGACTTCTCCTTCTTCTTCTGCCATTTCGGGGCCGGAGTTGGAGAGTTCCTTAGCAATATCATTGGTGTCAGTCGTCAATTCCTCTCTCCCGCTCGTCTCTTTGACATCGTTGTTCTTGATATCGCTCAAAATCCGTTCAAAATAAGCTTTGAGGGTTCTCAAGCCTCGCAAATACCCACGGTCAATATCCTGCGGATGAGCTGGTGGTGCTTGTGCATTGGGTGGAAGTTCGTCTTCGCCGGTTACACAGTTGGCGAAATCCACAATCTTGATGTCGATTGGCGGTGGCCATTTCTTGCCCTCCTTCTTCTTCAGTTGAGCGATGTCAACGCCATTCCTTGCCGCTTCTTCAGCTTCACGAGATTTGTGCGGCTCGGCATCGTAGAGCATGAGCAACGAACTCGCGTAGAATCGGTACCCAGGTAGCCGTCTGACCATGCTCTCAAGCTTAGAGAGCTTGTGCAGGATCGTTGGTATATGGCGTGCCACACTGGCATAGCTGACACCGTCATAGAGAAATCTGGTCAGAGCTTCTCGAAATTCGCGCCCAGCTTTGAGATCACGGCCGTAATACTTGTCCTCGTACGACGCCTTCTGCGTTTTGGAGTTGAAAGTCTGCATTCCGCATATCCTGACACCCAGCTGCTGAGATGTGGTCATCTTACATTTGCGCCGTTGAGACTCCATCTTCTTTTTGGTGGCTTCGACCCCAAATTGCCTGGTTCCCATTTTCAAATCTAGCACGCAGGGACGGCCCATACCGCTGGTAAGATCTTCCAATAGAATGAAATACGCCACTCGATCGCCAGAGGTCGACGATTGCGCCTCTTTTGGGTTGGAAGGAACAGGACTAGCTTCGTCCTGTTCTCTTACTTGTGAGAGACCGCCCGTTCGGCTGGTCCATTTTTCTGCATCGTCTGCCGTAACCTTCCTTTTTGCAACATTTGGAGCTTGCGGTTGCTTAACGACGTCGCCGGCACCATCAGTCTTATGGTCCTGGTCCATGGCGAAGACGTCGGCTCCAGTATCTGGACCAACATCTGTAGAGTAAGCCTCGTCTTCAAAATATTCAAGATCGGGATTCTGCTTCTCGTTGACGGACATTCGCCGCCGGCGTAGACCCATACCAGAGTGACGCCTCTTCACATGCGCTCTGCTTTCCGCACTTGAAGCATTTGAAAGGTCACTCCCAGTCGTCTTGACATGTTCAAGCTTGTAATCTTCATACGCTGACGCTGACGACGAGTACACGCCTTCTGTGCTTTGCTCAATCAAAGAGGGTATTTTGCTAATGGGAGTTGCCTGTGGGGTTTCAGTCTTAGAGGATGGCTCCTGCCGTGGTTGGTTCAATTCTTCGTCTGCCTGCTGGTCCCTCTGAGGTAGTGAATTTACCGAAAGATTGCTTCTTCGGCGACTACCATGACCGCCCTTCAGCCTTGGCATTGTGCTATGTGTATGCAGATGGCGGCGGTAATACTGGATTGGGGGTGGTCCAAAGACTTCCCGGAGAATTTTGTCTTTCAGGCCTTCATTGACAGACGTATTACCCCAGCTATTGGAGTGCTCCGGCATCGACGGCCGGATGAGTGATCTGGGATATTGCGTCTCGTCGTGCACCTGTGCACTCGATACGTCAAAGTCCTTGCTGCGGCGACGTCCATGATTTGGGTCGGCACTTCGCGGTCGTTCCGGTAGCACGAAGTAGTCTGATGGGATGATGTGTTTGTTCTGTTCCAAGATAACTTGGGGGATACTGCCGATCTGTTGTGAATGGCTCACTATCCGGGGTTGAGGCATCTGCTGAGTGACTTCGGAGCCTGCCGCTGGTAGGTCTGATCTATTCACGTCGGCTGACTGTACCTCACTCGCGTCAGAGCCATTAGTTCCTGACTTGTCTGTTGCTCCCGAGTTTGCCGCTTGTTTGGGACCTTTCGAGAACGTTACGTTCAAGACCCCAATATATCTGGGAAGAAATTTGAGCATATCCGGATGTCTGTGCTCGATCCTTTCATAGAACTCATTCTCCCTGTTGTTCAACTGCTTACAGACAGCCCGACGGGAAAAGCGAAATATCGTCGAATGACCTCCAACTTGATGCTTATACGGTTCAAGAACGACTTTTGCTCTTGTGTGAGGCACGCGCGCCTCACTCGGCTTCCTTGAAAGTGTGCTTCGCTGAGTGGGCGTGGTGGACATGTCGTCTGTCTGGCTTGTCAACCCATATTCATCGCCTGATTCGAGCTCCGACTCTGAAGCGCTGATGATCGCACTGGCGGGCACTTCTTCGACTGGCGAGAGTGCTGGAGACGGTAGATCTGACTGTGTTTCATCTACAGGCCGATAATTTCCATGAAAGAGCTTCTTATCATTCTTGGACACCACCGAGATATCGATGTGCTCAGTAGCTCCCGGAACATCGACTGGTTTGTCGGTAGACAGAATTGTGTTGACGCCGGGTTTTCTCGCTTGAGCCTTCTTGTCCGCCACAACCTCATCTGGAGACGTGAAGCGTTCAATGTCCTCAGGCGAAGGACCCGGGTGAGGGTAGTACACAGCCGCAGAGATATGCTCCTCTTCATCCTCCCGTGGTCCCGAAGGCTTGCGTGGATCGCCTGCGAGGGTGGTCTCGGTCTTCGCACCTTGAACAGTCTCGTCTGTCTTCTTTCTGCGATATGCCCCTCTGATCTCTTCAAGCAAGTTTGAGGGCACATGTGGCTGCTCGGCCAGGTCTTGCTGGCGGTAGTATGGATCATGCTCATGCTTGAGCGGAGGCACTGCTTTGGAGTCTAAAGCTCCAGCCTGACCATTTGTCACTCGTGCGTCTGGAGCAGCAGTATCGAAAGAGCCACTCGAGTCTCTGAGTGAAGTCCATCCTGCTACAGCATCTTGAGTGGCAGGGGTTGCAGGCCGAGAAGAAGACTTTGAAGCTTCTCTGCTTTCAGCAATCTGACGACTAAGCTCGCCAACAACGGATGATGGTCTTTCAATATCAGAGCGAGGATCAAATATGCCCATCATATGGCTTGCCTTTCTGCTGCGAGCTGTCCCACTCGACTCTGGGTTCTTGACGGTAGCCTCAATACTCTTTTCCACATGTTGGCGTCCACGACTGACACTGCGTTCGGTTCGTGACCCCTCTTTCATGACCGCTCTCATAGAATCGCCCCTGTCCACTGATCCATGAGAGATGCCTTCGTTGTGAGCGCCATACTGCTCCTGCCTATTGTGCTTGGTATCCTGACTCCTGCCACCCCGTCCCTCCATGGAGTCGACGGTAACATGGAACTTCTTAGTCCAGACCTGACCATCCGAGGGTATTCTTCTGAGGCCTTGTATAGTGCCCGACGATGATCGAGAGGATGGGGATGGGAGATCTTTGTCCGTAGAGGAGTCTGACCTTTTCAGCCATTCGAGGGTTCTGGAGGTTTGGGGTCGAACAGTCTTGGAGGTTTCTGGAGGGGAGACGGCTCGAGCAACCATGGTCGACATGGCAAGGGGCACCTTCCGCGGTGTGCTCGGCGAAGAAGACTGTGTCAATCTTTCTGCTGGAGAGGAAGGATCGCTCCGTGGTGAGACATAATGGTCGGCAAATATACTATCTCTTTCTGATAATGGAGGTGTCTGCTCGGCAAAAGTGATTGCCCGGGAGATTTTGTACGGCGGGCTTCTGCCATGGTACGCGTTTTTCCCCTTCGTCCCCCGTGATATGGCTATAGGTTTTGAGCTCGACGAGGGACTTGAGGTGGTTGAAGAGGAAACGGAGTCATGGCGGAGAGGGTGTCCATTTACCGTCGAGGCTTGCGCGGACGGTCTTCCGGCGGGAGCGCTATTTGACATGGGGAGGACATTTGGCGAGCCGTTGAGAGGCAAGGGTATTCCAGGCGTGTAACGACGATTCGCTGGGAGAGGTCGATTTCGGGGGGTGGAAGTGACAAGCGATAGGGCAAACCACGTCAGGCAACGCTGGAAGAAGCAACGTGTTACAGGGAAGGCTCAAGAAGAGGTACAAGCCCCGGAGAGGCGGTCTGGGTGGTGAAAGAGAGATCGTGAGCGGAGGAATTGAAGCACGTGGAGGAGCGAGAGGCTCAGTATCGCGGTGGAGGATTATTCGGTGACGAGGTGTTTTGAATGGCTGATCGACGGTGCTGCGCACGGATATCAGTGGTTGTCAAGTAGGGCGGACAGACGCAGTTGAATGTTCTGTTTCTCCCTAGGCGATGACATGCACATGGGGACAATTGCTGTTGGACGTCGACTGGGGGATTCTCTTTTCGAAGCGAGATACTCAGCGCAGGTGAAGCGGGAGGCGAAAAGATTCAAGGTCCTCCACCTTTGTCTTGTGCGACAATGACATAAGGCAAGAAATCCCGATTCCAACAACTGCACTCGACGACTGTCCAAACAGTCCGCCTTTCCTGTCAACAACGTCCCCCAGCGCATCAACTATCGATCGACGACCGCATTGACTTCAACTCTGGAGACTCTGTGCGTATCCCTACACCGTTATTTCGCAAAGAATGTTCCGGGACAAGCGTAGACCTCGCCGCTAGGGTCTGCAGGCAGTTGCACCCCAGGCTCTCCTTTATGGTTGACCAATCCCTACACGCGATCTTCGCACGTTGTGTCTGCTGCATACTTAGAACAACTACCGGGCTACGGAAGTCTCAGGCCGCATACACTGTCGTCCACCATCATTGAGCCACGTCGTCGGCCCGGCGCTGTGGCACTTCATCCTCGATGCAATTCGGCGCGGACCTGATCATCCAGAGCCAAAAGGCACAGAAAGCCCCCGCAACGACAAGGGTTCGACGGGGAGAAAAGACATGAAACACACAAGATCATGAGGTGGCAAACATCATCATACCTGCAGTGCTATTGTACGACAAAATCTGGCCCTCAATAGCCGCACTGATGGACTGACAATGCTGCATCGGCGCTCGTTCGAGGCCATCCAAGTTGCCCAACTGTTACACAAACAATGTCTGGCCCACCAAATCTCGCTGAAATTCCACAGCCTTTCCGCATTTCGGCAGTCTGTCTCCATGCGACCGCAGTTGCCATTTGACAATCGACCATGTATAGATTGTCACCATCAGGGCTCGGTGTTGGCAGATCAGGATCCTTGCTACAGAAGACGTTGTGTAACCCTGTTCCAGAGTCTTGAACCCGGCTTCAACTGCTCGGTGCCCTTCGATCAGTGCTTGAAGGACCTCATCTGCTGTATGTCTCCACAACGCCGTCTGGGTATATCCTGGTGCAAAGAATACGACTCGGTATCGTATTGCTCGAACAATTATCGGTAACCGGAAGCGAGAACAGAACGTTGGCTGAGTTAACTGTTCACCTGCCATCCTCGGGTTGTAGGTGCCATCTGTCCCAATGCCATAAGCTCGCATGATAAGATTAGCGCGCTCGTCTTCTGGGAGGTCGTTCTGCTCTTTGGTGGAATTGGGGCGAAATCGAACAGGTGAGAACATGTGGCTTCCTGATGATACCCTAGCAATTCTCATGGCCCCAGCCGGAGGGTACTTGGCTGCTGTCCATGAATTTCAATAGGATGAGGTTGACAAACAGGGAATGGGGGTTACCGTTGGCCGCAAGTTGCATGTCGATGTTATCCACGCTTTGTTGGTGATCCTGAATCCACATGACACCTGCATTGCAAACCACAATGTCGATTTCCGGAATGTCGGGGCATTTTCATAATCCGCTTTGCGGCTCGCTTCACCGAACACTGACTGAAAGAATCGAGGTCAAGGTATTGGGAATGAACTCAGGATACTTTGGGCGAGTTTATCTATCACGCCTGGACGTTGTTTCTCATGTCCTCAAAGGTTCAGGTGGGCTCCCAGCTACCGAGCGGCAAGTGCCTCTGTAGTACTCTGGCTGAGGCCATACATGAGGAGAGACGCGGTGATGAGATGATCTTACCGGTGATATGTTCCAAGAACCTTGCAGCAATTTCTGATGCTTTGCTCGAGCTGTCGAACTCGGACGAATTGCCATGTTCGCAGCGATGTTCCTGAATGGCTTAAGATGATGAAGAAAAGATGTATGTGACAGCTTAGACCTCGCAGAGGGAGTTTGATGTCTTGTTCTGCTCACCTGGGCACAGGCCTGTCCACGTCTTTGACGCATTGTCATCTTTTCTTCGGCTACTCTTCGCAATTGTTATTTGGTGTCAATTACTGCATAAACAGGCCATAAGGAGGACTCGTCGCCAGAAGTCGAGATGAATGCATGTTTGCAGCCTTCGGATTAGTGCTGGCTTAGCCACTGGTGGAACCAATGATATTCTATGAGGCTATTGGTGATTCAGAGTGGCAATAATGCATGGTCTCTTGTCAGTTCCATCTGAGCTTGGCCTGAAGCTGGACATAGTCAAGTCTAGGCAGAGGCATCATGCTGACCTGCCGAGGAGCCTTCAAGATCCTGGGCTGTCTTTTAAGCAACGTGTGCTGTATTAGCCACCACCAGAAGTAGAGCAGTAGTAGCATGAGAGCAGAAAATTGAAGCCTAGAGAATCACTTGCCACGGCCCACTCTGAGACAAGGGCACGTGACGGGCTAATCACTATCACGTGACTTGGCGCGATGGCGCGGACTTCCAACACGCGTTGCTTCGCATCTAGACACCATCATTCACCCAGGTCGAAAACAATTATGTCATGACTTGCCAAACGAGTTCAGTAAGCCTGTTGAACTGATGCCTGCCGAAATCGCGGATTCAGACGCTGAATCCGACTTTAATTCGCCCGTCAAAAATACGGTGGCGAATGACAATGTGGCCGACCAGGTTGGCAATGCGGATCCCAGTCAAATCTCATTATCACGATACGATTTCGACCAGTTTCTAGACCCTACGCAAAGGCTTTCTTCACTGTCGCCACATCATGCTGATGGTGCCCCGACCGCAAGTGAGTTGTTAGCAGGTCTACCGAGCGGCAGCTCCGAACTTCAAATGGCCAGAGGTCTCAGGAGCACTGACGAGAGCTCCTCTGCCGCGCACGGGAAGAAGAGAGCGCACAGTGCCTTCCAAGATGGCTTTACGGACTTATCCTCCAACGATACGACCAAAGTTTCTGTTACAAAAAGAACAAAAACTTACGCTCACTCATCCAAGTCTCGAGGCACTTTACAGGACGTCGATTTGTTTGCTCCATTAGACCAAGTCGGAGGACCTAGACCTGGCATCAGTACCGGATATCAATCTTCAAATGGATCTGGCGAGAAAACTTCTGGTATTAACGTTGATCTCTCCCTCGGCTCCGGTCATCCAAACACAGCCCTTAGTCTACTCGGGCAGTCTTTGACGGGTTCCACACATCGCCTATCAACTTCTACGGCATCGATGGGTCGATACGAGTCTATCAATTTGGATTATCGAGGGGCAGGTCAAGGACTTGATGTCAATGCGAATCCTTTTGGTTCTTTGAGTCAGATATCAAGTCACGAACTCCATCATCCGGAAGAAAGCGACCATTACAATAATTCGGATCCAAACCATGAGCCACAGATGGCCCTGGACACAAGCAATCTTATGTTTGAGCGTTTGGACGGGAATATGCCCGATCAGGCTCTGTCAGCTCTGTCTCAGTCTTCACCCTGTCGGCCACTGTCGGTCAATCCATCTAATATCATGCAGAACGACGGAGCTATGGCTGATATACTCACCGAGGATGCGGCTCTTCATGTGGAAGAAGTTGCATTGGCGGGTGCCGAAACCACAGGGCCGATCGACACAAATGAGGCGGTTCCGGAAAAGCCTGCCCCAAAGAAGCGAGGACGGAAGCCGAAGAATCCTCGGCTCGCCTCGAAATCTCCAGCTCCAGGAGCCACGGATGATGTGGAAGAATTCGTCCTACCGGATCTGCCACCTACGAACCGATCTCGACAGGGCACTGTGGACTCGGTCTACTCTCAAGCTTCTCAAGCATCGACCACAAATACCTCGATGAAAAGGCGAAAGAGAGGGAAATCAAAACAAGTTGCAGATGCAGCAGATCAGGCGATCGCAGCTGCTGAAGACTCACCCATGAAGCAGCCCGCAAATGGTTTGAACCTTAGTGACGAAGCATTGATTGGTTTACCAAAGGACCAGTACAAGCCCCGTCCAAGTCGATCTCGGTCCAAAAGGGTTGCTGACGAAGAAGAGCCCCCCTTACAAAACAGGTCGCAGCAGACTCCGGCGAAGGACAAGGCAGTGGAGTTTGAGGAGACGAAAGCTGAGACGCCATCAGGTGGAACTACAAAATTGAGCGCAAAGAAAGGTCGCAAAAGTAAAGTGAAGCGAGCGAAAACGTCAGCGGCAGCCTTACTCAAAAGAGGAGATCCTATGCTGAGCGAGGGTGAAGACGATGTGGTCTGGATGGACACGAAGCCCGCTCCCGTCAAGTTGGACCTGCCCCCAGATCTGAAAGTGCTCAAGAAGGAGACTGGAGCAGGGGAGAACGAGAAAGCCACAGAGGTAAACAAGACCCCAGAGGAGGTAACGTCGAAAGAAGACAACGAAATGAAGGTGACTGTTGAGATTCCAGCAGAAGCTAAGGATACCACGGCCGGTCCTAAGAAGCGAGGCCGAAAACCGAAGAAAGTCCAACCAGTGTCTGAGTCAAAGGTTGTCGAGGAACAAGATGATGATACCGAGAGAAGCCGGCCAGTTCTGGCGGAGAAATCTTCGAATGTACCAAACAACGTTCAAGAAAGGTCCAAGGATAAGGAGCTCAAGGCGCCAACAGTGTCACCTCTGTCGTCTCCTGAATCTGGAGCCCACGTCAAGTTTTCGGGAACGGAAAAGGACAATCCACCAGCTGCTTCCGGCTTGGCTACGCCCTCAAAGAACTCTGCCGATACCGGTGCTACGACGCACTCTCCGATCAAGCCAGCAGCGCTCTCAAGTGGGAAGAAGATCATTTACCGTGTTGGCCTGTCACGCCGACAACATATCCCGAGCCTGCTTCGCAAAGTCCAACGGGACAAACCGCCTCCGACAATTGTGGTTCGCAAGGAGAAGGAGAACAAGAAGAAAAAGAATGGAGACGATGATGAAGGTGAGAATCGGGATGAGCTGAGAGGCGCTGATGGCATGCTTGTCGAATGGGATTTCTAAACAGGCAATTGCTCTTAAAAAGTTATGGTTACGACCTGGCGTAGTTTTGCGTCGGAGTGAGATACCCTGAGGAGGTTTTATGTCTGCACGAGTTCTGCGCAGCGTGGGTTATGAATGGGATCCTGCCATTGACTCTGTGTACACAGACTGCAGCGATTGCGGTGTATTATATAGCTGATGAGGGTATTGTTTTCCATGCTCAAATGATTTCCGCCCTCAATCTTCGAGCTACCTACCAGGTCTTCTTTCTTAAAGAAGCTACGGAAGCAAGAGTGACCGCGATTGCCCACGTTTTGTTCCTTCCGTGATCATTGAAGCGATTGCCGTTATATCTTCGTTGTGAATGCGGATTTGTTTGCTTTCCCGTCTCTTTTCTTCCTTCAATTCTTCCAGTCAATTCTCAACTTTCCTCCATATCCTAACAGCCCAGTCTTCTTACCTCGTCATCGACCATTCGGATACTGTTGTCATTCACTAGCCAACAAACTGCAGGCATGTCAGAGACCTCAACGATGACCCCTATGCCTTCTCACCCTACAATTGCCCCTGGCGATCACAAATCCTTCATGGAATATGCTCTCGACCAGGCACGCCTCTCACCTCAGGCTCCAACCAAGTTCTGTGTCGGGGCAGTCCTCATCGACGGCGATACTGGAAAGATTATTTCCAGTGGGTACTCCTCCGAGCTCTTGCCTGACCTACCTGGCGATCCAGGCAATCTCCATGCCGAACATTGCTGCCTCATCAAAGCCGCCGAACAACAAGATATAGAAGAAACCAAAGTTGCAGAGATCTTACCACCAAACACTGTTCTGTACACCACCATGGAGCCATGCAATGAGCGACTGAGTGGATATAAGAGCTGCGTTGACCGGCTGTTGGACCTCAGAGACCACATCAAGCTTGTTTACGTCGGGATATCAGAGCCTGGGGCATTCCTGCCTTCGGCCGATGGTTGGAAGAGACTGGAGGACGCTGGTATTGAAGTCAGACGGATCGAGGGCATGCAGGATCGTATTCTGGAGGTAGCCACCGGCGGACAGCATGGGTGGAATCGGTGAAGTTTGTATCGGATTGTACTGTTCAGCGTTGGCTTGGAACTAGAACCGCACCGAAAGAGGTCGACATCGCTGCGCTGCACCATCTCAGACCTTTCATTGCAGCTAGGCGAGACCCTGCGTGCGTTGACGTGATGATACAACTTCTCCAGTACTAATTCGAGAGCGTCTCTCTTATGCGTTATGATAGAGTGTGAACGATGAGAAGCGGGGATTATTCTTCCTTTTGTCCACTTCCGAAAATGCCTCCTTGACTTTCCGCTATTGAAGTATCCAGACACTCACCCTGAGATATGGCTGACCCAACGTTCGATACCACCATCTGCTTCTCAAGTCCATCTTTTCATGTTGATCTTGCTGCACTTGATGCACAACATCCTGTTCACTACAGCCGCCGCTTACTTCTCTTCCGCTGCTCGTCCATTGAGCAACGGGATGCGCAACTTGCAGCCCTAAAGACAGGCATCCGATGTCTGGTCTCGCGTTGTCCCATTCTAACAGGCGATATTGTGTCTCTTCCCGAAAATGAGGCCATCGACGGGAAAGATGACTGGCGGACTATCGTTCCTGGACGAGCTCTGGAGCTGGTCGTCAGAGACTTACGAGAAGCAATGCCATCTTTCCAAGAGCTCGAGAAATCCAATTTCCAACCATCATTACTACCATACAGCCTCCTTGTACCCATTCCAGAGGATATTGGCAACGACCAGCCATTCAGTGCGTGCAAGATACAATTCAGCTCGATCGAGGGCGGCACGATAATCACGATTGCCCATTCACATTCTGTGGCCGACGGCTCTGGCACGAACGAGCTGATGCGCGTGCTCGCCGAAGAAACACGCCGCGCACAGGATCACCATTCATGGCCACAGCCCACGGCTGAAGCTGAGGCCTCGGACGATCTGCCTACGGGGATGGGCCTGGACCGAAGCTTCATGCGCAATATAACGAGCGATATACCATTCGATATCAACGACCACCCAGGATATTCTTGGAACCCAGAACCTGCACCACCGAACCATCCCTTCGTGGCGACAGCACCAGAAGTCCCTGTCCTTATACGGATCTGCCCGGCTGGCCTGGCGCGACTCAAGTCCGACGCAAGCAGCCGCGAGCCCAACGTCGCGTCTATCTCCACGCACGATGCCCTCGCCGCGCTGATGTGGCGCACCGTGCTGCTCATCAAGTCCCGTCGTTCTGACGAGGCCAAAGCACTTCCCCTAGAGACCAAGACAAGCCTTTTCATGCCTTCCGATGCGCGCCGACACCTGGGCCTGCAGACCTCGTACGTCGGGAACGCGGTGTATCAGCTTGCGGCCCCGCTCGACCTAGTTACGCTCCTGGGCCCGAGGGGGTTGCAAGACGCTGCCAGGGCACTCCGCACAGCGATCAACGCAGTCACGCCGGAAAAGGTCAAGAGTCTCATGGCGATGACCAATCAACGTTGGATTCCTTGGGCGTTCCTGAGCACGGCATGGACGACAGGGTTCCCAATGGGCACGGACTGGACGGGTGGAGAGGTGTATGCATATGATTGGGGAAGTGCGTTTGATGGAAATGGAAGGATAGTGAGCTACAGATACCCCAACGAGGCGTTCAATTGTGTGTTCCCTCGGTTGCCGGATGGGAGCGCGGAGGTGGTTGTTGCTGTGTTGCCTGGAGAGGTTGAGGTCGTGAAGGGTGTGGAAGGGTTCGGGAGGTATCTGGACGAGACGTAACGTACAAGCATGGCGGTGCGTAAAGCCATCCGAACTCATGAGGCCTCGGACGCCATCTGAGGGTAATGTAGCATACTCCCGTGACACTGTAGATTTGGTCTTTGGGGCATATTTGAGCTGGTAAACTGCTGGGTAGCTGCTCACAAGGACGCATCCGATACTCGCCGATGTGTCATCCCGCGAACTGGACACAAGTGGTGGTAGTCTCAAATGGCTGATGCTTAAACTTGGAGTTCGTCCTGGCACGATGATTCACGTCTCCCTGTCTCCGCTAGGGCTGAAGGGGCAGTGCCGTACCAATAAAGAATCCCGGTTCATTTTTATCGTGGTTCTTGTAGCTACATGTCATCTCGAGCATTATTGTTTCCGTCAAAGCAAGAAAGTGAGTACAGCACATACCTGAGCATTCCAATTGCCCCGGGCGAGAACATCATCGGCAACGGGTCGTCCATCGGATATTTCAGCCATCGCTTGACGAAGCAACGCAGTACAAGACCATGTGCGACCTGCACGAATAGTCAGCCTTGTTGCAGAAAGTATCACCATCCATGCTTGGCTTCTCCAAGTGCGAGCCATACTAACACGACGTCAATGGGCTTCTAGCTTGCCAAGGCCTACGAGTTGCTTTGCCGTGCTTTCGACATGACGTTCGCCCTCGAGCGTGAGTTCAATGTCCGTTTTCCCGACGTAGAGGCCGTTCTTGATCCCCTCCGTTTCCCCTGTAGTTGCGTACCTGTTATTCAGCTTGTTAACTTGCTTGGCTCGATGGACAAAGGCCTCCGGAAAATCATCAAATCCACCTATCATGACGCGCGGTAAAGACGCACGGTGTCGTCGCGTCTAGGTCGGAGATGACCAGATGTCGGATCCTACAGGAACCACAAGATTCCAAGACTCCACGTTCTGATGGTGTGGGTGTGCTGTTGATACTGCAAGAGATGACTCGAAGTATAAGAGAGATGTAACGTAGTGCATAGGCCCCGAGGCTAGGCAGGACCCAACAATGGGATGGCGGGAAGATCCCCAATCTTCAAAGTATGGGCTTCGGTCGTGATAGTAAGTGAGCTCCTTCGCTCTGTAAATGACGGGAAAATTGCGTTCTGGTACGAGTAACCGGTTGTTGTAGGACTAACTGCAGCAGAATCAAGCGTCGTAAGGGCTTCCGCCAATTCCTCATGAAATGACGACCTGGCAAAGAGGGATAGACGTGACTCGATGATACTATCAATGGACCGACACTAGGCTTCCTGTTCTTGAGCGATGGCAACCAGCTCTTCGAAAGCTAGTAACAGCTCTTCGGTGTAGTCACGCCGTTGCCGCAAGGCTTCTCGATTGGCGCCAGCACTGTCAATCCTGACTTCGTACGAGATCTTCATCAGCTGCCATCCACCATCAAGTTTTGCATACCGTCGAGGCCCTGCCTCATATCTTGGTGTTGCTGTTTCACGCGAGTACTCAATGTGAGATGTTCAGTCGCAGCTTGGCTGATTGAATCTTGTACCTTTCCGAGACTGATACCAGGATGGTAACTTGGCGAAGTTCGAGGATGATGTGATGTAAATCTCGCTTGAGGCTGAATGTCAGTCTGCCGCTTCGTTCTGAAGGCGTTACGAGTTTATGGCCCCCAGGATCATGTTCAGAGTCGCCTTCACTGAGCGTATATGTTCTTGGAATCCTTGGAAGAGCGTCTTCTCTCCAGCCCGCACGGCACTTTTGGCGATGATCTTTATCCTGCTTCCTTTACAAGCATTTGCGACATGGTCAAGCGCCTTCCCCAGATCAGTAAGATGGGCCTTAGCCCGGATTAATATTCGTGCTAGCGATCCGTGCTCGTTGTTCGGAGCCAATGTCCTTTGGTCTAGTGTATGGTTGACCTGGAGTGCCTGGAGTAGCAAATTCACTGAAATCCAAGTAGCAGGGGTCAGGTGCATCGTCTGCGTGTTCTTGCAAGCCCGGCAATCTGAACATTCATCGCTGGCTACGTGTCTACCGGCTTTTTAGCTGCGAAAGCACTTGACCCAGAATGTCGCCTAAATCTCATTCAATGAGGGTTGCGGACTTCCATGGCTGGGGATTCCTGCTCTAATTTGAGATCCTGCCCAAGTAAAGATTGAGCTTGTAGGTCAGTGGCCGGATTGCTACCTCTGGACAGCCAAGGTGCTTCGTACGGACATGAGTACAACGAGGATATCATCAGCACTCCCTTTGGAAGAGTGGCCGCGCTCTGGTTTTCCTTGGTAATCAGCAGGAGTCTGGGTCTTCCCTTGACCGCGGCCATAATCAGTCAGGAGCAAGTTTCGAGAAGATTTGACTTGCATCTCCATGCATGCATCGAATGTCATCATAGGACAACAGATGTAGAATATGGTACAACACAAGGACTTCAGAGGTTGGCAGTCTGGTGAAGTGACTGCTGAAATGTTTGTCAAGTTTGCACTTTCTGTACCAGCGCTTGCGGCGTAGGTGACGCCAAGCCATCCAAAAAGTTCCGCTGGACTTGCGTTGAAGAGAGCTCTTCGACTTCACCATCTCAGTCAACCATCCTCATCTCCACAAGCGCCAGCTATCCTTCTCTCCACGCACTCAACCTAGACCGTCGTCGACCATCAGCATCATCTACTCCCGAGAGCGCCTCATTCCGTCAAAATGGTCAAACTCGAAGAACTCGAAGATGAACATTTCTTGAACAAGCCCGAGACCACATCTGGGGATGCCTTGCTCGTTGATGATGATGAGGACTATACTGATACCGGTATTACACCCTGCATCTTTCTTTTCTCGCACTCCTGTCGTCATCTTTATCCTTCGTGCTAACAGTTCTGTCCATCCAGACTCCGAGATTTCAGACGACGGCAGCGAACCCGAGCTCGACGAATCTCTGCTCGACCGCCTTTCCGCCCTGCGCGACATCGTCCCTCCCAAAGCCCGGGCCAAGATCTCCAGCGTTACATCTTCAATCTACTCCGCGACGAGCACGACGGTAAATTACTCTGGCAAAGGCCTGTGGGTGCTGGCGACGAGTATTCTCTTGCTGGGCATCCCTTACGCCCTGGCCCTCGGTGACGAGCAACAATTTATTGAGGAGGAGAAGCAGAGACAGATGATGGCCGAAGGGGCGCAGGGGATGATTCAACCGGCAGAGCAGCAGGCGGGCGGCCAGGCCAAGCCGGCCTTGTAATGGGTCTATGTCAACCCTGACAAATATGGTGACATGTCCTTGGATTGGGAAAGCAAGGGCGGTTGCGATTGTCATGCCGCAGGGCCAGCGCGCAGCTCCTGGAAGAAGGTGCTTGGGGTGTCGTCTATCTGGAGCCAGACCGGCCGCAAGGCGGCGAGAAGAAAATCCTGCCCCCGGAAAGGTTCGCTGTGGAGGTGTCTGGGAGGAGGAATTGTACAATACAAACACAACAGGACTAATTTCAAGCGAGCTGCGTTCTGGACATGTTCAAGATGGAACTGGAGTGTGCTTGGCTAGTCGACTTCTGCTGTCTCAGCACGACACTGTGGTACGGAGGTGATGCACTGACGCTTCTGTATGATCTCGTCTCTTATTCGATAACTGTAAATTCAAGGAACAAAGAATAAACGTTCACAAACATCATGATGCAGCTGATTCAGACTCGCATGGCCAAAATAGGATACTATGGGGGTATACAAAGGAACAGCTCATCTTGTCGCTGTAAACAAAGCCGGACTCCCACCTGGTGAGATAGGGTGTCATGTCCGGCTTTCCACAGTCGCCTGTTTCTCAAAGAGGTTGAGTAAATTGTCCCGAAAATCGTTGTCTGCTGAGTACCTCTTCTGGAGGATATTCTCTCAGCGTTACTCTCCTCCTGAATCGGAATCCGGTGCTCTCGTGATCCGATACCTGCCGCCGGACCATTCTCTCACCAGCCCGTTGGCAGTGGACCTGATAGCGCCAATTCGTCCTTTAGAACGGCCACCCTTCTTCTCGTAATCTTCCATCCCCAGTCTTGCATCGTTGAGATCGTTTTCGAAATTGGCCCACAGCTCCGCAATCACACCAGTTTCTTGCATCTCGTCGACGACATTCTCGGCTTGTTTCTCGCGTTTCTTGTGGTTCATCTTGTCGCGGGCGATGATGGCCTCGGCAGATAGAACCCCTTGCTCCTCGAGATAGGCCATGAGCGACTCGTTCAGATGGTACTTCCAATGCGTCAATTTGTGGCCCATTTCCGCATTGGCAGCACAGAATCGTCCTAGGTAGAAGCGTCGATTCTCAGGCGGGAGCAGATGGCCGTGCTCGTCATAGGTAGCGCCATCATCGTGATCAGCTTCGTCGTCCTCGTCCCAGTTGTCCACGGGCTCCAATGTCTTCTGGTGGTACGGTTCGCCGGAGAAGACGAATTCATACCTAGCAGGATGATTCGTCCGATTGCACGCATCGCAAGTCCGAATGTTGTCTTCGTCCTCGCCTGGCAGAGCGACCACCTTCATTGTAGGTCTCGCCATAATTGTTCTCTTGAAATCGGCCCCCCAAGCAGAAGATATGAGTCTACTGCCAGCTTGGGCCTTGACCTGGTCGTCGACCCTCGAAAAGGCCAGACGGTACAATTCATCGTCGCGGGAAAATGCTGGCGCGATCTTGTTCTTGACGAGCCACTCAATGATATGAGGAAATAGTTCACGCGGCTTTGCTGAGGCAAATGATGTGAATTGAAGGGGGATATCAGTATGTGGTCGACCGAGGCGTCCTGTAGAGTCCTGCTCCACAAAATCGTCCTCATCCTCGACCTGTTCTTGTACGGATTCCTGATCTGTGTCGATCGATGAATGCATCGAATCTCGATCTGAGATGTCATAAGCAGGTTGTCCAATCAGATCGATATCGACTCCTTCTGGTTCTGCCTCTTCCCCTTCCTCTTCGGAGTCTACGACTCGGGCCACCTTCTCGCCCGCCCGTCGACGTCTCAAAACCTCAAAATGTGCTCTGGCCTTATCGCGTTGCGTCGTGACGGGCCCACCTCTTGTACGAGAATTGATCGCAATATCTTCATCATCAGAATCTTGTAAATCCTGTAGATCTTCCGCTAGCTCCGCCTGCTCCTCTCGTGTTTTACGTCGGGGCGATTTTTGCTTCGCAGATAACCGACGTGACTTGGCGCTTCTGTCAGCAATGTGATGCTCCTCGTCTGAAGAGATATATTCAACATCATTGTCGTCCACCACAAAATCGTCTCCTTTTTTCCTGGGTGTTTTTCGTTTGTGGGATCTGGGCACCTCTTCCTCGGTCTGATATTGGATCTCGTCGTCATTCACAACGAAAGGATCTTTGGCGTCTGCTCGTGATTTCCTACGTCGCGAGGTTGGCTTTGATACCATGACTGGATCATCGTCGTCGCTGGTTTCGGCTGAGCCGAGGTTGGAGAAGACGGAAGACTTTCGACGGGTAGGAGTTGGGATTGCGGCAGAGACAACGGACTGGCCAGATCGAGATCGCTGCGATCCTGCAAATGGTCCCGGCGATTTGCGTCTCAATCTTCCAGATCGTCGGGTCGGAGGAGAGCTGGGCAAGTCCTTCGTAAAATCATGGATTGGTGAAGATGCGCCTGGGTGCAACCGTGATGAACGTCTGCCTGAAGGCAAAGTAGGTGTGTCAACAGATGGCGACGATCTTCTTCTCTTCCTCGTCGAAGGTATTAGATCATCTTCATCAGAACTGTCTACCTGCTGAGCATCTACTGATCGAACAGGAGTCGGCGACGAGGGAAGTGAGACGTGGGTGGGCTCTCGTGGGAAACCTGAAAAGTGTGAGTATATCAATGCGCTCGTCTAGCCTCAGCCAAACTCACCATCCCGAGTGACTTCCAGCTGAGAGGATGGTTCGGGAGTTGGAAGTGTTTGAATTTGGCTCTCGACATCGCCATCACGCCTGGTGGTCGATTCTTTTGCACCATGGTATCTCACGCCGGCCAGTCGATCCTGTACTGCCTGGCTGTAGTTTGCTTTTGCAGGTGAGGACGACGATAACGGGGTGAACTGCAGTCTGGTCTGACTTTTGTTCTGGCTGCGCACCGATCGTCGCGGAGCCGCAGGCTTCGCTTGGCCTGCCATAGTCGCAGGTGATAATATTTGGAGAGGACAAGTGGTTAGAGAGAGGCTGAATGATGGTGAACTTTCAACAGGCGAGAAATTCAAGAATGATTACTGCAGGCTTCACATTATGGAAAGATGTCTCATTGTAGCAGATTGTGTTGCGCTCACTTATCGCGTACCTCTCATCGCAGGCAGTCAGGCTACTAACTCGGTACCATGCGGATGCTAAGTTAGGCTCCGGCAGCATAACGCGCTTCACCTACACGATATCACGTGTAGTTAAACGAAAACGTGGCTGGAGAGAAAAACTGTGTCCTACACCAGCCACACACAGCTAAGTCATGACTGGCGGAAACTCTTTCCTAGAGGGCCGAGGAATCGTTGTTCCTGGACGCCAAGTCTGACGTCATTTTGTGGTGGAGAAGAACAAGGCCGTGGCCTTTTGAAATGAGTTTGATCCAAACGTGATGCTCGATCGCGATGGAGCCCTGCAGGCCGTTGTTGTAGGATGATGACGATGACGGCGGGACCCAGCTAAGAAAAATTATCTAACAGCAGACTTCACAAGCCTGGGCAGAGGAAGCGTCGAAAAGAACACTAGTAGCCAGCTGGTTCATTGGGGGGACGCGTCAGTGGCTTGTGCTTCGAAACTGGGGGAACGGCTGCAAGATGCATGGGGGAAATAAGATTGCTGGCATGGCAATCGACCAGGGCATGTGCCATCTGTCTCAATTTGAAGAATGTCTCACAAAGGATGGCTTCTGTGGCTTTCGATAGAGAATGTGGCTGGAAAAGAGAGATGAGCAGAGATCCAGGTCGAAGTCGGAAAAGGAGGGAGGAAGATCTGAAGCGTCGAGATGGTTCTGGGATCATTGCGTTCTCGCTCGCTTAGTGGAAGGAAGATGCTTGTGTGGACCCAACCTCGACAATAGTAGCTCGTACTGCTGGACAACAGGTCAACTGAGCACTGGAAACAAAGAGGTGCATCACTGCATGAATCAAATTCCCCGTTGAGATGCCTCAATGCCAAGTTCAGGTTGATGGCCCCGGCGCGCTGTGGACTCGTGTTGATGTCATTTCTTGTTCGCATCGACATCATCCCTTTCATGTCGCATTTGCTCCACCAACCTCCAACGCAATGATCAATGATGATGTATGAGCAGTTCTCGTAGACGGTAGCCCGCTCTTTCAGCTGGAAAGCCACAGACCAACCGGTCGATCCTGGTTAGAATCCGGCCAGATCATGGCCATCGCTCCCCCAAACTTGGAATTAGAGGCGGGCGCGTGCTCGTCAATTGCCTTGTGCCACCAAGTGACAAGCTGATCCCGTAGCAAAGAGTGATGTGAGCGCCTGTGAGGTAATACAGCCGCCCCCCTCCTTCCGTTCTGCCTCACCCGCAAACATACCACATATACATCATCGCCCGGCCACCCCTTCCCTGCTTTCACTTTTTCTCAATTCCTCATACAATCACTCCTACATCACTTCCACCGCGAAACATACTGTTCGGTCTCAGCACCTTTTCTTGCATCGTGATACCCGCTGAGCATTGGACCTAAAGTAATACCTCGTTGTGATACCCATTCAGTACTGTCCTCTATCTTCCCATCGCCGTCATGGCAACCGTCAACAGACCAACCAACACCGCCATCAAGGACAAAGATGTCAATCAGAAGCTTCAGCTCTATGGCATCTTTGAAGCCTTCGCGAACGGCAAAGTCCCCTCCAACAAGCAGATCGACGTCGCCCTCAACAGCGCTCTCGCATCCAAAGCCTTCCAACCCTCGTCACGACTTTCCGAGGAAGGCCGCAAACTGGTCGGAGATCTGAAGGAGGCCATTCGTCAGGCCAAATACCTGTTGTTGTCTAAGAACGAGGGAGACCTACTTCAAGAATTCATCTGGGATTGCCAGAACCTGGACGGCGCCAACGCTGGTCTTCCCAACGCTCCCACTGACAAATCCACCGCCCAACAACATGGCAACGAAGCTCTCGAAGGCCTCAAGACCCTCGGCCGACTCATCCTCTCCAACGGTCAATTCCGCAAGTTGTTGAGCGATGCAACTGTCCTCGCCCGCGACATGGCAGGCGACGCTGCTACAAAGGCAGCCAACAAGGTTAATCCTTCAGAAGATCGCTTAAACCAGATCGACGAGCCTGCGGAGGACAACACCTGGCACGATGTCCCCGATCTCTCCCGAGAGAATCTGAGAAACCAAGCTCGCTCCACCATCGACAAGAACAAGCCCGCCAGCCGCGAGGATGCCAAGGGTGCTGTTCAACAAGGTCTCGACTCTGCCCAACAACACCCATCGGATGATCCACGTGATGCTGGCCGTGCAGGTCTTCAGAACGCCACTCAAAATCTCCAGAACCAAGCTGATCAAAACGTCCCCGATGAGAACAAAGACAAGGTTCGAGAGGCAAAAGAGGCTACGCAGCAGCGCACCAAGAACTATCTGAACAAGAAGATGCCTCAAGAGCGCCGCGACCAGACCGTCTGGCGTCTGAAGAAGATGATCGCCGAGATCCAAGGTCACTCTGATTGTAAGTTGATGCAATCCTTTCACAAGGTTCTTTGACTGACGAACTATCAGACCAGCAAGCAATTGAGACACTACTGTCCCTCGCCGAAACTTATGGCGGCCACGGTCGGAACGTGGCTCAACAGAGCCAAGGAGCCGTCAAAGGTGCACATAATGACAGTAGCTTGCAACGCGCTGAAGCTAACCTCAAGGTATGTGTAGGCTTCATCAATAACAATAAAGACGCACTAACAAAGTTCAAGACCCTACTGGAACGCTTTGCCAACTCCACCAGCTCCGACGACTTTTTCGACGCCTTGAACGACATCTATCGCGACGCTGATCGTGATCCTGAACTCAAGGATTGGTTCAAGCGCATGGACAAGTTCATCCGACGATGCCTTCAAGAGCAAGGTTTCATCTTGCAAGATTCTTCCAACGACGAGTGGAACAAGTTGTATGACCAAGGCCATCACCTCTTCCGCGAGCGCTACCGAGAACACACCGACCGTCTTCTTGATGAGGTCAAATTCCTCTCCAGCCAGTTCGAGGAGGATCCACAGAACAAGGCCTTTGGTGATGCAGTCCAAAAACTCTTCCTCGACCTTGGCCAAGACGAGAACGGAAAGCCTACCTTCAAGCCACATTTGATCAAGGACTTGACCGACGTCATCATCCCTGCCATCTTCGAGAACACCCGCTACGTTCCAATTCCTCGTATTGAGGTTTCCGACCCCATGATCGATGCCGTCGTTGAAAATCTCGTCATTGAGACTGACAACCTCTTCCCCAACACTTTCGAATTCGGCAGTGACAACTACTTCCGCATGGGCCGAAAGGGAGTCACTGGCAAGAAGGATAACAAGATCATGATTGCAGGCTCTGGCATCCAAATGGACTTGCGTGATGTTGCCTACTACGTCAGAAAGAAGCAAGGTTTCCCCTCTGTTACTGACAAAGGTGTCATGGATATCTTCCTTGGTGGTGAAGGTTTCAGCTTCAAGATTGCCGCTAGAAACGCACAGCCGAAGGACCGCACCCACTTCGTGGTTATCGACAAGGTTGATGTTCTTATCAAGAATTTGAACATCAAAGTCAAACAGTCCAACCACAAGCTTCTCTTCAAGATCGCCAAGCCATTGTTGCTCAAGGTCATGCGCCCTGTCATCCAGAAAGTCATTGAGAAGCAGATCAGGGACAATTTCGAGAAGGCTGATGCGTTCGCGTACAAGATCCACCAAGATGCCATGCGCGCCAAGGAAGCGGCCAAGGACGATCCTGAGAACGCAGGCAATGTCTTCCAGAATTACTTGAACTCTTACCAGGCCATGATGAGCCAGAAGAAGGAGAAGGCCAAGGAAAAGGCTTCCAATACCAATATCAACGTGGCCATTACCAAGGAAGATTCCATGTTCAAGAACATCTCCTTGCCAGGTGGTATCTCAACCAAGGCCACCGAGTACAAGCAGCTTGCTGCCAAGGGTGACCGATGGGAATCTCCTATCTTCAGCATCGGCAGTGCCAGTGCTTCTTCAGACGTTCCTAAACTGCGACAAGTCACTCGCAAGCCACATGGTACCTCCCGGGCTAAGATTCAAGGCGGCAACCACCCCAACAGTGCCTCCAGCATGTCATCTGGCGCTGCTGGTACAACCGGCACTGATTATGGCAGTAGCGGTGCTGGTTATGGCGGCAGTGGCCTCGGCGGTACTGGTGGACAAGGTTCTGGTATTCCGCAGAGCTCTGGCTTCAGTAACCAGGTTGACCAAGCTTTCGATCCCAAGAGAGATGTTACCGGTGGTCGTGGTGATATGACCAACGGAAGCGCCAACAAGGCCTATTACGATAGTGTCACTCAGTGAACGGAATGGTGTGGTACGGACTGATCTGTTCCTTGGAAAAGGCACGTTTTTGATGGCGTTGGTAATTGCTCGATACCCTTTTTAGTCGGTGGCTGTTCCTGCAGAATTGGTGGAAAGATGTAATAGGAGAAAAAGGCAACAGCATGCAAAGATGGAGCAGTCACAAGCGAAGACTACGAGTTTCCTTATTCTTAGGTCCTCATTGACACCCAGACAGTATGTAGATAACCAAGAAAAAACAATTTAATTGTTAATTATCATATCTGCACGAATGTAAAAAGTTGTTGTAGCCCATGCGGTAGTAAGGTATTTTTTCTCGCTGCTTGTTATCGAGATTGGTGACGTCGAGCACGTCTACCTCAGTTAGTGGCAATGCCTGCGCCAACTTTACGCGCGACGCGGTTTGACTGCCTGGTCATTTAAACGTGCGGGCCAGACGCGAACTTTTGTCCTGCCCAGCAACCAGCTTCTGCACACCTCTGTTCTTTGTCCGCTCGGTCACTCTGGGTTTGACATTTCTGATAGTAATGTGATCTGTTTCGTAAATGCAGATTCTGAACCAGCAAGGCAACGTCCACTGCCGCCATGCCTTTTGCGAGAGCCAAGGTACCTGAATACCCCAGACCAGTGTCTCCGATCGATTTCGAAGAATTACCTATTTGTGCCGACACCATCGTGTACGACGAGCAGGCCAGTATAGAAGACGAGGCCAACGAACGCGCAGCAAAGAGACAGCGAATCGAAGCCTATGCCACTTCCTACCTCCGTGGTGAACCTCTGTTCATTGCCACAGCACAGCTAAAGGGACCATTTGGGAGTGGTTGGCAGAACCCGTGGGCAAGGGCGAAGCCCAAAAACAATGACTTGCAGCAAGATGCCCTGCGGAGGGATATCCATACAACAGCTGCAAATTCAGCGCGGCAGCAAAGGCAGAAGTCCTCGCCGTCAATTAAACGGCCTGCTGTGCGACAAAGCACCCATCTGCAGCAGCAGAAGAAGAAGAAGAGCGAGAAGCTTCTGAAGAGGGCAGAGAGCCTTGACGAGCAGTTGTTTTGGTCAGGAAGACACACCCGTGTACACCAGTCATCAGTGGAAGAAGGGGTCGGCGAAACACGGAAAGTCGAAGATTGGCTCAAGAGAAACAGTTTCTACGAACACGCGGAGCAAAGGCATGCACCGTCATTCTCGTCAATGTCTTCGCCGACATACAGATATTCTCAAAAGAGGACGAAGAAATGGGAAGCTACTCCTATTCCCATTGAGTATCCTCCAATTGCCGACCCCGTGGTGCCCATGGTCAATGTACAGGACATAGCATCACAGAGTTCAACCGCGAAGATGCAGCGTCGAGAGCGCGAAAAGAAACGTTCCTTGTTGGACGACCGATCAACAACGGAAGGAAAAATGGAAAGAGAAATGCCCAAGAGCTCTCCAGTACTCGCGAAAGGGCCTTGGACATCTGCACATTCTCAAGAAGACCCAGAGCTCTCTAAAGTCTCGTTTCCGATGGATAACGATCTGAGGCAAATTGTTGTGGAAGCTTGCGAACCAGCACGGGCTGTTGTGGAACTCACAAGTCTACCTGCTCTTGACCTGGATGCTGCTCATGCCACGAACGAAGGTCAACTTGGAAGATCACAGCTACCTCACTTGACGTCTACAGGCCTGGTTTCAGCAGACCCATTTGGCTCTCACATAGGCTCTGCTTCTCTCCACACTGCCCCAGAACATTCATCTTCTCGTCCACATACTTGCGCCATTCCTACACTATCCAAAGAAACGTCCAAAGCAAGCGTGTTATATGATCTTCCTTCTGCCCAGGCACAAGCGCCGCCAGTGTTGCACTCGGCCCCTTCGAATTTGTCCAGCAATATTCAAATTATTCAAGATCTGCCAGATCAGCCGGCTTCAGAGGCACATGGTTCGGAAATGATCACTCACCACGTGGCGGTACAGACTGCGGAGAAGATCGATAAGCTGGCTTCTGGTCACGACGAAGACATTCCCTCCGCCAACTTGAAAAACTATGAGAAGCCGGGCCCATCAGCGTCGGCTGTCGAGGACAAGGCTGACCTCTTCATTCCAATCTCAACTGTCCAGGCTAGCACTGTCAAAAAGATATACAGCACAAACGAGAGCAAATCTTCTCCGAAGGGCGTCACGAAGACAAGAGCAGTGAAGAAGAAGAAAGCAGCCTTTCTCGCGGACGAGAACTCCTCTGGCTCCTCTCAAGGGTCAATAAAATTGGCCATGAAAGTGGCGAAACCCTCAGCGATGAACCAAGACAAACTGAACATCGTCAACGCACAGAAGTTGTCCGAGTTGGGACCGGAAGCTGAAGAAAATATTGGACAGTTATCATTTTCGTATCAGGAGAAGTTGATCCACGATGGCTCTGTGCGAAAGGGTATACTCAAATCATCTCTCAAGACTTCTGCTGGACCGGCACTGTCCTCGGCAAATGGTGCTTCATCGTCGACGAAACATGATGCTCAGCGACCTCTGAAGCTTAACGCGATTGAGAATGCAACTATATCGTTCAAAGATGATGACTTTGACTTAGACGGTGCAATGAATGACTTGGGCAGTTTCCTGGGGACATGGGATCAGCAGCAAGAAGCCGCGGGGCTGAAGATTTCGGGATAAGAATGGGCGTTTCTGCCCTCAGTACACACTCTGGACGTTTGGATCAAGGATCAAAGAATGGCAGTAGAATATCGAGACCCATCCAATACTTGATGAATTTAGCAGTTCGTCTTTCATGACCACCATGACTTATAATACTAGTAGATTCTCGGATCCCCTCATCCTAACCCACAGGGGAGGCCGTGTGCTTTGCTCCCTGATTGGTCAGAAATCAACTCCCACCCTCAAGTTGGAAATCTCAGAGAGCATGCAGTTTTACGTCGAAGATTTTATGCACGCTCTCATGCAAATCAATGTCTTTATGGATACCTAGGTACGCAAAGGACGCTCTACCGCTCGTACATATAGCCACTCGTTCTTCTGATAGCGCGCGTTACATCAACGCACCCATTACCATTGCAACCGTCAGCGTTAAAAGCCGACCCTGATTCGAGACCCCTACCTCGTTGTGAACCCTCTCAAACCCGCTCGGCTTCCGTCTGCCGCTGACGCCATATGGACTGCGACGCAAGGTAATGAGGGTTCTGAATCACGTCTGCCATCTCACAGCGCACCTGCACCAACCCCAAGCTGATTAGTACGAAATATACAAGCAACTTCCCAGTCCTCACTGCCTTGTCAGCCTGACGCAACCACTAGTTAGACTCCCAACCATCCGCCGAGCGCCCTCCGAGTGTTCAATACCAGACCAGACCAGGCCAGACCAAGGACAACGAGCTTACTCACATGATGAAGCACGTATACATCCACTTCACTTCACTCCCGCATTTTGCCCCTTTTGCCCGCCTTTTCTACTGCCGACACCTAAACAATTCCAGTACTGATATATCAAACTCACCGAATTATCCTCGACAATCGGAGTAGCACCGCAAATATGTGGATGCTCTACGAAGGGTCGATAGCTCAAACTATCAAACCAAAAAAAAACCAAGCCTATCTCGAGGATCAAGAACCATGAGAAGAGAGGGCTGAGTTTCAACTTCCCATCCGTTAACCGTAACCCAGATCGAACCATAACTCGGCGGACTATAGACAAGTCCCGAAGTTCGAATCCTGGCAGGGTGGAAAAAGTTTTTTTGCACCTTTTGCGTTAAGACGGGACCCTTTTCGATGTGGAGGAGTGAATGTGTGAGTGTATGTGGTTGGGAAGGGTTGTGTTGTTCAGCCAAGGATTGAGCGAAACAGAAGTCGAAGTGAAACGGTGACTCCCTGCTGCGATGAATACGCCAGCGGAATATCGAATTGCTCAAGGCGCGAGGCTCGTCTCCCTTGAGGTGTTGACCTGGTCGCAATGGAAATAGCCTTTTGGGGACTTGGTAAGTCATCAATATGGTCCCATGGTGAGTCGACCAATCCATTCCATCGCAACAGGCCTTGCAACAAGCAGCGCAATGACGGCTGATAACCTTCATTGACCATGTTGACCACGAGGTCATGGGTGACATCGAGGTGGCAGGTCCATCTCCGGCTTGCAAACCTCTGTGATTCATCACTTGCAGCAGCAGATGCCGGACGCTCTACGTTCACGGTGAAGAAGCCGAAATGCCGCACTGGGCAACCGACAATAACCACTTGGTGGTCGATACAGATATTGGAACTGCCGTGGCGTTACAGGAACTATTAAATTCACTTGCCGTTCGAAAGGCCAGTACATGCAACCGGCGGTTAATGGAAGCTCGCTGTCTTGCTTCAGTGAATGAACCGGCCACCACGACTATAAAATCATGCATAGAAGAAGGCCTCTGCTTGACTTCTCCGGTAAACATTCCCAACAGAAATCCAACCAAGCAGCGAAGATAGTGGCCACCTCCAAGATCACAGCCGCCTTTGCGCTTGCTCTCTCTGCGGCAGTTGCCTTTGCTGCTCTTACGGTGATTTCCAGCGTTCCGCTTTACTGGTGGATCAACAGTCCCTAACACAAGCCCAGGCCGAAAGAAGTCGATCTGAGATCCTAGGCGGTATCGAACAGGACCCCGAGGGATTTCTCCACTTCGCCGACGACGGCGTTGTTCGTTCATACTCGGCCAACCGGACTGTCATTGACTATGCACCGCTCAGCAACAAGCATCTCTTGGAGACCATCAACGCCAATCGTCCCTTTGTTGGTGATGACTATGAACATCGGATGGAGGTCTTCAATGGTGTCGACGGCCATAATGTAACCGATCTGAACCAGATATACGACCCGCCAGAGTGGCTTCGCCCGCAGCCTTCGTCCGCCGCTCATCAATCAAACGGTCGCAGTGAGGTAGCTAGAGACCCAGCAGCACTCCTCAACGCGCGTCAAGTCCCCCCCATCTGCTTCGGTATGACTTGTACAAAGGCGACGGTGTGTCGAGCCTTTGGATGCAAGGGATGTGGATACCTGGACGCCACGAGGTACATGATCTGCTATATCTGATGTAGTAGAAAGTTGGCGAAACCATTTCCCTCCGTAGAGGGCACATCACGAACAATCTGATGTAATTGCCAAATTCCAAATCAATTTTCCACGTTTCACGTCCTCTGCTCAATAAGCAGTAGGAAGTAGTTCCAGATCCACCCACCCCTGTACAAAACAAACTCAACATTCACCAGGTATCTGCTCGATAACAATGGTGTCACCCTGTTTGTGACGCTGCAATGAAGAACGGATTCCCTGCTGCCCAGGAATTGACCAATATTGAAATACTACATAATGTAGTACATACTGTAATCGGGCGTTCTCACAGCACAGTACAACACCTACCAGGTCATTCATTCCTGCAACTGCAAAGGACTTTGACTCTCTCCCTGTTCTAAAAACTTGGTACTAGGGTGCTGACATCGGGAATAATCTTGCGCTTTCTTGAACTCTCCACGCCGTGTCCAGCAAGGACCAGATTTACGCCTAAACATGAGCGATCCTAAGCCAAACGCTGAAGCAACAGCGGTCTCAAATCCAGATCAACAAAAAATCAGCGAGGTGGTGAAATCTCTCAAGTTGGATTTGGAAGGGGTATTCCAACTCGGCAGTGATGGCGTCCTGCGGGTCTCTGACAGCCAACCGCGCCGTCATCGACGCCGTTCCCCTCCGGCCAAACCTCATCAAAGCCTACCTAGACCGCTATCCGTTTGACCAGGAAATCGAGGACATGTATCGCGGAGTCGATGGCACGACTGTCCCGCGAGATAAGTGGTTTTATCCTGATCCAAGCCTGCTGCCGCCACCGTTGAGCGCGGAGGAGGAGGCGGAGGCGGAGGCGCAGTTGGCTGAGATCGAGGCGGAATTGAAGCGCGCGAGCAAGGAAGGGACCAGTAAGGCTGAAAGAAGTGCTTGTGTTCCGATTGTGAGATCCAATTATAACTTGGACATCAAAAGCAAGGCCGGGGATCTCGACACATAGGCAAGGGCATCTTGGTGGGAACTCTGGCCACCGATCATACTTGACCGACGCAGATTGCCTTGGAGCCATGCTTGTTGTAACCTGAGAGAATTTCGAAGCTCTTCATCGAACAGTCTGGTATAATGAATAAATTACTACGACAGTAAAGCGGAAGCGGACTTTCCCTGGCACGTAGCTCGAGCGTAGTAAATTAGTACCACGAGGCTGCAGCCTTGCGCTCTACACTACTAGAGTCTAACTTAGGCTGCGTCAACGCCCAGACTTACGGTCCGTATTCCGAACGGCGAACACTGCATGCTCGCTTCTATCCGGATTGTTCGTTAGATCTTCTGTTGTTAGGGTTGATACAGCCTCCCCACGCTACACTCCATCTATCGCCTCACCTCTTCTGATCCCTCTGTGCTTGTCCAGATCTCCAGGTCCGCTACAACGAATGAATTGATCCACGTTACTTGCCCCGCGCATGCGGGAGACGAGACATGGTCTCAGTCGAATCTACCTTGACGCAGACGGCATCTGCAATCTCTGGCCTGCCCTCGGTGTCGGCAGAGTTGACTTCAACAGGACTGAAGACCGCAGCCTCCAATGTGACCTCCTTCTTTGTTTCGCCATCCTCAAAGGAACTCCTCCGCATTCCTCTGCAGATCGTCTCCCAAGTCGAGGAGACCTTCCTCAACCTCTGGAACACTCTCACTCTCGAAAGTCTTGGAAGACATACATTCTTTGGGGCAGGAGCTGCTGATCACGCGGCTGGCACAGGAGCACAGGCAATGGCGGACGCCGCCGCTCAAGCCGGTGCTGCAGCGCAGGCATTTGGAGATACCGGTCCCGCGAGCTGGGCAGCATTCTTCGCAGAAGCATTCCAAGCCAGTACTTTTAAGAGCTATTGGGGCATGTTACACTACATCACATCAAGATGGGCATTCACGTGCTTTGCCATGGTGAGTATGGAGTCTTCTAAGCCCTGCGCAGATACTGACAATCGCAGGCCCTTATCCTCAACCGGATAGGTGTCTATGGCGCTTCGAGACAGCGTATCTATCTCAACTGGGCCAAGAGACTGGCTCTACGCATCTTGCCCATCCTGCTTTTCATCTCGCAGATTCACCAGCTCTTGCAAGCCATTCGATGCCAGACCTCTCCTGATTTTTCGCTATACCGACATGGGGATAACAACAAGTATAGTCTGCTTGACTGGTCAAAAGATGGTGGTGCACTCCATACTGTGAGCTCTGCTCTCCTGTTCCGGTCTACAGATGCAGACGCTTGCGCTGCGGTCGGTATGAGCAGACCATCCCCGGATGTACGAGCACCCCGTGGTTCCTTCTCCTTGCTGTGGCCATCGTTCCTGCGATTGAGCTTGTCTCATATCGTGGAGAGTCTGTCGTGCTCATTGCAGCAAATGCCGGCTATGACTGAGGTTGGCATGTCGGTTTTCGAGCACTCATTGGCGTTCGCAGAGGCTGAGACGGCACTCTCCCATACTCTTGGACTTGGTCTTTTTGGCTCCCCGAAATCCACCGATAGCAATCATTCGAATGCCACTGTTGGCAATCCTCAGCCAACCATTCCGGCATCAGGAACTATTCTTGCGTTGGCCGATGCTACAGCATCTCTGACTGGACCTCACATCTTGGACCGTATCAATGTCCCTGTGGAAGTACTATTGGTGACGCTACTGTCGTGTGGAAACTCCATGACTTCCCATGTCATCGCTGTTTTAGGCAAGCAGCGTCAATGGCGTCTCGTCCACACCGGAATTTGGGCCATGGCTTTCATGGCGTCCTTTGTCTGGGGTCTTTTCAGTACAAGCGTCATGGTTAGGAGCGGTGATGACGCCGATGACCGTCCTGTCAGCAGTCTTTTGCATTTCCCAACCGTGGCAATTGTTGGGTTTCTACCTCATATGGCGATCTTGTTGGGAATTGGGGTCTGCTCTATCATTTATCTGGTCGCACTTACTTTCACGGCTGTGTCCTTGGGAACGAATCCACACATTCCACAACCCACGAGTCTGAAAGAACGATTCAGCATTGCCCATGACAACCTGCAGGCCGCGGTGCAGACAAGAGGGATCAACATTCGATGGCATGAGGACTTTTACACGGCACTTCTTCGCGTCGGATTCGCTGCTTTGACAGCTGCTTCGGAAGCAGTTTTCCTCAACGAAGGTAGATCGGTCGAAGTGCGCCAATTCACTTGGCTCGAGGAGGATAGACTGGACGAGTTTGAAGCTGCAAAAAGTGAAAAGGGGGGAATAGCAATGGGCCAACAATTTCAAATTCTGGAAGAATATGGCCTTCCACCATCGAGTCCTGGTGGGACCGACAAAGGCGGTCTTTGGGAGTCTGGTTACTCTAGGGAGCGCAAATTCGATAAAAAGGAGGGCGAGCTTGAAGCCAAGGACTCTTTCGTCTATCCGACACCTAGATCAGGCGGAGTAGGCGCTGTACAGCGGACGACTCGGTTTTACCTTTTGATGATTTACCTCCGTGGGATTATGTTTCTCATCTCCGGATACATTGGCTTTGGGTTCGGTGTTTTGTTGGATTCTCTCGGCATTACTGCTCGACCACGTTGGCTTAAGAGGGTCGTTGGACGGTCACTCAAGAAGATGAATGCGGAACGAAATGTAGCAGGAAAGAGCCGCGTGCTCGACTTCTGGCTGATCACTGAAGACGGAAAGTTGACAGTGCCCATTAACGATGAGATGGATATCGAACCTGAAATGCGCCGCCGATTGATGACCGAATTTCCCAGCGAGCGGGTCGATGAACTGCTGGATTCAAAATTGTACGATTGGTGGAAGTCTGGCGGGTGGTTTGGTTCGCGAGACGAAAGCGGTGATTACCAGCCGCCTCCGCAGGACGAATTCGACGATACCACGAGTGTGATTTCAATGTCTACCGAGGCCACCACAGACCGAAGTGAAAACGAGGATGACAATGAGTGGGAGTCTGAGCCTGAGGGCACAAAGACACCGACTCGGTCATCTCCTGTACCGACCTGGTCGTTCGCTGGCATCGAAACCAGCAACTCGACCTCATTCACCGACACGCCGCTAGATTCTGCAACGTTAGCAAGGCTCCTTAACCCTCAAGATCGAGAGTCTCGGGAAGAAGCTCGTATTCTAGCGGCCCATCTGGCAAACGCTGTCTCCGACTCTCCTCGCATCATGACTCGCTCGCGCTATCGTCGCGAGTTCGAAAGCGAACGAGCTCGAATTCTTCTTGCTGGCCGTACCTCCCACGGGCAATCGACGCATACACCTACGATTTCGTTGTACAATAATTCAAACAGCACAGGTCCACGACCATTGACCGCCATTGAAGAAGCCGAAGTTCTCGAGTCGTTAATCATCAGCCGCCGAAAGAGCCGAGCAGCTCTTTCACGTCCAACCCACGCCACTGGTGACGACGAAGACTCAAGACAAGCTGGGCCGTCGTGTGTGGTATGCCAGACCGCTCCGAGAACCATTATTGCTTGGCCCTGCCGGTGTCTGATTGTATGCGAGGATTGTCGAGTGAGCCTAGCATTGAATAATTTTGGTAATTGTGTGACATGTCGGAGGGCCGTGCAGGGGTTCGTGAGGCTGTATGTGCCTTGACCATGGAGCGTTAAGTACGAGCAAGGAAGACTTCACGCTTCTTCAATGGACGTATGAGACGGATGCAGTATCGAGTCATGGAAGATGCCCATTGCAGGAGAGGCGAGAATGGGTCGCAGTAGACTTGTTTAGTATTCTAGAGCGTTTGTACTGTATGAAGTAGCCTTGTGAGTTATACAGAAAGCCCGTTCGATCAACATCAGCCTACGTTGGAAGTACGCATACACTCGAAGTGAGCCGATACTTGCTACTCTAGTCCAGCATACGCTCACTTTGAGCCATAGCGCATGACAGATGTATTTGATAGCGCTGTCTCCAGGTCTTCTTACAACTATGCGTCTTCAATCCTCACATGGCTGAGCTACAGAATGTCCCTGTGCACATAATAAGCCCGTCTCCTTACGGCCGAGTCCTGGAACTGCCCTCAAGATACATCGTCACTGAATACGTGCGACGAAGGCCCAGTGAGCCTCCACTGTGTTTGTACCGTGGCCCGCAAGCTAGGTGAAGTCGAGCGAACCAGTCACATTCCTCTTAAAGCGAGCGGGAACAAGGGATTGGAGGAACGGGTGGCCTTAACGCGGAGACACAAGCGTCGTTCACTCCACCGACTTCTACTTTAAACAGACACCGTCCTTGGTTGAAATGAAAAGACAAGAGGCCGGTGTAAGTGAGATTTATCCAAGTGTGGGAGGATACGTATTAGTATTCGTCCATTTCACTTCCTCTCTCTACTTGGACTTTAGTGATTTGGAAATTGCGTTGTTTACAACACCATGGCTGAAGGAGACATCGAAACCGTCTTTCAGGCGGCCATCGACGCCGGCAAGATCAACGGCGCTATCATCTGCGCGGCCGACGCAAAAGGTCACTTCGTCTACGACAAGGTGCTGGGCGAGCGTACTCTACTGTCAGGCGAAAAAAGACCACAGCAGCTCGACGACGTGCTGTTCCTCGCCTCGGCTACGAAGCTCCTCACCACCATCGCCGCACTACAATGCGTCGAGGACGGGCTGCTTTCATTGACGGGCGACATATCATCCGTCGCGCCCGAACTCGCCGCCAAACAGGTCCTTACGGGATTCGCCGAGGATGGCGAGACGCCGCTGCTCGAGCCGCAGGCCCGTCCCATTACGCTTGAGATGCTGCTCACGCACAGCTCCGGTGCCGTATATGATTTTATGGACCCGCGGCTTGGTCGCTGGCGCGAGAAGTTCGAGCCCAGGCCCGCAGACCCCGATGAAATAGGCCAGATGACGGTCGAGGAGCTGCTCACTTCGCCGCTCGCCTTCCAACCTGGTTCAGGCTGGATGTATGGTCCCGGGCTCGACTGGGCAGGACGTATCGTCGAGCGGGTAACGGGAAAAACGCTAGGCGACCGCATGCACGAGCGTATATTCGCACCGCTCGGGATTACCGACGCCCAGTTCTACCCGGTGACGCGGCAGGACCTGCGCGAACGTATGGTCGATTTGAACCCCAGTGACCCTGAAGGTCTCGGCAACGCTGTGGTGGGCATCGACAATAGCCCCAACAAGCGCACCAAGGGCGACTTCGGCGGCCACGGACTGTTTATGACGGCGCCGGACTACGCCAAGGTCTTGCGCAGTCTACTGGCCAACGACGGCAAGATCCTCAACCCAAGCACCGTTGAAGATATGTTCGAACACCATCTCAGCGCCGAAGCTACCAGGGCTCACCGGGCGGCACTGGCGGGCCCCTTTGGCGGGTTCTTTCGTCTTGGAACCGCCCCTGAGGCGAAGGCGGGATATGGGCTCGGTGGCCTGCTCACGCTGCAGGATGTCGATGGCTGGTATGGAGAGCGCACACTGACTTGGGGCGGCGGGTTGACTTTTGTGTGGTTTGTCGATAGGAAGAGTGATATGTGCGGCGTTGGGGCCATACAGGCTGCACTGCCGCTTGATGGTGAAGTTGTCACAGCGCTTAAGTTGACTTGCTGTCACGATGTGTATCGGAAACGCGAGCAGGCCTAGTCATGATGACAAGGCAGGATGGAGAGAAAACGAAAAGGAAAGGTCTTGTTGACTCTCGAAATGACGTTGGCCGCCACAGTACCTGCGTGGTAGACGTAGCACTTGTGGTTCTCCACGTGTAGAGGTGAAGACCATCACTCCATCAGCGACCCATACAGCTCGAACATCGCCATGCTGTTAAGCGGATCGCTCTCGTAGCCTTCCATGCTGACCATAGGGGTACGACTGTTGTGTCTAGGTCGGGGGTTCGGAGAAAGCTGCTGATGCTGCCAAGACCTAAACAATAGACGAGCCTGGTTCGACCTCAAACATCGTCAAATTCTCTGCCAGGATTCATCTCCTATGTGGCAATGCATGAAGTACGAGCGGTGGCTTCTGCGTACGAGTACTTCCGCCATATGGCCTTGCCATTGCCGGCTGCCACTGATTCAGTCACGGATTCACCGGTCAGCCTCAGAGCGCCAACTTTGCCTTGCACCCTGTTCGTGGTTGCCTTTTCTGCAGCGACAGGGGTTGATTGCAAGTGTGATTGGGCACCACCATGCATCGTTCATCATGCATCATATGGAAGCTGCCCAAGGCAGACTTGCGGCACAATGCTAACGAGGGATCTGGCAGGCGCAAGTTGGACCCTTAAACAGCTTTGGACAAGGCCGAAGCTCATCTGAGGGCGCCTCTTCTTCTTTCATCATCGTCATTTTCTGTACCCTCGGATCTCGCACGTCTCTTGTCCATCGAAGATTCGTGCACAGCGCCTGAATTCATTGTGTTGTGGTATCGGCTCTTTCCTCACTGAATCCGAAATACTGCAGACTTGCAGAAACGACTTCTCATTCGACAAGCATCCGAGGAAAACGAGACCTTGCCGTTCGAATTCCCCTAAAGAGATCCACCACGGATTTCTCTAACGCTTCGTTCCACGATATCTGTAGCGGCGCAGTACTTGACGGGCTCTGTAAGCACTTCAATAAGTAGAGACGGACGACTTCGATCAGAATCTGCAAGCGAAAAGCCTCTTGAGCCAGATATCGATCCGACGTAACCCGAAATCGCTTGAAGCTATCGTGCGCGTCACCTCGCGACTTCCAAGTGAGAGATTGATGGTTATCGCTTTAGGAAGGGGGTCAAAAACTGGCCCAGCTCTTTCAGTCAATGTCTACGCGTGCTTGGTGTTGCTGCCTGTGCCAGCAATCTAACCTCACTATTTTGGACTCTTTTTGTCCATATTGTAAGCATCGGAAGTGTGGCTATTGCAGGTATGAGCTTCAAAGTGGTGGTATCCCAGATTGGGGCGAATACCGAGTACTTTCGAAGTCTTTTGAGGACCACGGTACCTCCACAAGATATGGGGATGGCGGCCATCTACAGCGACATCGGGAGAAGCAAGGAAAAACAAATCAAGGGACTGAGTCTCCAATTACAGACCACTCTCCAGGTCCCCGTCACCCTCTACGTTTCATGAATCTTAGTATGGAAAGCCTCCTCATCAAAGCAATATTCGAGGTCGACCACCTTCAGAAGATCAAGACTCGCTAATAAGATGTGAAACTGGCAGCTACTTACAGCGGGATCGGGACAAACACGAAGAAGAACCAAATCAAGGAGCTGATCCGTTAATTACGGACCATTCTCTAAGTTCTCGTCACCCTTTGCGTTTTATCAACTTCAGTTATGAAAATCCTCCTCATCGGAGGAGAAGTATTCGGTTCCGACCGCGTTCAAAGGACCATGACTCGCCAATCAAACATGAAATTGGCAGCTATCTACAACAGCATAGGGATATACAAAGGAAGTGTCACACCAGCAAGCTGAGTCACCTATTTCGGACCAATCTCTAAATTCGCATCACCCCTTACGTTTTATGAATTTCAATTACAAAAAGCCACGTCGTCGGAGAAATTTTCAAGACCCACCATCCGCAGAAGACCACGACTCGCCCATCAGCCTTGGGAAATGCAGCCGTCTACAGCCATTTGGACCAGCTGAGCCACCTCCTAAAGGCCGCTCGACAGATGCCTATGGTCCTTCACATTCTATATCTATAGATAGGGAGTATACAGGAGTATCCCCCGTCGATGTGCTGTACACAGATCCAGGATATATCTTGGTACCAAAGGACGTATTCGACCGGCAAGGAATCTTAGGTTCTCTAGAATCTGACGAGCTTTTGACAGAATACTCAGACGCATCAAGCATTTCTGACACGGAAAGAAACGCTTACGTATACGAGTTGGCTGACGATCTTTTCGGCAACTTTGGTACAGTCGGTGAGAGTCGGCATAAACTCAAGGAAATCTGCGACGACCTGCTTGGCCTACTCAAAGCTTTTGCTTTGAGGTTTGGCCACCATGCATCGACGCAACTGCATATCGATGTAATGCATTTTGTCCATATGCACCATAGGTAAGGCCATCAACGTTCAGCTTGCCGGAAATCGCCATTGAACCTTGATTCGTGCTTAGGGAGATATCCGATCATTTCAAGTCACGCTGTATGGAACAGAATTTTCGGGGCGAAGCTAAGGGTTCAGGTGGTCGAATACCTCTTGAAGAGATGGTCGAAAAGTGGCAGAGGGACTTTCAGGAACCAACTTCCGGCTCTGTTGCAGATCCTGCCTTCGTCGAGGATGACCCTGGGATACAGCTGGACGATGATCGGGACCAGCAGCAACCAGAGCAGAATCCCGACAACGTATACGGCGACTCCATCATGCGCACACCGGCATATCATTGGTTACTGGACAGTCTTCGTAAGAGACTCTACCTGACGCCTGCAGACTCCACTTGCAATCCTTCCATCAGGGAGACAATTCTGTCGTCTCTGGCCTCTACTCGCAAAGTAAGCAGGAAGACGCCCGCAGAGACATATCGGATGGCATTCTTTCTCGCGTGGGACCCCTTGTATTTTCACCGGGAGCAAGGTTATACGGAGGAGATTAAGGAAGTGGTGAAGTATGCCATCACTCTGACAGGAAACATGTCCCAGGCACAAGCAATGCCGTGCGGGCAGTATATGTTGCAGACGTGGCCATCCTCAGCATCAGTGCTGCTTGAGTTGGTACAGAACGCTCTGCGTGAACCAGGACTAGCCACTCAAGGTAAGGTATTCGCGCTTCAGTCTTTCCGATTCGCTACCGCACATGCTTACCCTGGATAGCACACTTTAGCGATGGAATGAAGCTCGAAGGCTTGGTGGCTGGGCAAAAGTTTCTTGTGCAGGTGCGCGGTATACGAGACTCTATCGCCGAAGCTGGAGAACAACTGGCATGGCTCGGTTCTGCCCTCCGCTCGTCAACGGATCAGAAGATGGCATTGTGTAGCCCGTACATTGAGAAGATCTTGAAGGACTGCCCCGATGGAGAAACGATCACAACTGCTGGACCCCTCTATACTTGCCATATCGGCTTCAGAACATACCAGCAAAAGACATCCACACCGGTAGCAAACGGACAATGCTGGCACGACATGTTCCGAAATCCGACCGTCGTGGAAGGCTTTCCGATTTTGGAGAGGCTGGAAAACATCCTCGGCCTCGAAATGCCGCTCAACCTCATGGCAGCTTTGATCCACACAAGGCGGATCGACATGTTTGATGAGACACCTTTCATTGAGGGGATCTCGAGCATGCTTTATCCTACCCAATCTGTGGGAGGCTTTCTTTTATGGCATCATCTCTGCAACAAAGATAGCAGCATGGTAGCTTTCACAGATGATCGTGTCAGATGCAGGCATCATGCCAGCAGTCTTGACTTACCAAGAGTACGACATATCGTGGGGTGGTGTCCGAAAGTTGAATACCACGCCGGTAAGTGTGCTTACAAGTCGCTCGAGAACGGATTGCCATGTCCTTCACGACGCGATTCCGGCCCGTGGCTCGATGCCTGTCACTTTGTCGATAGGCTGACATTCGCTGTTGATAGGTTCCTCCGAAGCAATCCTCTCAATAGAAAAGACCGGGCTGCCGAGAACTCACACAGTTTGTGTTCTCGACAAAGTCGTCCTAAGCGCTGGTAATTTCATCACGGGCGGAATAGAGGTCCTTCTTGGACGCGAAGATGTGCCCGTGCACGTTTCCCGAAATGGCTACCGAGGGAAGTTGCAGTGGACGGCCCAAAAATTCGTGGTTTTATGGGACACTGGAGAGTGTAAAGGGTGGCTAGTCAACGGCAACAGTGCACTTTTGCACCTCACTCGTGCCTCTCTGGAGCATAACCGGAGCAATGATTTCAGCTCCGAGTTCTGCTTTCGGGCCAGAGGACGTACAAGAGCCAACCGAGCCATATGGCCTAGGATCATCGCTTGATGTCCTCCTCAATACTGAAAACAGGCAGCTTCCACTGTATAGGGAAGAGACGGACCCCATTCGTTTCCAAAATCGAGTCGAGGATCTTTGCGATACTCTATATCTCATTGCCGAATATCAACATCGAGCTGCTGGGCAGAATGGCATCAAATTGAAGCTGAGTCCGAGGAGGCATCTTGAAGGATGGGATTTCAGAGACCTCGCTCTGGAACGGAATCACATCTATCCCCGAGTCGCCTGCATCCCGACGATTGGCAGAGGCTGGGTTGACTTCGTCAGGGATGTCCAAGCCATAGTCCTTTTTGGACGCGGATATGGCGAAGTCCTTCGGCCTTCTACTGAGCGCAAGATGATATGTACTCACTGGGATAAATTGCCTCCAGACAATTACTACCTGGCTGCTGCTGTTGGTGATCTGCGGAAGATCATGGAATTGGATGGGGACGCCAATGCAATTCCACCACGACTCAGCGATAACATCGCCTGGCACCAAAGGGAGCCATTGCCTAAGCGTTTTCATTGTAAAGGGGAGGCTTGTGTGAAGTACCCTGGGTTTGTCCAAGTGCTACTGCCTGCCAAACTGAAGGCTGGTAGTGCCGAGTCGAAGAGTGCCTCCAATCCGTTATCCAAGCTCCAAGACGCAAGCGCAGTTGTCTTCGGCCACAATAAGGTCTTCAGATTGTTCTATCCCGACGTGGGACCCCCTCAACATGGAGATCCACCAAGCCCAGTGGATGAGACAAACAGCCCCATCGACGATAGCGGACTAGGCACGAGCCTAGGGACTTTGAACTTGTCCACAAGCACTAGTTGTCCTGATGCAAGTCCACCAGCAGGGATCGGTGGCGACTCCCCTGACCCAGAGCTGCCTGTCCCTCCAGGAAAAAGCGCAAGATCCCACGATGGAACAAAGAGCGGACTTACCCAGTCCTTGTCAGCCGCGGCAGCGGAGGAGGGCGAATCAGCCAAGTGCACTTGCCATAGCGAAGTGCAAGCTGGGCCCGGGAAGCGAGCAAACAGGCTTACATCTTGGGCAAAGCCTATACTAACAAAGGCGAGAAAGAGAAGAAGACTCCTAGATGATGAATGAATCGTCAAGCAGTCTCTCATTTCTTTCCTGTGGAGCCGAGAAATTGGTATAAGTGCAGGTTGCAGTCCTGGTGGGCTTCACCCATGTGGTCTGTTCGAAGAGGAACGATGGTGTCACCGAGTTGAGAAAGGCAATCAACTGACAAATGTTCCTGCGTGAATCTCAATGCAGACAATTCGCCGCCAGCCAACATGTCACGGGCCCTATGTGAATTCAAGACCAACATCGCGGCCGTTCGTTTGATGTGCTTCTACTCAAGCTTGCTATCAGGAGCTTTAGGGGGATTTTCACGTCTGGGGCGTCACTGGATTGTGCAAGAATATCGGCCCGTACAGTTTTCTCCTCAAGGACATGCTGATATTGCCGCTCGAGGCTTGTTCGTATTGCGACAGGCGTGCATGGACTTCGGCGTATCCCACCACCAAGTCATTCATCCGAGAGGGCTTGTCTCGTCCGACGAATTGTGGATATTGATTGGAAAGATCCCGCAACGTCCCAGTTGAATCATTGTAAGGGAGAGCAAATCTCGATGACTTTTGGGGCCCGCAATCCATCCGTTCTTCTGCGACTCCGGAGACGGACTCGAGACGCTTAACGGCTTGTTCGAAGAGTCCGCTATGCGCTTGTCGAATGGGAGCAAGAAGCGCGATGTTCCAGAATGCACGTACCAGCTGTGCTTTGCACGAAGCAAGGCGGTGGTTGCCGTCTGATGGAACCTCATCCAGGTCCAACAACGAGATGTACGTCCGATAATACATGAACTGCAGGGCTGAAGGGTCTTCCGCGGTTCGAGGATCAAGAAAGATCGCCTCTTCCAGAGTATCCAGCACATTCGTGACTGCATCTCTGATCGGCCAGTATGTCTCTTCTCCGAGCCTTTCGAAGAGCTCAGAGAGGTTCTCCCTTGCCAGTTGAAAGGGGCTGTCGCTAATCACTGCCCTTTGCCTGGTTGAAGGGTTCTGGAATTCTGTGTCAAAAATCGGCCGTCCCAGCTGGGGCAGTCGGGCAGCGATGTCGCAATACCCAACCATACGTTGTACGTGCAGTGGCAGGCTGCGCACAGAACAGCCAAAATGGTTAAGGAGGGATTTCAGGCCCTGGAGGTGGGTTTGTGCGGCATTGTGATCCGCTTGGAACAATGCGCACATGATCAAGAAAGCTAGGGCATTGGCAACGATGGGGACTTGGGTTGCTAACAGTTTCTTTAGGGTCTGCTGAACGAGGTGTAATGATCGCCCAGTGAGATGGTGTAGGCCAGAGTCTTGCTTGGATGTCAAGTTCAGAGATGTCATGATTGTCGCGTTGTAGGCCAGCAGAGGTATTAATACTAATTCGTTGTGAATGTCCGGGTCGATGTGGTGCTGAGGCGTCCAGTCTTGATAGAACCGCAGCAGCATGAAGGAGTTGGGGTAGTTTGACAAAAGGGATGATCTGAAGGGATCGACGACATCGGCGCCCTGTAACGGGATTTTACATAGTTGCTGATGGTCAGCGTAGAGTGCATCCGAGGATGAAAGAGGTGCTTTGCGAGGTATGGATGGTCGATTTTGCGGGTCGTGGGAATCATCCTGCACATCATGATTGCTGTCGTAGCGTTTGGTCGAAGAGCTGCAGTTCGTATGTCGACTACGCCTAGTCTGCAGACTGGTCGAAGTTCCTGGTTCGATCGGTACTTCGGGAAACGAGCGCCCAGTTGGCCCCTGTCCGTTCGTGCCTGGAGGCGCCATAGGTCTGTAGCTCAATTTGCCCAGCGACCATCTGGGTCCGGTCTCCCATGGTTTCAGTTCATGTGGTGAGTCCTTGCGCGACTTGAGAAGTTCCTTCCTCTGCTCCGGTGTGGCTCGATTCCGATGGTACCGACCGATATGCGAGCGGACGGTGGAGATGTTGTCGCTGGAGTTCGCTTGGCCGGGGTGGCTGATGTTGACCCATACAGCGTTCATATTGTGTGGTTTGGTCACAAGGGCACCGACAAGGGGATGTTTTGACAGAGATGGGCATTCTGGAAGGTTTCAAGTTGACTCGACCTAGGTGGAGATCATTGTCGTTCTTGGTTGATGGCCACTGATGGAAAACCTAGGGCTGCTTGGTAAGTACGAGAATAGGCTTTCGTTAAAAGGAAGGCTGGGAGTCGGGAGCCGTGCTGCGAGTTATCACATTGAAAGATTTCTCGGTCTTGCAATGTTTGATGGTGGATGATGATTATTCGCGGCAAGATGGTCGTGGAGAAGGAGGATACGGAATTTCCTTAAATAAGTCAGCATTGGATGGAGTTCGAGGCATGTGATTTCGTAGGGAGCTCGAGAGGAAGCCCAAACACTCCGCCGTATACATTGTACGGCGGAGTGTATGTATCGAGCTAACCTCCATCAATGGTATCGACACTCATTTTTGGCGACCTTGACTTGCTCTTGAAACCGAGTATCAAAAGCCAAAGGCCACAACCTCAACAGTATCTTATTGACAGAATAGCTAGTACGAAGGGCTATGTAGAAGCGTTGCGACCGCGCAGGTGCAAAGGCAATAGGCGGCGCAGGCTGTCGCGTGCTCGACTTCTTAGCAAGAGTGGAGTCGAGGGCATGACAGTAACTGAGCAATCGGCTTCTCCTTCTTCTTCTCCTTCTACTTCTGCTTCTACTTCTTCTTCTCCTTGCACTTCTTCTTCTCTTTCTGCTTGCCCTTGTGCTTGCACTTCGACCCATGGCCAATAGAGCAGACGCTGTTGTGTGCTTGGGTGATCATAACCCAACTTTTTGATGGACAACGCAATGCACTTTTCCATCAGGCCATACGCTTCCTTTTGCCGGCCTTGATCTCGCCATGTACAGGCAAGGTTGTTCATGGCAATCAGCGTTTGAGGGTGCTCCGAACCCATTGTCTTCTCTTGTATCTCCAACGCCTCGACCTCTAGGCGCTCTGCTTCTTCCAGCCTGCCTTGAAAATGGTATATGCCACCCAGATTGATCATACCCGCGAGCGTGCCGGGATGCTCTCTGCCCTGGATCCGTATTCTGGTCTGCAAGTTCTTTGTCTTCAGCTGTTCCGCCTCTTTCAACCGACCCACTTGCGCATAGATGGCAGCAAGGGTGGCCATGCTGTTGAGCGTATCTGGATGCTCTTCTTTAAGCACCTTGAGCCTTTTTTCCATCACCCATAGGCCTAACTCTTCAGCCCTTTGGAAATCCTTTTGGTCGTAAAAGCTCCACACCAAATCAGCCATACCGGTCAGTGTGACTGGGTGCTCACCACCGAGGGTCTCTTCCCATATCTTTCTCACTTCTTCTCCAAGCTCTTCGGCCTTGTTCCAGTCCCCCAGCTCTCTGTATGTTGCAGCCAGAAGATGCATGCACGTCAGCGTATCGTCATGATCAGCACCTAGGATCTCCTTAGCCCCCGTAAGCGCTTTCTCAAAATATATCTTGGCCTCACTCCAACTTCCCTGCATTCTCAATGCGTCTCCAAAATGGTGATAAGCTCTCGAAGTACTTATGTGCGAGTGTCCCAACTTCGTCTCGCGCCAGCTGACAACGGAAGCAAGTAGCGGCACAGCTTCGGAGTACTCCCCGTCATGCACGAAGTTGTAGCCCATTTTTTCGAATAATATGTAACGCTCCTCGAAGTCTTCGATTCCATCAGAGGTGCATAGGATCTGCGCATGGGGCATGTAGAGAGCACATTGGTCCCTGTTTTCATGCGTTCGCACGGGGAACCGCGCCGCTAAAACACTCACGGCCGCTTGGGTCCAACGCAAGAGCGTTTCCTGTCCCCTCAACCAATTTCGAGTGGCAAGACGCACCAAACTATGCATCTGGTACAGGACTTCCTTGGACTGATCTTGACCTTCATTCTGTTTTCTCAGGAAGGAGTACCCAGTGAGGATACCCAACACTTCGGTCATCTCCCTCCTGGAGGACACTTCGGGCAAAAGTGAGAGTGGAATGTTTTTCTCGCTGAGACAGGATGTAAAGGCCAGGAACTCTGCGGCCCGAGGATGATGAACTTGGATCTGGATGAAGGAGACGAGCCAAGTGGATGCCACCGGGTTTTGTCCTTTCTTGTATCGCTGCTCATCGTTGCTGAAGTCTTCACTCAGGAGGTCGATGACGTTCTCCTCTGTGTCGTCAGAAACTCCAGATAGTCTTGAGTCGACGTGTTGTTCATGTTGATGTATGCTGCGGCTTGGACGATGGCAAGAGGCAAATATGTGAGTCTCTCAACCAGCTTTGAGGTCTGTTCGGCATCCATCCGGGCTTCTGGCTTGATTGATTAGAAGGCCCAGAAATGTTTCAACAGCCTCTTCTTGATTCATCTCTGGCAATTCGACCACCTCTTTTCCTGCCATATGCACCGCTACCCGGCGGCTTCGTGTTGTGACCAGTATACGTCCCGTGGCACATATTGGCAACGACTCCGCCAGAGCAGTTCCATTTTCGCTTCCGTCTCCGTTTCCGCTTCGCTTCGCTGGGACACCCCAAATGCCCTCGTCATCGGCATTGTCCAGAATCATCAGCCAATTCCCGGCGGACTTTTGACTTAGGTACTGCTTGACAAGGTTCTTGACGTCGGCTTTCTCCTTTTCAATTCCAGGTATCTTGAGCTTCTTACCAATCTCCAGAATATCTTTTCCAAACGTCAGATGATTCGTGGCCTGGACCGAGAGGACGGAGTACGTCGGACGCTGGCTTTTTGTGCCATGGGCCAGCTCCAGTGCAATTCTACTCTTGCCCACTCCACCCAAGCCGAAGACTGCGACTGTTGAGCGAGGGCGACTGTGACGCTGGAGTAGCTTGTCCTCAAGTATCGCCATCTCCTTTTTGCGACCTATGAAGTCCCCGGTTCCGCCAAACGGGACATGCCATATTACTCGCGACGGGCTCTCTAAGATAGAAAGATGTCAATCAACCACTATTCTGAAAAGGGAACAGCTTCAAGAAGATAATACATTGAAAAACTAACCTTCCTGGTCGTTCGTCTCAGGGGCCCATTGCTTCAGAAAAGCTTTCATACCTGCCGCGGCTGTTGCTGCAGCATACATTTGCCACTTCTTGTTCTTGTGACTGTCAGCATACTCACATACGCCCTTGACCACAATGCTGGGGAAATGATCCCACACTCCCGCGCCCTCCATCTCAAAAGCGATAATGCCGGCGTCCTTGGCAAGTCTATCTCGATGTTGGCCGGACTTCATGACGGCGTCACCGGACGCCATCGCACCAAAATGTACCGAGAGTGCGTGCTGTTCCGAGGATGCTTTGGCATCTGTGGCTTTGCGACGGTCGACGAGCCTCGTTGCCTCGCATCCAAGTTTCTCACATGTCATTTTGAGCGCGTCCTCGCAAATGTCTTCGGGACTAGCACTGCATTGGTCGCATTTGACTGTGGCCTCTGTGGGCAAGTTGTGATGCTTGTGGAGATATGAAGATTCAAACAGGATGTCCGCTTCTGATCCAGGATATTCGGTTTCGGGGATTTCCTTCTTGATCTCCTGGAGAAAAGCTGCAACATTGTCCTGCAGTTCTTTACGATAGAGTCTTGTCTTCAGCTTCGCAATGATCCCACGAATTTTCCGGCTCGGCCTGCCCAGGCTATCCTCGATAGTATCTTTTCTTTGAAGCTCTTTCGGATACTACCTGCCATAGTCGTATTGTACGAGCGCGTTGCTGAAGATGACGTCGCCCAAGTGTATTTCTTCTCCCGTGCCATCTGCACCGGCGAAAGGTACGCCTCCACAAATCCCCACGATCAGGGCGAGCTTGATGCCGGTGAAGCTTGATCGCAGGCTTGCTGCCACAGCTGATGCATTGACTTTGCCCATTCCTGGCATGTATGCCAGTACGACGTTGTGGTCTCCAATCACCCCGGTTGTGTAGTTGTTGTCATCCCCTGGAGCTTGGCCATAATGTTTACCTTCATCTTTCCAGAACTTATCAAAGACAGCATGCACCGCATCGGCTTCCAGTGGGAGAGCACAAATGAGGGCGACCTCGAAGTCGCAGCGATCGCGAGGGGTGGCAGGAGACATCGGGGCCAGCAGATTCATGAAGCTGGTGAAAGAGAGTGACACGAGGCAGTTAGAACCGGACCAGAGACGATCCGATCATGAGAGGCTTTCCATCCCAAGTCGCTACCTCTTCCATTTCGACGTCAGGCTGAAGGCAGTAACCCCGCTCCAGTTGAGACAGCGGCCTTCATACCGTGGTGTCACGAGTATGTTCCAGGCCATAGCGCGAGCCACTCCGTTTAGAGGTGTCCAATTATCTCGCAAAAGCAGCATCTCTCGCTCAGCCTGATCATACATACCAGGGGTGCCCTATTGGATTGGAATACCTCTACGGTGTGCTGGTAGTTGAAAGCGGCAGGCACATATCTGACCAATATCAGGCCCTGTCATGCTCCGTGCAGTTGAAAAGTCGCCCTTGATACCGTAATGCGACTCGTTCGTATTCTTCCTCGCCAGGGGATGTTGCCAGGTTTGGGCGCGAGTCCGGAAAAGGTCGTCGTTGATTGGGGGCCGAGAGAATTGTGTGGCGCGCGGTTGCCCTGCGAGCCTGATAGGGCGCGTATTCTCATTCTCGAATATCTCTGGTATTGAAAGCGCGTCGCGAGGAAGGAGCCAAAGAGATGAAGGGTCGGGTTCTCTCTTTCATCCTGGACCTAGACCTTTGCCTGGGAGGGAGTGAGTGAGTGGGAGATCCTGGAGAGATGGCGATGACATCGGTTTTCTCAGTCTCCCCACACGGAGTGTTCGCCGTGTGTCAAACCCCCTCCAGCGCCCCAGATCTCGGCAATTGACGGGAGAGTCTTCTCAGTGTGTAAAGAAACACAAAAGAAGTAGGATTCCTTCTCAACTTTAAAGAATCGAAGAGAGCTCGAGAAATCGTTTGTTCTGCAGTGCTACACCTGACGCGGCTGCCATTACGTGCCGGATCTCTTTCCTGACGCAATACAAGAAGCTCATTTCTATCGCCGTCGAACTAATTCAATTGCTGACTTTCCCACTTCACCTTGTCACTTTGTGTGTTGACCTCACGAGCGATAGTAAATTCGAAACACTGTCAAGACAATTCAAAATGAAGCTCCTCTATCCAACGTCCATCACCCTCGACACCAAGAGCCTGGAAGGCTTCAACGTGTCCCTTATCCCATACGACATCAAAAGCAACATTCCCGACGAGCACACCGACGCCGAGATCCTGATAACATGGTGCAACCCGGTCCCGCAGCTCAAAGAGGAAGCCAAACGTCTCAAGAACCTCCACTGGATCCAGTCCCTCGCCGCAGGACCGAATGACGTTCTCAGCGCGGGCTTCGACGCTTCGAAAGTGTCCATCTGCACGGGCTCCGGCCTGCACGACCACACCGTCGCCGAGCACACTCTGGGACTGCTTCTGAACGCGGCGCGCCGCTTCTTCGAGATGCGCGACTTCCAGCTCCAAGGCAAATGGCCCGGCCACCTGGGCGGACCGCAACCGGACAGGCCCGCGGGCAAATTCACGACGCTGCAGGACGCCAATATCCTGATCTGGGGGTTCGGCAACATCGCAAAGACCCTGACGCCCTGGTTGACGGCCCTGGGCGCCAACGTCAAGGGCATGGCCAGACACGCCGGTGTGCGTCAGGGCATCGAGGTCTACGCCGAGGACAAATTGCCTGAGTTGCTGCGCACCACGGATGCGCTGGTCATGATCCTGCCGGGCTCGGAAGACACCAAGAATGTGTTGAACGCGGAGAGATTGAAGATGCTGCCCAAACATGCGTGGATCGTGAACGTCGGGCGCGGAACGTCGATCGATGACGACGCATTGGTTTCGGCGCTCGAGAAGGGTGACATTGGCGGCGCCGCGCTCGATGTCTTTGTCACGGAGCCGTTGCCCGCTGACTCGCCCTACTGGAAGACACCGAATACGATTGTCAGTCCGCATGCGGCGGGCGGGAGGCCGCAGAACCCGGAGGCGTTGATTGCGTATAACCTGAGAAGATTCCTGGCGGGACAGGAGTTGAAGAATACCGTTTGATCAATCACATGGATGACTTCCAACACTCTTTGAGAGATACTAGTACTTATGTCCAGCTGGTGTGAAATAGATAGAGTCTCTCGAGTATTATTCATGTTAAACTTAAGTGCTAATCGACATTGAACTACTCGGATCGGCATTACAATTACTAGCACACAGGACATAGATGATATTCATGCATTCTCCCACGTTCTCTCCGGTTTCGCATCAAACAACTACTTCCGCCACTGATGGTGCTGTGACCCATTCACGTCGGAAGGGCATCGCATTAGTCGAGTGTCTCGGACGAGTTCACTCAGTGGTTGTATGCCCGGTCAGAACCGACTTAATAGGCTGAACCCCGTCTCTCGACCTTGTCGATGAAATCCTTCTCCAGAACACCGTCCCTTGCTACGCTGTGAGCAAATGTTTTGCTGGGCTTCCACTTGGCAGAAGTGCGCGGCGTGGTTTCCTCAAACATCTTGTCGACTTGCTCAAGAGTAAGACCCTTTGTCTCCGGGACGAGGAAGTAGGTGTAGACGAATGCGCAGGTACAGAGACCACCCCACACGAAGAAGACGGAAGACTTGAGATTGCCGTGCTGTTCGCCGACCATATACGGAGTGATGACGGCGATGATCTTTTGACGGAAATATGTTAGCAGTATGTCAAATAAGAACAAGAAGCGCCTAGAAAAGGACTTACCGTGTTCCACAACCAATTCGATGCGGTCGACAAGGCGACGCCGCGGGACCGAATCGGCAGAGGGAAGATCTCGCCAATCACGATCCAAGCTCCAGGACCCCAGGTAGATGCGAAGAAGAAGATGAAGATGGCGATGAATGCGATCTGTGCGTTGACGGCCGAGATGTTGTCGGCCAAGCTGAGGTCCGGACTAGCGGGATCGGGGTGCGTGTGGTTGAAGCCAACGGTCACACCAATGATGGCGACAAGGAATTGGCATATCAACATGCCGAGAGCTCCCCAGAAGAGGATGGTCCGGCGACCGAATCTCTCAACAGTCCAGAATGACAATGGTGTGGAGCAGACGTTGACCAGGGTGAAGATGAGCGAAATGAGGAACGTGTTGTCGATGGCTCCGGTAGACTGTAGGAAAGGGGTGGAGTAGTAAAAGATGAAGTTGACACCAGTCCTGGAAGGATAAGTTAGCGTGAGCTGTGTGCTATTCGTAAGTGTATACATACCATTGTTGCATCATCTGCAAGGAAGTGCCCAAAATAGTACGTCGTAAGTTCGATTTGGACTGCCACAAACTTCCCTTGAAACAGTTGGCCCAACTCGAGAACCAGCCAGCTTCCGGAATGATAGCACGTTCGTACTCCTCGTTGGCCACGATCTCGGACAATTCGACTTGAACGTATTCAGAGTCTCGCGGCTGCCCACGTAACTTTGACAAGGCAATGGTCGCTTGTTCGAGTCTGCCTCTTTTGACAAAATATCTAGGCGAGTCGGGCAGAGTCATCAATCCGCCAGCGAGAATCAAAGCCCAGGCGAATTGGATGGCTATCGGAATTCGGTAAGCTCCAGTATCGGTACGATCCTCAGTCGCGTAGACAACAATTGATGCAAGCATGATGCCGATGGTGATGCAAAACTGATAGCCAGCGACGAGAGCTCCTCGGACCTTGCGTGGACACTAGAAATTTGTCAGATATGCATCTTTGACACGAGTAACAACCGACTTACAATCTCACTCATGTAGAGGATGACAATGGCGCTTTCGAAGCCCACACCAATTCCAGCGACCAGGCGGCCTGTCACGATAGCGGCAAGAGCATTACCAGCACCGGTGATCATTTGGATAATAACGCCGATCATGTAGATTAAGCAGCCGAAGATCACAGTCCATTTCCTTCCAATCATGTCGGCCATGTCGCCAGCGATGAGAGCACCAAAGAAGGTGCCTGCCGACAGGATCGAAACAACAAGTGATTGGTGTGATGAGCTCAGAGCATCGGCGGTCGGGCCTTCGACTTTGTGAACGAATAGTTCGGATCCAAGGACACCGTTGATGTAACCACTGTCGTAGCCGAAGAAAATACCTCCGAACGAGGCAAAAGCGCACATAAGATACGCCTTCCAGGTGACGGGAGCTTCGATGCGATTGACATCGTCAGTCACACTGAGCCTGATGGAGTTTTGCCGAGACATGGCTGCAGATGAAATGACCTGATCAGAATAGTGGAAGATGGTCGTGGAGGGAGATCACATCTGGGTAGACGCATAACTTATATAACTTCGCCCAGGGTCTGTGGCTGTCAACAATGACACCTGGGGATCCTGCTTTTCCCAAGTTGTAGCCCATGGGTTACATGTTGCGGAGTGTCGGGAGCTCTGTGGTGGACCATGGAGACAAATCACAAGTCTTGCCTCGCCTGCTTCAGGTCGAGATCTGTGTATCTCGCAAAAGTCTGTTCAGCAATTCGCCAATTGTGGAGTGAGCGCATCGCTTTCGAAGCTACGACGACATCGAGCACTGGCAGGGTCACCTGTACACAGCAGGAATTTTGCAACCTTGGTTTTGCCGATTGCAACACTGGTGATTGGCGTCGAGTTTGAATGGTGTTGTGCTTCCGCGCTGGCAGGTCTTGTCATTGTCTTGGATCGAAGTCCAAGACTGTGCTAAGACCATAACCCCACAGATCTGTATTCAGGGTTCTGCCAACCGAGCAGGAAGTCAAGATGCCCACTGATGCCTCCTCACGACGACGACAAACGTATTTGGAACAGTGGAAGTTGGAAATTCGGAACAATTGCTCATCGTACTCCTGGACATCCGAAATGTCGGCAAGGCTGCAACTTACCTTGTGGTCTCAAAGACGGCCTCGCTGACAGATGATCTCAGTGTCACGAGGTGGAGTAGCATTGCCGAGACGACAAATCCCTTGGCTGATGGAATGTGATGCGGAGATCATGCCCAACACAGAATGTCTCCATATCGTCATGATTCTTGTCTTCTCTTGGAAGACCTTCTGGAAGCAATGCTCAGATCATGTTTAGACGCCACTGCGGAGACGAGAGCAGACGATGACCGCTGCGAGAGAGGATAGGAGGAGGTTGGCGCCCTCACGAGGAAAGAGAAGCCGACAGCGATGGTGGCTCTCCTACGGAGTACTCATACACGATTTTGGACTTACTGTGGTACGTCGCAGCTTGAAACTTTGTCGGTGTCGCCGGTTCCTGCTCGGATCTCGGCGAGCATCTTGTCGGGTTGGCACAGTCCGGATGCTAGAAGCCGGCAGTTTCCATACAGCGTCACTGTCAAGTCGCAAAGGGATGGTGGTGCCGAAGGGAAGGGTGGAAAAGTGGAAAAATGGAAAAATGGAAATCAGTAAACATTGCCAAGACCCGGAGTCTGGAACAACGATGTTCCTTTCGGTCCGAATACTGTCAATATCTTACACAATCGCGGTACCTAAGGTACCTAGTGTTGTTGTTGATTTTGGTTGGCATCCAAGAGGCGTCCAGGAGAAAAGAGGCGTCCAGGAGACGACCACCATCAATGCTTTTGGACGCACCAGCCAGCCCCCTCCAAGCAATTCTGGTACGGCACATTTCTTCTGCAGAGATGAACTGATCAGACTTCCAGCGTCTCCTTGACAGCCCCATTCCCGTCAAGTCCTTGAAAGTTCTGGCTCTCAGCAACATCGTTCATGTCCTTGGCGGTCAACGACGTTCGCCACGTAGTATGCGTACCCGTATCTCTGGCAACAGGTCTGGTCTGGCCATGGAGCCTCGTCGCAGAAATTTCGGCAGTCAAGATGAAGGACTCAGTGCCAAGGCATGAGGAATGCATCCCAAGGTCAGGATCCCTTCTGCAAGCTTCCCAGAAGCTAAGTGAGTGTCACCGTCGCTCTCAATGGGTGCGATGGACAGATTGGCCCCGTTATTCTTGAACATCGGCGTGTGAAAGCGCAGTATGAGTATCGTGGGGGCGTGCACGATCTTTTAGTACTCAAAGATCATACTATCTCGATGAACTGAGATGAATTGAGCTCAAGAGACCTTCTCTAGCCCGGTTGACAAACTATTCTGGAGCGGGATACTCTGAAATGTCTGCATGTTGGTTGAGGGATCTCCCCCATCACATGCCCTCTGTAGGCCTGGTATCGCAGTCACAGTCGTAGAAACCACTTCAGGCATCGCCCTTGCTGAATTCCACAGAACTCTCCTGGTCACTGACTGGTTGTCACACCGGGTATTGGTACTAGTGCCACCTGGATTACCTCGAGAGTTTCGATCAAGTCATCTTGGTCGCGTCTCCCACGAATTCGTCCGGAGTGTCGATCGAGGGGAGACACAGCATGGAGAATTCGGAGACGACCTCGCTTCGCGGAGAACTTCACCACCAGAAACCGGTGGCGGCGGAATGCTGCCATCTCCGCCATGCACGATCAGGGTTCTGACAATGAACATACCCATACTACTAGTAGTAGTATTGTTTCGAGGCCGTGCAAAAGCTGCCTCCATCCGATGAGTGTGATCTCATAGAGATAGTTCGATGTTTGGATTTGGATATCCGCATTTCACATCTGCTGAATACTAGTCTGATTGAACCGGCAATATGGCCTCCATATCAGAAACACCCAAAATCGCAAATCCTTCGGACTATCTGGAACGTGTCTATGCCGGCGTGCTGGGAAAGCTTATCGGTGTGTATCTCGGCCGACCTTTCGAAGGATGGTCACATCAACAGATCATGAAAGAGCTTGGTCCGATACAGTACTATGTGCACGACAAGCTCGACGTGCCGCTCGTGGTCACGGACGACGACGTCTCAGGCACCTTCATGTTCGTCCGGGCACTGGAAGAGCACGGCGTCAACTCGAATCTCACGTCTGAGGACATTGGCAAAACCTGGCTCAACAATGTCATTGAAAGGCGCACAATATTTTGGTGGGGAGGCAACGGCATCTCGACAGAACATACGGCATATCTCAATCTGAAGCGTGGCGTCCCGGCACCTAGAAGCGGTTCGATACAACAAAACGGCAAGACCGTGGCCGAGCAGATCGGAGCACAGATCTTCATTGACGGATGGGCGATGGTAGCTCCCGGCAGTCCTGCTCTTGCTGCAAAGTTGGCGAAAGCGGCTGGATCGGTCAGTCACGACGGCGAGTCGGTGTACGCTGCGATGCTGTGGGCTGCGATGGAAGCAGAAGCTTTCTTATCAGATGATCGAGATCATTTGCTCGAAACGGGATTGTCATTCATCCCCAGTAACTCTCTTATTGCAACGTTGATCTCGGACATTCGAGATTGGGCCAAACAGGACGGCGACTGGTTGAAGACACGGCAGAGGATTGAAGACAAATACGGCTATGACAAGTTTTGTGGGATGTGCCATGTGGTGCCGAATCATGGAATCATGATCATGACGTTTCTTTATGCCAAAGATTTTCACGATGCTATGTACATCATCAACACGTGCGGATGGGATACCGACTGCAATTCCGGCAACGTCGGGTGTCTGTTTGCGTTGATGTACGGACTAGGTGGCCTCGAAGGCGGTCCAGACTGGAGAGGTCCCATCGCTGACCGAGCACTGATCTCAAGTGCTGATGCTGGCTACTCGACCAACAATGCCGCTCGCATTGCGTACACCATCGCCAATATGGGTCGAAAATTGGCTGGCGAGACGCCACTTCCGGAGCCGTCAGCTCAATTCCATTTCACCTTCCCCGGAAGCGTGCAGGGCTTCGAGAGCAGCGCCAAGATCGGACAATGCGAGAAAGGGCTTTGTGTTTCGGTTGGTGGAGAGGCAGAGGTCACAACGCAGACTTTCCGGCCTCTCGATCTTGGAAAGATGAAGACATACGAGTTTGTCGGCTCGCCACTGGTGTATCCTGGTCAGCATGTTCGAGCAGTAGTCCAAGGAGATGACTTAGAGGTGCAGCTAAAGACAGACCTCAGCAGTGGCCCTGCAGTAAGAGTCACAGGCCGTCAAGAGCTAGAATGGGAATTACCCAACGAACAGCCCATTTCGCGGCTCGGACTGAGAATCTCGGGACACGGTGCGGCATGGATTGAAAGTCTTGCATGGACCGGAGTGCCTCGAATGACGATGAAGCACGATATCATGGGCTGGGTCAACGGCGCCAGCACTTTTCACACCGGCTTCGGCACGGCGTTTTACGTCGCCCAAGACCATGGCGAAGGTATTGTAAGTTATGGGAATAGAGACTGGACAGATTATCAAGTGTCTGTGGCAAGCTTCAAGATTAATCTTGGAACTGCTGGAATTGCCATCCGAGTGCGAGGCCTGCGAAGGTGGTATGCGCTGGTGATCAAGCCACGGAAGGTAATGTTGGTCAAAGCCCTGGACGAACAGCGGATAGAGCTCGACGCTGCAGAGTTTAAATGGAAGCTCGACGAGCAGTATACGATCGAGTTGACAGCTTCTGGTGATAGTATCAGAGGAAAGATTGGGAATGTGGTGCTTGAAGCTAAGGATGACCAGTACAATGGTGGAGGGCTCGGCTTGATTCCTATCGATGGATCGCTGACCGCTGCAGACATTCGAATCGGACCCAGCTAGGCGCTGGCAAGCAGGAGCCGCTGGAGGAAGCTCGCAAATCTTGAGCAGTGCTCTTTCTTGACGGAGCGAGCATGGGAGAATGACAGATGTCGTAGCTGGGATTCCCCTGGATTTCAGAGCTGCTGATAATCCTCGGCTACTTGTAGATCCGAGAACGCCTTCGCAGTCAGGTCCAACACGAGCTTTGATTTCTTCTTGATATCCTCCCGCAGCAGGATCCCGTCTTCACAAACGTAGTAGTCGATATACTTTGCAGGAACCCATTCGAAGTACACGTTGCGCACGGTGACCATTTCCTCCCAAGAGGGCGATTCGTCCTCCTTCCAAGTGCCAACGACCTCAGCCTTTTCGTTGTCTTCTTCGCAATGCTCTTCGGCTGCTCCAGGTGAAGCAATCTTATCCGCCTCGCTGATGCACACCACTTTGACAGAGCCACCCGTCACCTCCTTGCTCGTCAAGACTGCTGGTAGCGAACCCGTCTTGTTGCTCACATCCCCAAACTCCGATATCCGGTCAGCCCCGATAATGAGTATATCAGCATCCTTGCTTAGTATGCCCACAGACGCGTCAGTAGACACAATAATGCGTAGCCGATCATGAACTTGTGGTCCAGCTGTCTTGCCTGTCCGGCGATCTTCGGCCTCTTTTGCCAACGTTCGTGCAAAACTGACGCCTTCAAATAGGGGACGCGACTCGAGTATACGGAGTTCGATGGCGAGGCTGTCCTCTGCATCCAAAGCATGTAATATGGCAGCTTTGATCGTTGATGAGGAACTGAGGGTCAGAATTTTGATTGGGATCTCGCCGCCTTCATTTTGCGTTGACGATTCGAACTTGTCATGTAAAAGGGCAGAGAATTGTTGACTCACACGCTTAGCAATCTCTGCTCTTCTGCCGACGTACGCCGCCAGACTCTGTTTGACACCTTCAAGCACATCCTGGCCACCGGCATCGACTATGCTCTGTGCGTCTTTCAAGGCAGTCACGATGGCACTGGATATGGCGGCGCTCATGCTCGGGCGTCCATTGAAAGCCAAATGAAAAGCCTGCAAGCGGATCGTCTTCCACCAGCGAGCAATTTCTTCAGGAGTATATGGCTTCTTATTCTGTTGATCTTCTTCGACGATCCTCATTAATGTCTTCGCGGCCATGGTGGCCAATTCTCTGGCTCCATGTGTATGATCCAGACGTAGTTCTTCAAGGCCTTGATGTAGCAGGCTTTCGGGATCGACCCATACCTGGCCAAGGGTGATTTCCAGTCTCGGAACACACTGATCCAAGATCTTCCCACTGAGGATGTCATCTACCTTGTTCCATTCCAGGCTAACATGCTCCCAGTTCATTTGGAACACCGATGTATCGACATTGTTGTGCTCGTCTACGAGATCTTTCTTGAATCGAAATGCAAAGGGCCAAACGTGCCATATTCTGCCGACAGTCTCACCTTTGCCATCCTTACCAGTCACGGCCTTCTCATCTGTGAATTCGAAACCCGGACCTCTTCTCCACAGCTCAATGTGTTGTGGTCCAAGACAAGTCTCCTCTTTCAACTCTCGCCACGCGGCATCGAGCGGTGCCTTGTCGTATTGTTCTAACGAGCCCGCTATTGGCGCAAGCTTGTTTCTGTAGGTCGAGACTTTTTCAGAGCGGCGGAAGAGGAGGACCCGATAAGGCTTGTTGTTTTTGAGAGGGAAGAGCAGGATAGATACAACAGTTCGTCGCTCGAGGCGAGGCATCACAGCTGGATTTGTCAAGGTAGCATCAGTAGACGTTGGCAGTAAGCCGGCATTGAATCAGGATAGACGCGTGGAAATGTCATATACCATCCTTCGCGGACTCGAGCGGATGGGAACTGCAATCATCAGGTGAGTATGGCGCAGGTACCTGACCGGCCAAGCCTTCCAGGTCGCCAGCCTTGCCAACAACTCCAAATCTCATCCTCTTCTTCCAACATCTACAACTCTCCGATTTCTCTTTCGCCAAGGGACACAACAAGCAGACATCGTCGTTCTATGTTTCCGCTATGACAGGAACTGTAGTCTTCCCCAGCGCTGCGTTTAAAAGATCCCTTCAAGACTCGAAGCTCTTGAGCCTCGCAGCCTCGGCTGAGCGAACGGACTAGTCCGACACCCAACAATGACCCCCTTCGATCCCCGACAAGTTCATTAGCGGCCAAAGTAGCCTGCAGACCTCCTACTATGTAGCGACTCGCAGCGAACAAAGGTGGGAACTCAAGCGCCATGGTTCAGCCTTTTAGCCGCGACCTGACAACGATGGCCGCTGCTTCTCAGAAGTGGGGGACCGCCAGACATCGACACCTACGAGGGGGAAGGATGACAAACCAAGAGCCTTCGATCGGCACGCTTCTTCCGCTCAGACTTGGTCTCATTTAGCCTGTCTCCAGTCCACTGAGTGATCCAGAGCGGCCGGCCTGCAGAATGCGTCGTATACGCAACACAAATGATCCCGTGACTGTGCTCGACGAAGAGAAGTCAAGCCTATCATGATCTCAGGTAGGGAACAATGTTCGAAGAACAACTTGTTAATCATCAGACATGCAGTAAGTTCATCGGACACTGTATCTCCAAAGTACATGCAAGTACACAGAGACTATATCGGTCTTGCACACATGGATGATGGCCGTTTCATTCTTGAAGATTCATGTCATCTTTTTCCTGATTCTCAAGTCGTCCCGGACTCGTATGCTCATTCATGACACAACAGACCTGCAAAATTCCTCTTCTCATCTCTTTCGTTGACAGTTCTATTCCCATTGCTCCAAGTATGCAAGTTACACTGTGACCTTCTAGACATGGACACACCGCCAGCCCAATCGCCGTCTCTGAAGTTAAAACTTCTCATTGGCAGTGTACTCCTTCCAATCCTTCACATACTGGGTACTCCTGATCCCCTCGGGATATCTGCTGAGCAGCTCCTTGGCGCTGTCCCAAGCTTTCAAAACTTTGGCCGTTCTCTGCGGATCTCTCTCGACCATTTTATATTCAAAAGGCATGGGGCGGCACACGATACCCTGCGTGACAGCCTCCGTGCTGACGGGAATCTTGTTGCCCTTGTCATCGACGGCATGCTCAAAGGAAAACGCCCACAGCATATACGCAATGCCCAAGAATAAAGACCGCTCGGCAATGTTGAGACCGGGGCATACACGTCGGCCGGCGCCGAAAGTGAAGTGATCTCGCTTGTACGGGTCGTTCAGGCTGGCGCTCTCCTGGGCTCGGAGGAGGTCGTCCTTGTATCTGTCGGGATCGAAGTTGCGAGGATTGGGGTATCGTTCAGGATCATTGTTCAATGCCCACACGTTAATCATCATGCCGGTCTTTGCAGGGAAATGGTAATCTTTGTAGGTATCGGCGTTGGTGGTTGCGTGAGGCACGATTCCGAGAATACTCGAGGGCAAGAAACGCAGAGACTCTTTCACAACACCTCGAATGTACTGGAGATCCATCTGCAGAAACGTCAACAAGCTGCAAAAATCCGAGTCTTAACACCATGCGCGCTTACCTCGTCGGCCATCGTTGGCAGGCGGTCGGGTCCAATCACTCGGTCAATTTCACTCTGCGCTACAAGACTGTCAGCCATTCGTGTATCTACCCGTTCAGACCCGTTGGGAATCCTCACCTTTCTTCTGCACCTCAGGGAAATTGATCATTGCCACCGCAAACGACAAGAAAATCGAAGCCGTCGTATCGGAACCAGCCTCCAACAGTGTCCCACTGACATAACTGGCCCAGTCATCCGAGAAGCCAATCTTTTCTTGCTGCTTGAACATATCGTCGCAGAAGTTCTTAGCGATGATGCCCTTCTCCTTTCGCTCTTTTACTTTCAGCATGTAATGCTTGTACAGGGCGATTTCCTCTTTGTGCAATTCCTTGCCCCTTTTCTTGCTCGGGTTCATAAAGTCGGGCAAGTTCCGCAGAATGGGGAAATAATCCAGCATCGAAGCCGAAACCTGTGATGCGACTGCAAACTCTTCGAAACCCTGGCCACGAACCCATCAACGCTCCGTTTCTTTCACGATCCCCGGAATTTGGCTCACTCACCTCGTAAATCGCCTTGACATCTGGGTCATTGAACGCCAAACTTCTCCATCCGAACGTGATGCTCGTCACTAGCGACGTGCTGTACCGTCTGACATGGTCGTGGTACTTGTCCGGCCGCTTCACCATATCGGCGAGCATCTGACGCAGTTCCAGCTCCTGATAGGGGATGTACTCGACGGCGGTCTTGATGTTGAGCAAATTGTGGATCATCTTGCGAGCCAACCGCCACCCTTCGTCGTACTGCATCAGGACCAATCTATACCCGCCCGAGATCAACGTCTGGCCGACATACATCTCGGGCCTGGATGAGTAATTGTTCGAACGCTGGTCGATCAAGTCCTTGACCACTCTGGGAGAATTGAGCACAACCATGCGTTGGTTTCCCAGCATGATCGAGTAGATTTCGCCGTATTCCTGGGCCCATTCACGAAGCTTGACGTGTAGATCCTTTGCGGGCAGTTGGTGCAGGTTGCCTACAATTGGCAGCGTCGCAGGCCCAGGTGGCATACCTTTCGGTCGCCGGCCGACTTGCAACAGCTGGTAGACCAAGCCCGCAAGGACCGCGACGGCCAGAGAAATGGAGACGGTCACAATCGCCATGGTGAAATTGTTGCTCGGTTTCTTTGACGACAATTAGAAACTGAAATGGACGAAGAGTCGAAGAGGAAAAGAAAGCTTCATCCGGCTGTGTCGTTGAAATAAAAAGGGTATATCGCACACGCCCGGCTCATGCGCCCTGGGGGTTTGTCCATTGATGGCGCCAGCCTATGCGTGTCGTTATCTGCATGGCTCTGATCGATCAGACTACTTAGTGTCCACATACCCGCTACGAAGGGTGGGTACAGGGCTTTGGCTTCCTGATACAGCTGGCATGTATGGAAGGCTGGCCAATGACCATGTGCAAATATCGAATTGCGTGGTCAAGGCTTTGATGTTCCGGAGGCGAAGTGTATCCATCGATAACTTTAATCGTCGGGCGAATGAAGCATGGGTGCTTCCCCATTTTTGCTGTGCCGGGATATTGCTCTGGTAAAGGCTAGGTATATTCCCCCATCTTTGAGAGAATATCACTTGACTCTTGGCCGTGATGACCCATTGCAATGACAATATTCAATTCCGCCGAGAGCAATCCGATGCTCTCAACAAGATGCCCCCATTATACATATCAGTCACACCACTGTGACATCGCGATGAGGAGATGGTTGTTCCACGACCAAGCCGCATGTACTGCCAGAGGACCGGCGGCATGTTCAGCGAATTCGTCCTCGAAGGGTTGACAGACCACCACCGTGTTGTCGGCGCCATCATTTCCATTTGCTCTCATGGGCGCGTGTGCCAGTGAAGGTCATCCGGCGCAGTTGCATGGAGACAAGGGACAGAAGCAGCGAGGCCGAGATCGGCGACTCGCGAAGCTGCACAAGATCCTGTGGGTTTTACGGTGCTTTTGCGTCTGAGGCTGGTATGCCCAATGTTCTTCTCGAGAATCTATATGACATAGCGGAATTCCAGGCTCACGTGTCCTTTCCTTGCTCATTGCACGTGTTGCGCCCCTTGAGCAGACAATGCATGATGACCACTCCACAGAATGCCACGAACTCCAAACTGAGACCGACTGCATTACCACTGATGTATCTTGGAGAATCTGTCGGAGGATGAATTTGTGCAGACAGCACCACCAGGGACGTTGGCAATGGTGGTCACAAGCGGGATCACCAGACAGCGTTTGTAGTCCGGCGCCAGGTTGCTAATGATCCAGGTGAGCATAAGTCAGCTATATGGATATATTCCAGCACCACATAGGAACACGACAAAGTGGCCTGCCCCGTGGTTGGGACTTCCAAAGATGACGGCATAGCCAATAAGCACCGGAATGGGCATGATGAGGAGGCAGAAGGCACGCTTGTTCGGGTGGTCAGACAGCCAGGCCGTCTGTGCCGCGGAGCCCTGCCACCAACAGACTCACGGCCTGTGAGCTGATGACTGGATCTTGTCTCCCACTACGAGCCATCAAGAACGAGACTCAGGAGGCGCATTGAACTGGCTCCGTACGTTCCAGAAGAAAGCCTTCCCGGAACCAATCTCCTTATCCAGCTCCCCTTTCGTGGCTCCCGTGCGAGCAGCAGCTTGTTGAGCATGCCAGCTCTTGACGCCTTCCAACGCCCATACCACCGCGGACTTGTACTTCCTGCCCACCTCGCCAGCCAGTTCGTCCTTGCAGGTGGACACGACAAGCTCACTGAAACGCTGTAGCTCCGGTGCGTCGGAGCTCTGATCGAAGTCAGAGAAGAGCGCTTTCTTTCTGTTGCCACTGAGAACATCGATTGGTTCCCAGAACGCGATTTCAGCAAGCACGATGCCAAGTGCGTAGACATCGAACGAACGCTTGAACCGGACTCGTGCGGCGGGACGAGCAGGATGGATATATGGGAGCTCCTCCGGCAGCCACTTGTTCTTGCGCCATACAGACGTGTACTCGGAGTGTTGCACATAGATTTGATCATCATATCGCGCTGTCTGCCAGCCGATAAGCCTGGGCTGCGATAGTATGATTCGTTGCTCTCCGTTTTCCATGGCGAGGGGGAAGAAGACGACATTGTGGCTAGAGATTTTGCGATGAAGCCAGCCCGAGCATTGCAACTGGTATAAAGCGGTGCTGAGCTTCTCTGCCAGACCGAATCGGTCATCCAAATCGGGCACAATTGCCGATTCAGACTCGAAATCATCGCGCATCAGCTCGTGGAGTGAAACTGGTGGTCCAGCGAAGCTAGAGGCGGACGGAACACCAGGCCCATCTTAGACTCGTCTGGTAAGACATAGCCTAGGCATTGCATCACGATGCGGTTGCTCTCTTTACTTCCACGACCAAAGAGGTGGCTGACTTGCTCTCGCCGCGCATCCAATGCCATTTGTAGTTGCTCGTCGGCAACACTATCGTCGTAGTTGCGCCACTCGACAACACGTTTTCCTCAACGAAATTCGGAGTGACAGCCGGAACACAGCTCACATTAGACTGCCGAGTTGCGTTGTGCTCAAAACAAGACTCGAAATCATCTGGTAGTCTCAACGACTCCATAGAGAAGCCATCAGTCTTTTCGGTCATGTTGATGAACCACTCAAGGGGCAGCTTCATTGATGTATCCGGGACTATTGCCGCTAAATCTTGGCTGTGATCATCATCCAACTCGACATCCTCGTAAGAATCTTCGCCATCATGTTTGACCTGGCCGTATGGAGATGGGGGTTCGTGCGCTTCTTACAGAGCTCAAGTTGTAAAGAGCAGGGGCGAGTCTAGGCGGGTGTCCGACCAAATGAATTGATCGGCCTCGTCTTCTGGCACCAGGATCGCACTACCACTATATACTGTTGTGGAGACGATCGTTGCTCTTAACAGTTAAGGGGGGGGGGGGGACGAAGGCCAAGGAGGCAAGTGTCAGGAGTATCGAAACGGTATATAGAAAGCACACAGATAGTCAGACAGCGATAGTCAGCAATGAACAACATGCATGCGAGAACTCGAAGAGAGCCGTCGTAGAGATTTCTCTGCCGACGCGTTTCATTTTGTATATCTTTTACTATGGCATAAGGAATTGCAGCGCATCCTCTCGTTCGCAGCCCCGTTGCGCAGTTTCGATTACCGATTGTCGACTCCTGGGTGCACATGGTGCTTCTTTGATCCCCCTCTATAATACTAAAGGCTTATTCATGATCCACGTTAAGTGGCGAGTTACTTGGGTCTGGAAACGGAAATGGACTTTAGCGACGTCAAATTCGCCGTTGATTATTCTGATATTCGAACGGGGAAGCAAAGTGGATCGTGTGGGGGTGGTTATTGCCGGTAACACAGGTCATCGACGGCCATCCCACATGGTGTCGAACAGACTCCGGCTTCGACCTTCACTAGGTGATGAATTGGCGTCCAGCCAAAGCAATGAACTGAGGATACAGGTTTTACCAGCGACCACAAATAGATTCGGCACAGGGCAACTCTTGAATCTTCGGGTTGGTACCTCGAGACTAAACACAAGGGGCACTCTTCTGAAGCCAGCAACACCCATCTTCATCAGGGCCTTTACCGGAGTCAGTGAGGACGGACGAGATGTCATCTTCTCACGAGTATGGTATCGACCTTCCTAATGGCAGCACGATAACCCACGGTGTTGGTGCCAACATCAAACATCCTTTCAAAGACGTTCCAGTGGTCATGCATGAATTTGACCCTGGCACACGCTCGTTCAAAGGCCAACTAGGCTTCATCGAGTTCTCGACAGAGTACCGGCTTCCTCGACACGTACATATCGCTCCACCCGAATCAACGGCCGATCGAAGATTCATCTGCGAGCGAATCGTTGTCCTTGAGGGGGTCGCGCTTGTTGAGCTCAACGGAGAAATTTATGTGATACCGCCCAACAGTCTGGTCACCATCGGCCCAGGAGTGCCACATACCTGGACAGCATGTCCACCAGGGGTGACAATTGCGGAAGGAACATTGAAGCTCGTGTCGGAAGGCAAGTTTCTCATGCTGTATGAGTACGAGGAGCCGACGGCGTTCTTTCCCACGAGGCAAATCGAAACAATGAAAAATGTCGACGAGTATGAGAGATGTGATGACTTGGAGAGTATCCGGATTCCTAAACTGTCTGCGCAGGATGTGCACGAGCGCTGTTGGTTCGCTTGGGATAGGATGCTGACGCGAAGGAGTGCAGATGGAAGGAGTCAAGAATGAGATATCTCATGGACTAAGGCTTACGTGCCTTGCCAATAGGCAGGGGTTACGATGCTTCACTTACCTCTTATTCGTCTTCACATGGTGTGGAACGTTGAGCAGCTCGAATAACCCAGGCTTGGTGTATTGAAATCCATTTCTCCGAATAGGCGTCGGTGGTTTCCAACGACAACATCCCTTCGGTAGCTGAACCTCTTCAGGATTGGGCTCTCGCATCGCCACAGAGGCTCGTTTCGAAACTGTAGAGAAGACGTAAGTCATAGTGAATAACTCGGACCTAGGGGTGACCGGAAGATTTTGGTCGTGAAGTGAGCTCCCACTGCTCCCTGGCCTTTCCATGATTCAAATTGCGTGTTCAGAGCGCTGGTCCACCGCAACAACGGCGGAGTATTATGGCGCCAGTGCGCGCCGCCAATGCGACTGCAACTCACCCCGGACTTCTGCAGTACGCTTCTTGGTATATACAACTCTACTTTGCGCTTCGGGGTGTCGCAGTTGGTCGTGAACTCTGTGAGGAAGCGGATGATGCATTTCGACTCGAGATAGCGCCTTGGGCGCTTTCCACTCAGCGACATGATCGATTTCATGGACTACATCGTCCACGCTTTCGGTACAGCGACCGATTGGAACGTGGACAACAGCTACTCATCTCTGACCGCGACATCCGACGCTCTACTCTCCTTCCAGACGCCGTCGACGCTATCCTTGCATGTGTCATCGCTGAGCACGCCCAACTTTGCGACCTCTTATACCCTGTCCACCTTGGGCCAGATCGATGGCTCGATATCATACCTCTACTCGACCGTCCCTCTGGCACATATACCCTCGCAGACAACGAGTATACCGTTGAAACATCTCGTCAGAGGGTACAGGGATATCAGACTCCCCACAGGGGTACAAGAGAAGAGACACCTGCTCAGCGAGAATGAACGTAAACCCACATTACTCCATGCTACACTTGCCCTACCTCCACCATCCGTCCTGACTGGTCTCTACACTCGTCGCATCAACCCGGACACACTTATTTCATTATCCTTGTATAGCAAGTCCGCGCCAAGCCCTACCCTCAACTCTGGTCCTCCTCCGGCATCAGTCCTCGCCCATGTCCAGCACGACACAGGCCGCTTCTCTGTCGAGGGCCTTGGTTCGACCGACAACGCCCTCCTCGGAGTCCGAGCATTATGGAATTTTGGTCTCTCGCCTCTTGAATCCGACACCTCCATCTCTTCTGCCTCTCCGTCTGAAATTATTGGCGATCTAACAGACTTCCCAAACGGCCTCCCGCTCCCACCACAACTCGACGCCTTATCAACCCACCAGATTCGCCTAGCGTCCAAACCCTCACTCCTCTCCGCCGGCGCAGAGTTCTACTACAGCCCATTCTCGCATGTCATTGGGTTGTCGACCGGATTACGCTTCACTACTCTTGCGCCGCTGATTGTGCCCTCTGAAGAGCCATCAGTACCACCCCTGCCGCGCCCTGCATCAAACAAGCCGCTGGCCGGGACATCGGCGGCCCTATTATCCAGTGCAGGTCACAGCCTCCTCACACCTTCCAACGTCTCACACTCTTCCTTCCCATATACAATGACACTCACCCTGACTCCACTAACCGGCTCTATATCATCGACGTACTCGGTCCGTCCGACGCCGAATCTTGCGTTGTCTTCGCGGTTCGATTTCAACTTTTACTCCTGGGAGAGCCGGTACGTCGTGGGTGGTGAATTATGGCGCAGGCACCGCACATCTGCCGACGGGGGTGCGACTGAAAGCGGCTCGCCGAGTTCGTGGGCCCGGACGAGAACGAAAGACTGGTTCACGCCTGCCGAACGGTCGCTCAAGGACGAAAGGATAGCGCGAGAGGAGGAGAATGTGCTCAAATTCAGGGTGGACGATACGTGGAATGTCCGGGCGCTGTGGACGGGCAGAGTGAAGAGCCTGCTTGTCAGTGCGGGTGTGGGCCTTTGTCCTGTATCGAGGGGCCAGAACCTTGGGTCTGCACCGGTTACGGTAGCGGGAGGTGTGATGAGAGCACACGCCGGGGATGCGGGCCTGGAGGGAGGAGTGAGCGTCAAGAGGTGGACGGGCAGTGTGGGTGTGACTATTGCTTACTCGACATGAGTATGCCGAAGATTGAGGCGTTCCTGGCTGCTTATCTGGCTGGAGGGTGGATTTTCAATGCAATGCATAGCGAGGGAGGTCCCGGTCTGGAAGACAAACGTTATCGAAAGCAGAATTTTGTTCTGTACCCGAATATACCCATGCACTGACTACCTAGTACAATGGTTGATTATGACCCATTTATCCCATTGGAGATGACCATGTTTACGCTGTCAAGCCGCCGAAGACGAATGCTCAAATGCTGTAGACTGAAAATTGCTTTTAGTAAAACTCGATTGTCTTGTCTTGGTCTAGTCTATATTCAAAAACTCTAGTCTATATTCAGGGATAAATCCTGATTTAAAGGACTGTAGAGTGCATGAAGCCGAAGGGACGAAGGTACGCCAAACCGCGAGTCGAATCGAAAGGTTAGGAGACCTGGAAGTGGTTCAAAAGGTGAGTTGCTTAGGTGAACGCCCATATTACCTCCGAGCAGATGTCACTTTTCTTGAGCAGCTAAAGTTCTGTCTGCCTTCTTCGTGCCTTAAAGGTGTATATTACGTTTCTCGTGTGAGTCCGAGTCCTTGTTGAAAAGTAACGTCCAGTCATGCTAGAAGACATACCCGCGAATTCGATCTTCGAGATTGCTGAGCAAAGACCGACAATTTTCTCTATCCTTGTTCAGATCAGGTCCAGTATCAGTTCCAGCTTGCAAATCTCGGCAACCAGCACATCCTGCAGGCGGGCCACTTAGTTTTTCTTGAGCGCATCCAAGAACTCCTTTGGCGGTTGCTGTCTGTATCCTTCGGGGTTATTCTCCGTCCATTTCCACAGATCCGCACACGCCTCCTCGAGCGTTCTTTGCGTCTTCCAGCCCAATTCTCTGTTCGCTCTCGAGGGGTTACTCGTCAGATCGAGTACATCACCCGCTCTTCGTCCGACTACTTCGTAAGGAAGATCCCGGCCGACAGCCTTGCTGAATGCTTTGATCATTTCGAAGACCGTGGACCCACGACCAGTGCCCAGGTTCCAGGCCCGCACGCCCGGGTGGTGTTGACGAAGGTAGTCCAGGGCTTTGAGGTGACCTTGCGCCAGGTCGAGAATGTGGATGTAATCTCTAATGGCGGTGCCGTCGTGCGAGGCGTAGTCGTCGCCGAAGACGAGAAGCTTCTCGCGCTTGCCATTGGCAACCTGCGCGAGGAGGGGCAGCAGATTGTATGGCACACCTGAGGGGTCTTCGCCCATGATGCCACTGGGGTGGGCACCGGCCGGGTTGAAGTACCGTAGCAGGCCAGCGTTCCATTTCTTAACTGATTCGGTATCGCCCTTCTTTTGTGCCTTGGCCCGCTCGGCGGTGATGTGGTCGGTGATCATAAGCTCCGAGGTGAACTTGGTGTTGCCGTATGGGTTTGTGGGCCCCAAGGGGCATTCTTCAGGAATGGGAATCATGCCTGGTACACGCGTCGCGTCGCCATAGACCGTTGCGGAGGAGGAATAGACAATGTTTGTGACATTATGGCGGGCTGCGGAGCTGAGGAGGCATAGTGTACCATAGACATTGACGCGGTAGTAGTCGAGAGGGATCTCGCCAGACTCTCCGACAGCTTTCAGTGCGGCGAAGTGGATGACACTGTCGATGTCGGGGTGTTTGGAGAAGACTTCATCAAGAGCTTTCTCGTCGGTGATGTCAAGCTTGTAGTACTCCGGTTTCTTTCCACAGATGAGTTCAATTCGGTTAAGGACCTCAGGGGAGGAATTGTAGAGGTTGTCAACGATCACAACCTTGTAGTCTGCTTCGAGGAGGGCGAGGGCCGTGAACGAGCCGATATAGCCAGTCCCGCTGTGAGTATTAGTGTATATGTCTGGCAGATGCTTGTTTCAGGCTGGATTTACCCGGTGATTAAGCACGATCCTGCAGGCATGTTGATGTCGGTATCCGAGACAGTCGGGTAGTTGCTTTCTGCGTAGGTTTGAGGTTCTCGGACACGATGAGACTGACAGAAGACAGGACAGCCTTCTTAAGTATTCGAATACTTCCTCACTGTCACACGCGGCTGAAGTATGATATTATCCGGCGCAATAACGACTGTAACGTGGGGTGACAGCGACAGGTCAATGGTACAATGTCTGAAGCTCAAAAAAACCCGCACACAGCATGTAGATTAGTGGTAATGGTGGGGTTGAAGCATGCATCGGATGATCTCTAACCATATCAAGCTAGCTTCGGCCCAGTCTGCACCGGCCTCCGATCCCCCGCTGTCTGTGCATCTTTTTTTTCTGTGTTTGCCAAAACTGCGCTTCTCACGGCTTCTGCTGCACCAAGCCAGTGTTCACTTTCCAGACATCAATCACAATGGCAGGCCCGGCCATGAAGAAGCAAAAGACAGGCCCGAGGCCGCAAAATGCCTCATCAGAGCCACGCATCACCGATCCTAGGTTTGCAAATATCCAGTCTGATCCACGATACCGTCTCTCCGGGAAGAAGGACAAAGTCAAGCTTGACAAACGATTCAGCCGAGCCTTGGAGGATGAAGATTTCACACGAAGAGCCAAGGTCGACCGTTATGGTCGCCCACTGGCCTCAGACGCCGAGAGAAATAGACTGAAGAGAAAATATGAATTTGACCAAGACGAAGAGGAGGAAGACGACGAACCAGACGACGACAACCAAGTCCAAAAAGAGCTGCGCAAATTCGACGGACCTGAATCCAACCCCTTTGACCCTCTGCGCGAAACACGAGACACTCAATCATCCTCCGCTGACGAGACCTCGAGCGACGAAGAATCTGAAGACGATGCAGATCTCGACGAAGAAGTCGGCATTGGTCCGGCTGAACAAGCAGACATCCCCACGGGCGAAGTGACCTCACGCCTCGCCATAGTCAATCTAGACTGGGACAACATCCGAGCCGCCGACCTGATGGCCGTGTTCAACAGCTTTCTGCCTCCTGAAGGTAGCCTGCTTAAAGTATCCATCTACCCCAGCGAATTCGGCCGAGAACGACTCGATCGCGAAGAAATAGAAGGCCCGCCCAAAGAAATATTCACCAACGACGCTCGGTTTCGGTCCTCGTCCCCTTCTGCGGCCTCCGACGTCGATGACGATGAGCAGATCAAGAAGTCCATTCTCCAAGCCGACGACGGCGCCGACTTCGACTCCGCCGCCCTGCGCAAGTATCAACTCGAGCGCCTGCGCTACTACTACTGCATCTTAACATTTTCCTCGGCCTCCGTCGCGAAGCACATATACGAAGCGGTCGATGGAACCGAGTACCTCCACACGGCGAATTTCTTTGACCTGCGCTTCGTCCCTGATGAGACAGACTTTACAGGTGACACGCCTAAGGAAGAATGCACCCAGATCCCCGATGACTACAAGCCAAACGACTTCGTCACCGACGCGCTGCAACATAGTAGGGTCAAACTTACGTGGGATGCGGAAGATACTGGGCGAAAAGAGACGATTGCGCGGGTGTTCAAGGGCGGGAGGAAGGAGATTGAAGAGAATGATCTGAAAGCATATCTCGGATCCGACACATCTGCCGATGAGGATGAGGACGAAAAAGCAGAGGAAGAGCACGCGGGGGTGTCGAAGAAGGAAGCCGAGCGACAGCGCATGCGAGCGCTACTTGGCCTGGCGCCAGAGCCGCAGAAGAAATCTCAGAAAGACAAGGACAAGGCACCCGTGGGAGATATGCAAGTCACGTTCACATCCGGCCTGATGAACTCCGAAAAGCAGGGCGGGAAGAAGAGGCCTGTCTTTGAGAACTCGCCGGAACCAGAAGAGACGACGGTAGAGAAGTATATTCGGAAAGAGCGCGAGAGGAAGCAGAAGCGCAAGGAGAAGATGAAGGCCGGGAGGGAGGGGCAAGGCGACGATATCGATGGCGCTGCTGCTGCTGCGGAAGTAAAAGACGCAGGCGCCGACCAGGGTTCACGAGATCGCGACGAAGATCTAGGATTCGAAGATCCATTCTTCGCCGATGCCGACGCCGACGCTGCCGAAGAGCCATCAGCCCAGTCCGAAAGGGCAGCGAGCAACAAACTGCGCAAAGAGGAACGACTCAAGAAGAAAGCGGAGCGGCAGGCAGAAGAAGAGGCCGAGCGCAAACAGCGCGCCGAGCTGGAGTTGCTGATGGCTGATGACGACCTTGTCGGCGAAGGCGACGCTGGGAAGGGTAGTAGCAGCATCAGACACTTTGACATGAAGGAGATCGAAAGGGCAGAGAAACAAGCACGCAAGAAGGGCAAGAAGAACAAGAAGGATAAGAACAAGACAGCCAAGAATGGCGCGGCAGCAGAAATCGAGGGCGACGACGATTTCAAAGTCGACACCACCGATCCGCGCTTTGGCCGGCTGTTCTCGAGCCATGAGTACGCCATCGACCCGACAAATCCGAAGTTCAAAGGCACAAAGGGAATGAAGGCTTTGTTGGAAGAGGGACGAAAGAGGAAACACAGTAGGCACAACAAGCTGGATACTGATGAGGTCGGTGTAGAGAGGACGACAGAGAAAGGTGCGAAAGACAAATCTGGCAAAGGGATGGAGGGTTCCGGACAAGGTGATGTGAAGAGTCTAGTTGAGAAGATCAAAAGGCAGAGTAAGAAGTAGGAAATCAAACCAGAGGTCGAGGTTGAGGAAGCGAAAACTGCGAATTCAGCTTTGCAACTGCGCTTTGTTCTTGACCTCTCTTATTTTCAACCTTGAACTTGAGCGCAACGCTCTGGTCAACTTAGCAATGTACAGCATTACAGCGTTCATGGCTGATGATACTTTTCTCAATTCGACCCCCCGAATTGTGGCCGACATGTCTCTCTGCTTGTGGGTACAATTTTTGGACTGCTCGCTGCTTGTTCTGGGTACTTTGTAATCTGAAATCCCAACCTGCGGGGCTCATTCGTCCGGCCATCCATAGTTCATCTGAAAGGAGGCATACCAGCATTGGCGCCGCCTCCTCTCAACCCTGCTCCTCTACCGCCTGCTTCGCCGTACATCTCCAGAAATGCACGATTGATGCCTTGAGGACCTGGTTCGCCCGGGAATCTGGCTGGGGGATTGGCCATTGACCCGGGAAAGCCAGGCGGCGGACCCGCATTCATGAACCCAGGCGGAGGAAACATCCCTGGAGGAAGATTCGGCATGCCTGGTGCTGTAGACGACTCTCCAGTGTATTTGCGTTGTGGTTGCTGTTGTGAACGCTGTTGTTGAGGTGGTTGCTGCTGGCTTGGGATTGGCTGTGGTTGGCCATACGGAGCTCCTGGCATACCTCTTGGGAGACCCGACAGACCCGGTGGTAGCGACGATTGGCGTGGAGGCTGTGCCTGTGGTTGCTGAGGAGGCCAACTAGGGGTTTGTCTCGGGCCTTGCTCCAGCCCAGGTGGCCTCTGAAGACCCGGCGGAAGGCTCTGGGGTGGCATGGGTCTCTGCGGACCTTGGCCTCGGAGAAGGGCGATCAAAGGATCATCGAGACTGGCGGGAGCGCCATTAGTCGCACGTCTTTGAAGATGCTCCCGTGGTAGCTGCTCATTCTGGTACATAGCCACGGGCGATTCATCAAACATGGAACGCCCGGTTTCTCTTCGCTGAGACATGATTGGGTCCGGCCCGGGAACCGGAGATATCATTTGGTTTCTTGCTGCTGCTCGAACATTTGGATCACTTGGCATACCATACATGGCCCCAGCCTGTTGATGGGGGTTCGGTGGTTGCGGTTTTGGTGCAAGGCTGGCTTGACGTAGCAGATTCAACAGAACCTCATCTTTATTGATGCTCGACTGTTGTCGTGTATGTGTGGGATGCTCACCAGGAGACCTGGAATCAGCAACATGGTCTTGGGCCGAAGGACCCTGGGTTGACGAATGCTGTTGTTGTTGTTGCGGTGGAATTTGTCCGGTCAATAAAGATATGAGTGTTGCGGACGACGGTCTTGCTTCAGGATCAGGTCTTGGTTCCGAGGCTCGAGCGTATAGAGGCGTTCGTGTCTTGGTGGTCTCCTGATTCTGTGGTGTTGGATTGTTGCTTCGAGTCTGCAGCATTTCCAGGATGCGCGCAAACCCTGCTTGATCGGCGTCCGCAGTAGAATCGGCAAAGTGTGCAGATGACGGTCTCTCGGTTGCCGGCATTGGCAGCGTTGGCGGCATCGAGGGTGGTGCTTCAACTTGTTTGTTCTGCTCGGTAGCAGGTGTAAAGAGTGAAGCAAACCGTGTCTTTCCGTGCCCCTTGACAGTGCCAGTCTTCTGTTCAGCTGCCTTAGACTCGAATTTAGCGAAGAACTTGTCCATCGAATCGTCCGGTTCCGGTGATACAAGTTTTGTGGTGGCTGGCTTCGCAGTCTCTGCAAATGTAGATTCGACTTTCTCCTGAGGCGTCGCTGTGCCGGCCTTCATCTTCTCTTTCCAGCGCTGAAAGTCTTCTTGAGTACGAGCCTGGAACGGCTCCTCGGGTTCGGCTGCGTCCATCCATTCAGGCTCGGCCTCGACCCTTGCTTGACGGTCCCAGTCTGGCTCTCTACGACTGCGGCGCCAGTCCGGAGCTATATCGTCTCTTCCATTCTCTTCAGCATCTGTGTCCTTTTTGAACCAAGGCTGCGAGAATTTGGTTCGGTCTCGCCGAAGGCCGGCTCGAGAAGAATCCTCATCATCTTCTAGGGCTTGATCATTTTTGTCTCTTAAAGCCCATTTGGGTCGGCGCTCGAATCGGCCTTCAAATTCTAGATCTTCGCCTTCGCGTTGACCATAACGGCCATTTGTCTGAGTGTTCCTCCTCTCGTGATGTCTCGTCTCCGACCAGTCACCGTTTTTCTTGCCTAAGTCTTCTTCCTGTGCCTTTCCGACAGCACGAGCATTGGAGGAAGCGAAGGATCGACGTGGAGGACCGAGCACTATTCGGTCCGGATCTGGAAAGATGTGTCAGTCAGGCCAGTGATGGAATTGGCTCGCGTGCATACCTGTCGATGTTCGACGCTGGCTATCGAGTAGCATGGGTCTTTTCTGGAACGGTTCATTCTGTACAGGAGGTTCATCTGGTTTTCCCCGAGTTGTTGTTTGCCTCCGATTAGTGGTTTCTTGTGTTCTGTTCCGCGTCAGTTATTGCGCCTGGCCACAACCACCATCTTCAAGCCATACCCCATCCATTCTTCTATAGGCGGTAAATTGGGTGGTCTGCATATTAGAGGCGACGCTCGTAATTTTAACAGATCTTCGACAGAGTAGATTCCGGACATGATTGGAGCATTCGATGTGGTGGCGGTATGAGCATCGGACTGGTTGGTGGGAAGTGGTTCAAAAGGGGAGCTTGAACAGAGACAAAGAACTCAGATAGCGTGTGACACGCTTAACTTCGAGTCTGCAACAAAGCGATTTCCACAGCAAAGTGAGAGGTGTGTGGCAGAGAGGTGAGCTGGTGGGTTTCAGAAGGTAGAACTGGTGCGGTTCGCGGACTGCGAAAGGTCCCCGCGTCTGAGGTTGAGGCGCAGCAGGATCGAGTTGTTGCGCAGTTACGTGGGTGTTTGAACAAGTGTACGAAGAAGTGATATATCTAAGTAATCTGCTTGTTCGATTGGTGTAGGTGTTTGTTGTGCAAAAGGAAGAGGTGTTGGTGTTGGTGGAATTCAAGATCAATTTGTGACGTCGGAGAAAGAGAAAGAGAAAGGCCTCAGCCTTGACTACCACTTTCACTACTCACAACACCACCGTTGGTGAACACCCACTGTACCAGAACGGCGCCCACGTATCTATCTGATCATGCTACTTGCCACTCGAAATTTTGCTATTCGCTACTCTTGCCTTCAAGATACAGCTTGAATTGCCATGGCAGCCTGGATGCATCGCAGGTTCATATTGAGCTAAGATAAGTCTTTCTGCATCACTCTCGTGATAGAAGATCATGCCTGCTCCTGGCTTTCTTTGATAACTTTCTGGATCGCCTCTGTCACCCAAAGGAATGTCCGACTGTCAAGGAACTCGGTGATCTCCTTGATCTTGGTGCCATCTTCAGTCATCGAAAGCACGATGAAATATTCGTTGTTGTACGGCCCGGCCACTGTCTCGCCGTCCGAAGACATATGCAACATCACTTTCCGTGCAACTTCGTCAACCATTGGGTCGTCGTCCAGGGCAAATTTGAGGCTCTTGACAAATGCAGCGCCGGCACACATGAAAGCAAAATATGTTTCATTGGTGTGAGTCGGCTGGTTCAGATTTTTGGGGAGGATGCGCTGGGTGCAGTCGGCCGTGCGATGAGCGATCAACCCTGATGCATCTGGACCTGGGTCGTTCAGTCCGTCGAGATACAATTGCGCTGTTTTCAGGAGCTGATCACGGAGAGTCGACATCGTTGTTTCTTATTGGTTCCAGAGGAACTTCGAGGTTTTCAGAATTGCGATGCCTACCTGAACTTCCGAGCTTTGCATCAACACGATTATATAGGTACGCCTACAGTGTCCAACGCATTTCGTAAGCTGATTTTGCACAACAGAGAGACAGCTATACCTTCCAAGACACCTCTGGTCATGGACCCCAAGACGCTAACTTCTTGGTAGTCGGCCTGAATCTACTAGTATACGCTCCATATACTATCCCATACGACCTCTAACTTCAGCCGAGTCATGGGCCGTATATCCTATTTTGTTCGGAGCCCGAAAACTCGATTACTTTCATGCTAGCCCTTGGCCTGCTTTTGCACATGTCCTCTCTATCAACCGCACATGCTCCTCGCTTCGAGGTACGATCCGGACCTGGAAAGGTGGATGATCATGCGCCAAGGGGTCTATCTCCCAGTCGTTGATTGGCTTCCCAGGCACTTCCAAGAAGTCGAAGCAGTACAGTAACCGGCTGAAAGCAACAAACATGTTTCGTGTCGCCAGATGCCATCCAGGACAGACGCGTCTCCCTGTTATCGTCAGTTTGAGAGATACATTGGCGTCCGGCCAACTCACCGGCGCCGAAGCCGAGATGCCCTTTCAACATGTCCTGAAGGTCGGCATTGAGGAATCTCTCGGGGAGAAACACCTCGTTTCTTGGAAATTCTTTCTCGTTGTGACTAATGGCAAAGTGGTTGTAGCTGAATGTTGTCCCTTTCTCAAACACAAAGCCACCATATGTGTCGTCTTCGATCAAGGCTCTGGGAGTTCCCGAGCCTGTCATGTTTGGTCGCCACCTGAGACTTTCCTTGATTACTGCCACTATGTATGGCAATTGGTCCCAGTCCTATTAGATGTCATACGCCACACAATGTAACAAAGATCGAGAAGCTCAACCTACCTCGAACGAGGGTAATCTCGAGGCTTTGCCGCAAACCTCATCTAGCTGGCTTTGAGCAGTGACAACCCAAGCTGGAAACTTTGCGGCCGCTGCCAGTAGAATATTGATTTGATTTCGGGTGGTATCACTGCCTGCCTCAATTATCGAGCCAGCTAACAAATGGTCAGCTCCAGATTCCCATACCGTGTTGGCAGACAGAATTGCCGATTGCCGATCTTACCACAGAAATACTTCTGAGCATCATCGAAGCCGTATTTGTTGGCCAGCTCTGTCATGTCTCTGGCAAAACATTTGGGATCCTGCCCATCTTTTATGCGCTGCTCGAGATCGTCGAGAAAAGCTGCGTAGACCCTGCTCCACAAGCATCAGCATGAATTCCTTCCGATGAGTCGCGCTGCCCAGCTCTGGTATGATTATATTGGCAAGGCATGCTACTCACCCAAGAGTTTTCTTGTATATCCTTTCTGCTTCAGGCCGGAACCACTGCAAGGGCCTTGGGATGAGCTTCACAAGCCAGGGAAACTGCTCGACTAGGCTAGTTGATGGTGACGCTTGTGATCCCAAGAAATCTTCGATGGTCGAGAAGAGGAGTTGCACATTTTGGTCCCTCATACTCGTCCGACGGCCAAAGACACTATCACCGCGTCAGAACGTCGAAGAGGATGTGAGCAAGTAGACACTTACACGGAGAAAATCACTGCGGCATCAATGGTCAGCCAGAGACACGACTGATGGAAGCAGCATATACCTGAGTTTGCAAAACGAGCTCCGTGCTCGTAGAACTTGTCCGGCTCCTTCAAATATTGCCAGACAAGTGCTCTCGACTCAACATCCTGGAACGGCTTGTACGTCTCTGACTTTGGCGGACATTGGCACGGCGTTACCCAGTCTTCAAGGACTAACTTACATTACTTGCCATCAGAAGCTGATGCATGATCTTTCTGAGGTTCCTCCATCTCTCAGTATGAGTCATCATGACGATTCTGTTTCCTCCCGAGAGAATGTCTTGGGTGACCGGAAACTCTGGGCGGCCGATGTACAGCCTTCCGCGGCGGTCAAGGAGTTCTCGAGCTGTCTCCATAGAGTTGAGAAAGACCCATCTTCTCGCGCCGAGTTGCACCGTGAACCTGAAGTCACCGTCAACACCCGCTTCAAAATCAATGATCAGCCCTCTGCAAGTGCTGTATGGCTGGAGCTGGACGTACAGATCTCCATATTGCTTGCCCCATTCCATCAATTGGGCACTTGGGTATTTCGGAGGAAGCTGAAACAGATTTCCGAAAACAGGTATGCCTTTGGGCCCGGGCGGATATCGATACTTCGACTTCCGCACAAGTCTGGAGATTAAAGGGATTGCCACCACAATCACGAGCAGGATAACGGCGTGGCCAGGCTGAAACGAGACAAGGACCGACATCTTTGGTCTTGTGAGCAAAGTTGTTGAACGCGATAGATGACGGTATGGTAGCGACAAGCTGTATCCAACATTTATTACTGCTACTGGGACTTTGCAACCGTTCTTTCGATGTTGGACTTACGGAGGGATTCTCAACCCGAAATCTCCACAGTCTCAAACCCCATTATCTGGGGTAGCAAGACTAATTCTTCTTCGGAGGGTATACAAGTCCACCAGGAGTCCAAATGAAATGATTGACCTTTCAAGCAGCGCCAGACCCACGCTCAAGGCTTGCAATGGACACGAAAGCTGATGTCCTTCTCCAACCGAGAAAGCCGGGAATGCTCACACAAGCCGGAGATTGCTGCAGGCATATGACTGATGTACGGATATGGACATATTCGTGTGAACGCCTGACCCCACGTTGGGGGACTCCGTATTTGTTCCAAACTGTCACTCACACGCCAATCGACTTGTGGGGCTGCAATTCCGTAAGCCTCGTCCTACACCTGGCAGGCTTGACTCGCCACTCGCAAAGCCATGACGAGGTCAAGTTAGGACGAGAATATCGAACATCTATAGCTCCTGTCCAAGCAGAGCAAGAAAAGTATGTCTGATCCGGCACAATATGATCCTTCAAGATTCGGCATCTCTACGCTTCCTCTTCAGCACGAACCATATGGCCCGATACTACCGATAGGCCTAGTCGGTGCCAATGAGGGGAAGATAGCTGTTGTCACTGGCGCTGGCAGAGGTATAATGAAAGATGGAAGTCTTGCGTGAGGCAACGGACTGACATATCCAAGGTATCGGCCAGGCCATCGCCGTTGCTTTGGCAAACACCGGGGCCAGCCTTGCGCTCCTCGACCTCAACCTCGAGCACCTACAGGAGACCAAACTCGCCTGCGAGAAATTCCAGGGTGTGCGAGCCGAAGCCTTCAAATGCGACATAACCGACGTTCAGACCGTACGAGAGACATTTGCTAATATCACCAAAACCCTTGGGCCAGTCGACATTCTAGTGAACAATGCCGGTGTTGCGTACGGAAAGTTGGCTTTCCAAGAGAGTTTTGAACTCTTCTGGAGAGCCATCGAGATCAATTTCAAAGGTACTATGCTCTGCATATACGAGGTGCTGCAGAGCATGCGTGAACGGAAGTCGGGGTGCATAATCAATATGGCATCCCGGGCGGCAACGGTCGATATGGCAGGTGGGCTAAGCTATAACTCTAGCAAAGCCGCGATTGCGCGGGCCACGTCGACACTGCAGGAGGAGTTCGAGCAAATTGGACTCGGTGAGCAACTGCATACGTACTGTCTGCATCCGGGAGGAGTGTGGGGCAAGATGGTGACCGGTGAGCGTTACTGACCTGGGTGATCGCGACTGGGAAGAAGTATTGTGCTGACCGAGCCGTCAGAGAACACTACACCTGAAGTGCAACAACAGATCAGGCCTATCTTCAAAGATGTGCCGGAATTATGCGCCAATACGGTAGCCTACCTTGCTGCTGGACGCGCGAAGGAGTTGCGCGGACACTACTTTGATTGCAGGCATGATATTGAGCGTGTTTGCAGTTTCGGAAAGAAGACTCTTGACAAGCAGGGACTGTACAATTTGGGTGTCAAGTTCTTGCCAGGGTACGAGAATGAGCCATGAAACGCATCAACTGGTTGCAGTATATTCTTTCCAGGAGTCCATACACTGCGAAATCCTGCCAGTATTGCCAGCATAAAGAATCCATCCTTGACCAAATGTTAGAGGCTTAATCACTGGCTAATAACATGTTGACCTCGGCTGTCGCGAGGGTCTTGCTTGTTTCAACCGAAGTCTCGGTCGACTGCTTGTACTCTTTGGTGAAGTCATGCATGATATCATTGATGCCCTGGATGCATGCATCAGCTCGTCATGTTTGCGTTTACGATAGAAGCACGACTCACCGTTACCAGCTTGGCGACAGCCTCGGGATCCTTCAACATGTCCATATTCTGGAACAGGGGGTCCTCTTTCAAGGCAACGTCCGGATCTTGCAGCAAATGGCGGAGGTTCTGAGAGGAAACAGGATCGATGATGGTCAAGTACTTCTCCCGCCGCACCTCGTTGTACCGGTCGAGGATACTGTCGTCTGCCAGACCCTGATGGATGCCGTTCAGACAGTCGAACAAATTGCCAACGTCCACCAAGCCGCCGGTAAGGCCTAGTCCACCACTACCAACACAATCAGAGATGCGATCATCACGAAATGTTAGGACACTTAGACAACTCACAAGGGATTACACAAATGCGCCGCATCCGCAGCTAGAAGGAACCTCCCAACGCGGAAACTCTGCGCACACCTCTGGTGGATCTTGTATGGGTTGAGCGAGACAAGTTTGTAATCCTCCGGGCCGGGGCTGCCAGGTAATATGGTGCGGAACTTCTCTGGCTGGCGGGCGGCGTACTCCTCCCTCGTCAGGCCGACCTTCTCGCCGTAACTGACGCGATACAGCCCGTCCTTCTGAAGCAGAGCGACAAGAGCGAAATGTTGCGGGTCGACGATGAATGCACCTTGCCCCCAGCCGTGCTTTGCGACATCATAATATACCTAGAGACACCGGCCCTCAGCCATCTCAGTAAAGTAAAGCAAAGCCGTGGGTTGGTTGGGTGAATTTGGTCGTAGTAAGAGAAGAACAAATGAAACGGGTGAGGACGTACATTCGTAGCAACAATTTGCTCATCCCATGTTCGGCCGGGGAACTTCTCACCAAACAGCGCCCGACGGATCGTACTGTTCGCGCCGTCACAGCCGACGATATAGTCGGCCTCGAAGACTTGCTCTCCATCCGGAGTGTCTGCGAAGACACGTGCGCACGATTTTTCGGACTGGTCGATCCGGGAGACCTTGTGCAGATAGCGGATCCGCGCGTTCGGACGACGGTCGAGATGTTCTCTCGTGAGAGCGAGGAGTTTGCCGAGCGGTAGGCCGTGCAGTCTCCGGTCAAAGGGGACGGCACTGATGTCCATCCTCGCCATCAGCGTGCCGTCGACTTTGCGCCACGATACGCCGTCGGACACGACGTAGCCTCGTTCGCGGACTTCGGGAAGGAGTCCTGCCCTTTCAAGTTCACGTACGGCGGGCCATGGGTAGAATGACGCGCGCGGTGAGTCGTCCAGCTTGTCTGATGCTTCGAGGAGGTCGACGGTGATTCCGGCGTTGGCGAGAAGGAGTGCGAGGACGCATCCTGCTGGGCCGGCGCCGACGATGATGACCTAGTGTGCGAGTGTCAGCCTGGCCAGCTATTGGAAATTAAGGGTCTTTGGATCCTGGTGTTTACCTTGGAGATAGCCATGTATAGGTAGTTTCCCGGGTACCTTCACAAAACACGTTGGATCCGGCGACGAGCGTGTGATTAGATGGCAATAGTCATTCAACGCTGATCCCTTTCGCAATGACTAAGAGGCCGTCCAAAGCAGGCTTGCCTTGCTCCAACGACCACACGTGAAGCCCATGCCGTGCCGTGCCCAGGCTAGCTCCGGAGTAAGTACTACGTCCTGTACCTAGTACAAGTGGTAATGCACAGGAGGCAGTCCGTGGCAGTCTTCTGCACCCCACATTCCACATCCTCATCTCCACATTCTCCAACTCCACATGACAAGGCTGGGTACGGAGTAAAAGGGGGCACTCAGTGCCATTCAGAAAGGAAGAACCCTATGCAATGATTGTTTGGTAAGACCATTTGGTCTCTAGACTGCTAGGTGCCTTTGGGTGGTCACACCGGTTCCCCTCGTTATAACTGCTGAATGGCCCGCGCGGACAAGATTCATCTGTGTGCCTGCCAAGGACTCGATTACATAAGCCCCCTAAAACGTGACACGTGACAGGGAGTCTTCGGCTTTTTCAAGGTTGTTTTCTTTCTTTCAAACAACGGCAGCATTTCCGACTTCTCCTGCGCCCTCACCCTCATCTCCAGAGTACGAAGCGGAGACACCAGCGACTGTCCGATACGGCGGCCTGGAGATTGGTCGGCCCAGAGCGTAAACACGATGCCCCCAGCACCTAGCCCTGCTGGCCGCGAGGGATCGCCCCTGATGGGATAACAATACAAAAGAGAAATTGAAGTAACACGTGATTAAGCAAAGAAGTTATATAACCCAATATCCATCGTTGCTGGCTGATGAAAAGAAAAGCGGTCAACCCGATCGGGCAGGTGAAATTACCATAAAAGGCAACATGGCGGCAGCGTGCGGCAGTACTCTATCTTAGCCAAGCGCAAGCAGAAGCAGAAGCGCACAGTCACGGTGACAGTCTACCGAACACCCGGACAACACGCGGACGACGATTTGCACGATTCACTAAGGACATGATGGGACTACGATAACAATCAAGGAAGATCGGCTCTCGGTTTTGAAAGTCCCATACAGGGTAATTGGATGTTTGGAAAGCCATTGTTTGGTCTACAATGAATTCGTATGTTGAAGCGATTTGGGGACAGACGCGACGCATCTGCACCAGCCATCCTGATGACTATCTCATCATACCACCCCGTTTTGGTCGTTCTTGGGGAGGTTTCCCTCTCTTAACCATACAGGACATCTTGCCTGGCGAGCCCAGTCTCGTCTTTCTGTTAACATCGACAAATTGGCCCCCATCAACTTGAACTGGCGTTGGCTGGCTCTAGGATGTTGACTGGCTCTGCGGGGCTGCAGGCTCCGGCATCTGCACTGGTTGGAGGACTGGGCAAGTCTTTATTGTTTGAAGTTCCGGGTTTATTCGCCTGTCCCATATCAGTCGTCTTTGGTTGCAGTGGCCGGGACGAGGATCGACTCGGTAGATTCTCTGGATGTTCGGGTTGCTTGTGAGCGCAGGAAATTCGACCACTTCCCACATGCTCCCTATACGCCAGGTCTCTGGGGCCTCTTTGGTGAAGACATAAGCCTCAGGATGCAGCGCGGAGATAGCCAGGGCTTCGAACATGCATATCCCAAATATGTCTTGTGGATCTTGCCCTGCTGCGGCGAGACGGAATCGATCTCTGTATTCCCAGATGAAGTCGCTTTGTTCATGGTACCACTCGAGGCTGATACCACTCATCAAATAGTAGCCATCGAGCTGGTTACTGAGCATCCACCCTCGGCAAAGAGCAATACTGGCGACATTGTTGGTATCCAGATCGAGGTTGGTGTAGAACCATACCGGTCTGTGCGCTTCCGCTCCTCCTCCATCATTGGTGTCTCGGTATCGATCCACTATCTCTAGCATTGTAGGAAGATTGAAGTCACAATCCCACTGTCCAGTCGCTGGATCTTTGACGCATTGGCGGCGCTGCAACAAGGTGGCGTTTTGTGCGACGATGGAGGCCTGGCAAACAAGGCTGAAGACTGCAAGCCACCAGAATATCATCACCAGTACTTTGTGGCTCGGAAGGGTCTTCATGCTTGCTGCGATCGGCATCAGAACCATCTACAGCAGGAAGAGCTGAGGGATTTGTTTACCGTAGACCAGTTTGTTTGTTGACCGATCAAACATTTCACAACTGAAAAAGACGCCCATGGCATTGAGAGACACCAGCACCTATGCCGATCTCAAATGTCTCCCTTCAACATTCGGCCGGTATACATATGAATGCGGTGAGAGAGTTTTGCCGCTCTCTCAAAGGTCTCTGCAGGGTGCAGTGAAGAGCTTGAGCATGAGCATGAGCAACTGACAATGACCACGACGGCCAAGTGACGCCATATTGGCGGTGTTAACAGCGAGAACATGCCTGACTTCACGATCACTGCAGGCGATATGGGTATCCATCAAAGGTGACGGCTATGTGAAGTACCTGTTGACATTCACCGTCACTGCCAGCCACCACCCGATCTTTACGACCTGTCTATTTATACCCTCTGCTGGTCCTCTGTTTACACAACATCTCAAGCATCACAAGAGCTGCCCGTTATTCCTTCCTTTGTCACTATCGTCATACAAGATGATACGCTTTCCGACGCTCGCGCTGCTGGTGTTGCTACTGCTCGGCCTTGCAGGTATTGCACAAGGTGGACTTTTCGATCGCGCGCTGTATCGCAAAGATGACCGACCAAACCCGCCTTGTAAGTGTTATTGGGACCTTTTCTTGCCCCAGGGACTGACGTCGTGACAGCTAGTGGTGCATGGCGTGACTGGACCATGAGCAATGGTCCTCACAGTACTCCGACAACCTCCACCACGTCTCAACCTGCAACCTCTGGACCTGCGGCAAGTTCAACGACATCTGTGACTTCCAGTGAAGCCTCTTCCAGCACATCCCCAGGTCCATCCTCCACCCCTACAACTTCCACTTCGGGCTCGTCGTCCTCCAGCAGTGTCGCTCCGGCATCCTCCACGGTCTCAACCGCTACACAGAGCACAAATTCCGCTGCGGGAACAACCAGTTCATCGCAGTCACAAAACAGCGGCAGCTCGTCAGTTTCTGGGTCTTCTTCGTCGAGTTCAACAACTACCACCTCTCAGGTTGGAAGTGGCACCACAGCTGCGTCAAGCAGTTCGACGGGCTCTGTACCTACGGAATCTTCTGCGGGCTCCAGCTCAAGCACATCGGGCAGCGAAGCGACAACCCCATCAAGCTCAGCATCATCTTCAGGCTCGACTTCAGCTTCCAGCGTGAGCGCAGCGAGTGGATCCGGACAGAGCACAGGAATACAGTCTAGCGCTTCGAGTGCAACTGGACAGCCACAGACTCAGACCTCATCGTCGTCTTCATCCACGAGCTCGAGTGGATCTTCAGCATCGTCGTCATCGACTAGTGCGCAAGCATCCGCGTCCAGCACCAGTGATGTCGCTCAGAGCACGTCGACCAACTCTGGCACAGGAAGCCAAACCGAGAGCCAGTCCAGCGTACGGACATCCACCTCAAGCCAGAGTCAAGGGTCTTCGAGTACAACTTCATCCGAAACAACCCAGAGTCAACAATCTGCAAGCAGTTCATCATTCTCCAGCGAGGCAGGATCACAGAGCCAGACTCAATCCACCAGTTCGACAAGTGGAAGCCAGACTCAGTCCAGTGCGGGAGGGACCACAACCTCGTCTGCAGAATCCCAGAGCCCATCGTCATCCACAACATCTACAGGACAGACCCAGACTCAGTCCAGTTCGCAGGAGACCACCTCAGCGTCCAGTCAATCGTCACAAACAGTAGGACCTGGCAGCAGTTCGTCCTCCTCAACTGTTTCAGGACCTCCACCAGCGACTTCTCAAGCATCAAGCAGCCCGACCACGGCCACCAGCGAGACCCAGTCGAGTTCAAACTCGGACTCGAGCTCCGCACCGGTCCTACCTCCCGGCCTTTTCAGCACTGAAGTGGTCTCTTCATTCAGCAGCACGATCCAGCAGAGCTCGACCACTTTCGTTACTGTCGTGCGGACTACGATCATAATAACCTCTTCGTCAAGTGGGTTGCCTGGCAGCATTTCCTCCGGCTCTTCCTCAAGCGGCCAATCTAGCTCCTCAACCTTCGGGCTTCCACCTGCCACAAGCGATCAGTCTTCCTCTCTACCCGATGGCATGGTTTCATTCACGCCTTCTACCACTTCTGAGTCGGGATTTTCAATAATTATGCCACCGGTTACACATTCGACGAATTGCGACTTTGGTGTGAGCCCATTCTGCGTCTTGTCTGGTTCTACGGTAACCACTGCACCAGGCATCACAGCTGCTGCGAGTCAGGTATTTTGCGCTTGTCCATACTGCTGGCTTGGCGGCTTCTGCGACGATATCCCGAAACCCAGTGGTGGTAACTGTCCAGACTATTGGGCATGCTCAATGACAGTACCACCAGGAAGCTCCAGTGCAGTCTTGTCCTTACCTACTGGCGTAAGTTGGATGACCAGCTCACCTGCTACTTGGAACATAACGGTGCCTGCCGTCACGAGAACAGATGGACATACAGACATAACCAGCGTGTCTTGGACTGCGGACTTACATACAAGCACGAAGCACGGAGACCACGGTGTCGAGATCCTTATCCCCTTTTTCCAATGGAAATGCCTCGGTCCTCTTTGTGCTAAAGAGTTGGGAAATGCTCTAATCGAAGCCCTTATCAATTGCCTGCTGAAATTCAGATGCAAGCCTCCAGGAAACAATGGATGGGAATGGCCACCAATTCCTCTACCCCCTCCCGTTCCTCCGGTCTCGCTTCAATACTTGACAGCGCCAGTAACGACCACGGTGACAGCCAATCCGACAGATTCGCCATCTGAAACAGACTCGGCAACCTCCACCGAAACATCGAGCTCCTCTAGCTCATCCAGTTCGTGTTCAGCATCGGCAATCTCCTTCTGCACCGTGGCATGTGCATCAGCGGTCAGCGGCTCGATGACGACCTTGAGCTCTTGTTCCACTGTCTGCACCACAACCTCGGCTTGCTCCTCAACTGGCAGCGTAACTACGACCGCGACTGGAGAGGCTTGTTCTGCCAACACATGGTGGAATGACCCGGTGATCATGAGTTCCGTTTTGAGCTGGATCTCCCAATTCCCCGTGCTGATGACAGAACCGACGGACTTTGGCAATAGCTCTGTGCCTGCTGCAACGGCCAATGCCACTATCTCCAGCACCTCCTCTCCCGCAACCACCGGTTCTTCCACTAGCTTCAGCTCGTGTACTGATGCTAGATGTGCCTTGACCCAGAGTCCGACCTTCTCGACGAAGAGTTTCTTGACAGGCAGCTCGAGTACCCAGCCACCATCGACAAGCAGCTCGAGCAAGCCATCGCCGTCTACAAGCAGCTCGACTAAGCCGCCACCATCGACAAGCAGCTCGACTAAGTCATCGCCGGTCCCTTCTACCACTAAGACGTCTGAGTCTCGAACCCAAAAACCCGAGCCACCCAGCACTACGGGCTCCACAAATTGGATTACATTTACCAGTGAGAAATACGATCCAAGCAGTGTCGTCGACATCTATACAAGTGTTGAGGAGGCCGCGTTTGGGCGCACCAGCTGCACTGGAACCTTCGAAATCGCGACTACGTCGACGTTCAGCAGACCACCTGATGCGTCCTTCACGTCCTGCGGTTCGTGGCTACCGCCCTATAACGCTGAGACGCCTAAACCAAAATCCGGCTTGGTCCACTGTTTGGATGTGGACAAATCGCCGCGGCTTAGTGCCTGGCCCTCGCAGCCCACGGACACTCCTCTGTCATATTTCTCTCCGTTCGATCCTGATGAAGTGATTGGTGTTGCGGGAAAGTTCTGTGCCGCTCTTGTCAGCCAGAAAATCAAGATCGTCCCAGAGGCCAACGCAAAGGATCCCGACTCGTACATTGGTGAGTGTAAGAGATATTCCGAGAACCCCTCCCGGAAAGCACTCGAACAGTCCCGTCCGGCAGGCACGTATGCTTTGGGAGGACGTACTATCAATATCGCTCTCGCCTATGACAAACGAGGCTGTTCGGGACCACCCTATGACCTCAGTACACTCAACGGTGTCGACTTTGCCCAATATGCCGGATCCAAGTGTCAGGCAGTCTTCTCCACGTCGCTCATCCAAGGCTGCAAGTTGGATGATAAGGACGTCAAGGCGATGGATCTCGGCAGATTCACTGCTATCGGAGGTGTCGCTTGGCACGACTGTATGCGATGGACTCTCGTCGCTGTTGATGACTCGCATGCTCCTCCTGATACTCTGTACGGACAAGACTGGTAGTTTCCGAATCAGGATGGCAAATGACACAATTCACCACCGTCGGTATCAACACCCTGCCCAACAGAAGGAGAGAAGAAAGAGTCGCTGGGAGGGGTGGTTTCTTGGCATGTGAGTGAGTGTTGCACAGAGGAAAGAAAAGTCGATGGCGACAGGAGATATGGACGGGCATGAGGAAGACCCATTCTTCCAGTTTCCAGGGAATCCATCAGGATAATCATGAAAGAAATTGATATCTTCCGGGAGGTGAAAATAGTATGGCCTTTGGTCTTCCCCATCATAGAGAGACAAACAGAATGACAATGTTGCACATGAACACACACGGCCACAGGAATTGTTCTTTCGCTTCCACATCATTTGAACTTGTTTCATCACAGCATAGACTTCCTCCCAAAAGACATGGCGGTCATCATGACCTGGATGCTTAGCGGGCTGATCTACAGGCATACTCTTGCCACAGGGTTCGTTCTCAGACATTCTCATGGTCTGAAACTTCCTTTCTTATATCGTAGACCGTCTCCAAAACAAGGGCGGCCTCACTAGTTAGGAGGAAGGACGATAGCAACAGCAACAGCAACAGCAACGCTCGACGGGCAGATCCTTTGACGTGAACTTTTATATCAATTCTCTGCGAGTACCAAGTGTACATATTTCATGGCTGGATTGACTTAGACTCAAGTCCAGGTCTTGGTCCGGGACCAACCCTCAACTGCATCCTCGTGCATCTCCATCTCATTTCATCTCTTCTCATCTGACATGTCCAAAAATATCAACCCAGCATTTCCACGTCAAGACCAATCGCCCTCATGAAGAGGTTGACGTTACCAAGTCTTACACTCGACATGTCCGGAGGCAAAGCCTTGCTCTGTTGAACCGTCTCCATGACGCGGTCTTTCACTCCAATGACCAGTCGTTGCTGCTGTTCAGGACTGGCACCAATACCCACGGCGGCGAGGAATTGCCACACATACATATCATCACCGGCGTTGACGGCCGCAGGGAAGATCGAGCCCAAGACAGGCTCCAATATGTCAAAGAGTCGATTGTACAATGCCGTCCATTGCTGCCATTCCTGGTCAGTGACAACCCCAGACTCCTTGACAATTTCCGCACGAGTCAGAAGCATCGTCATCATCGCCAAACCAATCTTGGTGTGGACGACCTGTATGACATTCGTGTGATCAAGCAACAGTCCAAGCAGGCCAATCACGATATTGACCGGCGCCTCGCTGACATAGCCCATCAAACAGGGCATGACAGCTTGTGAGAACAGCTCGATCTCTTCTCGCACGTGCAGCGGAGGTTGAGAGTCGCCGGGAGCAAGACGAGCATCTCGAATCACGTCCAATTGATCTAGATGGACAATGATCATGGTCAAGATGGTCACTCGTTGCTCCTGGTCGATCTGGTGGAAAATTCGAGGAATGGCTTTCTTGCTTTTGGCGAAAGATAGGAACGCAATAAAAGGATGCGTTACCGAGGAACCGGGAACTATTGGTTCCAGGATCTTCAGGTCCTGCCACAATTTGGCGTTGAGCTCCTGCATCGTCTGTCGCCATTCCAGATGAGCCTGGATAGAGTCCGCATCACCCTCTGTCGGAGGCGGAGGCATTTGTCGTTCGTTGTCTTCAAGGCGCATCAAGGTGGAATAGACTGCTTCAATGTTCCTAAGTATTGTCTTGCGGTCACTTGGTGCACCCTTTCGCGCGCTTGCGGGACGTGCATCTGTACTTTCTTGCCGCTTGATATTGAGCAGCGGCTTCGGTGTCTTTGCATTGCTGAACGAGATCTTGCCTAAACTGCCCTCAATGATCAATTGCTTGTTCTTGGGTTTCAGCTTAGCAGCTTCGACAGCACGTTGGACTTGTAGCTGCATTCTCTGCATATGATTGTCGCCATTGACCTGTTGCCTTCTGCCGCCCACACGATTACCAGTCTGGAAAAGATAGGTCTGCGCGAAATGACCCAGTGGCTGAGTGGGATGTTGTCTGGGAGCCCCGCGAATTTGACTGTACACCTGGTAGTAGAAATCCTCGTTGAGCGTCGCCTCTGGATCTGGATCTGCCGAACTCCCCGTCGCTGCCACAAGTTGTTGCAGTTGAATACGAGTTATGAAATTCTTATCTTGCGGTGTCATCAGTCCATTTCCCTTGGACAACAAAAAGATCTTGTGGTTTCGTTTTGCTCTTTTGGCGTCTTCTTCCAAATAAACGCGTCTTTGCTCTTTCGAAAGCTCCATCAACTGCTGAGGATTGGTTATGACCGGCATGCTACCAGGCCCTGTGGGCGGCACTCTTTCCAGACTTGGTTGTGGCGAGTGACGAGCCCGGTTAGGGTTCTGAAGTATTTGGAGTGGCTGTTGAGGACGCGGTTGGGGTTGTGAAGGCATGCGGTTGTGACGTCGCTGCGGGCTCGCAGGAGGCGGAGGTGGTTGTTGCTGGACAGTGCCTGGTGGTGGCATCTGTGGAAACGGCTGCGGAGGTGGCTGCATTTGTTGCATTGGGAAAGGATAAGGCGGAGGCTGGGAAAACGGCTGATGATGATGATATTGTTCTTGCTGCTGCTGCTGCTGCTGTTGTTGGGCAAGTAGTGCGGCTTCGACCTCTTCCAGACTCATCATCCTCGGAGGTTCGACGACGGGTGCTGGCGCTTGAGCTGTGGGTCGTGCAGTGCTGATCCGGGCCTGAGCAGCTTCGGAATCTGCCTGTGCCTTGGAACCCCATGCACCCGATTTGGCCTGAATATCTGGGATGAAGCCAGGATCTTGATATTTCTCGTATCCAGTCCTCTTGGGTTTTGGAGCTTGCATTGGGGCACTCATGTGCGCGGCATGATGCTGTAGGCCATAGCGGACTTGTTCTTGCTCGATAGCATCAGCGACTTGAGCGGTATTACCAAAGAAATCGAAGTCTCTTCCGACAGCGCCGCGATCATTTCCACCTTCAGCGCCTCCACCAAAAGTGTCGTCGTTGAAATCGTCACCAGTCTCTTGGAGTCGGTCACCGAGGCCATCGTAGGTATCTTCGAAGTCGAGGCTGAAGTAACAGTATTAGTGTCTGAGTTATGTCATCGTGATCACCACGTACATTTCCTGTTCATTGTCTTGGAAGGCTTGTAACTTGCGAGCTTTGGCTACCTCATTGAAAGGGTTGCTGTGCTCAAAGATTCCCTTGCTTCCTCCTCCAGGCTTGTCCCTTGGCAAAGAGGTATCGAAGCCGAAGAAAGACATGTCGGAGACCGGGAGCGATATCAAAGTAAGGTCGTGCTTCTCAATAGGATCAAGGTGTCTGTCCTCTTTTCATCCCACGCCAACTCTTTGCTCGAGAGAGGAAGCAGATGCGCATGTTCCAACAAGGAGGGGAGAGGAAGCTTGCACGTCGTAAACCCTGCTAGGGCTGGTGAGGCACGATAAAAGTGTCGACAATTGTAGATACAGATTAGTATATCATATGTGCGGCTCTTACGAGAGTGAGGGACAAGTGATGATCTAATTCGACACCGAGGTGGGAGTGAGTCGAGATTTCCACCAGAGCAGATTGGTCACGTGAGCAGAAGGCCTCCCACAAGCTGGCTGGCACCTAGGTGGCTGGTGCACCCCAACCGTGGGTAGTGAAAGCCCGAGATGCCCATTATGCTTAGCTAAGTTCTAGCGTTCTAGGTAAGGCCCGGGGGGTCGGGTGCTCGGCATGACCCCTAAAAAAAGGACGTACCCATGTCATCGTTCTCGAAGAATTCATGGCTGGCCTCGTTACTCCGTACACGTCTCCGGCTTGCGCGTCGTCTCCTTTACCCTTCAGTATCTTGGATCTTGGGCCCAGTCAACCCTGAATTCAAATCATCTTGTGTTGCCTTTTGAACACTCTTTTCTTCCTATTTCATTCACCGATGACTTTGGCGTCGCTTTTCTTTGTCTAATTGTTCCTCGTCATTCAATGACTGGGAGTCCTCATGCGCCGCTGCTAACGTACACCACCACTCTTATTCGAGGTCAATAACCTCATTTCTCCTATTACTATTGCTACCCCCGACTGCCAGGAGCATTCGACGGCCGGAGACCTGCTGTTCTAGTACCCGATAATCAAAACTTCCTTTCGGTCTTGTTCGCAGTCACCTATATCCATCATGGCGGCCGGATCAGGAAGAATCGTCCGGTACCTACTATTCGCGATCATCGTAAGATTTACTCAGCGAGAGGGTATGGGCCTTTGACTGACTTTCTTAGACCATCGCTATCCTTTACTTCGTTTCTACCTCGTCCATACCATCCTACGCTCAGCCACTGGCCGAACAGGCTGCTGGCAAGTTCTCATGGGACAAGACAAGCCCGCAGGCCAACAACGAAAAGTCACAGGCAGAGTACGATGCGATCGCTGATGCTTTCTCGTCGAAACCCTCACAAGCCCCCAACAATGTGCCGAGCACACAACCTCTAGCATCCTTGACGCCTAATATCACTCCTCTAACTCCGTCCGAACTCTCCCCGCCCGCCCCAGGCGAACGTGTCAACGCCACCTTCATCACCCTAGCAAGGAACTCAGATATCTGGGAAATTGCCCGGTCAATCCGGCAAGTCGAAGACAGATTCAACAGAAACTACAATTATGACTGGGTCTTCCTGAACGACAAGCCTTTTGACGACACATTCAAGAAAGTAACAACATCTTTGGTCTCGGGCAAGACACATTATGGCGAGATACCTGTGGAACATTGGTCATTCCCATCGTGGATCGACCAGAAGAAAGCTGAGGCTGTTCGCGAAGACATGCGCCGGAGAAAGATCATCTATGGTGACTCGATCAGCTACCGTCACATGTGCCGATTTGAGTCCGGTTTCTTCTTCCGCCATCCATTGCTCCAGAACTTCGAGTACTATTGGCGAGTCGAGCCGAGCGTCGAACTCTTCTGCGACGTCCATTACGATCCATTCAGGTACATGAAGGACAATAACAAGAAGTACAGTTTCGTGCTCAGCTTGTACGAATATGTGGAGACCATCCCCACACTATGGGACAGCGCAAAGAAGTTTATCAAGGCACATCCGGAGCATATTGCAAAAGACAACTCCATGCCTTTCCTGAGTGATGACGGTGGTGAGACGTACAACAAATGTCATTTCGTAAGTGCCTCCTACCCCTGATCTACCACTTACTCTGACACTTCTGTAGTGGTCTAATTTCGAGATCGGCAACCTCGACTGGCTTCGATCACAGGCTTACCTCGACTTCTTTGAGACTCTCGACAAAGATGGTGGCTTCTTCTACGAGCGATGGGGTGATGCTCCCGTGCACTCTATCGCCGCAGGTCTCCTTCTCAACAGGGACGAAATCCACTTCTTCAATGACATTGCATACTACCACATCCCCTTCACACACTGTCCCACAGGCGAAGATGTCCGCCTTAAGCTACGCTGTCATTGCAATCCTAATGACAACTTTGACTGGAAAGGATATTCATGCACGTCTCGGTTCTTCGACTTGAACAAAATAGCCAAACCGGAAGGCTGGATGGATCAAGTCTGACTAGCCGGCTCGAACCGTAATAAGGAGTCGGGAGTTGCTCTGGGTTGGGAAATCGCGCAGTATGCATGCATGTCTTTTGGCGTTAGCTTGGTCATCCTGATGACCGTGATGAGGATCCCAAGGACGAGACGCAAGCTGCTTGCTGCTGCTGAGCGATTGGCGGAATGGCATGAAAATGGGCTGCGACAAAGCGGTGCTGAGACTTGAGGGGTCTCAGTACAGCTAACTCGAAGCGTTCTTGCAGCATGACGAGATCGAAGCCGAGCACAGCCCAGCTCACAAACAAGCAGCAACCTTGCACAATGCAAGCGAGGCCACGAATATTGTATGCGCCCCATAGTGAGCTACAGCCGGCATTGTCTGGTTAGGATCAGGATCAGGATCGCCCTTTTGGACACCAAACCCGGTCAAGACCACATCGAGCTCAAATTCATGTCTTTCCTACGCTCCTACATCCTCGATCAGCCTCGCACAAGATCTCACCCGAAGAGAACAGAGCTCTAATGTGTTGCCTTTCCACGGCGATTCAGGAGCCCAACCCTGTTACTGCCTCTGCTTTTCCCCCATGACTTAGCGAACTAGAAGGGCATCTCGGCTGAGGATCCCCAGGGGTATGCATTGTATGACAAAGGCGCCCGGTTTGAAAAGGTGATGTATATGCCACGCGGCAGAACTAGCATGACGAAAATGGGCTGTAAGACATTATCATATTGTCTAGAACCGCAAAGCACAGGCATTGGCCTCTTTCTACATAACACAAATTGACTTCCTCGCATCGTCAAGAGGAGTTTTACCTCTTCAAGGTCGAGCTAGGTTCGATTGCATTTCATTCCACCCCGTCAAGTTCTTAGAATGGGGTCTACAATAAAGTACCAAAATTGTACAGCTCTTCAGGCTTGAGTACAACCTAGATATACATGATTCTCACAACTGCCTTGACTCTTATTGCGGACGAAACCCTCCAGTAATGCTTCCAAGGCCACAACTGAACCTGAGGAAACGGACAGCGAGAGAGTCAGATATGTGCCACAAGCCCTTGACACCGGAACTGACGAGGTCGAGCTGAGTCGCTGCCATACCCCTCTAGGTACGGAAAGAGAGCGTATCGGGCTCCGGATTTCGTATTGTGTTGTTGAAAATCGTCTCGTCTCCTTTCTCAACTCTCGGCGAGAGCGAAGCATAAGCCCCATTGCCGAAATGGCCCAACTCCGACCTGATCGTAGCTTGATGGGTCCTCCTACAGAATTCCTGTCCACAACATCGGTCTTTCTCTTTCTTGTGGTTGAGTCAAACCACAACAGTGCCGTCCCGGACGTCTTCGTCCCAGCTTCTCTTTGACAACCTTCCACGCGTACATTCGGCCGTCTCATTCACCATGTCCGTGGGCCTTTGGGGATCAATGCAAACTCATGGCTCGAAGCCACTGCCGGGAGTGTTCCTATGCAGTCACGAAGTCCCCTCGCAATGTCCTTCAGTAACCCTCCTCACAAGACCGAGCGAGGCCAGAGTGAACCAATCCAGCCATTATATCGTTTACCCTGTAACAGGTTTATCGCACGCCACGATTCCCCTCTTTTCTCTCAATCAATGCTTAAGCAGTCTTGGGCTTCTTGGTCCCATACTTGCTTCGACTTGTTGCTCGACTCGGTACACCACCCTAGATTTTTCGCCTTATGTTAGCAATCGCCGTTCTCGTAAAAGTATCCGTGTCACCGCGCCAGAGATGTCCGTATCGCCTTAGCTGCCCACCATCTCTACTAATGCATCTGCATGTACTCTAACGCGCCACTCAACCTCCTCTTCCTCGCGTCTCGTTATGCACCGTACCGTACCCATGCCCTCTCGACCAGTCCACCTCTTACGTTTCCACCTCTTCACAGTCGTGTGTGGCCCCTGTATTGGCAGACGCGGAGAGAAAATCAAACACAGTGGACATGAACTCAACTCACCAGATCAAAAGCCCCCCTGACAAGATGATACCGCACACCAGGACAATCCTGACTCCTGCCGCCCCTTACGAGCACCACGCTGTGCTGCTGCACATTATGTCCCTCACCAGGAATGTACGCGGAGATGACTTTGCCGTTGGACAGGCGGACTTTGGCGGTCTTGCGCTGGCCCGAGTTGGGCTTTTTCGGCTTTGTCACGCCCACTTTCAGACAGACACCTTTCATTTCGGGCCGTTTCTGCGAGGCAAGCGCCGGGGACACGGCGTGCCGGGCTTTCTTGGGGTGTCGACCCTGCGTGCGGACTTGGTTCAGTGTCATGCAGCGGCTCGGTGTCGTGGAGAAGGAGCGTGATGTTGCGCTTCGTAGGATGGAGGAGCTTGGTCGTGAAGGATTGGAAAGAGGGAGGCGTACTATGACGCGAAACGCGCGGAGTGCAGAGAGGGAAGGAACGGGCGGCATTGTGAGTCTTGAAAGCAATAGAGAGAAAGTCTTGTGGGAAAAGGCACGAGATGGAGAGACGAATGTTGTATGCTGTTGAAAGGGCCAAGTCGCCGGAGCTTGATGCTCGAAAATTGAAAGGTCGATTACTCAAGGGCACGTGACACATCTCCCGAGCAGCCAATCACGAGATAAATGTATCAGCCTCGTCGAGCCTCCTGTTTGCGAGCCTTATGGTTGCCTTGTCCTTGATCACTGCTCTCCTGGCACGGCAGCCCCAGCTATTCTAGCGAGCATCATGGAGCTACAGTTTGTGTAATATTCCTTCTCTAGAACGGGAAGTCTGCCATCCTAATCTCTCGCTTCCAGCCTTCCCTTCCTCAAATCCTTCCAAAACCAAACCTCATCCACCAGTCTCCCGTCTTTCGGACTAATCCCATACTCCCTTACCACGCCTAGCCTCTCATACCCAAGCCGCGGATATACATTCTCCGCCTCACTGCCCAGCTCTGTGTCGAGCATAAGATTCCACCGCCCGGAAGTCATCGACACCTCCTCGAGCTTGACCATCATCCGTCGCGCAATGCCCTGCCTTCTGTGCAACGGAGACACGAACAATTTCTGGACAAGCGCCCGGAACGGGCCTGTCTGACTGAACGGTGTAGAAAGTGATACGACACCCGAGACTTCCAGCCCATTCTTCAGGACGGGCCAATCGCGACCTTCGGCGGACCACGGCGCCGGGAGGTTTCCTGTTCGCTGCGAGACCTCGCTGATACAGACAAGGATGTGTCGTTGCCCGGCGGTGGTTTCCACGAGCCGCTCTTGCCACCACTTGTAGATGACCTCGTGAGACAAAGGCGGGAGGAAAGTCGCAAGGGTGCCGTCGTTTAAGATGCATGTGGCATGGAGGTGGGCGATGCCGGATAGAACAATTGACGCATCGGGCGTGGCGTCAGTAATGATGTGGATGCCTGGGGTCAGGTTCATTGCACTTGTGGACATTTCGCCCGTTCGTGAGCGACTTTCAGCGTACAGTTAAAAAGGTTGAGCGAGAATCTCCCAGTGCTCTTCTAAATGTCGGCAGCGTCGCACGAGAAAGGCTCAATGATTGAGTATTGTGTTTGGATCTCTAGGTCAGTTGTTCAAAGTCGTAAGAGGCCCGATCATGAGTCAGCTCGTGATCTGGGACGCGAGAAGGCCATAAGAATGGAATCGCCAGAAAACTAGAGAGCAGAAGATCTTATCTTTGGGCAAACATGTGGGATAGGTACCCACTTTGGAATGCAACCATTCCGCGAGACAGATGGTGTTATGCAGTGGCTTCGTTTGTCGTAAGGCGTCCGGCGTAAGAAGCAGCGTAAAACCCGCCTCTCGAACCACTTTCAAACCAGTAATCCGCGAAGGACTTTGGCCGGGCCTCGCGTATAGGTTTGGGTACGACCGTGTTGATGAGAACCGTTCTGCCCCACGATAGAACTGCAGTAATAATTGAACTGACTCACCCTCATGGCCACAAGCATTTTCCACAGACACGCCAACTGAAATTTGGGCCCAATGAGGTCAACCCTTGACGATTCATACTATGTGAGCACTCGGCACACTCTATGAACGTTCCTTGTATGAACCACCACGAGTCAGATTGTTGTCACCCTTTTTCCTTCAGCGCGTAACACAGCTTCTTGATCATTGCTTGTCTTCCATAAACAATGGCCTCGAGTGCCATGTGGACCTGTTCACTTGGCCACGTCTCGCTTCGCTCAACCTTGCATCTCAATGCCTCCCGTTCCATGAATAACCTCGCCAGTAAAGTAACTTCCCAAGGGACTGGCAAGAAAGACATACGCGGTTGCCACCTCGATCGGCATCCCTGGCCTCTGCAGGGGCGCCTCCGAAACACCCAAACTGTCCATTGCTTCGGGGGGGTTTCCTTTTGTCGCGGGTTGAAGGGGTGTCCATCTATGCCACATATGTTAGCCTCAACCCCTTGTCATTGGGCAAATTTCTTCGACTTACATGATTCCCGGGGCTACTGCGTTCACCCGAATCCCCTTTGGTGCCAGTTGTTGGGCCAGACTCCTTGTGAATGTAGAGATAGCACCCTTCGTCGAGCTATAATCCACAAGCTTCGGGTTGCCCATGTACGCAGCTACGCTGCACGAGTTGACGATGCTGCATCCTCGTTTCATATGCGGCAAGGCGAACTTGGTCATGGCGAACATACTCAGAATGTTTGTACGGAATGTCTTTTCGACCACGGCTAGATCGATCTGTGAGAGGTCATTGCAGATCTCCTGCATGGCCGAGTTATTCACGAGTACGCTCAGCTTGCCGAACTTGGACATATGCGCATCCACGGCTTTGCGACAGTTTTCTTCGGATGTGATGTCAAGAGTGAGCAGTTGGCATTGGCGGCCGGCCTTTTCGATCTGAGACTTGGTCCACTGTGCGTCAGGCTCTTCTTCAGGCAGATAGACAATGGTGACGTCCGCGCCTTCGCGGGCCATTAGAATGGCGACACTCCTGCCGATGCCTGTACAAGTCAGCTAAGAAGTCGCTTTCGAAGCAACAGTGCTAGATGCAGAGGGTATGCTGGGGTCTGGAGGGGATTTCTTCATGTCATTCCGAGGAATGCAAAGGCTCGTCATAGCGCTAGATGCCATTGCCCGAGGGACAACTTGGGCGGTTCCGGGGTCTCATTTGACAGATCGGATCCAGACGTGAAGATGGGATGGGGATGGCAGTGGTTGGCATACCTGAATCACCACCAGTGATCAAGACAGCCTTATCCTTAAGCAGTCCACGGCCTTCATAGTCCTTCAGGTAAGGTGACGACCCGTCATCGTCCCAGAACTCCAGTTGCGTCCAGTTGGCACCGGGTTCGAGTTTAGCATCAAGGCCCTTGCCGCCTTCTTGATTTTGCTCTTTGAGTGAGGTCGAGGGATAGGCTGTAGGAGGTGCTTCTGGTTTGTCAGGCATGGTAGCGGTTGATGTGCGGGTATGGTTGATCCTTAGAAAATAGTGATACTTTGCCAGGACACAGTATGAGAACAAAAGAGAATACTGGTTATCTAGGTATTTATCGTCATCCAGTCTCTAGGGTGGTGTTGAATGAGTATGACATCAAGACGAGAGAAAAGCGAATGCGTCATTGCCAATGGGGTTGTTCTCCAGCAAATAAAACATCAACAGAAGTCACGGAGGGTTGTGCTTACCATCTGCTACAGGACTACGTCCATCGGTAGCATCTTATGCCTGGACGTCTCCCAGAGATCAGAAGCTTGATGTCTCTGCGAGATAATGAGGGAAAATGCGGTGTGGGAAATTGGATGGATCTTGTTCTTGGGTTCTATATCCGGATGCAGGCGGGATGTTTCCAGCACCGTCAACATTCAGGCCCTAATGGGAGATAGCTCCTGGTGCTCCTGCTAATGAATCAGCATGTCGCATTTCAGTCCTTTGCTGCATCGCTGGATAACCCTTTCTTGCAGTAACACACATTTTTGCCGAGAGCACGACGTGATATGCTGCGAAGAGCTGTGGGTCAAGAAGCAACAAGACACCGCAACAAGTACCACTCAGCCAATGAATTGCGGCAAGGCTGAACATCCACTCGCCGCACGACATCCTGTACAAACACTATGACTTTGGCTCTTGCTTCACAAATCATTGGCTTCATATCCTTCGGGATAACCTTGGCCACTTTACTCGGTATGCCTTCCATTGACCTCGCTATCTGGTCCTCATCTGTCTAGGTGTCTACCGCGACCTCATATCAACCATGCGCAATGCGGACGCCCTCATCCCGCTCATGCTGGGCAATCTCCGTCAAGAAATTCAAGCAGAACAAGTCCTGCTACGGCAACGCGCCCGGGATGGCGACCATTATGGCGTATTTCCTAAATCGCGACGACGTCGGTCGCGACGGAAATACCATGAGGCATCGCAACTACTAGAAAACACTCTCAACAATCTGTGGCAACAATTTAAGAATGTCGAGCGTCCATTCCTTATCAGGGATCCAGTTCGGGCCGAAAAGGTTCAACGGGGTGACTATTGGGGCGAGAGTGATGTCGATGACAAGGCTTACGCCAGACCGACTCCCAACCAGAAACAGGTCACCAATCGAATGGGAATGGCCGAAGCTGGATTGTCTTCCGACGAACAAAGATATTACCGGACGGACCTGATTCACCGTTTTATATGGTATGTGATCAAGCTCGACGGTGCAGGATCCAAATAATTGTTCCCAGGTGGCAGAGCCAGTCCTCCGTTGTCAGTATGCTCGACCAGGTACAGCGCATCCAGATCCGAAGAATCGAAAGAGATACATTCGAGGCCGATGAACTCATCAAGCGGTGTCTAGCATTACTGTATAGGCGGCGTGGTGACGGGAGGAGTCCAAGTGGCGGTAGTAGTTCTGGTAGTGACGGAGGCCGAGGAGGACGTGGTGGCGGTGGTGTTGCACGTCAAAGAGGTAGTGTTGTTTCGAGGCCAGGAAGCATAAAACCTTCGACTCGCCGATCTAGCGGGACTGGAGGTCGTTTCAGGGAAGTTGAAGAGACGGAGATCATCAGGAAGCGGCAAGACTCGGACGCGAAAGCTCGTACTGGCGAAGCTAGTAATACTGGACGGCGGAGGAGAAGTACTCAGTCCCGGTACGAATACGAGGTGGTCCAGTCAGGCAGGATATATATCGATGTCGAGGATGGCGGACGACAAGATGGGGTAGAATATGTTGAACCTGTACGAAATTCGGTGCCACTGCGAGACCTAAGTCGAGAGCGAAGGAGGGATTGATAAGAATGATATTGGCGATCGGTTTTGCTCATTCCTTCCTCCATGCCCTGAACTCTTCCTCCAGGTGAGCTTTGAGCTGCGTGAATTTGTTTCCGAACATCTTCCCACAGCGCCAGCATTTGTACTCCTTCTTGAGATTGGCGTTTTGATAGCTCGTATTTCGCCTTGTGTCATCCTGTGCAAGTGGAAAGTCCTCGAGAGGAATAAAGAAGTCGGTGTTGAAGCTATTGTAGTGCTTTTGATGCTTTAATCGGTCTGAATGCATGTCCCGACTGATGATATGAATGTGGAGGTGGTTCATAGACGGATGAGCATGAATGCCGACTTTGAATTCTCTGCCAAAGTCCCGGCCAGCTGGGAGTTCATCAGGCAGTTCGTCGCTTTCCATAGCAGCGATTCGTTCTTTGCAAGATTCCGAGTAAGGACTGAGTTGCCGTGACAACTCCGATGCTGCCAATTCCAAAGCTGCGGCTGCCTCTGTGCGCATCATGTCCAGAAAATCCATATCATTCAAGGCATCGCGAGGGTGTAGGTCTCGTTTGGCTGGATCCCTTGGTAGCAATAATAGATGGACGGTGGCCTTGGGAAAGGCATCTCTGATGAGGACGATCCGTTCATTATATTTTATGACGATGTTAGGCGCATATTTGGCTGGGTCCAGAATATAGGCAAGGAGGCCATTTCGAGGATCATGCGGCTTGCTCAATTTTCCAATGTGCTTCGAGGTATCTGGCTTCGGCTGCTTTGGCTTGGGAGACATGAGTTCAGAAAAAGCATTGCGTTTGCTGGGCGGCAAGACAGCTTCAGAGGCTTTCTCAGCCTCTTTCCCATCAGCTTTCGTGGCCATCACAATGAGACTTGCTGAGTCGTGCGGATTAGGGCAGATGTTAAATCAGGGTGGGAAAATGGTGCAAAAACAGTAGGTACCACCACCTTCGCAAGAATTTACATCCAACAATGTGCTCACATTAACTGCCTGCCATTCATTGATCATTCTAGGATCGTCCCGTCAATGCAGTTCTTGAGAGCAGGCAGTCATGTAATATTGACGAAGATGATAAGGAGCGTCCGAGACCAGGAACATGTATCACTGCAGTTCGGGATTTTCCTGTGGACATCACGAGGGCAACATCATATCGGTCCTTCAATACGGGTGGACATGTTGACCAAAACAGGATTCGACCACACATGATACAGTGAACACGTAGGGAGTATATCATCATTTCTGTCCTAGAATAGAGCGCCTGATGCCTACGAAGTACCATTTCGCAGCACTTACTCATAGACTGTAGCAGACTCGTACACCAATTGCTTGAAATGCCCCGCCAGGCTTCTATCATTGCCCACTCCAATAACAAGACCCGGGTCCCTTTTCTGTGTGGCGCAAGCCAGTAAACTCTTGATTCGCAAAAGACCGTTTGAGTGGTCCCCAAAGTGCACCCAAAGTGCAAGCCAAAACCCAGTCAATCAAGTCGCATGGCGCCCATAGAGACATACTCTCAACTCCGTGCCGCGAAAACAGTGTTCAGCAACATTTTGAACTTTTGTTGTGTCCGTCGTCGCCCTTTTTACATCACCACACACCTGCTGCAGCATCCTGCATTGTCCGCTTGGTTATCGACCTCGAACTTTTGACCAGGACCGTGTCCACCAAGAGGGGGCGCGCCGCCAAAATTTCCCGACATTTCACGATTGTACCTCCGAATCTCTCGAACCAGATCGTAGAATGCGTTATCAACGTTTATTCGTGACTTTGCGGATGTCTCGATGAACTTGCAGCCAAATTGTCGAGCCAGGTGTGCGCCCTCCTCTTTAGATACAGCTCTTTCTCCCTCCAAATCGCACTTATTGCCGACGAGAATGATCGGGAAATAATCTTTGTCTTTGACACGTAGAATCTGTTGCTGGAATGTCATGATCTCTTCAAAGGATTGTCGTGATGTTATGGAGTAGACGAGCAGGAAGCCTTCACCCGTTCTCATGTATTGTTCTCTCATAGCAGAATATTCTTCTTGGCCGGCCGTGTCGAGGACATCGAGGAGGGCGACCTCCTCATCAATCATGCATTGCTTGCGATATGAATCTGGTGTTGTCAGCAGCCATCTTTCACTTCATTGCGTTGATCGCACCTTCAATCGTAGGGTCATACTCGTCTACAAAGTGGCTCTGAATAAGTTGTATAGTTAAGCATGATTTTCCCACGCCGCCACCTCCTACTACCACCAATTTGTATTCGCGCAGAAACTGGAGGGTAGATGTCAGTCCGGCCATGGTTGTGTGAAAGGAGCATTCGTGATAGTTGGATTGGACCAACCTTTGAAGCCATCGCAGGAAGCTATAGGACCAAGTCCAAAAAGGGTTGTTTCGGGATGAATCTCGCTTGAGACAAATAGTCCAAAAGCAGTTCAGATTGGGGTCGAATCTGGATATTGGATTCAAATGCGATAGAGGAGCCCTTGGCAGGAGAAACCGTGATGAGCACTAGTGGTTGAGAGGCGAGATATCCGTATTCCGGAGACGTGGTTGAGGGACCGCTGATAGATGCAAAAGTTGCAGACGCAGGGACGGTCACAGCAATCAAAGCGAGGGTCTGGAGTGAACGGTTGATTCGGATCGGTTTCGGACTGCGAAGGGTAGGCGGAGGAAGGCAGCGATGGCTCTTGCGGTAGAGGTGGCGCTTGGAAGGTGCGAACGACGGGGGAAGGAGCAATGGTAGTTGACTTCTTGCGATGTCTAAAGAGTTGACAGCAACGACTGCAATCCGGATGCGCAGTTCGAGGCGTCAAGAGATGTCAAGGAGAAGCCGTAACAATTCTTAGTGCGGCCCCCAACGACGAAGAAGTGCGGATTCGCTTCTCCAGTTTCCGGCTCGTAGCAAGGATCAAATAGAACTTGAAGTGACAAGGGTTTCTCTGAGCCCGAACCAGTAAGTCGGAAGTCGCTGAAACGTCGAGAACAGAAGCCGATGACGGTCTACAGACTCCAATTGAGATGGAAAAGATACACAGGGAGAAAGCAATTGGCAGAGCAAAGGGTCAGGTAACTCGTATGGACATGTCCAGTGCCCTGACGATTTCAGCCAAGTGTACGGAGTATTCAGAGACCAAAGACCAACCACCATTTCTCCTTGTCCTGCAGCAGCACTAAAGCACCCACCATCCACTTCTTCCAGTTCCCACCCACCGACGGGGATATTCCTTTCTAGTCCTCAGTCTATCCTCAATTGAGACAAAATCCACGGCCATTTGACAATGTTTGTCCCGTCGCAACCCCTAAATGCATCCTCTTCCGCTGTCCCTGGCCCTACTACGCGCGCCAGTCACTACCAGTCTCGAGCCAGTGCCCTGACATTCAACTTTTGTATGGGTTCCAGGCGCCACACAGAGCACCTTATGCCACTCGCAGCTCCTTGGTTTATTTGGCTGACATCAGTCACACACAGTCCTAATGGGAGACTCGGTCAGCAGGGTCGATGAAAGAACAGTCCAGAGTGCTCACATCTCGCTCCTGGAATGTTGACTATCGCAAACTCCACCACAATACCCGGGTAGGCGGTTCCCTCTAATACCCGTCTGGTGAGGAAGACCGTCTGTTGCCATGCCCGGCCGAGTAGCTTCCTCCGGACTTTGATTCGACGTTCGAGAACTCGATCACATCCGTCCTCACGCCGTCGCTGCTGCTTCAACTTAGTCCCGCGCTTAAATCTCTAGACTTGAGGCAGGATGAAAACGGTTCTTGTTGCCCACTGTCCTCTAAAGAAGCAATAAGGGATATCAATTTGCTTGGAGATAAGCACGCTTCTCTTCCGACGAGATAAGCTCCGAAGTGAGCCATGTCTTTGCATATCAGAGGAACGGTATGTAAATGTTTGTGGCGTGCAGCTCGAAGATGGATGTCGCAGGTACGAGTATTGATCGCAAATAAACGATCTGCCGGTTGCAGGTCCCTTCGAGGCCGGCGTAGGACTTGCGAGTGTTTCCGACGACGATCATCACGTTGACGATACGAACTGATGATCATGATCAGCGATCCAGAAAACACTGCGGAAAATGAGGGAGTTAACCTCGTTTTACGAGTACCCATCACCAGTGGCACCGTTTCTGCAAGGTAACATTCTCGAAAATCTACCCCATGTTCCTCAGCGGAGATCATGAAGCACTCTCTGGCAGAATCAGAAGACGACACTTTCGAGATGTGACAATGGAATTTCACGTTGTACGCCACGTTTCATTCATCTCGAGGCTTCTGAGCACGTGTTACGATGTGGCGCATCTAATTCATCGTATTCCATCCAAGTCAGGGGGCAATCTCGCACTACCTCTGCACAATTGCGCTTCGGGACCCAGTGATCCTGAAGGTCAGTTCAGATGCTGGCGCAGGGACGTGGGAGGTTGCCGCCACCACCGCATGCAACAGCCAAATCGAGCGCTCTGGGAATGCTGCAAGCAGAAGGAAACCCATGGGATGATTGACACTACTGCATTCAAGCATCCTTATCCTTCTTGACATCAGTCTCGTCATCGGTATCATCCTCGCCTTCCATCTGCACCCTTTTGCCCTGAACACCTTCAGCGACTTCGCGCTCCAGCGAGTCCATATAGTCTCTATCAGTCCCGACCAACGTCACGACATTTCTCTTCTTCCCCCATCGAGGATAGCTTCCTACCTTGACTCCCCTCGGCTCCACCTTGGCCGCAAGGCTGGTGAGGTATTCGGCCACTGCACTTTCTGCCAATGGCGTACTGAACAGCATGCGATATGTGCCTCTACCTTCTGGGTCCTTCAACAGAGGCAGTATTCGAGGCTTTATGCCTTCCAGCAGTGCTTCAAATAGCCTTGGTACTCCAGGCAGGATGTGGATGTTTCCGTTAACCACCGAGATTGGGACCCAGAGATCTTCCTTGACATAGAGCACTTGCTCTTCGTCTGGGATGTCGGGGTGGGTGGGCAGCTGTGCCATTCTTAATTTGGCTGTCAGCGCTGGTGAGGGAGTATTCCAATCGAAGTTGGGTTGTGATTTGTGCGGTCTTGAGAATTTCTGCATTTTCGCGACGGTCGTCTCGTGTAATTCAAGAGGCAGATTAAACGCCTTCGCTATTGACTGGTAGGTGATATCGTCGTGTCTGCAGTCGGCTTGTCAGTGCAGCCACAAAAACACTCCCAAGTATCATACGTAGGCCCAATGCCACCACTCGTTACCACAAGATCGTAGTTCTTGGACATCCTCCGCGCTGCTTCTATAATCTCTTCTTCATCGTCGGCAATAACTTCGATTCTCTTCAATTGTATGCCCAAGGAGAAACAGAATTTCGCAAAGTACGCGCTGTTCGTGTCGACTGTCTGCGCGCCGCACTTCTGTCAGCGATCCACGTCTTGTGCGCTGTGGGCGCGGTTCGGACGAAAACCTGCCTTTCCGCCCAGCACCTCATCGCCTATGATTATGCAGCCAGCCGTGTGTATCATTCTCTTCCGAGGTACAGACATGGCTTCGCCATTGGATGATGATGTCATTCTGGAGGACAGATTCGCAGGGTACGCGGCAGCTGAGCGGTGGGCGAAGTTGGGTAAAGGGCGAGAGAAGTGTCTTGCTAGTTGGGAGAGGCGGGAGTACATCGAACGAGAGACTGGAGATGTTGGGAGACAGAGAACAGCGCGAGAGTGTCGTGTGGTGATGGTGTTGGTGTTGGTGCAACTCTGGAAATCGAGTGCATCACAGTATTTCGTGGATGGGATGGCAAAGTACTCCGGACCCCACAACGATCGAAGACGGACTCCAATTGCGATTTCTGGCCTTCAGTTCTACTCGTATCAGACAACCCAAGCTGACAGCTCATCTACTACAGCGCCTACCTTTTCAAGTTTCTTGCCGCTCATAAGGCTATATCCTTCATACACTGTCGAATTGATTGTACGTTGGTATCACCTGATCTCAGAGCTCTGAATTGCATCAGGCATACGCGCCGAACTACTCCGATCTTCAACTGGCAAGGCTGAATTTGCGGACTTACTATCTGAAGAGCGAGGGCTATAGGACCCCTACCCAGACTTTAGCAAATATCACCATCTTCAAGCGAGACCAAGCATTAGAGCAGCTTTCAGACTTTGAACACAGGCTGGAGCAAAATACAAAATGGTAATTATGTTCCTTGCTTTCGGATGGCTGGTCCTCACTTCCTCTCCCTTTCGTCCTGGGATGCTCAAGCGCTAGACGAATCCACAGCCACATCCCACGGAAAATCCATGGCTAATCGACACTCCAGTCGGAATCCAGGCTGTACACATTCTCACAAGAGACGAAGGACCAGCTCCGGAAATTTCGTCTAGGCACATCCAGGGCCAAGACGCCCATGGCTAAGATATGTAAGTCTCACTTGCTACTCAAGTCCTCACGTCCTTTATCCGTGCTACCAAGAGGCGCGGTAAATGAGGCCCCCTTGCACCCCGGGAATACTGGGTTCGCCCGCCTCCGTACTGGGAGGTTTCTGAGTCCGCGTCAAGCCCGACACCGTCGTCACGCTTGCAGGTGATGCAACTTTGAAAACTCCCTGGTTTGCTGACCCGATGGGCATGACCAGATCAAATCGACATCAAAACCCAAGAAATCAAACCCTCCTCAGAGGACACATACACCGATATGCTCGAGTTAGCTGACGAGCTACCCGACTCATCGCCGCGATTTATTCTGTTGAGTTATCCCTTGACTTTGGTACGTTCTACCCTCTCTGCTATTCGACCTGCACGATCTCGGTCCCCAGTCGGCTCGTTGCTGACATTATACATGGGCCTCCCAATAGCCGTCAGGTCGGCTCTCCGTGCCTTATGTCCTGATCTACTATCTCCCCGTGAACTGCAATCCCAATATGCGCATGAGCTATGCCGGTGCCGTCGAGCTTATGCGTGGGACGGCAGAAGTCAATCGTGTCATAGAAATCTCTGACGCAGAGGACCTGCAGGAGATTGAGGAGAAGCTGAAGGGCGAAGACTAGGTAGTTTGACCGTCTTGAGCCAAGAAAGGGGAAGGGATGCGAAACCCAGAAGGCATTATGCTACGACCACGTATTGCGGTCAGTTCGGTTCTTGTGCCCGATGGACAGATCGAGAGAGATCAAGCGAATTTACAACGGATTGCACAGGCCGGGGCAAGTATAATACCTTTCTCTGATTGAGATGCATTTACGAAGTACATCACATTGCTAAAGCACGGAATGAAACCCTTTTTTGCCCCCTTCATTGGTTTCTTTCAATTCACAACTGCGACCTGAACTGGCCACCACCCAACCCGGTCCTGCCTTTCCCATCTTTGACTCCATTCGTAAAGCCCCTGAAATATCCCTCCAGTGCTTCTACCGTGCCTTCCCCTTCAACCAACCTCACAGCAACGCCGACATGTCCGTCCGGTCTCACGACCACCACGGCACCCTCATCACCCGTCAACCCGACCTTCGCATGCGCCGCGGCCTTCGCGTCCAGCACGCGCATGTCCTTCTTATCATCCGCATACACCCGGCCGCCGTAATCGCGGAACAAGGCCGGTAACTCGCCAATCTCAATGTCTGGCCTCTTGGCTGCCAATGTCAGCGCGATCGAGAAGAAGCGGCTATGTGGGTTGTCGCTGTCGTGATGGTTATCCCGTTGCCGGTCTCTGCATCCATATCGTGAGTAAAATGACTCGGGACTCGCGAGACCCGCAGCCAGATCATCCAGCGCCTTGTGCTGTCCCGCCCGAGGCGATTGGCTCAATCCGCCGAAAACAAAGAGCCGGAAAGCGCCGTTGAAGGGAATCTCGTTTTCAAGGTGCACAACATTCGCATCCACGACGCGTGTGACGTTAGACGGGGGCATAATCCGGCCCGGTCTTAACTTCGGCGAGTCCATGATGATCAGTGGATGTTGGAAGGGATGCTCAGCTGAGTGATTGAAAATGTTCCCATTATACGCGACACCAAAGCCAGCCGTGAATTCGCAGTTCGCTTTGAACATCTCGACGAACTCGTTTTTGGTTTCTTGCTGGGTGTCGTCATTGTGACTTTTATGCGCCTTATCGACCTCCGTGGCTGTGGGCTGCCGCTTGGAGAAAAGCGCTGCATATTTGTTGTCGAAATTGAGCAGGGTCTCGGCGATGAATTTCCGCTCAACTTCGTACGTCGAAAGGACGTCCCGGCTAGCGAAGCCCGCCTCGACGACGTGCATTTTCCACGCGAAGTTGAGGGCGTCATGGAAGGCCGTGTTCATGCCCTGGCCCGCCTTGGGAGAGTGCGTGTGGCACACATCGCCGCCCATGAACACGCGGTGGTCGAGCGTGTACTTGTCCGAGATGCCCTGACCAATTGGGTAGACCGAGTACCACTCGACGCGGTCCCAAGTGCAGTAATATGGTTGGAAGATGCGCTTGGCCGCGGCTTGGACCTCCTCGACCGTGGCGGTCTTGCGCGGCGAAAAGTCCGGATCCGTACTGCTGGCGATCTGGATGTACAGGCGCACCATGTTGTTCTCGCGCGGGATGACCATGATGCTGCCGTGATCGGAGTGGATGGTGCATTTCATCTTGATGTCGGGGAAGTTGGTGCGCACGACGCCGTCCATGACGCCCCAGACGTGTGAGATGGGATCCTTATGTCGGATTTGTATGCCCAATGTGTCGCGGACGAAGCTGCGTGCGCCCTCGCCGCTGAAGAGATACTTTGCGCGAACTGTCTCAGTGACGTTGCTATCGAGGTTCTTGAGGTCGACCTCGACGGGGTAGTCATGGTTGATGTGGTTGGTTTCGAAGCGGGTTATGGTCCACGGTCGTTGAACTCGAGTACCGTTCTTTTCGAGGTCTTCGATGAAAACTCGCTCGATCAGACCTTGGTGGAGGAGTGCTGTGAAAGGATACCTTGCATCAAGAAAGTCTGGACAGCTGGCCGATGTACCTGTCCGTACGATTTTGCCTCCTGGCGCCGGATCCCAAAACGCGACTTCAAAAACTCTGGCAGGATCGTAGGCCATGATCTTTCGTTTCAGACCCATGTTTTTCAAGATTTCTAACGATCGTGGTTGTATGCCATCTGCCCGTCCTGTCGCTGTGGGCACGGGCCGGTTGTCGATGTGTCTGACATTGTAGCCCCATCTTGATAGTGCTACTGACAAGAGGAGGCCAACGGGGCCGGCGCCTATTATTACAATATCGTACAAGGGTATCTCTGGCATTTTGATCTGTATGATTGTGAGGCTTGAAGGAAGAGATGGGTTTGACTATGTCACAGAGGGCAGTTAGAAAGAGCCAAGCGCGGGAGTGAGAGAGCTTGATATGGTAGTCCAAGGCATAGCTAGCGAGGCAGAAATTGGGATCTAAATAGATGAGCAAACGTGGAATTAAAGCTTTCGGATCTTGACCATGGGAGATCGGCCAGTGCTCGGAGCAGTATCGAGGCCAGCATATTGAAGAGCAGCAAAGAACCGACAGGCTTTGCCGCTTAAGGAGAGCTGGGGGGGTAAGAGGGAGATATTCCGGGAAGGCCTTGGACACAATCGCCAAGGTCACAAAGTTCATTCAAGTGTCCAGTGAGCGATGACCTCGGCCGTCATGAACGACTGTTCAATCCGGAGATGTGGAGGGCACGAGGTCCACGAAGGTCATGGTGATGGATGATGTTGTTTTCGGGAGACGCCCCGCAAGTCGGATCTCGAAGACGGCAATCGAGGTGATCACGTGGATAGATCTGTTAGACGAGGAAACCCCCTAACCAGAAACAGGCTAGCCTGCTTGGCAGCTCGGCGTCTTTTCCAACATCCGACTACACTTTGCTCTGGAGTCCTCCTTTCCCTCCATTTGCATGTCTATCTCTAAAAGGAGAACACAATTTTGGATGTTGACATGCATGTTCTATTCAATACGGGCAGGCTAGTGGTACAACATGATATCTGGGTGTAGCTGTCTGCTGGTTCCCACTACATGGTGGATGATGAATACTTGCGAAAGATGAGGCTGGACTACCTGCTTGCTATCCCTTTGGTGGGTGACTCTTTGTCCGAGTGCACTCTCCAGTATGGCGGTGTCAGATATTTCTGAGCATTACCATCCGCCTTTCACTCAGCATTCAGGGTGAGAACGCTTCCTTGGTTCACTGTTGACAACCTTGTTATTCGTCCCTGGCGAAGAGAATAAAGAAGATTGTCCTTCCGAAGGCACCTGATTGTCCCTTTCTGAGTCTTCAGCATCTTACCGCCCTCCTCATCGGCATCGGCATCGGTGGCCGGAGAATGTATCCTCCGGCCTCACTTGGCAAGAGGGAAGTCCACCACCGTCTTCAGCACCATATCCATGTCCAAATGAATTAGAGACACTGACATCAACGCCTCGCCAATATCTCTCGCTCATCAGGCGAGGCGCAAAGGCACTTTCGTTCGTTCTTCCTCTGCCTTGTCGTGCTTGTGTGCTCTTGCTGTCAGTTTATCAAATTCCTCCTGTCTGGATTCGGACATGTCCTGGCCGTGAGATCACACGTCCACTCCTTACCACTCTCAGATTGTGCATACCCTCACCCACCAGCAACATGCCTGACATTGCCCACCGGCGCGTCTTCTCGGCGATGACATCCTCCTCCCCTAGCCCTCAGTACCAAAAACAGATTGAAGATCTTGGTGTCTTCGATGAAGAGTCCTGTCGATACTTCCTGCGCGAAGTCGGCACAAGAGTCGTTCCTTTCTACCCTTTCTCCTTCGGTATGGAAGAGGTGTACAGCCTGATACTGGAAAAGTATGGTTATGCTGGGTTGCCGGATGTCACCAGCGTTCTTCAAGATCTCCTTGAAAGTGAAGGTGATGCAGGCGGAATGGGAGATGACGGTGACATTTGGCGCTCCTGGCGTCACAGCTGGAGACACCGAAATGTAAGTGCATGATGGTCCTTACCGTGTTGTCGCCGACCCTTGCTAACCTTGATGGCAAGGATGACTCTCTCAACCCATTCATTCCCAAAGTTGGAAACTTCGTCCTTCAACCTCCGACACAACCACACATTCGACGTTTGAAGGCACAAAACTTCATTTACAAGGTCGAAAGATGCAATTCTTCGCGTGCGAAAAGAGCACCACTGGCAGAGGTATCTGGCAACAGAACAGCTCCGAACCCTTCTGTTACGACTGAGGTCAAGAGCGAGACCGTCGATGATGAAGAATCGTACGAGCTGCCAGCAACGACTTACTCTCACCAGAGGTGCCGAGCACTGTTAGCATCCGAACGCGGCTCGCCGTCGTCCAAATTTGTCGGAGGCGCTACAGCAAACGTCACAAGACAATCCGATGTGACAGAACAATCCTCGCAACAGGAGTTTGTCGAAGTCAGCGAAGCTCCCTTGGAGAACGAGATCGATCCCGCGCTCTTGCTTGCTTTCCAGATGCTGAACGGAAATCAGTCGTCTCCTACCTCAGAGCAGCCCTCACTGAGAGGTGGGCAAGGCGACATATGTAGACTTAAACAAGTCGAAACATCGCCAATATCGCTTCGCACAAATGAAGAAGAGTATACGCCTGTTCCCAAAGATTCATCACTAGAAAGCAGTCAGCGACAGGTCGAAATATCACCGACGTCGCCATGCACAACTGGAGAAGAGCATACAACTATCCACAAAGATTCATCACCAGAGAGCAATCGGCGACAAGAGATCATGATCGATCAAACGTCTCCTCGTACTTCCAACATCACGAACCCAGAGATTCTGGACAGTCTAGAAAAGACAAAGTCAACAGATGTTCCAAGTCAGCCAAACGATCACAGACCTTGTGCCAGAGTCATCTCCAACAGCCAAGAACCAAGCAAGCTGAGGCGCGCAAAGAATCGAGAAGCCAGATTGATTGATGGCAACATCATTCTTCCAGGACATCGTAAGAGGCTGTCATCACAACGGGATTCGCCACCTGAGAATGTGAATATCGGTGCAAACGTGGATGAGACAAGAACACAAGTGGCCCGTCGAAGCTGGACACCGTCTCGGCAGAAACATGAGTCGCCGCGCCACAGTTGGCTCCAATCTGTCCGCACCATTTTTCGATCTGGCAGCCAAGGAAAGAACAATGCCAAGTCACCATCCCGCAAGCCTACCAGTCCAAAAGGACCATCAAAAGGTGCTCATACTCAAGCTCAAGAGCCAGCTGCTGCTGCTGCTGGGAGGGCGAGGAATTCAAATTCTCAGGGTCATCATTCGCCCGTTGCTGCTGCAACTCCACCTCCACCTCCACCTCCACCTTCCTTCTCACATCCACAAGGCCTCGATGGTGCTCTTGATAGCAAGTATTGGGCTCGCCGACGCTATTCTCTGCCGCTCAGGAGGCTTTCATTGAACCTCAAGAAACGTTCTGCCAGTTGATCGTCCTAGAGAGACTGTCAAATCCTGAACTAGGAACAGAAACCGGTCCCCTAATCAGACACGAAACCTTGCTCAACCCACAACCCACAACCCAAATGTCGAATCACTGTCCCCATCTACCGTGCCGCGAACCTGATGCAGATGTCGAAAGCTAGTCGCCATCGGAAAAACACCACGAGCTGAAGAGATGAATTGTCGAGAGTTATGATCATGATGCAGGTTAGGAACGGAACTCCTCCTAGCCATCCATGTTGGATTTCGAAGCCGCAGGCGCGCGCACAGAGTCGACGGAAAATGTGCAATACCACGAATGAAAAGCGCCTGTATGTAATCGAGTACCGTCACAACCAGCACTAATAACCATTTGTTCAAAATTGAACTTGGGATTCGCAGCCTGTATTTGCATTCTTTCGTGATTCTTTGATTCACGAGCGTCCGTCAAAGCCCCCCCACCTCCTTCAGTATCGTAATGAGGGTTTTTATGTCAAGACGGGCACCATCACTACGGGTCTTAGCCGGTGATGACTTGACCTTCCCAAAGATTCATCTACTGCAGGGCCAGCTATCCGCTTTTCTACCCCAGCGGCGTTCCAGGTTCATGTGTACAGATACTGGTCGCCAGAAGGGTTCGACGAGATATATTTACTCCAATAAGTACTACACAGATGATGACACTTTTCATTCAAGCTTTCTAGACATTCACGTCGTCTACTCGTTTTCGTTTTATGCCGCTCAGATGTTCCTCCACAAACATTTTCGATGTCCTTGTCCAAAGCAGAAACCAATCGTTATGCTCGTCCGCATTTTCGCATCCTCTTATGAGAATTTTCCGTACTGTGCACCATCAAGCCGGGCGTCGTCCTCGAACTATCACGCGTCAGTAAATCAGCCCAAGTGAAAGAACATCAGAAACTTACATCCACGAATCCGCTCAATGTGACTAGACCCGTAAAACACCGCACGGACTCGGCTACGAGAGGACGAATTTTCTCATCAATCTTCCCGTTCACGCCTGCATATTTCTTGAACACGCCAACCATATTAGGTCGATACTCTGTCAAAAAAGTGCGCGCGAGGTACTGAATCTGCTCGTTTTGTGACCCATGGGAAAGGAAGGTTGAGAGTAGCACTCGTAGCGTGGAGGACAATAAGACGTAATAAGTCCGTAAAGCTGAGGCGCCCGAGTCGACATTGGAGAAACCAGGGTCTGCTTGATCATTGGCACTGGGTATCGAAATTCCGAGATCTGGGTCGGCTCGAAATAGCAGCGAATCGCGCACAGCAGACATCAAGCCTGCATCAAGCAGAGCACCTGCACCTTCCCGAGTCCGCGAAATCTGTAATAGAAGCAACATGCGTGACTCAAAGATGGAGAGGAGATAAGACCGATCTAGTGGCAATGAATATTAGCATGGCCTGGGAAGATTATCGGTGTGAAGACGGAAGACTTACGAGCTGGTTCTGAGGTCTGGAATTCGGTCGCGACATGTTTTAGGGATTCCAGAAGGATTTCGAGCACGTTGGCTTTGACGAAGGAGTTGACAATGTAAGTGGACTTCTCCATGCGCGCGAGGGAAGTGAGTAATGCCAGAAGATTCAGCGCGTTCAGCCGGCACGCATCAACACCATCTTCTGCATCGTCACATAGCACGGGAATGAGGCGTTGGCTTGCTGAACGAATGCAATCCATGCTGTTTTTGCGAGCCTTGGAATGTACGCCTGAGCCACTTTTATCGGGTGTCGCAATCCGTGCCAAATATTGCGAGCAGATGCTGTAGAATATCGTCCGCAAGCTGGGGCTTGAATTCGATAGTGGGATACCTTCGATAGAAGCTCGAAAGAGCTGGAATAATTTCTCGGTGATAATGTTGTCCATTTGCGTGTTGGTCGCTGCCGTTTTTGATAACGAAAACAAGAGCGCATCGGCCGCTCGTGCAATTTCGAGGACGTCTTCGGATTCGTCTGAGATGAGCACGTCGAGCTTCGGAAGCATAATCTGCAGTACATGCAAGATGAATTGTAGCTTTGCAGGTGGATCCATTGGGCAGGATTCAAGGATAGCAATAATCATCTCCACGTATTCGTGCAATGCATCGCTTCTGGCCCTATGCGCCACGATAGACCTGTTGCGGGCTTCCATCGTGGCGATAACGTAGTCGGCTTCGGCAATTAGTTCCTGTTCGTCGACCTTGCTACTGCTTATTGTGCCTGACTGCCTCTGCAACAGATCCGCCCGGTATGTTGAAAGATACTCCCGGATAAGTTTGATGTCGTACAACCCCGGCATGCGGTCGCTAGCCTCGGTCAAGTACACATCAACGTCCATGCCCACATAATGCTTGAGGTCCAAATCAAAAGATGAGGAGAGATCCAGTTCGAGAAAGTCAAAGAAGGTGAACACATCCGGATTTCTAGCGATAGTGCCGTCGAGATTGATGGTCTTTCCCTGTAATGTAGAAAGGGCTTGTCGGAGGGTGGTGGATAAGCCATCATTAGCAGCGGCTCTCAACTCAGCCGCAGTATAGTTGAATAGTGAAGCTCGGAACGCAAGAAACTCGGCAAGTGCTTCTGCAGAAGTAGTGTACCAGAAAGAAGGGTGGAAGACAGTGTTGCCGTCCCATAGAGTCTGTTGGTACACAACCGGCTGGCGGGAGTATAGCGATTGCAGGAATTGATATCGGCGGAGTTGACCAATAACGATATTCTGTGAGAGGTCCGAAGACCAGAGATGCCGAAGCACCCTCAGCGCTGCAGATTTGATGTGGATCAGCCAAGATGCCATAACACTCTCTTCGTGATCCGGATAGTTCAGCACTAGCTCAATAACAGAGTTGAAGACTGAAGTGCCGGCATCAATCGAATTGGAAACCGTCAAACGCTCTTTGAGCCTGCCGAAGCCGAGAAGAAGATGAGCAATATTTGGCAGATCGGGTTGCGTCTCGAGGCAGGCGTTGAGTAAAGCCAGCACGCCATCTTTAGTCAGATAACTGACTGATTCGAAGCCGTCTTCGAGCTCTCTAATGTCGAACAGCAGTCTCGAAGTCAGGTCTCTGGTAATTGGCTCAAGTTCAAAAGTGGCATTCGGACCCAACATGTCGATGAGTCTTCTCGCGCGACCGTGGATAGGATCCGACGCCAGGAAATGGTTGTTCAGTTTGGTTGAGCTGGAAAGCTTCTGGAGTAGTGCGAGAGCGCGAAGAGCAAGACCAGCCTGATCGGTGGCGGCGAACTGACAAAGGTTCAGTACAACTTCTGGGTGGGCAGCCAGGCCGTCCTCGATAGAGCCAACGTTCGACCGAGCAAATGAGCCGTCATAGGCCAGGCGAGACTGAATCATAGGCCTGACTATGTCGAAATAAGTTGGCTGTAGGTCGAGGACCCGGTTGACAATATCGATTGAAAGCTGCAGGCTCAGGAGAAGAGGAGAATCCGGTAGAGCATTTTCGATCGACTCTACAGGCACCCGCATGGATTCCATTAACGCCTTGTTCATCTCTGCGCTCAAGATCCATTGCATAAGCCTGGCGAACGGGCTGCGCTGCGCATACATGACCGCCGTTGGCGAGTCCTGGAGTGCATCTCGTTGTGAGCTTGCACGATCCATCATGACAACGAAGTCTTCATTGAAACTGTCAAGTCCAACGGCCATAAATTCCAGGCAATGGAAGGAAGCTATAGACCGCTGGACATCGTCAGTGATTTCGGCAACCCGTTTTACGAAGATTTGGCCGCAGACGAGATCAATGTATGGATCGATGCCGGGGCTTCTGTAGGATGACCCAAGGTCCGCCGGAAATGGCAACATGTCGCCCCCCAGCGATGTCGAGGGGAGACTGACAACGAGATCGCGCAAAAGTACCACGAACGAGTCGTATTGGTCGAAAGAAAGTGTAATGGCATTGAGATTGGCCTGCAGATCCGCCAGCGTCGGCTTGAAAGCCTGGGTTGTTTTGGTCACGGCCGACCGCACCATTTCCTGACCATTGGCAGCCCAATTGTCCAAGATCTGCCACATCGCGGAGGCCGTCTGTACAGACTTGTCAGTAAGCAGCGCGTCCAATGCCGCAAAAATGCTAGCTCGAAGATAGCTGGGCACTGGACCGGAGCTGAGTAGCAACATGGTTTGCGGAAAAGAAGGGAAAGCGGTCTCGAGGATGTACGGGCGAGTGCCGCTAGGTTGCCTGGTAAGATGAGCCAACAAGCGGAGATAGCAAGACAGCATGACTGGACTCTCAAGCTCGTTCATGTCGGTAGGATGGATTTTCCGCATGTTTGGCATCTGGGAAGACGTTGCGCGTTCATGGACCTTGTGCGCGTACAACTCGAGCTCGGCAAAAATTTGCTGGTAATTCATCGAAGGCGTACGTCGACCTCTCGTCGTGGTCGGCAAAGACTCGTCCAGTAAGAATTTGTGAGCAGCTTCAGCACATTCGTGATCTTCTGATATGGAGCACAATAATTCGCAGAATGCGCTGACACGAGGCACGGTCTGTCTTCTGGAAGCCCACTGTAGGAACCCGTACAGATTGCTGTCAGGATCTTCCCACCATTGCTCGGCAGCTTCAGGTCGACCTTCGAAGGCGAACGAGATAAGAACGAGGAAACACTCGAGATGTAACTTGTTCACAGCCCCTCCTCGATGCTCGGGAGGCAGTCCCTCCTGCAGTGTGACTAGCAGGTTCAATCTCTGGTCATCTTCCTCAGTCCTCAATCTTCGAATGGAGTCAGGCATGTTAGAGATGAAAGCCTCGACGAAATTCTCCAATGATTCCATGAATTGAAGTCGGAAGTATGAGGATGTCAGATCGCCCCCTTCAAGGCCAATGCTCGAACTTTCGCTGAGCAGTAGAGCAACCAGCTCTTGTCGAGCGGGATGCCGCCAGACATCAGAGTTGGTGCGTGTGCATATAGACAGCATCAATTCTAGAACATCCTCTTTCAGAGCTGCACTGACGGCACTAGCCCTCTTCTCGCTGCTAGCGTCCTGGTCCGTTAAATCACGGAACTGTCCACTGTACTCGACTGTCCACCACAAGCTCAGAATCGCCTGGAAAGGGCGGACCAAGGCTGAAGCAGGCTCATTTGGTAAGGGCGCAAATACGCTGTCGAGAGCATTTGTGCTTTCCCGAGAGAGATGACTACCTGGAGATCCACATTGCCGGAATGCCGCCGAGAAGGCCGGCAGATAGTGAATGAGATTGAAGTCAATGCGGTTCCAGCGCTTGACGGCGGCATGTAACTTGCGCAGATCCTCCTGATTGGTATAGTCGCCCTGGAACAAATAGGCAAGGATACAAGCTAAAGCCTCGTGCTGTTTGAAAAGACTGTCTCTTTGAAATTCCAGGGTGGCATAGAATTCTGGTCCACGAGGGCCACCCAGGACAGCCTTACTCTGAAGTGCGTCTGCGACCTTTGTTTGTAATCTCTCAATATCCTCGAGGGTATTTAGGCATTTTCTCGCAAACAGAGACCCATTGTTCGTGACTCCCCCATCGACCTCCAGCACTTTCGCAACAGTGGTCTCGAAAAGTTGTCTGACACCGCCCTCGGCTTCTAGACTCAGAGACTGCTGAAGGGTGATACGTAATGACTGGAGGAGAAGGTCGCGGCGATTGTGGTAGCTGCTAACAACGTCCGTCACTAGGGACTCGTCGCTGGAATTCGGATCTGCTTGAACCGCAATGAGTAAGCGGCCAGCCTCAATTTCGTCGAGGTCGAGGGTTGTTGCGATGGCTCGGCTTATGTGTTTGAAGTCGTCGTTCACACTGTACTCTTGGTCATCCACAGTGATTTTCCCTGTTGTATCGGTTAGCAGGGCTCTCTGTTCTGGCAAAGCAGCGCAGTCTTACCGCTGTTGTAGGCTTCCCTCTCAACGGCCGAGGATGTGGTCTTGTCGAGCAGTCTTCTGAAATCTTCAAGGCTATCCTCTAGCTCTGACCATAAACGGTCGATGTTGGCGAGGCGCGTTTCCGAGAAGGCTATCAAGTCGGCATGAAGACCCTGCAAGCGTACCAGACTCTCCATTGCTGAAAGGATGCATACAAGCCTTCATCGAAAGCAATAACGCGTCAAGAAATGCCTGCGTCGCGTGTGCGGCATCTGAATTGACCTTTGTTCTCGAAAATTGAAGCCGCAGTCAAAGCCCGTTGGCCTAAAAGGGCTAGCGTGAACATGTCCGCCAAGCCATGCCGACTGGCCGAGCTGCATCTTCACTCCATGGCGCCCTTCTCAGATACCTACCTGAGGTAGCAAACAATCAATCACTTTGTCTTTACCGAAGGCTTCGTGGTCACTATTATTGAAGATATGCCTTGCTGTGCAGAGGAGTCTCGCTGGCTGGAGAGATGGCGGATGTCAGCAATATTGGATCAGCCATTGGTACGCATTGATCCTGCTGAGAGCTCCCCTATTGCTCAGCCTTGTCAACTAATGTTTCCATTCAGGCAAACTCGAGGCCGACACTCAACGCGCGAGAGCTGAAGGTCTTGAAGGTGAGTCAGCTCTTCATCATGAAGCCATTCTAACTCATCCTTCTAGACCTGAAACGTCTTCTCGGGCAGGAGCGACTGGCATCCAGACTGTAAGGACACGACTCAGTGATGATACTCCTTTCAGAACTGACACGTTTTGCCAGTGCTAATATTGAAGACGATGATAAAGATGATGTCTTTCACAAAATCTTCGAGTCGATCTACAAAATTGTGGCCAGAGAGAAACCAGCATTCATTCGCGCCGCCAAGCCAACAACAAAGAATAATGCCGCGTCCCGTTTGGAAGTCGCTGCTGCGGCCTTCCGGGTCACCGTCGAGGCAGGAACATCCGAAGTCTCTTTCAAAACTGCCTTGTCAGTGTTAGATCACATAATCGACACTTTATTCTTGTCAGACGGATCTTTCTGCCAGCCTCTCAAGAGTGACTACCTAAAGAGCTTCCGGACTGTGTTGGAATATGCCCCACATGCAGAACATCTGCGGCGCAAGCAGTGGCAGGGCTATGTCGATTTCACCGTAGAAGCACTTTCCTTGGGCCTCGAGGACGAGTCGGCAGGTGATGGCCTCGCATCCAGTCGCGATACCAGCATGGCTTCGAGATCTGGGCAGCCACTATCCAGTCGCCTCAGTCAACGAAGCAACAGAAGCACCGGAAGAGAGACTGTCTCACATGCTGAGGATCTTGCAGCCGCGTTGAGGAGCCTTACTTCCGTGACCAGTGCTCCGATCATGTCACGTTCAGTAGCTATCGCTGAGACAATCCTAGCTCTGTTGAAGTCTGTCACCAGAGCTCAAGAGGCGGCTTTTGAAGTCTTGAACAACACCCTTTTCGTATCGCTGACCGAGGATGTTGCATTCACACAAAAAACGTTGTCTGACCTGATACCAATCATGCGGAGATTATGGTCGAGCAGGTCGAGCTTACTTCGGGAACAAATGCTCGTCACTTTATACACTTGCCGGTACTTCTTCCTCTCTACAGGCGATCCCTGGCTTCCAATTGAGCCCCACCATCGCCAATCTCTGTTAAACACAATTTTATCAGAATATCGAACCAAGAATGAAAGGGAGATCCTCCATTTTGATGACATGCGGCCGCTCCGAGGAGAATGCAACCAGTCTCTGCAGCTCAAGCAATTCATACCTGTTCGAGACTCGGCTAGAGCTCTATCAGGTTTTATGACCCTGTCGATTGTCTCATGTCTCGTTATGGGATTAAGTCAGCAGAGTCAATCTACACATACGCGGTCTTCTGACCCGAAAGAAGAAACGCCTCGAAAACGACAAAAGGTTCAAAATGTCTTTGACGAAACTTTGCAGAGTGCAACACTTGGGACAGGACAGGAGAAACTGGTCTCGCTACAAGTCCTCCTCTTCCTCCTTGATCAGCCCCAACCTCCAAAGGACGAACAACTCAGCGAATTTTCAAGTCTGATGCCCGCTTTGAGCCATAAAAACGGCAATGTGCAGTCGTGGGCTTTCCTGGTGTTCTCGCAACTGTTACTCCAAACACACTCTGCCGTTAAAGGCATGCTTATCGACTGGGTGCAGGTCCGTGATGCCGCTCAGGCAGCACTATCCACCCCCACCGCAGTCAGAGCGGCGTGCCACTTGTTGACTGTCATCCTCGAGACACGAGTGCTTGGATCGGCAATGACTGCTGCCTCGCTCGATAAGGCTGTATTCGGGGGCCCGAACAGCGGACCGTGTGCTTTCATGGATACCGCTTTGATTTTTCTGACGGCTTCTTTACGGTCTGGTCTATTCGATGATGATAAGCGCTTCGAGGCTTTCAGTCTCAAGGTCATCAGCTGGCTAACACTTCGTTGGACTCTTCCATCTACACTCGATCGTCTTTACAATGCACATATCGCTTTCCACGGCCGGGCTGAGCTCTTGTATACCCTGCTGGCCTCAATTTGTGGAGCTTGGGACGCTATCACGCTTCGAGAGGACTGGTCACCTGCACACGCTCTGTGGAGAGCGTCATCAATGACTGCGGAGAACCTTGATTTCCTGCGCTATCTGCTCTGCATGCCGCATCAGGAGGTTGAGCCTGGCCTTCCAGCCAAGTGTGACGCCCAGCAGATTGATCCCATCACTGCTTCACGTTTAGCCCGAGCTGTCTTGAGCTTCATCAATCGCCGCTTGACAGACTTTATGCAATCCTGGAACACTATTTCCGCGGAGAGAAGCTCGAATATTACGAATGATATTGTAATGATCGTTGGGGTGGCGTCCACAGTGGCGTCCGGCGTATGGACCCGATGCGGCAAACTCGTTCACGACTCTCACCCTGAAACGGCTTCTTCCGAGAGCCGCAATATGGTCGAAGCCTTCGTAAGCGAACAGAGTGACGACTCCTTCAAAATCACCGTCGCTCGAATTTGCGGTTCGGTTCTGCACTTATACGATCAGATTCTCATGGCCCAGGAAGAGGTCATTCCTGCAACATATGCGCCTTGCATAGAGTCAGCATTGAGGCTAAGTAGACTGCTTTCCGCTCAGCACACGACAACTCACAACGCGAAGGACCAGTCGGATTTCGACTTCATGGATGTGGATCTGTGGGACTCTCAGACTAACCAGAGAAGTCAACTTGGAACATCTCCTCACGCTATGAGGCTCGACCTACCACTTTGCCCCGATGTGTCAACACTGCTGGCAAGAAAGAAGCTGGAGCTGACTACAGCCTTGCAAGTCGTCAAATCTGATCGTACCCTGGACCCGGCAACAGCTTCGACGGTTGTGGATGAGATTCTCTCATTGGACTCGTACTCACTACTTGCTGCACGAGGGGCGGTACGAGACTTCCTACGTCTCAACCCTGGCATTACCCGCGCCGATGCATATCGGCTACTTAGCGACATCGGCGAAAAGTATCTGCAGGAATACGATTTCGAAAGGTCTGAGTCCGCTCTAGATTTCTGCCTGACTACCATGCACGGGCTTGCAAGACTGTGGGCGTCTCCGGAAGAGGATGACAAGCTGTCGGAGAGGGCATTGGACATCTACGATTGGTTTCTCAATACTGCTCTCGGCAAACATATTGCCAGCCCCAAAGTACTCTCCGTCATGACAGATCTACTGGATCTACTGTTGAGGGAGAACGCATCATTTGGTGGCGAAGAGCTACCGTCGCCCAGAACGAGCCTGTTACAAATTCTCAATGTCAGTAATGCGGCGAACAAATATGCGGTAGCAGAGATATTGGCCCACATTTTTGAGAAATACATTCTGAGTCAGCACGATGCAATCTTCGACGACATTATTGAGAATCTGCCAGCAGATCCTGACAGCAAGGAGGGCATCGCTGTACGTCTTCACGTCGTTGCGACTCTTGGGGCTCGATGGCATACTGTCCTGCGACAGGCGACTTACCATCTATTTGAGACGGTCGCGAACGTACCGTCAACGACGCCCTTAGCCACTATGTGCGTCGCAGAAACTTGTAAGAGGCTTGGGCTCAAACAACCAAGGGAGTTATTCCGTCTGTTCGCGCCACAAATATTCTACACTTGGCTCGCCAGTGGGACCTTGGCCAAGATTCCGTGTCTTCCTTTTGGCTACAGCTCGCTGAAAGAGCTGGCTTTGGATAATTTAGCAGAGCTCGTAGGCCAGATCGCACTTCGAGGCTCCAGTCACGCCGAGGAGCTTGCCAAACTGGTAGAGCAAGAATGGAAGTCCCTACTGACGGACCAATTCTCTCACGCTGAAGCCTATACACTTTCATCCGAAACTAGTGTGCCTAAGCAAGAGCGCCTGCACGATGGATCAGAGAAATTGATACGGAAACAACTTGGGTCCGATGCCTATCTACGGCTTTTGCGCAACAACCTTCCAGACATCATCGCTCGCCTCATCATATGCCTGCAAGACGACCGAGGCATCGACAAAGCGTTTGAGAAGAATGACCAGATACCAGCCCTGCAAGCTTGGCAAGAAATGTCCACCAAATCGAATACAAATACACAGCTTCCACTGTCGCAGCAGCCCTCGTTCCGCGCAAGATGCCTCCTCGACGAATTGAATTACTTGTATCAACGTCTCGACACGCAGCCAAGCCAAGTGTGGACTTCGGCGATGCTGATCCACGTCTACAGGCAGCTTCTTGATTTGGCAAACCCAGTACTAGGGTCATTGCATATTTGCAGCATTGTACGGAAGATCCGCATTGCAGTCAGTCTGGCCAGCTCCGTAGCTCTAGAAGGATACCCCTTGGAGATGGTTCTGCACAATCTACGTCCTTATCTGACTCTTTTTGACTGTGCCGAAGATACGATGGGTATCTACCGGTACCTGCTCGTGCATGGAAAACGTTATCTCAGCGCCAACCTCTCGTTCATCGCAGGCTTAGGAGTGGCTATTTTTACCTCCCTCGTCGGCTTCATCAAATCTTCGCAAAACAGCACGACGCAGGAGGTCCATTTTGTGGCTACAATGAGCAAAGCACAAGAGTTTAAGAGTTTCCTCGGTCAATATCTGGAGTCAATAGATCTTGCAGATGAGACAGAGGAAATAAGGGGGACTTTCCGATCTCTGGTACAGCATGCGAGAGCTATCGCATCACCAGGGAATAGCTCCAAGAGTTCTAGCGAGGGATGCCTGCTGTATGTCCTTCTCTCAGATCGGAACACAGAAGCTCCGCTCCTGACCGACTTGCACTTTGATCTTGCTATCGGCATCTTGTGTGAGAATTTCTCACCGGCACCAGAGGCTTCAGATGACATTCTTGGAGACGACGGCGATGCAAAACAATTTTCTCCTATCTTGAAGACGATTCTTCGAAGACTCGAGCTGAATCAATCATTCCGCATTTGGGCTGCTGAGGTCATCGGCCGAGGGCACATTATGCAAGGCTTAATGTTCAATACCAGGAGCGAGAAGTCGAGAGACTACCCTTCAGACACCACTTCGGTTGAGCAAGACCAGGATGCCATACATTCATATACTAGCATCGTGGAATATCTTCAGGACTTGGTCTGGAGATCTGACTTTTCTGCATCGACTTTTGCTGAAAGAACCCTGCAACTGATGTTCAGTGGTCTTTCGGAAAAAGACCAAGATGTGGTTCTTCAACCAAAAGTGGACAGGGTCTTTATTGGGCAACTCAAGTTCAAGCGGTTCCCTTGTCCCACCATTGCGTATCTTCCATTCTCCGACAACAGCGCAGCATATCAGCCCCAAGCTCACGAATCTTCCTGTCGCCCTCATGAGGCCTGGGCCACAAAGATCATCGGAGAAATATGTGAAGCGGCTGCGCGCGATCCTGTGCTGGGATTCCTGAGGCCTCTGACACATGCGCTTCCGGCATCAGCAGATATACTGCTGCCTTATGCAGCTCACCTCATTCTGCTAAATGAGGCCAATGCTCAGCCCACTTTCAAGGAGAAACTCTCGCAGGAGTTTGCGAAACTTCTTCTTCCGGAAGGAAAATCAAACCAGAAAGCTCGACAATTGGCACTCAAAGTCCTTCTGTATCTGCAGCGATGCCGATATCCCAATGAACCTAATTTGAGTTCACGCTACTCGTGGCTCGATGTTGACTTCGGTGAAGCTGCTGTCGCAGCAGCTGACTGCCAGATGTGGCACGAAGCGCTCCTCCTCTTAGAGCTGCAGCAATCGCAGAGTCAGCTTCAAGCTGGACGCTCTTCTCGGCGATCCTTTGCCATGAGTAATGCCGTGCCAAGCGAGGTCGTCTCAAAAATCTACGAGAACGTGGATGACCCTGATTTCTTCTATGGAAAGCAGGAAGATTTTGATCTCGCCGCAGTCATTGGCAAAATGAGCCATGAAGGAGCAAGTCAGAAATCTTTGTCCTTTCACAGCGCCATGCTTGACTCCCAGATCAAGTTGCACAGCCAGGGCCAGTCGTTGGCGGTGGTCGCCCAAATGACTGCGTCGACGCTGAGTGCGGCCAACATGCAAGGAATATCCGAGGCCGTGAGGCAGCACTACGATACTGTTAGCAGCATAGCATTGGGTCAAAACGAGTCTGGCGTGCGGCCTGGTGAGTTTTGGGATGTGCAACCCGCAGAAGACCGGATGATATCTTCCAAAAGCATGAGTTTCTTCCTCCGTGACTTGCATATAACCTCCAACAAAGAGAGCGTAATTCTCGAAATGGATCGCGCGTTGCTCTCGCATGTTGATGATATCAAGTCCCATGGCTCTGACAAAAGTCGAACTAGCAATGTTTTGTCCCAATTAGCCGCCTTTGCGGAGGTAAAACAGATCTTGAAGTCGAAGCGACCGGAAGAGTTGGAGGTTGTATGGGCAGCAATTGAAGCAAGAGACGACAAGGTCAAGCTGGCAGAGTAAGTATAGCTTGGCATATGAGCGTCCGTGAATCTACTGACACCAACAGATTCGAAAGATTGTCGCCGATTCTTGTCGGCAGAGAAGCCGCGTTCGCCGCTATACGTCGGAACCCCAACATGCAGACTACCTTCTCCCTGGGCTCGAAACAGGCACTTCTTAATGAAATCCGAGCTGCGAGGCGTTCCCTCATGATGGCGTCGAACTTTGACGCGCACCAATTCTGTCTGAATCGGACCTTGTACCTATCAGAGTTGAATCAGCTGGCCCTGCAGTCTGAAGTGAAGGTTGATGTCGCCATTCAGTACGATCTTGCGAGGACGTTGTGGTCGCAGGATGAGACTTCAACCTCCATTGGTATCCTACAGAAGTTGAAGGATCGAAACGACGCTGCCAAACAAGCCATAGCGATCACCAGAGCAGACATCTTGACCGACCTCGGACATAAAATTGCCGAGGCACGCCTTGAGAAACCGGATGAAATCATATCACGGTATCTTGCGCCGTCCTTCAAGGAATTACATGGTCGTGGGACTGGCTCAGAGGCCGGCAGAGTGTACCACAACTTCGCTGCCTTCTGTGACACGCAACTTCAGGACACCGACAACTTGGATGACTTCACTCGAATTAGCAAGATCAGAGATCGTAAGTTCCAGGAAGTCCACGACCTAGAACAAATGTACAAGAACAGTCCAGATGAGAAGCAGAAGAAACAGTTGGGGACACATTTACAACGAGCGAAAACCTGGTTCAAGATCGACGAGGAAGAATGGCAACGTGTGCAGAAGAACCGAGAGGAACTCATTTTGAATTGTTTGGAGAACTATCTCCTTTCGATGAGAGCATCCAATGAGTATTCCAACGACACTCTTCGATTTTTGGCCCTGTGGCTCAATCAGGCCGAGAGCTCCAAGGCCAACGAGGTTGTTGGCAGGCACTTGGCCACGGTGCCGACTATCAAATTCGCCCCGCTCGTCAACCAGCTATCCTCACGGCTGTTGGATGTCAAAGACAGCTTCCAGAAGCTTCTCATGGACCTGATGTTCAGGATCTGCTCGGATCATCCATATCACAGTTTGTACCAGCTCTTCGCAGCCAGCAAGAGCAAGGGCATGAAACAAGATGAGATCGCTGTCTCTCGTAACCTTGCAGCAGTCCGACTGTCTGAGATGGTCAACAAGAAAAGTGTTTCGGCCGCCATCTGGGTTGCCCTCCATAATTCTTGCATCCAATATCACCGAGTTGCCACAGACAGACTGTCTGACAAGGAGCTAAAGACAGGTTCAAAGATTCCATTGCGAAAGCTCCCGTCAGGTCAGAAGCTGGAGAACGTCTTGTCCGACGCTCACACGAGAATCGCTCCTCCAACGCTGAACATACCTCTTCGCCCTGATCGTGACTACTCACAAGTGCCTACCTTCGCCAAATTCGAGCCCATGATTTCTATTGCAGGAGGAGTGTCAGCACCCAAAATCATAACGGTGATTGCATCGGATGGCTCCCGACACAAGATGTTACTGAAAGGTGGTAACGACGATCTACGTCAAGATGCCATCATGGAGCAAGTCTTCCAGCAGGTTTCAGAGTTGCTGAAAGACCATCGTGCTACCCGACAGCGCAACCTGGGCATTCGGACCTACAAAGTCATTCCACTGACGACGAATACCGGCATCATCGAATTTGTGAAGGACACCATTCCTCTGCATGAATATCTTCTCCCTGCTCATGCGCGATATTTCCCGAAAGACTATAAACAGATGAAATGTAGGAAGGAAATTGCAGACGCGCAGACCAAACCACTCGAGCAACGCATCCGTGCCTACCGAAATGTCGCGGCCAACTTCCATCCTGTCATGCGATTCTTCTTCATGGAGAATTTCCCCGACCCAGACGATTGGTTCTACAAGCGGCTCAACTACAGCCGCTCTACAGCTACTATCAGCATCCTTGGCCACGTCCTCGGCCTCGGCGACCGACATGGCCACAATATCCTTCTCGACGAGAATTCTGGGGAAGTTGTTCATATCGACCTGGGCGTGGCTTTCGAAGCAGGCCGGGTCTTGCCCATCCCTGAGGTCGTCCCCTTCCGCCTGACACGTGATCTCGTTGACGGCATGGGCCTGACCGGCGTTGAAGGTGTGTTCCGACGATGCTGCAATTTCACGCTTGAAGCTCTGCGCCGTGAGCAGGAAGCTATCATGACACTCCTGGACGTTCTCCGGTACGACCCGCTGCATTCATGGTCTATTTCGCCGCTACGATTGCAGAAGATGCAGGAAAACAATGAGCAGGCTGAAGCTGCGGCGGGTGCTTCTGTTGTTGCGGGTGTTGGTGTCGCCGTGGTGCCGAATGACATGGCTACCAGGAGGGATGCAAATGAGCCGAGTGAGGCAGATCGGGCATTGACGATCGTTGCCAAGAAGCTCGGAAAGGCATTGAGTGTGGAAGCTACTGTCAACGAATTGATTCGGCAAGCGACGGATGAGAGAAATCTGGCGGTGTTGTACTGTGGTTGGGCGGCATATGTATGATGGATTCTCGGAGCATGGATGCAGTGAATGCCTGTACAGGAAGGGACGTTAAGGTCCATGTTTCTCAACTAAATTCTAAGAATGAGTTGGATCGGATTAGCAAGCGGGCGTTTATAGGGGATAATATATAGATGTGGACAGATTCTAGGATCGGAGACTTCGACTTCCACGTCTGCACAAACTCAATTGACTATACAATAAGAATACAAGAATACAGGCGTTGCCGCTTGCCGCCCATTTTTCCCCATCCTCCCAGATGTAGCAATATCATATAAGCCGGCTGGCCCCACAATGTACAAAGATTGGAAAGACATCATACGTGACTCGTACACAGCAGAATCCAGACCATCATGATTACAATAAGAACAAACTCGATCAACGATGCGGTCCGGCTAACCTCACCTGGCACAGGGAACGCCATCGCCTCGCTCATCCGCATATCTCTGTACATCCTGGGGTCACCGTCGACCGTTCCAGGCAAAGGAGAAAAAGGAAAGTGACATAAACCCGTGAGGGTACAAGTTCAAGTCCCACAGCCAGGGCAGCGGCAGCGGCATGGGGATGGGGATGGGGGGTGGAGTCCGAGTATCAAACTTCCCATCCATCGTCCGCCCAGCGACTCGTCCATCCCGCGGCTTTCTTGTCCGTCAACCAGGGCGCTTTGTGCCCCGAGTTGCCATTTCCAAAGGCCTTGTTGTACCCCAGATTCCAGCGGTCCTCGACTTCCATCAACATGGCCTGCTGGGGCTGCGCGTGCGGCGGGATGGGCACCTTCGGTTTCGGTCGGCGCCCGCGAGGTGCTTTTGGGCCGCTGGTATTGCCGGCCTTCGTGGCGTCGTTCTTCGTCGCGCCTTCTTTGCTGGAGGGTTCGTTCGATTCGCTCTTCTCCACGTCCTTGATGATCGCACGTAACTCTTTATCGTCATCGGTAATCTGCGCCCGAATGTATCCTATATCAACGCCGCCCGCGCCGTTCAAGGTTGACATGACGCTCTGCCGGGGAGTGTACGTGTACTGGTCCAGATTGATCGGCCCTGTCTTGGGAACCGTCACAGGATCCAAAGACGCCTCGCTTCCCTTCGCCAGAAGTTGGTTGATATCCAGACTCTCGCCATGCGGAATCTTCTCAGGATGGCTCGGCGTTACACAGTCCATGTCGACTTCTTTACGGAGCACGTGGTCAATATCAACCGCCGAAAAGAACGCACATGATTGTGGCAAGTCCTCAATGCCCATTTGCTGGCTGAACATCGCCCTCGTCCACACGTTGCTAATTTGCAGAGCGAGAGCGGCCTTATACCGATCTTCGTGCTTGACGAGGTACCTGATCTCGTCATGGACGGTGATAGCGAGGCGAGCGTCCATGTTGAATCGGCGGATGAGGTAGTCCATGCTTACGATCAAGAGGTGCAGATAGTCGACTCCAGAAGATTGAATGGCCCAGTTGATCCGAGAGGTCATGAAGGAGCCTTGGTTGATATATCGTCGCATTAGTGCTTCAGTGATACCGGCGCCAAGGACGGGTGTGCGAGGACGTTCTTGATCCGCAAATTCTTCAAGCTTGTTGAAGACAAATGATTCAGTGCCACCACGCCAGAATGAGCCATGGCCGAATACTTTACGTCTCGTACGAGTTCCTTTTGTCTCTTTGTAGAGTCTCGCAGCGATCTCGTTGGTCTCTTTCTCGGACAGGAGGGGATTGAACTGTCGAAGCAGTTGAGCGGCGAATCTGAGGCCAGCACCGTAAATACGGCCGTAGTTGAAGACCTTGGCATCATTTCGAGAGATACCAAGAATCTTTGCCGTCTTTGAGTGCAGGTCGGTGCCGGCAGCCTTAGTACCTTCCAAAGTCATGAAGCCGATGGCATTGCCACCGTGAAGCTGGAATTGAGCATCACCGACTAATGATGCGATCCAGAGCTCTTGACTGTCGACATCCGCCCCAACGAAGCAATAACCTGGAGGAGCTTTGACCATGGCTTTGAGCTCAGAACCAACGCGGTTGGCTTTGGCATTGGACGCGGTGAGCCATGTATTCTCCACTGCTCGGCGAGTAATAGTACCCATAGGGATAATTTGTGGCAAGATGAACCCTTGGTCTGTCTTTCCTGCCAGGGAAGGATCCCTATCAGCCTCTTTCACAACCATCTGAGAAGTGATTCGATCTCTTGCAGAGATCCAGTATGAGCACGAGGCGTTCATTTCCAGGGCCTCCTTCGCAAGCGCAAACTGTGAAGTCAGCGTGCCCGACTCAAAATATTGCAAATAGCCTTTGGCAAGGGGCGAAACACAGCGAGCTGATGGGCCGTCCTTGTGGGGGAGCTTGAAATAGACGTGCTTCATATCTGACTTCAAAGTCTCGTTGGTCTCCTCCGACATATCGGCGCTGACCACATTGCTGTGCTCATATTTGGGAACGTCTTTTTGCGGAACTCGGAAAGTCCAACCGTGCTTGTCGGACCACACCAGCGGGTGTCCATCCCAGGAAAGTTTTAGCAACACAGGAGCGATCCTCGTTCGGACGGTCAAGTTGATCGGGGAGGTATTTGAAGTGAACAAATCTTTGTACCAGTTCGGTGCGCCTGGCTTTTTCTGTCGAGCAACCGGAACTGGTTCTTCGCCCTTCTTCTTCGCCTTCTTATATTTGATCTCCTGCCCGGCCCAATCCAGCTGGTTCAGCCAGGGATCATTGGTGTATATATCGGGCTGTTGCTTCACTGCTAGAGCTGCTTCAGTCAATTGTAGCAGTCTGTCCTCCACGTCCTTCAATCTCTGCTGATATGTGTTCTCAGCCCGTTCCAAGTACTCATCCCAAGACTTATCGACAGGCAAGATAACAGATGAGAGGTGTCTGAGAGCGCCGAAGCTGACCGGGTGAGGACAGGTCTCGAGGAAGTTGGGGAAGACTTTTTGAAAGACCCTATGCGTGATCGCAACATCGGCGGCGCAGTAGTCGAGTAGCTCGTCAATCTTCTCACGAATACCGTCGCGATCCAATTCACCAAAATAGTCTCGCTGGCTTTTGTCGATGGTGACACCGCAGTGGAACTTTGCGACATCACGCAAGGAATTGACGGAACTTCTCCCGACCCACAATTCCTCCTCTTCCTCGCTCAACATTTTGCTCTCCAGCATTCTCTGAAGCTCCAAAGAATTGTGATCGCCAGCCATCTTGTCTCTCAAATCCCGATTCTTCTTATGCTTCATCCAAGTGGGTCGCTGCCTCGAACACATGCCATTGACCGCGACATGCAAAGACATGGTATCAATGAAAAAGTTCTTGGACTGTTTGAGATCGTACTCCTCCTTGACCCGTGCTCTGTCGTAGCCAATGTTGTGCCCTACCACGATCCGCGGCTTTGTGGGATCACCCAGCGGAATAAGTTGCCTCGGATTTTGCGACTCTCCAAGCAGCCAGGGCGATATCCAAGCGTACCAAGCATCTGGACTGGCAGCGGTTGCCATGACCGCGAATGGTGTTTCTCTCCACATTGTCTCGACATCGAAAGATAGCATAGTCTCGTCCGGCGCATCCACCTCTTCCGTCGTCATATCGGAATTGTATTTTGTCCATCCGCTTCTGATGATCCATTTTCGGGGCCTTTGCGGTGTGTTTGCCCGTACAAACGCCTTGCCGTAGGAGAGATATGGTTCGGAGCCATCCAAGCCCAACTTCGTGAAGTGTTCATCCAAAGTGGCACCGAAGATAGGTGGCATGTCCAACCCAATCCCGGGTGTGTTATCTTGATTCTTGCCCAACAGTTCATGACGACGCAGATGATCTTTGGCCAATTCCACTAGGTCAGCCCTTGGTCGCGTGGCACCCGTCGGAAAGACTTGGGGATGGACATAGTCGCTCAATTGTTGCACACCAATGTCGTTAAAGCGAGAATGCGCTATCCGCGCAAGGCTATTGTTCTGGTCGGTGGGAGGAGGTGTCGTGGGGTGATAAACGTTGCTGGCATAGTGTCGCCGGAGGAGGATGACAGTTCGAGACGCATACGGCTGGCGTATTCTGAACTTCTGGGAGGTTCTGATATAGCCTCGCGCACATTGGCCGGGCGTAGGGGGCCACCGCATCTATGCGACAGGGCTTTCACATCAACTCGACATTGTGAAGGACACTCTGGCTGAAGCGTGAAGATGCGAGCCTTGACGTCGAGATGCAAGGCTCAGGAGAGGCAAAAGTCAACGTCCTCACGTGACTAGTCTTCAGACCGTAGTTTAGCCGGTGACATTCGACAAATCGAGAGAAGACGTCGACAAGATGAGATTGACCGAGTTTCCACTGCAGAAAACCGGTTGATCTGAGTTCAAGTTGCAGCAGCTGAGAGCTTGCCGGGGCGTTCCGTACACTACTCAAAAGAGGCGAAGAGCGGAGCCAGAACAACTGGAAGGGAGGACATATATCCTGACATCGGATCTCGAAAAGACTTAGTATGGCGTTCAACGCAAAGAATCTGGAATACGACAAACATGAACCCTCCTTCCTCCGCAAGTTGCGAGGAGAGTACGGTGGCCTCGATGGACGCCACAATGTCCAGATCGCTCGGCCAAAGAAGGATAGACTAAAAACGGGAGACGGCGACGAAGACGAGCCTGTCATTCTGGATGAAGCAGGCCAGATAGTCGAAAAGTCCGAATTCGAGCGAAGACTCAAAGGAGACGACGGGATCGATCCAGACAAGCAGCCTAGCGTGGAGGAACTTAAGGACGAAAGCGAAATCGGCGGAGAAAACGAGCAGCAAAGCGAAAGGCAGAAAGTCACCGAGATTGGCGGGCCAGCGCACGTGAAGAAGCGCAAGGCTGGGAAAGTAGTAGGGGACGATGAGGACGAAGCAGATGAAAAAGCGGCAGCGAGGAATGATGCGAAAATCGAAAGGACCACCTACGATAGTGGCGGGATTAAGGATACGAAGACGAAAGGCCCACCCAAGAAGAAAGGCAAGAAGATCAAACTGTCTTTTGACGACGCAGAGGGATGAAAGCAGTATCATGATGACCAACAACACTTCGACCGCTGCCGTGATGGTTGAAAAGGAGACTGAAGATAAGAGCATTCTCGGTTTCTGAAGAGTTAATCTAGAGCCCGTTGCGGCCCTGAGGAGGAAAGGGCACCATTACAGTCCATTCAATTCGCCGACGATCAGACGGGATGAGCAATGTCGAGTCCCTTTCGAGCACATCGATTCCTCAATTGCTGGAGTGTCCTTGGAGCCGGTATTGCTGAAGCCTTGTGAGATCCCTCCTCAAGTCAGCTGAATTGACGAGGGAGCCCTTTATCGGTTGTGCATTCGACAGAGATGCCGCAGGTGCATACAGTAATCGCAAATACGGCATTACCGCACAGTCCCGCCTTCACCAGGTCATGGCCGTTGCGCCCGCGGACAAAAAAAGAATCCAGAAGCATGAATAGTCTTCCAAGAAGTTAGGAAAGGTGACTCCAGATGTTGAACATCCGGAGTGTACTCTTCGAACCCTCCCGGAAGCAGGGACTGAGCCAATTCACCGGTGAGACCTCCTGCCAATCCGCGAGGTCTTATAGGCTGGGGAGATAAGCAGTCGTGCAAAATACGAGTCTTGGACCGTCGGGCGGCAGCACGTCTGCCTGCATTTTGCCAGATGTGCTCTAGTCAACACCCGGTGGTAGCAGGCCACAAGCCTCCCATCACGCAAGTCATGAACCATCGAATGGCTTTTCTTATAGATCTATGGACTAAACCCGTCCGAGGACACTTCTAGTTTGTCTTCAGCGTCTTCTGCTTCTCTGCTTCCCTCCCACCCCGTGGGCCCTTGACAAGCAGCCCCTTCCTCCGCCTCACAGAATCAACATACCGTTTCGCAACGTTCTCGCGTTCCCCATGCACGCCCAAATCCTCGAGCTCCTCTTCGGTCCGAGGCACCCAGAAGGGATCGACATCATCAATCATCTCGAACCCGACGAACTTCAACATTGGCTGTGCCAGCCCGGACGTGCGTTTCCTGATCTCCTCGCTGAAGCCGAAACTTTCGGCGACTGGCAGCGTCGCTTCGATTGTAAAGTATGGCGTGCCCTCGAGCAATGCCTCGCTCAGGATCGATCCTCTGCGCCGCGTCAACACGCTGTACACTTTCCCCAGAACTTCGGGGGTTGCTTGGATCGTGCAACTGTACATGGCCAACAATATCCGTGATGACCAGTCCAAAAAGCCAGACCGGATGGACTCCCGGACGCTCGTGATCAGTTCACCGGTCAGACGGCCTGACTCAACACTCGAGTCCCCGTTCTCGGCTGGTTGTTGGGCGACATCCTCCAGGAACACGGCGACACCTTGCGTCGGTTCGCGACATAACGGGCCTTGACTTGTGGCGAGTTGGAACGCGTATGCTATCGTGTCCGAAAAGTCCTGCGCCGGTCTCGTGGCTGCACTGTCGTCCCCATCATCATGGCCATTCTGAGCACCGATCTCACCGAGCTCAGCGAGCTCTTGACCCTCCAGCAGAAATCTTTTACACGTGTGCCTCCCTGTCGCGTCGATGAGCAAATTCGGGCCTACCCTCCGTGGCCCAAATGCGCAAATTCGAGGTATAACTCTCTGCCAGACCTCTTTCTCCTCTTTGACCTCGTCGAAGGCGAGTTGCAGCTGTTTCCGAAACTCCTGCAATGACAGATTGCTCCATTCATTTCCTGTCTCATTACCCAGATCAGCCACTTCGTCCTTCTCGTCTCCATCCTCAGCGCCATCTTTTCCTCCATCTTCCTGCGCTTGCCTCTCAGCATACAGTCTTCGAATCGAGGGCCCGCTCTTGATCAAGAACTCCGTAACTTTCTGCGGCAACGGCCGCACTCTTAGTCTGACACTCACCGCCTTCGACGCCGCCATAGCCACGCTCGTCCCCCTTGGGAGATCCTTGTTCTTGGGTGGTTCCATCTCCTCGGCTCTGACGATCGTCTCGCGGTATGGCACGATCGGCTCGCCGGGCTGTATATCACATCTCGCAAACCGCTCCTTGAGATCCTTCAGACACCGCTCTAGATGTAGTTCTCCCGCTGTGAGAATCACATGCTCACCACTCTCCATCTGCTCGTATATGGCGCACGGGTCGCTCTGTTCGAGCAATTTCAACCCCCTTATCATCTTATTCAGATCCATGGGGTTTGTCGGCTCGAGGGCAACCCGGACGATAGGCTGACTGAGACTAGAGATCCCCGCTAGGTTTATACTCCCTTCCACCTGGGAGCACAACGTGCCGGTTTTGAGGATATGTCCTTCTAGACCCTCGATGCCGAAAACAACGCCAGCAGGTACGGTCTCGAGTGGCTCGAGCGAGCGGCCCATGAGGAGGTACAGTGCTGTTATGGGGACCTTTTTCGGCTCAGGCGAGGCATGTGGGAATGCGGGATTGAATTTCGGTGGGAGCACGTAGATTTCGTCGCCGACCGACAAACTGCCTGAGAATAGCCGTGCAAAACCGATCAAATGTTCCGGATCTTCTGGTTGTTCAGGTGTAACATCCTCGTCGACTTCTTCCCCTATCCGGGTATTGCTCAGGCCATTCGCGATGCCGTCCACACCCGTTGTGCCCTCGGCCTCGGCTTGCGCCTTGGCTATTTCTGCGCGCTTTCTCCTAGCAAGATCTCTGGCTTCATCTGCCGTCAACGTCGTCCCCAGCTTTCTTCGTTTCGTGGGCAATTCGCTCTCCGGTATCGCGACCATCTTGCTAACATACGCAACAACAGGCGCCGCTTTTGTTGTGTTGAAATTGATCATTGACTCCTTGATGTTCTTATCAATGTACTTTGCACCAACCAAGTCGTCAATCATACCCGGCAATCTGATTGCCTGAGCACTGGGTGGACTGGGCAGGTACTCAATCACAGAGACAAGCAGGGCCGTCGACAAAGGAAGCCACGACGAGAAGACAGCCTGTAATATCACCTTCGCATCTCTCGACCTGGTAATATGAGCCGGCAAACTTATCGACAAAGACTTGGTGATCTTCTCGAGTAGAGCTGGATCCCCACGGCCACTATTGATCCCAAGCGTAGCATCGTAGACCTGCCATATTGGCTCGAGCACAAGCTGAACAAAAACCGGCTTTAAGTTCCTGCCCTTGAGATGTTTCTGGCCGAGCACCTTCTTCGTCTTCGGATCGAGGTAGAAATCTCCCCACAGCACCCGCTCGAGAACGCTCCTTTTGATGCCCAACTTCTTCTCATAGATCCCAGCAAACTGCCTCACGGTGAACGCCCAGCCGTCGATCGCGCTCGCAAAAATGACGTTGTTCTTCTCCGGCGCAAAATACAAATCCTCGTCATCACGCTCTTCGAATTGCTGATCCAGATCTGCTTCCGAGGCATTTTCGCTCAAAGCCTCCTGTTTCTGCTGCTCCTTCGCGGCGCGTTTCTGGTCCATCTTCTCGCGCCACAGGAGATCCTCTTCCATCCTCTCACCGGCGAAGAACCCACCAATAACAGCATTCACGCCCTCCAGTACCCGTTCGAGATGTGAGTACGCTTCGCCAGGACTCATCTTCAACTCGGTGACCAGCCTGTCGATCTTATTTATGACAAGAAGCGGCTTGAGTTTCTCGAGCCATACCTGCCGTAGCACCGTGACCGTCTGCGAGCACACACCTTCCACAGCATCTACCAACACGACCGCGGCGTCACACAGTCTCGACGCCGTGGACACTTCTGACGAGAAGTCAATGTGTCCGGGACTGTCTATCAGATTTATCAGGTATTCTTCCTTCCTTGCCTCCTGGGATTCTTGCGACCGCCGCATCATGCTGAAGTATAAGCTGATCGCGCTGCTTTCCATCGTGATGCCTCGTGTTTGCTCGTCGGGCCGGGAGTCCAGGTAGCGGACTTTACCGGCCATCTTGGGCGAGATGATGCCATTGGTAGCGATGAGGGAGTCGGTCAAGGAGGTCTTGCCGTGGTCGACGTGCGCGAGGATGCAGATGTTTCTGATGTTCTGAGCATTGGACTGGAGAGCGATGAGTTGAGAGGGGGCAATGGAAGGCATGTCGGCGGTAGAGACAGTGGTGTAATACTATAAGAACATGAACATCTGAGGGCAGTCTCACGATATCTAGCCCCCGTCGTCCTCAGTCGCACACCCTTCTTACAGGCGAGAATGAGCGTTATGGTCGAAAACTCCGGCCGTTGCGGGCGATTTACAAAATGTCCAAGTATGACGCACTTTTCCATCCCGCACTGAACAATTTATTCAGGAACATAGAAATGAATAAATATGAGTACTCAAGAACCATTTCCACACGAATGGGATGACGAGTAATCCCGACTCTCAGATTAAGTACGTTTTGTCTACGTGACTCGTTATCCACTTGCGAACAGCCCCTATCCCTATCCCTCCCCAAGTCATATCCCATGTCCTCGTGAAGCGCTCGGCCTTCGCCTTGCCAGTGACTGAGATTCACCGATGGCGACTGGCTCAAGCACGGCTACATGCTCGCGTCGCAGTCACCCTTCCACACTCGGTGCGTGCGCACAAACAAGGTCCCGAACAGGGAATGCCATAGTCGCCGAGCAACAGCTTGGTACCATCAATTCTCCTGCACCATTTTTAACACCCTCATCACGCAGACTTCCACTTCCCTTTCAGAACCTTCCTCCTCTGCGCCATCATATGCGTATACAAGATATAACTTCCGGGCACATAAATCCCCAAAACAGCCTTGAGCAACCAATCCACATTCTTTCCTTGTTTTCCCGCCGGGCCCAGAGCCAGGTACATAAGCAGACACTCACTTGTTATGCCGATCGGATACAGCACAAAGAACGTGTTATATCTCAACCACGTCAGAGCCTCTGGCACTCTTTCACTGATCGCGGCCTTCCACACGAAAAACCCGTAGCGTATGATCTCCGTAATTCCCCATGCCATGACGATCCCTGCGAACGCGATCGGACCGGTCGTCGACCCTGGCGCAGGCCGGCCGTAGATATTGGTCGTCAGTACGATTTGAGGGAACATCTCGAGAACGACCCAGACCACTAGTATCCGGGACGCCACTTGCATGGCGGTGGTGACGGGGCTGGCTCGAACGAGGCCGACAACAGCATGGACGACCTCGAGAAGGGCGATCGTCTGCGTCCATTTCAGGAGCGGAAAGAGCGCTTCGAATAGGTTTTCGAGTTTGCCGACTGTGAGTAGCGTCGGGATGAGGAGAAGAGCGCGGAGGGTGATGGTTGACCAAAGTGCGAGGCAGACGGCATTGTATGCTATTAGGTATTTCTGCGTTGGGGCGGAGGTGGAAGGTTTGGGAGCTGGTCGGCGGGGAGTCTGGTCTTCCATGGCCGCTCTCGAATATCGAACTCTGGTCGGGGAGAGTATGGCTCCTGAATGCTGGATACAAGCCTCGTGCGTCGAAAGCTACCTGTACACGAGCTACCCGCTGTACTATTTTACCACAATATGGCTGCCAGGTGGCTGCGGAGAAGATGTTGAGAAAGCAATCAAAAGCGGCGCGCTTAGTTGGGCAGAGAATGCACTTAAGATATGTGGCCGCTTTTGACTGCACACCGAGGAGGTGGCTCGGTGGTGATGCTGGTACTGGCCTGTACAATAGTACTTGAGTTATGCGTCTAGGGCTCTTTGGCTAATAATACAATTTTTTGAGGGAAGATTTCGTACGTGTCTCACGTTGAGCCCACTGCCTCTTCATCCTTCTGATCCTTTTTTTCAGCAGCCCTCGGCTTCTTCACACTCTTCCATTCCATGAATATACCGCCCAATAATGCCGACAAAGCAAATGCGAGACCAACGTAAAATACAACCACGAGCGAATGGTTGTAGACCTTGAGCACCATTGGCAGTTGCTCTGCAGTGAAGACGTTTCTGAGATCAGTTGCGCCGGTAGTTGCGATGTCCTGCGGCTTAATGCCATTGACACCTTTCAGTCCGGATATCAGTTTGTTGTCGAGTATGTTCTGCCCCATGGCCACGCTGATGGTGCCTCCGAGACCTTGGCCGAAGAACACCACAGACACTCCGGTCGGTTGGTCCTTCTTATCCAGAACAGCCTGAGCTGCGATATTGGTCTGCTGTAAACCAAGACCGACGCCGAAGCCGTAGAGGACCTGGACGCCTATCCACATTGGATGCGCTGTGTGAGTGGTAAACATGGTGAACAAACCTGCGCCGATAGGCGTCAAGATCCCACCGGCGATGATAGACGGCATGTAATAGCCAATTTTGGTCACGAAGACCCCAGAAAGCATGGAGGCTATGACCAGTGCCAGGATAAACGGAAGAGTTGAGATGCCCGATTTGATGGCCGAGTCACCTTTGATCGCTTGGAACCAGATGGATATGTAATAGACGATCAACATGAAAGAGGCCCCAAGGCAGAAAGCGTAAAACATGGCGGCCGCAATTGTCCTCTTCTTCATGATTCGAGGCGGCACCGTGGCTGCCTCTTGCCGCCAGATCTGGATGGCGATGAAGACGATGAGCAAGACGCCGAATAGGACGAACAAGGCGATAATGCGACCGTCGGACCATGCATACTGCTGACCACCCCATTGCAGTGCAAGGAGCAGGCAGACGATACAAGGGATGAAGACCAGAGTGCCCGGAATATCGACACGTTGAAGTTTCTCTTTGAAGGGAATGTCTCCCAGGGCAGGTTTGGTGTTGTCGATGGCGAAGTAAAGGAAGACAAGGACGAGGCCGCCGATGGGGAGGTTGATATAGAAGCACCACCGCCAAGTCACTGATGTCGTGAAAACACCTCCAAGCAGAGGTCCGGCAACTGAGGCGACACCGAAGACTGCTCCCAAGAGACCCATATAGGTGGGTCTCTTTTCCAGAGGAGATGCGTACATCATCAAGATCATGGCTCCGTTGAACAGACCACCAGCGCCCAGGCCGGCCACAGCTCGTCCCCAGATGAAGCCGACCGAATTTGGGGCGGCGCCACAGACGGCGGAGCCAATCTCAAAGATCACAACCAGGCTCATGAAAATCCATTTGGGCGAATAGAAGGTGTAGAGCCGTCCGAAGAAGAGTTGAAGAGCGGTGGTTGGTAGCAGGAATCCAGCGTTGTACTGCATGAGGTGGTTAGCACAGTCATCCAGGGCGCAAGCATATGAATGGAACCAACCCAGCCAATATCACCAAAACTGTTGAACTCATCCGTGATCTTGGGAAGGGCAGTGGCAATGATGGTTCGGTCGAGCGCGACCAGAAATACCGATAGGTAAATGCTCAGCAAGATCGAGGCCAATTTCAGGCCTTTTGGATAGACTTCGACATTGCTGGTGACCTTTTCAAGAGCCGCAGCTGGGTCTGGTTGCGATTGTTCTGGAGTTGGTGGCCGGATTTGCGAATCTTCTTGAACTCCTTTCTCCATGAGGACACCATTGGATCTCTCATGGTTGTCCTCTGCAGCCATGACGATGATGAGTCGAACTGAGGAGCGTATCGAGTGAGCAGACGTCAATAGGCAAATGAGGGACGAGAATAAGAATGACAATCAAGGCGAAATGTATGTCTCAACACAGAAGACATTCCAGAATGTGAAGATGAAACACAATTACCATGTATGCGACTACCAGTTGGGCATAGAGCCTTAATATTCCAGTGGACCACCAAGGCACCCGTCACAGACACGGAGTGCATATTTCATGGATTCGGGCCCGTTTGGTTCTGGATGTTTCGCTCCAATGTCCTTTCGAATTCCTGGACTTTTGTGGATCGGGTTGCCCGGCGAAAACTGCTTCCGGCGGTTTTAACGGTGATAATAACCCCCGATTCATCTGCAGTAAACAAAATTTCCCCAGGGACGCATTCGCATACGCATACGTATTCGGTCAGGAGCCAATTGGGCACGACCTAAATTGTTTGACGTATTCGCTTGTGGAAGGCTATGACTCTTCTCCGTAACGTTGTCATTATTACTCCGTATTATGTTGGTCTGTACGAGATAGTACACCGTAATAGCACATAGAAGATGATTCATGCGGCGAAAAAGTGGCCGCGTGATTGGCGATCAGGCGGCTACAGCGACCGTGAGCGACCACGAGGGAGAGACAAACAGGATCACTTAAGCGATGCGGCCACTAGTCCACTTTAGTAGCAAATGCCGAGCCACTATCACCATTTGGCCTTAGCTTCAAGCGGGGAAAATCTCCTGCGTCTTAATTCGTTTTGGCTATTCGGCAAGGTGGGAAGGTTAGACGAAACGCTAAAATTATTTTTCAGAGGCCGCAGTTTTTGTCCTCGCCGCATGTACAGCCTTTCCCGTCCATTCAGAAAAGAGCGTCTGAAGCAGTCGTAAAAACCTTTCGACTTCACCAAAGCGAAGATGCCTCAATCCAGGCGGAATCGTACCGTCCATACCTCCAAAACGCACAAGAACCGCAAAGAACTCGTCCGTCGGCTGGCCGCAAATGTACAAGAAGCTGCCCAGCAGTACAACTACATCTGGGTTTTTGGCGTCGAGAACATTCGAAACAACTTCCTGAAACAAGTCAGATCCGATCTCGACGATTCAAGAATAATGATGGGAAAGACAAAGGTCATGATGGTAGGGCTGGGTCAAAATGCGGAGACCGAATGTGTACCCGGTGTCAGCGCTCTAGGACCCTACGTCAAGGGCGAGATGGGGCTGCTGTTCACAAACCGGGAACCCTCCGAGATAGAAGAATACTTTCAAGACTCCCTCAACTTGGACTATGCAAGAAGTGGCACCACCGCCACCCAAGAAATCATCATCCCTCCTGGCCAGCTACATACCATGTACGGTGTCGACGGCGGCGAGGAGGATCCTCTACCCATTCAGATCGAACCGACGCTTCGCAAACTTGGTATCCCGACTCGCATCGTAAAAGGCAAGGTTGTACTTGAAGAACGTCCCGAGGGAGCAATGGATGACGATGAGGAGGGCTATCTCGTCTGCAGAGAAGGCGACACGCTGGACTCGAGACAGACCAATATCCTGAAGATTCTGGGAGTGCGCATGTCGGAGTTCAAGATTGATCTGAAAGCTGTCTTTGACAAAAGCGCGGGGACTGTCCGTGAGATAGGTGGGATGGAGGTGGATGATGCTGCTGTTTGAAGGATGTCGTTCGACCAGTTTTAGAGGCACGATTAATGACTGACGACTGCGGCATGGCGGCTTGAATTGGACTACTATTCTCCATAATGGCCCTTCCATCGCTGTCGAGCTCCCTCCAGCAACAGCCTCCCAGCATCTGAGCAGGACTTGGGGATCTCAACTGCCGCCGCGGCGTTTAGTGTCTGGAGTGGTCAAGATAGGTCTGCCGAGAGCGAGAGAGAGCATGTTGTCACTGCCGCCGGTTTTGCTGTGGATATGATATGAGCAGAAAGGACTCTGCTGTCTGGCCAGACCACCGAGGCTTCTGGATACCGCCAGCAGGCACGGCCAGGCTCCTGTGAGCAGTGATCGAGGCTGAGGCCAACCCAGCTGCAGATATTCTGTTGAAAACGTTTCAGTCCTGACTGGTGCAGATATCAAGGTTGCCAAATTTGAGTGAAGAATACAAATTCTCCCTTTGCCGCCTTCTATGTCCTACTCTACGAAACTAAAAGCTCTCTGCTATCCCTGGTTTCACAAGCGCCGTCTTTGCTCAAGGCCGTTCACGGTCCAGGCGTTTTCTAGCCTCATGGATGTGCCTCCTCACATCATGCTTCAAAACCCAACATCACCTTCTCTTGTACAACTGTGTCGCAACCAGGGCAAGATCTATCAAATCTATGATGTCTCCCTTTCTTGCCTTGTTAGACACATCTGCCTCCAGTAAATCCAGATTGTCCAAGCATACTTAGCATGGAGTATACACCACTTTGCTGATCGCGATGAAGACATTCGACTTCAGTCTGCAACGAAAGCATCTCTGATATGAATCTTCCGAGTCAAGCCATTGCGGCCGTGCCTCATACTCTGGCCAGGATTCTTAAAATCCACCTGGTTCGAACTGTTTTCCTGCGAATAATCATGGTTGCTCGCAAATACCTTGCCCGGATGCCTGCTTGGTGGAATGATACCACCTGCGGACGTCTGTGGGCCACTGACGTGGACGCCTTCAGCATTGCCGGCCTTCCATGATGAACATCACGCACGTCCGAGTATACCGAGCATGATGTGCGCTAGAAGTGGTCGAGCTGGGACTGGTGTCGCCCACGGTAGCTCCCGCGTATGATTCAGCTCGCAATCTCGAGTCCTTCAGGAAATCAACTGCCTACAAGGCTGTTCAGCATCCAAGGCGGATGTAGGCGTCGGTCGCATGCGTCGCATCTCATCTCGGATTATTTTGGGATTCAAAGCTGGGCTGCCTCTGAGGTCCAGTCAACGTCCTCGTATGCTTTATGAATCTTCTCGTCTCTTTCGACTTCACCTTGAACAAACCCCGCGATCTCGGCAAGATTCTCCGTCTTGTTCACCTGCTCGACGAAGCCTCTAATGGCGTCCGGATCCCCAGCCTTGATGATAGCAAGAATTCCGGAGATCATCTGCCTCTGTCGCCGGAGCTGCTCCATTGCCTCGTTCAAGCCTTGTACCGTGCGGCGGTTGTTGGCCTTCCTCCTCCCGTCAGCCTCTGCATCGAACCTGCAGGACCAATTCCGACGCAGACAATTCGCGCACGGGAATGTGCCTGTACATTTGATCTTTTTCTTTTGGCACATAAAGCACGCCAGGGACGATCTTGTTCGCGATCTGCTCGATGGGTCCGGTGGATCTGCGTCCGGTAAAGTTTGAGCCGCATCTACATCTGGCTGTTCGTGTTCGAGTTGTGGTGTCTCGTCGCTAGACACGGGACCTTGGGCCTCTGTGAAGGCATCCTGACGAGAAGATGCCATTGATTGAAGAGCATCGAGAATCGGGAAGTCAGAGGGATAAGTTTGTGTGGTGGCAACCGTCTGAGGTCTCCTGTTGGGGCAGGCTATCACGGCCTGCTGTACCTGTGATTGGTGCGGAAAACCACGAAGAGCGGAAGCGCGTATCAGTCAACAAAGCACCAAGATGTCAGAACAAAGAAGATTCGTCGCCGCCGCGTAGAGGGGGGCGGGCGGCAATGTTCCCCTTCGGCACAATTGTATACACGGTAAGAATCTAACTAATGGAATAACAAACCCGCGAAAAGTGGGCGAAGGTCGCAGAAAGAGTGGATGCTGGCAGATAAGTAGTGGTACTAAGACAAGAGCATACTGGTGCTTCGCTGAACTTCGTAGCCGTCGAACAACAGACGCATCTTCCCTCCCAGTCCAGAGGCATGGACCTGAGCGGGCCAGGAGGGAGCTCTTGATCGTGAAAATGGCAGAGAATCTAGCCATCTTGTTGGTGGAGACCAAGTATAGGAAAGGGCGATCCGCGGGAAAGCTGTTGTGAATATTTTTAGTCAATGCCATGGCCCCGGGAAAGCTGTTGTGAATATTTTTAATCAATGCCATGGCCGCGGGAAAGCTGTTGTGAATATTCTTAGTCAATACCATGGCTTGCAACTTTCTAGAAGCATCCGGCGAGATGTTGAGATCGAACACAAAGGCTGAATCGGCCCAGTAGCCGCGGTTCGGTGCCGTCAGGGGTAAAATCAGGCTGAGCTCAATGGAGGAATGATTATCCTCGCCTCGCTCAGGTTGACATTAGGTGAGGTGAACGGAGGACTCGTACCACGTACCAAGTATTCAAGGCCTTTGCGCGCCACTTGAGGTGGCATTTTAGTAGAACCGGGACCGGACGTTGATTTGGTAGAAAAAGTCAGCTAACCCCCGGTCGGAGTGAAGCTCCGGTGGCTGCTGTTCGGAAGGAAGTTCCACCATATGAACTACTGTGTTAGCGACGATGATTTTCTAGCCACTCTCTGTGTATGGAGTAGACGCAAAGGATTTGCACGGACTTGATAGCGAAGTCAGCGCCACACTCCACCGTGGCGGCTTTGTTATGCAGAATCAACTGTTCACGTGTGCCGCTGTGGTGTCTAGATTCTCCTGTCACAGTAATGATCAAAGCAGAGGCCCGTAGTCTAGATGATCATGATGGCGAATAGTCAAAGCATCATAAATATTCGCCATCATGATCCTGGTTGAGCGGTCCCAACATATATGGATATGGTTGCTGGCCAAAGCAAGTCGGGTTCCAATCAAATTCAACGTGCAAACACAGATGTGTGCCTTTTTACTCATCTGTTGCAGTCACGTCGTTGTCTAAAGCTCCTACTGGATGAGAGCAGTTTTGTTCGGACTGAGGTCAGTGTCATCGGACCAACTGATCCAGCTCATGACCGGCTTCTCCGAGTGCTCCTGTGGTCGTGATGTGCAAGCGCGCCATCTGGCTGCAGGGTTGTTTCTGATTGAGGGCGGTGGTGGCGTTGGGAACAGCGATTCTGATCTGCTTTGATCATACAGTTTTGCAGGCATCCCAACGCGTGAGAATGGGTTGCCATCAAGTCGTGTTTGGCACATGGAAGACCGTAGAGGAGCTCTGCATGACTCGGGATGTCGCATGTCTCCTCATGGATGTCGGCCGTCATCTTCTAGGCCGACCCATTCTTCAGCGTCCTGGACATTGAACATGACGTGTTGCGTGGAAGCCTGCAAGGATATACTGTGCTCTCTTTAAGCCGCGATCAGGGTGGACAATCTGGATCATCCCTGAAGGTGGCGTGAATGTACGATGAGCGCTCGGGTCTGCCAGTGCCCTCGCAGGATACTGCTTGCACTTGAAGTCGAGCTCTTTTGACTCTCCATTTCAGAACTTAGTCGGGATTTGAAGACTGCCTGCAGAGCAAAAAGAAAACTCAATACTCTTGCTATGCTTGTGGCGCGGTGGCTGTGTGTGGCGAGGTGCCTGGGCACAGCTGCCACGCTAGCCTGGTTGTCGGCTTTAATGGTCGGATGACTAGGTCGCAGATTCACGTGCAGATTGTGGCTTGCACAGCCCTCAGCCCTGTGACCTGCGTCTGCACCTCGCCTTCTGCACCAAAGTTCCTCATGAGCGGTCTGAACGTGCAGGCAAGCCACAAGCGATGGTTCCACCTGACCAGGAGCTGACATTCGGTGAGCGATTCAAAGTCGAATCTTGACTGTCGGCTCTGCAATGAGCTATAGCGCGATCGCCACCAACATCGTTGCTGCTTCCCATGAGAATCGCGCGATCGTCCCATGATACCTCCAATTTTATCGGCCCAGACAGCGGTTGTATCCTTCTCGGGGCCATACACCTAGAGGAGCTATTGATTGTTTCTCCTTCACAAGTCAGCTCTGAAGAGCGCGGCTGGCTCCGACCTCTGCATGGCGTCAGCACGCCAGCTTAACGACCGTGAGGAGCTCCATAATGCTCTCTTGTAGAAAAATCGCTGGTCAGGAGGTAGGCATGCACTCCCGGATTTTCCAGCACCATCATGGCCCCTATCATGCAAGCCAGCCCCTAAGCGGCAGCATCCGAAAGCTAGGAACTCGGGCCTGGCAAGCTGGGGGACCGTTGCTCTCGCCTGGACCAGACATAGCTAAAGGCGGTCCCCGGAGCACCGCTTACATGATCCCTGCTTTGGATTTCTGGGGCCGTGTCGAATAGGATGCGGCTCTATCAAACCCGGTGATGATGCTTTACTCCCGGTGGTGTCGTCTTACCGAGACTTTTCTCTTGTGTCGATGACTCCTCACGTTCCGGTCGATCTTGAAATCCTCCAATACGGCCGATACAGCAGTCTCGATCTCCCTGTCCACCTCCGTATCTCTGTTGCTGACATTGTGCAGAACGTCTTTAATCATGTACTGGCCGTATGCGGGGGTTTCCGACAGAGCCTGTCACTTTTCGGTAGCTGTGTGTCACGCAGAACGACCAGCACTCACAGTCGTGTCTCAACTTTGAAGTCTTGATGGCTGCTGGCTGAGATTGAGGCCGACTATTGGCAACACATCTCGAAAGCTCACCTTAACAGATTCAAGATGATGCACTTGTCCACGATATCTGGAAGGCATAGTCAGTTTCCGGTAGGAGATGCAGGAAAAGGTGGTGCGGCTCGTCATCTACCAGACGCTCATATAGTCCAGATCCAGCATGCCCAGATGCACAGAAGACCAGCAACAATGGGAAGCACCGACGGCCATTGATGAACAGGATGCGTGACTGCCTCCCCAAGCAGTAGACGGCAGTGCGCGGTCTGCGAACTTCCGGGGATGCTAGCATCTGCATCCCGCATGTCTACAGCGATGGGTTTGCTCGCAGGCCATGCCGAAATCATACTTTACTGCTCGCATGCCACGCACTTTTCAAGCTACGGTAATTTACTAGTGCTTTAGCTTCAAGAGGCAGACCTCATTGGACTCTGCTCACTCGCATCCGGCCCCAGTCCATACGAGTTGAAGTAAATGACTTGCTCAGGCCAGTCAAACTCCTAGCAACGTGCGTTGCAGAGTCTGGCTCAACCTAGACTTGAGCCCGAAAGCCAAAACCAAAGCCAAATCGAGACTTCTTCAGAGAGAGCTCGATAGAGAAAAGGCCTCAAAACGGCTGCGCTACGCAGTGCACTGTTCACAAAAGCTGAGCCGTGGCGGCCTGGATCTACGAGTACCGCGTTAGTTCATTTTGTCGCACGAGCCCAATCGGGGGGCCTGCGTAGACGTCCAGCCCGGGAACGAGTCTAGTCGGAGGTCCGTGAATGGCCCGAAGCAGAAAGTTGATGCTGATCTATTGACAGGGTCTTTAGCTTACTGTGTATAGTTTGGCATAGTCCTTCCCGACTATCAACGTAGTCAGTATTATTGCGGAGTTGGAATTCACTTTTTGAATATCTGGGACTTTTCGACGGGTCTGGAATGCGGAGAGGGAATGGTAGTCCACAGTTATGGCTGGATTGGGTAGTCGCTTCACATCTGAGATGCGCAATTTCTGGTGATACTAGCAGTTGACGGTCGAGTGGTAGCATTAGTAGAGCAGGTTTCCAAGAAGAGAAGCAAGATTGGAACAAGAAATGTGGAAAGTCATGGAGTGAATATCATTTTGATACACATTATCTCCTCATCCTGGGTCATGATATCTGTTTTTGGTCATAGCAGGCTGCTGCTCTGGACCCCAATCTTCAGTCTGGACCTGAAGAAATACGCTCAAAACAAAACCGGGTAGTCGCTTGCTTTTACATTCGCTGGTATCAATTTTTCCAAATACGGACAAGACATTTTGGCACAGCACAATGGACTCAGATGGCCACGTCCACCATGCTGGGCCTTCTTTCTTGCGGGTATGCGTAGCCTTTGATCTCAGGATAGCTGTACTGTGAGGCATGGCCGTAGCCGTAGCCGTAGCCGTAGTCGTAGTCGTAGTCGTATGCCGTGGTCTGCTGTTCCTGGATATCTTCGAGAAGAGCTTCCTCCAAGTCTTCTTCCTGATCGAGCAGGTCTTCAAGTGCGGCAGAACATCGGTCGTGTGCAATCCACAAGCCCTCGCACTCATCGGCTCCGGATACCGTGCAAATGCTAAGTATTGAGTTGAGTTGTGATCGTTGAAGTTGGATCTGTGCTTCGATCTTCCTTGATGCAGACAAGATGTGTGCGTATGGAGTTGACTGAGATGCTGTTGAGTCGATGGGTGAGAGGAATGGGCTTGAAGGTCGAGAAGAAGTTGGTGAGGCTGTGGGTGTGCTTGACAGCAGGTTGTACCGCGCGGCTAGGGGCACATGGGAGGCTATGAGAGCTGCAAGCTTCCAGATATCGCAGTAGATGCAGGATGTTGAACATGTCGAAGACAGGATTCTTTGAGTGGTGGAGATTTGTTGTTGGTTGGAGAAAAGAGGTCGCAGACCCTTGAAGAGAGCGACTTTTGTCCTGCACGTTGAAGGCATCGTGATTGTCTGCAAGATGGAGCTGTCGAAAGCAGGAAGAATGAAGATGGATGTGATCATGTATACAATGGTTTGGTGTGTTGATTGCGAGGGGTTGGTATTCGATCAATTAATCTTTCGATAAATTTGAAGGAGAGAGCACGGACACCCTTTATCTTATTGCCGGTAGCGGGAGATGAGATGGGTGGATGGAAGGATCGAACATGGATGGATTGGGCAAGGAGTAATACGGACATTGAAGTCTGGAATGCCTGGGGGATTATATCGATCTTCACCTCACCTCCAGCCTTTGTATGTGGTGCTAATGTATGTAAGCTGGAACAGTTACTCACCGTTTGAGACTTGTCGGACCCTGGTGGACCTTAGGGCTGGAGATGCGCATAAGACCCCCCGAAATTGGGATAGCAATGTGACCAGGGTAGCATCTACCGGTGAAGGGGACAGATTGAATGGCGTATCCGTGACTGCTGTGGCATGTTTCACGTGGAGCGAGAGATGCGAAAGTCAGTGAGTCAGGGAACTTTGGTGTTCGTAGACCGAGAGATGGGAGAAAGAGAAGGGAGAGTCAAAAGGACACAGACTGTGCAGGCCCAGTGGTGGTATTGGCGCTAGGCTCGCATGTTAGGCGACATTGGGCAGGTGGGGGAATTCTATGGGCTCATCCTGGGCACGTCAGGGCTGTTCATAGGCGGAAAGAGCCATTTTCCAAGGGTAACCTCGAGATGTGACGTGCAGAAACGAGTACCGGGTGCACCTCCTCGACCTGTTAGAGGCACCCTCGGCAACGTGAGGCAACCTAAGAGGGGCATTTGGGGGCAGGGCAGACTTCTTCTTTCTCCTTCAGCGGTGAGTCTGCGAAGGTCGCATTTCTGCCTACAGTGTCCGTATCTCGCGCCTGTCTCGCCTCCCCATTCTGATGCCATGACCGCACCTTCGAGGAGACTTCGTGCCTCTAGCTGAAAGGAGCCCTGCACACTTCACATGATACCTGACCCTTGATGATCTCGCGTCTGACTCACCCTTGGTTTGTTCTGGTGTTCGCTTGTCCTTCAAATCACGGTTTCGACACACTTGTTCTTTTGTGTCCAACTGTCTCCGCGGCTACGAGTACAACATGGGTCAGCCCTCTTCAGCTCCTTGACTCACTTACCACAAAGACACCTTGGTCGTAAACCACTTTACTTGGCTTCACAGTCTCGCCAATGGCTTCCGCTATTTCCGATTCAATCTAGCCTGGCCCTCTGATCCGTACTATGAGCATCTTCTCCAGAAACCTCAAACGCGGCGCTACTGAAGAGGGAATTGCAACAAAGACCCTGAGACGAGATGGTCATTGCTCGACCGCTTGGGCCATCATGGGCCTCTGCGCTAAGTCTCGCCTAGTGATCACGCGCAAGCCACGATTTTCTAAGCCTTGCTCTCCTCTTCAACCACTACCACAGTTCTCTACCGTCACAACCTTCGCACTGTTCTCATGTAACCTCACAGATCCCTCGACCCGACCCGCATGCCATAGGGTGAAACAACGCAATGAGGGTATTCCAACTATAGCTACAGCGATACTTGCTCAATTACAGAGTCTCGTGATGAGCAGAAAAGGTTCTCCAGCTGTATGATGGACAGTCCCCAATAGGTTATCCTACTACGGAATGGCAAAAAAGCAGTAGGGCTTCAGGATGTGACATTGGCAACGTATGCTCGGCGGCTCAGTGGTGACGACGATGAATGCTAATCGAGTCACGGAGTTTGAAGTGAGGAGACTATCTTCAGCCGCTTCGTTCACCGCAATGTGCTATCGTGAGCTCTCACGGCCTTGCCATTGTTCTCTAAGATATGTCCATTGAAACGTCAACCTCGACCTGCGCTGTCTACAAGGTCCGATGGTCCCTCGATTTGTAGAACTCGGATATGGCTGCGGTTACCGATTTGTCGATACCTGAACGAGCACTCATCTGTATGCAATAAGAAATTTGTTCCCAACAACAGCCTCCCCAGTCTCAGACACACGGTCGATGGTGCCGAATCAAGACTCTGTCCTCCGATAAACAATCAAGTCACAACATGTCGTTGATGTCATTTGTCCTCCCTCGTTGACCGCCTGATGCAAGGGCAACATACGATCTGCATTCCTTCTCACGACCTCGGATGACACAACATGAAAACGGGGGCGACCAACTCGGAATCTTATCTTCGGCGCTCCGTTACGAGTAGTATGCCAGGAAATGCTCCTTGTCTCATTGGTGTTGCAGGCCAAAGCAGGAACTCGCCGGAATCAAAGGTCAAGCTCATGGAAATGCATCGCTGACTGTCACACATGTGAACAGCCATCGCGGCGAATTTCCCTCTTCGGTCGTCCTAAGTTTGTGACGGTGGCAGATTTGACTCCATGCCTCGTTGCGAATGCTCTCTCTGTGGTAAGCGAGCCACAAGTCGTCCCAGAATTCCTGGTAATTGCTCAACAGGCACTGCTGCAATCAGAGCGTCGAGTTGCTCTCTCGCAAGACCATCAAGTTGCTGTGTCAGTTGGTCGATGGTCTGTTGCTGGCTCTCGATCAACGCGGCCGACCTCCTCTCGCGAAGCTCCAGTATCGTGCTCTTCTGGCGATTGATCATCTGGTTTCTGACCTCGATCGTCTGGCGTAGGTGATCCACGGTCATGCGCAACCGCTCGTCCTGCTCCATCATCATCATCTCTTGCTCCGCAATCACTTGTTGTTGGTACTCGATCATTGCGATCATCTGCTGCTGGTCATACTCCGGAGTTCCTTGCATCTGCAGTATTGCTTGCTGTTGGTTCTGGATCATTTGGTCGCGCTGGTTGATGCCCTGCTGCTGACTCTTGATTATAGCCGCCTGCGCTCGTCTTTCGTGCAGCTGCTCGTGCTCATAACTTCTTCGCTCTTCGCCCAGCATGCCAACGTCGAGTCTCAACTCATCCCGCTCTTTCACCATCCCCTCAACAAGCCGCTTCTGCTCGTCGAGTTGTTGGCGCAATTCACCTCGTTCAGCGACAGTGTGCTTGAGTGCTTTGGACAAGTCCTCCATGGCCTTTTGCGTCTTGCTTTGTTCCTGGGCCCTCTCTGCAAGCATCATTGCTTTCTCAGCCTTCAGTTGGTCCAGCTCTTTGACTGCTTTGTCAATGATCTCCTTCTGTTTGCCCAGCTCCCAACGCAAGGTGTCTCGTTCGGACATCGCCTCGTGATTCTCTCGTCTCAACGCGTGCTCAAGATTGAAAGGCGGCAAGGTTTGGTGGTGGTGTTGATGGCCTTGTTCGGTGGTCATCGGTATGTCTTCCTTCTCTTTTCCCTTCCCTTTATCTGCCTGCGGCGGGGACACAACAAGCTGGCCCTGCTGCTGCTGTCGCGACAAGGTGTGCTGGTCCTTGGCGTCTAGTCTGCCTCTCGCGATGCGATCCTCTGCGTCCTTGGCGACGTCTTTGTCCTTGTCCTCCTGAATGGCAACTCCTACCTCTTCCAGTTGCTTCTTCACAGCCTCCTCCGCTGCCTGGATGTGGTTCCTCAGCCAACCCAAGTAGTTGGCGTCGTGCCCGACAAGCCGGCCAGCCCACAACTCCTCCGACACCTCCTTCGCCTCGTTGATCCATTTGATCTTCTCGGCGGCGTGTTCCTTTGGATCAGTGTGGACCGCCAGACACATGTTCACCTCGGCGAGGAGGATTGGTTGTATTTGCCCATCGGCAAGTAGCTCACGCTATCAGGATGTCAGCCTCGACCCTTCCTAGTGTTCTGCCCGGCAGGTTCAAGGTGGGAAACATACGCAAACGGTCAACGCGGCAGCGATGCCGCCCGAGCGCACCTGGTTGCGAGCCGCCTCGAATCTCTTGCGCAGTCCGCGCTGGTATCTGTGGTTATCATGGCGTCAGCCTCACTCTCAAACCGACCTCTAATGCTGACGGCAAGATTGGCTGGGACAGGCGACAGGGAGATATTACTCACTTGGTTTCGTGAACCATCTTTTTCGATGGAGGAGAACGTCCTGGCCACTGTCAGCGTCGCAGTCGAGATGGAAGGAAGAGAAACGCCAGATATATATATGCCACGCGGTGGGAAGACTAACAATTAGGGCACGAAGATCCTCGAACCGCGAATCGCGAATGGTGAAAAAGTATGTTGTTATGTGTGTGAGGACCTGCGCGAAGGCAGAGAGGCAGTGACTGAGACACTTCTCGCGCGTGTGGTTGTTCACTGTTCGCCGCCTCCGAGTCTTTCTCACTCGACTCTGCCCTACTCTCTCGCGCACAGCACACCATGACGCTCCAAGCAGAGGCCGGCATTCATTCTCTTCCACTTGTTGCGCAAGACACGCCTGACCAGACCTGGCTCAACCTATAGCCTCGATACCACCTCCTACCAGTGGCGTCCTCGCTGATACGAAATCGCTCTCTGGACGGATCAACTCACGAGAGCCAGAGCCAAAGTTGTCACGGTAGGCCTTCGTGCTGGAGCCGGACTCGGCCTCGCAGCTTCATAGCGTCCGCTCTGGATCGCATCTCTTTCTATTCGCCTCTGTCGTAGAACCCTATCAACCAGCTTCACGGGCACGGCACTCACAGCCATGATATGTATACTTCTGGGACGGAAAAGCGATGGCAGTTCGACTCTGTAGAACGATGGCACTTCCAGCTCCATACAGCCACACGGGGCCCATATATGTCTCTCTCCATTTCCACCGCGCGACGCCAACCTATCAAAGCCCGCATATCTCAAGGAGGCAATCCACACGGCTGTAACACGCAGTATTTGCACCTTTTCGAGGCGATAACAATGGTGTCATTTATAGTCTTGGGAATGACTCAGAGGCCATGTTTCGTCGATCCACATTCTCACCTTCTGAGGACCGTGCAAAGCATAATTTTCTATGGGTACAGCACGAGTATTCCACACACGGAGAAACCCTGAGAAGGCGCGGTGTGGCTGGATCTAAGGACCAGCTCGTTCACCAACAGGAGACGGCGAGCATTAGTATGGCATTTGATTCCACGGACCCCAGCACAGCGTTATCCCTAAGGTAGACAACGAGCATAGAAAAGTAACACTTTGATTTAATTCATACTTTTCATTCGGGGGAAGCTATTTGCTCGCCATAAAAATATTTGGGGGTATGGGATTGGATGCCATCGCCATCCGATGTCCTGAAGACCCTGACATTTCCATCTCGACTACTCCAGCAAGTACCAGTGCCCAGTGTCTGGCCTGGCCAGTACGGCCGGCTAATCATAACGTATGTGTCTGTGTGCATCGATCCGCGTCTGTCTGCCTCGCATTCACCAGCGACAGCTCCATCAATGATCAGCTGACATAACGTCGTTTGAAGCTATGGCCAACCTAATATCTAGGAGGTGGTGGAGGTGCACCATAACCACCCTGTTGTTGTGATGGATAGCCACCTTGCTGAGGAGGAGGTCGTCCATATCCACCCTGCTGTTGGCCATACCCACCAGGTCCTTGTTGACCGTAGCCACCTTGCTGAGGAGGAGGACCGCCATAACCACCTTGAGGTGGGTATCCGCCGCCGTAACCACCCTGTGTTGGAGGAGGACCGCCATAGCCTCCCTGAGGAGGTCGTGGAGCACTGCTCTTCTCATCCTTGGTGTCATAAGATGAATCGATACTACCGAGTAGGAGTTTGATGAGCCACAACTCCGGCGAGAGGTTGACAGGTGGATTTGCGCGGGACATTTCGTCGGCTTCCACCTCGTAGTCTGTGGTCAAGTCAGTAATTGAAGAAAACAAGTCGACAAACTAGACTGAACGTACTGGATGTGCAATCAATGATATCACCAATCGTAGGTTCCTCGTCCAATTTGCTCAGGAATTCGCGGGCTTTAAGATCGTTGCCGACCTGAGCGAATTGGAAGGCCAATGCGCCTTTGCCATAACGAGGGTTTCTAGCCAACTCGTCCGAAGCATTCTTGATAATCCTAGCGACGTCACCCGAGCTCTCACCGGTTGGCTGTCCATCTGTGATGGTGATGACCAAGACTGGTTTGCGGAGGGTGCCATTGCGCGCGTTCTGGAGAACCAATGGGCGCAAGATCTTGTTATCAAGTTCCCGGCCCATAGGAGTCAAGCCGGAGAAGCGTGTGCGGGAGATCATCTCAGTCACTTGCTGCTCGCTGCGGATGTTGTTACCTTGGTCCGGGGAGTTCATGAAACGAACTTGAATGCCGTCTTCGTCGAAGAGAGAGGTGGCGTAAGCGACTCGTGACAATATCAACTTAAGGTCGTCAATACGCTCTCCGTTCTCTTCAAACTGCATGCTTCCGCTGTCATCAATGTACAAGATCACATCGTATAGAGCTAGCTTGACGATGTCAGAGGCGATCTCGGGACTGATACGCCATGTGGCAGCCAGTTGGGAGACCTGCTGAGCGGCTCTAGCAGCAATTTGATCCAACATCGGGTGACCGGGTGGGTAGAAATTCTGGAGTTGTTTCTCTTGAATAGTAGCTTGTAGAAGTTGCTTGTAGGCGCCTGCATTGCCAACTGGAGCAGCTTGAGGTGCGCCAGCTCCGCCAAAGGGAGGTTGGCCACCATATTGTTGAGGTGCACCACCTGAAGGACCACCTTGAGGGCCGCCGGGGTAGGGAGACTGTCCTTGACCTTGACCAGGAGGGGCGCCCTACATGAGACAAATTGTTAGCGACGGTTCTTTCTTAACAGCTCATGATAAATGTATTGGCGCTGCGACGAACATATCCATATCCACCACTGGGCGGTTGCTGATACGGTGGTTGTTGATATTGCGACTGGCCAGATTGATTCGGAGGCTGGTACTGCGACTGGTACGATGTATATGCTGACTGCGGCTGCGGTGACTGATACCCTCCCTGCTGCGGAACACCTAGCTGTTGTTGTCCATACTGCTGCTGTTGCTGCGGCGACTGCCACGACGGCTGCTGATATGGCTGTGGTGATGCACCTGGTCTAGGAGGTACTGGAGGCTGATTGTAAGGTGAGGGTGCTTGTTGCGGGTAGAGACTCGAGGCGGGTTGAGACGGGTAGGGTGCCTGCGCGCCCGGTGCGGCTGATGCCAGGCGCGAGAATTTGCTCATGGTTTGCCGATGTGGTTGTTTTGAATGTTGAGGGAGGATACGGATAGATTGGTAGAAGATACACTTGCAAAAATAGATCGATCTCGGGTTGCAGACGGGTGTTGTTGGATTCGAAGTGGGTATGAGGTGCAGAATCACAAGAGAAGTGACGCAAGAATATGGGCGCCGAGAGCCCGGTTCAAGGAAAAGGAGCAGTGATCGGAAAAAGTCTTACCGAAGGAGGACCACCTGGATATGCTTGATACTGTTGTTGGCCTCCGCCTTGAGCCGGGTTCTAAATAGCATTTCGTGTCAGTGCTCGGTTTGCTGATGATGGCATTTTTCAGGGCAGACTCACATAGCCACCTGGGGCGCCACCTCCAGGCTGTAGGCTCGTCGGAGGACCACCAGGGTAAGCTGCCTGCGCAGATGCAAGTTTGGAGGCAAGCTACACGCGTCATCAGCGGGAAGGACTTTGTCAGGGCAGATTTTGGGTGCATGATGGAGGGGGTGATTTGGGCTTTGATGATTGATTTTGCGGGGCACCGATTGGGGAGGGGCATAAGGGAAGGCTTACACCCATGCTTGAGAGTTGTTTTCTGTTCAACAAAGTTCTGTAAGATGTGTGAGGTATGTCAAGGAAAGAGTAGAGGTGAGAAGCAAGTTATACAGATCAAGAGCTTGCTTTAATACAAATCACAAGTCGACCAATCTTCTGAAGCAAACAAGGGAGCTGATCGCTGGGGGCCGCAATGCGTGGCAGTCCAAGGGTTGTTCCGGCAGGGACCACAGGGCTGTGTTGTCACTAACAGGTGGGGTAATATGACGGTGCCTGGTGGTGTGGTTGAATTGGTTGAATTGGCTGAGTTCGATGGGATCCTTGGTGAAGTCGATCTCAACTGCAAAACAGAATCCACAGAACTCAACGACTACTGTCAATGATGTGGAATCAAAGTGAATTAGATGATCTTTCTTACAATTCACCATCTGACAGTGCCACGGGCATGACGGGTTAAGGGTAGCCACACTGTGGCACCACGACAGTCATTGATTGGCGTCTGCCTAGCACAGCCTTGTTCAGCCACAAACGACCCCTCCCTAGGTACCTGATCGTCCCGTCCTTACAAACCTTTCGTGTTTCTCGCGAAATGTGCCATTTGAGTGGAAGCTCCCAACGGAAGGCTTGCAGATGGAGGTCTAGGTATGGAAAGGTGAGTATACTTGCCTGCAAGTCATATCACTCATGCCCATCTGTGTATAGTCGCTAGCGATGATGCTGCGATGGTTTTGTGCTGCAGATGTTGCGACTACAGTATGTACGTAGAGATTAGATAAGATTCGCGGCCAGTCGTCGCGCAACCTGCCTCTTCTAGCTCAACTTGAATGCGTTCGCTTCGAGGCCGCCACTGTATGTCATCAAGTTTTTGCCCGTGATGGTAGTGCGTTGTGAGCCTCATTTATCGCGAATTGTCTCTGTCGCGCACACCTGAAATCAGTCCCTTGGTTCGATTAGGCATACAGTAGTCACTCCTGCGGCACTTGGCGAGACCAGCGGTGGACTTTTGCAAAGGAGGGACTAGCAATTTTGTTGTTTGTCAGGTGTCGAGTCCAGCCCATTCAAACAGTCCCGTCTCGCCCACTGGTTAGCAGTCGGCGCACCACAGGATGCCCTCTTACACCCCAACGCAGAGAATGTCGATACACCAGTTCGTCCATTTCACTCAGACAAGAGAAAGCATAGCCGCAAAGGTATGGAGAAGAGTCTTTCCGGAAAATTCTGTGCTGAATGTGCCTTCTGTAGTTTCTCAAAACCCACGACTGGAGCGTTGAACGAGCGCTTGATTCGTAAGTGAGCACTTCCTTACTCTTGTCTCTGGTACTTCTCTTGCTTGTCTCCTTGCAAGGCACAAGGTTGGATGGGTTGGTCGCCGTTCGTCGTTCGTGACCCCGGACATCTGCGTCTGACGAAGTGAAGAAAGGCAAGCGTCCGATGCCCATTCACCGTGGAAAGCGGTATAAATTTACTTTAGACTGCTTGAGGATATCAACTTGGTGCTTCATCGCATCTTCTGCTGCCAAGAATTGCCCTCTGCCGTCTCTGGATCTGGGTTCCAGGCATCCATTGCTCCTTCTCCATCACCCTTCACGTCACCTTCAACGTCCTCACACCCACCATCATACATCCTCTTCTTTGCACATATCCTCCACTCTCATCAGCATACCACTATGCCACCCAGGAAACGCAAAGCCTCCACTACTGCCATGGCAGCCACCCCAAACACTCCACCTGATAAAAAGGTCAAGGCGACCGGAACGACAGGACAGACGGGTATTAGAGCTAAGCTTACTGGCCTTACCTCTGCTATGACCTCTCTCACATCCACTTCGCTAGTCAGTAGAGCAAAGACAAGCAAGAGTAGTGGAAAATCCCACCAGTCAAAGCCCGCAGGGTTCGTCGCTTACACATCTTTGAATCTGCAATGCTGACATGACTTGTTCTTGCAAGATTCTACCAGAGCAGCTCCGGTAATGGCTCCCCGTCGCCAACCGAGAAGAATCTGAACAAGCTCTTCGATCAGTATCGAGGTACTACTCATTCTCTGTTTCCCCCAAAAGAAAAAGACTAACGATGACGACTAGACAACCCCAAAGAGGCACCTGACACCATCGGCATCGAGGGGGCGCAGAGATATCTTACCGATATCAAGGTCGAACTCGACGAACTTGCACACTTGGCCATCTGTGACCTGTTACAATGTCCCTCTATCGGTGAATTCGAGCGAGACGGCTTCATCTCTGGCTGGCGAAGCGCATCTGCCGGGAGCAAACAGTACGACGCCACCGCCAACCAAGCTCAATATGTCGATACCGTCCGAAAGAAGCTCTCCGCCGATCCAGATTACTTCAAACAAGTCTATCGCAACTCATTCAAGCTTGCCAAACCTGAAGGTCAAAAGAGTGTCCCCATGGATTCGGCCATCGACTTTTGGAATATGTTCTTTCGCTCAGGGAAAGGTGGGATCGAGTGGAATACGGCGTCAACCAAATGGCTCGACTTGTGGTGTGAATTCTATGAATCTCGGAACAAGAGACCTGTCAACAAGGACCTATGGAACATGGTAGGAGAATTGGTCATGAAAACGAAGGAGCCTGAAGGAGAGTCATTGTCCTGGTGGACTGAGGATGGTGCTTGGCCTATGGCGGTTGACGATTTTGTTGCATACGTCAAGGATAAGAGAAAGGCTGATGGTGACACGATGGATACGAGTTGAAGTGCTAACAGCAAGCTCATGCACACCACCATTGATGCAGCAAATTTGATCCCGTGACGAACAAAGCGCACTGGAAGACGATGGGAATGAATAACACATCAGAAGCGTGCAGATCAGAAGCATACCTCATACCGGGCTTTCCGCACTGTTCTGGAGACAGGGATTACCAATATCAAGCACAACACGTTAGGAGGTAGTCCCAGTCTCAGCCTGGTCGGTATTGGGGTTCACGTGATACGTGATGCGTGATACATTCACTTATCATGTTACTAAATAACTGGCTATCCACGAGAGCGTCAATGCAGGTATTGACGGCGAAACGGGCTCGCCTGATAAACGTGGTATCAGTAGCAAGTGAACGAACGAAAATGATGAAGATATAGAATGGAGATGCTATAATCCATTACCAAGATGTTGATTCTGGGCTAGAACAAAGGTCCAGTATTTTCACAAGATTTCCAAATGCAAAATAGTCAAACATTGTTCCTCGCTTGTTCCCTTGTCCTCGTATTCCGAAATGCAGGTGTCGTGATGTTGCTATGCTATGCTATGCTGTGCTGTGCCGTATCGCTCGTTTCTCGTTGCTCATACAATTTGATTTTGGTTTTTTTCGGTCGTGCCGAGCGTTTTTGCCTCATCGCTCGTTGACGGCTCATGGGACTACAAATTCCTAGCACAACTATCTCCCGCATGGATGAATAGCGGGCCCTTGCAGCTCAGGTTCCTGGGGAAGCCGCCGGCAAGCCAGTAGATCTGGTAAGCGTGCAGTGCGCGGAGGTTGTCGTCCTGGCAGGCGTAGAACAAGTTGAGGCCGTTGTTCATCAGGCCGCCGGCGAAATTGAAACTGAAGCGGTTCGTGCGGGTGCCGGCGGGCGCGGAGCCGTGCGGGACGCTGAAGCCCACGGGCCGCGATTGTCGGGGCACGACGTACATGTTCTGCCAGCCCGTCGGGGACTGGTGGATGGATTGGAAGCTGATGCCGTCGCTGCCGCCTTTCGCGCCGGACACGATTAGGGGCTCCGAGTAGATTTGGTACTTGATCTGGCCGATGTAGGCCGAGCTGTTGGCGTAGAACAGGCTGAATGATTGGAGCTCGTTCATGTTGAAGCGGCCACCGCCAATTTGGAGCGTGTAGGTGCTCGGGTTGGCGCGTTCTTCGAGCTCGGTGGTTTCCGGGCCGAATTCAGCCTCTTCATCAATAGGGGCGGCGGTGGCTAGCAGGGCCGAGGCCAGGGTGAGGAGGTAGCTTAGCTTCATTGTGGGAAAGATCGAGTTGGGGTGTTGTGCGCTGGGTTGGTACTGAGATGAGAGCGATCGTGGACTATAATATCGAGGTGAGTCGAGAAAGTATGGCTTTCTGATGGTTGGGAAAAGGTGGGTAAGTGTATACCGCTTCAACAGCAAAGGCCCGAGGGTTTATGTACTGTGTTATTTGCCAGGCACAGGGCTCGAGAGGAATATCACCTGTGTGCGAAGTGAGACATCGCCTCCCAAGACACTAGGGCTTCTCGGAGCCCTAACCTGGTCGCGACAAATAAGCTGACGATGAGAGCTTCCAGCAGTATCCGTGGCAGACCGCGTGATGGAAGAGCAGCCTATACTGTCTTACCGTGGAGAGCTAACATGAAGCTGCGTGCTTAGCAGTGTCCAGTGGACAGGCACAGGGGGATAAGCGATCTTCAGGACGCTGACTGTGATATTTTTGAATGGGGCTGTGATCACGTCAGGATCATGTTTCGTTGAGATTTCGCGGGGATGTGTTTGATAGAAGTTGGCCTTCGGACAGTAGCATCATTGCCGGATACGGCCATGACATGAGTAGACAGTCGAAGCAACCAGAATGTATGTAACGGTGCCAAAGATTATATTGGGCCGACGTCGAAGTCTGTCCGCCAAGGCATCTGGTGTGATCTGCTGCTGATTCTCGCTTCTGGTCGGGAACACTTTCATTGGAAGTACTTCTCATCAACAGACACGTCTCTTCTCACCCATGGGTGATCATCATGCTTCTTTTGCACGCTCGACCCAGACCCAGGCACTTGCTCGTGCTGCAAGATTGACTTCTGGTACCTTGAACGTGGACAGATCGACAGGCTCGAGATGCGAAGATGCGTGAGCCTAACCCCGGATCTGCGCGGATTGACTCATTGCTCGGGGTATGGAGCTCCATTTCGGGCACCTCACACCATATTTTGGCTTTGAGAGTGCAGGATCGGACCACGTCACGCCATATGCCCAATTCGATCCTTGGGGGGAATGGAACGCTGGTTATCTGAAGATGCAGTGGAAAGTTGAAAAAATATGAAGATCGAATAGCAACACCACTCGTCAGAGACCTCGGCATGCCACCACCAATCAGAGCATGTGTGTCCGCAAGCCTGAACTTGGCAAAGAAGCAATGCTTGAAGTCGGCTCAAGCGACTGCCATTGATGGCTGAAGCTGCAGAGCGCGCTTCCAGGTAGGTCGTGACCAAGAGCATGCGGCAAGCTGCGCTGTCCGTCTCAAAAGGCTTCTGTCACATGAATAACCCAAGAAAATGGAATTGGGTATGACAGCTGAAAGACAGCAGCCTGTTCAATTTGCTCATCGGCTTTCTGACGACGCTCAGGCGTTTCCCAGGTGCGAAGGACCTTTTCAGTAACGAGAATGGAGAGTCCAGGTCCAAAGAGCCCCAAATCTAGCAGTATTCGGCCAGAAATGCAACTTCAGAGGTGATCTTTGGACTTTGGCAGAACCAGATCTCCTCCCATCAGAGGCATAGCCACCGTGAGCCCACGCTTTCACGGTATTGTTCTGAGTAATTACTATTGGATCCCCGTGAACGGGTCGGAGGCGACGTTGCTGACCACCCAGCAATCTGGCCGCCAGGTCCTGTTTGCGAACAGGCTGTAAGGCGGGGAATGCTGGTGGGAAGCATTGAGGCTGAAAGGTATACCGGCAGCAGGTATACAGATGCCTCCTTGATCCTGCAATGGCTGTCAGAGCCATCGAAGTTCATCTACTTCATTGTGAGCAGGGCAGACACCAGATTCAGAGCATACGACATATACCATCCACATGGTGTACTGTTGGTCTAACAATACCTATGTCCTGTTCCCAGGATCCCTGCCATCAAGGCGTACGCCTGTCTTAAGCAAAGGAAGGCTAGTACTTGACGAAAGCGCACTCCTCGTCAGTGAAGCCCTTCACCGCGTTTATACCACACCACCAGAGACTTTCATCCCATCACGTGGTCGCGATATTCACAGCCTGCGCACTGTGAATATCGCGACATTTAGACTGCGCGGTCGATGTTCACTATGTTCATTATCCAACACACCTAATCATGACGATGGCAACCTCCTCCCCCTCAAAGATCTCCTTGCTGACGCTCCCGGTGGAAGTCAGCAAGGAGATCTTGAGGAATCTCTTGCTCGTAGAGCGCAACCGCGGCCTGGAGACGGCCTTGGGGCCCCTGAACTGGCCTTACAGCCATCTGGCCAGAGACACCAACCAGTTTCGGGACTGGTGGAGGCGCTTCAACAAGATGGCGGAGCCAAGCAACCACACCATGAACCGCGACTCCGAACTCTTCTGGGCCCGAGGCCGCACCAAGAACACCATCACGCTCGACTTGGCCGTTCTGCGCGTCTGCAAACAGCTTTACGAGCAAGGAATCACGATTCTCCTGGAGGAGAACAAGTTCATCGCAATCTTTGGGGAGATGGCCGTGTGCCGCGACGAGATGAAGTGGTCAAAGATTTGGAAACCATATTGGCAATGGGACGCGGAGAACACTCGCTTTGTTGGATCGCCGGTCGAGGTCAAGCCAGTCTTGTCGCTTCTCTTGAATGGAGAAGATTATCATGAACGCTGGGCGAAGCTCGTGCCGGCCGCAGACCTGCCTGTTGTGGCTGCAGCAATGGCGATCGAACAATGGAGGGACATAGGGGCCCAGCTCCCCTTTATTGTTGACCTCAGAATCAAATCCGACGCGCAGCCAAGCGACTTTGGAGGAAACAACAAAGAAGATGACATTGTCGATTACCTCGCACCGCGCCTCCTGGTCTGGATTGGTGAGAGTATCAGAACCGTCACGGTCAGCATCGGACGGCCCGAGACAGTGGGAAGCATCCAAGTATGCGTCGACATTGCACAATCACTCATCAGCGTCACCAGAGCCTGGCGCCTCTTACCACGAAACAAACAGACAACTCTTTACCTCCAGAAGTTCATGTCATACCTCAATAAGATCGATCAAGCCATCAAAGATGGCAATGCCGACAGAGCACTCTTCACCTTCTGGCAACTCACTGACGAGCTGCAATGCTTCCACTGGCATCCAGCCATTCGCCCCCTGCTCGCCGCGCGAGATTTTGACGCTTTCCAGCTCACCGACTTACCAAACGCATACTGGACCATCTACTCACTTGCCTGCCACCGCATGGCCACCGCCGCCTTACAGACTGTCCCTTCCAACTTCTTCGGACCGACCTCGTTCTTGCATTGGGCCATCATGCGCGCTGAAGTGCCAATGATTCATTTCGCCCACCAGAGAGACTGGCAGCTGCGCACAGTCCTTCAGATCGCTCGTCTTCTCATCCAAGCAGGCTCGACACGCTGGGAGCTATACGACTGCGTGTACACTGCTGCCGAGCATTTCGACCTTCGTTCGCCAAACGCCCGCCATCCTGACGGCAATCCAAAATTCCGGGACTTGAAAATCAGTCTGCCATCGTACAAAAGACTCTCCCTTCAGCCGCAAGAGTACCAGTACCCTCACCCACGCCATCTGACAGCTGGAGATATCGCTGGAATCGATTTTTTGGTCGGAGAATGGACGGAGGAGGTCCAGAACGTGTACGGAGAGGCCAAAATGAGCCTGCATCAAGTCTAGGTAGATAGACATAATGACATGAGTTAAGACGCATACACCTACGGTAGTCATGTGATTCGCACCAGGGAGCAGTTCCATGATAGTAGAATGCAGTGATGGTGATAGAGTCCAAACCTTGCCATTTCATGCGTCCATCGTCCTTTGCTTACGAAGGACTCCGCAGGTCCATTCGTATTTTCTCTTGCTTTGGCTTCGAAGTTTTCCCAATACCTGTTGAGGCACTTGTTTGTCGTTGACAGCGACACCCCACGAGGCCGTATCTGAGTGTGAGAGAGCCCTTGGCTTCGATGGTCTCCCGTATTTCATCTGGTCGAGTTCTGTACTTTTGTCGGCGAGGCTGCCTGATTTTCAATCATACCCAGTTATGTGCGCGATCGAAGCTTGTACTGTTGTTGCCATGGGGCGCCTGATCGAAGAGGGAGATGCCCCTTAAGGCGACGGGCGCGAGCTGTGCAGGTGGCTTGGCCCCCCAATCATCCGTCACCCGCGGTGATCCTCAAATCTTCTCAAAGCTTCGCCACCGTTCTCATTGTCGACCAGGGACCGAGGGTGCTTCAAATATCGTTGTCGCAGCATCAACTCCGCTCGTTTGTGACAGAATTCAAAGGCCACCCAAAAGAACAGCAGAAGCCATATGTGACAGTGCGAAAGTCGATCAGGTCATGGGCAACAAAGTCCACGTATACGAGCACACTAGCTCGTACAATGCAATTTCGCACAAATCCCCCCAAGGACTACAGTGTCTTAAGGCTCTATTCAGCGAATATGACAGCTCGAACCCGAGTCGAATGAAGTTGAATGATCTGTTTACAGCAGATTTCCAGGACAACACCAATGGTAGCGACAGAAATACGGGTCGTGATGAGACCATCGACTCTATCATCTCATCAAGAGCAAAGTGTACGCGGCACCAAATCGACCTGAAACATGCCTGGTGCCTCGAGAACTCAGGAAGCAGCCAGACTGTCTTCTTTGAGGCCGTACGCTTCATGTATCTAGATGGCGATTCAGATTGGACGCGAATTCCGCTTTCAGGAAGGATAGAAGTGAGAGTCAAAGAGAACAGATTCTCGCTGAAAGACGCCATTGCCCAGATCGCCAGTCGGAGAATGACATCTGATGCCAGTCAGCTGGTGAGAAAGGAAATGTGGCGTACAGCTTCAATGCCCCTGAGCCCAGCCGAGACGCAATCTTTGGGTCTACAACCTTCCAACAGTCAGCTTGCTCTGCCGAACGTGTCAGAACTCCCAACTGCCCATACCTTGTCCTCGATGGATAACAAGCCATTGCCTGGTTATCAAAAGTCGCAATCGAGCAAAGATGCATCAACCGGGACGCCGACTGTAACCTCTGGAAGTTCGGTAGATGTGATCGAGAAGCTGTGAGCTGGGGTGGACCATGGTTCCGCTTACAGAGAGGAGTGTTGCTGCATAAGTGAAGCGAGGGACGGCAAACTCTTCGAGCGAGGAGAGAGATTGATGCAGTGACGCTGCATCGGATGTTCGCCTATCATGGTCTCCAGGGTAGTGTAGCTTTGGTCCTGCGATCGGTCTGTTCCAGGGAAAAGGATATCGAGATTTTTGTGGATTTGCATCGTCAAGGCTTTTCCGATTGTAACGCCGTCTTTGGTGGAGGAGCAGTTCTTCCAAGACCTCCCCTCATGAGTCTTTCGAATCTGTTCTCCATCTTGCTCAAGAACCCTCTGTAGTCTCGACCTGGCATTTCAGGATTCCGCCAGCCATCTCTGCACCACACGCTCCAACTGCCCATCTCACGAGCCACAAGAACATCAGTAGCAAGTCTGTCACCAACAATCACGATCTCTTTGGGATCTTCAGTGACACCGTGATCTTTAAAGTATCTCAGAATGTCTGGCCCGCAGAGGGGTTTCTTTCGGTCCGGGTGTTGTCTCAGCACCGGGAGACCAAGCTCGAGTTCCAGCTGCTTTGCCTCTGCTTCATGCTCTGGAGCTGAGGAACTGCCAGCAGTGTTGGATACTATCAAGATACTGTGCACATTTTGGGAGAACTCCGGACTTTGCCTGATCTTCTCGACCTTACTGAGGTAGGCTTGATGCAGGTTAGCCGTCTCCGGCGGACAAATCGTGTTATCTTTGTCTAGGACAATTGCTCGAATTCTAGGCTTGGTAGGAAGAGAGGGTCCGATTGGGAGCGGAAGAGACAGCAAAGTCGGAATGGTTCCATGAGGCAGAAGAGTGGACGGGTCATGCAGCGCGTAAGCGAGCGTCAAGCGAAGGGCTGGTACATTGGAAAAGAGCGGCATGACAATGCAATGGACGAAGATGGTAGTAAAGTGCGTCGAAGTGGGTGAAAATGCCCTTCAGTGACTTGCGAAGTGCAGGCGAGGCTTGAGGCTTCTTGGATTGATGGAGATAAGATCGGATTTAGTCATGCACCTACAAACCTCCAAACCTCGAACCTGCGCCGCTTTTTCACTGCGCTGCGACATCGCAAAGTCCAACACCACAGTCTCGAATTCCAGCGCCAGCAACAACTCACGCACCTTCAGCCGACGTCTTGCTCCTTGCAAGTCTTCACACCGACTCTTAGACCTGCCCACCTTTGTCCAAGTCCGCCTGCTCTAGATCCGGTCACGATGGGCAAACTAACATCCACGATCGGCATACCCATCAAACTGCTCAATGAAGCACAGGTAAGCCTCTGCAACATGCGGCGCGGTATCGAAAGAGTAAAACTAATCAGATTCATGATCAGGGGCATGTTGTTACGTTAGAACTCACGTCCGGCCAAGTTTACCGTGGAAAACTCCTTGAAGGTAGGTGCCCAGAATCCATCGTGCTCCAGTCAACGCAGGACAACTCTCTTTCCGGCGCTCTTTGCTCAAAATTACTGCGAATATACTGACCTTTCTTCTTCAGCCGAAGACAATATGAACGTCCAACTCAAAGACATCACCGCGACCGCACGCGATGGCCGGGTATCACATTTGGACCAAGTCTACATTCGAGGTAGCCACGTGCGGTTCTTCATCGTCCCCGATATGTTGCGAAATGCGCCCATGTTCAGATCACGAGGCACAAGAGGTCGTGGTGTTGGTCTGGCTAGAGGAAGGGCTACGGTCAACAGAGCAAGAGCTGGACGAAGAGGCTGAACGAGGCACCAGGGAATTGCTACGTTACCAAGAAAAGGCGCATATGTTTGAAGTATTGGTTGATATCTCAAAGGGTGCTCGGAAGGTGTTTCTTGCGCGAGGAAAAGTCCTATAAATCTCTGTCGCGCATGGCAAGGGCGCCCTATCTGTGGAAGGGCGGAAATGGGAAGTTGATGATACCCAACGAGAGAACGTACGCCCTTGCGTTAACAAGGGCAAGACCTGAATGAGAGGCAGGTCGAAGAGCCCTATGTCTGGGTCTGAATGTGAATCTGGATAGTCATGACTTTTGCGGCCTCCTACGCCTGCTGACGAGGCTGTGTGGAAGCCTTGCCTGCCAAGGCCCAATATAAATGATGTTCCGAGCATTTGCTTTACTACTAGGTATTTCATCATAGACAAGGGCATGAAATCCCAGATTCACTGCTGATTTAGGTGTCCTTGAAATGGCGCAGCTGGAGATTGACGTCCTCCAAGTCGATAGTAAAGATCGACTATTGTGACACAACGAGAAGCGAGCAACAATAAGGTACCAAACCTGAGGTGGTCAAGATGCCCGACGCCCCTGCTAAACCATCCGCCCTACGCCTCCTGATACTCGCGCCATCTTCTGATCCAACATCGGTACCTCCCTTCTCAAATCTTCTACACGCCATCACCGGCTCAAAGCCTTCGGACGAAGTCACTTCGTTTTCTGGGTACACATCCCATCCGCCACTCAGCCTACGAACGAAATACTACAACGCCGATGTGAGTATCTGGTGCGACGAACTACCGTCCACCAGTGTCTCATCAGCGGGCCGTGACAAGTCGACATTGACCGACCTTGCCAATCCAGACGGCAGCGAAGTCCCATCTTCTACAAGCGAGAGCGAGACGCTTCTGGCAGCGCCGCCTACCAAGGGGTCCGCCGAAGATGCCGGGAATACCCACTCGACCCTAGAGGAATGGCAATCTCAAATGCTCTCGCCCGCTGCCTGTGAGGTCCGCGCTGTGATCGGCGGGATCATTCTCATCTTACCTACATCGCCACCATCATCATCACACTCTGATGCATTCTCACAATCACACATGTCCCTCGTCGAAGCAGTCCATTCTCTCCGTGAGGCCGCCGAGGACGAAAGCTACGGGCGGGATATCGCTTCGATCGTGGTTCTGCAATCGACATCCCCCAGCATCACCCCGGCCAAGCTGTCCCAGATAACGGAGCAGCTCGAAGAGTCCTGCCTGTCAGACAAGGGCATTCTAGGCTGGGATTTCGTCGCATGGAACGGCGAGCCTTCCACGGCTGAGAGCGCCGATGAGCGTAATGAATATGGCGAGAAGACGGGCATCCGGCGAGTCGTTGAAGTCCTCGAGGGTGTCGACTGGTCCGCCACGCCGAATCGGGGTGACGACGAGGATGGATTCGACTTCGACGAGCTTGATATTGATGTGGACGTCGACGACCCCGAAGATGGAGGCTTCTCTCCGAGGAACATTCTACGCAATGCCCGATTATCCGGCCTTGACTACGAGCTACAGCGCGAGATGATGGAGTTGAAAATATCACTCGGCGACGCCCAAGGCGCAGAACCTGAGACCGGCGAACAAGCCAGGACAGATGTCAGGGATGAAGACGTCCAAGTCGAGCAGCTCCAAGGCTTGATGGAGCGAGTCGTGGCCATCCGCGAAGCCGGCTCTGAAATGCCGCGCACAGAGAGGGAGAAATTTGCAAAAAGGGAAATTGGCAGGATCATCCGAGAAATGGGCTAGGATAGTGCAATGCATTGCGTGCATTGATACAATGTTGATTGCTACAAACATCAACCCGACTTTTCGGCCAAAGGGTCCCCTGCGATTGTAAACCCTTGATTTGCATAGCGGACACTATTAGAAGTACTAGGACAAATGCAACGCCACGATCGTCAGGCTGTGCTGCTGCCGCGTCCTGGAATAGAAGTACTGGCTCATGAAGTCGTCAAGGCCGTCGTAATCATGTATCCCGAGATGTGTTTCAGCAACGTATGGCGCCCGCTCGAGAAACCATGATTCTTCCGGCTCCCCCTGTGCGTTGAAGTGGCCGGTCATCAAGGCCCAGAGGAGGAGAGCATTCTCGTTGTATTGTTTTGAGTGTAGATTTCGTAAAGGCTGTCCCAATGGTTCGTTCAGCGGGCTTGACCAGTAAGACGAAAATGGCGAGGCTGGAGGTTGGGGTTGTGACTGGAAGCTACCTGTCATCTCGGCTTCTGTGCCCAAGGAGGTCGTCTTGGAGGACCAATCCTTGTCGATCGCGTTCAATGCGTGCTGCAGACGACGCATATTCGGCCGAGCCGAGCGAAAAGCCACCCTATTCGTGCAGCGTATGAGGATAAGCAGAAGCGCAATCCTCAATACTTCGGCTTTCCGGGCGCTGATAGTTTTGTGGCCGAAGAATGGATTAGCGGGCAACAAAAGCAGCCGATGAACCAGTGCTCGGGCACGTTTGCACATCCAATCTGCATCTCGCTTGGTTGCATTCGGGGTGCGCCACACACATTTCGCCACAGTAAGCACATCAAGAATGTCTCGAAGGACAGGTGCCAATAATGGATGAACCGCGTCTGCAAGCGAGTCCTCGCTCGAAACCGGATCCCAGAGTGCAAGCCAACGTCGTGGAGGCATCTACAAGGATGTCGACCTGATGGGGAACGGTTGCACCTTGAACAGAACTATAGGAGTGAGTCGAATGGCCAACCTGGCCAGCCGCAAAGGCGCCGACTTCCTCTCTGATAAGTGCCATCCTGGACCTCTTCAGTGGTCCGGGATCGTACATGACGGGAAATTCAGGCAACCGGCCAGTCTCGATACATATCAGGTTATCAATGTTCACGATTCCTTCTCTTGCGAACGCATCGGATGGGTGGCCGAAATTAGCCAGCGGGAACAGCTTCTTCGCTGCTTGCACATGTATTGTTGCAGCGTCATAACGTTGACATATCCATTCTGCTAAGGCAAGACACTGGATAGAGCGTAGGAGTCCTGAATCGATAGGCATGCCTTGATCTTGACATTCGAGCATTCTTTCTCGGATCTCCTGTAGTGTCAATTCCAGGTAATACTACGGTGGGGGAAAGTTCATCATTGGTACTCGTGATATATGGACCATTCTGGCGGCCATAATGACCATAAGCCCCGCAAAGCGAAGCTTTGATTGCATGGCCCCCTGGAGAGCCCTGTCTCGGACGGCCGCATATCGATGCACTGGCTGAAGATGAGGCGGAAGGATTTCAGTCTTGTCATTGTGAGCTCCAGTCACAGCAAAAATCCAGTAATATCTGATCAGCGCTTGGACATGCCGAGTAATAGGAAGTGGTGTGGCAGAGAAAGGATCGATGCCAGAGCCTGAATGATAGTTGCATCTTGGTACGCTATCATCGTTGCGACGGTGTCGCTTGAGCCAGTCGTTGACCTGCCTGGGGATTGAAGAACGTCCAGTCGGAAGTCGTTGGGGCTGGGCTTGGATGTCATCGTTTCCTTCCCAAGACGTAGAAGGACTCTGCTGAGGAGGGGCCTTGTGGTCTGGACTCGTAGAGCTGTAACATAGGGCTATTAGCGCCTGGAAGTGGAAAGAGTTCTAGTATCAAAGCCGAAGAACGGTCTGCAGTGCGGCTTCAATCGTGCCGGACGCCGTCACTTGGGGCTCTTCCTGAACAGCATCACTGCGCAGATACACACCGTCCCACGCATGATTCGAAGCTAGCTTACCTAGTACTCAGCGGCCTATGGCGATGTGAAAATGCAAGATTGAGCCGAGGAGGCTGTCTCCCTTTCTTCTCAGCATTAGTATCGGATTTTTTACGCTGAACGAAGGAAAAGATCCGGTGGGTTTCTCTGTGATCGCTCGACGATAGAGATAGTGATGCTTCGTCTTTGTTCACCCAAAGAAACGTTCTGTTCTTCTGTTTCCTCTCCGGCATCCTTCAGCGCGATCATGTCCTAACGAGTACAACAGACAAGCCGACGTCTTCGCGACAGATGCAAGGGCAGGACGTTATTAAAGATAGCGGACTGCCAGCTTGCCAGGCAGAGCCCGCATTGTCAAGAGCAAACCCCGGCGGAGGCAAAAAAGGTCATATCATACCTTACGGCAAGATCTAGGTTTGCCCAAGATGTCCTAGAGACTTCGGATGGCCACTTGAGGCCATTCCACTTACAGTAGGAATGCAGCATCGCTAATCAGAGCAACAGAAGGGAATATCGATGGAGGGTGGGCGGTTGAATATGCAAGCTGACAAAGTGATCAACATCTGGATCTGCCCAATCACCAGCCAAGTCTGACTAAGCAGATCCAGATCATTTTTTAACCGATCTAAAGAATATTCTCCCGACATTATTTGCATTGTTCTCTACGCACAGAGCCTCATGAGAAGATGATCAATCTATAGCGACTTCAAGGCCGAGTTTCGTCAGGTCCACTGCCATTGGTAGGCTTGCACCCGTCTCTTATCTTGCGTGACTCTCGAGTCCTCCATACCATTTCCCCCATATCCCTGCTTCCACGATTTAACAATCCAGCCTTCATATCGCCATGACCACGCTCGTCGTCCCCGGCCAAGTCCTAGCGAGCACATCCACCCACCAAGCCGGTCCAGGCACACACATCTATGAAAACAACATCCTCGCCTCGATCGTTGGCCAAACCTCGACCACTCCCGCCCCGAACAAGACCAGCAAACCTACCATCTCAGTCCCCCGTCAAGGCCCGACCCCGACGAGCGTCAACTCTGCAGCGGACCTCCCAAAAGTCGGCTCGACCGTCCTCTGCCGCGTAACGCGTGTGCAGCAACGCCAACTCGCTGCATCAATCCTCCTCGTCGACCCGTCCGCTCAAGACGTCGTCTCCTACACTAAAATCACGAACGATGACCTTCAATTCCAAGCCGTGCTGCGCCGCGAAGATGTGCGCACCCACGAGAAAGACAAGGTCGTCATGAACGACATGTACAGAGTCGGAGACATCCTGCGAGCCTCCGTGATCAGTCTGGGCGACGAGAGAAATTATTACATCAGCACGGCGGGCAACGACTTCGGTGTGGTGGTTGCGACGAGTGGGACTGGCAACGCCATGGTTCCGGCAAGTTGGAAAGAGATGAGGGACGTTGTGACCGGCCACGGCGAGAGTAGGAAAGTCGCAAAGCCGATGTGATCAACCAGTAGGTTCCGCTACTTCGATATGAGCATGCCTGTCTTTGGAGGTACAGCAGGTGCCGACCTTCGCCTATCAACCCTTCAACGTCTCCGAGTAATCATGGGTACCAGCATCGGATCTGCTACGCGCACAAAACACATGCGAAGGCGGCGAACATCGTGGTGTGCCGTCACGTTTGAAAAGGTCAATCTCAGCTGCGACCGATCTCTGCAGCGGCCACATTCCAGCTAGCCCTCCGCCATTTAATTATCCTTGCAAACAGAGGATGTCGCAACCGTTCTTCCGTCTGAGTACACAGCAAAGGCCCATCATAGGGAATTCCTGTACTAGAAGCCTTCGACTTCGTGAAAGATCAGCATCCATCACTGAAAGCGCTGAGACAGAATCTCGGCGCCAACACTGGTGGAAGCGAGCTGTCACATCTTCTCACAATTGAGAAATCCCCGGCAGCATGAATGGCCCAAGTCGTCCTCGGGCTTACATATTCCCTGCTTTTTGGTCTCTCAACCATACCTCTCCAGTATCCATGGTCACGACCTTTGCAATGTCAGACTGTGTTCGTCACGGGAGGAAGAAGAATCCTTTGCCCTGAAATCATTGGAATCATTCACTTGGTTCTTTTGAACTTGGAGGCTTCCCCTGTCCAGGTCTGGCATCGCTTCACTATCTAAATGAGACGTCAGAAAGAATTTATGGGAGGAGACATGAAGAACCTTCGTGCCCCATACTGGTCGGACTCGCAAAATGTATAATTAGTGCAATCAGGTTAAGAGAAAAGCTATATTCGAGCACTAGCGTCTCTCTCCTGGCAGACCAGAGTTTGCACAAGCCATTCTTTAATATGCGGATAGTCATTCCTCGCCCTCCTATCCTTGTTTACCATGTAACCAGCCTCTTGTGCAGCCAAACGGTAACGCGCCACAACGCCTCGCTATGCCGCTGCACCATCCTGTACGCATATTCAATCTCCATGCCAGGGGTATATAATGAACGGAAAACAATATTGTCTCTTTCACGAGATTCAAAACAACCGTTGCAAGCCACCTCATCCCTCCACCAGTGTCTGCTTCGGGCCTTTCCCAAGCAATTCAAGCGATCTCTGAGCAAGAGCAATCACTTCACCCTCACCTTCTTCGCCCTCTTCATCATCAGATTCGACATGCTTGTCAGCAATCGTCTTCACCCTCTGGATAATGTCTTCGGACTGGGCGACCAGGTTGACAAGCTTCTTATCATCCGACTCCAAGAGTTGTAGCAATGTCCAGATTGCGATGTGTTGAAAAGTAGGATCACCACTCGCCAAAAAACGCTTCAAATAGCCATGGATGCCGCCTTTTGGTTCGTTCCAGTCACGAACAAAGATCGAATAGTCGCCCACTTTGGAAGATAAATTGCCCAGAGCAGCCGCACTATTGCCTTGGACCTCGATACTTTCAGAGTCGGTCAAAGGAATGAGAACGTCGAAAACGCCCAAGTTGAGAAGGTGAGGCTTGAGCTCGTCGCTCAGAGCCAAAACCGCAATAGCAGCCGTCATCTCAGACTGGACACTCAAGGGAACATGCAACACCAGTTCCTTGCATTTCTGAACGGCTCCAGCTTCCAAGACAAGCTGTTTGTTTCGATCCGAGCTTGCTGCAAGGTTGCGAAGAGTCGAAATGGCGTGACATTGAATCTCTTCGTTGTCGGTTGAGCCAAGAAGGTCGACCAGAGGTTTGAGGAAACCAGCATCGATGATAGGTGATTCGTTCAAGGGATGAATAGAGATGTTGCGGATACAGGCGACAGCAGAGAGTATAAGCGGGAGATAGGAGGACTGCAAGAGCCGGAGAAGTGGTTGCAAGCCTCTAGCTCGGACGATTTCCAATTGGTACTTCTCGTCAGAGGCCAGGTTTCGTAGAGCCAGAGCCGCTTGACATTGCACCTTCGGCGTGCCAGAGTCCATTAGTTGTACCAGAGACTGTACAAGGCGAGACTCGGTTTGAGCTAGCTTCTTTCTGTTGGAAGCATCAACCGCAATATTGCTCAAAGCCGTCGTACAGTAGTATTGCACATCCATGTCCGGAGAGGAAAGAAGTTGAACGAGGACAGGTATGGCTCCAGCATTGACGAGCTGCTGTCTATTGTCGTCTAGAAGATGTTAGAGGATGCGCCTTAACAAAAGATATCCGGTCTTACCAGAATGTGTCATATTGAGCAATGCGCCAGTAGCGTTCCTTTGAACTCGCATGTCTTTCGACTTTGCTAGTCTCGTCAGCGGCCCCAGAGCTCCTGACCTCGCAATCTTTGCCTTGTTGTCTTCGTGGGTAGCAAGATTAGTAATGCAGCCGACGGCATTGCATTGAACCTCGACGTTTGGCGACATCATTTGGCGGATGAGGGGAGGCAGACCTCCCAGTTGGACAATGGCAACCTTATTTTCAGCTACATTTTGTCAGCCTGGCCTTTATTCTTAATGCATACGACGTACTGTTGACTGCCAAGTTGCCCAATGCAGCACTCGCTGCTCTCTGAACCTCGATGTCAGGATTTTGTAGAAGGAACAGTATCGGCTCCAGCACATCCCGGTCGACTTCTCTCACATCTGGGGCATCGTCAGAATTCCACGTCTTCCAGTCTCTTTTCAACCTTCATACCTCTCTCTGTGATCTCGGCAAATGTAAGACTGGCACTTCGTTGAAGGTCAACATTGTCGGAGTAAACCAGGGTGCATAGAGCTCGTAACGGCTCGCCGGAAAAGAAATCTGTCTCGCCGCGCTGTCTCCGTTAGGCCCTGTTGCCAACACATTTTTCAGAAGTAGCGTACATTCTCAAGATATTGTAAAAGGTCAGCGACGGCTTCCCGTTCACTGTCTGCTAGGGCGGGTTCGTAGAGGTTATCTTTTGGCCGACCTGAATAGATCATCGTCAGTACGCAATTGCCCAGGTAGAGTGATAGAGCACTAACCTCTGCAGGACGAGCAGAGAGAGGAAACTGTATTCCCCATTTCGAGACAGAGGGTCTTGGGGGGGACGAAGTCGAAGGCGTGGGTTTTGGCGATCAGCGAGGCGGCACTCGTGAGGGCTCAGGCGAGGGTCGCAGCCAGGAATAGAAGGCCGAATTGTAAGCAGCTCATCTGATGCGGGATGCCACTGGAAATGCAGAGTAATTTATGCTCGAGGCTGTTGAGGAGAAGATGAAGCAAGCTCAAGTCCTCGAAATGCCTGCGTTTGGACCGCTGACCACACAGGCCGCAGGCACGACCACAACCCAATGTGTGGAATCAGCAAGCACCACGAGCGGGCTGGCTATCGATGAAGTGATGGCACCTGCAGTCGGCAGAGGAGTTAGTCGTCGTCGAGGGCCGACGTGATGATGTGTGGAAGCTGCAGTCGACCAACAAGTCTAGAGCAAGCCGAAGTCACGGAAATACACGTGTGGACTTGGAATCTTGCAGACGCGGGCGTCAGTTTAGTTACCTGAGTTTAGGTGCACATGTTGTTTAGGCTGCACCTGCACCCGCTGAAACGGAAAAAGGGTACTCCTGATAGGTGCCTGACTGGTTGGCATCGGGAGTGGGTTGACGTTGCGGTCTCGCTTACTGAAGGGCAGCAGCCGAATAAAGGCAACTCCCGCGATCCGGCAGACATCATCATCACTAAAACATTTGTTTAAAGAAGCAACTCGTCGCCTGCATGCTCTCGAGTATTGCTCAGGCACACATTTCGTTCATGATCCTACAGATGTCTGCTACGTCTATGCCGCATCTCTTCGAGCTAACCTCCGCAAGCTACACTTGATGGCAATACTGCGAGAAATGAACAGCTGTGATCCCAGATGCTTCTTTCACGTGCCTCCAACGTCATCACACCACTTGGGCATCGAAGCCTGTCGCCAGGGTCGCTCCAGGACGCGATTGCATGGAGCATGGGGTCTGTCAAAAGAACCAGGGTCTCATTCGAATAAGATAATCAATGATTGTCTATCCTGAACGTCCTATGTATCCACCTAGGGTTATCATCTCTAAAGCTCAGGGCAAAAATATGCTAATGGTGGCCTTCCCGTTTCCAACCTCCCAGTTTGCGGTGCTACGCAATGTTCCATTACTCCCTTCAAACGCCAATTGGTGATTGCTCAATGTTTCGAACACAAATTCAAAAGAAAATCGTGGATATCATGCAGACGTCCATGTCCTGGTCGATTATTTCCGGCTGCCGAACAGCGGACCTTGCTTGATGATGGGTGAATAGATCCCAGCTGGTGTCAATGGCTCCTGAGTTGGCCGAAGTTGCTCAAGAACACGCTTGAGATAAGACTTTCTCTTGATTGAAGAGCAGGAGTCATCAGACTCATTGGACTCACGTCGAGACGATGTCTTTGCGGAGTGCTTCTCAGCCTCGACGATGTTGAAGTATGAGAGGTAGGTGGCCGGCATGCTGATTGATGCGTAAAGAGATGGATTGACTGGGCTAGATTGGTATGGCTTGTGGAGGATATGTATGTATAGCTTGAGATGGAGGCAGAAACGAGGAGCAAGTATTGGGCTATTTCTTGTGAAGCTTGTTGGCTGGAGAATGAACATCGTCTCCTACAGCATCCGAGGGCACGGCTTATATACTCCCGACTTACCACAGATTCGAAGACCATGTTGTCCCCTGCGCAAAGTGGACAGAACTCATACCACGCCCTGTAGCGTTGTGTTGCAATGCTATGACATTGTCGAATCACCAGTGTCTGAGGAGTATAAACGGCCCTTGCCAATCAGCAGTCAACATACACCCGCCCTTTCGCCCCAGAGCGTGTATAACTGTCTTTAGCGGAATCAATGTGTCAAAGCACGTGTCGACCTGCTTTTAGCGATCGTCGTGGATCATGGCCACTCAAGAGTCGTGGAAAATTTTCTCAAATTTTTCCTGACTAAGACCTCTAACGGCAACGTGCCGTGGCACCACTGACATGTCACGAATCCTTTGTCCAAGAAAATCTCAATTGATGGGGTAAGAGAAAGCAAGGAAAGCAGACGTCACCTGCGCAAAGAAAAACAGGCCAGAATCAACCCGGGGAGAGGTCATGGCTCGAAAGTCTGTTATCCTCAGCCTTGTGACCAAGAGTATGTACTCTAATTCCAGGAGGAACAGCATTGACCATTTGTCGTCCTGAACTCAGCGCTCAGCCTCGAGCTGCTATCAACATCACTCTTGCATGGACGTTACGCTGTTTGAAGGCCACACCCTCAAGATAACTCGAGTATAAACGAAACTTTCTTCGGTGGGTTATGAACTATGTTACAGTACTTTGGTCTTACCGGTCCCGGTCATGGCCAGGTATGAATCAGCAATACATTGTCCAAGGCGAAGCACAGGGCATTCTTGAGTTTGCTTGATAGCCTGCATTTGCTGTGGCGAGCAGTCCTTCGAAGTTTCTGGGGATCACAGGTTTCCACTCCGATCCAGCAACTAGAATTGAAGGCTCAATCATAAGAGCTCCTTATGACTCACGACGCTTTTGCATCGCGACTGTTGCAGGAACCGAAGAGTTCGTTGAATGCATGTCACTTCTGCATGCACCTGGCTGTTTTATCGTGCATCGCTGGCGACTCGATGGCTTCTTACCATGGCGTAGGAAGCAAAGGGGTAGACCCGAAAATATGGTTTGAATACAAGCAGCATAGAATACCCACCAACCAACCGTGATGAGAATGTTGCAACAAACGCTGAACACGCATGTGTGAGTTGTGTTCAATACCTCCGTCTTTGTCTGGGGTCGTCGTGCCCATCGTTTTCGTGATACCGCTTTCTCGAGCCATAGTCGTCTTCGCGTCTGCCTCCGGCATATCGGTCACGATCACGATCTCGGTTTCGATCTCGGTCGCGGTCGCGGTCATAGCCCCGGTCTCGCCCTCCAAGAGGATCTTGATTGCTTCCTGAACCACCTCCTCGATCGCCTCCATAACCGTTGCGTCGGTCGTCGTAACCTCCGCCATACCCACCTCTACCTCCCGGTCCGCTAGGTGCATTTGGCGGCGGAGGTCCACTTTGATAGCCTCCTTGTCGGCCACCGAAACCACCGCCTCCTTGGTAGCCAATGCCACCCCGCCCCCCATATCCGCCTCGGTCACCATATCCACCTCGATCACCACGGAAGCCACCACGGAAACCTCCACGGCCACCGAAGCCTCCTCTGAAGCCGCCACCAAATCCGGCCTGAGGAGCTCCAAATGTAGGCTTTGCAGGCGCTTGTTTTGTGTATCCACGTCCACCCAGGCCACCACCAAATCTTCTTGGTCTCCAGCCAGGCACCATACGGCCACGTTCGACGTCGACAACGATTCTTCGATCCTTGATTCGCATACCTTCTGATTCTTTGTAGGCGGCTAGAGAGAGCAACGAGGCGTCCGGGTCAGTCTGATGATTTCTTACCATGAAATCTGAAGGTGCAGCAAGAATGGGTGGCTGGGAGAGGAAAAGAAGTGCACGGAGAGAATTACCTCGCATATCCTTTTCACGTTCGTACACGATGAACGCATAGCCTCGATGTGGCTTCTTGGGCTTGGGGCTCGTCTCATCCTTGACAAGTCGTATTCTTTCGATGGGACCGAACCTTCCAAACTCACGTTCCAAGTCTGATTCTTTGACGTCGTAGCTCAGACGGCTGATGAACAAAGTCTTCGCCGCATCACCTTTGATTTTGGGGTCTTCATTAGGCTTGTAGCCTTGGAAATCATCCTTCTTGATCTCTTCCAGCCACTTGGTCTTCTCCAGTCGCTTTCGATCACGCTGTTGCAGCCACGATTCTGTAGGATGATGCACGTCTGTTTGTTTGTACTCTTCGAGCTTGGGAAGGAATGCAGCTATCCCAGAGAGCTGCGATACTTTGACAGCTCGCTCATCGGGTGCAGCGTCTTGAGGCGGGATGTATTTAAGAGGTGGTCGCGGTTGAAATAGGGCGAGAAGGTTGTGAGGGAGTTTGTCCGTCATCTCGGCTGCTTAGGACAGCTTGCTTGCTCCGAATAGTATGAAAGGATCATGAAGATAAGATCAAGAGAGAAGATGATGCTAGTAATACAGAACAATGGGCAGGGTGAAGGCGAAGGTAAGTTGAGGAACTGCCTGACACGCGCGTGCCGAAGTTCAAGAGAGGCTTCAGGAATTCCTGCGCAGCTTGGCTGTAGCCCCAAAACGGCTTAGCGTGTCTCCCTCGGAGAGGAATGCCTGCACTCACCGTTGATGCTTCATCTTGACCGTCTTTAACCTCAGGAGTGGCACAACTTCTAGGATGGCACAGGGCAATTAACACGAGTAACACCATCTTCATGGCAGTTACCGTCTCTTAACCGGCGTTTTATGGCCGTCACTAAGGACATCATCTTACACCTCTGGTGCCAGGTAGAACGCTGCCGATCACAAGTAGCAAGCATAGTATATCGAAATGACCAAAGGACGCCGAACATAAGGAAGGTAGTTGCAAGGGTATGCTCATTGTGTCCGCTTCTCGCTATGCTTATATTTGGCACAGTAAAGTCCCTTGGTGGACGTTGCCAGCATAGGAGAGATCTTAAGGCTCGCCTAGCACCCTGCCTCTCTATACCCATGGGCCGACTACTGTTGAGCACACCAGAGGCTTCATCACCGGCGTACTCGTATTCTGCCAACATCTCAAAATAACTGCTTTACCTCGACTGCCTTGCAACACCTTTCAAATCGAGGTAGCCTTGTGGCCGCCTTGCTTCTCCGCTTTCTTCGTATTCACCTCTTCTCCAATCGGCCATCAACCAATCTCCAGCTACTCTCAAGGCAATGGCTCCTGACATGCGCAGAATCTTCCTGTCTGGGAGTAGGCCAATTCCTATTTATTCTGCTAGCACGGAAAAATGATGGAATTATTGGTTCATCACGGTAAGGCAGCTTTCCAAGACTCGTACGGTCCTCGACGTTGTCCAGAAGTGACCATCCAGAAAACATGCGAGTACGACTCCATGGATATGCTGCTATATATTCTGCAATGTGGCCGTACCCAGCTTCGATAGTCGGCTTTTACACTCCAACATTCAGTGATCAGGCTGTATTACATCACAGGTCATGGCAGGTAAAGTCCTAAGCCTTGTCACCAGCATTGCCTGGTTCGTTCTGGGGATTAGCGCTACTCCTCAACCATACTGCAAACCCATTCCAGGTTCTTCCGACTGGCCTTCGCTGTCAGAATGGCAAGCATTGAACTCAACGGTCCTAGGCCGACTCATCGCTCCCGTGCCACCTGGCCTGGTTTGCCAAAAGAATAGCTCCTTATACAATGTCGAAGCATGTGGAAATGTGTATCAAGAGTGGACAAATTCTTCGTGGCATGCCTCGGATCCTTTCACTGGCGACTACAACGACGAAGCTTGCCTCCCTAGCAATTTAGCTCCTTGCTCTGCTACAGCTTACCCTGCCTACATCGTCAATGCGAGTGATGCCAGCCATGTTCAAGCCTCTGTCAAGTTTGCCAAACGAACAGGCGTCAGGCTCATCGTGAAAGGGACAGGCCATGATATTGCGGCACGGTGAGTCCTTGGGTCCTATGAACTGGCGTTAGATACACTGATAGAATTACTAGCTCCTCAGGTCCGCATGCACTTTCGATCTGGACACACAATATTCGTGGCGTCAATGTCACGATGGGAGACGCACGTGCAAAGAAGTACGGTGGCGTAGCTGCTGTCAAGATCGCCGCGGGTATGCGCATGCGAGAGATATACACCGAAGCCGCTAAACACAACATCACTGTCGTCGGCGGAGGCGATGTTGATGTGGGAATCGGAGGGTGGATCACTGGAGCTGGTCACAGCCCGATCAGCAGCAAGTATGGCCTCGGTGCAGACCAGGTACTCGAGATGGAAGTCGTTACCGCCAACGGCACACACTTGACCATCAACGAGACTTCCTATCCTGGCCTCTTCTGGGCCATGAGAGGCGTGCGTGTCCGATTCTTTTGTTGATCGTGGCTGTGCTGACATCTTCCAGGGAGGCGGCTCTACCTTTGCGGTCATGACCTCTGTAACCGTTCGAGCTTACCCGAGCCTTGCATCGACCTGGTACGTATACAGCTACAATACGACGGCCGACTCGGATACCTACTGGTCCTTGGCCACGTACTTCCACAGTCAACTTCCAACTCTTTCGGACAAGGGTGTCATGGGCTACTACTGGGCGTTTGCCTCCCTAGCCTCTCCACCAGCTGCTCCGAAGAGCACCATCTTTGGCGTCTGGGTCCTGCCTGAGAAGTCTGCGGACGACACAAAGGAGATCATGGCTACAATGGAGGAAGCGATCAGCAACAATACTTTCGGATGGAAGGACCCAGTTATACTATCCAACTATTCACTATATGTCCCCGATTTCATGTCCGGCTGGGTCCAAAACACACCAGAAACCGTTGGAGTCAACGTTCGTCTTGGTTCTCGACTTCTTGGCCGCAAAGCACTCGAGACCGACCCTCAGCAATTGGAAACCCTTCTGAAGAAGTCAGTTGCGAATCCGCAGAATGCGATATTGGGCAACCTTGTCGCTGGTAAGGGCGTCAAAGACGTTAAAATCCCCGGTGGGAGCAATGCGGTCGTACCAGCATGGCGTGATGCCTATGTACATTACAGTAAGTTCTGAATTACAAACTTACTAGAGGGGCGTAAAGTGGGCGCTAATATGACCTAGTCCTCCCTCGATCATGGCCATACCTGAATGAGACGGGGAAAATCGCTGCGACCACAGAGCTGCGAAACGTGCAAGTTGAAGCCCTCCGGCAGCTTGCGCCAAATTCAGGAGCGTACGTCAACGAGGCCGATCCGACAGAACCCCGTTGGCAACAAGCATTCTGGGGCTCCAATTATCCACGTTTACTGCAGTTGAAGAAATACTGGGATCCGACTGGTGTCTTTTGGTGCATTCCGTGCGTCGGACATGAACTGTGGGCTGTTCACAGTGACTATGGCATTGAAGGTGGAATTGGTCAGACGCCTGGCCGGATATGTAAGGCTTGATCTGGACATCGTCGCCAGTGAGATCTGAATTCAGGAGTGGTGCGATCAGGATAGCGGTCGATATTGCCAATGGTTGGAGGTCCTGCAGGGTACTGAGCATGCAAGTCTCACTGCGGCCGGATACAGTAGTCTTCAGTGGACCTAATAATTGAATACCTAGGTAGTTGCAAAGCGCGAACGTCAGAATATTACCTGAAAGGTCGATTTCTCTGCTTATATGTCCATCGCAAAGGCGTGGTCTAACAGGATTGATTCAACGTAACGAGGCTGGAAGGTTGGCTCGCTGGCTCACCACTTCAAATGACCATATTCACCGAAAATTCCAGTCATTCAGCCACGCCTTCCCCAATCTACCTTAGCACAGCCTTGCGCAATATTTCCCACGTCTCCTTCATACTCCGTGGCTCGCAAGTAAACGGATCTGCGGTTGCTATTCAATTCTTTATCGTCAACCCGCTCGCTCTCGTTGCGCAGCCTCTACAACCTCACATCTTCCCCCCGGCCCACCATGGTCGTCCAAGCCATCAAAACCGCATCTACCTCACGAGTAAGCCCTACCCAAAACCGAAACCACAACCACCTCCCGCTTTTTGCCCTTTGCGATTTGTCTTTCCCTGCTGCGCGGCGCCATATGCTAACCTTCCTCGTCTTTCTTTTTCTACCAATAGAACGGCCTGGCATCATTCATCCTCCAATGTAAACGCCTCGACTTCCACTACTGCGACTGGGCCGGCTCTAGTCGGGGCATGAAATCGTTCCTGACCTCGCCTCTGCTCGCCAACTTCACATCCAAATATCCCGGCACCGAGTTCCGCATCTCGCCCCGTCCGAACAAGCACCCCATCGTGAAAGCGTACTACATCAACGGCCGCGAAAAGGCCGTCTGTCTGCGCAATCTCGAGAAAGAACAGATCCTCAAGAAAGTCGAGTTCCTGGTTACGAACTCGGGCAAGAAGAATGAACTGATCAGAGGTAAACCCGTGATCAGCACGAATGAGAGTGTCAGAGGAATCTGGAGTCCTATGCATGGGGGAATCAAGGAAATCTGATTTGATTCGATTCGGTAAGCATGTGTCGACTTTTGTTTGGTGGTCCAAACGAGCGAGAGGGACAAGACGAGATAAAAGCGGCTTCTGGGGAGGATGATGGTCATCTGGGGCTGGAGAAAGAGTCAGAAGAGCAGCTGCAACAGACATGGGTATATCGCTGAAGTATGCGGGGCCAGCTATCTCGGTCAGGGAGAAACGGTCAGCGCAACGGTTGATGGAATCACACTCGAGGGCATTGCGCCCTCCATGGATGGCGACGAGCATAGATGGACGCGGCCTCGCCCAGGGTCACGGTCACTCTGGCCAGCGCCATTGTCATTGGCTACTAGTAGAAGATCTGGGAGGGAGTTAGGCATGTGAACCAAGGAAAGGCATGGAAATCTCCAGCCTGAGATCGTAAGCATTAAAGCGGGCTATTTGGCAGGCAGGTACTATCATATTGCCCCAACGCCACGCTTCGTCTGTACCATACAATAAAACGCAAGGCATTCCAAGCGTCATAAGAATCATTCCTCGTCGTTCATGAGTCGTCTTCATGAATCGTTTGAGAACCATCAGAGTGGTATGCCATCTATGCCGTGAGTTCCCCTTCCCCTCGGCGACACATGCCCTTTTCAAGAGCTTCAACTCAAACCCCGGAACGCACCAAGACCAGTCTTATCACAAATAGACTGGGAACATGGCCAATTTGCCGGTCAACTTGCTATTGCAATCATCGACCACGCACTCTTTGAACAGAGGAGGTGGTTTGACGACGGCTTTCCTTCTACCTCCTTTAATGGGAGGTCGGCTTCCAGCACATTCTCCGCAGTAAACCTGTGTCCTGAGTCAGCATCAGCAGTAAGGTACGGGAGGATAGCGCTGCTTACATGCCCACATTGCTTGACAACCCAGACTTGCGCCTTTGTGTCGTCTTTCCCAATCGCCAGCTCGTCACCACAACGAGGACATAACACTATATCGTCCTCGCTAAACGACCGTATGAAACCATCTTTAGGCGCCGGCGGAGCTTTGTATGGTTCTTGTACCACCTGCGGCGTCTCCGAACTGCGATCAAATATTTCTAGGCCCCCAAGTGCGAACGCAGGCCGTCTGTAATCCATGTGAATAAGTAACTCTGGCCCCGGCTCATTTGCTGGCGCAACCTCATTCCGCCTAGCACCCATGTCTCTGGGCCTAGCCCCGTCGAACCGCTCTGCAAACATATCGTCGTAGGCGTTTTGCATATTCCCAAACATGAATTGCGTCCCTCTTCTGAATAGATCCGGCAGATAGCCAAATGGTCCTCCTCTATCTGGATGTGGAGGCGTCAGACGATGATGTGGGCCTCTCGGAGGCTCTGGTCGGCGGTTCCCCGAAGGGGCAGGTCTTTCATGGAGGAACTGGACTTCTGGACTAGAGCCGAGACTGTGGGCAAACCGTTCTGATTCTGTGTCGCTATCCACCTCATACTCTTCGATCTGGAAGTCGGAAGTCTCTGACAAGTCTATCACCTCGTGATCGTGGTGTTCTTGTCTTCTTGTAAAGGGAGGAGCATGAGATTGTCTGGTTTCGGTCGATTGCGGCAGCACATGTCGTCTCGTAGAAGGTTGAGGAGAAGCGTCTGTGACTGTGGTGGCATCGCTATCTTCGCCGGTCAGGTCGATCGTGCCCTCGTCGGGCGCCTGTGAGAGTCGGTTGAGTGTGGTAGACATAACTGGTCTTCGATAGTCGTAGCCGTCTCTTTCCAATCGTGGTACCGCAGGCTCGGGTGGAGGTGACCCCGAAAAGAGGCTTGACGGGGAGGTCGACATCGGACGTAGGCGTCGGCGTTTAGAAGGCAAATCTGGACTCACACTTCGACTTGCTGAACGGGTGATCTCAGCGTGAGACCTCTGAGAATCAATCAGCATTTAGCCTCCTAGCCACATGGCTCGGAATCGGTAGATTGGGCGTACCTTTCGACCTGAGGACGATGATGCCGAGTTGAGGAAGTTGCTCAAGGAACGAGTAGGAGCTGAAGGCATGTTACAATTGTTGATAGCGACAGGCGATACCGAATGGATGGATATTCCTCATGTGAGAGTTGAAGCCGCGTTGTTGAAGTAGAAGGGAAGGTGAAGTGAAGACGCTCGGGACTGTGATTGTGGTTGTTGGTTTGGGGCGAACTGAGTCGGTGGCTTCGATTATCGCTTGTTAACTTTAGTGCGGGCAATCAATAAATTCCCCAGTGAACCGACGGCAACTCGCCACCACCCGATATATGACCTTTTCATAAGCCTGATGATCAATCCGACCGACCAACCACAGGGGCAATCGACTGAAAGCAGGAGGAGAAGCAAAAGCAAAAGCAAAGGAGACCTGAACATAAAGTCAAGATGGTGGAGCACTGGGGTTGCTTTGTCCAGCATCGTTTATGCTGGTCATTCTATCTCACATCCGATCCAAGGGTGAAAATGTATGTGCATCCATACAATATCAATGCAGCAGTCAACCAGCCGTACCAGAGTAACATCCGTGTCAATGACTGGGTATCAAAGCAACTTTTTGCATATCCTGTTGTACATTCCAGCCCAAATATCTTCATTCCTGCTTGAATGTGCCGAAGCTGGTGAGAACTCCTTGCTCATTCAGACTGAACAACTGCTGAGCGTCTTTGCCCCATGCAATCCTTGTCGCAGGAGTTCCGGACTTGAACACCTCCGACCACTCCTTCGAGGCCTTCGAATATTGCTCCACACTGATACCACCGGACCCTGCCGAGGCCAGAAATTGGCCAGTGTAGTCCCAGCTGATAGAATTAACTGGACTGCCAGTCTCGATACTCTTGATCTCAGCAGCCTTTCTCAAGTCCCAGACCGAGATTGATGATGAACCCTCCGTCACCCCTGCTAGCCAAGTGCCGTTCTCAGAGAAGAAAAGACATTTCACTGGCGCTCCAAGATCGAATGTTGCTGCTTGTGTGCCGGATTTGACGTCGAAGATCTTGATTTGACCGTCCACTGCGCCTGCAGCCAACAAATGGCCATCAGGGTGGAATTGCGCGCATGTCAAGGCTGAAAGATGTTAGCAGAGACCCAATCTATTGGACGTAGTTGACATACCTGAATCGGTCTGGACTTGTGTAAGCAGCTGGCTTGATTCCAGATCGTAAAGTGCATATGTCTTGTCGGCGCCAACTGACGCAAGAATAGTGCTACTGGCATGCAACGCGACCGCATTGACTGGACCACCATGCACCGAAAACGAAGACACCTCCTTTTCTGCCTCAAAGACCTTGACCACTCCCGTAGAGGTGGCAATGACGGCTTTGTCCTGCGCCCAGAGACCGCTGGTAATTGATCCTTGTCCGCCTTTGAGCGGCTGCAGTACTCGGTTCTGGGAAAGGGAAAACACTCCGGCTGTTGCATCACGCCCTGCAACAAGAGCCAAATCTCCAGACTCGTGGACAGCCAACACTGTTCCCCCAGGATACAGGGGTTCAGAAGACGATAGTGGTGCGTACGTCGAAATCGATTCTGCGGTGGCCCACTCTTCCGGGACTGGTCGCTTCCGTCGGGTCTTTGACAGTCTGTATGGCATATGTTAGAGAAGCAAAACAAGGAAATTCCAGTTCGCATACCTTTGCTGTTCATTGTCAATCTTTTCCATGATGGGCGCCGGCAGTGGCGTACTGTCCACCTGCATGGCATCGCCATTTGTACCAGTTGGACCTCCGCGATTAACGCTGACCTTCGCCAAAGCCGTCCTTGCTTCATCACGTTCTGAGGCTACTTGTGCGATAACCCTTACGGCGGCATCATGCTGATACAAGGCAACACTGAGTTCCTGCCGAGCTTGTTTCAGATCTTGTTGGAGTTTGTACACTTGCAGAGCCATAGAATCCCACTCGTTTTGGAACATAGAGAGCATGGCGGGTATTGAGGTCACTTGTGGAGGCCGAGGAATGACGGTTGGCTGTGTTCTGATTTCGAGGAGGTCTTCTGCAGAGAGAGCCTCTCCGGTAATCGGTTCTGTGCCATTCTCGTTGATGTAGGCTTCGATGAGGCGCTTCTCATACACATTGCCTGATTCCGTAAGTCCCAAATACGACAGCTTCGTTGTCTGGTAACTCACCAGTCTTTCGTGATACCACAGGCACCTCGGGTGGTGTCCCAGAAACTGCGCGACAACGGGTCAGTCTGGTCCGTTATGGGGCACAGTATAGGCAGACTTACTTGCGCACAGCATTTTTGCAACCGGTACACCAATACGTTTCTTGTCGGCCTACTATATCAAAGGTTGAGAACCTCGCGGCAGTGAAGGAGGATACACAGAATGTCCGTCGACAAAAAGTGAAGCAAACTTCACCTTTCCTGCCTGCGATCTGCTCGCCGCCAATAGGAATCATTCAACGGCCAGAATCTTGGCAGTATTGAGCTCGGCTGAGTTTCCTTCTATAGCTGTCCTTGCTCGAGAGCAAGGACCCTTGCCTCACCTGCTACATTTATGTAGGCACGCAGGATAACAACCTACATCGCTGGTGGATGTAGCCTTGCTGGCTGGTCTTTGCACTATTGATTTCCTTCGAGGGCCATGGCGAAATCCGCTATCCGGTATGAAGAACCTGCCATCGATACGATCTTGGTTCAGTCATCTTTTCTTTTACTTTCCAATATTGTGAACTCCGTTCTTGACAATGTTTTTTACTGCGGTCTCGTGGGACAGGTCCTCCTTGGGATGGCCTGGGGCACACCTGGCGCAAAGCTGCTGTCTCACGCCTTCGAAGAGTCAGCAACACAATTGGGATACCTAGGCTTGATTGCCATTGTGTTCGAGGGCGGTCTTGCAACTTCAATCAAGTCAGTCAAGACCAATTTATTTCTGTCGGTCTGCGTTGCCGCCACAGGCATTCTACTCCCCATCGCCTTCTCATTCTCCTTACTTGCCGTCGCCCATGCCACCCATCTTCAAGCTTTCGCTGCTGGAGCAGCCTTATGTTCTACCAGTTTGGGAACCACTTTCAGCCTTCTGAAGACGACTAATCTAACGACAAGCCGTCTGGGGACAGTACTGACGAGTGCTGCTATGCTTGATGACGTGATAGGACTGATCATGGTACAAGTTATAGCTAATCTGGGTTCTGGGTCCGACAATTTTGAAGCATCTACACTTTTACGACCAATATTTGTATCTCTGGGCTTCGCAGTTTGCTTACCAGCCCTTTGCAAGTTTATGATCAGGCCCATTCTCAGACATTCAAGAAACAGCACGCTTCACCTTCCGAAGTCCCTCAGAAAGGCGAGTGGTGCTTTCTCACTTTATTTCCTGCTTTCGACTGCGTTACTTGTGGGACTGGTCTCTGCTGCGAGCTATGCAGGTACATCAGCACTATTTGCAGCTTATATTGCAGGGGCCACTCTCTCCTGGATGGATGGGGAAATACTCAGCGCCAATGGAACTCGGACAGTCCATTCAGACCCGCAAAGATCAACGTCAGAAAAAGGTCGGCCATGCCAGACAGCAGATAGTGACAGCTCCAGCCCAGATTGTAATGCAGAACCAAGCAGCCAGAAATGCGATGCAGATGCACAATCTTCAAACAATGGAAGCAGTCCACAACTCCGGCCGGCAAAGGCTTCTCGTCTGCCCACTCCGCCCCCAGAGCCGGAGAATAGTGCGGGTGAGTCTGACGTACCGGAGCATGCACCAAAGGCCACCGACAATGAGCGACGCAGTATGCGTATGTATAATCAATACTACGGCCCCGTAGTCGAGCGCATCTTAAGGCCTCTCTTCTTCGTAAGTATCCATATTACTTACTCATCATTTTAAGTTGTTAACTTGAGTCGCCTAGGCGTCGATCGGCTTCTCCATTCCAATCACAAAAATGTTCCGAGGCTCTATAGTCTGGCGTGGCATTGTGTATACAATTCTAATGGCCGTTGGCAAATTGTGCTGCGGCCTCTGGCTGGTTCGCTTCACGAACATCGGTTCGGGAACAAAATCGCCTACAATCTCATCGGACAGGAAGAGATGCGAAGGCAAAAAGCGTCAGACCAGATCATTTCCTCGGCCGAAGTCTCTGTATCCTGCCTCCATACTCGGTTGTGCAATGGTTGCTCGTGGAGAAATCGGCTTCTTGATTTCCGCCGTTGCTGCCAGCAATGGGATCTTTTCTGCCAACGGCAATGGTAATCAGTCCACGTCAGACATCTACCTTGTTGTGACATGGGCAATATTGCTATGCCAACGGCAATGGTAATCAGTCCACGTCAGACATCTACCTTGTTGTGACATGGGCAATATTGCTATGCACGATTGTCGGACCACTCGGTTTGGGCATTCTGGCGAAGAGAGTAAAGCGGCTGCAGATGGAAAGAGCACAAAACCGAGAAGGCGGAGCGGAAGATCCCTTGGGCATTTGGGGTGTAACTTGAGTGACCGACTACTGTACGACACTTGACGTTGCAACCGCGAGCAGAGAAATCTCAAGTTGTGGGTAAAGCAAATTCATTGCAACTTGAAAATTTATTGTCTAATCAAACCCAGAATGAACGCCATCTTGCATGTACTGAGCTCAAAAGAGTGCTCGTTTCAACATCTACCAAAATCCCACTCCCTGGCCTTGCCAAATTTCTTCGACATGGCCTTGAAGTACCCCGAATCGTCACGGTGACGACTACCTGGAAAACATCTTCATCATGTCCTTTCCCTTATCTTTACTTTTACTATCGCCTCCCAAGAATTGTTGCGCCAGGTTGTTCAATAGCGCGGCACCGCCTCCCTCGCGGTGGGCGCTCTGACCGTGGAAGTCCGACCCGGAGACCTCGTCGGCTTCGACGAAGCCTGAGCGCTTCTCCCGAGGGGCATAGGCATAGGTATTTTGATATTGAGGTGGAGGCCCCGCACGATTGGGTGCATACATGTACTCGTTGTTGCTGTGGCCGAATGGAAGTGGTGAAGAAGGGTTATTCTGGAGGTAAAGTGGCTGGTCTTGCGGCCCTGAGGGGCGGCGGTCAACAAATTCCAGTCCTTGACTTTGCCCTTTCTGCTGTTGTTGACCTCGCCCTTGCGGAACGTAATAGTATCCCTGACCGTCTGTACCGTCAAGATATTGAGGTTGGGCGTCACGGTATTCGTTTCGGGATGGCGAGGACTGCTCTCGGCGGCGCTCCGATGATTTTGACAGCTTATTGATGCCGTAGATGGCGACTCCGGAGACCATGGCTGTCTTGATGAGGCCCATGATGGATACTTGGATGGGAATGTGCTGACTGGTGCTGTAGCTTGTTGAATTTATCTGAGAGTAGTTGCTTGAGGGTATACTCAGAGGTGTGGAAGATTCTGCTTGTGGTATCAATAGTCTCTGTCTTTTTGGCGGATGAGCTCCTTTATAACTTTTGATATTCATGAAGAAGTTGCTATGAAGGGCACGTCATCTGTTCAAGCCATAACGAAGGCATAGCGAAGCCACCACGATTACTACTACCCACCGACGAAGAGCGAGCCTGACTTGGCTACAAGACCGAGACCGAGATGTTACAACAATATCTTCTCACAACGACTAGACTGGCTTGTACAGTCAGTCACTCCATGATTGGTAGTAATAGCAGGCAGACAGATTAACGCCAGAGGACTGACAAGCCGCAGCAGCCGTGGGGACGCGTAGCCTCAATACGGAGACAGTGAATGTGCAATACGATAGCCACCACTGAGTTACGGCCCCCAATTTCTAGTACCTGTTCGGCCCTTCGTGGGAGGCTGATGCAGAAGAGCGACGACGATCAACCCAAATCACCCACGATCATCCCTCCACCTTTCGCTCTCGGTTTCGGTTTCCTCGTTCTCGTACGCAGGGGGATAATTGATTTTCCCTCCCGAAGACAAACTGCCTCGCTGCCACTGACCTTGACACTAAGCTTCTGTCGGTATGCACTTCGGCGCTAACTTTTCTTCACTATTGACAGCATCCTACTCGTATGCTCTACCAAAAACACAACATGTATCGCACAATGTCATCGATCATCGCAGTGCCCCCCACGTATCAGCATGGTACGGTTCTTCATAATGGAGACACTAAAGGTGGCCTGGCCAGGTAAATCAAACAATCCTGAATACGACAAACGGTCTCAAAACGGTAAGCAGCACGAGAGAAGCGCTTTGGAGCCTCGTCCCAGTGCTTTGATGTTTCTCACCGTCGATAATTATCGTCCAGCCAACACTTGATCAAGCAAGAGATGCAAGAAACGCTAATCTTAGCAGCGTATGGTGTCGCTCTTCTCATTGCTCTCCTTTTTTCATCTGGGTTGAGGGCCACTCATATAAAGGAGGTAGAATCTTCCAAGAAGCCTCGCAATCAAGACCTTGGGGCGACGAAAAATCACCTCTTTGCGCAGATCGTCTTTGACACGGATTCTGTCAAGCCTCGCCTACTAGCATGACTACTCACTTTACATACGCCGATGGCGTTGCCGTCGCCGAAGTAGCCTACTACGTACCAGCACTGCTTGTCTCTCTCTATATCACATCGAAGCACGGATTCTCCAAAGGCTCGGGCTGGATCTTCCTGACCATATTCTGTATAATCAGAATTGTTGGCAGTGCTGCCCAGCTTGCCACTATCAACAAGACAGATCCGCAGACCGCTGAGACTATTGCACTTGTCTGTGCAGTACTAGGCCTTTCGCCCTTAGTATTATCTACGCTGGGAATACTTGCTCGAGTGTGAGTTGCGCTACCCCGGCGAGTATATATTAGCTGACTGTTGGGCTACAGGTACTATTCCATGTTGAAGCAGCCATGGAACACTATATTCTCGTTGGTTTTGTTGAGAGCCGTCCAGATACCGGCTCTTGTTGCTCTGATTCTCTGCATCATTGGGGCAACAAATACGAATGATCCTGCACAGATCTACTCCCAGAGCATTGTGCACATCGGCATTATACTCTATGCAATCGTCTTCGCTGCGCTCGTCCTACTTACCGGCGGCACCATCCTCGGCTGGCGGAAAACCACTCGTGGCGAACTGCCGTTGATCATTGGCATTTCAATTACACTACCATTTCTGGCTGTGCGAATCCTTTATGCTCTCCTTGCCGTCTTCTCGAATGACTCCCGGTTCAATCCTGCTACGGGGTCGAAGACGGTGGCGCTTTTCATGGACGTCTTGCAAGAGATGGCTGTTGTCCTCATCTACCTGACGACTGGAGTCATAGCGCCCGCGGTTCCGAAGGCCGATGATGGCCAGCCGCGGTCACAAGATTCGAAGTTGATGTACAGAGCCCGGCGTGGTGACTTCAATGGTGGACGGCTGGGCTTATTGACTCTGGCTGTGGCTGCTTGGACTGGGAAGATGGACGAAGATCATCATAGGAGACAAAGACATCGTGGTGTCAGAGAGGAGGGCAGCCAATCCGGGTATCCGCTCTCCTCGCAGCAGCGTTATGGTTCCTCCGCCGTGTGAAAGGCCCGACCGTGGCAGCATACATACAGGCAGCGCGGCTATTGGGCTAAGTTGATTGGCCGTTGCCCTTCCGAGTCGAATGGACAGGTGATATAGGCAGAGAAACAGGCTGTGAAGGCTGATCTCGGTTGTATTGATAGACTAGATGGAGTTTTTTGTCGGCTTTCGAGGTAATGTTGATTTCCTTGCATGCCCGGTCTCTGGCAAGGTACCGCAACCTAGGGTGTTTACGCTTTCGAGGCCCGGATTGAACAATGCTCAGTCTCCAATCCGCCGGAGAAAAGAAGTGGATGGCCTGCCGAGCTGCATTCCGCTTTCGGCGTGGTCGTAGAGCCAATTTTGTCGACAACTCCGCATCATCGCACAGCATCTCTCCTACTCTTACTTCGTACCTTCTACAGGCCCATACCCAAGCGCTGTGGCTCCCTTGATGGTCCGTTTCCCAGCCACTAAATGATCAGGATAATGTCGGTGCCTGGAACTTGGTGACCATCGTGGTTGGTGAGATGCAGAACCCGCCGCGTGTCACCTCCTTAGTCATGTTTGACAAGGGACATACACTGGACGCCTTGTGAATATCACTTTGCCACTCGCAAAGTATCAGAACTACCTGAAAGACGAGGCTGTGGAGCTCGAGTTCGACGATAAAACCACAAACCCATTGCGTCTCATGCAAGGGAGGCCAAAAGAGCCCTGGTTGAAGACACGAAGCGCAGACTTGAGAGGACATGGTGTACTGTGGGAAGCCTTCCAAGGCTTGTGCGCCCTGTCGGCAAAAGCGATTGAAGGTATGCGGCCTCCGTCGTTGATGCCAAGGATGATGCAGGACGAGGCGAGCTAATCGTGATCCAGTGTGATCGAAAGCCTCTGCCATCTGGATGCGGACAATGCCGGAATGCATCTCGATCCTGCCCTGGCTATCGAAATGAGCTAGACCTCGTGTTTCGGCACGAGAATGATCGCATTCAACAGAAATTCCAGGCACCGTCCTCCAGCACACGACCCTGGACCACGAAGCAAAACACAACTCTGGACTCGAGCACAGAAACCGTGTCCGCACTGGCAGCGACTCGCTCCAATCCCAGGATTCCACCATCCACATTGCCTGCATTGTCTATACCTCGCAGATCAAGCCTTCCAGCAGGAAATGTTGGCCTGTTCATTCCTCAACCCAGCCAGCCTCTTTTCGACTTCGCAACCAATTTCTTCTTTACACAATACGTGCCTGGGAGTCATTTCGACTATTTACCTACCCTTTATGGGAACGCCACCGCCGATTCTCTTCTATCGACCGTCGTCAAGGCTGTGTCACTTGCAAGCTTTAGCAGTGAAGCTCGCAATCCCAGCTGCCTGGCCCTTGCTAGATATCAGTACTCTTGCGGGCTTAAAGGAACTAACGCAGCAGTTCAGGCTCCCGAGGCTTGGGCCAACGATGACCTACTGGCGTCAATAATGCTCCTCGCCTACTTTGAGGCTCTTTCTGGCCAAGCATGGTCCGAATTTCCGGAGAAGACCCCGATCAAACCCATTCTAACCTCCTCATTATCTGCTGCGTGGACTCGCCACGTTGAAGGTGCGTATGCATTACTCACTATGCGACGGGATCGCTCAAACCAGTCGCGGGTGAGTGCGTGCCTCAACTACCATGTCAGCAATACCGTTCGTGCTCGTTGTGTGCAACAACACATACGCATAAATCCGAAAATAACTTCGCCCAATCTCATAGCTCCGTCATTGCTCGGAGAAGAACAAGACCGTCACTTTCTCCTTCTTATTGAGACATATGCGCAGCTCAGGGCCGCCATGCGTGAGGGTTCACTCAATGATCCTACTGAGATCATCCGCCGTGCTAGACTCATTGATAGCCGGGCTGTCTCCATGACCAAAGATCTTGAGGTTTCGGCTTGGAGGTTCGACATTGTCACCACGACTCGCGAAGTTGCCGGAGTGTACAGGAACAGATATCACCTTTACGCGGATCACCGAGTTGCCCAGCGATGGAACACCATTCGGATGACCAGGATGAGCCTCAACGAGATAATGTACGATCATGCCCAGCAACACCGGGAGCTGTCTGACCAATGTGGCCGATTCGCCAGGATAGTCGAACAGATGGCTACTGATATCTGCCAATCTTCATCGCAATTCTTGACAGCATCTGGATCGTTGCGTGGATGCTCGCCAACCCGATCGAGCATTGCATCTTCATATTTTCTCATATGGCCTCTGTTCAACTCTGCCGCAACTAAATTGTCCCCAGACTCGATAAATACGTTTGTCATTGACAGACTGCACTACCTTCACCGGGAAATGAACATACCACTAGCAAGAACGGCGGCGCGAATGTTGCAAGAAGGAGACGTAGACGAAGACTGGATGCACATGATGCATCTGTTCTGAGCATTGTTCTGCTGTATCTGAGCTCGGGAAAGCTGTCGAGCATGGTTTTTATGTTGCCTTGGTCGAAGTGTATGTAGCACATGCCGCGAGCAGGACAGAGAAGCAACAAGCAACACCTTCTCAAGCGAGGCATTGTCTTGTGGGATCTTGGGCGCGGAATCATGTCTTGGTAGACCTTTGCTTGATGACCTGGTGTCTCCGGGCCCTCGGGAGCCGCAATTCCTCCAGGGGAAGCTTGGAAACGTCTGAGTTGACCAGGTGAAGATCATGAATCGGAAGGAATGAAGCCTTAGAGCCATGCTTGAGACCCTCAGAAACCATTACAGTCGTAGTGAATATGGAAGCCATCCTTACGTGGAGAGCCGCCCGTAACAGTCAAGTCATTGGCCACGTCACGTTTAAGCAGCTTGGCCGCCGACCTTAATTAAGCTTGGTTTTGGGCTATCCCTCGAGGCCTTCAAGCCTGTTGCACTCTTGACCTCTTCTCTGCTTCTCTTCAAGCCTCTCCCACAAAGGGGACCGTATCTGCCTTACCGCCACCGCTTGCGTTGGAGCCTAGTGGCCAGCAATATCACATTCACTCGCCCTCATCTACCACTTACCCCGATCAGAAAACCTGCTCCCTGGCGAGGTCCAGTCATGTCCTACATAGAGACTTCAACCGGTTTGTACAGGCGACCTCTCAGCCTCTCAGAGAAGGGCATGGTTGCTGCTGTCGGGGCTTTTCGACCCTCGCCCCGTGAACTCATCAAAATCTATGCATTTGCAGATTTCACAGTTACTCAATCCGCCCAGACGGTCGAAAAGGTCGTGTCAGCTTTCGCCAGCGCGTGGAAAGCCCTACGGCTGCTCAGATCACCCGACATAGCCACGAGCTTTGAAGACGGATTCAAACTGTACCATGTCCCTTCACCAGAAGCGTTCGAAGCATGGCTATCGCGCACATTCATTGTCTCCGAGGCAGGCACATCCGTACAGAGTGCTGTGAGAGCCATGCAGCAACGCATTGAATTGCTTCCTGCAATCCAGCTGATTCCTCATGCCACGGAAGATGGGACGTTCCAAGGCACCCTCATTCTTTCCATCAGCCACTGGCGAACCGAGGCCTCTGGTGCCTTCAAGACCCTCAACCAGCTGTTTGACTACGCGGCAGATCTTCTCTCCGGTACAGCTACGACCGAGGCTTTGTCGAGGCATCATTTGGGCGACGAAGCCTGTCTCCTAACTCCAGCTACTGAAGATATCCTCATGCCGGACCGACAAAGCACGCCGGAAGCCAAAACCCGCGTCGAGAAGCGTTTTGACAATTACTACTCCAAATTGCCCTGCATCGACTTCCCGATGCAAGGTAGTCCGTCGGACCCTTTCTCAACGGCCAAGGAAATTCGCCATACCTACAACCCGTCCACCACAGGAAACCTTCGAGCCGCCTGCAAGGCTCATGGCATCACAATCACATCTGCCGTTCATTCTGCATACCTTGGCGCCGTTTGGACCTTTGCACCGTCAGAACACGCAAACCGCAACTACGCATCTTTAATGCCAGCACAAGTCCGCACAAGGCTCCCCCCGTCTTCACCGTACCGTGATCAAGGCTGCTGGAGCGCCGCGCAGATGCTGATGCTCACCTTACCACCAAACCAAAACTTCCTCGCTCGCGCTCGCGATCTACGAAGTCAGTACAAGCTCGCGGACCAAGAGTCGTGGTGGTATGAAGATGCCCTAGAAACCAGCGAGCAGGTCAGCCAGTTGGCGGTGAAGACACCTGCCGGGCAACCCGTTTCGTTCCCGTGGTTCACTGGTTTGGGCCTTCTGGACGGCGAGACCATTGTCCCGGAACATGGGGACATCAAGGTCGATGACGTCGATTTCTTTGCGGACCCATTAAGTCCGGGGATTGTGTTGAGGGTGTGGACGTTCAAGGAGAGACTGAATATTCATGTGGTCTGGAACGCTGCGTATCATACAGATGAGCAACTTCGTCGGTTGATGGACGCCATTCATAAATCGCTCGCAGCAGATCTTGGTGTTAAAGTCGAGGTTGAGATGACCGAAGACAAGGAGTATTGATCTTAAGGCATCCTGAATATCGTGGAGACCTGAGCCCAACAAATTCCAGAGGAGAAGACCGTCAACATCGCTCAACTGCCTCTAGTTCGAGACAGAAGAGCAACACTGTGTGTGGTATGAAGCAAAAAGGCCTTCGACATAATACCTTATCTCTTGGCTTCGTCCCAATCTCGTTGGCCAGATGAGACCCTTTTTCTGTTGAAAACGGCTGCTGTCAGGACGCACGCGATGAAGTGTGTCCGATCCGTGCGCAACGAATATGAGAACCAGATGTTCATATATGACTATCATCCATCATCGGCTCCTGGCACTGATTGGGAAAATAAGCACGAGGGCTACCGTCGGCAACACGGTCGGTTGTCGATGTCGTGTGTGAAGTGACAGTGCAAATCCCCCCCGGTTTGACAGCCCAACTACCAGGTAAACTCGGTCCTCAAGCCTCGTGGTTCTTTTGGAAAAGATGGCATCATGATGGGTACACACGATCAACTTACCTCACAGGTGCATAGGTATGGTAAGAGTGCCATTGTTGTACTCGTAGACGGTGAAAAAAAGGGTTCCTCAAGAGTCAAGACAGCAGGTACTAGGTACATGCCTTACTCTCGTAGTATGTCCACAACGAAGAGGGCGCCCCTTGACGGGGAGGGAGAGGTTGCTAGGGAAGCACATGGGAAGGTAGCACGTTGGCATTGCAGTTCATCTCCCCAAGATTACACAGAGCGAGGAGAGGTACCACGGATTACCAGGCGCCGCCATGCTCAACCGTAGTAACGCACGACTATTATGGCGAATTCCCACGCACGAACCGTGATCCTTTTGGGTTGAAAGTTCCCACCACTAATCATACGCAGATTTGTAGCTGGCCTGCCAATTTCCTCGAGCAGTCAACAGGTGGAGCACAGGAATGCACTATGCACAGTTACGGTCACCACCTACGGTAAGGGCACACATCAGGCGTGGGCTTGGTGGCTTGTCAATCACCACCAGCTCTGAGCTCGCGGCGAGCAAATTACACCTGCACTGCACCGGGGAAACAAGCCAATTTCAAAACAAGAGCACTGTACAAAACAAATCAATATGCTGCGAAATTGTCCCCTCGAAATAAAGGTACTAGTAGAAAGATATAATGCTGTATCTTCGCCCATCTGCCCTTGGACCCTCCCTTCGTGCTTCGTTTTCCTGTCCTCTTTGACCTTGCCAGGTCTGCGAGATGAGAGTCACCGCTATGCCACCCAACCGATACCTCGAGCTTCTCGCCAAACCGGTCCACTGCTTGCCCCGGCCACAGCGTACATCGAACTTGCAGTCTTCTCTTTACGCCGGCCACCACATACCACCTGTCCGCTCCAATATCCCTTCAAGAATGCGAAAGGCTGTCCATCCAACGTGGTTGGGATGAAGCAAAGATGTCCATGGACTTGTGTTTGTATGGAAGAAATTACCAGCCCCGTACCCACTACACAAATTGCATCTTCCACCAGGAAATTGCCTAGAATGGAGAGATGAGTGTGAAAGATCCCTTGTTCCATTTCAACAGGCTCTCCCTTGATGCTTTTTTGTACTCGCCCAAAAATTCCACACCCCAAGAAACGACAAGGAAACCCAACGACACCCAGACCAAACAAAAAAAGTCGTTTCTGATGCATGACCGCGTAACTAGACAGACTGAAAAGAGACAAAACAAGGCAAGAACAGAGTTGACAGCTATCCACGCTATCAGACAGCAGGCAACCTTGGCCGCGCACACTAACAAGGAATATCAATATATAACAGATTTTCGCGCCGTCCGGACAGTGCTGAATTGAAATGAGTATTCCAATCTGTGCGGAACAAAAGATGGTGCAACATTTAGATTCTAGGGAAGGCATCAAGGTCGTTCAAACTGTTACAGGAAGGCTCGTCAACTTCAGTGATGTAGACCACCTTGCAAGCTGTTGGGGTCGATGGTGCCAAAGGGATTCATGTCCATGTGTTCCATTGGAGTATGGAATTCGGACATGTCGTTCATCATCAACATGCCCTTTTCATCAATCCCGGGACTGGGCATTGGCATGTTGAGATTTTGTTTCGAGTACATCTCGCCGAGCATCAAGGTCTCGTCCATCATGCCATTGCCGTCATGACCCATGTTGAACATGTCGGCGGAAGCGCTTCTATGCAGGGCTGACAGTGGTGGCGACTGATTGGCGATGACTGGATCAGGGTGACCCATATGTGGCATGGGAGACATTGAAGATGGCATCATGTGGCCGTCAACCATGGGAGAAGGTGAGAGGAATGGCATGTTGAAATGTTGTGGAGTGCTAAACTCAGAGGATGGCATTGGTCCTTGCGATGAATGTGATGGGAAAAAACCTGGGCTGGCAAACTCTGAGGGTGAAGTGGCTGTCGCTGACATGGGCATCTGACGGAAGTCCATGCCATAACCGGCAGATGTATCGATTTGCAGAGTGGGCCCAATAGAATTCTGCATAGATTGCTGCGGCATTGGCTGGAAGAGGTTGTGATGTTCGGGAATCATTTGCGGCGATGGCTGCTGAACATGGAAAGTCGGCATCGGTCCATGAAGCATGGAGAAGTCGAGCGCGATCGGTACTGATCGACTTCGTTGACGCTTGTGACCGGGATGTATACGACCAGGGTGGAGGTGTTGGCTGACGCCGAATTGCTCTTGAAACATTCCGACGTGAGGAGGATGAGGTCTGGCGAATTGAACTGAAGGCTGAGATGCAGGCCGAACAATACCCATGGTAGGTGACACAGGTGCAGACGCCGGCATAGCATTCATATCGAAGGGGTTATGTCGATTCTGGAAGGACTCGAGAGACACCAACTTGGCAAGCTGTCCGCTCAACACCTTGGGATGTCCTCCCAGCTGGTGAGTCAGGATTTGGGATGCTTGTTGATCCTCGGTGAAGTCACCACATTGGTAGAAGCCGCCAGAGTTGGACGAGTCCATGAAGAAGTTGGGAGGCCTGTTCAACTCAATGATAAGCCCGCCCGGTCGCGGTGGAGAGCCGTTAGCAGTTGGCGCCGTTTCACCAGGTTCCAACTGAATGCTCTTGATAAAGGCGAACGGGTATTCGATCTTGTAGCCAGCGGAATCATTGTTGATATAGTACGTGATGCAGGCTTTGTCCGGAGAGTAGAAGACGACCAAGTCCATGGCGTTCTGACCCACCCTTCTCCAAGAACCGATGCTCAAAGATCGACAGGTGAAGTGCTGAATGACTTGAAAAGGTTAGTCGATGCTAGACCTTCGATGTCTAGGGATTACTTACCAACTTTGCCTTGAGCAGAAGGATCTCCATTCATCAGCATACCACCGCTCCCGTATTGAGCCATAGGCCCACCGGGACGGCGGAGTAGCTGACCGGGGAAAGGCCTGCCAGTTTCCATGGCCTGCATGGCCAGCAGTTGCCTCAAGGATTCTGGGATATTGTCACAGTCATCGCCATTCTCTAGGGTCTTCTTCGCAATCATCTTGATCTTGGCTCGTCGTCGGCTGTGAATCACGTTAGCGCTGAACCTAGATACTCTAGCTTGACCATGACACGCACCTGTTTTGGAACCAGATCTGAACGGAGCGTTCCGTCATGTTGATTTCTGAAGCAATACGTTCGCGAGTGGCAGCAGTGGGAGTGGGATTCTTCGCAAATTCCGCTTCCAAAGTGACCAGCTGATCTTGTGTTGCCCTTTGTCGTTTCTGGTTCTTTTGCTGTTGTGTCAACGTACTCTTTCGAGGTGGACGGCGGGCCGAGGAGGTAGGGGCTGAAGTCGAGCTGCTCGAAGTCTGAGGAGGTGTGCTCTGAGCATCCATTGGAGAAGGAGTTGACTCAGGCGAGAAGTCGGTTGGGTCGGAGGAAACGGGCTCCATGATGTCCATCGATAACCCGCGTCGGTAGGATGGTTCTAAAGAATGGATTGCTCGTGAGCAATGTTGAGTAGGTGTCTGTGTGTTTTCTCGTGCGTGGCGGCAGAAGGCTTCGATTCGCTGATCCAGGCAGCTGAATATAGAATTACTTCGTAGATGCACCGATGGGCAGTGTGGCCGGGTGTGCTTGAAAAGGGGGTTGCTGTTGGTAAGGACCGTAGATAGTTGAAATGGTAATGAACGCAACAAGCTTAATGAATGTGGTCGAGGGCCTTGAAGGAGTGAAAGGCACGCTCGAGGCGAGATGAGGAAGAAACAAGTAAAGAAAGAATGTGATGGATAGAGATGGGAAAAAGATGGAAAGCTGGTAGGACGACAGTGAGGATAGGAAAAAGGACGGAGAATAGAGGGAACGGGAGCACAATAAGGGAGGGCCGGGGGCACGGTAAGAGGGAAGGTCAGTGAGCGACCCGCAGCTGTAGCCATGATGAGTGGCGGGCATCTGGCCGCTGGGGTCTTATGCAGGTACACCGGCAAAGCCTAAAAGCTCAAAGCACAAGCCCCAGGTGGAGGCCTGTTTAGCCCGCTCATAACTCCTGTAAGCGTTAGGCTGGTGAGGCCTGGGATTCCATCCGTCCAATGATGCCCCATTAAGCCGTGAGGCTCCTACGCACCAGCCATCCCACCTGTGCCCACCCAAAGCCTAGAGGAAGCTTGGATCTTAGCCTTGTTCCAGGAGGGAAGAAGAAGGTCAGGTGTGGCCCTTGTCTGACGCGCTCAACACCCTCAGGGACGAGGGGGAGCAGCAGTCAAAACACCCCATGTCACAACATGGATTCATCCTGTCCGTCTCACCCACCACGCGCTCCAACAACAACACATCCCTGAATCCCATGGGTCTGACCATCTCCCTAGCGTGCAGACCTAAAAAAAAGCGAGAAGCCAAGCACCGGCAAGATAGGAGAGTTGCACTGGGCCTTGTGGCATAGAGCATGACGTTCCAACAGCGGCAGTACGTAGTACGTTTAGCTGTATCATAACCAACTTGTAGTACAGTACTTCGTGAGACCGTGGACTCGGATGCGCAAAGCCCAGTACACACTGACACAAGGCGCCTTTGGATTTGACTTGGACCTCTCGAGGACTTCTTCCTGCAACTTGCTGGCTCGCGTCCGAGACACCAAGTCACGCTTACCTGCAGCCGCCCGCACCACAAGGCTAAAAACCCAGAACTCCCTTGGGAAGCTCGGAGCTTCTGCGACTTTGCATCAGTGCTTCAAATGCTCGTGCTGCGACCTGGCTTGACCCCTCGTGCCCCGGTCTCACTGACCACACAGTAGCATGATCGAGTTCTTCTGGAAGCCAGCTGTGCAAGGCCATGCTGGCTCCTCCCATTACTGTCTGATCATCCCCAATCTACGCCGTTACGACGGCACCAATGATGAAGATGATTCTACGTTTGTCCGCTGGCAATGAAATGCTCTGTTAAGCCAGACAAGCAACACGATTGGAGAAACTGGAAAAGCATCCGGTCAGGTATGAGTAGAGAGCAAGTCATAACAAGCATGACGGTGGTTATGATTCGTCACAGGACACCTTCAACTATTTCTAGGCGCTGTCACCCAAATACAAGTCAACACCGACGAACCGACTGGAGTGCCTTTTCGAGTTGGAACAATCCTTCGAAGCGTCTCATAGCGGCTATGATTGGACAGTCTTAGTGGCTGCAAACGACCACTTGTGTGTGTGTAGAGGAGTAGAAAATTCACCGCTCCTATAATTGTCTCACGATGAGTTGCCCTTCCTTCCTCTTTGGACGGGATCTGCCACAGCCGAACGGTCTCGGAAAAAGCATTAGGTGTTGCACATGCTGGGAGCCGAGCGGCCTCATGAGACCATTCTCCTGAAGATCGAACCGAGCGCGGTGCTTCGCCCACTCATGCATGTCGTGCATGGATGGCGCTACTCGTACCATGTTCCAGAGACGCATCTCGCCACTCTTCCATGAGGGACGAAGGAAGCCCGTACGAGAGTGAGTAGCATAATGCTTCTGCATCACGCATTGGCCTCCACATCAGATCGTATTATTATTCTCCCCAGTCGCGTTGGCACTTGAAGACAGGTTGTCTGGCATTAAGCACGAGACAGCCTTCAGCCCCGGCGTTCGTGATTATAGTAAAGGCCATACTGATAGGTGACCGATAGGGAGTAGCGGGGACCATTGCCCGTTGCGTGATGACAAGTGGCCAGCGGCAAAAGGCTCGTGGTGGAGGTGTTCGAGGTGGAAGTGGAGAGTTCTGTTGTGGTGACATGGCTTTGGAAAATAATGTGGACATGTCCTCCGCGCCAGGCAGAGTTTGATATGTGGTACCCTGCTGTCGAATCGAATTGCGAAATGGGGACAAAGCTGGCGAGGATCTGTTGATGATGCAGGCAAGAAACCGGCGTGGCTTGTTACCCCTGGCTGTTGCACTAGAGCCGGTTAGGAAAAGTGCCAGGTACCAGCTGCTCGCCAGGTACCGACACGCGTTGATTGGTGAGATGGTAGCCGCCCTCCAAGCTAAATTATCGGAGCCATACCATTCCAAGACTAGTTGTATCTTGGCAAGCATGGGCCAGACAACGACGCGCGACCTCGATCTTCGCTCATTTTTTTGGTGTTGTGCATCAGGGGTAACGACAATTGTCGAGGCCTGACTGTATCTTCGACATCTCACAAGGAAACCGCTATGCAATGAAGGTCCCTACGAGGTATGGTCTTGGACAGTATTGAATGTGCATTTTGAGCTGCGAGGCTCTGCATCAAGCTTCATCTCCGGGAGATGACCAACATATGTCATCTCAACTGTCATCGACACTGCATCCGATGTGTCTGATCTTGCTGACATGCACATGCCACATTTGCCGACCTGTCATTTGAAACGAGACCTTCTGGGCCGTTGGACCGTTGAGGCCGTTGAGAAAAAGTACTACCACACTATGGTAATAAAATGAAGACCCTATACGAGGATGACTTCATCGAATTTCGATCGACAGGCAGGAGACAGGCTGTCTCCTATGAAATCATATGAAATCACCTTTACTGCGTCCCGCAGTGTGAATGGCCGACTTAAGAGCAGATCACTATTCGAAAGATGCATCGCACAACCCAGGAAGCCGTAGGGACTGGGAGGTCGTAGGCATCCTAAGAGGGGGACTCGGTGGAAAGTCTCTATCGACTACGATCGCCAATGGAAGCACTCCTCTGGATGCCTGCTTTGGACATCTCCATCAAGAAATGTCTCGCCGCTTCAACTGACATAGGGAGAAGGTGTGGAAGGTGTGGAGGCACGTGTTGCTCCTCTTTGGAAACTCTCTCTGCGCTGCACCTGGAGCCTTGTCACGCTTTGTCTCACTGCCGACCCGATTTGGGATTTTCGCTGCCCCCTGGTGCCCTTGCTCTACCATGCATCTGGTCCCGAACTATTGCCAACATGCAGACATAATAGCACTTGGAACATCGCGATCGTCTTTTCTCCGCTCCCTGTTTATCGCAGCAGTAGCTAACGATGCATGTTCCAAACTTATGCATCCCGGAGGAGTAAACAACAAATTCTTCATTTCGTTCCTTGTCCAAAAAAAATAATGCCATGCCACGTCGTTTCTAACTGGGGGTATTCCGTCCTTGTCATCATGCTCATCGTAATTCTTGCATCGTTCCTCTACGTACAGCGCCAAACCCTTTGCTGAAAAGTTCTCCAACGTCAAGCGATTTGCGCGGCACTTCTTCCATTTCTTGAGGCTCCTCCCTCTCCTGTACGTGGACGTGCTTAACATCCAGTGCAGAGTTCTCCCGTGCAAAGGGTTTCCTCTTATTCATGTCACGTGGTCGATCCAACAATGCTTGGACTTGCGCTTCCCGCTCGGCCTGTATTGCCTCTTCCCTAGCTAACTCCAGGCTTGATTTTTTGGTGCCTCGATCCCAACCTTGCTGGAGCAGGTCCGCGGCCGCTTCTTCGAAGCGCTTGCGTACCTCTATATCTTGCTCAAATCCTTGGAAGATATCCACATCCGTAGGCCAGATTGCCGCTTTTGTCGCCTTGATAGTCACCTCGAAGAGACATACCGCAAGGATGATGAGAAGTAACGTCAGCCACCATAGGAGATTGCGTCCGAACCGATCCAGGAGCCCGTCCTTGACATTGTAAATAACATTCTGCTGGTAGATAAGCCCCAATATCAGGTTCCATAACCACCAGCCACCGACCGACAGAAAGATGGCAATAGCAGCGGCCATGGACTTGTTGTGCAGCTCAATACATTGCAACTTGAGTGAGATGATGACGATGCATGCGGTGAACGCCACAGACCCCAGAGCGTACAATCCTTGGTCCCGTGTGAACAGCGCCATGCCATAAATGCTATACATGATGAAGTAGACAATGACGGCTTCGCAGGAGGCCACGCCTGCCCACCAGAAGTATAGCTTGAGATTGAATCCTCGATCTTGTTGACCAATGTTGTAGAGTTCGGGAACCGCCAGCAACGTGGAAGCAGCGAGATCCTTTTCGAACACACCCATGAATATCACGGGCAAACTGGTAAACAGCGTATTGAACATGGATAAACTCCAAGGCTCGTACAAGCTCGTTCCAGTGTATCCGGTCCATCGCTGATAGATCGCCTGAACGAGGTAGAAGATCATTTCCTTCCAGAAGGTGCCCAATATATACTTGCAGATGCGTATATAGTTCCATCTTCCGTGGACCAGTATCAATTTCAGTAAGAAGCGGAATTGCGCGATGGAATAGTCAGACGTTCTCGCGGCCTGTAGACCCTCCTTGCCGGCAATGCCGATCCCAAGGTGTGCTTCTTGAATCATGGCGATATCGTTGGCTCCGTCTCCGATAGCCAAAGTGACAGAACCCTTTACCTTGGTCCTGATAGTCTTGACTAGCGACGCCTTCTGACTCGGAGACGCTCGACAACAGATGACCGAATCGGCTCGGATCGCCACGTCGGTGAACAGTGCCTTCGAGGCTCGATCGGCTTCGATGATGGTGAGCGTCTGGCCATCAACAACCAAAACAGAGTGCGCCGTTTTGTCACTGTCGATTTCGGCAAATCCGTTGGCCATGCGTCTATATAACTCTCCAAGCTCATGATCAAGCACAATCAGAGTCGAATAGTCCTTGATCAGTCGGCATGAATGTCCAATGTTAATGGCCGTTTCCCGTTTGTCGCCGGTCAGCATCCACAACTTGATGCCAGCACGTCGCAACCGGTCAATGGCATCTGGCACACCTTTCTGGAGTTTGTCCTCGATAGCAGTTGCCCCAAGAAGTTCCAACTTCGTCTCCACCAACTCTGCTGCCCGTTCAATCTTGTCTTGTCGATCTACTATGCTGGTAGTAGCAGACATGTAGATCTCCTTCCAAGCCTTGTACTCATCCTCGGTTAAAAATCGGAAGCCATAGAGCAGAGTTCGCAGACCTTCTGTTGCAAAGTCATCAATATGTTGGAAGCATCGTTCAAATACAGCCTTGTCGTTGATGACAAGGCTTTCCTCCACGAGCTCCTCGACACTGTCAACTTGCGTTGACGGGCCAGGACTCGTTTGTCGCGAGAGTTGCGCTCTTCCGCCCAAAGACTCGGAAACTCGAGAGCCATACTGGGCCGAGGGTCGAGGCGAATAAAAATGGGAGCTTTGGCGAGGTCGTGACATGCCAGGGTCAGTCTCTCGGTCTCTCAGCCACTGATCAATGCTCGCCCTAGCGGTACAGGACTTGTCAACTGTCAGATTACTAGGCCGCGGCGATACGTCCATAGCATGGACAGAGTCCGATCTGTGGCTCAACGCAAAACTTTTGCGCCGAAGTGCTTCTTGCGCCTCAACGCTCTTTCTGTGCGTTGCTCGCTTCTCAACAGCCTGCACACTTGAACTTGCCAGATCTGCCAAACGAAGCAGGTTTCGGAGGGTACTGTCTGCACCCTTGCTGAAAAGACATATCCGGTGGTCGGGAAATCGCACGATGATGGACATGCGTTTCCTGGCACTGGAGAACTCAACGACATCCAAGACCTCATAAGCCTCGTAGACCGGGTTCTCTTCGTCATCTGAAGGGTATGTCTTTACCGTTACGGTGCTGGAACGGCGGTCGGTAACAATATAGCCCATGTCTTGTGCCGCAGTCACTAGTGCCAACTCATCAGGAGATGCAGCTTGATATGTGATGTCGCCGTCGTCGTTCTTTTCCGGAATACAAGTATGGCAGAGGGCTAACGACAGCAGGAAAAATCTTGCCTTCCGGGCAAAGACAGTATGAGGCCGTCGTTGGATGTACTCGACTAGTTCTTGTGTCTTACCGGTTTCCAAAGTCATGTCAACGCCACTTGAAGCCTTCCACTGCGCTTCTCCGTCTTGTTCACTGGACGACAACGCAGGGTGTTCGGCACCGATAGCAGTCGATGCAGCAGATTTCCGAGAAAGCTTTCCATGCGATAGCTTGCTCTTTCGTGCCAAAGATTCTTTTCCTTTACCGCCACGCTTTTTATGCCTCAATTTCTCCCGGCCCGCTTCGTCCGCCGCTTCCTCCTGCAGGTCGATGTCGTGAAGCCAAGCAGTACCAGCAATGCTCATTTTGCGGAATTTCATCGAATTGTTGGTCAAAGTCCCGGTTTTGTCAGAAAAGATGTAGCTGACTTGACCTAGCTCTTCATTGATGGTCGAGGTGTGAGGTTCCATCGGGATGTCAGTCTCAGGGTCGTACATGTCCACATCATTCATCAAGAACATTTGAGCCACCTTTACGATTTCGAGAGAAACGTACAAGCTTAGGGGCAGCATTGTATTCATCATGATGATGAACGAGGTCAGGATCTGGCCGAAGGGAACTCTGGCATATTGAAGATACCAGGCTTTGTCTTCGGTTGTCCGCCGCCAGATCTCATATGCCACCGACAATATGATGGCCATGAAAACGACGAGCGACGCAACCACAACGACGACTTTGTTGACCTTGGCCTGTAGAGCAGGTGCCTTGACTCTAGGATTCTTGTTTGCGTTCATTCGGATCTTGCACTCCTCTCCAGAGTAAATGACAAGCCCTGTAGCAGAGGGGGTATTGCGCAGAATACTTCCGCGGTAAAGGATTTCGGAGTTTGTGAGCGGCAATGTGTGCCCATTGAAGGATACTCTGCCGTCAAACTTGTAGAGATCAAGATTGGGATCTTCCACAACGAATTCCGCATCCAACTTTGCCACAGCGTCTGAATCTTGACAGGCTGCACTCACGTCGGCGGCTGGTGTCTTGGCTTTCAGGTTTGTTTCTCCATCCAGGCTCTTGGTTTCGACATAGGCCGTACCTGTGGGTTCATCGGCATGAAGAAGCACCATATCCGCAGGTACAGCACTGTTCCTCTCCAGAAGCACAACGTCACCGACCCGAACCTGCCGCCATTTCTTCTCTTGCCAGCCTACACTCCCTGACTGAAAGCCATCGTCTTGAGACAGCCTGTTGAGGCTAAGAACTTTGGTTGTCCGTTCGTTCTCCTCTTTGTCCAGGCGATGTCGTCTAATATCATCGTAACCCTCCTTGGCCATTGAGATTGCTACAAAAACCAATAAAGGAATGATGGTGGTGTATGTACCAGTTGTGCTCAGTCCCGGTATCATCTGGAGAATGGAAACGCAGAGGAAGTAGAAGTTGGCCAACTTTCCAAACTGAGCCATCAATTGGCGCGGAACGAAGTTCAAGGGCGTATATCGACAAGAACAAATGAGGTTGCTAGCATAGGGTTTGCCTGTTCGCTCGTCAAGTGCTTCCTCGGGCTGGAGAACATTGACGCGCACGTGTCGACCATCCAGAGTCGGTGGTATCGTGTTCGCTGCAGCAATCCTGGCTCTTAATTCCTTATAGCTCTTCTGAATGCGTCGCAGAAAGGTCGCGCGCGAACTTTGCTTCGACATCCATCGCCGGTATAGTGGCAGCTCGAGGTCAGGGTCTGATAAGCGGAGTGTATTTGCGGCCGGGAACTTTGTCTCTTCGTCCGTCTCTTGGATAGTCACAGAAGTTGATGGTAAGACTGCAGGTTCTTTGGGCTTGAAGGCACGGGGAGCAGAATCGGGGGAGCCCATTTCAAAAGCGCCTCCATCGTCTGAATGTTGTCGTTGGATGTTTTGTGCGAATAGCGAGCGTCTAAGGGAGTATCCTCGATTTCGACCATCCGATGGTGACTTTAGAATTCCTGCGGGCTTCTGTGCTGAGGGCAAGGTATCTTTTGAAACTGGTTCGTCATGTATGGCCCTAGGTACCTCGACTGAGAAGCGAACTCTGGAAGTATCATTGGGCGTGTTTGCGGGCGTTACCTGCTCCCGGTCTTGCTCAGGACGTCGACCGGCCGGGCCATGTTGTCGCGCATCTGATGAGCCCGGCCTATCTTTGTCGCTATTCACCCCTCCAGCATTGTCCGACAGGTCCATAGCCATGGCAGCGGTATCGAGAAATCGTGGGGCCAGGAGGCGAGTCTTTAACTAATGGCTTCATCGGTGGTAATTCGACCGAGGTTATGCATTTCGCGATGCGCAGGGAAGGACCGAACGCTCGAAGTGATAGAATCTTCGACCTGAATATGGATGAATGTCAAACGAGTGTGGTGGTTTAGCAAACATACGAACGATGAAGATCAGAAATAGCCAAGGTCGTGTTCGTCAGTGTCTCAGGTTGACGACTACTGTCTACAGTAGGACGACGCGGCGGCTGGTGGCGGTGCATGGAAATGTTGGCGTTGAGGGCGAATAAAGTGGGCTGCACCAGAATTTGGCCATACAGAAAACTTGGGTGAAGGGTTCACAGGGTTGTAGTGACATCAACCAGCAGATCACGGTAAAAGGATTCTTCCCTACTGGGTGCCGATGTGCCTATGGAGATTCTTTGTCCATCTCCCCTGCAGCGGCGCGCTATCCTTCCTCACCTTCCACCAACGACAGCAGCCCCGATACGCCTCGGAATGCCTAATTGAGCCTGATCCCTCCACATCCCTCCCACATTCTGTAATGCACGACGATCGGTTCCTTTATTCCTTCTCATCAATACGAGCCTCCTCTATCAACATCAACATCATCCCAGAACAGGTCCCCCATCACCTCGGGAGCAAGTCCGCCGACAGTTGCGCATATCAAATGTAGGATACGGACAGAACCTTGGATCACTGTGTCCAGATTGGCACAAGTGACGCCAGCTTTGGTCAACATCCGATGCGAAAGGAGTGCCGACAACCTGCAGTCACCGATGCTGCCCTCAATATCATAACATTCATATAACTTCGTTCTCCTGGCTTCGAAGCCCTACGACAAGGAATTGTTGTTCGATTCCAATATCAGGCTCAACGTGGAGACATTTGTAACTCAGTTGTCCATCCTAGTTCTCTTCAACCAAGTCACGCAAAGTCCGTAACTCTCGTTATCGTTCTTCCAGTCCATCTGAGATGTCCTCACGCACCTCATTTCTTGGCTGCATAGTTCTGGTCCAACCACTTTTGCCCTGCTCCATCCATCACGCTCCAAATCCTCACGATCTTGCCCCTTTCGACCCTGTACATACAGTGCTCGTAGAACGCCTCTGTAGTCGTCGGTGTCGGCTTGTACGTCAGCTTGATCCTCGACGCGACATTGCCATCCTCCTGCTTGGCATCATTCTCCACAATGAGCATTTCAACGTCAAAATGCAACCCGGGAAGATCTTTCTGACTCTGCCTTATCATCTCTGCAAACGTGGCCACCGACATGGGCGCCGAGTCGTCGTGGCTGTGTATAAGACCTTCCTTAACGAATTGGGACAGACTGGTGGCGAGATCTTCAGCGTTGTTGATCGTGGAGATGTAGTCGAGATAGAATTGTCTGAGATCCATCTTCCTGCTCGGTGTCTGTTTCAGGGTTGGGTCTCTCGGATCAAGTTAGCTGGATTGATACATACAAGACTTTCAGTAAGCAAGCGGGTTTATCATTTACTCGTCTTCCTCTTCTTGTCCGAGGTTCCTGCTGCCTAACACCAGTCTTGTTCTTCCCTGCACGTCTGTTTCCTGCTCGACAGCAACACGGCCGAGATGAGACAATACGTCCACGATGTTCCGACTGGGAGACCCGCGACGACCCATATGCCGATGTGGATAGTTCCTAGAAAGTGAACGCTGAATTTTACGTGGGCTGGGAATCCTATGAACCTTTGGCGGGATATATGAAAGTGTCGGACGTCACGATTGGAGGTATTTCTAAGCGTGTACGCCTCGACGCATACGCGACGGTGCTACATGGCCCCGGTTTCTTGGTAGATGCCGACCATCATTGAATTCCCAACTTCCGTCCGTCGAACCAACGTATCTTGTCTCAGCTGACCACTCAACGCACTCGCAAAAGAACAAGATAGGAATTGCTTGCTTTGACGGCGAAGATTTGCACGCAGAATTACGTCGTTGTAGAGATGATGGGGTTTCAGCTTTGGAGGCGACGTGGTACCTGCCATATGCTCCAACGTACACCAGGTTCAGGGTGAAGCACAACACCAGAATTAACGCCGCCTTCCTGCGCAATTCTGAACTGTATGATCCCCCAGTTCACGCCAATGAGCAATATCGCACCTGTGGTCTTCATTGGAGCCACCAACATATCTGAATGTTCGACTTCCAGAGCCCATTGCCATGCTGACTGATTTTCAACGACCAAACGTGTTATCCTTACCCATGCGACGTCAAAAGACAGCCTCTTTCAGACATCATCCGTGACCAACGCTGTCCATGAACTCGCCCAGTGATGGAGACCCTCTTCAATCGCCGGAGATACCATCTTCAATTCCAGTCCTCGAAGTACAGAAGACGAGATCAATCACCAGAGACGAATCACCCGACGCATCCACTACAAGCCTCCCCATCCGTACCTCGAGTCCTCCAGCCCTAGGTTCACGAACCAGCACATTTTCTAGCGTTCTCTCTCGTTCTAGTTCTCCCAATGGAAGATTGTCGTTATCATTTGCGAAGTTTGGTCGATCCCAAGTCAACAGTCCGCTAGGAAATCCATCGGAGAGTTACGATGACACAAGATCTCTGATTGTCAGGGCGTTCTCGCCCACTGTCGCAATCTGTGCTGCTCCGGAAGTTGACGAATTGGCCGCACGAAAGGGAGTGAAGGATGGTTTCACTGGACTGATACGCCCGTTTGGAGACAAGATCAGCGGCAAAGTTGTCGTGAGAGACAGTACGGGAGCCAGCAGAGCATGGGAGGATTTTGGCGTCCACTTCGCCAATCTTGACCAATTGATGGAGAATGGGAGAACTCCTTCAGCGGAAGCCGAACATCTAGAAAGGGTGGAAGAACTCATGGAGCAGTTTGTTGGAGAGGGATTCGATGAAACAGCAGATGTACCTGCCAGAGGCGAGGTCTCTCACTTCTATAAATTGTTCCTGGCTCGATTGCTTTGCTCCCACGCAATGAGCCCACATGAATCCTTTCGACATCCAGTTGGTGCGATCATCGCTATCAGCTCTTCCACAAACCAACCAATCGAGACATTACGAAACCTTTACCAGCAGACGTCTCAAGGTTCCAAGGCTTTGCCAGCATATGCCAATCCGGAATACCTCCGATACTATGTCCTCGTCCACGACGAGGATAAGGATGATTTCAGCAAATCTTCGGCTCTGTTCGATCAAATGAAGAGGCATTTTGGTCTTCACTGCCATTTGCTCAGATTGAGGTCGGCCTCATGCACGCAATCAGATGATGACACCGAAGAACTGCCCGTTTGCGAATGGCTATCCCCCTCCGAGCAGCTATCCATCTTACAGGATACAGCCCATCTCATTGAACTCAACGCTTCAACTTCGCCTTATATTTTTGCCTCCGATGCCTCAGCACTACGCACGTTTGTGCGTGAGCTCATTGCACAGTCGATAGTGTATCACATGGAGCAGAGAATAGCCCTATGGAATGAGCAGATCGCTTCCCGCCGACGTGGGATCTCTGGCCGGTTTATGTCTCTTTCAAAAAGGTGGACTGGCATTGGAAGCTCTCGAAATGCGTCAGCCACGAGCCTAGGAACCCCTGGAGCTAGCGGCAATTACGACAGTTTGCAAGGCACCTATCGGTATGACGCGCCTGAAAGTCTCTTGCGCAAGTTAGCAGACTATGCATTCATGCTAAGAGACTATAAGCTGGCAGCTTCGACCTATGAGCTCCTGCGGTCGGACTATTCGAATGACAAAGCATGGAAACATCTGGCTGGGGCTAACGAAATGTGCTGTGTTGCCACATTACTAAACCCGCTGACCAGCAGCGGAAGCTCCAAGTTCAAGATCGAAAACTTCGACCTCATGCTCGAAACCGCGAGTTATTCATACTTGAGTCGTTGCTCGGATCCTGCTTTAGCGCTACGCTCGGTCCTTCTGGGCGTAGAGCTGCTCAAGGTTCGAGGCCGAGTCGCAAGCGAGCTTGCCGGCAAATGGGCTATTCGTGGCCTCGAACTCGACCTGGTCGGAAGTATAGGTCACGTCCTTATCAGTGAGCGTGTAGCCTCCTGCTTTGCCGACCGGATCGGCATTGGTAACACCAGTTGGGGGATGCGTAAGCGGAAAGCTGCGTTCTGGAACATCATGGCTGCCGATGAGTGGATGAAGCTGGGAAGAGCGGAAGTTGCTGCTGAAAAGCTGGACGAAGCGCAGGAGCTGTATAACGAATCGAAGAACAGCCAATCCATCAAGCAGTATCACGAACTGGCCGAGTATTTGGAGCAGTTACGCCTAGCGGTCAGGATGAAGCTCGGAGAAGCCAGAAGGAGAGGATTCAGCGGCGCCACACGCCAACTTGAGCTGGATGTTGAGGGTCAAGAGCAAGGAGAAGTCGAAGACGAAACTCTAGAAGATATGAACCCTCTAGAGAGACTCGACAGCGCGGTAAACCGGAGGAGTTTAATGGTGGGCGTTGGGGGAATAAACACTCTCGAGCCGATGCCATTGAGTCCGGTTCGTCTGAATAGACCGGATCCTCTCTCAACAGGAGACGATGATTTTGAATGAATGCATTGAACTTCTTGTTGGGCATATTAACCGCCGTCGGTGTACGTAGTACGGAGTAATCGTATTCTAATCGTTCTTCTGCACTGCTTTGGGACTCAGGGAAGACTGACTGTCTCCTTCCATTTGCGGTCCACTTAACGCGTGCGGAAAGCGCGTTTTTCTTAGCGCAATCCCCGAACATACCAAGATACCTAATGATGCATTTCCACGCCGCCGCCGCCGACCATTGACAAGACCGACATCTGATGAGTCGTTAGGGACTGCGGCGCCCTCTTCTCCCTCCATTGTAGCCCGTCGCCGCCATAATGTTTGACCATGAAGTCACAGACAGTACAGACTGGCTGCTTACACCTCTCGCCGCTCTTGCGCCACTTGACTCTTCGCTACGATGTCAAGTCTGCAAGGACTTCTTCACCACTCCAATGATGACCAGCTGCTCCCACACGTTCTGCAGTCTGTGTATACGAAGATACCTCTCTCAGGAAGGCAGATGTCCGGCATGTCGAGAGACCGACCAGGAAATCAAGCTGCGCCGGAATTGGGTGGTGGAAGAATTGGTTGCCAACTTTACTGCCTCTCGGAAAGACCTCTTCACATTTGCAACGACCGCCGCTGCGAAACCAGAAGAAGCTGTTGAGCCAGGGCGCCCGAAGAAGAGGAGGAAAGTTGCTGCAGAGCCTACACCCAATGGAGTCGAGAGACGGAGTACCCGAAGTCAAAGCAGGAAGAATGCGGAAGACACGGGTCAACAGAGCGCGCCATCTACGCAGGTCACGATCGAGGATAGCGAGGAAGGGAGTGTCTACGAAGACGATGACAACGAGAGTCCACATTTTACGAATGGTACCTTGGAACCGAATGATGGCCTGGTCGCGTGCCCATGCTGCCACCGAAGAATGAAAGAAGCATTAATAAACTCACACCTGGATAAATGCATAGCTGGAGAGAGCACTACACCTGTTGATGGCAAATCATCACCATCTCCGTCCAGGCCGCAAATCGCCGCACCAGGAACAATCGCATACGCGCAGCGCAGACCCACGAAACAGAGCGAACGCCTACCCTTCATCAATTACAACTTGTTGAATGAAAATGCCTTACGAAAGAAGCTGCGAGATCTGGGAATACCGAGCCATGGGGCAAAAGAGCTTATGCGTCGACGGCATACGGAGTGGGTAAATCTATGGAACGCCAATTGTGATGCAATCAACCCTGTCACAAAAAGGCAACTGCTGCAAGATTTGAGAGTATGGGAAGATACGCTTGGGCGACAGATGGAGAAGCCACCGAATATAGGATTCATGGCGAAAGACTTTGATGGAGATCTCCATGTGAAGAACCAGAAGAACAATTTCGACGAGCTGATCAAGCAAGCCAGACAGAGAAAGGCCGCCGTAGCACAGAAGGAACCTGAAGCAGATGGAGATGGAACAGCGACCTTGAGCGCAGATGGCGCCGTGACTTCTGCAAAGGCATCTACAGCAGATGCGCCCCGAGAAGATACCACAACGGCCTTGTCCGATGGTCATCAGGTTCCTGTGGCGACGACAGACTCATTGAACCCCTCAACAGCAGGGATAGAAGCGTCACCACCAAAGAACAATCTTGAGCTGCAAGACGATCCCTTCTCGATAGGGGAGCCGGCTACTGGTCGCTTCTTTGTATGATCCAGCTCTTGTGCTTCGGGGTGTCAGGCGAGGCTGTACATGATTCGAGGACCGGATCGTTTTGTGAATGAGCCACATATGCGCAGAGGTAGCAAGAAGGGCCAACCCCTGCATGTTACGGAATGACGATTATGATCATGGGTCGATACATATCTGAGCTTTAGCAAAAGTAGGGCCAACAAAGGGCCTGGCCAGTCTGGTATTACAAAGTCGTCTCTGGTCATTAATCTATCCTGTTTTCAGAGCCTGCCCTGCAAATGTCTGCCGTTACTGTGCTTGTACCTCTTGTCCGTTGATCTCCATCCTCTCCAATCTCTCAATGCTTCTTGATAACTCCTGCTCTGTTGGATGATCTTCAGCTTGTTGCTCCCTTTCGGCCTTCTCCTTCTCCGCTTGCTGTTGCAATCGTTCCAACTCTGCCAGTCTCTGTCTCGTTAGTTCCGCTTCTCGAGCCTGCTGTCTTTCCTTCTCCGCCTGTTCTGCCTGTTCGCGCTTGGCTCTTTCTTCTTGCTCCATACTCTCCAGCTCCTCGTCAACGTCTGCCTCATCAAGCACGACCTTGCCGTCCAGCGGCTCGGCAATGACGCCACTGACCTCGTCGACCTTGCCCATCTCCTCGCGCAGCGTCTCGATCACATCCTCGACCTTCTCCACCCCGCCGACTTTTTTGTTTAGCGTCTTGAGCACGCCGGCACTGGCTTCCATCGCAGCGACCACTTGGACCTGGTCTACAGCCGCCTCGATCTTGGTGTATACTTCTTCTAATTGATGGAGTGTGTTCGATCGTGACTCGAGCGACCTTTCGGCAAGTTTCTTCGACCGTAGCGCCGATAGCGCAGAAGCTTTGTTCCCGGCCTTCACCGATGTCTGCGCCGTCGTTTGCAATGTTGCTATTCTTGTTGTGAGACTGGATATTTGACTGCTCAAGTTTGCAATCAGCGTCTTCAGCGACGCAATACTCCGATCTTCATGCGTGATAGACTCTGGCATGGCAGCTGTAGGAGCCTTGAGCTTGATTGTCGTATCGTCGTAGCTCAGCACCTGCTTGTCTCGTGCTAGGTACCGCAAGAGCACTTTGACGTCTTGCTCCGCTATTGTCCCCTGCATCAGCTCGCCCATCTCTGTGACAAATTGCTCGCGGCTCATGATCCTATCCGTCAGACTTGCAGTGCGGTCCCGTACTTTTGACGCGTATCTGTTATATACCTCCTCCAGCGCAGACACGAGCGCGAGACTGCCATGTCTCAGGTGCCCGTTGACATCGTAACTCCCGCTGCCCACGAGCCCGGCTTTGCGCAGACTCCAGTGAAGTATCGACCACGGAGAAGGGATCCACGACCGGCTGTATATGCTCTTCTCGCTCGTCAGAAAGTCGTCGAGGTCGACCATCTTGCCCGTGCGGACGGCGTCGTCGAGCACGCAGCCCAAGCCCGAGGGCCGGCCGTATTGCGGAGATGCGAGCGCATTGATCAAGTCGTCTGACGTCTGGAGGATCAGGCGCTGTTCCAGAGGGAGTTGGCCCGCCAGAGACGCACGCGTGAGTGCGGACGTCCACGCCGTTACATTCGCGGAGTAGCCTTCGGGATTGGTGCTGCGTTGGACGGTCAGGTCCGAGTACAATGACGGCAGACGCGTGCGCCGGAAGGACGGTTCGTTCTCGACTAGCCAGTCGAGAAGGGAGGGCATGCTGAGCAGCGGCGACGGAGGGATGGCATGGGGGACGGTGGAAGACTGGACGTGAAATGATGCTGCGGCTTTTGGTTGTGGTTTTGTTTACTACGTCAGTGAGAAAAGGCAGGCAAGGCTCCGGACTAACTAGGCCACAAGGCTGAGATGAGCCCGGATGGGCCAAGGGTTGTTTGCTATCCCCGGACACATCATCTGTAAGGGTTGGGATTGATTGTTTCTGACGAGTCATAGTTTGCTTGTACGGTTGGCGTTGTTTTCCTTATGTCCTGATCACTGATCGCTGCTCACTGAGAATTTGCCTCAGAGTACGTCTATCGCCAGTCTTTTGTCTCTGAACGGACAGGGGCCACCTATGCAAGAATCTAGGCCATTTCCAACGCTGCTTTCTTTTTTGAGTCTCATTATATCCAACCAGATCATGTCTCACGACCTTTAGCATCGGATCCAAAAGATGTGACCTCAAGATAACAGCGTACAGCCAATAGCCAAAAGTGAAGATCTCTTCTAAGCTGCCATTTCCTTCCATAGCGTCTCTATCAGGCTCCAATATCTCTTCTCGTCCAGCATGACATGGCCCACATGTCTACTAGATACGAAATCCTCTAGGTGCACTCTGTCTTCACCAATGATTGAAATGGCCTCTTTGGCATGTGCTTCCACATCTTCTGCCGGTATGAGCGCGTCCGCTTGAGAGTAGATGTACAACCTCTTCAGACCATCCTGCATGAATGCACCCTCTGGGTCATTCAACTTCTTCCGAAGCCATATCGTGATGTTGTCACTTCCTGATATGGTCTCGATCGTCTGGGCCATGCCAATGTATCCCCATACTGCCACACTGCCCAGAGTACGCAAAGGACCGGATTTGGGTAGTGATTCGGATATCGCTGTGTGAGCACGCCTTGAGGACGGCAAACTAGGCGTGCTGTCCAGAACCAATGCTGATATCGGCAGTAATTTGTCCTTGCTTGGTGAAGAGTCTCGATATGCAGCCGTAAGCTGCGAAGCTGTGTATGAACCACCATTCGAAAATATGTGAACGAGGACTCTGGGCTTGGTCGACCGTTTCTCTTCCACGAGCTGCTGTATAACCGAAAGAGCAGGCTGTATGGCTTTTCGCTGCAGGAACAGTGGTCGCCAGAATAGGTCTGCCCCATCTTGTCGGAGTAGAAGGATGGGAGACTGAGGATACATCATCTGATAAGGCTTCGTGTACTTCTTGATGTACCGTGGCTGAGCTCCCATCCAGGAACATATTATAATTAGGTCGGGCTGAATGCCAGACGTTTGTGATTCTGAAGTGGTTTCTGTTGCTGGTTTGTATAGGAAAATTTGCTCTCCAAGCTTGTTGAACTCTGGGAGATAAGGATCTAGGCGCTCCTCTCCTGGTTGCAGCTCTGGTTCTGGTCCGGCGAACTCCATGACTGATTTTTGGTTTATCTGTGGAAGGGGAGTGTGCTCAATGAGGAAGGAAAGACATTTGAGATTTTTCAAAGCCAGTACGTGTCTTGCAAAGTGTATCAAAATGGAGACCGAGTCGAGTGCTTGCAAGGATGTTCGCGAATTGATGCAAATGCAGCCCAACTTTGTTGGCAGTGAGCTAGCACAAGTCGCTGCCCTCTCAGTCACTTCACATGTGGTATCGTGTCGAGCGATGTGTATATATAAATAGTGAATGCTAGGAGATCTGACCGAGTGACTGTCAATATAAGAGGCCCATCATGGATGAAAAGGTGACAGAAAGGACATTCTGCTAGCCTCCAGGGGCAACGGGGCTGAAAACTTGCTTTAAGTGACAGCAGACATGAAAACGGTGCGACCTACCTTTACAGCAACCCTACGCGCATGCTCAACGTTGGCATCACTCCCGCAATACAATGGTTCTGGTCATTGTTGTATTCAACACCAATAAAATCCCACTAAAGCAAACCAATGTTTTCTGCTTAGGAAAAGTGGCTGATCCAAACTGCTGTCAGTCTAAATTTAGAGATGCAAGCAGAAGAAATGCAAACAAACAGCATTACGATGAAGTTGGCAAGCTGAAAGTCTAGCGCAGGCCGGACAGAGAAAGACAGCGTCGTTGTACAAATCGACCTCGTTGCAACTCGAAAAGAGATGAAGGTCGCGGCGAATGGAGCCGAGGTGGAAAGAGGATCAAATTGCCATGATGTTACGAGCAGTCGGCCGTACTAAATACTGACGAGTATTAGAGCCACCAGACGAATCAGCAATATGGTCAAGCTTGAAGCTCAAGCCGTTGAGAAGACACCGAGTGCAACAATCCTGCTTGTTTGCGCCATCTCTATGATTACAAACCCCCTTTTACCTCTCAAACTATACATCATCCCGAGCTGAGTGGTTCGTTGATTGATCGTTTTGGGAGCCATCGTGGTCGAAGTGACACTTCACTGCATCAGGCACCGTGCAAAATGCCATTTCGTCTATAGTTGATGACGTCGTCAGCTGTATTGACCTCGCTCCTCCTTGATGGCTTTGGTATGGTGGGGTTGTATCTGCAGCACTCCTGCGAGGGGCTGTCCCGAGCCAAGTGGGAAATATTTTGGCAATAATAGGACGAATGGTCGGCATGCAAGCACAAATGATGCCCGTGTTGAGTTCGACAGAAGACCAATACGCCGCAGCGACATTGTCATGCGTAGTGTCGGAGGAATTGCTGATAATTTGGACTGCATGTAGACGCAGGATCGCCACAATACACACACTGCAACCCGGGTTTAGTAACCTTTATCATTCAAGTAATGGTGCGACTTACAATCCGGCAAGAGCAAAAACGGCGAGCAGGCTATATTTCTGCTTCCGAGGTATTTTCAAAGTTCTCAGCAACGGCAGTGGCAGAATGCAAAGTACAAAGTCCGAGATAATGCAAACCGCTGCGTTAAAGAACCACCATATTTCAAATTTGATGCATTTGCCTCCGGGAATGCTTTTGTTCCAAAAATAGCGAACTGGTGTGCAGGCGAAGCAGGACACCACCAGAACGGCAAAGCCATATGCGACGAAGAAGGCTATGAGGCACCAAGCCGTGTTTCGATACTTCCGTTCTTTGAAAAAGCTCAAGAATTGACAGCAAATGGAGCATTTGGCAAATACAAGACCTAAGTTGTAGATGATAACACTGGCGTAGAAGGCCTTTCTCCGTCAGCAAGAACGAGCACAAAGGACTTTGGAGCAGCTGACCTGTAGCATTCGTTCGAGACTCTCCGGCGGCACGTTGTATATATGCTCCCCCATCCCGTTTCTTCGTTCTATTTTATTAATGATTCAGAGCTTTCTGACTGGAATAGCCGAACATACCAGCTTCAATGGCACCTGAAAGTCCGAAAGACAACACCATCGCAACACAGATGAGGATATCCTCATTGAACACGCGACCCACAAAAAATACACGACTCATGCAGCGTAATAGTACAAACACGAGAGCAACGGCCGAAAAGGTCATTGAGATAACGACAGCCTGAGTGCCCGACATTATGTCGGGCAACTTGCAGAGTTGACAGCTTGTAATGTTCAGTCGATGTCTCAAGGAGAAGCAGGAGGTCGGTTTGCATTTGAAGTTTGGCTGATATCTGGATTTTCGGAAGTCTCAGTGACAGGCCTGCTTGTAAATATGCTTTGACATGAAAACCCTTGAACTTTTGACTCCGTGCGCACCAAGTCACTCAGCGACGAGACAGCTAAGAGGCGTGAGGCAGATATAGTCTGGAAGAATTGGGACAGTGCGTTTTGTCATAACACACCCAAAAGGCGCACGGACGCCTGGCAGCACCGGTTCCACAGGTGGCAAGGAATATTCTGCACGTCCCAATTTCCTCTCTTCCCCGGGCTATGGGGGCTATGGCAAGACTGTCATGACCAAACATTGTTTGATAAAGTCTACACAGTACACAGTAAGCAATTGTGAGACTTCGAAAATTGCCAGTAATGGTGTTGATAAAGGGCCTTCGGATTGGACTTCCGACGCGCACAAATCTGATTGTCGACCGCGGCCTAGCATGTTCAGATAGTCGTCCTTGGCTACCTTGAATGGCAAGCTTGTGCCTCGCGAGCTTCGAGCAACGTAATGCGAGCTTTGAGCGTAGCCGTGGTTGACAATTAGGAGGCGTCGTCACAGTCAGGTTCTCTGGCTGCGTAACCGGCATGTTTTCTGAGATACGCGAGCGCGGAAAGGAAAGCCGATCCGCATTCTAGATCGATAGGCATCCATCGAAGCTTCCTAAAGCTCAATAGTGTCAAATTCTAATACTGCGTACACAGTAGGGGTGGAAATGGCAGAGCAAAATCGCGCGACACATGGTTCCGAATGCGATTCGGAAATTGAAGCGATCACCGATTCGACCTAGTATCGCAGATTTGGTGGCATCCGTGCGCGGTGCTCAATCGCCATGATCGTCGCACAGACGGGGGCGACTTGTAGCGCTGAGAGGAGATAATATAGCCGGCGTTCGAGGGTCTCTCGTGTCCGTCGAAACAATAGGATCACCCTTCATACCACGTGTAACCCCGTGTAGTGAATTGTACATACGATGCGGACGGCACCAAGGCCCTCTCATGGATCGGCAAGATTGACAGCATTCACTTAGGATGGTATTCCTCGAGAACACAGCGGATACACTGGCGGCTTAGTGGCGGGATGTATTCGATAGCCCGGGTATCCTCCTTCAGCTCATGCTGCGCCACGGTAGAGTCGGTTCGTCCTGACTGAGAAGGTCGTTCTAGAGTCTCTCACGTACGAGCTAAGTCACTTCCAACGTTGGCCAGTCATGCAACACTTGCTCACAGCTTCTCGTTGCCGAAGATTACAGGAGCCATAAATTTCGATCGAGGACGTCCAGAGCGACGCTATCCGGGAGTAAAAGTCGGAATGCGGCGGTCACAAGGGGTCAACTCGATATGGACAAATAACATAGGAAGGTGAAAGAAAGCGGGACACCCAGGAAAGGGAAACACCACAGCCTTGGCCTAATAGATGCGCTTGCTCGGCCGTTGGGATCTGCGGAGGAGTATAGCTCCGCCCGAGCGCAAACGCCAAAGAACGCGCTCGCGTCACAAACCACTTTAACTCGATGGCCGTGCAGTTTGCAATTCAACTCGCATCCTGCGCGAACAACTATTCCGTATATCTCTGCCACGGCCAGCGTAATGTCTAATGACTTCAAGAAGTATCTGGCGACGGAAATCCTCTCAGAACAGCATACAGTCTCCTATCGCAATGTCTCTCGTGCTCTAAAAGTCCACGTCAATGCGGCCAAATGCATGCTGTATGAGTTCTACGAGTTTCAGAATGGAAAGAAGCCAGGCTCGGTCTACGCTACATACCTGTTGTCCGGACTGAAGAAAAAGCCGGCGCCCGTGACAACAGGAAACACCAATGGACACAAGCAAGACTATTACGAAGACGAGCCGATCCCCTCCAGTCCACCTCCTTTCACCAGTTCCATGCTAGAACCCAGCCAGCAAAGCAGCCACGGGCCAGAAGAACAAACTCCACATGTTACAGTACGCACGATTACGCTGGTGACGGAGGAGAACCTGGAAGGTGTGTCACTCCGAGCTTGAAACGTACTAGCACTAATCATTGTGCAGAGATGAGGGAACAATATGAGACAATCACCTCCATACACATCTACAGCCTTTCGCCCGAACGAATACAAGACCTTGTCTCTCTGACCGATGTCGGGAGGGGGCTGTTCACAGATGTATTTGCAAAGGAAGATCCGCTGGAACATAACAAAATATACGGCGTCATTCAAAACCCGCATGTCAGGAGACGTAAGGGCAAGCGGCCAGTCGTCCCACAAGGCCCTGCACCGAAATTTCAAGCCGTCAAGGAAGAGTCAAAAGCCTCCCGCACGTCTACAGGTGCATCTACACAGCCCAAACCTGCCGCTGAGGCGAAGAGCGAAGAAGCGTCCCGGCCCAGCTCTCGCGACAGCACATCGACTAATGGCCCCTCCAAGCAACCCGCACTCAAACGCGGTGGTTCCGATCTGTTCCGAGCTTTTGCAAAGCAGAGTCAACAGAAGCCGAAATCTGCGCTCACCAAACAAGATTCAGACACACCTATGAAGGACGACGATGAGGGCGAGTCAGAAGATGAAGCACTATTCCTCGACACAGGAAAGCGCACCACGAAGAAACGCCCGAGCGACGCGAAGAAAGAGCGAGAAGACAAGGCAGCCAAGTTACGCAAGATGATGGACTCGGACGATGAAGCCGAACCGGAAATCGCGGCCGTAGAGAAGGCGACGGGCGTCGAAGGTGAGCCCGTCAATGCGCAAGCAGGGGCCGACGCCGTTGAGGAGAACGAGGAGGACGGAGAAGCAGTCGCTTGGTCAGACTCGGACACCGAAAAGCGGCGACAGACCGCGCCCGAGAAGGACGCATCTACCGAGCAGAACGGCGAGCAGATATCGACGTCGGAACCCAAACGCCGTCGCGGCAAGCGCAAGGTGATGAAGAAGCGCACGACCAAAGACGAGGATGGGTACCTTGTCACGAAAGAAGAGGCGGTGTGGGAGAGTTATAGTGAAGAGGAGCCCGAGCCGGCGCCGGCGAAGAAGGAGCTGCCCAAGAGCAGCTTTGGGGCGAACAAATCTCAAAGTCAGAATGCAAGTCAGAAAACCGGCGGTAAGGCTGCGCCGAAGAAGGGTGGGAATATCATGAGTTTCTTCGGGAAGAAGAGCAATTGATCGTGCATGCATGTCTTTATCAGCCGAGCGTTGCGTCGCGTCGCGTTGCGGTATTGCATGGCGTACGTGGGACAGCCGATATGATGACTGTACTGCCACAAAACAACCATATACGATTCTCCTGCAATGAATGCCTCTGAATGTACGAGGTCTGAATGACAAGCGATCAGCTTGAGAAATCGAAGCATATCTCTTTGTGTATGTAGAGCCGGAGCGAGCAACGCCGGACACCTTATATCCTTCGTTCGACGGCCAGCCTCTTAGATAACCCTCGATAAAGCAAAAGGCCCTTCCACCGCTTGAGGCTTATTCTATCGCTGACTTTAGTCGTCGCAGTTTTCCTCCTTCGTGCCACAATGCAGAGTCCTACGCACTGAGTCCGATGACCGCATCGACCCAGCAGAATACAGGTCATCTCGCCAGCCAATGCCGAGACTGAGTAATTTAACCAAACCAACCCTCGCCGACTCTATACCCGCTCACCCTCCCGCCCTCGCCCTCAGATTCATCACCCTTCAGGACCAAGTGAGGCTTATGTTCCGCCAACGACAGCACCGTCTGCGCAAAGACACTGTTCGCCCAGGCGAACCAACTCCTCGTCATCCCGTCACCGCCGTGGCCGACCCCTCGATGGACATCGACGCTCTCATTGATCAGCCCGAAAATACTCACATTCTTGACTCTCTCAATGCACTCCGTGATTTCGCCGTCATCGATGGCCGTCATAGCCTGCACAAGGACAGACATTGGCCACGCATTGCGCAGCCCGATGTGCGGACCTCCTATGCCGGAGAACTTGTCGCCGACCAAGAAATACGGGTTCCCCCGCTGCGTGAGGATCATTCGCCGCGTGTTCTGGTAGATCTCGTCATCCTTGCCGACGAAACCGAGGAGCGGAAGGGACAAGAGAGACGGGATATTCGCGTCGTCCATAAGAAGATACGATCCGTACCCGTCGACCTCATACGCAAAGACTTGTCCGAACTCAGGATGGGTGATGACGGCGTGCTTGTATATCCCTTGGCGGATGATCTCAGACCGCCGTGCAAGACTCTCGGCAACCTTGATCATCCAATCCGCTTCCTTCTCGTTGGCCGTTATGGAGGCCTTTTTGAGCATCTCAGCGATGCGCGCGAGCTCAACGGACATCATTGCGTTCGCGGGGATGAGAAATCCAAAAATCGTGGCGTCGTCGGACGGTCGGAATGCAGACCTTACCAACCCAGTCTCGCTGGATAAAGGGTTACCTGTCCCTTCGAGGTTGAGCGTCTCTGTGCCCAGGCGTGTGTTGCGAGAGAAGGTGTATTCATTGCGCTCGTACTCGCCTGTGGTAGGGTCGAATGTAGGCCGAGACTGCTCGTCAAGTACGCGAAGGAGCGCTTCGAGGGCTTTGTACCAACGCGGCGTGAGGAATGCTGTCGAGCCCGTCGAGGTATGGTATTGGTTCGTCAGGGAGAGGAAGGCGGCTAGGCTGTCGAGTTCGTATTTACATTCAAAGACCACGGAAGGCTCGTAGGCTGGATGGACGTAGTCTTCTTGACCAGAGTGTACCGGGGGCAGGCGAGCTGGGTTGGGAGGTTGGAAGGCGTTACAGTAGGGCGAGGCGATCACGAATTCGGCTTGGGTGTTGATTGCGCCCAGGAGCAGATTAGATATGTCTGGGGCCGATTTTGCAAGGTGTTGGTACTGGGCTAGCTGGTTCGTCGAGTCTCGTAGCCATTCGGCGTTGATGTCGCCAGTAACGATGAAGGAATGGGCGCCGTCCCATTTACCTCGATCGCGGAACAGACGTGACTTTTCTGCATGTGTTTTTACGCCGTCGACGTGCCATAGCACAGTGGTATCGAGAGTGTTGGGGAATGCATTGCGAAATATGTGTGCTAGGTCGGGATCTTTGAAGCGAGGGTATAGATCTTCAACCACTTTTTCCACCGCAGGCGAGGAGAACTTGCGGCAATGGGGGTGAGGTCGCTGGTAGGGGAGTTGTAGTGGTCCCTCGCTCAGAGGTTTACTGGCAGGAGGTCAGCAAGAATGCAACACATCAATGATCCTCGCGAAGTACTGCTTGTGGCGAGCATAACTCGTATAATCTGGGCACAACCCAGCGAAGACCTCCTGATCTGAAAGATGGCTGTCGTAGACATTGGTGTCGATAGCATCTCCGAGAACTGCGTCAACGTACACCAACCGCGGGCAGAGGAGGAGGCTGAGTATCCGCGTCCATGGGCGCAGATACATGGTATAAGTTTCAACCCATACGAAATAGACAACAAGTATGCTGTCGACTTGAGACAACTACGCCAACAAGTGGAGTGGATTCCGGATGGTCGTCATTGTCAACACGAACTTGGAGTAACACGAGGCTGCGCAAGGCTGAGTTCAACCAGAGTACTACGGACTGCGAGACCAATACAGCAATTGTACCGGGCAACCAATGAAGCATCAAGCGAAACCCATAGAACCATCGTTCTGCATATCAGTGCGTATGAATCCTGAAGCAGGGAAAACAGCACGAAGAACGGTCAAAAGGCATATTGTTGGACATAACCAAAAGTCTCCAAAGGTAAGCAAGTGGTGGTTTCTTAAGAGCAACAGCGGCGAGGCCAGACTGCTGGATTACCAGCAGCCGCTTGATATTCGCGGAGATTCCATCACTCCAGTCATTACGGTGTAGGTGTGTCCTCAAGCCACGCCTCTAGTCACCACCCGATCTAAATAGTTCTTCCCGTTGTTCTAGAGCTTCGACCTTATTCCTTCGAGTCTAAACTTGACATCCTTGAGAGCCTTCGTTGTGGGCTTCCAGTCGTCAAACTGCGCGAGGAGTTCTCGGGCTTCGTTTTGGAGCTCTGTCTTCACATAGTCTTCCTCCAAGATTCCACGCATGGCAAAGGGAAGGACGTACGGATTTGCCATTGTGTTGCTGGTCTGTCTCTTCGAGAGGGGCACGTCCTTGAGAGCAGTCGTCTCTAACGCAAAAGAGATTGCAATGTCATAGACCGCATCATCCTCATAGATGCGTGAATGCCCTTCACCACCATATAAACTCCCTGCCAAAGGTGACGATAATTCCCTGATAAGACCATGATCTGGGACACCAACGTTGCGCAGCTTCAACGCGAAGCCGACAAGGTGGGATAAGAAATTTGGTGCATGAACACGTGAGTCGATGAAGACGGCTCTGTAAATGTGAGGATGAGTGACAGGAGCAAAGATTGACGACTCCATTGATACCAGTTGGTCATCAATGCTGCCAACAAAGGTTAGCCGTACTCCAAACTTCAACACCACCTCCATTGCTTCCAAATAGTTGATGGACACTTTGCTGTTTGGATCAGAGAATTCGAAGAGTTCGCCGGCTGATCCACTGATCCAGCGAGACTTATAATCTTGAAAGGGGCCCATGTTGACGCCCGCCATTGCACAAATTCCTACTCGAGCCCCACTGATGCAGCCAAACTGTATCAATTTCGCAACCAGCATGATTGCCACAGGTACGCCTTGGCTATGACAAGCAATCATTACAAAGTCCGATTTTCGAATTTCATCGATCCAATTGAGGAGCAGTTTCCACAAGAGCTCGACTCGTTCGGCAATTCGGCCTTCCCCTTCGAGGGCTGCACTCTTGACTTCGCAGTCATATCCACGACTACGCGTCCATTTTCTGATGCATTTCGCCGCCATGTCTGCAAATTTGATGGACGTACCCGTCGGTTGACCAAGCACCGTGCGAATAAGGGGCGCAGGAAAATACCCATGCACGCCGATTGCCAGAGCATTCTTTATCCGCGGAGGATCTTTGACGACAGATAGGTGTTTGAGATGTGGTTCTTTGGTATAATAGAGCATCCTTGCCAGCTGTTGCAGAATAGAGGGCTGTTCGTCGTAGGTCAAGGTATCTCTGATCGGGGGCAATAATAAGTTGGGCATTTCCTTCTTCGAGGGTGCAGGCGAAGCCTGCCTTGAAGTCCCAAATTCTACCGGTTCTCTGGCGACGGCTGTAGCATTGGACGATTCAGCCTTGGTGGATTTACCGTCTTTCATCATCGTGGCCCTCTTTTGCGAGTTAGGAGGTTGCGACTGTTCCATAGCTGCGGTCTTAGTCGTAGCAGTTCTCTCAGCCATAGTCTTTTTGGATAACTCTTCCTGTTGTGAGGGTTTCAAGATAGGTCTGGCTGCATCGTCTTGTAGGCTGATTGATGCTCGTTTGGGCTTCGCTTGTGAAGGCGTGTCCGAGATGGCAATCTCACCAACATGAGGCTCGTTGTCCGGCCGGGCAGATGCCTGCAATTTCCTATCTCGCGACCAGAATACCCAGCCGGAAGACTTGGAACCATCTCCAGAAAGAGGCGGTGGAGGCGAAGTTTCTAGAGACGAGGCTTGAGACGCAGATTTGGACTTTGGTGTCTCCGGCGCTGGGATATCAAGGTTCTTGACTTGCTTCGTAGCTTCTGAAGGACTAATCGCACTAGCATTTGTGGCCGATATAGACGGTGCCTCCTTCGTAGGCTCGGAGGATGCATCGCTGCTCCACATCTGATACCAGCTTCTCTTGTTACTCGCATTTCCGGGGACCTCATTTTGTTGCCGTGGTGTTTCCGACGGCGGTTGGACGCTCTGACCTGCATTACTTGCTGATGGCGGTGAGGTTTCTGCGGTCTCTGTGGTCGAGCTGGGAGGCTGTTGCACGTCAGGCGGCTTTGGAGCCATCACATCTCTCTTCGCCAGCCACCCGAGCCATGTTCCTTGCGTATTGTTGGCTTGCTCGGGTATCGTTGCCGCAGTAGCTGGCGGGGCGGGTTGCGCGGCAGCTCCGTCCCCGTCCATATCTTCTGGCTTCTGCTCTTGTCCCTTGACAGTCTTGTCGGCTCCGGCCTCTTCACTCTTCTTCCCATTCGCTCGTGCTTCAGGTTTCTTCTTGCTGTTGGGTATCGTAGATTCCGCAGTCGCGTTCACGGTGGTCGTAGTTGCATCAACTGGTAGCGATCGATTGGAGGCGGTCTTCCCCAAGGTCATGGCTAGAGAGGGGGATCTCTGGGAACGAGCTTTATCCTTGGTTATCGAAGCCACCTCTTGAACCGCGTTTGAGGCAGATGAGACACTTTCACGTGCGATCTCTGCAAGCGGTCGTGCCTTGCGAGGCCAAGTCCGAGTAATCCATGACTGTCAGATCCGTCAGTGACCGAGTCGTCCGCATACATGGCCCCTTACCGATCGCTTTCCTTCTTCTGATGAGGTCGAAGGCTTTGGGGTGAATGGTCGTGCCGGAGTGTCTGGAGGAAGAGGAACGTCTGCAGGTTGTTTTTGGGCTGTTGGTGAGCCCTCGGTTGGGTTGGTCTTTTGGCGTTTCAATGGTCTTGGGGGCGCCATGAGCCCAACACTAACGAATCCAGTACGCCAACTGAGCGCAAGCAGTACAATGATACCATGAGATCAAGATGAGCCGCAAAGAAAGGTAGTCGGGTGAGATATAGGATAATTCACAGTTTGGTGCTGGCATGTCAACACTTGAAGACAGGCACCGACGTCATTTTGATCGACCAATCCAAACGTCAAACGATGCCCTCGTGTTGAACCCACAAAAAAGTTGTACATAGTAGAACAGCCTGCGAGAACAATAATTCTTAGGCCGCCCTTATAGAACTGCACGCTTCTGGCAAGACCTAGAAGAGATCACCAACAATGGCCAAGACGGCAAAGGTCAAAAAGAACGCTACAGGTGAGGTCTGATGCCCGAGAAGTGCGCATCTGCGATGTTGACGGCCGCACAGCGAATCCCCGATCTCGAGCCTCGAAGCGAGCCACATCTCCGTCAATAGATGTAGACCGATCCCTCAAGGATGCCCCTCGTGCCTCAGATGCTACTCCAGTCCTAGCTGCCCGACCAGCCAGCGGTGTCACTAAGTCGAAGAGGAAACAAAAGCCTCTGACCAGAGGCCAACGACGGCGACATGAAAAAGGGCTAGCAAGAGCAGAAGTGGTCCAAGATCAACTGTCCAAAAAGGCCGATGAGGCCACGTCTAAGCTCAAGAAAAGACGGGACAGGAAGAAGTTGTGGGACGATGTGAATACTGGTGCGACAAATTTCGACAAGATGAAGGCCATCCTGGGAGAAAATGATGACGGAGACGAATGGGTCGATGAAGAGATGGATGATGGAGTTTCCGACGTAAGGATGGTAGAGGGAGTGCAAGTGCCTATCACAGCGCCTGCGACCAAATTGATCGTTGTTGATCGTACAGCATCAGCACCAACCACGGATATGGAGGACGAGGTTGAGAAGATTACATGAGGATAGCTTTCTGGTTCCGATGACCCTATTTCTTCGGCCTCAACTGCGTCAGCATCCTTTCGATTTCGACTTGCTGCTGTCCATTGGCTTTGTCTCGCAGAGACTCCAGCGATGTCAAATCCTTTGCTTTCAGAGCTTCTTCGCCAGCTTTGACGATCATACCGCACTTAACCCACATCTCGATACGTTCTGCCGGCTGGAGGCTCGTACATTTGGGAATAAACGACGAGGCGAGACGCGTGTTGCCGGCTCCGAGGACTTCGTTGTAGAAGGGCTGCAACATGTCAGAACAGCACTACTTCGATGAACGGGAAACCTACCTCCCAACCGATGGGCGATTTCTTGCTCTTAGCAATCTCCTCGACTTCGCCCCATAGACGAGCTGCCGTCAACGCCCGGAGTCGAACCCACCACCAGGACTTCTCAGGCACTTTGAAAGCGCTCTGGACACTGGCAGCTCTCTTGCTGTAACCGGATTTGATGAGTCGATACATCGTCTCATTGACACTTAGGCCAATAAAGCTACCGCTGCTATCGGTGATCTCCTTGTCAAATGCTTCTTGCATCTTGAGCAGTTGAGTTGCTTCTGTCAGAGCTCTAGTATGCATGATGGCAGTGGGGTCTTTAGCGTCTGTAAGCAATCTGGCCGCGAGCTTCAGCTTGTCAATCACGGCCTGAACTTGCGGCTGATGCATGGCCTCTTCGAGCAGGAGATTTGATCCTTCGACTGGTCGGTCGTCTTGGTAATAGAGGTCCTTCAATAAGTCCTGATCTTGCGCTCTCGCTGAGCTCTCGACGAGGGCCGCAGCCATAGGTTTCTCGCTGATAGTTCGGAGGAAAGTGGCCAGTGGTAGCTTGTTCTTGAGCTGTAGCAGGACAAAGAATACCAAATCACTGTCACCTGATTCGATTGCCTTGTTGAGAGCAATCTCGTCTTCCTCCATGTTGAGGAGCAGCGGTACTTGTTTTCCTGCTCTCGGTTCATGATTCAGCAGCGTTGTTGCCAGGTGGCTCCTACCCTCATCATAGGCGGCTCGTGCAATTGTTTCAAAGGAGATGCCATGCTTTCCACGTAGTCGTTCAACTACCAGCTCTCGGATCGCGTCGTCGTCGGCCGATGAGCTTCGGACTTTCTGGCTCGCCCAATGTACGTAGATCTTGTTCAAAGGAAGATGCAGGAAATCGGATAACTTGATCGCAAGCAGGTATTCTCGCCGATTCACTAGCCGAACAATGAGTCGCTCCGGTGTGAGTCGGCAGTACTGCTCATAGGACATAAAAAGTCCGATGCGATAATCTCGTACAGCATTCAGGACTCTGAGGTCTTCGCACATATCTACGAATTCGTCGCTGCTGTAGAGATCCAGAACCGACTTGCCGAACGAAGCGGCGCGTAATAACTGTTTCTGGAGGTTCTGGTTGAATTCCTCGCCAGCTGCGCGGATACATATCTCGACAGCTTCCGGAAGGGTTGGTTTGATGCGCTGTATGTTTTCGTCGGCTTTCGGAGACTTCTTTTCGAGCAGCTCAATTGAGTCCAGCAAAACTGAGGCTGCTGATGTAGACCCAAGCTTGAAAACTTCCTCCAATGGATCCGGAACTTTATGCAGGAACTCGCATGCTTCATTCGTTATCAACCGGACACCGTCAATGTCTGCGACGACGTGTACTTGGTCATCGTAGTAATATTTGACGGCAGCACCATTTGGACCGACCATGTGAACCTCGTCTTCCCAGGCCAATATGACGGAATCGTTTCCACACCAGCATATCTGCGTTGGCGTTGTCTTCGCTTTGGAATCATACTCACTGTATTTATTCTGAAAGTCGCTGCCGACCACCCAAACTTTGCCATCTTCGGTGTACAAGGCCGCGAATCGTCCATTTGGCGACACGCTGATATGCTTGAAAGGGCCATCTGAGAGGCCTCGGTCTTCGGCTTCAGACGCATCGACGACATAGATTGTCTTGTCGATGGCCAACAAGACCTCAACGGACCTAGAAAGGGTATATGCCGGTGGGATTAATGACCAAGAATGTACTTCGCCTTCGGGCGGCTGGGCAAGCACTCTCGGCCTCGGCTCGTTAAAAGAAGAGACAGCAATCAAGGTGTTGTTTCCGAGCAAGGCGACGAAGCCTTGAGACCAAAATCGACAAGATACGACACCATACTCCTCAGCGCCGTGCCCCAACAGGAATGGCTGAAAGTCGCCGTGCAATCCGAAGTAGCAATGCACAACGCCATCCTCAGTAACGACTAAGAGTTTCTCGTCGTCCGACCACCCCAGGCCTTTTATCAGACCTTTTTCCCAGTTGATGTTACTGATCAGCTTGCCCGAGGATGAGTATATATCGATCGTTGACTTGGTCGATTGGCCCGTCCTATATCGTGCAACTTTGGAAGTATCCCGCCATAATGCTTTGGTCTATCAGATCAAGTTCGTAATTTCTGCAGGGTCGCTTACCTAGAGCTCCTCCATATGGCGCCCCAGCAACGAAGTAGTTCTCGAGCTCGAGGTCCGCATCAAAGACCGATTCGTAAAGCTGGACCTTCTGGTAGAACTGGTCGCCTATCTTTTCCCAGCCAGCTCTGGGGTTATTGCTTGTCATTGGGCCGCTGTGACCATCAGATTGGAGGATATGTGCATTCAATCTACAGATAAAGGAGGAACAAATGAATGGAGAGAAGATGAAAGGCATCAGCATCAACTGTCGTTGGCGTCAGCCAATGATGGAGCGTCTTGGCATCAGTGCAAACGGAAGTCGGCTTCAGCTTGTTTTCCCACCTTCACTCGCGAAAGCATAGTCGCTCAATGTCATAACTCCGGCTGCCATGGCGGATAATTGGCCTATACGTTCTTGATATACTAGAGACAGAGCTCATACCATTTACAGAACGACAAAGGAATGCCTGAACCCTGGGAACGACTCCCATGTGAACCATGGATATTCAAGGCTTCCTGGACCATGTGAACGATCTGTCTGACTTGGAGTTGGCTGTTCTCCTCAGCCTTGTTGCACAGCACCATTGCTTGATCAAAACTCCTGATGTGCACCTCGATGATGTGGCTTCAGAGCTGGCCCCGGTATATGACCTTCCCCCAGAATCCAGCCTGAAGCTGATGACATGCACAGATTGTCACAGATATCTTCAGCCTCTCATATATCATCATCAACCAGGATTCTTTGCAATCTGTCGACTCCTTTGTATCGGCTATACTGGATGACACGAGCGAGTTTGGCGAGACACCCGACCAGTCTGACAATGACATTGAAAATGTTGGCCTCTTCTCTTCGGCTATGGCCCAGCGGCTGCTGACGGCGTTTTAGGGCGGTGCTCTGCGCTCCAGAATCGCTGGTGTCGACTTCCGTGGAGCAACCTCAGCTCACAACGGACTATCGAAGCTGGATAGTAGAAAAGTTGTCAACGTTGTAATTGCGAAGAATTTCGATCGTGCCCATGAGGATGTGCAAATACAGGCTCTCGAGGTAGGATATTCGTCCAGGTTGTCTCAGCCATACTGATTGCTCGACCAGCTCATTCGGAGACGGAGGATATTCAGTCGAACAACAGTACATACTGCTCCAAAGGTGTTCCTTCTGCTTCCGGTCGTTTCGACCTCTTCGCACGTCAGATTGAACAAGCACCTTGTAGGATCACTTTGTCCAATCTCGTTGTATTCCTCCTGATGCCTTGCAGAACGATCGAATCTTCATGTCGCATCAGCACAGACCAGAAGATGGGTTTCCGAACCTCGAGGAGCTGGATGAGGCCAACAATGTGGACGACAATAATTCCACGTATTCGTACTCCACGTCGCCTAGTATAAGACGTCAGAAAGCCGTCGCAAGTCGCCGCATAACTCCAAAGGTAAGACCGTGGCGTGTGCAATTATAACAGTTGCTCACAATTGCCAGCTGATCATAGAGCTTCGTGCTCAGGGGCAAGCAGCAACAATCACCCCCGAAATCCGGAGATATCTCCAAGATGTGGTGGCTTTCCTCCGTATGGAGAGAGGTATCGACGGAGGCGTTACTCCTTATGCAACGACTTTGTTCCTTGCTCTGGCAAAGTAAGTCCCTGCTCCGCGATTAGCTAGACAGACGCTGAGTGTGATCACAGGTACCTTGCACCATTCCACGGGTTAGATTATGTCACTCCATCGCTTGTTGGGTTGGCAGCTAGAAAGATATATCCACATCGACTTGTGATAGCCACTCCAGGTCGAGAACGCAGCACGCTTTATGGCACGGATCTGGCCACTGCACGAGAGCTGCTAGAAGACCTTGATCCAGAGAAGGCCATCCAGAACGTGCTGGATACCGTTGAGTGTCCGACATGACTGAACAGAGTGGCATTGAATGGATTCGAGACCGCGCGACGCATTTGCGTTCCTGATACCAGTGCGATCCGCTGTCTAGCCTTCTAATTTCGATGCTTCACGACACCACTTTATCAAGTCTTTTCACAAGACACCAACAGACAGGCTTTGTCAATCTTCCAGTCTTGGCTTGTACAAACGCTTCGTCCTTTCTTTGAGGTAGACAACAAGCCACTACGCACTCCTTTAGCCAGCATGGGTCCACGACAGCGCAAAGCTGCATCTCCCATATTCTCCTCTCCCCGTCGTCCTCCACCACCGCCGTCCCAGCGTCCGCAGCCAGCTCCTCCTGTATTCCACCCGAGATCGATCTTGGATCCAGCTTATCAGACTCAAGAACTTCCTCTTGCTGGCCTTGAGTACAACGCAGCACATCTCGAGCCACCACCGAATGCAGCGTCCTCAAATGCCACAGCCAATTCGTACCTAGCTGTCCAGGCAGAATTTATCAGAAACGCCAGCAATGACGCTAGGAGGAGTAGGGAAACGCGGATGGCGAACACACAGAGCCATGCCGGATACATGCCTGGAAGAGCTCATACTGCAGCCTCGGCCCAGCCTGCGAGCACCGTCCCCGGATATCTCCAGGAATATCTTCGCGCACAGCATCGTCGATACCTCCAAGGCCCTACCGCCAACGTGGCCCCCACCTCTACAACGGCAGGCAACCGATTCGGCCGCTCTACTCCCGTTGTCCAAGGCACTGACGTGCATTCACACGGTGGACAAGATGCTTATCATGCTACATACCCCGACCAAGCCACTTATCTTCGAATAAACCGAGCCAACGAACCCGATCTTTTCGACCTTTACTTGGGAAATGCCCTTATGAACGGGAACGTGCCTCCAGCAGATTATGCAGCAACTGGGAACGATTTTACGGCTTACCATCCAAGTTCGCGTCCGAACGACGGGCCCGGTGACGGTTCAATGGCCTATTCACATCCCGCAGCCACTGCCGCGTCCCAACATGGCCAACAATACCCAGCAGCACCGAATCAACCGAGTTATGCTCAAGCTGTGCCTCCTCAGCCTCTGCAATCTGGAAATGCTGCCTCACAACCCCAGACGTCCTCTGGTCGATTTGTACTTCCGATGTGACCTGCTACCGCCGCACCACGTCCACAGGTTGCACCCAGATCACAAAATCTGGCGTCAGCAGCGACACCCGCCACTCCGGCTCTACTCCCTCGGTACCTAGGTCACCTGCTTGGCCCAGATCACCCAAACTCAATTGCTTATGCCTGGTGGGCTTCGCAACAGTCACAAGCTCCAAAACGGGACGGTTACTCTGGCTGAAGGATGTGTCTCGGTTCATTGATTCATCTTGGGTTTTTATGTACTCTACTTCACTGTCAATAGGAGACACAATTGGCGTACGCATAGCGTTCAATGGAAGACATTGTCAACACCTGGTGCTACGTTCCCTACCCACCCTACTGTCATTGAGTCCAGGCCTTACGCAAGATGTCCGCCGCAAGACTATACCATACCTTCACTCACATCCTAAAAAGCCGTGTACCAAGCCAATTTCGCCCACATTGTAGCTCTGTTCCGTCTGCGTTTGGATCCCACGAGGATGCCATTGTTGCTTCGTCCATGGTTGTGTTTGGAATTTATGAGGATGCCATACCCATCGCCGGTCTGTCTTAGATTTGATACGACGCTGGTCATTAATGTCAGGCTATCCTTTAAAATCATTATCCACCACGGGCAACTGTCACCAATTTCCAACACATCTTGTGACTGGCACTGCCATCATGCTCGTCAGCGATGTTCACCACTATCAAGTATGGCTGCTACAGGTGTCTACCACCTGCCTACAACGGTCTTACCAGAAATTTCACAAGGTCCTTTTTAGTTCAAGCAATATGTTTTCATGATTCGTCACACAAACGCTGAATATGCACTATCACCAGCAGCACCGCCAGACCTTGCTACTGTCAAAGAGATGCCAGATCCCATAGTGCTAAACTATGCTTCCATGAACGCTAAAATATTTCGCTTTTGTCGGAATGACGCCTCCCAAATAATCAATAGCCGCCTTATGCACAATCTGTTGCCCAGGGCTCATCGATACTGAGCCATCCACCGTCCACAGGATCTTGTCCTGAGTATTTGACAGAATCATAATGACGCAGGGTTATTCCCATTGGTGACTTCTGGAATACCAGGAACAGCCAGCTGCCCGGCATCCGATCTGCCTGCGCTGCCATCAAATACAAAAGGTCCTGCGTTGTTTCTTGGGGTGAGCGGGCCTTCTCCTGCTATGATGTGTTCAGGATCTGGAGTTTGCGTTCTTGTTCGCTGATGCTCAAGATGAGTGTGCACCTCGTCTTCGTCTGGTCGTTCTGGCATGTCGATGTTGCCATTTATCGAATTCACTTCAGGTGAAGCAGGGTTTGCAGCTTGTCTCCTCGCTAATAGTCCAGAGGTGCGTGGTGTCGAGGCAGAGCCACCGTTGTTTGGGACGTCAATTGGATCCGACACAGTCACAGTTGGGTGGTCGCCAGAGTCTTCCGAAGTATCCGGAGTTTCATGAGTAGCGCCGGAATCTGTAGTGTCTGCCTCGTTGACTTCGTGGTCAGGACTGGTACTGGCATCGTTACCAGCATCGCCATTAGCATTAGTGGGTGCATTCTCTCGATCGTCCGAATTTTCCATCCATTCGTCGATGTCGGATTGGGCGATGTCCACGTCTGCCGTCAGATCGAAATAGGCTCGACAATTCGGGCATTGGAATTGCGGATAAGTACTGTTTCTGCCTTCTAGCAACGGCCGAATGCACTTGTAATGCCAGACGTGAGCACATGGGGCGACAAATAATGCTTGACAAGGCTAGAAGCAATTAGTTTAGATTTCGTAGCTGGACGCGGGCAACATACCAGCACAGAACCGAGACAAATGGAGCATTCACCACTATTAGAATCCGCCGATGGCTGGTCTCTGGCCAGACTTTGTAATTGCTGATGTCTGCTCTTGCTGTAGACTAGTTAGCTCCAGCATGATCAAGGTCAGGTAGTAAGACGAACTTGAAATTATTAGGCTTCTTTTGCCAGGCTCGATTGCATTCGATCCTAATCTTGACACAACGGAAGATCATCTCTTCTCCGCCTCTGAAGTCGATCCCTAGTTGAATGATGTCTCCATCTTTAATCGGAAACAGTCTTGACTCGGTATTTGGTTGGCTCAGCCTGATGTGGTTGAGAAACGTGCCCGAAGAGCTGGCGACATCCTTGATCTGCCATTGGCCATCCACAAAACAGAACTCACAATGTTTTCGACTGACCACCTTGGACTTGAAACCCACGGGAGCGTCTGAGGGAGTGTTAGGATTCGCGGAAGGTACACCTTCACGCTCGGAATATCGACCGACTCGGATGATGGAATGTTCGCTTGGAAGGGTACGCGAGATGGGAGTGAAAGTGAGTGAAGGTCGACCGTTTCTCACTTCTTGATGAGGAAACAAACGTATGGTGGGTAATTGTGGCTTGGATTCTCCTTCATGACCTTCTTTAGCTTTCGAGACCGTCGTGGCATTAGCAGGTCTCGAGGCTGGACTGTCAACCATTGGAGTGTCGGCCTGCTGGTGACTGCTCGTATGCCTCCGCCCCGTTGAACTTCTGTGTCTAGCCATGTCGTCGGTATTTTGTTCTTCGATTGTGACGGGCGCAGGCCCAGGGATGGTTGCAGTGCGGATTGGAATTGATTGTCCTGTAGGTGGAGAAGAGGGTCTCGGATTCTGTGGTGAGGAGTGAATCTGGGGAGGCTCCGTTGCCAGTTGGCTGGTAGGTTCGTTGGGGCGTGAGGCACTTCTTCTCCTGCCGCTGGCTGAAGCGTCGGGTCGATTGTCGTTGTAACTGAGTGATCGCTGGAAATAATGGCGAGGAGAGCGGGAGGGTTCGTTAGGGCTGGTCTGGCCCGAGGAACGACTATGTGACAGAGCACGAAGATAACTCAAGCCTCGACGTCTTGAGGAAGTTCTGGTGAGATCCAGGCCTGTACCTGCTGTACCACCAGAGGTGACAGGCGTAGGCGACGAGATCATGGGAAATGACGTTGAATGTGGAGAGAAGGGAGGAGGATATGCAGGAGGTGTTTGGATAAAAGGGTCGTGACCAGGATCGTGAAGCGTGGCAGGTGCGGCAGGCGACGAAGCGCAGCGCAGGCAGGAATCCGGCTTGGGATGGATCGTTTAATGGCCGCCCTTCGCATTTGATCCTCAGGCAGTGCTCGGTGGGTGGTGCCTTGTCTTGTGCAGCACGAGCTCGCACGTCAGCTTTGTTTGTGCCCGTGGTGAATGTGCTGTTGTAGCGCAGACAGCGTCCACAATCTCCAGAGTGAGCGGGAGCGGATGCAGGGGGGTCAATTCACTGAATCCCAGGCTGGTGAGGCCTAGACGCTGAGGATCAGGGCTGCAGTTGGCCGAGGCACAGCCTATAAACTGCGCTTCAGAGGTCTTGGGGCCGGAAAATGACGGCCGCTGCTCAAGGTCTCGTAGTTGTCTCCAGTAGTAGTTTACAAAGGACTTGATAGAAGAGCAAGCCGAATATACGAGGTCTACTGTGATGTATTACTGCTCACACTATACTTCCTATCACCCTTTCTACTCCTACTCCCGCATCGACTGATCTTGGCCATCGACATCATCGGGCGTCGGAAGCGGCTGAGTGTGATGCTTGGCTCGAAGAGTCGTAACTTACCTAGTGCTCGATTATCTGTCCAGCGGTTCCCCATACAGACAAACTACTCCCAAAGAGCTGGATGACATCCCGATCGTCCTTCGATCTCATCTTTCATTAGTTCGTGTCTCTTTTCTATCGCTTGCAGAGTCAATCTTGTACACTTGGGCTGCTCACGGCTGATACCCTTGGATTGGACCCTCCACACCCTTCCTTCGTGGCAAGTGATTGTTGATCAATGATAACCTATCAACTTGACTCCACTGCGCTCTAAAACCTCTCACTTTTTCGCTTGTGTCCGCGAGGCGCGCAGCCTGCATCTAGAGATCTCCAGCATCACGTTTGACTGCTTGGGTCGGTTTCACATCTCAAATCAGCATGCGGACTGCAGCTGTCAGAGCTTTGCGGAATGCCAGGTTGGCCGCAAGGCAACCCGGATCGTTAACGAGACATTATGCCACGGCGAGAGACCCTTTGCACAAGGTGAGTTCGTCTACTCGATAAGCCCGCGTGATCAATCTGACCACCTGCAACCACCAGGATCCTGCCGAGTTAGACCATATCACAGAGCTGCCAAACGGAATCCGAGTTGCGACCGAGTCCTTACCGGGTCCTTTTGCTGGCGTGGGAGTGTACATTGATGCCGGATCGAGATATGAAGATGAGTCGCTGCGCGGAGTCAGTCATATTGTGGACCGGCTGGCTTTCAAGTCAACAAAGACGAGATCCTCCGACCAGATGCTGGAAGCCCTGGAATCGCTAGGCGGAAACATCCAATGTGCATCTTCAAGAGAAGCCTTGATGTACCAGTCTGCAACCTTCAACTCCGCTGTGCCTGATACGATCGGCCTTCTTGCAGATACCATTCGAGATCCTCGAATAACGGAGGAGGAGGTGCTCCAACAATTGGAGACAGCCCAGTATGAAATACAAGAAATATGGTCGAAGCCAGACTTGATAATCCCGGAGCTGATGCATATGGCTGCGTACAAGGACAACACACTGGGCAATCCCCTTCTATGCCCACGAGAACGACTGGACTACATCAACAGGGATTTGATCATGAAGTATCGAAGTACGTTTTACAAGCCGGAGCGGATCGTCGTCGCTTTCGCTGGTATCGAACACGACCTGGCGGTGAAATTGACGGAAAAGTACTTTGGGGACATCCCTCGAACAGAAAGCTCTTCACCGACTCTAGACCAGAAACCAACTACATCCGCCGATGTACCACCATCCAACTCGCAGTATCCAAATTCTCAGTCCTCTTCAGCAAGCAAATTCTTTTCCAAACTCCCTGGTTTCAGCAATTTCTCGACATCCGCACCTCATCAGGCCACCGTCTCACCTCTAGATCCTTCACTAATCCAATCCGCTCCTACCTCGATACTTACCCAGCCATCTCACTACACGGGTGGCTATTTGGCATTGCCCCCTTTACCAGCTCCCCAGAACAATCTGTCCATACCTCTTTCACACGTCCATGTAGCCTTCGAGGCACTCCCGATATCCTCGGATGACATATATGCTCAGGCTACCCTGCAGACCTTACTTGGAGGAGGCGGATCGTTCTCCGCAGGTGGTCCTGGTAAAGGCATGTATTCGCGACTTTACACCAATGTTCTGAATCAGCATGGATGGGTGGAGAGTTGCGTGGCTTTCAACCACAGTTATACAGACAGTGGTCTTTTCGGCATCGCTGCAGCTTGCGAGCCTGGTCGAGTCGGACATATGGTCGATGTCATGTGTCGAGAGTTACAAGCCTTGACGCTCGATTCAGGCTTTCCCAGTCTTCAGGTCGCCGAAGTCAATCGGGCTAAGAATCAGTTGCGCTTCAGCCTTTTGATGAACCTAGAATCGCGGTTGGTCGAGTTGGAAGACTTGGGCAGACAAGTCCAAGTCCACGGCCGCAAAGTTGGCGTCAAGGAGATGTGCGAGAAGATCGAAGCTCTTACCGTGGCTGACCTAAGGCGGGTTGCTAGACAGATCTTCACAGGCAAAGTTGACAACAAAGGCCATGGCACTGGCGCTCCGACCGTGGTCATTCAAGAGGGAGAAGACCCTAGTGGCAGAAGGATCAAGCAAATACCCTGGGAGGATGTTCAATCGCGCATAGCAAGGTGGAAGTTGGGAAGAATGTAAATATGAGGACATGAATCCCAGGTATGATACCTAACCCTATATTTGTACTATAATCCTCTCCAGCTGTAAGTCTTCTTCAGTTTGGCAAGCTTCAGCACATACATGATACCACTCCATATCACGCTACCAGAGACCATCGTCATTCGTTCCTTCCCCAGTGCTTGCCATGTCTTCGTGGCGTACCGCAACTGCAGGTTGTTCTGGAGGATACAAGTCACCCTCGTGAGTATCTTCCTAATCTCTCATTTCATTTGACTTCACCCTTCATAATCCGCATATCTTCCTGACGATAATTGTCCATGCCACTCTCATTTCGTTATATTTTACGCTGTACTCAGCAGCAGCTCTATCACATTTTCCAGATCGCTGGAGAAACCCATCCCACTGCCCGCAAGATTCGGTTACCACTTCAAGGTTGTTCTGAAAGATTTCGACACTCTTCCATGCCAGGATTCCAGCTCATCAAAACGATCCTGAGCGTGATGACTTTCATGGCATCATTGCCGCCGCTCAATAGTCCCTCGACCCTCAAACATCAGCTTCTTCATCAGTATCAAAGCAACTCCCCCTCGGCACTGTCCAATGTCACACCATGCCAAACGCCTTCATCAAACTGTTCACGCCACCATGCTTCGAGAACCCCAATATGCGATATGCTTGTGAATAGAGGCGTTTTGCCTGACAGAAGAGGGGCACCATAGCGTGGTCCAAAACATAATGGTGAATGCTGGCAAGAATGTGCAGAACGGCTTAAGCGATCACGCCGGCCTGAGACAGCGCCATGGCCAGACATACTACAATGGCTGGACAATGTCCCTTGGCCCGAGACTGGTAAATGGCCAGACAATGAGCTGTGGCCGGAAAGCACGCCATGGCCGGACATACCACAATGGCTGGAAAACGTTCCGTATCCCGAATGGTGTGAGTTCGCTATATGGCTAGAAGAAGACTTGTGGCCGGAAAGCATGGCATGGGAAGATATACCACAATGGCTGGAAGATGTCTCACGGCTTGAAAATGTTCAATGGTCAGGGACGTTGGAATCTACAGATGTCCACAACGAAGTCGATGTGCTTCTAGGATTGAGGGACATGGATACTCCGCCTGGTACGCCTGGTACGCCTGGTACTTACACTCGGTCCGAGGGCACTTTAGAAGGTGACGAGCAATCTATCCTCAAACAGGACTTGGCTGAGGTGGATGATACAGAAATTGTTGATTCATTTGGAGAGATGTCGGAAGCGATTCTCTTCCTGGCGCGTGGAGGTCTTCCTGATGCTTTTGAAATGATCGACGAAGATGCACGAGAAAGTCGTATCTTTGGAGAATAGTAAGATCGAAGAGATGCATCTGCACTTAAGGGGCATCCGGTGACTGGCTATTGGTCATATCCTGTATCTTCCAGGCAAGGCAACTTCATAGCAGACACTCTTACCTATCTCGCAGCACTCGTGTTGATTCAGAAAATGGTTTCTACCCTCACACTGTCCAGTATTCGCTTTCTCCTCGAACCATACCCTACCCTACCCTTCCAGCGCAAGCGTGAGCATATGGCCACCGTTCGCTGGTATCTGTGCACCATTGACCCGGGTTTTCGCCAGGTTCTAACCTCCGCAGCGTCCCTATCGAGCATACCACACAATCTTGGTACGAGCACAATTTGACAAGAATGTTGTCGCCTTAACTTAGGATTGATCAGCCGTCAGCTTCCAACCTTACACTTGTGACTAGAGTTATTGGCCTCGCCCAGAAAATCCGACCGTCGGAGTAGTTAATGCATCATGTACTGTCTCAAACCCGCTTGTTTGTCTCGTCCGCTGTTCTCATCCATGTTCCGTGGATCAAATGCTGTTCTGGTGCCTGTGGAAACTAGATGTTGAGCAAATCATCAATTCCAGCCAAGAGCAGATCTCTTCTAAAGCCTTGGTCTTGGGGGCCTTACAAGGTCTTGATGTCCCTCTCATGAGCCATGCGATTATCGTCATGTCTTGATTTCCAGCACCGGACTGGACAAGAATACGCAACCATCAATGCTGCATAATGTCAACGCTACCATCAGATAGTTTTCAGAGGGTTTGACATTCAGAAGCCTACAACTGCGACGGACAACAATGTTCTTTTCGCAGTCATGAGACGGGAGGGATGGACTTCGACGACTTGGCCGGCCACGTCGCAGCCTAGGATGGCAAGGGTATGTGGTTTGAAGTCCACGGAGGTGATTGCTACTGCGCGTGCAGCTCGCTCGCAACCAACCAGATCTCCCCGACGGTCTGAGGAGTGCAGGGGTAAAATATTGCCTGAAGGAGTAGCTGATACTTCCTGATGAGGCAATAACTTGAAGATTTCATCGACCAACAGGTGAAAGTGTGATTCATTTTTGCCCATGTTTTCCCCAAAAGTGTCGGCGAGATCTGATTGGTTGGGCATCGGTCATTCCCTGCAGAGTGAGAGAACTTCCTGCGACTTCTATAGATTCTTCCAATACTTTCTTCCAATACTTGATTCGCGGTTGGTGAGTTCATCTTCGGAGGGGAATCTGTAGGGCGAAATTGAAGACGCGGGCTAGGACCGGGCGATGGGTGTTGAAGATGAACACCTGGTGAAAGACGAGGCTCAATGAACGAAGTCGGAATATATTCTGGTTAGTGTGAGTAAAGTGTCTCCACCGAATACTTGTGTGATGAACGCAGGGTCATGATTCCCAGCGATCTGAGCGAGATGGAGGTCGAGGTCGTCACCAAGTTAGCAGTATCCGCATGGAGCAAATATAAGTACGTCTAAACGGTTGAGGAGTATGCCTCGCTTCTTGGAGAAGTCCACATGGGGGAGATGGGGTATGGGGTCTGCACCGTCTCGTCGGCGACTCGGTTTGCATTTCGCTGGCCATTCCGTACGGAGTGCTGAGCGCCTGCAGCGTACGGTGATGGTCTATCATGGCCAGCACAACCACCACAACCACCACCGAAGCCCTCATCCTCACAACCACCAACGGGTCCCTCGAACTGCGTCGAGCTCTCCTCTCCGGCCCCCAGAACGATGAAGTCCTCGTCGAAATGCACGCCACAGGCATCTGCCACACCGACCTTTCCTGCATGGACGGCGTCCTGAGTATATCCACCCCTGCCGTGCTAGGCCACGAGGGCGCCGGCATGGTGCTCGCCACCGGATTCGACGTCACCGACATTGCACCGGGAGACAAAGTCCTGCTCAGCATCAACCACTGCCAACGATGCGACAATTGCACGTCCGGGCATCCGAATTACTGCGCCGAGGGGATGCCGCGAAACTTTGGCGGACGGAGGCTCAGTGACGGCAGCACTCCGATTTCACTTCTCGACGACGACGACGACGACGACGACGACGAGGCCAAGAAGAAGACGCCTTGTTTCGGCAATTTCTTCGGGCAGAGCTCGTTCGCGCGGCACGCCATTGTCAATAGGTCGTGTATTGTCAAGGTCGCGGCGACGTCGGATACGAATACAAGTCCCAATCTGGCCTTGTTCGCGCCGTTGGGATGCGGGATCTCAACCGGTGTCGGAAGCGTCCTGAACACTTTGAATGTCAAGCAGGGATCGAGTCTGGCCGTCTTCGGCACGGGGAGTGTTGGCTTGGCCGCTGTCATGGCGGGCAAGATGAGGAAGGCCCGTGTCATTGTCACCGTGGACTTGAATCAAGCCAGGCTCGAGCTGGCCCGGAAGCTGGGCGCTACTCATCTCGTGCATGTGCATGGAGGCAGCGAAGACGTGGACGTCGTACAGCAGCGCGTGAGGCAGGCTTGCCCCGAGGGCGTGGCGTATGCTGTGGACTGCACGGGGAATCCCAAAGTCATCGAGTCGATGATGGATTGTCTGGCAACCAGAGGGCGCGCGGCCCAGGTCGGGATCCCGACTCCTGACAAGACTGTACCCATCAACATCTTGCAGCATTTATTGAATGGACGCGAATACGTTGGCTGTGCTGGTGGAGATTGTGTGCCGAGTGAGATGTTGCCGTTCCTCATGCAGCAGCAGGAAGCCGGCAATTTTCCCTTGGAAGACATCGTATCATATTATGATGTGAAGGACTACGCGCAAGCATTCGAAGACGCGAGGTCAGGCAAGGTCGTCAAGGCCGTGCTAAAGTGGATTTAATCATCACCAGCCGACACAGCGACCGGCACTCACATCATCCCGAGGTGAAGCAATTTCAATATCAACTAGCAGTCACAAAGCAGCCCGCGCGATAAATTGAGGGACGATCGTATTAGAAGGCCACCGGTACATATCAGGGTATACAAAGGTGCATAAGGTCCTATCCTGCTGCTGATCTCAGCATAACATCTATTCTGGAAGTATATCCACAAAACAAAGACATCCACCGAACTCACTAGTTAGTCCTCCTCCTGCGCCCTTTACATCATAAACTGAGACCGTCTTCAATGCATTGCCATGGATACGTCCTCTCGGAACCTTTTTGTACCCATGCCGCTTGTGTCGTAGCCGTGTTCCTCAAGGTACGCCTTGAACCTCTCATCCTCCTCCTCAATCATATCCTGTCCAACATTGGGAAGTCCGAAGTATGCCACAAACGCACTGAAGATGCACAAGCTACTGCTAACCCAGAATGGGTATTGCCCCTGTTTGACTTTGTCATCGCCCGCTGCATCAATCAGGATCGGGAAGATGTATGTCCCGACAAAGGCCCCGACTTTACCCCAAGCCGCGGCAATACCGTAGAATTGTCCTCGTATCGGCGTCGACGTGAGCTTGGAGGCCAGGAGACCAATGTTGTCACCTGGGCCGACCTCTCCTAGGGCCATGAACAGTCCAGTCAAAATAATGAAGCCGGCGACTCGGGAAGGCTGGTTGAGCTCGCCGTACGCGCCGGTCATGGCAAAGCCAACGATGCCTTGCAGGGAAACACCCCAGATCAGGCCCCATTTTGGACCGATCCAGTCAGACAAGAAGGCTCCGAAAAAGGAACCCGGAAGCCAAAAGCTGTTGATGGCAGTTGCCATGCCAAAGGACTTCCATAGTGGAGCGTCATTTGGGAGGATGAACACAAGCCAAGACGATGCGAAGATGCCGAACGAGTAGGCGGAGAAGTTCTAAAACTTTCAGTGTGTGCTCAGACAATGAGGGAATAACTACTCACGTAGACAAACCAGATGATAGAGATGACCGTAAGGCGCCACCAATAGAACTTGACAATGAGCTTGATGGGAAACTTGTGCATCTTGTTGCGTTGATATTGCTCCGGGTCTTTAAGTTTGATTCTACCACAAGTCAGCGAGCTGGAAGCGGCAGATGGCCGAGGCAGCACTCACCGAAGATATAACAAGCTTAGAGGTGGAATGGCACCTAAGGCGAGGCATATCCTCCATGCAGCTCGAAGATGGTTCTCTCCGGTGGCGAGCACCACCAGCATCGGGACAAAGGCGCTGATGACAAAGCCCAGATCGATCTGGAAGTCTGTAGCAAAGATGAACCACCGATTACGGTGGCCTGTCTTAAGCTCGCCAGTATTTTCTGCTGCGCCAACAGAGCCAGCGGGGCTATACAGTGTTAGAGCCGGATTTGTGTGTTGGGAGAGGGGCTTACTATTCTCCCCCTATGCCCAAACCTATCAGGAAACGGTAGGCTGAAAGAGCCGCAAACAGGCCTTGGACGCTTCCACCTGCTCCATACGCTCCAGCACAGAGAATTGAAAAGAGAATGAGGACTAGAGAGATGCATCAGCGGGAAATGAACACATGTGGATCGGCTTGAGGAGCCATACTGATCGTCGAAATGAGCAAAGAGTTGCGGCGCGACCAGTGGTCACTCAACACGCCTAATCAGGAGAATGTTAGTGTTCTGACAGGACAAATATGTATATACAGAACATCAAGCTTCACCCACCGAAGAAGAGATGCCCGACCACAGTACCGGCAAAAGCGATGCTGGGAACAGCACTTCTGGCGGACGATGAAGTGTAAGCATCGCCATAGATGAGCTGCAACATGGTAGAAACTGATCCAATGACTCCGTTAAGGTAGCCGTCAGAGAATAGACCTGCTCCACAGGCAATCGTAGGCCAAGACCTTTCCCACCGGCCTTTGGGTAAGTCGGCCAGAGGAGTTGTGTGTACGCCGACATTTCGCTCATGGCCGGCGGGATAGTCAACGGGGGAGGAAATATCCGACTCGTGAACCCGCTTGTCGTCCATCGTATAGAGCTCCTGCTGCTAGGGTCAGGATGTCCTAGCTAAGTAAGTGCAACGAATAGAGAGAATAGCCGCCTAACAAGGTACTTGTTTCGTCACGAGGGAAGGAGCTTTCCCAGTCCAGACCTGTGCTGGACAGATCCTTTTGTACGCAAAGCCGAGAATTGAAAAATTCGCTTCAGCTAGCCAAGCCGGCTCAGTATCAGTGCAATGGAGGCAATTGGCCGTCAAGCACATATTGCAAAGAGGGAGGTGGTTGCAACTCCTCAAGAAGACCAGGGCACTTGTGATCCAATCAGCTGCCATTGTTGAAGCACAAGGTCCAAGCGAATGCTATCCGACGAACTGGCAATGGAGGATATACCCCAGTCGAGTCGAACATAAGCGACTGCTCAGTAGATATTTCACACGAATCACGATGATTGAAAGTGCTCATGCGCGGCATTCGCCTCTCAGAGAAACGTGGTGGCCACGCAGATCGAAGCGACAGTCCAGAGGTGGTGTGTTCGGAGATCGCCTTCGAAGATTTGGAACTGGACAACGGTTCGTCGCTAGTTGAGGCGCGAAAACCAACAGCAAAGACATCGGAAATAGTTACGACGTCTGGCAAATTCGCCTGTAGCATGAATGTACATTTTGCAGATGGAAACAAGAGTTGTCTAGAGAAGCTTCGGTGGTGAGTGGCACGTGGTCACAGCCTTGTGCAAAGGCGAGCTCGGGCGAGGCTGAGATATCACGTGATATTGAGCTTGGCATCGGATCGCAGTTCGTAGCTCCGAAATAACGTCCGGTTCAAAGTCCATAAAATTGTAGCAGACAACGACAGCGGCACCAGCTCAACGCAATCATGGCGCACACATCAGCATCGCAGAATCTGCTATGCCTTGTGCGAGGCGTCAAACGACTTAACGTCGCAGATCCGCTGACAGTACGTTTGCCTAGAAGATTTTATCCTCCAGACTGACCGGTCGTAGCAATGCCTCGCACCTCGATTAACTCGTCCATTCGCTGCTCAGGCCGAGCTGCCTGTCTCTGACATTATCAAAGAGATCAACGCGGGACTTGACGCCTCCTCCTCCTCTACAACCTCGACACCGACGCAGTCTCCTTCATCATCAACACATTCCTACACACTCGAATCCCCAGTTCTAAAGACGCTCTACTCCTGGCCCGACCTCGAGCCTCAGAGGTTCGCCTGGTATAAGCCCCAATATCTCGACGCACCAATGCGACGAGACATTCTGCACCGCGCCGTCATATTCGAAGCCGATGCCACACGACAAGGCACGGCCAGCACGAAATGGCGCTTCGACGTGCACGGTAGCAACCGAAAGCTCTACGCACAAAAGGGCACGGGCAGAGCTCGTGTCCGCGATAAGAAATCGCCCATCAGAAGAGGCGGTGGTGTCGCGTTCGGTCCAAAACCCAGAGATTTCTCCTCGGAACTCCAGCGCAAGGTCTACGGCCAAGCGTTCCGGATCGCCTTGAGCTACCGACACCGGAAGGGCGAGTTGGTGGTTCTGGACAACGGAATCCAGCTGCCGTCAGAAGATATCGGGGCGCGATGGTTGAACAACGTCTTTGAAGCGAACAATTGGGGCAACGAGCACGGAAGGAGTTTGTTGGTCACCAACACGCTCGAATCAAGGGAGCCCAGGATTTTCGAGGAAATGGATCAGATTGGCGAGCATGGAGTCCTCAAGGATATTCAGGACGTCGACGTGAAGGACCTCCTGGAGACCGGCCGTGTCGTGATCGAGAAGGACGCCCTTTTCCGATTGCTAACCAAGTACCTGGACCACATGCCTCAGAATCTTGATCAAAGAGACCAGCCTGCAATTTATGTATAGGGGGGCTGCAACATCTGTACTATGCTGTTACAATATATTTGCTAGATCGCTGGATCATATATCGTTGCGTTATCAAGTGTTTGTTGCGCGCCGCGGAAATCAAGGAAAGCCATCAATCCCATCGGCGCTTGAGGTCTCTACCTTCACCCGGATAGGTATAAGGTACAACGGAGCGTCGAACGTGAACAAGGTCCCGGTACTTTGCTTTTCCTCTACTCCTTCTCAAGAAGAAGACGATTTCATCCATCCTCACGGACATACCGGCCTTATCTGGCATGCGTTTGCACATTCACCATCATCATTACCTGGGCCTCGAAAACTTCCAGTACCAGACCCAGAGAAGGACGGACTAACCTACCTAGTCTGCACGCGACTGTCACTGACGAGCAGCGAGCCATTTCGGACAGGGTATAGCCTAGTGAGCCTGTGTTTGCCACTCAGAAGTGTCTCGCTCCGTGATGAGCCACCACCTCGCGGCTGCCAGGACTTCTAATGGTGCCCAGCTGCTCCGCGGCCCAAAGTTCGACTTGGTTGCTGACTGCTCTGTCGTTCGAGGCCACTAGTATATGTGGCTTTCATTCTCATGCATAAGTGAACCGAACGTCCGGGCCGGAAACGTATGCGCTCTTCTGTCAGTCCACGCCTTGCAAGGAAAAAGCGAGTCAATGGCACGACGACGGGTCATCTCAAGCTTGTACTATGCTGGTGCCACACCTATATCCTGATAAAGGAACTCTGGACGGAAGGTTTCAGTCAATGCTACCATATCCTCGTTAGGTTCATCCTCATAAATTCATCAGGTTCATCCTCATAATTCATTAAGTTCATCCTCATCAACTTCTTCACCGTCTGGAGGCATCTCAAATTGCCCTGCGATGTAACCACTACACTGAGTCATCCGTCCACGCACAATTGGGTATTCCCTGCGCGAGACTCCGCTAAGTACGGCCTCGTCCGAGCAGTAGTCGAGCAAGGTTCCGAGGAGACATGGATCTATCGTGCTGCCTTCAATCGTGTGTGGTTTCCACTTTGCAACCGTGGGTCCGGAAGGCTAAGGCCGTTTTCGATGCGCGGTGTTCGCCCATTTTCATCCATTCACCACCAGAAGTCTTCTGTAGGCTCGTAGGCGCTTCCTTCTCGTCGTTTTTCGATCTCAGGGACACACAGTCCTGCTGCGAACCACCCGAAGCTGCGTAAGTCCACGTCGAACTTGCTCGTTTCCTGTACAGCAACATCTAGACAGGCAGCAGCGAGACACTCAAAGCCATCGTCCTCATCATCGGCTGTTTTATTCTCCATCCAAGATTTGATCTGTCGAAGTTCGCCATTGAATTGAGTTTTCATGTAGTCCGACTGTTCTCGTTGATGTTTGCTTCCAGCACCAGACCCACCCATGATCGTGCCGATGAAGACTTCTTTTTCGGTGAGCTGCTCGGTCCGGCCCACAGCATAGAGAGACATCATCTCCAGCATATTCGACTCATAGCTGTGTGTATATTTGTTAGCTTGCATCTGGCATCTGGCATCTGCGCGGCCGCCACGACAGGATAGAGACTTACTAGTCTCGGACCTCCCTCGCCATCATATAGTAGGTTTGAACGCGCGGGTAGCTGATGGAAGACACCACCCAGTCGCGGATATCCTCCAGCACGTTGTTGCTGGCTTCCATGCTGAACAGCGACGAAGTTTCCTCCTCGAGGTCTTGGAAGAATGTGTCCTCATCCACGGCCCGATAAAGGCGACCCAGGACTCGTTCGGACTCGTAGTAACGATAGCGCTGGCCGCTATGAGGTACTTCGACCTCTGCGGATCTCTTGATTCCTTTCTCAACCTTTGTACTTGCAGTTGGGGCCATGAAATCGGGTCGGTAAGTGGGAGATCTTGGGATCTTCTTACCGTCGACCGGGACGCCACTCTTGGAGAAGTCCACCGCGGTCGAGTGCAGATCCGCGAGCGAGAGACAGTTGGCGGAAAATGTGCTTTCAAGATCGGCGAAAACCTGATGGACAATAGCAATCCTTCCCAGTTGGTCATTCCGCATGAAGTCCACAAAGAAGCCTCCCATATCATTCGCAGTGACGGGACGGGCAATGTCAATCGGCTGTGCTGGTAGATATGCTGCAGGAGCTACAGTCTTCCTGGGCATGAGTTCATCGTCGTAGATGATGTTGTACAGATCACCGTCAAGGTCGCCTCCACTCAACATGCTGGGTAGATCACGAGAACCTTTCTGGCTGAATACAACGCAGTTGCGAAGATTCCAGAGGGCAGAGCTCTGAGGCGGTGCTACAGCTTGAACAATCTGCACATCCCCTGGATGCATAGCAGGTGATCGAGTCACGGTCACACGGCCACTCAGGTAGGAGTGCTCACGGGTTCCTTCCACCAAGAATGTAACGAAGACCTCTCCTTCCTCCAAGAAACTCGTTTCATCGCTGATCCCGTAAAGGGTCAGTGCATCAGGAACCAGAATGCGACTCCGAAATTTGATTTCCCGAAGTTGAACCTGCAGTAACGCTCCGAGTATTTCGCGCAGGAAATTGTCCTCTGTGGCATCGACACCAATGCGCCCGAGATGTCTGAGCAGCGTGGGCAAGCCACTGCTACTGTCGGATAGGTTTTGAATGATGAAATTAAGAGCAACGGATCTTGAGGATGCGCTGAGGCGTAGTCGCTGTATAGCCCGCTCTTGTAGGGTTTCGAACGCTGAAGCCGGGACCCCTAGGTCTTCGAGTATCTTGATAATTTGACGATTCAATTTGAACGGGAGTGGGCGAAGATTTGTACCACAGATTTCGACCTCATCGGATGGACTACCATTGAATTTGACCATTGACCCGCGCAATCGGATCTGGTCTCCTTCGAGCCGTGTGTCGAGCGTAAGCATTCCTTTAGCGCCTGTAACACAGTCATAAAACCGTTAGCGAAATCCCCTGTTGCAACATCTGCTCACCTTTATAGCGAATCTGGTAGGAAGTGGGCTGGTCCTTTGGAGGCACGTTGCCTCTAAGGCGTCTCCACATTGACTTTGAAATTGTGCCACAACCATCCGTAAACACGTAACGTCCGACCTTGACATCGGCGCATACTTGAACAACGCTAGGTTCCACGCGTAGCGCAGAAGTAGTCTCAGAGAAGGCCTGCCCAATCCGTGCCGCACATTTGGCCGGACATCTGATCTCGCTGAAGTCACCAAGTTTGCTGATGAGATCCTTCGCGAACAATAATGTACCATCCTGAATGAAAGGTCGCATGAACCAACAAGTTTGTGATCTCAAGGACGAATGGGAGAACCCGAGGAAGTCAAAGTGTTCGCCGGCGATATCCAAGCCATTGCGCAGAATCGGCAGGAAGCGATCCTGGTAGATGCGTTCGTTAGAAGCGTCTCTATCGAACTCTAATCGCGTCTCATTCTCATCGGAGAAAAGGACTCGCAAAAAGCAATCAGAATGTGCGCTGTATTGCCGCAAGATTCTGTTGGACGCGATGAGTTCAGGTCCATAGAGATACACACCAGTAGGAGTGACTGTGACACGGTGAATATAGGCCTCATCGCGGCTTGAAGTCCGCTGGGCCCCATCGTCGAACGAAAGGGCTGCTTCTTGGGTTAAGGCCCTTAGGATACCACCAATGCCAGCCTCATTGGCGTCTGTGGTAGCATCAAGACGAGGCGACTGTAGATTAAGTCTTCGTAAGACCGTGATGAGGGTTGATTCGCCCGAGCGAATTCGCAGGTCCGACACGTACGGTAAGACACGCTCGACTTCGGCTGGAGATAAAAGACCATTGGCCCATAATCCATGTATCTGAAATCTCAACGCAAAGGAGCACCCATACGTGGCAACCTCTTCTTGCAGGCTCGACAGTTGTTGTGAATGGTTGCCTTTTCGGACAAGGGACGTGCGCGGCGTTATCGTGATGGAGATTCGGTGAGGTAGCATTGACTTGATGCGGCGCTCCAGTCCATCAAGGCCTAGAGGGACAACCATGCTGTACGTCAAGCAGCTGCCAACAACGGCGAGATGCGGCCCTGGTAAAAAGTCTCCTGGTAATAAGACTTCTGGTAATGCGCCAACACGAAATCTCCTGACTGTTTGCCAACCCAGCTGAAGACCCTCCAACATTCCGAGCAATGGGTCGTCGGGATCAGGGCTATCTTCTTCGTAAATTCTTGGTGCAAGCAACAGAGTGATCGTCAAGGTACTGGAGGCTCTAGACTTCCCTGATATGGCGAATGCTGATATGCTCGACAGGTCGATGACGAGGTCGTAGCGCTTGGAGGAAACAGCGTCCATTCGCATGACCAGTGTTCGCCCATCTCTCACCAGCCTGCCCTCTGTCCGCTGCAGTTCGAAGTAGGGTACGAAGGCGGTCTTGCGCGCCACTATCTCCCAGCGCCCGCATTGTAGCTCTGTGATCTTCAAGCCTGCTTCTTGTCCGACGCCTTGGGCTGCTTCGGCCACCTTGGAAGACTTCTGCCATGCTTGAAGGTTCTGCCGGTCCTTCTCTTCCTTGCGAAGCACGCGCAACCAGTGAGGATCAACTGCTTTTCGGCTTATCTGGAACAGTGCTTGACGTCCGGAGGGTGACAAGAGGAGCTTTGGATTCGCCTGAGCTCGAGCCAGGAGGCTGTGAGCTTTTGAATTATCTGCAATCGTTAGTGTAGCAAAGGTCTTGCCCACTGCTTTTCGAACTTCGAACACATGGATCTGAAATTCAACGAGGATAGGGGCTAGGATGTCTCTGAGGGTTTCTTTGGTCAGCCTCGAGTCAAGGTTCGAAATGAATACATCCATGGTACAGACTGCGCGCGGGTCGACTTGCAACGACAGCGATTATCGCGAACACGATTGTGCGGCAGCTCGGTGATGGAGTCGTCGTTCAAGACTATGCGGGCATCTCAGAAGTAGTTCTTCGTCCATGAAAGCACGCTGGCCGCGTAGAGTTACGAAATCAGGTCGATAGATGTTCTAAGGCAGCTGTAATTAATTCACCGACATCACAAAGTTGGAAGGTACAGAGTGATGAGGCTGAGCCGAAGTTAAGCCGGCATTGATATGGTGATCTGCTACTCCCTAGACTAAGTGACTGAGGCACGACGGGAACTTCCCTCTAAGAGGATCATTATGCTACCTATAGCCACTGTCTTTCCAATATCGAGATCCAAAACAAAATAGGAAAAGAACGCAGCATTGCCTACCTATGGCAGCACAGAAGCATCATCCACTTCCAACCCTTTTCACTACACCTGGAACACGCGCCGACGCACTTCCACAGGGGTTCACAGGGCAATCTGGGCTTCTGCCGAGCCCGGCCTGACAGGTTACCGGCGACTTACCTTGCTCGCCAGCGCATACTCCTGGAGCAGTGTACGGCGGCTTTAGACGACATGCCGAGTCTCAGTGGAAGGGGTGCATAAGGGAGGGAATGGGGGCCGTGGATTTCCAGCCGGGCGAGAAACTTGCGGAAGCTGTTAGTATGGAGAGGATGTTATTTCACTTACCATCATATGCAGTGCCTCTAGGAAAGGAATACGACCCTGGTAGAGGCGAAGGTTTGGGATAGAAGTCCGCAGGTCGCTATGGCTCGCGGATCGTTGTTCAAATTGGCAGGTATTTCGCTTGGGGCTTCCTCGTCCTCCAGATCTAGCTGCATCTGGACTTCTCGCACGCCCAAGGTTGGATAACGTTGCCTGGGGCGGTCGCTCGTAAGGTCGCGCTTGTTGGAGAGATAAATGTTGCTTCGTTGTTAATTGTCGCATTGGTGCCGGTTGTTGCGAGGGCTCCAGTACTGACTTTGCTTATGTCGCTCTCGCCAAAGTAGTCGCATTCGTCTGATCGGTTCCACGTCCATGGCACTCATTCAGGGCTATCTTACAAGCAATGACATGATTTGCCGGAACAAGATCTATTGCGGGTCGTTGGAAAGTCTGTTGGTAATGACAGCTCCAAATTCGAATGTTGTCTCAGAAGCTGAAAAGTCCACTTCTTCTCTTGCCGAACGGGTATACCACCAAAGCGCTTAGATACAGGCCGCAGCTAATGCCGATTGCGACTTGAACCATGCCGTAGCCGACATTGAATATTGTCCCTCCATCAGTTCCATTGGCGCCACTGTTGGTACTAGCGGTTGAGGTTGAAGAGTCCGAGCCAACAATTTGATTCGAGGAGTTGATACCTGCGATGAGGGACCCCGAAGCTGCCAGTCCGCCAGGGACGAGACAGTAAATGGCCGGAAGCATAGAAGCTGCCGCTAAGCCGTGGAAAATGCGCGAATACAGATTGGCCAGGCAGCCGATGACAAACGATCCAAGTGCCGTGGCAACTTGCGAATTGTTCTTGAGCTGTGTTCCAATCCAGTAATATGCCTGATGACCTGCCACAGCAATGAGAGCCTGTACCGGTAGCTGTCGCCATCTCGCTTGGTATATCAAGGCAAGCGTGCAGGCAAAAAGAGGAGCCCAGACAAATCGCGTGTAAAGTAGCTTATAGCTGTCGCCAGGCGAAAACCAATCCGGTACTTGACATGTGGTCGTATCAACCGCATCGCGTTTCATCAGTCCAAAGACGACTGTCCCGATGAGAAGCCCGAATCCCAAGAAGAGCACGTATACAATGGCATATACCATTCTTACCGAGCCAGAAACGATATTCCTGCCCTGCAATTCAAGCGCTGAATTCAGCACAAGAAAACCGGGCAGAAGCATAGCAATGCTGCTTTGAGCCATCCCAGAGAAACAGAAGAGGTAATCACCATCTCCACCTCGAACAGAGCCAAGTGCTCGGCAAATGAAGGCTATGAGCACACAAGCAAAGACTTCGAAAACGTTGGAGAAATGCTCCGACTTTGGGACAACCTTGACCTGCATAAAACCAACGGCACAGCCGAGGAGGAAAACAGGTCCGAAGTCAACAGGGCGCGTGGTGAAGGAGAATGGGCCGACAGTAACCGAAGTGAGACCAAACATCAGTATGCGAAACCAGTCATTGTGACATGGAGGTCGCTTTCGAATACTGACGATTTCCAAAATGCCCTCCTCTGCTGTGAACTTTTTGTGTATGACGCATTTATACACATTAAAAACGTCCTCGAGTCTGTCGAAATCTAGGCCAGCAGCTGTTCTGACCACCTCAACGTTGTTGGCATGGATGGTGTGATCCATGAACGTGCATATCATTGCACCAGGCACATACAGAAACTGAGCGTCGATCAATAGTGCTCGAGCTGACGCGCCGAGATAAGCTTCGAGCCGGTGTGTAGGTGCACCATATTCCATCAGAGCAGCACAAAGCTTGATCAAATACTTCCGGCAAGCGATGATTTCAGCCAGTTCGGTCACCACATCGTCCTGCTGATCAATGGTACCGCTGAAACCCTTCTGTCGGTAGGCCATGCCATCTTCCATGTCGAGAGACAATGGTGTATACTCGGCAGATCTGTGGCGTCGCAGGTGAGGTCGAGGGATCATACCAGAGGTCTTGGGCAATGCGGGACTGGCCGAGGACAAAGCTGCTGTCGCAAGAAGACTCGCCATTGAACTGTTGGCGGATCGATCGTACCATTTGACCTTTCGGGCTGGCGTAGCCGTTCCTGAAGAAGGAGCAGATGGAGAGGGATCATAAGAACGTGACCGCTTGTGGTCAGATCGCGACATGTTTAGGGGGTCCAGGCCACCATGATGTCGTCCAGCTCCGTGCAGATACTCTCGTTGTTGATTATTGTCCTGCAAAAGAGTATTGAGCTTGGATGTCAAAAGAGCGCCGAAGATACTGGGTCTGTAGTGTTCGGCAGGAGGACTGTGTTCAAGGTCAAGGTTGCGTCTGTCGGAATATGGGGTGCCAGTCCTGCAACGATTAGAATAATGAGAGCTGTGAGAGAGACAAGCAAAGTACCCCGACCCTGGAGACCTGGACATCAACTTAGCTTGAGTAAAGGTACGGACAAGTCGTCTGGCTTCTGCGGTGTATTCCGAGGGCCTTTGGTCTTCAGCACAGGCTTCGTAACGCTTTTCCAAGTCGATATCGCCGATGGGTCCGAGCCTTTTGTCCCTGCCGGAGTCTGACGGGGTCCTTGGAGGATCATTTCTCCTTCCTAACCGCTCGTACACTCTGAGCACCATATGCTGGCCCCTATTCCGTACTGAGGCGGAAGCGTTGTGGTAAGACTTTGCGAATCTGCTGTTTGGTTCTGGCATCTGCTGGTGTCCTGGGTTTGAAGATTTGTCCCTAGTACTATAGTGACGGGATAGGCCGGCCTCGAGGACTTGAGGGTCGATATAGTTGTCATGCTGTGAGCTACTGGAGGGCGAGTGGTAATTCGTTTGGTGATGATTAGTGTCCATGATGCTAGCTGTGTGATGGATTTTGGGCTGGCGGACGTGTAGTGTGCGAATGTCATGCTTAAGTACTCCAGCTTGACGATGTCTCAAACTGGTCGAGAGTGGTGGAGAAGGGAAGTGCAACTTACGAGACTCTGGAGTCTGGACGTTGCATTGTGGATATCCCAGATTAAAATAAAAGGGTACGCCCTCCGTGTGTCACGGCCACGCACGACGTACATTGTTGCGCATTGGTTCCCATTGAATGTGAATCGAGAACCCGAGCATTCTACTTACGTAAATGGTTCATGCTGAAGTGGCGAAGGTTTTAGTGGCAGGTCGGTGAGGGACGTGGCAATATCCGACCATCACCGCAGCTTGTCCCGCGGTATACTGTGTAGGGAGATCCTCTGAGCACAGATCTGGATCGCAGACAATAAAGAGTGTGGTGCGCAGAATTTTTCGGTGGTGAGATGCAAGACGTGACGAGGCTGAATGTGGATTTCCTCCTCGATCTGGATTGTGGACCGAGGCCCGTTGATTGCTTCTAAACCTAAAGAGGCAAAGAAATCCAGAGTACGGAGACGTGCACCAAATGTAGTTGCCGCGCTAAAGTTGAATGACGAGGACGTCAAAAGACCATTTATTTTCTTTTCCGTTGCTCCGGAGAACGGTCCCCGGAGATATCGGAGCTCGTTCCTTCGTCTCTAACTCTTGTTTATTCTTTATCACTAAGTTACTTAAAGTAGATTATCTTTAGTTAAGACTTTAGTTAAGACTACCTAAAGTAAGAAAAAATTTATCGTTAAGCTATAATTCGAAGAACGGTCCCCAGAGATATCGAAGCTCGTTTCTCCGCCCCTAACTCTCGCCTATTCTTTATCACTAAGTCGCCTAAAGTAGATTATCTTTAGTTAAGACTTTAGTTAAGGCTGCCTAGAGCAAGAAAAAATCCATCGTCAAGCTGTGATCCTGCGTCATTCAACTTTAGCGCGGCAACTACATTTGGTGCACTGCTCCGTAAACAGATACCTAAAAATCGCTTCCAGTGTACACCTAATTTACTATTTTGGATGTCCCGCTCATTGCCACAGGCTGCTTATTATAAAAGTTCGAGAGATGCCCAAACACAGGGCCAACGTCGGGGGAAGACACTGCTTTTCTCATACTCTCCTGGCTCTTCCAGATCAAAATAGCCTGGAGAATATAAAGCGGCTCAGAGCCAACTCATTGGCATCGAAACGTGTAATTTCCACTTTTTCTAGACCGTAAGGGCCGAATTTCTCTTGCACAAGTAGTAGGTGATTGTTGAAATAGTATGATATGTTGTATTGTAAGTCATCCCCATTGGGGTACAAACAAACCGTCTGGAAGGACATTGTTGTTGGACGATATGGTGTGTCATATTTGGTCAATGACCCAGGAGAAAAGTGCTCGACCGAGGAAAAAAGCGACTTAATAGCGGACGTAGGCGGAAGAAAACGATGGAATATTTGTGAAAGAACACCGGCTCAACAAGGGCACTCCTATTGATACTCGAGCAACGTCTCTCAATCTAGATCACCAACACTCACAAAATTTCGACGATTTTGTACTCCCGAATTGCATTCCGCGCCCTACATTTTAAGCCGCGCACGTGTCCGGATTGAGTGCATCCTGGGTAGCAGTCTCCAGTCCCTCCTTTTCCCTAGCTTCTGATGTCCTCATCAGTTTGTCAAACACTGGCTACAACAACCCGACGAAAGCGATGCATACCCGGTGTTTTCCAAAAATCGTCAAGAGGCGTGCTCGTTCGAAACATTACCCTGATTATTCGTTACCAGCACTGGAGAGGTGTACGTTCTACCTTTAAACCAACTATTATCTTGAAACACAATTGTACTGTGCTGCAGAGACGTTGAAGCGAGACGTGGTCTCTTTCTATAAACTGCCGCTGGGTATGGGACCTACGACATCTCGAGAAGACTTGCAGGGAGTTGCCCTGATCACAGGAGGAGCATCAGCTATGTCACCTAGATCTCCATTATTTGAAACGAGTTGACCCGACACCAAGGATGGGAAGTGCTTGCGCACACGCGTTTGCAGCAGCAGGATGTACTAAGATAGCCCTGCTCGATATCAACCCGAAAGACCTTGAAGCAGTCAAAGAATCGATTTTATCCAACCATAAGAACGTCGGCGTTTAAATCGTAACCGCAATATGCGACACATCAGACGAGGCGCAAGTCCAGCGTGCTTTTGCCAGAGTGCGCAACGCCTTTCCACGTCTCGACTATGCGGTCAATTGTGCTGATATCGGGCAGGAGCCCATGTCGACGTCACAGTGCGTACAGAGAACTTCGACAGGACCGTTCTGTCAATCTCCGGGGCGTCTTTCTGTGTTCTCGGGAAGAATTACGGATGATGATTGCTCAACCCTTAGATTCGGAAGTGTACTCTGGTATATTACCAGCTCGAGTTCAGCGAGGCGCAGTCGTCCATGTCGCCTCGGGCTTAGGCCTCGTCGCTATGTCAGCTATGCCTGCATATTACTCGTCGAAGGCGGCAGTAATCGCTCTGGCACGATCAGATGCGATCGACCATGCCGCGGATCGGGTGAGGGTGAATGCGGTCCTACCCGGAGCAACGGCAACACCACTAAGTCAGTCGAGAGAGGACGCGAAGGAAAACATCGAAAGGGGTGCTATTAATGTTTGAACACCTATGAAGCGCTGGTGCCTAGCAGAGGAGATTGCAGATGTGTGTGTTTTCCTCTGTAGTAACAAGGCGAGTTTCGTACAAGGCGCTGCACTCCCAGTTGATGGGGGTTATGGAGCGAACTAGAATGCAGATATAGAGGAATGTCAGCGTTGCATGATCTCGGGTTCGGGTCGATGTTCACGTCAAATAACCGCGAACCACAACTTGCAAATGACCTCGTGCTGCCTCGATGATCACTGAACGGACGCGAGATTCTTAGAAAACCGTGATAGCTTTCCGCCAGCTTTCGGTCCAATGTATGGAAGGGTATAATAATTGTAGTCGTTATATCGCAACGTTCTTCCCGAGCTAACGCTCCAGCATCATGCAGTGTCTATATAAACCTTGGTCCATGTAGCGTGGCACCACAGCCCTGTTCGGTGGGAACCACATCATCACTCGCGTACCGACTTAGCCTCGGCACACATTAGAGTTGTGTTCACAAAAAATAGTTCTGTTCGATATCTTTCAACCACCCAATTTCTTTTGGTTCCCATCCCAGCTCCCGCCTTGTCTTGTCACTCGAAGTCGTATCATCGATGGCAATCAAGTTTCCTAGAGGGCCCATGGTTTGGAGTGCTACTTCGCGGCTCACACTCTCAGCAGGTACTCCCACCTTCTTCGCAATCGTTTCCATGACCTGGTTCATGGGCACGCCCGGTTCAGCCACGGCATGATACATGCCACCCGCTTTTCCCTTCTCCACGACCAATCTGAGGAGGACAGCGACATCGACCCGGTGGACCGCTGGCCACTTGGTTTTCCCTTCGCCCACGTATGCAGCCTTACCGTTTTGCTTTGCCATCGATCCAAATAGCGTTGTAAATCGCACGTCTCCTTTCCCATGGACGACAGGACAGAATCGCACCACCATTGACCGGATTTCTTTCTCCTTGGCGAGTGCCAGCAGAATATCCTCAGACCTCACTCGATAAGAGAAAGGCGGCATTTCTCTCAACGGTGGCGTGTCTTCGGTTGCAGGTTCACCTCCACGAACGCCATCTACATCCATAACTGCCAACGTGCCAGAACTGAGTATCAGTGGCTTGTGTGAATGGGCTATCGCATCAGCCATGGCGCAGAGAGCGGCTTGCTCAACTTGACAACCTCGCTCCATTTGGCCGAAGTCGTTGACGAATGCGAGGTGGACAATGGCGTCAGCATTCATGGCACCGGATTTCAGGACCTCCAGATCCTCGAGATGGCCAAGGAGGACTTCCGCCCCCAGTTCTCTTAGTGCCGCTGCGCTTTTCTCAGAGCGAGCCAATCCAACGACCTGGTAGCCATGTGCCACAAATTCGGTGATGGCAACGGATCCGACCCAGCCGGTTCCTCCAGTGATGAAGACGCGCATCGCGTGCGGTTCAGAGCTAAAGAGGATGCTCCGACTTGTAGTGGAAAGACGTCGGCACCAAGCTTCAGTAATTGGGTTTGCTGATCATGCGCCTTGTGAATAAGGACAACCACCAAGAGGTCGAAACCACAAGTTCTTGTAGTTTCCTAGCAGGCGCATTTAGGTTTCCGGCCAGCGTTGTCTCGGCTTTGACAGTGTCTGTGCTATATACCAGAAGCTGAGGAGCTACGATCGGCGTCCGGGACAATTTTATCCCGTTCACCTACCCTCGACAAGCTTGCATTTGTCATGTTGGGATCAAGCTGGTATCCTCTCCAGGCTTCCAAACAGGGAAAAGCCACCCTACGTTAGGCTTCCCAGAAGACAATCTCTGAGATCACCTGATCGGAACTCGATTAATCGGTTCCTTGTGCTACGTTGGGTATACGAATGGTGCCCTTGGCCGGCTCCAACGCAATCTCTTCGTTCTCCGAGTGAAGCTGGGAAAGGACCACAAGGAAGATCCTTGGCGAGTTCAGACGGCAGACCAAACTCAACAGCTCTAAAGTCTTTATTGCGACACCATTGTTGGATACCGAGGACGAGTTTCTCGGCCGTCCTTTGACCGAAAACGAAGCAACTGAAGAAGCAATGGGGCTCGCCTTTGCCGGAAGTGGCACTACCGCCATTAAATCGGCCTATATACTCTACCATCTCTCGCGACCCGAGAACAAGGCCATCAAAGTCGAGTTGCGAACAGAGGTACAATCTACTGGCCAAAGTCACAGTGAGGTCAAGGATTGCCCATACCTGAACGCCGTTATCAATGAGGCAATGCGCCTGAACCCATCACTCATGGGCGGTCTTCCGAGAATGCTGACCAGTGCTGTGATTGTCGACGGTGCTAATGGTGTTGTCCTGCCTCCAGGGCCGGTCGTTAGGATGCAGAACTACGTGCACCAAAGGGACCCGTTGGTTTGTTCGGATCCCCTGACATATGATCCTGAACGATGGATTGGCCAACCTCCTTCGAGTGCGCTTGAGAAGGCTCTCACACCGATCAGCCTGGGTCCCAGAAATTGCGTCGGGCAGAACTTGGCAAAGACCGAGCTCTTGCTCGCCATCAGCGCCATCTTTCGACGCTTAGATCTGCGACTGAATGCAAACATTAGGGAGAGTGATATGGGGATGGAAGACCGACTGGTAGGTTTCCTTAGGAGCAAGAAGCTGCTGCTTGACGTAGTCGATCTTGCCTAGTTTGTGCGTTCAGCAGGAAAAGCTGGCAGATGGGACAAGACACTTTGATGCTTTCGTGGCGGACCAGTTTGCGTAATCCGATTCTGGGACCTAGCTTGCTCATTTGATGAGCCATCAGGCCATATGGCGTCCTGTGTTGAGTTCTGATCACGGTAGATTTCATTACCCTATAATTTTCTTCGAGTTCCGGGACGCATTGATTCTACTATGCCGTGCCACAATTCCGCTCAAATGACCCAAGCAGTGTGGTCGGCGGGTATAGACAGCAGCCACTTACAAGAGGCGATAACAAGACTTCCCGGCCACCCGGTCTACACGCGTTGCCGATGATATTGTGTTTAGATTCTCTCGACAAGTCAAATACAGTAAAGGTGATTCACGGCGAGCCAAGTTCGTCGGCGGTTGCCATGTGTAGAAATTTCAAAACTGGCCATCTCTTCAGATGATGATTGTATTTCTGTCAATGAACGCACTTGTGGACAAAAGGCCATCTCCCACAAGGCCTCACCGAGAGCCAACAAATTCTTGAGTGAGGGGCAGCAAACTCTCTCTAGAGCACGGAAGCTCCTGCGTGGGCGCTGCGGCCATTCAACTGCTCCGACTCGCCCTTCCTACAGCCATTATCTTAACGACCAGCTCTACCCAACATCATGAACATCTCGTCTCTCTGGGGGCTCGTAACTGTTTTCCCAGGTCGGCTCAAGCTAGTCCGTCAGATATCAAATCCGCCACACCCACAGGGAAAGGAGTCCATGCCATTATCGACTGCGTCACGGCGGCGGCTGAGCATCCTTCGATATTCGAAGCGCTGGACCCAGAGGGCCCAAAAATCTACTCGCAAGTCATGACCGGCGTGGAGATTCAAGTGCCCGATGGAGTCAAGGCGGAGCTTGCGTTTGGTAAAAATGCTTTGGTCGGAGAAACCGGCCATACTGTGATGGCCGCGTTGAATGTGTTGCTGGAGACTGGCAAATACAAGGTACCCATTCCCGTCGAAGTCCTTGGTCATGGTTTTGAAGTGATACCACCAGGCCTAGATCTACTTATGAAAGGTGTGAGTGGTCTCAAATATGCGGTAACGGTTGTAGACAGCTACAATTCAAGTGACAGGTTGATAGGTTGAAGGTCAAATGACTGTAAAGGAGAAACTTCCATTACTGGAGAGAAAGTTTGTGATAAACGCACGCAGGTGTACAAGTTTGAAGCTGGCATGGCTGTGCAATCTACGTAGTATGGGTGTTTCAGAGCGTGTTTCGGGGGCCTAGAAGCACGGTTCTCAGCCAATGGACGTCGGCTTCTGGTGCCACTGAACAGGGCGCCTCAAGATCTAGAGTTTGCAGAGGCACGCCCTTGAATCTTTCTACGTTGTTTCTACGAGGCGTCCAACATGTCTTCTGCCTCACCGCCAGGGGATTGCAGACGAAACCTATGAGAGTAGCATTTCCTTGCATCCTTTACCAGATGGGCCACTCTGCTGTGTCTTATGGCGACATTCAGCTATCAGGCGGCACCAGAAAGTCCAGAGGACAGCAGAAGCGACAGTCCGCCGGCGACGAAAATGCTTCAGTCGATTTTCCGCGCAGAAGCGAATAACCATGGCATTGGCTTTGTCAGATAACGTCAGATTCTAGGCATTCCCAGCCCCTAGGACTAGCCTGGGTATATATTCAGCGCGTCCCCTGGGACCCTTAGATAAACAACAGAGATTCCTTTTCACACTCAAAGCCTCATACCTTTGACAGGCTTCTGGTCGAAGTCTAGCAGACGTGATCAACGGGCGAAAAACCACGACCTCAACGACAGCATGGAGTTGTTTAGTGTCCCTTCTCCATCAGGATCGGTTAATCGCTTGCAAGATGATACTTCTAAAGCGGTATCTGTGCAGATCCTAGAAGCGGATGCAAACGTTGCAGAATCGTGAGTTCTTGGCCAACCTTATACGTCTCTCGTTAAGATGCTCGCAGACGGCAGGCTAACCGTGTTATGCCTCTAGACGCTTCCGGCCATGGCGACCTGTAATGCTGAGGCGAGCCTTTTTGCTGTTCTTCGCAGTATCATGCGTAGCGCTTATTGCGTTGCTGCAAGTCCTTGATACAGAAGTCCGCCGTCACCAGGGCATTGATGCTAGCCGAGAAGCCGTCGTCAATTGTCTGCGCTACCTGCCAACAGTGGCTGTCGTTTTCTTAGGATTCATCTGGCGCTCCCTTATATCAGACTTGAAGCTCATGATGCCGTGGTCAGCAATGACAGAACGGATAGCTCCAACGTCTAGTTCTCTGCAAGCCAACTATGTCAATGCTGTCGAAATCTTCTCCATGTGGACGGCTGCTCGGAGGCGGCAATGGCCCTTATGCTTTGGTCTGCTTGGCGGATTAATCGCGGCTGTCCTAGTATCTTTCATCAACGCCTTGACATATGTCGATGCGACTGCAAAAGTTTCGGAAGACGGCGTAGAATTCATCCAGACTTCCAACTTCAACTTCACTAATCGCTTCGTTGACAGCACTGGCTCGCTTACGATGGCCTGGAACTATAGCGGAAGTCAGCCTTATGCAGGTTTGACCGGCTCTCAGCAGCAAAATGGGAAGTATCCATCCTGGACCAGCGATGGATATGCTTTCACGACATTTGCAACCAATCATTATCCCGGACAAATCATCAATGGTACTCTCAGAGCAACCGCCACTGCATTCTCTGCTGGTCTCAACTGCACTCCCATTAGAATGTCCGTGGTAACGCCACCAGTTTTGTCGGAGGAAGACGTCGACAACGGTGTGACGACGTAGTGGAGAGCCATACAACCTGATGTGGATGATCTTGCTCGAGTCGGGTGTGAAGCCCTTCCACAGATCAACCTAACCGTCGTGCCAGGTTCCGTGACCAACAAATACTTCTTATACAGTGGGACCCGAACATCTTGGAATATGCTATTCGCCGGTGTTGGCTTGCCTGCCGCATGGTTCAATCTGACAAAGTGCCGAAACTTTGCCACGGAATCTCTCAAAATTTGGGCAAACATTCTTCGCCCAGGAGGCGGCCAACCGACCGCATCAGACCTGGACGTCAGCAGTCTGTTGTGCGATCCATGGTACGCGATACAGAATGCGTCGCTAAGTGTCAATGCCAGCAGCGGAGAAGTGGTGTCTTACGCTCTTACAGACGCTGCAAAGCCTTTCGATACGGGTACGATCACTCCGGACGTTCTTGTGACATACCTCAACAATCCTCTCGACGGTACATCGTTGGACGCATATCTGAAAACATCGTGGCACGGCTCATTCGCGACAAACTCGCAAACCGTTTTTCCACAAGCCTCGTACATAAATGTCACAAGTTGGGCCGACTACTACTTTGTAATCACTGGACGGGACCCATTCTTCGCTCAGATGCTGAGTGGGTATAATGCCTCGCTCATTGACTCACTCTTCAATAACAGTACGAATTTTGCCATCGCCACATCCTCGTTAGTTGGCAACTATGTCGTGCAGCTCGCGAACACCATGGCCCGGGAAAGCAAGAACTCTACCCTGAGAGGCACTATCGTCGTCATGCAACTGCGAGTCCTTGTTCGAGATTGGGCTCTCCGTGCAGCGCAAGCCTCCTTAGCTTGCCTTGCCGTCATTTGCGTTCTCTTAGCGACCTTACTTCGCGTAAGATCATGTCTCAACGAAGACTGCGGTACCTTGGCAGCAATTGCTGTGCATCTTGCAAACAATCCGAATATTGAGCAAACAATGCTTAGGGAACAATATGGCCGTCGAGCTCTCAGTGGATTCACTTTGGCTCGTGCATCCCGCAGTGACCGTGACGCCGTCCAGATCGATCTTATTCACGAAGAGACTGTCAACGCTACAAGTCAGACGCATTGGTTGGCTGATAGATATAGACCCACTGCATTGCACTGGCTATACATCGCAGGCGTCACGATCATCAGCCTGGCACTGATCGCTAGTGCTGCGACGACGTTACGTGAGGCGTTGTACGAGCTCATTATCTCGAAAAGCCCAACTGATTGGTTCGCGCAGAATGCTTTCGCCTTTATCCCAAGCTTGTAAGCATCCCAGCATGTTTTGAATGAAGACACACTAATTGTTGAAGCGTCTTGCTGTTTTTGGGCTACGGTCTAGGCGGTTTAAGTGATTCAGTCACTCTTCTGGAGCCATATCGCAATCTGCGAAGGGGGAACGGTAGGCCTGGCCGGCAAACGGTGCTCTTCAACCCCACCGCCCACTCTGTCTTCTCCCTGCCGTACAGGGCAGTCGCCGGTTCTGGCAGTCTGGTTCTCCTCTTCGTGTCTTTGCTCGTCGTAATCTACCCAGGTGTCAAGATCGCTGCTGCCGAGCTCTACAAGACGTCAACGTCCGATCGCGTTTCCCAAGAGAGGACGATGGGTCTTGACTCGAGTCTGGTAGACAATTTCGAAAGCACATACGATCTCACGCAAAGTGTTACTGGTGGTATCACCGACCGTGCATCGCAGTGGAGCGAGTGGTCTCTGATCAAAGAATTCAATCTGCCGCCTCGCACTAACGCCCTGGATAAACTAGTCTTCACTGAATTACAAGGTGACGTGGGGAATGCTGCGGCCATTCATGCTGTCATTCCAGCCATCGAGGTTAACGTGACCTGCCAACCATACGACAACGAAGACTTCAGTTTGTGGGTAAGTCAGACCTACAACGCCTACTGGGGTACACTTCCGTGCTTCATGTTTCGACCTGAAACTCTGCACGTCAACAAAACTGGTGCAGCTAGGGTCGACTACTACGCCATGTCGATGCTTCAGAACTCAGTCAACGCGTCAAATTATATCGGCGCGGCATTTTTACCTGTTGACGGGTACATGATGAGAAGCACTGTGCTGCCAGGTACTCCGTACACAATGCTGCTTGCAGATTACAGCAGCATAACTTCCGGCATCGTGAACGCGACGTACGTCCCTGTTATTCGACCTAGGGACCAAAACAAAAACAATATTATGCAAGATAGTGCGATTGAAGCAAAACCTGGCATGTTCAACGTCTCTTTGCCCACTATCCGAGGCGTTGTGTGTACCCGGGAGTTCAACAAAGTCTCCGTTGACGCGATACTTAGGCAAGGAGTGCGAGTAGGGCTGAACGATTCTTCAACACTCCTTCCATGGTCCGTGACCAGTTATGACGATCGTACGATTACAGACCGCACACCTTATAACCGCTCGACGCCCGGCTGGATGTTTCCGTACTACCCGGCCGATTTTATTTCCCAGAGCAATTATTGGAATAACCCAGCAACCGGGGGCAATGCTGCGCAGGTGGTCGGCAACAGTCTCTGGCCAACAAAGGGTACTAGCCGGAACATTTGGGAGCAGCTCGCCGTGCTCCAGCAGTCCAAGGTCGGCCATGACAGCATCACGAGCTCATTACTCGACGTCAACGAGCTTGCAAGGAGTGCTGAGGAACTACTAACGACGTATTCAATCCAAATGCTGTCCGAGCTGCGTACCTATACGTCACAGTTGGCCAACACGAACAGCAAACGAGATGTCAACGTGAATACGATTCCTGTACAAGTTTTCGGACACCTACCGGCGGTTCAACAATCAGCAACAATGACCTACGCTATCGCTGCCATGCTGGCGACCGTCATTGTCTGTCCGCTCTCAGCCGCGTCCGCATACCTGCCTTTTCCAGGCATTAAGCGAGAGGCACTTGATCTCCGAGAGCCGCCGGGTTCAATTGCGGCAGCGATGACATTGCTGGCGGGCGGTAGGCTAGTACAAGAGCTGCGGAGGCAAGGCGTGACGCGGACGAATCAGACGAATATTTGGGAACGCAGGTTCCGGCTTGGATGGTGGGAGGACACGGAAAGCGAAGAGGCGGAGCTAGGAAGGAGACGCTGGGGCATTGACGTTGTGGAATAGGGCGACAGCCCTATCCGTGAAAGACGCAAAATGGCCAGACTGTCACCCGGTTTCGAGACGGACTATAGCAAGAGGTAGAAGAAGGTCAAGAGAAGGCATTCGAATCACAAGTGTCGACTACAGGAGACCGTGGGTGTCTCGAATGGCTGTCAGGGTTAACAGCGTCTCCCACTAATCTATAGTTTCTACTCCGTACGGTAGGTATGTGCTGTTCAACATCGAAGTCACAGTCTTGGTCCTGATATCAGTATGGTCAGGCATAGCGTTTCCAATGGCAGTTTGCCTAAAGTAGGCTAATGTTCGACCGGAGACTCGAGCCTTGGCATGAACGGCTCGAATCTTTTGCGGGTAAAGATAGGTGAAGTAATTTCGAACACCACGGCACACGTATATACGGAGACATACTAGCAGGATTGCCTCATAGGTAAAAGCGCCAAGTTGTGTGGCTGTCATGTGGGAAATTGCGCCGCCTTTACACTCTCGTCACCTCCTACTCACCGAGACACCCAGCCGGCGCCGCTTTTAGATACTGCTCACCAAAGGTCACCTACCACTCATGTTTCTACTCACCTTCCCTTGTTCCCACCAGCGTAGGGCTTTCCGCCTCCCTTGGATGATGGATCTCTCCTCTCGCATCATACAGCAATCCCGAGTCGACGGTCAAGCAGAGCCTGCGAGGAGCAGATCCAAGAATATTGTCTCCGACCCAGCATCGAAGCATCTAATGTGGCGACCATCAGAGACTCTTGCCACCATCGACTCCTTCACTACCGCCGCCAAATGGTTCTTTCCCGGGCTCGCTCGAGTACCTGAATCGAGATCGTGGAAGAGGATAGGAACAAGTGTACAAGTACGCGGCAGACGCGAATCTCTACGAACTACTCCGCAGGACTGGTGATTTATAAGTGCCACACAGACCCACGTCCCAGCGGACTAGGATCTGCGCATCATACCACCTACCGGTTTATCTAATTATCCAATCATTAACTTTAGCATACGGATTATAGCAGTCCTCCCTCCACTACGCTCGCCTATACCCGTATTATGCTGTGTGCGCATCACGGCCCCAATTGTTGCACTCATCAGAATTTGTAAGCATACAAACGGTTAAACCTCGCATACAGTCTCACGATAGTGAATATAAACGCTCTACTCATATCATGTGCTCTTCAGCAGTAGTCCATCTAACAGGACCCTGCCCAACCTCTTGTAAGGACCTGGACACAGTATGGCGCACGACCAACTCTTCTCGCCGCTCAAGCTCGGCAACCTCAACCTGAACCATCGCGTCGTCATGGCGCCGCTAACGCGCTTTCGCGCCGACGACCGGCATGTTCCCCTCGACATAGTGGCAGAATACTATGCGCAACGCGCCTCGATGCCCGGGACCCTGCTCATCGCCGAAGCCACCTTCATCAGTCCGCGTGCATCTGGCCAGGCCAATGCGCCCGGGATCTGGAATACCAACCAGATCGCAGCATGGCAGCGAGTCACCGATGCCGTGCACGCCAAGGGCTGCTTCATCTTCCTCCAACTTTGGGCGCTGGGTCGCCGCGCCATGCCTGATCTACTCGCCCGCGCGGAGGGCGGACCATATCCTGTCGTCGGACCCAGTCCACTCGCCGTTCAGAACGGGCCCGTGCCTCGCGAGTTAAGCCGCGACGAGATCCAGCTCTTCGTCGAGGACTACGCGACGGCAGCACGGAACGCCATGCTCGCGGGCTTCGACGGGGTCGAGATTCACGCGGCAAACGGATACCTGGTCGACCAGTTCTGCCAAGCAGCGAGCAACCACCGCACCGACGAGTATGGAGGGAGCGTCGCCAATCGCGCCAGATTCGCCCTCGAGGTTACGCAGGCGATCATTCGCGCGGTGGGAGACAGCAGGAAAGTCGCATTGCGCTTGTCGCCGTGGTCGGAGTTTGCAGCCGATTCGCGCGCGGTCGTTGCGCAGTTCTCGCACCTCATTACGGAATTGAAGAAGCTTGATCTGGCGTATTTGCATCTGGTAGAGAGCAGGGTCGGCGGCGTCGACGCCAGGGACGCCATCTACCATAATTTCACGGGGCGGAATGACCCGTTTATCGAGTTGTGGGGTGGACAGGAACCCATCATTTTGGCGGGCGGATTCACACCGGAGACAGCGACAAAGGTTGTCGCTGAGTATTACAAGGACAAGAAGGTTTGCATTGCGTTTGGACGGTATTATATCAGCACGCCAGACTTGCCGTTTCGATTACGCAAAGGGTTGCCGTTGAACCCATATGATCGCGGCACGTTTTATAAGTTGATGAGCCCGGATGGCTACGTCGATTATCCATTCAGTGAAGAGTATCTGGCGGCAATCCTTAGTCAGGGGCCCCGCTGAAACAGAAAGGGCATACAGTTCGTAGGTTAGGTACGCACGACAAGTACTATTAGGCTTTCGCAGTTGACCTAGCGTAAGCACCTTGTCGAAGGGTTGCTCCGTCCGAAAGCTTACTCCTGTGTAGATCCGTTCATCGTCCGATGAGTGGGCAGGATCTACCAGCAATAAGATTGAAGGGTCGCCCAGCACAAAAGAATTATACAACAAAGCACTCCGGTGCGTGCCACGTCGGTTCGGAAAAAGACAAGACTGTCCCTGCTCCCTCTGCTCAGCCTTGACTTCACTTCATGTTCTGCTGCAACCTCTTCGATATAACCTCCACATCACCGAGTTCGTCTCCAACCTGCAGATTTCAATCATGCTTCTCCGGGCGCATCACCACATTTTGCTCTGCATCTGGCTCTGAGCGTTTCATCGAGACGTCGCCGAGCTCATGCTCATGTTCTTGTAGCACATGGTTGGGGATGACAACGCCTTCCTCGCCAGTAAAGTACTGAGTGTCAGTGATGTGGAAGGCCGCGAGATAGATGAAGACGATTATGCCAGTAGTATAGAAAGCAAAGAGGACTCCAGCCTCTTTGATGTATGGGATCGCGATAGAGTCAAGGCCAAAGATGATGGCTTCTCCAGCAGCCAGGAAGCTTCGATATACACCCTGCCGGACATTTGCTATCAGCACATGATACACACAGACCAGAAGATTTGCTTTTCGCACTTACAGCATAATTGGCGGCTTTGGTAGGCAAGTTTGTCAAGCAGCTGAGATAGTAGAGAATAACGTACTGCATGAGGATGCTGGAGACCCAGTTTAACATGAACAGGACGAAGATGGGTGCGAAACCGTCATCCGTCCAGTCAAGAGCGTGGGCCGGAATCTCATGACGATTGTAGTTGCGCGTTCGCACAATCTCCCAGATCCAAGCAGCCAAGAGTGGGATTCCAACTACAGCGAGACCGATCAAGGCTCTCTTTCGGCGTGTCCACGTCTTGTGATCGAGGATCTTCTGGAGTCCGTACCCTGCCGGGATCTGGAGAACAACGGCGCAAAATGACAGAAGACACCTTGTCCTGAGGTCATTGCGATAGGCATTGACCGACCCGCCGTAGACCAGGAAGCATTCAGAGGGTAAAAATGCTGGTATCATGAGCAGCAGCTTCCACTCTTTGAAGATCTCCAGGTTGGCCTTGAATTCTTCGACGAAGCCTCGAGTGTGTAGGGTCGCCACTTGCGTGCCGTCATCTCGGATGACTTTCGAAGGAGGTCGTAATGTCAGTGCAAGTAAGCAGCCAACACCCATCATAGCAATGAGGACGATATATACTGCGACCGGTACACCAGTAGCTGATATTGCGTTCCGATTGATGAGCAGAGCAATGAGATCGCCAATGACGCAGCCCACCGCTTGAAGGTTGATTGAGATGGCGATAAAGGATCCTCGCTCTTCTTCCTCGGAATAGGACATTGCAATTGACCCCATGGTTACGAAGATAAGGCCGGCAGAGATCTGGTATTCACGTATTAACGACTGTCGTCGGATATGTCGTGAGGCAAGTTGAACTTACTCCGATTGCGACACCGCTAAAGATTGGAAACCACGAATGGCCAGTCTGATCGAAGTACCAAAGGCTTGCAATGTATAGCATGTAACCGATGATCCCCAATATAGCGGTGATAGCAGGCCCAATCGAGTTCAATACAGTCCCACCAAAGGCCGAAGAGATTGTGTAGACCGCACATAGCGTTGCATTGACGACCTGTACCGTCTGGGCCGAGTCAGGCTGGCCGCCACCAGCACCGAGGAGATTGAGCGCCTGATACAAACCGGCAGTCAAGCCGATGATGGTGCCCATGATGAAGCTGGAAGGAGGTACTATAGTCAGCAACGATTCTGGAAAAGCTCTTGACGCTTGCTTGCTTACTTCTGCCACCATGGTGAGCTCAAACGAAACGCCGGAAAAAAGGGGATGTGAAGTGCCATCATGAGACTCTCTGATCGAAAAGACCGTCTGTACATTCGAGTCCAGGCCTTCCGAGTCTTTCTCTTATATATTTGAGTCAGTTGCCGAGGTCATGCAGCCGCTCGGGGGAGATTGTGTTTCGATCTTCTTATCATCCAATGCCATGTCATGCGACTGACGAGTACTAGTACCTTATCGAGGCAATCGCCTAGACATTGTGGGTCATCCCCGCGTAAAGACTGAGTCCAATACTCCGGAATCTACGTGGACAATGTTCTTGAATGTATCAAAGCTATCACATGCGCATATATGCGAGCCGCCGCATACAGATCTCGCTCAACCCCATTTGTTGTTGATTCTTTCGCAATCGAATAGGATTCACTTTAGGGGTGCCATTAGATAGAAATAACGTTCTAGCCTTGTGGCTAACCGAACATTGAATGGTTACCTAGCATACATAAGTTCGGACTGGAGCCGATGGGTCAGCCTATGGTCGCATAGCCCAGCCCGGCATTGACCTGGACTTTTCCTTGTTCATTCTTTCCGCAGCCAAGATATTCAGAGCAAGGCACCTGGATTGGTGGCAGATACTGTTGGTGTTGCAATGCTCTACATTCTAGCTCGCTATCTCTGTGCCGTGGTCCGCATAACCTCAGCTTTCAACCAGTCCGTCAACACCGCCTCAAACTTCTCTGGTTCGTCCGAAGGAGGACTATGACCCGACTTCTCGAAAATTTCCAACTTCGCATTCGGTATACCGTCAGCGATCTCCTGACTACACGCCACCGGAGTCACTTCATCGTAGCGTCCAACAACGACGAGTGTAGGTGCCTGAGCAGCGTCAGGTCAGTTGTACGGAGCCGCAGCCCGACGAAGAAAGGGGCGGGGAAGGGGGCGTATTCTTACCTTGATTGTCTTGAACTGCTCCCGTACGTCAAATTGCGGCATATTCACACTAAACGCGTAATTCTGGGTTGCCGAGCGGTATTTGACGGTCCCACGAAACTCGGTTGACTCGTCGGTGGTCACCTTGCTCCCCGCATTTTCAGGCGGAAGGTAGAAAGGCAGGAGTTCAAGGATGGCGTCTTCAAAGTCCTGATCATTGCGCAAGGTTCCCGACCAGACTCGCACCTGGCGTGCTACGTCGACCTTGACCCGTGGAGACGTCAAGATGTTCGCCAAAGCATTCATTGGGCCCAATTTTCCATTTGCCCAAGCGCCCCGGAGGATCAACGCATTTAGTCTATTGCCGTAGTGAACGGCATAGTCGAGGGCGACGAAGGCTCCGTACGAGGCGCCTGCAAGGACGATTTTCTCTGCGCCAGCCCATTGTCGAAGGTTTTGGATGTCCTTGATCCAGCGGTCATGCGTAAATGGGCCGACATGATCAGAGTCGCCGCTGCCACGAGCGTCATACACCATGACGCGGAAAGTGTTGGACAGAAATGCATACGAAGCTTCAGGTTCCAAATGTGTCGAGAGCCCGGGTGCGCCGTGGAGCGAAATGAGCAGCGGCTTCGTCTTTGTTGGATCGTCTCCAAGTATCTTGACGTGTAGAGTGACTCCATCGTCCATCTTCACCCTTGAGATGGTCGTGGCGTTCTCACTTGTCATGTTGAAGTTCTTTGTCGACTTCGTCGCTTCGAGTGATTTCAAGGCTTGACAACGTAGTTGATGATTGAACGTTTCTGTGCTCTACTTCCTGACGACCATTTATATATCACTATGTCTATAGCGTTCGCATTAATAATCACGTACTCACATAAAGTCGCTTTTATGCACAACGACTTACCAGATGCGAACCTTTTCGACGAGCTGAATACCTACCTTAGGTAAGCTTGGGATTGATCAACAGTTCTACACAGAGCGAACCTTTTCGACGACTGGTTAAGTAAGCTTGAGATTGATCGGCAGTCTACCACGTGCAGTGGCCATGAACAATAGAACATCGAAGTCATGTTTTCCAACAAAAACATGTTCACGCACCACACTAGCACCGCCTGTCAAAGGAAGGGTCCTTTGACGGATGAGACCTTCGATTAACAACGTACGCTAGGCGTATGCCGTTAACCAATGAGGAAATTCTGGGTGTGACCCCGAAGCCAGTGAGTAGCTGAGGAGCCGACGGATTTATGCGTTGAGACCAGACTCAATCTAGGACAAATCCGTATACGAACCCACCACTGCCTCTCGCTAGCTCCACCATCTCGCATGCAAAACCGGAACCATTAGTGATAAGCATGGCGGAGCACTACGCGGGGAAAAGTAGCATGGCCACTCAGTTGTTCGAGCAAACATCGGTGGCATACCAAGGAAGTTTACTAATAACGCGAGCAGGAGATGTTCCAAGATGCTGATAAATCTTCGATGATTGAAGGCAGCTAGAGCTCGGTACCCTCCCTCATGTTGGTTTACGAGGTACATCGCTTTAATGCCAGGCAGCCTGACAATCCTCCTCTTTCGGAACGTCGCATCCTTCTTCTACTCCCTGCGCCTGTAATGGAGCGAAATGGCCTTCTGCCATACTTCGTGTCACGATCCTTGTTCCGCCCCAGTCTGTCCTTACTTCGAGTAACGGAAGTGAATTTGTTCTCTGTCGGTCAAGTCTAAGAACTCCTCGTTCTCCGTGTAGACATTGTCGCCTCCACTATGCATGATGGCCGCGTCCCTCTTCCTGTTTTGCCGAGTCAGATAAGCATACATGCCTATCGGTGCAGCAGTCAACAACGTAAAGGTGATCAGCATGGTTCTGAAGCCAGTCTGGTATACAGGAGCCTCGGAATTCAAGAAGAACTGTGGACCAATGATAAAGCCGGTTGAATACCCCAAGAACATGATGGCATTGGTGATCGAGCGCTTCGTATGACCTGCCGTATTTGAATTCATCGAGGCGAACTGAAGTGGCAATGCAGCGTTTGAGAAGCCGGTCAAGTAGAATCCGGCGAGACGGCCTGCCTGGTTTTCTGCCGGCAGATAGAAGACGAGGGCAGCGCCAATGATGGCCGGAAAGCAAGAGGCGACCTGGTTGATGCAGCGGGTATTGGGATGCTTTGAAGTTATGTAGCCAACAAGCGGTAGGCCAATGCAGACAACTGCCCCATAAGGCATCAGCAGGAGGGAACTGACGAACGCGTCGTACCCAAAGTTTTGAATGATAAGGGTGCCGAACTATAGAGTCCCGAAAAACGTCAGCAGCTGACAGTAAACGTGAACGAGATCCAGATTGAGAACGTACGAATGATACTCCGCTGTTCGGTACAACGATCAAAATGACCAAGAAGAAGTTGTAGTAGACCAGTGGATCTTTCAAAGCCTCAATGAGCTGATACTTTTTGAATTCCCGGTTTGCAACGCCGGTTCGGTTGTCTCTCAGCCGCTCAACCGCAATCATTTTCTCTTCGTCGTTGAGGAATCTTGCGTCGAGTGGGCTATTCGGCATGAAATACCACAAAATGGCAGACATGACCAGACTCGCAAGGCCAAAGATGACGAAAAACCATTTCCAGGTCGGTATTCCGGTATTGACAATATGACCAATGCCATACGAAATGAGTGCTTGAAGAATGATTGCGAGGCCGTTGGCCGCGAACCAGAATGTTGTACGTCGGGGGATCTCGTCCTTCTTGTACCACATTCCTGTGACGAGAACGTAAGCTGGAGAGATTCCACCTTCGGCCACGCCGAGGAAGAAACGCGCAACCATAAGACCAGCGAAATCAAAAGCGCCTGCGGTGCAGAGTACAACGATAGCCCAACAAAGAGATGTTGCCACGACAAATCGTCCCAATGGAATGCGATTCATCAAGAAGCCGGTAAATGGCTGGACGGCTAAGTAACCGAAGAAGAATATCGATCTGGAGCTTGTCAACACAGTAGCAGTATTGGTGAGAAGTCTTAATTTCTTCTTACGAACACCATGAATATTGCTGGCCTACAAGACCCAAGTCTTCTCGAAGACCATAGACCAGACTCTGCGCCATGATGCTCTTATCCATGTATTGAAACAGATATGACACGAATAACTCAGACTGCAGTTAGTAAAAAGATGCGTTGTTTCCTTAGGGTGACGACTTACCAATGGCATCAAGTGACGATCGATTTTCCTGAGGACTGCTTTGTCCTGCTCTGGCGTATACGTGAATCCTTGGTGCTGTTCAATGAATCGCAGCGCTTCGTCGGCATGCTCATGCAGAGGTTCACCAATCTGTAGGCTCTCCAGTCTTGCCAGGGACTCTTCAGGCTGCGTTTTCGCGACTGCCGACTTCGCGGATTTCGTCATTGAATTCATTCTTGCTTTGCTACGCGGCAGATACTCCTGCTCCGAGTATCTGTTCTCTTGTGACCAAGCCCAAATTTACCTTCCCGAGGGTCCTGAGGAGGTTATTTATGGACGCAAGTCTATCTCAGGAGTACCAAGACCCGGTGACAGAGAGATACGCGAAAGTGCGCGTTTAACGTTCTCAATTATAGATACACTAGCTTAAACCCGCATCCCGCATCTACCTTGCCGTGCCTCGGATTGAAGAAGGAGCTTTGTCGATCTGGGGACAGCGATAGAAATCTTCGCTCTGGGCTAACTCCGATATCACAATTTGTTTCGTTTGTTTCAGCTGATGGTTGAACGACCTCCGGATACCGCCCAGTCGCAAATGTGTCGTTGATCCAACCGAATGCAAAGCTGGCTATTGTTCAAAGCCCCAAAGAAGTCTCCAATGTTCTGGCGCCGACGGGACTTTACCTAGTGCATACTTATTCTCGTAGGCCAAATCCGTTACCAGTTCTCAAGTCTGTATGGAGAATGTCGTTGCCCATATGATATCTTGTTAAAGGGCCCGATGGGACAACCCCAAATACTTCTTCATCCAGCTAAACTTACTCACGGAATACCATTTGACCCTCCACAAAATCCAACGGCTCTTGTTTCTGACCTTCGGTCGACCTTGACTTTTTCACGGACTACAGTAACGAAGATTACGTTCGTGCCTACCAGAATAGTCCTCCGGTATTTCCAGGAGAACAGCATCCCAACACAATGACATCAACACAGGAAGGCCTGCCCCGGCCATGCGTGGCTCTGCCGCAGGGAAAGATCGAAGGGTTTGTGCAAACAGATCATTTCCCACAGCCGGTAGAGTGCTTCTTGGGATTCCCGTACGCCGAACCTCCTGTAGGAGATCTTCGATTCCGACCACCAGTCAAGGTCAAACCTTCGAACATAACGATTGAGGCCGTTGCGTATGGGAAAGCAGCTCCAGGGAAACCTCTCATACCTCCTCGCATCCCACTTGTTTATAGCGAGGATTGCTTGACGGCCAATGTCATTAGGCCCATTCGCAGACCGGGTGATACACAACTCCTGCCGGTGGCGGTCTACATCCATGGTGGAGCTTTCAATCGAGGACATTCGTCCTCGCAAAACACTGCCTCCATGGTTGCTTGGTCTGAGGAACCTTTTGTAGCGGTCTCGTTCAATTACAGAATTGGCGCCCTCGGCTTTCTAGCATCGTCCAAAGCGGCAGAGGAAGGCATTCTCAACCTGGGTATGCAGGACCAACGCCTCCTTCTGGACTGGATACAAGAGAACATCTATCATTTCGGTGGTGACAAACACAACGTGACTTTGATCGGGCTTTCTGCCGGGGCTATCACCGTGAGTTTGCAACCACGCACATATAAGGGAATACAATGCCTAACGCTTGTTCGTAGATTGGTCATTTTATGCTCCACTACAGTGACCGAAACCCTGGTCCGTTTCACAGGGTCATCCTGGAGTCTGGGTCACCTACTACGAGGGACTGCAGGGCATACAATGCAGAGATCAATGAAAAGTACTTCAACGAATTCCTGGGTCGGGCCGGGTGTCCACAAGACCTCCCGGCTACAGATACTTTCAAATTTCTTCGCGCCCTGCCTCTGTCCACCATCATTGACGCCCAAGAAGCCGTCTTCACAAAGTACAAGCCTACCATGCAGTGGGCTTTCCGTCCGGTCATAGATGGAGATCTGATCCCTCGCCCGCCGATCGAAAGCTGGAAGTCCGGTCAATACTACAAAGTGCCGATTATGACGGGCTACTGCACCAACGAAGGGTCTTTGTATGTGGATCGGCAGCTGTCCAAGTCCAGCCAATTCACCGACTTCATGCGAACCTTGCTCCCTGGCCTACCCAAAGAGGACATTGACCGGTTGAACGAGTTGTACCCTGATCCGTCTCTGGGATACCCGGATTATGAAGACAAGAGAGTGGGTAATGACATCGGCACGCAGTATAAGCGCACCGAGGCAGCGTATGGTCAGTTCGCGCTAATTGCGCCCATCCGACAGACGGCGCACCTTGCATCGTCAATTCCTGGAAGCCCACCGGTCTACTTATGGCATTGGGACGTATTTACCACACTCTACGGTGGCGCTGCCCATGGAGACACTGCGAGGTACGAAACTTTCGACCATGCCACGACATCATTGTCTCCCGCACAAAAGGAGGTGTCTGGCATGTTTCACGCGTACATGATTAGTTTCATTTGCCACAAGGGTGATCCAAACAAGATACAAGGGGCCTGGAGGCATCGACCGATATGGCAGCCATATACTCATGACCAGCCTTTCAAGATGATTCTAGGAAAGGGGAATAGGGAGCTGATAGGGGGTCCGGCCGGTACACCAGCCGAGTTGACATATGAGACCGAAGCTCTAGAGCAATGCAAGTTTTGGTGGGACAGAACCGAAATCACGCAGCGATAGAGCATTGCAATGACCTTGGACCATCCCTTGACTTGGTCGATGATATGGTACACACGTGAAAAACGGACCGAACCTCAAAATGAATAATTCTAAGGTAGTTTTTAGACCAATGCATTTGATCATGGGGGCGAAAACGCATTCAGAATCTTGAAAGTAACATATCGACTTCGTACCCAGGTCGACATCACCTCTTCTGGACAAGTCACAGCTAAGTCGTACTGGCCGGGGGGGAGGGGGGGTATTTAGATTCTGGTTATCTCTTAGGTTGAACAATCGAGCGCCATTGTACTTCAGTGGACAAGATTTCAGTTACCCTTACTCTCCTAGGTAAGCTCGTGCTCGCACTACCATCTCGCGCTCGCCGTATCCAGGGCGCAAAGAGTGTACTTCCTCGTTTGCTGAGGATTCGTCGCCTTCCGGGTTTCTAACCACAACAACCTGCAGGGTTTTTTGGTCCGTCCAGCACAAGTGTGTGTGCCACTATCGATCCCATTCGTGGTGGTCGGAAATCATTCCCACTGCCTTGCCGTCGCGTTTGTGGATCACCCCATCCTTCATGACAAAATCAACCCGCCTCAGTGCCTTGGGATCCTCACGTGGGTCTATGTTTACAGCGATAATGTCTGCCCGGGTGCCTTTTTCAAACCAACCAAAACGCATTCCACAAAGGTCGCCGCCACAAGCTTCCCATCCCCCCACGGTAGCTGCTTCGAGCACCTCCTCCCATGAAAGCCCGACCTCTCTGAGAAGCTCGCACTCCCTGACTGACTGACCATGCGGGTAGGTGCCAGTGTCTCCTCCACAAGCGAAACGCACGCCTAGCTTGTACGCCAGCTTGGACTGTTCCATGATCTCATCGAAGCGCTTCGCGTGGACTCGTTCGCAGATGGCCAATGTCGGGACAAACACGGTCCCTTTTTCGACCATTCGCTTGAACAGGTCTTCGTTGGCATGGTATGCATGCTCGATAGAGACCACGCCAGCATTGATTGCCATCTGAGCGCCCTCGATGGTGCCTGCGTGGCAAACGACCGGCACCTTTGCCAGGTTGGCCTCCTTCACCAAGGCGTCGATTTCCTCCTGGTGGAAGACGAGATAGTCGGGATTGGGATCCTGGGGCGGATGCGTCGGGCTGGGAATATAAGGGTGTTGCTGAGCAGGCGGGTACCGCATAATTCTGCGCCGGTAGTCGGCAAAAAACTTGATCACGTCGGCGCCAGCAGCGACACGTCTTCGCACGGCGGTCCGAACCTCGTCAGCCCCGTCGACAGCTTCGCCCCCTCTGGGGTAGCAGACTCCATTGGCGTGGTTCTCGCTGCGAAGCTCGTAAGAGCCAGTACTTGCCAGAGCGCGCGTCGCAACAAAGAGACGCGGTCCCGGGATCAGGCCGCGATTGATACAGTCTCGGATCTGGGCGTCCATTTCCCCCATCGACTCGGAACTCAGGTCTCTGAAGATCTTGGTCAGCTTCAGGATGGCCCTCGTGGATGGAAACCAAAGTATGAACTACCTGTACGTGGTACATCCAGCCAGGAGCGCTGTCCGGACATGGTGGGTTGCGCGAATAATTCGCTCAGGGATGCTCTCATCCCGCTTCTGAACCAGAGCCGGTCGCTCACTGTGCGTGCATGTTAGGATTGAATAGTTGGTCAGGGTAACATCGAGAGGATAGATATCGGACCTACTCGTAGGAGTGAATGAAGATGTGCGTATGAGCGTCGACCAAGCCTGGCATCACAACCTTGCCCCTCAAATCGACATCCCCCACAGGAACAGAGCCTCCTGGAATGTCGGATTCAGACCTCTCATACACATCTACTATCAGGCCAGACTTTGGGTCGACTTTCACCGACACATTTTCCACAAAGGCTTTCTTCTTCGGGTCGAATAGTGTCGATGTATGGATGGTGTAAGGGGTGTTCATGGTGACTGTTGGGGCTGCTACCAAAGCTTTGCCGCTTCGAAGAGCTCAATTCAAGACCGGGGCTGGAAAGAGGCTTACAGTGGTATCCATAGCTGTCAAGCCGGTCTCAGCCCGATATATGTACATCTACTATGGATAGTGGTCTTTGGACATTATCCGGAGATCTACACCACGCTGATACCCTAGCGTCGAGTGGCGGGGCGGGCTTAATGCCGCCACCTCAACGGCTTTGGCCAGCGGCCGACACGGACCTGGTAGCTGCCTCCGTTCCGAGCATGATGTTGTGTCTCAAAGGTCTACACCGCATTCGTAGAGCCAAGTCGGCTACGCGGACTGTTGAAGCTAGAGCTCTATCTCCGCTTCCGCCCCCCCAGAAAGAGGTACATCGACGCTATGCGGGACACACCGTGCACATTCAGACCGTCCCATATTCCGATTAAGCGGGCTTTCGGACTTTCAAAAGGGCGTGGTTGAAGTGTAGGCCTGACCTGCTGCGAGAGGGCACATGACTGGACCCGAGTCCGCCTATGGTCAAAATAAATTGTTAAATCATATTGAGGAGCAGTTCCACAAAGCTTTCCCACGCCTGTGCATATGCCGAGCCATTCTTCCAGCGAGCGACAAATGAGGCAATGATGGTAGAAACCTTGAAGATAGGACTCATTGCGAGACTGGTCCCGAGTTTGTACACATTTTGATTTGGAGTCTCCGTAGTCCCCTTGTGGCTGATTAGATAAGTCCCCCAGACCAATCCGGCCTCAATGACTTGTTCCACGGCCATGCAGACGCTGATGATTCTGTCGTTTTCATTGAGGTAAGCGAAATGGTCGATAATGGCAGATGCAGAATGCGCGACAATCTGGAAAAGTCGAGAGTGAAGGACATTGAACGTTCCCGTGGGGGAGGTGTCTGATGGTGTAAAGAGTGGATGCAAAGCAACGTAAAGCCTTGCAGATTGTATACTTATATTCGCGCTTATTGACGTTATTTGGAACCGTAGGGGTATCAAGTTCTCAAAGAAATCCTCTGGTTGTCTGGGGAAGCGCGTCATGTGTTCGCTTATCTGTTGCAAGCAACCCAGGGTGGCTAAGTCATCTGGAAGTGTCTGGAGTGGAGAAGACTCTTCGAGTCTAGGCTTCAGCCGTATTGCGCAGAAGGAAGAATGACGGCGAAAATATAACGAAGTTGAACTGTGAGAATTTTTAGGAAGTATTTGAGGCGCAAGTTTTGCAGACATACCTCTCCAGCTTGATTAGGCAGTGCTCTAGCCTTGTGAAAGCGTCGTCAAGCTCGATATTTTGAAGCTGGTATTCTTGGCGGAGGTCTTCAATCGTCGAACAGGCTCCTCCCAGAAGATCCCATAGCTGCCCCGAGGTTGGATTGATGATTTCGCAGAGTGCAAGCGCACATAAAGCGGTGGAAGTCCATCTCATTCTCTCCATCCGCAAGTTATCTGATCCAATCACGTATGCGATCTTGTGTAACTCATTCAGGCAGCGTGCCGATATGGTAGACAAATTCGAATCCAGATCTCGAGCAATCAGGGTGGAGGAGATGGCAAACACGACATTTAGAGCAAGAGCATCAGGGGTTTCCTTGTTCGCACCAATCCACCTCAGAGGGTTCTCGTGAGCCAGCAACGCAGATTCCCTATCGGAAGGGAGCAAAGTGTACTCCACAGACACAACCTTCAGGTAGTGCTGTACGATTGCTCGCTGAGTTGAAGGTGGCACAAGAGATTGCAATTCCAGTTTTCGCTGGTCGTTTGTAATGAGAAAGGATGGCTGCGGATAGCTGTGGTTGAATTCCATCAGACGGGAACTTCCATCCGGGAGCAGACGTTTTGGGGTTGATATGCCATTTTCGAAATGCCATTGAATAGCGCTTTTCAGCAGGCGTTCCAGAAGGCGACCTGAGTTTCCTGGGCCGAGATAAGCCGGTTCTGAGTGCTGGGGAACATCATCATGCAAAACGTCCAAAAAATAGCCTTGATCAATGGTGGACGCAGACCTCAAGTCAAGGTTGGATTCTCCCAACTCGCCAGCAGCCTGGGCGTTCAAATTCTGGATCTCTAGCTCGAGCTGCTGCTTCCTTTTGCGCAGGAAATGGAGACGGCTAGAAGCAAGCTGGGTCAGCCTTGGGGTTGATAGTGAGTGGCCTTGAGGCTCAATTACCTGCATGATATCTCCCGCCTGAGTGAGGTATCCCAGAAAGTACACTCGACATCAGTGGTTCGGCAATTGTTGCAGGCAGGCAACTGCAAATCACACTATGTGAGAAATTGTCAGTATGCTGGGCTAAAACTTCAAGCCTTGAGAGTCTGCTTGCCTTGATCCTCCTCTTCCGGCATCTGCTACAGACCTCCAAAGCCATGGTTTGTCAACATGATAAGGAGATGAGGATGAGGATGAGGATGATGATTTGCAGTCCCTAGATACGATCGTAGTGCAGGCTTGGCAGCTCTTCTCCCCCGCAGCTATCTCCCCAGATGTGACGAGGCTGACCAGTTAGGTGCCTATTATATAACCCTTTTATCAGGGTCCTGAACGTGGGCATATGAAGTAGGCGAATGTCACACGAAGCCCATGGAGAACCATACAGGTCTTTCCACCATTCTCTTGTTCATCATGACGCTGTCTCAGAAACCCGATAGACCAACTTCTCGGCACTGACTCTACTTCTCTTCATGTCATCTAGGCCTTGCAACACTCCATTTAGACCTCCCACTTTAATCGCCACCTTATGAGGTTTCAGATGGTCCGCGGCCAGAATTTTCTCTGTAAGCTCCATAAACTTTCTCGCCCATTCGAAATCCGCCTGGTCGGCGGGATACTCCAAGGATCCAGACTTGAAATGCTCCCCCCAGATAGTATACATGTTGGTGCCGACACTTTCGACGTCCTCCCTCGGGCTTCGGTTGCTCAAAAACGACGCGTACCGACAACCTGTGGAGTCAGACGAGAGCGCCGCAGCGCAGACCTTGGCCGAATCTTCATTGCTGATGATGTCCCATGCGAGTTTGAGTCCATCTTTGGTGAATTCACGGATTCTCGCACCGTTGCTAGCATCTTTGTAGTTGAAGGCCTCGCTTGCGCCGAGGGACTTGACATATTCGAAGTTTTGTGGTGAGCATGTGGTGAGAACTGAATACCCGGACCTGCGTAGCTGGTAAGTCCCCAGTATATATGACTGGGAGAAAATGAAACCATCACGAACATACAGTCTAGCGTACTGAATTCCTAGTGCTCCAGTCGCGGTTGCTCCACCATAGATCAACACAAAAGGGTTCTCTGTATTGGTGCTTGGCTCGTCGGGCAGCTTCAGCTTCAAGCCCTTTTGGTATAGACCTTGCATGACGGTTGCAACACCAAGGGGCAAAGTCGATGCTTCCTCGAAACTTAGGGTGTCTGGCAGCTTGATCAGTAAATCGCCCTTGGCGACGACGTACTCGGCAAATGCCCCGTCTTCAGGCTGCACACTGTTTCCTCCGTGTGCGACGCCCGCCACGCGGTCTCCCCTGGACAACGTTTTGTTCACGCCTCTACCGACCTCGACGACGGTGCCGGCGAAGTCGCAACCAACCAGGCAGCCGTCTGCCACCAAGCCGTAGTCCAAATGTTTCCAATCTGTTGGGTTCAGGGCCACAGCCGCGACCTCGATTAGGACAAAATGATCTCGAAGCTGAGGTTTGGGCCGGTCATGAACGACAACCGCTTTTCCTTCCTTGACGACTACCGCCTTCATGGTTGTTGATTCAAGATTCAAGAACAGTTTCGAAAATCATGGACGGTTCATTCAATTCAGCTGTTGTTCTCCGGAGTTAGCCAAGGCCATTTTTATAACATGACCTGATGAACAGTTCAGCATGCCGATGACAAATCCATATCATCTCCAGGCTGATGTTGAAGTTGGCAGGCCTGGATGCATTAGCATCACATCACCTCAATAATCAACATTCCGACTCCGACACGCGAACACCAACGCCCGGTTTTTCTTCTGGCAAAGAGCACCGATCTCGTAAACGTTGGCAGATGGCTCGACGGCAGAGAAGAAGCGATGGAGGCCTGTCTTGGCCTTTAGCCTGACGCGACAGGCTTTTTAGAGGCCAACGCGGTCCACATGGGGGTCCAGGCGTATCCACGCCTGAGGATGGAGTAGTTTCTCATTTCTCCATATGCTGACGGAAATCCCCTAAGGTGGACCACTTATCAAAGCTCAAACCCGATAAGCTCAATCGTCACCATCAGACGAACCTGTGGGTGCATGGGAGGTTTGAACAGACGATTTGAGTGACGGAAATTGCGGGGACTCCCCCAGTACACTGAATCCCGAAGCAAGTAGAAGACGTAGGTACCTAGGCTTCTAGACACGTTGCAACGGAACGGGATTGATTGTGGGGCTGAGCGTGGTTGGCCTCGAACAACAGCACAGGATTGGAGTCTAACTTCACGTCAGAGGTGCTATTTGAACGGTGAGCAGCAAGATAGCTTTGTTATAGGGTTGTGGATATAAATACCGTGAGAAGAGGCAACAGATAGAGTCAATGACGCTGGAAGACCATGCATGCCGGTGTATGGATACAACGACGGCACCTAGGAGGGTGTTGTGACATGACTAAGCAATGGAAAGCCAAGAAGGTCGACGGCACAACAGGCGGGAACAGGGCATCTCCCACACCTCATTCCGCATCTTCAAGGGATCCCATCACGACCCGTTGCTCTCAAGGACGAAGACATTTTAGCGAGAGAAGGATGACCCAGTCTACTCGATGATCCGACCTCGACAAAGTGACCTCCCGATACGATGAGCACCGACAGCCAACCCCCACCCCGTCCCAGAAAACACAGGCAGAGTAAAGCTTGCGCTCGTTGTCGGAGGCGCAAGATTCGTGTGAGCACATTCGTCCCCGACATCATATTGTGATCGTTGGTCGAATAACCACCTGCTTTAGTGTGACTTCCAGTACCCGACCTGTGGTGCCTGCGCAACAGCGAGGGTAGCATGCCTAGGATTCGACTACGTCCACGGAGTTGATACGCCTCGAAGCACAATTTCACACCTCGAGCAAGAGGTCGCTCGCCTGGAGACCGAGCTACAACAGATCAGCGCCCGGACGACTACTGAGCTAGACGTGGCAAGCGCGGCCGCAGAGCGATTATCTTCGTCCCTGGCAGCGACCATTCTCGCACAGCCGCGCAAGTCTCGTAATCATGATAACTTCCTTGCTATAACGTCGCCATTCTTCCTCTTTGGCTCCCCTGAGCCCTATCTGGGTACACCGGTGCCTCGCCGTGACGCCCAGAAACCATTTGAGGGAAATTTGTCCTCGACCAACAAGCTTTCGTCAATCCCGCGTCATGCCGTGGACATTATGATGAAGAACTATTGTGAAATTTATCGGCCGCTCTACCCAGCAATTGAAGAAGCAGAATTGTTCGAGGCGTGCGAGAGGGTCTACAGTAATACCAATCCCTCTGTCCTCGATATCTTCTGTGTTTACATCACGTTAGCTATTAGTGTTTGTCACACCATCTCCCAACGTCGCAGGAATACATTGACACGTGTTCAGATGCAAACGCTGATGTATCGCGATGAACGACGGGCAACTGCGGCCTCATATGGCTTCTGGGCCACGGCCGTAGATGTGCTCGGGCAAGCCGGCCCTATAGATTCTTGGGGAAGGCTGCAGGCCCTGCAACTTCTTAGCCATTACGCCTTCATGAACCCCAAACACGTCGACTGCAGCAAATGTGCCGCAGCAGGCACAAGACTGTGCTCACAGCTTGGACTGGAGCACGACGTCCCTTCAGCACATGGCGAGCTGGATTCCAGGACACTGTCTACCCGAAGGAGACTGTTCTGGAACTCGTACAATATTGACTGGCAAGCTACCTTTGATGGCTCTGTCTTAGTGCTGGCATTCTGACACAGCAGCTAGTGCGGTCAATACAGTTCGATGCTGGCCATTTCTATGGTCAAGATCCCCTTCGACGGCAGAGGTAATTGTTCGATGCATGTTCGGCCTGGAAAATACTGACCTCCTCAGTTCTCAGAAACCGATCCGTGGTCAGTGGCCAGTCGTCAGATCTGCCTCTTGAGAGAACTTGAAGCCGAAATTACAATGGCAATGTACTATCCAACCCTTCCTTCTGGGGACATGTCCAGGAATGTTCCGTTCAGTCAATGGTTTAGCCGTATCCATGAACGCATGAGTGAATGGTATCAGACGACCCGTCAAAATGTCAATCTCAGCGAAAAGCTCGAGTTCCACGAGCTCTTATATCAATGTCAAATCCTGAGGCTTAATCGGGCAACCCCCCGATTCCCAAGCCCTACGAAAGAAATGCGCAAGAAGACCTTGCAGGCCTCGATCGCCGTGCTCAAGGAACTCAGCACAATACAGAGGGCAGGAAAGCTCTTCAATATCTGGCATGCCTCTTACTTTGCCTTGGAAGCAGCCGTTTGCATCCTTGCAATAGTCTTAACTGCATTTCACTCTCAATGTAGTGACCACACTAGCTTGGAGGGAGTGGACATCATCACCCTATGCAGATACATCCAGAATGTGCCTTCCCTGCTCCGAAAGATATCGCGGCGGTGGCCAAACGTGGCTCGACATGCCTCGACGCTTGACGCTCTGTCTCACACTGTCATGGAGAAAATGCAACAATGGCTCAATGGCGAAGAGACCGAGAAGCAGGACCTTTGCACACTTGAGGCGCAGCTCAATCACCTTTCACTTTTTCCCCCACTGCCTCCAAAAGGGGAAGACTCCGCCATCAGAGACGAACCGACCCTTGTCCCCGAGCCCTTCCAAGCAATGGCACAACCACCCCTCGCAGATGAGCTCCACCTATCTCTTGGCTCCGTCGAGCTCCAACTCCCCGAACTGGGCCCAGCTCCTAGCAGCAATTGGGCAGACCCTCAAACCATTTTGGAATGGTCGCCCTCGATTGCGCAGGATCCTTATGCTTTTGACGGCGGTAGTGGCCTTGTGTGGGACTTTGAAGAAGACATACTGTCTGCTTTTGATTTTACCAGCCAACAAGTTCCAGGCTACGGTGAGCTATCTGTGCCTTCAGAGGACTGAGACTCTATCTGAGGGCGAGTGGGTATACAATGGACATCTCGGTCTTAAAGATAGGTATCCAGCCTCAGTCATATGAAAGACGAATGCAGAGTCCGAATAGTCCGTAGTCAAGAGATTAATCACCAGATCACGTGCAAGGCTGAATCTCTGAACGGCTCATCTTCGGAAAAACTTTTCCATGCCTTGGCAAGAATTTCAACTGCGCCCCGAAGTTTTCCAGCATCGTCGAGACGCTCATACTCCCTCGTATCCCTCCAACCCGCTGCCTCTGTTACTGTTGTCCTATTGCTGAGGATATTTGAGGTTTCGTAGTCTCTCTCGAGACCTTCGTTCGCCATGGCGATTCAAAAGAAGCATGGCAAGGGACGTCTCGGTAGGATCTCCCCCACTGGTCACTTCTGCCTGCCAACTGATTTTCTCCAGACAAATGGTACAAGCTCGCCAAAGAGAAAGGCTACCGAGCCCGTGCCGCCTTCAAGTTGATCCAGTTGAACAAGAAATATGGCTTCCTCGAAAAGAGTAGGGTCCTGCTCGATCTTTGTGCTGCACCAGGATCATGGTGTCAAGTCGCCGCAGAGACAATGCCCGCGCAGAGTTTGATCGTGGGTGTTGATTTGGCTCCAATCAAAGCCATCCCTCGAGTAATCACGTTCCAAAGCGACATCACCACGGACAAATGCAGAGCGACCATACGACAGCACTTCAAACACTTGAAGGCCGATACCGTTCTGCACGACGGAGCGCCGAATGTGGGTGTGGCTTGGGTACAGGATGCCTTTTCACAAGCGGAACTGGTCCTGCAGTCGATGAAACTGGCCACAGAATTTTTGAAAGAAGGAGGCACGTTCGTCACAAAGGTTTTCCGGTCAAAGGATTACAATGCCTTACTATGGGTATTCAAACAGCTATTCACATCGGTCGAAGCTACCAAACCTCCCTCGTCGCGAAACGTCTCTGCAGAAATTTTCGTTGTTTGCAGAGGGTTTAAAGCGCCCAAAAAGATGGACCCAAAATTCCTGGATCCGAAGCACGTTTTTGCTGAAGTGCAAGAAGCAACCCCGAACAACGAGGCCAAGGTTTTCAACCCGGAAAAGAAGAAGAGAAAGAGGGAAGGATACGAAGAAGGAGATTGGACTCAGCATAAGGAAATTCCGGTCACCGAGTTCATTCACACCACTGACCCCATCGCCATTCTCGGCTCAGTCAACAAGCTGAGTTTTGACCAAGGACCCAATGGAGATCTTGCCATGGCGACCCTGGACAGGTTGCCGGAGACGACAGCAGAAATAAGACAATGCTGCGAAGACCTGAAGATTCTTGGAAAGAAGGAGTTCCGGACTCTTCTCCGTTGGCGGTTGAAAGTACGAGACAAATTTGGCATGTCCACCAAAGCCAAAAAGCAACAGGAGGCCGAGAAGGAAGAGGGCGAAGAAGTTGCCGAGGTCGAGTCAATGGATGAAGAGCTCAAGATCCAGGAAGAGTTGCAACGTTTAAAGAACCAAGATTCAAAGGAGAAACGAAAGTCGCGGCGAAAGGACAACGAGCGGAAGCGGAAAGAGATAGTCAGGATGCAGATGCACATGACTACACCTCAGGAAATTGGCTTGGAGCAGAATGGCCCGCTGGGAGAAGGTGCAATGTTCAACATCAAGACTTCAGACAAGGCTCAAGCAGCTGCAAGGATTGCCGGTGCTGAAATCCAGGACACGGAAGACCTCGAATCTGAAGTGACGGAGGATGAGTCGGACGAAGAGGAATCTGATGAGGATGGAGATCGGCTGGAACAAGAACTCGATACCCTATATGAGTCTTATCGGGAAAGGCGAGAACAAAATGATGCCAAAGCTAGAGCCAAAAGAGCGAGGAAGGAGAAGGAGACTGACGAATGGACTGGCTTGTCAGATGATGAGAAGACTGGCGACGCACCCACAGATGCAGAATCCGATGCAGAAGGAGACTATCCCATGCGACAAATCCCCAAGACAGAAGGCCTTTCTGCCAAGGCAGCCATGTTTTTCGACCAGGATATTTTCCAGGATCTAGGGATCGAGGACGACCAAGACGATGAAGATAAGGACAGCGCGATCGAACTCGAAGATGAATCATCCGACCAAGCGAAGCACGCGGTATCGTCTGAAAAACAGGAACCGGCATCTAACCAACAGGTTGGGCCCCTGAAGTCGGCGCTGAAGAAACCACAAAAAGCCGCACCTAAGCCCGCCGACGGCGACTCTGACTCCTACTCCGAATGGGAGCCTGTACAAAAAGCCTCCTCATCATCCCAGCCCTCACGACCCGAAGACCCTCTACTCCCTAACGGCCAATTAGACGTGGACATCATCACGGCCGAAGCCATGACCCTTGCGCAGTCCCTCGCCACCAAACGCACCAAGCCCTCCGACCTCATCGACGACAGCTTCAACAAGTTCTCCTTCCGCGACGTCGATGGCCTGCCCGAGTGGTTTCTCGACGACGAGTCGCACCACTCCAAGCCCCAGCGGCCGATCACCGCCGCTGCCGCCGCCGCGATCAAGGAGAAACTGCGTGCGCTGAACGCCCGGCCAATCAAGAAGGTCCTCGAGGCCAAGGGCCGGAAGAAGTTCAAAGCGGCGCAACGGCTGGAGAAGTTGCGCAAGAAATCCGCCATGCTGCTCGAGGACGAGGGCATGAGCGAGAAGGACAAGGCCGCCGGGATTGCGAGGATGATGTCTCGCGCGGCCAAGAAAGGTCGGCCGAAAGAGAAGGTCAAGCTCGTCGTTGCACGCGGCGGAAACAGGGGCATCGCCGGAAGGCCGAGGGGCGTCAAGGGCAAGTATAAGATCGTGGATCCAAGGCTGAAGAAGGACGTCCGCGCCGAGAAGCGATTGAAGAAGAAGTTGAAGAAGTGAGCGGCATAAACAAAGTAAAAGCTGCCCCAGCCGTAGCAAACAAAATGTTCATGTCGAATGATGAATGACAATGACTCTTTACTATGTATAGAAGCCTCCTTCCGAATGTGATTGCCGCCCTTTTTCCAAGCGCAGCAGAACGCCAAATACCCTGCTGTACAAGCCAAAACGCATCCCGAGATATATACATCCAAGTATTCCTGCGCCTCGAAGACTCCCATCTGCCACAAAGCGGTGAGTAGTATCTTCGCACCTCTCGACGTCCCTTTCCTTCGCCCTGGCTGTCCCTCTAGCCGGCATTGGTGGCTCAACGGAGAAGAATCGAGGCTTGCCATTAGATTCTTGAGACGCGGCTGACAGGATGCTCCCACCGCACGGCATTGTCAGATCCATTGCTGCTGCCACTTCGGCGTTTTCCAGACGGATCATCACCACTCTATCACAGCAGGGGACTGTCTGCCTGCGGAAACGGCTCTTCATTTGCGGATTGCCTGTACCGGATCGACGTGGCCTGTCGAAGCGAAGAGCGGAGCATGCCGTGCTGACTTTGCACTGCTGCCGTCTAATCGAACGACAAATCTTCGATTCCAATTTTAAACATCGTGACAGCCTCAGTCTTTCCAGCCACCGATTCCCCATCTTCCGGACGCCTTCTCCTCGCCAGCATCGAATTTGTCCAATTCACTCCCATCACCCGAATATCCAATGTAATCGCGATTGTCATCAATAAGCCTTCCGTACTCCAAAAGCAACCTGAATGTGTAAACCTCAATATCTTCCCTTCGGAGGACTTTATTCGCCCACTCGCGGCCCTGTCTCGCAAGCCTTTGCGCCTCCTTGGGGTGCGGGGCAATGTATACCTCCGGATTCAGATCGTCGCTCTCAATTGCGTGCTCCATGTTTGGCTCTCCATAGCCGATAAAGTACGATAACAGCGCGTACAAATCGTCGTACCGGTTATCGACGGGCACGAAATGGCGCCAGGCCAGCAACCTGCTATCGTGCCACTCGCGGAAGATGGTTGCTTTTAGGCCAAGACTCTTGCTCTGCAGGAAGGCGTGCCAGCGGCCCGAGAAAGAGTGTCCGTCCACATCAATAAGGTATTTCGACTTGAATTGAGATGTCAAAGACACTTGGGGTTTCCAGGAGAAGACGTTGTCGTAGAAACTGCAATTCGGTACACAGCCCCAGGCCTCGACGAAGCCGACATCACTGTGACGCTCGGCGAAGTGGGAAGGCTGGAAATGATCGTAGACTTCATATGTTGTGTTCTCCTTGTTTAGATCTTCTCGCTTTTCCGTGAGGACTTTGGCATGGGTGCCTGATTGCAAGAGGTGCGTGCCGTTCATGAGTCGAACCAGTCTTTGCCGGTGCATGGTCTCCCAATTCTCTGCGATCTGGACACCTCCGGACGTCACTCCGCGCCATATGATGGTGTCTTGCTTCTCGCGCCAGTCTACGTCCTCTTCGCTATTGTAGTCATACCGATCGTCGTGACGGTAGTACATGTTTGCTGGGAAGAGGATATCGCTGTTCACGTTGACCTTACATTCCCCAAAGATAGGGACAAGCTTGTGGGACGCGATTATGCTGCTGGCCGAGTATAGCATACCGTGCAGGTCCTGAATGGCAGGACCGACGGTACAGAGGTCGGAGGATAGATTGAAATTGCTGACAATCCCAGCCATCGGTTCCTTGTACAGTTTATCGGCCTGGGCGATGGACATATTCGACCGTGCTGGTGATTCAGGCGGACATGCCTTGGAAGCGATCTTCATGTATTGCTGGCCTGGCGCAAAGAACCATCCGTCATCGAGCCTGGTTGAGTTGTCATCTTCTTTGTTCTCGAAGCTCATATCCAACAGATCGCTCTGATGCAACGTAAAGTTGTCCATGACTTCAGGAGGCACCACGCGAGTATCGTACTCATATTGCAGCATGTTTTGCATGTCTTCCCAAGGCACCACCACGCGAGGCTGGTCGAGCCGATTCATTGCAATATCCATGTCTGGAAGAAATTCGATAAATTTCTCGATGACGTTGACCATGGTCTCGGACCGCCAGCTAGGAAAATCGACGCGCACAACCTTGTGGTCTCGTATATGTATGACCGCAACCCCAAACTGATCTTGCTCCCACATATGCGCAGCCCGCGTTCGGATCTCGGATGCGTTGATAGCCCAAAACGGTCGCAGGTCATCCATGATCTGGTCGAAGTCGTCGATGTTGAACACATTTCTCCTGCGTGCAAACTTGTACCACTCGCTAAACCCGGGTGGAGGGTGTCTGCCATATCGACTTCTATACTTTTCCACGGTCTGTCTGAAGGATGTCGAAATTCCCGTCTCGTAAGATCTCCACCGAGCGTCTGCCTCTTCCATTAGGCGTGTGATCGGATGCAGATCATTATGCTCGACAGGGTCGTGCGTCGAAGGCTCCGTGGATGGGGAGTCCACCGGAGGGTCTGGAGCGGGAGAGGGAAGAGGATCTAGATCCCATATCTCGTCTGGGTCGGCGGTAGGAGGCTGCTTGTGTTCGCTGGGGCGCAAACTATCCGGGAGGGGGATATGAGCAGTTGCATCTCTGAGGCTGTCTCCGGAGATCGTAATGCCATGGAAGACGATGTAGAAGGCTATTACGGCAGCGAACAATATGAAGATGCGCCGCTTGTTGAACTCGATGGGCCCCATGTCGTGGGTCTTTCCAGGTCTTTACTTATGCATCACAGGTAATGAGAAGATGGGCGACGGTGTATATGACTCTGCCACTCGGCTACAGCAGCATAAATTGCATAGTAGCAAAGAAATGACGGATATAGAGAAATGAAGGTTCCTGGGGACCTTCGACAGGAGGTGACAGCGGCACGTTGTTCTGGCCGCAATTCTTGCCTCGCCATTGGTTGGAAAGATCTTGGCACCTCCTCGAAGAATGGTACTGTGGCACGTGACGGAGTACTTGTGCACATGCCGCCGTATTTAACTGCGCCTTTTCCGCCAACCTAAAGAGCATTGGTCTTAGAGCGGCGGGCCTCACTTTCCCGAACGGTCACCAATTTTCGTCTTAGCAAAAGAAACTGGACTTGTTGAACGTATCGACACCTGAGCTTCACCACCACGCCGTAGTGGTCATCATCACACTCCGTCCAAGGCAATGCCACCACGACTGCCGCTGCGGCTGGCGCAGGCGAACTCTTCCTCCCTTGACCGCCTTGCCCCAACCTCGACAACTACATCCATTGCATCCTTCCTTCTCCCATTCCTTCACATCCAATCCCGAAATGCCTCGATCCTAAGCTCTCTCTCAGACCGCCCAGGCGCCTACAACCGCCGCATCAGACGAGGACGAGGCCCAGCGTCTGGCAATGGAGGCAAATCAGGTCGTGGTTCGGATGGTCAGAAACAGCATGGCAAAGTCCCCGCAGGATTCAATGGAGGTCAAACCCCCGAACACATTGTACACGGGAAATATGGCTTTGTGAACCTGTCAGTATTGACGCCGAAACCATTTTCTAAGGGCACATAAGCTAATAGCGTGCAAAACATAGGCACGCGACCGAAATGGCCCCTGTAAATTTGGACAAGATACAAAACTGGATTGACCAGGGACGACTCAACCCCAGCGAGCCGATAACGCTGGTCGAACTATGCCGCTCTGGCCTAGTAGGCCGTCCCAAAGACGGCATCAAGCTCCTAGCGAACGGCGCCGCCCAATTGAAAACGCCAATCCACGTGGTCGTGTCGAGAGCATCACAAGCGGCGATCGCGGCGGTTGAGGCCATCGGCGGTAGCGTCACAACACGTTTCTACACACAACAGGCCATCCGGCGAATACGAGCCCGCGAGATGCATCCCTTCATATCGCTACGCTGGGATCCCGCCGCAATCGAGAAGCCGGCTCTCGCCAAGGCTGGAGGAATGTCGCTCGAAGAACGCGTTGCGGGCATGGGATTCAAGTACAGACTTCCAGACCCGGCGTCCAGAAGCGATATCGAGTACTACCGCGACGCGAAGAATCGGGGGTACTTGAGTCATACGGTCAAGGAGGGCGAAGGTCCCAGCTTGTATTTCAAGCCACCGATCACTGAAGAGGAGTTGAAAGCATTGAAGAAAGAGCGCGCGAGAAGTGGCGTCGCCAAGGCTAAGGAGGACAACAAGCTGTGGTGAGAGGGAGAGCATACAAACAACCTGGGCAAGGTATCCCTGTTCGTTGCTGCCTAAAGGAGAGCGGCAGCTGTGAGGAGGAATGACTGCCTAAGTGCTAGACTTTCCTACGCAATAAGTTCCAGCCGGTGCTCCTGGAGGTCAAGGGTTCAATCCAGTTGTCAGATACGAAGAAAGCCGAGTCCAAATCGAGATCACAAACGACGTGCGCTCTGCAAGTCCTGCGCGGGAAACTTCCGCCAGACAAGAGGAACCATACTTCGAGGTCCCGAGATTCTTTTCATCGTTTTTTCCCAATCAGGAATCTCGAGCAGCGCATTAGTATCGATCATAACTGTACTTGACTTATCTTCAGTATATCAATGAATGTACAACATACAATATACAATATATCTGAACAAACGCCCCCTAGGATGCCGGTCGTGGGTAGAAAAGTACGAGTACGCTAAAGGCCGAGGCAAAAGCACCATACCGGAAAACTTGTAGTGCTGTTAGGTTTGAATATGAATATGAATATGAATATGGATATAGGTATGAATGTACGAGTCTTCTGGCAGTGCTGACAGGACAGGCGACGGGCCCCAGATAGCGCAAAACCAAATTGCAGCTGTGGGTGCCGCTGAACAGTGAACACAACGAGGACTTGCTGGAGCTGGAGAAGGCGATTAACATCATTCAAAGCACGAAGACCAGACCTCAAGCTCGAAAACGTCAATCGTTGCATGCTTCTGTAAATTCAAACATCCTATGTGACATATCCTCCCACAGATGTCGACTCTGCGTCCATGTGAGCCTGACGAGGGCAAGGTACCCTAGCACCTTTGTCTTTGACGTCCATAGAAACGAGCAATTTGTTACATAAGTAGTACACAAACAAGCCCAAGCTCCAGTGATTCCTCCCAATTCCAGCCAGACTCAACGCTTGATTCAAAAGACAAATTATGGCGGAGTCCATGGCTCTTTCTGGATATTTACTCTCTCGACACATCACGGCCGAAGAACTTGGCCTTGACCCAATCGAACATGACGAGGACACGGTTTCGTGCTGTCAAGTCGTTAGCAAATCGCATCAATAGAGTCAAAGAGGGCGCAACTCACTGCTAAAGCACATGCTCAAGTATGCGCTCTTCCAGAACAGATAGGTCATGGTACCGCCCGAGGCAATGTTGCCGCTGAACCAAGATACATCAGCCACGGCCTTTTCAGCACCGATGTACGCCAGCGAGCCCTGGTGCGAGTACTGGAAGGGACCGATCTGCTTCACGCGACGTAGCTGTCGTTGGCGTTCGTTGATCTCGTTCAAAATGACATTTCGTTCATCTGGTTTGGCGGTAGCTTGCTTTTGCGACAGTTGTCGCAGCTCGTTTTCTAGAGCGTCCGTCTTGGCCATGGTGTTGAACAATCGAGCGAGAAAGGCACCTTCTTGGGCAGCCACTTGCGCAGTGGGCGCGTAATTGGCGACGGCGCAATCACCGACAGCCCAGATGTTCTCAGTACCATTGACGACCAGATACTCATTGACTTCCAGGCCACGGCGAGCATTCTTCTGTGCAGGAATCTGCGACATGAGGTCCTTGACAAGAGGACGCAGAGCATTACCAGTGGCCCACACAAGAAGGCCATATGGGATTTTCTCGACAGCCTTGGTTCCATCAGGCTTCTGAACTTCAGCTTCAATGTACTTGTCGGTGACGTTCTTGACCATTGTCTTGGTGCGAATATCGATGTGCTCTTCCTTGAAGGATGACTCAGTGTATTCGATCAATTGCTTACTGAACATGGGCAGGACGTTGGGCAGAGCTTCGACCAAGGTCACATGAAAGTCATCTTTGATTTGAGGCACCCATTTGAGCAAGTCTTCCTGGAAGAAATCCTGCAGTTCACCAGCAAATTCGACGCCGGTAGGGCCACCACCAACGACTACCATGTTCAGAAGACGCTTGACCTCCTCGGGCGACTGGTCCTTGAAGGTGGCGGTCTCGACACAGTCCATGATTTGTTTCCGAATCCTTTGAGCATCACCAACCTCCTTCAAGAAGCAAGCATGCTCACGGACACCAGGAATACCGAAGGTAGCATTTTCCGCGCCGACGCCGACGACAAGCATATCGAAAGGAACTTCGGTCTCCATGGTATCGCCCTTGATATCGGAGTCATCTTTAGCGTAGACAATCTTCTTCTGATAGTCGATCTTGGTAGCTTCAGCTTCGTAGAACTTGACTCTTGCCTTCTTGTGTCGGAGAATGTTCCGGATGGGCTCCATGATAGAGCGGTGTTCAATGGTACCGGTCGTGCAGGAGGGTAGCAAGGGAGTGAAGAGGAAATAGTTTCGAGGCGAAATGACGACGACATTGTAGTTTTCAGTGTTCAAGTTCTTGAGCAGAGAGACAGATCCCCAACCAGTACCTGATCTTGTAAGCATTGCACGTTGGACCATTAGGATAAGCACAAACCGAGAATAACGAGCGTCTTCTTGCTGGGGTCTGGTTCATCCTGATCGGCAGGGTTTCGACCTTCCCAGATTTGATACCCAGTGTAACCGAGAGCAGCAAAAGTCGAGAGATATGTTACCCGCCAGAGAAAACGGAAGAATCTGAAGCGCTTCTTAGGCTTGGGCTCCGGGGACAGTTTGACGGAAGGGGCCGCATTTTCAGCGTATGTCCGGCGGAATGATTGTTGTAGGAGAGGACGAGGAAGGAATTGTGATTGCTTGGGAGCAAGATGAGATTGAGGTATTGCGGTGCGAAGTGAGTTTGCGGCGAGGGAGGACAAGGGCCTGCGTGATGTAATTGAGAAGCCGACGGGCTTCATGCGCAGGGAGATTTTGCTCGCCATTGCGGCAGAGAGTGTTGAGATGGCAGGCTCAAGGCGAAAGCATTAGGAAGAAAGAGAGTCGACGATGACAATCGCCAGGAGGCGTGGGTGATGAGAACTTGAATGTCGTGGCCACAGAAACAATGTACGGATAATTTTTTCTATGGCGACAGGTCACAGCAGCAATGACAGCAGCAAGAAGCACCGAAAGACCCAGTTGTCCGGTGGAGTCAGCAAAGATCAAGGTCCCGTCATGTCCCAAAAAAGAATGGGATCCTGAGAAGCGGCGACCAGATCAACTTTGAGCTCGATAGTCAGCCACAGCGAGATGATAATTTCATGCTTTTTCATTGTCGACACAGGGCGTGGGATCTGCTAAGCAGCTCCAGTGGGGGTTAATGGGCTGTCTTCGCTCCAATGAACACCCCTAAATTGGCCTTGCCCGGCTTAAACGGGCCGCCTAAATGACCACCGCTAGGGCTGATGGGCCTCTGTGGCCTCTCCAGCCACCGGGCAATGGATAAGAGGAACAAGATTTAAGCGCGTCTCGAGGTAGGCCTTCTCTGCGAACGGGAGAAAGGAAGATAACACCGGCCCCGATTTCATGCCACAAACAAGCTCGACAAATTTTCGATATCTAGGATCAATGGAGCTAAGGACATGCACTCATGTTCCTTCTTCCCATCTCAGTCCTCAAATGGAGCCGCCGGAAGATGGCTAGGTATGTAACGAGATATGGTACTGTCACCTTTTGCCCGCCGCGGAGCCAGTGGACACACCTCAGGTCCCTCGTAGCCTCGTTGATATATCTTCGTCAGCCATGAGCGCCATGGTACCTCTCTATGTGGAAAAGACTCCAACATGAAATCGATCGCACCTCTCGTTCATTCCGTACATAAAGTGATCATGGCTTCCTTGGCCCCATTTCTTCTCGAATAGACCTATCATGCATTTCAAACAATCATCACTCAAGACGTGGATGCCTTTGTATTCAACTGAATCCACGAATGACCCGCGCTCCGAACGGAGGGGAGCACCTCGTATCCTGAACAGTCCAAGCCTGAGCAAGCATCCAGCTGACCACAGCATCCGAGACTTGGGCTCGGTATGGCAATTCACAAGGTCTCTTCACAATCGGCGAAGCTGTCAAAGTGCCTCACTTCACTGTGGGGATGTGCTGCGTCCAAGCTCCTTCTCTAAACCAGCTGATCCTCTTCAAATGCCTTCCATGAACAGTAACATCAGCTTCCTTCGCTCTTCATCTCCGTGTCTTCCTGCTTGGAAGACAATATCTTCTCCGCTTCTCCTTTTCCTTCGGGGGTCAACTCCGGGCCTGGCTCCTCTTCCTCGGTTTCTGCCTCCCTGATCACCATTTGTCTCAATTCTTCCGAATCCTGATCAGACACAGCTGCCTCCTCTCCAATGCCAGAATGTCGTCGTGCTTCTGAAACAATCATTTCGACTTCACTGATGGCACCTTTGTCCTTGTCGCCCTCTGCCTCGACTCCAATACCGATCTTGGTATTTTGTTGCAACTTGTTCGGGTCGAAACGAACAACCATCACGGATAGGTTGTCGGTCGAGAACCGGGCCAGTGCATGGTCTACCAAAGCCTTGGAGGCTTGTTGAGGATCATGCACATTACGGACCAAATCCACGGCTTCTTGGTCAGAACAGACATCCCACAACTAGATGCACGTCAGCGGCATGTCCCCATAGGCCCTAAATATGTACTTACTCCGTCGCAAGCCAGAATCAGAAACTCGTCTTGGTCGGGTTGGATGACGGTTTCTGTGGTATAAGGATGTCCAGTAACCAGGTCTTTCAGGTAAGAATCGCCCAACGCACGAGTTACGGCCAAAACTCCATTGACCCGGTTGTTCAAGATCAGTCCGCCTGCTTTCGTGATTCGCTTACCCTCATTCTCATCCATGCCCTTGTGGTCATATGAAAGACGAAGAGCCTTTCCATTTCGACATAGCACAATCCGGGCGTCACCAACATTAGCAGTATACAATACTCGTTGCCGTGTAGCCTTGGTTTTGGCCTCTTGAATCGCCGCCGCTGCCGCTTCTGCCGTGGAATTTGAGCGCGGTGTAGCCTCGTTAGTCTCGTCCTTCTTTTCATTCTTCTCCGCCTCTTTCGCGGCTGCTGCGGCTAGTGCCGCGATGGCCTGAGAACCAGTGGCAGAGTTATTGGTGGGGACACGGTCCTCCCATCTCAATACAGCTGTGATGGCAGTACAACCACTGTTCTTTAAGGGTAGCTTCTCGAGTTGATTGTCCGCCGAGGTGTATGCCTGGTCAAGCAATTCGGGCACCGGGGTATTGGGATATTTGCGCATCAAGTCCTCGAGGAGGATGTGCAGCTTCTTCCCGCACCACTCGGCAGCAAATGTGCCCGCATGACCGTCGAAGATGGCAAAATAGCCGTTGTCAGTCTCGACGACATGGTGTCCCGGCTCCGAAGGTACCGTGCTCAAGCTATTTCGGTCTTCCAACGACTTCTTCTGGGTGAGAGCGTTGTCTGTGAGGACAGGCGCAGGTGTTCCGAGGAAGTTGTAGAGGTAGGAATGGGTGTCTTCCATAGTACGACGACATTTCTTGTTCTTGTCTTCCGTCACTCCCACCAAAAAAGACGAATTAGGCGTAGGGCGGGATTCGCCAGCCGAGTTGTTGAGAGAGCCTTGCGGCACGCTCAGGGCGGCGTCCGTTTTTGAGAGCTTTTGCATGGGCGTTTGAGGGCCGTCCTTGTCTCCGTGCATCAGCGAATTTTTGGCTTGGGTGAATATCTCCTTGGCTTTGGCGCTACTACTCCTGCGCTTCTTCTGTTCGTCTTTGGGAGAGGGAGCGTTGTCTTCGGAGGGTTTCTGGCCTGGCGTTTCTGACTTGGGGCTAAGGTCGTTGGTCTTGATGGCGGTGGGACTATTTGGCGAGCCTGCAAGGTTGAGATTGCCGTCGGTGCTTGTATGAGAAGGTATAGAATCCGAATCTACATCCTTGTCTTTCTTTCCAAACATGCGATTGAGAAATCCTCCATGCGTGGAGGTTCTCCGCTCGTTGGTGCCCGCCAGCTTGAAAGGCTTGACGAGGCGGAGCACGGGGTCGTGGCAAAAGGAGAAAAGGGTAGGAGGAGAGATTTGCACAGGGTAGGGCAGATGCGTCGTAGGATCGGCTCGGTTCAGTGGTGGAATGCAAGGTGTCGGCGGCTAGGGAGGAAGGCTGGGTGCAGGAAGGTCGTCGAGTCCCAAGGCGTAAGAAGGAGCACACAGAATGAAATAGTGGTTGGGAGAGAAGGATAAAGAGGGTAAGTATGAGGATGATCGATGTTGAGTTCCAGATTGTTTGGGTCACGAGCAGTAGAGAGGCCAAAGGCGTCCAGTCAGTCCAGCACACAAAGAGGAGTGAATTGGTCAGGGTGGTGATGTATGTGAAGGAGCGTGTTCGCAGGCAAAGAGGGGGAGCCTAGCGTCCTAGACAGATGAGTGGCTCGGTAGCAATGGAGATTCTCGATCGAGTACGAGTAGGAAAGCTGATGGCTGATGATGATGGAAGAGGGAGGCAGCAGTGCGAGGAGATGAATGTGTGGGGGGGGCTCCTAAGGAGGGGAAATGAGATCTCTTTCTCTTCTCGTACGAGTACGAGCGAGTACAGTACTACGGTACCTTTAGCCTCTAACTTACTATGTAATAAACCCTGCCAACTTCTTAGGCAGAGACCCCTATGATGGCATACTATCGGGGGTACCTTAGTAGGTACCTTAGGTAGGTACACACCCAAGCATAACAAGCAGCCACCAAATAATGCTCAAACATTAGGCAGTACGTTACTTTGTCAACGAACCCTTGCCACCGATCTTATTCTGTTCTTTTTCCTAAGTACCTACGGTAGGTAGGCCACTGTAAGCTGATCTCCCTAGCATACCTTGCTGGGTCTGTCCATCGCCGTGCTCGTACAGAGCATGATGGCTGTTAGCGTACAGCGAGACCCCTCGGCCGATGGGCGAAACCGAATGACGACTGCGGCGGGCTCACTAGGCATCTCCTTGCTTACTAACCACTGACAGCATTATGAGGCCGATACACCGAACAAGCTCGTTGTGGCCAATATGCAATAAACTGCGCCTTATATCATTATGCAAGATTCCTGCGCTCTATGCGCTGTCACCTACGTAAAGGATGATCATCTCACCTATGGATTGGATGTGCAGCTTAGTGGATGGTCGGGAAACAATACATAGCACTGAAAAGGTCGCGAAATAGCCCTGAATATATTTTCGAAAACCACGCATCATCTACTTCTGCAACTACAACAGGAATCGACGACACACGCTGACATCTACCTTAGTTACCAAGCATAAATCGCCCTTCAAGGATGCAATTGTGCGTACATTGCATTTCATAATCGCTAATTGTTTCATGAATCCCGTGGCCGAGGATAACCTAGGTATATGCTATGTGAGAGCAAGTGGAGAACTATAAAACAGGCCTACACGACCAGGCGGGCAGCACACAGGCTCGTTTTCCATTAGAATTCATACGACATGCCAGCTCAGTCTTCCCTTCCATTCAAGCATAAGCCCCAACAGCACCCGGCGGACCTTCGAGATCAATGCCAGAAACCCTGCGACGAGTCTCTGACGAGTCTCGGACGAGGTTGCCGAAATACTTCCTAGCCACCTCGCTTTCGCGCTTGGTCTTGGTCACATCTTCTTTCTTCTGCCTAAGCTCCTCAACCCCTTGAGCGAGGTCGGTCGTCAGCCGTTGCGCTGGGTAGCGCAGCACCCGCCGCACCTCTGCCGCAATGCGATTGGCGTTGCTGTGCGTGTAATCCATTTGTGCAAGTGTGACGGAGAGTTTCGATGCGAGTCGTGGTGGTAGTGTCTGTGGAATAGTGGACAGGATATAAGCGACGGTGAAAACGGCTGCAAGGTCTGTTAGCATTCCAATTCATTCGTCCTGCTGTAAAGGACACTCACCAGCTGCAACAACACCAGGCACAAACAGCCTCCTAATATTCCGACTTCCGAGAATCTTTGCTGCGCCAAAAGCACCATCAATCCAGCCAACACCGCCGACAGCTCTAGAGCCAACCGTACCCACGAGTGTTAGCGCCAAACCGGTGCCGACTGTCTTCTCCTGGCGCTCCCACAGGCCAGCAACATCGAAAAAGTCCCAGATCTCAACATCCGTGTCGACGGATCGCACAAGGGCATCCTTCCGCCGCTGGAACATTTTGTCCGCCTGAAAATTGAGGTTCTCATAGCCCTCACCAACATGTAGCAATCCAAGCGATTTGATCATGCTAACACCTTGGACAGTTCTCGCCCGACCATAAGCTTCACAATCCGCAACCGCTGCCGAGATCTGGTCGAGCATAGCAACCCGAAGATCCTCTGCATACTGGAATGCTGAGAATAGACCGGGATATTCCACACCGTGATCTTCTTTGCCGACATTCGCGATCGTAGATGACAAGGTCGACCTGGTGTGATTGTACACTTCTGATGCAGTCGAGTCGACATCTTTCTCGACCTGCTCCGAGACGGCGGTCCGCTGTTTTTGTTTGTCTTCATATTCAGGCTCAATCTCTGACAGCTCTTTTGAGACTCGGTCTAGTTCAGCTTGTGCGACATCCCTGTTCACGGTAGCCAGAACGTTCATATCGCCCAGACAGTTCATCAGGTATGTCTTTGCTGGTGCCAACTTCGACCGAGCTCGCTTCTCCAACACAAACCTACGAAGCGCTCCTTCTAGGATATCAAAATCACGAAGTTTCTCCTTGTCTTTGCCCTTGCCCTTTCCTGCATCGTCATCGCCATCGTCGCCATCAGGGGGATTCGAAGGTCCTGGCCCGCTGCCACCTCCATCGCCCCCATTTGGAGGCAGCGATGGCTGTGTTGGAACGGCATTGCTGGATACAAAATGTACCAGCTCTTGCGCCTCTTTAAACGTCTGAGGACTGAGTTTGGCGAGTTGTTCGAGGATCATCTTCTGGCATCGCTCCTTGTCTCGAATATTGTCGAACCCGTTGACCACCATGAAGATGTACGCCTTCTCGTGTGCGGCTTGCCATATAAACTCCTTGGCTGAGAGGGTAAAATGGTTGGCCGCAGAAACCACAAAGACGACCACGTCGATTTCCTCCTGTCGAGCAAATACCGCTGTCGTTTTGACCGAGTCCGAATTCAAACCAGGTGCATCTATCAGTGCAATGTCGACGACGCCGTTGTTGAGTAATGATTGATCAATGCTCCGGACATCCTTAACGTAGACTTTGCACTGCATATACCGGTCGTTGTCGACAACGATCTTTTCCAGATCCTGGAGAGAGTAGGCGTCGTAAGTGCTCTCGTCGTTTCGGTTGTACACCGAATCCTTGTGGACGGCATGCACTTCTTCGTGTCCGCCGTTCTCTTTGGCATCGAGCACTTCGCAGAATATGCTTGTACATGGTTGTTGGTCTTCTGGTAGAATCTTCCGCCGTAACAGCGCATTACAGAATGTTGATTTGCCAGCATTGAGATCACCCGTCACCAACACTTTGCTTGAAGTGTCCTCTATCCGGTCACGAAGGGCAAGCAGGTGGCGTACGCTTTGGCCGATCTTTCCGTCGAGTAACGATGCGATCGATTTCTTCTCCAGCGAATGGACCAACTCGGTCTGTGACAATGCCCCGACCTTCAGATCCAGCTTGAGGATTGAGAACTCCTGAGCGATCTGCGGGGTGATCAATCGTGGTTCGGGGGTTCTCCTCTGCTGCGCCTGAGCACTGGATTCTCCTGTGGTATCTTCTCCAAGGGACGTGCCTGCTCGTCTTGGTCCTCCAGGACGATTCTTGAGGAACGATTCCCTCGACAGATCAGCCTGGTCTCTTGTCGATTGTGCTTGCATCAGTCCCGGTCTGTGTGGCTGTTTCTCCTCCTCCCTCTTCTGGACTGATGGGTAATGCGCCGGCCATTGTGCATTCATCTCCTGCAGTTGTTTTAACAATTCGACGGTTTGGCTGATGGCCTTCGCTAGGGCGACTCGGTTCTGGTTGTAGTAGAGTTGATGGACATGGCTTGCAAGGGCACGCTTCTCGTTGTCAGACATCTTCGCGGGATGTCCATCGACCTGGGGCGTGTGTGCGGGTGTCGGCCTATCTCGTAAGAGTTCGTCTTGCCATGTCCTCATCTCGCCACCATTTTGCTGCACGTCTCCGGGCATACTACCGTATCCCGAATCTCGCTCCAGCTGTTCCATCAGCGCCGCAGCATGTGACGACTGCCCTCCCGAGCCTACAGTCATGTATTGCGGTCGATAAGAGGGAGGGTGTATGGGGGCGGGCGATGTCATTTCGTCGTTGTGGTTGTTGTGGTCTGATTCATCCTTGTCCTGGGAATTGCGCGAGGAGCCTTCCCCAGCGAAATACGACTGGCTCATTGTTTTGCCTGGATTGAGAGTCCCTTAATCAGCACTTGCGGCAGTCGACGGGAAGGAAAGCGCAGATGCGCCCATAATAATGTGACTGTACAAAGTATTCGTAGGAGGAAATAATTTAGGTGCAGTGAATTGATCGTGCAACAAGCTTAGAAGGCAAATTCCTTGATCAAATCCATTCGGCAGCGCAGGCCGGAGTTTTGGCCTTCAGCTTGCAACGTCACTGGCTGCGAAGCGAGGGACCCAAGGCTTCCACCAACGTCTCCAAACAAACGACAACAGCAACAGTAATTTTCGCTATCTCCAGTCCGTCTGCGTTCAGATCTCACAGCCTACTCTGCCCTCCCTTACTCCGGTACCAACTCCAAGTTATTCCCAGGACACAACCGTCATGAATGTAAGCCGGGTTACCGTCCTCGAACTGCGACAACCCCACTGACTCTGGTCTATAAGATAATAGAATGGGCCTTTGGCAAGCGAATGACGCCCGCCGAGCGCCTCCGCAAGCACCAGCGCGCCCTTGAAAAGACCCAACGCGAACTAGACCGGGAACGAGTCAAACTGGAAAACCAAGAGAAGAAGCTCGTCGCGGATATCAAGAAGAGCGCAAAGAATGGGCAAATTGGCGCCTGCAAGATCCAAGCGAAAGACTTGGTCCGGACAAGACGGTATATCCAGAAGTTCTACCAGATGAGGACACAACTACAAGCCATATCGCTGAGAATACAAGTAGGCTTCTTGTCCCCCTCTTACTCGCGATATCATGTGATACTGATCAATGGCTCTCTTGTTCCAGACAGTACGAAGTAACGAGCAAATGATGCAGTCCATGAAAGGCGCGACAAAACTCCTGGGTAGTATGAACAGACAAATGAACCTGCCCGCATTACAGAGGATAGCCATGGAGTTCGAGCGGGAGAATGATATCATGGACCAAAGACAGGAGATGATGGATGATGCCATCGACGATGTGACAGGTCTCGAGGATGAAGAGGAGGGCGAGGAGGTTGTGAACCAGGTTCTTGATGAAATTGGTGTAGACCTCAACAATGCTGTAAGTCATGACTTATCCAGAGACTCGGGCAGGATGCCGCTAATCCTCTTGCAGCTGGGCGAGACGCCGACAGGTATACAGAAGGCTGCCGTACCTGAAGGACGAGTGGCACAGGCAATCGGCGGCGGCGGAGGTGAAGATGACGACCTGCAAGCCCGACTTGATAGTCTGCGACGGTGACCATCTGGTTCAAGAGCGAGCCAGCTTATGTGCGGAATGAGCAAGGTGTTCGGAGTAAGGCAGATGGAAATTGTTACGTGGTGGTCTACGTGCCTCTGATACAGAGCATCCAGTTAAACTCGTAAGTGGAAAGCGCACCCGGCAGGACAGGGATTCGATGAGGTTCATTATGACGATTATATGTCTCGCCATGTCGATTGACATTTGCTATAAACTACATAAACCAGTAAATTCGTGTTCCGGCGTCATCCTTCCTTGGGTCCTCATCCGGGGAGAACGTGGGTTCCGGGGTTCCCCTGCAACATCATGACGTTCTGACCAGGTTGGATCAAATACCATGCCCATGCTATGCCATACAATTCTACCCAACTGGTTGTCTACATTACAACATCCCTCCAAAATCCAACACCACAGAAGCGAAAGAAAGCCATGAAGCATCATTTAGTTGGTCAGCATAACGACGACATCGTGGCCCAGAGGAGCGCCAACGTTCGAGTATGCGCCACCAATGTTTCCTAGATCACGTTAGGCCGTCACATATCAAAAGAGAAGAGGAATTCATCTTACCAGGTGGGTAGTAGTTGCAAACGGTGAAGTAGTTGGTGAACGTGGCACCTTGCAGGGTAGCACAGTATGAGGTCGCGCAGCCAACGCCGGTAGTTCCCTTCCACACGATCTGCGAGAAGTGGCCCCATGCGCCGAAGTTGCTGGTGTCCGGGTTGTCGAGGCCATAGGGAGTAGGATAGTTTGGCATTTCACCGTTGTACATGTCGTTACCGATCATAGCGGCAACTTGGTAGCTTTGATAGCCGGCGCCGATGTTTTGGCCGTAGCCACCGCCACCGGGGGTACTAAGCATTGACCATTAGCATCGAATATAGGGCGAGAGCGTCATGCGAACTTACAGATCGTGTCCATAGACACACTTGGCGGCGGTCTCAGCAGCGTATGTGGCCATCTGGGTGTTCCAGGTCAGATCAGCAGCGGAGTGGTTGGCACGATGGACATTGTGGGCTTCGAGAATAGCGGTTTGGTAGTCATCATTGCGGACATCGTCGGTGACAGTGGGGAGTCTTCCATTCGCTGTAGTGGTGGTCGTTGTCGTAGTGGTCGTGGTTGTCGACGTAGTAGATGAACTGGCAGCCACTGAGGTAGTACTTGTGGTGACAGCAGTTGTTGTGGTAGCAACAGTGGTGCTGGTGCTGGCGGCAGCTGAGGTAGTCGACGTGCTCGAGCTGGTTGAGGTAGAAGCGCCAATTGGGCCGACATTGCTGCTGCTTGAAGTGCTAGAGGCAGAGGTGCTTAAGGAGGTGCTTGTGGAAGCACCGATAGGTCCGACTCCGCTGCTGCTTGTTGACGATGTCGATGAAGTGGTCCAAGAGCTGTGGTACCAGCTAGTGGTGCTTGTCGAGCCTGAGATTGGCCCAACACCGCTGCTGCTGGTGCTGCCTTGTGTGGGGCTGACAGTTACGGTCAAGTTTGTATAGGTTGTGTGAGTGTTGGTCGTGGCAGCCCAATCTGACCATGATGCGTCGTCAGTCTGAGTAGGGAATGCACTCTCAGGCTCGTAGACCGTGGTCACTGCCGTGTGTGTTCTAGTCAACGTAGCACCGTCCACGGCATCGTCATCGTTCCAGTCCACCCAGGCCAGATCGTTGGTGGGTTGTGCTCCGGTCCATACAGTCTTGGTCACGTATGTGGTTGAGCCTCCATCGTCCGTAGGTGGGACGATGAGCTCAATTGCCATGCCCGTCTTGGTTGTCATGGAACCTCCAGTTTCGAACACTACAACAACCGGACCAGCTTTGGTGATGGTCTTTCCAGGGACTGTAGTGGTGGTTGAAGTGAAGATAGGACCAACTGCATTTGTGATAGTTGTGTAGACGGCCACATTTGTCGACTCAGGGCCGACCGGTGTGATTTTGACTTCGCCATTGCAAGGGCAGTAGGCAGTAGTTCTCGTCAAGGTGGCGGTAACTGTCGTATCAGGATCCCACCAATCCGTCCAGGATGCCGCAGCTGATCCAGCAGTCGCTAGAAAACCTAGCGCTTTGGTAGAGACCTTCATTGTGGCAAGCAGTATTCAATTGCGATTTCTTGATGTTTCGAGAAAGGAGGAGAACGGCGACGCGCGCGAAAGAAAAGAATATCAGCGCAAGGTAGAGAGCGACTATGGTGAGAGTGTCTGTGCTGCGAAGGAAAGTGTAAATAGGGACTCCTTGAGGGTCGAGGAGGAGTTGTGGGCAGAAGCGAGGTATATGTTTCCCAGGTTTCCAGCAGGCCCCGTATACCAAGAGGCACGCCATGGTCAACAATGGGTTTGTTGATGGGCTGGTGACGGGTAGTCGAGGGAGATTAGACAGCATAGATGGAGTGCTGTCACGACGACTGTCATGCCCAGATCATGGACGTGCCCGAGCTGCGGCACCACCCAGTATGCTCAAGGATTCGGACGGTGTGCGCAATTCTCACTTTACCAGGTAGATTGTAGTTGATAGGTAGCGTGGTCAAGTTGACCATGCGGACATGGTGGTGGTTATATCGGATTTGATGACAGAGCGACGACTGAGAAGGTGTGAAGAGAGAACCTCCCATTGGAGATCCAGTCTATAACAAAGCCAAGCGGTTAGCAGACCGACGTTGATAGGAGTCCCAGGCTCGCATCGTAGCTCCAGCCGCTGTTAGCTTGCGACGGGCAGCTCATCGGTACAACTTGATGGGTTGACTGGTGAGGTTACCGTCACTGTTGGAGTGCTTCAGGAGTATCGGGCGAGGTCACACATCGCGGGAAAGGGAGATTGCATGCAGATGCAGGAACAGCAATGGTGGAGAGGGGTGCCGGTCATAGAGAGTGCAGAAGGGGTCTGTCAAAGCTGTCAAGTCGCAGTGTCAAATTGTTCTGGATTTAACATTCGCCGAGGTCGAAGCTCGTTCTGTATGGGACCCCAGGTCATCCTTGACGAACGATATCGTGCGAGTTAGTACACCATCACAGTGGATTTGTATTTGAATCCGAGCGTGCGCATCTAATCTGGTTGTCGGTGATGCATGGCCTCGTCGATTTCGATGACATTTTCCGCAGGTCTGTTTAGGCCAGAAACAGGCATAGTGATGCCGATCACGGTACGGAAAGGTGGTATAGATCGGAAAACGGGATTGACTCTGTTAGATCCTCATCGCGTGTTCTGTCAAAGGCGAATTGACAAGAGGGGAGGATGCGAAGAGTCTGAATCAAGGAGAAACCCACAGAAATGCTTTACAGCTCAACGCAGGTTGCAGGGAAATTTTCCACTAAATTTGGCGGTAGTGCCGCCGCTTTTAGAGGGTGTCCTCTCTCAATGCCAAGATCGCTCCCCTAGTCAGTTCCTACGTCTGCCCACACCCTCCTCGGTTATCTCAAGAATCAAACTTCAGCTCTAAAGCTGCAGAAATAGCTTGTTTTACGGAAATCGGAAAATATTTTGTTCCGGATAGCACTCTCTTCCATTGGCTGTATCATCATCACCACCACCACCACCAAACAAAAGTGATTTCCTGCGTGGCAGACTCCAACTCCAATGCATCACTCCATCGTCGCAATGTGATTCCCAGTCACCGTGCGGTCAGATCGTGATTTTACTTTGCCCATTCCCGTTACTGGTATACGTCGAGCAGCCACTACCCACCTTTGCTTTGATCTAGGGCTTGCTATGCACCTACGCAATGTATCCCGGACCACCAACATAGGCAATGGCTGACCATGGAGACGATCATTCCCCAGCTCCTAAAGTCCGCAACGAACGCCCATTCCTGTACCCATGGGTCAGAGTGACTCCAGCTTAAAGCTGTCCCCTAAAGCTAATCATTTGCTAGAATCGTCGACTCCGTCACCTGCACGGCATCTCCTTGCGCAACCTCCATGTGACTGCCCCGGGCCCCCGCCGACACGCAAAGACCATCACCGACGATGATGCGCCTTACAATCTCACATCCCCCGCCAAACGCGCACTCAAAGGCGACTCTAAGCCATTAAGCCACTCGCGCTCCTTCACCAACCTCGCTACCGCAGCTGAAGAAACACCTACTCCGGGCGGCTTCCAAAAGGCGGCCACATCCTATGGCAAGAATGACAAACAACCGAGTAGACCAGGTACTGGTAGAATGCGCCGAAGAAGCACTTTACATTGGGGGTCAACAAGTCCACGGGCGCGACAGTCGAAACTTGAAGATATGGTTGTCAACCGCCTAGCTGATACCTGGGTCTCGTTACACTGCCCAGGCAGTGCGGAACCTGTCTATATCAGCGAGGTCATCGAAAGCTCTATGAACCCAAGTTTCGCCTTCTTTGACCTAGATGGTAGTGGCCCTCAGGTCTCACGGTCGGACGAAGGTGTTGCGCGGGTATGGGCCAAAGCCTCCAACGCCGAAGAATATTGCCTACTGGTCGAGCTCGATTTCAACTTGAGATCTCTACAATTCATCGGCCGGACCCTCGAGAATTTCCATCACCCCTTGCCCCAAAATTGCATCCTGCTGCATTTGTCCGACGGCATATACACAAGCTTCACTGATCTGCCGGCAGATTCTCACGCCGACGTCCAACACTCCATTGATCACAAGGAAGGCTCGAGCAAACCAGGCTCTCCATTCGACGCTCTGATGCAGCTGGCAAACCTGGACGAATGTATCCAGGATGCCGTCAAGGTCAGGTCGCAGCTAGAGGAAGAGATCAACAAACTCATCACAGAGGCGCATCTTCTTAAGGTCGACGATGAGCCTAACACCGAAGATGACGATTCTCGAAGCCAGGCAGCCTTGGCCGCTGAACAGAAGCACCTTCGGCAGCTGACGAAACGGAGAGACGATCTGAAGGAGTCTCTAATAAAGCGGCGGCAGGCTCTAGAAGAATGTCGTGTTGCAGAGGTGAAACTCAAGGCGCTTATTGAGAAGAGATCCAAATCTTGCACTGGAGTGGAGAACCAGCTGCAACAGATCGACAAGGATTCTACTGGTCAAATACGCCGGATATGCGAATCGATCCTCACCATTTACCCCATCGAACCCGTCAAAGGCCGCACGCTCCAATTTACCATTCGCGGTATTCACCTACCCAACTCGGTTTACAACGACACGAACCGGGACGAGATTGCCGCTGCGCTGGGATTTGCTGCTCAATTGGTCAATCAATTGTCGCTTTACCTGTCCATTCCATTGCCATACCCAATCGAGCCATACGGATCATCTTCCTTCATCTCGGATCTTATATCATTCGGGTTGAGCCAGCGCAGGTACCCTCTACATCCCACAACTGTGCCATATAAGTTCGAATACGGAGTCTTTCTGCTGAACAAGGATATCGAGTTTCTCATGAATCGGATGGGATTGAGGGTGCTTGATATTCGACATACACTACCGAACCTCAAGTATCTGCTGTATGTGTTGACGGCAGGTACCGGAGATATGCCAGCCCGGAAGGCTGGAGGTGTCCGGGGTCTCGTAGGTGGTCGTACAAGCTCAGAGGCCTCGCGTCGGACAAGCGAAGACAGTGTTCAAAGTCTGCCACCGACGTTCAGGCCAGACAAGAATCAGACAAGGGCGAACGGAGGTGGTCTTGACACCACAGAGAAAGATGTTGGTGACCCCTTTGTATCAAAATCACCAGCTCATAGTATGCCATATCGACAAGGCTCCACTGACACATCAGGTAGATGACAACGATGATCATACCATTCTGTTCCTGTTAGCCTGACGTACGGCATACGCTGGAATATCACAAGCTTCTGCTAAATACTTGACGTGCCAGATTGGCTTTGTGTCCTGGATTGTCAGCGCCCCTGTTGTGTGACTGAGGTCCTAGGTCAAAAGAACTCTCTTGGATAAGACTGGCATACGACAAGGCTCTATACACTTCACATGCGATAAAGCACCATTCTTCCGATCTATAGCAGCCGATCTCAAACTACAATTCACATCTTCACATGTCTTCTGGACCGGGTAGAGAAGGCCACTTGCGGTCCACAGCGTGACAGGCTGCTGCTGTCACTATGTAGCTATAGACCTAGTTTGCCTTCCCATAAAAACGTCGTCATTTTCTGAGGCCTGACGTCGTTTTTTTGTATTCAATGTTTCCCGGGGTAGCCTCGTCCATCCGATTGCCACCATGGATCCTCCTTGGGACTATATCTGGGAGGAGCAAGGACAAGGACAAAGACAAGGCCAACCAACTCCACAAATCGAGCCAGACGCAAAGATCGTGGACGACGACTTTAATCCTGAGGCAGAACAGATCTGTATAGAAGACACCCGGCTTGCACGATCTCAGACTCTCAGCCTTGACAACTTCCCCACCAATCTCGGGCACAACCAACCACCAATCTTCAACTTCAACTTCAACCCTGCAGCAGCCCCGCAAAGCTTCGAGTTTGTTAATCAGCCAGCATCATTTGTGCCTAGTGAGCCTGGCTTGCCGCCTGTGCCACCCCCGCAGAGCCTGAAGCACGGAAGTCCAGGTGCCGGCCTTGTAGCTGGGCTTGTGCGAGGCTTTCCAACTGCTGTCCCTCATCCGCACGGTTATTTCGGCGCCTCGGATCTCGTTCAACCTCCATCCACTGTTCTTGCTCAACACCTCCTGCCGCTGGATGCGTCAGCCATGACCTACAACCATTCTGGCCAATTCCCTGGCGCCGATCTACCTCACTCCGGACTCTACAAGACAGACTCATTCTCTCCAGAACCTGCGGGCGACAATGCGACACAAGGAGCTTCCGCTGAAAGTCGGCAGCAGCACCGCCGGGGCTATCAAGCCTGTCAACGCTGTCGCGAGCGCAAAGTCAAGTGTGATTTAGGCAGTACGCAATTGAACCTGCATTTGAATGGACTTCGCTAACTTAGCTCTCTCTTAGGTGTCGATGCGCCGACCGATCCTCCCTGCAAGCGTTGTCAGCGTGAGCGACTGCACTGTGAATTTGCGCCCACACGAAAGAAGCAAAAGAGATCAGATGGCACCGCCAGAGATGTATCGCAGGACCCTGCCTTGAGCAACAATGATACATCACTCACGGGCAGTGGATCGTCAAACTATGGTTTCGGAAAACCAACACAAGCGTCATCGTCTTCAGCCTCACCATTGACTGCACCCAACGGATTCACTGGCCAGACCTGGTCGCAGCAGAACCCGAAACATTCCGTCACATCTCAACCTCGTGATATGTCGTCGCGCACTCAGAATCCCCAAATGCCGCCCCCTGCGCCTGGGCAGAGAAACCCTTTCGATGTGGAGTTGCATAGTCAAGTGGCTGTAGCCACGTTAGGCCCACAGGTTTCCAGCACTCAAGACAACATCATGCTTCTGGTTGACGCAGCTTATGCCACCGCCTCTGAAGGTGCGACACCACATCCTAAAGACAGCCCACACTCTGAGCGTGGTGGAAGAAAGAGAACTCTGTCCAGTCTCGATCATGGTGGGCCACCAGTGCCTACGGATGCTGGTTTCACGCCTCAAGAACAAGCCGAACAACAAGCCGGCCTAAAAGCGTGGTCAGACATGCGCTTTGTGCGGAACGGTTGGTTCACAGCCTGGGAAGCCATGCAATACGTTGAATACTTCTTTAAACAACTGGCACCCATGACACCAATTGTCTTTGATGAATACAGATCCCCTCACATGCATCAAGAGCTCCTCGTTGATGAGCCTATCTTGGCATTGGCTATTCTCGCCATTGCTTCCCGTCATATGCACCTCTCCGGTCATGCGGCACTGTCTCGGTCATACCAGATTCATGGGAAGCTGTGGAATAACCTTCGTCGCCAGATCGAACGACTTCTCTGGGGACAAGAGCAATTTGGAGGCGGATTCTGTGGTGGTGGCAATGCCAACAAGATTCGCGAATTGAACACTGGGCAGATCACCTGGAAAGGAAGTCTTCGCACCCTAGGCACTATTGAAGCTCTGTTGCTGCTCACTGACTGGCAGCCGCGTGCACTACATTTTCCGCCAAGTGACGATGAGGAAGGTCTCCTGGATCGAAGCATAGTGATGTCTTCTGAGGTGGATGCCAAAGCCCCAGCGCAGAACGGCGAATCCGCTGCGAGTCGAGACTACGATAACCTCCCATACGCGAGCTGGCTCGAACCCGCCTGGCGGTCGGATAGAATGTCGTGGATGCTTCTTGGTCTCGCTCAGAGCCTAGCTTTCGAACTTGGCGTGTTCGATACCAATCACTCCAACTGCGGCCACGAGCATGGACCCAATTCTGAGTGTGCGCGCAAGCGACGAATTCGACATCTGATTCTCGTCTATGTCGCGCAGACAAGCGGGCGCATGGGGGTGCAGTCCTCGCTGAATGTTGAAGAGTGGGAGAAGGACGCTGCCTGGGATCAGACAGAGAATGTCTCGGCCGAACATCCAGTGGATATCATGCAAGAATGCTGGGTCCATATTGCGCGGATCATGAATCAGGCGAATCGTGCGATATTCTCATCCCACCAGTTCACCCGAGATCTGATCTCCAGTGGCAAGTACAAGGAGTCCATCGCTACCTTCGCACCACTACTGCAGAATTGGAAGATCCACTTCGACAAGGTCAAAGATGTCATCCACCCAGTCATGCAGAGCATTCTCGTCATGGAATACGAGTATGCCCGGTTGTACATCAACTCGCTTGGGTTGCAAAATGTGGTAGAGTCATGGGTACAAGGAGGGTCTAACATTCGGAAAGCGACACTGTGGAAGATCGCTGAGGACAACAAGCTGTACATCGATGAAGTCACAGATGCTGCACTCAACATTCTTGGTGAAGTGGTCGATGGCATTGCCGGCAGAGGGTTCCTGAGAGATGCGCCTGTTCGAACATATCTGCGGAGTCTTTCTGGCATAATGTTCACATTGAAGGTAAGTCCTGATGCCTCTGACCTGTCACTTCTGCATTGCTAACGTCTATGCAATAGCGGTTCAGCTTGGGTACTCATGAGGCATTGGTCCGGAGATGCTTGCAACAGCTCGAGAAGATCACCATCGCCATGTCCAAAGAGGTCGTCGATGATGTTCATCTCACCTCCTCGACCTCACGCCTCGTTCAGAACATTGTGCGCAACGTGAAACAAACATTGATTCGGGTGCAACAAGTTGGAAATGGGTCAGCAGGTCCCAGCCGCGAGCAATCACGTCCTCAATCAGTGCACAGCAATGATGGACACCCTGAGGCACAGCAGCAACAGGCTCAAGCTGTCAACTTGAACCAGTTTAACGCCGACTTCTACATGGATGATCCTCTTGCAGGGATTCAAGCGCGACCGATGGCTGAACTTGCATCGCAGATGTTCGTGCCGCCACCCAACTTCAGTGGAGATGGTCAAATTCTGGACTCGGCATTGCCTGATGATTCCCATCTCGATCCGGCCATGACGCTGTCGATGGACTGGTTTGCATTGCCTTTGGATAACCTCTTCCACAATGATGAAGCCACTGTCGATCAGGGATTTGGTGGTCTTGGTCCGACCGTGGGTACTCGAGATATGCTGGAAGTCATCACCAACCGTGACTACAATCAGATGCAGTGGAACAGCAACCAGACGTATGGATTTGGCAACCTTTGAAGCAAGGAGTGGTTAGTAGAGGGCGACGTGGAGGTGTGATGAAGAGCGAAGAGGACTTTTTCTTTGCAAATTTTTCTGTTCGATTTGGACCAACCTTTTGATGCAGATGACCGTCGGCAATTCCTTCTTTTCATCTTATCTCTTAGCCAGGAGTTCGAGTGGCATTGCAGGCCACGACAGAGAACGCTTTCGCAGATGATTGATGAGTTACGAATCTCTGCATATGGAGACCATGCATTCAGATATTGGTTGCCATACATAGCATGCACATAAGTCGATCAATAACAAAATATGCATGGACAAATATGAGGATTTCTCCGGACCTGGCGAGGTACTGCCACGGGTACTCCAGGATCATGTTGATCTGTAGACATGATTGGGCTTTTCGGCGGCGACGATATCCAGTGCCTTTTCCTTCCGCCCCGCAAAAGAAGGAATCCATCACCTGCGCCATCTTCGAAACTCTCTTCTCACGTCGAACCCACCACACTGAATGCGCTTCCACCTGGAAAGATTTCACATTCTGTGATCGCTCTATATTGGCTGGCCGGATCCAGCATACGAGTCCAGTGTCTCTGCTCCCTGAAATCGCCGCATCCTGCCTACAACCTCCACCTCGAATTACTCGCCATGCTCGCATGATCAGAGACCGCGCGTCCTCAGCCGTCTCGACCCCAGACGACTTCGCCAATTCTACGCAGTAACCATGTCGCCGACGAGAATCCGGCGAGGACTTTGGAAACGGTAGTCAAATGTCCAACAATGCTCAGATCACCGCTCGCCAGTTATGGGGCCAGTTAAGCACACGTTCCGCGCCGACGGCGCCGTCTTCCACCTGGTGCACGCCTCTGATTCTTCCTAGTGGAGGTACGTACACGATAGCCGTTACTAGGTGAAGATGCTGACTGACGATAGGTGTGCTCATTTTTGGGAATGACACAACTACCACCCTTCACGCCCAAGTCACCTTCAAACAGCCGTGCGACAGTACCGATTCGATCATCAGCCCTGATACGACCGGCAATTCCTCTGTGATCGGGTTTCAAGATCCTTTCTATGCCTCGATATCTCCTCAAATCTTTGCCCTCGCGACCGCAACCGTCATCAGCTATGTCCTTGTCATTCTCATCTTCATCACCCCACGAACCTTCTACGTCGGTGGACCTGGCGGAGGGGCTGGGTTTCTGGGCCGGCGAGGTGTGATAACAGGCTCATATGGCTCCTCTCCTATTGTCGGCGTCGGACGGCGTCCACTACTCCAAAAGATCGCAACTGTTACGGTGGCCATATCATTGACCATCGCCACGGCTGATACCTTTCGTGTCGCGGAAGATCAATACAACCAAGGGTACATGGATTCGAGCCAGCTGGTAGATAACGTGGTGGACAGCCTCGAGATCCGCATCATTCGCGTCATATCCGACACTTTTCTGTGGCTGGCGCAAGTTCAAACACTTATCCGACTGTTTCCGCGGCACAAGGAGAAAGTGACTATCAAGTGGCTCGGTTTCGTCATGGTCTCTCTCGACACCATTTTCAGCATCCTAGACTCGTTTGTCAGTGGCAATCCGAGGACCAGGCCACGAAAATTTCAAGACGCCATCCCTGCTCTCAACTACCTGTTTGAGTTGACCATTTCATTGATTTATGCATCATGTGTGATTTACTACTGTTTGTCCAAGAGGAGGTTCGCATTCTGGCATCCCAAAATGAAGAACATATGTCTGGTGGCGGTGTTGTCACTTGTTTCTGTCGTTATCCCGGTGGTGTTTTTTGTGCTGGACATATCTCAGCCGAATCTGGCAGGGTGGGGTGAATATATTCGATGGGTCGGCGCAGCGGCGGCAAGTGTTGTTGTGTGGGAATGGGTGGAAAGAATTGAATCTCTGGAACGGGATGAGAGGAAAGACGGAATACTTGGACGAGAAATATTTGATGGCGATGAAATGCTCAACATGACTCCTTCGGAAGATGCAAACTGGCGTGGCCATAACGGCACGAATGACCAGGATGGAGCTCCTCACAAAGGGATGGGCGAGAGCTTCGGCTCTCGATACCGGCGGATTCGGGGTCGTTTGCCATTGCGAAAACGGCGCAAGACAGCTCCACCCGACGGTATAAGCACAGGAGCTGATGCAACGGATCATGGCCGCACCGGAGCACACTCACAGGTTCAGCGTCCGGAACAGGTCCTTACGCCGCCCAGCAGGAGCGATACTGGAAGCGCAGCCAGCACAGTCTATGCAATCCGCTATCACAATTTGACCAGTCCATCACCCAACTACCAGCCAAATGTCCAGGACCGTCCACAGACAATTAGTGTGCCTAATGGTGCGGTCGAGAGCCGACAATCTGATTCAGACTCCTTCCCGGACTCGGCAGACAAGGATATTGTCGTGGAAGCGCCCGCTCGCAAAGAGCCCGCAAGTCGACATGTCTGGCAAGCACTGCCTAACCCGTTCAAGCGCAGAAGGGCTGAGCCTCCGGCCGAAGTTGCTGATGCGCAAAATGCCAGTGGGATGCGCCGGTCACCAATCGATCGTAGTCTAGATCTGAGGAGCAGATTGGGCGCGTTTGCAACCGCGCAGCGGGATCGTTTTGGCGGTCGGGCCAATGCTCCAGCTCTGCCCTTACCCGTGACTATCATTCCGGCACCAAGGAGCAATGACCGAACCTGGTCACCGGACGATATTGCTGAAGAGACTCAAGCCGACGGCGCTATTCGCATGACTACGGTCACGACGGCCGAACCACAAGCAGATCCATACGAGCACCCAACCCAACCCGAGGCTCTCCACCAAATCGTCGTTATCCCGGCTCCCACCCAGGGCCGTACCTGGTCTCCTGATGATATGCAAGGTACGACCCTTCATTCGGCCGATGGCAGCTTTCAACGGCCGGACACGGCGAGTGAGCCGGGCTCTGCACCTACTCCCAGCAATAGGTCTACAGCACAGATCGTACATACTCCAAGAGGCTCCCTTACCATTTCCGAGTCTGAACGACATGCTAGTCGCCTCTCGTCGCCTACTCAGCCAGCTTCACCGCGGACTGCTTTATACACACCAACAGCGGCTATTGAGTCGATTGCAGAAAATACTAGTGGTGAGGAGGGTGCAGACCCGACGTTGGAGGCTTCCGACGGCCAAGGTCGAGATGTGAAAATCGATGAGGATGAACAATCAGAGGACAGCGTAAGAACCCAGCCAACTGGTATGTCAGGCACGACTGTAGGGAGGGCACCTTTGGGCGAGCAGGCCCCGTCACCAAACACCGAGGAAAGACCCGGTGCAGAAGATGGACGGGATACTGGCGGAACTCAATCTTGACCGGAGTGAAAGTGAAAATTGCATGTTGATGATTTGTATCGATATTCGTGAAAAGACCTAGGCTGTTAGAAACGAAGAATCTTTACCCTTATGCATTCCCGCTCGAAACAGATACGGTCTGAAGTATGCAAGGCCTTATCCATGCCCAAATGCGGAAAGGATCCATAGAGGTGCATGGTACTTCTATCATTTATGGTGGAGTGTCCATGCTAGAACTGCTGCGAGCGTAGTGCGACACATATGTTTCTGCCTGATCACCAACATCTGCACACCCACAGCTGACGCCTTACTCGTGTTTTGTGTCTGATTCCCAGTGATTATCTGTGCTCGTGCTCGTCCGTTCGCTACAAAACTCACACGCTCAATGTTCTGTGATCGGTCGTGGCTACACCTTAGCCTCGTTGACGCCAATTCGGTGGTTTAGAAGCTACCATCCTCGCTAGCATCTGTTTCTCTCATGCCGAAGAGGAAGAGCTATCACAAAATCCGAGGCGGGTGTACCACGTGCAAGGAACGAAAAGTCCGCTGCAGCCTCGAACGACCGATTTGCCAGAACTGTGAAAGACTTTCCAGGCCATGTATTTATGTGCGCGCGGTACCCAGTCAGCACAATGCTCAGGTAACGCCCAGCCAAGGGGTTCCTGAAACCATACGGACTCAAGAGCTCGAGCTTATGCACTATTACACTGCATACACATATCGGACCATGAGCCATAATCCAGTGCTGATATCATTGTGGAAAGAAGTCGTCCCGAGGCATGCATTTCAGCATCCTTTTCTGCTTCAAGGTCTCCTTGCGGTCGCGGCACACCACAGACTCCATCACGACAAGAAGACATTTAACTCGGTCGACTTGATTGAGACGGCCAATCTCTATCAGCAGGAAGCTTTGGCTAGCTACATCCGTTTACTGAGCGATATCACTGAGGATAACTGCCATGCGCTATTCGCTTTCTCGCAAATCATAGTGGGGATCCAGTATTCGCGATTGAGCTTGGGCTTCTATCCAGACAACAGACATTCACCAGGGGTTATCGCCGGCATGGTCGAGATCTTCGACTTGCTCAAAGGGGCGCTAGCCATAGCCACGCAGGCCCATACATGGTTACGTGCTGGTGATTTGGAACCTATGTTGGGCGATGCGCCGAAGACACCGCCCGCAGAAACGATTCCTGCTACTATCGCCACCCCTAGCATAAAGGCCTTGTCGGCACTTTCGGAGCATATCGCGTCCCAGCTGGGCGTCGACGAAGACTCGAAAACTCGGGTGTCGACCCTCCTTTCAACCATTCAATTTCTGCGGGCAGCTTTCCTGGAGGACCGCAATTCAGTCGATACATATAACAAGATCGCCGGCATTCCAGTGTTTTTCGATATGAATTATCTGAGATTATTGAAGGCGCGGGACGAGGGCGCACTGGTCGTTCTGGCATATTACGGGGTGGCGCTGCATCAGCTTGGTCATATATCGTTTGTGGACGCCGTCGGAGCTAAAGTCGTGCAGGCCGTAGCAGATTTGGTCGGTCAGGAGTGGTCGACGCATTTGGTCTGGCCACAGATGGAGATTCGAGCAAGAGGCTGAAGGCCGTAATGTTTGTACTCTCAGTGCACTCGATACGGAGTACCACGGATCGGGTTTACAATGCCAGTGTGCTCCGCTGTAGTATTATATATGCTACGGTGAAGTGCTACTCCGTACATAGCTCGATGGCACGACATGGGTAAGCAATTCCGTCTACGTTCACGCTTCTGCCTGCACAATGAAATGATTGATCTGCATGGAAATTATGCTCATGACAACAACATCTAGTAGTTATCCGGCCACCCTTTTCTTCTATCCTCGACTGTGGTGATCCATCTCTCTCCCCTTCGTTATCACTTGCTCAATGCCGCGAACAAGTCTTTCCGTCCAACCCATGCCGCCGCAGAATGAGCCTTCGCCGCAATCACCTATACACAAATGGACCTGAAGTTCAAGGCGCATTCGGTGTGGATAGCCTTCCTCTTACGACCGTTGCCCATATAATATCCTGTCTCGGCGATGATGTCGCCTCCCTGGCGCGGTTATGCCGCACATCCCGCGTCCTATATTATATGACGCTTCCGCAGTTATGGAAACGTGTGGTCTTGAGGTCGCACAGCAGTATACACTATCGAGATGATATACCGGAGGGCTTTGGCAGTGCCAGCCCCTTCTCCATGGGCCTGAATGCCTTGGTGACTCGGAACGTCTCGTCACTGGTACGGTCGTTGGTCCTAGAAGGCGACTACAGAAGCTCGGATTTGGAGGAATATTCAAGAGCCGGTCGAGTCTCGGAGAGCACCATGATTCTCAATATCGCTGTTCGAGCCGCTGTAGACCAGTGTCTACACCTCGAAGATTTCAGGTCTGCTTGTTGCCAGGATTCGTAGCTGAATGTCGTCCCGCTGACTTCCAGCTGCAGATGGGATCTAAATGTACGAATCCAGCCCAATGTCTATGCCGGCCTCAGCAAGCTTACGAAACTGGAATCACTATGGATACGATTCCAGACCAACAGATCACCGCAGCCCTCGGGCGAGATCCCTGCTCTCCCCAATCTGAAATCATTCACTTTTACCCATTACGACCCGATGTGCTACCCTGACGACGTATCCACCTTGTTGCTCCACGCTGATAAGCTTGAAAGTCTCGTTATGCACTTCTCGCCTCGCATGAGAGAACAAGGTGAGCCATCGGTCGTCCTGACCCGATTCTTCCGCAAAAACATTGTAGCCAAGAAGAAACTCCGTCTCCAAAGGATTGGCGTTTATAACCTCTTGGCCAACGCCGAATCTGTAGAATGCATGCAAGCCGTGGAGTCCACTACCATGAAAGAATTCACTGCCCTGAACACCTTCGGTATGGACGAAGACGAATTGCATCGAAGCACCACCCTTTTCATTGACCGGACTTGGTTTGTTCCTATGCCCAAGGACCTACATCAGCCGAGGTCAATGAGAATGGACCAATTGCATAAAACCCACGCCTTGGAAATCGGCAGATGTGCAGGGCTGGAAAGGCTATATCTTGTCAATGCCCGGTACAAGCCTGCGGGAGACAACGGGAGTTCACCGCCAAACTCAGCAGGTGCATCACCACGGACGATCAACGGCGAGAACAGGTCTGCCCAAAACACGCCCACAGCCGCGTCCGCGCCCAAGATGGGTCTTCGCGATCTCTACCTGGACAGCATCTGCAATGGATGTGGGCCGACCCTGAAGCATCTGATCTTGCCGGCACGCTGGCCTCTATCGACGCCATTGACTGCAAAGCTGATCAAATCTTGCCCGAACCTTACGCAGCTCAGCGCTGCCATCGAATGCACCGATAAGGAAGTTCTTCGGATGGTCTTTCCGTTCTTGTCAAAGCTGTGGGCAATCCGCGTCCTCCCTCCCAAACAGTACGGCGAAGAAGGGGAGAGGTCGCTCGCGGCCTTCAATGCCTTCATTGAACAGCCCGATTGTGCGATAGAGGAGAACCTTAGCACGAGCCTTGAGCAACGTGGGCCGGCCGGAGCCGTTCCTGACTTTCCGGCTCTGAAGTATGTCGGTCTTGGACACAAAGTGTGGGAGATAGGTGGAGTGTACGAGGAAAGGGTGAGGACTCCTGTCCAGAACCAAAATCCGGGAGAGGACCATAGTGGTACAGACTCTTGGCAAGAAGAGGTCGTGTACCGCCGACGAATCCGGAGGATCGAAGAACGCGACGTGGCCGATGTGGAGATATGGAAAATGGACTCCATGGACATTATCTGATCTGACGAGGAAGCGATGATGTTCGCTCGAGACTGAACACCAACCAGCCAGTAATAGGCTCGAGATATCTGCCCCTAACAACTGTAGCAGCATGGCAAGAGCAGTACGGCTCTGAGAACGACTAAGTCGAAAACGGCCTTTTGATATAGGGTGTCCCTATGTTCTACCGACACTCGACGATGCTAACCAGCACTATATCCCGGTTTGGCAGGCCCTGCACAGGTTTTGCTGCACAAAATGGAGAATAACTATTGTTGTTAAGACCTGGACAGGCCTCAATTATGCGAAGAATCAAAATGCCAATCTCACTTCCGCCCTCCATTAGAGCGGCTGGGAGAGACCGCTCGCGGACTTTGTCGATCACCCAGTGGATCAGAACCCGAGCTTGAATCACCCCAGTCTAAGCGTTGGAACACCTTGTCTGGATCATACTCGGCTCGGATGGTCTTCAGTCTCTCGTCTCTCGACATTGCTGGGCGGGAATGTGGAAAAGGGGTTCTGGAATTCGCCGGCATCGCCCATGTAAAGAAATTCCGACGAAAGACCTTTCTCCTTGTTTAAGGAGTGCATATGTTCAATCAAAGATCGTGACCACGCGGTCATGCGGAGGTCATCCTCGGGAAGAGCCCAGGCTGTTGAAGTTTGGAATACTACCAGAGGGAACATGTGTCAGCAATCTTGATGTTGCTGTTGTCACTCCCGCCAAGATGGATGGAATGAGAGGAAATACTCACAGATCCATGATTGGTCATCATCAAGACCCCAGACGTTGCCTACGCCATTTGTTTTTGCGACAGCGTTGGCGCTCTTGGGCATGACGTTGAGGACGAATGTCGGGTAGAGTCCACTCACGTCCGCGATTTGATCGACGGCGTCCTTCCAGATCTGATATAACTGATATATCTGGTCCGCATCCGGTTTCATAATATGATGGCCAAACTGGATTCTGCCTCATTGTGTCAGGAAGGGTGAATTACATGGATGCTGACGCGTGGAACATACCGAAACATCTGGTTAGGTGTGTCAAGGGTGTCAGCCCACTGCCATGGTGTTGTGACATTAAGGACTGTCTGCACCGCTGGCACGGCGGCGAATCCGGCAAACCGTGAAGGGGGCGATTCGGTGCCTTCTTGTACTCCCAGGAGGGAGGGTGCAACTACCTTTGTCGTCGCGTTGTACTGGATCGATATGACCGAGCCGGCAGCAATTGAAGAGTCATCTGCGTTGGTGAAGTCGCAAAGGGCCTTGATAAAAGCCGGAACCGCGGATTCGTTGAATGCCTGGATTTGCGTGCTGATCTTGGGAATCGGGTATACTTTGAGAAGGAAGTTGGTGACGATACCAAAGTTGTTTGCGCCCGCCTTTCAACGCCCAAAAGAGATCGCTGTGGGATATTTGGTTCACGGTGACCAGGGTGCCATTGCCGAGAACGACGTCGTAGCTGAGAACGTTGTCCATGGCCCAACCATACTTGTTGTTGAAGTAGTGGAATCCGCCGATCAAGGTCAGCCCGGGTACCCCTATGGTCTTCAATCGACCCCCAATGGCGTCCAGACCATAGGGATCCAGCGCGGCATAGACGTCGACCCATTTGTTGCCAGGGCCTACTGCGATATTCGATCGATTGGCTGAGAGAGTGCGCTGCGACAGGCCGGTCAAAGTCACCACCGTCGATGTTGTTGGAACCGGGATACTGTGGGTCTGGAGTTAGCCTGGGTCAAGGTGTACCTGCCGCCGCCGACTTGCATTCATGTGGCCTCCTCCTCGTATTGCAAACTGTGCATCCTCTTGGTGGAAGATCTTGACAGCCGAGACGACCTGGTCGACATTCGTGGGTAGGAAGATGCAGGTGGGCAAGAGATCGGAGCGTTTGTCCCAGAAGTTTGTGGCTTGAAAGGTATAGTTCGTCGAGTTGGGAAATAAGGTGAGCTCCGTGTACAGATCTGCAAGGCGGGTGCAGGCGGTTGAAGAGGAATTCGAGGCCGCTGCGGCCGCCGCTGCAACAGAAGCCGCAAGGCCCAATTCAAACAAACTGGCAGCGATGTTCTGCTTCATGACAGAAACCAGGACCGGGGAACGGTGGAGAGCACTGGGAATGGAAAAGGGGTGCAGAGCACGAACGAAACGAACCTACATGCAAGTGAGAGCGATAGCTGAGCAACAGGACACGGCGCCCCCAATTTATATAGCGCTCGATCATGAAGCTATAGTACTAGGCAATCACATCTGAACTTGACTGATTGAGGCATGTCCGAGGACGGTTCTCCAGCCCTTCGCCGACAAGGGAGACAAGGAGGCTAAGCTTCACTGGGGAGCTTGGTGGTGATGGTCGTGGTTACTGTTGTAGATCCCGGTGCAAATCTTATGCTGGTGCCATGCATGCTGCTTGCTTACTTACCAGGTACTTCAGCCCTGATTTCGGGACCTGAGATGCACACGTACATGCATATGCGCGGATCGAGCGACGGATGGCCCGACCTCGTCTGATGCGTTCTGCAACTCGACGATTTCGATCTTGACTTGATGCCTCGTGATTCTTTTCGGCCGAATGACCAGCCTCAGTGAGTTCCCGTGAACTAGAGGCGCCCCAGAGTTCATTGAGGTGATCTTGTTTCGGTTTGTGTTCATCTTGTTCGCGCAGCCAGTCATCATCTATAAACTTTAGAACGTCGATTAATTCTTCCTCTACGTCCTAAGTTTGTACCATTGACTCAGCTGCAATGTAAATATGAGGGCGACTTCGAAACAGTGATAGTCTTCACAGACTGTCAGTACCATGGATTGATGATAGCAGAAGTGAAGTACACCTCCCGTCACTTATCGCCCGTTCAAGCCTACGTTCTTTGGCATGTCGTTCGTTCAGAGTGACGCCTGACTTGACCTCAGAATGAGACCGATTTTGAACAGCAACCATCCATGATGCTACTTTTCGACAGAGTTCTTTGCAATGCGGATGACCTGATAGAAATTAGTCCGAGAACAGTCCAAGAGTGGCAGCGACCGATCCCGGCTTCATCGCCATTCTGCACCACGTCGCATTCAGTGATGATGCTCACGGTTCTATCGCCACGCGGGTTGACGCCACGGGCCATCTTGAAGACCACCTGGTTGGCCAAAATTGTTCCTTGCATCCATGACTGCCCTTCACACGTTAATACGTGCCGTAGATTGTCTTTGGCGCTCTCGAGATTTCCGTGTACTCTCATCATGCAGTCAGATCACGACGTCCATCCTTCATACTTCGGGTTCGTCGAAACTCGTGACACACGCCGTGTTGTTCATTCAGGCTTGCCTCCAAGAGAGCCTGACCAGCGTCCAAAGGCGACCGACCCCGTCAGAACGGCCTTCCGTTGCGCATAGCCGACATGTCTTCATTTACGAAGAGAACCGAAGTGAGCTGGGCCATGTCGATAGACTTCGGATATCATCACACCAATGCCCCCCCAGGATCCTGTTTCCGACCTCCATTGATGCAAGGGTCTGAATGCTCTGTCTCATGCAAATCTCATACAAAACTCGCACAACCTCACCCAGCCAATTCCTTCATAGTCACACAGAGGGATATCGTCGAAGACAGCTGACGTGAGCAGAAACCGGTCGCCAGCTTGCACAAGAGTCGAGATGCTGGGGACTTTCGAATCTTCTGTGACATGTTCCTACTCGCTGAAGCAGAAATATGAGGGACTGTTCTGTGGCAAAAGGGCCCAAATACTTCTTATTTGCGGTTGGCCAATGTTTGAGCAATTGGTTAAAGTATTGGAGCAGTTGATCAGTGTGTTTTGGGCAATTCACTGAATGTGTTGAACAGGTTGACCTGTATTGAGTAATTTGACCAGCATGTTTTGAGGAATTGAACAATGTCTCCCGTCGGTCCAACGCCGAATACCGGATGCTTTCTCTTCGCAAATGAAAACGTGTCCGCTTTGTGATAGAAGGTCGTTCTAACGAATTAGGTCGCCTTTAGACGACCCTTAAACTACCTCGAAGACAAGCCTGAATCAGGACTTAAGCTCGTCCTGTGGGGCAATCTTGCGGTACTCGTAAGTTCAGATACTCGACCTCCCAGTCGGTCCCGGTCCCACGAACGGATGCTCGGATGCTCGGACCAAACCTACAAAATCACTACTGTCAACGTGATGTTCAGCGATATCTTCCTTTTCCGATTTTGACCTTTACAAAGTGGTATCTGGTCTGCTTATGACGTTCAAGCTTAGCACGGTCCATGGCCTCACAGAAGAATGCTTGTGCGGCGGTGACGCTCGAGGAAGATGAAAAGCTTCAAAACACGGATGCACCGGCAGGTTGGGTGACCATAAGTAAGAGACCAAATCCCTTCCGAGCGATTTCCCGACATATGATTTAGTAATCTGAAGCCCTCGACGTCATGAAAATACTCGGTTCCTTACTCGTGCTCGCGGCATCATCTGCTGCAAACTACGTCTGTCCAGCGGCTCCCTCGATGAACGACAGTACAGCACTAGAGTACGGCCATCAAATACAACGACTTCTCGTTCAGTACTATCATAGTGTCCCGGTTAATGTATCTTTCTTCTCATCTCTGCCCGAGGGACAAACGACGGCTTCGAACGGCATGACACTTGCCGAAAACACATTGACCAATGTTCAAGGCCTGGAGAAGCAGGCTGCGCTCGCATTGCGAGCAATCTCGGACGAAATCAGTACGATCAAAGGTGCCTCCATGCCGAACATGTGCGATGTCATGTTGCCGGCAGTGCTAAACGCATCTGCTCATCTTATGAACGCCTTTAACATTGAGGCGAGCTTGTGTGGTGCCTTCATTGGTCTGGGCGATTACTTCCAGTCACCGACTCTGAACTCGCTCAGTGCAAGGATCGCTGCCGAACACGGTATCCATGCTTCTGCACTCCGATCGATGATGCAGCCCGTCGGATTTATGCCTAACAGCACCATGTTGACACCGGCCTTTCGGCCTGATGAGGTCCTGAGTACTGGTACCGAGGTTGGCCAACTTGGTGGCTTCCTACGCCACTGCAACATTTCGGTTCCACAGGCACCGTGCGGTGGGATGGTTTCATTCGGTCCTTTGCTATCTAACTTAACGGGACAGTCGTCAAAACCGGCATAAAATAGGTGAAACTTCTCAGTGGCATCCTATATGTCCCCTGTTCCAGACTCGAGCAGCTGTTGATGTTTGGAACGTGGTGTCTACCGCTGGTTGAAAGCTTGTACTTAACTAACAATGATGGTAGATCAATGATTGTGTGAGGGGTGGATATTATCACTCAAGGATGGCTTCAATTCATTCTGTGTTTCTGCCACGGCTACTTTATGTGTCTGAGTGGTGACCATGGCTGCTTTCACAAAGGAAAGGAGTCTGGCGTCACTCGGTCGCAAAGTCGGTGGCTTTGCTAAGTGTGTGCGTCGAGCTTTGGGCGATTTTACTGCTGGTCAGAGTCCGGTGGTACATCATATGTCCGCTGCTGATACGGCGTTGATCGCCTGCTTGAGAGACACGGGGTTTGTTGGCGGATCATCTCCCGCCGTAAGAGTATGCGAACTGCCAAGGAGGCGTCGAAAGCCATTATAAGCCCTTTGGTAGAGCACGGATGCTTCGTCATATGATCCTTTGTGGTGAAGTAGGTGAGCCAGACAATAACAGCTCAATATAGTGGACTGATGTTCCCACGTCAGCTCACTCTCCCGAAGTTCCAAGACTCTTCGAGCCACTGTTTCTGCTTCATCTAATTTGCCCTGATCGTCGAGCATGAGAGCCAAATTGGCCATAGCTGTCGATGTCCGTGAGTCACGTGTTCCCAATACTCTCTCACAGCGCTCGGTCGTCGATCTGCTTAAGCATTCGGCTTCCTCGAACTTACTATAAGCACGAAGTATTACTGCCAGATTGTTGCTAACCATGAGAGTATTGGGATGATCGGGACCCAGGATGCGACCGTAGGCTGATACATTCTGCCAATTGATCTCGAGTGCCTCATCGAATCAACCAAGGGATCGGAGCAGCACCGCCATCAAGGATGAAGACGCGAGAGTCTCATCTGCTTCCTCACCTAGAAGTCTCCTCCTGAAATCGCAGGCATGAAATGCGTATTTATAGGCCTCGACGGTGTTGCCTAGATTCCATTCGTAATGAGCAATATAGTGTAAGAGATCCGCACAATCAGCACTTTCTTCGACTCCGAGGTTATGCTGTAGTACGGTTTTGGTGTGCGGGATAAGTTGTGTAAGTTTCTCGGTAGTCTTCGTGTCACCTTCCGTAAAAAGCGAAGCCGTTGATCGTAACGTTCTTCGAGCCGTAGTCAGGAAACAGCCTTTCTTCTTGAGCCAGCACCGCACGAACACCTGAATCAACGGGTGCACGGACAAGAAACCAGGTTCTCTCTCCACCACGATCAAGGAATATCGCAACATGGCAGCAATGGCCTCGACGACGCTTGCCCTTCGGGCTTCGGCAGTTGCGAGGAGGAAGATAGGAATGTGTTGACTGTCGAGAAGTGATATCACGGACAGTAGATCCACAGCTTGTCGGTCGTGGCCACGAAGAAGCCGAAACGCCGCATTCCACGCTTTGAGCGTTGACCGGGGCCAAGAACGTGGATGGTAAAGCATCTGTAGCTCCGCGTCAACGGACTCTTCACCAAATTCGTCTCGTTCTTGGATGGCATCAACGGCCTCTGTGACCAACAGGCCTCCATATCTGGGAATGGCTGCAATGGTGTAGGTAATGGCGAGTGGAACGTCATCGAGAGAGTTGAGCGAGAACCTGATGACTTCGCTGGATTGAGGTTCGCTCCATGTATCTGGCCGCCTGACGCGCAAGAGTTGCTGGGACTGTTCTCTCGAGAACGAGCCTACTTTCACATGCGTTTTGTCCGAGTCTATGGAAGTCCAACCTTCTAGACTGCGGGCTGTCACCATCAGCGCTCCATGTCGACTTGTCGAGCGATCTAAGAGCTTGTGGAAACTGGCCAATGCCTGAGCTGATCTTTCAACTAGAGGTCGTTTCCCCCTACAGCTCTCCTCGGCTCCTGGGCCGAGGAGTAAGTCGTCCCAAATCATTAGCCATGGTTCGTGGTCTGATGTCGCATCCTCACGTTGAATCCAATTGTCCAATATTTGTGAGATGTTCAGTGGGCAGGTCTCAAGAGCCGGTAACCTACATCTCTGAGTAAGAAGTCCATACGTTCGAAGAATCTGATTATCATTTGCGGCATATATCCAGAGCACATTTGCCCGTAGGAATCTGTCTCGAAACCGGTAAGCATACTCGATCGCAATTTGAGATTTCCTGCGAACTTTGTCAGAGGGTCTGGTTTCATGCGGCTGAACGCCGTTGGTCATCTTACCCCGTACCGCTGGGGCCACATAGCACGACAGTGCCTCTTTCATACACGGCAGTCTCAATCTGGGAGAGAATGTCGTGTCGCGGGACGAAGTATGGGTTTCTCTGGAAGGGGACCGTGAAAATAGGTTGGGTCGCATCCACTGGACCCTCATTTCCGCTTACCTGCGATCTAGCCGTTTCGTGGCCTGCGTCTACCCTTACCCTACTTTTGCGGTGGTTTATACAGAGCACTGCAGAATCACCTGCACGGTAAATATGGACGGTTGAAGGTCTAAGGTGTCCTTCGTTGTTGGCGTGTTGCGCGTCACCCGTCCTCTCTCATTGGCTTCCAAGGATTGGGCCACGTACCACGACGAAACCCTTGTAGATGAGAATGCCTCCTCAATGTTTCGTGACCTTGGAATTTGGGACTATCCCTGACAACAATCCGATCGGCTGAATCGAATCTACATATGCTTGGGATAAGTACACCCACTCTAATGGTTCACTCCCCAAGCCCAGGTGGAACACAGGAAGCTGAGCGGCGTACTTGAGGAGGGACAGGCACGCGGCATGCTTCTCATTAGCGAGGGTTATTCAGGCATCTCGGTGTAAGAAACGCCGTGTCCTTCCATTGACTTTGGATGTCCCGTTCCAGTGTGCTCTCAGGACTGTCTACTTCTATGATCGCTGTCCAGTTGGTCTTCTTTCCTTCTTCTTCCCGTTGTGCTTCCAAACTCACTTGTCCTTCAGCCAAGGCAGGGATCATCTCTTGAATGGCGCGGAGGCTGCGATCCTCCTCGGCATAATCTTTTCGTCGATCACGCGTAGGCACGTTGCTTCGTTGCATTTCTGCTTTGTGTAGTGGCAGGCCTGGATGATATGCGAGTACGCAATCATAGCTCTCCGGCAGAGTAAGACAGTGCGAACTGGTCAATATACCGGCTATAACTCGACGCTCTACGGATGAGATCACAATTCAGATGACTCGAATTGTCAATTCTGAGCGCGTTGGGTGTTGGGAACCTTCCTGGTCTCCTGCTCTGCGTTTCCTCAAAGCTCTCCACGCTTATATGCCGATACTGCAACTTTTGAACTAGAGCACTCAATCTGACATCCTCCAGGCTAACTGTTTGAGCCGGAGAAGGGACCTCCAAAAGGCTGCGACCCTTGGTATGCTTGACGCAAAGTCTATACATTAGGGACTTCCTTCGCCTGATATTCCCACGCTACTACGTAATTCTGAGCACGTAGACGGCAACCACGTCCCAGCCATCGAACGCTTGCCCGCCAGACCAGCGCAACGAGTGCGCAGATGGCCACCGCGAGCAGCACCAGGTGATCCCCAATCCACAGGAACAAGTCGTTATCCCAATTCACCCATGTCCCGCCGCGCAGCTGTGTGAAGAAGATCCAGGGCGGCGCGTCGGGCCGGTCGTCCATCATTATACTGTAATGTCCGGTAAATTAGTGATGGACTTGTGCATTGAGGGACACATACCGGTGTAAGGGTCTATTCGAGTCGGCGAGCGGATTATCGCCGTGCGCGGAACCAGCATGATAGGTTTGCCAAATTGCGGTCTCGAACCACTGGCCGCTGGCATAGCTGATCGTGATGTAGGGGAAGAGGTAGTTGTAGTTGTAGCGGATGAGGGAGTCGGTAAGCAGCCGCCAGAAAGCGGTTGCCGGGACAGAACCTAAGATATTGTTACTGAGGGCGCCACGGCCGCCGTCAGTAGTCCAGGTTGGGAGATAGAGAAGCGGTTCAAGGGATTGGAGGCAACCCTGGGAGGAAGAATTATCAGTCGTCGGACAAGCTGAACTACATAGCCATAAGTTGCGGGCCAGGGGAACTCGCGTGAGGCAAGGAGCAGGAACAAGACGTCTCACATTATCCAGGTCCAGGTAGATGCCTCCGTAATGAAGCATCAGAAAGTACTTGGTGGCGTCGACTCTCTGCACCGGGAACCTGTAGCCATCGTAGGTGTTGAGAAACCACGGGTAACTCCTCCTGATGAAGTCTCGAGACGTCTCTTCAGTCCATAACTAGGAGCATATTTAGTCGATGGCCATGAGCTGTGAGGCCATATTTCAACGTCTTTTTCCGACACCAGAGAACGAAAGCTGTACAGCGAGCTGCCACTGAATATGGCCTCCGCGGGACACAAAAACATGGTGTGGCGTGACTAACCATGTCCTTCCAATCTGGATTTGCGTCGATACATGTCTGCCTTGCCTCTTCCCAATCCGCCGGCATCGACTGATTGTGCCAGTCATGAAAGATCCGATGTATGATTCTGGGGATCAGTTGTGCTGTGTGGTTAGGCTGATTTGCGGCATGTCCGCGGGCGATGTGATCCTGTGTGATGCCTATGCCAGCATGCTCAAAGAAAAGCTGAGTGAAGGCAAGAAAGCGTGAAAAAAGAATGAGAGGAGATGCGACAAGCAGGAGGAGGAAGAAGACGAGGTTGACCCGACGCCGCATTTTTTGTCTATTTCACGAAAGAGGCTCTCATCGACTAGGAATACGACTGAAATTATTCAACACGCATACCTCACCGGATAAAGGGGGGTTTTCCCTTCCCAGGCCGCGTCACTCTCTATCGGCCACGCTTCCCTTGAACGGGCACTGAGTTCAAGAAGAACGCCACTAACATCACTCTGTGTCCAGATGACATGAAGGATATTCTTTCTTTCGAAAATTTAGTCTGTCATTACTGAACTGTGGAGGCTTGGTTTGTGTGCCGTGCTTGATTGATTTTACTATGCGTGGTACGCCTCTACAACCTCTTCGACGTCTCTTTGTTGCTTTCTTGACGGCCATGGCCCTCTGCTGGCTTTTCCGCTGTCTCCCTGGCCTTTCGGTGCTAGCTTTGTTGATCCTCACAGAATGTGCCCTTCAGGTCCTCCAGACGATAGCATGTATCAGCCTGAACTATTCGCCAGGGCTCGCTAGGGGACACCACCCCGTGTTCGCCCAGATTTTGTTCATGTCATACTCTCTCTTTCTTCACCTACTCGCACTGATCTTTCCAATTCGACTCAGCCGATCGGTATGGCACGCTTGGGCAGCAGTCGAGAAAGTATACGGTCCCGGCGGCACCTCGATCGCTGCACCGAAGGATAAGGACGAGGATAGCCATACCCCCAAGCATAATCGACGAGCCACGCAAGAACAAAACAGGATCGACCGACTGGGGGCCATACATGCCATCATGATTCCGATTTACAAAGAAGACGTCGCCTTGTTGGAAGACACCCTAAAAGTGCTCGCCAGTCACGCACTCGCGACTACGGCGTATGATGTATGTAGATGCACCTCAAATATGCAGCTTCCATGCAGGTAAGGCCATTCTCGCTGACCATATTATCGAATCAGGTATTTCTCGCCATGGAGGAAAGGGACCCGAACGCCGTTCCAGTCGCCATAAAGCTCGAATCTTCCTTCAGACATCGATTCAAGGACATACAGCATACAATACACCCTGCAGACCTCCCCGGCGAGGACCCGGAAAGAGTAGTAATATAAGCTGGGTTGCGAAAGAAGTTCAGAGAAAATATACCCATAGCCAATCCTGGAGGGACGTGCTTTTGACGGTCATGGATAGTAAGTTCGAGATTGGCCATTGATTTGCGTCTGCTTACAACCTTGTCTTGATGCAGGTGACACGCACCTCGGCGATTATTTCCGAATTATCCTCCGGAGGCATGCCTACTATCGACAAGGAGGCGACACGATCGACATGACCATGTATATGCCCCCGATCGTCTTCGACCGCAATGCACACCATGTACCTATTATGGTTCGCGTCGCTGACCTCATGTGGTGCGGAGCAGGCTTGTCGTGCTTCCAATACAAGCCCCGCAGACATGGCATCGCCTTCCCAACTGCAGTCTACACGCTTCCGCTTCCGCTTGTCCATCTGGTTGCGGGCTGGGATACCGATGCCGGCGCTATCGGAGAAGACATGCATATGATGCTCAAGTGCTTCTTTGTCACCAATGGGAGAATGACGATCGAGTCCGTTCCCAGTCCTGCGAGCCAATGCACTATCAGCAGCACCAAGTTTGGGATACGAGGATGGGTCGATAGCCATCGTGCAAGATATGTCCAAGGCTTACGCCACATGTGGGGTTGCCTTGACGCTGGGTATACAGCTGACCACTTCTTTAAGCTAGGAAGTAGGTCCCCACCATCGTCAGGCTTGGGCGAGCTCTCTCAGAATTTGAAACTGGAACTCAAGCAATCGCACTATCAAATGCACGGCGACCAGGGTTACGTGCTGACTTGGAGAAATGTTGTGCTCGCTACTCGCGTCTTCGAAGCACACTTTTTGCCCATGCACCTCTTTCTCGTTACAATATTTTCCACAATTTTCACGACGCTCCCAGCGTCTCTTGTGCGCTCTGGGTCACTCACCGTCTTCCTGGATTTTACAGCTTATCTGAGGGCTATGGGATTTTGTCTCATGCTGATCTACTTCTTCTTCTTTTATGAAGGTTATCATCACGTGTGCGTTGAAGCTCGCGAAGCCGAGATGAAAGAAGCGGGTCTTTACGAAGAGATGGAAGAAAGCTTTTCCAAGCGAAATAAGAACGAAATTCGCACCTGGGCGAGATTACTTGGTGTTCCCTATTGCGGGTATCGTGTTTGGCAGCACACCGCTGATGCACGCAGCATTTGCACACTTCTGGTCGGATCGATTGGACTACAAAGTCAGCACCAAACCGGTCCGACTAGCTAAAAGGCTTGCTTTGGAATTTACAGGACAAGAAGTATAGTTTCCCAAGGTTTGGCAGCTATGCTTGTCAGGATCTGGTTACATTACAAGCCCACTGCCGACTTGACCAATGGTTAGGCTTTGACTTTGCGTTAGGCGTAGATTGGTGGCAAAGCTACAACTGCAAAAGAGTATTCCTTATTCTTTCGCCTTTCAGAACGCCATACAACTCTGAAATTATCAGCAGCTTATTAGAGCCTAAGAGCCCGTATCCACGTGCATATATGCTTTGCAGCATATTTTGACTACTTTGAACAAAGCGATTATCCTGTCTACCTAGCCCCTTGCTGGAAGCCCCTGTCCAAGATTGCGATCCTTTACCGCATTGTTTTGTGCCGGGAGCCGTAGGAGCAGGTAGCAGAGTGACTAAGATGGCAGAGAAACAATGGCGCCTTTGGCCGCAACGAGATCGACGCTGGGATCTGCACATGAACTCAAGTAGTTGGCTTTACACACGTTTATATACACACCGAAAGACATCATGCCCATTCACTGCCAGCCACCATTCCCCACACCGACCACCAACTAGACGCCTCAACCGTTCTTCCTCCTCCTGCTCCTCCTCCAGTCCCGCTGAGTGCCGCCGCGCACATCATCCACGTTCAGCATATCCACGCCCTCCCGGATCAAAATGTGCCACACATGGTTCCGCAGGCCGATCGGCCACTGCGGCAGCCCCCAGTACCGCACCTTCAGGCCGCGGGCATGCGCACCCCGGATCTGACCTCGGATCAGCTGGAGCTGATCCTGCGTGAGGCGTGAACCCCACACGCGCCCAATAGAGCGTGTGAAGCTCGTGGAGGCGTAGTAACTGTTGGTGGAATTGAAGACGTCGGCAGCGGTGGGAAGGCTGGTTGAGCGGGTGAGATTGAGGGTGCTGGAGGTGCCTGTTTGGTGGTCGGTGTTGAGAATGTTGGCGAGCGAAGGTGTCTGTGAGGGAGAGCTAGTGGTGTTAGTCTTCGGTAGTATTCGGTAGTCGACGTGCGCTCGAGTGACATCTTGCGCCCGATTTGGATTGGGCCAGTGCGTGGACAGATCTGCCATTTCATCTAGAGGGGCGTCGAAGAACACGTCGCGGTAGCTCTCCGCGGCCAGTAGATCAAAGGGGGCGTTGCCCGTGCCTACAACTGTGATGGGGTTTTCCACTATACTGGTGCCGTTGAAGTAAGTCAGATATCCCTTCTCTCGGAGCACTGTGAGCTGTTCGTTCAGTTTCTGCCACAGGGTCGGACCGAAGCTTTTGAAGTCAATCAAGAGGACGAAGGTCTGAGAGGGGTCAACGTCGAAGATGCCGTTGAGAGGATGTTTGTCGACAAAAGGGTCAGGGTAATCTTCGTCGGGTTGGTACTTTATGGGCGGGTTTTGCTTGTTTAGAAGCTTGAGGAGGGGTTCGAGGTATAGGCTTTGAAGGGTGCGATTTTGTGCGAGAGCATATCTTCTGTGTCCAACGTATAACTCGTCGTCGACAAGCCAAACATCAGCCTCTGCACCGGTACAGCCGGCATAGATTGCCTCATAGAGGGGGACGGATCTCCAGTAATCATTGTGGGAATGGCAATTGACGGGACGAATGTCTCCAGTAGCATCCCTATGGAAGATCTCTGATTCAGCATATCACTCTCTTGCGGGACAAGGGAACGCATAAAACGAATATTTGGCGGCAACTAAATATGTTCCAGTTGCAGGCGATGACTGGCCTGTGAGCCCTTGACACGCAAGAGACAGCCGAAAATGTACGTACGTTGGCCAACGTCCCCAATTCTCTGTCGGCTCGCCTTGCTGGCCCCAGTGATGAAGCATCCAGTCAATATCATCAGGGAAATATGACTTGAGCCCTTCCACCGCGTATCCAAAAATGTCGATTAGACCGCTAAGAACCTGGTCAATAGAGAACGAACTTCCATGATTCTGAAGAAACGGACAGGAATAATAGGTAGCCCACAACGAGATAGAAAAGACACCTCGAAGCTCGAAGCCTCTTCACTGGAGATCTGCTCAGCACCCGGTTGCGAGCTTTGGGCCACGACCTGAGTCTCGCGCTGGTTGTTCGCGGTCGTATGCATAACCATACTTGAATTCGCTCCCAAAGAGGACTCGGAGAGGCGCCGCGGTCGAATCCATCCGCAGCGAATGGCTCCATCACACCTGAGGGCCCTCGATGAAGCGACCTGAGTTGCTGGTGGCTCTCATTATCTCTGGAAGATGGACTGCGGGAATACCCAACTTCCAGGTCGTCGGAAGTTCGATATTGGAGCAGGGATTGCCGAGATTCTGCGATGCTCGCCGAAGACATGATGCGATTCCTCGGTACAGTGGACTGCGCCTGGAAAGTCGTAATGGGGGAAAATCCAAGAACAAGGGGCCTTTATGTAGACTCTGAGCGGGGAAGATTACGTCGATTGGTCTAGCAACACCGCTCACTCTTATGGGACGAGAAAATTTGTCCGTGTCGCAGAATATCGGCCATCTAGCCATGCGGCCTGGTGCTGAATGCGTTGTTCTAGCTCGAAAAGTCATGCGGAGCACTCGGTTCGTCTTCCAGTCTCCCCAAGAGCAGGCCAAAATCGCAGCTTCAGGAGTGGACGTTGCGGCTCAATCAATCATATCGGCTCAGCCATCGTCTTCATCCTCCGCTTCGTGCCCCTCTTCTGCGATTCTATTGGCCAGAAATCTGAACACCCGGGCCGCTTCTTTACGGCGGTCACTGTCTTCCTCGGAAGTGACAGAACATTCCTCGTCCGCTGGAAGCTTCACTCGATCGCGACACGCTGTCCAAGGTCGTAGCGGACATGCAAGGGTTCCGCTCCACTTCCGGTGTGCCAAACCAGCATTGCAATAGGCAAGATTACCTTTTTGAACAAAGCCAGGGGTGGACTCCAAAGAGAATGAGAAACAAAAGCCTGAGCGACGATTCGCCGTTATGGCCGCGTCATCACCTGTGCGTAATGTACAAGGTCCCTTACAATGTAAAGTCAACGGTACGTCGGTTCCGTCTAGATCTGGCCGCGCACCAAGCGACTCGTGGAGACATCATCGATGCCCTAGCCGGTGGAATCGATGATCATCACAAAGAGCAATGCCATCCTTTGCGTAAAATGGTCCCGGATCTACCAAATTCCACCTGCACATGCTGAGCCGGCTTTACATCCGCCTGTAAGGTGGGCTCCTCTTTATTCCACGCCATGCCTCCTTCGTCCCAGGAACTGTTACGGCATCATGATCGCGATTATTTGCGCCTTACTCGTCGAGCGCAAAGCTGTCGAAGCACTATTGGATTCGGAGCATGAGACGGACGGCATTCACAAGGCTAGACCGCTGTAGTCCCTGCCGGCTATGGGCATGTCCAGCAGCAACCTGCCCCGGGGGGATTCGAGCGCTCCAGCTTTGAGAAAATCGAAGTCAGCCTCGTCGTTGATGTTTGGTGCGACGTCCCTGATAAGTTCTTGCTCCAGCAAGCGGGCTATCAAAAGACCGCGTATGGTGGATAATATCTGACTTGTCTCCGCCACTCGATGGATTGGAATGTACATGTAAACGACAGGACTTATCATGATACATAATAATATAATGGAGAGGGAATGAAGGCTGTGCGACGACAAAGCTGGGTAAAGCAACAAAATGACTGGACCTAATGAGTGATCTGAGCCTACAATCGCTCTACCTTGAGGCATCATAACGTACAAGAGAGAAAGGTTCACACCACAATTCACTTCATCTTCGCCAATGACGGTTTGGCGGAAGATCTTATAACATCCCAAAAATTCAAGGCTAGGAACTACACTAAGACTTGTCTCCCAGGGTACCTATGACCGACAGGCGTGGTCATTTCCTCTGCAGAATGACCAATATCTACCCGTTGGGGACTGAGTTGCGACTGGCCCGCCTCTTCGTCCTGAGCGACTCGCCATGGTGTTAGAGATGGTAGGATTTTCGACTGGCTGTTTTCGGAGGCTGTCCTCGCAAAGAATGCCTGGTCGTGTTGCCGAGGGCCCCAACTCGCCCCGACACCCTGCCGAACAGGGGGGTGATAGGTGCGAAAGCATCCCCAGGCGAAAAAGATGCCAATGGCTGATCCGGCAATAATGTCGAAACCTGCGTGGTGGAAGTCGGCGTATCTGCTGGAGCAGATAAACAAAGCCACGCCACATGGGAAGAGCGCGATTAGGACCAACCAGAGTGGAGGCGCTGCTTGTGTCTCGAGAGCCGGGTGCCCTTCAGCAGCGCCACCTGACATTTTCTTGCTCACCGGCCTTGTATTTCCGAGATGCGGAATGGTGATCGAGAGTTTTAGACACAACCAGAGTGTAAAATAAAGAAGGCCTGCCCAAGAAAAGGATGAGTGGCCGGATGGAAAGGCAGCAAAGCCATCGTCGAGAAGTCGTTGATTTGGTTGTCGGCAGATGCCTGATACTACCAAGGCTGACGCCTCGGAGTCAAGGCTGGTCCCAAACCCACCAACGATCCAATTGTCAATATTGCTGACGTCTGGATCGCAGCGTGCTAGAAGATCCGGGCGCGGCTTGCCAATGATGTCCTTAAGGCCCGAGGTGACAAATAGAGTCAAGGCAAGACTGAAAGCAAGGCCGAGCAAGCCAGCATTCATGTCCCAAAGTTTTCTTCTCCAGGCCGCTGGTCTAGAGGCTGCGCCGGGGACAGGGCGAGCAGGCAATGCCAGGCAGAATACGGCAATGGCGACAGCGGGAACTGCGAAAGCCACAATTCCGACAACGGTGAGAGACACAATATTGTTCTTTTCAGGATATGCAAGTGAGGTGTCGGTCAGGGAGAATGGTCGATGGTAGCCGCTGATATAGTTCAAAACTCCTCCGCCAGCTGCTAAAGTACTGAAACACCGTTAGAACAAGCACTCTTCATATTAGAGGAACGTTCGCAGATACATCACGACAATCCAGTCTAGGGTATAAGATACCACTAGCCGAAATATTCTCCGGTTGTCTAGCATAGTAGAAAAGATTTCAGTGGTCGCGTGCTCTAATGCAAATTGAAGACGAGAGGCCTTGCACAGAATTTAAGTATTGCGCAGAACTTAACTTATGTGACAAAAAATTGGCCAACAGGTAAGTTTAATTATCCTCCTGTCTTGTCATCACTGCCCCTTTTGCAGCTTAGGCGTTGCGGGTTGTTTTCCCAGTCATTCGCCATCACGAGGACGGACAGTGAGAGGCAAGAGAACAATACCCACCTAGCCAATCTAGTACCTCCCAATAAGCTGAGACTACGTCAGAGCCAAGAAAACCAAGAGAGGCTTGGTTAACTCTCCTGCGGCTCTAGTCCCAGCCCAAACTACACTTATTGGTGGACCACAGAATCTATTATCCGAGCGAGTTCCAGCTTGATGGTGGTTCATGGCTGATTCCGAATCGAGAGCCAGGAAGCCAGGAAGCCAGGAAGCCAGGAAGCCAGGAAGCCAGGAAGCCAGGAAGCCAGGAAGCCAGGAAGCCAGGAAGCCAGGAAGCCAGGAAGCC